AGTAAATTAGCTATATTAGCTATATCTAATAAGTAAAGGGGTTCTCCTTACTATATAAAGTAAAAAATATAATTAATAATTATTTTCTCTATATACTTATCTAAATACTATTAGCTAGGTATAGAATTAGCTCTTAAGGGCTATTCTATATATTATCTACTTAGAGTAGTTTAGGGTATATTATAGATAGCTATAGCGCATTGCTTTAAGAGATTTGTATCTTATTTAAGAGCCTAGAGTATAAGCTATACCTAAGCTTCTTTTAATATATCTAACTAGTATTATAAGGGAGGTATTAAGATAGTAGTAGTATTTTAGTATAGTCTTAGTAAAAGTAGCCTACTAGACTAGGTAGCTTATAAACCTAGTAAGCATATTATATAATTATTATAATAATCTACTATATAGTTATTCTAGAATTATAAGAACTATAAAACTTATTAAATAATATTATAAGTTTCTAAATATAAAGAATAAAGTTACTAAATATATTAAAAGATATATTAACTATTAATAGAATAAATATAGTATATATACTAAGTATAAAGAAATATAAGTAATAGAAATACTAACTATACTATAGATAAATATTATAATAGATTTTATTATATAATTACTAATCTTTAAAAACTTTATTATAAACTATAATTATAACTTAAAATTTATAGTAGTAGATAGATTTATAAAAGCTACTAAGTTTATGCCTTTTTAATATAGCTATACTATAGAGTAGCTTGCTTAAGTATTTCTAGATAGAATTATTTAATACTATAGCATTTCTAAATTAATTATTAGTAATAGAGATAAGCTCTTTACTTTAAATTTTTAGATAATATTTCTAGTAGCAGTAGAAATATAGAAGAAGCTTTTAATAGCCTATTATCTATAGATAGATAGATAAATAGAATAAGTAAACTAGATAATAGAAATATACCTCTATATCTACTATAACTAGTAGTAGAATAATTAGGTTTTACTCTTACTTATAGTATAAATTATATATAATAATAAACTATTAGAAGTAATAGGTATAATATTATTTCTTATAAATTATAGAAGATATCTAAATCTCTTTATATAAAGTCTTAGTAGTAATATCTAAACAAAATTAGTAATATTCTTAGTATAGAGACTAAAGAAAGTATATTAGAAATTATTTAAGAATATTACTAGAGCTTAGATATAAGTAATTTCTTATATTAATAAGAAAAGAAAAATAGTACCTCTACTAAAGAAAAGAGATAATATATACCTTCTTATAAAGAATCTATATATAAGAAAACTAATAAAAAAACTAGATAAAGTTAAAGTTAGACTATTTTTTATTTTAGAAAAAATTAGCCTAGTTAACTATTAACTTAAGCTACTAAAAAATATAAAAATATATTCTATATTCTATATCTTCTTATTAGAACTAGCTAATATTAGTATACTAATCTAGAAAGACTTTTATTACTAAAATAATAGTAATAATAAATAGAAAGTTAAGAAAATAATAAAATATTAAAAAACTAGACTAGATAAAGAATATCTAGTTAAGTAGTTAAGATACCTAGACTTAGAAAATATATAGAAACTAGTAATAAACCTTATAAACTACTAGATGTTACTTTAGAAGTACTTAGTTTTTTAAAACTCTAGATAATTAACTAATTAATAGTTTTAGCTTATATAAGCGCTTTAGAGTTAATAGAAGTAATTACTTAGTTTAGTATTTTTTACTACTCTAGATACTCTAGCTTCTTAGTATCTACTATACCTATATTAAATACTTACTATTTCTTTTATTTTAGTAATACTTATTACTTATATAACTACTAACTTTTTATATATAGCATGCATATTTTATTTAGTACTACTTTTATAATTACTTCTTATACTTCTAGTACTAAATTAGTTTTTTTTTAATACTTATAATCTTTCTATTTTAGTATTAATATATATAAAGTTAGAAGTAGAGACTTCTACTATAATATATAATATAGAGCCTATACTAATATAGTTACTATACTTTTTACTTAATAATAAAAGCTTATATAAAAGCTTAAACTTAATATAATACTTATAAGTAACTATAGTAAACTAGCTTCTATTATTTATATACTTACTATATTTCTAATTATAAAAAGTACTATAAGAGAATATATTAGCTTATAAGAATATAAGCTAGAAAGAAAAAGAATAGTATTATAAATATAAATTCTAAGAAAGAAAATACTAGGTTTTATAAATAAATATTATAAAGTAGTATAATAACTACTAAAAAGGCTATTACCTTGCAGGTAATAATAGCACGCTATATATAAGATACTAGTACTAAAAAAGTAAAGTATTTTATAAGATAAAAGCTAAGCAAGCTATAGAATTTATAAGATAAATAACTAGTATTTTTAAGAATTCTATAAGACTTTAAGATAGAGTCTTATAAGACTATAAAATTCTCTAAAATAGCTTAAGTATATAGTAAGTAGAAATATAACTTTTATAGTTTATATTTAACCTAAGTATTAATCTATTATATTAGATCTTAACTTAACTTTTAAGCTAGATAGTTTACTTTATACTACTTATTATTACCTCTTACTTTTAAGATAGATAGATTATATCTATACTCTTTAGTATAAAACTTCTTTAGTTTTCCTAATAGTATTTATCTCTAAAAACTAATTAAATAGTACTTATAAGCTTTGCTTAAAGTATAACTTTAATATAGAGTATATAAGCGCACTATAAGCTTTAATATTATAGCTTCTAAAGTAAAGAGAACTAAGCTAGTACCTTTAAATGCTCTTTATATATTACTTCTAGTAATAGAAGTATTAAAAGCTTCTTTAAAGTATAGTAAGAATTTAAGTTTTATAATATAAGTAATCTTGCTATATATTAGTAGCTTAGCTTAGCAACTATATACTCTTTTTATTAGGGTAGAATAACCTATATTAAGTAGCTATAGTAGGTATAATAAGTATAGAAGTATATATAGAGTAATAATCTTATATTTTTTATAATATTAGTAGAAATTAACTAAGTTATAGCTCTTATAGCTATCTAGAATAAGCAGCTAATAGCTACTAATAGTATACTCTTTTATATACTTATTAAAGTGCTTTAGCTACTTAATACTAAGCTTATTATTAGTCTAGCTATTCTTAGAGATAGTAATAACCTAGTTATAAGGTATAGATAGCTTCTTATACTAAGTAGAAAGGTAGTACTTGCCTTTAAAGATAATAAAAGATAAAATACTCTATTTTAATGCGTTAATACTCTAGATAATACTAGTCTACTCTTAGTTACTCTACTATACTATCTTTAGTTATCTATAACGCTTAGAGCTTATAATAATAGCTCTTATTAATATAATACCTATTATAAACCTAGACTTATTAAAATTATAAGTATCTTTATCTAGAATACTATACTTAGCTTTAGTATTCTTTACTAGGTAGAACTAGCTTTAGATTACTTTAGAATTCTTATAGAGAGCTCTTTTATAGTTATACTTTTAATTAAACTTAACTATAAGCTCTAGGTAATACTTAATAAATATACTAGCCTAGTTCTTACTAATAGAAGGCTATTTATATTTAGTAAGTAGAGAGTTAGCTATATCTTCTATATTAGTAAGCTAGAGTAGGTATTCTTACTTATCTAGCTTTAAAATATACTGCATAATTACCTTCTTTTTAGTACTTATTAGCTTTATTAAGTTAACCTTATAATTATAGTATAAGAGCATTCTAGTATATTATTATCTTAGTATTCTTTTTAATACCTTATAGATTATTATAGCATATAGAATAGTAAGAGTTATATCTTATTTAAGAGCCTAAATAGCAAGCTATATATCTAATTTCTTTAAGACGCTTTAAGCCTTTTTATATTAAGATATTATAGGTTATATAAAGTTTAGTATAGTCTTAGTAACATCTAGTTACTTACCTAGGCTAGCTACTTACCTATAAGGTATATTATATATTATATTAAAGTTATACTTTAAGTAGAGCTTATAAGTACTAATTAATTAGTTTTTAAAAATAAATACTATTAAAGAAGCTATAAGAAAGTTTTATAGTAAAAAGTATAGATATAATCTATCTATTTTAAAAGTAAAAGTAATAATAAGTAGTATAAAGTAGACTATCTAGCTAAAAAGTTAAGTTAAAAAGTAATATTAAAGATTAATACTTAAGTTAAATACAAACTATAAGAGTTATACTCCTACTTACTATATACTAAAGAGTATCCTATATATTCTATATAGTTTTAAAGTTTCTTATAAGAGGCTTTATAAGAACTATAAAATGTTTATAGAAAGTATAGGAGATGTCCTGCACTTGTCTTATAGTCTTGGCATAAGACCCTTTGTAAGAACTGTAGGACATTACGTGATTGCTTGATCCCTGTAGCGTTATTCTGTCTCGTTATTTATAAGCTGCTAACCCGCGTGCTCCTTTCAGGATCGTAACATAGTGTTTGTAATTTTTGTGTAATAGGCGACAATCCCGTCAAGTCTGCTTACGCGTCACTGTGTAGCGTTAAATGTCGGTTTAGTGTTATCTGCAAGGCATAATTAGATGTGATGGTTCTCTAGGTTCTCTAGGTTCTGTTAAATCCATGTTGATAGACATAGACACAGACTTGAACAGATAGTCCGCTTAAGGCGCTGGACATGTATGATGAAATGCACACTGCAGACTACGCCGCCACAAGTCTTTTTATTGTGATCTCTCACAGATGCTAATAAACTAGGTGATCCGATCGTCCACTTGCAGCGCTGAAGTCGATATCCCCGTAATGAAGCTAAGTCAACCATGACAGCACATCCTATTCATCTACGGAAAGCGCTTCAGTCAGCATTCACGCTGTTGCAAATTCGTAGCTCGCTCCAGATTATGCAATGCAGTGGACCCAGTTTCGCGCTTCGACGCTTAAATTGTAGTGATACAGATCTTGCCACAATCAAGGATGCCCGGGCTCGATTTAGACGGTACGTAAGTGAGCACGGTACGTAAGTGAGCGAACTTGGTATAAAGATATACACAGGGAGTGGTACAACCTCCAATTTTATTGTGTGTAGTGTTGCGCTAGCTCAGCTTGCTCAGTCAAATCTGAAATCCCTTTCAGAACGCTCCTCCGCTGCCCATCATACTGAACGCTTCGCATCCATTCCTCCAGGGATTTAATACGATTCGGGTGGATACGGTTGAGCAGCTGAATGTCCCTTTTGACTGCCTTTCCTTGGCCCCAGAATTTCCACCAAGCTGAAAAATTCTGACGCCATGTCATACTGGCCTCATCTACAGGAGCATCAGGCCCAGCAGCCCAGTTACCTAGCGCCCCTGGGAATGGCTCAGCAAGAGGGAAGTATTCCTCCTCAGTTATATACTTGTGCAGTCCCTTCTTTCCAGTTACCCTTGTGAAGGTTGCTGCGATGTCTGTGAGTGCCACCTCGTCTGTACAGACTCTAAGCTCTATTCCTGCAGACTCTGATAAGTTCTGAAACAGCCACATGCTGTAATGTCCCATGTCTTCTAGAGCAATAAGAGGGATCTTGCCGGACTCTGTGCCAGATATCGATTAGCGATTGCTCAAATTTTGACTCAGTGACCAAATCGACGCAGGGGACATACTTGCTGGATTAGCCCAAACGAATGAGCCATCTTCCTGCTCTTCAGGCAGAAACATAGCTTCAAAGAGCATGTTCATGTACGGGCCCGTGGTGATGACTGAGCTTTTGATACCTTCCTGCCCTTGGGCTAGAATGTAGCTTGCCACCCTGCCTTTAGCATCGTTGTGACCCCAATGATACTCTGCATTCCACCCGGCATCTTTCAAGGCAAAATCTGCACTCGAATACACGTAGTGCTGCACTCTTTCATGTCGTGCAATCTCATAGGCTCTGCAACCGTAGAAGAGCTCGGCTTTCTCCCCAAGCGTGAAACCATCAGTATTGACCCACGCACCATAGGCACCGCGGAATGCTCTATGCAGGTCGTCCTGGCTATCCTGTCTGCCTTCGATCAGGGTGACATTGGGCAGTTCCGCAAGCTTAAGCGCACGTGGTGACTTGGCATTTCGAGTCAAGACCCGAGCAGAGAATTCCTTACTGGCCGAGATTGCTGGCTCAGATTAGTCCAATGGCTGTTAAGAAGCTTGTCTGCGTTACGCACCTTCAACAACAGGTGTGCCCTGGGCTCCTGTGCCGCCGATAACAACGATTTCCTTCATGTCCTTGTTACTTTGAGCAGATCGCGCTTGCTAATAGGCTGTCGTTTCTTTAGTTCAGTCTGGTCAACTCTCGAGTATGGCGATATTCAGTTTGAAGAGTCGGTCTTGCACTTATATATGTGGGGACAATTACCCAGATCTTCGATCGCGCGAGTCCTGCCACGCGGAAACAGAAGATTAGTCATTTCCGTAGACGTACTCCTGCTAATGCTGGGGTGAGAATTACTAATAGTGAAACTATCGGATCCAATGATTTACCATTGCCGTGAACCAGAAATAGTAATCACTGTCTTCGGCGCATTGGTTACTCCGTCAAGCGATCATGCCACCTGGTGACTCTGGGCGTTCAGTGTCCGTGCACGGTACCGTGTCCGTGCACGGTACCGTGTCCGTGCGCGTACCGTGTCCGTGCACCCAATGCACGGATTCAACCAATGCACGTTTTGTCTAATTAGTACCCTAACTTTAATGCGTAATAATACTATAACTATGCTAGGAATTTAGAATGCGCTTATAGAGATTTATAATTTAAAGCTAGGTAATAAACTTATATATACTAATATTATAAAAAACTATAATATAAACTATAAGTAAGCTAATTATATAAGTAAGCTAATTACTAAATATAGTACTCTATATTTATATATAAATAACTTAATACTATAATAAGCTATTATAACTTATAGTAGCTTAAATTAATTATCTACTTTTATTATATCTTTTTAGTATATATACTTATTATACCTAGTTTTACTATATATCTTATAGTATTAGATACTACCTCTACTACTACCTATGCGCAGCCTCTTATTATATACCTCTCTCTTAAATTAACTATTAATATCTCTTTACTTAACTATTATCTTAGCCTCTACCTATAATAGGGTCCCTTCTTTCTAAATTTACTTCTTTTTATACTTTCTATGCTTAGAAGCAGCTCTATTTACTACCTTAAGGTTAGCTACTCTAGCTACTAAAAGCACCTAAGAGTATACTATAATATCTACCTCTTTTTTAAACTACCTTATTATCTTAATAATTAATACTAGTAATAAGCTATAGTACCTCTAAATCTAGTTAAATATAAGCACTAATTAAGCCTCTATTTTAATAGCATTGCTTAGTATTTTAGGCTGCTAGGTAGTATACCCTAGTAGTAGTAGTAATAGCATATAAGGCTTAACTTTAAGCTTTAATAATACTGCCTCTAGGTTATATAGTACTAAGCTAGTTACTTAAAAGCTTAATATAATATTTTCCTTTAAGAATGCGCTACTAAATACCTAAGTAAAGGTAGTTAAGAAGGCTTTCTTATTAATATAGTTAATATAGCTATTTACTAAGATATTAATCTTCTTCTTATATGCCTACTTTAAGAGAGTAAAACACTCTATATTAAGAGGCTATAAGATATAGAACGTATATAGAGGTATATAGAGGGTAATAATCTTATTCTCCTTATATAGATCTTAGAAGGTAAGTAACTTATAGCTCTTATAGCTATTAAGAATAAGTAGCTAGTAACTACCTACTATTTAAGCTTCTATATACTAGATAAAGTGCTATAGCTAGGCAATACTAAGCTTATTTATTATTTAACTATTATTACTAATACTTATTCTCTAATCCTTAGAGTTATAGTACTAGGCTTAGTTATAGTGCTTTACTTTAAAGATTAGAAAGAGTAGAGTAACCTAGCCTCTAGTACTAATTATAGTAATTAATATTACCTACTTATAATTACTAGGCTAAATTCCTGATAGCTTAAGGCGCCTTTTAGATACTATAACTACTTTTACTAACTCTCTAATACCTATCTAGAAGCTAGTTTTATTAAAGTTATAGGTATCTTTATCTAAGATACTATATATAGCTTTAATACTATATATAAGATTAAACTAGAGGCTAATAATAGCTAGATTACTATATAGAACTCTCTAGAGATTATGCTACCTAGTTACTTAAGATTTAATACTAGGCTTATAGTATATAAAGTTAGTAGCCTAGTTCTAGCTAACCTAGGTACTACTATATATAGTAAGTAGCTAATTAGCTATTTCTTATATATAGCTAAGTATAGGTATAAAACCTTATATATTAAGCTTCTTTATATACTAGACTACTATCTCTTTCTTATATTTTACTAGCTTTAATAAATTAGAATAGATATTATATTAGGTAGATATTTTAGCATATTAGGTACTAAGTATACATTAAGGAATATTATAGGTAGTAGCAGCGCGTTACTAGCTTAGTAATATATTAGATTTTATAGCTTAGATAGTAAGGATTAGCCTATCTATATAGAAAAGTAATTTAAGATTAGGTAGTTATAGTATTATAAAGGATAGTAGAAGATAGTATTATTTTAGTAAAGTAATTAGCTTACTTATATAATTAGCTTACTTATATAATTAGCTTACTTATAGTTTATATTAGTATTATAAAGTTAATATTATTATATATATATTAACTTAATTAGGTACTCTAATATATTACTAACTATAATTAATATAAACTTAGTAACTAGTAAGAAGATAACCTAGTTATATATATAGAAGAGCTTACTATATATTACTTACTACCTATAAGATATATAGTATAAAATTTTATATCTATAGTTACTTTAGAGTACTGCTCTAATAGCTAGATTATATACTTTCTTAAGTATTACTATACTAAGCTTACCTTATAATAGGTAATAGGTATAGACTCTAATTACTGTAATACTAAGTCTAGATATAAATATAAGTTATATTTTAAGCTTCTATAGTAGAAGATTACTTAGTATAACTTTATACTTAAGTATATATATAATATAAATAAGAAAGGCTTTATAATTAGTATGCTAGGCAAGTCTAAATATTTATTTAGTAGGCATTAATATAAGAAGAAAAAAGTTTAATAGGCTTATTAAAATAGCTTATATAAGTATATAAGCCTATTAGCTACTATTTATATAGATAGTACTACTCTTTTTCTAGATATTATCTTTAGCTTAAAAAACTCTATAATCTAGAGCTATTAGGTAGCTAATATTAAGGCTAGAAAGTACTAAATTTATATAGCTTCTTTACCTACTAGCTAGATAAATAATAATATTAGATTAGTATAGCTTAAATAGGTGTTTAACTACTAAACTAAGCTAAAGGTATAGTTAAAGTACTACTTTTTAATTATAGATAGCTATAGAAGCTACCTAATGCTTAATTTTATTAACTACTATTATTAAAATTAGACTATACTTGCTATATTACCCCCTTATAGTATATAGACTTTATAGCTATTAGATATTATCTACTTTAAGCCTCTCTCTTCTTACTATAGTATTAAACTTAATAACTACCTCTAGTAGTCTTAAGGCCTATCTCTACTATTAAAAGGTAACTTTTTTAGCCTATTTTAGCCTACTTAGGTATCTATATTTATATTATAAATATAAATTCTAAGAAAGAAAATACTAGATTTTATAGATAGATATTATAAGGCAGTATAATAACTACTAAGAAGGCTATTACCTTGCAGGTAATAATAGCATACTATATATAAGATACTAGTACTAAAAAGGTAATATATTTTATTAAGTAAAAGCTAAGTAAGCTATAGGATTTATAAGATAAATAACTAGTATTCTCTAAGAATTTTATAAAACTTTAAGATAAAGTTTTATAAGACTATAAGATTCTTTAAGATAGCTTAAGTATATAGTATATAGAAATATAACTCTTAAGATTTATATTTAACCTAAGTATTAATTTATAATATTAGATCCTAAATTAACTTTTAAGCTAGATAGTCTACTTTATACTACTTATTATTACCTCTACTTTTAAAATAGATAGATAGTATCTATACTTCTTATTATAAACTTCTTCTTTAGTTTTCTTAATAGTATTTATCTCTAAGAACTAATTAAATAGTGCTTATAAGCTTTACTTAAAGTATAACCTTAATAGCGCCTAGTAATTACTTTTCTATACTAAAGCTACTTAATAAGAAAACTAGTAGGTATAAAGCTTTCTTATTAAAGATATTTAGGTTAGATATACTCTTATAATTACTATACTTAGTTAATATAGATTATATACTTAGGCTAAGAAGTTTTAAGATAGTTATATAGTATAAGTAGTAAAGTATACTTAAGTAGAATAAGATATTCTACCTATAGAAGTACTAATATAATTAGTATATAATTATAGAGTTTATAGAAATATAACTCTATAGGGTAGATTTCTAAAATACTAGAAAAATTTATAATAGCACTATAGCTTATATTTCTATTATATAATAGGTCTATTTAGAATATAATAAGAAGCTAGAAGAGAGTTTTATAAACACTATCTAGAGATAATTAGAGTAAGACCCTATAGTCTGCCTGCTAGCTAATAATAGAGAGATAATTCTAGATATAGTTTATTATAGCTAGCTAAGCTATAGTTAGCTATAGCTCTAAGATATTACTTATAGGCTTCTTTATATTATATAATAGTACTAAGACTTAGAAGATATAGTATAGAAATTGCTTATAAATACTATAGTATCTTTGCTAGCTTTATTTATATTAAGGTAGCTTAAAAAGATAAGAAAGGAAAGAAGGCATCTAGCTCTATAGCTAGCAGCGTAAAACTTATAGTATTTATTTTAGTATTGCTTTATATTGCTAGAAAATAATTTTACTAGCTTTAATTATCTTCTAGATAGTTTTCTCTATCTATACTAGACTTATATATTTAAATCTATTCTAAAGGCCTAGTATAAGATTATCTAATATTCTTGCTAAGGGTAATACTATAGCTATAATAATAATATAGATAGGCTTATAAGTAAACTATACTAGCTACTTGCAGCCTTAAATGCTACTTAGTATTTTTATTATATTCTAGCTCTGCATCTAGTACTATAATATTAGGCTTATTATCTAAGCATTCTTCTTCTTCTTTTTCTTTATCCTATATATATATTAAGCATTTGCTATTACTTATATAAAGCAATTTTTTATAGCTCTAATGCTAGTAAGAGCTATTATCTTAGCTTACTACCTAGTACTTAAGTAAGTACTTTATCTAGCTCTATAAAAAATACTTATATTAAGATTAGTTTTAGAAGTAATTAGGAGCACCAATATTATAGTTTGTCTTTATATGCTATTATATTTAATCCTAGTTAATAGTCTTTCCTTCTGTGCAGTATAGATAGCAAAATCTAGAGATAGGTAGAAGGAGATAAGAGAGCAGCATAGATCTATTCTAATAAGGCACTAGATTATTAAAGGATTTTATAGCAGGCACGCTATTAAATTATGCTATTATTATTTAATACAGCTTAGAAGGTATATAGTAGCAAGTTTGCAAGTAAGTGTCTAAACTAGTAATAGGTACTATAGTGCAATAGGGGGCGCAGATAATTACTCTCTTGCTAGCAACAAACATAACATAGTCTAGAGCAACTAGCTTATGTTTCTATAGAGTTTAGATAGGAAACTTAGCAGATTAGCAACTAATATTATATATAGGTTAGTTAGCAATAGACGCTAGGGTTAACAAGATCTAATTTGCCGCTATCTCTACGCTTTAAACACAACAATTAACAGAACGCAGAAACAGTTGCTTTTAAGGAGTGTGGCATCAGCGTGCGTCCTGCTGTTAGTAGGATAATAGTTTTAATAAGGCACGCTAAACCTAAATTATGCAAATTAAGGGGTTGCACTGTACTAGTCTACAATAGGGGAGAATTAGCACCTGGTTCGCGTTGCATGCACGCGATTTTGGGGCGGGGTGCGCGACTGCCTAACCAGGAAATATCGGGGGTTAACACTACGAAGCATCATATACTAGGTTACTCACTTGAATGGGTCGGCTATCTATCTTATGCAACATCGCTTCGACCATGCCGTCAAAACCCGCCCACTCCCTCCCATGTCTGAGCGTCACAATGTCTTCTTTCCACAATATATAATCTTGCTCCTCGTCGACGAGGGGCGCAATGTTGTGGAACCAGTCCCTCACGCTCTTGTAATCACGTTTGGTCGGCCTTTGGAAAGAGATGAGCTCTCTCGCTTTGATCAGTAGCTCGTCGTATCGGTTCACTTTGATTCTCAATTCCTCTAGAATATCTTCTCGTGTCCGGACCTCATCTTCGTCTCCATCTTCCTTTGCTTCCTCTCTCTCTTGTCTGCAGGCTGCGACGTCAAGATCCCAGGATCGCAAGCGCTTCTTGTAGGCCTCGGGAAGGGTATTATGGAAGCGGTCAATGTTGTCTAGCTCGGCTTCGAGCTTCTGGATACTGGCTTGAAGACTTAGAAGGAGGCGTGCGTGAACGTTGCTAAAGCCGCGGTAGAGCATGAAGTTTTATTCACTTGCATTGAAGGCTGCGAGTCGTGCGTGGCCATTTGGACATTTTTCGAGTGTTCGCACTTTGGTTGGATACGGCCCCGACCCACCGGGTGGGAAGATAGGCCCATCACCTTCTTCTTCATCATCTTCGCCTTCGCCAACGGTAGAGTCAGCCTGCTGTTCTACATCGGCTGGCCTCTTTCTCGGTAGCAACACTCCGAAGCTGTTTGCTACGTGTCGCAGCGACTTGGGAGTTGTGCTGGAACGAAGAGTGGATGATGATGACGCATTGGAGTACCTTGTACAGGGGCTGGAGAACTCTTTCTCATTCGGCGATGCTGGGGGAGAACTCATGATGCGAGAGGCTGGAACACGAAGATATCACCAGACGATGAAGACATAAGAAAAGTCTTTAACAGACGAACACAGTTGACATTCTCAGCCGGAGACTAAATATCGATGAGCTTCTTCACCGGTCAAGCCTCGTTGTACTGATTGGCTCAGGTGTCTCAGACCACATAGACTTGATCCTGAGGAAACCATCTCCCGTTCATGTAGAGTTTTGTGGTATCGCCAGCCGTCTCAGTCAGTTGGTACTCTATCTTCTTGTTTTTGGTCTTTCGGCTGAACGCGACATAAAGCTTCTTCTTCTTTTGCTTCATGGCGATGACTTCCGTGATTTGAATCTTGTTTCCGGGAACGTATTTTGCGACGGTCTGCGACCAATCAGCGTTTAGGGTTTACTTGACAGGGGCGTACATAGCGCTTACTTCAGCCCCCAACCCTTTCTCTACCCCCACGCTCTCTGGCGACCTTTTCCATCTACCCCTAGTCAGTGCGCAACACACAACATACTGGTAGATAGGGCCATACCTGCTGTTGGGCATCGATCTGCGCCTCTGGCGTCGTTTCTCGTCCTTCGTCGGTCATGACTGCAAGTAAGAAGAGTCGGCGATGGGCCTGGTTGTCAGCCTTTCATGTCAGGCTGAGTCAAGGCTTTTATCGCCCTCCCCATATTCAGCTGGAGGCCCCTCACTGTCGCGGGTGGGTGAGGTGCAGCGTGCCGGTGAGCTACTATTGCTTTTCTCACAGGCAGCAGTTTGCCTATCGTTACTGATCGTTCGCCTACCCTGACCGACCAATAATCGCAAGGGACTAGGCGTTCTACGAGGCGGAGTCCGAGAAGTATTAGCCCTTTGGAGCTTGGAGGACCTCCCGTGTGATCGTGTGGCTAGTATTACCTGCACGCTGGCTAATCAATATCTTGAGTGGCTGACAGGCATGATGGGGCCGTGACCAAGCACAGCCTCAGGTTCGCGGCCCCCAAAAGTGCGTGATAAGGCTACATGTGCGAACTTGTAGCACGTTCGTCAACAAGAGTCAACCCTGATCACCACTCGCGCTTCCAATTGTTCTCGCATCATGACACCGCTTAATCGCTGCAACCCGCTGTCACCTACATCATCGGTGAACAACACTAGCTCCCTTCCATCGCCGTTGAGTCTCAACCCTGGAGAAATTCGCTATCCTCAAGATGATCAGCATGAAGCGAAACTGCAACAATGCTGGGACAAGTCAATCGCGAAGCATCTGGATCTGCCAGATGGATACCGCAATGTACAGGTTTTGGTAATTAAATGGCAAGACGCGATAGACCAGCTGGACGTGCGGCAAGAGGTATGAAAACATCCTTCCGTGTGATCATCCTGGCATCATAGCAGTAACTCAACATCCACTAGGTCGATGACCTGACGAACGTCTTCCAAAAGGTCTTCAATTACGAAGTGACCGAGCTACAACTAGAAGAGAAGAACCCACAGCTCCAGCTTGAGCTTGAGATATATCGCTGGGTGTATGAGCACGATGATCCCAACAACCTACTCGTAGTATACTACGCCGGTCATGGTGTCTACGATAAGGCTCTCAAGGTCCTTGAGTTCTCACCGTACATATCCCAGCGCAAAATTCAAGAACCTTAGCTAACAGCAAAACCAGGACTGATGATGTGGAAAATGACCTTCGAGCAATCTGGAACGATGCCGAGAGGACCCTGATCGAGAAAGTAAAGGCCAACGTTCTCACCATCATGGACTGCTGCTACGCCAGCGACCTTCTCCGCAATGTACCCGAGCACGGTCGAACATTCGAGATGATAGCCGCTTCGGGTATCGGTGCGCCCACCCCTGAGCCCGGCGAGAACTCTTTTACTCGCTGCCTCATCAAACACCTGAAGGAGTTAGCCGTGGAGAGCTCTGGTTGCTATGGCAGTTACTTTGACACCCACGATCTTGTCCAGCGCATGGCAAAGGAACGCTTTGACTCACCCCCGAGACTATGGCGGCGCATCCCAGGGAGTAGTCGACACATTGAGTTGAGAAAGCTCAAGCCAAAGAGTCAGCGTCCGGCGCAGAAATCTAGCATATCGTCCCACGCACGCTTTCTGCATCTGGGGTTTGCGCTGAAGAATGAGACCATTGACGAGGTGCAGATCCAATCCTTAACGAAGGACCTTCCAGCCTTATTCTCGAAACAAGGGCTACCGTTAGTCAACATCAAATGGCTGGGGTGTAGGAAAGAGGGCAAACCGACGCTGAAGGATATCGCGCACTTCGTATCGAAGAATCGGAGAGAGCTTTCCGCAATTACGCCACCTTCCTCAGAGAAGAAGAGGAGTGCTGATGAGATGGATTTGAATGAGTCTACGTCTAATCGACGGTGGTTTAAGCAACCAATGTTAAACACATATACCTCTTATATATTATATTACATAAATAATATTACTCCAGTACTAGTATAGTACTATTATACTATATTATATATACTTTCTCTGTTAGGAAAGTAGGCGTCTCTGGTTGTTTAAAGTAGGCGTTTCTAGTAAGGACGCACAGATGCGGCACGTGGGCTGTGTGTTTTGGACCGAGGCGTCTTACCAAAGCAATGCCTGCCCCGCATCAGCCCCCACCAACTTTCCCCAGCCGGGGTCAGCATCAAAGACCTATAAAGTGCCGGTACCGTGTAAAGTTGCAACGCGACATTCAGCACACCAACCAATTCGACTACCGCACAAACATCACGATGACAATTGTCCAGGGCCACTGCGATCAGCAGTTCTCGGCACTCGAAGAGTTGTTCGCCTCCAAACTCGCAAATGGCGACGAATTAGGCGCCAGCATTGTCATCAACGTCAACGGCACCAACGTTGTCGACATATGGGGTGGTCACGCCGACGCCGCTCACTCGCAGCCGTGGACCCGTGACACCATCACCAACGTATGGTCGTCAACCAAAACTATTGCCGCGCTTGCCGTGCTCATAGCTCACGACCGCGGCCTCCTTGATGTCGATCAGCCCGTCTCAAAGTATTGGCCTGAATTCGCAGCAAACGGAAAAGAGAGTGTCCTCGTCCGCCACGTTCTCTCGCACTCTTCAGGGGTCTCAGGGTGGGAGACTCCCCTCTTGGGGGAGCAGGTCGCAGATCTCACTCTCACGACTTCTCTGCTCGCACAACAGGCGCCCTGGTGGGAGCCCGGAACCGCCAGCGGGTATCATATGGTAAACTTTGGGCATATGTTGGGCGAGCTGATTAAACGTGTGACTGGACTCTCCATGAAAGACTTTGTCGCGAAGGAGATAGCCGGTCCCCTGAACGCAGACTTCCAGATCGGCGCCCTGGAAAAGGACTGGGCGCGCGTGGCAACCCTAATCGAGCCGCCCCCAGCAAACATTGACTTCTCCAAAATGGATCCAAAAGGACCAGCACTCAAAACCTTTTCCAATCCCCTACTGAGCGTTCCCACCGTAGCAGAAAGCTGGTGGCGCAAAGCAGATCTGCCCGGCGTTAATGGACACACGAACGCGCGTGGTCTTAACACGATTCTCTCCGCCATCTCCAACGGCGGTGTCGTGAACGGGAAGCAAGTCCTGTCTCAAAAGACCATCGACCTCATCTGGCGCGAGCAAACCAGCGGTCCCGATCTCGTCATCGGACTCCCGCTTCGCTATGGCATCGGGTATGGTTTGGGGGGCGGCGCGACGGCGCAGTCGCTGCCGTGGTTGGCAAGCGAGGACTTTTGTTTCTGGGGTGGGTATGGGGGGAGTTGGGAGGTAATGGATCGCAAGCGACATGTGACATTTACCTATGTTATGAATAAGATGGGGAGCGGGATTTTGGGAAACGAACGAACGGTTGAATATGTAGAGCTTGTATGGAAAATCTTGGGTGAGGCTATCAGTACCAAGTAGCTTAATGTCGAGTTCGCTAGCTGATGTCGAAGATGGAAGCTTCTGCTCCTATATTTCCTCGCGACTGCATGTCTTGACTTATTTACAGTTTCTTACCTAGACCTTACATCACTGTCTTGATAATGCGAAGTAGATATTGCAATGGTCCCAAGCGATGGTGGAAAGCACTCGAACTTGTCACCTGAACAAACAAATCAAATGGGTACCTCCTCCTATGTACGTAATGCTAGAGTAGTTCGTGCGAAGGGTCAGCCCTTCTGTTATGTATCTTATCCATGTTCAGGAGGTGAGTTACCGTTGATAATGGAACTTCTTCTCTTGACCACAACAGGAGCTTAGAGGCTAAATCAATAGCACAACTAAGAAGCAAAACATGTTTTGGAAGCTTGTTAACGGCGACCTATATGTAGAAGAAAAGATGTTCCGTCTACGCGTTGATAGAATATAAACCGTGGTTGCAGCAGGCCAAGAGATCTCTTCTTTCTTCCTACAACAAGCTTCATGTTACATCTTGCCTGAATCTGGGTTCCACCAAAAGATAAACGCCGAGCTGAAGCAAGTCATCCCTGACGCTAGTTTAATTCCGTCGCTATCTCAGCTAGAGACGCTTCCATGTCTGCATGCTGTTGTTTAAGAAGTGCACTGCTTCTCACACGACGAGATAGACCGCTTTGAACGAGTTCCTCTAAAGAGGCCAATCTAATATAAAGACTGATTGATTCCGCCTCGCATACTAGTTGTCATCACAACCTCATATCGGCACGGCGACCAGATTATAATTATATCTTCCAATCCCACGTGCACGAAGTTTGATACTGGGAGATAGATAAGGCAGGCTGAGAGTCAATGATTAGAGAGATACCTTGTCCAATTCAGCAGGTCGACCCTTATTCACAGCTGAAATCTACTCAATACCGGCAACATAGTTCAATAAATCTAACATCAAGCTGTCGAATGCTTTAAGTATGGATATATATCAATGTTGTTCACGACTTTTTTCACTCGTTGCGGGCGCAAGGACTCTATAGGTGTAAGGGTGAATCTCAATTCCTCTAACACTGTCACTTATCATGACTGTTGAGTATACGAGTCTACTCTAGCAGCCGATGGTGTCAGAATAGCACGCTTGATCCTCACACCACCCCACCCACTTATCCCTTGCTCTTCCCGCGAGGGACTAGCTCAAAACTTGAGCTTGTTTCCGGCATTGGCTTGCACAGAAGCCTTGACATTCGCGCTCCCGAGCTTAGTGTACGAGTACGGCACCACGGTCAAAGTGCCCTTGGGCGCAGTGTTCGTCCCAGAGCCAAGACTAACATCGTTGACAACGGCATAGCCGGTCACTTTACCGTTGAAGTAACCAATGTCCTCGGCAGTATTCTCGAACACGGTGCTCTCGACAAGAATCTGTGCGCCTTGGCGCGTGTCGATGCCGCTGGTGAAGATGCCGTTGTAGTAGCCTATAAAGAGAATTAACAAAGAGGGGATGATGGTGAAAGAGTGGGGAATAACTTGCTGTTAAAGATGTGACCGGTTCCGAAGCGAATGGAGGGCGTGCGCGAGCTGACGTTGTTCCAGTAGTTGTTGGCGTAGGTTACGTGAAGGTGGCCGGTGTCTTCGGCGCCATTATTGTCCGAGTGACCGACAAGGGACGCTTTATAATGGTCGTGAATGTAGCTATTAGAGATGGTGACCCAATCTGAAGCATGCGAAACGTCAATAAGTCCGTCGTAGTAGTCTTTGTCGTGGTCGATGTCGGACGAGACGTCAACGTGGTCAACCCAAACATTAGTCGATGCCTGGATACCAATCGCGTCGCCATTCTCAGCCAGGACTTTGGAGATTTTCAAGTTCTGGATGATGACGTTTGTCGACTTGTCAACATACAAACCGATACCAGTGAGGGAGGCGCTGGAATCGGTGCCGAGAATGGACTTGTTCGAGCCGATGTTGACCTTGGCGGAGCCAGTGATCGCGCCCTTGATGTAGATGACCTTAGGAGTCGTGTCCGTCTTTTTGCCGACAGCAGCGGTGAACTCAGCCAAGGACGCTACCGTGGTGGTGGTACCACCTTTACCACCCGTGGTGCCGCCATTCTGAGAAGCGTAGCCAACGGGAGATCCTAGCTGAGCAGCAGCGAATGGGAAGAGAAGTGTAAGACTGGTAAAGATTGCGTTCTTCATTTTGCCGATGGAATGAGAGGGTTTGTAGTAGATACAACTACAACAAGCGTAGATACTCGGCTCTTTTAATGTTTCACACAAGCTCATGGAGTCTCTTGGCCACTCCAGATAAAGCGTGATCTAAGCAACAATGGCGAAGCTTGTTAATGCATCGGATCCCAACTTATCGGCGGAGCAACTTACTCCACCAACAGGGCCTGCCTTCCCCGCACACAAGAAATGCATAGCTAATTCTGGCAATTAAAGAACAACACTTTGTATACAACGCTGCGCTAGAGCAGATTATAGTGACGCAAAGCTAACGAGATACGAGCATTCAAGGTGGAGCGCAATGACAGCACGCATACCCAGTTCAATGGTTCGGCTTGCCAGGTGACCATCAGCGGGTAGGCTAATTAGCCGAATCCGAAACATCTAGTGTATTTGTATCGTGTTTTAGGTAGGTTGTAGATTGAACATCAATCAATCTGGTAAGATGAGCAACATCAAGTTTTTCCGATTGGCGCTGAAATTGTGGCCGGTCGGTTGTTCGATGTGTCTCAGCTACGTAGGAGCGGACATGAACTTACCTATGTAGATGCCCGCACACCAGCCTCAAATCCGCATTCTGCTTGCACAACCACCACTATCAATTCTCCCAACCTGTTGGGTGCAGCAAGATACCCAGAGTAGACGGGAGCCGGACTAGACGAGCGCTTCGAGACCAGCGGCATCCCATCGGCTCGATCGCGATCATCACAAGGCAGAGTGACAGTAGCCTATCCGAGCGCGACTTCGAAACTAAGCCCTCAAATTCCTTTGAGAGTCATTCAGCCAAAGGCGCTCCGCCAGTTCGAATACCGCTCGATCGGAAGTGATGTACTGCACGTGACATACATTTTCTCGCATGGTGGGGAAACGTCAGCATGATCGAATTTTCCGGTGTCCAACGACATAAGAACCTAGCGATTTAATTGTTTTGGTAAGGAGATCGATTGGGTGACGGGGTTTCAAGGAGATTGCTTTGCGCTGTTCACGTTCATCATAAAACGTCGAACCCTGCAGGATGCCTATCGATCTTGCCATTGAGTCTATTTAGAGATATCGCTATTTGCATAAAACCACCAGTTTATTCCCGCATTCCGCCATTCGTGAATAGACCGAACAGTCTGTTGGCTAATACCTTGCAATTGGCTACGGCATTGTAACTGCACTGCGCGTAAGCACTTCTTACTTTGATCTGTAGGTACCGTAATGTTTCTGCGGTCAAATACGTACCGGAAATACTACCCAACCTAATTGTCAGGCCCGGCGAATATGCTTACGAAGTCTAGTTAAAAGGCGACAAGTCCGCCTGTTCAGCCCACGACTCAACTGTTAGAGGCTTGCGAGCGAGGTATTTGTGTGACCAGTACAAGTCTTCGTCACCCCAGTCTATTTTTTTGTCAGGCATAGATACTGTACGGTTCACATCATCTACTCACAGCCGACGGCGAAGGTGTACTCCCACGACTCAATCAAATCATCAGTCAGGAAAGAAGGTGTTCCAGGTGGAAAGTTGGCTAAGAATACTTCCGGGGTAAGCGACTGGAAGTGAACATCCTTGTCCGTCTCTGAATTTTGCGTTAGAAGGCGTTGCATAGTCTTGAAAGCCAGAAGAACCTACTCTTTGACAAAAGCTCGCATAAGGCCTGCAGTTTCATGTCCGAGCCGCAAGCAATTATTGGACGGGCGTCCCTCCTCAATTCCTCGTTCTCGATGGTACCGCGCACCCACAGGCCGTAGTCTGCATTTATATCAATGATGGGAATCGTCTTTCGATTTACGAGCTCGTCAGTGACTGGAAAAGCCACGACGTATGAACCGTCCTCCGTCTTTTGAAAAAAGCTCAAGGCATTACCAGGGATGAAACCAGACGTGAAAAATGCAGGTTGGATAGTCTTGTACTCGAAGGAAGATGATGCCTTAGAGCGCCCGTAGTCATCAACGGTGGCCTTCGATTCGACTGTGGGAAAAATTAGTCAATACTAGACCGCTCATGAGGAAAGAGATGTATGACATACAGTGGAATATCTTCGTGTACTTGCCGTCGCTGATCTTCGACGGGCTAGGGAGTCCAGAGTAGATGAAGAGTTGGACCTTTGCTTCGAGGGCTGCATCGACCATAGCTTTGCCTTCTACCGTCTCCCGTTGGGCATCGAGGTGCTCCCAGAAGTTCGTTACAGACTGTGTTCCGTCAGCGCGAACATACTGCGGATGCACCGGAAAGTTTCACAAAGACGACACTGGCACCAGTGAAAGCCTTGACAATGGTCTCGTAATTGTCCGGCTTGATGTCGACTTCGAATATGTCAACACCCTTAGCCGCGATCTCTACAGCCTTTGGCTTGGAGGCATCCCTAGTAAGAGCACGAATGCGGTAGCTCTTGTCTGACTCTGCTAGATGCTTGAGAACGCTCCCACCCTGGTTGCCCGTGGTGCCGACGATGACGACGAGAGGAGCCGAGGATGAAGTGCTAATAGTCATTTTGATGATTCGAAAAGAGGTAGCAGGAAAATTTGTTGATGACAATGCAAATTAAGCTTGTGGGCAGTTGATACTTATAGTCATATTCTTCGGCAAGACCACGGGCCAGGTGCACTCGGCTCAGCACTTCAGCCCCGCTGCCGCAACCAATCCGGACGAAATTCAGGTTGTGACCTGAACATGCAAGAGCAAATGCTCTTGGTCTTGACCAAACCCAGGAGACACTCAACGGACAAGGTGATCGACTAGTCCTGTTCGGGCATGCCCATTCGCCAAGACTAACTTGTGGGTAACTTAAACTTTAGCGGCCCTGTCCAGTATTCCCGCCGTAGCTATGTAGGTAAGTGAATTTAGGCTCTTGGCGAATCGACCCCCCTCTGAATAGTTAGTCCTTAATAACGTGCTCTTATAGAACTTGAGGTTGGTACGCAATGATTTGCTTTCTGCGCTTGAAACAGTTAAGCCTTATCTTTCTATAGTCGGTACATTTTGCTCTCGTAAGCTTAGAATAACTAATCATCACCTAAGTAATACGTGCGATACAAATCTAACAGCTACGGAATCTTTCCACGACTCAGAAGAACAACGCTTCTTCTTCTTTGCAATTAGGACTTTTGATACACAACCAGGACTTTCGCTACATCTCTGCGGCAACTTAGCTGAGGAGACAGAGCATACAGAGCCCACAGATTGCATGTATTTGAGGTGTTTGACTCGTTCCTCCTTATGTGACTACACTAGAATGTCAATACCAGACAAGGACGTAGATGCCCCCCAAGGGAACATTCAGACTGTACAAGTATCAACAGTGAAGAGCTACATTTTGGGATTATACCAGTAACAGTCAGGTCCCTTGTTATGGGATGTAGAAGCACAGGCATCTTTATCGCGGAAGTGAGCTTCTTTCGAGTTTCTCGAAGTCAGCAGTGCAAGCTGGGGTCGCGGCCGACGCTGCATCGCACAAACCGTACAATACCCGTTCGGGCAAAAAGGTCTTGAATAATTGAGTTTGTTGGGCAGGACAGCTTTTCCTAGAGGTATCTCTACATAGATCGATACCACGGCGCGGTATCAAGACCCAGGACTCTGGGGGCAACCAGATCAATTTGACGGATTACGCTTTGCTAGGCTGGCTGAACAGTATACAAAGAAGGGTCGCCATCATTTTGTAGCCTCAAAAGCAGACTATGTCTTCTGGGGCCAGGACAAGCATGCTTATCCAGGTAAGTGGCCAGCAAAGGCTGACCAGTGTTGATCAATTGCTTCTATGCCGTTTTTTCGCTGCAAACGAGATCAAAACACTCCTCGCAATGATTGTATTGCGCTACAATACCTCTCTTGAGCACAGCTTAGGACGTCCAGCCGAGATCCACGTGGGATCATTTGTGAGCTATTTTTCCCTATTGTGGATCCATCCCTTAGTAACACCCATAGATCAATCCGAAGTTTACAGCTAGAATTGATCTAACAGAGGTGTAGATACTTAGGAAGGTTTTACATCAAGAACAAAAGACTCCGGTGCAATCTAATCTAGGGGAAAGTTGTTTTGCTGCCTGTGTTGGCAATTGTTGGCTACCGTGTCTGTGCACCCCTGTGCACGACTGCAACCCCTATAGGTATTCACTACCTTTACTAGTATCGGGAATAGGTCCGTAGTCACAAGTATCAATTAAGATTATTATGTATTCATGTTCAACCGTCTATAAAGCTTACGACTTTAGCACTGTAGCTAAGGATTTCGCGTGGTGTTGCAGCCGCTGAGAGCAGCGATCGATGGAGTTACATGGAAGATGACGGGTTAGAATACTAAATTTCAGCAGATTGTATGTGGTGTGCGAGAGTATTTTCATATGTAGATGTGGATTTGACACTCCCAACGACATGATCGCAGATATTTGTGGTCCACGCTCAAGTGCACCAACAACCCTGTAGTCAAACATCAAGTTTAAACTATGACTTGGTCTGGAAGCTCATCAGTCTCTCTTGGAAGGACCTTGTTTGCCTCCTTCCACTTCATGAACTCCGGGCTGTATAAGGTAGGAGCGTATACTCCATTGATCTTCCAGAGTAGAAGCTCAGTTTCGTCAACATGGTATTCCCAGTCATATCCTTTCTCTGCAATGTGCGGAGCCAGCGCGGCGTCGATTTGGCTTGTCCAATATGCGTAGTTCTGGCGGTCCAATGGCATCTTGCCCGCGATTTGATCAACGGTGATTCGTACAAATGGCTTGTTTGTCTCTTCCCCTCCGACATAGAGTCCATCGGCCGGCGTCGGGACAAATGTGACTACAACGTAGAACTTCGGGATCTTGATGACATCCTCGTGAAGTTTGGTGATAGAGGCAGCTAGAGCCTTTTTGGATGCTGCATCCTTGAAGATGGAGTCCGTGTGATATACGACCCAGAAAGGCATGGTGATAATTGCTGCTTTCAATGCGAAGTCGGAGTAGAGAGTCTGCTTGTAAGGTGTGTGAAAAACAATGCTGTGCGGTTGTGTAATTAGAATCAGTGAGAAGGACTATAATCATCTTTTATACTGAACAGCACATGGCTCAAAACTTGCGTATTCGTATATGTGATGAGGCCAGTGCTGGGTTAGCCAGTCCTACATCGGTACCGGAGACTACGGCTTCCGATCTTGATTGATTACTTATCAATCTACCAGCGCTCTTGTGAGACCAGAGACTACGGATTCCGATCTTCATCGATTACTCATTAATCTATCAGCGCTCTTGTGTGACCAGAACCTATTGTCATCGCTGCCTGCGCGAGACTGAACATGGTTCTGCGGAGGGGGTGACACCCTTAGAGGGAGTGGAACTACGAAATGGCTGAATGTCAACACGAGAGTCTCTTAAGCATGATGTAATTCAATTGCAGGGGTAGGGTTGTCAAGTCAGCTTGCTTTGAAACGCAATCCGACGATTGAAAATCATGTTCACAGTTGGACTCCGATCAGAGTACATGAAGCCTCGTCATAAAAGAAGATTGCTGTCTCGTATCATGAGCTCATACCACTCAGTACCAAATGTTAAGAACTACTTCTAATTCACACTGTCAAATTCTCCTTTGTGTCTAACCAACGGTGCAGCCACCCAACCTCACGCTCTCAGCGTACATCTCGTACGTATCGGCATTCGCAGCAGCTTGAGTCGCGCTCAGCTTTTGCGCCGCAACATATCCATATCCATAATCTCCAGTACCGTACAAGTGAGTCATCTCATGCAAGATACTACCCGCCTTGTCATAGTCGTCATTGGCGCACCCAGATGCAAGCTCTGGGAAATCCCAAAAACCGTTGTTTGGGCACGGAACGATAACGTTCGCGCTGGGGACGGTATAGAGGAGGGCGTCACCGCCAGAACAGTCCCCGTAAGTATCAGAGCAAGAGATCTTAGGCGAGGTGGTCTGTACGTTCTTGACGTCGGTGTAGATGGTCTGAACTTTGGACTTGACCGAGGTTGACTTGAACCAGGTGGTGAAGTAGTCGGCGCCAGAACCAGCAGCGGTGTAAGCAGCGCCGGCCATGGAAATGGCGTCCGAGACGCTGGTTTTCAGGGTAGATGTTTGGGACGTCGAGCATGAAGAGTAGGTGATGGCGCGCTTTTGAATGCGAGAGTTAGAGGGCTCTGAGCGCTTGTGCGAAATGTGTTGCCTAGGAGTCTCTCGTAAGTACTTTGTTTTGCCACATTATTGGCGCGATTACATACTCAGCTGCAACACTCTGGTCTGGAGTAACATCGACTGAGCTGGTTGTAATATCCGCACAGACGGAGAGACCTTCGAGGGAAACAGGAACCTCTTCTCCCGTAGCGTAACGGAAACCCTGCACGGCGGACACTTTGGCGTGTTTAACATCCTTGAGTTTATAGCTTTTAGCTGCATTGACGGCTACTATGACCGTCTCTCCAGCCGAGATTTTCTGGAAATTGTCGGCACCAAGACCAGTCTTCTTGTAGTTGACAAAGACTCCTTCAAAGGGAAGGGCGTTGCCAGCTGGGGGTTTTGTGAGTAAGCGTGCCAGATCAAGTATGAGTGATCGTAAATTTGCTTACCTGCATCAGCTACCAATAGATCCTTGGTCGCGTGAGCACTGAAGACAGTGTTACCCTTGAAGACTTGGAGCGCTTCACTCCCAGTGTTGGTGATCTGGACGTTGACAACGTGACTAGTGGACCCCGCAATTGAGACCGACAGAGGGCAAGCAGCTGAAGCCGCACCGGCAAGAAGAACGACGGGAAGAGTGTTTTTAAGCATGTTGATCGGTGCTGGTAAAGAATCCTGCAATCAGGATGAATGCTGAAGCGACTGGCGTTGTTGGTAACGAGAGAGCGACTCGGCCATTGTTAAATACTGCCAATGCTCGATGTACGCAATCTTCGACACCATTTCAATCTGATAGGTACTGAGTGGATCAAATCTAGGGTATTACGGAGGATATCCTGCGATAAGCAGGTGTTCAAGCTATTCCAAGGCTTCTTGGTGAAGCTTGGTGGATCTTGGGTGAATGCTTCGGCTTGCCAAGCTGTCTTACGAACATCCTACAGATAATGGGCAATATAAATCCTGTGCAAGCGCGTTCTGGCCGGTTTTGACGATCCTCTAGTGCCGGATTTGTTGTCATGACCGCAACGCTATCTGAGGGTCCTTCCGGAACTAGGCGGGTGCCTCATGATCCTATGTTTTGCGCTACATCTCTCAAGGAAGGTTCTCGGCAATCAGCCCAGATTAGGACTGACGAAACTCTGGGGTTGCAACATCAAATCTCTCCATCAATTTCAAGTGATGAGATCGACACCAAACCACGAAGATGAATGCAACCTGCTCAGCATTGACTACCATTCGCGCAGCCTCGCTCGTGACTCTCTCGTGCCCGGGATAATACCTAGCGCATCGGCAGTCGCCAGCGCATCTCTATCATCCATCAAGCGACACGGTATTTAACCTCAATGCGGCATCGCAAACCAACAGACCTGCCCATATCTGCTACATGGTTGCATGTGAGCATAGCATAATCAACACGCGTGTCTCTGAATGAGCCGATTGGCTGTGGGGTGTTAAGTTTCCGCACTCGACGCTTGTGTGGATCACCGATCTTTGAATGACAGCTGGCGCACATCAGTTCCCAAAGATGGTGGGTAGCATAAGACGTTGCAACGTCTCCAAGCTTTGTTTGCGATTTTCTAGCTCTCGTACGATCTCGTCTTCCATATTGCAAATGACACTAGGTAAGCACCACCATTAGCGGATGCACAGAGAGGGAACCCTAACAGCTGTAGAGACGACTCTTTTTTGCCGCTTGCATTGATCTCTCTAACAGTACTGCAACCCTCTTAGCGATCTTGAGCAAAAAAATAATCCTTCACTTTCGCTTACGCCGAGTCCGAAGAGGGGAACGACTGGCATGGAAATTAGATAGACTGACTGGATGATAGTTTGGGTTGCTGAAGAGCATCCTACGTGATTCTGAACAGCACAGGCATCGACTTAGTCCTCACAATGTGGCGGGTCTCGTTTGATGATTTGCAGGACAAATTAAAAGACAGTCCGCAGCGGGCTTGCTGTCGCCACCAAGCTTCTTCGACTGACAGGGCATCTAAACCGCCTGAGCAACACAACATTCAGACACAGGTTAGCTGTTCAGATGGACCATAGGTTTGAGGACAATATTCTGGCACGACAAGACTAGTCGTCCATTTCAGTGACTAGATGTGCGAGCACATGCGAGATGCACAGCCTGGTGCAGCTGAAGACGCATATGTGGTTGATAAAAGATAGCTTATATATGCCCTACTAGCGTTTATGTTGAAGCTACGTCTAGACTTTACTAGGTGTAGGGATCGTTGCCGCTGAGTTGTCCCCTCTTTGATCCTTCTGGTCTTGCCCTTCGCTCTGGAAGCTCACAACGGCTGATATCAAGAGAGCACACTAATAACACTCGTCAAATTCCTAACATAGTACATGTGCTCGTGAAGGTACGAAGTTGCACTCGTGCAAGAAGGCTCAGGAGGCAGTACGAGTCATCTTGATATGTTCAAGACAAAGGCGAACTCGCACAGAACTCTCGTCACTATACTGCTTAGGCTACACTCGCGGTGGATTGGCGATGGTGCTGTGCCAAATCAAATCAAGTTGTTTCTTGAATCAGTTGGTATCATATCGGTCGCGGATCAGCCGACGATCTTAGGCTGCTTGCAAAAATGGAAACTAATCTTCACTATTGCGGGCGTTTTGGTGTCTTGAGTCTAATCTACGTTCACTGAATATGAGCGATTAACTCCAAATATCTGGCCGGTCAACAAAATGCAGCACAAACCCCAGTATCTGTAAGATGCTGCATTAGCATAATTGTGCATTATTGCTTGTTTCACTCAGAGCTTGCGGCTGGGCCCCTTTGTAGACGCAAAGACTCCGTAAATCTGCTTTATAAGCAGCTACAAAGTAGCGATGCCATCTGGTCGAGCGTAAATCCAACTGTGTGACCCGGACGACAAGTGAACGCACGGATGAAATTGGCCCTAGTCATACAACATAAATATAGCGGCTCATAGGCTCAATACCTGCTATAGTACTCACCACCCAGTGAATATGGTCGATCTCATTTGAATGAACGCCAACAAAATCGTCGTAGCGAGACCGAGAACCCGAAAACTGGCGACTCGCTCTTGGAGAAATGGATTCATGCAGTGAACGGCATTAATGTAAGTCGATCGACCTGTATCAGACAGGGTTCTCCATTCTTTTCGGATTATTAGATCCAAGCATGAATTTGCGGCGACTAGTGTCGAACTGACCACAGCTACAAACGTGATGTAGTACAGCGGAGTGGATATCGAATGAAAAAGAAGGAGAGAATGGCACTCGACAAGGATTTTAGATGGAGGACGGTGGTACTGGAAAATCTGGCGTAAATGCAGTCTAATTTATACGTCTAGTAGCCTGCGTTTTGCAACTTTGGTCCGAGAGCTTCACATCACCTTTTGTACGACGCGATGCCGGGCCAACATCTTTGTCGGAGCACAGAGCCACTATAAGCTCTGGCTGGGAACAATTAGAGTATGGTACAAGGGCGACTATCTGGCACTTGTTGCTGAAGCCAAGCCGAGCGGACCGACTAAGATCTCAAAATAGCAAGACAATTTACAGTTCCACCGACTAGAATTTCTCAACCGGATTAAACCCACATCGTCGGCAAACGCCCACATGTGAGACCTGACCTACCAATTCTCACTCTGTCAACACACTTCCCGACGGAAAAGATATATACCACAGCAGGAGTTCATCATTGCTCGATTGTCACTAGAACTGGGGCTGCTTCGTTCTTATCTGCGTCTGATACTTATATCTGTCATCACTATTTTACAGCAGTTATATTGTGCTGAGTGACTAATGCGAAGAGAACATGTTTGTTCGAAGTGTACAGTTTCGTACGTCAATAGAAGCCATCTACGGCGACATGAGGCAACACGTCAGTACATCTCACTCCATGCGGTGAAAGCAATCGCTTATAGATCCCCGGTACAGATCAAGATACCCCTGAGTACGATTGTCCAGTTTGTACTAAAAGTTTTAGAAGACGGCAAGTCAACCCCCTCAAGCCTCTAATATTGGTTCTGATCTTTTAGCGACGTGGCTAGACGTCATACAACGCAGTGCGCTTTAAAGACCGGACAATCAGCGCCTGCACCATTGCAGGCCGGCAGAAAGAAGCGATCTTGCGATAATTGTGCTAGAACAAAGCTCGCCTGCGACCGAGACATGCCATGTCTTGTTTGTGAAGCGAATCGCGTCCCGTGCACTTACAATCGTCTGCGTCCCAAGCGGGAGCTTCCTCTGGCCGTGGAGGCGCAGCCAACTTTGGCGGGAGATATGAGAGCATCCAGCCCTGGATCAGTTTCCCTTAACTTTCATCTGAAGTTTTCTAATGTGGAAAATGCACGGAGATTCGACATACAACGAATTCTGGATGATGTCATGGGCTATTCTGATGATATCGTAGAGTACCGAGAACTGCACAGGTGCAGTGATTTTGATCTGTCTTCTGGACTAAAGACATGCTTGTCCGTCGAAAACTCGCTGCTCTTATCAGACCATCCTTCCGCCTGCTCAGCAGAGTCGCAATTACGAACCTCAGAACCTCACACCGCCCACCTACGGACCGAAGGCTGCCATCAGGGTCTCTCTAAAAAGATTGACGAGGCCGTCGCTCGATTCGTCTTCTCTCGAGAGTCCTATATTGGAACAGCAATGTGTACACGTGAAACACATCGGATACGAACTCTTTTCAACATCGACAATTTCACGGCATTTGTGGACACCTACTTTAAGTATTGGCATCCTCATCTACCGATTATATTAGTTCCAAGTTTCCATATTACGGAAGCTCAGGACACGCTACTCTTGGCGATCTTCATGGCGTGTTCGATTTGTGCAGCTCCAAACGACTCTCACTTCGAGGCAGATGAATACTTTGATATCATCGAAGAATATATCTTTGACTCCGACGTATTTCAAGATTCAGCTGCTGGATCTGTAGCTGGTATAGGATAAGGGAGATCGAGATGCTGCAGGCAGCGGTCATTCTAACGATGCTTCAACTAGACGCTCCGAGCCATCAAGCCCGGCACCGAGCGCGATCTGAGCGATTGCCAAACATGATACGTGCTCTACGCGCCTTGGGCTTGACTAATAGCGATGGTGATGGTCGTAATCCGAGCTTTGTTGCGGGCAACACAGGCTATGCGCTCGATATTACTGAGAATGTGGCAAGGTAAGCAACTCTGAGTAATGGCTCTCAATTCGCTTAATGGAGCTGATATCGTTATTGAAGACTAGTCTACTGTACGTACATCGTCGACTGTAAGCTGGCAGTCTTCTATAGAGCGTCTCCGCATCTGAACGTTGGGGAGATGACAGTCAAAATGCCTCTCAATCGCCACACATCAATAGTAGCGGAACCAGCTTCATTCGGTACGAATGCTTCCAAGACAGATACCATGTCTCTTGCTACTTGCATTAGGATTATTCTGCACGCTAGTGAAGATGAGTGGAACTTACAGGACTTTGTTGGCTTGTCGATGTTCGATTTATTTGTAATCATCTGCGGTGTGTATTCAGACCAGGTTTCATGAAAATGTTGGCGCTAATGCTAGAAAAAAGCTATACATTCGATAATATCCACAACAAGAGCCAGCCTAACGTTGATTAACAGTACACACGGTATTGAAACAGGATTGAGGAGATGGCGGAGCATATGGGACGCAAACTTAAACGTATTTACGGAAGAGAACAGTACACGAAGTTTCATGGCATGCGCTCCAGAAATTTGGTATTTGACAAAGATTGCATTGTATCATGGCACCTACGAAAAGCTGTGGAGCATATCCGGTGGTACTACAGATACTGAGGATATGACCATATTCCATAAGGTTTTGGTAGCACTAGGGTATACTCAGGGTGCTAAACAGTAGAATGCTAGGCCTTGCGAGCACGTGGTATCTTCTCCACTAAACAAGATAGTAAAACGAGCTGATTTATATTAGTTTCTATCTGTACTAACCTGCTTAGTTTTTCAGCTTTACCTTTCTTTCCTGCTGTACACCCTCAAGCATGCATATGCAAGATATACTTTGCGGCCATTGCAGTTCGAAGTTTATTCGTACAATCACATCCCTACCCCTTGTACAAGGAGGTAGCATCAACGGACGAGAATACGAAGTGCCCCACAGAGGTTTCCGGGGATTTCTGATAGGGCAGTAGCCACTTTTGACAGGTTTGATTGGTTGATATTGGATCAACATCTAGTCCGTATGCTCGTCCGTTCAGGCACCCCCTTGTAGGTTCGGCCCGGCCCGACCCTCTTTTTATGATTTGTTCGGTTCAGCGGCAAAAGCCGAACGTCCATAGTATGTAGTCTGGCTCCCGAACTATTGCTGCAAGGTAGCGATTAGCCTTAACTGGAGACGGAATACATCCTGATACCTTCTTCAGATACCGCCCTGCCCAGTGCCCCCGACCATGAGGTCTGGGACTACTATGGTATATAGAGTTTAGGACCTCTCTATACTTTACTTACGTACACAACATCTATCCAGCTGATGAGAGAACTCAATTGCCTAAATCTATAGATATAACAGTGTACAATATTAACGTGGGGGAAGGATTGCGTATACTAACAAGCACTGATAGACTGAACCCGTTGAGTTCGAGCAACATTCTCTGCCATTTTGACACGGAGTGTAAACTTACGGCCCCTATACTTACCGCAGCACACAAACAAGCCCGACGAGCAAGCCCTGCGGTAATTTGTATTGCCAATATCCCAAAATCAATAAACAGTCTCACAGGTCTCACTGAGACAAACACGACCCAAAATGAACCTATTCCAGTTGAGGCCAGCAAGGACCACGAAAGGGATCTAGTACAGAACAGAAGAACCTAGCGACTATAAACCTAACGGTTATCTTTGATCACTACACATCAATGGCGCCTAATACCATGTTTTGCTATACATGGCGGCCTTTCTTAATGTTTAAACCTGTATAGTCACTCATGACGACGCTTTGCAATTCCTCTAATTATTGATCCACTTAAATAAATAGCTGTCTAGCAGTAGTTTAATGCATTCTCTGCCCAATTGAGCTCCAAAACGTGCTACAATAGTCCTGGGATAAGTCACAGCGTCACTTCAATAATATTAGCATCCATGCCAAGCACAACGCAGCTAAGACTAATTATAATCAACTTATGAACTCTCGTATTGGCATCCGAGCCATCCCGCAATAATCGGACCATCAGCCTTCTCTTCGTCAATTGCTAGAACAGTTACTATATATATAATGAAGGGGATGCCACAGTGTTAAACTTCATCACAATCGTTTTGCCTCGACTCAACCAACTCCAAACTCGCCGTTGTACCCAATCCAAGAGACCTTGACGATTCAAGCACCATGGTCCATATTCCAAGTATGATTGTGAAGAGCTGGATACTCATAGCCGGTGTCACCCAGGCTGCACCAGCAGGGCTATCAGGTTTGAGTTTGCGGCAAGATGCGGAGCCCGCGTCCTGCACCGACGAGGTTCGCCTGATACGACGAGAGTGGTTTGTTCCCCCTCTGGATCTTGTGCTTGCAACGTTTCACTGATAATGTCTTAGGGGGGACATCTCTTCTGAAGAACGCCTGGCTTTCATTAGCAGCGTTCAGTGTCTTATGGAGCTCCCATCGCGTATTCCTGAAGGCCTTGCACCGGGGTCTCGAAGTAACTACGACGACTTCATTGCAACGCACATTAATCGCACTCTCAACGTGCACACAAATGGGGTTTTTCCCACTTTTCACCGCGAGTTTATTTACATCTTCGAAAATGCTCTACGTACTGAGTGCGGCTATCAGTATGCTCTTCCGTATGTTGACTGGACAAAGTGGGCCAGTGATCTTGCTAGTTCACCGATCTTTGACGGCAGTGAGACATCGCTCGGCGGCAATGGGATCTTCGACGCGAATCGTACTGCTGCAATTATTCCAGGAACCACAACAACGCTAGAAAACGGCGATGGAGGAGGCTGTGTGGTAACCGGTCCTTTTGCTAATCTCACTCTATCTTTCCAAGTCTTTCCTCAGATTACGGACTTTGGCAACCTTCCAGTTCTCGAGGATCCTTTGGGTCACTACCCACACTGCTTGACCAGAGACCTGAACAATGCCATCGCAAGGGCTTCGTACTCAACTTCTAAGATCGACAACATCATCTCAGCTCCAGACTTCATCAACATGGTAACTGAACTCGATGCCTCTGGTGTCGACGGCAACAACGACATAGGTGTCCACGGCGGTGGTCACTACTCGGCTGGTCCGGATATGTGGGATTTCTGGGCTAGTCCATCTGACCCTACGTTTTGGTTGCACCATGGTTTTGTAGACAAGATCTATGCTGACTGGCAGTCTGGTGATCCTGACACACGTGTTAATGCAGAATCAGCCATTGCCGGGACAGATGCTCTCTTCAACGATGGATCAGGCACCGCCGCCACGCTCGACTATGTCATTGATATGGGCTTCCTAGCGAGGGGCAAGCCAATCAGAGACATTGTCGACATCTCAGGAGGGGACTACTGCTATAGGTATGAGTGAAGCTCGATGTGGATATCATACTAGTCTTGGAGATGACTCTACTTGGCTATCTTGGATTTGGGCTGCTGTAATGTGTATAGATACAATCTGATTTAAGTACCTCACGAGCTACCAATGGGACTCGGCCAATACTCACAAACACTGTCTTGCAACACTACAGTGCACTACAATAGCACAGACTCGCACGTATAAAACCTAGGTGGACTAAGTAGGATCTTGCTAAGAGCTTAGTCTCGAGGGCGTTGTGGGATAGCGGGAGTGTACTGAATCGGATTATAAGATAAGAACGAGAATATATAATAGCACGTAAGGGGAAAGAAATAGGAGAAGTTTAACTATATAATTGTCTAGAGAGTAGGTCTATAACTATCAATTACTCTTACTATTCTCCTATATCTTTCTCTCTCTCTCTCTCTCTCTCTCTCTCTCTCTCTCTCTCTCTCTCTCCCTCTCTCTTCTGCTATCTTAGAGGAACTTAACTATGTCTTCTTACCGATAGATTCACTCTTCTGGCATGCTCCCTTTGAGTAACTTACTCGCAGGTACGTAATCTACTACGTAATAAGTCAAAGAAGGGTGTGATGAGCACGGGCTAGATAAGTTGTGAAAATTAGAGACTTAGTTAGGGGGATGTACTAAACAAGGGGATGTACTATCCACTTGCAATGCAAGGGGATGTACTATCCAAGGGAAAGTACTATCTAAGGGAATTTACTATCTAAGGGGTTGCACTACGTGTGTGATTACGGTATGGAACTATTCCAAAGTATCTTACGCGTCGTTCTTCTAGCTTTGTGCGATGTGCCGTGCCTCTCTGTCGTGCTGCAACGTGTCGTCGCAAGCTACTCGCTATTCAGCTGGCCATAGCAGTTCCTCCCGGTGAACCAATTCTTTTGGTACAGCGGCTCTGATGTTGTTCTTCCGCACGTTCAGCAGGCGGCGTGATTCCGCTGGTGGTTGGTAATTGCCAAGAAGTCACATGATCGCTGATCTGGAGTATTGCTCCACCAGCATTCGTAAGACACGGACGAGACACTTGTTGGCGGCCCCGGTGATCATTTTAGTCAATTCGAAACACGCTTTGGATTTCTAAGGAAGTGCGGCAGTAATAGTAGGTCGGCACTCTTTGTCAGTCCGTCCTCAACAATCGTAGAAGGAGGAGGGCTAATTTAGTTACCATTTTTAATCGCTTCCACCTGCACAAGATCAAAGCAGTATACCTTTGAATCAAGTAGCACAACGACATCAATCATTGCTCAGTAGCTCTTCTACTGAGTTCCTTTACAAAGTGATCGCAAGAACAGCCCAGTATAGCGTAGTTCGGCAGCTTGGCCACGGACCGAGCCGGGTAAACCACTAATGAGATGATGAATCGTTGATGTACAACAATAAATCATTGATGTACAAGGATCAATCATTGATGTACAGCCTCTCTATATAAGAAGTCTTCAAATCAACAATCGTAAATATCATCAACCACTTCATTATCATCATTGCACAAACACTCAATACAGCAGATCGAAATCATGCGCTCCACCCTTCTTACCCTGGCACTTCTTACGGGACCAACCCTGACTCGCGCCCAAGGACAGACATCTAATGGGACATACGAACAAGAGACTCGCAGTCTTGATGAGATCTATCAGGCTGCGCTGGCTGAGGGTGGTGTCGTCACCCTCTGGCATGGTGGTGACGAGAAGAATCAGCAGGACTTCTTGAAGCAGGCATTTGAAGCGCGCTTTCCTAACATTACCCTAAACGTTACTGTTGATCTGTCAAAATACCACGACACCAACCTTGACGTACAGCTTGCTGCTAAGAATGTCTATGTTGACAGTGTTATCTTGCAGACAGTCCACGACTTTCCACGCTGGAAAGCAGAAGGTGCCTTACTTAACTACGCACCTAAAGACTTTGATAAGGTCTACCCTGTCTTTAAGGACCAAGATGCTGCGTATACAGGTCTCTTTGTCCTTGGTTGGTCTATTCAAAGTAATACCAACAAGACTGAGACAGTACCAACGTCTTACAACGACTTGACCAGGCCTGAGTTCAAGGATAAGCTGGTCCTTACCTATCCTAACGACGATGACGCGGTCCTCTGGCAGTTTGATCTTCTGTAAGCTGGATCTCGCATTTAATGTACTACACTCCTAACATTTGCACAGCCTGAAAGATCCTGCTTTTGGTCTTGAATGGTTCGACGCGCTGCTTGCGAACAATCCTCGCTGGGTCCGTGGTACCGCCACACCACAGACTCTCCTCAACGCAGCAAACAGCAGCAGCGTAGCCACCTTTACTGCGGGCCACTTCTTCCAGCCCCTGTCAGGCTACAGCAAAGTGCTGCCCACCGAAGGCACCTTTGTGACCTGGGCGCAGACAGGCGCTATCTTAAAAGACGCACCACATCCCGAGGGTGCTAAGCTGCTGCACAACTTCCTGCTCAGCGACGAGCAACAGGCGGGTCGTGGGTGGAGCATTAGGAGCGATCTGTCGGTGGTGGAGGAGGGTATCGAGCCAATCCTTGAGCAGCCTAACACGCGTGCAGCAGAGTGGGCAACGTGGATGGCTGATCGCGAGAATGTAGAGAGGCTGAAGTTCTTTTTTGAGCAAAGGATTGGTACCGCGCAAGGTCTGAGTCCCCTTGAGGATGATTTGTAAGCAGGGGTGACGTACAGCTACAGTTTAGTCGCAGGAGGCTGTGTGTATTATGACTGATACTGTAGCTAGCCGAAAAGTGCGCCTGAACCGCCGATGAGTTGCCGAATTACCTCGGTGACTAGCCGGCGGTTCTCAGGCGTAGTACATATCTCTTCCTTCGCCGCGATCTTCTTACAGCGTGCACTCCCAGCTGATTGACAACTCAAAAGTGCCACGCCATTGATCCACACTGTTTACATCAGTACCTACCTTGTGCTGATCTCACTAAGACCTCGCGTTCGGTCACCTTCACGTGCGCCAATGATGTGTCGCAGGTCATGACAATATCGATACTACAACCCGCGTCACCGACTCTGACAACTTGAGCGTGTTAAATACGCACCAAAGGAAATCAGATGTCCTCTGTACTGGAAGTTGTTCTGCTGACACATCCTTTCTTCTCTGGCTTGGCGTGCCATCCAATCGGAGTGACACGCGTGTACAAGAAAGTCCGTACGCAGACCATGCCAACCTTGTTTTCTATTCCATCTCTCAGTATGAAATTCTGGAGCGGCAAGCATGCGATATCGTACAGCTCATCTAGAACGCTTTCGATACTCTGCCGGGGTAAGATCGTCACCTGTTTGAATGAGTAATCAAGCTGTTATAGGCGAGAGGCTAAGTCGCGAAGAGCTTTTCAAATACACAAATGGTCGCTTCTTGGTCAGAGAGAAGGAATCATGCGACCAAAGATATCTGGAATTTGATTTGGACCAACTCTGCGCTGTAGCCGCCTCTGTCAGCAGTAACAAATCGCCTGTCCGCACAATCGAGAAGCTCGAAGGTGGCTTCAGCAAGGCATTAATAATGAGCAAAGAAGATGGTACGGAGGTCGTTGCTAAACTTCCCTTCTCTATTGCTGGCCCGTCCAGGTACCTAACAGCATCTGAAGCAGCCGTTCTGCAATACTGTAGGGCCTTCGCGTTTCACATCAAAAAGTTTGTGGCTGATTGATGCGTCAACAGTGCATAATCACACCCCAGTTCCGGTCCCTAAAGTCCTAGCATGGAACGCCGACTCCTCAAACCCAGTTGGCGCCGAATATATCATAATGGAAAAGGCTGCTGGCTGCCAACTAGTCAAAAAGTGGGGAGAGATGGAAGATCTAAGTCATTTCGAATTCATCAAAAACCTTTGCAAGATTGAAGCTGATCTAGCGGCAATTGCTTTCCCAGCAAACGGAAGTCTTTACCTCCGTGAGTCAATGAGGGCCGGCGACAAGTACAAACCTCTAGCGCCTGAGATAGACCCCTCTGGCTCTTTCTGCATCAGGACGTCTTGCGAGCGGTCATGGTTCGGCAAAGACGAAGCGGAATCTATACAGGCTCGCTTTGACCGAGGGCCATGTGAGTGAGACCTCACCAATTCCCTTGCCTAACTAATGTGTATACGTTATCAGGGCCCACTCTTCCTGCTTTTGGTATTGCGCTTGTCAACCGTGAGATTGCACGCATCGAACAAAACCCCAAAGTTGTACTCTATGGGCCACCACAAGGCTCTGTTGAGGAACAGATCTCCACCTTGAACACGGCCAAAGAGGTCTTTCTCAAGATGGACACAGACACTCTTCCTGGACGCTTGCCGTGGCCGACCTTGTGGTATACCGACCTACACATGGGAAACATTTACGTTTCTGAGAAGGAGCCTACCCAAATCGTCTCAATTATCGATTGGCAATCGATCGTGATCTCGCCTTTGTTCTATCAAGTTCGCTTCCCTGAACTCATAACCATTGGTGAGGACTACGAGCTTGGACCTGAGATACCAACGCTTCCGGAGAACATCGACGAAATGGACGACGATGATCAAGCAGTTCTAAGGTTCAAACACAAACAAGCAATGAAAGGCAAAGCTTATGAGGCTGCCAGCGGTTTCAAGAACAAAAATGTCTTCAAATCTATCCGCCTTCCTCCCCTTTCTCGACAACTCTTCCTTCGTTGCGGAGAAGCGTGGGAAGAGGGCATTGTACCTCTTCGAGTTTGCCTGATTGCCATAGCAGACGTATGGAAAGAAGCTGGGTTTACCGGCGACTGCCCGTACGAGTTCAGCAAGGGTGAGATTGAGCGGTATCAGCATGAATTCCAAAAATACCGGGATCACCACAAGATCTGTGAGCTCGCTCGGGAGTATCTTGGTACTGATACCGACGGCTGGATTGCCCCTGATGATGACTTCAACGAGAAGCAGCAACGAAACAAGGAACTCCTTGACATTTGCATGGCTCATTGTGCAGAGTATGGTAAATCGACCGAAGAAATGCGGAAAATATGGCCATACTTATAAGGGTCTGGGTGTCGACCATTCAACTTGCAATAACGTACCACCGCGTGCGCCAAAGATCCCACGCCGACAGGAGTGACTATAAGATCTGCGTTGAGGTTCTAATCATTCAGCTGCTCTTCAATCTCCGACAGCAGGGTCGCGTAGCCCTCAACCATCCAGCAGGGCATGTCTTCATATCCTTCGAATGCGGTATCTTGAACGAAGACTCCTCCTGCGTGGCTAGATACTCGGTCCAAGCCTCTCCGACTGCACCAGCGTAGCTGTGCTCCAAGACTGTTTCTTTCGCGCCTTTGGAAGAGATAAGGACAATATAGGGGACGTGACTGCGGGCCTCAATCCCAATGACTCTACCCATAGCAGCGAGAGCACGTCGCTAGTTGCCTGTACTTGCTGTGACTAATTCAATGCCTGCGTTTTATGCAGCTTCCGCGGACAACCTCAGAGGTAAATTAATTATTGTATTGTACGATGCTAGTCTTGGCCACGATGACGCGGCAGAATCCCTAAAATGCTCCGAGGATCCTAAATGCGGGGAGGCTAGGCCATTTGCTCTCATCTTTGACGAACACGGATCTAACGCCAAGTTCTGACGCGATGCCCTCTAAAGAGACGAAGGGTGTTCGTGCGTAGTTTGCTAGCTGCTTGTGAAATCCTCAGCAAGGGTGCTGTCGACTCGGGTCGGGGTTTCTCTGCTATTGGAGAAAATTGGCAGCGGGGAGTGGGTTATCACGAAAGTATTGCTGCTTTGCGCTTTATCTAGCCTAAGCTGACAATACCCGGGCATGACTATTCCCTCTTCAGACGTTTGCGCCAACGAATGCCTCTAGCATATTGTTCTCCAGTTGCTGCCCCAACCCACAATCCTTGTGACCAGGAAGACTGCAAAAGCTGCAAGATACAAGCCGCCAGCGAACACAATCAAGCCTGTGTAATTTCCTCCGCCGGCTTCGAGTACAGCACCGGCCGCGGGAATGCCGATAAGAGCCGCGAAACTCGCGATCGAAAAGGTCGTTCCGTTCCTCTTGCCGTAGTCCTCAATCTTGCAGACTGCGCCCACACAGACAGGGGTCAAAGATATACCGGTGCCAGACCAAAAACCGAAGACGATGGCGAAAGCAGTGATAGCTGCCTCGTTCCGTGCGGCTGTGAGCCACAAGGCAAAGATGAGCGTGGCGCATGTCAGTGATGTGGCGAGCATGGTGTTGAATGTGCCGAAGCGGTCTGCGACATAACCAGGCAGTGCACGTCCTGGAATGGCGCCGACATTGAGAAGGGCGCTGATGAGATAGGCCTTTTGTTGGTCCACGCCAGAGTGAATGGCGTACAGGGAGATGAAAGAATACGGGACGAAAACGGAAAACTCAATAAGGAACACCGCAAGTGTGGTCAGAGCGTACTTGGGGTCCTTGAGCGCTGCGAGGTCGATGGAAGCACCCGCGTGCTCGTTATGTGGCAGTCTTTTCTTAAGCAGGAGGCAAGCGATGATGCACATGAAGAGACAGACAAATCCGACGATGCGCATTGTCCACGGGAAGCCGATGATGGGTGCGAGATAGAGGATCAGCAGCGGGAAAACGACGCCTCCCACGCCCCCGGCTGTACAGGCAATACCAATCGCAAGAGCTCGACGCTTGTAGAACCAGTGGCCGACGGCAGACACTGCAGGTGTAAACAGCAGGCAGGCGGAAGACCCGCCGAGAACGCCAAAAGACAACAGCAATTGATAGTACTCTAAGAAGCGGATTAGCTTGATCGTTCGTCCTGCGTCCTGAGATACCTACCAGTCGACACGCTCATACACATTATGGCTGCAACAATGCCGATACTACCCGGTACAATCAGGTATCGAATGTCGTGGGCATCAAAGATTGGTCCTACAGGTACATGTCAGCGCTGATACTTGAAGTTGATATTAGTCGATCTACTCACCAACCTGCGCACCGCCAATGTACAAGAAGAAACAATATGCACTGAAAATCCAGCCAATGGTCGACTCAGAGTACCCATGAAGCTGGTTCTCGGATACCCAGGCTTGCAGAACACCAACGGTATTGAGCAGGCCCATGGAGGGCACCATGGCACAGAATGCACCGAGCACCACTGACCACGCCGTGGCTCCCCCTTCGGGATACTCAGAGTCGTCGTCGCTGCTGTACCGCAGAGACTCTGCCTGGCTGAGATTCGCCGCGCCATGGGGCTTGAGTTCGACAGTCGCTGGAGCAGCCATGCCGGACGCAATTGTGTCTGCCGGAGGCGGCGTCGTAGACAGCATGGTGCAAGACCTGGGCGGTGAAGTATATACGGGCGCTGAGAGGTGTAGTCGACCAAACTCTATCAAAACATAGATTCAAATTGAGGTAAGAGACAAAGTCATTCAATCATTTTCTACGAGACTCAATCGCAGCAGTCTCCAAGCAGTATGATCTTTTCCGAGGTTTTCATAGGGGTCCCTGCGTCGAGTCATGTCGCTGTGGACCGCGGACCTCCCCGACGGAAGATGGCTTTGTCCAATGAAGGCGGGGTTAGGCCACAGGCGCTTTTGCGTGGAGCTCTAAATTTCCTTCCATTACGTTTTTACAGAAAATTTCGTAATGTTGTTTGGATCCTTGGCGGCCGTTGCGCGAGCTTGTCTCTGATTAGGCAGGAGCGAAGATTTCGACTTGAGCAGCTGGTGTAAGCAGGAGCCGTGCCTGCTCGCGGGGAATCTTGGCGTACACATGTTATTATGGGGTCATTTTGGTAGATGACAGCGAATTTGTGTATGTATCGTGGTTGCACAGAATGAAATTGGAGTCCCGGCGTGGCGAGAAGCCGCGGGTTTGCACCTTTCTCTCATTGGCCGACGAGCTTAGTCAGCCCTGTTACTCTCTTTCCCTTCGCCGTGAAAGCTGTAGACCAGAGATCAAGCTATACTCGAAGTCCCATGGTTTGGACACAGAGCATGCAAAACAGACGTACCGGGTCAAGGAACTGTTTGACCCTCTTCGCCGACATCCTCGTCCAAATGCAACACCTTCATCGACACTGCCTCTGACATGCTACAGTCACGCCCTCCCGTGATATGCGCCATTGGCTATGGCATCTCATCAGATCTAGCAGGCATTGAGATGATATCTTGCCGACTGAAATCTCGTCTATCCTTGGCACAAAGACACTTCCAACACCTCATCTCCAAACTTCATCAGTACATCGTCACCTATGCTGATGAGCCATCAGTACGGCAACACAGAAGCACCTGAGGTCAGCCCTTTCATCCATCTGGTTCAATCCGCCAACAATCCGGCCCTACACAATGCACACTCCAGTCGTGTTGATCTAGCTGCAGGTCGAGGGCACACTGAAGCAGTCTGGAACCATACCGCAAAGAAACATCAACCTTGGGTCAAGCGAGCGGCGGTCCCCTCGTATAACAAGGGCTTAATATTTACTACTCTATGTCTGCAAAGAATCCAGAAGCTGCGCGACAGATCAGCTTCGGCCTAGACCGTACCTGCACGCCTGCCAATATGGTCTACCTAAACTGCCATTTCTGCCTCGTGAGTCGTGAGAATCGGTCCGGTTCCTGATGATACACCCCAAACGTACTCTCGCTGCTCGCCTCGGAATGCGGTCCAATTCCTGGCCGCCAGTGTGCATTCCACAACAAAACATGCTACAAACCAACCCCTACTCAAGTCTTGGAGCTCCACCTCCTCTTCCAGACCCTCTCTTGCGCGTGCACAATCTCATCGCGACGTCACGAAATGAGGCTGTCGCTGCGTCGATCTAATCGTTGTCCTCTGCTGCTGAGGTTACTCAGCACAGCCGCTGTGTGTCTGCTCGGGCTGACCCCACCTGCGTCCAGCCGTCCGACAAGCCTTCTCGAGCGCGATGATGACTGGAATCCCATCAGACGGGTATCGGGTAGCGAGCCTGTACGCAGGGCATCCTTGGGAATAATCACAGTACGTTCAGGTGTGTCTAGGTAGCAGGCTGCGTCCGCGAACCGACGGCCAACGAGACGCCGCTCTTGTTCTGCGTACGTATTCTTGCTGTCTGTGATTGCTGCGTGCTGCATCCCGGGACAGGCTGACGTGCTTTGTAGCCGCCGAATAACTCGTCGGTGCCGGGGTATACATACGCAGGCTGCTATCCAGATCCGCTGCCCGCGGTGCCAGGCAGTGTGCCTCCGTACTTGTTGACCGATGGATTTTACACGTCGATGGCGGGGATGACGTGGGCCGCGTGTACTGCGTACTGCTCCAACTACCGCTACGCGGGTATCACGCTCGGCTACGCGTGCAGATGCGGCAACGCTTTGAATTTTGTTACAGCTACCGTGCCTGACAGCGGCTGTCAGACGGCATGCTCTGGGAACGCGCTGCAGGCGTGTGGCGCGAGTAGCCGGTCGGTGGTGTTTCTGAACTCCAACTATGGGAGCCCGCCGCCCGTTGCTGCTCTGGCTGTAGTACCGCCGTCAGTTGCTTCGACCTCGTCAGCGAAGGTGCAGATTGCTGCGCTGTCTGTACCGCAGCCAGTTGCCTCGACCTCGTCGGCGAACTTGCAGATCTTATCAGTCATCGAGATGATTGCTGCATCGCGCACATCGTCGTTGTCTTCTATTATCTCGACGGCGTCTTCGACTGCTGCGGCTGTGTTGGCTGCGCAGATACTATCTACCCAGATACTACCTACTGTTCCTGCCGTCTCCAGCGCCTCGATATCATCTCGTCCACCGTCGACTTCTCTGGTGGGTTCAACACGGTCGACTACTTCGTCAACGAATGCACTAGCGGAGTCATCGGACTCGTTCGGGACGTTCAACGCCCTAGGTTTTGGTCTACCAGCACTGCCGGTAGTTCCAGTAGTGTCAGTGCCAGTGGTGCCAGTGCCGGTAGTATCGGTGGTGTCAGCGGTGCCAGCAGCCCCAGCTTCTGTATCATCAGCGGCTAAGACAACATTGGCAAATGCTCTCCCCGCGCCGGCAACGACTGTACCAGCTCCTTCAGCAGTCGCCTTGGGGTCATCAGACCCGCTTGGTTCCTTCAACGCCCTCATGTTGGGTCAACCAGTACTACCGGTACTTCCCGTGGTGTCAGTGGTGCCAGCACCAGTAACAAGCACTCTCCCCGTGCCGGTAATCAGTCTACCAGCACTGCCGGCACTGCCAGTGGTATCATCACCCGCTCTTGCATCATCAGCAACCAGGGTATCAGTACCACTGACAAGTACTATCTCCGCACCATCGATCAATACACCGGCTCCTTCAGCGGTGGAAGTATCAGCATTAGACTCAATTGGTTCCTTCAATGCGCAAGGATTTGGTCTCCCAGCACTACAAGCATTGCCAACGGTGTCAGTGGTGCCAGTGGTGTCACCGCTGCCAGTAGTGTCAGCACCACCAGCTCTTCCACCATCAGTGGCCAAGGTATCGATACCATTGGCAAGCACTCTTGCCACGCTTGTCGTGAACACACTAGCCCCTTCAGCTGTGGATGTATCAGCATCAAACTCAATTGGTTTCTTCAACGCCCTAGCTTTTGGTCTTCCAGCACTGCCAGTCGGGTCCGCACCATCAGCTCTTGTACCGATACCGTTGACAAGCACTCTCCTCGCGCCAACAATCAACAATCCAGCCCCTTCAACAGCAAGGGTATCAGCATCAGACTTGTTCAATTCCTTGAGCGCCCTACCGGTTGGCCTCCCGGCAATATCAGCAGTACCAGCACTACCAGTACTACCAGTAGTGCCAGTACCATCAGCTCTTACATCACCAGCGTTCGCGATACCACCAGCAAGTGCCCTCCCAACCGCTGTCGCACTGCCGCTCATTAACGCGCCATCTCTGAGCCTTTCACCAGTCCCGGCCGGCCCCAGCCAAAGTAGCAGCCAGCAGCTGACGCCAGTCCTCACCGGCGCGGCTGTGAATCTCCCACCGCCCCAGAGCATCTTAAGCCCGAGCACCACCGCGCCGCCAGCCCTGCTCTCCAGCACGCCGAGTCCTGGATCCCAACCCACTGAGAGCCTGCTTCCACTTGCGGCAACCGCGCTGTCGTTTCCCGGCGGGCTCGCTGCAGCGCCCGTAGTGTCTGTGGTGTCTGTGGTGCCTGTGGTGCCTGTGGTGCCCGTGGTGCCTATAGTGCCTGTGGTGCCTGTGGTGCCTGTGGTGCCTGTAGTGCCTGTAGTCTCTCTACCCGCGCCCGCAGTGCCTGGAGTGCTCACAGCACCCGCAGTACCCACAGCACCCATCCCCGCACCCGCCCCAACCCCCTCATCCTCCGCGCTGCCCTGGCTCACGCCCCCGAACCTCTACACACCACCCCCGGTCTCGGTGCTCGCACTCGCGTCACCACTGGTATCCGCAGCACCCGTAGCCGGCGCAGCGCCAGTGTCGTCCGCGCTGCCCTGGCTGACGCCGCCGCGCCTGTACACGGCCGAGCCTGCGCCCGCGGTCTCGGTGCTCGCGCTCCCGGTTGCGTCGTCATCAGTACTAGCACCAGCACCAGTCACGGGCGCGGGCGCGGGCGGGCTCCCGTGGCTCGCGCAGGGTGTTACGGCGGCGCAGGTCACGGCGTTGAATCTCGGACCCGCGGCTTCGTCGGCCTCGCTGCTCGCGCCCTCGCTGCCCGCGCCCAGCGCGCCGCTGATCCCGCTCGTACCAGACTCCCCAGCGCTGCTCACTTCCAGCCTCCCACTTCCCCCACTGGCGCCAGACAGCACCCCAGCGCCAGCGCTCATCGCCTCAGGCACCACGCCCGGCCGCGTATACACATACACCCTCCTCTCCACAGGCGACGCGGTCATAGACAACGTACTCCTGTCCCCAGCCGCGGGGGTGCTGCAGGGAGTGTTGCTAGATGGAACGCGTGTTGGGATGGATGCGGCGGGGCTGTGGATCGGGGAGGGGGGGCTGCGGGTTGGGTATCCGGCGGAGTTTGTGGCGGTGGTGGGGGAATTGGGGTTGGGGGGTGTGCTGCCGCGGGCTGGGGGGTGATGGGTTGAGAGGGTATCTAGGGGGTGGGGAGTTAGGGTATATTGATTGTTGCAATCGACTGGCGCGTTGCGTGACGGCGATGGAACCTCCTCGTTGTGCGAATCCTGCATTGATTTCTCCGCCCCCGCATCCCCACGGCACACGACTCCCGCCCTCCACGCCCGCCCTACCTCCTCTCATACGCCGGTACCGCGCCCAACTCCACCACCCCGCCCACGCCCGCACCCCCAACGTCGCCCCCGAAATCCGCCCTATCCGGCGGCGGACTCCTAACCTCCTTCTCCCCATCCCACGCCACCCCCTCGGGCCCATCGCCCCACACCAAATACTGCACCGCGAGCCCGGCATCACACGCAGCCTGAAACACGCCACAGGCCTTGAACGCCCAGGGCACGGCCCCGGCCTCGCTGGCGAAGAAAAACCACATCTTGAAGCTGTCGCCCAGCACCCAGTTCGCAATCACCGAGGGCCGGAAGCCCTTGCAGCCGCGCCGCTGCCAGTTGGCGAGGAGCTGGGGTAGTGGCAGCGTGGCCTCGGTGGCGAGCGCGATCGCGCCGAGCAAGTCGGTGTACGGCAGGAACCAGCGCGTCGGGGACAGCACGAGGTGCAGTGCCAGCAGCGCCGCGGCGAGGTAGGTCACGAAGGCCCAGTAGGGGCGCGGGGCGCGCCACTGCCAGAAGTCGTAGGGGCGGCGGCGGGGCGCGGGCGCGCGGGCGAGCGCGAAGGGCGTGTGTGCGAGGGCCGGGTTGGGGCGGTGCGTCAGCGCGACGTGCAGCAGCAGGACTTGCACGGCGATGGTGAGCAGGGCCTGCACCAGCAGCGAGGTGCTGAAGTGCGCGCCGAACCAGTAGAAGATCCTGGTGAGTGTTAGAGAAGGGGGGGGGGGGGGGGGTGCGAGGGACAAAGCGGCGCACTTCAGGATGCTGGCGACCAGCATGATCAACGGAATGTCCAGCGAGAAGCCGGCCGAGCTGCGCGTCTTGTGGATCGAGTAGATCTGGTCCGCATAGCTGGTCACGGGGCTGGTCGCGATGAACAGCGGCGCGATGTGCGTGACGACGGCGTTGAGCCCGAACATGATAACCGTGCGAGGGCTGGCAGCGGAGGCGAGGCGAGGCGGCGGCGTAAGTGTCCGAGGGCTGGCAACGACACCTCAGTAGCGAACACGGGCTGCAGAAGACGGCGGACGCGACGCCGCCAGACGCGAGAAAAGGAGAATCTGCGTTCCGCGCCCGTCCGCCGCGTCCAGTCGCTCCCTAGCCCAGCCCAGCCCGACCCAGCAGCGATCGGCCGGCCTGCATTAGCTCCCGCAACCCTAACCTTATCGGCCTTATCTGCATCGCACCTCGTACCGCCATGCCATGCCGACAGTGCCCCACCACTCGCTGCCACCGCGCACCGCGCCGCACACCCCGTACACCCAACGCGCCCCTCCACCGCACTGCTCCCTCACGCAATGGCCCACACCGCCTTCTTCTACGGCACCCTCATCGCCCCGCCCGTCCTGCACCGCGTAATCTGGGGCTCCCCCACCCCGCCAACACCGACCCACGCGGCGCTCCTAACCACCCGCCCCGCGGTACTCCACGGCTACCAGCGGCGCCGCGTGCGGGGCGCGGATTACCCTGCTATTGTGCCTGCGGAGGGGGGCGAGGTGAGGGGGGTGTTGGTGGAAGGGTTGAGCGAGGGGGATGTGTGGCGGTTGGATGTGTTCGAGGGGGGGGAGTATGTGAGGCGGGTTGTGCGCGTCAGGGTTGAGGGGGGCGGGGTGGAGGGGGACGGTGTTGCAGCGAACGGGGGTGATCAGGATCAGGGGGGAGACAAGGGCGGCGCGGCGCAAGGACTCGCAGAAGACTCAGAAATCGGGGCAGAAGTAGAAGTCGACGCCGAGGTGTACGTCTGGATCGCCGGGCCGGAGCGGTTAGAGCCCCAGGAGTGGGATTTCAAGCACTTTGTGAGAGAGAAGATGGGCGCGTGGGTTGGGGGCGGGGAGGGCGCGGATGAGGGGTTCAAGGGTGCGTGATACTTGGTAATGTGGGGTAGGTTGTGCACGCTGACACGGTGTAGATGTTGATGAGGCTGTGGAGGCGCTGCGGCGGGCGTAGAGTGGAGTGCGGTTGTGCGAGCGGCGTCGATGGGTTTGTTGATGACAGCGTTACTGGATTCGTCACGGCTCGTTTAGAACGAACGGCGTTCATGTGTCTGTTAATTTTAGCGTTTCTAGGGCCGACAGAGCCCGCTTGAACGAGCAGCATCACATATCCATCAACAACCATCTCACTCGGCATATCACAATGTGCATCACAATGTATACGCCCCAAACCGCCCAGTACCTAGTCCCCCTACCCCTCCCCCCTCCCCCACCTCCGACAACTACCTCGCCCCATCCAGCGTCCGTCTCCCCGTGTACGCCGCCGTCGCCTGCCAATCCATCTCCTCCACGCCATCCGCAGGACTGCTGCGCCGCAGCTCCGGCGACTCGGGGATCACGGTCCCGTCGTCGTCGACGTCCATGGCCTGCGTGTCCGGGATCTCGTACACGGCGGGCGGGGAGTGCGGAGCGCCGGCGTGGGCGTTGTGCGCATTGGGCTGCGCGTCGGGAACATCGTTTCTCAGACCATGTACTCTGTTCGGCGACGACAGGAGCGACGCTTTCACGGCTTGCCGCATGTTTCGGCCTTCCTGCCACTCGTGCCCGACACCGTCCTGTATCGAGTCGTCGCGGTCGAGGCTGTGGTTGGGGGGCTTCGCGTGTCGAGCGGTGGTGTCTTCTTGCGAGCGTTCGAGATCGACCACCTCGCGTGGCACAACTGGTTTACGAGCGCTGTGCTGGCGCAGCACGTCGAGATCCTGCGAGTCGTCAAGCGTGATGGGGTCGTCGTGGCTGCCCGATCGCGTGCGACCCTGCACGGTGCTCGACGACGCCAGGAGCTCGGGTGGTTGCTGTGGGGACTCTGCTTGAGACTCCATGGCAGGTGTGCGGAGATACCCATCGCTTATTTCGTAGAATCCACGCTTCTGTACCGGGCTCGACAAATCTGTCACTTGTTGGAGTTGGCGCGGTGATCGATCGACACGCGTACCTGGGGGCTTGGTGCGCGGTGACTTGGAAGGGACACGAACCTCAGGACTCCTCGCTCGTCTCGTAGGTGACTGCTTCACTTTGATGGTGGCATTCGGAGATGATCCTACAGTCAACGGTTGAGAACTCTTGCTCTCCGCGCTGTCGGCAAGGCGTGGCTTGGCCTTTCCGGTCTGCACATTCGGAACGAATGGGGCTCCTAAAGAGGGTTTTATCGATTCGGGCCCAGGAGATTTAGGCGGGCTAGTCACTGGCTGTGCTTCTGCATGAGCAGCCTGTGGTGCGGGTGCCGGGGCTTCAGTGTGGACCTTACCAGGCTGCTGCACAGCGGTACTCTTTTGATCGACAGCTACGGGCGAATGCGACACATCATTCGCCGCCGCATGTCCTAACGTAGTTCCGGCCTTTGCAGCTTTCTTGGCCTTATGTACTTCCTTCTGTGCTTCCCTCTGTTCATCGTGGAGGCGGAATATGAGATTGCGTATGTCCGCACGCATCTTCGAAGCGTCCATGTCGGGCCAGTCCGTCTCGGAAGACATCTCGCCCTTCAGAAGCCTGCTCTTGAATACATCGGGATCCTCAAAGAACTTCTTAGCGTAGCCAAGCACGTAGAGACCGCAGTCGAAGATGTTGCCTTGTGTGGGAATCTGTGCACTCTTGGGGTAGTAGCCCTTGTTGTCGATCTCGACGTCCATGCCGCGCTTTTCCAGGCCCTCGACATGGAGCCACTCCCGCAAGGCGCGTGTTGCGTTGCTGTGGGTCGCACCCATGGAATCGAGAACCATGATGACAGGCTTCTCTGGGTCTCTCACAAACTTCGGTTTGGTGGTCTTCTTCTTTTGCACCTGTTTTGGCGGACGTGGGGCTAGACTTGATGTGATGTCCTCAACATGGACTTCGGGCGGCGCCGGTGCAGTCACATCCTCGCCCGTTTGTTCATTTACCTGCTCCTTCGTTTGCTGTTCACTCTCGTCGGTATTGTCTCTATCAATGAGGCTCAACCGTCTTTCTTCTTCGAAAAGATTCTCCTCGTCGTTAGAGACATCTTTGTCGGTAGGGGATTCGTGCGCGCCGAGGTCGTCTTGCTGTTCGCTACTCAGGTTGCTGTGCACATCCGGCGTGGCTCCAAGTGCAGGAGAACCGACATCTGCCTGTTTGGAGCCTTGCAACTCTGCTGTAGGCTGTTGTACGGCGAGTTTCCGCGCGATGTTAGAGACATTGCAGATGATTGCGAGATACCAGTGAAATCTAAACCAGTCAGCGTCTAGTCGTAGACTCAAACACTCAGCGTACTTCTCGTTGATGGGAATGACGATGTGGTCGTAGCTAAACACATCATCACGCCTTGTCCAGGATCTCACAGCATCGTAGTTGATCGCATCCCGCCCCTTGGTGTTCTTGGTGAGGGTATCGAAGAAGTATGTATTGAAGAAATACACCCGGTCAATTGACACCTTAAGTTGGTCATACAGATATCTGCGAGGAGTTAGAGGTGCAGCGTAGTAACGTTGATACCACATACAAAAGGTAGAAGTTGACCAGGCTATCGTTGAGATACTCCTCTTCGTCCAACTTGGGAAGGTCGTCGAAATTAACAGTACATCGTCGTCGCTTCAAAAAGCTTTCCTGGATATTGAAATCGAGATGACTAGACCAATTAGGACCTGTCAAGCCTTGAAGACGTATGACTTACCCCGGCCAACGTTTTCCTAAGCCTGTCGTTTCCGAGAACTTTTCGACTTCCCTGTGATCGTTGAAGGTATCCTCGAAGTTTGGAGCTGTTGCTCTTGTAGTTCTAATCGGACGCGCCTGGTTCTGTACGGTCGGCTTTCTGAGATCGTTGCCGTCTGACAGCACCGAACGAAGGGTATTGCATGATGAGTCCATCAGCGCACTCAAAAGGGGTGTTTTCGACTGCGGTTGCTGCCCTGGTGTTCGATCGCGTCGTACCTCCCGGCTCACCGTTAAAGTACCAATCCTGCCGTCGTTTCTCATCGGTCTCGCAAACATCCTTTTCATATATTCCCTATGACAGTTAGTTCCGATGGAAACACACTCGAGTGCTGACTTACTCGGTCCTTGTGATCCAGGCCGAGTCAGCCAATTCCGGGAGGATAATTTCGTCGCGAAACCGTTCGAGCTCATGAGCATGTTCGAATCCCAAGTCATAATAATAAGCATGACTCGGGTTGGCTGGACCTGTGAGGCGCACCCGCTGTACGTTATCTGTGATTGCCTTGTTGACGCTGTTGACGTCGAGCTCATCCAGGATCGTTTGGTCGCCGTCAACATCAGCGCGGCGGATCTCGAAGATTTTCGGCCTGTCAGAAAATTGGAGCGAGAGTTCTATTCCTTCAGTCACTGAGTCGTATGTCCGGATGTAGTTCAGCCTGTAGTGTTTGCCGGTAGCGCCCTTCCGCTGAGATATAGCCTTGGCGTGTTGTGGGTTCTTAGAAGACGACTGTCTACGCCCTGACTTTGTCGTATTAGGCTCTGCGAGCTCATCCTCACTGCCCTCAATAGGGTCGCCCTTCATCTCTAGCACGTGTCTCTCCGCAGGTCGGTGTTCACGCAGGTTCTTGTGCGAGCGTATTCCGGCAGATAGTAGTCCGACAGCTTCCCGATCGCGCGTTTCTGCGGTCGACTCGTTGATGCGCATCTTGTTCGCAGGGAAATGCCGTGATGTAGTCCCCTCAGTTGGGCGTTGCGACTGAACGTGGTTTGCTGATTGGTAGCTCTCGCGTCGCTCACGTGGTCTAGTGGTGGTCTGTCCCTCTTCATCGTTGATCGACACAACAGACTGGCCTCGAGACAGTTTCCCAACGCTGGTCGTCGGAACATTCGCTCCGTTACCATTTTGGCTCTCATCACTCACGTGGCTCTTTATGCGTCTACGGAATGGGGTAAAGAGTTTTTGGGTGCTCGTGAACTCACTCACGGACTCGGATGGAGGCCTCAGACCTGGCCTAGCTTGCCTGCTGTCTGTACTGTGAGGACTGCGCGATCTCGATATAGCCGAGCCGGGCCTCGGTGTGGATGCTGCCTGAGCCGGCTGTTGTCGCTCGTCGTCGCTGTCTTCAATCTCAACTGTGACCACGGGAGCTGCAGGCGCGTGCTCGGTCTTCCTACGTTTGGCTGGTGAGGTGTGCGATGCGCCGTGGACGAGATGACTGGGATTGCGTTCTAGGTACGCCTGCTGTCCACCGTGTCGCTGCTCGCCAATGCTCCGGCCGAGCTTGCCATACGTTTTCGGGTGCTTGCTGGTGTGCACGGGGTTGTTGCGGGGCGCAAAAGTACTGTCGTTGAGCGTGTTGATGGGGTGGAAGGCCCTCTCCGAAGTTGGCTGGGTCACGAGTCAGCGCAGTCTCTCACGTGGCCAGGTGCAGGCAGTTGGAGTAGCACCTTCTTTGTCATGGCGGGCGGGCCCTGGTAGCCGTTGGAGGGATCCGGTGCTCTTGTAGCGTCTGAGAGCTTCCTAGTCACATATCAGCCCTAGCTCTTGCCCAGCCCGCGTGTGATATGCAACTAGACCGAGGGGCAGGTTCGTGACTAACCGTTGCTGACTGCGGTATGGCTGGCGTTGGAGGCGTGGAGGCGTCGGTGCGGGGAGCTGGTCATGCTCGAAGATGGCGCTTGGGCGTGGACGTGGGTTCGCAGACGCGAGGTCGGTCGAGCTGTTCATGTCTGCGGGCTGGGGCGCTTCGGCGACGAAAGGGTAGGGCGGCAGCGCGCACGGCGACGGTTCATGGGCGGGCTGGTGGGACATGTTGTCAGTGAAGTTGGCGCCAGGCCGCAAGACGCTGCGGCGGGTGTTGGTCGCAAGGTCGCGTGCTGCGGGGCTGCGCGTACTTGATCTGCGTGCACTTCTGCAGTGCCGTCTCCAACTACGGCGCTCCAGAGTGTCTTGAGAAATTCTGTCATTGATACGCGACCGCGGCTGGCGTCTACGGGGTCATGGCTTGCAGTGAGTGCAGCAGTCTATCATGCGACAAGCAGAGCAGCGGGGCATGAAGCGCGAGCCTGCGCGGAGTGCACGTCGTGAGCTGCCGGCGACGTGAGGTGCGTTTGGCGCGCGCAAGCGAACGTCAGAGGTCGGGTCCATCTCAGTGTTGAGCGGAGATAGTGGGCTTAAGCAAGACGCTACCTAACTACACTACGGCAATTGGATGGACAACTTCACGTCTACAAGTCCGAATTTCACACAGCAGCATAATTGCAGTGATGCTCATGGCAATTCTTCGTCGTTTCGACTACAGTCCTCCGTGAGAACGCCAAGCTGCACGAGGCATCCACGCCTGCCGCCTGCGCACCCGGCTGTTGATGCTCAACAACAGCCATGTAGATAGAATACAGTATGCAGAAGTGAGAAAATAAACATGATGCCAACCGCTACATAGAGCACAATGCCCTTCCGGTCTCGGTACGCCGTGCTATTCGCCAGAATGAGTACAAAGTCGCCTCGAATGGTCATCCAGAAAAGTGAGACTTTGTCCAGAAAGTAGGCGACGCCGCGTCCCCTCGCTGCAACATTGGCCGTCGCTTGCCGCGCTGCCAGGAAATTCGTGACGTCGTAAATACAAAGCACCAGCACCTCGCCGCAGCCCTGTGAGGTGAGCGTCAAACGGCGCAAACGTTCAAAGTATGCCTCGAGCGTAGCATCAGGGTGCTCGGGCATACGGAGTCTTCAGAAGAGGGTAAAGATTCCAGATTGTTCGTGCACGACCAGACCTAGCAGTGGTCCAGGCAGCTGCTGTAGACAGCGCGGCAGATTTTCACCGTATGCTCCTGCACCGTCTCCGGCCACGAGCCGGTTTTGTGTGTAGGATCATGACTGAATCACTGCTGTGGTCGCCTCGTCATAAGACGCACCAGAACGTCCCACCACCAGCTAGCACACGCTCAGCATGGGCAAGGCGACAGCACTCGAAGCATGGATTAGGATCCAGCTGTGGATTTCTCCCGCTGGGTCTCATCCGACGATGTCACTCGACGCTTCTCGTGGTTCAGTTGGTTCTTCTCCTGGCGCGCCTGGTCGATAGCCGTGCGTTGCGCGATGCTGTCGTCGTGGCTGCGCCAGATGATTTGTGTGCCCTCAGGCAGGCCTAGAACGCGTTTGACGGTTTCCCTGTGCGACCGTTAGAGACCATCGCCCTGCGTTGTGCATGTCTGGCTTAAGCTTACCTGATTTTGATGTTGCGGCCGCCGTCGTTCTTCGTCCATATGCTGAAGACGTCCTCGCCGCTCCTCACACTCAGGACGAAGCCGCAAACCTCCTCGCCGGCCTCGTTGAACTGGTCGCCGATGCAAGCCATGAGCAGCTCTTCCCAGTAGCGATCTGCGACTCCCTTTTTCAGGCGCATGATCCACTTGCCGCCGCGCTTGTTCTCCTCGTCCTCCCACACCGGCCGAATGCCCTCTTTGAAGACGTGGTAGTCGGAGACTGTGGGCAGCGACGACGGCCGCTTGAGGTGCACGAAGACCTTCCAGAAGTCCTGGGCGGTGCTCATCCGACACAGCGGCTTCATCGACTTTTCATAGTCATTGTTCTTGGGCGTCGGCGGGCGGAACCAGACGACCCACGAGTATTTCAGCGGCCACGGCGTGCTGGGGTCGAGCGGCTCGGACGGCGATGTGGCTTCGTAGGGCACGGGTGTGGCGGCAGCGTCTTTGCGTGCGCTGTGCGCGGCTTTGCCCGGCGGCTTCTTGTCGGCGGGTGTGGTGGGTGCGGCTGCAGGCGCGGCGGCGGTCCTGAAGTCGAAGGCGGTGCCCGGCGTCTTCGGTGTCTTGTTGGCCGACCCGAAGGACGCAAAGGCGCCCGAGCCGAGGCCAAAGGCAGAGGAGCCGCCCGTGGTGGGCGATGCGAGCGCGCCGGGGGTCAATGGCGGGATGGCGCTGAAGGGATTGCGGCCGCCGTGTGACGATGCGGAGCCGTAGCCCTTGGCCGTGGCGGAGAATGTGCGCGAGGGGGCGTGGTCGGCCGGGTGGTCGGCCTGCGAGGTCGACAGAGAGAGCTTGCTGGTGCTGCGCGGCCGTTAGTCGGGGGACAGTCGGGGACGCAGGGCGGGCGGGGACAGGGCGGGCATACTTGGAACGGCGAGTCCAGAGGTTCTCTCTGTTATCCATTGGTAGCGGCGGCGCGGGGGGGCTCGACGGCGGATCGGCGCGCTGTCTGGAGCTGGGCGGGACGGATGGGCGGGCAAGCGGCGGCACAGGCTAGTCGAGCTGCAGCGGCCAGGTGCGTCGGTGGTGCGTCGGTGGTGTGCGGGGAGTGTGGGCGGCAGCGGGCAAAGCAGGCGGTGGGCAGAGACGGCGGCGGGGCGGTGGGCACGAGGATGGGCGGGCGGTACGGGGAGCGGGCGGTGGTGGGCGGTCTGGCAGCGGCAATGCGATGATGGTGGTGTATCGAGAAAACGTGTGAGCGGGTTGGCCTCAGACCAGCCAGTGGTTCCGCGAAGGCGGGCCCGTGCGCGACTGCCGACTACAAATTTCTCGCGTGCACTGCCAGCGGCCTCTCTTCAACACGGCCTTCTCCTCAAAAATCAGCGACAGCTCGAACATCCCACTCAGCTGCCGCCTCCGAAGCTGGCCCAGATTGAGCCATTCCTCTTTTAAAACCATCATCACGAGGGCCCTGCGGCTCCCATGATGCGGTGATGACCTACAAGTAGGAACACTTTTTTGTCACGCGTCGACGCGTAGCGGCTGCGAGCCAGCACTCCAGTTGATGTATGTTCTGCTCTGCTTTCTGCAGCACCGTGCGTCTTGAGATGAAGGTCTGAGGACCACTTCTGGTAGTCTGAGTCTCAGCCAGAGCCCCACATTGCGCAACGCAAGCTCTCGGTCGAGCGTGAAGCTTAATGGCAATGTCTGAAGAGAAAACCCGACGTCCGCCTCATGTGCATCGCTGGAGACGTGTGCTAATGCGAGAAGAAGATTGCCGATGCTGCGAGCCACAAGTGCCTTTTGCGTGAGTGGAGTCGTCTGCTTTCACCGCCCTGCTCGCTGTCGTCTAGTGCTTCGTACAGGCTACAGCCTTGCTCGCCGCCATGCGCTGTCATATGCTAGAGCTTTGTTCGCTGTCATGTGAATCTGTACGGTAGTTTTGGCCTTGGAAAAGGCCCGCCTGCTCGCTGATAACGTGATGCGTCTCTTCCACGCCTACGGCGCGTCGCCAGGCTTACAACAGGCTTCGCGGTGCCCAACCACCGGCCTTGATTGGAGGCCTGCTGCACGTGTGCCGCACTCTATTACAACGACACACGCCGTCTCAGACAGTCAGAGCCCGAAGCGTGCACTTGCATCTGCCTCCGCCAGAGCCATTCCCCCATTGGCTGGGTGACGTGCCGTCACTCTGCGCCCTGGTCGTCGCCTACGAGGCAGCTACATATGATCAGACAGACGGCGGCGCAGTCACGGGTGGCTGCGTGCGGGGAGTGCTGGAGTGGCATTTAAAGGTACCGCGGTGTCAATGTCGTGCATTATGCCGTAGCTTAGAGCGGCTAATACGTCATCCTATCGCGGCTTCTTCTCCCAGACAACGCTACGACCCCACCAGACCAGCGGGCCTGTCAATTGCGCCTGACAACGTCGACGGCGTCGTCGCTCTTAAACCACCCAAACGCCGCCCGCACCCTCCCCTTGCACTGCACCGCACTGCACCGCACTGCACTGTACTGCACTGTACTGCACGCCCCGCGCTGACCGAATATTCCGCGCATCCCGCATCGCCGCATCACCCCACATTGCTGGCACACGTGCACGCAAACACTAGCCACCGCACCACCGCAGCTATGACAGCTCACTCGCCGCTGCACTCGCCGTCGTCGCACCCCGAGCGACCAAAGGGCGAGTCCAAGTGCCGCCCCGCATTGCCTGCTGCTGACCGCCGACAGGCATTCTGAAGAACCCCAGCTCGTACCGGTCCAACTCGCTCAGCTCCCCAACTGCCGAGGCGGAGCCCGTAGCCAGCCCGACTGCCCAGCGTCCTCCGCTTGGGCGCGAGAAGTCGGAGAAGGAGATCGTCCTGGAGAACACGCTGCACAATGCCGGCGAAGGCCACCGCCGCTCGTCGTCCAACGCCCGCGGCTCGACGTCCAGACGCCAGTCGGCCACCAGCCCGCATCTCGATGAGAACAGCCCCCAGCTCAAGTGGGACGAGGCCAATCTCTACCTGAACGAGCAGAACCGCGACAGCACAATGAAGATTGACGAGCCCAAGACACCCTACGCCAAGCAATACGACCCTGCCGAGGACGAGGACGAGATTGAGATGCTCGATGCCAGTGAGCTGAACGTCGACGAGCTGGACGCGAAGCCAAGGCGCAAGAAGGCCGACGACATTCCCGAATTCGATCTAGGCGAGCCCGAGCTGCGAGCGCGCCGCGAGTCCCAAACACCGGAGAGCGAGAAGCGCGTACTGGTCGACCCCGATGAGGACAAGGGCTACCACGGCGAGCTGCCTCCCAACGCCACGCAGGAAGAGAAGGACAAGCACCGCAAGTTTGAGGAGCTGCGAAAGAAGCACTACGAGATGAAGAACGTCAAGGATCTGCTGGGGTAGGTCCACAAGTGTTGCGCCCTGGAGCTCGCTGACATTTGCTAGCCACGTCGACGAGGACGAGGACGATGACCAGGCGCCGCCACCAATGCCGAACGGCCAACGTCCGTCGTAGCCCTGGGGGTTAAGTCTCGGTGTGCTTTACGATTATGCTTCTTGTCAAGATCGAAATGACGGACTGGCGGCATTATGGGGGAGTTGGCGGGATCTTCGTGCACATGGCGTTTGTAAATTCCTGCGGAGGTCAGTGTTTTCCTGAACTTGCAGCGAAGGACTCTACAGTGTTTTCCTGAACTTGCAGCGAAGGACTCTACAGTGTTTTCTCGAACTTGCAGCGAAGGACTCTACACAGTGTTTTCTCTGAACTTGCAGCGAGGGACTCTATACACAGCGTTTTCTTAGGCATCCAGTATGGTGGCATTGATGCAAGCGAGATGCACTCGTGTCTCAATGAATCCTACGCATTAACGAGCTGATTGCCACGATTGCCATGTCGATGTGACTGCCAGCGCGAAGCCCGTGGAGGATGGACTGTCGTGTAATTCATAAACCATGGTTTATGTGAACTCGTCGTGCAACCCATAAATCAGATGTGAACTCGTCGGCACGTGTGATCGGCCTCGGCGGTGTCCACGGTGGGTCTTCCCCAGATCGAGACAGCTCCGCGTGGACCTGCAGGCTGCAGCTGCGCGCCACTCAGCCTCACTGCACTGCAGCGCACCCGCACGCCTCGGAGCCCCGTCTCTCTCGCACCCACATCCACCACCAACCCGTCGCCAACATGACGAAAAACCACCCCTCCCTCCGCAAAGCCGCGTCCAACGCGGACCTCTACGCCGCCCCGTCGCCGCCGCAGCAGCTGCGCCACGCCTCCTCGACGCTCGCGCGCTCGCACACCACGGCCGGGTCGCTGCCGCGCCGCTCGCTGGCCGACTGGGAGCAGAAGCGGCTCCCGAGCGACGGCGGCCGCGCGCGCCATAGCTATGCGTCGCCGTACCCGAACCTCGTCGAGCATGACGACGAGTTCCGGCCCAACAGGCAGAGGCAGAGCCCGCCCCCGGTGCCGCCCAAGATCCCCGAGGACCCGCCTGCGCCTGTGCCTGTCCTGGAGTCTAGAGATACGCCGGTGCCTGCACCCATCCTCGAGTTCCGCGACGGCCAGTACCGCCTGCCCGCCCCCAAGCCGGCCTCGTCGCACCCCTGGCTGCCCGCCCAGCTGCCGCCCGCCCCCGTCCGCGAGAAGGCGCGCGCCGAGCAGTACACCAAGCCCTTCACCGACTTCATGACGGCCAACCCGACCGTCTTCCACGCCGTCGACGCCGTGGCCCAGGACCTCGAGAAGGACGGGTACAAGAAGCTGTCCGAGCGCGACGCCTGGGACCTGAAGGCCGGCGGCAAGTACTACGTCGACCGCAACGGCACCTCGCTCATTGCCTTTGCCATCGGCGACAAGTACGAGGCCGGCAACGGCGCCGCCATCGTCGCCGGCCACATCGACGCCCTGACGGCCAAGCTCAAGCCCATCCCCAAGCTGCGCAACAAGGCGGGCTACCTGCAGCTGGGCGTCGCCCCCTACGCCGGAGCCCTCAGCGACACCTGGTGGGACCGCGACCTGGGCATTGGCGGACGCGTGCTCGTCAAGGAGCACGGCAAGATCGTCACCAAGCTCGTCAAGCTCGACTGGCCCATCGCCCGGATTCCCACCCTGGCCCCTCACTTCGGCGCTGCTGCGAACGGCCCCTTCAACAAGGAGACGCAAATGGTGCCCATCATCGGCCTGGACAACAGCGACCTCGGAGCTGCTTCCACAGACGAGCCCGAGTGGAAGGCCAGTACTCTTGGCGGCGAGGGTGCCTTTGCCGCCACGCAGCCCGAGAAGCTCGTCAAGGCCATTTCCTCAGAGCTGGGCATCACAGATTGTAAGAAACTCTTCTTTCCATTATCAAAACTGAGCTAACCTTCCAGACTCGACCATTGTCAACTGGGAGCTGGAGCTCTTCGACGTCCAGCCCGCCACGACCGGCGGCCTCGAGCGCGAATTCATCTTCGCCGGCCGCATCGACGACAAGCTATGCTCGTGGGCCGCCATCCAGGCGCTCCTCAACGCCTCCGCCTCCCTCTCCACTTCCTCACAACTCCGCATCGTCGCCCTCTTCGACGACGAAGAAGTCGGCTCGCTCCTGCGCCAGGGCGCCCGCGGCAACTTCCTCCCCATCGTCATGGAGCGCATCGTCGAAGACTTCGCCGCCTCCCGCGTGAAAAACACTCTCGCCCGCACCTACGCTAACTCCTTCCTCGTCTCCAGCGACGTCATCCACGCCGTCAACCCTAATTTCCTCGGCGCGTACCTCGAGAACCACGCGCCCCGCCTCAATGTCGGGCCCGCGGTGTCGGCGGACTCGAACGCGCACATGACCACCGACGCCGTCAGCACCGCGATCCTGCAGCGCTGCGTCGACGCCGATGTCGGCTCGCGCGCGCAAGATCCTAAGTTGCAGGTCTTCCAGATCCGGAATGATAGCCGTAGTGGCGGGACGGTCGGGCCCATGTTGTCCGCTGCGACGGGCATTCGTGCCATCGACTGTGGGATTCCGCAGCTCAGTATGCATTCTATTCGCGCGACGACGGGGAGTCGGGATCCGGGGCTCGGGGTGTTTGTGTTTCAGAGCTTTTTGGAGAGGTTTGAGGAGGTGGATCGGGAGTTTAGGTAGGGCGGGGTGTTGAGATGGGTTTACGGGTGGTGGATGTACGGGTGTTGGAACTAGCAGCGGATGGAGGGGAGTCGTAGCTGCAATTGAACGCGATTGAACATGGTCCTATCTTCCTTGTGCGTAAACCGCCCTCAGCTGCTTCCCACCTGGCTAGTCGCGGTTGCGGCTCGGACTCCACCGCTTGAACACCACCTCTCTCACCGTGTACCTCTTCAACACCGCCCCGATATCCACCCCCAGCGCATCCTGCTTCGCCTCACTATCCCACGGCGGCGGCACCTCAACATACACCAGCACCAGCGTCTTCATAACCGCCGTCTGCACGCGATTCACGCGGTGGAACCACCACCAATCCCTCCCCTCCTTGCTCTTGCGGTACTCCACGCGCTCCGGCGTCTCGGACCAATAGGGATGGGAGTACGACGGGACGATGTGCACGCCGAACTCGGCGTGGTGGAACGCCGGGCCCCGCAGGTACAGCAGGTAGTCGACGGCGAACTTGATGCCCGGGCGCACGACCCAGCCTAGGCTGCGGAAGTGGTGGTAGACGGCGTATTTGAGGAGGAAGGGGTTGTCCGGGGCGATTTGGAGGGCGGGGGGCAGCGCGGCGGTTTTCGAGGCCAGGCGCGAGCGGTATTGATACATCTTCTTGAGGCTGATGAGGGCGGTGTCGGAGATGGGGGAGAGTGCGTATGCGCTGTAGAGGCGCAGGAGGTACCAGGCGGGCAGCGCGGAGGTGCCGGTGACGAAGTTGCCGTCGAGGATGTCGAGCGCGCCGAGAACGTAAGTGAGATAGAACGCTTCCTCGGGCGTGAGCTGCAGGTGCTCGATGTCTGTGATTTCGTCGGCGGCGGCGGCGGCGGCGTCGTGGCCCCAGGTCGGCGCTTGGTCTGCGATGCTCTTGTCGATTGCCGAGACAATCGAGTCGCCAGCGGGTCCCACGACGTCGCCTGCTTCAGACGTGTATAGCGTGCCTTTGGGAGACTCGGAGACGGTGCCGTCGTCGACCAGGTCGCTCACAGTACCATCAGCATCCAACTTGCCTTCCTGGCGGAGCTGCTGCTCGATGGCTTCGCGCTGTGCTTTGGCACGCTCGAGCTTGAACTGCTTGCGCTCCTCTCGCCGCGCCTGTGTGATCTGTGTACTTGCGGTTGCAGCTTCAATGCCGCGCCTCCGCCGCTCAGCCAGCAACCACTGCGGCTCGCTGCGGCTGAGCGATCCCTTACCCCAGAACCCCTGCTCCCAGAGGGCGCGAATGGAGTCTGCGTCTGTGACATGTATGGACTGGGTGTCTTCAGAGAAGTAGGCATTGTGGACGACCTTGTGCGAGGTGGGCGTGCGGAATGAATGTGACAGAAGGGTGATGGCAATCCTCACGATAGATAAAGGGTTATGTGGGATGAACGCTGGCAACGGGTGGACATCGAGCGGAAGTGGCTTGACGTGAATTTCATTGTAGTTTGGCCGCTTCTGGCGAGGCTTCCTAGGACCACTATTTGCACTCTTTTCGCCGTTCGGCACAGCAGCATCAACCTTTGGCGGCTCAGCTTGAACAGAAGCCGGCCCTGGTGCCGCGGTCTCTGTCGCCATTCGGATTGACTTGAGCGTAGCTATGATCTGTTGCATGTCAGTTATTGGCCAGCGAATAATCCGAATAACGATGTGCAAATTGTGGTTGATCAGATACCGTTGTAGTCTATTTTGTAACGGAAGACAGCATAGAGCACGTGCGCTAGCAACTGAATGTTCACGCTGTGCCGCTGATATGATTTGAAGTTGTCATCATAGAAGGGGGAGATGTAAATAAAAATTGACTTACGGTTCGAGGAGCCTCGCGCCGGCGTTGTGCTGGCGTTGTAGAGGCGGGTTCAGGCTGTGAAGATTTCGCGAGGAAATGTTCGAGAGTCATAGCTTCCGGAGGTGTTCGGCCCGCGGCGTTGCTTGCTGGTGATTGGCTGGCCTCCACAGGTGACGCCCATATGATATTCAAGGCTCTTCTTGAGCAAGGACGCGCAGTGAATGCGAACGCCTCGAAATCCTTTGAATGATGCGCGGTAGACTGGGAGCGATCCGCGGGGTCGATTGAAAGGCGTTCTGACGTAGTCCCGGACAGCTCTTTTTGCCAGAACGACATGGAACCAAGCTCGGTGCCACAACTCTACAGGCAACACTGCAATCGACATTAACTGGCAAATCCTGCGCCCACGGACTTGGAAACATAGAAAAAGGACCATACGTGCTACGAGCACACGCACTCGAACAAATACTCGACCGCCCAGCATGCTCCCAGCCGCACGACGGCTGCTATGGCTTCCACGCCAGTCCTCACGAGCATTTGCAACGCGCGCGCCTCCACCGGGACCCCGCGGCCGCGTACCAAAACACACGCCGCCCCAGCGAAGAGACAGCGCGCGCACACCCGCACAGCGACATGGACGGCCCATCCCTCAAGGCCAGGAGCCGCCGCAAGATGCATCCAGCACCGGCGCAAACGAGCCATCCCGAGTCGACGCCGTATCCAACGCCCTGGCAGCCACGCCCGACTCGCAAAATCCCCTCGTCACACCCGTGCACATGCCCGAAGACCCGCACGCGGTGCTCAAGCAGACGCACCCGGCGATGCGTATCCTCGACAACTCGGCCATTGTCATCCAGCGCCAGCTCGAGATGATGAATGTGCTGATGGGCTTTGAGCAGGCGAACCGCTATGTCATTATGGATCCACACGGAAACCACATTGGCTATCTTGCCGAGCGCGACCACGGCCTGGGCAGCGCGGTCGCACGGCAGATGTTTAAGACTCACCGCAGCTTCACAACTCACGTCTTCGATCGCGAAGAGAAGGAAGTCCTGCGCTTTCACAGGCCCTTCAGCTGGATCAACTCGCGCATCCGCGTCTATGATGCTGTAGGCGCAGGCGGCGGCGCATACACAAGCTCTGCAGAGCTACAAGGCACCAGCACAGCCAGCATCGTGAATCAGACGAGTGCACAAATCAGCAATTCGCCTCTAGGCGACATGCGCATCATCGGCGCTACAGAGCAGGAGTGGGCGCCTCTACGCAGAAAATACAACATGTACCTCGCCCGCAATCTCACAGACGCCGCTCCTGGCACTCCTCAAATCGCGCCGGGCAACCTCCCGCTTTCTGACAGCAAGGCCATGACTGTAGCAGAAGGCGACAATAGGGAGGTGGGCATGCTGCAGTTTGCTCGTGTCGACGAGCGCTTCCTGTCCTGGGACTTCAGTCTCATGTCCGAAGACGGCCGGCTACTTGGCTCCGTGAACCGTAACTTCGGTGGCTTCGCGCGAGAAGTCTTCACAGACACGGGTGTCTACGCACTGCGCATGGACGCCGCAGCCCTTGCACAGGAGCCAACCCATATGGTGAGCCAGACAGGGCAGGCAGATGTCGGGTCAGGCATGTCACTAGATCAGCGCGCTGTCATGCTCGCCACCGCTGTCAGCGTCGACTTCGACTACTTCAGTCGCCACAGCGGCTCTGGTGGCATGATGTGGCCGATGTGGATGCCATGGTTTGGTGGCGCTGGGGAAGCCGGTGGTGCTGCCGCGGGCGGTGCCGCAGCCGGTGAGGCAGGAGCAGCAGGCGCAGGCACTGCTGTTGGGGCAGCAGGCGAGTCAGGGGTTTTGGGTGAAGCTGCTGCCGGTGCTCGAGGTCTTGGTGCGGCTGAGGGTGCGGCGACCGGCGCAGCGACAATGGCTGGCTACGAGGCTATGCAAAGGGGGAGGGGGTCACAGGCTGATGATCAGTCACCACAAGCCAACGATCCGTATCAGTCGCCAGCCGATCAGCAGCAGGGTACGCAGGGCGATGGGGATATCTGGGGTCAGAGTGGAGACCCTTGGGCAGATCAGCGAGGGCAAAACCAGGAGCAGGATTTCTGGGGCGGAGGCAATGGAGGCGGCGACAGCGGGGGCGACTCAGGCGACTCAGGATGGGACGACTGGTTCTGAGGCCTGCGCCTGTATTGTACCTGTACCGATATTTGCATTGCATAGCACACATATCTATTCGTAATCAAGCTTTGTTTAGCGAAGCCTCCAGGGCCACGACTCGAATTTCCCCGGATTACGCCAAATCGATCGAAGCTTCCGGGGTACCCCGCGCGCGACGGACTACCTAACCCAATCTTTAGATGAAATAACCCGAAGCCAGGTCCTCGGGCGCAATTCTTCCGCTGCACGAGATCACGACATGGATCGACAGCAGCCATGGCCCTTAGAGGCAGAAATAATATAGACAGCCCGGCCTCCACCATGGCCGCTGTACCGGTCTCTCCCAGCACCGCCAACCATGAAGCTCGACACCCTCGCCCTCGCAGCCCTCGCGGCCTACGCCTCCGCATCCGCGCTCCCGGCCTCCAATTCTAAGAAATCATCTTTCAGCTGGGCGAAAACAAAATCCGTCATCGCTTTCGGCGACTCCTACACCTTCGTCCAGGGCCTCCGCGGCCACCCAAACTACACCTACATCAACGACAACCACGACCTCTCCTTCACTCCAGCCGAGCTGTTCAGCAACCGCATCGTGCAGAACCAGACCGCCACCGCGTCCGGCGGCCCCGTGTGGACTGAGTTCATAACGAATTGCGGCGTGAAACCCGGCCTGACCGACCCGCGCACCTGTCCCCGGCAACTCTGGGACTTCGCGTACGCCGGGAGCAACACAGACGAGGTGCTGACCCCGCTACACTGGAATCACACCGTCAGCCTCGAGAAACAGATTCTCCAGTTCGAGCAATACGGCGATCCAGCCCTCCAAAAGGTCCTGAGCCGCAAACACGCCCTCGTCGCCATCTGGATCGGCATCAACGACATCAACGACCTGGCGAAGCTGCGCGGCCGCAACGCGACCTTCGCCCCGCTCTACGAGACCGTCATCGCCGCGCAATCCGCGCTCTGGGCCCGCGTGCTCGCCCTCGGATACAACAACCTGCTGCTCCTCAATTTGCCGCCGCTGGACCGCGGGCCCAGCCCCTCCGTCAACGCCTCCCTGGTGTCGTCCTACAACAGCATCCTCACGTCCCACGCCACCGCGTTCGCAGCCGCGCACCCCCACGCAAATATCCTGCAGTTCGACGCCAACCGTGTTTTGAACGGCGTCTTCGATGACGCGGCAAGCTATGGGTTCACGAACACCACCAGCTTTTGCCCCGGGTACAATCAGCCCGATGTGCAGACCAATCCGGGGAAATACGGGTGTGGAGAGGGGCTGGCGACGTATTTGTGGTATAATTCGGGGCACTTGACGAGTCGCGTGCACGAGGTGATGAGCGGGGTGTTGGGGACGTGGCTGGGGAGGCAGGGGCGGGCATAGGGGGGTTAAGATGTAGATGTACGCATTCGCACCACGTGTTAGCTCTCCCACCAGGATCTCTGGTGGTGTTGGCGAAGGGAATATTGAGACGTTCTCTGCTTCATCTGCTTTTCCGGCCGTTCTGATGTCTTTTGTGCCTATGACGCCTGTTCATTGCGTGATGAACATTCTCATCACTGTACAGGTGCTGAGGACAACCGCAACAAGGAAATCTCTGATGACGCAAAAGGTGTATGCACCTTCACCCAGATCGACATTGTTGGCGGGACAATGTTTTGGATCGCGTTCTAGGGGCAGGTGCTCCTTAGACGTACCGCAAAGCCTGGATTCAGAGCTGTTGGCTTGGTGTGGGCGAGCAGGGAGGGTTTTGACCAAAGGAAGAGTGATGCGTCGCGGGCTTCAAGACAGGTGGCAGCACTTAGCACGTTTGATCGCAGTAAAAGGTTTGTAGAAGTGTCTAATGCATAATTCTAAGTCTAATATATGGATGGCAACGCGGAAATCTAAGGTATAAAGCGCTATGCATTAATGCGGATTAAGGAGAGACGCGAATTGAAGACGTGGCACCAAGTGCCATGTACAACGGTCGGTCTGACCATCGTGAAATCAGTGAAACATGTCGAAAGCCTACTGGGCCTTCTTGCTGGCCTTTGTCCTGAGCTTCATGAGCAGATAGACCAGCGCGTAGCTGCTGCAGACGAAGATTACGCAGATCGCCGCGTCCCTCCAGCCGTACATGTACTCGTTGAGGTTGACGGTGCTCAAGTAGTCGCTGCCGCGACGGTACTGGCACACCTTGCAGCTCTCCATCGCATCGCCGTTGACGAGATTGTTGCGGGCGCCGGGCCCCGCGAGCCAGGCCTCGAGGTACTGCGAGCACGTCTGGCCCGCGGGCGGGTCGAAGACGGCGAATTCCGACTCGCGGCAGTTGATCTCCCAGTCCCAGTCGGCGAAGACGAGAAGCGCGCCCATCAGGTAGTTGAACGGGTTCATGTAGTACACCCAGAAGCGCCAGAAGGGCTGGATCTGGGCGTAGGGGACGAGCACACCGCAGAAGGAGATGAGGACTCCGAGCAAGAGGGGGTTGACGAGCGACGCGAATACAGCGTTGGGTGCGTAGGCGGCGATGAACTGGCCAAATCCAGTGTAGAAGAATCTGGGGTGAGGTTAGCATTGGTCTGGGCCATGATGAAGACGGGACAACTTACTGGTAGACCAACATGACGAAGAAGATCGCACCTGCCTTGTCTGAGGAAACAGGAAGGCCGGCAGTGTAGTAGAAGCAGAGGAAGTACAGGATGGCACAGATGACCAGATAGGGCATCTCAGACACGATCAAACCGGTGGTGAAGGGAGCCCAGTGATACATCTTGGACTTCTTCTCTCTCGTCTCGTAGATGTCACGACGGTCGATGAAGAGAGGTTGTAGTTGCGCAATGACACCAGGAGCAACGAAGATGTAGTTGAACAGGGAGAAGAGGACCAGTTGCTGGTCAGAGGCTGAGTCACCAATGTTCCAGAAGGAGAAGCCGACGAAGAGGGCAACACCGATGTGAAGTGCGATCTTGTTGTTGACGTAGTCGATGTTGCGGTACAAGCTGACATTCATGCGCTGAGTGACCAACTTAGTTTGAGTCCACATGCTGGTAGCAAACTCGTGGCCATCATCAGTAGTGCCTGGCGCCTTTCCAGCAGCATCGGTGATGATGTGCTCGAGATCTTGTTGCATTTGTGCTTGCTCTGGAGATTCCAGCCAGACTTGGTGCCAATCCTTGTCGGTCGCGTGCGTGCCAGTGACGACATCAATCATGAATTCGGCAGGGTTAGCATTTGGAGGGCATGAGACACCACTTCTGTCGAAGTAGTCTTTGATGGTCTGGCCGTTGTCACCAATATCGCCGAAGTAGACTGTCTTGCCGCCCTTGGCCAGGAGGAGGAGCGTGTCGAACTGGGCGAACAGCTGAGCAGAAGGCTGGTGGATAGTGACCAAGACTGCCTGGCCGATATCTGCAAGCTTCCTCAGGAAACGAACTGTATTGAATGCAGCCTGGCCATCAAGACCGGAAGTAGGTTCGTCCAAGAAGATCAAGATAGATGGCTTAGACACAAGTTCAACACCAATCGTGACGCGCTTACGTTGTTCGACAGATAGACCAGCACCCACTCGTCCAATAAGCGTATGCTCAAGGTCGTGTAGTTCCAGAAGATCAACGATTGTGTCGACATAAGCGAGCTTCTCTTGGTCAGGTACTTCGCGGCTTTGTCGAAGAAGGGCTGAGAACTCGAGAGCCTCGCGGACCGTACAGAAAGGCTCGTGGACATCAAGCTGTTCGCAATAACCTGCAGAGCGTTGGAAAGAAACAGGCAAGGGGCGGCCGTCGACAAAGACTTCTCCGTGGATCTCTCCGTCAGTCTTCCGCTGCGCCAGAACGTCGAGTAGAGTAGTCTTTCCCGCACCCGATGAGCCCATCAGAGCACCCAACATGCCTGGTTTGACGTAACCATTTACCTTGTCTAGAAGCGTGCGCGGCCCTGATGGAGTCTGTACAACATATGACAAGTTACGCCAGGTGAAGACCGAAGTGTTGCGCATCAAGCCGCCTCCAGCGTCTCCGCCAGAATTGTCGTTGCCATCGTTGGCCTGTGTGCGAGGAACCTTCTCACCAGCCTGTGCCTCCACATCGGTGGGCGCAATAGACTTGGGGACCTTCTTTACATTCTCGCGAGGGATAAGAAGCGCGCCCGTGGAGCCAGCAGCGTCGTCCCAGCGGAGAGTAAAGAAGATGGTCAAAGCAACGAAGAACACCCACCATACGATGAGGATACCGACATTGCGCCAGATGCGCGATGGTGAATAAGACAAACTTGCAAGGTATTGCTCGCCGGTCAGAGACACAGCACCAGAAGCGGCACCTGCAACACCAGCACAAGACTGGTGAGCAGGGTCCAAGTACTGTGGTAGGTAGTTGGGAATGAGGTTGGAGAAAGCACACGGAATGACGGTATCCTTGAACTCGTTCGCCAACAGTGCCTCGAAGCCGTAGGCGAGGGGGTTGATCCAGTATATCCATACAAACCAAGGGTGCATCTGAGGCTTGGGAATCTGGTATCCAATATACAAGACGACAGCAGTGACGGAAAAGCCAGATACCTTGGAGGCGGCGTCAAAGTTTGGGAACGCAGCACCAATCATGCGGAAGAAAGCGGTCATGGCAAAGGTGGCCACGTAGACGATGAACCAACAGGTGAAGAAAGCTGCAGCTGTGGCTTTCAAGGCAGTCATCCAATACAGAATGACGATGAACGAGGTGACCTGGAACAAGAGAATTGGAACGTCGGCGGCAATCTGAGCAATGCAGAAAGCAGCCGGGTTGAAGAATGCGAAGTTCTTGTGCTTAGCAAGAATAGGACGGCCAGCAAAGGCATCTGTAACCTCAGACATGGCGATCAGGGCGTTGAACAAGAGGGCTAAGAAGAGCGAACCACCCTTCACAAACAAGCCTGCAGAGTTGTCGGGAGCGTTGTAGAATAGAGATCCGGCTATGAGCGCTTGTACAATAGTAGAACCTTGCTTGATGATGAAAGTTGCCTTGTCTCCCCAGAGAATCTGGTATTGCCGAATGACACATGCCTTGACCTGAGCCTGGAAAGAGACAGTCATGGGTGAGTTCTTGCGCAGGTGCTTCGACTTGTCAAGGGAGATTGCGTTAAAGAAGGCCTCGGTGTTGACTTTGGCCTCTTGTGTGTTGGGGTAATCAAGCTCACGGTCCATGACGGCCTTCGTAGTTGATTCGCGGTAGGCCTTCTCCAGTTCGATGTTGTTGCGCGGGAATCGCGACTCGAACTCCGGCTTGATTTGTCGCTCACTGGGAACAGTGACACCAGTGAGGAAGTCTGCAACGTTGGCGCCGTCGCCGCAGATGAAGCCGTGGGACTCCATGAACGGGCGGGCTTGTGCAAGTGGCCCGTAGTAGACCTGCTTACCCTCATCAAGTACAAGTACTTTGTCGAACAGATCGTAGATACCATTTCCAGCCTGGTATAGCGTAACAATGGTTGCAATTCCCATGGCGTCTGTCATGGAACGCAAGGCACGGGTGTACTCAAGCGCTGTAGACGCATCAAGTCCGCGAGTGGAGTTATCCCACGCCATGACGCTGCCCCTTGTGCACAAAGTCTCGATGATGGAGACTCGCTTGCGCTCACCGCCGGACACACCTCGAACGAATGCGTCGCCGACCTTGGTATCCTCAGTGTGTGAGATGCCCATGCTATCCAACAGGAAGTTCTTGAACTTGAGGCGCCACTCTTCTTGGTTCCCGGCGTCACTAGGCAAGGTGTTGGGGATGTTTAGTCGGGTGGCGAAGTCCATGGTTTTCCCTACCGTCAGGGAAGGGTAGAACAGCTCTTCTTCGGTGTTGATCACGATAGACCCGCGATAGGGTTCAGCCTCCTTGGCAGTCATGGTGCCAAAATGGACATCGCCTTCAACTTCAGCGTAACTATGAACAGAATCAGTACATGACAGGATCGATGAAAACAGGGAGAGTTTTGACTTACCCCTTTCTCTTGTTGGCAAGCAGCTTTAGGAGGGTCGTGCAGCCAGATCCAGGCCTTCCGAGAACCAAGAGCATCTCTCCTGGCTTGACGCAACCAGAAGATCCGTCCAGAATAGTCTTCAACGGGGCCTTGTTGCGTGCTTCCCTCGATTGTTGAAGCACATTGAATTGACTCAGTGCGTTTTCCTGAAGTGCAGCATCAGAGGGGATCACTTTGACCGTCAAGTCCTTCCATGTGACACCAAGCTTTCGACCTCCCGCTGGATCATTGGCTTGGATGTCTTTTACATGTTGGTCCAGACGCCAGTCGTTGACTCTAGTCTTATCGGATGATGCATCGTCGATTCCGCCCTTCTCGTTCCTCGAGGTCCACCGCTCGATTGCATGCTCTTCTGGCTCTTCTTCTTGCTTGTGTGATTTTCCAGAAAAGGTCCTCGAAAGTCGACGGAGGATGTCATCACCAGCTCCGGTCATGCTTCTTCTTCTGCCGTCCATGGCTGATTGTTGATATTAGGATAGCCGAGTTGGCATCTGTGAAAGGTGAGGTCTCGATGAAGTAAAAAGGGAAAGAATTAAGACAGGTAAAATGGCGAAGTATGATACCTAATAGCACGCACAATCGAATCTCTTAACTATTGCTGGGTATGAGTAGCGCAAGGACAAATGTAAGCACTCTTCGCCCGTGATGTGTAAGACGATCCAGATAAAACATCAAACGAACAGACTAGTGCCAGGACATCGTGGTACGAACCCCATTATTCCTACCTCGAAGGCAAAATCCAGCGTTGCTATTGGACAGAAATGCAGCTATGACATGAGCCTAGTCGCCAGAAGATTTGGTTTGGACTGGCCGGTAGCTGCCATGGAGTCCTTGGATTCCGGCGCCCGAGCGCATGGGCATAGTCCCGCCCTGTTCTTGTGGACTCTTCTCCTTATCAAACACATGGAAGTGGGTTCAGGGCGATGACAGCCCTTAGTCCCGGTCAAAAATAGTCTTCACTCAGACTTCGCAGGCCGTTAGCACCGAACGCCGAGTCTGTTGGCTGCCGCCCTCAAAGGCTGCGGGTGTACACGTGTTTACTCAACACGACGCAGCTCTTGGAGATCAAAGCAATCATCGGATTAGCAAACAAATATGCCAGATATTTCACATCGACTTGTTCTTTGACAGGCAAGCCTCAAAATCTGACATCTACTCAGAATCAACTGCCTACAAGATTGCAATACCTACGTTGGGCGTAAATGACGCGATCTTGAGCAGCGCCAGTGTGCGTCATGATTGCTGCCGCAATGGATTAATGGTGCGAATGCTACGCGGAACGTTTCGGCCACACCAGGGAAACGCGGGCGGCACATCAAAGGTAAAGCATCTTAAAGACGTGCGGCGCCGAAAGGAGAAATGTGCAAGTCCGAATTGTTGTACGCGGACCAACGACCCCGGCCGGCGGTGGCCCAATAATCGTGGACCATTGCAATTTTGCGACGTCGGTATCAAAATTGCGCCGACCGCCGACCGTCTTGGCATGTTTAGATCTAGGGACCACCTTGACGGTGGGACTTGAAGCTTCCAGACTCGCACCTCGAGATGATTGCGCTGGCCCGGATACCTACACAAAGTCACCAGTGATTACATATTATAAAGCATGAAGCAATGACAATCAGCGACTGGAATCCCTGGCATGCAGATCCGCGCCTTCCGACCTCCGCACCTACCTGGGGAGGTGTGCCACCACAATCTCGAGAGTCATGAGTCTGGATTCTACCTGTCTGCGTGTAGTATCAGTTACTCTATCCCTTAATCGTCACCCTGGAGTAGCGTATCGATAAGTGGAGTGCCCCCTTGCCACGAACGCCCCTACTGTTTGGTCCACCACTGCGAGGCTTGTACTAGATGTACCCGGGTAAATGGGTAGGTGGAGAGAACACACTCAGTAACATACACAACGTTTTGTTCACTGTCTACCTACACACCCGGGACATTGCGATCTCCAAAGAAGCCGTTTCCTAGGGGAGTCCTCACTTCCAACATTTGGCAAAGCTCAGGAAAGCTTCAAGCGAGCAACTCGGCCACCCGATCCGGAAGCCCAACATGTGTTCTTATTGACGCATTCTACAGCATCGAACGTGCCATTGCCGATTGCTTGCCAGTTCTTGCCTCCATCGTAGGTGATGTCTGAGCCTGACGTACCCACAGCTACCGCGGTGCGGGCTCGTCCAGGTACCCACGAGACGCCAGACCGGTACCCTCCGGGAAAACTATCGGCTTTGTGCCATGTCTTCCCACCGTCCTTCGACCAGACAGCGTTGTCAATATTTCCCGCGGGCTTCTCATAGTCTCCACCGACAGCTACACCATTCTTTTCGTCCCTAAATCTTACTGAGAACACGCCAGCTGCAGCACCGCCCGCAATTGAGCCGTTGCTGACCTTCCACCGATGTCCGTCATCGCTTCGAAAAATACGGCCTGGGTCAACTCCGCCAGAAGCAATATACCAACGTCCAGCAGCAGCTTCAATACAGGTCCCGCTCGCTGCGAATCCAAACTCGCCAGTTAATGCGGCAGGCATATCGTCTGAGGGAACGATCTTCCAAGTCGCACCGCCGTCCCAGGTCTCGATCAACCTGAACTTGCCATCAACAGGATCACTCATCGCAAGCCCGTGTTTCTTGTTCTCAAAGGCCATGCAGTCGTAGAAGGCAGTTGGTTCAGTGTTGATAAAGGTCGGTTTCCAGGTTCGGCCGCCATCCCGTGTCTGGTAGATGCGGCTTGCATTGCCTTCGCCAATCGACAAGACAACTGCCGACTTCTCAGAGAAGGCATGAACATCGCGGAATTGGAATGTGGTCGAGTTCTCCGGATACAGAGACGGCGAAACATTGGACCAGGTTCTACCACTGTCGGTAGTAAGGAGAACAGTACTTTGTGTGCCCGCAACCCACACGACGTCTTTTGATACAGGATAGAGGCCGCGAAATTGTTTAGTAGAATTCGTTGGCTTCAGATCCCATGACAATGGAGAAGGCTTGGAGACCAGATAGGTGCTGGGGAGCGCGGTTGTAAGTGCCGTATGGAACAGCGCACTCAGAGCCACTAGCGTGTGAAGATGCTTCATCTTTCGAGCTGGTCGTTATGTCGAAGGTGTGTTCAAAAGCGTGCGAGCGAAGAGATTGTGTTACCTATGGCCATGCAGTGACGTACCCCACTTTGCGTGACGATCTCTAGCCTCTTAAGGCAGGCAGACTTGACGTTGCCATATCGGGAAGGTGCTGGTGTGTTGCAACGGCTAGGTATCTGCGTCTCGCACCTCACGAAGACATGTAAAACTATGTCCATGCTTCAAACACAGACACGGAAGCGGTTGATCATGTGCGACAATTTGCCCTCAGAGGTTAAATGGCTTGAGAGGGAGCATGGAATCAACGACATTAGTTCACAGGTTAATTGGGCACGAGTTGTCGTTCGTATACACAAACTCTACGCATGGTGATACTTAGCCAGGAAAGGCAATGCTTCCGACACACTTTGACATATGATCATGTACTCTTGGTATTACCAAGTTTCGAGTCTGTCATGATGCTGGTAACAGGCGCAAGTCTTTGATCTTCTGTCGCGACAACAGTAGGAGAACGACATTGTAGCCAGATTCGAAAAGGCTTGAAGCGATGCTGGACAATACGGTTTTACCATTACAATTACTTTGGGGTGCTTGTTTAATCGGAGGAGACATGTACAGCTGCAGCTCTACTTTGAGTATACCAAGGTACCTCATACCCAGGTAGACTACCGGGGGGGTCGACGTTAGGCTAATATATTACCAGTGCAGCATGCCTGTAGCAAGGTAAAAACTGTAGAAGAGCAGTGTAGCTATTCTAGGTTGGAGAAGCTTGTAAGAATTACCCGTAAGCTCAAGGTATTCCGTCGATTTATCCTGTTGCATGACTCAATTCCTCCAGTCAACAAGCCTAATTCACTTGGTAAGAGAGCAATCCTAATAGAAAAGAGCTAGATGGTCTTTCGCGAGTCCAAACCATCTGGTAGTTAGGGTCAGGGTTAAATGTGTTCGCTTGCGAGTGGGCTTCTAGACAGGAAGCACGTAAGTATACCTTGCACTCAAATGGAGTTGTTCAGTGATAGTTCTGCAGCTCATTGGCTACAATAACTTTTGGAGTGTCAAGTGACTAGTCGGACGTGCTTGAGTGCAGTAGTTACGGTACATCGCCTTCCGAGATCGCCCTCATCACAGCTGTACCAAGAAGTTGACCTTATGGCGATCATCTTGGATAACCATCTCAACGTGTCAGGTAGTATCGTATAGAATGCATTTTAGAGGTAGTCAGTTGGGATAAGAACGACACTGATAGGTTGTAGGACTATCAAAGTGGAAATCTCAGCCTTGTAAACGTTAGCTGCGCTCGGAAGCCTTCCCTCCAAAGCACTAGCTGTTTCTGCGGCGTGCGAGTTTATATGGGGTACAAAATACTACCGGTGCGGGGAACCTGGGGTTCCACACGCTAAAATCTGGAAAATTCGGGTAATTACTCGATATCACCGCTGCCAATGTTGCAACCCAAGCGACATCCAGCACCAAATCGATCTTGCGCAGGCTGTGATGAAAGACCTGCTCAGAATACTTCCAAAAAAGCATAAAATGCGGTTACTACCTGAGACTGTCGCACTGACGATTCAAAGCAAGCCTCCGCCTTGAATCACGCAACAATGCGATCCTCACTTTCCTCTACAGCACTACTTGCTGCAAGCCTATTCTCTAGATTTATCTTTGCACAAGCAACAGGACCCTATGATCCAACATGGGCATCAACCGACGCTCACAACGCCTCCCCTGAATGGTTCCGCGATGCCAAATTTGGTGTATACTGGCACTGGGGCGCATTCACTACCCCCCAGTTCGCAAGCGAGTGGTATGGTCGCTACGTCTACGAGTCTGATAGTGCTTCGCGAAGAGAACATACCCGACGGTATGGAGCCCCCGAGGTGTGGGGATATGACAATTTCGTCACTGGCGCGAACGATCTGAACGGCAGCTTTGTACAATTTCACCCTGTGCTCTCTTCCAAAGGCGGCGTGTGGGACCCCGAGGATTGGATCGCTGCTATCAATGCCTCAGGTGCCAGATTCGCTGGTCCCGTAGCCGAACACCATGACGGTTACTCGATGTGGGACAGCAAGGTGAACGAATGGAATTCTGTCTCTTATGGTCCTGGAATAGATCTGGTAAAGCTATGGGAGAGATTTATCAAACCGACTGGGATGAAGTTCATGATTGCCATGCACCAAGCCTTTAACACCAACGGCTTCTACGAGTATGCGCCACAACAAACGAACAGCAGTCTTCAGAAGTTCTATGGTCAGCTTGGCAAGGAGAAGTCCGATGAGCTCTGGCTTGCGAAGCAGCTCGAGATCCTTGACCATGTTCAGCCAGACATGATCTGGAATGATTATGCTCTGGATGCTCCTGGGTGGTGTGGGGGCTTCCCTTGCAATATTGGCGAGCAGCAGCGCCTTGCATTCCTTGCACACTACTTCAACCGCGGCGTCGAGTGGGGCAAAGAAGTCCTCACGACCTACAAGCACTTCGATTCGGGTCTCCGCGACACATCTGCGGTTTCAGACTTTGAGCGTGGTGGTCCGGCCGACATTGTCCGCCCTTACTGGCTTACGGACGATGCCATCAGCGCATCCAGCTGGAGCTACACTGTTGGGATCAGATACTACAATTCTAAGCAAATGATTCACTCCTTGCTCGACCGTATCAGCAAGAACGGCAACATGTTGCTCAATATCTCGCCAACCGCAGCTGGCATTCTGCCAGACGAGCAGAGGAAAGTCCTCTCAGATATTGGTCTCTATCTAACACGTTTTGGCGAGTCCGTATACGAGACTCGTGCTTGGGACATTTACGGCGAGGGTCCCAACACGAGCGGTGGCGGCTCTTTCACTGCCCCCCTAACGGGGAACAGCTCGGATATCCGCTTTACACGCAACAAAGCCAAGGACGTTCTGTATGCTTCTATACTCGGTTGGCCTAACAACACTTCTGTATCAATTAAATCTCTCGCCTCGGGCGCTGGGGTTGATTTGAGCAACTTGGCATCCATCGAACTCCTTGGAGACGCCAGTGGACAATATGTCGAAGTGGCTGATTGGAACCAGGATGATTCTGCGCTTACCATCCGACTTCCATCCAAACCATCCAAATCGCACGCGTACGTTCTCAAGCTCAGTTTCACCAACACCATTCCTGTACCTCTAATCGCCGGCGGCGCTTCGTTTTTCACGAGCGGTAACGCCTCAGGGCCCGGCATTTCTTTGCCACAAGGTCAATTCTTGCCTGCGTTCTTCGAGGATGCTGGCACCGATACAAAGGATGTCCAACTTCTCCGTGTTAGTAGTGGCGCTGCTGTGACGGTGTATGTGAATGGAGACCTTAGCGGAAGCTCTGTAGTGTATACTGCCGGGGAGCATAAACTTGAGGTAGGGGCTCTTGGATCGGTCAAAGTCGCTGCAGCATAGACATACCTATACATATGAGAAGGTGCCGAAGTCGTGAATGCAAGCGTAAAGCTCCTTTCTTATCACGATTACCCACTTAGCATCATGAATAAAAGCAGACCGGACAGAGGAACTGGTCTGCAACATCAACTGGTGGTATGTGGAATTTGGTTTCGAGGTCACTATTCCAACCGGCTATTTGGCACTTTAGTAGGATCTATTCTATCTTTACTGTAGCCAATGATTCGAAGAACTACTTCTGCATAACTCCTTTAAAACGAATCTCGATTGTAAAGTTTTGTGCAGCAAACGTTCGAAGTGTTACCATGCGAGAGCGTGTATGACAAAGTCTTCTCGAATTAGCGTATCTTTGGCTTTAGGACAGCTATCAAGGCAGCGTGGCCTCTAGGGCAGAATCAAAGACGCTTGTTCACAGCGACTTGCACATTTCGGGATACAAGCTGTAAGTTCAAGATGTGTTGAAACAGCTGGACAGGTAACAAGTCACGACGAAACCGAGCGTTATGCTGACAATACGAGCTTCAAGTCAGAGGACACGAGAGTTGAGAGACGGTAAGATTGTACCATAATTTCACCCAATTTTCAAGAAAATGTTGAGCGGCAGCGTGTCCCCAAGGGGCAAGCGTCCATGGATGCATACTTAGGTACTACTTCGTACACTGTTAGACTCCTGACCATCCAGCTTCCTGAACGGGCATCCAACTCCTAGTGCTTCCCTTACATTAACAAATCCAGTGGTGCTAATGTTGGAAGATGCGGGCTCGGCATCGCAGGACGCACCGAGGCAACAACCCTGAGCAGACTGAAGTGTGCGTTCCTTACGAATATAAGCTAACTCCTCATTAGGGAAAGTGTGGAAACTGATCGCGGGCCATAATTTGCAGCTCATCGTACCACATTTTGGAAACATTTTTGGCTCTGTACACCAATTGCAGTCTACTGGCAAATATGGATTCCCAGATGAATATTCGGTTCGCACAGCCTTCGGACGAGCCCTCAATAGCGGAGATATGCACCCGCGCCTTCTTCGACGAAGACCTTTTTGGGCGAGTGATGCATCCTCGACGGAACGAGTTTCCTGAGGATGTCCAGATTTTCTGGCACAAATCGCTTCAAAATGACTGGTCAAACCCACGGAACGTAGTAATTGTCGCTGTTACTATCGATCCAGCCAATCAAGAGAAGATCGTCGGTGCAGCCGTCTGGCAGCGCCAAGGTGGGGATACGGGTGCGCAAAATGTCATCGCCAAGTGGAACGATCCGGGACCATGGCCGCTTCCGCAGGCAACGGAGAATCGCGCTCTGGACCCTTCGAAGGTGAACATTCTCAAAGAGTCCGCGCCATACACAAAACATTACTGGGCCGGCGCCAACGCAACAAATTGGTATCTGGCGCTATGCTGTGTGGATCCAGCCGACAAGGGTCATGGCGTGGGGCGGCTACTAGTGCGGTGGGGTTTGGATCGTGCTGAAGAGGAGGGAATCGGGGCCAGTGTTATGGCAAGTGAAGGATCAGATGGGTTTTACCTGAAGTGTGGATTCGACGAGGTCATTGGTAATGCGAATGAAGGAATCGGCAACCCGTTGCAGGAGGTGGATGTAAAGGGTGGCAACATTTTGTTCAAGTGGCCCGCAGAGCGTAAAGGGGCCCAAAGCGAGACTCAATAGACGATAGACTGATGCTCTCGAGACCCGTTTGGATTGGGTACCGATGACACCAGCCTGAGAGCTGTCTTAACCTTTCAAATTTTACAAGCGTTTTTGGCAAACTCATAATAGTACCTTATCAGATAGGCATTCACATGGTTCCCTCTAACAATCATGGTATATTGAACCGCGTTCAGCGCTAAAATTACTCTATTACCCTTAGTGTGGAGTTCGAGCGGGCGAGCAGTCATCTAGAAGGTGTTGACGAAGGCATACTGTCTGTCTATTGTGTTGATCGTAAAGAGCTAATCTACTTGGGCAGACGTAGCAGACCTGGCTGGTGTATACTACTCCCTTTCTTTGCAGGCTCACGCTTGACATCAAATTGCACATCCTTTCTGATGACCAACTCTTGGGTGCTGTGATGACTCTTCCGGTCTGATTCCTGGGTGCTCCTTCGTTCCATGTCCCCGCCACCGTCATCTGTAGCAGAGCTTTCATCAGGAGTTGGTGACTTTCTGTTGACTCTGATCGCGCTCTTGGTATCTTCACGGTGTCCGAAGTCTGAAGCGCTGTTCTGACTGTGATCGAGGCGAGACATCTGATAGCTTTCGCCGTTTCCCTCAAGGCCTGTACTGTGGTGTACACTCGACATATGTCCATATGCGCCTGAGTTCGAAGAGTAGCCAAAGCCCGCTTTCTGACCGCTGCCTGTGTCGAAGCTTTGTATAAACGATTTCAGACATGGTATCGTGGCGGCAATCAGTGAACAACAAAGCTCGGTCTGGAGGTATACAAGCGCCAGTGTACGACTTACTCCAGGATCGTCACTCTGCAATGAACTTGTCCAGGTTCTGTAGAATAGCCCAGCGAGCGCCAGTAAAGGCAGTCGCAAAGCAAATATCCCGAGCACCTGCAACTTGAAGTACATATTCATTTGCAGATGCCGGCACAGGTATGTGGGCACGAACGCCAGCACGAAGTCCGTAATACCGTCGGTGACCACGACGAACAAATAGCGAGTTTCAATCCCAGTACATATATCCTGGGGCGTCTTAGGCGAAAGGCTTTCGTTGGTGCAACCTGCTGACACGAGCGGTGCAGCTACCAGTGTCCAGATCGTGACAACACCAGTGATGATATTGCATATGATCCAAGCATTCTTCATGTCGCGTATGAAGAGGCGTCGTACTAACAATATCGAGGCCATTTTTGAGAAGCCGAGGGAAACATATGTTGCAACCTGAGCGCCTGCGAATGTCTGAGACTGAGTTAATACAAGCCTCAAAAGCGGGACAGGGCGACTTACCACGGCCATTCGTGAGTACTGCTGCTCAGTGAGGGTTTCAAACGATCTTGCCAGTCCAGCAGAGAGGGATGCAAGCACAATCGCGAACTGAATGATACAGGCGATCTAGTTTGTTAGTGCTGGTGCCGAAGGATAACCGCGCGTATGGGGATTTACCTGCGCAAGTAGCATTGCCAGATCGTCCAAACCCAGCATATGCCATTTTATCCATACTCTTGCTAGAAATGTAAGACTAGAATAGGTGAAGCCGAGGAAAGTAACGATATACAAAGTACCGCTACGATCGTTAGGGGCGATGTGTGCCCAGCGAGTATCGTTTTCCATGGTAGATACTCGAGAAGTGTCATGAGGCGAACATGCACGGCTTCTAGTCCTGGAGAACCGTGTTCACATTTCGTAAATGGTCTCAGCCTCAGGCTGCCGTCACATGGAGATTGCATTCTCCCAGCCCTAGATGGCGAACAGGATTGGCCGCAGACCTTAGGCGCACTGCATGAGCCAACATTGTCGCAAGCTGATCATGACCAAGACATGTTGCAAGCGAGCCGCGTTGGGTGGCGTGCATCGCCGGACAAAAGAAACGAAGTTGCATCGGCGCTCCCTCCGCTGGGTCAGGTCCGGTACAAGCCTCCCGCAGCTTTTACCGGGCCGTTCCTCACCTATCGTTCGCTCTCGATGGTTCCCGTGCCCTAGATGGGCTGCGGCTCGAGCATGCAACGTTTCGTACTGTCCACGCTCTGGCCTGAAATTCCGCTGCGGCGGCTCGGACGTGCTACCCGAAAGCAGTACCACCGCAGCCACTGAACCATATAATGGGAACCGTAGACTAGGTTCGAGCGTATCGGAGCGCAACCCGGATCTGAGAGCCTGGCGTCCGATGCATTTGTGCCGTGTGGGATTCATGTTGTGATTGCTTGTTCTGTGATGAGCCATTGCCCCACGGAACCGTCGGTCTCTAATTGGGCGCGCTTGCGAACTTGCTGCACATGGTGCAATGCGAGTGATCCTATGCGCACAGGTGCAGCTCACTTCTCGTCTTCTTTGACAAGAAGCAATACTTTTCAAGCCCCAAACTTTCTTGGGGACCTGCTTGGCCGTTCAATCGTTTTGACGCGTTTTCTGATATTCAGAGTCTGTCCTTCAATTTCAAGATTTCCGCTTCTCGATCATACCATGGCTGACTTGAAGTCTGAGGCTGAGGCAGTGGCACAGCCTCGCGACAACGAGTCACAGCAAGACGATGTCGTCTTGGAGAAGAAGGGCACTGCTGGTGACCAGAAAGACATGTATCGAATGGGAAAACAGCAGGAGCTACGACGTAACTTCCGCTTCGTTTCGATCTTCGGGTACTCAATGGTCCTCATGGCGACGTGGGAAACGATATTGACGTGAGTGTCTGCACGGTGCCTTGAAGCATGGCCGTTGACCTGCAACAGAACTCTGATTATCCCCCTGACGAACGGAGGCACCGGAGGCGCAATTGTCATGTTCCTCGTCACTGCGGTCTGCATGGGCTTCGTGATAGTTTCCATGGCGGAGATGGCTTCAATGTACGTGCAAACAAGTGGGGAAATCCCAAATTAACTGTATTCAAGCTGACCAGCACTTCAGGGCGCCCACTGTACGTATAGTGCTCATAGCTTTCTCAAGATCTGCGTACTAATGTCTTTTTGCAGTCCGGCGGCCAATATCACTGGGTTTCCGAATTCGCGCCCAAAAAGCACCAGAAATTTCTATCTTACATCGTGGGATGGCTGTGTGTTCTTGGATGGCAGACGGGTATTGCCTCTATCGCTTTCCTTGCGGGTGGCCAGATCCAGGGGCTTGTGATCCTCAACAACGGCAGCTACGTGCCTGAGCGATGGCACGGTACGTTATTGGTCATTGCTGTAGCGACCTTCGCCATCCTCTTCAACACTCTGCTCGCTAGGAAGCTGCCTCTTGTTGAAGGCATCGTCTTGGTTCTACACATCTTCGGGTTCTTTGCCGTTTTTATCACCATGTGGGTGCTGGGGCCGCGCAGTCCTTCCAAGGAGGTGTTTGGCGGCTTTGCCGACAATGCTGGGTGGGGCAGCGTAGGTCTGTCTGTGCTGGTAGGACAATTGGCGCCAATCTTCTCTCTTCTGGGGGCTGACGCAGTAAGTCCAGAGTCACGGCTTGACAGACAGATACTGACTTTGTAGGCTACACACATGTCTGAAGAGCTGAAAGACGCCTCTTACACTCTCCCACGAGCGATGATCTGGACTGCAGTGATCAACAGCTGTTTGGGATTCCTCATGTTGGTAACGTTCTGCTTTTGCCTCGGCGATGTAGAAAGTGCCATCATGTCACCCACAGGACAACCGCATATCCAGATCATGTACAACGCTACTCAGTCGATCCCAGGTGCGACTGCGCTCGCATCTATTACCACCATCATGGCTGTTTTTGGATGTGTCAACAACGTTGCCACCTGCTCTCGCCAGCTCTTCGCCTTTGCCAGAGATCAGGGCGTACCCTACAGCGCGTTCCTGTCGCATGTTCGTCCAGGTTGGGATATCCCTCTCAACAGCGTCATCGTGTCCTTCATCATCGCTATCGGGCTTTCGCTCATCAATATCGGAAGCACTGTCGCGTTTAACTCTGTTGCCTCGCTAGGTACGTGTGCACTGCTCTCGTCCTACATCATCAGCATCTCGTGCATGTTCGTCAAGAGGTGGAATGGTGAGCCTCTTCTTCCATGCAAGTTCTCTCTTGGACGTGCAGGCATCTGGGTTAACGGCATATCTGTTGTCTACTTGTGTGTAGCATTGACGTTTGCCTTCTTCCCTACCTTCCCGAACCCTACACCTGACTTGATGAACTGGAACATCTTGATCTACGGCGTTGTTGTTATCTTTTCCCTGGTCTACTTTGGTCTGAAAGGGCGAAAGGTGTATGTTGGACCTGTGGAATACCTCAACAAAGACCTTTGAGGGGAATTGACAGATTAGGTACTTATGTAGGCTGAGATCATCAACAGCAAGCCCTTGTCTGAATTCGAGAATAACAGAGTATGCAAATATTGCGATGTCGCCTGGGCAGTCTCTGAACTTGACGCGACGCGGTTTCGCGCACGTGTGGCGTCGTGCGTTTTATTTACGTACCTAGGTAGGTGGGAGCTTGCCAGTTGTAGTAGAAGATAACTGCCCAGCGCCTGCTCAGCCATCCAAGGCTCACTACCCACACCAACATCTACTGCGATACAGATCCAAAGTTTCACACGCTGCTCAAAAGCTTTTGCTAAGATTTTAGCGCGTCGATTATTATTGTCCAGATTCAGCTAGCGACTCTTGGTTTCACAGCCGTCTTCGAAACTACCCACGAGCACGATTGCACGACATACTGCACCTTGTCACGTCCGACCAGGCACTTGGTGAAATACAGTGTTAGGCAAGAAGCGCGTGCTAGTTTTGAGGTACTCGCCTAAACAGAGGTATTCAGTCGTAGTTCTGCATCTTGTTGGCCGTATCTAATAACGATGGTTTAAGTCCTACGAAAGTGCCAAGTGGGTGGGTGGTTGGACATGCTTGGGTCCAGCACTACAAAGACCTCAGGAGTCCAATGCGACAGACTAATCAACCTGTATGTAAGCACGGTGGCACGGAGCGGAAGCTGACCCCGCAACTAGTGTGCTTATTCACCAGCTATTCGACGGTACAGCCAATCACACAAGCATACAGCTCGATAACAGCAAGCCACAATTCCGTTCTCGGTAATGTGACGGCGTTATGCACTTGGCAGAGCATGCGCAGTCAGCTCTGAAGTAAAGCACGATTGCTCTTGGGAACCAGACCGCGACACACAGCGGAGTTCCTTCGTCACAATCATGACATCGACACCAGCGACTCTCATTGCTGGCGCCGAGACACCAGCCAGCGTAACACCTGGACAGCACCATCCCCATCATCACCTGCACGGGACAGGAAGAAGGATACGCCACTTCCTCCGCCCAGATGGCAGGAAAGTTCACATAGCAGGAAATCCAGATGAGGCGAGTCGCATGGGTGAAGCACTCCGCATGCAGGAAAAGGGTGACTTTGATCTCGTGGTTCACGGAAGTCCTGAGCATGTGAGTCCCAGCAGAGTATTACAGATGCAAAATCCTAATCACCAACCCTGCAGATCGAAGCCCTTCGTCATACACATTCCCATCACGAGGAGCGACATCGCCAGCTCACGAATGAACATCCAGATCTTGCAGCCGAGTTTGAACATGTACTCCGCGAACTCGATGCTCTGTCAGGGGAGCTTCACATGATTAGTGAACATGCCGTGCAGCTCGATGCGAATTTCTCAAAGTACGGCTATTCTGCGCACTTGCGCACCAGGGACTCTGGCGACGAAGAAAGCTCCTCTTCTGGTAGTTCGACCTTTGACAAAGAAACCTGGAACGCAGGCCGCAAGCTTGGCGAGACAATGCGCTTCTACCAAAAACCCATTGTTCGCCAGTACTTCCACAAAGGACTACTTTGGCGCGCAAGAGAGGCCCAAGAGGTCGCCAGTTATGAGCTTTTCATAGACCTTTTCTACGTTGGTATCATCGCTATCACTGGGGACACCGCTGCCGAGCATCCGGATGGGAAATCGCTACTCCGTTTTGTTATCACGTTCATCATGGGCTGGAAATTCTGGAGCGACATCAGCCTCCTCATATCCTGGTTTGACAGTGATGATGTGCTGAGGCGTTGCAGCGTGCTATTCGTCCTGACTTGTCTGCTTGGTTTCACGACTAATGTGGTGGAGGCCTTCGAGCACACGTACACGCCGCTAGTTGCCTTCTATGTCACTTCAAGGCTCTATCTCATCCTCAGTTTCTTCTGGTATGCATATCAGATCCCCATGGTACGTGCCTCCATGATCGGCAATGGCATAATCGCATTGATCCCGGTTGCGTTCTGGCTTGGCAGCATCCACGTCGAGGAGCCGAGCCAACAGGGTCTTATATGGGTTGCCATTCTGTTTGACTTATTTGGTGGTTTCCTGATGATCACCGTTCAAAGGCCAGGGATGATTCAGAGGAGGTTGCCAGCGAGCTGGAAGGAGCGTCTGGAGTTCTTCCCAGGCACCAATATCGAGCACAGAATCGAGCGGACAAACGCTTTTGTCACACTGGTTTTCGGATCCTGCGTACTGGGTATTCTTTACCAGAATAGTGCGGTTATGGGTGTGAATGCGTTCTTCGGCAAGGCGGTGCTTGGCCTGATCCAAGCCTTCACATTCAATTGGATCTACTTTGAGATTGACTCGTTCAATCTACACACGCATGCTATTCGAAGGCATGTGGCTTCCGGTCAGTTCACCATGGAAGATACGGGTATAATGAGCTGACACTATTGAAAGCGATGATCTGGTTCTCTATTCACCTGCCCTTTATCATGTCCTTCGTCTTGAGCGCCGGCGCACTTGCAGTACTCGTCCGCGCACACGACTGTCCGGACGCTGATGTCGAAACCCTGTATGAGACCTTCATTCCCCGATCGGAGGGTCACATTTCTGCCGGCTTACAGTGGTACTATTGCGGTGGTCTAGGCATCTCGCTCATGTGTCTTGCCATCATAGCATGGACCCACACGCATCGGAAAATTCCAAACCAGCGTATCAAGAAGCACTTCCGCCTTCTTTTCAGGGCCCTGGTCGCTATCGTCATTCTTTGTTTGCCTTTGGCACATCTCAACAGCCTGCAGTTGGTGGCCACGACTACAGGGCTAGTCGTAATTGTACTTGTGCTTGAATTGGTTGGAAGTACCTGTTGGGGCGAAAGTTTCTGGTGGAAGACAGAATGTGGTAGGAACAAGTGCAGCTACAGCGCGAGTTGTGGTGTGAGGAAAGAAGAGTTGGAGCAGTCACTCAAAGACGGGACGATTCTGAACGTGGAAGAAATTGCCAAAAGGGACCCGGGCGAGAAGGGAAGTGTCGGTGCGGTGTAGAGGGGAAGCGATTGAGACGAAGAAGACTTCGTACTGCCCCCAGGAACATTTGAATAGCCACTTGGCACTTTTGTAGGATCCAAATCATCATTGCAGCTAACATATCACCGAGCTATAACGTAATAACTTTGATTGAGTGTATACACTCAGAGTGCCATTGAAGGCAGAGAGCAAATTGCATCCATTTGCTCCGAATACCAACTTCCAGCCCCATATTACCTAGGTACTACAGCGCTTGGCACTTTCCTTCTAACAAAGAACAACATGTGTTAAGTTTGGCACAATGCCTCTGGGACGAGACAACAGACTTATTGTACAGCATTGTTCTTGGGTTGCGAAGAAAAACAAAGCTGAACCGTAGAGCCTTTGTCGCCGATCTCATTCAACAAATGTGACGCTGACTTGCGTGCCTCTTTGTTCACCTTCCTATGGATGCGCATACATTCTGTAATATAAGAAGCCAGGAAAAGACAAGACTCGACATTTGATACACCTGGTTATACTACGCTTGAGATTTTAACCACGAAATTTTGAGGCTTTCATCCTGCAACATGCCCCCCCAACGCCAGTTTCATCGTCGCGCGAACAAACACGCTAAGACTCTGCATTGTGAGTGCGAAAAGAGTTTCACTCGAGCCGATCATTTTGAGCGACATAAACGAATTTGCCAACACAGCAGTGAGTACGTGGCTGTGTGTGAGCAATTGCCCGACCCAGCCTCTGATGACTGCCCGTTCTACTGCTCATGCGGTGTTGGCTTTACAGCAGCACATGCCTTCAATCTTCATTGTATGAGAACACGTCATTCCGGCGACTGGCTCAGATGCAAGTATCAGCCAAGAGGACACCATGAGATCCACACCGCTGCTGGGGACAGTCTAACTGCAGTCAACAGTGCAGATCATCAGCAAAGTGCTCAAAGCGTTGCTGCGCAAATCACTACCCTTTGTTCATCGGATCATGAGATATGCGATAGTCTATCAACGTCTACCATATCTAACGGCAGTGACGAAATGCGACACAGTACCACTGAATACCAAAAAGAACAGCGCATGGATCTTATGTTAGATAGCACCGATATCAAGAACAACTATGACGATGCAGGCAAAAGTTCAGCTGGAACGGACTTGCGCACCTACTACAGTCCTACGAGTTCATCGTCCTATCAGGCAGATTCGACTCCGAAGTCCGACTCAAGCCGCGAAGCCAGCGTGTCTTCTCACAGTAGCAAGTACTCGACAGCTCCAAAACCCAAAAAGCAAGTCTCTTTCAGTCCTCGTCTAGGTCGCCATGGTTCTCAGTCGCGCGGAGAGAGCAAGAGCACGCAGAAGCGCACCAATGCTGGGATCAGCAAGATCCGCAAATTCAAACGTTCCTTCGCCAAGAATATCAGCAAGCACAAGGACAAGATCTGCGCTGTACTAGCCGTTGCAGCAGGCGCATACTGGGTGCAGAACTACCCCTTGCCCCCGCTGGCGGCAAGTATCAGCAGCCACGATTGGCTTGTGGATTCTAACGCGCCCCGACACATCGCTAAAGACAGCGCTGTGTTCAGCAACGTAGATGCCCTCTACAAAATCTGTCCGGGAACTCACTTAAGGCCGTCGTGCGAGTGGACTGGAACCGTTCCGCTGAAGCTCAACAGCGGCAAGACACTGCTGCTGGAAGACGTCCTCTACAACCTTTGGGCAGACACGAACGTGGTTTCGCTGGCCAAGCTCGGTGAAGCAGGACTGAAAGGTACTTGGACCTCGAGTGAGCTGACGATCAACAACGCGACCGATAACGATCTCGTTGCCCGTGCAGTGAACACTAACAACGTATACCGCCTGGACGATCTGGCCCCGCCTAGTTCATCCACCAAGTATCCATCGAGGGAGAAGACGGAAGGCTCGCGGCTGCCGCCATCTAAGCCAGAGGGTAACCGCAAACAGAGTGATCCGCTCCAAGGTACTAGAACTATATCGACGGCTATGTTGAAAACCTCGTCATATACGCCCACAAAGACGTACCCGCCACTGATTATTCGAAAAACGCCAACACCCATTTTGACCTGCCCAGAAGCGACAGTGACATCTCAGAACGGTTCTGAACCCGTTACGCGCCCCACATTCGAGAGTCCTGGAACCCTGCAGCTCGAACAGCAGCTGGACAGTCACAATAGATACTTGGACACTGCTTCGGACCGCACAGGAGACTGGGGCATTCCCGGTTGGCCCTTCGATTGGCCCAGAGATCGTGTGCCCGCCCCATCGTCCTCCACATCGTCCGCGCAGAACGAGACAGCGAGCAACCACACATCACCCGCAGTGCATACTCCTACGACTGATTCCTCTCGTTTGGGGTTCGGAAGGTTCGATTTCGTGTCTTCGGGGCTTGATCTCGCGTCTTCGGGGCTGGATTTCGCATCTTCAGGATTGAATCTCACGCTCCCCAGCAATCCTCCTATCTCGGTCCCCAGCAATCTTTCTATCTCGGTCCCCAGCAATCTTTCTATCTCGGTCCCCAGCAATCTTTCTATCTCGGTCCCCAGCAATCTTTCTATCTCCTCCCCCAGCAAGTTTCCCACCTCGTTTCCCACCTTCGGACCGCACGTCGATGCGCGCCAGTACGCGCTCGACAAGCAAGCCGAGGGGAAGGCACCCGCATCTAAGCATCAGCAGATGCTGGATCAAAAGGTGGGCAGCTTCAGGCGCAGCGTGTGTCCGCCGTGTGAACCCTGTACCGCGAAGTGCTGGCTCGTGTAGGGTCGATGGGGGTTGAGTAGAGACCGCAGAGTACGATACTGAGGCTTGTTATCCCCATTGTGTTATTGCTCTTCTTTCAGTTTGTAGTTAATACTGTATACATCATAGAATTCATTGTAGTCTTCTAGAATCTACGCGTCGTGCTACGCAGTGCCGCCACCGTGAGAAAGTGCACCAACCCGGACTAGCGTGCCTGTCTAGCTGCATCTACACCCCCAACCTCCACGTAGCACCTCCACGACAGGCTTCTCGCCATGGCACCAGCGCCTGAAGAATCCCGTAACCGTGCAAAGATGTAACAGGGCGTCTCCGCTGTGCTGAGCCACACCTGCCTTCTCGCAGCACAATGTCCCGCATCGCCCATCCCTCGCACCGCCAACCAACCTCCGGAACCCAGCCAACCAGAGTCCCCCCGAGAGCACCGCACCACAACCCGCCCTACACGGCCAGAAACCCCCCAATGACGTTTTAGCTCCCGCCTTCACACTGCAAGCCCGCTGCCTGCTTGCCGCCGCCGCCCCACCCACGCCGCAACCTCGGCGAAAAAACTCTTCACCACTGCCTCACCGTGAACTTTAATCGCCCATCAAACTGTTCTGCAGTAAAATGCACTGCAATATAGCACACCCAAGCCCTGATGTCTTCATCAACAGAGTAACATCTGGCCTAATGGCCCAATGGCAAGGCGCTTGACTACGATTCGTTCGGTAATCAAGAGATTCCAGGTTGTAAGTATTCACTGCTCTCATCAGTCCGCAAGTTCGATTCCTAACTCTCTCTAGCGACCCCTGGTTAGGTCATAACACCAACTTCTTTTTTGCTGTTTTTTGATGTTGGGGCTGTGGGCGTGGGCACCTTTTAGCAGTTATGAGTGATGGGATGGGAGGTGTGGGCTGGCTGCCCGTTGTTGTTTTTGCTGCTGCTGCGTGACTGTTGTGATGTTGTTAAGGTAAGGATGTTGTTTTTCGCAGGTGAGGATGGAGTACAGTGACGAAGTTGACGTTTTGCGAAGTGGCTGGGATCACGGGAGCTGTGTTGAGCGAGCAGGTCTTGCGTGAGCAACAGGTCCTACGTGAGCAACAGGCCCTATTCTTTGCAACGGCAGAGCGGGATACGTTATCCGATGGCCACTACACTATGCAAACACCAGAGCAACACTGCAGAGACACACTCCCAGCATAGACATGAGTACACCACACTTAACCAATCCCAATCCTTTCAGATCCCACACCTTCCCAGCTCCCCCCAAACCCAAATCCAACACCTTCCTCAACCCAAACCTAGCACCACCCCACCCTCAAGCATCCCATACCCACCCACCCTCCCCAACACCCCTCATAGCACTCTCCACCGTAACCCCCCTCCTCACCGCCTTACACCGCCTCACCACATCCTCCCTTGCCTCATCCTCTTTCTCCTCGCGCCACGCCGGGAACGCGTCCGCGTACGCGCTGTCCTGCGGCGGGAACCCCGGTGGCGTGTGGGCCTGCGCACGCGCTGCCTCGCCGTAGCGCTGCGCGGCGTCGACGTCTAGGCGTGCTGGCACCGGACGCTTACACGGGTCCTCGCTCACGCTCCCAAAGCGGTCGGGGGCCGCGAGCAGCGGCGCGCCGAAGGGCGGGTGCATGCGCAGCGGGCTATCGCCAGCGGGCCGGGCGCCGCGCGGACTGCGCTTGAGTTTGCTGAGGGGCGGGGTGTGCGTGTGGTGCGCTGGGCTGCGGAGCGGGAGCGGGGGAGCTGTGACGGGGCGGGTTGGGCGCGCTGTGGGGAGGGCTGGGGGCGTGATGAGATTGACGGATGGCGCTGGGGTGCGGACTGGTTCTTTCACTGTCGCTGTCCGTGTCACGTGGTCCTCCACAGACGGACGGGGTGGTGTGCGCCCCCCGGCCGATACACCGGCACTCAGCGGCGGTAGCGACAGGAGCGAGCGCATCCGGGCGCGGGGCGGCGCTGGGGCGCGGCCGGTGTCGCTGTGGGCGGTGCTCTGGGGCGAGCGGGCGGGCGCCATGCCGGTCCTGCGCGGTATGACATGGTGGGAGAGGCGGGGGAGGTTGTCTACGCCCCAGGTGCCGGGGGGTGTTGACAGGACGGATATCACGGTCTTTGCGCGGCGCAGTGTTGTGCTGCGGGTCTTTGGCGTTGCGGGCGGTGGGTCGGGGGTGGTGGACGTCGCTTTGGCTGTCATGATGACTGGTCGGAGAAGCTGTGGGTGGGTTGTGGGAATAAGTCGGGTTGTTGGGTTGGGAGGAGTAGGACTAAGTGTAGGTGAGCTGGTGGAAAGTTGGACAAACGGGTGCCAATTTCGCCTTTCACCTTCACTTCCACTCACAATCTCACGGGCCGTACTAGCCGGGATGAGGGATCAGACCTGAACAGTGTCACAGCCTTGCCAGTAACTGAGCTGCAACAACGTTTTTTGAGACCCGTGGGCCGCTGGGAAATACTAACGTCTCATTGTCGCGATCTAGTCCCTGATGCATGTCGCCCAACGCCGTGCTGATGCATACAAGATATAGCGTACACATATGCTTATTTTGCGCCACTATCAACCCAGTGGTCCCGATAAGAGCGCCTTACAGCTCACTTACGATGCAGCAGCAGCATCTTCCTTGCTCTTATCCTCGTTCTGCTCGGCCTTCTCTTCGTCCTTTTTCGGCGCAAGGTCCGTGGCGGGCTGCGCGACAGGCTTGCCCTCTGCGAGCTGCATGAGGAACTTGCCCACGTTGCCGGCGCCATCGATGGGGCCGAGCTTTGCCTCGAAGAGCTTTGCTTCGCGGACGATTCTGTTGGCGATTTAGTGGGTTGTGATAGTGATTTCTTGATGAGACATACCTTGCCTTCCCGCCGGGCGTCTTCACCGCCGCCTCCTTGATGACCTTACCGACCTGTTCGCGGTACGATTCAAACACTGGGCCCATGATCATCCGGACCTGCAGTTCGTTGAGGTACTTGTTGATGACTTTGTGCATGGTGACAGTGTCCTTTGTCAGGCTTTCCATGGCAGCAGAGACGTCGCGCTTGACTTCTGGCTCAGTGTCCCACTCGACCTTTTTCAAAGCGCGCATGTGCACTGTTGCACGACCAGAAAGTATGTCGGTCAGCTTGTCGTGGATACTGGCCTGCTGGTCTTGCAACAAACGTTTCGTATTATCAAAGTCAGTGCCCACGCTCTTTCCACCACTGGTAGGCGCACTAACACGGCGGCGTGCACATTCTCGGATATAAGGCAGGATGGCAATGATGAATGATAGTGTTTGCGAAGCAATGGCAAGATGCTTGGTATTGATGTTTTTCAGGCCTGCAGTGGCCATTGCGCCCGCACCGAGGATCAGCTGGCACAGCCGGCTGTTGAAGAGCTTCACATACTCGCACAGGCTTGATGAGATCTCGGACGTCATGCTGGGTATATGGGAAAGCAGGATGAGGTGGCGTTCTATGCCGCGTAGGACGAATGTGGAAGAGTGTGATACGGTATACCTTTCTTCGTCGATGATAGCAGGGATGGTGTTCTTGTTTTTCTCTTTTGGTGCAGTGTCCGTCGAGCCGTTCGTACCATTTGCCCCTTTGGTTGGTTCAGATATAGATGTAAGGATATCACCGGTTTCTGCCCAATTCGGTGGGTCACTGTCCATACTTTTGAGTATCCTGGCGAGCACTTCAGTATCAGCGGCATCGAAGTCTTTGGGCTCCCAGCGGTCTGAGTCCATAGCTTTTGCAAGTTCTTGTTTTTCAAAGTCGGAGAACTTTTGGACAAAAGCATTGATGTGGTCGTTCACTGCACCTTTGAGCGCAGAACCCGAGCGGCCAGAAATAGCCTCGCACTCATCGGCAAACAGCCTGCAAAGTTTGAAGTACCGCAGGAACCTGTCGAGCGGTAGTTCTGCAGTTGATGCCGAACGCACCCTCAGGAGCTTCGTGATCTGTGTCTGGGCAGCGTCGACAGCTTGGCCAAGCAGACTAGATAGGTCCAGAGCTTGCATAAGCTCCATTTGTAAATCGCTAGAGCCAGGTCCATTCTGACCATTGGCCCCAGCCCCCATGTAACTGTCAATGTTATCCATGTAAGGGCTTCGGGGCGGAGATCGAAAGCCCCCTGCAGATACAGGTGGCGTAGAGACGCCACTTGTAACGTCAAGGAGGACCTTGACTTGAGTACTAAGTCGACGCAACGCCTCGCCAATGTCTGTGAAGATGTTCGTGAAGAACTCTTCAGCATCCGCCGGGTCCATGGCTCGCAGATTACGAGCCAGGATCGAATTCTTGTCCTGTTGAGTATGCCCTCGCCCTCCTCTTGTAGACACGGAGGTCATCGACTCAGCGTCATCGTCTGTCGAGCTTGGCAGATACTTGCGAATGATGATTTTCATTTCCTTGACGATGGCTTCTCTGAACATGGCTGCAGCTTGGTTTGTGAATTGAGCGTCGTTTAGTCCGTGGAGATTGGCCCGTAACCTGGACCGAAACTCTGTGCTGGTACTTAGGTATGCGGGCATCGACTTCGGCTTGGCTGACCCTGGAAGCCCTCGCGCCTTTTGTAATGCCGCAACCCATCGTTCTAATGTATCATGACTCGGCACGCTCTTGATGTGATCGCGAAGGTCAGCGAGCAGTGTATCAAGGAAGCGCGCTTCAAATCCTTTTCCTATGCGGAACCTCATCTCATCCATCCCCTCGAAGACGCCGTCCAGCGCTCGCAGGCCACGTAGATCTATAATCATTGGAGGTAATCTTGTGTTCATCCACGAGGTAACGTTCGAGTCCGAGGTGTCGAGTACTCCTGTGATGAGTCGCTCGATGATTGCCAGACGAGCTGCGGCTGTTTCAAGCTCTCCCTTCTCCACAGACTCATCACAGTGCGACACGCCGTAGATGACTGCCTGCAGCTGGTCCACGGCGTCAGTCAATCTTCTCAGGTTCTCCCGCCGCCGCTTCATGTTCACGACCTCCAATCCTCCGATGGCCATCTGTTCGTCTAGTCTCTTCAGATCTTCCCTCAGCTCCTTGATCTTCGCGACTGACTCTTCAGCCTCTGTCTGCAGCTCCCGTAGTGAGCCGAGGGCAGCGAAAAACGACGTCGAAGCCGAAGAGATTGCTGATATGAGGTGCACCTCGACTGTGTCCATGTACCACGACAGCTTCTCCTGCAGAATCGCGTTCGTTGCCAGGGCCTTTCTCCCGGACGGCTGCGGCGTGTCTGGTATCCCGTTGACACTGTTCACATTGTCATTGCTTGTCGTCCGCACAGGCCTGACAACCTCAGATCGCTCGCTGACGATGTCGAAGGTTCGGGGGTTCTCGAGGTGGAAGTTCTCCTCAAAATACACGGCGGGTATCGTCGAGAGCGGCGTGACAGCGGGTATGCCGCGCTTGGTGCCACTTGTGCGCCGCTTGGGCTTCGGGGTCCCGCTGGGGGTGTTTGCGGGCGAGCTTGTTGTCGACGCGCGCTCGACGCTCTCGGAGCGCTCGTCCTTCTTGGGCGCGTCGGGTCGCGGCTGCTGGGCTTCGGCTTCGGCTTTGGCGCGCTGGAAGGCATCGTAGAGGTTGCCGATCTGCGACAGGTACGCGTTGAAGGCGGAGGGCTCAACGTGGGGGACGTTCGTCAGCGTCACGGGCGGAATGTCGCGCGTCGAGGGCGGGCGGTGGCCGGACGGCGCCTGCGCGGCAGTGTAGGGCAGCATGCCGGTCCGCATGATGGGCGGCGTGAGCAGCGTCGAGATGGCTGGAGCCGGGTTAGCATGTGCTCGCAATGCGTCGGCCGCGCAAAAGCTGCCCCACCATTGTTGCTCTGCTCGCGCACGGCGCCCATGCTCGACTTGAAGCCCGAGTCCAGCGTGCCGCCGACCGAGTGGATGGAGCTGGCCGTGGAACCGCGACGTGGCTGATAGCGCCCGCCGGTCGAGTTTGGGCGGTTTGTCCAGTCATGCTGCGGAAACGGGTACTGGCTCTGCTGGAGCACCGGCGACAGCAGCTCGAAGCTCTCGGTCGACTTCCGCGGGGATCGGGGGGAGGATGCCATTGATGCGCACGTCTCGGGGGTGTCCAGTCGCCGACATGGGTGGGTGCGATGCGCGGGATTATGTCATGGCTTCAGCGGCGATTGCTGGTGAACGACGTGGAGCTTGGAGCTTGGAGCCTGGCGAACGCGAGACACCGTCCGATCGATGTTGCGTCCCGTTGTCTCTGATGTTCGCAAATCCACTGCTCGGTGGTGATGCTGGTCGCCCGGCGCCGAACCCTTGACAGGGGTGCAGCTGGACCCCACATCCCTGCACCTTCCACTGGACGTCTTCACGCAGTCGCAATCGCAATCACAATCACGCTCGACCTAGGCATGTGATGTCTTCCAGATACTACTCACCACTCCAGTATAATGATCACACATCTTCCAGAAACCACACACCACTCCAGATAACGATTACACATCTTCCAGATAACTCCTAACTCACCCCTCTTCACTACAATCACTACACACCCTCCCAGAACTCCGCAGCAGCCTTCAAATCGTCCACGTTCAGCAGATCGATCCCCTCCTCCCACAGCGTCCTCCAAATCGCGTTCCGCGTTCTGACCGGCCAATTCGGCTGGTTCCAGTACCTCGCCTTGATGCCCTTCTGATGCGCCACATCAATCTGCTCTCTCAGCTTAGCCAGCTGAGTCTCATTGAGCTCCGGCTTTCTCAACTCCCCAAACTGCGCAGCAAAGTTCGTGCTTGCAATGATGGCTTCGTTGGATGTGAGATCCTTGTACTTTGCGTCGCCGAGGTGGGCGAGCGGCGCGTCGAGGAAGACGTCGCGGGGGAGGTAGTTGCGCACGTCTGACAACTCCGTGTTGCCTGTGCCAATCACCGTCACTGGCCGTTCGATGAACGACTTTCCGTCGTAGGTGGAGAGCCAGGAGCCGTTGCGGAGAGGCTCCAGAGCCTGGAGGACGGCGGGCCAGAGCTCGTCCGCTGCTGTTTTGAAGTCGACGAAGAGGTACAGCGTCTGGAAGGATGCCGTATCAAAAACACCGTTGGATGAGCCGTCCGGTAGGAAGGGCGATTCTGGGTTCATGCGGTGGAGGGTGTCGAGTATAGGCTTGACGTAGAGAGACTCAAAAGTGCGTGCTTTGGTCAAGGCGCTAGGCTCATGACCGACCTGGAGGGTATTAGTCTGAGACCACTTGTCGTAAGAATGTTCGAGCCTGGTTGAATGCACGACGTGTACGCAGCATCTCCTGAGACTGGGCTCAACGCAGCGCCTCTGGTAGACCATGTGACATGATGTGAACCATGTTGCACGTGTGGCGAATGAGCGGTAGAGACATCACTAAAACATACATAAAGTATCCCCTCGATCAACCAGACATCTGCCTCGGTAGAGATGGCGCCAGCTGCAAGGCCACTGTAGAAGGGCACATCACGCCAATAGTCGTTGTGGCTGTGGAAGGGTTTCTGGTGTGGCGTCAGTAGCCGCACGAAAAGCTGGATCCTGAACTTACAGGTTCTATGCCGCGTGTAAAGTCAGTTGGATATCTGTATTTATCGGTCTTATCCGTATTTTTTAGGATGTTCTGCAGTGCACCATTCTTCAACGCGCCCGAGCCTTCCGCAGGAGCGTAAGCAACGTAGGCAGTCACCAAAGCTGGTAATGCCAGCGCGAAGGAACGCATTCTGGAAGAATTTCAAACAAGCAAAAGGTTAGATCGAGGAGCGTAAAGGATGAAAGTGAGATGTCGGTAACTTTGGTTGACAGCTTCAATGAGCACGTCAACCGTAAAAGATGTCAGTGTGGAGCCTGGTGATGGTCAGGAACCGCGGCCTTCCGGCCAATCCGGTGGCGCCTGCCGTCGCGTGCGCCGTTGGTGTGGGGAGACGCGCCTGCCATTCCCAGCCTCGCCTCATCGCTTAACGGAAGGATTGATCGCTGTCCAAATGCAGATTCTCGTGTAACCAAACTCACGTGCATCTATCGACGACAATGCGTCCTGTTAGTACCACACATTTCGCGCCAGCAACCTGGATGTCACCGTGATGACGACCGTTGTGTAGACGCACCTCCAAATCAGCCTGTCGGGGAGATGATGGCTTTGAAAGCACCTCACACTTGCGTAGCGCTGACAGTCTTGTTTCTGTTCCTTGCAAATGGCTGTGTACTGATTGATTATTTCAGCCGCGAGCCACCGGTGCCGGCGGCTGGAACCTGACAGGCCCACGAGTCGTTAGCTATGGTGACTGGCGGGGGCGCTTTTGGTTTGCAGATCCCGCCCGCAAGACGGTACCTCAAATCTGGCAGCATGCCCCGTGTTCTCCTTTCTGTCTCAACTGGAGTGTGTGTTCTGCACAAATCCAGAAAGCACTATCCAACGCGATGGATTCCATTTCCCCGACGATTGTGGGAGCGTACGGGCTTGCTGCTGCACTCCTTGTGCTGGTACTCAACGCTCTTCGAATCAAGGTCGACCCACGCGAGCCTCCTGTCATACACTCATGGATACCTCTGATCGGTCACATCATTGGGACGATGAGAGATGGCTCTACCTATACCAAAAAGCTTCAGTGAGTTTACAGATCGACTCGCTTTCCACTGACACTCACTGATTTCTACAGTCAGAAGAATAAACTTCCCATCTTCACACTGCCCATGCTGACCGGTCGCACGTATATCGTGACCGACCCAGCTCTTTGTGCAGCTGTGCAGAAAGCATCGACTGCCATGAGTTTCGATCCGATTGTTGCGGAGATTACTCCACGTTTGGTCGGGTCCAATGACCAAACCACAAAGCTTATCAGGGGTCCTCCAGGCCAGGCAATGGACAAGAACAACATCGTCAAGAAATCTCACCATGTTATCAATCCCCCGTTGTTACCCCAGAACATCCATGGTGCATCTAAAATTCAATTGGACTACTTCGGCGGCGTCCTTGCCAAGATTAAAGATGGTGCAGAAATGGACTTGTTCCGCTTCGCTCGACAATCTGTGACCGCAGCGTCCATGACGACTTTCTTTGGACCTAATAATCCCTTCGAGAAGCATCCCGAACTCATCGAGTCCTTCTGGGATTGGGAGGCCGGCAATGTGGCCTACATGACGGGCATCTTTCCCAGCATATTTGCGCGTGACGCTGCCCGTGGTTTGGAGGCTTGCATCAAGGGCTTCGAGGAATATGTTGACAACGAGGGTTACGAAAATGCTTACAAAGTCATCAGGGAGCGTAGTCAACTCCATGTTAGGGAGGGTATTGCTGACACTCGAGAACTGGCCAAACTTGAAGTAGCCATTTCGCTTGGCTTCAATGTCAACGCGGCTACCACCACCTTCTGGATTGTAGACCAGGTCTTCAGTCGACCCGGTTTGTTATCTAAGATCCGAGAGGAGATACACGCAAATGCTCTTTTGGGCCCCGGTATCCTGTCTGCAGACAGCTTGCGTCAGGCATGTCCTAGATTGAACTCGGCTTATCGCGAGACCATGCGTCTCTATGTTCCATCCGCCAGCGCCCGACTTGTGGTTGAAGATACAATGGTAGCAGACACTTGGCTCCTGCGGAAGGGTGCGATCGTCCAACTAGCCGGGACAGTCATACACCACAATCCGGATATCTGGGGCTTAGATGTCGAGCAATTCAACCCCGACCGTTTCCTGTACAGCGCGAGCGGCTCAAAGACCAACCCTGACGGCACCGTACCCGACGACAAGGCTCACTTCATCCACCCAGCAGCCTTCCGCAGTTTTGGTGGAGGCGCAAGTCTCTGTCCCGGGCGTCATTTCGCGCAAATGGAGGTACTGGCTCTTGCTGCAACCTTGATCATGGGATTCGAGATGGCGCCCATCAACGGTACGACCTGGAACCCGCCAGCAGACATAAAGAGGCTTCCAATTGCAGCGATGAAGCCCCTTGCGCCTCTGGACGTGAAAGTGAGAGTGCGTAAGGAATTTGAGGGTGTTCAATGGCAGATAAGGCCATGAGTAACTGTATTTGCACAAGCTTTGTTCTATAATAAGCTATGAGCTTCAATGCCTACACACCTGCTTTTGCGATCCGCCTTAACCAAATCCCTGGAGTGATCCCGACATTACTTGCCTCAATACGTGGCGCATGGCCACTGATTGGGCAGGCGGTGCCGGCAGCCGTGGCGCATGGCCTCTCTCGGCCAATCAAACCTGATGAACCGGGGAGTGACGTCTCACTGTACGCAAGCAATCACCGGCGTGACTGTCAAAGAAGCTGCTATAAGCCCAGGGTCAGCAATCGCAAACTTTCGCAGCGTTATTTTTCAATCTCTGACTCCCCGCGATATCCATACTGCATTCCTCGCTCCTCGCGACCAAGTCCGCCTCACAACATCAACATCTACGTGGATCAGGAACAACCCGCAGCTAAACCGCAACACATCAAAATGATCAAGACAATCCTCCTCATCCTCCTCACCATCTTCAGTACTTAAAAACCACCCCCAACCCCATTCCCCACCGCCTAACAACCCCCAGTCCCACCGATCGGCGTCTTCCTCGTCGCCGGCTGCGGCGCCGATCTGCTCATCAACATCCTGCTCACGATCCTGGGGTACGTTTCCGCATCCCGCAGCCCCCACGTCCCAGATCCCATGACTTACAACCCCGCAGCTACTTCCCCGGCCACATCCACGCCTTCTACGTGGAATACGTGTACTACAAGCGGCGCGACGAGATCCGCGACGGCCGGTACGACGGCTCGCTTGCGCCCGGCGTGTACAGCTCCAAGGTGCAGCAGGGCGGGCACAAGAACGTCGCGGTGCAGCCGGTGCCGGCGGCGGGCGTGCCGCCTGCGCAGCAGGGCTATGGTACTGCTACGGTCTAGGAGGGAGTGAGGACGGGAGAGAGAGGGCGTAATGGTGTCGAGCTGTTGGGAGGTGCTGTGCTGGCTGGGCCGCGGAATGAAGCGCAGTTCAGGTTGAGAGTTAGTGGAGGTATATACCCGCGATAGAGCAATTGTTTAACGGATTCGGTGTTAGCATTGTCTGGTGGCTTTACTTGTAGCTGATTAAGCAAGTCTAATGTATCGGTAGCAGACGAGATCATCGCAGGATATGTGAGGTTCGAGTCATGAGCCTATGAGCGAATCACGGATGCTCGGCGCCTAGTATACATACATAGTACTCACTCATTTCCTTGCTTGACCATTCTACATCATGCGGCCTGACGGCGCCACTGGGAAGTTGCACTCTCAGTCGGAGAATTGGGCCGCATTTGACTGCTGTAGGCAAACGGTGACACCGCATCGTCCCCACGGGACTACACGCCTGACACCAGAAAGCATACCCAGCACAGGTAAAATGACTCTTCAACACACACATGTTCAAAACAAGCCTCATCCTTGCCCTACGCAACGACACTGCACGCGCTCACGGGAACGCCGTCCGCACGCCTCACTCCCCGCCCCACAAAGGCCCGAATCCAGGGCCTCAGATCTTGAATTCGAGGCTGCAAACCAAGGCCCGAGATCCTTCGACCCCGGCCCAACGCCTGGTCTGACTCGGCACCCAAGCCCTGGCAGGGAGTTGCTCGATTGCGTGCGGGGCGGCCGAGGCATCCGGTATTTGAAGCGGGAACTGCGGTGCCGCAGCGTTTCTTGAGGCCTGGGGCGGCATTGGTTGGATGAGTCGGTGTCGAGGCCGTGTAGATATGCACTAGGCTAGTGCGAGATGTAGACCCTGCGTCGGGAGTTGGGCGCGCAGACAAGGCTGCATGTCGGCGTGGAGGATTGGCCGTATCTGGACGAAAAGAGTATTGTAAGTGGAGAACAACGTTGATCTTGATGGGCGCGTGACTAAAGGGCCGAAGCTCACTGTCCAAATAGGTACAGTGAAAACTTGGAGGGTAAAGGAAAGAGCAAGGTGTCAACACTTCACGATTCACGTGTAAAGCAAGGAAGTATGAGTGAGATAGCGCATGAAAGCGCGTGGTGCTAAATTCAAGATTATCCGCTCGTGATAAAACTCAGTTCCTGACACCATGTGAATGTTATCGTAACCAGAACGCCTCCAGATGCCTAACCATGAACCCGAGTGAAGATGTGAAAGAGGTCGATGGAGATGAAGTTGATGAATGTCGAGGTTGACCGCGTGTCAACCTCTCGCTAAGGTCGTGTAAAGAAGCATGTTTGATACAAGATTATGACTACGAGTCGGTGGAAGACACCGAGTCGGCGCGGTCATTGTCTGACGACTGGGTCATGCCTGTTCGTCGTCGGGCAGAGTTGGTTGCAGTGCTGAGCTGGCGCTTAGTGTGCTCGTGCATGATCCTTGTAGATGTTAGTTGATCGTCTTGGACATGGGTGGTAAATCAGGACATACCTCTGGTACGCCGACATGGCTTCCTGGGGGTTCTCGAGGTCGAAGTTGTTGACGAAGTTGTGCTGAGCACTCATCGGCTCCGAGTAGTTCTCGGTAACGTAGACAGAGGCAGATGTTCCAGACATTTTGGAGGTTGTATGTGGTTGGAACAAGGATGTAGATAGACCGAAGTTATGTGTATAAGGGAAGCAGGGTTTATGATTTAGGGCTCGATCGTGGTGCTGAGATGGCTTGATTGTGATCTCGATCGAGGGCAAGAGACTGCAGTTATATAGTCACCCCTCTCACTGAGGCCACTATTCTCTGTAGCAGCGGCACAACAGCCAAGCCTGCCTCCACCGCTGCCGGTCATCACCGCACATGGTAAGAGATCAGCATCAGTATCGGCACACACTGACCCACCCTAGTTCGAGGCCTGCCGTAGCAGATCTACAGGGTCCTACTTCTTCCGTGAGCGCCATCTGGCGTAAACGCATTCGGGGGCAGCAGAGTATCCAATCAAGTCCCCCCGATGCGTGGTACCTCTTTTGAGGCGATCAAGCACGTTGGGATCGAGCTGGCTGGTGTGAATCTTGACGCCATTCTCCGCGTCACCAGCGGCCGCCCCTGACCGTGCATACTCTCAGGGTCTCGTTTGCAGAACGCACTAGACCGTAGGCTACCAGATCCCAGCCATTGACGGTGGCCCTGCACAGACCGTATGCGCTCATTCGCGTCACAGACTGATGGATGGTTTCCCGGCGAACGACACACCCTTGGGCAACTCGCACCTTGTAGTAAACTCGAGTATGGCCGAAATTGGTACAGTTACCATGGTAATTACTAGCCGGTGTATCGAGTAATTATCTCACTGTGTGCTGGGATTGCTGTTCGCAGAGTACCGTCTTCGTGAGAGATACCTATGACGCACATGCTGCCACCTACAAACTCTGACCAGCCGTGCCACGGATTCCACGACACCGCGCCAATCGCGACGTCAGACCTGCCCTCAGCAATTCAACATGGAGGACCACACAGATGGGAAAGACCCAGAAATGCGGAATCTCACAAAAGACGGGAATTTCCTAAACGCCCCTTGTCGTGTGCCTTAAGGATAGCGCCACTGAACGTCATACCTACTATATGCAGAAGCGATCTACCTGCACTTTGCCCTAATATAGCTAGACCCGCCGCTCGCCTCATGCAGGGCAGCAGCCGTTGCGCTCATGAGGGTCCACCCTCTTCCGTCCTTAGAGACATGTTTTGCCCGCATAACGTCAATAGTGACGATGTGTGGCAGCATGCTCTTGCCTTCAGCCTCACCGAGGTATCAACAAACGCAGGTACCACGAACTGGTCGTGACACGAGGAACGATGTCATTCAATATCTTGTGCGACGCGAGACAGCCTAGCCACCAGTGCGCGAGAGCAGAGCACTTGCTACTCAGTTCATGGGCAACCGTGGCATTCTGCACTCGCCCTACTATCCAGGCTCTTCAGGTCCAGCTGAATACCAAGATCTGCGACTAGGTATGCTTAACATTGGTTCTGGTGTAGCCGGACACAAACCCAAGACGGGTAGAAGCAACCAACAAGCATGATTTCTCCTAGCTGCCGTTGTTCCTATTTTCCACCTCGCCAGTTGTGACGGCATGCCCGTGTTTTGCGGCCCTCCACCCGCCTCGTTACTCACACTGCGCTGACGCACTTCAAAAATGCTCATCGAGGCGTTCCGAACTTCCAAATCAACAGACCTAGATTTCATCCTTCACACTGAAATCCACCTCTCGTAAACTTCGTCCCGCGCCTCAGGACATGTCAATCTGTAGATCCCCACGTCGCCAGCAGCCACTCGCACCCACCCCAGCACCTTTCTTACCCACCGAGCGTCACCGCCCCGCTTTTTCATGGAGAACCGACGTCAAAGCACTGAACATCCGGCGTCTGGACCGAGTGCATCGTGATGCATAGCAACGCATCTGATAACACAGAGGCTGGTGTTGTGCGCATCGCAAAACACCAGAGTTCATCGAGGGGCATGACGAGTTGTGTCCCGCGCCAGCAGACGTCGAGGCAAAATTAATCTCGGTGACGATGGTCGTCCATATACAGAATTCGTGACACCGTGGCTCCCACGCTTTCAGAACATGCCACTTATTGATCCCAACCAGACGAAATCGCTCAAGCTGTACAGCTCACAGCCTCTCGCGACGGGTTTCCCTAACGGCTATTCGTATCGCGAGACCCCCTTGCTTCTACACCGCTTCAGTACTCCCGCTGCTGACGTGCATGCAAGTGGAGCACTCCGTCACCTTGCGCGCCTGCCGTCTACCCAACCTCGGATGCAAACATCCACCTTCACTGTTTATTGTATTCCTCACGCCCAGCCAATCACCCACAGCTCAACCTGATTAGAACGCGTCGCGTGCTCCCACAGGCGGCCCCAATCCCAACGGCTCTCGGGGCATGTCACAGGTGCCCACATTTGGCTCCGGCTCTGACATCAAAGCTCCTGCTCGCGGTGATCCGACGTCAGACGTGGTGGTCTATGGGCTGCGCGAACGCTTCCGGCGGCGCTGGCTCCACTGTTCCTGCGTCGCAACGACCTGGGGCGCGGCAGAGGCTTGGCTGTCAGTGACGTTTGTGGTGCGGCGATGCGGGAGTAGGCGAGTGCGAGCCGCGACGGAGGATATTCTGGGACGGCATGGATACGAATCGAGTGATCGTGGTGAGATCGGGGGGAGGGGGGACAGAACATCGAGATTTGGAAGTGAGCTAGTGATGGCACAATATTCAAAAGGGCACTTGTGAATGGGGAGGCGCGTTGTTTGTATCACTTCAGCATCTTGGTTACTTGTCTTTCTAGCGTGTCGTTGTGATGAAAAGCAACTGTATTTCATCAGGATTATGACGTACGTGTTATTTCTGGAGTACAGGACCCCGTTCGCACCCTAAACTTATTCTACCCATCTTTGTTGTTTTGCGAGGCAGAATACAGAATTAGTCTTGTCCTGTCCTTGCGTACACGCAGCGCGTATCATTCGATCCCATCTCTCCACTTATACGGTCCCAGTGATTTACACGAAAATTCACATAGCGACTGGAGTCCTTACCAACCCATGTGGAATCGTCATGGGCAATTCATGAACTCATCTCGATCACGTCTTATACATGTAATTTTTCATTCTGCACATCTCATAGGCTCTGGCTTCTCAACAATTATGGTTTGAATGATGGTTGAGCGAACGTCAGCCAACCCAGCCCTACACAGGTGGTAATTGTTGGCAAGTGCAAAAGAGCTTACCGTATGTTCAGCCTTGGGAAATAGCCAAGAATGCATAGTTTAGTCATGCATATTCAAAAAAAGCTTGGTAGGGTGTCCGACTATTAACCTGCATTTACTTTCACAATGATACGTTGATAGATTAGCAGCTGCCCTTGGGGCCGACTGAACTCTACAATGACCATTCTGCTAATGAACCTCGCCAATGAAAGCCTCAGACAGACCGGTGTCGAAGCATGTATTGTGTTAAATCTTCACTTGTGGTTCGGTGTCCGCATGCACCTTCGCCAGCAACCTCCAGGCATCACGTGCAAACCTCGCTGCATACCACGACTGCTTCTTTCTCCGCTCTGTAGTGGGCCCACTCTGACTGCTGTATACAGACATCGATATCCTCCCGTTTCCGCTCCCAAACCCAACTCAAAGCCGATTTACCGTCGCAACCTGCCGGACGCCGTGCCACACGTTCGTCGCCAAGCCAACATTCTCTCAGTCGATCAATACTTGTGAATGCCGATCGCACAACATTGTTCTCAGCTTCGACTCTATGCGACTCGTTCTGCAGCCACAAGCTTCTTCGCTGTGCCTCGGTGGCACAGGCTGTTATGCTGCGCTTCCAGACGGCGCGGAATCCCATGTCGAGATTGCCCACCTTGTTGAGTCTGAGGGTCCTCAGATCCTTCAGGCTGCAGCCTAGAAGCTGCATAATGACGGGGATGGAGGCTCGGTAGCAGAAAGCGTCGCTGCGCATATGCAAATGTTGCAGGCGAGGGAACAGCGGTACAAGTGTCGAGATTTCCTCGGCAGACCAATTCGCCGACGTATCGAAAGACGTGAGTTGCAGAAATGTGTACTGGCCTCCGACCAGTTGTGGATGGAGTGGCATCAGCCGGGTAGCTGCGTCAACATAGGTTTCGACCATGCATGAAGGTGCGTCTTCGACGATGAGATGCTTCAGGTCTGGACAATGGGACGCCAGAAACGCGCTGGCGGAAGTAACGACCAGTGTCTCGATACCAGGCAATAGGAAGGTTTGGACGTCATCGAAGTCTTCAAACGCACTCATAAAAACGTCCAGATTCCTCTTCATCATGCTCACTTCCAATCTCTTCAAATTCGGCATCTTGGCCATGCACGCAAAAAGATCCATGGCGTCGGCGCTCGAGACATATCTCCCAGAGCACCACCACCATAGAGAGCCGAACATGTCAATTTTGAGACTCTGCGCGTATTGATAAACGAGCGATACCGTGCCAAGCTGGCGCAATGGTCGGTTGATGTACAGCGATTTGAGAAGAACCGGGCTGAATATGTCTTGAAGTCGACGATCAACACTTGAAAGGTTCTTGATAGGAGTTTCTCCTTCTGAGCACGAAAAGCGGAGAAAGTCGCTTATCAGAAGCAGCACATCCTCGCACAGATTGGTGAAGGTAGGCCTGAGCCGGTCATCCATTTTGGACGCGTTCAAAAGCAACAGTTAGTAAGATGAGATGAGAGTCTACGAAGCTCCCTGAGATATCCAAAGAGCGCACACGTAAGGTTGGGGGATGATAACGTCAATCAAGCTTCCGAGGTCGGAATAGGAAGCTACCCCACACTGCTCGTTGCCTCATTCGGCTAGAATATGAGCAGTCGAAAAGAACCAAAACGTACTACCTTGATATGTTGTCGTAAATCATGTATCATTATTCGTTACTTCATGCTAGAATACAGCTCATTAATCGTGTTGGAAACGCGCTCTACGCGTGGTTCGAGCGGAGGCGTATTCGTGCCTGTTTACCCTTGTGTATCGTCGCGCGACATGTAAGTTCAGCGACACGCGGAGAAGCTAAGTCCTATCCGGCTGCTGCGGTCGGCCTGCCTTTACCAATACTCTGCGAAGACATGAGCATCTCACGTAAGCGACTTTCCGCTTTTGTCAGGTCTGGCTGCGCGTCGTGGTGCATGCCAGCTGTACGGGGCCATGGCAGCCATGATGTCAGTGAGGATATTGTATTCGATCGTGCCTTTGGTTGAGAATGGGCGGCCGGATATGTTGTAGTCGACCAGTTGCGGTGATGTGCTCCTCTTTGTGGGTAAACACCAGCCCGTGGTCGAAGGTTCCAAGTACTGTCTGTCTCAGGCAAGTCCTGAAGCACCGAGGCGTCAAATGCAAGCTGCTTAGAGGCCTGTGGCGTGGTGTCAAGGGTGATGGCTGGATGATCCTGAGTCTGTGATGAGGCTCTGATAGTCCATGCTGGCCCTTGTGGCCGCTGCGGTTCCTCTTGTCCCGATCTGCTAGACTCGGGCTGTTCGGTGTTTTTGTCGATGGACTTTCTCTTTCCGCTACTGCCGCCACTAATGACGCTTTTCAGACTGCCGTACGCCGACTGACTTCTCCTTTTCTTACCCTCTGCTGTTGTACCTCTACCCTCTTGAGCCAGTCTTTCGCTCGAGCTACTAGCTTCAGGCACAGCCATCAGCGGGTTATCCGCAGCCGTCCATCCGCGACTAATGCGGGATAAGCGACCTCGTCCTGCCAAAGCTCCCGTGCTGGCAGCCCAGCCCGGCCCTGCGTCGGTGATCTCACCTTGAGGAGGCAGGTGAGCATCGTACTCGTCAGCCAGACTCAATCGGCTCCGAGCACAGATCTCGGCAATCGCATCGATGGCGTCTCTAATCTCTGGGTCAACTGCACGAAGGATGGCCGAGAACGAGAAGTCTTCGATGGCAGGTAGCTGTTCGTTTTGGCGTGCAAGGCCAGCTGTCAAAGCAGACGTGTTGGGCTGACCACTCATGGCGAGCAAGTGTGGGGTATTGAAGCCGGATCCAGGTCTGGACGTGTGCCGCGATCCCGAATACGTTCGCACCACAACTGGTTGGCTCGTGACGGTCGTCTTGCTGGAAGTGGACTTTGCAGGCTTGCCTTGAGCGTGGAACGCGGGGGCATTGAGCGCACGGATGGCAGCGGACTGTAACGGGGGCAGCGTGTTCGTCAATGTTGTAGTCGTACTGGGTACCGACCCTGTACTCGCGGCTAGGTCGCAAGGTCGCTCATGGGCGTCGGCATACGTTGCGTTGGACGGTATCGAGATATTCACGGCCTCGTGGGTAGGTGCAGAACTGTAACCCCAAAACGTCGAGAGGACGCCCAAGGCGACTGATTGCCTCGTCGTAGTGGCCGGTGTCAATGCCGGTGGGAGTGCGTTCGAGTCCGCTACGCCAGCGGCATGGTGGTTCGGAAGAGGGGCAGCAGGGTGTGGGTGCAACTGCGCCTCAGAGGGGCTGCCAGCTAGTCTTATGTTCGCCGAAGGTTCGGACATTGTGGTTCTTTTCTACTGGATCTGCTGCAGGTCAATGCATGGCCGCTATGCAGCGCTGTCTGAGTGTGAACGTGGACTGTCGTGATCGCGAGGATGCGCTGGCGATGCGGGCGTCTAGGCCTTGGCGAGATGCTTCTGTACGCCCCGCTTGCGGTCATTGGACGAGAGCGACACAGTCGGACTTCTGAGGTGCATGTTTCTTGGGCTTGTTGTACATCAATTGGCAGTTGTTCTGCTTCGAATTCTACGCTCGACGGTACTAGAAGAGTAGTCCATCATTTGAGCATACTGGTTCTGCTACTACATCAACCCCGATCAACTGCGCTTGGCCGAGTTCGGAACTCAGAAGTGAGACTACACCTCCTGGCAGCTCGTCAAGGATCTGCATCTCCGCTTTGACGTTCAACACTAGCATCGTCTGCAATTCGCGCCTCCACTCTTGCTCAGGTCCTGTCTCACAACAAAGGTCCCATTCCAGCATCCGGACTGCCTTGTTTCGGTCGCGTGCCGTCAATCTCATCAAACCTTGGAGCTCAGGCATAGCAACAGTTTCTGCACAACTCTCGCCTGTCGGCATTTGGCTGATGTGGTGCTGTTTTACACCAAGCCAGCGCACGTTGGGCAGGTTCAAAACTGGTGTACCGGTAGGTGTAACATTCTCGTGAGCGAGGCGATACGAGCCATATTTGTACGTTGACATGATCGCAATACCGTCAGGGTCCAGATCTACGAAGGCGAAGATTGGTAGATGCGGTGCATGATCGGTCAGCTGACGCAGAAAGCCTCGCGTGGCCAAGTCAGGATAGCCTTTTGCCTGAAAGAGTGTCAGTACGATCTTGGTGAGGACACAGGGCACGTTACAGTGAGAACTACACCCTCTAGACTCAGTTTGTTCCACTGGGGTGTGCTGACGAGGGAACGAAACGTTGCCTATTCACGCTTAGTATTGGCCTGCAGCGTCATACGCGTACAGACTTCTTTCTCAATGACGAGAATCCAGCGAGCTTGCATGAGATCCAACGTGTCCGTTTCTCCCAACTTAGGGATAAGTATGCCCTACTGGTTGTGAGTTGAGGCAATTCAATCGTCGCAGAACCAAACCTCTTTTTCGTTCGTACCGTTCACCAGCACACCGTCGTTGCGTTGAATCGTGAAGCACCCAGCAACGATACCCTTGGCAGCCGCAGTCTTAAGATGTCAGAATTGAGGGGGCTTATGAGAGGCGTCGCGTACAACGTTAAGCTGAGACCTCGAAATGCCTAGCGTACATGCAAGATCATCAACGTATCGATCGACGAATGCTTGCTTCAGGAACAAGTCTGGATGTCTGTAATATATATCCCTATCACACGCAGGTTAGTTGGTAGGTAGCGAAAGAAGACCCAATGATGTTACCGCTTGGTCATGATAACATTGTCGACAAGCCCACCGTGTACGAGCTCGATAATACGGAGAAGAACCGCTAGGATCGGTCAGCTGTGTGAGTACGTTGGGGTTTTGGTCGCTTGACTGAAGTTCCATGCTTCCTGAGGAGTATTGCCAGGAAATGATATTTGACGAATCTTTGGAGCAGGTGTTGTCCCAGGCACACCTTTTGTGGTTGATCGTCTTCGTGGTATGCTGGCGCGACTCTTAAGGGTAAATGTCAATCTCTCACTTTCTTCAAGGAGCCCTTCCATGATCTTTCTCAGCATAGATTCAAGGCAAGCGATGACCCAATGCCTGTTTCGGAGTCAGTGCACGCTCCATCATACAGGCCTCATCCCACCACCTATCGCGAGGCGGCGGTCTCTCGTTCACGTTTACAGCTGATACTGCGTCATTGATTGACCAAGTGCCAACGTCGGGCATCAGAGGATCATCAGGAGGTGTGTGGGATGCTCCTGCAGATGTGGGTAGAGGGCTGGAGAGTAACTGCCATGAGTCCGATGTCGAATCAAGTTGAGAGTCGAATAGGTCATCGTCAGATTCGTACTCGTTGTCAGCAATGTCAAGCATCCGATCGTCATCAAAGCTGTTGTGCCACAGGTCATCGATTGAGTCCTGGCAGTCTGGAGTGATGAACAGTAGGTCTTCCATCTTGGCAGAGCGAAAAAGGCCCTCAGGGCAGCAAGCCGTCAATGGATGAATGTCAGTGCGAATCAAAAGCAGCAATCAAGTCGGATCGATGACAAGATCAATGTTTGACGATAAGGTTGACATAGTTTGGAGTGTAAGTTTGATGTTCCTCCATGAGGAAGGCGCCAATCCCAAACAGGCAACCAGCCTACATTTCGCGCAATGTTGCGGCAATCGCATCAGACCGCTGGCAGGCAACCACCCGCCAAGAATCGCGTCTCTCACGCGCAACGCGTTGCGGCTTCTGTCTCGTCGCGTCCATCCACCTCCACCTATTGACGCGCTCACTCCACCACAACGACCCTTTGTCTACTGTCTCGGCCAAAGTCCAATTTCAAGTTCCTAAATATACACACGGCCATGGAGAATTCAGCACCGGCCGCTCCAAATCCACAGAAACGTTCACACGATGACCATGTTGATGTCCAACCCTCTACACCGGTCAAAGCGATCTCGTCACAAGCATCGACCCCGTTGTCGGTCCTCTCGAATGTTGAAACACCTTCACCGATGCAATCAACTGCCCCGGTTAGCAGTTCTGCTACAAACCAACCTCTCTCACAGCCTGCACTCGGATCAAGCAGCACTCAACAGCCAGCCAAGAAAAAGCGAAGGGTCTTGACACAGCAAGAGAAGGACGACGCAGCACGCGAGAAAGAGGTCAAATCGAAGGCTAAGGCAGACAAAGCAGCTCAGAAGGAGGCCGAAGCGAAGCTCAAGGCCGACGAGAAGGCCCAAAAGGCTGCGCAGAAAGAGGCGGAGAACAAAACGAAGGCAGGAGAGAAAGCTAAGAAGGAGGCAGAGAAGCGTGAGAAAGAAGAAGAGAAAGCGAAAAAGGAGCGAGTAAGTGAAACGTAAGTCTGCGCAAATGTCTACTAACTTGCGTCCAGTCACAGATGAGGCTCAATGCCTTCTTCATGAAGCCGAAAGCAACTGGTAGCAGTGCTGGTCCATCCGTGGTAGATTCCATCCCAGACTCTACTGCCCCATCCATAACCTTGCCATTACACAACTCCTCTGGAGCTGTTGCTAACGTGATTCCGCCCTCTCCGCAGAAGTCAATTCAAAAGAATGCACATTCAGACTACGAGCGCTGTTTCCTTCCTTTCGCGCTGTCATCACATGCTATCCTGGCACCTACGAATGCGTTCATGGAGAACCCTGAGAAGCTTCGGAATGCCAGAGAACGGTTAGACCAACTTTCTAGAGACAGCAAGGCTCGGCTGGAACCATTCACCATAAAAACCTTCAAAACGTCGCTTTCAAACCATGGTGGACGAGGCCTCAAAGTTGCTTCCATAGCGGAGGTCGTCAAACAGGTCCACGGCGCACCAGACCGACCTATTGACCTGAGCAAAGATGCTGAGGCCGATCAGCAACAGCCACTCAGGATGCTGAAGACAATACCCATGAAGTATATACATTTCGGCGAGGACGTTCGTCCGCCTTATTACGGTACGTACACGAAGCCGGTTTCAGATGTCACCGCACGGCGACTCGCTCGCAACGCAGTCTCTCGGGCCCGGCACGATACGAATTACGACTACGACTCTGAAGCCGAGTGGGAAGAGCCTGAAGAAGGTGAAGACCTTGATTCTGAAGGCGAGGATGATCTTGAAGAGGATGGAGATGACGATATGGATGGCTTCCTGGATGATGAGGAGGATCCACAGCTTAAACGACGAATGCTCTCAGGTGACCTCGTGCCTGTCAGTACTGGTCTATGCTGGGAGAATGCCAAAGGCGTCTCTGTACTGAATGATGGATCCGGTGCTATATGTACAGACTTCAAGGACTTCAAGATGGGATTCCTGCTTGGTAAGTCATCGCGTGCAGATCACCGACTTCATATTAACAATCTCTTAGATCCATACCCTCGTTCGATCGACCCGTTCTCAACATCTTATTGGACACCCCCTGAGCACATTGTTGCCGTAGCAAACGCTACAACGCACAAGAAAGCTTCTACCAACAGTCTTGTGAACCCACCACGCGTGCCTCTGACACAGCGAACAATGAATGGACTGTTGAATACACTGAACTCTAGCTCAAGTCCTTTGACTGCATCGAAACCTGCTGTACCCAAGAAGATGGTCCCTGACGATCAATTGCCCGCGTTCAAGGCAGAAATTCATGGCAAAGATCTTACCAAGATCGGCATGATCGAAGCACTCAAGAAAGCCTTTCCGAAATTGCCTAAGGCAGCGATCACCAACACGCTCAGCACCGTTGCCGCCAGGGTTGGCCCAACGGAGAAGGAAAAGCGATGGGTGCTGATCAACAACTAATCGCGCTGTACTCACCAACGTCTTTTTACAATGTACCATGTGGTTTCACTACTTCATACAGATACTATTATCGGATCTCCAGCCTCACTTATATTAGGGGTTTCAGGCATCAAATTAGCGATTGGCATAGCGATGGAGCGTATCGGCGTTATGTGTGTTCAGTCAGTCAGCCTGAAACATATCAGCACAAGCATTTCAACATTAGACTTCATCAAGGCAACATTTCGAATAGTGCGGCGATACAGTTGTAACACATATCAAAGTATATTTACTGGAATGTATCAGAAAATGAGCGAGTTTATCGGAGTCTACTTTTCATGTTCGCAACGTTGCTGACGGTGTAAATCGACGATGCCTCTCAGCCACACGGCCTCAGCCACGCAGCCTTATGTACTACCTTGTACAACCCCAGCCACATGAACCTCGGCCTGGCGAACAAACGTCAGTCGCATGTGCACTGTGGAGCCATTGAGTGGGCCAACGCCGTCATTTCGCATTAATTTGTAGAGTTTGCTAGATATTGTACATCGTACTCAGAGTCAGAGAGAAAGGTGCAAGCCACGGCCGTTCAGCAGGCGCGGAGTTCCTCAAAACGTCGTCTGCCGATGGGACAAGATCGGAGCAGCGCTTCAGCGCTTCGGAACAACTGCCTGCGCAACATGCACGCCTGGCCTGGCGCAGCAGATACATTGGTGCGGCTTTGGCGACCGAGGATGAGGCCGCAGGCCGGCCTGCGAGGGGCAGAGTCGCAGCCCAATGCTCACACGGGGTCGGACGTGGATTGCTCTGCGAGCCCTGGCTGACTTGTGCAGCGGGCGTGGCAGCAGACAGCGGCGGTGGCCCTGCAAAATTGACGACACACGGGAGCGGCAGGCAGGGCAGCGAATTGCCATGTGGACAGCCTGACCCAGTCGCGGCATGGGCGTGGCCGTGCTAGCGCTAGAAAATCTAGGCCAGGGGCTCTGGGCTGCCGACGACGAGAGAGCGCGGGCGGCTGGACAGAGCGCGAGTTAAGATATGGTCAGTGAGCCGCGAGCTGCATCGCTGGTCAGTCCACAAACCGCGGAGATGGCACGGTCTGGCGCAAGCGGACTGTCCCGACTCTGAGAGTGGCCGGCAAGCATGCAACAGGCATGTTGGCCAGGAGGTGCTGGTCCCCCTGGGCGTGCTGGCCAGTGATGGGGGCACGGCTACGATGAGGCATGACTCGGGCCGGCGAAACATGAGTCGCAATGGACCGCGCGGGCTGGTGGTGAGGAGTGGCAGCGAGTTTGCGAGCCGTGGACGTGGGAGCGCAGGCGATGCTAAAGCAGGATCTGTGGGTGGCAGGGCCCCGCCGAGACGACGATAAGGAACTGAAGTTGTGCCTGCTGCAGGCGGGCGCGTTTGTTCAAACGACCAGCCTGGCGCTCTGGTCTTCGGAAGGGCAATCCCGCGACCCGTCAAACCCGCAGCCATGGAGCCGTCTGCGAGGGCCGGACCCCTGTTGGCGCGCGGACACATACATAGGTAGTTGCTGCTTGGGCATCAAAGAGGGTGAGCGGCGTGCAGCGGGGGTAGTTGGCTTGAGCAGCGTCTGGGAGTGCGGGCGAGCGCAGCGATTGCAGCTCTGCAGCGCCGAGTAAGTGCAGCGTGCGTCGAGTAATCGAGTGCATGTAGCGCTGAAGGCCTTGGGGTAGCGTTTGCGCGGCACAGTGCTATGCTGCAAGCGGGCGGGGCTGGGACCTAGCAAGTGCGGTCCTGAGGCATTTCGGGGCTTACCGCAAGGAGGGCTTGGTGCGTTCCGCGAGGTTCGCGAGCGTCGGCAGAGGGGGGCATGGTTCTGTTGCGTCCCACTGTTGCGTCCCACAGTATTATGTCAGTCAGGCACGGCAGGCTAGGCACAGGCATGGCATGTCAGCACTGAAGCAGCACAGATGCAACAAACGCTGCACGGCGGCCGGCACTGAACTGCACTGCGAGACTGCGAGGGCTGTGCTGCACTACTGCACGTGATGGCAGGGAGATTCCCGAGGTCGCATTCGCGAAAGAAGGAGAGTGGCAGCGCTGGTTGCACTGCGTGTGCACGTGACTCGCAGGTTGACTCGCAGGACGGCTCAGGCTCGCAGGCGGCTCAGCGTGCACACGACGAGAACGTGTCTGGCAGCGCGGGCGGGCGCCTGTGGCAGCACATGTCCTGCAGCAGCTCGGCGTGTCCTGCAGCGGCGGTGGTCGGTCGGCGGCATTGTTGCTGCACTGTACTGCTCGCTCTCACTGCTCACTGCTCCACGGCGTCTGCAGCCTTTGTCCGCGATCCCAGCAGGCTCCGCTGCCGCCCGGCTCCCAGACAGCTTAGCGGCCCGCCGCCCTCTGCGCCAGCTGCTTCGGGGCTCGTTCGTCGGAGGATCGCTTGTGCGCCCGCGACGGCCGTGCCTGGCTCTGGCTCCAAATCTCCCGTTGCTGCAGCGCTGCCAGCTGCTTCTTCTTCTGCACCTGCCCGCCTGCCCCTCGACTGCACCTGCCCGCCATGCGTCTGTTCAACCGCAAGAGCTCCAAGCCCACCATCTCGCCGGGCGGCAGCCAGCCCAGCTCGTCCAACGGCTCGCTGCGCTCCCCCGGCCCCTCGACTGCCAACGGTTCGCGGCCCACCAGCTTCCCCGACGTGCCTCTGCCTCGCGCCCCCGACCCAGCCCTCGACCCGGCCGGCTACCTGAGGAGCATCTATGCCGTGCGCGACCGCTCGCGCCTGGTGCTGGAGAAGGCCAAGAAGAACCAGCTCAAGCACTTCACCGTCGACATGACCAAGTTCAGCGACGTCGCCAGCTTCGTCGTGTCCATTGTCAAGGTGCGCTGCACCCCCGCCGCGCCTGTCGCCGTACTGACCTAAGCAGAGAGACTACGCCCCCGACTACGCCGCCATCCCGCCCCACGGCCGCTGGCAGCACTTCGAGGTCGGTGGCCGCCCGCGCATCGACCAGCTGATGGCCTCGTGGCCGTCGACCGTCGACAACTCGGAGCGCACGCGCCGCCTGCTCGACCTCTTCCTCGTGTCCGTCCTGCTCGACGCCGGCGCCGGCACCAAGTGGCAGTACAAGAGCAAGGAGTCGGGCAAGATCTACCGCCGCAGCGAGGGCCTTGCCGTGGCCAGCCTCGAGATGTTCAAGGCCGGTGCCTTCAGCAGCAACCCCAAGGAGCCGTGCCAGGTCGACAGCGCCGGCTTGCGCAAGCTCGACCTCTCCGTCATGGCGCGCGGCCTGCAGGTCACCGAGTCGAACCCCCTGGACGGCCTCGAGGGCCGCACGAATCTGCTGGTGCGTCTCTCCGAGGCGCTGCAGAACCAGGAGGTCTTCGGCCTCGACGCCCGCCCTGGAAACATGCTTGGTACATGATCACCGCCGCACTCCTTTCGGCCCACGCTAACCGCTCCAGACTACCTGCTCTCGCACCCGACCACCCAGGCCTCCTCGGTCCCCATTGTCCCGCTCCCCACCCTCTGGAACACGCTGATGGAGAGCCTGACGCCCATCTGGCCAGCAACGCGGACCCAGATCGACGGCATTCCCATGGGCGACGCTTGGCCCTGCTCAGTCATGCCGTCCCACCCTACGCACCCGTGGGAGAACATTGTGCCGTTCCACAAGCTCACGCAATGGCTCACATACTCCCTGATGGTCCCAATGACCAAGCTCATGGGCGTGCATTTTGCCGGTGCCGAGCTCCTCACCGGACTGCCAGAGTACCGCAACGGTGGCCTTTTCATCGACACCGGACTTCTGACACTCAAAACCGAAGACGCCAAGCGTGGTATTGCGCAGTACCAGCGAAATGCTCAGCTCAAGGGACAGCCCAGCATGGAAGTCGTGCCCATGTTCACTGCAGACGACGACGTCATTGTCGAATGGCGCGCAGTCACAGTCGGCTTACTGGACGAGCTGCTCATTGAAGTCAACGGCTCGCTCGGACTGAGCGGGCGAGACAAGCTGACTCTGGCGCAGATGCTGGAAGCCGGCAGTTGGAAGGCAAGTTTCACTCTAGATTGATCTACGATTTTCGGCTAACTCGTTGCAGGGGGGTCGAGAAATTGCAGAAGTGTCGCGACCGAACACAAAAGAGCCGCCTATTATGATTCTGTCCGATGGAACTGTTTTCTGAGATACCCTGAGATTCCTCTCCTGCTTTTGTTTTCGCTTCTCTGTGTTCGACGGCGTGCACCAAACACTTCCTAATCTGGACTTTTTTCACATCACTGGCGTAGCACGGCTATAGCCAGTTGGATATTCACGATGCACGATCTCGAAGGTCGGCACCTGGCGGTTTTTTGCTTTTCATGGCTCCAGCGATGCATCAGTCTTCATCAGCTAGTTGCTAGCCTTTACTGCGATCTCATATGGTTTTCACTTCTCACGGGACATGTCTTGAATGCCAGACATTTAGGGTACGGAAAATGGATCTGTAAAATAGTAGGACATCGGCCCAGCCTAGGAATTTCAAGCGCTTCTAGAAAGCAGCATTCTGCGACACCGCCGAGTAATCATCACAATACGAATACACTTGACGCTATCGTGCGCACGTTCGGTTGTCCCACGTTTTCATACCCAAGTCCGCAACTGTCAGGGGTTGCGGCCTTGCAGCCGTTGCCCCGCAATCGTCGAGCTTGACGTTGCCAAGCTCGGATTTACACGCGTGCCCAAGCTTCGGAGCTCCTTCCCACGCCTCGTTTCTGCGCACTTGCCTCACTCGTAAAGCTTTGTTGTGCTACGCGCTTGTTTTACCGGCGCCCCGCAGATTCACTCGAGTAATTTCACCTCCTGCCAGTCGTACGCGTACGTTGCTCAATCCACGCGACTGCCATTGCGATACGTCATCTAATCACAGCTTCATCTCACAGCTACCGCGCCGCCCACGCCGCCCACGCCTATCGTCCTTCGTTCCGCTTTGTCTCCAGCCCTTCGCTAGGGCGTCTCACCGCAACGCGCAATAACCGGTCCCGCGCTGCCAATCAAACAACCCTCCATGATGAACTCCCAGAAGCGCCAAAAGCAGCGCAAGGTGCTGCTGATGGGCAAGAGCGGGGCGGGCAAGTCGTCGATGCGCAGCATTGTCTTCAGCAATTATGTGGCTAAAGATGTCCGCCGATTGGGCGCCACCATCGATGTCGAGCACAGCAACATCAAGTTCATGGGGAATCTGATGCTGAATCTGTGGGATTGCGGAGGGTACGTGCACTCGGCCTCGTGATTGAACAACTGGGTATTGACTGTGTACAGTCAGGATGGCTTCGTTGAGAACTACCTCACCCAGTCGCGCAGCCATGTCTTTGGTTCTGTGGCTGTCCTCATCTTCGTCTTTGATATCGAGTCTCGCGAATTTCAGGCAGATGTCGTTTCTTACTCAAACATCATCCGCGCTCTCCACGAGTGCAGTCCGACTGCAAAGGTCTTCTGTCTCATTCACAAGATGGATTTAGTGCAGGCGCGCCTCCGAGAAGCGATGTATCACGAGCGCTCGAACTACATCCGAGATGCCAGCGAAGGCTTCAGCGACACGGTTGAGTTCTTCCCTACCAGTATTTGGGACCAGAGCTTGTACAAGGCCTGGACCAAGATCATTTACTTCCTTATTCCAAACGCGGGCACTATCGAAGCACTGTTGTCACAGCTAGCGGACATTATTGACGCCCGAGAGCTGGTGTTGTACGAGCGCACGACTTGCCTCACAGTCGCGCACATCACACGAGGAGATGGCGAAGACAACCCTTTCCACGATCGCTTCGAACGCATATCCAGCATTCTCAAGACGCACAAGCAGAGCATGGCCAAGCACACGAACATCCCAGCTGGAAGCGCCAACTTCGCCGAGATGCAAATCAAGACTGGCAGATTCATGTTCTTTATCACTCGACTCACTGAGAACACCAACCTCGCTGTCACCATTCCACCCTCTGAGCAGGTCTTCAACGCTGCGCGTGTAAACATTTTCCAGGTCCGCCCCCGGTTTGCGGAGCTTGATATTGCATCAAAACCACGCCCTCCCATACAGCAGGCTTTCGCCGGCTCAGCGGACACAGTTGAGAGCAGTAAAGGCAAAGAGAAGGTCACAGGCTAGCGTTCTGAGCCCACGGCCGCATATGAAGATGCCGCGCGTTCTGCCCACCCAGCGTCCTCTCCACAAGGATCAGAATTGGTGGTAGATTCCGTCCCAGCACTTGAGGACGATTGCGGAGGCCATAACAATGATGAGGTACCGGGGCAGTATTTGGATCCACTCGCATGGTGGAGTCGCTCAGAAAGAAAGGCCGAATACGGTGTGGTCAAGCATGCCATGAGTAATGGAATGAGAAGCTTCCTGGATGGGCTATTTGAAGTCGCTACTAACGCGAAACCGCTTCCCCCTCTTTTGGAGCACTGTTGCGGAGACGTTACGGTCGATGCCCTAAGCCAACACGTAGACTTGACCTCAAAAGAGGACCTTGGGTGCAGAACTGCCATAGAACGTTGGCTAGGAACTGTTACGACCAACGGCGCTAATCTGGTGATCGAGGCAGGGTCGTCCGTGTTTCCCAGTGCATCACAGCTCTCCGCCCTGCCGAGTACCGTCAGCCATACTACGTTTGTGGATATGCAGCTTACCGCTGCTGCAAACATGGCTTTGGATCTCGTACTTGCAGCTTCGTCCGGGTCTCCTTTAATTCTAGAGGTGGACGAGGGATACCATTCGATGTTACTTTCCGAAAACGTCGGCTTCATAGCGCAAGCTTCAGGCCTAAATCACGGCGGCAATAACGGGCCGTCTGCGCAAAGTCTCTCGTCGGGCAGCAGCAGGCAAGGCGTAAGTCTTCCCAATCTCTGATTACAACTCACGATTAACACGAGGTTGTAGACGGAGCAAAGCGAAGATGCGTTCCAGATTCCGAGCCAACAATCCAGTCTCTTGTGCTTGTCAGCAGCGCCTGCGACACTCGGCATGCGATCGATTGCCAAGTCACCGCGCAGTATAATCACCAACGGGCCTCCGGAATGGCCAGACGCGTTCGACACTAATGAAGAATACAATCGTTGGTCGGCTTTGTGGTTCAAGACACGCAGAGAAGCGAGGGAGCTGGGACTTGACAGCGACGCAGAAAACGACCTCTTACTGGACCGCTGTTATAGTTACAACCGAGAGTGGGGATGGTACATGAAGTTCCGCGGTTCCGCTGATGATAGACTATGGGACATGGGTTCCCTGACTTGACGTCAAACGGCTGCTACGCGCCATGGCGTGAGCAAGGGGTCGGGCTATAAACGTTATTGGTATCCACATTACTGCCTACTGTTCATCACTATCCACTATCGCTATGAAAGTTCGCGTGATGTTTCCTCGTCCTCCAGTCGCTCTCGCGTTCGTACAACAACATGGTTGAGACGGCTATTCTTCCCTGTATTCAATGCAGCGCTGAACTCTAACCACATTAATAACTGCATTTGCTTTTGAGTAGTAACCTGATAGACACAACACCGTATTTTGACTCCCTAGAAGTTTGATTTCTTGTCAAAGGGCGATCAATCTGCAGTATCATATCCCGCTGATTTCTCAAAACGGTCGCACGATATCCTCAACGTGTCCTGCAGGCGGCAAGCACCTGCCTGACCTGGTTGGACCCGGCGAACCTTCAGACTCACGTGCACAGGGTCGTCCTTTTCAAGCTACTGCAGCATCCCCTGAACCATCTTCAGCAACACTCCACAGAACCTTTGCTCTACACTGTCAACTTGTCATGCACATCCTGGCAGCAACCTAAACGTGATCTTGCATGTGCATAGTGAAAGCCCGAGCGCACGCCCAGCCTCAAGACCCGTTGCCGTTGCCCCCAAAGCGCTTGATCACGGCCAAGCCAGACCAAGATCGAGGGGAGTCCGCGGTCCAGCGACTTGTGCCTGGAAACCCTGATCCAGGCCCACCCTGAACCCCGGAGTGCGCAGTCAACGCAACAGCACAGCCCTGGAACCGTACTTGCACACGAAACATCTTGTCCGAGGCCTGCCCTCGAGCCGCGCAACGTCAAGTCGATCTGTCACCGCTGCCGTGCCGCACCCCGAGCCACGGTATAGGCCGCAATTTGCATATGTGAACAGCCCAGCTGCCGCTGTGAAATGCCGCGTTCTGAACTCCTGCGTGCTCCTCCATCCTGACGTCAACATGTGCGTGTGCTGACACTACGTTCTCGAATCCCCTCTTTCGCGGTCTTGCCCTGCAATACTGATGGGAGTGAGCGTGCCGCGGGGCAGTGAGCGCGTACGTACACTATACAGCAGTCCCCGCGAATCGCCCGTGAAACGATGAATGCCGGTGCTGTATCCACTGCCTCCACTGCGCTGCGACGCTTCCAAGGCGGGGGGCTACAGCCCACGAAAGCATATCTCACGCAGTCCCGCGCAGACGCCCTGGCACTCCGTTTCTAGCTACGGATACTCTGCCGCGAGACAAGACAACCCGCGAGTTTGTAGCGACAGTGAGCATGTCCGTACTCGATAGACCATCCATGATGCAACCATACCCATGCCGTGACACACACACACACAATAGCCCCTTTCCATCCCCATCTCGGAACACAACTCTATACACACACCCGGCTTTTTCGAATTCCAGACCCAGTCTCCCCGATCCTCGATATCAGATCCAGACTTCATACTCCAGACTCCAGACTCCAGACCACAGAAAACCTTCCAGACCACGTCCTGCACTGTACTTACAACATCTTCCAGCCCCTCCCCGCTGACACACCACACAACACTCCCTCCCATCTACTCCACTCCACTCCACTCCTCAGCCCCACGGCCCCTCACGCCACACGCCACACGCCGCCATCGAAAAAACTCCGAACCGTAGTGCGGGCAAAACCCCTATAGCTCCACCGCAAGCCCGAAAGCATCCACAACCACTACCACAACCTCAACCACTAGGTACCACAAACCCTACCGCCGAATTATCGATACCCCCGCTCCCCCCGGCCGGGACACTAAAAATCTCCGTGTATAGCGTGCCGTTAACGCAGTGCCGCTAGACATTGGCACACAATGCCGTTAGATACTGGGACAGTACACCGAGCCGCTAGGCAGCTGGCACACATTGTTGAGGGCGGCGGCAGTTGGATCAGAGTTGGGTAGTGCGTAGTGCGACCCGCCGGAGCCATCTCCTTACAGTAGTCACATCACGGCGCGGATTTGTCCCAGCTGTGGGAGCCAGACGATGGACGTTGAGGAACTGCGGTGGTAACTATTCGCTGGTAGTGCGTTCATTGTACATAATGTCATTAAAGTCTCCTGGGGAGACATTGTGTGATCGTGCCTTTCCTTCGGCGATGTCCCGCGCCCATAATCCAATCAAACGCTCCGCTCCGTGTCTATTATAGTACATGTGCAAATGCAACGAGAATCCACTCTGCTGTTGCTGCCTCTCATCCTCAAGGGAGCAAAGAGGCGCATCAGTGGTGTATGACCTGACCTACGACCTTGAAGAGCTCTTCGTCGCTTGCTCGGTATATGGCATCGTCCTTGCCAAATGCCACGTCGAGACTGTCGGCGATTCTCCAGAATCGCCCTGTGTGTCCTTGGACTTGGTTGCTTCCTTGTCGGTGCTCCATGGCGATGTCGGTGAGCTGTCTTAGTCGGTTGGAAACAGCCTTTTGCTGTGCTCGTGCCGACGCCCAGAACATGGCAAGATCTTCGATGCAAGACATCGTAGTGCTGATCGTGTCGATCAGATGAGGTAGTGTAGTGAATGTTCCGGCAGATGATAGAACGTCAATTGACAGCATCAACGCGTAGCCAGGAAATGGTGTTGAAAAGAAGTATTCTGGGGCATGGTCGCGGCGTTGCCCAGTGATGTGGGCCAGATCTTGCATCATCGACAGGAACGTCGAGGCGTTTTGGAGTGCGTATTCGATGTTGCGACTTAATTTTCCGACAGGCAGTGCATTCACGCGGATCCGGCGATTGAGCCGGATGGCAGTTGCATGATAAAGGGCATGCAGTGACATGAAGGTGCCAACGTTGCCTTCGGCAATGCTGATCTCCAGGTTTTGTCTGGAGTATCGTAGGTTGGCAGGCAGCATAGCATGCCAGCCCTCTAAGCGCTCGTACGCCTTGGTATAGAATGGCTCGTAATGTTGTTCGTAGCCAGTATCCGGACGGCGAGCTGCACGTCCGGTGAATGTCAGCACATCACCCCAAAGGGCTGATATGAGGCAAAGGTACGCCATAAGACCAAGAGTAGGGGTCTTCGGTGCGAAGCGGTTCAGAAGCTCGTAATCGAAACTTGGAGTGTCGCACGGTGCACCAGCCTCAAAGGTAGCCTCGATACATGGGAGTCGGACGAAAGCATCTTCAATGCTGACAACAAAGAGTGTTCCACCAAAGAATCCGTTGTAGCGCTGTTGTTGTATTAGGTCATCGATGGTAGTTAGCCGCGTGACATGCAGACTTACATCCATCAGGAACCCTGACCAAAAGGTCCGTCGACAGCACTCCTCGAAGGTCTGACGATCGAACCCGTATTCATATCCAGGGGATCCATCTGCCAGCTCCTTCACACCCTCTTCGGTGTTCAGGTTCAAGGCACTGATCGCACGGAGTCCGCCACCACAGAAATCCCACGCCTCTGGCGCCTTGCCTTGACCGAATTGGTAGAGCGCAAGCAAAAGGCGAGTCTGGCAAAGTTGCAGGCTGAATTTCCCAAATCGCTTCTCCGCAGCGTATGTGGCGACGGCAGCGAATCGCTTTCCGAGTGCGCGTTTGTCAGCATCGGGTGAGAAAAGCGAGCCCATGGCGAGTAGCGAGTACAAGAGCATGCGATCATCTTGAGACTTGCTTAGTCGACTGGATTGCACCCACGACATGAAGGCTTTACGTGGGAACATGCCATATGTTGCCCGCCCTGCATGATGGAAGTACAGGTCCAGTATGTGTGATGTTGTTTTGGGATCCATTTCGCTGGGATCTTGTTCCCACTGCAGTGCAAAATGATCCTGGTATAAACCACCACTTCGTTCATGGTGATCTCGGTAATTCATCGAGCCACTCCTGTCGGATTCGAATGAATGAACTGACATGTCCCGAGTGCCAATGTTTGGAGGTAGTGGCAAATGGTCCCGAGCTTTCAACGGACATCCGTTGTGCCGAGCATCAGCTGTTCGCAAGCTCTCTCTCAAATCCGCAATGCGATTAACGGTCTCTGGGCCCATTGAAGGACTCATAGACTCTGCAGTATAGCTTTGGAGAGGTGCGATACCCATGTCTGGTGGTGATGCAGCGGCTGATCCACTGCCTGGGCTCGATTGATTCGGCTGGCTCATGCCCCTACCAACGGTTAGCATCATGTGTATGCTCGAGTCTGCACAGCGCCACGGCAGTTGCTGAGTGAACACCCTTGCACAGATCATAGGCTTTGAGCAACTTACCCTTTGCAGACCCTCTGAGACTTGGCGCACTGGTGGCACTTGGGGAAACCTGGCTCACATTTGATCTTCTTCTCTCGACAGGTCAAACATGCTTGAGCTAGCCGTTTACGCGGTTTGCCTGCTTTGGTTATACCCCATGAAGGATTGACTGGTTCGCCATCTATGACGGCTCTGCAAAACGTCCCGTCTTCGTAGATGTAGCAAAGGCCTTCACCTGGCATTTCACGCTGAGCAATACACCTCGACGCACGAACAGGGGCGCGTGAGAGTGCATCGACGCGTCTTCTGACCGGTCTGGAATTCTCTTCCATGTCGTCATACATTGGGCGGCTAGATAGTGCAACCATCGATTCGGACACTATTGATGGCTGACGGAAGGCGCTCACAGGAATGTTTTCGTGCATCGCCTTGAAGCTTCCATGGCGTTGGTACTCCATCGACGCATTACTGAGCGCAGACCCTGGCGTCGAAGGAGTCGCAGAGTGCTGCTCAGCTTGAGCCTGAGACGGTGGCGGTCGGTGTACGTAAGACATCTGCAGTGACGGTGCGTTGCGCTCGAACTGCTCCTGTCCGTGGCTATCAAAGTCGTGTCGTCGCTTCAAAGTAGTGGGGCTCCGCGATGCATATTGTGGAGAAACATTGGGTCTGTGTTGAGGTACGATTTGGCGCAGCGGATAGTCTGAAGGTTTGTCGAGAAGCTCAGGCTCCAAGAGAGTGCGAAGGCTAGGAAGTCGTCGTGTATTGCTCTGGCTTTCAATTGGTTCTTTTACATGTCTATGCTCGTTCTCTGCATGTGAGAAGGGCCCTGGCGGGGACGGGTAGGTATGGTAGGATGCTGGAGGCCCTCCATGGGAAGGGATGCTGGGTGGGCGGCTCATGCTGAGAAGCATAACAGACGAAAACGTTCAATTGTGGTGTGGAGATGTTCAGGACGAGACAGATTCCTCGATGATTTGTCCGGGAGTCCACATGAGACTGTTGAGTTTGAGGAAAAGCAAAGAGATCGGCTGTTAGGCTGCAGATACTGGGGATGTCTCAAGATGTAGCGACTACATCAACGGGCGTCCACACAGTTGAACACGTATATGTACCTGAAGACGATTAGGCAGAGGACGGGAAAATTGTGTGTGGAGCGCTGCAGGAATCTGCGGCTGTTGCAGACGACTAGGATCTGGAGAAGTTGTCAAAGAAGCCGTGAGTCCGTGCAGGGCTGACGTTTCGATTGACCACCGTCCGGCTCCTGCTGAAATGCAACCGAGGCGGCAGGGGAGAGTGGACCGCCGGTAGGGATGTACAGGAGCAATACGGGACCGACTTACAGTACAGGATTAGAATTGCGGCGCAGACGGGACTTCTAGGCGTCAAGGCGGGCTGGGCATGCACGAGCGCGGTCTCGAAGGAGCTCCAAGTGCGGCGAGGTACGGCAGTAATAAATAAAATCAGTGCAAGTATCAACAGAGGAGAATGAGGAGGATGAAGGAGCAATGGCAATGCGGCAGCAGCAGGGCGAGCAGCTGGTAGGGGCAGACGAGGTCCAACCTAAAGAATTGGGTCAGAAAGGTAGCGGCCGTGGCGGCGATGCGAGCAGGCCTGCTATGCTCTCAGAATCGCCGTAGCGCAGGCGGAGATGGGCAGGTCATGGAGCTTCTGCTGTTTGAGAGCCGAGAATGCAGCATATCCCGGGAGGCTTGTGGGGAGTCCGCCCGTGGCTTGCGATGTCAATACTGCAGTAGCACAGCGGAGAGGAATCCTCCTGCGCGCTCGCCGCGTAGCGTGTTTGGTGTGATGCAAGACACGGCAGCAGCTGTGCAGATTAGTGCAGTCGGGGAAATGACTAGGTATGGTGTGGACGATTGTGAGTGCTTTTCTCAGCCCCCAGATCTGGCGGCTGGCCGTCCCCGCCTAGCGCTCCGAACCATGATTGATGATTGTCGATCCATGCACCACCGATGTGATGCAGGCGAACATGTCCTTGCCGGCCGGCAGCCAATGGGCGTTTCTGGCATTGAGTTTCATCGAGGAGCCGGGGTGCGCTACTGGAGCGCGCCGTGGCCTGTCGAGGCTGGACAAGCGTCGACGATGCTGGCGTCGGTCCGCTGCGAGCGCATATTTAGCAGCTCAGACAGGCATGCTTTGGCGACAAGACACACTCAGCGGTCACCACCGTTTGTCTTTCGGTCTGGCGGGCCTACCGCGCCAGTCTGGCCCAGCACGCCGTCTGCTCGTGCAGCAGCAGCGCACTGGGACCTCAGGTTGACGTTGCCTGACGTTGGGAGGCGGCGACACATGTGCTTCCCCACTTGACCTAAGCGGCACGCTGGCCGATTTGGAGCGCGTTAGGGAAGGCGGGAGTCGATTTCAGCCAAAAGCGATCGAGACGAAACACCCTCTATTCAACGGCTCTAGCCTTGGCCTTGCGTGCATGTCATCGGCTGCTTGGCTTGCACCACCCTGATCCCAGCCTCCAGACCCTGTTCGGCTCATCACAAGAGGCGCCTGTTGAGCGAACCGGGTGAGGAGGCTGAGTATCCGCACTCGTCCAACAAGCGTCGACTACCGCTAATCGGCTCCGATGTTGGACGTGCCTCCGTGATTCGATCATGCCGGAGAAGCGTCTTACTTTCACAGGGACGGTACACTCAACGCTCACGAGATCCACAGATCCACAGAGGCAGCATGGTCAGGTGATGTTATGAGCCGCCACCGACAGCTGGAGAGCCGGCAACCACACGGCTTTGACTCCACGGCATCGACACGAGAACTCATAGGATCGTCGTCAAGCGATGTGGTCACTCCACAGCCAACGTTAGCGATGTTGTCGGCAGTAGCTCCCAATCAGGCAGGACGGTGAAGACCGTGGAGCATCACGTGCCGCGGCGAGATCGCCGCCAAGGCCCTAGAAGCCAGCTTCTTCCGAGCTTCAACTTCCCCGTTGTCTTATGCCCACATCCCGTCCAGCAGCCGCGGCATCGTGCATACAACAGCCTCTTTCTTGCTAGCGCATTAGTCCTAACCTCCACATTCTACAGATACAACCTAGGTTACCATCATGACCGCCGACGAGGTCAAGCCGTCGCCAGCCGAGCCGGCGCATCCCAGCGAGAGCACCAGTCACGATGACGGACACGAACACGGGCGAAGCGCATCGCCCGCGGCCCCACCAGCAACAGATGAACGCGCCTCTCGCGAGCGGAGCGAAGGTGCCATCTCAGAAGATAATCCACCGCTACCAGACGAGGAGGCGCCTCCCTTGCCTGATGAGCCTGTGCCGGACGAGAACGACGATGGCTGGAAGCCTTGTTGGGACAGCAATGCGAACGCCTGGTACTTTTACAACAGCAAGACCGGCGCCTCGCAATGGGAGAACCCACGTGTGCCTGAGGCCACCACAACCAGCTATGCTCCGTACGACAGGTTTGCTAACAAATGCCGTCTTATATCTCCTTCTCCATCCTAATATGTGATTGTGACAGAACCTACAGCGCTGCTGCCCTGCCTTCAAACATTGGCGCGCCCGGCACCAGCTCACCACCCAGGCGCAAATGGGGAGGCTACAACCCTGCAATTCATGGAAGCTATGACCCCAATGCCGACTACGCAAAGGAGGCGACGGAGGAAGAAGAGGAGGCCGAGGAAGCTGCCAAAGCTGCAGCAGCACTAGCCGCAGGCTTGCCAAACCCAAGTGCTGCAAACGACTATACAGCGCAAGCCCACTTCAATCGCTTCAACGGCAAATTTCAGACAGCAGGGCAAGGTCCTGAAATGCACAACGACGAGAACAAGAGCAAGCGCCAAATGACAGCCTTTTTCGACGTGGATGCTGCAGCAAATAGTCACGATGGGCGTAGTCTCAAGGCCGAGCGCCGCGGCAAGTCTCTGAACAAGAAGGAAGTAAAGGCCTTCAAGGAAAAGCGCCGTGAGAAGAAAGAAGAGAAACGCCGTGCTTGGCTGCTTGATTGAGTCGCTGGGTGGTAAGGAAGAATAGAGCAAGTAAAGTCGCTACGTCCACTAATGCAGCATAGCATCTCAATGATTTGCGCGTTGGCACTCAAGGTAGGATAGTATGTATTTGGAGGTGATTGCAGACATCCTAATGTTGTTTCATTAGCATATTCGACATCTACGAAGACTCTTGGCTGATCATCTATATCCGCGTTGGATGGCATATTCTTTTGGTCCAATCTATCAGACCTTACCATTTACGTGCGGAACGCACACCGTATGAACAATATCAATATACCACGTTTCTCATGATGATTGCGTTTGACCTTGTACCTCCGAATGCATCTGAAGCAACTGCGTCAAATGGCGTGGAGGGAGGTTTGTTGCAAGTAGCTGTCTCCTCAGGGCGGCGATGCTCATTTCTCCTGGGTATCCTTTGTCTGCATCTCTCCCATCTTCTCTGTGACATCCTCCATTGGCCCACTTGTATCTCCAGCCTTGAAAACCATATCCTCATCGGCCCCTGCGCTGCCCTCCCCGTTGCTGGGACCACCGCCAACGCTCTTTTCCAGCGCCTCAACATGCCCCAGCAACCAATCAACCACCTCTTTCTTGTCGTTGACCTCTGCCTCAAATACAGCGTCATGCCCTGCCTTGTTGAAGATTGTGATGTCACCTCCAGCTTCAATCAGCAGCTTCACCGCCTCGAGGTGCCCATTCAAACTCGCCCAGTGAAGTGCTGTATTGCCAGAAGCATTCGTCAAGTTGAGGAAGGGTGCTGGTTTTGTGGAACTTGTCGAAAGCAGAAGCTTGATGATATCTGGTGGACGAGTCAGCTTTGCGGTTGTGCCCTAAGCTGTGCGCGTATATACCATTGTGTCCGTTTGCTGCAGCATAGTGCAGCGCTGTATTTTGCGAGTAGGAATCCGCAGCCTCTGCAATTATCTGATCTTTCGGTTTCGATATCTGTGTCGAGAGTGTTGCAAGAAATTGCTCGAGTTCGGAGGCTTCGTTGGCGCGTGCGAGATAAAGGATCTCGTCCACAGAGTCCTCGTCGAGATTGGACATTGCAGATGTGTAATCTGGGCTTGGCTTATGGGTGGATGTGGTACTACGAGGCGTGGAAGGCGCGTGCTAGGATTGTGATGTGACGTGAGGCTCTGCACAACTTTTTTTCCTTGCCGACACCGAGCGTGGCGGGGCAAGTTTTGACGCGGGGTAGCGGCGCTAGAACGCCTTGGGTCCTGACGGATCGCTACTTCCTTGGAACTGTACTTCCGGACGCTCTAGAAGCCCCGTGCAAGAACAAGGCTCCAAGCCACATCAACGGCATAAGATGCTCGAGGACCCACATATTCATTACCGCTCGCGAAACGAGAGTTGTCATCTCCACCCTTTGAGATCATATTGCTGGGTCCTGTATCTTGCAGAGTGGTAGAAGCAGGCCTCGTGCAAAGCGTACAGTGTTAGCCTCTTCAGGCTTGATCCCAGAAGCTGCGCGTGGCCATCTAAACACTATCGAGAAACAGTCCTGGAACCGAGCAAGGACGTCATGAGATGAATGTTCATGCGTCGCCGGGCATTCGGTCGCCATCAAATTTCGCGGCGATCGTGCCGGCATCAATCTCGAAAAGGCCACATCACTTTTGGCATCAAAAAGGGTAATTGCGGCAGCGGTCCCAAGCAACAGGTCATTCCAACCCGCCCAATACTTGAGTGCATATTCTTCAATCCTTTGGCAAACTTTCGAAGACCCCGGATCCTGGTAGCGACAAACGTCGGGCAGAGAATGTCGCTGGCAGCCTTGCGTCCCGTATTCGCCCACCCCTGTCTCGGACGGCTTGAAATCATGGCCCGATAGTGACATAGATCACCAAAACACCCATATAACTTCGGCACATGAGCTCGTCTCGGTTGAGAGCCGCTCACTACCGTTTCAGGGGTCGCTGATGCAGGCCAAGGCGGCTATTTCAACAATCAACGGTAGATATCCTGCAGGTACGCGTGAAACTGCCCTCTGTGAAGCTCGCTTCAGGCCGCGACAGGTGCTAATATTCCAGGTCGCCAAATCCCGCAGGATTCTGAAATTACCGCTACCGCTGCCGTTATCAGCACCCTTACAATGCTATACCATTTCGCCAAAAGTATACTTACTTTCACGAGGCATGTCGTTCTTTTCCGCCTGTTTCAGGCCACGTGAAAAGCCACCATGGATCTGTTGTGAAACCACCTCTCACTGCGCCATCCTCCCGGAACTTGCGTTCCGCTTCACATGCACGGCAGGCGTTTGCAGTAAGACCAGTCGGAGTCGGACCGAGCGCCCAGGGCTAGAGCCTCTGTACAGCCGACTTCACATGCTCGTACTCAACGGCACGATCATCTGGATGCACACCGTAATCTACATGTAAATGATACATACATAGGTACCCAACATAGACTACCCAGCCCCGCGTCATACACAAGGAACAATGCTGTACCAAACATGTCACTCCCAGCCACGCTATCGCAACGATGGCCTCCTTCGCTCGCACTCCGTATCGTAGCCGCCACCAACACCGAGCGGCCCACCGCCGTCGGCCTGACGCCTCGACTGCCGAAACACCTCTTGCCGCTCTTTGCCAACGAAGGAATGCTTCGCCCGTTGGTACATGCTACTAGAAGCTCCCTGGGACGAGAGTCCGAGCATGAGCCGCAGTGCCGTAATGATGCATGATCATTTGTCATAAATCGTATAGGTCGATTCAGCCGGAGTCGGATAACAGCGCTGTCTCGTTCTAAAAAAAAATGCACAAATCTAGGATCATCGTAGACTTCGCAGTGATGCCGAGGATGTCCACCCATTTGCTTTGTCTCCTGGGCAAGAATCTCTGGGCTCTCTGGGCAAGTGTCATCGTACTCCACTTGTACATTCTGCAAGACAGTCTAAGACTGATGAACGAGTGGAAACGAGAACTGGATGTGCTAGCCGAAAGTGTATGTGCTCTCACAAACAACAGCCGTGTAGCTGGTCGAGCACACCTTCAATCTCTCCTTTCCTGCATGAGCACATCATGAATGTAACCGCCCTTCGGTCCGTTGGACCACAGAAGTACACCTTCTGCCCTGCACGCTTGGGCACCATCAACAGCTCAACAACGGATCGCCAATCAAAAGTACACAGAAGCGTTATGGTCATTTGACCCGCAGTCATTTGTATCATCACTATGATCGGCAGCCTGAGCCTAGCTTAACGTACCCAACTCCAGAACCCGACTTCAAAGCCCTCCTGTCGTGAAATGGCTCAGCAGTGTCGTAACTGGTCTCAAGAGTGGTACTCTCCACCTCGCGCCCCGTCTAGCCTCTGTCTCGCTGGTTGGCTCCACCCGACGATGCACTACGACGTCACTGACATACTCATCATCAGTACCATGGCCTCGAGTTCTGTGCAGGGACTAGCCTTTTCCTGATCATCTGGTACTGTTGGCGTTGGTTTTAGTATTCTAGAGTCTCTGGTTCACAGCTTGCGTCGTTGACTGGCGTGTGGTAGGGTGGTGCATTGGTCGCCTTCACATCTAGCAGAGCGTTCTCTGTTTTGCATGAATCTATGAGAGGAGTAGACTACGCCTATGACTGCTTGAGCTTTGCATTCTCCATTAGAGCGGATGACCAGGAAGTGGCTGTGACTGGAAATCGTTATAGGTATTCGAATCGAGCAAAGGTGAGACTTGGCGAGCGAAATTTGGAGCGGAAGGAGCAACAAACCATGGCACTTCAGAATAGAAATAGCGCAGAACACTCACCGGTGTTCGAAACAGAAAAGCTCTCACTGCAATAGCTTAGAGGAGCTCATGTGATGTACGTTACTTGATAGTATCCACATGACTGTCTTGTTAACCAAGTCAGCTCAGTGTGGCACGTAGCAACACTTCACCTCCACAACTTGTTTATTCAATTGAGCCCCACGTCCCTTCCGGTAGCCACGCTGTTGACACACCGTCGTCTTCGGAGACTCGTTGCAGAACTCCTGCTCGCGACCGAACGCATCGAGAATCAACGAGGACCACTTACAACGGAGCGGCATCGTGTTCATTGTATGCTTTGAGAAGCCGGTCAGACGTGATGTCACTTCTGTCAAACCCACTAGACATCCTTGTAGGAATCTTCGCCTTTCCACAAGATGAATATGTCGAGAGCCATCGCTGCGAACAACTGCTTGCTGCAGAAGCGTCTGCAGTGTTGACGCAGATAAGAGTCATCGGGTCCCAACATCTTATGTCAGTCTTCAGAATCTCGTTCGCTCACTCCTCCTCCTTACGACAACTCCTTCATTGATGTTTTGTACAGTGCAACGTTGGCTTTCGCGAAACCGTTGGTAAATCCATGGCCACGATCTATCGCTCACGCCATCGTCCTTCGATCAGGGTCCTTATAAAACACACCGAAAGTCGCAGTTGTGATTTGGAGGCAAGTCTAGAGACATCCCAGGTAACATAAACATTCACGGCGGCTGTGACTGATATTAAGCACCCAATTGATGTTAAAGTACATCAGACAGTACATTGGGCAAGTTTCATTTGTAACAAAGTTCAAATTCTCTTTTCGTTTTCCACGCAAAAGGTGGCGTGACGCCCCAGTGGACATATGCAGTGATCATCGTGAACGGTCTCCAGGTGCCACATCCCGTTACCCTACAACAACAAACAAAATCCGTGGAGGCTCCGAATTAGCAATAGTACCAGGAGATAGTCGCCCGCATCGCTCGCGCTTAATGTACGCATGGGTCAAAAGTGTTATCGGTTGTTAACTACACCAGACGTGTCTTATGAGAGACACTTCCAGAGAACACGACGACATTGGCACGAATTACATGCTTGCGACAGACCTAAGACCCTCTCATGTTTGTATCTGCCGCTTTTCGGCAATGTGGGTCCACAAAAGCCTATCCAAGCTTGACACGCCATAATCAAGGACAAATGCAGCTGTCTGAACGCTTCCGCCTTCTAGCTCAGAACGGTCTCACGCCACAACAAAATTATGGACCTTGTCTCAAAAACCGCGGTGTCATACATCAAGATGTACCGATCAGGCAGGTAAGAACGTCTTCAATTAAAGGCAGACCTCAAATTTCGTATAGCGAGAGAGACTTGCTGTCACAAGCAGAGGTGGAGACATAAAGTTTGTCAGGTGTATTGGGGTACCCACCTTTCACGACCTAGTGCTAGGAAAAGGGTATTTGTTGAGACTTTGGCCAGTCCATGACAGAAAGAATATAGCCTCAAAAGTTCCGACTTGCCGTATGCATGCCGCACCGGCACTATGTATCGACCCGACGTGCAACCCTCCTGTAGGACTAAGTATGCCAGATTCGGGGTTAAGTTCGTCGTTGTCTGCTACTGTAAGGTCAAGCTAGATGCAGATCGCAGATTAGGACGTGTGGTGTGCTGCACGCAGAGTGCAACATAGGTATTGATGATTGTTTGTGCAGCCATGGTACGGCAGCATACACAATGCCAATCTAGCATTGCATGGTGTTGAGCCTTTTGTTTTTTCCACGCCATCGGTGTGACAGACTACATACGGCACTGGCGTCAAGCTAATGCATGCTGCATGCACTGCAGACTCGATGTCTACCCAAACAATTTTGTGTTTGCAGACTCACAGGCATCTTTCGGCTCGCCCGGAAACCAAGTCTTTGTTATAGAGTGCAAAGCGAGATATTTAGCACTGCCTGATGAGCTGTTCGATGCATTCGTGTACTCTGCACATGATCTCTCTAGGGTGGACCACACACTCTACCACCCTTCAACGTCATAGCGGATGATCGATGCAGGGTGTTTCCACAATGCCCCACCTTCTCCCGCTCCATCAGCCTTGCTTACCTATCTTCGACCGCCACCTGGGCAGTGACGACTTTCGTGTGTGCTGGCAGGTGACTACAGCTTCCTGTGTTGAAAGCAAAAGCTAGGCCGGAAGCTCCGATTGTGACATCAAAGAGCTGCTCGGGATGCCGAGACGGAAAGCAAGGTGGTGTGATACGCTGGCAAGATACTCGCATTCGAACCATGCGCGCTAACCGCTCGTGGATTAGCACGACCAAGCGAGAGGCAACGTCTTGGAACGCGGGGACAAGCTGGGCTTGAACCTGCGAAGCCTTCAGTCGGTGCTATCTTGCAAATCTTGACCCGAGTCTGGCGCTGCTTGTTCGGCCTGGTGAAGTGGAACGGTATAGTGTAAGTGTCTAGTACACATGTTGACCGGCTTCGTAGGAGGTATCTGTGAAGGTACACGGAGACTCTGCCCAACCCAGGAATGCTCACGCAACACGATTATCAAAACCGATACCATTGAACAAAGGAATGCGATCTGAATTTTCATGGCGAAGATGTTGCACCATCAGCTTGACCCTGGACCATCGGTGACTCCACGTCAGCCCCAAGGAATCTCTGATCTGGGAAGGCACAAGGCGGACTTGGCACAGTTCAAGTGCTCATCTTCCGCTCGCGTGAATCTGGTATTGTTTAGCGTGTCACAGAGACCTCAGCTCGTTACATTTCTTCTGGTCAAAGTTTAGAGAGTCTCTTGACCACCTGGGCAGAGTAGGTAGTGCCTTACAATCTGTCTTGTGTAGGGCTGCGCCGAGCAACTTTTGCCTTCATCACTGGCCAAGAGAACCAAAAAACAAGGACTATTTGTGCTCCCAAATCTCCGCTGAGGCAGCTTTTATGCGCAGCAGAGAGGTTGCGCCACCAACAACATCGACCTGGATGAAAAATGAGGTGCTGATCCTGGTACGGTCGCTCTATCTGACTAGTGGTTCTCATTTAGCGTGTGATCGAAGCCACACGAAGAGAGTCAGGTCACAGCCCAAGACGAGAAAAGTCTTGACAAAGGCAGACTTTTAGGGTGTGCGACGAGCGTTTGTCTGTGTCCACGCAGCTGCCTGACCCAAGCCCACGCTCCCTGTAAAGCTCGTGAACATTGCTTTCACTCAATCTGTGATTCAAGTCGCTCTGGAAATGCCGGAACGTGTATTTCAACCCAAGGGTTGACCATGTCAGATCCCGAGGACACTAAGATCAGGTAAACTCTTGCGATATCTCGACTTGTCTTGTTTTCGCTACTGATTGGGCTTCAGCAAGTCCGATGCTGGACATCATGAGCGTCGTAGCTCTTTGTTCGGGGCGTAAAGAAAGCATCAGCAAGTTGACCACCGACACTAAGGGGGAGTACGTCACCAAATTATCTGCTTAACATTAGACAACTGATACATACATGAGTTGTAATCTTCTTGTTAGTATACTAAAGCCAAGCTTGATTTAGATTTGCTCAAGAGCACTATTTGAAGAATATCGAGCCGCTTTTTGTGGAGGTGCTGCCCAAGACCGACTGGAGCACGAGTCGGATCTTCTTTGAACCGAAGGGGATTACCTCAAACCATACAGGAGGTCTTGGAGCGTAAAGGACAAAGTAGATTCCAAATCCTGACGCCACCGTGAAGTGACTGTCTCCAACCAGCACCCACTTCATCATCACCAGCACCAACCTCTTATGGGCGAGCAACATCAGTCGCTCTGTTCTTGGCATCACCCTATAAAAGAAGAACCGCAACACGTAGCAGCACACAAGTAACAACTCATTCACTTCAATTGAATGGAAAGACACTTTAGCGAAGTAGTCATGGTGAAGCAGGCCTACATGCAGAGCCGCAGGGCTGCCTGCAAACATGACAGCGCACCAATGCAGGGGACCTAGTCCGCGGATGACGTGACTGGGCCCGAAATTCCTTATAACTAAACAAGTTACGTTCATTTTTGATATGCACTACGTGTTGTGGGTTGTGATTTGATAGCTTTACGCATCTGCAGCTGGTCGTGAGGGCTAGGAGCAAAGAATATTGAGGCCGACATATTCAGGTTACTTTTCGGAGAAGCTGGTGAACTGTCAGCCTTGATCTCCCAGATTGGAACAATAAGAACACTACCTGATAGTATAGGGGACCTCAAGAGCTCGATCAATCTGTCTCAGATCTCCCAGACGGAACTGAGCTGAATACTAGACAAGCTCTGGCCTCTTGCGTGCTGTCCTGAGGGTGACAAGCAGAATCACTGACCACTATACTATCGAAGACATCCAACTGACGGTTGGGAAGAGACTTGATTGGTCGATGAAGGACTCCCCGGATGTAAAACTGGTGAGTCAATGAGCAAACGACGACCCAGATACAAGTGTGAATACAGCAAGACGTAAAATGTGGTGCGTTGTACTAAGGTGTGGGGCTGTCATGATGATAGTCTGAAGTATTCAATTCTGCCTCCTAAACCAACCCACAGACATCGCTCTCTAAATCAAACTCCGTAACAACCATGCATATCGTGACTCCACCCGCCACTCTCATCAACTCTATCAGCCTTCAGTAGTGTGCGCATCTACTCGCTCGCCTTCCCTTTACCAATCTTCGCAACCTCTACCTCAATCGCAGCCTCTACATCCTTCTTCAACCCCTGGTAGAATCCCAACTTGAACAGTATCTCATACCACACAAACAGCGGCGCCAGGAACAGCGCTTGCACTAAATTATCCAACAGCGCCGGCTTCCTGCCCTCGAACTTGCCATGCCCAACGAACTGCATGATCCAGCTAACGACATGCACCGCGATGGCAATAGTGTTGACCTTTGAACGGTCATACTTGGTCGTGAGCTTGTTCGCGAGCGCGGCGGCACCGACGATAAAGGGCGTGATAGATGCGCCGGCGATGTTGGGCGAGAGGACCAGGTAAAGGGTTGAGTACGTGAGTGAGGCGAGGGTGCCAAGATTAAGAGGGAGGTTCAGGCGGGTCAGCAGTGCTGGGGTGCGAAGAGATGGCGTGTTCGTGCCCTGCGTAGTCGTGAGCTGCGATCAAACTTGACAAACGCGTGCGACGTACGAAAAGAAATCCAGTGGCTAGCAGGATGGGAACACATCCTATATGAATCGCGACATTGGTCTACCAGACCTGGTGTTAGCAATAGAGGTATACGTGCTGGGATCAGCTTCATGATCGTACAGGTTCGCGATGGTATGCGCCGTACTTGAAGCAGTCAGCCGATGTCAAGCGGTTTCTCGTTCCTGCAGATAAGAGCTTACGAAGACGAGATTCTTCTTCAGATCAAAGATCGCCATGATGTTGCTGTGTGGGTCGTCTGCCGCAAAGGAGAGTTGAGAACGATGGTGCGATGCGGGGAAGGCCAAGCACAACAGCCACGCAAACAAAGCTGTTCAGATTCCGAATCGCAGAGCCCGGGTCATGGTCTCTCTATATTGTCTGACACAAGGCTCCACCAGCTCTGACCTGTGTATCACCACATCGCCCCGAACATCCGCAGCTGCTACCCCATGGGGCTGCCATGGCCCGTTGGCGTCGCAGGGGTCCACAGGAACCGAGGCCAATCTGAGGCGTCTCATTGGCAAGCTTCGCTCGCGCAAGTGTCGCGCGACGCGTGCATGTGAAGTATTCCGAAGTAGCTGCTTGAGTGGAGTAGCGTAGGAAGAGGCTCGTACGAGGTCATTCGTGTACTCGGACAGTCACTGCGTAAGCGCCAACGGTTGCATGCAAGCTGAAGGCCACTGTGGTTTTGCAATGCGGTCCTTACAACGAATGCGATTTGATATATAAGCCTCTTGGATAGATGTGCTGTCGGTGGGCGTAATATCGAGATTGAAGCCTGAATAAAATGGCAAATTGGTGGGTGGATTCAACGTGCTCTCGCTCCTCGAGGTTCCGCAGGTTCCGCTCGATTTTATCTATCTACCGGCGCTCACATCAGCAACCTGCAAGCACATTTGTGCAGCGACTGCATCTCCTCTACACTTCGTTTGCCATTAGTGCGCTCAGGTGGCATCTCTCACATGATGTGTGGTATTCAAGACAGACTCCATCAACTGATACGCAAAGCTTCAGTCAACCGTGTGTCTGAGCAAAATTTCGTAATGCAGCATGATCATTCCATCATGTATTATGTACGTCTTGGAGAAGAACAGTCGCCTATACGATAGGCTCCAGGATTCAGGCCGCAGCGCAATATATTGCACGCAGATCGAAATGATTTCCTACTTGCTTGTGTGCAAACACCTCGCTCGGAGGAGCGACAGGCTCTTCGTGTACCCCTGGCTTCGCCGCACCTTTTCTGCGCAGGACTCCAGTGTTCCAAGTGTACTTCGTCTGCGCTGTAACACTCGGGGCCTAAGACACACCTCCGAGCTTGTACAGTTGGGGTTCTGCAAGTCCCTTGCGGCGGAGAACGTAAGTCTTTACCTACCAAGGGACGTTCTTAGTAGCCTGGTACCTCATATGAGTACGCATGAGCACGGCCAATATGTGATCGAGTTTCTCAAGGGTATGTCTGAATGGTTCTCTTTGACGACAAGAGTCACTCTTAAAGAAGCTTGGCTTTTGGTCACCAATAAGAGGATTGCAAATCCTGTATGAATCAATTGCCTGATGTGAAATAAATGATTTGGTGGCTTTAATTCTTAGCTTTGGCGGTCAACTTGATGACTGTCGGAGAGATACGACTCTATTTGCCGTCTTGAGCCTTCTTGACATGTTGTGTGGGTGTTGTGTGGACAGGCGGTCATGCCGACATGTTTCGTTGCGTTGCACGCTAGTACTGCAAGCACCATCTGTTTTGCTGTGTTGATCAGGTATATGTGACTGTTCCCTCTGACGATATGTTGTGGCGTATCGTCTACTGTGGTGCGATAGCGTTCAGATCGGAGGCTATATCGGTCTGCCAGTATGTCTAAAGAGCTCAAAAAGTACACAAGAAGTTTCAGATCACATCCTCCCACAATCCTAAAAGCCAGTCGTGGCTATATTGGGGTCCAAATCATTTCTTCCCCTTCTTCTTACTTCCTTCGTCTTTGTTATCCTTCACGAAGCCTCCCAACACTAAAGCTTCTCGCGCAGCAGTATTGATCAGCCTGAAGCGATCGGGACCAAGATGAACGCCACCATACCATCGTGTGACTACAACCATAACGTCCCATACATCCATCAGCTGCATCAAATGCAGCATACGGCTACCGGCGGCGGTCTCGCCATCATCGTCGCAGTCCTGAAAGACGGTGTCGTTCGGGCCTTTGATTCTCCAAGATGTCATGTTGTGTGTTGCCTTGGCTGCCTTCTTATCTGTGGCTAGCAAGTGCGCAACGTATTGTTTTGCTTGCGCTGGCGACGATACTGGAGCCACGCGGGCAAGGAAGACCGATTTCTTCTCACTGATTGGCTCTCCGACGATCCATGGAGGCTCCGGTCCAAAGTCAGCAGTCGAACTCTGAGGCGCATGGGATGATGTTTCCTCCTGTAATGAATCTTCTGACTGTTCGTTCAGGTGGAATTCTCCCTTCTCTTCTGCTTTCCCTAATGCTTCTCGTGTGTCTTCTAAGAGGTCGTATATGCAGGCCTCGCCAGGCCGATAAACTTGAGCAAGTACATCTCTCACTATATCCACTGCTCGACTTCCCATACCTTTTGGCACATCGTCCCCAACGCTTTGGGTCCCAAGAACCGAGGGCGGGGCATCAGGATAATCTGCGGGAAATTCGATGCGAAGGACTATAGATGTGAAAGACGGGAGTCGAAGACTGAAAAGGCCGGCACTTGCATCGATTGGTGACAATGTCTCTTCGTCGAATATGGCGTTGATTGAAGTCAGCTCGTCCTCGATGGCATCGGTCGACGACATGGCATAGACGCTTTGAAGGGCTTGGCAGAGCGATGTTGGAGAGGAAGGCACGCTAGCGCGAGAAACCGAAAACAACATACGCGCAGCGCGTCTCATTTCTTCACTACACCAGCACGCCATCAATTAGCGATTTATCAGGCACGCTGCCATTGGAAACGATGGCGCAAAGTAATGACGCAAAGCGCGCAACAACCGTCATTACCATCGCACAGCTCAAGTTCAAGCAAGGCGTGAAGAAGGCAGAAACCGAGGCCCGTCTTCCTCCTGTCTCTGTGGAGAGCTGTTCCCAGCTGTTCGGCGCTATTGATGCTGTTCTTGCACAGAACACACCCGTGAATATCCAGGTATCTGATTGCAATATATTGATCGTCGTGGTGAGCAGACTAATCGAAGACCGTAGACATGCACAGAGTGGATTGTCAAGCACATGGCTCCCTCTAGGATCCGCATTGCAGTGCTCGGAGATTACTTGGTATCATTATCCAAGTCGCTGGTCTTTGACACATCGGTGACAGGCAAGAAGGCTGTGCGCAATCGACTGGACCTTCTCTTGGTCCTCAACGATGCGCTTCATACTGACAAGCACCATGACAGTAGTTCCACAAGACGTGGCTTGCTTGGTACCGAGCTGACGTCTCATCTTGCCGAGCTCGTTGAGTTGGCAGCAATGTGCGCTACAGGGAAGGACTCCCAGGTGGAGAAGAAGCTGAGGGCTATTGTTAATTATTGGGCTACTAACAGGCTTATCAGTGAACAAGCATACAAGATTATCAGGGAGCGGGCAGACGAGGGCTTTCTGCAGGCGCGAGGTGGCACTCCTGTGCGTAAGCGCCACTATCTTCTACCAGAGTATCACGGCGACCGGACGGCACCCTGGTACGAGCTGCCAGCATCGTACATGCTTGGCCAAATGGTCAAATCTCGACACCTGCCCCTCGATCCGCACCGTATCAAGGTGGCTCGGTTTGACAAGAAGCCTGCCTCGGCCCACGTTCGCAAGCTACTTGACGACTACTTCGAAAACATCGATCTCAAGCACGCACCGACCGGCGACAACCCGACCGGCGAAACGAAAAAGTACAATACGTGGTTGGATTCTATGGGGCAACTTGTCAAGCGAGACAAGGAGACAGGTGATGTGACAACCGCAACCAACGGCTACGGATGGTCTATGAAGTTCTGTCAGGACATGCAGAAAGAAGGTATACCTGAGAGCATTAAGACCCTACGGGAGGATGCTGAGCGTATGGAGACTGTATCACAGAAGGAGCGCGAACCGAGGCGCTACTCCCGCTCACCCCGACGGCACCGGCGGTCGTCTTCATCCTCGCGTGAGCGCGACATGGATCGCCGCAGTCGAAGTGGTAGCTACGCTTCAAGGTCATCTTACGAAAGTCACTCGCGATCACGCAGTCGGCACCACCGTCGCCGCAGTCGATCACCACGGACCGATGAGAGAGGCCGCATCGACCGTGACAGGAACTTTGATGATCGCCAGAATGAGAGTAGACGGCCACCACCGAGGCCATTGGAGAGAGGTCAATCACAGTCGAGTGGGCACTGGAATGTGCAGCAAGCACCAACTCACACTAGTCAGGGCACCCCTAGCAACAGCCAATACCCACACCAGAGTTTCACACCCAACTTCTCACAAGCCTCACAGCCGCCATTCAATGCGCCACCGTTCCCACAACCACCGATGCCAACCCAGTTCCCGGGGCCGTTTCCTATGCAGCCATTTCCCCCGCCACCCCCACCGATGTCATTCCAGGCACCGGGAGGGTTCCCGAACGGTATCCCACCCCCTCCGCCAAACTTCAGCGGCCCATTCCCACCCCCACCTCCAAACGTTGCTGCGATGCCAAACGTCCCGTACCCCTTCAATAGCCAATGGAACAACTTTCAGCAGGGAACCCCTCCCGGTTTTAACCAACAAGGTCAAGGTGCTTATCAGAATCAAGGATTCAATCAGAACCAGAGCCAAGGGCAAGGCGGCTTCCAAGGCGGTCGTGGTGGATTTGGAGGAAATCAGCAGAGCGGTGGTAACTTCAATAAGAGAGGCAACTATGGTGGTCGAGGACAACGAGGGGGACGATGGAACTGAGATAGTCAGCAGTCGCGGATCACGTCGTCATTTGAGCCCCTCGAATAGTCTGCGTAGCGATCTGAACATTTCATAGAGCAACCAGAGCAGTCCCTTTCTTCGATTGACTAATGTGTTTGTTTCCATGACTTACTCTCACCTTCACTAAGTATTGATCAATTCCAGTTTTAGTTGCATGTGACAACTTCACTTGCGTTTCAATAACGACTTGATCTGACGACCTTGACCTCTGCATCTACCTAACCCGAGCATCATATTCTCTAGATATCGCTTTTCTTTTGTTTGCCATTTGATCGATTACTTACAAGTGGGCATCGACGCGACGCGCACTACACGCGCCTGATTGGTTGATATGGTACGTCAGTAGTTCGGCCGGCGGAGGTCCCGCAGCAGCTCCCTCGAGCTCCCTCGAACCACACCAAACATTGCACACAACGCACCTTTTATTGACCATGGCCTCGGCCAACAGTTCCGTAAATACCCCCCGCGCGATCGCCGCGTAATGGCGACTCCGAAACGAAAGCGTACACCCACTAAGGACACTTCCAGCAAGCGACCCAGATATACACAGCCAGTTACCAGCAGTCTTGGTAGCAGCAGCAGCAGCGGCAGTGGCAGCAGCGGCAGCAGCCACGACGAGGAGGCTGAAACAGACAGTCAAGAAGAGTGGGAAGCACTGCGCATACTTGCGCAAAGTGGTCAAGGATTTGGTTTGCGATACCTCGTCGACTGGTCGGGCATTGATCCTGCGACTGGGAAGCAGTGGGAACCAACCTGGGTTAAGGCTACAGCCGCCAGTGAGAGTCTGCGTGCAGCTTGGAGAGAGGAACAGAGTACGCTGGCCCAAGAAGAGAGCCGGGCTCGAAGTACTTCGCAGCCACGCCGTTCACGGGGGAGGCCACGGAAGCATACTGTCGCAAGCACAGAAACGTCTGCATCGGCTCTTGGGGTCGAGTACCCAGCAGAGTCGCAGCCACGACGCTCACGAGGAAGGCCACGAAAGCACATCGTTGCGAGCCCAGAATCATCTTCATCGGCATTTCAAGTGGAATCATCAGCCAAGACTGGACAGAGTGAGGCTGCAGCAATATCTTCAAGTTCGACGGCTTCTTACATTAGTGTTCTCAGACCGGACGGGACATCTCCACAAATTGCCGTCGACTCGCGCGGGGACAGCTTCAATCGCGGCGAGTACGAGCTGCACTTAGAAATACCAGAGTCGCAACCTTCATCAGAATCGAGAACCGCCGATACTGATCTAGAGAGCTCGCAGCTGTTCGCATCACAACCTCCCTTTCGTGCTTCAGGTATCGTTCCAGACACGCAAAACTCTGCTGAGGACGCTAGCTACATCCCAGTCACTCAAGAAGAGCTTGAATCGAGCGTCTATTCCAGCTCTGCTGAGGAGTCTGATGAACACCTCATTGGTTATTCGGTCAGTCCTTGGTGTACGCAATTATTGGTTCACAGTCACTAATTTGTGTGAAGGGTCTACTGAACAGAGACGGACCTGCAACGCTAGACGCACGCGCTCAGTCCCCTGCAACATCCATTGCCGAAACTGTAGCAGAAATTCCCCAAGATTCATACAGCGAACGCCAACTCGAGAGCCAGCAAGAGGAACCAGAAATCTCAGAAACTTTAGTGACACCGTTGCCAACTATAGGAACCGATTTCACGTCTGCACAAAAGACATTTTCCGGCGAGAAGCAGTCTGATACTATTCCTACAGATTTGCACAGTCGAGAGAATCAACAAGAAAGCGAGTCTCACGCCGCCTTGGTTGAGAGCGCCCCGCAATCTCCTACTCAAGGGCTGCAGCAGCCGATCGGGGATATAGCAGAGATTACTGTGCAGTTTGAAGAAGAGGTCGAACCTGCAGACAACGCCACAAGACCAGCCCTGAGCTCGACGAAGCTAGAGCTGCAGTCAGAGCTTCTTGTCGTTGCAGACACGCCCCAGATCTCTCAGGTTGCAACCTCGGTTCAAGAAAGCAGTACCCAAAGGGAGCCTCAACATTCTGCGCTCTATTCTGAACCTGTACATTCAAGCGTGTATAACGAGACTGAAAGTTTCTTGATTGAGCGCACTATTCTGGAAGAGAACGCGCTATTACCTTTCCAATCGCAGTACCCGATTTTCTCATCTTGTACAAATTCGGCACAGCGAGCCACATCAGAACCACCGAAGCCTGGTAACACACGCGAACTTGAAGGTGCACGCGGTACGACCCTTGACGATAGCGAGGAAAGCACTACCATAGACGAGATCAGCCAACCGTTTGAACACGGAGAGCCATTGTCACACCCATTACCCATACAGGTAGACGAGACACACCTCAACAGTGTAGCTGAAGTCACAATTGGTCAAGAGAGCCCTGGTGGAGTTTCGCAATCACCTCTTTTGACTGAGCTTTCGACTGGATCTCGCGAACACAACGCGCAGTTCATTTTCTCCAGCGCGTTTGCGGATACTGAAAGAATCACTACTGAAAGTGTTTCTGCCACTTTAGTGTCGGATCTGATAGCAGCGCGCAGATCGAAACACAGCGGCTCCATTTCACGACACGACTCATCACAAGAGTTTCCAGAGCGTCTGTCGCAGTCAGCTGTGAACAGCTCTTCGCCGGTACCACACCCACCGAGCTACTCGCTAAGAACGCTAGACTCCAACGTTCCAGCTAGACCAGCTACTCCGATACTCAACTCATCGTCATCCAGGATGGCAGGAGACACGACAGAGAGTGCGGGAGACTTGGCCGAGCGACGTCTCAGAGAAAGCCAGGCGTTGAGAAATGCCAACAATCCATACGTTCCCCGAAAGCTTACCAGACTTTCGCAAGCACCGCTGGGACCTGGCAGGCCACCTGTTCCGCCAGCCATCAATGTCTCAGCGGAAGGCACAAGGTCGCCATCAACAGTGCCGGATCGGTCGCCTGCACCTCCTGTCCAGACATCCTTGCGGACTGTAGCGTTCGCAAACGCTAAAGACAATGCCACGGAGTCCTTGCTCAATAATCCGCTTGCTGCGACATGCTCGAACACGAATGCAGGACCAACGCAAGAAAAGGCTGACCTTGTAGCTGCAGTCGCAGTGGCGGCGGCATCTGTTGTACCAGACGCATCTCCCATATCATCGTCCGATGATATCATCAAGCGACCGGATGATAACGATCATGACGTCGTGTCTGATGATGATGATGAAAACGAATACCATGAAGAATTGCATCTTGAAAGAGAAGAGTATATTGTACCTCTTTATATCGATGGGCGGCAGAAAAACTCATACATCGAATATATAGAGCGAAAGACTGACCTACTCAATGCGGTCTTAGAGTCAGAGGGGGATCTTGCTTCGGACATGATTGATGGGGCGGAACAGGTCTTGACCCATCTGAGGAATCTGGAGACCCATCCGGATTTGACTTACGCTGAGGCAGAGTCTGCGACGACTAACCCTGACTCGCGCTCTCGAGCAGATGTCCAACACGGAGCCCGGTTTGGTATCGACAACTCAGTCAAGTTCAGGTTTCTGGGCGAGCTGTTCGACCAATTACGCGAACACAGCATGCATGTCGTGCTCCTTCTGGACCAAGCTGACACTGCGCTGATCAACATCTTGCGGACCTTCCTGGAAGCTGCAGCCCATAACTACCACATGCCTCTTGAAGGATATACGTCGAATGTGTCAGATGACACACTTAGAATCACTGTTATTCCAAGGACCCCCTCACTTCTTTTGCAACGCGCTGATCTTGCAATCTGCTTGAACGGTGTTCAGAGTGCTTCGAATATTCGGCAGAATGACTGGGCTAGGGAATCAGGAAATATCATGCCTGTGCTCCACTTAGTTATTCCACGGACGATCGGGCATATTGAGCGCTATTTTCCGCCGAATGTCTCAGAAAGCCATCGTATCGTGGAAATATTGACAGCGCTCGGTCAGCTCGAGGAGAGCGGTGAAATTGGCAACCAGATCGATATAGATACGCCAGATGCTGTAGAGGCGGCAACGTTGGTTGCCTCTTGGCTAACGTCTGGCGATGGTCAAGCCAGCACTGAGTGGCCTCTGCCTTCCATTGGTAGTAGCAGCGAATTTCTCGATTTTGGTGCAACACAACAATCTACGAGATCGACAGCCTCGTCTCCAGTCCCTGAGCGGACGAAGCGTCCTTTAGTCAGTACCTTAGCTCTAACAATTAGACATGACTGATTTCAACACAGGAGACAGACGACTCTGATACGGCAAAGCGCATACGCTACACCCCACTAGCACATGTAGACTCGCAATCTGGCGGAGGCCGGGAAACTGAAATAACACATGTAAGCGACTCAATGCCTGGTTCTCGTGCTATGGAGAAATCGCACTTGGCGACGTCCCTAGAGCGAATAAAGTCCGAGCTCCTTCAGGAACGAAGGGAACGCCGTGAAGAGCAGGTCATGTGGAACAGGCAGCAGACCGAGCACGAGAACCGACAGCAGCAGTACCGGAAGCTTTTCAATGAGAAAACCGAAGTCGAGCGATCTCGCGAAAGCGTGACCAAAGATTGCGATAGAGTGCGCTCTCAACTTGTTGCCCAAGCCAACGAGATGCGGACCCTCCGCGAAGAACTCGACGCGCAACGAAACCTCAGCCTTGCCTCAGATAACGACAAGGATGTTGAGGTCACACGTCTGCGCAAAGAACTTGAAGCCATCACTGCTGAGCGGAACAAACTGGCCAACAAGGTCAAGTCCAACGACGACACTCTCGAATACACCAAAGAGGGGTACCGTGAAGCTTCGAATAAAGCAGGCCAACTACAAACCAAAAACACGGCTCTCGAGAAAGAGAACGAAAAACTCAAGCGGCAAGTCTCCGGCGACTCCGTTAAGCTCAAGCGAATGCATCTCGACAAGAGCGCGGAGAACATCAGACTGCAGTACGCCAATCTCCAAGAAGAGCACAACGTCGTGAAGGCGCTGCTCCGACAGAAAGAGGAGGAGCTCATCAGAGCCAAGAACAACAGCGGTAGGTCTGCCTACGGAACACGAGGCCAGAGCACAACGCCACAACCGAAAACCAGATCACGCGCTGCAAGTCCGACGCGCCCGCCTCGCGGAGGTGGCCGTATCTCGAATCTCGTGGCGGAAGAGAGGTAGCATCTCCCCGCTGGTCTCGGCGCGCACGATGAGCAGATGCAGCGCAATGTTCAGCGGCTCGAGAAACGGTGGAGAGAGAAGCGACAAGGGAACAGACTGGAGTTTGGTATGTCTGAGGACGATGATGAAGATGGGGAGTATCGGGGGCGAAGGCCGGGGAGGACAGCCAGACGAGGATGATACGAATATGACGGCCATTGACTTTGACGGTTTGGCATTAGCTTGGTGTTATGTTGGATGTACCAGCTCTACTAGATACACAACCGGCGTTGGAATCTAAGAACACTGCGTACTTGCAGTTCACCTGTACATAGTGGTATCGACCTGTCCATTTCCCCCTACATCCTCACATACCACCACAACCACCTTCTCCCCCTCCTTCTCCGCAGCCAAAGCCACTCCAACCTTGCATCCCTCCTGCCCTCCCAAGCCCTTCCCCGCACTCACGCCCCAAGCGCGATCCTCATCCTCCTCGCATGCGCCAGCCTCCGCCTCTCTTCCGCAGTCCTCCGCACCTGCTGGTCCTCACCCGTCGTAACATGTGGCACAGGGACCACAGGTACAGGGGTCGTGGCAATGCTTTTCTGCGGGCGCGGCGGTAGCATGGGTGGAGTATCATCATCTTCCTGCGAGCGCGGTGGTGTGCTAGAGGGCGACTGCTGAGTTCCCTCTGCCACTGCGTGTGCCACACGAGCCAGAGCCAGAGTTTGAGACCGTGGCGATGCTTCCGGCAGCGAGGTGTGCTGGGCGGGTTGGGTTGGAGAACAATGTGGAGGAGGTACAGATGTGATTGTTTGGGGCTGCTCGATATTGTGCGGGGGGATCTGGGTGCACGGTGGGAGCTGGGGCTGTTGGGGGTGACTTGGTGGTTTGTCTAAGAGGGGGTTGTTTGGTTGTTTAGGTGTCGCGGGTTGGCGTATCACGGTGTGACTGGCACGCGGGTGCGAGTGGTATTGATTGAGCGGGGCTGTGGATGGAGTTGTGGAGGGCGACTCGTGCGACGTGCTGGCTGTCGTTGCTGGAGAGAAAGGCTTCTGCGAAGTTTCAGAGCTGGGACGTGGCGATGTTGTGGAATGGTTCTGATGAGAGGTTCTGATGCTGAGAGATGGACTGCTCGGTTCTGATGGCGGCACTGGAAAGTCCGCTGGTGATATAAGAGATGCTGTGTCACTCGACGCGGCTCTGGATGAATCAGAGATACTTGAGCCTGGTACGGATATCTCTTGAGATGCCTTGCTGTCGAAGAGCGAAGCATAGCCGTTCTCTTTCGACGTTGGAGGTGAAGGTGTTACAGCACCATCAGAAGTAGCTGAAAAGGATTCTTCAGTGGTTCGTGCAGTATCTGGATCGCTTGCCAGCATCTTCATCATCTCCTTCCGCGACGCTATTGAGCCGGTTGCCGAAGACACTGTGGGTGAACGCAGTAGATTGGCCCCTGTAAATTGATCACTTGCGGCAGTGTGTACAATCCATTCCCTCAGATCGTCTACAAGTGACGACTGACTCTGATGCGGAGGTAGCTCTGAAGGTAGCGAGTGTTGCCTTGAGTGTATTCTGGGTACATGGACTGGGCGTGGACGATAACGTCTAGCTAAATATGGCATTTTGATAGACGTTGTTGTCGAGGCAATTGACTGAGTGCGTTCCATTATCCTATCAACAACGGTGTTCAAGGTTGAAGAAGCGTTGAACGAGTCTTCAAGTCTCCTTTCTGCGTGATACGCGACGGTATCTTTCCTATTAGAAGCCTCATTTGAAAAATTGGTGGCCAAGTCTTGCAATTTGTTGACTACAGCAAGATCATTGGTCAAGCCGTTAGTAGACTCTGGGAGCGAGGACATAGACGCCAGGTATTGAGATCTGGTGGCAGGCCTTACGTTTGGAATGGCAAGATCATCTGGCGTACTGCCTGGCAACTCAGCCAACGGAGCCCGGGGATACCTTGCTGGCACAAGTTAGCGATATCGATGCACTTTGCAGAACCGGTGGTTACTTGCCGTCGAGACTAGAGGCTCCAAGGCTCAAATGTGACGTATTGATTGAACCTGGATATTGCGAATGTGAACTGAAGACAATGTCGCTTTGCGATCGAAGCCACGGCCTAACAGGTCCTCCGATTCCAATACATTGCTCCACGGTCTGCATGACTTGGATCGCCCCCAACAATATCTGATAGCAGTTTCCTAAGGTCTGTTGTTTAGGAGCGAGTCGCTTGTGATGGCTGAGTATGTACTCGAACTTGCGCTTCATGCGCAACGTCTCATCGCTGTCCCGGATGCTGCGTACAGACTCGATATCGTATCCAATATCGACCAAGGATGCGCGAACATCCGAAAGAGCTTTATCGATCCACGATTTTCTGTTAGGCCATGTATCGAGGAAATTCGTGACGATCGATGACAAGTACAGCCGGGATGCCTCAGCAAGGTCTTGTCTGGTGCGCCAGATTAGGCTTGCGAATTTTTCTGCTTCAGCTGAACGTTTGTTCAACGAGAAGACAAAATCAGCATACTCAAAGGCCGTCGTAGTCGGATTGCAAACACGGCTCGTGATATTCGAGGCGTCGCTTTTCTGGTCAACAGATCGTTCACTGAGCGATGTGCTGGTAGTGTCTTGGCTTGCCCTCTGTCCCGCGCGATGAGTGTATTCTGGCATCCTCTCTCCGGTCCTAGACTTATCCAAGGTAGCTACATCTTTGCGATGCAAGGTCTCGGGTAAGTACAAGCCTACGCCGGGCATCATATCGTTTGAAGTGTTGTTGAGATGTTGTTGGACTCCGCTTGCAAGAACGAAGATGCTCGCTCTCTGCTGTCAGGAGATGGAGTAAGCCAATGTGTGATTTCTTAGGACACAGCCATCGCAACTCGCATGAGGTCTGCATGGGCTTAACGCCGCGTTATTCGGTGTGGTCTCAATCAGCCCCCACGTCCAATGATGTCGCTTGCCAACTCACCACAAACTACGAACGCCGTGCAGGTGCGACCACCGGTACCGTTCATTACAGTTTGTGCAAGTACAAGGGGCCAAACATGATGCAGTACATCCGATAACGAGCGGCTAGAGGGTGTCTCTAGTAGTACCGTAATAGAGCAGGATGTGCACAAAGCGGAAAGGCGCAGCTTTCGTGATGTAAGCGCCGCCTGTAGCAGCCTCTCTTACGTTCGAAACGCATGGGATTTGACTGCAAAAACACTTGTTCACATGCAAGGCCTCCTTCGCTTATGCTGGTCAGCAATCAATGAAACCACTATCGAACGCCACTGTGGGGACCGGCACGCTTTACTCGCAAGGCTGAAGAAAGAGAGAACTCCAATGATGGCTGTGATCCGATGAATGCGTTCTTAGTTTCTACAATATCATGATAACCTATGTCAAAGAGCAAAAACTAATGGTAGAGATGTCTCAATGCATAACAAGCGCAGCCGTCATGTGACTTGATAGCACAGTTGACTTCAGCCTTCCAGCCTTCTGGTCATAGCCTCGCTGAAGGATCGAGGTGGTACGATAGGGTCTCCAATCTCATTTGTCAACTGAACAAGAGCGGGAAATATGCAAAATTCGCCGGATTCAACACTTTGCTCTTCTCTCCAATCGAAAGTCCAGGTGCTTGGTTGGGAGAACAACGTGAAAGCGAACATTGCAGAACGTTTGAGGAGCTCCACAAGGTTGCGTTTTCGTTCATCGTCATTTATACGAGAGTCGGCAAACGGCTTGAGAACATTCTCCAGAATGAATGACAACTTTCGAATGGTTGCGCCTCGAGGATCTGAAGATGCGAAAGCATCGCTAACATATGTAGTATGAAGAAGCTCTGCGGTGGTGACCCTCCAACGTGCTGAGCGAAGAACATGGGCTAAACTTGTCAGCTATATACAATTTCTCAATGGAGAACAGAGGTGCGCACCTTTTGACTTATCGTTGGCGTTCATAATCTCCCGCATAGGGGTACAGACTTCGGGAGGGAGTAGGCTGTCTGCAGACGTTCCGTGACTTTGTATTCTCGAGATAATTGCCCAGGCGATACAGAATCTCAGGGCCACCTCCCTAGTCGCTGGATCGTCAAGTAGAGCACTGAGTTTCCTGGCGGGAAAAGGGAGGACCTTTCCTAGTGCAGTTATGTCGTCCAAGTCGATGAGCCCGAGATTTACCACTTTATTGTGATAGTAGCTCTGTACATGGTTTTTTATGAGGCTGCTAATCTTGGTAATCTCCCCAGAGATGGCCTGATCTTCCAGAGGCTGAGGCAACGCACCATCAACATCTACGATAGCCAGACTTCCTGTGATGGATTTTGTGTGCGTGAGCGGACCTTTTTCCGGTGATATCAGTGCAATAGCACTGGTCTCATTGTGATCAATACGTTTTGACGTGCGTCTACTGCGACAGACCCATAAGACGAGGCCAGCGATCAGCGCACCCGCGATTAAACAGCCGATCGCTACGCCAGCAACAGAACCACCAGAGAGCCCTACACTCTTTTCATCGTTCATTGGCGTCGATGTTGTCGTAGTAGATGCGGTAGGAGTGGTGGAAAGGCCGCTGCTCGATGCTGGTGTTGCTGCGAGGCTGCTGCTCGGTGATGATATGGGAGAAGTTTGAGACGCGGTCGGTATCACTGCGACACCAGTAGGTAGCGGGATCATGCCTCCAGGCGTCACATGAGCGGTCGAAAGACTAGTACAACACTCAGTTCCTCCTGTTGTTGAATCCCATTTGATGATCTTTTGTTCTCTGTCCCACCAAAACTTGACATCCTGCCCTGTCCAGTTCACGTTGATAATGGTATACAGACTGTCGTTTGGTATACCACTGCTCATCTCAGGTTCTAAGACTCCAAATCGAAGCGATTCTGTACTGTCGCCTTCTCTGAAGAAAGTAAACATCTTTCTGCCATGTGGTTCCTTAATGAATGTTCCATTTTCGGTGTAAGTGACGAGGAGAGTAGCAACTGCTGTTGTGTTTGACATCCTTATACTGTTCGAAAGTAACAATAACGCAGATTGGCGGTCAGAGAAAGTAGAGAGAGAGGAATGAAGGCACTCACTACGCTCGCTCGACCGAAAGGCTGAGCCCGGCCTTGGAAATTTTGCAATATAGCGTTTCTGCACCTTATGTCACGAAAGCAGCAGATGACACCGGATGGCATGTCCCGCTTCGACGCAGCTTGTTGTACTAATAGTCGGAGATGCTCTAACCTGGAACAGACACACATGTGTTACTTCACTGACCAATGAAGGCAGAAGATTCCCAGAGTCACCGCCATGACTAGGCTGTGTCAAAGCGTATCGCTGCTCAACAACCATGTTGCATATGCGGTAAGATCACGCTCGATCCTGTGTGGGTATTAGTGGCGTTATTTGGCGTTGCCTGTGCAGCAAGGCTGTGGTACCTAGTCCACACAGGACATGCATATCATCCTATATATATCTCCAGGTGTTCAGCCTGATGGCATGCCACGCGTACTAGAGTTCGAAGCAAAGGCACACTGTTTACAAGTCGAGGAAGATGAGCGCTGCTCCAAAGCCGCATATGGTTGTTGGCATTGACTTGGGAATGACATGTAAGTGATGGGAAAACGAGGGATTCAAAGATACTTCGTACACGGAATGCACGGTCGACGCTAGCGTCCTCTTTCGGACTAGGTCAGGATGAAACCCATTGCTGCTCTGTCCATCTCACCTCGCGTTACGCTCACTGACAGTCAATGTTACTACAGGCACTGGAGTTTCGTACGCAAATCTTTCTATCGGCAGTGAGACGATTCGCTGGGTCCAGAAGTGGCCAGGCCGCTTCCAAGCCAACGAGAACAAGGTACCCACAGTCGTGGTATACCCAATTGGGAGCAAGAAGCCATCATCATGGGGCTTCTTATCGGAGACTGCTACAGAAACTACCTCCGAGGATAAAGAGTACAAGGAGTGGTTCAAGACGTGCCTCGATGCAGACAAGCTACGGCAGAAGCAGCTTGAAGACCCTGAAGGCGCACCAGCGAACCTGGAGGAAGTTGAACGCTGGTACTGCGATTACCTCCAAAAGATGTACGACTATTTAAAGTACAAGCTAGGTGGCGAGTTGTCTGGCGTTACCTGGAAGACAGCGCGAGTCGAATTCATCTTCAGCGTACCAACCACGTGGGCTCCTGTACCAACAGTAGAGAACTTCAAACGCATAGTGCGCGATGCAGGCTTCCAATCTCAACCCAACCATAGCGTCACTATTGGTCTTACCGAAGCAGAAGCCGCTGCTGTTTATGTTTCGATCGAGGCACCCGGTATTTTCCACGAAAACGATATACTGTTAATCTGCGATGCTGGCGGCGGAACAACAGATCTGAGTGTCCTGCGCGTCACTGGCACCGTGAATCAGTGTATCAACTTGCAGCAACTGGACGTGGTTCTTGGTGAGACTATAGGCAGTGCTGCTATCGACTATGAGTTTGAGAAACTGGCTGCGCAGCGCCTGATTGCGGCTCACAGGACTATCCCTCTACCGGTTGATCCCGCCGATGCGGCCTGGGAGATGACGAAAAGTAAGGATTTTCAAGCTGTCAAATGCGAGTATGGTGCACCGGACGATACACCTATCTTCAGCATTGGCATTCCGCGTGTACCTTATACATACTGTAACGATGATCCCGAAGCACGGGTCCGCAATGGCGAACTGGCCTTTGGTCGGCATGACCTGCAGCGTTTGTTTGACAAGCAGATAACCAAACTCTTCAACCTCATCGATAATCAACTTGAGATATTGCACCAGAAGCTTCCGAACGAGCAGATCACACATCTCGTTTTATCGGGTGGGCTGGGAAATAGCGCGTATGTACAGGCTCGGCTCAAGCAGCGCTACGAGGATGCAGATATTTCAAATGCACGGAAGATGTCTGTTCGCATAGCGCCAGATCCTCAGCTTGCTGTGTGCAAGGGGCTTGTCGCCGACCGTATTCGCAAGTTACTCACCTCACGCTCTGTACTCGGCTGGCGTTGCTGTAGAGCTTCATATGGCACCGCATGCAAGATAGCGTTTGACAAGCACAATCCGGAACACCAAGGAAAGCACCTAGTTAAGGATCCACTCAACGGAAGAATGTATATGCCGCAAGCGATAGCATGGTTCGTCAAAAAGGGTGAGCCAGTCAGCGTCGATAACCCCATCATTCACCGGTTCGTGAAGAATGTCAGCCCTGGAGACCCACGACGGGCATTCCCAACAAGCGTCATCGAAAGCAATCTCGAAGCTTCACAGCTACCAAAACAAATGAACCAGCGCAAGTATACGGTATCACTTTCATCTGTTCACTCACTAAGAGCGCTTTACAGACACCCGTCTTCTCTGCAACATATCCTCCGACCTTTCTGATTCCGATGAGAAGAAGTTCGTAGCCAAAAACGCACACTTCTGGTCCGTCAAGAAGCAGTATTTGCGCATAGAATACGAAATCCGCGTCATCATCGGCCCAGCAGATATCTGCTTTGAGCTCTGGTTCGACGATCAAAAAGTCAGTCGCGACGAGTCTATCTCCGTCGAATGGTCGCCCTCTAAGCCCCCCGCATCTGAGGTTTTCGACCCTGCGACATATGGTAGGGCAGAGCTGCCAGATACGCCGCTTGTAAGCATGAGCGGTGGGCTGGAGAAGGGAAGCATTGAAGATAGATTGAATGGAAAGATTGAGAGGACCGGAACGAACGTTGTGAGAAAAGAGAGGGACGAACAGGGCAAAGTGAAGAAGAAGAGAGTAATGACTGGATTGCTAGACAGGGCTAGCGCGGGAAAGTGGTCGCTTGCATCTTAATCAAATCTTGCATTGCTGAACAAGAACCAGCGCTTGAGTTTCATTTATAGAATCAGCACATAGAGTGCGAGCATTTGTTCCTTAGCAAGTGACACTCTCAGATATTGTGGGCAAGCTAAGACAACATTGGAGTCGAAGCCTCACCAACCGTACTGCGAGGTACTCAGTCCCTCTGTACCTTTGTGGGGCCTAACGTCAATGAGTGAGATTCTGCTGAGTCAAACGGCCGTGTCCTTACTTAGCTTTGCATGTACGGAATGTGGATTTGAGTTCGATCGGGTGTTAGATATGCACAGGATGTGCAGCTGTTTACCCACGGAATAACTTATCATCTCCCGAGGTCTCCAGATCGTGGCTGCCCAGTAGACACCTCGGAGATGAATCTTAGGACCAGCAGCAGCGGTGATCGAAACACAATCAGGCCTTACGCCTTTTACACGCAAACAATGCAGAAGCACGATCGTTTGTAGCATAGCTTTAGTTTTCGCAGGTTTACTCCATTAGAGATGGCACACGCGGCGTTATGATCAGACCGCAGAACTAAGTTTAAACCGTAAAGATGGACACAGTTAGTCTACTTACATCTACTTGGAAGTCATTCAGATTTGGCTGGGTACGCTACGCGACGCTGAACCGGAGTATAGGGCCTGCATACATCTACCTGCATCACTAATACGCCGCAAGGTATGCCTGCAGAAACAAAGTGCGCCACACAACGCCTCGGGACTTTCTACCTATCTGCGCGCCGCAGGAAGTCGAACACCTCGTATCCTACGCGAGCGCAATCCACCCAGCAAATCACTGCCGCAGTGGACGCGCACCTCTACGCCCATAGCAGCACACTACGGCGCTGACCCTCGAAGAGCGACATGTAAAACTCACACTAGCGAAGCAAAAGAAACATCGGACTCCAGCAAACATGGCTCGTAGCATTCGTGGCCTTGTCCGTTCAGCTGCGCAACGCCGGTGCGCGTCTCGAGTCATCGGTTTGGGGGCCGAATGACCTCACTACCTACATATGTATCGACAAGCGAGAGGGCATCGCGACCCTCTTCGCGGTCGCCGGAACAGAATACGATGTGTTCGGAGACCGGATTCATGCTTCTACATGAGTCGGATTGAGGACGCATGGACTTTTGGCCAGGCGGTGACTCTGGAGCTCCACCTTGGACGAAGACACCTAAGCGCAACGAGAATGTGCACCTGAGATCATCACTGCGATGTCTGCGATGAAACCTTGGAAGCGCGAATACACTTTTATTCCAGGCACCTGTCGATGCGCATTCGAACGCAGCCCGTCGCTAGACGCCACTTGTCGATTCACCCAGCACGAGCAGCTGAAGGTAGGGCGATCGAGCTGAGTAAGCCGCGGACTTCACTCAATGCGCGGCCATTGCAGACAGCCATTTTATCCCCACGATCCAGTAAACGACCTCCCTGAACGAGAAGTGCGCAATCCCTTATCAGCGCAGGACCCGCGGTCGCATTTTCATCGACCGCACTCCGCAGTCTTGTGATGTCGTCTCCAACACCAGTCCTTTGGTCGCCTTACAAGTACCCCAACAATGCCATTCACATGCAATGCACCGAGCCCTCTAGCTTACAGACCTCTGACTGCCGTTTCGGGGCCCATGATGCGAACATTCCATTCTTGGCGCCTTGACCTGGTCTTCTTCTTCCTCTCTGCCACGACCTCTGCGTCAGATATCACGTCTTTCACCGACACCAAGTGTACACGCTCGTGGCGCGCACTGGATGCAGTCAATGGCTACCCGGAGGGGATGTGTAAGCCGTTGAACGTTACGACAGGGCAGAGCTTTCAGATTCAAGAACTGGATCGAGGCTGCGCAGGTACGACTTTAACACACTCTCTGAAACCACCTGGCTGACCATTGGAAGTCACACTGTATGGGGAGAATTCCGGCCCACTCTCCTGTTCCAGTCCGACTAAGATAGTTGGCCGTCTCGCGACTTGCTACGACTCATCGTGGGTATATTACTCGATTGACGGGTGTCTCCCACCCCCTTTGTCAAGCACCAACCCAGCGTTCATGAAGCCAACAGCGATCGGTCCGTCCGCATCGGGAACTGCGAGTCCAGCGGCTGTGCCCGAGTCAAAGGTTCATCCTGGTGTAATTGCTGGATCTGCCGTCGCTGGAGTTTCGTGCGTCGCTCTGGGGTTGACGGGAGCGTTGATGATGGTCCGTCGCCGCCGCAGACGACGTACTCCTCAACCGACGCATGAACTTTCCGAGGACCGTGCGCTCGCGGAATCAGATGCAGCAGCCGAGAGGAAATATCCTGAGGAGCTATGGGCCGACCATGCAGCAGTGGAGATGGGGCGGAATAGTCGCTTTGAAGAGAGGATGAGAGACGCGCGGCCTGTCAGAAGTGTGAATCCATCAATCCGGATATGTTTCGTGCCTTGACTAGACATTTGAAATAGCATAGTTGCATCCTAGTATCAATTAACAGTCAAGAGGTGGCTAGCTGAACAACGTATCGTCTCCATAAATCGTAATGTCAATTTGGTACTGCTCAAGGCACTAGGGTTAACTGGGTTCAGGATCTGGTCCATGTGCGTTGACTTACTCGATGGCTATAGAGCCCCTTCCTCCACCCTCGAGTTGCGAAGCGGCACTGTCTTCTTCGGCAAAACTTTTCGAACACCTTCAACGCCGTGTCAAGTCGATTATAATCAGATCGTAGTGAACTCTAGAATCACTTCGACCCTAGCTTAAGCTAGAAGATCCGCAACATTCATGGGCATCTCATCGATCTGAGTGGAGTAGTACACTGTAAAAAATTAGCACGAGCATGTGTTAAGTGACTTTCTGAACTCACACTCAATGTCGCGGAGAATGCGGACGTCATCCTGGGTGACAAAGTTGATAGCGACGCCCTTGCGTCCAAAACGTCCGGAGCGACCAATCCTGTGGATGTAGTTCTCACGGTTGCTGGGTAGATCGTAGTTGATGACAAGCGAAACCTGCTGGACATCAATACCACGAGCCCAGACATCAGTCGATATCAAAACGCGCGAGTTGGCCTGGCGGAAGTCCTGCATAATGCTGTCGCGCTCCCTTTGTGGCATGTCGCCGTGCATAGAAGAGACTGTGAAGTTTGCCTCGCGCATCTTGTCTGTCAGCCAGTCGACCTTGCGACGTGTGTTGCAGAAGATGACGGCTTGCGTAATGGTGAGTGTGTCGTACAGATCGCACAGGGTATCAAACTTCCACTCCTCCTTTTCAATCGCAATGAAGTACTGCTTCAGGCCTTCCAGTGTCAACTCATCACGCTTGACGAGAATGCGAACAGGATCGGTCATGAACTTGGTGGTCATCTCCAGGACGTCGTATGGGAGAGTCGCAGAGACAACGACAACCTGAGTCGCGGGAGGAAGGTAGCGGTATACGTCGTAGATCTGTTCGCGGAAACCGCGGTTGAGGAGCTCGTCAGCCTCGTCGAGGACGAGCATCTTGATGTTACGAGTGCGCAAATTGCGACGGCGAATCATGTCAGCAACACGTCCAGGGGTTCCCGAAACAACGTGCTGGCCATAGTCGAGCTTGCGGATATCCTCGCCCACGTTTGTGCCTCCAATACAGGCGTGGCACTGAACGTTCATGTAGTCACCGAGACCCATGATGACCGACTGGATCTGAGTCGCAAGTTCGCGGGTGGGGGAGAGAACAAGCGCTATCACGTGTGAGCTGCAGTCTATTATCGTATGAATCATCACTTACCCTGTGTCTCGCGCACTGCTGTGTCGATAACCTGGAGGATGGAAATGGAGAAAGTCGCCGTCTTTCCCGTTCCAGACTGCGCCTGCGCAATGGTGTCACGACCTTTGCAGACCTGTACAATCGCACGTGACTGGACAGCAGAAGGCGACTCGTAGCCGTAGGCGTAGATTCCGCGCAACAGGTTCTCCTTCAGATGCATGGCCTCGAAGGTTGGCGCCACCGTCACCTCCTTAGAAGTGGAAAACTCCATCTTGTCATCCGCATTTCGGTCGATTCCTTCCGCCATGATATCGGTCGTATACGTGTGATCGTGTGGTGGTGATCTGATGTGAGGTTTCAAAGCGGTGGTGACGATGCGCAAGAAAGTTTGGTGGAGCTGCGCGCGGAGACGGAGCTTCGGCGAACCGGCGAAACCATGCTAGCGCCGTTTTTCATTTATCTAGGTAGAGCGCGCTCCACCTCCAATGCGCCAGCACCGGCGCCGCTGAAGGTACTGAATCTACAACTGCCTGACTGCTGCCATACACAAGACTCATTGTCGCTACAGGCGACTGCAAGCATGCTCCTGGACGAACAGCGCCAGATCCACGAGGACCTCGAGCGCCTCGAGGATGCCATTGCAGAGCTCCTTCTTGACGACCCTCCACACGTAAGGAATTCAGCGTCGCTCTCCCGTACTTATCTAACATACCCCAACAGATTCGCGATCGTCTCGCACGTGATCACGACATCGCGCGATACCTCGCACAGCTAGAAACACAGTCCGGCCGGTTACTGGCTATCTACAAAGATGCCGAGGGCAAGAGGGAGGAGGAGGTACGCAACCTCACTCATGGCGACCCTATGGAGTCGTTCATGAAGGATATTGCGAATATCAAAGATTTCCATCGCCGGTACCCCAACGAGCCTGTCGAGAACCTAGAGAAGGCGTACAAGAAGCGGTCGCCCGAAGACCACATACAGTCGATTGCCGCCATCGATGCCATGTTCACTGGAGAGGAGGGGTTCGGTCGATTCTTCGATTTGACTACACTTCATGAACAATACCTGAACCTGTCTATTCATCAGCACGCGCGCCGCCTGACCTATCTACAGTATCTCGACCTCTTCGACGTCTTCACCGGGCCACAAAGCAGCGTTCGCCGTGACCAGAAGAAGTCAGAGCCTTATTTCCAGTATTTGAAAGCATTGCAGGAGTATCTCGAGAGCTTCATGCGCCGAACAAAGCCCCTGGAGAACCTCGATAAGCTGTTCGCCAGCTTCACCAAGGAGTTCGAGGAGTTGTGGGAAAAGGACCAGATTCCCGGATGGGAGAAGACTGCGCCATCATCGGCGCCCACAAATGGCGACGCGCCAGGCGAGGGCATCTGGTGCGCTGCATGCCAAAAGGGTTTCACCAAAGAGACGGTCTTCGAGGCGCATTTGACAGGCAAGAAACACAAGAAGGCTGTTCAGGCGAGCGAGAACGCCAGCGCCCCAGCACAGACAAATGGTGCATCATCAGACATTCAACGTTTCAAGGAGCGGGCCGTCGCTGAGCGCGAGTTCAAGATCAAGAAGCTGGCCGCCGCCATGCAGACGGAGCGTGGTGACACCAAAGTCAACGTCGAGCGCAAGCAGGGTATGACGGAGCGCGAAAGACAGCAAGAGCTTGACCAGCTATACTCCGAGCAGCCCGCAGAAGGCGCGAATGATGACGACGATGAATCAGACGGCGAGGACAAAATCTACAATCCGCTCAAGCTGCCTCTTGCATGGGACGGCAAGCCGATTCCCTACTGGTTATACAAACTCCACGGTCTTGGTGTCGAGTTTCCATGCGAGATCTGCGGTAACTTCGTCTACATGGGACGCCGCGCTTTTGACAAGCACTTCAACGAGCCGCGCCACATTCACGGCCTGAAGTGCCTTGGCATCACCAATACGACGCTCTTCCGCGAGATCACCAGCATTCAAGAAGCAGAAACCTTGTGGAAGAAAATCCAGAAGGACAAGAAGAAGGAGAAGACAGCGGCGGACAACGTTGTCGAGATGGAGGACACAGAAGGCAACGTCATGCCTGAAAAGGTCTACCGCGATCTGGCTGCCGCCGGCATGCTCTGAGCAGACACCGTGACTCGAGTTTACCCTTATACCGGGCCAGGCAGTGGCCTTGGGATCCTTGGATAGCTATTGTTAAGTCGACGCAGAACAACCTTTATCATCGACATCCGGAGCTCTCAGACCGCGACAACATCGCTCTGTTTGCCGAAGACAGTCATGTTGCGAGATTACAGCCCCCGTCACCCATAGTGGTGTACGACGTGAGCGTTTGGAACTGAAATGTTGGTATTGCGCTGGAACATTGTGATCATCTATCTAAAATATATCCAGAACTATCAAGTAATCATCTAATCATCCTCGGCCACCGAGCTCGTTCTTTGCATGCAGCTACTCGGGCTATGTTGCTGAGCCTGTCTCGCAATCGTATACGCGCTCTCGTTCTGTTGGGAGGACGGAGTAGGGATGCTCCACATCGTTCGTGGATTCTGTAGCGCCCACTTGCATTTGGAATGTGTTGGAAAACTTGAATGAATCACGACTGATACAAAATACTATAACCTTCTGTGTACCACTGCTAACACGACTTGGCCCACAGTCAGAGATAAACGCACATATGCGAAGCCAGAATGTAAAATGCCCTAGTCAAGGTCAATAAACGCCATGCAAATCCCACACAGAACGATACCCGCGGCAATCGGTACTTAACCTTGGTTACAGTCTGCACAGCAGCCAATCAGCGCCTCGCAGCCACAGCTACATAGCCGTCGTGAAATAGCTCCCGTGTCTCTACGCCCATCATGTCTCAGCGCCTCGTTACCACTCCCTCTTCGACGATCATCTCGCCGTCTCCCATGCGAACGCATCGGAGTCGCTTCCGTGGCATATGAACCTCCTGTTGTCGCCGCGCAATGTCTCTGCGCTTTCACGAAGCGAGGACTCGCGCGAACCGCTTCTGGTAATGGTTCTTTCCCCGCATTGCGCTAGGCAGGATGCGTGCAAGCGTACTCCGGCTACCATCGTGTGAGCTTGAAGGTCGGTGTGGTCGAACAGCTGTGGATTACGATGGGAGAGGGGTTGTGGGAGAGACATACCCAAGGTTGAGATGAGAACGGGATGGCGGATCTGCTGGTCGGTTATACAGCGTGTGTTTAAGACTGACAGTTGTGCATGGTTGATCGGCGTGCAGTGCAGTGCAATAAAGAACCATTTTTCAAGACTGCATTGAACCTTCTTCTAAAGTCAGTTCTGAATTTGCTTACAATTGCAAATATGGGCCACGAAGGTGTGGAGATGAAGGGCATGCCCTTGAAGAACTTCTTCGTTTGTTTCTGCCTTTCCCTCGGCCAGATATGCTTTGGGTAAGCCACCAGTCCTTCCTGCAGACATCCTGGACAAGAGGTTGGGTTTCTGTACTTGCAGCTACGGGGAACCACGACTATAGTCGACGAGTACTGACTTCCAACAAGATACCCGGCCTCAGTCATCTCCGTAACCCTCGGTCAACCCTCTTTTCTCGCCTACATGGGTCTCCTTGACCCCGTCACCGGTACAGTAACAGGCAATCTCCTCAATATTGCAGGAGCTACAAGTGGCGTCTTCCAAGCCGGTGCAGCAATCGGAGTTATCGTAACTGCCGTCGTCCTCGATCGCCTTGGTCGCAAGAACAGTTTTTATGTCAACGCCATCATTGGACTCTTTGGCGGCACCTTGATCGTCAGCGCGCAGAACATTTCCATGTTCCTTGCTGGCCGCTTCTTTGCGGGCTGGAGCAGCTTCAGCTTCCTGGTGCTGACTCCGGTGTACACCACTGAGCTTTCCCCGCCTCAGTATCGGGGCTTCTTTGTGGGCCTCAACGGGGTGTTCATTGCCACTGGGTACTCACTCGCTGCTTGGATCGGCGTCGGTTTCTCGTTCCATTCGAATCCAGTCACCCAGTGGCGAGGTCCGCTGGGCTTGTATCTCATCTGGCCAACGCTCCTGATTGTCATAGCCTACCTGTCACCAGAGTCGCCCCGCTGGCTCATGCTACAGGACCGAGTCGAGGAGGCAAAGCAGGTCATCTTCAGACTGCATTCGACAAAGGGAGACGACACGTTCGCGGCGCAGGAGTTTGAGGAGATCAAGAGACAGACGGCGATTGACCAAAAGTTGGAGACATCCTGGGTAAGTTCTCGACCTGAATTCCTGAACAGCCATCTGATGTGATGTAGGTCTCCATGTTCACCAAGGCATCTTATCGTCGGCGTGTCGCTATTACTTGCCTCTACTGCTTCCTTGGCCAATCGACGGCTATTCTGGTCATTAACAACTACGGCCCTACGTTCTATGCAGCCCTCGGCTTCGACGTCAGGCAGACGCTCTTCTTGACAGCAGGATGGGTATCGGTCTCAATCCCGTTCTGTCTCATCGGCGCCTTCTTATCAGACATCGTCGGTCGTAGACCGATTATGTTAATCGGTATCGGTGGTTGTTGCATCTGCCTGATAGTCGAGGCTGCCGCAGTTCGATACTTTGAGATGGATCCAACCAGGAAGGATATCGGTGCGCTCGGCGTGGCGGCTCTGTTCTGCTTCAACGCCGTCTACCAGCTCGGTGTTGATGTGGGTGGCAATGTCTTCTACAGTGAGGTGTTTCCCAACCACATCCGATCGAAGGGTGTGGCGTTGGCGAACCTGGTCCTTGCCTTGGCCGATCTTGTCTATCTGCAGGTCACTCCGTACGCTTTCGCCAATGTTGGGTGGCGTTTTTTCCTGGTAAGTATGTTGATCTTGGCTCTTGGGCAACATCTGACACTGTGCAGGTCTTCATTGTCATTTCTGGTTTAGGATGGATTGTCTTGTATTTCATACTTCCCGAGACCCGAGGTATGCCGCTAGAAAGTATAGCAAAACTTTTTGGAGACGATCCGGCTACAATCGCAGCGCTCACCGAGAGCAACGCCGATGAAGTGCGAGTCCACAACATGAAGTCGGAGACGGGCGAGGTCTAACTGTGGGCTGAATGACTCAATTAGCAAGCAAGGTAAACGATCTGTACTTCGTAGGGAAATGCATGTCGATAGGTTTACAATCTATTGCAACATTATCGAATACGAAACAAATTTTCGATTCGCTATGCAAGAAATGCTCACATGCCCGATGGCGATCAAACTCTCATAAAAGCTGTAAACTGTGCCCCCAACGCCGAACAATGCTGCAGATTTTGGAGAATCGGGTGATGAATTCCCCGTCGTGGACAATGCGTTAGTCAACACTGGAAAGCCTCCATGAATTCCATTGCAAACAACCGTTACCGCACCGATCCGATGACCGAGATGTCGTCGATCGCATCCTCGTGTTCGTCATCGCGACGAACGACCTTTTTGAGCCCATTGTCAATTTCAACTGGACCAACATCCTCCTTCGGTACCCAGATGAGTTGGACGACTCCGAAGACAGCCATGAGCGTAAGGCCAAACCATGCAGTAGCGCTGCCACCGATGGAGTAGATGGCACCGACGAGAGGGCAAGCGATTGTCCTCGCGAGGCAGCAGGCAGACATGGCCAATCCGTTGACACGACCCAAGACCAGTGGTGAAGGAACCGCGTTCTTCATCAGAATCAGAGAGCATGGGAACACAATGATACCGAAAAATGCCTGTAGAAGAAGCGTGAGGTAGACTCCGGGCGAAATGAACTCGTCGGGAAGAGCGCTGATGAAGGGAATGATAACGTAGCAGATGGGGTAGAACAGGACCATGTAGAAGAACGACTTCCACACACCAACGTGCTCGACGAAAATGGGAAAGATGAATCCCTGTACAAACAGTGCAATGAAACCGTTGATGGCCAAGAACGCGCCGACATCGTGGAGAGACATGCCGAGACCACCACGGAAGTCAATACCGCGGGTCGTCGGCTCATCCAAAATGTAAACAGGAAGAATACTGATGAAAGCCATCTGGTGGAATGCGAAGATGGACATTGCAGCAATCATCATGACGACTGTCTTGTTGAAAGTTGCACGTGGCTTGGGAGGCGGTCCACGACTGGGCAGAACATGGTGGGGGGTGACCCTGATGGAGTGCATGGTACCAAAGGACGAGCGACGGATGTCGAAACGCTGGTCGAATGGTGCTGGCATGCCCTCTTCCAGGAAAGACGCGCGCTTGCGAATGTGACGTATGCTGCCTGCTACTGACATGGAGTGCAAGCGTTCCCTTGTCAAGCTCACAATGGAACCACGAGGTTCGCGCACTGAGCCGACCATGGATCCTCGGACACGTCCTGGAACCTCGTGTGGTTGTTGAGGTGGTAGGAGACGGCTCCTCTCATTAATGTTGTCGCCGTACGTGATGCCCCCATTCTGGTCGGGCTCCTCTTCACGAACCAGGGTCTCCTCCAGAAAGAACATGCCCTGAACGATGGCCAGAACGATACCGATAGCGGCGACGAGGTTGGGAAGGAGGTATGGATATTTTCCGAATAGACCATCCTTAGCGAATGCGCTGGGGTAGAAGACGGCTGGCTGGGCAAGGAAACCACCCATGGCTGAGCCGATGATGCCTCCCAAAGTCCAGACGAAGGGCTGTGTAGCATATGCGCGTGCTGTAGCTATAGTCAGTACTTGATGGCAGTTTCATGTTGTATAGGCGCTCTCTTACGTTCGTGAGCTGGGTTCTTGACCATCTCAGCAACCATGGTCTGCATAATGGCAACATTTCCGTTCAAAGCACCGCCGACGAACCGCGCGAGCAGCGCGACCCAAAAGGTACCAGCCATACCAAAGACGATACTGGACATGGCAACGCCGGCCAGACCAATCAACGCGACCGGTTTCCTGCCATAGACGTCGGAGATAGACCCCCACAGCGGCGCGGTGATGGCCTCAGCAATGGCATAGGCGGAGACGAGTAGTCCAGAGTAGAAGGATGCATCACGTTCATGAATGCCCAAATCCTGTACCATCACGTACGAGTACGCGAGGATGGAATTGAACGCGAGGGGCTCAGAGAATCGGCATATTCCTAGCCGCGGTCAGAAAAGTTCCCATTTGTGATGACATCACCGCGTCGAGCAGCAGCACCCACCGATGATGATGAGCTGTTTCGTGGGAAACGGCTCGTCCTTGGGGTCGAGAGGCATGGTGACGGGCCTACTGGTTGTTGATGAAGAAAGAAGAAGGGCCGCCGCACATGGGAAACGGAAAGGCAATGGCAATCAAGGTTTGGCGGTAATTGAGAATCAAAAGGCGGAGCTTGCGGCTTATCAACGCTAGGGTCTCGTGCCGAAGAACCTCCATGAACTGAAGTCACCACGTGAGAGCCTCTATTCTGGCCATATGCAAGTTGAATCAGTTTAGCGCAGAGCGCCCCCGTTGTGCAACGAAAAGGAGATAAACGTGCCGTGCACCCTGTCAGTCGAGGTTGCAGGTTCGCTTGTTTTGCGCGTAGTTTCAATGGCTGACAACCGCCGCCTTCTCCTACTGGTTGCTATCAATCACGAGTCAACTCAATCGCAGCGACAGTCCGGTGGTACGCTTGAAGACCCTTCATTCGGGGTTTGACAGAAAATGCCGCCTTGCAACGCCCCGGGCGAACTTTTGAGCTCTCTCCCGTGGCCAAACACGGCGTCCCGTCCCCCTTGTCGCCATCGCCAGACGTCATCCCATTGAAAACCGGGTTTGCCAAGTACAGCATCTGTTGAGCAAAGCCCTGCATCTTGAATCCTGGGTGGCTCTCACCGTAACTTCGCTCGAAGCGCTCATGCTTACACGGTATATGCATCACCTGCCGCGCTGCCATTTGCGATTGATTGCTATTTGTTGACTTCTTTACCTCTCGGTCGCTGTTGCCGTTTCGAGCCCAGCTTGATGGTCGCAATGAACACCGTTGGATTGCAAGCGTTCTTTGCTAGCAGCAAGCTCGAATCGCTCCCTACCCAGCGTATCGGCGGAAAGCGCGAGTTGAGGAAGGTAGGATCAGGATCAGGTCCATTCCGTGGATGCTACTTGTGGCGCGGTCTGCGTCACATACGTTCATCTCAAGAAAATCGACACGCGCCCCGGTCACGATGATCGTGTGTGTCTGAACTCAACATTCTTGTTCAACCGTCCAATGTGCGGTGAACATGGCCCATCGCCCACGGCAAGGTATGCAGCCGCAATACGTGCTTGCAGTGCGTCTGCGGGGTGTGGCTACGGGGTCCAATCAGCTAGCGCCATCGCCGCGCAAGCTGCAGCATCTTGAAGTAGACTTCGCTGAACGGTCCATCGGCTTAATGATGGTGAGCTGCAGGCTGCGCTAACCTGTGCAGCAACCAAGGCTTAAGCCACACACGTGATTGCGTGAGCAGTCCTGGAGGCTGGAGCTCTTGAGGTGGGGTGTCAATTATCATGAGCGCGCAGCTCCGGTCGTACATTCCTATCCTGTCGTCATCAACATCAACATGCACATCACCGAAGGGCACTACGCGAACGCGGCCGTGCTGAAACACGTCCATGGTGCGAGGCTGGGCTTCTAAAAAAGCATCGAACAGGCACTTTCCTCCGCGGAAATTGGATTTTCGACTTCTAATTTCGCCAGCCTGGCGATCATCTCATCAGTCCCGATACATCTCGACTTCAAGGAATCTCAAAATCTAGTGTTTCTAGTCCACATTCTGCAGAGGTATTAGTATAGCAGACGCACTTCATCAATTGACAATGATCAAATCCGTGGACCTGGACGCTGGGATCGGTAGATCAGTCTAACCGTGATTGTGAGCTAATTACAGAACACAGCATGTATGCACTGGCACATCTGCTGTTGACACGGATTCCGTTACCCATTTATTCTCTGGAGCTTCGGCCTTCAGCACTAGATGGGCCTGGTTTGGGTCGGTGAGCATACACCTACTGACTGCGGTATTGCCCAAAGCAGATGTCGGTGACCTGTGCTCATGAGTGAAGGCGGGATGGCCCTGGATGTTCCGGTCGTGCATTGTTGACCAAGGGATATCACTAGTCTCCTGCTGATGTCAACCCAAACTCCCGACCCATTTGGCGATTTTGATCTGACTGGGGCGTTTTCAATTCCCCTTCCCATGTTCAATGGACAATCTGATCTTCTCCCTCTTTATCGCCCTGTTTTGTTCATCTGACCAATCCGCTTTCCAGAGCCAGAGCCAACTGCCAGGCTCGATGCCATAAACGATACCGAACGGTGTGTTGAGCGCGTTTCTCAAACCGATCTGCAGCGACTTAGGAGAAGCGTCTCCAGGACGTGACATGCAGATCGACAGTCTGCCGGTTCGCCTTTCCACCAGCATGGTCAAAGTGTACATGTCGTCGCGGGTGTGAAAATAGTTGGATCGCAGAATGAAGTCACCATCCGCGAAAGTATCAATAACACGGAATCTCACGGTATTGTCGATAACTACTGGAACGTCGGTGCCGTACATATGATCGACAAAGCTTGCTGAAGGTAGATCCCTGAGGTTGTGGCATCCGATACCGTGGTATACACTCCGCCAGTCTCCCCTAGTGGTGAGGTAGCCAGTCCATGCAGTGTTAACAAAAAATTCAGGGCTTACGGCTGCCATCAAGCAACTCGGCGGAGAGTCCTTCAAGTTGTCGGGCGATGATGGGAGACCTCGTGCTATCTGCGATGCCAGTGGGATACTCGAGGCTGTTGGTGGATTAGAGGTGCCCTCGAAATCCTCACCGATGGTTCTTTCACCATGGAGGGCTGCCCGGAGCTCCAGACAGAACGAACCGACTGCAGCATTGGCCAATGCATGCTGCATTACCAGCGACTCTGAGCAATCTCGCTGGGTGATAGTAGAGTTGAACCACTGAACGTCCTCTAGACGTGCAAAAGGCTCCTCTGACTGATAATCATATCCTGCATCAGACAGCGCGCCAATGGCAAAGCACAAGCTGGCGGTTTGTGCAGAAAGCCACGCTTTTGTATCGAAGCGACTTGTTGGATCCGTCGTGAATTCGAACCACCTGCTATCATCGGTCTGTGATCGCAGTAAAGAAGATGGATACTCCTGTCTGCTGACCAAGGCTTTGCACTGATCATACATGGTTCGAAGGTCTAGAGGTGCTGCCATTGTGTCTTTGCGCTGGGTGTCAGCATCTAGGTAAACTTTTCGACGGTTTATGACGCTTACATCCAAACACTGCGACCTGTGGTGGATAGTCTTCGACGACAGTCACATTTCGAAGTCCATTTCCAGGTCGAACGACACGCATGCCTGACATCCCACCTTTATTGACTATACGGCTCTTCCTTATGCCACCTGGCTGTGGTGTTTTCCGGATTCGGGTGCTTTCTTTAACAATGGTGCGCCATAGGATCCACTCATCAAAAACCCAGTACGTATGTCGGCAACTATGAGCGAAGCAAAGAGCGGCTTCGGGCGAAAGGTTTGTGCTGATATGTCGAAGGACCTCTAAGGGTAGTTCGCTCAGCATCAAGGCAGGACGAAGAAGAATTGGGGTCGAGTATGTCTAAGAACGCCAGGTTGGAAATTGAAAAGAACGCAATCTAAGAATGAACTGGCAGAAAGGAAGGAAACGATCGGTGTATCTCAGCGCCGTTCAGGGCTACTCTCAATTCTTATTGTCTATTACCAAGTCCCGGTTGCAGCGGACAGCTCGACCCTAGGTCACGTTTTCCACCGCCCAGCAGGATGTATTGCGAGGAGAGTCCACTTATGCGGGCCTTTTAGCGAAGCCGCATTCTCGCCGCATCGTATAATGCGTCAAATCTTACACAGCGCATAACAAAGGTGCAGCAATGCGCTCCGCCTGACTCAGCCACTCGTGACCATTCGCCAAACTAACCACAAAAAGACGGTTTTCGCGAGAATAGTCAGGTTTACGCGATGCGGCGGCCGCTTTCGAGCTCTTGGTGTTCTAGAAGACCGCTTGTGGCGTTCTCGTTAAGGTGCACTTTCGCGCACAGCGTTGGTGGACAAAGGCTTCCATGGTAATCGGGCTAGAAGTTTGTGGCTCACGTTAATGCATACTAAACGAAGTTCTGCAGATTCACAGCCTCACACGATTACTGAACGATGTTTCTCATCGAATCGATTGTTGCTGATATTTTGCAATGTGCACAGCCCAACGACATGTTGTCTGCCTATCTAAGTCAAAGCTTCCTGAACACTGGGTACAAATCTCCGACCTCCATAGGGACAATGCCAAAGCTCACATACGAATCGATGTTCTCTGGTTCGAGCGCAACGAACGCCAGGCCGGCGTTCTTCTGTGCGCTCTTGACAAAGAAGCTACCAGACGGCAGCGTCACCTCCTGGGTCAATGTGTCGGTTGTCACAGTGTTCAGGATCGCGCCCTCATAGTAAGAACGTCCAAGGCTTGAAGAGGTGATGTTGTAAACCTCAACTTCGCCTTTGAAGCCCTCCAGCAAAGTCTCAACCTCAAGACCAGACACTCGGAGGCGCTCAGCAAGGTCAGACCACGCGCGAGGAATAACATAGCCCTCAGGTCTCGCAACAGTCTTATTCGGCGATGCGGGTGTGGTGGAGGCAAACTCGACGGGGATCTGCACAACATCGCCGTTTCGGACGTCCACCATAGTCCATGTGCGGTTCGAGTAGGAGGTATAATCTGTGACCACGACGGGCTCCTGGCTCGCGATCACCTCGCTGATAGCTCCCTCGATTGTGTTGTATACCTCCTCGGCCTGATCACGGGCCGTCTCGAGCACACCAAGGATCATCTGCAGCCCACCAAGAGTTCGGCGTTTGAAAGACTGGTTCGCAATACCGATACCCCGTGTCTCGAATAGGAAAGTAATCGACTGTGTCAGACCCATGGCATTACGACCGATCTTCGCATCAGTGCCAGCCTCTTGAAAGCGGACTGGGTTGGCTGACCGAGATGCAGTCACGTAGGGTTCGCCGCGCAAGCCTTTCGACTCCAACGATGCACCAATAGCAGGCGCAAATACGCTCTCAGCGAGTTCACGAATTGATGGATGAATGTTCAAATTCTTCGCGGCACTGTACATGCCGTCTGCAGCGTTGCTGTAGTTACCAGCATACCTGGTGCGTGCACCATACTCGTGCATATCGATAGCAATGTGCGGGGCGAAGGTACTAAACCACTGCTTGATGTCTCGAGTTTGTTGACGAGCAAGCTTGGTGTGATCGCGGTTGGGATCGAAGTTTGTCGCGAGTGTGCGCTGGAAGTAGGCGTTTCCATCCGGATTGTAGCGCGGCAGTACAATGATCTCAAGCTTGTCGAGGAACCCGGCAGCCCACGCCGGGTCTGCGTCCATCGCACCAAGCAGCGCAAGAGTAGCTTCATCGCCAGCTGGCTCGTTGCCGTGTACGGAACCCTGGATCCAGACTCGTACTTTGCTCGATGAATTCGAAGCCCTCGCGAGGCGCACATATGGGAAAAACTCGCCCTCCTCACTCAAGAAGTCGGCATTGCCGTATGTCGCCCATGCTGCGTTCTTCTGTGTAAAACTCAGGAGGAAAGCGTCTTGAGTTTGTTAGGAATTAACTTCTTTTGCATATCTTTGGAACTTACCCAAATCTGCTGGACTAGTTGCACCCTCCGTACCCTCGGTCCACCCAGGAGCGAAGGAAGCGTTTGGCGCAAACCCAGGGCTGTATAACGTGACATTGGGCGCCGGAAAAGCCCTCTGTTCCACGATCTGCGAGTCGAACTGAGTCACGACATGGTTCTCGCCATATTTCGTGCCCTGCGCCAATGCAGTGGCGGCGAAAAGCAGTGCTGAGAAGGTTGCCATCTTGGGGACACGAGCTTGGCACGTACTCTCTTCATCTGGCGCATCCACGCCCCTTTATCGACTGTTGCCATTCTTTTCCGCGATACTGTCGTCGATCAGCTTCCGATCTCGGTACGTCACTCCAAGACCGATCCACGACCGTTGAATGGCGTGCCAAGTGCCAAGTGAGGAGTCTTAACCTCTACCTTCCTCTTCAGGTGTCGCGACGCGTCTGTCGGTAATGGTTTGTCGGCAACCTTGAGGATAAGAACGGCATTGTCCTGATTGTGTTCCTTGCTGTAGTGCGAGAAGTGGGGGATGAAGATACAATGTCGGTGTTTTGGTTGCAAGAAAGATAGCGGCTGAGGTTGGAATGCGGCTGAGTGTGCTCGGTGGTCGCTGGCGCTATTCTCCGCGGCCTCATCATACAACAACTCCCTGACACGATGCACATTTTTTAACAATCGTTTTGTGTCTAACTACTCACATAATTCTACGTCGATTGGTAGGCTACACAAAATTCACAGCTCTTATGGAGTGCCCTTGCAGATGTGCGCCATGCGGTCGCAAAAGGAGACATTCTGCTGGAAAGTCAAGGCAACACCACCGTCATCCTTGCCGATTCAAGCCTTCAAGTAAGCTTTCAGCTCACCATGGATCCGACTCCAGGTTCCTGGAGACAGTCATGAACGTGTCAAGACCTTGAGTGGTCGGAACAGATCGACTTCTCCATGCCCAGGTGGTACCCCGGATTCCACCCCGCACCATTATTGCCCCGAGAACCCGGCGCAGGTCCACAACAAGCCACACTTGCCACAAAATAGTCGTATAGCCCGAGACCATTGAGAGACGTGCATGGGACCACTCGGAAAGCATTCGTAAAGTACTGATCTACACATCACGAGGCTCAATTACTGCTATAGTAAGGCTGGATTTCCCCGCAGATCAAATTCTCCCGAAATGCCGTATTGTTAGTTAGCATGTCATCCGGGTGAATTGCCAGCGACCTGGTCGAGTATATAAATGAAAGTTGAGTTTGATAAGGGAGCGACTTGCAACACCGTTCAACATGAGGTTCTTTCCGTCATTGCTCGCGTCCTTGACGCTGGTTTCTTCTCTTGTTTCAGCCATCTCGGTCACATCAACCAACTCTTACAACATCAGTAACGATGTAGAGGGCTCGGTCCGCCTGAACGGCCTCGCTTTTCAACAGAATGCGCTGACAACCTTTGGCAACTACCAATATGTTGCTTACTATGCAACAGCCACAGGCTATGGCAAGCACTACGTCAACCTTGGGCGTCGCCAGATCTCCCCTTCGATTGGAGCGTGGCAGTCCTTTGCTTTTACGGACTATGTCCAGCAGACACTTGACGAGCACAACACTATCTCAATGGGAATCAGCGGTGATGGAAAGATTCATCTATCTTTCGACCACCACGATGTCCCCATCAACTACCGCGTGAGCAACACCGGTATCGCCAAAGACATCCCCTCGACATGGTCCGCCTCGGCTTTCAGCGCCGTCCAGCATTCTCTACCAGGTAGCACTGGGCCCTGGACGCCGCTGACTTACCCGCGCTTCAAGCGCATCGACAATGGCGACCTGCTGATGGAATTCCGCATCGGGCAATCTGGCAGCGGTGACTCATGGATCCACCGCTATTCTTCAACCTCTGGTCTCTGGTCAAACGTCGGCAAGTACCTGCAAGGTGAAGACAACAATGCCTACATCAACGGCTTCACCAACGCCGTCGGCAAACTCTTCGTCTCCTGGACCGTCCGCGAGACGCCTACGCCTAGCACAAACCACGACTTCTACTTCGCCTACAGCGAAGACGCAGGCCGTAGCTGGAAGCAGACCAATGGCCAGTCCGTCGCGCTGCCCATCACCCCCAGCACCCCCGGCATCAAGGTCTACAACATCCCCCAGAACAGCGAGATCATCAACCAGGAAGCCCAGTGCGCTGACGACAAGGGCCGGTTCCACGCCCTGATGCGCGATAACTCCACCGGCACCAGCAGGTTCTACCACTACCTGCGCACCACCGACGGCACGTTCAGCAAGACTGCCATCAATGCGCCGGGCCTGTCCACGCCCCCATACTTGGCGTACCGCGGCAAGATCGTCGCGGCGAAGGACAGTGTTGTTGCTGTGCTGCCTGATGCGCCCAAGGCGACTGTGCAGCTGTGGGGCGCGACGGCGGGTGGCAACTGGGTGGATTGGAAGAAGTTGGGCGAGATCACGAACATGGCTGGCGAGCCATTGGTGGATGAGGAGAGACTCAAGAAGTTTGGTATTTTGAGTTTGTTCGTGAGGCAGGGTGGACCGTTTGGGACGAGGAAGGTGCAGGTATGGGATTTTGGGCTGAGTCTTTAGAGTATCACGGATTGTGGCTGTCTCTGGAGGTGGAAATACAGAGTGCTTATATACTGCAAGAGATCTGTACATTCAAAATGTTGGCTCCTTTGATACTTGGCTTATACGAGAATGATCGGTTCAAGCTTTGTTCCGTCGTAGGCTTCTCCATGCATGATGCCATGGATGTATGCATCGCCAACGAATTCGTACCGACGTACAGTGTCAAGAGGACTACTCTTCTGATGGACCTGACGTAATATATAGGGTACGTTTCCTCCAGGTATGAGCACCACTACATCACCTTTCCGTGCCTTTGCAGGTATCCAGCCGATGTAGCCTTTACAGGTAACAGCACAGCGCCGACCTATCGTAGTCATTCTTATCGCAAAATCGAAATCCAAAACCTCGACATCCTGCTGCTGTAAGACATGAGGATCGGACAGTGGGAACCAAGCACTCCACTTCTTAAAAGTCGCATCATCTTCGTGCAGCAACGGCCTGCACCAGCTCTCTGAATCAAAATTGCCACGAGTACCACCGCAAAGCGTGCGCCAGAGAACCTCTGACTTTGACTTGTATGGTCCACTTGAACTATCGTACCCATCGAGCAGGTTCTTGAGTGCGTCCACTGCCTGTCTTTGCACATTGGGTTCACTCCCTGATGTTTTCGTAGCAGTAAAATCTATGATACTGATTGAGTCCAACACGATAGCACTCGTCACTGCGTCCACTGATTCGTATTTTGCGAAGTGAGGTTGGGTGTCTTGGCTTGCACGGAAGAGGAATCGCACTGATGCAACACGGACGGAGAAAAGGCTGTCTTCTCCCTCATCATCAGAAGCAGGAAAGTTGGGGACCCAAGTAGGAGTTTCCATGTTCCTATGGAGTGGTTCATACGGAAAGCTTAGGAAGTCCAAATTCGTTTTTGACGCCACCAAGGTCGTGTTCATATAAACTTCATTGAGTGAGCAGTTGTAATCAACGAGTATGGAAGTCCGGAAGCTATCACTTGCCATGCCAAGCATCCCATAAATTTTATCGAGTGGATCGAGGCAATTACGCAATTTTAACATGTTGATAATGCTCAACAAGTCGTGCTCCTTGCCCTCGCGTTTAGCTATCTGCCAGGTTCCTAGCGCATTATCAAGGACTTTGGAGATCTTCATTGAGCCCGTGTATTCGGAAAGCAGTTTAAAGAGTTCCGGACAGCAGAGAACGTGGTGGTAATCGCAGTATATGGCGAAGCCCACCAGCACGTCAGACTTAACCTCATGGTGGCCACACATGAATACAACACGCTGGGCGAGCACGAATTCTTGAACGGTCCAAACTCGCGACCACCAAGGCGAGGCCAAAAGCCGTATAATCGAGTCGAATAATGGGAGGGAGTGGACATCGAACTCATGGGAGTTGATGCTTTGCTCTGACGCTGAGTCCCAGTGGGTATCCGGGTGACTCGCGATGAAGTCGACGAGATTGATAGCGGAATCACAACCCTTCCAAGTCTCTCCTAGAAACGCGATGACGCACCATGCTTGCGAATAGATCCGGTGCATTTCAAGCACTTGATGTGAGCGCTCGTTGAGATTGGCTTGATCGATGCAGAGAGCATCGACCCAGAGCACGCGCTCGCGGTCTTTGCGAACATGTCTGAGGATTGACTCGAGGCTACTGTTGACAAGGAATTCATGGCCTTCGAGCACGATCGATGCCGTGTTGTCGGCATTTCCCAACACATACGAGAGTGCTTCATATGAAGGATTGTCATCAAGAGACGCAACGCTGAATGTGCAGATGATAGGATCTCTCTCTGATCCACTCAGATTTTGGCCAGGATTTATTTTGTCTGATGGTTGTAGATGGAGAAGGCGAATATGCCGCTTCGTGTCGTTGAGGGGTGTGTATTCGTACGTCGAGTCCATCAGGCCGAGTAGAGACACCTTCCGTTCCTCGACAGCAAAAACGAAAACCCAATGTGTTCTTTGATTTGATTAGTCGAAAACTACGATAACGACGCGGTCATAGTTGAGGTGTTAAAGCAGAGGCACTGAAGCCTGAGCTGACTGCGCCTCGTGGCAGCTTGCGTTGCCGCCAAGACAGGGCCACCACAAGTACATTCCAGAGGTCGTCAGGGAATTCAGCACTCGACACTATATTGGGAAATTCAGATGGCCAAGAAGGGTCGCTGTGAAGGTAGACGGGTCTCGATGGCGGCTTCTTAGCGTGATGATGAACGACGTCACTTTTGGGAGAGCTCGGAGCAGGAGCCATCGCGATCAGGAGCTCTTTCCGCACCAAACACCAACGCCGACACGGCCAAGCTACGATTCTGGCTAGCAGCCATGGCGTCCGCCAGCGATGTCTTCACCGTCGTTAGTTCGCTTGCTTTACGAGTGAGCATTTGGATCTTCTTGCGATGGGTGAGCTCTTCCGCGCAACACAACCGCCAACCGTTGCTACCGATCGCTAACCATGTGCTGTAGATCCCCACCACAGTCAGTGCAACCTCTGCGTAGGCGTATCTCGCCCGCTGTATGACTGACGAAAGCTTCATAGGTCGTTCCGCCGCTTGCCGCAGCCCTCACTGCCGTCTACATACCCTCCTTCTTCGTCAGCTTTCAGGATACAGCCGAGTACAGGGTTATTTCAGATGAGCTGGACATCATCGTGAAGGACACGATCGAACGCGACTCGAGCGCTGAGGCTGAGCTCATTGAAGGCGCCGAGGATGGTCCCCTGGAGGAGCTCGACGTACAGGAGACAATACAATATGAAGAGAGGCAACCCAAGATCATCAGGACACTCCTCACGGGTCTCCCAAGCCCCTCGTCGGCGCTATGGAGCTGGATCACGTTCGGTATCAACATGGCCCTGATCGCTATGGCTCTGGACGTCGTCTACCGTGCACCTCTCCTTCACGACTGCCACAACGCGTCGTTTGGGCGCATTGGATATGTGTCAGACCACAGCGCAAGGGTGCTGGTCAGGGAACCGTATGCGCACGACGTCAAGGTCTTGTACCGATCGATCGACGAGTTGAATCGCTCTTGGATGCACAAGACGCTATACGCTTCTCAACCCGGGCAGTGGCTGACGAACGACACCGACTTCACCTCCGTTATCGACATCGACCACCTGCGTTCCGATACTCCATATGAGTACGTGATTAACACATCGAGTGGAAATAAGACCGGCATCTTTACCACTGCGCCGCGCCCTGGACGTATCTCAACCTTCAAGGACAACAAGTACACGTTTGTCCACTCGAGCTGTATCAAGCCTCGTGTACCATACACACCGGTCCAACATCCTCTCGAATTCCCAGGCATGAAACACCTCGCGGACTGGCTGCGCGAGCTGAGGCCGTACTTCATGCTTTTCCTCGGCGACTTCATCTATATTGACGTTCCGCACAGACAGGGCAAGGAGGCAGAGACTTACAGGCGCGAGTACCGCCAGGTTTACTCGTCCCCGTCGTGGCCTGCAGTGAGCGACAATCTGCCTTGGATTCACGTCATCGACGACCATGAGATCCAGAACGACTGGAACAGCAACATGACGGGAGTAGCAGTCCCTGCATACGACGCCTTTACGCACTACAACGCTGCCGCCAACCCGCCTGCTCACCGCGAGGGAACCACCTACTTCTCGTTTACCCAGGGCCCAGCAGAATTCTTCCTTCTCGACACACGTCGATACCGCAGCCCCGCCAACAAGGATCCCAACGACCCCAACAAGACAATGCTCGGCGCCACCCAGCTTTCCGACCTACTCGCCTGGATCGAGAAGGAGCCGCCACGCGGCGTGCACTGGAAATTCATCGTCACCGGTATCCCCTTCACCAAGAACTGGCAATTCGGCTCCGAGGATACCTGGGGTGGACACCTTTTCGAGCGCCAGCGCGTCCTCGAAGCCGCCTGGCAGCACTCGACCACCCATGGCGTTGGAATCGTCGTCCTCTCCGGCGATCGCCACGAGTTCGCCGCCACTGCTTTCCCCCCACCCGTTGGGTCTCGCTGGCCGGTAAGTGCCACCGTGCACGAGTTCAGCACCAGTCCGCTGAGCATGTTTTACCTCCCTGTCAGGACGTACAAGGAGATTGATGACGAGGATGTCACGATCAAGTATTTGCCCGACGGGAATAGCAAGTTCGGCGCTGTCGAAATCACGACGCCGGTGCATGGCGAGCAGAGCCATTTGAACTATAGGCTGTTTGTGGACGGGGAAGAGGCGTGGACACATCTCATCTCGACGCCGCCGAGTAAAGACGGAAGCCACCGGGCGCGGGACGCTGTGTGGGGTTGAATCGGGAGACTGTAATCATGGGCCATATCGCCTGGTGGCGCACTTGAGGGTTATGTACGGGTTGGTTTGTCTTAGCGATTTCCTTAGATCGTAGCAGAAGCAGCTTAGATGCGCGCATCTGTCACTCATCCATAAATATATGGGTATCTCTCAGCTTCATCAATTATCCATACCGCTTCCGCGCCTTCTCCTCGTCCGCAGCGGTCCACTGCCGCGGCAATATCGCAAACACGAGATAACTCGTGTGCGTCTTGAGCTCCGGCTCAGTCCGATGCACCAACCTTCCCTCCTTGAACAGCGGCCTCGTCTCCGCATCCCGCTTCGCCTTATCCAGCCTGTCATGCTTACTAGGCGGCAGGTTCTCCTTCCCCTTCGCCCCCTTCCCCCCCTGCGCGCCCTGCCCCTCCTCACCCCTCTTCCTAGCCTCCGCGCGCCGCAACACCTCCTCCTGCTTCTCGCGCTGCAGCCCGTGGAACACGGCCGCGCGCCCCTCGACATCGCGCAGGCGCTGCACCGCCTCGGTGACGCTCCCTGCGCTCGCGTTGCCGCCGCGCAGACCCTCCTCCGCGAGCCCCACGCGCTCCCGCCGCACTTCGAGGCGCTTGGCTTGGATCTCGACCATGTCGATTTCGAGCCAGCCCAGGGTGCGCAGGGCGGCGACGGTCTTGGTGACTTGCTCGATGCAGGGGGAGAAGCTGCATATGCGGACTGCTTTGCGGGGGTTGAGGGGCGAGACGAAGGGGGTTTCGGTTTCGGTGGTAGACGCGGAGTCTGGTTGCGCGGTGCGCGTGAGGTGCTTGAGTGCTTGCCAGGGGGCGGGAAGGTCGAGGAATATAGCGTCTGCGTCGGGGCTGGTGGCGTCGTCGAGGTTGAAGCCGTTGGCGTAGACGTCGCGGTGGGTGACTGTGACGACGGGGTCTAAGCCGTGCTCTACGATTTCGTGGTGTAGTTGTTTTGCGCGCGGCTCGTGGTATTCGAAGGAGTACACGCCGCCTTGTCGGGGCGTGCGCTTGCGTTTGGTGGGCGCGGTGCCGACGGCGTCGAGCTCTTCTTGCATGTCGGCTGCAATGTAGGAGGTGGTCTCCATACCGGGCGCGCCGTTGTAAACGCAGCGCACGGCTGCGTGTGTGAAGGAGCCGCTGCCTGCGCCGGCTTCGATGAGGTGGTCACCGGGTCGGACGCGCAGGCGCTGCAGGATGTAGCTGTAGTCGGGGGTGTAGACGACTTGGGTTCGGTGGGGGAGAGAGAGCGTCCATGTCTCTGGTGTAGGCGGTACTAAATGCGCAAATCCACTACTGGCAGTCGCAGCTTTGACGATGTCTTTCTTCGTTTCTGCAGCGTCTGTCGTGGATGTTTCTGCGCCCTCATCTTTGCCGTCTCTCTTGCGCTTCTTCGCCCTGCCGCGCGACCCGGTGTCGACAACTGATGCAAGTACCTGCGTCCCCCATGGCTGGTCGACGAGTGTGCTGTGAGGGAAAGAGCCAAAGCGCGTGTTTTCAACCTTTCCTACTGCATAATCCGAGTCGCCGTTTGGCGCAAGAACAGCTGGGATGAGATGATCGCGTCGCAATTGCACTATTCCAAGGCTATTTGCCGTGGAGTGTGTCCCAGGGTCCAGGAATGGAGAGATTACAGGCGCCATTATTCACTGTGAATGCTTGTACCAAAAGCACGCTCATGTGAAGCTCGAAGAATAATTTTAGCGGGGAGCTTTCGGCGCTGCAATTGGCGGGGATTGCCAAGGCTGACACGCCCGAAACCTCACCAAACGGACACGATAGCTGCAGCGACCTGAGTCACCCAATTCGCCATTCCTGCAGCTCCGACTCCACTTTGCTATTCCCTCTTCGTTTGCTTTGTCGTTCCTTTCTTTGCTGTACGTGACCGTCTTCTTGATGGTATTTGCATTTTGCTCTTTGTCCCGCAGAATCCTCACGCCCACTAGCTCCCCGCTCCTGCATTTGAGGGCCAACTTCAAACACAGACCCTTGCAGCTGGTATTCCGGGCCACCATGGCGACACCAGCACGCACCCAGCCGGAATGGAAGGAGCCCAAGTCGGAGCATCCAGCGAAATTGAAGGTCTGGAACTCTTTGACAAGATCGAAGAACGACTTTGTTCCTATCGACCCCGAGGGCAAGGTTGTCAAGTGGTACAGCTGCGGCCCCACCGTGTACGATGATGCCCATCTTGGACATGCACGGAACTACGTTACCATTGATGTTTTGCGGAGAGTGTTGGCTGGCTACTTCGGCTACAACCTTCAATTCGTCCAGAACATCACCGATGTTGACGACAAGATCATTCTCCGAGGACGCCAGCAGCATATCCTGGGACAGTTCAAGACCGAAAACCCAGTTATATCAGCCGACGTACTGGTGACGACTGTTGCAGCATTCAATGCCTATGTAAAGAAGAACCTGCCATTGCTGAGCCCAGAACTGTCGCCTGAAGACTTCAACAAGGAGTCGGCTGAGAAGTATGCCAACGTCATTGCTGGCAAGTCTGAGAATGGTACCACCGCTCCAGGTGACAAGGAAGCGAAGATCAAGATGCACTTGAGGACCGTGGGCACTGCAGCGACAGCATTGTTATCCCCCTCGAAGTCCACCCCAGAGGATGTTGAGCTGTTCTACGCAGGCGCTGAAGACGTTCTGCTGCCATACCTGGACTCAGTGCACGGCTCAAAGATCGATGCCAGCGACCACACGGTCTTCACAAAACTTACCCAGAAGTACGAGGCACGCTTCATGGAGGACATGAGGAACTTGAACGTCCTCGACCCAGATGTCGTGACCCGAGTCACCGAGTACGGTGAACAGATCGTCACTTTCGTAGACAAGATTGTCGACAACGGCTTCGCCTACAAGACCTCAGATGGTTCAGTATATTTTGACATTGACAACTTCGAGAAGATTCCGGGTAATCACTACGCGCGCCTCGAACCCTGGAACCGTGGAGACAAGGGTTTACAGGCGGACGGTGAGGGTGCTTTGTCACAGACAAAGACATCCGAGAAACGCAGCGAGGCCGACTTTGCCTTGTGGAAATCGAGCAAGCCCGGAGAGCCCGCTTGGAAATCACCATGGGGTCCTGGGCGACCGGGCTGGCACATCGAGTGCTCAGTCATGGCCAGCGACGTGCTTGGCAAGCAGATGGATATCCACTCGGGTGGTATCGATCTGTGCTTCCCTCATCACGACAAGTAAGTTCTCACGATTCGATAAATACATTAAAGCTCGCTAACACCCACTAGCGAACTTGCACAGTCAGAAGCTCACTGGTCGGGTGACAAGGGCGGTCACCAGTGGGTGAACTACTTCTTGCACATGGGTCACTTGTCGATATCTGGTAGCAAGATGTCGAAGAGTTTGAAGAACTTCACAACCATCAGGGAGGCACTAGCGCGAGGGGACTGGACTGCCCGCAGTTTGCGCATCATCTTTCTGATGGGAGGATGGCACGATGGGATTGAAATCACCGACACTATGCGCAAGGCTGGAACAGGTTGGGAGAGCAGTATCAGCAACTTCTTCTACAAGGTTCGCGACCGCGAAGCGAACCCTATGATCGGCGCAACTGGCAAGGAGGACGAACAAATCCTGAAGGCGTTCGAGACCGCGAAGGAGAAGGTTCACAGCGCACTTGCGGATTCGTTCGACACACCGGCTGCGACACGTGCGATCTCAACATTGGTCACAGCCTGCAACTCTGCTGAACCAACAGATTTGTCTGACAGTGTCGCTTTCGACGTCGCTCGCTACATCACTCGCATGGTCCGCATCTTCGGTCTTGATGGCTCAGCAGATCCCTATGATGGCGGCATCGGCTGGTCAGGCATCGATATCCCAACAGAAGCCAAGGAGTTTGTGTATGCCGCTGCTCGTGAGCGCGACGAGGTCAGGAAGCACGCCGTTACTGGCGACCTTTCGAGCGAGGTTCTCGAATCCATCATCGCACAGCACAAGTCCGCACAACAGCAAGACATCAGCGCAATCCCGTATGCCGAGGCCCTCTCCACATTCCAAGAGAGTCTTCGAGATCTGGCCGGCAGGCAAGCACCAGCCAAGGACTTCCTTGCGCTCTGCGACGCGCTGCGCGATACCCACCTGTGGGACCTCGGCATCTATCTCGAAGACCGCAAAGACCTCCCTTCGATGGTGCGACCTGTCGACGCCGAGCTGCGCTTCGCACGTGAGGAGAAGGAGACCATCGCACGCCAGAAGGCTGAGGCCAAGGCCCAGCGCCAGCGCGAGGAGGCCGAGAAGCAGGCCAAACTAGCTGCTCAAGCAAAGATCGACCCCAAAGAAATGTTCAGGACAGCCGAGTACAACGCCTGGGATGCCGATGGATTGCCGCTGATGGATAAGGAGGGGAAGGAGCTCTCTAAGGGTGCGAGCAAGAAGGTCAAGAAGGAGTGGGAGAAGCAGAAGAAGCTCAACGATGAATATCTGAAGAGCGCTGGTGCGGCTTAGGCGCGCTGTCTCTTCGCCAACTTTTCACGTAGAGTGGGACAAATTCTAAAAGCAAAGTTCAAGGTTGTGAGAGCGTATTCAGTCGATCCTTCTTCGTGCGAGGCTGAGGTAGGTGCCGTGACATGCATAAGCCCCGCGCCTTCCTTGGCAGTGCCTACATCTCATCGCTTCTCTTCACCATCTTTCTCCTTTCCTACCCACGCCTAACTCTTGAACCGCACTCGGGAGTTCACCTCTTTCGATTACAGGAGCCTGCATCTTTCTCTATCTGATCTGAACCAGAAAAGCGTCCCGTTAAAAGCTGCTCTTTCCACACTTCCGCCTAGCTTCAGCCTAATCGCCTCGATTCCCACCACATCACCCAAGCTCATTATGCGGCTTATCAACACTAAAACACGCGAGTTCGAGGAATTCATAGGGGATGATGTCCCCGGATACGCCATCCTTTCGCATACCTGGGGAAAAGATGAGGTCACATACCAACACTATGTGTCTGGTAATTGCCAAAGCATGAAGGGCTATGCCAAAATCGACATGACATGCCGCATAGCCGCTCGGAGCCAGATAGGTTACGCATGGGTAGACACTTGCTGCATCGACAAGAGTAGCAGTGCGGAGCTGTCAGAGGCGATCAACTCGATGTTCCGATGGTATCAGCATGCCGTGGTATGCTATGTGTACTTCTCGGACTTACCACCTGATGCGCAGTGGGATCGATCAACCCTCGCCAACTGCCGTTGGTAAGTCAAAGTAACCGGCTCAGTTCAATCCACTCTCCACTGAGATGCCTACGTACTGCAGGTACCTCTTTGTCAGACTACTAATACGATAACCGATTCAGGTTTACCAGAGGCTGGACTTTACAAGAGCTCATAGCGCCAAAAGAGATAATTTTCTTTGACTGCATGTGGTCAGGCGGGATCAAATCTTCTGACGGTATCCGCAAAGTCCGGTGGCTCATAAGGAGGATAAGCTCAATAACAAAAGTCGACGAAAAGCTCTTGCTTGGAAACCAGTCTCTCGACTTATACTGCGTGGCGCAGAAACTGTCTTGGGCATCTAAGCGTGAGACAACCCGTGTCGAGGACATGACTTATTGTCTTATTGGTTTGTTTGGAGTCAATATCCCCCTGCTGTACGGGGAAAGGGAGAAAGCATTTCGAAGACTGCAAGAAGAAATATTACGTTCAAGTGCCGACCTCAGCATCTTCGCATGGAAACTGCCACCACAGAATCCGACCCACCAAGGACTACACGACTACGGAGAACAGACAGACGACCAAGAGACGTTACTTGATCTAGATAACTCTACATCATCAACAGTAAGCGGTGTGTTCGCTCGATCGCCGGCTGAATTTTTCGATAGTGGTCAGTATACGAGAGTGGCCAACGGTCTGCGGGAGATTTCGATGACCAATATTGGGATCAAGATTCGTTCCAAACTTTTACTAGTTGAATCTCCCCGCTCTAAAACGGATACACGTGTCTATTTCTTGCCGTTAGCTGTTCACCCGTGTGACGGACCAGCACTGGGCATATGGCTGCGGCACATCGGAAACCAACATTTTCTCAGAAAAAACGCTTTCGAACTGGGATCTTGGAATCCTTTGAGTGATAGGCCCTTACCATTACAAGACAGCTTTTTGAGACCAGACCTGCCGTCTGAGTATTGTCAATCAAGCGATCGCTACGTCTCAGCAAGGGGCATCCTGAAGTTTATTCGCCAAAACACACTTCGTATGGCGATACAACCGCATATGAGAATTCTGGACGCTTGGCCTCCAGAGTATTTTGATATGGAGGATCTTTGCTTCTTCATCAGTGCACGTGAAGCTCCGTCTCTCTGTATCGTTCGAGTCGAATGTTCCGGTAAAGATTCTGACTGCACAATCATCGTATGCGATTGGCCATTTATGCCCAAATTCACTGTGCTGGAAGACCCCATGCCCGAAGAGGCGCTCCAGACAATCCGATCAATCCAAAGCGAAACCCGCGAGTACGGCGGCATTCGAGGCCGCGTGAAATCGCTGCTGCAGGATGCGGGAATACCTCACTCGCATCTTTGGGTGGAACGAAAGTCCAATTTTTTAGGGAAAAGTGTCCATAGAATTCTTCCGGATGATAAACCTGGAAACAGACATCGAATACTCTCGATTCAGAGCAGCATCTTGCGTGCGCATGGAGCCCCCAGACAGAAGCGCAGTGATTGGTCCACCTGTTTGCCAGGAGAAGAATAAATTTACACTCATCATCATTCAACAGCTTGAGGTACAAGCCCCAGCACAGATTGGACTCCTTGGCATCAAAACAGACTGTACATCAACATCTCCACAAGGATATATCTCACAAACACCCAGTGGTGCGTCCAGCCGCAGGGCTGTTTGAGGTCTCATGACAGAAACGTTTGAGTGTAACCCTTACCGTGATTGCGTGGCAGTGGTACGTAGAAGTCTGGGCGGACAGGAAGGAAACGAATTTTACCTTCTTGCCCTAGCGATGACTGTCTCGTCTCGTGACTGTGAGAGTAAACAAGGCTGTGTCGCACTGCATACCACTAGCATGAGGCTTGAGTGCGTGCAGCCTGTGTTGGAAATGTCTTTGTAGCCTGATAGTGAGCAGTACATGATTCGGCAGTGATAGCCTCCACCGGTCTTCTGCCAGTCCGTTCGCCATCACACATATGTTTGTAGCCAACTCTGCTCAGAATTAAAAATACAGCACTCGTGCCTAGCTCATTTTTCACAAGAAATTTCAGTCTGCTCTACCGTAGTGACTATTGTCTCTAAGATATGGTGCAATGCGAAGCTTCTTTCCCACTTGTAAATCTATTTCTCGATCTCAAGGCTCTCATCATCTGCTAAAGCCTTGCGCTCATTCACCGGACGCTCAGGCACCAAGAAGGTTGCTGCAAATGTCGATGGAATAGTAACAGAGAACATAACGAACGCAACGATGAGGTTGATCATCGGCTTGATCTTCGCCGCGCCAATCCCGAACGCGAGACACGAGCCCACTGATTCAAAGGACCGAAGCAAACCCACAGCCAGAGTCAGTGTCTCGATGTCGTCAAAGAAGGCGCCGAGTATCCAGTATACGAACATATAGTGCGACTCGTTCATGAATCTGCACATCGGTCAGTCAGCAGATACTAGGCAGGACGCACACTCCGAACATACCTGAACAATACGTTGACCGCGAACCCCCGTCCGAACCCAGGCAGATCCCAGTCCAGCGTAACTTTGGGCACAGCCTCAGAATACAATTTCTCGTTGGCCACCTGCCACCCGAATAGCGCCAGCATCATCACCGAGAAAAACACCCACGTCCCCTTCGCCAGCGCCGGCCGGCTGAACCACCTCGTGTCGTAGAACCAGCCCCACAGTATATTCGCAATCGATGCCGCAACCCCGGACGTCAGAGCACCGAGCGTACGGGCACGCACGGAGAAGTAGCGTGTTAGGTAGATGCCCTGGTACGTGTTGTTCCAGTTGAAACCGACCATCACGGGGATCAGGAGGTAGAAGCGCGGGTCTTTGAGTAGTGCCCACCAGCGGCCGACTTCTTTCATGAGGGCTTTGTTTTTGGTTGGGTCGGGTACTTTGCGGCCGTCGCGGTGGATGATCTTTTGTGGCGGCGAGACGAGGAGTGCGAGGGGAAGGCCGAGACATTGGAGTGCGATCAGGACGATGTATGTCGTGTAGCCGACTTTGCCGCGCTGGCCGCTCTTGTAGTTGAGGGAAAGTTGGACGGAGGAGCCGATCAGCTGTCCGAGTTCGCGCAGTCCTAGCCAGATACCTGTGAACTTTCCACGGTCTTCGATGCTCGCATAGCCTAGTGCGATAGCGCCTTCGGATGCCCACAGCGCGGAAGCTGCAAGACCGCAGGTAGCGCCGCCGACGAGGACGAACCATTCAGTGCCGTACCTGTTGTTTACGTACAGAGCGGCTGAGTAGGGTGCGTAACCAAGAGTTCCAAGAATCAGGACGTTCTTCAGGCCGAACTTGTTTGCGAGGATGGCGAAAATGGAGCAGCCAAACACCATGATTCCAAAGGTTAGAGAGTTGGCACCATTGACGAGATATGGTTCTTGCTGACCCCCAGCTCCCACATCTGCTTGTTGTTAGTTTCTGCTACAGTCATGTGCGGCTTGAGAACGTACTGTTGAGAGCATTCCAGATTCCGGGTTGTGTAAAGCTAATGAAGCCCACCACAATGACATTGAAGAGAGGACTTCGATACCATCGCGTAAACCGTGAGACGGGTTTTGTCACCTCCCCGTCTTGCGCTTGCTCAGCCAGCGGCTCGACGACTTTGTCAGCCATAGCGCAAAATCCGCAAGTATGAAGCTCGACTCTGGAGTCTTTTATCTTGCAGGGTTCTTATTATACATACTCTCTGCGTCTCGTGGCTTGCGGATGCTGATTCAGGTGCCATGTGTATGTTCGAGGCTTGATAAGGTGTGATCGACATGGAAGGTGGAATTGCCAGAATAGGCTAGCTCCATGATGCTATCCGTGCATGTATTGCACAATCGGGCTCCAAGAGGCATCTCAAGCGACTAGCGAGCCCGTCAAACCACTATCACAATGCGCCAAGTACACATGATTCTTGTGAAAGCCTCGTTTGTTCGAGGTTGCTGAAAATTCTTATCCGATGAGAAGTCGTGGCGTGCTTGGCCCAGTGGAATGAGACCATGGACCACTCTCACTAAAATCTGTTGACATTGCTCGACTCAAGACGTGCCAAGGGAGGACTGCCATGGTCTACCACATAGTGTTGACCCGAGGAAAACTGTTGTAGTGCTTGCCGGCTCGCATTGGCTTGTGTGGCGCATCGCTGGCAGTCTCTCTTAATTTATTGTCCGCATAATTAGAGCAAGTGAGGCATGATTGTACTTCTGGAAAATCGCTGGTGTCGCCTTTTGTCAAGGAATGTTGGTGACAGGAAGTGGTGAACATGTTGTGCTTAGTCAGAGATTATTCATTGCGCTAGCCTTTTGTGCTGACACCGTCATCGACGCGCATTGACGGGCATCGACGTTACTCTTGATTTACGTGTTTTTCCGTGTTATATTGTGATTTTATCGTATCACCTACTCAGGGATAACGTGGTCTTTCGCATCGACTCCAGCTTTCCAGCGATACTTTGACGCAACATGCTCGTCCAGCGGTCCCTTCTGCCCCGGAATGCCATAAAAGTTCTCTCTGTACGTTCCTCCAGGAACGGCGTAGTCCTCCCAGAATAGACCGCGCGCCTTCAGCTCTGGAAGCAACAGCTCGATGATGTCCTCAAATGATTGCGGGAATAGCGCGTATGCGAAGTTGAATCCGTCAACATCAGCCTCATCAACCCAAGTCTGAAGCCCGTCTGCAACCTGAGCAGGAGTGCCAACGATGATGGGGCCATTACCACCAATGCTCACATGCTCGGCGACGGTGTGCTTCGTCCATTTCGAAGTACCGGGGGAAAACTTTGCGTATGCCTCCACAGTGGACCGGACGGCGTTGCTTTCGACCTGACGAAGCTCCTCGTCATCACCGTACTTGCCCAGATCAATGCCTGTCCATCCGCAGAACAGAGCCAATGCACCTTCAAGAGAAGCATACTTCCGATAATCGGCCAGTTTGGCCTGGGCCTCCTCTTCAGTACGTCCAATGATCGGGGTCACAAGAGCAAGAACCTTGATGTTATTCGGATCTCGTCCATGTTGCGTTGCTGCAAGCTCCCGAATCTCTGCAATACTCTTCGCAGGCACTGTAGGGCTGAATGCGCTGACAAATATGGCTTCCGCGCTCTGTGCTGCGAACTGTTTGCCAGCTTTCGAAGTTCCGGCTTGGAGCAGAAGTGGAGTGCGCTGTGGGCTTGGCTGGCAGATGTGAGGCCCGGGTACTGTGAAGTACTTGCCGTTATGGTTAATTTCGCGGACCCTTTCCGGAACGGTGTACACCCCCTTCTCGCGATCAAGAACAACAGCATCGTCTCTCCACGACGATTCGAAGAGTTTGTACATCACCTTCACATACTCATCGGCTTGCGCATATCTCTCATCATGCTGCTGGAATCAGCACTGTGCAGCCATAGATTTGCCGGTACTTACCGCTACCTGCTCTTTGAAGCCCATATTTCGGGCGGCGGAATCCAGGTAACTAGTGACGATCTGCGGGCGCTTTAGTCTTACGTTCAACCGATGGAGCTATAGCGACCAACATTCCAGCCTAGTCGGCCCTTCGAGAGGTGATCGACTGTCGATAGCCTACGAGCCAGATGGTAGGGCTGCTCATACGTTGTCGATACTGTTACACCAAAGCCAATACTTTTTGTAGCTGCAGCCATTGCGCTCACGACACTAAGTGGCTCATTGACAGGCCACTGTGCACCAGAGATCTTTGCAGCATCAAGGTTGCCATTGTAGACCTTTGAGCTCGTCAGAGGTTACTTATTTGCCTCACCTCGCTTGCGTACTAACATCATAGCCACCGAGAACATCGGCAATAAAGATACCGTGGAACTTGGCCTTCTCAAGGAGTTTTGCAAGTTCGACCCAATGGTCAACGTCGCCGAACTTGTGAGAGTTGTCGTCTGGATGTCTCCAGAGACCAGGCGACTGATGGCCACTACCTGTTGGATCGTTCCCAGATTAGTTTTTCATAAACTAAAATAGGGTGAAAGGAAGCTCTTGCTGAGCGGGGAAGTGATGCGGTTGATGCAGATGACGTTGAAACGGGTTGGCGCGTGATCACGTGAACTTACACATCTCCACGAAGGCATTCACGATCCATTTCTTTGGGGGCGCCATTGTCTCGTAAAATTCCAGGCGTATGTCGTGCTTTCGACTTGGATATTCCGTGCCTACTGAGGATTGTAAAGATAGATATGGATCCGATGTCGCTGTTTGATGTTGCTCCAGTTCGATGGGGCAGATGATGTGCTTTCAACTGTATTCACGCAATCGCTTATCTCGCCACCCAGCGCAAATCACACAACACGGCTTCGTACCGCGGGATGTTCCTGACGCAGGGTTGTTTTGGTTCCTCAATCTATCCACGTTGTAGTCGGGCTCTAGCGGCTGATTACGGTTCTTCTCCACCCCTGGTGGCTACCACGCCATCGTACTCCACAATGCCGACAGTGTGGTCCCCGCGAAGAGGCCGTAGACGCCGAGGCGAATGATTGGGGTAAGCATGTTTCTGCACATTAGCTTCTTTGCTTACCATTTAGTAACATGACGAGGTCGGCTTTTCGGGTATACTCCTTCAACACGCGGCTACCTATACATCCTTCCCCAACCTGAGATCCATAACCCAAGTTTCTTCGTTAATATAGACTTTGGTACTGAACACGCCATCTCATTCACTTTTCTAAAACTGCACATCATGGTTCCCTGGCGATGGCGACCAAAAAGCATCTCGAAAGCACCCGCGCCTATCAAAACAGAGGATACAGCGAAAGACAGCGCGATCGTTCAAGTACAAGACCAGTTCCAGCGCCATGAGATAACGAAGACACATCCCGAACGACAATCAGCATTGTTACTCCACGCAATACGTCAACCATACGAGGTGGCTATCGACCACGCTGTTCCCGAGGTACAAGACGACACAGAACTGCTGGTTAAGGTCACTGCTGCTGGGCTGAATCCCATAGACTGGAAGTCACCGTAAGTGCATGGCAAAGAATCAGGAATTCGTCGCTTTTACTCACAAGAAACCAGCGACTTCAACTTCGGTGTCCCTGTCTTTCCCTTTATATCCGGTCGCGAATTGTCTGGTGTAGTCGTTAAGGCGCCAAAATCACCAAATTCTCGTATACGCGAAGGCGACATCGTGACGATACCTTCGACCGACTACAGAGATCTGCGTAAAGCTGCATTTCAAGAATACAGCATTGCCTCGTCATTTAATACCATACGACTCCCGCACAACGTTTCGGCAGAGTCCGGAAGTATCCTGGGCGTGGCCTTCGTATCTGCAGTGCTAGCATTGGGTATATGCATGGGAGTCAGCTTCGAGGGTATTGAGAATGGGCCAGATCTTCTGGAAATTGTGCGCAATATCGACCCCGAAAGACTGCCCATAGACATCAGGAAGGAATGTCTCGAAAACATCAGCAACGCTGATCGGGCGAAGGCCGGAGACTACATCATCATTTGGGGCGGCAGCTCTACGAGTGCGCACCTTACAAAACAAATTGCAAGATTGGCAGGCCTGAAGATCGTGTCAATAGTCGACAACGCGAAACATGGAATACGGCTGTCCTCGAATGCAGCCACACGCCCTGATCTGCTCGTAGATTCGCACGACCCCGAAAGAGCGATCGATATCATCAAGCGAGCAACCGGGGATAACGCCCGTTTCGGTTTTGATACCGTGGGAAAAGAATCTGCTGCTCACCTTCTACGTTCACTGGTTTCTTCAACTTCTCCAATTGCCTCATTACCGAAAGACGCACAGAATTACGAACGCAAAGACTCAAAGCTGCCAACGCCACCATCCACACCCCTGGAGCCTGCCGAAGATGCTCCACGGTCACATTTGGTTGGACTAACTGGGTTGCCAAAAACCGACATTCCAGAAGATGTGACTTTGCATAACGTGCCCATCAAGCTGTTCCACGAAGTCCCTGAAGTTGGCGAGGCGCTTAGTGCTTGGTGCGAGAGACTGCTTTTGAAGGGATTGTTGGTCCCGCCGGATGTTGTAGGGACAGTACATGGGCTAGATGCTATCAACGAAGGTCTTGACAGAATGAGGAGGAGGGAGATTAGCGGGGGTCGACTTGTAGCTGTACTTCCGTAGATAGTTCCTACAAAAGTCATACAAAATGATGGGCGATGGAGTAAAGGGTATTTGTATAGCACTCTGAGAGCAATTTCTCTAATTTTCTTGTTCACGTAAATCGACATGAGATCTCAAAAAGGAATCGCAGAATGTAGTAGTGTTCGTGATACACAAAACAATGTAGTAAATCTCATCTAAATTCTACCATGCCGTCTTCAACACTCGCCACCTAGATCTTCTTCCTTCTCTTATAATTCAGAGAGAATCTATGCTTACTTCGAATCTATGACCCCTTTCTGCGATTCCACCACTGTCGATTGTACCGGTTTAGCGTCGATTTCATCCTCAAAAGTCTTCTTATCACCAAATTCCCGCAGCACCAGCCATGCGGGCCAGATTGCAACTGCCCATAGTGCGAAGTTCCAGTAAATAGCTCCAACCTCAGCAAAGACCGTGACAGAGGTGATTCCGTAGCTAACCGCCTGCCATGCAGACTCGGTACCTCTGAGAAGGGCAGCATATCGGATAACTTCAGGCTCGTTCTCTGCAAGCTGCCCAATGAAGAAATACAAGAAGAGGTAGTTGAGCTGGAAGCCGACCGTCAGGAAAATGAAGACTGCAAAGCCGCGACCGAAACCAGGCGACGACCAGTCGTACGTTGGTTGCGTCGAGCGGAATTCGGTAGCCAGGATGGTAGCCCACAACCACCAGGCGCCTTGCAGAACTACAATGGTCCAGAAGGTACTACGAGCACGGAAACGTAGCGGTATCGAGGTCCGGTCAAGATAGTATCCAAGCAAATTACCACAGGTAACAGCTACAATACCAGATAGGAACGACCCCAATGCTCGAGAGCGGACAGAAAACCATACTGAGTGTACATTAGACAAGCTTTCTCTGAGTATAGAGATAGAAACTTACAAGCAAGATATGTGAAATAGACAGCTTCTGAGAAAACTGCTTGTCCAATCCAAAGGACAGTGAGAAGATATCTCTTCGTAAAGAACAACTTGGTCGTAGCCTTGATCTCGAACCAAGGGTTATCCAAGATAGCCAAGTCGACTTTCTTGCCGTCCTTCCTCTGGACTTGATTGGGTTTGTTGAGGAAAATACCAACGAAGGGGCCAATGCACTGCAGCGCAATGAAGATGAGGTAAACAGTGTACGAAACACTGCCAGCTTGGTCGCGGTCCGCGTTGAGTCCAAGATTGATAGCACCACCCAGGATCTGCCCACCCAAGCGAAAGGTGAGCCAGTAACCAAGCGCTTTGCCCTTGTTCCAGGGCCTATCTCGTCAGCCAATTGTTCTCACTACGCTCACAGACGGACCTACTCAGGATATGCTATGGCAATGGCGGCTTCAGCCATCCAGAAGACGCCGGCAGAAATACCGCAAAGTGCGCTTCCGAGGTAGATAAACCACTCTGTGCCGAAACGGTTGTTCGTGTACACTGCACAGTCTCAGTATGTGTTTTGTACCCATCCTAGAAATATACTCACGAGCTGCTGCGTAAGGGGCATAGCCAATTCTACTGACTGTTAACATTGATCGAAGATTTGGCGTGTCTCTAACTCACGTTCCAAAGATCAACGCCCCCTTGATGCCAATGTAGTGCACGATGGCACTGCTGAAGTAGCAACTAACCACCATCAAGCAGAAAGTAAGCGCATTACCAGCGTTCACAAGATGAGGCGATTGAGCTCCACCAGCTCCCAGCGAGTTCATCGCACCCCAAATGCCAGGGGCCGAGAAGTTGCAAAGACCAAGGATGGTCATGTTGAAGAGTGTGCTTCGATACCATTTTGCTGATGGAATGAGTTTGGTTCACAGGAACACATGTAGAAAGTTACTCACTTGGATAATCGCGCCTCTCAATCTCGACATCACTGCCAGATTCCAAAGATGAGTCTTGCGTGGCCATGTTTGACGTTGTCTAGCTTCTGGTTGTCGATCAATTTGCGGAAGGATTGACTTTCATATATTCCTGCAAGTCTCCACTTCTTCGTGTAGTGCCGGAGGCGTTCTGACAGGGTCAGCATGTACCGAAGCTATCATTTCGCGGAAGCTTGAAAGCACGCATTTGCGTGCCGACTCTATTGCACACGCCACACCGAGCCATCACAATGACTCCGGTACTCGGTGCGGCTGTTGCTAGATCTCATTTCAAACCGACCTCCATGCAATCTAACTGGCTTTCGACCTTGATACGGGTCACTTGCGGTAGATTGTGGAGGTTGGGAATTTTGGTGGGGTAGCACGCCATTCATCCTTGCGGTTTGCCAATCCGCACATCTAAGTACCTAGTTCCGAACCGCAACTGATTCGTGCGAAGGTTTCTTCGCTGACGACTCCGGCAGACTGGATGTCGTGCTCTTGGGTATCAAGAGATGGCACTAGTGGTCACGCCATGCCGTGACGGAATTACCAGACTGGGAATGTATGCGCCTCGAACATTCACTTCGATACCGCCTGCGAAGAGTGTCACTGAACTTGAAGCACGTAGATGAATAGATACAGTGTTCAAAATAATTCAATTCATTGTTTGGAATAAGGCCCTTACGTCGACTTCTTCGTCGAACCTGGCAAATCCCACCAGCTCTCGTGAACATCCTTCAAGTCAAGCTCTTTACCTGGCGCTCTCAGATATGAAGTCAAGTCGGCAGTCTCGTCGGTCTCTCTTCTAGTGTATCCGTTGCCAAAGTATGCAAACCGATTCTGCTTGTTGGAGCGCTCGTACACCCAGTCTTCCCAGCGAGGATCTCGCCTGACAAGTGTGAGTCCAGCAGCAGATCCAGGCCACAAGCCATGAATTCTCTGTCCAGGAAGGCCTCCATTGTTCCAAGACGAACAGTTATCGGTCAAGACTGTGCTTGGGAAGAAAGCATCGCAGTAATCGACGAAGTCATCTGCAGCCTCCTTAGATGGAGCGATCGACTTGATGCCTTGTGAGGACACCTTTCGTAATACCTTCGCAAAAAAGGTGAGCGCTGTCTCTACGGCTTGCGGCACCGTCCCTGAGGGGCCTGTGGCATGTGGCCCTGCTAGGAAGAACAGATTCGGGAAGCCGGGCGTGGCAGTGCCCAAGTACGTGTAAGGGAATCCAAACTCGCCATCGGGCTTCCAGGCCTTGCTCAAATCGAGACCACGCGCTTTGATCGGGAATGGTGGGACGAGATCGGTGTTTGCTCCCGTAGCACAGAAGATAGCATCAAACTCATACTTCTTGCCATCAACCGTCTCAATACCAGTGGCTGTGAATCGCTTGATGGGTGCTTTGACAAGTTCGGCATTCTCTTCAGTGAGGGATTCAAGGTAACCAGGGCCAGGGGTCAGCCTTCGGCAGTGTGGTGCGAAGTCTGGAATCAGACCATCGAGGAGCTCGGGCTTCTTCGCCGCTCGTGCTTTCATTACCTCGATAAACGTCTCTCGGATACCTTCATTCTCTTCAGACCCTCGCACCATAGCTCGGAAACGTCGCCAGTACCTCTCCTCAATATCTTTGCGGAACTTGAGATACGACTCAGGATCTTGGAACGATTCCAGTTGATCCGCTGGATACGGTTGAGGCTCAAAAGTCCTTTCATCACCAGCCCAACTTGTTGCTATCCATGTTGGATTTCTTACGAAATGTGTGACGTGTTCAACGACACGCTGTAGATGCGGTACAATTTGCAGTCCGCTAGCTCCATTGCCGATGACTGCGACCTTCTTCCCTGTTGGGTCAAAGGAAGGATCCCAATTCGAAGTGTGACGTAGATGCCCTTTGTAATCATCAAGACCTGGGTAATCCGGCAGCTTCCAGGCATTGAACCGTCCAATTGCAGTGATAATGAAATCGAAGTCTTCTTGGCTTGAAGAGTCGTCGATCAAATTATAGACCTTCAGACTCCACTTCGACCTCGCGTCATCCCATGATGCATCGTCGACACGATGTCTTAACTTGACATATTTGTAGACATCATGTTTTTTGGCTGTTTGTTGCCAGTAGTCGCGGATCTCCGCACCTTTGGCGAAAATCTCGGACCATTGAGTGTTGGGAGCAAATGTGCTCTGATAAACATGGGCTGGTATGTCGCATCGAACTCCGGGATACTGATTCTCCAGCCACGTTCCGCTCTAATATACGTCAGATCCTGCTATTGGGTCATTTCTAGTCATTTTACTTACCACGTCGTTGTTTTTCTCAAATATCGTCAACTGAATCCCAGGCACCTTTGCTGGTAATAGAATTCCAGCATTGATGCCGGCCAAGCCAGCCTATCCACTGTTAGAAGACAGATTAAACTTTCGTTATTGACTTGGAATACATACTCCAATGACCGCGACCTTCAGAGGCCGGATGTCGTCAATGTGGTGGTTCGCGTCCAGTTGCAGTCTCGAGATGGGGTAGTCGATTGGCAACGTCGGTCTTGAGTTGACCTGCTCTGTCTCGCTCACAGGTGCAAGATGCTCCGTCAACTGCGCAACGCGTCGCGTCGAAGTTGTTGCTGGTGACGTCTTGCCGATCGTATCGGTGGTGGGAATAACCGCCATCTTGATTGGGACTAGTCAAAAAGGTTGCAATGTGAGACGGGGTCAAGAGCTCTCTCTCCGCAACAACGAACGAAGACAGGATGTTATGAATTCATCAAAGTCATCTTAAAGGATGACTGACCGCTCCATCGGTACATTCGCGAATCACGTTTCATCCGTTATCGCCCCGTATTCGGTATCTGCTTGACTCTTCGCCATTGTAGCTCGGCATGATGATGGTGATCACGCCTTCACCCCACAGGTTGACGGTATGCGCCATGTGGCAGCCAGCGTCGCTGTCGTGCTCGCCCCTGTCGTGGTACAGCGTTGAGAGCACTGATCCCGCGTTTCGAGAGCTGCATGCATTTTGCGCCAAACTGACATCAGATATTCCCTGCACCACGCTCGTCTAGTATGGACATACATAAGACTGTGAGGCGCATGTCGTGCCTTCCAGCAGCGAAGATCTCAGGATAATAAGCTTCAATGTCCGCACCAATCAAGAGCCGCAAATGGTATCAGATCCGATGGTTCCAGGACTACGATACGCCAGAGGAACGTAAGCTAATCGCAAAGCTTGATTTTCTCATTGTGCCTTATGTTTTTCTGGCATATTGGGTGAAGTACATTGATCAAGCAAACATCAGTACGTTACTCGAAGTGATTTCACTATATGTACTAACTGAAACAGACAATGCCTACGTCGCCGGCCTCAAGGAAGATCTTGGATTTGAAGGGAATCAGCTGGTGCGACTGCAGACGATGTACGTGGTTGGCTCAGTAGTAGGCCAGCTGCCGTTCATGTATCTGTTTACACGTGTTCCTATGTTCTACCTTATACCATTCCTCGACGTAGCCTGGGGTATCTTTACGCTACTTCAGTACCGGGTTCACTCATTTGCAGAGCTGGCAGCATACAGATTCTTGGTGGGTCTGTTCGAAGCGGCATTTTTCCCAGCGATTCATTACATATTCGGTATGGGGTTTGACGCTCATAGATCTTTGCAAGGCTAATCGAGCTTCAGGATCGTGGTACCGAGGTGATGAGATTGGTCGCCGCGGTGGCTTCTTTTACGTTGGTCTTACTCTGGGCACCCTGACCGCTGCATTAATCCAGTCTGGTGCAACCTCGCGTCTAGATGGCGTCCACGGTCTTGCTGGATGGCGATGGATGTACATCATATGTGCCATCATCACCATTCCGATTGGCTTGCTCGGACTCTGCGTTCTTCCTGGGACTCCGGACAAGCCGAACAAACTTGTCCTAACTGATCACGATGTTGAGGTTGCCAAAAGCCGTCTTTTGAAGGCTGGCCACAGCGTGAAAGGCGATGTAACCGTTAATACGTTTGTCAAGATTGCCAAGTCCCCGCTGGTATGGGCCTTTCTGCTCCTTGACATCTTTTTCTGGAACGGGTGCATCAACACATCCTCTGGTGGCTACTTGCTATGGTTGAAGAGCTTGAATCGATACTCCAAATCTCGCATCAACGAATTGGGTGCCATTTCTCCAGCATTAGGAATCTTCTACACACTTTTTGTGTGTTTCGCCTCCGACCTCGTACTAGGACCTGCGTGGGCTATCACAGTCTCTCACAGTTGGAACATCATCGGTCTTATAATTCTCACTATCTGGAACGTTCCGGAACCCGCAATCTGGTTTGCATTCATGACCACGTATTCTGCTGTGGCAATGTCGAGCGTGCTGTATGGGTGGATCAACAGCCAACTCAAGTACTCCCCAGCAGAACGAGCGGTCGCACTCGTACTTGCCAATACTCTGGCGCAGTCGACTACTGCATGGACGCCGCTGTTGGTCTTCAAGACAGTTGAAGGTCCCAGGTTCCCCAAAGGATGGGCCTTCGTACTCGCCAACGCAGTGTGCTTGATCATTCTTGCACACATTATCAAAGCTTACATCAAAAGGAAAGCAAGGTACGTCAGGGCTCTAACAGGAACCTGTTGTATACTAATTCTGATACTAGAACTCACGAGTCGGTCTCGGAAAATGACAGTACAAGCTCAATCCATGAAACCCTCGACCCCTATAAACCGAAAAGTCTCCCAGTCACTCAAGGACCAGCTTAGTAAACCCGACTGGCAGCGTGTATTATGCCATAGACATTATGTAATGCGGTATTCGTCAGTGTCAAATAGTAGTACAGCCTGACTTGGTAGTCAAGTACCGAAGTGGTAGTCAAGTACCGAAGTTATAGCCATCCAATTTGAGAAGCATGGATATGATGAGACACCGAACACAGGGACGATGAAGAGTGAATTGACCATTCAACCATGCACACGATCTTCTCCGCTCTGGTGCATACAATGTGGCGTTCCCAACAATCCCTCGTTTGCTGCGAGTCATCCATGCATGCATGCGAATCCACTGCACCAAGAACGTGCATGGCACTGCAGTTGTAGCCACCCCACAACGTGTCGCGACATCGGATAACGGTGTTCAAGATGGCGCAATCGCCGCCATGCATTACGATACGCCACCGGATGATGATAGCCAGTGTGGACATGTCCACGGTGGGGTAGGATATGTATACATACGAGAACGGATATAGCCTTACTCCAACGTGACCACCAGATTTATATCCAACACATAGCATTCGACATCCAACATTCGACACCACTACAAACCAACTCCAACCCCAACCTTGAGACCAAACCACAACATGACAGACCCAACGCCCCCAGACAGCGCGTCAACCCCCAAAAAGAAGATCCTCATCAATGCCTTCGACATGAGCACCGTCGGCCACCTCTCCCCCGGCCAATGGAAAAACCCCAACGACCAATCCGCTACCAAGCGAAGACTCCCCTACTGGACCAACCTCGCCCAGCTCCTCGAGCGCGGCGGCATCAACGCGCTCTTCCTGGCCGACACGTACGGCGGCTACGACACCTACGAATCGAGCCTGGACAACTGCATCCGGCGGGGCGCGCAGTGGCCGATGACCGACCCGACGATCCCGATCTCGGCCATGGCAGCTGTGACGAAGAACTTGTCGTTTGCAATCACCGCCAGCACGAGTTTCGAGCCGCCGTTTCTGCTCGCGAAGAGGTTTAGCACGCTGGATCACCTCACCGGCGGCCGGTTTGGCTGGAACATCGTGACCAGCTGGAAGAAAGCGGCGTTTCGCGCGATTGGACTCGACGAGCCTGTGGAGCACGATGCGCGGTATGCGCAGGCGGACGAGTATCTGCGGGTGCTGTACAAGTAAGTCCCCCATGGCATGGAAAAGCGGCGGGCTGATGCGAGACAGGTTGTGGGAGGGGAGTTGGGCGGACGACGCGATTACGGAGGACCGGGAGCGCGACGAGTACATTGATCCGGCGCGCGTCAGGACGATCAAGCACGACGGCAAGTTCTTCCACCTCGAGTCGAAGCACATTGTCGACCCGTCGCCGCAGCGCACGCCGTTTCTGTTCCAGGCGGGAACGTCGGCGGCGGGGAGCGAGTTTGCGGCGACGCATGCAGAGGCGATCTTTGTCTCGTCGCACTCGCCGGTGGTGCTGAAGCCGAAGATTGCACGGATTCGCGAGCTGGCGAGGGAGAAGGGGCGGGATCCGCAGAGTATCAAGGTCTTTGCGACGTTTACGCCGATTCTGGGAAAGACGGATGAGGAGGCCAGGCTCAAGCACGAGGAGTTGAAGAAGTACGCGAGCGAGATTGGCGGGCTGGTGCTTGTATCGGGCTGGACGGGTATTGATTTGAGCCAGTACCCGCCTGATAAGATCCTCACTGCAGACGACGCAACGACGGACCATCGGGTGAGGAGTTTGTTGGATCAGTTTACTGTGACATCGCCTGACGTACCGGCGTGGACGCCAAAGGTCATTGCTGAAAAAGCCTCAATTGGAGGTCTTGGGCCGGTGAGCGTTGGATCGCCAACCACAGTTGCGGACGAACTTGAGCGGTGGGTAAAGGAGGCAGATGTTGACGGGTTCAACATTGGGTATGTAACTACGCCGGGCAGCTTTGAAGATGTTGTTGATCTGCTGGTACCTGAGTTGAGAAGGAGAGGCATTTACTCGCAGCCTGAGGAGGAAGGGCTGACAGCGAGAGAGAAGGTGTACGGGAAGGGACAGGCAGGCTTGCGCGCTGACCACACAGGCAGCCAGTACAAGTACGATGTGTATGATGAGTCGAAACCGTAGTTGCCATATCTTGCGCAGCGAAGTCGTACTCAGGATGAAGCATACAGGCTTACAGCCGGACATCTTCCCACTCCTGGCTCTGTGAGAATCCTAGATGAAACCTGCCCGTCTTCGCAAAACTCAAGGTTGCCACATCCGTCTCAAAGTCCATCACCTTCCCTCCGACCTCTCCCGAATCGGCCAGAAAGTGCGCATGTATTCTTGGCCCACAGATCCCCTTCATCCACTTAGGCACCACGTAGCCGAACACGATACCTTTCAAGTCATGCTGCTCGCCACCATCCGTAAACTCGACGGACTTGAACATGCCCACAACCTTGAAGGGCGCAAGGGTATTGATAGCCCTCGCATGCGCTATCTTCGGACTCGAGATCAGGTCATCAAGGCTCTCCATGTCCAGGCTCGGAACCTCCATGCGAAACGTGGGGCGAAAGATGGTGACCATTGCAAACGGGAGGCGGGCATCCAGGGGAGCTGGTGAAGCCGTGTTGTCGCTCGAAAGCGCGTATGCTTCGCCGTTGTTCAGGATCATCAGGCGCCCGTCTTCGTAGCTACCAATGCCATCGGTGCCGTGGGACGTCAGGTCTGCGGTGCGCGGTTGGCCTTCGGCAAATCCGGCGGCTGTCGCGGCTGTGGTTCCGAATTGGAAGATGTCGTTGGGTATCGAACCGACCATTTTGTTGTATTCTTTACTTTGTTCTACGGAAATCCGCTTTTGAGATGTTTGGGGTTGATATATGGATGTTCGGACGACGAGGAGACCCGTCATTAATGTCCGGTGATTCTCCGGTTTGGTATGTACTCCCCACCCTCCAACGATGATATTGTGTTGCATTGGAAATTCAATCACAAAAAGACAGCGTCACTGTGCTACTCTCGGAGTGAATTGTGAGGTCATGGAAAAGTGGTGTCTTTACAATGGCTGTAGCTGGAATGGGCGATGTGCAAGGAGCATCAAGACGAGAAAACAAGCAACACAATCACAGTCAAAGCCCTCGCCACATTACTTTGTACAGCAGACAGTCATTCGCAGACGCGATTGTTATTGAGCCTTGTACTGGGAAGGTGCAGCCTTGCGGATGGCCGCAAGGCAAGATGAGCCGATTGCTCGGTAGCGTCATATGTAGCGTCAAAAAGTCCAAAGCCCTTGCCAACTTTGTTATGAACAGTCGCAAGACGACAGCACAACTATTGCGCCCGCACTACTCTTGTCGCCGCCGAAATCTTCACGTACAACAACAATCTGAGGCAGAAGTGCAACTTTCAGCACAATGTCGGGCAATACACCAAAATCAATGTCGAATCGGCTCATGACGATGAAGGTAAGTTTGCTAGGCGCGTGCACGAGGATATGTTGCTAACAAGAGCCCAGTTCATGCAGCGTTCTGCAGCGAAGAATGTAGCATCCTCGCCGACGACACCAAATGGACCCGCTTCCAAGAAAGTGCGACTCTCGAACGGCGGCTCTGTTGCTGCAGACCACCAGATCCTCCAATCCGCGCTCGCTGAAGAGGCGAAGAAGCAGCAAGAAGCGCTCGACAAAGCGGCACTATATACCGGTGAAACGAAGTGGGTGCTCAGCTACAATGATCCTCTGGAAGGCAAGCGCGGGGATGCTCTCACGGTCAGACAGGCAGGGTTTGCGGAGCTTGATGCTGACGACAGCGAGGACGAGGGCGAGGAGGAGCAGGCACAACCAATACGGAGACAGTATGGCGGCGGTGTGAAGAAGGCAGACGTATGTTCCAAGCAAGCGCCGTAAGCTGAACTGCGCGCTAACGATGGCAGAAACCTGTATTCGAGACAGCAAAAGGCTCAGAGGATGAGGACGAATCTGCTTCGGAAGATGACTACGACTCGGACGATCCGACCGCCGAGCTCATACGCGAGACCAAGCGAGAAATGTCCTCCAAGAAGCGAGAGTCGCGAAAGAGCCTGGGAGACGCGTCGCCGAGAACCGCTCCCAGACCGATTAACCAAGATGCCAATCTCAACCGCCTGACATCGCTGAGCGGAGGTCGCAAATCTGGAGGACGTGACATGAGCAGTATGGAGTGCTTCAAATGTGGACAAAAGGGACATGCCAAGGCAGACTGTCCAAACCCAGCGCGCGGCTCTGCGGGCGGAGGCCGAGGCCGCGGCGGACGAAGGTAAGAATTCGCTGTGCGTATTGACGATGTCCAAGAAACCTTGCGGCCGGCTAGTATCTTGATGGCTACGGTACTTTGGAGCTTGCCGGACTAATGCGCTGGAGTTTGCCGACTGCGGCCCTTCTGTGCTAGCAGCGTTCTCATACTGTGCAGCTGGCTGCGAATCTCCTTGAGTTGAGAGGTCAAAGCCTTGTCTGTAGCGAGGCTCTGCAGACGTGCGTGGCCACGAGGGGCCGAGCATTGTCCACTTCCCCACACTCGGTGCATGACAGCCAGACAAGGGCCTTTTCAGCCGCAAGCATGTAGCTGCTGTCATACTGTACTCCAACGGCGCGCTGTCACACAAAAGTCTCGAGACTGCAAACAGCGAATGGCACAGACACCTTCGCGGCACGTACATGGTTACGATGCTTATGCAGCCGAGGCCATGAAGTGTGTACAACAGCTCGCTGACTGCTCATAGCGTAGATAGTGCTGTGCTGTAGGTAGCAAAGAAGGCCAATCATGACGTAGACTAAGTACTCCTCATTAGGTATGTGTGCACTGTTGTTGTTTCCTGCATTCAGCCTTCTTGATGAGGCGGGCAGACAAGTCCAATCGTGATGTAAACCACATGTCCTCGCTGTCCATTGTCGTTGTTTGAGCAGTAACGTGCGTTCAGCCTTGTTGGTGAGGCGGGCACCGTGATGGCCCCGGTCACATGGCTGGGTGTGAAACGGCGAGGTGCAGCTACGGTCTACCGAGGGCGCGGTCCTATCGATAGTGCGGCGCTGAGAGCATCGCCGCCGCACCTTGAATCTTCGACGTTCGCTCGCATTCCACGCTGAGCGCCCGCATTCACCGCCCTTTGTGCCTCGCGCGAGCAAGTGAGGCGCGGCACGGTGATTGGCGTGCCGAGTGACGGTGCGAGGTCTGACACGGTACAAAGTGGCAGGCGCGTTGAACACGCGGCCCCGCTGCGCTGTATAGATGAAAGCCGCGCAGTACGGATATCTGGGGAACCTTGGTGCCCGTCTGTTCCTGCCCGCGCGCGCCGCCGTTTGCGAGCCTGCGCGATTCACATTCACACCCGCCGTCTGTCCTGCTAGCCCCCGTCTGTCGCGAACATCGCCCGCCCTCCGCCTGCACTCCAGCCCCGCCCGCCACTACACCACGCCCACGCACACGCCCACGCACACGCACACAATGGGGGAACCGCTGGCACGGGAAGCGGCGCGCGAGCGCATCGAGAACCTCGAGCGGCCGCAGCTCGACGACCGCGCGTACCGCATCATCACGCTGCCCAACAAGCTCGAGGTGCTGCTGATCCACGAGGCCGGCAGCGACAAGGCGGCGGCTGCGCTGGACGTCAATGTCGGCAGCTTCAGCGACGCCAAGGACATGCCCGGCATCGCCCACGCCGTCGAGCACCTGCTGTTCATGGGCACCGAGAAGTACCCCAAGGAGAACGCCTACAACACCTACCTGACCTCGCACGGCGGCTACTCGAACGCCTTCACCGCCGCCACCTCGACCAACTACTACTTCGAGCTGTCGTACCAGCCCGCCACCCCCGACACCGACCTGACCGACAAGGACACCTCGCCGCTGTGGGGCGGGCTCGACCGCTTCGGCCAGTTCTTCATCGCCCCGCTGTTCCTCGAGGACACGGTCGACCGCGAGATCAAGGCCGTCGACTCGGAGAACAAGAAGAACCTGCAGAACGACACCTGGCGCCTGCACCAGCTGAACAAGGCCCTGGCCAACCCCTCCCATCCGTACTGCCACTTCTCCACCGGCAGCTGGAAGACGCTGCACGATGAGCCCATTGCGCGCGGCGTCAAGATCCGCGACGAGTTCATCAAGTTCCACTCGAACCACTACTCGGCCAACAAGATGAAGCTGGTCGTGCTGGGCCGCGAGAGTCTCGACACTCTGGAGCAGTGGGTCGAGGACATCTTCGCCCTCGTGCCGAACAAGGACTTGACCAACGCCCGCTGGGAGATGCCCGTCTACACCGAGAAGGAGCTGCTGACCCAGGTCTTCGCCAAGCCTGTACTCGAGTCGCGGTCGCTGGAGCTGCAGTTCCTGTACCGCGACGAGGAGCAGTTCTACGAGTCGCATCCGTCGCGATACCTCAGCCACCTGCTCGGTCACGAGGGGCCTGGAAGTATCCTTGCCTACATCAAGGAAAAGGGGTGGGCGAACGGGCTGGGCGCGGGAGGCTCCACGCTGTGCCCGGGCTCCGGGCTGTTCAGCGTGAACGTGAAACTGACAGAGGAGGGGCTGAAGAACTACAAAGAGATCGCCAAGATCATCTTCCAGTACATTGCCATGATTCGCGATCAGCCGCCGCAGGAGTGGGTCGTAGACGAGCAGAAGCGCATCAGCGAGGTCGAGTTCCGCTTCAAGCAGAAGAGCCCGCCCAGTCGGACAGCGAGCGGGCTCGCGGGTGTCATGCAGAAGCCGTACGACCGCACAAAGCTGCTGAGTGGCCCAGCAGTCATCAGCAAGTTTGACTCGAACCTCATCAGCGAGGCCATGTCATACTTGCGGCCCGACAACTTTAGGATGACTATTGTCAGCCAGGACTTTCCGGGCGGCTGGGACCGCAAGGAGAAGTGGTACGGCACCGAGCACAAGGTCGAGAAGATCCCCGAGGATTTCCTCAAGGAGATCAGGGAAGCCTTCGAGGGCAAGAGCTGGCCGAAGGAGCTGCACTTCCCCCACCGCAACGAGTTCATCCCGAGCCGGCTGGATGTTGAAAAGAAGGAGGTAGAAACGCCTACCAAGGAGCCGAAGCTGATCAGGCACGATGACAACGTGCGCATCTGGTGGAAGAAGGACGATCAGTTCTGGGTCCCCAAGGCAAACGTTCACATTTACTTCAAGACCCCAATCACATACGTTAGCGCACGGGTGGTACTCATCTGCACGCTCTTCCGCGAGCTCGTCAACGACGCGCTTGTTGAGTACTCGTATGATGCGGACATCTCAGGCTTGGTGTACGACTTCAGCAACCACATCAGCGGTCTGTCGATTACAGTTAGTGGCTACAACGACAAACTGCACGTGCTGCTTGAGAAGGTGCTCTTGCAAGTCCGCGACCTTGAGGTTCGTGAGGATAGATTCGCTGTCATTCACGACAGGATGTCGCGCTCGCTGCGCAACTGGGATATCGGGCAGCCGTACGGCCAGGTCGGCACCTACTCACGCACATTCAAGAGCGACAGGAGCTTCATGAACGAGGAGCTGACAGCAGAGCTGGACAACGTGACAGCCAAGGATGTGCAAGAGTTCTACCCTCAGATTCTGGCCCAGTGCGAGATCGAGGTTTTGGCTCACGGCAACCTGTACAAGGAGGAAGCGCTGAAGATCACAGATCAGGTTATTGAGATCATGAAGCCGAAACACCTGCCAGCAAGCCAGATCCCTATTCGACGGAACATCATCCTGCCTCCTGGCAGCAACTTTATCTACGAGAAGCAACTCCGAGACCCCGCAAACGTCAACCACTGCATCGAATACAGTTTGTACGCCGGCAACCGCTATGATAACGACATACGCGCTAAGCTCCTCCTCGTCGGCCAGATGACGGACGAGCCGTGCTTCAACCAGCTGCGAACCATTGAGCAGCTTGGCTACGTCGTCTTCTCGAGCGCAGCCTTCCACGACACATGGGCCGGCTACCGCATCCTGATCCAGAGTGAGAAGGATTGCAGGTACCTCGAAGGGCGCATTGAGAACTTCTTGAACTCGTTCGAGAAGACACTGCATGAGATGAGCGACGCAGATTTTGAAGGTCACAAGCGCGCAATCATCAACAAGCGTCTGGCGAAGCTGAAGAATCTGAGTCAGGAAGACAACAGGTTCTGGAATCATATCTACAGCGACTCGTATGATTTCTTGCAAGGTGCGTCCTCCAATCGCCGATTTAACGACATGTTTGCTAACTCGCACAGCCGATACTGACGCCGAGCACATCACCAAGCTCACCAAGGACGACCTGACAGCCTTTTACGCGCACTACATCTCCACCGCCTCCCCCGCGCGCGCAAAACTCTCCGTCCACCTGCAGGCGCAGTCCAAGCCCAAAGAGCCGTCTCTGCAAGACAGGAAAGACGCCGCCATCGCCGCCCTCAGCGCCCTCTTCGCCGAGCAAAACATCGCCGCCGACGCCGACACCCTCAAGTCCCGCGTCAACGACGTCGCAGACGCGGATGCCATTACTGCCGCCGTGCAGCAGTACCTTGAGACTCTGTCGCTGGACAAAGACGCCGCGGCCACGATTCTTGATTCTGCCAAGGCAGCACTCGGTGTCGCGGACGCAGGCCTCCCCGCTGAGCCGCAGGTCAAGAGCGATGGGGCGTCGGGCGCGGGCCAGCCCGTGCTGATCCAGGACGTGTACGCGTGGAAGGCGTCGATGCAGGTCAGCGCGGGCGTGAAGCCGGTGCGGCCACTGGAAGAGTTTGTGGAGATTGCGGAGCGACTGTAGGGTGAGGAGTGTAGGGTCGTAGACGTAGATAGATAAGTTCTGTTCCACTACTTCTCGCGTTTGATGTTGTACATGCCAGGTTACATTTCACGCCCCATCACTCGCTCTTCTCTATCCGCCGACTCTTCTCCACCCCCTCACTTTTCTCCCCCCACCCCTCACTTTTCTCTCCTCCCTCACTCCCCTCCTCCCCCATCCCCCCTTCCCCCAACCGCCCACCCCCCAGCACCCACGCCCTGGGCCCCACCATCCCAAACCCCCCCAACAACCCCTCCAACCCCTCCTCCCTCGCCGGCACAACCCCAACAAACACCCTCTCCCCCCCACCCCGCGGCTCAGAATGCACCGCCCCCCCCCTCCCCGTCGCAAACACCGCCATCCCGCCTCGCCGCGCACTCACGGCGCCGACGTGCGCGAACGCGCCCGCGAGCGCGCTGCGCACGTACGATGCCGTGTGGGCGCAGTGCGTGCATGTCAACGCGGGGCAGGCGGGGGGGTGTACCGGGAGGGAGGGGGGAGGGTGGCGGAGGAGGGTGTGCAGGGTGGTGAGGGCGTGGGGTTGGGAGAGGGGCGGGAGGAAGAGGGTTGAGGGGCCGTGGAGGGCGGTTGTGAGTTTCCAGGCGCGCGGGGCGGCGGGGGGGCGGGGGGACCAGGGGTATCGGCGGGGTGGGGGGTGGGTGGTGGTTTTGGATGTGGATTTGCTCGCGGATTCGGTCTTGGTCTTGGTCTTGGTCTCGGACGTCGACGTAGACGCAGACGCACCCGCGCCCCGACTCGCCCTTACACGATCCCAGACCCCGCCCTCCCCCGCTTCGAAAAAGTCCTCGTCCACATGCCACCGCGGCTCGTCCCACTCGCGTGTCGGCAGCGACGCCCGCAGCGTCAGCCAGCAGTGGTCGAACCCCGCGGCGCGCAGGTACGCATCCAGGAACGCCAGCAGCGGGAGCAGGGCCTCGAGGAGCGCGGGCGCCGGAGCCAGTGTCGCGGCGGCCCAGGGGTGCAGCGAGGACGGCAGCGTCGAGGGGGTGAGGAGCGGGCCGGCGTAGGTCCAGGTTGATGTGCGGAGGACTTTTAGGGCGGGGAGGGGCGTGGGGAGGGGCGGGAGGAAGGTGAATGTGCTGTTGGGGGGGAGGGGGTCCATGGTTGCAGGTTTGGAGGTGGATGGACGGGGGAAGTGGTGGGTTTATGCGGGTTTGGGGGTTGGGTGGTGGGTGGATTGCATGCGCGAGATGGGGTCATGGGAGTGCATATTGAGACGGTCATGGTTGCAGGAAATCCCAGGAGCCTACAATATCGTTGATTGCTGATTGTTGATCGTTGATATTCAAGGCGTGAACACGGACAAGGATGCGAACGAGCACGCGTCGACGCGTCGCAGCCGAGGCGCACCAGCCAACGTCATCCCATCCATCCCATCCATCCCAACGTCCTCCCACACCCATCACACCCCAATCCGCACCCGCGATGCTCCAACGCACTCTCCTCCGCGCACCGCACCGGCGCCCCCAGCACCACCTCCTGCGGCGCTTCGCAACGCACCCCACGCCGCCCACGCCCGCCTCGCGCCTCGACCGCCTCAACCGCCGCCTCCCGAAATTCCTCCACAAGCACACCGCCGCGCTCGCCACCGCGCCCCTCTCGCACATAACCGCCTTCCTGCTTCTCCACGAACTGACCGCCATCATTCCCCTCATCGGCCTCGCCACCACCTTCCACTACACGCACTGGCTCCCCTCGTGGTTCGCAGAAGGCGCCTGGGTGCTGGCGGGCGTGGAGCGTTTCGGCGCGTACTTCCAGCGCAAGGGGTGGGTGCGGAGCGCAGATGTGGCGGCTGCGGAGGAGGGGGTCGAGCTGCGGCGGCGCGACCGCGCGTGGCATTTGGGCGAGGGCGGGGCGCGGGTGCTGGTCGAGGTCGCGACGGCGTATGCGGTGACGAAGGTGCTGTTGCCCGTGCGGATTGTGGTTAGTGTGTGGGGGACGCCGGGGTTTGCGAGGTGGGCGGTTGTGCCGGTTGTGAGGCGGTTCAAGACGCTGTTTGGGAGGGGGGCGAAGCCGGAAGTTGCGAGGGGAGGGGGGACGGGGGCGGTGGGTGGTGGGGCGGTGCCGCGCAAGGCAGCGGAGGAGGTACTGAGGAAGTGAATGTGTAGTGGCAGTGGTGGAGGGTGATGGAAGCGCTCCAGATCGCTCGAACAGTGTTGTTGCCACTTGAAGAGGGGAAGATGTACACGACAGGCGCAGCAATATGACTTTCTTAGGTGAATGGTAGTGACCGACTTCCACGTGCTCGAGGGATAAAGGTAGACTGTTCGTGCGCCGTTTGCTCTTTCTCTCCCTTCTAGCTCGATCAGCGACTCTTCCCATTCGACAGAAACCCACCAATATCGAGATGTGTTTCGGGGACCAAACGAGATACACCACGAGGACCCGCATCCAGAATGGAGTGCGACTTCAAGAGGAATTGGTGGTGCCGCGCCATCGAGGCTCCTTGCGCCGCAGGTATGGAGCATCCTACTATCCCTCCAGGTACTATGCTCGCCCTCCCGGAGGCCACTACAGTGGTGGCGCCATGCGGTATCCTGCGCGCTACCCTGCAAACGTTGGCTATCCACGAGCCATGGGCGCTACAGCTATGGTACCTCGAGGTTATATGCACGGCGCGGGCAGTCACATGTCTGGAGGTCGCGCTTTAATGCCGAGTGCCTACGATATGGTGAGTGCATAATTTCTTGTTTGCGTTTGATTTTTCTCGCGCTTGCCTCCATCCCACCGCCTCTCCACGTGCACCCGATCTGGACCTCGAGCTCTGTTGGACGGTTTCATTGTGCTCGCGAAATCGCTGCCTCCAGGCTGGCGTTGCTCTGCACCTGCCTTCACCTCAACGCCCCAGCAAGACTTCTCTCTGCACAACGCCTCGCCGCCTTCTCCACCACAACGACCTGAACACGTCTACTCATCGAGTGCGCTCGCCAACATGGTGATGGAGGGCTACCCCAAGCCCCGCCACAATTACATCTACAACCCCCGATACGGCCAACGCGGCGTCCTCACCTACGCCGGCCAGCAAGCCAACGGCGCCTACCCCTCCGGCGTCGCAGGCGCCATGATGCCCAGCTACGGCTATGGCTACAACTACGGCGCAGGAGGCATTGGCTACGCCGCCGCACAACCGGTATACCACCCATACGCCAGCGCCTACAACTCGTACCAAAACTACTCGTACCCAAACTACTCATACCCGAGCCACGCCGCCTACGCCGCGCTGGGAGGCTACCACACCGCCAGCCTGCACGGCTCGATGTACTCCCTCGCTAACTTCTACTCCCCGTACCAGCGCTCCTACTACGCCACCGTGCCCTCGTGCGGCTACACCGCACACGTCTACCCGCCCGGCCCCACCACCTTTCACGTCGCCAACAGCCACGCCGCCGCCGCCGCGCCGCCGGGTCCCGTCCGCACGTGTGCCCATACGACGCGCGAGGACGTGCAGATGGAGAACCGCCGCATCGCGACAGAGCGCGGTGCGTATAGTGCGAGGCGCATCAAGCCCGCGGATGCGCGCGATGACGATCCGTTCTGGTGCCGTGAGCGCAACGGCGAGTGGCATCTGAGGACATACTATCAGATTGAGAATGAATGCTATCCCGGGCAGTGGCTGATGGATGCGGAAATGGGGTTTCTTGTGTTCCACCGCGGCTGAGGGTGGTCTTCATGGCGAGGGTGATGGGTGGAGGCGGATGAGGGTGGTGGATGCCTCGGCGGGAAGGGGGCGATCTGCTGCTATTTCAACAGTCTTTTTGGGCCGCTAAACTGCTTCTTGGCCTTGTTTGATGGGGAATTTCATTCCGGTGCTTTTCTTCGATAATACCCAACATTTTCAGGGCGGCGGAGTCGATTTGGGGCTTTCAATGGTCATGGCTGGCGTTTGGGAAATGAGTACACAGCGGACGGCGTAGTATACTCAATATGACTGCTACACTTTTACACGTCCATTCTTGACGCCAACGCAGCCAGTCTCCCATCCTACACAGCTCGGCTGTCTCAGGACTGGTCAGCTTCGAGGTCGGCTGAGTGTGGAAGAAGAGGTTGATTCAAAATGATTGGGACTAACGTTAATGAAGAGCCCGGTCGCAAATCGCCGCGCGAAGAAGGGAATGAAAAGGATCAAATGATGGCTTCACGCCGAAACTTCACATTGCAGGCAGGCTGCATATGTACCATATAATCTGCTTTGGAAGAGTGGAGATGCAGGCAGCTATATCGTTTTGGATAAGACTGCGGTTTGCATGCAGCCAGTTTCTAGGCAAGTCCTTTGAGATTAAAAAAGACCGAACGAGCACATTTTCTGTATCATTCCTGGTAGCATTCACTGAACATTCATAGGTTAGTCTGGATGGACCACTAGCGTCTGCCCCACCACCATGACATCAGCCTCTTTCCGCGCCACTTCACAGGCCGCCAATTTCCAATGCCGCAACAACACTCCTCAATCTCACCGTTTTCCACCTTCCTGATCGCGACTTTCTTCCTGTGCTCCCTCTTCCCAGGAACCTTCGTCTCCATCCTCTGGGCACCCTACAATTCCCTCGCCGCCTACTACTTCCCCGCCGCCGCACCGCGCAGCACCGTACTCTGCACCAGCCCCAACATCTGCACCGCTGCGCCCACAATGTCGTGGTACGTCTCCCCACCCAAGCCCTCCGATCTCCCAATCGCAAGCTGCACCTGCCGGCCTCCCCAACCCCGCACTCCCCAGCGTCCAACCCCACCCTAACACCCCCAGGACACAAAAGCAATTCACCCTGCCCTCGCGCAGCCGCGGGTCATACCTCATAACCGACACCGTGCTCGACGCGCTCCCCGAGATCAAATCCTACAAGACGGGGCTGCTGCACCTCTTCATCCAGCACACGTCGTGCGCACTCAGCCTGAACGAGAACTGGGACGAGGACGTGCGCGCCGACATGAGCACGGCGCTGGACCGCATTGTGCCCGAGGACAAGAAGCGGCAGGGGCTGTACCGCCACGATGCCGAGGGCAGCGACGATATGCCGGCGCATGTCAAGAGTGCGCTGGTGGGTGCGAGTGTTATGGTGCCGATTACGAATGGGCGTCTGAATACGGGGACGTGGCAGGGCGTGTGGTATTTGGAGTTTCGGGATGGGAGGCATTCGCGGAAGGTGGTGGCGACGATTCAGGGCGAGAAGAATTGAGTGGGGGTCGAATGGAGAGGTGTTGCGATTTACACTCCAGGCCGCGGTGCATCTAGGGAAGGGCGGAGGTAGATGGTAGGGAGATGATTTATGACGGTAAACCAGTTTTTTTACTTGTTGTAGAGCCCGTCATAACACCCCGTCCTGCTTGGAGGAGAGCGTCGGTTGGAGAGCAGCAAGCTGTAGAACCACGTAAAATGGAAAACTTCGCCGATGGAAGGCAGAGCATGTGCAGCAACAAGATCATGGGCCAGGACCGACTGCCAGTGACAGAATCTATTAACGTCAACAGTAAAACGAGCGACAGCTACGCACTCAATTTGCTCTCCTCCGCCTGAACCGCACAACCCTAACTTCGAACTCGCGAGCCGTGCGAATCCACGGCTCCTCTGGGAATGCATCCCAATCATCCGCGTATCCGACGGGGTTAAAGACCGGAGATGAAGCACTGTAGTCACTTTGGTCGTCTCCGTCAAGACTCCAAGACGGCTCCAAAGATTCATCGGCGCCCCAGTCCTGGCTTGTGACATCTGCGCTCTCTTGGTGGTCATGAGAGGCTTCTTGGCTGCTCAGCAAAGCCTCTTCTTGGGTGATTCGACCCTCGATGCGTTCATCCTCGACATCGATCGCCTTGTTCCCAGGCTCGCTGTCACGCGCACAAGTTTCCTCTCCGTCAACACGTTCCGCCCACCTCATCGCCTCCACACGCCCATCGTGTGCCAACTCGCACCGCGTGCCATGCAGCGGAAACTTCCAGGTCTGCGCACACTCCACCACGACGTCGAGCTGGTGCTTCTTGACCGCGAAGGTCTCGAGTACGAGTTCGAGCGTCTTGAGGCCGGGGAGCGTGCCGATCACGCTGCCCCATGTCGAAGTGTACGCGGGATGTTGCCCTGAGCGTCGAGAAGCTGCCAGCGCAAGCATGTCGGCCACTGACGGCCTGTCTGCGCCGCCGCAGGCTGGGTCGAGCGCGAGCTGTTTATCCTGATCAGTGGTGCTGGGATCTTCGGTCCAGGTCCACCAGTCGGTGCGCGACCTAGAACGTCAGTCGATGGCATTCCGGAATGGGGTCTTTGGGGAAACGTACAAGCGAATAGTGAGGTGTGTAATTGAGCGTGCTATCATAGCACGTGCGGTGAATGTACGGGGATAATCATCTGGATATGTACCACTTGGTTCGTTCCAGCCTTGAGATAGCGTGACTCTGTCTCCATCTTGCATGCATGGATTGGTGTCTTTAGAACACTCTACAAGCCCAAAAACGTGTGCCTGTGTGACATTTTCTGGGCGGTAATCTCGGCGGCGGTCATTGTAGAATCGTGGAGCGACGTAAGCTCCCGCGTGTCTTATTGCGGGCTTCCAGTCTGCTAGAGCGTACTCCAGATCGACCCCTTCAAGTGAGACTTGCTGCAGACTTGAATCGAGCCGTTGAATCAACGCATATTGCCACTACGCACGTAATCAGCGATGTTGGGGGCCAGAATCAAAGGAGCATTACCGGTGCGATGCGTCCGAGGTTTGGACGTGGGCGGCCGTAGATGCGGTATGATTGATACCCTTTGAAACAGAAGTCAACGAACCATACACCGACGAGCAATGCACTGAGCTCTTCAAGGGTTTTCGCCTGAAGTAATTGCTTACCGTTGAGCTGCATCGGCAGACGATAGGCCTCTAGATATACAGCTTTACATGTCTGAAGAAGCGCACACGCAACATCCGACCTGGCAACATCGGCGTCAGTGCCACTCTCCCTCCGAAACATATTATCATCAAGTTTGAGTGCATCGTCATCTGTGAGCGCGAACTGGAAGATTAGAAGTCGGATTTCTTCAGGAAGCACGCTATAGAGCGGGCACGAGGTTTGTTGTTTTATCTGCCAGTACGGCGGGAGACAAAAGGCCAAGGGCTCGATGGGTCGTCCATAGAAGCAGCAGCTCTCAGGCCCTAGATTTCCTCGATCCGCAATACAATCGCAGTGATTGAGGCCATCACTGTCGTGGCAGTTGTAACGGACCAGTTTAGTTGTGCGCTTGGGGTAGCGTTTTGGAACGTCCAGCTGCAAACTGAACTCATAGTGAGCCATGTCGATTATTGAGAGCAGAAATTTATCCGTCTGAAATGTCGTGGAAGATGGTAAGTAGATCTGGAGATTGCCTACATACAAGAGTAGGTACATCCTAATTAGGCAAGCGGCATGTCAGCGCTTGGCAATCCTGCAGCCTGGTGACCTGGTCTGCACAACATGCTCCCTTTCTTCTGCACTATTCTTTTTCGGCCTAAATCTCGGACTCGGACGTACTTCCTATATTTCCGCTCGGTTTGAGCCGCGTCTGCATCTATGTCGGCCTTACAGCAACGTAAGCCTACGGCGAGATGGTTGCAGAAGACGGAAGAATACTTTGCACTCATGTACGTATCATGGCGGTGACGTTTTGGCCATGCTGATGATTAGAAGGCGCATGTCACCGCACGTTTTGCTTAACAGTAGTTCGAAAAGAGATGCCTTCACAAGATTGTGGAAATTTAGCAGCCAGACTGCAAGCTACCGTGCCTTGTGCATAATCACCTGTCAATACTGCTCACCGCTCATGGAAAGGGCATACTTCGAAATAGAAGACTTGAAGAAAGGTTGTAGTTTCTGCGAGATAGTCCGCCAGACTTCCCGTCACTTTTCAGTGAAAGAAATTAGAAGTGGAATATCTGTCAACTATGGATATCCTGGCATTGCTGTTATATTAGAGTGGCTTGAATGTAATTTCTTTATCAGAGTACAGGTTCACTCCAAAGGTAAGTTTGCAGTCCTATCTTTGGTTCCTATGCAAGGAATTGCTGCTTGACGCATATTTAGAGCCTCATAACCCACACAACCCGTTTCCGCCCCCAAAGAACAACATCAGCTTAGATCCAGGCTCTGTATCAGCTGTGGATGTAGTGCAAGGTTGGTTTGCCGACTGTGAGAAGCGGCATGACCTTTGCGCCGCTTACACTAGAGAGAAGCGATCTCTGCCAAGTCGCATCCTCCAAATTGTTGGGGAAGACGAGATTCGTCTGATCTCTCCGTCTGAACTGATAAAGTATACTGCTCTTACTTACTGTTGGGGGGGCTCTAGACAACCTATAACAACAACTGAGAATTACGCCAGCCGTTGTCACAACTTCTCGTTTCACGATTTTCCACAAACACTGAAGGACGCAATATCCTTCACTCGCGCACTTGGTATTAATTACATATGGATCGATTGCCTGTGCATTGTGCAAGATGACAATGAGGACTGGGCTGCTGAAGCTGCCCGCCTGGCTGATATCTATTCGGGCGCATTCGTTGTTCTTGCTGCGACCCGATCGAGCGACGCTGCTGAAGGTTTCCTACAGCAACGCGAAAAGCCCCTTGAAATCTCCATATCAAATGGACAAAGGCGCAAGCTTGAGGTTCAAGTGAGACGCACGAGCAACCATAAATGGTGGGATGGGGGTTTAGACCTGAGAAACCTCCCGCTGTTTCAAAGAGGCTGGTGCTTGCAAGAACGGCTGTTGGCATGCCGTATTGTGCACTTTCTGCCTGACGAGATCTTATACGAGTGCAAAGAAGCGGTACGATGCGAATGTGATCTTAGGCACGAGATGTCGAAGTCCAAAGATTGGTGGGTCGACACTGAAGGAATGCTGTGGCCTCCGATCTCAATACAGAACAGCGACGACTACAATGATGTTTACACTTTCTGGTTACGGTGGAAACAACTCGCATATGAGTTCAGTCGTCTCAACTTGACGTACGCAGATGACGCCCTGCCTGCACTTTCCGGATTCGCAAGTCGTTCCCTTTCTTTGCACCCCGGGAGATATATCGCAGGTGTATGGGAAAAGGGGATAGCGTTTCATCTCAGCTGGTATCGTCAGACTGCGATACCTAGCACAGACGATGCAGGGCAGAGTCGCACAGCATCCGTACCCACGTTCTCATGGCTATATCATCTCAACCAAGTTATGTACCCAGTCATCCTTTCCAACTCCCGTCCCATATGCACATATCTCGATGGAGGCAGTACACTGACTACATCCGACCCTTTCGGTAGAGTCTCAGATGCATTCATTCAACTTAAAGGACACTCCATCAACGGCCTAGATCTGATCAAGTACCTCAATAACGATGAGGACCATGGCCTCGCTGAAGAAGCCGTGTTGCTACGGACACCCATCTCTATCAAGATAGATGCATCACCACACGAATACTGGTCGGACGATGTATTCTATCCACGGACAGCACTGATAAAGGAGCTCGATTGGTGCACTGTGAGGGGCTTTGGCTTACTTCACTACACGTTTAGTGGCGACGAGGTTGTCATTCTGTTGCTGCTTTCTCCTGCATCAGATGGCTCGTCGTTTGTGCGGGTCGGACTTGTAGGCCAGTGTCCCAAACTCATCTTCGATAAGTACGCCGCCGAATGCACTGTCACTATAGTGTAAGGCTACACAGTGGGGGTGATCGGCTGTCTGCAGGCCGGATCACATATGGACGACACGAACGACTTAGCACAAGGATTCTTTACTTTCGACTTTGCTCTTCTGATCAATTTTCAGCTCAGAGTCGTGCCAGATATGGAGCGTGACAAAGGCAGCGCGGGAAATTCAAAATCAGTTAGAATATCACGAATTTGCCTTGAGTCGACACAAGAAGTGCACTCGTTTGTCGCAGAATAAGGCTGCCATACAAAAGTATCTGTTTGTTTCAAGTCTGAAGTCAGCTTCAGTAGCATACTTGGTACATCGGGTCAGCAGACATAGCGATCGTGAGATCGTGTCCAGGTAGAAAGAGGTACTTGCTGGAACATGGTCAGGAAGGAGAATGGCAGGAAAGAGGCGCTTACATAAGGTAAGATGCTGCTCAGATCAGATGACACGTGCAAGACTGCCGTCAGCACTTGGCAGCTCCAGTCTCTCAACCCCTCATTTCTGTTGCTCTTCTCAGCTATCCACTCTACAAGAGTGGCCCCGATCAATCTGTCCACAAGCGCAAACCTGCTATGTTCAGCACATCTCTTCACATCGAACCGGAACTTTACTGTATGAATTCGCATAGGTACCTAGTTTAGAGTGACAAAGGCGCAACTATTTCATACTCTCAACATGTCGCGACGCCGCGCCTTGTCGGTCTCAGGCGATTGGCCTGTCAAACGCTCGTCTCACGACGGATATATCATCATCCAAACATCTCCGGGAGGTAGTGATGAAGATGTCGAAAGACAAATTGGCCGGCCTTCACTTCGTCGAAGACATACAGCGCCGTTTAGTCAAAAGGAACTGTAGGTGGTCGCCACAATGTACAAGCTCCATATCTGACTTTGAGCAGGTCCCAGCCAGTGCCAACTCACCTTGACGCAACAAGTACTTGGTTCAAGAATGACTTACGCCTTGTTTGCAAGATCAAACAGACGCCGAACTCACTGCTCTCGCTATTCGTTGCTACTTGTGCCCGTTGCGTTCCAAACTTTTTCTCTGTGAACAGGAACCTATGTTTTGGCGACCCAGTAGTTCAGATCGTGAAACTGAACTCAACATGTCTCTTGTGCGATATCATTCATCAGGTATACCGCTACCTATTTGAAGAAAGGGTGTCGAACTTCGACGAAGTTGCAATCCTGTACGATCACAGGGACGATTTCCTGCGGCTCATGTTTTGGTATAGTGATCAAGATGCACAAATTAAGAACATTGCTCAAGTACACCTGTACTCAAGAGGTACGTAGATCAGTCATCTTTTCATGAAAAAATAAGCTAACGTAGGTAGAGCCAACAAACACCCTAAACCCTTTTCCCGTAGCACGCTATGACATATGTTCAGACATTCTGTCACCAGCCATGCTAAGTAAAATCCAAGGTTGGATCGATGTTTGCGTCAGAAACCATGAAAAATGCGGAAATTCTATCATCGATCAAGCATTCGTTCCGAAACGTCTCATACATTTAGCTGATAGCTGTCGTCTCATCTCTCCCGAGTCACCAGTACGTTATATCGCACTCAGCTATTGTTGGGGACTTCTTGAGCAACCATCTCGCACTACCAAGAACAACGTCTTCATACGCTACAACGATATCCAGTGCGAACAACTTCCACAGATTCTCCAGGACGCGATAATCATGACAAAGCTCCTAGGATTTCACTATCTCTGGATTGACTCAATCTGCATAGTACAGGATGATAAAGAAGACTGGGCAGCAGAAGCAGCAAATATGGCAGACATCTATTCAAATGCACACGTTGTTATAGCAGCTACAGGATATAGTAGCGCCACAGAGGGTTTCATTCAACCTCGAAAGAAGGTCCAGGCTATTATTTCGCATGTTGACCCGGAGCACTCGGTTACGGTCAATGCTAGAGTTGTAAATCACCACGGCCGTAAGGCGTTTGAAGTGGACCTGGTCAATCAACCGTTGTCTACAAGAGGATGGGCACTACAGGAGAGAATCTTGGCTGTGCGGACTGTACACATTTTACCGAACGAGATTCTGTTCGAATGTAAATCGGGGTTGATGTGCGAGTGTGGCCGCGCCAACATTACAACACTCTACAATCCAACTTGGGTTTGGCCTCCCAGATTTGACAAACCAAAGTCAAAGCCAGATTCAGACATTGTCGTATGGACAAGGCTTGTGGAGACATTTAAGAAGCGGCATTTGACCTACGTAAGCGATACATTGCCAGCTCTCTCAGGTCTGGCGCAACGCATGCTTACGTTGAATCCCGGGCAATATTTCGCCGGAATATGGGGACGAAGGTTCGAACATCAACTGAGTTGGAGACCACAATACTCACAGGATGTTGCGACCGAGATGCAAGAGGCGGACCTGTATCTGCGTCAAAAGCCTACGTTCTCATGGGCTACATTTCCAGGTCCTATTAAGTTCGGTGTTGGGAACACGCAGCCGATTTGTACTTTGCTTGGGGGTCACGTCATTCCAGTAGCAGCAGATCTCTATGGACAAGTCAAAGAAGCCTCATTACGCATATGTGGTCGTAGTGTTCCAGGTGTGGAGATGGTAGACAAGATCATGGGTGCCAAAATTTCGGATCTCAACATGAATTATGACACCTTACACCATATTACTGTGTACCTCGACAGGTTCCGGAATTTTCCCATGTACGAATTTCCTGAGACTCCCCAAAACACTTGGTATGAGGGCTTGGAGGTTGCTTGGAGCTGGAACAAAGTAGTGTGTCTAGGTCTCGGTGTGGGTTTTAGGAACTGTACCACAATGCTGTTATTGCATCCATCACACAATGAAGACAGCTTCATGCGTGTCGGGCTTGTGACGGAGTTTCCTCGTAGATGGTTCGATGAGCTTGCAACTGAACGGATCGTCACCATAGTGTGAGGTAACTGTGTTTGCTCGATACTTCATAATTTGACGATCAATGGCAGTTTCATTATCTCTGTAAAATTCGACATCCCCATACATTGGGGGTCATCAACTGACCGCGTTTTGTCGGCTATTCGTGTCTCCATTGTGGTGCAATCATGAACCTAGTGGCAAATGCTAGAGCTTGTTATCCTGATACCAGCATAACAATAGGGCTTGCATGAATTGATTAACAAAAACGAGAACCTGAAGATGACCAATAAACGTTGCCATGTGCCTGATTTACTACCTACAACCTTCTCATCCAAAAGATATCGTGAGGGCAGTGAACGGGAGCACAACAATCCAAATGTTTGACAGCCTTGTCCCGAGATATACTGGCTTCGAGCACAAATCTCCCGAATCAAACGCAGAGAGTGTTGAGTCGTATCAGATTACTGTTTTCCTCTGTCCATGCCATGTCATCAACGCGTAAAACATGTCCGAATCACTGCTGGCGTAATTTATTCTCAAGTATGACAGATTGGCGATGATCCATGTTCAAAAGTGGCGAAATGACTTAGTCCGGTTTCCAGAATTTGATTTTGACCTCCAATTGCTGTCTTGTAGGTCCTATCGTCAGTTCACTCGAAGCGAATTCTCCATTCTTGTAACTTTGGCTCTTGAGAACATTGAAGAAACGAGTCGGGGGTGTTCAAAGTGCAAATCTTCTCACAATCAAATCGTTGTCTGAATCACCGCTAGAATGCCGATCTGATATAGGACAATAGGACCTGACGCCAGTCCATTGCGCAAGCCCGTTTCTGTGGAGCCCGTTGTGAGCACTTCGGATTCATGTGGGCGTCTTGATCACATGCATGTTCGCATGAGTGTAAAGCCAGCTTCTGCACCTATTATTGCACGAACTCTTCTTTCTCGGTCATCCAGATACAATGGCTCTCCTACATTTTGTCTCGATGATGCACCAGCATGTCCACAGCGCGCTTTGGTACATCCAAATGCGGCCTGGGCTTAGCAGCGCTATTACTAGAGCATAAACCAGAATAAGGTACCAACGTGGGTATTGGTGTCGCTTTTGAGATCGCTCGGCTTTGGTTTCATACGTACTTGGGTGAATGCCGTGTCACCATCAGGTAGTCCGCCAGTAAGCAAATCACATGATGATGGGAAGTCAGAATGATCAGTCCGTAATTTAGAAACATGACCTCGCTGGGTAGATGTGTCGGCTCACGACCATGAACCTTACGATATTAGCTAGATATCTCATGGTAGTGGGTAGAATCAGAGTTAGTCTGTAGAACTTAGTTGTCCAATGCAGGGGTTCGCAACTATTAGCCAGAAAAGTAAGGGTCCAGCGGCAATGGTCAAGAATGAGCCACAAACAATCTTCGTTCTTTCACTACGTATGTACAAGCACGTCTCCATAAGCATTGTTGCATTCAATCTACCGTTGTGCGAGAGGCTCATCTGTAACCTTCTGTGCTTCGTTGACCTCAGCGGCATTGCCCTTGGGTCCGAGTGGGTATGAGAGCTGGTCTGCGGGCAGAGACTCGAGATGTGCGCGGTGGTGCTCGTGAGCCTGTGCTGTATTAACCTAAATTCGCCTACGGGGCTGCCAATTTCCATCGTGACTGGAGTCTGGCACAAGTTTTGACGTACGAAAGGAAGACCGCAGTATGTGCACCAGCAGATCTGGGGCTTGTCGGTGTTGATGAAGATCCTGGGGTGACCGAGGGGGCCACCTCCACCGTCGCAAGAAACAATGCGGTCGTGCGTCCAGCGGACAGGCTGCTGGTGGATGAGATCGATGGCAGCGTATGGGCGGGGCTGCACATAGGTTGTTAGCATTGATCCTGTTGCTCCCTTGAACCGTTCAAGCCCTCCTCAGCTTCGTCTACCCCGCGTAACCCCTCAATCGCATTTCTATGAAAGCAGTCGGCAGTATTCCCGTACCTGATCCTCAATAATGCTCTGCTCGAACCTCGGTCCGCTCATAGCAACCTCTCTGGGCTGCTGGCTCCTGCTCCAAATACCCTCGCGGTTGGGGGCTTGCTGCTTCCTCAGCTTCTCGGCCTTCTCAACACTCTCCTGCAGAACCTTGTCGAAGGCGCCCTCCGAGGAGGTAGCGGTGGCATTGGTCTCGGAAACGGTCTGCACGTCTTTGCGCGCGACTGGGTCGTTGGCGGGTACTTCGGATTTAGCCTGCGACGAGTAGGCAGCCCGGAAGGTTGGGGTGGCAAAGCGCAGGGCGCTGCGTGCGCGAAGAGTTCGGGAGAGCATTGTGCGTTGTGGACGGGCGGAGGACCGGCTACAGGTGCTGTACAAGGCGTCGTGAGCTATGATGAGGTTGCTGGGCTGTCGCGAGTGCCAAGATCGCGTTATGTCAGCACCGCGTTCATTGGCTCCATGCTTTACTGTACATCATGGCGACGATAACCATCCCTTGAGACGAACATCGTGATATTCACTCTTATGCATATGACTGAACGTTCTCAGAAAGTTTAGGTGACATACTAACACAGTTTAATCCAAGAAAATTCTTGGTGTTCGGAAATCATGCAACAACAGTCTACTATGCCAAGTGGCCAGAGGTATGCATCTAGGCAAGGTCGACCTCTCTGCCTCCCCTCTTCAAGATAACCTGAATACAATCCACTTTCTCCATTCCATACTGCCCCTCCATCCTCTCCTCCTCGTCTTTTGCTGTCCAAACATCCTCCATATCGCGCATCACTCGGTTCCAGCTTGGAAACAGCTTCGACACGTACATACTGCGGAACCTGTCTCGTACAAACTGCCGCTGCTCCCTTCCGATAGACTCGCAGCCTGCCGACCACAGTGGCCATACGTGCGCCGAGGTGAGAGGCGAGGTCACATCAACGCGAGATATGTACACGAGGCAGCTCTGGATGTGCTCAACACTGATAGGGTTTGGAGCGCCGACTCCGAGCCATGTCCGATAGAGGTAAATGAACGCGGCGTGTCGGTAGGCTTCGGCTGTGAATCTGATGTCTGGATTGCTGTCTAAGTCGCTGTGCTGGGCGTCGAACCGCATGGCTAGCAGTTTTTGCTGCAGAGTCCGCCCAGTGCTATCTTCGTCTTCGGTGAGTGCGTAGTCTCCGCCTTTTTCCCTTCTTATCTTTATCGCGTACTGAAGTTGGCTTGTGCGTGCGACAATCAAGAGTACTGCAGCTATGCTTTGCATGTCGTCTGCTCCTTCAACAGCCTGGAACTCTGCATCGTGATTGAACAACGGTTTCTGGCCTCGTGAAATTGACGACAGGATATCATGGTACGCGAAGAGACTTAAAAGAAACCGTGCACTTGATGAATTCAGCCAGGAATCCGTTCCTCGTCGAGAGATCATTGCTTTCGCTCCCATCAGATGGTTGACTACATTGGCTTCGTCGTCTTCCCCAAACAGCCGTGCCGAGACTTGCATCATAAGCACAGTAGCAAGCGCAGGCTCGGAGTGTGCCTGTTGAGGATCCTGGATGAGAGCTTGGAGTAGATGGATAGCATCTCTTTGATGACGGTAAGCCTGAAAGCGTAGTGCTGGCTCGGAAGTCTGTAGTGCCAGATGATTTGCTGCCATCGACAGCACAGTTGATCTAAGGGCAGCCGAGTCGTATGCCATTGACGTAAGGTGGAGCTGAAATGGTGTTGGTTTGCCACCTCTTGGTGCAATTGAGATTAAAGAAGACAGTCGTTCGGCCCAGTAGTGAAGCAGTCTTCTATCGCCTGCAGAGGTGTCCGGGCTGAGACCTGTGCCATGAGCTGGCGTGCGTGGTACACTAATTACGGACATAGTCGTTTCCATCGTATCCGGTGAAGCAGTGTATGTAGAGGACGCTGATGTATCGCTGGCTATACTTGCTGGAGTCGAGATACTGTCATCCGACTTCTTCTTCTTCCTTTTAGCCCGCGGTTTCTTGACCACCATTTCGGGAGGTTGCTCTTGCCATTTGAGCCTAATACCATAGCCCTTACAATTGATCTTGAGTCTTGTGCATCGTTGACAGAAAGGTTTCTGCTCATCACATTTATAGCCAGCTTCCCTGCACGTCCAACATCCAGTCCGAGTCCGTTTATGTGTTGTCGCCATGACGAAGTTTTAGTGCTTGATCAGTATCCATTCTTATCAAGCTTTTGATCTGCGAGAAAGACGCATCGCCTGGAGAAGCTTGTTGAAATGCTATCAAACGCTTTGCGGTCTAGGTCGGACACAAGTGGAGGAGGAACGCAGTGTAGGGAAGACCGCAAAGTTTCCTGGTTGAATGGGCCGAGGCAACCGAGCCCCACTTTCAGCACCAAGAAGGCGTCATCTGGGGGAAAGTATGTAAGCAAGCTATTCCACACAGAACATAGATTCTTAGTGACTATCAAATTACAGACACCATGTTATACGGTCACTTGCTTCATTCAAACCTCGCTTGCTGTGGATATAAACTGCGCTCAATTGACTTCACAACCAAAATCTAGCACCCGAACACCCTGCAGAGAATGCCAGCCCAGAGAATGTTGTAGAAATCTAGTCACCCGATCTTTCCATCTACTGCACTTGATTAACAATCTCCTGCGCTTTCGTCAGACTTTCAACCATCTGCTGGCAGTCCTTCCGCCTCCTGACAGTGTACTCGGACTCCTTGAGCAGCTCTTCGAGCTCGTCGGTCTTGTACATGTTCGTGAGCAGTTCGCTCTGCATGTTCTCCCTAGACCACGCAACAAGGTTTAGCATAATAGCCTTGGGAACCATGTCGATCATTGTGCGGCGGACGATGTTGAAGTAGGATGTGATGAGCAGTTCTGTTCAATCGTCAGCATGATAAAGATATATTTGCTTAGGGGAGTACTGACTGATGACTTCGACTTCCTGTGCTTCTTTCTCGGAGAGGGTACCAGAAGCTTTCAGTGTTGCTGGAGGAGGCTCCATAGCAGCCATCTTCTTCTTGTTCTTGCTAGCAAAGAAGGATCCAAAGAAACCACCACCCTCCTCTGGAGCGCCTCCAAGAGACGGCGACATCGATCGTGGGGGCACTTGAGGTGCTATGGGCTTGCCTGTCTTAGGGTCGACCTGTTGCGGCTTGTTTCCGTTGTGACGCTCGTGCACAATGGCCATGGCGCGAGATCCGTTAATGAAATCGGGGTGGCCAGTGTTGATGTAAATGGCTTCCATACCAACAAGATCACGAACCAGCTTGTTCGTGGGGTCCATCGCCTTCTTAAGGAATTGAACGACAACAGCGTACAGCTTCTCCTTGAGAGCTGGGTAGCGTCTGAAGGTCGGCTTGTTCAGAAGCTGCCCAAGAATGCGGATTAGTTCGTCGTAAACTAAGCTTACGCACTTCAAGCTAGGGTCTTCGAGTCGTTTGATCTGTTGCTTGACAATGAGTTCAAATGCAGTTGTGCCAACGAAAAGTGCCGGCGAAGAACCGGACGAGTTGTAAAGTACGGTCCTGATGTCGACGTCTTTGACCTGGTCGAACGGATCCACAGACTTGACACCGTTCGCGTATAACTCGTGGTAGACGAACGAAATACGTGCTCCACCCGAAAGCTCAGTCGCAGAGAGCTCTTGGTTGTTACCATCGAGAACACCTCTGTACTCGTTTGTAAATTCGGTGATCATGTTAAGAACGATGTTCGAGCTGTTGCCGAGCAAGGAGTTTCCGAGTTGGCCAAGCTCGAGCTGGTACTTCTGCAGCGAGGACGAGATACGCGCTTTGATGTCTGGCAGAGTTTGCTTGATGTGCATCATGAGAATCTAGCAGCGTTAGCAGATGCACAATGGCCTTTGCCTGCTTATAAGCTTACCAAGTTGAGCTTGCGAGCGAGGTACGGAGTACCGCAGTACGTGGCCTTGTTACGGTATGCCTTGTGGTTTTCAAAGAAGGATCGTTCATGCTCGAGAGCGTGAGAAATTGCCTTCTTGTTCTCAATGTCCCTCTGCCCTCGGTTGACGACAGGAACATAGCCCAGTCGTAGAGGAATGATGCGCCCAGCAAGAATGTCAACGACATCAGTGCCCTCGTCCATCAAGTCCACCTTTGTCAACACACCAATCGTCCTCTGGCCCTCGGGATCGACCTCTCGCGCCAGCTTCAGACCGTCCGAGTTGGCCAGATCAGTGTTGGCGGCGGTGACAGCCAAGATGATAGCGTTCGGCTTGCTAATCTGCTTCAGGACCATTTCCTGGATCTGGCGCTCAATGTCCCTTGGCTGATCTCCTACAGGCACTCTTGTCAAACCGGGCAAATCGACGAGAGTAAGTGTCAAGACATTCGGCGAGTATATCCGCAGGTTGATAGGTGCTGGCGAAATGCCTGCATTGCGTCCAGTCTTTGCCTCTGTTTCGCGAATGATCTCTTCTCTGATCTTGTTGAAGTCGAAGAACTTCTGACCGGGAATGTGCAGGAACTCTCCCCACTCGTCGGCGTTGGATTCGGCGTCGCTGGTTTTCACCTCTTCGGCCTTGACACCATTCGCTTGCGAAGCGCGGTTGATGAGCTGCAAGACGAGTGGTCTTCGGGTAACAATGCCAGAGCCTCGAGGCAAGCTATCAGAAGAGGCAGTCAGTTTGGAAGCCCGACAGCTGCGACCAAGCGCCTAACCACAGAGCACTTACAAATCGCGACCGACAATGTTCTCCAGTACTGAACTCTTTCCACTGGACTGCGAACCAACGACGACGATCTGGGGCAGATCTATGGGGTTTTGCACCTGCGATAGGCATCAGTATTGTACACTTCGACACGGGTGCGGCGCAGGCAAGATAAGGCAGCGCTGGCGCATTTGCGATTGTACAGAGGCGTTACATACTCCGACTGTGGTGAAGACATCCTGCAATCTGTTCACAAGCGTGATCAGGCCAGGATCGTTGACGTTGATGCTGTCACTCTGTTAGCTTTGAACCCCAGACCGCATCCCCAGATGCCCCTCGAACACAGAACGCACGCATTTGGGTTTGTCGCCATAATGGGCGAATGTATGGGGTGGCGTAGGGTGCGCAGTCAGTATGCGCACGAAGCAGAATATGTAGGAAGAGTGGAGGTGTTCGCTCGGGCGCCGATGGCGGTGTTTGGGAATCTGGGCGTTGGTTGAATGCGGGTTGCGTAAAGGGTAACCGCAACACATGCGTCCCCGAGCTAGGTGCGCCACTGTGGCTGAGGCCCCTCCGTCACCGTGCTTCGGACCCTGGTAATTCACTGCAGGGTACACTTTGACGAATACAAGTTGATCAGTTCTGCCAGCACAATCATTGCAAGCGCAGCTAGCTGCCTGTTTTGGTGATCAATTGTATTTTGTTTTGCTCAGCCGAGCATATGACGAGTTCGGTGGTCACAGGACACGAGCACGCGTCGTCAGCGATTTCAGGCGACAACATTTGGCTCTTGATACAATTCACAGTCTATGTTCAGCAATTTACTCAGAACTACTTCGCTATGCAAACACCGCCTTCGCACATCGGCGTCTACTCGTCGATGACAGAGGCGAATTTCTCTGTCAGCTTCTGCAACAGCTGCTCGTACTGCAAAATATGTCAGTGTGTATCGTGACTGTGTAATGCACATACGACTTACCTTCTTTGTAATCGCCTCCTCGCCTTCGGAAGGTACTTCGAATTTCATGCTGCGCAACTCGCTCTGGATCTCAGACGTCGCATCACGGACCTTGGGCCAGCTGTGCCCCTGAGAGACGGCCTTCTGTGCCTCGTCGTGGAACGCCATCATGTTCTTCATCATCCATTCCGTCTTCCACAGAGGACAGAATTGGTCGTAGTCAGAGTAACCGTTCTGCTGCAAGAAATCCTCCTTGAGCAATGTGGCTACATCAAGGGTGATCTTGTCAGAGTCACCCAGGGCAGATTTGCCGACAAGCTGCACGACCTGGTCGAGGTCGTCGGAGGTTGTGAGCAGCTCCTTAATGCGATCACGCAGACGTGGGAAGTCGGGGTTGTTCTCGGCGTAGTACTTGTCGAGCGGTGTTGTGTACTTTGAGTAACTGATCGACGTGTTGACCGAGGGGAAATGCTTTCGCTGAGCAAGCTTCTTGTCGAGACCCCAGAAGACTTGCACAATGTTGAGTGTACTGGTTGTAACGGGATCGGAGAAATCACCGCCTGGAGGACTGACGGCACCGACAATAGAAACGGATCCGTGGCGTTCGGGGCTACCGAGGGCAGTGACACGGCCAGCGCGCTCGTAGAAAGACGCAAGCTTGGCGCTGAGGTAGGCCGGGAAACCTTGATCAGCAGGCATTTCTCCGAGACGTCCAGAAATTTCACGCAGAGCCTCGGCCCAACGCGAGGAAGAGTCGGCCATCATGGCAACGTCTTTACCCTGATCCCTCCAATATTCAGCTACGGTTATCTGTGTGCGTTAGTTTTGAACTTATGAACTTGTAGTCGGCAAAGTAAAGGTTTGTGTAGCGGAAAGGAGGCACAAAGTACATGTAGGAGACGAGAATTGTCGAAAAAGTGGAAAAAAGTACTTACACCAGTGTAGATAGAGGCTTCACGGGCAGCCACGGGCATGTTCGAGGTGTTGGCGATGAGGGTGGTGCGCTTCATGATAGGCTCCTTTTTGCCGTTGACTTCGATAGTAAGCTCGGGGAAGTCCATCAAGACCTCAGCCATCTCGTTTCCTCGCTCGCCGCAGCCGACATAAACAATAATGTCTGAGTTGGAGAACTTGGAGAGAGACTGAGAAATGACAGTCTTTCCACAACCGAAAGCACCGGGAATGCAGACGGTTCCACCCTGGACAGAAGGGAACAGCGAGTCCAAGACACGCTGGCCAACAATGAGGGGCTGATCGGAAGACAGCTTCTCGTTTGAAGGACGAGGCACTCGCACAGGCCAGCGGTGCATCATGCTGTGCTCGGTCTTGACGCCGTTGAACTCGATCTCCAGAATCTTCTCATCAACAGTGTAGCTGCCCTTCTCTGCGATGCGGGTGATCGTTCCGCGGGCGCGGGGAGGGAGGAGAATCTTGTGCTCACTGACTAGAGAGTTCTCGAAAACAGTTCCGAAAACGTCACCTCCAGTGATGTGATCGCCGACCTTGAGGCTGCCAGGTGTGAAATCCCACTTCTTCTTGCGGTCGAGAGCGGGCAAATCGATACCACGGGGAATGTAGATAGAGCTCGAGTCGTCGGCAATACCCTTGAGAGGACGCTGAATACCGTCGTAGATGGTCTCCATGAGACCAGGGCCGAGTTCGACAGAGAGAGGCTGTCCGGACCTCCGGACGGGATCACCGACAGTAACACCAGCTGTATCTTGTTAGCCTATAGTTTGGCAGCTCTCCATATGGTTGGCGTACCAGTCTCCTCGTAGACCTGGATGGTGGCCTTGTCGTGTTCAATTCGAATCACTTCTCCTACAAGGTTGTCGTGACCAACACGGACCTAGAGCCATTAGCCAGTACTCCTCTTGTGCGCATTCAGACCACATACAAGCTCGTACATAGCAACACCAATCATGTTCTCAGCCACGATGACGGGACTAGGATTATCAGTAGGCGGCGCAGACGTGCGAGGTGGTGACGTACCCGGAGACCGAGAAGACCTGGCCTGCAAAGGATTAGCAGTTGTTCGCGCATGCTGTCCAATGCAAAAATGTTAAACTTACCATCGGGCGCCTTCTTCCCCTCAGCCTGCTGCGACTGCTGGGGCTTCTCCTGCTGCTTCTTTGGTTTCTGCCACCCCGCCAATTAGCTGCCTGCGCTTGTCTAGAGCTGCACCTTCGGAGAGCTTACAGGACCCATCTTTGCTACTGGAGTCTGAACGCGTTCCTGGTTGCTGTCGCTGTCGCTGTTCAATGCGATGGGCGGCGGCGGTGGTTCGCTGACGTCTTCGCGGTGCGGTGTTATCAGCGGGCTCTTGGGGAGCGGGATGTTGCGCGGCTCGACGTCGTCTTCGAACAGACTGCGGCTGCTCGAGAAGGTCGAGATGTAGGAGATGTTCTTCTTCTGGATAAGATCGAGAAGAGAGGGGCGCTTGGTGAGGCGAGGGCGATTGAGCATCAACGTCGGCGGTGTTGCAGGCTGGAGTTGCTCCACACCCTGTCAGTTAGCGCGGCGTCCAAGCTCGTAGCTCCAACAAGGCAGGTTAAAACCGCGTCATATGCCGTTGACACTGCACCCAGGCACGTCCGACCAGCCACTGGGCAGAGCGCAGCACCAGGCATTACAAAAAATCGAACGTATACGCTTGAACGGTGTTATTTAGTTCCATTCATGTAGCTTCTTAGTGATAATTTGGATCTTATAAAAGTGCTAAGTAGTTGGTTGGATGTGCCTGGGTGCAGTATGCTGCTACCTCTGGTGTAATATCACGGGTCTCTACTTACAGCCGATCGAGGTTCTCGATACATCGTTTGAGCAGTTTGTGGACAGCCTCATGGCCCGCCTGTTGCGCTGTCAGAGTGCCACTGGTGCCATTTCCGGAATGACGTATGCTTCGTCCTTTAGAAGTAGGCCTGACACCGATATTGCGATCATCTGAACACATTCAAAACGACCAGAGCGCTTCACATATAGACATCTACTGCCCATAGCTACTTAGCAGAGCGCATCATCAGGCAATAAGGATCTCATTAAGGCGCTTTCATGTCAGAAGATATGCGCTTAGCAGGAGTCATTCAGTGGGAGTTACCTTGTCTCTCAAGTTTCAGAAAAAACGGCGGATAAGACCCTATGTACTTCGTAAGCTTACCAACTCTACAGAATACTGAACTTGTAGCAACCATAATACCTAAATCTAGAATTTAGTTAAAAGTTTCCTATATTGTAGGTAAAAAGGTATTCTGTAAAGTTTTTAAGTATTTCCCCTACTTAACTGTTGTGTGGTGTACTTGGCTTATATTCTCAGTTCGCCATTTATTCTGCAACATGAAAGCTTGTATGTGCCTTATCAGCTACGATTAACACGGTTAGCATCCTACGAAAATACCATGTAGCTGACCGAGAATATTCAGTGGCTGACCGGATGTGCTCAGGTGCAGTACGTATTCCCTGTCATACCTATAACCAACTAGTAGATTTGCAGGTCATCAGTGTCTCGCTCCGATAGGAGTCTTGCCGGAAGATCCAGCTGAACACGTAATGCTATGCTTTATGGATTTAACAGTACGATCCTTTGACCTCGCATTTCTCTATCTCTGCCTTTCCGTATTTCTAGACGCTCACGAAAATCTCTTGGTGCTTTATTGATTTTGATTATTACAGTATAGCAGGTGTAAGTAATCAATGTAGATCCTTCAATATCCTTCTTCTAGCAGCACCTCTCTGCAAGTAATAGTGAAGCACACTAGACTAAACAATAAAGTGCTAACATTAAAGCTGAAATATTCTGTATACATCTACAGGTCATGTTTTGTTGACAACTAGCTGCTGCGAAGTCTTGTGACACATTGACTACTTACCCCTGTCATACTGTAGTATATGTGCCTTACAGTGGAAATCTAGAAAGCTTAAGTGCCTGCTACCTAGTGTGAGAAGGTGTGATCAAATTTAAGCCATCGAATTACTCTACCTCATGTGTGCTTTGACCCCTTCTGTGTTTCTGGGCTAGGCCTCGGGTGAACCACCGTGTTCCAATTGGTCACTCCGATCCATCCCGATTCCTTCATGCTCACCAGGTGGGCTTGATCCATCTAAACAGTGAGCCATATCGATACTTCAACACCCACGAAGTACTGCTCGGGCTTGTACTTGTACTGGAAGTTGAGGCTCTGGAAACCGTAATGCTGACAGGTACTTCAACACCTTCTGAATCATGGCTTAGACCTTCCACAGCCGTATCGCGCCTAGCCTGTGCCCGCTCGGCCGCTTTCTCCTCGTCTATCAAACCTCCGCTGAGTAACGCCAGGCCTGTCAAGCGTCGCAAAATCCTCGTATCTTCACTAGCTGAGACAGGCTGTTCGGACACCATGGCTGGAATCCATTTGGCAAACAGAGGCTTCATGACGAGCAGTGAGGCGCAGACGATAGCCACGTTTAGTTCGATAGCAGACAACACCACAGCGTAAGTGCCAGATTCTACGGTCTTAGTATAGCCAGGCAACCAAACTCAGGAACGGCAACTTACCGGTCATCTTGCCTTGATGAGTGGCCTTGTGCACAAGTGTCAGCCTCAGGATACTGACCACGCACACAAGCCCGCCCAGACCGAACACAACCCAGAGGGCCCATTTCTGCCGTCTCGGTAGCTTCAGCTTCCCTACGATCGGCATAGGCAGCACCCATATCGCCCAGTCAATCACTATGCCGATGATGCTTGTACTCCAGAAGTGTTTCTCAGCGTTCATGCATTTCCCATCGGCTTGGACGTCCCAGTATGTCTTGATCGGATTGCAGAGGAATATAACGCCAAATACGCCCCATGCCGTCGCGCCGAGGATCAGAGTAAGGAGGGCGTAGCAGTGGAACTTTGGGTAGCGGAGGTGCGAGAAGATTCGAAGATACTGGAACGTGAAGGCAGTTTTGACTAAATTGATGGCGAGCTGGTAGAGGAGAGATTGTGCGAAGATGAGCTTATCAACTGTCAGAACGGCCCGAACGATCTTGAGTCAGGAATTCATACCTTAAGCATGCTCGAGAGGCGTCTAGGAATGGACTGTGCCTCAGATGCGGGCGACATGTCGATGCTGTACTCTATACAACCCTCTCAGCTCTGTCTTCTGCATGACAGTGTGTGTTTCAGCTTACCTGCGCCAACTACAGCAGTCATACCTATAGACACAAGCTAACTCGAGATTAGGAAACCAAACTCAAGCTTGTGTTATATGCATACCAAAGCAGCCGTGATAAGGAAGTCCTCCCTGCGCCATGTGCCCGGTGCAAGACGTATTCTGCTATACCATCGGAGCAGTACGATAGACAGAGCCAGGACTGTAAAAACAACAGAGGGAATGAGTGCCGACTGCTGAAGATTTGCCGTAGCTTTTTGTGACAGTACAAACCAGCTTGGGGAGTTGGTAGGCATTTTTGATCGATCGTAAGGTCACCAGTCGCACTATTTTGAGATAAAAACATGTTGTTGTGAGATATTTGATGTTAACGGTTGCGGTCTACTCCGAGACATTGCGATTTCGTGGGATTGTGTCTCAACGGATCGGTAGGGCGCATCATCAACAGTTCTAGCAATGGTTGGTATGATGTAAGGTTGCCAGACTCATCGCAACCGTTGTCTGTCATCTCAAATGCCAAAACGTATGCAGAGGAGAGGTAATGAGTGGCTGCAGTAGATTACTCCAGTCTTACTGTGCGCTTTCATATACGGTGGTGAGCCCGTCGAAGCTCTGAATAACGCGTAATACGAAAATGTTCTATTATCTTCAACGCAGAGCTTGATGATGGAGATGACCGTTGAGTGGTCAAGGGTCGAGAGTGGAACCGATCGGCGCCAACGACGTTGGGGGACTTGCACTTTATGGTTGCGGGGTCTTCGAGCGTTGTCAAAGGAATGGGTGGGAGTTTGAAACTGATTTTCGGTTCAGGTTACGTATACATAGTATCATCCTTGCAAGGCTCTTGTTCCTGTTGTCTAATTTGTACTCCTGAGACACCCGATGGGCTGATGATCATGTGTGCGTAGAGCAAAGTTTCCTCCGTTCTCGAGTAAGCGTTCGGATACTGGGCTACAGGCCGAAGTGTTTTACACCAAAGGCAAACTCATGATTCCATCTTGAGACAGTCTGCAAGCGAGATCTCAACTGACGCCAAAGCTTTAACATGATAGCGCCACGAATATGACGATACTACGAAGAGAACTAATCTTGATCGTGATCGAGACCGCTGTCAAACTTCAAAGGGCGATTAAAATTGCAGCCTCGCGACTTCACCGACCCTAATCCGGCGGTCGCCACCAAATATGTGAACGGCTGGATTAGCTGGATATTTAGAATATTGCTTGTAATGGAAAGATGTTGTTACCGAATGAATGGATGTATTCGAATTCCATTTGTGCGACCTACTAATGGTTCGCGTGCGTCTGATCATGTAGTCTGCCTGGGGTTCGCTCAATACGAGAACGTGTGACATTTATGGTACTGCTCGTACGTAAGTAAATTAATGGACTTCATGATTCCAAACCGACTTGTCCACTTTTCTTTATTCGGTAATATTCGCGGTGCACATGACTACTAAAAAGAAATCTAAACTGCGCGAGAATGGAAATTGTGGTTCAGCACGGTCAAAGTCTTGGTTATGACCTTTGGTAACACGATACAGTCAAAACCGCCGGAATGGTGGAAACAAGCGAATGGCACAAGTGCGGCTATCATTGTGCCTCTAGTCTCTACTGAAATCTTAATAGTATCAAGGGCACATAAGTCAAGCTGTGTAGGTCGCAGCTTGATTCAATGGTGTCGCTACGCCCGTAGTAATGTCTGAGTTAAACAGATGTGTTCCCGAGCATATCGTTTCAACAAATGTCGGTATTATGGAGGTGGTGTTTTAGCTTGCAATATCACGCTTCTTGGGTGTTTGCGTAAGCGAACATGTAAGTGGTGAAGGTGGGGACGAAGAATGCAATGTCACTTTCGCATTGGTTCGAGATGGAAATAAGCTTTTCTGGGGCCTGGAGGTGCAGACAAGATTTGAGTAAATGCGCGACTGTAATGGGGCGACGATTGGGAAACGTTGCAAGCAGGTGCACTAGCGTCAATCCGAAAAGGGAATATTTGAAATACCTACCACGGCGCGGCTGGGGTAGGCGGCTTGTAGAGCTCGCGTACGGCAACAATTTGTCAAGACCACCTGGTTCTTGCATCGACGGCAAATCCATCTCTAGATGAAATTTAGGTCCATCGGCTTTACTTTACGTTTATTGGACTGGATTTCCTATCTCGCATCCAACTAAATCCAACCCGGCCTTCCGCGCTTCCTTTGGGTCCTTCTAGTGAGACATGGCAGCGCTCGTCGGTAAATGCCCCGACAAGGTGGTTGATTGCAGCGTGGCCAAGTGGAAGGCTCGTCCCGCGCCCCCAGATTTGGCATCGTGCAAGAAATGTTACATGTTGAAGTGGACCATTGGCCTGTAGCGAGAATTGCAAATCAGTCATCTTGAGTATATCTCTCGCATCTGACCCCAACTGTTCTCCCACCATCATGGCTTCAAGATCATCACGAACCTCATCCATCTGTTCCTCAGACACTATGGCATCTGTGTCATCACACCAGTCTCAACACCCCTACTTGAGTCCTGGACGAGCCTCCACTATCAAATCATGGACAACCTCTATTGAACGCAGTCACCAACCACGATCTGCTTCAGAAGCAGATCTGATATCTGGAGAGGCTGCTATCGAAGCCTATCAACGACTCAGAGCCGCACTTTTTTCCAAGCCCACTTCGTCAACCCGTGGCAAAAACGGATGAATACCCACACTTCGCGGTGACGACCATCGCCAGCAGAATCTTCTCATAGACTCAACTTTCAAACAACCCTCGGAACGAGTCGACGGCTTTGTCTAAGCATATAGCCGCTGCAGGCTTAGAAGCGTCTCAAGAACTCACTCATTCATTTCCGGCACTTTTCACGATACCCAAAACTTATACCCCAGCTTTAGTCTGGCGTTGGTGGCGCGTAGACGCCAAGTTCTCACATTCTTAAGGCTTACGAGAGATGAATTTGGAATACTTGCGATAGTGGCTTTCGATATGACATATACACGTCATACTTGAGTGCTTGTTTTGAGATTAAACATGCGAGCTTTTAGAAAGCACCTAGAGAGTCCTCGCAATCAAAACACCAATATTACAGCTTCTTGATCGCTTCGCATTACAACTTCAGTTGATGATAATGACCGTTGATGCTAAGACCAAGTGGTGAGTCCAGTTGTGCGTTAGCGGCATTTTTAGGATAGCATCGGGTGAAACACATTGCTGCGTCGGAGTACTTAACCGGAAAGGCTATTGCTAGTAGGGCATGCAGCTCGTTTCAACACGCACTACAACTGCCCGGGAGACTGCAGCCAGAAACAACGGCTTCTGTACGGACATCCTCAAAGCTCGTTTAGTCATCTTTTCTGAATTCGGAACAGGTGTTCAGCACGTCGACCTCACCACAAAACCCCCTGCCATCAGTCGTTGTGATGCATGAAGGAGAATACCGGGCAGGGACGAAGGAGAATTCGCGGTCAACTCCCAATGATTTATGCGAAGGCAGGCATAAGTACTCATTAGAGACTAGTAGTGCTGCACACTGCTGTCGCGCCATAAGGTTCGGCATGTATTTTATCGTATGCTGTTTGCTGTTCTCGATACCGTTCGCAAACTTGCGGTCGAGGTTTTGAGACGGGAGCAGGTGACCAGGCATTTTGGCATGAAGCGTTGCATCCCATTGAAGGTGCCAATCTGATTTTGGGAAGCGAGAGTACACTTGGACGACACGGATCTTCAATTCTGAAATCCTGAGGCCCATGAGACTGAAGTAGCTCGCCATTAGAAAGCCGAGTTCCTCATGCGAAGGCGCTGCTGTTGTAAAGTGATGGATGGTTGTTGAAGCTGCCAGCTGCAGGTGCGGCTATGGAAGAAACACGCTAGTCCCATCTCAGAACGCGCGATCTCGAAAACTCTCGGACAGGAAGCACGACCAGCAGCGACGTCAACACCAGCGCAGCCATGCTGCTCCCACGGATTCTCGCGCCCGTGCGCGCATCGCTACAGACACCTTCGACGTTCATACTCCCCGCTTCGCGTGTCATCGACGCTCTCCGCACTGCCAATGGCGCCTCCGCACACGTACCCACACTGTCTTTCGTCAGACATTCAGCACATCAGGCTCAGGGACGAGCCAACGGCGCCAAAGATGGGCCGGGAAAGCGATTGGGAGCAAAGAAGAGCGGAGGTACAGACAATCAGCTTCGAGCTGCACTAGAAGAGAGCGCTGACGGCAACATGTAGGAGAGTACGTGATTCCGGGCAACATCATCTTCCGCCAGCGTGGCACGCACTGGTTCCCTGGAGAGAACTGCAAGTTCGGTCGCGATCACTGCGTCTTTGCCACCGAATCTGGATATGTTCGATACTATAAGGACCCTCTCAAGCACCCCAAGCGCCAGTACATTGGTGTGGCTCTCGAGAAGGACCATCAGCTACCGTACCCACGGAATGCTCCGCGCGCGAGACGACTGGGTTTCGTTGCGGTGCCAGTCACGCAAACAGAAGCAGAGGCACAGGTCGTGATCAACGACTTGCAGGTCGGAGAGGGTTCTGGCAGCGACAGCATCAAGAAGGACACAACACGACCAGGGAGAGTCGTGAAGAAAGCCAACAAGGGTTACGCTTTCCGTGAAGCTAACTGGGAAATTGGTCGCGTAGCAGAGAAGGCGAATGTACAGGTTAAGAAGTTCGTACCTGGTGATCGATGGGCAGCGTGGCGCAAGTCGAAGGCCAGAATAAAGGCCGATGAGGAGAGGAAGAAGCTGAGAAATGCTGGAAAGAAGCAAGCGAAGCCGAAGAAGAGGCAGCCAAGGGTCTGAGCACATTGTTTGGGTGTATAACTATACGTGTAGGAACAACAGAAGCATTGTACATTCAGCCTGTTGGCATACTCAAGTCTGGCCATCTCTCGATAACTGACCTAGAAATTCATACCAGCGCAGATCTCCTTACAGCTTCGCAGAATCTTTCCATCCTAGTAGTCCATCCTCGTTTACGAATTGCCGGCCTTTGGACCAGCCAGTCCATCTCGCAACCGTCTCTTCCCCACCATCACCAGCCCTCAATCCCCGCTGGCTCCAGCCGCTGCCTTCCACACCGATACCTTGCCCAACTGCGGCAGGTCTTGAATTATCACCTTCGTGGATAGCCAACCCTGGCGATGTTTTCAAAGTCACTGCAGGCCGCTGATCGAAACCTTGGGCTTCAAGCTCCTGTTGCGTAAGTACCGGCGTGCAACATGCATCTGTGCCGTCGAAGATAGCGGCCCACTCGTCCCGCGTCTTCCTCTTGAAGACCGCAGTGAAGAAGTCTTTCAGCTTCGGCCAGTCAGCTTTGTTGTCGCGGTTCCCCGGCAGATCAGAGGGCTTCAGCTCAAGACCTTTCAGAAGCGCAGCCCAGAATTGAGGTTCGATTGCACCACTAACGGTCTGTTAGCTCGGAATTTCAACGATACCCAAAGGACACTTACACAGCCGTATATTTCCCGTCCTTCGTCTCATACGTATCGTAAAACGGCGCGCCGCCATCCAACATGTTGGTGCCCCTCTCCGCGCTCCAAACTGGAGTCTTTATACCAAACCTCGGCATCGTCGCCAGGATTGCGCTTCCATCCACCATATTCGCCTCGACAACCTGTCCAATCCCGCTGGTTTGCCTGGCCAGCAGCGCAAGTAAGATGCCGATAAAGCAGATCGCACCACCACCAGCAAAGTCACCCATAAGATTGCCTGGTGGATACGGCTTCTCGCCTTTTCGTCCGAAGAGCGATAAGACACCAGAGACGGCGATGTAGTTGATATCATGTCCAGCCATGGCGCTGTACTTTCCGTCTCTTCTGAATCCCGTCATTCTTGCGACAATTAATCGCGGATTGAGCTTCAGCAGCACATCCTCAGGCCCAAGGCCAGCTTTCTCAAGTACGCCGGGGCGGAAGGGATCGATGACAACGTCGACGTTGGGAATCAATTTCTTAATGAGTGCGAGACCGGAAGCTGTCTTCATATTCACGCATATGCTGGTCTTGCGGCGCGTGAGCTGGTCGCTGGGCGCGCCAGAGTTGTGAGCAGGTGCACGGTCGAGGCGGAGGACGGTTGCGCCATAGTCGGCAAGCAGCATGCCTGCGAAAGGTCCTATGCAATTTTAGCGTTCTATATTCGCATTGTGTATGTGCAAAATGTACCTGGCGCAAGGCCCGCGAATTCGAGGACGCGCAGGCCTGTGAGCGGTGGTGGCTGGTAGGTTTGGTTTGACATTGTGTGTACTGTTGCGGAGCGATCAGGTGTTCGTCAGGTTATAACACAATTTGAAGCAGCTGAAGGGCGCCCGACTATTCGTATAGCTCATGTTCGACGTCGACATTGTTGGTTGCAAGGTCGGCTACCTGCACAATGCCGCGGGGAAGGAGCAGGGGGTTGCCGAGGTGTGGAGAGCTCCATGGCTGGCTAGTGCGACATCGACTAACAACCGGAGCATTCCACCAACGAACAACATCAGCGAGCCAGACAGGACAAGAGGGAAAACATGGTTTGTTAAAAAGAAAAAGTATATTCAATCAAAGGGATGTATTACCGTATGGGGCACACTACTATCACTATCGTTATCGATCACGAACCAGCGTAATCAAACAACACCAGCAGCATATGACACCTCCTCACGTTTTGACGTCCGAAGCTGCGCAATTCTAAGCACCAAGAGCACAATCTGTGCGCTGTGGGCGGTAGGGCGCCCAAACTCGGTACACTGACCACATCATGTTTTTCAGCACCTCAGAGTCCAGCCCGAACTGTTCACCAATGGCTTGCATCAAAATGAAGCCAGACAGCTCGTGGTGTGGCACCTCCCGCTTTGTGGCATTGAGCTTCAGTTCAAGACGAACGGTGGCATCATTAGCGACGATTTGCAAGCCTTCCGGGGCATTACAGCAAATTTGTTCACGCCAGCCTTCTTTTTGGGGCGTCAGGAGCCAGTCTTTCATGGGGATCTGCATGGTGATCATGGGGTTTGCAAAGTCTACCTGGATGCGGACTGTGGTTGCAAGCCACTTGTCGTGGACGGGCGCAGCGGTGATGAGGTCAGGCTGTTGGTCGAGCAGAGAACGAACGGAGACGTACTTACGCGGGGGCATGAGGATATGCTCCTGGTCCTTGACTGGCTGCTTCTCAAGGGCAGCTGGAACAGCGATCTGGTCAGTTGCCTTGTCGATGTCCATTTCTGAGAAGTACAAAGGACCATATGTGGTCTCCTTGTTGTCCATCGTTAGCTTGTGCTCACCGTCTGCCAGAAAGTACTTGAAACGCTCCTGGCCTTCGGACCCGAAGAGTGGGATGTAGGGAGCCATGTTGAAATATTCACCCAGAGGGACCTTGAATGCCGTGGGATGCAGAGCATGGTCGATGACAATGGCGAAATCATCGAAGCACATCGCAACGACGGCATGATACTTTGTGTCTGCATCCGCTTTTTGAGCAGAAGTCATCAGCTGTACCGCCTTAGAATACTGCCGGAGCTCCGTGTTAACGTGGTTATCAAGTGTAGTCTCGAGATCAGTGATGATGCGTGTTGATGCCCCTAAACAGGACCCAAATTGGCCAGTCAACGCCCAGAAGTGTCGGTCCATACCGCGCAAGCCTGCTTCATCATGTTTCTTACCTTCGTTGACGACGTCCCACGTATGCCATGTGGACCAGTTATAGTCTTGGGCGTACTTGAGAGCAATCTCGTTGGCCACCTCAAGAAGCTGTTCCTGGGTCTCGGACGTAGGAGTCTTGGTAATGTTCGTTACTGATGACATGTGGTGTGCTTGATTCATGCTGTATACGCGGTTGACACTTGCTGTTTGTTAGATTGATTGAATGATTCTGCAGGCATTTGATTGCAGATTCTAGGAACTTTATACTACAGAGCTACTGTGTGTGATTTTTGATAGTTGTGAACCGACAGTGCTTATATTTACACACCGATCTGGTAGAGCAGACAGTGTTCACCTACGACACCTTTCAGGGTGACGATGACGTTGAAGCTTCCTTGCTTGCATCCCAAGTGCACAGTGAATGTTGCAATGTGCATTGAGGAAGATGGCACGGATCGCTACTGTGCGAAATGTGCAATGTGGAACAAGCACGCTCCGCGTCGACATACACAATGCTCATGTTTTTGTCCACAACAGCGATGATACCGTGTTGGATTCTCTTGAAACATCACGTGTGAATAGATATGTACAGCCCCTATGACACCGCCTGCGCAACAGTGAAAAATGCGCAGCCAGCTCTAATGGTGCTCAATGGCTTCCCTCTCCGCAGCGCTGAATCGCAACCGCCCAATGTGTGGACTCTATAGCGCTCGAACAAAACGTAAGAGGCTGATGAGATGGGCGGATGAACTGTCTGATGGTGCGTTGGAGAAGCGAAGAGTTTCGCGCGACGAGAATTTTATTGACATGGAAGCGTTAGTCAGCGGAGCTAGCGTTATCGATAGCGTTCGGACCAAAACGTCCTGGCTACGTCCGTCGCGACAAAGATAGCTAACGGTGCATATAGTAGACCTTTTGCGCTTTCGAGCGTTTAGGGGTATTCATGCTGCGTCTTACAACCACCGACAATTACAAAGCCAACTATTGGTACCCGGCCTTGGCTGCATCCCGGGGCCGAGCAGGCCTTTGTCATCTACTTGCTGAGCGTCATCGTTTCGATTCAGTTCCTATGTAGACTTCGCCTCATGCTACGTAACAATGTATGTGCGTGAGACGCCAATCGCTTTTGTGAATGGTGCGATCCCCTGCCCAGTGGTGAGCTTTGAGATGCCCCGCCGCCCGTGCTGAGATCGATCCCCACGACGATAGCTGGGTTGTAAAGCTGCTGGACTAAGCAAAACCTTGGAAACATTCCAACAAAACTAGATATAATCCAGGATTCATGACACTCGTGAAGGTCAGTTGAGCTAGACAAATCAATACCTCCGCCATGGACCAGTCCATCAAACCTAGCTTTAACTTCGTGAATATCAAGCACCCAGACGACCTGAAAGATGAAGAAACCCAGCTCCGCATCCGGCGACTGGCAATGACAGAAGTTGGCAAGGCGCGACGCAAACCGAGAATCAAGCGAGGACGAGACAAGATTATTCTAGAGCTTCGCGACACGACACAAAGACCTCCTCACATCGAGCGCCTTAGCAGCGGATCCGTTGATCCCTTCAGTCGTTACCCTATCGAGCTCGATGACGAATCTCGTTATCTACTCTCCAATAGTAAGTATGGTCGTGACTTCGAAGACATACAGCTGATCGCACACAAGTCTTCAGTGAAGGGACTCATTCCAGCCAGTTGAGGGGATCCTGGTTTCCAGTCGGGCTCGACAGTCCAGCAGCCTTCCACCATGCGCTAGCCAACTCGCAGAACTTCATTTTCCAGCAAATGAACGGATTTTATCCTTCGCAGGACAACGCGCAGGCTTTGGCCCATCACCAGAAGGCACTCAGTCTTGCGCGAAAGTTGATGAGCGACCCCGCAAAACATACGAGTAACGAAGCACTTGGCACAATCGTGTCGTTCACCTGCCATCATGTAAGAATCTGGTCTGAAACAGTGAATACCGGTACTTAGAACCTCAGGCATTACTTGGCAGCTTTGCTGGTGGCGAATACAAGAAGCATCAAGACGCCCTTCTGAAGATGATCGAGTTGAAGGGGGGATTCGATAGTATCGACTGGGAACCCCTTCGAATAACAGTCTCATGGTACGTGTTCGTACTGTCCTACTTCTCGAGGTCTAGATGTACTGATCCGCAACAGGAGCGATTTGATAGGTTCCTTTGCACAAGACCTACCGCCGACAGTGCCACTGCCTTGCAAATGGGAGGTCGATTCGAGATCGCCGCCTGGGTCCCCCCGACCGCATAATTCCATGTCGCTGATGTGGAAGCAACAATCGCCCATGCGACTCGACTGGGTGACCATCTTCGACGACATCGTACAATTGATATCTTTGGATCGTGCGTTCAATGAACAGCAATTCGAACTGGCGGTCACAAGCGGAAGCTGGATTGAGCCGACCGTATACCGTCTCCTCGCCATTCGGCCTTTGCAGTTTGGCTACGACCGCGAACACATCCTTGAAGAAGTGTGTCGACTTGGAACATTGCTATTCCTGGCTCCATTCTGGAGGGTACTGGGGCTGTCCATTGTGAGGACCGCAGCCATATCCCGGAATCTCCTGCTGGTTTTGTTACAATACAAGACGGAATGGAACGAAATCAAGCCTCTCCTCGTATGGACGCTCTATTCCGCCGCGATCGAGACGATCGATTTAGCGGAACGCAGTCAATATGTGTTCATGCTTGCGATGGTCATGAGTGGTATGCAACTTGAAAATTGGAGCGAGTTGTTAGACGTCGTCAAGGGCGTGTTGTGGGTTGATGGAGTTTTTGCCGGCAGTGATGACCTGATTCGGGATGAGGTGATGAGCATTGTAAGCCAGAAGTCTAGTGCCCAAGTTCTGCGAGAGGAGCCTGATATTTTTGAAGGCGGTCTGGGACTATTGGAAGACGCCTAAGCCTGATCTGGAAAGTCTTCCTGACCGTCATGCATAAGCGCTTACAATGCAATCTTGCCGCCCTATTATCACTAGGTATCCTCTAACATAATGGATGAACGCTTGAGAGGCTGCTGAGGTCAGACAAGAAATTGGTGCATACCTAGGTATCATCTGGCCCTGTTGAGTACGCAGGCATCCTATCACCGCTGTCAAGATGTGTAGCCCAGCTTCCTCATACCCCACCCCGCTGCATGGTACAAAGCCGGTTCGCGCCTAGTGTTGAGTCTAGGTCTGTGTACATCAACGTCGACACGCATGGACTACTATCAGATAGGCTTTTTTTCCTACATAGGCAATTCAATTGCTTTAGTAAGCACCGTGGGGCATATTCCGGTTGGAACCATATTCCGGTTGGAGTGTACTGACAAGCTCTTGGCGTGTAAGGTATCTACAATATAAGTCTGTTGGTATTCCAACATCGCCCTCACTTTATCCTTGATAGACTCACTCACCAGTATTTGCCTACAATGGAGAACCTTCCAGTCGACCACTTCGTTAAGATTATGCAGTTCACTGCAAAGACTCATCGAGATGTTTACCCAGCAATCGACCCCAGCCAAGCGGCGCTCTCACAGAAGGGCAAAGTAGTTATTGTCACAGGTGCCAGCCAGGGCATAGGCGCCCGAGGGTTCGTACCGTCATTTGCGGCCGCTGGCCCAAAAGCGATCGTCCTCGTGGCTCGAAATGCCGAAAAACTGCGAGAAGTGGCCGACACTATTGCCAAATCACACCCCAATGTCGAGACTCTTGTTGTTCCGACCGATATCAGCGATCCGGCCTCAGTCACTGCCCTTTTTGAGAAGGTGAAGCAGAGGTACGGACACGCTGATGTGCTCGTCAACAACGCAGCAATCTTCAAAGCCGACCAGTCTGTCAAGGAGGTTGAGGAGCAGGCCTGGTGGGACGAAATGGTATGATAATGCCTTCACTTTTTCAGCCATCCGGTATTGACTGTCACGTAGACCCTTAACGTTCGCGGCCCGTTCCTCGTTACCCAACAATTCCTCAAGTTACTCCCTTCGCCCGACACTCCCGCCAAGATTATAACCTTGACAACTGGCGCAGCATACCAGGTCTTCCCCACACTCAGCGCGTACGGCATCTCGAAACTCGCAGTTCTTGAGCTCATGGCGTACGTTGCCGTGGAGAACCCCAATGTCGTTGCGACCGCCCTGCATCCTGGTATCGTAATGACTGACATGACTCTGGAGTATTTCAAGAGGTTCGCTCACGACACACCGGAGCTGGTTGGTGGCATCGGCGTCTGGCTTGCTGGCTGGGAGGGTCCGGACCGAAGCTTCCTGAGTGGTAGATTTGTGTCTGCCAACTGGGATGTTGAAGATTTGGTGAACAGGAAGGACGAGATTCTGGAGAAGGAGCTTTTAAAGGTTAACTTGGACGCGAAGTTGGGTGCTGAGCAATTTGAGTAACTTCTGATCAGAAGGCCGCCACAGATTAGCAAATATTACCATTGAATAAACGTGGTTGTTCTCAAGATACTAGTATTGGCATCTTACAGTCAGTGTGCTATAATATCCTTTCCTTCTTTCGACAACCCAACAACAATCTTACAAGACGCCTTGCTTCAATGACCTCCAGGCGTTATCACACTTCATCTTGGTATTCCGCGCCCTCATTTCTCGACTTCCTCTCATGCGCAATGTTTGCCGCCCGCACATCGCCAGCAACCACACTGCTGTGTCTCCTGACCTCCTCTTTCTCAGTCTCAATGTACTTCTGCGGTCGTTTGGAAGAGATGACTTCTTTGTCTTTGAACACGAGCAGTGGTGCATCGCCAGCGAAGTATCGATCCAAGTCTTCGAGTGTCCTGCCTGCAGTCTCGGGATAGAAAAAGAAGACTGCACTATTGTGAGGAGTGGAGACACATGCAGAGGATGTGGCTTACCTATTGGGATGAATGCAAAGTTGAACACACACCAGATGATGTAGAACTTCCAACCGAGAGTTCTAATACCCGGTGGCGTAATTTCGACAACCATGAAATTGAAGATCCTGTAATCTAGGTAAGTATGTCTCTCGCAGGTATAATGAGAGGCTTACCAGTTAGTTGCTGTTCCTAGGGCTGCGCCCTTTGTTCGCATGGCCATCGAGTTGATCTCTGTCGGATACAGCTAATCAGAGTGAGCAGAATGGATTGACTCGCCGGTTTAAAGTGCTTACCCATGGCACACCTTGCCATCCGATGCCAAAGAAGACATAGTACAAGAAGAAGAACGCGATTGAACCTTTCGCCCATTGCTGATTCCTAGTTGGAGAAAGTGACGTGTCTTCGTTATAACGAATACAAATGGTAATGATTGAGTAACAGAAGAACTGCCCCGCAGCGGCGTACATCATCATCTTACGGCGGCCCCAGCGCTCGACATTGGGTATACCGATGAGAGAGAAGAGTAGGTAGGATACTGAGTTGCATGCAGCTAGAAGACGGGCGAGGGTGTTGGTCAGACCCACCGATTCGATCAAAACAGTAGGTAAGTAGTATGAGGTTACGTTGATTCCAGAAAGCTGTTGCATAGCTTGGGTTCCCATTCCAAGAACTACTCGTCTGATGGTGTGCGTACCAGCTTGGTCTCCAGTGCGGCCGCGGAGTAAGTCACGCCAGCGTACGGCGTGGTCTTTCTCATACTGCACAGCCCATTGGATATCCTTCGACTGGGCGATGATGCGCGGATCGTCGACGTCGGTACCTTCGAGATCAGCAAGGATCCTTTCAGCTTCGTCAATCTGACCCCGGGCCATCAGCCATCTGGGAGATTCTGGTAGCCAGGGGACAGTTGCAAATAGAATGAATATAAAAAGGAACTGGAATGCCAGGGGGACGCGCCACGAAGCACTTCCGGCAACGAAGCTGAGAGGAATCAGTGAACTGCGAGCGTGTGTGGGGTCGTGAGCTTACGAGAAGCCAAAGGTTACCCAATTCGACAGGGAGAAACCGAAAATATTCATGATCATCTCGATTACGATCAGTTTGCCACGCCAGCTGGCTTTCGAGGTCTCGCCTTGCCAAACGGGTGCTGCCATTGTTAGTTCAATTACAACAACACCTCACACGATATCACAAGTACCTGTTGATGTGTTGATACCGTTTCCAATACCGGCAATGATCCTGTAGGATATTTAGCAATCGATACAGTAGGACAATTTAGAGAGCCTCACCTTCCCACGATCATCTCAGGCACACCAAATGAAGCGATTTGTATGATAGCACCAATGCTCATGATCGTAGTACCTAACAGAACACATTTCTTTCTTCCTAGTGGATCGCCGATTGCGCAGACTGAGATTGCACCGAAGAAACATCCGATATCATAGATCGCTGTGACTGTGCTGATGAGGGATGGGTTGTTGGTCAAGTTGAGCTGGTCTAGGAAATCCGGCGTTACAACAACACCACCTGGAAACTGTCAGCTTTGGAATCAGCCGCAAAGTAATTGGGTCGTACCAAATACACCTTGGTCATAGCCAAAGAGTGTCGGTATGTGTGTCAGTCAATTGGTTCAGTAACAGTTGCATAGAGGCTCACCATGTCGGTCGCGCAGGCCACTGTGACCCAGACAGTAAGCCATGTTCCCGTCAAGCCAAAGTACGGCTTTCCAGAGCCGATTCCAAACATCGCCTCGAATATTTATTGATCTTACGTCTTGTATGAATAGTCGACAGATCGTGATTTAAAAGATTTAGGGATTCGAATGATTCCTCGAGCTATTTCAACAAAGCACGCGAGCCTTAACAGCACCTTGATGCTCTCCCGTTATGACGAAAGGCTGCATGGTGTATTCGGCCCAATTGGTCGTATTCGCTGATCGTGAAAGCGACGGGACGTCAACCATGCCGGTTTCCCCGCGCTTTGAGCCCGGATCGACAACGAAGATCCCCAGATCTGAGGGAATCTAACAGCTCAGCACCATTTCAATCCCATGTTGTCTCCACTTTCGGAGAGAATCTCGCAGGTTAAAGCACGCTATTCCAAAGTGCCTCACATGGCCGTTACGCGTTCCTCAAAAGCGTGGACGACCGTGCAAGGGGGCCATGCTGCAGTGACGATGATGTAAGGGTCATGTGAGCTGAGTCAAGCGTGAACCCTCACGGCTGAGCCCAGTCAGCATGAAACAGAAGCTCTGAAGTACCAACAGAACACAGCCGTAGACACTCCTTGATCTGAATCATATTGAGATGACAGGTCGTTCACCAAACTCCAAACCAGAGTCTTTGCATGGACAGAGATGTAGGCACGCCCGTGTTGGAGTTGCGACAAGCTCCGCTAGAGCTGACAAGCCGAACGGCGGATGAGCAAGCTTTGTGGAGGACTGCAGATCGACCAATGGCACGCTTTACTTCTAGGTGCATAAAAATGTGAGGCTGCATTGAACTGATGCAGGCAGGATCTCAGATCTCAGCTTGCAAACTCACACGCTCACCGGGGTGCTCTTAGATCCATGATACAGTCGGAATTCACATATGACGTCATTTATCACAGACAATTTATAAGTGCTGTGACTTTACCTGATAAGATCACTTGAGCTTTCATGCTAGAGGAGAGTCTCAACTTGGTAGGTTGAAGGCAGGTATTGACCTGACCCTCTCACGTTGCAGAATAATCAATGGACTAAGGTGTGAGCTAAGTATTCCACCACGCGACTCTTAAATAGGGATAATGCACAAAATCTCCGTAGAATACTCTCTTGCCTACAGTACAGGTAATGCATGGCTAAATGTCAGCTTGAGATATTATAATACCTGCAAGCTGTGTGTTAAAGTTCCTTATCCGCCGTGTTTTCTGCAACGTGAGAGCTGACCGAAGACAAGAACGAAACGAACCGTGCGGGCTTGGCAGTGCGGGCTCCCGAAGGCCAGCAGTTCAATGAATTCAGGGTGCCTAGCAACAACACAACACCAACGACGCCAGCCCTTTCCTCTCGCACGCGCATAATGACCCTGTAGACGGTTCGAACCAGCGACTGTTAATATCACGAATTAAACTTCGATCATGGCGTCGGCGGTGTTCTTTCTTGACCTGAAGGGCAAGGTACGCTTGTGGGGTGCTTGGACGGAGGAGCTGCCTGCTAACAGGCACGTGTAGACCCTGCTGGCGCGCAACTACCGTGGCGATATCCCCATGTCAGCGGTCGAGAAGTTCCCTGTCCTGCTTAGCGAAGCCGAAGAAGAGAGCTCCGCCGTCCCGCCATGCTTCTCCAGCGAAGGCATCAACTATCTCTACATCCGTCACAACAACCTGTACCTCCTCGCCCTTACCAAGCGCAACACCAATGCCGCCGAGATACTTCTCTTCCTCCACAAAATTGTCGAAGTCTTTACAGAATACTTCAAAGAGCTGGAGGAGGAGAGTATACGAGACAACTTCGTTGTCATCTACGAGCTGTTGGATGAGATGATGGATTTTGGGTACCCGCAGACCACCGAGACAAAGATCTTGCAAGAGTACATCACACAGGAGTCACACAAGCTTGAGGTGCAAGCGCGGCCACCTATCGCAGTCACCAATGCTGTCAGTTGGCGAAGCGAGGGCATTCGATACCGCAAGAACGAGGTCTTCCTCGATGTTGTCGAGTCGCTCAACCTTCTTGTATCAGCGAATGGAAATGTACTGCGGTCTGAGATTCTCGGCGCCGTTAAAATGAAGTGCTACCTGTCCGGTATGCCAGAGCTGCGATTGGGCTTGAACGACAAGGTTATGTTCGAAACAACAGGAAGGGCCACGCGAGGAAAAGCAGTCGAGATGGAAGATGTCAAATTTCACCAGTGTGTGCGCTTATCAAGGTTCGAGAACGACAGGACAATCAGTTTCATTCCGCCAGATGGCGAGTTCGAGCTGATGAGTTATCGTCTGAACACGCAAGTCAAACCGTTGATCTGGGTGGAGTGCATAGTCGAGAGCCATTCTGGCAGCAGAATAGAGTATATGCTCAAGGTAAGCATGCTGTTTTCGGTTTCGACACCCAACTAATGCAAGTTAGGCCAAGGCGCAGTTCAAGAGGAGAAGCACAGCAAACAACGTCCAGATCTCGATACCTGTACCCGAAGACGCAGACACACCTCGATTCCGCACGAACATCGGCACTGTACACTATGCGCCCGAGACATCGTCGATAGTGTGGAAGATCAAGCAGTTCGGCGGCGGCAAAGAATTCCTGATGCGCGCCGAACTCGGTCTGCCATCGGTCCGCGGCGACGACGAGAAGGGCGGTGGCATGATGGGTGGGTTCGGAGGAAGCATGGGCGGCGTCGGTGTTGGCAAGGCCAAGCGACCGATCAACGTCAAGTTCGAGATTCCCTACTTCACAACGAGTGGTATCCAGGTCCGGTACCTCAAGATCATCGAACCAAAGGTTTGCACACCCTTACCAGCTATTTTGACCAAAGCTTACAGAAGCACAGCTGCAATACCCGTCGCTGCCCTGGGTACGATACATCACTCAGTCTGGGGATATCGCTGTGCGATTACCGGACGTGGCTTAGACGAAAGGGAGCAACTGACGATAGACATACTAAATCAAACCATGACACCACACACACATTTCTAGTCCCTTTGTCAAGCTGATGTCAGGCAGGTGCACAGTTCCTCGGACCGATAGAGATTTGCGTGCCTGTCAGGCCATCTGCCGTTTGGAAAAGAGCTCAAGAGGTATGCAATCTGTGATTTGATACTAAAACAGTGGTATATCATCAACGAGCGTTCTGGCTTCCCGAAATATTACCTCCTTCCCACTCCTTACACAGCACAACAACAAGCGTGACCGCAACTACACTCTATCAACCCGTCACTCAGCTCAAAGACCAACAGCCAAGCCAAGCACAGCAGCACCAATCGCCATTCCAAGACTCGCCGTCCTCGCATCAGCGCCGCCGGTACTCCCCGTAGTCAACGCATCTGTCGTATCCGCACTGGCCGCGGCAACCTGCAGCCCGTACGCCGTCGTGGGCGTGAACGTGCCATTCACAGTCGCGGTCCCAACGCTCGTTGACGTCGTGCTAGCCGTGCAGCCCGACCACGTCGTCCATGGCGCCGCAGTACTCCACGGTCCTGCAGTCCATCCGGGCCAGTCCGACGGCGGACACGCGCTACCGCCCCACCACGCTGTCCACGGCCCGCTGCGCCACTCGCTCTTTGTTGACCACTCGCTCCACGGGCCCCAGCTGCTTGAGCCCCACGGCCCTGGGCCGTCGGGTCCTGCGCTTGTTAGTCGATGTGGATACGGGGGTATACACTACATACCTCCCCAGCGACCGGGGCCACCGCCGCGACCGCCTGGGCCGTACTTGTCATCGTCGTCATCGTCGTGACCTGGACCCCATGGTCCGGAGCCGGGACCGTAGCTGCCTGTGGGCCAGGGTGCGTTGGTGAGTGTCGATGGGATCTTGCCCTCGGAGACGAGCGAGTTGTACACGGACGACCAGCGAGGCAGATCCGAGGACGCCCACGGAGGCGTCACAGCTGGCGTCAGCGGGCCTGCAGTCGTAGACTGCGCAAATGCGGGGGCAGCAAAGGCTGCAAGAGCTGCGAAGCTGATCTTCATGGCGGCGGATACGAATCGATTCAACTGGAACTCGCTTTGGCCTTCTTGGTACTGGTATCTAGTACTGATAACAGAGGACTGGATGGTATGCGAATCCTACAGCGCCCACCCTCTCTTCATATACGCCCATCACCACATACGCGGCCCATACAACCATTGGACGCCGCAGCTTACCCGCTCACCGTCCCTCACTCCGGAGGGGTCCCGCAAGGCTCCTTCTTGATCTTGAACTCACCACGCGTGACGTGCTAGCTGACGCGTTGCGCCAGCGCGCAGGTCGCCGCAGGGCACTCAGCCCTACAGGTAGCGTGCGAAGTGCCGAGCAACGGCGCGAGTTAGTCAGAGCAGCGACTGTGAGTGAGACAGCTGCGCGCGCGAGAGGGAGTTTGGTTGGCTGCAAGTGTTGGCTTGGGCGCCGTGTTTGGGTGTAAGATGCGCGTTGTGGGGTTCGGGGAATGGGGTGGGGGAGAAGGCCGGAACGGCGTTGTTGGGCGCTACAGACTGATTTGTGTCATCTTGGCTGTGCGTCATGCTGCTGTGCGGGTCTGTGGAGAAGCTTTTTTGCTGCATGTGTAGTCAGAGATGGGAAGCTTCGCAGTGTGGGGAAGCTGGGGTTGGTGAGGTTGTGGTTCAGGAGGGTCACGACACGTAACGTCCGGCTGGTGATGGTCGGCGCAACATTGCTCTCGTCGCCCCCAGCTTATTCTCACAGACTGGCTATTACGCTGGAGACGTCTGCGTGCTCATACTCGCGTCATCAGCTTAGACATTTGCGCGGCGCCGAACCGATGTTGACGTGCAGGTCACACCTGACCTGAGCGCAGAAACGCAGCGTACGACAGTTGTCTCGCATATTAAACCTATCTTGCTCACGAACCAATAGATTTCTCGACAGCCAAAATGTCGCATATTGTACTCTCCGAGCTACCGCTCTACAGGATCTTGGTCAGCCTTGCCTTCCACCCAGCCTTCTCGCCCGCAACGCCTTCCTCGCCACTGCCGCTCCCGCCCACCGAGAGACCCTCGTCCACATAGCCCTGCTGGTCGTAGATCTCGTCTGGCAGGACAGCCTTGTCGATGAATGTTTGCCGCGGCGGCGCGACGAACATGCTGAGCACCACGTACACAATGCTCGTGGACACGAAGCCAAGGAACCATCCGAAATGATACGGCCGCGCGCCCACTCCAACCTCGATGCTGGGGTTGATGCTGTTGATCAGCCCCGGCAGGTTGGGTGCAACGCCGACAAGGAACGCAACGATAGCGCGCCAGTTGCAGCCATATGTGTAGCCGTAGATACCGTGCGGCTGGTACAGAGCAAGGGTGTCGTACTTGCGCGCGTGAACGAGCCAGTAATCAAAGACCATGATCGACGCAATAGGTCCAAGGAAGATGGCGTACGCGACCATGAAGTTCAGGAAGCTTCCCGCGCTCGCGAGGATCTTCCAAGGCACCAGCGCCCAGGCGACGACCGCGCAGATCAGCTGGCCGCGGCGGATGTTGACGTAGCGCGGGAACAGCGCGGTCAGGTCGTTTGCCGCGGACAGCGAGTTCGCGGAGATGTTGACGCCGAGCGCGGCCAGTGCGAAGCTGAAGGCGCCGAAGAAGCGGCACGCGCGGTTATCCCAGTGCGAGATGAGCGCGATCGGGTCCCAATTCAGCTCGCCGTATTTGACTGCGCCGGCAGATGACGCCGCGATGCCGATGAAGGCGATGAAGGTAAAGACGATGGGCAAGAAGGGGACGTAGATGATCTGCCACTTGACGCTGACGCGCGAGTAGCGGGAAAAATCAGCCTGGTAGTGTCAGTCCGGTGTATCCAGTCACTGCAGATCTCAAAGACATATGTACCTGGTTGACCGAGAGTGTGGCATAGTTCCCAATGACACTTGTCAGACTCGACAAAAAGCCCCAGGAGTACGCCGACCCCGACAGCGTTGCCTTCTGGTTCCACATCTCGCCGCCATCCGTCGACACAAACGCCCAAATCAAAATCGCAATCCATGCAATCGGCACGATAATCGACTTGGCCATAAACAACCACCGCAAGTTATTCGGATGCATGCACAAGAACGGCAGCGACACGAGCCAGAACAAGAAAAAGCTGACCATGGTGTTCGTCTCGATGCCCTGGGACTCCGGGATGCCGTTGCGCAGCGTCAGAAACGAGGGCCAGATGGCCGCAATCATGCACTTGACCGCATTCGCGCCGTTCATGTTCTGGATCGCGAACCAGAAAACCGCCAGGATCGCGCGCGACACAATCGCAATGTACGAGCCCCAGAAGCCCCACGAGGCGCGCGCCAGCACGGGGAAGGGCGCGTGGTGGATCACGCCGATGGCGCCGTTAAGTGCGATGACGAAGGAGATGATGAAGAAGGCGAGCGCGACGATGCCGATGGACTCGCGCCAGGTGAGGCCTGGAGGTGTTAGTCTTGATGCGAGTGTGGTACGTAGGAATCATACCGATTGCGATGATGCTCGAGGCGAACTGCCATGTCGCCGCGCTGCACAGTGTCAGTAGCTGTCTGCACCACGATTCTCGAGTCCCTACTTGAACGCATCCGAGATCCAGTACGCCAGGAAACTCGTAACCCCCCATTTGCGGTTATGCTTTGGCACTGGATCCAAGTCCTTATTCGTCCTGTCCTGCGTCAGCACACACTCCAACCCATTGTTCTCTACAATGAAGCTACGCACCACCGCGCATTCCCCTCAGCGAACGTCGACAGCGGCTGCTCGACCCTCAGCGAGAAGTGCGGACGCTCAATGCCCAACATCACGAAAGCTACCGAACCGCGGATACTCTCGCCAGCCCGTCCCAGGGGCCCCGGTATTTAAGTGCCCACCCAGCGTACCCCGGCGCCCGATTGAGGGTTCCATGCAGCTATCAGTTGCCGCGGGCGCGATAAGCTAGCCGTGTGCCGCATGCATCTGGGTAACCAGCGCCAAACGCCACCGAGATTGGCAGCAGCGTGCAGCCACTCACAGCGCGAGCGCGTGGCCTGGCATCCGGGCGCGCTGCGTAATGCCATGCACGATCCGTCGCGACGGCCGCGTGCTGGCTGGGGCAGCGCGCCCGCGATAAGGACCTGGGTGCTGCTCGGGTGCACTTCCCCGCTTTGGGCAGTTCCCCACGTGCGGCGATAGCGTGGCTCTCAAGTTCCAGAAAGAACGGCGGATAAGCGGACACCAACAACCAACTTCATAAAGAATTTGTCGCTATTATAATACCAAAAGCCAGGATTTGTTTAAAAGCTACCTATATTGTAGGCACAAAAGCAGTATGTATAGTTTTTGTGCATTGTCCCTACGTTACTGTCGCGTAGTAGAGTATCCGCCTCACATGCCTAGTCCGCCGTTTATCCTGCAACGTAAGAGCGTGGCATTGTAGTGTCTTTACCAGCTCAACACGAAGCGCGGTATGAATACATAGACATGGGAAGCCTCCACATACGACCATAGGACGTTGAAAACAGGCTCTCTTGTGTCGTCCGCCATTTCTTAAGGTCTCGTTTCGGAATTCAGTCTCGCGTATTCTCGCTTACCATATCTGCGTACAAGAGAAGGGAATGCTCTATCTTTCCATCCCTATAGGCATTCTCCGGCCTTGTAGCTGACTTCTGAACGACTCATCCCCCCCCCCTACAGTACATTCGGATCAATCCTCCACTCGGCACAATTCCCCACCACCCTCCCCCCCTGCTTAAACTCCGTACTCTTCCCATCGCACTGATCCACCGCCCTCCTCAATATCTTTCCACATCCCCCGTCATCGAACCTACTGCTGCCCACCGTAAACCGACAGCTATTCAGCACCGTCACACTAATCAAGATGACGTCGAAGCACCACCCGTCTGCGATGCAGTGCGCGCCGAAGCCGTCGCCATTGTCCAGCGTGCGCACCGTATTGGGCAGCGACGCGTCGAGCACGCGACCCTGCGCCCAGTCGCAGAACGCGGTTATCGCATCGATCATCATGCCGCGCGTTACGGTCGCGCCCGAGTCGTAGCACTTTACTTCTTCAGTGTCGGGGTTGGGCGCGGGCGGCGAGGGCTGGGGGGTTGGCGAGGGGACCGGTGGTGTGGAGGAGGGGGGCACGATGGAAGTGCTGGGGTCGGGCTGCGAGGTGCTGAAGGTGGGTTCTGGGAGGTCGAATTCGATTGCGCATTCGCGGTCGTTGTCCTCCTCCTCTTCGTCGTTGGGCTCGTCGCCGTCGGGATTGGGGTTGCGGCTGGGCTCTGGCGTTATGGGCACGGTAGGCTTGGGAAGCGAGGGGGGGTCAGGGTTTGGTTTGGGGCGCGGTGGGGGCTTGGGGTTCTTGGGGTCTGGGAAGTCGTTCGGGGGGTCGATGCAATTTAGTAGGCAGGGCTTGTTGCAGAAGAGTAGGCAGGGCTTGCCGCAGATGCTGGGCGCTTTGCAGAGGGGACCGGGCTTTCCGGGCTTCCAGATGGGGATTGGGAACCAAGCGGCGATCTCGTCGTCGTCGTCGTCGTCATCGTCATCGTCGTTGGTAGGCTGGGGTGGGGGTGGAGTGTAGGTGTATGGCCACGGTGGCGGCGTTATCGTGCGTGTCACTGCAGGATGAGATGTCGACTGATCGAGCGGATCAGGGTCGTTGACGATTGTGAACGGAGGCGGTCTGATGCTTGGAGTAATGCGGAACGATGAGTAGATACCAGACACGGTCCGCGTATCTGTTACAGTGTATGCCCACACTTCAATCGCCGTTGTGGTCACAGGTGGGATCGTAAGAACGGTCGTTTGCACGATGCTAGTCCACCCAGTAGAAGCGCTCCATGCTACGTCTAGCGATGTCGTGTAGGGTGGAAATGTGATCGTAGTAGGGGTCGAAAGGATCCTTGGAGGTAACACCAAAGTGCATGGAGGCTCGCAGTTGACCTCGGGATTGGGTGTCTTCGGGTCGTAGATGCTCGGGTCGATGTAGACCTGACCAGACCCGTCGCCCGGGTTGCCTGTACTAGGGTTGCTTGGATCCGTCGTCCCCCCGCCGTCTGGGGTATTGCCAGAGCCAGAACCACTGTAAAAGTCCACGCTCCAGATCATCGTGCCCCCGAAACAGTGCTGACTGGCCCATGTCTTCTTCATCGCGATGGTGTCCAGGTTATCGTATCCTATCCATTGATTACCCCATTTGAGTTCCATCATCATGTCCTTCTCTAGAAGGGTTGGCTTGACGCCGACCTGCGGAATGATAGTATCCTCAATTTCCTGGAGTGACATCACGCCACCAAAATTTGTGCATGGTGCAGGACGACTGGTTCCACTCCAGTTGCAACCAACACCATTGCAGTTTGGATCCGACACAGTGTATCCTCGGGCGTAGTACGCAAGTCCCAAGTTGACCTTGGCCTAACATAGCAAGGCAGGTCAGCATAATATATCATGGGCTAGCATGTGAGATATATGATGACTTACCGGATCAACTTCATCATACCAGAGAGGCTGTGTCCAGTTGGAGATTTCAGGAACATTCGTGTGACCTAGAACGACCTTGCCAATCTGAACGACCTTTTCGTCCCAAGGACCGTGCAAGTCATAGGTCATGACTCCAAACCAGTCAACGTACTGTTGCATCTCCTTGGGTTTGAACCAGCGCAAGTACCAGTAACTCGCCGGTGTAGCTATGCTAATTCCAAACTGGGTGCCGAACGATGCTCGCATTTCCTTGAGGAGTAAAACGTAGTTGTCGGTATCTTCGGGGACGCCGCCTCTATCCGGCGCGCCAGGGCTGTTCGCAGATCAGTATACATTCTATCCGAACTACTACAAGTATACAGGATAAGCTTACTATTCCCAGTCAAGGTCAACACCTTGAAAGCCGTGGGCAGTCAGAAACGATTTCAGTGAGGTGATGAATCGTGACCGCCGTGCAGCTGTCTTGGAAAGATCACTGAACGTAGTGCGCGTTGGGCCTGGGTCGTTGAAATTCCAGCCTCCAATTGCGATCCACGTCTTCAACGTTGAAGACTTCAATGCAGTGAACTCCTTGTACAGGTTGATGTCGTCGGGGTCGGCGGCAGCAACCTCGAACGTGGAGGGATTGATCGTCGCAAAAGCAGCATATAGATGCGTTAAGCCTTTGATGTTAATGTCTTTCGGGCGGATGCGGTTGCATTGGCGCTCCCTCACATTGGCCAGTTGGTAGTAGCCAATGCTGCGGCCAGCTGCTGAATTGCCTCCGCAAGAAGGCGGTGCAATGGTCTGACACGACCCAAACCCCGTCTGACATGGTGAAGTAGGTCCACCTCCGTTGCAGTAGTCTTGTTCGACTCCACAGTAGCCATAGTAGGAGCAACAAACATTTAGCGGGCACTTCACCGTACCGCCCTTGCTATCCCGACCGCACAGCGCAGTAGCGCCGCAATTGGATATACACACACTGGAGTCGCAGTTCTCTTTCCCATATCCGCATCGTCCGTCCCTTCGGCAGCAGCTCCCATCAGGACATGGCGTCGAAGAATCGCACTGTCTCTTCTGTTGTCGCTTTTCAAGTGGCGAATGTCTGATCGGCGACATTCCCATGGAATCTACGACTTCGGCTTTGACGTATCCTCGCTTCAAGAGACTGGTACCGTTGGTTGAGGTTTCATCCGGGGTGTTGGTAGCATCGCTGCTTTCCAGTACGCTGTCAATGTACGTGACATTGTCGATGTTTTGTTGCTCTGCCATGAACTCGCGTGCAATGTCGATTATTGGTAGGGGTGGGGCTTGCGGGAGTACCTCGAACTGCTGGTGCGTGGAAGGTTCAGATTCGACCGTAGGTATATCCTCTTGTCGTCGCCTCAAGGTCTCTTCCGCTAATTCTCGACGGTACAGTTTCAGCTGTGGAAGGTGTCAGTCGAAGCATTGTTATACATCAAGGCGTGATTGAAAAGGCTGGATACCCTCGCAGGAACCAGGGATTAACGACAACATCCGCGGGTCCCTTGCAACATATACAGTACATGAGCAGTACTGTTTTGCTTGCGTATGGTATTGCGTAGTGAACAGGAGAACCACATACCTCTTGATGCGTCAACGGACTGTATTTCACAGACTCAGTCCCATTGAGATGCATACTATGCGTAATGCGATACGGCTCTCCCAAAACCGGCGGATGATACTCCATGATCTCGACCGTCACATTGTCGTAATTCACCTCGTCCCTCTTCTGAACCGGAGTGTAATTTACAGCTCCATTTGCGATCCAAGACACCTCGGTCGCCGGATCATTTTGACCAGGGTAAAGCCCCGTCAAGAACCGAAAGCGAAAGATGCTATCGGGCGAACTTCTTCGGAGAATACCATGCGCTCGGCCCTGGAAGTCTTGCTCGGAATCAACTCTGAGACCGGCTACGCGTGCGCACTTGGCGTTCTGTGGTGCGCAGTACGTTTGTGCGTTGACTCCGCCTTCGGAGAATCTAGGGCACTTGTGAACAGAAGATCTTGTAGTTGTTGTCAGACGAGAGCACTCACGACGCGGCAGGCCATTCATCGCAGGTCCCTGTCCAAGCAATTAGCACGCGTATTTGAAGCTTTTGTGTAGAGATCATGCGACAGCGTCAAACATGTTCTTGCGACACATGGGTAGAGATTCCTTACTATCAGGATGTTAGCAGAGTGTTGATAGTGCTCGTAGTCGGTACTTACCACATCATGCCAGAAAATTGGCCCGCTGCATCTGCGATTCTGTTCCATCCTGGCATTCCCTGCGTCATGCCCTGCGTCCTGCCATATGGTCGCGCCGGAAAAGAGCCTTGTCCCCTGGAGGCACCTTTACCCACAGTGTCGGGTTGGTTGGGCTCAGGACAAGCGTTCGTAAACTTCCATCGTGACGGACAGGCTGCATTTCTGCGAGCTTTTTTTCTGTTGTTGTTCTTGTCGAAGTGAAGATCGATAGGAACGCCAAGCTGGTGTACCTGAGCAACGTTGTTGCAGATAGCCGGCAGCTTGTTGCAATTGTATACCAGTGTGGGTTGCGAGGCGGGAGCAGTGGCAACTAGCGTTCCTGAGACGTAGGGTTGGCCATTCACGTTGGTGAACTGTTGTATAGACGTGGATGTAAGGATGAGGAGTAGAAAGCAGAGCCGTACTGTCGTCGCCATAATGATTGCCCTAGAGCTTGTTGTCAAGCCGGACGTTTGGGACGATAGTCGCACAGCTTGAGAGGAACTCACAGTAGATCCCTCCAGGCATACGCTTCGGCTACCGCTGGCTGTGGATGGACGCTACCTACAAAGGCGGAGGAGATGGTCACTGACGATGTCACGTCCGACCACTACAGTACAGTGAAGAAAGATCTTCATGTTAGGCATACCGCCAATACACCCTCAACTCTTGTTCATGGTCGGACAATATGCCTGCTTGCAGCCCTACTGATACCCGTGTATATGCCAATGCTGACCACAGAATTGGTTTTGCGCCTTAGCATACCCCATACGGGGACGGCTGGTACCAACATCAGCCTTGAGATGCGTGTCGGGCTCACCGGCGATCTCAATCAATATCGGTAGATTGCGGTGTAGTTGGGGGCCGTCAGGGGAAGTGTTTCTGCATATTAAGCTGCAGCTCGCTTAGCCCTCCGCTGACCACCCGTTGCGGTAGAACCGTGGATAGTATGCAAGTCATACTCATCGCAGGTAGTCGGATACTCCCACGAGTTCTAGGGAATTCAATTGAGCTCAATACTTTTCACCAAGTGCCTCCAAGATGAGAGCATTCAGTAAGTTCGCCATCTGCGCGCTTCCCCTGTTATCGCTCGTCGCCGCACAGCAACCCATTCTACCCCCATGTCGTCAGAAATTCACAACAAACATCTGGACCAGTTGCGCCGACGTAGTATCTCAATTCCAGCTCAGTGTCGCCAATTTCTTGTACGCAAATCCTCAACTCGGAGCGGGATGTAGCGGCTTCAAGCCTGGGGAGACATACTGTGTTAGTCGCCGTAAGTACGATTGCGGAATACAAAACAACATGGAGTACTGATGTTTTTCCATTAGCATCAAACCAGCGACCAATTTCGATGGACGGAAATTGTGGCATCCAAAACAGAACCGCTGCAACCTGCGTGGGCAGCTCCTTTGGTAGCTGCTGTAATGCCTCAGGACGGTATGAGCACTCTACGTATATATGAAGCACGAGCTGATCTTTGTATTAGATGCGGCAACGGAGAGTCATTTTGCGGCAAAGGCAACTGTCAAGACGGCCTCTGCGATGGCGGTCGATATTCCCTGGATGGCAAATGCGGGCGAGATTTCGACTACCTCCCATGTCCGCCAAAGTTTGGCCTTTGTTGCGGAGGAAACGGACAGTAAGCTTCTCCAGTATGTATGTCCAGTGCCCAGCTTATGTGATTGAAGATGCGGTAACGCCACTGCTTTCTGCACAACACCGGGCTGTCAAAGTGGTCCTTGTCTCGGCGCGTCGTCGACAGTATCCTCTTCTGCAACGCCAACTCCGACTATGAAACCAGGAGGTGTCAGTCCGGATGGTACATGCGGATACAATAAGGCTTTCACATGTAAAAGCTCAACGTTCGGTGGCTGTTGTTCTGCCGCAGGATACTGGTGAGCCAACAGAAATCCATCGCTAAATACCGAACGCTGACCACCGACAGTGGAAATACGGAATATGAGTGCTCTTCGTATCTTGGTTGGTAAGTATCCTGTTGCATCCCTTTTTGATTTCGATGACTTCTAGCTAACTCTTGAGATTTACAGCCAGTCAAAATTTGGTCAGTGCACCTGAAGAGAACCTGGCTTCTCCGGCGACGTGGAGTCTGTTGGGATAACCACTGGAAGGATGCAAAGTTTCGCATCATTTTCACACGCAACTATTAGTTAGGAGCGCTTCGTACGAGTAGTAAATAAGAGTGAAATGCAGCAGCGTAATACCACTTAGGTTGTTTGATTCGATCAAGACCTACTCGGTTTCAGTCGTGTTTTCTCCGCAGCTATGGGTGCTTTTCAAATGCGCAACAACGGCAAACGATTATCCGACAATATCCAATAGTCATCAACGGATCACATAGCTGCTGGACAAAAAGACTACAAGGTAGCTGCTGCTTCTGGCGTACGGGCGGTCATCAACCTTGTCGGATCCGCCCAACCGAAAATCACATTATGTCCAAGGTATCCCAAAAACCATTATATGCCCGGTTGGTAGGCTCTGCAGACAGTAGTCTACCGGAACCATCTATCCCCAGAGGCCTACCATTTCTGTCGGTACACCCGCCTGTGAAGTGGAAAGGTATTTGGGGCGCTGTCAATGCACTGCCCGTAGATGTCGCGGAGCGCTAGTCTACGGCAGCGCAATGCACAGAGCGGTGGAAGTCTGCAGGGTATTCAGTGTCTTACGAGTGTAGAGTCCCCTTTGATGCCAGTGTTTGACCAGATTGAGCATGCGTACGTCATTTGCGGGAGAGCGGTTCCCTCGTATATTACCACGTAGGTCTCACCACGGTACATCAGTCAAGCACCAAGTACCTGGCAGAAACCGGTGAGAAAGACCAATACACGGCGTGATTTTCCCACGTGGCCGAAGGCAAAACGATGTTAGGGCGCTCCACGTGCCGTCCAGGCACACAAGTAAGGAGTGGGGCGTCATGCCAGGCATATCGAAAAAGTCGATGAGGGTATACCGTTGCCGCCCAGGCACTAGTGAGGTGAACCGTTATAGAAGATCATCGCCAGCCCTAGATGCAGTTACTCACTAGTGGAGAAATTGCCTTGCGCTCATTCGCTGGCAAAATAGGTCTTAAGTGAGTCTGGCCCTAAATTCAGGGGTCTTGTAGTGGTGGGCTTGAAGGATTCCGCGGGTCGCCACGTGGAAAGCCATGCCAAGTGCTTTCAATAGGCAGGTGGTATGTATCCCAGCCGTGGCCCACTTTCGGTGTAGACTTTCGCATGCGGAGTGTCAAGATGATGACCCGAGAGTCGAGATAGACGTATATGAGGCGTATGATCGTGATGATGCAGTTAACATACTATTCGCTGTAGCATTGAGCTCCCACTTCTCCGCACTGCTCAATCACAATGGTTTCTTCGGCCAAGCTCGTGGGTCTGGCCACTTTAGTGTCGACCGCGATAGCAAAGCCGGCTCTGAGGGTTCGAGGTGACACCCCTCAGTACTTCGTTGATCCGGCTACGACGCAGTATTGCACATGGTACCATGACAATGCCGACGGAGCGATAACCTGTAACGATGTTCCTGGGGCGTATGGAGCCTCGTGGGAGGACTTCCTTCGATGGGTACGTACCGTCCTCACGTTGTAATGAAGGACCAGACATAGGACCGTGGAGTTCTTCACAAAGAGTGTAGCTCTGCCGTCCGCAGCTAACACTCATTCCAGAACCCTTCTGTTGGCAGCAATTGTGCCGGCTACAGTCCCTTCCAGTCCTACTGCGTAGAAGCGTTTGGCGAACCCACAGGTACCCCCACCGCCAGTGATTACGAGCACAACTCAGTCTTCGACTCGATCTTCAGTCGCCCCGTCCTCGACCGGAAACGGCATCACCACCCCTCTACCCACGCAGCCGGGCGGCATGGTTACAAACTGCAACAAGTTTTACCTTGTAAAGACAGACCAAGGGTGCAACGAAGTCGCTTCTCTGAACAACTTGTCCTTTCAGCAGCTTCTCTCTTGGAACCCCGGCGTCGGATCCAACTGCGAAGGTCTTTGGGCGAACGTAAACGTGTGTGTAGGCGTAGTCGGGTTCACGGCTACACCCACACCTACACCGTCCAAGACATCGTCCCGTCCTACAACACCGACGCCTACCAATGGCGTCCAGACTCCATTGCCGACTCAGCCGGGAATGGTGAGCAACTGCGACCGCTTCTACTTCGTCCAGTCAGGAGACGGGTGCCAGAATATCGCAAATGCCAACTCGATCACACTTGCGAACTTCGTCGCATGGAATCCCAACGTCAAGAACGACTGTAGCGGCCTGTGGGCTAATGCATACGTCTGCGTGCGGGTCATTGGTTTCGTACCACCCACGCCGACCACCAGTCGCACCACTCCATCGACTACGACGCGCGGCAATGGCGTCACTACCCCGACGCCTACTCAGGTCGGAATGGTCAGTAACTGTAACAAATTCTACTTCGTCAAAGCAGGCGATAACTGCGAGATCATTGCGAGTGCGCAGAAGATCACAGTCGCAAATTTCGTGAGATGGAACCCGGCAGCGAAGAGCGACTGTACTGGACTGTGGTCTAACACGTATGCCTGTGTGGGGACTTTGTAGCTCGAGATCTCGGGGACGACTTGATGACGCCAAGCATATGTAGTGTTTTCCGCAATGTAGCCCCCATGCTTATGTGCTCAGGCACGCTTGATGCCATGACCGTCTCTTGTGCGCTTCCATCCTGCTGGAGTAATTTCCTTGATAGGCCCATTGTAGTCGTTCCGTGTCCTCTTCTCTGCAGACACGAGCCGCTCGCCCACCATCTCTTCATTGCGCCATTGGGTGCTGAGAGCCACCATGGGATGTTCTGCCACAGCTTGTGCAGCCCACTCTTTCCCACTCTGTGCAGGCAGTCTCGACTCCACACATCCAGTAGCGAACGAACTTAATCCATCTCTCTCTGCAGCCAGTATCTGCGCTGGCAGTCTAGCGCCGCCTATATCGTCTTTCCATACAAAGCCTTCGGAAAGAGCTTCGATTTGATCTGTGTTAGAAAGCACATATTCCGAGCCGTCGTATAGTCGCATGATGTACTTGCCAGAGGAGAGTGTAGGACCGAATCGGAAGACTGGAAATGCCCAGATTATTCTTCCAACCACATCTTCACGAAGCTGGGTCTGGCATTGCTGGTACGCACCGTCGCCCTCCAATCCCACCACGAGGTAGATTCGCGAATCTTTGAGAGCTTCGCCCTGTTGAGAAACGAGTCGCTCTAGGCCAGTAGTCATGGACGACAACGCAAGTCCTTCGGGCTGTCCTGGGTGCTTTGCATGGCTCGTGTAGTCGGCTTGTCCACACATTTGGATCTGTGGGCCGCCAAACCCGCAGTTGACAACCAACGATTTGAGGTGTGGCGTGGTGACAGTGGTGAAATCGTCTTCCGTAGTGCCATCTTCTCGGGGCATGTGCAGCTTCTGATCAGCGCTGAACATTGCGCTGCACATTGCGCCAACCCGAATGCGCACGTGGTGCATGCGAGGAAGCAGGGTGCGTACTGCATCGCAAACGTGGGCCTTCTCGTCTTCCTCACGATGATCCTGGGCATGGGTGTCCATCTCCAAGTTTGTGCAAGTGGCTGGCAAAGCTTCGAGAAGCGCAATAAGCGTCGCTCGTCGGACCAAACGATATGCTGATGGCGCCACATACAGACTGAACGACCTAAGATCCACAAGACTGGGAATCATCGGCACCAGCCGCTCGAGCATTTCATCGACTGCCGTTGGGGTTGATGCAGGATAGGGAGAGCCCAACGAAACGCCAAAACCGGAGAAGTCAGAACTCATGACCGGAGGACCGTGTGGTCCAGTGAACATGGCAAGTGTTGAGGGGTGAACACCGCTGTCGGCCTCAAAGCGCGCGGTCAGCGAGCGAACATGTTTGCCGTATGTCGCTGCGTTGAAGGAATCGACGAATGGAGTTAATGTCGTGTTGGTGAGCGCGATGTTGCCGTAGAAAACCGGCAAGCCCAGATGCTGCCATCGTTTGCTGACGAGGGTAAAGTTGAGTAGGTCGACGGTGGTACCTCCCACGCGTTTGAGTTCAGTCGCGATTGCGACGACGAGGTCGTCCGGCAGGTTAAACCGAGTGGAGTGTGTCATCGCACCAGAATGTCGCTGTTGTTCGTTGTGGTCGAGGCCTGATATTGAGGCTTGATGTTGACAGGTGGTCAGGCGGAAAGCCTAGCTTATGCTGATAACCCCGCTATTCAAACTTGGTAAGCGCTGAAGCACACGGTGAAAGGAACACGAAAAGGCCAACGACACCTTGTGTGCTTTTGCACCAACTCTAAAGTCTACACAGTGCTTGTGCTAGTCTTAGACAATTCCTCGTTCCACCATAGCGATCAAATTAGTGCGCTATACGATCGTGCAAACGTGAAGCTGTAGTTCTTGCCGCCTGACCTCAACCCAATCAGAGACTTTTCAGCATCTTGAAGGGCTTTATCAAGAAGAATCAGCAGGAGTATAAGAGTAACGCTAAGCAAGACTTCGCGTCATCTCTGGAATGCTGCATCAGTGCTGCGGGCAGCAGGGAAGACATTGCCAAAGCCCACTTTCAGCATGCTAGAATCACGATGGAAAAATATTGATACAGGGGCAGAAAAAGCGAGAGATACAAAGGTAGATTCTGCGTCTAAACTACGAAGATGTAACGTCCAAGAATACTGCGTCTGGTGCTGGTTGGGATGGATGATGCCTGAGTCTCAGAGTAGCATCGAAGATAAGTGTGTGATGGATTGTAAGTAACCCTTGGTAATGAGCCTGCCGTTTCTTCCTACAGGAGTCCCGCCTCTCCCGTTGAGGATGTGAGCTCAGTACACCACACCACAGTAACGTGGGGAAAACACTAACAAACTTCAGAGGATACTTTGTTGCCTACAATGTAAGTAGTTCTCAACTGAACTCCAACTTTAGATATTGTAGCAGCTACAACTTCTATAGTAAAGCCAGTCAGCCTGAAGGTCGCTCATCCACCACTTCCCCCAAACCTGAGAGCCCGCCACCGCACATCTCACTCAAGACCACAAAATCGAACACAACGCTTGCATAAGGGTATATACACATCTCCATATAAACACGCTCAGCCCAGCCCCACTGAAGAAAGAAAAACACCCCAGGACCACGAGCCTACCAGAGCGTTCGTGCGACCATTTTGGCCATCGCTAACCGCCTTTTTGGATAATTGTTGTGGCCGTTACGTGCCTCAGAGCAGGAAGCGGGAGAGGAACCTGGCGTCGGAGCGCTTCTTGTTGCCGCCGCGGCCGTTGCCTCCGCGTCCGTTTCTGTTGCCGGCGCCGGCGTTTCCACCAGCGGCAGCATTGTTGCCTCCCGCAGCAGCATTGTTGCCTCCCGCAGCAGCATTGTTGCCTCCAGCAGCGGCGTTGTTACCACCTGCAGCGGCGTTGCCACCAGCGGCAGCATTACCACCAGCGGCGTTTCCACCAGCGGCGTTACCACCAGCAGCGTTGCCTCGGTTTCCACCGCGGTTGCCGCCATTGGCATTGCCTGCATTCTGGCCCTGACCCTGCTGTCCTTGGTTCTGCTGACCCTGATTCTGCTGACCATTCTGCTGACCGTTCTGCGCATTACCATTACCCGCAGCGGCGGTCTGAGTAGCAACCGCAGGCGCAGCCGTGGCCGAGATGAGCGCTGTGAAAGTCAGCCTTGAACGAGCACATAACGCGCGAGACGGAGGAAGGGGACGCACCTGAGATGGCGCTGGCACCCTCGTTGCCACCGGCGGCACCAGCAGCCTGGTTCGCCGCGATGGCGACGGGCAGATCCTGCTGGTTCTGCAGGATCTGGTTGGAGATGCCTTGGAGGGTTTGTGCTGTGTCGACACCTACCGCAGGTGAGTCTATGTGCGGCGGCTGGGGAATGAAAAGCGGAACGTACCTGCTGCGGTCGAGTCTTTGCGGCCCTGGCCGTCGGTCTGCTGCACGGCGAAGCAGCCGCCGAAGGGGCCGGCTACGGCTGCGTTGCGGCAGCGCACGGTGCAGATGTTGCCGGTCGAGGCGCCGATGCAGTTGAAGTTGTCGGGCATAGCGACGCTGATGGTGAAGTCCTGCTCCTTGGCCTGGGAGAGTCCATTCGCACCAGGGACGTTGTTTGCAACCTTCAAAGGCACAAACTTGGTAGCAGCATTGCTAGTCTCGTCGAGGTCGCACTCGTACGGCCCGGCACCGTCAGCGTTGACCTGGGAATGTTAGTCTTGAGAGCATCTAAGTAGTGAATCACTGACCTGGTGGATAGTGACGGTCATGACGGTGCCTGACGAGACGGCAGTGACACGGTTGGCAGCCAGCTCGTTCTCTGTCTGCTCGCCGACATCGATGTTGCCATTGATCTCCGTGCGTCCGCACGAGTTCACAATGTTCTGCGTGATCTCAGAGTTGCGAATAATGGTGGAGTCTTGCTGGCAAGGCGAGATGGTTGTGCAATTACGGGCCAAGTTCTGGTCGACTGTGCTGTGTCAGCGTATTCCTCATATCGAAGCAAGATGCCTACCCAAGAAGCCCTGACTCTGGCCCTTGTCGCCCACAGCTGCGAGGATGACTCCATGAGCGTGGACGTTGGCAGCAAGAGCGATGATGGCGATGGCGGGAGCTGAGTAATACATTGTAATTGAAGTTAGAATAGATAGCGTCCGGCGCTTGAATAGAATAGAAGCAAGAAAAGAGTGAAGAGAACGATGGACTGTGGAGAGCAGCTGATCAGTGATGAGTGTGCTTTGCGGAACTACAAGTGGACCTATATACTCTCCACCAGAGGCAGGATGAACGCTGGGAGCGAGCAAATCTGCTCAACACCAGGGGTGCCCACACCCACGAGACAAGCTCCTACCACGGCGAGGTGAAGGATGCGTATGGGACAGCCTGACGGTGCCTCAGAGCCCCTTGAAGAGGGTCTTCGGAAAGCAGATGCTGCATCTGACGCGCTGCACGACGACTAGGCGGGCTCCACCACGCGCTCCTTCACGGGATGTCCTCGCCAGCGTGGCGGCGCGTAGCTGCCATGATGAGGCGCACCCACCAGCCTCAAACCTCGCGAGCCGGTCTGGAGCTAGACGCGCTGCAAGCGGTAAGCCGCGGCGGGTGCCAAGGAAGTCTTGCCTGTGCTTGCTGAGTGCTGAAGCAATCCGGGTTTGGAGATTTTGTGTCAAGTTTCGAAGCAGGCGGCAACACGTTATGTCGAAACACGACAGCCGGTCCCGATGTATCTCCTGTCCGGACGTGTGCCGACACTCGGCTACAGGGAGCGATCAAACATTGTGCGAGTTATGTAGCTGCGAGGTTGGATTAGCCTTAGGACGCTGGTGTTTGAGGTGAGGCGCCGTTGGAGTGGGTCCTTTCCGAGACGAGCCCTTGTGTCAGCGCATCGTATGCGGAAGTTGCGAGGCGGCGCCCACAATGCGAATGACGGTGTCAGGCGATGTCTGGTTGCTGCGAGGAGGACTGTTTCGAGGCGCATTTGATCGGCAATTGCAGCCAGCCTGCGCATATCAATGCTTGTACTGCAAAGCTTAAGCGATTTGAGTAGAAGTGCTTGATGTTGATTCAGAGCGAGAAGGGAACTCGACATAATTATGTTCCAGGGTGACTTGCACGCCCTTGTCGAAGATGTTGAACTTGCAAAGACAAGGTAAGTCTTGAGTCTTGAGTTTTGATGTCGTGTGGCGATGCGCAATCCAATGAGCTCAACGGGCTTTCATCATCTACAGACAGTGCGATCTGGGCGAATTGACGTTTCCAGCTTCAGAAGCATTGAAGATGACCATACTAGACTGTACCTCCAACAAAGCAATCAAATCCTGAGTCTTGACATCGAAAAGCGCAGCGCTGCCGCGCCGCGCAATACCGAGCCTCTGACGCTTCAGGAAACACGGCGAAGGCGCAACCTCAACTACCTTTAACACAGAAGTTGTAGCCATAACAATACTTGAAGCTAAAATCTACTTCAGCACTACTTACATTGGAGGTAAGAAAGTACACTGTAGAATATTTCTACGTTCTCCCTACCTTGCTATTGTGTAGTAAATCTTGGCTCACATTTAAATCCGCCGTTGGTCCTGCAACATGAGAGCTCACCTAGTGGAGCTCCCGCGACCGAGCCAATCGCCGCGCTCCCCTCAGCATTCAGCCCTACAGAATCAGACCACTCCCAGCATCACCAAAAACCACCTCGCGCGGCGCAAACCTCGCAATCCCACTCTCCGAATTTGCATCCCACATCTGCCCGCCATGAACACCGTACGCGCCTTGTTTCCGCAACAGAGAAATCCCCGCTGACACCCGCAGGTCAAATCCGTCTAGTACGTCACCACGCGCACCTCCGAAGCCGTCCGCCCAAGCATGCAATCCACTCCCCACCCAGCCCCCGTTCCTGTCTACGAGTCAATCAGAACGATGCAATCAGAACGATTCAAGCAGAGCGATCCAACCAGAACGATGCACCAAGAACACCACAACACATACCTGAAACATTGAATCACCGCGTACACACAGCTAACCCCCCACAGCTACGGCTGGGCGACCCTGATCGCCGCCGGCGGCGGCGCATACTACTTCGCGAAGAAATCGATCAACGCGGAGCGCGCAGCCAAGGCGGAGGCGGACCGCCAGAAGCGCGTGCGGCAGTACCAGCTCGAGGCGGCGCACGGAATGCACGGCCAGTCCCCCTCGAATGGCGCATCCTCGAATCCTACAGTAGGACCCAACGCAGTCGTCAGCGCCTCCACCTCCACCGCGCAGTACAAAGGCGACAAGCAGGGTGTTGCACAAAGCATACGCAGCGAGGACGAGAGCGGCAGTGCGAGTGTGCAGGCGAGCCGGGATCCGGCGGCGACGCGGCACGCGCCGGCGAGCGAGGGGGCGGAGAAGAGCAAGTACGAGGCGAGCGACGTGTATCGGACGCGCAAGGGGGATCGGTTTTCGTAGGCGGGTGGCGGGGTGCGCTGAAATAAATGGCAATGGGTGGATTGGGGGGGTTGTATTATATCACTGTACGGATTGAACGCTGCTTGACATGCGGATATGTGGAACGGAAACAATTCATTGCTGCGCCCAAACGCCTCGCGAGGGTATACGCTCGTCTCCGCGGTGCTGCACTATCTGTCTATGTACTACCTAGGCGAACATGCCGCTGCGCGGGCTGTCGCGCCGCTTCTCGTACAGCCACTTGTTGTTGAGGCCCACGCTCGCCTTGCCCGTGGCGGGCGTCGGGGTGCCCGGGCCCGAGCTCGCGGCGCTGTCACCAAACAAACTGCTATTAAACGGGCTCGCGCCGCCGTAGCTGGACCGCCTGTTCGCCGACCCGCTCAGGCCGGGCGAGTACGACGCGCCCGACGCGGACCGGCCCAGGCCCGAACCGGGGCTGCCGGAGCCCAACAGCGGGCGGTCGCCGTGGGCGCTGAAGCTGCTGCGGGGCGTGGAGCGCGAGTAGCGCGGCGGGGTGACGTAGGCGGGCGAGGCGTAGGCGGAGCCGGGGGTGGCCGAGGCGCTGGGCTTGAGGCCCATGGAGGAGCGCTGCGAGGGCGTGAGGGGGATGTCGACGATGTCGTCGGGGTAGTAGCGGCGCACGAGGGGCAGCAGGGCGGACACGACGTTGACGGCGAAGAAGAGGCGGAGGGCCAGGACGGCCCAGTCGCTGTACGGGACGTGCGTGAGGAGTGCGTTGACGGGGGCCCTGTGCGGTCAGCGCGAGCGGAGCGGTGGGGGTCGCGGTGCGTACGCGGCGTAGTCCAGCAGCTTCACCTTGGCGGTCACGGCGTTGGCCAGGAACGACGCGGCGAGCAGGCCGGCGTTGGCGACGACGACCTTCACGTTGTGCTCGTCGAAGGTGGTGGCGTACTGGCGGCGCGTGATCTCGTCGAACTGCGGGTGCTTCCAGGTGCCGTTGGGCGTGTGCAGCTGCTGCGGCGAGCGCGGCGTCGGCGTTGCGGGCGCGGCCATGGAGAGGGCCATTGGCGATGAAACCGGCCGGGCGCTGCACTGTCCTGTGGTTAGTAGTGGGGTGGTGGCGGCGGGCAATTATCGCGGCATGGTCTCGGTGGTGGTGACGGTTGTCAAAACAATCGACGCTGGTCGGCGGCTCGGGGCTTTCTGCCGCGGCTCCACCGCACTAGCGCAATGGACAGCGGGAACGCCCCGCCGCTACTAACAGCTGTCCCAGCTGCGGCTTCACTGCTCCTAACTTCCTACACAAATCTACCTCCACCATGCCGGGACTTCTGGAACAGCTGGACGGGGCCATCTCCGACCTGTTCCAGGGCTGGAACGCCTACTCGACCGTGCTGCTCGTCGGCCTCGTCGGCTTCGTCGGCTGGATCGTCGCCAACAACGCCGATGCTGACACGCACCCGCTGCTGCTTGCCCGCCAGGCGCAGGCCTCGTACGTGAGGCAGCCGGGCGAGTCTGCTGTCTTCCGCTCGCCGGAGACGCCCCATGGCTGTAAGTTCTCATGGACAATTTTTTGCCAAATGCTCCGCTGACCGACCAGACCCGCTGCGCACCGGCCTCGCCGTGAAACCCCCCGGCGCCCCCATGTACTCGGCCGGCAAAGATGGAGACCTGCGAGACATCTGGCGCCGCGTGACGGGCGAGATCCCGCTGGACAAAAAGGCCAGCTCCAGCGGCACCGCCACCATCAAGACCGTCTTTGGCAAGGAGGACGTCTCCGAGCACAACATCCCGGGCGTCACCAAGGAGATCGCCATTGTCGGCAAGCACCTGCAGGAGCACAGCGCCAAGCGTGTAGCCGTATACCTCCCCAACAGTCTCGAATTCCTGGCCGTTCTGTTTGCCGGCGCCTTCTACGGCTTCACCCCGATCCTCATCCCCTACAACCAGCCACATGCCACCCTCGTCGAGCTGCTGCAGGCGACTGGCGCCGACTCCCTCATCGCACAGGCTGGATCGGTCCCGCTGGCTGACGTCACCCGGAGCGTGCCGGCGCTGCGCCAGATCGTGTGGACGGTCGAGAAGACGAGCCGGCACATGGACTGGAGCGAGGTTCCCGAGGGCATCGGCGGCAAGGTCGACGTCTCTGTCTGGCACGAGCTGGTGCAGGACTCGAAGTACACTGAAGACGCACTGCCGGCGGACGGCGGCAAAGCCCCAGGCGTCGTCTTCCTTTGGCAAGAAGCCGCCGGCAAGCCCGCCGAGATCGTCGAGTTCACCCAACAGGTATGTTCTTGTATCTCCGCAAAGACCAACACTAACCACCACAGAACATCTCCTCTGCTGTCGGCGCGCTCATCACCTCCCTGCCCACCGCACAGCGCTTCTCGGCCTCGGACACACTCCTCCCCGCCGACGCCTTCACAGACTCGTACTGCCTCTGCCTGACCCTCGCAGCCCTCTTCTCCCACTCCACCGTCATCATCAACTCCGTCGCCGGCCCCGGCGTCGACCTCGCCCTGGCCACCCGCTCGCTCTCCCCCACCATCCTCGTCGCCTCCGCCTCCTCCGCCGCAGCCCTGCACAGCGCCACCGCCGCCACCGCCACCGGCGCCCTGACCCGCCTCGCACACTACATCGAGACGCGCGCCCTGGCCGCCGGCCGCCTGCCCACAGACTCGCTGCTCGCCCGCCTCGCCGCCCCGGCCCGCGCCCTGGCCCCGGGCCCCCTGCGCCTCCTCTTCGCCGCCGAGCGCGCCGGCCTCAACACCCCCGCCCTCTCCGCCCAGGACCTCGCCGACCTGCGCGTCTTCACCCGCGCCCGCGTCGTCTACGCCCTCACCGCCGCCCCCGTCGCCGGCGCCGTCGCCCAGACAAACATGTACGACTACCGCGTCGCCGGCCCCGCGGCGCGGCACAGCCACTTCGGCGTGCCGCTGAGCTGCGTCGAGGTCAAGGTCAAGGACACAGCCGCGCTGAAGACCACGGAGGAGCAGAGCGTGGGCGAGCTGGTGGTTGTGGGGTCGTCGGTGCGGGGCGGGCAGGCGGCGCTCGGGTTCAACGCGCGGTTCGGGGATGATCATACGGTCGCGTATGTGTAGATAGATAGTGTACGCGGGCTGCTAGCCGAGAATGAATCGAGTGATGCAGAAGGAATTGTGTTTCGTATGCGTGATGTGTGATGCGTGGGTATATACATGACCGTGCCCTTCCCTCCGCCAGACCCGCTTCCACCGCCTAGCCTAGTCCACACCCCCTCCCTCCTCTTCATCCTCCTCCCCCTCCAACGGGGGGGTCCCCAACACCGCCCCACCCAACGACACCCCCGGCACCCCCGCCTCCCTTAGCGCCTCGAACAGCGCCCCAAACGCGCCGGCCTGCCACTCCGCATGCGGCAGCGCAGGCAGCGCAGCCACGGCAGCCAAAAACCCTGGCACCGCGGCCTCGCCTGCCTCGTCGCGCAGCATCGTCGTGAGCGCATCGAGCAGCTGCGGTGGGTCGTGGACATCGATGGGTTCCATGTCCAGGTCCATGTCTGAGTCTGAGTCTGCGTCTGCGTCGTCCTCGTCCTCGTCGTCATCTTCATCAGTGACCCACTCGCCATCGTGCATACCCACATCCGTGTCGTCATCCTCATCCTCGTCCTCGTCGAGGAACTCCGAGTCCGACGCGGTCGCGCTGTCCCAGTCCGGGTCGCGGTGGGCGCGGCCGCGGGTGAAGCGCGCTTTGCGCGTGGTGAGGAGGCGGTGGGTTGTGTTTCTGAGCAGGCGGATTGTGGAGAGGGGGAGGAGGGGGGTGTCTGTCAGGGGGGTGTCTGCGGGGAGGGGGGCAGCTGGGGAGGGGCTTGGAGGGTCAGCCTGGACTCCGGGCTGGACTACGGGCTGGTCGTCGGGAGAGTCTTCGTCGTGCGCGGCGTACGTGTCTGCGTCTGCGTCTTGCTCCGCGCGGTGCCGGAAGCCGACGCGCGACGCGTCGTACAGGACTTGCACTTCGGGCGCCGGCTCGCCGTGCAGATAGGGCGGGATGAGCGAGGAGCCGCGGCCCAGCTCGATGGCGACGCGCAGATTGATCCCGTGCTGCGCCAGTGCGTACGCGTAAGCGTGGCGGCTGCGCAGGCGCTCCGGCGCGCAGATGTAGTCGGCGGTGGCGTGTTTGTTCAGCGACGCGGCGGACTGGCGCAGCTCAAGGACTGTGAGTGAGGGGATCGCGGTGTAGATGCCGGTCGGGGGGTGGTGGTCGAAGAAGTTCTCGACGACCCAGAAGTGGCGGCGCAGGATCAGGGTCGAGAGGTTGGGTGGGCACAGCTGCGGGGTCATAATGATGGCGGAGTGCAGGAAGGAGTCGGTGTCGCACTCCAGCGTGGTGAGGGAGCGGAAGGATCGCATGCCGTTGCCGGAGATCTGGCGGCGGCTGATGAGGTGCTTGTCTGGGTTGAGGCGCCATAGTGAGTCGAGATGGGTCAGGGTCTCTAGAGAATGGGCAACGGGTGCGATGGCCTCGAGGGCGGCGAGTGGGTCTGGTGTGAGCTTCGGTGATAGTGGCACCGTACGGTTGACGTTGAAGACGTTCTCGCCGATGGTCAGGTGCTTAAGCTGCCGGGGTGTGCTCAGGAGGTGCTTCAAGCTCTTGGGCTCGATATTGCACTCGTCGAAGATGAGCGTCGTTAGCGGCGTCGTGCCCTTGTGCGGCTCCAGCAGGTCCAGCGTCTCTGGAAACGTCACACAGGACACGTGCAGATATCGCAGGCTCGGATGGCGGAAGAGGCAGTGGAAGCCGTCCAGGTCCCAGAAGTCGGCGTGCGCGCCGTGCGAGTGGATAGTGAGCGACTCCAGCTGCGCCAGCCCGACCGTCCGCGGCATGCTATTCCACAGACTGCGGTCTGCAGCGAAGCGCGCCAGTTCCTGCGCGCCGTCCACGCACGCCTTCTCCAGCGCCAGCCGGAAGTGCTCCATGTCGCCGTTGACCCACTCGTGGCCGCCCTTCTCCCACTTGAAGTTGTCGTACGGGCTCTCGATGTGCCAATTGCGCAGATTGACCATCTGCGCGACGCACTCGTTGAAGGCGCGGCGACGCTCCAGGCTGACCTCGAGGCGCGGATTCCATCGGTACAGGATCTTGAGCGTCTGCACGGCGCGGACGCGTTCGTGGCGCGCGGCAAAGGCAGCGATGACGCGGTGCAGGTCGCCTACTGACCGCAGCTTAATCGTCTTGTAGATGTGCTCCTCCGCGAGCTGCTGGAAGTCCCGACATGTCTGCGCGAGTTGGCAGAGCGTGTATTTGTCGTACTGGAGCTGCTGCACCACAGCGAGCGTCAGCTCGTTGGGCAGGCGGCTGTCGAAGCTGCCGAGCAGGTCTGAAGCCATGGCAGCTCGGGGTCTATTGAATTGCGTGTTGGCGCGTTGGAGCGCGTTCAGTGCGGGAAGGTTGCAGCGGGGCACTTTTATGTGGGGATACAAATGACGTTGGCCCCGCGTTGCACTTTCACTGACACGCTCCACCGCGCGGCACTAGGCAGCAGCACAACTTTGACACAGAACTTGTAGCCATTATGATAACTAAAGCTAAAACGTAGTTAAGCATTACCTAGATTGTCGGTAAAAAGGTACTCTACAGAATCTCCTACCGTTTTTCCAATTTTACTGTCCTACAGTGGAATACCTAGCTCACATCCTAACACGGTAGGCTACCGTTTATCCTGCAACGTGAGAGCATGGTTCACATTATTGACACTAGCCGTGTTTCAAAATGACTTGATAAGATAGGTAACGTTTGCTACCTAGGTACTACCACGCAGTCACGTGTGTTTCCAAGAAGCTGGATAGTCCAAAACGCCCACCATGCGGTTCGCCAACCGTGTCCAAACGCCAAAGCCAAGATCAAGAGCAAGTATGCTGGGTATGATGAGAAAGAACCGCGAAACAAGGACGCTCGTTGAGTTTGAAGCCTAGATGAACAGTCAGAACAACGTCGTGTTATGATGGGTCCAAGCAATTTACCTGCACTCAATGAGCACACTGATGAAACTGGCTCGAGCAATACACGTTCTCCCTATACATTGTCAGCACGTCCCTTACATTTTGATATTGAGTGGCCGGATAAGAACTCTCCCGGCACCACAATTACATTCACGTACCTCGTCAGATAACTTCCATCGGCCTTGGCCCGCCTGGTCTCCAGCAGCGGCGGCACAAACGGGAGTGCGAGTGCAGACACGACGTAGCCGGTCGCCAGCGTAGCCTTGAGGCGGTAATGCGGGTCGCGCGGGATGGACGTTGAGTAGCGGCGGATGGAAGCGACGGCGTGTGTTGAGAGAGCCATTGTGTTTGACTGGAGCTAGCCGGGTTCCAACTGTATAAACTCGGACTGTACAGAACTCGGACTATGTCGACTTGAAAGCTGGACTCTTATAGAGGTTGGCGGGCTAGGCAGCTGTATATAAAGTGGGCCTGAGGCTGTGGGGCTTGCTGGTCAGCTGTGTTGGGCGTGGAAGTTTAAAACGAATTGCCAGGGACGCTCTGCTTTATGGCAAGGGGACTCACGATCTAGCGTGCGATGATGCAAAGCGGTTCCGAGTCAGGTGGGCGTAGGGCTGCAGCAGGAACCAGGAAGCGGAGGAGCTCCTCTTTGTAGTAACCTATGAATGCAGCGACTGGTGCAAGGTTGCTAAATCCGATCCGACGTGCTCAATTGCCGACGCTGAGTGATTGCTTTTAAATCTCGTACCTGACAAACTCAACCCGGGAGAATCTTTCGCAGTAGTCGGGAAAGCCTGAAGGTAGTTGTATTGTAAGCCGGCATATGTGGGGTAGCCCATCAGTGTGGGCACCCGACGTGACTCTATCCGCGAGGAATACCCGCTGCGGTCGGCGCATCAGCCCACTCTCGTGCCATGGTGACTCCAGCGCGGCGGCGGCAGAGGGAAAATCCGGCGACACCTGCTGTTCGTGGCACTTGTTTGTCAGATGCCAGCGCGATTAAGGCGGTGGGCGCATTTGTGAGCAGCCGATCACGACATTGCGAGCGATTGCGTGCCTGTCAGATGTCATGTTTCAGCGCCCGAAGCTGTGTCAGCTGTATTGCTGGATCCCTGATTGGACAAGGCAGGCTACGCTGGGCACATTGTGAGATGTGAGTTTCAAGCACACGTTGCTGATTTGTGAAGCTCATCTCGCAATGTTTGTTTGCTCGATACCGCATCTTGAGGACTGTGACCACACGCGGCAGTCCCACCCGCAATCAACTAGCGTCTGTCAGTGTCCCCACATACCCGCCTTTCTGCGACCGATCTTGAAAGTGACGAAAGTACGATTGATCTTCAAGTGACGGCAGTGCGATTCATGCTCTTGATCTTAATCTTTTCATGGTATTACGGTGTGAACACGCACGCGCGTAACGCACATTTTGTGAAAAGAGCTGAGGACATACACACAGTCCCAGCAACGCCTCAAGGCCGCTCATCTCTAGCCTTAAGCCATCGGCTTCCTCGCCACGCAACCGGTCAGTTGCCTCAAGGCCATCAGCGCCTTCTGCTGCTCCCATTCCGTTGGCCATCCGACCTCTACCGCGCCCTTCCCATTCTCTCGACTCAGCCTCCGCGGCACGGGAATGTTGAAACCATCTCCGTCGACGAATCCATACAGGACGAAGTCCAGGTAGTACTTCTGCACATCCAACCCCCGCTTGATGCTCTCCATGATCACAATGTCGACCGCACTCTCCATCCTCTTCCCTTCCACGTCCCATCCCTCTCTGCTCAGCAATCCCCACTGCTCCTCAGGCACACCGTTCTCCACCTCATCGTCCAACCAGGTATGCGTATCAGTATCCAGATCCTCGCTCAAATAAGTCCGAACCAGGATCTCCGTAGCCAGATCATAATCGATCCTCATCTTCCCCATCAACACCTTCCACAGCATCTCCAGCCCCTCCTGCGACAGCAGCATATGACTCAACTCAGCAATCCCATTCCCCAGCACCGGATCCGACAGCCGCATATCGAGCTTGACCAGCAGCAGCAGAAACACCAGCACCTCGTCGTCGCTCCAGATGCCGCGGTCCGCGAGAAACGCCTCCCGCAGCGCGCCCTTGCGGCACTCCATCACGCACCAGAACTTGCACAGCACCGCGAACGCCTGCCGTGGGACCCGGTGGCCCTCGCCCGCCAGCGACGTGAGGATCCCCCGCACCATCCGCTGCCGCGCCAGCACCATCCCCACCCACCGGAACCCGGGCACGTCGCGCGCTAGCCACGACCGCCCGTCCATCGGCCGCAGCATGGGGTCGCTGATGCACAGGTGCGGGAACAGGATCCAGGCGAAGATGGGCGCGGCGACCGGCGCGTGGTACAGCGCGTACTCGTGGATCAGGCCGACGGAGTATTTGTTCAGGCGGTAGTGGAATTCCTTGTCGATGCTGTAGAGGGACACGATGGTGCGGTAGGGCAGCCGGATGCAGAACTGAAAGAAGAGGTTTGGGTGCCGCAGCAGCGATTTGTAAATGTTGAAAGGCTGCACGCGGAGGCTGGAAGAGCGAGGGAGTGGCGGTGGGTTCTTGGGAGGGAGTACAGATGGGAGTGGGACAAGCATGCCGGGCGGCGGCGGTGGTTGCTCGACGCCCCAGACAGTTGCTGCAATATTACGACGGCGGTGGCGGTGGCGGCGCATCATTTGTGGTGCATCTGAGCCGCTCGATGATGGAGCAAAGACGGAGGCGGTAGGTGAGAAGCCGTCTGCTGTGCGCTTCTTGCCATGGGGATCCATTGCGACTGGCTGGCGGGTGTGGTGAGAGTCGAAGTATTCAGAGTCAGAAGGTAAGTCGGATGTGCTGTTTGTAGGTCAGAGGGACGCCGCACGGGCTCCAGGCAGCCGCCAGGTAGGTGAAGGGAAGCTTTGACATGACCACAAAGTTTTATACGTGTACCAAAATTGTCAATTTGGTCGTGGATCATAATCCGTCCTTGAACTACCTAACTTGTTTCGCTGATTCGTGTGGAACAGCGTTTCGCAAAGGTGTAACATGCTACACATGTCCTTCCTCCAATAAAGCACTTCGCAGAGAGACATGAACCTAGGGTTCATTGGTACAGCTGTCAAAGCCGTTGATGATCACCTTCGCTTCACGCTTGAACGAGTTCTTCCACTCCGGAAATAGCCCAACGAGGTCACCCTGATACTTGTCCATGACCTGATCAACCAACTTGCGCGTCTTGCAAGGCTTCAGCTCACCCACTGTAAATCCAAACTGGTGGTCATAATCCGTGCCCCAGGTCTCGATGTGCAGATAGTTCTGAATCACCCAATCGCCAACACGGCCAACCGGGAGGTTGATCTGGTGCGGACTGTCAGTACTTAAATACATTTTGAACAGAACAGGGCGGCACTCACACGCACGAGCTGCGGTACATTGCAGTACACACCCGTATACCTTCCAGGTACACCGTAGCAGTTGTAACCGTTCGATTCGAGCGTGTACGCCCGCAGCGTATCAGCAGCTAGCTGCAGCATGACGGTGCGAATCCCCTCATTTGCAAACTGTCCGTTCTCGACACGCACCCACGCAGTCCGCGGTTCCACCTGCCACCATGGATCGCCCTTGATGAGTGCGTTGGTCGCGAAATACCGCCAACCGTGTGGGTGGTAGGGCGAGCCAGGGCAGATGCCGGCACCGCTGTTGCGCAGAGAGGGAGGGCAGACTTTGTTCAACTGGTTGAAGATGGCGTCCGAGAGGTTGGCACCGCGCGTGTCGCCGTAGTTTACGGGCCTACGTTGGGAGCCGCCGGTCCAGATCTCAACGGTCGCCCAACCGTGGTAATCGTAGGATGGGTCATATCCGAGTGTCGAGACGTCATCTGAGACGTGTGTTAATAGGGAATACGTCGCGAGAGGCACCACAGGAGCATACTTGAAGAGCTGGTGATGTTGCTGGTGTGGTCGGTAAGGGCGCCGACGATGGGCTCGACGTTGTCGGTGGGAGGTGCCGGTGCCGCAGACGCGAAGGTCGCAAAGCAAAGGGCCAGTCCACAGAGGACAAAACTGGTGAAGAGCTTCATATCAAAGCTACAGGCTGTATGTATTCAACTGGGGTGAGGCTCTAGTCGAGCAGTTCTGTGTTGAAGAGAGGAGTAAGACGTGCTGTCGGGGAGTACAGTGGGGCTAGTAACAAACAAATTTGCAGGTGCGACGCAGAGCATCAAGTGAAGGTAGGTCGCGGCGTGTACATAATGGAAGCTACATCCACCCATGCAGCAGCTATCGGAAGCTGCAGTGAGCGCATTTTCGCACAAGGTCGCACTGGCATTTCACTGGTCTACACAATGAGAAATATTCAGTTCATTCATGGTATCTCGAGGCTGCAGTTCTGTCTCCGTTCATCTTTTCTCGAAAGATCGGACGATCAGAGCTGCCAATCTAAGTGAGTTCAGCCCCACCGCCATTGATCCGTCGCATGCCACCGAGAGAAAGATATGCAGTTCAGGGCTCATCAGAACAGACCTTGTATCCGTTGATGATCACACGGGCATCGCGACTGAAATCCTTTCCGTATCGAGGGAACTCTTTCACGATGTCGTCTTTGTACTTGTCCATCACGGCGTCAACCTCTGTGCGGGTCTTGCATGGGCGCAAATAGCCAAACGGTGAGGGCTCTTTACCATGCCCTGCGCTTCCTGTAAGAACATGCCAGAAACTAGGCGTGGGAAAGCAAGGCTTATCACCATCCTCTACACAGCGATTTGGTAGGTTGACCTAAACCCGTCTGTTAGGACGTTCTCAATCTTCATGGAAAGATTTGACTTACTCGAACCTCTAGGGGAACGTTGCAGTACACTTCATCTGCGAATTCGTAGCAATTGTAATCCTTGTCATGCTTTGTATAGGCAGCGAGCTTATCGGCGATGATCCTGGCCATGACGGTGCGAATGCCTTTGGTGGCATAGATAACCGATTCAGTGAAAATAGTCGCTTCAAGTTTCTTTGTGTCAAATGGGTAAGTACCGTCTACAAGGCTCTTGGTCGTAAAGGGCGTGAACATCTTGCTCCTACACACGACGCGGTCCTCTTTGTCGTCCCAAGGACAGGTGTTGTCGAGGATTTTGAAGATCGTGTCAGACAGCTCGGAACCACGAAGATTGCCCTAATTCATGGGCTGTCGCTTTGCACCACCGGTCCAGACCTCGACCATGGCGTGCTTTTGCCATTCAGTGGAGGGATCGTAGCCGCGTGCCTCGATGGTGTCGACACCATCAGTGGTTTCTAGTCCATGGGTCAGAAAGCTCGTAAAACAAGATGCAACTATGGCGACTCACCAGGGATGGCGACGTTGAAGGCGTGATAGTCTGAGAGTGGGTTCGCGTTGGCGACTGCTGCCTCCGCAGTGTCGGGGGCGGGAGCTGGCACTCCAGCCACGAGAGATGCAAGGCACAGGACCAAGCTAATGAAGAGCTTCATACTGAAGCAGTGGAAAGTGTAGTATGTTGAGATTGCTTTGATATGGAGACGAAGTTGCAGAAGAGTGTGGTGTTGGAAAGAAGGTCAAGTGGGTGGGCTTCGATGACTATATACCTAAGCGGGGTGGCCCATTAGATCACGTGCTGACAGTGAGTGCAGGTGAGAGAAGAGACAGCGGGATAAGGGCGTAGGAGCCCGATTGTAGGTGAGAGAAGAGCCTCCAGGGCAGGAGCATCTTAGCCCGAGTGCGAGAGATCAGAGAGACATCGCTTTATCAAGGAGATTCAGAGTGCTATCTAACGTGTTTGTGTCGTGATTGCGGCTACGGTGGCGGAGGGTTTGCCGTTCAGCAGTCCTTCCAGTCAGGACAGCTTAAGTCGTTGCCTGAACCGCCTGAGGAGATACCCGTACGCATTGTGCGTTTGGGTTAGGTACATTCCTACTCGAGACCGGAATTATGCAGCATTCAGTTCGCGGCAAGTGGTAGTGTCGAAGTCTTTTAAACAACAGCGGAACCACCTCGGTAGGGGACACCTTGTTCTAGAGCTTATCTACATCGAATGGGTACACCCAGCTTGTGGTGATACGTACTCAGCTGATACAGTGGCCATCCAATTGCACGTAGGTACAGTATTGGCTCGCGAGATTCCTGCAATTTACGATCTGTGAGCTTCGCAAACTTCTCTTGAATCATTCGAGAAGTGCACTAATACTGAAAATCTGAGAATCATTCTACGCAGTACCCAGCGAAGCGTTGCTTCTAACAGCAGCGGAGACATTGAACTAGTGAAAAAGGGATAAATAGTTTTACAGCTTGGTGTAAACACCAGACGCATACAAACTGCATTGACTATATTTGCTTCGACAGTCAAGGGCACGTTACACTATCCGCAAGCCGATTTGTTTTCTTGCTCTCTGGACTTTCCTTAGCTTCACACGACAACAAAGATGTCGTGCGAGAAAGAAAGGGGTAAGGATGGAATAAGAATCGAACAATCTCCCTGAGGGTAAAGTAAGCCCCGCTGATGGAAAGGTGACAATACCCAATTCTGCCCAAAACAATCGTACCTATGCATACACAGCTGGTTGCTGTTCGCATCTCCACGCCCCATGTTCTGATGGTCCGGAGTTACTCGTATTCATGAGTGAGGATACTGCGTAAGCAACGCAGCCTTTCACCGCAGTGGTGTCGAGAGGTAAGCCCAAAGAACTCTTATTTATGCGAAGGAAATACTGAACATCCATGAAAAGAGTGTCCTGGATCAGTCCTTGCTTGCCCCCTCGTGCGTGGAACAAAACCTCGGGGTTCGCTGCACAATCTGGGTCGTTCTTAGAGGGACAAATTGCTTGGGAGCGACTCAGCTCGTTACGAAAGACAACCAAACGCATAACGAAGGTGGGAGAAAGGTTTCATTGAGAGGGGTATGTCGCTAATGAACGCCGAAACTAACAAGAGCTAATGCAACAACAGCAAACATCTCTGCGCGCAGCTCAACTCTCTTTCCAGAGAGTCTGTACTTACGTATGTATGGTCAAGTTCAGCTTGACCAGAACCACCCTCCTTTCTTCTGGTCTCCCTGGCTTGTGAGACTTGGAGACTGCTGCATCGCTTTCACTGAATCCTCACTCTGGTGGATGTTTTCGCCGCGTTGTGTATGAACTGTCTCGGAGCTCTGCCCGCTGCCATCTACAAATCGCTTCTTCAGGACAACTTTTGTGGTGATGGTTCCATCAGGTGCAGTCGTGCGCTCCGTCGTTGTCAGGGTCGAGAGTATCTTTGACTGACTTTCGGGAGGCGAGGACAAAGGTTTTGGTGGCGTGAGAAGTCGCTCGTAGGCATCAAGCTCAGTCTCCACACTCGATGACGACTCTGAGAATGGTAACTGGCTTTTGGGAAATTCAGTCTGATGAGGTTTTGGAGTTGGCGGATCATCATGCTGATCTTCGTGGTCATGTGCATACTCGTAGCTCGGCTCGTCACCAGTATCGTTTCGTGCGAGCTCTTGGCGTTCAGCGAGTAGCTTCCGTTTATGATCTTGTTCCAGCTGCATCAATTGTTTCTCATAATCCCGCAAGGAATAGAGCCCCATCTGGTCGAAATGCGAGTTCTGCGTGTCCGACAGCAACGGATGCTCCTGCGTTGTGCGCATGAGATCCTCGAAAGCGTTGCGCCACAAACTGCCCATATGTCTCGTTCGCTTGTCTGCTTCGAGTGCTGCTGGGGAGTATGGATCATTTGATGTCTTTGTGCTGCTCTGGTTCGATGCGTCAGCAGGTGGCGGCCACTGCCACAACCAAGACTGTGAGCATTCTCGAGGTTGTTCGTCTTCGGCCTTACCCACACCGTCATACCGGGCGGCCCAGTGTCTGCGCAGCTCCTCTATTTCCTCGCCGAAGACCTTACTGGCATCTTCTTCCAATCTCATAAGCATGCGCTCAATCTCACCGCCAGCCCTCCGTGCACGACTCTCCAGCCATCTTCCAAAGTCTGTATCATCTTGATCCTCATCACGGGTGGCTTCGGGCCAATCCCAACTAGCCGACCACTCTTGACCCTTCCTGTTGCCTACTGTCTCCACAAGCTTTCGTTGCTGTTGGGCACTACACCTCGAATCCTCTGTTTCACTCAGAATAGCTCTCCTGAGCTCACCGGCCTGCTGTTCCATCATCATGAGCTGTTCGCTTTTCTCCAACACCGCCTGCACATCGCCAGTCCGATACGACTCCGTACCCTCGCGACGCAGCTTCTCCGTATGCGCATCCAGAGTCTGCAGCTCCTTGCATTTCTGAGGATCTGCTTTGCCAAAGAGACATTGCTCCCGTGCGTGATGGGCGTTGTTGTAGTTCGCGATCTGGGCGGGAAGCGTGAAGACGGTGTTCAGCAGCGATGAGACTTGTGAATCGGCATAACGACGAAATGCGATGAAGGGATTGTCTTCCGGGCGATTTGTGTCTCGTTGTGGGTTATCCTTGTTGTTGTCTGCCATGATGGGTCTGTGGGTGTAGATGGTTTGCGGGGTCGGTGATGCTTGATGAATGATGATGCCTAAAGGCGCCTCGGTTCCGATAAGATAAGGCCACACGCGCTCCCATTCACACGACGACGCGTCGTGGCCAGCCACAACTCTTCACTCCTCTGAATGCTCAATTGTGATATACGCACGTCATATCGACACGGCTACTGTTACAGATCTAGAACCAAAGGTAGCGCGACATTGTGTGAAGAGACACTCCCATCGAAATGCACAACGTCTTTTCATTGAATAATGAAGAGCTCAGAACAATGGCCGGACAAGTGTCCTTGTCGCTAAACATTGCATGTTCGCGCTCAAGGACATAAAATTCCCCCGTGTTGAAGTCATCCGTATCACATTGAGACCCTAACCTCCCAACTCGGAAATATGTTCACTCAGGGGTCGCGATTCCGCCGTATGTGGCGTGAGATAAATCGAATTGGCCGAACCGCAGCGAAAGACCGGATCACCATATATATGGAGAACCTCTATTCCGTTGATCTTGATGGAGACATTTACTTCTACGCGCAAGACGCGGATGGGTTCCCCACTGGTATCATTGACACAGACATCGCAGGTACCCGCTTTCAACCTACAATGGTCATCCGCAACACCTTCAATGCAGCAGCATGGGAGAACGTTGAAAGGCCAGAGCACTATAGAGGGCATTTTTCACAGCCACTGACACGATCCCATGTTACTGGCTGCTCATCCTCGAGCGAGGAGTGCGGGGAGTGCGACGATAACAACATGTATGACGAAAACAATCGTGAAGATGTTTACTTCAGGTGGACCATTCAGAAGCATAATATCTGGTTTCAGAACATCGATATACGGCTTGCTGAACATACAGGGTACGGACTCTATGCTAGAAATCCTCTTCCTCAAGACATCTTCATTGGGGAGTACGCAGGCGAGCTTGTTCCTATTGACGATAGCATTCCAAACGAGCTGACTGAATATCAGTTCGGCATTGGCATTGGCCAACGGACAGTCGATGACGCTCTCCAGCCGATGGCTTGGGTGGACGCAACTAGGAAAGGCTCCATTTTCCGTTTCATGGCGCACTCATGCGAGCCAAATGCTCAGGTACGTGCCACACGAGTCGGCATGCACAATCGCATTCTCGCGGTCTACACGACCCGGCCCATTGCGGCTAACGAGCCGATAACCATAGACTACGGAACGGACTGGTTCACGGGTGAGAACTGGTGCTTCTGTGGCACGGCATCGTGTAAGAATAGACCTCCGCTAGAGGACAGCGAGAACGAAGACAGCGAGCTGAGTGATTATCTTGAAATCGATACCACTGATGACGACAGCGAGTTGAGCGATTATCCGGAAAGCGACATGAGCATGTCTGAAGACGACAATGAGAGTGAGGACGAGGAGTAAAAGGTTCAAGGTAAATATAGATTCGGCTTCTATGTATTGATTGAAATTACCATCAGTGTTCCATTCATTCTACTCCCGCGCATGGCTAATAAACTCAAATGAACAATTGTCTTGAGGCGACCTGAAATTGTCTTAGCTTCAGGTCAATTCCATATCTCGATGAAGCTCACCTTAAAGATTCCACGTAGGTCCTTATGCGCTGCTGCATGTGCAACCCTTCCTCAGAGCTGGGTCTGTGTTCGGCCATCCAACGCATAACCGTCCGTTCTTGCACTGCTGCCCGCTGGCGCCGCAGTTATCGACGGAGCATGGCCCTGAGTATCCTTGAGGGGTTGGGTCTGGCAGCGCTGCGGCGAGCCCTACGATAGCAGCTGTGATAAAGACGATGAAGCGCATCTTGACTGGCTTATGAAGAAGCTGCTAGAGGTGGATTTCTAGTGATACTTGAAATGGATACAAGCGTTGTGTTCTGATGATGAGGTGTGTAAGAGTTTTGGATTTAGGAAGTGATGGTTGTGTTCCGTAGAAGTGACCGTGTTGACCAATATATATATTGGTATTGAGCTGCGTGTGACGTCTCGTGTCCCATGGTCCGCAAGCCCGCAATCGCTATGTTGTGGCACAAAGCGACCAATGATTAGCCATCGCCCAAGAATCATAATCACCAATCCAGAAAACCCCTAAAAATATCGACCGGGTACATCCTAAGATTCAGTCGGTGCTTCGCCTCGGGATGACGCATTGGGTCTGGCCGAGGCTGGGCACGCATGGGATGAAAACAAACCTGAGGCTGAACGGAAACCACATGAGGCTCGAAGTTTCATCTGGAATCCTTGCTCGAGCCCGGGGGCTCTACTATCAGAAACATGTCAGAAACATCAGATACGGCACATCTTGCATGCTTCCCAGGTGGAACTTTGTCTTTGATGCTACGATCTCTTCAGACTTGGCTGCTTGGCTTGCCCAGAGCTGCACGCGGCCTTGCGTAGATCTCTGGCGATCACATGGATTAAGGAGGTTCATCCCAGATTGCTGGCGGTGAAGAACATGGGTCTAAACTGGGACGTAAGTAGTGGCTGAGTGAGTTGTACTTGAGATGCAGAATGATCCGGCCAAGGTTATGCCTTGGGTAAGATTCGGTAGCGCGGGGTTTGCGAGTCAAACCTTCATGTGGGGGCAACAGAATCGACGTCCGGTAACGATAGGACAGCTTTGCACTGACTTGAAACCGAATGATCTGCGGTGAAAACACGTAGGGTTCGATGAAGTTAATGCTACGTGAATAAAGGAGGTAGCCATGCATTTGGAAGGGGAGCGATGTTATTGGAAGGTGCCAGCAAGTAGGATCAAAGGCATTCGCTGTCGGAGGATGAGTAGACTCATCGAAGAAATCATGGTTTTCTTCTCGATTAGGTGCTGTTGCAGACATTGAGCAAACCCGTGGAAGTATCTTGTACCTCGTAAGTGACGTCACCGGCGCTAACCGATGTGTGCATTTTGGACATCGCGACTGCCCAACTCATAAACAATAAAGATGCGTAACATTTCTCAGATAACATGGTCTCGCTGGTTATCACGACTTTCTTGAGTGCAGTGTGTGGGTCTTGAGTCTGCAGTGTCCCAATAGATGTCTATTTCTGGGAAGCGTCCGCCCCCATTTAGAAGCGAGGTAGATGAACAATTTGTACCTATTGTAAAGGATTACATCTTATGGCTACCAGAAAGCGAAGTATCTATGATGACCTGTGCCCTCTAGACTCGAACAATACCCCGAAAGCCGATGACGCAGCCGCTTCAATATCCAGGCTCTCGTTAGGAACAGAAGCTTGATGGGTAGTCCTTTGTTCGACTAGATTTTGGAAGTATACTCAGAGATGCTTGGTCGCAAGCAGGACACCCCTATTACGTTGCAGGATAACGGCGGACTGAGGACATGAGCCAAATACACTACACGACGGTCAAAAAGGGAACATACTAAAAAAGTCTGTGGAATACCTCTTTATCTACAATGTATGCAAGACTTAACTGAATTTTAGCTTAGAGTATTATTCATAGCTACAAGTTCTATGTTAATGTCAGTTAGCTTGAAGGTCACTTATCCGCCATTTTTTCTGAGACGTGAGAGCACCCATCGTCTGTCCCTGTGTGCCTTAGTGAGCTGCAGCCACCCTACATCGAGCGCATTTGCAGCACATGTCTTACCTTATCTTACTACATTAGGAGTATTTAAGATCATTTAACTCATCAATTTGATTGTCAACCGAGTGTCTAGCCAATAGTATGTCCTCGTTTCGTGATGATGCCACCTAGCCATCGAGGTGCTCAATTGGACGAGCGCACAGCATCGAGGTCGCAAATATAAATGACAACAAGGTACTTTTTTACGATTTTCTAGAAGTACTCCAGATACTACACGAAGTTTCGATAACCGCGAGACTTACAATGGCACCCTCGAAGCGAAGGAAGACTGGCGGATCAAGGATGAAGCCTCAAGACAAAAAAGCTAAGTCAGGACCACTTCCTGTCACAGTACTCTCTGGGTTCTTGGTACTTGACCAATTCATTCTGGTGCTTTCAATAGCTTACACGCAATAGGGAAGCGGCAAGACAACTCTTCTCCGTCACATCCTCCAATCACCGGATCATGGTCTCCGAATCGCTGTGATTGTCAACGACATGGCATCCGTCAACATCGATGCCAACCTTGTTACAAGATCGAACGAGTCCCGCGGCAAGAAAGACAAAGGAGAAATACGCATCAAGGAAAAAGTCATTCAGATGCAGAACGGCTGCATCTGTTGCACACTAAGATCCGATTTGCTTACTGAACTGGCACGGCTAGCATGGAGTGACACTGGCTTTGATCACGTCATCATAGAAAGCTCTGGGATTAGTGAGCCTCAGCAAGTAGCGGAGACTTTCACTGCTGAGCTGACTGAGGCAATGATCGACGCTGAAGGTCTGGAGGGCGAGGAGAAAGAGATCTTCACTAAAGTGTAAGTGCTTAATGAGATGGTTCAGGACACGTTCTAACACCTCAAAAAGAGCAGAACTTGGTGGTCTGAAATCAATCGCCAATGTTGACACCATGGTGACCGTCGTTGATGCTTTTCGGTTCTTTTCCGAGTTCGACACTGCCGAGTTCCTCCAAGACCGCTTCGGCCGCGAAGAAGTACCGGAAGAGGACCAGCGAACCATTTCCGACCTCTTCGCTGACCAAATTGAATTCGCCAATGTCATCATCGTCAACAAAATTGATGCAGTGGACAAGCAGACACTAGGCAGGGTCAAAGCCTATGTCAAAACACTGAACCCTACAGCGAAGATCATCGAATCGAAGTTCTCCAGAGTTGACGTCAGGGAGATGCTCAACACTGGTATTTTTAACTTTGCCGAGGCCGTCGCTAGTCCAGGCTGGCTCCGAAGCCTCCACGAGATGACCGTGATGGACGTCCAAGGCAGAAAGCGAGTAGCACCCAAGCCCGAAACTCTAGAATACGGCATCGGCAGTTTTGTCTACCGCGCTCGCCGGCCCTTTGACCCACTCAAGCTATACCGCCTCATCGAAGGGATGTTCATTCTCCTTCAAGAAGAGCCTGAGGACGAAGACGACGACGACGACAATGAGGAAGATGGCGAGAGTGACGCTGACTCCGCCTCTGACGACAACACCGTTTCAGCAGGATCCGACTCTGATAAGGTGACGGATGATGAGGACGACAACCCGCCCATGTCCGACAAAGAGATCCTTGCAAACAAAAAGGCATCTCCTTATTTCGGTGGGCTCCACCGCAGTAAAGGCATCTTCTGGCTAGCTACCCGACCCTTCCAAATGGGCTCTTGGAGCACCGCCGGCGCAATGCTCACTCTCGGCTCCGAAATGCCCTGGTTCTGCTGTGTACCCGAAGAAGATTGGGGTGCAGATGCCGATACTATGACCGCCATCCAAAAGGACTTCGAAGGCGAGTGGGGCGATCGACGACAGGAACTGGTGTTTATCGGTGAAGGTTTGGATGTTGATGGCCTCACCAAAGTGCTAGATTCTTGCTTGTTGAGCAGGGCTGAGATGAGGAAGTGGGAGAAGGTCATGTACGATGGGAAGATGGACATGGAGGCCAAGGAAGAGAGGCTTGTAGAGATATGGGATGATGGCTACTGGGCCGAGTGGGCGAGAGCTGAGGAGGAAGACCATGAGGGGCACAATCATCACTGACCATAGGTCTCCAAGATTGCTTCAATGTTCAGTCTATACATATGTATTCATGTCTAGTCAACTTAACCACTGCGCCTCGAGTAGCACTTCTTGCCCTTGCACTTCAGATCAAAGTAGTCGAGCACCAAATCATCCTGACTCGGAATGTTATGGTCCACTCCTTCAGCACTGTATGCCTCAAACTTGCCACTCTTGCCATACCTGTACCTCGTCCAGTCCTTCAGAGGGGTATCTGGCGAGACCTCGGTTGGCTTCGCACTAATTCCAAACACACTGGTCCACTGCTTGATCTCTTCCTGCAAGTTCTGCGGATACAAGATGTCATCCTTAGTCCCGTGAAAGACCTGCAACTTTGGTCTGAACCCTTTGTATCCAGGATACGCGCTCTTGACAATCTTCGCCCACTCAGGTCCAGTCTTGATGATCTTGCCAGTCGCACACGCGTCGCTCCAAACTCCATACCCATCGCCCCCGTAACATCCAAATGCAACGCCAGCCCACGCACTGCCTCCAGCGAAGACGTCGGGGTAGCTACCAAGCAGCACATTGGTCATCATAGCACCCGAACTGGTACCGACGACAAACACTCGTGACGCATCTGCATCGTACTTTTTGATCGTCCATCGAACCATTGACGCAATTCCAAGGGCATCTCCGCCGCCATTGTGCGTAAGAGACTGCTTGCTGGAGACATCCCAGCACTGGTCTGCAGCATTGGGGCTGTTCGGGTAGATGGAAATGAATCCGTACTGGTCACCAGCCGAGGCCCAGGAGCGGTAGTCGAAGACATTCTGGGCGGTGCCATGGCACCAGTGAGGTGCTACAAGAATAGGAGCATTCTTTGGAAGATTGGCGGGAACGTAGATGTAGCCGGTAACATTACGTGGGTTGGGCCCGAAGTCGAAGATCTGAGTAAGATTGGAGGTGAGGGAATGGGCGGTCTGCGCTGCTGCAAGCAGCAAACCGAGAGACTTTAGAAGCATGATGGACGAACACTCTGTGATAGCTAGAGAATGCCGTAGAGAGGCTCGGCACTCTTCTTCTTATAGTCTTCTTTAGTCGGGCGAGCGGCAACAGTCAACGGAACCTTCATGATGGAGCCGTGATGTCCGACAGCTCTTGACGAAAATTGTTATGCAATTAGCTGTACCTGAAATGTAGATTGCCTTTCCGTAGCTTAAAGGGGATAGGCGCAAAGCGGGGTGAGTCGCTAGGGCTGCGCATCCGTCGTACCGATGGGCGTGGCCCATGTACGTCTTTTCCTATTCAGGAACGGACGCGGCCTCTCCAGATGAAGTCGCTCTAGCAATTCTTCCGGTTCCTCCACAGTTGCCGCCATGACTTACAGTATGGCGGGGGTAAGTAGTCAATGTGTCACAAGACTTTGCAGCAGCCAGCTGTTAACAAAACATAACCTATAGAGGTATACAAAAAATTTCAGCTTTAATGTTAGCACTTCATTGTTTAGTCTAGTGTGCTTCACAGGTCTTACTTGCAGAGAGGTGCTGCTAGAAGAAAAATATTTAAGGATCTACACTGATTACCTACCCCTGCTATACTGTACATACGGACTGTCTTGCCAGAAGTCCGCCTTTTGCCTCTTGAAAAGTTTGTGGCCTGGTCTAGCCCACCCCAGCTGCATCTGATCGCCTTACACCAACGTGGTAGAATACGCACGGGCATCCCATTGATTACAACATCCATTGTGCGACAGAATGCGTTGAAGGATTTTGTATATGCCGTGAAGATTTGACGACTGTCCAGCAGCCGTGGCTAATGTAGATGCGAGCATTATACGGTCAAAACGCCGTCCTTGAATCAAAGCTCTTCTCCTCATATTACCATACCTAGAGAATTGGCCGACGGGCAGTTCTCCAAACCTACTCAAGAGACTTCCCGAGCGCCCATAAAATGAAACGGAAGCGAATGCTGCGTCGATTTCCTTGCTCATTCGAAAGGGCTCTCCTGAGCACTGTCCCTCTTCACTTGCACCTTCTCTTTCTCGACCAGACACGCTGTCGCGCTTACGCTGACGACCACACATCCCATCATCTCAGTTTCTCTGATCTGCAAGCCGATGACGGCGTTCGCGCCCTTGTCGATGGCGTCCTTGGTCATTCTCTCAATAGCCTGATCTCTTGCCTGGTACAGAACCTGCGTCAAGGGCTTTGCCTCGCCCCAAGATCCTGCAATACTGCTAGACAGCGATTTGATGAAGGACTTGGGGACTTTGTGTGTGAGAGAGGCAGTACCATGAATGGCACCGATGAGGCGGGTGACGATATAGCCTGGCAAGCTTGGTGTTGTTGATGTCATGATTGCGGGTGTGAGGCTGCGCGGTACGTTGTCGATAGTATATGTCGGGAGAGCTTGACTCTGCAGAGGATCGGCAGTCCTGGATCCGGCGTGCCAGCTGGGCATCCGGTTATGCTTGACCGGCATTGTTGAGCGGCGGTTGGTCAACATGGTTGATTTGGTTTTTTTGAAAAGGCTGCTTGCTTGTTGCTGAAGCGCTACAGAGAGTGGTGATAGTGGACAATTGAATTAAATGTGTATGATGTTGTATACGTTGTGGACAGGCAGTACGAGAATACTCAACCATCAGCGCGATCTCGAAGCTATAAGGTATTGCACTCATGACGTTGGTCGTATCCTGAAACACGATCAAGAAGATGCCGCGCCCTAGGCTGCCATCTAAGACTTGCTTAAATGTCTAAGCCCCGGACAAGTGCAAACGCGCCGCTCGGTTCCGTGCTTCACCTCTAGGCTCTCGAGCGGCCGTTCGCTTTTCGGTAGTCCGAGATGGGTGGCGAGCGTGAAAGTGCGGGCTCAGTCTCCGCCCTGGTGGATTTGGAAGGTTGAGACGGGTTTGTCGTGGTGAAGCGAGATTCTGACACAGATACCGTCGCAAGTGCCGCGACTACATCAACACAGGTGACAGATCGACACATGTATCAACAAGATGTCAGTGACTTGTCATCGTTTGAGCATGTCATCACTCCTCATATACTATTAGTCCCGTACTGAACGGGGTTATCCTTTAAAGTCAAGGCATAGATTGCCTGTATTTGTTTGAAGCCGGTTGTGAAGCAAAACACTTTCCTACTGTTGTTCGCAAGAATGTCCATGCAACGCATAAGAGAGTCTAGCATAGGTTTTCGATGTGTCAGGCTGACATTTCTGCTCATCGTCGAAGACGAGGATACTGCATCCTCGCCCAGTAGCATCATGCAAGTGGTGATAGCAGCAGACAAAAAGTCCATCATATACGGCTCGGCCAGTAAATGCGTGTGTGGCGAGATAGATGAAAGTCGGTGATAATGGCTCAAGAGCGCGAGATTGATCTCGATTGTCGCATTGTACGATTCTGGGTAGACAGAAAGAGCGTTGGATTGCAGCGCATATTGGCAGTGCACGACCAAGAGAGCGCGTCGGAAATAGATGTCCAGCGTCAGCTCAACGATGTCTCCTTCGTAGAAGGCAGTGGCTTCGTGCATCAACTGCGTGATCTCACGATCGTATTTGAGGACCTTATTGTAAGAGAAGATCTCGCCATCGTGCACGTTCATGTGTGATAGTATGTCGCACACGAGTGGTAGTGACCGTGGTATAATGGTATCCCAACAATCCCCTTTATCAACGCTGAAGGTATTGGAGTTGATGATGCCGTGTGGTAGCACACTTTGCTGGCCAGTGCGAGTCGACATTTGGGTATCCAGGTAGACGACCATGGTCCAGAGGCGACGGCGAACAGCTCTTTCGCGAGCAGCTATGGGATCCTTGTAACCTGGCATCCATTCCTTGTGAAGTACCATCATCATTGAGAGTCTGACAATGAGGCCCATGACGTTCCAGCAAGTGTCCAACGCCCAGCAAGTGGCTGTGGTTGCTTGTTTGGCTATCACCATCAGGCACAGTGTACTGATGGCTGTGGTTGTAGGATGTGCCATGTATGTTGTCCGAGCCATACAAGCTTCACTTGCGTATAAGAATTCTGAAGCTGCCGGTTTGCCGTTGTCCATTGCATACTCGAATGTAAAGGCACCAAGACCAAGCACAGCAAGGAACTGGGCGAGCCAAATCAGGTCTGCACTTTCCGGTTCCCTCCAAAAGTCAGTAAGTTTGGCGTCAAAACCCGATTGATCGAAAACAGGCAACGCCGGGTGGAACGACTTGAAGTATCCGGCCACAAGGGCGGCCACGTCATCGCGAGCTTTGTGTATTAGTTCGTGCACCTGCTGTGGCGATGCGTAACGACCTGACCCCGGACTGCCGAAAGGATAATTGCTCGGTAACGCGAAATCACTGGAACAATGTGACTCGATATGCTGCTTCACAGCAATTCCGAAGGGGGTCGAGTCAACGCTTGCTAAGGATTCCATCTAGAAGCGTTAGTTTAGATGACACGCTCGATTCGGTACGAGCCGCCTGCAAGAAAGAGACAAGGAAGCTATTACCAGGTTTACGATGCCTCTAAAACGAGTTGATTCACGCCTTCGTAGAAACCATGTGGCGACCAAAAATTCTGGGTCTTCATCGATCCCCGCTTGAGGGATCTCTTGGAAATGTGACTGACCAATCGCTGGCTCGTGAGGTTGCACACGTGGCTTTGACTTGTGCGTATACACGCAGTCGGCCTCTACGCCAGATCGAGAGCATCGCAAGCAAGGCTGCTTTTGGTCACATTTGACCTTGAGTCGATGGCAGCGAGTACACGAGAGGCATACTCGATTGCGTTTGCGGATAGCTATTGTGCGTGTCCCTGCCGGCGTCTGATAAGGGATATTAGAGTCATTGGAGACCATGGGTCCGATTTTATCCATTTCCGAGTCTGCTTCGTAGGCGCATGGGATGCCTCCACGCTTGCAACGGGCACAGCTTGGCTTGATCTTGTCGCATCGCCGCTTCAATAGCCGGCACCGAGAGCACGACGTGCTCTCCTTAGCCTGCTTCATGTCGGAACTTTGACTCTTGTGCAAGTATCCGGGGGACAGAGATCCGGATTGGTGGTGCTGGTGCTCATATCATAAGAGGGCCATCACAAGGTTATGAAGGTGCGGGCATTCTTAACACCGATCGGTCGGAGATGCGGAGATCCTCCACGCCAGCTGGATTAGGTCTAAGTAGTGCGCTACCTGACTCTCACGTTCCAGGATAAATGACGGACTAAGAATAAGCCAGTCATCCTACAGTAACGTAGGGAGAATACAAAAACTCCATAGAATACTTTTTTGCCTACAATATAGTTAGTCCTAACATGAACCTTAGCTTTCAGTATTATAATAGCTACAAGTGTTATATGGAAGCCGCCTTCTCTAAAACTTGAGAGCCTGACTGGTGCCCCTGGATTCGCTCATAATTCGAACATATTTGTATTGCTATTCCGAGAGCTCAAAATCGGCATCGTGAGAGGCCTAGTAAGATTTCCTAGGCTCATTTTTCCCAACAGCGTCCTCATTCCCAAAAAATCCCACTCCATCTTTTGTTGTAGCGTTCAGCCTCTCCAATATGTACTCACCCGCACGGATCGGCTTCCATTTGCTTTCTTCGCCCTCTGCGAGACAGGTCGGCAAGGTCTCGACTAACGTGTCGTAATTCACACTAAAGAAAAAAGGCACACTGTACCTGGCGTCCATTCCCCGATTCACCACTCTATGTACTGTGCTTTTGTACAGCCCGTTTGTCCACCGCATCAAGAAGTCTGCGACGTTCACGATGAAAGCGTCCGGTGGTGGAGCTGCGATAAGCCAGTGTCCTGATGGTTTGAGAATCTCAAGGCCAGGTACCGAGGAAGAGAGAAGAAGCGTGAAGCATTCATAGTCCGAGTGGGCGCCAAGACCAATCTGCTCTTCAGTGGAAGATGTGGTAGTCGATGGAAGAGGGTTTTTCGGAGGGGGATAGTATAGCAAGCGGGCGATACCACCAGGATGTGTGGTCATGGAATCGAAGTAGGTTTCCTCTAGTCCTAGTGATAGTGCAAACAGGCGGAAGAGATGGCGTGCGAGGTCAAGAACCTGTCATTGTGTTAGCCTTACAATTCAAGCAATGGCTTGTTTTCCGAACTCACTGAACCGTAATACGTTTTCACCGCATCGTAGAAACCGGGGAGGTCTTCCTCTCGCGGCCACAAATTTCCATTGCCGGTCGTTCCATCCAGATTTACGTACTTGCCGTCTCCACCTGTCCGATCCATGGCCGCTTCGTACGAGAAGTTGAACACTTCCTTCGTCTCGATGTCACCTGCAATCGATGTATACTCGCTGGGCTCCCAGCCGAGGCCTAGCTTACTCCTCTTTGTGTGTAGCTTTGCCTTTTGCTCAGCACTCAACTCATGCATGAAGCGCTCCGCTTGCCGCAAGATCCCTTCACGAGCCGGCAAAGGAACTCCATGGTTAGTGATGTAGAAGAACCCAGAAGTCGAGCAAGCCTTTTGGATCTGGGCGGCAACACGCTGTCGTTCAGTGTGTTTGTCAGAGAAAGATGACGATAAGTCAATGATCGGCACCTCAAAGTCCTCATCCGTGATGTTGGATTTGGCCGCCAATCGCGCTTGGAGATATGCTGCTGCTCCCTCACGAGCTTCTGTGTACGTCGTTGAATCCTGAACGCGGAGTTCGTCTACCGCTGGTGTCGCCATTTCCAAGCAGCTGAAGCCGATAACGTGAGTGAGTCTGGGTTCAGCAACGACGTAGTAGGACCATGCGGGATATGTGATGATAAGCACTAAAAGTGATGATTGGCTACGCTACTTCGTGCACTGGACCCTGAGGCTGAGGTGGGGCAAAACTTTGTTACGCTTTACCGTAGCACACAAACCTTCTCATGCACGACATGTTGATTTCGATGTTCCAGAATGGACTTACACGGCCAAGATCCATAAACGGAGGGCGCAGGGCGCAGGGCGCAGGGCGTGCCGCGGGGTACTGTCGGTCGGCTGTACCTCGGGTCTCCGATATCGGTTTGGTTGATCTGATAACAGGTTCTCTCGTTTGAAGACCCGATGACATAGTCACCACAATCATGAGCGTCCAAAGCAGTACCCAGATCTTTACCAACGGCCGCCTCTTTCAAGATGGCAACACCAGTGCAAATGCACAATGGCGTTCGAGTATGGTTGTGCGGGACGGGAAGATCGCATTCATCGGGGATGATAATGCGCCCGAGCTTCAGTCGTTCCAACAAGAGCCTGGTGTCGAGACTAAAGATCTCCGCGGTCAACACGTCCTACCAAGTTTCATCGATGCGCACATGCATTTCCTGATGCTTGGTCAGTCCTTGCACAAGGTGGCACTGGATGGATCAAAGGATCTGCAAGAAATCCGGTCCAGAATCTCAAAGTATGCCAAAGAGAACCCGCACAAGGAGAGAATTCTGTGTATGGGATGGATGCATAGTATGACCGACGGTGAAGCCAAGGCAAGTCTACTCGACGATCTGGACCCACGGCCCATCTATATTGATTCCAAGGACTTGCACTCAGTTTGGTGCAACAGTGCTGCTTTGAAAGAGATGGGCGTTCAAGATATGGAGACTCCAGCCGGCGGAATGATAGAAAGAGACGAAAATGGCAAAGCGTCGGGCCTGTTGTCTGAGGCGTGTGTGCTGCTGATCGTATGGCCGTACCTTGCGGAAGTTTTGCCGATGGAAGACAAGACTGCTGCATTGCAAGCGGCGATCAATGCATACCATGCCGTTGGATGTACTGGTTGCATCGACATGGCAATGGATGAAAATGCTTGGGAAGCTGTCCTGGCGCTCAGGAAGGCCAAAGGGGGTTCCTTGCCACTACGCATCGCCGCACATTGGTGCATTACACCTGGTGATGGAGAGGAACACCGTTTGAAGCAGGTCGAACGCGCCATAGAATTGAACCGACAGTTCAACAACGACACAGATCCTGATCTTCGGGTTGTGGGTATCAAGATCATATGCGATGGCGTTATTGATGCTTGTACAGCAGCTCTCGCGAAGCCATACACCAGCAATGGCCATTTCGAAGGACCCATCTGGACACCAGAGATGCTCGATCCTGTTGTGAAGAAAGCTGCAGGCGCTGGTCTGCAATGTGCGTTGCATGCCATTGGCGACCAAGCTGTGACTAACGCTGTCAATGTGCTCGAGAAGCACGGCAAACCTGGGCAGCGTCATCGCATCGAACATCTCGAGCTCACGGCTCCTGAGGACGCGAAGAGGCTCGGACAGCTAGGTATTACAGCAAGTATCCAGCCGGTGCACTCCGACCCAGCAATCCTGCGTGCATGGCCGAAGTTGCTGGGGCCGGAGCGCGTGAAGCGTGCTTTTGCATACTCGGAGTTTGCAGACCATGGTGCTGCACTCGCTATTGGATCCGATTCGCCTACCGCTCCCTATGCACCTCTGCCAAACCTGTATGTTGCCACAACACGAAAGTCGGCTAGACAGCCCGATGCGGGTGACGTACCCGTGAACGGCAATTTCAAACTGGAGCTGGCGCAGGCTGTCAGCGCTGCAACCAGTGGAGCAGCCTGGTCGTGCTTTGCTGAGAAGAGGCTCGGAAGCTTGGAGGTCGGTAAGATGGCAGACTTCACTGTTGTTGACACAGAGTGGAGCGGCGAGGAGCTTTTGAATGCAAAGATTAGAGAAACATGGTTCGAGGGGAAGAAGGTGTATGAAAGTCGCACTGCAGAGTAGATCTTCTGTAGCGACGACACCTTATATACCGACTGTGTCCATTGGCGATGCCCCTGCCCTCTTGAACGAACTAGTAATATCAGCCTCGAACGCCACCAAACCAGCCTTAACTTGGCGCGTCAAGCCAAGGTGGCTCTGAACGCTCTGTATATGACACTGCTGACCACTCTTCTATATTTCATGTCTTCTTCTTCCGTTATGACGCGTCAGCACTGACGCCTGACCACCTTACCTTCCAGGCGGGGCTCCCACACTCATGCCGCACGGTGTGGGGGCTACGAGCTCAACGCCGCAGAGCTGCTGCACGTTGCCAGCCTGATTGTCAGCCTGATTGCCAGCCTGGTTGTATATCCCTTTGCCGTAGTCTCCCATCCGACATACCTTGGCTCCCCTGTTCTCAGAGACGTGTCTTTCTCTACCTGGAAGAACCATCGACCCGACACGCTGGGTAGCTGCTCGTAGCGCCAATCAGGCAAGCTGGTTGTCACGCTTGGCGGATACCGCGCCTCTTCTGCGGCCCATAATCCTTCCCCACTGCGAACACTTCTACCCGCAGTGGATGGAGGTCACGAGAAGTGGCTTCTGATGATTGAATCCGTTGCTGACACTGCGAGGAGTCTGCGTGCTGCACTTGTGCCGGAGCCATTATGTCACTAGCCCCACCGGACCCTAGCGGAGCTACAGGCGCGCTGCTCTCGAAGACGTGCCAGAACTGTTTCTCTCTGAAAATTCGATGCGATCGTACCCAGCGCCAGGATATCTGCGACCGATGTGCCCGCCTGGGCAAGAACTGCGTGTTCCGGCCAGCCCGGCGGCGTGACAACTCGGCTAAGCGCGACTCCCGTATCCAGGCTCTCGAACAGCAGGTCAAAGACCTACTTCGGTTACAGCAAAAAGGCCCCATTGTGCAGCAGTCCCTCCCTGAAGGCAGTGCGACAGCCGCTGATCCAAGCTCGCCGCCCGTCGCTGGTGAAGGTGACATTATCGATGATGACGTCGTGTCTCTCGAGCGAGCTGAGACGCTCATGGGCATGTACAAGGAAGAGCTAATGCCACACTTCCCCTTCGTCATAATACCACCCCATACAACCGCGAGCGATCTACGACATGCGAAGCCTTTCTTGTTCCTTGCCATAATATCAGTATCCTGCTATCATGATCTCCAGACGCAGGACAAGCTGTACCACCGCTTCAAGTACATGGTCAGCGAGAAAGTTCTGTATGGCGGCGACGAATGTCTAGACCTGCAATATCTTCAGGGGCTTTTGGTCGCACTGGCTTGGTAATTTCCACCGTGTACATTGCCGGAGAATAGCCCTGATCGCCAACAGGAACCAATTCCACGGTCGATCGAAGAACTACTCGCAGTATCTACAGCTCGCCATCTCGATAGCCGTCGACCTCCGCCTCGATCGCAAGCCAATACACCAGAAGCCTGACGAGGGCAGCAAGCGAGACCCGATTGCAAGAGATCAATACAAAGGCGAAGGGAACACAGACTCCTCCGCACAGCGAGCAGCGGCAGGTCTGTTCTACATAGCATCCACGTGCGTTTTATTCATTGGAGGTTTCGCAAAGGCTGATCATTCGCAGCATTGCAAAACTGCTTGACAAGATGAACACGTTCGCTTGCACGCCTTTCATTGAAGAGGGATGCCGAGCTTTACAGCAGAAAGCTGAGTATAGGACTGACAAGGACCTGTATTATGTGATACGTCTGCAAAGGATTCTCGAAAACATCGACCAAATTGCGAAAGCAGCCCACAATTCAGACACCGAAGCACACTCATCGTACCTTCGCGTAAGGGCAGAACTCGAAGAATTCAGAGTGTATCTATGCTCTGATGTCAGCGATAGCCGTAGGTGTCTCTGTAACAGCAGAGTTGACTACAACGACGTATTTGATGTCGGGCAGACCAAGTTCAGCTCCGTGACCACCTCCACGGGCCTCGATGATCTGTTCGTTGTTAGATATTCGTTTGTAGTCAATTCTGCTAAACGCATGCTCAACATGTACTGACTCAGCTAGATCTGCTGTTCATGCAGTTTCACACGGCAAAGCTCTTCCTCTACCAAGTCGCTTTCTTTGAGCGAAACTTGCAACAATCCCCATACCTGCATCTAAACATATTGTGCGAGGGTTTAGAAGGCGCCAAGTCGTTCCTCGACCTCTATCTGTGGCTGCCTCCAAAGTCAGAGATGGCCCTCACCAATATCGAGTGGATCCAGCTAAGTTTCGGCGTCACACTTGCTGCGAAGTTTGCCATTGTGAGCAGGAATCCTCACGTCGAAGCCCAGACTCGCGAGCTTCGCAATCGTCTAAACATTGACCACGTCTTCCGGCACCTGGTTCTTCGAATCGGCGCGCTGGTCGGCCGGGCCGGAGATGGCGACAAGCAGAAGGACATATTCTTCTACTACGAACAGCGTACTCGTAAGATCCAGAAGTGGTACGAGAAGATGATCCGGGCTACTGGTGCCCTCAGCCCTCCACAAGCTGCCTATCAACATGCCCCGTCATCACACCCCCAGCCACAAACGTCTCCGCCTGGCTCAACACCGCCATCCGGCATTCCTGTATCGTCAACCTTCTCGCACCAGCAGCCGCAGAGCTACACAGCGCCTATCAGCTATCCCGACTACTCCGTGCCCCAGAACGTGGGCCAGCATTCTCAGCCGCCAATGCAGCCGCCAATGGCTGCCGTGGGCTTGACACCGCTGAGCTCGTATCAACAATACAGCCCAACTCCCGCTATTGCGTTCCCAGACCTCATGATGGCGCAGGGCTGGGACAGTATGTTTGCGATTCCCATGGAGCATGACCCGCTCTTCGACACAAGCCAGGGGTACGGCCTGGGCATGGCCAGTCCGCCGAGCGACGGTTCGTCGTGGGCGGAGAGCCCGGCTAGTCAGTAGATGATGCATGGGTGTAGCTAGGCAGTGCTGTATGTGGTGTACATAGATCTAACGATACGGCTTGACCATACTACACGCAGACACGTTCGTTGACACGCTGCAAAAGTGCTACTAAACAAAGCTGCTCAAGCGCATACACCCCATTCAGAACCATCCTTCACCATCCTTCTAGCAGGACGCTGCACCTTGCCAAGTGACCAGCCGTGCATGCAACGACACCACAACCCAGCACCCCTTCCACACAGCAACTCCACACACAGCAAAAGCCCACACAGCAAAACTCCAGCAACTCCAGCACTCTCGGTCCACTCGGCCCCCACGGCCCCCGAAGCCCCATCACCACCCCAAACACCCCGTCTCACTCCCACCCCGCCAAACCGCCCGCCCGCCAATCCCGCCCCGCCAGATGACGCACACCCCGCACCCGCACCCTGCACCCACCCCGGCCCATCGGCGCACCCCATCGGCGCACAACCACTGCGATCGCGCGGTGCCGCGAGAACGGCTGCGGGCTGACCGATGGCGATGCGATCGCATCTCACCGTACAATATCGCACCGTATCTGCGGCCGTAGCATGACGGGATTGGTGAATGGGTCTAATGCTGTATTTGACGCTGAGTTTAGCGGCTGTGAATGGTTGCCGTTGCTGTGTGGTGGACATGCTGGTTGCTGTGTGGTAGATAAGCGTGCCGACCCGCGGCCCCGGGTCGCGGACACCAAAGCAGCGCTTCGAGGGCTCAGTATGACGTCGCGGGTCAATACACCGCCAGCAACGCGTACGTGGGTGACGCGCTGGGGAGTGGTTTAAGAACGGAGGGGTGTCCGGCTGGGAGGTGGGCTTTGGGTATCCAATTGATTGCTTTGCGTGTTTGATTGCTTGGTTGATTTGGCCGCTGTACTGAGTTTGTTGCTGCGCTCGATTCACTGCTGCTCACTGCTGTACTCGGTTCACTGCTACACTAAGTCCAGCTATACTCAGTTCCTGCTACACCCATTTCCCGCCCCACTCAATCCACTGCTGAAGTGTTTATCATGTCGACGGCCGCTGTATGTCACCCCACCTGCTCCTCGCCGCACTTCAATGGGGGTTCTCGACTAACGCGCATAGATATTCACGGCCTACGCATACGGCACGGCGTTCTGGTACGCGCTGCGCGGCGGCTGCCGCGTCTGGGATCCGTTGATGGTCGCTGGGTGTACGTTATGAACCCCCGATTGCGCTTACCCTTGTCCTTGCATTCATCATTCATTCCCTTGCATTCCCCTGCATTCCCTGGCGAGCCTAGCGAGCCTGGCAGTAATTCTGTCTGGCAGCAAGCCTAGCAGAAACTATGAGGAGTACATACAAGAGCCCCTCTAACACACCCCAGGGTTCCGCCCCCCCGCCCAAGCAACCCAGTCCCCCACCGACCTGGAACTGTACAACATCCACACCGACGGCTGGTGCCTGATTACGCTTGCGCTGATCCTGGTCTCTGCTGTACCTTCCCTGAGCCCATCATCCTCAACCCTGAGCTCAGCGTCCTCAGCGCCGTACGCGTACGCAAGGTGGTTGGTTGCGGCGACGGTGTTTCATCACGTGGCCACGGGGTACGGCGCGTGGCAGCACTACAAGCTAGACACCCATTATAATACGAGTATGGGGATTGGGGTGTGGGGGAATGTGTGGTTGGCCGCTACGGGGGCGGTGACGCTGGGGTGTTTGTGTTTGGTTGGGGGGGGAGGGGTGGGGGAGAGGAAGATGAAGTAGGGGGGCAGCCGGGAGATGAGGGGTGGTGCGCGGGGAGTGAGAGAGAGGGGTGTCGGGGCCGGTTGACTCTGCAGGTGTAGGAGATGTAGAGAGTGATCAAGTGATACCGCAGCGCACTAGTTGGTACATACACCTATTTGATACCTAGTGGACTCTACATATCACGCACACCGCACAGCACAGCAACGAGAAACGCTTTGCTTTCACCAACAGATCGACATTTCTGAGCCTGAAACCCAGCTCTGTGGTAACGAGTGCAGACTCACTCTCAACAATACACTGGGAGTCTCTGAGCCAAGACACCGCATTCTAGTCGTCTACTTCGACAACTAGCGTCTGGAGCGTTGCTACAACGACTGCGACCGCTTGGCAGCCCCATCTCCCGGAGCCGCAAACGGCACCTACCTGTGGACCCTCGTTTGCTCGAGGTGCAGCACTCACCGGATTCCTTCGCTGCTGGCGCTGTCCACACGCGCTCTTAGTCACGCCTCGACACTACCAGCCTGCAGGCCGCTCACACGGGCAGAAGTGCATGGCCTACCGTGCTGCTGGGTGGAAGCGTTGGACGACGGGCTGCCTCTCGCATCTCCGTTGAAGGAGCGCGGCGCATGTGTGGTGAAGTCGTGCATGCTGCTGGGTCGGGCATGGAGATACGCGCGGGTAGGCACGGTGGTGGAGTAGCCGTGCGGCCCACTGAACTGCTGTGAAGTGACATGTTGGGGCGTGTTGCAGGCCACCAGGAGTCACTAGGTCAGGCGTGAGGTCTTCTTTTTCTGCTGTTCCCCCGGTGGCTCAGCACGAGGGAGGTGGGACGAGGGCGGGTTTTCGCTGGCCCACCACCGCGCTGCAAGGAGTCCACAGCCCGTGAAGTCGAGTCCCCTTGCTGAAACCTCTAGACGTGAACCAGGCCAGTGTCATCCACAGCCGCTGCAGCTAGCTCGGGGCGCCCGTCGTTAGTCGCGCTCTTGCGAGGATGAGTCAGTGTTGGGCTGCGAACAGGTGGGTACTTTACACGTAGCAGTGGATGACGTGTGGATTGAGAGTGGAACTTCTCCTGCGGCGCTGATCCAGGCAGGCTTGCGAAGGCGGCCAGGCAGGCTAGCGAAGGCGACGCGGGTCAATTTGAGACTATGTGTGAGTTGTGCAAGGAAACGGGCTGTGTGACGTGTGGGCCAGGCGAAAACGCAGCTGTTCGCAGCACCCTCACGCAGTTTGGAGGGCGCTGCGAGCCAAACAAAAACGCCAAGGTCGGTATGGCTTCCATTGCAGAGGTAGCGACGGTGTGGGCGGCGTGTGCAGCGATTCAGCAATTAGTCGGGTCGAGGTGCTGGGATGCGTTGTCGCGAGTGTGGTCGACTAGCGGTCAGCCAGCTTGGTTGCCCCGCGAACTGGTGTCAACACGGCCCAATGTCACAGCTGAAGGTGGCCGCGACGACTAGCCTCGACTAATATCGGCCGTGGCTGCTATCGATACCTGGGCTATACATGGTCACCGCCGGCCTGCCTCTCATTTTTCGTTCATCTTCCTGCAGGCCGCCACGCGTTCCGCGACTCCTCGACGCGCTCGCTAGTAAACAGACGCATGTCGCCGTCGCTCGCCGGGTAAAGCGCGGTCCGAACCGCATCCGGGGCACGCTGGGGCAGATCCAGGGCTACAGGGCAGACAGGGCAGACAGGCACACCGGGCAGACCGGCAGACAGGGCAGCAAACATGGCCGGCCAGGCGCTGCCGACGCGGTTCCCGTGCTGGTGCAAGGCGGTGTACTCGTGGGGCGGAGAGGTGAGTTGGGCGGCGCCCGTGGTGCGCATCGCTGACGGCGCTGCAGACCAAGCGCGATCTCGGCTTCATCGAAGGCGACCTGATCGAGGTGCTCAACGCCGGCGACGGCTCGTGGTGGATGGGGCGGCTGAAGCGCGACCGGCGCATGGTCGGGCTGTTCCCGAGCAACTTCGTCGAGCTGCTCAGCGAGGACTACCAGCCGTGGAACGCGGGCCGCAACGGCAGCGCGGAGACGGTATCGCGCCAGAACAGCGCGCAGGCGCCCGCGAAGCCCGTGCCGCAGAAGCAGAAGAGCATGTTCCGGAAGCCCTTCACGGCCTATGCAGCCGCAGGCGCCCCGAACCCAGCCGCCGCCGCGCGTGAGCGGCTGCGCCAGGGCGCGACGCCCCAGGCCGCGAAGACGACCAAGCCCTTCTCGTCCATGAAGCGCGACTCGATGGAGAGCCGCGACAGCGCGTCGCCCGCCCCCGCGCCCGCCTCGCGCGCCCCGTCGCATCTGCGCGCCGTCTCGCCGCGGCCCGCCACGAAGCGCCCAGCAACCTCGCCCGCGAACGCCAACGTCAACAGACACGGCTCGCACGCCCGCACCAACTCGCACCAGCCGCAGCCGTACCAGACCCACGCGTCGAGGGCCGTGTCGCCCGCCCCGCCGCCGTCTAGACGCGGCTCGGGCACGCGCACATATCAACAGCAGCAGCAGCAGCAGCCACGCGCCATCTCGCCCGCACCACCCAGAGCCATCTCTCCCGCCCCGCCGCGACAGCAGTACCACCCCCGCGCCGTCTCGCCCGCGCCGCCTCCCCAGCAGTACCGCGCCTACGACCGGGGGCCGTCGCCGTCGCCGCACGCGCACTCGCGCTCCATCTCGCCCGCGCCCCCGTCCCGGCACGGCTCGTACGCGCGAGGGCCCTCTCCTGCGCCGCCTGCGCAGTATCAGTATCAGCAGAGGGCTGTGTCGCCGGCTCCGCCCCCACAGCAGCAGTATCACAGGGCCGTGTCTCCTGCACCGCCGCCGCAGGGGTATCATCGTGCAGTCTCGCCCGCACCACCCCCACAGGGATATCACCGAGCAGTCTCACCCGCACCACCCCCACAGGGATATCACCGAGCAGTCTCACCCGCACCACCCCCACAGCAGTACAACCGAGCAGTCTCGCCCGCACCACCGAGGCAGTACCAACCCAGGGGCGTCTCCCCTGCACCTCCGTCGCAGTACCGCTCATACGACCGGGGCCCTTCGCCGAATCCTTACCAGCGAGAGGCGTCCCCTGCGCCGTCCTTCCAGCAACAGCCTCACTCGCGAGCGGTGTCGCCTGCTCCCTCATTCGGGCAACACGATCGGGCTGTATCTCCAGCACCTTCGTTCCAGTACCGTGCCTACGACCGCGGTCCCTCGCCATCTCCATACCAACAACAGCTGGAGAGTCGCAGTCCCTCGCCCGCGCCGCCGCAGTTCCAGAATCAGTACGATGATGATGAAGACGAAGGCCCCCCTCCACCACCGCCGCCGCATCGCGTCGCATACGATCCGAACCGAGCCGTCTCGCCTGCGCCGCCCCCACAAGACCGCTTCACAACCCCCGAACCATCCGCACAGGCCCCCCAGAAATTCACTCCTTCGCCGCTCACGAACGCCATGAACGATGTCATGTCCTCGCTGCAAGACATGGCCTCGCCGGAAGTAGAGACACCCTCGAATCCCTGGGCCCCTGACGCTCTCGACCAGGTGCATCAAGCTTCAGCAAGAATGGCTGGTCTGCAGACCGGGCACAGGAGTAATAGTCGCATGGATGACGACGACGACGAGCCCGTGCAGGGTCCGCCAGACGTGGACGAGTACGTCAAGCGCATGGAAAGCCGCCTACGCCGGATGCACCAGATGGAAGCCAGCAAGAAGAAGAGGAAGGACGGCTACTCTACAGGCGGGAAAAGCACGCCCCCTCCAGTGCCAGCTAAGAACTCGCCATACGAGAGGCCAGGGCCATCGCTCATCAAGGATGCTGGGGATGTCGAGCGCAGGGAGTCGAAGTTGCTGCGCCACCGCAAGTCGGTGCACGAGATTGGGAAGAGTCTGGGCCGGACGTTTACAAGCAAGACCAATTCGACCGTTGCGACAGAGAGCACGAACCGCAGCTTGATGTCTGGGTACTCCGCCACGGCCATGAGCTCCACTAGCGCTGGCAGCTACTACCGCAAGAAGGCCGCCAACGACAGATCCCGCAGCGCGGTGGGCAATCGCTCGCCTGGCAAGGGTTTTGGCTTCGATGACGGACGACCAGAGACTCCCTTCACTGGCGTGACGTATCACTCGAGCCATGCTTCTCACTCTCAATCTCGGCCCGGTTCGAGCGATCAGCAACAGCAGTCCACGCAACCCAGCACGCCTGGACCAGAGAACCCCGACCCGCTCGGTGGTCTTACGCAGCCCAAGGCCAGGCGCAGTGGCTTCTTCCGCAAGATGATCGACTCCGCCAAGACGCAGGCTGCCAACGCTCGCAGTACCATGGAGACCATCAGCAGGCCAGCATCGCGCGCTGCTAGTCGTGCTGCAAGCCGTGCTGCCAGCAGGACAGGAGCACGCATAGATCGTATGGATACTGGCACTCCAGCTGGCTTTGCTGGTGGCTCTGCTGCGCATCAGTCGACGCCGAGCAGAGACGGCGGTCTTGGAACGACCGACTGGGTTCAAGTGCGCCGAGACGTCAACCGCTCCAACTCGTTGAGCAAGAACGAGCGCATGGAAAGAGTTGAGCGCTGCCAGATGATGGACTACCCTGCCCTGAACCCTGTCGACATCCTCAATGAGTCGGTTGAAGGCGACGAGGGTCTCGATGGCCTGCCAATCGCCGAGCCTATCGACTTTGCGTCATGCAACTTGGCCCACGTCGACAAGGGGACCAGGTTTATTAATAGCATCCCTATGGGGACGACCTCCGCCGCCCTGGCGCAGGGCTACGTCTGCAGACCATTCAGGAGCGACGTCCAGCGTCTGCGGGCCATCTTCACCTGGGTCAGCGAACGCATCGCCTGGGAGGAGGACTTTGAAGGCGAGATGGACACTCGCCACGTCCTCCAGAGCAAACGCGGATGCTCGCAGGAGATTGCGATGGTGGTTGCCGAGATGTGTGCGTCTGTCGGTCTCCACGCGGAGGTTGTCCGCGGTTACTTGAAGACTCCTGGAGAGCCTCTGGATCTGGAGAGCGTGGCTCGACCGAACCACTCCTGGAACGCAGTCATCGTCGACGGCGAATGGCGGGTGATCGATTGCTCTCTCGCAGGACCCACAAACCCGAAGCGTGTGCACTTCTCGACCGCTGGCCCCCAGGTCGCCGAAAGCTGGTACTTCCTCGCCCGCCCTCTCGAGATCTGCTACTCGCACGTTCCGCTTCTCCCCGAACAGCAGCACATCGTCCCGCCCCAGCCTCATGACATCCTCATGGCTCTACCGTGTGCCACGCCTACCTACTTCAAGCATGGTCTGAGCGTTGTCGACTTCGACACCAGCATGCTCAATCTCGACAACCTTGAGATGGCGCACGTATACGTGAATGTTCCTGAGAGCGTCGAGTGCTTTGCTGAGGTAGAAGCTCGAGCATACTCGCAGGACGCGGATGGTGACTACTTCGAGAGCGGCGACTTTGTGCGGAAGCCAGCGCTTGCGCAGGCTGAATGGGTTGGAGGCCAGAAGCGGTACACGGTCAAGGCGTTGCTGCCCGGAGACGAGGGTCAAGGTGTGCTCAAGATCTACGCCGGGCCCCGCGGACTTATGGTAAGCTTGGTTTCACTTCATTCAGACGATAATACTAATTTGATCCCAGCACTCCAACAAGCAAAACCCGCACTCTCTCGCCATCGGCCTCCCCATCACGCACACCGGCAGCAATCCCCCCTACTCATTCTTGACACTCCACCCCACACCCCACGCGCAGCGCAACGACCTCTACATCGCGCAGCCGCAGTGCTCCAACCTCGTCCTCAACAACACCTTCGTCTTCTGCGTGCGCCAGCACCCCGCCTCGACGACCCGCACTGAGCCCGAGACCTCGCTCGCGGGCCGCGCTTCGCCCAACCCCTTTGCCCGCCCCGCCTCCGCCATGAGCATGCAGTCCATCTCGGCCTCGGGCAGCAACTACACCAACCCATCGCAAGCGTCGTCCGGCTCCAACGGCAGCAGCGCCATGAAGCCCGCCAAACTCGCCATCCAGACGCCCTCGGGCAAGATCATCCGCCTGACGCGCAAGACAGAGCATGTCAGCGTGCTGACGGATGCGGACGGCACCGCGTGGGAGACGGTGATTAAGATCGGCGAGAAGGGCACGTGGAGGTGTCTTGTCCTCGCGGATCGCAGCGCGAGGTGGTGCGTGTTTGCCGAGTGGGAGTGTGCCTAGGAGGTGTGCACGAAGGATCGCTGGGGGTTTGAGTGAGGGGGTTTATGTTGGGTGTACGACGGAAGGATGATGAATACACGACGAGTGTATGAGTAGACGTTTTCTCTTCTTTTCTTTCTTGGACTGCGTCCCGATAATTTTGTGTTGTAATGGGTTGGCGTCACATGAAGCATTGTAGGACCTGGTTTAGCATTGCATAGCGGGTGTTGGTCTGGTTTGGGCAGTGTAGGATACGAATGAAGTCAGTGCTGCAGTACTAGTCTTGGATCGTGACGCTGGCGATGTTGAATTTATTGTCATCCTGTTTATTTCGATGTATGTACAGCTTGACTTTTGTGGGCGTCTATGAAGTACAAGTATGTCTTATCGATAAGTAGCCCCGCCAACCACTCATCATCCCACCAACAACTTTTCCCCAGCTTCACCACAACACAACACCATGGACGCCCAAATCGCCGAGTGGCAGACCCGCGCCGAGGCGCTCAAGCCCCTCAACCTCAAGGCCATTGAGCCCAGCCTGCAGGAGCTCGACGCGCACCTCACGCTGCGCTCGCACATTGTCGGCTACACCATCACCGATGCCGACACGACCGTCTGGAAGACGCTGCGCGAGAACCGCGTCGCCCACGCCTTCGTCAAGCAAAACCTGATGCCCAGCCTGTGCAGGTGGTTCCGCTACGTCGAGGAGGCGTACCCCCAGTCTGTCGTCCTGGCCGAGCGCCCGAAGGAGGCGGCCAAGGGCGGCCGCGGCAAGAAGGAGGGCGGCAACGACGACGCCAACTACGACATTGGCCTGCAGGATGTCGGGGACGGGTCGGGCATCGTCACGCGTTTCCCGCCTGAGCCTTCGTGAGTGCCCATGCGATCGACTGCCTTGAATATGACTAACGCTGCGCAGAGGCTACCTCCACATTGGCCACGCAAAGGCGGCTCTCCTCAACGACTACTTCGCCCACACCAAGTACAAGGGCAAGCTCATCCTCCGCTTCGACGACACCAACCCCAGCAAGGAGAAGGCCGAGTTCCAGGACTCGATTGTCGAGGACTGCGCGCTGCTCGGCGTCAAGCCCGACCAGGTTTCGTACACCAGCGACTACTTCGACGAGCTGTACGAGCGTGCTGTCCAGATGATCAAGGACGGCCTGGCCTACGCGGACGACACCGCCCAGGAGAAGATGCGCGCCGAGCGCATGGACGGCATTGCCAGCGAGCGCCGCGAGATGAGCCCTGAGGAGACGCTGTCCAAGTTCGAGGTGATGAAGACGGGCTCCGAGGAGGGCCGCAGGTGGTGCATCCGCGCGAAGATGTCCGTCGACAACCCGAACAAGGCCATGCGCGACCCCGTCATCTACCGATGCAACCCCGAGGACCACCACCGCACCGGCTCCAAGTGGAAGATGTACCCCACCTACGACTTCTGCTGCCCCATCGTCGACTCGGTCGAGGGCGTCACCCACGCGCTGCGCACCACCGAGTACAACGACCGCGACGCCCAGTACCAGTGGTTCATCACCGAGCTCAAGCTGCGCAAGGTGCACAACTGGGGCTTCGCCCGCCTGAACTTTGTGCGCACCGTCCTGTCCAAGCGCAAGCTGACCAAGATCGTCGACGCCGGCTACGTCTGGGGCTGGGACGACCCGCGCATGCCCACCGTGCGCGGCGTGCGCCGCCGCGGCGCCGTCATCCCCGCCCTGCAGGAGTTCATCCTGAAGCAGGGCCCGTCCAAGAACATCGTCAACCTCGACTGGTACTCGTTCTGGGCCACCAACAAGAAGCACGTCGAGCCCACCGCCGCGCGCTACATCGCCATCGACGACGCCGCCCAGGTCCCCGTCACCATCATCGGCGCGCGCGCCGGCGTCACCACCGAAGACAAGCCCAAGCACGCCAAATACGACCTCGGCACCAAGAAAGTCGTCTTCAGCAAGGACATCATCATGGAGCAGGCCGACGCGCAGTCGTTCGCGCAGGACGAGGAAATCACCCTGATGAACTGGGGCAACGCCATCGTCCGCTCCATCACGCACTCCATCAACCCGCTGTCCTCCTCCGGCCTGAAAACCGTCACCGCCCTCGAGCTCGAACTGCATCTGCAAGGCGACGTCAAGAAGACCAGCAAGAAGGTCACCTGGCTCTCCAAGGACCAGGACCTTGTCCCCGTCGAGCTCGTCGACTTCGACTACCTCATCTCCAAGGACAAGCTGGAGCCCGAGGACACGCTGGAGGATTTCCTGAATAAGGAGACTGAGACCCGCGTCAAGGCGGTTGCGGATTGTAATGCCAAGGAGCTGAAGGTCGATGATATTATTCAGTTTGATCGCAAGGGGTTCTTCCGCATTGATCGCGCGTTCCAGCACGGGCAGGCGATTCAGGCGTTCCAGATTCCTACTGGTAAGGCGAAATAGAGTGGCTGTGGAGAACTGTAGAGCGCGGTCTAAGCACGATCCAAGACACGATTTGAACACAACTCGCAACGTAGTCTGCTCTGTCTATTCATTCATCCCCCCACCCATCCACCCATCCCTCTTCTTCCCCTTCTTCTTCTCCTTCCCCTTCGCCCCTCGTGATGTCCCTCCCACCGTCTAGACCCCCGAATTGTGTCCGCTCAAGCCAATCCGTGATTCAAACTCGTACTCCTACCCTCGGACCCCTCGCTCCTCGCTAACCTGTCTCCCGCTGAGATAGCTCCTGAGAGCAGGTGCACGAGTACGTCGAATAGCGCGGTGTCGGTATCTGTGTCGGCAGCTGCATCGGTGTTTGCGTAGATGCAGTTGTAGTCGTGGGTGTAGGAGTACCTTACGAGTACTCCTGCTCGTCCCGCACCCACCGCCAACCCACCGTACCATCTGTCTTGCCCACGCCAACTCTGTCTTTGCCCACGCCAACTCTGTCTTGCCCACGCCAACTTCCCCGCTCGCATCTCCACCCCCGCCTGCTTCGCCATTTGCGCTGAAAACACCACAGCTTTTACGCTGAGTACTGCGGTCAAAAAGTATCGTCCTTGCGAATACACAGCTTCCATGGGGAAATGTACGCCGATGTGCCCGCACCGCACCGCATCGCGCGAGAGACCATGATTGTAACACTTCGGATTCCAGCGCGTAGTGCGTGGAAATCGTTTTTGAGGCTTTCGAATATGGCATTGGTGGATCACATGAGTAGTGTCATATTATTATAGTGAAACGTCTCGGGACGTCTAGCCTCACCTCGATCCCCAGCACATATCCATGGGTAGTGCGTACGTATACACCATATCACCGTCGTCTTTAATTTGCGCACATCGACATGGCACTGCTGTCTTGGGTTTCCGGCATGGAATGTGTGGTGTGTCGCGTAGCGTGCAGTGCTATCTGCTAGCCGCCGCGCAGTAGATCTGCTTAGTTGCCTGAACTACATACATTGACCGAAGACTCGCGCATTCGGCGGACCCCGTTCGTACGTGCCTCGGGAGGCAGCTGCGGATCGGTGTATCCCCGGTTCAGGCACGTGGTGCTGGTGTGTTTTGGATACATACAGCGTGCAAGAGCGCTGGCAGTGGAATGTAAACTGTATCTCTGTCCTCCTACGATGAGAACTGGAGGGTCTAGCTGGACCGGGTTGGCAAGGGATTTGTAGCCGCCGTGGAGCGGAATGAGGACTGCGTGGATGGTGAGAATACTCGAGCTGAGGTATCTGAGGCGCAGAGTAGCCATCGTGAAGGAGAATGACGACTGCGTGGATGTTGAGAATACTCGGTTTGAGATCTCTGAGGCGCGCGAAGTGGCTAGATGGGATACTGGATGTTGAAGGCACGCGCTGGAAGTGTACGGACGGAGAGCTTGTTCGTCAGCGTGTGGGAGCTAGTTGTGAACCTGTGGTTTGGCATGGTCGGTTCGAAAACTAATAGAAGATCCGCGTCCTGATGTTGATCGCATGGCACTGCGTTTTGGATCTCTACGGCAAGATGATGTCGAGGTTATGTTGCACGCAGCTTTTTGACTTGCCCTTCGCGTAGGTAAGTAGTATATCGATTAGTACTCGCGGTGTGTAAGCTAAGACCGAAACGGGGACTTTTGCATTCTTCATGCTCGATTTGATTTACTGCTGGATGGTGCTCTTGTGAGGCACGTTGGTCGTTCGACGCTTCCATTCCAACCGGCTTCACAATTTGTGATTTCCGTACACAATCAACAACATTCCATTTCGCGTCTTCACCTACTGTATGTTCAGTGCGCCCAGGGTTGCGAATTACAGATGTATTTTAGGAGTGCATGGCGCAGCGCATGAAAAGTGTTCCGAGCACCCGAGTCTTTAGCCCCAAGCGAACCTCTGACACAGTTTGTACTACCGTATTGATTGTCGAGCATCGTTGATCGACAGTACCGTGTATAGCACCCATTGGATAGGCTCGCTGGGCCCGCCGCTCCTTACCAAATGACTGGCTGTTAACGATGTTCGACAAACGATACGGTACAAAACAGCTTACGCGGCAGTGCAAAGCTCCTTATCAGTTGTCAGCCTGCAGTATTTGGGACCTGCGTTGGGTGCAAGACAAGAGCGGGGTAATTTCGTACACAGCCTCGTCAGGCAACCAGGCAATCTCACGACGGGATCCTACATCAAGACCTCATGGCGCTAGGCGCCTGGCGCGAACAATCGCTTTTCCTCTGCTTCCATCCCGAGGCCTGGAAATTGGATGCAATTTGACACACAATGATCTGCGTCTTTATCATCTGTCTGTGGGTCTACAGTATCCAAGTACTTGGTTATCCCATCCCTATTCGCCCCACTCCATCGGTAGATTCACCAGGGGATACACAATGCGCGTCTATCGATACGTACACAGTGGAATGGTTCTTGAGAGAGGCGTCTCGGCGGAAGGATATCGATCTGCCACTCGACAATGCTCTGTTCTACACTCGAGGCATGAGTGACATGGCGCAGGAGTACGCTTGCGATCACGACCTCATTACTATCTGGAGTATCTGGGATCGTGCACTTTACAACCACCGCAATGTCTCCACAAACGCGATGCGGTGTATCCATAATGACCAGACGAAACGGCAGCGGTTCTTTGCAAGCATGTCCGAGGCCTACGCGACACTTGCGACCGGGACTGTCGTTGTCATGCACGACGCCAACGATTGGATGCGTCCCCCAACGGATGGTATCTGGCACCAGGTGGAATATCAGACCATGGTGCACAACGCAAAGACTGTCACGACAATCCTCAAGCTGAAGGAGAAGGACAATGCGTCTGCCTTGGTCCTCTGGGATCGAGCACTGCCTCCTCTGTCTGAGCTCGGAAAGCCCATCTCAGAAGTCCTAGCGACAGGGCGACATGTTCCTCATTTTCTCGGAAATGCGATGGACTGGATCGCAGGGGCGGTTGAGTCCGCGAGGCAGGCTGTCCTGGATCAGGAACAGCAACCCCATACTGGCCATACGAAGACAGCATGTAGCGGAGTGTCTAATTATCCACTTGAGATTCATTGGTGATCTGTTGTCCAGCGGTAGCAACGTTGAGTTTGATCTGGATGTCTGAACGATAGATTTCCGATGCTTCATGTACGTAGTTCTAAATCACTAGACGGCGGATTTGGTACTCTCACCGCCCCCCACGTAATCCGTCGCGATTGTGGTCTCGACATGAATGCCGCTCTTGTCATTTGACAAGCTTGGGTCACCAGACTGGACCGATATACCGCCTGTAACCAGCGAGTCTTCTGAATCGTTTGCGCTGTGTCTTGTCCTCCGTGGCGACATTACACTGGCAGTATGTCCATTCAGTCGATGGGCATTCGTCTTGCGTTTGTCTGTCGTGAGTTCGTAATGCTTGCCGTAGCTGCTCGTCGCATTCTGGGTGTTGCCACCGATGAGCATGGATCGCAAAGCCGGGAGGCATGATGCGATGATGGCTATCGATGTCTCGACCATAGAGACAGTGCATGTCAACATTGTTTCGTTGAGGCGGGAGTAGTAGGCTCGGATGACTGTGGAAGAAGTGTCAGATTGAACCTGGCTTGAGTTTGCCACCCCGAACCACTTACTGCTGGAAATTATTACGAAAATACCAAGCGCGAAGATGGCTGCAACACCAAGCTTCTGCTTCAGCTTCATTTGTAACCTCATGACCATAACGATTGGAAGAGTGATGATAATCGCATCACTGATGATGTTGACTGTTCATTCTCAGCAGAGGTAGGATCGCGCGGTCGAAGCTCACTTACACAAGATGGTAATCCAGTAGTTGATGTCAGCAGCTTTCGGATCACACTGATCTGCTCAAGGTTATTACAAGTGCCTTGGTCTACGAGGCAACACTTACAATCGGGATCAGCCGACCATCTTTTGTCGTACGGATAGCACTGGAATAGGATATCGAAGAAGATGACGAGGAAAGTGACGAGTAGTCCACCGAGGGCGATGTTGTATACTGTGATGAGCTTCGAGCCTGGTGCAGCAAGGCGCTTGTAGAAGAGTACAAGTGCGAGCTTAACAGCCCATAGGGATGCAACGTAGAGGGTGGATCCGGGCACGATCATCTGCATGATGCCCTTGATTTTGTCTGGCGTCAAGGTCCCTTTGGCTATATCACCGAGACCCAGATTCCACATGTGTTGTTGGATTGCCAGGTCACCGATGAGGCATAACAGTGCCAAAATGATAAACCCGTCCTCGATTGCCAGGCCGCCAAATTTGGCCCATCGCGTGTAGGTGCGCAGGCAGACAAAAGGGACGGCAGCTGTTTGGTCAGTATAGAACCCCTTTTGACATTGAGATGATCAGAGCATACCAACAGTACAGATGTACCACGATACCTAGAACACTAATCAGTCCTGGTCTACAAACAACGACGCCGAACTACTCACCACCTGGCCAATGCCGGAAGTCGTCATTGTCGTGATTGCAGCTTCACAAGTGGGCCGGGCCTCTGCTGTTCAGATATGTTAAACCGTAGGTGGGAGAGATCAGAGCGTGGAGAGCATCCCAGTCATATGTGAGCCCGACAATACGGACAGTGGACTCCTGATCAGCTCCAGATGCCAAACCTCATGAACTCCGCAGAGGCAGTAACTGAAAGAGCAACGTCTCGCCCGTGGTGGGTCATTGAACGACATGAGCTCTTCTTAGCAATGACTAGTGGTCGCGCATGGAAGGTCATCACTGTTGAAACCTGCCATGCCGAACCATTGCGATCGAAACGCTCATTGGTTCGTTAACGCTATTTGGTCGCCTCCAATGACAGAATGCAATCATTCTTGTAACGATGTCGTGGCGAGGTCGTTCGGCAGGCGTCCGCTCCAGCGTTGCCGTGCCCGCGGGTGTGCGCTAACGTGCCGTGTGTCCCACTTTTCCTGCGATGTTGACTCGGAGAATTACCACTCTTCCTGGTGAGGTTATCTTCTCACCACACGTGTCTGTGCACTGTCTTTACATCGCCCTACACGGTGTTACTTTGAGCCCAGAATGTGCTTCCAGAAGGAGAATTGGAATCGTGAGGCGTGTGGAGACAACGTGTGGATCAGCCATCGTCTCATTCTGGTTGCGCCGATGTCGAGCCGAAAACCGAGGCTTTATCCCTGCTAATACGCATCAAGTCGCCTCAAACTCTGCCCTTATGTCATGTTGCTTGCAGCCCTCGAGGGGACATCAAGGGCAGCACTGACAACGATATCATTAGCGATTGCCGTGCCGGCCCGGAGGGCCTGATAGGCACCGGTCTCCGCTGAGTCCACTCGCGCTTCTGGGTGCACTGCCTGCAGCAAAGAAATTTTTCAGGGTCCTGCTTATCGAAAGGACCACATGGTGTGCTTCTGGTCGAGCAGACCTCAGAAGGATCAGCCTGATCGGGACTGAAAGTGCTTAACACGTGGTCTGCACGTGGTATATATGTGCGATCGTCGACCTCATCGGTGTGACATCGCTTAAGCATCTTCAACCTTCGTCGACACCCCACACTGTCGATACAATGGGTCGATTCCACGAGGTGATCAGCGTGTTGCTTGTGATCTGCGCTGGAGCAGAGGGCAAGAACCCAACAGCTGCAAAGGAGATTACAGGTGGAGCACCGAGAGTCGAACTCAGTCAAGCGACGGTGGAAGGTTTCCTCGATCCCCACAATAATCCGGTCTTTTTGGGGATCCCGTATGCTGACACAACGGGTGGACAAAATCGGTAGGTTCTGAATCCTACAAAGGATTAAAGTTTATACTCACAGCGGCCCAGATGGAGAGCTCCCCAGGACGTACCAAAGGCGAAGAACAACGCTGTCTTCAGTGCAACACAATATGGCGCAACTTGTCCTCAGGCCATTTCTGGGACACTGTTCTCGAGGCAGGACGAGGATTGCCTGAACCTTAACATTTGGGCGCCGTCTGGAGCTTCGAATCTGCCGGTATTTGTATACATGTATGGAGGTGCCATGGTCACCGGATCGAGTAGCAACCCTATGCTGCAGGGAAACAATTTCGCCCGCAAAGGTGTTGTTTTTGTTAGCTTCAACACCCGTGAAAGCATCTTTGCGTACCCCAACTCCGCCGAACTTAAGAGCGCTACTGAGTCCCAGAACTTTGGTATTCTCGATGTTGATAAGGCTCTAGAATGGGTGTACGCTAACATTGCCGGTATGTCGCCCCTGGAAGCGTCTGGGACGTCCAGCATGATATAAGTACTGACAGTTTCGGCCATTTAGCCTTCGGCGGTAATCCTGATCATGTGGTATTTGGAGGTCATAGCTCTGGATCTGTTCAGGTCGACCATTACCTCTGGAATCACCCCGACGCTAAGCTAAAAGGCGCGATTCAAATGAGTGCCAACGCGAAATCAGGTCCAGCTGTAGCTCCTGTGAACCAAGCTCTTGATATTGTAGCAGCTGAGGTTGGCTGCCCAGTTGGCAAGGGTCAGCTGGAGTGTATGCGCTCGGTTGATTTTTTCGACATTGAGACGGAGAAGTTCAACGCCACCTACAACACTTGGTTCACTCCAGCTATTGACGAGATCACGCGTTACCAAGACTACGAGAGCCGTCTTGCAGCTGGCAAGTACGCCTCGCACGTACCACTCCTGACTGGTAACTCAGATGGTGAGGGTGCAATCTTTTCCCTTGTATATGGCGCAGAGAACTCCGACTTCGATGCATGGCTGGGCACATTCGACGCCGATGTTGCTCATATCCCCAAAGACGTTCTCTTGGCTGCGTATAATGCTGCAGACTATGCGACCGTGTCTCAGATGAGTGGTGCACAGTACGGCGACGCCCGCTTTTTCTGCCCTGTCGACTACCTCCAGGACCTGCGCAGCACCAAGCAGGACACATGGGCGTACCGCTTCTTTGGCGATTATGCCAACGTAGTCGGGGCGCCGGTCTCTGCCCCTACTCATGGCACAGAGATTCCTTTCTTCCTGGGTGGCAATGAGTGCTTTGATGCGATCAGTGGTGTAACGCAAGCGCAGCAGGCACTGGCTGACTACCAGAACGATTGGTTTGTCGCATGGATCAAGAACCCATCGGCGGGGCCTGGATGGTCAAAGGTTTCGCCAAAGAAAGGAACAATTGCAAAGCTTGGAGTACCGGGCAACGAGCTTGCGATTGGACTTGCATCTACCTCCGACTACAACGGAAGATGTCAATCAGTGAGTCCTCCCCTAAATGTTTAGCTTGTTACCAACTAATGAAACTATCAGGCATATAATCCATACCTTGCAAAATACCCCGTTGTCCAGAGCGTAGCTGGATCAGCAGGCTTGATCGGCAATTGATGAGGATGGACATTGGAAGCATTCGTGTGGCTCAATATATAAAAACATACATAAATACCCTAGTAGAATGCATGTCCAGCATATCGTTGTCTATATTATGGATAAATACACAGCGTCCGCAATGTTAAAATATTTCGGACATTGAATCTCGGCGCAAAGCCGACCGAAGCGAACCACACACACACATTCAATGAGGAGCTCACCTCCGAGTCCTCCGGCTAGGCTCTAGACATGGCAGATACAGGCGCTTGGTACTTCTGCTTTGTGTCGTCCGGCCGATAGCGTTCTAGCCGTTGATTTTGGCCTACAATTAATCCAGACAACAGCGCTCCAACGCTGCACAATATACTACTAAAACAAATGATACTCGCAGTTACACAACGTGATATCGAGAGTTCCCTTAGTGCGCTACAGTGTGCTGTCTCCACGTCTAACTTCACTCTAGGCGAATAGTGTTAGTTGCAGTGTCACCGCAATTCCCACTACAAACAACAACAACAAGGGGAAGTACTTGCTCGGCATTGTGGTCCGATCTAATGCTACCTTTGTATTACCGCCGTTGTTGGTGTACACCTGCGTTGTGCAGGATGTTTTGCGGCCGGGAGAATCCTCTGGTTTAGTGTTTCTGTTTTCGGGTGGACTGTATGCTTTCCCAGACGAATTTTACACATTCCGCGCGGATATATCAAATACCACAAGGAAAGGCTGCACAGAGAGTTATACTGCGTGAGGGACTGATACTGGCAGGCTATACGGTTGATCACGAGCAATTCTATTCATTGAAGGTCTTGGATATCGCTTGACAAGGCCCAGAACAGGGTGATGATAGACCCGTTGGCCACCAAATTGCAAGCAACAATGTTATTGGGATGACTGCGTGGTCACCTCAGGGGAGTGGCATTCGGGTAGCGGCAGCGGTAGGGGTCAGGCGAACACACACGACTCCTGGGGTCACTACATCAGATTACAAGATTGGCAGTGCAGGTACCAGATGGAAGATTTCGACTGTAATTGAGTTGCTCGTACCATACCCTGCACTCACTTTCAAGACTCTATATACCCACAGTGAAGTGCTTCTATCAAAACCAGCAAAACAGAAATATGTCATTTATTTCCCGACGCTGAAGTTCCAACAAGGGTAGGTCTTTCATCATGGAAGCGCAGTCCACTTACGCGAGAAAAGAAGTACTTTACAGCAAACGACGCGATCCAATGCACACGTGTGAAACATGTCGTCTCACAGCCACCTGCTCCATTTGAATATCTATTGATCCTGATCGAGTACATATCGAGCTATCCACACATCACGTTGATCTCCTGTAGGTGAGCTCTTCCTTTTTCCCACATATAGTGGATATAATCTTAGCACCATCAAATAAAATCGCCGGACTCGTCGATTATCAAATGCTCTAGCAGATCTACCTACTTCATTTCGCTGTACTAGCGATACCTGCAGCAGAGCCTAGATGTCGTGCTGTGGATGGATCACGCAGCGTGCAGACTCCAGATCGGCCTGTGCAGATCTGTTCTCTCCTCGGAAGCAGATCCAAAGCCAGATTTCTTTCGGTTTCCTTCCACCTGCAAATGAAAGCGCAACGACTGGACTCTGTGCGCACACGTGGAAACCCTAAATTACAGAACGTTGGAGTTGGACGCGAATTCGTACCATCGTACAACGTCGGTAGATACATGTATGAATAGGTGGTGTAGGAGTATGTCACTTCCTTGCAGGAAGCCCAATCGGACATACATAGCTAAGCATTCTGGCATGATCCGTGGATTTGGTGGGTGGGCCGCGAAGCGACCGGGGCCCGACGATGACTTCCAAACGTTGCTCTAGACAAAACTATCGACGATATGTGCAGCCCCGTGTCTATATTACATACAAAACAGGCTACATACCGCAGGAATGCATCATAATAGTATCCGCCATGACGATCACCGGGACGTTGAACGATATACACATGGTTTTCAACGTTCTTCCTTGAATCTCCGTTATATTGACAGGGGGAAGGGATGGGCGGACAAATTGCCGATTGATCACGCCACTCGCACATGCATCTCGCCGACAAGGATGCCTTCGCCAGGTACCCGCGTGGCAGAGACACCCGAGGATAAACTGTGGAGTTTTCAATTAGGTAGTTTGATATTTACACGTATGCACTCTCGAGAACCTCTCTACGTCGTCATCTCCCCGAGATGTCACCCTTGAATATCACGTGAGCCATTCATCGGTTATCCGAACCATACCTCGGCTCTATCTTCTATCGCCAAGATCGAAGAGCTGCAAGGTACCGCTTACTGGTATCCATTTATCTCCACCCCCGTTCTAGTCCCTGCTAATCTAGACGCCGTGCCTCGATTTTCCGAGAGAGTCTAAAGCAATGGTATTATACCAGGGCCATTGCATAGCTCATAGACGCATCCCTAAAATATCAGAATACAATTAAGTTTTTGACAGAATGTCAATGCCACACAGACCGCTCGATACTATCGAACCATGACGGTAATCGTGCCGACGCGCGTCACTCTTGATCTACTTCTCTCGTGCCATCATCGGCGGGGCCAATTCGGCCGACGATTAGTTGAAGATTGCTTGTGGAACAATGCAGCTCAAGGTCATGATAGTACGATAACAGTCAGTGGTGAGATGTGGATGGTGCAGGCACTTTCGCATGGCAGGCGCGTACTGGGTATCGATATCAATCCACTTTGTGCAGTGCAAGCAACGCAACTGGGATTAATCTGTCAATCAACATGTTTATTGATCCCAGTCTGATTAAATATTATGTCTATCTCATGTAATACATCATAGCACAGCACTGTCTACAAGTAAATGTAGCAGAGCGGTCCCTCGGTCGTGCTCATAAGGTCATTCATCGTGAGGACAGAGCCTCCAGCATAGCCCAGATCAATAGGAGTGTCCAGTGTCGTGTCCGGAGAGGGAGGGGCGTTCAAGAAGGTGCCAGTTCCAGAGATGCCCTGCTCGCTCTGGCGTGTCTTGCGGTCAAGCTGCTGCCAGATCCACCATGTGCGGTCGATCGCGCTGTGGTGCAGAAAGAACATTGGGTCACCAGGCGAGACAAAGAGATCACGGCCAGGGTCACCGCCGAGAGAGAAGTGTCCTAAGAATAGTTATTAGTACGTATGTGCATGAGGTTGGGAAATGCAAACACTTACCACCACCGTGGACGCCGATGCTGCCGCTGCCGGGCACACCTTGCATTTCCATCTGGAAGCTCTCAATGTCTTTGTTGTTCAATATCAGACTGACAACACTAGTAGCATTGGCCCACTTCTTGTTTGTGTAGTCGGTCAGATCACGCTTCAGACACCTTGGGTTGTACGACAAGCCATTGCCGTTGGCAGCGTAAGTTCCATCCGTGAGGGCCAGATTGACAGGTCCAAGGTTGACAGACATGTCCTTGAACGGTCCAGATGTGACGCAGCCACCACCGGTTCCAGCAGGAACCGGGATCTCGGGCAAGCCATCACCGCCGAGGATCACGTTGCCGCGCCCTGGGATGAACTCGCCGTTGCCAGACATTGAGGAGTCTGAGCCATCGAAAATGGGCGACTTCTCCAGACCAGTTTTGGCAGTCAGTGCCCAGTTCCAGTATGGCTGGTAGCCTTTGTATCCGCACTCATTGCGCAAGGCCTGTTCGTATTGCCATGTGAAGTAGCGGTGCCCTAAGCCGGAGGTTAGCAAGTGATCACTGTAGCATGTGCTTATGTAATACTTACATGCAAGGAAGGTTCCGGTGTAGTGAATGGTTAGAGTCTGGTTGATATGTGTACCAACCCAGTCGTCATACCTCGAGCGCGCACCAGGTAGAACGGACGCCGGGGTGTTGGTCTGCTTCTTCTGCAGACACAGAACTGCATCTGTGTACGATTTGCGCTCCTTCTTGGAAAGGGCGCCCCATTCGCGGCGGACAGCAACATTGAAGATGTTGCATGTTCCACGCTTGTTGCTGTTCTCGGCAAGAGTTGCATTGACTTGCTGCTGGGCAAAGCTTGACAATTCATTCAACTGATCAGCCGCTGCAGCTGTGTCAGAGCTGGCCTCTGTGAACGTGGGCGAAGCAGATGCTGCCGAGACAGTCGAAGTCGGTGTGTCCTGGGGAGCTGGCAAGGCATTGGACAGTGTGCCTGCAAGCAACGAAAGAGCCAATGGAGAGCTGAAGCGCATGTTGACTGGTGTAGATTATGATCAACGATGAAACAAGAAGGAGAAGAAAGAAGGTTCTGCTGCAGGATACTAAGTTCCAAGAATGCCTATTTGGTTATAAAGGTCTCTGCCGCATCGCATCTACCGTGGTGAAGCCCCAATTGATTGCCGTGGAGCATCCGAGCGAGGACTCCGCCCGGCCCCGTTTCCACGGCCAAATTTCGAGGCCACTCGTATCATGCTAACAATGCAGGCATGACACGAGGGAATGCGGTCGGCTCCTCGAAAGCTCATTCGTGTGCGCCCTTGAGTGCAAGGCGAAATTGCCGCTGTCAGAGTAGCATGAATGGATATGTCCTTTTCAGGGTACACTAATGCAAGCTAAAACATCGCAAAATGAACCCCAGAGACGGGAGATTCTGAGTAGCGTTGTGACGACAACTGCCGACACCCTAGTTCTTGCGACTTACCTACGCATCCCGTCCAGGCACGGCTGCGTTAGCTCACTTGTATTGCGGGGCTTCGTACGGCATCCTTTCGTGAACCTGCTGGCCTAACAGCGCGGACAAAGACCTTATCTTGTCGATTGCTATAGTCGATGCGGGCAAGACGTCCGGTAATGGAAACTGGTGAATATGCATTATCATGACTTCGAGTCAGCGCCTGCGCATTTCTATTCATTATTTCAAAGGATGCCGAATGACCGAAAGCTGATTCAGCGTTGTGAAGATGTTGGCTTCGGTGTTGCGACCTCTGGAGGTAGTAATTTTGGAGATGTATAGGGAGAATCCTTTTGGATTGATGCTTACTTCATGCCAAAGATGCTGAAGATGCTAAAGACGCGAGTGTGCATCTCGAAGATCACGATCTGTTCGCGCCAATCCAGCAGGCCGGTGCTTCTCGATTGCGCTTCGCGTTGATCGAGCCGATGCTGCTGATCTCTGCTGTCTTGCGTATAGTTGATGCAAAGTAGGATTGAACCCCTGTGACGTTAAGCGTGATTCCAGGGATCCGTGAACTACGCCACATGAAGGTGCCCACTAAGGATGTCACTGATCTTCTACACGCTGTTGAAGGCGCGATTTTTTCGCCGTCTGCTGTCGTCTTCTTGGCAATAGACTCTTGGGCCCAATCCTGAGCAGAGCTGGAAGCGCGAGGATGTATCAAGCGCCTTCCCTATTAGCGCCCCGCCACCCCAGCTCACCGGCTCCCGCGTTCCGCCGTCCCTCCGCGTCTCGGATCTCGCTTCGATTGAGCACGAGCGATCGCGCATGTGATGGTCGAGCGGAGTACACAGTAGTCAACCTCTCGATTCTTGTAAAAAGAAATCAAACTCAGCTTCTAGGCCAACATCCTACACGTACCTACTGCAGCATCCATGCCACAAGGCTTCAGACAGCTTCGTTCATGGCCAACCAAGCGCTTACCGCTCGGCTTGCAACCGAGCTGCAGCGGCCGGCCATTAAAGTTTGGGCTGCGATCTGAGCTTCACACTACGTGCCGTCCCGGTTCCCCTAGCATCACAGAATCACGACAAGTCTTTGCTCGAACATGAGAGCCCAACACCGATCGACTCGTATTTGCTGCTCAACAGGACCTGAAGTCCGCGCTTGCCTGATAGGGTACGTGATACCTTGAGGTCGACGGGACGTCTGCCATCCCTGAAGCATAATGTGATTGCGCAAGTACTTCCGCCTAAGGTTTGACAACGACCAGGGACAAATCATGCTTCAGGACCCCTACACATGTCATCGACCTCTCAGTGATGCTGGGAAGTACCTTGCTGTCTATTTGCGACCCTTGATCAATGCTTCCTTCGTCGCCTTCTAGGGCCAACTCGGCACACCTCCCGGAACTCTATACAAGCACGATTGAGCACAGGTTAGCCAATTCTTGTACTCGGGCTTTTATCCGGCCGCAGCTGGGTACAGGAGCTGCCGTGTTCCTCCTATCCTGCGCGACATCATTCGTTAATCTACATGCGTCGCCCACGCGCGGCGCGTGGTGATGATCCGTTAGCGAAAGGGCCCGTCTCGTTCGGACAGCTACACGGTATGTCCTGCATAGACGGCCTTACGCTCGGGGGAAGTTCCTCGAACAGTGCCGTGGTTCGGTCTTTATCGACGAGGTAAGCACTCGTAATATGGAGGTGCAGACCCGAACATGGGACTATTAGTACCGATGGCTGAAAGCGGATCGTTACTCCCCTGGATTCAGAGTTGATACTTCAGTCTCACATATTCAGGTTGAGCCTGACTCGATGTCTGGAATCACCACCGAATGTTAGATCTCCCCACCCAGTGCTCTCATGCAAAGTGCTTTCATCTTTTCTCTCCTGTTGAGGGCCTCTCCCAAGTACGCACAGTCTCAGCAATATCGGCAATGTCAACTACGAATGGAGGCGGCCAGGATGTCCCAATTGAGAACCAGGGCCCGAACATCCTGGGGGCCACATTGACAGTCACCATTGCGGCCTTCATTACGATGGCAACGAGGTTGTATGTCAGAGTCTACATGATACGTAACGTCGGATGGGACGACTACGTGATGATCGCGGCCATGGCTTTGGTAAGTAAGGATGATCTACACACAACCTACCCGCAGTGTGAATGATTCGTAGATCAACACTCTTCTGGACCTCGAGCAATGCTCGCAGACAGAGGAGCAAGTCAGATCGATGAGCTCCTACTCTTTGTAATCTCCAAACAACACCATGACCACAGCTAATACAACAACAGTGCGTCGCAGGCCAAGTCATCATCGTGCCTGAAGTCTACTATGGGGCCGGCCGGCACGTTGGAGACATCGATCCCGAGGACTTCGCTATCGGCTACAAGCTTAACTTCATTACGCAGCCTATCTACCTGTTTGCCATCTGCTTAGTTAAGATCTCCGTCGGCTTCTTCCTGCTGCGCATCGCGGTGCACACCTTCTACCGGCGCATCATCATCGGCATCATGGTCTTCATGGGATTCTACACCACCGGCTGTTTCTTCACCATCGTCTTGCAATGCACCAATCTCGCTGTGCAGTGGGACCACACCGTCAAAGCCACCTGCTGGACAGCGCACACCATCAAAGCTCTCAGCTACACAAACGTCTCGCTCAACATCATCACAGACTTAATGTTCTCCGTCATAATTCCTTGCCCCCTGCTATGGAGTCTGCAGATGAACAAGCGGCAAAAGATATCTCTGATGTGCATTCTCGGCCTCGGCGTTTTGTAAGCCCCCCCCCCCCCCCCCACACACACACACACCAAATACACGCAAACACACACCAATCCACCGCAACTAACCCCCTGCAGCGCTACAGCCGCCGCTTTTGTCCGCCTAACCTACCTTACATCCTACGGCCGCACAGGCGACTGGCTCTGGGACTCGCAACACCTGACGACCTGGACCGTGATCGAATCCAACGTGGGCATTGTAGCCGGCAACCTGCCGTGCCTGAAGCCCCTCTTCCGCGTTGTGCTGGGCAGCACGTACGGCCGCGGCAGTCGCAAGCCGACCACACCGTACGAGGCACGGCCGTACGGCGCGGGGACGCGGCAGAGCGCGCACGCGAAGGGGTGGGGCGCGCTGGGGAGTGAGCGCACTGTGGACGGCGAGGCGGCGGGGTGTTCCAAGGGCGCGTTTATGCTGACGACGATCAATGCGGAGAGGTGTCGGAAGGGGGAGGTGGTGAGTGCGCAGGTGGATGAGGAGAGGAGCGGGAAGAGTAGTACGGAGAGTTTGGCTAGGGGGTTAGGGGGGATTAAAGTCGATACTGAGGTAAATGTTGTGGAAAGTAATAGTCCGCTGGATTTTGACTTTGGAGAGGATAAGCGGGAGAAGAAAGACATGGTCTAGGGGTGGATAATGTGTGTGTTAATGATACCCTTGCAATGCAACTGACTGCAATTTCTTCATCGTGGTAAATTTCTATAAGCTGGGTATCGTAATTCATGTGCTACTATGCGTTACTTGCATAGCATCTGTGGGAAATCGGCTAGTGTGCCTCCTGTCTCGCTCTCACGTCCCTGATGAGCGCTTTTGCATCCTCAACCTCAAAGTTGTCCTGGCATAATTCGTTCGCCAGCTCGCTCGCCCGCTGATACATGCCACGCCCGAACTCGTATCTGGCCAGCCACAGTCGGGCCTTGCTCGTAGTTGATGTCACGCCGACACCGCCTGCGCCTTCTCCACCAGCGTCGTCACTGTCAGAACCCTCCTCTTGATCAAGCACAAGTTCCATGTACGCGGAACACTCCGCGTAGTTGTGAATGCGCTCGTAAAGCAGGGCGATCGGGTAGAGGACCTCAGGATCAAGATGGCCGCCACCGCCAAATGCTACTTCACCACCGCCAAACGAGGAACCTGCGCCAGTAGTGTAGTAAGAACCCGCCACTAGAGCACGTTTGTAAGCTCGAATACCGTTCATGATCTTCCCAACCTTGCCAAAGCACTGGCCAACTGCCATCCATAACTTGGGGTCGTATGGTCGTAGGGCAGCGGCGCGCTGATGGTAGAACAACGCATACGAGTGCATTTCGAGGACTTCGTATGCCTGCCCCAAGCCGTACCATGCGCGATAGTCTTTCCTGTTGGCATCCACGGCGCGGCGGTAAGATTCGATGGCGGCGTGAGTGTTCTTGAGCTCAACGAACTCGTGGCCCATGAGCGTCCAGGCCTCGAGGTAGTTGCGGTCTAGTGTGAGCGCGCGACGGAAGTACATGACAGCCTTCTCGTGCTCGGACTTCAACGAGTAATAGTTGCCAACTACGCAGCATGTCTCTGGCCGGAATTTATCGGTTGCAGTGGCCACTTGGGCCAAGAAAGAAAGTTTAGGCTTCAGGTCCATAACGAACAAAGTGTTGGAATAGGTGTTGAGATGGTCGAGACGGTATGGGTCGGTGACGAGCAGATCTGAGAATATATGCTCGGCATCCAGGTAGTCTTTACTGTGATAGTGTAGCAGGGCACGCTGGGTCTTCAGGAAGGCTGATGCAGGGAATATAGACAGAATCTGCGTGAGCGAGTCATGGACCGAATTGCTGACCTGGTACAACTCTTGTGAAGTGGTGATGTGGAAGATGAACGACATGAGGTTTCGCGGCAGCTGTGGTGCAAGTTCCTGGAGCTGGAGGTCGTTAGCTGACTTCATACTTTCACACACATGACTCCGATGCTCACCTCTTCGTTCGTGCCGAGAAGCGTCGTGAGCTCCTGCCATGCGCCCCAGTTGTATGGGTAGTGCTGCACGCTCAGCAGAAAGTAGTCTCTTGCGAGCTTCTCGTTCTTCCCCTTGGCAAGCACGACGCCGTAGAGGTACTCCAGCCAGCCCTGTGGCTGTCGCCCACTGTCAGGGAGAGCAGCGAACCACTGCTCCAGTACCGCGGACACACCCGCCAGCTCTTTGTTGTGCACAACGCCGCCGTCATGGGGGCCCAGGATCATCTCGCTGTCTTCGTTCATGCGCCTTTCACCGACGATGTACTTGGCATATAGTGCGAGAAAGAGCGCCTTCTGGCTCAGTCCTGCGACAATCTCGGCGGTCGAGTCAGGGACGGTCGATGCGGCGGCCGTCGCCTTGCCCTTGGGTGTGCTCTTCGCCTTTGCCGGTGACGAGTGGGTCGTCAGCACGGCGCCCCTGGGGAGGGGCACCGGAATGAAGACAGCAGCGCACCGATCGTACTCGCGGCAGTCAAACAGTGTCTTGGCGAGGAGGAACTTGTGTGCTTCCCGCGCCTCCAGCCGCTGCTCGGTGGCATCCTTGGGAACATGTGCAGGCGTCTGCGGCGGGGTGTGGCCAGACATGGGCGAATCGATGTCCGTATCCGAGCCATCGTCGTCCGAGGCGGGGAGCGCGTTGAGCAGTTCTGCAGCCCTTGGTCAACATCAGCACGGGTAGCGTGGCAGCAACAAGGCGGCGTACCACTTCGCCGAGTTATAGAGACAACGCGCCGTGCACGACTCTACGGCATTTTGTAGCTGCGCCTTCAACTGCGCCTCTTCAGCCGGGGAGAGCGCGCTCATGGTGGCAGAGTGTCGTGGATGGCGCCTATGACCGCATCGAGGATGGTTGTCGGTGGGTTTGTACGCGCCGACGCGCTGCTGGGGCTTGATGTGGGGCACCAACAAACAAAATGTCCCGCCGCCTTCACCGCCTTCGACCCTTACTACCCCTCCACCCCTGAGACAGATTGTCAAGTCCAGCTTGCAAGAAAACAATCAAACATCAGCATGCCTACCACCTTGAAAGAATTCGAGAGCGTCTGGCCACGCATTGTGGCCGACCTCCAGGCCCACTGCAAGGGCTACAACCTTCCCCAGCAGTCTCTTGATTGGTTCACCAAGGTACTCTCCGACAATGCTACCAGCAAGTCACATGCTCACCAAACCTCAGTCGCTCGACTACAACACCGTTGGCGGGAAATGTAACCGTGGCATGTCCGTCATCGACACCGTGTCCATCCTCCGCAATGAGACTCTGGACCCCAAGTCTGAGGAGTACTTCCGCCCTGCGCTGCTTGGTTGGATGATCGAGCTCCTGCAGGCCTTCTTCCTGGTCTCGGACGATATCATGGACTCTTCCAAGACCCGCCGTGGCAACCCCTGCTGGTACCTTGCCCCCAAGGTTGGCATGATCGCCATCAACGATGCCTTCATGCTCGAGGCCTCCATCTATCTGCTCCTGAAGAAGCACTTCCGCCAGGAGAAGAGCTACATCGACATGGTCGAGCTCTTCCACGAGGTCACCTTCCAGACCGAGTGCGGCCAGCTGTGCGATCTGCTCACTGCTCCCGAGGACGATGTCAACCTCGACAACTTCAGCCTTGACAAGTTCACCTTCATTGTCATCTACAAGACCGCGTACTACTCCTTCTACCTCTCTGTCGCACTGGCCCTCTACTACAACGGCAGCGCAACACCCAAGAACCTGCAGACCGCACACGACATTCTCATTCCCATGGGCGAGTACTTCCAGGCCCAGGACGACTACCTCGATGCCTTCGCCGACCCGGAGACTCTCGGCAAGATCGGCACCGACATCCAGGACAACAAGTGCTCGTGGCTTGTCAACCAGGCCTTGAAGAAGGTCACACCGGAGCAGCGCAAGGTTCTCGAGGAGAACTACGGCCAGAAGGACTCAGAGAAGGAGGCCAAGGTCAAGGCCCTGTACCACGAGCTCGAGCTGCAGAAGTTCTACGAGCAGTGGGAAGAGGAGCGTGTGGCTGAGATCAAGTCGAGGATTGAACAGGTCGACGAGAGCGAGGGCTTGAAGAAGGAGGTCTTTGAGGCTTTCCTCAAGAAGATCTACAAGCGCAGCAAGTAAGCGTTGCAATATGGAAATGTTGGCACCGACGTAGCGCAATGATATCACGTAAGATACCCAGATTGTATAAAAATCTAGCCAGCAACATCTCTGCCAGCATGGTGCTGTACGTGTTGTATAGCTTCCATAATATAATCGGCATCTATTCACACTGCTTGACGAGTGGCATCGCTCGATTGAAAATGTTCTCCCCCGAGTCAAGCGAGTCACGTTACCAGTCGTACACATGTCCATACAGTCACCAATCTGAACAGACGGCAAAATATTCATTTTTAAGCGTAATGCACCGATCGTCATCCTAGTACAGCTTCATAGATCTCTTCGGCATGGTCGAGTTCACACCCGTAGTAACATTTCCGAGCACCGTGTCATTCGAGTCCGCCTGGTCAAGCCATGTGGCCTTCAACGACCAGACAGCAACACTAGCAGTGACAGTCTCGTTCAAGCCAGCAGTCTTCAAGATCAGGGTGTCCAGCGGCCGAGTCGGGAAAAAGACGCTGGTTGCCGCAGCTTCGCCTCCGTTGAAGAATATCTCGATAATGGACCTGTCGATGATACCGGACAGACGGAACGCACCATCACCATTCGGGTTGTAGAGCGCGCCGTACGAGAACTTGTCGGTGAACAAGGGATTGTCAAAGCCGTTGGTCTTGCCTCGGTCGAGCCACACCACGGAGTCGCCGGGCAGGATCATACCGCCTGACACCGACTCGCCGGACACTGATGACAGCGCCGTGAAGTTGAGGGTTCCATCGAGAGAGTCGCCGCCGGACAGGCCGGTGATGTTGGCCTCGAAGTACAGTGCGCCAGACTCGACCTGCGAGAAGTCCACGAGAACAGTGCCGTTTCCGAGTGAGCTGTTTGACGCAAGCTCCGAGTCGATGACTGCTTCGATGTTGGATGGGTACTGCACCAGTGTCAGACCCTGCCTGGGGAGATCCTTCAGATAGTGTCCGCGAGCGACGGACATCGCGCTTCGGAAGCCATCGCCCAGCTCTTCGCCCGCAGTGGGGACAACGTTGGTGTACTGCCAGTTGCTGGCCCAGGCCATGCTGATCTGGTCTTGGTCAGCGGGGATGCCGTAGAAGAACTGGCCGGCGTAGTTGTCCTTGGCAAAGTCGGTGAGCCTGGTCAGCGCATCGTCCGGAACGAAGTGGGTGCCGTTGAAGTCTCCCAGGAAATACTGGGTAACGGACCCGCCAAGAGGTGCTCCCGGGTTGATCGAGATGAGCATCGCCCATCGTGAATCGGGCTGGCCGTCTGTAGCGTTTTGGACGCCGATCTCAACCATGTTCGGGCACTCGTACTGCAGACCAGACAGACCATAGCGAGCTAGTAGGTTCGTCAGACTTGGACTACGATAGGGATTCACAACCTACAGAAGTTCGATGCCGGTGTCCAGTCGATCAGGTTAGGGCTTGTGAAAATGCCAACTTCGAAATCGATAGGGTAAGCAACGACCTGCAAAGTCAGCTTTGCTTGACCCGGTGACTTTCAGCAAAAGAGCCTAATACATACCATCACCCAACTCTCAGTCGGCTCGTACCAAATGACCTTTGGATCACGGAATTGGGTAGGGTTTGTGCCTCCTGGCGATAGCACAGGGTTGTTCTCATACTTTTCGAAAGTGTAACCTCCATCGAAGCTGAAAGCAATATCCTGGGTTTGTTGCTGTGGTGTGTTGATGGTATAGATGGCTACACTCGTTAACCATTGGGTTTATGGCAGTTTAGATCGGATAGACTTACCCACGACACCATTAGTCTGATTTGGCTGCAGATTTGTAAGTCTTTGAATTCGCAACATGCATGGTTGAAGTACGTACGAACATGCCGCTAGTGTTGTTCGCGTCAATCACGGCAGATCCGGAAAAGACGCCCTCAACCTCGGAGCCGGGGAAGATGGCGATCTGTTGATTTGTCCAGGTGAAGAGATCTGTGCTAGTAGCGTGTCCCCAGTGTTGGTTTCCTGCGACATTTCGAGTGGGGTTGTCTATGGAAGATAAGTTTACGATCCCGCTTGAGGGCGGAGAGAATGAGTAGCATACACTGGTAGTAAAGATGATATACTCCGTCAGCATCAACGAACATGCCATTAGGATCGTTCATCTCGAGTTTTTTTTAGCAATTGATTGACATGTCTGTTGTATGAGGACTTACGAAGCCCCGAGGAGGGCTGAAATGGACCTGAGGACGATAGGCACCACCATAGTTGCCGGGGAGTGGTGTACCAGTGGGCACATTTGACTGAGAATAGGTCGAGGACGGCGATCCACTAGCAGAAACTGATGCGGAAGATGATATAGCAGACGCTGCAGCAGACGATGCAGAAGACGCCAAGCTTGAGGCCATGGAGGCACTGGAAGCATCTTGAGCAACACCCGAGGCGGTCAAGGTTGCAAGAACCGCTAGCAAGGAGATATAGGAAGGCATGTTGATGCAAATCAATCAAGCCGGAAGAGTTCTGTAGTTGGATGCATCCAGACGTGACTGCACTTATAGTGTTTTGCTGCCGGATGCTGCGGTATGGGTCACCCACCCGACTGGTACTTTACAGTGACGACATACCCCGCAAAGCTGGAGACACATGGCTTGGCTTGCTTTCCTGAATCGCTTGTAACTTGTGATGGTCGATCTGACCAACCTCGTCGGGCCAATACGCGGGAGGATGAGCGCATGCCGTTGTTTAGTGCACAGGCGGTAATAATCCCCGCAGGGTGACTTACAAAGCTACCAAGCGGGTGAGGTAGACTTTGTACTTCACGTCAGCAGATCGTTTAGTATTATGCATACCATCCTTGATGTGTGTAAAGTTTGCGATTTTCCAATGTGTGGCTGCAGGTGATGATGCTTTTCATGTCGCCGCGAAGCGAATCACCTCCTGTCGGGGTTCTCCCGAAGTTCTTCAGCACGGACGCGTACTTACGGCACCTAGCCGGTACGCTTGTGTGTGGCTGAAGAGGAGAACCGTTTGCATCCACAGATCAGAGCAGCATCTCGACCACCGGTCTCATTCAACGAGTTTGGAATGACGGAGGGGGCTCTTGAGGAGATCGAACAAGTCTCCATAGCCTCAATCTCACGTTCCAAGGCAGTGCAAAACTCACGAATCGATGTTGCGGCTCAATCTCGGAGGCCTGAAGAAGTCGACCACGGCAAGTGTGGAGACCTTGAGGCTCTGCTGTCTTGGCTGTCACCCCACGAGTCATCTCTTTGCATGATGTGATGTGTGTGACCTGGTGTTCCAACTTTAGCTTCGTGCCTCGAAGTTCAATCTTACCTCACGCGCACAAACTTTGACAACCGCTAGGTACTCATGCGACCCATGTAGATGTGCAATTAGGTAGCTAGATGGTGCCAAGGTACCATAGCGCCCGATTAGGTTTTTAGAAAATGATAGTAGTATGCAGTCAGGTGCTTGTATTAGGGTATTTTGAAAAGTAGATGTAATAAAATAACGCTATTGAAGCTATTCGAAAGACTGAAATGTTTTCGAAGAATTGAGAAGGAGCAGCCAGCTACGACGCAGAAGCAGCAGCAAAAGCAGAGGTAGAGGCAGAGGCAGAGGCAGCACAGGTCCGAAGTGTGTAAGTTGCGAGAGGCAGGTACCAGATAGGGGTAAAGTTTGCCTCTGCACGCGCTGGTGATAGGTGTAGGCATCTGGTGCTGATACTTAGCTCTATAGCGAGAAGCCGAAGCACCACCGAAATACTACCAAGAAAGGCTATAGGATAAGGAAAACAACTAACGTGTATCCTAGTTAAAGGCTGTTAGGTAGATATTGTAATTTGTGGGTGTTTACTTTAAAAATACAACAGAATTAAACATATGACAATTATTAAAATAGCTCTATTGTCTACCCTACTAAACACCGTTCTATAGCCACCCTATTGGCGCGCTATGGTACTTTGTAGAAAGCCAAACAGGCGTTAGTTGAATATCTGAAGGTAAGTTCTGAACAACGAAAAGAGTGCAGCACCTCATCGACAATTTGAAAAAACCTGTCACGTGTACAGACATGTACTACACTTACAAGCCCCCTCTCTGTTTGCGCGGGGAAAGTCTGGGTAACTAAGCCTGTGAGGCCCACGCGGCGCCCACGCCCCATACTGTACCTCGCCATCGCCGACAGATGACCGAGCAAGATACACGAATGACTAAGGGCGTTACTAGTTAGTGTTGGTGTCCCTTGCAAACAGGTGAAGCGAGCGAGTAGTTTCTCTGCCTTACTGAATCCTTCCAATTTATTCGGCCGCCTGTCGGCGAGAATCGAGTACAGTATGCTACTCAGAGAGCAAACAACAGAATCAGTAGATGGTGGGGAAAGAGTGATCTAAATAGGGTTAGCCATGCTATGTATGTAGCTAATGACACTCACCAGAGTGATGAAAAGAGAAGTGTCGTAGATAATAATACTGTGCAGGCAAAACGTACAGAGTAGCCGAAAATCCAGATTCAATGCGTTTCTCCAAGTGCTTTTGTAGAAGTCCAAAAGAGCCAAGATCCATTATGGATACACTGACTCATACCAGAGCAAGGAACTCACCCCATGTTGACATGGTCATACTAGCAGCAACGCTTCTTGTTGATGTGAACGATGGAGGAACCGCGAGGCTCGCAGTGGCTTCCACCCTTAAGAATGCTGCAAGGAATGCTTCTGATCAGTGATCCAGACTCGTCTATCATTCCAAAGTCACCTGCCCGTGACCACAAACACGACCGCGACACAAGCCGCTCGCTGCATATGCGACTTTACGATCGAGGAACTCTATGCGACATCTAAACGTGTCCGAGAGTCGCCGCACGGCGCTGAAGTGCAGTCGTTATGATGAGGTGTGCAGTGGTCCGTCAATTTGTCGTATTTGCAGCATCAAATTCAGATCTGATGCCAGTATACGTCGAAGCGTTGATGGCCGAAATCGCAGATTTAAAGGGACTCGTTCGAGATGATTGCCGTCGCTATGCGTTTGAAGGTGTGTAGTGGTGTATAACTATCCTGGTCGGATTCTTTCAGCAACGACGTATATCCTTACACCAGTTGCCTTTATACTTGTCGGTTTGAATAATCCTCGCCTTAGATGCTCGTGCTGAATGGATGCGAGGGGCGAGGATGCCGATTTAGCTGATTGCGAAAGCCAAACTCAGTCGATCGCCGAGTAAGATTATCCATCGAACTGGCCCCAAAAACCAGCTGGGTGGCTGTCCAGGTGTCAAAGTTGAACAACATCATCGATGTTGATGGCTGAGATGATGTTCGCAAGACGCGGGTGGTTGAGGGCCCTGGTCAGCCGGACAGCGAGCCGTTACACAGCCCACGTGGGTTTCTTTTCCGGTGCCCCGGCACCGGGCTACTACCTACTTAGATTGCAACATCAATTCTGCTCGTCCGCAGCAACAAAGCACGTAATCACGGTCGCTTTTGACACGGCTTCTTTTCACACGGCTTCTTTTGACACGGCCTCGGGGAAATGCAGCGAAGTCCCAGATGAAGGTCTTACTGCTGAGTTAGTTGTGCGATCACCTTCACGGAGCGACAGCGGTTGACAATACCTACTGAGTGCGCAAGGCGGAAGCCCCTGACTCTCTTCTGACAGCGGCAACAAAACCGACCCCACAGTGGCCAGTGGAGATGTTTTACGTTACAATCCCCACAGTGGCATCATTCTCTTCGGTGTTCACGAACTGTGAACGTTTAGCCATCTGATAAAGCTCTGGGCAGCTTTTGCGCCATTCAGCCCAATCATGCTTTCGGACGATGTTTCTACATGAGGAAGACTCTGAACGGATCCGGATGCCTGCCTATCGGAACCCGTCGCTTGGCTGCAGGTTGAGATTTCACAACCCAAGTTCGACCTGTTCACCATGCCCAGATCTACCTGCACCGTGAGGAGTTCGACTGCATTCGTATCGTATCGCAGATATTCTCTTACTGGCGGAAGATGAAAGAATTCTACCGTTGTTCATCTACTTCGTATGCACGTGCATACTGGAATCCATACAGAAAATATACTCGCAAGGTAGGTACTGTTTGCTGACCAATGGGTGACCCATCACGATGAACACCTACCTACAACAAATGATCGTCGCCCAAGACAGCCGTTGGAGACAGCCTAGACATGGCGGTAATTTCTAGTGGCCCATACAACACCGGCCGTTACGCCGCATGAGGAATGTCACCAAGCAAATTATTAGCGCGCCGTTTCAACATCTGATAAAGGATCATAGCGGACGCATTGCCAAATCTGAGTGAGCATATTGCGATGAAAAGAGATGTTTCTATGTCGCGCACAACGTTATCGAAGAAGGTGGATGTGGGGCCAAGGCTTGGCTGGGTCGCACCAGGCAGGAGCAACAATCTAGTATGATTGTACACCGAGATGCACCGAGTTAAGCTACATTAGAGTTGTTCCTTCATTTGAGAAAGGCCGCAACGGTCATTGCGCCGAGGGTCTTGGTTCAGGAAGAGATGGTTTAAAGTGTCGAGTGTAAGACCCCTAATACCTTCCCCACTGACTATCAAACACTCTCCTTCATCCTTCCCTTCACATAGATTTCAGTATGGCACCTTCCGAAATGTACAAGCACGGTCTACTTGGGCTTTTGTGCCTTGCACCCGCGCTGGTACAGGGCCAGAGCAGCAAAGTCGACGCCGTCCAGACTTGCCTCGAAGGTGGAGGTGTACATGCTACAGTATCAACAGATGATACCTGGACAAACGACACGGCCGCCTTCCAGTTCCGACTCCCGCGCGAGCCTGTCTCCATTGCCTTCCCTCAAGACAAGGAGGAGGTTGCCTTGGCCCTGGGATGCGCACGCAACTCATCCGTCAAAGTATCAGTGGTTGGTCGTGGACATTCTTTCCAGGGCTACAGCTTCGGTAACCCCGGCAATCTTGTCATCAGCATGGAAGCCTTCACCCAGCTGAGCTTTGACAACTCCACAAACCAATTGACGTTTGGCGGAGGAGCAAACGTCGGACCTGCTTCCAAGTATGTCAACGACAACTTCAACCGTCACTTCCCGCACGTGAGAGGTTCCCACGTCGGTCTCATGGGCAGTTCTTTTGGAGGAGGTTTCGGCACAACGAGCAGGCTTCTCGGCATCCCATCAGACAACCTTGTCTCAGTTGAGTACATGCTGTACAATGGAACAGTTGTCACAGCCGGCCCTGGCTCGGACCTCCTCTGGGCAGCTCAGGGCGCCGGACCTAACTTTGGCGTCGCTTTGTCTGCTACCACAAAGACATTCGCGTTTCCCTACAACGGTGCCGTGAGCTACAGCCTTGCTCTTGGCGATGTCAGCACTGAGGCTGCTTCGGCTGCCCTTGTGGCCATCCAGAAGTGGGTTCAGAGCGGAAAGGCGCCAGACAAGATGTCCCTGCGCTTCAGCATTGCCAACTTTGCATCCGCTGGCTTCTTCTACGGATCAGAGGCTGAGTTCGACACCACCTTTGCGCCTCTTGTCGAGTCTATCCGATCTATCGCCCCTACGGTCAACCTGACCAAGACTGTACTCCCCACTTTCTGGGATTCTGAAGTCGCTGGTACCGGCGCTGGAATGAACTCGCCTACCGGAGGTGCACTTGGCGGTCGTGCTTCGCTGGTCCAGTCATGGGTTACAACGAATGACCACCCATTGTCCACTAAGCAAGCGAAGACGCTGTTCGACAACTACCGTGGTCTTAACCGCACTGATCTCTCCGGCTCCGGCTTCCTTGATCTCTGGGGTGGCGTCAGTCGCGATATTGCTGACAGCGACCACGCGTTTGCGCACGGCAACAACCTCTGGCTGATTCGTGTCGATGGTGTTTCCCGCACAACTGTCTGGCCCAGCGATGGCGTCGCATACATGCAAAACCTGCTCAAGCCTTTCGGAGACTCTCTGAAGAAGTCGGCCCCTCTCCGTAGCTTCGTCAACTACGTCGACTCGGAGCTGAGTGTCAAGGAGTGGAGCCAGAGACTGTACGGCGCCAACTATGCAAGGCTTCGCAAGATCAAGGGCGCTGTTGACCCCACAAGCCTGTTCTCCGGATATGGCCTTGCCGTCACACCTTCCCGCTAGTCTACCCAGACCTTCAATCCTTCATTCCCATTGACCTTCTATGGGACCTTCCTGTAAATAAATTTCCAGACAATATAGAAATTGGCCAAAATCAGTCCTCGAACCTTACAAAATCTATACCAGTGCTTCGTATGTGTCTGTAAAATTGCATGTGTCTTTATTTTCGAATGCTGTTTGATCTTGTAGACATGCCAGCTATACCATTAGGTGTAAGTAATTAGAGTTTGGCACCTTACTTAAATAGTAAGCTCGACAGTGACTGATAGAAAGATAACAACGAGGCTGAAGAACTTCCAACAGTAGAACAAGTTACGGGTGAATAACGCCGATGTCTAACCCCTATTGGTAGACTAAGAAGCCAGATGCAGGGGCCGTACATATGCGGCTGCCAACGACGATACAAGGCCGTGACTGTGGTCGACTAGGCATCGAACTTGCCCATAACGTATGAGCCCCGGCATTTCGTCTTTGACAACCGACTCGGCTACGCAATTGTCACGCAAGCAGACGTCAAACCTAACTGCCGACAATCTATTCGTAGTACCGAAATACAACCGCGCCACGGATGGCGATAGTGATGACGAAGGGTGGCCCTTGATGTCTCCACTGTGCTCAGGTATAAGAACACGGTCTTGGGGTACATTGTGACATGTACCCTTCATTGCAAGTGATAACACAAGATGCTCTACTCACTGTGGCTCACTGCACTTATTGCACCCATTGCTACTATCGCAGCTCCAACGAACGCCGTGGAAAGCAGACAGACTGGCCTTGTAAAGCCCGCTCCATGTGTCCGCAACAGTAAGACTACAGTGTCGCAGACCAAGTCGCGGTCTAAAGCCTTTGCTCGTGCCTTCATCTACGATCAGGACATCTCAAAGGCTTTTGAATACATTGTCTCGGACTACATTGTATGTATCCAATCAGCTGCGCCACCGGAACACAAACCGCTGACAAGGTTGCCACGTAGAACCACAACCCACTTGCCCAAAACGGCTCCGATTCGGCTTGGGGTATCCTCTCGCCCATATGGGCTGCACAAGACATGACGCCACTGCGTACAACATTCAAGAACCCCCAGAGCTGGTTGGAATACAACAATACGGCGTTTGGTGTGGTTGTGGATCGCTTTCGCTGGGAGGGTGGATGCATTGTTGAGCATGTGAGTCTTGCAGATGAAGTCACACCTGAATACGAATCACTAACAGAATTCCAGTGGGATCAAGGAGAGGTATTTCCGAGCAAACCGTAGATTACTATCTCACAGCCAATTCTGGCTAGAGGCAGGGATCGTCAAACCTAGCTTACTCTAGAGGTACCATGTAGATCGTGAACATCTTATGGCGGAGGATGAGATGCGCACAAGCTAGCATGAAATCAAATCAAACTTCCAGGTTTCGAGTCTGCGGCGTTATTGCGGCTAGCATAGCCTCTCTGCTGAAACCTCCCTTTTGCTTAGCTTAGCTTGCTCCGCCACAATGGCAGTTGACACTAAACATCACACTTCAAGCGAACCTGGCAAAAACAATCCCCACTCGTGAACCCGATCCTCGTGAATTCGCTCCTTACTGCCAACTATTTCGATGGGCCACCGACACGTCATTCATAGTGAAGGCCACACAAGGCTTCGTCGCTGGGCATACGTTGCCGAGACTCCCTAAGCATGCCCTCTGTCGACCGACCAGCAGATTTGCGGGGCCTCGACCAGGAGAGCTCGTTTGCTGCCAATAATGAGCTTCTCCAGAAGGGGTCTTTGCAAGAGAAAAGTGAGAAATTTCCGATGGCCTCGAGCACTGTCCCTGTCAAGGAGAGGCCGGGACGTCTCAGCCTGCTTTCGTGGACCGCGGGCGCAACGACGGAAGTCTCTGAAATCGAAGATCTAGTCTCTCCGAAGAGGCAATCATACAGAATTTTCGATGCGTGCAAGACCAAGGATACATGGTGGTTGGATGTGCTCAACCCGACGGAAGCGGACATGAACGCGCTTGCAAAGGAGTTCTCCATCCACCCGCTTACATCCGAAGACATCAGAACCGGAGAGACACGTGAAAAATTAGAAGTGTTCAAGAACTACTACTTCGTCTCGTTCCGCTCCTTCGACCGCCTGAAGTTCAGCGCCAAACACCACGTCAAGCCCGTCAACGCATACCTCGTCGTCTTCCCCACAGGCCTCATCAGCTTCACGTTCCACCCCAGCCCGCACACGGCCAACGTCCAGAGCCGAATCCGCAAACTCGAGACCCATGTGGTCTTGAGCAGTGACTGGATCTGCTACGCGCTCATGTACAAGCCCCACATCCCCCACCCCCACACCCCTTTCTGACGCCCCACAGCGACGACATCGTCGACGCCTTCGGCCCCATGATCGACCAGCTGGAGCGCGAAACCATCGCCATCGAAGACGGCGCCTTCTTCACGCGGCCCCACGAGCTGGGCTCCGAGCTCTCGAAAACGCATTTGTGCCGCAAGAAGATCATGGACGCCACGCATCTGCTGCGCGGCAAGCCGTCTGTCGTGCGCAGCCTGGCCCGGTGCTGCGGCGCCGCGCACGCGGCTGTTCCGCACGGCGTTGCCATCTTCTTCAGCGACGTCCAGGATCACGTTGCCACGATGGCGTCGAAGTTGGAGCACTGCGAGGGCATTCTATCGCGCTCGCGTGCGGACTATCTCGCGCGCCTCTCGGTCGATAGGATAGCGACTGGCAACCGGACGTTGAAGTTCATCATCCGGATTACGGTCATAGCGGCGATTGTGGTGCCGCTGAATGTAATTTGCGGCCTGTTTGGAATGAATGTCAGGGTCCCGGGGGGCGACGATGATCGGTTGTTCTGGTGGGGCGGGATTCTGGGTACCATCATACTTTTCATTCTGGCGAGCGTGACTTTGGCGAGGAGGTTGAAGGTGATCTGAAGATCTGTGTGCTGAGCATGCCGAGCATCGTGCCTGTGTGACTTGACATGAAGACCCACAGATGTTGTGAAGAGGTACGCGATTGTCTCTGTGCCTGTCTGTGTTGCTTCCCAGAGGTGAAACGTCGGCGTTAAGCAGAGAAGTCTCGGTGATTTCCACACTCTAAGCATTACAAGTGCTATGTTCAGCTCCTTTCGGATACCCGTGCAGATGTAAGCGTCTCAAATCCCCCAGCCCGTGAGAATATTCCGTGAAGGATCAGTGTCTATTTGTACAATCTGATTACTGAATCCCTTTTGTCTCATCAGTCTCGCCCGAGTTATGGTATGGATTACGCATGCCTTCTTAGAACCATTGACCAGGAACTCCCCGTCTTACCGCCTATTCCTTTCCATGGGACGAACAATCAGTGCCAACGGTCTCGAATACTCCGATTCACAGGCACTCCAGTGACCTTAACTCAAAGCCTCTCTTGAAAACGACAAAGGCAGACGCAGCAGCTACTCGTACCACACGTACACACTCCAGATCCTTGCTTGCCAGTAACTCTACCAGCAAAGAAAAGAGCCCATTTCCTTATCTGTGCACCATAGCTATCTCATTAACACTATAAGCTAGCCCACGTACGCCTCCACTGTACCGTGCAACGGCACAACTGTCCCACCGCAAACTCGCCCCAGCTTACAAGACGCCGTTTGCATCTCACCTCTCAAAACCTCCAGGCACAGCAAACTCGGCAGCAGTATTCAGGCCGCTGAATTATATTCCCTCCGCCCAGCATCTCCCCTTACACCCCCACTTCGCAGCACAAGAAACCCACAGCCCGCGATTTGCACAAACACACAGATCCACCCTGCGCACAGCACAAGTAAACAGCTTAATCACACAGCCGAGTCCCCGACTCCACAGCACTACTCCAACGGCCTGTGGGCTGGTATAGTGCTTGCTGAAACGTGCAGACCACACCCACTTTGGTACATGATACAGCAAGCCCCGGTGTAAGAGCGCGTTCTGCATACCCAGGTATACGTACCTGTGATATCTCGCGTGAAGGTATCTTCTAGGCATCTATAGACGGTCAAACTTCTTATCGCTACCTAGCCCAAGGTAATTAATAACATCGTGACTGTTCCGTGACCTCTAAGTAGCTGCCTAGGCAGGTACCTAGTAGAGTAGAAGCACCGTGGGTACAGAAGTCTAGTCTTTGTACCCGTTATAGGTGTAATGGGTAGGTACCCCGCGGTACTATTGTATGTGGAGTCTGCCCCGCCCCCCCCCCCCCTGTGTCCTGCATACACGCATTCTATAGCTGTCTAGCTACTTAGGGTGCGTGGGTACCTGACTCGTGACTGTGACAGTACATTATACCAAGGTAGGGGGTGGTCAGCACATATCGACACGCACCGATGAACTAGAAACGGGTGCAAAGTATGTAGGTTGCAGGACAGTGACGAGACAGCGGGAATTAAACATGTACTTTGCAAGCTGCCTGTCCGTGGATTTCCTACGAGCAGTGGATATATACAAAAAGGACGCTGGGGATGCGAGACATAATCATGAGTATCGGACATCATCCTCCATACCTTCCTTCCCTCCATCTACGACTCCGTTCATGACTCCATCCTGGCCTCCATCTGCGCCCCGCCTACGCCGCCGCAGCAGCCAAAATAACATCCGCCGCCTTCTCCGCCACCATATACGTCGACACCGCCGTAAACGTGCCCGGAATCCTCGGGAAAACCGACGCATCCACAACCCTCAACCCCTTGGTCCCCCTCACATTGAACTTGCTATCCAGCACCGCCATCTTATCCCCATCAGCCCCAATCGGACACGTCGACGACGCGTGGTGGCCCCACGTGTTATCCTTGACGTAGTCGGCGACCTTGGCAGCCGTGTCGACGCTAGCGCCGGGCAGGATCTCGGTCACGGGGACGAGCTGGGACGCGAAGGCCTCGCGGGTGAGAGCGATGGCTTCGCTCATGGCGGTGATGTCTGCGTCGTAGTCGCCGACGCCGGTGTCGAAGTAGTTGTATGTGATGGCGGGGACGTCGAGGGGGTCCGCGGACTGCAGGGTGACGGTGCCGGCGGTGTTGCGCGGGTGCGCCTTGAGAATGGCCCAGGAGAAGAGGTTGTGCACGGCGGTGGCGTTGACGCTGTAGTTGGGGAAGTAGCCGCGGAAGTTGACGGGGCCGCCGAAGGCGAAGATGTCCCAGTTGTTTTTCTCGGCGGTGCTGGATTTGTACAGCATGGTTGCGCCGAGGCCGGGGGAGGCGTAGATGCCGCGGTTGCCGAGGATGGGGGTGTTGTAGCGCGCGATGCACGGGTCGGCGGCGTCGCCCTTGAAGGTGCAGCCGTCGAGCGCGGAGAAGTCTTTCTCGATGGTGCCCTGCACGCTGATCTCGTAGTGGTCCTGGAGGTTGGTGCCGACGCCGGGAAGGTCGACGACGACGGGGATGTCGAACTTGGTCAGCTCGTCCGCAGGGCCAACTCCGGAGAGCTTCAGGAGCTGGGGCGAGTTGTAGGTTCCGCCGGCGACGATGACCTCGCGGGACGCCTTGGCGGTGCCGGCAACACCCTTCGCGCCGGAGTTCTTGGGGCTGGCCTTGTAGAGGTACTGGCCGTCGAGGAACTCAACACCGGTAGCACGGGGGGTCTCCTCGGTCTCGTCAAAGGTGATCTTGGTGACGTGCGCGTTGAGTCTGACATCAAGAGGGTACCTCTTGGTGCCGTTGGTGTACTTCGCATCGCGGACGGCGACAACGAACTCACGGGAGCCGGTGCGCTGGCCCTCGACCGTGGACAGAGGGATCTGGAACAGACCAGGAGTCTGGTCACGTTCAATGGTGTCCGCGTTGGCGTCACCAGCAACGAGAGTGGCCAAGTTGACGACAACGTTGGTCTGGTTGGTGAGAGCAACGGCAGCACCACTAACGACGCTCAGAAGCTGGGGGTCGCTGACAACAACGTCGATGGGGGAGTACTGGGTGCCCAACCAGCCCTCATATCCGTGGCCCTTGCCGGTGGTAAGGTAGGCGTTCTTCTCCAGCTTGACGAAGTACTTGCGCATGTTGTCAGGCGCCCACGAATCATCACCAGTAAGGGCGGCAATGCTCTCAAAGTCAGACTGGTGGGGGTAGACAGCGATGAGAGCGTTGTGGGCTGTGCAACCACCAAGGGTACCGGTCCTGGGGTAGAGGGTGCCCTTCTGGACGGAGCCAGCAGGGGGCGACAGACCGGTGTAGAGGCCACCATCGGGTGTGGTGTAGGAGGTCTTGAAGTCACGAGCTTGCCTCTCCTCGTCGGCGTAGTGCTTGACGAAGAAGTTCCAGGCCAGGTTGGGGTCCTCAGAGACCTTCGCGTTGAACGAAGGTACAGTGTAGTTCTGGTTGGCACCCTGGTCGTCACCAGCCTCGAGCAGAAGCGTCTTGTGGCCGGCAAGGGCGAGACGAGCCGCAAGAGGGCCGCCACCTAACGGCCGTTAGCACCCCAACCCTGGGAGAGAGAGATCGACTTACCAGCACCACTTCCAACAACGACGTACTCGTACCCGGTAAGGTCAACGGCCTTAGCGAGAGAGACGGTGGCCGCAGCCAGAGCGAATTGACGGAACAACATGGCGATTAATAATAGCGAATGTGGGTGCAGAGAGTGCCTGGCGATGTTAGCAAGCTGCCAATGAGCAACCGTAGTGGAAGACGTACTAATGAGTGAACACCTGCTGCTCCAAGGCCGGACGGCCTGGGCATCTTTATACCACCTCTGCAAAGCATGTCACTGCCCCTATCGATAGCCCTTTGCTCTAAACCCGCACCCTGCTCATATTCCCTACTCAATCAATACTCGCTAGATGCGCGCAGGTCGCTGCTCCATCCACAAAGCGTGCGGTCCTAGTTCCTGTTCCGTCGAGGCGAACATGTATTGCCCGGGCCAATGATCGACGCGCCACGGCGGAATCCACCACTGGCCAGGATCACCCTGAGGGCAATATCCGAGGTCAGATGCGTGGTTGCAGAGCTCGCGTTTGGCGGACGACAGGCGTCGCGGGCTGCAATTGGCACGACTTGCACGCTTCTGAGACCGACTACGGGTCCTTCATCAGTGCGCGCGTGCTGGTGACGCTCGCCGTTAGATGAGCTGCAGTCGCTGGTTCGCGCCCGCAATGCGTTCCAAACCGCCGTTCCCCAATTCCGAAGCGTTCCCGCGGATAGCGCACAGGCTAGAGACGGGGGGCGGCCGCACGCACCCCGGCAGCGCGGCGAAGCAGCGTCTTCTGTCGACGCGGCCGCGGTCTTCATTTCGAGCGCGTCAAAGCCTTCGTTCCGACCCATAACGTCTGGGGAAAGCGGCACGCCGTGGAGCTCCAGCACGGTGGCGCAGTGGAGCGCCAAAGCCGAGGCCTAGCGCCAGCGCGACAGGGGTGGGCGTGCATAGGGATGCTGCCGTTACCTGTTCCTGACTGTGGCCGTCCGTGGTGGGCGTGCGATCGGCATTGTCAGATGATCCTGCTGCTCCTGCTGCGTTGCTGACAATATCACGGCCTGGCCCGGCGTCTGAAAACGTTCTTCTCGACCAACGTTTGCGACGCGATCATTTCGGCACGCTCCCGATGTGCGTTCTTCAAGTCGAACTGGTGCAGTGGACCGAGTGGGTTGCGCAGCACGATTGCAGGTTTCCGAGCGGCCCGGTCGCATCGCCTGGATACGAGCGCCGTTCGGTGTTACTCGCGACGATCTGATCGTGGAGGTAGAAGGGGGTGTCGTTCGCAATGATCTGGAGTCATGGGACGGTGTCGGCGTGAAGGTACAGCTGCAGGTCGACAAGACCGTTGGCCGATGTCCAGCGGTGCTAGCAAGTGGACTGGGAGGCCTCGTCACTCCCACGTGTCAGGCGGCGGTAGACATCCAAGGTTTCACGCACGAGGCACTGCATCCACTCACGGCAAATGCCCTGGCTTCCAAGGATGCGCGTGGTCCGTGGTACGCAATGCGACTGTACAGGCTTTGTCTATCCGCCTTGCTCACAGCTATCGTGACCCCAGCATGATTGTTACCGTAATAGCCATCCCTTTCTCCAACACCAAACCCAAACCAGTCCACACACCCACAGCACCGTCATTATGCCATTCCACTGCTATTCAAAGCGCCGCCCCTGTACTCTGCAAGAATCAATAACCGTGAACCAGAAACCAAACATGCCCAGCCGTGTCACTGTGCAGTAGCTACGGTGCTACGTTCAGTTCTGTGCTACGTTCACTTCTACACAGTCCCACTATTACCGGCTATCTGGGCCTGATATTAGGATATCTAGACCTTGGCATGCAGTGCAATTTAACAGCTGTTTTGCGCCTAAGCCACTAGGCTGTATGTAGACTCCGCTCTGCTTGAGTGAGGGGTACGTCGAGGGGGGCTTAGAAGAAGCCGCAGAAGCAGAGGAAGAAGACCAGGACAACAGGAGCACGCACAATTCCGGAGAGAGAGGTACAGCAGAGACTCGTAGCACCAAATCAGTGAAAGCTCTCAATGTGATCATAAATATTCTATTTCCTGCTACCTACTACCTAAATCTAACCCCCCTCCTTGCTATCTCCCCTTGTACGGCCATGACGCAAACATGATATGATATGGTATCTCAGAAGGCTAGGAGATTCGTATGCCGCGTCGCCCACCTGTATCGCTCGTCTGCCTGTAAAGCATCGTGTACGCACCACTTGCACCAACAGATGATGCGACAGACCCATGCAACCACACACACATTACGCAATGCCACCACTACTCTCCAGCACCATGTAAAAACCCACAAACACCATGGACCGAAAAAAACCGAAATAGGAACAACGAGAGGAAAAACGCCACGCTATGCATGCCATGCCAAACAGCACAAGACCGCGCGCACGCACAGCTCAAAAGAAGAAAAACCAGGAATGACGGGTATAAAACGGGGCAAATCGGACTGACAACACAACACTCTCTTGGGGGGCACACTCACACCCGTCCAGGGATACTCTCCAGCTCGCTGCGCTGCCTTAGATACTTGGCCGCCAGCCCGTCGCCGCCGCGCATACTCTGCTCCATCCAGTGCTGCGCGACGCACATGGTCATCGGATCGCTCCTAGCGGGATCCTGGCTAGCGCGCTTTTCGCGGTTGAGCAGCTCGGTCTTGAACACGTCGCTGGGGCGCGTGAGGGGGAGGACGGCGCGGTGCAGCAGCTCGGGCGACGTGAGGTAGAAGATGGCCAACTCGCGCTCGGCGACGGCGTCGCCCTCTTTGGCAGTGATGAGGAGGAGGCGCGCGGCGTCGGACATGGTGTAGCGGGGCGTGGGGGCGGGCGTTGGGGTGTTGGAGCGGGAGGAGGAGGGTTTCTCCGGGGACGGCGGCGCGACGGCGGCGCTGCGGGTGCTGTTTGAGGCGTTTATTACTTCGTCGACCAGCTCGACCATGATGCGGCAGACGTCTTGCTTGAGGCCGAGGGCGGCCAGGCCGACGTCCCAGAAGGCTTTGCCGCGCTCGGTTTTGTCGAGCATCTGGGCAGGCACAAAGGACGCGATGTATTGCAGGTCGCGGAAGAGGGATTTGGGGCGGATGTCGGCGTCGCGGAGGAGGCCTTGAATCACTTCGACAATCATGTCGGTGCTAGGTGGGCCGACGGGTGAGCGTGCACCGCTGCGGTGTGGGACGTCGGCCATGATGTGGGCGCGGCGCTCGGAGCAGTTGGCGATGGCCTCTTCGAGGTTCTGTGCGCGCGAGTGCTGCGTGGCAGGCTCACGGGAGCTGAACTCGGGAACGGTGCCGAGAGTGGGAGACTGGGGGACGGTCGGGAGTGTGTCGCGGCGGTTGTTGTATGAGCGGCTAGAGCGGGAAGAAAGCGAGGCGATGATGAGAAGTTCGAGCTCGTACAGAGCATGTAGCTTAGCGTACGGGTTGGGGTGGGTTGCAAACTTGCTGAGTAGGCGTCGGAACGCAACGTTGTATGGGAACTCGAGCAGACCAGCCTTCTTCGCAGTGATGCCAGATGAGCGGGATGTAGCATCGCTCGACGTTGACGAGTGCTCGCCTGCGGAGTGCTGCGCGTCATGCTGGAGAGTAGTGACGGGCGAGGCAGCCTGGCCTCGGTCGGTCCTGTCATTGGCATGCGTTTGCTTTCGCAGGGTCTTCATGCTCTTCTTCTTGGCGAGCTGCTTCTTGCGCGTGCGCTCCTCTTCGTCCCTGCGCTGAATGCAGTCTTCGAGGATGTCGCCGCTGAACCAGGAGTCAGTCTCGCTACCATTGGCAAACACCATGGTGCCGAGATCGCTCAGCAGCAGCCCGGTCAGCGTCTGCTTCAGCTCAAGCAAGAAGCGGCGCTTCTCCTCGTTGACGCTGGCCGACTGCTTCAGCATGACGGTGCCCTTGGACGACGAGGCGGTGCGCGGGCGGATGCTGGCTGCGTTGGTTGGCGACTGCGCCTGGGTTTGGAACGGCGACCAGAACGTCGTGGTGGAGTCGATAGCCATGATGGGCGAAGAGGCGCCAAAGTAATCAGGCGAGTCAACAGGGCTGGTGGCCCACGGGCTCTGATCGAAGCTGCCCGAGACGTTGCGGTTGGCGACCGAGCGCAGACTGCTTTGACTCGGGCGCTGGGCAAAGTCGAGATTCTTAGATCCCGGCCGGCCGTGCGTCTCGTACTCCTCATCGCCAGCGACAGATAGTGTGCCGACGCCAGTGAGGAAGAGATCGCCCTTCTGGCGGCCACTGTCGAGGATCTGCTGGTCGCGCTTGTACAAGTCGCTGGCCCAGAGCGTTGGCCCTTCCATCAGATTATCGGCAACAATCTTGTTGACACACTTGTCAATCTCAAGGCAGAAGCGGTGGATGCGCTCCTCGCCCTTGCAAAAGTTCTCGATCCCATACTGCTGGATCCACTTGGCCGTGATCTCAGACTGCTCGTCAGACAGCTTGTTGGGTCCGCCGAAGTCCTGAGACGCAGCCATGACATCCACAAGCTGGGCCTCGTTGCGCAGCGCGAAGTTGTTCGACGACGACTTGGAGTAGTTGCGAGCGCGCGGCGTCTGGAGCGGCTTGCCGTCGAGCGTCTTGGTGGGCTGGCCCATGATCTTGAGAGCAAGAGCGACATTTTTGGCATCGTCGTACTCCTTCGACCCACGCACGTCGCTGATGTACCACATCTTGTCGCGCAGGTTGTTGAAACCGACCATCATCTCTTCGATCATGCCGTCGGATCTCTCCTGGGACTGCTTCAGCCAGACGAACCACGCCTCAAACTCCTCAATCGCGTTGGCGGCCTTGCTCAGAGAGTCGCGCGGGCCGCGTGAGAAGTAGTTGAGAAGCGCAGCGTACCCGTTCTTAACGAGGGTGGGTGCGCTGAGCCTGCGGAGGCTGGCCAGTGTCTTGTGGTACATGAGTGCGTTGACAAAGTCGGAACGGGCCTGGCACTGGAGCATAGCCGACTCGAGCATTGTGACGAGGACTGAGTTGTTGTCCTGCCTCTCGTTGGGGTTCTGCGGGTTGCTGTTGCTCCTGGGGTGCTGCGGTGAGCGGTGTCGCGCAGGCACATTGCGCTGGCTTGCGATCAAATTGGTGAGCTGGCTCTGTGTCTGCGGCTGCGGCTGGTTATACGGGTTGCGAGATCCAAAGGTCTCGCTGGCAACGCGGCCCAGGCCACGGCCTCGCCCTCCCTTTCGAGTCGTCATGCGGTTGCTGAAGCTCTTGGATTCGCTGTCTGGTGCCAGCTCTTTTGGGATCTCGTACTCTTCCACCAGCTTTGCGATTGCCTCCTTCAGCTGGTGGTAGTCGTTCTCCAGATCGATCGCACCCGTGCCCTCGTCGTCGCTGCTGTCAGTGTCATGCGAATCCTCGTCGTGCTCATCTTCGTCATCAGAGTCTTTGCGCATGCGGGATTTGAGTTGCTTGCCGTCGGCAGAAATGTAAAGCACCGCCCAGCGTTCTTTGCACGGGTGGCAAGTCCCAGATGTGGCATCGAATCCGAGGATACGTGTCATTTCAGAACAAGCCATTCTGAGGTGTCGGCCATAGCTTTCACTAGGCGCGATCTTGGACTCGGCATACGCTTCTCCTAGAGGTCGGGTCATGTCGATGTTGCCAGTGTCGAGGAGGGGCTCTCTGGAGGTGGTGTCGCTGGTCATGGAGGATGCACTGGCGCTCAGCACCGAGCTCGCGTCAGTCGCAGTGGCAGAGGCGCTGCGAAACGGCATTGAGACAGCAGAGATGGACGACGCAGACGATGCAATCCCGCCGCGGCGCTCCGCATCTTTGTTTAAATGGCTCGACGACGGGCGTCGCTCAGGGAAGAGCGTGTTCACCAAAGTAATGATGTCCGACGGACACAGCACGATAAAAGGCTGGACTTCGACAGTCTCGCGCGGAGATGTGATGGCCTTTGCCGGGAGAAGAATCGGCTTGGAATACGTCTTGGTGTGCTTGAATCTGGCTATGATGCTCTCGATGTGGGTGCGGATTTCGGGCAAAACGGGCACCTGCTGCTTCCTATTACCAAAGTTAGCGTCCTGGAAGAGGCGGAAACCAAACGAGAGCTCGTACCAATTGTAGGTCAGATCCAAAACGTGCTTTTGCGCGCGGACTGCGATTTCCTTGAGGATCTTCTGGCGGGCGTGTTCGCTGATGTGGTGCTGGATCATGATGCCGTGCGTCTGCTTCTGTTAGCCTGTAATACGTCATTAGTTGACAAAACGTGCCTCGGGGTGAATGATGGCGTTCATCAGGTATGTGGTGAAGAGCCAACGCGAGACGAAGAAGCTCTGGGCTCCGCGGCGGATGCCCCTCTCGTCGTCCAGCTTGCGGAGAATGGCATTTCCAATTTCCAGGACTCCTTCGGGGATGCCTCCGGCGCTGGGCTCGTCGTCGATGACCTCGAACAGGCGCTTTACGGCCTTGTCGAAGAACTCGTCGGCGGCAATGGTGTCTTTGGTGCTCCGCGGGGCCGGCTGGCCCTGGCGTGTGGGCTGGTCCTCGGCCTTTTCCAGGAGAAACTGGCCGTCTTGCAGGGCCTGCATCAGGTAGAGCTCCAAGTTTGCCTTTCCGGGCCATTCACGCATACCGGCCCATACATCGAGGATCGTCTTTACAAACCTGTCGGTTCCGGCCTTGTTCTCCTTGATCATCTTGGCGCAGGTAGTGGCCCAAACATCGGTGCGGCGCAGGTCCTCGGCGGAGTCCGGTCCCGAGGAGTTGGCAAAGATGGTGTAGATCAGCGTGGCCAGCGGGTCATGGCGCTGGAAGCTCAGCAGACGCTCGACCGGGCTGGGGCCGTTCTGGGCGGGCTTGCTCGCGGCAGGGTTTTTACCTCTCGCGCCGGTGATGGCAATTACAGACTCTACAGGATCAAGTGCTTGACGAAAGGACGAAAGAGAAGCGAGTTCTTGCTGCGACAGACTCGCAATGCGGGCAGCTAGGAAATCGGGGTTGGTGCGAACTTCAGAAATGAAATCAAGAAGGTCGTCCAAAATCTTGGACGGCACGTGATTGAGAAAGGTAGAGAAATTGAGGGCGGCCTTGTCCGTCTTGGAGGTGGTGCGGGCTTTGGCAAAGTCCAGGTCGGGCTCGAGCAGGGCGTACTGGCGGGTGGCGTCGCACGAGTTGCGGACGTCGTTGAGGGCGTTGTACAGCAGGGCGAAGTGCTTCTTGTCGTCGGAGCGGAAGTTGTCGACCAGGGTGCGGTAGGCCAGCTCGCCGCAGTGCACCAGGCGGGCGGAGAGGGCGCTCGACACGAGCCAGCGGTGCAGGCGCACGCGCGAGTGGGCCTTGCGCTGCTCCTGGTAGCCCTGCAGGCGGATCAGGTGGGCGAGCTCGGCGAGCGAGGTGGCAGAGGTCGGGATGGCGGCGGTCGGCAGCAGGGCGTCGCTGTAGGCGGACAGGTCGGCGGGCAGCAGGCGCGGCAGCTTGCCGGCGGGGGCAGACATGGAGGCGGGCATGTGCGGGCGCGGGGCATTGTGGGCGAGGCTGGTGTGCGGGCTGGCGTGCGGGCTGGCGTGGTCGAGGGCCGGCGGGCGGGCGCCAGTGCTCATGGTCGCGGGCGAGGAGCGCAGCAACGGCGACGGCGCGGGCTCAGGCGGCGCTGGGGAGGCGGCGGGCTCGTCGGCGGGCTCGTCGGCGGGCTCGTCGGTCACAGTTGTAGGCGCGGAGGGGTGCGGCGAGAGGGCGCGCGACGACACATGGGCGGCGGGCGGCTGGGCTGCGGAAGAGCGTCAGTGGGCGTCGGTAGAGGTCGTCGCGGCGCTGCCAGCTCATCGTACAGAGCGCACTGATGCGCGCCGGGTTGCCGCAGATTGCATTGGGCACCCGGGCGGCACGACAGGCGCCGACAGGCACCGACAGGCCCGGACAGGCACCGGCACAGCGCTCAGGTATCAGAAGAGGGCAGCTTGGACGCGCAGAGGGCAGCTTGGACTGATAGAGGGCACCTACGGGGCGGGGTGTGCCGCAGCATGCTGGCGACGAGGGCGTGGGCGTCGGGCAGCGCGGGCCTGCTCGTCGTCGACATGGACGTCGACATCAACAACAGAGAGCAGACTCGACGGCGTCTGCCGCATGCGGCGGGCCTCGGGCGACTGGGGCGCCTGCGACGCGGCTGTTGTCGAGCGGATGCGCTGGCAGTGTGATCTGCCGCAGCCCTGGCGGTCGAGGCGGACGGCGATAGGCGGAAGGCGGGCCTCGAGTCAGTCAGCGGACGGGCAGCAGCAGCGCAGCAGCACCAGACACGCTTTCTCCCAGCAGCGGGCGCTGTGCATTATGTTCGCGACGCTGTTCGCGCATGTGGCGACCCCTCCAGCACGCCCGCCATGACTTGCAGCTCCAGCTCACACTGCCTGCCGCCCCGCCAATCAGCCGCCCGCGCTGCCTGCGCGCGCTGGAGCTGCGCCGCTGCAGCCCGCCCAAAGGCCTCGCCGTGAAACACAAGGAACCCCTCGAGCGCGCCACCAGCACATCGCGATCGGCGCCTCGCTTGGTGTTTCGACAGTCCCGCCGCGCTCCCGCCCCCGCTAGCTGGTAGTATACATAGCACCGCACCCTCAAACCGCCCCGGCCAAGCACGCAACACGCACGCCCTCAGACCGCCATGTCCAAGCACGCAACGAGCACGCTCCCTCAGCACGCCCGCCGCCTGCTCTGGTCTGCGTCTGCGTCTGCGTTGTGTCGCCCAGCGCGTCTCGCCCCGTGACGTGCGCGCACTTGCCTGGGTCGCTTGCGCGCGACCGGGGTCCCCATGCTGATGTGCTGGCACCCCTTAGCAGAGCAGCGCATATGCAGCGACGTGCTGGCACGAAACCGGCGTGCTGTCATTGGCGCACCGCCGCGGCAACAACGCCGTGGCCTGCTGCAATGCCTGCGCTGCTGCGATGCTGCGGTGCTGCCATGCTGCGATGCGGACGATGCAATGCGAGCGTGATGGGCGAACGCTGGGTCGTCTGCACGTGTGGACGCAAGATGGGAGCGATACGGGGCGCGATCAGCGTGGTGACTGTTCAGCAGCTATGTATGGAGCTGTCTGCACTGCCTGCGCTGCCTGCGGCCCTGCGCTGCACTCGATCACGCTCAAGGAGAATTGCCATCATGCGTTGTGCGCGCGCTACGCCGCGATATCTCATGCTGTAAGACAGACCGACAAGGATGGCTTTCCACCACTCGCGTCTCCGTGCGACGACACCGCCAGTCCAGCAACCCGGACACGAGTTCTGGCTTGATCCCGGCGCCTGCTGGATACAGCACACGGTGTCACGAGACCGCCACTCTGCCTGACGACCCGACCACACGCCCAACGCTGCCGCGCACCCTACAGGTGACTTCTGCCCGTCTGGCTGAGTCAGTCGTGCGCCTGCCTCAGCAACGGAGCGACACGTTTCCGACTGTGTTGCACTTGCCGCTGCCACCACACTCTTCTCCACCGCCCGTTGCCCGAGCTGCGTGCCACGTCCGCGTCGCCGTCCCAGTCCTCGAGCCCGAGCTCCTCGCGCGACGCCGCCGCAAAGGCCTCTGCCCAGGCCGCGGCTTTTTCGCTCAAGGCCCACAGGAGGAGCTCGCGCTGGAATGCCCCGGTCGGCGACGTCGACGTCGTCATGATGCTGTACAAGTCGAGCCCACGCTCCTCCGCAAACGACCGTAGCTGCCCGAGGAAGGCGTCGGACGCGGCCGAGCCAGCCTCCTCGCCGGCTTTGTCTAGCAGAAACGGGATGGGCTTGACAACAGAGCTGATACCGAGCTTCTGCCCGTCGCTCTGCTCCCACTCCTTGTAGTCCTTCTGCAGAATATCCCGCAGCCTGAGTGACCCAATATCCTGCTTCGCCGCATCTATAGCCTCGTAAAACGCCGTGCGATCGTACCCCGCCGCCACCTGCGGACACGCTCTAATCTTGCCCTCGAGATACTCCACCGCCCTGCGATCGTGATCAGTCGTCTTGCTCCCGTCCTGCAGATTCGCCGTATCAATCAGCACACTCGCCAGCCCCAGCTGCGCAACCTCCGCATCCCACCGCGCCGCCTCCTCACCACCCCCCAGCCCCTCCCAAGCAGCCCGCACATACCCCACCACCAAACTCGAACAACTCCCGCTCTTCTCCACCACCCGCGGCTCCTCGCCCGTGTCCCGCGGCACCCCCCCTTCCTCCTCATGGTGGTCAATCACCCCCCTCACCCGCCCGCCATACACCCGCCCCAGCTCCCCCACCAGCACATTGTGATCCACCAGCACCCACGCCGTATTGCGCGGCTCCAACACATCTCCCACGCCTTCCAGCGCGGGCAAATCGTCCAGCGTAATGAGCTGCCCACCCTCAACCCCCGCACTTTTAAACACAGCCAGAAACTCCGGCCGCGCCGCGAGCCCCGCGGCCCGCATATTCGTCACGGGGATGTACAGCGGCGTGAACGCGGTGCGTGGCGGCGCCGCGGAGCGCACGTACGCGTACAGAATCGCGCTGCTCATGGAATCGAGGTCTAAGGGCGTCAGCCGGGGGGTGCGAAGCCGGAGGGGGGTGGCGCACCCGCGGATGTGTTGCCGATGACGAGGGTTACGGGCGTGTTGGTGCGGAGGGCGGTGCGCAGGGTTTGTTTGGCGTGGGTGAGGAAGGTGGAGAGGGAGGTGCGTGGGAGCGCCATGGTGGGTTGGGGTTGGGGGGTTCTGCTGTCTGTGTATGGGGGTGTTGTGAGGTTGGGGAGGGTTGATGGAATGGTGGGTGACGTAAGCGGAGGGTTTGTCACGTGCTTGGTGGGCGTGGATATTCTTGGATCTATGGGTATAATTGATATTTTTCGAGCTCTGTGTGAGCTTCCTATGACCGTGAGAGGCTGTTGCTGCTTATCCAGGAGGTATGTTCCTGCTCTTCGTATCGTGACAAACCCAGCCTGGTGACGACTTAAAGGCTGTTGTGCCTGTTCCTCCTCAGACATGGCAAGTCGTGCTCCCCAATACCCTCCTAACAATCGTGACCTCGACACCCCCCTCACCGAATCTCCACACTCCCCTCAGGCACCCCCCTCGCACTCCTCAACCTGCGCGCAAAAAACTGCATAATCGGCAGCATCTCCTCCCTGCTACTCGGCATCCCATCCCCATTCCTCCTCCACTCTTTAACCTCCACAAACTCAAACGCATCCCTCAGCTTCCTCACCGCGCCATCCGTAACCTCCGAGCCCCTGGCTGCCCGACAAACAAGCACCGGCGTCCTCCCCTTCCCACTCTTAAGTTCCACCCCCGCCGCCAACCTCCCCCCAACACTCACCACCCCGCCCATCTCCTCCGCCCCCTCAAGCCCCGCAGCAAAACCTAACCCCACCATCCCGCCCTGCCCGAACCCAAACACCACAACATCGCGCGCCGTGTACCCGCACCCCTCCAACCCCGCCATCACACCCGCCAGCACGCGCCCCGCGCCCGCAAACCCGCTGTCTGCCTCCATCTCCCCCGTCCCCGTGAACGACAGGTCGTCGGCCCAGTGGTACCCCCCCAGGTCGAAGGGTAAAGGTGTCGGGCCGCGGATCGCGATGCACGCGGTGTCGGGGAGCGCGAGCTGGGTGCCGAGCGTGTGGAAGGGGAGGTGGGTGTCGCCCAGGCCGTGGAGGAGGAGGAGGATGTTGGTTGGGGGGTGGGAGGGGGGTGCTGCGGGTGTGTTAGTTGGGTGGTGGATGGAGGGGGGAGGGGGGAGGGGCGTACGCGGGGTTATGGTGAGGGTTATGTTGGGGGGGAAGTCGGCGGGGGTGGGTAGGCGGGCGGGCATGGTTGCGGGTTGTGTGGTGGTGGTGGTGGGTGGTAGTGGTAGTGGTAAGGTACAGACGGCGATGGTGTGGCTGAGCGCAAGTGACGCAGGCGAGAGGATTCACGCGGGCGATCGCGAAAAACGCCGGATCCTTCGAATCCTCCAACGCCGTCTTCCAGGCCCGAGAAATCCCTCAGCAACTGCCCCGCGATTAACGGATCCAGACTGCACAGCCACAGCGCTCAGCTGGCGCGGTGCCGGGCGTCGGGCGCCGATGCATAAGCTTTTCCAAGGAAGCTTGGCTAGCTTAACTCTCAGACAGCGGGGCTCGCTCCGGCCGTGGGCTCATTACGCATGCGTCTAGGCCGCTTCCAGGCGCTGATTGATGCTGCGTCCGTTCGATCCGGGCAGCTGGCGGGGCCGCGGTCCAATGGCGACAGCACGCTTTCTGTAGTGAGGCACAAGTGCCACTTGTCTGCAGGAAGGGCCGCAGCTGAGCCACTGTTGGACCCTGGATGGCTGGTGCGAGAGAGGGGCTTGGGTCTCGCGGTCGCCGTGCTGCGGGAGCCGGTCCTGCGATGACGAATGGCTGCTTGTTTGAGCGTGGAGGGGGGGAGCTGTGGCTACTTAAGCTGGCGGTGTGCCTCGTTATGTATCTATTCACTCACAGAACTACCACCTCTTCCATACCAACACTACCTCTCACCAAAACTCATCTCCCCTTTCCACTTCCAATCCAACTCAACACACACATCCAACATGGGTTTCTGGGGTACGTCACCCCCTCCGTTCCCGTGCTACCTCCTAACCCTCCACAGACCACGGCGAGAACTCCTACGACCAGGTCTACAACAATGACAACTTCGAGGAGAACAAGGCCAGCTTCGGCCATGAGATGATCGCCGGCGGCGCCGCATTCGCCGGCTTCAAGGCGTTTGAAGACCACCAGCGCAAAGAGGGTTGGTCGGCCCCCTGCCTCTCCCAACACCCGCTAACAACCACCAGGCAAGCCCGTGTCCCACGCCTTCGCCAAGGAGCTCGTTGCAGGCTTCGCAGCAGCCGAGGTGGATAAGTTGGCCGAGACTAAGGGCGAGGATTGGTTCGACAGGGAGAAGGCGAAGCGTCAGGCCAAGGAGCATGCTGAGCGTATGTATGATGAGCAATACGTTGATAACCACGGCGCGGACCAGTACGACCCTAACCAGTACGGCCGCCCTGAGCGATTCGAGCGCCGCGGCTGGTAGATGTAGTTGTACCTAGGCATGTCGGACCAGTCTGGTACTTGTAGGATCCAATTCATACCTATCACAGCCAAGATGCTGCACGAATATTACTGAATACCTCCATTCAAACACCTACGAGAGAAAGTCGTGATGAGACTATGAGATTCTTGCATTTTGTAAAGTGGTTGGTTAATCAATCGTGCCTGAGTGCGGTGTGAATAGGACGTGGACAGACGATGCAACGAAACGAGACGAGAGTTAACAACAAGGAAATGTTAGACTCAGCCAACCTCAGCAACAGCCTCCACAGGCTTCTTGTTAATTTGGCTGCCATCAGGTATCTGTTTGTAGCCAACGCTGGATAGACGATGCACGACACTATGACAAGAAGTGAACAATGTGCCTCGACTAATCAATTGACTACCTAGTTATCTTTCCTATCATTCAAGAGACGATCCTGGCGTTGAACACGTCTCGCTATGTTTCGATACGAAATTTGGCGCGATGACTGGCGCGATGACGTTGAATGCGCTGTGCCGAGTTGATCTGCCAGCCAAGTCCACTTAGTGCGACCAAGTTGTTGTTGCGCGTGCGAGATGAACGCTCGGTGAATTGTGGCACAAATCCTCTGCACAGACCTGTGCAAGACCACGGCCCATTAAGGCGCCCTCGAGGCCTCATGTTGCTGCAGCGCTCCTAGCGAATCCTGCCGTAACGTGCGTTGACGCGCCTGCCGCGCCGACATGAAGTTCGCAAAGTAATCGGTGCTACCAAACAATCCAGCCAGCGGCTAACAGAGCTAGGGAGCTCGAGCGCGATCTCGTCCCTGAATGGCGACTGAAGTATCTCGACTACAAGGTGCGCGTCAACATGGACTCTGCCCGTGCGCTCGTTGACCGTCGGACCAGCTCGGGAAGAAGAAGCTCAAGGCCATCGACCGCGCGCTGCGCAACGTGAACCAGACGCCGCGCCTGCGCCGCCGCGGCACCAACCTGCTGCCCAACTCGTCCGACGTCGCTCCAAAGTACTCGTTCCTGAACCGCGACGGCCTGAGCCGCGAGGCGAACGACCCGGCCGACGTGCCCGACCCCAGCCGCAGCCTGTCCATCAGACCCAACGGCAGCCGCCCGCGCGGATACTCGTCAAACCTCCCGCGCACGCCCGAGGAGACCCCGCTCGCAGCAGGCGGAAACACGCACAACGGGCTGGGCACGAGCTATGGCAGCTTCGTCGGGAGCCCGCACAGCGGCAAGGATGCAAGCCCGGAGCGGGGGCGGCCGCCGCCGTCGCTGCGGCTGCCAGGCGCTGCCATGGACGCGTCGCCCGGCGGCCCTGCTGCAGCATCGCTGCGCAAGCACAAGTCCGTCAAGCTGCCGTCGCCCGGCGACGGCAATGCTTTTGAAGTTGGGAAGACGAGGACGCCAAGCAAGAAGCACGCGTCGCTGCCGGCACGCTACCGCAGCATCTTCAGCCCGAAGCGCATGAACTCGATGCCGGGGCCTGGCTCTGGCGTTGACCCGCACCCGCGGCCGTTCATCAAGCGCGTCCTGTCCATGGGCGCCCCGGACCCCGAACCGAGCCCCGCCGACGTCCCGCTCGAGGCCTACAAGGAGCTCGACTTCCGCCAGGCCGAGTTCTTCCAGTTTCTGGATGCGGAGCTGGAGAAGGTCGAGCACTTCTACAAGGAGAAGGAGGACGAGTCGACCAGTCGCTTGGCTGTGCTGCGCGACCAGCTGCATATCATGAGGGACCGACGGCTGGACGAGCTGATCCAGCGTCAGACGGCCAAGATGAAGCAGAAGGCAAACAAGAAGCATCCAGCGGATGGTCAGGCGAAAAAATTCGACGAGCACGCCCACGAGCAAAAGCTGACAGGTCAGCAAGTGAGCGCTTCCTGGCTGAATCCAATCGATGCCGCGCTCGAGGCAGTGAGCGCCGGCAAATACGGAACGAGCACCAAAGCCATGACGGCGCTCGCGACCCCATCGGTCCTCCAGCCCACGATCCACAACGACGACCGCCGTGACTTTGCTCGACGTCCAGACCTGCCAGAAGTACCCTACCAGTCGGCGAAGCGGAAGCTCAAGGTCGCCCTGCAGGAGTACTACCGCGGGCTCGAGCTGCTGAAGTCGTACGCCCTGCTCAACCGCACAGCGTTCCGCAAGATCAACAAAAAGTACGATAAGACCGTACACGCACGCCCGTCCATGCGCTACATGAACGACAAAGTCAGCGGGGCCTGGTTCGTCAACAGCGACGTCATCGAAGGCCACATTCGATCCGTCGAAGACCTCTACGCGCGGTACTTCGAGCGAGGCAACCACAAGGTGGCGGTCGGCAAGCTGCGCATTAAGATTGCGCGAGCCGGCGACTACACCGACAACACGTTCCGCAACGGCGTGCTGATCGCGGCCGGCGCCAGTCTGAGCATCCAGGGCCTCATCAAGGCCGCCAGTATAGCAGACACGTACCACCCCGACGACCCCACGTTGGGCGTCAACACCAGCTATCTGCTGCAGGTAAGCTTGCGGTCCGCTGTGGTGGTGCATAGTTAACAATGATAGATATACGCTGGCTACTTCCTCATCAACCTCCTCGTCATCCTGTTCACGCTTGCCTGCCGCGTGTGGCACGAGCACAAGATCAACTTTGTCTTCATCTTCGAATACGATACCCGCCATTTTCTGGACTGGAGGCAGCTAGCTGAGGTAAGTGCGTGCGGTGTTGTTATGAATGACTCTGATAATTGTAGCTGCCGTGCTGGTACTTTGCCTTTATGGGGCTGACTATGCAACTCAACTTCCACCGCGTTGGTGGCGAGGCGCTGTATTTGTATTGGCCCGTCATTTTGATCGGTGTCTCGGTGCTTTTGCTGGTGAATCCTTTCAAGATCTTCTACTACCGCAGTAGAATGTGGCTGTTGTACTCTTTGGTGAGTTGTCTGCGAGGGTGTGTGGATCTTGCTAATCTCGTCAGTGGCGCCTTGTTCTCGCTGGTATCTATCCTGTCGAATGGCGAGACTTCTACCTCGGCGACATGTTCTGCTCGCTGACGTACAGTATGAGTGTGAGTTAAGTATATACCCCTGCCTACGTTGCTAATGATACCAGAACATAGCGCTATTCTCCTGCTTGTACGCTCGCGTCTGGGACGACCCTGCGCAGTGCAATTCATCGCATCTGCGCACCATGGGCTTCCTCGCGTGCTTGCCCGGCATCTGGCGCGCCTTGCAGTGTATCCGGCGATACTGGGACACTGGCAACAAGTTCCCCCATCTTCTCAACTGCGGCAAATACTTTGCGACCATCATCTACTACATGACGCTGAGCATCTACCGGATCAACAAGACCGGGCCAAACAAGGCTGCCTTCATCACCTTCGCCGTCATCAACGCCATCTACACGAGCTTCTGGGACATCTACTACGACTGGAGTCTCGGCGACCCGCGCGCAAAGCACCCCTTCCTCCGCAAACAGCTCGGCTACAAGAAAGTATGGTGGTACTACACCGCCATGGTCATCGACCCCATCCTGCGCTTCGCCTGGGTCCTCTACATCGTCGACCCGCTGCAACTCCAGCACTCGGCCAAAACCTCCTTCGGCGCCGCGCTGGCCGAGATCTTCCGCCGCGGCATGTGGTCCCTCTTCCGCGTCGAAAACGAGCACTGCACAAACGTCTCCCGCTTCCGCGCCTCCCGCGACGTCCCGCTGCCGTACTCGCTCCCGGAGACACCCTCCCCGCCCTCCCCCGCCCGCGGCCCCCGCGTCGACGAAGAACAGCCCCGCCCCCGCACCCCCACCTCCTCCGGCGCAGACCTGGCCCGCTCCCGCGCCGCGCTCAAGCAGCGCCGCGGCTTCCCCGCCCTCGACGACGCCGACGCAGATTTCCGCCCCTCGCCCCTGCAGCGCGCGTTCACCCACGTCGGCGACATTTTCCGCGACGCGCACGCGCAGGACTTCGAGCGCCGGAAGCGGCCAGAGCTCGGCCGCGATCCGCGCGCCGCGAAGATGGAGGATGGCGAGTCCAGTGATGAGTCGGATGGGGAGGCGCAGGAGGACGGCGGTGACGAGGGGGGGATTGGAGGGAGAGACGAGGATGAGGATGAGGAGGAGGAGGGGGGAGACGGAAACGAGGAGGGTGTGAGTGATGACGAGGTTGATGCAGAGGAGGAGAGCGTTGTCGCGCGGATTAGAGAGGATTTGGCGGTTGGGATGGGTGTGGCGGGCGAGGGCTCGTCGGGGCGCTGATGCTGGGGTTGTCTGGCTGGAGGGAGGTGTACAGGGAAGAGGTGTTAGTGAAGAGGGGGTTGCACATACACATACACATCCACGCTATTTGTCCCCCCCCCCCCCCCGCCTATCCTTCGCTCGAGCGCATCCGCACAGCGCGTTCGCGGTACTCTGCACCCTCTCCCTCACGCCGCTTCTTCTCTTTTCCGTCTGTGCTCCTGCTTTCCATCGTCCCCCCTCTCTGCGCATTCCCGCTTTCCTCCACCTCTTCCGCGGCTTCATCTCTACCATTCAATACCCTCGCTCCCCGCTCGACCTAGCACCGGTCCAGCTCCACACCCAGCTCCACACCCAGCTCCACACCCCCATACAGCCGCTGCTACGAAGCATACTTCAATCCGCACGTTGCAACATCTTCTACCGTGGTTTAGTACATGGTATCGCGCACCAGCAGTAGCTCAGACACTATTCACTATTCACTATTGCAGTAACCATGGTATGGATCTACACACAAATCTACACACCCCCCCCCCCCCCCCCCTCCGCCTCCGTCGGTCTTCTATCCAATCCATCATCCCCCGTTGTTGAGTGCCAGGTGCCAGGTGCCAGGTGTCAGGAGGTGCGGAGTGGCTAGTCGACTTCCTCGACCTCCCACTCGTACACTGTCCCGCCCCCCTCATTCTTATCATTCTTCTCCTTCTTCGCCTTCTCCTTCTTCGCCTTCTCCTTCTTCGCCCCCTTCTTCTTCACCGCCGCCGTTTTCGACGCGCCGCTTTTCGTGCCCGCTACTGGCGCTTCGCGCGCCCACGGTATCCGCTCCTCCTTTCCTCCCTCATCTTCGTTTTCCTCGGCAACGTCCTCAAGAAGCCGCGGTCTGCGCTTCGGCGGCGCGGCGGCCTCGAGGAGATGCTGTTTGCGCCGTGGAGCTGCGGTCGGAGAGTCGTGGTCTGAGCCGGAGTCTGAGGCGGTGGAGGAGTCGTACGCGGATACTTCGCTGCCGGACTCGGTCTCGGACTCGGACTCGGGCTCTGAGGCGGCGTCGTGCTGACGCTTCGTTTTCTTCGAGGCAGTGGTGTTTTTGCGTGGGGTTTTGCTTGCGCTTCGGTGCTTGGGGGTTGGCGCGGCTTCGATGGCCTTGTGCTTGGAACTGGCCTTGGACCCGGATTTCGTCTTCTCTTTCTCTGCACCCTTGGACGACTTGGACGATTTCGACGCAGCCGCAGACTTCAACCCAGCCCCACCCCCCGCCCGACTTCTACTCTCCCGCCTCCCCTCAATCCGCCGCACCTCCCTCCCCCCATCACTCTCCGCGTCAGAATCGCGCGCTGCGTGCCGGCCGTGCGTGCTCCTCGCCTTAGTCTTCGACACGGCTTTAGACGCAGACCTATCTTTCACCGCGCGGCCCTCGTCCTCAGACGACTCTTCGCTCTCGACCCGCGCACGTCTGCTCGTCGGCTTGGGGTTCGGCTCCGGGCGGGGTTTCGGCTTCGGCTTGTCTCTGAGGAGCAGCGGGTTAGTCTTGTGGGACGGGGTCTTCGGGGGGCGGCGGCTCGCGGTCCTGTGTCTGGCTTCGTCTTCGGAGGAGGAGGAGGCGTACGAGGTCTTGTGTGCGCCGTCGGGACTCCCGCTGCGGCGGCTCGCGCGCGGTCTCCTGCTCGGCGAGCGCGCACCCGGTTTCCTGCTCGCTGAACGCGTGGGCTTCCTGCTCGCGGAGCGATTGTGCGCCCGGCTGTCCAGCAGCAGCGGCTTTCTCTCCGGCGTCAACGGCACAAGTTCATCCGTATCCTCATCGACCTCCCAGCCCTTCTCGCGCAACACCTCGCGCGCCAACCGCGCCCCCGTCGCCCACGCAGGCAGCGTGTCACGGCGCCCCGCGGCCACGAGCTCCTTGTGCAGGCCGTGCAGCACGCGCGGCTCGGCCCAGCGCAGGTTCTCCTTGTCCCAGGACACCGGGTCGCGCGGGAACTGGCTGCGGTAGGTGGATTCCTTCCATTCGGTGTAGAAGGTGTTGTGGATCTGGGGGCGGGCAACGGGGACTTCGATGACTTCGGTGATGACTTCGACGACGGGGACGAGGGGGATCAGGGGGCGGAGGGGCGGGAGGTAGGGGTAGCCTCTGTAGAATGGGTCTCTGTAGGGGAACATTTTGGGTTTGGTATGGGTGGGTGGAGGGGGGGGGTGGGGGCTGTATTTATGCGGGCGTGGCGGGCGGGTTTGTGTGGTGCTGCTGCAGAGGCGTGACGGGAGTGGGCGTAACGCTCGGTGTGATGAGGTGCAGTGACCCCCCATTTCAGCGTCTTCAAGTCGTCAGTGACGATTTCAGAGAATTGTCATGTCACTGTCTCCCCATATACATCGCCGATCTTACATCACCAAGAAAAGCCAGTCGTGATCAAGCACTAATCCGATTATTATCCCGAGCCAAGTCAACGTAGACTTCAACAAGTCCAAGTCGACACTGCCCCAAAAAAAAAGTGTATCCGTCCTTGTTCTCCTCCGACCCTCTGTCCCCCTTCTACCAAAGTCTCTGTGGCATGGCATGACCAGGCCCTACGCAATACAGAACCAACTGCGACTATCCGGCACCGCCACCGTCTTCCCCTTCTCCGTCTTGCCCGACCACGTCATGCGACCGACGCAGTTCTCCCACCTGTGTGTGTTAGCGCATATGAAACCATACTACCATACTACCATACTACCATACAACCATCGACACAACCATAGACACAACACCCGCCTCGAACCACCCACACAGACAATAATTAAGGCCAAGACTTACTCAAAAAGCATACAGATCCCGCACGCATCATTCCGCACCTCCATAATCCGCTCGAACTGCTCGGCGCTCGCGCACTGCGGGTTCGCGTTCAGGTCGAAGGAGAAGCCGCCGTGGATGATGTAGACGCCGCAGTTTGGGACTGCGGAGGTGGTGGCGTTGGAGACGTTAGTCGAGTCCTTGTTGGAGAGGTCGGTGGTGTTCAGAGTGGGTGGGGACGGGGGACCAGCGACGGCGACGGCGACGGTGGTGGTGTGGCCGGTCTTGGTGTCGTTGTCGTTGGCGGCTATGGTGTCTGCGACTGTGTCTGCGATGTTCTTGATAGACGCGGCGGTATCCACGCCCTTGTCACCATCCGCTTCAACGCCAACGGCCACGGCGATATCTGCGTCGACACCAGTGAACGAGACGGCCGGAGCTGCGCCACCAGCCCAGACAGCGTGGCCCACGCCACCACCAGCGCCGCTGCTCTGCACCGCGGGCGCAGCGTCAAGGACCGGAGCCGCGCCGCCCGGGTGTCCTGCGAGGAAGACCACGGCAGCGAGCGCGAGCGAGGGGAAGGCGAAGTGCATGTCTAGCCAGAAGTTGGGGATGGAGTGTTGGAAAGTGAGTAATCGAGTGGAGTAAGTAGAACACACGAACAGCCAGCCTGCGGAGTATTATATACACAAAGGGGGCCAGTGGGTAGCGGTGAAAGCGCGGCGAGGAGTTGGGGCTGCGGAGTGAAGGGCTCGCGGGGGTGAGTGAAGGACAGGCTTTGTGCGGACCGCGACTCCACGCGCGAAACCGCTGAGCTGTTGGAGATGAGCGACGGGCAGAGACTTCGAGGTGTGGATACCTCGCAGAGCCTGACGCGCCTTGGTCTCGGTCAGTGTGTTCTCTGTCCCACTGAGCGGAATCTACTTTTGTCTGTAATCGCCGGTAAAGTCTTCTCTCCATCCGCGCATGCATACACGGACCGCACGCCATGGGACTGAGGATCTCGGAGACGAAGCACAGTGGATGTCGAAACGACAGTCTGAGCACCAGCGAACTCAGAGTCTGCGGCACACGACACGACGGCGTTAAGAACGATACCCCCCTGGTATCACCATCACTGAGAAGCCCTTGTAGACGCATCAAGCAAGACGGCACACCACCGCACCTCCCAAACCTCCAGAAAATCCTCTGTCCAGATACCAGATACGCATCTTCCTCGCTTGCCACCCTCTGTACAGACAACGCCTCCCGCCCGCGTCGTCCGCCGACCACCCCACCCCTCGTCTGCATACTCTCCAGCCGTACCTCTTGACCCACGACACTCCCGGTAGCAATCTCCCGTCAAGCCCCAGTAAACGCTATGCCTCACCATCCGGCGAAACAGCCAAGCAGCGGAGCGCATGGAAAGGGGACGAGGAGCGTACTAACACCGACACCGAGACTAGAGCTTCAGTGAACTTGTTCTTTGTTATCACGCACATTTCATCAGATTTTCTTGTCGCTACAGCTGTCGCTGGCGATTGCCTTACTTGTGGATACCTTTGGTCACAATAGAATATCTGAATCATCCACCCCCCTCAACCAAACCATTCCCCAGCCCTCAGCCCACTCCATCACACCGACCCCTTAATAACACCCTCTTGACCCCTGGAGCCTTGAATCTTTATAGCTGAGTTATCTTCATTTATTTCCCTAGCCCACAAGTAACCGCCCCTTCCCCTTCCCAACTGCTGAGTGCCCGCGCTTCAGCGCACGTTTCAGTATAGTCCAACACACAGTACGGCCTCCATGTATAGACAGTATTCTGTCACGAGTATTGCGTAGGCGGAGAGGCGATATTCGTTACTTCTGTACGGGAGATGGCAAGCGGGTTGTAGGATCATGGGGACGGGCTGGATCAGGGTGTTGGAGTCATGGCAGTGCAAACAGAGCTAAGCAAATGTGTATCCTGCTGGTTTAGTACATCGTCACATTTGTACGAGTATATGAACATTGATATTGTAAGAGACATATATATTGCGTTCTAGCAGTCACCCTCGCCCTTGGACCGAGTACTTTCTACACGCGCCCCGCTGGCCTGTCCGCCGTAGACGCGCACCTCCACCCCCTCCCGCATATAGAGATGAACGGTCATCTCCTGCGAATCATACTCAAACGCACCCAGACTTCTCACTCCATTGGCACCAGCGTCGCTCAGCGGAATGCGCCGGCGCCTTCGGAGTGCGGGCGGACTGATGACATCAGTGGTATGCGCGGCATTGCGCTTGCGGCTCGTAAGAGCTGGGGCGGTCGACGGAGGTGGGGAGAGCAGTGTACGTGGGTGGCGATGGGAGGGGAGGGGTGCTGTGGAGGGAGGGGTTCGCGGGCTTGGTGGTGCGGATGGTGTTGGAGGGGGTGGCTTCAGCGGCGTGGCAAGCGCAAGACGCTCGGCGGTGTCCATACGGATCATCAAACGGGTGTGTCGGGAGGCTCGAACGCCGGCTCCTTGTGTACTGCCGGAGTTGTAAGTGCTAGGAGAAGTGGTCGAGTGTGTCATATGTCGCTGCTGTGTCTCTTGGACAACAACGTCAGAGGGCGTCGGGTTTGACGGAGTTTCCGAGTTGCGAGGAGTTGTTTGTTCTGTATTCTCTGTTGTTCCGTATGACGAAGTGGTACCTTGCGATTCCCCCATGTATTTGGACATCAGCAATGCGACGTCTTTTGCGTGCCCTTTAAGCTTCTCTGTGTTTGGCACAGCCCACTTCTGCTCAGCCATCTCCTCAAGTTCCTCGAACGTCACGCAGTCTTCCCAAGTCCGATCGTTGTGCAACTTTCTGACTCGGGGATGTCGCAGCATCTCGAAAGTCTCATTCTGAAGCTTTTCAAAGCCACCGCCCAGAATTTCGGCTACAAACGGTGTCCTGAACGCAGTAGTCATACGACGGTCGTACCCTTTAGAGTGCTGAATACCGAAGTTGTCCGTCTGGCCATCCTCGTACAGGTTTGCCTGCCGTACATAGCCATGGATATTGAGGTATTTGAAATCTTGCTTCGGTATACACTGATCCAGACCCACCGTTGCAACAACTTGGAAAACAGGCTTTGCGCCAGACCTTTGTACCGCAGTCCTGTTTGTACAACATCCAAGGTGGAAATGCGTCCAGTGCAAGGGCTTCAAGTCTGACTTCGGAGCAACCTGAGCATCGAAGCTTGCGCCAATTACTGCAAAGTCACCGAGATCGCGTTCGCCGCCCATATCGCCCAGGTAATCCTTCTTGAGCTTGATGAAGTATCCTGGACGTCGACAACCCTGTCCATATAACAGCGGGAAGTAAGGCGCGTGTAGTGGTTTCAATACAAGTCCTTCTTGGCGGCTGGCAAGATTTCGGGCGAATATCTCTTTGAGGTCCGTAATGCCGTCCCCTGTCTTAAAATCAAGCAGGGTCCACTCCGAGCGCATCGATCGACCGGGTTCGACTTGAACCAGCTCTCTCAGTAGATTACGCCGCTCTTGTAGACAATGACGTAACACTGGCTCATCATCCAGTAGTAACACATCGAAGAAGACGATCATCAGATGCTCCCACTCATGAGGACGAGAATCCTGTAGAGTGCCTATGAACGAGCCAGAGCGCGAAATGTGCTTTCGGATCTTCGAAAACGGCATGATTCGCTTTTCCTTGTCGCTGTAGAGTACCATCTCGCCCAGTACAATGCACTTACGTTTGAAAGCACATTCCGGGCGACCAATACGAAGAGCTTCTCGAATGGTAGGTTGCAGAGCTTTGCGGTCGGCAGTGGCGTCTTTGCCGTTTTTCGAGAAGATTTTGATCTCCTGCGATTCGTTCGCCAAGTCGATGTGAATCTCGCAGTATTCGCCATCGTACTTGTTTTCGACCGCCCAGGCGTGTTTTCCTGCCATTCGAAAACAGTGATCAAATGACCACGCCTTTCTGAAAGTGGGTCGTCCGACTTTGACTCCGACCACTGGTCGCAGCTTATGTGCCGCTTCGGATCGCATTGTTATCTCCTCCAGCGGTCCGGGTACAGCGGGGGTAACAGCTGAGTTCCCTTCGTAGCATGTCAAAAACGGTATCAAAGTCGTTCTGGAACATGAGAAGCTCTGGAAGAAGGAAGTGGTATTGCTTGAACACATGGCCTTCGTCGATCATGATGGTGCAGTAGTCTCGAAGTATGAGACGGACCAGCCATTTGGCCTCCCATGACGCAAGTCGCACGAGGATCTCCTTGAGCTCCTCATCTGTCTTGATGCACCAGTCTCGTTGCGAGCGGATGGCTGGATCAGAGAACCTGTATTTGGCCGCAAGTTGTGTCAACAGCCTGTCGACTCTTCCAATAGAGACAAAGTGCTTGGCGGAAAAGGTGCCATCCCAAGGCACCATTGCTCGTTCGACGTATACACCTAGATCTCCGTGCTTTCCAGTGTTCCACCCAGCAAACAATGCCCTCTGGCCATGGTTGAACTTGAGAAGCTTCGTGAGCTTCCGAGCTAGTAAGGGTGTCTGGAGTCCGTACACTCGATCCTTCCTTCGATGAGGGAATAGCGTAGACAGAACTGTGCCTCCGTTGGTGTCCAAATCGTCTAAGGCGCATCTGTGGTTGGTGAACCAGTTTGTTATAATCTGTCTAACGCTCTCCTTCTCTTCTTTCGACGGCAAGCGCGGTCGATAGGTAGTTATGTTCTCTATGCTTTGCAGAAGGCTGCATATCGCATTGAAAGTAATGGTCATTGATGATATATATTGATAAATGTATCCTGGTCAGGTTCTCGCAGATTGGGTATGGTCGAGATACTGTTGGCGTTGCCAAAGCGGTCGATCAAACCAGATGTTTTCCAGACAGGATCGTGATTTCCTCAAATGGGCCGCCGGAATTCCTCCTACTTCGCAGCATCTCATGCGGAGTGAGTTGATCGCGCGAGCCACACTTCTGATACCTCAGTATCCCAAACATAGCAGTGCTGAGCTAGACTGTACGACAGCGCGCTCTCGTGTCGGAACCGAGACCAAAACAACACTGAACAGTAACGCAGACTCCTACTCGGCAGAAGAGCCAACAGAGATCCTTGAAGTCGGAGCTCAAGGCGCGTAGTGCAGCCTTTGTGTGGTTTGGAAGGGAGTGGTGGGGCATCAAGAGAAACTCGCGCTAAGAAAAATGTCACGGGACCACGCGCTCACCCTATACTTGATCAGGCAAACTATGTTTGCGAACATGAAATTTCGCGGATGTGAACAGTATATACATACTCCACTGTACACCGTATTGAGCATCTGTCTTCTGTGTACGTCGGATACTTTCGTGTAAAGATCGACAGACATGAAAAACCAATTCAAAGGATGTCACAGAGTGATGCCATCTACATCCCCACAATGATTCGAGCTCTCATATCTGATAGGCCTAATTGGTCTACCATTTTTACCCAAAAGTACAAGATGCAACCGAACTCCAGCAGCATACGGTGGCTGACCTCACGACAAGTAGTACGATGCTTCGTCTGTTACTAACCCACGTTGAAGGGTTAATCACCTCATGTTAATGGCGGACGAGTTGATCCACCCTTTGCTGTTGATCGTGAATCGGTGGCAAAAGGCAAAGTGTAGTGATTCGTTCTCTAATTTCATAGCAATAACAGGGACTACCTATGTACAACAACAACTTGGACATGTCTCAAAGATGAAGTCTTAGAAGGTACCTACTTTTGATCAGGAAGTATCTTCTACATGTGTTTGAATAAGAGAAGAGGCAAGGCGTACATTGGACGGCTTTGGCAGGACGCCCGACACATCAACCGGTGGGAACTCGCTCTGGAGATCAGTCTACTCCTTCACCGCAGGTGGCTGGGCGTTGGGTGCGTTCACCGGCGCGCTCTTTACGTACGAGTCTGCTAGGCGAGCGATTCCTCTCCCCAACGATCATCGCGAGACGAGGTATGGCGAGGTATGACAGAAGTTCAAGAAACAGACGCCATACCTCTTATCTTATTTTATACACTCATTTCATATGCTTGGATTAGCCGAGTTACTGTCCTTACTGATGGCAAGGCTCGGCGGTAGATTGCCTAGCTGCTTGTAGGGGGTGAATGGCTAAGCCTGAACCATGTATAATCGAGGCTCAACTACGGCTATACAAACCTCACTCGTGATGTTGTGAAATGGCATACAGGTTCCTTTTTGGGGGCACGTCAATAATGATGGCTTTCATCGAAGGCGTCGTAGAGGACGCAGTATTGTTTTCGCACAGGCAAAGCAAGCGGGCGACTTTAGGCCCTGATGCCCACTGTCCACAGACGACAACTCGTCAGCATGAGAAGACTTTTCGTAATCATCGCTCTCGCCATTTTTTCTTGACGCTCCGCTTACTCACCGCTGTTCAGCATGCCCACTCATGTATGCATAAGCTCTGTGCAGCTATACAACCACAGATTCTTGGAAAGCCTACCATTTCTCTGTCAAACGTGTAGCGAAAGGCCAGATCAAAAGATCGGCGACGCTGAGCCATCTGGCAGCGGGACAACCCATTCGCTACTGGTGCGCGCTAGCACTTATGGACCGGAGCGACAACGGGTTGTGGGGAGGTAAGCTGTCAGAAATGGTAGTCCACGACAAGAGACGCCTATAGCCTGTCGTTGTCGTACGATGCAGGTGCAATTCCTCTTCAGCTGGTGTTTGCGCCGGGTCTTACGTGGCACGGCGTCGATAGTGGTGGAATATTTTGAGGCGAGCAAGCGTCAACATCAGAGCTAAGGTCGTGCCTCCCCTCTTCTCGTCTCCAGATGCTCGGCGCGGAGACTTGACCGCTCGACGTCGTGCCCGGTCGGCATCAGCCGAACATAATCCACTAACATGCACTGGAACTGCAATGACGCCACAACGAGTGCTACACGGCTGTACAGTAGTGCGAAGCACTAACGATCGTGGTGAGGGCTTCATCGGTGGGTGCAAGCTCAACGGTACGGTAGTCCTCGATCGATTGTAAGTAGACGGCATCTTCAACACACGTATTCTACAAATATCGATTCGTGTTGCAGAAAACCAATTGCCGTATTCGTGGGGCTGTAGCAGCCCTCCTGGACACGACAGGAAGAGATCAGCATCTGCTTACCGCGTTCAGCTTCTCAGGGTCCCGGAGGCGAACGATGTTGCTCTGGGATGGCACGCCACATGTCCGGATATCTATAAATTCTAGCAACTCCACAATTCTGGCAACTCCACAATTATGATGGTAGGCAATACCTAAGTCAGTGCAGGGGGTGGCTGAGTTCCGAATCTGACGTCGGCGACGAAATAGAATGGTGCTGTGCGCTCCGGCTGTTGACCAGTCTAACTTTGACGAGGATCGAAGCGAGCACCGTGATGAGAGGCAGTGGACTTGCTCGGGTGTTCGTCAACCGGCGGGGCAGGCAGAAGTCAAGTGGGATGCCCTGCGCGACTGCATGAGCTGCATGCAGACCACCCCACATTCAAGGTCGTAGCGGCTCATCATCAAGAACAGCGGCACATCACGCTCAACACTGCCAGTCGTGGGAGCTCGGCGCAGGGGTGCAGCCGCTCTCTCGCATGCTTGCCAACCTTTTGTTGACTTCTTGTCAAGCTCGCAGCTTGGCCGGCGCCGCACTGAGGGGTACCTTGCCGTGAGATTGCCTCGGAATCAAGGCACGAAGCACTGTACCTGGAGCAGCGCAATTCACCCTAGACTCTAGTGAGAGACTCGAGTGAGGCATTTCGGAACAGGGCCCCAGCTCGTCGCACACCCGGCGCTTGCAGTGCAGACTTGATCCTGAGACACATGGCAGCACAGCGATCTGTCGAACGTTGCACCTGCGATGTCCACGATGCAACAAGGTCGATCATCCAGGGCCGCGCTCTCACGGGCGCCATGGCCGGTGGTGATTCGCCGGCGAAGCGGATTCCGCGCGAGCACCACAGCAGACAAGGAACACGGCATGGTCACCTCTGCCGAGCTAGAGGTGTAAGCCGCATCCGGACGCGACTCCGCCGTGCGGCTGTTTGGGGTTCACGTCTTGTTGATTCCAAGTTTTGAAGCGTTAGTTGAGGCTGCTATGAACATGGCAGGGGCCGGCTCACGATGGAAGCGCTAATCTGCGAATCGTCGAGCACGCCGTCGGAGCAGCCCAGGGCAGATTTCGTCATGGTGAGTGGGCCATTCTGCTGTAGCGCCCTGGACAGATACGGCAGCCCGAGTATACAAGAACATGTGCAGCCGTCGCCCGCATTGGCAGCTCCATCGCTGCACCTGGATTGGCAGCTCCATCGTTGCATTGGCATTGGCAGTGCAATTGTCGCATACCAAGCCCACTGGTGCTGATACACTCGGCTACGGTTTTCTTTGTCTCATCTCGCGTGCTTTAGTCTTAGGGCGCGAGCGAGGTTGTGCGCGCACTGCAACGCCGGATTGGCTGCAAGACGGCCAGAGTAAGTCAGCTCTCGCGCCATGCCTCTTGCCCTGCACGCTGTCCTGGCGTCACTGGCACTACGCTCGAACAGCGCCCGTGTCAGCCGGGACCGCAATGGACAGTAGTTTGTGTTTGCAGACTGACAATTCTTTCTTTAGCTTTCAATAGAAGCTTTCTCTAGCGCTGTGGCACACTCTGCGTCGTCCTGATACATTAGGCCAACCCCCGCCGGTTGAGCACCCACAACTTTGGAGTTCGCACAGTCGCCCGCCGTGCCCGCCGCCCGCACCTCGAGCGTCCGTCAACACGGATCTGACACCACACAGCGCCGCCCAATCTCGACGGGGCGCGCCAGGCCATCGCCGGAAGCGGTTGGAAGCCAGTGCATCCGGAGAGCTGCAGGGCTGCAGCAGCGAACGCACGCACGCAAGCGGGGCGCCAAGCGGCCACGGCCTATCACCGTCGCCACTACATAAACATACAGAGCCGCTCCGAGGAGTCGCTCGCCTGCCGGTCGCTTGCCTGCCGGGCCATTCACTGCGACTGCCATTCCTGTCCTACCGCGCTTTGACGTCAGGGCGCCGATCCGTGTTTCAACGCCGAAGATCGTCAAGCGAGCAAACATGCAGACCATGGCCCAACCCACCGCAGTCCCATCGTATGGTGGTGCCATGCCTCTGCCCGTCCGCCGCAAGCCCATTGCAACCCCCGGCATCGCCGTGCGCCCGCCGCCCGCACAGTACAGCGACACCGCCATGGGCCACTCGCGAACCCGCACCACTTCGTCCGGCGTGTTCCCGCCCGTGGCCCCCCCACCCGCAGCCGCCGCTGCGACCATGAACGCCCAGTACCCGCAGTATCCCTCGCAGTACCAGAGCTCGCTGCGCCGCACCCCGACCTCGTCGACCAGCTCGACCACGGGCACGCCCAACCGCTCCAACAGCGGCGCCCTGCGCCGCTCGTCGTCGACGCGCTCCGGCACCTCGCCCACGTCGTACGTCGCCCTGATGCGCAAGCAAAAGGCCACCGTCTGGTGCGACCGCGCCCAGTACGAGGACCCGCGCATCCAGGCCCAGCAGCGCCAGGCGCGCATGCGAGCCAACATGGAGGTCGCGGGGGGCAAGGGCGCGCCCGCCCGCGGGCCCTCGGGCAGCTCGAGCATGGCCGCCGGCATGCGCTCCAAGGTGCGCCACCACGGCGCTCCCAAGGCCACGCTATACGCGCCCACCACATACACCGGCACCGGCGTCCCCATGCGTCTCAGCGCCTCCGAGGTCGACGAGGGCGACGACGACGACAACGGCTCCAACGGCGGCCAGTACCACCACCGCACCGGCTCGGGTCGCAGCTCGCTGGGCTCCGGCCGCCGCGTCTCGTACGCCAGCCCCGCCGGCCGCCTGTCCTCGGCCTCAACGCCCCCGCAGAACTCGTCGCCCGACGACCTGGGCGACCTCGCCGAGGAACCCACGCCCAACCCCTCCCACGACGCCCCCGAGTACTTCATGCACAAGACTAACACGCACCTCTCCACCAACAGTGGCAGCAGCGAGGAGCGCAACTTCGGTGCCCCGGCGCCCATGAAGCAGCTCCCCAAGCTCGAAGTCACGAAGAACTCGGATCTGATGCGCAAGGGCAGCGTGGATGAGCGCACCACCACAATGAGCAATACGCGGCTGTTCATTGCGAATCCTGATGCCGATAGCGATTAGCCCCTTCCCTTCTTCGATACCCACATACACGACACGACGATGAAGATGAAGACGAAGACGAAGTTGAAGACGAAGACGAAGACGAAGACGAAGTTGAAGACGAAGACGAAGACGAAGACGGAGATCCGGGCGTCCAGCAAGAGAGGTTGGCGTTGACGGCGTTGATGTGATGGTGTTGATGGCGTTGATGGCGTTTTACGGCGTTCCATTTTGTTTTGGTGATGCATAGATGGCGTTGCTTTGCGCGTGGGGCGTGTACATGTATATAGCGAGCGAGGGCAACGAAGGTAACAGCGAGAGTGAGCGCGAAAGCAAAGGCAACAGCGAGCGTAACAACAAGAGCGACGGCACAGCAACACAGTACGTGGAGAGAATAGCACACATGCCGCGTTCCACAAGTCCATTGATCTTCGGTGCTGCATCTACCTTGAAGTCCAACTCCATCCATCGCTTGCCGTTGCTGCATATGCAGCACACACCCATTGCACAGCGTTCCATTTGCCCTGTATCGTGGGCTTGTGTTGTGTTGTAGAGACAATAACGCCACATGCCCAATCGAGCACATGCCATTCCCCTATCACCGCGATCGCGATTGCGATCCAAATCGGGTTTCCCATGCCATCTCACAGACCACTCATGTCAGACCACTGGCACCTTACCGACACCGGCCCGGGGCCGGAGCCGCTATCGGAAGTCACAGCGACCGGCTGAGAGACGGTGCTTGTGACTTGAACTGAACAGCCCTCAAACGAGGGTGTGCTCCAAGGACATGGATAGGTGGGATGGACATTGTACGCAAAGAGTCAACACCCCCCCAAAACGGAGTAGACTAGAGTGCTTGAAGAGCAGTGGGTACGGAGGGGGTGGATGCAGCTCGGAGGGCAGCGCTCGGAGTGGAGTACATTCCTGGACACTAAAACAGAGCAGACACTAAAGGAAGGTGAGGGCTCAATGTGGGTGGGTACGCACCTCAAAGTAGCCACGGCGCGGCCGAAGCCCTACATATGAGCACCGAATATTGCGCAGAGAAAAGCGGGTATGGTGCAAAACCGGGTGCGGCTTGCCGACACTATGTACGTACGCGATACGCTGCTCCATACATCGACATGGACAAGGTAGTGACTATTTGGCGATCACCCGGCGCTGCAGTGTGCGCCGAGGTTGAGAAAATTCGACTCGTTTGCATATAGCTGGGGAGTGGGTGTTGTGTTGCGCATGATATTGGAGTGTAAAATTGAGGTGTGAAATCTTTTGCGAGGGTGGGGGAGATTCAAGATGTTTACAGCCTCAGATTTCAGATTTTACAGCCTCGATTCCAGGTACCAAATTCAGCATGAGCTGTTGTGCTTCTTCCTGCGCACATTTCTGGGCTGTCGGGGGATTTCGTTGGAATGTGCTTAAGTATTCAAAGACACAGGGCTGAATGTCGCAGCTCGGATTACTAGTGTTGTGCCTTCCAAGGTTCCCGAACATGGCTCGGACGTGGGTTCATGGTGGTCGTGTCCGAACCGCTGTGTGATTCGCTGCCGGCCCGCCGCTGTGCAACGCGCTCACGCGTCCCTGCCAAGGATTCCGTCCACCAGCACATAAATGTTCAACAATCCTACGCTGTCCGAATGGCTTGAGATTTCCACGATACCTACGACGTACACGACGTATACGACTTGGCGTGATGCCGCACGCAACCAATGGCACGGCGAACGGCGCCACGAACGGTGTCACGAAACGGGGGGTGAATGGTAATGCAAGCAGTAAGACGGACTACACACGATGGCGGCTCAAGGACGACCGGGGTTGCCAGACATGGCACTACCTGCAAAGTGACGAGGAGCTGAAAGAGTGGCCGCAGAGTGCGGCGGACCGGTACTTTCTGGGCATGGAGACGGTACGCACAACGCTTCCAACACCACGACGACACTGACCGCTCAGGGCCTCCCCGATCTCCCACCCGCAAAGACGCCGCTCGACGCCGCCGAGAACGGGCTCTCCTTCTTCTCCAATCTGCAGCTGCCGCCAGGCAACTGGGCCTGCGAGTATGGCGGGCCCATGTTTCTCCTGCCGGGCCTGATCATCACCTGGTACGTCACCGAGACAGCGATCCCGCCCGAGCGCGCCATCGAGATTAAGAACTACCTCTTCGCGCGCGCGCACCCCGACGACGGCGGCTGGGGGCTGCATATCGAGGGCGAGAGCAGCGTCTTCGGCACAGCCATGAACTACACCGTGCTGCGCATCCTTGGCGTCGACGCAGAGGACCCGCGTATGCGCAAGGCACGCAGTACGCTGTGGAAGCTCGGCGGCGCCCTGAGAGGCCCGCACTGGGGCAAGTTCTGGCTGAGCGTGCTGGGCGTCCTCGAGTGGGACATTGTGAACCCTGTGCCGCCGGAGCTGTGGCTGCTGCCCGACTGGGTGCCCATCGCCCCGTGGCGCTGGTGGATACACATGCGCCAGGTTTTCGTACCCATGTCGTTTGTGTACTCGCGGAGGTGGTCATATCCATTGAACGACCTGACGCGGCAGCTGCGGTCGGAGCTGCTCACCCAGCCGTTCGACACCATCACATTTAGCGCCCATCGTAACGATATTTCGCCCATGGACGACTACCATCCCAAAACCTGGATCTTAAAGCTGATCTTCTGGTTCGTGGTTGTTCTCTGGAATCCGTACCTGCGGCCTGCGTGGATGAAGGAGCGTGCTGAGAGCCATGTGTGGTGGCTGATTCAGGCAGAGGATAAGAACACGGACTTTGCGAATCTTGGACCCGTCAACGGACCCATGAACACGCTGGCGTCGTATATCAAAGAAGGCCCTGACGGGCACGCCTTCCAGGAGCATCTGAAGACACTGCCTGAATTTCTCTGGGTCAAAGACGAAGGCATGCTTATGAACGGCACAAACGGAGTGCAGACGTGGGACACGGCGTTTACAGTTCTGGCCGGCGACTCGTGCGACTTCCTCTCGCAAGACAAGTACCGACCCATGTTCACCAAGGCGCTGGAGTTTCTCGAGGACCAACAAATACTGGCTGAAGTCGACGATCAGCAGGCATGCTACCGCCAGCAGCGCAAGGGCGCCTGGGGATTCAGCACGCGCAAGCAAGGGTATACCGTTAGCGACTGCACATCGGAAGGGCTCAAGGCCGTGCTGATTCTGCAAAACAAACACAAATACCCAACGCTGCTCGAAGAGCGACGTCTGAAAGACGCCATCGACGTTCTCCTGACCATGCAAAATGCCTCCGGTGGTTGCGCTTCCTATGAACCCACCCGCGGCTCAGAACTCCTTGAGCACCTCAACGCTGCAGAAGTCTTTGGTCGCATCATGATTGAATACGACTACGTCGAATGCACAACCGCAACCGTCACTGCCCTGCAGATGTTCCAGCAATACTACCCCTCCTATCGCGCCGCCGAAATCGCCACCTTCCGCACCCGCGCTGTCGACTATATCCGCTCCGCACAGCGCCCCGACGGCTCCTGGTACGGCGCCTGGGGCATCTGCTTTACGTACGCGGCCATGTTCGCGCTCGAGTCACTCAAGAGCGTCGGCGAAACGCACGACAACTCCGAGCGCGTCCGCCGCGCGTGCGCGTTCCTGCTCGACCACCAGATGCCCGACGGCGGCTGGGGCGAGACGTACAAATCGTGCGAGACGGGTGTGTACTGTGCGCACGAGCGCAGCCAGGTCGTGCAGACGGCGTGGGTGGTGATTGCGCTGCTCGAGGCGGGGTTCCCACACCAGGAGCCGCTGCGCAGAGCACTGCAGATGATTGTGAGTCGCCAGATGCCCAATGGCGAGTGGAAGCAGGAGGCGATTGAGGGTGTCTTTAACAAGAGCTGGTACGTATCTTGTCACGTGATGCACTGAGAACTGGAGCTGACGCACACAGTATGATATCCTACCCGAACTACAAGTTCATCTTCCCCATCAAGGCGTTGGGTATGTATGCAAAACGCTTCGGGAACGCGCCGTTATAGAGAAGGAGTAATGCAGGGACGATGCCACTATGAATGAAGATTAGCAGTAATACGGCGCACGCGTACACACGCTGTGTCAACCAACACCTTGCTTTTCCCGCCATCAGCTCATCCATCTGGCCAGTGACGTCGTACAGCCCCCCCATTACCACATAACCACTCCTCCGCCTCCCGCCTCCCTCCTGCTTGCCAAACTCTGCTCCGCACTCCACCCCCCAGTCCTCCTTCCAAGCAACGACTCCCCTCCCTCTTGATCTCCGCGCCCCTCACACTGTGCCCTAACCAGCACCAGCACCAGCAACCCCCCACGCCCACCTCTCTATCCTCCTTTGCTCATTCCACCGTTCAAACCATCCGTCTACAGTCCCCGATCACTCCTGTCACTCATGGTGGTGTAATAGCACAGCACCCTCCACAGGTTTTCGGTTTTCGTGTTTGTACACGCTGGTTTTATACTGGTAGCATGTCTGATTCGGTTTGATTTGTCCAATACTAATTATAATTGTGTGTACGTCGACCGGCCAGCCTCTGATCAATTGTTTCTATGCGATTTGAGAACTCGATGCAGGACCCGGAAACAATACGTCGATAGTGTGGGTTAGCATGTGGGAGGTAGAAATTGTCTTCTTAGTGGAAGATTGTGCTTGGGATTGGTCACGTGCTGGGTTTACTGTGTCCTTGGATTATTCGCGGCTTTGAAGCGCACTGCTGGAGAGGGATCGGTGTGGGTTGGGCAGGGAGGTGGTTTTCTGGCGCCTGGTGTTGTTGGGCGCGTTGGGTTTAACCTGAGAGGTTGGGCTGGAACTTGGTGAGAAAGACGTGTATAGTACTGTGCGTCCTGGAGTTTGAAGAGGCTGGTCGGGCTTCGGAGTGTTGACGCCGGTGAACAGAGTTGATGGATGGCTTCTGCGGAAGGAAGGCATACAGGGGGGCTTGAGATGGGTCTATGGCATGTGTGAGGCTGCGTACAGGGGACTACTATCTTCAATCTACTACAGGTGAGTCTGTTGAAGTTAGCGTGCAGTCTATGCCAAAAGGATGCAGAGAGTCAGATGGGGATAGATGAGCACAATTGGTATTGATGGCCAGTCACAACACGTTGGTGTATGGCATCATCTAACGCCCCTTCTTAGCGTTGACGTTCTTCCCAGCGCCGACCTTGACCCTGCCACCGGCCCGTCCACGGTCACCCGTAAGAATACCAGGCAGATAATCCTGATCCATCAGATCACTCGCCCTCTCCCTCTTATCCTTGGTCAACTGCCTAGTGAACTCCTTCTGGTCCTCCGCGAGCACCAGATCTCTGCCCCAGCCTCCCTTACCGCCGCCGATACCGCTCCACTTGGTATTGGCCGTACCCGCGATGGGCTTCGGGATGCTGAACTTGTCGCCGCGCTTGTTGTAGGTGTAGTTCTTGGCAAGGTGGATGTGGAACTCGCCCTTTGCGTTGGTGCTGCATGACACGCGGGCCAGCGTGGCGCCGCCGCAGCGCGGGCAAAACTGCTTGCTCATGTCTTTGACGATCTGGAAGCAGGCGTGGCAGCGCAGGACCTTGGAGGAGAGCTTCTTGATGCGCTGCATGTTGGTCGTGATGAGCTTGAGGTTCATCTGCAGCAGCACATTCTGCATCGCGAAATCGATGGTCATGGTGGCGACATCCATTTGCGTGGGGCCCTGGGCGCGGACGGAGGCCTGGATGGTGGAGTCCTTGATTTGATGCTCGGGGAGGTTGGTCTCGGTGATCCAGTCACCGTCGTTGTCATCCTCGTCGTCGGATGCGGGAGGCGTAGGTTCCTGCGCCTCGTTCGAGATTTCGAGGGACGTCATGTCCTTCTCGAGCGACTCGGCAGCAGACTCTGAGGTACTTTCAACCTCAACAGGCTTCTCCTCTGTGAGCAGGGATGCTGGCTGTTCCTGCACAGCTTCCTGCACTACAGGCTCCTCAGGCTTTTGCTGGGGCTCGGCCTCAGTCGCTGGTTGCTCGAGAATCATCTCCTCGGTCTGTGCCTGCTCCGGCTTGTTCTTCTTATTCTGGCCCTTGGACTTCTTCAACTTCTTAGACTTTGTGACAGTCGACCACTCATCCTCCTCATCAATCTGGCCACTCTCCAGATCTGCTTGCTCCTGAGCGGCCTTGGCAGCGGCCTTCGCCTCCTGTTGCTTGCGCGCTTCCTCTTCCTCCTCAGGCCGCAGCTTGATCGGCCCCTTGGGCACTGATCTCAAACCCCAGTCTCCACTATTCCTCTCGCAGTGAATCTCGTACGCCAGAGCCAAGATTCCCAAATCCTGCCTGCTCAGCACGGCATGGTCACCGGTCTTTTTACTGAAGGCGATGACTGCGTCGTAGCTTGCCGGGCTGGGATTGCGGACTTTCAAGAAGGGCATGAGTGTTGTCTGCACTCGCATCCTAGTTGCTTCATCGCGAATTTCAGAGATGATGGCTGGAGTGGTGTAGAGTTCCTCAGCGGAGTTGATAATGGTCGATATCGAGACAACATTCTTGATCAGTGGGCCGGTATCCAGGATAAGCGAGTGGATCGGCTTTTGGGTTGGTTCGACAGCCATTTCAACGACAGGAAATGGCGACAGTTGAATTTCAAGCACCTTGAGACTTTGCAGTCAGATCACAGAATTCTGATTGTGAATCGTCGTTGGTCTGGTCGATTTTTGCGTGCGAAATTTCACTACAGTGGCGCGGGGTGCACTTGATACAGCAACAGGCTAGCCGTTTTGGAGCAAACCCGCAAAGAGCAGCGACACACAGACGGTCCTTCCGTGATTCTAGCTCCCGCGAAGTCACTTTCAACATCCAGGAACCCTGCATGCCCGTCATTCAACGCTCGTACGGCGAGATCCTGCGTCGTCTGCCATGCTTGGACACATGACTCGCCGTTTATCCGAACGAGCCAGATTATACATACCAGAAGGCCGTCGCTGACGCTGTGCAGATTCGCTAGCTACTCTAGTTGACTGCGGACCATGACCTTCCGTTTTGTACGACGCCCATTGTACTGGGTAGCACGCGGCGACTGAGCGTTTACCGCACTCGGCACATATGGGCAAGCGGGTAAAGCCTGGACCGCTGGCCGATAGACGAGATCACCACCAGTGCGTCCCGAGTCTACTAGAGGTCCTGCACCCGGTTCTCAGATGCCAAGTTAGCACTGCTCCCCGGAGCTGGATGTAGCATCAGGCCGGGTCGCGTACTGTTTTCGTCGTTCGCCCCAGTGCCGGTTTTGATTCGGTATTTGAAAGCCTATCCACCGGATCCAGACTGTCGGGTCCAAAGGCAAGCCTCTTCGTCACGAGCCAGCCTAGTCTGCGCTGCCCTTACTCGATGCACTGCTCATACCAAGAGGAGCTGACGATGAAATCATTCAACATAACCTATCGATCAAGCATCCTGCAATGCTGTCCTATTTCTTGGCTGTTTTCATTTGTTCGAGCCTTCGGTTCGAGCGTGTGGGAGCGAAGGAGCCAATTGGAATTTGGAGTCACCCCATTGCTCACGCTTGGAGTGATTCTAGAAGAACGATGGTTAGGGCTGCTCCATGAGCCTTGAAGTGTTGATCAATCGTTGGGACATACCACGACTTCCCACTCAATCCAAGTCTGCATCTCATCACACCACTGGATGTGGCATTTTCGTCCGAGCCGGTCTATCTTTGGTCTTGCCTTTAAACTGGCCCTTGATGATGATTGGCTCCACCTTACGAAGGCTTCACCCAGCTCGGTACTTCCACGGACCGTAGCAGTCCGTCATACAGCCTGGTGTGTGTGTTCCCGCGCTTCAACAAGTATGGTGAGCAACTGAGCGCTCTTTGCTGTGGTATTCATCATTCCAGCATTCATAGTGCGGTATGTGTATTGTGCGCTCAGCCAAGGCGGACCTCAGTGCTGGAATAAGGGTGAACGCGGCCCATCCCTTGTGGTGTGTGAAGTTCAACAGAACGGACAGTGGTGCCCAGAGCCCGGGGCTGTCACTCGGCGGTCGGAGACTACGGGCCAGTATGTTGGCGTTCGTTCGCGCCGAGTGTGGCTCAAGTGCGTACGCGTGACCCAGTATGACGATCTGGCATCTTGGGCACCGTCGACCGGTGAGTGCCCATCGAGACTTGCTGCGGACGGCGGGACATCTTATATGTGTTAGGTAGGGCACAAAGACCTGCTTCCGGTGAGCAACTGATAGAGCCATGCAGGCGTCTACAAATCAGTCAGACTACCGCTGAGTTAGGGCAATGGGCCAACAGCCGCTGCAGCCGAGCTTTTACCCTTAACGGTACTGATGTTAGTTCTGCGAGGCATACTCGCCAATGCGAGCTCAGAACAGCTTTCCAGAAGTGAAGGGGTAAGTAAAGAAGGCAAAAGACAGGTAATCATCATGCATGAAAGAGTCCTTCACAGCGGCATCCCCTTACCGTTGCGCAATTAGCGTGGACAAACCCTGGGCATGCTGGCTTCTACTTAACCTCCCAATCCCACAACTATGGGAGGCTTCGACCTGACTTCGATACAAACTACCAAAAGAAAATGTCCTCAATCCACTCAAACGCTCGCTTGATCTGTTTCAACGTTCATTGATCCAAGGATGATCGTCGATGTTAGCGCGCGCGCAGATGACGGCGTCCGCTGGATTGACGCAACAGACCGCTTATAACCCCTCTCGCCACAAAGCAGAGCCGCAAGTCGCACTGTGGTTGCCCACTTCCACCAGCACTCTAGGGGGTGTTGCTGCCGGGACAGGGTTTCATAGACACCAGAGCTGACACCTAGATTCGGGAACAGTTCACCGACTGTCCCCTTCATCCTCCCAACGAGACGGCGGTCGTTGGGCATCTCCGCATGACGACGCAGCACACTCGGCGGGTATCTCGCAAATCAACATGGCGCCACAACATGTGAGAGACGCAGTCGAGCATTTACTGGAAACGAACTACGGCCGTCTGGCACATCCTTCGCGGAGCACTACGGCGCCTATCCAGGAGCTTCTACCCGTAACAGGCATGGATACTGGCGCTCCACTGACGCCGGTATCCACCCTACCCTGTTCTGGCTGGCTCTGCAGCCTCTGTGGTTGGCTTAGTCCTTGCATCGCAGCAGCATGGATTGATGCGTTGCGTCCAACAGGATCCTTGAGTGCTCAGCGCATTGTTGACTTGGCTGACATGCGTGACAGCAGCGACCGTCTTACAGTCTTGTGCACTCTTCGAGTGTCGGCCGAACAACTATAGATCTGCAGCGAATGCGTTCCAGTACAGACTCTACATCTGCTCCGAATCGCCCCTTGACCGACCGACCCTCGACCCTGCGTAACACCAGCCGGCACGGATCGCGGCACGCGCCCTCCCATATGCTGTAGCTGGCGGGGTAAAGGAAGCCAGTCGCTGGCCGGTCGGCTAGGCTCTGCAGCCGATGCATCACCATCTGCCGCCATGACACTTCGGGGCCTTGCTCTGGCTTATCAGAAGCTGGCCCGTCTTGCGTGCCCGCAAAGTGACATGGTGACGAAAGCAGTCGCCTGACACTAAGGCCTGCATTCCTTCCTGTTGTGGTCGTATCCAGCAGAGCCTCATCGCGGTACGAAGGATAAAGGATGAGCAATGTTGATGGTAAAGTGGCACATATTGGAGTGATTTGCCTGGACAGCGGGATAATCAGCCGGAGTCTTCAACCACAAGCACACATCAAACGAAATGGATCCCGAGCAAGTACCAGTAAGCAGTAGTCGATTCACAATGCTGAGCACGTCTAACAGTTCGATGCCTCAGCCCTCCTTCGTCTTTCGACTCAGCGAGATATGCGACCTCCATCCTACTGTAGACCTTAACAACCACTGGGCGCCTTCCTATGGACTGGGCAGCAACGCTATACTCCCTGGTGGAGCTTCTAGCACCTGGTGGCTATGCAATGGCCGTCAAATACGACCCCGGACCGACGCCAATCTACCTGGCGGACTTAAGCACTACAGCACTTTCTCGATATACTTCAGCGATGGAAGAGGTTTCTTGGTCATGAGGGGCGACGCGACTTCCGCGACCGACGAAACTTGGTTTCCACTTTGCTTCGAGCATGACCAGCTCGACGGCTGGTCCTCGTACCTGACCAACGCGAGAGAGCAACCTGCACTTCTCTGTCGACGCGAAGATCAGGCTTGGGTCAAAATGCTCTTGCCTGACATTTACCACGGCGGTCCCCCCACGACTGGGGATCAGGCATACGGGGCGCTGAAAGGAGAGCTGGCAATCTTTCTCGCGCTCATCGCCTTCGCCATCCCCAGGGACCAGGTCCAAATCTATCTCCCAGCGATGCTGCAGAATGGAACGTGGCAACAGTACAACATGGTCAACGGCCGTAAGCCTCCCCCAAACCTAGTACCCTCATCGCGCACACTGGATTCTGACTGCTCACAGGAGTACACGGGCGCGGCGTCATGGTCGAAGTCTTCACGTACTCGCGCGCCGGCGGCTCGCCCTCGCGAGATCTGCGCCAGTACGAGAATGGCCGCACCGGGAAATACTACACCTGAGGCTGCGCCGGGAGCCGTCGTGCGCCGTCAGCCCTACTGCGTCGCACGCAGTGTGCCTGCCAAGGCTTTTGCTGCCGTCTTGCGCTTTATTTCCGTTGCGGATCGCTGCGCGCCTGAATACGTTTGTCTTATCTGATTGTTTGGTTCGCCGCGTTTACCTTTTTCCGTGTTGGACGCTCGCTGGCGGCTCCTGGGTGGGTTTGCTTGCACGGTGCTCAATACACGCGCTTGTGGTTTCTTGCTACGCTCCTTGTGCTTTTGCTCCTTGCGCGCTCGCACTTCCCTCCTCGCACATCTGCTTCGCACATCCCCTTTCGTGTTTACTTCCTGCACTCCCTCGCACCATCACTGCGGCGTGGAGCAGAGTACACGCTCCAGCTGTACTCAAGCCGCGGCCAGGCACCTGTCTGACCGTACCGTTCCGTCGCCTCCTCCTGCCCCGTTCCATATGGTGTCTTTAGGTCGCCGAGAGTCGTATATCCACTTCCACGTTTGTGTCTATGTTTGTAGCTTAATACACATCCCTGACATGGTTAACACATTCTATTTCTCACTCGCGCCCTATGGATGGGACGTCTGACACTGTGAACGTGAACGTGAACGTGGACGTGAACGTGAAGTCAGAGTCTTGATTCGAGACCTGTGCTTGAGTCTCGTGTGTCATGTACACATCCATACGTATCATTTACACCCCCGAATCTAGTCCCGTTCTGGCGAGGTCCGTAACGCCGTCTTATGCTGTGCGCTGTGCTGCGCGTGGTATACAATATTATTACACTTCGTGCCACATGCCTGGTGCTGCTGTCGTTGCTGGCTGCGGCTGTCGGTGGCTGCTGTTGTTGCCGACTTCCCTTGTTGCCGGCTTTTGTCACTGCCGACTTCTGTCCATCGTCGCTCGCCCACCCACGTCTAGGCAATCGGCTTGCTGCGCTCGTCCTCGGGCATTCTCTGTCGTGCATTAGCTCCACTCCCCCTTTCTCCCCTCACCACCACGCAAAACTCACCATGTACGCATCAATCGCCGCACTGAAGACCGCAAACCCCGCACACCCCACCGCCACCGCCTGCGGCCCCGCGGCCCGCGCCAAAACGCCCCCTGTGATACACCCGCCCGCAACGCCGTTGTACAGGTCGTTCTTGGCCCGCAGCCCCTCGATCGCACACTCGGTGCCGCTGAAGATGGCGCCCACCTTGGCGAAGTTCTTGCCCGACGAGAGCGACGAGCGGTACATGTCGCGCAGGCCGTGCTTGAGCTGTTGTTTGAGGGGCAGGTCGGCGATGGGGGCGGCGGCGGGGGAGAGGAGGGACGCAGCGGGAGCGGGCGCGGGCGCTGTTGCGGTTGCGGAGACGGCGTGTGCGGCGGCAGTGGAAGGTAGGTTCTGCGGCGATGCGCTGGCGGCGGCGGCGCGGGCAGCGTTGGCGATCGGTGTCGTTGCAGGCTTTGGCGTCTGTGTAGCGGCTGCACCCGCGGCCACGGGCGATGGGTTCGCGGTCGCGAGCGGTTGGCCCATGGGGGTATCGTAGCGCATCGAGGCCATGAACAGGCCGAACATGGCGCCTAGGCCGCCACCCATAACGCCCGCCATGACGGTTTTGCCGGCGCAGGATTCCATGGTTGCTTGTATCTGGCAGAATTAGCGTGGATTCGTGCCTCATGGGGCTTGGGGGAGAAGGGTGAAGGGTACCATTTTTGTCATTTGGACCTCTTGCTCGGACAGGCCGGCGGTCGGGTTCATGCCAGCCATCATGCCGGCGGGGTTCTGCGGAAGCGCCATTTTGGAAGTGTGCGCGAGTAACGGACGGGCCGAGTGACGGACGGGCCGAGTGATGGACGGGCGGGCGCGCGGAGAGGGATGGGACGAGGTGAGCGGGAAGGTCGAGATGGATGGCGATGCGCGGCAGCAACTTTTGCGGAGAACACGGAGGTCCTGGGTGGCACGTGCTGCTGTCAGCCTTGCGCTCGGCCTGTCAGCATCTGATGACTTCATCCACTGTGTGTTGTCGCATTCACGGTCTCGGGCAGATGGCTAAAAGTATGCAATATATTTCGAAGTCCTATGCTATGCTTCGCTGGATATGTAATGCTAGGTATGCCAGCGGCAACCACGAACGCCTGTTTCGCCATGCCGTCAAGTGCCACTCCAAGCCACCTGCTCAAGTCTCCCCCGTTGAAATTGAATATGAATAGATATTCGTTTAGACATTGTGGTCTAGATGCGTAGCGTCGTCAATTGTAAGTCGTCTGTACAGATCGTTCGTCATTAGATAAGGCTGCCGGGCGAGCCCGAGCGGCCGATGTAGTCGCCCTGGGTGTGGCTGGAAAGCCTGGACTCGGGCGGCGGTGTGAGCTGCTTCTCCCACTCCTTCATCAAGTGCGAAGCTGTGCGCTTCAGATTCGACGGCGACAAGTTGACCAGGTCGGGCCATGGTATCGAGTTGCGCTTCGGGTCGCGCGACGCACTGGTGTCGGGCATGCTCGCAGAGCTGATGGTAGCTAGCGACGAGTTCTTCGAGTCGTGGCGGCGAGGGTGGTGCCTGATGGTGGCTTGGTCGCTGGTGTTGGCAGGCGACAGGGCGTCTGACTCGTCCGAGTCGGTGTGGATGTCGGTTGTCTTCGCAACGAAGGCGGTGCCAGGGCTATCCCAGTTATCCCAGTCTTCTTCGAAGTTGCTGCTCCTGGCCGTTTGCCTTTCGGGGGTGCGTGAGGCCTTGGAAGCATGAGTCTTCTTGTTCACGGAGGTGGTCTTGGGCTCACTCAGACCATGTTCTGACCAGAAGTCCTCGCCAATCGACTGCTTCTTCTGCACCGACTTCCGGGAGCTTGCCGACCGGGCCAGGGTTGGCCTGCTGGCGGACGTGTTTCGGATGACCTTGGCAGAGCCATCCCTGTTCTGCGCGGGCGCGGGCGACTCGGCGCCATTGACGGCCTCGTCGCCCACGGTGGCCTGGCGGATGTCCTCGATGAAGGTGAACAGGCCGTTGCTGAAGTCGCTGGCCAGCTGCTTGCCGGTGCGCAGCAGGTTGTCGCGCTGCACGTTGGGCGAGTCGTTGCTGGTCACGTCGATGAGCTGGCGCGACACGTCGGACGAGGTCGAGGTGCGCATGGGTGTGGGTGTGGGCGAGGGCTTGGCGAAGTCGTCGTCGACGAGGCCGGCAGATAGCGGGAAGGTCGGGGCGTAGGCACGGTCGGGCGACAGCAGCGACAGGGTGCGCAGGTGGCGCGAGCCGCTGAAGACCTTGCGCTGCGACGACTTGGTGCTGCTCAGCAGGGCCTTGCGGCGCTCCATCTCGCGCTGCATCCACAGGTTGCCGCCGTCTTCGTCATCGTGGGCGGCGTCGATGTTGGCGAGGGCCGTGTTCAGCGGCTGCAGCTGGGCGACCTTGCGCACGTCGTTGCGGCGCTTGCTGGCCTCGTGCAGGGCGTAGTGCTTCTTCAGGGTCTTGAGGTCTTCTTCAGCTTTGCCGAGCTCTTCGCGCAGCTCCAGCACATACCGCTCCTGCGCGGCCAGGACGGCGAGGATGTTGGTCTCGGGCGACGCGGGCGCGGCCTCGGGCGACGGCAGCGGCAGCGGCGACGGCGCAGCCATCCACGACTGCGGCCGCGAGCGTGGGGAAAAGACGGGCGAACTACTGCCAGCAGTAGGTTGGATTGGGAATTGGAGCGACAAGCGCTTGCCCTGCCGCACGATGTCGGCGTGCGACGAGGTCTTGGAACGAACGTGGGAAGGCATCGCGCGGACGGGCGAGAGATGGGGGACGGTGGGCGCGGATGGAGAGGAAGCAGAGTCGCCGTCTGGTCGAGGCGGAGCGGCGTGGCCGGCCCCTGATGTGTTTTCTGGCCGCGTAGTGCGCTCTGGGCGGTCCAGGGCCCTTGCAGTCGCCGTTGCCATGTCGCGATGCTTCTCCCGCGTGAGCGTACACACCAGCGCAGACAGCCGCAGGCGACGCGACAGGCGCAGCAGGAGCAGTGCCGCGGTCGTGGGGTGGCTGCCGTGCAGCTCGAGGTACAGCGTGAGGAAGGCTACGGAGAGGCTGGCGACGCGCAAGCAGCCTTTGGCCGAGTAGAGCACCCACGAGAACCACGTCTTCAGCAGCGGCGGGCTAGAGGAACCCATGCCAGGACCTTTGAAGCGTGCATGTCTCGACGGCGGTTGTGAAGAGAGGGCAATGCAGATTTCGCACACAGTCGCACAGCAGCGGTCCGCCGCTTTTCATTGTCGTACTGGTAGTGTTCACGCCTAACCCTAAATTACGGTAAACAATCCACCCCGAACCCGACTCCCTGTGGCCATGGACTGGCTTGCGGGGCTAGCGCAAATGAGATCCGCGTGCTGCGCTGAGTGTCACCTGCGCGAGAGTTGAGGTTTTGGCTGCACGAGGCTTGACGCGCCCTCCTCCGCGCCCTTCACCGCCGCAGCGTCGACGGCGATCCGCGACCATCCAAACCTGAAACCCATCTTCGACGTGCAGCGGGGCGCCGAGGGGCTGCCTCCAGCCTGCGCCCATCGTGCATCCATTTGCCAGCACGGTCCCATGCGGCCTAGGCTAGAAGTGTCTGGCAACCAGATGATGAAATCTGCTGCCAGCCGCCAGGATCAACGCAGCGCGCCGCCGTTTCTAGCTCACCACGAATTTCATGAAACATGCAGTTCGGGTCGGACACGATGAGTCCGCTCCCGGTAACCAGAGGAGACGCCTCGTCGGAACCTCTCCCTCTGTTGCTAGGCGGCGTCATTGGCCTCGGTCTGAGCGCCCAAACGGTGCCTCAAGGCTCAGCCCATCACTTGACTCGGCCACCAAAGCGTGGCAGCCCGAACTCCCCCGCAAAAGCACTAATTGGCACAGTGACAGCAGCCCGTCCGAGCAGCTGACAGGTCCGTATGAACAAGACTTTATGCAGGGCAGCTCCAAGTCTCGGGCAGGAATGGACCTGACGCAGGTACGGAGCTTGAGGCTGTTTTGTAGACTGAGCCTCACCACCACGGGCGGCACGCCAGCTTCAGCGCGCGAAGTCTCTGCGACATGGGCATCCATACTGCTGCTGTCCTACAGATCGTCCTGTGCACTTGCGCATGCGCGTGCGTTGGCGATCGTGCGCAGTGGGGCGCCATCATCGCGAGCTGTTTGTGTACGCCTGCAGTTGCCCGGCAACCACGCGTGGTTACGCAGGGTCCAGCAACACCACCGCGCGACGATATACTAACGTCTCCACTCCGGCCTATTCAGCTGCACCACCACCACCCTATTTCTATTCAAACACACTCTACCAAGGACTCCCGCCGTCCACCGCCCTCAACCTGGATCCCACCACTGCTTGATTAATTCGAGCGCCTGCATTGTTGTCACCAGCAATAGCTCACACCTCTCCACCATGGCGGAGAACTACCAGGTTATGGAGGAGCTGGGCAGTACGTGTTTCAGAAAGCCGCCATGTTATTCTTGGACTGACAGCCACAGGCGGGTCCTTTGGAAAGGTGTACAAGGCCATCGACCGTAGCACGGGCGAAACCGTCGCGATCAAGCATGTAAGTGCTCATGCAATCCCCAGCCAGCTCACGTGCTCATGCGCATAGATCGACCTCGAGGACAGCAACGAGGAGCTTGTCGACATCCAGGCCGAAATCGCCCTGCTCAGTACCTGCCATAGCCCCCACATCACCGAGTACAAGACTAGCTTCGTTAAAGGCGTCAAGCTATGGATTGTCATGGAGTTCCTCGGCGGTGGCTCAGCTGCCGATTTGCTTGCCCCAGGACCGATGGGCGAGGCGCACATTGCGATCATGTGTCGCGAGCTTCTGCTGGGCCTCGACTACCTCCACTCAACCGGCAAGATCCACCGAGACATCAAGGCTGCAAACGTGCTCTTAACCGACAAGGGCAAGGTAAAACTTGCCGACTTCGGTGTCGCTGCGCAGTTGACGAACATGAAGTCGCAGCGCATGACGTTTGTAGGAACGCCGTTTTGGATGGCCCCGGAGGTCATTCAGGAGGCTGGGTACGACTTTAGGGCCGACATCTGGTCGTTGGGCATCACTGCCATGGAACTGGCCGACGGCGCACCGCCACACGCAGGATCGCACCCCATGAAGGTACTCTTTACGATTCCCAAGAACCCTGCTCCACGACTCCAAGGTGAACAGTTTAGCAAAGAGTTCAAGGACTTCATCGCGCAATGCTTGATCAAGGACCCAGACCGACGCGCGACGGCAAAGGAGCTGTTGGAACACAAGTTCATCCGCCGCGCCGGCAAGGTCGAAGCTCTACGCGAGCTGATTGAGCGCAAGCAGATGTTTGACGCGAAGAAGGACAAGGATGACGTGTCGCACCCGAAATATTATGAGGAGACTATGTAGGTGGACTGCTTCTAACCTTTCAAGAAACATCTAACGCGCTCTAGGAAGGATCTTTCTCCTAAGCCCGAGTCAGATGACTGGACATTCGACACAGTCAAGGCTGGCACAGTTGCTCCCGCGGCACGTCAAACGTTCAGACGGCGCAAGCTTGCTCGCATTCCTTCTGGAGACGAAGAGACACACGCATCTCTGATGCAGCACATGAATCTCGATGATGCTCCGTTGGGCATTGTCACCGACTCGCCAGTACCAGAACGTACTCGAACTTCATCTCGCACATCTTCTTCCGGAACCGCATTCCGCGTAGCTTCAGGCAACACACCTACTGCTCGTCGCGTTAGTGGCGCGCCCAAACAGCCTCTTGGTGTTGATCTCACCTTCGGCAACTCGCCCTCGACTGTACAGCGGTTCAAGCGTATTCCAAGCGGAGAGCGCCGCGCAGCACTTCGATCCAACCCGCCTGCCACCCAGAGCAACTCGTTTCACCCCAATCCGTCTGCCGCAACATTCCGCCCATCGCCGCCAAGTGCCGATCTCATGTTTGACGTGACTGATGTGAACAATGAGAATGAGCCGCCAGAGCCAGAGTACCCGCCTATGCCCGTTACGAAGGACGCGCTCTATGGACGTCGGGCTTATAGCAAAGTCCTTGATGGTGTCTTCCAGGAGGCACACGCTGACACGGGCTCACCTCACCAGCGTGAGGCCATGGGTCGAGTCGCTTCAGCCTGGGCGCAGCTAGACGAGATCGACCCACAGGGAGAGTTCATGCTGCTGAAGGCCATGGTCGACCGTCTGAAGTCCGACTCGAAGCTGGCTGCTGCGCTAGGTATCGAGATGCCCACAACCCAGTCGTCGCTCAAGCGCAATAACACTCAAGGAAGCGACACAAGCTATGGCGGCACCACAGTGCACGGCAGCAGCACAACTCGCATCCGCTCTAATACTAAGCTGTCTACATCATCGGTCAGCAAATCGTCTGCATCGGAGGACTACGACTCTCCCTCCACTCCCATCGACACGCCCAACGGCACACCCACTGGCACATCCGGCACGCCCACCAAGGCCAAGCTCGTGCTTGCGCAGAACAACCCTCATTTAAAGTCTCACCGCCGTCGACAGAGCGCATATGTCGTTGGCGAGAAGCCATATGGCAACGACTCGCTGCCCATGGTCGACGAGAAGAAGCTGCCGGGCCATGTAGAGAAGGGCATGGAGCAGCAGGGCCTTCTGGCCGACATTCTTTATGGACAGTGGATGTCCGGGCTGCGCAGCCGCTGGCCTGCCGCAAGCTAGGCCCGTCATTCTCCAGAGCATCCTGCGCATCACACAGCATGCGTGGAGTGCGTCCGTACTCGCATTCTTGCACATAATTTCACGTCTCTCTTTCTTAGCACCCTTCACGATCATGACTCACGACCTTGACGACACGCTGGCTGCGTTGCGTTGCGTTGTGTTGGAGCCATGTTAGCCGTGATCTTGGGCGTGCGCTTATACTTGCATACTACGGCGTTGGGATAGCCGGTTTTTCCACTTTGGAGGCGCTTCTACTGGGACATATTGTTACGAGTCTACGGGCTTGAGTGTAGATAGATGGTAGATAGACGGAGATGGACAGTGTATAATAGAACCAAAACTGCATCTTCTTTGACAAGTAATTTCAAATGTTATTGAATAGGTTTCTGTGCTTTGAGATAGGAGTGCTGTGTCTGCGCACATGTGCAATCCAGTACGAAGCGTGTACGTGCCCCAGGGCCCCCACACTGTACAATACGGCTGGACGCTCCCAGGCCTGATGTCACCGAGTCAGAACGAAGGCGTCCCGAACCGCCCACGTGAGCACGCGACGCGAGGGCGCCATCGACTGTCAGACAGAAAGCCAACCACTACCGACGGAAGCGCCGCCCGAAACTATGTTCACGCAATGGCCGACTCGCAGACATTCACGCTGCTAAGCGATGTGTTGTTCGATGTGAGTTCTCGCCTTGTGCACTCGAGAATCCGTTGCCGTTGCCGCGACGCGGACCCTTGCAGCTGATCGGCGTGTGAATCGGCCCTCTTTGCGTTGACACTCACGCTGCAGGACCCATCGCAACTTTCGCAGGTGCTCCGGCAGCGCGCAGGCAGCGAGCAGGGCCTCTGCTTCACCACTTCGACCGACAGCCACGGCTCGCCCATCTCCGTGCCGCCGCCGACCTTCACTGTTCCGCCACGCCCCCGCCTCGGCGCCGTGCCGCAACTGCTTCCCGTCGCGCCCGAACACGCTCCGCCGTCGAGACGCGTCGTCGCAAACACCGCAACGCAGCCGTATCATGTCATTTCCGGCGCCACAAAGCACCACAGCGCACCAGTAAGCACGGCGCCAATGGACGCGGTCCTTGCACCCAAAATGCATCACAGCTTCGCGGGCATGGACGCTCCAGGCGACACGCAGCCGGACAGCCAGATGCACAAGGACTGGACGAGCGGCATATTCGGCACAGCGGACACCACCACGCGCATGCCCAGTCCTCGCTCGGGGCTGCGGTCGCTCTTTGCCGAGCACGACGACGAAGACGACGTCGAGCCTCTCAGCGACGATGTCGAGATCATTGCATCCTCGCAGATTGCCCAAGACGCTGCCATTACCAGCCCGACTGCCTTGGAGGACGATCGCGGCCCATCTTTGCGCACCGACGATGCCTTCACGAGCCCATTGAAGTTCGAGACGCCCGCTGTCGCGGCCCGGGAGCGCATCCACTCGGGGCAGATGCTCAGCTCCACTGCGGGCGTAGAGACCACTCCAGACACTGTGGCGTCGGCCTCTGCTTTTGGCGGCGCCTTTGGCAGGTCGGGCGTGGGGCAGCCATTGTCTCTGACCCAGGCGTTTGATCTGACTCAGGCGCGTACGTCGCCTGTGATAGCTGGTACCGAAGATCCCGTCTTCCAACGCCCGTCTCCCAACTTCAACAACGCCCGCCACTCGAGCCCTATCCCAGCGCTGTCTAGTCCCATCAAGGTCATGCGGCAGGAATGGTCTGAACCGGCCATGAGATCCTCGAGCGAACCGCGATCTGAATACGTGACAATGAAGGAGTCGCAGGAGAGGCGAAGATCATTGAGAGGGGCACAACGCACGCCTCTCGTTCAAGAAGATAGCTGGGAGGAGCTTTCGGCAGCGCAGAAACGCCTGCAACGTCAAAGACAGAGGGAGCAGAACCATCGCGCAGCTGGCCTGTCTTTGTCTAGCATCTCGGCACCAGCGATTGCGCCAGCACATGGTGTCCGCAAGCGTAGAGGTGATGCCCAGCGTTCACCGAACCCTCAAAATGAGACACCACAACCCACGTGGCACGACGGAGTGCTGGAGGACGACGATGTGGCCATGGAGGACCCTTCACAACATCCAGCACTGGAGGATGACAAGATGGACCGATCTCTCGACGAACTGTCACAGGACATTGCTTCTGTTGCACAGGCTCGAATGAGATACAGCGGCCTTGAGAACGGGATACAAGTGCCGAAGACTTCGTCACACCCTCCACGCACGCAACCAGAACTCATACCAGCCAATGGTTCTCGACGAGGCAGTCCAGGCTCACAGCTTCAGCGCGAGTCCCAAATCCAAGCTCCAGCATCTCAGTCCATCCTCCGAACGACTCCGCATAGTAGTCGAGGTTCTGTCGCTGTTATGGACTCTCAGCCAGATCTTATCGCAGGTCCCGAAAGCTGGCCTCGGCCAGACAACCGCTTCCCTTCATCACCCTCGGTAAACCAGTATAGTATCAACCAGACCACGGTGGCGTCCCGAACAGGATATACAAGTCAGATGATATCATCGTCGATGGTGCGAATGCCACCTGGGACGAGTCAGGATGCAGAAAACGGTGTCAAAGAGGGTGCGGTGTCTGGAGAAGAAGAACGAGTGCCTAGTAGCCCCCCAATGCTCACAGACGAACTTACGTACGACGAGCATGGTTACGAGGAGCATTCGGAAGAAGACCTAGAGCGCGAACCTGATGACGTAGCAACTGACGGTGAGGATGCTCGGATTGATGAAGAGGATGACTTGCCTATTGTAGAGCCAGCGCAAGCTGCCGTTGAGGAAAATCCGTTGGTTGCGTCCACACCGAGTGCTTTAGAAGCGAAATACGTACCAGAGGCCATTCGCCCGATAAAGGTGGATGATGCTACTGACCACGAAATCCCCGAGACTCTTGAGGAAGACAGGGACTTCACTCCTAGAAGTGGAAATACTGGACCTTCAGGAAAACTCGAGACCGCAACGCTGGAAGACCCAGCCATGCCTGCACCCCGTCTGAAACGTAACAACACGATACCAGAAACGGACACTCTGGAAGAAACACAGCCCTCTCACTTTGCGGAAGAGGCACTGTTGTTCCAGGAGAATCCGCCGCCGGAGGTCGCCCAGAAGGAACCCGAGGTACATGATTACACAAACAGCACCGAACCATTTCATACTGCACAAGAGCAGCAGGCAGTCTCACGATCACACATGCCTGCTCCGCATAGCTCAAGAGATGAGGGCAGTGATTCATTACTCGACGTAAGCCGCATTCGGTCTCTGAACGACATTGCAAACCTACCAAATACTCAGCGATCGACAGCGGAGGACGAAATAGACATACCCAGCCTCATCGGTTTCGATGATACTAACGGCGATACACACATGAGCAGCCCCGTACCCGCAGCGAAGAGGCGGAGGGCCGCGGTCGCTTCCAAGAGTAGTGTCTTCCACAGTCCCGCCAAGCAAGCAGCAGCTGTGGAGCAGTCGCAGAAAGCTCCACCGTCGCCTTTCAAGCACATACAGCAGACGCGTGAGGAGACGCCTCCAACGGCGTCCGCTCAAGCACGCGAAGAAAAGGGTGCGCTTGCTGCAGCACAGGCTAGAGACAACATCACAGCAGCGTATGGTAGACCTGCAACGCTGAAAACAAAACGAACGTCGCGACCAGTAAGGCCTCAGAACAGCAAGAAGGGGTCTCTTAAGTCTGCAAGAGCTGTCATTGCCACAATGTCTTCGCCAAATAACTCACCGTCCAAGCCCAAAGCCTCAGCAACTGCAACTACGCAAAAGCCGGTGCCTGCAACACCAACACGTAAAACTGCAAAGTCCTTTGACAAGTCGGCTGACGTTGAGATGCGTGATGCTGGAGAGAGTACGGATGAACTTGCTAGTTCTCCGCCTCCTTCAACGCCGCGTCTTGCCATTCGCTTGACACCAAGGCAAGCTGAGACTCACGGAGGCGAAGTAGTTGTCCCAAATCGAGTGTTTGCCTCATGGCCCGGCAGCCACTACTATCCGGCCACGTGTATAGGCCGCCCAGACTCGAAACAGCTTCAGATTCGTTTTGATGACGGCAACAGCACCACTCTAGATGCGTTCCAGGTTCGATCATTGGACCTCAGGCCAGGCGATCAGGTCAAGGTTGATCAACCCGGCATGAAAAAGTACACATATGTGGTAGTCGGTCTGACAGAGAAGTGCGATGATTTGCATAATTATGAGTTCCCTATGACCGATCGCTACGGACATGTGTCTGTCGTCCTTGAGGAAAAGCAGCGAGATAGCCTGCCACCAGGAAGGACCGCCCCTCTATCGAAGCAGGTCACTGTGCACATTGCAAGTGTCTACCTCACCACTCAGCTATGGGGTCGACTGCGTAATCGCACCTTCCAACTTTCACCGCCAATATCACCGCACAAATCCGCGTCTCAACTTGGCACACCAGTGCCTACCGAGGCACTGACCACACCCTCTTTCACTCGCAGGGGCCTTGCAGCGCCATCACTGCTGAAGGATGCCACACATCGTGCTGGGTCTGTCGCGTCGTCGAGTCGATCTGGCAGCGGCGTCTTCTCGAACATGGCTTTCGTTTTGACTTCCACCGGCGATGGTATGGACAAGGATGCTGTTGCACGAGCTATCAAAGCAAATGGTGGCCGTGTTCTGGAGCAGGGCTTTCATGAGCTCTTTGAGACCGAGCCGATCGAGCTATCAGCCTCGCAAAGTCGCCGGACCTCAGTGACCACCGTCGAGGGAGCAGGCACCCTGATGTTGAAAGACGAGTTCAAGAAGCTCGGCTTTGTGGCACTGATAACAGACTCACATTCTCGCAGTACCAAATATCTACAGGCTCTCGCTATCAACGTGCCCTGTCTGCATCTGCGCTGGATCAACGACTCGCTCTCCGCTTCCCGTTCCTTGACCTTTGCGCGATACCTTCTGCCCGCTGGTCTATCAAAGTACCTTGACCCCCATGGCATTGTGCGCTCACGAGCTATGCGCATCTACGACCCATCGAGCGATGACGTCTCATTCGACAAGACGTTCCAAGAGCGCGACCTATTGCTCCGGGGCCAGTCTGTCCTCCTCGTCACCGGCAAGAGCAAAAAGGAGATTGAGAAGCGCCAGCCTTTCGTCTTCTTGACGCACGCGCTTGGCGCCTCGAACGTTGGCCGCTGCGCAGACATCACCGCTGCTACACAGCTGCTGGTGCAGGGCAAGTGGGACTGGGTATATGTCGACAGCGACCAGAGCAGTGTTGCTGATGCTGCCGCCGCACTGTTTGGCACTGGCGCGTCTGCCAAACTCGCAAAGGGGAGCTTCAAAAAGACCAAGAAGAGGAAGAGAGACGACGGCGAGCCGGAAGAACTCCTCTCCAGGGGCGACGTGGCTGGGCGCAAAGTGAGGGTCGCGAGCGCCGAGTTTGTCATCCAGAGTCTTATTCTCGGTGCACTGGTGAACGAGTAGGTGGTCAAGGAATTCAGTGTCTTTTGCGCAACGCAACGTGAGTTGTAGGTCCGCAGAGCGATGACCTAATACATCGGCACGCTCTCGTGTTTTTTATGATGCAGCATGGGTAAAGCAAGGCGTTCAGAGTCAGTAATCAGTATTTGCGTCACATGAAACAGGGTTCTGGTCGCCTGGATCTAGATATATGTACTATAGACAATACCAAGCGCGAGGCGAGGCCATGCGTATGAATCAAGCAGGGAATTCTCCTCCAACAGGTCACTGCGTTATCGTACAAAGTAATGGGACGGATCGGGGTCATGCGCACGAGATTTTATTGAGTTTTCAAACTCGCGAAACAAGATTCCTTGGTGCAAGGCTTGGAGCAATCCCACGTGCCCGGGTTGTCAGATATGATCCACCACATCGTCGATATCAGCGGATACAGCCGCGATCCGAGCTGATTGGTCCGCGGAAGGTTTGACCTAACATCATCCACCAGTTGCGTCAGAGTTTTAACGTCATCCACAAACAACAAAACTTCTGAACATGTCCACTTTCTCCCAGACCAACATTTGAGTATGGCATTACTTGAATTCACAGCGCCCGGATCGACATTCTTCAAACCATTCCGTTGACAGCACGAATCCGCAGCTCCACAGGACGCTTGGACCCCGATAACGGACTACCCTGGAGTTTTAACAACCACAGCCCACTACAGGAGATGATAAAAGCGTGTGCGACAGCCTTGCTGCTGTCTCTCTCGCCCCACACACATGTCGTAGGCTTCGGCACCATCAACGAGCCCGCCATCATCGGCCAGCACTGCGAACATGAACGCATCACTAGAGCCGCGTTTGCCTGCCCGCCCAACACCCAGGTCTCCGACGGCCGCTGCTTCGAGGAGCTGAGCCTGCACCAGCTGTCCGGACGCTCGGACATCTACGTCGGCCAGGGCTCCAATGGCGCCGTTGGCGCTCCGGATATGCTCGACCCCGTCCCGGAGGGCCCGGAGGCGCACTGCGACAACGCGGATTTCCTCGACGCCCAGCTGTTCGACTTGGGCGTGGAGTATCCCGTGACGCGCCAGGAGGCCACCAAGCAGCTCCAGGTCTGCGTCAACCACATGCGCACCCGCATCGAGGAGGGTCTGGATGCCGCGGATCGCATTGTGGATGCCGGCGCCCGCATCATTGCGCCCGAGGTCGACATTAGCACGCTGGACTGCAGGTTCTCGTTTCCGGCGCTGCAGATGCACGTCTTTGCGCGAGCGAAGTGCTCGGCGATAGAGGGATTTGGGCGCGCGCTACATGGCGTCCAGGACTTCTATGCGCATAGTAACTGGGCGGATGACGCGGAGCCGCCGTTTGGACCGAATAATCCGCCGGGACTGAAGCGCAGCGATGCGCCTGTGTTCTTGGATCTTCGGGGCGAGAACGATATCTCGGAGCAGGTTCCACACAACCTCTCGACGGGCTGCTTTGGGGGACTCTTCACAGACGGACCGGTGGGGAAGGCTGGCCACCCGCTGGAGCCGGGTTCTATTGATTGCACTGGGCGCATCACTCATCATACCTTGAACAAAGACAATGGGTTGATTGACCAGGTCACTGGAAACGTCAGCACCCCAGGCCCGAACACCCCTCGTAGCGACTATCCTGGTAACTTCCAGCGCGCTGTGTCTGCTGCTATTGAGGATTCTCGAAGGCAATGGCGCCACTTTAGGGAAGCTATCAGACGAACGTACGGCCCCGAGCGCGGCAACATTATGATCTGCGCTCTTGTTCGCGACAAGCCAGCTACAGATTGTTACGGACGCCGCGTCGCCATCCTCCGAGATGCCATAAAGACGGCAAGCAGAGTGGCTGAAATGCAAATCCCGATCCACAAGTGGCTACTAGACGAGCTTGCCAACAAGCCGCACGACGAAGGCCCCGGCGAGGGCGTCACCCCCCAAAACTCCACGAAAAGCAGAGGCTCCAGCGACGACCTCCACGACCTCAACCCGGACTTCGACATCGACTGCGACTCCCCGACAAGCCCCGACATCGGCGCCGCAATCACCGAACTCCTTGAACACTCCCACCCCCTCCCGCACAACAAAACCGCCCTCATCGCCTTAACCTGCGCCCCCGCCGCCACCCTCGCCCAGCAAATCGCCCACGTGTGGCGCGCCTCCGACGCCGGGATACGCACACACGTGGGACTCCTCGCACCACACGTGCACCCTCTGCCGCGCACCGCGCTGACCGCGCGCCCCAGCGACGCGGACCTCGCGGCCGCCGTGCTGGCCTCGGGCGGCACGTACAGCGTGCTGCACGACCGCGCCGCGATCCCCAATTTCCTGTCCCACGTCGTGTCGCGCGGCCTGACGCCCTACGACAACGCGCCCGACACCGCGACGCTGCTCCCCGCCGGCCTGTCCATCCGCGACGCCGTCGGCCCCGATACGCAGCCCCGCCGCTACGCGTTCGATGCGCGCAGCACGTCCAACGCGGTGGTCGCGGTGGCGCCGCTGACGCCGCGGCTTGCGCTGCGGGTGGTGGTTAGGCATGTCAGGAGGGGCGTGGTGCTGAGTGATGTGCTGGTTGGGAGGGGCGGGAATGCGAGTTTCAGGGCGGAGTTGGATTTGGACGATGTGCCGCGGACGGACGCGTGGTTTGAGTTGGAGGTTGGGCCTGTGGAGGGTGGGGTTGGTGCGGGGTTGTTTGAGGTTAGTGTTGAGATGGAGACGGTTGGGGGGTTTGGGGGTGATGACGGGGGCCAGGGCGATGGGCGGGACGGAGCGCTAAGCGGGGGGCATGATGAATTGTAGGCTGGGGGATTGGGTGGAATATGTCTTGCGTGGTGACTGCTGGTGCGTGTAGAGGACACTTCGTCTCTTCATCTTGCAATCTCCTTACCGCTGTTGTTTTCCGTGGCTAAGGTGAGACGTCACGTCCATCTCTTCCCGCCACGAGACACATCTAGATTGCCTCTCAGTTCTGTGAATACCGTAGCTACCTTGGTTGCATTTCTGCGTCCAGCTAGCATGGCCATTTCATGAGCAACGGAAAAATAGAAGTATATTGTGTAGGCGCTGGTCTTCCCAGGATGAAGGATACTGCTGTCTAATCGTACAATACCTTAGCTTACAGATTGGACTTTTAATACCTTGTGGTCCTAACCGCGGCTGAGTGCGCGCGATGCTCACGTCTACGAGAAACAACAGACATATGGGGCGAGGATCTTGTTTGCGTTGGGGCTGGGGACGATCAGATGTGAAATGAGGAAGAGGCAAAACTGTAGGCATCAAGCTACCGCATCAGACGGGTTCAGCACGCTCGTGGTTTGCGGGTGAGTCACCCATGGTTCTGGGACCGCGTACGTGAGCTCTGGACTGCGGCTTCTCGCTGTCGTCCAGATAAGCTTCCGCTCGCAGTCGCAGCTACATGCTGCGCACGTGACGCACGTCGCGTCTCCTGTACCATGGCGTGCCTCATGTGTCCTGTAGGTACCATGGCGCGCTCGCATAGTGCCAACCAGCATTCAAATGCGTTATCAGAGACTGCATGCGAAGCGGCGTGATGCAGGTGCATGATTCGACGTCCGTCGTTGGCGTTGGGCGGACCGATTCAGCGCACGCGGTTGCAGCACGTTTGAGGTGGCGGTGAGGGATTACTTCGTGTCGCGATAGGAACCAGAGCATGAGGTTGCGAGCGCAGTCGATGCTTGCAGTAGTCGACGCGTTCAGCCCCTGAGAGCCTCAGATCGCGCAATCGCCGTTGGTTTAAAGTTGTACCAACCGACAGGCCCCACTGCGGGAATACTCATTGGTGCTGGCGGTGCTAAATGCCGCAGCTGTTGATGCACTCGTTTCGATTTGCATGCAGTCGGGGGTGATAACGAGAGGCTGACCGGAAAGCAGTATGCGAGTGAAATCTTCACCGGCTTGGAACTTCCAAGTGACAGCGAGGTGTCGGGGTGTGTGGGCTGGCACTGCGCAAGAGCCAGCATGCAGCAAAAAACTCAGCTCGGGTGCGCATCCCACACGCTCCACACGCCGCCAACGTGCACCATGGTAATCATGAGGCCGAAGCAAGCCATCGACCACGATGTTGCCAGCCGCAACAAACAGGCAGGTGGGGCAACAGCGGTGCCTGGATTCAAGGATCGGCGAGACGGCTGTGAGGGACAAAGCCGATGCTTCCGAATTTAGCGGTCGGCGGCCCCGCATTGGCTTCTTTGATCGCCCGTCCTCATGACATGGCACGTCTCGCAAACCGGCGTCTGAGCCGTTGTGTTTTTGACATCGTGACGTTCTACTCTCGCCAGCAGGTTTCTATGCCGTAATCGCAGCCCGTCGTGCTCATGGTGATGTACGCCTCAAATGCCATGACTGAACAGCATGCAGATGCGAGGAATCTCGTGGCACGGCATGCAAGGCGGACGTCAGCATCGTGGTCAGAGTGGGCCTGGCAGGTGGGTCTGTGGAAACGGTGTGTGTGGCAGACGATAAACGTGAGAGTGTTGCTGTGAGGGAACGGGCTTGGCCCGCTTTCCAGCGGCTGAATCGTCACAAGTTAGCCGCAGATCCAAGGAATCTAGAAAACGTCGAATTTCTTCTTGCCGGCCCCACAGATGGTCTCATGTGGGCTGTAGGAATGCTCAAGATTTTTCAAGTGATGCAGACCTCTCAGTCTCCCAACGTGGCGCCAGCTGGTGATAAGCACATGTTGAATGATACGACTGTGCAAGTTTGGGCGTCTTATCACACAACACGACGCAGGACTCCATAATTGGAAGTCAACCAAGACTTGGGTGGTGGCTCAGCTGCAAGCCTGCAACGAGGATGGCGTACGCAGACGTACCCACTGCACCGGACAGGGGTCTGGCCTAACCCTCGTCATACACAGCACGAATAGCGATATTGGCTTGTGTCATCGCGTATCATCCAACTGTCTTCTTGCTGAAGCCGTTCGTAACGTGGCAAATGCTGGTCAGCTCGAGCACGCTGGGCGATTCCTTGCTACGCTGCTTTAATGCCCAGTGGTTTCGAAGCCAACCTGGTGCACGACTTGCTTCCTGTAAGGTGTCGCGCACAGGCATCTGACTGTGCACGACCATGGCTTGGAATCGACAACGTGCTTATTGGCGAGTACCTGGCGTAACAGCTATTGCATGCAAGGGGTTAGAAGAGCAGTGACCCCTGAGCTATTGTGGCTTTCCCCGGACTTTGTTTGGCTGGGTCGGTTCTGGCGGTGAAGTGGAGCAGGTCCATGGGTCAAAAATGGCTCAGCGCTAGCCCTTGATCACGCACATACGCACCTGAATGCTACGCAGTTATTGGGGTGATCGAGATGCAAGCACCAGCGGTCGTGTCTGAGGTTACCGTCAGGGCTTTATTCGTGCTGTTTCTGATCAAACGGCGTGCCGAGGATCGTGAGGCCTTTAAGGGTTCCAGCCATTCGTCTGCTATAAAGCGATCGCTGGCCCCCTCGAAGTAGTAAAAATCATCAAGCTTCAATTACTCAAGCCATTCAAGTACCATCAGTACACACTCCAAGACGAGATCGACACCAAAGAACTATCTTCATACAAACCGAGAACCACTCTTGACATCATCATGCCTTCTCTTCCATTCAGCGCTTCGTCGTCGCCATCTTCTTCTCCCATCTCATCGTCGGCGCCCTCGATAGTTCTTCATCCCTCATCGGGTATATTTGATCAACCAAACTAAAGCTTGCCATCTAACCTAGCATCAGGCACTTCATCAAAGAAGTCACTTCATACCTCGAAAGAGGACGCTGCGGACGCATACCGCAACCGCTACGCGCAATATCTTGCGTCGACATTTAATATGTCGATACAGGCTGCGCTGGCCGAAGCCGACAACATCTTGGCTCCTCAGCGTCGCTCTTCGAGTATTTCTGAAGCGGAGTCGTTACGCGAGATTTGAGGTGGAGACGGCAGATCGACTTTTTCAACCTTACGACTTTACGAATCTGCATGGATGGGTAATAATCAGCATGGGCTGGTGCAACATGGCGCACACTGACTGTTGGATACAATTTAAAAGCCTTTGTTCTCTCTTGTGCATACCTAGTTGACGAAGCATCCTGCTTCGACTAACGTGACATGTACGCAGGTCGCGTGCTCCATGAGCCATGATGCGCACGAATGCCGGGAGACAGCAGTACCTGACGGTACTGACCTCGATCCGAGCGATCTCACGTGGTGCCATTCAATAATTACCGGATGCGGGTTGACTTCGGTTAGTGATGGTGTCTCGAGGCGATGGCGATGAGTAGCCTGGCCCCTCCAAACACCTACCCCGCCATCTGGTGCGCGCCGCGTATGGAGTCTCGGATATGCGGCTCTTTGGGGCTCTTTACTATCGATAACATGTGAGGCAGTCTCGACGACATCCCATCAATCTGCACATCATCCCCCACATCGACTGCTGATGAGCTGGTTGTGTCTTCAAACCATCTGCGCCTACCCCGCGCCGAGCAGTAGTGAAACCTCAACATCTGACAACCTGCCTCATTCTTTGAACCTTGGCTCAGTCGACTCGGTAGGTGCATTACTCCGCATTCTTATCGGTGGCTTGATCATGCCTCATTGGTGGCAATCAGATCTGTATCCGCACCAGTCGAAGCCGCGTGGCGAGCATCAGCGTATCACGTCTGGCGCCACTGCTGACAAAGGAGCCAAGAGCAACAAGGCGCCACAAGAAGCGCTCCGTGAGTGGTTCAGTCATGACAGGTCGTGGCTGGCGATGACAGATCTGGCAAACCGACGTGATGGCTTGCTGTTTCGAGCGCTTGAAGACACATGTCAATCCAATCGCACGCTGCATAGAGCTGCATTGCCAACAGCCGACTCTGCTCGGCACTGAGGCTGTGTGCATCTCAGTTGATAATGTTTCCGGGGCGCGGCAAACAAATCCTTGGAACCGTAAGCCAAGATTCTTGTCGTCTTGCGAATGACCAGTGAGGCAAACATCAAAGAAACGAAACCTCGTGCACTGGAACTCGTCGTGATGAGCGCAAGGCGCGACAGCACACAGTCAGAATCTCGCTGCGCACACGATGCAAGGGGTTACATCTGACAATGCGCTGGTCTCGCGGTGACTGCAGGTGAGTGAGAAGCGAGTGATGCGGGCTACCAAGACGTCCCCACGCTTGGAAGGACCCACGTCGCTCTCCCTAGCTTGCGTGACCCCGCGCATTCTTGGTATGGACGGGTATAATTGCCTCCCCGTGAGCGCCCATCCTCTAATCTTTACCAAAGCCACACCACTGTGCCATCGAGTTATTGAATGGGTGAAACCGTACTGCCTATCGTCGAGGAGACCGCTCCCCAAGAAACAGAACCCCCTATAGGTGGTTTAAATGGGCTAAATTCATCATCTCAACACCACGGGCAACACCAGCCGAAGAGCGCAGGCGACACTCCATCGCCGCTGCACGCTCCGCACACCCTCTCCTTCGAAGAAGTTGCAGAGGCTCTGCGCGTAGACATCCAGTAAGACCAGCAAGGCTTCTTGCTACGTCTTAAGTCCTCACTAATATTCCTCAGCCATGGACTCAGCACTGCTGAAGCGGAATCCCGCCTCGGGCTCTATGGACCTAACAAGGTTAAGGGAGCTGAGGGGCTTTCCATGTGGAAGATTCTCATGAGGCAGATCTCGAACAGTCTTACTTTCGTCCTCATCATCGTCATGGCCATTAGCTTTGGCATTGACGACTACATTGAGGGCGGTGTAATCACTGCAGTCATCCTCCTCAACATCATCGTTGGTTTCTGGCAAGACTATCGTGCTGAAAAGACCATCGAGTCTCTTAAGAAACTCACTGCCCCAGAGGCTACCGTTATTCGAAATGGCATGCCTGATCAAAAGGTCAAGGCGACAGACCTTGTACCTGGTGACATTGTGCAACTCAACGTAGGAAGCATTGTCCCTGCCGATCTCCGCCTCATCGATGGTATCAACGCCTTTACCAATGAAGCCTTCCTCACGGGTGAATCTCTCCCCGTCGAGAAGACTCCTGAAAAGAAGTTCGACGACGCTGATATCGCCACCGCCGACCGCACCAATCTTGCCTTCTCCGGAAGTGAAGTCACTTCGGGTCGCTGCCGCGGTATCGTCGTCGCAACTGCTATGGACACTGAAGTAGGCCAGATTGCTACCATGCTTCGTCAGAAGAAAGACGACAAGTCGCAATCTCAAGGCTTCTTCGCCAAACTCACTTGGAGGTTTGTGAACGGTGTGAGAACGATTCTTGGTCTGGTAGGAACACCACTCCAGATCACTCTCAGCAAGTTCGCTCTTCTCCTATTCGGTCTCGCCATCCTCCTTGCCATCATTGTGTTCTCTGCGAGCAAATGGGTCATCGGCGGCGAAGTCCTGATCTACGGTATCTGTGTAGCTGTTGCGGTCATCCCGGAATCGCTCATTGCCGTCCTAACCATCACCATTGCGGTTGGTGGAAAGGCTATGGCCAAGGCCAATGTCATTACTCGGGTCCAGTCTGCCATCGAAGCTGTTGGAGGTGTCACCAACATTTGCTCTGACAAAACTGGTACTTTGACTCAAGGACGCATGGTCTCAAAGAAGGCCCTCATCCCAGGTGTCGGTACATTCTCCGTGGACGGCATCACAGATCCCTTCAACCCAGGAAGCGGCAATGTTTCGCTTGATGGCCAGGTCCTCGCCTTGGAGGCATACAGACCTGATGCTGTGCTTACTCGCTTCCTTCGCACCGTCGCTCTCTGCAACAATTCCAAAGTCCTACCTGCGCAGGACGCTGAAACAGAGACCAGAAGCGAGAAGAAGACTGGCCTCGACCGCTACAACAGTGACAACAAGAGCGAGACAGACACTTCTTCCATCGACTCAATCTCCCGGCCACCTACTGCTATCCTTGCCAACCCCTTGACTGGACCATGGAAGGCGCACGGTGAACCGACTGAGATTGCCTTGCATGTTCTCGCATCACGTTTCAACATGGGCAAGGAGAATTTGTTAAACTCACTAAACATATCTCTCGCCACAGAGTTTTCTTTCGACTCGACAGTCAAGAAAATGACTGTCGTCTACAGAGACAACAACAACCACAACCTCGATGTCTACACTAAGGGAGCCACTGAATTCATGCTTCCTGTTCTCGATGTTACCGACCAAGAGCGTGAGGGTATCTTGCAGGCCGCCGAATCAATGGCGAATGAAGGCCTCCGAGTGCTCTGCATCGCCCACAAGACACTCCTCCCTGGCACCGACATCCACGAACGTGCCTCGGTCGAGTGCAAGCTCAACTACATCGGTCTTGTCGCCATCTACGATCCGCCTCGTCTCGAGACCAAGGGTGCTGTTCGCGAGTGTAAGGTGGCTGGCATCACCGTCCACATGCTTACGGGTGATCATCCGGGTACAGCTCGAGCCATCGCTCGTGATGTTGACATTATCAACGACTCCACCCCCGCTTCCGCTGTTATGATAGCTCGCGAGTTCGACGACATGACTGAGGACCAAATCGACGCAATGGAGACACTTCCCCTCGTCATCGCTAGATGCAGTCCCAAGACCAAAGTCAAGATGGTACAGGCCCTTCACCGTAGGCAACGCTTCTGCGTCATGACTGGCGACGGTGTCAACGACTCGCCTGCCCTTAAGCAAGCCAACGTTGGTATGGCCATGGGTACTGGTAGCGACGTCGCCAAAGACGCGGCGGAGATGGTACTGACTGATGACAACTTCGCGTCCATCGTCAAGGCGGTTGAAGAAGGTCGACGTCTCTTCGACAACATTCAGAAGTTCTTGATGCATCTTCTCATCTCCAACATCGCTCAAGTCATTCTCCTACTGATCGGCTTGGCCTTCAAGGATACCGACAACCATTCTGTCTTTCCCCTGTCGCCTATTGAGATTCTCTGGGTGAATCTGATCACGTCTTCCTTCCTTGCCATCGGCCTCGGTCTTGAGGAGAAGCAGGAAGACAGCATGTTCCGCCCCCCTCACGATGTCAAAGCCGGTGTCTTCTCCAAGGAACTCATCACGGACAAATTCATCTACGGCTTCTTCATGGGCGCGCTGTGCCTCTTCTCTTTTGCTATCGTAGCCTATGTCGGCCCCGGCGGCGGCAATCTAGGCTCCGGCTGCAACGAAAGCTTCAATGAGACGTGCGATGTCGTGTTCCGCGCGCGCGCCACAACATACACGACCATCACCCTCCTGCTTCTCGTCACTGCCTGGGAAGTCAAGCACTTTGCGCGCTCGCTGTTCAACATGTACCCCAACACGGACCAGGGTGCGCCGCGCGGGCTCTCGGTGTTTCCTACGCTGTGGCGCAACCGCTTCCTCTTCTTCGCCGTTGTGGCGGGCCTTGTCATGATGTTCCCCATCGTGTATATCCCCGTCATCAATGAGAAGGTGTTCAAGCACGGGGCCATTACCTGGGAGTGGGGCGTCAGCTTCGGCTGCGTCGTGCTGTACATCTCGGCGATTGAAACTTGGAAGATGATCAAACGCCGCTGCGGTATCTGGTCGGGCGCGCACAAGGTTATCTCCAGGGAGGATGCGGAGGCTCGGGCGGGGCTTGATGTCATGGCTGTGGCGCCCATGAGCGAGAAGTAGGCATACGCCAAACTGACTTGTGTTGTGGCCTATGAGGATTCCTTCCTGTTCGTGACTGCTTACGTATTGTATTGACATGGGGAGGGTCTTTACGGTGCTGTGTGTTTTGCTTCCGTAGTGGCTTTGCCATTGCACCACACTCTTTTGGTAGTTTGAGTTGTTAAATCTAACCTCGTCACTCTTTCACCTTACTTCATGCCCGTGCCGATGACTAAACCTCTCTGACCGTTCGACGTGTGTCGCATCGGTACTTTAGCGTGAAGTTGGAAAGGGGTGTCGCACATTCACCGTGGCGGGCCATATGTGCTTGAAAGGGCGACCCTTTGCCAGGGCTAGAGAGCATAAAGAGCGGGGTGGCCAGACGCGGTTGTGGCTTTCTTAGCGTGAGGGTGTCAATGGGCGACAATGACGGCGGCCGGACGTGGACAAACGGCTATCGATTGTGCAGCTGCACGCCCTCACACCCGATCGCTGCTCGGCCTGTCACGTCGTAGCCGCCATGGTCCACACATAAGAGCAACAGTCTGGTGCATGCGACGCACCCACACAGACATGGAGCACATCCACATCGCCGCGCTCCGGCCGGACCTGGACGCGCTGGAATCGAAGCAGATCAGAGCCGTGGTCACGCTCATATGGCCGTACTCGTCGTCGCAACGCCAGTTTGCGCTGCTGCTCGCCGAGCCGGACTTCCGCCTGCGACGCAGGAAGGGCCAGGTGCGCGCCCGCTTCGCGTCGACAAGCGCGCGGGCTCTTGCGCAGACGGGCGTGGGCATCGGGGACGAAGTAGTGCTCAGCTTGCACGGCGCGCAGTTTGTGCACGAGGGCGCCGTCAGCACGCCCGGGAAGAGCATCGACTGGGAGCTTGCGTTTGCGCAGACCGTCGCCATCTCTGTGCGACGCGACGGAGTGGAGCGGGCCAACCTGGAGCTCGTCGATGCCGCGCCCACGCCTGCGCCGCGGTCGCCCGTGAAGAAACCCGCATCACTGCCCAGCCCCGTGCCGCAGTGGTCGTCCCCGGCGTTCCTGAAGCGCGCGCGCCTCTCCGACGGCTCCTTCGCACCGCCCGGCTTCGATCCCTGGGCCGACGACGGCGGTGACGGCCACGACAAGAAGCGCCGCCGCAAGTCCTACAGGGACTGGGCCGCCTGGACATACACCGCGCGCACGCCGTCGCCCGAGAAGGAAGATGCAGGGCTGGACGACGAGCTGGCCGCGGCGCTGTCTTCGCCAAGCCGGCGCCCGCAGCTGCCCAAGACGCCCGTCTCTCCGTCGAGAACGGAGCCCACCTCTGTCGCTGCTGTGCCGGCAGACGACTCCGACTACGTCGAGGAAACCACCATAGCCGACAGTGCCGAGGGCGACACAACCGTCGACGACGGGGAGCTACAGAAGATACACGTTCCGAGGAGCACAAGTCCTCCGCGTCTCGAGGCTGCCGTCGAGCGTGGCGGCGACTATTACCATCTGCACACGGGGGCCGACGAAGATGCACCAGATTCACAATACGATTTTGGGGGAGATACCGAGCTTAATACCGAGGACGAGGACGAGGACGAGGATGAGGATGAGGATGAAGATGAAGACGAAGACGAAGACGAAGACGAAAACGAAGACCAACACGAAGACTCTATTGTGCCAGCTCCTGAACACGTCGACGCAGGTGGAGCCGAGGTGGCTACGGAGCTGGAGGATAAGCCAGAACAGCTGGATGCGCCACGCACAGTTCCTTTGCAGTCCGTCACAGAGATTGTAGAGATAGCAGACATTGCTCCGGCTAGTGCAGCAGAAGTAGACAGTGACGCTGAGGATATTGCGGCAGACCACTCTGGACATCTTTCGACTGAGGTCGAGGGTACCACCATCGATGAATCACTTCCGGAAGTTGATGAGTCTGCCATCCTCGTCAACGAGTCTGTCGCTGTGCCAATGCCTCCACCCAGCCTGCCAACCTTGCACACCGACTTCGCCGTCTCCGCAACAAGCTTCTTGACTCCAATCGGCAAAGAGCCGTCCAGTCCAAACCTCAAAGCTGTAGACTCAGCCACCCTGCCACTGCCTTCGCCGTTCCCTGGCGAGCAGGTCGCCTCGTATTTCGAGCATGTCTCAGTCCAGCAACAGGCTCCTCTCGACGGCATGCCCGTACAGGAAGAGACAGAGGCAGACATTGATGCGGACTATATCATGGAGACATCCTTCTTCAGTTCAATCAACTCATCAAAGGCGGGTGGACTCCACCAGGATCACGAAACCGCCTTTACTCCCTTGCGCTTCGCGTTTGGAGGAGACGGGGCTGGCTGGTCGCGTCCACTGGAGCTGTCTTCTCCGCCCCCAGAAGAAACCAAAGCCAACGCTGATAACACCCCCCCATTGGCACCGCCTGTATTCAAAGCTGTTCAAATTAATGTCGACGATGAGTCGGCCATACTGGAGCAATCTGAAGGCGGCGAAGAAGTTGCTAGCTTGCCCGTGGTCGAAGACTTAGATGTTGACGAGGCGAATGCATCAAGTGATGCAACCAACCTCCGCCTGCCCTTTGAACAGCCATCATCCCACGAAGCTACTGCTCCGCTAGTCGAGGCTAGTGCGGCAGCGAAGTCCTCGAATGTGATCCACCTGTCCTCAGATGTGGAGTCTGACGGGAGCGAATACGAAGAGGACGTCACGGCTGAAACCGAGGAAGAGCAAGCCGTGGATGAGACTGGGTCGGAGAGTGAGAACGAGGAGCATGGTTCTGAGTCTGAACAAAATGAAGCTGAAGGAAGTGAAGCCAATGCTGACGAGTTGCTTGACAGTAGCCAGATGCGGACGGAGACAGACACCTCCATTGAGATAGAATCGGGACCTGTGGATGACGGGTCTCATCCCCGAGATATAGTCTCTGGTAACACCCAGGCTTCTGCGACTGTCTCAGAGATAGTTGATCTGGGGTCACCATCAGCGAGCGACGACAGTGATAACGAGGAAGCCGAGGTTGTGACGGAGCAAGATGTTGTGCTGGCTGACGACAGCAGCGATGTTGTAGAATCGCATGGCCAAACAGGCGATACCGGTATCGACTTGGTGGACGACTCTGACTTGGTTGTTGAATCGACAAATAAGCCTTCAACTGAGACTGTTCCCAATGTTTCGGATGACTCTGTCGGTATAGAGGGTGTACCAGAGCGCTCTGGAGCTCCGTCTTCTAGTCCAGAGCAGCTTGTATACGAACCAGCAGCACACGCAGCACTAATCATCGGGGAGGAGCCACATCTTCTTGGCTATGATGATTGGGAGCCGCAGCTGGGTATGAACGAGTCGTCACCGCCCATCGAGAATCACAAATCGCCCGACGCCAGGATCGAAACCATCCACGTCCAGGTCGATACCGGCCATCCTGATATCAAGCTGGAATCGATCGAGCATGTACCTTTCGACCCAGTCGGTGAGCCAGTGTCACAGGATGTTCCACACGGGGGCACTGACCCAACATCCGAACACGCGATGCATGTATCTGAGGTTGGATTCAAAACTGAAACCCCACGACAAAAGTCAGTCCCAGTGTCGACTCCTGCTAGGAACACAAGGTCGAGAGCAAAGTCTGCAGCCTCGCCGCTGGAAGTCGATGGGTATGTTTCTAGGCTGAGCACGAGTACGCGGCGTACAAGGTCAAAAGCTTCATTTGATTCTACAGATCGTGATAATACTTCGCCAACGCATATGCGAGTACCGCCAATGTCAACGCCTAGTCCTACACGAGAGGCAACGCAGACGTCGCCTTACAGTCTCCGCTCAAAGTCGAAGCACCGGTCGCCTGACGATGTGAAGTCCTCACAGATCGTTCCGGTTCGCAGGAGCCCTCGTAACGTCGTACGCAGAGACGACGACTTCGACATCGTTCCTTCTCAAGCGTTAGCCCGCGATGTACTTGGCGGCATGTTCGAGCCTTCACAAGAGCCAGGCTTTGGGTACTCACAGCTGTCACAAGGAAGGTTCTCCGACATAGGCCTAGTGAAGGACTCCGAAGAAGACACAGTGCACTCCGAAAGCTCGCTGTCTACTGTCGAGTACTCTGATCCAGCGGAAGTCATTGACAATATCCAGCCTGCTACGCCTCGACGCAAGCCACCACCAGTGAACATTTCGAAAACGCCAAGTCAAACACGTTCACTGTCACACTCGGTCGGGCGAGAAATCACAGTTGTAACACCAGAGCAGCCACTCAGACGGTCGCCCAGACTTACACGTTCCACGTTTTCGGCAACCCCAAGCCCTCGCGTTACGCGCGCGACAAGAGACCTTGTACGAGTATCAGCACCTGATGCAGTCGAGGAGGACGAAAGCGACAGAGAGACATCAGTTCATCCTACATTGCCAATTGGAGTTCAAGACGATGTTCGAAGCTCTTCACCAGCCGCACCAGCCTCAGCACAACGTGAAAGCAACGTCCTGACACCAGATGATACCCAACGAACAGCCCTGGAGCCGCCAGTCTCCTTTCAAGCCCGCCAACCCGAGCAGAGTCTCATCACGCCGGAACTCACGCAACTAACGTCTGCAAGTGCATCCTTGCGTTCGTTCGACATCCCACTGCCAGGCGTGCAGACGCAACCAGCGCCACTTCAGCCAGCCGTCCGAAGATCTTCACGCCGCAAACCAGCCGCTGCTGACGTACGGTCCTCGTCACCCATCCAGCAATCCTCCGACGTCATCTCCTCACCCGCATCACCCCCAAACAAAACCGACCCTCCCTCCATCGGCCTCAGCACGCCCCTGGCATACTACACACCCCTGCGCGACCTAATCTTCTTCCTCAACCGCAGCACCCACTTCCACAGCGCAACCAACCCGGACATCCTCGCGCTCTGCACCGCCCCCAGCACGCCCCCAAGCAAAGCTAAATCCGGGCCCCGCCACTGGTCCACAACACTCACCCTCACAGACCCGTCCATCCACCCCGCCGCCCGCACCGCAACGCTCTTCCGCCCCTACCGCGCCGCACTGCCCGTCTGCGACGCTGGTGATATTGTGCTGCTGCGCGCCTGTGCGGTCGAGAGTCGCGGCGGTGTCGCGGGCCTGCGGTCGGCGGACGAGAGCGCGTGGTGCGTGTGGCGCTTTGGCAGGCCAGTTTGGGGCGCCAAGAAGGGCGGGTTTGGGGAGCTGAGGGCGAGAGAGGAGGTCAAGGGGCCTGGAGTGGAGAGGGGCCCGGGGGAGTGGGCGGAGGTGGAGAGGTTGAGGGGTTGGTTTTTGGAGACGGTGAGGCGGGAGGGGGAGGCTGAGGGTGGCGAGGGGGAGGGCAGTGGGGAGGAGCCTGGAGAGGTGTAGATGTTGTTGTTCTTGTTGTTGGATATCAAATGCACCATGGACAGAAGCAAAAGGTGGTCGAGATCATGCATGTGTCCCATTTTTGGTTCTATTTTGTCCGTCTAGATCGCGTCGTTACAGCTGTCATGCGCACGCCCAGTGCCATTCCAGGCAGCAGGCAGAGATACTTCCAAAGGAGCTGCTTTCGCACGGCAGCCGCCGCCACGGCACTATGCCGCGCAGCAGCCACGTCGCTACTACCAGCTCCACCTACGGCCCTACTCAGCGCACCAGCGCCACACTCAGCGCTCGATCAGCAAATCTAAGCCTTCTCGTAGATCCAGTCGAAACCAGCCTGCTTCCACGACTGCACCTCGCCGTCCTGGAACCACAGGGCAATCTCCTTCTGGGCGTTCTCGACCGAGTCGGAGCCGTGGCACACGTTGCGGCCGACGTCGATGGCGAAGTCGCCACGGATGGTGCCGGGCGCGGAGGCAGCGGGGTTGGTGGCGCCGAGGAGAACGCGGCCGGTCTTGACGGCGTCACGGCCCTCCCAGACCATGGCGCAGATGGGGCCGGAGGCCATGTCTGCGGGGTGTTAGGCGGGGGGTCAGGTTGTGCGGGGGAAGAAACGTACAGGCGATCAGACCGGGGAAGAAGGGCTTGCCGGCGAGATCGGCGTAGTGCTTCTCGAGGTGCTCCTTGCCGGGGGTGGTGAGCTTGATGGCGGTGAGCTTGAAGCCGCGGTTCTCGAAGCGGGAGATGATGGGGCCGATGAGGCCGCGCTGGGGACGGTCAGTGTGCTGCTGCGTGTGGTGCCATTGGAAGGCAGGCTGGAGCTGCAATGGCACACGGCGGTGCGGGGCGTACCTGGACGCCGTCCGGCTTGATGGCAATGAAGCTGTTCCCAACAGTTAGCTACACCGCCTTTCGTGGGTGCCCCTCCTCAGAGGCTGGAGGACCTTCAGAGGGGCAATTGGGACGGCCGACGTACGTCTGCTCGGTAGTCATGGTTGCGGTGTGGAGGATTTGATGTTCAGTCGAAGATGGTCGAGAGGATGGGAGGATCGGGGGGAACGAAGAAGAAATGGACTCGATCCTGCGCACTAAAATTCTTTTGGTGTTGGTGCTGCGCTGTTGGCGGCGGGGTTGGTGGACCCTGAGCTGCGAGCTGCGCTGGCATGTTTGCGCAGTTTGCGTGGTTTGGTGTGCTTAGTCAGACCCGCTACGTATCACCAGACATCTGGGGTCAAGTAGCCAGCGCACCCTTTGCTCCAGCAGCACTTGCGTTGAGAGCTGCCAGAAATGACTGCATTCCAACAGCGGCCCGCTCCCCGGTGGACGGCCGTGCTATTGCTATGGACGGCGCTGTGCAGCTTGCTGATGCCAGTTGGTACGTATCGGCGGGGGACATGCCCGACGTGCCTGTCACTCCGCAATTCGCATGTGCAGGGCTAATTCACGCCTGCAGTGTCTGTCAAACATGAAAACTTTAAGACCTGCGACCAGTCGGGCTTCTGCAAGCGCAATCGCGCATTTGCCGACGACGTCACCGCCTCGAGCTCCTTCGTCTCCCCCTACGCCCTCGACCCTGCATCGCTCACGTTCAAGGACGGCCAATTAGACGCCGTCGTTCTCAAGGCAGTCAATGGCGGGCAGGAGAAGGTCCAGCTGCCCCTGACACTCACCTTCCTCGAATCCGGTGTTGCGCGCGTCACCCTGGACGAAGCACGGAGGCAGAAGGGCGACTTTGACCTCCGACACGACAGCAAGGCTAGGAAAGAACGCTACAACGAAGCTGGCAAGTGGTCGCTCGTTGGAGGTCTGAAGCCTGCCGCCGGTGCCGCATTGGCTGCCGCAGCTGACGCTGGCTACACCAAGGTCGTGTACGGCAAGGGGGGCAAGCACCAGGCCATCATCCGCCACGCACCCTTCTCGATTGAGTTTCAGCGAGACGGTGAGACGCATGTCAAGTTCAACGAGCGGAACCTGTTGAACCTCGAGCACTGGAGGCCAAAGGTCGAGAAGCCCAAGGAGGAGCCCAAGGAAGGCGAGGAGAACAAGGAAGAGCCAAAGGTTGTAGAAGAGAAGGGCGAGGATGAGAGCACCTGGTGGGATGAGACTTTTGGTGGCAATACCGACACAAAGCCTCGTGGTCCCGAGGCCGTTGCTCTTGACATCTCGTTCCCTGGCTACGCCCATGTCTTTGGTATCCCCGAGCATGCTACTCGGCTCTCTTTGAAAACCACCAGGCATGTTGCGCATTTTCGCTCTCGAACAAACATTACAGCTAACGTGCAATTAGGGGCGGCGATGATGCTTACACCGAGCCATACCGCCTGTACAATGCCGACGTCTTCGAGTACGAGATGGACAGCCCCATGACCCTCTACGGAGCCATCCCCTTCATGCAAGCACACCGCAAAGGGTCCACTGTCGGTGTATTTTGGCTCAACGCCGCCGAGACATGGATTGATGTAACGAAGAAGAAGAACACTGCGAACCCACTTGCGCTGGGCGTCGAAGGCCACACTGACACTCATACTCATTGGATGTCGGAGACTGGTCTACTTGACGTCTTTGTCTTCCTCGGGCCTACTCCCCAAGACCTCACACGTCAGTACGGCGAGCTGACTGGCTTTACCGCCATGCCTCAGTCTTTCGCCATCGCCTACCACCAATGTCGCTGGAACTACGTGACTGATGAGGATGTCAAGGACGTCGACCGTCGTTTTGACAAGTTCAACATTCCCTACGATGTCATCTGGCTCGACATTGAGTACACTCACGAGAAAGAGTACTTTACCTGGGATCCCCTGACCTTTGTCGATCCCATCTCCATGCAGCAGCAACTTGACAAGCATGACAGGAAGCTCGTAGCCATCATCGACCCTCACATCAAGAACACCAACGACTATCCAATCATCGATGAATTAAAGAAGAAAGATCTCGCTGTCAAGAACAAGGATGGCAACCAGTATGAAGGCTGGTGCTGGCCTGGGTCGTCCATGTGGGTCGACTGCTTCAACCCAGCCGCCATCGACTGGTGGAAGGGTCTTTTCAAGTACGACAAGTTCAAAGGTTCCGCGCACAACACATTCATCTGGAACGACATGAACGAGCCATCGGTGTTCAACGGCCCAGAGACGACTATGCCCAAGGACAACCTGCACCATGGTAACTGGGAGCACCGCGATGTACACAACATCAACGGCATGACTTTCCACAATGCTACTTACCAGGCCTTGCTTGAGCGTAAGAAGGGCGAGCTTCGCCGCCCCTTCGTGCTGACCCGTGCATTCTACTCCGGCAGTCAACGTAGTGCAGCCATGTGGACTGGCGACAACCAGGCTGCCTGGCCCCACCTTGAGGCGTCTCTTCCTATGATCCTCAATCAAGGTATATCTGGTTTCCCATTTGCAGGTGCCGATGTTGGTGGATTCTTTGGCAACCCCAGCAGCGAGCTCCTCACCCGCTGGTACCAGGCCGGTATCTACTATCCCTTCTTCCGTGGTCACGCCCATATCGATGCTCGTCGCCGCGAGCCCTACATCCCAGGTTCGCCCTACACTGAGATCATAACCCAGGCTCTTCGCCTTCGTTACCAATTGCTTCCTGCGTGGTACACTGCCTTCCACGAGGCTCACACATCAGGTGCTCCCATTGTACGTCCGAACTTTTACGTCCACCCCGATGACGAGGCAGGCTTCGCTGTCGACGATCAACTCTATATTGGATCCACGGGTCTCCTCGCGAAGCCTGTTACCAAGGAAGGCGCAGAAAGTGTTTCGGTATACCTCGCAGATGACCAGCCGTACTACGACTACTTCGACTTCACCGCCTACAGTGGCAAGGGTCAGCACACTGTCCCTGCTCCTCTTGAGAAGATTCCACTTCTCATGCGTGGAGGCCATATCATCCCTCGCCGCGACCGCCCCCGCCGCTCCTCAGGCCTGATGAAATACGATCCCTTCACCCTTGTTGTAGTCCTTGACAAGGACGGCAACGCAGCTGGAACCCTTTACATCGACGACGGCGAGACCTTTGATTACCAGGGTGGCGCCTTCATTCACCGACGCTTTGCCTTCGACTCCAAGCGCAACATCCTCACCTCGTCCAACCTGGACAAGAGCACCCTCCGCACCGTCAAATTCGAGAAGTACGCCAAGACCATGGACAAAGTCCGCGTCGAGAAGATAATCCTCGTCAACGCGCCCGCCGCCTGGGCACACAAGGACGAGGTCATTGTCATGGAGGAAGGCGCAAAGGAGAGCAAGAGGAGGAAGCCCGTGCCCCTGGACTTCCACGCTGCAGACGGCAAGAAGGCGGCGTTTGCAGTTGTTCGCGATCCTGGTGTTGGTATTGGACGCGGGTGGAAGATTGATTTTGGGGGTGCGAGCGCTGCGCCGCATGACCACCACGGCCACGAGCACTGAAGTCTCAAACAGGGACACGCTGTTATATAAATACATTCATAAAAGTCTAGTATCGTAGCGATCCGACGACACGCGCTTGGGTTACAGCGTATCCTAAATAGCATCTGTGCAAAATGTCGACCATATTCCTCGGCTCTAGGGACAGCTACTCTCTACTCACTATCAACGTCGCGAATCCCAAATCGTCTTGAAGCCCGCGTTGTACATTTGCCTGCCGGCATCCCCGACAGCAGGCTGAAGCCAGTGTCAAACCTGATCGTTGAGTGCGTGACTTGGAAGTGACCGCAAATGCGGAGTGCAGTACTGGTAAGCAAATCCGGAGTCCAGGCAGGTAGATGTGGAGTGCAGATAGACAATAATGGAGTTCCGGGAAATGCTAGAGGGCGTGTCGTCTCGGCCTGCACGTTGAAACAAGCCACCAGCAGACTATATTTATCAGTCCAAGTTGACGCACTTCACAACTATTTTCCCATGAAAAACAAGATCAACCACAAAACTCTCATGCCCAGAACCACAGAAAGGTCTCCATCTGTACAAGATCCGCTGGACAGGAGCATCAACCTCTACACACCGCCAACGCTCTTCAAATATGCGTCCGACCCTGGTAGATCCCACTATAGCCCTCCACCGGCTCACTCATCTCGTGAAACACAATCTGCGCTAGCTTTGCATCCTTGTACAATCGCAAACCGTACGGATTAACCACTTGCAACACCCCCCCGACAGCGCCCTTGTACCCACTGTCCATCACGCCGGCGTGCACGAGTGCGCCAGAGCGGAACAACGAACTGCGCACCATGATCTGGCCCATGAGGTCGAGCGGCATGTCGACGAGCTCGTTGAACTCGACGAGGTAGGATCCACACGCCACGTCAACGTAGTCGGTCTCAACGGCTTCAGTCTCTTGCTCGTCCAGTTTCGACGTCCTACTCGTGGGAATGTGAGGCTCTCCTGAGAGTCGTCGGAAGGGCATGTCTACAGTCCCCGCGGTCTTGCGGTGGGTATTGTCGAAGTCGATTGCGCCCGCGGACGACCAGGTCTTGATGCGTTTCAGCGTGAGATCGACGCCGCAGGGCTGCGCTTGCTTCTCCACGGAAAGCAGCTTTTTAACCACGTTTCGTGCATGTGCGACGCGCCCGGGAATGATCATTTCGAGTTGCCGTTGACAATGGCTTTGGTTGGGGTACCTGAACGGTAGTTGTTGGTTGGTGTTTCCTGATCAAAGATCAGTAGATGTAGATCATCTTCGAACGTGTGGATAGTACCTGCTTTGCTTCCCCTGTGCTACCACGTGTGAATGATATACAGGGTGTGGGAATTGTTTCTTTTATATATCTAGACGAACGTTCTACCCAGTACTTTATGTAGGAAGAATATATTCGCGAATTAGTTCGTTGATTGGCTGGCGTTTGATTTTAGCTGTTATAAATGTCGAAGCCACGTAGCTAGAGTCTAAGGGCGTTAACCCCTTAAAGCTAGCAATTCTAAGATGGATGGAAATTCTGTAACCTAAATATACTAACTAAGCTCTTGTAACCTTCCTATTAATCCTAGTATAATTGAGACAAAGATTACTGAAACAGCTCCCAAGGTAGTATGAGATACTTTCCTAAACTACTGAGAGATAACAGGTAATATGATTATATGCAAAAAATAGCTCGTGTCATTCTCAATGATTGCGTACTTCCCCTAAAGTCTTGCAGCAGCGATAAGCACACCGGGAATGGATTGAGGTGCTGTGTAAGGACAGGGTTTTTCAGGACCAGGGAGACGTATAAAGATACTTTACATAGTAAGTGCAATTGGGCACTAGATTGATTCATACTTCTACTCACACAGAGTCAGACTCAGATTCCTTGAGATGATAACGTTTCTGTATATTAGGTAGAGCAACACACACCCAGATTATGAACGCTGCAATCCAAACAAGCCCAAAGACATAGCCGTGCGTTTCCTTGAACTTTGGCCCTTGGTTAGCTGGATATATCTTGAGCTGCACGTTACCCATCGCGCTGAGGTCGTGTTATCCAGAGTACAGTAAAGTGAGGAAGCCGAGACAACTTACTAGCCTAACGAGAACATGAGAGCGCTGGCTAAAGCTCGAAGCTCTTTATTCCCTCCGCAAGAATAGTTCAACCAACTGCTTAACAACGGGGCGATACCTCCAGTCGCACTGCCGAGGAAAAACATGGCCATCACAACGTGCTCGTCTGATGGCCATGCTGCCAGCACCGCGTATGTGGTCAGCTGTAGTAAGGCCAGAGCACAGATTGTAGGCGTCCGTTTGCCGGAAGTATCTACTATATAACCCGCAAGGAGCATCCAAACAATCTCCTGGACGAAAGGTAAGCTGGAGCCAATCCGAGGACATTAGAGCTGAGTACTGACCAGAGCATTGATGACCGTTGGCAATGTATTGATCTGCTCAACGCTGTATCGAGGCTTTCCGTTACTGGTCAAGGATTTCAGCCATAATCTCATCCATGTTGAGATTTGCTGGCCGCAACTAAGCTGCAAGAGTCTTCGATGCATGTCAGCTAGGTGTGCCAACAAATGCAGATGTGCTTACGTACCCCCAGGCCAAGGGAAAACAATACAACTGCCAGCATGAAACCAAGCGTTTGATCATCGAGAACGACCATTCGACTGATTCAGCATCGCGGCCCTGCTCTGCCAATCGCCTGACTGATATCTGTTGTTCTTTCTCTGTCATCCACCATATTCTGTGCGATCTTGGTTCCGCTGAGAGGATCTTGTCAGTTTGCTGACTGGTGGGTTGGTCTTGGTGACATGTTCGTACCTGGACATGTGAGAAACCCCAAAAGAGCAACAGGCATTCCTAGGATGAAATCAAAGATGAACAGCCATCTCCATGAGGCTAGGCCGTTCCGATTGTTCATATTGCGATATCTGAAATCAACCAGTCAGTCCTGAGTGTCCATGTAATCACGAGATGATCTTCCTGCACTTACAGCCCGGCCTGGATGTAACTAGAGAACATTGGTCCAGCGCCGGCTGATATGCCGAAAAGCGCTATGCGTCGAGAGATCTCGGATCTGCGGTACCAACTGCCAATCTTTTAGGCAGATAAAGTCAGCACATTGCCTTGTGCCTGAGACTGGGATTTACTTGCCACGTAATAGACTCCAGGGGTCGAGACGGACTCGAACAAGCCAGCACAAAACCTCGGTTGTTTAGCATCGGCGTTGGGTACTTGTAGAAAGCAAGCTTCGTCACTCACCGAAGCGCGTATACCGTTTCGACATTCTGTGCAGCATACGTGCCCAGCACGCAGAACGACCAAAGCATCGTGCACAGGGGTAGCCAATATCGAGGCTGGATCCTCGTTAGAACCAATGTGCTGAACGGAGAGCCAATCATGATTCCAACAGCAGAGTATGTGTTCATGAGGTTCAATTCATTCCCGTCTGCGGAAACGCGGTTGGGTCAGCACAAGCACTCGAGTTCAATGGCATTTGCTTAACTAAAAGTTGTAACTGCTTACACATCTTCAGGTCTTCTTTCATCCCAGAGAAATAAGCATTGCTGATATTAGAAGAGTCGAGGGATTTTACAAATCATGTCTACGAGTCCTTGAAGTCAGAGCTTGTGCCTGTTAAATTATAGGAAACATACCAAACATGTGTAAGTCAGGATTGCAAGATCCAGCTTTAAGATCAGGCGTTTCTCTTCCTTGCTAGTTCCCGGCTCATGCCATCGGATATATGAATGGAAGTTACTTCGTTGCTTTTTTGCGGTCCCATAGTCATGGGCAACTGTAACTGAGCCTGCGACGGGCGGTGATGACGAGGTTTCCATTCTCAGATACTCCTGCGAATGATCTATTCGTGTCAGGGACAAAAGCCAAGATCGGTTTATAGAAGGTGCTGAGACTACCAGTAAGCGAATTCGAAGTGCAATTGCAATACTTAAATGCACGAGAAGACAGACCAGGAAAAAAATTCGGTTCACTGGGCACCGTGATGGCTTGCTGAAATGTGCTCAAGTGGATCCGTCAAATCTGTCTCACCAACTTGCCGGTCTTCCACTCGAATATGTGACTAAGCGGGTCCTACACATCACCTACTCGGTCGCCGATGGTAGCAATATTTCTGAATGTGTCGCCTCACTACATTCACCAGTCATAGCTATACGTTTGTTCGACAGAGCGTGAGCCAGCGAGGACCATTATCCCCCAATTGCAACACGACCACGTTGTATTGGAGGTAGAATCAAGCAATCTTGCGGTATACGCCGTGATTGCAGAATGTCAGCACGGGCAGCAAATGCCGAGGCCGGTGGGCGTCGAGTGGATGGGATTTTCGCACTTCAGTTGTTGGGTACCGGTCTTGTGTTCCATCGTATAGCACATACGACTGCTCCACAACGGCTTCCTGCGTCCGATGCTGTCTTCCTGGAACTTGAGCGCGCTGTCCGGTATTTCAGTTCCACAAATGACGGCTATAAATTACAAGAAAGATGCCTCAAGAGAATTTTGATTTACCATGATACTAGGCATGTAAGTTAGATATGGAAGAGTGAAGGAGAAACCCTCTAGGAATTGCCTTTACAAAAAGCGGCAAAAGATGACCTGCTAGTAGCCGCGACGGTCCCTAAGAGCCACGAATTGCTGTGTCAGTTCGGCACCTGCGTATCTGCCGTTGCAGCCCTAACTGGCACTGACAACTACATCTGCGAGCAAGTTACCTTAACACAACACTCCCGCCAGAAGCAGACGTACCCATAAACGTCAAGTATAAAACTGAATCTAGAAGTCATTAGACTCTAGGCCTTATGGAGTTCATAGAATGAAATCTAATAGACCTATATAGAACAAGAGTTCATTGTCGTGCAAGTGCAATCATCCTCGGTGGATCAACGTTCTCGTCCAGTACGCCTGCCTTCTGTAGAATATTGACAGTTTTGTCGACAACCGTTTGATCAACGCCTCGAACGTCTCTCGAGAACCGTACCGTCTTCAGCCATTCTCGGGCGTCTTCTTCAGAGTAATCTAGCTTCGTGCTGATGTACCGCACGGCTTCTTCCTGGTTCTCCTCAAAGTGCTTGACCCCCTTGTTGATCTTTTCCAGAGCATCATCTAGCTCTTGCTTGAGTGGGGATGCAGTTGCGTTCGCACCGTGACTCCAGTTCTCCGGATTCAGCAATGCGTTGGCGGCGACGATCTTCCAGCTGGACCAGGGTGTGTAGATCTCGCCGACGCGCTTGATGGCACCGTTGTCGTAGTATCGCTTTGACGTGAAATGCTCCCACATGAAGAAGTCGGCTGTCTTGTCATTCACGCCGTCCCTGAGATTCGAAAATGTATTCAGCACCTCAACTGGAAACGGGGTCTCGCCCTTTGTCAGCCAGCCCTGCTGATCCGCCAGCACAAAACTCATGACATAACTCCCACTGCCTATCCTGCTCACCCCCACTTTCTTGCTCTTCAGATCCTCGATGCTCTTGATGTCTTCTCGCCGTGTGCCGCTGGATATCGCCCAGCACAGAGGCGTCTCAACATAGGTGCCCACAATACGGAACCCGGGGTCTCTTTTCGAAGCTTGTGCTTTGCCAATGGCAGCGATCCATCCTTCTGTAAGACCAACACCTACGTCGATCTCATTGTTCTGGAGGGCGGTCACCATATGCCCGGTTCCAGAGGGGAACGGTAGCAGCTGCGAATCGAGCCCATAGTGCTTCTTGGCGAACTCGAGAGGAGTTGAAAAGTGCTCGGGTACAAAGCCTATCCGCAAAGGCGCCATGGCTGAAGCTTCTGTAGAGAAGGCGCGCGTAGCGGAGGCTGATGACAAATAGCGCGCGGAGCGCAGCGTGCGGAGCATGTAGACTGTGAGATCGTGGTCTTCTTTATGATGCCCAGCTCTCAACCTTGGCTTCCGTTGTATACCGTGATGGAACCAAGCTCCAGCTCGAAGGATGTGTCGGTGATGTCACGGCTGCACTTGCCGAGAAAGGAAAGAACCATTGACTAGCTCCGCAGCTCCGCCATCGCTCACCTCATGCCACCTTTCTTGGCGTTGATGTTGCCATATTAGATTTGCGTAAACTGTGTGTCGCATACTTTTTGCATATTTAGCTGATTTTGGTCTGTGACACTCTATCCTAGTTTTCAGAGGATCTATCACACGTCTGTTCATATCTAGCATGGGAGACATTGGCCTACAGTCTCCGGATGTTACTTCCATGAGGGCGAAAACCATAGCTGTCATTGGTGCGGGGCCTTCTGGATTAGTAGCCGCGAGGTACGTCTCTCGTCCCATGTTAGAAACTAACAGCTGACCGCTGAAGATATCTGCGTGCAGAAAAGGCGTTCTCCAAGATTGCGTTATTCGAGCAACGCCCAAGAGATGGCGGAATATGGAATTACACCGCGAGGGAAAGAACCGAGGATCTTTTCTCGGTTCCTCAAATCAACCCAGTTGGAAGGAATCAAGATCCTATCTGGGCGAATCCAACGGCCAATGGATGCACGGCCGCTGCTACGAACGGTACCTGTGGCGCTTCTAAGCATCCTGTATTCGTATCACCAATGTACGAAAGACTTGAAACCAACATTCCGAGGGGTCTCATGGGGTTCAAAGGGTTTGATTGGCCTCAAGATAGCCAGCTCTTTCCGAAACACCAAACCGTGCTCCAATATATCCAAGACTATGGCGCAGACGTCCAGGACACAGTCCACTATTCCACTCAGGTCACAAACGCCGTTCCAGCAAGCAGCGATCCCTCCAGTCCATGGAACGTGACGTACCGGGACCTGCAGACATCTGCGACGACAACAGAAACCTACGATGCTGTCATAGTCGCGAATGGGCATTTCATCAATCCCTACATTCCAGATATCGCCAACATCGCGGAGTGGAACAAAACCCACCCAGGCCTGATCTCGCACTCAAAGTACTACCGGCGCCCCGAAGAATTCGCCGCAAAGAAGGTGATAGTCGTAGGCAATTCCGCCTCGGGCGCCGACATCTCCTCTCAAATCGCGGAGCACAGCGTGCTCCCGCTGCTCTGGTCCAGCAAGTCGACAAACCTGTTTGTCAGCGCCACGCCGAGCGACCCGCGGCGGCGCGAGCTGCCGCCCATCAAGCGCTTCATCCCGGAGACGCGCGGAGTGGAGTTCGAAGACGGCACGGTGGAAGCCGACATCGATGCTGTCGTCTTCGCTACGGGGTACTTCTACAGTCTGCCCTTCCTCGAGCACGTCACGCCCCGGCTGATCACCGATGGGAGCCACGTCAACCACACGTACAAACACCTGTTCTTCGCACCGCGACCGACACTCTCGTTTCTCGCGCTGCCACAGCGGGTCGTTCCTTTCGCAACAGCCGAAGCACAAGCCGCAGTCCTCGCACGCGTGTACTCCGGCCGTCTACCGCTACCTCCACTCGCGGACATGCAGCGATGGGAAGAAGCGCAGAAAGCCGAGGCGGGCGACGGGCGCGGTTTCCACCTCTTGCCGTTCCCGAAAGACGGCCAGAATATCAATGAGCTGTCCAAGTGGGCGCTCAGTGCGCCTCGCCGAGCCGGACTCGACAATGAAGGGCAGGGCATGTTGCCGCCTGTGTGGGGCGAGTGGGAGTTCTGGTGTCGCGAGAACTTTCCGGCGATAAGGCAGGCTTTCGGCAAGCTTGGGGAGAAGAGGTTTGAGACCAGGACGCTGGAGGAAGTTGGATTCAGCTTTGAGGAGTACAAAAAGAAGGTCCAAGAGAGTGGGAAGCTGATATAGCGCAGTGAGTCGATGACAGGTCAAAGGATTAGGCACGGCAGCATGTGATGAGAGAGCGAGGAAGTGACTCAACGAGTCGTGCATTGTTAGACTGTGTATACATGAGGTAGATGGATTGAGAACGCCGGACCGTGTATATCGCTAATAGAGCGTGGATATCAAGAACAAGCATCGTACAGAGAGGGAAGAGAAACATTGCCTAGAACCTAGAACTCGCCGCCACCACCACCCATGGCAGCAGCACCCCAAATACCAATCAGGCCCCACACGCCTACTCTCCACCCTCGCCACAAACCATGCACACCCTGCCCCTTCCGGGTCCGGATGGGGCGCTGGAAACCCAATTTCTGAGCGCTTGCGGCCTTGGAGGCGGTCGGGCCGACTGTGGTGATGCCCTCCTCGCGCATGACATACCAAATGGTGCCCAGTACGCCTCTATACGGCCCAGGGTCGACAATGGTGTGGAATCTCCTCAGACTGGAGTCCTCGACAGGCTTCTTTAGGACGGGCTCAGAGTACTGGCTCTCGTAGCCACTGAAGTACGAGTTGGAGGCAGAGGCGCGCTGGGGTTCCTGGCGGTATTCGGCAGCGAGGCGACGGTTCTCGTTGTCCTGGAGCACGGCGACTTGGCCGCGACGCAGAACGGTCTCGAGAGGCAGGCGGACGAAGAGCTCGGCGGTGGAGGAGAGAAAGGTACTGAAGGAGTAGGTGGTCGGAGTGATGATGGGGTCGATGGAGAAGGTGGAGCGGAGGACGAGCGGGGTCGAGGAGGAGATGAGGGTGGGGATGCAGGCGTTGAGCAGGGTGGCGGGCAGCAGGTTCGAGGAGATGGATATCGAGGGCAGGAGCGACAGACACGGGTAGATGGAGCGGGGCGCCGAGGAGATTGGGGTGACGATCAGACGGGTGCGGATCAGGTCGAGGGGCGCGAGGACGGTGGCGGCGATGGCGGTGGCAGCGACGGCAACGGCGAGAGACATGAGCGGCGAGGGGCTGTCGATGATGTCGAGCCCGCCGGTGCCGCTGGCGGCCGCGCCCACGGCACCCGGGTCGGGGATGTTGAGCACGGCGGACAGGGCGCTGCGGAACCAGCTCTCGGTGGTGCGCAGCAGGAAGTTGTAGATGAAGGTGCAGTTGGTGCCCTTCCACACGCCCCAGGCGGCCTCCTTCTGCCACAGCTGGGCGATGACGTCGAGCAGAGCATCGGGGCGTTTCAGGTCGAGCTTGCGGGCAGGCGGCGGCGGCGGGCGCGTGGGCGTGACGGAGCGCGAGCGCGAGCGCGACGGCGAGCGGCTGTGCAGGGTGCGCTGGGTCTTGCGCGGCGACGGCGAGCGCGAGGCGTGCGGGCGTGAGTGCGGGTGCAGGCGGTGGGAGGCCGGGGCGGTCGAGGTGAAGTAGCCGGCGTCGTCGTCCGACTCGTCGCCGTCGGACGCGCCGTCGCCGTGGCGGGAGCTCGCCAGGCTGTGTGGGCGGGCGCGGGGCAGGCCGTCGGCGGCGACGTTCAGGCCTGGGGCGAGGTGGCCGCGGGCCTCGTGCACCTGCAGCAGCGTCTTGGCCACCTCGAAGGGCTGGGCCAGCAGCACACTCGTGTAGTTCCACAGCGCCTGGTCCAGCAGCTGCTTTGCGTGCTCGGCCACCGTCGGTGATGCGCCCGGAAAGTAGCGGTCGTAATCGAGGTCCGACAGCATGTCGCGCGCCTGGCTGCCGAACGAGGGCGCCGCCGCGCGGGCAGCACCGCCAGCACCAGCACTGGAGGGCGCGCCCGGCGGCGGCAGCTCGGGCGGCAGGCCGATCGACGGCGGGATGTAGTACGGCCGCAGCGGGTTCGGGGCATCGCGCGAGAGCGGCAGCGCGTCGGCCATGGCGGGCGGGAGGTGTGAGGCAGGACGTACGGCGGTGCGGTGGTGGTGGCAGCGGGCGTGGGCTGGGCGGGCGGCCGGCGATCGCTGCTCGTGCACAAGATTTCTGGCTGTCTGTGCGTCATCGGACGTATCCAGCACCGTGCATTTGTCGCCCGTTGCCCGCCGCCAGTGCGACTGCCAGACTGCCAGTGCGACTCGCCCAGCGCCGCTCCTCCACGCATCGCGACCGCGAGCCCGCTTCCCTCGCGCCTCCCTCCCGGTGCTGCATAATGGCGTCCATGGCGCTCCCCCGCGTCTTTGCCGGTGCAATGCGTGCCTCTGCGCTGCCTGGGCCGCCCGCCTGTATGCGCAGTGCGCAGTGTCTCGCCCGACCTGCCAGCAATTGGGCGTCGCCGCGCATCCCTCGCGCGCGCAGGCCGCTGGCATTGCTGTCGCCGTCGTGGCGTGCCTTCTCGTCCACGCCGCCCGCCCGCCACGGCCACCTTGACACACCCAAGCCCGGCGAAGAGTGAGCACGCCCGCCCGCCTGCCCACGCCCCCATCCATCCATGCACTGACGGCAAGCTAGGCTGCACGTCACCTTCGTCGACAAAGACGGCCAGTCGTACACCTTCGAAGTCTCCGAGGGCGACAACCTGCTCGACATTGCCCAGGCCAACGACCTCGACATGGAGGGCGCATGTGGTGGCTCCTGTGCCTGCTCGACCTGCCACGTTATCGTCGAGGACGAGGCCAAGTACGACGCCATGGCGGAGCCCGACGACGACGAGAACGACATGCTGGACCTGGCCTTTGGCCTGACCGAGACCTCGCGCCTGGGCTGCCAGGTCAAGATGAGCAAGGACCTGGACGGCCTGGTTGTCAAGCTGCCGAGCATGACGAGGAACCTGCAGGCGAGCGACTTCAAGTGAGCATCCGTTGCGAAGACGGCGCAGCCATGTATGACTGCACAGTGTTACGATATGGGCGGCATGTCTGATTATGGATCATGGACTGTATAATACGGCACTCGGCTCACGGCGTCCGGAGATATGTTCGTACATACCCTTTGACTTGGACTGTGTCTGCACACAACGTCCGACCTGGCTTGTGTCTGCACAAAATGCTCGACTTGGATTGTGTAATCATATAATGTTCGACTTGGATTGTGTAAGCATATAATGTTCGATTTGGATTGGTATCAAATGCCACATGTACCCCAATGCCTTTGGCCCAGCTGCGCAGCACTCCGCAGCGCTATGCCTCGACAGACCCTTCCTTGGCCGTTTGCCCGCCCGTGATCATGTCCAAGAATCCTTGCTTGCTCATTTCCTTGACCTGCTCCTCACGCTTTGCAATGCCCACCGTGTTCTGCTCCTTGGCCTGCTGCTCGGCCATCTCACCCTTGACCTGGGCTGCACGCACTGCATTGAACAGCTTGATCACACCCTTCTGTGCTGTCCGCCTAAGCTCCTTCTCCTTTGCTGTGACTTCGGCCGTGCTGACGACTGTGTCATTCAGCCCCAGCACATCCTTGACACGCCCTTTTTCGCGCAACGCCCGCTTCTCGGCCACGATCTGCCGCCTCGCCTTTTCGTTCAGCTTGCTGTCTGCAAGCTCCCTGTTCGCCGTCTGTGCGTCCTTGGACCGGGCGAGGATGGGCTCGGAGCGTTTTGTGGACGTCAGCTTGGTGTTTAGGATTCGCGAGATGGACGTCGCAAAGGCGTCGGGGTCGTTGCGCTTCTTGACTTTGCGGGCTGCCGCGGTTGATGTCTCTGAGGCGTCCGAGTCCGAGTCTTCAATATCGAACTCGTCTGCTTCCACCTCGAGCTCCGAGCCGTCCTCGTCTTCCTCTTCCTCCTCCTCTTCGTCGTCGTCGTCTCCGGCAAGATCGTCCTCGCTCGGTGACGCATCGTGTGCTGGGTCGGCTGGCGCAGCCTTGGCAGGAATGCTCATTTTGTGTTTGGGCTGCGGCTTCAGCACCGACTTCAGCGGCTTGGGCTTGGGTTCGACAGCATTTGCGCCCGACGGCTCGAACGGCTCTTCCGCCTCTTCCTGTCTCGGCGCCTTGTAGTTCTTTGGCGCATCGGTGGCGACGTTCTCATCGCCAGACTCGTCGTCCGAACTGTGGTAGTACTTCTGGCGCTTGACCTTCTTTTTCTCCTTCTTCGGTTGCCCCTTCCTCATCTCCGCCTCAGTCCGCCTGCGCTTGAGCGATGTATTCACCATTGTGGCTGTGTGGTGCGTTGCGACGGTGCAGACAGAAGGCTAGTAGTATTATTTCAGAACTTTTATTTCAGCGCGCAGGGTTCGTTCCGCCGACGCCAAGCCCGCCCCACCCCGCACTCCACCGATTCCCCACTGGCCAACATCGCCGCATCTTAACCCACACGTCGACTCACCCCTCCCGCCGCCCACACAACCGCCGCCGCCATGGTGCTCCAGGATCTTGGACGGCGCATCAATGCCGCTGTCTCCGACCTCACGAGGTCGCCGAATCTCGACGAGAAGGCCTTTGAGGCCATGCTCAAGGAGATCTCCAACGCCCTCGTTGAAGCCGATGTCAACGTCAAGCTCGTCATGGCCCTGCGCCAATCCGTCAAGCGCACAATCGACTTCAAGAATCTCGCCCCCGCCGTCAACAAGAAGCGCCTCATCCAGAAGACTGTCTACGACGAGCTCGTCAAGCTCGTTGACCCTCACGCCGAGCCGTTCAAGCCGAAGAAGGGCAAGCAGAACATCATCATGTTCGTCGGTCTGCAGGGATCTGGCAAAACAACATCGTGTACGAAGCTGGCCAGATGGTACCAGGCGAGAGGTTTCAAGGCGTGCCTGGTTTGCGCCGATACCTTCCGTGCTGGTGCCTTTGACCAGCTGAAGCAGAACGCGACCAAAGCAAAGATCCCTTACTTTGGTAGCCACACAGAGACGGATCCTGTAGTCGTTGCTGCCGAGGGTGTGGAGAAGTTCAAGAAGGAGCGTTTCGAGATCATCATTGTGGATACATCGGGTCGACACAGCCAGGAGCAGGACCTCTTCGACGAAATGGTGCAGATCCAGAATGCCGTCAAGCCCGACCAGACCATCATGGTTCTCGACGCCACAATCGGTCAACAAGCTGAAGCACAAGCCCGCGCCTTCAAGGAAGCAGCAGATTTCGGAGCCATCATCATCACCAAGACTGACGGTGCTGCGGCAGGTGGTGGTGCTATCTCTGCCGTCGCTGCGACACACACACCCATTGTCTTCCTCGGAAACGGAGAACACATGCTCGACCTCGAGCGCTTCAGCCCACAGCCCTTTGTCTCGAAACTGCTCGGCATGGGCGACGTCGCTGGCCTGGTCGAGCACGTACAATCGCTCAAACTCGATCAGAAGGACACCATGAAGCATATCGTTGAAGGCAAATTCACCATCAGGGACCTCCGCGATCAACTCTCCAACATCATGAAGATGGGCCCGCTTAGCAAAATGGCTGGAATGATTCCCGGTCTGAGCAACATGATGGGTGGCATGGACGACGAGGAAGGCAGCTTGAAACTCAAACGTATGATCTACATCTGTGACAGCATGACAGAAAAGGAGCTCGAGAGTGATGGCAAGATGTTCATCGAGCAGCCAACCCGCATGACCCGTATTGCCCGCGGTTCTGGCACGAGCGTACGAGAGGTCGAGGAGCTGCTCACCCAGCACAGAATGATGGCTGGGATGGCCAAGAAGATGGGAGGAATGCAGAAAGGTGCGTCCATTTCATCCAGTGATAGCGCATTACTAACTATCCCGCAGGAATGCAGAAGGCCCAGGGCGCCATGGGTGGTCTCAACCAAAAGCAGCAGATGGCTGCGATGCAGCGGAGAATGCAGTCCATGGGAGGCGCTGGCGGCGGCCGTGGCGCTCCCGGGGGAATGCCCGACATGTCCGCGATGATGAAAATGTTAGGAGGCGCTGGCGGCGCTGGTGGGATGCCAGGTGAGTCGAAACCACACGCTTGACACGATCCCGTTAGCTAATCCACGTACAGACATGTCAGCACTCCAAGGCATGCTCGGCGGGGCAGGAGGGGGGATGCCAGACATGGGAGCAATGATGAACATGATGAAGAACATGGGCGGCGGTGGAGGCGCGCAAGGCGGGCGAGGACGACGATAAGTCCCCCGCCCACGTTCGTAACCCGCGATCATGGATGTTTGCTTTCTTCTGCATAGCCGCGGCGTTCGGGGTGGGCGTGTGACCTTGCACGGGGAGCGATGCCGAGCTATACATACGAGCATATCTATGGAGAGGCTGCTGAAGGCGCGAGTACGTAGCCTGTGGAGGTGGAGTGCTGGTCCGTCAGCGAAAAGGATAAAGAGAAAGAGATATACCCACTTACCAACAAACCACTCTCCGAACCACCTGGCGATGAAGATCTGGGACGTGGTCATTGGTGCAAGACTTCCAGTATACTACAACCCTTCTTGTCAAAGCTCTGACTAACCACGTCACTTCTGCCGCCAACATCGGGAAGGCATGCCACACGTCAGGAGCCGCAAAGGCGTTGGACGTGGCTCAGCAATTTCGTGGTATCTAGAATGCTGGTAACGGCGCTGCGATGACACTCGTTGTCAACCTACCTGTGGCTCTAGTCGATGCTCTACGTGCTTTCACACTACGTGAGTGCCTCGCAATAGCCCTACCAGCAGCTGCGGTCCGAGGCACATCGGAAGCAAAGTCAGATCGGCCCACGTCCGAGGCCAGCAAGTTGCTCGCGTGTTTTATTCTTGTTCAAAGCTACAGGTGAATTCTTCTAATCTAGGTCCTTAGCAGGACACCGATAGTGCGGAGATATGTAATTGGTTTATCAAGGCTTTGCTTGGTGTGGTTTCGCTACTTCTCATGTCCTGAATCTGCTGTGGGATGACAGTATACACGACGGCTTGTCGCGATTAGTACGGCAGATTCCTGTGCTGACACTGACGTGCTGGGTAGCAGCAAGAGCCCAACCATAGTTTCCAATTAACCCTGCTACAATCCGGTTCAATTATGTTGATTAGATTGTGAACTCAGGTGGTGAAGCCAAGAGCTCTCCGTGCTACTACTGTATCCGACGAGAATTGAGAAGAGCACCGTCATAGTTTACGGTGTATATCGAGAGAGGAGGCCTTGAAATATCGGTTAGTATCCGACGACGTGCACGCCCAGTTCGACTCACCTGGTACGTCGGAAACAACATTGAATCCGCCACCACCACGTTTTCCCTTCTGCTGCATGCAAACACAACCACTTCCGCAACGTCATCGGGTGTCAGTGGATCACATCCTCTTATGGCCGTTAGTATGTCTCCCCCGGAATCCTCAAAGACGTTGATGGACTTACTCGTAGATCTTGTCCGCCGACGCCTCATCGCCTCGGTTCCGTATGAGTGTGAATTCCTGCCAACGCCGTCAGTAACTCGACGCTACAAGCGGACGTTCAGCCGGTGTACTGACTGTCAGCACCTGCCCCGGATCCACGGTAATAACCCGAATCCTCGTCGCAACCAACTCCTTCCGCAGCGCATCCGTAAAGCTCCTGATCGCCGCTTTACTCGCGCAGTAGATCGAGCCGCCCGCATACGGCTCGCGTCCCGCAATGCTCCCGAGCATCACCACGTCGCCTCTCCCGCCCCCGTCTCTCCGCTTCGCAAGCCTGAGGAACTCCTGCGTCATGCCGATCCAGCCCGTGACGTTCGTGGCCCACACGTCGTCCACGACCGCCGGGGGAATATCCGGCGCCCGTTCGTACCCAGACATGAAGCCCGCGTTGTTGACCAGGACGTCCACGTGCTTGAAGGCGTCGGGCAGGTCGGCCCACAGTCTGCGGACGTCGGCGGGCTTGCTGACGTCCAGCTTGCGCGTACATATTTCCACGCCGCTGCCGACTTCGTCCGTGATGCTGGCGGCGATTTCATGCAGTCTGTCGACGCGGCGCGCTGTGAGTATCAACTTGAGGCTCTGCGGGCTTGTGCGTGCGAATTCAAACGCGCAGGAGCGGCCAATGCCGGATGAGGCGCCGGTTATGAGGACGACTTTGCCGTGGAGGTTCTTCGCCGCGTTTGTTGGCATTTTGTCGCCTGGGCGGGAAGAATGGTAGCAATACTTATATCGACATGGGATAGCAGATGGTTGGAGGTGTAGGGCATGGGGCTAGGGGCTTTTGGGAAAGGTGTGATGCGGGGTCGGGGGATAGCCGAAAGAGAATGGATGGTGTTCAGCTATGTCGACCTGGCTAGCATTACATACGTGTCTCGCTATGGTATCTGAAGTAGGTGCAAAAAAGCTCAGAGCATAACAGTCGCTATGGAAAGTCAGCTCACGGGGTTCGCTTGTCCAAAATGGTTCTCAGAAGAGTGAGCTACTTAAAGTCTTGTGTATCATAGTTCAGGGTTTGAGGACTCCCAAGTCTAATCTCAGAGTGGATTGCATCGCCTGCTCCAGCCTCTCCAGTTTTGCTAACAGAACCCACATGTCCACGTCTCCTATCGTGCCAACGCTGAAGACCAGCGTGTTCAGACGAAGTGGTGTATACATTGTCTCGGCGGATATTGAGCGGCATGTCGTCAATAGCCCTGCTCCGATGCTAGATATGTCGAATCGCTTGGTCCGGGGATTGAATAGCAGAGTGTTTGTATCGTCCATAAGCGCATAATTCCATATCTTGTTTCGAAGCTCAGCTGGAAGCTTGAGGAGGGAGGAAGACATGTCTGAACAACGACGATACTAGACAGGTGGAACCACTGATTTGAAATGTGGTGACGGTGTTGTAAATGTCGAATTGGATTGTTCGCAGTGGCGGACGAGGAAGCGGGAAACTCGTGGCTCTTATGTGACACGCAGTCTTGCAGGCGGCCTCGAGGAGGCTAGCAAGGATACATATGACCTTTCGAGGTTAGGTTGGTTGGATCGATGCTGGTTCGAAGTTCAGGTTAAGTTGCCAATCTGGAGACGTGGGAGGTGGTATTGACGCCGACGCGCAGTCGTGCCTAGGTAATGCTGGAGGTACAAACGACGTTTCGCCAGCAATGGAAATGCAGAGGGACACCGCACACATGAAAGCAGTTGAGCTTGCAACAAGACTCGGCGTCTTCACGCTCATCGCTCACCCATTATTTCTTCTGTCCTTCAATGCGCACCGAATCCAGATCCGAACCCCGGTACTCGGCTTTTTCCAGGTACATGGGTAGCTGTTTCAAGCTCTGCTGTCTCCAGTCACACTCTTCGTACGCATGGGTAAGCTATCATTGAGTCGAGAAGCGACGAACCACTTAGATGCGTGTAAGTTGAGGTGTCAAGTGAGAGACGCCCCTGGGGGGCAACAGTCTCACAAGATGACCCCACTCTTTTGGCCTGGCAGCGTGCTCTCTTCAAACTCGATTTTCTTGACGTGCTGTCCAGGCACAACTACCAGGCCCACATAGCGGCTGTTCCATGCCACGGCTGCAGACGAGTCTCCCGACTCCTCCACAGCTTTGCGAATCACCTCAGCAGATGGCGCACGGTACTCATACGCAAGTGCAAGAATGATGTTCCGATCCTGCAGTTGTCAGCTGGGTATCACATCTATGACAACAACGTACACACCTTGTCTGTGCACTTCATCTGGCCACCAAACACGCGCCCGTCGGAAGCATGAATGCGCAGGTTTTTGCCAATAAATTGCGACAACCAAAATGTAGCTTGCTCGTTGTCCATCCTGGTACTGGTTCTACGTGTGCTGCCGGTGGGTGACTTCAAGTAAGGCAGATACCAGCTGTATCTGTTCGCAGTCATGTTGGCGATGATATCTTAGTTGAGCTTTAAGTGGGGTGGCTACATCGTGGCTGTCGCGCGGCAGTGGCTGAGGCGGATGTTAGTCAGCAAACTTTTGTATCAATGTCCGATCGCGCCTCGCGGAGGCAACGAAAAGCCACCATGTTTTCAATACGTCGGAGTTGCCAGTCGGCACTGCGCAGATCAAACGGCGTTGTCGTCTGTTCCAATGGCTCGCGCCGTGTCTTTTCCAGATCAGTGGCGCGATCGAAGGGTGCGCATGCCTGATTTCTTCTGCTGCAGACAGTACTGACGAATACGCAGGCGGCCTTCCCGTCTTTCTCGAACCGTCTTCCCCAGAGCTCTCGACCCTTCTCGCGACGATCAATTCCAAAGTCCTGCTCCCCGAGCACTTGACAAAAGAACAGGAGAAGCTTGTCTTCAACGAAAAAGCGAGTGCTAAGCTCGAGACTGAGCCCGTCGAAGTAACCATCGGCGACGTAACCCTCCCCCTCGAATACATCTCCCGCGTTACTCAACCGAGCAGATCGCGTAGTCTGAAAGAGGTTGTGGCGCAGAGTGAGACATTGGAAGATTGGGAGAATGTGGTGCGTCTTCTTGAAGGGTATCACAGCGCCGGCATAGCCGTCAAGCCGAGGATCCAAGAAATGGTTGTGCGTAAATTGATTGAGAACGAACACTACAACATCGTCTTGAAGGCGCTGCAGAGGGTCAAGGCGACGGGGCTGCGATTGAGTACCTACAATGTCACAGCGAGCGTCTTGAAGAGTGCGCACGACCGGGCTGCCACGTCTGACTGGGATGCGGAGGAGACGGCCAAGGCCCTGCGCTTTGCTCGGCAGATTGTGGATTTGATGGAGGAAGAGGAGCACCACGCAGTCCTGTCCAAGGGCGTGAAATCGACACGATCCGACTGGAGGAGCCAGCCGTACGTTATCGCCGTGCCCACGGAGCTGGCAGCTATTATTGCCCAAAAACACGAGGGAGACGTCGAGATAGTCAAGACACTCGCCAACCGCCTCGTCAACGCACTGAAGCAGGACGCCGCCGCTGCAACGCCCAAATCGTCTCCCCAACAGGCAGGCGTACGAGTTCAGGACTCGATCGACCGCGTCGCCGCTCTCAGCACAAAGACAGAAGCAGACTTCAAGAACGGCACAGCCCAAGGACATGCTGTGTTTGCATACTGCCAAGGCCTGGCCGAACAGCTTGTTGTTTGGAATGCCCTCAGGACATCGCAGGCAGTGCTGGGCGCCGAGATGCCTCTTGCGCCAGAGGCTGCCGAGTATGAGGCGAGGACCAAGAAGCTTCTCGACGAGAGTCTCGAGGCTATGCCAAGGCTGCGGAAGAGAGGTGCGGATCAAATAAGGACCACGTACCCTGTGTACCTTGCGGAGCAGTTGCAGAAGTGTCAGGCTTAGATGTAGCAGTCCAGGCGGCACGGAATATGTAAAGTAGATCTGTACAAATGGAACATGAGCGGTGGAAGAGCGATACGTTGGTTGGCTAAAAGGCCCTTGAGCATCATATGTGTGCAATTCAGGTGGTCATACGGATATGAAACATTGTATACAACGATCATATAGGAACCTCTTCTTTTCTTACGTCGGGTGTTCAACCCTTTGATGTCAATCGTCATCACTCGAATTCTTGGGCTGCCTTCAGGCTATACATTGTGTCATTCGCTAGTGACTGTGTACTGTATAACGCCTGCCCCTTGCACCTGTCATCTAAATTTTGGCCCCCCTCGACGCGATATAGTTGTCCACAGGTGCCTCTGCCTTGACACTCTCCCACAGCTGCTCGATACTCTTCACAGCCTCTTCACTCAGCTTACCCTTCTTGATACCTCCAGCTGTCTGCTCGATCTGACTCAACTTGCTTGCGCCGAAGATCACACCATCACCCTCTTCTGTCAGCGCAGAGTGATGCGCAACCCACCTGTAGGCCAACTCTGCCTTGCTAACTCCCTCTTTCTCGGCAATCTTATTCCACTCCTTCAGCCCCTCTCGTAGAGTAGGCTTGTCGTACATGTTGCTGTACATACCGCCCAGTGCGTCCTTGTTGAAGCGACCGGCACCAGCGTCGAGGTCAGCAGCGGTTTTGGTGAGGAAACCACCAGCCAGGGGCGAGTAGGCGTAGAACACGATACCCAGCTTGCGAAGGACGGGGAAAAGATCCTTCTCCAAGTGGCGTGCAACGGGATTGTAGTTGCCCTGGTAGACTTCAGGAAGCGGGTAGCCCTTCTCCTTTGCCAAGTCGTATACACGCTGGACATCTTGTGGAGCATAGTTGCTCAGGCCGAAGCGACGGAAGATGCCCTGCTTGTGCGCCTCGTTGATGCCAGCTAGTGTGTCATCGAGCGGGATATCGGGATCGGGAGAGTGGATGTAGAGGATGTCGAATTGCTTGATTTTGACTTTCTCGAGAGCTTCCTTGGCGTGCTCGACGATGGTATCCTTGTGTGCGGTATCTGGCGCGAACCCGCCAGGTACCTTGGTGTCGATAGTGAACTGCGTACGCTTCTCCTGGCCGCCGATGGCGACTTCAGAGCCTGGATAGATACGTGCTGTGTCGATGGTGGTCACGCCTGCAGCAAGGAGGACGTCAATAGCCTCAGCCACCGCATCTTTGTTGCTGAAGCCACCAAAGGCGAAGGCACCGCCTCCGAAAACTACTTTGACCATGACGATAGTGGTGCTATGGGTCTTTGAAATTGTTCAGGAACGAGGCTTGACTCGAGAGTTTGCTGACGGTCCGTAGTAGTGGTCGGTGGTGAAAGTGGTGTGTTGACATGAGTGCGGCTTCCCCCATACTTATGTACTGCGCTCAGCCGCACCTGCTTGTCGCAGTATCAATTGCGCCATTTTTGAACCAGTGACTCGATTACTCATAGGAATTGCACTCCAGCGAATACCATAGAAAGACACTGTCGCAATGCTTTGATGATAGCCCCACTTCTTGGCGTCAGCGGGGTCTGGAGCTGGTCCGCGGTTTAGGCCCGTTAGACTAGACCTAACCTATGGCTTCGTTGGCCTCAGTCACATCTGCTGCTTTGAGCAGTTGAAGGTCAGAGTTCAGAGGTCAGAAATCGGAAGTCAGAAAGTCCGGTCAGAAGTTCGTCAGCAAGTTGATGTTGTAATCAGGTCTTAGCACAGGCCCCACCTTGCGAGACAAGGGGTGGCTGATTGCGGACGAATACAACACTACGTCATTCTGGCTACCAATGCAGTACTTTTCTAGACGATGTGCTACACTTTCTACAGTGCGCGCGCTGCTCTAGGATGGTCCCGATGCCATGTCTGTCCAGCCTCCCTGCGCACTCCACGTGCCTGCCTTGGTGTAATCACCTCGCGCTCCACCGTCGAGATATGCGAAACGGAAATACTCGGGAATGTCCATCATATGCCTAACCCATGTCCAGCTCTCGAGTCCGTTGTCAGCGTAGCCGCGATATCTTTCAACGTCATTGACCAGAATGCTAAGACCATCATAGTGCTTAGGGAAGGGCAATGCCCACTCGAAGGTGATATTGGGCTTGAGATGCAGGTTGTGGTTCATGTGGACGATGGGGGCGGTGATGACTGGAAGCAGACTACTAATGGGCCCATCGCCGCGCAGTTCGTTGGGTGTCTGGAGTATGGAATCGAAGCCCCAGCGCGCGATGCCGTTGATGAATAGGCCGACCAGAATACCTTGGAACAGCAGGGAAGGTCGGGTCTGCATGGACGTCCCTGGAACGAGCAGCAGTCCAAGGATATAGTGGTGGATGCGGACATTCATCTTAGGAACCGCGACAAGCAGTAGCAGAGAGCCGACGAATATGCCGTAGATGCCCAGGTACTTGGGCAATCGGCCCTCGATGCGCAGACACCAGGCTTGCAACAAGGCAATGAAGAAAAGGCACAGAACAACAGTGATTAAGGCGGGAATGGCGCCAGGCTGGTTTTGCAAGTCATGAGGTGTTAAGCGCTCAAGGGGGATTTTGTCGAAGGTGTAGTTGTTAAGGGCGCCAACCCAACAGCCGCCCAACCAGAGAATTGTCTTCTCAAACTGCGCGTCGAGATGACGCAAGGTGCGAGCGACGACGAAGCGGTACACAACGTACATGCAAAAGCTCGCTGGTAGTAAGCGACCAAGGCAGATGGATACGAGAGCGTAATAGTCGGTCAAGCTTGGGGGATCCGAGGCGAGTGCGACGTGGAAGAATATACCCAGGAAGATGGAGGGGAAAAACACAGAGGGTGCGGTGGTGAACAGGGACAGCAGGATTGTGAAAGTCAAACTGACGCCTAGGAGCGGCCAGCGCAGGTCCCGGCATTGGGCAGAGGTGCCGTGCAGGAAGGAGAAGGACTTGGGAAAGTACGAATCGAAGCCGATTGACTTGATGTGATTGCGATTCACCGCAGCGTACTTGTTCCTTTCGCCGACCAGCTGGACAACGCCACACCCACCCGACCTGTCACTGATGAAGCCGGCGTGAATAGCAGCGCCGCAAATGAATGAGTCGGCGCGGTAGTACGTATTCTCCAATGTTCCTTCTTTGTCTGTGGGTCCCCCGATGACCAGCTGGCGATAGTTTGCAACGTAATCGCCCACAGCATGCGGATTCAGCAGCTGCACGCGCTGGCAGTTGGCAGGACAGCGGAAAGCCATGGTGGCGTTCTCAAATGGGCGACAGGAGTCGCCATTGAGGCCGCATCCATTGCCGTCGTTCCAGAAGCGTTGGGTACAGCCGATCCTCACGGGGGGGCCGTAGCCTGGAACGTCTGCCGAGAAAGCACTCTTATGCAAGACTAGGGTAAAACTCATAATCCAAACGGCATAGAAGGCAATCAACAGGGCCACCTTGTGCTTCCTTTTGGGGAAGAAGGTGTCTACGAGGCGGATGGGCGCAGTCTGGATCTTGGGCAGGAACGGATGGATACTCCAGGGCCGCGAAGGCTGCGGCCCCTTCACCCAGGTCTTTACAGAGCCCCAAGCATGCTCCAGGCGTGGTGGGATGTGTCTGCTGGCACGATGCGCATCTTGCGGAGGGCGCTCTTCTTCGGCGGAGGACTCGGCAGGGTCCACGACTACAGCGTCCTCTGGATCAATACTAATGAGGTCATGGTCGCGGTAGACCTGAGGCGGCGCGCCCTCATCGTCGTCGACATGGCGCTCCGGGCTCATGTCTGGCAGCGAGCGCAGCTCGTGGCGGGAGGTTGGCGACGACAGCTTGGAGCTCGGGCTTATCGATAGGAAGTCCGCGGGAGTGCTGGGAGCGTGGGAGGCAACGACGATGCACGACAGTGACAGTGGCTAGCGATACTCGCGCAAGGATATTAAGCTCAGAGGAGTTCTAGGTATGTAGATAGTAGCGACGGCACTGCACTGTGCTGCGGGAGGGGAGCATCGTGGAAGCTGCGGAAGCGTGAGGCTCAGGAACAGGCGTGCGACTACGCGCTAGCCGTGCATGCCGAGGGCAAGGCAGCGGCATCCACACTCCACAGTATTGTACATAGACTGGGCGTGCCGGGACGCGGAGCAGTGCGAATCGCTGGTCACGACGCAGGCCACAACGCACGGCGTGGGGATGGGCCGTGGGCACTGCCGCAGCTGGTGCAGTAGCCGATTGCGTACTAGCAGCATGGCGCTCTGCTGGCCGGGCATGTCGTCACGATTCGCCATGGATGTTTTGTAAGCAACGGCTTATCGTGCCCACAGCTAGCGGTGACGGACGGGGCAACGGACGAGGAGCTGCTCAGACAACTGTGCTGCTGACGGTCGCCTGTTCAGACAATTGCGCTGTTGACGACTGCCTGCCAGTCCTATCAGTCCCACGCCATCTGCTGCCCTTGAACCCGCGTGCCCTGCCTGCCATGGCCTCCTCCGACCTCCCCGCGCCCGTCGACCTCTCGCACTATCTGTCGCGCAGCACAAAGGCCCGCGAGGCCTCCAAGGTCAAGCGCTTCTACCAGTACTTCGCCATCCCGGGCATCGGCCAGCTGGCCGGCGGTGGGTAGCCCGGCAGCCCGAGTGCGCGCCGACGGGCCTGGCTGACGCCTGCAGGGCTCCCCAACGACAAGTACTTCCCCTACGACACCCTCGAGGCCCGCGTCGCCCACCCCAACCGATGGACACCGACCCCCAACGCCCCCGTCGACCCGCCTGCCGACGACCCGCCCACCGCGCCCCTTGCCCGCCTGCGCCTGTCGAGCCCGCCGTCCGCGGCGCGCGCCCACGATGAGCCGCCCGCCGCGCGCCTGCTCGTGCCGCACGACGCGCACACGCCCGACCCGATGCACAAGATCGACCTGATGTCGGCGCTGCAGTACGGCCAGGCCCAGGGCTACCCGCCGCTGTACTCGTTCATCCGCCAGTTCACCCGCGAGAACCTGCACCCCACAGTGCCGTACCGCGACGGGCCCGAGGTCATCCTCACCTGCGGCTCGACCGACGGCTTCTCCAAGACGCTGCAGGCCCTCAGCAACGAGTGGGCCGCCGACCACGACCCCGTCGACGAGCGGCCCGGCCTGCTGTGCGAGGAGTACGCCTACATGGGCGCCATCCAGACCGCCCGCCCGCGCGGCCTTAACATCGTGCCCGTCAAGATCGACGACGAGGGCATGCTGGCCAGCGGCCCCGGCGGCCTCGAGGACGTGCTGGAGAACTGGGACTTTGCCCGCGGCCGCCGGCCCCACCTGCTGTACACCGTCACCATCGGCCAGAACCCCACCTCGGGCACCCTGTCTGTCGCCCGCCGCATCGAGCTGTACGCCGTCTGCGTCAAGTACGACATCGTCATCATCGAAGACGACCCGTACTGGTACCTGCAGTTCCCCTCGTCCTCGCCCGGCCTCGCCGCCGCCCCCGCCCCCAAGAAGTCGTCCGGCTTCGACTTCCTCGACAGCCTGATCCCGTCGTATCTGAGCGTCGACTACCAGGGCCGCGTCGTGCGCCTCGACACCTTCTCCAAGACCGTTGCCCCCGGCTGCCGGCTCGGATGGATCACCACCCAGCCCGCCCTCGCCGAGCGCATTCTCCGCATCACCGAGACCTCGACGCAGCAGCCCTCGGGCTTCGTGCAGTCCATGATCGCCGAGCTGCTCATGGGCCCCAACAACTCAAAGGACCCGGGCCGCGGCGGCGCCGCCGACGGCAGCGGCTGGAAGGTCGACGGCTGGGTGCGCTGGCTGGAGGGCCTGCGCGGCAACTACGAGCGCCGCATGCAGGACATGTGCAACGCGCTGGACCGCGGCCGCTCGATCGTCAAGACGGGCCGCCGCCGCTCGCTCAGCTTCGTCGCCGACTCGGACGACGAGTGGGCCGTCGTCGAGAAGACGCACATCTACTCGTTTGTGCGCCCGCTCGGCGGCATGTTCGTCTGGGTGCGCTTCGACTTTAACACGCACCCGCTGGCCGACGACGTGCCGCACGCCCGCCTCAGCCAGGCGCTGTGGGTGCTCTGGACACAGAAGCCGTATCTGTGCCTCGTGGCCCCGGGGTCCATGTTCGCCCCCTCGGAGGAGATTAGGGACAAGGATGCCTACAACTGCGTGAGGCTGTGCTTTGCAGCCTGTCCGGCTGAAGACGTCAAGCCCATTAGCAAGCGCTTTGCCGATGGCGCACAGGCCTTCTGGCGCATTAGGAGCAAGAGTGCCATCGACAAGCTGCTAGAAGACGAAGATGCTGCGGGCGTTGACCATGTTGCTGGCATGGCTATGCTGTCTGGTACGTGTTAGGTATCTTGTAGCTGCGAAAATACACTGCAACGCGCACACATCATCTTGAAGTCCTTGTTTGTCAGAAATGCACGAGTTCATTATCATCCAGCTAATCACACACTGGATGTCTTACTAAAGTAACCTCGAGACTCTTGTGACCACAAAAATACGCTACAACCTAGACATGCAACCATCAGGCCCTTGTTTGACACAGTGGCACGAGTTCATTATTGTCTAGCTAGTTCCGCACCGTCATCTCACCAAGGCAATATCTCGACTCACAGGCCACATGACCAGCACCTCCTTCACATCCTCAAACCTCATCTCGTCCTTCAGGCTCCCCGCGTCGTAGCTCTCCCGCAGCGTCTCCGTGTCAGTACTCATACTCTGCCTCTCCAGCGTGGGAGGCTTCGCATGTAAATCATTCAGCCGGTCTTCGATCTCGCGCTCAAAAGCCTTCTTCCACATCAAATCCTTGTCCTCTGCGTCGCTACTTGCAACCGCGCCAAAGCGGCCCAACAACTCCGCTGACGCTGACCGCATGAATTTGTTGACATTGACAGGCTTGCTAGGCAGCGGCCTAAGCATTGTCGATGACTTGGAGAGTATGGGCTTCCAGCCTATCGCCATGCGCTGTCCGGATCGCGCCTGCTGCGCCGCGGCCACGGCGTCTGGTGCGCTGACAGTGCGCCAGTGCTTCTTTGGGCTCTTACGCTCGGTGCCCGGAATGCGCGTATTGCTTGCGATTGCGCGCACGATATCTGCAGTGCTGGCTCTTTGGTCTGTGCTTGACGCGCCAGTCTTGGACTTATTACTCTCGCCTGCCTCGGAGATGCCACTAAACGAGTTCATAGTATCGCTGCGCGAGCTGCACTCAAGGTGTGGTACTGGCGTCATGGAGCTTAGTCGCTGCGGGCGCGATAGTGACACAGAGCGAGAGTAGTGGTGTCGGTTGGAAAAGCTGCTCATGCTGCGCAGATGCGGTTGCGAGCGTGATGTGCCGATTGATCGGTAAGGAGCTGTTGCATCTGGAAAGATGGCGCGTTGGGCAGACGCTGAGAACTCAATCGGTATCGAATGCGGGACGTATGCCGCTGGAGCAAGGAGTGCATCCGTGCGGGTGGTGAGCGACAATCGGCCACGGTGTGCGAATGGACCCAAAGTAGGTGTTTGGGCCCGAAGCGACGGACTTGTCTCCACTGGTTTCATGAAGGCAGATGGAAGCGGTGGTGGTGCGAATGGGGAAGTGAAGACCCCCATTCGGTCACGAGGAGGCGTCGGAGACTGTACAATCGAAGCTGGCCGGCTGCTGGCATTCAAGTCCAAAGTCTCAACATCCGCATTCGTAGTGTTGGACATTCTTCTCGCGTGGTTGTAAGTAGTCATGCCGTTTCCATAGACCAATTTCTCGGTCCCAAAACGATCGTCAGACGACCATCGAGAAGCCGGCGGCGTTGGTTCAGCATTATTTGTTTGGCGTTGACCATACGCAAAAAGGTGGGCCTCGAAAGGCCGTCTAACAGCAGCCATCATTCCGAATAAGATCAAAGATGCGACACTGCGAGTATGTTAATGAGTGGCCCAAGACGGCGATCGAGAAGACTCACAGTGCAATCGACGCAAATGCCATACCCACGCGGCTGATTAGGCAAGTAATGCCAGCTTCCCAGCTTTGGCCATCAGCCTGGTTAGGAAGGCAGCTAGGCCTTCGGGCAACCATGATCATGTTCCACCCTGCAGTCAATAGCCACAAAACGCATAACGAGACTACCAAGCGGTTCGCGACGTAGGTGGTCTTTTTAATTGTAGCAAGGTCTAGCTGCTGGTAGGTGAGGGCTCTCTGTTTGACGGAGTATGTTGTATGTACAATTGTATACGCGATTGTCACTATGGCCTGGAAACGATTAGTCAAGGACTCGAGACATGCGCAACATTGCTCACCGACACCAGTGTCAATATCCCCGGTAGTATGTTCGAATGATCCCTAGAATCGGAAGCGATCTGAAACAGTGCGATAACACTGCAGATGGCAGAGCTCCAGAATAGGGTATTTAGAATGGCGGTTATCGTAAGTAAGCTGAGTTGCCGATGAGGTGCCGGGTTCTTAATCTTCGAGGCAGCCAGCTCTGGCTCATTAGTGGCAGCTTCATGAAATGATCTGTCGCTGATGCGGCTTAGGCGATTAGTCCTTGCCATGGGGACTGAGAGCGTAGGCGAGCCAAAGAATCTGAGAAGTCTGATCCAGTGACAGTGTCGCAACTAGATTTGCGCAAGAACTAGAGAACTTGGGAATAGCGAGCGCATGCCTGGAGAGATTATCGTGAAGTGACTGTCGAGTTGGTTCGAATGATGTGGTAACGTAGCTGAACGGAACGTGGAGAGTTCAGTTGAAGCTGTTGTGGCGTAGCAAAGGCTGATCGGTGCGGCTGTCAAGATGTCAGATCGACAATATTTCGGTAGTCGTGACAATAGCCATGCAGTGGTACGACCACTAGAATAGCGCTGTTTCCATTCCAAAGGGGTGTTGAAGCAATGTTCTAGCAATTTGCGAGGCGGGAAGTTTGTGCGACCATCAAGGAATGTTGTCGAGCGAGGTAGTCGCCTCCCTCCTCAACAGCGCGCTACGGTCCAAAATCGAACCGCATGCAAACTTTACTCAGTTGCGTTGGACCTCGTACATGCACATGTGGCGGGATCTGGGGTTCCATGTCGAAGTCATGACCCGAGCGACAGGCAGTCGCACCTGTGCTGCGACGAAATTTACTTCCTCCTGACCGTTGCTCCAACTTCGCCCCGGCAGGTCGACGTTGCTACAATGCATCTGCCACACCAGCGGTGGTCAATATATGCTCGGCAGTGTTCCAGAGATTCTTCGTCGATGCAGACAACGTATGTACGTTGTAAATCGTAGAGACTCAACTGGGTGTGTATGTGAGTGGAGCATATATCAGTATCCGCAACCTCCTGGATGGGTAATGTCCTGGCTCATAGTATGAGAAGCAATACCAGGAGAAGGATCAAAACGAATATCAGGACCGCGATGCAGCAGCTCGACCATTTATCTTGAAGAATAGTGTCAGCGGATTTCAGGGCGGTGGTTTATATAAACATACCCTCGTTCTTTCTTATGATGGTGTTAACCTTCTTCATACCCGTCTGCAGCTTGCCACCAACCCTGTCGGCCACTGTATCGACGTCTCGAAGCATTTCGCCCTGCTCTTCCAGTTCGCGACCCATGTCGTCAGCCTGCATGCGCAGGTTACCTACGGTGCGAAACACACCATCAAGGGCTTCATCTTGATCATTCATGATTTGCATCTGCTGTTCTTGCTCGAATTGCGCGTAATTGTCTTCGTTCTCCTCAAACGAATCAGGGTCGGGAAGCGCATTGCCCTTCTGCTGCGCATCATGCACTGTCTGCTGAAGCGCCACGTGCATGTTCTCGATCTCATCACCCACCTCCTTCACCAGTCTCCTACGGCGCTCCACCTCGTCAATCTCAAGTCCAAATTTGTAGGGATCATGCTCGACGGCTTTGACGCTTTCGACAAGGTCTTCGAGGTCTTGGCTGAGATCCTGCAGAGTCTGTTCGAGCTCCTGGCGGGCTTCTCGAAGCTCCGGGCTGCTCGCTGATGACGCCGAGGATCGTATGCGAAGGTAGGATTTGAATAACGGTCGTGATGTGTTGAGCGCTGAGAGAACATCTCTGTGACATGTGTCAATCCAGCTGCCTGCTTCGGGTTGGATATGCTTACGCCTGGACCTGGAGGAACGGGTCCTCCTCGTTCGATGAAGCCATCATTTTGGTTGCAAGTAACTGTCAGTTGCAAGCACGCTGCAGAAAAGGGGATTCGTGTGATGACGTCTGGAAAGCTGTTGCGGCGGAGCTCGGGAGTGCTCCAAACGCGTCAGCGATACCAGGTACCGATACCCCAGAAGCCGCACGGGCCACACACTATGTACCAAAAAAGCGCCTCGAGTCAGCGAAAAGAAACACCACAATCACTGCCATGCGGTTGGAAATACACAAACATCCGAAACAATCCAGACTCAAGGTGCCAGGAAGGGGCTTCGGTTGAAATCATGGGTCCGGAACAGCCACTTCCACTACCTGCCGAATTTGACAACGTCGACACCTATGTCGCGTCGCTTCTGCAGTTCAGCACTTCTTCATGGCTCCTACAAACGCTATGTGGAGGTGTCCACGTGCTCGATTTCTACACACGCACGCCGGATCTCTATTCCACGATATTGCCGCAACCATGGAGGGACTGGTTCAAACACCGAGACATCATGGATGTCCTAGATTTGCTCATGCGCGAAGATCTGACTCAATTTGACGACCAAACTTCAACCTGGCGAAACGGTCCAAGTCCACCAAAAGACTTAGTGCAGTATATCAAGGATGTACGAAAGCATTTGCTTGCTCGCGATTTCCCTTCGTCGGGCTCCGCACCGCAGCCTGAGAAGACAGCCTTGTCAAGACATATCACCATGGGCATGAAGGTCAAAAAAGTACACGAGGTTGACAACTTTGCACGCTACCTCAACCAACTGACATCTGATATTGAAACATCTGGTAAGGCGCCCATCACTCATCTAGTAGATTTCGGTTCTGGCCAAAACTATCTTGGCCGTGCACTTGCTGCTCAGCCCTACTCTAAGCACATCGTGGCCGTCGAGAGCAGACCACACAATATCGAGGGTGCGAAGAACATGGATGTTCTTGCCAAGCTGGTGGAAAAACCTCTCGTTATGAGGAACAAGAAGGAATATCGAGCGTTGACCGGCAAGGGCAAGAAGAAGAAACCAGAAGCTGCCCGCCTCAGCACCTCTCCAGCAGCCATCAAGACTGAGCCGGTCGGTACCGCACATACCCCGACTCTGCCTGACGTTAGAACCACCACGATCCCCGATACTTCTGAGAAAGCTCCTAACGTCCACACAAATACCTCTGTTGCTGTGAATTGCGACAGTGGGGAATGCAATGTCGAGCACTCACAGCCGTCGGACAAACAGAATAGCCCAGAGAGAGAAGGGACTGTCCAGCGCGACTCGAAGGGGAGCTTTGTCAAGGAGTCCAAACCCAGTACTACCAATCTCCAGATCTACTCAGAAGGTCATGGTAGCGTACAATATGTGGAACACATCATTAAGGATGGTGATCTGCGTCCTGTAATCGATCAAGTCCTTGATTCTTCGCTTGTTTCAGAAGAAAATACCACATCAACCTCCACAACCACTGAGATGCCATCAGACCTGACGAAGGTGCCCAAACCGACGAAAGTCAACGCCATGGTCATGTCCCTGCATTCTTGTGGCAATCTCGTTCACTACGGACTCCGCTCCCTCTTGTTAAGTCCAGAGATATCCTCAGTAGCAATGGTAGGCTGTTGCTACAATCTTGTCACAGAACGTCTCGGCCCTCCGACATACAAGCTTCCAACGCTACGACCCAATCATCCTCGTTTAGAGGCAACCGCAAACGCCTTCGACCCCCAAGGCTTCCCCATGTCTGAGAAGCTTGCCGAATATCCTATCCCGCAGCCACCCACGTTGAGTGCTCCGTCCCCTGATGTAGCTACCGAGTCCACTGGCGCCAAAGGTCTGCGCCTAAACATAACTGCGCGCATGATGGCTGTGCAGGCACCATTCAACTGGGGCCGAGCCGATAGCGAGACATTCTTCAGTCGTCACTTTTTCCGAGCCCTGCTACAGCGTATCTTCCTCGACCGCGGCATCGTGTCGGCGCCGGTTGACGCAAGCAACTTCCCTGATCCCGTTTCAGCAAACGGGCATACGAGTCACGTCAACTGGACGCCGCCTAACGGTCGCGGGCCCGGCCTGAGCTCGGACGGTACAAGCACACCATTGACGATTGGCACGCTGCGCAAGTTTGCCTATGGCGATTTTGTGTCTTACGTCCGCGCCGCCGAGGCCAAATTGACAGCGCCCAATTCCTTCTGCGAAGTTGATCCGAACTTCATCAAGAGCAAGATGGACGGCTTGACCGACGATGACATTCGCGATTACGAGGCCAGGTTCTATGAGCGCAAGAAAGAGCTGAGTGTCATGTGGAGCTTAATGGCATTCAGTGCGGGGGTTGTCGAGGCTGTGATTGTAACAGACCGGTGGTTGTGGTTGAAGGAGCAGTCAGTAGTTGAGCATGCATGGGTCGAGCCAGTGTTTGAGTATAAGCATAGTCCTCGGAACCTGGTCATTGTAGGGATCAAAAAGTGAAAGATCGGCTGGTTAGGCACTAAGATATTTGAATTGCATGATTTGTGTTGTGGGATAGGGTGTCACAAGTGTTGACACGCCCCCATTGCGCGACTGAATCTACGAGCTGCCCTTGCAAACACGAATTTTTATGGACCTCAACGCAGCTTCAATCTGGAACACCAACTTCGTGCTCAGGCACCAGATGTCAGTGTCACACCATACCCTCACCCGAGCGAGAGTTTTCCTACCAACTCATCATGCTGCATCAGCAGCTGCGTAACGGCACCTCAATTCAGTCTCCCAAGCAATGCCGATCCCTCTTGCGAATCAATTTCGTTAGGCACATATGCCGATTTACCCGGCTGTCCTGCATAAGTACACACCGTAGTATTTACACAGCCATGACAGAAGCCCCACCGTCAAGTGTAACCCTCTTCCTGACACGCACCTTCATTAAGCGTCCGACCGCCTTCACCAAGCTTCCGTCGTCATTTTGGGCCAACACTACACTTGGAGAATAAACCAGTGCTTCACCTGTGTCGAGGCTCTCGATTTGCTGCATGACACCGTTTCCACCGTCGACAACATTAATGTGCTTCCTCAACGCATCATACCAAGTAGGGCTTGTGAAGCGGTGCATGATAGTTATTGAGCACAGTGCAATGAGATCTGTCGCGATAGTAGGTTCCTGGGTGGAGATGACCACACGAGCACCTTGATGGCGCTGCAAACGAATGACCTTCGTCAGGTAGTCCGTGAGGATCTTGGATCCTGAAGTATCCAGCATATACTTGATGTTGTGAGCAGAGTTTTATGGGAAGAGAAGGCCATCTGACTTACTTTGTGTGCTTCGTCTAACACTATATCTTGCCAGGTACTGAAGATTGCAGGAAACGCTCCAATGCAAGCTTGAAGAGGATGCAAGCTGTGCTGGTCGTAAGGAATGGATCGGAGAGATCGATGATGGTGATTTCCCCGGGGCTGAAGTCTGGTTCTGATGCGGTACCATCGAGGTCAAGGAAGGATTCCAGTAAGTTCATCCGCATCTTTAGCATGGTGGTTTGCACAGGGTCAAACCTCTCAGCCGCAAGTCTGCGCTTGAATTCAAGATAGTTCAGAGTTCCACTTACGCTCTTAGAGGCAATTTTGCGCAGTATGGCTTCTACTGTGGCCATGTACAAGGGCATGGTTGATTTCTCGTTGACAGCCATCAAAGTATGCAGAGTGCCGATGTCAAGGGTCTCGGCTTTCAGCCGAAAGGGAATCATCTCAACATTTGGAAAACGCTCGTACAGTTTTTTGATGGCAGCATTTGATGGTGAATACAACACAGTTATCTTCTTAGCGTGGTGATCTGGAAAGTCCGCATGTGAAGCTCCAAGGAAGGTTGCTTCACTGATATCAAAGCCGGCACCACCATTGCTCCATTCGCCGTAGCTGAACACTAACGAAGAGACAGGACTTTCGAGATGGCCAATATTCGGCGATCTAAGAATTGCGTTTTCCAGGATGCACGATGTCGTATGGCTTTTTCCACTTCCCTGGACACCGCAAATGAATGCCGAGAACGGGACGTTCGTGTTCAAGGACAATTGAGAATTGAGGGTATCAGAACGGCCGTCCTCGAGGCTTCCAAGTAAGCCAAATTGCGGCACTAGGTCTTGGTAGTGTGTGGTAATGATATCCTCTGTGAGCAGAGGAGCCTGGCGAATGCTTCGCTCGATTGAACTTGTGTTCATACATCCTGCCGCATCTTTTCTTTGGTCGACGAGCAATCTCGCGAATGAACGAAAGTCAGGTGCTCTCTTTTGGATAGTAGCTTGGCTGACATGCTGATTTCCAGTAAGACTCGGGCTCGCCACCGTCGAATGAGGCTGAGTGAGAGCAGTGATGGGCTGTGTTCTGAGGTGTTCTCGGCTTCTTTCGTTGGTAGATACATCTTTGGTTGCCTGAGCAACAGTAGCGATACTGGTTACATGTTACTGCGAGACTCTCGACCGCGAATTGATGTCTCACCTAGCAAAGATTTTGATGATGCTCCCCCTTTCATTGCCGGGCATCATAGATTGCAGGTGCGCGAACACTGCTTTGCCGTCCAGGAATCGGCCCTGTTCGTCCCGAGGGAACTTTTGACACAGAGCAACGCAGGCTTCCTTGTGGAATCTGTACATTGTCAGTCGTACCATCGATAACAGCAGTCAGATCGCTAACCTCTTGAGTGCAAACTTCAAGTCTGGATTGGAGTTCGGGTGTGTCTTGTGCATCATCTGTCGAAACCTATCAAAATTGACAGGATGCCGTTGAACGCCGTCGATATTGCAATGGAGTTTCCGAAAGGTGTCTCTTACTAAGTCATCCATCTCACTTCGTGCTGAGTGGTTTTATGCACTCAGGCTTTCGGCTCTATCACAAGTCGTTGCGAGGGTGTGATACTTATAACTGCCGTTTTTGCGTTTGCTCAAACCCAAGAATATCCCAGAGCAATCAATGCGCATCGCAACATCTTTGTCTGAAATGGCAATGAATGCATTTTCACCAAGGTGAGCAACACCAAAGTGTTTGCGCTGGTACCGACTGGAACTGCAAAGTTTGATCGGCCTGGAGAGGGAAGCCTGCCTTGTTTGCCATGGAGCCTTCAAAGATGGCTTGCTCAAAGTCGCCCATTGGTCATCAGAGAATGGAAACGAACTAGTAACTTGATAAAACATCCTGTGATAGAGGCGCCGATTAAGTTTCTGTGTTGCTAACAGTCATATTTTTGAAATTATCGTGCCAATATAGTGCATGGCGGAATGCAGTGGGGTCAGTCTTAGACGTCGCAATATCTGATTCTATTCGATGTCGTCGTTGAACCCTTTGATCGCACATCAGTTGCGTAAATTCACATCAGCACCTTGGTCAGCGCCTCCTTCAAGCCCCTCTCATCCAGCCATTCCTCAACGGCCTTCATGTCGCCTCGATTTTGTCTCTGACCTCTTCTCTCGCCCACTGTGTCCGTAATTTCGGACATGTTGCTGAAGACTCTCTCGGCGGTCTCGCGATAGCGCTCGCTGACCTTTTTGTGGTGCGCTGGGATGTCACCCCAACTCTCAGTCTTGATGAAGCGCATATACTCGTCGATGCTTTGGGAGCCGCCTTCCACGCACAACAAGCCTGGTTTGCCAGCGAATAAGAAACCGGTGAGGTTGTATGCAGGAGCAAACTTGATGAAGTCGTCACGCTTGGAGCGCGTGCTGATAGAGGGAAAGTAAAACCAGACTCGTACGAGGGGTCCACTATCGAAGTCAGATGCAGTTGCGGTCGTTTGTGTTTGGAGGGTGTCCTCGTGTGCTTTTACGGCTGCGTCTCTGATGTGTTCGATGGTGCTGAGCAAGTCACTCTCTTCAGGCACCGCATCCTGGAGCTGATTTGTGGCAGCTCTGCTCAGCCAAGATGGCTGCTGGATCCGGACCTTGATTTCCGGTGGTTCGTCAGGACTCTGGGGGGTTTCAAAGGTAAACGGTACAGTCAGGTCAAGCTGTATCGATACCCCTGTCGCACCGACACCCTCCTTGATAGACAGCTGCAGTGTCATTGATACCACAGGCGCGACACTATAGTCAACAGACCCGCCATCATCAACGGCGATGCGTAGAGTATCGAGTGCTTGTGCTCCATGATTGTCAAGCGTGATATCCTCTGGATACATGGCCATCAGTAGATCGATTTGCCCAATCTGAAGCTCCAACAGATCAGATGGTAATAAATGCCACGTCGAATTAGCCATCGTTTCGTGAGCGCGATTGTGACGACTATCGGAGTTGCGATCGTAGCGCACTTTGTGAAGGAGTTTTAGCGCCCCGCTACTGTATCGCACCTCCCTGTCCATTAGCGCGGCACTCTTCAAAACGCGTCTATCTACGATCGGAAAAGTGTTTGAACAGCTGCAGATGCTGGTTTGGAGTCTCTTTAAAGCGCGCTAGAACTTGGTAGCTAATAAGCCAGTCAGGACATGCTGTAGTAAAGCTTCGTATGCGTAGTATTCTATAAGAGCAATGACGATTGAGATCAGTTGACAAGGATGGAGAAGTCTGCTATGCGCCAACACGTATAGTAGGAAACATGCGCCGTGATAGTATAATGGGGTTATAATGGGGTCGTTACAAAACGCTGTCAATATAATATGCCATGTGTAAGCGCGAATTCGCGATATGCAGTTCCCTTCGTATGCTTCGTGTCATCGTAACCGCGTTGCAAGGGACAGTTCAAACTTCAATGCTGAGATCGTAGCATGATCGGGTTGGGAGAAGGTGAGCGACCTCGGAGAGCCGGTGAGCTGGGTCGCAGCATGGGGCTGGCGGCTGCACTCAGCGCGTCAAGACTCAGCTTGCTGATTGCTTCTAGATTGCCTTGAACATCATCCTCTGTCAAATCAAGCATCAGTCGTAGCTCGTTGGCCTTGAGTTGGTCGCCAAGTCCGATCATCAGCTGCTCCTTTGCGTCGCCATCAGTGACATCGTAGTAGAACCACCGATACTTCAAATCAGATAGGCTGTGCGGCTCCATTGGTGTTGTGATCTTGGCCGTGACACGTCTGACATCCATACCAAATACACCAGATATTTGAGGATCGCTTCCAATTCCTCCAAGACTCGAGTCCGAAGATGCTGGCACTTGTAGTGACTTCGGGACCTTTGCGCCTTGCTCGATCGGCTGCTCCTTCAATCGGTTCGAGGCGCCGGAGTCTTGGAGCCTCGCCCGCTTGAAGACAGCGTTCTTCAGTTCTGTGATGCCCAGAACGATGTATAGCGGCTTACCCGCCTTCACTGTGTTGTAGATCCAAGTACGCGCTTCAGGATCATTGCACACAGCTTGGACGGCTGCTATAGGGTCCTGGCTTGTACGTTGGACCATCTGCTCAGCTTTCACTGTGAGCAAGTTCGTCTGCCTGTATACTCGTCCAAGCTCGAACTTGGCGCCATAGTTGGTGAGGAAACGACCCTCCTGGTCCAAGCTGTATAGATCCTTGTAGCGAAGCTGGATGTGGTAGTCGTTGAGGTCGTCGACTGCTTCGTGCGCTGTGTTCGAGTAGAAGCATTCGCGTTCGGGGTGGAGTGGATGCGTTAGGAGTTGGCCGACTGAGCTCGTTAGCTTCGTCGGAGCTGTGGGGTGACTTAGGTACCCATCAACATGTCCGAAGGGAGAGGCTTTGGAAGGAGACCGTGCAGCACCATTATTGCAGATTTACAGGTATGTCAAGATCTGAATCGTGAAAGGATCGAGAGAGAAGAAGTGAGAACGGGCTTGGACAATGTAGATCTCTCGGGACAGAGTGAGAGTGAGCAAAGCCCGGAGCTGGTGAGGCACAGCACCAGCTTGGCCGCGGGCTTGGCCTGATTGGCCAATATCTCAGACATCGCGCCCACGTTAGACGCTGCGACGCTGATATTGGACGAACTCGGACTCCGATGAAAGCACGAAGGGCTTGGACGGCGTCAAAGCCTGGCAAGGCGCTCAGGACAATTCAACCCTGTCACGTGCTGGCGCTGAGGAATGCTATCTAGGTAACCCTAGTATCTTGGATCTTGCGTCCTTTTCCGAGGACACAAGCGGAGATCGGCCAACATGAGCCTTACTCTACAGCCCACGCCAAGGCGGAGCAGCGAACGGTGATGCAGTGAGTGTACCCCATACTGGAGTCAGGCTACGCGTGCGGCTGGCTTCACTAAGTGGCACAATACAGTGATCATCACGATCATCCGCAGCCTCCATGATGCATACTGTAACCTCCAACTCAGCCCCCGACACGTTCGAGATTGGTTCTTTGCTGCACGTTGGACTTGCGCAGCCTGTGTTTACTGGTCGCGGAGTTTCTCGGGGCTATATTCCGCAGTTCTCACATTCAACTTCCCCTCCTTTGGCTTGCGCGGGCGTTTATGTACGCAGGGTCTAGGAAAAAGCACGTCTGGAAAAAGACGAGCAATCAAGTAGCCTCTATCAGAGTCTGACAGATCCGTGGGGAATCAGATTAGTAAGGCTGACTGTTGTTCCCATGTTATCCTGTCTCCCGTTTGGGAAAGACGATATAACATTTCCAAGTCTTAGTCAACGTGCAGAGCGAAGGACGAACGGTCAACTTCGGAAAGAGCATTCGAGCTTGCAAATGGACTTGACCCGCGTCGCCTGCGCCGCGTCTATCCCGAAGTGCCAATAGCTGACCTGCAAATGAGAGAAGAAGAACGGGTCTCGACGGCTTGCTAGCACGCATTGATACAGTAGTGTGGCAGCGAGCACCAATCTCTCTGTCCTCAGGTTTCGAAAGTAGACTACCCATCAGGCCATGCGTGGGAGAAATTCTGAGAAAGTCGGCGAAGCTCCAACAAATAGCTTTATCGATTAGGAGGGAGGGGTAGACAACACGATCAACGTCACAACTCAACCCACTCAGGCCCACTTCAGCCTCCGTCTAAGGTTAGCTAACAGCTACTATCGCCGCAGTAAGCCCACATTTAGATATCGTTGGCGAATCACCGCCGCTTTGTGACGTTGAGCATGAAGCCACACGTCACTCTTGGCCAGGCCACTCGCCAATAGTAGGAACTTGGGTCTCAACTTTTCGGCGTCGAGAGAGTACTTGAACCCCTCGTGCCCCTCGCAAGAAAGATCATCTTCAGCAACTTCACCTGAACTCAATTGCACTTTCTTCAACTTCATACCCCTTCTTTATACCAAACAAACGTCATCATGGTCCCAATTCCCCAGGCCGACGAGCTCAAGGACCTTTTCAGCCTTAAGGGCAAGGTTGTCATCGTCACCGGTGCCTCTGGCCCTACCGGCATCGGTATCGAGGCTGCCCGTGGTTGCGCTGAGTATGGCGCTGACCTCGCTATCACATACAACTCTCGCGCCGAGGGTGCCGAGAAGAACGCTAAGGAGCTGAGCGAAAAGTACGGCGTCAAGGTCAAGGCCTACAAGTGCCAGGTTGGCGTCTACTCTCAGTGCGAGGAGCTCGTCCAGAACGTTGTCAAGGACTTTGGCAAGGTGGACGTCTTCATCGCCAACGCCGGCAAGACCGCCGACAACGGTATCCTCGACGCTACCGTTGAGCAGTGGAACGAGGTCATTGAGACTGATTTGACCGGTACCTTCAACTGCGCACGTGCGGTCGGTCTTCACTTCCGCGAGCGCAAGACTGGTTCTCTCGTCATCACTGCCTCCATGTCTGGCCACATCGCCAACTTCCCTCAGGAGCAGACTTCCTACAACGTCGCCAAGGCTGGCTGCATTCACTTGGCCCGCTCGCTTGCCAACGAGTGGAGGGACTTTGCCCGTGTCAACTCCATCTCGCCCGGATACATTGACACCGGTCTGTCCGACTTCGTCCCCCAGGACATTCAGAAGCTGTGGCACTCGATGATCCCCATGGGTCGCGATGCTAAGGCCAAGGAGCTCAAGGGCGCCTACGTCTACTTTGCCTCTGATGCTTCCTCCTACTGCACTGTAAGTTTTCCCAGTGATCATGATCTTTACCAGGCATTGACAATAACAGGGCTCCGACCTCCTGATCGATGGTGGTTACTGCGCCAGGTAAACGCGTCGCCCCACCAATAGAGAATGGGTCCGACAGCGAAACGAGTTTTCTTGGAATAATGATACCTTCCTCTGCCCTAGTCGCACAAAATAAATAATAGCCACAGACAGCTTGTGAACACACTGCGTCCTCGACCACTTCGTCTTCTCTTTTTTTTCGCATGATTGCATCGTGATTGTCTACGGAAGAGCGCGGGTAACTATGGCAATCGAGAAACCAGGATGGAGCTTCTGCAAGAGCCCCACCAGCTGCCGATCGACGATACATACCCCGCACTGACTCGCCTGTCAAGCTTCCAACGGCCCGCGGCAACGCGACAACTGCGCTGCACCCGAAAGCTGCTCATTACTTACAGCCATCATGGCCAGGAGCACCAATGCGCACACAACATGTCGTTCCCGCCTACGAAGCCTGCACCCGCCCCCTCCGTGAAACCATCGCTGAAGAAGGAGACGTTCGGCAATCTCGGCCCCTGGGCTGAGCCATCTTGGTACTCTTCGCTCGCGTCACCCTACTACAACGAGTCACACAAACAGCTGCGCAATGCCCTGCGGACGTACATTGACGACAATGTGAAGCCGTACATGTTGGAATGGGAGGAGAAGGGCGAGGCACCGGTAGCAGAGCGCAGGAAGTGGGCTCACTCTGGCTTCGCGTTTGGAGACGTGCCTGAGCCATACAGGCCGCGAGATGTACCAGGGCCGGCCGGCATACCTGTAGGGGAACTGGATGTCTTCCACCTGATGGTGTCGACAGACGAGGGCAGCCGCATCGAAGGTGGTGTGGGCACTGCTCTTGGCGGTGGAAGTGTGATCGGCGTTCCGCCCATCGTGCACCATGGCACCGAGGAGCAGAAGCGCAAGTGGTTGCCGGGGCTATTCACATGGGAGACAAGCTTCTGTCTGGGTATTACGGAACCGAGTGGTGGCGTAGGCAGCCCAACTCCTTGCTTCTAGGACACACTGACACCGCGACAGTCCGATGTCGCCAATCTACAAACGACCGCAAAGAAAACCTCCGACGGCCAGCACTATATCGTGAACGGCTACAAGAAGTGGATCACGGGCATGCCCACCGCGACACATATGACGACCGCTGTACGAACAGGTGGCCCAGGCATGAGCGGCATCTCGGTCATTGTTATCCCCGTCAACGCGAAGGGCTTCACGTGGCGACGCATACCAAATAGCGGACAGAACGGCGGCGGTGCTAGCTTCGTCGAAATGGACGACGTCCATGTTCCTGTTGAGAACCTCCTCGGCAAGGAGAACGAAGGCTTCCGCATCATTATGACAAACTTCAACAAAGAGCGATTCATAATGTCAATAGGCTGCAACCGCAAGGCGCGGACCTGTCTGTCTGAATCGTTCAGCTACGCGAATAAACGTCACACCTTTGGCAAGCCGTTGATTGCGAATCAAATCATCAGCCATAAGCTTGCGACCATCGGACGGTACGTGGAGAGCCATTGGGCCTGGCTCGAGCAGCTTGCGTACCATATCCAACAGTCACCGCTAGGATGGCAAGACCCCGAGATCGCTGGGCAGATAGCGCTATCGAAGGTGCATGGCGGTCGCATCTTGGAGATGGCGAACCGTGAGGCACAGCAGATCTTTGGCGGAGCTGGGTATCAGAAGGGCGGGCCTGGGGCTATTGTTGAGCAGATGAGTCGCGATCTTAGGATGATGGTATGTTGATAGTCCTTTCTAGTGATGGATGTATTACTAACGTCAACTGCAGGTGGTTGGTGGTGGCAGCGAAGAAATCATCGCCGATCTAGCTGTTCGTCAAGAGACTGCGTTGGCGAAAAGGAGAGGCTGGAAACTCTAAACATGCGGTCCCATTAATGAACCCCGCCTGATGCTTGCAGGATCTGCAGCCGTGCAGCCATGACAAACATGTACATCCTTGTGTACCTGCCTCTTTACTGATGTTTCAGCGCGCGGAGTAACTTTAATTGGCTAACCTTGCATGTCTTAAATCCTCAACCCTTGTCGACGCATCGATGCTCTCCTCCTTTCTTCAGTCTCGTGTGACTTCCAGCGTTGTGGTCGCGTTGACGACACGAACCTTGACGTTACACGGCATCCCGCCCTGTTAGGCACGCAAGCCATATATGAGTCTTCAGCCTCCTTGTCTTCATATGTCAGCTTACAACCTTCAAGCACAGACCACAATGGGGAAGCTGATCTTGCAATCGTCTTTATCGCTATTCATGGCAACGACAAGCCTTGTCATTTTGCCTGTGACTACAGCTTTCGATGTGTCAACAACAACCATCGCCTCCTGGAAGGTAGCCTCTACCAAAGATGTCGGGATCAACACTTCAAAACTGTCAGCACCAGATCTGAATACTTCGTTGTGGTACACTATCGGTTCCAGGAATACACTGATGGCAACATTGATTGACAATGGCGTCTACAGTGAGGAATCGCTCTTCTTCACAGATAATCTGCAAGACATCGACATTGCGCAATTTCGACTTCCGTGGTTCTATCGTACAGAGTTTGATCATAAAGAGGGTAGTGGCGCCTTTACACAGCTCATTACGAATGGCATCTCGTCACGGGCAGACATATGGCTCAACCGACAATACCTTGGAGGGACCGTTGGCGCGTACGCTGGATCCGCTTTGGACATGACTTCTGAGATCAAAGACGGGGTCAACGTTCTTCTTGTAAAGGTGTATCCTACAGACTACAATCGCGACTTTGCTCTCGGCTTCGTGGACTGGAATCCATACCCTCCGGACAATGGTACGGGGGTCTGGCGTGATGTCCAGATCAAGAAGTGCGGGCAGATCAGTTTGGGGAAGCCGCGGGTAAGGACTACCTTGGCCGGTGATGTTGACTTCTCAGTCAGCCTGAAGAACCTGGGCAAGGAATCGCTTCAGGGCAGAGTGCAGTGTGCTGTGACAGATCCTGATGGTCGAGAGCTTGGGAGACCCCATACACCCTTTGCTACGGATGGTCAAGACTCGGGTCTAGTTGCATTGCACCTTAAGGTCGACAACCCGAAGATTTGGTTCCCCTCTCAGTGGGGTGATCAGCCGCTTTACAGCGTTCAATGCACCGCTACCAATATGAGCGACACAAATGTGTCGGCAGTATACGATCAGACGGCAAAAACTCGATTCGGCATTCGTACGGTGACTGCTCAGCTCAATTCACACAATGACACTGTATTCTCGGTCAATGGTGAGCCTTTCCAAGTCATTGGAGCGGGGTATACATCCGACATGTTCCTACGATTTGACATGGAGAGGCTGCGCACGCAGTTCCAGTATGCTCTAGACATGGGTTTGAACACCGTCCGTCTTGAAGGCAAGCAGGAACATCCCGAACTGTACGACTTGGCAGATGAGATGGGTATTATGCTACTGCCAGGGTGGGAGTGCTGCGATAAGTGGGAAGCATGGACTTACAATGAGGAAAGAAGTGGTGAAAGTTGGGACGATGAGGACTATGAGACTGCGGCTAAATCTATGGCGCATGAAGCAAACATGATGCAGAATCATCCCAGCGTGATGGGATTCATGGTCGGGAGCGACTACTGGCCTGACAACAGAGCGACTGATCTGTACGTCAACACGCTTAGAGGTTTCAACTGGACTACTCCTATCATCGCATCGGCGTCTCAACGAGGTTATCCTGCTCGACTTGGAAACGGTGGCATGAGAATGGCTGGTCCGTACGACTGGGTACCACCAAACTACTGGTACGATACTGATAACGGCAACGACACACATCTAGGTGCGGCATTTGGCTTTGGATCTGAGCTCGGTGCTGGAGTTGGCACACCGGCGCGTGGCAGCCTGAACAAGTTTCTTTCTTCCACTGACCTCGATGATCTTTGGAAGAACCCAGACAAAGGACTTTATCACATGAGCACCAACGTATCCTCTTTCTATACACGTTCCATCTACAACGAGGCACTATACAAGCGCTATGGTACACCTAAGAGTCTAGACGACTATCTCCTCAAAGCACAGATGTCAGACTACGAAGCTACGAGAGCGCAGTTCGAAGCGTACGTTTCACGTTGGAGTGCGGAGCGCCCTGCAACAGGCTTGATCTACTGGATGCTCAACAACGCTTGGCCAAGTCTACACTGGAACCTGTTTGACTACTATCTTCACCCCGGCGGCAGCTTCTTCGGTACAAAAGCCGCACTTGGTAATCTTGAATCAGTCACGTTCGATTACCACTCCCAAGATATCTACTACGCGAACCGTGCTCTACAGTCTACCACCGGTGACGATGCAAGGCATGTCAAAGTCGACCTGATCGATCTCTCTGGCAAGACCATACTTTCAGGAACCCTCCAATCAGACAACCAGGAACCTTTGAGGGCGGTGCCAAACTCAAGCAAGCGTTTGTGCCACCTTCCTCAGCTCGAGAATACGACCTCCGTCGCCCTCTTACGCCTCACTCTAAGCTCTGTCAAAAATGAAGAACCACTGAGTCGCAATGTTTACTGGGTTGCACCTCGTAGTGATGTTCTGGACTGGGATAACTCGACCTGGTACCACACGCCTGTGACATCGTTCTCAGACTTGACTGCCCTGGAGACGATGGACAACGCCACAATTGTGGTACGTGGGAAGGGCAAGAGTTTACAGATTGAGAACACAAGTGATGTACCTGCAGTTTTTGTAAGGTTGAACCTTGTTGATAAGGATGGCAACGACGTGGTCCCCGTGGATTGGGAAACAAACTACATCACACTCTGGCCAAAGGAGAGTTACGATGTTGCTGTGAGTGCGGATAGTGGGCTGAGCATCGAAGATCTGCGCGTGCAGATTGATGGGCGTAACGTGAAAAGGAGGACGGTAAGACTAAATGGGGGAACGCAGGTTTTAGAGGGCGATGGATTCAAGGGTTGAACGCGGTGCTGGCGCGATCGTGACAGGTCGAAGCTAGATGTCGACACAGAGAGTAATGCAGTCTCTAGTTTTGTTGTAATGACCAATATCTTCGACCCACACCAGACATTCATCTGGGTTCACAGCAATACCAAAACCAGATCATTCATCGTGGATTGGATATCATAACAAAATACAGCTGAGTAGCAACCGCAAGAGTTCATCGCTACCCCTTTCTTTCTATCAATGTTAAAGCAAGCACGCAGCTCCGGCACAGCCTTCGCGCAGCGCTCTGAAAGCACGCACACGCAAGAACCAAATCGTCCAAATGCAAAAGTCACCAAGCCCGCCACCAGCGCTATATACCAGAAAACGAAACCCAATGTTCCCAAACGCTCATACACACCAGGGGCCCATTGGCGCTGTCAAGCAGCAGAATCTCAACGCTCAAGAGTGCAATGCGGACGCCGCCCATGCTGCTTCGTGATAAGAATGATCAGAGGAGCAAGATGTTGCTGCGGGCTAGACACAATAGAGTGCGTCTAGTGCATCTCGCGGCGGCGATGCGCGTGTGCGTGCCTGCGCGCCTTACGGTACGCGGCGTCGACGGTGGTGGTGATGACGATCTCCTCAATGGCAACTTCATACACGATGCCGCCCTCGGTGTAAATCTTGGTGGAGATGATGCTTCCCTCCGGATCCGCAGCGTCATCAAGAGACGGGCTGGGAGTGACAGCAGGTGCGGCGGGTGCGGCCGACGAGGAGGCAGCGGCCTGGCTGGGCATGCTGATCTCAAGAAGGTCGGTGTTGTACGGACCCTTGGCGATGGTGGGCTTCACATTGTACACGCTGACGCCGTAGGAGTTCTTGGAGCGCGCGGGCTCGTAGCTCTGTGTGGGCACGGGCGCGACGGACGACGTAAGAGACGCGCCGCCTGACGGCTTCTCGGTGGCACCGGGGTTGAGCGCATGGGCGTATTCTGGGCCGTACTGAACAGGGACGTTACCGCAAAGACCGTCAGAGGGGCCGCCGCAGTCGTCGTCGAGCAGAGCAGTGGGGATGTCCTCGATCTTGCATTCGCCCTGCTCGGCCTCGGTCTGTAGGGATGAGGTGAAGTGCTGGCAGTCCTCGACGCGACCCGAGAGGTTTGTGCAGTCGTTGACGGCGGCACGCAGGACGTCGGAATTCCATCCGTTGATGAAGTCAGCGTGGTACCCGTAGCCGGTTGGGTCACCGTTAGACCACACAAACTGTCCAGATTTGCCCTTGAAGGCGTATGTGTTCCAGATGGTCTCGTAGAAGAGGGAGGGGAGACGGGTTTCAAATCCCTCGGGGCACTTGCCACCGTCGATCATGTTGGGGTATGCCATGTGAGACTGGTGGTCATCAGATGTGACGTCTTTGCCGTTCCAGCAGGAGGGGAAGAAGATCTCGGCGCGGATACCGTTGGCGCAGTTGGTGTCAAGGAAGTCCTTGTCTGGCATGAAATGGCGGTAGCGAGAACCTTCGGGCGCGCGACCGTAGTTGAGGCAGTTGAAGCCGAGCGACTTCTGCATGAGAGATGTTTGGGTCATGTCATCAGCATTCCAGGCCGATGTTGGCGGATCGGGGACCGGACCGGTGAAGTTGCGCATGCGACTGTCACCTGCGAGAAGCTCGAAGCCCTCGGGGAAGGGTTTGATGTTGTCGCCAAGAAGGAGGTAGTATGCGAGCATACCACCAATCTGGGGCACAACTTCAGTCTTGCCATTGGTGTGGACAAAGTGCAGAGAAGGCGTCCTAGATGATGTTAATGCTACTTCTTGTATATTGTCGAGGGGCTCAAATGTACCAGTAGGCTGACTTGTCATCGCTGAACTGACAAGAAGAGCAGTTGGAAGCACGAAGGTCCGCGAAGGTGGTCGATTCACCGAAATCTGTAATCGGAGTTAGCACATGATGTTGGCATGGAATAACAGTGGCTTGAGCCTATCTTAGAGCACAGGACAGACATATGGCCAGAGATTTCTGGACGTTTGCGCATAAAAGGCAACCCCAGCATCATGCCCTCGCTCATGCGATGGGTCAAAACAAAGGACGGTTCATATACTTACTGCTACCACCGTGGATTACGTGGCCGTGGGAAGAAGCGACACCCGGGTCGACAATAGGGTCGAGACGAAGGAACGCTGTTCTGGAGTGGCAGGGCATGCGCCAGAAAGCCTCAGCAGAGCCGGACAGAAGCGCCGCCGCGACGGAAAGGGTGGTTGACGACTTCATGGTTAAAGTGTACGCTCTGCGATATGAGCGATGCAGTTGAAGATGCGGTCCTTGATAGCAGCCGAAGTATTGTTCGCTGCGTTCACTTTTAGGTATGACAAACGTATGTCAATTGGCGGTCCAGTGAAGGATACTCTTGGCAGACGCGGTGACGGTGATGGTGACGTTGAGAATTCAAAGTGAATGAATCTTTTCCTCGGCCGCCAGGACTTCTAATCTGTTGCCTTTTTGCTTTAATCGGTATGCACAGAAAAGAGAGTCGATGGTATCGATAACGAGTGTGGTTGCAAAGGAGCGACAGACAGCCAAAGGCGAAAGAGTGACGAGCCGCAAGGGCGAACAAAAGAAGGACGGAGAGAGGGTAAACGAACGGATCACACCAGGGCTATGGGGTGTTTTCTAAGAGAAATGAAGGAATGCTCAGATCAGGGACGTGAAACCCTAGAAAGCCCCGCTGATGGGAGAGGTCCTGTTGGCTAGGGGTGCCATGCTCGGCGGGCGCTAGCGCAGAACGAGTAGGCTGAAACATGTCAGTAAGGGATGCCTGTTCGCTGCAGTGAATCAGGCACGGTTGCACACGTGCAGCCTTGCAAGCCAGTCGCTGTTCAGTATGGCGGGTGCGCCGCAATCTGCGAAGGCGTTGAGACCATCCAGTCCTCAGGCACCGCTGCGCTTCACCAGTCACGCTCTTACCGTCGGGCGCATCCCCTCGCCCTCATTTCCAACTGCGCCCGCCCACGCACTCGACCGGCTGCTGCACAGATCAGGACAAAGCCGACATCCGACTTGGGGAACACCGCATCGTAATCTCCAGAAGCTCAAAAGGTTCGTCTTAGGATGGGGAGCGTCATCGGCTCCGCTTTTCCGGAGGATCGCAATTGCAACTCGGGTATGGCGTCGCGCGATATCGCGATCATATCCCCATGCCTGAGTACATACCATGCCAACTCTGCATTGCCAATGTTGCTGTTGATGCAGATGTCGATGTTGTGCTGCTGATCATTACCACTGTGTTTGACGAGTCGGTGAGTAGTGTATCTCCGCCCGGTTTGAGACATTATCCCCCGTCATATCAAACTCCATGCAACCAACCGTCAGCCGTTAGGGGAGATTGCGCCGACCGTCACCAAGAGGGCCTGACGACGCGGCAGCGCGGCGCTGCCCGTGCGACACGAGAGAGTGCAGCGTCTGCAAAGCGTCGGGTTAGCTTTGCTTAGGTCGTGCGGCCTCGTGCATCGCTGACCGCAGCCATGGTCACGAAGTGTGGCAAGCAACATCAGCCGCCGGTGAAACAGCAAACTTATCGATAGGCTTGTTACCGCCAGGAAGCACACGAGAGGGCGTCCAGCGCTTGCAGCCGCCCCTTCTTTGTGGAGGTGTAGCGAGTACGACGAATGATTGGCCGCGTCATTCGCAGCTCGGCCCGGTGCAGCTTACTGTTCATCGTTAGCATCGTCTTCGTTCCCTTATCGGATTCCCCAGCAGCATCGTTTAATTTGCTTCTGACCGCCAGCAGGGTCCACTGTTTATGCACAACGGACCTGCATTCAGATCCTGGCGCTGCTCAGGTACAAGCTAAGTCTGATTGGCTGTTCGGGTCCGTGTGGAAAGCTTCGCCTGCAAATCCAATTTGCAGTGCGAGCTGTTGCTCCTGTCACGACAGATACACAGGTGGTATCTTAGGTAATACGAGCAGCAACGCTACCTCGACGGTATTTGATGTACTGCTGATTGTATGGCGCTCACTGCGCAGTACTAGCGGTGTACTGCGTAGACATCGTCGGCACAATCATATTGGCCAGTTAGCTAAGACCCAACGTAGTGGCCTGCACATGCGCGGCACGCTGTCATGTGGTACGGTGAGGATACAACGGGTATGCATGTCGGCAGTACCTCTGACTGTATCACAGAGCGGACTTTGGGTTAGCTAGGTATCTATGCCGGTTTGAAGCTGAAGTGAGAAAGTTGACATGGTGTCGTACAGCCGCCTCTCAATGCAGCAACCTACATCAATAGATCATGAATACATGCTGTTACATCGCATGTCAATAGTTTGAGCCTCCAGGTACATCTGTTTGGTGAAACTTGAACCTTGCATACTGTGATACTACTAGCACGTTGAAAGCTCCCCTCAATGATTCTCCCGCGCTTCCAGCGCACGCGTTCGATTTCTAGCGCCCTTGCCCCCGCTACCGTCCTCCCCTTGAGCCAGTTCAAAGCTTTGCGCCGTCCCTCAATGGGACGTCTTCCCATGCCTGATCAAACCCACAGCCTCTAGTCCAAAGCGGCTCTCCCGCCTCCACGGAGTCGATAGCCATGTGCCCTATCTTTCTCCACGCATCACCCCTGATTACGAAGCCTGGCCTGTCCTCGTATGGCCGACACGCGTTCTGACCGTTAGCTAGTGCTCTGATTACTTTGCTTGCGTGGCCATCATCCGATAATTTGTTCACTCGCAGGATGATGTTGTCCCAATCTGAATCTTCTTTTGGTTTGTAATCCGCAATCTCAGAGAGGAGAAGGTCTGGTGAGTGTCGCGATGCGTACATGACGATGTCGTTCCAGACCTTCCATTCTAAAAGACGTCGTTTTGCTTCGGGCGTGAGCAAGTTGTTGGCGGAGGATAGGATATTTGAGAAGAAGATAGACGATGTAACGCAATGCATATAGAAGAAATCAAACTTGACTTGGTGCGGCGGACGCTGGGCTGCAGCTGTGAAGTAAACTACAGTCATGTTAGTATTGCATTTCATGGCAAGGAGGCGTCTTTACCTGCGGCGTTGATCATTTCAGCTGTCTTTTCCTCGAGATCATCATCCTCCCGGATCGTGTACTGGCTCGCAACTGCGACCATCTTATCAAGTGCTCTCTTCATGATCCCGTCGCGGATTTTGTTCCCGTCTTCCCAGTGCGCAGCATTACTTAGCTCTTTGTCCTCCCTTACCTCTTCAAGTAGTTGTACGATCGTCTTCCTGTCACCTGCGTCTCTTTTCTTTTCGGCTGCCTCTTCAACGGCGAGAAACAGCGATCTCATCCACTTGTCGTGCACACATGCTTGCGCCAGCCCTTCCGCGATAATCGCCGGTTGTTGAAACTCAACCCCAAACCCCCAATGAATGATTGGATGAAGAAAGCCGGCATACGAACGAGCCAGTAGATCCTCTGCTCGTTCATCGCTTGCGAAAAGAAACTCATCAAGTACACGTTGCCAAGTTTTTGTTTCGATCTCTTTCTGGAAGAACACAAGGAAATCATGGTAATATTGCTCCTTCCCAAGATAGGTCTTGAAGCGCTCTGGCTTACGCATGTCATTGACGATGGCTTCTTTCAAAGGTTCAGGTGGCCTTTGATATGAGACATTTGTGTCGTAGCCTTGCTGTATCTCCTGTGGTGTAGCGCCGAGAGCGAAAATGGTGAGCAGGTGATGCGCAATGTGATTGTGGAAACCAGACCTGTTGAAGAAGATGTGGTGCTTTTCATGGTTGACTTGCAGCAGTTCCGATGTTGTCCTCGCGCTTTCAGCTTCCAGACTCTTGACATGGTATTGGGGGGTCTGAGATGCCTCAAGATGGACCCTGGATGCGGAAGCCATGGCTCTGGTAATGATTTGCTTATGGAGTAAAGCGATTTGTGTCTTATAGTGTATGCGTGCGAAGGTGGGTAGCAAATGGGTGAACATCTGCGAAGATCCGCTTCTTGAATCCAGTTACTCACCTGGGTGGCCTGGGACGCCGTAATTTATGTGGCTCTAGGCAGCACCATAACGTTGGCTCTGGCTTACCTTTCGTTCGGGCATTCGGGTCGTAATGTTAGTCATCAACAGGCTGATTTGCTAGTGGTAACCACAAAGTCCGATAGTGACGTTGTTTGCCGAATCCGAGGCGTGCAGACTCCACGTGACCCTTAGACTTGTAGTCCTAATCACGGGACCCTTAGTAGGTTAACCGACTAACACCAGAAAGTCTAGGTTTGTACTTGACTTAAGAACTTTGCACCATGAATGTCCATATCGACGACGGTCCTCAGCATGATCACAAGCGCGCATCGTTTGTGTCGACCAATGAGCGTTGTGCGCTAGTTTGAAGGCCGTGCCGAAAGACGACTTGTTCACTCTGCACTTCTCGGAACACGTTCACGTGCTTTAACGCACCGAAGAACCAACAAGGCCGCCCTATCTTTAGACTCCGTTCGATCTCTCCATCTCACTCTGACGCTACCTTTCTGTCCTTACAGCTTCACAGTGGTGGCTCACTTATTCCTCCATATCTTGTTTCAGTAGAATCCGGCATTCTCGAGAAACTGTGGCCACACTGGTGAACATATACAGGCGCAGACTTGCGCAGGTAGCGTGGGTAGTTAGTAGGCCGTTGCGAGTGGTCGCACAAGAAAATTTTGGAGTAGTAAGACAAATGCACGACACAAAGGGTACGACTCGCGCTATGCTTTCAGCCATTGATCCTGAGCTCGAAATCTAGGCACAAACAATGGAAGCAGCGTAGGAACAGCGTGGAACGAATATGAAACAGGGCGGCAACGTACACAGCAAGAGACAAGTCTGCTCGGCCTCATCAACCCACTATTGGCAACCAGCCTGGTAGATACGCAGGACCAGAAAGCTCTGCCAGTCGAACAGAATGTTCCAGATGAAGAGAAAGAGGAGGAGTTCAACGATGACGATGTCGATCTCGCAACAGATTCCGAGGAAGGAGAATTAGACATACCCAAGCCGCCGCCCAAAGCCTTGACAGCAGCCCAGAAGAAGAAGCAAGAGCGCAAGGAGCGCGTTCTGTCTAAAGATCGAGGGCCTATTCTCCACACTTTCTCGCCCTCTGACATTCAACCAAACGAATCAACAGGCTCGAAAACAGAAGTGAGTTGGGACGAGGACCCGGAGATCTTGTGCTGCTACAATTGGTCCAGCACCGTTGATGGCAGTAACACCATCTTCGTTCCGGGTGCGCCCTCTAGATGGACACCACAAGCAATCCCTTACATCGTTCCAGGCGACAAGGGCTTTCATTCAACAGACTACAATTACGTACGCCAACCGCGTGACCCATTCTCTGCCGTCTTTCACGCCATGACCGTCATGAACCCAGAGTACGCTTTCAATGACGTCGATGTCCTCGCTGATCGTAACAACCTACGCGTACTTCTCGAATTTGTCCAAGGCAAGACAGTGGGCCCGTTCCGACTAGATTTGTACCTAGTTCTCAACACGCTCGTGATCGTTCGTCGTGAAGACAAGTTCTGGCGGCGATCCAATGGCACGGGATACGGCTTTAATTTCGAGAAACACTTCACAACACCCGCTCCGGATATGCCCGATGCTACGTCTCACTACCGCGCAATTAGATATCGCATGGGTTCTCTCAGCGTCGTCTGTCGGTTTGAAGCAGACGCGTGCATCGACCCCATACCAGACACGCCCCTGGACCCCAATGTTGCGGGCGTCACTCCACCTGTACCCACAGGTCCGGATCTTATGCAGCGTCCGAGGTTCACGTACAATGCGCCTTTCAGGGTGCTGCAAGAAGGGAATCTAGTCCCTAGCAACCAGATCCTCGAGCTCAAGACCCAGGTCGAGAAACCCAACGAGTCACTTTCCTTCGGCTCCTGGCAAGACCAGCTCTGGTTTGGCCGCACCAAGCATTTGGTCGTGGGTCGATACGAAGCCGGAACGGGCAAGATTTTGTATATCAAGCAAGACGACGCCACGGAGCGGGCAAAACGATGGGAGGAGCGGAACCAAACGGATCTACAGAAACTGGTCGCGCTACTAGCGTCACTGAGAGGCATGCTGATGAAGCAAAGGGGCCCGACGAGAGCCGCGATCCTGGTTCGTGAGGATCCCAGGGGTCCGGCGACGTTGCACGAGATGCTAGACAAGAGAAATCTGATGAGAGGCCAGTTCTTTGAGAGATTTTGGATGCGGCATGCAAGAACAAGGACGAACCTGCGGTCGGAGTCGAGAGGTGGTGCTGGGCAACCGAGCGCCAGGGGAAGGGGTGGGCGGCCTGGTGGGAGGGGAAGAGGACAGGATGACGGGCAACGGGGATGGAATGCGCAGAGAGGGCAAACGAATGGTGAGGCACACCAACCGCACGGTCTGTTGCGACATCATCATTCTACCGGGTACTTTAACGCTGGTACACATCCGGATCCGCGACTTGAAGCTCCTAGGACATGGTCCAGAGGTGGTGGGGGATATCGCGGTAGAGGAAATGCATCAAGACGCGGGCGAGGCGGCGCAGAACAAAGTGGAAGCTAGTCGCTTGCTCTTGTCTTGTTGCTTCCGTTACAGTAATCTGACTTATCATTGAGGGTCAGCTAACGAACTTGCTCAGCAAGTCTGTCGTCGAATCTACACATCACAATCAATGTCAGGTTGCATAGGTGTGATTGCTGTGATTTATGCTATGTGATGTTGATCATGATCCCAACTCGGCCTTCGGCGCCCATTAATTCGGTAATCCGGGAACGTAGACAGGAGAGCATTAGAACGAGAGGTATTGGCGACTGCAATTGAGCCTCATGCTTTCCAGTCGGCCTCTTGACAGTCGTGGTCAGTCATTGTGGCAAAGCGGGACAGTGTTGTGCAGTATCACGTTGGACTTGACGAGATCGTCGACAGATCTGTTGATATGCAGGAAATAGACGATGGCCCTCAGCTTGGATGTAGTATGTCGATTCAGATGCATGAATGTGTTCTGGAAGTGATGCGTAACTCGCTTCGATCGTGAAGACAGTAGTCGAGAGTGTGGGACTACCCGTCGTGGGTTCGATAGTATATCTTCCGGAAGCATGGTCCCAGGTCGGACTACGCTCCAGTTGTATCTAGTGCTTCTTCGCCTCCATGCCCTCAGGGGGTTCTGGCACAACCGTTCTACTACCAACGTTGCTCCAGTCAGTACTCAGGACCGTGCCACCACTCTCTTGATAAGACTTCATCATGGCGCGCTGCTGTTCCGCTGTGGCACCACCGTAGAGCTTCTTGAAGAAGTGCGATGTTTCGTCGCCTTCAATCTCGTCCTTATCGTCGAGGTCCTCTGCAGCGACCTTATCCCAATTCTTCACACCTGTTTTGGATGATGTGGGGTAAGCAGGAGCAGAGTCCTGGGCTGGCTTGCTGGAGAGGATGTGGTGCGGAATGGTGCTCGTCGATTCTTCAGAAGCCTCCACTTGGCGATCGCCTTCTAATGTTTTCCATTTAGTGCCGGGTGTTGCTTTCTTCAACGTTATCTCGATTTTGTTTGGTGTGACGCGAAAGTTGGACTCTGCGGGTTTGATCGGCGCGTAGAGAGGGTCGAGACTGAAGTTGTATTCGGCACCCGAGCCCATGACAGGGAAGGACACAGACATAGAGTCCTTATCGAAGTCAACAGCAACCTTGTCCTTTGGCGCACCTTTTGCTAGGATGTTGATTGTTACTGTATCGTTGCTCTGATACCAGTCATCCTTGATCTTGTTCGCAGGTGTAGGCACGGCAGGCTTAGGAGCTGCCGCAGGCGCTTCTGTCTTCTTGATTGCCGACTCTTGCGGTGCGCTGGGAGCATCCACATCTGGGACGTCTTGCACCGTGATCTTCCGCCTCTCGTCGTCCTCGGGGATGTCCTGTAGCTTCTTCGCGACTTTCGAGCTCCATATGGGTAGCGTCTTCTCCTTGTCGTCAAGCTTCTTCACGATCTCCAGGACATGTTGCGCATCGGCATAGCGTTCGAGGAAAAAGAGCTGCTGAGCACGGCGGAACTGAGCGTCTTTGATGAGCTCTCGAGTACCGCGCTTGTGCGCAAGGACGACGGCAATTTCGGCGTCAGCCAGCGCCTCGGTGTATTTTTTGATGCGCTGGTAAGCTGTAGAGCGATTGATATAGTACTTGACGGCGACTGGATTCGATACTATGGCGTTGCTAAAGTGTTGGACAGCTTCGTCGTAGTTGCTGGCGCTGAGCGCAGCTTCGCCTTTGCGAGCGGCGTCCATGGCGGGGTAGCGGGGATTTGCGCAACGTGGGTTGTAAGATGGATCGCGGCAGAGCTGGCTGTGAGAGTGCGGCGCTTAAAAGCTTGAACGGCAGCCTAGCCGCGTAACAGCGAGTTTTATCTAACTTGGTGGAAGGTGACATAGGTATGGAAAGCTCTCGATGCTCGAAACCCGAAGTTAGTCCATAACGAGCCTAGCGTGATTTCTCACCAGAGCCCTCGCAGCTTGCGAGAGTCTTCATCAATCCTCGTGGGCTGACAACCTTCCACCTGTGTGACTGTGAGACCAGTTTACCTTGGAGGCCCAGACGCTCGCATCAGGCCCACGAGATGGCAATCACGGCCCGCGCTGTGCCTCCGAGTTAAAACTGCCAGTTACTAATACCGACAACTACGCCGCAACCAAGTGCCCGAGAGCAAGGCTGTCGGCGAACCAGGTCCCTGCTTCAAGCGCCACCAAGATTTAACCCCAGCAAGTGTATTCGGGGATCACTTTGACGCCCGAGAGTACCCACGAGGCACAGCAAGTTGAAACGTAAATAAAGGGATGAGTCCAACAAAGAATGCAGTCGCAAGCCATAAAGTCACAAGCCATCAAGCCATTTGTAGCTTCTGACAGAATGTTATCGACCTCTGCAAACATGATTACCTTCTTTCTCTTCGCCGTATCCTCGCTCCTGGTGCACGCTCAGCAGAATGAACAGATACCGCTCCAGGAATACCAACCTGATCTTATCGTCACTCTAAATGTAAAGCAAGCATTCCAGGATGTACATGATTGTGCGCTGACACCTTTTAGCCGAGTGATGGCAGAACCTACACATTTGAATCGGCGCTCGACGGAACCAGACAACTCTCCCTGAAGGCGATTGCAGAAATCGAGAGCTACCGAGAGATCAACTCTCGTCCACAAAGCGCCTTGATCAACATCCCACTCGATCCCAGGCAATCAGGCGCCATTGTGCTGGGCTCCGCAGCAACAAACAATGTCCGTGTCCAGCAGTATACCGAGTGGACTGACACCCTCGTTCCGGGCGAGGATGTGCCAGCAACGTACATTGGCGTTCGCAGGGGCGGTATGGTGTCGATGGACGCATACGTCACACGTCTTGCATTAGACACACCCTACATCTCCATACCAGGCGAAATGTACGACGTTCTCATCCAAGCAACCAACCCGACACCTCAGCAGTACGTTACGGACTACGACAGTGTTGTGGACTGCAGTCAAGTGGCAAGGTATCCCGATCTAGTGCTCGGTTTACAGTCGATCGATGAAGCCGATGAAGATGGTGAGATGGTGATCACACCAGAGCAATACATCTTAAGGACCGAAGAGGGACAGTGCGTTCTTTTAGTCCAGCGAGGTCGTGCAGAGATAGTTCTAGGGTGGGCGGCGGTGAGAGGCAAGGACGTTGTGCTGGACTGGGTTAACGAGCGAACTGGCTTTGGGAGACAGAACCTGAATCATTCAGCGCTATGAGTAGGTGTATTCGCAACATGCGATGTATAATAGTTCTCTTGTACATATGTATCTTAATGGCTGTAGATTGCAACTTTTGAGGCGGCTTCCCCGTGCTGCACGTGCTAGCTAATCTGTACGTTCCAGTCAAGTAAGGGCAGGCCAGCAGGCCGTGTTTCAGGCCTGAACATTCTTAGACCTCCTTGCACGTCACACAAGCTTCTCGCACCCTTCCAAGATTTGTGTAATTATTGACGACAAGAGCTGCAGCGGACACACGGAGCGCGTGCGGGTCTCCGCAGCCCGCCACCGCTGACCACACGAGTTGACCAAGACGCGAGCTCCCAACAGACTGCGGACGCCAAACAGCACCTATGGTCCTGTGCAACACAAACATTACGAGCTGCTCGTGTGCATCACTCCGCTGCAGTCGGCGCCCGAGGGAATCTACACCGCAGCTGTCAGCGATGGCCGGCACAATTGCTGGATAGCTCGGCGTTGCTGTCATTTCCCGGCTGTTCTTGTCATCGGGTACCAAGCGCTGTTGTTGTTTCAGTCAATTTCAACACACACACCCGCAACCAGTCTGATTTGAATTGGCGCACATGAGCGAGGCTGTGCATCAGGAAGGCGAACGCGCAATCGCTGCGAACAAGACTCTCATCAACAACGCATCGCTGTCAACCATTGGAAAGCTGCCCCTGACCAAGGCTGGGCGCATGCACATCGCGCCCTCTCACAAGTCACATCCCGGCTCTTGGCTGCTTGGCCCTCACATCCCGCTGCGCTTGCCTGCCACCCGCCAACACCGCGGGACTTGGCTTTGAGCCCGCCAGGCAAGACGATGAGGGTTGGCAGTTCCACATGTAGGATTTCGGGGGTTACCAAGACACTGGTGCTTCTGCCTCAAATAACTTCACTCCCAGATCCCGTTCCCTTACTCTCAATGCCTTTTGTTTGACCGTCTTCAACCAAGCTCGTTCCTCTTTAACAGTCACTCGTTAGACTCCATTGTGCCTTCTACTGCATTTTAATTTCTCTTCCTTTTCTACGGTCAACAGCATGAAGCTCATTGTTCTCTCTGCGCTCGGCGCAGCCATCAGCCCAGTATTTGCCAGCGTCGTCGCTCGCCAGGCCACCTCCAAGGGAAAGCTTCCTGCGGTCGAAGTCCGGGGCAACGCGTTTTTCGCCGGCGATTCGCGTTTCTACGTTCGCGGTGTCGCCTACCAGCCAGGTTTGTTACTCTGACGTACCTGTCATCGATAATAGTCATTGACAGTACACAGGTGGTGCGGCTGATGCACAAGACCCTCTGCTCGATCTTGAGTCTCTCGAGCGCGATGTCGCCAACTTCAAGGAGCTCGGCATCAACACGATCCGTGTTTACACGATCGATAACTCCAAGAACCACGACGCGGGCATGAAGATGCTTGACGATGCCGGAATCTACCTGGCTCTCGATGCCAACACACCGGACTACTCCCTCAACCGTGAGAGCAACGCTACTCTGTACCGATCGTACAACGACGTGTACCTTCAAAACGTCTTTGCCACGATCGAGGCATTCCATAGCTACAACAACCTGCTCCTCTTTTTCTCCGGTAACGAAGTTATCAACGAGCGTAACAACACCGGCGCTGCTACCTACATCAAGGCCGTTACCCGCGACATGAAGCGCTTCATCGGCAACAAGTCACCCCGTACCATCCCCGTCGGTTACTCCGCCGCCGATGTGTCCGAGAACATTGAGCAACAGGCTCTTTACTTCAACTGCGGCTCTGATGATGAGCGCTCCGACTTCTTCGCCTTCAACGACTACTCTTGGTGTGATCCTTCTTCCTTCACCCAGTCTGGCTGGGATAAGAAGGTCGAGCTCTACAAGGACTACAGCAAGCCGATTTTCCTCTCTGAGTACGGCTGCATCACCAACCGCCGCGATTGGGGCGAGGTCGCCGCTCTCTACTCAACTAACATGACCGGTGTCTACTCTGGTGGTTTGGCCTACGAGTATACTGTCGAGCCCAACGGCTACGGTCTCGTCGAAGTCGGTTCCGATGGCAAGATTGAGCCCAATGCCGATTTCGACCGCCTCATGAAGGCATTTGCTGCTACCGACAACCCGACTGGCAACGGCGGCTTCAGGTCCACCGGCTCTGCCTCCGAGTGCCCACCCCAGTCTGAGGACTGGGAGGTCAGCTCCAACGCGCTGCCGGCCATGCCCGCAAATGCTGAGCAGTACATGGACGACGGTGCCGGTCCCGCTGTCGGCCTTGAGGGCGAGGGCTCTCACTTCGCCGGTGAGCCTTCCGAGTCCACTGCTACTGCTGGATCCGGTGCGCCTACCCGATCTGCCAGCTCGAGCGGTAGCAGCGGCAGCAGCGGTGCCTCGCAGGGCGCTGCCGCCGGCATGGAGGTACCTTTCAAGATGATGGGAGTAGTCGGTGCCGGTGTTCTGTTCGGCGCGGCACTCCTGTTCTAAGCTGAACCATGCATGAATGGAGGGTAGTGACTTGGATGTGAGCAGAAATACCCGTAAGAAATGATAGAGGTGCGCTTTACTTTGTTGGAGTTTTCTTCTTCTGATGCAAGAACATATTGTACTTGTACAGATCAGCTATACATTCTTCTCATAGTCAATCATTGCGTGGCGCTTTGCTGTCTACCTATGAACTTTTCGTACATTTCCGATGCTCGTGTTTGTTTCGCTTGCAACTGCACGTCAATAGACGTGGATTGTGATAGGGGACTGTTTCTTCCAATGTGAAACCGCTAACGTGGGCAATAAGTATAGGTTAAATTCGAGGTACCGTATTGAAGAGCCTTGCCCACCGAGATTCGTATTCGAGCAGGTAGTGCGTCAACTATACGTGATTGTCCTGTCAGGAACGTATTTCGGGTTACCACTGATCGACAATCCTCGTCAAAGCAGCCTGCAATGACTGTTGTGAATCGTCTCATGAGACACGTCAAAACCTTCATACAGTAATGCCATATCGCACGTCACTTCCAGTACCGCTAGCAACAACCACAAGTACTGAGGGAGCCAGAGCGCCGACAAAGCGACCTTGTTGCTCTGGCTTATCAGTGTCGTCTCAAGAGGAGTGGAGAGTATGGATTTAAGAGTCATCTATAATCAGAGAGAGCCAGAGACATCATTCGACGGTCTACGGCCATGTCACATCACGGACCGTTTCTCAATTCAGGCAGGTATGCCGCCTGAAGTAGTGGGAGCTGTCCTCCGATAAAGTACAATGGCAATCCAAATGCCCCCTACTAATGACATGATGGGTACAAACATATTGGTGGACCCCGGTCGACCGGATAGTGCGCGTAGCATATCCACTCCCCTCAGCTGTCGTCCCTCGCTAGTGTAGCAACATTATCCCCATGATGGCCGATTTGTGTCGGATCAATGAATCTTCAGGACCTAAGTGCGCACTTATCGCCCCGCTGGCGGTTGATACTTGGCTTGGTCCGCGAAGTGTAAAATCATGTTGAGCGTTGCATCGAGAGCGAACGGATCAACGCCAGTAGCTTTCGTTTGAGATGCGCAGTTGTCGATCTCGGACTCATCTCACCAGCAGTCCTAGTCTTCTACAGCCAAATCAAACAGTTCTCCGGACAGGGACCTACGGAAATTACTGCGGTTCTTCGAATTGGAATCTCCAGCTGCACATGATGGCGCTCGTCAATCTCGTCGTCGAATAACGTCACGCGTGGGGATCAACCTCGGAAGCCGTGACGAGGAAGTGAGGAGCAAGGCGCAGTATCAAGTCTTGCTACAGCTTAGCGATGCGGGAAGTGGGAACAAATTCGAATGATGAGCGTTGGAGTGGCACTGACTGTCTGCACGCCATGTATTGCTATGAAAAAGCCTCAATCGTTCATTCCAGGCGATTCGCGACATGTGGGAACATAATTTGCCGCTCAAAACGGTACCGTGGCTTGCGAGGTGTAGAGTGACTGTATACTGTTCAAGTCAGCTGAACAATCAACAACTAGCCACTGAACGAATCGAGGCAGGGATTGAGAGTTGCAAAGATTAGATCGGGCGTCTCAGCAGGGCCTTACTGTTCCGCAGCATCTTCGAGAGCTCATTTCTGTAGACTTATAGCAACTTGTACATCCTCGGCAACATCAAAAGGTTTGATAGTCAGTCAAATCAATCAACGTGAACAACTTTCTGACTGCTTCGCCTGCTATTCAGCTGTGACGTTGAAAGGCGTTCGACTCCACACAAAGGGCTCCGCGATGTAGCAAGCTTTGCTCGAGCGAGGCCAACGTCTTACGTTACTTGGCCAGCCTAGGCGACAGGACCTAGTATCATCTGCGTTACTCTGACCACACGCAGTTTTGGCATGTGGCTCGATGCTCGATGGTGCGCTAGCGGTGACTTCCGCACAGGTCCGACTTCGGCAAAGCTCGGGTGGGTGGACTGATTTCGATCTGATAACCAGGATCGAATCTGATAACGCACACACTGCCCGTTACCAGCGCAAACGCCGCCAACTCGAGATGTCTATTGACGACCAAGGCATTGCCGCCCTCACGCCTCCAGCTGAGCACCATAGCGGCGCTGGCTCCCCTGCCGACTACAGTTCGCCACAGTACTTCCACAGCCCCGCTGCAGACTCTGCTCGCCGCTCCTCCAACGGCCGCAGTAAGTACACATGTTCTCGTTCTCCTAGTACCTCGATGCCGCCACGGCCCGGAGCTGTGGCAGTCTGCGCAGTGGCACCAACACCGACCTTACCAATTGGGCAACCTCCATGCAGCGGAGTGACGAGGTCACGGTGATGCTGTGCGGGGCTTTGCATTCCGCTAACCCGTTCTGTTCCGTACATAGCCCAGAGGCTGCACAGACAGACGGCTAACACTTCAAAGCTCTCGTCCCTACGCCTGCCTTATGCGCAGCAAATTCCCCCGGCACCGTTGCCACGACGTCTTCCACATCTAGCAGCGGCGGCCCCTGCACTCCTGCAGCGGGCGGCCCCACGGGAAGAAGCTATGTCATACCGCCCCGACCTAAGCCAGGCCGCAAACCCGCCACCGATGAGCCAGCCTCGAAGCGCAAGGCGCAGAACCGGGAGTCGCAGCGAGCGTTCCGTGCGCGCAAAGCGGCCAAGGTGACAGAGCTGTCGGAGCAAGTCGAGGAGATGCAACAAAAGCACAACGAGGAAAAGAACGATTATCTGAACGAAATCAACAATCTGCACAAGCAGCTGCATGACGCAAAGAGGGCTTTGGACGAGCAGTTCAATTACACAAAGCAGGTTGAGGAGGAGCGTGACTACTGGAAGGAACAGCACGACAGCGTACAACGCAGCCAGCAGAACGACTCGAACCAGATCAACAGCCAGATCAACGGCCGCAACGATGCCACCGCGACCCTCTACCAGCCACCTGCATCCCTCCACTCTCCTGCTGTTCACTCTGTCAGCAGTTATCCTGGTTTCGGCACTCCTATATCGGATGATGTCCCTGGTGGGTGCTCCAACTGCAAGCCGGGCAACTGCGCATGTATCAACAAGATGGAAGAGGACATGAAGGATCTGGAGAGCATCATGGATCAGCCCTTCATGCCAGCTGTACCCCTCCGTCGTCGCAACAACCGCACAACGAACGAGGTTAGCCTCTCGCTATCGTCTGAGCCGGAAGAGATCGACTTTACTGGCTTCGGGCGTCCATCTACTGCTCTTCTTGACGACGACCAAAAAATTCACGATTCATGCGGCTTTTGTGAGAATGGGGGACACTGCGTTTGCCGAGACGCCCGTGAGAAGCTGCAAGCTGAGGCTGAGCTTGTAGCGCCACCGAGTCGTAGTTCCTCGCAGCAGAAAAAGCTCGTTCTACCTGGTGGTTGTGACGAATGTCAGACAAATCCGGCTCGACGAGCCTGGTGTCTGCGTGTTGCACAGCTTCGTTCAGAGGAAGGTCCCCGCTCGAGACGTAATTCAGGTCCCAGAAGCCCAAAGATTGACACTCTGGAGCCTCCCGTTGTCTCCCAGATCGACATGAACATTAGTCGAGCGTCCCCCATCCCGGGCAAGCGCTCCGTTGGTTGCAGTGAAACATTCACTCTGCTCGATGGTCGCATTCCTATGGACGACCCTACTGCATTCCGCACCTTGCGACCCATGCTTTCCGATGGACGTCAAGACACATTCACCATGGAGCCGCGAGTATACAGCGCAATGGAGATCGATGCCGCCGACATCATCACAACAATGCAAAATAGCAGGGGTCCCTTAAAGCCCCGAGATTCAGACGGCGAATATGCGCCTTTGGTCGCTGCTGCAGAGAAGCGTCGTCGCGCCACTCACTCGCCTGCTGTTCGCCCAACCACAGATGATCAGCCAACTCCCATGGAGCTGTAAGACGTGTTCGTCTCGAGCGCTATCTCCAGCGCGCATCATGTTTTCTTTTCTCTCCCATCATTGTTGATACCCTTTGAGTCTCTATCTGTGATCGGACATTTCGACACGAGAGCGCGTATGTGCACATGGACGCACATACGCTTGTTTATACACGACTATGATGATCCATGGTTCTCTTATTTCTCTCTAGACATGGCTTCGTAATAGTCTTTCCCAAAGCCAGTCAAAAGCTTGAGACACAACTAGCTAGATACATGAATGATTACAATACTCCAATACCATTTTTCATATGTTCTATCTCACAATTATGCGGCTCGCAACATGTTCCCGATGTCGTCTCGTCATTGATTTCCAGCCGGCCCTCTTGAGTTTCAGCCTCAACATCTACCGTCTACCACCCGTTCATTCAATTCCCTAATCCCATCCTCGCAAGTAGTGTATCAATACCACACCAGCAGATCAAGCGACCTTCTGAAGCACCGATTGCAACACACGATCTCGCAAACGGCACGGCAAGCATTGGGTGGAGATCATTCGGGTGCAGTCGGCGATGACGCGAGCGGGGCTCCATGCGACGCAATTTCATTCGCTGCCAGATGAAAATTTTATCAGATCATCAGATAAGCTGATGTCTACCAAGCGACCGATGTCGCCGGCATGGTGATTGGGTGGGTTGAATGAGGGGACGGAGAGGAGGGCGCAAAGTGCGGCGAGAATTACGGGTTTGCCCTGTAAGATATTGCTCCTCTGGGAGCTGTTTGCGAGGGTGGGTGGCTAAGATGTTTGGACTGTGTGGTCTGAGAGCTTGGATCAGGGGGTCATATGTTCTTCTATTGTCGCATTGGATAGTGATGTTAGACTGTGTACTGATATGTGATTTCAATGTCGGATACTCTTTCTGCAATTGTCCCTTCACTATGGCTCGTAGCCTTGACAACTGTAATTACCTAAAAGGAAGGGTCAATGTACCTCAGCGGAACAAGACCAATGCTGGCACTGTTCGCTAATGCATGCACCCGTCTCTCCACCTCACCCCGCTTCGTGGAGTCAACAAGTAGCGGGACCACGGACGCCATGCCTTGTCCCAAACCATGTCGCCCCGTCCTGAGTATTAAATCGTGGATCTTTTTGCTCACCCGTACACTTGCTATAGAGAACAACGTTTCGTGGCTCTCGCCATCAACCAATCAGATCAGATTATGGCACTTTGGCGGGTAAGTGCACTTCTGAACCTCCATTAGAAGAACCATCAGCTAACAAAGCAAAGAGTGGTTAACGCGATGCCCTGCTATTCATAGTCAGGCATTTCCTTCGGGAGCGTGTGTTCGAATCACACAGGTGTCGATTTTTTGCCCGTGTGATGTTCTCCTGTCATGAAACGTTGAGAGACTGACGAAGATGAACAAGAGAGGGGTGAGAGTCAGATCGTCCTCCTCTGGGGTGTCATCTTGCAGGCTACGGAAAGGGACAAGGCAGGAGAGAGGTGGTAAGAGGAACGAAGGATATTTTTGGTCCAGGATGCTGAGATTTGCCTTAGCGCGATTGTGGTGAGGTAAGTGTGCCGGCGAGCATCTCACGTACGCACTTCCTTCAGGTGCTCGGAAATTTGAGCAATACAGTCAGTCGGAAGGTCCAAATTTCTCATCCGTTTTAAGCTGCACTCTGTTCCGGTTGATTTCAAGGACGATGGATGGATGGCTGACCCGGCCTTCCTGGATCAGGTGAGACAAATAGGACTTCGACAAGCAAAGCCGCAAGGCAACATGCGCGATGGTCGCATGGGCCAGTATTAAGCCAATCTTCGAATAGTTGCTCGATTTGACAGCTGGGTATATCCACAGTACCGAATACTGGGCACTCCTTCTTCAAGCTCGGCTTCAAGAGCGCGGCGCTCGACGAAAAAGATGATTTACGGGGCCTGTTGGTTGACTTGCACCAGTACAGGTTGCAAGGCTTGCAAAAGATACCGACAGACCCACATTCACGACCAGCGTGAGCCTGAGCTGATGGCATTGCTTGCCAACGGGAGTGACTAACTGCCTCTCCATGCTGCGACTAACTGCCACGGCGAGCGACTGACTGCCGACTCGCAAAGTGTGCGACGAACTGCCACACAGAGTGAGACTAACTGCCTCAGCGAACAAAGTGTAGAGAAAAGGATGATAAAGGTGAGGTTGAGGAAGAGAGAAGAAAGTCGGGACCTAGACGGTACTTAACATTGTGCAGACGAGTGATCCATGCACAAGGCAGCAGGCGCCGAGATCGAGATCATGTGTTCTAATGAAGGTGAACATGGCTTATCTCGATTATCACAAGAAGTGGGCTGCGACACTTACGCCGAGAGAAGCCTGTGGCGCTGTCCGGGTTGCTGGTGCGAGGTACACCTTCATCGACATACGGACGCTCGTTGTGGAGGATAGAAATCTCTTCTTCTTCAAGTCGAGCCATTTCGGCACGAGCTCAACGAAAAAGAAAGTTTGCAAAGGCTTCTGGCTGACTTGCACCATCAAAGCCTGGACTCGCAAACGCGACGCTTGTTACTCAAAAAAGGTGTATGTGACAGCTTTGCCACCGTCCACAACAGCTTTGTTGCTTGGGTAGGGGAGCAACAACAATGTGTTACTTTGAAAGGGTACGTGACAGCTTTGCCACCGTCCACAACAGCTTTGTTGCTTGGGTAGGGGAGTAACAACAATGTGTTACTTTAAAAAGGGTATGTGACAGCTTTGTCACCGTCCACAACAGCTTTGTTGCTTGGGAGGGAAGAGATAACAGCGCCGCCAATGACGCACAAGAACGTGCTTGCTGACACGAAGTCACTGATGTTGGTGGAACACTCAGGCATGAAGTATGAACTCTTCAAGGCAGACGAAGACGCTGCAGTGGTGAGAGTGTGGTGAAGAAGACAGAAAACTGGGTGGGCGAGAGGCAGCTCTTATGCGCCGAGTGTCCTTGGTCTGTGCTGAGTACGGAGCAGGGTCGGACCGGTTTTTCGAGTGAAGGTGAAAGTGAAAGTGAGTCGCTACGTGCGCCTTTCGCATAACTCACAACCGGAACTCACCTAATACTATCCGCCTTATTGCCTCAACCCAAGTGCCAGCCGGAGCTGAGTACGCACGGACCCTAGAGCGTGTCTCTTTCTATCGTACAATCCTCCATTTCTTTTGTTCTACCCGCGACATTACGCTCGAATTTCTTGCCTCCACGCATTTCCTCGGGTTTAACGCGCTATGTCGGACCGCACAATGCAGCTCATTGAAGCGGTTCTGGCTGCTGACGCGCACAAAGACGAGCAGATCGCAGAACTACGGCAAGAAAATGCGCGCCTCATCATGAACACCTTCCAGCCACATCGTACTTGTGTAGACAATAGTTGGGATGATGGTAATGGCGGCTATTTTAAGACCGCAGAAGAGGACGACATTCACGAGTCCAGCCTTGCCACTTTACGTGCTAGTCATGAAGAGCTCGCGCGCCGCGCTCAACGGAGTGCCGAAGCTGATCTGAAAGTGGAAGAAATGAAGGTCAAGGTCGAGCAGGATAAGCTGGCCAAAGGCAAGAACTTGGTAGACAAAGTCAAAGGCAAGCTCCGAGGCTTAAGCCATGAGATTGAGGTCGAGGAAGACAAGTTAGTGAAGATCAAAGGCCAAGTGGACGACGCCAGAGTTCAACTAGACAACTACCAGCTTCAGTTGAACGACGCGAGGATCGAACTGGGCGGCATCACCACTCAGATCGAAACCATGAGGCTCGATTTACACCAAGTCAACAATCGCGCAGATAACATGCAGAACGCACCAAGTGGCATCATTGACAACTCACGAGTCGATCACTCTCAGAGTACCACCATCCACCACCATTATCAAGCCGGATCAGCAGCTGTGCTTACAACCCCACCTGTACCTTCATCCACCCACATGACTGAGGCTCATACACAGATAACGCAGCTCAATGACACACGCCAAGATCAGTAAGTAATGTCTCGAGCAAGTTCTCCTTAGCTAACGATGGGGAGGGACAAGTCTCATAGGCTTGTTTTACTACAGCGTACCCAGCGTCATCGGGCTCTTCAATTCCGCACGAAATGTCGCTTCGGCAACGCCTGTACGAACCTCACCTGCCGCTTTCTACACGACGACCAGCGTAGGCAACACAAACATCTCTACAGAACGCTTCCGCATTACAACAAGGACTGAGGGGCGTCATGTGGTCTCCAGATGTCAGGAATATGTCGCAGCATATGGCGTGTGCCAATTTAGGTTGGGTGCAGTGGTATTGCCATCAGTTTGTTGCGTATGGTAGAGTAAGAAGAGACTTGGAAAATGGGTTTGGAATTTCAGTGCACACCATCGGATGCCAAATATGACCTCATGCAGTAGTGGCGGCTTCGACAAGCAGTAAATTCTGAATGATATATACCAATCTGGATGCAATCATTGAGTCTTCACACACTAAGAACAATCGTCTCTAGGCTTCCAGCAAAGACAAGAGTTCGATCCAAACATTACTGATAGGGAAAACATCGATATGAAACGAGCGATGATGATTTGAATTCTAGGTGGTATCCAGTCGACTTTTGACAAGCATAAAGATTCTCTCCTCTCACGCCAAGCGAGCGTTGAACATACTAAGCCAGCTCTCATGCATACATTACAGCATTCCAATTTCTTCAGTGACAATCTAGACACCGCCACCCCACCTAGGTGCATTGAGGATGATGCCCATCAGGCAACCCGACATCAGACCCGCACAGGGCAGTGTAATGAACCAACCCATGTAGATCCAGGCTACCATGCGCCAGTTGATGGTCCTCCAGGTACCGTTACACAGGCCGACACCGACAGTTGCACCAGTAATGCACTGTGTAGTGGAGACAGGGAGGGCAAGCTTGGTAGCCATGATGATGGTGACGGCAGCGCCTAGCTCCATAGAGAAACCACGTGCGGGAGAGTGCAGGGTGATCTTGTTACCGAGCGCGCGCATGATGTTGTAACCGTATGTCCAGAGACCGATGACGATGCCAGCACCACCAAAGGCCAGAATCCACAAGGGTACGGGAACCTTGGAAGAAATCTTTGCACTGCAAAACATTAGCATGGGACATGGTTATCGTCGTAGTGTTCATCACTTACGTAGACCAGATGAAGTAGATGGTGGTGTAGGGGCCAATGGCATTAGATACATCGTTGGCACCATGGGCGAACGAGGTCGTTGATGCAGTCATGATCTGGAGGAAGGAGTAGGTGTACTCAGCGCGGTTATCGTAGTGCTCGCCAGTAGCGTGGATCTTCTCGATGTCACCAGAAAGGAAATCTTTGTGCTTTTGCTGGTCGACAACATCCTGCTCAACACCACGGAGGGCGAAGTACTTGACCCAGAAGAACAATACCGAAGGCGTGTACCACGCACCAGGGGGTGGCTGTTTCTTTGGCTTCGACAGCTGGCGCAGAGCAGGCCCAGCGACGGCGGCAGTGACTGGCTCGGGAATGGGGGTGATATCGGAGTCGCTACGGTCCATCTTAGGATGTGTAACGTGAGCACCACCCTTCTCGAGATCCTCGACGTTAGCGGGAGCAGCAACGCTCTGGTTGGCGCGCTTCGCCGCAAGTTCGTCTGCAGTCAAATGACCCTCGTAGAAGTTGGGGATGATGCCAGTGGTGACGCCCTCAGGACGCTGACGAGGCTCAGGACGCTTAAGTAGAAGAGGTCCCTTGATGACTTCCCAACCCTTGAGCTCCCAGTCGTCCTTGATAATTTTGCGGTGTAAGAAGGGGATGAAGAAAGTGGCGACGATGATTGCCACAGCACCACCGACACCGAAGGCGACACCGACGGACTCGTAGTCCGTGAGCTTGATCTTAGCGGACCCTCCCTTCCAGACAATAAGGAGAGCCAAAAGGAAGGAGGTGAGGAAGAAGTACAGAGGAACCATGATGAAGGCCTTCTTAACGGGGTTCTTACGCCTCATGACTCCGTACTTGGTTATCAGGAAGATGATGGCACCAAAACATCCAGAGATACCTGGAGCGATACCCCAGGCAGCGAACACCGAGGAAACACCCTTGAAGGACCAATTCACACCGTTGGGACCAGCAGCAGCGATACCAACTCCAATGACACCGCCCATAATAGAGTGTGTTGTCGAGACCGGCATGGTAAATTTGGTAGCGATAGTGAGGTAGGTAGCGGAACCAGCGATGGCGCACACCATCCCAAGCATCAGGACTGATGGATCAGACTCGAACAAGGAGATGGAGATGACCTTGGTACGAATGGTATCGGTGACACGAGAACCTACAAGCATGGCGCCAGCGAACTCCATGACGGAGGCGATGCACATGGCTTGCTTGAGCGTGAGCGAGCGTGAGGCGACCGAGGTCGCGAAGGAGTTGGCAACATCGTTAGCACCTAGTAAACTGTGTTAGTCCAATGTGTACACAAGAAGTGGAAGTTCATGTCATCTTGAGTAGAAGATCATCAGTGAGCGGAGCTGAGAGCTAAAGTACCTACCAATGTTCCACGCATCAAGGAATGCGAATAGGGTACCGATGGCGAAGAGGTAGTCGAACTGCGGAAGAGCAGGCATCTTGACGGATCTGAACTTGTCGAAGGTCTCGATAGACTGGCTGCTCGACGGCTGGATGACCTCGATGTACCAGGAACAAGGTGCACTCTATATAGCATCCAACTTTTCACACGTGTAATGCTCACCATACTCACACCAGAAATCACTCAAACGCCACGTTCGAACCACAATCCAATCAAGTGATTGAGTCGTCTCATGTGCTCTGTGGTCTTCCAACCCAGATAAGCGGAAGAAGACCAGAAACGGGTAACACCCGTGCAGGGGAAGGCGACTGTCCTTGGCCGCTTGGAAGCGCGGGTGACCTCGCATTCCAGACGACTGATCGGGTTGCAAGACATTGACGATAGTCCAATTCAAAGTTCCGCTGACATGTAGGATGATAGTTATCCACTTGGCGCCATACGGCCAAGCTTGGAAATGCTTGGGGTTCCGCCCCTGGTATTATCAACGCTAGCCCGATGCATGGATCGCCAGGAACCAATGGGAAGTGGATACACCACCACGAGGTGGTCGCAACGCTCGTGTGTGGTATTGTTTCTCGACAGAACTCGAGCGTAAATTGTAGTTCTCTTCCAGACGAGCATTCCGCCATGCGATCTGGTGCCGACTACCGGCTTTGCCATGTGGCATACATCCTTTGCCAACGGTGGCCTTGCACTGTTCTGGTTGTGAACGTTCATGACCGTGGTGATCAGTCGAAGACATCTAGAGGGTGTGGATTCCGGTTTTCGAAGCGCAAATTACTTCTTGTTAGTATTGCATGGTAAATGTACATGCTCCTGTATCCTACTCATCAGCTTGCGGGTGTAGAGAGCACACGAGCAGATAAATGGTCTGCTCGTATAGTGACGGGCTTCGCCGACAGCATGCAAGACGGTACTAGGCGCCTGAATATGATCGACAATCCTAGTAAGGCCTGTATGCAACCGCCGCAGTGGCATGCTGGCCAGTCAGGCAAAGGGTTGCCTTACTGGCATTAGGTTTGCCACGGCACTGCGAGTGGTTACAACATCAACCAAGGGCTTAGGACTGATAGTGTGTGTTAGTCGACTACGCATGATTGGCTGTGGGCGTAATGGTGGTCGAGGTGTTGCTTGTGACGGTCGGGGATCGCGAGACTTGTGGAAGATGAAATCTTTGTTAAAGCAGCCATAGTCAATGACAACCGAGGAAGACCCCACGTGTAGTGAATGTAGACCCACAAGTTCGGGAGGCGCATTTGTGGTCCTAGATTGCCAATACCTAAGCAGTCTTGTCAGTATAGGCGCGCTTGTTGGATGTAGCGGGTAGAGGATTCGCCAAGAGTCCCATTAAGTTACCGACACTGAACGGGCTCAGGTGTCCTACTAAGCGGGGGGTTTGAGTTTTCTCTAGAACCACTGCACAATTGGATTTGGTCAAATATTGTCAAGGTCTAAATTGGTCAGAACGGCGATTTCGCGCACCTCGTTCCCTGACCATACAGGTCAGCATCCCCCAACAGCTGTAGGCGACGATTGACGAAGAGAGATACTGTCCGATCGCGGCTCGTCAAAAGCACCGGCTCGGGAAACAGACAGCGCCCGCCTTCTTCCATCGATGTTAACTCAGAACGGCTATTCCAATACCCGCTAACGAGTTCTCGATAGGCGTAAGGTGTGACCCTGCAGGACCCGTTGAGATCTTGCGTGGTTGCGATCATTGCCTGATCGCGTTGGATCTCCAAGCTCATATGCAGGGAAGTGTCGTGGAAGGTTTTGGACGCGTCAACGCCAGTCCTTGCGTGGGTAGCCATGTCCGTATACAGAGAACGCCACGGCTTCCAGACCGCTCAATTTGCTTTGCAATTGGGGCAAGTCCGCAATCATTGGGTCTGCATTTGCGTCCAGACTGATCAATCTCCAGCGTTGACTCACATCCGTGATACCACGAGTCCAAAGAGAACCGGCCCTGTGCAACCCTTCAACGTAGTTAACAAACCCGCGGCATTTATCTACCTGGGCCGCTGTCCACGAGGTGATGATACGTGGCTCCAGATGATCTCTGAATCCTTGGCCTGGTAAGGGAGATGTTCCTATTAGCTAGTCGACATCCAGTGGATATAAAATACAAGGAAACTAGTTGATGCGAATTGACAGCTCTGATCGCATGTGCCGAAGTAAGAATTCCTAATGTCGCGATCAATCCTTTTCGGAACAGCTCTATACGGAATAGAGGAGACAATCGGAAGGGGTGTAGATCCCCTCTCAGAGTAGCTGTAAAGTACCGGTAGAACTTCCCAAGAACTGGGCTCTCAGGGGAAGGAGCAGCATTTCTTCAGACTGCTATCTAATATATTGCATCTGGCTGTCGCATTGTACCATCAGATTGGAAGGGCAATGCAGAGCACATACATACCTGTCGAAAACACGGCACTTTGATATGCCGATTGTTCTTGAAGATGCTCTGCCTGTGGATGTGCCTTCGCTGTGGAAGCTTGACGTGGGGTACGCTAACCGTTTTGGGGCTTAATTGGCTTTTGCGCGCCAAAACGCGAAAGCGCGTCGCCGGGGGAACACGCGCATCGACCGCCCACTTTTCCATTGCTCAACCCCTCATACACAACAGCATACACCATGGCGGATAGACAGACGGCATACTCGATCAGTATCTTTGGCAGCCAAGCGGGCGATGAGCGCCAGGATGGAACCTCCCCATCGCGTGTCCAACAACAGCTGGTCGACTTTATTATGGACTTCCACCTCGACAATGTCTTCCTCTACCGAGACCAGATCCGCGAAAACGTGCTTGTAAAGCAATACTACTGTGACATCGATATTGCGCACTTGATCTCGTACGATGAGGAACTTGCACACAAGCTTCAACAAGACCCCGCAGAAGTCATACCTCTTGTGAGCTCAGAATGACCTCCTAATAAGCAGCCACTAACGTCGAGCAGTTTGAAGCAGCACTCAAAACATGCACACAACGAATTGTCTACCCGTCACAGAGAAACATAAAGGTTCCTGAGCACCAGTTACTGCTCCACTCGTCTGCCTCGGAGCTCTCCATCCGTGACCTCACAGCGAACAACGTCTCCCACCTCGTACGCATACCCGGTATCATTATCGGCGCCTCCACCCTATCTTCGAAATCCACAGTATTGGCTATTCGGTGCCGAAACTGCCAACACGAAGAGATGCTACCTGTTTCAGGCGGCTTTGCAGGCGTCTCACTCCCGCGGACATGTGCACGAAAGGCGGGCGAGGGAGAGGACAAGTGCCCTCTGGATCCATACTACGTCATGCACGAGCGATGTCAGTTCATTGACCAGCAAGTGCTCAAACTACAGGAAGCGCCTGATCAGGTGCCTGTGGGAGAGCTACCTCGACACATCATGATCTCTGCAGATCGTTATCTTGCCAACAGAGTTGTTCCTGGCACACGATGCACAGTGATGGGTATTTTCTCGATCTATCAGCAGAAGAGCTCGAAAAAGTCGTCCAGCGCTGCAGTAGCTATTCGCAATCCTTACATTCGTGCGGTTGGCATCCACTCAGACGTCGATCACACCAACAAGGGAAATGCTGTGTTTACGGAAGAAGAAGAGCAGGAGTTTTTGGAGATGAGTCGAAGACCCGACATTTACTCGGTCTTCGCCAAGTGCATCGCGCCTTCTATCTACGGGAATGAGGATATCAAGAAAGCTATCGCATGTTTGCTGATGGGCGGGTCTAAAAAGATCTTACCTGATGGTATGAAGCTTCGTGGTGATATCAACGTTCTACTCCTTGGAGATCCAGGAACAGCCAAGTCCCAATTGCTCAAATTCGTCGAGAAGGTTTCGCCAATTGCTATTTACACATCTGGAAAGGGCTCATCTGCAGCTGGTCTGACAGCATCCGTTCAACGCGATCACACTACGCGCGAGTTCTACCTCGAGGGCGGTGCTATGGTGCTAGCTGACGGAGGCGTTGTCTGTATCGATGAGTTCGACAAGATGAGGGACGAAGACCGGGTAGCGATCCACGAGGCTATGGAGCAACAAACTATCTCCATCGCCAAAGCCGGTATCACGACAATCTTGAACTCAAGAACATCAGTGCTGGCAGCTGCAAACCCTATCTTTGGACGCTATGACGATATGAAGACACCTGGTGAGAACATCGATTTTCAGACCACCATTCTATCGCGTTTTGACATGATCTTCATCGTGCGAGACGAGCATGATCGTGCTCGAGACGAGAGGATTGCCAAGCACGTCATGGGTATTGCAATGGGTGGACGAGGTGTAGAGGAGACAGTCCAAGCTGAGATCCCGATTGAGAAGATGAAGCGCTACATCACTTACTGCAGGCAAAAGTGTGCGCCGCGTCTCTCGCCCGAGGCTGCCGAGAAGCTCAGCTCACACTTTGTCAGCATCAGGCGGCAGGTCCACGCCTCCGAGATGAATGCAAATCAACGAAGCAGCATTCCCATCACAGTTCGTCAGCTGGAAGCCATTATTCGAATCACAGAGTCGCTGGCTAAGCTTTCGTTGGCACCCATTGCCGACGAGTCGCATGTCGATGAAGCCATACGCCTCTTCCTTGCATCGACAATGGACGCAGTGACACAAGGTGAAGGCCAAAGTTCGAAGGAGCTGATGGACGAGACAAACAGGGTGGAGGAAGAACTGAGGAGGCGTATGCCCATTGGGTGGCAAGTCAACCTCTCCTCGCTCAAGCGGGAGTTTGTCGACGGTAAAGGCTATTCAGAGCAAGCTCTTGCGCGAGCACTGCACGTTATGGCTGCGAGAGAGACTATCAGGATGCGGCACGGTGGAAGTGTTGTCTTTAGGGCAGGTGCTTAGGCACGTTGAGTTTGTTGGGTATGATATCATGAGGCCAGGTCACTATATGAGTACGTCGCTGGCGTTTTGGAGTCAGTGCAGCGTCTTTTGCATCTAGATACTCCTAGAATACAATGGTATTCTCCACACCCCTGTTTCTGGAGATCTGCACATCTGGCCAATGCCACATGACGGAGACTGTTGTAGCTTACGAAGTTCCAGAAGAATCGAAATTGAGAACAACAGATACCATCAAGAATACATTCGTCCCTTGACCAGCACCCCAACCTCCTTGCTCGAAAATGCACAGTGCCCGATCCCATCCGTACTAGTGCTAACAACGCCCCACTGCAGCTTCTGCTCCGAAAGTAGCCCATATCCTGTCTCAGAGTGCTGCTCCGGGTGGCAAGCTGCACTGATAGCCAAACTGCAGCTCCCTGCGACAGGCATGCCAGGCTTGTATGGTATGTACCCAAAGCCGATGATAGCGACAACCATCAGCACTCCCAGGATGATGACAGCCAGCATAGCGACCGGGGAGTAGCCAATGGTCTTGGTTGCGAAATCCCAGTTGGGGTTCATGCTCGCGAACAATGGCTCCCCGAATTCGTCGTACAAGTCGAAAGACACCACAAAGATACTTTGCGAGACTAGCCAGTGCAGCAAGCCGCCGAGGATAACAAGAGGTAGCCCGAACCGGTACGGTAGCTGAAGGAAGTACGTGGATCTTTGGTTTCCGGTTGGTACGCGCGAAGTGCGGAGCCCTTTTCGCTTGTGTGCGTAGGACGTCCATTCGTAGCCCATGAGCATCGCCGTGAACAGGCCGTTGTACGCAAAGTACAGGAATGATAGAATGACTTGGGGCAAATTGGCGATGAGGGCGAGAGCCACCATGTTCTTGGGTAGCTGACCGCTGGAGATCATAGCCCGAGGATCGACAGTGCCGAAGCCGAGGCGCAGGGCGTTATATGTAGTCATCGACATGAGTTGATTCATCTCTCTGATTCCCCAGATGAGTAACGCTATGACAATGATTAAGGCGATCGCGAATCTAGTCTTGTGTCAGCTGGTTACTGGGCAGCACATCGAGTGGCCATACAGCACGATAATCGTCGTACGTCGCCTTCTGCTTGTGACATCCTTCCACCGTCGGCGGGGGTTATCCCAGGTGACTGCACCTGCACTGTAACCTCGCTTTTCATCGCGGATGCTAAGTAGACTCAATGTGTTCGTTGTACTATCGCTCTCGTCAAGGAAAGACGCTACCGCATCACCCGTGGTCATGAGTGGATTTTCTTTCAAAGAGTATACGATGTAAAACATCAGCAATGCTTTGCCTACCATGGTGTCAGTCTCCGTGTACCTATGGCAACCGTCTGTAACAGCCAAGTCCTGCCATATGACTACCGAGATCTCGTTGCGTCACAGCGTTGAGACTTACAAAAATTGAGTGCTGTGACGATAATTGCGATCAACGGGCTGAAGTGCAGGCGACATCGTGGTTCAGCTGGTTCGCTAAGGCAATGATCGACAGGCCACCGATTGTGATCGCAATAACCCGGAGGTCCTCCAGAGCAGCTGACAGCCACTGTCCAAGGTTCGGAAAATCTTTTCACCTCCTCAAGTCGGTTGATACATGGTTGGGATGGTCGTTCTGTGGGTAATCCGCTGCATATCCAGCCGAATGGAGATTGAACGTTGTTCTGATAGTGCGTTAGGCCAGCCTCTGCACGGGAAAGCCAGGCTGAGAGGAAGTTCGTGTTATTGATCCAGTTGTTTCCTGGGTTTTCTGGACTGGAGTACACAGAACTGAAGTTCCCGTCGGCTAGCACAACGAAGAGGTTACGCCTGGCTGATTGTATCTTGGTGCCGTATGCGTTCACGCACTCGGAAGGCTCTAGTCTATCAAGTGAGCCATTCTGTGACTTATCCCAGAGTGTTTTCAACGTTTGTTTAGCGAAGGGCTCTTTAGGAAAGGCGGTGGTGCAATTTAAACATGTGGGACTGTCTAGAAACGACTGGTCAACCATGAATCCGAAGTAGCTGTTGGTTGATATAGACGCGTAAACAGCGGAGTTGTATCTGAGATAATTTGTTATTATAACCCTTCTCTATTGGTGAAGAGCTTACAGTAGATGAAGTGGAAGAGAGCTGATAGCCAGCAACCACCACAAGACCAGCCTCGGTCGACTGATACGTCTTAGATTTCGAAGACTGGGTACCCCGATATCGAGCCATTTTCTCTCACCATGTGCTTTATCAATCTCACCCCTAGTGGGAGCAGACAAGCACTGCATACAATAGTTGCTGCCGCTCAGCAACATAGTGCTTAGAACGTTGATGAGGATATGAAGTCCGGAATTCATTTTCTTGATGCGCCCACATTCTCCTTCGGTCAGGAGATTCTCGTCCTCCTTGTGAGCTGCCGATCCCCAGATGGTGACGATGAGGTTGATGAGGAAGACTATAGATGCACATATCGCGAAGTTGAGAGTACCAAACCTCCAACCAGAAAAACGTTGTTTGCTTCGCTGCAAAGATCGCGGCTTGCCAGATTCGGATGAGGGTATTGTTTTAGCATCGAAGTCCTTCGCTGCGTGCAGTTTGCTGGTACTGAGGTTCTCGCTGCTACCAGGTGTAAGCTCAGTCATTTCCGCACTATTCGCCCGGCGATAGCTGCTACTGGTGTTCACGAAGGCCTTGATCCGAGAGGTGGTGTCATTTAGAATGCGCGTCAACATGGCGACTGCGTCGTCAACAAAATTGCGGTTGCAGAACCAATTAAACGTATATGAGAAGTGGCATTGCGACAGTCAACAACAAGTTCGTGAAGCGATGTTATTTTAGGACTGTGGCGCAATGCTGCAAGGCGTCCAAGATTCTCTGCTGATCGCACGCTCTGAGCCTCATTGAACGTCTAAGGAGAACACCAATCGTTATTGGGTCGACCAGAGTCCAGCTGACTTCACTCTGTGGTTGCCACCTCGTCAACAGTTGGGATCAGCAGCACATCAGTCGCGTTATTATTATCATGTACAAGATTGAAATCGAAGGTCAGGATCCTGTGGGTTGATAGGTGATAGGCTGGGTGCGGCCGGATGCCTGACGCCCCGAAGCTCCGACCCTTGCAATTGACCTCCGAACTCTCGATCATGCACAGAACTAGAGTTCTGTGCAGTGATGCAGCGAATGTCGCTTACTTACACCAATTTTTACCACTTCAAACTCCTTATTAGTGGTGCTCTCTTTGTGTATAGATATGTAAGATTGGGGCGTGCAGGGGGAGGGGGTTTTCCGAAGGGGCATGGTGAAGGAAGACACGAAAGGAGACATAGCGTTGTACAACATCGTACAATCTATCTTGGGGGCTAGAGGCACGTACCTTAGTACGTCGTACAGGGGTGTAGTTCGTCCGGTTATTAGCTTACAGGTCTCCGTTAAGGGTTTGATTAATCTAGAACAGCTACACTACTCCCCTGGAGCTTCTAACTTGCTGAATGCATGCCTAAGACCTAATCCTCCTGTACGACTTGGAGACTTAGTTCCTTTGCATAATTGCATGGGGCTTATGCAACACTTTTAGGGCCCATTTCTCCACTCTGCGGGTGCTGTTTTCGCATCAACAGGCTTCTGGTCGGGTTGGGGATTTCCCACTCGCTCGGCAGGGATAACAGCACTCGGTGGTACCCGTAGGGCAGGGCCTCTCGGAGGAAAGAAAGTTCCGACAACTGCGTCGGCGTTCGCGTCACTAAGACACGCAGACACGTCAAGCTCGGCTCGGACAGAGAAAGGCAGCCCTTCACTTGACGACGAAACTTTCGTACAACTTATCGTGCCCAACGTGCGGATTAGACCGTATAGCAGTTTCATGGTCAGCGAATGTTGCGAAGCTCGTCTCAACGTCTATACCCGGACGAGATTTGAGAAGGACATCGAGCCCCTGTGGGCGAAGCTCAAATGAGGTATCGTCTATGCAGCCGATCATGGCGTCCTATATCAACTCAGTGTCATACATCAATCCGCTTTTATCACCCATACCTTTTTCATATCGTTAAGACCATTGATCCTGGTGGTTCTCAAAATGTCTACGCAGAAACACACGCAAGTTCTGATAGCAGGTGGCAGCGTTGCTGGACTCACTCTTGCCAACACGCTCGAGCAACTCGGAATTGACTTCCTGGTTTTGGAGAAGTATGAGAAGGTCGCCCCTGATCTGGGCGCAAGTATCGGCATATTTCCAAACGGTCTCCGTATCCTAGATCAGATTGGCTGCTACGATGCTATCAAGGCCGTCAGTGCAGACGCAGATCCTTTCCGGGAATTGTCTATGATGAATGACAGTGGCCACATCATCTTGAAAGCAAAAGACGCTTCTGGGAAGATGGGAAGTCGGTATGCATTCCAACCGATACATAACTCCATTACTGACATGGATAGTCTCGGGTACAAACCCATTTTCTTAGACCGCCAGATGCTTATTCAGATTCTATATGACAACCTGCGCGACAAGTCAAAGGTCCTCACAAATAAAGGCGTCGCAAAGGTCGAGCAACTCCCCGGCAAAGTTCAAGTCACCACTTCACATGGAGAGACTATCACTGGAGAGGTGCTCGTTGGCGCCGATGGTATTCACAGCGTCGTACGCCGCGAGATGTGGAGGCTTGCGGACCAAGAAACCCCCGGGTATTTTTCTGTGAGCGAGCGATCCAAGGCTCCAACTGAGTACTGCTGTATCTTTGGCATATCACCGCCAACAAACAAGGTCAAGGCGTTTTCCTCGTTCAATGTAGTGGGGCAGAATAGCTCCTACCTCATTTCTACTGGCCCTAATCATCGCATCTACTGGTTCCTGTTCAAGAAACTGCCGACCACAGCCCATGGATTGTACGATGATATTCCGCGCTTTACAGACGAAGAGAGAGATACATTAGCTGCCGAGCATGCTGCAGATCCTTTGGCCGCCGACCTTACCTTTGGCGAACTTTACGCAACACGCACAACAGCAACTTTGCAAGCTCTTCCGGAGGTCGTGTTCAAGAAATGGCATTACAACCGCATCATGACCATCGGAGACGCTGCTCACAAGGTACCTCAAGCACACTTCACTGCAAGACATCAGCTAACACGACCATTAGTTCAACCCCATCGGGGGCCAAGGCGGCAACAGCGCTATCGAAGACGCCGTAGTCCTCGCAGACCAGCTGCACACGCTGCTGCAAAGCAAAGACAAGTCTACCCCCTTGACCGACGCAAACATCGTGCACGCTTTCCAGGAAACTCAGCGCATCCGCCACGAGCGCGCCTCCAAGATGCTCAAGGCTTCGCACGACTTGCAGAGCCTTCAGGCCATGGACACCCTTGTGTCCAAGTTCATCGCAAAATACATCATGCCCATGTCCGGCTCGGACAAGATGGTCGATATGATCTGCGAAAGCTCGCTCGGAGCGGCCCGTTGCAAGTCGCTGCCCATGCCCGACCGGCCACACAGCGCGCTCTGGGATGACGAGAAGGAACCAAAATTGGTGAACTGGACACGGGTCGGGATGGTGGCGTCAGTGGTATTTGGGGCTTTGGCGGTGATGACGGCGAGCAACTCGCAGAGTACCATGGCTTCGATGTCGAAAGTCTTGCTGAGTGTCCAGAGGGGGTAGCTTTGTAAGGACAGGTTCCGGAGTGGGAGTTTGGTTAGTTAGCAAGTCGATTTTTATACCTTTATAGACAAGATTCGTTCTTATTGAGAACTTTGTGTACAACTTTTACCAGCTTGATATAAGCCGAGATGTTAGACAACCTTACATACGACGTTGTAACGGGGTCTTTGAGTAGCGACGCCACTGGATGTCGATGACATCATCAGCAAGTACCATAAGCGAACCTGCCTCTTGGGGAAGGTATACGAAAGGTATCGAACACGGTCGCTCTCACTTTCTGACCTGGACTCGAAACTCGGAACTCGGAACAGAGCGGCTAATAACGTTCCGCAGTCTTTCACCATGCACATTCGCAACGGACTGCGCCCCAAGTTGTCGAATTTTTGCACTGCGTTAGGGTATTAACGACTAATGGCATATGTGAGTCGAGCCATACTATCATTGTTAGCTACGAAACGCTATGTGGTTCTAAATTACACATCATTGTTGCTCTGTCCGTATATGGATCCTCAGTTGTTGAGCTCACGCTCCCGCTTCCGCAACAACTTAGACAGCCTTTTCAATTCTCTACACTCCTTCCTTGCTTTCATTTTCCTCGCCATAAGGGCTCTTTTGTCCAGCGCTAATTCCCGTTTCTTCCTTTTACGGGTTCTTACTTGCTCTTCTAGTGCATCTAGTCGCTGGGCTTGGTCTGTGAGCGCTCTGTCCATCTTTGTGAGCTTCACATCAAGATTCCGGATAGCATCCAGGATATCAGATCTTTCGCCTTTGAGTGGTTGGGACAGTTCCATAAATTGTCCGTGAGGGCGAGCAAGAGCTTGCTCAAATTTCTCCGTATAGGCGGCAACAAGGTTGCGATTTCTTGTGATCAAGGGCTCACCTACATCATCGTCTACAGCGCCCGCAACTTTGCCCGGCGGGACAATGTTTTCGAAGGTAGCAAGATCGGGACTTGGGCCGAAGGTAACACAGAGTTTCTTGGGTTTCTTATGTCCGCCGCCTTGACCCGTGTCCGAGGCCTTGTTTGTCAAAGGCACTTTGGGAATAAGCAACTAGACAGCTACTGACAGAAACGCGAAATACTTACAGCGGCGCGACGTTTCCGAGTCCAGATCGTATCTTGGCGGCCAAGCCTCATCCTCAGTGGTAACGTCTGCCTCTGGATCTGCGAGCTCAACGTCTTTACCTGTCAAGACCGCGAGTTTGTAACCTTTCTTTTCGTAGTATTGCACGTCGAAATCGACGAATCGTTTAGGATTTTGAACAAAGTGCGCGAGGATTGGCTGATGGTCGCGGCTCAGATGCTTTTTGTCGAACAGTACGCCCAACTTTGTGACTCGAGCAAGCTTTTGAAGATCGTCAATGTGGATGAAGCTACTGTTTCCATGCGTAGAGTCCGGTGAAAGAGGCAGGTACAGGGCAGAACACGCTTTCTTAAGGTTCAACGACAGTGTGGCCAATTCCGGTTCGGGGTTGCGCAAATACGATTTCAATACTTCCGGGGCAAGACCAGTGGTATCGCCAAGCCGAAGTTTTCCAGAGGTCATGTAGGTGGCATGACACAGCAAAACGTAGGCAAGTGCAGATCCATCCTCGTTTATGACCAGAGGAAACTCTATGCAAAGCGTGGCTCGAGGGGGCTGTATCGCGTCCAAAACTACCGCTTTTGAGGAGTTCGTCTTGAACACTAGGTTACAAGGCAACGATGACCCAAGGTTAGAATTACCATCATAGACCCGCGCGGGGACTGTCTTCTTTGGAACAAAACATGCCATCTTTCTGCACTGCGAGACTATACACTTACAGAAAAGTAGTCCCTTGTGACTGAGTGGTACACAAGAACCCACCCACCCAAGCTTTGGTGCGCGAAGCACAGAGCAGCTCTGACTCTGTAGCAGAAGTGTATCTTGCCGGAGACCACACTGCGCGACTATGTGCCCGCACCAGCCTGATAACCACCCCCCAAGCGGACGAATACCGACGCCTGAGTAGCCTCAGTCGCCGCGTAACGCTCGTATGGGGCCTTCACAAGGATGGTGGAATGAGTCTGATCGCGGGACGCACGCAGCTATGGTTCCCAACAAGACAACGCTGCCAAAGAAAGTAGTAGATTTCGACGGAGACCACTGACGCTGCTGTGCGATGCAAGCGACGGGCAGATGACAGTGGTCAGCGAGGGCGGTCGAACTGTCGAGGTAGTTAAATAGAGGTTGACAGAGGGTGCAAAAGAGTGACGTGCAATGGCCGAAAGATGAGTGAGGCTCATACTTTGATGGGGAGGCTGGGAGCCGAGATGACCTTCCAACGGCAGACGCGCTAGCAACCGCTAGCCTTGCAGACGTTGATTGGCTTGTACGTCCGAACTTCGACTTTACTTTTGGACGCGGCAACTTCAACACCTGCAACACAATGGCCGCCCCACGCGCGCTCGCAGCGTCCTTCAGCGTGACACGACTCGCTGCATCGTCGCCGTCGATCATCCGCCCCGCAGTATGTCGATTCGCAACGCCCACATACCAGACCGTCCGCTGCAAAGGAACAAAGACGCCGAAGAAGAAGGCGGCCACCGCATTCACGCAATACGACCTGTCGGGAACAGAGCACTTCGCCCTCGTTGACGCAATGCGATACATCCGCGCCTTCGAAGTCGGGCGGGAACCGAGCTCCTCCAAGTACGAGGTGGCCGTCCGGCTGCGCACGATCAAGAACAGTCCGTCGGTGCGCAGCAGAATACGGCTGCCGCACACGGTTAAGACCGATATTCGCATCTGGGTTGTCGCGCCCCCGGACTCGAAGGCTGGGCAGGAGGCGCGCGCAGCGGGTGCGGCATTGATTGGTGAGGACGAGATCTTCGAGCAGGTCAAGGCGGGGGTTTTCAACTTCAACATGGTCATCTGCCACGCCGACTCGCTACAGAAGTTGACCAAGGCGGGAATGCCGAGGATTTTGGGTCCTAGGGGCATGATGCCAACCGCGAAGACCGGCACGGTCGTGGACAACATCGCATCATCTGTTGGGAACATCGTCGGTGGCAGCGAGTTCAGAGAAAGGATGGGCGTAATTCGCATGGCGGTCGGTCAGCTGGGCTTCACTCCTGCGGAATTGCAGGATAACATTAAGAAGTTCATGGATGCTTTGAAGCACGAGATGTCACTGCTGCAAGGCCGCGTCAACAAGGAGATCCACGAAGTGGTATGTCGCAATCTTTGGAAGGAACACCATAACATTCACTAACAGCTTGCCAGGTCCTCAGCTCTACAAACTCGCCAGGATTCACACTAAGCGGCGAGTTCAAGGGCGCCAACTCGATATCCCCGGCCCTGCTCAACGGCCCGTTGTAAATTCATATAGCTTTTCCGTTGTACAAACAATGTACCATATTAACGCCACCGCTATGTTGGTATTATGATGAACTCAATGCCTCGTCTTCAGCGCCTTGAGCACCTTAACCGCCTCCCCGGGCTCCTCCATGTCCGCGTACACTTTCATAATCTGCATCACCCTGTCTGAACCAGCAGTCCCAGCTCGCTTCGCCTGCTGCAGCGCAGTGCTCAGGTCGAGTAACAACGTGCTCCGCACCTTGCCCAGCCTCGCTGTCTGTGCCACCACAAACGGATGCTCCTCCAGCCCCTTGACCGCCTCCTTGACGAGTCTGTACTGTACGACGTTTTTCCTCAACCGCGCAACACTCGTGCCGTACCCCTCCCCATCCTCATCCTCGCTCTCACTGCTGTCACTCAGCTCCCCGTCCCGCGCCTCAACAGCAACCCCTTCCTCGCACTCCCTCAACCGCTCCTCAATCCCGATCAGCCGCCGCCCAACCTCAATCCGCTGCCGCACCAACCGCCGCTCCTGCACCAACACACGCACCTCCTCCTCGCGCTCGCGCACCAGCGCCTCCAGCACCGCGACCTCCTTCGCGAACCCCAGCAGCCCGACGCGCACGCCCTCGACGCGCTCCTCGCCGCCGCGCAGACTATTGCCCAGCGTCAGGAAGTCGGCGTAGTTGGCATTGACCAGGTCGAGCAGTTCGCGTGACAGGAGTTGCGAGCGCGCGCGCAGTTCAGAGCGTAGGTCCTCGAGTGTCTGGTGGCGGTTGGAGAGTGTGGAGAGGTAGGCTGAGGGCGTGAAGGTGGGCGTGAGGAAGTCGCTGCGTTGCAGGGGTTTGGCGAAGGGGAGCGTGTCGAGGTCCTCGTCGTCGGAGGTGGTGGGCGAGGGCGTGCGGGTGTCGGAGATCTAGCGGAGTTAGTGCAGGTACTGTATGAGGGACAGCGATGCGTACGTAGAATTGGCTCATTGTGTCTACTTTGACGACGGTCAAAGGTGTCGAGGATCTGTGGCACGTGTCCGTCGCGCTCCCCGCGTCCCAGCGATCGCGGTGGTCCAGATAAACTTTCGATAAGCTTAAAGCTCCGAACCGCGGCAACGCTTCGTGACGACACATTACCAAGCACTCGCCCCGCCGTCTGCCGTGGGGCAGCGCCGGCTATGTCGCGATGTGGCGGGCGACACTTCTCCCTTCTGCACCTCTGCACACCTCGTCCACGCCCATTGCCTCGGTCGCCGCACACACTCTACTACAAGACCATGGCCCCGCTTCCCCAGCCCGATCTCCCCGAGCCCGCGCACCCGACTGTCGATTCGATGCTGAGCCGCAAGTTTGGCAAGGAAGTTGCGAACTACTTCTCCGGTACGCCCGGCGCTCTCTGTGCGATCGTATTCTGTGTCTAACTGCACCCAGGCTCGCCGCTGAACCGCGTGTCGTTCCTCCGCGGTGACCACACGTTCCTCTCGTCGGCGCTGCGCCACCCCTCGGCCACGTTCCTGCTGTTCCGCAACATTGAGCCGCTCGTTGAATCGCCTTCGGCGCTGGCGCGCGTCACGTACGCGGATGTAGAGCCTATCATCGGCAAGGACATCTTCAACGTTAGCGAGAGCGATGTTATTGCACAGTACAATTCGAGCCTGTACATCCCGCAGATAGTCTTCTTGGGTCTAGACGAGCGGAAGGAGGGCTTCGTGTACAAGGAGCACTACAAAGGCCAGCCGTGGTTTGCCGTCGACGTCACGCCCAAGGAGACCGTCAAAGATGCCGCCGAGGCGCTCATTACGAAGGTGCAAGGCCAGGGGCTCGACTTCAGCAAGGGGAGGATGCACATGAGTCTGCCTGCAGAAGAAGGTAACAAACCGTCCAAGTAAACGTAAACACACTCCCCACTAACACCCGCCAGCCGCCATCTACGCCGAAGCCCGCCACCTGCTCGACTGGAACGCGCGCAACCCCTTCTGCGCCAGCTGCGGCCACAAAACCCTCTCCGTCAACGCCGGCTTCAAGCGCACCTGCCCGCCCAAAGACATCGCGCCCGCCGTCGCCGCCAACCCCGAAAGGCCCCCTTGCGCTACCCGCACCGGCATCTCCAACCTGTGCTTCCCGCGCACCGACCCCACCGTCATCATGGCCGTCGTTAGCGCAGACGGCGCCCGCATCCTGCTCGGCCGCCAGAAGCGCTGGCCTGCGTACTGGTACAGCACGCTTGCCGGCTTCCTCGAGCCCGCGGAGAGCGTCGAGGAGGCGGTTAGGCGCGAGGTGTGGGAGGAGAGCGGCGTGCATCTCGGGCGCGTCGTTATCCATTCTACCCAGCCATGGCCGTACCCTGCGAATCTCATGATTGGGGCTGTGGGGCAGGCGGTGCCGGGCGGCGAGACGGTGCATCTTGGGCACGACGCGGAGTTGGAGGATGCGAAGTGGTTCTCGGCCGACGAGGTCAGGGAGGCGCTGCGGGTGGGGACCAGTGGGCTGGGTGAGGAGCCTGGGCCAGAGTGGAAGGAGGGAGGATTGAGATTGCCGCCGCAGACGGCGATTGCGCACCAGCTGATTAGCGCGCTGGTGAACGGATTTGCGAGCGGGGCGCCAATGATGTGATTTTGGAGTTGGGTAGAGCAGCGTAGATGCATAGATGACGAGAAGATTATATGTATAGATGTCTACGGCAGCACGATGTACTTCCTCAAACGCTCCGGTATCGCGCCGTACAGCTTCTTCTCCTCCAGCCACTTCCTGCTGAACAGACGGTCCGCATACCTGTACGCGCCATCGCACAGCAGCGTCACGACGGTACTCCCCTTGCCCAGCTTCTCCGCGACCTCCTTGGCCGCCACAACATTCAAGCACGAGCTGGCACCCAGATACAGCCCCTCCTCATCCAGACAGCGGTATACCATCTCAATCGTCTTCTCGTCGCTGATATGCACACTGCCGTCCAGCAGATCGATATCCGGGCGCAAGTTATCCGTCACACGGCCCTGCCCAATGCCCTCGGTGATCGAGCCGCCCTGGCGCTCCGCCAGCTTGCCGCCTGACTGGATGTAGCTGTGCAGCACGCTGCCGGGCGGGTCCGCGAGGAACGCCTTGACGCGGCCGCCGCTCTTCTCCTTGAGGTAGCGCGTAGTGCCTGCAAGCGAACCGCCGGTGCCGGTGGCGCACGTGAACGCATCGATCTTGCCCTCTGTCTGGTACCAGATCTCGGGGCCCGTGGTCTCGATGTGAGCCTGTCTGTTCGCGGTGTTATCGAACTGGTTGGTCCAGACGGCGTTGTCGAGGCGGTCGGCGTGGCGCTTGGCCTGGTGGTTGTAGTTCTCTGGGTTGTCGAAGGCGACGGCGGGGACGGGGTAGACTTCGGCGCCGAGCAGGCGCAGCAGGTCGATCTTGCCCTGCGATTGCGTGTTGGGCATGTAGATGACGAGCTTGTAGCCCTTGGAGCGGCACACGTGGGCGAGCCCGATGCCCGTGTTGCCGGCGGTGCCCTCGATGACAGTGCCGCCGGGTTTGAGCAGGCCGGCTTTTTCGGCGTGCTCGACGACGAAGAGCGCGGCGCGGTCTTTGACGGAGCCGCCTGGGTTCTGGAACTCGGCTTTGCCCAGTACGTTGCAGCCGGTTTCCTCGGAGAGCTTCTTGAGACGGATCAAAGGCGTGTTGCCAATCGCTGCGTACGGATTAGCATGTTGTTTCGCATGGATGTGGAGGGCGTACCATCAAGGAAGCCCCGCTGTCCGACTCCCTGCGCCTTGGAAATGCCAATTGCCGTCTGGTGGTGGGCCTCGAAGGAGACAGCGTCCGCACTCCGGCGCGCCGAGGCGGCAAATTGCCGCGCTGCTGTCCTGAACATTGTGTGTGTTGCGTGCTGGAGGCGTCCGAAGCTCGCAGTATTTCAAGCTGTCGATGATCGAATCAGACCATCGCCTTCGGAGCTAGCGCGACGACCCGAATGTCGCCATCGGCTCGCGCATGCATTGGGTGACTGGGTCCATCAGACGCTGATCCGAATCGGGGACGTTGATGTATCCAGACGACAAGTCTTTCATGGTGTTGAGAGCTGCAGTCTAGAAAAGCAGTCTTGCATCCGGTGCATCTGGTGCATCTGGTACATGCAGTCGGTGTCGCCGCGGGAGTCCCGATTGGGCCTAGTCCAGCAGTGTAAACAAACATAGACGCAGCCGTAGAGCGACCGGACCAACACCACCCCCGCCGCCCACCATGCCAGCGAGGACGACGACGCGCGCGACGCGCACAGCACGTACAGGCGCCGGCACGCGGACAGCGCGGGCAGCGGCGGTCGAGATTCCTGACGAGGGCCCCGTCACCTCCCTGCGCATCCGTATTGCGCAGGTGTTCAGCGACGCCCAGAAGACTACAGCAACACAGCGCAAGCTCGCCGTCACCCTCCGCAAGATACAGGAAAAATGTGTCGACGAACCGGCGACTGCCAAGAAAGGCAGGAAGGCCCAGGAAGAAGAGAGCGAGCACTTTGACGCAGACGATTTCAATGAGGAACTGCTGCGCGTCATCTTGCGTGTCATGAATGTCAAGAGGAGCGAATCTGCAGGCGACCGCGTCATCCGATTTCTCACAATGTTCCTCAAACATGCGACAGAGAAGGACCACAAGCTCTCCGCTGCGTTGGAAGAACAGGGGGAGCCAGTGCCGGAGACGCTCAGCGAACGGCTTATCCCGCGGATTTTCAAGCTCCTCCTTCCCCTAATCTATTCGAAAGACAAAACAGTCCGATTACGCGCCACCCAGACAATCGCACAGATCACCAACACTCTCGAACACCTTGACCCCGACCTCTTCGCCCTTATCAAAGTGCATCTCTCAAAGCGCTTGCGGGACAAAGAGGCTTCTGTGCGCGTGCAGGCGATATTGGGCCTGGGTCGCCTTATCGATGACGACGACGATGAGGAAGAAGAAGACAGTGACGACGAGGCCGGCTCAATCCGCGACAAGCTTGCAGACATCATGGCCAATGACCCTGATCCCCAAGTACGACGCGTCATCCTGAGAAATCTACCTTATCACAAGTCGACGTTGCGTTCTCAGCTTGAACGCGCTCGAGACTTGGACCCTGCATCACGAAGGATCGTCTACACGCATATCCTGCCTAACATTGGAGACTTCCGTCACCTCTCGCTCATCGAGCGCGAGAAGTTGATACGCTGGGGTCTGAGAGATCGAGACGACTCGGTACGGAAAGCTGCCGCACAGCTGTTTTGTGAAAACTGGATCGAGTACAGTGCTTCCTCATACGACACGCGGCCAGAGGAGGAGAAAGTGGAGGGTGCCAACATCCCGCCAAGCCGTGCAGGTCTGTGCGAGCTGATAGAGCGCATTGATCTTCCCCGCTCAGGCAGGGAAGGCGGAATGGCTCATGAAGCAATGAAGGAGTTCTGGAAAGGAAGACCCGACTATCTCGAAGCCATGGAATTCGATGCTGAGTTTTGGCTAAAACTGGATCCTCCAGGTGCGTTCCTGGTACGAACTTTGAACGACTATGGCCAGGCTACGGACGACGATCGCGTGCGGGAACTCATCGAAGACAAACTGCCCACTGTGTCAGGATTCGCCGTCAGTCTTCAGAAACATCTCAATCTTCTGGCCGAAGATATTGAACGTTTCTCGGCACTGGACGAGGACGACCCGACGCTGGACAACGTAGACGAAGATGTGAACGATCGCACTTTCGTTGTCAACCAGCTTTTACAAATATCTCTCACCCTCGATTTCTCAGATGAACTTGGCAGAAGACAGATGTACAACCTTACACGAGATGCGGTAGGCCGAGCTTCTCTCCCAGACGAAAGCACAAGGGTAGCTATTGAAGTGCTCCGTATAGTATGCGGCAAGAGCGGCGAAGCGGACTTCTGCGCTCTTATTTCTGAAGCTATTGCAGAAGTACGTGACACACTGGCAGACGAGGACGACGACACAACCGAGGTTGGAGACGGCGCGGAAAGTTTCCATTCTGCTCAATCTGAGCGCAGCAGCCCTGCTCCAGCAGCCACTAAAGCGCCAAAGTCGTCAAAGAATACTACCCCTGAAGAGAGAGCGATGAGGGAACTTCAAGAGACTGCCGTGTACAGGAAGTGCCTGTGTATCGTGCATTACACGCTTCAGAACGTGACCTGCGACATAGAGACCAACACCAACTTGAGAAGCATGTTGAACACGCTTATCATCCCTGCTGTGCAGGACCAAGGCAACCCGGTCATTCGTGAGCTTGGTGTCCTCTGCCTTGGAAGCGCAGCTCTCCTTAATAAGGTAAGTAGCAGCAACGAGCCAACCCTTCAGACATTAACAGCTATAGGATCTCGCGGTCACGAACCTTCCGCTCTTCTTCTACTGCTATAACAAGGGACATGAGGATCTGAAGGTGATCGTGCTCCAAGCTCTCTGTGATATGGTCATGATACATCCTCAAATCCTAGCTCCACCCGAACCCGACCCCGACACGACAGAGCAGTCCGAGGTGCCCGAGCAAAGCCCAGCAATGAGACCACTGATCAAAGCTCTGCTTAGGGGCCTTGATTCAGATGATGCACAGGTCGGACAAACTGCATGTGATGCGGCGCAAAAGCTAGTTTTCTTTGACCTCCTACCTCCGGACGCAACCGAAGACATTGTCAGAGCATTTACGATGAAGTACTTTGATCCCGACGGGATTCAGAGTCCCGCGATGAAACAGGGGGTGACCTACTTCATCCCTGCCTTCTGTCATTCCAAGATCAAGAACGCCACTCTCATGGCTGGCATCACTGTTTCGATTGTCTCCAGACTCCTAGTCAACCGAGATGAGCTTGTAGAGGAAGAAGAAGGTGAAATGGTCGGCTGGCCTATCATCACCGCGCAATTGGCAGACTGGACAGATGGTCGCAAGGTCGTCGGTCAGTCAGAACTTGGCCTTGATGGAAAGACGAACTGGAGCGTAGAATCTGAGCTTCCTCACCTAACCCTTGCTGTGGATATCCTCGAGCGAGCTCTGACCAACACGTGCTCGAAGGAGGAGCGCAAGCCTCTTCTCTCATTGCTTACAAAGCTACATATATCTGCGACAGCGCCAAAGACGAAAGATGGCGAGACCGCAGATACCGAATATCTCGAGGCCGTCCAGGAACTCGTTGCCGAGGCAGTGGAAAACAGCATCGGTGTAGACGCAACACAGCGCAACGCCCTCATCAAGCTCGACGCAACGCTCACCAAGCGCCTCGGCGACGCCGCAGTCGTCCAGGAAGAACGTGAAGACACAGTAACCCCCGAGACCGCAAAGCCCAGCGAAACCCCCGCAGCGGAGCTGCGAGCAAGCGTCGCTCGTTCCAGCGTCGCCCCATCCGCAGACGCCAGCGACATGGAAGTCGATGACGACGACACAATGCTGGCAGGCATGCAAGGCGAGAGCACACGCGTGCCCCTGAACCCCGATGATAGCGAAAGCGACGATGCAGAGAGCACGCCGCGCCCTACGAGGAAGGCAGCGGAGAAGACGGAGGCGGACATTATGGATGAACTGCTTGCGAGTGACGATGATGTGGAGATGACTATGTAAATGGCGTGTTGTTATGTTGGCATGTAATTATGTACTGATGACGGCGATGGCTCGGCGTTTGGCTTTGGCTTAGGCCTTGGGCGGTAGCTCTTCTTGATACCCGTCGATATTTAGGGTGGGTCGCAATGCATGATATGTTATTCCACGTCTCGTCGAGTACTTACTCACCAGTCCATGCAGTGCTATGCTCGCCTTGATACGACCGTGATGTGTGATGTTCAGGATGTCTAGTTCAGATTCGCATGTCTACTTCTTACAGTTCTACGACTAGGAAACAACGTCTCGAAAACTCAACGAATCGCCTACAGCTTACTCTTCCCGATCCCCCAGACCTCTGCGCCAGGGTTATTCTCGTTCTTCCCCACCGTCGCACCCGGCGCAACCGGCTCCTGTCCCTCCTCGATAAACAGCGTCTGATTCTGCCTCATCGTCTCCACCGCCTCCCTCTCAATGCGCTTGAGCAGAACCTCATTCGTCGGGATATCATGAATCAGCCCAATCACCTGCCCCGCCGTCCAGACGCCAAAGTCCTTGTCGCCGTTCAAAAACACCTGCCTGCCGCGCTTCCCCGACACGTGCCCCGCGACTTCCTCGAACTTGCCCGTCGTGCTCTTCGTCTCGATATCCACCGCCTCCAGCGCCACCTTGTTCGCGAACAGCCGGCTTGTGTTCTTCCACCGCCGCAGCACGAGCGTGGTGTCGGTCTCCTGCGCGTCGACAATCGCCTGCTTGATGTTCACGTGGATGGGCGCCTCGACCGTGCACATGAACCGCGTGCCCATGTTGATTCCGCACGCGCCCAGCGCCAGCGCGGCTGCCAAGCCCTGGCCGTCCGCGAACCCGCCCGAGGCGATGAACGGCACGCCCAGGGTCTGGCGCGCGCGGCTTAGCAGGATGAAGTTGGTGATGTCTGTTTCGCCGACGTGGCCGGCGCACTCGAAGCCGTCGATGGACAGGAAGTCGACGCCGAGCTTCACCGCGGACTGCGCGTGCCGGATGGTGGTGCACTTGTGCAGGATGGTGGTGCCGGCGGCTTTGAGCTGCTTGATGACGGGGCCCGGCGAGTTGCCGGCGGTCTCGACGATGCGGATCTTCTCCTCGATGATGACGCGGGCGTAGGCGGCGTAGTCCGGGGGGACCATGGCGGGGAGGAGCGTCAGGTTGACGCCGAAGGGGTATTTGGTCATGGTGCGGCAGCGGCGGATTTCCTTGCGGAGGTCCTCAGGGGTGGGTTGGGTGAGGGCTGTGAGCTGGGCTTAGGTCAGTCGGTGAGGACATCAGGAGAGTGAGGTGTCGTACTATTCCCAGGCCGCCAGCGTTGGAGACGGCAGAGGCCAGCTCGGCGTAGCCGACCCATTGCATTCCACCTTGGACAACAGGGACTGGAGGAGTCAGTATGTGTGGAGTATGGGGTTGTTGGAAGAGACGTACTTCTGATGCCGAGGGCACGCGTGAGCTCTGTGTTGAACGGCATGGTGTGCGGACGTCTAGATGAGATGGAAAAGGAGACTGGAAGACGGGGCCGCGTCTGGAGGGATGGTGACGGGTTTATTGAAAGACAAGAGGCTCAACGGTCGGCAAGATGGTGCTGCGGCTACAACCTGGGGTTTTGTGTGGGGAAGCTTTTGAGCCGAGGCATTTCACGCGCCGCGCGAGTCGTGACACAAAGCGAGGATCGAGGCACGTCAGCTGCTGATGAGTGATCGCAAATCGTTCCTTGCAGTGCACGAGTCGAGGCCATCTACTCATCAGGGCATGGTTATTACAGATGAAGCGACTGATGAGAACATGACGGTATGCCTATCAGCCAGTCGCGCTTAACAGAGACGCGACACGAACGCACGATTGAACCCTTCTCGACGGTGTCTCTTCACATGTCAGCGCGCTGCTCCCTCTGAGAAAGGCATCTCGACCACTTGTTTGCAGAGAGATGTCACGCACTGTCAACCAGAGCCTCACGCACACCTCAAATGCACCAAACGTACGTACTGAGCTACGTAGTTTTAGAAAAACTTAGGCTGCCACAGGTCTGTCAATCCGGTGGTATTCTATCTAAGCCTACTAGCCCCCAATTCCGGGGGATCGATAGGTCAGACTGTCATGGATTATGTTCAAGTCAAGAATCGAAATCAGGGGTGCTAAGTGCGTGATCGCAAGAAGATGCTTGGGTATTAGACTGCAACTTCTTGTCTTCTGCTTGCAAGGTGACGTTGAGCGGATGGGGGAATTCAGGGTTCCCACAACTAGACAAGTTGACTATCTCACTGCTCACGAAGTATTCGTTGCTGACGTTCATTCCGATGGGCATGAAAGTTTGCCATGATGCCATCAGCTTTGCCAAAACATACCCAGGTGAGTCATGTTTGGTTCATTTAATTCAAGTACTTTCCCATCCAACCCGTGAGAGTGAAAATGCGCCCTAATGTTGAAAACAGTATCATCTTAACCGATGATGAAGGTCGTTGAATCAGGTGGCGTGTCACCATAGAGATCTTTGAGGAGTCCAGTAACGCCATCTGTGGTCCTGGGCTTCCATCCATGGACGTAGCAATCTCCAACGATTTTCGAAATATGACTCTCCTTACCATGCTCATTGACGTCCTTGCGCAACAGAATAGGTGCAGGAGCACCATCCAATGCAGCAACAACATCGCCCGGTTGGAGTTGACTACCGCTTAATCCCATTACACCGTTCTTAGTCCAAAAAATGCACCGGTCTATCAGTCTCCGCTTCTCATCTGGTCGAAGTACCTTAGCAAAGGATGGATTATTCGCTGGCAAGAACCGTCCCAAGCCCTCAATTTCTTTTTGATTTATGCTTATCACACTCAAGAAGACATTATAGAGCGTTTCGTTCAAGTAAGGTTGGTGCGAGAAAGTGGGCATCTGGAACTTGTTGCGCCCCTCGGCCTGTAGACGCTTTGGTTTTCTAACATGTGCTGGGCTGACTGCAAAACAGTTCTGGACATCCATGCGCCAGCAACTGTCAGCCTCGGGTACAGAGACCATGTGACTCATCAGTATGATGTACATGGCCATGAAACATCTAGAGACTGCTATACTGTTAGGTGCACCGGCTACCAGACAAGAACTTGGTCTGTTGTGCAGGCTTATTCGTTGTCGCCGTCGGCCTTCGCTACACCAGGAGCTATCTTCGAGGAACAGGGGCGAATAGCGATCCAACTCATCGTCGGTGGTGTTAAAATCCAGCTTCCCACATATCGTGTCTACATAAATGCCCTTTATATGCAAGTAGCTGTCTGGATCGACGTCCAATGTTTTTGGAAGATGCAATCCGTTGATGTATGCGATAGACCTCGATATGCCGATTGGGACGTAGGACAGTTTGCCAAACGGAGGTACATAAGATGGAAGTCCGGTTGATTCGGCATCTATGCAGCATGCATATAGTATCGAAAAGTCTCCAGACTTGAGAGACTTCGAAACAAAATCTGCGTACACCACCTTCGCAGACAGTGTGTAGTTCGGAATGATATTGAGGTCGTGAGCAATTCCGAGCATAGCATATATGCGATCACGATCGTCCATACACGAGCGTTGCCGTGAGAGATCCAAGAAACATTGTGTCAACGTCGCTTGCGCTTTGCATTCGAACACTTGCGGGCTCTGTAGCAGGTCCCTGTACTCAAATAGACGTTGGATGAAGCCAAGACTCTCGATCACTTCAGGCTCGATCACTTCAGACTTGATCTCTTCAGACTCGATCACTTCAGAATCGGTCACTTCCGCGGGATTGACCGAGCCGGGACGATGAATCATATCAGGGCGCTCAAGCAAGCCGTCTGGTACGAACCCCGGAGCCATGACAGTCTCCTTGATCCTAGACTCTGAAAACTCATGAGAGCCCATTTGAAAGTAGACCGAACGTGCTAGGAGGAACTCTTGAAGTATCCATACACGAGAGAACCTATTTGTTGATGAGTACATACCATGAGAAAAATAAGATGCGCGATAAATGAAGATCCGACTCTGAACTTACCAGGAAATACCCAATAATCGCGGAACGCGATGCACATCAGACTCTAATTTTTGGTGGTGAAGTCTTCCATATTCGTAGACAGTCTGCCATATAGGTAGGAATATCTTAACCAAGTCCCAAGACTCATCCTCTCCCAACCAAACAACGACCGCAGATGCCTCACGGTAGATTCGACCCATGTGAGCCACTTGATGCATTTTCTCATCCAGATCATCCTGATTGATGCACAGTGCATCTATCCATAGCGTTCGAGGTTTTGTCAATCGTAAACGGCGCAGACCGTCGCCAAGGTTCCGTCTGATGGGAATACAACACTCTCTGTTGTTGGCTGAATTGCAAACAAGGATGATATCATCATTTCCGGGCTCGCCCCACGCGTAAGATAACGCTTCATATCGAGTGGTTTGGCGATCGTGGCATTCGGTGATGTGGCACCTTAGAGGCGAATGGTATGGTCCAGGCAGAAGCGTAAGCAGTCTGATCGAAGTATGCTGGTGCAACGGCGAATGTTGATAAAGGCACTCATCTATCGATGCCATGACTTCGCGAATGTTGACCGAAACAGTGAGCGAGCGAAACAGCCTTTAAATTCTCGACATCTGAGCGTAGCCTGCTGGCACAGCCACCTCGGAACATGCAGGCGCGACCGCCACTTTCCTCTTTCGATAATGTGGGGCTGCAATGCATGTAATTGATAGGTGCCAACAGTGCGGTACAAGACATTCCAATTAGTGAGAAGTTGTGAACTGACGAGACAGTAGCCCCAGTTGAAGACGCAAGTCCAGCAGTAGAAAACGCTTCTGGCAATGCTTCTGGCAGTGCTTCTGTTGAAGAAGCTGCTCAAGCGAGTAACAAATGAATGTAGTATCAAACCTTTCCATGGTTGCATATTTCCGAGCAAGACAGTTGGCCTGTCTTACTGTCCATTCTCCTTAAGTATCGCATCCGCGATCTTACCAGCAAGCGCATACACAGTCGCGCTCAAATGCCCACTAATCTGCGTCGGGAAAATACTCGCATCCACAACTCTCACATTCCGCGTCCCATAAACCTTTCCCTCGTTATCAACCACGCCTCCCAAGTCCCTGGCCAACATCCCGCACGTAGTCACCGGATGCGAATTGCCGTTGAAACTGCCCCTGATCCACTTCGCCCACGCCCCGTTGACATCTGCATACGAAGCATTCTTGGGCACCACAGCAAAGCCCGGTGATACCTCGTCAATCACGTGTTCCGAGAGCGGCGACGTAGCAAACAGTTCTCGGGCGCGCACTGCAATGGCAGCCTGGACGATCGTGTCGATGGGAAGCTGGAGAAAGTTTGGATTGATCGAGGGCTGCGAGAGTGGGTTTGTCGAATTGATGTGTATCTCGCCCCTTGAGAATGGTAGGAGGTTCCAGAACTGCGCTACAATGGCGTTACCAGTAGGGAACCAGAGGATCTCAGCAAGTGGTACGGTTGAGTTGGGGCTGAAGACGAGATCGAGCTGGTGTTGGACAAGCTGTTCTTGAGCTTTGAGGGTTGTGGAGTTTGGGGCGTAGTCCGAGAGGATAAGTTCAGCGTAGGAAGTCAGATTCAATTGGATTTCATGGCTGATGGACGGTAAAGCGGCGCCAAACAAGTCGGATGCTGTGAGAAAAGTTGCGAAGGTTGCATATCCGGTCCAGTTTGTTGAGGAAGAGTAGAAGATGCTGTTTGCTGGCTGGTCTTGTAAATTTGACCCCACAGATGGGAGAGGTATGACAGTTTCGATCCCGAGTGGCGATAAAATAGATGGATTGCCAATTCCTGACAGCTCTAGTATAGCAGGAGACCTGATGGAGCCAGCAGATACGATAACTTCTTTGATAGCTTCCAACCTTCGTATCGTTCCGTCTGATCTGACGATTTCGACACCTGAAGCAGACTTTTCCGAATCGTCAGATGGTTGTTTCCAGAGTATGCGCGACGCTGTAGTACTGCAGAAGACGTGTAGATTTGGTCGTTCCTCAGCAATAGGGTAGTAAAACGCTCTCGCTGCGTCCTCTCTTATTTTCGTGGAGGCATTTAGCGTCATTGGCCACACATCAAACCCAGGCATACTACCCGTATTCACATCTCTGTTCCATGTATAACCTTTGGCCTGGTGAGTGTCGCTCAAGATACGAAACGCCCCTTGTCCAGTCAAGTACGGCGTGAACCCTACGTCAAGCTCTCCTTCGAACCCATGAGCACTCTCCTTAAAAGTTGCGCCGCTCGCTTCCTGCTGCTCGGTTGGCTTCAAAAAGTTCTCTTGCTCCACATAATACTCCGCCAGAGTGTCCCATTGCCATCCCTCGTTACCCAAACCTTGCCAGGCGTCGATTTGCCGTTTCTCGGCTCGTACGTACGTCATTCCATTGATCAAAGACGAGCCTCCCATACCTTTCCCCGCCCAATACGGCAAGGTAACGTTGCCGCTCGCAGCATACTTCTGGGGCTCGGTGGTATAACCCCACTCGACAGAGGTGCCCAAGCCGAGACCGAATTCTGTAATAGATTTGGGCACGTAAGTCACGTTTGGGTTGTTGAAGGCCGAGTTCCCAGCCTCAATGACGGCGACGGTGATCGTTGGGTCTGCAGAGAGGCGGTTGGCGAGGGCAAGGCCTGCGGTTCCACCACCTACTATGACGTAGTCAAAGTTCGGCACAGGATTGCACGTCGCAAGGAGGGCTTGAGCCGTTGCAAGTAGTGAGATTTGGTTCAACATCATCGTATCCGACTTGCGAAGGGATTAATGCCTCACAGTTGGATGGTTTGGCGGTCGTCTTATATGCAGCTACTTCGTGGTGCGCTAGTGCGATGTGGTGATTGGTCAAATGGCAGCGTCAGTGAACATTGCTTGGCGGAAAGGTCCGTTGTACCTGCAACAAGGTATTTCATGAAACGATAAGGTAACGTGCGGCAAGTTGGTAGCATTTCTTATCAATAGGCAAAGCTGTCCCCAGTTTGTATCTGTTTGCGACCTTTCCAAGCTTGCGCGAATTGGTCGAGTAACGGAGGACTGAAGCTGGCCTTCGCAAGAGTCTGGGGGATCAACCCATCAAGTGTCTTTTGGGATACTTACGCTCCAAGACCAACTGCCAGCAGAAATTGCCGAGTGGTCGTTTGGAGCAACGCGACATTGCTTGCATATAATGTTTTTAGCCTACAAGGCTTGGCTGCCATGGACTGTTGACGGGTCAAGAGTAGTACGGAGATTGAGCATCACTCGCAGCGGTGACAAGAGCTTTGAAAAGAGAAAATCTGTACAGCTACCACAGCGAGATACCGCTCAGCTCGCCCTCTACCCTGAGCTCTAAACGAGCTTTAGTCCAGTTCGCGATATGGAAAATGTCACATAGTGATACAGCAGCCTGCCCTCCAGCTCCGCCTGTCTAGATCGAATGACGATTTTATCGGCATTTACATGTTTACGCTTGTAGGCTCGTTGGGATTATTGATCGGCGGGAAACATGAGGTATGGCGGATATGAGATTGTGACTTTCTACTTCTCATCAGGGTACATGGTCTCCTTCAGAGGGATACCGAGCTCTTCGCGGATCGGCTCAAGCTCCTGGAGGTACTCCTCATACTGGGTCTTGTTCTCAACCTTGAACTTAATTCCTATCGGGTGCGTTAGTAATCAGATTCGTCTGAATGGCTCCGAGTGACTGAATGTGCAATGAAACAACGAATTGGAGCAGGTAGATTGCTGAAATGGCGTCTGCTGTCGAAGCGCTAATGCAGAACGTGTTGGACAGTGTACGTACCCTCGAAGACTCGGACGGCCGAGGGGAAGTCATTGACACGCCTGGCAGCCTGGAGAGCGGCGGTGATGACGGAGGGGGAGGGGACAAGATCGTAAGCGAAGCAGTTGTTCAGGTTTCGCTGTGCCACGGTCAGTCAATTGCTCCTGCCGAAAGCTCCCTGCGAGCCAACCCGAGCTGTTCGGGTAATGCCGGTGGGGTACATGTGTCGTGCTCAAAGAACGTACCTGAAGCTCGAAAACATCGTTGACCTTCTCAAACTCCTTCTCGTACCTGTTCCAAAGACGCAAAAGTCAGCGATACAGCTTCTCCGCAGCTCCCCAGAGCTCAATGGCTGGCACATGTCTCCGAAACAACTCCTCCCCCTGTCCGAACCTGCAGCCCCTCCAGAGATGCGTCATACCTGGCAGTGAACTCCTCAAATGTCTCCTCGGCGTGCGCATCGCTGCACCTGACGGCGGACTGGGAGAAGGCGCGCCGGGCGTTCAAAGCGACGGGAGTCGAGCGGTAGACCGGGGCACGAGCGGCCGCACGGCTGATCTTCGAGGTGGCGCGAACAAAGGACATCTTGCGTCTCAATTAGCCTGGACGTAGCTTCAGGAGCGGTTGCGCGAGGGTTTGGGGGCGTGGCCGTACGGTGATGTTGTCGGTGGTGATTCGGAGGTCGTACTGTGATGTTGGTGCGTCGCTCTCCAGATTCTTGCTCATGACCTGATCCTTGGCATTGCGGCCCATGCGTTGCATCTATCGGCATACCCTACGCAAGCGTAAACATCACGAAGGATTCTCCAGTCACGAACATCGGTATCGTTTGCCATAACATCGTCATTGTGGATTAAGACTGGCTCATAGAATCAGGTAGAAGTGAAAGTGTCGCTGCCGTGAAATTCTCTGAACAGCCTACAATCTGTTCAAACCCGCTATACTTTGTACAATCCACCGAATGGCATCGGTCCCTCTGAGACTGCTCGTGCAGACATAATGACCGCTTGATCATAATCATCTTCTTCTTCCTCATCTTCCCCGGAAACTTCCTGATCTAAACCATGTTCTCCATGCTCTCCTTCATCCTCATCTTCGTCCTCATCGTCATCCTCATCGTCTTCGCTATCACTGTTCTCAACAGTCTCTGCAACCTCAGTTGAAGTTGCTTCTGCTGTATCTGGGTCGTCCGGATATTCGGTCAGATCTTCGGGAATCTCTGCGTCCTCTGCAAGGGCTGTGGCGGGGCTTTCGTCTGTACTGCTTATTGTGTCCTTCTCCATCTTCTCAAACGCGTATCGTGGGTTCCTTGCAGCAATACGGACGCTATGCATGACTTGGTGTTCGCGTCGTCTTGCTCCATGCATCTCGCGGTCGTTGACCTCATCTCTGTAGCTATCATAGATCTCCTTGTCGTCCCAGAGTTCTGGCCACTGACAGATGCGCTGATACAAAGAATCGTCAGGTAACTCACCGCCTATGATTTCATTCATCTTGTCCTTCAATATGACGGTTGCTTTGGCCCAGGTGCCTACGTGGTACCATCCTTGAAAGGTTGGAGCGCAATTTGTCCGGATGTCATTTGTTGCCAGTATTCCGGCAAGGAGCGGATCGGTAATATCACAAAACTGGAATGTGTTACCTGTTTCTGAGGCATGGACGCCGTCGAACGTATGCTGATGCTCGAGCTGTTCTGCTGTCATCCGACCCAGCTCCTGGATGTGCTTGTCGAACGCATCATGATGCCTAGCAATACCTCGTTTCTTGTAAGACATAAATGAGACAGTTTGGTACTTTCGGTATAGGGGGTTTTTGCGAGGATCGACTCCCCAAGCGACAAGTGCCTCTCGCCAGGGCCCACTCTCGAAGAAATAGCCGCAATACACAGCGGCTTGTCGCAATCGAGTGCGCTTATCCCAACCAAGTTTGTTGTAGAGCATGTGGCGCGTGATGATAGGTCGTTCTTTCAGCAGATCCTTGATTTGGGCAACAAGCGTCTGTAGATAAGGCGTAAGGGATGACTCTGGTTGCAGAGTGGATTTGGGTTTTGTTGGCACATTATCGTCGGTAGGCTTGAGAATAATGTAGCTACTGTACTGGAAGCGTCTTTGCAAGTTGATCGCGCCCTGATCAGTATACTTGACGTAAGCGTTTTGTTGGAACCTGAACAAGAGTGAGTAAAACGCGCTCGACATGCGGAGGCACCTTACTTGTAGTTGAATGCAACGGGCATCTGTAGAAACTCTGCTGAGGGACCAACGCTCTTGGTGAAGTCCGCGCCAGCCGCGGTGTCCAAGTTATACTGCTTCAGACTGGCATCTCCAAAATTGTCAGCTGTAACATAGCAAGTATTCAGGACTTTGCTTACAGCGTGCAGGCAAGACATAGTCTCGGAGACCGATCATCACATCATTCTGAGATGCTGTGTACTGCAAGTCCGGCATGGCTGTGAAGTTAGCAGCTGTGCCGGTCATCTACAGTAATGACGCATTTACCTCGAAAACGATGGGTCTCGTCGACGATACCAGCCAGCGCCACTTGGTATGTTGAGGCATTGTCCTGCAAAGTTCGATAGACGTCTGAAGCTTCCATATAGGTGCTACTCGCTCCCTCAGGTCCGTCTTCCGGTAAGAACGGACCTGTAGTACCACGCTTCCGTTTTCTGCCAGTTCGCCTGGGCACTGTTACCTTCAGTAGTAGATTGTTGGTTGTTACCGGCGTTGACAGCAAACGCTTGGCGAAAGGGTCGTTTGGCCGCAGTGACACAGAGATGAGCTTTTTGAGGTCATCGTCACCATCAGGATTGGTGTTTGTCTCCAGTCTGGATCTCAGACCCTGGAATGCGCGTCAGCGATCAGATGTGGACTTGCTCTGCGTCCTCTGACCTTGCTCAGCTTGACTGGCCCGCCCAAAGAGGTGATGCCCTTGTCAACATTTTTGATGATGCATGGATGCTCGATGGCCGAGACAGCGCGAGACGGGATGGGTAGCCACGGCGCGAGCGCGGTGTTGACGCCCGGGGAGCTCACGTCACGTCGGCTGTTGTTCATGGTGGACGTGAGAAGATGGAAATATGTGTGAATGCCTGCAAGCTGCCTTTCTTGTGAAAAAGGGTCTAAAGCTGATGCGAGCCACTGGTCGTAGTTTGCAGCAATCCTGTCGCATTGCGCGAGTTCGTGTCCTGGCTGCGTCTTCCAGACTTCTGCGATCTACGATGCAGCACACACCCAGTCTGCACTAGGTAGCAATGGCATTGCGTTGCAGCAGTGGTGATGCACTCTGTGGCCGCTGAGATTGGGCGGGGTGGGCACGGTTCGCTAACCTGTGCGAACGGCATCTGGGCTCCACCAGCTCACATCACGCTGTAGCCCTGAGTTGGCACGTTGAACTCCCTACACGCATTCATCCTCTCCACCGCCCCCGAGCACGCCCACCTGTCTTCTGACGTCGCCGCCCTGCCTTCCGGTCAGTGCGTGGTCGCCTGTGCACGAGCTGCCTGCCCCCTCTTCTGCGAGCTCCTCGACGCCGACGCCCGTGGATCATCCTGAACACCAACACTCGCGACGATCTCGCCGGGCACGCGTCCGTCCTCGATGCCGACTTGAGCCCTGCACACACCACTCTCTGCGACATCAAGTGTACATCACGTGTCTCCCCTCCTGCATTGGCGCTGTTGGGTCGCGACTTCACAACGGACGCCTCGAGGGTCTTCCCATTCCGGACGCACCTCCGTCTCCGCATTACTTCCGCACCGCTTAACGTGCTGCACTCGCGCAGGCCGCAGCAGTCATGAAGGGCTTCAGGCAAAGGGTTGTAAGTCCCCACCATGCACTTGGTTGTTGCGTCTCCTTTCTCCCCTCCAGCCCCGCCTCTCTCGCGCAGGCGCAGAAGCTAACATGGTTAGCATGAACAGCTCTCAAGAGCGAAAGACGGCAACAAGTCATCTAAGAAGAAAGACTCGTCTTCCGGCACCGCATCGCCTTCGCAGGGCGCCAGCTCCCCCGCCAACGTCACGCCTTCCTCGTCGCAGACACAGCTCGCAGACGCCCGCAAGAACGCGCCCTCGGCAGATGGCCAGCCCAGCAGCGGCTCTCTGCAGTCCGGTCAACACGGCGCGCCAGGCGCAGCAGGCGGCGCAATGTTTGGCGGTCCTGGAGGCATGACGGGCGGAGCAGCCGCAGGCGCCACTGGCGCCGTCGCACCCCACAGAATGGGACAGCCCCTTGTGCCCAACGTCACCATCAGCCCAAGCGCTCCTGTAAGTCGGCATCTCCCAAACCAAAAGCGCACAAACTGACATTATCGCGATAGCACATTCCCCCTCCCGGCGCGGCTGAAACAATGCCTGGCGACCTTCAACCTCCCAAGGCTGGCCAGAAGTCGACCGTATTCGATCGCCTCCAGGCCACTCCGAAAGACAACATCGAGGGCATTCGGACGCCAAAGCGACAGCACTCGTCTAGATTCGACATCTCCGATCAGCGTCAGCGCGAATTGGAGAAGCTGCCGGGTTTCCATGAGGTGCCACCAAACAAGAGAGAGGAGCTTTTTGTGTCGAAGATCGACCAGTGCAACATTATCTTCGACTTCAACGATGCTAGCGGTGACATGAAGTCGAAGGAGATCAAGCGCCTGGCCCTCCACGAGTTGCTTGACTACGTTGCCAATAATCGCCAGGTTATCACAGAGAAGATGTACCCACTCGTCGTTCAAATGTTCGCCAAGAACCTGTTTCGCCCTATTCCTCCTCCGATGAACCCGCAAGGAGAGGCTTTCGACCCAGAGGAGGACGAGCCGGTGCTGGAGGTAGCGTGGCCACATATTCAGGTCGTCTACGAGTTCTTCCTCCGATTCATCGAAAGCCAAGACTTCAACACAAACATTGCCAAAGCGTACATAGACCATAGCTTTGTGCTCAATGTAAGTTGCATGTAGCACATATGGGGAGGTCATCACTAACCGGCTGTAGCTTCTGGAATTGTTCGACTCCGAGGATCCGCGCGAACGTGACTTTTTGAAGACCACGCTCCACCGTATATACGGAAAGTTCCTGAACCTCCGCTCTTACATTCGTCGCTCTATCAACAACGTCTTCTTCCAGTTCATCTACGAAACCGAGAGATTCAACGGAATCGCTGAGCTGCTCGAAATTCTGGGGTCAATCATCAATGGTTTCGCTCTGCCACTCAAAGAGGAACACAAACTCTTCCTCACGCGAGTGCTGATTCCACTGCACAAAGTAAAGAGTTTGAGCATGTATCACCCACAGCTGGCGTATTGTATTGTTCAATTCTTAGAAAAGGATGCCGCGTTGACAGAAGAGGTCGTCCTGGGTCTCCTCCGCTACTGGCCAAAGGTGAACAGCACCAAAGAAGTTATGTTCCTAAATGAAGTGGAGGATATCTTTGAGGTCATGGATCCGGCCGAGTTTGCGAAGGTGCAGGAGCCGCTGTTCAATCAACTGGCAAAGTCGGTGGCCAGTCCTCATTTCCAGGTTTGTCTCCCTCAATATATGGCTCCTTTCTTTACTGACTTCTGGTACAGGTCGCTGAACGTGCACTCTACTTTTGGAACAACGAGTACTTCTGCAATTTGGTCAGCGACAACGTTGAGGTCATTCTGCCAATCATGTTTGCTCCATTGTACGAGAACTCCAAGGGTCATTGGAATAGGTATGACGCCCCGCAGACCGGCGCCGCTTGTACACTCGCTAAATCTGTGACAGGACTATCCACGGCATGGTGTACAACGCCATGAAATTGTTCATGGAAGTAAACCCCCAGCTATTTGACGACTGCTCGCATGACTATGCCGAATCCCAGAATAATGCAGGTCAAAGAAAACAGAGTCGGCAAGACCGCTGGGATAAGCTCGCTCAGCTCGCTGAAGCACGTCAAAATGGAACCGCGCCACCGCACGATTCAGATCCGCTCAGCCAAGGACGATTGGAAAACCTACGGCTGCAGGATGACGGAGCTGCGCGAGACAGGCGGCCAAAGGAGTACGAGCGGCAGAGCAGCCAAACTTCGGTACGTTGATTCTTAAGTCCTTAGAACTCAGGATGAGCTTTTTCTACGGCCGAATCGATGTACTCTTAATTCTATCCCTAGACTTCTAGGTCGTTTTCTTGTTCAAGACTTGCATTTTCGGTTCAGGTGGATCTGACTCGTTCGTGCTTGCTCATTGCAGCGCCGGAATCATGTCGCTCATGGCGGCCATCACGCTCATACGACGGGACGGAGGGCATCTGTTGGTCGACCTCGAAGCAACAGCCAGTCTAGCGGTGGCACGACGTCGTCGCGCAACGGTGCACCCCTCGTTCGCACAAAATCGGGTGAAAAACCTGGCAAGGCAATCACGAGAGTCGTCTCGAATTAGCGTCATGGCGAGCAATATATTACTTTCATTTGCAGTGGTTTCTCCTCGTTTCCTTGTGTTGGGTTCTCACAGTTGCGGTCTTAGTCGGCTACGTGGACGGATAGAGTTTGGCAAAAGCAGGTAGGGCATACTGTATTCGAGCATTCGTTTGACCGTCTGCTGCTGCTTTTCGAAGAACGGAGGACAGCAATGTAATTCTTTCCAATATTATAGATACATACACACTTAATCCCTTTTGCAAGCCATCTATCTACGCCGCCGCTGCCTTCGGCTTAGCTCGGGTTTTCGGAACACTTGGCATGCCGATGCTACCGCGCGGATACCCCAAGAGATCCAAATTCGCACATGCCATTGCGTTCACATGCAGCAGCTGCCATTGTTGACTTCTACGTCATCGACTAGGTATCACGGTCGGCAATGCACCGAATACTGCAGCTAGAGATGTATGAAATGCAGTGGCCGCTGCCCTATCAGGGCTGAGTCAGCATTGCCTGTAAGCACACGATGACAACGGTGAACCTGTGAAGACTGGAGTGATGCGACGCATTCCAGCCAATCAGATTCGGGCAATTGCCTCGGCCAGCGAGCTGTAATTTGTGCGGTACGATCTGAGTAACGGCAACGCATTCGGAAAGCGCGGAGGTGGAGGACGTTCATCTCCGACCTCCTTTTGGCTGGTTGCGAAAAACATTGGCGCTTGACCAACAAAAGCCGCGCTGGACCACTTCTTTCTCGCATCGTCGAGGTGCTCGTGTCTTCTTCTTCACACCTTTCTTCGTCGTTCCTTTGGCTTCAGCTGCCACGTCTCAATACGCGCTGTTTGGTCCACACCAACAGTCCTTCAACGCAGCCTTCTCCTCCAAGAGCCGACTGTCCATAGGTCTCGTTCGCCTGCGTCGATTCTCGCACACTACACACAATGGGTCTTGAATGGCTTGAGGTCGGCGCCCCGACGCTGGACCGCCCCTTCGGTGTCGCGCTGTGGCCTATCTTTGAGAAGGCTTTCGAGCCAATCGTTGGCTACAAGCCTCAGGACTTCCGCTTCGTGCCCGGCGAGACACCCCTCTCGACGTTCAAGACATGTGCTGCCTTCCTTGTCACATACTACATTGTCATCTTCGGCGGTCGCGAGCTGATGCGCGGACGTGAGCCTTTCAAGCTCAACTTCTTGTTTAAGGTCCACAACTTTTACCTTACCGCCATTAGCGGTATCCTCCTCGCGCTCTTCGCTGAGCAGCTGATCCCCACGGTTGTCCGTCATGGTCTTTTCTACGCGATTTGCGATCACAACGGTGGCTGGACAGACAAGCTGGTTATTCTGTACTACGTATGTGCAGTGGTCGGAATCTACAAGACTAATGCTAATTCTGTGCAGCTCAACTACCTCACCAAATTTGTCGAGTTAATTGACACATGCTTCCTTTTCCTCAAGAAGAAGCCACTGAGTACGAAGTCGCCGACATCTGCACTGCATCAAAGCTAACGATTACAGCCTTCCTCCACACCTACCACCATGGCGCGACTGCTATGCTCTGCTACTCCCAGCTTATCGGCCACACCCCCGTTTCCTGGCCTGTCATCACGCTGAACCTGGCTGTTCACGTCGTCATGTACTGGTACTACTTCCAGAGCGCGCGCGGCATCCGTATCTGGTGGAAGAAGTACATCACCGTTGGCCAGATCACCCAATTCGTCCTTGATCTTGGTATGCATACATGGCCCTAAAACCCTGGATTCAGTAACTGACTTGGCTCACAGGCTTCATCTACTTTGCCTCGTGGACTTATTTCACCAGCACCTACTTCCCCGAGCTGCCCAACTTGGGCAAGTGCGCTGGCGAGGAGTTCGCCGCCATTTCCGGCATGGTCATCATCACTTCGTACCTTTTCCTCTTCATCGGCTTTTACCTGGCTACATATAAGAAGCCAGTGCCCAAGGGCCGCCGCAGGGCTACAAGCGCTTTGGTTGAGATGAAGGACGAGAAGGTACCGACAGTTGGTGAAGCCCGCAGGCGTCTTTCCACTTCTCGTCCTGCCTCCATCCTGTCTAACGGTGCCGCCACAGGTGCTTCGCCCAGTGGAACACCCAGTGGTCGCACTACCCGGAGTCGCAAGGCCTAGTTTGGCCGTGTGCTAAATGATCCATAGCTGAGCACCAGGCTGTGAAAGCGACTTCAGAGCGACTGGATAGTTTTCCAAACGAGCGCGCCGGGTAACGATTGCACGGCGGCTCTTCGCGTCCATTTGAAGCTACGACTCGAGGTCTCGCAGCCGCGCGCACTGAGTGCGATACTGCACGCTCCACGAATCGTGCTCCATCTTCATTCTTCGGCACAGCGCAGTCTGAGAGGCTGCAATTTTGTATTTTATTGTAATTGTCACGGTGTGGGGTTGCTCACTTAACGGCACCTCCTGTCACGAAAAGTCGCAACGTACGTTACATGCATGTAAGACCAAAGGGTCGGGCTCACGACTGTCTTACTGGTGGTGTTGGTTTGGGTTTTTCTGCTCTGTAATTATCATGTAGAATAGAGGAGTGAAGTGTAATGCATGACCAGCGACATATCTATTGCATTCACTGCCATTGTGGCTTCTAGGTGACCTGCATAAGCCGTGTCTTACTTCTAATGCCCCATCTGTGAGTGTGTACGGAGCAGTACATCTACGAGAATACTCCTTACATGTCTCACACCAACCAAGAGTCGTAGTGCGTCTGGCACAAGCATTGAAGCCTGAGAAGCGTGACGAAGCAATCAGAAGCCTAGGAGAACACATAACCTGGGTCTAGTCCATATGTAGACAAGCGCGATGCGCGACTCTCAGCACTGCCAATCAGATCGCTCAAATCAGCGTCCAAGCGTCGTCGGGGTCTGCGCGACTCCCGCAGCGAAAGCGTTCTCAGCGTTCAAGCTCCAGTTCGCGATTCACACGACACAACACGCGATACGCGTCCACCACCCAACCACGGCCTCTCCTTTCCCGTTCACGAACATAATGACCCACTAGATATCAACCTCTTCTAATTCGACATCAACCTAAATTAACACAGACACTTGCCCGCCGTCAAGTGGAGCGGATCAGGCGCAAACGGAACGACTACCAATCAATGCAGCCTTCGGAGACGCTTTTCCTGTGACGACGCAGTGGGAGGATATAGACAACCCAGCCTGACTGGAGGATCTAGCCTGATTCGAGGATCTTGCAGAGTGCAACCAGCAGCTGCGCGCTGCGCACACCTTCGTCATGGCGACGCACAACTTTGAGGCTATGGCCTCGAAGCTAGATGACCCGAGCTCTGGTAGGGCAATCTTCAATACGGCGCGACATAGAGGATGAAAAGGCGTCGATACTGCAGGAAGGCTGGAATGCTGACATGGCGCAGATCTTAGGACAAAAGAGAAGCTTGTGGTTGAGATACGAGACAGCATCGAGAGCTACTGCCAGGGTGTGCAGTATGCGCAATTCATGAATGCTTTAGTACCAGCATTCCTGAAGATCCTCGATGGCAACCCAGTCTTCATATCCACATCTCCAGAACAGGTGAGTGTGCACCTTGCGATGACAGCGACGTACTGATGACTTGAGTAGCGAATACGGAACTGCGTACTCGAGATCCTTCACCGACTACCTATGACCCCCGGCGATGCTATCGAGCCCCATGCGGCAAAGATCGTAGACAAGCTTATGAGCCTTGTGAAGCTGGAGAACGAGGATAATGCGGTGCTTTGCATGAAGACCATTATGGACTTTCAGCGACACCAGACGAAAGCACTGCAAGATCGGGTGCAGCCTTTCCTGGACCTCATTCAGGAAATGTTCGAGACCATGGAGCAGGCTGTACACGATACATTCGACAACGCCGCACCAGCGCCAGCGTCGCAAGGCGTGCCTTCCACGCCGAGCAACCACCAATACTCACAATCTCCACGGCCGAACTCGCCCGCTACCGCCCTCACATCAGGTTCAGCCGGCGACTTGGGGCAGGAAACTCAACAAACGCGCATGCTGTTGAAGGGGATGCAGTCCTTCAAGGTGTTGGCAGAATGTCCGATCATCGTAGTGTCGCTCTTCCAAGCGTACCGCAATTGCGTGAACAAGAACGTTAAACTTTTTGTTCCCCTAATCAAAAATGTGCTGTTGCTGCAAGCCAAGCCGCAAGAGAAAGCTCACGAAGACGCAAAGGCACAGGGCAAGATTTTTACCGGGGTCAGCAAAGACATTCGAAACCGCGCAGCGTTCGGCGATTTTATCACGGCACAAGTCAAAACCATGAGCTTTCTGGCGTACTTGCTTAGGGTGTATGCGAACCAACTCAACGACTTCCTGCCTACGTTGCCTGACATCGTCGTGCGACTACTCAAGGACTGCCCTCGTGAAAAGTCTGGGGCGCGTAAGGAGTTATTAGTGGCGATTAGGCACATCATTAACTTCAACTTTCGAAAGATCTTCCTCAAGAAGATCGACGAGCTGCTGGATGAGCGAACTCTGATTGGGGATGGTCTCACCGTGTATGAGACGATGAGGCCACTTGCATACAGCATGCTTGCAGATCTTATACACCACCTTCGAGACTCGCTATCGAAGGAACAGATCCGACGCACCGTTGAAGTTTACACCAAGAACCTACATGACAGCTTTCCAGGTACAAGCTTCCAGACCATGAGCGCAAAACTATTGTTGAACATGGCGGAATGCATTGCCAAACTGGAGCCGAAAGAGGACGCTCGATACTTCTTGATCATGATCCTGAATGCCATTGGGGACAAGTTTGCGGCTATGAACCGCCAGTATCATAACGCGGTAAAACTTTCGGCACAATACAGTCAGCCTTCGATTGATGCCACAGACGAGAACCACATGGCCGTACAAGAACAGCCTCCTGATTGGGACGAGATCGATATCTTCAACGCGACACCAATTAAGACATCGAACCCGCGAGACAGGAGCTCGGATCCGATTGCAGACAACAAGTTTTTGTTCAAGAACCTGCTACATGGGCTGAAGAACCTGTTCTACCAGCTTCGTGCTTGTAACCCTCAGAAGATCAAGGAAGAAATTGACGTTGCAAATGCTTCAGCCAATTGGCACGAAGTCTCGTTTGGCTACAATGCCGAAGAAGTCGAAGTGCTCATCAAGCTCTTTCGCGAGGGTGCTAAGGTCTTCCGTTACTACGGCACCGAGAAGTCCTCTGAGACGCAGGGACTCTCACCAGGCGATCTTATGGGCAATCAACACATGATGTCGAGCGGTAAAGAGGAGAAGGAACTGCTCGAGACGTTTGCAACCGTGTTTCACCATATCGATCCAGCGACTTTCCACGAAGTGTTTTCCTCCGAGATACCCCATTTGTACGATATGATGTTCGATCATCCGGCGTTGCTCCATGTTCCACAGTTTCTGCTCGCTTCAGAAGCAACCTCTCCCAGCTTTTCTGGAATGTTGTTACAGTTTCTCATGGACCGGATCGAAGAAGTCGGTACAGCAGATGTTAAGAAGTCGTCGATTCTGCTGCGACTCTACAAACTCTCATTCATGGCAGTCACGCTGTTCTCCCAGCAGAACGAGCAAGTCTTGCTACCGCACGTCAGCAAAATCATCACAAAGTCAATACAGCTGTCAACCACTGCTGAAGAGCCGATGAACTACTTCTTGCTTCTCAGGTCCTTGTTCCGAAGCATTGGTGGTGGCCGGTTCGAGCACTTGTATAAGGAGATTCTTCCCTTGCTAGAGATGCTGCTAGATGTGCTCAACAACCTACTGATTACAGCCCGCAAGCCAGCAGAGCGTGACTTGTTTGTGGAGTTGTCGCTTACGGTACCGGCACGATTGAGCAACCTTCTCCCGCATCTGAGCTATCTGATGAGGCCACTTGTCGTAGCTCTACGAGCAGGGTCGGACCTGGTCGGCCAGGGCCTGCGAACACTTGAGCTGTGCGTTGACAACCTTACCGCGGATTACTTGGATCCCATTATGGCACCAGTAATCGACGAGCTCATGGCAGCATTATGGGAGCATCTTAAGCCGAACCCCTACAGCCATTTTCATGCGCATACTACAATGCGAATCCTTGGTAAGCTTGGGGGTCGGAATCGAAAGTTCATCACCGGTCCTCCCGAGCTAAATTTCCAGCCTTACTCTGACGACCAAGCATCTATCGACATTCGACTCATCGGCTCTACTAAGGACCGCGCTTTCCCTGCTGTCATTGGTATCGAGGCCGCTATCGCAAAACTCCACGAAGTGCCTAAGACGCCGGCGTCTAAGAAATCGGACACCTTCCACAAGCAGCAAGCATTCAGACTTATCACTGCTCACACGAAGCTCATGATCGGCTTCGACACTTTGCCAGACGACTTTGCGCAGCTTGTCAGGCTTCAAGCGAACGATCTCTGTAACCAGAAGTTTGACGTTGGCGCCGACGTACTGGCCGCGCCGGATCGTGAAAAATCGATTTCAAAGAAGACTGTCGAGCGGGAAACGCTGAAGAAGCTCCTGAAGGCTTGTATCTTCGCTGCCTCGGTTCCAGAACTCAAAGATGACGCCGAGCCACTCGTCACGAATCTTGCAAAGCATTTCACTTTGTTGGAGCTTGGAAGCCACTTTGCGATATCAAAGCACAAGAGCAGACCTTTCGAAGTTCATTTGGGAGAGGGACCAGTCATTATAGAGAGCGAGGTCATAGCCGATGCTATAGGCGACTCGCTTGCCTCTGAACACCCAGATGTTCGTGCCGCAGCAGAGCAGGCGATCCTGACGATGCGAGATGCTGCCAAGGCCATCTTCGGTAGCGGTGATAAACTCGACAAATTCCCGTTCTTCTACGATCTGGCGAGCACGTTCTGTCACAACTGTCATGCCGATGACTGGTTCATGAAGTCTGGTGGCACTCGCGGTATCGAGATAATCATCAAGAAATCGGGTCTCGATACCACATGGATGGTGGCGCGACATTTCGAGCTCATTCGCGCATTGAACTTCGTCATGAAGGATATGCCAATCGATCTTGACTCAAAGACACGGATCCAGGCAGAAGGACTCATTGAGGACCTCATTCGGCAGTGCCACAAGCCAACGACAAAAGAAGATTTTGAGAAAGGCAACAACATCACCATGAGGCTCTGCGGGCAGCTTGTCGGAGACTTGTCGCACATGAACAAAAACGTGCGCGACGCAACACAGAAAGCTTTCCAAGTCCTCTCCGAGGTCACAGGCCTGGGTGTACACGAGCTCGTCGCGCCAGTCAAGACACGACTGATAGTACCAATCTGGACCAAGCCTCTGCGCGCATTGCCTTTCAGCATTCAAATTGCGTATATCGACGCGATTACCTTCTGCCTGAAGCTCAAGAATGGCATACTAGAGTTTAATGATGAGCTGACGAGATTGCTCATGGAGTCGTTGGCTTTGGCTGATGCGGAAGACGAAGGACTCGCCAGTAAGCCGTTCGAGCAGCGTAACGCAGAGCACATCATAAACCTCCGTGTTGCATGTGTAAATCTGCTGTCCACTGCGCAGACCTTTCCTGAGTTCAACACGAACCCGCCAAACCAAACATTCATACGGATCATCGCTGTCTTCTTCAAATGCCTTTACTCGAAGTCGTCAGAAGTCATCGAAGCTGCGAACGTCGGCTTATCGGGTGTTATAACGCCAACGACTAAGCTACCAAAAGATGTGCTGCAATCTGGGCTGAGGCCAATTCTGGTGAACCTGCAAGACCCTAGGAAGTTGACTGTAGAGAACCTGGATGGTCTTGCTCGTCTCTTGAAGCTACTTACGAACTACTTCAAGGTGGAAATAGGTTCTCGTCTACTGGACCACCTTAAGAGCATTGCAGATCAGAACAGTCTGCAGAAGATCTCATTCACAATGATCGAGCAAAACCCGAAGATGAAAATCGTTACTGGCGTCTTTAATGTCTTCCACTTACTTCCTCCGGCTGCTGTTACATTTCTGAAGCAGATCATCGAGAGGGTCATTGAGCTCGAGAACGGTTTGAGAAGGACGCACTACAGCCCTTTCAGAGAGCCTCTGATCAAGTATCTCTGTATATATCCGAGCGAGACTTGGGCACACTTTGTTCCAAACCTCAAGGACCAGACGCAAGGCCGCTTCTTTGCACAGCTACTTGAGGACCCTAGGAGCAGTGCGTTACGAACGCAGGTCTTGGAGGACGTTCCTAGCTTCCTATCGGCTTTCCAGTTTGAGGGTGCTGATAAGGACATCTGTCAGGCTCAACTCAACGCCATTCACATTGCATACGCCCTGAGTCAATTTGAGGAGACGAGCAAGTGGCTGGTGGACCACAATGACTTGCGAAAGGGCTTATTCGAAGCTGGCAGGTCCCTGGAAAAGAAGCTTCGTCAGAACCAGATAGATCCCGAGCTTCGCCTGGCCACAGAACAAGCTGGTGATCAGATCATGTTCATTTTCACAACGTATCTCAAACACAAGCCTGATGACCTGGAGTTCTTCTTTGAGCTCATTGATACCGTTACGTCCGAGGAGCTGAAGGCGTCGCCACGCTTGTTCGATTTCATCTACGAGCAGGTCGTCTCCAGTGAATCCGTCGACTATTGGAAAACCCTGATCAACAAGTGCATCGATTTGTACACGTCTCGCAGCTCGTCGCAGAAGACCAAAACTTTCATTTTCCATTACATCGTTAATCCAATCTTCGCCATGGATGTCAAGCGTAACTGGGACAGCCTGTTCGACCAGAAGAACGAAGGAACCAAACTGATGGACAAGAGCATGACCGAGGCCATCCACAAGCGATTGTGGTTACCACAGTCTCTGACAGATACTTCCGAAGAAACTGCACAGCTTGGTGTTGATCACTCTAGGATGGAATTGCTCCAGCTGACAACTCTTCTGCTCAAGTATTACTCCGGTATGATTGAGGAGTTCAGAAAAGACGTCATCAAATTCGGCTGGAACTACATCAAGCTGGAGGACATCATAAACAAGTATGCTGCGTATGTCCTTGTAGCCTTCTTCATCGCCGTGTACGAGACACCAAAGAAGATTGCGGCGCATACCTACCAGTCATTGCTGAAGGCGCATCAGAATGAAGGCCGTAGTTTGGTCATGCAAGCTCTTGAACTCATGGCACCCGTGCTCCGCAAGCGAATGGGTGGCGGTGAGAGGATGCCGCTTTGGATTCAGCATCCTCGCAAGATCCTCTCCGAGGAGAGCTCCAACCTGCAGCAGCTCATGAGTATTTTTAATTTCGTTGTGCGCCATCCAGATCTCTTCTACGAAGGTCGCGAGCACCTGTCGCCCATCATCATCACAGCGTTATCGAAGATAGCTCAGCCACCCAATCCATCGACTGATGCGAAGAAGCTAGCTCTTAATCTGATCAGTCTGATCAGAATGTGGGAGGAACGCACGGCGACCGAGGCAGCCGCTGGCGGGGAGCGAATGTCGATGTCACCTACAGCAGCAAAGAGAAGGATAGACGGGACTGTTGTTACCCACGGCAACGTGCCCAAAGAATTTGTTGCTCACGCACCTACCCGCATGATGCTGATTAAGTATCTCATCCAATTCGTCGCCTATCTGCCGGAGCGCTTCCCAGTCAATTCACCGAAGCCAAAGGACCTTACTGTGGCTGTGCCTAACACACCTCAGCCCGCGGAGATCTGTCGTAAGGCTGTTCAGTTGCTGTATGATCTTCTCTCACCGCGCCTCTGGAACGATTTGGACTTGGCTGCCATGCTTTCAAAGAAAATTGAAGAAATTCTCCTCGCTGAGATGAAGCAAGATGACAAACCCGAGGTCTTCAACACCAGGATGATCAACACTCTTCAGATTGTCAAAGTCATCGTCAACGTGAAGCCCGATGAGTGGGTCCTGGAACGGATCCCAATATTCCAGAAGATCCTGGACAAGGCGCTCCGTTCGGAGAACTCAGAAGTCCAGGCAAGCCTACATGCAGTGGATGAAAACGAAGATGGGTCCATGAAGCTACAGCCGACATTGAAGCGTATTCTGGGCGTCATGCCGGAGCCGGTGACCGACGAAGAAGGCAACACCGAAGAGTCGACATCGACCGAATTCGTAAATTTCCTTGGCACGATTGCAACAGAAGCGCTATCAAATGGATCCTACATCTGTGCCATCAATATCTTGTGGACCCTCTGCCAGAGGCGGCCCGAAGAGATCGATCAACACATCCCACAGGTCATGAAAGCGTTTCAGGGCAAGATGGCTAAGGATCATCTCGCCGGCCACAGTGGTAGCCCAGGGCAGGCGGTGCCCCCAGGTGTGCGATCGGAAGGTGCCAATCCGCCAACAGATCCACGTGAGGTCGAAATCCAGACGGACCTTGTCCTGAAAACGATTGATATTCTTGCAGCAAGGATGAACGAGCTAGGTGAGAATAGGAGACCGTACCTCAGCGTACTCGCGTCCTTGGTGGAACGGTCGCAAGTCAACTCAGTGTGCATGAAAGTCCTCGATCTGGTTGAGAACTGGGTCTTCCACTCCAATGAGCCGGTCCCGACGCTGAAGGAAAAGACTGCTGTACTGAGCAAGATGCTGCTCTTCGAACACCGACCGGATACGTCACTCCTCACCCGCTTCCTCGACCTAGTCATTCGAATCTACGAGGATCCAAAGATTACTAGAAGTGAGCTTACTGTTAGGATGGAGCACGCTTTCCTCATCGGAACCAGAGCACAAGACGTTGAAATGCGCAATCGCTACATGGCCATCTTCGATAAGAGTTTGAGTCGCACAGCGGCTAGTCGCTTGAGCTATGTACTGGCTTCACAGAACTGGGACACGTTGTCGGACTCGTACTGGTTGAGCCAAGTCATCCATCTCATGTTCGGCTCCATCGAGATGAACAGTCCTGCTGAGCTACACGAGGAAGACTTCAAGCTTATGCAGCCCTCTACCTTGTTCGGGACCTACAGCAAAGAACCCAGGATTGGAGACGTGATGGTGGACGATGATCTGGAGAGCCTCATCAGCAGCCACCGTCGGTTTGTCAGTCAACTTGGAGACGTGAAAATCAAGGACATCTTCGAGCCGCTCGGCCACTTGCAACACACGGATAACAATCTTGCGCATGACATCTGGGTTGCTCTCTTCCCACTGGCTTGGACTGCTTTGACCAAGGACGATCAAAGTGATCTCGAAAAGGGCATGGTTGCGCTACTTACCAAGGATTTCCACAACAGGCAGCTCGATAAGCGCCCCAATTGTGTCGCTACTATGCTCGACGCTATCGTACAGGCGAAGCCCAGAGTTAAGTTTCCTCCTCATATCATGAAGTACTTGGCACAGACGTACAACGCTTGGTACACGGCCGCTGTCTACATGGAAGAATCAGCCATCTCACCTGTCGTTGATGCTGAAAAGCTGAGAGAAAGCAACCTCGATGCTCTTTTGGAGATCTATAGTGGCCTGCAAGAAGACGACCTATTCTACGGTACCTGGCGTCGACGATGTCAATTCTTGGAGAGCAATGCCGCGCTTTCGTACGAACAGTGCGGTATCTGGGACAAAGCTCAGCAGATGTACGAAGCAGCACAGATCAAGGCGCGGACCTCAGTACTGCCATTCTCTACAGGAGAATACATGCTATGGGAGGACCACTGGGTCATTTGTGCACAGAAGCTCCAACAGTGGGAGATCCTGAGCGATTTTGCCAAACACGAGAATTTCAACGATCTCTACTTGGAATCCACATGGAGAAGCTTCGAGGCCTGGCAAAATGCCGAGACCCGCGAGCAGCTCGACACGACTATCAAGGCCGTCAGCGACGCACCGACACCTCGACGAGTCTTCTTCCAGACTTTCATGTCGTTACTCAAGCTTCACGCAAAGCAAGAGTCCCCACCTGAGTTCCATAGGTTGTGCGACGAGTCGATTCAGCTCTCCATCCGAAAATGGCACCAGCTCCCCCGTCGCATAACACAAGCTCACATTCCGTTATTACAACATTTCCAACAGCTTGTTGAGCTCCACGACGCTAGCGTTATCTGCCAGAGTCTTGCACAAACGACACAAGCCAACCTCGACATGAAATCTCAGGAGCTTAAGCTGCTCCTCAGCACTTGGCGCGACCGCCTGCCGAACTTTTGGGATGACATCAACGCGTGGCAAGACCTCGTGACTTGGCGCCAGCACATCTTCCAGTTGATCAACGGAGTATACCTCAATCTACTGCCGCCGAACCAGAACAACGCAAGTGGAAACAGCTTTGCTTACAGAGGTTACCACGAGACTGCGTGGATCATCAACCGCTTTGCCCATGTTGCACGGAAACACAACCTGCCTGAAGTCTGCATCAATCAATTGGGCCGCATCTACACGCTTCCTAACATAGAAATTCAGGAAGCGTTCCTCAAGCTGCGTGAGCAAGCGAAGTGTCATTACCAGATCCGGGCGGATCTGAACAGCGGCTTGGACGTGATCAATAACACTAATCTCAACTACTTTGGTCCACAGCAGAAAGCGGAGTTCTACACACTGAAGGGGATGTTCCTAGCCAAGCTTGGTCAGAAGAGCGAAGCTGGCGAAGCGTTTGGTACCGCACTGTACTTCGATATCAAATTGCCGAAGGCTTGGGCGGAGTGGGGAAGATACAACGACATGCTTTTCAAGGAGGAGCCACAGAATCTGGAACGTGCCGAAGCGGCGCTTAGTTGTTACCTCGAGGCTGCCAGCCAGTTCAAGAATGCGAAGAGCCGGAAGCTGCTTGGACGAGTCTTGTGGCTACTCAGCTTAGACAACCCGGAGCGTAGGCTGGCAGAGAAGTTCGAAGAGTTCAAGGGTGATACCCCGGCGTGGTATTGGATTACCTACATCCCGCAACTGCTCAACAGCCTCTCTAGGCAGGAGGCGCCTATTGCCAGATCTATCCTTGGCAAGTTGGCGAAGACGTATCCACAAGCGCTCTACTGTCACCTCAGGACAACGCGCGAGGATATGGTAGTACTCAAGAAGCAACACGAGCAGAAAGAGGCCAAGGAGAAGATCGCACGTGCCGCGAAGGCAGCACAACAAGGCAACCAGTCTTCACCAGCACCCAAACAAGGCTCGCCCGATGCAAGACCTGGCTCGAGTGGCAATCAGAATGCTGCTACTAACGGCGATGCTAAACCTGCTGTTCAGACAAGCACGCCAGGTGGCACAGTCAAGACCGAAGCCAACACTCAAGGCAGCCCTGCTGCTGGCGGCGCACCGACTGTTGAGGTCACACCTCCAGCGCCCAAGAAACCTTGGGATCATGTTGAGGAAATTAGTGCTATCCTCAAGACAGCTTTCCCGCTACTCGCTCTCTCAATGGAGACAATGCTCGACCAGATCCACAAGAACTTCAAGTGTCCTCCCGATGAGGATGCTTACCGTCTGATTGTAGCGCTACTGAACGATGGTCTTAGTTACGTTGGGCGTCAGCCAACATACTACGCTCGTGACACGAAGCTTCCATCATCCACAGAGGGCAATATCACCCGTTTCGCTGAGTCGGTGCTTCCCGCGCACATCAGGAAGTCATTTGAATCAGACTTCATCAAGGATAAGCCCACTATGTTTGAGTATATCCAAAAGCTTCGCACCTGGAGGAACCGATTCGAGGAGCGTCTCGATCGCAGGAGGCTCGTTGTTCCACTCGAACAGTACACGCATCAACTCAGCGAATTCCGATTCCTCAAGTTCGACGACGTCGAGGTACCCGGACAATACTTGCTGCACCGAGACAAGAACTCTGACTTTGTCCGCATCGAGCGATTCCTATCTGATGTCGAGCTTGTCCGCGGTGTTGGCGTTTGTCATCGAAGGATCAAAATCCGCGGCCATGACGGAAGCACACATCCCTTTGCTATACAATTCCCTACAGCCAGAAACTCAAGGCGTGAGGAGCGCATCATCCAGCTGTTCCGTATCTTCAACGGCATCCTTTCCAAACGTAAGGAGAGTCGCAGGAGGAATCTGCAGTTTCACCTGCCCCTGATGGTGCCCATCACACCCAGTGTGCGTCTGATATCGGATGACCCTTCGATCATAAGCTTGCAAGGCGTCTATGAAGACCATTGCAGGAAGAACGGCGTGAACAAGGATGAGCCGATTCTGTTCAGCATTGATAAGCTCAGGGCGCTTAATCCTGTAAGTCAATGCTCTTTCCATGATGCGATGCGATTGCTAACAAACAAGCAGAAGAATTTGGATCAAGCGAATAGCATTCGTCTCGAGACCTTTTCCGCCGTCCAAGAGAAATACGTGCCCAACACAGTCGTTCAAGATTACTTCCGCGCGACTTTCCCCGCCTTCGACGACCTGTGGCTTTTCCGCCGCACGTTCTCCTACCACCTCGCTGCCCTGACCTTCATGACCTATGTCATGCAGATGAACTCTCGGTTCCCGCACAAGCTTCTCATATCGCAACAATCCGGCCGTGTCTGGGGTTCTGAGCTGATCCCTAGTATGGCAGCTGGCAAGCCCATCATGCACAACTCAGAACCGGTGCCGTTCCGCCTCACACCCAACTTGCAAGTCATGCTTGGCCCGCTCAACCTCGAAGGCATCTTCGCGCCTGCCGTGATGACAGTCGCCAGATGTCTTATCGAGCCCGAAGGCGAACTTGAGATGCAGCTCAGCATCTTCATGCGCGATGAGATGAATCATTGGTTCACGAGCCAGCATAAGATCAGCGCTCTGACACCCGATGTTCTCCGAGAAAGTGTCCAGTCGAACTCGGACGTCGTCGTGAAGAGAGCTAGCAGCATTGGAAGCCAGCCGAGCGGCGCAAACCTGCCGGCGAACCAGACTATGGTTGACTTGGTCAGCTCTGCAGTGCATCCACAGAAGCTGGCTATGACAGATCCATTGTGGATGGCTTATCTATAAGGAGGTATTTTGTAAGCATTTTTACGGGAGCTGGAGTCCGGAGCATGTCGGGAAAAAAAGGGTGGTTCTATCTGATCACTGGCGCTATTCATTTGTTAGCTTTGTCTTGGTTGGTCTGTACCTCCCTCAACACTAGCAGCGGCGTTCAGTGGTGCATGCAAGCATGTTATTGCTCAGGATGAGCAGCCAGTGCTGGCGAGTTCTGTAACAGTTTCAATTATAGTCGAGAGTTCAAACAGAACTCACTCAATACACATTTCAAGAATCCTTCTCCCATCTTCGGTCAACTAGAATATAGGCTCTATACTTGGTCCCCACCCCTAGACTACAACGCGGTCTTGATGCAAAACGTTGAGGCTGTGACGTCACACCACAAACCCAACACCACACCGACTTCATCGAATCACAGTTTCTTACACATGTCTTAGTGCAAAGTGTCTAAGTATTTCGTATCTTACCCACGCGTGATGCACGAATATAGCCATATATAGTCCCAATGCGAGCGATACGCGCACCACACCCAAGACAAGCGCACCTAAATATAGCCCAGCAACGCAGGAATCCCTCAGTACAATTCGCGTGTTGAACACAACAAACAAAGCCCATCGAAATCTCCTTCCCCTGATCTCTTCCATCTGACAATTCGCCTTCGCTCGGATAGATGCCCTTCCGGCTCTTCCGGGCGCCTCGGACCCGACAGACTCCACCCACTCCGCGCCCCCATGTACTGTTGTACGACGGCCGCTCCTACCGCGCGTGGAGACGGGCGCTGCTGAGGGTACTCCCGCAATCTAGGAGTCGAGAATGGGGCAGATCGGTGGCGAGGGCGGGTGCGGGTGCGGGTTGCGGGTATTGGCGTGGATCGCTGGTGGGCCTAAATTCGACGACATCTGACGCTTTTGAAACACCTGATCGGATGGTTAGTATAGATTTTAGCAGCGTACAGACTGAAGGTCGCAGAGTATAGCAGTAGATTGAGAGCTGTGACGGCTGATTGTGAATTTGAAATACAATTTGGTTTTAAGAAAGTAAACGAAGTAGTGGAGCGGTCGGCCTCGGCTCTGTCTCGAGCCATCGGGAATTGAGTCTAGCTATGGAAAAGACGAGATGTGCGTTGATTGTAATGCAAGCATACGCCACGCAGTGTCTAGTATCGTTTGTGATGGAGTAACTAGCATGACGATTGATTCTGCTCTGTTGTAATCTGGCTGTAGATATCTCTAGCTCTTGCATGGTATATGAGGAATCATTGTCCGCTCGAAGAACTCGTACCGTTCGAGTTCGACGTATTTGGCGCGTTGTTCGACGTGTTCGATGTGCTTGTAGTTGACTCTGAGGTCTGTGGCTGAGATGAAGAGGTTTGTGTTTGGCCAGGAGCCGGCGCTCCTGAGACTTGGAACGGCGCGAAACGAATAGGCGTAAATGACATACTGATCGTAGGATGGTTGATATACGGAAAGAGACTAGAAATGAAAAGGCCTGGTTCTGATACCAATGTTAGAGCGTTTGCTGGTTAAACGTCTACAGTCTGGGAGCTTAACACCACTCTCATATAGACCTTTTTCAGAAGCCTACCATTCGCATACCCTCGTTTGGAAAGCGAAAATCTACGAGGGCAGAGACATTGAGAAGCCACATAGACGCAGGAAATACGTTCAGAGGCTCAAACGTGTCTGCCTCATGCGCGATCTCCAGGTACACCTAAGTCTAGCTGTGACTGCGCGCTCGCACATGATTTCGCGTCGGGTTCCTCGTACTGTGCTATCTTTGGGCGAACCGTGGTTCACGGGTCGGCGAGCTACGTCAGTGAGATCGTGACTTCTCAGGTCGGAGTAAGCAATTCGCCGTCAGTCAGGAGAGCACGAACAACAGGTAATACCTTAGGGGGCTTTTGAACGGAGAAATTAGTCTGAGCAAGTATCTTCTAGTAGATCTGAGTCCTTAGATAGCTTCTCTCTGTGACGTTGCCTCTCATTTTTTGAGACCAGGTCACAGCAGGCTGACAATCTGCACTAGATGGTAATTACCGAGACACAGAGCTGTTATGGTAACGGTGTTAGGGCCGTGCATGAGTCTGATTTGTATATGATAGGGTACGCTTCACTTGCGGTGAGTACCGGTACCCGATGTTCTGCTGATATTCGGTAGATTAGTGAATGTTGTACGTCGGCAAACTAAAGGCGTGTTTAGTGAACGGGCCCCTGCCGGTATAACGGCGGCACTACCATGCGAACGGTGCATACGGTGTCCGCGGGCCGCGGAGCAACACGAGCTGATGCAGCCGCTGTTACGCAGACCAGTAAGACTCGCTCGCTGCAAGGGAGTGTAACTATATTATTTCCCGGAAGCAACACGGTACGGGGTAACTCTCGTGAAGATGCGTGATAGGTACATAGTGCGCCCTTTTCCTGGGAATGTTTGTCATCACGATGTGCATCTTGAGTGCAAATGAGTCGAATCGACGGCGGCTCAACTTACGGCCCGCAGACTCTCGATATCGAATCCTGGTAAAGGTACGTACCGAACGCCAAGCACACTTTCGATAAGTTGCAAGCCGCTTGGGACCTCACCGCGAGATGCTCGGATGTTGAAGCGAGCGGTGTCTTGATAGAGGTGGATAAGGTGAAGTCTCGACTTGCCCAATTTGCTTTTTATCCACCATTGCACCTTCCAAACATGCAGGAACGACCGCTGCACTTGAATCAGGCCCTCGAGTCGAGCTGTTGGGGGTAGCAACTGCCTGACTCGAGGACTCGGTTTTCTAACAAGCCGATGTGGGGCGGAGTGGATACTCATCTTCAAGATCAGCCTTACAGGCGTGGAAGGGGCAACAGCCCTTCCAGAAGAGGCTGTGGTGTGTTCAGTGGCTCTTTCAGGCTGCATCGTGAGACCGAGTCGACGTTTCACGCCGGAAGTGTGCGACAAGGACTTCGTCTTTTTACGAAGATGTAGGCCTTGTTTGGTCTTTACGTCACTGCCCAGCTGCGCTTTCTCGCATATGGACGCTAGGGTAAGGTTCCCGTCCATCGCTGCGTTTCTTAGGCGTGTTATCTTGACCACTCTTGGGCGATCACCGCCCTTTCTTTTGTATGGGCGTCCGTCCGAAGCTGTCCGCTGAGGAATTGCCATGCCCCACTTTGCACCGCGGGTCTGGTAGTGCAACTTTCCATAGAAGATGCCATCCAGCCGCTAATGACATCCTAAAAACTCGTGTTAACCTTCTTGAGGCGCCGCAGGCCCCATAAAAATCCTCTGATCTTACGCGGAGATAACTGCCATCCCCCCGTCTTTTTCTGTTTATAACAACTAACGCCCTCGACGAACGGGCTTGTTGTTCTTTTGCTTCCTCTATACATTCCTTAATACTTATTTTCCAATCGACGCGTCGCAGCGTGAAAGCGTGTGCCCCTGCAGAGTTTCTTCTTGGTTATAGAGGCAAGGTGCGCCCTGCGTTAGCACCATGGAGGACTCTACTACCCGTCAGGAGACCGAGGGTAAGACATATGAGGCAATCCACCCAGATGGCCATCACATCAAGAACGACGATCAAAGCTCAGCCACCTACGATGATACTGCACGCAATTCCGAGTACATGAACGAGAAGGGCACAGGCGAGGAGGTCAAGGGCGGAGTCGCGGTCCAGCGTGCCGAGGCCGAATTTGCTCAATTGTCCAGAGAGCTGTCGCGCACAAGTCAGATCTCACGCCGAATGAGCCGCATTCAGAGTAATCACAGCCACAAGAACAAAACCCAAACCGACATTGAGAAAGGCATCGATAGCTCTAGTATTTCATCTGAAGAAGGTTTTGATCTTGAAAAGACCCTGCGTGGCAACCGCGATGATGAGGAGGCTGCGGGGATCAAGTCCAAGCGCATCGGCGTTGTATGGGATGATCTGACTGTCAGTGGAATTGGTGGTGTGAAGAACTATGTCAAGGTAAGCAGTCAGCACTTTAATCCAGGTGCCGACCCGCAATAACTGACAATCGCTTAGACCTTCCCTGATGCCTTCGTATCGTTTTTCAACGTGTTCGAGACTGCCAAGAGCCTTTTGGGTATGGGTAAGAAAGGAGAGGAATTCAACATCTTGAAAGGTTTCCGAGGTGTACTCAAGCCTGGAGAGATGTGTCTGGTCCTTGGTCGTCCAGGCAGCGGTTGCACTACCTTTTTGAAAGTCATCAGCAACCAGCGTTTTGGTTATACCAACATCGAGGGCAAGGTCCTCTACGGTCCTTTCGAGTCTGACTTCTTCGAGAAGCGGTACCGTGGCGAAGCAGTCTACTGCGAAGAAGACGAGAACCATCATCCCACACTCACAGTTGGGCAGACTCTCGATTTTGCTCTTGAGACAAAGGTCCCTGGCAAGCGCCCAGCTGGCCTTTCTCGACAAGCTTTCAAGGATAAGGTCATCGACATGATGCTGAAGATGTTCAACATCGAGCACACCAGAAACACCATCGTCGGTAACCCGTTCGTTCGTGGTGTATCTGGTGGCGAACGCAAACGCGTTTCAATTGCCGAGACCATGATCACAGGCGCATCCCTCATGTCGTGGGACAATTCCACCCGTGGTCTTGATGCTTCCACGGCGGTCGACTACGCGCGCTCGCTCCGTACACTCACCAACATCTACAAGACCACCACCTTCGTTTCGCTCTACCAAGCCTCTGAGAACATCTACAAGTGCTTCGACAAGGTTCTTGTCATTGATGAAGGGCGTCAGGTATATTTCGGCCCTGCTGGAGAGGCTCGAGCATACTTTGAAGGCCTTGGATATCTCGAGAAGCCTCGTCAGACCACTCCTGATTACTTGACCGGAATTACAGACCCCTTTGAACGCGAGTACAAGGCTGGCCGAGACGAGACCAATACTCCTTCCACCCCAGATGAGCTCGCCGAAGCCTTCAACAAATCGCAGAGTGCCGTTGGACTTGCGACTGAGATGAGCCAATATCACGCTGCTATGGAACAGGAGAAGCACGTCTACGATGACTTCCAGACAGCCGTCAAGGAGGGAAAGCGTCATGCTTCGAAGAAATCGGTCTATTCTATTCCCTTCCACCTTCAGGTCTGGGCTTTAGCCAAACGCCAATTCTTGCTCAAGTGGCAGGACAAATTCTCCCTCGTCGTATCCTGGTTCACATCCATCGTCATTGCCATAATCATCGGTACCGTCTGGCTCGATCTTCCTGATACCTCCGCTGGTGCCTTCACTCGTGGCGGTGTGTTGTTCATTGCCCTACTTTTCAACGCTTTCCAGGCCTTTTCCGAACTCGCCAGTACCATGCTGGGCCGTCCAATCATCAACAAACATCGCGCATTCACGTTCCATCGACCTTCTGCATTGTGGATCGCTCAAATTGGAGTTGATCTAGTTTTTGCCGCCGCTCAGATTCTAATCTTCTCCATCATCGTCTACTTCATGACTGGTCTTGCCAGGGATGCTGGTGCTTTCTTCACCTTTTTCCTGATGATCGTCACTGGATACCTCGCAATGACGCTGTTCTTCCGAACAGTCGGCTGTCTTTGCCCTGACTTCGATGTTGCTATCCGTCTTGCCGCTACAATCATTACTCTGTTTGTGCTGACATCCGGATATTTGATCCAGTGGCAGTCTGAACAGGTCTGGCTGCGATGGATCTTTTATATCAACGCCCTCGGTCTAGGCTTTGCAGCGTTGATGTTGAACGAATTCAAGCGAGTTGACTTGACCTGTGCCGACGCCTCACTCGTTCCCTCAGGTCCAAGCTACACAGATACCAACTCTCAAGTCTGCACTCTCCCTGGCTCTGTCGCTGGTTCCAACATCGTTCGTGGTAGCGATTATGTTTCACAGTCTTTCAGTTGGGAGGTCGGCAATCTTTGGATGTACTGGGGTATCTGCGTCGCTTTGATCATCGGCTTCCTCCTCGCCAACGCCTTCCTGGGAGAATTTGTTAAGTGGGGTGCTGGAGGTCGTACTGTCACATTCTTCGTCAAGGAAGACAAGGAGCTGGCGGAGCTCAACACTAAGCTTCGCGAGAAGAAGGAGAGACGCAACCGCAAGGAAGCAGGCGCCGACGAAAGCTCTGAACTGAACATCACATCCAAGGCAATCTTGACTTGGGAAGACCTTACCTACGATGTTCCGGTTCCCTCGGGCGAGCTGCGACTTCTCAACAACATATTTGGATACGTTCGCCCAGGCCAGCTCACTGCGCTTATGGGTGCATCAGGTGCCGGAAAAACGACACTTCTCGACGTACTCGCCAACCGCAAGAACATTGGTGTCATTGGTGGTGACAAGCTCATTGATGGAAAGGTCCCTGGCGTCTCCTTCCAGCGTGGAACTGCCTACGCCGAACAACTCGACGTCCACGAGCCTGCTGCCACCGTGCGAGAGGCCCTTCGATTTTCTGCCGACCTGCGCCAGCCGTATGAAACACCCCAGGCCGAGAAATATGCCTATGTGGAAGAAGTCATCGCATTATTGGAGATGGAAGACATTGCCGACGCCATTATCGGTGACCCTGAGACCGGTCTTGCTGTTGAGCAACGTAAGCGTGTGACAATTGGTGTTGAACTCGCAGCCAAGCCTGAATTGCTCCTCTTCCTCGACGAACCAACTTCTGGTCTTGACTCGCAGAGTGCCTTCAATATCGTCCGTTTCCTTCGCAAATTGGCCGCCGCCGGTCAAGCAATTCTCTGCACTATTCACCAGCCGAACTCAGCTCTTTTCGAGAACTTCGACCGTCTCCTGCTCCTCCAGCGAGGTGGCCAATGTGTCTACTTCGGTGACATTGGCAAGGATGCTCACGTTCTTCTCAAGTATTTCAAGGATCATGGTGCTGATTGCCCTTCCAACGCAAACCCGGCTGAGTGGATGCTTGACGCTGTCGGCGCTGGTTCTGCTGCCCGTATCGGTGACAAGGACTGGGCTGACGTCTGGAGAGATTCAGAAGAATTTGCTCAGGTCAAGCGTGATATCATTACCATGAAGGAACAGCGTACTGCGGAGGTTGGATCTGCCGAGCCCGTTGAGCAGAAGGAGTACGCTACACCAATGGCGTACCAGATCAGCCTCGTCAACAAGCGCATGAACCTTTCCTTCTGGCGCACACCCAACTACGGCTTCACCCGTCTGTTCAACCACGTCATTATTGCCCTGTTGACAGGTCTCATGTACCTCCAACTGGATGACTCGCGCGCATCGCTCCAGTACCGTGTCTTCATCATCTTCCAGGTTACCGTTTTGCCCGCCCTCATTCTTGCCCAGGTCGAACCCAAATACGCCATGGCGCGGATGATCTCCTTCCGCGAGCAGATGTCCAAGGCCTACAAGACATTCCCCTTCGCCATCTCCATGGTCATCGCTGAGATGCCTTACAGCGTCCTCTGCGCGGTGTTCTTCTTCATTCCTCTCTACTACATCCCCGGCCTCAACTCCGACTCCTCTCGTGCGGGTTACCAGTTTTTCATCATCTTGATCACTGAGGTCTTCTCCGTCACTCTCGCCCAGGCAATTGCTGCGCTGACTCCTTCGCCCTTCATTGCGGCCTACGTCAACCCCTTCATCATCATCATCTTCGCTCTCTTCTGCGGTGTCACCATTCCCAAGCCCCAGATTCCCAAGTTCTGGCGCGTTTGGCTTTACGAACTCAACCCCTTCACCCGTCTCATTGGTGGCATGGTTGTCACCGAGCTCCACAACTTGCCCGTTACCTGCACGGCTGCCGAGTTCAACCAGTTCCGCGCCCCAGATGGTCAGAACTGCGGCGAGTACATGTCCGACTTCTTTGCCAGCGGCGCCCCTGGATACCTCCTCGACGAGGCGGCTAGCCTGTGCAACTACTGCGCGTACAAGGTCGGCGACGAGTTCTACACGCCGCTTGGCTACGAGTTCGGCAACAGGTGGAGGGATCTTGGCATCTTCCTTGCTTTCATCTTCAGCAACTTGGCGATCTTGTTTGTTGCTGCCCGCTACTTGAACTTCAACCGCCGCTAAGCTTTGGCTTATGTGATTGATCGTTGAGTTGTATAAAAGCATTGTTTTGCATCATGTGAACCTCATAGATCCTCATTTGGCGGCGTTTATATCATGTCCTTCGTTAGCGTTAGCGAAGACCATAACGATACTAGTATGTAATATGTGCAATGCATTCCGATATTCTATTCACTTTTTGAGCACGGAGTCAAGTGTCGTGAGAATTGACTCTTGGAGGTTTTCATTCACAGTGCGATTGTCTCACACCAAAGCCCTTTCAATGTTCACCATGTCTTGAATGCACCTGTCCTACACTGAAACCCATGTCTTGCACGAACGATGACTTGCAGTGTCTCTGAGACGTTCTTCCTTGGCCGTTTTTTGAAAAGCGCAACACGAAGCGCAAATAACAGCTGAAGAACCGCACCATTCTTGGTGAAAGTGCCAGCATCGTGGAAATATGCCACCGGCAATACAACTCCAACACCACAACTACCACCGTAGAGCCCGGGACTATATTCCGCAGGGCGTTGCCGCCACACCCTCCACTAAGCTTTTGCTGCGAGCTAATGTCTCGCTTTCACTCGCACTCTCACCGTCCCCACCACGCGAACCAACGCACACCACACCCTCAGTCTCACAGAACCCAACATCGAAAAGCACGATATTAAACCGCCCCCGCGCCGCACCACCCATCTCACATACCCACACCTTCACAACGGACATACACGCACACACCATGCAACGCAGCACCGCCCCCACACCACTCATACACAACAGCCCGGCAGAAGACACAGAAGCATTGAGTCTGTACATGTGGCTCGGGCTGCTCGTCTTCATCGTCGTTACGGTGGCAGGGTGCTGGAGCATCGCGGTGTGCGCTGTGCACTACCGCGGCGCGACGACGGGGATGGAGAAGCAGACTGCGCGGCGGGACGGAGAGCGAGAGCAAGAAAGAGGGCGCAAGGGAGGGTGGTGGGCGTGGGTGCGTGGTGCGAGGGCTGGGGGGAAGGGGTATGAGGCGCTGCGGACTGGGGAGCTTGAGGAGTCAGCAGCGGGGTTGCAACTGGGTCCTTGTGGCGAGGCGACGGGGCGCGAAGAGGTGAATCCGTTTCTTGTGCCGGTGGGAAGGCCGCTGAGGAGTGTGAGGGTAAGGAGCTCGGAGGAGTGGGCTGATGAGCATCGTGCTTTTTTCACTGGGGCGAGGCGGTTGGGTAAGCTGGGTGACGATGGGCCTTGCTCAACAGCTGCTGAGCGAAAGAATGTTGCGTTGGAGATGCTAGAAGCACAGGGAGAAAGGCTGCCACATGACTATGAAACGGCGCAGGACGGTGTTGACCGGCAGGAAAGCAGGAGTTGGGTGGATCTAGGTCTTGCAGTTGTCGATGATGCGGTTGATAGGGTTGCTGCCAAGCTTGTGAGGTGGACGGAAGATGGAGGCAGAGACGAAGAGCTAGTGCTGCCGCTGGCCAAGGGCAAACTGGACTAAATACGAGAAACGTAGAGACCGAAAGGACTGACACGTTGAGCAGTGTAGGTGTATAATCAGATCATTTGCTAGCTCTAACCATCTTGTTCGTGACTATGTTCGTGCACATCCGCATATTCTTGTCCTTATCTTCAAACCTGCAGGCTACAGTCTTCCTTGGTATTGTCGCTGACTGTGTGGCGTCCGCCTGTCACGGAACATGCTCGTATAGCTTATCGCCGTATTCGCAGGAGTCCTAGACGTACTGGCTGAGCCACCTGATACCCTCTCCGTAACCTGAAATCTGTCAGTATCTCATCTCACCAATCTCATCTATCACACTCACCCTGCCTCATAACCACACTGCACATGAACACCTCAATCGGCCTGATGCCCTCAAGCGGCACCTTGCCCTTGCCTGTTGTCTGGTACAGCCCAAGCTCAGCCCTCAGCTGGTCCTCAGAAATGGCCTCGGGGTGGTCAATCTTGTTTCCAAGGACCAGGAAGGGAGTGTTGGCCAACGGCTCCATAGCCAGCAGCGCATCCAGCTCAGCCTTGGACTCGGCAAGACGCTCGTGGTCCTTGGCATCGACAAGGAACACGATGCCGCTGACCTCCGGGAAGTAGTCGCGCCATAAGCGGCGAGCTTGTGCGTGACCTCCGAGATCGAAGGTTGTGAACTTGACGTTGCCGATGGACAGCTCCTCGGAGGCTGCGTCGCGTTAGATTACGAAGTATCGAGGTCGGAGGTGGGCTTACTGGGGTGAAGAGCTGCGTAGCTGTTAGCTGAGTTCACGAGAGAGAGGAGCGGTCAACGTACTGGGTTGCAGAACTGCTACGCGGTCGTTCTTGAGCATGTGCAGAAGCGTTGTCTTTCCGGCATTGTCAAGGCCGAGAAAAAGGAGCTTTGCGTGCTTGTTGGCGAGGCCGAGCGAGGCCAGAAGGTCGAAGACTGCGTGGTCTCATCAGCGTCGTGTGCCACGGAGGTGCTGCGGCGCTCATGGGATACGTGGAGCTAGGATATACATACACCTGCAGACAATTAGTTCGGAGCCATTGTATAATGCAAAGGAAGCCTACCAGTTGACGATCCACATGTTGATATGTTCTCGAAGGGTGCTGTATTCAAGGGTGTGTGTTGCGGCGAACTACGACGTAAAGTTGTCGGTGTTCTGGAGCCCCGATAAAGACTTAGCGCATCCAGGGCTCTTGGCGATTCACATCACATGTGAGAGGCAAACATCGATGTGTAAGGAAAAGAACAGATGTCCAAAAAACTTCAGCAGGCATTCATTTTCGCTATTCGTTACAGATGTGGTATCGTCCAAACCCCCCGACCAACGCCTATAATGCATTGCAGCCAACGCCGGCCTCTGGAGCTCAGATGTTGATATCTGCCTCCAAAATGATCTGCGCAGCCGCCGTAAGTTTGTTGGCAATAATCTGGTCCGCAATTATGTCGCCAACCTTGTCATTCAGTCGTTCTCTCAGTCCTTCGATATCAGCAACGCCATTGGTCAGTGTTGCTGATGTCGTGTTCCCCATTCCTTTGATTGTTTGTACGAGCATACCAAGCACTTGTTCTGCATCCTTTTTCTTCCCCTCGTCAGCAAGTGCAGCTTTCAGCACATCGTCGTTGTAGATCTTCAAGTTCGGTAACACGAGCATTTTCATGCCTTCGTTGCCAGTGATAAGGAGCAGTGCCAGTAGGGCACCGTAGTGTGTTCCCAATGGCTTTCCGATGTCCATGAACTGTCTCAGGCACGTCCTCGCGATCCGTGACTTGAGCCCTTGATTTGACGACCCATACTTGACACAGATACGGTTGAGGATTGATGCAGCCAACTGTCGAATTTTGAAGTGATCTGGGTCACTTGAGTGACCATTGGTACCAACACCGTTGAGCGTTTCTGATGAGGCGCTTGAGGATGCTGCTTGTGCTGTTGGCCCCAGATGTTTGCCTGTGCAACATGTCAGGACAGGCGGCACCATGTAGGCGACATAAGGATCCAGATAAATGGCTTGGTTGTCCAACAGGGCACTCGTAGCCTGCATCATCTGCTTCAGTACGAAAAGATTCTTCACGTTGTGTGTGACTTTCTCCGCGATGAAGGTGAGGAGGTAGGTTGTTAGCTGGTGGATACCAGGCTCCGTTCGAATAGCCGCGAGAGCTGCGTTCTGCCACTCGAAGTTCGTCTCATCGATGAGCGCGCCAGAAAGCTTGGCGAATAGCTCCTGCGATTCCTTTGAGAGCACGTGCTTTACAAGCGGTTTTACATTGACATTGTCTAGCCCGTTGGCTGCTGCAAGATGTGGGTTCGCGTTCGTTCCCTTGGGCAACAGGTCTCCCTGGTTGATCGCAGTGGGATTTTGGGGAATCGACGGCTGTACGCCTTCCACAGCGAGCCAGTGAGCTGCAGCATATTAGGAACAATCTACTCCGATGCGAAATAAGATAAGCAGGTGTGATGACATACCCGTGAATGTGATCTCTCGTGGCACCTTGGGCAGGGGCGCATTGATCAACTTCTCAAAGTCGACCTCCTCGTCCTCAACATAGTACAACGGCTGTCCAGGACCCAAGGAAGCCTCGCCAAAACGCAGCGGTCGAGTGGACTCATAACCGTAGAGAGGCTCCACGTTTAGTACTTTGAGTGCGTTGGACACGTCCTGTGTACTCAATGTCGTCCGCTTGCCGTGTCGCATGAATTTCAGCGCCTCCTCCAATACCTGCGCGAGCCTGAAATCAACATCGCGGGCTAGCTCTTCAACGACGTTGTCGGCGAGTGAGGCGATGCCCACTGATTCGGCGACATCTCGTACGTTGTCGGGATTCCAGACGGAGGACATGTTGGGCAGCGCGATGCCGGTGATGAGCTGTCAAGATGGGCGGTTCGGTCGCGGCCGTGTTGCGGTAATTGAGGCGGAGCTGTAGCAGCTGGGCCGATGGAAGGAACAATAGCGTGCCACCGGCGAGGGTGACGCAGTTTTGGAGGATGTGACAGCCAGCCCTACAAGCAAGTGAAGCACATCCCGGACGCGTACAGGCGACACAATACGGCGAACGTCGAGGGCCGCGTTTCAATCCCGGCTAGCAATGTGATATCGGGAAAACGCGCAGGGAGGCGAAGACACGTGAGGCGGCGATGTCGAGCTGCGTCTGCGTCGTTCATTGACGCGCATACTGAGACGGAAACCGCGAAGGCTCACAGCCAGGCCTTGGCGCGTCTCTCCGCTCCGCCCGCCAGCTCGCGCATCTCCTCCCTCACCAGCAACGCGCCGTAGTCACCGGTCTCTTCACCGATCACCACGGGCTGTGCACGGAAGATGCAACCATGCAGATTACTATCCAGATTGATGGGCTCTTTGTTTTTTCCGCTTCTACATGTGTGACACGGGATGCCTTTTGTGGCATAGTGGTTGCTTCACTCCAACTGCAGACAAACATTACCTTGCTGCAAGACAACGGCCTGGATTTGGGCATTGCGCGCCAGAAGCCCCGCAGCCAATGATGACCTCATCCCTCGCTTGCTCAATCATGGCCCCTCGCAGCCAAACGCGTGGCCCAGGAAGCTATGCTGTTGAGCAGCGCTTTCAACTGGTCCCAGCATAGCAGACCGCCTTTTCAAACTTCGCCCACGAAAGATACCAGTCGACTTAGCATCACGGCTGATTTGTACGGCTGCGGCATCACATCCCCAGCAAATAAGATACCCACCTTCATTCTCATCCCTGCTTGTTGTTGTTACACGCATACTTTGAGGTGCTCTCGTACAGTCCCTACCCGCAGCCACGTTTCGTACGGTTACCAAATGCCAATCTTACTGCCATGTCAGGTATCCCTAAAGACGGGGAAGGGCTACATGTCCCGGTTGTACCCCCTTCCTGCCAAACAAGTATCTCATTCCAGGTCAAATCTCCTCCTCGGGCTTTGTCTTACGCCACCCGCCTTCCCGTACGGCCCGTTGCAAATGTAATTGTCGTCTCTGCGTCCGCCAGCTACGCAAACTCCCTGTCGACTGGCTTGTCAGCTTCTGGTTACGGACTACTTAAACACCCAGCGACAACATAGTCTTGGACACACACGCTCTTCTATTTCCTCAAGCACAGCAACATACTCAAGTCATTAACGCCCAACGTAGTCTTATCTCACAATCGACCTCCTACACACTACTTGTAGATATATCAAATCCCGTACTCGTTATGGCCAGACCAAGCAAAGAGTCAAGGCGGTCTTATCAGCCTCGCAACGTCGTGCACCTTACCATCGACACATCTGCATCAGTGTACGATGAATCAAGAGACGAACCACCATCTCCTCCACCTCAACCACCCCCAAGCCCGGCCGGCTGGAAGCGCCTTCTTTCGGTACGGTGTGTCACCAATGGTGCCTATCAATGCTGACCCCACATCAAGGTCGACTCCCTTGCGCCGTTGAACATCTGAAGTCTGGGGTACATGAACGTAATGCAAGTAAGAGAGTTTAACATTGGATTTTCGCATCCACTAACTTTGATAAGCTTAAGTCGAGCTGCATCAGGCTGCAATTGTTATGCTTTCGCGTGTCGCAGGGGCTTCCGGCACCCTCTGCCATGTGTCGCCACTTGGCACCCGCAGTGGACGATCAGTCATGGTCTGGTGCAACCGCTTAAGATACCCAGCACGTGTTGATATTGTACGGCGTTCCTCATGTTTGGTACTGGGTGCTTGCAGCATCAGGAACGCCCCAACTGTCCGACGCATTTTTCGTAACTCTATCTTCGCCTCATCTCGCGCAATGGCGCCTTACATACTGTAGTATATCCCTCGGAGACGTTGCAACGCAACGGGTCAATTAGCTTCTACTATCGAATTCTTCGGAGACTCTTTCCGTTGCCCCTTTCATCTTTATTCGTGTGTGCAAGGTGACCCTTAGAAGCTCAATGCCTAGATACAATTCACAGTTGCGAGCTGAGCCACCGGACTGCTGACAGTACATGCACCCCACAAACAGCAAACCTTGAACTTTGATGGGAACCGTCGAACCCAAATAGGCAACAGTACTCGGCCTGCAGTCCCAAGCTTTTACGATTGTAGCACACATATCTCTGCACATTCTGTCTCATCCCAATGTCTGAGACACGATCTACAATGGCATATCTTCCATCTATTAGACAGGACCCATGATGAGCATCGAAACAGCAAAAAGTCACTCAGCCTCCAAGCGGACTCCACTAGCACACAGAGACCATACTTGGTCGGGATACCGCAGCACATGTGGCAACCGAAGCCGGGCGGTGAAGTGCCGCCCGCACTTGGTGCGCTGGAAACGGTTAGCGAAGTTTGGTCACTTCCTAAAATATTCTCGGTCGCCCTCCCCAACAAACACGACCAATACCATCTGCTCCATCTTACCACGGGACCCCCTCCAAGAATTGTTCTCTTGCTACATCTACATTGACCAGCCTGCAACAGCTGTGTTCCCCCACAGACAACCTTGACTAGAGCACGGAAGGCTGAGATCACGACGCAAAGCTTATCGGGCTTGCTGCACAGACTCAAAGCCAATCCGACGAGCGGCTGGTCGCTAAGCACTGGTTGCTACTTCCATTCCAACTAAGAGGAACCTTACTTTATGGTTGTGATCGCTGCTCCAGCTAGCTTTAATCCTCACACCACAATCGCCTTCGACCGCCACACAGTATGGCCGGCGAAAGCTCTACCGTCTCGGACCAAGTACTGCAATGGTATTCCAAACTCTTCAGTCGCCGTGTTGATCTCGTTGGCGACTTCGCAGGCAGCGAACGGTTTTTGATCCACGGTGAGGCGCTTCTACGCCATTGCTTCAGCGATGCACAGATCGACTTCGAACCTGGGCTACAGCTTCTGCACGCCTCGTATGCAGTAGAGAAGTTCCTGCATGGGCTTGTCTCCCGCCGCTGCAACTTCCACATTGCTTTCTTCGATGAATACCAAGATCTTTGTGTGCCTCAAGATGCGTCGTCTTCCGTTAGCGAGAAGTATTTACTCGCACGTGCGGCCATCATCCGCCACCTGCAGGTCAACCTGGGTCCAGTGCACCCAGATATCGAGATCAAGGTGTTCCCCTCAACAACATCTGAAGCGTTTGAGGAGTATCTCAGCACGACAGATGTGTACTTCGTCCTGTGTCACGATGGAGCCTCCACAAAGGATGTTCGCAGAAAGGGACTTCTACAGAAAAACACTGACTCGCCCAAGGGCGGAGACAAGAGCCTGCAGGAACGTCACGAGCAACACAAGTTGTCGCTTCGCACCTTCATCTACGGCATGATGCAAAGAGGGTACAGTGCTGCCCTCGTTAATGGATTGGAATTCCAGGATACCAAGGCCATTGCATCGGTGCTTGAACACTCGCGCGCAATGACTTTGGAGCTTCCAAAGACTGTAAGCAATGATTGCACACCTACGACATGTGGTCTGCACTCTGTGAGAGTAGCAGGTTTCGCAGCACGATAAAACCATAGGGCTAACACGCTTTTGCAGACATCATCGACAACCAATGCAAGTGAAGATACTGCAGCCTTGAAAGAGTCGCTTTCGACGATTAAATCGTCCAATGAACATGCTTTCACAGAGCGGGAGTACTTGGCGGTGCTTGTTGCCGCCAAGTTTGCGTCGAAGTCGAAGGACCACCAGGACTTCGCCGTCGCATTGCTAAGCCATACAGCATTTCTCTCTGAGCTAAGCCTACCCGACCGATTGATGCAATACGAAGAGCCGTCGCAGGAATCCCTTACCTTGACTCTTGAGTTTTGCCAAGAAGCTCGCACAATCCTTGCTCAGACAGCGTGGGTCGAGGAAGCTGGCAAGCTGGCCGCAGCTTGCGATGTCGCAGACCTCATTGACGGACGCTTGTTCGCATCCTGCCTCCAGAGTTCGTCAACTTCGACCTCAGATCTCTTCCAATATCTAGCAAGAGCTGCATCAATGCTGTGCGGGCAAGAGGAGCTCAAGAAGACAGGTGGTGCTTCGACTTCGACAACGAAGTCAAACGGAGACCTCGAGAAGGCTGACGATGGGACCTCATACCGTCTGCTGCCCTTTGCTAACGAGATCTTCGACAAACATCTGGCTCCGGTCCATCTCAAGGTAGCCAAGTCGGACGGTAAAGTCGACTCAACATCGGCAGTGATCTTCCGTGAGGTCACGAATTGGCGCAACACTAAGCCGATTCAATCCAAGAGCGGCCCAGTTGTCAAAGACGAGAAGGCAGCAAAGAAGGCGCTCCGCCGTAACCAATTTTTCATGGCAGAAATGACGACCTACGCTGCTAGTCTCACCAACGCAGTCGGAAGGGCACTCGAACCGGAGACAATCCATATTGGCGGCGCATCGAAACCAAGCACGCCTGTACCTTCCAGACCAGCAACACCCAGCCAGGACCCAGCGGACAAGAAGGGAAAGAAGGCGGGCGGCAAGCCTGGCGGCAAGAACAAGAATCAGGCCAAGCAAGACATGCTAGCGAACATTGCAGCAAGTTCAAAGCGCAAGGATGAGGACACTGCAGAGAAGCAAACAAAAGCGTGGGTTGTCTTTTGCGATGGCCTGGAGAAACAAGCAGATCTGCCTTCGCGTTACGAAAAGGCAAAGAAGTACCTTGTCAACCTCAATACTGACATCAAGCGGAAGGCTTTGGAGGCGGAAGTTCGTCTCTACATGCTAAATGTGCTATTGAAGATGTGGATTGAGCACTGCCGGAAGGATGACAAGGAGGAAGGTCTTTACACTGCCGCTCTTATCTTTGACGCTGTCAGAGCTAGCTGCGGGTTGTCCAGTGTGACGAAGACCATCGCTGCCTGCCTCAAGACCACCATTGATCGGTTGAAGCTCCCGTCTCTCCAGGTACCATCAATTGAGGGCGACCGGAAATTGGCTTTTCCGTTCGTGCTGGATGAGACATCAAGCGCCGATCTTGCCTTGAGTCTCTCGCCAGAGGAGTTTCAGCTTCTCTACTGCGGACCTTACTTCGACCGAACCATGGACTCCGCTCCGGACCCTCGTGTACCCTTCGAGCCAGATGCGTGGCAGCGGAAGGTTTTGGACGAGATCGACGCTCGCCGCAGTTTGCTTGTCGTAGCCCCAACTTCAGCCGGTAAAACGTTCATTTCGTTCTACGCCATGAAGCAGGTCCTAGAGTCCAACAACGAAGACGTCCTGGTATATGTGGCTCCAACCAAAGCGCTTGTCAACCAGATCGCAGCCGAAGTCCAAGCTCGTTTCTCCAAGAACTACAAGTACGCCAACTCGGTCTGGGGGATCCACACTCGTGACACCCGCGTCAACAACCCTACTGGCTGCCAGATCCTGGTCACTGTCCCCCATATTCTTCAGATCATGCTGCTCGCGCCTACTAACGCCAGGGGCTGGTCCGAGCGAGTAAAGTGGATCATCTTCGACGAAGTCCACTGCATTGGACAAGCTGAAGATGGTCTGATTTGGGAGCAGCTGCTTCTCATGGCACCCTGCCCTATTATCGCCCTTTCTGCCACCGTGGGCAACGCGGAGGCCTTCAGTGACTGGCTCTCCTCAACACAGAAAGCGGCTGGCAACGATCTGACCATGGTCCAGCACAAGCACCGTTACTCAGATCTCCGAAAGTTCCTGTACGTTCCACCAAAAGACGCAGCAAAGCGTGTTGCAGCGGCCCTCCCCTTGTCGACCAACCGTACATTTGCCCGTCTGGGTCTGGACGATGTTCCCAACTTCACCTTCATGCATCCTGTTGCCAGTTTGACAAACAGGAGACGTGGCATGCCGAGCGATTTCTCCCTGGAAGCAAGAGACTGCTACTTCCTCTGGCAAAGCATGTCAAAGCACCAGACCCCAGAGTATCCCGTCGACAAATCTCTCACGCCTGCAGCCGTGCTTCCAAAGGTTATGCGCAAGGCGGATATCATCAGTTGGGAGTCCGGTCTTAAGGATTTGCTTGCTCAGTGGATGGCAGACGAGAAGTCTCCATTTGAAGCTGTGCGCAAGGACTTCAGTACCTCGGTCACCAAGTCTGCTCTTCAGATCAACGACAGCACCGTTGAGCCGGTCAAGGAGAACCTCGAGGTTGACGACCCAGCGAGTAACCATGATGTGGACAACATCTTGCCCCTTCTCACAGAGCTCCATCAGCAGGATGCTCTCCCTGGTATCATCTTCAACTACGATCGCGCGGTGTGCGAGAGGATGTGTCGCACCGTCCTGACACAACTCGAGGAAGCCGAGACTGAGTGGAAGAAGACGAGCCCCAAGTGGGCGGAGAAGCTACGCGAGTGGGAAGAATACAAGAAGGAGGTTGCGCGCCGCGCCAAACAGGGTGTGCGCGCAGCGAAGGGTACGACCAAGGAGGAGCAGATGATGGAGGCTGCCAACCGCGAGGTCAGCCCCTTTGCCACCTTCAACCCAGATAGGCCGCTTGAGGGCTTCCACTTTGCGGACAGCAAGAAGCTGTCCAGCGAAGAGATTCTCAGCCATGAAAAGGAGCTTCGCTACCGCGGTGTCGACGAGGTGTTCATCCAGGGTCTCCAGCGCGGTATCGGTGTCCATCACGCAGGTATGAACCGCAAGTACCGTTATGCCGTCGAAGTGTTGTTCCGCAGGGGTTACTTGAAGGTTGTTATTGCAACGGGTACTCTTGCGCTTGGTATCAACATGCCGTGTAAGACTGTCGTCTTCTCTGGCGACTCCATCTTCTTGACAGCGCTCAACTACCGCCAAGCAGCTGGTCGTGCAGGTCGTCGTGGCTTTGACTCGCTTGGTAACGTGGTCTTCCATGGAGTCTCTCTCAGCAAGATCAACAAGCTCATCAGCTCCCGTCTGCCTGACCTGAACGGACATTTCCCTATCACGACAACCCTAGTCCTGCGTCTGTTCGCCCTCCTGCACGACTCGGAGAATTCGCCGTTTGCTCTGCGCTGCATCAACGCGCTGTTGTCCCAGCCGCGTGTGTACCTCGGTGGCGAAGAGTCAAAGATGACAGTCCTTCACCACTTGCGTTTCTCTATCGAGTATCTTCGTAGGCAGTCGTTGCTAGACTCCGCTGGAGCACCGCTCAACTTTGCCGGTGCTGTCAGCCATCTGTATTTCACAGAGAACTCGTCCTTCGCGTTCCACGCACTGCTGAAGAATGGCTACTTCCACGAGCTGTGCGACAAGGTGAACACATCTCAGGAGCTAGTCTTGCGTGAGCTTATGCTTACGATGTCGCACCTGTTCGGCCGTCTCCAGTGCAGACAGGCTGACGAAGAATTTGTGCAAGAAGTCGTTAAGGGCAGTCCATCAGTTGTGTTCCTGCCAAACATGCCTGAGAACGCAGTCAACGTCTTGCGTAAGCACAACGATCAAACTCTCGACATCTTTACCTCCTACGTTCGCACATTCGTCGAACAACACATTCAGGAGCCCGACAACACGCTGCCCCTGACCTCGACCGTCGTCGGCGGCAGCTCAAACAAGAGTCCAGCGCCTCACAAGGTCCGCTCCTCCTTCGTCGCACTCTCTGGCCACAACGACTCTTTCGCCTCCATTCACGAGCTCTGCACAACCAGCCGTTCAGGCGTCTTCCTCGAAGAGGCCGTCGTGCCCTACGTCGGCATCTATCCCGAGGATTCCGATCTGCCTCTCAACGCGTACCTGTACGACTTTTTCATGCACGGCAACGCCGATGCTGTCGTCACCACGAACCGCATTCGCCGCGGTGACATCTGGTTTGTGCTCAACGACTTCAGTATGGTGCTCGCCACCATCGTGACTAGCTTGACGAACTTCATGAACCTCGGCACCGAGTCCGACCTCGACTTCATCGACGTCCGCGGCGGCGGTGACGACGATGAGGAGGACCTCGAAGACAAGCTTCAGGGTGTCGCGGATGATCAACAGGGACCTGCGACTGGCACCCAGGGTGCGAGGGGACCGGCGGCGCAGCAGAATCTGCCCGTTCAGCTGGCCAAGAAGAAGAAGAAGGTTGTCGATTCTTGGGACGAAGATGCCGAGAGCAGCAGCGAGGGAGAGAACTGGGATGATGGCGAGGAGAGCGAAGAGGAGGCTGAGGTTGCCTGGGATGAGAAGACGGGCTTGCTCAACGTGCTCAAGGCGTTCAAGCTGTTGAAGGCCGACTTCGACACCAAGTTCAGGGCCATGTGGGCTTAGTTGTTCGTTTAGATATGCGGGTCTACGAAGTGACGATCGTGTGTAGAATGACAAAATAGTACAGGAAATGCAATATCTGGAATACTCAAGATGGAGTGCTGGTGTGTCTCTGATCTCGACAAGATGCAATCTCCGAGATCGCCGAGATCCATGTACCCTCGCATCACCTCTACTTACGAACCTCTGCAGCGCCACCCCGCACAATTCCCTCTGCAGTCGATCTACCCCCCGATCGCAAATCTTAACAGCGCAATATTCTCCGCACCGATCAAAACCTTCCACCGGTCCCTCCAACGCATCTCCATCGCCAATCTGAAACACGAAACACGAAACAAGCACCGGCCCAGCGGCACCTAGCGCCACCCACCCGCGGAAACACTTCATCTCCCTACGGCTTGTCCGATCGTGCACTGCGCGTCCAGACCAGCCGGTGTCGCCCTGGGATTGCTGTGTGTTGTGTATATGAAACGCGAAGACGGCTGGGCGTGCAGTGCAACTAAGCTTTGCGCAGCCACATGTGCGGCTTGATAGTGATACTTGACATGCGGGCGAGGCTTGGTGAACGTGAAGCTTCTGGGCGCTGGATGCTTGAGTGATGAGCGGATGAGCCACAGTTGTGCCACTGTCGAGCCACTGTCGTGGGCAGAGTGGGTGCGAGGGCGCGGCGGTGCAGGGTCAGGGGCTCGGGAGAACGCGCGGGTTCATCTGCGCGATGGTGGTCCGGCGGGCAAGAGATTGGGGGTGGGACGAGTGGATCGGCGCCGGGGCTGGGATGGGAGGTGTATAAACACGTCGACGGGCCTTGCGATGTCGGTTCTTCAGCTGTCACTCGTTTCTGGCTCCAGTCACTCTTTTTCACAAAGTCGTTCGTTTCTAGTCTCGCGTTGAATTCCTGCTGTGCAGGGTTTATATAGAAGATGCATATCACTACTCTCCTCGCCGCTGCGGCGCTCCCTTTCACCGTCCTCGGCCAGCTCTCAGGCAAAGTTGGCCCGCTGACGACGCACGCTGCGAAGACTAAGGTCAAGACCTGCAGTGTCTTGGACTACGGGGGCAAGGCGGATAAGAGCACGGATGTTGGACCCGCGCTGCTAAAGGCGTTTGCGGCCTGTAAGCAGGGCGGCACTGTCGTCGTGCCCGCTGGCGACTACGCGATGAAGACATGGGCTACGTTCGAGGGCGGCAAGGCGTGGGCGCTGCAGCTCGACGGTGTGATTTACCGCACCGGAACTGACGCGGGTAACATGCTGTTCGTGCGCAACGCGAACGACTTCGAGATGTTCAGCAGCACCGGCAAGGGCGCTGTCCAGGGTGAGTGACGTGAAGGTGTAGATGTGTGTGAGATTGTGTTGACGGTGAATAGGTCTTGGCTTTGAGGACCACAAGAACGGCAAGCGGAACGGCGCGCGTCTGTTGCGTGTCGAGAAGACAAACAACTTCTCCGTTCACGATATCATCCTCGTCGACGCGCCCATGTTCCACTTTGTCATGAACACCGTCACCAACGGTGAGGCGTACAACATGGCCATCCGCGGCGGCGACTGGGGCGGCCTCGACGGCCTCGATGTCGTCGGCTCCAACATCTGGATCCACGATGTACGTCCCTTCCCTTAATCATCCCCTGACATACCTGCTAACCCCCCAGATCACCGTCACCAACAAAGACGAATGCGTCACCGTCAAATCGCCCTCCACCAACCTCCTGATCGAGAACATCCACTGCAACTGGTCCGGTGGCTGCGGCATGGGCTCCCTCGGCGTCGACACCGCCATCTCCAAGATCCACTACCGCAACGTCTACACCTGGAAGTCCAACCAGATGATGATGATCAAGGCCCACGGCGGCAGCGGCTACGTCGAAGACGTCACCTTCGAGAACTTTGCCGGCCACACCAACGCCTACGCCTTCAACATCGACCAGTACTGGACCTCGATGAGCGCGCTCGCCGGCCCCGGCGTGTCACTCCGCAACATCACCGCCAAAAAGTGGCGCGGCACCCAGGCCAACGGCTCCCAGCGCGGGCCCGTCAAGGTCGTGTGCGCCGACGACGCGCCGTGCTCGGGCATCAACCTCAGCGACATACAGATGTGGACCGAGACGGGCGCGAAGAACGTCAACTTGTGCCGCTCGGCGCAGGGTTCGGGCGGGTGTTTGAAGGCCTCTGAGGGCAAGTATGCGCAGATCACACAGACGGTTACTGTGGCGCCTGCCTCGTATCAGACACCCAGCATGACGGAGAACCTTAAGACGGCGTGGGGGACTGCGAGCAGTATCCCAATCCCGACGCTGCCTGCGTCGTACTATCCGGGTGTGCTGCCGATCAGCAAGTCGCCGGGAAAATAGGGCGTTGGTGAAGCGTAGGTGGTGAGATGTAGGCAGTGAGCGTGGGCTGTGTTTGGTGGGCAGCGTTTCTTGGTGGAGGAACTGGTTTCTTGTACATATATCATCTTTACTATCCAAGCACAGTCATTGACTACCACTTCTTGTTCACCGCCCTATTTCTTCTCCACGCGTACCTATCGACCTTCGTGGACGACCCAGCGTCTAGTCCCTCTCTGGTGCTGCTTAGCGGTGCTGCTACGGGAAGATGGTTGGATAAAGACTGGAAGGAGACAGGAGGGAATGAAGAAGGTAGAAGCGAAGACAGAAGCGAAGAAAGAGAGACATGCAAGTTTGATACAAGATAAAGCAGGTAGTTGGCTGAATTTGTCATCTCGCGTTGATTCCAATGATGGTTTTTGCGTCTGTTTCTTTTTTCAATCATAGACGTGGAAAAGAATTGAGACTGAAATAGACAGGACATTGATGGAACATGTTGACTAGATCTGGATTGAACTGGGAAAAATTGAATTAGACTGACTAGGACTAGATAGATCAGAGTTTGACTGACCAGTACTGCGTTGAGCTGATCAGTGCGAGGCTGACCTGACCAACGCTGACCTGAACCGACCAACACCACGCTGAAACACAAAGAGTTGAAACGCTAAGTTGAGCTGACCACTGAGTTGAGCTGACCATCGCTGAGCTGGACCGATCAATTGGTCAGTGCTGAATTGAACCGATCAAGTTGAACCGACCAGTGTCAAATCGCTGCTCAAGTGAGTTTGGGGAAAACGCAGTAGACATAATATTCCGGCTAAGGACTCGCTGTTGACGTGAGTTGTGGCATCCCTTTGGCTTGCCTGTCTTTGTATCTGAAGTGGAGGCCCGACAGCCAGCACGAAGCTGGACCGACCAACTCTGACTTGAATTGGCCAACACCAAGCTGAAACACCGAGTTGAAGAGCGGTGTTGATCCGACCAACTGGTCAGTGCTGCTGAGCTGATCCGACCAACTGGTCAGTGCCAGGTCGACCTGACCAACATCGAGTTGAGCCGACCAACTGGTCAGTGCAGAGCTGCGCTGAACTGACCAACACAAAGTTGAGCCGACCAACACAGAGTTGAAACATGGAGTTGAACTGGTCAGATTGAGTGGAAAGAACCAATGCTGAGTTGAAACCAGCAAAAGCTGAACCGACCAGTGCTGGATTGAACTGACCAACGCTGGATTGAACTGACCAACGCTGGATTGAACTGACTAACGCTGAGCTGACCCGACCAACGCTCGAGGTGAACCGACCATCGCTGAGCTGATCCGCCCAACTCCAACCTGACCCGACCAACTCCAACCTGACCCGACCAACTCCAACCTGACCCGACCATCACAAACCTGATCCGACCATCACAAACCTGACCCGACCAACTCCAACCTCCCAAACACGCCAGCAGACTCCTCGGCCACCCCGCCCCAAATCCGAACAAGTCACCCAACCCACGCATGCCAAGGAAACACAAACGCACTGCACGCTCGCGAGTGTAGATAGTATCGTGGAGGAAGAAATTGACATTGAATTGAATTGAAATTGAATCGTGCTCGATATCTGAAGACCGTGTATTTCGGACAGTACATTCAAGACCGTACGTTTAAGACGCACACACACCTCTCTCTTTTGCAACGAAACCTATCGGCCAGAAGGGAAGTGTTTTGTAGAAAAGGGATGGCGCTACAGAGGGCAGATGGCACGGATAGCACCGCGCAACACGCGCCGGGAGGGCACAAGATGGGACAAGACGCCTCGCTCAACGGGCGGCGGACAAAGGAAAGGCGCTCGAGAGGAGGGAGGGGGAGGGGGTTGACACACACACACACACACACACACACACCCACACACGCACACGCACACACACACTCTCTCTCAGACACACACGCTCTCTCTCTCACACACACCCCCTCTCACCGCTTCTCCCCCTCCACCCTCCCCTCCCCCTGCCCCCCAAACGCCCTCTTCTCATCCCCCGCACCCTCCTCCTCCGCCGGCGCCCGCCCAATCCTCGCCAACCACACCTCCGCGGACCTAACCGTGCCATCCACAACCGCCGTAATCTGACCCATCATATCCAGCCCCTCCATAGCAAACGCCAGCATCCTTGTCGCACCTCTTACAGGCCCTTCTTCCTCGCCCTCAGCACCGCGGCCCTCTGCACCCCGGTCCTCAGCGCCACGCTCCTCGTCGCGCGCCCGCGCGCCCGCGTGCTGCCACCGCCGCGGCACAGACAGCAGCTGCGTGCGCACGACCTGCTGGGCGTTGAGCGGCAGCGCGCCGCCGGTGTGGCGCGAGACGGCGGCCACGACGCGCTGCAGCGTGAGCCAGATGTCTGCGCTGAGGGCCTTGAGGCGGTCGGCGATGGCGCGGACGTCGGGCGGCGGGTGTTGGTCGTCGGGGCTGCGGCGGCGGAGTGCGGTCTCGTAGTCCGAGAGTACGAGTTTCAGGGCTTGCATCACCGAGTCGATGTGTGTGGTCGCGCTGCGCAGGAGCGCGAGGCATTGTTTGAGGGAGCGCAGGGAGGCGGCGGAGAGGGCCGCGCCGAGGCCGGAGGTCGTCATTATGAGTTGCGTGGACCAGGGGAGCGGGCGCTGGTGGGCGGGGGATTGCGAGGGGTGGCCGGGGTCCTTGGAGGCCGGGGCGGTGGCGGGCGATTCCTCGTAGTTGGGGGAGCGCTGGTCGTCGTAGGCGGGCAGCGACTCTGCGCAGGACGAGTGCGAGCCGCCACGGGTGCGGGTGCGGGGGTCGAGATCCATGGCGTCGGGGGAGGCGGCGCGGGGCCGCTTGCGCGGGGCGTCGGCGTCGCGCTCGAGGTCGCTGGGGCGGCGGTGCTGCTCGCCCAGGTAGCGGCGCAGGTTCTTCTCCATGCCGGTGCGGCGGCCGACGGACGACACGGTGTTGACCATGGGCGAGCCGACGTTGCGCTCGACCAGCTCGGCGCCGTACTTGACGAAGCGCGGCGAGTAGTCCTTGGTCAGGTTGTAGGCGGCGAGCGAGCCGCTGATGGTGCCGCCCAGCCACGGGTGGTTCGACGTGAGGAGCGACAGCATGGGCTGCTGCGGCTCGGCGGGCTCGCGGGTGCGGGTGCGGGCGGGCGGGGAGCGCACAAAGTCTGGGGCGGGAGTCAGTATGCCGTCATATAATGTAGTTATGCCACGCACCTGGGTTGCCCAGCCCGCTCAGCGCCTCGGCGGCCAGGCGCACGTCGGGGTCGTCCATGCTGACGCTCGTCTCGCGGCGCGCGGCCTCGTCCTGCGCGCTCAGCACGCTCGCCGTGTCCATGGGGCTGCCGATATCCACCAAGCCCTCGGGCACGCGCGGGAACGTCGCGCTGTGCAGCGCCGGCAGAGTCCAGTGGGCGTCGGCCAGCGCGCGCGGGCTCATCTCGACCGAGTTGCGCGGCGTGTGGCGCGCAGGCGCATCGGGCAGGTCGAGCGCGCGGATGCCGGGCAGACGGCCATTATGGCGCTCCGGCGCGTGTGTGGGCACGCTGGGCAGCTGCAGCGACTCGGGCTCGTGCTGCATGTACGCCGGCGGCGGCGGGCGCTGCTCCTCCTGCATGGTCGCGGTGCGGGTGCGGGCGACGGGTCTGACGTCGTGCAGCGCGGGTAGCGGCGACCCCTCCGGCCCAGCGCCGATCAGACAGCAGCGGGCGCGCCTTCACGTCCAGTCTCTCTGCGCCGGCGATGGCGTCGTGATGCGATGCGGCGCTGGCTATGTCCGGTGTTGCCGTCGGGTCCAGCAATGGGGTCGGGGCTCGCTCGATGCGGCAGGGCGCTCCGCCTGTGCGCCGAACGACGGAGAATTGATGCGACGACGTCAGGAGAGCGGCGGCAGAAAACACAGCAGAGCTCGACGCGTCCACGGGCAGCGCGCAGAGTCTTACAGTCGTCGTCGGGCGGGCGTTACGGATCGGCTGGGGATCGGCAAAGCAGAGTGAGGGCAGAGGGGGGACGAAGCCGTGGCGCGCAGCAAATTGGCCTCCAGAGCCGTGATTCTCACATGTCAGAAATGCGCATCACATGTTGCGACGATCCGCGACGCCACTCGACCCAGGTGTGCGCAAGCGAGCAGCGAGCAGCGCGCAGCACAGCGGCAAACGAGCCCCAGCCCGTGAGACCAACGGGGCCACCGCACGCTGCAGCCCGCCCCGTAGGGCCCAACGTCCCCGTCCAAGTACCGTCGCACACGTCTCGCTGCGATATTGCACCTGCACACAGCCTGCCGCGACACCACCGCGAACTTCTGCCTCTGCCGGCCGATCCACGGCACCAGCTGACCGCACTAGGCCGCCCTTGCTCTCGCTAGGGGGGAAGCCATGCGCTCCCCGCGAACCCAGTCGGCCTCTTGGCCGCAAGGCGCGAATGCGACCTGGGAGAGCTTGCACCGTTCTCTTACACAGTACCTAAAGCAGAGCCGAGCTCCTGGAGGGTGCGAGCGCGTTGGTGTTGTGGGGCCGTCGTTGTTTCGACGTTGCACCGCATACATGTGACGGGGCGTTGGACATCGGCCGGCGATGCGCCGAGGAGCTGCGCGGCGCTGTAATGGGTCGAGTTGCACAGCGCCTGGGGGCTGTTTGGGTGCGAGAAGCGAGCGCGTTAATTCCCCAGCCTGGGCTGTCGAATAGGATGGCAGACGCAGTGTACGCGATACGAGACGCAGCATCTCACGATAAGCCCCACATGTGTCCCTGCAGTCGCCATTGACCAACCACAGCCATGCTGCCGGCGAGAAGTGCGAACAACGATTGCAATTCAACAGATGGTATCAAGCATTCAAACCTACTCAAGCATCCTTCAGCGTCCCATTAACGGGCTTCCCTGTCGATGAAAATCTCTCAACCTTGGTGAACAAGTCCATCTTCTCGTCCTTGCACGCGAGGAACAACTTCTCCATACCTGGTCTACTGCGCAGCTCGCTGCGCGATCGCGGCGGGTTCCTGGCAATTGCCTCCAGCGCCTTGACCGACACGAGATCGGACGCTTGCGTCTTCCGCCTGGTGGCAACCAACTTGCTGAATGCGACGAGTTTGTTGTGGAAGAGCCGTGTTTGCAGTGGGAGGGGTGCTTCTGCTGTAGGAGAGGGTGCTGCTGGCCCTGCCTTCGCCCTCGGTGATGTTTTTGATGATGGCGATCGTGTTGAGGACCGTCTTGGGCGTGGCACTGCAGAAGACTCTGGCTTTTCTCTCAGTAACAACAGTGACTGTTCTTGCTCTGTCAGACGCTCAGCTGGTGTTTTAGGCGGCGGTGGTGATTCTCTTGGTGACGATAGTAACTGTTCGATCTCTGCAGACACCAGAGTCTCAGCTAATGCTTTTCGCGACGATCGTGGCCGTCTTGAGCGCGGCGTCACAGAAGACTCGGATGTTTCTCTTTGTGCAAGTGGCAACGGTCCGAACTCTGATGCTGCCGGAAACTCAGCTAATGCGATTGACACTGCTGACAGCCCTGGTAACGGCGGTTCTGACGGATGCGACACTGACGGATGCGACACTGACGGATGCGACACTGATGGACGCGACACTTCGTACCGGGTCTTCAGCTGTGGCATCTGCGGGCTGTCCGGCGCTGCCTGCTTCGCCGGACTCTGGCTCCGTTTTCGCTTCTCTCCCGACGCGCTCTTCGATGTGGGGGACAGGCCAAAGTCGATGGAGGGCAGGCTGTCGTCCGAGTCCTCAGACTCCGCAAGACGCGTGTCTGCCAGTATGAAGGACAGCCCGGTGGGCAGCTGGGGTGCACGCGCAGGCGGCGTCCCAAAAGCCGGCGAGGAACTGCCGTCAGAAGTGGCAGAATCCTCTTGCCCCTCAATGAGGCCTTTGGTTACTGGGTGGCTTGTCGTGGACGGCGTGTCTACCGTGTTCGCAGGCGCGGCGTCACCACTTCTGGCGATGAACGACGCGATGACGTTCCTGACCTGCTTGCCGTAATATTTCTCTTTCATTTCCCCAAAGCCTTGAATGGCCATGAACGACGAGCTATCAAGAGGACGCGCGTGCGCAAGATCCCGAAGGTTCGCGTCTGTCATGATACGCTTTGCCCAATTGTTTGTTCTAGCAGCACGAGCTGCGCGCCATTTAACCAGTTCGTTATAAAGTGCGTGTGATTGTGACGTCTCATCAGGCAGCCCAGAAGGGTGTTTGCAAAGTATGAGCTCTGTGCCCGGGCGTTCATCGCTGGGGGTTCTGGTGTCCGTTGCAGACTTGGGTGTCGTTTTAAATGCAGCCTCCGATCTCTTTGGCCCTAGATATGGATCTGCTGGCGCAGTCGGGACTCCAAAAAAGTAGGCCGAAGTCACAATCTTACCGCCCTCTACCGCAGGCTCCAGATAAAGCGAGCGGATCTTCCCGAATTTATAGCCGTGACCAAGATATTTGTCGGCATGGATGGGCATAGGCGGCACTGGATCCATCTGGAGCCGCTGGTAGTTCAAGTAGTGGTACAGCATAACACCAGCATACGCATCTCCTGCGGCATACTTGATCTGCTCCTGTGACAACGGCTTGCTCCAGTTCGATTTCCGCACATCTCCCTTGAAGAGAGGGTGTCCTAGGTGCTGTTCGACCTGGCGTGCGAGACTCGTCATCTTAGTTGAGACTTGGTTCGGCGCCCGCTTGCCAAACGTCACGAGACGGTGGAGATGGCTCAATTCGATCGCGCCTTTCGGGTCCAGCTTGAAGAACTTATGCAACCGGGCGAAGTCTGCGCTGAGTATGCCAACGCCAAGCTTGCCAATCTTCGGGTCCTCGATCAGCTTGCGCAATGATGGGGCCAGGATTTCGTCGGTCGTGTCCCCTGTGTGTAGGCCGATGTGAAAGAGGGCAATCGTATCTTCTGTAGCAACCTGGATAAGGCCAACCTTGTTCTGAAGTATGTCGGGCCGCCGGAATTCGTCCCATGGCCATTCCATATCGAAGCCGACGACCTTCTCTTCCAAGAATTGCTTTGCCAAGACCTCTGAATGCGCCTTCGTCTTGCTGTAGAGGATCTTAACGCGCTCATCATTCGGTCCACGATACAACGAATGGCTCCACCATCGAGTTGCCGGGGTTTTTCCTGTTTTAGAAACGCCAACCGCCTCCAAGCCTTGCTTTGGTGTTATCTTGAAGCTGAGTGGCCAACGCGCCTCCTCTTTCTTTGGTGGGTTCGCGACATTATTGAGAGCTGGAATGCCAGAAACGGATCTCTTCATCCGAAACAAACGCCAAACAAACATGCAGGAGTCCTTGATGAGCCAATGCTCGCTCGAGTGGCGGTCGCTATTGTTGATGATTTCGATCCTGTTGATTCGTGATTGCCACCACGCTAGTGCGCGAGCTCACGTGTGCGCTTATCCTATTTGACTGACGTCCATCGCACCTCTACTCGAAGCCCTCTTAGGCACTCGTCAGCACAGCAAGCAGGTCTCTCGGTTCTGCGCTCATTCAACCTTACGTGCAGACTGTTGTTCCGCTGCTGTCGGCCGTGCTCAATGGCGACCCATGTTGACCCCATGGCGTCTTCGCCATCGAGTTGAGCCTTTTCGATATCTCGTGCAGGATAGCTTCCACACATCAAAATCAGATCAATATCTATCTGCGTACTACCAATTCGATGAATGCCGTAGTGCGACACGAGGTCTCTATGACAGCGCATTCGTGCAGAGAAGAGTGGGCTGCGTCAACGTTGACAGATGCTTAGCTGTCCGCGTAGGGGCTTGCTTGAGGTTCTGAGCATTATGGCAGTATGACTTCGTCACCTCACTGACCATGCGTACGCCCAGCAGCACTGACAGGTTTCGTGTTTGAGGCTGATGTACGAAGTCATTTGTTGCGCTAGAGGACTCAAACATTTGCTTGTTTCGGCCTCCACCACCAAGCTGGACGAACGCATTTCCGAGTCGCACCGCATGCAACAACACAATACATCACCGCGAGTATGATCGGAGGACTACGAATAAGACCCGGGTTCTCGCATGTAAACCTTGTTACAACAAAAACGCGACGAAACAAGTTTCCCTTGCCAGATCTTCGATGATCAAAAACGCATTAGTTTACTGCATTCACTCTATTGCACACCAACAATTATAAATCCACGATGTGAACGTCAGTAATGGCATCGATATAATATCTTTATAGATCGCCTTGAGTTCGTAGAAGCATTATCGTCGCCAAGAGCGACTGTGCGGACTTCACGCGATACCCGTTTCAAGATGATCCAGCAGGGGTCTCATGATATATGCACCCCAGGCCCGACAGGTCGTGTAAGACGGCGAGTGACACCGCTAAGCTTCGGACTTTGAGGCCGCGTACTCAAGGTCTCATGATAAAGTCAGACTCTTGAAGCTTCAATCTTGCCGGCGATTTGCTCACCAAATTCAAAATCGCATACTTACGACTTCTGTACATCTTCGTCTCACTCTAACCAATATGTACCTCGCTACATCGCTGTTTGTCGCCGGTTTGGCAGGTTTGGCGCAGGCGCAAAGTGTCACACCCGCAGGCTTTACACCAGCTGCAATGAACAAGCTGGATGTCTACTTCAACACCACAATAGTCAGAATTCCAGGACAGGTTCTTCCCAAAGCAGGCAAGCAAACTTGCGCCCCACGAGGAGCTCTTCTGACAAACCATAGATGTGGCAGCTCAGCCAAAGTTGGCAGTGTCGACCGCAATGGCGAACATGACTGAAACCTACATGTTTGTCATGCTCGATCTTGATGTCCCGCCTGCAGACGGCACCACCAAGCGCCGCGTCCTCCTTCACGCCATGAACACGGGGTTCAAAGCCACACAACAGAGAATCGGTGGAGGTTCGACCTTGCTTGCAACATCAGACAAAGGTCCAGCAGCATACATTTCCCCGGGTCCGCCTCCAACAGACACGATCCCGCATCGCTACGTCGAGCTTCTGTTCCAGCAGCCCGCAGACTTGGCCGTCCAGGAATCCGACTTCGCGAACACAGCAGCTCGCATCAACTTCGACATTGAGGCGTTCATGACCAAGAACAGAGTCAGTGCTCCGGTGGCAGGCAACTTCTTCATGGTCGATGGCAAGGCGAGTGCAACTGCGAAGGGAACTGCTTCGGCCAGTGGAAGTGGTGGCATGCCCGGGAGGACTCCAGAGCCGTTCACAGGCTCTGCTGAGAAGTACGGACTGTCTCCGGGGATGGCTGGGTTGATCGGAGGACTTGCTTTGCTCGCCATTTAGGCACAATTCGACACGAAGTGCCTACTAGCTTTGATATTAATAACTTTCACTTAGCATTTGATACCACAATGCAAATGGACATCTTCCATCCTGTCGAAACAAACGTTCGACCACGTTCCACGGTGTTCTCACATCGTACTTTAATCGACTGATGCTCTAGCTTCCCCAGCCTGGTTTTTTGATGCACGGTCCGTCTCGTATTGACGCTAGCGTTTTCGCTGGCGGTGTGGGATCCATTTGACAACGAGCGACCAGCCAAGTGAGGTTGGGTTTTGAGAGTTTCACTGTTGTCAGTTGCTGTGCCATTGACCGCGTTCTTCGCGAGCTGTGTACTGAGGACAAGCAGCAGAGCTCACCGAGCATCTCGCCGAGCGGACCCGACACAGTGTCGTGACCATGATGTGTTGGTCTGCTCCACCACAGACTCCCCACTCGCGGTATCTGAGCACCACCTACCCTCTCTGCTGTCCCTTCGTCCCGGAACAGAAAAGCACTGGCCCAAGCTCCCATCCCAGCCACGCATCATAACACCCGCCGCAAATACACCGAGCACCACGCGATTCCCATGTCGAAACTGACTACATGCTGTTATAATGTTCTCTTGGGCCTACGCGTCCGCTGACAGGAGCACATCAACAGGCGGCAAGGCAGACAACGCCCGCTCATCTCCTCGTCTGCCCAGCATTCCAGGCAGCCATTTTGCGCACAACTCCACGTCTGCCCAGCAGACCGCGCACACGGATACGAAAGCCATGAACGCGGTAGGTAAGCGGTTGTCTTCGGAGTGTCGGTGGAGCATCGGCGCGCCGCTATCGAAAGCGATCCTGCGCCCAATGCAGTCCTCGCCGTCGCGCATGACGACTTAGTCGCGCCCCGGATTTCGTGGAAAAGACTCGCCACACGGCAAGTGCGGAAGCGACAAGCCTCGTGTTCGTGTGTGCGTGTGTGCTAGGTATGTACTAGGTAGGTAGACATGTAGCGAGAGCCGCAGATGCCGAGGCGCATAAGGCTCCGAGGGCGAGGTGAGTGGCCAGGTGTAAATTTAGATGGTAGCGTGGTGTAGGCGACGGGTGCTAGCGTTAGTGCAAGTGCCAGCCTCGCGCTTTGGGCTCGTAGGATGGGAACACGAGCTTCGACGTCATGTGTTGTGAGGTTTTTGTCATGAATGGGGTGGTGGTGTTCGTACTTGCGGAGTCTTGGGCTAGTTGACGTGGTGGACGGTGGCAGCATATAAGGACTGAAATGTTGCCTCTCTATGGACTGCATCATCAAGCATCAATCATCAACAGTCGCTCAGCACTTCAACGCCTTACTCTAATACTCGGTTCATCACCTAATCGGTAGATTACTACGACAATCGCCTTCAAGATGTACCCCAAGACTCTCGCTCTCGCCCTCGCCCTGACCTCCGTGGTCTCTGCCAGCCCTATCCACAAACGCGACGACCCAAAGCCTACATCTATTCCTGGAGGATGCAACCCCGCCCATCCCGGATCATGCCCCGACTCTTACTTCTCGACAACTAACCTGTACACCGCGACTGTCAGCGCGACTCCCACCTCTGCCCCATTGTATACCGCGACTGTCATTGCGAGTTACACTGCTGAGGAGTCTTGCGAGGAGGAGGCCCCTACGCCAACTCCCACATCCATTCCCGTAAGTAGAACATCCAAGTCTTTCTGAGAACGTTGCTCACACTGTTAACAGGGAGGCTGCAACCCAGCACATCCCGGATCTTGCCCTGATTCTTACTTCTCGACAAGCGTGGCCGCTCCTGTACCCACATCCATTCCTGTAAGTTTTACGAAAAGCCTTGAAGTAGCATAACTTTTTCTGACACGTTTTGAAGGGAGGTTGCAACCCCGCCCATCCCGGATCTTGCCCCGACTCTTACTTTTCGACCACTGCAGCATATCCTGCGGTCACAGCAGCCCCCGCGCCTGGATCCAACCCCGTCAAGACTGACAAGACCTGGGCCGTCAAGGATCTGAGCCGCTACTGCGGCGAGGGCAACACCGGCTGCGACTACAACTTCATCATTGAGGCCGACGGCAAGTCCCAGCGCTGCACCGTCATCCGCCAGCCCGGCAAGGACGCCGCCACAGAGTCGTGGTCCAACCAGCCCTGCTCCGGCTCCCCCTACACCATCTCCTGGGGCTACTCTGCGCAGCCTGCGCCTGCCTTCGCCGTCATGACCGTTGTCAACGGCAAGGAGCTCGCCTGGTTCGGTGTCTCTGACATCAACGGCCAGAAGGTCACTACCACTCCTTCCAACCCCTTCGGCTCTGGACAGTACCCCGACGTCAGCGCGCCGGTCTTCACTTACTAAGTGTGTAATGAGTGTGATGGAAAGGAATTACGATAACGACAAGAGAACGATCATTACTTTGGGAATCAGCCTATAAATATGGAGATATAACGACACGCGTAGCATAGACCTTAATAATTATAACGACATCGATCTGAATTACAAGCTCCATCTGTGAAAACGAGAATGTGTTATCGTGTGTGTTGCGGTATCGACGAGGTCGACGTCAATGAAATGACTACAGCACGCTAGTTGATGAACAGACCCCCGTCTGTTCTCCACAACTCCTTATCTTGAGAACCAAAGATCACGTTGGTCACTGAATATGCATCACTGCTGGTGCCAGTCTTTCATAAATCACTGCTACTAGGTCTTGCTGCTTTGCATTTGTAAATGAACTTATATGTACATACTAGGAGTTCCCACGGTGGTGGTTGTCTTCCGCCACACGAGCGGGGGCGGCCGATGTGCGGAGACGGGTCCGGGGTAAGTATCGCCGCCCACGGCAGCGGCGCGCTTACGGCGTGTCCTATCATCGGCAAACGCCCAGGTGACAAGTCACGAAGCCACTTCTGTAGCTATAGGCAATCTGAGCTCAAGCAAGATGCCGCCAGCAATCCGGATCGATCGCCGCAAGGCTGTCCGGCACCGCGTGGCGGGATAAACCTGCCGCTTCTGTGTAACGCGCCGAGATCATCACTTGCCAGGAACTGCCAGGACGCTGGGCAGACCCCGCGGAGCATCTTAATGTAAAAGCTTAAGTGGGCGTCCTGCGCATCAAGTCCGCATCTTCGCGAATCGGTCCTTCGTCAAGGCACTGAGCTTCTAAGCAATGTCTTCTCTTGCCGTACAGGGTGCGATTCCGGGCACAATCCAGCTTGTTGATGTCGACCATACAGTGGAGGCACGCCACGCGGGTAACGGAGACATTGTCCTGCAGCCGACGCCTTCTGCACACGCTGATGATCCGCTCAACTGGACTCCGCGTCGCAAGTTGCTTGCGTTGATATGTCCTAATTTGTATGTTGCATTTGCTGGTTTCCTGGACGAGCTGACACAAGAACAGATACGTATGGATGTGCGGCATTGCACAATCAAGCATCTACTCCGTAATCGTCCCGCTTTCTGAAGCCAATGGTATATCAGTGTCAACCCTGAACGAAGGTACTGGGTTCATGTTCCTGCTTATTGGCTGGAGCCAACTCTTCTGGCAACCCTTTGCTCTCACCTACGGGAAGCGGCTGGCCTACCTCATTTCCATTCTCGGAGTCACGGGCATTACCCTCTGGAGCCCATATGTAAAGACTAACGGCGAATGGATCGCACGCAGTATCCTGCTTGGCTTCTTTGGCGGCCCGTACGATGCGCTGCCTGAAGTTTCCATTGCTGATATCTACTTTACGCATCAGAGAGGCTCTGCACTCAGTATCTACGCCTTTTGTGCTCTGGCTAGTAACTACTTCGCTCCAATCATCTCTGGATTTATATCCGAAAGACAGGGCTGGGAATGGGTGTTCTACTGGCCCGCTGTATTCACCGGAGCCACCTTCATCTTCCTGTTCTTTTTCCTAGAAGAGACAAACTACGATCGCGTCATCACCGGCACCGTCATCGTACCAGATGCACAGCATCTCCAGCTGCCCAAGGACGACGACGACGACAACAATCCGAAGACCTCACTATCTGCGGTCCAAACCACCGCAAGCTACGAGCTCCAAATCCCAACCCAGACCAAGACCTTCGCCCAGAAACTCTCCCTGTGGAACCCCTCCCAGAACGGCACCATGCTCAGCCATCTCCGCAGCATCACTCTCTACCTCACCTGGCCCGTAGTCCTCTACACCGGCTTCTCAGCCGGCTCCTACCTGATCTGGTTCAACATCCTCAACGCCACCGCCTCGCTCGTGCTAAGCGACACGCCCTACTTCTGGAACGCCGAGGCCGTGGGCCTGAGCTACATTGCGCCCATGATCGGGTGCGGCATCGGGATGCTGGTCGCGGGGCGCTTCAGCGACTATCTGACGGTCAAGCTGGCGCGGCGCAACGGCGGCGTGTCCGAGGCTGAGTTCCGCTTGTATCCGTTCATCATCTGCACGGTGATGGTGCCCGCGGCGGCGATTCTGTGGGGCGTGGGGGCTGCGCAGCAGATCCATTGGTTTGGGCTGCTGGTTGCGATGGGCAGTCTGGCGTTCACGACGTGTTTGGGGTTCACGTTGAGTATCAACTATTTGATTGATAGTTACCCGGCAGTTTGTGGAGATGCGATGGCGGCGACGATTATCATCAGGGATACTATGATGTTTGCTGTCAGTTATGCGTAGGTTGTCGATATTCTACTACCAAGGACATGGCTAATCTCGCATAGAATCACGCCTTGGATCACGAACCTGGGGTATCAGAACTGCTTCATATCGGCAGCATTCATTGGTTTGGCGTGTGTATCAACGTTCTTGATTATGTGCAAGTACGGCAAGACATTGCGCAAGAGAAGCAGCGATAAGTATTGGCGCATCGTTGGCACCGGTGGCGGGCATTAACATCACAAGTTTCAAGCCCACGTATGACCAATTCAACGTCCGTATCCATCCACACCTCGGCCTTTACCACGTTGTCTCTGCATCACCTCTCTTCATTGCACTCCCAAACGGCCCCAGGCTAGGCGGCACATCCTCCGGCCTGGTGCCCCACTCACTCTCCTGCGGTCCCAGAGTTAACTCCAACACGCCCCCCTCAAGGAAGAAGCTGTGCGTGATCCAATTCCTCGTATACGGGACCCCATTTAGCGTCGCACTCTGAATGTGAATATTCGCATACGCAGTATCGAAGTTGACGTTGCGAATCGTGGCCGTGTTGCCCGTCTGCTGGTTTCTCACACTGACCTCCTCGAAGAACGGCGGGATGATGAAATACACATCCTGCCCCGCGTTTGGATACAGACCCATTATGACCAGGGCCTGGAACGAGCCCATGGCGCCTGAGTCGTCGTTTCCCGGGATGCCGGAGATGGTGTCGTTGAATTGGCTGGGGATGTACTGGTGTGCGCGCTCTGCGCTCTTGCCTGGCTTGCCGGCGTAGTGGTAGAGGAATAGGTTGAGGAATGAGGGCTCGTTGCCGAGGTATAGCACCCCGCTCTCATGCAGCCAGTCTAGGCGCCTGATGAAAGTGTCGGTGCCGCCAAGTGTGGCGATTAGGGTCGCCATGTCGCCAGGCACGAAGAAAGTGTATAGCCAAACGGGTCCTTCGTATGTCTCTCCACCGGAGGGATTGAGGTAGCAGCCCGTGGGTTTGAGGAGCGGGGAGCAGTAAATAGGGTCCTGGAATCCAAACGTGCCATTCATGTAGCGCGGCTGGAGAAAGCCCTGGAACCCCGTATCAACGCCTTTCCAAGCACTGCGCTGATCTGGGTTGAACATGTTTGCCCAGTTCCCGCTGCGGGAGAGGTACTTAGCAGCATCTTCTTCATGGCCAAGCGCGCGTGCAAGCGTGCTGATGGCGAAGTCGTTGTACGCGTACTCGACTGTGCGCGAGATCGAGCGGGTTTCAAGACCATTTCCGTCGGTGTCGAGGTTTTCAGTGGGAATGTAGCCTAGACTCTTCCACGAGGCGAGGCCGCCACGACCTTCAACATTCCAGTCTGCAGGCTCGACCTCGGCATCCTTGACTATGGCTTCATAGGCAACTGCCCAGTCGATCCCGGCTGTGATGTTCTTCAGATATGCGTCTACGATGACGATGTCGGCGTTGGAGCCGCCTTGTGTTGAGCCTGGGTGGGTTAGCATACCAATAAGAATCTGAATAGTGAGAGCTACCCTTGCAAAGGCTCATCCTGCAGTCAGGAAGGTAGCCCGTGTTTTTGTAGATACTCAGCAAACTCCTGACCATCAACGTCTGACTGTGCGGATCGAGGATAGTGATGAGGGGGTGTATGCTCCTGAAAGAGTCCCAAATGCAGTAGTAGGAATCATAGTATGGCTCGCCATCATTCCAGTATGGATTCTCGTCCGTGTAATCCTGCGGCGAAATTAAGGTGCGATAGACTCCACTCCAGAAGGCTTTGAGTAGGACTTTAGATACACCACCATCTTTCAGAGCAATCACAGAGAGCTTATCTTTCCAGGCGGTCTCAGCAGCAGCCAGATAGCCATCAAAGCTGTTTGTTGCAACCTCCCTCTCAGCGTTGGCACAGGCTTGGGCTTCGCTGATGAAGCTCATGCCAACTCTGGCTAGCATCTGGTTGTTTACCCCTGGTCTCTCGAATTGAACCCAGCCGCCTCCAGGTGTGCTACTCGGTGTCTGACGCTCATCTCCGGGCTTAATAGTGAGGATTCGGTCTTCTGTGGAAGCACGTGAGTTTGACCATACGCCTGCACTTTTGACTGTTGCGCCATCAAAATCAAGACAGAAGTATGATTTATAGGTCCCACTCCCAAAAGAGGGTGAGAACCTTCCGCCGCCGGTGATACGTCCAGTGCTGGGATCGACAGTTATATTGGCCTCACTTCTAGTCTTTGGAAGATCACTGAGCTCGACTAGTATGTGTGGATTCAGTGTAGTATTTGCTGTTGCAGGTGTCTCCGGGAATGTGAATCTGTACAAAGCTGTGTGATTCGTGACTGTCATCTCAGTTCTTATGCCAGAGTCCAAGGTGATGTCGAAATACCCTGGACGTGCGTTCACGCTTTCTTGCTGCCGAACTGTCGCGCGCTCCCATGTAGCATACTTGCAAGCATTGATATCATCGTTGGGGCATCCAGACTGCGGAAAGATGGGGAAGTTGCCGAGTGATGCAGAACCACCGGTTCCGCTGTCGTGCATGTGTGAGAAACCATATATAGGGGAGTCATTTGACGCATATCCTCCTTGATTCTCACCGCCAAGCACATCAGCCCCGGCTTTGGCCATTCCTGCACTTTCATCAGTAGGTTGAATGTCACAGGGGCGTTGCAGAGCTTACCAAACGGAAGTGTGGCACCGGGAAAGACATGACCTTGGAGTTATCAGTAATGAGCCTCAAGTTGCTAGGCTCTTCTACTGACCTCCGTTTATAGTTCCGATGAGCGGATTGACATAATCGTATGGCACTTTGCCGTAACCATCCGGTTGACCTTGCGCGTTAGCAATGGTGGCCAGAGAGCCCACAACAACCGTCACTCGGATTGAAGATCGCATTTTTCAACAAATCAGACCCTGAGACAATGAACCGTGTATGCACTGTGTGCAGGCGACTCTTGTGTATATATTGCTCAACATTCCTCCTTCCTTGGCATGACACGATGTAACTTTCTCCCTGTCATGCTTCTTTTTGCACACCTGCATCTTCAATACTATCAAAACTGTATTGGCAACCCGTTCAAGGGTGTTATGCTGCTTGTGAGGAAGTGATGCAACCATGTTGCGGAGTGGCGCGGGGTACATAGCTAGCTGCAGATCTGTGAGATGCGGGGGCGTTGTGCTGTGCAAGGAGCATCGATCGAAAGCACCACAACGTTGACTAGATTGGTGTTGGACGACACCATGTCAGTCATTCAATACTGCAAGTAGCCCAGTCTATACAGACGTTAGTAGATCTTAGACGGGCTGGAAATTATTGTGGAAAGGAATCCGGTCTTGTCTAAGACAGTGTGTGGTGAACAGGGAATAGGTGATCAACAACCTACACTAAACAAGACTGATATGTAGAGTAGGTGTGGTGCACGTGTGTTCGAAGTTCGCTGCTGGCTGGTGTCACCAGGTAGCACTTGCCGCGACCTAATCCGTCCAGTTGCAGAACGAACAAACGGTCCATCGGGTTGCACGACTGCATTTGGAGGCAAACAAACAAAGAGGTAGGTGAAGAGGTAACAAGAACATTCCTTCGGGAACGTTTTGTATTCTCTGTTCTGTATAGCCAAGCGTGGGTATGGTTCACCTGATCATTTCACTTTTGAGCGTATTTGCAGGAACATGCAGATTCTACCAAGAACATCGAGCACTATTTCCTCGTTACTTGCTCAAAAGTACCTGGCCACCGTCCACAGGTACCTCGATCCCCGTTACAAATCGGTCCTTCATGATCCAACCATACGACTCAGCAATATCTTCCGGTCGACCAAAAGTACCCAGTAGATTAAGGTTTTTCTTCATGTGTTCTTTTGCCTCTGTGGGTATTGTGTCGAGCAACCCTTGCAGCATTTCTGTATTGACTGCGCCGGGCTTGACGATGTTCACACGGAGCGGTGCGAGGTCTACCGCAAGCCCACGCGACAATCCTTCTGCAGACGCTCCCCATACTGTAGGCATGAGCCATCCAGGCAGCGGTTTGGTGGTCCCGATTCCTCCCGTGAGCGTAAATGAAGAGTCGGACGAAAGAGGCATATACCTCCCGGTACTGACGAGTTTGGCGATGAACAAGGGTGCAATAAGCCGGACTTTGGAACCAAGCATGGCCTCCTCTAGGGTGATATCAGAGAGCTTGGGCAACGAATGGTGGTCTCCTGCTGTAAACGCTATATGGTCTAGCTTGTTGCTGCCTTTCCGTGTCACCGTTTCGAGCATTGACTGCAATCCCGCTTCGAGGTTCTCGGAATCCATGAGATCGATCGCATGGCCCGAGACCTTTTCCGGGGATGTCGGGGAATACAGAGATCGTAGGAGTTGTACTTTGCTGTCAACTTTGGCCTGTTGTGAGCCAGAGATAACAACTGTGGCTCCATATGACAGCGCCATACTGGCTACCGCAAATCCAATCCCAGACGAGCCGCCGAATACGAGAACATGAGCACCAAGGAGGCGGTTGACGTGAGGTACCACTGTCGGTGGGACAGAGTTCATGTTCGGAGTGGCCATGTTAGTGGTGTAATTGCTCAAAAGAGGTTGCCTGTGAAGATCTAGAGTAAACAACAGGCCTGACTTTTAGCTAACTCCCTCTATTCTATATATGCTAGCATAACGGATTTTTCTCATTGCGTGGTCCGCGATCTGTCCGTTATTGCCCGTTGCCAAGCCGAGCAATATGGTAGCCTGGTAGGTACCGGAGGTATGTACATGAGAAAAGCCGACTTCGCAACTGGCCCGGCATCACCTGTCTGCCATGAAGCTAGGCTCTACCCACTCTAAAAGGACCTTTTTGGGTATTGCAAGACGGGACAAGTTACCACTTTTTGCACGCTATATATATACTTACACCTCCAGGGTTCCAGGCACAAAACCCGCACATGGATTGATGCAGTACATGTCACCTTGCGAATGGATCAAAGTCGCGTATATCTCCAATCCAATTTACTCTTTCACGGAAAGCCAACCATACTTCAAATAGGCTATGCAGTTCGTCGCCCCTGACTTATACAACCAGGCATCTAATACGGTTCATACCTCTTCTTGTCCTTCTTTTCCTTCCTCTCCTTCCGCTTCTCCTTCCTCTCTTTCTTCTCCTTTTTCCTGTCCGCCTCTTCGTCAACATCCATGGTGTCGTGCGCAGATACCTCAGTCTTCCAGGCGCGCACGTGGCCGTCTTCGCCGACTGTGTACGTCGTCTGTGTCTACGGAATGTCAGTTTCAGCGAGCGAATAGCATGCTGTGAATTCTTACGTGTGTGTCGGTGAACAAATCCCTCACGATCTCCTCGCCATGAGCGCCCTGTAGAGTCACGCTCTTGGCGAGATCGTAGTCGTACTGCAATACATCCGCGCCTTTGCGCACAGGCACAAGGTTGAGCCGAGTTTCGCTGTGTCCGGTCAGCACATGTAGTCTATCTTATTTCAACTGCACGCACCTGTGCTTTCCGCCAGCAACAAACGGTTGGCTGCCCACCCAGTGCATCTTCGCCAGATACTCGCAGCTCAATGGCTCCCGAACGTCGCCGAACGACTTCGGAGCGGGCTCTTCCTCCTCTTCTTTCTGGCTCTGCAGCGCGTAGAAACTCATTGTTTCGTCGGTACCTAGGGCGTAGATGTCGGTGCTAGGGTACATAAAGCCGGCGTGAGCGATTGCGGAGCCGTGGTTGATGACTTGGAACAGGGCATCGTCTTCGTCGGCTTGGGAGGTGTCGAAGATGTTGATAAGGCCGTCTGTGCTAGATGAGAGGAGAAGGGTGGGCAGTGTCGGATGCAGTTGTAGAGATGTGACTGTGTCTGTATGCGAATCTATGAAGGAGCGTAGAGGCGCTGATGTGTTGCGCTGGTCCCTGGTTGGGTTAGGATGTATGCTTTCTCTGTGGTATTATACTACCATACCAGACGTATACAGGTGTCTCGTGAGATCCGTCCTCTGGATTTTCGATACCAGCAGCCACAAAGTTGGTTTGTGCGTTGCAGACAAGTGACGAAATGAGTTTATTCGCTGCACACGTGGTTAACCTTTGTTGAGAAAGCATCGTTTGACTATCAACGTACGACTCTGGATCTCCAAGACTTTCTGTCTGCTTCTTTGGTCCCAGTATCTGATCAAGCCATCTCGTCCTGCTGTTGCGACGATGTTGCTTGGAGCGTCATTGGCTCTCTCAAGACAGGTGATGCTATTGTTGGCATTCTTGACAACACCATTCACGTTGAGGGAAGCGGGATCCAAAAAGCGCAGAGAGTCATCCGAGGAGATTATAGCGAGTTGGTCAGTCTTGGAGTAGGTGAGCGGGTCTTGCCGCGCTGCGGTGGAGATGATTCTGTAGATGTACGAGTTCGGCGGTAGCCCAACGTCAGAGTTTGAAGTCTGCGTCGCCATTGTAGCGGTTGATTTGAAAATTCAACGAGGAGGTTATCTCAGAGTCTCTGGGAACGCGGAAATGCTAGCGCTCTTAAGGCACCTCGAAAGCCGCGAGTCGATGAAGGTGAGAAAAAAATTGTGCGGGCGAGAAACGCGTCCCTGATTCCAACTCATCTTTGCCGCGTCCCATAGCAGGCTTATTTCTTCGCGCAAGGCCTATGTAGTAGCTGTGATCGCAACATGTAATGTGCTGGCCAGTTGCAATACAGCTGACGTCGCATGTGATATCGCGTCCTGCCGTTCGAGGGCACAACTGGTACAGCAGAACGAACAGATGCAAGTTCACAAGACCAGCCATCGGCTACTGCTCCATAGGAACAATATGCACGCGCGCTCGATTGAAGGCCTTTCTACAGAGTAGAGTCCTTGATGATTATATAGTATGTTGCCTTGATATGAAGCTCGTTAAGTTATTATTCAAACAGTACGAGTGATTAACGACGGGCGTCTCTCTCCGATCCCTCCAATCCCAGTCCACTACCATAACGGCAGCAGACAAATGGGAAGTCACTCCAACGCCTTCAGCGCTTGCGCTCGGCGTTGGCGATAACGAGGTTCGTGAAGAAGAGAAGGCCAGCACGACGCGTGCGAAGATTTTACGGGTCGTCTGCCAACCGTGCACGGCCGGTTTTGTGGGTTGAGTAAGCGGAGGTCGCTGATTGGTGGCGGCTACGACCTCGGGAGTCGGAGGAAGGAACGAACGACGACATCGATACGTGAAGGACCAAGACATCTACCCTCCGACTAATCGACGACGACGAGGTCAATTGCGCATAGACGACCATGGCTTCTCAGCGAGTGTTCCAGCTTGGCCTGCGCCGCGCAGCTGCCCCCAGCTTCAGGATCCAGCCGGCCGGCCGCACCATCCAGAAGAGGTACGTCTCTAGCAGTCCGCCACCATACCTGCCCGTACACATCCAACATAGCTGTATTGCGAGGCGGAAATGCTGCAGGAAGCCCTCAGCGATTACTATAACGACGTTCCACCACGCCCATCTAGCGATCGCCCCGCCAGTAGCACAGCGACGTCCTCGACAACACACCCACCCGACCCCACGCTGACACCCCGTATAGACTTGCCGCCACAGAATCCGGCTCGCAGGAACTCGCCGCCGAGATCCTGCGCAAGCAGCGCCTCAACCGCCCCGTCGCCCCGCATCTGTCCATCTACCGCCCGCAAATCACCTGGATCGCGTCGTCGTTCAACCGCATTACCGGCATCACGCTATCCGGCTCGCTGTACTTGTTCGGACTCGCGTACCTCGCCGCGCCCTACACGGGATGGCACCTCGAGACGGCGTCGATGGTTGCGGCGGTCGCGGCGTGGCCCGTGGCCGCTAAGATCGCGCTGAAGAGCTTCTTCGCGTTCCCCATGTTCTTCCACTCGTTCAACGGTGTGAGGCATTTGCTCTGGGATATCGGTGTTGGGTTCACCAACCAGCAGGTTATCAGGACTGGCTGGTCGGTTGTTGGTCTCACGGCTATTACGTCGCTGTACTACATCTTCTTCCAGTAGATGTGTGCGAGTGGCTGGTGAGCAGTGAGGTGTCCGGAGGAGAAAGACAGAAAGAGAAGCACATTCGAGGCGCGACAGTGGGGTCGCGGAAGTGTTCAAGCAGTTGATGGGAGCAGGTGTGAGGGACCAGATGAGTTTGTTTGGGGTGGAAGCACAACTTGTACATTCTACGTGTTTTCCAATACGAATTGTTCGATTCAATGGATGTGCATGGCATCTAAATGCTTTTTGGTGCTCACTGCAGCATGTTTTGTAGAGCAATGCTGTTCTTACGTCCCAGGTCCATCCAGCCTGGAATCCAACCGACCTTACCCTGCAGATGACTACCCAGTCCTGCTCCACTTGACCTCATCTCCATTGACCCCATTCGGCGCTTCAGTATCATCCCTCTGTCTCACCGTCCCTGCACCGGGTCCAAGCTCCTCTCCGAGTACCATCCCGTTGAAGTTCCCATCCTCGTCAACATACTGATCCATGTTCTCCGCCGTGATCCACCCACTAGCTCCAGGCGCGCTCAGATCGTCCTCAATGTTGTCACCCTCGTCGTCATCGTTGGGATCTGGGTGGAGATCCGCGCATGTGTTCATCGCGCTGAAGATGTCCTTGATGCACGCGCCATCTGGAGCGGTGGCGTAGTTTGGTGGCAGTACGGTGAGCTCAAGACTCTGGATATCTTCTTCGTCATTGACAGTATCGGCGTCGTTCAGAGAGAGGCTCATGTAGAGGGCTTCGATTGTGGACCTCCACTTCATGGTAGCGTGCAGGGCAACGGTGGGGTAGGTGATCGCGGCGCCGGTAGGTGTAGGAGCAGTCTGGAAGAAAATGAGAGATCTGTCGTGTATTAGCGCGTGTGTTGTTGTCTTGCGATTGTGTATAGCCTACTCTGAAGTCACCCAAATGTCTACATCCTTGATCAGGGTCTCGTCTCCGTCTGTTGTAGTGCTGAACTTGGCGAATACAGGATCTTGTTGCAGTTGTGATGATGGCGCTGAGAGTGTGACACCAGAGTAGCTGGCGTATGTGACTGGCTTTGCGCCAAAGAAAGTAGCTGGTGTCTGCTCCTGGTGCTCTTGAAGCGGGGTGAAGTCAGAGGCCTGGGGCGCGGTCTCGAGGTGTCGAATAGACATTTTGAAGGATGATGTAGAATTGTCTGAGCTCTGCGACAACGAATTTGTACTCAGTAGTATGTCTTTGGTGCTTGGTGGTGTAACTACCGGGGATGTCACGTCGAGGTAGCTGCCTTCGAAAAAGTGGCCGAGCGTCATAGCTCCACACTCGATCATCGAGTGGGGCGCCTTCCTCCTTCACTTCACGCGCGCTCACTCGGATTCACTCGGACATGCGCTGAGGGCAGCTTCGGGAAGCGCACGATGCCTTGAAAACCTTCAAATTGTGCGAAAGCCGCCAAAATGTCCGCATTCCCAACCAAGCCCATTGCCAAACTCACCGGCCACAATGGCATCGTTCACGCAGTCGCATACTCTTCTGGCTCACAGTCGTACATTCTGACTGGCTCTTCTGACCGTACGATTCGACTCTTCAACCCTCAGAAAGCTCCTATAACCTCCGTCGCCCCTACCGCATCGAACGCGTACCCGTCTGGTCTCGTGAACAAGTACAGCGCACACGGCTACGAGGTCCTCTCCATCGATGTCAACACAGACAATGACAAGTTCGTCTCGACTGGCGGTGACAAGACAGTCTTTGTGTGGGACGTACAGACTGCGCAGACGATAAGGCGCTTCACAGGCCATGCCGGACGCGTCAACCGCGGTGTTTTCGGCGGAGAGAAGGACAGCATCATTGCGACAGGAAGCTTCGACGGCACGGTCAGAATCTGGGACTTGAAATCTAACGCATACAAGCCCATCATGACACTCGGTGACGCCAAAGACAGCATCACTGATGTGGCCGTTCACGATGCAGAAATCCTGGCTGCGAGTGTTGATGGCAGGGTCAGAAGCTACGATCTCAGAACTGGCATGTGTCAGGCTGATGTGATTGGTTTTCCATGCACGAGTCTGGACGTCTCGAAGAAAGGCACGGAGATGCTGGTCAGCTCGCTGGACTCGACCATTAGATTGATGGATCGAGGGAACGGAGAAATGCTTAAGGCGTACAAAGACGAAGCATTTGTGAACAAAGATCTGAGGGTCAGAAGCACGCTAGGGCTGAATGACAGCGTTGTGCTGAGTGGCAGCGACGACGGCATGGTCTTTGCATGGGACATTATGGGAGAAGAATGCATGCACCGTTTCAAACACTCTGAGATGCGCGAGGTGCATGGCAAAAGAGCGATGGTACAGCCAGCTAGCAAAAAGGAGGTTGTTTCGGCTGTAGCTTTTTGCAAGACGAGGAGAGAATGGGTCAGTGGTGGAGGAGACGGCAATGTCATTGTTTGGGGAGTGTGATGATTTCGTCAGATATCTGATAGACCCCCGCGACAACCACGATTTTCGAATACTGGCACTGATCCTCGGGAACGCGTCGACACATCCCATCAGCTCCACCCGAGTTGCTGAGGTATCTTCCAGCTCCATCGGTTATGTCCGCCTTTCGTGCGTGGTCAGCTCCCTTTGATACACCGGCAATGGTTCATGTATGATTCCCATCTCCAATTGGCTGTCTTTCTCTTGCGAAGAAAGTCTTGATGGAGATTGTGCCGAGTCGGAATTCGATCGATGTCCTTTCTTCACACCCATCTTCCGTCTTCGATCCCAGAGGAACAGGGCCATGGCGATGATGGCAAGTAGCGCAATCCCAACGCCAACAATGATGGCTGTAAGGTTGTTGGTGTTTGTTGGCCCGTGCCAAGGGCGACTCGATGACTGACCTTGCGTGGCTGGCATTGCAGGTGATTGTCCGAAGGCTCAAAGAGATGGATTCCGGAGACTGGGCCAGTTGAGTCGGTCAGATAATGAAAATCTCGACGTTGAGATTCCAAGGTCGAGGTTCTGAGCAATGTATGACGTTAGGAGGGGGTACAAAAGGGACCATCCGCAACGCAAGGAGTGTGGCCTAGGTCGGGTCTATGCAGAAATATACATCAACACCAAGCGGTGCCCGCGGTAACAAGGCTAGGTTTTGTACACGCTGTATCATGTGCAGTACCGATCACACTCAGCCAGAGAGCGGTGACGGGCGTATTGTTCGAAGCGACAGCCTCTAAATGCCACGATGCATTGTCCACATTTGATGCATCTGCAAGCCGTCTCGTGTTGAGCTATGACGGGCGCAACTTTGCATCGTTGTAAGGCTGTAATTTGCGTCTTGGCATCTGACCGTACATTGAACGGTGGGTCAGCATCGCCTTGTCCGCACCGATAAGCTACTGCACGTGTACTTCAGCCTTGCTGACTGTCTGTGAAGACCGTCATCTCGGTACAATTCAAGAGGGTCTAGAGCGCTCTTACCTCATTCGCAGCCTGCGACGTCAAGTAATAATATGACTTACACCACTTCATCACAGCACCAAATGCAACTTCCGTATGTTGGTATGCTCCATGTAGCCTTGCGCAGCCGCTGATGAACAAGGTTATATGCGCCCGCCCGATGCTTAAGAAGTATCTTTACTCTTTCTCACTATTCGATACCACTATTTGGTCAAAAGGTCCGACCAAGCACTACATCGGGTGGCCATGTCTCAAGATTGGTTACAGCCGTACGGGCATTTGTGTCTGTTTGTGAAGATTGGGGAATACAACACTGTAAATGGTTGGTTCTCCCACAGGTCGTAATACTCGAAGCTGCCCACCAAACGTCCAAACGCCTGACATCTGCGGCTCACAACTGAAAGTTGATAGTCCATTGTGACCGTTTAATTGCTATGAAACAGTGTATCGTTGCCGATGGTACCCGGCGATTGTAGTCTTCACGGAAGCTACAATATTATATTCTTCATAAACTTTACACACCTGCTAGCACCTACAATCACGGTGGCCCTAAGGAGCAAACACATGCCACGCATGCCTACTCAGACAAATGTTTTTAGAAAAGAGCAGAAGAGAGCATGTACAGCATTCCAAGTAAGTTATACATTCACCCTCTCCAACACAGCTGACCCACAGACATCACTCTCATAACCTGGTCCACACTCACACTGGCCACCGAGCCGCGCTACAACCCAACCCACCCGGACCACCTCTACAAAGCCATCGTCATGTACGAGCAATCCGACCGCACCTTCAGACACCAATCCAAAATGCTTCCCCTCCTCTCCCCACCCCCCTACACCCCCGACGAAACAACCCCCTCCCACCGCCCCACACCCCACGACGACTACCGCTGCACAATCACCTCCCAGCCCCCCGACACAACAGTAGTCCATATCTCAATACACATCCACCAGCACCTCGACACCGACCGCATCCCCTGCTGGCGCGTGCGCCGCAAGCTCATCGCGCTGGACCAGCCCATCTGCGCGCACCGCTGCACCTCGGACCCGGCATTCTTCCGCGCGGTGCGGCGGCGCATGAACACGCTGTGCATTTCGTTTGGGAGCCGGGAGTACTTGCCGTTTTTCGGGCGGTGGGCGGAGCGCAGCCGCGTGTGGGAGTGCAGGGAGGAGGGGTGCAGGATGTCGGCATGGATTGGGGAGGATCGGGATACGGGGTGTTTGAGGCTGCATGCGAGGACTTGGTGGGTGGGGGAGTTGGGGGAGGGCGACGGGGAGGTATTGGAGGCGGTGAAGGTTAGGGCGGTGGAGGGGGGTGGGTTGAGGTATGAGTAGAGAAGCAGGTATGCTGTGGGTAGGGTGAATGTGAAATGCTGGGCACTAGCCTATCTAAGGTGACAAGAAGCGTTGATGTCTTTACGATTTGATGTAATCAAGAGGGCCTCAGACTCAGAAGTCGAGCTAGGCTGTTAGGAGATACCAGTTCATTTCATGCATTCTATCATGTGCTATGACGCCCTTTCATGTGCTATGACGCCGTAAATGCAAAAGTCATCAGTCATCACCATACAATGCCCATGCCCACTCCCATCGAACTCAACACGACAGCGCCACAGACCGCAATTGCCATCCACCCATCACCGCTCGGTCTCAACCCAGCAGCAGCGTCCTCACTCTCGCTTGAACCACCACTACTTTCGGTCCCGCTGGGATTTCCATCCCCACCACCCGTCTGCTGATCCCTGGTCGTCACACTCCCGCTCACGCACGCGCCCTCGTCCAGCGCGCCATTGTTCCCCCACGCGACCTCCGCCGTCTTGGCCCACAGCGCTGAGACATTGAGATACATTTCCGGCTGATAGAAAATCCTACAGCTCGCCGTATCATTGAGGAACTGGGTGGGCACGCCCGCGCCCTCCTTGCCCGCACGAATGTTATCTTGGAAGTTGATACTGGCATCTGTGACGGCGATGCCGAACGTGTTGGGTACGAAGCGGGCCCAGTCGCGCTGCTCCTGGCGCGAGTCGGTGAACTCTGAGATCGCATAACCTGCCAGGGTTTGCAGGAACTCGGATGGCAGGACGAGAGTGCCTTTTGTGCCACCGACGGGGACCATGGGGCCGGATTGTGGACGGCCGCCGACGGCGATGGTACGCACGCCCGATTGCTGAACCATGAGCTCGAGGAAGATGGCGCAGGTGGAGGCGCAGTTGCCGTCGGAGAGGATCACAATGTCTTCCGCTCGGAAGGGCGGGGTGGTGAAGGAAGAACGGTCACCATAGCCCGTCACTGTAATGCCGATCGCTAGGATTTCGTTCGAGGTCGTGAATGGGTCGGAGAGGTTGTATTTCAGCAGGGAGGTGAACTGGTCATTGTTGTGCCGCACGGGCGGGTACATGTCCGACCAGGACCCAAAGTCGTTGCCGTCGGCATCGACGTATGCAGCTTTGCTGAAGGGGCTGACGTAAAGAGCCGCATTTGAGATGGTCATCGACCGGAAAGCGGATATCGATTCGCCGAATACTTCACTCGCCTGGTGGCCGCGCCAGCGGGACTGGGTTTGGGGCTGCTGGTCTGGGAAGAATTGCTTGTACATATCATAGCCGGAGATGACCTTTCCGCCGCCGTTCTGGCGGACGTCGATGATCATTCGCGAGACGCCACGAGATCTCGCCTCAGCGATAAAGTCTTCCGTCACCTGCTGAAACTCTTGTGCTTCAGCTGTGTCGTTAGTGTTGAATGTACCTACGACAAGCACGCCAACCTCGCCGACACCAGCGTTGATGAAGAAACCTGCGAGGGGTACAATTTCGCCCGAATGCGCGATGACGGGTTCAGGATAGTACAACGGAGCAGCGCCGTGTTGGATCGTGTTGTATCCCTGTATTTCGTGGTCGCGAGGGTTATCGAGATGAAGTGGAAGTGAGTTCGGGTCCCTCTTCTTGACTGTCAGCCCCGAACTGGTCTGTGTGGGCGTGATGTAGGTGTCGTAGAAATCCTGCGGGCTGCTGATGATTGACCATAGTTCGCTCTGCAGGATGACTGCTGCATTGAGATACTCATTGGTAGTGCCGTTCTCGTAAGTGACACTTGTAGTAGGTCCTGGGTAGAATCTTGGGCTGGTGAACAATCCATAACTCTCAGCACTGGCCATGAAGAACAACGATTGGTATCTCGTGTCCGGATCATGGTACGCAGTTTTGTCTGCTTCTGCTTGGAGGAACTCTTGCACGTCTTGACCGTTGATTTGAGTAATGGGAGACGGCTCGTAGCCTGTTTGAGAAGCGTTGAAGTCACCGAGGGACCACACTTGAGGTACAGCACTGCCATCCCTCGATGCAGATATCAACGCGATGTTGAGATTCCTCCGCCATCTAAACGCCCCACCGTAAGCCATGCCGTTGAAGTTCAAATGGCCATCATGAGCTTTGATGAAAAGTGCCGCAATGTCGTTCTCGAAGTCGTACTCATTGGTATATGTGCCGTCATTAACTCTGGAAGCGATATCGTCTAGCCCAGCCATCAGATCAACAGGTTCATTTGGCCAACCTGTGGGAGGATCTTTGAGGTATGCTAATGTGGACTGGAATTCAGTCATCTGCTTGATCGAGTTGACTGTAATGTTCGCTGCTTCTGTATCTATCGGGACTGACTTGAGGCATGCATACGCCAACTAAAATCGTTAGTAAAATGTTACGATACCCAGTCTCGGGAAGTTTGCCACCAACCTCAGCTTCGACACTAGGGAATTGCAATCTGGAGTTAGAGATTGCGTCTGCGATCTGAGCGCATGCTCGCCCTGTCTGGATTGGCCCTGACACTGTCGCCGTAGCTGTTGGTTGAACATCAACATCTCCAATGGACGAGAATCGACGGGTTGTCGAAACGATAAACGATGCTGACTGTGTTTGGGCTGTTGCAGCAGCTGCTAGAAACGCCCAAAGAACTTGGGAGGACCTCATGATGTCAAGACCTCGATATGAGCTGATCGTACAAAAACCCGAGTGAATGCGAACTCCCGCCTCTTAATGCAATGAATTCAGGCCTCCGTTTCCACAAATCGTAACAAGGATGACCTTCTCTTTACCCACAAAACCAGACGCAGCACCCGAGCACCAGCAGGAAAGTCAGTGACAGCCTTCAGTAGTCCTGCAGGGACGAGGCGCACTTAACATGTCGGCGCACCGGTGCCTGAAAGCCTCCAACTACCGGCGGCGCAGCCATCTCGTCTACGTCGGCCGCGCGCTCCAATCTTGGAACACTCAGGCTTCGGTTGACAAGCAGGGCCGTCTTTGTCCACTTGGGTTTAGCGACTGCGATCTACAAATCATGCTGCTCTTTTGAGCGCCACTGTGCACGGGATTGAGCCTTTGTGGAGAGGCCAAGACACCAGCTGAGCGGCTACGGAAGGTCGGGTGTGCTGGACACCACCTGCCCGGAACGTGACGGTAAGGCTGCTCAAGTGTGACATAATGTGCGGCGATGCTTAGCAAGCTGTCATATTCCTCGGGCTGCAACAGGAAATCATTTGGTTCCTTGTGTGATGCGTGGTGCTCGAGCGAAAGTTGAGGGGCGAGCTTCCCCACGAGAACGTGGCGGTCTCCCGATTGGTCAGGAAATGACTGCTCTTTGGTCTCAAGTCCAACCTCGTCCTTTCCACAGCTTCAGCCGCATTACTTGATGAGTTCGAAAGGCGCACAGCCATCTCAAGCACAGCCTTGTTCAGCGCCACATTGCGGCTACTCTTTCAGTGCACGCTTGAGGTTCACCTCGCCAGCCTGTTTGTCGACGGGGTTAGTTAGTACACAAAGAGTATTTAGGGCGAGGCAGGTGGGTTTGTATTGTAGTCGGCGAGGTGTCTTCGTATCTTTTCAGGGTCGGTGTACGCACCTGATGTGTTTCCCAACTCTGCTAATGCCATTGCATATGGACTAGCTCTCGCATCTTATGCAGGTCAAGTCCACCCCGTTAGGATTCTGGGACGAAGTCATAGCTACGTCTTCAAGCATATATTTCCAGAAAATCTCGAGGTATGTTGCGCAAATCAATCTGAAGGTACGAAAAGGGCGGCCATGGTTTGGGGGCCGCATAATGATAGTAAGCACTACACAGAGCTTCACAAGGTTCACCGGTTGATACAACGCCATACCCGATGCTTACTCTCGCCAACCTAACCTCACACTCCCTCATGCATTGCCAAGAGGCTCCTTTAAGACATGACAATCAAGCGTAGATCCCACACAGCCTCATCCAATCGTCCGGGAGGCCTGATGACGTCGTCTAGCATTGTCGATCGCATCAAACTTTGACATCGCTGTCTATTGAGTTCATCATCTTCTTATCCATAGCTTTGAGCTACTCATCACGCCATGTGCACGCCTCGCCCAATGCTCTATGCGGTTCTCATTTCCGGGTCAGCAGGTAGCCCTGGATGGCAGCGGGTGTGAAACGGCCTTCTGGCAGTTTGTCGGCGAATTCTCGTGCCAGTCGTCTAAGAGTGGGTTCATCGAGGGTGTGAGCGACAGACTGTTCGAACAGCAGGTCCTCGGCGTCATCTCCGTCTACTTTGTCGTCTGAAGCTCGTGTGTTCAGATTCTTCGGCTTTGATAGGTTTGCTAATACCAAGTTCCTGGCCTCCAGCGTGTGGACACCGTACATTGGCAACAAGATGTCTTCGATCTGCGTGCGGATCGCCAGCGAGAACGGAATGCGTACGACAATGCAGCGTCGATGCAGCATCGAGGGAGAGTGATGAAGAATTATTCCAAGTCGGCCTCCGTGAGACCATCTTTGCTGAGCGAGATGCAGAAAATGTGGCGCTCGAAGATACCGGCCAGGGCAAAGGACAATGAGGTACTGCTTGTACCCATTAACGTCGCGAGTGTAAAAGCATTCAAAATTGTGATTTACTATTGCTATACTCATCGAATAGCACGTTTATAAAAGAGCCACCGCCGCTATCGTCTCAGACTTCACCATGGAATCTCCTCGCCATCGGGACCGAGAAATTTGCCGTGCGTCTTCTCCAACGTGGCGCTATCAATCTGTTATGACCATGTTAGTACCTGCACTGTCATTTTGGGCATGTACTCACAATCTGCAAGATACTTTTGCAGGCCTGCTCCACCGAGACAAAAAACAGGTCCGGGTCAATCCCCTTCGCCTTGAGGGCTGGGAAACTTTCAATGGCGCCGGCCGTCGCAACCGCACTGCAAAAGATTGTTAGTGCATTGAGTGCGCAATAGCAAAGAATCGTTACCTACCCTGGATGTTGCGCCCATAGGACGATGTCTTGCTGCTCAAGGGACAGCCACTTGAAGAGGAAATTACCGAAGGCTTTACTTGCGCCATAAGCTGACAATTCAAGCATATTGTTCATTGATGTCAAGCTTCCAACCACACTAGACATGTACATGAATTTAGGTTTTGTTGTTTTGTTTGATTTACGCAGCAACGGCGCAACAGCATTGTACAGCTCTAACTGGCCATACACGTTGGCGTCAACAAAAGGCTGGATGTCTGAAGGTATCTTGAACTCAGCGACCTTAGGGCTCATGTTGACACTGCCAGCATTGGCAAGAACAATATCAAGGCTATCAATATTGTGCTCAGACTTCAAGGAGGCAATGCCCTGTTTGATAGTCTCAAAGGATGCGACATTAATCTCGATAACAACAAGACGGCTGCCGGAAGCTTTTGCCAGCGCTTGAAGTGGTTCTGCAGATGCAGCACTTCGGACTGCTGCCACGACTGTGGTATTCGGCAGGTTGAGATACGTCTCAACGAAGCCTTGACCGATGCCTGCCACGAGAGGAGTCAGTATTATCGCTGTGATCGAGGAAAGCTCTGCATACCGCGGCTTGCACCTGTAATGAGAACGGTTGTGTTTGAAGACATTGTTTGAGTGATTCTGTTCAAAAGAGTTGGCAGTAATGGTGAGTATGGATCAGGTAAGTGCTCCTACGAGCGCAATACTTATATCCTACAAGCTGCCTTCCAAAGGCCATCGCATTCGTCCGAGGTTTATGAGCCACGTCAAACATTCGATACTCTCAGCCAGCAATGTAGGGACGGGCATCAGGACCGTGGAGAGAATGTGGAGTTTCGCGACCAAAAAAAGGACTAGCTCTTGCGGCTAGCGGAGTTTGGGTGAAGCTAGCGGAGTTTAGGGGACGCTAGCGGAGGTTCTCTCTACCGGCATTCTTACCTGGACATCTTGGCCATCGGGACATAGTGCGGACGAAAGTTGGAACGTCACGGAGGAAGCTCAGACTTTCAGAAGCACAAGGGGAGCCGCTAGATCGAAGACAGGCTGCTCTCGTATCGTAAGTCTACAGTACCAACGAACATGTTGATACTGGTCCGTGAAACGACATCTAAGCTCTGTGCAGTCTCGTTACGCACCAACGCTTCAAGCAATTGATACCACACGAATAGAGTGGAGAATAGGGTGAAGAGTTCACACCAACCACCTCGGCTCAATCTCCTTGACCCGACGAAATTGATAGTGAGATGTGAATGTCAACATCAAGGTTTGCGGGAGTCCTTCTTCGGTTTGAACTGATCAGTGCAACCTGAGTAAGAGCAGTCAGTTCAAAGAGCGAGAACCTATGAGACCATTTTCGGCATAGGGGTGCTGGCACTGCCCTCGCCTTGACAGAAACGCGAGGGCTTGAAGGATCCCCGAAAGGATCTGCCTGGACGGATTCATTCGAATTCCTCAATATCGGACTGACGTAGAGAAGCGTCTGCGGGCCCTGAGTCCCCAGGAAGGTTGTGAAGCCTTATTGGGTCGACAGCTTCATCGTGGCAATGAGCCATGTCCACAGTAGTTCATACACATACATGCTGCTTACCTTTGCACTTCAGCACAACACACTTGAAACAATTCTCGTCATGACCTTCTTTTCTCAACCAGCGCTGCAAATTGAGTCTTTCTCAATCAAATCTTATGCCTTCAATTTTGCTCTAGTGCTCATCATAGCGGTCGGGATAGTGGTTCAATCGCTGCAATCGCCACTTGTCCAAGTCCCCAGACCTTTCCTAGCACGTTTCGCGCGGCTATGGGAGATGTACGCTCCTTATTGACATGATGACGCCTCATATAGTATCGAGCTACATGAAAAGTACGGTATGTTTATTACGTTGATCTTTTGTCACTGTATGCTAGTGAAGAGTTTCGATCAAATGCAGACTACCCACCAGGACCAATTACTCGGCTGGCTCCAAATCGCTATAGCACTAATGACCCAGAAGCCGTCAAAGCCATCCTTGGACACAAAGATAGCATGGATTAAGCTGCGTTCTACTCAGATTCTGAGACTCCTGGCACGCCAAAGAAATCGAGCAGGCCACGCGCAACGGTTCGCGCTCGACGCTCGTGGGGTTTCGGAATATCAGCTAGCATGTAGAAGAGAAACAAGGACACCTCTACGCGCCCAGCAATACTCCGGGTGCGACAAGAGAGCCACCTTACAAGGCTGCTTGACAGCGCACATGTACACTCAGCACCCGGGACAGCGAGAAATGCATGAGCATCGATCGTGCTCTCGTGGACCAGTACGTAATAGGATGCGCCAGCTGGACTCCAGGGGTTTTGGGATGGGGTTGGACTGCTGGCTGTACCGGTTACGAGATACTGCGTGTACCAGTTGCGAGCTACTGCGCGGATCAAGAGTTTGGTTGGTCTAGTCGGTGTAGTGCGGGGAAGGCAGTTGGCGTTTTGCTCGCTTGATGTGCGCCTCTTTATATGTGTGTGACATGTGGACTACTCGTACATCCTTCGATATCCATCTGCGCTACTCCCTCGTTTTCCCCTTTCCCTTCCCCTCAGCCTTCGCCTTCCCGTTCCCCTCGGATTTCCCCCCTGGCTTCCCCTTCGCCCCCTCAGCCTTGCCATCCACAACCCCCTTCCCGCCAGACTCCCCCCCAATCTCCCTCACCTTAGTATCAAACCCGACATAAAACCTCCTCCCACGCCACTCCACCGTCGCGCCGCCCCAAAACGCAACGATCCAGATAGGCAGCGCGAAGAGCTCGCGGCCGCACCAGGCGGCCAGGAACTCGGGGAAGGATCTGCGGGCGCCGGCGCGGAGGGGCGGTTGCTGGTGTTGCTGGTGGGCGAGGAGCGGGGAGGTGTCGGCGGGGGGTTTGTTGGGGGGAGAGATGGCGGGGGAAGAGGAAGCGGGAGAAGTAGGCATAGGGAGTGGTAAGACGAAATCGGGTGTCTCGGAATCAACCTCGACCGTCTTCGCGCTGTGCAGCAGCAGATACGTAACCCAGTCCACCGCGCACCAGAGCGTACAGTGCGCGAGCCAGATGAGGGCGAACGCGGTCCACGAGGGTGCAATATACGGCCGGAACACGGGCAGCGTGGTGAGTCCGAACGCGCCGTACGCGCCGCACGCAAAGGCCTCGGTGCCGGGCTCGACGAGCGTGGCGAGCGTGACGGTGTACTTGCGCACGCGCAGCCAGCGGATGCGGCGCGCGAGGTAGGCGGCCAGGGGCGTGTGGCTGATGGGCTGGAAGCAGAAGTCGCCGAAGAGCATTTCGTGGTTGCCCCAGGGCCCGGCCGTGTCCACGTTTTCACCGGGCGGGGGGGCGTAGCCCGGCTTCTCAAACGGCTGCGGGCGCTTCCACAGGGCGTCGCCGATCAGGTGGTCTTCGCAGATGTTGTCGGAGAAGGCGTCGATGCCCGGGGCGTACACGGGGTGTCCCGCGGTGACGGCGTCGAGGTGGGCGCGGCGGAACATGGTGCTCTTGCCCATGATGCAGGGGGCGACTTTGACGGTGTTGATGGCCTGGTAGAACTTGGCGTGGGCCGAGGACATGAAGGCCTCGTCGAGGCGGGCGCCGGCGCGCTGGAGCACGCGCTGCCAGGCGGAGCTGGCGGCGGCGGATTCGCTGGACGCGGCGGCGGCGGTGGCAGCGCTGCGGTCCGCGGGCGCGCCGCCGAGCAGCTCCTTGCGCTGCTCCAGCGACAGGCTCTGCGAGTCGAGGTCCACGGTCAGCGGCGTCTGGTGCACGAACTTGAATTTCGTCTTGGGCTTGCGCGCGTCGGTGCTGTAGCCGCACAGCAGGTCGACGAAGCGCGCGCCGACGCCCGGGCCCACCCACACGTTGCAGTCCAGGATCCACACCAGGGCGCCCTTGGCCTCGCGGTAGGCGCGGCTCATGTTGCGGATCTTGGGGTTGGGGCCGAGCGCGCTGCGGTCGTTTGCGAGCAGCGGGTCCTCGTCCTCGACGGTGATGTGGACATTGGCGTGCGGGAAGTCGCGCACGAGGCGCTCGAGGATGGGGTACGCGGGGTCGTCGCGGCTCGCGACGCAGAAGACGTTGTTGATGCGGGCGGCGGGGTACGTCTGGCGCAGACTCGAGGCCAGACACTCATACAGGCGCGGGTCGAGGCCAGACACGGGTCGGATAACGGTGACGCGCGGCACGTCGGCCTCCTTCATGGCAGTAACACATGCCGCGGGCAGTGGGCGCGTCCAGTAGTAGCGGAATCTGCACAGTCAGTCGTCGTCTCGAACATGACGTAGGCGCGTACAGTTGGGTGACGCCGATGGCGCAGATGCCCCAGACGATCAGCCACCAGGTGAGGCTGACGAGGGCAGCATAGAAGCGCAGCGGGGAGACATGGCTGGTCTCGGCGCCCTGGGAGAGGTCGGGACGCATGCGCGGGGTCATGCAGGGTGTTGGCGCGGAATGGGTGCAGTGATTGACGGTGGTTGCGACTTGGCGGGTGGGTCACGTGTTGGTTGGTTATAACATTTAGCTCGCGAAGCAGATGTACAGTGTTAGAATCTTGGAGACAGAATCGTGGAGACTCGGGTGTATTGTTATAGGATATCGAGAGGTGGGCACACTACGTCTCCGGGCGTCCCGCAGATCAAGGATCAGGTCACTTGTGCAACACAAGTGACCAGGGATGCCACACTTTATTGGTGTTGTTGAGCAGGCAATGATATTGCAGTCGATTCACGCAATACTTCATGATAGTCACCGGCGCGTATGATAGTCACCGCGTATGATGGCGTAATGGTCATCGGCAAGGCTTATGCTCTTGTCCGGTTGATATGCAGACAGATATTGTACAACACCCCCTCCTACGCCTCGCTGCTAAATGCAAAGCCCAGCGGCGTCAGGATCTTGTTCTGGACGAGCCTGTTGGCCTCCTCGCCGCCACGCTCCATGGCTACCGCGCCGACAATGGCGTACAGCGACGTCATGAGCACCGACTCCTGGCCCGAGGCGTGCGGGTTGTCGGCGCGCTTCGGGGTCCACCGCGTGACCTTGTCCAGGCCGTAACGCTCGGCCAGCTGGGCCAGCCGCGCCTTGTCCAGCACGGCGGCCTCGGCCTCGTTGCTCAGGCCCGCGAGCCCGTTGAGCGCGGGGTGCAGGAACGGGCGGCGGCCGAAGTGGTCGCGCTTGGGCTCACCCGCGGCGTCGCGCGGCCACGGCTTGGCCTGGGGCGAGCTGATCAGCGCCTGCGACGTCTGCAGCTCGACGATGCGCCGTCCTGCGTGCGTTAGCCCGTGTCGGTTGTCCTCGTCTGCTGCTACCCACCCAGGAAGGCCAGGCGGTCGTTGAACCCCCGGCGGCCGTGGTCAAAGCTCTTGTGTGTCACGGCCAGCCACTTGACCTCGTCGTCCAGCAGCTTGTCGCCGCCCGGCCCCAGCAGCCGCACGTAGGCGTCGTCCAGGCGCTTGGGGTCCTCGTTGACCTTGAACACGCCGCCCTTGGCCGCGGGCCGTATCCGGAACGGCGCCTGCATGCGCGGCGGTGTCTGCTGCCACCGCGGGCGCGCGGCGGCCTCGCTGTCGTACTCGGGCGCGCGGGACGGGGGGGTGGTCGAGAAGGCGCATGCGGCGGGCCGGGCGAGGGCGGGCGGTGAGGCGCGGGAGCAGCGCAGCGACGGCGCGGCCGAGGCGAGCAGGCGGCGGGTCGCCCGTGTGGATGCCATTGTGGCGTGTGTGTGTGAGGCGGATGCGCAGCAGGCGGGCGCTGCGGTGTTGGCGTTGACGACGGTGAAGTTCGAAAAGTTGCCCGACTCCCGCTTGCCCGATCCCGCCTAGCCCCGTCGCGCCCTTCCCCAGCTTTCGCGACGCGCCTCGACTGCGCTATTCTCGCATTGCTGTTGGATATGGCCGATATTCCTAGTCGCAGGCCGCTGCGGGACCTGCTGGCCGACCAGCTGCCCAAGGACGTGCCATTCGCCTTCTATCACTACTCGACGCCGCCGACCAAGTCGCCCGCCCTCTTCTCCGCGCCGCCGCACCTCAAAGCCGAACGGACCTCCTGCGAGTCGCACTTCCTCGCCGCCACAATCACGCCCGCGCCGGACGATGCCGCCGCGCCGCTCCCCGAGGAGCTGCTCATCCTCGCCATCGAAGTCCTGGTCTACACCACCCGCCGCCTCACCACCATCTTCGTGTCCAAGGCCGACTCGACCGGCTACCTCGCCGAGCTGCAGCTGCCGCGCGCCGGCGGCTCGCCCCTAAAGGCCATCTGCGGCACCTTTGTCGCCTGGCTGGCCCGCGAACGCCAGCGCGAGGGCAAGAAGCTGGTCATCTCGCTCTTCGCCCGCGCCCAGGACCAGTACCTGTTCCCCGCCAGTATCGACAACAAGAACAAGCACGTGCTCGACGACCGCGGCCTGGTCAAGTGGTGGTGCAACGTCCTGGACCCGATAGTCTCCTCCTACCCGGCCGAATCCCGTAAATCGTTCCACGACCGCTTGCGCGACAGTGAGACCGCCGCCACCACCACCGCCCCGACTGCCCACGGCTACCTCCTCATCCCCGGCTACGACTCCCATGCCACCCTGCGCTGCGTCCCGCGCACCCCCGACTCGCCCCCCCGCTGGTCCGCAGCCCACCCGCTCCTCGCCCTCGCCCCGCACCCCGCCGCCCCGCCGCGCTGCCTGGTCCCGCACTTCCCCGACGACCCCAAAGCGCGCTTCCTGGACGAGCTGGACGAGGAGCTGCCGGGCGGCGACGCGGGCGGCACGCCGTCGCGCAGCACGGGCGCCTGGCGGAGCGTCAAGACGCTGGAGCAGTTCTGGGAGCTCATGGCGTTCCGGCAGGAGTGTTCGTCGGGGCGCATCGTGGGCTTTGTGTGGGTTGTCATCACGCCGGGGGCGGACATCAGCGGCCTGGAGGAGCAGGAGCAACTGGAAACAGAGGGCGGGATGCAGCTCGACGCCTCCCAGTCCACCCAGCCGAGCCAGATCTCGCCCTCCCAGGGCTCCCTCGACTCCCGCCCCTCCCCACGCAAACCCAAGAAGCGCACCCACCGCACAAAATCCCGCCCCCGCACAGGCCCCATCCCGCTCCTCCTCCCGCGCATCAAGACCGCCAACCCCCCGCCGTCTACACACCACGCAGCCGCAAAGCCGCCGCCCAACAGAGACACCCTGCTCTTCACCCCGTCCCACTACCGCCGCGCCACAGACGTGCTGCTGCACTCCTCGTTCGCCACGCGCGGCGCCGCCGCCCGGAGCACCGCCGCCTTCAAGCGGGAGGTTGGTGTGTTGGGTGGGGGTGGGCGGTGGGGGTGGGTTGTCGTTGGGCGGCGGGATACGCGTGGGGAAGGAGGGGCGGGGGAGAGGGAGGTCACTGTGCTTAGTGGACGTGTGGAGAAGAGGGATGGTGAGACGGTGTTGGGGGATGCGCTGGTTAGGAAGAAAGTTAAGACTGAGCACGCTGCGGGGGAGGGTAAAGGTAAGGGTACAGGGGAGGGTAAGGGCGTGCAGGTGTTGGGTGCCGGGCTGGTGCGGCGGAAGCCCAAGCCCTGAGACGCTGGCCTTGAGGAGGGCGGGGTGTTTGCTTTGCCTTGAGCTTTTTGGGCTTATTTCACACCTGGATAATGACGGGTTGGGTTAATGAGGGATGTAATGAGGGCACGAGGATATGATGGAGATACAACGCGCATACGATGAAGACACGCGCACACGATGACACAACGCGCATACGATAGATATCACGCGCATACGATCAAGATACCATGACCAAGCGGCGGCATTACACACTATCGACTAAGAATTATACTTTAATTACCTTCACCCCTCCTCCTCTCCTCTCTCTCCACTGCAGTACACCGTACCACACCGCACCACACCGCACCAGAAAACAACAACTCCAGCATACAAATACACCCAGAACCCACGGAAATGCACTAAACGCCCTCGATGCAGATAGACCTTACACACACACTCTCTCTCTCTCCCTAGTCCTCTCTCTCCCTAGTCCTCTCTCTCCCTAGTCCTCTCTCTCCCTAGTCCTCTCTCTCCCTAGTCCTCTCTCACCACCACTCCTCTTTCATACACGCACACGCACTACCGCAGAAACCCCTCCTCATCATACCAACTCCCCGGCGTCCTGACCCCCGGGCTCGCCCCTGCGTTCACCCCGGCATTAACATTCGGCGCCCCGCGCCCGAGTACACTGCGTTTCCTGTCGCTCCTCGCTGCACTACCGAACGCTGCACTACCGCTGTCCCGCTGCTTTTTGCCGCCCAGCGATGGACTCTCCTGCTCGTGGGGTGTGCAGGGGGAGTAAGGGGAGGAAGGCGGGTCGAGTGGGACGTGGAACGCGCGCTTGCGGCGCTTGGGTGTTGCGGTGGTGGAGTTGGGTTTTGAGGCTTCGTTGCAGCTGGTGTTGGAGGCTGATTTCAAGGCTGGTTTGCAGCTGGAGATGGGGTTCGAGGCGCGGTTTGGCGTGGTGCCGGAGGTATCGTAGGACGTGTTGGGGGTGTGTGAGGAGGAAGTATTAGACGGGTGTGAGGAGGATTTCTTGGACGCGCTGTGCTGGTCAGAGCGGACGTCCGGCGGCGGCGTCGAACTGGCCCAGAACGCGTCGCTCTCGTCCCAGATGGAGCTCAGACTCGCTTCTGCGCCGCCGCTGGCGTCGCTGGGGGATGTGCTTTGTAGTCCGTTGGCTGAGAGTCCGTTCGCTGGTGGTCCAGCAACACCCCGGCCACCTACAGCAACGCCCCGGCCACCTACAGTGACCCCCCGGCCACCGCCCAGCGCCGCAGCGGCGCGTGGCGTGTACTGCTCGTCGAGATCGAGGATCGCGGCATCCGACGCGTCCGAGTCCCACTCCAGCACGCTCCCGACCAGGCGCCGCACTTCGTCGTCGTCGAGGTGGGTATCTTCGTAGGCGAGGAGTTCGTCGACTTCGGTTGCATCTACGCCGTTTCCATCCACTCCAGTCAATCCATTCACCTCATTCACCCCATTCACCCCTCCACCCCCGTCCTCACCGCCCAACAACCCCCCACCCTCCCCCCCAACTCCCTCGACCCAACTCCCCTCCACCGAAAACCGGTCCACCGAGCCCCGCTCCCCCTCTCCAAGCAACAAATACCGCCGCTCGCCCCGCCCCGCCCGCTGCCGCCGCGCATCCTCCGCATCCGAGTTCATGCGCCGCAGCGCGAGAATCGACGTGCGCACCGGCGCGGGCGCGAGATGCGGGATGGCCGAGAAGTTCAGCGACAGCGGGGGCAAGGGCTGGGGGAGGGAAGCGTGAGCGGGGCGGGGGGACGCGGGGGACGGATACAGTGGGCTTGACAGTGGGCTTGACAGTGGACTGGGCAGCGGGCGGCACGTCGGCGCGTCCGCGGTGCCCGGGGTGTAGCTGAGGCGGCGCGGGGGCGAGGCCGGGGCGAGCGCGAACGCGTCCCGGGTTAGCACCGCGGGGTTGATGGTGCGCGGGGATTCTTCCTCTGGGATCGTGGTCGCGTGGATCGGCAGCGTGTACTGCGCGTTCAGCGTGAAGCGGGGCGGCGACACGGTCTTCGGCGACACGGGGGGTGAGTCGCAGACCGGTGTGCTGCGCTCCAGGGTCGCTTTGGAGCCCACGGACGACTCTTCGGGGATCGTGGTGCATGCGGACGGGTACGCGCGCGGGGCGACGTTGGTCGGTGTCTGGAAGCCCAGGCCGGGCTGGCCGGGGTCGTATTCGTCGAGGTCGATCAGGCTGCTGGGAGACGGGGACTGGCGGGCAGACGTGCCGGTCCTGAAGGGGTACTGCTGCAGATACGGCGTCTCTGGGACAGGCAGCCCGAAGGTGTGGTCGGGAATGTGGATTACAGTGTCGTCCTCGGGCTCAATGACAGACAGTGGCAGCGGGAAGCGCGACAGGCTGAAGACAGACCCGGTGCTCAGACGGCTCTGCTCGCGCTCGGAAAGCTCTGGCAGCACCTGATCGGTGGGCGCAACCACAAACGTCTGGTCGAAGTTGACCAGCGGCAGGGAGGCTGACGTTGGCGTCAACGACGCTTTCAACGTGGTCGTGGCAAAGGGGAGCTCCGGAGCAAAGGTCGCCGACGAAGGTGGCGCGGGCGACGAGCGAGTATTACCACGCGTCGGACTGTGTTGTTGCGCCCGATTATTAGCCCGCGTTGGACTGTGTTGTTGTGCCCGAGTATGAAACCACTGCTCGTCTTCACTCATGAAAACCGGGCTGTTGTTGCGACCTCGAATCGGGTGAACGGTCGGCACAAGGGATATGCGCACGCTGTGCCCCCTGCGGTGGCCTTGACGAGCGCTAGGGCTGCCCTTCAGTGCGGAGGGTGGTCTACCGGTCGCTGTGAGCGGCGCGGGATCCCACTGAAACGGGTTGCCACAACTGCTCCGGGACGACGCGCGAGAAGTCTGGCGCTTGGGAGACTTCGTTGTCAGCCTGGGGGCTGGGCCGATCGGGCAGTCCTTCTTCGGGGAGCCTGTCGAGGTAACCAGCGTCTTGGATCTGCGCTTCGGCGTGCGCGAAGGAGTGGCGCTCGCAGAGACCACCCTGCTCACGGTCACCGACTCAGCCTTCTTGACAGACCCGACTGAGCCCAATGTGTGCTCCGAGCCGAGGGTGTGGTTGCTCGATTCAGTGGGCAGGGCTGTAGAGTTCTCGTAAAACTCTCGCCGTGCTTCTGGCGACGCTGTCGCGATTTCTGCCGCGCTGCTCTTCATCGAGCCGTGCAGGCTGTACATACTCTCCCGGGCTTCAAGCAAGGGGTTCATCCTATCCGGAGCATTGTTCCTGCGCTCCCGCTTGGTGATCTTAGGGGTTCGCGCATGAGATGACTGAGACGACTGAGGGACCGGGCTTGGCCGCGGATTCAAAATAGAGCTGTCGATCGAGCCCACGCTGGAGATGGACGTTCTGGATGGGACGTGGCGAAGCTCGCACTTCTTCTGGGCCTCGTCCTTGATGCGGGCGATGTCGAAGGGCAAGGGTGGCAAAATGACATCTGGCGCCTTCCCAGACGCCTGGCTGTGGAGACTTGTGGACCGTTGTCGGATGTGCACACGCTCAGTCTCGAGGGGCACTTCAGTAACCGACTTAGCTCGCTGTGGTCGTTTGGAAATCTCCAGTGTTGCGTACTCGGCCACGTCATCATGCTGGTTACGGAACGCCGGGTGGTATCGCAACAACGACTGGCAGGAAGATGGCTCGCTTCCATACTCCATCAGCAGCGCTAGCGGTGGTCGTGACTGTCCCTTGCCGAGGATTGGTACCAGAGATGATGGCTTAGGGTCTTCCAACACAGCAGACAGCCTGTTGGCTTTCAGCTTCTTCATCTTCAGACTGTGGCCAGATGATTTGCGCTGATGGAACGGCCACGACAGACTGCTCGTTCTCTTGTTCGGCACTATCGGCATGTGCGGCACATAGTGGTCGGGTGCGTTTGATCCAGTAGAGGGCGCAGCTGAACCGATCGTCTCCACTGATGGCAACGCCCCCCATCCCGACTTTGAGTTGAACGGAAGGATGGTATTCCGCCTAAGTACAGCGCGCGGTCTTGTCACTTCATGAGTCTTGGCCTCCTTTTGCGCTTGAGTGATGGTCATGCCCCGCTCGTCGATTTCAGCAAGTATCTGCTTGTGCCTGCGCACTGCACGGATGAGAAGCAGCACAAGCGCGGCGAGCAGACCGAGAATGACTACCCCAACAGCACTCACAATGGCGATAATCGCAGTGCTGCTCAAAGAGCCGCTTGGCTCGGCGCGTGATCTTACGTTTGCCATTGCTCCAGTGGTCGCTCTTCCTTGATTCCAATGTAGGACCTGATTTCGGTGCTTCTTGATTGGTCGCTCGTATTCCTTTGAAGCACCGTATGCTGTGTATTCTGCTGTTGATTAGTATCCTCCTCTTTCAATCCCTAATCCGCCGGTGAAGAAAGCCAACGACCAGCGCAACGAAACCGCGGAAGCAATCCCAAAAGAGTCCAAACACTGGGTCATCCACGGGTAAACATACATTCTGATGTATTTTGGCGTTCTTCGTCCGTCGTCTGGGTAAAGATGGTGGAATGTGAGGCAAAAATGGGGAGCACAACAATAGGCGATAGCGCCGAGAGAGGGAGGAGTATGGAATGCATGATTTGGCCTGGCCGCACATCACGCGACAAGACGCTTACTGCTATAGCTTATGCATAGATATACTGATACCTTCCGCTGGGACACCTGCATGTTCCCGCAGCTGTCAGGCGCCGCGTGGTGGTCAAGCAGCACGTTTGACCGCCCTTTCTCCGAACGGCTGCCGTTTGCTTACTTATTCTCTCCTCGAACACTGGTGAGCATTCGATACTTCTCCTCGCAAAAGGCGGTAGAGGACAGAGCGAGCTGCGTCAGTGCAACGGGTTGCTGCGAAATCGTCGCGGTGCGAAGGACGTCGTCAAGGGAGGATGAGACTCGACTTTCATAGCCGACCCGTCCCATCAATGTTTCGAACACCGGGTACCTCCAGCACCAGAACAGACATCCTGCATGCGTGTACCAGGTACCTGGCAATCGACGACTGGCGGGTCATCGTGGTGTTGAGACATAACTAGACGTGCAGTTCCCCTCACCCGGCTTGCCGGTACTGGGTGCATTAAGAGTGGCTGAGACATCGTCAGAGTCAGTCTCCAGCTCGCTTTGGACACGTCTGAGGTATAGTCGTGAGGTTGCGGGATGGCAACGGTGGCGTTGAGACGGTGGTCAACGCTGGACGCGGTCGTGTCTAGTTCGCGCTTGCTTAGTCAGCGTATTCATAGCGTGAAGGCAGTGATCTGGGGATGAATGATTGACGAGGGAGTCAGGTATTAAAAGGAGGATTACAAAATGTAGGTGCAAGTCCGCGTCGAGATGTCAGATATAAAGGACAAGTTCATTCTCACAAACATGAATCTATCTACCCTTTCTTCCAAAACAACACCTTCTGCTTAGCGCCACTCTTCGGCGGCCCATCGAAGCTCGGGGCGGACTCGATATCCATCTGTTCAAGCTTCGACGCCTGATTGCGTGCCAAGTCCCTCTTCAACCTCCTCTCATCCGACTTCCTCAACCAGCTGATATACAAGCAGTACAACGCAGCAAGACATCCCAAGCCGCCAATAACGCCGCCAAGCACAGCTCCAATCAGACCTTGGCTCTGCCATGCGCTCTGCTTCGGCCGTTCGTACGCCGCAGGGGTGGTCTTGGGGCAGAAGGTCACGGGCATGACCATGTTGTTTTTCTGAACGGCCGGCGCAAGGAAGAAGTTGCTGGAGTCATAGTCGGCCATGAGGTAGACTTGGCCGAGGAATGCGGAGCCGAGGAGGAACGGAGCGTTGCTGGTCTCTTCGCGGTCCTGAATGGGTGTGATATCCGAGTAGTTTCTGAGGACTTCCGGGGGAAAGGTGACGGTGAAACCGTCCTCGAGGATGATCGACAAGGTTGCGTTCAAGGATGAGGCGGCCTTCAGCGAGTTGTCGCCCCAGTGGTTATCTTTTTGGCCCGTAACGGCTTTGATGAAGTTTTGTGTGATCTGGTATGGCAGGGACAGCGGGAACTGCTCGGTAGTGATCTCCGCCTCAAAAGTCTGTGGTGTCGACTTCATATCGGGGAAGTCTTTAGGGTCGAAGAGGGACTGGTTTGCTCCGCCCGCAGTCTGTGTGAGTACAATGTCTTTGATGCGTACACTCATAGCGTTGACGTTGTTGAGGTTCATAGGGTACTGATGAGGTTCTCCAGTGAAGCGACCAGAGTCGTAGCCTCCGAAGACATTGCTCCCATTGACCTTGCCACCAGCGCGGTCGAAGCCTTGGCCAATGTAGAGCGAGTAGGTCTTGCCTGCAATCGTCTCTTGACCAGCCAGATCCTGTAGAAGTGTTGATGATGGTCCCATTCCTACTCTTCCAGGTATAATGTCTCCTCCTGTCGCAGCTTCGATTGTCGAGTTCGGTACAAGCGTTTGCGAGGCCCCATCTGTCTCGTAAAAGTGTGTGTACAGTCGTAGCACGTCCTGACCAAAGTAACCTTTGAGTGTGTTGTTGACATCTGCATCTAGTGACTTGAAGTCCTGATATTCGACAAACCTAGCAATGTTAGTACAGCAGACCATACATGGACAGGTAATCAACTCACGTTGTAGACCTATTACTATCATAGAAGCCTCCTGTAGAAGCTGTGCAATTTGCGAGTTTGCTGTTCTCGCAGTACTTGAGTGCTCCAAAGGACATGTGGTTCTGCGACAGCGACGGCCACAAGCTGTGATTTTGCGCTGGCGCGGTGCCGACGCCAATAAAAGACCCATATTGAAAAGCTGTAGATTCATGAACAACACGCTTGTGGATGTCGACATAGATCGGTTTAATCGAGCAGTTGAACGCAACCGTAGACTGAGCAAACAGCACAGTTGCAGAAAGGATGGAAGCTATAGACGGCATGATGAAGGTAAGAACGAGCACGCTTGAGTCCAGCAAGCTATGCTTCAATGCAGATGGAAGCTCAGGGTACTGCACCGGGGACTGGCTAAGAGACAACGAGAATGAGCGCTCAAACGTCACGCATGCAGTCGAGGCGCCGCGGTGTCTTTGTAGGCCTGCTCCCCACGTATCGAGACACAGTAAGATGAGCTTGCATTGGGCGAACCACTCACAGACCGCCCGGAAGCCCGGCTTATCCTCAGACTTCTGTTCATAGAACACGTCCACATCTCTGGGCGCGATGGGGCCGGAGCCAGGGAGCAGAGCGCCTGCTGACGCCTCTGCGGAGCGTACCGCATGTCCCATTGCCAGGAAACGGCTCCCCGTAAGCGCTTCAAGGGAGGTCTGCAGCGGATCATCTTTGATCCTCGCCGTGTGTAAGGTTGCTTGCAGATCCAGTCTGAAGTCATTGGGTGGGCGTTGATGGACGTTTCACGCCCGGTGGTTGGGCGTCTACCAGAGATGCTCGATTGGTCGAGATCGAGCGAAGCGCCCGCTGTGGGGCAGATGGCTATTCTTATCTCCAACCTCCGCAACACCACCTTGCGCACGCAATCTCTTGTCCTACTTTACTCGCCTTACATTTATGATCAATGTCGGCCGTTCGAGCTGCACGTGCTTACAGTTGAGCAGGTCTGGGTCCGCTCCAGACGAGAGCTTACGAGGAAGGTGTCGCTCTGACCGAGTCTTCCCCTCACGGTGGCGTAAGCGGCATCACTATCGGCACAAATGCACTCGTAAACGCACCACATATGAAGTGAGCAAGTCAGCAGTCGCCACATCTACACTCGGTGGTTTTTGATTCGTACTGCAAAAGCATGTTGGCGACTACCTAAGACGTGCACGAGGACACTTTCATGGCCGTAGCGTTGATCAACAGACGTTAGTCTTATGAATGCACACGTACACCCCACATTGTGCACTACCCACTTCGACAGACTGCACTCGCCCAGGCTAGTATCTGTCGAGTTTCCTGCCACCGTGAGACTCACTTTCCCAAAACGAACAATGAAGCAAGGATGCACTTTCAAACACAAACTCTTTGCCGACTCCTCAATCCCTCCTTGAGATGCAAGTAACCCGACCAATAGCAAAGTATTTGGGTATTATTCCCTTCAGTTTAGTATTTCCAAAGTACAGCCCTCAAGAACTGAGACTGTGTCCATCATATCGCCGCCTATCAGCACCCCCACACAAAACCCACAGTCCTATTCCGGAAGGCAAGAGACTCGACCCACGCCTCGACCTTTCAAGGCCTCCAGACAACCGGCAATCGCCAGTCTGAAGGAAACCATATACTTCAACAGCATCTCCCTTTCCAGCACTCCAGTGCCCTTGCATAATTTGTTCGTATCCAAGCATAACACGATTTCGACGACAATGTCTTCTAACCAGCCGATCAGTCGAAGGCAGCTTTCAGAACGTATCCTCTCTGCAGCTCATCAATTAGGTTCTAAGTGAAGTTAGCGAGAGTTTGTACGTGCGTGAGTCGAATGATTGCTTACCTTGAAAGGGTCGGCGGGTGCAGGTTTCTGACTGTCTTCTTCGTGCGTCGATGATGCAGAGGAGATGGTCTCGGAGGCAGTCGTAGATGAAGAAGTGGAGCCGCCACGGACAGGCTCGTCGCTGCTGTCACTGCTATCTTGGCCCGCGGTGCTGCTATTCTTGGTGCCGTCGGTGGTGGTGTGTATGCGTGCAACGCCGTCCTTCTTGCTGACTGGCTTCTTGACCTCGACAATGCCGACATTGTTCTGTTGCTTTGCACGCCCATCTCTTTCTTGACCAACTGTCTTGTTCAGAGTCCTTCGCTTCGGCACCGCGCGCTCGACCTTGAACAGCCCATCCTTGAGCGCGTACTTGGCCGTGTTGAAGTTGACAAACAGCTTATACTTGCGCAGCTCCACCGAGGGCCAGCCCGTATACCTGAACGTCGTATCATAGCCACAGTACCCCACGAAGTCCCTCGCCGCATTCAAATCCTCGAACGTCGAGGGCCATTTCTTGATCAGCGGCTTGAGACGCGCGATGTCAATCTCGATAGCTTCTGCGACCGTGTCAGCATCTCTTTCCACCCATCCACTATAGTGACTTACCTGTCAACGACTCCGCCTTCTTGACCATCTTCTTTCGCACCCACTCCTTCGGCACAAGGCCCACCTCAATCCGGCTCTGCTCCCACGCCCGCCGCGCAGTGTTCCACGTCACATACCGCCGGAACTTGTCCTCCGGCACGCCTTCAAAACGCGTAAACTCGAACTTCTTCACCGCACACATACCGGACACCCACTTAGCGGCCAGATCCGCGTTAGCGAGCCCGGTCGGCCAGGCGCGAACCAGTAGCAATAGGCGCGCAATATCAGTCTCGATGGCATCTGTACGAGGTTAGTACGTCACATCAACTGCCGACACAGCCAAGCACAAAGGCATAGAGTAAGAGCACGCACCCCGCAGACTCTTCCGGTCCGGCAGCGGCTCTTCGAGGTAGAACTCGCCCTGATCATGCGCGCGCACGGCGACCAGGAAACACGCCCTGTCTTTGACCGCGCGCGACATGAACGGCGGGTCCGAGGGGCGCAGGCGCGGCGCGCTGAACTCGAACTTGGCATCGAGACACAGCTTCTTGATGTGTTCTTTGGCGGCGTCGACGGTGTCGAAGTGCTGGGGATAGGTGGGTTCGATGGTACGTTCGATGTCGCGGACGGCGGCCCAAACGGCTACTGGGAGGTGTTAGTGGGGGTTCAATGGGCTGGGAGGAGAGGAGGCTTACGTTTCAATGTCTCAGAAACAGGCATTGTCGCTTTCTGTTTTGAGATTTGACAGGAAAGATGTGTTTGAGCTTTCGATGGGCAGTGTGTGAGGGATGAAGAGAAGCGGAATTGAGGGGCCTTATATAGAGTATCTCATGGGCTTCTGGTCAGCACTCCGATACACGCTCGGCACTGGCAAACGGACGACGCCCATCGTTGCAGTGGGTGTTTGTCCAATGAGATGGCACGAGTACATGCAGCAGCTCACGTTGCCCGAGCATGCAAACGAGTGATGTTTCGAGGCAGAAACATGACCGTACCCCTGTTCGTCTTTTTGAGACTCGAAATACCCAAAGCATGAGTTTGCGTAATTTCAGTTTTGGGTCAAGGACAAATACAGTATTTACATGCATATCAACACTAACTTTTTGGATATCATACACCTCTCACATGCAGCTCAGCCTCCAGCAATCTCCCTTACTCTGACCCCGACTCGCTTTCATATTCATCCACTCTATACATGAAATACTGGACAAACACACAGGCGTCCAAGATCAGTGTACCGAAGCTGCCCAACAGCCACGAGAAGTTGATAGCGATGTACCGTTTATAGACAGCCATCGCCTCGCCGTCTCTGCAGTGATGGTGCTTACATCTCGGCTTGTACACCACGATACTCAGAACGTACGTCAGGTTACCAAGACAAGCAAACAGGAAGAACAACATCGAGATGCCGTCAGTAGACTTGCGGCGGTAGTTGAGGAGCAGTTGCGGAATGCGCGATCCGAGGTAGAGGGCGGCGCAGATGTATCCAAAAATCTGGCCCCAGAGATTGAAGTCGGGCTTCGAGTCAGGAGTATCGGTGGGCGTGTCGTCAGAAGCCGCGGCTTGTGTGGCGCTGAGCCACCAGCCGAAGACACCCGCGGCCATGACAAGCACGATAGTTCCAAGGTTGAAAAGGACGGTCTGTATGGTAGACTGGGGCTGCGCACGGGGCTCGGCGCGAACCTCGCCATTGGCATCGCCGTGGAGCGGTGTTGCAGGGGAGAGGTGCGTGCCGTCGATCGAAAGGAACCGCTCACGGAAGGAGGACTGTGAGTGGTTCGAATGGCGCCTGTCTGCGTCCGAGATCCGAGGGGGCATACCGTTGCCGTTGGAGGCACCATTGGCTACGACGCTGGCATATGATGTGCCATTTGTTACGCGTCTGTCAGAGAGCAGCGGCTCGTCTTCGCTCACAGGCGATCCGCTCTCATTCGATTCGTCTCCAGGTTTGTTGACGACATCACGGAGTGTGAAACCTTTGTACCAAAAGCATTGAAGAAGGAGGACAATGTCGGCTAGGGTGTAGTACACGGCCAGGATAGTCATCGTCGGCAGCACGCCCTGCAGGACGGCGCCGAAGATGTTGAAGAAGTCACCAAGAAGCCATATTATGATGAAGACGACCGAAAGGCCTTCTGCTGAGCTTCTTCTCCAGTTTTCGATGATCTGAGGCGAGAAGACAACTGCAGCCAATGTCAGCTTTAGCTAATTTCGCGACGTGTCCGTATCGCTGCAAAGGGTGCTTGCGAAGGGGATGGACATGGGGCAGTGTCTTACCTATCCAACATGCAATACTGATTGATCCAAAAATCTGACTGATCGCGTCGATATCGAGCCGCAGGCCCTGTGACGGAGGAAACATCGCCTATGACGTATGCGCACACTCAACCCTCAATTGATCGTTCTTTTGCGCTTGAATTCCGTTCTGTTGCGCCACCGTCGGGTTTCTGGGAAGCTGGAGACCGGATCTCTGTAGTGTAGTTGCAATCTACGACGTTGACCAGGCGATGAGAAGCTGGATGCGTCCTGGTAAGGAAACGGCACGCGCTGGGAGAAATAATCGTCCCAATGATCCTTCTCTTCCAGTGCTGGCAAGAGCTTGTATATATACAGGATAGGTAGTGTGAGAAGTTCAACAATATCGTCTTTGATGAAAGTAGCGAATATGGACAGTCAATGGATAGGCCCGAGATGACTGTACTGATGAAAAGTTGGAGGGTTGGTAATGCCAAGCGTTCGTCAAATCCGGGGTAAGCTGCAAGGCACCATCCATGCAACCGGACATGAGCCGCATCACGTGCCAACACTCCAATGAAAGGCAAGAACAGATAGATTGTAGTAGGTATCATAAGTCTTATATGTTCAGCGGTCGAGGGATCAGATTGCATGGATCTCATATACCATGCAGTATCGAACTCGAATATGCTTCAAAGCATCCAGTTCTATAGGTTGTTATCAGCCTTGAACTTGTCCCAAGCTTCGTTCAAGGTTGCGAAGACTGATGCGCTAATCATCCTCTGTTCTGTGGTAGCCGATTGGGGAATCTGTCGAAGGAGTCAGTATTAGACAACGAGTTCAGTATCATTCAAACATACCTTGTCAGGGTGCACCTTGGCGATCGCCTTCATGTAGTTGATCTTGACCTTGTTCGCCATCACGAGATCGCCCATGCCGACCTTTTTCCACCCAGCCTCAGGCCACAGCACGTTGTCCAACGACCCAAGCAAAGCTCGTAAGTTGTCTGTTTTCCCGCCTTTCCACGCGATGAGCTTTGCATCGACCTGGTCGGCAAGAGCAAACTTCTCGTCGTCAGCCTTTTCGGCTGCAGCATTCGCGAGCTTCAATCTCTTGACGGCCTCCGAATCAGGAGCACCTCCACCAAGATCTGACATTGCAGATGGCTTGGGTGCTGGCTTTCGGACGGGTGCGCGCTTGACAGGTGCTGGCGTGGAATCGTTATTGCCGCCTGCAGCAGCCTTCTCACACCTATTGCGTCCTGATATGCTGACCGCACCACCCACCCCATCCTGTACAGCCATCTTCCAAACCTTGTGCGCATCTGCCCACTTTTCCATATTCTCGAGCGCTTCCGCTTTGCGCATAAGTGCTTTGCCATAGAATTCTTTCATATCCTTCTCGCCCTCAGCACCACCCGACGCAATCTTCTCGCCCTCACCCTTCGATACACCAATGATAGCGAGTGCGGCATCGGCATCAACGATCGCAGCTTTCGGGTCGCCAACCTTGATGTTAGTTACAGCCCGATTACAAAGGACAATGATTGTGACTGGGTGGGTATCAGGAAGAGGACTCAGCGCAGACGTGTATGCGATATGAGCGGCGGAGTAGTCGCCGCGCTTGAAGGATTCTGATCCCTTTTGGCGGTCCCGAGCAGATGTGCTGAGCGCTGATGAAGAGATAGGAGGGATTCGTCGAGGCGGTGCCTTTGGCCTGGGTGGGGACGGAGTGCGAGCGGGAGTACGCGTCTTGGGCGTCGAGGTAGCCTGAAGGAACGGATTGTTCGACTGGGTCTGTGCTTGCTGTCGTGACTTGGGTGCTGCCGGCGTGGGTTCTGGCGAAAACAGATCAACTTCAGGCTGGGGCTGTGGTGTTGCCTTCTTCCGGCGTGCTGGGCTGATATATGCTTGAGAAGTCTGTTCTTCTACGTCTTGCCTGGTCAAACGCGCTGCAGGTTTCTTATCGTAGCTGGGTGTAGGCTGACGTTGAGCTGGAGACTGCGATGACATCCTATCCGGAATGCCATGGCGAGACATCTCTTGTTCCCTTCTCGGTCGCACAGGCAGATCATCTTGTCGCTGCCGCTGTTCAGTCTGCCGAGGCGGTTTCGTAGGGCGTCCTCCAGCTTCCAGCATCATGGCTTCGTCGGTTCCTCCGACATCACCTCGCTGTGGCCTGCTAGATCTCGGCGCCGCTTCCGCCGCCTGCGCGTCGCGCATCCATTTCGGAACGCTAGGATCACCGCCATCTTGCTGGAAGTCGGCCACGGCTTTCTGTACTTGTTTGCGGCCTTGCTTCCAGAGCGAGTTCGCAGATTTGAACAGAGTGCTGCCAATTTCCGAGGCTACCTGTGTGACATCCTTCTCTTGCCTTTGGCCGTCTTGTCGGCGCTGCCCTGAACGACTCCGGGCATCTTCGTCCCGCATCCAAGCTGGCACGGGCTCGCTGCCCCGTCCCTCCCTCGCGCTGGGCCTGCTATTGCCTCGTCTCGGGTGCTCATCCAACTCCTCAGGTCTTCGCCGCGATCTCTCCTGGCTGGGTTCCTGTGATCTTTGCTTGGTCTTGGCGTGCGCCTGGTTCAATATCCACCCAACAGCTGCTTGTACGTCCAGCCCAGAGTCCGTAGTCGCAAGTGCGATGGCAGATTGGTCTGCTGAGAAGCCCATATCCACAAGCTCAGCAACAGCCCTATCGTGCGCGTTCATTGGGCTTGAGGACCTCTCGCGGACTGTCTCCTCCCGCGAGCTGTTTATCGTAGGCTTCGGCTCCTCCTTCTTGAACTCCTCGACAGGTTTCCCCAGCAGCCCGAGTATATCATCATCATCGTTATTGGTAGGCGGCGGTGGGGCAGGCGACGTCGACTTTTGTGCCATCTGCTGTAGACCGAACATGTCGTCGTCGTCTACAAAAAGGTTGACATTGGAGGATTGCGGCAGAGGCGTGTGGCCTCTCGAGGCGGCCGCACTGACAGCCGGAGTGCTTCGGCCGCTGCCATTTGAAGGTGGGGGGAAGTGGCTCGACCTGTCTACTGGGACAGCTGAGTTGAACGCCGCAAGAAGGTCATCGACCGGAGGGGACTGTACGGGACGCTTGGCGGTCGTGTCGAGGCCGGCAAATGGCTTGTTGATAGTCTGCGACAGCGTTTGCTTGCTAAAGGGGTTGTTTGAGCCGGGTGGTGGAAGTGCGCCTAGACTGGAGGGCTCAGGCGTGCTCTTGCCGCTCCCTGCATTGTTCCAGAACTGCGAGTCCGCACCACCGAAGCTTGCGTCGTATTGCTTCCTCCGCTCTGCTTCCTGCCGCTGCTTCTCCTCCTGAAGCTGCTTCTGGCGCTCCTGTAGCGAGAGGCCACTTCCTGCGGCCTTCGACGTCTTGCTGGACACTAAGCTGGCGAAGCTGTCATTGGCGGGGGTCGCGGGCTTCGAGGGCGCTTTGAAAGGTTTCGGCTGCTGAGGCCCCCCCGACTGTTGTATGGAGAGCCCTGAGAGAGGCGTGGAGCGGCCAGAGAGCTGCGGCGTGGGGCTCTGGCGAAAGGGAGGAAACACCGCGGGGCTCGTCGCCGGCTTTTTGGCGGGCTGCGACCAGTCGAGGCCATTGAGGTCGTCCATGGTGGTTTCTAGATGCTATACTACGCAAAGCAATCGCTAAAGATCATGACATCGTTACAGGGTGTGGTCGTTGTCAAACTGTCAATGTGCATGCAATCGGCCCCGCTGGCTGTCGCACCAGCCACTCAGCCACACCACACCACGCGACCCCGGACCCCACCGTACCTCGTTACCGTCTCTACCCATGTCACCACAAAATGTGCTCACTTCACCGGCCTGCTGCAATGCTTATGTAGGTACCACTGGTCATTGCCTATGCCATGCCGTCCGATCTTCCCGATGAGACTAACACTGCGCGAACACGTCTCGTGCTTTGGTAAGATGGGTTAGATCTTGTACTGCACGAGAGTTTTATACATGCCCTCTACTTTGGAGAAGAGCCACAGAGTGAGCAAAAGACAACAAGACGCAGACAGGAAAACACGAGAGAAGCCTGAGCCATCGCCTCAACCCACCGCACACCACATGGCTCGGCCTTCTCTTGTGCTACCTAGTAGTCATCCGGACTGTTCCTTCTGCTCAGCACCACTTTGTTCGTCCCGAGGTTGACCAGCGAATAGTGCCGTGCTCCAGCACTCTGGACTGCGAGGACGAGCCAGGTACCGCAGACCATGTGGGCAGACGGAGCTCTGCGGGTCTGCTTGGTTTAAGCAGTAGTAAACGCAACTAAGACACGAGACACGCCGCCACAAGGGTCGGCGGATGTGGGTCAGGAACAATAGATGCGGCGCGCGATTAGTGTTTTGGTCATGAAGTTAACGTTAAGAGTATGTTGTTTATTAAGTGTTTAGATCTCAGTGATTAGACTATCATCAACTACCCCTTGTACGTTAGTAATCGACCAGAAGACAAGAGGTACATTCGAATACCCCCCGTACGCCGTGATACCATTCTAGAGTTGGAACGGAAGGGAAATTCGTGCGAAAGGCTGCGCTTAGCATCTGAAGACAGGCATCTGGGATGGTATGTATAGACGTAACATGCTTGAAGATTGGCCTCGACAACAGTAGCGTTTGCTGTGAGGCCTCTCTATCCTCCACAGTCGCGGCTTGGTGTCTTGAGGAACGGCGTACCTAGGCGCACCGCAAACGAGCAAAAGTAGACGGACACCATGTGTAGCGGCAGAATGGTCCACAGACTAGGCAGTCCGCTGCTCTCCGTCCACAGCTCAACTAGACCCGGGAGCTGCACCAGTGTCGCTAGCAGAAGTGTTGCGGCGATGACCGTGATGGCGACGAAGCCCTCGCCTTGGGCAAGCTTGTGGCAGACGATCCTGCAGTACACGATGTGAGCGCTGATATAGACCAAGAAGAGGGCGATGAGGAGCGGTGTTGTGGTCGTAGCATCGGTCCGGACGAGCGCAAAGACTCCTTCTGCCGCTCCCGCGCCGGCCATCAAACCTGTGTCATTTTGGGTGTTGTGAAGATGCCGGATTGCCGCGGCTGAGAAGGTCATCATGATGGATGGGACGATCCAGTCGACTGAAGAGGCAAGCAGTTTGAGGAGCCTGGCCTTTATTCCAGCTTCCTTTGGAGTCCTTGATACCGAGGTAGACATCGAGGCGGTGGGACTCGGGCTTGATGACGTCGGAGTCGGTATCGATCGTACTACTATGCCGTTCTTGTTAGAAACGGTCATCTATTCCTGCCGCTTTGGACACATACCTTGTGTGCCCGTATGGTCTTGCTGATCTCGTTTCATCTTCATCTCCCTCTGCTCGCCATCAATACGCTGCAAGTGTCGATCTGAGACTATGACAGTGCTGCTTTGAGATTCCCAACCTTGAGGCGAGTCATCAGAATTCATGTCGAGTCCAAGCGTATTGAGCCTGGGAACAGGAAGAGCATTAGTAGCGGAACTGGCTACCAGGATTAGTGTGAGGAGATATGGGAAAAGCATTGTGACAGAACAGGTGACTCAGACAGCAAAGTGTCTCTTCATAAAACTCTCGGGGAATCTTAGAAAGTAAGAAAGTCAGTAGCAGGCCCGGACTTTCTGCTGGACGACGACAGAGGGGCGGTGCAACAACGCTGGCCTTGTCACCAGGCCAAGGGCTGAGCCGCCATCCTGCCAACACATAAATCGTTCTTTCACCAATCAAGTAGGCTTAAATTATGCATAGCCTACTGCTGATCGCCAAAACTCAGCCTTCTGAGGTCCTCCTGTTCTTTTCAGCCTTGTGGGCTCCCTCTCGTAACAGCCGTCCTCAGCAGTCCCCTCTTGCAACAGTAAACAGCATACTTCCATTTTGTTTCCATTTTGGATTCCCGATATTTCGACGACACTCGACCTGCTGAATACATTGGAACTTACCAGGAACTGTGATGTCTGTTCGTTCCTACCAAACACTTCTAGCGTTATGGCTCGAAGGGGTACCAGATTCGAAAAACGGAGAGGAACGGCGTTTGCTATCTTCTCCGGCCTTGGAGCCGTGCCAGATGAAGGAGCAACTCCTCGGAAACACTGACGATTCGCCGCGGTGCAAGACCGAGCGAAGGCTCGACGACCATACGGAGAACGATGAGGACAATGCAATGCATGCCAAATCCAGCTGGCTGATTGCGTGTGCCATCGGGGTAGTCTGGTGCTGCACGATGCTCCCAGTAACGAGTTATCGCTCCGACCGAGACCCGCAGGCCAGTGAATCCAGCATCATTAACCAGGTACGTGTCGCTTCTGCGAAGAGTTAGGTAAGCAACGTTGTGGAAAATTAACTGACACTACGATAGATACAGCACCCGACCGCACCGATATTTGCCTTGAGTTGCACGATATACGGATACGCGCTGATCGGCCTATACCAGCACACTCGCAGAAGTGTGTTTCGAGCACCATTGCTGATTATCAGCATACTCGCAGCGCTGGGTCTCTGCGCTGTGCAGCGATGGCATGTTACTATACGGCCAAATATAGCTGTGCCTGTAGCCGTTGTGGTAGCAATGGTGCTGTCACGGATTGCTGAGGGCATTCGACAGACGTGGATGGCGTCAAGCCGACACTGAAGAAGTGTGCACTACTTTGACAATGGAACGCGCATTCGGAGGTCCTGAGAAACAGTCCGGCTACCGTAGAAGCGCTCTATCGAGATGCTGTCGGATTTTCAGAGCGATTTGGATGAAGCGGATTATGGTTGTGGTGCTGGGTGTGAGAGCTCCATTGCTCTTTCCTTCTATACGAAAAACCATAGCTTTCATTTGCAGGCCTTATCATTAAAGGCTGGTAGATGCTAGTTTTTTCTTTTGTACACAAACACTGGCTTTCACTTGCGGTACCTCATCGGGGGCTGGCAGATGCGAGTTCGTTTCTTTGCTGATAGCTTGTCTTTCTAATGCAATATGTGGCAGCCTCATCATGGTTGTCTTCGATTCCACTCCCTAATTCATCTGCTGGTTCATCCTTCCCCTGAGCCAGAATTGGCAACAAACAGATACTAGATGGCAAGTGTACTGAGATGGGCTTCGTGACAGCCTCCGCGAGCCTGTTTCTGGTCTTTTCGCCACCAGATAATAGTCTGTAGCCAACTCTACCCCGAGCGTATCCCCTACCCCGCCCATCTTTAGACCAGCCCTGATCTCCTCTCATCAATCTAGTAGAGCCTCGCAGTACCTGCCATGTAAGAACTGACACACATACTTTTACAAAAGGCTTCTCTTACAATCGCCACCCGATTCAGTGGAAGACTAGGTGCAACCTTTAGCCCTTATGCATCCCCACTTCTGTGCCCGAGTCTCGGCGTTTCGTCGAGTGTGCTGATACTGAATAACATGAACATCCACAGCTCGTACCGCCCCCTATCTCTTCGGGTCGATACCGTCGAGCGCACCAAACACCGTGACAAAGTATTTCCGTAACTCGACGCAGGACTCGCTGTGCATATCGAGTCTGCAGCCCTCCTCGATCATGACCTCCCACGCGCGCCGCTCGACATCGTATCCGAACGTTTCGATTGTGCCCTTTGCGTTGCCCCAGATACGTGTGTAGTTCCCGTCCTTCGTCTTCGCCGTCGTGAGATGCATGGAGAGGATGCGAGAGGGGTCGAATTTGAACATGTTCTGGTGGATGAACATGGGCTTGGGCTTGTCGTGCTTTGCGCCATTTTCGATGTCGCTGGCGCCCCAGATGCTTTCGGGGTGCATGTGGCTTTTGGTCGGGGGCTTGTAGAGGAAGTCGCTTCGCGGGTCTGATTGTGCCATGCCGCTTAGCCGGAATTCTCCTGCGTCGTGGTATCCTACGGCTGTTACGCCGGTTCGGACTTGGTACCATGGTGCTCCGACGGCCATGGCGGCCTGCACGAACGTCTCTTTGTCCCCGGCGCCGTGTGAGCCTTGGCAGAGGAGAGGGTAGTAGTAGTCTGGGCCAAAGTAGTTGTAGTACATCATCATCAGGAAAGACTCGCGATGTTTGTCTTTGTCGAGCAGGACGACACCGCTTTCTGTTGAGGGGCGAGCGGAGGGCGACTCGTATGGAATTGCGGCGATGTGGTAGTAGTGCTCATGGATTGTCAAGCCGAAGAGGTCGGGCCAGACAACGAGACCGTGAGTTGTGTATGGAGCGGTAGTGAAGAGAGGGGTTGGGTCGTGTGCAGGAAAGGCATCCGTGTCGAGGAAGAGCACATGCTGGAAGGAGGAGAACAAAATCGCGAAGAGTTTGTACTGATAGGTGGTGGGCTGTGGTATCCCCGGAGCAGTGTCGTAGATCTCAGAAAGAACCACGCAAGCTGCGTTCAAAGAAGGGAGAACGGTTTCGCAGATGATTGGGTCGTACTTGGTCCAGTCGTCTATGAAGACTTCCACGGGGAGATTACAACCGGTCCTTCGTAGCATGCGGAGCGACACCAGGAAGATAGGCATGTACTTTGCATTTGCAGTCGTGACGATTCCTTGCTTGCCTCGAGAGAAAGTAAGGCGCGGCGCAAGACGCTGCGATGAAGCACGCATGCGGTAGTGAGATTTGAATAACGCGATCTCGTGTTGATCGGTAAAGTCCACTAATCTTTGTGGAGGAGTTTTGGAGATATTCAGCGGCTGCCAGGAAGTCTCTAGGCTAGTTGGATTGCCTTCGTCGACCTTGATGGCGGAGCATCGAGGACGCGCATCTTCCAGGGCAGGAGCAAGTTCTTTCCAGAAGTCTTTCACCTCCGAGCTGAAAGTTGACTTCGCCGCAGTGATGTTAATTGCGCCTGTGGCGGTATCTGTGCTGATCGGCGTAGTGTTGTTCTTACTGTCCCACAGGGAGAGACTGTAATGAGTTGCGTCACTGTGATCTCGGAGCTGCGCAAGGGTACAGTAGATGATAAACAAAACTGGCAATACCAGCAGCCGCAACGCCTTGGAGGTCTTCCAGTTCAGCAACATCACGTCTTCCGGTCAGATCAGCTCAACATACAACACCAGAGAAGGTTTGTTTCCCTTTGTAATGGGTTTGAGGGTGTGTACGGCTGAGAGATCGCGGGACTATCCGATTCGTGGTTGCAAACGGAGGCTTGGCGGCTAGAGTGAAAGACAAGACTGATAGCAGAGCTTGGAAGCCATATCGCCTGCGCACCACGCTGATGATATCGAGTACTCGATATCTTTCTGTACCTCCGTCTTGGCATACCACACCCGTGCGCTGAATCATCTTCATTTCAGACCCTTCTGGTAAACCTGAAGTGTAAGGTGCCTGCATCAGCGTAAACGCAAGGGTCGTCATCCTTCAAGGCTGACTTACACGATTCTGATTGGAGTACGAGGACGATAAGGACGCCACGAGATCACAGCATCGCTAGCACGATGTTGTCTACCGAAACATTGAGGCCCCCCGGATCCGGACAAATCTTGGCATCATCCTCGATACAGCATGTAACTCGCATCCGGCGGGGCCATCGACTGATTGCGAAAGCCATCCAATTTCACGGTTCTTGGAGCGGCCTCGACTGTGAAAGATGGGTGGTCTGGCTGATCGTTGCAAGATGCTGACCGCTTGGCGTTGGCGATTCCTTCGGAGCCTTACCAACAAAGTAAGACATCGCCGTGCCGATGTGGATCAAAAGCGCCCATTCCTCTTTTGTCTGAGAGATTGCAATCCTCTACTGTGCGTCGCAAATGTGTATCTTGTGACCGGATGTCGACAGTCTGAAGGTTGCTACAAAGGTGGTCGTCCAGGGAGGCACCCGTCCGGTTTGAAGCAACACCAGCCTTGGCGAGGGTCCAGGGCTACTCTTTCCACACGTTTCCACCTTTTTGCGCAATCAGGTAAACAACAACGACAAGCAAATCGGCACATGAGAAGTGCATGTAGTTCTAATGTGGAGGGGTACATTCTTCTGAGAAACATGTGTACTTTGTAGCAATTTGGAGAGCAGAAAATGCATGAAGCAAGGACTGAGAGAGTGGTAAGCACGCGGATAGATCCAGCGGTGAAGTCAACCGATCATCGTCGAACAACACTGGACGCGCGACTTCTTGAGGAAAGATGACAACCTAAGCAATCACCATAATACATCGCAGGACAAGCTGAAACCGAGTATGTTGAATGACTGACCAGGAAACCGATATCCTCCCAGCGCCTCGCTACCGCCCACCGCGCTATGCCAGCAAATCGAAGGAATGAAATCGAATAACATGCAGAGAATTTGGAAATTCAACTTGCAAGTAGCCGAAAAGGAAACGCATGAACACAAAAAGCTAGAGGAAGGGACGGACTAACAGATCCAAAGCTCCAACCTGCCTCTGTAGCCGCTGCAAAGCCGAGCCTGTACTTTTATCCTGTCCGGCTTTTGTTGCAAATCCACCCCGAAACACCACCATCCGCTAAAGGTATCAAACTCCATCGCTTGAGGTCCCCAGTCTATACGCACACCGACCCGTTTCCATGCCAGGTAGCCTGCAAATGCCACGAGATCTTAACCATTTCTGAACGATGAACTCCCCGAATTCAATCTTGCCAGCGCCAGCCTGTCCGAAAAAAACCATCCCATACCAAATCGCTTGTGCAAGATCCGAGGATGCAGATGTGATACCTTATATACGAGTAGCTTACGCCGGTGACTTGTTGGCCGAGTTCGAAGCGTTGCGACGGTCATCGTTCATCGACAGCGAGTTGAAGCCGGTAGAAAGGAAGGAGAAGGGGTCGCCGCCACCATTGGGGGCGCCCTGATTGGGGTATGGGTCAGCCGCGCTGAAGGCAGCCTCGGCGGAACGGCTGTCGAAAGGTGTCGAGTGCATACCGCCGTTCTGAGAGTACTGCGCGCCCATGGGAGGATAGGGGCTAGCTGCACCCATACCTGAAGGCAAAGCGTACTGGCTTGGCGGTCCACCGTACTGCTGAGGTGGGAAGCCGCCCTGAGCGTAGCCAGCAGGACCGTACGGACCAGCATTGGGAGTGCCGCCCATGGAGGGAGGGCCCATGCCGAAGCTTGAGGGAGTATCCATAGGCGAAGGGAAGGCGCTGTCAGCGACAACGGCAGCTCCCGCGCGGCTCGCTCCGCAGCGCAAACAAGCCGTGTTCTTGGCAAAGTTGTGGTAGCCGCACCCGTTCTCGCCACACTTCCAGTCACCAGCACGGAAAGGAACCACGCCAGTTCCTCCACGCATGTGGCCACCGCCCATGCCGTGGCCGTGGCCGTGACCGCCCATGTGGTGCTGAGGAGGGCCCATCATGCCAGGGTGGCCGTAGCCGTAGCCACCGTATCCCATAGGATCACCGCCCTGGGGACCTTGCTGCATGGCGGGGAATGAGCAGCGGAAGCATGCAGTGCGGCGCTGGAAGTTGGAAAAGCCGCACGATGGGCAGTTCCAGTCACCCGGACGAGGCCTATTCTTACTGGGCGGGAATGGGGTGATGATCTCAGCGGCGCGGTCAAGGACACGACTGGACGATGGCGAGACTTCGATAGCCTTCTCGTTCAGGGCGCGGCCATTCATGCAGAGACTCTCGGCAGCTTCCTCGTGGGATGAGAAGATGGCGAAACCAGTGCCAGTGGGCTTGTGTTGATCAGGGGTGCGCAACGTCCAGAACGCAATCGGGCGTCCGCCAAACTGGGTGAACCAGCTCTCAAGCTCGGACTGGGTGGTGTCGTGAGGAAGGCCGCTCATGTGGAGGACCTTGCTGCGCTCGGAAAGGAAGGCACGAACGTCGGCGCGAGCATCCATTGGCTTCGTGAGCACGTCGGGATGCTCCTGGGGCGGTTGGCTCTTGCGGATAAGACCACGAAGCACTCTGGCGAGTGTGACAGCCTCTTCCATGGCCCGCCTTGGCGAAGCGGGGGCGAGCGCCTGTAAGTGAAAGGGGAGGTTGTGTTTGATGGGAGCTGACGACTGCACAGGCTCCACCTCGAGGGCGGCACAGATGTTGGTCAGGGCGCTCGAACCGAACGGCAGTGACTCTGGGTGGTGTGCTTGCCAGCGCTGGTACTCGGTGCGCAAATCGAATGTGCGAGAGTGCTGGAGGTATGGAGGCAGGACGACAGCCTTATCGCGGGCCTCACGGGGCAATTGGACACGGAGGTCCCATGAGTCGAGCGTGACGAAGGCGAATTCGTAGTTGTTAGGGAGGATGTGCTCCTGTGCGAAGGTGTCGAAGCGGTTGATGGCGTCTCTGAACGAACCGGCGTTGCGGACCTGATCCCAGGTCAGGGTCGTCAAGCTTGCTGCAGGTGCACGTTAGCCAATTGCATCGCAGAATTGCTAGGCGAGGGCGACTTACTGCACAACGCAGTGATGGGAGTGTTGACGGGCTTGACGAGGACGCTCTCGCGGTGAAGCTGGCGACGTGCGTTAGCAGCTACGGGCGCAATGGCGGACGCGGTGGAAGGCGTACCTCTTCGCAGGACTTTGCGTCCAGCAGGATCCAGCCGAGCTCAATGACCTCAGCAGAGTCCTTGGTCACGTACACGCCGTGTTCGTCGCACGTCGTGGCAACGTGTATCACGACATAGCGATCGAGGTTTGGCGCCTGCGGCGTGGGGGTTGCTTGAGAGGCCATGATGATAGGACGCTGGGGGGGCCAGCAGCTCGAAAGACTTCTCGAATTGATGTGTGGGCGGTGCTGCACTCAGCTGCAGGCTGACGTCGGGTAAAGGTGGTGGGAAGGAGCGTTTGTTTGGGTCTGGATGTGAACGGCAGGCGCGCGGACGTCAGCGGGCAAGTGAACGGGGAGCACCTGACGAAGGAGCTTCAAGCTTCGCGGAGGTGAGGTGGGCGGTGGAGTCTCTGGCAGTAGAGACGAGACAAGGTAAAGACTCTCCAGACGAGATGAGACAGGTGGTCGGAGATGTGGTAGGGGAGGTAGCAGCTCCGTGCGAGTGTTCATCAGAAGATTTCTTGACGTGGATGGAGGAGCTAACGCGCTCTCAGCGCCAGACATGGGACTTGGCGACGTCGACGAGATCTGTGCGGACCTGCAATGCCGGAGCAGGTGGACGTCGTGGCCGGAAAGGTGTCTTTCTCTATGTCTGCCCCACGTATAACCGTTCGCTGGTTGCCTGTCCAAATCTGCACAGGGTTCGTACATTTGCACCCTCTCACATGGCATCTGCAACAACATGCTCGCCGGGCTCCCAGCGCCCATCTCGAGGCGGCCTGCAGGCGGGTAGCGGTTTAGCGGCCGGCGACAGGACGCTCGGCGAAGCTGCCCGTTCTTGATTGGCATCTGAAACCACCCGCCGCCTCTCATTGAGCAGCGCACGCGTCTGTTGAACACTCTCGCGTGTGCTGCGCCTGCGCTGTGCGACGCTGTGCCTCCACTCGAGTATTGAATGACACCAGCCTGCAACTCCAGTCGTCGCTGGCCGAGCGCTGCCGTCCTCCGCGCCGCACACTGCGTGCAGGGCTCAACAAGGACACGCCGGCCGGGCCTCACGCAGCAGCGCCCAGCAGCTCCCTGCTTCTCTTTGGCGAGTGTGTCAGCATAGTCCTCATGCCTTCGTCGCGCACTCGGTCTGTGAATCGCCGTCGCCGTCGGTGGGCGACGAGCGTCCCTGCGACGGTGCAGCTGGATGTCTCTCATGCAGAGATATATCTGAACCACGTCCGCGCCCACGTTGAGTGACGTCCACGCGTAGATCTATAAATACGCTGACCTCCTGAGACGCTGTCTCGCCCTGCCAAAGCCTCCCGTTCAACGGCTCCCTCGCCGTCCGGTGTTGGCACCCCTGGCACGCGTTTCCCCGCAGCCACACGCGGCGAGAGACGTTCATCCATTCTTTGTTGCAGTACCCGGCACAGTAGATCCGCATTTTACTCGCTCTCTGCCGTGCCCGTGATAGGATGCTCAACGGCCTTGCTGACACGTCCTACGAGCTAGTTGTGACCAGGCTCGATTCGTCCGCGTTTGCTCGGTGGTTGGCTTTGTCCCGTTGAAGAAGGCCACAGGATGCCCCTTAACACGAGGACCGCGCCGCACTGAGCGCGTACTGTGACTGAACTGCGCTCTTCAGAGGGACTACTGACGGTACTTCCTCCCTCCAATTTGCGTCATTTGTACTTGGTAGAGCTCGCTCGGTCTTAGCGGCGTTATTCAGCGCGTTGATCTGGTCATGTCGCGGCGTTTCAAACAGGGCCCACAAGCCGCGGAGCGAGGGTCTTCGTGAGTAGCTGCTGCACTATTTCTACCCCGCGTACTTTGTCGCCGCGCCCTGAACTGCCTGACGCGTTGCCTGGGCGTCCATAAATTAGTACAGCGGCTGATTGAGCGTCTAGATCTGGCATCATGGGTTGGTTCAAGCGCTTCTCGAGGAAGAAGTCGATTCCGAAGAAAAGCGTGGACCTCCGCGTGCCACGCAACGACTACTACTCGCCTGCCAACTACGAGTACCACGGACCGGACCAGACGTTGCGCCTGCCGGAGAAGGTGTTGCGTCGCATTTTCGAGGAGGTCTGTCCCCACTCGAGCGACGACACGCTCGATGGCAGCGAGGATAGCGGGCACGATGGCTGCATGAGCTGTGACACACGCGACCTGGCTCACTGCGCCCTGACCAGGCGGTCATGGTACGGCATCGCTGCCGGGCTGCTGTAAGTTGGCGTTGTGACTACCTCCTGGCTCACCCAAGCTAATCTCGCGCAGCTACAACAGTATTCGCATTGACGCCGTGCACTACTGCGAGCTCGAGGAAATCTACGCCGATCAGCGAAGGCGTAAGTCGCGCAACGGCGACTCGGAGGATGTCCCCACGGTGCGCCTGCAGATGCTCAGCAACAGCGTGCGTGGCAACCAGCACCTTGGCCAACGCGTCCGCTTCGTCAAGCTGCCGTACATGACCCGCGAGTCCTGCAAAGCCGATCTCGCACGCCTTGTATCAGGCTGCCCCAACCTTGATTACATCGACCTCCCAGATGGCTTCTACAACGGCGATCAGTCGTGCCAGCTGCTGCGGCAGGAGCTACAGGCGCGCTGCCCGCACATCCAGAAGATGAAGTACAACGAGGGCGGAGAGCAAACACTCGAGTCGCTCCTGCATGGCTACTGGCAGGAGCTGCGAGTCGTAGAGCTGAACAAGCTGCGCATCGAACCGAGCATACTGAGGCAGGTCTTTGGTATGCTTCCTCGATTGACTGACCTCACGGTGACGGGCGGCGCCTGGATGAACGACTCCTTCTTCCACGACGCGCCTGGCCTGCCGCCCTTTCCGCCCCTGGAGACACTTAGATTGGAAAAGGTACACGGTCTGACTGCACAGGGTCTGATACAATACCTTTCACACCACATGTGCGCTGCCAGGCTGAAGACGCTTGTCATCAAGAACTGCAACGGAATCACGGTCGCAGACCTGCACGCTATTCTGAGGGCTGCATCAAACCTGAGGACACTTGAGTACAACGCGACGGTTTCTGCATCATTGCCTCTGGATCCTCTGCCACCGATGGAGTCTTACAGTCTGCGCAAACTTCACTTCGAGATCATCGCACACTCGACAAACCAAATTTACTCACCTGGCTCATCGTACTACCAATACTTGGCGAAATCATTGCTCTCAAATAGTCTTCCAGGACTGCGTCAGCTGTACGTCCAGGATCCCGAGTTCCCCGAGATCCTTACGTTGGCACCCCCTATCCGCCCGTTCAGTGAAGCACCGCAACCTACATTTAATCAGCCGCTCGAAGTTTTCTCGAAGGGACTCGATGAGCTGGAGTGGATCTTCACCTCTATTATTCCTCCGGAGGCCGGGCAGAGGCGAGCATCAATGGCTGGTGGGCGTCCTCTCAGCAGCTACTCAGCGCACAGAGGCTTAGGACCGCAGTGGGGTGGTGATGCTCGAAAGAGTATCGTTGTGCCTAATGGCTTTGGTGGTTTCTTGGCTATTCCTGCAGATAACGATGCAAGGCCGAGGAGCGCGGGAAACCCTACGGCAGGCGGTGGCGCTGGCAGCTTTGGTGCTGGTGGCGGCGGCTTCGGCGGCTTCGGCCATCGTCCCTCAAACTCCCTCAGCGCTGGCGGACCTGGAAGTCCTGGTGGTCCTGGCGTGCGAGCAAGCTTCATGACCCATGCTGGACGCGATAAGCGTGCCTCGAGGGCTGATCTTTGGCGATGATTTATACTGCTCCTTGCTACCGCAAGGCTGTCGCTCTTGGATAGAGCAACCCGCGTATTGGATAAAACCAAGCGGAAACGATCTTACACATCAGTTCTGTGTTTTGCATTTCCCTGCCTTTCACTTCTCAAATACCCCTTCTCTTTGATTTCGCAACTGTATCATAGCAGCAGCATTCAGGACTACAACGATCCATGCGATCGCAGACGTCGATATCTCGTAGCATTCAGGATCGTCTGAATGGCATCTAATAGTACATAGGAGTCGGAGTTTTCAAATCATCCCTTTGTACCTGCCCGTGTTAGCTTGGTAATAGCATAGGAAATGACCCTCAAGTCACTCATCAGTTCTTATGATTGCGCTCCGCATTCGCCCCACTCGCACCCTTTCCAGCTCCTTTCCGCTCTGACCAAATCAATCGGGCACTCTGCCTCTCCTCGTCCTAGCATCCCCCTTACCATACTCTTTGCCTCCTCCCTGGCACTACCGTCCTTCTCGTCGATCCACAACTGCCTGTGCCGAGCTCCACACCGCACATTCCACGACCCCTTCCCCAACCTCGCCATCTCGTAGCCTCCAAACTCACTCACCCCTTCGTCTACACCAGTGTTCACTGACGCAATCACACTGGCCCCGTCAATATGGTGAAATAGCTCCGGGGCCACGCTGAAGCACTGTAGTCCGTTGCGACATGCCATCAACAGCTGCACGTCGAACGCATCCGCACCATGCTTCGCCGTCGTGTACTCACTCACGAACCGCTCAGCAGCCCGCCGAGTCACCGCATACGCGAACGTGCAGAACGGCGCAAACGAACGGTGAACCAGGCGTGTGGATTCCGGAATGCGCATGGAGGCAAGAAAGTTAGACGTGTCTGGGTGCAAGAGCGAGTGGAACGGGACTGTAGTGTCGGTATACATTAGGTGAGCATGTGAGAGGAGTGGATTCGCTTCGGTTGGGAGCGCGTCATCGCAATGGCCTGGGTACAGCAGATCCCAGTCTTTGTCGTCACCCCAGTAGGGTGCTGTGTGGACGGCCGACGCATTGCGGAGTAGAGCGCGGATGCTGGAGGCAAGCAGAGGGATCTGGTGACTGCGGATGCTGATGTCGAAGTCTACGTCGTCTTCAATGATGAGTGCAGTTACTTTGTCAGTCTCAAGGAACGATCGCAGGGCGTTGAGGTGCCCGAGCCACGCCCTTGCACTTCCCTTTGAGATCGCGGATTCTGACTCGTGAAGGAGCGCATCGAGATCAGCGTCTGACCATACTGGCTGGGAAGGTATGACGATCTCAACGTCAGTCAGGTTTGCTGCCCAGAGGAGTCCTGGGCGGCGTCGGGAGTGCGGGCGGGAAACGGCTAGGATGGTGCCGAAGCCAAGAGTTGCATTTGCTGGGGCCAAAGCCTGGTGTTGAGGTGACGGGACGAAGTTGCGCGCGGTGAGAAGCAACCAGATGGTGAGTATCGTAAGGATTGCTAGAAGGAGTACACGCGTTCCACGAGCCATGACGCCGAACGAGACCGAGCGGGGCCAGGAACTCGAGGTCGGTAGAATACATTGCACGAGTTGAAGCAAACAAACCATGCTTGGCTGCAAATTTGTGTCGAGGTGAATGAGAAGTCGAGGCGAGCTAAACTACTTTTGCCACTCCACGCGGCGTTTGCACAGCTGGGAAATGTGAGCTGGAGATTACACGAAGGAGACACCGTCTGTTATTGTATGGTAATATCCGGTGCTTCTCTGTGAGCGTGCTGGCTCATTCTGAATGTACTGTGACTATTTGTGGTGCCATGGTAAGACCTCCAGAGCGCCCAAGTGCACCTCAATCACCATACTCGGAGGTAATCTTTCCACGAACGCGTACATCTCACAATCTACAAAGCCTGCTCACACCAGAGGTGCGAATACGGTTGTGCAAACGATAACGAGGTAAGCAGCGATGCGTTGGCAATGCGCTCATCGAACGCGAGATGCGTGGTTGGACTGAGGCGTCGTACACCAACAGCGCTCATTTCCTCATATCGATCACGAGTCCAGTCAAAAACACGGCAAAAATTCACCGTACAGTGCAACTCTTTGATAGGATGCAAAATACGGCTAGCCAAGCATAACCTGTTTGGTATGCCTCAGCCGTGGCTGAATACGGAGCTGCCTTTCTCGACAGGAAACTAGCAGATCATGGGGAGAACCCTGCTGTGGTGATATGCAACAAGCCCCGTGTCGTGGCCACAACGATCCCTGGTAATCTGTGCGGGGAGGAAAACCAAGGTCTTCATGGTGTTCATGGTGTTCAAGGCGACATTAGGTGGCCTGTGTTTCACGATATGTCTTTCAGGAGAGGTCCTACCAGCACTAGCGAATAGAGGGGTCCACCGTCCACTGACCAGTGTTAGGCCCGGCAAGGTCGAGCCGCCTTAACGCTTCCTCCTGAAATAAGTGGCATGCGAAGCAATGCGCCGTCCGCCTGGTCTCTGGTATAATTTATTGAATACAAGCCGTCTACCCGCTTGCGCCTGCCCTTTGCTGACCTTGCACGCTCGACTGTTTTCAAAGTTCTCAGGTCTCTCTATGGACGCTTGTACCGCAACTAATGCACCACCGAGTCCCTTGCATACACACTCAGGAACGCAGATGCACTGTTGTCGCACAGCATGGCAAGCGACATAACAGCGCCGCCAGCTGCGGCGCCCCAGAGAATGTCTCGTTATCGCAGTGTGAGACGCACGCAGGAGCAGCAAGCGCAACTTTCGCAGGAGCATTCCGCACCTCCAATGCCACCGATGCCCGCCATGCCCGCGGCGCATGCTCCAGAAGACGCTTCGCGCGAGACGCCCAATAGCAACATAGGCAGGAGCATGAGCCGTTACCACCGCCGACCTCCCACCGCGCACGCGACCGGCCCCAACGCACCGCCCCAGCGCTCCAGCACCGCCCCGCAAGTCCCTCCACTACCCCGGACTTCGCTGCCACCTCCCTCGTCTGCCCGCCACCGCGCCGTGAGCACACCGCCGCAGTCACCACCAGCAGGGTACAACATTCAGCCCCGCCCGCGCACCGCCAAATACAGCGCAGACTCTGCCAGAGACGCTCGACAGTATGCGCAGGCGCAGGACGAAGACCCGCGAGTCGTCTTGCAGAGAGAAAGGGAGCGCCAGCGGCTCTTGAAGGAGAAAATGGAGGCAGAGGCACGCGCCCAGAAGGAAGCCAAGATCGCCGAGATTGCGCGACTAGACCAGCTGCGACGGGAGCAAGAGGAGGCTGCGCGCCTGGAGGCTGAGCGCGTTGCTGAGGCAGCCGAAGCCCTGCGACTGCAAAGAGACGAGGAGAAGGCCGAGAAAGAACGCGGCAAGAAGCTGCGCAAAGCCGAGGCCCAGAAGATGGTCGAGCAAAAGAAGGAGGAAGAGCGCAGGGCGAAGCTGGAGAAGGAGAATAAGGCACGCTTGGAGGAAAAGTCGCGCGTTTTCCAATCTCAATCCTCGGGATCACCTCCTACATCGCCTCCACGACACGAGGGGCTGGGCTTGTTCAAGCGGCGTAAGGATGAGGGCCTGTCACTTCCGACTGAGGAGCGACCGACTTCTGCGAGGCCTCAAACGACAAGGCAGAACAGCTCGAACGGCCAGGAACCTCGACCTCGAACGGCCAGACAAACGAGCAGCAGTCAGCCAGACGCTATCCTGGTTGGTGGCGGCGGTGCGGTGCTCGGCATTGATGCTCCAACGTCGGCAGTCAATGGTGGCGAAAGGGTATGTTCTCTACTACTCACCTAGTAAATACAGCAAACTGATGAATATGACAGCGAGTCACAGTTGTTTTCAATAAGAAACGGATTCAGCTGCCAGTAACACCCACGACGACTGCGCTTGATCTGTTCAAGTCAGCCGACGTCATTCTGACAGACACGGTTCCGGTGCGAACAGCTGTAGCGCTGGAATGGTTCAAGAAGGTCGACGTCAAGCGGCCACTACGAAACTACGAATATGTGCGCGATGTCATGAATTCTTGGGATTACGACGACCAGAACGAGCTCATTATCACCGACTCAACGATCGACGGCATTGACCAAGACGAACTGCTGTCCTATGGTGTGCCGGAGCAGCGGCCCGAAGGCATGTCATGCATGCTCAACTACTCATCAAAGCCAGGAAAATGGACGAAACGCTACTTCCTTTTACGACCAGACGGCCAGCTCGTGACCGCCAAGAGCGAGAAGGCGAGAGACCAGGACAATGTGTGTCATCTCACTGACTACGACATCTACCACGTCACACAAGCGAAGTGTGCAAGGGTGAAGCCGCCAAAGAAAATTGTCTTCGCGGTGAAGAGTCTGCAGAAGTCCAACATCTTTGCGGATGAGTCGCAGTATGTCCACTTCTTCTGCACTAACGATAGAGGCATTGCAGATAAGTTCTGGAAATCTCTGCAAGGCTGGCGAAGCTGGCACCTCAAGTACGAGAAGGGTGAAGGACTGAAGCAATCACCGGCCACGAAGAAAGTCCTGGACAGCGTTGGACCTGGCATACTGCCGGGGGCTCCTTCTCACACCCGTGGCGAGTCTGTTGGGTCACATTATCAGCTGGGTGCTTTCACCTCCCTCCTCGACATGAGCGACTTCAACAAGAAGCTGGACGAAATCGAAGTTCACAAACCAGGCGAATACCCAGACGATGCACCACTTTCGAAGCTTGGAGGTGCACAAGCCATTCATGCCAGGAAATCTCTTCGCGTCAAGCAGCCGCCACCTCTCAGTCGTGGTCTTGCTGCGCTCGCAACAAACAGTGCCCCTGAGGACAACGGTCGTAAGAGTTCGATGACGCACAGTCAAAAATCGCAGGAGGAAGAAACATTCGCTTCTGGTGGGCTTCTCGGCAGGACCTACACAACTCGTCAGAAGGCAGCGCAAGATCGCGAGCAGAGGCAGAATGGTGCTTTCACGGAGGGTCCTTCGCTAATCAGCAATATGGATCACCTAGCTGTGCAGAGCGGATCTGGCCTCAATCGCAGCTCTTCTACGCGGAGCAGCCATCATCGCAGAACGTCTAGCGATATTCGGCGCACCGCCTCCAAACGCATGCCCGGAATGCCACAGCCTCTGATTGACCTGACACCGCAGTATAAGCCTCCACCACAATTCTCCAAACAAGGCAAAGGATACCACCCAGGAGCGAATGCAGGTCCACTCGTAGAAAGCGCCACGTCCATGGAGGAGCCCATCAGCATTCCTTCATCTACAGATTGGCGCGCGAAACCCCGCCCTGTTTATGCTCCGCAGCCGAACGAGCGCACCAAGTCATTGAAAGGTCGTGGCCAGCCATTGGCAGCCTACACTGTCAACAACCACAGCGGTGCACCTCAGGACGACCGGGAAGCGTTCACTGGCGGTTTGTTGTCGCAGGCTGGGTATGCTCAGGGTCATGCAGCGGTCGGTCGAGGAGTCATGGATGGGTCGAAGGCACGTGGGCCTATGCTGGATTTTGGAGACGAGCGACAGTTCCAGTCGGGCAGTCTGTTAGCGAGCATTCCAAACGCAGCCGCGCCTGCCATTGACCGTTCCGGCAGGTAGCGCCTGATCAGCGTGCAGACGGTAGGAAGAGAACGAGGACGATGATGAGTGATCGGTGTCATTCTTAGCATTTTAGGTGTTCAATATCCCGAGTGGTGGTGTTTGGGGCCTCCCATGTCTGGGGGTTGTTGTCTGTTGGGATCGTATTCGCGTCTGTTGTCACACAGGGTGCCGGGCATTGGTGAAGTTTTGCAGCGGTTGAGGCTGCAGCTATCCCCCGCGGGTGGATTCTCGGCCTACGTTATGTACCACAGTGCCACTTCATATCCACGGTTTTCATAGAATTAATGCAAACGCTAACCACTGAAAGTCGCTAGCTACCCGACGCGCTACGATAGCTGGCGCTGAATTCTTCACATGGCCCACCTCCATTCCCCACTTCTCCACCAGCTCTTAGCGGAGGGCGTGTGCCAACGCCAGACGTCAACCCCGACCCCGCATCACCGGTGGTAGGACGGGCCTATGCAGCTGTCCGCTGCGCAAGCATTGGCTGGGCGCTCGTGAGCATTGCTCATGTGGTGCTTCCAACATGGGCGAACCGCTGAAGATGCGATGCATGCCGGCTTGTTCGGTCGAGTCTCCGCTTTCATTTCCACGGGCAGTTTGTTGAGCTGTTGACGACAAACCCTGCCCGAGGCTGCCCCCCGTCGCAGACTCACGGGCCGCGGCGAGAGGGAATATTGCTTGCTTGGGAAGTTGGCTGTCTCGCTGTGGAGTGTGTGGAGTTTGGAGTGTGTGGAGTTGGCGCAGAAGCAGGGCAAGGGCCTGCGATTGGGCAATGGCGTCGACTGATCTCGTGAATGATGTCAGATGGCACAGCTTGGGCCCGTTGGAACGCCAATAGACCCAACCTCCCAGCGAGCGGCAGACGGCACTGAAGCTCAATGCACCTTGTCCTCGCCCATCCGCTCTTCTAAACCTGGAGCACTCTATTTTTTTTCCTCGTCAATCCGATTGCGGCTCCTCAACGTGCGCAACGCGGCCAGATCGATCCCAACACTAAGGATCACCTCCACGCTTGTCTAGTGCCGTCTGCAGTAGCTCCAGCCTCGAGCTCGAAGCTCTGCTAGTCGCCGGGACCCTCAGTCAGCTGTTCCCTCAAAACCGCTGCGCAGCCCTCCACACCTCGCTGGAAACATCCTCGCAGACGCAATGGCAACAGAAGCAAGAGACGTCAGCAATCACGTCCTCTTTGAGGTCGCGACCGAGGTCGCCAACAGAGGTGAGAGCTGCCGAACAGCTTCCCCGCTCACGCTTCACGTACTGACCTGCGCGCAGTGGGCGGCATTTACTCTGTCCTCAAGTCAAAAGCTCAGGTGACCACGGCCGAGTATGGCGCAGCTTACACCCTGATCGGACCATGGAACAGGGCCTCGGTACGCGCAATTGCAGCCACGCTGTCGCTGTCCTCTGCTGACCACCCCTAGGCGCAAGTCGAAGTCGAGCCCATCGAGCCCAAGGACCCCGCTCTGATAGCCACCATCAAGTCGATGGACGAGCGGGGCATCAAGATGCTGTACGGGCGCTGGCTCATTGACGGCGCTCCTCGTGTATTGCTCTTCGACACCGGCACAGGCTACAGGTGGCTCGACGAGTGGAAGGGCGACCTGTGGTCCTCGGCCGGTATTCCCTCGCCTCCTGGCGACTCCGAGACCAATGAGGCCATTGTGTTTGGTTACCTCGTCGCATGGTTCTTGGGCGAGTACACCTTCCACGAGAAGAAGCGCGCTATCATCGTGCAATTCCACGAGTGGCTCGCCGGTGTCGCAGTGCCTCTCTGCAAGAAGCGCCGCATTGACGTGACCACCATCTTCACCACTCACGCCACCCTCCTGGGCCGCTACCTGTGCGCCGGCTCGGTCGATTTCTACAACAACCTGCAATACTTCGACGTCGATGCTGAGGCTGGAAAGCGTGGTATCTACCACCGCTACTGCATAGAACGCGCAGCAACACATTCGGCTGATGTGTTCACCACCGTTTCTCACATCACCGCCTACGAGAGCGAGCATCTTCTGAAGCGCAAGCCCGACGGCGTCCTGCCCAACGGTCTGAACGTCAAGAAATTCTCGGCTACTCACGAGTTCCAGAACTTGCACCAACAGTCCAAGGTCAAGATCAATGACTTCATTCGAGGTCATTTCTATGGTCACAACGATTTCGACCCCGACAAGACCCTCTACTTCTTCACGGCCGGACGATACGAATACCGTAACAAAGGTGTGGACATGTTCATCGAGTCTTTGGCTCGATTGAACCACAAGATGAAGAACGAGAACTCAGACATGACTGTTGTGGCTTTCATCATTCTGCCTGCGCAGACCACTTCGCTGTCCGTAGACTCGCTGAAGGGCCAAGCTGTCATCAAGTCCCTGCACGACACTGTCGACAACATTGCTGAAAACGTTGCCAAGAAGCTATTCGAGCGCTCGTTGACCTGGACTGAAGGCCAGGAGCTGCCCGAGGACAAGGATCTACTTTCGCCTCAGGACAAGATCTTGCTTCGTCGCCGACTGTACGCCATGAAGAGGCACAACCTGCCACCTATTGTCACACACAACATGGCCAACGACTCAGAGGACCCGGTGCTGAACCAGCTCCGAAGATGTCAGCTTTTCAACCACCCCTCAGACCGTGTCAAGGTTGTGTTCCACCCCGAGTTCCTGAACTCTGCCAACCCAGTCCTCCCCCTCGACTACGACGACTTCGTCCGCGGAACACATCTCGGTGTCTTCTCGTCATACTACGAGCCATGGGGCTACACACCCGCCGAGTGCACGGTCATGGGCGTTCCTAGCATCACAACCAACCTGTCAGGCTTCGGTTGCTATATGGAAGAGCTCATTGAGAACGCTCAGGACTATGGTATCTACATCGTGGACCGCAGAACAAAGGGCGTCGACGACTCGGTCAACCAGCTTGTCGACTTCATGTTCGACTTCACAAGGAAGAGCAAGCGCCAGCGTATCAACCAGCGCAACCGAACCGAGCGTCTGAGTGACCTGCTTGACTGGAAGCGCATGGGCCTGGAATACGTCAAGGCCCGACAGCTTGCGCTGCGGAGAGCGTACCCGAACGCATACGAGGACGACGATGAGCCCGACTTCTTCAGCGCTAACGAGGCTAAGATCTCGAGGCCATTGTCAGAGCCTGGGTCTCCTCGAGACCGCTCGGGTATGATGACTCCCGGCGACTTCGCCTCGCTGCAGGAGGGTCGCGAAGGACTCAGCACCGAAGACTACATTGCGTGGAAGCTCCCGTAAGTACACACGTCTTTCTTGAATATGACAGTCGCTAACATTAATCTAGCGAGGAGGAAGAGACGGACGAAGTTTTCCAGTTCCCGCTCACCCTCAAGCCGAAGAAGGGCAACGGCTCCGGAGCCGCGACACCGACACTGGAGAAGGCCAATGGGGCAGAGTAAGGATGTATATGGAGGTGCTTGGGTGCGAGACGTTGCATTGTCTATCATATGTTGTTTCCTTTCCGTTTTGCTACACACCATCATTACTGCATGAAGAGTCTCGTGCGATGCGTTACGATGTACTACCAGATCTGTCAATACTATGTCGAACCCAACAGTGGTCTTTGATCCCTGCGTGCGGGCACCACGTGGGTGGCGCCCGGGTGCTGGCGTGCTTCTCGAAGAACGTGAAACTAAAACGACCCGGGTGCACGCTGTCAGCCGAAACGGATGGGTTGTGCATCTGCAGGCGAACAGGTGCAGCAGCATGGCAGCGAGGCGCAGCAGCTTGGTCGCACGAGATAAGGAACTCTCCTTTCGCATGCAGGCCGTGCCCTTGCTGTTTCAGATGGAGCTTGTTGGAGCTTAATTGGCTGTGAGCCCTATGGGTGGTGCATTCGCGTGCCAGGGATATGCAAACAAAGCTCCGAGGCTCGCTGATTCCCGTCAATTCGGATGACGCCAAGTGGGAGATTATTCGACGATTTGAGTCCACCCCGTACCGCGCTCATTCACTCGACCGCAGCCTACCCGGACCCGCCCTGGTTTTCCACCCTCCAGCTCTCTTCCCCGTTCACCATGCATTTACACCCACTTTTAACTTCACGCAGCACGCTACTCGGGTCGGTCCGTTGGATTCTTGGCTGAACGCGCTGCGCGCCGGGCAATCTCCTGGACCCAGATTCTGAGAGATCCGCCGCTCCGCGCCTCTCACCAGCGCTTGCCTGCGCGCACACCACCGACACTACCTGCAGGCCGGAGGGCGGAACGGTCGCGAACATGTTCGCCGGTCACATCATGACCGCAGGGCGCTGGGTGAGGGATCATACGCCGGGCTTCTTCGCTGCATTCAGGCCGAAGATGAACTTTATAACTCTGCATTGTATGTAGTCTCAACGGCTACTCAATGCCATAGCTGACTGGCAGCAGATACGTACATCATCGTCATGACCATCATTGGCTCCATCATCATGTACGGCTCCAGAAACATGGACTACATTGATGCGCTCTTCTTCGCGAGTGGAGCCGCAACACAGAGTGGGCTGAACACGTAGGTTCACGTTGTAGGGCCGGCCGGCAGCCACTGACTTCGTTCAGAATCGACGTCAACCAGCTGCATCTGTACCAGCAAGTCGCGGTTATGCTCATCACCTGCACCTGCACGCCCATCTTCATCAACACGTTCGTCGTCTTCATCCGCTTGTACTGGTTCGAGAAGCGATTCCAGAGCGTAGTGCTCGAAGCCCGCAGCATGCGCGCCACCCGCACCCGCACTCTCTCTAAGAGGAAGAGCCAGATGAAGGAGGAGCACAACAGGCACGTGGGCGACGAGGAGCGCGCCGTGGGCAATCGCCAAATCAATGTCAAGCGGACCGCCAGCGGATTTGCCGAAGGCGGGGTGATTGAGGACGAACACGCTTTCCAGGAATCCAACGGCACTGCCGGCATTGCCCCCCGCAAGGCCCCGAGCTCCACCGATGACGACGATGATGTCGACCCCCTTGACACGCGGAACGTGCCGGCTCAGACCCAGAACATTGTATGGGCTGACACCGTCAAGACGCCGTTACAACGTCGCGAGTCCGATGTCGTCGATGAGCCCTTGCCCAAGCCAGACAAAGAGAAGAGTATTGCCTTTGTGCAAACCCAGCGCCACAGACATCCGACAGAGGGCACCCTACGCATTCCTGGACCTCGGGATTTTGATCGAGGACTGTTGCCGGAACGAGTCACGGAGGACTTGACACGGGAAGTGACCCGGGCATCTCACGAAGACGACCCGCGATTTGCGCCGCGACGATCTCGTTCCATGAGCGTTAGCGAAGCGAACGGAGACGCACCTCACTTCAGAAACCACATCACCTTCGATGGCCCTGCGCGCCCAGCGACTGGTGCATCCGTGTACAGGAAGCCAGACCCAGATGCACTCCATCCCAACATGCAGTTTCGCAACCGATCGAAGTCTCGAACATTCGCTAGCTTCTTCACCAAAGACAAAGACGAGGAAGAAGAGGATCCCATGCCCTACCTCAGTTGGGCACCTACGATAGGACGTAACTCGAACTTCGTTGATTTGACAGAAGAGCAGCGAGAGGAGCTTGGAGGCATTGAGTACCGTGCTCTGAAGCTCTTAGCCGTTATCCTCGTCATCTACTTCGTCGGCTTCCATCTTCTGGGAATGGTCTGCCTGACACCATGGATCACACGAGACGCGCATTACACGAAAGTGGTTGAGGATGTCAACGTCAGTCCTGTCTGGTGGGGATTCTTCACGCCAGCATCAATGTTCAACGATCTTGGCTTCACTTTGACTCCAGACTCGATGATCTCTTTCCAGTTCGCTATACTACCCCTACTGTTGGGCACATTCCTCATCATCATTGGAAACACCGGCTTTCCATGCATGCTCCGCTTCGTCATTTGGCTGACATCCAAGTTCACACCCAAGGGCAGTGGTGTCTGGGAAGAACTGCGATTTCTGCTTGACCATCCCCGTCGATGCTTCACTCTGCTGTTTCCCAGCAAAGCCAATTGGTGGCTTTTTGCCGTGTTGATCGGGTTGAACGGCATCGATTTGATCTTCTTCATCATCCTCGATGTAAGTTGTGCTTTTACTTCCTGCCGTTGGTCAGGACTAATTCAATGCAGCTGAACGACCCAACCGTAACGGTCTTACCACCTGCGTTCCGATTCCTCGATGGCCTTTTCCAGGCCGCCGCAACCCGCACAGCTGGGTTCGCGGTGGTCAACATCGCCGAACTGCACCCAGCCATCCAAGTCAGCTACCTGGTTATGATGTATATTTCAATCTTCCCAATCGCCATGTCCATGCGGCAAACCAATGTTTACGAAGAGAAGTCTCTCGGCGTATGGGCTGATGATGACGACGACGGCACGCCGTCCAGCTACCTAGGTCACCACTTGCGTCGTCAGCTGTCTTTCGATTTATGGTTCGTCTTTTTGGGTTTCTTCCTGATCGCTATCGTCGAGGGAAGTCGCTTGGAGAACACAAATGACTTCGCTTTCACCCTCTTCTCTGTGCTCTTCGAGATCGTCTCTGCCTACGGAACTGTCGGGCTCAGCCTCGGCTACCCAGGCGTCAACACCTCTTTTTCGGGGGAGTTCAAAACGCTCTCCAAGCTCATCGTGATCGCCATGCAGATCCGTGGTCGCCATCGTGGTCTCCCCTACGCTCTGGATCGCGCTATTCTACTCCCATCTGAGACTCTGCATCAGAAGGAGAACGAGGATGCAACGAGACGTATGAACATGCGCCGCAACAGCGCCGCTGTGGGTGCTTTCGACGGACCTGAAGGCTTGACACGTCAAGGAACGGGGATGAGTAGAAGAAGCAGCATTTCCAGCCACCGTCCTTCTGCCGCGGACCGCTTGAGGCCGAAGCAGCTCAAGCGCATCTTGTCTGGAGCTTTCAGCGCTGGGCCTAGCGCGCCGAGGCGCAAGGAGCACTAGAGTCTTTTTTTCGGGAGGCGTTCAGTATATACGAAAACGTGGGCGGCGCATAGATTTGTAGCGGGTTTGCAATGTCTTTCGGTGTGATTTTAGTCGTGTGTACATGAAGGATACGCCTGCCATGATACAATACAAGCTCGTGCTTTCAACATCCGAATAATTGCGTGTTACACATAATGACCACCCAAAGCAGTCTCACTTTCGAGCAGCAATATTCACAATTGATTCAGCACTCACTTCGTCCCAACACCATGATAAATCCCCCCCATCCCCTCCCACGCATCCCCATCCTCATCCTCCAACCCCGCCTCCGCAATCCGCGCAATAATCCTCTGCACCCCTCCACTCACCTTCTCGCCCTCAATCCGCACGCCATCATGCCACACCAACGAGTCTTGCACGCGATCATTAAACCTGCACCCATCAGCCGCCCCACCCCCAATCCCACGTAAAACAGAAAAACTCACCACATCAGCGTCGGCACAAACGTAACATCCAACTCCTCCGCAATCTTCGGCAGCGAGTACACATCCAGACTGTACACGCCCTGCACGCCCAGCGCCTGCAGGTCCGGCAGCCGCTTCGCCAGCGCCGTGATCAGGATCCGCGACGTCTTGTCCTCGGGCCAGAAACAGGCGAGCACGATCCGGCCCGTTGCGTTTTTGACGTAGGTTTCGTAGGCTAGCTCGTCGGGGAGCGGGATTACGGCGGTTTGGTAGGGGGTCAGCTGCGCGGTTATGGGGTCGCGCGGCATTTTAGTTGTTGTTGGAGGAGTAATGAAGAGAGGGTAGGTCGGGTGGAGACTAGGGGGCTGGTTGTTGGTGTTGGCTGCTGGATTTGATTGTCAGATGTTGAAGTGTTGGATGGTGGCCATGGTGTGGTAGGGTGCAGCGGATAAGCTTTGGGCTAGTGCGCGGCGCTAGCAGCCCTATCCGCCGCCTCGCAGGACGTTCCGCGACGCCGCAATATCGGAATTTCGGTTGTTAAGATGGCGCGCGGGAAATTGATTGTGTTTGAGGGTCTGGATCGCGCGGGGAAGACGACGCAGTGCCAGAGGCTTGTTGAGGCGCTGCGGGGCGAGGGCCGCGATGTGAAGTTTATGCGGTTTCCAGGTAGCTCCATATTCACCCACACGCTTGATGTGTGCAGCTTGGTGGGGGAGAGATGCTAAGGAGTGGACAGATCGAACAACGCCTATCGGGCAGATGATAAACAGCTACCTCGCAGGTGATAGCGAGCAGGAAGATCACGCCATCCATCTCCTCTTCTCCGCTAATCGGTGGGAGGCCGTGTAAGTACCCAGCGCATCAAGTCCACCACATGCATCCACCACTTTGCCGTCTAACAAAAACTCCTCGCCCCTTCCTCTTCCCCATTTACCTCCATCGCCCTTACTTCAGCTTCCCCACTGACCCTCACAGCCCCACAATCCTCACAGCAATCGCCCAAGGCACAACCGTGGTCATCGACCGCTACTACTACTCAGGTATTGTCTACTCCGCCGCAAAGCAGAACCCCAGCATGTCCTTGTCCTGGTGCCGGCGCCCTGATGTCGGGCTGCCGCGTCCCGACCTCGTCCTGTTCCTGCACATCGCGCCCGAGGAGGCAGCGGCCAGGGGCGGGTTTGGGGTGGAGCGGTACGAGAAGAGTGAAATGCAGGAGCGGGTGAGGGGGCTATTTGAGGAGGTTGGAGCGAGGGAGAAGGGGTGGGTCGTGGTGGATGCGGGGAAGGGGATGGATGAAGTTCAGGAGAGTATTCAAGAGAAGGTGAAGGAGCGTATGCGGGAGGTTGATGAGGAAAGGGCGCCGTTGGGGGTGGTGGAGGAGTGGTGAGGGTGATGGACGGAAGAAAGTGTCTGGGTTGGAATTGTTCTGTAGATGTGTGGCTGCATTGGCCACAATAAAAGCTATCTGGAGGGACTCTCAGGTATCTCTGCATCGGATCCGTCCACGTCCTTCATCCATGTCTCGTCTAAGTCCTCGTCTTCTTCGGCCGGTTCCTCGTCAATCTCTTGGGTATCGGTTTTCTTCCTCCGCTTTGGCTTGAACATGGCGGCGATTTCTTCGTCGCCATACGTGCGCAAACTAAGCTCCTTCATCAAAGTCGACCACTGAAGATTGGTACGGCAGCCTGGACACGAGCCTTCCATAGGAATTAGGGCACCCGTTGAACTGTCGTCTTCAATTAGAAACCTCTTCGACAAACACGCCAAGTGAGAGACTGTCTCGCAGGTCTCGGTGGGACACACAATGACCATACCGGATGTTGAATCCGCGCTCTTCTTACAAACACCACAAGAATGCCTTGTTTTGTCTTGCAGAGATCTGATCGATTTCTCAACGTATGGCTTGCAGTCTTCGTAAGCGACTGGGATACTCCTTATAATATCTGGGATATAATGCGAGCTAACCTCTGCCCATATCTCGGGCGCAAGCTTCGGCATCTCAGCAGGGGTGACTTGTACGGTAATACTCTCCCTCAGCTTCTGCGGCATTTTGGCAGTATGTCTCTCCCACTGCTTGAATATGTCGGGTGCAAAGAATCGCAGATGCAGTGGCCAGCTTCGAAAGCTGTCCACCCCAAGAAGATGATGTAGGTTTTTCAATCTCGCCTCGAGTGACATAGGCGGTTTCTTCCTCCGTCCAGTCGCGGCAGACGCAGCTTTCTTGCCTTTTTGCAACTCCACGGCGCGGGCGTCCCTAACGTCCCGGTCGATGTGTCTGGTCATGTGCGTGTTCTGCCACGCCCACTCGAATTGCAATGCGGCGAAGTGAGACGGGAATCCAGTCACGATGCACGTCATCTCCCATGGACGCTTTCCCTGCATTGCGGTCCGCTTTGCGCCGCCCTTGCTCGTGCCATTGTGCTGACCGAGGCGGCGTGCAGGATTGGGCGTGCTGCCGATGTAGTACGACTTACGGTTCTTCGAGCGCAGGAGATAGCAGCAGTAAAAGGCTGGGATGGGTTTGCTCTCGATCTTGAGGAGTTCAGCCATCAGTTGATCTGTAGTCGGTGTTGTTGTTGATCGATCGCTAAATGCGGACATGCAATTCCAGGATTGGAAGGAGATTGCTGCTGATTGGCTGTGGCCCAGGCTGCAGGCGTCCAGAACGTCGGAAGGTGCACACCCTTGCAGTTGCTGACTTCAGGTCGATGTTGGCACAGCGCATTCGAAATTGAGGTGCAGACGTGACTGGAGATCAGGCGTACAAGGTCGAATCGAGTATGTTCGCACTTTGATGATGCTTCCGAAAAGTTATGAACCGCCACTGTGAGATGCAGTTGGGTGGCAAATAGAGTCTGTTTGGAGCGTTTGAGGAGGCGAAGCTGCAATGGATAGGTTGCTGTGCATCAGAACAGATTGAGATAAGACGAGTGGTATTATCTGTTATGCTTTTACGATATCACTGTGGAGACAAAGACGGTGCAAATTGTCGCAGCAGTGGTAGCTTGCGATGAGGTGAGTGTAGCGCAGCCCTGCGCCAATCGGCAACTCCAGCTTTGAGAATTGGCAACGACCACTCTCAGGTCATGGCCTTTGGGCTTGCTGTGCGCAACAAAGCAACTTGAACGACTACAATGGAACTATCTGTGGCCGGATTGTGGAGAGTAAATTCTCCCGCATGCGTTCGAGTTTGACTGGAGGCATCCTTACAGGGACCATGCTCCGCATGTTCTTTGGTTCGAATACGCTAGTGCATCGCACCTGCTCTCGCCCGGCTTTCCCCAAGTCGCTGCTCGCCGTTTCCTCCTCTCCTACACACCACCAACAGCCTTTCGACCGGCACCGCTGCCACGTCGCTCGACGACCGTTCGCGGCGCATACGAGTATCGAGGAGCGTCTACGCGCTCTTTTCCGCTGAAACACAATTGCAACAATACATATCCGGACGAAGGCAGTCGCCTGCCCTACGCACCGGTCCCATGCCTGCAGCAGATATCTCCCCACGATAGCGCCCACTACCACAAAACAACACCTCCCGAACGATCGCCGCGACTCGTAAAACGCCTCGGTGATCACCACAGATTAAACTATTGCCACTACCGGCAAGAGCATTGAGTGTATCGTCAGACAGGGCTATGGTCGACTTTGTGCCGTCTGGTGGACCGCCGACCGGCGCAACAATAACGACATTCAGAGTTGCCACAGAAGGCGGAATGTCTGAGGGAGGGCATGCGCGATCGCGCATGGGAGGCGCTGCCGTTTCTGCGAATGGCGCACCGCCGACCGTGAACACAATTCCCTTGAGCGCGCGCAAGTCGGCGCCGCTGGACCTGACGACCGTCGAACGCAGGGGGCACAATGCGCCAAACAACTTACCGCCCAAGTCTCAGCGCATGTTCGGCCTGCAGGAAGCGCCCACATACAGGCCTACTGCCGAGCAGTTCAAGGACCCCTTGGCTTATATGCAGAGCATACACGAAGAGGCGCAACAGTACGGCATCGTGAAGATTGTCCCTCCAGACACATGGACTCCTTCGTTCGCTGTTGACACCGAGCGCTTCCACTTCCGGACGCGACGGCAAGAGCTTAATTCTGTCGAAGGTGGTACACGTGCCAACTTGAACTACCTCGACCAGCTGGCTAAATTCCACAAGCAACATGGCCACAGTCTTACGCGCTTTCCAAGTGTCGATAAGCGCCCACTTGATCTGTACAAATTGAAAAAAGCCGTTGAGACTAGAGGTGGCTTCGAGCGTGTCTGTAAGCAGAAGAAGTGGGCTGAAATCGGGCGCGATCTCGGTTACAGTGGCAAGATCATGTCATCGCTTTCCACGTCGCTGAAGAACTCCTACCAAAAATGGCTGCATCCATATGAAGAATACCTGCGGGTCGTAAAGCCTGGTGTGCAGCAAATGCTCGAGGTAGAACATGGCGGCCCCTTTACGCCATCGCCAGCGCACTCGCCGTTGAAGAAGTCGGCACACGAGACACCCACGGTTGAGTCACCTACAATGCGCGCATCTGCAGCTTTAAATGCGTCGCTGCATAATGATGCCATACCCACGCCTCCTGAGCTACCACGGCCAGCAGCCTCATCAGGCTTCACATCTGTTAATTCGGGAGGGTTCACACCAGTCAACGGAAGTTCAGCTCCCGCCCCTGCTGCGACACCTGCAAGCAATTCGTTCTCCGCAGTGAACACGCCGAACGGCCTGCACAGAGATTTTGTCGATTCCCGCACATCAACACCTATGCGCAATAGCGATAGCCCTATGCTTTCAGCCCACAACACCCCAGATTTGAGGCCAACAGCACATGGTCTGACGCCGCTGTCCAACGGACATGCTTTCAACCAATTGAAGCGCACATTGTCTCAGGATGGCGAGAGCAGCATGAACGAGGAAACCGATGATGCAAGTGGCCGTCGCAGTAAGCGGCTAAGAAAAGGTAAGCACACACCTGCATGAAGGCGTATGCCGAGTCACTTCGCTTAAAAAACATCCTTGCTATGGCTCGGCTCGTGTGCGAGCTCATTGGTGGTAACTTTGGCTAACGACTTGACTTGCAGACGCGCCTACCGTAGCCGGTTCGCACATGACACAGCCTCGCCAGTCAACACCAGGCAGCATCAATCCACGCGTGCGTTCAGCTGACGACCGTCCAGGTGATGTAGGTAGCCATTCGCTGTAGTGCTATGCTCAATGCTGACCCTTATAGCGCTGCGAAAGCTGTGGATTAGACAGCGACCCGACCAATATCCTGCTGTGCGACAGCTGCGACAATGGATACCATGGCTATTGTCTCGATCCGCCAATTCGTGCGATTCCTACGCACGATTGGCACTGCGCACGATGTCTCGTGGGTACGGGCGAGTTCGGCTTCGAGGAAGGCGGAGTATACTCGCTGAAGCAGTTCCAAGAGAAGGCGCAAAACTTCAAGCAAGCTCACTTCGCCGGCAAGACGGTTTTTGATCCCGTCACCAATGCTCACAAGCAGCCAACAGAGGACGAGATCGAGAAGGAGTTCTGGCGCCTCGTCGAAAATCTTACCGAGACAGTAGAGGTGGAGTATGGAGCTGATGTTCATACGACTACACACGGCAGTGGTTTTCCAACCATTGAACGCAATCCACGCGACGCATACTCGACGGATCCATGGAACCTGAACATATTGCCTTATGCGCCAGACTCGCTCTTCAGACACATCAAGTCGGACATCTCAGGGATGACGGTCCCTTGGCTTTATGTTGGCATGGTGTTCTCGACCTTCTGCTGGCACGCTGAGGATCACTACACGTACTCTGCAAACTACCAACACTTCGGCGCTACAAAAACTTGGTATGGTATTCCCGCAGAGGACGTAGGCAAGTTTGAGCAGGCTATGCGTGAGGCTGTTCCAGAGCTGTTTGAGACGCAGCCAGATCTCTTGTTCCAGCTGGTAACCCTTCTGACGCCTGAGCAACTCAAAAAGGCTGGTGTTAGAGTTTATGCAATTGACCAACGAGCCGGCGAATTCGTCATCACCTTCCCGCAAGCTTACCACGCTGGTTTCAACCACGGCTTCAATTTCAATGAGGCTGTCAACTTTGCGCCAAGCGATTGGGAGCCGTTCGGCGAACACGGCGTTCTCCGTCTACAGGAGTACAGGCGGCAGCCATGTTTCTCCCACGATGAATTACTCCTGGCAGCAGCAGGACGCAAAGACACCACGATCAAGACAGCCAAGTGGTTAAGCCCAGCCCTCGACCGAATGCGCATACGCGAAGAACGGCTGCGCACGAGATTCCTTGAAGCGCACAAGGCATCTCGCCCACATTCATGCAAGCTAGATGGCAGCGAAGGCCCCGGCGACCACAAGTCGGTTCAGTGTCAGCTTGAGGTTAGCATAGATGAAACTGATTTGCATGAGGAGGAGTTGATATGTGCCTTCTGCAAAGCATATTGCTATTTGTCCAGGTTCTACTGCCGCAGCACCAAGAGGGTCCTGTGTCTACAGCACGCTGGCTCGTTCGATTGCTGTGCCGGCAGTTCCGCAGACACGCGCTACCAAGGTGAAGGAGGCGAACATGTGCTTGTTCATCGCATGACCGACGACGCTATTACATCTCTTGTTCAAAAGGTTGCGGATAAGGCAGGTCTACCAGATGCATGGGAGGCCAAGCTGGAGGCTCTCATGGCGGAAGGACCTCAACCGCAACTGAGAGTATTGCGTACTCTCCTGCACGAGGGCGAAAAGATCGATTGGGAACTTCCTGGACTTCCCGACCTCAAAGAGTTTGTTGAGAAGTGTACCGAGGTCGCAGAAGAAGCTATCGCATACATCACCCGCAAACAGCAAGCTCGACAGAAAAACGTACGAACCGGTAGAGGTAGAGGCGCCAACAAAGGAGCAGCAGCAGAGGCCGAGGACAAGGACCGTGAGTATCGCAGCATGGAGAACATCCAAAAGCTTCTCACCAAAGCCAAGGGTCTTGGCTTCGATTGTCCAGAGATCACTGCTTTGCGCGAACGTGCACAGAGCATTGCTGAATTCCAGGACAAAGCCCGCATCGCCTTGCGAGATCACCCTAATCAGCAAAGCATTACACGTCTCGACGAGCTACTCGAGGAAGGCAAATCGTTCAACGTGGACGTGCCAGAGTTGGAGTCGCTGGAGAAGGTTGTCCAGCAATTGAAGTGGTTGCGTGAATGCGACGAGTTCAAATACAAGCCTGCCACGACACTGCAGGAAGTTGGTGAGCTCATCACTCGTGGTGTTGAGCTAGGCGTTCCCGAGGGTCATCCCGAGATCCAGTTCCTGCAAGGCAAAAAGGAGCAGGGCGAATTCTGGGAAACTAAGGCCAAAGAACTGATGGCAGTGGAGAACGTTCATTACCAGCAGCTGGACGCATTGTCCAAGCAAGCTACCAGCCTGCCAGTGACGCCAGAGACTCGAGCCGCCGTGGATGCCATCCTCAAAAAGCAGCGCGACGCCCAAGACCTCATTATGTCGTTGTTTGAGCGGAGCAAGAACCCTGACTTCCGTCAACGACCGACTTACAAGGAAGTACGCGAGGCTATGGAGGCACTAAGCGCCCTCAACAGCAAACCTCAGGGCACCATTGATCTTGAGAAAGAGCAAAAGCGGCACGAAGACTGGATGCGTCGGGGAAAGAAACTGTTCGGCAAAGCTAACGCGCCTCTCCACATCCTTCAACAACACATGAAGTCGGTAGACGACCGCAACCGGTTCTGCTTTGATTTGTCTGACCAGCCGCGCATGCCAGTGGAGCCTGCTTCACGCGAGGCTAGTCCTGTGGATGGGGAGGAGGTCGATGGTTCGGGTTCTAGTCGTGATGTGTTCTGCATCTGCCGAAGGCCTGAAGCTGGCATGATGATAGAGTGTGAGCTCTGTCACGAGTGGTGAGTTCTCTTTTACTGTGTCGTTCACAAGATTTGTGGCTAATCGTTCTTAGGTACCACGGCAAGTGTCTAAAGATTGCACGCGGCAAGGTCAAGGAAGACGACAAATACACCTGCCCCATTTGCGATCACCGCGTCAAGATCCCACGCGATGCTACCCGTCCCAAGCTCGAAGACCTGCACACGTGGCAGGACGAGCTACCGAATCTGCCGTTTCAACCAGAGGAAGAGGAGATACTGGAATCTATCATCGACCACGGCATCAAGTTCCGCGAATACGTTTCGCAATACATCAATCCGCTAATGTCTAGCCCTGACGAGCTCACTACTCAGCGTTTCTATCTACGCAAGCTGGAGGGTGCCGATATTCTTCTGACAGAAGAGATCAACTTCTTCCGCCAGGAATTGCACAAGTGGGCGCCTGTCGCGCCTAACCCTCCTCCCATTTTACAGGTTTCCTTGTCAACTCGCAAGCCTCGTCCTACAAAACAACAGAAGCTCATGAACCAGCTCGGCATCTCCAACCCAGACGATCTACCTCCACACCTGCGCCCAAAGAATCAACAAATCAAGCGCAAGGACGGAGATATGACCAGGCCGCAAGGTCTCGGATCAAATTCTGAATCATCACACACGCCACCGGGCGACCCTCGCCGTGAGTCTGGGGAGAATGAGTTTTTCACATCAAACACGACATCGGCCTACAACAACTCGCCTACCTTTGGCGCCAACGCCCCACTCAACTTTGTTAGCAGCTCCTCGGTGGCGCCGCTGGACCCAGGCCTCTTCGAAAGCTCCGCACAGGTGCCGACAAGTCCCATGCATGAGCTCTTCAAGAGCTCGGGTAACGGACAAGAGATGTTTGGCGAGGCGATGGAGATGGGCGGTGGCCAGGCGGAGGAAGCCTTGGCTGTCACCGAGGGCAACAGCTACCTGGACTAGGTGTCCGCATTCTTCAGCATGCCTGGGTCTTCCCCATCACCAGGGATCACGAAATCGGCTTGAAAGACTCTACTCGGTTTTAGACGGCGGGTGTATATCATAGCTTTTCCTTTCCAGAGATATCACTTAATTTCTTGCACATGTATTCGTTCGGGATAGTTTAGGGACAGTTTTACGGAGTACGGGTCGGATGTTGTATCGCCAGACGTGTTGAAGCACATGGACGCGAACGGGCTGTTTGTCGCATTCGACAGGTGTTAGGGAATGGGCGGCCAGTGCCGAGATACCCATTGAAAAGGCGCATTATGTAGTCTCTTGTAATTCAGTACCGAGAAATAGATGAGCATCTCTAAAGCCGGACCGTTGACCTGATCGTTTTGATGGCTCTGGAACTGCGCAGTTGGCTCGAGTGGGTCGGGGCTTGGCAAGGTTCGAAAAAGATGGAGGATGGAGAGACGACTCCGAGGCGAAGTACGACTTCGGACGACATCTCACAATGCTGCCAAGCAGAGGGCTGCGGCCCGCTCAGATCGCTCCGCTGAGCTCGCGCCAATCGACATATATCTGCAGCAATGCTTCAAGAAAGGTGCGCATCCTGTGACGGCTGAAGCACTCCGCAGCACTCCCGCCTCCGCATGTTGCCGCGTCGCTTTGGCAGCCATGCCATTGCACGCGCTCCGTTTACGGCGCAGCCATTGCTGCTAAGCTCCCTACGCGCTTGCTGACGTGCAGACTGCAGTTCTCGTCGCTCCCCCGCACCGCCGGTCTTCCGCGCTCCTCTCGCACACGCCCGCTGTCGGCTCAATGGAGGGCGGGCGCAGGCGCGAACCCATACGTCGCCCTGAACGCATCGGCTGTCCGCTACGGGTCATGGTACGCGCCATGGAGCTGGGGTCGCTCCAGCACGCCAGGCGGTCCTACCGAGACGGTGCCCGTCGCTGAGTTCTCGAACACGCCCGCACCGCCCGCCGCGCCCACCTCGCCCGTCTTCGAGCCAGAGGTCACGACCGCCACGCCCGAGATCGCCCCCGCGGGCATCGACAAGGCCGCCGTCACGGAGAACAACATCACGCCAGCCGAAAACACATCGACCCTCGACGCGCAGACGCTAGAGGAGCTCCTCGGCAACGACCCCGTCAAGGACGTCGTTCCCAAGATGGAGATTGACCCTACACAGCTCATCGACCACCCCGGACAGCTCGCAGAGCTAGGACTGGACTACGGCTACGGCATCACGACCACATTTCAGAGGCTCCTCGAGACCATCTATCTGGACATGGGCTGGGGCTGGGCAGGGACCATCATCGCAGCCACCGTCGTCGTGCGTAGCGGCATGTTTGTGTTCCAGGTTCTCAGCTCGGACAAGATGGCCGGCATGGCTGCCTTAAAGCCGCTGACTGGTCCTCTGTCGGAAAAGATGAACGCCGCCATTGCTGCTGGCGACAAGCAGAAGGCGGATCTGTACAAGATGCAGCAGGCAGCCATTCTGAAGCCTCACATGGGCGGCATGGTCTGGATGGGAGGCTTCACCCTCGTTCAGGCTGCTGTCGGTTTCTGCGCTTTTCGATGCCTCCGAGCTATGGGAGAACTGCCTGTACCTGGAATGACGACCGACGGCTTTCTGTGGTTCTCCGACTTGAGCGCACGCGATCCTTACTTCCTTCTGCCAGCTGGCACTACCTTCATCATGTACAAGATCTTCAAGGTACGCTATACTTTTACATGCATGTACTTGAGCATATCTGACCGTGTACACAGAGTGGTGGCGAAACAGGCGTCGCAGATGTGACCGCCGAGGGTGCCACACGACGCAAGCTCATGACTTTCATGGCTTTCTTCATTGGTGCCATCACCGCATTCCAAGCTTCGGCTCTACAGCTTTACTTCCTTATGTCTGGTATTATCGGCGCTGGTACTGGTTACCTCCTCAAGCAGAACAGCTTCAGGCGTCTGATCCGCATTCGACCTCTTCCTACGCCCGAAAGCAACGAGGTCTTCTCCAAGGTCATCAAGGGCGAGCTCAAGCTCAAGGACATCAAGGGTCCCGATGGCAAGATCCGCTACTCGCCCCCTTCTCTGCCCAAGTCAACCACACGTCGCAACGCTACCCTCGCTGGCGGGGCCATCAGGATCAAGGAGGGTACTACACTGCCTCTGCACCTGCGTCCTGAGCAGCCCAAGATCGACACGGAATTCCCCGATCGTGACGCCGATTTCGAGGCAGGCCCCAAGGGCAGCCTGACCGAGAAGCTTGACTACTACCGCCGCAACTACAAGATGGCCTACGTCAAGCGCAGGGTGGGCGACAGCATGAGGGGTATGATGCAGAGGGCTGGTTACGATGTTGGAACCAACCTTAGCAGGGAAGAGGAGAAGAGGAAGAGGAAAGCAGACCAGTACGAGGTTGAGAGGAGAAGGAGATTCGAGAACCGAAAGTGAAGCACCGAGTGAGACTGTACAATACTGCATGTTTGGATTATATCATGGGCACAGGCATATGAAAGGTGGACGTTGTATGTGAAGATTCGTGTACAAATACCTGGACGCAAACGCTGTCTCATCTGTTGCATATTCATATCTTGTCTAGGTTCGCATTTTACCTGCTCCATGACGCTGGTCTTAATGCAGGCAGAGCCGTCTGATACAGATCTCTACATGACCTGTGCACGCCTCAAGCGTGCTCGAATGCCTGCTTCGCGTCGTCTCCAACACTGCTCCCCCCCATCACTCCAGAGCAGTGTACATATCCAACTCCTGCCCATTCCTCCTCCGTCTCTCAATCGGGTCCGCCCGCATCTCAACACCGGGGCCCACGCGCCTCGAGTCACTCCGTCCAGAGGGGAAGATCTAGTGCACATCAGTCGGCATCCTCCGCCAGCACACACACAAACGACGTACCTTTGTCCCGCTCCACCCCAGTCTAAACGCCGCCTCGTTCGCAACCAGCTCCCCAAAGCCCAGCATCAGCCCGTTCACAAACGGCAGCAGCAGGTTGATGGCGGCGCCGCGCAGCAGGCCCCACAGCGTCGGCGGCGAGTACAGGATCAGCGGGGAGGAGCTGGACGGCGGCGAGGGCGAAGCCTCGTTTGATTCGTAGGTCTCGCTGTCGGACGGGAAGGTCGTGGTCGATGCGTCCATGCCGGCGGCGGACGGGTCTGAGGCGAGGATGTCGAGGGGGTCGGACATTGTGGCGGACGCGGTGGTGCGCGGGCTCGTGGTCGGGCAGGGATGGGGTCGGTGGCGCGGCTGTGTCGCTGTGGCAGGGCCCTGCTGGAGAGTCGAGGGCGGGTGCGCTGCCGAGGTTGCGGTGGGTGCGTGGTGTTACTGAGGCTCTGAGCGATCTCCGGTCTTGGCGGCGGCGGGAGCTTGGGCGGTGGCTTCGTGCTGCAGCATGGGTGCCTGGGGTGCTAGTGGACCATGTCGGAGGGTTTGGGACAAGTGTTTTGGTCGAGCTGGATGCTGGAGAGGACGGCTATCGCCTTGTATACGAGTGCACCCAGACTGTCCTTTCTGTGGAGGGCTGTTTGGGTTGCGCCTTCCGCATGGTACAAGTGACATAACGTCAGCGCTGCCACCCCACCGCGCCTATTGGAGCTCTACCAAACAACATCAACCACTTTTTCTATCAACCCTCTCTCTCTCACTATAATCACCTCACGCGTATTCTTGACATGTCTTCAAGTGCCCCCAACCGCGACGACCAGATCGCACAGCTTGCAGGCCTGACCGGCGTTGCTCCTGCAGAGGTGAGTGCATCGAAGGGCCTAGAAGCGCGGAGCTACTTGCTAATCACCTCCAGGCTGAACGATACCTCGACGCCGCAAACGGTGACCTCCAAGTCGCCGCCGAACTCTTCTACGAGCAATCCGCAGAACAAGAACAAGCATCAGACGACGACATGGCCGACAACAACCAGACAACGAATCCCACCCCCAACCCTCCCCAGCAGCCGGTTCCGGGCGGCGGCCGTACTCTCGGAGGCGCATACGTCCCACCCACCGAGGCGTCGTCGTCCTCGTCCTCGAGACCACAGTCCACGCAGTCGTCGGCGCCGCAGCAGCGAGGCGTAGCCGGGCTGAGGACGCTTAAGGACCTGCAGTCTTCGGGTGGCGCACCTGGCCACGGACACGCTCACGATGACGACGACTCGGACGAGGACTTCAAGGACGACGAGAACCAGGACTTCTTCGCGGGAGGAGAGAAGTCGGGTCTTGCCGTGCAGAACCCCAACCAGTCAAACCCTCGCGACCACATCAACAACATCCTGAAGAGGGCGCGGCAGTAAGTAGTCTGCGACGTCGACCGATGCGATCTTAATCCTAACTTGCCATAGAAATGCTCCCCGACCGGGAGGCGACGACGAACGACCTACTTCGCGCTTCACAGGCAGTGGCATGACACTCGGTGGCGACGACGCTCCTTCGCGACACATCCCTGACCCGGCCGCGGGCCAGTCCGCGCCTCAGCCACGTGCTCACCGCGAGCTTCACCTTTGGCGGGACGGTTTTTCAGTCGACGACGGGGCGCTCTTCCGTTACGATGACCCGGCAAACGCTCGCACGTTGGAGATGATCAATACCGGCCATGCTCCGCTTCATATCTTGAACGTCGAGCACGGCCAGGAGGTCGATGTCGAGGTACACGCACACAAGGACGAGGATTACAAGCAGCCAAAGAAGAAGTACGTTGCCTTTGGTGGCTCTGGCCAGCGGCTTGGTAGCCCCACGCCGGGCGCAAGCTCCTCTGCGGCACCTCCCGCAGCACCTGCAGCTCCGGCAGGCAACACAGGTGCGTCGGCCTCGACTGGTTCTGCGCCAGCAATCGTTGATGTCGATACTTCTGCACCTACGGTTACACTGCAGATTCGCCTTGGCGATGGTACACGCATGCAGTCGCGCTTCAACACGACCCACACTATTGGCGATGTCTACGACTTTGTGGACCGTGCCAACACCAACGGCCGTGCGTATTCTCTGATGACGACATTCCCCTCGAAGGAGCTGTCAGATAAGGCACAGGTCTTGGGCGACTTGGCCGAGTTCAAGCGTGGAGGTGTAGTTGTACAGAAATGGACATAGAGATATGCACAACAATGATCTCTAGCGTGCAACTCAAGGTCTTCGGCATTGGTTGTGAGGGCTTCGACATGTCGGCGTCGGCCTCCGAGCAATGGTTGTGGGGATTGTGGAGGGCCCACCGCAAGCAAGTTAAAAAGAGGGTCGATTGGAACGACCGCGTCAGCGTCACTTTCGACTTCTATGTATTAAATTACCGACTGACGTTCATCTTGGAAATTTCCATATTCAACGTCAAAAACGGCACGACAGAATCACGCTAGGGGAAAGTTTCCGTGGCAAGACGGTAAGACCCATGATTCAGCAGCAGATAGCAATCAAAGACGGATTCTGCTCTGCGGACCGGCCTCGCAATGCATGATGCCAGATATCAAGTCACACCTCAACGGGTTTGAACGTCCCCCCTTGTTGCACCGCAGGGCGGATGTTCCATACATGCACCGTGAACAGTAACGCCCATTGGTCCTTTGTTTCGAGATTGAGAGCTTCCAATTTATTTGTGCCAGTGCGTGTATGGTCTGGATTCGGGACGTGTCTCTCGCAAGCTCTGCAGCTGAATGAAGCGCACTACAGCTTTATGCCTGCGGTAATAGCGACGAAGATAACATATTGCAGTGATTCATTTTGCAGGCTCGGAGACGGCCCAAGGCGGCACGTTGCGTGACGGGCTCCGGTCCATTGCGAGGCTGCCATGATGCAGGCTGACTAGGCATGTGCGTCGTTCGGTGCTCTGCATCATGCACTGAGCGTAGAACCTTGCCTTGCAGCAACTTTGCGCGCACAGGCACACAAGGCGACGTCGAATGCCGCCATCATATGACAATGGGGTGCAGATGTAACTCGCTGAGTCGGACCGTTGCTGAACCATTGAACTGAACACACTCACCTTCCCTTGACGGCAGGGCGACCACGAACCCAGCGGTAGACGCACAGCCGCCCTGCCTATCAGCGGAGCCTCATCTGCACACGGTGTAAAATCGCAGTCTTGGACGGTGATCGCTCATCTCGCGAAGTTGGCTCGACATGGATGCGGCTCTGGGCAGCCGCTGATCGCCTCAGCTTGATGAGCGTTTCGAAAAAGGCCCGAGCCACGGCGTCGCACCATTGTCCACCATTTCGAAACTGGCACAGAGGCAAATCATCGCTGCCGTCTGGATCGGCAGGGAGGAGCCCTTGTGCACGCCACCAGTGGCCACGGCTGCCAGACGCGACGGGGAAGCAGTGGGGTGTGTAACGCGTCATCACCTTGCTGGGCCAACCCTGCAGCGCCGTGTATGGCCCCATGTATGGGAGGTTGTGGAAAAGAGATGGGTGGCCGGAGATGAAGAAATCTGGACGCGATCTGTGGTTTGAGATATTGGAGAGCGCTGCGCCGTACGCTTGAGCCTTGTTTCTTGTCTCTCACTCTCTCCTCGCGCTGAGCAGTGTCTTGTATACCGGCCAGCCCCGTCTGCGACTGTCTTGCCGTACCTTGCAGCCCTCACACTCTTTCGTTTCGTCTGATTGCGCGCTGGGCCTGCCGCCGTGACCCACGATCGCCGAGTATCATCCCCCGTTGCAGCGCGACGCTCCTTCCTGTTGCGGCTTCACAAGTGCTGTGTCGCCCGCACCGAAGCCGACACCACGGTCCTTACAGCTTAATTGCCGGATAAGCCTCCCCTACGCTCGCTCCCACTGCATCCTGCATCGTTGCACGAGCAATGCAGCATCGGTAATCCTACGCGTCGACATTCTACACAGCACGCCAACTACCGCAATACGTTAGTTCGGACGATAAACGACTACACGAATACGAGTTCGCCTACACATCCACTAACATGTTTGTCCGGTCACCTCGCAGATTTGCGATTCTTTCCTTTGTAGCGCTTGTATTTATATTAGCTGTATTACAGCAAAGCCCATGGGCAAAAGAGAGAGTGTACGAGAAGGTTTCGTTATTCAATGAAGCGTACAGAAATCAGCAAGAGCCCATACGAAACGACAGCCAGGAGCAGACACAGGCGCATCTTGAAGATGCGTGGCAGCACGCGGTGCCGGTGGCGACACCAAGCCCGAGTCCGACGCTGAAGAGCCCTTCAGACGGTCCCGTGACGAGCACGAAGCCCCAGCCGCCGTGGGTGACTGCGCCAAGCCGGATAGGCAGTTTCATTGCGCCGTTCACGCGGCCCGCGGACATGAAGGCGTACATGAAGAAGATGCTCAAGTGGGGGAGACCGAGCTGGGACGGCCACTGGCCGCCGTTCGCAGACTACATTGGGAAGGAATACGATCCGAACCGATGGGAGCAGTTCGATATGGATTTCAGTATTTACAACGCCGGGCACGACGACCTCAACACTACGCTGGTCAACAGCCCGATCGTGTACAAGCCGTTCCCGCAGTACAACAGCCCCGATTGGCAGGAGAAGTGGCACGGCGAGTATGCGCCTTGCATCGGACCTCGCGGCATCGCGCTGAACGAGAGTGTGGACGATGAGATCCAAGCATACCGCGGCCTGCCCCAGGGCTTCCCCAAGGCATACGCAGGAGGCTACGATGTCATTGGTCTGGACGAGGATGTGTGCTTCGACCGATACTCGCGCTACGGCCCCTACGGATACGGCGACGACGAGTTTCCCGAAGAAGTCAAGGACTGGCGGGCGCCGGAGACGGTGCCCGAGTGGGAAGAAGTGAAATGGGGTGAGCTGCAGGATCTCTGTCTGGAGATCAACAAGAACCGCTACCGACCCGAGGCGCGCTCGCCCATTGTCAGGATCCCGAGCACTGCGCTGCCCGCGCCCGCGGCTGCGTCGTCGGCTTTTGCGATTCCCACCGATACCAGCCACAGCAACTTGGAGAACCGAGGCAAGTTCGAGAAGAAGTACCACCATCGCACGGCTATCCTGATCCGCGCGTGGACCGGTTACACGTATGAGGAGAACGATATCATTGCGATCCGGGCTATGGTCTCGGAGCTCTCGCTCCAGTCTGGGGGTGAATACGCGGTCTTCCTTTATGTGCACGTCAAGGATCGCGAGCTCAAGATCTTCGAAGATCAGGAGCTGTATGACCGAGTGCTCAAAGAGAATGTCCCCGAGGAGCTCCGCGATATTGCCGTGCTGTGGTCGGAAGCTATCTTCCCCGACTGGTATCCCAAGGTTATGGATTGGCAGGTCTATTGGCAGCAGTTTATGTGCCTGCAGTGGTTCAGTCTGACACACCCCGAGTTCGACTACATTTGGAATTGGGAGACAGACGCACGCTACACTGGACACCACTACCACTTCTTCGAGAAGATCAGCGAGTTCGCCGACAAGCAGCCTAGGAAGCTGCTCTGGGAGCGCAACAAGCGTTACTACCTGCCCGACGTTCACGGAGACTACCAATCCTTCGTCGAGCAGACCCACAAGGACGTCCTCAACGCCTCAGCCAACTCCCTCATCCCGCCTCCAGTCTGGGGACCCCGGCCATGGGCCCGCGCCGATCCTCCCCAGAAACCGCTCGGCCCAACACCCCCTACAACCTTTGAAGAAGACGACTTCACCTGGGGCGTCAACGAGCCCGCCGACTTCATCACCCTCCTTCCCATGTGGGACCCGCGCAACACAACCTGGTCTTACAAAGACAAAATCTGGAACTACCTCCCTAACATCCGGCCCATCTTCACCCCGCAAGACGGCCAAGCCGACTGGTTCACACACCCCGACTTCGAACAGATTGACCGCCGCGTCTTCATCAACACCGTCGTCCGCTTCTCCAAGCGCATGCTGCACGCCATGCACGAGGAGAACCTCGTCGGCCGCAGCATGCAGGCCGAGATGTGGCCGTCGACCGTCGCACTCCAGCACGGCCTCAAAGCCGTCTACGCCCCGCACCCCATCTTCAACGACCGCCACTGGCCCGCCGCCTACACGGAAGCCATCTTCGACACCGCGCACTCCGTCAACGACGACGGTGGCCCCGAGGAGAAGCGCCAGGGCGCGTGGTGCGAGGAGGCCGACTCGCCGTACAACCACGACCGCGAGTTCAACTTCCAGGGCTGGAGCTGGTACTACGCGTCGCGCTTCCCGCGCAACCTGTACCGCCGCTGGCTCAACTGGCCGATCAGCAAGCAGCGCTGGGGCGAGGCCGAGGTCGTCGACGGCGGGCCCGGCAGCGACGGCAGGTTCGAGGAGGAGCGCATGTGTTTGCCGGGGATTTTGCTGCATCCCGTCAAGAAGATGAAGAAGGACCTTGTCAAGCCGTGAGGAGGCGGTGCGAGAGGAAGAGAAAGAGGAAGAGGGTTGGGGAAAAGTATTTTTATATCTGGTATATCTTCGCTTCGTGCGGACGCTTGCGTCTGCGGGGGTTTTTGGACGATAACGCGGGGGCTTGCAGATTTGGATGACATTCGGTTTAGATGAAAGGGGAATTATCATTTCTACGGCGCTTGGGGCGTAGCGACTTGCATTCGCGGAGGCATTGTTCTCGAAGAGACGTTTCTCTCGTCTTTCTCTTTCTCACATTTAGCGCGCCATGAGGGCTTAGATAGCTTGCATTCATATTTTGAATCTACGGATGTGCACTCTTTCTACTTTGATGAGCTGGCGGAAATGTGGTTGAGCCTGAATACCTTGCTCGTGTGGGTCTCGGGTAACGATGTCGTCTTTCCAAGACTGGCCCAGTGATCTTCGACGACCGTATGTACCCTGATCATCGTGTGCCCAAAGACCGTGTGTACCTCGCGCAAGTCGAGCTACTGCTTTCGGGGAATAACCGTAAGGCCAGCGCCACCGCCCTGCTTCGTCGTCCTAGGCTTCGCCTTACTACCCTCGCCCTTAGCCTTCTTCCGCGACGGAACTGTAGTGGCCGCGCCCGCCTTCGCCCCCTTCTTCACCGACACCTTCCCCTCCATCTCACCCGCCTTCCTCTTCCCTGCCGGCTTCCCCTTCGCCTCCGCCTCCTTCACCCCGCCCTTCGCCGCCCTCGGCACACCCTTATCGCTCCTCTCCTTCCTCTTCTTCAGCTCCGGCTGCAGCAGCCCATGCTGCTTCACAAAGTGAATGACATCGAGCGCGACATCGCAAAACTCCTGACACCCGCGGATCAGCTTCAGCGTCTCCTTGCCCGACAGCATGCCCGCGCGCCAGCGATCCACGACCGCGAAGAAAATCTCGTCCACGTCGGCGTCCTGCGCGGCGCGCGTGCGTACGGGCTCAGTGTCCGGCGCAGCGGGGCTGGGCCGCGGCACGGCGGCGATGTTGCCGCTGTGGAAGCCGTAGCCGCGGCCCATCTCGTCGCCGATCTCGTACTGCACAAACGCCTCCAGCACCATGACCGCGATGGTGTGGAAGTTTATGACTGCGTGGGCGGGCTCCGGGTCCGGCGTCGCCAGGGCTTTTTGGGCGGGCAGGAAGACGTCGAGGAAGAGTTGCATTTCCTGCCGCTGGTGGTCTTCGGTCAGCATGATTTCTTCGCGGACGAGGTTTTTGGTCTGGCCGAGGGTGGAGATTTTGGCTATGGATACGTCCTTGTCGGTCGCGGCGGGATGGTAGGTGGCTTCGAAGTCGGGCAGTTTCCAGGATATGGGCTCGGCGGCTTCGTCGTCGTCTGATATCTCGACGATGGATTCGCTGTGGACACCTTGGATACCAAGTCCTGACGAAGACGTTTGTACCGGTGCATTTGCGCTTGTGTTCGAGGGCGGATGAGGAGCGACGGGGTCGCCTGTCGTTGGACGTTGGCGCGATGCGTGTGATGCTAACGGCTCGTCGTCCTCAGAAGCCTCGTGATCTTCCTCCTCCTTTACTTCAGCTATAAACTGCGAGGTGGCCATCGTAGAAGGGGTATGAGTCTGAGCGGGTGGATAGCGGCTGACAGGAGGAGGCACAAGTGGCGTCACTGTGTTGGGGTATCCTGCTATCATCTGTTGAGGGTAAAACAGACCATTTTGATTGACACCAGGAATGCCTGGATACCGGACGTTGCGGTTGCAAGGGAAGTTTGAGCTGTTCTGGTTGTACTGCTGTTGTGCGGGCATTAGACCAAGGAGCAAACTCGGGGTCGGCTGGGGTGCTTCTGCAGTCAACATATCTTGACCGAACAGGAGTTGTCGCTGCTGCCAATCCTGCGCTCGAAAGTGCGAGTTTGCTCCGAGGTCTATTCCACTAACTGTCTCCTCCGACAAATTTCGTTTCCGAGCGATGACAGAGTCTGCTGATGGGGATCGTTGGCTGTTCGGCTTCTGTGAAACTTGATTCTCGAAAAGATGCTGGATACCAAGACCATCAGTAAGTGCGCCTGGAAAGTCTACTTGTGATCTATTACTGACTTTATGGATCAAACCATCAGAGTCTTGAGCTGACGGGTGCACGGTCTCGGAGTGAACACCAGTCTCAAGAGCGACTTCTGCGAGTGGGATGGTCGAAGAAGCATCTGGCTGATTCTGAAGAGCTGCAGCTGCGCTGTGGCCTACGGTGGCCATGTTGTCTACAGTTCCAGCTTCTTTGAGCGCGTCAGCAGGTAGCTGAGCCTCAGCTTCGGCCGTAACCTCGGGCTTTGTCTTGATGGGAGGGGCAGCGCCATCGATAGCGTTGAGAGCCTGTTGAGTCTCTGTCTTTGCCCCAGCATCATCTTCGTGATAGTCTTCGTTGGTGAACTCGGCGAATAAATCCTGGTCGTTGTATTGCTCAGTCACCAGCTCTTGCTTTACTTGTGGAGGTGTAACAGGAATTGCAGCGGTTCCAGTACGCTGTGTGAAGTCATTGTACTGTATCTGCCTGCTGCTTTGCAAGCCTACACGGTGGTTCTGGTCCAGGCCATTTTGAAATGTTGCGAGCTGAGGCCGCTGTTCGTATCGCTGTGTTTGGGCGGCATGCTCGTCCATGGCGGCCTGACGATGGCTCGTAGGTGATAGGAGTCTCTCTGTTTCTTCAGTGCCGCTGTGCTGCTGTTGGGGGACTGCTCCTTCCATTTGCTCTTCGCAAGTATGGTCTTCGTTCGCACCATCGAAGCGAGCAATTGGATCTGACGCCGAGGTATTACTAGGTCGACCGCTACCCCAGAGTTGGCGTAAAGCCTTTGAGATATGCGCCATTGTCGTTTGCAAGACGACCTGTAGCAATTCGATATGGATAGTGGAGTTGAAGAAGCTATTGAGTAGGAAGGTGATTTGAGGAAGTGTGAGAAGACAGGTTGTTACCAGGCAGGAACAGGTATATAACAATTAGCTTGATAAGTGACCGCTTGACTAGGCGAGACTTCACGTTATTAGCTCTACCGTACGTTTGCCTTTACCTGTAGGCAGCAAACCCGCTCTTTCACCGATAAGCCGTGCGACACATAGCAATGCGACTTTGGGTCACGAAGTCGAGGTGACCTTGACTTTAAAGTAGAGACGGTCCACTGTACATGCAATTGCCGGCCGGCAGGAGACGATCAAGGATACATTGTGGGGAATGACTTCGGTCGATGGTCGTCCAGTCTCGGCGTATGCTGAACAACGCTAGGTACGGTATGTCAACGTTGAAAAGCTGTGTACGGGTGCAAAGCGCCAAAGAAACTCTGAGCGACTTTCACTATTCGCAGCCTGAGGGGTCGGGTCGGACCGGAATGTAAAAAGGTTTACTTCAAACACTCAAACTGAGTGCTTGAGCGAAGGTGAATTAGGTATTCACTGCGGGGCACAGGGCTCCGCGTCTTGATGTTTGAGTCGCGGAGGAAGATACAGGTTAGAGCTCAGGAGTGCCTGCCACGCTAGAGGTCTCACTCACACCTCCCCTCCGCTCGCACAGCACCAACACCTGCAGAGCCCGTTCAGTTGTTGCGTGTATCGGTCGTGAGGAAAGCAGAACGGATGCTCGTTGTGGTAATGTTTTATCGTCTAGACGTTATTTGGTATCATTGCCCGGACTTCGTAGTCATCTTCTTCTCATGCGGTGCTTCGGATATCGACCAGCAGCTTCTTCACAAATCCATCAAACAGCGGTGCCAGAGAACAGTCCCTGTACTTGTCGACGAATAAGCCCTCCTTGGAGCCACCCGTCACGCCAGAACTGCTAACATCTGTCCCCTCGATGATCGTTCCCTTTGGATACACTGGTCTTGCGCCCTCTTCTACCAACATAACAAACGCCGGGTCAATTGGCACGCTCCCCAAAAATGGTACCTCAAAGTCCCTCGCCATGATCTCTCCTCCGCCCTTGCTGAAGACATTCGTGCACTCGCTGCAGTTCGGGCACACGAAGCCGGCCATGTTCTCCACAACGCCCAAAACCCTTATCCCTGTCTTCCTGCAGAAGTTCAGCTCCTTCTTAACGTCTGATATCGAAATGGCTTGTGGCGTAGTGACGACGACGGCACCGGCGAGCTGGTTGGGCGGAGCAGTGGGCGAGGCGACTTGCTTGAGAAGGGTTTCGAGGAGGGAGATGTGCTCGTCGGAGGTGCCCGGGGGAGTGTCGATGAGAAGGAAATCGAGCTCAGGCCAGAGCACGTCGGTCAGAAACTGCCTGACCATAGCCGTCTTCTTGGGACCGCGCCAGATGACCGCGTCGCTCCTGTTTGCCAAGATGAAACCTAACGACATGCATGATAGCGCACCGACGTGCTGCCCCTGTGTTGCTGCGTTGCCATCTGTGCCATCTGCTTTCGGCGAGAGTGTTTGCGATTCGTGCACCGGCACCGGTATCCAGCCACCAGGCGCTTGTCGCACCTTTTTCTCTTCAATGCCGAAGAAGCGCGGTATAGAGGGACCTGTGAGATCGATGTCGAGGACGCCAACCGAATGGCCTTGTAGCGACAGTGTGAGGGCGAGTTGGGTTGTAACGCTCGATTTGCCTACCCCGCCTTTGCCCGAAAGCACAAGGACAATGTTGCGGACGTGTTCGAGAGGCATTTTGGCGTGCTCAGTCAGGCGCGCGGTTCACTGGGGACGCAGGGTGTAGGAGTGTGGGTTGGGAAGAAATGCGCATCGTGTGAGGTGTGACATGACGATGGTCCGGCTTTGAAATCATGAGCAGAGAAGTGGCGGCGGGATCGGAGCACTAGCGCTCCAAGGTTATCATGACCTGTGTCGGACGTCGTTCGACATCTCTTACACCAGCATCGGTAGTGGAACTTCACACCGCTTTAATCACTTCGAGGTTTAGATATTGGAGAAGATGTAATTGCTTGTACATAGATTAGATTCTCTATATAGCCCTAACTCCACCGTGTAGAATATTGAAATTATGACATATGAGATACAACAGATCAAAGACCGGATCTTTCGGTTGATGCATTACTACTCCTTCCGCAGAACACATGCTTACTTGCAATGAGGACGCTCCATTACTTCACTGCAAGTCGAGTCGCTGCAGAGAGTGCCGCAAGTCGTGGTAACGGCAAGGTAGACGTAAGGCTGACCGGGGACCTTGAACTGCTTGGAGAAGTCCTTGGCGTTGTAGCCGTCAGCCCTGTATCCAGCACGGCAAGCACAGTAGAACTTGCTTCCACCAGTTGTCGTGCATCCGGTAGTGATATCGCAGAAGTTCTCGGCGGGGTTGAAGGGGTTGCAGGTGTTGGGGCAGATGGTGTCGAGCGTCTCACCAGTGTAGTCGCCAGCTGGGCTACCAGGGTCGGATGAAGATGAATCATACGAGTCGGCCGAGGGCTGGGACTGGTACTGGGTCACGAAAGTGGTGGGCTCATAGGGAGCAGTCGCCTCATCGGTCGGCTCACCAGCCGGGGTGACTGGCTCAGTAGGGATAGATTCGGTCTCAGTAGGGACAGATTCGGTATCAGTAGGAGTAGACTCAGTAGGGACAGACTCAGTAGGGGCAGGCGTGGGCTCTTCAGAGGAAGAATCGTCGGTAACAGGAACGGAAGTGAAGTCGTCAGAGCTTGTGGGCCAGTGGTATGTGCTGCTGTTGCTCTGAGGGTACCAAGCGCCGGAGGCTCCGCCATAAGGCCCGTCATAGGGAGCACCCGTAGGGTCGTAGGGGGCCTCGGTGGTTTGGTAGGGGTCCTCAGTCTTGGTGTAGTAAGGATCCTCGGTCGTCGTGTAACCCTTGCGAGTCTTGACGTATGTAGGCCTCTCGGGCTTGTACTCCTTCGTCTTGGACTCGTAGCAGCTCTTGGGGCACTTAGGCTTCGACTTGGTAGGCTTCTTGGGAGCACCGTCGATGTCGTAGAGCCAGTCTGGAATGGAGCCATCCTCGCCATCGTATTGGCCAGACTCGTCATCGTCACCCCAGACCTGGCGGCGCACAGTACGGAGGATTGAGCGAACCTTCTTCAACTGAGGGTAAGTCTTGTCCTCAGGCTCAGGGTAGTACTCCTCTCCGTCTTCGTATTCGGGCTCTTTCTTGTATTCGTAATCATCTTTGGGGAGGCACCAGGCCGGGCACTCCTCGTCGTCGTAATAGCTAGGCTCATCCTCGTCTTCGTAGTAAGGGCCCTTGGAGGGGCGCGTGTAATCATCCTCACCCTCATAGGAGCCATGGTCATCGCCTCCCCAGCCAACAGGCTTGGAATAGGGATCATAGTAAGGACTGGTAGGGTCATAGATGCTGTTGGGATCGTAGGGGCCAGAATATAAGTTGGAGCCGACAGGAGACCCAACACCTTGGGGAAGTGGGGCGGCTTGGGGAAGCGAGGCGCCTTGACCGGCGACAGGAGCAGCCACCCCATCCTGCGCAACAGCGAGGGAGCCAACGCCACTGCCCTGAGTACTTGACTTAGCAAGACTACTGGCAACAGCCGCGATAGCCGAACGCAAATCGGCAGGGAGAGTAGGTGCGGTTCCTAAATTTACGTTAGTAACTGTAAGGCTCCTTGTGCTCAGGCCGAAGCTTGTACCTGATGCTGGCCTGGTGGCAGCAGCACCAAAAAGGATTGCAGCAATACCAGAAGGTATCGCCGCAGCAGCACCAGCAGCAGCACCAGGTATTGCAGCAGCATTAGGTATCGCAGCAACACTAGATATCGCAGCAGCCCCAGATGGGAGAGCATCACCAGGTATTGCGGCAGCACCAAATGGGGCAGCAACACTAGGTACTGCAGCAGCACCAACTGGGGCAGCAACACTAGATATTGCGGCAGCACCAAATGGAGCAGCAACATCGGGTACTGCTGCAGCCTCAAATGAGGAAGCAGCACCAGGTATTGCGGCAGCACCAAATGGGGCAGCAACACTAGGTACTGCGGCAGCACCAACTGGGGCAACAACACCGGGTACCGCAGCCGCACCAAACGGTTTTGCACCAGCACCCAACAAAGGTATGACAGCAGCACCGTTTGGTACTGCAGTTGTAGGCTCAGGAAGCACAACATCTGCAGTACCCCTCGGGAGAGAGAAGCTCGGCTCCGGGATCAATGGCAAAACATTGGCAGCGGGTCCTAACAGCTGCGACTCAGAGGGGGCATTAATACCTGGAGTAATAAGTGGTGCTACCGCGTTGAGAGGGTTCGCTGGTAGGACGGCAGGTACAGCATTTCCAGCTGGTATCTGCGCGTTCATGGTGCGCAGGAGCATAGCTCCTACTACGATTGACTTCATCTTGGCGAGCCCGTTTCGTTTCAAAGGAGAGACAGTGTAAATGAGTGTGTGTGTCAAAAGAGTGACTGAAGGAAGGCTTGGCTAGACATTGTGTCAGCTTCGTCGTCGTCGAAGATATAGATGGTGAGTTCTAAATTCTTGGTTACAGAATCAAAACAAACATACTCGTCGTAGTGCCATCTCTGGGACGCCACAGGTGCTTCCAAGCTCTTTCGGTAGTGGGGATCATTCAGTTGAGGTGGTGACGACTAGGAATGTAGTACAAAAGTTGGTGGTTGCGTTCTGGAACCCCGTTTCAGCATCGGAATGTATAATCGAGAATACCATTGGCAAAACGCGTTGACCTCCTCAGGAGGGAGGAGACCAAGCGATTGGTGCCTTGATGTGGCAACGACGTAGCCCCTGGCTCATTCCGCCTGTCAGATGCTTCATACGGCTCTCGAACTGCGTTGTTCATAGCCGTCCGATTGTCCACATTGAGTATCTGTCCTGTGAATGTGCTTGGAATAAACTCCTGTTCGTGCTCCAATTGATGAAGGACATCATCCGCTGGGGTCAAGATATTCATCGAGTAAAAATTTCGGTGTATCATATAACAGTCCACGACCCTTGATGAGCATACTTCATTCATAAGCTCGACTGTAGAAGTGTATCTTAATGTCTTACTCCTGCAAAACTGCCTCGTAGTTTTTTTCAGACACGATTTTCAGTCTCTTATGTGTGCAATCACCTGGTTTCTCTACATGCATTAGAACGAGAGCGGGTAGCCACGCGCCCTTGTACCAACTTTCGATATTATGCAATGCGAGTCCAGGGATGAGAGGCTGCGTGGGAATTTAGTTCGTTCATCTTGCCTCTTGCAAGCCTACGATCTAAAGTCTTGAACATGAGCGATGAGCGAGTAATGTGAAAAATGGCCGGAGCTGTTACACGCCTCGTGCCGATATTGACATAGAGGGGTGATGGTGGCGGTCCCTGCGGGACGGGGTATACGTCATGGTTTTAGCGCGGGCACTAGTACTGGCGCGTCGCGTGCATGTCGCGTGCATGTCGCGTAATATACCAAGACGTGTTTGTAGTCACCCAATATATCTCACGCGATTCATTTACTATACTCGCTTATGGCAGGTTCATCTGTTGATCTAGAAAGCGCGGCAGATGCGGGGCAGCAATACTTTATCGACTTGGTGATGTTGCTCCAGCTACTACTTCGCTGGTAAAAGTTTTGCAGCATTTCAAGATGAATTGGCAAGGTACGTGATCTCGATGAGCCTTGAATTAACATTAAGACAGTGATAGATAGATATTCCTCGAAATCTTGAAGTTCCATGGAGACAGAGCTGAAGATATCGCAAGGTATATCTACATGACCATTATCTCGCTTGTCTGTCATCTATGAATGTCTACAAGACACAGTCCTCAGGACAGGGTACTGTCGAGCAATGACCCATAATAGCTCTGAAATATCAGGTAATCGGAATGTCACCGTTATCATTCACAGTGTACCAAAATTCAAAATCCCCTTTCTGACGCATGCTTGCTGACGGACCTGGCCACACACCTACGCGCTCCTCAAAGATAGACCTTCATATGCCGCTCTATCCGAATCCAACGGAATGTGACGCTCAGGCAAACTGCCTGCGTTTGCCAACGTCCACTTATTCCCTAGCCCATCACACAAGACGGCTACAAGCATGACAATCATCTTCATAGCGAACCCTCTAGTATCTCTCTTGTCGGCAGTGCAATGGGAAGCGAAAGGCATAAACCCGCGCCTCATCTCACTGAGCTTCAGGGCGTGCGTATCGATCTGTGTGCCCATTTCACCAAACATCATGTCCCTATCATCATGACGCATGCTCTCCCAACGCTCAGGGCGGAACACCAGAGGGTCGTCACCACCGAGAAGTCTGGATCGATGGCATGCTTCGATGTCAGCGCGGAATAGCTCGCCATCGAAGTCGCGGTGAACATGTCGGCTCGGTGGGTAGAGTCGCAGCGCTTCCTTTGCGATGTCGATTGGTCGAACGCTAGTTTCTGAGCTTTCTTGGAATGCATGGGGCATGCAGGCTGGATCTCTGAGATGTTCGAGGTAGTTTGCCAGAACAAGACGCCACTCTGCGCCATTGGCTGCATCTCGCAATCGAACTTCGATGAAACAGCGCAGGACAACGCGCCACATGGTCTCGTATGCCGGGAGGAGGAAGTTGAGCGGATTTCTTCCAGGTACGGTAGGCTCGTTTGAGTTATCGTTGAGATATGGTGGAAGACTTCCTGGCATGTCTGGAAGAGTCGCGTTAGTAACGCGGCGCAGAGAATGGTGAAGGTCAAGTTGATCTGACCACCGTGGTCGCTCACCGTCTGGCTTCTTCGAGTCGATCCAGAGTTTGTTGATCTGATGACCAATGAATGTGATATCGTCAAAAGTATCTGCGGTTTTGAATGCAATCTCTGCGTCCGCGAAAAGGTATGATAAAGACAATTTCAACGTGACAAACTGTGCCAATTCTGCGATATTGATAGTTCCATGCTGACCCACATGTTTAATGTACTCGTCGAAGCACTCGATTGACCGCTTTCGAAGGTTGGTCCAACTACCCTTGTCGTCGCTGGCTCTCATTTTGCACGCCGCCCTTATCTTGCTGGTGGTCTCTCGGCTGAAGCCCCCAGGATGCTCGTCAGTGAAAACGTTCTTGATACCAAAAACCTCTACAAGCCGGTGGTTGGGTTTGACCCTTGCTCCTTGCCTATTATGATAGATTTGACCTGACTGCTTGAATTCAATGATATCGAGACATTCCTGAGCTTGAGCAAGTTCACGCTCTCGCCATTGCTCGGCAAGGCTTTTTTTGGTCGACTCGTCCGCCATCATGGTTATTGCAAAGCAAGACAGAAAGCTCTGATCGTTGATTTGTTCCATAATGTGATTGACAGGGCCGAGACTACGTTAATATAATTGCTGACCTCAGTCACCATTTGCCGCTATGGTTGGTTGTTGTCTGCGCGTGCCGGCCAACATCAGTCCACATGTCCAGGGAGTGTGCGCTTCGCTTTGAGTTCTCGACCAAGTTTGTGACTGGGGCAAGTGATGTCTCTCATTTTTCGCTTTTTCTCTGCTTCTTGGATGACGTTTGACAAGTTGTTGCCAAACTTTTGGCCTGGCTGTTCAAGTTTGTCAGTGTGGTCATATGGAAAATGTACACGTACGCATAGTGAAAGCCGACATTCATTTTGGGAGGGGGTGATATCGAATCTCTGGCGAAGCTGTCTTTCAGGTGATGTTGATCAAAAGAGTGGTGTGAATGTCAGAGTGGAGTCATCATTGCAGAATTTGTTAGAATGAAATCAAATGCTTTAAATTTTCCGTCCCTCTCCCTCGTGCCGCCTAATCTGCAACTAAGGCTAAAAGCAACTCGCATGGTATATACACGAGCTCTGCGTGAACCTCGAATAGTGAGGACATGATCAGATTCCTGAAGCGTATTCTGAACAGCTTCCGATACGTCAAGGACCCGCGGTCTGCGATAAACAACGCCTAATGAACGCCATGCAAGCACGCTGCCTGCAATACATCTTCGTTGCCCACAATCGTTCCAGCCTGCCATGTCTTGGAGGCGTTGTATGGAGTATCAACCCGCGCCGTGGATGGGGCCTTAACACCCTTATATCCCACCGAACAGTAAGCCGGTGGATGCCGGTGCCACAGATTCGGGTGCATGGACACGCTCATGAACGTGCCCGTCAACGTGTGCATGGAAGACATCGACCTCGTTTGAGCCATCCATCTGCGGGATCGTAGTCACCTCAGTAATCTCCTTGTGCAGGTCGACTGAGACACTGCTCGACGAGGCCCGACGCTCAAGCGCAGGCTGAGCGTCTTCTATCATCTGTACATCTTCTTGAATGGCATCTTGAACGTCGAGCTCAGCTTCGACAGCTGCGATTTCAGCAAGCACTGCAGTCTCAGACGGCAGCTCGGTCTCATCAAGGTCGTCGTCCTCAGAAGCCACATCGGCAGCATCGTTTGCACCATCCTCGAGGCCAAGTCGCATATTGGCATCTGCGTCTTCCTCATCTGCTAGCTCAGCTGCATCTTCCTCCACTTGAAGGCCCTCGGACGCGTCAGCGCTGGCGTCTTCAGGACCCAGTTCGATCTCGACTTCGATCTCCTCGCCCTCGTCATCAGCCTCACCTGCTGCTGCCGCAGCATTAGCTGCATCTTCAGCCTGGAGGTCTGTGATAAACTGTTTCACCTGGGCCACGAACTTGTCGGCAACCTCGAATGATGTGTAGCCGCGGCGCTTGCGAGGGGCAGCAGTCTTGGGTCGTGCGGTCACCTTCTTAGGCGGGGGAGCTGGCACAGGTGCGCTGGCCTTGCGACCACGACCCACAGCCTTTCTGGGCGCTGAGGCTGGAGCCTTGATATCAATCTTCTTGGGTCTTCCCCGAGCCTTCTTGATAGGCTGATCAATATCCTTCTTCGCTTTATTGACGGGGGCTGTGCGAAGGCGAGAATTGATGCGAGGGGCAGCGGCGACTTTGGGAGCAACTTTAGCAGCCGGTTTCGAACGTGGTGAGGTACGCTTTGCGACGCGTGAGGAACCAGAAACGCGGCTCAGATCCAACGCGGGGCGACCGCGACGCTTTGGTGTCGCTGGAGCTACATCCGTAACGTCTTCCTTGCGCGGGCGTCCACTGCGTTTCTTGGGCACAGCAGCTCCGGCAACAACAGCCGTGGCAGCCTTAGGTGGTCTTCCAGCGCGCTTCTGCGTCGTGACGGGAGTCTCTGTGATGACTTCTTCAGCAGCTGCGACCGAGTGACGGCCGCGTTTAATGGCGCTATCGATCTGCGCAATCGGCTCGTCAACTTGTGTTTTCGCGGGGCGACCACGCTTCTTGGGTGGCTCGACGGTAGCTGCTTCTGCGGTAGTTGTCTTCGCAGCGCGACCGCGCTTCTTGGGAGGTGCCATTGCGGCGACAGGTGCGGCAGAGCCAGGCGCAGCAGCTTTGGCAGGGCGGCCGCGACGCGCCGTCCTAGTTTGCGCTTTAGGGGGCATTGGAACGTGCTGCCGGTGAAATTAGACGCGTTTAGTAGTCAACGGAATAACAGAAATTTTGAAGAGTCAAGAATGATAAGGTTGAGGTGGTGTCGGAATTAGACCACGTGATCGTAGAGGGTACGGACGCGTCGAAGGACTAGCCTTTTGTGGTAACTCTCGGCGCGGCTCGACCTTTTCTACAAGTCCACGCCTTGTCACATACCATCCGCCTTTACCTCGACATCTCGAAATTCGCACAGCTTGACTTCTGATCGGCAATTATCGCTGAGATCGCGCGCTTCTTTACGCTGTTGCGTGTGCTACAACGACGCGTTCATATGACGTCAACATGCTAATGCGAGAGTTCCAGGTGCTATGGACGTGTCATGCAGAGTCCACACTTTGTTGCTGATGGAGCTCGGCATACTTGTGCTTGGTCGTTGTCTCGCGCGCGTCTAGAGTTAACCTGCCATTCCTGGCACCGCACAGTGCCGCCAAAGATCGCGTTCAGAGTTCGTCACGTATTGTATCATTCCTTTGCAGCGCTCTGCTCAATCCAAGGGTTTTCGGCTCCTTATTGCTATCGACATTGCTCATTCATGTGTCAATCACAGTATCATCCACGAGTCGATACTGTGGATGAAATTCTTGTCTAATAACCTGTGTTGTTGACAGCTGCTGTTGGAGCAATGTCAAGCACGGCCCTGACCGTAACAGGACTATCCCAAGGAGGCCATGGGATTTCTTGAAGCCTTTGCTTGTGGTCTCCAAAGCGTCACCTAATGAAGCTCGCCCTCCGTCGACAAGACTTCAGAGGGCCCTAGCGCGTTCACAAGAGAGTGGCTCGACATGAACATTCATTCAGTTCAAACTGTAAGTTTGATTAAAGCTGCAACAACACATGAAGTAAAAGTATGTTTGAGCGATATAAGCGCGCCGAGACAGCTTCCGTCGTTGCTTCGACCTATGCGGCAACTTCTGACAAGGAAGAACCCAGCTCGGCGTGGTTCTTGGGTGAAGTGTTATATTGCATAGGTACTTGCGAAGAGCAGCCAAGGCGTACCCATCCATCGGCGCAAGACGGCGGTTTTCTGACACAAACATCACGGTGATAGTGGCGTGTACGCTACTTGGCAGTATCGACAGAAGTACCTCTCCTCTTCGAAAGTGCCTCATGAACTATAGCGAGTAATATATGTCGTCTGACGCTAGTGATTGTAATAGAAAATTCACATGACGGTGCAAGTGTGTGATGCCGGGGAGTTTTGCTCAGTACCTGCACCTATTTAGGTCTAGCGTATATAGCAGCGCTGACATGTTGTCCCCAGGACGGCCTCGTCAATCCCCCACAACCCCAGAAATGTCAGTATAACCCGTGCCGATTGCATTAAGCCCATAACAGCATATTCAAAAATCTGGTCGTGCAATCTGAAACGCCAACACCCATCACGCATGTCACAGTCGATCACCATCTTGATTGACACGCGCTCCGCGAGCGGAGCGGAACAAGCACTACGCCAAGACATTCCGTTGGGCGCTGTTTGCTTGATGGGGCAGGTGGGCACGCGACATTTTGCCCCATACAGTGATCGCTGCACATCTTGCAACAGACGGTACTGAATCGGGCCGATATTCGCACAAGATACTTGCGTTGACACGCGGTCTGTAACGCGTCGTTTGAGGCGTCCTTGTTGATCTTTGGTGGTCAAAGGGCGATCTATTGGAGAGTCAAGACAACGCGCGGTTACCTTGAGGTTAAGACCTGCGACAGCTGGCCGATCAGGACTCTTGATGCTTGTACTACTGTAGTGTGCGCGAGCTGCATTAGCAGGTTCGTGGTTGACGGGCGGACATGCTGTCTCAGGTCGGAGTACACAGTAGATCGTGCTCAGGTTGTCATAGTCGACATGTAGTATTGATTCGTATAGTTCCAGAGCTCGCGAAAGTCATTCCTCTGTCAGACAAAGTGATGACGTTTTCGACTCGTCACGCGTTATGCTCCATTGCCAGCGTACTACGAAGCAGAGGCCCTCACAAGAACATGGGCCTGTGATGGCCGTGTCGATTGGTTGGTAAGGTGGAAGCTAAAGAGCTGCTAAAACTGTGACCAAGAACACCACAAGAGTTGTGAGCGCGCGGCAGATGAAAGTTCTCTTGCAGTGGGTGGGTATTTGTCGTGAACGAGCCACCGGCGGCATCTCATCGTAGATTTGAGGTCCTGTCTGCTCATGCAGGGGCTCGCGTCATCCGAGAGTACATCTTGCACAGTAGGAGACCACAGTCGACGGGAAGTTTGCCACGAGGTGTCCGGGCTACGCCTGATTGGCGAATTGAGCTCCATAGGGGACTCTTGCAGCACCGAAATGTGGATTCACATCCATCAGTGTGTGGGCCTCTGCCACGTGATTCGAACGTGAACAGCCTCAACACCATCTGGAGAATCGTCGGAGCCCGGCTATAACGGCACTGTCGACGGGATGAATACAGATCTAACCTCTGTATTAGATTGAGAGTGCCATGCCGTAAGCGATGCAACCGTCTCCTTCAAGGTCATGGCGGCACTTCACACGAGACTGTAGTTGCCTCAAAACCCTTCAATCCGCAACGTGCGAGAAAGACAAGAGATGATTGGCAGACACCAAAATCGCAGGCTTTTTGCTTGTGGGGTCTCCAAGAGGGCGGAACGGAGCGCTTGGCGACTTGGCGAGTTGGCGGGATCAACTGTGTTGCATCGGCCAACCACCACCACGAATGTCGCAAGTGTCGTTGGCATGAGTGCTGGGCAGCGAGAATCCTTCTCGCTTGGCTGCTCTTGCATGGTAAGGCGCATGTTCATCCGTCCAAGTTTCGTGACATTGTGGCAAGTGCTCGCGTGCCCATATTTATATGGAAGAGCATCCTCTTGCGGTCCATAGTTTCCTCAGCAGATACTCGATACCCTCTCTTCTGAATCTCTCGGTCGTTCAGATTCAAGATGCCACCCGCAATCACTGCTAAGTACGATTGGATCCTTGCGATTACGACGGTTGCCTTCGTCTTTTCCGCGTTCGGTAACGGTGCCAATGATGTCGCCAACTCTTATGCCAGTATGTTCTTTGGACGCATCCAGGAGAGTGCAAGTGCTGACGAGTCCTAGCATCTGTGGCTGCTCAGACCCTGACTATGGTGCAAGTCGGTTTCTTGTCCATTGTCACTGAGTTCGTCGGAGCTGTCGCTCTCGGAGCTCGTGTCACCGCCACTATCAAGAACGGAATCATCAACATCGAGCGCTTCCAAGCTCCCGCCGAGCCTGGCACACTCATGCTCGCCATGGGCTGTGCTGAGGTTGGCAGTGCGACCTGGCTGATGTTCGCTACACGCATGGGTATGCCAGTCTCTACTACCCAGACCATCGTCGGCGCTCTCGTTGGTGTTGGCTTCGCGACCAACGCTGGAGTCACATGGGGCTGGGAGTCCGGCTCTGTCTCTCAAGTCGCTGCCAGCTGGGCCATTGCTCCCCTCATTGCCTGCGCATTCAGCGCGATCATCTTCGGCACAGTCAAGTATGCTGTTCTGGAGCGTGAAGACTCTTTCAAGTGGGGTATGAGGCTCATCCCATGGTACTTTGCTGCCACTGGAGCCATTCTGGCATTGTTCATCGTTGTCGAAACTCCCACAGCGCCTTCTCTTGAAGAGTTTGGCGCTGGCAACGCTGCTGGTATCATCCTTGGCGTCTTCGCTGGAGTACTGGTATTCAGCTACGTCTTCTTTATGCCTTACCTCAAGCGCAAGTTGATTCAGAAAGACGCCCGTCTGCGCATCTGGCATATTCCTCTCGGACCTCTACTCACCCGAGAAAACCCTCCCCTTTACTTTGCAGGCAAGGCTGATGGCGAGTACGTCAAGAACTACTATGCTGATGCCTATGGCGAGGTTCGTGCTCAAGGCCAGGAACTGCGACAGCGTAATGCCAACGGCCTCCACGATGGGGAGAAGCAGCCACAGAATGTTGATGACATCCAGAAGGCTTCGCCAGGAAGTAGCAAGGACGGCCTTCCTACCAACCCAGAAGACGCCAAAATTCTGGAGGAGAAGATCAAGAGTGATCCAGACGCGGTTCCTCAACTGTCGAAGCAGCGCAAGCACTTGGAGCCATACGAACGATTCATCGGACCTGTCAAGGAGTTGTCATGGTCAAATCCGATGAAGTTCTGGGGATACTTCAAGTTCGGTCTGCTCCAGGGTGTCACCCGCGATGTCATCACCCACGACAGCGACAAACTTCGTGATATTCACGCTCGCGCCAACCGTTACGATGTCCGTGTTGAGCACATGTGGACCTACTGCCAAGTTATCTCTGCAATGATGATGAGTATAGCTCACGGTTCCAACGATGTGGCCAACGCTGTTGGTCCTTGGTCTGCCGTGTACCAAACCTACATGGAGGGCGCCATTGCCACCCAATCCGGCACCCCCATCTGGATGTTGGTTGTTGCTGGTCTCTTGCTCGGTCTCGGATTCTGGTTCTACGGATAGTAAGTCCCTCAAGAGTACCACTTGTCGTATCTTGCTAACATTGACTAGCCACATTATGCGCGCTCTTGGAAACAAGATCACACAGATGAGTCCTACTCGCGGCTTTGCTACTGAGCTTGGAGCTGCCGTCACCGTGCTGCTAGCATCGCGCTTGGGTCTCCCAGTGTCGACAACGCAGTGCCTGACCGGTGCTCTTATTGGAACAGCGCTCATGAACTACGACCTGAAAGCTGTAAACTGGGCACAGTTGGGCTTCATCTTCATGGGCTGGGTGGTCACGCTGCCCGCTTCCGGTTTGATTGCTGGACTACTCTGCGTCATGGCGCTGAACACGCCCCATTTCTAAGCTCTTGTTAGCGTTTTGTTTGAGCATGGATCCGGCGTTGAATGCTGTTTAGATCTTCCATACTGCGGCACAGGTGCCGCCACGACTTTAGATACACTACACAATAACGACAGCTGAAGTGTTAGACAACACTGCGAAAGGGAACAATCAACACTTTAAATCAATCAGAAGAAATGCCTGTGATGTGTAATCGTTCGCCCGCCACTTGCAAGCCTTCGGTGCGAAAAGAAGATTGGGACTTCGAGCTCGAGCCGATGGAGTGGTGATGGGACGCGCGCAGGGAAGGAACGCCGATAACGCCACTAGTGACGCGCCGCGCTAGTGACGCATTCAACTGCCCCGCAAACCAGTGACTTAATTTTTTGAAAGACCCCGCGGCGGTCTTTTCAGGTCTTTTAGGCTTCGCAGAGACATCTTCGGAATCCCCCGACAATCTTTCTGTCATACGAATTGGCACTGCCGTGTCCAGCATGGCGTCCAGCGAAAGCCCCTACCTGATTCTGCCGGGCGCTTCCGCCCACTCCGACTTCCGTCTGAAGCGGCTGGCGCAGGAGATTGGCGCGACTGAAGTGCGCTCTGTATGGGCGCATTTTGTCAATCCTTTGCGCGAGTTGAGCAGTACTGAGCTCAGCACTCTGCAGCAGCTTCTCAGCTATGGAGAGTACCCAGACACACATGACCATTTGTCACAGGTGCTTCTTGACGCCATTCACCGCGGCGGAGAGCCCAGCGACAACACAACAGCGCTCTTCTACATTTCGCCGCGCGCAGGCACAATCTCGCCATGGAGCTCATTGGCGTCCATGATTGCACGCACTTGCACGCTCGAGAATGCTGTCAAGCGTGTCGAGCGTGGTATGGTTATCGCCGCCTCCTTCGACCGCCAGCTCGGTGCTGATGAGATCCCAAATCGCGACCGCCTATACGATCGCATGACCCAGACCATCGAACGTAAAGCACCAAATCTGGAGGCTATCTTTGGTGAGAGTGAGCCTGCGCAGGCCACCACCATTAGCTTTGATGAGTACAACAGCGCTCAAGCAGCTCTCGAGCATGCCAACAATGAACTTGGCTTGGCTATGGACAAGTCAGAGATCGAGTATCTCGTCGAAGCATACACGAAAGAGTTGAAGAGAGGTCCTGTGGATGTTGAGCTGTTCATGTTCGCCCAGGTCAACTCTGAGCACTGCAGACACAAGCAGTTCAACGCCGATTTCACGATTGATGGCATTCACAAGCCCTACTCGCTCTTTGGCATGATTCGCAACACCCACCAGAAGCACCCACAGCACGTCGTCAGCGCCTACAGTGATAACGCTGCAGTCCTGAACGGTGAAGAAGCAAGCTTCTGGGCGCCCAACAACTTGACTGGTGAATGGAACGGAGTTAAGGAGACAGTACACATTCTCTGCAAGGTCGAGACGCACAACCATCCCACTGCTGTATCGCCATTCCCGGGTGCCGCAACTGGCTCTGGAGGCGAGATCCGAGACGAAGGCGCTGTCGGTCGTGGATCGAAGCCAAAGGCTGGTCTTGCGGGTTTCACAGTCTCAGACTTGCTAATTGAAGGCTTCGAACGACCTTGGGAGCTGCGAGATGTCGGGAAGCCGGCACACATTGCTAGCAGTCTGGACATCATGCTTGAAGCGCCAATTGGTAGCGCACAGTTCAACAACGAGTTTGGTCGTCCTTGCACAATTGGTTACTTCAGGACCATGTTGATGGAGGTCTTCACGAATGAGAAAGAGTCGGAAATTCGAGGTTTTCACAAGCCTATCATGCTAGCAGGCGGAGTGGGTACAGTCAGACCCCAGCACGCTCTAAAGGACCCAGATATCGTGCCTGCTGGTTCTCACTTGCTCGTTATTGGTGGACCTGCCATGCTTATCGGTCTTGGTGGCGGCGCTGCATCCAGCGTGCAGTCTGGTGAGGGCAAGGTTGAACTCGACTTTGCCAGTGTGCAGCGTGGCAACCCGGAAGTCCAGAGGCGAGCACAGGAAGTCATCGATGCCTGTCGATCAATGGGTGACAAGAACCCCATCCTTTTCATCCACGATGTCGGTGCTGGAGGTCTTTCAAATGCCTTGCCCGAGCTCGTCCATGACTCTGGACTCGGAGCCATCTTTGAGTTGCGCGAGATAGACAACACGGACGGAGGCATGAGTCCGCTCCAAATTTGGTGCTGCGAAGCACAGGAGCGCTACGTGTTGGCTGTTGGTCCCGACGAGCTTGATCTCTTCAAGCGTATCTGTCATCGTGAACGCTGCGGTTACTCGGTCGTTGGTGTTGCCACTGACGAGCAGCGACTTGTCTTGAAGGATAGGGATTCAAAAGAGAACCCAACACCTATCGACTTGCCGATGTCCACGCTGTTTGGAAAGCCACCCAAGATGTCTCGCGTCGTAGAGTCGAGGAAACTAAGGCTGCCGCCTTTCGACAGCAGCCTGTCAATGTACATCCCAGACGTACCGAAAGATGGACTGGTTGCCGAGGCTGTTGATCGCGTGCTGACACTTCCGTCCGTTGGCTCAAAGAACTTCTTGATCACCATTGGTGACCGCACTGTTGGTGGAATGACTGTCCGCGATCAGATGGTTGGCAAATGGCAGGTTCCAGTGTCGGATGTATCAGTCACCGCGACCTCGCTCATGTCTGGTGTCAAGACTGGTGAAGCGATGGCGATGGGAGAGAAGCCCACTCTGGCGCTTATCTCAGCGGCAGCATCGGCTAGGATGGCTGTCGCCGAGTCTCTCATGAACATTGCCGCAGCGAGTCTGTTCGACAGGCTATCCAGAGTCAGATTGTCCGCAAACTGGATGTCAGCTGGCAGCCATCCTGGTGAGGGTGCCGCCTTGTACGAGGCTGTTGAGGCCATTGGCATGGACCTTTGCCCGCGTCTTGGCATATCGATCCCAGTCGGCAAGGACTCGATGAGCATGAAGATGAAGTGGTCAGAGAACGGTGACGCAAAGGAGGTCACAGCGCCAATGTCTCTCATCATCACCGCCTTTGCACCTGTCAATCGCATTGACCGAACCTGGACCCCTGCCCTAGAGCGTCTTGAGGATGTTGGTGAGACAGTCCTGATGTACGTCGACCTTGCGGCCGGCAGGAAGGCACTTGGTGGCTCGGCCCTGGCTCAGACTTTCGGACAAGTCGGCGACGAGGCGCCTGACGTCCACGATGCCAATATTATCAAGGACTACTTTGATGCCGTCGAGCAACTGCACGAGTCTGGCATTGTACTCGCCTACCACGATCGATCGGATGGCGGTCTGTTCACTACTCTGGTCGAGATGATGTTCGCTGGTCGATGCGGCCTGGAAATCATGCTTGATGGTGTAGCCAAATCAAGCGAGCCCAAGGATGTCCTTGAGGCCCTTTTCAACGAAGAACTTGGTGCTGTCTTCCAGATCAAGAAGAAGGATGAAGTTGCTTTCAATCGCTGCTTCGCCACATGTGGTCCTCCTCCAGGCATGATCAAGAAGATCGGTCGCGTCCCGGAGGCCTCCAAGCAGGGCTTGTCCATCGCAGTCGGCTCCCTGACTGTATACAGAAACACCCGCTCGAAGCTTCAGCAGAGGTGGGCTGAGACATCCTACCGCATGCAGCGTCTTCGCGACAACCCCGAGTGTGCGGATAAGGAGTTTGCTCTCATCACTGACGATAAGGACCCTGGTCTATCGTACAACCTCAACTTCAAACCGCAAGAGAATATCCTGCCACTCAAGGCCAGCATCTCATCTGCATTCATCTCGAAGCCTCGCGTGGCCATCCTCAGAGAAGAGGGTGTCAACGGTCAGAGCGAGATGGCCTTCGCCTTCCACATGGCTGGTTTCTCGGCGATTGACGTCCACATGACCGATATCATCTCCGAGCGAGTGTCACTCGCAGGCTTTGTTGGTGTCGCAGCCTGTGGTGGTTTCTCGTACGGTGACGTCCTTGGCGCCGGTCAAGGATGGGCAAAGTCTGTCTTGCTGCACCCCAACACCCGCAAGGAGTTCAAGACTTTCTTCGAGCGCCCAGACACGTTCGCCCTTGGTGTTTGCAATGGTTGTCAATTCTTGTCCAAATTGAAGGAGTTGATTCCTGGTGCAGAGGCTTGGCCCACTTTCGAACGCAACGCCTCTGAGCAGTACGAGGCACGCGTTTGTATGGTCGAAGTCATTGACCCCAAGGGCCCTAACAGCAATCCTTCGGTGTTCCTTCACGGCATGCACGGCTCCAAGCTGCCTATTGTCACAGCTCACGGGGAGGGTCGTGTCCACTTCCCTGCATCTTCGACCTCGTCATCAAGTCCTCAGACTCTTTACGACGAGAACCTGGTTTCCCTGCGCTATGTTGATAACTACGGCAAGCAGACCGAGACATACCCCTACAATCCCAACGGCTCGCCGATGGGTATTACCGGAGTGCGCTCGACCAGCGGTCGCGTCCTGGCGCTCATGCCTCACCCAGAGCGCACAATCGTCAAGGAGGTTGCCAGCTACATCCCCAAAAACCAGGCTGAGGAATGGGGCGAGCTTGGCCCCTGGAGCCGCATGTTCAAGAGTGCGAGAAAGTGGGTTGGTTAAGCCGCTTGAACTGGCGAGAACGATTCTTTGCATTTGATTACTCGGCGTTAGTGTGATATCCACCTGAAAAGGAACGAAAATGTAGACAGAGGCTCGAGCAAAACAATGTTGATATGGTCTTTTACCTAGATCCGACTACATTTCTTGCTATCGATGTGTAGAAGGCCGTCGTCTCGCGGACAGGCTGGGAGACAATGCGCCTATCTTCAAGTGCGTGTCTACGAAGAGCAGCCGCTCTGTATGAACAACGTCCCAACAAGCAGACTGAGCGACAGTATTCACTGCAGAGCCCAAATCCTCTACATCGTCTTACAGGGTAGATTGGTACAATTTCAGCCCGTTCTTGATTAACGGTTCAGGAAAGTTAACCATCCGAATGCGAGGAAAGGCATTCAAGCAACGTGTACAGCGCTGTTCACGCTGAACACAAGTGCTCGGCATGAACTTTTCTCGCACACAATATTGCCGCAGCCTGACTACAAAAAAAACATCTTAGTCCAGCCACACCTTCGTCCTTTCACAGCCATCGATTATAGCTTGTCGATGCATCTCACTTCTCGGGATGAATTCGACTTCGAATGGCTCGCTTCCCATCAGCATGCCCGTGTGAAACCCAGTCTCGGCACTCAGATCCAGCTGGCCCTTTGGCTTTACGTCGAAAGCCCAGACGAGCTTCGCAGCCATAGTTATGAAACCATTCTGTGCGAAGACGTTCCCAGGACACGAGCGGCGACCGCTGCCAAATGCGTATGAGACCTTGCGGCCTTCGGCTTTACACTTTTCGGCAGGTAGTGTAGTGCCGTAAGGGTTAGCGAGGTAGCGCTCCGGATTGAAGGTGTCTGGGGAAGGGTAGAGCGCCGGGTCGTGCGAATCGCTCCAGATGTTCTGTAGGAGGACTGTACCTTTGGGGAGGAAGTAGCCGCGGAAGGTATCGTCAGCGTCGAGGGTATGGGGCAGGTTGATAGTGACGACCGGACGCCAGCGGAGGATCTGCATTTGTCAGTCAGTCTTCGTCAATGAAGGATGCTGGCTGGGAGGAGCTCACTTCGAAGAAACACGCCTTCAAGTATGGTAACTTTTCCAGGTCTTCAACCCGGGGCGGCTGGCCTCCTACAGACACGCTGTCTACTTCCTCCTGCGCGCGTTTGAGAACATCGGGGAGACCGCCCAGGATTTTGATAAAGGTCAGAGCGGTAAGGTATGTAGTGTCGACCGCAGCATCGAGCACGCCACCGCCGAAATACGCAAGCTGATGGTTGTCGAGTTTGGTTTTACCGTCTTGCTCTCGCAGTAGTCTTGCCAACAGCGACAAGAAACCACCAGGCTTTTCGTTGTTCCCAGCACGATCATTCTCCAACTCAGCTTGAGCGCAATCCAACAACATATAATAGAAGAACTGCAGGTTCTTGCGCACTTTTGCGGCTTTCCCTCTCCATGCTGAACAAGATTCTGGGAGATAGTTGAGCAAAGGGAACATGTCGACTGGCGGTGCAAATGCAGGGTCGAGCAGCTCCAGCCAGTCCTTCTGGTTATCGTAAAAGAGTTTGATCAATTCTTTGTCCTTTTGCGCGCCCCGGTGGCCACAGATTGCGCTCAGTGGTGTTCCCATGCCCCAGTTGTGTAGGTGGTCCTGGAACGTTTCTGGCGCCGTGACAAGATTGTACGCAAAGTAAGCTGCTCCGGCGTCTTGCAGAGGGAGGGCTTGTTCACACCCGGCGGGGCCAAGGAGAACCTTGATTGCAGAGCGAAACAGCTTCAAGTTCGAGTCGTTCTGCAGAGACAAGATATGCGTTGTGTCCTGGATGATGTGATCACGGAAGATGTAGTCAGTGGGTCGGCCAGAGTAGATGGCCCCTCGCTTCTCGAATAGTTCTCGCGCGACTTCAGCACCGTTGAGGATGACAAGATTGGTAGGTCCGGCCTTAAGCCCGATGATGTCACCGTAGGTCTTGCGCCATTCTGTGAACTTGATGTGGAGTTTGTTCGAGGCAATGTGTCGCACGTTACCAACGAAAGGCAACGACGGCGGACCTGGAGGGTAGTTCTTCGGCGGTAGTGATTGTAGTGAGAATCGAATGACAGTGACAAGAGTATACGCCAATCCCAGGCCCACAAGGACCTGCACAAGGGATTCACTGCTGTTGCCCATCTTGGCTACTGACAGTACGATCAATTGAGAGGAAGATCCAAGATTGTGTAGCTATGTGTATCATGCTCCCATCGCGGGCTATTAATGCTTCAGACGACCCCTGCAGTTGATATGTACCTTGATCAGCGGTATTATCCGTCCCACACATCTGCATGGCTGTATTGTCCTTCGTAGCACAGCACATCGCCAAGGGTTGGTTAACGTTCAAGGATGTCACATTGGACGTCGCGCTCGTATGATGACCGGTGAGTCCTTCGCAGACACTATGGCAGCGGAATAACCAGACCTTCGGAGGCGGGGATGCTGCAGCCTTTAGTTGATGTCCCACCACACACGCTGAAAGGATAGCAGCCTTCAAGTGGCCCTCTGCCAGCAACACTCCGCACCGTCATATCCTCAAGGCGTTCGTCTCCTAGGCTGTTCGCACTGTGTACATCCAACTCTTTAAAGATCTATACGCCAGGTCGAAGCGTATGAGGAAACAGTAGAATGTTTTTTGATTCTCTATTCTCAAGACCCGGCTTTCCGAAAGACAAGACAAACAGTACAGGTGATCATCGAGAACAGAACTCGTTGAGGTAGATCTTCTGCAGTACAGCGTGGCGTGATGTCTATGCGGACTTGAGATCAGTATATTAAGAGCTGTGCAGCGAGAGCCATGTAATTGGACGTGTGCCCCGAGAGAAGGGTGCCGCAGGGAGCAGAATGACTCTGCATATCATCTTTTACGTGCGTTGGGTGCTACCGAGCTCAGATCAATGTTGATGCTTACGCTGTGGTGTCGTGAAGGAGCAAGAACCAAAATAGGAAGTTCCAAGGCTGGTAGTGGGGCTGGTGCGGTTATGGAGAAGGATGACGTTGAGTCGCGCTAGTAAATAGTGTGAGGGTCGCACTATGTACGCTTCGTCATTGCATCGCGATCCAACATTTCCCACGGTGCCACCACAGCCTTGTTCGATTCACCTATCCAGCATAGTGACTTTCACGTGTCTCTAGCCAAATCCATCTATCCATCTGCGGTCATTGCGCTGGTCTTGACTCGTAATCGTATCGAAACAACCGTTGAATGGTCAAGCGAGTGCACACTTGAAGCAGACGTTGATGCGCTTGGGTATTGCAGACTTTTGCCCTTGCCAATAGGAAAGACACTGGAAGTCAATACCCCGCGCAGGGACGTTGTCGATCGGCGCACCATTGCTCGCCCCCAATTTAACGGCCCGGATTGGTGCCACAATATGTCGAGCTTGCACAGTTGTGACAGCAGTGACACCATTGCGGTATTTCAGGCATCGGGCTTTCTCGATTCGTCTGTATTGCTAGGAACTTGGGGCACGGCATCAGTCAGCCTAATCCCGGCCTGCAGGTCCGCTGTAGACCTAAGCACAAGGCTGGACCACTAAGAATTGGTAAAGAGCATGTTACCCCCGATCCTTTGCACATATTACCGCTATTCACAAGGTCTGAACCTTGCCTTCACACTTTATACTCCCCGAATATTCAAACGAACAGCATATCTTGTCGCAGAAACCACCTGATTGACGCGGCTCGTGTCATCCAGCCTTACTGCATACCGCTGGAATCTGATATTCACTACTGTTTAGTGTAAGCCTTGATCGCTATTCTTTAGAATCCTTTCCGCAAAAGTCAGATAGAGGGCGACATCGTCTCCAACGAGCGTATTCGCGACAACCATTCGCGTATCGTGAACTGCCCATCATCCACATTTGAAGATCTTCTTTCCATCCCTCGTGTGGAATCCGCCGCTGGAATCCGCCACTAGAATCCGCCGTATTCTCTGCCTGAGATAGTCGCATTCAACGGGTCAGGAGACGATCGACATGAGATTCTGCGGTTAACTCATTTCAGAAGACCCACATTTTGTGTGAGCGTGGCAATCACATTCACATCTTCATGAGGGTAATCCGTGCCTATCACGCTTTTCGCATGGTTGCTAAAATAATGACCTGGCTCGCGACTAAGATGGCAGCAGCATTCGCCATACTGTTTTGCCTGGAGACTTTGTCATTCTCAAATGAGACGACTCACCCTTCAATCACGGTCTGTCTACGCCAGCGGCTCAACAGATCCGCCATGGGACTTGTGACTGTCCGGTCATAAGAGCTATTCCTGAGGCGTTCATCCGAGCGGCATATGAGATGTTTATGACCTTAACGCTGAGTATAACTACACCTTGAGAACATTCTAGCAGTGTATCAGGAAGTGATCGTGGATGTTTCGCCTGCGACAAACTGTGCTCATGAGAACAACAACTAGGAAAGCCACCACCTCTCATAAAATGTTACCTTTAACAATGAGGAGCAAGCTCATGATGCTGAGAGTAGTACCGATCGGCGCAGATAGCGAGTGCAGATTGAGAAGTAACAATGGCCAGCTATCGCTATCTTTGCTCTAATACCACCCCCAAACGCTTTCAACCTGAAGCTAACTGTTATTGAGACTTTGAAGAGCAAGACCAATCCAGCGCGTGACCCTATTCTGTTTCATCCGATTTCGACCATCTTTACTTGTCTTATTGACCTCTTCTTTGGACGAAGACGCGCGGAGCTCTGAAGACTTCCTGGGATCAAGGTCCCCACGTTCCTCAAACCCTGCTGTTTTTGCGGCTGCAGCATATTCTGGCTGTTCTTCTTCTCTCTTCTCTGTTTGCTGTGAGCGCTGTCCCATTCTGCACGTGTCCGAGCAACATACTCTGCTTGTAGTCCCAACCTGTAATGACACTGGTAGTTGCCTGCTGCAGCTTATTCATTTCGACGATGTTGTCGCGCTAATTTCTTCTGTGCGCTGAGATTACACTGCCCTCGTGATCTTTATATATGCAAGTGGTGAAGGGCGGCGCAGTCATGCGACGCGAGGCATCCAGCGAGGCTGAGTGCGTACAGCTTGCCGCTTGTAGATGCATTACGACCAATCACGGATAAATACTCTCGAATGTTATATGTGTACCGTGTAAGAACGCATGCGCTACGCGTTTTGGGTCTAGCAGTGAGATACTTCATTGGCTCAGAAGGGACTTTGGACTCAGGGACAGAAGGGCAGTAACAGCAGGTTTGTTCACTATTTCTTTCGCTAACATAAATGATACTGTATCTTATTAGACAAAGCTTACTAGGAGCTTTATTTTCATACTACGTATTTGTTCATGTCCCGCAAGGCTACCCATAACGATGCGGAAGAATAGGTGGAATGAGACACTTTTTTTGAGCCAGGGAAATGCGGACCGAAAACTGACAGTTCGTCCGAACTATTCACCGTCTGGTGCCTCCAGGCTTACAACGATGACGGTACAGTTGTCGGAATCTTTCGTCTTTCCAGCTCGCTTCGTCAGCTCATTTGCGATCCGCTGCGCTGACCACCCTTCACGCTTCCATTCGGTCGCAGTCCGAGCCGCTAGTTCTGCATCCTTCTCCTCACCGATACCATCTGTAGAAAGGAAAACCAGGCTCTCACCCTTAAGATGCTGCACGCTAAAATGCGCCTTGTTCGTGACAAGATCTGCAGACGCTTTCTCACCCGGTCTGAGGCCCGTTTCGACACCATCCAGATCTGTCAAGTTATGACCAGCTAGGTTGTTGACCCTTGGCAACTTCAACTCGGTGTCGCCTACTGCACGAGTCATTGCCAGAGCACCTGGGTAATGGTCAGCGCTCCCAGGCAATGGAGTGTTTCAAACTTCGAGGCTTACCAACCCGGGCAGCGCCCGTATCGAACTTCACCTCACCTCCAGCGTCTTCAATTCTCCTCCTCTCGCTTGGGCTTTTGGGATCGTGAGGTACGGAAAGTCGCTTGATACTCCATGCGTCCTTGCCCTTAGCGAGATGATGGGCCCTCAATGCATGATCCAGCTTGTTGAGCTTGTTTTCTTCCTTCTTGTTGCGTCTGGTGTGTTCGGCAAATACCATGTGGGAATCGCCTAGGTCCGCTTCAACAAGTATCCTCTGCGATGTGTCGATCAGTACTAGGGCAAGGGTGGAGCCGTCTCTCCAGTTCTCCTGATCGACGATCGCATCTTCTCGGTCGAGTGCATCTTGAATTGCTGACTTGTAGGTCTCTTGTGAGTGATTCGAAGTCTTAGAAAGTGCCTCGTCGATGAAGCCTGCCAGATTCTCCCTCAGGTGATCAGACACAATTGCACCCGCACTACGTAAATAATCAGATAAAGCGACGAGCAATGCCGTGCAAAGAGACATACTGCCCGTCAAACACTGCGAAGAGCGCGATGCTCTTATTCGATTTGAGGCTCCCAGGGGACAGCGCGATGAACCTGTCCTCCTGGTGAGGCCGTTCCCCTTGAATCTGCAGGGACCAATTAGCGAGATTCCACGACTCGCCACTTCACGAAATCCCACACTTACCACTGACGTGCCGACCTCTCTTATCTGCACACTGTTTGCATCTCTCGACGATTGAACCGCTCCCATGCCCTTGTCAATCGATCTTCTGATTTTGTGCATCATGGCTTCTGGTGGTGTTGATGGCTGCGACAGTCTGGCCGGGGCTGGTGTATGGACATCAGTATGACGACGCCATGGCGCAGAATACTGGAAAATCGAACTTCCACATGCGCCCAGTGACGCTTACCTGCGAAGCGTAATGGGAATTGACAACACAGCACAACACTGTAGTAGTCATCCGTGCCTGCCTCAGCACACGTTGCGATGACTGGATCCGGTGGCACGTGACGACGCGTACGCTTCGCGGACGACAGTGTGCACACACGGGGCTCTCAGCCATCATTCTGGTCCTTTGGCGATACCGTCTCTTACGCATTTACCCTAGTCGCTCTGTTGCACTTTCTGCTCTATGCTGGGCTTGCAAGCCGTACGGTCCATCGGTTTTCTCAGCGTCGTGCTTGTGCCGGATCTCTTTCTCCAGGAACATTCATCTTGATCGTCGTACTCTTACACCCCATGCACTGGCCATGCTGGCGTTGGTGGTTCTGGTCCAACTATAGCGACTCCTTACATTAGCAGACAGGGCGTTGTCCGAGCAAGTCAAACACAGCAATGGCTGTACTTCTACCTCTGCGATCACAGCACTCCGCAACTATGCTTACAACCTAGAAACGGCCAATTCGATAATCTCCTTAATATCGGCGTCCGCAAGGGTGCGGCTCAGTCATTAACGCATTACCGGCAGATCCGAGCACCTAAATCGGACTGCAATGCGCATTAGCGTTGATGGCACCAGTCGGCTGGATCGCGCAGGAATACCCCAATCTGTGGATCGCGAAAAGAATGGGCGACGTCAACACTGGCTTACTCACAGGCTTACGGAAACTCGTGTCGGATCTGCGGGCGTCACAAATGGACGTTGACAGGCACCAGCAACGACAATGTGCGGCATCTGACCTAGCATATGTCTTATATGTACTCGAGAACTTGGACGGCAGCGGGTTCGCGAACGGCGAGACTGCGCCCTTAATCCCAGCACTTGGCCGATGCCGGTGTCTTGGGTCGACCAGTCGTTTCCCCGCATTTTGCACCGGGAAACACGCGACATCGTCCGCCACCCATGCATGCCGAGCTCTTAAGGTGGACGCCTGTTTGCTTCATTGGACCGCCAGTGGCTAGCAGGCGAGAAGCCGTGCAATTCTTCGGAAACGCTTTGCGGGACGCGCAACTTTGGTGAGCGCAGGCCGTGGCCAAGACATCTGCTCGGCCTTAGACCAGCGGTGGCGGCCGCCGTCTGTTCGACGAACACGATAACCCAATCACGACCTGGACAGAACCGAACTCAGACCACCGGAGATCTGCCTGACGCCGAATGGCTTGCATAAATCCCAGACAGGGCCGATGTCATATAGCGGTAGACCCTGGGTGTGCCCGCTGGCTGCGTCCTTGACATCTGCACTCATGTAGACGCCAGCGTTTGACAGTCCCAGTTGTTCGGCAACACTGCGTCGTTCGTCGCGATGGCGATAGACCCACTATCATCGATACCCATGTGGGTATGTCTCCTATTATCCGTCGCACTGATCGCCGTTCGGGTCGGTTTCCGGCTGTGGAAGAAGCAACGTCTCATCCGAGGCGACTACTGGTGCTTGTTGGCTGCCTTGTTTACCGTCGCACGTCTGGTCGCCAACTACTACCTGTTGATCTATGGCTCCACACGAAGTAGGTCAGTAGCTCTGTTAGAGGAGCTGCGCGCTGACTTCAGCATAGTATTATCGCCAGCACGCCGCCTGCAACTCCTCGAACCCGAATATGAGTCTGCAGCGTCCCAAGTCGTGATAGGAAGCAAACTGGTCTTGGCGACTCGAGCGATGCTAACATGCTTGTATGTGTGTCAGATTTAGGAGAAGCACTGCGCTTACAACATGACAGACTGTGGTGCCTGAAGATGGCCGTTTTCGATCTTCTGGCAAGACTCATCTCCAAGATGCCCTACGAACGTACCCTTGTGTACAGCTTCTGGGCCGTGCTACTTACTACCTTCATCGCATCCATAACAACTATCTACGCTGGATGTCGTCCTTTCGAGACACACTGGCAGATCTATCCTGATCCTGGAGATTGGTACGAGACAAAAGACAGCATTCACAAGCCCAATACTAACCGTGCTAGTGTTATTGGAAATTTATGGCTTATCACATACGAAGCGAGCAATATCGTGACCGATTTGATGCTTATGGCTCTGTCCTTCACGCTAGTTTGCTCGGTGAGAGTCCCCATGATACAGTGAGTCATTCTCTTTGAACCATAGAAAAGCCTTGGAACTCATCTTGTCTCAGACGTTTGCGCGTTATGGCGCTATTCAGCATCGGCATCTTCCTTGTTGCAATCAGTATCATCCGCATCATCCAAGGCAAGGACTCCCGTGCTCAGCGTGGTCACACCCTGTGGGCATCGCTCGAGATATTGCTGGCTGTAGTCGTCGCAGTGACTCCAACGATATATGCGCTTGCACACGGCCGACATGAAGACAGCTCTTTTGACAGAACCCATATGTCTGAGTATCCGAGAGGCCGCACATTCTCCGATGGCACTATCTCAGGGGACAAGGACCCCGGCGCCAGGTGGACCGAGATGCATGACGACACACTAAACAAACTAGACAGCGCAAGCTCGCAAAGAGCGTTGGTCGATATGCGACATCAATCGCTCGACGCAAGAATTGTATGACGTTCACTCGTTAAAGATAATCATTAAGGAGGCCCGACTGTACTGTCTGTGTTCTTCGCCAGATTCTCGAGCCTGAGCCTGGCGTCAATCAAGGTTTCCTCGACACGATTGTACTCATGGAATACTTGTTTCATCCATCGCCCTGCCCATGCGGCTCCATTCTCACTCTTTCCTCCCATTGATTGATAGACAAGTCCAGCATCCGCAGCGAGGACCCAGCCATAATCCGCATTGAGGTCGCGGCGTTCTGTCAGCAATCCATCGACGACACTCAAACACTGTTGCTGAGACTGTTGTTGCATCGATTGGGAAATATTATTCACAAGAAATGAGTCTACCTGCTCAACGGCCCCTTTCCCCGTGGTATTGGCCTCAAGCACGCGATCGATGAAGGCTCTAAAGTCTGTGGGTAGAATCGCATGCTCTAGTGGTCGTTCACTGGTATAGCGGGACATTGAGGTTATCCCAAAAGTCTGGACTGTATATGAAGGAAGAAAAAGTTGAGGGAAGCTACTGGCACTGCCCATGCAGTTCTCGATACAGTCAATGACCGTCCTGTGATCGGAAATTCAAGTTCCTGATCGCAAGAACATTGAATGCGCCTTACGCCTACGGACATAAATACCAACGAGCACCAACGACACGCAAGTCGAGTGCTGTCCTGCAAACCGAGTCACGAACTGCCCGATGTTTACGCCCGTACATCAAACACCACGTCTTACGTTACTAAATCAAACCTTTTGGGAAGTTCTACCCGCGAACTACGACAAAATTAAGCAGCGTTGGAAGAAAATCGCGAAGCTTCACGATGAAGCAAAGTCGGACTGGCTACCATCAGATCGCGCGGGTGCGTTGGATTCACTCAAGGCGGAGCTCGAGATGCTCGCAGCGGACGTTGACGAGTATCGGAGTATCCTAAGGGGGATCAACATTACAGATGTGGTGGAGATATACATGGTTGCTGGCAAAGCCAGGCAACGAGCGCTCCAGGTTGCGAAAGAGGATTTTGAGAATGTTGAAGAGAGCTTGAAAACGTTGGAAGACAGAGCGAGCGAGATTAAAGCTGAGCTCGTGTATGGCTTTGAGCAGCAGGCACGATCTGTGAAACAATCAACTTTGTGACAAAAGCGATTGTTGGATTTCGCTAGTTGTCAATTAATATAGCAGCCGACAGTTACATGATTATAGTGTTACAACGATCGAAATCTCAAACCCGCATCGCCATGCACAACCTCTGCTTTTTCTTATAAGGCGAGAATCAAGTGACTGCATCCCTAAAGCTCCTGGCGCTCCTTAAACCCACAGCTCCATTCATTCTGTTTCGGCAACGGCGCAGTGTTTGGAATGTTACTGCTCTCCCGAAATTCAACGATCTCTCTCTTTCCACGATTGTCCCTAATGACTGCAAACGCAGCATTTGTGAAGTACAAATTACGCTTCGCTAGTCGGTGCATACCGCCTGCCCAGCCGATCATGTAGACAAACCCTCCCTTGTCACCGTTGGCATTTGGTATGCCAAGTGTATTGATGAAGCCGTGCTGGAACGGCGCGAAACTTCTACCAAGAGTTTTGTTGAAGCTATGGTACAGCTCTAGTGAGCCTTCGTAGTTGTATTGTGTGTCGTTGAAGGCAAACTTAATGTCCTTGGAAAAAGCTGTGTCCCGCACTGTCGGCCAGTCACCGTTTTCAGGATATGGATAAAAGCCTATCAATCTTGCGTGAGTACAGATGAGATAGCTGCATACCAACCGGACTTACCATTTATTTGACATTCCAGCCAACTGGAGAGCTGGACACTAGCGTTTGCCGCCTTCATTTCAGCCAGCGTGCAGGGGTTTGGTGCACTGCCGTCGATTGAATATTTCAGCTTGGTTTGCGCGTTATCTATGTCAATTGCGAACGCATTAATAGTGGCCGTAAGACCGCAAACAGCAACTAGTTCGCATGGTTAGTGTCGGGACAGGAGGTGGTGAGCGCGTTAACCTACCAGCAGAAGAAATGAAGCGCATCGCTGGGAATTCAAAGCGATTGATTGAGATATGTAAATTGATGAACTGTAATTGGCGACCACGAGATCGACTCTTGGGACGTGAATAATATACATGTGAGTAAAAGCAATGGCTTATGTACCACTGAACACCTTGTTGCCTTGCATCCTGCATCCGCAGCTGCGGCTGAGCAGCAGGACCCGATCGCGCATGTCAGAACGAGAACGTCGACTAACAAGGCCATTTGCTGCATGCGGATGGCGGACTCGACCCGTTCTGAGAACGAGGGTGCTAAATCGATGTTCCCTGACGATGCTGACAATGCTGACAAGGCTGAGCAACAGTGCGATTGGATCGCCGGACTACAAATGAGCGTGTCATGCAATCATAAATCACGGAGGTCGATAACCTCGGCTGTGATACTCGGGTACCGAAAACAGACGGCCCAAACCACCAAATACTCAGTTGTGTGGAAATCCTGACGGCGCGACGATCCCGCGATAGCGTCGAAAGGAGAGCGATCGAGTCTGCTGTAAAACGATTCTTTTGGTATATATTATGAAAATGCCGCTGTACTTTCATCAAGCAACAGCAAGCCCGGCTGGCACAATCGGTAGCGCGTGAGACTCTTAATCTCAAGGTTGAGGGTTCGAGCCCCTCGTCGGGCTTAACAGCATTCTTTTTGTCTTTTCAGCTTGCCTGTAGCTGTCGTGGTTGTTGAGATATCGTTGGCTGAAGTTTTTGCCGCCGTGTGAAGTTGTTGGTCCGTGCCCTCGCTTAGAGCTAGCGCTGACAAGTGCCGATGGCGCACGTGCTCACGTGTCTGCGCACGATACTGGTTAGCCGCGCTATTTTTGGCCGCTCCATGAGATCGTTCGAGTTGTAGCTGTGATCTTGCGCACTTTGCCGGTACAAACACGTTAATGGCTTCAGTACGCTACGCATCTGATTTGAGGTTGGAGGAATTCCTTGAGCGTCTCTCATCCTTCCTGGTACGGTATCTCAGACGCAGCTTTAATGCACGCTGGCACGTTCGATCAGCATGCTTGACACTTTTGCAGAATCCAAACCATTCTCGTCTTAGCCAGTGAGCTGCACAACTATAACTGAATGACTGCATCCAGATATAAACAAGGAAACGCCGTAAGGAGAATACCAACTGTCCTTGCCTGATGCTGGATTTTGCCAAGTGGCTGGTATGAGGTGCCCGAGTATGGAAAGTTGTGATCGTGCGTAGGTTTCTAACATGTTTGTTGGCATATACCTTCGCTGCGCTTTCGTGTCTGAAGGCGCAGGAAAGAGCTAGCGCATCAACCTGGCCTCCCAGTCCCTCAGTCCCTCGCCCAAGGCTCGTGCTAAGCTCTTGTTCACAGCAAACTCTTCGAAGCTCACTCGACCTGTCCACCAACTCAGAAGCTCCTCAGCTCTAGCGCCACTGTTGGCATCCAACAAACCGGCTGCCACGTCAACTAAGCCGTTTCTGCCCTTCTCCACGCCGCCATTCCAGAAGACGTTTGCACCGCACTTCTCACAGAAGGTCCTTGTCACTCCGTCACTGCTGCAATAGGCCTTTATCGTACCCCAGTACGTAGTCTGACTTCCAGGGCCAGGCTCCGGGAAGACTTGTGTAGACTGCCCCTCGTGCAAGATGTTGGCTGTGGGTACGAAAGCCCAGAACGTGATGTCGAAGCCTGAAGCGCGGCGACAGGAGTGACAAGCGCAAGTGCCGGCAAGGAACCGTGTATCGTTATCGCAGAGCCACCATGGAGTATTGTGAGGGTTTGCCGATTTTTCTAGAAAATAAGGACTCATCAGATCTGAAAAGTCCGACTGCGCCGATTTTGAGGCGGCATTTGGAGGTTGGATCCAGAACTCGACGCCTTTACAGTGGCAATGGACATGTACGGGCTCTACGGAAGGCTCGAGCTTGTTTGACCAAGTGCTGTACTGGTCGACCGAGACATGCTCGCTCTTGCCAGCTTCCTGCTTCCATCTCTGCAGCAGCTTCCCGTTGACACTTGTAAGCCAATCGCTGGCGCCGCCATCTCTAGTGTCGTCGATCCACATACAGCTTTCGTACTCAACAATGCCTTCTGTGCTGTCCACCTGCAATGTTCCAGTCGCAGCTTCGAAATGCCCGTCATCGTGGTACTCGAGATACATGTGTGTCCCACAGGTTGAGCAAAAGTGCCTGGTCAGCCTCTCAGAGCTGTGGTATGGTATGAGGGCCAATAGACTTGGCTTTGGCGTCGATTTCCCGTGGGTAATGTTGACATATGAAGTCATTAGGGAGCCCGAGATCCGGCGTGAAGTGTCGCAGCTGCAGAGATGGGAAGGTAATGGCAGGGATGAGTGGGGCACTTTGAAGGCGTGCCTCGCTGCGCCGCAATAACATGACACTGTGAGCTCTCGTAATGTGTTCATGCTCGCCATGACAGTTGCTATATTAACGATTTCTGAGTAGCGAAGCTGGATATTGAGAGTTGCAAAGGCCAAATGTCGTCATATGGTGTAGGGACAGAGTTCATGCGGTTTGCGACGAAAACTGGAAGTACGACCTACGTGAGAATGGGCCAAGTGTGCGAAAAGATGTAAGGGTAGGTGTTCAAGAACAAGGTTTGATTTGATCAGGAATACACAGTGTCTAGGATTCTGCGTATGTACTAAATACCCCGCATTCTCGTCTAATTGACAGGCGCGTTCACGAGCGTCACTGCCTGTTCCGACAGGTGGTCTGAATCCTGCATGATTGATTCGAGCATTACTAATACTGCGCTCAATCAACCGCTTGACATGTAGGGTGTAGTCCATGTTTATCGCAGCTGATGTGCCGCAGAGCTATATTTTAATGACTTCGTTTCTAACAAAGACCAAGAGCAAAACACCAGTTCCACCACAAAGAGATCGCCAGGAGTTGATGTGTTAGGTTCACATAAAGGCAAAGAAGAGCACTTACTTGGCCTGCTCCTCGGCAGAGCGATCCTGATCGTGGTCCTCATCAGCCATCGGCTTCTGAGGTGGAGCAGAATGGTCGAACTTGGCCGCTACTTTACAAGTAGGTGCCAGTGTCAGTGTCTCCTCAAACTTGGGCGCCGCTTTGAAAGTACCACCTAGCAAGGCCTTGTAGAACTCTTCGTCCTCTTTCACTTTCTTCACCAACTCTTTGTGCCGAGACGCACATCCTCTCATGTCAATGACCGCTTGCGCCGTTACCTTTGGCTTGGCTGGGGGTTTGGTGTTTATCTCTGGCATGTTTGGACCTATTTTGCGGCTTGATGAGTCCGCAAGTTGATGAAACGTTCGGTTGCTGTATTCGAATGTCTACAAGCTGAGCGCTATTGGTATTTTATAAACAGAGGAAGGCGAAGTGAAGCGAAAGGTACACTGCCTTTCACTCGAACGCTTTTCACTTGACAACTACACATCGTGTGAGGGAAACATAGGCATGGCCATCGCACAGTGCTACTGGGCTTCGGTGGCTCTACTCGAAAAATGGCGACCAGACACTTCAAGGACCATAAGATGTCATGGTAAGTGTTTCGTAACGCAAGACCTCCGCCTGAAAGAGGTGAGGTGTGAGACGGAGTGTGGTTCACTCGCCCGGGTAGGATCGTCCCACATAGTCTTGGCAGAAATGAACTCCGGCGGAAGTCGCGGCGGCGCGCCTGTGCAACAACGTAAACACCAACCAGCGCGAACACACCCGCACCTCACCGCGAGGAATGCTCTTCTAATAGAAGGTGCTCATAATGAAGCCTGACACGGTAGCCCGAACATGGATCATTGGGGCGACCCTTGGGCCGACAATGCCAACGACAAATCGCCGACAAAGAACGCGGTAACGTCACCACCGCCGCAATCATACACCTTCGCACCGGTACCTCTGAACGGCTTCGTGGACGACGCGGGATGGGGAAATAATGAAGACGATGGATTTGGCGATTGGACAACACCAGACACGGGCCATGTGGCCTCGACGGCTGTGGCCTCGACGGCAGCCGGCCATGCAGACCCGGGTAGTGCCGACTGGGCCACCGTGACATACGAAGAAGGAGAGGAACTCAGCGTGAAGTGGCCTGAACCCGAGTCGAGCGCGCCGCAGGATCTTGAAAAGGTTGAATCGGAGCCCTCGGACTCATCAACTGTGTCACAGCTTGGTGAGGCTGACAGTCAGAAGCAAGACGATGAGTCTACGCAGCCACAAACAGATGTCGAGTCATCTGTGCGGTCTTCAACATCACCATCTGAAACGAGTCGTAACGAATTGGCTGTCGAGTCGCCACGAACCTCGATCGAAGATGAATGGAGCACAACCGAGGGTGTACCTCATTCAGAGCCACCAGATGTCGCTGCTAATGTAGATCCCATCGTTGTGGACCCTATCCCTGATATCACAACACAAGTCGAAGACGACACAGACGCGGATGAATCGAAAGCTGCTGAGAGTGTAGAGGAGGAGGCTGCAGGCACAGGCGATGCGCACGACTTGACTTCAGAATCATTAGACTGTCAGAGTGTATCGCATACCAGTGTAGGCTCAGGATCACCGCCTGATGATCCGGCTACAGCAACCACAACACAGCCGCATGCCCGACTTACTTCGTTCGTTTGCGATAAAGCACTCCTGGCTGAGCTGTTTCCCTCAGGCAAGGACTCAGGTAAGCAGGTGGACGAGCACGATGACCCAATCTTCTCTACCTCGGCTCGTAAAGCCTGGTATAGATTGACCCGGAAGCAAACGATGCGAGAGTACAACCACGGCGAAAACGACGACAACTACATCCGTGTCACCTGGTCAAATTCAGACGTGCGAAGTGAAGTGCATAAGGTTGTAGGTCGATGGGCACGAGAAGACCGTATCTCAGGCACTGGCCCAGGCGCAAGGGCTTCGTTCTACTGGGACACACCCACACCTGCAGAACCCAAGGCACCCTTCGGCCATTTGCGCACACAGTCTTCTGCTCCTACACCGAAGACTGCCAATCCTGCCAGACAAAGTTTGCCGCCGCTGGCTTCGAACCAATCAGCTGCCTTCAATTGGAGCTCCTCCGCAACTGCAACACCATGGGAGTTGGAGCCCCCGGTGCAGCGGTCGAATCCTACGCCGTTGGCACCGATGAACCCAGTCGTTGCTAAGCTTAAGCGACAAGAAGGTCGCGCAGCATCGGTCGATCTCACACCACGCGGAGTTGTGCAGACGACGCACAAGCGGACGGCCACGGTGTCGCACACTGCTTCTGAGACAACAACTGTAGCAAGATCCCCCTCGCCGGTCATAACAAAGCCCTCTGCTGAAGTACTGGATCCTTGGACTAGCTCTGACAGCTTTTCTAATCCTTCAACCTCTACAACCGAAGTTGTTATTACTGCTTTCGACGACGACGACGACGACTGGGGTGAAATGGTACAGACCCCTACACTGCCAACTCCACAGCAACTAGACCCGTTCTCGCAGCCTTCGGAAGCCAAAGTGACGCTTCCACCACCTCCTTTACCCGCGTCAAGCCCACCTAATATCAGCCCGGTCGAACCTGCGTCCGTCGAACCAATGCTTGGCGCTCCTATTGTACGGCTGCAGAGCACCATCTCGCCAACATCAGCATTGTTTAAAGCGAAAAGCTTCATTCCACTAAATGCTGAACAAGGTCCTATTGGGCCTGGGATTCTCAAATCAGCGAACCGTTCCAATCAGCCAAACCCGGAAAAGAAGCTCAAGGACATGGATAAACCTGAGCAAGCGAGCGTTGAGACATCAAATGCGGCTACTAAGGTCCCCATAGAAGACGATTCTAAAAAAGATGCAGAGACCTCTCCCTGGACGAGACCACCATCTTCTCCACTATCTCTCGAGGCCGGCGGAGTCGGAGCAACGACAGTAAATGTTGTCTCTCTCACTCCCACTGCACGACCAGCCACGCCTGTTGAAACATCTGCAGATTCATGGGCAGATGCTGACTTTTCGTTCTTTGAATCTTCGTTACCAGTCGCGGAGCCGCAACCGTCATTGCAAGTGCATGATCCGTCTGACCCGTTCGCTTTCTTTGAGGGCCCAGCCCCAACGGCGACACCACCTGCGTCAAAGCCATACTCACGCTCCCCACCACCTAATCCCACACCACCAATGCTGCAACCTTTGTCTGGCGCAACTAGTTCATTACAGCAACGGAAAGTTGAAGAAGAGCAGATAATCGACAACATCCTAAACGGACTACCCGATCTCAGCTATATGTTGCGACCTTAATAAATGCCAATACAGGCGACGGTAATCCCATCACACCCGCACTGTGCTCAGCACTGAGGGGTATGTATATTAAACACCATTGTGAGAAAAGTACTTGTGTGTACATGTCAATACAAAAGATTCTTATTGCTTCCAAGATTCTACCTCCCGTCGAAAGACCATGAAGCCCTGAACGCACCGAAATATTTACTCCAAATGAACCTCTTTTGTAGACGTCACCTGCCCATTTACATCACTGCTTATAATCAACACGAACATACTTGCCGTCTCGAACCTACCACTAGATCTAGTTGTGCTACCGCCGTGCTCGGCTCTCGAATACGTCGCGATAAAGCTCAAGCAAATAGCAGACGAGAGCAAATGATTGTACAGTAGTAATAAGCCTTGACTTTGCAGGAAGACCGCAGAGAAACGATTCAGGTTTCAGTGCAGGTTGGGGGTGCGGGGAAACAGCCGTCTTCGCTATTCAGTGGCCTCATCATAGCGAAGACAGGGACCTGAAGACGGCCAGAAGACAAGTCGCTGGAGTGGGTATGAGAAACGATTCCTCCAACTGAAGTGGGATAGGCAAGATCATCTATGGAGATATCATCCACACATCTACGCAAAGTGCTAACGCAGCTACTTTCGCCCAGCATGGGGACTGCTCGATGTTGATCCGGGTGCCTCCAATATGCGTGAGTGGTAACTGTCAATCCTTACGACTTGCATTGCAGCTCTACATTTGCAGCTCGACGATGGCTTGCACCAATGTCGTAACAAGCAGAGACCCTTTGCGAAATTTCACCCGCCAATCATGTGCCACACGACGCATCCGATCCTTGAAGCGACTCCAGGCACCAACAGATTCTTGTTCAGCCTCCCCAATTGCCTCATTCTCCGCGTTCTCGTACGCAGCATTCACCATCCCAATACACAAGACCTGCGCAAGGTGGGGGCGAAAATGCCGCTCCCAGGTTTCTGACGCCACCCGAGCATCGATCTCCTCCAGGGTGCAGGCTCTGTGTTGCGTGGGGTCGAGGAGCTCTTCGAACATGTCCTGAGTAACGGTGTTTGTGAATGCAAATGCGAAGGTTAGGAGCAAGCATCGAACGTTTTCCGGACGATCCTTCTTGATATTGATTGAAGGCATCGCGTTTTGTATGTGGTGCAGCGCGAGGTCGCAGAAGCATGTGCTGTTTTTATCGCGCCACTTCGACTCGACGATGGCGTTGGTGAGGGTGGGTCGAAAGACGGGGAGGAGCGTGCTGCGGGGAGGCATCTCCTAGATCACCGGATGTGTGTCGAGGTTGACATACTGGTTTTGTTGTCTGTCTAGTCTGCGAAGGCGGCTGGCGAGGGATCGTCTGGTCCTTCCTGAAAGATTGTAAAGATAGGCCTTTGGATGAGCGAACGAGGTCGAATCCGTTCCTGCCACGGCTTCAGCAGTTGTGGTAGGCATGATTATGGCAGAGAAAATGTGTTTGAAAAGCTATTGTTGATAAACGAGGGATTGTGTGGTAATGGTGAGGGCCCCGAGTGGGGGAAGGCAGAGCAAACTGTGTGTCGTCGCCAGCGCGTGGTCACTGCCATGTTACAATCAAGAGAAGGAACCAACGAATTTTCATCAGCGCAATCGAAGCTGCAACAGAGTATACGGACAATAGTCACCAATTCCATGAGTGTGTTGATGCAGTGTCGGACATTGTATGCTACAGAACTGCTTAAAATATTTACGAAGAAGACGGCATAAAAAGCCTTTCACATGAGCAACATCCTACTTCAGCGCAAGTATCTTCGCAGCAGCTTGCTCGGCTACCGAGATAATGTAAGAAGTGGGGTTTGTGGTAATGTGACTGCACACCGTTAGTTTGAATCCCGTGAACTAGGACTAGCACAACTTACGCAGGGAAGATGGAGGCATCAACGACGAAGATGTTGTCTGTGCCATACACCTTGGTGTTCAGGTCGACGACTGAAGTGCCACCACTCAGACCGCTGTCGGATCCAATCTTGGCTGTGCCAATCCAGTGGTTAGCACGGCGAGCTGAAGGTGTCTTGGGTAGACTAGCAACGTAGGCCTCAATCGTGGTGCCGGCAGGCGGGACCTGTAACTCGATCTGAGGGTTCCTCTGGATGGCCTTGACCATGCTCTTCAGACTAGCAATGACAGCATCGGTGTCGGCTTGGTTTCGGAGGTACGGCGATGTGGTTACCTCCATAGTCAGGCCTCCATTGATCGACGCAACACCACGGGAAGTGGATCCACGACCGAGATAGTTGCTGATAGTCATTGACGTGGTGTCGTTAGCGCCGGGTCCTTCGACTCGAGCAGTCCACTGGAACTGACGGTCAATGCCATCAGTACCCCTGATAACCTCCCAGGCGACAGGACCAATGTTGGGAGCAGACTGAGTGAGAATACCAGCACGCTTGTTAAGATAAGCATCCTTGTCGGCCTGAATAGGGGCGGTCCAAGCGTCGTAGAAGTTATAAAAGGAGACGTTCTTGTGCTTGATGACAAGGTCGGTGTTGACGTGATCGTTCAGGTTCTGGCCGACGGGCAAGTTAATCCACTGAGCTTCTGGGAGGAAAGTCTTGCCGTCTTGGACACTGCCCTTAACGATATTGAGCTGATCCTTTGGTCCAATGGCGCTGCGGAACAGAAGCTTAGAGGTCCCGAAAGTACCAGCTGAAAGGATAACGCGTCCACCAGCGTTGAGCGTGACGTTACCACAGTAGCCACCAGCTCCCCCCTCAAGTTCGACACCGGTGGCCTTACCGCCGGTTCGGATGACACGCTTGACGGCAGTGTTTGTCCATAGCTTGAAGTTCGACCTTGCCAGCGCTGTGACAAGGTATGTGCCGAGCGGGCCCTGTCGCTGTCCATTTGCGTACATGTAGGGTGTCTTGCTGTATGTGCGGTGCTTCTCATTCGGCTTGTCGTTGGCCTTGAGGTTGGTCCAACCATCTGCGCCAAGTGCTCCGGACAGGACGTCAAAACCCTCCTGCTTGTAGAGCTTTCCGTCTGATGAGGGTGTGTCAGTGCCGGCGATACGCTTAAACGTGCGGTCTACAGCAGCGCTCATGTCGCTCGCCTTCCAGCCGTTAGGGAAACTGTCGTCCCAGTCGACAGAATTCGGCTTCCACCAAAGAGCAGCGTTCACGGCAGCGCCTCCGCCAAGTACGCATCCAGCCATCTGATCGGTATCAGTGCAAGCAACACCCGCAGAATCAACCCAGATTTGGTTGCAAAGACCTGGCACGTCGAAGCGAGTGAGACCCGTACCCTTGAGCCAAGCGGGACCCATAGTGCCACCAAAACGGCCCAGGGATGGCGGGCCCTTCTCGATAAGCAGAACCTTCTTGCCGGCCTCAGAAAGCTTGTCCGCGATGGGGATACCACCGGCACCACCACCAACAACGATGTAGTCGTACGAGCCAGTGGGGGCAGGGCTACCCACGCAAGCTGTGGGGCCAGTGGGGGTGGGTGTAGTTGGCGGAACCGATGAAGTGGGAGAACCCACATCGACGGGAGGTAGCTTGATCCAATCGGAGTACTTTGCGTTCCTAGCTGGAGCAACCGCAATTCCAAAGGTGGATTGTCCACTGTCATGCTGGACGATGTCGGTTGGGTTGTAGGACTTGCTGTGTTGGGCCCACGAGATGACTTGGACCTCTGACGCAGTCGGCAGCTGCGAACCTGATACACCATTCTGGTTCCAAACCCAGCACTTCTCGCAGCGGTACACGAGCTCGAAGTAGGTGTCAGTAATTGTGACACTCAATTTGGTCAAGGTCGCTTCCCCGGTGTATTTCACAGGCTGAGTAAAACCGCTTGAGAAAGTTAATGTGAGGATCATCAAGCTGGAAATCGATTCACTTACGTTGCCCAGAGGAAGTCGGTCTTGATTGATGTACCCTCTACCCATGCAACAAGCAGCAGCTTGAGGTTCATGGCACCTCCATGACTGAGTCCAGAGTAGCCCTGCTTGCCTGTCCTCAAGGCACCTTTCTGGATGACGTTAACAGACTGATAAAGATAGCAGTTAATGTTCGACTCACAAGGTAGCCGATGTATTCATCGTTGGCTCCAGTCGGTGCTCCAGGTAAGGCGTAACCCCACTCGAATCCACCAGGGGATTGGGCTGAAGTTACTGTTTGTTTAAAGAATGTGATGCCAGTACCCGGGTGAGTGTAAGCGGCTTGTTGAGCATCAACAGTGGATGCGAAGAGAGATGACAGCAGCGACGCTGCCTTAAAGAAAGTGGTGACCTTCATATCGAAGAGACGCCAAGGCGAATGGTGAAGAGTCGATCGAATGAAGTCGCCAGCAAAGTTATGAGCGAGCTTAAGGTTTCAAAACGGGCGGTACATTGAGGTCTTATACATCTCAATCTGCACAAACTTTGTCGCTTTTTTCCACGGCGCAGACGCATTCAGCCAAGACATGATACTCACGAAGCGCCCATGCGCAAGTGAGGTCCATGCCAGGTACATCCTGTGCAGTGACTCGCATCCTTTGGGGAATGATGAGTGCCGACGCAACGGCCTGATGATCATTTGCGAGCGTGTCATTGGGTGATGCAGCATCGGAAGGCCCGGCCAGAGATTCAAGGTTGTTGTTTAATCTAGGGGCCCAATGTCCACGAGTTCACTTGATTGATATAAATTGATGAGAGGCGGGATGCAAGGCCCATCTGCCGGCGTCCCTGGTAGCCCCTACAACACTAGTCTGAAAATAGCTGCCCCAGACTCGCTTGCGTTCCCCAAGCGGAACTGGCAGTGGCGTTTCGTACTCCCGCGCCGTTCGCCAACGACGTTCTCAAACACTCTTCTGCGCGTCGATATCCTGCGAGAATTTCCCACGTCTGCACTGCCCTGTACCCAGTGCATGGCGCTGGCCATCTCCCGCCTATCTGCTCCATACCGCTGATCCGAAGAGAGGACGCGGGCTCGCCAATCACTTGTCCCTTGGCATGAAACGGCTCTCCCATCATCAGGCGGTAATATAATAGATGACACTCGTCGATTGCAACATTCGTCGCCGGTCTCAACCAAGTCCCGGTCCTGCAATTATCCAGAGGCGTGACCTCAACCGCCGGCAATTGGCGCCACAGATGAGATGCGCAGACTGCATACAGCGAGGCGATTTCCCCTTTCAGTGCTGTGGCCATTGCTCAATCTAAACCTTCTCGGTCTGGACTCGTCGCGTTGTTGCACATGACGCCGAGCAACGCTTCGCTACGATAGAGAGCTGTTTGACACGGTAATGACTCTATAGGAGCGTTGGGTCAAGAACGCTTTCTCGGTCCGAAAACAATTAATGGCTGCTTGCTAGCGAATATGTTCTGTTTCCAATGATCAATTTCAGTTCGTAACTTGTAGGCGTGTTTGACATGACAAGCTCCCGGATAGATTGTATAATATGGAGATTATTGACAACGTTGTCAGGCGACTACCTACTAGATTTGCTTACGGCTCAAGGTATCGACTACCGACAGGTCCGTTTCCAATGCGGCGGGCTTAATGGGGCACGAGTATAGCCATATAGGAACCGGTGCCAAAACGGAGTGAGGTCCTGACTCTTCTCTGCTACGCCAGTATGAAGTACTCGACCATCGTAAGCACTCTGCTCACTGGTGCCTCTGCGCACACGATTTTCACCCAGCTCCATGTCAACGGGGTGGGCCAGGGACACACCAAGGCCGTCCGAGTTCCGGTGCGGTAATTCGCAGCGTTAAGCTGCTCAAGCGTACTCGTATTGACCATTCCTTAGACCTATGATGGCCCGATTACTGATGTGACCTCAAACGACATGATCTGCAATGGAGGGTACTGTAGACGAACCCTGAGATCATCGAGTTCCTCAGCTTACACATTACAGTCCCAACCCACTTAACCAGCCCCTCCCCAAGGACATCATCAACGTCGTAGCCGGTGACAAGCTCAAAGCCGAATGGCACCACACTCTCGACTCTACCCCCGAGACTGACCCGTCGGACCCGATCGACCCGGGCCATCTCGGGCCAATCACGGTCTACCTCGCCAAGGTAGACAGTGCCTTGACGACTACTGTCACAGGTCTCAAGTGGTTCAAGATCTACGAGGACGGCTTGGACTCGAAGGGCGAGTGGGCCGTGACCCGCCTCTACAACAACAAGGGGAAGGTGGAATTCACGCTGCCAAAGTGCATTCAGAACGGCCAGTGCGTTCGTATGCCCCTCATCACGAATGTCGCTGATATTAATAGGTATCTGCTCCGTGCGGAGATCATTGCGCTTCACGCTGCTTCCAGCTATCCGGGTGCTCAGCTGTACATGGAGTGCGCGCAGATCAATGTCTCGGGCGGCGGCAGTGCCTCGCCGCCGACGGTCAGCTTCCCAGGCGCGTACAAGGCAACGGATCCAGGTATCAAGTTCCAGCTCTTCTGGCCGATACCAACGAATTACACGATCCCCGGACCAAGGCCATTCACCTGCTGAAGAGGGTACGTACAGGTAGGGGAATGACGGCACACACGTGAGGGTGACGGCTGGCACGAAGGAACGAAGGAAGAGCTCGGAGAGAGCTTTGTAGTAACGAAGAATGAATACATGCACTTCCTTTCTTGATGCCCTGTGACGCCAGACTCCACGCTGCAAAACCCCAAATGAATGTTCATTTGTTCATGCTCATCCCGCCAAAAACCCTATCCAGCTCCTCCGCCTCTCTTGACTGTGCAGCCCCTCCACCTTGCCCTCGGCCCTGAGCCTGCCCATCCCCATCCATAAGCCCCTGCTCCTGCGCCTTCAACCCCTCATCCACGTTTTCCGGCTTCAAGATATGCACCCCGCTATCCAGCCATCCCGGCGCAACCCTCCGTTTCTCCGCAAGATCCTCAGCGTCTCTGCGCTTCTTGTACTCGTCGAGCGTCTTCCTCGCGTCGGCCTCGAGTTTGGCAAGGTGCTCTTGCAGCGCCGTACAGCTGCGCAGGATCTGGTCTGGGTGTGCTGTTTGCCCGCTTGCGGATTGGATGTACTGCGGCGGTTCGGAGGGGTTGGACTGGTTGGCTTGCAGGATCGAGGGCGGGAGGGTCGACGGGAGGGTAACGTAGGAGTATGGCAGTGGTACGCTGTGCGGGAGCGAGAGGAAGGGCGAGACAGTCAGAGGCACCTGCGCCAGTAGCGGATGTGGGTCTGGGATACGCTTAGTGGAAGTCAACAAGTGCGGCCGTTGTGCGACTTACGTTCGTCGTGCATATTGCTGTACTTGTACACTCTGTGTAGGTAGAATACTCGACGCTTGTGTCGTGAGATTTCGCTGTTTGTGAGGTTGCGGTGGCTGAGGACTAGTGCGGGATGATGCGTGGTGGGGAAGATGGAGCTGTGGAGCTCCGATGCAGGTACCAACATTGGCATGCTCTTGCACGTGAAAGTGTGAGAGTTGGCTCTACTACTAAATCGAGCTTGCTCTTTGGAAGCTTGACAAGTGATCTAGCAACACTACCCTAACAAGATCTCGCCATAGCTGTAGTAGCGGCTATTAAATATTAGAGCGTGGAACGGCAGTGCGACCAGCCGCACCGTGCTAGATTAATCTACCAAGAGATAGCTGTGAGGTATAACATGTCACTCGAGTCCCCAAACCCAGCACACGTTTCGAAATCCGCAACCCCGTCGCGAAAGTGGCATTACAAACATATGAAATTCGAAATAAAGTGGGGAATCTCGAAGGAAGAATATTGAACATCGACGCCTAGTGCACAGCAACCATGCCGCTACACAACCACAATGCGCAACGCTTAGCGACGGCCGTGCGAGCGGTTGACGCTGCCCTGCATAGAGTCGACATCGGTCTCGAGACGCTTGATCTCGGCGTGGCTGGCCTCGAGGTCCTTGTTGAGGCGGTCGCGCTCTGCAATGAGCTTCTGCTCCCACTGCCTGAACCGCTGCTCCTCGACCTTGACCTGCTCGGTGAAGCGCTTGCGGAGAGCCTCCTCCTCCTCCTTGAATTTGGGGTTGTCGAGCTTTCTTGGGCGAGCCTCGCCAAACTTCCGTGTCTCCATCTGCTGTGCGCGATACACCTCGTAGTGGTTCTCCTCGGTGGTGTGGATGAGGTCGAGCATGTGAGTTCGGATGAGGATAGCGCGGAGCTTCTTGAAGTCGCAGTGCTCCTCGTTCTCGACTTCAGCGACACCCCAGGCGTACTGGCGGCCCTTGACAGTGCGGCCGTCGTTGGTCTGAACGTCCTTCTCGGAGCCGATCACGGAGAAGGGCATGGCATCGATCAGGCCGTGAGCGTGTGCCATGGCAGCAGCGTCATCGTCCTCAAGCGGGGGCTGGTAGAATTTGATGCCCTGTGCTTCAAGGACCTGGCGAACCTATACAACGTCAGCAATTTATTTCTGATGTATAAGCGCTTTCACGTACCCTGTTCTTGAACTTGACGAGATCCGTGGGGCTCAGGGTGTCGGCCTTAGCAACAACGGGGATCAGATTGACGCGTGTGCACAGCTTCTTCATGACCTCAATGTCGAGGGGCTTCAAGGTGTGGCCAGTGGGGCGAATGAAGTACAGGCAGGCGTGGACACGCAAGTCAATCTTCTCCTTGCGCTGCGGCTGCTGCTCCTGCAGCATGTAGGACTCGTGCTGGTCGTCGAGAAACTCGATAATGGGCTGCCACGAATCGCGGTTGTTGACGTAGTCGCCGAAGCCGGGGGTATCGATGACAGTCAGGCGGACTACAGCTGTTAGCCAGGTGTTCGTGTTCGGTGGTATCACTGGATGTACCCTTGAAGAATTTCTCCTCGAGCTCAGCCTTGGTGATCTCAATCTCGACGGTCTTGTCCATCTGCTTGTGGTGTCGTCGCTTGTGGTCGGCATAGTTCTTGATGGTTGTGGAGAAAAGGGTGTTGATGAAGGTTGTCTTTCCGAGACCGGACTCTCCAGCGACCTGCATGCGTGAGTATGGAGACGCATATGATTCTGTAGCATGCTCACCATGATCGTGAATGCAGCGCCGCGCTTAGCAACAATCTTGTGCCTGTACTATATTAGTTTCGAACGCTGTGCGTATCGTGAGAGGGGTCGCACCTCTGGTTGGGCAGCTGGAGCGAATGGTCAGCTCGAAGTTCGCGCAAATCGTAGAATGGGATATACGCACATTGGCAATGCCAATTGGGGAGGCTGACTCGGCCATCGTGAGCTGCTGTGTTCAGGATGTCGTGTGTACAAAGGTCTGGGGCGGGCGTCAGTTGAGCTACGTGGTATTGACTGTGCTTGTTGCGTGCGGAACTGACGTGATCGGTTTCCGGACGGATGGATGGAGCTGGCACCGTCAAGAAGAAGTGCGCGCTGCAGTGGTGGGTGGAGAGTGCTGGGAGAGGTGGTGTTAGGACAATTTGGCGTCCCCTTTCTGCACCACGCCCATTCGGTAGGCACGGTCCCTGAACGGGGAAGTCGCGCTACTGCGCGCCGTCGCTCTGCTAGTCTGAGCTTTGACCGCGACTTCCAAAAAGTTTCGAGATGATGCTCTCGCACGCCCCGCCGTGATAAGTAGGCAGCCTTGAGGCCACAATATTGCTGGTACCTCCACAATGAAGACTGATTTCCAGGTATGTTATGCGACACTGCATGTACTCTTTGCGATGCTGCTCACACCGTGTTAGTTCTCAAATTTGCTCGGAACCGTCTACAGCAGAGGCAATCTGCTGTTCACACCAGATGGAACATGTCTGCTGTCGCCGGTCGGTAATAGGGTGACCGTTTTTGATCTCGTCAAGTATGCTTCTTTCGGAAACCGTCAACATTGAGGCTAATAGCCTCCAGCTCCAAATCGTACACCCTTCCCTTTGCGCACCGAACGAACATTGCCCGCCTGGCGCTCAACCCTCGCGGCAACCTGCTCCTCTCTGTCGACGAGAACGGACGCGCGATTCTTACAAACATACCACGCCGAGTCGTCCTCTACCACTTTTCTCTCCGCGGCGAAGTCACCGCCCTCGCTTTTGCGCCGTCCGGGCGGCACTTCGCGGTTGGCATTGGCAGGCAAATTGAAGTATGGCATACACCATCGACACCAGATGTTGCGGAGGGCGACCTGGAATTTGCGCCTTTCGTGCGACACCGCATGTACACAGGACACTATGACGCTGTCCAGAGCATTGAGTGGTCAAGCGATTCAAGATTTTTCCTCAGTGCATCCAAGGACCTGACAGCACGGATATGGAGTGTCGATGAAGAGGAGGGCTCTGCACAAACTACACTTGGAGGCCACAGGCAAGCTATTGTAGGCGCATGGTTCTCGAAGGACCAAGAGACGATCTATACGGTCAGCAAGGATGGTGCGTTGTTCATGTGGAAATACATGCTTCGATACGATGCACCAGACGATGCCGACGAGGAAGATGACGACAACCTTCAGTGGGGTATTGCTGAGCGACACTTCTTCAACCAGAACAACGCACACGTTACATGCGCTGGTTTCCATGCGCAATCGAAATTACTGGTCACTGGCTTCTCGAATGGCACCTTTTTCATCCACGAACTCCCCGAGTTTGCGCAGATTCAGAGTCTGAGCATATCGCAAAACGACATCGACTATGTTGCGATCAATAATACTGGAGAGTGGCTTGCATTCGGTGCTTCAAAGCTGGGGCAGCTGCTAGTTTGGGAATGGCAGTCCGAGTCGTACGTTCTGAAGCAGCAGGGCCACTTTGACTCGATGAACACAATCGCGTACTCGCCTGAAGGCCAACGGATCATAACAGCAGCTGATGACGGCAAGATCAAGGTGTGGGACGTGAACTCCGGATTTTGTGTTGTAACATTCACGGAACACATGGGTGGTGTAACAGCCTGCGAGTTTGCAAAGAGGGGCAATGTCCTGTTCACAGCAAGTCTGGACGGATCAGTAAGAGCATGGGACTTGATCAGGTACCGTAATTTCCGCACATTTACAGCACCATCGAGGTTATCATTCTCATCGCTAGCGGTCGACCCCAGCGGCGAGGTTATCTGCGCCGGCTCGCTCGACACATCCGATATCCACATTTGGTCTGTCCAGACTGGGCAACTTCTCGATACTCTTTCTGGCCACGAAGGGCCGGTGTCGACGTTGGCGTTTTCTCCAGATGCATCGACACTTGTTAGTGGAAGTTGGGACAAAACTGTTCGTGTCTGGAACATCTTCGCACGCACACAGACCAGCGAGCCGCTGCAGCTGATGGCGGATGTCCTTTCCGTTGCCTTCCGCCCCGACTCGAAGCAAATAGCTGTCACTACCCTTGATGGCCAACTGACTTTCTGGAACGTGTCTGATGCCGCGCAAGAGAATGGTGTTGATGGCCGTCGCGATGTCTCTGGTGGGCGAAAGATGTCAGATCGTCGCACAGCAGCCAACGTTGCTGGTACCAAGTCTTTCACCACAGTCAGGTACAGCGCAGACGGCTCATGCGTTCTTGCTGGTGGCAACAGCAAATACATTTGTCTTTACGATGTGCAGTCTGGTGTCTTGCTGAAGAGGTTCACTGTATCCGTCAACCTCTCGCTGGATGGCACACAGGAGTTCCTCAACAGCAAGTTGTTGACAGACGCAGGGCCACAAGGCCTCATCGATGAGACTGGTGAAGCTTCAGATATCGAAGACCGCCGCGACACCACACTACCTGGCGCACAGAAGGGTGTCGGCGCAAGAAAAACGCGCCCCGAAGTCAGAGTGCCCGCAGTAGCATTTTCGCCAACAGGACGAGCATTCTGCGCGGCTTCGACAGAAGGACTCCTCATCTACTCACTCGACAACGTCTTCCAGTTCGACCCCTTCGATCTTGACATCAACGTTACACCTTCCACAACTTTCGAGACTCTTGCGCAACAAGAGTACCTGAAGGCACTTGTCATGGCTTTCCGTCTCAATGAGCGCAACCTCATTCGCCGTGTCTATGAAGCCACGCCAGTTGAAGACATTCCTCTTGTTGTCAAAGAGCTACCAGCAGTCTACCTTGGTCGGTTACTGCGCTTCGTTGCAGTTCAGGCTGACGAGTCACCACATCTTGAATTCAATCTTGTTTGGATAGAATCCCTTCTCAGCAAACATGGACGATGGATGAAGGACAACAAGAGCGGTCTCGAAGCTGAATTACGCAGTGTAGAGAAGGCCGTCAAGCGGATACAAACAGAACTTGCAAGACTGGCAGATGAAAACATCTACCGGATAGAATACCTACTCGCACAGCCAGTTGAGACAGTCGAGAAGTCTCGAGAGCTTGACTTTGAGGTCAAGTCGATAGGCAACAGCGTTGTTGATGAAGAGATGATAGATGGCGAAGATGACGAGGATGAGGGAGGGTGGGAGGGCTTTGAATAATCACGTCAAATAGATTTAAAAGCCTGCGAAGACAGGCATTCATTGGTTCATTGAAGATCTATCCTCCTTGCCTTCTTGCCGTGGCATTAACAAGTGCTCCAAGCATTCACGACGCGATTCCCAAATCACTCTAGCGTGACCCCACCCCAGCCATCCTACGTCAACCATCGCTCAACTTCCTGAGACATCTGCATCACCCAAACCATTTCCCACAACACGATAGAGCTCTAAAACTACAATTCAGCAATGTCGTCTCGTTGTTCTAGTAATGCGCAATCACTCGCGTCTTCCGTCAATGTGACCGCGCTTCTATACGAGCAGTATCAGAACGCACCGAAAGATGATTGGGATCGGCTCTTGAAATGCTGGGGCATCTCTGACTGTGGAGACTGTCATCGTAGTAAAGGGTCCTGTGGATGGTGTCCAATTGTAAGTTGTATTCTGTCTTCCTAACATGGTCTCACACTGTATGTACATGCAAGTAGCCGTAGTACGCAAACAGAACGAGACCACAAACACCGCCTGTCAGTCGCTCACGTATTTCTAGTCTTCAACGTGTCTTCCTCTGCCCACTGACCGCCTTTCTAGAGCATTCCCGCTCTTGACGCCAGTCAGGTACAAAGGCATCTGCGCCGTCGGCTCCGAGCGATTTGAGCTTAGGACCAGTGGCTTGGGCTGTCAGGTCTCTACGATCACATTCTTGACCGCTATTGTCACTATCTTTGCGACCATCTTCGGGCTCTTGGTCATCTACGGTTTGACGATTGTCGGCAAATGGCTCTACCTCGTGAGCCAGGGAAGCAACAACGGCTGGGTTCAGTATGCAGATGGCACAGGAGAGGTCTGGATCAGGAAGGAGAGCTGGGGCAAATGGTGGAGGAGAACTATCGGGCGACAGAAAGAGTCTGAAATTGAAGAGGTAGATGAGGGTACGAACGAGATAGGCTGGAATTGGTGGAGGATGGCGAAGAGGAGTATCAACGGATCTGCTGATGAAGGACGGGTGCGCCTTGAGTGATCTGCTCCGACTCAAGCATGCTGGCTGCTTCACGATGGACCAATCCATTCTTACCTTCACTTACGTCATCAGTCGCAACATTGAGTTTCGTTTGCAGTGAACCAGTCCTTCTCTTACCTTACTTTCCAGCGCACGTGCGTCCCCGCGTGGCCCCACTGCATAAGGTCTGCTCCTCTACCCTGCGCACATTCTTCTTTCTTAACTCCCACTCACAACCCGACCAGCTTTCGTACAGTTAGACAATAAACCTTCCAGCTCTGTCAGACCAACAACTGTCGTCATGTCCTGGCCTCCAGGCAGCGTCTTTCCTTCTGGGGCAGAAGCAAAAGGCTCTCATGTGTCTTCGCCCAACCCCGTTCCCAAGCTATCTTCAAGTAAAGTCGGCGTAGCCGGTCTTGCTGAACGCCGTCGTGAAGGTTTGTACATCCGTGATTCAGGTGTGTGTCTACGACTGATGTGATCAACTAGCTGCTGCGCGTCGCAACGAGAGGATGCAGGCTCGCGCCGCTGCGCGCAGTGATAGCGGTCGCAAGAAGAACAGGTGGAGTACAGTTTCACTTTCTAGTGAGCCTAGACAGGTGGCAGATGCGCTGGCTCAGGCCAATGTTAATGACGCCCGTACTTTGCAAAACCGCGAGAAAGAGAGGTCAGTATTGTCCGTGACTCATTTGCATATGCACTTACCAATCCACAGCCCTCTCGAAACTCGGGATCTGACCGGAGGCATGTCCGCTGGCTCAAAGCCTAGAGTTGAGAGCATCAAGAAGTGGGCGCACCTTGGGAAGCAGCCGCACAACGGTTCGATCCAAGCCTTCCGTTCGCGATATGTTGATGTCCCGCTATCCCACAGCGAAGCTGCTGTGCCCACGAACCCAGATGATACGCCCCCAACCAAGGTCGAGAATATCCGCTTGCCTCCGCATCCCCAGCAAAAAGTCAATGATTGGTCAAAGCCAATATTTGGCTTCTTCGATATAGATCGGCCTACAGGCGAGCCTCATGGCGCTTCAAGGTCGTTTCTTACAATCTCCTGATTTCTACCAAATCACTGACTTCGTCCAGGGTTCAAGAAGCCAAGACTCAAGCTGTGGACGAATTTCAGAATGAGAGCGCATCGACAGCTCATTTTCGTATACTCCGAGCTGGAGACCCATCGCAGGCCTTCACTCAGCCACTTCATGACGACGCCGAAGACACGGCAACGTCTGTGCAGTGCAGGTCCCGAAGCTACTCAAGACTTGAGCGACTACGCAGTGTTCCACCCTACTCAGCCAGGTCCGCCCGCGAGAAGAGAGTTGAGCTCGTAAAGACGTTCTGGGAGAAGCTTCGCATCCAAGAAGAGGCTGAGATGAGAGCGGAGGCAGTTGCCGACACTGCGGCCACAGCTGAGACTTTCGAAGGGCGCCCTTTGCACGACGGTCACGATGAAAACACACTAGGTGACAAACGCTTCAACGATGGTGACACCAATTTGGACGTCTTGACACGCAGGCTTGATACTTTGGGCATGGGTAATCTACTATCCCATTCGGACGACCCTTGGGACCTGTCCGTTCATCACTATGCCTCAGATGCGGCCACTATCGATGTATCGGATGTTGAGTCAGACGAAGACTTCGGTTGTGAGTATCTCGCTCTCTCACGAGATCCAACACCACATCCGTCTACTCCCACGTCTGTGTCCGACACACAAAACCTTCGACACTACACGCCTTCCGAGGACTGCGACTATCCTGATCTCTTGTGCCCAGTTCCGGTGACAGACTGTTCTCGCTTTCCCCATGGTAGCAACGCAACACGCGACGACGCTGGCACGCTTGCAGCTTCGAACAAAGGTGGTGCAGAAGTCCTCGCCTCAGCACCAGCCTCAGTCTCAGTCTCAGTCTCAGACGATGAGGATTCTTCGCCATCGCCTCAAATATCTGGTGAGATGTCCCTCAAAGAGGCTTTGGGGATCTTAGGCCTTGTTCGCTACAGGTCCGTCGATCGTGCCACACTGAAAAAGCATTTTCGTAAGAGTCTTGGTTCGGTCGACTTCGTTACAGCGACTCGTGCCCTGAGTATGATCGCCGACCACCAAGCCGAGCGTAGATGGATCATTCGTCTGCGATGGGATGATGCTCTTGATGAGAAGCTGCTCCAATGTGGCTCCGGTTTCAAGACCGAGAATTGGTACAATTCTTACCTTGCTCAGTACTTGGGAACTACCGTGCTCGATTGTCGCGAGCGTTTGGAGCATCTCAACTGCAAGGCGGAACAGTCGCAACAACCCGAGTTGGATACGAACGATACCGTTTCCCAGAAGGCCACCGAAGGCTGTACTGCAGAGCGTCACGAGCCCTCTCCCGATATGACGACCGATGAACCTCTATCGTTGCCATCGCCCAAGCCGAAGAGTTCATCTATGAAATATATGAAAGTTGAGGCTTCTGCTAGCGAAGATGCTGCTGACGATGTCTCTTTTCACACTCCAACCGAGGTAGCAACCTGGGGCTCCGGTGTAGACAACGCGTTTACCAACTCCGATCCTTGCAACTGTGGAGGCTTTGGCCAATGCTTGGGGCACTGCACTGAGGCGCCTGTCCCCGATCATAACGAGGCAGCCTGTTGGGATACTGGCGGTGCTTGTAGTGGATGCGGAAGCACCTGGTGTAACTGTCCCTCAGATCCAGTCTCCCACGATGAAGCCTCGAAGCCAACTTCTGTGACCCAAGATGATGCTTGGGGTAACGCGGGAGACATCCCAGATTTTTGTACTGGATGCGGTGGTCCAATGGGTGACCAGGTATTTCCGTGGGGCAGTTGCTCGCCAGCATGTGCCGGTGGCTGGGATACTCCGAGCACTGATGCTGCCTCTAAACCTCGACCTGCTTCCTTCTGGCCCTGCATAGTCACCTACTGGGCCACCATCGAGTCTGGCGACGAGACGATCAACATCCCCATCGACGACAAGCACGTTCACGGTCCTGAGAAGACCATTGCCAGCAGTGGCATGCACAAGGTCTGGAAATGGATCCACGACAAGGGCGTTGGTGACAAGATTAGTCTGCAAGATGCTTATGACTTGGCTGAGTCCATGCATAAGGGAGAGGACGAGAGCACGGTCGAGACGCTCGCTAGCAAGGCCAAGTTGGAGAAATCGAACTGGTGCCCTTGGGGTGACGCCTGATTTACCTTGGCTCTATCTGCAGGCGGTGTTGGAAGGGTTCAATTTCTTGACGGCATTTGGGCATTGGGCTCCTGGTTCTGGCCAGCAGTCGGGAAGATGGCATTCATCGAGATATGCGTATGGATACAACGAGGCACTTACACGATGCCTTATGGATGTTTGATAGCATGAGCTCGGCAAGGCTCGTAAGATTTGGTTAATACGCGATACCAACAAACATCATGAAAATCATCTGTGTCAATCTCCATCGAGGCTAGATCCTTATGTCGTTTTTTTTGTATTTGTGTCTTCTTGTTCATATCTCGCAGCCACCTTGTCCGCCTGAGTGACTCCCCCATAATATTCCGCTGTCCCCGCATCCCATCATCTATTGACTCTGACTCCCGGTCCTTCCATCATCTCAGAGCAGCCCCTTCCTAGCCAAGTCGACCTTCTGGGCAAACTCGCCGTCCTTCCACCCGCCCTTGCTACCACAGATCGCAATTCCTTCGCCCAGTTCGACCTTGTCTTCGGTGGCCTCCCATGCGCAGGGGCAGTGGTGGGGGAAGTGTACGCAGGAGAGGGTGCCGGGGCAGAGGTAGTGTGAGCATTGTGCTGTGACACATTAGTTTGACTTCCTTCCCTTGTGGCTACTTAGTCACGTCAGATGATCAAAACATACCGTTCTCGTACTGTGCCTGGTACCACGAACTGTCGCTTCGCACGTTGGCTTGCTGCTGCTGCTGTTGCTGTCCGTTGCCGCCGAACATTTGATCAAAAAAGCCGAATTGCGCGGTCGCCGTAAGCGTCCAGAGACCGAGAAGAAGGAGAAGTTTGAGCATGGTCGCTGTATCTGATCTTGTACGTAGTGACTGTGCAAGTTGGGAGTTACTCAAGAAGTGACGATGTTGCTGATGTGGAGCTTAACGTCGCCCTTCGCTGATTGGCCAACCTTAAGTGGGAACTACAGGGATGTGCAGCCAAGACCCGAGCCCTCTCGGTGGTCCGCAAAAATTCCATCTCGAAATTCGCGAAGCTTGCAGCTCCTCAACCGCCAACGTCCAACACCGCCGTTCACCACCCACAAATACCGCCGCCATGCATCTCATGTACATTGCCGACCCCGCGGACCCGACCAAGCGCATCTACACCCTCCAGAAGGTTATCGATGGCAAGGTCTCCAAGAGCGCACACCCAGCTCGCTTCTCGCCCGACGACAAGTACAGCAGGCATCGCGTGACCATCAAGAAGCGCTACGGACTCCTGTTGACACAGCAGAGTAAGTCGATGATCTCAGTATGCAGAGGATAGGCGTGTGAAGAGATGGACATGGAGGGCAGCACACGGACTAGGCCTGAAGATGGAAACTTGCGAAGCTACGAACAGGACTGACAATCCCACAGAGAACAAGGTTGCCGAGCGCGCTTAGAACGAATAACTACACACTGCATCCGCAACTGGGCGTGTTCAAGCTGTAGCAACGCACCAACTTGCGCAGCCGAACGCGCCGCACTCAGGGCGCATTCAGCTGTTGGGATGACTACGATGTAGAAAAAAGGCACGGCATGGCGTTATACGGCGTACGGGCGGAACTGCAGTCCAGTATTCTACGACTAGCACGAGCCCAGGGTTTTTTGACGAAGCACCAATACCAATTTCTCACTTCAAAGTTCAAACTGCACACCAGACGCGCCTCACGTGTCGCTCGACCCACCACTGACACCTAAACCTGCTCTTCCTGCTGCTTCTCCCCGCTCACTTTCTCACTCATTTCGACACCCATCTCCCCCTCCTTCCGCTCGACCCACTCCACGTCCTTCCTCAGTATTCCCGTCAACATAATAACATCCACAATGACAAGCTGCAATGTATTTGCCACCCCGTCCGTCGCCCCCACCGCATCTCTCCACGCCAGCACCACACTCCACGCCGCCACGCACCACAGCAGCGCGTCCACCCCCGCGCCCCGCACCACCCGCCGACCCAGCTTGAGATCCACACTGCGCTCCACGAGCTTGGAAGTGCAGTCGGCGATGTACACGAGCTGTGCGAGCAGCGCAAGGGTCGTCATCTTGGGAATGCGTTTTCGCGGCGGGCCCCAGCGATCGATCAGGTGGATGACGAAGTGACTGGTTTGCAGGGCCAGGATGAGCGCGAGGGCTGCGCGGCGGGTAAGTTTTCGAAGAGCGGATGTTCTCATCTTGCTGTGACTGTTTGCTTGATGTTGTGTTTGATGTGGATGATGAATGTTGTGAGGGTTGGAGAGGCTAGGCTGTAAGGCCGGAATCAGGGTTGATATTGGTGAGATGCGGTGGTTGCTTACTTCCCACCCCGGCCAATCAAACACCCGCTGCATACACACGTCACATTGCCTTTCAAGTGCATACTCATTCCAGGTTTTCAGTATCCACGAGCCGCCCATGGCTCCATCGCACCAAGCCGAGCTTACCGACGCTGGTAGGTGCTGTTACCTAAACATCTTCTCTAATCTTTACAGATCTTGTCGATACATTACTTCTGATTCAAAATCACCGCATCCAGGCTCTTCGACCAGCTAATTGGCAGGCCATAACATTATTAGGCAGGAATGAGCTTGAATGGAGAGTTTCAGTTCGGGCTCTGCGGTCAACATGCCGCGATAAGATTGTGTTGGATTCTACAGACGCGCCAAGTGGCTTTTCACACGTGCAGTATCCTTTCTCGGAGTACCGCAGGAACAACCTCGGTCTCATAGAAGTGTTTGATGCCTTCCGCACAGCTTCGTCGTACATATCGAACCAAGCGTGCACGGCCCTCTCCATCTCACTCGACTGTGCATGAACCGACTTCCAACCCCAAACATGATTCATCATGTTTTCACTCTTGACTAGTCTCCGGCGTCTTAGGGTTAATTCTATCTACAACACCCTGCCGTGCTTGAATCGCGTTCGCCCGCCACCCATCAGATCATTTCGACTTCCTTTCCAACCAACATCTGCGTGCCTTAATCGTGACGACGAAGACTACTTCCGCTACACCAGCGGCCGCTGGCTCTGGGACGAAGAAACCCAGCTTCGCGAGCGGTACAAACGCTTCAATGTATCTGCGCTCCAGAAGATCGCGGTCAAGACCGTTGGCGCGCGGTCTTGCGTGGCCATGAGCAAGCTTGCGGAAGGCGGATCCAACAAGGTCTTTCGGCTCGTCATGGACGATGGCGCCGTTGTGATTGCACGCATCCCGAATCCCAATGCTGGGCCGCCGTTCAAAACAACCGCGTCTGAAGTGGCGACTATGGATTTTGTATGTTGGCTTGTTCGTGCGAATCAAGTTCGCGGGCTGATGAGTGTGAACCTGTAGGCTCGGACGGTGCTCGAGATTCCTGTGCCGAAGGTATTGGCATGGAGCGCGGAGGCCGAGAATCCTGTAGAGTCTGAGTACATTCTGATGGAGGAGGCTGCTGGTACTCAGCTCGGCGAGGTTTGGGACAAGATGGAGATTGGTGATAAGCTCAAGATTGTGGACGATATTGTCGCCATTGAGAGAAAATTCACGTCTATATCATTCACTCGGTATGTTTGCCAGCCTGGCGCGTTTTTACGGGCATAACTGACAGTCGATCACAGTTATGGGAGTCTTTACTTCGCGAGCGACGCCTTCCCGGGCTGCGAAAAGCTCGAAATTGTTGGTGATCTACCGCAATCATTGAGAAACGTGATGAAGAACCGCTTTGTGATAGGTCCAGTCGTTGATCGAGACTTTTGGCATCGAGAACGGGCATCAATGGATATTGATCGCGGTCCATGTGAGCTGCATTGTATACAGACCATACATCACCGTCTCGTCAATAATTTTGTGTAGGGAACCGTGCTTCAGACTACCTCTTAGCAATAGGCCAACGAGAGATTGCCTGGATAAGGAAATATGCCGCACACAAGCCGGTAAGCGGCCTGCTTGCAATATCTGAAGCGCAGCGCACTCCAGAGTCCCACATCGTCCTTTACAAGAAGTTCCTAGACGTTGTTGAGTATCTTTTACCAGAAGGAGAGGAGATCAGACCTACCCTATGGCATTGGGACATCCACGCACCTAACATTTTCGTCGACAAAGATCATATTACGGGTCTCATTGACTGGCAGGATATATGGGTCGGTCCCTTGTTCCTTCAGGCTCGGCATCCGCGGCTCGTAGCTTACAACGGAGAGCTCATCACAAAGCTACCTAAAAGCTACGATACTCTTGAAGACGGAGACGAAAAGGAACACATTCGGACCCAGGTTGAGAAGTCGATCATCTTGTGGACATACAAAACTGAGACCAAAAACGCAAATCCAATCCTCCACGATCTATTGAGCATAAACCAAGGGCGCAACAGGCGAGACACTGTAGATTTCTCAGCCAATACGTGGGATAGAGACATCATCCCCTTCAGGCAATGTCTCATCCGCATAGCACGGTACGTTGACGCAACACCAGCCATTGTTTTCAGCATCAGCCGCTAACATGTGAGACTCACAGTCACTGGAACGAGATCAATAGTGAAATTCCCTGTCCAATAGGGTTCACCGATGAGGAGCTGGAAGCTCATCTCCGGGATGGGGAGGGCTGGAATTCGACCGCGGACTTCTGGGACTCGGTCCAGGGGTTTGTCCAGCGCGATGGATGGACGTCAAACGAGGATTACGAACAGGCACTTGAGATATTCGCGCAGATTAGAGATCAGGGACTGGAGAGCTTGAGTGGCAAGGAATTGGTGGCTTTCGAGGAAGGCACTCGCTGGGCTGTGAGAAGGCCTGAAAAGATCAAAAACGTGTAATTCATACGAGCCAAACTTAGATCTCCTAGAACATAGGTGACAATACAGTGCAACTAGACAATTAGTAACAATGCCATGGCGATGCTGGCAGAGAGAGAAGGCTGACTACTCGAGGTTGCGAGGCGCGGAGAACGGCACCTGTCCGCTGTTCCCGGCGAAGATCAACCCAATGGCAGTAATCCGCATTGCTAAGCAGCAAACGCCATCCGCGGCCGGTGTGTATTTTACGTGATGCCATCCTCCGCGCATTGTGGTGCACGACATAGCGTGTGACGCCTATGAGTAACTGCAGTTAAAGGTCGTGAAGTTCACCGGAGAGCTGGGATGAGAACTCCGGCGAGAAGTCCGAGATTGTGGGGAACCCCATTGTTACGAATCCTACTCCGCAAAACCAGCAACTCGCCCGAAGAATCCGTTGCAAATGCACCAAGCTGGACTCTCAAGCTGCTTGCCAAATCACATCAAGCTAGTCTCCGCAACCGGCGCGCTTGTTGAGGGACTCATCGTTTCTCGGGCACATTGCCGATCTTCCGTTGCCACGACTTTTGTACTCATACACCGAATTCCACGCAAACCCAATCAATGAGAAGGAGCTAGGATTGCTGAAAGAAGAGCACGATGGCCGCCCACGACGTCGAGAAGGGAGCACTTGATGACGCCACGCCATCTCAGGAAGTCACCAACACCATAAACAACGTATACGCACCCAGCCACACGTCCTCGGAACACGAAATCGAAGAACAAATCGAAGAACAAATCTCGAGAATATCTACCCACGCGTCCCGCCACTCCCGCACCGTAAAGTCCAAGAATGCACTTACCAACCTCGCCAAAACTATCACAGCCCGCAGCAACGCCTCCGTCATCGACCCGGGCCCGCCTCCCGACGGCGGCCTGAAGGCCTGGACCCAGTCCTTCATGGGCCACTTCGTCGTCTTCAACACGTGGGGCCTGATCGCAACTTTCGGCGTGTTCCAGGCGCACTACACGCAGGACCTGGGTTTGGAGCCCAGCGCGGTGTCGTGGATCGGGTCGATGCAGATGCTGGGGCACTTCTCGCTGGGCATGTTCAGCGGGCGGCTGTTCGACGCGGGATATTTCCACTGGGTGGTGATCCCGGGGATGCTGCTCGCGGCGCTGGGCACCATGCTGACGAGCCTGTGCACGCAGTACTGGCACTTCTTCCTGGCGCAGGGCCTGATGACGGGGCTGGGGAGCGGGCTGCAGTTTGCGCCGACGATTAGCCTGGTCACGACGTATTTCAGCAAGAATCGGAGTGTGGCCCTGGCAATCATGGCGAGTGGGAGTGCCACGGGCGGGCTGGTGTATCCGACGATTGCGCGCCAGTTGATGCCCCGCATTGGGTTTCCGTGGACGGTGAGGGTAATGGGGTTTATGATGTTGGCGGTGGGCTCGTTGTATTGCTCGTTGCTCAAGCCGCGTCTGCCGCCGCGGAAGTCGGGGCCTTTGTTTGAGTTCGGTGCGTTCAAGGAGCCGCCGTATAGTCTGTTCCTGATTGGAATTTTCTTGATCGGACTGGGACAGTACTTTGCGTTCTACTACATCTCGAGTTTTGCGCTGGACATCTTGGATGTTCCTTACGCAACAAGTGTCAATGTTCTGCTTGTGCTCAACGGTGTTGGCGTGCTGGGGCGCCTGATTCCGTCTTACTTCGCAGACAAGTGGACGGGCCCGTACAATGTTCTGATACCGTTCTGTTTCATTTCTGCGATCGTCCTGTTCTTCTGGCCGTTGGTTCACAGCGAGGCTGGGCTCTATGGATGGGCTGTCTGCTACGGGTTCTTTGTAGCAGGCTTCCAGGGCATCTTTCCTGCAGTCTTGACGACCTTGACGAAAGACATGAGCCGGGTGGGAACAAGGAACGGTATGGGCTTTGCAATTATGGGAGTAGGCACGCTTGTTGGCCCGCCGATTGCAGGTGCACTGATTCAAAATAGTGGGGGTAGCTACCTTCCCGCACAGATGTTCGGAGGTGTGACAGTGTTGCTTGGAAGTTGTGTGCTGGTCATTGGGAGAACGGCGATCACTGGGTGGAATCTGAAAGTGAGAGCTTAGAGACTGAATCGTTCTGGACGAGACAAATTATTCCTTAATACAATGCTAGAACGCTTTCATGATCGCAAGGAACGATACTTAGTCTCCAGCCGCTAACACAGAACGCACATAACTTCAGAAGGAAAGATGCTAACGCTTCGCAATGCAGAACACCAACCACTCAACCCTTATATCCAGACACTTACTTGAGACGATCATCAGTCTGGTGTCGATAGGATACCATTCTCCACACCACGTAGAGCTTGTAGTGCGCGATCCAGCTCAGCCTCCTTGACCATCACTGTGCCAGCTCGCGCTGTACTAAGATAGCTCATCTCAACAGGCTCCTGGAATCCTTCAGAGGTTTCCCCAAGTAGGCGCCCTGCAACACCACACACGATACCCGTACTTTCCGCTGGCAGGTCGCGTAGGTCTAGAGAGATTGGGATGAGATATTCCTGCTTCGAGCCAAGCAAGACGTCTTGCGAAAAGTTCGGAAGCAGGGTGTGATCGATGAGGAGTGACGCAGGTTCGCTGTCAGCTAGCGTGAGGGATAAAAATTTCGGACACGGGGACGAGATGAGGCATTTGACCAACCCAAGGTGTAGCGCGTCCTCTGCAGATGTTGTCGAGCCATTGCTCTGGCTGTCTCGACGACTGCCACATTGAACGAGGCGAACCTTTGAATCGACTGTGGGTACGATGTTGCGGCGCTTCAGTGTGGCAAATGTGCGTGCCTGCAGTTCGGAGACGGTTGCTGGAGGCGGCGTCCCGGGTGGCTGAACTTCAAAAGTCGGCACTGACGATTTGCGGCTGTAGTGATCTGGATGAATGTACGACGAAGTCTGGTCCTCAAAACGTAGGCCGTTGTCTTCTAGAGCCTGGATGACTTTGTTGCGATAACGTGATGGTACTAGGATATAGTCTGAGTAGTAGCTCGTGATGAAAAAGATTGATCTATTGCTTGTCAGATCTGCTTCAAGGTCTTACTGGCGTCACACTCACATCCCAGCCAGAGCGAGAGGCCCGGTCAACTCCAGAACCCGGCGATCTGCGTCAAGACCCTCACCATCAATTTGCATCACCACAAAGTCTTCTGATGTGATTGCGATCTCGCTTCGCGCATCGGGGCCCAACAGACTCAGGACGGGAACGAAGAATTCATTGACAAGCTTCCGAGAGCAGACAATTGAGCACTCGACGGGCGTAACTGAGATGTTGATGAATGGTTGCTCATCGTCCCAACCATCAGGTGGTTGCACGGCGCCATTGCTGCCGTTGGAACTAGTGCCAACCGATGAGGACGGCAACACTAGCTGTAGCACGGACTGAAGAAAGTTACTGTAGAGATGTAACGGAATGTGAAGGAGTGCAAGTCGAGTGTCCTGAAATGCCAACATGTTAGCGAGTGGTCGGGAGAAGGACAAAGAATTTCATGGATATAAGACATGCGCCGTGCATCCGTGCATACGACCCGCGCAGCCATTCCAGGCAGGTATGATGCAGGGTGCGTTCTAACGCAAGGTACACAGCATTGACAGAAGATAAGGCACGTACCAAGAACTTGATGTTCGCACTCATCAACGACTGAGATGCATCCATGACGTGCAAGTACACGATAAGACTAGCCACTGGAAACAACCGGTAGCGTGGTTACGGGAAGTATGTGGGTACTTCTCGGATCGGCAAGAGCACGCTCGACAGGGCTGAGGCCAAGGCCGGGGAACGTAGAAGAAGAAGTCTGAACGGATGTCGATTGTCTGAAGCAAAAGCAATGCGGGCTTAAGCTGTATGATGTGTTGTGCAGTCCCAAGAACGGATCCTATCGGTTGATGTGTTCTTGTCCAACAGGCCAGTGGGAAGTATCGTTCTTAAACCCGAAATTCATTCCAATAGACAAATTGAACGTGTCACTCCAGAAGAGCGTACAATGGCCGAAAGTGACGGTGGGACGCTCGAGCTTTACGCGAAAGATTGGCTTCTTTCGAAAGCCAGCAGCGCGGGTGAGCGTACTGGGGTGAAGCAACAAGAAACGGGACCGCTGGAGCCGCTGTACTCTTCTTGGTGTTGGTGCGAACCAGGGCAATGCTCGTGGTCGGACTTTGACGTACAGTTGCGGCGTAGAAGCCCCCCTCTTTTGTGATTGGTCGGCAAGGTCCGAAGAAGTACAGCTCAATCTACCTTGCAGTTCGTGTCGAAGCGCTATGCGTAGAAGCGGGGCGTGGGGGCGACCTGCGTGTGGACGGGTTAGAGGCGGCTGAAGGCTGGACCCGTGCCTGCGCGTACTGCGGTTGCTTGCGTCGAAGAAGCGCAACAGGTCAGCACAAGATGAATGCCGGGCACAATGACGCGGAAGGCTAGAGCAAGAAGTCGGAAAGGTCCGAAATCTGGGTACGCCGGAGTTTTAATGAATCCGCACGTTAGTGTGGAGCAGATCTTTCATGATAGTCCTCGGGAGTTGGTGACTCGAACTTCGAGCCCCGAAATTTTTCCTTTCGAAGCATCGAGCTGGAAAAACCAGAGATAAGAGCAACGGCCACAAAGCGTCAACGCACAGTGAAGCAAATGACAACGGATTTGGCGACGATGGAAAGCCACAGTGCATCACCTTTGTTGTCGGTGCGGTCATGCAGCACTTCTCGATCTGGCAAGGATGGCCGTGCACCCATCGTGGTGCATGACAGTTGCCCTCGTTCTGACCTCATCTGTCAGCCCAAAGCCGCGTACCTGAGTACCTGGCGTGGAAAACGCCATTCGCTCATCAACATTGCACAGCATCTGACGCTTCATCCTACTTCGTATCGAGCGACTCCGCGCATTGGTGGCCATCCAAGGTCATCATGACGGAGGCCTCGCTTTTCTTGCCATCGAACCTCCCGAAACCCAATCGTTGTCACGCAGTCACAGCTGAGCACTGGCATGCAGCAGGGTGATGGGTTTGGAGGTGTGCATGAATCGTACGCACGTCCTTCGTCCTCCGCATGCGCAAGCAAGCCGAGCGCGACAGCGATACTAGCCGCCGCCATCGTGGACCCTGTTTCGCTGATCACTCTTCTCTCGACGTCGCGCCAGCGGAATTGCCTCAAAATACTCAAATTTCGTGTTGTCTGGTTGGAATCACACCATTTACCAGTAACAAGCCAAGGCACCCGATCCAGAGGTGTTTCCTTGACGGCTGTGCGACGTTGGCAGGCGCTACCCCGCAACTTCATCACCACCAACCGCTGTCTGTGCACTGGAGCTCAGCCATCTCACTGGTCAAGACAATATGACGTGCAGCAGACGGGAGGCCTACTTGGAGGCTCGCAGCACGATGCGATCAGAGCGGGCTTTGTCGAGTGGGAGTTGCAGCTGAACGACCCCCACGAATCCTAGCACACGTATATTGCAATATGAAGCGTCACGCAGCACCCATCACGCACCCAGACGTCTATAATTACAAGTCCGACGCTCGCTAATGGATCAGACGCGGCACGTTGGCTGCACCACTCGGCGCTGACCCCCTGCTCCAATTGAGAAGCACCCTATAGTCCGTGACCTCAGGCCAACTCGCACGGCAGATGACGCACGGTAGAGCAGACCAACCGAGAAGGACGTCGGTAAACTGCACCGAGCGACAGCCATGCAGTCCGCTAATATCGCGGGCATCAATACAGCGCTGTGCTCTTCACGTGACAAGATATCATTTCCCATTGAACATAGCGAACAGTTGTCACCAACAGAGCAACACCAGCAACTCCCCAACCAGACCCCTCAGCCATCCCATCGTACGCAGCAAAAACCCGTCCACAACACCATCACCACAGCAAAACCCACGAACCTACCCAATAAGGCAATTCCCCACATCCATCGAACGCAGCAAACCCGCAGGGCACCGGCCAAGAACCTACCGAATCGGGCAATCCCCTTCTCTGCACCCCTCGCCCACATGCATCGTCCTCCACCCACCCGGCCCGCCCGGCAAACGTAAAAAAGCCAAGTTGCCGCTTTGGGAAGGTTTGCGCATCTGTCGATGGCGGGCCGGCAAAGTGAACGGGGTGTGCACCAATCAGCGTGGGGTGCAGGCGAGCCTGTTAGGGCGTCGTCGCTTGGGCAACGGGTGCTTGGCGCGGTGGAGGGTTCATGGCTGCGGTGTGAGGTGAAGGAGAAGTGCGCTCTTCGTAGGGTGGGTTTGCAGGATGGCGTTTGTTTCTTTCGCTTTGAGCACGGGGCAATAGAACTGTATTCATAGTCTCAGGTTTGTCTGATAGTAAGGAAGGACATCGACTAATAGTCTACATACAGAGCACGCTGATACAAGCGAGCATGTCCATATCAATTCATAATTCATCATCATCAAAGTACCAACATATCCCAAGCCACCGCCTACCGTTCCCTCTTCACATACTGGTACTCGAAAACTTGCTTTCCCCCTTCCTTCCCCCCAACCCCACACTCCTCCCTCCCCCACTGCCGCATCAGCACCTTCCCCAGCAACTCCTTCTCGCCCGCCGCTCCGCGCTGCACCTCCTCCCACTGGCCGTCGCGGCGGCCCACGACGTGCCTTGCGCGCTCCTTCATCAGCTTGGAGAGTAGGTGCGACAGCTGCTCGTCCAGCGCGGCGTTGACGGCCGCGTGGTCGGCGGCCTGGGCGTCGAGGCGCGACTGGAGCGCGTGCAGTGCGGCGTCGTGGGAGCGGACGAGGGCAGCGGTGTCGGAGGCATGGGAGGCTTTGAGGGCTTTGAGGGCGGCGGCGTGAGACTCGGCGAGGGCGCGGAGAGCGGCGTCGTTTGGGTCGGCGGGCGGTGTGGGGTCCGCGTCGGCTGGGGGCGTGCGCGTGGGTTCTGCGCGCAGGGCGTCGAGCTCGGAGTGCAGTCGCGCGACGTCTTTCCGGAGGCGGGATTTCTCCTTGCGTTCCTGCGCGAGGAGGGCGCCTGTTTTGCGCACGGCGTCTTCGGCTTTGTCGCGGACGTCTTCGAGCATTGCCGCGTGGCATTCGATGAGGTCGTCGTGCTGCGATTTTAGTTCTCTGAATTTGGTTTCGGCTTCGGCTTTCAGGTCTTTTGTTCTGGTGAGCTTTTTCTCGATCTCGGCTACGCGGCGCTCTGTTTCTGCGTGCGCATCGATGAGGCGCTCGTTCGCGTCTCGAACATCCTGGGACAGTCGCTCTGCATCTGTGCGGGCGCTTCCACTCTCGCGGTGTGCATCTGCAAGTTGCGTGCGCAGTGTGGTGAGGCTTGTCTCGAGGCTGATGGTACGGCCCTGCGCTGTGCTGAGCTGACGTTCCAGGTCGTCTCTTTCCGCGGCATGCTGGGCAATGATCTGGTTTTTCGCAGTGAGCTCTGCTTGCAGCTGTTCGTCAACTGCCGACGTGCTGTCGACCTTTGACCCTCGGTCTGTAAGGGCGATGCGCTGAGTCTCGAGCTCGCCGCGCAGAGTCCGAAGACTGGCATTGAGGTCAATGTTCGTCTGGAACAGCTGTGCTTTTGCAGCGACATCGGCCTGTGAGCATTCGAGCGAAAACTGGGCGTCTTGAAGCTGTGCTTCGAGAGTCGCTATGCGAGAATGGTGGTCGTCTGCACGAGCGGCCTGGGCGTCTCGAAGCTGTGTCTCAAGGGACGCGATGCGGTGGCTATCTGCACGAGCGGCCACAGCCTCTGCGGTCGCACGTGCCAGATCTGCCTGGAGAGTGTCTGCGCGGATTTGTAGCAGTGCGAGCTTGTTCTGTAGCTCGGTCCTTTCTACGCCGGAGGTTTGCGTGAGGTGCTCTTGCTGCGCTTGAAGTGCTCGCGCATGGTCCCCGCGCAGCTTCTCTTCGAGCTGCTGCAGGCTTACGGCGTGCGCGTCTTCGACAGCCCTCAGGCGACTGTTGGCCGTGGCAGCAGAAGCATCCTGGCTAGCACGGTGCTCCTCAGACGCGCGCTCCAGGCGCGCAACGGCGTCCTTGTGCGTGTAGTTCTCGCTGCGGGCGGCCTCGAGCTCGTTCCGGGTGTAGGCGAGAATGGTCTCGAGCTCGGTGACGCGCGTGTCGTCGCGGGCGGCGGGCGAGGGGCGGACGACGGGGCGCTGGATGGGCTTGCGCGGGGCGTCGCAGTCCTCGACGGTGGCCTGCAGCGAGCGGGCCTTGGGCGGCGAGGGGCGCGGGACCTGCAGCGTGCTCGGGCGCGGGGCACGCAGAGGGCTGCTCGCAGGGGCAGGGGCGCGGGCTGGGGCGCGGGCGGGGGCGGGGACAGAGCTGGCCAGGGCGCTGCGGGCGGGAGTCATCGAGGCGGGGTGAGGTCGGGCGCTGCGGGCGGGCGTAACAGGGGCGGGGCTGGCCAGGGCAGCACGGGTGGGAGGAGCAGAGGCGGGCGCGGCGTCGGGCAGGGCGCTGAGGAAGCTGCGCACCTTCTCCTCGTTCGGCATGGAGCGCTCCGAGGCCGACGTGTCGGTGGCTCTGGCGGGCGGGCTGCCTCTGCGGCGCTTGTTGCGCGACACGGCGGCCGGGGGCGGCAGGTCGGCCGTCATCCAGTAGGTCATGTTCATGGTGAAGTCGTCCGGGCCCTCGACGTCGCTGGTGGCCACGCGGTCCACGCGCGGCTCGAAGCTGCCCTCCAGCGCGGCCGACTCGAACGTCGAGTCCAGCCCCAGCGCGTCCAGGTCCATCTCGTACTGCGAGCCGTCCTCGGAGCTGCTGCGCGACGCCGGGCTGCGGTGCGGGGAGCGCGTGCGCGTCGGGCTGGCCGTGTACGACGAGTGTGTGCGCGCCATCGCTCGCTACATGCGGACGCTGCTCGCGGGCGTCGCTGGCGTCGCTGGTGCAAAGTAAGAATGGCCGTGTTGTTGTGTGGAGGGTGAAGTAAACAGTCGGCAGCGAGTGGAGCCCGGCGCGTCACGAAGCGCGCTAGATCACACCCCTGGCTTTCCTGCGCACGACACATACTGCATCGTCCTCGACATGGCCTCCACAGCATGCCTGTCTGCCCAGCGGCGTTTGGCCATGCATGCTCTGGCCAGACAGCCCCGCTTTGTCTTTGCTGGTCATGCATGCTCGTCCTTCTTCACACAAGGCTCGGGACAGCTTTCACACCCTGCACCGCACCGGACTCATGCTTCGCTCCCATTCATCAGACAGAGATTCAGGGGAAGACTACTTGTTTTCGATATCTCCGCACCTCGTTGTCCACCTGATAAATTGTCACGTGCTGTTTTCTGCTCGGGTTTCCCATCCGCCGCCATTGAGGAAGACTTACGCAACCTCTTCGAGGAGTCTGGTTTCTGCGTGTCTGTTGCATTATTTCCTTCTGGTTTCTGTCATCACTGACATACATCAGGCAAGACGTTTTCATGCTATACAGGCCTGACACTGCTCTCAGTACACGCCACGCTACGCTCATACTTGCAGATGATGATGCGGCCCAGGCTGCAATTCGCGAGCTTGATGGCGCACCTTTGTTTGACGAAAGAATAGAACTTGAACCATTATCGGGCCCTTTCCTTGTACCACCTTACAGATATTTTGAATCGACATTGGACCAGGGTTGGACAGCCGGCAAGTCCTCCGATCCACTGCATTGGGAACGACGACCGCCTCCGCTACAACGTCCGAGAAACATTTGGAAGCCTTATCGCGAAGGACGAGTAGTAGCTTTAACTGCAGGTTGTGAGTTCGATCTTTTTGACATGTATGAATTGTTTCACAACTACGACGTGGACTGTTTGTCGGGTTGTTTTCGTACTGGTCAGAGCGAAGAATATCGCAACATGATACATTTTGCCACTAGGAAGGAAGCAGATGAGGTTATACAATTATTTGATAGGTCTACTTTGTGGGGTAGCCGGTGTAGGGTGTCACGCTGGCAAATCCCCTTGAGATTCCTTGGGAATTCGTGGGACAACGGACCAAAAGGAGGACATTGGTCTGGACGAGACCAAGGCAGCGCTGCTGGAACCAATTTTCAAAGCGTACGTTTCTTACGATACGGGCCGTATCGCAAGCTGGTAGAGCTACTTCCATGCTAACTCTGTGGTGCAGATGCAGGATGAATTAATGGCGAAAGCCATTCTTGGAAAGAACGATCGCAAGCTTTGGGTTCCAACACACACCTACTGATGACCCGGCGCCTCAAGGCATCTTCGCACGACATCAACATCATCAATATCATCAACGCTGTTCACTGTATCGCCCCACTGGTTACACCGGAGACTGGAAAGCAGCATCGCACACATGACAACATACCCTGATCACTCGCCGTCAGCACCCACAACGCGTACCAGGTTTACTACGGCCACTCGCCCCTCCACCTCACCACCGCCTCCTTCCCCCCACCAAACACCTACGCTCCATCCCAGGGAACCCACCCACCTAAGCCATCCCCCGCCCCAACAGCGCCCCAGACGACGCCCCCCCGATCTCACCCGATACGTCCTCGTCTCTCCGGCACCAGCACCGCCACCGGGCCACCGCCCCCGCCGGCGTCGGCACGCGCCTCCCACGAGTGTGCGCGACCGTGTCGACCACGGACACAGCTCCACCGCGGATTGTGCTTGGTTGCGGTGCTGGCTGCACGTCGCACGTTCGCGGTCTCGCGGCTGTAGAGTTTGCGGGGTTGATAGGGGGTTCTGGAGGGGGTTTCGGCGGTGGAGAAGGGAGAAGGGAGAAGGGAGAAGGGAGAAGGGGGAAAGGGGAGCGTGGGGGCTGTGAGGTATTTTCGTTCTTGCAATCTGTTGTGTGCTGTATGGGATGTACGCTGTCTTGGCGGGTGGAGCTTGTGAAGCGCTCTGGGATTGCACTGTGGAGTCTTTGCATTGCACACGTCTTTCAAGAAGACTTGAGACGCTTGGCGCGTGCGTTCTTGACGCGCCTGTACGATACACAGTGCAGCTTGGATGCGCGGATGCGGAGTAGAGAGCTCTGCAGTGTATCTGAGGACGTTGTTTGCTCACACGCTACCGTGTTATGCGTCGTGTCGAGGGAAGGATGGGGCACAGCGTTGTCAAGTGTGAATTCAACGTTGCTGTTGAGCAATACTATTGGTATGTAGTGTCGGTGAGGACAATGTCTTGACCACGCGAAATATAAACAGTAATGGGTGTAGCGCCTGTTGAAGGCCCGGCGCTGTTGAAAGGCCACATGCAACCAACTCCAGCAACGCAACGCAACGCAACGCAATACGCGACCGCCCCTTTTCCCCAAACAACTTCCTGCAGAGTGATGAACTCCGCGCCTGAACGCCGTCCCATGCCAATCGTGGTACATCTCATACACATATCAAGCGCCGCAGTAGCGACCGTGGAGGGAAGGACCCCTACTTCCTATTGATGAGGCTGAGGAACTCCTCGCGGGTCTTGGCCGCCGAGCGCATGGCGCCCAGCATGCAGCTGGTGGTTGTAGTGGCGCCGGTCTTCTGCACGCCGCGCATGACCATGCAGAAGTGGCTAGATTCGACGACGACGGCGACGCCTTGGGGCTGCAGCATCTCGGAGAGCGCGAGCGCGACTTGCTTGGTCAGGCGCTCTTGGACTTGCAGGCGGCGCGCGAACATCTCGGCGATGCGGGCGAGCTTCGAAAGACCGATTACGCGGCGGTTGGGGATGTACCCGATGTGCATCTGAGGGGAGTTAGATGTAGTCAGGAAGCAGCGTGATTCAGGGACTCACCTTTCCGGTGAAGGGGACGAGGTGGTGTTCGCACAGCGAGAAGATCTCAATGTCCTTCACAATGACCAGCTCGTCGTGGTCCTCGTGGAAGACGGCATTGTTGACAATGTCGCGCAGGTTCTCCTCGTAGCCCTTGGTGAAGTACAGCATGGCCTTCGCATAGCGCTCTGGTGTGTCGAGCAGACCCTCGCGGTCGGGATCCTCGCCGAGACACTCCAGCATCGTCCTCACGGCACCAGACAGCTTCTTGAGGTTTTCTGCCTTCTCCTCCTCGGTGGCCTCCTTCCTGCTCCGTGTGCCTTTGCTGGGCCAACTAAGCCCATCGAAGTCGATTGTGGGGTGCTGTGTGTAGGGGCTGGCGGCGCGGCTGGTCGCCAATGGTGTCGGCGCCTCGTAGCGGCGTTCTGTGTCTGCTTCACCGTTCTCTGTGATGTGTTTGCCGTGCGCACTGGCGCGGTCGGCGTCGGCAATGGCGCTTTTGACGCCATCCGGGAAGTAGCCGCTAGGGCCGTCGAAGTTCACTATCTGGCGGCCGCGCTCTGACAGTTGGATGGCGTGGTGGAGGCTCTCGCGCTCTTTCTGATCGCGCGACTTGACCGACTGCCGCAGAGGCGAGCTGTTGTGCGGTTGCGAGCTCCCATTGACGTGCGCGGGAATGGCGGTAGGCTTGGTTTGGTCGTCCATTGTTGCTGCGGGGAAATTTTGCGCGAAAGATTCTGGAGGGGAAAGGGCTATGGGGGTCGACTAGGTCTTTCACGGTATGATGGCGTGCTTATGAAGAGAGAGCAGCACGGGTGCCTGGTTAGCAGAGTCAGCTCTGGCGCATGCTGGGTCGGAGACATGGCGACGAGCGCGGGACCCGTGAGCCATATTCGAATAACTTTCTCCGACCGAAAGCGCGTTAGTCGGCCGATGACGCTGGTTCGCCCGGCGCAGACGCAGGAGCCGCCGAACGAAGGCACGGTCACGGGGGTCTCACGCGGCGGTAGGATCGAGCAGGAACGCCGACTCCAGCACCACGACACCACCAGCACCACCACCCGCCGCAGCCCATCGCCGTTATCGCCGCGCCCGACGCAGGTATGTGACTGACTCTGCAGAGCGCCTCTTCTCGCCTCGATATTTACAGTGCCGTCGCTAGAATGGCAAAGTCGCTCAGGCCGCCCTGAGGGCTCGTAGCGCGAGTGCCTCTCGGCTCACCGCTACCACCACTGCAGTCGCTTTGACTTCCTTCAGCCTGCACAATGCAATACTGCCGTCATACTGCGCGCCTCGACAATCCGACTCGGTCGTATGGGGGGGAGAGCTCGGCCTGACGGGAGGGGTGACTTGGCAGCCACCGCCGTGTTATGATTTTGCGTGGTCGGCGTCTCGAGGCAGCAACATCCATTCTGACTACCAGTCGTGATTTTCCGTTCGTTGATTAGAGCTGCGCCCTGCAGCTGCGACACTTTCTGCAGGTTGTGGCCACGGACCGAAGAGAGCAGCACACGGCTGTCACCTTTTCGCTTTCCCGCAGTCTGCACCGGTAAGCTCTGCGTCGTGGAATGCTGCCCATCACTTGAGCACACTGGAAGCGATCTGGCGCGCGATCTGGCGCTTGCAGACCTGCAATGCGCAGTTGTCCATCTGCCAAAGTTGAGCTGTAGCTGCTGTCTTGGGTGCCACACAATATCCTTTGCACAACCAGTTCATGACGCCGTTCTCTGCTATGCTGTTCGCTCAGAACGCATGCATGGCGTGGGCTGCTCACATGCTGGCAGAAGTGCTCGCAATCAATCGAGACGGCATCAACCGCAACTCGTCGCCAGACCAGCGTGACCTACACGGTCTTGCGCTTGTACGTTGACAGTCTGCTGCCACCGGAGGCCTTGTTCATCTGCCGCCACTTTCGACTCGACTTCCTGCACTGGCCGCTCTCTCACCACCACGGCAGGCTATGGTCACGGGTGCGCATGTGTCTCTGTAGTTTTCCGCATGCGTGTATTATATAGCTATTCTGATTGGATGAGGGCCTGCTGGACTGCGAGGGTCGGAAGGAACACACACGGGCGCAGGGAGGGGCTCGACAATCCGTGTGGCTTGAGGCCTGCAAGGCTGTCCGACAGCGTTCCGCGGGTCACGGGTCACTCACGAGGCTAGCGCTTGGCGGCGCGAAAAGGCGGCGATTGCAGGGTCGTTGCAGCAGCACGATCATCACTGAGAAGACGCACATCAGCTGCGCATCTTTGGCTGCGTCGTGCGAGCAGCTCCATCTCGGACTTTTCACTCTTTGGTTTCGTTGCGTTCTGGGTCATCAGGCCGAAGGTCGCCTGCTGGTGGAGTTCTGACGCTCGGTCCGGTTGTGACACTCAGACTCCCGCGAACCTTCTGAAAGCTGCACCTACCCCAGTTCTGATGATATTCCCGCCTACATGGCTGGGTTGCGAAGGACCCAGGAAATAGACCAGTGGAGACCAGAGGAACCGTCACTCCGGGACAGGGACAGAAGTAGGGAGCGCCCGCGCGAGCGCATCCACGAACCACGAACGTCGTCGCCCGTGTCGCGCGCTGCGAGGGACACCTCCAGGCGGACACACGAGTCCGGCACGCAGCCTTCAGCTCCACACGCTCGAGAGCGGTCGCGCGCGAGGAGCCCGAGTCGGGACCGCACGCGTCGCCGCAGTCGCGGTGCCTCGAGGGACGATCGTTATCGAGCCTCGCGAAGAGAGCCCAGTGCGGACAGGGTTTCGCACCCACACCGGCACCACCACCGCACCCACCACGACACGACGCCATCCTCGAAGCGCCATCGCAGCCGCTCTGCATCTCCGCGAGACAGTCACAAGCGGACCAGACGGCACGGCAGCCGCAGCTCTGTGCGCTCGAGATCGAGGACGCGCCGCGCTGACTCGACGCATCGCTCGTCTGCCAGAGCCTACTCTCCACGTGCACCACGCCCAGATCGCGACCGCGCCTCCCGACGACCAACGCCCGACACATACGTCCCGCCGTCGTCGGCTCGTCGCCGCTCGCCGTCTACCGACTCCTACAGGCCGCTATCACATCGACCACGCAAACGGACTCCTTCACCTGTGAGGGGCTCCCGGCGTGCTCTCAGCCCTCGCCGATCTCCACCCAGGAAACCCGCCGATCGGGGCGACACTACCGCCTCAGAAAGGCAGCGCACGCGGCCCGCTAGCCGCGACCGGAGTCGTAGTCGTGGTCCTAGGCGCGCTAGGTCACCCTCTCCACATCGCCGACGGTCGCCTCCGTTGTCGAGGAGGTCCTCTCCACCAAGAGCACGGAACAGCAGGCCCTCGCCACGTAGAGATCGTTCTCCTCGAGGCTCAAGCCGCCGATCTAGGTCACCTGTTCCGTCGTCTCGGAACGACACTGTTAAGCCACCTCGTGCAGACCAGCCTGCCTCCAGACGGGACTCGCCCGCACCTGCATCTGGCGACAACTCTGACGCCTCTAACAGCAAGACTGACGACCCCAACATGAGGGGGGCTTACCATCAACAGGGACGTGGAGGTCCGGGCTACCAACACACCCCTCCTTATCCTGCACACAACCAATACTCTCCTCACAATCAGTCGCCTTACCATGGCAGTAGAGGTGGCTGGAACGGCCATCAATACTCCAACCAAGGGTAAGTCAATCAGCCCCTGATGACTCAAGTGTCGTCATTGACACGTAACAGATCTCCCGTACATGGCTACTCGCCGAACCAGTCGCCTTACCACCAGACGCAGAACTACTCACCGCAGTACCCTGGAAGCCAGTCATACCCACAGGGCGGTTATTCCAACGCATCGTATCGTGGTGGTCGTGGCACTCACTACAATGGCTCTGATCGCCGACCGTCAGGACCTGGTCCGCACGCTGCTTTTGGCCAAGGCGGCCGTGGTCGTGGCGCAGCGCCTACACAGTTCTCGAACCTGTCTTGGACTCCGGCATCTGGCACCAGAGGTGGCAGGCCTGCTACAGAGGCACCCCGCCCAAACCCTCCAGCGGCCCAACCAGCAGCAGAAGCGCCTTCTGTCGATGCGGATGATAATCCCTTCCGTCCATCGAAAGACTTGCGGGTTGAGGACGAGGGGCCGAAGGAAGACAAGAAGATGCCACCACCCGTGAAACGCACTGCTGTCACACCGACGCAACCGAAGTCTGGCTTCAGCTTTTCTCTGAAGACGAAGAATCCGGTACCTGTGGCCAGCAAGGCCAAAGCAGAGGAGCCCGAGAAGGTCGAGTCAGCATCGAAAGAGTCGCCACTCGAGCCTAAGAAAGACGTTGCGTCTCGCGATCGATATGCCTCCGATGTTCGAAACGACCGCGATCGCGATTATAAATACGACCGTGAGCGGGAGCGAGAGCGAGAGCGCGACTACCGAGAACGAGACCGGAGGTATGACTATCACGACCGGGCGCCGGCATACAGGGACCCTCGAGACAGAGATCCTCGCGACCTGCGAGATGTGCGAGACCCTCGAGACTCTCGAGACCCGTACTTTCGTGAGAGAGATAGGGACTACAGAGACCCCCGTGACAGGGACCTTCGCGACCCTAGAGATATTCGTGATGTGAGGGATCGTGATCGCGATCCGCGAGACTTGCGCGACCCTCGCGACCTCAGAGATTCACGAGATTCACGAGACGTCAGAGAACTTCGTGACGCGCGCGATCGTCGCGAACATTATCTGCCGCGACGACCAGACGACCGTCGACCGGAGCCACGTGTCGAGAATCGCATCGACAACCGTCAGGATCGCAGGGCACCCCCTGAGGTACCGAAGACTGTCATGGTCAAGCGGAAGCGGATCAAAGCTCGACCGACTCTGTCTGTGGATTTCGCAGCCTCTGATTCTGTCTACTACCGAAAGCCAGGTAATGAGTCGGTGGTTGGCTCAGGCACATACGGTAAGGTCTTTAAGGGCATCCATGTCTACACAAAGGACCAGGTTGCTCTCAAGAAGATCCGTATGGAAGGCGAACGTGATGGTGTAAGTACTGCACATCAAATCCGACTCTTACATACTGACTATGTCTAGTTCCCTGTCACCGCGATTCGAGAAGTCAAGCTACTCCAGTCTCTGAACCACGAGAACATTGTCAAGCTGCGCGAAGTCATGGTCGAGAAGAACGACTGCTACATGGTCTTCGAATATCTCTCGCACGATCTCACTGGTCTGCTCAACCACCCCACCTTCAAGCTGGAGCAGTCGCACAAGAAAGATCTGGCAAAGCAACTTTTTGAAGGCCTGGATTACCTCCACCGACGAGGCGTGTTACATCGCGATATCAAAGCTGCCAACATCTTGGTTTCCAACACCGGACAGCTGAAGCTGGCAGACTTTGGTCTCGCGAGGTTCTACGCCAAGCGAAGCAAGCTGGACTACACCAACCGCGTCATCACAATATGGTACCGTTCTCCAGAGCTGCTTCTCGGCGAAACGCAGTACGGCCCTGCCGTAGACATCTGGTCAGCAGCCTGTGTCCTGGTCGAAATATTCACTCGCCACGCCATCTTCCCTGGCGACGGCGGCGAAATCAACCAGTTGGACAAGATCTACAACATTCTTGGCACACCCACCAAAGAGGATTGGCCCGGCATAGTCGACATGCAATGGTTCAACCTCCTGCGCCCAACCGAACGCAAACCCGCCACCTTCGAAGACAAATACCGCGACCCGCCTCAGCCCTATGGCCTTCGAGCTCCTGCAAGCCATGTTTCTGTACGACCCCGCCGCGCGCCCAACCGCCGCAGACGTCCTCGAGCACCCCTTCTTCACCAGTGAGCAGCCGCCGTCGAAGCGCGCAGAGGCCCTGAAGGAACTCGAAGGCGACTGGCACGAGTTTGAGAGCAAGGCGCTGAGGAAGGAGAAGGAGAAGGCGGACAAAGAAGCGAGGCGTGTAGCACGGGAGGAGGGTAAAAAGGACGATTCGAAGCGGAGGGCAGATGCGACGGATAGTGAGAGGGAGGCGAAGAGGGTCAAGAGCGGGTAGGGTGTGCAGTGAGGAGCGGCGGGGACGGGTTATTGTACATGGGGATATATGTCGTAATGTCAGTAATGTCAGGATTCGAGCCATCTCCACGCGCCCATCTGTGACTCTGCAACACGCCTTCAAGCGCAAGGTGACACAGGCGTGAGAGCGACATCTCCATCCCCTCCACGAAGTCCACACCATCCGAAAACCCGCGCCCCGAAGCAGCCAGCACCTCCCACCCCACGCACCCACGGCACACCTTCCAACCAGCGTCACCCCCTCCCAGCACCCCCCTACCCAAACCCCAGCACCGCGCCATACCTACCCCCCGCTGTCTCGCGCCGGCCTCGCATGCTTCGCACGTCCCAGCTCTCGACCACGGCGACACGCCCCAGCACGCACATCACGCGGCGCGCTGCAAGACCGCACTTACACTCCTGCCCGCTGCCTCAGTCTCGCCGCCGCGCTCGCAACACCGCTAGCACGGTATCTGCGCGCGTCGACGGGGAGGGGTCTGGGACGGGGTCGTGCGGGCGGCACGAGGCGGGGTGGTGTGTGCTGCTGGATGTGCGTCCAGATGCGATGGGGGGGGGGGGGGGGGGGGGGTGCTGATGGAGGGGGTATGGGTGTTTGTGGGGCGAGGGTGCTTGGGTGCTAGTACGTGCATGGTGTATGTCACCTGCGACTGGAGGGTTTGGGTCTTTGGTGGGAAGGTGGGGGTGGTTTGTCAGGATCTGGGGGTTCAAGATGTGGAGGAGATGGGGGATGCTTGGAGAAATGGGACAGCGGAGTGAGGAATTGCATCTTGTCGATGATGGTGAGGATGAAGACGTGAGTACTACTGCTTGTTCCTGTCTGGCAAGCGCCTCTGACGAGGTTCTGAAGAGCTCGGGGTCAGTACGTAGTGCTGTGAAAGGCTAATGCTACGCCTAACTACGAACTCGGTAAGAAGCACATCAAGAACTAGACTGCTTCTTCAGTGTCCAGTGCGGTGTTGCACGAGCAAAGACGGCAACCTACGAGGAGCAGCTAGCAATAAGCATACATCACGAGTACCGCCGACAAACCCTCTCAGCAACCGGCTTAGAGCTATGCCGGCAAGTCCCTCTCACGACTTAGTCACACGGCGATTTACATGCCGCGCGGTTGTCGCCGCACTGCACTGCTGATCACTGCTAAATTAATCAGCACCACTTGCAGGCGATCTGCAGCATCATGAATGCGCTTCACGAGTCGTCTCGTACCCCAGACGACCTCAATTTTACCGTGCTCGTACATCACGGTGGCAATTGTGCGCGCCGAATGAAGATCGGCATGCATGACTCGCCGAGCGACCGATAGATCTCCAGGGTCTAGGGTCGAGCGCTGAATGACGAGTGCGGACGCGCTCGTGTCGGCGTGCATGAGTCGTATGTATATCGAGCAGGGAAGCGCTGGGAAGAGCGGTAAAGACGGCCTTTGTGTCGGCCTAAGACGCGAATGCTATGAAGTTATGTCTAGCAATTGGAATAGACGTTAGCGTTGAAACCGTGGCAGCGGTTACAGAGTCCTGTTTAGACATGCATGGCATGTGTGGCGTGTCTTGAATGTGAGATACTCTGGGGTCCAAGACATTGTCAGCCGTTGGACGCTAAGACCCTGACTGCATCTCGCCGCGTCATTGTAGACGCGCGTGAACTCTGAAGGCGCACTCTGATGCTTCGGAGTCATCGTGGGGGAATGCGAAGTCCGCAATGTCTGAGTTGATGCAAGGTTGGTCTGTAGGACGAGTTCTGTCAGCGACAGACCCTTGGATCTTGTGCCAGGCAGACACAATCGCTGGCGCGACTGACGGCCAACGCGGCTATACTAATGCTCATGAGTATTTACTGAGTCAACTGTCGTGTCTCGTTCTTTGAAGTGACATGCGTTTTGTAGTACAAACGGCTCCATGCCCGTGTAACATGACATCGCATCATCCGTCTTATCAGTCTCCAGTGCGACGTACGCACGAGGCTGGCAGCGCCTGTCATCGATTCAGCATGGTTGTCACACAGCTGTCGATCTAGTTCATCGAGCAGGTAAGCATTTAATGTCACACAGTGACTCCCATCCTCAGCGCTTGGAGGCGGCTTGGACAGAGCCGTCAGCGCTTGTGTATCGTAACATTGGCGCTTCGGTATGCAAACTTGCCTGATAAGCTGGAGGGTCCCGAAGGTGTGCGACTTGAAGCGGAGGCTGTCGGAGGCTACGGCTGCACGATCGTTCATTCTTACAGCTGAATTTTCCACGCGGAGTAAGTTTGGGCGTGGTTCTGGCCATGCCGGACATCTGACGTTCACAGAGGCTTCTGCAGACTTTTTGACCAGCTGCCGTATTCGGAAACCTTCGCTGCTCACGCTCATACGGCGGTGAAGCGTTTCGCGATCTTTAGTATTGCGTCCACGGTATCGGTAACTGTCCACTAACATTTCGCTACGTCTTTCAGGTTTTGGGACCAGCGGTATGTGGCTTGCGTAGCTGGAAAATCGAGCCTGCGCTTCTCAACAGCGTCAGGCACCGAAATGTGATTGGCTGCATTTTTTGTATTTTCGCAGAGGTCAAAGTTAATCGCAGTGCGTTGGACGTGGGCCGTCTTCTGGACCGTTCACGATTTTGACACTTGAGGGAGCGTGCCTGGATTACGTGTTGATGCCGCAGCTGTTGAAGCCCAACTCCACCGCACAACAGTCAGAGGCTTGCATCGCGCCCGGTGAGTGTGGATTCGTGGAGAGCTGGTTGCGCACTGCTCAGCGGCTTGCTGTTGTTTGGGACGTTGGGCTGCCCAGAAGTTGATCTCTCCACGGCTTGTTCTGCGTTGGGAGGCACAGCAGCGTACCTGAAGATCTCGAAGCGGTGGCATGCAGCCAGTTGCACCACGGATATCTGTGCAGGTGCCTTAGACCCGGCAACAGACCCGGAGCATCGAATTGTACCACCGTTGAGCTGATCAAAGCGAATGATGATGCAGCCACCTCGAAAATACCTTGTTTGTAAATCTTGCTGATAGGTCGATGAAGGGGAACCAGTGGGAGGGGAAATAATGGAAGGAGCCAAACTCCACTGCTGATTGGTACCATGGAAGGAACGCGTCAATCACCATGGCATTTTGAAACTCTGGAGGTGCCGATAGCGTACGCCAGACAGTGCGCCGTTCAGCTGAGGAAGGGAACTGACCGTTGTCAAACCTGAACGGTGGGTGTGACGCGATTGAGGCGATCGCACTCTCCCACTATCGATAGCATCCCGTGCCAAGAGCGCTATGAACCTATCATCGTCATTGTAGAGAGAAGGTTTAATAAGTTGCAAGATATATCGGCGAGGGTGGCCACCTGTCAAGCCAATAGCGGCTGCAAGGTGGCTCAGGAATTGACGGTGAAGGTGAAGAGGTTTCGGGACGCGCTGCGATTTTGCATACCTCGACACTACCACCTGGTGGTGTGTAGGGCATCAACACCTGAGTGGTCGGTAGTGCACGCTTGAGCAGTCGGGTGATGGCGGAGAGAAAAACAGGGCGTAGAGAACAAATGACACCGCAGCACTGCATCAAGGTATCCGTGCATCGTTGTATCTGTGGGGACCGGCGGAGGTGCCTACTCCAGGAATAGAGCAATGTCGCACAGTCTGCGAGATGGTAGTTGCAATGGTTGCCGCCTGGGTCGCCTCATAATTCGGGCTTCGGACTTGATGCGCTGCAAACAATACAACGTTCGTGGAGATATCGCCCAGCAGCGTCAGGTACAAGTCCGCAATCCTCGGCTGTGCACAAGCAGAACCAAGGGTTTTGCGCGTAAGCTGGCACGTGGCTATGGTAGCTGTCATATCGTTCGGGAGAGTTGCCACATTCCAGGGGAACTGCACCTTGACGAAGGGTCTACGAGGATCGCCAGCGACCTGACAGAACGGCAAAAGCGGAAAATCAAAAAGACGGTGACGGCAAGAGAAGATGGCCAGCGCTCAGAACGGGTCTCTCGCTCGGTTGTGGCGTGAGACCATTCTGCTTTGGCCGGCGTCTCCACAGATGCTAACTGCTATCGCGCTGCGTGAGGCAACTCGGCCTCTGGTTGGCCTACCCCTGAGCGCGCGGGCGGTCGACACTGAAGGCGGCTTGGTATGCTCGGGGACAAGATGAAAGGAGGGAGATCGCAAGCGCGTGCCGTCCGCTGGTGACATTGCCACTGCAACGCCGCCATCCCCTGGTGCGCAAACGGGCGGCGAACGGAGCTGCAGTTCGTCGCAGGGTCTTTGCACCACGAGGCGTGGTGTCAGAGCGAGTGTATGGAGGGCGCGCCGACGATGCTGCAGCTTTGCCGGCGACCAACCAGACAGGCCTTACACCACACCTCGCAGTGCAGCAGCTTGCACTAGCCGCAGCGAGGTGGATTGTTGCGCGATCGCTTAGGCGCAAATCTGCTGCCAGGGCGGACACGGCGCTTTTCGCACGCAACGCGAACTGGCTGACAGGGTGCAGCTTGCGGCCTCTGTCCTGGTGTGCACAGTTGCGGACTCTTGACATGACATGGAGGAGATTGCAATTAGCCTAGCGCACGTCTTCTCGGCTCACTGACGCTGAGCGCTGACTCCTGGGCTGCGCTTGCCCGCCTTAGGTGTTCCGTGCTAAGGGTTCGCGCGTTGTACTTGAAACTTCGATGGCAGGAGCGACCACCGACAGGGAAGGAGCCAGCGCACGGCCGGGAGTGCGTCTGCACTATATCTCCTCAGCGACCCCAGGAAGCGCAGTACTCTTGCCCGCTTACGAGTCGCCTACGTTCCTTACCAAACCCTGCTGCTGCTGAGTCCACGAGTGTGAGAGTTGTGTGTGACGAATCTTACTTTCTGCCTTGTGCTACAACAGCCACGCACCGCTGTTACCTCTGGTGCGAGAGCCTGCACGCCTAAGGTTTCATACCGCAGCACCCCGCCAGCCAACCGCTGCGCCAATACAATAATAATCTTCAGCCCTCCGTCTCTACCTGAGTTCCCCAGACATTTTGATTCTCCACCAGGAATCATGGCCAACACCATCGTGTCGACACAGCTGCCCCAGTGGAACTACGAGAAGCCTACCATCACAGCACGAACTGAGCGTTCTGGATCCGACAGCTCTGCTTCCAGCCCCAAATTGTGCAACGACGACCACGAGACATTGCGACTAGATACTGCCGCCACACAACCCGCCAAGAAGGGAAGCATTGCCCTCCAGGACCGCTACATGTCGAGCGAAGAGGATCTATCACCCGCTTGCGAGGACTCGGGCTCCGAGTCCGAGTATGATTACGACGATGCTGTCATCGAGGACCTGACCCAGCAATGCCATTCAGCGAAGAGGATGTCCGTGTCGAGATGGAACCAGGGAAAGAGCTGCGACACTGCCGTCAAGGTGTCGTATGCCTTCGTTGGCCGCCCTAAGGTCGTCGAACTCAATCTTGGTTCACCGGTGCTAGATCGTCCAATGTTCACACAACGGTCGGTGTCGCTAGCCAATCTACCAGCGGCTGTAAGCAAGCTGCAGAAGGTCGACCAAGTCCAGCGTCACTCGCTCAATGTCCTGCCTGCGTCCAGAGGCGCCCCGTCCCCACTCACACGACCAATCTCACCCCTCGCTATTGTCGAGCCTCGACGTCCGTCCACAAGCTACAGCCCTTCAAGCAAGACGAGCACACTGAACCTTGGCGATCTCACCTCCAAAGCTTCTTCCATCGAGACCGCGCCGTCCAGCCGCAGCGCATCGCCTATGGTTGCCGTCCCCGCACGTCCTGCAAGCGCAACACCAGAGGGTGCATCTTCCAGACGCTCATCAGTCTACATCCCCACAGGAGTCCGACCAGAATTGCAGCGCATCCAAACAACACAGACACAGTTCCGTCACTCTCACCAGATGCCACCATCGAAGCCCATGTCACCAGCAACCCACGCTTTCCTTAACACCGATCCCTTTGCGAAGCCACCTGCCTCGACCACTACAATCCCCGCGAATAAGCCTTCCACACACAGGCGTCTGCGCTCGATCTCGATGAAACTCTCCCTGGCAAGAATCGCCATCACTCCATCCAAGAAGAACAACAACAACGTCCCCGCTTCGCCCTACACACCCTCCACTCCCCAGACTGCGCCTATCGAGGCCTCCTCCGGGTTCGCGAGTCCAATGCCTAACAAGCTGCGCCGTGCCTCGACCATCCTGCGACCGAAGTCCCGTGGCGGAGAGGAGTCTAGAGGACCTTCGCCAGACATGGCACCGCCCCCAGTCCCCGTCCTGAACCGATCAAGCACCATGGGCCTCCTTCAGCGCCATCCGAGAATGGTCGCCCGCGGGGCCAATGAGCGCGAACCCACCCTCGTTATCCCTCCATTTACAGATATGGACATCAACCCTGTGGCGGGTGTCAAGAGCGGAAAACTGCGCAAGCGCAAGTCCCTGATGGATCTGCTCTAGAACGTTTCAACCCCACGACTCGCTTGTCTGTTTCGTTTCGAACCTGCACTACGCATGGACGCATAGATGACATTCATGCGCTACCCTGTCACCCTCACGTCACCTTCACGTCACCTCCGCACTGTACATGCCACTCTTCTCATCTCTCTGCTACAATACGACAGCGCTTCAACGTACGCGACCTGCATAATATCCGGCGTTTTATTGGGCGTTGATACCACCGCTTTGAGATCACGATGCCCGATTTGGGCACGTTCTGTTTGTTTTATATTACAGCTTGGCTTGCGAAGTGCTCGCAGCTTACACATCTGTCGCTATCGCATCTAGTATGCATTTCGTTGATCCTAGATCCGAAAAATCCCTTACTTATCACAATGGCGGCTGTCTTAATGAAGATTACTACGATATCCTATAGTATTGGTATTACTTAGTCCTAGCGCTGCACAACGCAGTCGCGGAATTGCAATCTACTATCTCACCACCTCACATCTGGGCTGAACGCATCTCGCCTGTGCAACGTTAATCTCTGCATCACCGTGATTCGCCACCCAAGCACGCTCATGCCAGAACGATTCACGGACCATAGTGCCATGGCAGTTGTAGATTAAACTCTACATCACGCATCCACTGCGAACTGACATGCGCTGACAGGCCGGAAACCCATGCCGTCTGTTATCCACCTACCTAGCCACAACTCCACTACCAACCTCCCAACCCACATCACGGCTCACAAACCCACACAATCTTCTTTTTGACTCCACAAATCCACAAGGGCATTTGTGAGGCCACTTTCTCACTTCCGACAATCGCATCTACTTTGGGAGCAGGGTCCCACGCTGCAGGGAAGTCAAGATAGGAAAGCAAGGGTCTCTGGATTCTAAGCAATGTGGGGTTTACCGCTCCCCTGCTCTTTTCGGTAAGACCCTGTACGTGTTGAAACACGTCGATATCACGCTGCATCAAGGTTTTCGTCGCGGCCTGCAGACAAGCTGAAGCGCGCGCGCAGCCAGCGCCGCACGACAACAGCTTGTGCGACCGCCGTGCTTTTCGCATGCCGACCACGTGTACTCCGCAGGCGCAGAAGCAATATCGCCTCTGTATTCACCCAGGCCAATCTGGGATATGCCGGTCGCAACCCGCCGTTAATTGAACCGCATATTGAGATACCCGCCAGACGGCACGATATCGCGATCTCGGTGGCTTGTCAACATCAGTTGGGTTTTTGCTCGAATCATGCATGCGGCTTTGCTTTCTGCCGTGGTCAGTGCTCCCGATGCTGTTGCTTGATGCGCGTCACAATCTGGAGTCTGCGAGAATAATTTCGACCAGGTCTATGTGAAACAAGCCACGATAAGAGCGCGGTAGCGAGGGGAACGTGCGGGACCAAGCACGGTGTGGAATGCGCGACTCGGGGAATTGTGTGCGCAGGGCATCAATTGGGACCGAGGGTTTGAGGCGCGAAGATGGAATGAGGTCTTTTCGTGGTGTTGAAGATCACCGGAGATTGAAACGATGTCGGATGCTCAAGTCACGTGAATGTGGTCCACTTATAGCACACACGGTCAGGGTAATTAGAGATACGAAAAGCGTGCTGTCATGTGTACCAGTTCGCTGGAATATACGTGTGTCGGTGTCCTTTAGCTGAATCTTCTCGCACAAGGTTTGAACCTCGGCCTGGAGTATGCCATGGAGTAAGCCATGGGGTGTGCCGACAAAACTCGGCCTTATCCACACCTTGGACCCTGAGACATCGGGTGTTCGCACAAAGATTGCGCGATAGTTCTATCGTATGACTGATGATCTCCAGCCGGCGATTTGTCTGAAGCATAGAAGAGCCGGGAAGAGCCGGGAAGAGCCGAAAGGCAGGATGAAGCAGGTCTTCTATGATTTGAGCGTAGGAGCAGTGCATTCCTGTGTATCCACTTTATGCTGTGCTGTGCTCTATAGCTTGCTCTTCAACTGCGATGTGCCTTCCCTCCCCACTCCCTCCAACACCTCATCCTTCGCAAATTGCTCGTAGTACTTCAAGCTTTCCGGGTTTGCCAATGTCCCACTCGGCTTAATGATCTTGCCAGACACAATTTGCTTAATTGGCAACTCTACCTTTTTCAGATTCACGGTCGTCTATGACGTATTAGCAGTCATCCCATAAGAAGCTCTGGCATCACCCACCGGAATATCCCATGTCTGAAACACGTATCTGGGCACATGTCTGCGACTTCGTTCGCTCGCGATCTTGTCCTTGATACGCTGCACCAGTTTTGGTTCGTATTCACAACCCTCATGCATCTTCAAAAATAGTATGACACTCTCGTCACTGTCCTGCGGTCGGCGCTGTCCCACGCAGATGCTGTCCGAAACCTCCGGGAAGTACGTCTCAATCACCGAGTATATCTCCGCAGAACCGAAACGCACGCCACTGGGGTTCAGCACTCCATCCGCACGGCCCAGGAACAGCACCTGCCCAGTCGCGGGGTGGATCTGAATGAAGTCACCGTGGGTCCAAACATGCGGAAAACGCGTATAGTAAGCGCTCTGGTAGCGCTCGCCGCTCTCATCGCCCCAGAAAAACACCGGCTGGTTAGGGAATGACGCAGTTGCAACAAGATCGCCTGGCTCGCCGTGCGGTACAGCCTTTCCAGGGCCGTCTTCAATGGTGCTGTCGAAGACCTCTAGTTTCGTGCCCAGACAAGGACCTTGACAGCCTCCGGTATAGACAGGCTCCAGCGGATTCTCAATGCCGAAGCAGCCAGCAAGATCAGTACCGCCGGAGATGTTGCGCAGATGGACCGTTACCGGGAAGCCGACGTCGTAGAACCACTCAAACTGGGAGTCTGACAAGACCATACCAGTAGTGCACAGAGAGCGCAGAGCTGACAGGTCGAAAAGGGTCTTGGGGACTATATTGTGTTTTTGAAGCTCCTGGAGGAAACGAGGTGATGTGCCGAAGTCAGTGACGCGTTGTTCCTCGAGAATCGACAGGAACTTTTCCGCTGAAGGAATGAAGGGAGATCCATCGTACAGTACAGATCGGCTGCCGAAGAGACAGCATTGTACGGAAACAAGATACATGATCCAGCCAGTCTGTTGAAACTTAGTAACTGTGTTTAGTTTGGTGTGGATACTTACTGTGGTGTACTGTAGCATCACGTTGTCGGGTCCCATCTCGCGGTGCAACCTACCTTCTTTTGTGACGCTGATCAAGACACCACCCGTGGAGTGCACGATGCACTTTGGCACACCGGTAGTGCCACTGGAGTATACAATCAAGAAAGGGTCTCTGAAAGCCACCCTCTCGAAAATCAATTTATCGTTGCCCTTCCCAGCCTTCACGAAGTCTTCGAGGGTAACGGTGCGCGGTACATCTTTCAGACCTGCTGGCTTCCCTGGAAAACGGGGTTGCGTCACGACCTCTTTGAACTCCGCCACATCTGCCATTCCCTCCACGATCTCCTTAATCTTCGGGCGCAGGTCCATACTCTTTCCGTTGTAGATGGCCCAGTCGTCGATGAAGACGTATGCAGGCTTCACCTGCAACAGTCGCTCCAAGATGCCTTTGGTGCCCATGTCTGTGCTACTGGAACTGAAGAGCCCACCCACGCTCACGATTGCCATGAACGTAATGAAGGTGTCGAAGCTGGTACTAGCAACAACGGCAACCCTATCGCCTTTCTTGACACCTTTTGCACGGAGAGCATTCGCGAGTATGGCAACTCTTCGCCTTAGTTCGCCCCACGACAAGTGACGAACCTCGGTGTTGCCCTCGCGCACCTCTGTCAAAGCGATCTTGGCGTCTTCTTTGTGTTCCGTTGTTCGGCGCGAGGGATCTGATGGAGACGCAGAAAACAGGATGTTTTCAGCGAAATTCAGTCTCGTGCCTTCGAACCACTGGGGGATGCTCTCCATAGGCTGCGATACGTCGACGACCTGCCATTTCGTCAGCCCGCAAGCTCACTCATCCCTGGAGTGAGGCAAAGACCTGATCAACAGGGTTCGGCCAGGATTAGACTTTGCGGGGGAAACATTGCAAGTCATCGAACCTTGACCTGTCCTCAGTCGATGCGTGTTCTCAAACGAAGTCATACGAACCTTTCTGTAACTTCCTTCGTAAATTAAACCGCTGGAGTTCCACGCGTCTTCCCAAAAGTCAGTGCGGTTGTCGCCCACACTCCAATCGTACAATTCGCGGAACGTCTAGAAGATATGAGTGAGTAAGTTTGACACTTATATTGAACTGTTTTATCTGGAGAAGCGTTTCAGTCATTCAATGGGGGTCCCTTCCTTCAGGAAGCTAGTACTGAGTCGCATCCTACGGGACGTGTTCAGCGCGCTTCGTAGACCACCCATGGCTGAACCAATCTGACGCTGAGTCTGCTGAGCGACTGTAATGCTTTTTCAGGTATGCTAACCCTCTCACAGTGTTGAGACACAAGATCGACTTACCTGCATGTTGAGTCCCCTCTTCTGGTTGGCTGACTGCATGAACTTCCACATCGCAGTGGACTTGGGATCTGGATGTTGCCATAGCTTTCGTGGAGTCGCTAAATCAGGTGCCATGTTGAAGGGCGAACTGAGTCTACGGTAGAATTCAATGATCGACTTCTATGTGGATTCGGTGTTGACGGTCCGGCAATTGCTCTGCGGGGACTCCGTTCGGATATGTGGTTCGGCTAGAGAACGACGTGGGAGAATCCTATGATACAAATGTATCAACTGAGGTGCAACGGAGCTTGAACGGATTTCCAGTGTGCAAGCTAAGTAGGTATATCAATTTCCAATGCGCACCGAGGTTATGACGTGCAATATGTTGCTGCCCGTGGGGTAGTAATACACGGAATTATTCCGAGAGCCGAACAGGAATGGAAGGTACAACCGACAAGCCATCACACACTGCAATCATTCTGCAATTGTTCTGCCATTATTACGAACTAACGAATCTACATCTAATCTCCATTGCTCAGGAAGAGTTACTGTTATCAGCACAAGAGAAAGCCGAGTCAATGGACCCGTCCTTATACGCATCCATGATCTGCACGATAACTCCGTACGTTCCTCCAACAGTCAAGAACGCCGAAATCAAGATCAAAACGATATGCAGTCCATACAGCGTCTTCTTCCACAGGTTGCCTCGCCAGTAGTCAGCGTGGTCATAAATCCACAGCCAGCCAGGTAGTCCAAGTGCGAGAGGCGCAAATGCGATACTGCCAGCCAACGAGAGCAGATAGTTGAAGATCGGTACTCCAGAAGCGATCAGGAAGCTGATGATGGTCATGGTCGCTACACATCCAAACCATGTTCCCCAGTGGACAGCAGTGTTGGCCTGTAGGTGCTTCGACTTTCGCAAAATGCGGACGAAGACATACTTCGCACTGACGTGGACGTAAAGTGCACCACTGACGCAGAGACCGATAAGACCCACACCATAGGCAATCTTCTTGACCATAGGTCCAGCACTGCCAAGGGACGGCGAGGCGACCCATTGGCCACAGTACTTGTAGACGACGAGGCTGAACGACAAGTATGCGGCTGTGACGATACCCATGCACACGTTGACTGCCTTGGCATATTCTCTCGGGTTTCGCATCTCGGACATGACTGGGAGGAAGGCTGATGTTCCGGCGCCGGAGCAGAAGATGGTAGATGCTGCGGTGATACCCGCAGCGAATGTTGGACTGGCGATGACGTTGTATCCGAATTCGTAATCTCCAGTTTGAGGTGCTGCAGCTGGACGATCAAGAGTTGTAACTCCGACGCTGTAAGTGTATCAGCCAAAGGTACTAGAGGTTCCGAGATTGGTTCAACTTACACCACGATAAAAACGGCGATGAAGACCGAAGCGAAGCCAGCCCATGTAATCCATGTAAGCTTCTCGAACCTTCGCACACTTGCACACAAACCGATCATCAGGGCCGCAATGATGGAGAAATAGTTTGTGCAGAGGGAGTGGTTCGACAGAGCGTTCAAAGCAGTTGAGACACCCACCATACCGGACGCTCCGACGATGATGAAAGCAACGAGAAACAGGATTCCAGATATCTCCTTGACGACTCTTCCGCCAACGAGCTGGCCCATGTCTGCGATACTGTGGCAACCAGGATGATTGGCCTTGAACTGTCCTTGTACGAGGGCGCACCAAGTGTTGAGGAATTGCCAGCCTAGCACATTGATTGCGCCTGGAAGGGCTCCTAGGGTGAACATGGCAGATGGGATAGTAAGAACACCAGTTGCGAAGATGACTGCGCGTCTCTGGTCAGCGTTGTCGAGGTCTCGGAACCAGCTTCACTTACGCTTCAGGAAGATCACAGACGAATGGATCCACGATACGGTACGGAAATCGACCAGACCCTCGCCTGTCCTGAAGACTTCGCCATCTTCAAGGTCGGCCTTGCCTACCTCGATGCTGTCGGTGCTGCTGTGTGTTGGCTGAATGACATCTTCGTGCTTCTCGTTCGACATGTTGAGCAGAGCGTTTCTTGATGCGACAATGATGGATGATGATCGATATCGAGGTGCTGTGGATGCTCATATATACCCGCTGCATCGGGACAGCGCAGATACGGCCCATGCCCTGATAGCACGCGGTCACAGAATCTGGGGTTGGTTGTGGGCCGAATGGGTTGGCCCCATATTATCGGGGTAGATAGCGGCAAGATAGTGAGCTTGGGCGCTTCTCCAACGTGCCAGGAGTCAGTTTTGGAGTTGTGCCGGCGAATACCCTTGCCCAGAAAACGGGAAACGTGGTGGTGGCTTGCCGATCGGACAGGGGCTTCCGGTCAGCGATATCAGACCCAATCTTGGTATCTTGGACGCAATACCACGCTCCATCATAGTAATGTCCAGATAACTCGTCCGGCAGGCACAAGACTGTGAAGGTGATGTTGCACGGCCTACCCAGCCCCGATGTCCCACGCTGCCCGGCAAGTTTGCCGAAATGACCACATCGGGCAGTTTGAGAGCCTCCGTCTTCTCCTGTGACAAAGTCTGGGCGTTTCGAGACCACTTTGACATATTTGTATTCTTCTGCAACTACAAGGGTTTCTCCTTCAACTTCAGTCCCGCTTCTGCCGGCAACAAGGCTCCCTCAGTCGGTGCATTCTTCTTCTTGAACTCGTCTGAAATCTCCTCCATCGTAACAAATTCCACACCTTCGTGCTTCATGAAGTGTTCAATCAGTCTGCAATAGTGTTAGGGTCTTCGAATCTCTAGTGTATCTTATATGCATACCTCTCGTGCATCAACAATAAATGCGGTCTCCCAGAAACGTCTGGGTGAATGGTGATCGGCTATCAATGTGCGTCAGCAAGCAGAAAAATCGATGTAGCAATTGCAGCCTTACGAAGATGAACTCATCATGCTCCCTGTAGAAGTAATCAAAGTGATCACGCCACAGATCTTCGGTGTCCCGTGCGTTGACAAAACCGTGGCTGTTGGGCGAACCCTTGATGAACATGTGAGGTGGTAGATCATCCAGATACCAGTTCGCAGGTATCTCGACCAAGCCCGTGTCCTGTCCCTTGACTAGTGGCTTCATCCATTCTTTGGCTTGTTTGCTGTAGTCAATCTTAGTCCAGGAGTCATCGGTCCTCAAGTAGTAAGCCTGGCAATCGTGATGGCTCATGCTGTGGTCGTATTCGATCCCGTATGACAGCAATAGCTCAGCACCCTCACGGCTCGTCTCCCACCTGTAAAATCGTGAGCTGAGTATCAACGTTCTAACAATGGTTCCTTACCAAGGCGCAACGCTTCCACGAGGAGGTTTCCCGGCGAAATCAGTGAGCATACGATATGTTTTGTCAAGAATATCTCGTTGCTGCTCTATAGTCATGTCTACAGGGTTTTCGTGGCTGTATCCATGCAATCCAATCTCGTGACCAGCGTCGCGCACTGCTGCCATGTCTTCGGGGAACGTCTCTAGGCTGTGACCAGGGATGAACCACGTTGTTTTGATGTTATACTGCCTTCGGTCAGATATATTCTCACAAATCGTCGCATATCATGCTACATACCTTCTTGAACATCTTCAAAAGCCGCTGTGTGCCTACTGTGCCGGCAAACATTCCGCGACTGATGTCGCTTGTGCTGTCTTCTCCGCCATATGAGCCCAACCATCCCGAAACAGCATCGACGTCAACACCGTACGAAATGAGAACGCGCTTCTTGCCCATTGTGATGTGGTGGTTTCTCACAAAGCAGGTGGGTTTTGGGTACAAAGGCTACTTTGGAAGTCGCGTGAATATGCTTGAATTTTACTCGAACGGTTGAGACGGCAAGCCTGGCTCTTATGACCATATCATCCAGCCATTGCGGGGAAGTTCGTTTTGCAATCATCTGAAGCCGACGGCGGCTTGACAGGCGTCATCGCGGACCAGGGTACTGCAAGCGCACTAGCGCTATCGTGACTCCAATTTGCTACTCCAATTCCCAAGACGGCCGAATTCAGCTCCACCATTGACACCACATCACGAGTGATTGGCAAAAGTAGGTATGTTATCTGTGGTATCGTTGCAGCATATCCCACATCACCTGTATCATCCACCACCATGGTTGCGCAAATGAAGGCTGCTCAGATTTCAGAGGTAGCGTGACGTCATTGACGCAACAGGAAGGCATCTCTGACCTTTCATGCAGTTCGATAAGCCATACCAGCTCTGCGAGAGACCCTTACCTACATGCGGCGAGAATGACCTCCTCGTGCAGGTATACGCAGCTGGTTTCTGTCACTCAGATCTCCAGGTCTTGCAGGGGCAATTTCCAGCTAGCTTGCCAATGATCCCGTCTCATGAGCCAGCTGGCAAGATCGTGGTAGTCGGCTCCCAAGTGCAGGGCAACTGGAAGATCGGTGATCGTGTTGGAGTCCTGAATTTCAAAAACGCGTGTCGGCAATGTGTCGGGTGCCAACAGCATATGAGAAGGTCTTCAGGCACACGTTCCGATCCTCGGTTCTGTGAGAAGAGACAGATGGCAGGCTTCAAGCATGATGGTGCTTTTGCAGAGTACATGTTAGCCGATCCAGAGACCACTGTCCATCTGCCAGAAGGCGTTTCATTCGAGCAAGGGGCTCCTCTAATGTGTGCAGGAGTACGTGAATCTCTCACGAAATGTACGCTTCAACACTGACCACATCAGGCTACCGCCTGGGGCGCTCTACGAAAGCTGAAACCAGAGGTTAAAGATGGTGAAGCGGTCGCTGTTGTAGGTATTGGAGGCGTTGGCCACCTGGCAGTACAATTTGCCAAAGCAATGGGCTTCCGCACCGTAGCAATCGACAACCGCGAAGAAGGCCGACAACTGGCTCAAGAAGTCGCCGACCATCTCAAGCCGGATCTTGTGGTTGATTCAACAGCGATCGATGCAGATGATAGAATTCTGGAATTTACTTCTGGCGAAGGTCTCGCTGGCGTGGTGGTCTGCACTGACTCCATCGCGGCAAATGCGTGGAGTCTTCAACAGCTAGGTAACAGAGGCGTAATGGTACCATTGGGACTTCCAAAGGACAAGTGGCAATTTGATTCTGAGGCCATGGTGTTCAGAGAGCTCATCATCAAGGGTAGTTATGTCTCAAGTGCAGAGGAAGCGGAGCTGATGTTCAAGGTTGTTGCGGAGCATCAGATCTCGTCACATCTTACTGTCTTGGAATTTGACCAGATACCCACTCTTGTTGACAGATATTTGCAGAAGTCGATGAAAGGTAGACTGGTCATTCAAATAGCCCAATAAACTCAACCATTCTTCGAAGTCACAATACGGATCGAATCTTGAAAGCTTATATTATGTATGTCTCGCATCGCCGTTCAGAGGCTAAGTTTGATCCATGCGTTCATAGCTTCGGCGGTACTAACACACTACTGGCATCGTTCCTCCCGACACTCTTCCAGTCAATTGCTGACTCCCATGCAAGACCTGCGTCCAAGATCTTCTGCTCCTGCCATAATCCACCGACGAGCTGCATTCCAACGGGAAGTAGCACACTGGTGTCCTCCTTTGCAGGTGCGAAGCCGACAGGAAGAGATAATGCTGGGTGCCCCGTAACATCGAAAATAGCTGTGTTTGTCGTAATACCCATGCTTGGCTTGAGAGCCTCCATTGGTGAGTCCCCTCGCTTCCAGTCGACGTTCGCAGGAGCAACGAATGGCGTCGTCGGCATTACGATTAGATCGTAGTCTTCGAATAGTTTCTCGTACGCATCTCTCATTTGCTGCGCGATATTCATAGTTTTGACGTAGAGCCCAGGATAGTTCTGCATCAGAGAAAGCCCGTTAATCATGGTGTTCTTCGTCGAAGGGAAAAGCCTTTGGAAGGTGTCGTTCGTCCATGGCTGACGTGCTGCTTCGTATTTCGTTGAAAAGAGTCCTCGTCTCCCATGTGCGTAACCCATCATCCCAAGTGTACCCGCAATGCGTTGCTGAATCGTCCAGACTGCTGGTCCTTCCAGATGCAAAGGCAATGATACTTCTTGAACAGTTGCACCTAGCTGTTCAAAACCTTTAACAGCATCAAGTACTATGGCCTTGACATTGGTGTCAACTAGGCGATGTTTGAAACCTTCTGTCAAGACTCCAATTTTCATCCCTGCGACAGAAGCTTTAAGACTCTTCGCATACTGTGTAGATCCATGCAGCGGAGCGCCAAGTGTCTTGTCGTCAAAATCGTCTCTTCCACTGATGGCATCCATACATAACGCAACATCCTTCACGTTCCGGGCAATGGGTCCAGCATGATCGTTGACAGAATCACCACTGGAAATGCCGGTATATGGAACCAGGCCATGTGTAGGTTTCAGACCAACACCTGTAACATAAGGTCAGTTCAATCCTTGCAATAAAAATTATTGTCGGGTACTTACATCCACAGAAAGACGAAGGTACCCTAATGCTGCCTCCTTGATCGGCTCCAATAGCAATGTCGACCAAGCCGCCTCCAACAACAGCTGACCCGCCAGAAGTACTACCGCCAGCCGAGTAACCTTGAGCGTAAGGGTTGTGGACCGTCCCTTGAGCGCTCGTAAAAGAAGACGTAGAGTTGCAGAAGTTTTCGCAGATTGTAGTTCCGACGACGTCTGCACCAGCTTCGTACGCCCTCCTGACTACCGTGGCGTCAGCTTCGGGTGTCCATGCTGGAATTGCATCTGTGCCGAAGAACTGAGGTACTCCAGCAACTGCAATATTATCTTTCAGGCAAACAGTCTTTCCACTCAAGACACCACCATTGGGATTTCCTCTGATCAAAAACTTATGCGCCCAGGCATTACCATAATCTTGCTCATCTTCGGAAGGACGATACAGCTGCTCACGAGGGTATGTCTTGGTATCTGGTCTGATGACATAGTCTGGAAGCTCGAGAATGTGTTCAGCAACATCGTGCACGGCTGCTAAAAGTTGCCGGTATTCACTTGACTCCTCCGATGCGATGCCGTGGTCAATTCCGATATTGCTCAATAGTAACTCTGCTTCCCCTTCGGCAACAAGATCCTCACTTTAGTTGCGGTTAGCAAATATATAGCGCAAACGATGATTACAACGGACCTTATCGGGGAGTCAAAGAACACAGACATGATGGAGAGCCTCCGGATTGTATAATTGATTGCAACGTGCCTCACAGGACTACACGTCTAATGAGAAGTACTCTACCATAGTACGAAGATATAGCCTACTAAGCGAAGACCGTATTACGTACCTGCATTCTATGTCCGAGTCTAGGATCATTGTGGGTCGACCGGGCCGATCTCTCCAAGACAGCTCCAACTGACCCCAACGCTAGCAAATGCGGAGACACGGGCTTATGGCACTCTCCAAGACGGCCCGTCTGATTCATGCCCTCTTATATGTGGCGTATTCAATTACCAGATTGGCAGATCTGATCTAAGCAAACATGCTAGGGGTCATGCACTGATCTGTCGTCTTCACACGTCGAATTAAGCCCGAATGTCTTTTCAAGATACCGAGTCTGGTTGCATGAACTTTCAATTAATTGTGTAGCCACCATCGACGACCAGTGCATGCCCTTGAATGAAAGACGCGTCGGTCGAGCACAGGAATAATACGGCATTTGCTACCTCATCTGGCGTACCCATCCGCTTCATGGGGGCTATGTTGATAGCCGGCTTCAGTGCTTCAACCATCTCAGGAGAAGTCGTTGTCATTGGAGTTTCAATGACACCTGGACAGACACAATTTACCCTAATATCGTCGTCTGAGTAGTCAATGGCGTTCGCGCGTGTCATGTTGATGATAGCAGCCTTTGAAGCACAGTAGGCAGCTGTTCTGTCATCAGCTTGGACGTTGCTGTGTGCAGATTTGAGACTCACCCGCGCCAGGTCTTGAAACGATACCTAGTTGACTCGCAATGTTCACGATAGAACCTCGTTGTCCAGGCTGCTCTGACAAAGGTCCTTGGTTTAACATATTCCTGAGTTGAGCACGCGAACTCAACCAAGAGCCTCTATAGTTGATGTTGTTCAGTCGATCGAAAGCATCCATTGTCATATCCACGGCTTTCACTGGCTTGCCTCCAAGAACCCCAGCGCAGTTTACCGCGTAGTCGAGTCTCGAGAACTTCGAAGCCACTTCATCTGTGAATGAGTTTACAAACCCTTCATCTGCAATATCTCCTGCTTTGTCAAACACTTGAATCGATGAATCTATCGATAGAATGGCATCTTTGGTCTGCCTTAGTGTGTCCGGGTTGATATCTGTGATTGCAATCTTCGTGCTCCCGGATCGCGCAAAGCCTTTCGCAACTGCAGCGCCAATGCCTTCAATCATTAGCAAGAGAGTTCCCAGTAAACAATTTGAAGCAGGTACCTGTTCCGCCTGCGCCAGTGATGATAGCTACACCTGGCAATTTTCTCAAGATCGATGTCATAGCTGTAAGGTCAACTGAACGACTCGAGTGTTTCCAAGATAATTTTGGTTATTCCAAAAGACATTGCGAGAAGCTTTGGTAAGGGAGATATCAGCATGACGCTCGCGGCAACGTGATCTCCGCCCCGCACGTTGTTGGAGTAGGCGCGCCGTTATCTCGGCTGCAGAATTGGAGTAAGTCTATCTTGACCCCGAAGTCGCTCGGAGATCCAACCGATGAAACGGCGGACCCGCACTGCAACTCCACAAACCTCCAACACCTCCACAACAACAACATGCTCCAAGAACCCAAGCACAAATGCACAGACATCCTCACATTTGCAGTCACTGCTCGCGGAGTTTCAAACGCACGGAGCATCTGACTCGGCACCTCCGCACACGTACGTTGCCCAGATCCGTTCGACCCGCTTCTAAGAAGGGTATCACATCACGAATGCGAGGTGTGGTTCGCTTGTAAGGCGAGATTTCTCACCTGGACAAATGAACAACGCTGGATTTTTCGTGGAAACTGCAACCTTTAGCATCATGTTACAGATTCCGAGGACTGCACTGTCCCAGGAATGCAATAGTTGCTGATGACTGACTGATCACTTAGATACAAGAGATAAGCCCTACAAGTGCTCTTGTGGATCAGCTTTCACACGACGTGATCTACTCACGCGGCACTGGCGTATTGCACAGCACGAAGGAGATGCTTCCACGATAGCATCAACATCCTCTTCGGAGACCAGACGCGATGCGCAGCAACACGATGTAGCCAATACACAACAGGCTACCGTCAATGGATTGATGACCAACAACAACTCTGAGCTTGATAGCTCTCATTTGCTGCATCAGCCAAGGATGGAATACCCTACCCCCGGACCGAACCTGCATCATGATCAGATTCCACTCATAAATCAAGGTATTTGAGAACTCGCATTGTATGTCCCACAGCAGCTAATCAATGCAACAGGGGCTCAACCCCAGTCTTACCATGATGAGGGATTCCAAGACTTCCGCGACTTTGTCAATTTTATCGATGGCGTTGGGCTGTCAGCGCAATGGTCGCCTGAGTTCGGGTTCGATTGGCTACAAAGCGATCAGCAGCCACAACAGCAGCAGCAGCAACAGCAGCAGCAACAGCAACAACCCCAACATCATGAGTCAGCAAGACAATCGCACGAGCCCGAGACGGCTTATACACCTGAGCCTGAGGATATTGGGACGCCCTTCAGCACATGGTTACCTTCAGCGCCAGCTGATGATCAAGTTCATCTTCGATCTCATTCAGGCGATGGTACGTAGGACTTTTCGCAGCATTTTTCATCGCAAAAAGAGCCTCATACAGTATCATGAGCAATGCTGAAGGTTAATGTCTGGAAGAGGGAAAAATTATCGCGGCATTGCATACCAGAGACACCCAATGCTGGTCCGCAGACCGTACTTACAGGATACAAAGAACATGCTGACACAGAAGTACCAGATGTCCGGGAAAAGCGAAGTCGCAGCGGGACATACAACGTAACAGACGAGCATCGAAACTTCCTGGTATCGCTGCTGAGTAGCTTTTCTGCCCCAATCTCCGGGTTCGAGATACCCTCACGCCACACGCTGACACGATATATCACGGCGTTCTTTGGAGGATTCCATAGCCATTTCCCCTATATTCACAGATCGACATTTCAGCCCTCATGCTCTCCTCTCGAGCTTACACTCTCGATGGCTGCAGCAGGAGCTCAGTACTGTTTCGAGAAGAGGAGCTCTGAACGACTTTTTCGAGTAGCAAAAGCCATGGTGTTTGAAAGATTGAGACAAGAAGAGAAATACTTTGGGCCTCAAACACTTGCGTCGATTGCCTCGAACAATGTGTACACGCCTGAAGCCGAGGTCCCAATGCGACGCATCGGACCCTGGAGCCCTCTCGACCTGGCTAAGACGCTTCTTACTCTTGTCGGCTTTGCAACCTGGGAAAGAAAAGACTTGCTTCAACAAGCATTCTGCCTGCGTGGTCTACTCGTGCAGACTCTACGGGACATTGGTCTCCGTGAGGAGAGTGTCAATAGCAACGGGTCCACCTCCAGGTCTGCGATGTGGGATCAATGGGTTCAGTTGGAATCTGCTCGGCGCACGAAGCTTGTGGCTTTCTGCTACATCAATGTTCACAGCATCGCGTACAACGTGCATCCTCTATTATGGAGCAGCGAGTTGCACCTGAGACTGCCTTGCTGCACAGCATATTGGCAGGCCACAAGTGCTGCACAGTGGTCAGCCTTGCGAAGAGACAACAAAGAAGATCAGATGCCATTTCAGCAAGCACTTTCGGTACTACTCCAAAGTCCCACGGGAACCGAGACTGTTCATCCCATTCCGAGTCCTATCGGCAATTACATCCTGCTACACGCATTGTTACAGCGCATACATGTTGTACGCGAGCTGTCTTTTCCGCTGACCCCGTCCACAACGATATCGGCATCCGAACTTCAAACTATTAGTCGCGCCCTTCGCTCATGGACTTCACTGTGGCAGCAGACCCCGGAATCGATACTCGATCCCAACAATGAGAGCGGACCGATACCGTTCACATCGAGCGCGTTACTAGTCGTAGCTTACGTGCGATTGTCTCTCGACATCGGACAGCATCGCCATCTGGAGACCCGCGATCCCCATGCGATTGCTGCTGGACTTGCGCAACTGCCGGATATCGAGCGCAATGACAATCTCCTCTCGGCACTGCTGTACTCAACGCACGCGTTGAGTATTCCAGTGAGACTGGGCATCGATAGAGTGGCAAGGAGTCAAGCCTTCTTCTGGAGTGTTCAGCATGCTATCTCGAGTTTTGAATGTGCTATATTTCTGGGAAAGTGGCTATGCTCACTTCCGAGCCCACTGCAGGAAGATTCTTTATCCCGTAAGTGTGATTTTCGTTATTCCGGAGATGATCTCGGGCTACTGCAACCATAGTTACCATTGAGGGTCATTTGTTGGCTCAGACCTGTGGCCAATACCTTCGCGATCACATGCTGACCGTTTCAGGTTCGGAGCATCGCATCCTCCATTGGGTCATATGCATAATCAAAGAGGCATACGCAGTGGTAGACTTTGAGGAAACGGAAGGGATTGAAAGCGAAATAGCAGTCCCAGAGGCCCCTTTTGCCCTCGGTCTAGCAGTGTTGAACATATGGTGCCGCTTCTTCAGAGGCAATACTCAGTGGCAATTCGTAGTGAACCTGGGGATAAGCCTGGAGATATATATGAAGTCGCTGGCTACAGTCACTTCCTGAACTAGCTCTCACGATTGATGCACACACTCTGAGCACATTGATGCAATTGCTTCCGCATGTGACTGCTTCTAGGCTGTAGCAGAGGCATATCGTGTTCGTAACAACGCGCTTATGCCTGTACGGTAGACGCGTACTTTCCCGCCCTTTAGACGCGTGCACCATCTAGTGGGGCGCGCTGAACCCTGAACATTAGTTCCTTCCTCAACTTTGGTCAATAATCTCATGGTTCCATTTCCGGAGTTGTCGTTTCAATTCCAGGAGACGCGTAAGCACCAATACTGTGCTCCGAGTCCATATCATATAGATGATTGCAGGTGTCAATTGTGCAACTAAGTATAGCGTTCTAGATGTCAATTGCACCGCTGCTACATCTTGCGGAGTATTCTGTAGCCGCCAATGGTTATTATGCATGCTCGGAAGAGTTCTCCAACGATCCTGAGGATGACATCGGAACAATTGACGAGACGGAGATGAATTCTCGCATACCATACGCTTCAGGTTCCCACAGTCCAAAAACAGCTTTCCGATACCTCATCCATGGTTGTCATATTCCCAACGCTGGAGGTTCCAGAGAAATATATTCAAATATAGATCTTGCCATGCATCTACGAGCTTCTATGGGGCTGCGGCAGTAGGAAGAGGGTCTGCAATTAATCGCCTAAACTGTTCCAAAAGATGAACATACGCATAAATACTTCCTGGGGCTCATCTTATCAGTATCATCAACACACTTTCACATCCACATCACACTCACATCCAAACACACAATCACACCTCCAACATGGCTCGTAAGTGTCCTGACTCTTCCTATAATGCGTGCCTCTTCATCGTATTGTGTTGTTTTTCCTAACACAGTTCTAAACGCTGACTTGTTGTAGCCAACGACTACACAAGCATTGGATCGCAAGCCCAAGCCGGCTGCTTTGCCAATCCGGCACCAAAGCTGACCCGCGCAGAGGTATGTGATCAATTCCACACTATCACAGTCCAATTAACACTCTATAGCGCATCCTCCGTTGGCTCGCGGGGTGGAGGTCTTCACCTCTGGAGGAGGTGCAAGATTGGTGGATCAGGACGTTTGACGAGGACGCAAAGCTCGCGTTGACCTGCGGGCTGCTTTCGTCGTTGGAGCACTCCAACCTCCTCGTCAAGCTGATAGTCCCGCCATTGGAGCTGCGTCCGACTGAGGCGGATCCGGGGTTCATCCTCGGTCCCGCGTTCCCTGCCCTCCCTTTCTTCTCTCCTCCCGCCTCTCCCGCCATTCCCCACTACTCTCCCTCCCAGGACCCTCTCCTCCTTCCTGGCTCCCTCCCGGCTCCGCTCCTGGATCCGCTCCCGCTTCCCCTCCCGGATTGCCTCCCTCCTTGCCTCCCTCTCCTTCCCTCCTCTCCTCCCGCTTCTGCCCCTGGTACCTCCGCGCCACAGCCCAGGAGGCGTGGTCGCCCTGCAGGGTCCAAGGACCAGGAGAAGCGTGCCGCTCGCGGCACGCACAGTCACCTGACAGCTGCCGAGAAGAGCAAGCTGACCAGGGAGAGGGGAAAGAAGCGGAAGCAGGAGCAGCAGCAGCACGAGCAACAGCAGCACGAGCAACAGCCACAGTAAGCCATCAAGGCTGATGGCTAGTTGTCGTCGTGTTCGCTTTCTTCTTCTCTTTTTTTAGGTACGTCTGCAGGATGCGGGTTTCCTTCGTGGTGGCCATCGTCTCTAACTCTCGCCCAGACTACCATGAATACCAGGAAGCCGAGGAGGACGGCGATTATTGTTGGGGCAGCGGGATGGCGCATGGTTTTGTCTTTTGTGTCTTTTATTTCTGTTTTTTGTTATGTATTGATATCCTGTTTAAGGGTTTGGTATTTTTCGGCGTTCAGTGTTCGGTTTCTTTCCAGCGATTTCCTTGTGCTATTTGCGAGTTCTGCGCTTTAGATACCCCTTTAATTGATTCTGCGTTCTGCTCAAAGGCCTTCTTATGTTCGCCACTGTGATTCCTCTAATAACGCGCAGCAGAATTGCACGTTCTCAATTTTTGCGACGTTTTGTACCGGAGTTATGGTGTTGCGGTCCCTGTTCATGAACCGAAGCCGGAACGGCTCGGCTCATCTTGCCATGTATCTCGCGTGTTGTTTCCGTCTTGCAGCGAACAGCACCGTCACCAGAATCTCACAAATTGGCACTCAGGCACATCTAATCAACCACTTGACACTTTTGTAGGACACATTGTGTATTTATCACAGTCAATAAGCCGCTGAATTGCGAGCGAATACCTCCGCTCAAGCGTGTAGACCCAACATGAAAGTGCGGGAGATAAGGCCTTTCTGATGCACTGATTCGGCCACTGTACTGTGGAAGAACGATCTATTGGTATATGTGAACGAGAAATTTGCTAGGACTCAGAGCAAAGAAATGCCGAAGCATTTACTTGCCTTTCAAACGCCGCCCAGTGTATGCTGTATATAACATCATGGCTGTAGTGTACGTGTACGTGTGAAGAGCCCATGGCTGAGCCAGCTCAGCTGTAACGCCTCACTATGTCTGTGAACCCATTAAAAGGTAAACCGTTCCCATATTGTTTAGTCCATGCCGACGTACTTGAACCACAGCGGCCTGCAGTCCTCTCGGTTTAGGAATTTCTCGCCATCGGTAAACCGACCTGTGACACAGCCCTTGCACTTCGCGCTGTTGGGGCAGTTGAAGAAGGGGATGTGCTGGTAGCCGATGTCGCGGAACCAATGAATCTTGCTCTTGTCCTCGAAAAGTCCGAGTGCAACGCTGTGCACAGGGGCATCGCCCCAGCGCTCGTAGAAGAAGCCGCCGGCGCGGTCGAGGTGGTTGAAGTAGTCTCGGTACTTCTTGCTGCGCCAGAAGCTTAGATCACCGATTTCGAAGTTTGACCAGAAATGGCATGTCGAGTAGCCGTTCGCCTTCCTATTGTTGTCCGGCCTCCTATTTCCATCTTCCAGCCATTCGCGCGCGTTGTTTGGGTGTACGTAGTCGGGATGGTCGTCGAGGAACTTCTTCGTCTCTGGCCATAGTGTTGCGACACTATCAGGGCTATCGTAGATGTTGATGTTGAACCCGTAAGTCTTGTTGTGGTCCTGCATCCATGCAAAGACATCGTAGTCCACATCGCAGAAGAAATGGACGTTTGGCTCGACTCGCCAGTAGTACTGCACGTCTTTCAGTGCTGGGTGCTCGCTGAACATGCCGCTATTCCATCTGCACATCTGGTGATATGACCTCTTCTCCATGTATTGTACTTGCTGTGCCTTGAGCAGGGAGACGGATTCTTGGTAGAGATCTTCGTTGATCCACGATGGGACATCCCAATGCTCAGCTGGGACTAATTCTGTAGGGAGGCAACGTCAGCAGTGTCTATGAACCTAGCTCATTGCCATGCGTACCGTATCGCACCTCCGCCTTCGTCGCTGCACGTGTCTTCTTCTTGAACTCCTCGGTGAACGGCTTGTCGTTGAAGAAGGTCCATGGGTAATTGAATTTGTGGTTCCATGTTCTCTCAAGATCATGCATGCTCTGAAGCATATCCTCGAGCTCTTCATTGCGTACCAGACTCAGGATGGTGGCATTGATGCGTGCGCTGTTCGTGTTGTCTGGCGCATAATTCGTTCCGTCAACTCGTCGCAGGGGCTCCGGAGGCTCTCCGGATGCTGTGCGCTGTTAGGTGTAATCTGACTACAGTGAGCAACCTCGTGTAAACATACGATCTAATTGTGGGTCGTGGTCCCATTGCCCATCTTTGGCCAGCGGAACTTTGGTTGGTACCTGCAGCTCACCGGCAGACGGCGCGTTCAAGATCTTTACGAACAGGAAGATGAAGACGCAGATTGTAGCGCCCGCCAGGATGCGCATGCTCTTCGGCAGCGCCATAGTGAATCAGGAGTGCGGCGAAGCGAGGACGCAAACATTGTCCCATCTTGCGGAGATGACATGCGACTCGTTGATAAGTTTCACATGGGTTGCGTAACGTGCCAAGCCACATCCGGATTAGCGCACTGGCGGGTGTACGTCAGTCCAACGGTGCAACACAGCAGCCGCGCCGCCACAGTAAACAAATGTGCGCCCCTTGAAGCGCATCAAGGGCGCGTCGACATGGCCCAAAACGCGAGGATAGCAGGCCTCACAGATGAGCTGATACAGTCGATCTTGCTGTTTGATCCTGCCACCAACAAGCAAGCCTACAAACGGGCGAAAGATCTCGCAGTAAGAGGTCTGCGCGGACACCAATATGCTCGAACGAACCAATTTGATGTGGAAAACAGCTTTGCTGGTCTGGATGAGAAATGTCGCGTCAAAAATCGCGACGACCTGGCTGATGCGCTACACTTGAGATTACAGAGGTTAGAAAGCGTCACCAACAAGTTCAAACCAGAATTTCTCTCGCTTCTGCTCCAGCTCTCCGACAGGCCGCTGGAAAACACTCGAATTGAAGCACTGGATCTGCTGAAACTACCAAGCCCACCACCCGAGCTTACATGGGGTGAGATACTGGACGAGGATCCATATAGTGACGAGGACATCTGGAAGGACATTGATTACGCTGTTGAGTCTTCTGGCGACGAACAAATCGAAAAAGAGCGAAAGAAGCAGAAGAAGCCACTCACACCCGCAACAAGCGCTGATGAGGATGACACATACGACCCTGAGCTATGCGTTGACTCTACCGACGACAAACACGTATCAGACATCGAAGCAGCGCATTTTTGGTCTGAGCCAGTCGAGGAAGGCACAAAGACTGAAATCACCGAGCTTGAAGCTGTTCGAGAAACGCTGTTCATGCTTGCCGGGCTACAGACGAGTTTGTACAGCGTGGACATTGCACGATGCAGGGTGCGGGTCAGTGCACGCTTCAAGCTAAGCCATGCGATGGCAGGTACCGTCGACCATCTCCTGTTACAGTTCGCGAGCGTCGGTAGGGACGTTCTCCGACTGAGACAATGGACAAGACGGCCTTCTACACTACCACTTGTTCAGACGTTCGAAGCCGCTGTGCGACAGCGTCTTCTCGACTATGACAAACACTTGTCAAGCGTGCAAAGACGTTACCTTGTTCCTGATTCACCCGTGGCAGTGAGCCTGCTGGTTTTGTTCAATGAAGTTCGAATCGACTCAGAGCAGATACTTCGCCTCTCACAGATTGTGTCGGATGTTGAGCCACGGTTGCTGGTAAACCCATTTAGCCATTTAGAGGAGCTCTTCAACCAGACAACTCTCGCACAGATGACACTACAGAAGCCAAGCTTTGACTTCCTTTCGACCATGCTGTTCGACTGCCTCCGAACTTATCTAAAGCCGATCCGGCGATGGATGGAGAATGGCGAACTGGGGGCCAACGATGAAACATTCTTTGTTTTCGAGAACGATTCAGGCAGTGACGTTGCCTCCATGTGGCACGACCGCTACGTGTTACGCCGTGATGCGCAAGATCAGCTGCGCTCGCCGTCTTTCTTGCAGCCTGCTGCCGCAAAAATCTTCAATACTGGGAAGAGCGTCATCTTCCTGAAGGAGCTTGGATACGGTCATACACTTTTAGATGAGCTCGATCCTGAGCCACCTCTTGATCACCAGACGGTCTGTGGCCACTCAGATGTTGTTCCCCTGTCGCCCTTCCCCGAGCTTTTCAATGCCGGATTCGAGAGTTGGATCCGGAGCAAATATTCTTTGGCATCTGCATCTCTACGCACGCACCTGTTTGAAACTCAGGGACTTATGCGCGTCCTGAAAATCTTCCAGATGCTGTACGTGGGTACTAATGGCGCAGTGTTTGAAAACTTTGCGAACGCAATTTTCGAACGGATGGACTCTGGTCATCGAGGTTGGAATGATCGATACATGTTGACAGAGCTTGCTCGGGTCATATTTAGCGATGTGTTACCCTCGCAAGACGCCGAGAAGATCGTGGTACGCTCTGCGAAGAGCAAAGACCACGGCCGGTCCGTGAAGGGACTGGCCACTGTGTCTGTCGACTATTCTGTAGGTGACAACTCCACCTGGCTGACGTGACTAACGATGATTCAAGCTCCACTGGTCTATACTTAACATCATACAACGATCCGCGATGCCTATCTACCAGCAGTTCCACACTGCCCTTCTCCAAGTGTACCGCGTCAAATACCTTCTTCAACGAGCACGGCCCACGCGCTCCCACAAGGTTAGACGATCCGCGCACCTCATCTATAAACTTCAACACCGACTCACCTGGTTCGTGGATATGCTCCGCTCCTACTACACCGAGACGGTCGTTGCCTTCACAAGTCGAGACATGGAGATTGCAATGGAGAAGGCCGAGGACATCGATCAAATGGCGGACATCCATGTCCGGTACGTGGCAAAGCTACAGGAACGCGCAATGCTGTCCAGCGACCTCACACCAATTCACAAGGCTGTCGTTGAGATCCTAGACCTGGGTGTTCTTTTCGCCAAGGCCGTCGCAGACCTCGAGGGCAGTGGCACAAGCCGCGCTCGGCCATCCGCGCCACGCAGGAAAAGCAGCGCGCCTCTACTGGACCAGGTGCAGCTATCAGACACAGAAGACGAAGGAGAAGATAACGAGCTCGATTCTGCTCGCAGGTCCACACGAGGATCAGCAGGTCGTAGCCCCACGGAAGCGCTCCAGGCGATCGATAAAGAGCTTGCGAGGTTGCTCCCTTTCGTCACAGCTGGTCTGCGCAGCGTGGGCCGGGTCGGTGCGGAACCGATGTGGGAGCAGCTAGCCGAGCGGCTGGAGTGGGAGGGCAAAAAAGACAGGTACTAGATGAAGCAAAGCAACGTTTGACTGTAATGATATGATGTACCTATTCACACTTGTGTAGACTTATGTGCCGTCACGCTATCCTCAGCGGGATCACTCCCCGCCTATACCGTGTCGTTGCCAGACCGTACGTGCCCATGACCATATAAGCCACGAGAATCAACACTGCCATGTGGAACGCGCAGGCAAGCAGGTATACTCCAAGAGCCCGCCATATTTCGAGATCCCCTTTCAGATTCATAGCTATCCGTGCAGTGGAAGGGGCGATCACAAATATATACCGGGTGTGGTGTTTGTAACCCTTTCATCTTGTCCCAGCGTTGACGCGTCGAGCATCGAACAGCAACACGTATCATCGCAAACACCATGATTTACTCACAAACGCAGGTCGCAAACGATATCGCTATTGCTGATCACGCCGCACTCCAGCGACTGTGCGTGTGCGTCGCCCTCGCATTTCTGCAAAGATACTGCACTTCTCAGCCTTGCTGCATTTTTTTCTCACTTGACTTTCTGTCTGCACCGCCTCTCCACACAACGACATTCTTGACGAGTTCGTAAAGGTCTCTTGCAGTCATACAGACCTGCCCTTACTCTTTGCTGGCCTTGACATCTGACTACCTTAAGGCAATTCAATCAATGCATTGAGGTACTGATGTGGTCGACTCCTTCCGCGTAATACTCACGTGGGGTAAGGAAGAGCGGTAAGGTGGGCATCCGATGGGTTCAGATGCCACCCGGGAGGCAGTCAGAAATTCGCGTTCTCGCGTTGAGTACCAAATTAGCAGCTGCTGACGCGTGACGAGATTGCGAGATCATCAGTGCGAGCACACTAAGTTCGCCTCTAAACTACTTCAGGAGCTCACAGGCACCACAGCAGCTGCCTTTAGCTCAGAGAACAGTGCCTCCGGTTCTCGCGGAAGGACAGGGGGGTTTAACCCAAGCCCAATGTCTGGATACATTAGGACCGCAACACACAGGCTGAATTTCACAATCGATGCGTTCATGTCGTAGGAGATAATTGGTTCAATGCTCAATTAACAATAATATCAAGCATACAAAACAACTCGCACGCTTCCCGCTCGCTTGTGAGAGAGCTGGGGAGGAATCCATCCAGTCCCGGGGTATCTAAAATCAACGCAGAACTCCTCCGCAAGAGCAAGCATTGGTGTGCATTAAAAATACAGCACACCGTGCACGAACACCATCCACACACGATCAGTCGAAGTCAAGAAAGGCGTCCATACTGATCGGCGGGAGGTCTCCGAAGAGCGCAAGTACCTCCCCGTCATCAATCATGTCCCGATACATGTTGGCATCAGGATCAGGTACAGTGGCCGACATTTCGTCGACCACATCCTCCACCGTGTCGGCCTCGGTCAGATCGACGCCGCTCACCTCGGCGTTCTCATCTACTGCCGGGGCGACCTCCCCCATCGAGGCTAGAAAGGCGTCGAAATCCCCCTCTATCGGGAGGGCTGCATCGCCTTCAGAAAAGTCGAAATTGCCCATGGTAGGGGCAGCAGGCGGGAGGAAGTCGCCATGCTGAGGCATGACGGGGAGAAGCGGGTAGGCCAGCATGTCAGGCTGTGCCTGCAAACGCTGGTGTACCCGCATATCATGCGGGAGCCCCGGGATGCAGTAACACTGCTGGGGCATGGCGGGCTGGGGCAGGGTAGCAGGCGCGAACATCTCCTGCTGCTGGGGCGGGGGGGCAGGCGCGAACACCTGCTGTTGCTGGGGGGGTTGAAGGCCCCCAATTGGCTGCCACGGAGTGGCTTCAGGCACCATGCCCAGAGGCGGTAGTGCCTGCTTGGGGTTGCCCATGATGACCGGGGGCATCTTCTGCTCCCCATACCAGATGGGGAATGCCTCCGTGACGTGGACCCTACGGCCCCGGAAGTTGATCAGCTGTTGGGCCGGCTTCGACGACCCGCGCATCACCCAGTTCCATAGTCTGGGCACGTCGACGTCCTCGTTGCCAGTTGCTGCTGGCCAGGGGTCGTTCTGCTTCCGCCGAGGGCCCCTTGCCTTCTTGGCGGCCGGCTCTGCAGCCGCAGACTCTTCTCTCGCCGCCCTCTTGCGGCCACTGGCAGACTGCGGCGCCTCAGGCGAGGTCACTACAGCCTCAGCAGCCAGGCTGGCGGGAACAAAAGAAGTAGACATGTTGTCTACAAATATGTGGGGTGAGAAGAGGGAGGTGTGATGAGGGGTGTAAGAGGTCGTAGGGGTGACAATCTACGATCTCAGTGTCGGGATGGTGAGGCCTGGAGGCAGTCAGCATGGTGTCAATCAATAGTATAAAATTGCAACAACATGCAACGCAATTATCAAAAACGCGGAATTGGAAAACGTGAACGAGAGATCTAAACCAAGAAACACGATGCGAGAAAGTATCAAAACAAGAACGCGGAGTCGGTGTTGTGACATGATGCTCCTATGCCAACAAGCGAACTGACACGTCAAAGATGCAAGACGCGAAAAAAAAACACGGATCAGTGGTTCAGGGTCCCAGCCTCCCCTGACCAAACAATATAAAAAGATCCACGCGTCCACGACGCGTAAAAGGAATTCTGGTGGGGGGGAAGGGCGGAAAGAAAGGGCTGAGAAACCCGAAGAAATTAAGAGACTTGTTCCCAACCGCCACCAGCCATTGCTCGGCACCTAAGGGCTGGAGGCTCTCGAACCTCGGGTTCGATGGTGGTGGCGGTCCATTGGTGCTGAGAAAAGGAGAGAAAACAATTGAACAATTGAAGCAGTGCATGGAGAGGGGTGAGGAGGGTACTTACGATGTGGTGTCGCGGTGTTGGGTGTGAGTATCGTAGAAACTATGTCTACGATCTCGAGAGTGGTGTCGAGGACCCCGCTGTGGGAGTTCTACTCGAGGAGGAGAGGAGGAAGGACCGAGGACTCCGCTATGGAAGTTCTACTCGACAGGTGGTGATGTGGAAGAGGGGAGAGGAGATGTGGGTGAGACTTTGTATCTGCCCTGGACTGGTGTGAAGTGAAGCTGTAAGTGCCGAGACGTTGCAAAGGCGCGAAAGTCGCGTGCTAGTGGCTGGAAGACAGGCTTCAGGAGTGTAGTACTGTTGGACGAGATAATATCGTTGTTTAGATATAAGATGGAGGCGGGCAGATCTTTATACCCTCTGCCAGCAGCGATTTTTACGGAATCTGGGAAAGGATATTGGGACCCTGGCAATCATTTAATAAATATACGCTCAAGGTACGCTGTGAGAGGGTGATCGAATAGACAATTTACTGGGTGAATTTTAGGATCCATTGGGTTCACGACGCGCGGAGAGCTGAATCTATGGTAGACGAATTGATAGGACGTTGACGTTGAGGCTGTACGTGCAGCGCACATATGTAACAGCGGTTGAGCTTCCCAACGGCATCTGCTTTGGGGCTGGCAGGGGCAATGGGGAAGTGTGGATGGTAAAATTCGAATCCTGAGCAGGTCAATGGCGCTGAGAGCATTTCCATTGATCATCACCGCCTACAATATCTTCCCGCAATGCAACCGAGCGATACACCTCTTTTGGCAGAGACCCAAATTCCACAACGCCTTATCAACACCACAATATCGGCTGCGGCTGTGCCAGCAACGCGTACAATTGATAGTAACCTCCTCTTTGTGACATCGATCCATTGATCGCAAATCTGCTTGCTCATACATAGCCTGCCAGAACCGAATCAGCGGCCGCCCATTCTACTCTACTGCACTAAGGTAGGATTTATAAGATACCCTTCCTTGCGCCCTGGAAGAAGAATCGCACCACTGCGACCTGCAGACCCGCCATCACAAGCATCAATCCACCCTCCATAAGACTGAAGTTGAAGATGCGCTTCTCGGTGCTCTTGACGGTGCTGAAGTTGCGGTTCTCGCGTGTGCGGAAGTACTTCTGGTTGCGCGAGATTGTGGACAGCTGAGCCGAAAGCTTGAGAATCGATTCCTCGAGAAGACTTGTTTGTTCGGGGGAGGACCCTTGCTTAGAGGGGATAGCGGCTCGCGGAGCCTCATTCTCAACCTTGGTTGTGTTAGTCCCCTGTCTTGCGCAAAGGTAATCTAGACTTCAGTAGCCGAACACATACAGCGATTTCAAAGTCGACCAGCTTTTCGGCGAATGTGCTCATTTCGTTGTTGAAGCAAAAGCGGTACTCGCCGACCTCATTGGCCGTGAATACAAAGTCGCCCTGTCGTTCCTTGGATCCGTCGAGGATGACCTTCTCTGGCCCGCCATTGGGCCCAGGACCGACTACCGAGTAGTCGATATCGAATGAGCCACCAGACTGCACGGCGAAGTAGAACGCGACTTTGGTGGCCTTGTGCTCTACGTTCGCGAAGAAGCAGGCCTTCTCGTGCGCGTCGAGGCGGTAGGTGAGGGCAGTTGCATATACGGCGGTGCAATACGCCAGCAGGAGGCTGACAATCGTGGCGAGGGACCGCATTGTGGCCGTGTGCGTCGATCGGCGTCGTTGGGATTGTTGTCGCTGTTGTTGTATTTGGTTAGTAACAGCTGTCGACAACGAACGTCGGACTTTCGGGGGTGGTCAGACCGCGCCGCAGCAGACGCGGGGAGGCGCCTGGCCAATGAGATGCATCAACGGCCGCGCGACCACCACGACTCTTTTATACAGCAAACATGATGGTAAAGAGACGAGTGTATACCATACGTGTGCAGATGTGTACTCGGTATTAGAAACGGAGATGCTGGGAGCGCCTATGAGAGATGTCCACCATTCAATCTCGACAATTCGTGATTCAGGGGTTCTACAACTTGTGCAAGTGACACGAAAATAGTGTCTTGAGCATGACAATACCGTAATTTCATATGTTGTTCCCTAGTCTACAGTCCTTTGATCATAAGACATCTTGAATGTCTCTACTTCGCGTTTGATGGTCATTTCACACGCGACTGCTGACACGCAGAGTTCAAGGCCTCCAGTGCGCCGTCCATATTGCAAATACAAGTGCGCAGAGTGTCGCCGCCGATTGCTGAAAGGGAAAGAAGAACGCCCCATAATACTGATGCCTTTTCAACTATGCAACTGGCTGATGTGTATCCTACGCCCAAGCCTTGATCGCTTATCGAATGAAGATGGAATCCGACTTGCCCCAGAAGCTTCGGCTCTTGTTTGGATGATCCAGCCCAAGAGATTGATCGTCGGCCAATGTGTCCCACAAAATTTCATCTGTTGATACGTTAGTACGTGGATGTCGCGAAAGTGAAATAAAGTCCTTACCATCGTCCTCGATGTATGTGGGTTTCGAGTATTGTGCCCGCGCTACCTTCGCGAACTTGATCTTGTCGAGCTGCTTGCCCTTAATCTTCGTCAAGTCCGAGAGTCGTTGCTTGGTCTCGCTAAATGGCTCGGACTCCTTGAGCGCGAATTGGAATGGGATGCCGTGGGCTTTGGTGTGGTCCTTGTCAAAATGGAATACTGATACCCTTCGAGGAGCGTCAATCTCCGGAACAGGCATTGCGTAGATTTGCGAGTACTCAGCAAGAGCTGTAACTTGCAGGTCCGACGTCAGCTGTTTGGAGAACTTGTGCATCGAGACTTCCCATGCCTGGACCTTGTTCATAACCTCGTCACTGATGCTGGCTTTGCGCTGCAGTTCTTCCAGGAGGTCGGCGACCTGAGCACTCTTCGGAATCATGATCGTCACCTCCTCCTCCTTCTGAAGGCCCTCTGAAAGCCAAGTCACCTTGATTGGCCGTCTTTGCTCGAGCTCTTTGAGACTCATGTCCAGCTTCTCATAGAATAGAGCATCTGGCCGTTGTCCCGAAGCCTGCGCATAACTGTACGGGCCAGGGTACATGATATTATTCAATGTCTGGTTAGCGTTGTACTTAACAGTCTGCTTCGGCTTGCCGGCAGTGCTGACCGTCGTGAAACGTATATGGGTTGGGTCGCATTGGAGGTATTCGCCAACTTTCGCCGCCATCTGATCATACGACATCTTCTTGCTGAGTGTGAGAGAGAAGGCTGGCAACTCGACGCCCTCGGGTTGGACTCTTGCGACAAACTCGATGTTGATCCTGTTCAGGAGGAATTCGTAGAATTCCTTAGCGTCAACGTAGCCTCCTGTTGATCGGATCTGCTCAATCTCCTTGTCGGTCAATGCTTGTTGAACGGTGACAATGTCACCATCCTGCAGTTCTGATTGTGCCAGGGTCGTCTTAGGCTTCATCACCTCAATCATGCTCATCTTGATTTCTTCCGAGAGCTTCATCGGCGTAGCGCTCGGCCAGCCTAAGGTGTTTGCAATGATTGGCATGAGATCAGAAACCCGATCCTGATATCCAGCGTAGATAGTAGCGATACCAAACAGGCTCTGTGTCTTGGCATCGAAGTGCTTCAGGAAGAGCATGATTGGCTTGTCGCCAGTCCCTTTGATTTCCAGTAGCTTGTCGCCGAAAACAGGGGCATCATCTGCGTCGCGCTGAACAGCCTTCTCCATCCACAATCTGAAGACAGACTGTTTCGTGCCATGCTTAGCAGCAGCTTCTTCAACAGTCATATCAGGGAATTCTAGTGGCGTATCCGGACGGACTGTCCCGTTCTGGCGATTAACCATAGACCAAGGTCGCAGCATGTCGCCCTTGACGCCAAGATCCTGGCCGACTATTGTGTTGAATTGGGCCATGGTTGTCTGTCGAAGTACGCGGTGCGTCTTTGGATTGGCAGCTGATTCAGAATCGCCTTTCCAGGGAACAATGTCGAACCCTTGGTAGGCCTTGAAATTCTCGTCTGACGCGACGACGACATCCATATACAGATGTGCCTCTTCTCGCTCCTTCTTCTTCTTCTCAAATGCAGCATGCTCTTCGGCAATGCGTTCAGCCAAGTGCTTTGGTGGGGCAACGCTCTCCGCATCAGGAAGAATGCTGTCAAGTCGGCTCTCGCGGATGTATACCAACATGTAAGCGCTCATAGATCGCTTCGACGACCAGGTCCTGGTGTATGGGTTCCGTTGGCCAGCATTTCCGTTCTGAGCCTGTGCGTAATCACCTCCAAAGTTCTCCTCTAGTGCTTCGCGCTTCGTCGCGCGCGTGACGCGGTCGTCATCAAACTTATAGTAGTGTCCATCCTTGGCGGGTTTGATAAAAGCGTAGTAGTGCCCAGCGTTGAGGTCTCCGCTGTGCACCAGGACGCTGTGCAGACGGTAGACATAAGGTTCTGAGCGATCGGCGTTGTCGGACAGGTATGGCGAAGCATCCCATACCTCTGGGAACTCGTAACGATCGTTTACCTTCATCATGGCGTCGCGTTGAAAGTCGTACTCAAAGCGCTTGAGTTGCAGATGCAGGACTGGCGGGAAGCTTTCAAAGATGACGCCCTTTTTGGCGTCTTGCAGTCCGAATCCTTCCGCAAAGTACTTGTTTTCGCCGTCCATGGTCTCGACCTGCACATAGTCTTTGAAACTGTCGTCCAAGTTCTTGTTGCCACTAACGTTGAGTTGGATGTCCCAGTAGTCTTCTATCCGGGATGACTCGTAGTCCACATTAATGCAGGAGATATAAGTCTTCATCTTGCCGACGAACATCCTCTCGAGGGCGCCCTCAGCTGCCGACCCCTTCATTTTAGCATCAAGGTTGTCCATAAGCACGCGGTTTAGCTCTTGCACATCCTGCTGCTCGAAGATCTGCTTCGAGTCCCATCCGAAAGAATGTGTCAATCCCGTGGTGCTGACCGCATTGTTTGTGTTCTGGAGCAAATAGAAAAGTCGTTGCAATGCGTAAGAGCTTCCCTTGTCGTCTTCGTCGGTAGGGATCTGGTAGACGGCCTGGCGGAAGGCATTTGTGAAGTACAGCGATTGAAGGAGCGAGTTCAGATAACAAGTCGCACCCTGGTTCTTCAAACCAACCATGCCGGTCTCCTTCTTGGAGTCGTAGTTTAGGAAGTTGTGCCATAGCACACCGGTGGGGTCTTTGAGAACGCGAATATATGCTGTTACGTTGGCGGCATTGCCCTCCACCATTGGGCGTCCTCGGTCATCCCAGCTGTTAGCAAAAAGTCTTCTAAGCTCCGCGAACCGTGTGAATCCCCAATCTCCCTCTTCGGCGGTGAAGCGGTGGTGTGCGGTGTGTGTGATGTACATGCTGGGGTCGTTCGGGTTCCAGAGGACGAGCATGAATTGCACGCAGGCATACCAGTTGTCGGGCATCTTGTTCTCCTCATACGCCTGCTCGAGGTAGAACGACGCAAAGTCAACATTGTTGCCGTATGGGAAGAATAGTATGCGCCATGGCTGGCCGCCACACTCAAAGACCGGGCCATGTTCCTTCCTAGTGAGCGTTCGCCAGTCTCTGATCTCCCATGTGTTATATATCTCCGCCTCTGTTTCCTGATCGGGCAACTCAGCCATGTGCCTCTTTAGAAAGGCATCGTACTCGTCAGCGCGCGGCTCGGGCTCGGCATCAACCTCGTCCATTTGGTCGTCCGAGTCGGCGGGCGTGATGATGGCGACGTCGCCCTGCTTCTCGTCGTACTCATGATCGATGAGCATGTCGCCGCCGGCCTGTCGCAGTGTTAGAGACTGTATGTGTACCATGCTGCATGCGTGCACCAGCGAGGACTGCAGCACGACGTGACATGTGCGTGGGCGCAAAGCTTACCTGATCCATGGTGAGTTCGGCAGCAGCGGGTGCTAGCGGGGCAGGCAGAAGGGAAGCAGCGAGCGGGGGTTTGAATCAGCAAAGAGGCAGCGACGCTGTGCGCTCAACGCAAGAAGTCTGGGGTAGGAAAGCTGCGCGCCTGTCGCCTTAACGAAAGAGTACAGGGTACGAGGGCGGTCGCAGCAGGCAGCTCGATGGTAAGGATGCGTGCCTCGCTAAGAGGTGGCGCTGATAATGATGAGCGAATTATACGCTCTGCCGTTTGTGCACTCACGCGCGACAAAGGGAGGACGCTTAGATTATACGGAGCACAGCGGCTGCAGTGTGGAAGAAAGTTCGAGGTCCACGGGTGCCTACATAGGCTGGCTGCAGTGAATAGCTTGAGTCTTGGCGCTGTTCTATGGGGCAGCCGCGGCACGCAGACGTCATGCGTGGGAGCGCCCCGGTACACACGACACGTTCTAGTCGAGAGCCACAGTAGCAAAAATGACCGTGAAACAATCGGAACGCTTGCTGTCTCTTGTGAAATATTCAGAAGCCCGCCTCACAGTGTGGTGCTTGGACCCTTGAATTGAAGCGTGATGGTTTGATGTTGCGTCATGGTGCACTGATCCGCGAAGCTTTCACAGCTCAGCGTTCCCCACTTCAAACGTCGAAGCTCCGATAGCAATGCAAATATTTCGAGGAAGGCCAAGTGGCCATACAGGGCGTTGTGATGCCTTGTTGAGAGCTTCATACCCCCCTCCTAGTTTCTCAGTGCAGAGGAGACTAGCACATGCCGCAGCCGCAGCTCCGAAATGGAAGCCCTCTTCAGCTCTCGATGAGTACGCCGATCTGCTTCAAGACGTCGAAAATAGACTCACGTAGTACAGATGGGTGCAACGCGAGGCGCGGCCTATAAGCTTGCGCCAGTTGACCTTCTTTGGCAGGAGTCTTACCGAGTCTCGACTGATGGACTCGGCCAACTATTGTCGACTGGAGCTACCCACAAGGTGATAGCTTTCAAACCTCACCAAAGACTTTTGCTAAGCATGCCAGACTTGCACACCGCTTGCGCGATATTCAGACCCTGCCATATGTTGTCGTCGCGAACCCTCACCTCGCTCAAGTCTATGAGTCGTACCTCCAAGCATTCGAGCGCTTCCGTCGCGTGCCCGAAATTCGAACCGTCGAAGATAATGACCGGTACTGCAAAGTGCTGGAGGAGACTTTGAAGGAGCATGCCACCGTTATACCGCGACTGGCAATTGGAGTGCTGGAGGTGCGCAACCTTATGAAGCCCGATGAGACGGACAAGTTCATGACCACGTTGCTGCGAGCGGTAAGAAAATGCGCCCATGCTGCTTGAATATTACTAACATCCACAGCGCATCTCCCGGCGGGTCATTGCTGAGCAGCATCTCGCACTGACTGACACCTTCAACTCGCCGTGGCACTTTCCGAATGCCCAGGCGCCGCACGATCAAGAGGCCGTCGGAGAGATTTTCCTGCGATGCAATGCGAAAGAAATCGTCGAGTCGTGTGGCAAGACCACTCAGGAGTTGATAAGGTGCGCCTACGGCGCGCACGTTGAGATCCCTGAGATCAAAATCTACGGCCACCTCGATGCGACCTTCCCGTACATCTTGAGCCACCTCGAATACATCATCGGCGAACTGCTGCGTAACTCGCTGCAAGCTGTTATTGAGCAGCGGAAGTCAAAGGACGCCAAGCCGCCGCCGATCGAGGTCTTGATTTGCGAGACTTCTCAGCACGTGATCATTAGGATCTCAGACCAGGGCGGAGGCATTCCAAACGATCTGCTGCCCTACCTGTGGAGCTTCAGCAAAGGACCGCGTCGCGAGAAGCGGCTGAAAAACTTGGCTAGGGTACCAAAGCTGTTAGGCACGCTGCAAGAACTGCAGGTAGGCGACAAGTCGGCGTCTGACCTGCAGCAGCAGAACAGCGCAAAATCCGGCCACAGCGAGGTTCACCGGGGCTCGCTGGCATCTCTGACCTCACGAGCGCCTGACCTTCGCTTGGGTATTGGCCTTCCAATGTCTCGACTTTATGCAGGTGAGCTGAGAAGGCACCCCAACGTAGAATGATACTGATCCTGTGCAGAGTACTGGGCGGGAAGTCTGGAAATTCACAGTCTCGAAGGGTATGGCGTGGATGCTTTCCTGCAGATCTCGAAGCTTGGCAACAAAAATGAACGCCTCACCACACGTGCTTCGATGGACGCTATCTAGAAGGCGCGACTTCCTCACTGCGCGGGTTGGTCAGAGCGGCTGCCCTCTGCATTGCTTGAGATGACTCGATCCAACAGTGTTCGCATTGCGTGTCATCATCAGCAACGTATTCCTTGCCAGCATCGATATCGTCTTGCCAACAGTGTTAGCTATGGAAGCAGTCGTAAGTCCACACACTGCGTCGTTGACTTCTCGCTCACTTTTGTAGCCCACTTTCAACTCTGGCGTCAATGCTGGAAGCCACGCACACCCTTTGCCTGTTCGGCCTTCGCCACAGGCCTTGAAGGAGCAGCGCATTCGAGCGTTTGTTGCGCGCCAGCGTGTGCTTGTGAAGCTCAACGGGCTCCCTTGCGAGCGTTCTCCAACAATCACCGACGTCCTGACGCCAAAGATACGGCGTTCGCCTTTTGACCAACCCGGTATGCGCAATCGTTTGATGTGGCTCAATCTGGCTGACCTTCTCTGTGTAGTGAATCCCAGGCATCTGGACTTGACTGAATGCTGGAAGGGACTGTCGCATTTTCAAGTGAAGGAGCTGACGATGTGGTACCACTTCTTCCATCAGTGCTTGCACGACGAAGTGCGGACGAGTCTTTTCGACAGTCTGATCGAGAATCTTCTACAGAGCGAAGGTTAGTACGCCCATGAGCAATACCTGTACAGATCGGGTCGTTGGATATTTGCATAATGGTTGCATGTGTTTTCAGGGTCTGGCTGACTTCAAGCAGAGAGTGTCGATGAAGCCTACCTCCTACCTCGCATGCTCGAGTCCCTCCGCAGCAAGCCTCATCGCGTACTCGACATCAGCGTTATCGACCTCATCGACAACATGATGGGCATGTTCCACGAACGATTCCCGATTGATGCTGCCTCATATTCGAGCTGGTCACACTTCTCTGGTGGATTATCGGTCTTCTTACATAATTTTCTCCGAATGCAAGACTGCTTCTGCGACAGGCCCACTGGGCTGTGTGTCATGGTACAATTCGACTTTCAGTATACTGAATCCCTCCTGATAGCCACCGGCGAAGTTGCCTGGCAGATCCCGGGAGTTCAGTTTCTCCGTCTCCCTGACAGTCTGTCCTCAGGCGAGGAGTACCGCATCACACCACTTGCATTGGGCGACGTGCTCGCCTTTGTCCGCTCAACAGGTCCCACTCCCTATGCCGACAATGTCACCTACACAATCACCCAATCACCCTTAGATTTTGCCTGGAATGAGAGAAAACGATGCTTCAAAGCCATCGCGACAGACTACGGAGACGTGAGTAGGAGGAAACTCCATGCCTGTCGGACTCCACTAACATGACATACAGAACGAGACACATATGGCTGAGACCACACTGAATGCCACCATCATCACTCGTTTCCCAGGTAGTGTCAAGTTCGAACGGCAGTCACGCTGGGTTATCAAAGTCGGCATCTCACCTGCTGAGAGCAAAGCTGAACCCTGGGCCGCGACGATGAACTTGGACGGAGGATGTTCACGTGACACATCTGAGTACACACTTCGCGGCCCACAATACACGGGCATCCGGGACTCTAGCAACAGTCTTCGCAGCGTACTACAGGCCAAGACCGACCCCACGACACCATCACCATCGAAGCGGAAGGTGTCGACGCCAGAAATTGCTGAGACTTGTGATGCCAAACGCCGACGCCGTGGGCTGGATAGTGAGTCAGTCGGTCCTCAGTTTGGCGGCGACATGATCTGGGACAGTCCATCTCCACTGCCGCACAACAAGACAGGCACCGACAATGTCCCCAACGTCGACGCTGATTTCATACCCTCCGGCCGGGACTACTCGCCAAGACAAGGCGACAGCGGCTTCTCGTCACCAGACATGCCACAGGCCGACTCCGACAGCTCCGTGCCTGATACGGCTGACACAGGCGAGGACTACGTCCAGCAGCAGATCATGCGCAACTACAAAGAGTTTTCGGATCGCAGGCAGCGTAAAGACGCTGGCGTTGTGGTTAGTCCTGTGAGCGATGGTGAGCGCAGGGAGTTTGAGAGTATTTTCTTGGGGAGCGAGGTGGGGTCGCCGGTTGATGAGAGTTTCGATGCTGTGATGGGCGAGGGCTAGGTGGAGATTGGTAGGTGGTGTTGCTGTTGCTTCTGGGGGGATGCCTGGGTCTGTTGAGTTTGAGCATAGGTTGGTGTTGGCACGACTAATTGATTAATTGACACGCTTGCTGCTGATTTGCTGTTTTGTGCCAGTGTCGCGACCGTGATGTGTGTGCAGTATGGTCAGAAAATGCAGTCGTGATGTTGGGGTGGTTATTGTCACGAAGTGTACATGTTGATGACTTGCAATAGACTTTGATTTCTATACCTCCACACCCTACGCCCACTTCGCCGTCAACGCTTCGACCTGCTGTGCGGTGACCGGCAACACACTCCCATGCCTCAACCCCGCCGGCCACTCCCCCCGCTCACTAACCCCCCAAACACCCCCCTCCACATCCGTGCTCTCATACGGCCGGTACCCATCCGCACCATACCAATCCAGCAGCAAATGCGCCTTGCCCTCGACCTCGTTATCCCAGAACACCGCGGGCCCCTCGACGCCGCTCTCGATGATGGCATCGGGCCCCGCAGGCCTAGTCCAGGGCCCAAAGAGCCCCGTGGTCGAGACCTCGGTGAAGACGGTCTTGGCGTCCTCGTCCTTGAGGAAGCGGGCGAAGTGGTCGCCGCCGAGGGGCAGGAACTCGAGGTCGATGATGGAGGTCGGCGACATGTCGGCGTAGTCCTGGGGCGCGGTGAAGGAGACGAAGTCGGTGGTGTGCGCGTAGCGCATGCGGATTGGCGTGGGCGCGCCGGCGTGCTGCGGGTCCGTGTCCGCGTAGAACTTGGAGGCCCAGTGCACGAGGAACGCGGACGCGGATGGGTCCCAGATCGCGCTGGGGGCCCATACCATGCCCGCGGAGGCGTCTTCGACGGACACCAGGCGCTCGGCGGACCAGGTGGTTAGGTCCGAGGATTCCCAGACGAAGATGGAGCGCGAGCCGTTGCGCTGCGCGATGTCCCACGTCGTGGACCCGATGTTCAGGTCCGTGCCGATGATGAAGTATTTGTCGCCCGCCGGGGTGGGGATGATGGACGGGTCGCGGACGCCCTTGGAGCCGAGGGTGGGGACGATGACGGGGTTGCCGGCGTTGAGCGGGGTCATGGACAGCGCGTTGTTGCCTGTCGAGGTGTAGAAGTAGACGTTGGGTGCGTCGCCGAGGAAGAAGACGCCCAGGTAGCCGGTGAGCGAGGAGTTTGTGGCGCGGGTGGAGAGGTGGGAGAAGTCGAGGGCGGCGGCGAGGGCGCCGGGGAGGAGCGCGAGGGTGGCGAGGGAGCGCATGGTGGGTGGTTGAGGCGGGCGAGGCGGGCGAGGCGGATGAGGCGGGCGTGAGAGCTGGACGTGAGAGTTGGCTGGCTAATCCATGCTTTTATAATGATGTTCAACACCACAACCCAATTAACCCGACGCCGAGGTTCGCATGTTGATCACGTCAGGTCGGGCCGGCTGCCCTGATGACGGGTGCGCGATTCGGCGCTTCGCCGACGTGTTTGTGGAGATCGTGGGCGCGGGGTTGTGATTTGGACGTGGTTGAGGCGGTTTCTCCGGATCTGCACAGGGGGGCGACCTCAAAGCGACGAGCGCCGCCGACGCGTACCTGCAGACGGTTACGGCGCGCGTGCGATGACGTTTTGCATCGTGAATTCTTGTTTCTCAGTTTTCTCATGTGTTTGCGCCGAGATGGAGACTGTGACGCATTGCCGAGGCAAGGCCGGTGCTGGAGATACATTAAATACATCAGTCATCATCGCTGTCGTATCCTGCTACGAGCATGGTGGAGAGCTTGGACGGCGCTGGGGCCACTTTGGACGCTGAAACGGCCGGCGCGGGTGCCTTCTTCTTGATGCCGAGGGCGGCGCCGAAATCTTTCTTCGCCTTGGGCTTTGCGCTGAAGACAGCTGCCGGGGCGTCGACAGGCTCCTCGAACATATCCTCGTCGATGTCCTCCTCGCCCAGGTCGGGCATCTCACGGGCGAAGGCTCTGCGCGCGGCGTCGGCGTCCTCCTCTTCCTGCTGCAGCCGCCGCGCATCAGCGTCATCGGGCGGGGGCGCGACGCTCGTGGTGGTACCGTCCTGCTCGGCCTTTGCGATGCGGGCGTTGCGCGAGCGGATCTCGTCGAGGGCGTCGGCGATGGCCATCTCGGTCTTTGCGTCGATGACCTTGGTCTCCAGCTCCTTCATGGCGTCGCGCTCAGCTTCCTCCTTCTCGAGGCGATCAAGGCGCTCCTCCTCGGTCTCCTCGGCCAGCTTGGCCTCGCGCCAGGGCTCGAAGTTGCGCTTTGCGCCGCGCTCGCACTCGTAGTCCATGTTCTTGGGGTCCGTCTTGAAGGTGATCTCGCCGGAGCAGCGCGTACATCGGATGTAGAAGCGGAAGATGGCGATGGCGTAGTACTTCTCGTCGGTGGTCTCCTTGCGGGCATTGAACTTGCGGCCCTTGTAGATGAACTCGCCGCAGTGGGTGCACTTCATGGAGAAGGGCGCCATGAGGCGGACGGTCTGGAGCTTGGGGCCGGCATTCTTGGGGCCGCGCTGGCGGGTGATCTTCGACGGGTCGAAGTCGGGGGGGTAGTACTTGGTGAGGACCTTGCGCTCGGACATGGCGGGCGGGAGTCAAGTACGGGTGGGCGGAGTCGCGTGTGGTGTTGGGCAGGGTGAAGGCGCGTGGTGCGCGGAGTCGCGTGTGGTGGTGTTGAGTACAGCACGTGATAGCGTAGGTGAGAGCGCGACGATGCCTGGCCGTGCTGCAAAAAGGTGACGGCGAGTTGCGGGCTTGGCGCCCACCCCCGAGCTCCCCGCAACAACACCAGGGTAGCTCGTCAACAGTCAACAACGCGCAAAGCCGCCTCGACGCCCACCACACCCGCTCCCCGCCTCCCGCATGGGCGCCGACATGCACCAGCTGCTGCGCGAGTCGCGGCAGGCGGCCCTCGACCGCCACCAGTACGCCACGGCCATCTTCTGGGCGGACAAACTGCTGGCCATCACGGGTGCGTGCCGACGAAGACACTGCGGGTCGCATACGAAGACACTGCTAACAGCACAGGCGACGAGCGCGACGCCTTCTGGCTGGCGCAGGTGCACTTCACGGCCGGCAACTACCACCGCGCGCAGGCGGTGCTCGCGCGCGGCGGCCTCGCGCAGCGCAGCCCGCAGAGCCGCTACCTCAACGCACACTGCGCCGTCAAGCTGGGCCGCCTCGACGACGCGCTGCAGCTGCTGGGCGAGACCAACCCGACGCACCTCGCCGCCCCGCCCGGCCCCGCGAGCGCGCGCCAGAAGCTGCGCCATGTCGACACCCACGCCCGCCCACGCCACGGCGACCCGCACGCCCGTCCGCGTCACCGCGCCGCGCGCGAACGCCTGCCGACCAGCGAGGAGCGCGACGGCGAGGATGCCGACAACCTGCGCGCCGAGGCGGCCATGTGCTACCTGCGCGGCGTGTGCTTTGCCGCCCAGAACTCGTTCGACCGCGCGCGCGAGTGCTACAAGGCCGCCGTGCAGATCGACGTGCAGTGCTTCGAGGCCTTCGACGCCCTGATGGCCAACGCCCTGATGTCGCCCGACGAGGAGTGGGCCTTCCTCGAGACGCTCGACTTCGACGCCGCCCCCGCCGCCGCCGCCGATCCCGACGCCGCCCAGGAGGCCGCCGCCTTCGTGCGCAACCTGTACATCACGCGCCTGTCCAAGTACGCCCGCCCCGACGAGTTCGTCGCCGCCACCGAGACCCTCAGCACCCACTACAACCTGGCCGCCAACCCCGACATCGTGCGCGCCAAGGCCGACCTCAAGTACACCCAGGGCCGCTTCCGCGACGCCCTCGCCCTAACCTCGTCCGTGCTCGCCGACGACGCCCACAACTTCGCCGTGCTGCCGCTGCACCTCGCCGCCCTCTACGAGCTCGAGCAGACCAACGCCCTGTACCTCCTCTCGCACGAGCTGCACGACGCCCACCCGCAGGAGCCCGCCGCCGTGCTCGCCGTCGCCGTCTACTACTTCTCCGCCAACAGGACCGCCGACGCCCGCCGCTTCTTCTCCAAGGCCTCGCAGATGGACCAGCAGTCGGGCGCCGCCTGGATCGGCTTCGCCCACACCTTCGCCGCCGAGGGCGAGCACGACCAGGCCAACGCCGCCTACAGCACCGCCGCCCGCCTCTTCCAGGGCTCGCACCTGCCGCAGCTGTTCATGGGCATGCAGAACCTGCAGCTGAACAACCTGAGCCTGGCCCGCGGCTACTTCGACGCCGCCTACGCCCTCTGCAGCACCGACCCGCTGCTGCTCAACGAGATCGGCGTCGTCGTCTACCACACCGCCGACCACGCCAGCGCCATCGACTTCTTCCGCTCCGCCCTCGACTACGCCGCCCAGAACGACGCCGAACCGAACTCCGCCATCGCCTTCCGCATCAACCTCGGCCACGCCCTGCGCCGCGCCGACCAGCTCGACGACTCCCTGCGCGTCTTCAACGCCGTCCTGCGCCACGGCGTCAAAACCCCCGCCGTCCTCTCCGCCAAGGCCCTTGTCCTCCTCGAACTGTGCCGCACCTGGGACGCCGTCACCGTGCTGCACGAGGCCCTCGCCGTCGCGCCCCAGGACCCCACCGCCACAGATCTGCTCGCCAAGGCCCTCGAGGAGAACGAGCTCGACAACGCCGCCATGCTCGACCCCGCGCTCAGCCATGACGGACTCCGCCTCATCGAGGACGAGGTCGACGACCCGGAGTTCGAGGACGCGCTGCGCCGCAGGAAGAACGCCCTGCGCGATATGGAGCCCAACCGTGCTGCCGGCCGCCGCGGGAGGCGCCGCCGCCACGCCGCGGGGTTCGTGGATGAGAGCGCGTTGGAGAGCATGGTTGTCGACTCTGATGGATGAGGTAGACGGGTAGAAGGGGTGGTCACAGGGCAGCGACGGGCTGGCGACACAGGCCAGTGACAGGTGAAATAACGGGGAGATTTCCGTTTTTGGAATACCACTTGCTTTTGGATACCACGGCATAGCGAGGCGCATGGGCTTGTCGCGTCTTTGGCGTTTAGGCCTACATTTCATGGGAAAAAGTGTGTGCTTGCGTTTTTCAATGTTTTCCTTTTGCTTTTTCTCTTTTTGGATATGCTCTGCATGGAATACGGGGGACTGCATACCGGGTCCTGCATACTGGGTCCTACATACTGGGTCTTGGACGCTAAGTGCTGAAGTCGTTCTCCGACCGCGCGAGCAGAGTAGGTCGTAGCACGTATCTCGTATCTCGAATTCTACTTCACACTTCACACTCTAATATGCAGAGGGAGGGCAAAGGTGAGCTATCGCGAGTTGTGCCTCAGCACATTTGATTTCTCAGCAGAGACTGGACGCTGAGCGAAAGGAGGTTTACAGGAATTCACGGACCTCGTCATAGCGGTCTAGTGTTCTGCCCTGGATATCAGATTTGGATATTTACATCTTATAAGTAGGTCGTTGGCTGAACACGCATGTACACTTTTCACTCCAGCAAGTGGTGTGGACCTAGACACTATTCTTCTGGGTACGTCTCCTACGTCTCGCCAGTGATTGTCATTGTGTCTGGAGAAATGTGGGTGGCGTTGCATGCTTGGCTGGGACATCGCGGGGTTGCGTGTTGAGTGAGCCGGAGACGGGACAGGGAGGTGCTGCCTCGGAGTAGAGGAGGCCTTTGTGAGAAAGGCGATGTGAGTGCGTGCTCAGGGTTGGCTTGTACGTTCCATTAGAGCTATGCTTTGCGATGTCGTTAGTAGTGAATAGCTAATTTTCGTTTATCCCAGGGCTGACCGTAACTAATAGGTACCTAGCTCTCCTATATTTTGTTTTCACGTTACTACCAGGCAGTAATTAACTGACGGAGATATCCTGAGGGGTTACAGCGTCGGAAAGTCTGGTCGGTTGCACTTCGTTGACAGTCCATCCAATATCTGGTACCCTACTGCACAGTGTGCGTCCTGTCATTGCAACAAGAGACCCTGGATGTCAGTTTGTGTTCGGATTGACGGCGGGGAATCAACGTGGGAAACAATTGTCTGTGCATAGGGCTGTCTGCCTTGCAGTTGTGGTACGCTAGTGTCACTGCACCAGTAGTCGACGTAACGACATCCTCCGAGATCAGAGCGTTCAAGAGCCACATGTCGCGAATAGGGTTTTGCTTTGTCTTCCTGTACAGACTGAGTCTAGGCCAGCTTGTGTTTACAGTGCCACTGTTGGCGATGTTGTCCATTGTTCGCGCCTGCCCATCGTCAACGTCAATGAAGCTGCTCAACCCCACAGCAAAGAGTCTGCGCTTGATTTCAGTTACTGAATTGATCATGCTAATTTCTTTTTCGTTTCATGCTATGGCGTTTCGATATCAAGTCTTGATGTTGGGTGGCGCGAGCATACCTGATCTTGAGCAGCCTTTCACTCTAACAACACTGACGACAGAAGAGGCTAGCTTGCGCCCCATTACTTCACTTGCTCACCCCCCGCCTCTCCATAAACGCGATATTGTCTCTGACTCCGTAGCAAGCTTCTTCCACATCAACTTGGAGTTACCACATCAGTGACGATGAAACGTCCATTGGTTCTCACTGTCCTGGCTTTCGCTGCAACAGCAGCTAGCCGTGCTGTCCATGCGCCTCTTCAATCAGCCAACATCGCCGGACCGTTGCCAGCGGTACAGCTACGCGATCTCCAGTTCGCCAACCCGAACACCTCCACGCTCGCCGCTGCCAAAGGTGGTTCTGAGCCAGATAAGTGGCCTTCTGACGACGATGGCCCAGAGCCAACTGCAGAAGAGCAAGAAGCGATCTGGTGCAAAGCCAGAGGCCGCGGCATCAAGCTCACCAAAGCCATGATGATGAACGAACAGGACGCCGCCGCCCTCCTCGAGTGGCCGTACACTCAGAGCCCGTGGGACGGTGACTTGCGAGAGGAGCTCAAGAAGTGGGGCTACAAGGACGACTTCGAGAAGGACCCGGAGATCAACAAGCAGTGTGACTTCGACAAGACCCACGAGATGGCCGATGCCTTCAGGGATCTTGGCGTGGACTCGCGTTCGGCATTAGAGGGTGGTCCGAACCACTGCTTCTACGTCGAGCACATGGATGGTCCAACCGTTCTGCGTGACGAAGACGGCGAGCTACCGTTCCATGAAGATCAGTACTACCCTGTCGACAACAAGAAGCTTCAGGTAGGTCCTCTTACCATTGGTATAATACAGGTTCAGCCAGATAACATGTTTACTCCAGGTGACCCAAGCCTATCTCAAGGTCGGCGTCAACCCCGTCAATGGTATCGTGTATTTCCTCCACCGACAAAGCCCCGAGGATGCTGCGCAGGAGCACTGGCAACGCAAACCACAGCATGATGAGCTGCCGTTACTGAGGTCCAGCTCGGACATTACCTGGGGCAGTAAGTATCCAATCACTCACAAGCTGCGGTATCGTTGGACATACTCTGACAATCGCAGTGTGGAACCGCGTTGCTTCTGGATCGCAGAAGCTCGAGCATTTCATGGCCGTCTCTGTCGTCAACGAAGATTCCAACTACATCATCGATCGCATCCTCGAGATGGACAATACTGACAAGCTGCCCGGTTGGCCTGGCAAGGACTACGAGTTCGCTGTCAAGCTCTCCGAGGATGGCACACACAAGGAGTTGGACCTGCTGAAAAGCGAGGCTGCATTCGCTCTTCTAGGTACGTGTCAGTACACAGGCAATTCCCACCCGCTAACAGCTGGGCAGGTTCTCCCAACGGCATCGCTGCTGGATACTTCCTGATTCAACACCGCCGTCAACTCGGCTGGAAGCACATCTGGAAGGTGCGCATTTGGACAGCTGGCACTGGCGTGTATGCCACCCCAAACATACTCTTCTACGTCACCGACCGCAATCCCTTCGAGGGTGTAGAACCACAAGGACGCCTTGACGAGCAACTGGGGGCACTACAGGCTGTGCAGCTACGTAAGCGTGACTTGCTGTGCGGTTGGAAGCGTGGCGTCGTGCACAGGAGTGAAGATGGAAAGAGCATGGTGCGGAACCACGTCATTTTGGCCAAGCTGTAGGAGGTCTGGGAAGGAGCGGCAATTATTGGCCTTTGCGAAAGCCGCCATATATCCGGGCGAGACATTTCTGTCTGTGTTTAGGTAGGTAAAGCTAGCGGTGGTCCATTCTCACCTCCACTCGAACGAGTACGGGAATCTTGCTACTCTCCGCCACTCACTCACTCCTAATACGGTATCTTGCCATCACCATGAAGCCAATACATCTGACGCTCTTCGCGCTGCTGTCGCTCCTCGTGACCTGCAGGGTCCTGCCGCTGCCGCGTCCCGACGTCACCAGCAATGTAACCTCACTCGCGCTGTTCGACGGAGGATTTCGCAACTTCCAGCCATCCCCGGTGCTAGTAGCAGCGAACGACCCAACTCCACAGCCAGATCCCAGTGAGGAGCCAGTCGGCGAGCGCCCGGCTTTCTGGCACCGGTATGTGTGTCGTGGTCGGAAGCTTCACAACGCGTGTCTCTACAACAAAGATAAGGCTGTTCAGTATGCGACACCCATTGATTCTCCATTCGATGGTACGCTAGAGGCAGAGCTGAGACTCTGGGGATGGAAAGAGTCGCCGGCAAATGAATGCCTTCTGTATTGTCGGCTAAACCATCATGTCTACGAAGAGTTGAAGGATCTTGGGATCAATCAAATCTGCAACGATCAAGGAGGGCCCAATGAAGGCTTCGTATTTTCGCACTATAAAGACACGAGGTTTGACAACGACCAAACCTATGTTGTTGACGGCAGAACATATCGAGCAAGTAAAGCCTCCGCATCACTTTGAGTCAGTGGCTGACAACATTACGTCGCAGATGACCAATGCCATAGCAGCCATCGGCGTCAATGCAGAAGACGGGATAGTCCATTTCTTCGACGTCAGGTCTGCCTACGAAGGCGCGAAGCGGCTCTGGGCTGTAGAGAATGCGCCAATGGATGAGCTTCCTGCCTTGAGACAGATTTCTGATATGGCCTGGGGCGCGTGGCGTCGGAAACATCTCGATGGTCAGAATCTCGGCAAAATCAGGAAGTTCATGGTCCATACCATCATCAACGACATCACAATGGACCTTATTGACGAGGCTTTGAAGACGTACGTACTCGCACCCGGGGAGATTCGCCTGGGATACGTACCTTTCTATCCGGGTGTGACCTTCGATATGAACAGTGAGGAGGGAGCGGCCATGCTAGGTAAGCAGATTCTTAAGATCGCTCTTCGTTGGATCACCTGTACTGACACAATTTTAGGGTCGCCGAATGGCATCGCAGTCGGCTACTTTCTCGTAAGCTTTGCATTACAATGACCCCAAGATTGGGGCTGACTATCTTTAGGCGCAACACAAGACGCAGCTCGGTGGTAACAGATATGTCTACAAAGTTCAGATCTTCGATCAAGAACACACTGACGCTACTTATATGGTCTTCTGGATTGCAGACGAGCCGCTTTCTTGGGAGGGGCAGGCCCAGCAAGAAAATCGCGTTGAAGGTGCTGGGAAAATTCTGAAGCGCAGTCTAGACGGCAGGAACGTGTTGCGGGAGCATATTGTCACGACAGAGCTCAGCCTGCAAGATATTGCAGTACAGGCCTAAACGTTGTTGGGAGGACCAGGTACTCTCGACCTCATTCCATGACGTTTCTCGCATACTAGAAAATAGGTCCTAAATTTCTCGAATGCACGAATTAGATCTTCTGCAAGTGCCTGACCGCCGTCCGTCTCTTTCACTCTGACAGTGTCTCGCCTGCACTAGCGTCCCTAGTCGCGTTTGCACATAAGAGACCCCGCGTTCAATTGCACTCTTGTCGCTTCTATCATCCTCAACTTCCAAAATGAAGTGCTCTACTGCGGTTGCGGCTGCGCTCCTGCTGGCGCATGCAGCTTGCAGGGTCGCACCTTCTGTTCCACGACAGTACCTCGCCGACAATGCCTCGACACTGATCAAGGTGTTTGTTACTCCCATAGCTGTTCAAGATAGCCCGTTATTCGGCGGCGATTTGCCTCCTCCGAAGCGACCGAGACCGAGTCCACCAGAGTTGCCTTCGCCTGTTGAGTCGAGTGAACCGCCAGACTCACCTCCACCTCCAAAGCGACCGAGGCCGAACCCACCAGAGTCGCCGACACCTGTGGAGCCAGATCAACCAGTTGCTACTCCACAGACCGAGTGGGACAAGTATGTCTGCCGCGGCGAGAAACTCACACGTGCTTCCAAGCTAGACAAGGCCAAGGCAGAGTCGTTTGCGCTCCCCATCGGGACACAGTTCAAAGGTACACTTAAAGCAGAGCGCAAGCTCTGGGGCTACACTGAGTCTCCGTTCCCAGACTGTGACATCGAGGGCGAATACTACGATATCAGAAGGGCCTACGAGGCACTCAACATCCAGGATGAGGACACCCAATGCTTCCGCGTGTTTCATTATGACCCCGAGAAGGTTGATGACAACGGGAACGAGGTCGAGCTAGAAGATCAGACATACACAGTTGAAGGCAAAGCGTTTCGAGTAAGCTCTTATCACAGCTCTTATTCCAGGTGAACTCACTGACAGCCTCAGGCCACTGGTGCGCACGCTACATTCGGCATCAATGTCGACGAAGGTGTTGTGTTCTTTATCGATCGCGCATCCGCTCCTCTCAAGGCAGCCGAGACATGGGGAGTTGCAAACCCGCCCAAAGAACAACTCCCCGCACTGAGTCAGATGTCAGACCTCGCCTGGGGCTTTTGGTTCCAAGCTCATGGTGGATCTAATCTCGGACACATCACCAAGTTCATCATACCTCAAGTCATCAATGATATCACAGGCCGCCTGGTTGACAATGCACTCCAGACTTACGTTGTTCCCGATGGCGGACAGCGCATAACATCAGTACCTGTGTGGCCAGGCATCAGTTTCGACGTAGAGACAGAACCGGGGAAGGCTTTGTTGGGTGAGTCCTCTACTCATAGTATGCTTTCAAAGGAACTACCACCAGCTGACCCGCTGCAGGCTCTCCAAACGGCATTGCTGCTGCATATTTCCTTTCCCAACACAAGGAAGAGATTGGTGGCAACAAGTACGTCAAGAAAGCCACCGTGTTTCGACCCGATGACGACGCTGAGAGCGACGAATTTACACTCGTCTACTACGTCGAAGATGCCCCATCGCCTTTGCCAGAAGATAAGAACACAGAGAACTCGGACCCACACGAAGGGCTTAGTCGGCGTGATCTGGTGCAGACTGCCAACAACGACAATCTCTGGCACGACTGCGTGTGTCGCGGAGAGAAGCTCACCCAGGCTAGTAAGAATAACAAAGATAGGGCGATTGAGTTTGCACAGCCTATTGACAGCCCGTGGGATGGCACAATGGAGGCAGAACTCGAGCTTTGGGGCTACGACAAACTGGATCTTGACTCCGACGATTGTGATATTACCGATATTTCGACAGCTCTCAAGAGTTTGGGTATCAGTGACCTGTTTGATGACGAAGGCGGGGATAATTATTGCGATGAAGTCCGCCATTCAAACCACGATGAGATTGTTTCGGGCTTACGGATGTACGAAGTCAATGGCAAAAAGTACAAAGTAAGTGTTTCTTGCAGTACGATGCCCACTGTGGTTTACTGACCGCTGATCACGTCTAGATAACTGACGCTTGGTCCATAATTGCTACCAACGCCGTCAGTGGAACGATATTCTTTATGGATGTCAGATCTGCTTATCATGCTGCTGAAAAGCTTTGGCATCCAGAAGTTCCGACAGCAGAGACCTTGCCAGCGCTCAGGTCCCTATCTGATATTTCATGGGCCTTCTGGAACCGGGCCCAGCTAAAGCAGCCACCAGAGGAGCGCAACTTGGGCAACATCAATCACTTCGTCGTACACCACATCGTCAATGAAGACACCAATGAACTAATCGATAACGCCCTGAAAGTCTATCAAGTGCCAGAAGGACAGCAGCGTGTTACCAAGTTGCCACCATGGCCAGGCGTGATATTTGACATTGAGTCGGATGCAGGCAAGGCATTGCTGGGTAAGAGCGATACGTGATCCTCGGAAACGCAGACTAACCTTAGTTTAAGGATCGCCTAATGGCATCGCAGCGGGCTACTTCCTCGCTCAACACAAGACTCAAATCGGTGGGAACAAGTATGTTTACCAAGTGCAAGTCTTCACCTCAGAATGGGGTTTCCGTCGCTCGATGATTCTGTTCGTTAAAGACGCACCGCCAACTACCGCTACCAACGCGAAGCTACAAGGGAGGCGAGATGAAACCGAATCTCTTGCTAGACGGGAGCTTGTTCTGAGTGCCCAGTCCTCCCCTTTCTTACCGGACAACGTCACGAAACTAGCCGGAGAGACACATGAGGAGTTCTGGCAGAAACACGTGTGTCGGGGTGAGAAACTGGCTCAAGCGTGCGCCCGTGACAAGGATACCGCGATCAACTTTGTTATACCTATCGACAGTGAGTTCGATGGTACCATGGAGACTGAAATGGAGACCTGGGGCTATAAAGACTACAATGGCAAGTCGCTATATTGCGAGCTCAACAATATCGCTTCGACGTTGAACTCGATCGGGGTCGACGCTGTCTTCAGGAAGAAGAACACCCCGAACGGCCAGAACGAATGTTACCACATCGAACACAATCGTGCTGATGGGAAGTACGAGGTGGACGGCAAAGCTTATCGAGTAAGCAGCTGCGGTTGCACCTTTGGAAAGACATCGCTGACTTATCCAGACTACTGGCGCGTATGCCCACATAGGTGTCAACGCTCGTGACGGGGTTGTTTCATTCATGAATGTTCGATCCGCTGACACAGCAGCTATTTCGAATTGGCAGGTTGCGCAGCCGGCAGATGCGGAGATGCCACGGCTGAGGAAAATTTCCGATATCACGTAAGTCTCGTGGGCTATAGGATCAAGCACATACTCACTTCTCAATATAGCTGGGCCTTCTGGAGACGCGCACACGCAGATGGCGCTGGCCTCAGCAACATCAACAAATTCCTCGTGCACGATATTATCAACTCTCAGACCATCAGGCTGATGCAAATGGCGCTGCAGCGGTACGAGGTTCCAGAGGGACAGGAACGTCTCAAGCGCATCCCTAAGTGGCCAGGGTTGGAACTTGGTATCGAGACGCCAGGAGCACTGGCAATGCTAGGCTCACCGAACGGTCTCGCCGTTGGATATTTCCGTAAGTTGTCAATGATGTACCTACTGTGGACGATTCGGCTGACCTTCCACTACAGTTGCACAACACAAGACTCAGCTTGGCGGCAACAAGCACGTGCATAAGGTCACTATCTGGAAAGATGATGAAGGCGACGAGCAGATGCTGTTCTGGGTGAAAGACGCGCCTCCTCCGCCGGTAGATGATCCGTGGACGACGTCAGATAGCAAGGGGCTCATGGATACTTTCAATAAGGCCGACAATGTTGTAAAGCGCAGCGTCGACGGTAGAAATATCATCCGAGAGCATCGGATACTAGCGAAGTTGTAAGGGTCGGACGGAAGTACCGTATTGCGTCTTCGTCTATATTGACTATAAGCGAACTAGACTCTGAGTAGGGAACTTTGACAATGAATTACCGCATCCAGATTGCGTCAGTCCTACTACCGAGGATCTCATGGATTCGGTCCTGTCCAAACTGTGCGGTGATGCGCAAACCCAATTCCGCCCGAGTCCAATGACTCGGATACCGCAGATAATCCGGTGCTCGCCGCACGTGGAGCCGTTGAGGACTGATGCAATACCCGTCCCCCCACTGTTGCAATATTGCCCCTTTGAAAGACCAAGGTACCGACAACAAAGCATCAAAGTCTTTCGAGCACATCATTGCCCCACACGGAGCCGCAAACTTCTTCCCTGCGAACAAGGCCAATCCTCCTGCACCGTCTCGCCTCCCGCGTCCGGCGCACACTAGCGATTTGCGCGCCGACCGGCGCCCAGTGCCGGCTGCCTAGCCACAAGCGGCCACGGTCGAGCTGAAAGACGGGGAGCACCATGTCCCCGCAGGCTTGTTTTGCATCCGCCACGTTCCGCAGCTCATAGTTCCGCGGCGTTGATCCGACGCAGCTTTGTTCCGACGCACGCACCCGCGGTGGGGGTCAATGTTCTGCTGCGTAAGCCAGTGTAGCGGCGGCGCCTCTTCCTGCTGCGGCGCCGCTACACAGGGGCATGTCGTAGCGACGGTGATCGGCGATGGGCCGCCGTGCGGTGTTGTGCTTTGCACGAGGGGCCGCAGGGAGCTGCATCCATTGCCAGCAGCGCGTATGTCAGCGGTGTGGCTGATTTGATAGGTGTGGAAGTGGTTCCGGCGCCAGTGAGTCGCCAGGGTGCCCGCATTGTCATTGGTCGCGGAAGTGTACGTCCGCTGCGCATGTTTTCTTCGGTGGAGCCAAGTGGGCGGAGACCGGCCAAGGGTGAAAGGACCGACTAAATGCCTGCTGTACACAGTAAGGAATTTGTGCGAGGCTCGATGCGAGGCGTCATGAGTGGATCATCTCACTGCACAACTGGGCGTTCAGAACGGGTTTGTTCCGCGAAAGTGGTTGTATTCGCTTTAGGCAGGGTGATATGCGATGTGACAGGAACAACTGAGACAGAAGGAAAAGGGGTATCGATGGGGTGCGAGCAAGCTCTCGCTGACGACCAAAAACAAACGAACAAAAAACAGGATCAAACATCCGACCGCCTCGCTGTGTCCAAATCGTGCGCCTCCTCGTCTTCAAGGGTCAAGCCTTCCCATCTCGAGATGACAGCGTCCATTCTCGATGTTTCTGTGTTGTACCTGACAGAGCGTATGTCCGCAATGTACTGGCTACTGACCAATTCAGCAGCATTTTTAGTCCACTCCTCGCTTGTGCAAAAGTCCAGGGCTCCTTGTACCTCAGCAGGCAGCCGTACTCCCAACGTGGTACACTTTTGTGTCAACAGTCGGAAAATTGGCTGAGCGTAGTAGCTATAGCTGAGGAGAACGGTGAGTGCACGGAGGCAAGTGACGAGGCCCTGGTATCGATCGTCGGATGCGGTTTGGGGCAAGACCGGCTTGTACATTATCTCATCGAGGGTACCGAAACTCGCGACTGTGATGCCTTGTATGACAAATGTGATGGCGTTTGACCATCCATGATGTGTATCGTGTAGAATTACTAGGCGCCGGATTTCCCTCAGAGCGGCTGAGGTGACAGATCGGGCGCGGTCAATGTACGATGCGGCCTGTTCGGGGGCTTTCTCGCAATCCAGGACTGGCTGAAAGAGCTTAACGATATTGACGTTGTATTGCATCCTGTGTGTCGTTAGCTCGCAAGAACTCAATAAAGTCAATTCTCTCAGCTTACCCGCAAAGCAAGTTGACCTGCGACGGGTACATGTCGGGGTCCAAGCTCAACGGTCGCGAGAGCCACCAGGATCTGAGACGCGAGAGGCAGGCTTCTATCCTGTCTGCGCTTTCCCCTTCGTGTGAATTGGTGTACTCGCCGTCTTGTATGATGCTGACGCAGTCAAACAGGATCGAGTACAATGCGCATTCGGAGCGAAATATAGCTGTCACATTCTGTCAGCTCAGTAGCAGAGATAAAACGCTCCCGACTTACGTTCAACCTCCTGTCGGTAAGGAATCGGCATCGAAGGGAGCACATTGATGATAACTGGGAACGAGTAGGTGATGGCCATTGATCTGGGTAATTGTTAGCGCTCCAAGTTGGTGTACAGTCATGTTGTACAAACGTACAGCTGGAAGTTGTGTAGCGCCCAAGCAGTCACGGCTCGAGCTCTTTTCCATCTGTCGACGGAGATGTGGGTGGGTGTTGTGTTGTTTTCTGGCGACTCATGATCAAACAAGCCGAGGTTTTTGGCAGAACTACATGCCCCTTGAAGGTATGTCTGTCCCTCCCTGTCCCGACCGTATTTTGCAAGTACAAGATCTGAAGGGGTTGAGTTAGTGAATGCAGCAAGCTACTTGTTTTGACGTTCAACCAGGTACTTACACATGATCATGCCGGCTTGCACCTTTGTCAGGCTGTCTTTCCCAATCTCGAGATCCCACAATCTTCTTGCCTCATAGTAAAAAGAAGTCTGGATCGAGGTCTCGGAAAACGGCTTGTTGCGATCTTTCACCGCGGACGAATGAAACTATCAGAGTCAGAAAAGAATCTCCACAAAAAGGCTCATTCGAGCACTTACACACGCAGATGTAAGCACAACATTGACTAGAAGTTCCGAACAGAAGTCGCCACGGCTACTCGACATGTCCGCCAGGAAGGCCTCCCGGTCCACAAAATGATAGTAAACATGTTCTCTTTCAGTCCAAATAGTGAAAAGGTGGGCCAAGAAGCCAGTGTCATCTGTGACTCTTGTCCATTTGTTCACATAGCCCAAGCGTGGATCCGCAGCCAGATCGTCCACAGCGGCAGTCGAAGGAGTATGCAAAATGGCCTCGATGGACGTGGGCCGTGGCAAACCGCTTTGACTGCCTGTGCTGGGGTTGGTCAAAAGTGCTCCCGGGTGCCGCGCACGTTGCTTACCGAGCAGACAGATCGTGAGTGTGTCTCCGTCGTTGCGTGGCTGGCCCATCGAAGCCCATGGGTGGGTAAGGCAGATTGTAAGAGTCCATGGGGCCTGGGGAATCTAAGGCCTGGCGAAGCGGAGGAAGTGTGACAGGATGGAGGGAATCTCGCTCATGGGTGCTCATAGGTGGCGTGAGCCGTGGCTGTTGTGTGAGCAGGTCCCCGTGACGGACAAAGTCTGCAAGTTCTTGGATGCGTTGAGATGGAACCACATCAGGCGAGTTCGATCTGATGCGCCTGAGGATGTCCATAGCTTCGTGTTCAGGCCGCAATCGAAGGAAGTCATAGAGCTGCCGCAAATTGGACAGCTCACCCTGCATCTCCTCGTTTTTCCTCTTCATCGCCTGAGATGGCTTCTCATTCGGGCCAAGCTCGTAAATGCATTCCGTGTCCTTCTGAGAGCAGCAAGTGCACACAGGACGGTTGCCATCGCACTTCGACTTTCGTTTCCGGCAGGCAACACAGGCACCGAGTGTTACTGTACGCTTTGGCTTCGATGTCAAAATCGGTCGTGTTTGTGGTTGTGGTGCTGGCTCCTGATCCATGGGTGCTGGTTGGAGAGCTCGAAAATTAGACATGGCAGCGATAGTCATCGATAGATGGTGTACGGGAGATCATGAACCACGCCAGGGAGAAGATGCTCAAAGTTTGTTGGCATCAGCTCTGCACCTCACGAGTCAGTGATGAAAGTCGATGTGGAGAAAAACAGATTGATGACACCGCATGTGGAAATACGCTCGCAGTATTATGGGCAGGATTTTCTGTGGGGAAGGCATGCCGGCGGGTAGGGACGAGCTTCAAAGCCACCGCGGCAAGGTATTTGCACATGATTCCCGAGCCTGTCAAATTTTAGATCTGACGACATTGCAGCGGCGGGATCTTGTTGACCGTCCGAGGGCGTTTCTCGGTCGTATAGAGAGAGGCCCATACGAACAGCTTGCGCTCCGTGGATCAGCATGATACCTCTACGATTTTGGTAAACTTCGGCAACTTATTCGCTGCGGGGCTGGGTCCGTTCGCACAGACTGGGAGCGCTGCCGTGCGTCAGGTCGCCCGACAGGCGCCGCCCGTTAGCTCTCCGATCCAGTCGGTAACCGTCGCTTGCATGCATCCGCGGTCATCTTCAAGCTCCAATTCGATAGATAACCTGGCCAGATCGCATGGACTAGATTCTGGCCAGTTCTGGTCTCAATCGCCATCTTCCGCTGGGTCATATACCTGGGCGTGAGTCGCGTCTCAGTCAATAACATGAGTCAGCTCGGATCATGCCGCTGGCTGTTGTTGCAAGTTGAAAGTAGAGAATGCACCGACTCTAGCGAATTAGAGCGTAGCGAATCAGGGCGTCATTCACTGACGGAACCGTACTCCGTGTTCCTGCGCGGCCCTTCCACAAACGTGCCGAACACGATGATTTGATTGCTTGCCGCAAATTGTCCACCGCTTTTTCGAGAGCATTGTTGCCAACATGGTCTAGGGCGAACAACAGCAGGGGTCTAACCGTCGTATTAAGACGCTTTGGATGTGAAAGCCAGGCTGCTGGGACGGATAGTCGTACTACGCTAATAGAGCTAATCGAAACCGGCTTGCGCAAACATAACTTCTGAGACCTGCAGTAGATTATACCTTCTTGGAGAGTAAGACAGCCTGTGACGTCAATGGCTATGAAGAGATCGGACAAGCTCGAGTGGAGCTACTCGTAAGGCTTAGGCGCCACATCCTGTGTCCACACGACCTTGCCTTGCTTGCCACCATCAACGGCGATAACCTGCCCGTGAACATGACTGCTGAAATTGTGGCTGGCGACAGACAAGATAGTCATGGCGACAGCTTTAACAGGGACTGGCTCGCCTAATGCGGTCTACATACACGGGTCAGCCGTGATGATAGAGTGTGCATGGTGCTGACGATTGGGCTGGCAAACAATAGTAATCTTGTTAGGATGGTGTGAACGAAAATGGTTCATCGTACCGTTGCTTGGGCCTCAAGATAGTATTGGTCTGGGTTTTGTTCACACTCTTGTTCCCATCGCTCCGTTCGAACCGGCCCTGGAGCGATTACATTGACACGGGCTCCAGGCCATTCCTTTGGGACGTCCATTCGAAGGGAGTGGAGTAAGCCCCCTTGAACAGCACTCTTGCCAAGACTGTATTCTGCGTTATATCGTTCACCGAAGAGGCCGCTTTCGCTGCCAACGATGATTAGGTTGGGATGCCGCATCGGCGTGCCGCTGTGCCTTGCTTGACGTAAGCCACGCGTCCACTCGCGTGCAGTCAACCATGTGCCAGCGACGTTGGTATTAAGCACGGCTCGTAGCTGATCGAATGATGCATCAGCGAATGGCCTAGGACGTAGGACCGAGAGGTCGAGAGATGCCAACGCTATCACGACATCAACTGGGCCATGAGTAGCGACAGCTGTTGCGAAAGCTTGGTGCACCTCTGTTTCGTTCGACACATCGCAGTGGACGGGAATGAGTGCCGGGTGACCCGTGTCTGACGGAGCACTGCCTTGTTGAGATATCGAGGGATATACGATGTCAAGCGACGACACCTTCGCACCTGCTGCGATGAAATGATCAACAACAACACGCCCAATAAGGCCAGCCCCGCCAGTAACTAGAACATGAGAGCCTTCTAGGCCCAGTCCGAGGGATATATTATCCATTGTGCTGGCCCAATGGTGATGATAGTGGTTTGGCGTAGAATCCACGAGTACAACGAGGCGGGGAAAGCTTGTTGCTTAAGGTTGCGGGGACCTCTCACGGGAGAGCGAACCTACCCTCCGGAATGCTGTGGATGGTCATCCCTCCCTCCTTAGAATCATAAGCGAGGATCAGCATTGCACGCCCAAACATTGCGTCAGGTACACGTTTGAGTATCACAAGCACAACAGATCGAGGCGCAGCATGCGGAGTAATTGCCGGTCGCTCAGTAGTTGCTGATGTTCACCAATTGCCTGCAGCAACCAAGCACCGGCGGGAAACAGGAGATCGCTTGGAGTGACACCCGACGCTCGAGGTTCGACGCTCTACACTAAACGTTTGACTACTCTGGTGCAAGATCGCAACGATTAGGTAGCTTGTCAGAAATGTTTGCCAACCGAGGATGTGCTTATGCAGGGTCGCAAAGTTCATCAACCGCCTCGACACAGCCAATCACACTCGGTGTCACGACGAGACTCTGATACTCTTGATTGGCTGCTGCACACCACAATTATGATTCATCGTAAGGAATTCCATGTCGCCCATGTCCGATCATCATGGACAACGGCACGCTGGAAAGTGGATACAAGCCGTCGAGCTTAATCTATTTCATGGACGACTTGAGATAATATCCGATAGGGCATCCTCCGTGCCAAGATCGGCCATGAGGCACGATAAGGAAGTGAAGATGCACATCAACACGACAAAGGCAATCAGATGGGGAAACGCTGTCATTAGTTACCCCAAGTCCAGACCAGGACTGTGACAGGCTCACTATTGATACCTGCCGGATCTGCGCTGCACCTATGCGGAGTCCTCGTGCACTGCTCATGCAACGGCTCCACAAAGCACTTGCACAAACGAGCATTTCACGGCATCCACGTCTTGCGACTTCACACCGGAATTGGCAATACGCACCCCTGTATCGCTCGCGAGAGCTGTGTAATGTAGGGAAATGTACCGTTCCGGTTCCGGAATTGTTCTAATGATCGCCAAATAGCACCCCAGGCCAAGAGGTAACATTTATGATTTGCCACACGGACGTAAATGACGCACCAGAGAAGGGAACCTCTGTATCGTACAACACATCTCGAAACACACAAGAACATCAACCGACTAGAAACTAACTTCGAGTCGAGTGCCGTGAAACACCAAACACCAGAGGCGCAAAGCAATAAACCTTCGCGCTCCCATCGCCGCCCGTCCACGACCCTCAACCGCCTCACATACGGAGCAAACCCCCGAGCCTCTAACACGCAGCACACGCGCCGCTGCCCTGCCATGGAGGAAAACAGCAATTTGCATGGATCCCGCAGCGGTCTGGTACCTCTAGACGCGCCTACCCAGCTCCCCCACGAAGGTAAGCCCGTCTGACAACACGTCCGCCTGTCGTACGGACATAATTCTACACCCCGTACCGGCAAAACGCCCAAACAGTGCCGCGCCCAGATCACACACCCGGTAATCTACGGCGCAAAGCACCGTAGCTACTAGCAAACCCTGCGTCGGAGATATCGAGATCGCCACTGGTCGGGGATCGCGCGTTCGTACTAAGGCGTCCTCGGCCGGGCCGCTGACTCGCTGCGGGGGCCACTGCTTCGACTCGCGGGTCACGGAGATGGCCGCTGGTGCCCGGTGGCTATACCTCGGAAAGGATTTGGGCGGCGCTGTGGGATTGGTGATGAGGGTGGGGGTTTCCCGGTGGCGTTGTAGACGTGGTCTGGTAGGTTTGCGGTTTTGGGGTTGCGCCCGTCCGCTTTGGGAGGCGAGGATCTTGGTTGATGGTTCTGGTGATGATCGAACTTGTGGTTTCGATTGAAATATGGTTCTCAAGTATTGGTACGTTTGACTAGTATGTGTTGCAAGCGATACGCCAACCAGGTTCGACGAAGAGTACCTGCGATGCAATGATCATTATACTCACTACACCCAAGAAGAACATGAGCTGCTTGACACTGTATCAATGCGATTGGCTTCTACTGCCATGCCTTAACTCTACTTTTTAGCACTACTCCTAGCCAGACTCTTGAGGAACGAGTTTTTCACGCCCTTCACACCCTTCAGCTCTTTGTTCCTGCTCTTGTTCGTCTCGAGATACGCCATATCCTGACCGCCCGAGTACTCGCTGAGCGCACCTGCAGTTCTTCTGACCCCGCCCTTCTTCTTCTTACCAATAGTGCTCGCGTAACTCGAGCCAAATGAGTCGCCCTGAATCATTTCTGCTTTGGCATCCTCGTCCTTGGTCAGCAGGACGTCCATGAGGAGCTCGCGCCGGTCTTGGGGTGTGTTAAAGGCGAGGTTGGCGTGATTCTCTAATCCCTCGAGGCGCGTGATGACTTTGAAGGCGTACCCTTGATCGACGAGGAAAGCCTGTCGTTTGGAAGAGTAGAACATTTCATCTGTGTCTTTGGAAACAAGTGAGTAGAAGAAGGCATTGAAACCCTCATCGTTACGACGCTTCGCACGTAGAATGCGACCAAGTCGTTGGGCTTCCTGACGACGAGAGCCGTAGTGCGAAGAGATCTGAATGAGACATGTGGCCTCGGGCAGATCCAGACTGGTATCGCCAATCTTGGAGAGGAAGATAGTATTAACAAGCGGGTTGTGCTGGAAGTTCTCGAGAATGCGGAGGCGCTCGTTCTGTGGTGTAGCACCGTAGATGTATGCTTTGCCTAGCTTTCTCGAGTATTTTTCCAAAGCATATACGTTATCGGAGAAAACGATAATCTTGTCTCCTCGCGACTCGTGGTAGTCAATAAGGAACTGACATGCCTGGAACTTTCGCGGGTTCATGATAGACAAGAGCGCTCGCTTCTGCAGTGACGCCGGTTTGAGCCATTCCTGGTAAAACTCAGGTGTCATTTGGCACCACACTTCGGCGCACTGCACTCGAGCGATGTGACCCTGCTCTGAGAGTTCCTGCCAGTTGGCCTCGTAGAGTTTCGGTCCGACCAAGAAGTTCAAATCATCGATCTTGTCGTCTTCCCGCAGTAGAGTAGCGGTCAGCCCTAGCTTTGCATGCGACGCAATCTGATACGTAACTTTCTTGAAGATATTGGCGGGCACAACGTGCACTTCATCGGCGATCAGCAACCCCCATTCTCGTTCTTTGATGAAGGTCATGACCTTCTCGGCATCGTACGATCGTTTCTGAACGGTACTGATCATGGAATATGTACTGATGATGATACCGGCATTGCGGGGAAAGACGTTTTTGTTGTCCGCGGTAAAGACAGCAATATCCTCTGGATTGATGTTTGACCATTTGATGAACTCGGCTCTCCACTGGACAACACTCATAGCACTGGTACAAAGAACGATGACTGACTTCTTCACACCGCACGCTGCTGTAATGCCGACAAGCGTCTTACCTGCGCCACAGGGCAAGACAATAATACCTGACCGCGCTCGCGAGTTCGAGAACATTTTACTCAGGGCTTTTTCCTGGTAGTATCGAATTTGAGCATGTGGCTTGAGATCGATTTCAAGATTGGGATTCTTCATGTCGTTGTTAAAGTCGTACTCTTCAGTGAGAGGGAGACCTATAGCTCGACAGCGCTTGACGACTCGTTCTCTTTCATCACTCTTGATTTGGAATGAATGGACTTGGGCCACCTCATCATCGTCATCATCTTCCCGCAGCGTTGCAATCATTTCAGCTGGCGCTGGATCCGCACCAGCCGCTGGTGCATTCTGGTTCGCTCCGGCCGCCAGCTTGGTACCTGGGATCGCCATCTGACCAATTTTTGGGGCGGCCTCTTTGATCAGACCGTCGGTCTGATCTGCTCGGCACTCGGCCACGATAGGATCACGAAGCAGCTTATTCAATATGGTAGGATCTTCACTTTCGATGAAGGAGAGTGTCTTTTTCAGCACGATCTTCGCTTTGCCGAAAGCTGACGTGGACTTTTCGATGAACTGAATAAGAGAATCTGACAAGGCTGTCTTCGAGTACCTGTCCAGCTTGTCGATAATCTCTTGACTTGAGTGACCGACACTGACGGCGGCAAACAGGCTGTGCGTGGTAAGCTGGTATTCGTGCATCTTTGACACGCGCGATTGCGGTTCAGCAATGTTGATCAAAAAGTCCTGTGCCTCGTCGAAGAGGGCGTGGAAGGACTCGATAATGATGCCACCAGCATCGTTGACCCAGAGCGGGCGGTTCTGCTGGTCTGGCTTCAGGAGGGCGTGTGACTGATCAGACTTCCTAAACAGATGAGCAGCTGCATCCCTTGGCTGTGCCGCTCGCGCCCGCTTGGTCATGGCTTTGACATCAAACTGGTCCTTGAGGGTATCAAACGTCTCCTGGTCACTCATAGGACCGATATCGTCTTCTCCGTACGCATCCTCGGCCTCGGCCTCGGCCGCTGTCTGCAGCTTGCGTTTGGGCGGCATACTCCCGGGCGGCGGCGCGCTGCAGCACGCGCGGACTGCTCGCGTGTGCTAATTACGGCGGACTATACGAGTGGAGATGACGGTGTACGGGTATGCGGGCGAAATGAGGACGCCGAAAGTGCAGTGGGCGAGAGGTGGGTACGATGGAGTGTGATGGCGGCGGTGCCTGGACATTTATCAAAGGAACTTGGCATGGAGGCTTGGGGCGGCCGTGGTTACGTCAGCAGCAGGTGACCCATACTCTGCGGCGCAGCAAATCTAGGCTCCAGGGGAAGTAGAAGTGTGTCATAGATGGTGACGGCCTTTTCGAAACGCTTACTCGACTTGAAGCGACGTTGTTGTCAGCATCAATGCGACTCCTGCGTGAGCATGTGAGCATGTGAGAGCCGGCAAGTGAGGCGGCGTTTGCCTTGTTTGCACTGCCGACGTCAACGGTCCGGGGTGCTTTCCTCAGCACCACGACACGTACGACACAATGCGCACATGAAGCCGTGACATGCATTCCAATGGGCGCGTCCGACTCCAAACTCACCTTCAAGCAGGGCATATTCCGCCTGTCGGAGCCCAAGCAGATCCCCGCCGACGATGCGTACTGGACCGGCTTCTGGGAGCTGCCGGAGAGCACTGAGGATGTCTTCTCGCTGTTCTCACCAGCCGACATACGGCGCACGCGCGACAACAACCTCGCCAACCTCGAGACGCTGATCCTCGCCGTCACCTCACGTCTTGTCGTCCTGCGCAACCACCCCTCCTTCCCCGACCCTGAGCTTGCGCCGGAGCGCGATGCCCTCAATTGCATACGAGTGTTAACGCGCATACTGCCCTTCATATACGAAGCCGATCACCTGGAATCATGGGAAGATACCTTCTTCTGGGCGGAGCGGAGAAAGCGCAGCCGGCGAGGGCAGTTGCGCAAGAGCGAGGTCATCTTCGACGAGTCTGACCCTGACCCAACGCCAACCGAGGCCGAGCCAGAATTTACAAAAGCCAAGCCGCTGGCCGAGGAAATCATAGACACCTTGATCGACCTGTTGTTCTTCTCCGAGTTCACGCTGCCCAAGGTCCCCGCTGGCAAGAACAAGGTGTCATACGCGATATGGCAGAGCGGCGTTGGCTGCAACACGCCCGTGGCCTCGACGAAGGAGTTTGAGAGCAACCGCACGGAGATCTTGCGACTGTTGCTTGCATTTGCGAGCAAGTCCATGTACATGTCAGCTGGTATGATCTGGACCGAAAATCTGGCCATGCCCAGCATTACTGACGCAAGCAGCCATCCTGCCAGTAAAGGGAGTCAAGGCCATCACATACATTGCCACGTGCCCAGAGAAGCAAGTGGTTCTGTCAGTACTCTGCTCAATGCTGAATACGGTAGGTTCAACACAACGTTCTGAACCATCTGTACTGATGCATGTAGACACTGAAATACAACCCTGCAACGTGGCGCGTTCCGTACGACCATGTCGTTTTCAAAGATCAGAGGCAGATTCTGGTCACATATTGCCTACAGTTGCTTCTGGTGCTGATCTTGTATCCCATACCCGAGGCTGGCAATGGTCCTGCGCCGAAGAACTTCTTCAGACATTTCCTGGGTCGCCTGCATCGCCCACAGGACTTCCAATTCCTTGTCGATGGTATGACGAGGATTTTGAACCAACCTGTTTGTTGCCCCATCCGTTTCACGCATATCCGAAGCTGACTGTCACCAGCTGCAAGCGAACTCCACGTACCTCCCCGGCAGCCACAAGTCGTTGACATGGGCGCCTGAGATGATTATGCTGTTCTGGGAAGCATTGCAATGCAACAAGCGTTTCCGCTCCTTCATCATTGATACCGACAGAGCCCATGACTTTGTGGTGCTGGTACTATACTATGCAATTGACCAGCGCAACGATCCTTCAAAGCAAGGATTGGTGCGCATGTGTGTCTTTGTGCTGCAGACGTTGAGCGTGGAACCTCAGTTTGGCAGAAGCCTCAACAAAACTTTCGAGGGACAAGAATCGCTGCCACCGAGCATACGGATACCAAACTTTCATGGCACCTACGCGGATTATGTTATTACAGTAAGTTCATACGCCCATGTCCAGATCATAGCTGACCCTCACAGTCCATCTACACACTGCTCACTACAGGCAAAGGGAAACTGGAACCGATATACCCGGCCCTGCTCGCCATTCTGAACAACATTGCTGCTTATGTGCAGGACTTGGGGCGTGCATCTAGCTCGAAATTGTTGCAGCTCTTTGCGTCCATGTCCTCGCCCAGCTTTCTCTTGGCCAACGACAACAATCACACCCTCCTGAACTCTTTGTTGGAAGCGATCAATGCTATAGTCGAACACCAGTACCAGTGTAAGACATGCCTTATTGTCGACGTAGTACTTTTACTGACGAGACTATAGATAACCCCAATCTTGTATACGCGATCGTAAGATCTAAGAAGAAGTTTCAAGGACTCCGCGATTTCACACTCGAAAGCGGGCAAGAGGAACTCGAGCGCCAGAATCAGCTGCGCAAAGATGGCAACGGAGCGGAACTATCGAGGCAGACATCCATCGATAGTCTACGAAGTCCTACGGGTGCCCGAACACCGTCGTTGGGCAATGTCCCAGAAGAAAACAGCGCATTTGCTATTGGCAGCGACGACGATTCTGATGCGGAACAGGCGAGTCCACCACCACAGTCGACATCACCGGCGCAACCGCCATACTCGGGCGGATCGCGTGGTGCATCGCGAAGCGCATCGATAGCCTCGTCGATTGATGAGACTATGCCTATGCAATTACGAGGAATGTCCGAGAAAGCGCGTGGCAAGATGCCTGTCGGCCAGCCCACCTTTTCGCGGCAGAACAGCATGACAAGCCTTGCCAGCATGAACGTCGCACCTGGTCTAGGCGCGAACGAGTTCTTCACACCTTCCGTCCCATGGGTAAGCCCTGTTCCTATCATCCCACGCACATGATGCTTACATATCATAGCTCGAATCATGGCTCTCCGAGCTCCCTCTTCACACAACTCTCATGCTAATCCAAACTCTCACGCCACTCCTCTCGTCCAGCACCGACACCACCACAGCCCTGAACGTGATCAAGACCACCACCATTCCCTCCATTGAGCCGTCGCCCGTCCGCGTGCATCTCTTTGAGTGGTCAACCCTCAGCCTTGGCTGGTATGAATCGCTGCTGTGGGGCTTTGTGTTCACAAGCGAGATGGTAGTCGCTAGGGGCACTGCAGGCGTCTGGAACAACACCAGCATCAGACTCTTCAGGGTCCAGCAGGGCGAGAGCCAGACGCCGAGTTTGCTGGCACCCAGAGGCGCAGTCGATGCTGTGGGCAGCAATCTGGTGCAGCGAATTGGGAGCTTGAACCTCAGAGGAGCAATACCCGGCGCCAATCAGACGCAGGCACCGGCGGGCAGGCCCAGTGGGGGTGGCGGCGCGCAAACAGGTGTCAGAGACGTCTAAACCACCAACGGCGTTCCCAACCACAGCACTACACCGCGCTTCGGCCTCGCCTACCACAGGTTCTCGGTTCCTGCAGGGCTGCGCGTCTGATTGGCGTGCCTGGCGGGCGCCTCGTTTCCCACCCCGGATGCGGTAGTTGTAGGGCGATCTCTGGACCCTGAGTGGCGCTGCACAGCCACCGCGTGGCAACATCGCTGCAACTCGGCTGCACCTCGAGCAGATCCCGACGAATATAGCAAGCTCCCACGAATAACAGGCCCCGAATACAATAATTCCATTCTAGACCCCTTCATCCCCGCTGCGAGAACGCGTGGTCGTGAGCTTCCCTGACGTACCCCGCTGCTCTTTTCCCCATCCAGCCTTACCTGACCGCGTCGGCGGCACTTTGTAGTTACCACCAAGTACCTTTTCCCGCGCTGCTCCGCTCGTCGTTTTGTGCGCACGCTATGTGACATCTCTGCAGCTTGTCTGTTTTTATGTGTCTGTCTATCTGTCTATCTGTTTTGTCTGTCCATCCGTTAATCCGTTGATCCGTCAATCCGTGACCTAGCCATGGCGCCCGCAATGCAAACCATCCAAGAAGACCCCGGCGCCATCTTGCCGTACAACATGCACGTCTCGTCGCGCTACCTCGATCTCACGCGGCAGAAACTCGAGCTGACGCGGTTGCCCAAGGAGAATGGGCGCGAGGGGGACGCGTGGGCGCTGGGCACGCCGAAGAGTGTGCTCGAGCCGCTGTTGGATTACTGGTGAGTCTGCGTTTTTGCGTGGAGAGATGGGAGGGGGGAAGGGTGGTGGACCGCGAAGGGTGTTGGATCACGGAGGGTGTTGGACCACCGAGGGAGGAGTCTTTGCTGACGAGCGCAGGCTGGAAACATACGACTGGCGCGCATCAGAAGAGCGCTTCAACGCCGCCCTGCCGCAATTCAGAACCCTCGTTGCCCTGACGCCGGAACCCGACACCGCATCCCACGCAGCCACACCAGGCAGCGCAAAATCCGGCGTTCAGCCTGCTCTAGATAATACTAATTATAAAGAGCCTGTCCGCACGCACTTCGTCCACGCCCGCTCCCCCGACCCGACAGCCTTCCCCCTCCTCTACATCCACGACTGGCCCGGCAGCTTCATAGAAGCCACGCGCCTGCTGCCCCTCCTTACATCGCCACCCACCCCCGCCCACCCCACCGACTCCACAGCCTCCACAGCCCCCAAGCACCCCCCCGCGTTCCACGTCGTAGTCCCCAGCATCCCCGGCTTCGGCTTCAGCGACGCATCCCCGGACCCCTCTTTCGGCGCCGCGGGCGCCGCCGCCGTGTTCGCGGGCCTGATGCGGCGGCTCGGGTACGCCGAGTACGTGGTGTGCGGGAGCGGGTGGGGGTTCGAAGTCGCGCGGGCGCTGGCGCGGCGCGGCGAGGGCGTCGTAGGCGTGTTCACGTGGAACCCTGTTTTCGGGGCGCCGACGGCGCGGGGCGAGTTCGGGGCGTGGGTGAGGTGGCTGGTTGCGCGGGTTACGGGGGCGAGGTGGCCGGGGGCGAGTTTTGGGTATGTGCCTGCGGAGGTGCGGGGTGTGGATGAGGGGGGTGGGGAGGGAGGGGGAAGGGGTGCAGGCGCGAGGCCGCTGGGCCCCGTGCTGCACCAGTTGCTGGCCAGCCGGCCGCAGACGCTGGCGTTCTCGCTGTGCGATTCGCCCGTCGGGCTGCTGGGCGTGCTGCTCGATCTCGTGGCGGCGCGGGGCGAGATCAGGGCGCCTGCGGTGCGGCCGCGGTCGCCGTTTCTGGACCCGGGGGAGCTGGAGATGCAGGACAGGGAGTATGAGGCCGCGGGGCACGAGCGCGTGCGCTCTGACGACACGATCAAGGCCGCAGATCATAATGGGAGTGCGGGCGCGCTCGCCGAGAAACAGGCCTGGAGCCCCACGGATGTTTTGAACTGGACGATGATGTACGCCCCCCTCCCCCTCTCCCCGCTCCCAGATCTTACTGACTTGACTTGCAGGATGTGGCTCCCCGGCGCCGAAGCAGGACTCCGCTGGCTGCGGCGCGCGCACATCGAGACCTCGGCGCCAACATGGAGGGCCTACTGCAGCGTGCCGCTGGGAATTAGCAGCTTCCGAACGCGGGCTGCGGCGACGCCGCTGATGTGGGGCGCGGCATCGTGGCCGATCGCGTGGGTGCAGAGACACCAGGAGGCGGCGGAGATGCCAGCGTGGGAGGCGCCGGAGCTGTTGGCGGGCGATGTGAGGGAGTGCTTTGGGCGGCTGCTGGACGGTCGGGGAAGGAGTGCGGAGGTTATGGTGTGAGGGGCGATGCGAGGGTGTGTGTGAGTGGATATATACAAAGGGAGGGAGCGTCACGCTGGTACATAAGGACGTGCTTGGTTACTGTAATGGGATTCGATGATATGTCAGTTCTACTCCGATGCTGCGCTGCATCACATGCCACATGTGCGGTGATTGCCTGCGGTTGCAATTTGAGCAAGTAACGTATCTATGCGAGGCCAGATCAATTGAGACTAGCTAACATTAGTAAAACAGGCTGCGGTATATAAATCGATGCCATCGGCGACGGCTCGATGCTGGTGGTGGTGTCGAGGTGGGGGACTGCGGGCCGGATCGTCGATGAACGCGCTCAGCTCCAGCCACACATTGGTGGGCGGTGACGTTGGGCCAACACGCATCTGCAGATTTTCTCCCACGCGACCATTGCTGTCTAAACAACACCACGACCGCAAGCACTGCGATCTGCTCCCCTCCATACCAGCTCCGGCTCAGCGTACGTCTCCTGCTCCATTTTTGCCGTCGGCCACTGCGTCGAGGCCGCCCGCAATTCTTGAAAATTCGCCAGCTCACATTTGCGCCCAACAGCAATTGCTCACCCGTCACGATCCACGCCACGAGCGCATTCACCACCGTCACGCTGGCAGAACCATTCACCACGCTTTTCACTACTGCCTAGGCTGTCAGAGCCCGCAGACAACTTCCCCGCCCCGTCGCTGTTCCATGCGTCAAGAGGATCTGGTACGCTTTCTGTCCAAGCCTGCGAAGTGAGTTCGTCTCCGCCGCGACCCCAGCTCCAGCTCAACCTCCCACGGCCTCACCAGCTGCTGACGACCCCAGGCCTAGATAACACCCGCTACTCCCACCCACCAACCCCACCCCTGAGCAGATCCCTCGTCTGCTGGACCCGATACTTTCACAGGGTATCGGAATCTAGTCGGTCGAGGCGCAACGACTGACACCATTCCGCGGCGCAAAGCCTCGTTTATTCCCCCCAACTCCCGCCCTCCCTAACGTCCTCTACGGTCGTTTCCCGCATCACACGCCTGCTGCTGGCACCAGCCAGCCTCTTCGAACCGCGTCCCTCGTGGGCCTTCTCTCCTCAGCCAAGCACCGCATTGCTTGTCTGAGCTGCAGACTGTGCTTCACTGCTCGTCAGTAGCCACAAACCTCTGCCTCGCAAACACCCGCACGCTCAGACGTCAAGTTCCCCGCGCTCCGACGCCCTGTCGCCAAGAGATGGTCGCTACTGAAATCCCCAAGCACTACACTGCGTCGCCGTCTTCGCACATTGGCACGCCATCGCTGGTCATCAACAAGGAGGCCACCATCGACCTCGATTCCACCAACTCATTCGAGGGCCCTGAGAAGCTCCTGGAAGTATGGTTTAGCTCGTCTGCCACCGACCTGCCTGGTCAGGCCGGCCCGCTTGGCCTCAAGAAGGTGTCTGCCGACGTCTGGAAGGAGATGCTCGACCTGGTCAACTGCAAGGTCCTCTCCGTCATCGAGTCTGAGCACGTCGACGCCTACCTGCTCTCCGAGTCGAGCATGTTCGTCTTTCCCCACAAGGTCGTATTGAAGACCTGTGGCACCACCACCCTGCTCTGGGGTCTGACTCGTCTCCTGGAGATTGCTGCTGTCAATGCCGGCTTTCCTTACGTCCAGCCGGCGCCTGGTACTGGTCTCGCGGCCTCTGCGACTCCGTACCGTGTCTTTTACAGCAGGAAGAACTTCCTCCACCCTGAGGCGCAGCAGGGACCCCACCGCAGCTGGCGCGACGAAGTCCGCTTCTTGGACCAGCGCTTCAAGGGCGGCAGCGCCTACATGATTGGCAAGATGAACGGAGAGCACTGGTACTTGTACATCACCGGTCCTGACACCACCCTGACCCCCCCTCCCAGCCCCGGCTCCGAGGAGGTCGACGGCCCTGAGACCGAGACCAAGTATGTCAAGCTCCCCGAGCGCATGCTGCCTGAGAAGAACACGGACGAAGAGGAGGACGAGACTCTGGAGATTCTCATGACTGACCTCGACGAGAAGAACGCCCGCCAGTTCTACCTCGAGGACGCGAGTGCGGTCGCGGAAGGTCGCTATGTCCAGAGGGCTCGCGAGGCCCGCAAGAACGCCATCGCCGCCCTGGGCTCCATCCCCGAGGGCGAGTGCGAGAGCCTCGGCGGCTCCACCATCCTCAACTCAACCGCCACGACCCACATCTCGGACGAATCCTTCGACGTGTTCGAGCAAACCTCGTCCGACCACTCCGGCTTCAACTCGGACGACGAGCTCACGTTCCCCGAGGAGCTCACCACCGAGGGCCACTCGCTCGGCACCGTCGTCTCGGAGACGTGCGGCCTGAGCGACGTGTACCCGACCGCCAAGTACCCCGACGCCCGCATCGACGCGTACCTCTTCACGCCCTGCGGCTTCAGCGCCAACGGCGTCGTGCCCGCCCCCGGCGGCGCCCCCAACGGCTCCAAAAAGGGCTCCGACGCCACCCACTACTTCACCGTGCACGTCACCCCCGAGCCGCACTGCTCGTACGCCAGCTTCGAGACCAACGTGCCCGCGCGCCAGTCCGGCCGCGAGACCGCAGACGTCATCGAGCATGTCCTGGGTATCTTCAAGCCCGGCAGGTTCAGCATCACGCTCTTCGAGGCCAAGCCTGCGCCCGATGAGCTGCCCGGCAGGAACGTCGAGAAGAGCAAGCGCGTCGAGGTTATCCCTGGGTACAGGCGCGTCGATCGCATTGTGCATGATCTCGAGGGCTATGATTTGGTGTTCCGGTACTACGAGAGGGATGACTGGAAGGGCGGGGTGCCTCGCCTGGGCGAGGTATTCTAGGTAACTTATTTTCTGAGGTGGGGAGTTGCGATGGTGGGAGTTGGGACGCGTGCTTTGGGTGGTGGGTTCGCGTCGTCTCTATCTCTGTACCGTGCATACGCCTTTCTTGGTATTTTTTCGTGTCTCACACATACTTGGGCTGTGGGGAACGTGTATATGGCCTTGCGGCAACTGTCTCTATCTCTACGTCCATCCATTTCAAATACTATCTCTCTCCGCTGCTCCGTTTCCTCTCGCTACCTGAGGCTGGCGATGCCTCGCTGTGTGTCTGTCGTGCTACTCTTTCTATATTCACCGTTCAGGTGAATGGGTGCGGCGCTCCTAACCTCTCACTGCGCGGCCGTGAGTGAGTGCGGTGGTGCTGCTTGTGTAGGTGTGCTGAGGGGCGTTTGGAGCTTCTGCGAGCTGACCAGGCGCACCGCACATACCTGTGAGTACTGCGATGACTAGGCTTATAGCGGTGATGAGAGGCTTTAGCGTTTGGTAAGACTGTCTGTGTAAGTGTATGTGCGGATTGGGGGAGTGGAGCTGGTGAGGGTTCCAACGCACGTGTCTGCCTCAGCGGACTGGAGATTCGAGGGAATTGGGTTGGTGGTATTGGCGCGGGCTGAGAGGGCTGTTCGAATGCAGGGTATCTGGTTGAGTGAGTGGGTTTGGTGTGTTTATTTGTTGATGCTGGCAAGGTTGGCTGCTGGGGGATTTGAACGCTCTCACCTCGGGGCCTTCCGCTTTTTTAGCTGATAATTACTTTGTCCGCCAAAACCCATACGCTGCTGGGTGTTTTGGGCGGTCTCTATGGTCCCGCATCTTATTCAAACGTACCTGCATCCGCTCATGATCACCTTCAAGGCATTGGTCGAGCTAATTCCAGCAATCATGGGCACCGCAATGCAATTTATGGTGTATGCACGTGGGTTTCCATGTTCAAACGCATGTGTTTCCGCCGGTTGAGTGATATTGGTGCGCCCGCCGGCCGACACCTACACCGCTAGGTGTGTTGAGGCCCTCAACTCTGTCACAACGGCCACTGTTGCTTCTTTAACACGCATCCACCGCACCCTCCCTATACGCAGATTTGGTATTGAACCTTAATCAAATCCCTACACACCACCACTGCTTGAATAGTTTTGCCAGCTTGGAGTTGCTGGCTGCCACTTGACAACCCTAACTTAACTTCACTGCAATCATAGTTACTATTACCTGCTATGTTTCTACCTTATATTATAGCTTTAGCACCCCTACTAGCTACGCAACCTAGATAAACAGTTCTCTCTTACTTGCTATCCTACACTCTAAGGCAGTTTAAGACTAATTTAGCGTATAGACCTTAGCGCTAGATAGAGGAAGTAAGTGGCATAGAGGCAATACAGGTAAAATAACAACTTCTTGTTACTACTCTCCTTAAGTAGTATACAACCAATCTCTTCTACGCCTTCTTCTACTATTTACACTCTTTACAGCACCCTATCTTCTCTACTACTTACTTACACTCTACTACAACATTATGTCTTGGAAATATAATAGCCGTCTTGATGAGGCTGCTAGTCTACTACACATCAACGACGAAGAAGTGCGCGCCATAGATCTAACAGTCGATGATTACACTGCAGACCCTGATTACAGCGCCAACAACTCTGAGTCAGGCAATGTCAGCGACTCTGACACCACTGCCAATGACTACGACTTCGCCGACAACATTTCCGAGTACAGTCCTCATTTAGGAGGTCGCCGGCGCCGCTCTCCAGCTCCAAGCCCAGCACCAGCTCCAAGACCAGCACCAGCCCCAAGACCAGCGCCAGCTCCAGCGCCCGCACCAGCGCCCGCACCAGCACCAGCTCCAGGCGACAACTACTATGACAACGTCATAGCTAGTTATCTCTACCTCCAAGAACACTCCCAGCAACTTGTTGTCCTTAGGGTAAGTAAACATCAACCTCCCGTGATGTTGCATTAACTAACATACCTTCTAGCCGCACTACACTGTTACAGCCACATACCCTGGTCACAACGGACATCAACAGTACGACATGTCGTTCCATACAGACAATTTATTGGATTATTACATAAGTGGTGTTGGCGATGCTGCCCTTCAAGGTCTTGAGCTCAAATGGAAGATTTAGTGTTTAGAAGATACCGTGCGTTAAAGATTCGACGGCGACTTTGCTGCCTTTGCTGTCTTGTTATAGAAGTAGAATATGCTACTATCTATGTAGGTTAAAAGATAGTATATATACTACTATATAATATATCTATCTACCTTCCTTTACTATTATTAAGATACTACCTTCTTCTTCCTTGCTAAAGCATAGTACCTAGCATACCCTCTTTAGGATATACTCTATAATAGTGTAGCAAACTAATAAAGGCTCTTTTCTTATCTTAGCTATATAGATATTAGGGTATATATAGCCTCTTACTTTAGCCCTAGTATAGTCTTAAAATCTCTCTATGCAAAGTAGGAACGTGCTATACTAGAGCAGAGTATAGCAGGCTATGCTATTCTATTAATGCTCTAAGGTATTAAGGGATATTATGAATAATACTGTTAGCGTCTATATAGAATCTATCTTTAAGAAGAAGGTAACAGAAATAAGAGGAATACTCCGCAGGGCGGGCGTGCTTAAAGAGACGGGCGTACGCGATCTGGATCCTTGCTATACCGCATGTTACACACTGGATCTTGCAGACATGGCACACCACAGCTGTTGGCTAACGGTTCGTTTGTGTAGACATTTACTTTGTGCTTGAATTAACAAGCAAAAGTATCTGCAAAAGTGCGTCCAAGGCTTAGTATACATGATGGTTTATTTCACTGCAATCATGTTGTTTACTTCTCTCTCTCTTCTCTTTTACTTCTTGCAACCGAAACTCTGCAGTGTCATGTCAAAGTCCCGAAAGGACAATGGCAGAACCGATAAGGCCGTGGGCACCCTGCACATTGAACTGCGACAAACAGCGCGTAAGGTGAGCAAACGGGGTAAGTGTATTTCTGCGGTAAAGGTGAAAGGACTAACTAGGCGGAGCTATTTCGCGCTAGTGCTGTGCAAGTAGAACCCGATCTTCCAGATCCCTCGCTTTCTCTTTACCTCTAACCTTGACCTGCTCGACTCTTCAGCGAGAATCTCCACCAGCATGGCTGACAGTAGCATGAAGTCCGACACTTCGAGTGACGAAGCCAGACGTATCATGATCAGTGATGCCACCGAGTCTATTCACTTTCGCACGCTTGTGCGCGAATTGGGCACCATTAATGCAGCTGCAGACCGTGTAAGCGCATTCCCACAGGTCATGTGTCACATCCAGTGTTCTAACACTCATTCAGCGACGTAAATTGCGAGATAGAGCCCCATCTGTCGACGACGAGAGCGCACGAGGACTTGAGAAAGAATGGCTATTGACTGAAGCCAATGAGGTAGGTACACCCTAGCAGCATCATAATGCTCTTGCTAATATCTACCTCCAGACCACGCAAGAATATGTCTTTGCTACAAACATTACTGCGAATAAGTCATGGGCACTCCAGACGAAGACGATTGAGAGCTACACATCCTCCTCCAACAGCGATGTGAAGAAAGTGGTGACGAGCGTTGTGACAACACCACTCTCAGCAGAAGACGTCCCCAAGAAGATCAAGCGCGAGCTAGAATGGCAGTCACTTACTGAGCCAGAGCGCCTGACGTACAATAACAGCTTCGTTGAGTATCTCATTAGCAAGACGCAGGATTAGTGCTCAGGCAAGAGGCATCTACATGCACACTGGTGGAAAGCCTATCTTGAAGAGGGCATGACCAGTCTTCCATACTCTTCAATCAAATCGATTTGCTTCATCATCTCAAATCCTCCCTGATACCCGGTCCCTTCTCATCACTCGTGATTCCTCAAATAGTCAAACAGCCACTTCCGGGCCCTCTCATTCGTTCCCCCCCCGCCCCAGCTTCGCTACCTCTTCCTCGATCGTCTCAGCCTGCTCCTTCAGCATCCATTTCGAGTGCGCCAACATAGAATTGTCCATCTCAATCGCATCTCGCACCTTCGTACCCAACGGCGGTAGTCGGTCTCGGTACAGTGCGTCCACGCGCACGAGTTCTGCAGTGCGGTCGGCCATCATGCGCTCGATATTCGCGATCTCGTCGCCTGCGCGCTCGAAGACGTCTTTGAAGGGGAGCAGTTCGCAGCCGGTGGCGGCGCAGTGCGCTGTGGCTTCTTGTTGGGATTGCGTAAATGCGAGGTCCAGCCACTGCCGCTCTGCTTCTCTGTTTGTGATGCACTTTTCTAGCCATTCGGGATCGGTTGGCGGTTCGTGTAGCTGTTTGCGATAGCATGGGTAGCTGAGTTTTGTGTACTTTGCTTCTTCGTAGGTGCTCTGGAGAGCTAGGAACTCCCACAAGATCATGTCCTCCTCTTCCACGCAAACGCCTTCGGGACAGAATCTCGCGACTTCTGCTTTGGCAGAATCAAGTTCTGCGCGAAGATTTTCGGCAGTCTGGATCGCTTTCTGGAGCCGATACTGATGGAGAGCACGTTCCTCATCATCCTTCTCCGTCTCGTATGCCTGTCGCTCCCGAACAATTCGCCGCTCCGCCCAGTATATTTCGCCCTCGTAAGTATCGAATCGAGTGTAACCGTCTTCCACGATGGTATGGTTGTAGCCAGCGAGATCCCCCACACGCTTCTGCGCCACTTCAGCATGGCCATGACCAGAAGGTGCGTGCTTTGCACGAATGATGTCGGCGTTGTATTGCGTGGAGTTGATTGAGCCTGGCCAGCCATTGCGTTGAAGCAGAGCTTTGATGGTCTCAGGAGGGACGCCGAAGCCGTTCTCGCGGTTCGATGTTTGCCATGGCGTCCACTTTAGACTCTTGTAATTGTTTGCAATAGCGCGAAGAACATGTGGTGCACCGTCGGCCATGTCCCACTCGAATTGCCCATCGTCTTGGAACCAGAAGTCGGCCATCTCTCCACCAAATTTATCTTTGGCCACCTGTCGCTGCACCCATAACTCAGCATCAAAGATCCGGATTGAGTCTCTTTCGGTGTTGTAAAGCAAAACCCAAGTGCGGTCATTGTTCCATCCTCCCGTACCCCAGTTTGTCAGTGCAACGTCAGATGGTGCCATGTAGTCTGTCCAGCCAATTGATTGTCCGCGCAGAGGATCGCAGAGTTCTTCAAGGTGCTCTGGATTTCGATAGTCCATGAAAGTCCCACCGTATATCCAATCAGGCTCCTGGACAAGTGAGATGTCCACATACGGCAGAAGTTCGATCAACCGCAGCACCGAGGCGCTCGGCTTGCACGCAATCGCTGTTGTGTTGATGGTGTGTGGACCACGGGTAATGGCATTGTGCGGGATGAAGGTTGAATTGGCAAGAGTGCCGTATATGTCATCCATCAAGTCTGCGATTTTCTGCATTTTAGTGACATCATATGATGGGTTGATGCTATAAGGGAGTAGTTTGTAGATTTGCGGCAGACATAGGAAAGCCACGAGAGGGATGCAGAAGACTGTCACCGGATGCTGAAGCCATCGCGGAGCCGACATGGTGAGACAACGAGAAGGGACTTGAGGAGTGACCAAAGGCTGGTAGGTAGATGATATTAGGGGTCAGGGGCGTTAGGCAGATTGCAGCATCTCGACTGCTTTGGTGATGCTGACTGAGCTTCGAAAAGTTTCACGTATACCGCCATTGGTATAGATGGGTTCGCACTAGACCTGGACTACTCATTGTAGCGAGAAGAGGCCGACGGTGTAGGATGTAGATCTGGGGGTGACGCGCCTCGGTGGACCCTGATTTTAGCGTGTCACTTTGTTGGACCCCGCGACACCAAAAAGTCTCTCAAGACAGTCAGGCTACAGCGCTCTCGGTGTGATCTTTGCTATGGAATTGCTCTCTTCTCTGTTGCCCACATCGACTCCGGCGCCAAAGCTCGATCAGCTGCCGCCTGAGATGCTCGAATTCACGCTCCTCAAAACAACAGGCGCGCTTGCGCCTCGCCTCGGCCGCCTGTCCCTCCCCAAGCGCAAGAGCATCTCGACGCCCGGCTTCATTGGAAACACTTCGCGCGGCGTCATTCCACATATATCACAGGACAACTTCTCGAAAAGCTTGGGCCTCAATGGTGTCTACGTCGCGCTGGAGGACTGTAAGTACATATCTCGATGACGTAGCTCCACGCTGACAGTTGCAGTCATTGAGAAGTTCCCACAAAAGACACCGCCGGTCCTTCAGTACGATGTCCCTGAGCCGCTGCGCAAATTCATCGCCCTTCCACAAGACACCCTTCTGGTCCTCGGCCCACGCCGCAACCCACCTATACCGTCCCCGATACATAGTACGAACAAAGAGCTGGGGGTGTTGACGTCTGTGGGCTTCAAGGCCTTGAGCTCACAGTACTATGCTGCTGCTGCGCGAAAGTTGCAGCCCGATATTGTGGTTGGGCTGGCCGACATCCCGTTTGGAAAGGAAACGGTGGGGATAAAGAGGAAGGACAAGATGAGCGATAGGACAGAGGTGTGGACACGCGACCTCATTGCAAAGAAAGCTACGCTAGACAAGGAAGAACCAAGCTGGGGTATCTTTGCGCCGATTCTGCCCATAGACCGTGATCTACAGAGCTGGTACCTGGAGCACCTGGTTGAGGATATGGCCGACAAGATCGCCGGTGTGGCCATCTACGACGCCTATCTGCTAGACGATCTGTCTGAGGAGCTGCACCACTTGCCGCGACTATCTTTCCACGCTCCGGCCAGCCCACACGAGATCCTCCGCCAGGTTGGTCTGGGCATGGACATCTTCACCATTCCTTTCCTGGCAGACGCAACCGATGCCGGCATCGCCCTCGATTTCACCTTTCCTGCCCCACCCAAGGACACAACTACCAGCTCGCGACAAGATCTAGGATTAGACATGTGGTCTGATACTCATGCAACATCTGTTACACCCTTGAGCGAAGGGTGTAAGTGTTATGCATGCACAACGCACCACCGCGCCTACCTCCAGCACCTGCTCGCCGCGAAGGAGATGCTCGGCTGGGTACTGATACAGATTCACAACCATGCGATTCTGTCTGCCTTCTTCTCTGGCATTCGGGCATCCATCGAAGCGGACACGTTCGAAGCAGACGTCGCTGCTTTCGAGAGGTACTACGAATCGATGCTGCCAGAAAAGACAGGGCAAGGACCAAGAGTCAGAGGCTACCAGTTCAAAGCTGAGGAGCACGCGAAGCCTGAAAAGAAAAACCAACGGGTGTTCACAAAGTACGATGACGAAAAGATCGCGGAATTGAGACTGGCCGCAGCGCATGGGCAGCAGCCTGGGAAGAAGCCGGAGATGAGAGATGTCATTGACGATGAAGCTTTGGTTGGTCTTATGGGATTAGGCGATGTAGACGTTGATGGCGCGCGGCAGGTGGAGTCACTGAAGCTGCAAGACGATGTTGAGAAGAAGAGTTGATTATAGACTAGATACCCTTAGAGAAATGAGGACGCACGATACGATCTAATCGCTTCAGCAATACATACGTAGTTCAAATCTGCGCCAGGCGACTTGTTACTACTCTCGAGACCCAGTTACTGAAGCCTCCAACTTATTTACGCACCCGCCTTGAAATCACAGCATTCCTGCCAAAAGTGTCCACATCTACATCGATGCGGAGCCTCTACTCCCTTGTTTCGCATGCCGCAACAACACGTCCACACCGCATCATACTCTAGTTGTACTGGGTGCTTGATGGTATGCTCATCGATGTTGCGGTCAGGTGTTTTAGCACATGTCAGTTTGGCGGAGCGCGGCATAGTGAGGGCTGTGAGTATAGAGTCTGGTCTGGATGGGGATATGACTTATGGGAACGAAGTCACTACAGTTGATGGAGATGATAAAAATTCGGAAGGCCGTAGGATTTGATAAAACGGCTTTGTAGTTGTGTCAAGGGATGCAGTTGGTGCACAGTGCTGGCATGATGCGCTGGGGCTGCGGTGTGAAACGAAAGGATGTCACAATGCTGCGCTGGGTCTTGCACATAGGCAGGCTGGCAAGCTGATACTGCGACATGATTATTCGTGTTCATTCAAGCTGTGTGCGACCTGATACGTGTCGCTGAGATCTCGACCCAACGTTGACGAAGGCCTGACTAGATCACGTGCGCAGACTTTCACTGGCACAGCATTCAGCCATGCACATCAATACACGCAAAACAACGCGCCCTTTAGATCCCGCGGACGCAAATTTTAATGCCGCACGCGCTGCTGCTGCTGCCTGCGCCCTTTCCCCGCAGCAATGACGTACTTTCCCTTCCCTTCACTTCACTTTCCACGCAGTTCCAGGCTCACCGTCACCGCGCCTTGCGGGCTGAATAAGCCACTCGAACACACTAGCGTCTCGAAGGCTCGGCGCGACCGCAGGCACATATAAACTTCGATCCCCCCGCCTCTCCCAGCTTTTGACCACCACAGCCTTCCTCCACTCCAAAGCTTGATCACTTCGCTTTCAACCATTGAGCTCTTAGCTACTTCGCTCTTTACTGCTTCGACATCCTCTCCTTCAGTCTCGACCTCGTCGCATTCGATGACCTCGTCCTCGACGATGTTGTTGACCGTTCACAACTTTTCCTTTCTCAGTCTCCTTTATCATTCTTCTTCTTCACTTCACTCGTTCTGTACTTCATACACTGCACCCAGGGCAACGGGAGGTACTCATTGCTGCACCGAGCCGGTCAAAAACATATTTGGCACGGAGGAGACCACCATGACGCGCGAGGAGGGGCGCTCATACCTGCGCAGGTGTTAGTTAGGTAGCTTGGGAGGTCTCACTGCTGTACTGAGCCGGTCAAAAACATATTTGGCACGGAGGAGACCACCGTGATGCGCGAGGAGGGGCGCTCATAAACACTAGATAGTCTCAATCCATTTGTTCGTTCACACTTTGACTTTTCTGGTGCCTTGGTGTGATGATTTGCTCTTGACGCGACGCGACGCGACTTCGCACATGCGACTGAGAAAAATTTGTTGCGACATTGAGTGACAACTTCGACATTGAGAGACATGAACAATTGCACAGCAGGCACCTTACCAATCAATTCATGAACTGCTCGCGTCATCCGACTTGTCCGCACAAGTCTTCGCAAAAGTCACACACATCTCTCCGCACCGAAGGTTCGCCGAGCCATTCTCAACTACATCGCCCATATCACCTACCGTTGAAAAGCCCCAAGTTCCTTCGTCCTACATCACGTCAGCAACATCCTCTCATCACAACACAAATACTCACCACCACTCGCGAAAGCCCACACTCCTTACATCAACATCCAGCTCCCGCAACCCAGCCATGTCCAGCTGACAATCAAACGGCCTCCGCGTCGCCTCCTCTGCGTCCCCATCCTGCGGCCTAACCGGCACCATCCCTTCCAACCCCAGCCCCGTAATCTCTGCAAACACCTTTACCACGCCCCACTTAGTCAAGCACTCGTCGCCCGAGAACTGCAGTATCGCGGGCATCTCGCGCCCGCGATTCTCACTGCTCAGGTACCGCGCCGCGATGTCGCAGCACACGCGGCCCACGTCCTCAGTGCACGTCGGGAACCGGCGCGCCCAGTCATCCACCTCGATGCGCGGCTCGTCTGGCCCCAGGCCCTGCGCGCGCCACAGCTGCGACATGAGCGCGTTGATGGCGCTGTGGTGCGGCTCGTCGCAGGGGCCGTAGAGGATGGGGACGCGCAGTGTGACGGCGCGGGGCGGCGGCGCGGCATCCAGCACGGCGCGCTCGCCCTCGAGTTTCGTCGTGCCATAGATGTTCTGCGGGTTTGGCGGGTGAGAGGCGGAATACGGCGCGTCGCCGGGCAGCCCCGGGAAGACGTAGTCGGTGGAGATGTAGATGAGGAAGATGCCGCGCTGGGCGGTGGCGGCGGCGAGGGCGCGCGTGGCGGCGACGTTGAGGGCGCGGGCGGCGGGAGGGTTGGCGGTGCAGGAGTCTGGGAAGCGGTTTGCAGCGCAGTGGACGACGACTTCGGGCTTGGTCTCGTCGAGGACGGTGTCGATGGCGCGCGGGCTGAGGAGGTTGAGCGGAATGATGTCGGGTGGGTTGAGGCGCGTGAGGCCTGTGCCGATGGCTTTCCAGCCTGCGCAGGCGAATTGGCGCTGTACTTGCCGGCCTAGGAGACCACTGGCTTGGGGGGTGGGTCAGTGGGTGGGAGTGTGGTATGCGCTGCGTGTGTACCTCCAGTGACCAGCACTGTTTTTGTGGGCGCATCTATCTTGGCCGTGGTGTCAGCCGAGTCGCTGGGATCACGGTACTCGCCCGATACGACATCGAAGACGAGTATGGGCGGGAGACTCGTGCTTTCTGCCATGGTGTTGACTGTGATTGTTGACAGTCGCAACCGATGACATCAGCCCCGCGAACCCTGTGAAAGTCGGCCCCACATGCGAAGCGAGCCGGGCATCCCTGTCACCGCCCCAGGAACCGACGCGTTGCTGGCGCAGCTATCGATGATTGTCGCGAAGCTGCCCCGACCACTCGAACACACCAACATGTCGACAATAACGCAGAACGCCTCCCAGAGCTCCTACCCGTATGGCGCCCACCAAATCAAGCTTCTGCGCTAACACTGACAGCCCCACGCTGCCCAAGGACTTCAACGCGAACCAGCCCAAGACAATCCGCCTGTACCCCCTCAGCAACTACACCTTCGGCACCAAAGATGGCCAGCCCGAAGAGGACCCGTCGGTGCTCGCGCGCCTGAAGCGCCTGGAGGAGCACTACACCGAGCACGGGATGCGGCGCACGAGCGAAGCGATCCTGGTGTGCCACGAGCACAACCACCCGCACATCCTGATGCTGCAGATCGCCAACGCCTTCTTCAAGCTGTGCGCGCCCCCCAGTGCCCTGTCGAATCCGCGCTGACAGCATCGTAGCCCCGGCGACTACCTGCGCCCCGAGGACGACGAGATCGAGGGCTTCAAGGCCCGCCTCAACGAGCGCCTGGCCCCCGTCGGCACCCAGTTCACCGGCGAAGGCGTCAACGACGAGTGGCAGGTCGGCGACACGCTGGCTCAGTGGTGGCGCCCTAACTTCGAGACGTTTATGTATCCGTTCATCCCGGCGCACGTCACGCGGCCCAAGGAGTGCAAGAAGCTGTATTTCATACAGCTGCCCCGTAGCAGTACGTCCGCTCTACACACATCACCTGCCCCCAGTCATCTCTCCTTCCATCCATTCATACATACATCACACATGCGCATATTACAGTCTCGCTAACCCCATCCAGAAGTCCTCAGCGTCCCCAAAAACATGAAGCTCCTCGCGGTCCCGCTCTTCGAACTCTACGACAACACGGCACGCTACGGACCCCAGCTGTCCGCCATCCCGCACCTGCTGTCGCGCTACAACTTCGAGTTTGTCGATGAGGAGGGCAATGTCGCGGCGACGACGCCCGGCGTGGGGCCGCCAGAGGGCAGTCTCAGGGCGAAGGTGCTGGCGGGCGGTGAGGATGTGAATATGCAGCAGAATGGGGATGAGGCGAGTGATGTCACAGTTTCGTAGTCTGGTGGGGAGGTGCGAGGCGTTTGGCGTTTGGGAGGTTTGGCAAAAGCGTGGATCTGTTGGGGTATAGCATATCCCAGGTGGTCGGCGATGATGTGGTGGACATGGGACGAGGCATTGAATCGATGACCTGTCATGGCGGTGCAAGTGCTGATCACTGACAGCGCAGTCAGAAGAGACGTGAGTTCAATTAAACTTTCCATTCAAAGCGGAGTATGAGTATGCAATACAAAAACCACCCCCAACGCCAACGCCCCCCATACGTCGTGTCAACGTGCAGTCGATGAGGCCCCTCCCCTCACTCACGCCCAGTACTCCGCCCCCAACTCCCCTCCAAGCCCCACATCATCTCCCTCCATAACGATCCGCCTAACCACCACCCCGACAACATCCATCTTACTATGCGTCGGCCTAACCTCGAGCCCGGAGTCCCTGCGCCCCGTCTTCGCCTCACCCCCAACCTCCCTCACCACCTTCCAGTTCCCCAGCCCCGTATCCACAAGCCGCGCACGCTTGTAGCTCGCATTCCCGACCGCGCGCACCGCGACCACGAACCCGGCGTCGGGCTGTGCCTTGATCCACTCCCTAGCGGCGTCGTCCTCGGCCCAGATCCGCTTCAACACGGTCTCCGGGTCCTTGAGCAGCCGCACGGTCTGCTCGTCGGCCTCGATGGTGCCCGCGGCCTGGCCGGCCTGCAGCGGCTTCTCGACCAGGTGCGTGCCGCCGAAGGACTCGAGGAAGTGGCCGCTGCTGGCGTCGAGGAAGATGACGTCTTTGTACCAGCGGGTGCCGATGTCGTCGTAGTCGCGGTCGTGGAGCGAGGTGGGCGCGTGTTTGGAGGACGCGGAGACGAGTTGGCCGCAGGGGAGGGAGGCTGGGGCGAGGGGTTGGGGGAGGAGGGTGAGTTCGGGGATTATGCTGGGGGAGAGGGGTTCGCTGAGGTGCGAGGGGCGGCGGGAGTATTTGGCAGCCATGGTCTGGTTGGTTGTCTTATTGGAGACAGTAGGTGGTGTGTTTGGTGTTTTGATAGTGTGGTGAGCTGCAATTGAGCTCTGTATGTGTGGAATTGGGTGATCAGAGATGATGAGAGCTGATTGAGGCTGTTTTATAGCTGTGCTAAGCTGAGGGGAAGCTCTGGTGAGGGGTCGCCTTGGGCTCTTTATGTGACTTCATTTGTACCTGCGAGCTGCAGCGACCCCGCCCGGCGCCGCCGTGTCGGGGCAAATCCCTCAGGTCACGCTCATGTTGCGACTAGATAATTCTGGCCACACTGGAATGTGAGGCCATGTGCAACGACTGTTGTTCCGTCGACAGGCTGGTGGTGTGACGGAAGCCATGCATGTCGCGTGAGGTTGGCGATGCGGTCGGTACCTGGGTACATTCGCTTGATTCCGGGTGGGGCTGTGGGTCGAGCGCTCCTTCCCGGCGTCGCCCGATCGTTCCTGCTGCGAGACACTTGCAGCTGTGTTGGCGCCACGCTCTGCTGACTGTGCACTGTGCGGTGGCATCATCGACAAAGGCGTCATGTCTCGTGCTCGCTTTTGCGACAACTGCAGCTCTGGCCTCATTGTAGTCAAACGCCATTCCCGCGAGGCTGGAAGATCGCTCGATCGCAGTCACGAGACCGACGACAGCTGTGAAGCCTATAAATACCAACAGACTTGCTTTATTGGACACTCAATGGCCCTCTACCGTCAAGCACTGCATACGACTCGCATGCCAGCATCCGCTGGTAAGGCATGTGCCTCGTGTTAACACGCCCTACAATTGTGCTGGCTGCAGAATGCTGCCCAAAATGATGGCCGTTGCGGACGGTCTTAGCACCCGGAGTTTGGAGCAACGAGGTCTGAGGGTGCGTACAGAGATTCTGCTGGGTGAAAACCCGGGTATATTCTGGTATTGTATTGTGTATATACTCATGGAGGTGCAAAAATGGCATGATATCTACAAAGTCCATAATGCCATGTAACCGTTCGTACGTACTCTTTGTGTCCCGAACAGTGACTCAGCCGAAGCTTTGCTTATAGCAAAGCTCGTTCATCCTGATTTCCTTAACGGATGTTAAATGTCCTATAGCCCTCGCTAGCTGCATGCACTGTTGGCAAGCCGGGCATGAACATCGTGCCTACGAAGAGGTAGTGCCCATCTCGAGGGCGAAGTACGCATGGGAGACTGAACTGCGGGAAATGTGCTATGATATCACCCTGTAAGGTAGCCAGAGGCGCCATCCCTATAAGACCCTCAGCAGACTTCACAAGCCGCCTTTGTTTCCAATAGTGCTGTGGGGGATCAAAGCGCAAAAATTGATCATAATTTTCGTTCGACGTAACGCTTGTCTCTAATGAACGCAGCATTTTGAGAGCATTCTTAGAGAGAGCGAATGACCACGGTGAGGCTGAGTGTCGAGTAATGACTGAGTATAAATATTCCCAATGAACTGACAGTTCCATTTTCCAGCTCCGACATGCCAAAACTTGTGCAAATAGTGTTTCCTTGTATATGTACGCAGAATGACCAACACGGCTTCGGTCTGGATAGACGTGGTACTTCCAGAAAGCGGCAATGTCTTCCAGCCGCGATCCTCCCGCTTCTGTATTCATGGAGGGTCCTATTTTGCAGATTGTCCCGGTTCTTGCCCATCCTGTCAGATATAGCGTCTTGTGAGCGACATCGACTCTTTCCTGTGCGAGGTCCTCTGGCATGTTGGTATCGCGAGGAACGATATCCAACGGGAGGAAATCACCCGGAGCTGGCGTGCTCAGGTTGGGAAGCCAAGATAGCCCATGTGAGTTAGGGCTGATTGTAGGGCCGTGACATACCTGGCTTAGCAAAAGGTAGATACAAGAACTTTCGACGAAAGCTCGCGCGTATTCAAACATATTGCGGCCCTCAGGAAGATCATATCGAGGCGTAATCTGCCGGATACGAGCAACTAAGTTTGGTGTATCCCGGTACGGTAGAGCTAGGGTTGCGTAAACTCGATCCCTCTCCTCGGAGCATTGTAGTCCGCGAATGCTGCTCAGGAGCTCGAAAACTGTGAAGCTTCTCTCCTTCGGCGCCACCCATGGTGAGTAGCTGTTATCTGTCATTACGACAGCCTTGAACGACCGTCGAAGATCTCTAAAATCGATGTCGGTCTCGCCCCACATGCAAAGCGCTGATCGAGCCAGATGGTATTCTTGGACAACCCATAATCGCGAGAACCACTCGCAACGCAATAACTCTTTCAAGCCATCTCCTAACTCCTCTAAGCCCTGCATTGACGCAGTTTGGTGATGATTCAGAACCATGGCAAAGATGGCCCTAGCTCTATGGTGACGATCAGGCCCAAGCCAGACGAGTACACGGCGTGCGGTTGAATAGACCTGCCCCATCAATTTGACCTGGCGGCCGCGCTCTTTAAGGTCTTTCTGATTGATGCACACCGCATCAGCCCAAACATGTTGGCTCCGAGTTTCTGACCTTATGCGCCGCAGAGCTGCTGCAAGATTTGTCGAAATTTTGATGACTCCTTTAGGAGTGGACAGTGTGTGACTGTGGTCTGCTACTCCCCATGTATAAGAAAGCGCCTCAAAATCAGCACCCTTATCGTGGCGTAGGTTGCTTTCGTACAGTCTCCCTCGGATTGCATCTGACTTTTTACCAGGCTCAAGTCTTAAAATCCGTATAGTGTCTGTCCCGTGCAAACTATTGTAAGTGTAAGGTTTGCGATGTGTAGGCGACTGGGTGACGCCTTTAGATCGACGAGCTGCTTGTTCACCCCTGCTGTTTCTGCCGTGTTGCGGTCGTGAGGTAGGCGAAGTCATTCGTACTGAGCGAAGGTCTCAAATGTTTCGGGAACGTTTTCTGTGAAAGGTTCACGGACTGATCAAGACGAGCAGCATTTTGTCCGGGTGATTAGGCTGGCGGCGAGGCTGACGTTGTATCAACATGAAGATGGGTGCATGCAGTCAGCTTGTGGCTGTGTTCAAGGGCCTTATTTGATCGGGTAGGTATGCGTCGCACATTGAAGCGGGTGATAACTAGATTTGTAATACTTCGACGCGTAAATTATAGTCATCCACCGAGGGCTGTCCAAGAGAACTGGAGAATCAGCAAGTGCTCAAGACCCAAGAACTGACCTGAACGTGGGCAGTCAGCAGCGTTCAGAGATAACACATGAGAGTAGCCAAAGTATGGAAATGCTTGTTGCATGGCGCCACTGTACCGGTTCTCTATTTGCATGTGTTAGTTCGTTTCCTGGCTTATTAGCAACGTGGCAGTGCTTAGCGTCTTATCTTCTAGATAGTTCTAAGAAATACATAGATTAATAATAAAAAACCCGTAATTGCTACAAAGTTATAGAGAGAGAGCAAGGTTCTACTGGCCAATATTAATAGTGACCGTCTGTGCAGAAGAACTGTGCAGCAAGTAGCTCATGATTTTGTTGTTCGTTTTGGTGTCGGTGTTCCTTACTACCTGTCTTTGAACCGTTACAACAACACACTTGAGTGGGGCTGTGGGGTGGCAGTGCCTGCACGGCCCCATTCGCTATATATGCAACCTGGTCGCCCTCGACCTTCAACACAAGGACTTACTGTCTACACATCATGGAGCCCTTCAGTGCGTTAGCCGTCGCAACGGCAGCTTGTCAGTTCCTGGACTTTGCTTCAATCAGGGGACTTGGAACATCTGCAAAGCCGAGCTCGGCCAGGACAGTGACCGAAACTCCCACGTCAGGACTATTCTTGAAGATGTCCAAGTAATGAACGACAGACCCCGTATGTCCATGCAACATTCTACAGACCGAGAGCTTTCTCCGGGATATGATACGATCCTGAAACTTGAGGGAAAATGTGACGAATTAGCAGCCCGCCTAGCTGCTGCTCTGGATGCTTTGCAGAAGCAGACAAAACCCGGCGGCACAACGCGGATCAAAGTACTAATAGACAATGAGCATAAGCGAAAGATACGGGCACATGAACACTTGGAACAATCACGGAAAAGCAAAAAAACAGTCACGGTCTTGCGATCTTGAGCTTTCGTGAATAGATTGTTGTTCGTATCGGGATGTGATTCTTATACTCCGGTCATAAGACTCCTGCGAAAGACTACAGAAAGCCAAAGTCTGGGGAATTGCGCTACGCTGTTGCCAATTGACTGACGTCTGAAAAAATCTCCGTGCGCTATCAGATCGAGTGGTGTTTACAAATGCATACATACGATGTGTGTGCATTCACTAGCTCTTCCTGCGTGCCGATCCGCGCCCACGGAGAGCAATTACGCAGCGGCGACGTCATGTGAACCTAAAAGAGGGCATGTGCCTGGATTACTGGTAGTTTTTGCCAATAGACTACTTTCGCGGTGGCTCGAGTTTCTTGCTTCGAAGTGGCACTTTTCCCTGCTCATTACGCTCGTCTTGCCATCGCTTCCATCCAATTCCAATCCAAGAACCCTATCCGGTATGGCTTCCTCTTCCTTGAACGACAGAATGAAAAGTCGCGAGGAGTTCCATGAAGCATTTAAGGAATCAGTAGACGCCGACCTCAAGCAAGTAGGCTATGATGACCTCAATAGAACGTGGCACAGTATCCGCATGTTCACGAAGGTCATCGCGACTCAGTTTGCACGAGGTGCGAATTCGGATCTTCCCAAAAAGTATCGGTATGAATACGACCTCCGAGAGCTGTGGTATTGGATCCTGCAGTCTGCTCGATACATCGCTGCAGACCACCCTGCGCAAGACAGATTGGTCATGCAAGTTCTGCATACAAGGGAGATGGGTGTTCTTTCGAGAAAGATTGGGCCTCCAAAGAAAGGAGAGGAGAACGCTGAGACGGAGATAGCGACTACCTCTGATGGCAACATTTGGAGTGACCTTCCTTTCCTTGCGCCTGAAGTTAAAGCAGCCTGGACAGCGTCTACAACAAGCTTTCCCTCCGTCGATCGCCACAACTTGAGTGCCTTCGTCGCCCGGCTCGCTTCTGTTGGAGTCCGAGATCCTGAGTTGGGCCTGGTCGCGATTTGGATCCTCCGCGATACTCTTGAGACTCCACGGCCGCTTACAAGAACAGAGACTGATACCAACGACTCTGAAAATCAGCCGGCTGCGATTGTGGACCTTCTACCAGCCGCAACGGCGTGGTTCCTATACTGCGGCCACAAGATCGAAAGTCTATGCATTCAAAATCAGAACTTCGGATCTAGTTCGAAAACGGGCGAACTGGCTAGAAGAGCAGAGATTGAGCCCGACTGTGGATTCAGTGTGGCCAGGTGGACCTTTTGGAGGGACAGGCTTGATGAGATACGGCAGTGTGGGGACAGAGAGGTTGCACAATTGGCAGAAAAAGCACACAGGACTATGAAGGCTTGGGGTGAAAGGATTGAGACTACGGATTGATACCAAGCACGGCTCGTGGCTGTGTTTTGAAGGCCTTAGTTTATTGGATATGTGTCGCGCGTTAAAGCGAGTAATATCTAGGTTAATAGGTAACAAACGCGTAAAAGTAAAGTCTTCCATTGAGAGCCAAGTGTCCAAGAGGACTGGAGAATCAGAAGTACCTAGGTACCCAGGACCCACGAACTGGCCCGAAAGCGGACAGTCAGCAGCGTTCAGAGTTAACATACTTAATAATAGGAGGCAAAGTATAGAAATGCTTGCTGCATAGCGCGCTGCACTGTTCCTACGTGTTACACATGTAGTTTGTTGCCTGGCTTCTTGGCAACGTGGCAGTCCCCGTTGTCTTGTGCGGTTCTCAGGATTGCACAGTACAAACATGGCCTGGTTAACGATCGCGGAAGTGAGTTGTCCTCACATCAGGATAGCAATCCATGGATCAAGGAAGCAACCGCCGGAAAACGGTCTCTCCATCTGATAACTCATGGATACACGACAGCATGCGGATATTCATAACTTCATATGTATACCCATGCTACCGGCGTACTGTTGTAAGTCTTACCGGACCTTATCTGTTGACTTGTGTAGACCACGGCGGTGTTCCGCGCCCGTTTCCTACAAACCGCCTGAACCCGACTGGACCATCACCAACTTTGCAGCACGACACGACCCCAATCACAGTCCTGTAGTAATTGCGAACATCTCATCACGCCATGTGTTCTACCCCATGCAAGACCGTTGATGTGATAGGTACCGGGACGCTCCAACCGGAGGGTTTCTGGTTTCCGGAATGTGCCCACGTTCCGCGCTGTCTTCCGGATCCTCATTCAGCCTCCACTTCCTTATCTGCCGCGTGCCGTACGCTACCATCACCTCCCTCGTGTTTCCGACTGGTCTGGGACTCTCTCCGCTCTTATCAGTGACCGCTATGGCAGTCCCAGGGTTCCTTCCATTGGCGGGTGATGTGTCGCGGCTGCGTCTGCGTCTGCATTCGCATCTGAGCCTTCTCAATGCTCCGAGTCCATCTGTTTAAGTCCACTCACGTACATACGTTCAAGGTTCTGGTTCCACGGCAAATACAATTCGTTACAGTAACTTTCATGTTCCGAAACGCCTGAACTGGAATGCCTGGATGGCTGTTGGTCACGATCCCCGAAGGCCGGACGAGACTAACCAACAATACAACAAGTGACCTGTGTAATTGCGAAGCTGCCTTTGGGTCGCGGTGATGTGCACTAACCCCGCGTTTCAATCTCAGTCCAACGACCAAATGGGCAGCTCCAGCCTGAACGAACAGTTACCGCACCCTCGGAACATTTCCGCACTACCCTGTTCTGGGATATCTCTATCTATCACCATGCGCGCATCAAGGTCCGCCCGAGATAGGTGACCTGAACACTGACCTTATCTTTCGTCAACCTTTGTATAAGTTCTTGGCCGTTCACCCCAGAAATGACGGAGATCCAGCCAAAACCGACCCACCAGCACATCGAGATGGGAGAGTCGATCAAAGAACGCGATGTCAAGTACATTGCTCCAACCGCAGACGATGATGACCGCCTGGCCCAACTTGGACACGTCCAGGAGCTCGAGCGAAACTACTCGATATGGTCGCTGGGCAGTCTGTGTCTCTGTTTGATGGCAACTTGGGAGGCGCTGTCAACAGTTATTGCAACTGCGTTGACGACGGGCGGTGCCCCTTGTTTGTTCTTCAATCTGTAAGTCATTCAGGGTTGGAGTAACGCAACCATCTCTAACATCAACAGTCTCATCTCGGTCATCTGCACAATTGCTATTGCGTGCTCTTTGGGCGAAATCGCGTCCATATACCCGACCGCGGGAGGTACGAGGCTATTCATGTTCCCATGTGACACTGGCTGATTTCCATGCAGGACAATACCACTGGGTCGCTGCGCTCTCCCCACCTTCGTCTCGAGCAGCAGCGTCATGGTTGACGGGATGGATCAACGTTGGAGGACAGATCGTGCTGACTGCCTCTGCTGCATTCGCGGCAGGCCTCCAGCTCCAGGCTTTGATCATCTTGAACAACGAGACCTACATCCCCGCAAGATGGCAGGGACTGTTGTTCTACTGGGCCATCTTGATCTACGCCGCTGCCATCAATATTTGGGGCTCGAAGATGCTCCCCACTGCCAACTTGATCTCTGGTCAGTACTCGTGATCCACACAGAGATGATGTGCTAATTGAGACAGGCGTACTGCACATTGCAGGCTTCCTTGCCATCCTTGTCACACTCGGTGTCATGGCACCCAAGAACTCCGCCTCCTTCGTCTTCACAGAGGTCACCAACTCAAGCGGCTGGTCCAATGACGGCGTCTCCTGGCTCGTCGGCCTCCTCTCCTCCGTCTACCCCCTCCTGGGCTACGACGCCGCCTGCCATCTCGCCGAAGAAATGCCACATGCCTCGCGCAACGTCCCCATCGCCATGATCGGCTCCGTGACCGTCAATGGCCTCCTCGGCCTCGGCTACTGCACCATGCTGCTCTTCTCCACCGGCCCCCTCGATACCCTCCTCGCCACCCCCACAGGCTTCCCCTTCATCCAGATCTTCCTGGATGCAACCCGCTCCGCTGCTGGCGCCACCATCATGAGCCTCGTCATCACCCTCATCGCCGTCGCGGCCACTGTCGGCGGCATCACATCCACCTCTCGCACCCTGTGGGCGTTCGCTCGCGACAAAGCCACCCCGTACGACCGCTACCTCGCCCACGTGAACCCCACGTCGCACATTCCCGTCCGCGCCGTCGCCCTCGTCACGATCCTGCAGATGCTGCTCGGCTTCATCTACTTGGGCAACTCGACCGCCTTCAACGCGATCCTGAGCATGGCCGTGCTGGGCATGTACACCTCGTACCTGATCCCCATTGTGTACTTCATGGTGTACGGACGTCCGCGACTCGCGGCTGCGGAATTCGGGTTCTTCAAGATGCCCAAGGGGCTGGGACTCGCGCTGAACTGTGTTGCGTGCGCGTGGCTGGTGCTGGCGATTGTGTTCTCGACGTTCCCTTCGTTTATGCCGGTTGAGGCGCAGACGATGAATTACTCGACGGTGGTGATGGGTGGCTGGATGGTGTTGGGCGCGGGATATTACGCTGTGCGGGGAAGGAGGAAGTTTGAGGTGCCTGTTGTAGAGCGGGAGGCGCGTGGGTTTTGAGAATCTCGTCATCAGGGGTAAACTGCAAGAACTACTTCGTTAAAGCGCTGCATATTGCTCGTGAGGTACGAGCTGTCTGTGAGTGAGTGCCCGTCGAGGACCGTCCAGTGTCTGTTCAGATCGAGGAGATGTGTGGCTCTTGAACCTTCTCACATGGCTTGATTCGACGATATGATGAACACTGCGCAAAAGTTCGAGCAAATTGATTGACTATTTTTGTATGGTTATCGAACCTTTCCACAACATGACCCCCGCTCTACGCGGCCACTGGCACCAACGCGCCCTCACCCGCAACCTCTCGTCCCAGCTGACCCAGCACCCCACCCTGACAGGAAACCACAATCGGCCTTTCCGGCCCTCTCGGCGCCGCAAACAACGCCTGAATTCTCTTCACCATTTCTTGCCTTGCCTTCTTCCACCCCTCAGTATGCCCGCGTAGCGCTTCCCCATTCCCGCCATTCACCCACTCCACCAGTCCATCCACATACTTCTCCTCCTCATCCCTCAGACTATGAAACTTCTTCCCCGTCCCCCGCGCCTTAAGCTTCTCCACATACTCGCGCCTCATCGCATCCCGCTCCGGCACCCCCACGGCGCCGCTGAAAACGCGCGCCACGACCATGGCCTGGAATTCGAACAGCGTGAACGTCGCAGTGAAGAAGGGCACACCGACGAAGGCCAGCGACGGGTCCGGGATGTAGAAGATATCGCGGTGCAGATTGTGGAACATAGTGCCGTCGGTGACGAGCACCTCCTCGTCAGCCTCGTCCACGGGCGTGCTGTCAGCATGGTACTGCGACAGGAAGGGCAGTGTGAGGTGATACCCTGTGCAGAGGATGACGTGGTGGATGTCGCACAGGGTGGCGCCGGATTTGAGCGTGAGGGTGAGCGGGATGGGGTCAGATGGGGCGAGGGAAGCGGGGGAGGAGATGGGGAGCGAGAAGGATACCACCTCGTCGACGCGGATTGCGTTTTCCGGGAGCAGCGCGGCGGATAGGTCGAAGGCGCCGTTACGGTGCGACTGGTAGATGGTGTGCGCGGAGGGACCGAGTTCCCGCGCGATGTCGGTGGCGGAGACGGAGCCGCCGATCAGGAGGAAGTTCTGGAGTTGTTAGACAATGGTATGCCTGCAGTGCAAAGGTTGGAATGTGTACTTTGCCGTGATAGTCTTCGGGTTTGCGGTAGCTTTTCGAGTGCTGTACACGGCCTGGGTAGGCCCGCTTCCAGTCTGAAAGCCCAGGGATATCCGGTACCCGGGGGGTGTGGTAGTGGCCGGATGCTACGACTACAGCATCAAAATCCTAGGTCTTTGGTTAGATATTGGAACGTCAATAACACAGTAGTACTGACAGTTGTGGTGCTGTTCCGAGTCTGACTTCCATCGTCACGTGTTTGCAACGTCGTGGTCTGAACGGCCCACTTGTCACCAACCTTCGACACATTTTGCACCTCAGTGTTGTAGTGGGTCACATCAGCAACTTCTGTTTTGACAGCAGTGTTTTGGATGTAGTCTTTCAGTACGCTGTGGGAGACGAAATCTTCTGTCCCAGGCGGAAACTTGTTCAAGGTGGTCTCAAGTAGAGGCGTGGCTACATTGTTCTTGAGTCCAACGTAACAGGGTCTAAAATAAGTCAGTGGTCAATAGTCTTCGTGGCGTAAGACAGTAGTACCCAGGTGGAGCGTGCAGTAATCTTTCTACCTCCAAGTCATCGACCTCTTCTTTAGTGTACGCACTCCCAGCTTTTGACAATGGGATTGATGAGTATGCAGGTTCGAGTGGTTTTCGCTCGTCGTAGAGCCTTGTTGTTGTCAGTGACAGAATTTCGAACGTATTTGATACTTACCAGATACCGCCTGCAGCACTTGAGCGCTCGAAGATAGTGACATCCAGACCTTCGTTCTTGAGATGTGCTGCGGTAACGACACCCGAGATGCCCGCGCCAATGACGGCTACACGCTTGTTCTTGGATGACATGTCGATCACCAATATTGAATGTAGAGCTTTAGGTTGAGTAGAGGTTGCGTGCTGGATTGTTTACGGTCAGTGGTGCCTGTTAAGGACGAAGTTTGAGAGGGGGCGAGCACGTAGCAGTCGGCCGAACATCATGTCGTACGCAAGCCACAAGTATATGTTTTTGCACACACGACATCTACGAGCGGGAACAGTAGCCATTTACGTGAGCTGATCCAATATAAGCAGGGCGCAATGGTGGGTAAAGATGGCATCATGTACTCTCACGTACGATCCAAGCCAGAGGATCCCAACCCGAACGTCTTTGAAATCGGCATTCAACACGGCGTCTAGAAGCGCGAGGTATGCCCGGTGATAAGTTTCGTGACGTTCAATGGTGAATGGATATGCGCAATAGGCTAGTGAATTGACGTGATCGATGAACCCCGCAACACCAACATCGCGCAGCATCAACATGCGTTCCCGAGCTGCAACACCTGCTGTTGCATTAGTAAGGATCGTCTGATCAGACGAGGGGTTCAGGGTCGGCCCGCAGTATAAGAGCAGCCACTGAGCACTCTCAGAATAAGCACAACATTACGCCAAATACTTCAAGATGGCACCTATTGCAATCGCAGTCAACCCAGACATCCAAGAGAAGGATACTGTTCAGCCGAGGAAGGACACACTGGGTCTTCCAGAGCCGGCAAGAGAGAGGCTCGAGAAAGCAGGCATTGACTTGTCCAACGGATACCCGTACAGGCCGGCCAAGCCCTTGTACCTCGATGATGTGTACAAGATTAGAGATTACGATCGCGAACATGTGGATCCGGGTTCCAGGGCTGACCCTGAAAAGACCGCTCTGCTCAGTGCGGCGAAGGAAGTTATTCATCTCACAGCCCACATCGGTACAGAGATTGTTGGACTGCAGCTGAAAGATCTTACCGACCAGCAGAAAGACGAACTTGGTCTACTGATTGCGGAGAGAAGCGTCGTATTTTTCAGAGATCAGGATCTCTCGCCCCAGGAACAACTGAAGCTGGGTGAGTGGTATGGAGAAATCGAAGTTCATGTAGGTCTTTTTCCAGCTGATTGCCAGTCTCGTGACGTCGATTAACTGCAAGAACAGCCGCAAGTACCTTCTGTGCCGGGTGTGATAGGCACGACCGTAATATGGCCTGCGCTTCAGGCTACAGAGATCCTGGCTAGCTTCAGACAGACTGGAGGAGCGTCCAGATGGCATACTGACCTTGTTCATGAGAGGCAACCAGCGGGGTATGAGAGACTGATTTGCAATGGACCCTGATTTCAGTTGACAGATATTAGTGTGACCCATCTGCACAACGACACAATTCCAAAGATTGGTGGCGATACTCTGTGGGCCTCGGGTGTGTAGTCTCGTCAGCGGTGAGGCCAATGGCTAACCAAACGTAGGCTATGCGGCGTATGAGAAGCTGTCACCCGACTTCAGGAAGATCATCGACGGCAAGCAGGCCGTGTACCGCAGCGCTCACCCATATCTTGACCGCAACGACCCCACAGCCGGGCCGAAGCACATCGAGCGTGTGCATCCGCTTGTTCGAGTGCACCCGGCCACAGGTTGGAAGTCACTCTGGGTAAACCGCGCCATGACAGTGCGAATTGTAGGTCTGGACAAAGCTGAGAGCGATCTGATCCTCGGATACTTGTATGATGTGTATGAGAAGAATGTCGACATCCAGGTGCGCTTCAGATGGACCCCGGGCTCCTCTGCGCTGTGGGACAACAGGATTACAATCCACAACGCCAGTTGGGATTATGAGGGAACTGAGCCGAGACACGGTACGAGAGTGACCGCGCTGGGAGAGAAGCCATACTTTGATTCGAAGGCACCTACAAGGCGACAGGCTCTTGGTCTTGCTGGACCTGATGATGTTTGACAAATGTGTCGATAGACAAGACGCGAAGGAAGGGAAAAGGCGCGATTGTGGGGCCTCTTAGCGTGTCACGGGCGCGGCTGCGGCTGTTCCCCTCCCCTCTTCAAGACTCAGCACCAAAACTTCGCGTCAATCTCATCACCATAGTTCACCCGCTGTGTCAAGCAGAGCCTGTTCTCTTCAAGTCAAATATAACGCTAACTTTGGATACCGACTACAACTCTTCCACGACTTTGTAACAACATGCTCTGCTCGTGCACTCTGCCTGCAGGCGGCTCTTCTGAGCACATCCTTCTGAGCACACTCCGAAAATACACGATGATCTAGGCACCTTTCTAGAAATTGGCGCGGCTCGGGTTCCAAAGCAGTGGTTTTCTTGCGACCTAGTGTTTTGTGATTCTTAGACTGCAGATTTGATTGGAGCATGCGGCGCAGCAGCGGTTAACCCGCAGCCACAGCGGTTACACCCACACCCGCTGTCATTAAGTATCCGCCGATATGCAATGCAATGCGATTAAGCCTCACACTTTTGTCCCTGCTACGTTGTCGTTGTCGTTTCCGTTGTCGTTATCGTTTTCTTTTGCCTTGTGTTTGCAAGTCTTGTTTCTGCCATGGACCGCGTCTCTCTCGTTTCTCGCTCGAGTCTCGAGGCCACGGTCAAGTTGCCGAATGTTAAGGCTGAGCCTGTGTCCTTGCAGAGTGATGGGGGAATCGGTTTGTCACTTCCAACCATGTTGGATCACAGTCGTTGACCTGCAACAGCTTTTCGCAAGACTTGGAAGCCGCCAGCGCTGCGGTCGCCAATCTTGATCATCACTATACTTCTGTGTTGGTCCTTGATTGCTATTCTTCAAGTGTTTTTAGTGCAAAGCCAGCGCGATGGCGGCGTTCTCTTTGCTGCAAGAATAAGCGCGCTGCCCTTTTCCCAGCAGTTCCTCTACCTGTACTTTCCTACAGTGCTCGCTGTTATTTTCAGCATATATTGGGCTTGGATTGACCTAGAGACCAAACGAATGGAGCCCTACTATCAATTGAGTAAGAAAGACGGAGCACTGGGCAAGGATTCGTTGCTTCTTGCATATCCCTTCGACTTCATTCCACTCGTCCCTATCAAGGCTGCTAAAAACCGGTCAGTATGATTCTGAAAACATCGTTCTGATAATGTAGCATTACCGACTGACCAATAACAGCCACTGGCCGGTCTTCTGGGGATCTTTGGCGGTGTTGTTAGTGACATGGGGGCTGGTACCAACACAAGCTGGTATTTTCTCTGTGGAAACAATCACCCGTTCAACAAGCACATCGTTTGATCGTTCAACATCTTATCTTCCCGCACAAGACCAGCAGGCCAACCTCAATATTCGCTATGCTCAATCCACCTACGGCATTGCTACACTCAACGAGACGCTTCCACCTTACATGGCTCGTAACTATACCTTGGCCCCGTTCAGACCAACAGCTCACGATGTCAATGTCGCTGGGAGTCAAGGTACTTGGTTTGGAGAAACGATTATGTACAGTCTCGATTTGTATTGCGCACCCGGCTCAGCCATACTAGACTCTTTTGGTAAATCACAGAGGATGAGATACGTTAGCAGCGGCGGATGTAATGTGACCTTGGGACTTACCGGTAATGTTACAGAGGGAGCCAATCCAAGAAAGGACGACTCTACAATCTTCCGCATCAAACAGTACATGGCTATGTATATCGGTTACTGGAACTTCAGCGGCTTTGCAGACTATTACTTGCAAGGCGATTGTCCAAAGGAGCGTAACGCCACATTCTATGCAGCTTTCACTCGAACGAAGAGCAGGGACGAAGACCCACCCAACAACGTGACCACGATTTTCTGTGAGCCAAGATATTACCAGCAGAGAGTCAACGCGACTATCGATCGGATCACCCAGAGACCACTCAAAGTTACAGCTCTAGAGGACAAGCAGCCTCTCAGCAAGGACATCTTTAACGCAACACATTGGGAGGCGCAGATTACCACTGGATCATCTGGCCGCGAAGTCAGAGGCAATTTCTTACCCATGAGCGCGGTTCCGGACTATGTGGAGTACATAGCAATGACGAACGTCAGCATTGGAACAGGATCGTCAGGTGTTGGAATAGTGCAGCGCATGGTCGGACTGTCACTTGCTGTCAGCGCACTCCCACTTGAAGACTACCTTGACTGGAAAATCTTGAGCAAATCCTACGCGGACGCATACCGATTATTATTCTCTCGTACCATGGTCGATATTCTGGGGGATGACTTCGCAACTTCGGAAGAAACGATGGGTCGCCAGCAATACACGACCGAGGCGGTTGTACTAGAGCCTGTGTTCGTCTACATTGTAGAGGGACTTCTCGGCGGTATATCCCTCGCAACCATCATGCTACTCTACCTCTCGATTACTCGGACGAGGAATTTGCGGTCGGACCCAAGCACTGTCGCAAGTGTCATGAGCCTTGTGGCGGACAATCAGCCTTTACTCGTTGGTTTCGAAAACCTCGACTGTTGCACCGCTTCGGAGCTCGAAGAAGTCCTAGGGCCACAGCGATTTCGTTTGGTGCATGATAGTCAACGCACTGGTATTGAGATCGTTGGCACTGCGGATACCATCACCTCCGCCCCACAGTCCACAACACTTCCGCAGTGTCAGAATACCGTACGAGGAATCGCAAAACCTGTCAGACCGAATGAATTCCGGCTGTGGACCGCCATTCCTTTCGTGAGTCTGTTCTTCGCCTTGAGCATCACGCTTGCCGTAATCTTCGTCAAAGCCAGGGCGAATGGATTGCCTTTGCCATCCAGCATTAGGCTTGTGCAGAACATCCTCGAAAACTACATACCGACTGCTCTGGCCACGCTGATAGAACCTATGTGGGTCATGATCAATCGGTTACTTTGCATGCTTCAACCTATCGAAGAATTGCGTAGTTGTAAGGCCGAGGCGAAGAACTCAATTGACCAGAACTACAATTCTTTGCCGCCGCAGTTGACACTCTTCAAAGCATTACGATCAAAACACTTTGTTCTCGCTTCGGTATGTGCTATGGCCCTTTTATCCAACCTCCTGGCGGTCGCTTTTGCTGGTATCTTCAACCAGGATCTTGTCGCCATACAGCGAGCCGCGACATTTACACCTCCTTTTGAGATGAAGTTTGTCTCCATCAACGGCAGCATCGGTCCATTAACGTCGCAAACCTTTGGCTCCCTCGAGCCGTCTGGTGCATACCGCGGCGGTAATTCTCAAGACCAATTCCTTATCGCCGAGTCAAACTTCTCCAGGGGCACCCCTCTTCCTTCCTGGACTGATACAAAGATGTTCTATCTACCATTTACGACGGCCCCCTCGACCAACGAGACTGTTGATCATGAACAAGAGGCTGAAACTGTAGCCTTTGGTGCCGAGTTGGATTGCGAGCCATTGCAGGATGGCGTCGATTACACAGCGGCAGTTCGACGAGAAGGCAATTCAGTCTTCTGGATCGATTTCAACACTACAACGCACTCGAACTCCAAAGCGGATGTGTGTCCAGCCACTGCCTCGATGGCTCTGAGATTTGGTCCTATAATGCCAGAATTTACTCCGTTCGAAATGAAGTGTCGTCGCGGCCCTATTGCGGCTGAAGTTGTTCTTGCCCTCGACGCTGCTGTCAACGCCACGCAAAGCGTAAAAGATACATGCATGACCACAGTGGTACTAGGCTGGATAAGAGCCTCTGGTGGGTCGTGTGAAGTGCCCCCGCTCACAAACCTGACAGCACAAAACTCGTTATTCGTGCGATGTCGACCAAGACTCGTCACGGGTAGAGCGACCGTCCGTACTGATGCAAGTGGTCGACTTCAACAGCCAGCCCATGGCTTCAAGCCATCGATGGATGAGGATCTAACACAAATGTTCACCAACGACCCTGTGAACCTCATTGGGCAAAGTAATCGCTACTTTTTCAAGTTCTTGCCCGGCGGCTGGCACAACGACACCAACGCCGACGATCCAATGAACTATTTTGCAAGCCGGGAGATGGACAGTCGGCTCATTGACCCCAACACAGGAGTACCAACATTAGAGGATGTCACAACGTCGTTTGGAAAGGCGTACTCGAGATTGTTTGCGATTTGGCTCGGAGCCAATAAAGAGAAGCTATTGGTTCCGCGTAGTGATCAGACTCAGGGCTCAATTCCAGGCTGGACGGTGTCAACCGAGCGACGACTCCTTCTCTCCACCCCGATGTTCGCCATTTCCGAAGGCATCCTCTCTATCTATGCTATTGTAGCCATCATCGTCTACTTGCGTCGTCCTGGGCGTTATCTTGCACAGATGCCGACATCAATAGCCACAGTCATCAGCCTATTCGCCGCAAGTGCTGCTGTGCAGGATATGAGGCAGACTTCACAACTGGACAGAAAGGGCCGCGCAGACCATCTCAGGCTTCTTGACTCACGCTATGGGTACGGCAGCTATGTTGGGGGAGGGGACGGACGGGTGCATATCGGCATCGAGAAGACACCGTTCGTCAGGGTCAAGTCGAAGACCGCCTGGTTTGATCAGAAAGGCCGCAATGGCACTACAGTGTGATTGTCTACAGAAAAATATCACACGACACACCATGCTAGAGTCCCCTTTTTGCTCGCCTGCACATGGCCGATGTAATAAGCACAATTCAGCCTCTTCCACAATCACACTGAGCGAGCCGTACGTCGCGATCCGACTCCGCGCTTCTTTACTTCATGACTGGATAGCCGGAGATGAACAGTCAGGGTTTGCTTGGGTGACCTGCGGATGTATCCCGCCCTGCCGCAGCGGGAGAAAGCGATCTCTCACAGTCAACTAGTCGTTAGACCATACCAGAGGCGAGTCATATCCGCTGCCGAAGGCTGGTCTCAACAAGGCCGCCGAACAGGAAAGTGTGACTTTTTCAAAGCCGTGAAGAGGTAGGGCTAGGCAAATAATCAAGTGCAGATGTGCTTGGGTTCGCGAAGGCCAAGGCTTGGGAGTTCGCTGTTGAGGCAGGCATGAGGGGCGCTGCCGCGGTCGTGCTCCTGCATGCCTCTCCCAATCCAACTTTGCTATGACTGACGGCGTCATTATGCATTTACCGACCTACTGTAGGTACTCCACAGTGTTCTGCATCCTTCCGTAACCCACGAGTTCGCTGGTAACGATCTTCGATGTATCGCGATGGAGACCGAACGTTTCGTTTCGCGCAGACGGTCAGCCCCCGCTGGCTACGGTTGCATGTCACTGTTGAACCCACTGCAATCAGAGACAAGCTTTGATGGTGGGGCGAGCGCGCCGTCGCCCAAGCTGATCTTCACTCTGGTCAATCATCGTCACGACCTTTACGCTGCGTCGATTTTAATGAAACAAGGTGACGATGCTAAAGGCGGTAAGCGCAAGCCAATCAGGCCGTATCAGCGGGCTCTCCAGCTTTTCCCGAGCGTCCAGGCGATCCGCCGACCACGCTGCGGCGCAGTCACCCGCACCAACTGACTGGGTTAGGTACTGCTGCTGATCATTCATGCTGTCTATTTGAAGTTCCTTTAGACATGGGAAAGAGGGCGAGACTGCGGACTACATGGGGCAATCGATATTCAATGCTCGTACGAAGCCGAGTGGCAAAAGAGATGGCAACCAAAAATAAGGACCACACGCGCAGGCCGAGGGGCGGTGCACATGAAGCATCAGCGCTCCAGCCATGCCTCCCCTGCGGTACACGCATGCTGCGATCTGTGACACGACATCGCTCCACCGAACCTCAGCGGTCAGGTTTGCGCTTGCGTCACAGTCGCGGCGGTAAACACGATTTGTACGACGGCCCAGGCACTGCATGTGTCGCAAGAGCTGACTTGGTTCGTTGTCGACTGGTGGTGAGCGCAGGAGCCGTGTGCGCTGAGATGAGCAGCCCAACGAATGAGATCGCGAAATGTGGTGTTTGAGATTTAGCTTCGAAGCGATCGCGCTCGACACCAGACCTGACTCGGCTTGACTCCCTTTATCGATAGGCCCGGATACGACGACATGCAGGGCCCGGACGTTAAGGGCAAGGATCCCGCCAGCAGACGTCAGGAGACGTTGTCCACTCAGACGCCTTCCTGAGTCGTCATCCGCTCTTTGTTTCAGAAACAATTCCCATCTGAGGGCTTTACAGCCAATGAGAATACTGATGTACCTGCCCAGCGTTGCAGAACCTGAGCCGTCTTCACAGTCCGCTTGCTGTTACACTGCCGCTAGACCGCGACGGGCGCCAGAGCCGGAAGGCCCCTTCAATCAATCGTTGCATGAGAGGCGACCCCTCTTCGATTAGCCTGCGCACTTTGACCATGATCCGTTGTGGCACCAGCTGCTGGTTCCCTTGCCGGCCTGCACACGAATGCTGTATGTACAGACCGCCACACGCCAGCCCGCCTAAAAAGGTGGGTATCAGGATATATAGCATGTAGGGGGCGCGCCTCTTGTTCCACATCGCAGGTTCATCACAGCAGTTCTTTCAGCTTCGTCTTCTATTACATATCTTGCCTGTGGCAGATATCACATTCTTTCAACTGAAAGTTGTTTGTCAAAGAGCTAGTCTCACTCAAGCATCGTGCCCCATAGCACTCAAGACTTTTCGGTATGTACTCACTCTCCTGTTTCGGATGGGTTTTGGACAGTCGAGTTGTTATCTTAACCCTTTCCGCACACTGGCCTCCTGTTCATGCCCAGCATTCGATCGATCTATTGTCATGGCTTCATCCTACAAGAAATGTTACTGATACTTTGCAGAATAGCTCGATAGCAACTTCAGACCACACAGTCACTACAAACCACACAATCGTCTAGCCGGTCTAGCGATTACAAGAAATATCCAACTCTTCAATTTCCCCACACACAAACAACAATATGTTCTCCAAGGCTACTGTGCTTCTGGCACTTGCTGCCAGTGCTTCCGCGCACATGACCCTCAACTACCCCGTCCCGTACGGCAAGGCTACACTCAACAGCTCTCCCCTTGTCCCTGGTGACTGGCCCTGCAAGCAGCGCACTGGTGTCTACGAGGTCAGCGAGATGAACCAGTGGAATGCTGGTGAGACCAAGGAAATTTCTTTCACAGGCTCTGCAGTTCACGGTGGTGGCTCATGCCAATTCTCCCTGACAACCGACTCTGAGCCTACAGAAGCCTCTCAGTGGAAGGTCATTCACAGCGTCGTCGGAGGCTGCCCCTCCAATGTGTCAGGAAACCTTCCGGACAACGAGAAGGGCAGCGGTGCTGCTATCTTCCCTGTGACCATGCCCGAGTCCGTCCCCGACGGCCTGTACACATTTGCGTGGACCTGGTTGAACAAGGTGGGCAACCGTGAGTTCTACATGAACTGCGCTCCTGTACAGGTTGGTGCCGAAGGTGCTACTGCCTCCTCCGCCAACGCTGGTGCTGCTCTTGCTGCCCTGCCAGACATGTTCGTCGCCAACCTTCCCGACACTTCTTGCACGACAAAGGAGAACGAAGACTTCAACTACCCCGAACCTGGCCAGTCTCTTGTCGATGGTGCCAGTGCCGATCTCGGCGACACTCTCTCCGGTGCGGGTTGCGCAGCTATGACCAAAATGGGTGCTGGCAGCGGATCAGGTACACCAACTCAGGCTCCTGGAGCCGGGTCGTCTGCGCCCGCTGCTACCCAGCCCGCTGCCTCTGCGCCTGTTGCCTCTGCGCCTGTTGCCTCTGCGCCTGTTGCCTCTGCCCCAGTCGCCTCTGCCCCAGCCGCCTCTGCTCCAGCCGCCTCTCCTCCGGCTGTCTCTGCTCCTGGTTACTCTGCCGCTCCCGTCGCTTCGGCATCGCCTGTGGTCTCTGTTCCTGGTATCTTCGCCCCCGGTGCCTCCTCCGCGCCGGCTGCTTCTGCACCCGCCGCCACTCCAGCCCCTGTGGCTTCTGCAGCTCCTGCCCCACCTGCCGCCTCTGCCGCACCCGTTTCTCCTCCTACTGGCGGCGACTGCACTCCATGCACCAACGACGGTGCTGTTGTCTGCATCGGCACCAGCTCTTTCGGCCTTTGCAACCGTGGCTGTGCCGTTGCTCAGCAGCTCGCTGCTGGTATGGCTTGCACGGACGGTAGCATCGTTGCTGCTGCCAAGCGCTCTTTCCCTCGCGCACACCTTCACAAGCGTCACGGCGCAGGCCTCCGTCTTCGTTAAATGCGAAGCACCTCATCGCCTGACGATTGTCTTTTTCATACAAGGGTTTACGGTGTGATGGTCACGACACGCATCGCATGGAGTTGGTTTGGATTGGATACCCGCCCTGGCTAGGGTCTGGAGATGGGCCGGTTATTTTGCTTGTTTACACCTTCGGGTTGGCACCCTCGCTGTCATGGCTTGGGCTTTCTTGGACAGACGTTCATTCTTGTTGTATATTCTTCTTCTTTCACGCTGCGCCTTGATGGCCGGTGTGCCCTTTTCATGCTTTTGAGAGCTCTGTGATAACCTCGACACCCACATACGTACCATCTGTGTACAAATAGATCAGAATCATAAGATACATTCTCTTCCAACACGCCTCTACTGCATATTACGTGATTTCATTACGATTCTCAAATTGGCGCTTACTTGAATATGTCACTCGCAGTCGTTGCACCTCACATCTACCAGTAAACGGAGAACTTCAGCCTCAAATGACTGCAATCATAGCACAACCCACACAACATTAACCTACATCAGAATTTTTAGATTAGACGACGCACTGTCTCTTCTGTGTGTATTGAATAGCTGTTGTGCTCCGTGTCGAATACGTTGCCAATCAGTGATACCTCATCTCCGACAGGGGTCACAATCACCTTTACACAGTATTTAATCATACATAACGACGCATTAAGCTTGTTTTATTCCAGAAGCCGACATACAGATATTGCAGCTATCCCTTGGGCGTTGAGTACAGTGTTTTGCTGTTCAGCTGCTGTGACCAGGCAGGCAGTCTATGACACAACAACGACTACCAAGTCATGCAGTGTGAGACAGTGAGGAACAAGCTTATGGAACAGCCAGAGGCATGCAAGCAGCACGGCCTCGAACATGCTGTCATCTGTGTGTACTGCAGCGGCCCCATTGGACAGCCTCACGACCGAAGACTTGGCATTAAACCCCTCAGCTCGATGCCTATTGTGCAGTACCTAGGTAGGGTTAGCTACATACGCCCATCAAGCCGCTGCAAGCACGCGACGAAGCAGACACCGCTTTCGCACACCTCCTACGTATATTCTTTTGTCGCCAGTCAGCGTCCGCAAGCCTCGGCCCTCCCCTTTGCGACCCGTTGCCACTCTCAGGGTCGTGCGCCTCTCCGCCCCACTATCACCGCCTCGCGACCTCTCCTCCACAATCTTCCACGCCCACAGCTCCCGGTAAACATTCCACCACCGTTTGCCCATTATGGAGAACAGCAACCAGGATGCCGACCAGCAGTCGTACATGGACAATGCCATTCGCGCAGTCCAGCAGAAGAAGCCGGTGCCTGAGATCGACTTTACCCTGCACACCATGGAAGACGGCACACAAGTCAGCACTCAGGAGCGAGTCTGCAAAGGTATGCTCGTCAACAAAGCTCTGCAAAGCTCTCTAGCTTGCACAGCTCCTTTGCATAAGGGCCGCCTTGCAACATGACGCTGACACGTTGTGACATTCAGACGTGCAAGCCCCAGCCTTCCTCCCTCCTACCGACGAGCAATTCTTCTCGCCCCAAGATCGCACAAAGCCCAACATTCAATTCTTGAAGCAACACTTCTACCGTGAAGGTCGCTTGACCGAACAGCAAGCGCTGTGGATCATTAAGAAGGGTGCAGAGATCCTGAGATCAGAGCCCAACCTCCTGGAGATGGACGCCCCTATTACGGTCTGTGGTGATGTTCACGGGCAATACTACGATTTGATGAAGCTTTTTGAAGTCGGTGGAGACCCGGCAGAGACACGCTACCTGTTCTTGGGTGACTACGTTGATCGAGGGTACTTCAGCATTGAGGTAAGGCAAGCAACATCAGATGGTAAGCACATGCTAACACGAGCAGTGCGTTTTGTACCTTTGGTCACTGAAGATCTGGTACCCCAACACGCTCTGGCTTCTGCGCGGTAACCACGAATGTCGCCATTTGACCGATTACTTCACATTCAAGCTCGAATGCAAGCACAAGTACTCCGAGGCTGTCTACGAAGCCTGCATGGACGCCTTCTGCGCACTTCCTCTCGCCGCTGTCATGAACAAGCAGTTCCTGTGCATACACGGTGGACTGAGCCCTGAGCTCCACACTTTGGATGATTTGAAGAGCGTATGTGGCAAGATTGGTCTGCATGTCGGCGTTGCTAATTTTTCCAGATTGACCGGTTCCGCGAACCTCCCACACACGGCCTCATGTGCGACATCCTGTGGGCCGATCCACTCGAGGAGTTTGGACAGGAAAAGACCAACGACTTCTTCATCCACAACCACGTCCGTGGTTGCTCGTACTTCTTCTCGTACCCCGCCGCGTGCGCCTTCCTCGAAAAGAACAACCTACTCTCGATTATCCGTGCGCACGAAGCACAAGATGCTGGATACCGAATGTATAGGAAGACAAGGACCACTGGTTTCCCCAGTGTCATGACCATCTTCAGCGCGCCAAATTACCTCGACGTGTACAACAACAAGGCTGCTGTTCTCAAGTATGAGAACAACGTCATGAACATCAGGCAGTTCAACTGCACTCCTCACCCATACTGGCTGCCTAACTTCATGGATGTCTTCACATGGTCTCTGCCTTTCGTTGGAGAAAAGAGTGAGTGTCTACCAGCTATGGAAAGTCGTTTGCTAACCGTTTGAAGTCACCGATATGCTCATTGCAATCTTGAACACATGTTCTAAGGAAGAGCTCGAGGAAGAGACACCCAGCTCGCTGGCTTCCGGGCCGTCTTCCCCGCAGCCTCTCGCCAACCTGGACCCGGACTCGACGGAGTTCAAGCGCCGTGCTATCAAGAACAAGATCTTGGCCATTGGCCGTCTTTCTCGCGTATTCCAGGTGCTGCGTGAAGAGTCCGAACGTGTCACTGAGCTGAAGACAGCATCCGGAGGTCGTCTGCCGGCAGGCACACTCATGCTTGGTGCGGAAGGTATTAAGCAAGCTATTCATACCTTTGAAGACGCTCGCAAGGTCGACTTGCAGAATGAGCGTCTCCCACCTAGCCACGAGGAAGTCCGCAAATCCCAAGAGGTACACCGAGAGCAGGCTCTCGAGAAGGCTACCAAGGATGCAGAGAACGACAAGGAGCTCGGCAGGGTTGCACGAAGAATCAGCATGTAAGTGGTCTCTCTAGTGCACCACAATTTCCATACTGACAAATGCAGGTCTTCTGGGTCAAGGCGAGGCTAGGTGCCAACTAAGCTTTTGAGGCTGAGCGAGTAAACTAGGTTCGCCGATCTTGGTGTTTGGTCTGGCGTGGACTTCAATGTTATCTGCATACCATGCTGGCGTTGTGCAAACTGGCGGCGAGACCTAGAGGAAACGACTTTACGATGTCCGGTAGTAATTTACTAGCCAAGTGCCGTGCTTTGGACGAGCCGGTCTTTCATTGAAAATATATCATCACTTGCACACCGAATCTGTGGGTTCAACCTGTGTGAGTTCAGCAAACATATATTGGCCCGAGCTTCAGCGGCCCGGAGATGAACCGATCCATCATGTTCAGCATCGCAACTCTTCCCCACAGCAATGCACATCTTCAAGCCCGATGCCTCCATGGGTGGCCTCTGCGCCGCGATTGTCGTCGCTGACCAAAGGACGAGCAATTGAACGATTATCGCCAATTCTCCGCTGTCGTCATGCAACACCACGGTCGAACCTCCGCGTGCGCTCCGCATCAACACATGTTTCGCCCACAGCCATAAATCTGCGGCCTAACATCCCGCCACGGAACAAGGAGCTGTACGACGCGCTTTCGGCGCTTAGCGGAGCTGCAGAGACTTATGTCAACATAAGTCGCCTGCAATTGGCGCTTGGTGGGCTTGCGGCGCAAGATGCTGTCACGAGGGTTGCTGGTAGGTTTCGCGATGCTCGCAGGAAGGCATAGCTGACAAGGAATACAGTACTTGGCCTGAATAGCCAGGTCAGCGCCCAGCGACTTGCGCGCCTGCTTCTTGCAGATCCACTCGGGAACGAGGAAGGGTGGGAGACAGAGCTTGAGAAAGCTGGTGGTGGCAACGAGGGGGCGGTGCTACTGAAGTGAGCGCAACCGCTCAGGCATGATCCAAAGGGCCACGCTGATATCATTTAGGTTCGGGGACGAGAATGACGTACACCGTCCGACACCGCTGTACAAGGTCCTCTCTGCGCCCTCGAGGGTTCTACGAGCGCATAACCTGGAGATTCTGGTCTCGACGCTGAATGTCAATACCGCGAAGATGCTGACGACTGCCTCTACGGAGAGCTCGGAGGAGTCGGTGCTGGTACCCAAATTGCAGGCTACTTCCGCACGAGGGACACCAGTGCCCTACCCGGTGCACAAGACATTGGTAGTTGGCGAAGGACTTGACAGCGCGCTGGCGTTTGGCAGGTTTTCTTCGGATAGCTCTGAGGACATGCGCAGCATAATCAAGGTGGCCGTGGATCTTCCCGCACCACAGGAGGAGGCAGATGCAGGCGCGCAAACGGAGAGCACAGTGATCAATGTTGATATTGCAACACAAGCACTGGCAAGTTTCCGCGAGTCGGTGGCGAACTCGCAGACATTTGAACGCGGTTGGTTCAGAAGCGGTTTACCTACCCTCTCGAAATGGCTCACAACCGACCTGCAGCCTGCCGAGCCGATCAGGCCTGCCATGAAAACCCTCATATCCTCCGTTGTCGACGATGTTGAAGCAAAACTTCTCAAGGAAGACACAGCACGTTTGGCACTTCTCGCATCGATACCCACCGACCGCGAAGCCACAGCAGCGATTGCCAATGCCTTAGACGTCTGGGCTGAGAAGAGTCACACCGAACTCCGCGATGAATTAGACGAAGCATTTTCTGCACGGAACTGGCACAAGTTGTCATGGTGGAAGCTCTTTTGGCGCGTCGACGACGTGACCATGCTCTCACAAGAAATCATCGAAAGCCGATGGCTTATCAGCGCTGAGAAGAGTAGCATCTTCCTTGCGGGGCGGATGGCGCAGGCTGGATTCCCTGAAGACCTGCCGAGAGTGGCTGTACAACACGACATTCCGGTCACAACAACAGAAACAGCACCCACGCTCATCAACCAGCCAACCAACCTTTCGACCGAAGTCAAAAAGCCGCAACCCTGGTCCGACAACATCGCGACAGCGCGTGAGGAGCTCGTCGCTGCAAATGTGCCGCCATTACAAGCGCTTGCTCAGCGTCTCATTCTGCAAACCATGTCCACGACCTCGCTCTCCAGCGCCTTATCTGCACTACTCTACGTTTCATCGTCCTTCTCCGTGTTCGAAGCAAGTGCTGTGGCAGCGCTAGGTCTGACCATCTCGCTGCGTCGCATGCAGAAGCTCTGGGAAGGCGCGCGAGACAGCTGGCAAGGGACTGTCAGAGAGGAAGGCAGGCGGACACTTAAGGCTACCGAGGATCTTGTGAGGTTGATCATACGGTCCAAGGATCAGGGCAAGACGCAGGTCGACCAGAGTGCGGTCGAGAGGAGGCAGGCGCGAGAAGCGGTCAAGGCTGTTAGAGAAGCGTTGGCAAACATGCATAGCCAGCGGGAAAGCGATAAATAGATTTGAGCAGTGTAATAGTATTGCAAACTAAAAGGATTGAACGAACGCATCACATGTCTTCTTGTCGTTAGCTGCGAGCGCATCGCAGGAAGGCGCGCACGTCGGCCCTTCTTCAAAAACTTTCGAGAACTATGTCAGTTTGGAGTTTGATCTTCACCTATACATCCGGACACCAGTCTCAGTGAACCATGCAGCAGATGCATGAGTTCTAGCGCGTATAGGAGGCGATTGTATTAGGGATTGTCGTCATGCAGACTCACTGTTGCGGCTGACGCCCCACTTTTCCGTCCGGCTCACGAGCCTTAGGCAGCAGAAACGCATCACTGCTCCATAATGATGCCGGTCGGAGAGTGGTCGGCAGTCTTCAGTCTCTAGTTCCAATGGAGCGATGCGCCGTGTGCAACGATCAAGAGAAGACGGATGAGGACGATGCGCGCCTAACATTCGACGTTACACCTGCGGTACTCAGCCACTCAGCCTTCGTCGACCGCTGCGAGTCATGTCTGGTAATCCTCGAGGGCTTCCGTCAGGGCGGACAGACGCTGTATCAAAAAGACTTCCAGCGGCTGGCCCGAACTATCACCGCGCGATGTTGTGCACAGCAAAACGGGCGTGCTGACACGCTCGTCCTGGAGACGTACTTCTATGACGATCGTCCGAAATTGGAGCTCGAGCTCTACAGTCTCCAACCGCACTGTACGTCGATCCATATCTTGGTAAAATGAGTATTTAGATGCCCGTTCAAGCTAATGACGATGATCAGCCTGGAAAGCGATACTGCCTCGATCTACAACTAGCGGACACCCCTTATCAGCTGCGTCTTTGAGATGGATGCGAGCACGGCTAAGTGAGTGTGGCAGACTACATGGCGCATGCAGAGGACCCACAAGAACATACCTACCCAAACGCGTGATCTCCATTCGAAGAGATGTCGAAGGTGAAATCAGTGTTCGTCTTGTTGAGCCCAGGGCCGGCGATCAAAGTGCATACATCGCGCTCTCGCACTGTTGGGGGAACAGTCAGCCGTGTGTGACTGCACATGCCACTTTGGAGAACACTGAGTCCACGCTCGAGCATAGGAAGAGGGGCATTCGCTGGGATGATCTACCGAAAACCTTCCAAGATGCCATAAGGATGACCTCTCTGCTTGATATCGACTTCATATGGATCGACTCACTTTGCATTATCCAGAATGACAAGGATGATTGGGCCACCGAGTCCGCAAAGATGGCTGACATATACGAGTACGCTTCACTCACCTTGTCAGCAACGGCCTCGGCAGGAGACTCATATGGGTGCTTTTCCGCATCGTTCAGCACTTCACGCAGCCTTCCGATCAGTCTACCTGAAGACGTCGGCACCTGCGAGCTGGCTGTTCGGAAACCCATTACGCATTGGAACACGATCGGGCAAAGCGAAATGCATGCGCGCTTTCCTCTGATGAGCAGGGGTTGGGCTTTCCAGGAGCGGCTACTTTCTAGACGTGTTCTACATTTTTCCGAAGAGGAATTGGTGTGGGAGTGTCGAGAGCTCACTACTTGCGAATGCGGCGGCATCGGTGAGCAGACAAGCCCTGCAGGGGCCTTTCACGAAGCTACCAGAATCAGCGAGGATGAACGACAAGATGTTGCGGGGAGCAGAAGACAGGTCGAGGAAGATCTCAGCATTCGCCAATTTCAAGAAGAGCAGGTCGACAAGTTATGGATATCTAAGAAGTATGGTCTACGAAGACGGTCTGCCAGATCTAATGACTGGCTTCTGGAGCCGAGCGAGTCAAATCCTGTTCTTCCACCTTACCAAGAATCAGATCCTTGGAACGATACATCACAGATGCGAGAATGCGCCAATTATGTCTTCGACTTCCATCGCATTGTAGAGAGATACTCGACACTGAATCTCACGAAACGGTCGGATCGTCTGCCTGCCCTCTCTGGTCTCTGCAAGCGCATACAACATATTCGCGGAGAGTACGCTGCAGGTCTTTGGATAGAATCCATAGCCTTCGATCTGCTATGGCGAGTCGAGCGACTCAACGTCACATCGAAAACCGCAGTGCAGCCTGACGAAGACTATTGCGGACCATCATGGTCATGGGTTTCAGCAGATGACCCAGTTGCCTATTGGCGCAACATCATTAACTTCCATGACCCCTCGCGGCTCTTCAGACCTGCATCGACCGGGGAGGCAGACACACTACAAACAAAGCCTTTCTCGCGACCCAAATGTCTCGGCCGAAGCCTCCAAACCGACAGCGTGCTCGTCAAAGTCGCCGAAAAAGGTATGAACCCCTTTGGCCGCGTCGCCTACGCTGTACTCAAAGGCTCCGCCTCAACCACGACCGCCAACTTGCGCTACACATACACTTCGTCCTGGCACGACGGCACCTACGCGCTCGACACGAGCCGATACAAACTCACGCTCGGCGGCGAAGGTATCATCGAGCTACAATTCTGGGCCGACTATGTTCTTGCTGCTGAGGGCGCGCGACATATTCCCAATGGAACTGAGCTCACGCTGTTGCTTGTGCATCCGCGCGTTTGCCTAGTGTTGGTGGATACTGGACAAGGGTTCTCGAGCGTGCCGCAGTATCGCAGGGTGGGGATTACGCGGATATCCGATGATATGGTGGATCGGTATAGGATTGACTGGATGGAGTTTTCGGAGGTGGCGGCGTTTAGTATTGTCTGAAGATGTGTGGCCCTGTGGTGTCTTGGTGACGGGGAAACCGGTTTTCTGGAAGTCGAGCTTGTAAGTTCCATGGCTTTTCACTTTGATGGAGATGTGCTACTTGTGTATGAACGAGCGGATTACAGGAGAAATGGGTTTGTTGCTCCTACCAAATTAATGCTAATGTTCTTTGCAACTGCCATTTTTGGTGCCCCCCACCCGAAAAACAGCGGTCGCAAAGAACCAAGAATAACCTGGTTTTGTGCAATACATGCGATGAGATGGTTCAAGGTAGTCTCAGCAGTTTGGCCATACAACTTAGTGTCAGTCAGGTGCATCCGAAACGGTCCTTTATCTGCAGTCGGTGGACCTGTCAATCTGCTGTCATAGTTTCCCCTCACGTTCTTTAGTCTACACCCTCGGCATCTTGCCCGAGGTTCTACACAACGACTTCAGTCAACCTCCTGGCATGAACACTAAAGTAAGACTTCATCCTCGAATGCTTTGTGTTCACTTCGACCGTCTTAGCATCCAAATTACCCAGATTGACTTCTTCCAGGTATCTCCTGTCCTGTTCTGCGCTGCAGTGTAGCTCGACGTCTAGTTCGGCAGATACTGTGGGGAAGCAGGGGTCCCCGAAGCCCACCGGCTGCAGTGTCGCTGGGCATCCGTAAAACAGCCGAAAGGATTGACGACTTGCCCATGGTGATAGCCATGGTGCCACAAATTAATATACCAAAAGACAGCACAGCTGACACGGCCACACCAATCTCCATCTAATGACCAATTGCATGCGGTTGAACTCTGCCATTAGGCTCAAATCCGCCTCTATGGCCTATATATCATGTCCTGACAACAGACACATTTGAATGAGACACTGCAATTCCAACAACCGCCTCAGGATTCAACATGGTTTCATTCACTACCCTACTCCTCGCCTGCACGGCCGCACTCGGCGTGTTCAGCGCCCCCCTCGACGTCCTCACCGATATCGTGGAGCGCGAAGATGCTAACATCACGGCCCTCGACAAGCGCCAGACAACTAGTAATGGAGAAGGCACCCATAACGGATACTTCTACTCGTGGTGGTCTGACGGTGCCGGCTACGCACAGTACACCATGGGCGAGGGCAGCCGGTACTCTGTGACATGGCGCAACACAGGCAATTTCGTAGGAGGCAAAGGATGGAACCCCGGCACGGGACGGTAAGTCCACTTCTAATTCAATCCCACCTTACCTCCAACCCACTTGTACCTCACATCCACAGCCTAGTCGCAACATTCCCGCACCTCACCTAACAGCTCCTAGCACCATCAACTACGGCGGCTCCTTCAGCCCCCAAGGAAACGGCTACCTCGCCATCTACGGCTGGACCCGCAACCCCCTCGTCGAATACTACGTCGTCGAGAACTACGGCACGTACAACCCCGCCAGCAGCGCGACACGCAAAGGTAGCGTCACCACTGACGGCGGCACCTACGACGTCGCGCTGTCGACGCGCGTTAACCAGCCGTCAATTGATGGCACGCGTACGTTCAATCAGTACTGGTCGGTCAGGCAGGCGAAGCGCAGCAGCGGCAGTGTCAATATGCAGACTCATTTCAATGCATGGGCGGGATATGGGATGCAGCTGGGCAGCCACTACTATCAAATTGTGGCGACGGAGGGTTATCAGAGCAGTGGTAGTTCGGATATCTATGTGCAGACGAAGTGAGGCGGTTGGGTGGGGATAGGAGTCGGGAGGACCTGGGGAGGATGGGTAGTAGCGGCTTAGTAGGTCAGAGATCGGAAGTCTGTCAATTAAATTGTGGATTTGAGTGAATGTTCTAATGTTTTTTTCTTGGATTTATGGTATCTGTAAGTAACTGAGATCTGTCGCACTTTACAAGAACAGACTACCCGTAAGCTTACTGTAAACTGAAAGTTTAGTGTCTTATCAGGGACAAAAATATTACCACCACCAATTGACTGCTCGAAACAATTTAGTCCCCTGCATAGCATTCCGTTTAGACCCCTGTCAAGTTGTACGGGTCGTAAGCCGGCAGCGTAAAGCGATCCTTGAACGTATATGAACGCTCAACCTGCTGCCTCTTCTTAGTCTGCACAATCGTGAAGAGATACGTGACTTCTGCGTGAGGAACTTGAAGCTCGTAGCTAATCTTCTTCCTCCGAGGGTTGGCTGGCACGTCGAGCGTCATCGTGATTTTCTTGCAGTTCACCGTGATCTCGGCAGGGCGAAATTCATCCAACAAATATGGAGGATTCGCTGACTTGAGGTCATGATATGGTAGTCGGATCCCGCGATTCCCCTGCTCTTTGCTCTTGACGAGTATGAGGCGGAGTTCGTCAAGGTAAAGCGGGTACACGTTGTGCATTGTGTCCAACCAACCATTCACTACAGGCACATGTACCGTCACGTTACGGATCCAGCCAAAGAGCGGGCTGGGGAGTCCATATGACAGCTTGTGAGGGCAGTCTGCAAGTTCAGGCTGGACGGCCTGAGGCTCAAGCGAAATCCGCATGGTCTCCGCCTGCAGAAATCTCTGCATCTCACGTGCTGGTCGCAACTCGTTGATCATGTCGTTGTGCAGTAGTCGACAGGAGAAAAAGGCTCCGTTCCACTCGACGGTGTCCGGCGAGAGCGACATGTAGCTGCAGATCTGAAAGCGGAGCTCGGTAGGCAAGCGAAGGAGCGGGCTCTTTTGCTCGCTTATAACAGGGCGGGTATAGACGCCTGCGACTCGGTCAGTTACAGTCGCTTCAGGAGAGTCGTTTCTATCAGGTCGAAGGTCACCCAGTTCCACCAGATAACAGACTACACAACCACTTACCAGAGCCGGTGGATTTGATTATGAGAGACATAGTGATTGACTTGTTGATATAATGAAGTAGTGTGTTGGTGTTCTCTGCAAAGAGGTGTAGCTGTCGGTTACACGGTGGAAGAGCAAGTACGAAGTGAAAAGTCCGTCTCAAGTTTGGTGCTAAGTCTTGAAGGTCGAGCGCTTTATATATGAATTCATTATTTTCTTCCAACTTCTTTCCAAATTATGTGTCCAAGGCAACCATGATAGAGTTGATGAATTTTTCGTGTTAGCAGTCGTCCAGGAGAACAGCTGCAATAGCGAAGGTTCGATCGAATTTTACCCAAAACCTTTACCCAAAAGCGAGCTTCGTACAGCACCTAACGTTGGTTCACAATGTAGCGAACGAATTACAAGCGGGTCGTTTTTTTGTAAATAATGACGTCACATGTCGGCGTGAAGTTTGGTTGACTAAGTGCCCGTGAGAACTTTCTCCAGCCTCCCTTCAACCTGTGTAAAACTGTTAGCAGTTCGCGTTGGTCCCTGAACCACAAAATATGACCCTCTCTGAGCGCATCCAATCGTGACCGCGGTACTTCTTATCGCTGATCAGAATGCCTGACTTTCTTTCCGGGACACTGCCCTTTCTGGACGTACGCGCACAAAGCCATGCCTATGATGTGTGGAGACAGCGTGAGATGTGTGAGATTTAACATCAGACGGCCAATGTGGTTGCGTGCCAAATGAGCTGCCGTCAGCACTAGGCCCACAGTGACCCTGTTCCAGGTAGTGCAAACTTTGGCAAAGTGGGCAATTGTCAGCAATACAGGTACGTGGTATAAGTGAGCTTTAAGATCGAGTTTTCATGGTAACCACAGAAACCTCCACGAAATTGCAAAAGCTATCATGGCGTCTCGTCGATTTCTCATCTCAGCGATTGTACCGCTTTTCGCTATGCTGGTGTTGCAGATCTACCGTCCCAGCCTTTTGCAGCTATCAAACCTCAGATCTGTTTTCTTCGATGAGCTACCTGCACGCTCAGATACACTAATCGTCATATCCGCCTTTGCACATTGGTCGCACTACGAGAAAATGGCAAAACTAGCAGTCATTCTTGCTGAAATTGGCTACCCAATCATCTTCATTACTGGTCGCATATTTGAAGAGAACGTCAAAGCCCTTCATGCTCGGATCGAATTTCGCCCGCTGATTGGCGGCGATGACAAGATGAGCCCGGAAGACCTCAGCATCTATTTGTCTAAGGAGCCAGGGCAAGAACAAGAGATGTTCATCACTAAAGTTGCGCTGATTGGAAGTATGAAACCTACACACGAAACTCTACAACAAGTCTTTCAAGAGTTCCGTAACAATTACGGTGACAGCAAGCCGTTGATTTCTCTGTTCGATACGCCAGTTATTGGTCATCACCCAATATTGCTTGGTGCTCCCGGTATCAAACCAGACGCGAGCATCGTCGTCAGCTGTCACCCTTTGATTCTGAACTCGAACGATAGCTATCCATTCTACGTCGGAAAAGCACCACATGTTGGCCCAGATGCAAGAGCTGTCCACCAGAAAGCCATTCTAGACCAGCAAAAAGACTACAAGACCGCCACATTTCGTACCTGGTATCAAGAAGCCTTGAATGAACATGGTGCCTGGACAGAGCGGTACATAATGGACTCAATGCACTCTGTAACGGATCAGATACTAGCTCTCGGCGTGCCCGAATTCGAATTTCCTCGCAGCGACATTCAACCCACCGTTCACTACTTTGGAGCGATGAAGACCATCAAAAAGCTCGGCGCTAAAGGTCCGGCTCTGCCCAGCTGGTGGGGTGACGTGATTGAAGCGAAGCAGCAGGGGAAGAGAATCGTTGCGGTAAGCCAAGGCACGGTGGAAACGGACCTAAGCAATCTTGTGCTGCCGACATTGGAAGCACTGAAACACAGAGACGATGTGTTGGTCATTGCAACTACTGTAGAAATTGAGCCAGCTGATGTTAAAGACCTTAACGTGCCACACAACGCACGAGTGGCAAAGTTTGTGCCTTACGATCTGTTGCTTCCTCTTGTAAGCTTAGCGACCCCATCACATTCTCTTGACTGACAAGCGCTAGGTTGATGTTCTTGTCAACAACGGTGGCTACGGTGCTGTCATCCAAGCTCTGGAGCACGGCGTTCCTTTGGTCGTTGGCGGAGAAGGTCAAGACAAAGCTATTACCAACGCAATCGTGCAATGGTCTGGCGTTGGGATTCACGTTGGAGGCCGGTCTCCTGGCTTGGAGAACATCCGTGCTGGCATTGAAGAGATTCTGGTAAACGAATCGTATGCGCAGAAAGTCAGAGAGATGCGCAAGAACTTCAAGAGATACGATGTTGGAACTGTCGCTGACGGCGTTGTTCAAAGCGTGGTCCGCGATTGGGCTGCAAAACGTCGATAACGGCTGGCCGGCTCAGATACCGAAGAAATACTACAGGTTCTCTCTAGAGCTCAACTACCAAGTCTCTCGTAACTAGCTGGCCCCGTTCTGGTCGTAAGATTGATTCCCATATGTATACCACTCGGAGCAACATAGATTGTCTTCTACTGGGGATCTCAAAATACTCATTCTGTGGAAACATTTATCAAAGTAAAACCTTTACAGGTTTAAGCAACCATGAGGCTGGATGGTCACTTTTCAATACGAGGCAGGGTTTTGTGCTGGAATATTGACGATGCAAGACTCTGAAGCGAACAGATAGTATGGACAGTTAGGTCAGCTTGCGTATGCTGCTCACGACGGCCATTAATAATGTCACAAGCTTTTCATCAGGTGATTATAGTTGTGAGTGAAGATATCCAATATTCGATGATTTAATCCCCGCTATCGGAAGTGTAGCAACTTCCCTTCGTATGACTTTGAAACCCTCTAAACCCTGACTCATGCGCTGAATGCTTCGTAAAGCATACATGTATAGGGTGCCGTGATAATTCCTGACACCTAGATGTCTACCATCTTTAAGAGAGCCTCGACTTCTTCAATGACCTCCGCGATACATTTGCCAGCATCTATGGGCAGAACATCCACCTCGTCCTCTGATGGCGCGCTGTAGATGGCAAGTTGGCTGGTGACCATCCTGGACTTCATGAAGTGTGAGCCACGATTCTGAACCCGACGCACGAGCTCGTCCTTCTCAGCTTGAAGGTCCAAGAAGATGACTCTCACATGATGCTGCTCCAGAACCCGGAAGTTGTTGCGGTACTGCTTTTTCAGCGCGGAGCAAGACACGATGGCCATTTCATAGCCCAAGTCGTTGATCGTCTCAAGCGCGCGCTTGTTCAGTCTGTTTAGCCAAGGTGCACGGTCGTCATCGTCAAGCGGAGTACCCGAAGCCATCTTCTCGACAGCACTGCGTGAGTGCAGTTCATCCCCCTCAATGAAGGGTGCTTTGAGAGTGATGCTGAGATGCTTTGCGACGGTCGACTTACCACTTCCACAAGGGCCAGCAACGACAATGACCTGTTTCTTCTTCTCAGCAATGGCAGTGGAAGGCTGCTTCCAAACACTGGACATGAACTGGTCGACGAAGGTTTTGACGAACGATGCATCGAGTAGTGACGTATGATGTAGAGTGGGCGACCATTGACATGCAACTGCAGTCTCGTAGGTCATAGGTGAGCCAAAATTCGTCTGGTCGTACTCAGAAGCGAGAAAGTTTACCAGCTTGAAGGCTGCACCCACGTCGTCGCTGGACTTGCGCAGGCGCGCAACCCATTCCTGCGGCTCAACTTCATCAAACTTAAGCCTAGCTTGACGCAAAGCAGGAAGAATTTCGTCCGTCCAAGAGAATTTCTTCGCTTTAGCAATGTTTGCAACAATTGCTCCAGCATCGCTGAGCGAAATTTCAGTAATGGCTCGTGCAACAATGTCTACTGGAGTCCAACTCGGGAACTCTTGCAGCCTAGGTAAAACTCCAACTGTGAGTGCTGATTGTATCATGAGAGGTATGGCTTCATATTTGTTCCAAACACCATGAACAGTGTCGGCGACAATCTGATCAACCCGGAGCACTCGGGCTTTGATACCCTTCTTTTGGGCAGCCGCTTCACAGAGTTGCTCTGCGACACACTTACTCTGTGCATAACCCGTATCCTGAGCCCAATCCAAATGAGCGACTTCTTCGGGTGCTACTTTGCTTGAGCACCGTGCGACGGTACTGACGCAGGAGCAGAAGTCGAAAGTTGCGTGTCCTGGGGTAAGGCTGGCGAGACAGAGATTGATGAGATGGTTTAAACCTGCAATGTAGACCTTTTCAAAGTACTGGAGGTCCAACTTGAGGTTGACAGCCCACTCGCAGTGGATGATGTTGGTCACCTTCTGAGTAATCGTAGTGTACGTCGCGGTGGGTAGTCCTAGATAAGCATCCGAGAAGTCGGAATGTAGTGCACTGATCTTTGCGCGCGCCTTCAGAGATAAGCTGTGGTAAACCTTACGCTGGATAAGCGACTGCGTGACCTTGCGCGCTGCATCTTGGTTGTCATCTGCGCGGACAAGGCAGTAAACAGTCTCAACATCGGTACGTGCTACCAATTGCGCAAGCACATGAGCGCCGAGTAATTCAGTAGTACCTGTCAGAACCACAGTCCGCTTGCTGACACTTTTGAAGTTACTGTACTTGAGGAGAAGCTCCTGCATAGTGTCTTCAACTGACATGTCTTCTTTTGTAACTGTAGTGCGGAGACTGTGCATGTGAACGCTACGAAGTGCGATGTCTGAGTATTTGAGAATAGTTCTTTGACCAAGCGTATTGTTGATGTCTCAGGAGCGTTCTCGAGGATCAAGATAGAGTGCAAAAGACTTAAGCAGAGCGGGAGAAAGAGGCAATTCGAACGACACCGTCTATTCCCGAGAGTGATCTGGCAGCAATAGACTGGTCGAAAATGCCTGGGGATCAAAGGCTATTTATTTACCTTACGCTGTCAACAAATTATTTGCGTTTTCGAGCTCAGAAGCAACCCGTTTGTAGAAGGATTGTCCGACGATGATCCTCTTGTCAGTCAGGGAAAACTGGCAATCATGTGTTAGGCGACAATAGCATGCGTTTCAACGATTGGGTTTGCTCGTGCAATTAAGGGCGAGATGTGGTTGTGATACCGTTGCTTGACAAGCCAATCATCGCTGGAGTATAAGCTAGCAATGGTCAGTGCCTAGCAAACCACTGTCTCAGTAGCAGTTTTGGGCGAACGAGTTGTTAAGACTGGCTTGGACTCGTGCCGTTTATCAAGACAACAGTGTGCTCAAGGATTGCAACGTATCTCCAATGTTCTCGATTGTTGAGTGTGTTTCGGATGGATCCTTTCCTGCGTGTATAATGCCGCACTGGCGGCAGAGTGTATTTGAGCCTTAGGATAGAGCGTTGGTGATTCGCGAATATGGTTCAGAACATCATCACCTTCGGATCGAAATGATGCCACAAGCCGACCGACCTCGATGTTACGCTGCGTCAGTCGAAGATGATTTCACATTAGAAACGTGACTCACGCCCTGTGATGACCGACAAGTATGACACCGTTATTGACGAGCAGGGTACCCGATTTGTCTGGACAGAGACTGATGTCATACATCGAACCTTCGAGCTGTCGTAAAACTGCAATATCTTCTGCTGTCACAAGGAGCTTTAGGCTCGATAGACGCCAAAGAAGATCTCAATGTAGTGTTTTCCACAAGACTGAAAGTAGGTCTTGCCGTAGACTCACGTCCTCTGTGTGGACGTATGTTCACGAGTAGACAGCGTAGAAATCCCCTTATAGATACTGTTGATGTGTTACTGAGGTAAAGTGATGAAAGCTTCTATGTCCTGGTGAGTACCATATCGTAAGCCTCAGTACAACTCTTCTAGGACTGATGTATAGGCTTGAGATATCAGAGTCGATTGGTTCCACATGACCTGGCCACTCTCATCATTGAAGACTTGACGCTGTCCGCGATGTATGGAGACACAACGTAGGTGATGTCAGAGAAGCGACCCTCTACTTCAAGGCCTGTTGACTCTAGCGAGGCTAATCCGGATTATGGTGTTGCATTTGCTTAGCAATTCTTGGACCCAAACGCGCCGGCGGGAATACATGGTAAGTACTGTAGATCTCGGGCGGGAAGAAGTTGTCTCTCCCACCATAGCAAGGTTTGAAGGCGCACGAAGCATTTGCACAGAACTCATTGACTGAGTAAGAATCAAATACAGAGAGTCGATGTTTGTTACCTGCGTTCTGCATCACGCGACGCGGCGCTTTCCCACATGCATGGGCCACATCGTAATGAATGTCACCGGCGGTCACAAGTCATGCAGGGCTGCTCACCTGATCAGTTTGTCTTCTTTGTCTTGCAGATGTCGCGGGCTTGGCCACTCTCTGTGTTTACCGACAAGGGACGGTTCCAAGAGGAGATACTATTCCCATCTTCCAGTTGAACTGTTTTCGGAATGATCGGTGATTGCGACTCCAGCCCGCTCGTGCTGGTCCTACTTCGTAGCAGAAGATGTTGATTGACAGCTGGTGAAACCAGCGAGTCATCGGCGGGTCCGCCAAAGTTCAGCCCTCGTCTAACTCCCAGCCGATCTCGGCCTAGGCGGGAAAGTCGCGCAAGAGTTCAACCGTTGATTGCCCAGAACGGCAAGTTTGGAATAAGTGTCGAACCTCCTGCGGCAAAGCTTACTATGTTCCCCGTGTCCGGCAAGGAATCAAGATGTGGGCCGCTATCAGGGCGTATCGTGCTTGGATAGCTTGGAAGTTGGATGGTTGCCGCGCCCCGCACGTCAGGGGTTTAGCGTGCACCCAACCTTCCCCGCAGTTTCCGTTGTTCAAACAACAATTGAACAATCACTACGGGGTCCCAGCGTTACCTCGGATCGAATCTACATCGGAATGAAGTCTATTCAAAATGCTGTCAGGTCTTTTTTTCACGATCTCCGACTCCCTAAATTTTGCTTCTCCTACCACAAGACTGAATCTTTACCTTTTCACCGTGGGATCTCTATCATCATCTCAATACCTGACCCAATATATACCTCACAGTTCCGCTTCTCATGGTTTAATCTAAGCCGTCGAGTGCATCGTTATGGATGAGCACTTTGGCATTAATAGTGGATAACTGCTTGCCCGCTGGCGTAGTACATATACATCTTGCTAATCAACAGCGTGACAGCGTGCATGCTACAAAACACTTACGGGCTCAGGTATGTACCAGAGACGTGTATAACAAGTTCAACGGACGATAAATATGCAGCAGGTTCCATCAGCAACCCAAGGTACAATATGTCTGAAGAGCTGGGCAAAGCCAAAATCAAAGAAATTGTTGAAGACGCAGTAAATCCGAGCAAGGAGAGGAACTTAACTCAGGCGAACACGCTGTGTCCTCTTGCGATACCCTATTGGATTCGCATAACCTTGTGAGACCCTATTATCGCCAGCTTCCGGGACCTCGGCAATATTCTCGCATCTTCCCATGGTCTTTTGACTTAACGTCCCATGATCGTCTGATTGAACGAGCGCTCTACTTCTTCTTTTCTTTCCTATCTCCGCCAACGCCCAATAGAAATCCAGCCCTAATGAGGGCCACCCACACAGTGAATAGTAAATTGAACCATTCACCACCATGCCACGTACTGACATCTGTTCTGCCTTGCAATCTGAGCAACTCGTACAGCGTAACAAGGAGCGCGATGTCTACGCCCAATGTCGCTGCCTGAACGACCCTCCACACTTTGGGATCCGGCGAAACGCGTAACAGCACCCCATAAATGATGCCGCTGAAGCCGTATAGTGCAGCGGTTTGGTGCAAAAGCGGCCCGTGGGACAACGGATTGTAAGGATCGATAGATCGAGGGACTACGGTCTCGAGAAGAGTAGCGGGGGAGAAGATGCATGTCAGCACCGTAAAGAAGAGAACTGTCGGATCAACGATGGTGAACCATATCCGGTAAAAGGAGTGGACATGTGGTTGAGGCATTGCGGCGTCGCAAGTATTTGATTGTAAAGAATTGGGGTCGTTACTCCAGTATTGAAAGACGAACACCGCTTTATACTTCTGCCCTAGCCGTCTCACATAAGCAGTACCAGGAACAGGTTTCTGCTTACCCTTGGCATGCAATGGCATCATCCTATCATCCTTGGACTTGATTACCTTGACCGAAGACTAACTTAGGTCTGAAGAGACGCTGACCGCACATTGTCGCAGCGACGCTAGCTGATCAAGCCACAACATTCTGTAATCCTAGTGATGAGCTACTTGCAAGTCTTGATCACTTCAATCAAGCAAACGCGGTCTATACCACATGGATCCAAAATGCCAAGGTGTCTGGGAGGTGGCGGACATGCAGCAGTGGGGCATCCTAAAGGTGTTCCTAATATGATTTGTACATACAGGTCTACTGTCCATACTTTGCCCAGAACTCGGTTTGCGCCAGTTCGATGGCTTCCTTCGTAAATACATCCAGATCTTCTTGCGGCAACCCCAGTCTCTCATTGTCTAAGCGGTGTGACTTCTCAAACAGACCTGCATCTTCGTAGAAGTATCTAGCGTACAATTTGCGGGCAAAGGCGGTGCGGTCACCTTTCTTCAGGTTCTCACATGCAGTTTCGTAACGCTCCTTTGCCGGCTCCGACGTTATCTTCCAGTCGTCATTGGTGGTGTCAGTCACCCGCTTCACTGACTCGAACATGTCCTGCTGGCTCACCCCGAAGGATGAAACATACACCATGCTGTTTCGGTACGAACTCAACGTTGTGCGAGCATCCGTTTCGTTGTCCACGCCAATTGGTAGCGACATCAGTGCCGCAACTGCGCGACCAACTTGCAGCCATGTGGATGTGTTCAGCTTTTGTGTTCCGTCATCGAAGAAGGTGACTTTGCGCTTGTTGGTATCGATCCCGTAGAGCTCCCCATTCGAGAGCGAGTGCTCATACCAGAAACCGCAGCTGATGCCGATCCAGGACGACACGCCCAATGACTCGATCAATTCTCGATCTTCTCTCTTGCCCGAACCAATCGTATCCTGTGCTGCTTCATCGGTATTGTACATACCGAACTCGTTTGGAAGGATCCAAGATACGCCGGCATCTGCAGCTGCCTTGATGAGCTTTGCGGATGTGTCTTTTGGTGCCCAAACAGAGGTCGTGATGATCAAAGCGGCATGCCCTTTGAGGGCTTCGGTAATAGATTTGTGGTCGCTGTAATCGACGCGCGCGATCTGGACGTTGGCCGGGATCTCCGCTTTGGAATCATGACGCGAGATGGCGGTAATGGCAAAGCGGTTTTTGGCTGTCAAGGCTTGGGTGATGTATGTTCCTATGGTTCCAGTAACTCCGACTATGGCGATCTTGTGGATCGACGAGGCCATGCTGAGGTATTGTAGCTCTGACTGGATCGTAGAACGAAATTGTATGCGTGAGCGTAGTTGTCGTACCAACGCGAATCTTAATGTCTTTATAGTAGCAGCTCAGCCCGTGCATCGAGTACGCCGTCCCATGGTACTAATGTGAAAGTAGCATTGTAAGGCCTTCGCAGAATCTCCGTTCTATGGTGGTCTGTACGTTGTAACAAGCACCGATATCCCCGAACGGAGTTTAGCCCAGAATGACACGCTTAAGTCCATAACAGTATCTTGCGGAGGTATCGAACACCGTCACGCAGAGATGCTCAGATCCGCTAAGTCCGGATGAGAATTCAATACGCAAGGTGCATCGATGTAGATTCAAGCTGGTCGTGTACCTTGCTCGTGTCAAGCTTACGCATTCGGGACCCTATGGCTCGTATTCACTTTCCCCGCTCGACGTAACTTGATCGAGCGTGAGATGGGAGGAAAGGTCTGCCAAAACTGCTGAGTAGAGATTCATGAATTGTTACATTATTTCGTACCTTCTACATAACCCCAGTCTCGCATGACGCTTTCGATCTTCCTGTTGACGATCTTCCTTGCTGTAGTCCTTTCCATCCCTTGCGCCAACAAGGTATCGTACTTCGTGTGTCTATGGCGCACATGGGCGATGATAGCCAACAGGACCTTACGTGGCAGTGGCACTGTGCCAGCTCTGCCAACGCGACGGGAATGTTTCTTGAAGGCATGCTTCAACAAAGCAGCCTTCTCTTCCTCTGGAATCTTTGGAAATCTATCTCCAACCTCAGAGGCCACAGCTTGGATAAAGGACGTGTCGCGCTTCTTCACTGCAGCACGCCGGGATGAGAGGGTCTCGTTGGCCTGCTGGTGCACCTGACGGAGGATGAATTTTGGCACTCGTAAACCAAGCTGTCGTTTTTTCGCGTCAACAACGACGTACAATATTTTATCTGCGTCGCGAGTGAGCTTGCGGCAGTGCAGCGTTTTGTATGGTATGCCTTTAGCTAGAAACCCATAACCTTTGGGCATAGTCGCGCTGGAGCAGACAGTTACTTCGTTTGTTGGCATGATAAGTGCAGGTCAGGAATTGACCGTCCATCACAGTTGGGAAAGGCACAAGATATCTCTACTGCGTTCTGAAAGGTGCACACTTTTCATGGCGTGCCTCTTTGTTCAAGCAGCGGGTGCGACAACTGCATTGTGCTCCGTGAAACGTTGTTTGTATACCTTCTTCGCCAGGTGATAAGGCACAGATTTTGGACAAAGGAACACGGCTTTGATGGTCGTGTTGTAGTTGACACGTTGAGGAAGGGATGAGGGACGACCCTGTCGCTGCCACCTCCGCGAGGGCACGTGCACGCGCGAAGCTCAGGACCGTTGCTGTCTTCGGATCCCATGCTCTTGATCTGCAAGTTGTCTGCTTGGCTTTACATCGAGTGAATTGAGCTTTTAACGATGGACATGATGAACCGCGACGATTTTGCTTCTGCCCCTATGTTGTTTGCTGAACCCTTGGCGGGTCTTTCGGCACCCAAGCGCTGACGGCGCGTCAGACCCACCCTGAGCCACCAATCCTCACACCGTCTTTACCGTAAATAGCCACAAGGATGACGCATCCCTGAAACCTTTAAGACACCAGCCACAGGGCTGATTTGCGATTCTTCAGAGCCTCATCAACTCAATCGTGGCTACACTTCAAAACCGGATTGCCACACCTCAGACATGAAGCTGAGAAGGGCCGACACAACTATCGGTGATGACCAAGAGCTTGCCAACGTTACCTATAATGACAAGTACGTTGTGGTCTACGATTTTGGCAACGTAGGTACGTTGATCGTTTTGGGACGTCCCTCCTCTTTTGCTAATAGGCTGCAGAGCACGAGACTGCTGTCACGGACTTCACAACATTAATCAAAGACTTACACTCAGCGGGACTGAACACAGAAGTACGACATGGATATGATCAATCCCTCCTGGTGTTTGTGCAGGCACCCCGAGAGTTGCTCGGTAATACAGTGTACAAGTCACGGTACGTTGATTGTTGATTAGGCTTGCAGAAGAGTTGACTAACATGCCGACAGAGTAAAGGATTGGCTCTACGGTATTACCAAGCAACACCCTGGTGGTACGGCTTCCAGCGTGGTTGCAGCTGATTTCGAGGCCGAAGACCTACTATCGGTGTTCCACCTAGTAACGTTTGGGAAAGAGCTCGGAGGAGCAGGTATTACCCCAGGTTTCGGCCAGTGGGAGAACGTATCTTCCGTCTTCGCACTTCACAACCAGCCCGTCAACAACCGACTGCTCACGCACTTGAGCAGACGCTTTTTTCTCGATCTCAAAGACCTCGACCAAATCCGCGATTTGTGGGGATCAAAGGTCGCATTCTATTTCGCGTTCCTGCAGACCTATTTCCACTTCCTCGCGTTTCCATGCGTAGCTGGTGTTGTTGCATGGGCAGTCTTGCCTCAATATTCGCTACTATTTGCTCTGATGATAGGTGTGTGGTGCACTGTCTTTCTCGAACACTGGAAGATCAAACAACAAGACTTGGCTATTCGCTGGGACGTCCGAGGTGTTGGCAATCTGAAGGCCAATCGTCCGCAGTTTCAACATGAAAGTACTTTACTTGATGCTGCGGGAAGGGTTATACATTATTTTCCAAGATGGAAACGCATTGCTCGTCAGCTACTTGTCGTTCCGTTTGTACTTGTCAGCACCTTGTTCTTAGGCGCACTGATCACCATCGTCTTTGCTATTGAGACTTTCATTAGCGAGGCTTACGATGGTCCTTACAAATTCTACCTTGTAGGTCGACTGGATGAGCACAGCAAATGTGAGATTAGAGAATGCTGACTCACGACAGGAATATCTTCCCACCGTGCTACTCGGTGTTTTTCTACCGTATGCCACGAGCTTCCTAGAGGATATTGCTGACAAGTTGACCGAATACGAAAACCACCGAACGGCCGATCATCACGAGATGTCTTTGACACAGAAGATCTTCGTCCTCAATTCTATTACGAACTATCTGCCGATCTTCATTACCGCGTTCCTGTACGTCCCATTTGGCAGCCGAGTCATACCTATGCTGCAGTACTGCATCGACACGGTGTTAGGCAGCAAAGAGCGAGGAGCCATCAACTTCAAGGCCGATCCAGATAGGTTGCGAAACGAAGTCATTGCACTCACCCTGACGGGACAAGTGTCTGGTGCCATCGAGGAATTGGCCCTGCCCTGGTTCAAGACACAGTTTAAGCAGTGGTGGCGCGACCGCCAGGAAACAAAGGTGCACCAGCGGGGAAGCTCGGTCCAACACTTCGCGCCAGATGACCCTGGCGAAGCAAAGTTCCTTCGGAGAGCAAGAAAACAAGCACTCAGGTCTGGGTACAATGTACAGGATGATGTCGCGGAGATGGTCATACAGTTTGGCTACTTGGCCCTGTTCAGTCCCGTTTGGCCCCTTGTACCCATTGGCTTCTTCATAAACAACTGGTTTGAGCTCCGCTCTGACTTCCTCAAGATCTCTGTAGAGTATCAGCGACCTGCGCCTGTGCGCAGTGATGGCCTTGGGCCGTGGATTTCTAGCCTGGAAGCCTTGACTTGGCTTGGCAGCTTATCAAGCGCTGCCATTGTACACCTTTTCGGGTCCCAGAAGTTCATCGAAGAACGCTTGGGCTGGGGCCTGTGGGCTAGTCTTCCAATCACAATCTTGATATCTGAGCATATCTTTATGGGCTTCAGGGCTGGCGTACGCTTCGCGCTCGCTAAGCTTGGTTCAGAGCAAATCAGGAAAGAGAGAGCAGAAGAATATGTGAAACGCAAGCGCATCTTGGACGAACTTGAAGCAAATGCGGAGAAACCATCTACTCTAGGCGTGGCGGAGATTCAAAGGCGTAAAAGTGTCCGTATCAACGCAGCTGATATTTTCTGGACGCGGCAAGTTGATGCAGGTGCCAGCAGAGATGCAGGAATGTCGATCATCAAAACTGCAAAAGCCGCCCAAGAAGATAGACTGATTACTGGAAGGGGAAGGAAGACTGATTGAGCTTTGCAGAATTAGGACAACGGTTCTATACTAGACAGTCACTGGCTGGGGGTCTTGGACGATAGCAAACAGCTTTCCATGTATCTATATACTGTTGTAGATAGACTCATAGTGACAAGGTGCCGGCAGGATTTGATGATCCCGTGCTAGTACTATCTACTGTAGTGCCGCCAAGACCGTGTTGTATGCCTGCTTCGCCTGGAAGTTCGAGTCGAACAAGAGCGGGTTGCCCGAAGGTCTCCAAGAGTCACTATCACGAACACCCCACACCGTGATTCCGACGCAGTTCGCCTGGTTCAAGCAGGCCTTGACCACATTGGTCCAGTCTGACTGTTGAGCATTCTGGATGTCAACCTCGGTCAGAGCACACTCGGGTGCTGCACCGCACAGTGCAGCCATGGCAGCGGGGGCATTTGCGCCCATGCCGGACGACAAATGACCTTGCGAACCGATGCCGTCGATGGGCACGCCGGCGGCACGCCAGGCTTTGACTTTGTTGACTAGGCCGGTAGTCTTCGCATAGGTGGCAGAGTCGAGGTCTGTACTTGTTAGCCGAGGGTGCGATGAAGACGGAGTGGAGACGGACTGTAGTCGTTAATGTACAGCTTCGCAGCGGGATCAGCCTTGCGGGCTGCCTCAAAGGCAATGCGGACGAAATCCTCGCCAAGAACCTGAACCTGTCAGTAGCTATCCGGTACGTTGAGGCAGGAGTTACGGACATTGTAGAAGACACTGGAGCGGAGACTACCGTTCTCTTCGAAAATTTCGTTGACCACATCCCAGGCGTACACCTTGCCTTTCCAACGCGTCATCAGTTGCGTGATGTGATTCTGCATCACAGCCGTAAGTGTCGCCTTGTCATTGATAGATGACACCCATGACGGCAACTGTGAGTGCCACACAGTCGTGTGGCCACGGATCAGCTTGCCGTTGGTAGTTGCAAAGTTGACGGTCTGGTCGGCAGTGCCGAAGTTGAAGTTGCCACGACTTGGCTCAGTGGAGTCCCATTTCATGCTACAGTTATCAGCAGTGTCTCGCAACGTTTCGACAAGTTTCGCAATTGAACAATGCGAGGGAGAGAATGAGATTTACCTGTTCTCAGGCGTGATTTGTCCGAAGTTTGCCTTGATGATCGCGCCGTTACTGCCACTGTTGAACCGGTTTGGGTCGGAGGCGGTACCAAAATACTTCCTACCCTTCTTGACCATAGCAGCATGGATACTCTGGGCTGCTTGGCGAGAAAAGAGAGGTTCGGGCTCTGCGGCTGGGGCAGCGATGGAGAGCCCGCTCAACAATAGAATGGTAGTCAGAGTAATCTTCATGGCTGATGCGGATGAGAAAGAAGTTTGGAGGTTGAATGATAGTGAATCTGATGATCAAGTCGATGTCAGCGTTAGAGATCATCTTATATACCTGTTCTTAAAGTGCCTGAAGCCCGGCTCATAGGTTGATTTGCATACGACATGTCTATTTGCATAGTTGCGCCCGAGACACAAATAATCTCGTCTGCTAGTCTGACTCGCTGGAGACAACAAGCTTGTATTATGTGGTCGCACATTGGCTAAGCTCTGTGACATTAAAATTAATTGTGTGGGGAAGTGCAGTACGTAGTGGCAGTTGGCACTCTACGCGAAGCTTCCGGTGGCTGTTTGAAACCGTTGCTTAATTGCCCTGGGCAAATCTGGGGTCGAATCCGGCTAAATACTGGAGACGACACCAATGGATTTGGTAATGATGGTCTGACGTGTGCTTCTAAAACCGCAGGCAGCTCTTTCAAGCTATATACAGTTGGTGAGAGTATCGCAGAGAAACTTGCAAGTCTCTGAAGGGAGATCAGGGGCTATTTTTCTGGAAACCTGAGCCTGTAATCTAAGTAGCCACGTAAATGATCACCTCTGACATGTCTCTGTGGTGTACGTCTCTCGAGAAGCCGTCCAGAAGTTGATAGGCTGCCATCAGTTTCCCTACAGGCGGCGGGGAGGTTTTAAGAGGCTCTGTGATTGACAAAGAGCTTTTAGTGTTGGTTTCACCTTCATTTCTCGATTGTAGTATTGCTACGCAGTCTTCTTGAGCAAATACGTGGTTGCTAAGCACCCCGTTGGCAAGTTCTTGCGACGCCTATGACTGTAGAAAAGGATCGATTGCAACTTGCAATCGGAAGAAACAACGACTTGCTTACTAGCAAGCACATAATCGTGCAACAACAATCGGACTGACCTCTAGCGAATCTTCGCGTTGAATTAGGTCTTGTTGCGATGAGTGCGTCCACCAGTCGCTCGAAAATCTGTGGGTACTGTCATCGGCGTCGCCGGCCGGATCCGTAGATCCCGGCGATTGAACTTTCGTGCGCTCTTCAGGAAAGTTGCAGCCTACATCGTCGGAACACTGTCTCCGGAGGTCCGTTGCTACGACAGTCGGCGACTTGTGGTGATGCTCCGACAGGATAAGCGGAGTTGTGAAGGTCGAGAACGGAGCCGTCCCCACCAATGGCCACACCTCGACTGAGAACACGTGACATGATGTGTCAGCATCGCGAAAGGATCACCTAGTTCGGCCGAAATTCCTTTGCATCCATTGTTGCCTGGTAGTATTGATGTGCTGGTTATCCATGCACAGATGACCTCGGGTCAGATGAGATTGAGGCAAGATGAGAAACCAACGTCATGGGCCCGGGCTGCCGTGCAAATCATCGCACGCGTTTCCAGAGTGGATCACCTCCACAAGTAGTCTGGATTAAAGCCGACAACCACCGAGGACGACCAAAATACATAAGACTTGCTTCGCAGCGAAGCATCGAATCATTCCATTAAACTCAGTTCCCCCAACCCTGCAATACCTACCCCTCCAAGCTTACCAACATGACGACGCCTAACCTCACCGTTCACCACCTCCAGATCGGCCAAGGCGAACGTGTTCCTTGGCTTCTCGAGGAGCTCAACATTCCATACAAGCTGGTCAACTACAAGCGCTCACCCTTACTATCACCTGACGAGCTCAAGGCGAAGCACCCTCTCGGCGCTTCTCCCGTTCTGGAAGACCACACCGACCCATCCAACCCCATCACTTTGGCCGAGTCAGGCGCCATCGTCGAGTACATCATCCAAAAATACGCAAATGGCAAACTTGCACTTGGTCCCTCGCACAAGAACTTTGCAGACTATCTCTACTGGTTCAACTTCTCAAACTGCACCCTTCAGCCTGCCATCTTCAGGTGCGCGATGCTACGCGGCGGCATCCCGAACTCTGCCACAGATCTCCGCTTCCTTGGCGCAGAAGACCGCGTAAAGAAGGCTCTGAACCACATCAATTCCCGCTTGTTGTCCAACCAGTGGCTTGCTGGTGAGGAATTCACAGCAGCAGACGTCATGACCGGCTGGTGCGTGACAACGATGCGTCATTTTGAGCCGATCGATTTGACCGAGTATGAGGGAATCCTGGGCTGGGTGAAGAGATTCAACGAGCGGGAAGCGTACAGAACGGCAATGGGAAAGAGCGACCCAGACATAAACCTTGAGGAGAATTCAAGCGCGAAGGGGCCAGCGCCGATCGAGATGTTTATCAGGGCTATGGCAGGCAAATTTTGAACGTTGGATTATCCGACTTTTTTGTCTAGGCTAATACAAACAACCAAATCTATCTTAATAAGATAGCAGATGCCAATTATATCTGAAACCCCGTCTTGTATTGGAAAGACGCCAGATTTTCAATAGCCCAAGGCTTTGGCCCTCTCCTCACCCAGCACATCGACCAAACTGGTCAACTTAAAGCTCGCCTCAGCACTTGTGCCACCTTCCGAGAGCTCATTTGCATCGTCATGCGTGACAATTAAGCCGTAAGGGAAGTCTGCATTAAGCTTGTTAGGCACGGCGGCCAAACCATCCGTATTGGTAACATGGTCAATGCCCCTCTCTTCGTTATCCACGATGGTGAAGGTCGTGACATACTTATGCGGAGGCGCACGATCGTAAACTAGGTACGCGCTGATCCCCTGACTGCTCACCATAATATATCCGCCAGTGCCGTTCTTCGCGGTCACGAGCGTCAGGCCTTCGACATCAGCATGTAAGCCGTCGTCACCGACTTTGGCGAATTGAAATCCTTCGTTCGAGCCATCAGGTTCAGCCTCGTAACGCCAAATTCCAGACGGCTCTTCGCCAAGGAATATAAAGCCAGCGCCTTCATCGGCAACACAGCCCTCAACTTGGCCGCCTGAACCGCCAGTAAAATTTCGGACGAGAGAGACCTGGAGAGTGCCGTTTGCGGTTGCAGAAAGCTCGTATTGGAGATACTCAGCGTCCTTGTTATTGACAAACAAGTATTGCTTCTTGGATCTGGGAGAAAGATAGGTGCAGGACCCGTAGGGTTCGTAATCTTCCGGGAGAGCTTGTGTGCCGCCAGTGATGTTCTTGAGCATGCCGTCGCTGGTCACTTCAACCATGCTGTAGGAATGTGTAAGTTTTGTTATCTCACAAGAGCAGCCGATAGCTTACCAGAGGGTATTATCACCACGACACGCAGCGTACGCCAGGTCGACACTGCGGTTCCCAACGGGGAGACCATAAATGATGTCCACGTTGTTCGGCTCCGAAGCAGAGGAATGTTGCAACAGCTTTCCTTCCAGATTGAATACGCCAAATCCTTCTCCACCCTGTGACTTTGTGGTTGTGATGATTTTACTCTGATCTGGCTGGGTCGGATGAATCCAGACTGCGGGATCGTCACCATCTCCGCCATTTGCCTCGGTCTCATACTTGGCCTTGACAGCCACGAACGAGCAATCAGGCCCCGCCCAGCCAGCTTCGCATTTACACACGTTGGGGCCATCGCAGCTGCCATGGCCTGAACAGTCGTTCTGGCACGTGATCTCTGAGCAATCTGTGCCAGAAAAGCCAGGAAAGCAGCTGCATGTGCTGTTACTCTGGGAGAAACCGTTATTCGAACAGACGTCAGAAATTGGGCTCGTGCAGTATCCGCAGGGCTTGGTCCGTGGATCGTATTGAGTGTTTGCCTGGATGTCGACCGCCTTCAAGACACCTTCGAGAGATCCGATTGCGATGCCAGTGTCGTCCTCACCCTCAAAAGCGAACGCGATAGAGCCCGAAGGGTAATTGGTAGATGAAGACTGTAGCACTGATACATCGCCTCCAATGGCCAGATCCGGAATGCCCTCAAGGGTGACTGAGCCCTTTTGACTGAAGTTTGCATCGTAGATATCAATTACCTCATCGTGAGCGACCAGCAGGTAATCACTCGAATTGGCGTGATATGCACCGAGACCTTCAATCTTCAGATCTTCGCTCACAGTACGGACTTCGGGTGTCGTGGTACTTTCGGATGCTTGGAAGGAATACAGGGTGTCGCCCTCACCACCAGAAAAGAAAATTTGTCCGTTGGGGAAGACGGCAGCTGTCTCGCCTTCGATTGGGATTGGGAGTGTTTGAACCTGACATAGCGTTAGTTTCCACGTTGTCGTTCTTAAAGTCTCAAACATACCTCGAGTACCTGCACGTCTTCGCCATTGCCTCGAACAAGAAATTGAACGACCATCTTTTTGCCGAAGAGGAACACATAATTGTTTCCGCTCGCCTGGCTGCGCCAGCTACGCGCTACACTCCAGTCACCGAGCTCGTACTTTCGCGATCCCGGAATCTCGCTACCACTTTTGAGATTGTAAGCTCTGATGATCGAGTTTGGCGAGGGGATATTGAAGATAAGATCTCGACCACCAACGTCGTATACTGGAATAGCGATTTTCGTGCGCCCGGACTTTTTGTGTGAGCGCTCAGTAAATGAAGTCGAATTCGTAGCGTTTGAAGCAGAGAAAGTGCGGAAACCTCCGTCCGCTGCACTGCCGTCGTTGGCGAGGAGGACAGGCGAAGATGCGTAGATCAAGGCAGCATTATCTGAGTCGAACCCAGTAGCTGCTGGCGTAAGATTGATAGTCGCATTCTGCGCGAGTGCAAGCGGAAGCAGAGCTGTCGCCCAGGGGAGGGTCTTCGCAAAGGCCTTCATATTGTCTGTTGAGCTTCTGCGGCGCGGGAGAAGGGGCTTGAAGACATCGTTCACGACAGGCTCGCTCTTATAGAGCAGTGCATTGTGCGCGGCATGAGACCTGGACCCATCAGCGGTCCCTGATCCGCCCACGCAGCATTACCCGTGAGTAAGGCAAGCGTTTTGTTTCGATATTGAGCAGACTCATGTTGTTGGATCCCAGTCGGTACCGACCAAAGTTAGTACCTGCTTGAAGGAGCCACACTCCGAAGTCATCCCGACCAATCATAGCGTAGCTTTGAAGAACGTGAGACGAGTTAGGCAACTCTATTGGCCATGATCGGCGGGATGTTTCATCTAAGGACCTGCATAACAGCAATGACATGGTGCTTGTTTTGCACGATTGCAATGGGATCGACATCTTATCGATGTTGAGAGAATGTTGTGTCTTTTGATCACCCAAATGTGTATTTGTGGAGCTAATGAACGAACGTTGACTCAGATCAACTTTAGGCTACACACACCAGATCGTAAAGTGCTTCACTAGCTAGCGAGCGAGTGTTGATCTTTGGCTTCCTTGAAATCAAAAATCCGCTTCCAAGAAGGACTTTGCACCCTCACGACTCACTTAGGTGCCCGAAGGCTGAGCAAAGGTCGAGCCGATGGGGCCAAATCTGATGTTCGAGAAGGCAACCGAAGCATTCGGGAACTGGGCCTCAACCTCCTTAGGGTTGCCACCTGAGCTGGGGCATTCACCACGGGCAACTCCAGGTTGGTTTGGGTCCTTGTCCGGTGGGTACGAGGAGTCAAGCCACAGCATGTTGGCATAGTGGTCGTCCCAAAGCGACATGACAAGAGTCATGCCTCCTGCCATAGCCTGTCGAATTGTTAGCCACCTGTGATACAGACATAAGAAGTACTTACCTTGCCCATAGATGCCATGCCACCGAACTTGTTGAACGGGTAGACATCTTCTTTGAACACCTGCTGCTGGGTGTCGCACCACTTCTGAGTGATACTGTTGCCTGTCATGCCTGGGATGGTAGGCTGTGGCTGCGGAATGACCTTTCCGCCTTGGATGTAGAAGCGCTTCAGCTCGCTAAGGTTGCTTCCAGAGCCAAGGAACTGGGTGACTACAGTCATCTTCTTCGAGGTATCAACAGTCTTACCCTTGCCGTAAAAATTCTTGACACCAACACGGTATGGGTTGAAGTCACAGCCATTGGCATCACAGGATCCTAGAGAGGAAGCAAATCAGCATCGAACACCTCGTTAATAGCGTACAGCTTACCCGCATAGCGATCGAGAGAGTAGGTGCCTCCACAGTTGGTGCCCTCGCAGACACTGTAGCCCTCAGGACTGCAGGAATGAGGGGTCAGGGCTGTGGAGACAGAGTTGGCTTCCCAGACATCCATCTCGGCGCTGATCGTGTTAGCATCATACTCCCGCTGATATGTATTGGAACTCACCAGCATGCACCAAACTTTCCAACACCTGCATTTGCGTCATTGGTAGACGGAGTCCATCCTTCAGCATTGGCCTTGCCATCAATAAACTTCAGATCACGAGCACACTGCGCATCGCAGTATCCTGAAGGAATAGGCTTAGCACAGTCACCCTTGAGTGGTGGGATGACCTACCAGTTCCATACTTAGCGCCAGGCGCTCCTTGGCCCTTCTGAGGCATAGAGACGAAGTACAGGGCTCCGTTGAGGCCACAAGGCAATTGAGAAAGATCAACATCGAAGCTGAACTCGTTGCCGATGAGATTGAACATTTGGTAGTTGTTCGCATCCTGCATAAGGTAGGTACGAGACCCAATGTTCGTCGAGTAAGGCCCCTTTGTGACAAACTTGAGATTGAGTTGATTGCCAGAAGTCGTGATACCGTATGTTCCAGCATAGTCACTGCCCTCAATTGCACAATTCGCCGTGCATGCACTGTTGGAAGAGCATAGGGCCTGGTTCCATTTGTTCCCGTCATAGCAATTGGTGTAGCTGTTAGCAGTCTTGTCGTGGAGCCTGATCGATCAGCAGATGCTAAACCTGTTCATGAACATAGACTCACCAGCGCCAGTTGGCATCAATCACGATCTCGCCGTTCACGTTGCTACAGCTGCTGCCACCTTTGCCGGTGCATCGCTGCCACGTCAGCTTGGGGTGGTTCTCTGCTTGCTGGGTTCCAATGACCCAAGCTGAAGCGCCAGAAGCAAAAAAAGCCAAAACAGTCTTCATCGCGAGTTGAGAAGGCATGCTTGGGAAGAAGATGGATGGTAAGTGCGTGCCGACTGGTAGACAAGAAACATTGCAACTCTTTATAGATTCTACACAAAACACGATCGCCGTGCGCCGCGTATGAAATCATCTCCATATTACAGTGAGTGTATGTTTATGAGCATCTTCGAGTGCATTTTCATCAACTGTAATCGATTTTCGGATTTTCCAGGCGACGGTCCGGTGGCCTCCATATCCGGATTTGGAGTCTAGCACCCCGATCAGCTCTTAAGGAACCATACAGAAGATCATGGGCATCTGTAAACTTCTCATATACTATCTTGGCATTCCGAATGCGGTCCATCATCCACAAGTGGTGGAAGCACATAACGCCCCGTCATAACGCCCAGGTAATAAGTATGGAAGCAGTGCGGGGTTCGCGAATAGAGTATGGTGCATTGGTCATTAAGCTTTGTTGGCGTATGGCTTGGGTTGTTTATTTTTCTCGACCCCTTCCTTTGGACAGCGGGGTGTCGTGAAGTGATACGAGCCAAGCCCAGAGGCATCACCCCACTTAATATAGCACTGCGGGGCTGCAGAACTGGATTTCAACCTCGTGCCCGCCAAACACTTGGAATGATCAGAGTTATGGGATAATATGGTTTTCTGTGCGACTGTTCTCCGTGCTAGGGTAGAGGGGCCAGTTGTACAGTGTAATGGGCAGACTTAACCGTGTAGTGAGTTGAATTCAGACAGTGTAAAAGTACGATGCTCGGGTTCCAGTGACATCGTATTCGCCCCAAGCATACTTGCGTGTGACTTAGATTCTGTGAGGGGTAGTCAATGAAGAAGCCTTGGTCGGCTCCACCGGCTCCGGGCATCATGGGACCTCAGCGAGATGAGATACTGCTTACACGTCTTGGTCCCCGAAAGGTTGATAACCTGTAGAATCGCCGCTTGTAAATTGAACGAGACAGCAGCAGCCGGGCAGGGAGAATTCTTCAGCCTAAAGATCTGATGTGCGTGAAAAGGCAGTTGTCAATTTTTCCAGATATTTGAATAATGTTGCACTGGCTCTAGGTAATGAGTCCACTTGTACGGAAACACACAGATGTAATGAATGGGTGGATATTGCAAGTCCATGTGAATCCGGTCTTTCTAACTTGGCCGTGTTGCGGTTGTCTGCTTGTGGAGTAGAAGGAGTCTTGTGGGGTGAAAGAAGTGGCTTCAGAGTCAGATCCGCGTGCCAGAACCGGGAAGAAGAATTGGTGTCCTGGGCACTCTACTTCACAGAAGCTATCAATTTACAGCACTCTTGTTGATGGCTAAGTCTGCGTCGACAGCCACCGTATCGCAGGATCATTCAACTCCCACGAACGAATTATCTGCTAGCGGCCCCTCGTACGTCAAAATCCCTGCATGCGTATGCTAGAACGGCGGCGTTTGGTAGAGCTCGTTGTCATGGCTCGCTTTTATGTTTGGCCGAGATTTTGATTGCGGTTCTAGGACTTTTTGTCTCTCCATGTGCGGTTTTGGCTGATTATTGAATTGGGAGATCGCTTGCCCTTGATTTTGCGTCTTCGATAGCTGATTATGAGTGGCTTTCAATCGCAAAGGGAAACGTCAAGAGTTGATGATACCTACGTACATAGTCAGCATGGAGGTATGGTGCACGACGTAACTCATTCCACACCTTTCAGCTACAGTTGGACCCCGTCCAATGTCATGGAGAGACATAATCAAAACGTCTTTATAAATACTACGTGTCAGTGCCGGGCACGAAGGCGAGTGTGTCATTGCTTTGAGTCATTCCAAGGCCGGTGAATTTGAGGAGACAGTATCGTACGGATGGCTGACCCCAAGGTTTTCGACCGCTCTTTAGGTCGGTCTAGTCTGGAGACAAACAAAGTTGAAGGTGTCTAAGGCCGGAGCAGGTGTAAGAGTGTGGGGATGGCAAAGACAGATACGGGCCTCTGTAAGGCCGAGAGAGCCGCCGCGCCGAGCCGCGCCCCACACGGCCTCGCACTCCCAGCGAACGCCATCTTTACCAACCTCTCTGAGTTTGTTCACATCAACTCCGATACGGGAGTACATCGGAAGTCGAAATTCTTGACAAGGATAGGTCACAAGCGATCTCGCTGACAACCAGTGATCAGCAACAGCTGCTTGTGTTCCTGCGTCTGCGCACACATAGATCGACATTAATGGCTATCTTTTTCCGTGGAACCTTGCTAGCATCACGACTCAAGATGCATCTTTATCTCCGCATCGGCCTCACGTAGCTTCCGAATCTGCTTCCGACGGATTCTGACCCCGGTGTAGCGATGTTTTGCTCCGCAATGACGAGAGTGGGGAGCGATAACCGGTGTACCTGAGAGTGGCGAGCCTCCGATCGTGACCGTACCAAGACCTCATAGTCCTTGTATATAACTCACGTCAGGCATGCTTGTTCTTCACAATCTCCAAAGTCTGTTACGGACTTCGACCCTGTATTCCGACATCATGGGCCTTACTGGTGTTGCTCAGCGCTACCTTGCGACCTTTGCGGTCCTCACTGGTGCTGGGAGTGCATCTACCGTCACGCTACCCGGGTACGGCAGTTTTGCTGGTACTACCGTTAGCGAATACCTGACGAAACGCGCTTTGCCAGCGGCGGTTGACGCCTGGTTCAATATCGACTTCGCAACTCAACCAGTCGACGACCTGCGATTTGCACCTGTTGGGCCGCCTGCGCCATTCTCTGGAACGAAGAACGCTACAGCGTACGGCCTGGCCTGTATCCAGGATGCCTCGATGGTTCCCTACCCTCAGGATGAGGCTTGTCTGAATCTGAATGTCTTTCGTCCTCAGAACGTCTCTTCAGATGCTAAGCTGCCGGTATTCATCTGGATACACGGAGGTGGATTCGTGTCTGGGTCTGCGAGGAGCTTTGATGGACCAGCCTTTGTGGCCAACTCAGAAGAGCCATTGATCGTTGTAAACTTCAATTATAGGGTATGTTCTCGATACACTCCACGCTCGTTCACGCACTAAGAAGACATAGGTCAACTCTCTTGGATTCTTGCCATCTCCTGTTTTTGATCGCCTGGGCCTTCTCAATCTTGGACTTCTCGACCAACAATTGGCGTTTGAATTCGTGCAAAACCACATCTCAGCCTTCGGCGGTGACCCTGAGCGTGTTACGATTGGCGGCCGCTCAGCAGGTGCGCACTCTGTCGGGATTCATTTGTTCCACAACTACAACAAGACAGAGGGGGCCTCTCCTCTCTTTTCCCAGGCTATCCTGCAATCTGGAAGTGTCACTGCCCGTGCATTCCCCAACGCATCCTACCCCTTGTACCAGAGACAATTCTCGCGGTATCTCGACCTCACAGGATGCGGCGGAGTTGCAAATGGCACAGACGACGAAGTGATCGGATGTCTGCGCGCAGCAAACATCACATTGATCCAAGAGGCCAGCAATCTGTTATTCTCGGAGTCCGAGTACCCCATCACGTGGCCTTTCCAGCCCACAAAGGGCGGTCCTCTTCTCGAGGAAGCCGGCTCAGCAGCTGGTATCAACGAGCAATTCTTCCACATCCCTACTATCACGACCAACGTACGCGATGAAGCCAAATACTACAGCCCTGGCAACATCTCCACCAACACAGACTTCCTCGACTTCTTCAAAAATTTGATTCCGTCCCTCTTACCTCAGGACGTTTCCGATCTCGACGCACTGTACCCTGACCCCACCAACGATACCAATGGCGACCGCTCTCCTTATGCCCACAGCCCCAACTCCACTCAGTACGATCGCATTTCCGCTGCCCTCACAGACTACATGTACGCCTGTGCCGGGCAAGAAACCGCAGTCCGAATGTCAGACGCCGGTGTCCCCGTCTACAAGATGCTATGGGCCGTCAACAACACCTTCCCCGACTGGCGCGGCATCCCGCACACCGCTGACACAAAGTACACCTGGGCCGAGGGCAAGGGCACTGGCGGCGTCCAGTACCCTGAGGTTGGCAAGCAGCTGAACACGTACTTCTCCGACTTCGTCGTTCACGGCGATCCAAGCGCCGGCAACAGGACAGGTCTGCCCAAGTGGCCCAAGTATGTTGATGAGAATGCCGAGGGAAAGCCTGGGCTGCAGCTGCGGTTTGAGCCTTTTGGCAATACCAGGGTTGAAGGTGATGCCATCAGGAGGAAACAGTGCGAGTGGTGGAGAGCTCCGGAGAGGCAATCCAGGCTTGAAAAGTAGTATGTAATTCGATAGACTGACACTATAGCTGCAATGGCTTTATTGAAAGATTTGCTCTCAAGCATCCTCGAACGATCTGTTGTTGGCGCGACTCTTTACCTTGCGTGCAGATGCATACTCAATTTCAGTATGCCATCACACCACATCTGGATCGTGCATCTAATTGTATGTATTTCCACAAACAAAGGGTCAGACAACGGAGGTTGCTGTTGATGACGACATTACGCACCTAATAGTGCAATTCTGTAGCCCGAAGGATCATGGCGCATCTGCGTGTGCAACAACAACCTTCCATCACTCAACGGTGTTCAGCAAAGTACTCGACAGAGACTTGGTTGTTGCTTAACGCAAAGTAAAACGTTGCATCTAAATGCAAGTAGAAAGTGTACTATGATATTATACTTGACATCCTGCTATCCAGCGGTGAGTAGAAAGCCACGCTGGCAAAAGTGCACTTTTGCAGCTAAACGCGGGGTTTACGTATATCAACCATGGCTCCGGATCTCAGCTGCAGCATCTCTAGAAAGTAACATAGTAGACCATGAACGGCAGAAAGTCATGCCGACAAAAGTGCACTTTACCAGCTGAATGCGGAGTTTAGGTTTGCCGGCTATGGCTCGACGTCTGAGGCGACGTGAGACCAGAAACCGTATAAGTACACCCGGACCATACAGAGTGTCTACCAGCATAGAAACATTTCGCAACACAAACCCCTAACTCTATCACCACCATGGCATCTCTCGCCAAAGAAATCGTTCTCATAACCGGCGGTCCGTCTCCCACCCCAATACTTTACCCACCCAAAACCCCACAGAACCCCAACCCTAACCCACCCCAGCAAACAGCGGCATCGGCTATGAACTCGCGCGCCAACTCCTCTCGCTGGGCACCTACCACATCCTCCTGACCGCCCGCTCCCCCACCCGCGGCACCACCGCCCTGCAAACCCTGCAATCCCTCTCGCTCCCCGGCACCATCGAATTCCTGCCCCTCGACACGACCTCGGACACCGACATCGCCGCCGCCACCGCGCACATCACCAAAACCCACGCGCGCCTCGACGTACTCGTCAACAACGCCGCCATCGCGCCCTTCACCTCCAACCCCACGCGCACCCAGTTCCGCGACGCCTTCGACACGAACGCAACGGGTCCGTATCTGCTCAGCCAGTCGCTCATCGGGCTGCTGCAGCAGAGCGCGAATCCGCGCATCGTGAATGTGAGTTCGGGCGCGGGCAGCATCGGGCGGCGGCTCGCGGCCGAGAGCCCGATGTACAAGATCCAGGCGGAGGCGTATCGGGCGAGTAAGGTGGCGATGAATATGCTGACGACGTGTTTGTGGGTGGAGTTTGGGTTGGGGTTTGGGCCGGATGCGCGGGGCGAGGGCGAGGTTGGTGGTGCGTGGGGCGAGGGAGGGATGGGGGAGGACGGCGAGGGGAAGAAGAGGGTCAAGGTTTTTGCGTATGATCCGGGGTTCACGGTTAGTAATCTAAGTGAGATGAATACGGAGGCGAATGGGGCGAGGAGTGCGGAGGATTCGGTGAAGAGTTTGATGGATGTTATTTTGGGAAAGAGGGATGGGGAGGTGGGGAGGTTTATTCACAATACCGGGGGATATCCGTGGTGAGTGTTAGTTGATTTGGATGTGCGGATGGCTTGTGGGTTATTGTTGTTTGAATTGTTTGAATTTACTTTCAGTAACTTTCATGCTTTACACACAACGCTACGAGCCTGAAGCCCAAGATGCAGATGCACATCCCCTCATCCATGTTACTAACAGCATGTCTCGCTCCCGACCGTAGCTGAGCCTTCATACCCCTCAAATCCCCCTTGTTCATTCTCATCCTAATCCTCCTTAGCAACAGCCCTCGACTTCGCCTTGATAACGGTACTCATATCACCAACCGGAATATCGGGAATCGGCAGCTCCATAATCGCCACGACCAGCGCGAGTAAGAAGTAAAACCCTAGCACACCCGTAGCGAAGAAACACGCCCCCAATCCCGTCGCGAGTTTCGTCCCCGTGGCAATGTTGCCTCGCGCGAGATGAAAGAAAGCCCCAGCGCCGAGTCCGAACCCGATGGTCGCGAAGATGAAGATGATGACGAAGACGAGATTTGTGCGCAGACTGCCAACCAGGAAGATGAAGGAGAGGATGCACATGACCATTGGATAGAAGGCTGTCAAAAGTCAGTATCAAGGGGATAAAGTACGTCGGTGCGACATACCATAGCTTGCTGCGAACATGGCAGTCTGATTACCAGGGCCAGGGCTGCCAATACCAGAGCCGTCGGGGTTGAAGTAGCCGACAGCGTTGTACCAGGGGATGAAGGTGGTGGCATAGGTGAGGAAGTGGGCGCCGTAAGCGAAGAAGACCATCATGGGAAATGTGTTGCCTAAGAGGAATTCACCGAAGCCAGCGATAAATAGTAGGACGCCGCCGAACCAGATGTTGACGGTTGTGGTTGCGACTGAGGATCCACCGGAGCCTTGCCATCCCACTGATGGAGGTTAGTATATATAATGGACAGTGGCTCGCTAGGGCTTACTGAATGAGATGGCTAGGGGAATGACACCAACAGAGAAGCCCAGGACACCGATGGGTGTAGGGTTTCCAAATCGTGTCCGGAAGTCGCCGGACACATTTGTCTTTGGAGAGATGAAAAGCCTCTCGTAAAGCTCCGGCGTGAGTGTTACAGTTCTGGCGAGTTCATAGCGTAACTTTTCTTCTGACTCGAAGTGTGTGTTGACGGAAGACAATGTGTGCTGATCTTGATGGTGATCGCGAGAGGCCATGATGAAAGCTCCTATCGAGGCAAGGGCTGTCTAAGATCAAAAGGGAAGAATGTAATGATGAAAAGATGAAGTCTGAGCTTGATGATTTGATGACTTGACGATGAAGGATGGGAAAGGGGGCAGCGTGGGTTACATATACAAACCATGAACCCGGATCGTACATCTAGCCATGTCTACTCCTCAAACCATTGACGCCAACATAGCGCCAGCTTCCAGTCGTCCAGCTGCCGTCCGGAAGCCCATGGGATTTGAGACAGGATCTCATCCGTCGATCTGGGCAGTGCGTGGCATCTGTAGCGCCAATCCCGCAGCTATTGGACAGTTTGCTCACCAGCTTGCATGAATCTGGACTCGAGGCTTGACTTGCACTTACCAACCTCAGCCTCAACCCAATAGCCGAAGTCTCAGAAGTAGGCTACATGCGGTCGGCCACTTATGTTCCCGCAAACCTCCCGACAGCACAGATGGGGAACTGTCATGGTAATCGTCCCGACCAATCACACGATGTCGGATCCAGATCCTGGTCCAGACCTGTACCAGACGAAAACATCAACGCGTATCCATAAATCTGGGGAATCAACGCGGGGTGCAGATTGAGTGCGGCACTAACCCCAGCCTCGAAGCTTAAGGTGAGATGGTCTTTTAGATTTGACGTCGGCTGCTTCCCTCTCTTTCCTCTGTTTACAGTATCTTCTCGGTCCACGTTTGCTTGCCATAAGCCACCTTTTCACTTTCGAACAAGGCTGCGCTCGTTTTCGATGTCTGAGACAGCCGTGTTGTTGCTGGTCGACACGCAAGTTCTTAGTTTAGGTTGTCATCCCTGTCTCCCCTCCGGAAGCTGCCACGCGAGACTAGTTTCGTACAAAGCGTCACCACGGATTCCGCAGTGCGGAAGAGGCGCCTGTAGCCCCTGATGTCATTGAGGGAATTGCAAGATTGATGCAGTTTGCGATGTAATAAAGTATCGCTGCCCCTCATTGTACATGCCTGAACGGAAAAGGATTGTCACCTTGTGGGCCATTTGCTGATAGAAACAAGAAACAATATCAGCACTTCATCGACCGGTCAAGTTTGGCAAGTTTCCGATACTTTTTTGGTAAGTTCAATGCTGCGGGAATATCGAGTCAGTGTTGCCAGGAAAGACATACCACGCTACCACAGCAGTGAGGTCGTGATGATCTTTATCCACAATGACGTCACCTCCTTGCTGTTTGAGGCAGGTGCTGTGAGGTGACGAGAGATCCAGCGATGGCCGTGGGCGCGTCAATCTTGGAGCATTGCGAAAACGACTCAAAAGTAAGAAAGGCTGAAAGACGCTATTGTTTCCACTTCGCAATCGGTGGGGCGTCTTTCTGTCTGCGTTCCGCGGAAGTTAGCTCTGACCAAAGACATGTTTGAACGGAAGACCTCGTATCGTACGAACTGTGGAATGGTTGCGGCGTGAGGAACAAATGTACAATGTCTACTTCCGGGTCTTGATTTCGTCTACAGTTGATGTGCGACTCGCTAGCTGTACAGGTCGGACTCTCCTCACAACTCGGTTTCCACTTCGAAGTCGATATGCATATCGAGTCCTTGAGGAAGAATGTGGTCTACAATCAGACCACCAGCTCCCGATTCAACCATAGCTTTGACGACCTCCTTGGCATCGTTCAGTACTTTACTGGTGATCTCGATGCCAGGTTGCTTTGCGATCAGTAGCTCGCCAAGCTGCTGGCTGTTGCTGGCCGTCAACAAGACGTAGCCCACCACAAAAGGCAGTTGACTCTCCTTCTGCATGTAGTCAGGCCCGAAAATGCGAATAAAGTCGTCTCGGCAAGCATCCTTCACAGCACGCAGCAGACGCCAGCACTGTCGGTGCAGCCTGAGATAGTCGTACGCAATCTCAACCATCTCGGCGTTGAGCAGGTCGCGAATAAGGCCAACACATTTGGCGACAGAAAGCTGTTTCGCAGGCGCCTTCCGGGAAGCTTCGCCTATATCCTTGTACACTGTTTGCGCGCGATCGTTGTCATCGAGCTCATAATCCCAATTACTGCTCTCAAGAATCTTTTGCACGTCCTCAGCTCGGATATCTTTTGGCCCATTTACATCACAGATGCGGCTGCGGAATGTTTGCAAAGTTGCACCCAGCTGTTTGAATCCCTTCGGGCCACGCTTAGACAAGGTCAGGCCTCTCTTGGTGCGTGTTGATTTGGCTAGGCTAGCAGCGGAAGCACCCATAGCGAGAGCGAAACGCCTTAAGCAATCATCAGACGATTTTGGTGCGTCACCCGTGAAGATGGTCTTCGGCTCCTGCATGCCGACCACGATGTCTAGGTCTTTCCACATCATTTCTCGGACACTGCCTCCTTGGACAGCATTGTAGAGATGTGCACAGGACATGACAGATCCCCAGGCATTGACGAAAACAATGCTGAGCTCGTGGAATTGCATCTGCGCCCAATATTTCCAAAGGCCGCACGACCATGGGTGCTGTCGAAATAGGTGGAAAGGCGGCGGAGTATTGATGCGGTTCAGTTTTGGAGCTATTTCGCGTTCTTGGTCTTTGTGCACCCAGAACTCGATGGTGTCGACAAACTGCTGCATGAAATCGTCATTCTGCTTTGGCCACGTATCCATGCTGATATCCTTGTGAAATTTAAGCTCCTCCTCAATGTCGCCAGTGACGAAGTGGGTCGCGGCTGTGAGTCTCTTGAAGCCATTGTCTACTTCTCCGCGTAGTATGTGATGAATGTCGAGAAACAAAGTAGCTGCGAACACAAGTGGGAGAGTGACTTGCTTTGTTTTGAACATTGTTCGCAATTCGCGAGTGAACTCATCTTCAACTGGAGGTGGTGCGCGCTTCGTTACAAAATCGCAGTGGAAATAGAATTCAGGTAACATCTCGAGTAGCAGGATTTGATCTTCGTTAAATTTGTCTCTGTCGTTTTTCCTGTCGCGGTTGGAGAGAGGGTTGTAAGTGCCATAATACCCTGCCTTCATCTCTGGGTGCGCGTTGACTTTGTGCATCCTGGTAAATGCGTCTAGAAGTAAAAATGCCGGCCACATAAGGGAATCAGCGACTTTGTACATGGCAAAATTCATGGGATCTCCGGGTCTCTGCTTGTGTGCCTCTGTCGTACCGGCAGCAATACACTGAGAAGCGTAATAGATCTGCAGCATTCTCAATACGCCACCATGTTTGCTGAAAGTGGTTTTAGATTCATCAACCATCGAGCGAGCCAGGTCGACGGCAGTATTGGTCGTGATAGAGGCGGCTATGAGATCATGAGCGCCCTGCTTGTACCCTGCCCATGCGTGAGAAACTTCAGTCCGTAATTTGGCGAGATCGAGAAGCAATAGATGCAGCGCGAAGAAGTCTTCCTCCGATTCGTTCGGCCGTTCAGCTTTGTAGATTGGCTCATTCACGGGCACAACGTCAGGGGCGTTTCTAAAGGTTTCAGAAGGCTCTTCTAGTTCCAAATGCTCGAACATGTTGAGAATCTCGATGATGTTCTTCGGCTCCTTGGTGCGACCAGGTACTGCAGCAGGCATTTGCGAGCTCAAGATACGGCGCACAGTTTTCAGTGTCGCAAGAAAAAAGGCATGCCTGTCGTTGGAGTCCTTGTCTGCATTTTCTGCCAGGATATCGGTGATGTCCTCGGAATATGATTGCCGGAGCTGAATAGTTACGTCAAGCAGCATCGCAAGTTTATGAGGAACCCTGACAGGGGGATCAACCAAGGCGGCGATGAATTCAGCCATCGGCGTCCACTCTTTCGTTGGGATCGTGTACGTCGGGCGGCCCTATGGTATCTTTACGGTCTTACCAGAGCCTTTAGCTTTAGAAGAGAGGTAACCTCTACTTTTAGCAGTAGTCGCAAGCCATTGTGCAATGGCGTCTCTGTTATTTATTAGGACTTGCATCGTACTGTCGCTCAACCTCTTGCACTCTGAGCGTACTGCAGATGACTGCTCCTTGCACTCACGTGTGATTCTTGTACTTTTGGTAAGTACTCAACAGGTTCTTTGGTAACCCAGGCATGTTGGCGCAGTTGTTCCGTACACAATACCAACATCGGCGGCTTTGAGCCTTCAATACAGTTCAGATTTACAGTTCAGATAAGTGCCAGTTTGCCAGCCTGGGAAGCCAATCCACCGAGCACGTGCAGGCGTTGAGGTTTGCTTGGCCGGGGTCGCTTATTTGGCGCTAGCCAAGCTGGCTACTCAAAGGGCATGCTCTCCCACCCGACGACAATAGTTGTAGGCCTTCACAGATGTGGCATCGCTATTCAAAAGCATAGCCCAGACTGTGCTGATTGGTTGTTCGAGTGCTGCCTGGCCGCTTGACTAGACTGCTAGTCGTGAGCACTGCCTGCGGTAATGGTTGTTGTTTCCGCATGACAGCGCGCTTGATGTTTCACATGACGTGTGTATCTCACCGCGGTCCGTCCGCTGGCTGCAGCGAAAGTGTAAGCAGAGAGAACTGAGAAGGACGAGATGTACATAGGCGCAGGCAGGTGACCAGCTTGTGGCGAGACTACGAGGCATGGCGGGGGCGTTGATGGACGGCTGTCCCGTGATAAGCAGCGATTAGGAACTGGCGGCTCCACCCGCGCGAGCGAATGCGGGAGCCTGTACTCTTGTGCAATGCTCTAAGACGTTGATGCTGCATGATCTCTTGAACACTCTCAACCGCTGCTCGCCCCTCTCTCTGCCGTCTTTCCTTCTGCTCGCATGCTGGCAGGCCGCTCGCAGCTCGTGCCTGCCAAGTTGGACAGCTTAATGCTAGCATCATCGCTGTAACCAGCCAGCTCCACCCGAGAACCGCGAGCTACGCTGCCACGGCCCACGTCGAACGCAGGGCACGGTGACAGCTTCAGACAAGCTTGTGTTTGCCCAGATATTGCTTTGGGGCAGCCAAACACCCGGGACACGACCAAACGCCGACCGACGGTACCGCTACCTCCTACCCTAGCTCGTGACGTCCCCACGCTTCTCCGCGACCGAGCTCCTGCTGCAGCCCCGCGAACCCTCTACGCCCCGCGGCCGCAGTACGCCGCCTTTGCACCCCTGGAGAACACGCATGCCAGCTGTCTGAGCAGCACGTTGCACGTATTGCCGGCCACAAACCGCTGCCAGCAGCCCTCGCGTCATCAGCGGGTAACCTGCCTCCGCGTTCGTCCTGGCAGACGCAACCACCCCGTATCCTAATCCCCTAATCGCCTCCGACCGCCCAGCCACGCCGAACCCCCCAGCTTCTTCTTCCCCCGTTACCTCTGCCCATATTCCTACCCCCGAACCCGCCGCGAGCGCCCCCGAGCAGCCAGCCACCGCCACGACCGCACGCCAGCGCTCTCCCGAACAACCTGCGCGAGCGAAGCGCAGACACAGCGCATCTGAGAGCGACGGCGAGCTTGAGGCTGCCGAACAGCAGGACGATTCAGCAGGGCCATCCCGTCATAGATCAAAGCGCAGGCGCGAACAAGACGGGACAATGCGCCTCGATAACGATACGTCGAGACAACCGCGGTCACCTTCCCTAGGTTTCACGAACGGCTCCTCGCGCTCGTCAGGGCCACGGTCGCCCCTAGGCAAAACCGCAAATGGGGACTCGCATACGCGTGGGGAGAGCAATGGCTCGTACGCGAATGGGAGCTCGACGGCGATCAGCAAACCAGTGCCTACAACCTACTTTGGCCACGACAGAGACGAGGTCACACGGATAATGATACAGAGTCTGACGGATCTGGGTTACCACGAAGCTGCAGACGCGCTATGCAAAGAGAGTGGGCGTCAGCTTGAGGGACCCACCGTGGCTTCGTTTCGTCGCTCCGTACTTAATGGCGACTGGGAAGTGGCAGAAGAGCTTCTGTTTGGTACTGTGACGCACGACAATGGAGGGGGTGTCGGTCTGGACGACTCGTATGGGAAATCTTGGGGCAAGACACGATCAAGAGCAAATTCACACCGTTCTGGGGGGCTGACACTGGCCGAGGGCGCCAACAGAGACGAAATGCTTTTCTGGATGAAGCAACAGAAGTATTTAGAGCTCCTTGAACGGCGGGACCTTGGCAGTGCACTCGCAGTATTGAGGCAAGAGCTCACGCCGTTACACCAGGACGTTGGTCGACTGCATTTCCTTTCCAGGTAAGCATTCACTATGCGAAGACAGACGCGATATTGACAACATACAGTCTTATGATGTGCCCTTCTGCGGAGGACTTGCGGCATCAGTCGCAATGGGAAGGTGCCCAGGGCGAGTCGCGGACGCATCTGCTTTCTGATTTGTCCAGTATGACATCATGACTGTGCTGAAGAAACCTACTTACCTGTACAGAATCAATATCTCCGAGCGTCATGATCCCAGAGCATCGGTTGGCCGCTCTGTTAGATGAGGTGAAGGATAGCTGGATAAACAGCTGCCTCTACCACAATACCACGGAGTCGCCCTCGCTGTACCTCGACCACAATTGCGAACGAGATGACTTCCCAACAAAGGCAGTCTTGGACCTCAAAGACCACACAGATGAAGTTTGGTACTTAAAGTACTCGAACGATGGTACAAAGTTGGCGTCGACAAGTAAAGACACGTCGATCTTCATCTACGAGACCTCAACATACAGGATCCTACACCATCTCGAAGACCACCAGGACTCGGGAGTAACGCACGTGGCATGGAGTCCCGACGATTCCATGATTGTCACATGTTGTTCGCAGCCAGAGAACTCCGCAAGGGTGTGGGACGCTAACAGCGGCGCTTGCATACTGTGCATTAGCGATTTCACATACCCGTGTACAACAGCGGCATGGTCACCCGACGGCAGATACGTCGTGATTGGATCGCAGGACGACAAGCTAGGCTGCGGAATCTGGGATATGACAGGGCTTCAAATACACAACTTCTGTGGGGACGGCACGAAACTACGTGCGAACGATCTTGCGATATCGCCAAATGGCGAACGCCTTGTTGTCGTCTCGGAGCACTCAATCATCGTCTACGACTTCATCACTTACAAGAAATTATGCGAGTGGAATCCTGAATCCAAACTCACTAGCATCACAATCAGCCAAGATTCAAGGCATATGCTCGTCAGCATGAATCCCGACACGATCGAGCTCATGGAGATTGACAGTGCCGATCTGATACACAAGTTCGAAGGGCACCAGCAGAAGCAGTTCATCATCCGTTCTGCATTTGGAGGGGCAGACGAAAACTTCATAGTCAGCGGAAGCGAAGGTATTTCTACACAACACTTATAGCGATGCTCGTAAATGGCCCCTTACTGACTCGCTACTTCAGATTCACGAATATACATCTGGCGGTCCAACGGGCTCCTCGTCGAGGCCCTTGATGCGCACTCTGGCTGCGTCAATAGCATTGCATGGCACCCCAAGGACCACAGCACATTTGCATCAGCAGGCGACGACCACAAAGTCAAGATCTGGAAACCGAGCCGAGCTGCTCTGATGGAGGCCAATCGTAACACTCCCAACGGCTACGGGCGGTAGCGGAACTGTTCGCAATTTGAGTATGTCTGTTTGGTTTAAGATTGCATTGTTGGCGCATGGTGAAAGGCTTTCTGGTGTTGAGGTCATAGGTCGTCGGATCATGGCGGATAGGATGGGTCTGAAACTCTTATACTTGTTGCATCTTGGAATGGACTATGTCTGCATGCATGTTATATCAATACACTTAGCGTGAGACGCGGCAAAGAATTGGGCATCACTAACTCTCCACAAGGTTTCTTTACAATCAACACGTTCCCGACGCGGAGATTAGACTTACTACGCTGGTTGTCCTCGCGGTCGGATGTCGGTCCTGCTCATCACGGCCAAACCTAGTGGTCGCTCAGCCTCAATCGCATAGACGGCATCACCCTACTGGTCCCACGCGTCGTTGTGGACTTGCGTCCGCATAAGCATTTTCCGAGACTTCCCCGCATCATTGCTCCTTCCAGAAGGCACTCGTCCACCAATCACGCCGCTGCGTTCCGTACGCCAAACTCTTTTTGACACGGGCAGGACTGGGTTCTTTCTCCGCCTAGCTCTCCGCCCATGACGTCCTCGCGATTTTTCAACATTCTTACACGAACTGTGTATTCACCCGCCTGCGGTGAGGCTTGGGCCCGCCTTAGCTTTACAGCAACGGCCAGAAGTGAGCAACTTGCCCCACAACTGCGATTCCTTCGGGCCGGATCTGGAATTGCAGATGCGGGGATCCATGCTGCCGAGAGGTGCTCACCAAGGGTGGTGTTGTGCTAGCAGATGATGAGCGACATGCCTGTACACCAGCTTCCCGTGTCCCATTGAACGCTTTAAGAGAGCTTCTGCAGCCCATAAGTACTAGCAGGTCCCTTCCTTTTCCGTTTTGACGCAGGCATCCCTCAATTGAAGTCAACATGGCTCAATCGTTATCTTTGCTCGGTCTGCTGGCTACTGTTGCACACGCACAGCTCAGCAATAGCTCGACTCCGACCTTTGCTCTCCCATCCGGTTACACTACGTCGAGCTATAACAACTCGGAACAGCCAACCGCGTACACCCGCACAGACTTTGGTCCCAATGCACTTGCATCGCTGTGGGATCTCGTAGGCCCCGTAGCTACCGGTCCGGTCACTAGCACTGTGGAGCCCACTCCGGAGCCCACGATATTTCCTCGACCCGATGAAGAGATATTCCACCCGCTTGTAGGCAGTAGTTACCCTGAAGCGAAGGATTTGAAGCTGCCCGCAGGGTTCAAGTGGGGATTCAGCTCGTCGTCATACCAAATTGAGGGTGCAGCGAAGGATGAGGGCAAAGGACCAAGTATCTGGGATCTGCTGTCTCACAGAGTTCCAAACTTTGTCAGCGATAACACCACTGGAGATGTCGTTGCTAGCCAGTACTGGCTCTACAAGCAGGACTTTGCGAGATTGAAGGCGCTCGGCGTACCTTGTGAGTACTTAATGAGGCCGAAAGTATTGAAAGGCATCATGGCTCACTTCAATAGCGTTCAGTCCCAGCTTCTCGTGGCCACGCTTCTTTCCCTTCGGCCACGGCCCAGTGAATGAGGAAGCAGTCCAGCATTACGACGATGTGATCTCAGAAATGCACGCCAACGGCATTACACCCGCCGTCACCGTATAGCTCCTCTCCGCCTTTTCATAGCACGCGTTAACAGTAGCAGCTCTTCCACTGGGACACGCCTCTCGCCATCTTCGCTGAGTATGGCGCCTGGACCGATCGACGCGTCGTAGACCATTTCTTCGAATATGCCAAATTCGTTATCACGCGGTACGACGAATACGTCGACGAAGTAGGTGGTGTTTGAATGGCAACTTATATCGAGAAGCTAACAGCGACTCCAGTGGTTCACCATCAACGAGCCGCAATACTGCAACTGGCAATACGCTGGCTACCCGGCAGGAAAGTACTATCCCGCCCCGAACAACATCACCGGCGGCCTAGAAGCACGCTTCCTGTGCGGCCACCACACGCTGCTCGCCCACGCCAAGGTCGCAAAATGGTACCACGAGGAGTTCCAGGGCCGCCACCGCATCACATTTAAGAACTCCGGCAACTACTTCGAAGCCAACAGCACCTCCCCCGGCGACATTGAGGCGCGCCAGCGCAACTTCGACTTCAGCATCGGCTGGTTTGGCGGCCCATGGACCGACGGCGACTACCCAGCGTCACTGAAGAGCACCCTCGGCGACCTGCTCCCCAACTTCACCCAGGAGGAAAAAGACATGATTAAGGGCTCCTGCGACTTCTACGCCATCGACCCGTACTCGTCGTTCATGGCGTACGAAGTCGACGGCGGCCTCGACGCCTGCGTGTCCAACCGCTCGCACCCCGGGTTCCCAGACTGCGCAGGCTCGACATCGGTCGCGCCGAACGGATTCCCCATCGGCCCTGCTGCGGACCCGATGATGGGCTGGTTCTACAGCGCGCCGGCGGGCGTGCGCAGGTTCCTCAAGCACATCACCACGGAGCTGTTCCCCGCCGTGCCGGACATCGTGGTCAGCGAGTTCGGGTTCGCAGAGCCGTTTGAGGCGCAGTGGGGGACGCTGAACTCGGCGCTGTGGGATCTGAAGCGCGCGGACTACTTCCAGCAGTATCTGGATAACATCCTGCTGGCTATTCACGTCGACGGGGTGAATGTCACGGGCGCTTGGGGATGGGTAAGTCTTGGCTTTAAACGCACTCCGATACGTACTGTGTGACAACAGTATCTGACACTTCGCAGGCGATCTTTGATAATTTCGAGTGGTCTTTGGGCACTGAAGTCCGCTTCGGGCTGCAGTACGTGAACTACACGAGCTTGGAACGGACGCCCAAGGCGAGTATGTTCCAGTTCCTGAACTGGTTTGAAGACCATAAGCACACGGGGAACGCGACGATGCGGCTGGCATAGACAGATCAGAGATGGTAGACTTTCAAGGGGCTGTAGATAGAACAGGTTGCTCGCGCGTCGGCAGGTAGAGAGCGCGTTGTGTACGCTGATAAATGCACGTACAACAACTCTCCTTGTTGTACATACATACTGACGCCTTCTCGTTGTCGACGTGAAGATCTACCACAAGCATCATCCAATCTGTATTCCTGCATACTCTCGGCCAAGTATCGATCAACAGTATTGTTTGATAATCGCACGCTGCCATTACTCCGTCATTCAATACGTGGCAAAGAAGCATTGTAGCCGCTTATATAAAAGAAACTTAAACATGTAACGAATCGTAGATGTGACACTCTGATTGATGTGAACATGTGTAAGACCCCATCCACCCACGTTACGGCACGCTAGCCTAGCGCCACCGGGGTCCATAAGGCTGGAATTCCGCTCCGCCCTCCGCAAGCTCCATACGTTACGTGTTAGGAGCATCAACACAGCGGCGCCGCGCGCAACCACCAAACAAGCTCCCTCCTCTCCACCCACCCAACCGCCGCGATGCACTCCGCACTGGTGCGCCTGCAGAACGTCTTCGGGTTCTTCACCACCGTGGCCTTCACCATCGCCGCCGTCATCGCACTCAGCAGCTTCGTCTCGCCGCAGGCCCCAAGCGCAACCGTCGCGCTGCGCAACGTGCAGGTCGTCAAGGGCCGGCCGCACTACTACAGCTACAAGAAGGAGGAGTACGCACACATCAAATTCGACCTGGACACCGGTACGCCCTTCCGCCAAAGCTAACCCTTCGTGCACTCCCGACTGACACCTGCAGACCTGACGTCCCTCTTCAACTGGAACACCAAGCAAGTCTTCCTCTACCTCAAAGCCGTATACCCGGGCACCCCCTCCGAACCCGCCTCCGAAGCCATAATCTGGGACGCCATCGTGGCATCCAGCTCCGCCCCCTGGCACCAGAACCACTACATCCACCCCTCGAAATCCTCCAAGCTGCCCAAGCAATCCAAAAAAGCGCTTGCAGCCGCCAAGAAAACGCCCGTCTCGCCGTACCCGATTGGTGAGCTGCACCTCAAGCAGCAGCGCCCCAAGTACCAGATCACGGATATCTCGGGCAAGCTGCAGAATAAGGCGAATGTCACGCTCGAGCTGGGCTGGAATGTGCAGCCGTGGGTTGGCGCGCTGACGTGGACGACGTGGCAGACGGCGGGGGTGTGGAAGGGGCTGGAGGGCGGCAGGAGCGAGAGCTTTGGGTTCCCGGAGATAGGGAAGAAGGTCGATGCTAAGGAGCTTAAGACGGAGAAGGGCGCTGAGGGGTATCGGTTGGAGGTTGGCGGGGAGGTGCCGCGGCGGAAGGCGCAGTAGGCGGGGGATGGAGGGGGGAGCGGGGAGTGATGGGAGGGGAGGACTAGGGGAGTGTGCATGGGAATGGCGTTTGGTGCGAGATATTCAAACAAACTTTGCGAAATGTAGGCGTCCATCTTGCCACAGTATTCCAACATGCATTCGTACATATGGTACAACCACACCCAGTGTATCGCTGCCGTCACTGCCGTCTCTACCGCCTGTTGACCTTCTTCGCGCCCTTCTTCTTCCCGCCCTGCATCGCCTTCTGCTTCTCAACACCCTTCTTCTTCTCGCCCGCGCCCAGACTCGCCTTCTGGCGGAGATACACCCTGACCACATTCTCCACACTCCCCCTATCATGCTTGACCAGCCGCATATACGTCAACCGCGCGCGCCGCGCCCGCTTCGCCGCCCGCTGCACCACCTCGATCCCCTCCACCAGCGGCGAGTACACCTTGTACCACATCTCGACGCCGACCCGCGTCAGCTGCCCGCGCAGCAGGATCGCTGTGTCCACGCCCCGTCGCCGGATGTTGATGCACACGCCTGCGAACGGGTCGCCGCTGCGCTGCCGCACCAGCAGGATGTCGCCCAGCTTCGCGGCCTCGGGGTTCGTGCGGTCGAAGAGCCGCGTGCGGGCGCCGGTGGGGTCGAGCGCGGCGAGCGAGGCTTGGGTTACGGCTGCGATGGGGAGGGGGCATATTTTCTTGATTGCTGGGGCGGGGGCGACGATGTTGAGGCCGTGGGTTTTGTCTGGGGGTCGGGTTAGCGGGGGCTGTGAAGCGGCGGGGGAGGCGGGAATGCGAATGGGAATAGGAAGAGGAATAGAAATAGGGACTGCGGCGGTGCGGACGTACTCCTGGGCTTCTTGTCGGCGGTCGCCTTGCGCTCCTTGGGCTGCTGCACGCCCTCGATCGGCCGGCCATTGACGTACAACTCCGGGTACAGCGCCTTGTGCATGCGCTCGGCGAGCGTCGGGGCGCGCGTGTTCTTGTGGCCCTGGCCCGGCGGCGTTGCGGTCGAGGGTTTGGCGACGGGCGCCGCGACGATTGCTTCACGCTTCTCCGGGGCGGCGGCGACGGCCTGCGTGCTGGCGTAGCGCGGGCATCGGAGGGTGCGGATGGCGAGGCGCGGGGCCGCAGCCCTCGTGCAGGATATCGCGGCTGACATTGGTCGTGAGGGCTGGTCGTGGGCGTGCGGTGATGGATGGGGAAACTTTCGAGGTCCGCGGTTTGCTTAGTCATGCGGGAGGTGTGCGCCGCGACATCAACATCGACGTCGCCATTCACGCACGTCACATCTCAACGTGGCCCATGTCCCTTGCATTCATCGTGTATTTGAATTTTGTTTCTGCCTTTTGCTGTTCTTGTGACGCGTATCTCCGACATGCACGCTGCACCTCACGCCGCGAAGCTGCATCGTGGACGCACCCAAGCACCACGTGCAGCTGCCAGCCGTAATTGAGCGCTCCTCGCTATGTAATAAACAAAACTTTTCCATGCAATGTAGATCCCACCGGATCCCGCGCGTATCCCGCCCATGCTGTAACAAACCAAAACTCCATGCTAGACGCGAGATAGGTCGATAGGCGCAGAAGAATTCTCTGCCCGTGGTCAGGTCATGCATACACCGCTTTTCTCATCCCGATGCTCGCTCTGCGGAAAGATACCGATAAGAAGATGCCCAGACACCGCCGCAATGCTGCCGCTTGACGCCAACGAAAATGGAAGGTACAAAGGTGCCAGAGTGGAGAAGGTTACAGTCGCGCCTGGTTGAGCTGGTCGGCGAGCCCGCTGATGCCGTTGATGCCGTTGCCGTTGCCGCTGCCGCTGCCGTTGGGGTGCTGGTAGTGCGCTTGCAGTCCTCCCTGGAAAAGCCCAGAAGTCAGCAGTTGATTGCGTTGTGCAGGTCAAGTTCGACCTCTCGGCGTGGCGTGTCTACCTCTTCCATCCATGTCAGGCCATTTGCGGCCTCCTCGACGGGGAACACTTCTCGCGCGTACTCCTCCATGGAGCGGTTGCCCTCCCACAGCTGCAGCGCCGCATCGGGGCAATCGGGTTCGATGTCTGGGCCGAAGTAGGGCGCGCCCTTCTCACCAAGCGTGTACTCGAGTGCGGAGAGATGCTCGCGGTAACCGATGGGTGTTGGCACGTTGATCATCACATGGCCCCGCTTATACCGGACGGGTCTCCCGAGACCTCGACTGAATGCCTGGCACACTTCCCTGGGGGTCATTGATGCAAAAGCTAGCGGTACCCTAGGCCTGTCAGTACGTAATCTCATCAGCCAGTGCTTAAAATTTGTCCTTGCTGCAGATGGTCAAACAAGGTGGACCCGATGTGAACAATAGAAACTCAGGTGCTGGCCACAGGATCGAACGACTGTGGGGAATGGTGACTTTTGGTGGAGAAGAACATGCAGAACCAAAGGACGCTTACCGCTTGCCGTTCCACACCCGTGGGCCTTCCTTAAATAGTTGGAAAATGGCTGGCCCTACATCATGCTCCGAATCCAGCCACGGGAGTGGCATGTCTGGGTGAAAGGGCGCCTGCCAAATGAAACTTCCATCATCCTGGCTCTCCATGCGGAACAGCGGGAAGTCCAGGCCTGTGAAATTGTTGTGGTAAATGCCGCAGTACACAAATGTCGCAGGCAGTCCGATCTGGCGAATGTACTGCTCGACGGTGAACTTGGGCGCCCACAATGGCAGTGATCTCCACGGCTGGCCAAAGACGGAATGATCTGGCATGCTCGAATAGATGTAGTGTTGAATTCCGGCCTTTTTCGCCGCATCGGCCAATGACCGTCCGATCGCAACTTCATCGCCCCAGTGCGTTGTGTTGATGAATGCGCACTGCGCGCTCTTGAACAGATCGTCCAGAAATTTTCGGTCTTCCAGGCGGCCAATGTAAACCGTCACATTGTCCAGTTCAGATATCTCTTGCGCCACAACGCCGTTGAGGTCCCTCATCTGTGCGCGCACTTGCCACCCCAGTGCCGACGCGACGCGAATGAAGCTCGCCGATTGGCGGCCATTGCTGTTGATGGTAACGACGGTCCTTTGCATTCGGAATACAGTGGGCGCAAAACAGAGAATTCCGGTATTCCGAATTTGTAGTAGGTAGTCGGTGAGGAGGTCGAACACTTCTTTGGTGAATGTATTTATGGCATGCGGCGGGAGAGTGCAAAGGCAAGGTCGATGGTGAAGTACTGTGCGAACAAGGCTGGGACGCGAAAGGCAGTATTTTTAGCTAAGCGCGAGGCAGCAAAGTCCGAGGTACAGTCAAACGATAACGACCAGGGTGGTGTGAGAGTAAAGGTGAGGGAGACGTGGAGGTGAAGGCGGCAGATCGGTGGAGGGATACCGCTGTTTGGCGCGCAGGCAGTAACGTGCTCACGGCGCACAAAGAGATTTGATATCGAGCTTTAATAGACTGACTAGGAACTGCACGTGAGTCGCGCATACGTCGTGTGGTGTGGGTATGCAGGGAAGGGCTCTAGTGTGTTTGCTCTAAGGATGGGTCGCGCTGCCGACGAAGGTGTGCTAAGGTAGGCTTAAAGCAGAGAACCCTTAAACACCACGTTCCCAGTTGATATGTCGCGCCGTCGGAGATGCAGGAGAAAGGCGAGTTCAAGCCGTCCACTGTGTGACTTTTCGGGCCAGATTTGGATGTCATTTGTTACGCTGAGGAGAAATTACCTAATAGCTGGCCACTGGGGACGAATAGTATGCATTTAGCATGCCAACATTTGCTGCTCTGAGCACCTGATCGGAGCGGTGAGGCTAAGAGTACTCAGGCTGGGCGGAGCGCGCCTTGAACGGTGCAATCTATCAGATTCTGGGTCGTGACCGTTCCCCACCGCGTCTGGCACGTTCGTGAAGGATTTGGCCGGGATAGCACCATCTTCGTGAGACACGCCTACGACACGCGAATGCAAGCGTCACATCCCAGGCGCAGGCCGACACCTGCAGCACAACTTGGCACCATGGCATTTGGAGAAGGTTGGTAGGCTAGCTGATGGACAGGGGCTCCACCAAAAACTCTGCTCGCGATGCAAACCAGAGGGGTTTAGGGCTTGGTTGAAGGGCGATGGATCAATGATGCGGGGGAGCACGCTAGAGCCAGGGACAGCATGATGCGCCGCCGGGAAGACTTGAGGGAAGCGCGGACCGGAGTGGCAGGCCGGTATCAATCAAGCGCCGCGGCGTCATGCATGCGCTGCCGACGGCATCAAAGGCGTCGAGCGTCGAGCGTCGAGCGTCGAGCACCTTGGTGGCACAGGTCTCGGCGCCGATTGCCACAGACGGATGGTACAAGCTTGCAGGGCGTGACAGTACTCGTGCTCTTTGACTAGCCGAAGCGTGAGGGTCCGGCGCCCGCGCGCCCGAGAAGCTCTCAATGCCTGTTCTACCGGTACATCCGTGCAAGCACATCGGGACCTATTCCGAGGCTGTCTATGTACAATACGTAGGAACATGGTGCGAGCCGTTGCTCGCCGTGTCACTTGCCCCACGACGTCCAGCCATCCCCGCAATCTCAACACTCGACGACCGTGCGGGCCGTCGATAACAGCGCGACTGAGCCGCCGAGTTACCGTCACGTAACGCCCATGATTCAATCTTGAGGCGTTGGATACGACGTCGGGCAGATCCCAGTAGCCCAGTAGTGCGTCACCAGACCCTGGAGACTGCGGCGCCCGACATGGCGACATCTTGGAACGCCATGCGTCAGTCACCGCAGCGGCCAAAACGAGTGCCTTGCGTGCCCAAAAGAGACACAATTCCCCGTGGTTTCCCAGTGATTTCCCATCATCTGCAGCATGCAGGCTGCGGCGCGCTTCAGCCAATGACAAGCCGCCAGGCCTCAGCGTTGCCGTCGCCCTCTCCTGCATGCAGCTTTGCTGCACTCAGCTCCTCAGAGTGAAGATGTGCGCCGGCATCGATCAGAGTCTGTACGTGCTCCTTCAACCCTGCTGCGGCAGCTAAGAAAAGCGGGGTGTTGCCCGCCCGGTTGCGAAGATGAACCGAGGCTCCCTGGGCGAGGAAGTCGCGGAGGATTTCGACGTTGTTGCACGTCGCTGCGAGGTGCTGTCACGCCGGGTCAGCAGGGGCACGTCATTCTGGAATAATGTTGCTCCAGATCCGGACTGGTGATGGGCAAAGATAAGCGACTGCTCCGTCTTACCGCCCAGCTGGTAACGTGCTGCGAGCTGTTTGGCTCAGCGTCTGCATGCCGACGGGATACTTCTCTATCTGAGATAAAGACCGTGGTATTGGGAAGCCTGAGATTACCAGCTGCGCTGCAATTCGACCCTTTCCGATACCGGCAGCAGTCTGCGAGATACTGTCTCAGGTACAGCGGTACGCTCAACAACTACGCCAGCTGGGCAGGTCGGACGAGGTCTGGAGATAGGTACGGGGAAGCTGACTGGAGAGACTCCACTTACAACTGGGGTATAGCCCTGGTAGTCTGCGTCATTCAGAAGCCAACGAGGCTCGCTCCTAATGATATCCTTTGTTTCCTGCAGGTTTCCTTTCTGGATTGCGTACCCGAGAGCCGTCAGACTTGTCAACTCTGGGGTCATCAGGCCGCTCTTCTGGGGGTGCTCGAAGTGCGTGCGTGTGGCTTCGGTCAGCTCCCCGCGAATCGAGATCATCATTTGTCGTGCGACATCTGCAGGCGTTGCGTTGGGAATTGACAGCAGATAAGCCAGCTTTGTCAGGGCCGCTTCTGTCGTCAGATCCTGACCAAAGACAACCCCAGCCCGACCTAGAATCGTAGCCGGCGCGTAAGTCGGGCTGACATTCCCGCTCAGGCACTGCGTTACATTCACAATCACAACCCCTCTCTTCACCGCATCTCCAAGAACACGCACCATGGCGCCATCGGGTCCCGCAGGTGCATTGCCGGCCCCGAAGGTTTCAAAGATAAGACCCTTGAGACCTTCCAGATGAAGCACCGCATCCACCATAGCTGGTGTCATGCCGGGAAAGACACGGAGCACCACGACGTGTGCTGTGTCCAGATTCTCCTGGATGCTGAAGGGATTGAGGTCCGTTGACCGATGAACCCTATGCCAGAGGACATTCGTTCGGGTGGACGACACGGTAGCCAATGGCACCATGTTCGGGCTGCCGAACGCATCGAAACTCTCGGCTGAAATCTTCTTTGAACGGTTGCCTCGGAACAGCTTAAAGTTGAAGAACAGGCAGACTTCCGGTATCATAAAGTGCCCCGCGATGATCAGCGAGTTGAGCAGGTTATCCTGGGCGTCCGTCTGCAGCTCCATCATCGGTGCCTGACTACCAGTCAAGATGACGGGCTTTCCTAGGTTGTGGAACATGAAGCTTAACGCGCTTGCTGTATAGGCCAGCGAATCTGTGCCGTGGAGGATGACGAAGCCATCGAAGAGCTGATAATTCCCCTGCACAGTCCTCGCGATTTGATCCCAGTCCTGCGCGTTGATCGAGCTGCTGTCCAACAGCTTCTCAAATTCAAGCACACAGTAACGGACACGGCGCTCGTATGTGCTCACGGGTGTGCGTAAGCTCTGGACTGCCTTGCGCGTGCCCTTTGCATCTGTCACAATCTCCAGGGGTTCCGGATATGAGCCGTCGTTGAACACGGGCCGCGGTGCAAGACCTGACTTCAAGAAGCCTTTGGCGGGAACAAGCCCATCTTTGGACTTGCGCATGCATATCGTGCCACCTGTGTGCTGTCAGCGATTGATTGTGTATGCTGCTTCAACGACGATGGCAGAATTTCCCTAATATCCCGTCTTTGCCACATCGAAAAAGCAATGAGAATTACCCACCCGTGATAATTATCAGAACCCGTGACTCTGGGATCTGGATATCCGAAAAATCGTCCTCTTCCATTTTGCCTCTGCTAACACAAAAAACTCTTATTGTGACCCAAAACTATCTCTTCAATCCAATGCCAGACGCAAATTATCTCTACTTCGTAATCCAAAACAGCGTAACAACAAGGTAAAAACGCTCCAACAAACCACCGCACGAGAACAAGAAACACCTCGTCACGCTTGCCCCAAAACCCGCCATCGGTACCGCAGCACGCCGAAGCACCAGCGCACAGCGCCCCTCGGACCCTCACCTCAGCAGGCTTTGCACGCAGCACGCAGCACCAGCCCTGTCCGCCCGCCAGACTAAGTCGCGCACGCAGCTCGGCCCGCCGCACCCCAGCAGCCCGCCCAATCACCGCTTATCGCACACTCCATTACCCCTTCAAAACGACACCCGATTACCCCTCCGAAACCCCGTCAACCTGCGCCCTGAGCCGGACTAAGGCGTTGCCATTACCCCTTCGAAATTCACCCTGCCATTGCTATTACGCCCGCGAAACTGAAAAATTTTCGCCCCGAGATGCGAGACATGGGGGTGCTGAGCAGGGGAGGGCGGTGATGCGGGTTTGCGTCATTGGGGCGCTGAATTGGCGATTGGTGTTGCGGCACGTGGTGCTGGGGAGGGTGGAGCGGAGCGCAGGGTTTGTGATGGGTTTTGCGATTTGGGATCGAGGGACGGGTATTCGGGGTTGGAGTCGGGAGGCTGCTTGGGGTGGTGCGCGGTGCTGTGCTGTGCTGTGCTGTGCTGTGACTTGTGAGTGTGTTCAGGTACCGTGATGGCGCGTACCGTGTGGCGCGTTTCAACTGTAAAGTGACAATCTTGTGGGAGCGATGATGAAGTGTGCATTGGTATCTAACTGCAGCGTCCGCGTAAAGCACTATTCTCAACCTTCCCAATCTCCCTGGCGAAGATCGCTGTTATCCTAGAGCGTCCATCTAAGCCTTGCGCTGCTTCTTAGACGGCGGCTCGTCCTGCTTCTTGCCCTTGCCAACCAGCGCGCGGATGTCGACCTCCTCAGCGGACTCGTCGTCCTCATCCATGTCGACGTCGAGCTCCGAGAGATCCTCGTCGTCGAACTCGCCATCCTCTTCAAAGTGTGCCTCTGTGACGGGTCAGTAGGAGTAAGTGAAGTATTTTGAATATACGTACTGTAGTATCGGAGAGCGTTAGGCCACATGTCCTCGGCGATGATGGTCGCGACCTCGTCACCGCCAGGGAAGACCTCAGTCTCCTGGTAGTCCTGGGGGTCTTCATCATCCTCATCCTCCTCCTCGTCGACCTTCTCGCCGGCCTTGATCTTGGCAAGCGTCTCGCGGTCCTTCTTCACTGCCTCCGCAGACTCCTCAGCGCCGACCCAGCGGTAGCCCGAGACAAACGCGAAAAGCCCGAAGAAGCTGACGGAGGCGTCGGCCGCAGTCTCAATCTTGTTGGAAAGGTCCTTGTATTCGGGCAGAGCCATCTCCTTCTTCCTGTCGGTGGTCTTCTTCCTCGCCTCGTGCAGCTTGACAGCCGCGTCTGTAAGACCGCCAGTCAGATCCTTACCCTTCTTCCAGTTGATCTTCACAGGCTCCGAGACCAGACCGTCCCAGTCCTGGGTGTGACGGTACCAGAACTTCTTCTCTAATGTCTTGTTCTCGAACCACTCGTTCTCTGAGAAGCCGAACTTGAGCGAGAAGCTGCGCGGCGAGCCATTGGGGTCGTCAACCTCGAAACGAGAAACCTCGAAGGTCTCGAAGCAGTCCGCGAAAACTTCGGAGTCGGTGGGCTGGATGAAGTTCTCGACCTCTGGAGGGCACTGCTCAAAGACTAGCGACCAGAAGTGAGGGACCTTGGCGACGAATGATGTGCGCTCCTTGTAGAGAGGGCCCTTGATGGCTTCGGACTTGCGGACTGGCAAGAGTCAATTACTGATATTGGTGCATCGAGTATACCGCTACTTACTGACTTCAGACTCGGCATCCTCGAACTTCGACTCAAGCAAGCTCAGCTGCTCGAATTGAACCTCGAGCTGCTCCGGAGTCTGCTCGTGCGCAGAGTGGTCGTGAGGCATCTTGACGGTGTGGTATGCAATTGAGGTTTCTAGAAACGGCATTGTTTAGCTCGATTCGTGGTCGCCAGGTGCATGCGACTTACATTATGTATGTGTAGGTATGCTGATAAGCAAGTGGTGTGTGAGTGGAGTGTTTGCTGTTGAGAAGTTCAAAAGCTTCCCTCACTTGAAATTTTGACAGGGATCTGTCCTACGTCAGCGTCCACCAATGAACTGTGGGTACCTGGTATCGATAAGAGATACATCACGCTTCAGCTTACACTCAGCATCTTGCATCCTCCTCAACAACATCCGATCCTGGAACTTGCATCTGCTCGGTCTTGGAATAGTACAACCATATGCATGATAATGTGCCTGAGAGATTGGCACGTCAGGAGCTGCATACCCAGCTAATAGCCAAATAGCATCAGGTCTGTCCAGCTCGTGTTTCGCCGTTTCCGTCTCCCGAGGTCCAACCCTCTATGCTCCTTGGACGACCTCAACCAGCGGCTATCTTAGGTTGCTCGCCTGGTGGCCAGTGGGTCGTTCATTCTCCATGGATAGCTGCCATTCTGCCTTGCTTGCCAAAGCATGTTTTCTTTATTCCATTTAGGTGTTGTTGGTAATTCCACGACTAGTTTCTGGATTCGAGGCTGATAAAAGGGCGGAGCTGATAGCCATTCCCTCGCATGTGTTATATGGCTACGACTACCTTCTGACTCTGTGATGCAGGCAGGCGCACTAACAAAAACGTCAAGCCATCTATCCCCCTTACATCAGCAATCTACGCTTTGGAATTGCCGCATCGTTTACTAGACAACATAATACGCATCTTCACCCTCATTGTCGAAAATAATTAGCAGCCGCAACCATGGGTGGAAAGGTCTTCGAGCATCTCAGCCTTCCCGTGCCCCGAATGCCCCCAGAACTCTACCAGCGCGTGATAGCAGAGTGTCAGCCGAAGCTCGAGGCGTTGTTCGAAAGAGTTGTGATTCCCCGCGATGCACCAAGCAAATCAGATCATGGCGACATCGACTTTCTGGTTGGAGGCATTCTCGTTAAGCCTCGAGGCGAGGACCTGTGGAAGCTGGTAGAGGGCTTTCTCGCAGCCGATCATCGCGAAGCGCGAGGCCAATCCCAGTCGTACGCCCTCTCACATCCCGATATACCAGGGGCCTATGTCCAGGTCGATATCGAGCTAGCCCCTGGCGATGGAACTCTTGGGGCTGCCGACCTTTTCGAATGGACAAAATTCATGAAAGGCGACGCCGACCTTCTGCAAATCATCGGGATTGCGCATCGGCCATTAGGTCTGGTTTGCAACGACCGCGGCCTCCACGTCCGGCTGGAGCAGATAGAGCCCTACGACAAGCAGAAAGCGCTCCTTTTCCTAACACGCGACCCGGACGAAGCCATGCGCTTCTACGGCCTCGACACCGACCAGTACGCACAAGGCTTCGCAAGCGAGATGGAGTTGTTCGATTGGGTAGCCTCCGGCCGCTTCTTCTCGCCCGCCGTCTTCGAGCAACGCGTCGAGAAGTCAGCCGATAAGTCTAGACAGCTTAAGCGGCCCATGTACCGCCACTTCGTCGAAACCTACATGCCGACACAACCCACGGCTCCCAGAAACTGGACACGGGAGGAAGTGCTCCGCGACGCCATCGCTTACTTCGACACCGCGCCCGAATACGCGCACAAACTCGCCGCCCACCGCGCCGGCGAAGCCGAATCCCAACTCTGGGACGAAGTCAAGGCGCTGCTGCCCGCCAACGACAAGGCGCTCAAGTCTGCTGTCAGGGCGCTGCGGCGCTGGGTCGTGTTCACCGAGCGCCGACCGGCGATTGACCGGTGCCCCGTGCAGCATACGGAGTATCTGCGGTGGTCGGATTATGTAGGCGAGGCGAATAAGGAGGAGGTTTTTGCGTGGGTGGTGCTGAATTGGCGCGAGGTTAAGAGCCGGGATAAGGCGTATGATAAGCAACCCGGGGGTTTGCAGGATGGGTGATGGTGTATGTTGTAGACTAAACTAGACTCGCTTGTAGCGCAAGTTGATGCCGGTGGTACGTTATCAGGATCTTGTGTTTCGGGCTCATAGGACTGAGGCGGTGATGCTATGCCCTGTCGTCTCGATACTCCGATACCTTTGTCGTCATGTCCTGTGTCCGAGTCTGGACTGCACTTGGCCTGCTCAAAACATTTCGCACTCGCCAGCTACTTCTCAGCACACCGTCTTGAAATTCATTTGAAGCCGTCCGTCACTTCGCCGTTACCCTGCTGCCGCATTGTATACACCGTAGATTTACAAGTCAACCGTGAAGACGAACACGAGCATCCACAGCACTGGCGGCTGATGTACAGGTATATCTCCGATCAACGCGCTGCAGTATTACTTGATCGCTTTTTGCTTTTCCACACGGGCGAACTTGGGTCCCTGGCATCTTCCTCCTCTCCGGGCGGACTTGCTCTAGACTGCTTGTGTGCTTCTCCCGAGCAGTTATAGGGCTTGATGTAGTGTAGCAGATCAACTGTCCTGGATGCTTCGAAACTGCTTCATTGATGGCCAGTGCAATGTGCATGCAGTTGCTGATACCTGTGTGTTGAATTGCGCGCTGTATGTGATTTGTGTAAGCAGGAGTCGCACAGTCTCGATGCGAGAGACTCCCGATTGTTGTACTTGTGGCTGTATGTTGATCGAGGTTGTGGCAGGGGTGAAATATTGTTAAGGAGTGCCGAATCTAAGGTGCTGAAAAAAAGCACCGTTTTTTAGTCCTCTCTCTTGAGAAGTATTGTAGAAAAAGGTCTGCCGTTTTGTGGTACCCAGTCCTAGCACATTTTAAACTTGATCCGTTTAGGCCTGGGCAGAGATCATACACGTGAGTATTATTTTAGCGCATTTTTGCCACTGCAAGGGCAAAGGAATATATTGTGCACTAGATCAGGTAGAAATCGTCGTTGTACTTTTCACCCTCATCCTCCGCGCCTGCACCATCATCTGCATCTTTAGGTTCCATATCGTATAGAGTCCACGCGATCCCGACAACCCTGTAGTACTGATATCGCTCTGTAGCTCTAAGCAGATAATGGTGATCATGACTCAGACTTTTGGATCCGGACAGCCTCACGCAGAGATCACCCTGACACGCTACAGCCGGGGCGAGCCCTATGTGCCCAGATCCAGTGACCATAAGTCTCTTGGCATTTGAGCAAGTCTTGATAGCCGAGTTCACCACATTGAACCTCTGCAGTCGTTCGTCTGTGTCGCCCCAGTCATTATTCCCGAGGGTGCCATTTGTCAGTTCCTCGGTGTAGGTGTCTAGGCAGCGTTCATGCTCTTCCTTTTGACTGCTCAGATCGAATCCAAAGAGCAGAGTGACAACAAAGTCTATTACCGAGATATCGTTCGGGTCACGTAATCCGGGAGCAGGTCTCTGCATGTCCTGCCAAAGTTTCGATATTAATTCTGCTGTCGTCGTGGAAATGCGCAGAACGTCTGACACGTAACGCACCTCACCCAACAAGATTCCCCGCAATTTGAGTGTTTCTTCATCCAGGACTTCTGGCTTAGTGAACCCCGTAGCTTCTTGCAAAGTAAGAAAACTGTCTTCCCAAATTCTGTCATCGTCCTTTGGCTCGATTGCTTCCCATCTCGGCACCCAGCTTGGTAGTTCCGATTGCCCTGGCCGTGTGCTATGGTTAACGAAACTCAATATTGTAGTATCTCCAGTGATTCGTAGATATTGTATGGTAAAGGCTTTGAAAGCCTCCGAGGGTGATTGGGTATAGTCCGGTGCCAGCCGTAATAAATCTGCGGACTCGAGAGCAAGATCAGTGAAAGCGTAGACGCTGTCACGGCGATCCTTGAACTTGAGATATCTTCCACGTGCAAGATAATCCACCATTCTGCTTGGTGACCATGAAAGATTTAGGAGAAAGATTCGTAGTGTGTGATGGTTTCGGTCCAAGTAAACGTCTACATGAATTGCCAATTCGGAAGACATTCTTCCTGTTAACATGGTAGGGGGGATTAGGGATATGGCCACGTTTTTCCCAGCAATCCAAATCGTTGTACGCATCAAATTTGTCCATGTGAATTCACCGTCGCCCCATATTATCATACCCTCTTTTGCCAGCCCTACTTCCCGAACAACCCAGCCACGTACGAACCACTGTTGTTTTGAGAGGGCTTTGTATGACAGCCAGCGTTTGTCGTGTAAGAGGGGATTTCCTATATCTTGATATAGGTCTGGGAAAGAGTTCCATTCAAGGGAAACTAGCTTATCGATTTCGCGCTGAATCATCTCTCCTGTTTCACTCAACAATGAAGCAACCTGTGGACCGTGCCCTTCGGGATCAGGTCCCATGTAGATAAGCACGCGGCGTGCCCTGCTGTAGATCTGGCTCATGATGGAAACCTGGTGGCCTTTCTCTATATCATTCTCCTGGTCGATGCAAACTGAATCTGCCCACAGATGCCGAATCTCAGTCCGATCCCGTATTCTCCGGAGCGCTAGAAAGAGGTTTTCTGTAATCCGTATCGTCCGCCCGTTGCAGAATATCCGGTGCTCCCTGACTTCGCTTCCCCAGACATACGAAATGGCTTCGTAGTCTTCATCTGCGATGGCAGAAATGCGGATACTGCATCGTAGCGGGTCTTCACCAGAACCTGGCTCCAGCGCAAGGCAGCGGAAGGAAGGGCCAGGCGGAAGCGGGGTGTAAACATAGAAATCTTCGTCGACTGCGCACTCATTTTCTGGCGATGGAGAGGTCTCCATTGCGACAAGAGAATGGAAGGGTAGAGTCAGGGATGAGGTAGAGTGTTGGGGATGAGGCAAGGTGTTGGTGGGAGGGTTGGATGAGGCCTTATGCGGGGCAGCTCCTTCCAGTCTGCGTCAGCCTCGTCATATCTTCTTGACCCGCGTGACTTTTACAGCCTCGTGGGTGTCAGATAAAGTGTCAAAACTCAAATCATTAATGCCAGCAGACGGATGCCGCACTAAGCTGGGCCGTCGCTCAGATGTAAGGAATCATTGTCAGCGGATTACTCCTACACGGCAGCGGATCGGTGCTTGTCGACAAAGGTATATGCACTACTAGTGTACCGGGCTATTTGTAGTAAATAATGTTGTAGGTGATTCTAGCCTCTAGACTTACATCTTAACAAACTAGTGTCTAACAGCCACCAATAGATAACCATGCAAGCGTTCTACAGACAGCTTGCAGAAGGGCCCTAAACATAAACCCTTCCGCACATTCCAACCATCATTATACCGGCTAGTAGGTAAATAGGCATAGAAGCATTCCAATAATCAAGGTACTTGTAGGAAATCAGAACATCTACGTGCTTTAGAGCGTTAGCGCAAGCTGCAGTAGTTAAGTCGCGCTACTCTAGAAACCACGGATAAGTCTCGAAGTCATCAAAGGAGAGTCTTGGTCTAGTAAACATATGATAATGTTCGCCCGCTAAAATGATACCAAATGACGCTTTATGTTGAACATTCTTACTGTTGTTGATTGGGGATCACAAACAACTGAATTGATTGGTTGAAATGGAACAAAGTAATTGAGTGAATTGATCAAGTTCCCTCCCTTCTCTAAGGCGTTGCAACTACTCAAATATATAACAGGATTAGGCCAAGATATCGAGCTGATCGAAGAACACTCCTCTGCGGGTGTGATCGTGCGAGCAGGATCATGTGACCTGCACCTTCTCTGTGATCAAGGTACGTGGCCAAACAGCGACTTGCTGCAACACTTACTAACTAGATTTATTAGTGTGATTTATTATATTTAAAGTTTATACACAACATTATACTGCAAGAAGCTAGCGTGGAGTTGCCGAGAGGCTGCCTCCGGGAAAACGTATCGAAGCGCAATGCAGCAAACACCTAAGCAACGAAGAAGAAATATCCAAAGCCGCCACACAAGCTCCATTTCCACCCTTACCCACCACTCTCACCATTTCTGACTTATTTGTCTCCAATCAACCACTCTCCCATAGCGCCCCCCAGCGCCCTAACAAGACCTCAAACACAAACCCCTTCATTCCGTCGTACAAATAGCCGGTCTCAATGGCCTCCCCTCGCTCCACTGCACATACTCCAAACGCCACTACGAGCCTTGAAATCACAGAACGAGGCTGGAACTGGGATACGGAGAGAAACATGACGTCCAAAGTCCACTGTCCACAGTCCACAGGCCACAGGCCACAGTCCATCGTTCACCGCGTGCCGCACGACACTGCCGTCGGTCCCTTGTTATCTACGACTATCCGTCACTTACCGGCTACCGCCGATATTGGCACTGAAGCAGCTGTGACCGCAGCTGCAGCCGCAGTTGCGAACACCCAGCAACAAACATCACCACCAGCACCAGCGAACGCAGAACCCGATTTGTCAAGAATGGAATTCAGGCACCGGAACAGTGTGGACGTGCTTTGTGCAGGAAACTCCGTGAAGAAGGGAGTTTGTAAATGTTGGCTATCAGGAAGGTTGGTAGGTTTTACATAGGGGGTTGATAATAGATTAGAGCTAGCGTAGATGGAGTGGAGTCGAGGAGGAATTCAGGAAGTGAGAGAGAGGCCTTAGCTCGATTTGACACCGCTTTGCTCCCGGCTCTTCTGAGCGCTAGGCGAGGTAAAATTCAATCGCTTCCATACCTCCTCGCCTTCAAACTCCCCTCATACTCGACTATTCGTGCTCAGCTACTCCCCTCTGGCCCCCTACCATCCCCCCCCCCCCCCCCCCCCCCCCCCCGCACCCTCTCTAACCCTCAACCTTACCATCAGCGGCCTTTTCTCCCACGCCAAAAACACCTTCTGCCCACCAACCCACCCTTCCCCAACCACCCCACCCGCACACCCCTCCATCTCAAACGCCCACACCACCCGCGCCAACAGCCCCCGCATCTCCGCCCACGCAAACCGCTGGCCAATGCAATTCCTCCCCCCCATGCCAAACGGCTGCAGCACCGCGCGCCGATCCGCCGCGTACCGCGCGTCGCCCAGCCAGCGCTGCGGCCGGAACAGCCCGGCGTCCGTGAAGTTGCGGGAGTAGCGGTACGCGGGGTACATGGGCACGCCGACACGGGTTCCCTCTGGGACGCAGCGGCCCGCGACGGTGGCGTGCGCGGGCGCGACGCGCGGCATGTCGGCGGGCACGGGGGGGTACAGGCGCAGGGCCTCTGTGAGGACGGCGGTGAGGACGGGGAGGGGCGCGAGGGCGGCGAAGGAGAGTTGGCTGGGGTGCGAGAAGGTGCGGAGTTCGGCGGCGAGGCGGGAGAGCCACAGGGGATGGGCGAGGAGGAGCGCGATGCAGCCGCTGAGGCAGGTCGCGGTGGTTTCGCTGCCGGCGAGGATCAGGAGCGAGGCGGTGAGGCGCAGTTCGCCGGGGGTGAAGCCGGTGCCGGGGGAGGTGTGGGCGGTCATGTGGCTGGGGTTGTCAGTGGGGGTGCATGGGTGTGTGGGTGTGGGAGCGTCAGTGTGGGAGCGTCAGTGTGGGAGGGCTAGGTGAAGGCGACGTACCCGAGGAAGTCCTTGCGGTCCGCCGTAGACTGCAGCCGCCTTGCGAGCTTCCCATCAATATAATCAAACTGCCGCTTCCGGGCGCGCTCAAGCGCCGGCCAGCGCTTCAGCAGCGCGAACACGGGCACGCCGACGACGGGGTACGCGCGCAGCGGCTCCAGCAGCCGCAGCCACTTCACGCCCGCCAGCGTCGCGTCGATCCAGGCATGCCGCGTGTCACTCTCCAGCGCGCCGAACGGCTCCGCGAACGCCAGGTCGCCCGTGATATCGAAGGTGGCGGCGTTCATCCAGCGGGTGATATCGACGGGCTCGCCGGCCTGGGCGCGGCCGCGCAGTTTGGCGACCAGCAGGTCGAAGTAGCCGGTGATGAAGTCCTCCTGGCTGCGCAGGGCGTGCGGGGAGAAGGCGTGCGCCATGGAGCGGCGCATGCGCGCGTGGTCTGCGTCGGGGGCCACTGAAGCCATCATCAGCAAGTGCTATACCGCAGACGGGGCGCTGCTCACCCAGCATGTGGTTCTCCGCGTCCGCCGGGTCGCGCTGGTAGAACCGCCAGTCTTTCTGGAACTCCTTGCCCGCGCCGTAGATGTCTGGCCCGCTGTCAGCACCCGCGCGCGCACGCTCGTGGACTACACACCTCGCCAGGCGTCCGGAGACACGGTGGACAGCGTGTCCGGCGCGATGCGCACAAACTCGCCGTACTCCTCGTGCAGCGCGTGCCACCGCTGGATGTAGTCGCCGGTGAGTCGTTCGTAGTAGAACGGGAAGTAGAAGCCTGCGCGGAGCTTGGGGCCGGGGAAGCTCGACAGCGGGTGGAGGAAGATGTTGTACAGGGCTCGAGAGATGCCGTATACCAGGTACTGGGAGTGTGAGTTTGAGCTCTGAGAGGGGGGGATGCCGTACAGCGAGGATACTGGAGAAGAGGAGCTGTGTTGGCGAGACACTGCTCAGCAGACTCTGTGTAGCCATGTCGGGATCGTCGATAGTATGTTCCAACAGAAACTGCCACGGTACCAGGGAAGCTTCTTGAATCGTGAAGTAGCGGGTGAGCCATAAAGACAAGGAAAACTAGATATATGTGAGTCTGCCGGTCAGTCAATGTAGCTGCCTGGCGAGATAGCAGACCCGCTGTCATCCCCAACAACACCAGGCATCCGCGTCGTACACGGCGCCCAACTCTCCGTCGACGGATACAGCACTGTGCAGTGAGGGGAAACCTGAACGAGTAAACCGGCTCCCAGACATGCGGTTCCAGGCAACAGCAGCGTGCAGCAGCGTGGAAGTGCAGTGGCCGTATACCCGTACTGCCGTAAGAATGTATGGTCTGTAGAACACGGACAAGACTGCATGTACAGCCAAGTCTGCAGGAAGGGGATAGAAGACTGGGTTCCGATGGGGTGTCGTGGTAGGGGGGCGACTCGAGACTCCTGGGTTTGCTCTGACCGTGCTCTCCCACACTGCCATACCACAGGGTACTTGGCAGGTAAGACACTGTATACAACATGTCAGAACTCAATTCAGCGGTCTGATCTGCCTGCAACGAGGTCTTCGTCCGATGACATGACGGTGAGGTTCACAGCAGGAGACGAGTGAAACAACAGGAACAATTCCATATGTGAAATAATATATTCGCCCCCCCCTCTCACACAACGCCAAAGCGCTCGCCCCACCGCAGCGAAAACGCTACAAACCACAAACAACGAACAGAACAAAACAACAAGACGCAACGAAGCGGTAAACAAGAGGTATCCTAACAAACAGCGCAAAACGCCGACCCAGCAGCATCCCGCAGCCCCCAAACGCCGACATCGTAAGCGCGTAGCGTCGTGATGAGTATTAATAAAGATTTGTATCGCGGCAAAGTGCGCAGACGCGTTATGGCTGCGCGGGTGGCGGCGGGGACTGCGGTCTGGCGTGGTCTTGCCTGCTCGCCCTTGTTGGTCGCTGCAGGGCTTTGCTGCGCGGCTGCAGCGGCGCGACGGGCTTCTTCACGGGCTGCGTGTTCTCGGTGTCGACTTCATTCTCGTCCGCGTCCTCGTCCGCGCACACCTCGATCTCGACTTCCTTGGATAACCGCGACGGGCGCTCAATCCCGGCGTCCACTGTGACGTACGACGCCGCCGTGCACCCCGCGGCGTAGAAGTCTGCGGGCGGCAGGTCGCCCAGGGGACGGCGGTCTTCGTCCATGGCCTCGGCGGCGCGGCGTGCGCGCCGCTTGCTCTTGACAATGGGCTTTGCGTCCTCGATCTCCGTCTCCTCGCCGTCGTCCAGCGTCTGCACGAGCGCGCTGCGGGCCTGCGCGAGCAGAAAGTCCGGCGGCGGGATGTTCTCCTTGCCGCGGGCGGCGTCGTCGCGGGCGGCTTTCTGCGCGGCGTCGGCGTCGCTGCTGATGTCGAGGACGGACGCGGAGTGCTCCATGAGGTTTGCGGATTCCTGCTCGGGCGTGTCCTCGTGGATGGCAAAGAACCAGGCTTGCGGCATTGAGTCGTCGAGCGCGGCGGCGGGGGTGGGTGCCGGGGCCGGGGCGGGGGTTACGGTGAGGGTGGGGGTGCTGGGCTGGGGGGAGGGAGCCAGGGTGCCGCTCAGGGCGGCGTCGATGGAGAAGGGCAGGCCCGCGGGAGAAAAGGAGGGCGGGTCGACGCGGCGGAAGGGCGAGGTGGAGGAGCGGCGCTTGGAGATGGCGCTGAGGCGCTTGTTCTTGGGTGACCCGCGGGAGTGGCTGATGGGCGTGGAGCGCGTGGTGCTGGGAGAGGAGACGGACGTCCGGGACGAGGAAATGGAGGAGGCTGGAGAGGCGGTGAGCGGGGCCGCGCGGGAACCGGTGGGCGACGCGACCAGGGCGAAGCGCGCGGGCTTTGCGACCGAGTCGCTGCTGGTGCGCGACTTCTTGGGCGGGGAACTGGCGGCCGGCGCGACATTCTCGCTGTCCTCGTCCTCGAACATGTCCGGCTCGCGCTGGCGCTTGCCGCTGGGCGTCGCCGCGCTGGGCTTCAGCGGGCACGCAAAACTGGGAGAGCTGGGCGAGAGGGCTGCGCGCGTTTAGTGGGAGTCGTGGCTCGCCTGGCGCTCGTCTTACCGTTCTGCCTGTTCTTGGAGCTGCCGAGGGCCTGGCGGCGCGACGACGTAATGTCGCCGAACGGCTGGCGCGTGAAAGTAGAAGTCGCCATTATGGCCTAACAAGTCGAGTGGTAGATGGTAATAAAAGCGCGCAGCAAGACTCTTCTGAGCGTCAGAGTCGCAGACGTACGCGCGGTGAGGCTAAAGGAGCTGACGGACAAGCGGGGTGGGCGCAGGCAGCGGCAAGCAAAACGGAGCGTCGTCCGAGCAACAATCGTAGATCGGCAAATGGCCCAGCAACGGATCGCAACAGAGTCGAGCAGCAGCAACAACGAGCAGAGCGCAGTGAAGAAGCGACCAAAAGCGAGTCGAAGACAGAGTGCCGGCGCGGGCCCTCGCAGCTAATCAATGCCAGCGACGCGTCCCGTGCGACTAGCGCGCATTGCCGTGTCGCGTCGCAGCGATGCACGAGTGGGCGGGTGGGCGGCGCACGAGTGGCCTGCGAGCGACGCACGGAGGCAGCGACGCCCGCCTGCAGCACAGCAGCGCTACCGCAGGGCCCCATGCGAAACCCTTGCGCCGCCACACTGACTGGCTGACAGCGCGCCGTCGCTCTCACTGCTCGGCGCGGGGTGCTGCACGTCGCGGGCGCGCCACCTTCGCGTCGCCGATCGCGACACGGAGAGGCTGGCGGTGGGCCCCTCGCTGCGTGCGGGGGGCGCCTGGTGCGCCCTCGCCGCTCGTGCCTGGTTCTGCGCGCGACGCACCCTCCCTCGGTTCATGTCGCGTCGACGTGCGTGGGCGCGTTTGCGCTGGAAGCAGGTCGTTCGCCCGATTTGGATCACAACACATGGTAAGCGCGTGCTGCTGGGTGATGTCATGCAGCCGAAGGTTTTGACGTCGGGGCGATCGGTCGGTCCGGGCCTGGGGCGCGTCGACGTCGTTTGTTCCCCGGATTGGGGCGTTCGTCCTTGAGCCCCGCTGGCGCGTCGGGTTTTGCGTGAACTGAGGGCCTTGCGTGGATCCACTTGGTGATGTCGCGTTGTCTTGTTCAATTGGGGCTGGGGCGGGGCGTGGTTGAAGTTCGCGATGCTGGGTGCGCTGATGAGGTTGGATATCTGTGTGGTGCATATACACGTTTGATGTCTTTGTGATGTGAGCATCTCCTTCTATTCTCCCGTCCGTGTAGTTGGATGCGTCGCGTTATCGCGATCAATTGATGTGGTGGATGTGGCGGGGTGAGGAAGTTCGCGATGCTAGACGCGCCGACGGGTTCGACCATGTGGTGTTTATACACGTTTTGCGTTCGAATGTGTGTCTATGTGGTGTATACACGCGTCGTCTTCCTTCCTGACGTGAGTCTCTCCTTCTGTGTTCCCATCCTGCCATCTCGCTCTCTCTACACGTCGCGCCACGTACCCCCCGCCCCACCACGGTCCTCACGCGCCGTCCACCGACTCCCATCGCTTCCGTGACTGCGCTGACTGCGTTGACTTCGACCACTGCGTTGACTGCGCCAACTCACACCACTCCTCACACTCCCTCCGCAAACACTAACCTCACTCGCCGCCTTCGGGCGCTCAAACCCATCCCACTCCACCCCTTCACCACCCTCACCATCCCCCCATCCTTCCTTCCCGCCGTCAGACCACCCACCACCATCACCATCCTCGGTCTCGTCGCCGCCGCCACCCCAGCCGTCTACGCGACTGGAGCTGTGCTTGCTCGTCTGGCTCCCCGCATATCTCGACCCCTCAACCCGGCTCCCAGCGCGAGACCACGCGACACTAGGCGCGCTCGCGGACTTGGCGGGTGACCAGGGGGGTTGGCTGGAGACTCGAGAGCTGGGCGGGGACGCGTATGTGACCTCCACGATGTCTGGGGGCGGGTAGGCGGGGTGGAGGGAGGAGGCGGAGGGGGAGGGTGTGGTGTATGTGACCTCCACGATATCGGGGGGTCAGTGTGCGTTTGCGGGGCGAAGCGGTGGAGTGGTCGTGCGTGTTGTGGATGTGGAGAGGCTCCTGGCCTTGTGTTTTCTGCGTGGCGTGGGACTCCATGGTTCTGTCTCCTTGCCTGTCGCTGTCGCCGCGGCACCCCACCCGCCCATCGGCGTCTCGGCCCATGTAATCGCATGCGGCACCGTCCGCTTGTGCTTTGGGGGTTTCTGCTCTTTCGTTCCATGCTCTGGCGTCTTGGACTCTGGTTCCGGCGTCGCCGTGCTCTCAGGCCAACCGCCCAGGCCGCCGGTCATGAAGAACTGCGTTTGGGAGGCAAGCGGGGACGCGACGGTGGACGTGGTGAAGGAGTCGTAGGTGTAGGTGGAGGCAGATACAGACGCAGACGATGAGGCGCGCTCGCCGCGTGCGTGTCTTCCGGTGCCCCTCTCGCTGTTTGTTGGTCTGGTGGGTGAGGGTGCAAGAGACGCGGTCGGGGTGCTGGGCGCTCTGATCCACAGCCTTGCCTCTCGCTTGCGCTTCTCCTTCTCCAGCTCCTCTTCCTTGTCCGTCTCTTTCCCTCTATCGTGCTGCTGTCTTCCGTGCTCTCCCGCACCGGCAGCAACAGGTCCAGAGTCCCACTCCCCGTCCCTCCCCACAACAACCACCCTCCCATCTCCGCTCTTGATCACAAAAGTCCCCCAGTGCAATGGCGCGGGGACAGTCACTACACCCCTCTTTCGCCTCTCTCTATCCTTTCTCCTCTCCTCCCTCTGCCTCTCTCTCTCCTTCATCCTCTCATCACCCCTCCCCCTCTTCTCATCGCTCCTCTCTTTCGTGTTATCATCTGCACTGTCATCTCCATCCTCGCCCCTCCCCCAAATCTCCCCCAGCGCCTGCGCTCCGGCCAGACACCTCGCAACGTCCCCGCCCACTGCGCGCGCCACATCGGCGTTCCACCCTTCGTCGCCCTCGTGCGGTGTAGGGTGCCGTCGACGCGACTTGTAGAAGCGTGTGTTGATGGGACCGAAGCCGGGCTGCGTGGCGGTGAGGAGGTCGGCGCCATCGTCGAGGAAGCTGCCGGTGTAGGCTGTAGAGGCCGTGGAGGGGGGTGGGGGGTGTGGGTGTGGTGGACGGGGTAAGCGGTGGGGGAGGGAGAGTAAGTCGTCGTGGGCTGAGGGGGCTGTGCTGCTCATGTTTGGTGGTGGTGAATGGGTGGTGGACGCGGAAGAGCAAAGTGAGGTGGATGTAAGTGTGGCGAAGTGAAGGCAAGCAAACGCGTTCAAACAGACAAAACAGTATTGTTGCCGGGCAGCCGCGCTGCCAAACGTAGGATATCATACTCGCAGACCAAAACACCTCACAACTTCGCCTTCTCCTTTTTCTTCGCCGCCTCCCAGTCCAGCTGCACGCGCCGCATATTCCACCAACTCCACAGCCCACTCACCACCCCCAGCGGCGGCACCACCCACGTCAGCACCCCCCACCACCACGGACTGCGCCTCCGCACATCCGCCATCACCCGCCTGACCTCGCTCTCCAAATGCGCCTGATCGCCATCATTCCACACCACGACCCCCTTCCCCTCGCCCCTCCTCAGACACCTCTCCGCCTTCTCCCTGATATCCCCCTGGCTGAGGACCCGATTCCTCGCGTCCTCCTCGCTCAGATGCGCATCCCGCGCCCGCAGCCGCTGGATCTGGATCCCCGGGTCCGACACCCCGACTACCACAATGCTGCCGCAGTACCGCTCCCACCCGCTCTCGAACAGCAGCGGCACATCCAGCACCACCGCCCAGTGGCCCTTGAGATACGCCCACACCATCTGCCGGTACATCTCGCGCCGGATCGCAGGGTGCACGATGCGGTTGAGTGCGTTGCGGTCGGTCTGGCGCTCCGCGCTGGTGCCGAACACGCGGCGGCCCAGCGCAGGGCGGTTTAAAGGCCGGTTGGGGGCGTCGAGGAGGAGATCGGGCGTGCTGGGCAGGAAGTGCGAGACGATGGCGCGGTAGGCGGGGGTGCCGGGTTCGACGACTTGGCGGGCGATCAGGTCGGCGTCGATGATGGGGAGGGAGTAGGGGGCTTGGCGGAGGAGGGCGGAGACGGTGGATTTGCCGGTGGCGATGGAGCCGGTGAGGCCGAGGAGCAGCATTGTGGGGGTTTGGAAGGGGGCGCTGGGGAAGTGGAGTGATGGGGGTTTGTGGCGTTGGAGGTGGTGGTGGATGCGGGGAGCTTGAGCTTGAGCTCGGGCCTAGCGTTGGACCTCGGAGCTGCAACGGCTCGATTCAGGACAAGGTTCACGGCGATGCAGGGCATTGCAAGGATGAATAATTGCGACTACGAGCTGACCTGCTCTGGATATCCGTTTTGTGCTCCGAACGCCTGCCGTCTTTCATGCGAAACCACCTAATCTTCAGATTGCGGGTATTTACAAACGCGGGCGGCCTCTCTTCCTGCCGGCGACCGGCGACGCATGCACCTGTGGAGTGAGTGCTGACCGAACACTCGGACGGAGCCGTTGTGCCAGGACAGGCGCAGGCGCTCCTATCGGCGGCGCCCGCTCTGGGCTCAAACTCGAACTCTCGCTGCTGCGCGCATCCTACGGTCGCACGTCAGTCATAGAAACCAACACAGCATGAGTCTAGTCCGAAACCTCTCCATGGTGGACTGTCTGCTCAATGGGCTCTACGAGCTTGCGCGCGGGGCGGACAATCTGCAGCTGGTTGTCCTCGGCCGCGCCCATCATGACCCACGGGTCATTCTTGTTCCAGTCAAAGTCGCAGATTCTGTTTGTGAAACCGCCGTGCATGAAGAGTCTGGTGGTGTTAGTCTGCAGTATCATATCAGGGTGAATACACATACAACTCAGGCGGACCGTCCTCGGCCTCCTCCTCCGTCTGCTCGTCGCCAATCTTGCTTGTGTCCCACAACAGGATGCGGCGGTCGTAGCTGGAACTGGCGAGGATGGCGGCGTCCTGAGGATGCCATTGCAGGCCGATGACGTCGCTACGATGGTACACCAGGCTGTGCAGCGGCTTCTCGAAGTTGCGCAGATCCCAGATACCAATCGTCTTGTCGGCAGAACCAGTAGCCAGAATCATGTCCCACTCGGGGTGGAAGGCGATGCTGTTGACGGCGTCCGTGTGGGCGACCTTCCTCCAGAGCGCCTTCTTGTGCGACTCGAGGCGCGTGTCGATGACCTGCCAGGTCAGGTCGTCGGATGCAGAGCCAATGAGGTGGGCGTGGATGGGGTGGTACTGCACGTCGTTCACGGTTGCGCTGTGGACCGTGTACGAGGCGCTGGGGCTGATGGTCTTGTTGGACTTGGAGAAGCCGCTCTTGATGTCCCATGTCTTGACCGTCGTGTCTTCGCCACCGGTCGCCAGATGGCCCTCGTGAAAGGGACTCCAGCTCAGCGCGAACCCCTCCTTCTCGTGGCCCACGCACTCGGCCTCGAACTGGATGGCGTCGCCCTTGGGCTGCAGGGGGTGTTTTGTGCGGTCGAAGATGAGCGCACGTCCGTCTGTGCACAGCGTCGCGATAATGTCGGGGTTCTGGGGCTGGTAGCGCGCCTTGTTGACCTCGCCGGGGTGGTTGATCTTCTGCACGATCTTGAAGTCGAACGGCCGTTTTGCATGACCGTGTCCGCCGACTTCATCGCGATCCTCGCTGACCTCAGACAGCTCGGGCGTGCGGAAGTCGGGGATCTCGCAGTGGGCGATCTGGAGGTAGTTCTGCGCCTGGTTGGATGTGTGGGTGCCCAGGATCACGCGGTGCTGGCTCATCTCGGTGCCCTCGACGCTGCGTCTGTCAGCTTTCGTCTGTTGATAATCGTGTTATATCAGGCGTACGGCTTCTTGTCGGGCAGCCATTGCGTGGTGAGGGTGGGCCACTCGAGCGCGCGCCCGTACAACATGTCGTAGAGGAAGACCGAGTTCTTCTTCCATATCTTGTACTCCTCGTTGATAATCTTGTGATCAGCCTCCTCCTGCTGGTCCTCGTTGCTCCGCGAGCTGTGCTCTTCGCTCATCGTCTCATCCATGGTGGCGGTGGTTGTGGTGACAGAATCGAAGTTGGAGCTTGAAGCTGTGGGCCTCGACGCGTGCAGTCCGTGTCGCGCAGCGCTACGCTGTATTTGGGCGGGTAGCTAATGTGGCGCTACTTCCTTGGATCGGTTATCTTCGGTACCATCATCAATTCTATGTAATTTTTGGCCTTTAGCGAGCATGATTGGATCAAATCTGCTTACATCACCTCGCGTCCACGCGCCTAATTGGCTGCTGCGCCACAGATGAACCCACATTGGAGACGTACTCCCAATATCATGTACTGCCACTCACCGCCCGCGCAATCGATTGCCGCCACTGTCATGTCTTGGCGCTAACATCATATGAAGCCGTCCACGATGCGACCTCCTGCTCTTTGAAGACCCCAGCGTCGAGAACCATCCCTCTTGTTTGCCTTTGCGCCCACAAGCGCTGCCTGCGCTTCTTCTTTTACCTTCACAAATCCCACTCGCTTCGGCGACACTCAGCACCAGCACCTCGCCTCCACGTATTGCTCATATCGTTAGAAAGTAGCAGTAATCATGGGTGTTCCCAAATTCTTCAGATGGATGTCCGAGCGGTACCCGGGCATCTCTCAGCTCATTGCTGAGAACCGCATCCCCGAGTTCGACTGTCTCTACGTAAGTACCGGAGCAGTCGCCGGTGACAAGGCTAACACACACAGCTCGACATGAACGGCATCATCCACAACTGCACGCACAACGACTCCGACGGCCCGACAGTACGCATGACCGAGGACAAGATGTTCATCGCCATCTTCAACTACATCGAGCATCTGTTCGGCAAGATCAAGCCCAAGCAGCTCTTCTTCATGGCCATCGATGGTGTCGCCCCGCGCGCCAAGATGAACCAGCAGCGTGCTCGTCGCTTTCGAACTGCTCTCGACGCTGAAAAGGCTCGAGACAAGGCTATCAAGGAGGGTGTCGAGATGCCCAAGGAGGCGCCTTTCGACAGCAACTGCATCACCCCCGGTACCGAGTTCATGGCGAAGCTCACCCAACAGCTGAAGTACTTCGTCAACAAGAAGGTCTCCGAGGATCTGGACTGGCAGGGCGTGGAAGTCGTGCTGTCTGGCCATGAGGTTCCCGGAGAGGGCGAGCACAAGATCATGGAGTACATCCGCCAGGCGAAAGCCCAGCCGGATTACGACCCCAACCGTCGTCACTGCTTGTACGGTCTCGACGCCGATCTCATCATGCTGGGTCTGCTGAGCCATGACCCTCATTTCTGTCTCTTGCGCGAAGAGGTGACTTTTGGCCGCCAGAGCAAGGCCAAATCCAAGGAGTTGGAGCATCAAAACTTCTTCCTGATGCATCTCTGCATTGTTCGAGAATACTTGGGACTCGAGTTTCAAGAACTAGATGAGCCTGGTGCTCTCGGCTTCCCATTCGACATGGAGCGTGTCATTGACGATTTCATTCTTATGGCTTTCTTTGTTGGTAACGATTTCCTTCCTAATCTTCCCCACTTGCATATCAACGAGGGCGCTTTGGCCCTCATGTTCAACGTCTACAAGACCGTCCTTCCCAAGGCCAAGGGCTACATCAACGAGGGGGGTGTAATCAACATGGAGCGATTGGCGCTCCTGCTCGACGAGCTCTCCAACATCGAGAACCGTCACTTCGAGTCCGAGAACGCAGATGCAGCCTGGTTCAAGGGTAAGCGCCTGGGGCGTGAGGACATCATGCAGAAGACCGCGCGACGAGGCACGGTCGTCATGTCCACCCAACAGAAGGAGCTGTTCAGCAAGGTGAAGAGCTGGGTTGGAAACCACCTACAGAAGGTCGAGCAACCGCCTCTCGATCTTCCGGTAGAACTGAAGGCCGAAGACCGGAAGTTCGTCCAGGAGCTTGCGGACAAGCTCCATCTGCCGTGGAAGTCGGTAACAGACGATGATGGTAACCGCCACCTGCAGATCTCGGCCCCACCAAAGTTGGTCGAGAGCGACGAAGAAGACGAGGACGACGTCGCGAACGAAGAGTCCACTAAGGCTATAGTACGAGTTGTGCAGAAGTACGACCAAGCTAAGATCGTCGACATCTCACCCGAGGAGGCGGAGTCAGCCATGCAGGCCAAGTACGACGAGAAGTTTGAGGCCTGGAAGAACGATTACTACAAGAGCAAGTTCGAGTGGGACCGCAGCAACGAAGAGGAGCTTCGCAAATTGACCGAAAACTACGTACAGGGACTGCAATGGGTCCTTTACTACTACTACCGTGGAGTCGCTTCTTGGCCATGGTACTATGGCTACCACTACTCGCCCATGATCTCCGACGTCAAGCGAGGTCTGAAGGCCGACATCAACTTCAAGCTCGGCCAGCCATTCAAGCCATACCAGCAATTGATGGGTGTGTTGCCGGACCGCAGTAAATCCATCGTACCGGAGGCGTATCATCCCCTCATGACCAGCGCGGATTCTCCCATCATTGACTTCTACCCCCGCGATTTCAATCTTGACATGAACGGAAAGAAGCAGGACTGGGAGGCTGTCGTCAAGATTCCTTTCATCGAGGAAGACAGACTGCTCAAGGCCATGGCGACCAAGGAGCACCTGCTTACGCCTGACGAAGCGTCTCGCAACTCTTACGGCGTTTCGCTGAAGTTTACCTACGCCAAGAACGTTGACTTCGTTTACCCATCCTCACTCCCGGGTATCTTCCCGGACCTGCCAAACTGCAAGTGTATCGAGAACATCTACGATCTTCCTACAATGGATGGGCTTGAGTACTACGTGGGCTTGATGGACGGTGTCAAGCTGGGCGCATCAGCTTTGGCCGGCTTCCCCAGTCTGAGGACCCTGCCGTTCCACGGTGCTCTTGAATTTGCAGGCGTCAACGTCTTCTCGCAAGACAGCCGCAACGAGAGCATGGTTGTCACCCTTGTTGACACCGAGCCAAGGACTTCTATTGCTTACGCTCAGAAGATGCTCGGTAAGGCGGTCCACGTTGGCTACCCGTTCCTGCACGAGGCGAAGGTAGTCAAGGTATCCGACGAGCTTTTCGACTACTTTCCATCCCAGGATGGCGTTTCTGCTCCCATGGCGCTTGAGCATGGGCCGACGGAGATCTCCAACTGGAAGAAGATGGCGAACCGAATCCAGGATGCCTACGGCAAACGTCTTGGTATCATCATCGGTGAAGTCGAAGCTCTTGTGCACGTAGAAATGCTCAAGGGCCTCAAGAAGACCGACGAGGGAGCCACCATCAAGGAGTACGGCCCTGTGTCCGGTCTTCAGGCTGACTACGCTGTCCAGGCCATCGTCGAGGAGGTCATCAGCCCTGATCAGCGTTTCATCGAGAAGGCTGCTCTACCTATCGAGGAAGAGTTCCCCGAGAACTCTCGCGCCTTCTATCTTGGCGATTATGCCTACGGTCGTCCTCTACAGGTCATTGGCCACGCAGACCACAAGGCCACTATCATGGTCGCCAGGCTGAAGAAGGCAGAGCCCGACTTCGGTCACCAGATTGTTGCGCAAGCCGAAAGGTCGACGCCATATCTGCCATCGTACGTTGTGGCTAGGCAGCTGAACATGCCGCCTCTTGCTTTGTCGAAGTTGACGTCTTCATTCAACGTCAATTCCAGTGGTCTTAAGCTGAACCTGGGACTGAACCTGAAATTCGAGGCGAAGAAGTTGAAGGTGTTGGGATATTCGCGTAAGTCAGCCAACGGGTGGGAATACAGCCAAAGGGCCGTCGCACTGCTTGCCCAGTACATGATCAAGTTCCCTGAGTTCTTTGCTGGCATCATCAACAACCCGACAGGAGACGGATGGGAGGATACCGATTTCTACCCTCCCGAGATCGCCAAGCAGAAGGTCAAGGAGATTGGAGCTTGGCTCAAGGAAGTGCAGACCAAGAGCTTTGAGAAGGTGCCACTTGATGCGGAGCAGCTCGATTCGGAGACCGTCAAGATGATCGAGCAAGCCGCCGATGCCAACCTTGCGTTGCTGCAGGACGCGGAGATGAAGAAGATTGGCAAAGTACCACGTAGCGCCATCTTGAAGCCCTCCGACGCGGAGCAACGTCTTGGCCACCAGCAATTCACCATTGGCGATCGTGTCATCTACGTACAGGATTCCGGACGAGTCCCAATCGGATCATCGGGAACCATTGTTGGCAAGACCAGGACCGCACGCAGCCTGTTGTTGGATGTAGTCTTCGACGCGACCTTCATGAGCGGAACCTCTCTCAACGACCGCTGCTCCCCCTTCCGAGGATCCACCGTCCCCTCCACCTCCGTCCTCAACCTTTCTGACAAGCAAGTCGTCTCTTACTCGACCGCCGGCGCCGCTGCTGCCGCCGCCAAGCGCACAAACCAAAACTCAGGCTACACCACACCGCGCCTCGGCGCTCCCGGCGGTCCCCAACTCGTCCCCGCATCCACCCCCGCGCCCCTCCAGGGCTCCTACCGCGGAGCCTTTGGCGGCGCCCGCGGCGGCCGTGGCGGCGGAATGGCACCCCGCGTCGGCGCGCCCTCCAATGGCGCCCCCCAGCACCCCCAAACCATGCCCATCCACGGCGGCCCACCGCGCGGCGGACGCGGCGGCTTCGCTCCACGCGGCGGCCAAGCCAACGGCCACGCCAACGGCCACGCCGACCAGCCCAACGGCAACAGCAACGGCAACGGCGCCCCGCGCGGCCGTGGGCGCGGCGGCTTCGCCAAACCGGGCCGCGGCGGCTTCACCAGCGTCGACAACACCGATCCGGCCGAGGGCATCGTGCAGACGAACCCCAATTTCCGCCCGCAGAACTATTCCAATGTGCCGCCGCCGGCGGGGTTGGATGGCGGGCGCGGCAGGGGCCGTGGACGCGGCCGCGGCGGGTTTAGGGGCAGGGGTGCGCCGAGGGGAGGCGCGCCGGCTCCGGCTGCGCAGTAGAGTGGGGTTGTAGGTTTGCAGGTGATATGTGGAGCTTAGAACAGTGAAATGGAAGGGATGAACCAGATGCTTGGGTTTGCGGTGATGTGGTTGTTTGATGTTGAGTGGGGATGGAGTGCGCATGCAGACATGCTCACGATATGAGACTGTATGGTGCATCGGAGCGTAATGTTGGGAGATAGAGCCTGCATGTCTGCAACACGACTGCACTGTGTGCATTCCAATCGTCAATTTCAATATCACAACCTATCCGGACGTCCTGAAAATGCCATGCTCCGACAAAATGACATTATCACAAAAACCTCTACATCTAGAAACAAGGGTATCATACACACCACCTAGTCCCGCCTGAGCACATCCACAACCCACTCAAAGCCCTCCCTGCCCTCGCGCAGCCGATACGGCGCCGTCAGCACAAAACAATGCATCTGCTTCGCCCAATGCAGCCACTCACCGCGCACCCCATGCCGCGCCAGCTTCTCGCGAAACACCAGCCCGTCCGGGCTCAGCACGTCGTACCCCGCCGTCACGCCGTGCACGCGAATCCCGCTCTGCGCGAGGAGCGTGAAATCCGCGTTAATCGGCGACACAATGCGGTCCGCGGGATCAACGTCGGAGCCCAGCCAGGCGCGCGCGGTGGCGCGGATGGCCTCGGGGGACAGCAGGGGGTCGACTGCGCGCAGCGTCTCGATATCGGGGTTCGAGCGCGTCAGGTCGGTCGACGGGCTAATGGTCATTATGGATACGGGCTGGGGGGCTGGGGGGCTGCGGGGGGTCTCGGCGTCCTGGCGCAGTGCTTCCATGACCATGCACAGCACCATGTTGGCGCCGGACGAGTCGCCCATCAGCGTCACGCGCTCGCCGGCGTCGGAGGCGAGGCGTAGTAGTTCGCGGTATAGTCGCATGCACCACGGGAAGGAGCTGGAGGCGGTGTTGTTCGGGGCCAGCGGGGGCGAGATGATGGAGATAATGGTGTCGGGCAGGGCGAGGGCGAGCTGTGCGCACACCCACCAGTGCTGGCCCGAGGGGGCTTGTTGCCAGCTGCTGCCGGCGATGTAGTAGATGCGGCGCGTGGGGGCCTTTGTGGGAGTCCTGGGCGGGACGATGTCGTAGATGTGGATGTCGCAGACGGTGCGGTGGGAGGTTGTGCATGGCCTGACGCGCGCCTTGGGGGACTTGAGTTTGATGGAGCCGTCTTCGTGTTTGGGCGCGCTGGGGTTGAGTTGCTTGCGGAAGAGGCGGACGACCCGCAGCAGAACGGCCATGACTACTGTGCGGTCCTCGCGGGTCGTGATTTTGATTGACGACCCTGGCCCATCGTGGGCGGCATGTTGTGAATCAGGCATGAAGTCTACCATGTGAGTGGTGACATGAACTGGGGAAGGTTATGCAGGGAAAAATGCCCTGGGATCAGCGACATCTGAGTTCTTTACGCTTTGGGTGCCGTAGACGCTTTCAAGGAGCGCAGTGACGTCAAAGACGCCCACCCATATCGGATTTTTGTCAGCATACGATCTAAGCCGTGGGATTGTCTGTCAATCTTGCATCGTGTCATGGGATATGCGAGAACCCCGAGAAGGTTGTGAATCGCTTCGCAGCCAGTCTAATGTGTCGTTGATGGAAGAAGTCGTCGGTTTCAGTAGTCGCTGATGGCTGTGACTTGAGCCTGACGTCACCACCGCCAAGTCTCGGCAGCGCCCTGGCGGCTTCTCGGCTGCTTCCACAACGTCAACAACATGGCGTGTGAAGAGCGCTCGAGTGTGCTCAACGACTGGCCTGCAATTGGCAATCGACTGACGGTGGCACAAAAGACGCTGCAGCAAGCGGAGCATACGACTGGACGATCTGTGCGCCCGATGAAGCAATCCTGCAGCTTTGAGCCAACGCAAGTCTGAACGCTATGAAGGATGAGGTCAGGACGTGAATCAGACGCGTGCGGAGTTCTTGACCGTTACTTTCCTGTGGCTCCGCATCGAGCGGAATCCGCTAGGCAAGATAGTTCCGCTCCGCCAGCCTCACCCGCCGGCATCTCATCCGGCTTGAGGCTCTTGTCGTCTTGGAAGTCTGCGTCGAGACTCTTTTCTAGGCACAACCTAACCAGTTCAGTCAGTGGTGCCAACCGTCGTTCTCTCGGCGCACGTATGCTCAACCTTGTTGTCACGCCAGGTAATCTACCATGTAGGGGATATAAGTAATACCTCAGCCACGTGTGGCACTCGATCTCTGACCCACAGCACCCGCCTTGCATTCGATGGCTCATCAACAGTCTCTCACCGATGCGGAGATTGAGAAATTCATTGAGGACCTAGACCACGACAACAACGGGAAGATTGACTACTGGGAGCTCGAGCGCAAACTCGACCAGGTCCACAAGGAGATCGCACCAAAAGCACAACCACACCACCTCCATCACGAATCGCGAACAGAAGCCCGCCATGAGTTTCTTCGGAGTGTGATTGGCATCCAAGAGGACCGAATCGACGACGCCAAGTTCGCGGAGATCGTGAAATCATGGGACATTCCTTCATTGGAACAAGATCGGAAGGAGGCTAAGCAGGAAGATGACTACTTGAAGCAAATGTCCGCTTGGAGGCGGGCACGCGCCTACTGGGCCGTCAAGGGGCCTGAGATCGCGTTCTCGGCGTTTGTCGCAGCCTTTATGGTAGCCTTTGGTGTTTGGCAGCTCGTCAAGTACCTCACATACGATGAGTACACCCCAGCATTTGGCTGGGGCGTGGTGGTGTCCAAGACCGCTGCAGGAGTGTTATACCCGACGTTTTTCTTCCTCATCCTCTCCATGTCACGCTGGCTGGCAACCTTCCTTCGACGCTTCTACTTTGTCTCCAGGTTCATCAACTGGGATCTTTCGCAGTCCTTCCATATCAAAATGTCGATTGTTGCGTTGTTCTTTGCAACACTGCATGCCATCGGCCATCTTTCCGGATCCTTTGTCTTCGGCAGCATGGCGCATCGCCAGGATAGCGTTGCTGTAGTGCTCGGTGCCGACGCTGTGCCGCGTGCTTACATCGACTATGTAAGGACGGTTCCTGGATGGACGGGCCTTACTGCTATCAGCTGCTTCTATCTCTTGACAGCTATGAGTATGCCCCAGGTCCGGAAGTGGAGCTACGAGGTCTTCCAGCTGGGCCATCTGCTCATGTTCCCCATCATCGGTCTTATGATCGCGCACGGAACTGCTGGTCTCTTACAGTGGCCCATGTTCGGTTACTGGCTTGCAGTTCCTACACTGTTCGTCGTCTTCGAGCGCACGTGGCGAGTTATCCTAGGATTCCGTCCCATCGATGGCGAACTTGAGCTTTTAGACGACGAGACGACTGTGATAACTGTCAATGTCCCCCACAAGAGGCCGTGGGCCTATAAGGCTGGACAGTATGTTTTTATCCAGGTGCCGCAGATGTCCCGCTGGCAGTGGCATCCTTTCACTGTTTCGACCTGCGTCAACAACAGGATGCAAGTGCACATAAAGGCGGATGGTGACTGGACAAATGAGTTGCGGGACATGGCGAAGAAGGCTGGCAAGAAGCAGACTATCAAGGTTGGCCTTGATGGACCGTATGGTGCCCCTGCGCAACGCTTCTACGACTTCGAGTATAGCATGGTCTTCGGGTCAGTCGCAGTATTATCCTCCCGAAGAACAACGCTGACATTTCACAGTGCTGGTATTGGTGTCACCCCTTTCTCCGGCGTTCTGACTGATCTTCAACATCACGAACTCGAGCGGAGCATGTCTGGCGAGAACTCTGCAGAGTCTGGCTACGAGAGCGGCAAAAACTCCCCCTACGAAGACCACCGACGCGTAGACTTCCACTGGATGGTCCGCGACAAGAACAACCTATTGTGGTTCTCAGATCTCCTCAACCAGGTGTCTCGTGCCATCGACCTCGATCGCTCGCATCTCGACATCCGCGTACAGACATTCGTGACCCAGAAGCGCAAACAGATCTCCGAACACGTCTTTCGATGGCTGCTCGAGAAGCACAGGACCGATGAGCACCCACAATCACCTATCACCGGTCTTTGCAACCCGACGCATTTCGGTCGTCCGGATATCCCATTGATTATGGAGGAGCACTACTCAGATATGTGCAAGGTGCTGGGTGAGAGACTGCAGGAGAAGAACTCGAAGGCGAAGGATGAAATCAATGTTGGTGTGTTCTTCTGTGGACCGCCAGTCATCGGTCAGCAGATTGCAGACCAGTGCTCACAGATGAATGCGAAAGCACGAAATGAGGGGAGGAAGGTTGAATATCGGTTTATGATCGAAGTGTTTGGTTGACTTTTCAATTCTTGCGATACCCGTTTAACAATTAGACAGCATTAATTTAATATCACGACCTCGTTCTGTCTCACATAGACCGAATTCCTTATGCTACGGCGTCCGATAAGGCACCGCCACATTTAGGCGTGCCGTTACAGTACTACCTTGCAGTTCGACCCCTGCTCGCCGCAGCTACTCAGCCTGATCGCCTGTTGTCAGCCTCAACCAAGGTACAAAACATGAGTATCGCCAGCCTCTTACCTATGCTCCCTAACTGATCAATTTAACAATTTCTGTGAATTCGAAAAAGCTATTTCCTTCGTCACCAAAATGATGTGCAGATGGGACGGTGGAGGTCCTGATAGGCTATCCTCAGTCATCTGCACCGCTCTCATGCTATACCTTACAGCCTTCTTAGAGGTCGCTGTACACATGAACTGTTGCGGCACAAGAGAAGACGGAGAACGTCATGACACGTCTCCAGACGACACGTCACAAGAAGCACTGCTGTCTACAATCGTAGCAGAGCAACCCCGCCCGCAGTCAACACCTCAGGCCAACTTATCTCAAGGCAACACATCCGACCCCAGCACAAACGAAGAGGCTGCAAAGCCAGATCCATCAAAGGCTCCCTACGCCCTCACCTGCTGCGTCTTCTGCCTTCCCAACCCCTCGCCCAGCGTGCGAGCAAACCGCCTCATAATCGCCATCCTGCTGTACGCCGCCATCCTCACAGCCTTCATCATCCGTGTGCGCAACCCCGAGCCCAACTGTTATGCTTTAGGCTTCTTCAACATTCTACCGCTGTGCATTGCGTCGCTCAGTCTGCTGCGGGCGGTGATCGACTGCTACCTGGTGCGCCAGGGTCGCAGCTTGACCTATGTGGGACAGGAGGGCGCCGAGGGGTGGACGACGTGGCCGCCGTGTATGGCATTCTTCCTGCCGTTTTGGTGTATCAGGGCGGGTTTGGGGTGGCCGATTGAGTGGTTGATGGGTATGCCGCTGGGTGCTCGCAATAGGAGAGCGTTTGTGGAGGAGGATATTGAGATGGGTGGGGAGGAGACGAGAGGGCTTGTAGATGGGCTTGATGAGGATGACAGCGAAGGTGAGGGGGAGAGGGGGGATCCGCCCGCGTATGAGACTGAACACAACCAGAACGGCGTTCGGATAGGCGCAGGCAAAGGCCTGTAGAGGGTGCCATACGTGTTGCACTGATCTGGAGTTTAGGAAGGTGCTTGGAAGAGAAATGCGCAGATGATCAACGGATTCTACTCCTCACAGATTTGCGTAGTGAGAATCGGTGCATTTGAGTGAATCGAAGGCTCACGAATGTCGCAATCGCCTACCTTATAAACGTCATCAGGTTTTGCCGCAGCAAACTGCTTCACCGGGTCATCCGCGTCGAGTACGAGGACGCTCGTTCATCGTAGCCAATGGACACCAGACACCTTTTTCACTCCTACTTGCTATTGCTAAATGGTGTTACCTACTAAATGTGTAAAAAACTCTAGCGCAGGCAATCTCTATCTCTCAACATGGATGATGTAATGACTCTGCATGTTATGCTATAATTCTCGCCAGCGCAGCAGTGTGAGTTTGGTTAGTGTTACTGCCTGTTATCACTTCGTAACAATATCATCGTGCAGCACAAGCCGCAGCTACCCGCCCGATATCCGTACCTGCCTCCTGCGTGACCCAGGTCAGTTGACAGCCTTGCGCAGTGCAGCCGTTGCTACCCCGCGCCTCGTTTATACTTGACCCCGCTATAAGACTCGTTTAGCCCTTCCGTAGAACAATCACGCCATCGCCGCCAGTCCATAATCGCACATCATGGTCCAGGTACGCACCCCTTTGGGCCAGGTCGTCTGTAAAAATTACTGTAACAGGCAGTCTGTTTACTGTGGAACACGCTACTGACGTCACAGCTCGAATACACAGTCGAGAAGCCGCTCAATCGAGAGCCAGAGCTCGCCAAGCTCGTCTCCAGGTACTTGGGCTATTAGCATTCAACACAGGCGTGGCTGACATTCATCTCAGCTTCATCACTGAAGAAGGTGGATATGATCGCAATCATGGACCTATCCCACACCTCGACACAGCCACACACCAGGTCTGCGTGTACGGCCTCGTGAAGAAAGAACTATCTCTCCACGTGAAGGACCTGCAAGCACTCCCTCAACACAGTGTGATATGTGCGCTACAATGTGCTGGCAACAGGCGCCACACCATGCGCACGAAGTTAAAGGAGGTCTCCGGCATCGACTGGTTTGACGGCGCCGTCATGAACTGCAAGTGGACCGGCCCCCTCCTGAAAGACGTGCTCGACAAAGCAGGCGTCAAGGTCGAAGAGGCTAAGTGGAAAGATGCACACGTCGCATTCTCTTGCTTCCAGACACCGACCCAGGACGACGAGTACTACGGCGCTAGTATACCCTTGTCACGTGCCATGGATCCGAACAGCTCGATCATTATAGCGCTCCAGATGAACGATAAGCCCCTGCCGCCTAATCACGGCGCACCGGTCAGAGTTGTCACGCCTGGTATTGCTGGTGCTAGGAGTGTCAAGTGGCTAGACCGCATCACGGTGCAGATGTGCGAAAGCAGCAGCTACTACCAGCAACACGACTACAAGATTCTTCCGCCTGAGGCTGACTGCAAGGAGAAAGCCGAGCAGTGGTGGGGTAAGGTGGACGCGATACAAGAGATGCCGATCAACAGTGTCATTGGCGTGCCTAAGACGGGTTCGAAGGTCCAGCGCGACGAGAACGGTACCATAGAAGTCAAGGGCTATGCGCTGCCAAGTGGAGCCGATGGGCCGATCACAAAGGTCGAGGTTACTGCTGATGGCGGGGAAACGTGGGTGGACGCCGAACTTGATCAGAGCCATGAGCACAGAGACGCAGACTTGAAGTGGGCGTGGACACTGTGGAAGGCAAGAGTCAAGGTTGAGAAGGGCAAGGATGTGACGGTTTACAGCAAGGCCACTGATCGTAGCGGGACAACGCAAGAGAAGGAGGTCGAGTGGAACTTTCGAGGTGTTGGATACAATGCATGGGGCGAAGCTTCAGGTCTTGAGGTAGTCTGATCCAGGAGGCATTTACCGTTTCTGGTCATAAGCATCACATCAGCAATCATCGTAGTCAATTCCCTCATATGCTCTATCCGAAACACTCACTCCAAAACACCACCCATGCAATGCCGCAAAATAACTCCGACCGCACCAAAATCCCAGTCTCTCACCCATTTACAACCCCAGGCTCTTCCTCACATTCTGCCGCACAATTGTCTCATATTTCTCCTTCTCATTCCTCCACATCTTGGCTGCGTCGATGTTCGCCGGGCTCTCGTCGTTCGGCTCGGCAAGCATGCTCATCACGCTGATAAGGATCTTCTCGACGCTCTGGATCGGCGACCAGCGCTCGGAGGCTTGCTCGTAGTGCAGCGGATCGTCGCCCGGGGGATGCAGGATCGAGATGCAGACCTCGCCGCTGTTGTATACTGTGTTTGTTAGCCTTTGTCCCTTTCTCTCACACCGTCCTCTCCCCTCTCCCCTCTTCTACACTCCACTGCCTCCGCGCACATCGCACAAGGGTACTCCATACCGTTCGGATGCCACATGTCCGTCAAAAACCGCATCTTGGGCGGCGCAAGCGGGTAGTCGCGCGGAAACTTGAGTTCGGCGGGGAACACGCCGCCTTCGAATGGCGTCCCCTCGGGTCCCTGGATCAGCGCTTCCCACAGGAACATGTCGTCTTCGGTCACCGGGCCGGCGTTTATGCCCTCGGGCGGGTCGGAGGAGAGCGCTTTGTATTCCTTGAAGAGGCGTTTGGCGGCGGGGTTGGACATCTTGGGTGGGGTGTAGTGGTGGGCGCGGCGGGGCAGTTGGTGGGTGAAATCGAATACTGAGCGGTTCGGCGGTGATTAGGTGGGTTGGGTCGGCTCTTGTATGTGAGGCGAGTTGTGTGACGGGGCGGTTTGGGCCTCTGTGAATGTGTTTGAAGGTATTCGGAGATTAAGAGGTTAACGGACTTCCTGCCGTGAACCACGGCGATCCACGCTAGTGAACGCGCACGGACCCATGGTGACATAATCGATGTCCCATGAACGCGTCCTCGACGCGTTGAATACATACATGCTGCTTGTCATCCGTGGGGCTACCGCATCATTTGGGCCTGAGACCATTCAACCAGCCAAGTCGTTGTCGAGCTCTCGTCCTACTTCGTCACTATTCGAAAGCTCGATACCGGATACGGCCGAGAGATCCAATATCGAGTCCTCTGGGAAGAACTCCCTCATCTCCCGCACTGCTATCGTGCTAGTGGCCAAAACCTTAATAGTGGTTCTCAACCTTGGATCGTACATCAGCTGCGAGATGTATGTCATCGCCTCCAGGGTCTCGTCGACAGCCGCATCACGTTCGTAGTAGGCGATTTCATCGATGATACAGATGAGTGTGGTCTCTTGAGGTAAGCGATTGATCAACCAGCCTAAAACCTGGCAGAGTCCGGCCACTTGTCCTTGTTCTGCGCTTGCTAAGTCCACACTGTATTGGATGTCTCTCGTGTCGAATGGTTGTTGACACAGGAGCTGGGCGATGAAGCTTCGCAAAAGTGCAACGCCACCGTAGTATTGACCTTCCACTTCCTCGTGGAGGCCGCAGAAATGCGTCAAGGCAAGGAAACCAGGTTTCTGCCTCAATGCCCCAGTCAAGGTGGAGCATAGTATCGACAATGCGGTTGCTCCGCCTACACTCACACAATGACCGTGCAGCAGCAAAGCCGCTGGCTCAGGTGAGATCATCCAGGTCTTGAACTGATCCATGTTGACAACATGCCCAGCTCGTCCTCGGTCGGCCCACGGGAGGCTCTCACGCTTATCGATTATTGTTTCCATGTCGACCTTCTCCACTTGCTCCCCCACCTCAAGGAGTCTCCATAACGATTCTGGGGTCACAGTGTTGTCGTGCACAAGACTGTTAATGTTTGGCTGCCACGCAGCAGCTAGGGGTGTCGGTGTAGGTGTTATCGATCGAACACTATGCGTCAGCACCTCGTTTCTCTTCTCCAGTTCTTGCATCTGCTTCCTCAATCTCAACTTCTCTTCTTCGTGGTCGACCATGAGATGGAGCACCGCGTTGTGCATGTTGGTCAGCATGTTTTCCATTCTTCCAGTCCTCTCGTCTGTTGACCTGACAACCTCGTTCGTATCTCTACTGATCCTGCCGATCTTCCTCGATTCTTGGCTTGCATACAGCATGTAGGACTCGTGAACCTGGCTGCTAAGCTCTTTGGTCTTAGTTTGGACGTCCGAGAGACCTTGAAGAACGTTCTCTTGGTATTCGTCACCCCGGAAAAGCACTGCTGTCATCTTTCTGTACACCTTCTGTTCGTAGAATCTGACAACCCTCTCCACGGCATTGAGTAACGTTGCGACTAGTTCTACAGCTACTTTCTTCACAAGTATGTCGTGTGGGAACATGTCCAAGCTGTACTCAAGTTTTATTATAGTTGTCTCCATTCCATCGAATCCTCTTAATATCTCTTCATGCACCTTGGTTGCATTATGTATGTTCTTTGATTGTTAACACGGTCTCATAATCTCTCTAACCAGGCCACAGCTTACCTCGAGCAGATTCTGTACAACATTGACCACCGAGCTTGTCATATCGGTCCCAGGGACCATCTTCGAGGCTTGGAAAGCAATTTGGCTGCTGTTGCCGGCTACAGTACGATAAGACCGTCTGATCCAACCCACATCGCGTACATAGGATTCTCTTGCAGCGTGCAGTTGGTCTTCAACTTCTTTCCACGAAGACCTATTGCGAATGCGATGCTTCGAACGTTTTAATTCCTTTGGCTCCTCGAATTGTGCCCCCAATCGAGTTATTGCATCAGGAAAAACATCGTCCCAAAATGCATGAGCGCTGGTAGGCTTGGTATTATTCTGCATTGTGTTGCCGGGCAGAACGTAGGCTTTCAACACAGGGTCGTAGGGTGGAGGATTCTGAAAAGCCGGATGGTACGCAGGAAGTCGGTTTGCGACAAAGTCTACTGCTAATGGCTGGCTGGTAACCGGAAAGCCACTGGATATGGTGGTTTGAGGCCGAACATAGGCTGCCATGAAGCCGGCAGTGCTGTCGGAAACAAGACTGTGTGATGGTGGTGTGTGGCTGTGTTGGGGTTGATAAGCCGCCGGGGTCCATCGAATGGAGACAACACCAAGTTCTCGCCCCCAAATTTTGCAATACCCATGGCGCATACAGCTCGCACGAATACGGTCACGGATTCAGAGACAATCTTACATGCAGGTCTTGGCTACCTAGAGAGCGGTGCAGCGCTGCCGTGATTGGTTCATCGCGCACAATCCTGGTCCAAAATCGCTTCCCACTGCACATGCCAGCCTCTTACGAATACAACGCGGGATCTCGACTACTGTCAGATTCCTGCCTTATTGTCCTCGCGCCCGCCTCGCCAGCTTGCCTTGCAGTTCCCGTCGACCATGGCCACTGCAGAGCCTGAGCCACGGCAACCTTCACGGCCAGATACGGCGCACAGTAACAATGACGATGCATCCAAAGATATTATCGCACAAAATGGCCGTGATCAGAAACCGGCTGGTGTTGATCTCGCTTCGTTGCAACGCGAGATCGACCTTCTGCGCTCGAAGGTCATAAAACTAGAGAACGCTCAGGCGTCAGAAACAGACGAAGACACTGATGACGAATTACTTGATTTCAACATCAACGTAGATGAGGACGCTGATAATCCTCCTGAAGAAGCCTGGCAGCAGGTCTGGACACGGTGGCTGGACCGGCGGCGCGTTGCAAAGGAGATCATCCAAAAAGTCGACCGGCTTCGAAAACTCAAACGTCAGGGGAAACTCCACAAGGTTCTTGACGGATCTCACCCGAAACCTGACGACGCAGAGGCTGCGTCGATATTTCCACCACCACCTCCACCACCACCTCCACCTCCACCTGACCCGATGCATGATGGGTTGGGCCTCATACCCACGCTGAATCAGGTGTCATGGGCCGATTTCCAGGTCAAAGACAGCCCAGACCCCGCTGGAAAGCACGTCATCGATATATTGAATGGGAAACCAACAGTCATTTGGTACATATCGAGTAGAGCGAATAGCATCAAGAGACAGCAAGCGGCCAGTAAAATTGCCACTGTTAATCCTGTCGAGGCTGTGGGCCAAGTCACTGGAGATGGTCTACTGCCTGATCGTATCCGTGTCAACTCCCGGTTACTTCTCCTCATCTTCTCCAGATTCCATGGCCTGTCAGATATCTTTGGAGGCGCGAATTCCGTTGTGTTTATGAGACCGTTCAAAATGTTCATCCACTTTCAACAGGAACTGAGAGATTGGTTGGAAACCCTCGTCAAAAAGCATGGCCAACAGGCGCAGGCCACACAGGACACTATACATGATTCCGAAAGCCAGGGGAGGAGAACCCCACTTGCGGATTTGCTCAAAGCCCCGGTAGCTTCACATTCCCCAACGGAAGGAGCTTCGGAACCCCTCGAGCCCCATAATCTCCCGAAGGGCTCAGAAGAGAGCGACACAGATTGGATGAAGGAAGAAATTTATCACTTCCAAAATGCTATCGAGTCCGAATTAGCTCTACAACACATGCGCCCTCTAATGGATTTTATGGATAGATTTATCCTGCCCCGTCAATCGTACTTAGAGAGCACACGATGCTCGAAGGTAACTTTCCACGACATGTGGCTGCTTTTCAAGCCTGGCGACGAGGTGATCGAGACCGATGGGTATCAAGCGTACCGCATCGTACATATTGAAACCAGTCTTCACAGAGCGGTAGCCCCTTGGGAAGTCTGGAACGAACAGCCGATTCTAAGACCGCGAAGCCCCGGATCTGACATGGATGGGCCTCCACCTCCACCCCCACCGCCCTGGGGACACGCGGGTGACAACAGACCATTCAAGCTATGGTGTGTGTACATTGACACAGATGGATTCAATCTCGGTCCCGTCACAGTCGCTTTCGAGATTCGAGCATTCGAGGGTGAGAAAAATGTAATGGACCTTCCAATCTATCCAGTTAGACTCAACACAATCTGGCCTGTGAATCTCACGGGAGGTGCTGCAGTGCTCGACGCGGTGACTACCGCTATTCGCGATAAACTCATACGGCGGGGCAGAGATTTTGTCGAACGCAATTCCATCCAGCATGCTTATTATGCTGGTCCATGTTATCGAAGTCGGGGTCGACTAGAAGGTCAAGTGGTCATCGATAATGCACAGATTTTCGCGATGGACGACAACAGAAAACGACCACCACTAGGAGGAGGCATGCCCGTCTCTCCTGAGCCAGGTCCACACGACGCAGCTTCAGCCGCGTGCAACGCGGAGTGCTGTTACAGAGATCTCGTATGGGGCGATCAGCACTATGACCGGCGTCGGAACGTCAACTATGCTGAGCTTCACCCTCTAGTTGATTCACAGGGGACGGTGTCAATTTCGATGACCCAACGACCAATTTCAGACGTCCAAAAAGACCACCAGCAGTCTAAAATCAGAGACGCTGATTACCTCATCATGTCAGACAGGGTCTTTGGCTATGTGCTACGTACCCGGAAATGGGCTGAATTGGACTTGTTATGGATTTCCGAGGCCAAGTACAACCGCGAGAAGCCTGATATGCAAGCGAGTATTTCTGATAAACAGATGACAAACACGGCGTTCGATGACCTGGTACTGCCACCAGGACATAAGGATGTCATACTCTCCCTTGTGGCGCAGCACTTTCGAGACGACTCACAGGAGGTGGACATCTTCCAAGGCAAGGGTAAAGGCTTGATCATGCTTCTCCATGGTGCCCCTGGTGTCGGAAAGACCAGTACCGCGGAAGGCGTCGCCGAAGCCTTCAGAAAACCTCTTCTCCAGATAACGTGTGGTAAGTAACAGCTCCGGCATCGCTTGGCACTTTTTCATGACCGTAACTGACTTCCTCTATCCAAGGCGACCTAGGTTTCACCGCGGAGAAAGTCGAAGAGTCATTAGCGCGAAATTTTGAACTTGCCAGCCGCTGGGGCTGTGTATTACTTCTGGATGAAGCCGATGTTTTCCTAGCATCTCGAAAGAGTGCTGAGAGTAGTGCTGATCTCAGCAGGAATGCTCTAGTAGCAGGTGAGATTATTACTGTTCTCCACCGAATATGACGCTAACGGCTTTGGAGTGTTTTTGCGTGTGCTTGAATACTACACTGGGATACTGTTCCTTACTACTAACAGAATAGGCGATTTCGACGAAGCCTTTGCTTCTAGAATTCACCTCAGTCTTGAATACCCGCAACTGAGTAAAGAGTCTACGGAAAGCATCCTTGCTTTGAACATGAGACTGATCAAGAAGAGGTTCCGAAACACCCGCAGGACGATCGACATTGAAGAAACCGAGATTTGCTCCAAATTTTCAAAGTACTGGGAAGAAAATGAAGAAGGGCGACTGAATGGTCGACAGATCCGCAACGCCTGTCAGACAGCACTTGCGCTTGCAGAGTTTGAGGCACAGGGCAACAGCCACAAGGACGTACTCAAACCGGATGCAACTGTCCGATTACAACCGATGCATTTCAACACGATTCTGAAGGCGTACCTGGATTTCGCTGACTACCTCAACAAGACTTATGGAGTTACTCCTGAACAGCGTGCCAAGGAACAAAAGCTAAGAGCGAAAGATCGGCAGATGAAGAAGCCGAAACCAATGCATACCCAGACTGGAAGTGCAGGCTCTCATGCTGGGGGATTCGGCGGTGCACATCTCTACAATCAGACCGGGCAACATTTCGCACCCAACCAGCCAGCTTACCAAATGTCTTCGCCACCACAGGCCTACCAACAGCCCCATCAGATGTATCAAGGACCAATGCCAGGCCAGCAGGGCTTCCATATGCCTGGACAGTATGCAGTTCCCAGTGCAGGCTATGCGAATCCGGGAATACGCGCTGACAACCAGCATCTGTCTGTTGCAAGCCTCGAGCCGGCGTTGGGTCACAATGAGGACACCAGAGCTGGCCACAATGCTCAATACCAAGCGCAGTCAACCGTTCCAGGGTCGGTATTGCAGTATCCACAGCCTCAACAGCCCAACGCACGCTATTGATTGAAAAACAACTGAGTCGTAGAACCATCAGTACATTCCAGTTTTCATTGTGTCAGGCACGTGATCGCGTGCTTGTATCTGGGGTTTTCAGAGTTTCACTGTAGGGTTCAACATTAATTTGGACAATGCGGGACATTACATGTAGCGCATACGAATGGAGGTTTACTTCATTCAATCCTATGATCTAAGCTTCGGGTACCTCATCGGCCCAAGGTATACTCGATTGTGCACCGGCCTTCTGCACTGTCATAGAAGCAGCACGATTGGCATGTGAAATTGCTGCATCCAAATCGAATTCGGAACCCTGGGAGATCGACTTCCAGTGTGCCACAGCGACGGTGTAAGCACCAGCGAAAGTGTCGCCAGCCGCCGTAGTATCGACGACTTTGACCTTTCGTGCTGGTACAATGCGGCCACTCTTGGACTCAGCTTGTTGCTTAGCGGTCTGGTAGAATACGCCCTTTGTTTTCCATCAGCAAATGTGTCACACCGACAAGAGAACGACTTACCTCGCCGCCAAGAGTGATGATCACGTTCTGCACGCCACGCGAGATGAAAACAGCTGCAACTCTGTCCCACGAAGTTGGGTTCTCAATACCTGAGAGGATTGCAGCTTCGGTCTCGTTGACAATCAAGTGACCAAGGCCCTGGTACGCCTCTGCTGGAAGTGGAATGGCCGGTGCTGGGTTGATGATGGTCTCGACGCCCTTCTGACGCGCAGCCTTCATGTTGTGTAGTACCTTGTGATTGTCAGTCTAAAATCCATCAACCCTGCTTGTTCATGTGGTACATACAACTTCCATAGGCAACTCGAGCTGGAACAACGCAACGCTTGCATCGCCGTCGACCAAGTCTTTGGCTTCAACATCATAGTTGGCGCCAGGACAGAACATGATTCTGTTCTCTCCAGTGCTGGTCTCCACTGTAATCACTGCGACGCCAGTCTTCTTTCCCTTCAAGATCTTGACAGCATCTGTCTTCAGCCCATCCTTTTGCAGACTCTTGAGGAAGCCCTCGTGGAATTCATCATCTCCGACGGCACCAACCATGCGGACCTCAATGTCAGAGGCCTTGCTCTCGGCTGCCTGCTTCTGTGTTCGAGACAGGCGTGCGCACGCGACAGCCTGATTAGCGCCCTTTCCTCCATACCCAATGTCGAAGGACTCGCTGGTCAAAGTCTCGCCCGCTACTGGTACACGTGAAGTACGAGTGACGAGGTCGACATTGAGGGATCCAATTACCGAGATGACTGCTTTCGAACCCATTTTGATATTGTGGGGAGAGACGGCGCAGGTGGGATGATCAGAGCTCTTCAAGTTTGGGGTTGAGCTAGGCCTGAAAGGTGTAGCGCAATGGACGCGGTTAGCCGCGCTTCGGAGTTGCATGCGGTGATTGCAAAAATGCCAAGAATTATTACGTCAACTTCAATTTTCCCCACGACTATCATTTTTCCGCTATTCTAACATGTAATACATATCCTCCGAGCAGCTAGTACAGTCAAATTGGTACATGTCTTAGAGATTTACGTTCCAGTTGTCCAATAAGTGCACGATGTATGACATCACTGCGGCCAGATCGGTCTACATTTGCGTTCTCACACGACGAGCAAAATGTTACCCAAGATCAAGATTGCACCTGTACCCCCAACAGCTAGGGACTGCGTAGCAAGACACAGACTCAATCCTTCACCTGAACAACTTGGGTGCCGTTAGGGCCACCTTTCACGCCGACCGCAATTTGGACTTCGAAACCCCATCGCCTCGCACGCTCTTCAGCCAGATTCGCAGCTTCTTGCTCCAGCTGAGTTGCTGCATCTGCGAGCTTGCCACCGACTGCAGTGAGTTCGCCGCTAAGCTTTGCGAGTTCTCCTGCAAGAGCAATAAGGTTGTCAGGTGTTGTCATAGCGCCTGGCAGTGAAGTGACGAGTCAGAGTTCTCGCCTGTATCTTCAGTCAGAATGTTCCAAAGAGGTCTCGGTAGAATATTGCCCTTTGAGTATGTTGATGCAGTTACCAAAATGTGCGAATGTGTGCGCTGTAGCGAAAGAAGAGACCTAGAGCCGTGCTTACTACAAGCAGAACCTTGGGAAATGCTAAGTATGGTGGATGCATGGAAGTCCTGCGTGATTGCAGGTTGATTGATACACGTGTGCTTCACACTGGCATGTCAATGTCCGACAGCTGCCAATGGGCATGTGTTTGCGCAACCACCTTCAACATTCACACCTCGATTGGTCACCTGGGTAGATCTTGCCGTTACAAGATACACTGAGGGTCAGCCTAGATGATTGATCTTTTGCGCCCCTCATTTCATCCAGTAGGCGGCTTGAACTCCAGAATTGGACATGCTGTGTCCCAACTTGAAGGCGCTGCTTACACTCACATATCGCTTCCGTGACCTAGTAATGGTAACAATGACCTAGCGGACAACGAAGATGGAGAGCTGAAGAAGAGTATCATAAAAAGATCAGAGGATGTCAAAAAGAGTCAAGGCGGATGTGAAAGAATCTTAAATTTAGTCCCTCAAAACTAATGCCTTATCCATCTTGTTCTCGCTTTCTTCGTCATCAATAACTATAAGCGCAATACTTCTGTGAACTTCCGCCACGCCCAGTTTGATACCCTCAAGTATCTTGTTATAATTATGCTGCTCATCAGGCCTGGTGGTTGGTTGCTTACGTGAGGGCGTGTGGCTTGAGGCCATTCCACGTAAGACTGCGGGATGTATGTAACATAGGGTTGGCGAACCAGGCCGCGGCGTTGTCATCGCGTTGATCTGTGTCCCAACTACTGCGCCGGAATGATGGGTATGTCAAAGAGTCCAAATGAGGCGCGGCTTTAGTAGGAAATTCCTTCACATTTTGATACCCGATTATTATCTTTCCCTGTGACACAGACATTTCTACGCATTGAATTGTTCAAAATGAGTTTGCCCTACTCATGCTCTAGAATCGTCCCTCATCTTTGTTAACTCAGCCAACACCCTGTCTTTACTCCATCCTTCCCTTAGCCCCTTCATCAATAAGTCTTGCTCACTCTCTGGAGCCATGCCGGCTGTCTCTGGAACCCTCCGATCCAAATTAGTAGGGAAAGGATACCCCTCCGCAACATTTCCTACGAAAGCTTTGACTTCTTCGCTTGTTCCATTTTTCTTGTGCTGCTCCGCCAAAGTATCCCATGTCTCTTTCACCAACGGTACGCTATCGATCATTTCCATCGGTTTCCCGAACGCACTTGAGATTTGCAACAAATTGGCAGAGCGATGCACGTCAGTCGAGGTGTTTGAACCGGCGGCGTGGAAGAGTGCAGGATTGAAGAAAAGTCCGTCGCCTTTCTCTAGTGACACACTGACGTACTTCTCTAAGAAGTAATCTTGGAACTCTTTGATACGATAAGCCATGTAACCCTCCTCAAATTTTTGACTGAATGGCAATAGTCTCGTGGGCCCTGACTCGAGTGGCATGTCACTGTGTGCCACTGCGCCCTGGAGAGTCAGGAATTGACTGGCAACCTGTAACGCCTTTGGGAACTTCTCGCAAGAATCTGCGCTCTGGAAACCAATGTGGTAGTCTCGATGACTAATTTGTGCTGTGCCACCGGGACGCACGATATTGACTTGTGCTGTGAGGCGATGGTGTGGTCCCAACCAGGTGGAGGAGATGAGTGGGAGCCATGGATTGGAATAATACTCGATAAAGCTTCTAGGATCCGCGAGACAGTGTTTGGAGAACGAGTTCCAGATGCGCGAATTGGATCCAGAAGTTGCAAAATGGTCGCCTTTCTTACTAGACTGTTGCGTCTCCTTTTTGATGATCGATGAGTACACCTCATTGACTCTGTCGATCAAAGATAGGTCGGTGTAGATGTGCTTCGTAGCAAAAACACCCGGTCCATGCAGGAGGATGTGGTACCATTCATCTTGCAGAGCGGACAGCTGATCTGCGGTGTAGGACGAATAGGCCTCGAGATCATATACTGGAACGTTTTTGGTGATGCAACTTGCCAGGGGATAGTGGAATGTAGGGGATACCGTAGTCAAAGTTTTGAAGTCATTCAGTGAAGTCGGCTTTTCTGTGGAAAAGACCCGAGAACCGATTGGGGCTGTTTCGGGCTGACCTTGGGCAGCGCCGTTTGTCGCAGTTGTTCCGTTTGTTGCAGGTGCCATAATGATGTGAGATGGTCACGATAATGGAAAGTATGGAAATGGAGCTCGAAATCTGCTTTTTATCTTGAGCATTCAATTGCACAGAAGGCAATTCTTTCCGCTGTTGTCATCGGGCGTTCTTGCCGGATCGAACGTTAAATAGCTGCACTTTTTGCTCCCCCGCAAAACCCATCAGCTGTAGGACGGATGCAAAGGCACTACCAGTAAGCGCAAGCTTGTATCAATCTCACCACCAGTCGCGAGGCCCGTTACAGCTGAAGCGGGGTCACTCGGCTTCTACGGGGTCTTGGCTCATATAGCCGCTTTATGTGTTTGTCGATTCCTTGGGCTCCGTCTATAAGCGGAAATCGTGATGACTGGCATTGCTACTTCTAACTTTGTTGCAACGAGTGCCTTCTGTCTCATCTGGCGTGGGTGAAGGTGTTCCAGGCTCTGACCTGGGCAGGCGTGCACGTGAGCCAAAAGTGGGGCGCGCTAGCTGCCAGGCCAGAGCTGGACGGACACTGAATTGCAACATGGATTTTGTTTTTTTTAATTTGATTCAACGCTCCGTTAAGTTTTTCACCACAACAGGTCTCGGCCCAGGTTCATTCGTTGAACGACTTCGATGCGATGTGTTTGCATAGCCAGAGAGAACTGACTATGCCCTTACCCCCGCGCCCGCCGCTTCGCTTACCCTTGGTGATTGACGTGGTGTATGGCGCGCCCAAGTCACGTTACGCCCTCAGCATCCCATATATATTGCACGTTACGCTCATGGCAGGACGCAATGCTCTGAACTCATTGTCATCATGTCGAATCTATCCGAGCCACTGCTCGGTGCCCTTTCCCATGCCAACATCGCTGGCGACTTCACACGGCTAGTGAAAACATACTTTGAGCCGTCATCTCGCGGGCAATTCTGCAACATTTGCATCTTCTTGGACATAGTGACCGGACTTTTTGAACATGGGATACATTCGCAGTTCAGAAAAGAAGTACAATCAATATGTGGTCCAGCGATAGAGGCTATCCGCGACCTCGATCTCGGCCGTCGCTCCGACTTGCTAGCGAGGAGCTCAAATTGTCTTACATGCACTTCAATACTTTTGTGTACTGACGAGCAACTCGCGGCTGGATTTGAGGAGATTGCATCTAGCCCTGCGATTGATTGTAGCTTCAGCGCTCATTTCATGGACGACAACCCTGTTCTTGCGATCGCGTTTGGTCCCGCAACCGCAAATGCTGGAGAGAGGCGATCTTGCTTGGATCAGCTTGCAGTTATACGCTTTCTTTCGGTGGGCGAAAAGGTCTCCATGAGTTCAGCCCCATGGCCCGATGGCTCACCCTGCATTTACAATCCAGAACAAGTCGATCCGGCTCGAATAAGAGAATGGCTTGATTGCTGTACAAAGCTCCATGGTCCCAAGTGCCAACAGCCCAACGCTCTTCATGTAAGATCAGACGTGCGTCCCATTTTTATTGACGTGGACCAAGAATGCGTTGTTACACCGGATCAAAATGTCCCGTATGTGGCATTGAGTTACGTATGGGGTCCGGTCGAGACTTTGCAAGCAACGACGGGAAACACTGATAGCCTCGCTCGGCCGGGGAGCCTGTCGACTTCCAGTGCAAACTCGGTCCCTGCAACTATCCGTGACGCGATCAAACTATGCGCTATGGTCGGGCAGCGATATCTCTGGGTTGATCGCGTGTGTATCGTGCAGGACGACTTCGAAACCAAGATTTTACACCTCAATGTAATGGCTTAGACCTACGCAAAAGCCGAGTTTACCATCGTCGCTGCGGATGGTAGCCATGCAGATGAGGGTTTGGCTGGACTAGGTCGTGGGATTGAAGAACGACGGAGACATATTGTCAGGTTCCCCACAAAGACCATGATTAGAGAAAGCACGCAAGTTTCGCGACGTGGAAGATTATCAGAAACCGTATGGTCTTCTCGCGCCTGGACATTCCAAGAGCATGTCTTCTCCAGAAGACTCTTGTACATGGACAAGTTCGTGAGCTGGATATGCTACTCGGCAACGTGGAACGAGCTCTGGTCGCTGCTGCCTGTGACTGCAGTAAACGCAACAGAACCCATGGATCAACATGGTAAGGGAGAGAAACTCTACGCCGTGGACTGGCCATCGTTTTCCGACTATGCAAACTTGGTCGAACGGTACAACTTGCGCAATTTGACCTACGATTCCGATGTGTTGAATGCTTTCCTCGGAGTGATGACCCAGATGTGTGTGGGCTTCCCAGCTGGTTTCTACGGAGGTCTACCCGAGTTTTACTTTACGATAGGCCTGCTCTGGCAGCCCTACGCAGGTCTTCAGCCGCGATTTCCTCAAGCTGACTGCGCTCCCAGCTGGTCGTGGCTTGGATGGTCGGGAAAATTAGACCTTACAATGTGGAAATGCAACACGGATGTTCAGCTTCCGCGTTCAAAATTCGAAACCACCATTACCCCGATAGTCAGATTTTTTAAGAACCAGGATCGAGCGGACGTAGTAACCAGTCGGGTGGATGATTCCTTTTGCACAGTACGCGATCATTTCATACTTAGGAATGGGGCCACCCCAGATCATACTTAGGAATGGGGAGATCGCTGGAAGAAACACACAGGCGACGCCGATTCAAACTCTGAATTGTTCTATACTTATCTAGGGTACAACAGACCATCACATATAGATACCGATCGGAGGTTCCGTTACCCGATACCACCGTTTCAGCGACACAGAGACATCAATCCTATTACGACACGGGAGCAAAAGCTACATTTCAGCACCCAGCGAATGTTTGTTACCCTTGGAACGCCAGAGAATGGATGTCCGTGGCGCCTGGGCAAGCACAAGGACGCAAAATTTTATGTTGTTGATGTACCTATCTTTGATTATACAAAGATGTGGGTAGGCTCAGTTCGCCTGAACGCACGTGAAGGCGAAAGAGTTTCTGTTGGTGAAAGGATCGAATTGATTCGTATCGCCGAGGGCTCAGCACCCATCGATAGCAGCAGATTTGGTCTTGACGACAGGACGGAGTCTAGCACCCGGCATCCGTTCGAGGAATGTGTGAACCGGGCCGAGTTGAGATTGGAATCACATTATGAGTTTTACTTTGTGCTGTGGATAGAGTGGGACGGAAAGATTGCACGGCGCAGAGCACTTGGTACCGTGTGGAAACGCTCATGGGATCATGGCGAGACAAACGAGGTTGACATTGTTCTCAACTAATCTGCAGTCATCGCAAGTTGATTCTTGCTCTCATCTAGCTTGTTATCATTCGTTTGTCCGAACACCGCACCCCTAACTAATCCCACCTCAATAACCTTACTCAGCGCAGGTGTGTTCAATGATTGCAAGAATGCCACAACCATCATCCAACCCCAAACCAGTCGAACTTGAGTAGCCAGCAAGCCATTACAGACTGTTTACGTATGCTGTGCAAGCGGAGACGGTACCTTAGTATTGCTAACTAAATTTGCCACACGCGACGCCTAAGGCCCTACGGGCAAGACGGTGGGACGGAACCCTAGGATGTTGGTCGGTATTGCCGCTACAAGGTTGGTAGGCACAACAGTTGGAAGTCTCGCAATCACTGTAGACGACACCAATGCTGGTACCTCCCTCAAAACTGTGGTAGGAATCGCCACAGGGGCTGCCGCTATCACCGATGACACAGCCTGTGTTGGCAAAACTGCCAGGATTGGCGAAAGACTTGGTGTTGCCACAACTGCGGGTACTACGATCGCAGGGGTTGGTATCAAGCCAGCCAAGAGCCCTCCGATTGGGTTCGGGGCCGTGACAGCGCCTGGCAAGACTGCAGCGATGTCTGGAAGGCCTGTGGGCAAGAGTGCCGCAAGCGGATTGGCCGACAGGGCGGCCGGTATACCTGCTGTAAGGTCCTCCAGAGCGCTAGGGAGAAGCGCTTCAAGTGGGTTCCCCGGAATAATTGCTGCTGGCAGACCTGTCAAAATGTTTGACATTGTAGCTGCTACGAGTCCCGCGAACGGGTTGACGGTAGCGATGATGGCCAGCAATTTTGCTGGTGCATCCGCAAGATCTTGAGCGGATCCTCCTAGGATACCACTCAGGAGGTTGTTTGGAAGACCATTTGGCAGAACAGGCTGTAGAGACGCTAGAATGTTTGGGTTCGTTGAAGGCCAACCGACCGGTAAAGAGAGTCTTTCCGTCGTGGGATTGGTTTGGTCCCGGTTGGCTGTGTAGAATTAGCCATGTGTTTCAATAGAGCCTGCTTACGTACTCTCAGAGGACATTGGCAAAGCAACGGAGACTGTTGCAAGAGTAAGCGCCGAGAGCGCGATTGTGTTTGTCCTCATGATTAGTGATTTAGGAGACCTGCGTAGCGATGATGATCTTCGTTTGCCTGCCCGCAGGATTATATTATGTATGGCTCATTAAAGTTGTTGAACTCGTGCTGCACTGATACAGACTACTGGAATGTGTGAATCTTGTGCGACCTGACCAAGGAATGCCGAAAGCTAAATGGAATGAATTGTATGCACGTGTTAAAGAATGTAGATATTTTCAACCGCCACGCATTAAATAGAGGAAGGGAACGTGCTTACAGAACCGCATTGTGAAATAGTTCATGTGTCGCGACTATCTCAGTATCACGTCAAACTTTGCCTGCCCTGTGATCCGCGCGGGAGCGGCACGGCACAAAGGCTGAATTGGAAACCTAGGGCAAACAAATGGACACAATGTTGGCAAGAATGTCACTCTTTCATTGGTAGCAAGGAGGAAGTTGCCATCCTATCGTGCAGCTACCAGCCCTATCTGCTTTGGGGTGATTTCCAAGAGTACAGGAATGTCCAGCACCGGGAGTCAGGTGTACTACTGCTATGAGAAATAGTGTATCTACCTTGGGTAGGATGCAGCCATTCCCTTCGTATTGGCTTTCGGTCTTGTCATTGCCAGCCACAAATAAGTCTGTAAAGGCACGGAAAATCTGCAGACAATGTAACTCATAACGGCAACGCGTAACATTGACAGAAATTTGATATTGTAACGAAGTTGGGCAAGAATCACAAATTTCCGTACAAGTTCCCAATGAACAAAGACCGATCCTGTGCTGCGTGCGAAGTTTCGTATATCTTATTCTTCTTTTCTTACCAATCCATAACGTTGTGTACCTTACCATCTGCATTAGTAATTTGGGTGTCGTCACTTGAGCGCAAGGTATACATTATCAGATAGTGGTCAAAGTGTGGGAGGGGAAGCACACGATGAACAGCCGAGCGGAGTTTGTCATCTATCCAACATTTACGCCTCTCTGAACACCGCCAAGAAAGGCTGCTATGTATTCGACGAGACGACGGCAGAGAGGGTGTACGTCAAGAACTTCGATAATTATTCTGCCCGAGGCAGGTAGGGCGGTCATGAAGATGCCGATATGTAGCAGATACACCGAAACCCATGCAGCCAGACCACGGGTTCCTAGCGTAGGCTTCTTTGTGGTGGCCTCTGAATTTCCGTGTTATTCACAAACAGCAGTTCCGAACAAAATAGCGTTGTTAGTGGGAGGTACGACGCTGTAAGAAGTGCTCATGTTAGCGAGTCTAAATGTGATCAGACGAGATTTCGTCAGCTAAGTACTCCGGATGACTGTCGACAGGAGACTCGAGGATTTATCTACTGATGTACGTATCATCGAGGTAACTAAGTGGGGCTGAGAGCTAAGAGGTAGTCTTCTTCTTGATAAGGCCGAGAACGCCAATGGTCGCCGCAGTCATTGTGGTGCCTAATAGAATGATGAACGTGCGCCATTTTCCTGCACCGTATCCAGAAGTCACTCCCTTGTCCCCAGTGCTCTGGAGAACTGCGGCAGCGATATAACCGGATACAACTCCCACAATTCCTCTTGTGAATAAGAGAACTCCAGAAACAAGAAGCTCCTCTGCTGGTCGGTCGCTATCGTTCACCACAATAGCGGCCATGTGACTTCGCAGAACCATAAAACTGAAAGCGAAAGCCCCAAAAAGAACCGAAACAATAACCATAGTCCAATATGTTTTACCTAAGCCCCATACAAGAAGAACCGCGAAGCTGCTGATTAGAGTGCTGAGTAGCATTGGAACTAGAGGGCCAATTGCGTCTCTGTTGATCATATTGTTAGTCAATCACGAACGCAGCAATGAAAGCCCGAGTCACACTTACGTCAGGGCTCCAAGCGAAACCTGGCCGACGATACCAGACAGTGACAGATATGTGACCAAAAGCGCTGCATTTGTCGAGTCCACTCCAAGATCGGTGGCATAGCTGGGAAGATAGTTCGCGGGGAGGTTGTTGGCTAAGCTCTGTACAGCCATTGAGAATACAAATAACCAAAAGTACATGCTCTTGAAAGGTCGGAATGTAGACCTTCGTTTCTCTTCTCCAGTCTCGGTGCGTGTGCTCTGTGTGGGGCGAGTGCGTATGCACAGGATACCTATGGAAATCGTGATGGCGATGAATAGTGTCCAACCAATGAGGGTCGTACGTGGCCCGAAGCGCTGCAAAAGACGTGCAAATATAGGCGAGAGGGCAGCTGAAGCAATATTGGCCGAGCCAAAGCTCTGCCTGTTAGCAAGGTGTCTTCGGGCCTTGGTATTCTTGACGGCTTACAATATGCCATTCGCAAGTCCGCGGCGCTGGAGAAACCACTCGTCGACAAAGCTGATGCAAGGGGCAAAGAGAAGGCCACTCGAAAGCCCGTACATCAAGCCTTGAGTCATAATGACCTGCAAGGCCTGAGCGCAGCGTTAGCTGAGAAACCAATACGGCACACTGGGGCTATGCTCACTGTGGTAGAGAAAGCAGCGCCCAGCGAAGAGGCAACAACTAAGACCATTCCAACCCACATCATGTATTGCCTGGACTCTGGGTAGCTGCCAATCAAGTGAAGGAGAAAAGGCGACAGTGATTGTAGGATGCCCTTGATGTCCTCAGTATCAGGCAGCTGTCTCAATGGGGGTGAGTTCGCGCGGGCATCTTACGACAACGAGCAGACCAATTGATGCCACGAGTTGATTACCTTGGAAAGGGGGATTTTTGAAGTAGTATTCACGGAAGACGCCTTGAGTGGCACCGAAGCCTGCAACAAGAAATCAGCAGCTCGATCTAGTAGAAGACGTACGGGACACACCCCAAGTTGACATGGATATGGCTGATATGGCTGCCAGACATGTCCATGCAGCTCTGCCACGATCACGAGGCGGTAGTGCATCTGCAATTTCCCGTTCTATCGAGTCAGGCAGAGCACTGGCTCCCGACAGTATTGCGATATCACTAGCTGGCATCTTCTTGCCGGGCGTTTGGTGTTTAGTAGGCATCATACAGAATGAGATCTGGGGCAAGCAAGATTAAGACTCCACTTTGGCAGTCTGAGAGTTAAGAAGACTGTGTCGAGCCACAGACAGACACAGAAGATCGAGGGCGGGTCATCTCGTTAGCGAGCCGTGAATAACCGCAGTGAGATTTCCCGATTCGACGCTCCCACAACGTTTTACACAAACGGCAAGCGAGACGCACAAGAATTCATTACCTCATCTTGTCGGGCTACAGCAGTCACTATTTAAACTGATTGACCGCAGTGGCCGTGCTTGGAGTAATGCGCACAGCGCCTGCGTTGGGGCGTGCAGTCTTTTCAAGCTTAAATACTACATAAGGGTTCAGTACCTAGCTAGGTACGATGTTGCATCTGACACTGCACTGCGCCTATTGTATCCAGGACGCAGTTGAGCCGACCAACGCTAGTAGCTCGGCTATTTCTTGACCTACCCACCCAGCTATTGAAATTCTAACTTGACTACTATTTTTCTATTATGTTAGGAACATAATAGCTTTTTTTTCTATTATGTTCTTAATAAATTCTAAAAGAATTCTTAATAAGTTAAAATCTTAAAAGATACCTTAGGGTTAGCTTAGGGTTAGAGTTAGCTTAAGGTTATGTAACGACGCAGGTAATAAGACCCTCTAATATAGTTCCAACTCTACTATAAGGTGTATAGTGTAAGAATCGACCATCAACATCTCGAATCTTACAAACAAGATACTACCTAACTTGAACGACCTCCGACTCAGCTCCGGCTCGATCCCGAATCAAGTCTTAGACATATCTGTAGCCATCCAGAACCGACACCCCTCCGACTCGGTCCCGACTCACCCCTGTTGACATTTCTTATCTATCCGTAGCTAACTGAGACTTGTAGGTATAAAAGGCAGGCTTGCAGCAGTCTTAGGATAGATAGTTTTTAAGTATTCTTCGTACAAGACCTATAGGAATAAGATTCTCCCTAGTTATCGACTTTCCCAGTGCTCCCATACACCTCGTAGTGGAATCGGAACCGTATCGGAGGATCTTATTACCTGCGTCGTTACATATAGGAGCACTAGGAAAGTTGATAACTAAGGAGAATCTTATTCCTATAGGTCTTATACAAAGAATACTTAAAAACTATCTATTCTAGAACTACTATAGGCTTGCCTTTTATACCTATAAGTCTTAGTTAGCTATAGATAGATAAGGGGTAACAACAGGGGTAAGTTAGAACTAAGTTAGGAGGGTGTTAGTTCTAGGTGGCTATAGGTATGTTTAAGGAGCGACTCAGGGTCAAGTTAGATTAAAGTTAGAGGTTGTCTAAGTTAGGTAGTATCTGTTTGTAAGATTTAAGATTTTAGTAGTTAATTCTTACAGGTTAGGGTCTTCTAGAATCTATTTAATCTTATTTCTATAGCATCTTTTAGTTCTATTATATTAGTAATATATTAGGTAGATAGGTAATCTGACTAACTAATAGCTAACCTAACTAACAAACAGTTAGTCAGGTGTGTAGGAATCGACTATTAAAATCTCGAATCTTACAAACAAGATACTACCCAACTTGGACGACCTCTGATTCATGCCCGACTCAACCCTGAGTCAAGACCGCAGCATATTGTGGTAGAGTGTTTGTCACCTAGCGCGGAGCCCCGACGTTCCATTGGGACGAGATGCAAGGGCGGGCACGTGATGCAAAACTACAGCTTAAAGACAAGTCCCAATGGGCCGTTAGGGAGAAATACAATACACTACACTTCGAATGTGAATATTCCTACCACCACAATATCTGTAACCACCCAGAACCGACCCCCCTCCGACTTAGTTCCGACACGACCCTGCTACCATCCCGCATCTTTCTGTAGCCAACCAAGACTCATAGGTATAAAGGGCAGGCTTGTAGCAGTCTTAGGATAGATAGTTTTTAAGTATTCTTCGTACAAGACCTATAGGAATAAGATTCTCCCTAGTTATCGACTTTCCCAGTGCTCCCATACACCTCGTAGTGGAATCGGAACCGTATCGGAGGGTCTTATTACCTGCGTCGATACAAGGTGTGCCAAGGAAAATTCGGAACGGAACGCGAACCTCCGAGCTCTAGCGTTGGTCGGCTCAAGTGTACGCTCTATTGTATCCGTGCAAACACCCTCGGAACGGATCGCTAGCGTCTCTTGGCGAGACGGGACACCGCTAACTAGGCTCTCCGGCACCCACCTAACCGACCATCCGTTGTCAGTTCCTGACCTGGTCTTGTCGCGCGAAGGAGCGCCGGTGAGCTGCAACTCGCGTCGACTGCAGATGTTCTCTCGGCCGACTGGCCGCCAGCCCCTCGGCACACCTTTTGTGCTTCCAGACCAGTCAGCAACTCTTTTTCGTGCGCAACCTCGACTGTGCTTCGTGTGACGTGAATGCAAAAAGGATTAAATTTAAGGTCTGGAGTCACTTCTCCGCAGACAGGGAACTCCAAACCCCTATGCTAAGTACTCTGAACCTGTTTGATAGTCTGCGAAAGCATACTGTGGCCTGTCCCATAAGTTTTGTCGGTGGGGCAGCCACAACAGGGGTGTCGATCGGATGACGCAGAATGGCCCTACTGACAAGATTACACCGAATCCCACCTAATTTTGTATATAACACTGTGCTTACCTGTACACTGCTGCATCTACGTGTTATTAGCAAAATGGAACCTCAACCTAACTAGCCATCCACGCCTACCCACAGCCAACAGCTTACACGCGATCAACGCCTGCAGGTGCAGACTCTTATCCTTGCTAGCCATACCCACAAATTTATTGCAAACCTCCTCCATATAACTAAGAGACAGGTTCGCTATACAATTACTAGCGAGCAGGTCACGCCACAACGCCGAGGTGATCGACCATGCATTCTCACAGAGGCCCAAGTTGACGAGCTTGAGGCTTACGTTCGATCATCACGAGCTACGCGTCAACTAAGTTACCAGCAGCTTGCCTCTAGCCCCTTTGAGCAATCGGGTGTGTCACATAAGGTTATCCAACGAGCCTTACAACGTCGTGGGTACGCACGCCGGGTAGCCCTACGCAAGCCCCCCCTCTCACAAGATGTGAAGGATCTTCGCCTTAAATGGGCTGAGCTCCACGTTAACTAGGAGCCTTAGCAGTGGTGGCAGATACTGTGGAGTGATGAGACCTGGGTAACTGGAGGGAGACACAGAAAGAGGTGGGTGACTCGGAAGGCTGGGGAGGAATTAGATCCTACTTGTACAGTAGATCGGGTATCTAAGAAGCCTGGGTGGATGCTTTGGGCCTGCTTTTCTGGTGTAACAAAAGGTCCTTGCCTCTTCTGGGAGAAGGAGTGGAAGAGTATCAACAAAGAGAGGTACTGTGAGAGGATAGTCCCACTTATTCACGGGTGGCTTACCCTTAACCCACACCTTCAATTCATGCAGGATTCTGCTCCAGGTCACGCAGCAGGACTAACCCTAGATGAGCTCCAGGAGCGTGGGATAGAGCCTATATACTGGCCCCCATACTCACCAGATCTTAATCCTATTGAGGCTATCTGGAATAAGATGAAAGACTATATTGAGGAGCACTATCCTGACCTGCCTAATGGGAGGCAGTATACCTATGATCAACTCAGGGGTATTGTACGTGAGGCGTGGGACTGGATTACTCCTGAGATGCTTAGTGAGGTAGTGGCAACAATGAAGGATCGCTGCTAGGCAGTAATTGATGCTAAGGGGGGTCACACAAAGTACTGAGATTTGTATAGAAAGTATGACAAAGCAAAGCTCTATTTACCCGAAAAATACAGCCGAATACCCCTGTTACCCTTCTCCACCGACAAAACTTATGGGACAGGCCACAGTATAACTATCTAGTACGGTAATATTGGTAGCATACGCACGAACGCCCACGAACAAGCTCACGCCACGTCACTTTCGTAGTAGAAGCTTTGAAAAGATATGTTGTGTAGTACGTGGCCTCGACCGAGGTACCCTCCACTGGCTACAGCTTGTGAGCTTACTGTGTACATTTACTAATTTGCATCGGACCTTTTCAGTACCGAACTTTCCGATCGCCCAGGACGTACACGTACTGTTACTGAGGCTTATAATATTTTCGTCCGGCAATAAACATAAATACGACCCACACCCTCCCCTTTGTGCTTTGACTATCATTACGCATCCCAAATATCGAGACAACTGTCTAACCAGCAACATGACTACAACAATAACCCCCGACTATCTCGTCATCGGCGCTGGAGCCATGGGAATGGCCTTTGTTGATACTCTGATCACAGACACAAACGCTACAATAGCGATAGTCGATCGCTATGCTCGACCGGGAGGCCATTGGACCATTGCTTATTCTCATGTCACTCTTCATCAACCATCTGCTTTCTACGGCGTCAACTCTCAAAAATTCCCGGGCGAGAGAAACATCGACAAGATTGGCGGGAACAAGGGCTTGTCCGAGTTGGCAACGGGAGACGAAGTCCGTTCCTATTTCAGTAGGGTCATGCAGCAGACGTTTCTTCCAACTGGACGAGTCGAATACTATCCTTCGCATGAATACGTTGGCGAGGGGGAATTCCGATCTATTATCACACAACAAGAAGCCATCCGAGTTGGGCCAGACACACGTATTGTGGATGCCACATTCATGAAAGTCGAGGTACCCGCCATGAGACCACCCCCTTATGAAGTAGCAGAAGGTGTCCATCTGACTACACCTAACGGACTGGTTGCTCTCTCTCGACCTTACGGCGGTTACACCGTAGTTGGAGCTGGAAAAACTGGAATTGACGCTTGTCTTTGGCTACTATCAAGCGGAATCGACCCCAAAGACATCTCCTGGATTATGCCCCGTGACTCATGGTGCATAGATCGCAGTACTATCCAACCTTCATGGTCTCCAGCGAGTAATTCCCAGATGTTTAACGCAGAAGGCGAAGCAATCGTGAATGCCTCATCTCTAGAGGATTTATTCTACCGGCTCGAGGCCAGTGGAAAGGCGATGCGCATTGACAAGAACATTTGGCCCACCATGTACAAGTGTGCCACCGTCTCAGGTCCCGAGCTTCGTGAACTCCAAAGAGTTGGGAACATTATACGTCAGGGGCGGGTCTTAAGCATTACCACAAGTGAAGTTGCACTAGAAGGTTGCAAGTACACACCAACGCCTGACACGCTTTACATCGATTGTAGTGCCGATGGGTTAGCAAGGCTCAAACCCGTACCAGTCTTCGATGGAAAGCGCATCACATTGCAGTCAGTGCGCTTCTGTCAACAAGTGTTCAGTGCCGCTTTCATTGGCCACATCGAAGCTACTTATGACAACGATGAGGTGAAGAATGCACTTTGTACGGTTGTACCACACCCAGACGAAACCCAAGATTACCTCGGTATGACTCTTCAAACTTATCTTAATGCACAGAAATGGCACGCGGAGCCAAAAACGCACGCTTGGTTATCGCAAGCTCGTCTAGACATAACGACTGCACAAAGGTCTTCAGACCCCGTTGAAGCCGCAAAAGCTGCGGCTGCTCTGCCGGCGTACATACAAGCCGTGTGCCACAAGTTGAGACGTCTTCTGGATGCTGAACAAGCAAAACTAGCCACCAAGGTCTAGGAATAGGATAACTTTGTTGATAGTAGCTAAGACGAGTTAATAATTACTCCAAATATTTAGTTTTGCGCGAAAGCCATGTCAGTCAGCAAGAACAATCAAGTTCGAATTAGAAAAATAGAAGTAGAAAAAGATAGAGAAGTATACCAGTAACGATGTTATCTATGTAAAGTGAATGTTTTCCAAGAACATATAAAAAAGCTAGGTACATGCTTTACATACGGGCTATTTATTGCAGATAAGTGTTGCTGATATCCGGCATCTGGAGATCGCTGTCTACGTCCATAAGATTGATGAGATATCGCGAGCCTGAGAACCAGTCTTGAATAGAGCTTTGGTATGCACTCATGCTTGTGTAGCCCAAGTCTGGAAACTGCGAACCTGATGAGCCTATAGGAACCTGACCCGCTGCATAGTCGCCAGGAGCTTGAGAATTTAGACCAGGGGGATAGTCAGCTAATGAGGAAGCCGAATTGGATGCTAAGCCAAGAGCGCTTAGGTGCGGATCGAATTGTGCGGTTGTGATGTGGTAGACAGCATCCATCGGTGGCCCATTGGTACGATATGGTTCTTCGTGTGTCAGTATGTGCATCTGAGTGTCTCTGACCTCTTTTTCTTTCGCTTCGATATAGATTTCTGCAATCTTCAAGAAAAGAAGGCACATCTTGTACAAGCTCTCTGCGCCTTCAGACACCTTTCGACAGGATTCCAGGCTAGAGACAAAGCCCGTAAGCGAGTTCAAGTCAGTGCGGTCAGTGTTGTAGATTGCATTGCAGAACAAGGCCATGAATCTGATCCAAAGTGGTTGATTAGTGGGGTGATGGCAAATTTGGGGAAAACCTCTTACGGAGTAATTGGAGCCTATTGGAAAATTAACTGCTGAGCCTATTTGGGTGCACTACTCGAGTGGCTTCACAGCCTACGCACCTGAAGGATTGACCAATGGATGTAACCAGACCACAACTGCGTGGTGGCTTTGGTGTTGAACTGAGAATTACATCTCATGTGCGCAACAAGCGCCGCTCGAGAATACTCTAGGCATTCCTCATTGAATGTATTGCTGTCTGGACTTAGTGCCCGCAGCACAAGTGCGCATGTCGAGTAGTGCACTACAACGTCCGTGTGGAAAAAGACATCCTCTACCTGATCGAACGAGCCTAATGATATAAATCTGATATTTTGATTGTATGGCGGGAAGCTTACTTTGCATATAGTCATCGGGTAGCAAAGCCGTCCGGCTCGCCTCGTGCGAAACGCGCTTGCGCTTGGAAGGCAATTCAGTCTCATTCGGACTCAGTAGATTTGTGAAGTCCATCACGCTTGCAGAGCCTCTTTCTTTCCAGGCTTGATTCATGGAGTCGACCAGATTGCGGGCTGTCTGACATCGAGCAGAGGGAGACTTGGTGAAAGTGGCTGGACTAAAGAGTTTTTCGTATACTTGCCCTTGTATCTTTGCAACCTTGACCCAGTACACGATCATGTTGCTCTCTTCAAAGCTGTTTACGGGCGTCTTTTTCGTAGCAAGAAGAGGCAACGAGACGTCCCAGTCCTGGATAGTGCTTGCTCGTCCTAGGCGCAAGGATAACTGCTTGTCAAACATGAATATCATCCAGAAGAGGTGAATCTTAGACCGTTGATCTTCTTCAGGGTCGTTTCTCATGGTTTCGAATCGATGGTAGCCAAGACTCTTACACCGCTCAGCGGCGTTGGCAATTAAGACCCAGGCAAGTGATGGTTTGCACATCTCAACCGCGCAAGCTGTGCCTACACTTAAAGCCATGATGCTTTCATAGCTAGCTGGTAGGAACATATCGAGTTGACTTATCGCCACTTCTAAGTGTGTTCTAGCTGCATCGTCCCAGGTCAGTACACGCGTGGTTGAAAACTCCAATGGATGTCCTACACATGGATGCATATCTGCATATGTTAGTCCTGTCTCTCGTCATGCCTCTCGCCATGCTCTCGGTCTCAAGGAATTTGTGCTTACTCCACCAAACTTGTCTTATCGATACCGGGCCATGGCACTACCGAGTATTCCGTAAAGATGTTGAACAGCACGCCATATGCGAGGAGACGACGTGGAGCCCCGCATATGACCGGATGATGGTAGGAGTCCTCGATAATCTCACGCAGGTTTTCCATCTTCAACATGGAGAAAAGAGCGGCGAAGATCATAGTCGGATGCTCTATCGATGTCAGCGAGTTCAAAGGATCACCTTGGAGAGGGTCAATGACTTGTGGCTTTGTCTATGGCGATCCTCACCACGCTCCAAGGAGGCCGCGCTAGGTTGGCGATATCAGTGGCTGCAAGCGAGCGGTCGATCAACGGTCGGATGGTCGATCTTATAGAGACAGTATCGCAGTTTTTTTGCTGAGTGACGAGCTTTTCCAGCGCAGCTAAAGAACTGTTGACTTCTGCGTTCCGACCGACTGACGGAGTGCCACCAACCGCCTGAACTAGCAGCTCTCGTACATAACCTGACTGCGTACTGATTCCAGTCTCACCCTCATAGGGTACAGGTGCCAACGCATCTGTTTCAGTGGTGGAGTCATTCAAAGGCTTCTGAACGGCCGAGGGAATTCGTTGGCTGATCTGTTCTCTGGAAACTACGTGGGCCTCTTTTTCGTCTAATCTCGAGGCAATGAGGAAGAGCGCCTCATTGATGCTGTTAAGCTGGCCTTCGAGGCGGTCTATTTTCCTCTCGCTACACGTATCAGAAGGTGCATTTGAGTAACGATCGAGATGCGTACTATTCTTCGGATATGTGGACCCTCTGCTTCTGGGTCTTTTGTACGGGCTCGACTGTTTGGCATACTGATCAATCAGTCGCTGCCGCAAGAGATTCGGAGAGCGTTGCCGACAAAAGGTGCTCATCTATCGGCAGGTTGAGGAGAGGGAAGTTGTTGCCGTTTGCCGAACTTACTTGTCTTACTCGCTCTACAGTGCGAGCATGGCTCTGCTTTGTTGCACCGAATCTTTTTTACTCTGCAATTTTCACACTGCGGAGTAAATTAGCACCTCGGCAACAGGGCACGAGTCATTAATCATACCGCGCGTTTACCGGCCAACTTTTCGAGCGACGTATCCGCCGCTTCTCCCATATTCAACGACATAGGTATTCAAAGTGGAGAGAAGCGAGCTGTTGAAATTTGTGTGTCAGGGGTTGACATGTGATACAAGAGGATAGCTTGAAAGACCAGTGATGACCTCATGATCACTAGCCCCATTCGCAATCGTCACACAGAGCGTACCTATGCAGAGATAGCCAACTGCATGGTACGGCTTACAGATGTGGCTCCCGCAGCTCTGTCTTATATAATCAGTTTAGCTTCTGACATGGAATCGTGATAAAATAGCTTGGTCGAGTGGCAAGCGTTTGAAGTCTCATGACCGTCTTGCGCGTACAGCTGATTAGCTTTAACAATTTGTCGCAATGAAACCAATCAGTAATGTGCCGGTTGATTATTGATCACTAGGTATCTGGCCAAGAGGGCAAACTAGTCCAAATCGAGCAAGCCCCACCGGCCTTTCGAACGGTGATTACTCAACCCAAGATCTAATACTGCCCAGAATGACAAGAACAACATTCCCTTGCCGCAAGCCAGTTACTGCATATATGCAAAGACCACACTTATGGTAATCAGAAGTCAAAGAATTATGGTATTTGCTACACAACACTTATTATTTCGTAGAGAAGAGCAGCAGCCTTTACGTTATTCTTAGACTTATGATCTCTTTTACGGGACCTATGAGTACATCATTATAACCTAGGGTTTCAGGCGAGCGCAATCGTCCTCTTGGAGGCGATTGCAGAACGCACTGACGGTTGTTGTCCTGATACAACGCACAGTCCTTTTAGTCCCCCACAAACGTGTCCAGTCCTTCCCCGCTACGCCCTGGTGGGCTCTGGTGTGAGCACTCGCCATATTGATGCCGAACAACTGTATAGCTGATGTAGTAGCTCTCACCCAACCAGATTAATCAATACGTGCAACACGTTGCGTTACATCTTTCTTACGCGTGCAATTGCTACGCTTAGAGCTAATTCCTGTGTTTATTTTGAGTATATTACTTCCGCGCAAGCACTTACAGTTATGACTTTCTAGGCCGTTTACTACTCCTACTTAATTTTCAAAGATCCATCTACTAGAAATCTTTTACAAAAGCCATTACAGACCTCTACATAACGCGAATAGGCCTCTTGGTCGTCAATGTAGCAATAAACTTCAACCTACTTCGAACAGGAAGACTCCAAGTCAGTAGACGGGGTAAAGAGAAGCTTTTCGTACAAAGTATTATGAAATAGATTGCTTACAGCATAGAAGCTCATTTGGAAGCTATGTAAACTAGATGGGCGAGACTAAATACTTGCACCTTGTATTAGTAATAGGACTTATGACTAGTAATGCCACATCAATGAGATAGAGTTGAGACTGTAAATAGTTAATAGAATGTACGCTCCATCTTCTAGGAACTGAGAGATAGAAACGCGGAAGGAATCCAATGAATCACTTCCGCGAGAGGCCGACGAGACTTCCTAGTAAGCTGTAGAGGTATGAGACTAACGGCACATACAACGTTGGCTGGGACACGTCAAAAATTCTTTTTCTGAGATCATGGCCTGAAGTTTCTGAAGTCAACTACAAGAGGTAAAGAGAGTTACGCCAACAGATGCTTCATGGAATTAATACTTTGCGCCTTCATCTTCACAGAATCGAAGTGTTGCTTGCAATTTAGATTTCCTTCCATGACTTCGATCTCAGGGATTCCCCGTACAAGTCCAATCGCCAGGCCCTCATCCACCTGAGCTCTATCATCTGTTGCAAATCTCTCACTTAATGGTCCCAGAAAGGTTCATGCCACTCATGGGCTCAACGAAGTGCATCGGATAGTGATAAGTTTTCTCTGTAACGATATAGCTCCTTTCAAATGAAGGCAGAATCTTGTACTGGGCTCATAACGCCTAATTCGCTTGAGTCTGCGTCAGTGGAAACACGGCAATATTGCGTATAAGGAGGGCACGCACATGCAGGTACATCTAACGGCGTAGTGCTTGCTCCCTTTCTCATAGCTTTCAAGCAATGATCAGAGAAAACACATGGTCGTAGGCATTCCTTGGGAGTTCCGATCCCAAGGAGCGTTGGGTGAAGAAAGGTATTACTCTGGTCGTCTCTCGGTCCCTTATCATCCGCCCACCACAACCCCCAGTAATCATTGGATCTATCATGCAGCTAAGGTATCGATCGATACGATCTGGATCAGATCGATCGATTCGATCTGGGTTCACAATGCGTTTCTGTTCATTTGTGTATGCTGCTTGTCCTTGGTAACCCTGGTGCAGGCTGTACCACCCTGCTCAATATACTTTCGAATCGGCGACTTGGGTATGCAGAAATAAGTGGCAACGTCTCATTTGGGTCCATGTCGAGCGAGGAAGCAAAGGAATACCGTGGTCAGGTTGTTCTGGTGAGGACTGATCTCTGGCTGTATTGCATCGATGACTGACCAAGCTTAGAATGCTGAAGAAGAGGTCTTCTTTCCGACATTGTCGGTTGGCCACACACTTGACTTCGCCACTCAATTGAACGTCCCTTTCAAACTACCACCGGGAATGGAATCTTCTAAGGAGTATGCGCGCACGTACAAACAGTTCCTCCTCAAATCTCTGGCCATGGAACACACGCATGACAGCAAAGTTGGTGATGCATATGTACGTGGTGTCTCTGGTGGCGAACGAAAACGGGTGTCTATACTCGAATGCCTCGCCACTCGCGGGAGTATCTTCTGCTGGGACAATTCTACGCGCGGCCTTGATGCGAGTACGGCTCTGGACTGGGCAAAAGCTATGCGCGTTATGACTGATGAGCTTGGCCTTACTACTATTGCAACCTTATACCAGGCAGGCAATGCTGTTTTTGAACAGTTTGACAAGGTTCTGGTTCTCGACAACGGCAAGCAGATGTTCTACGGCCCCCGAGAAGAAGCAGTACCCTTTATGGAGGGCCTTGGTTTCTTCTGCGACCCCGCTGCAAACAAGTCCGATTTTCTGACCAGTGTTACTGTTCCTAAGGCCCGTGCTATTACTGAAGGATACGAGAACAAGATTCCACGGACAAACGACGAGATACTGGGATTATTCCAGAAGTCTTCCTTGTACGAGAGAATGAGAGCGGAGCTAAACTACCATCAAAGCGAAGAAGCAGTGACCAACACGACCGTATTTCAAGAACAAGTTGCCAGAGAGAAGCACAAATTACTTCCAAATAAACCAACAGTCACAACCAGCTTCTATGTCCAGGTCAAGACCGCCGTCAGGAGACAGTATCAGATTGTGTGGAGCGATAAGGCAACACTTCTCGTCAAACAGGCATCTACGCTTGTTCAAGCACTGGTAGCAGGGTCACTCTTTTACCAAGCCCCTGATCATTCGGCTGGTCTTTTCTTGAAAGGTGGCGCACTGTTCTTTGGCCTTCTTTACCCCGCTTATATGGCAATGTCCGAAGTCACAGATTCTTTCACTGGCCGGCCAGTCCTCGCCAAGCACCGATCTTTTGCTCTGCACTACCCAGCCGTATGGGTGGTGTCCCAGATCGCTGCTGATATACCTGTTGCATTGTTCCAGTGGTCGCATTTCGGCATTGTCATCTACTTCATGGTAGGTCTCAAGACTACTGCAGCTGCGTTCTTTACCTTCTACATTATCATCTTCTCATCAGCTATGGCCATGACAGCTCTTTACCGCGCAATAGGAGCTGCTTTTCCTACCTTCGATGCTGCAACAAAGGTTTCTGGATTGATTACATTGGCCTTCTTTCTCTATATGGGATATATGATTGGCAAACCTGAGATGAAAGACTGGTTCGTTTGGATATTCTGGATTAATCCTATGTCGTATGGCTACGAGGCTTTGCTTGGAAACGAGTTCAAGAATGCCGAGTTTCCATGTCTCGGTCCAAATTTGGTCCCTGTTGGTCCTCAATATGAGCAGGGCGAGGGTGGTCAGGCCTGTGCGGGCGTAGACGGTGCACGACCAGGCGCAACCAGTGTCTCGGGAGAGCAATATCTTGGTTCTATGTCCTTCGATACTTCCAACGTTTGGCGCAACCTTGGTATACTTTGGGTATGGTGGTCTCTTTTCGTGGTCGTCACAATTGTGTTCACTTCCAGATGGAAGGAGATTGGAGAAGGCGGACGCGGCATCCTCATCCCAAGAGAGACTCAAAAGAAAGCTTTGAAGGCCATGTCGAACGATGAGGAGTCGCAAGCTGTCGAGAAACCGCCGTATGAACCGGAATCGAGTCAATCGACAGCGCAATCTGCAGCCGAGAACCTTATCCGCAATACTTCGATTTTCATTATGGGGTTTTCTGGTGTAACTCTCTCGTTTTCTCGTCTTTCTTATCAACACTTGCTTATGCGAATTTACGTTTTAGGCTGGGAAAACCACCTTACTTGATGTGTTGGCTCAACGCAAGACCGAAGGCACGATACGCGGCTCCGTACTAGTGGACGGCCGGCAGCTACCTGTTTCGTTTCAGCGATCTGCTGGCTACGTTGAGCAAATGGACGTGCACGAGTCTTTAGCAACAGTCCGCGAAGCCTTAGAATTCTCAGCACTGTTACGCCAATCGCGGGAAACGCCACAAGAAGAGAAACTTCGCTATATTGACACGATTATCGACTTACTACAGCTCCACGACATTCAGCATACGCTCATTGGGTCTCCAGGTGCCGGTCTTACTGTAGAGCAACGGAAGCGGCTTACCATAGGCGTTGAGCTAGTTGCAAAACCAAGCATCCTAATATTTCTCGATGAGCCGACCTCAGGTTCAGACGGTCAAGCTGCCTATAGCACAGTATTTTTCCTGCGCAAATTGGCTGAGGTTGGCCAAGCAATTCTTGTTACCATTCATCAGCCATCCGCGCAGCTATTCTCTCAATTCGACACCCTTCTCTTGCTAGCCAAGGGCGGTAAGACTGTCTAATTTGGGGACGTCAGTACTGTCAAGGACTACTTCAAAGAGCATGGCGCTCCATGTCCCTCGAACGCCAATCCTGCAGAGCACATGATCGAAGTTGTTTCTGGAGATCTGTCCGAAGGCAAAGACTGGCCTCAAGTTTGGTTGGACTCGCAACAATGCAAAGACCTATCCCAGGAGATCGATATGCTTGTAGCTGATGCAGCCGAAAAACCACCTGGAACTGTGGATGACGGCTATGCATTCGCTTCACCAATATGGGCCCAGACCAAACTTGTTACACAACGTATGAACGTGTCATTATACCGGAATACCGAATACGTTAACAACAAAGTTATAATGCACATACTCCTCGCATTACTAAACGGATTCTCTTTCTGGATGATAGGAGATAGCTACAGTTTAGGCGACCTGAAGCTTAGACTCTTTACCATCTTCAGTTTCATATTCGTGGCCCCTGGAACAATCTCTCAACTTCAGCCGCTGTTCATAAACCGTCGCGATATCTATGAAACAAGAGAGAAGAAAAGTAAGACTTACCACTGGGCACCGTTCGTGACAGGTCTTATTGTATCAGAGCTACCATACCTTCTTGTCTGTGCTTTTGTGTACTTCTTCTGCTGGTACTTCACTGCTGGGCTTCCGGGTGCAGCTCAATACGCAGGTAGTACGTTTTTCGTTGTCGTAAGTCACAAATTCAATCAGTCGTATCGGGTTTTGTCGTACTGATAAATGACAGGTCTTCTATATGTTTCTCTACACAAGGATTGGACAGATGATCGCAGCATACGCACCGAACGCTATATTCGCCTCGCTCGTCAATCCTCTCTTCATTACAACTCTTGTCTCTTTTTGTGGAGTTCTGGTGCCCTACAGCCAGATTCAATCATTCTGGAGATATTGGTCAGTACTCTCCTGCAACTCGTGGCCCTGCGTAGATACACAGTCTCTAACCTTTGCAAATTAGGCTATATTACATTGAACCGTTTAATTATCTGATGAGCTCTCTGCTCGTCTTTACGACTTGGGACACGGACGTTTCTTGCAAAACTAGTGAGCTTGCTGTCTTCGATCCTGCACCAAACCAGTCCTGCCAGCAATATCTCGAATTCTACCAACAAGGCGCGGGTATCGGCACGAACCTTCTCAACCCAGATGCAACCGCTCAGTGCCGTGTATGCCAATACGCTACTGGCGCAGACTATCTTCGTACGCTCAATTTGAGCGAAGAATACTACGGATGGAGAAATGCTGGAATAGTTGTGCTATTTTCTATGAGTAGCTACGTGCTCGTATATCTCATGATGAAGCTAAGAACGAAGAGCACGAAGACGGCATCGTAGGTAGACGTAACAGCACATGTATAAATGAATGTACATATACAAATTGAAGTGTATCAGAAGTACTCAAGTCACGGCGAGAGATGAGGCAGAAGAGCAACAAGGCTATAGACGCTACGCATGTCACTATCAGGGCGGCTTGCACTTGAACGCCATTTTCACTTCTGTTTTCTGCATTCCACTAGTTATAAGGGAGAGCCGTCACTTCTCGCAAACGCTTGGATCTAATCTGATAGGAACTACGGAATCGCTCAATGTACCCAACACCGTTTGGTCTTCTACAGTATGCTTAACAGTGTAGACTTGCCCTGAAAACAACAGGTAGATAACGTTCTGGTTCTTTTCGTTCTGGGATTGATCCCCTTGTCCACTCGACATTGTCGAGGTTGTAACAAACATTACATTGCCAATATATCGATCAGTGAACAACTACAACTTAACGATCAATTCACAGTTGCGATCATCACGACTCCCCGTAACCACCGAAATCTGGTGTTTGTGAGGACTGGATCACCCAAACATTGCGTAACCGGTCGCGACCTGCGTAGAGAGATACAAGGAGTGATGATCTCAATAACGGCTTGAATTGTGACGTAGCTCAGGAACCCATTATGCATGGCGAACTGTCATTCATGGCGCTCATTATGAGAAAGCATGTGCCCAGGAGTAATGAAACCTCGCAAAGTATCGATTTTGCGGAAAACTCTATTAGATACTCTGCTAGGCCTCGATTGCTCATGTACACTTCATCCCAGGATTCAGGATTGACAGTTTAACCGTCCCACCAAGAACGACGACATATTTCGAGTTCACGCCTTGTATTCTGCTCTCGCCGCCATGACACTACCTGACAAGATCGACTTCCCCACTTTGACCGCCCTCGTTGTGACAGGTGATTTATCCAGAATAAATCGCCCCATCTAAAAGCGCCTATAGGTACAAGAGCACACATTGCGAGAACTTGGCTTTTGTAGTTTAGTCGAATCTTCGTGCTCGAACGACGTGTCAGGAAGAACACGAAGTCGATTTGAGATTCCGCCCAGTCAAGTCCTTCTACTCACGAGTCCCGTAGTGGAAACTGCAAGTCCAAAAATCACGTTAAGGCTGCTACTCTTCTCTACATATCAATGGGTAATGTAAAGGCTACGGCCCAAAATTGAACTAATAATCTTTAGTGACAAAAAACGTGACTCTTAGACTTCTTGTTACCATGACTATGTTGAGTGTAGCGATCGAAGTCCAGTAGTAAATGGCAACAAAGTGTCAAATATCTCGCACATTTCTTCTGGAAAGCGGATTTACTTCTTGCGCAAGTCCAAAGCCAATTCTTCTCTCTCGTCTCTCATTACTTTCAGCCTCTCGTGTATTTAGGGCGTCATTTACCCCCTGGTTCCGTTCGAGGTTGCCGTGCAGCACCACATCCGTGCTGCTAGAGTGTCCCATGGTAGAATCCGAGCCCGCATTCATTGTGGAGGCTCTCTCGGAAACATCACCGTAAGTTTCAATGAGCTCGCCGAAGCTTATGTCCGCTGCCTTTAGCCCATCCGAAACATTCTCATATCCACCCAATGTGCCCGAACCTGAGATAAGCTTCTCAAGTGATGTGCGTCCGGTCGTCGTCATGAGGAGCTGCAGGAAGCCACCAGAGATTGCTGACGTCTTGTTGTTGCGTGTGTAAAAAGATATTAGCCCTAGTGCAATAATAGGTACACCCAGTCCAATGGACAAGCTATAGGGAAGGAAGAACGCAAGCTTATTGCGGAAGCGATAGATGTTGAATGTGCGAGACACTGTGCCGTTGACGGTCTCAAAACTCTTGTTTAGTGAGATTGCAGAGATCGTGGTATTTATCAACAGCTCTTTTGCTATCTCTACGTTAAAGTTAGGACAGGTCGCCATTTCCTTCTGAGCGCCTATGTCCGGCGCTCGACGTTCGAATACCGAGAGGGGCCAGAAGTCCAAGGTCCACGGTTCGTGGCCTGGGCGCCAATTACCACTCCACTGAGATGCTGCATGAGGTAGGCAGGTTTCCAATGTAGTGCCATTCTGTAGAGTCGATCTTTGCGTCGAATTGGTAGGGCGAAACCCTAGATCCATATCAAAAACCACAGCTCGGTTCATGCTTGCTGCGAACTCCCAGTACAACGATGCCGCATCAGAGAAGTGCACCCATTGCTCAAAACTGCCGTTGAAATGTTCGAAAGCAGCTGAATATGCTGGGATAGTCATACTATCATTCAACGTGTATGAAATGTGCTGTTTCCCCGCCGTGAAGGATATATTGACAAGATATGCTGTTAACTTGGGGCGACAAACTGTTTCTTTGGCTTGGACAAGAAAGTTGATACCGGTTTCTGGGAGACTAAAACGTTGGTCTGTATCTGTAGTTGAGCTCAGATCAAGACATGGATAGTATTGCCACTCGGTCGGTTGCTCGGCGACGTGGTTAACGCTCTTCAGGTCTTCGAACCTAGCGTTCCAATCTCCATCGCTCCAAATTCTGCAGTAAGTGGAGACATTTTTGACCAAAAACGAATTGCCTTCTAATTCGCCGTCGGCTGGTAGAAGGTTCCTTCCTATGGTGCGGTTCACGGTTTGACAGTCTAGCGTTGTGCCCCAGAACTGCAGTGCGTACGATGAGTTCTCTCCACTTGGTTGAGTCAAGCCGGATATCTCGCCTGACATAAGACTAGAGCGCGCGATGAATGCGACATCTCTTGTTTGGCCCCTGAAGTATCATCAGCCAGGTCCAATTTTCCACAGAGTGGTCAATGTCGGAAAAGATATGATAGACTGACCATACTGCCCGACATGTGTTCAAGAAGGAAGCGTTCTGCGCATTTTCCAGATCACTATCAAAAAGAATTACGAGTTGACGATCCTCGTCCCAACACTGTATTGTCGACAGAGGCAAAGAAGACCAACTGGTACTATAGTTCTTTCCATGGAGTACCGACACATTGAAGCATGTGTCGACTAACAGATTGTGCAGTTCAACTACCAGAGCACCCGGAGGATACACTGTAGCAATAGGTACCAACCAACAGAAAATAGCAACAGCTGCTAGGATTGGCGTTTTAATGTATATGTTAGGACTTGCGAGATGGAACGCATTTGTTTGTATCTGGAACAGATCTTCAACAAGTCCTACCTGCGCGCACCATTAGTGCGAAAACTGTCACAGTGAAAAGGACTCGCCTTTAGTACACGCGTCCGTAGAGTTGCCCATAGATACTGCGTGTAGCAAGAAGCCACGCTTGCCACCAATGTAGCTCGAAATGCTGTAGTGAGTAGGAGTGATATTGTTGTAACATAGCCCTGTGGGATCATGGTTGTCCGTCTATACGAAAGTTCCGAGCTCGGTGCCATAACGCGTCCTTCAAGATAGAGGAAGAACATGTAGTGACATACTACAAGAAGTAAAGCTTGAAATAATTAGAACTCTGGGTGATAGAAACGGAGCACTCTCTCACGAACATAGAACATAGAATCCAATGACCACGGTTTGGAGTCGCCATGCTGTCTGCCGTTTTGAATACCCACCCAATACGGGCTGGAGTATCTCAGAGCTCGTGCTACGAGACGATTTGGGAGGCAAGGTTTGACCAGTCATTCCCAAGTCTTCTTCCTGAGTACCAGGTGGGTCGGATGCTGAACAGTCACTTGAGGGCCTTGAGCAGGGAAGAGGACTTGAGTCCTCGGGTGTAAGATCTGCAGGAGTGGCAACCGGTATCTGAGCGACATCTGCGAACTGAGGACCCTCTCCGGGTCCCACCTCGTGGCCGTCAGATGGACAAGCATCGTACTTGTGCATGGTGGACGAAAAGTGTTTCGATGGGCCGCGCAGGTGGAAGAAAGTGCTCTGATCCCAAGTCGCGCATTCAAAAGGTAACAGATGATAGATTAAAACTCTAGTATTACGAGTGCGAGATCATCAGACTGACGGTAATACATGATGCACGCGGTAGGCCTTAAAACGTGGCAGTCCGATTTCCTTTTTCCTGCAAGAAGAGACTTCAATCTGCTGACGACGTGCATGGTGGCGGACGTCCAATACTTGGCGAGGCTTCACAGCCAATCGGTTCCATGATTCAAGCACAGGAAAGAATGAGGGGCACCTTGGCTGCTCAGTGATTGCCTCACGAGGTTGCACGACAGGCTGCATGTCAGCTTGCAGCCTTAGAGCTCAAACATTAGCACAGTCTGCTCCCCCTACCTCTAGGTACCAGTTAGTAGAGAGACTTTAGCCTAGCTTAACATAGCATATGCTACTATCTTAGGATTTTCTACTAAGCTCTATCTATGCAGTTCTTAGCCTTTGGTGTTTTAATTAAGGATTTTGCGACGTAAAAGGTGGTTAGTAACAACTCAGATCAGAGCCAAGCTCCATTGCATCAGCCCAGCTACATAGAAACCACTACGATCTCTCCGTAATCTTGCTATTCGAAACTTGATTACCGCTTTTGATTGCGACAACGAAGTGGCTTGTATCGTGATTACCTGGCAACACGCATCCTATAACATGCTCGTAAGCTCGCAGAAAGGAGAGCATGCCTCTTAGTCACATCTTTCGCTATCATCAATACTATGCTGCTTTCTATCAAAAGGACCCTTTTTGATTGGGATGGTTCCTACCTGAAACGATACACATTCGATTCAGTTTACAGCTTCGGCCTGTCCTTCTTCTCCAGCAGCTCTGTAATCGTCTTGACCCACATCTCCGCTGTTTCAGAATCTATAGCGTTCATGTCGTAGCTCACACTGAACTCCACGCGCTCCTCTCCATCAGTTGAACTTAGTACTAGAAACTCTCCTTCCCTTGCTCTCACGCACAACCTTAACTCTCTGTAATCTACCACTAAATCCCTACCCTTATCACTTAAATTATACTCCCCAGGCCTGAAAAACCCTTTTAAACTCCCTACACTACTAACCCCGCATGTTGCACTGAAGTCCCCACCTGGCTTTAACTCGCCCTGCAGATCTGTTATACTACTTCGTTTGTGAAGTGGCAGGGTTGCCTTAATGCGCTCAATTTGCGATATATAGCCTGTCGCCAGCAGCCGGCTAGGTGAATGCTTATCCAGACCCACGCTCTCGCCCTTAGTAGTCTTCAGCCGCTTCTGATACGTCTTCAACTCGCGATTTGCTGTCCTAGTTGCTAGTTTGAAGCGCTGCTCGACGGGCAGACTACGGGGCAGAAAGGGTATGGCAATGCCGTTGCTAAAGGCAAGCATACACGAGTCTGCGGGCGGACGATCAGCGAAGAAGCCGCGTGGGTCTAGTGGGAAGGAGGCCGTCATAGCAGGGAACGAGGAGGCTCCTGGGTTCTGCGCCGCGTGTAAATCCATCATCGCTAGCCCCACGAGCGCGAAACAGCCCGCGCCAATACTCAGCTTTGCTTCACGGCACAGGCTGATGAGCTTTGCTGATGCAGCTTTTGAGAGAGCTGCTATTATGAAGCCTGACGACATAGGTGGCATATTGGCGCCTTCGTACGAGAACACTTTAGCGTACCGCTGCTGCATAGTCTCTGGTTTCTCAAGACGCTTAGAACGGTATAGTGGGTTTGCAAAAGTTGGTGGCGGCGCACGCTTAATGTGTCGTAGGACGCGGAGAATGGCCCAAATCCAGCGCTGTCGTGCCCGGTTACCAATAATAGGCGGATACAGATCTTCCTGCGCGGAAGGCAGTCTGGTTCGCAGAACGTCCACCTGGAGGGAGGCGGTGATTTCGTCTTCTATGACGTCCACAGGCTGATTGAGAAGGCGGAGGAAGTCTTTGAACCACCCATATGTGGTGAGTCCGTCACAGATCTGGTGCGCCATAACGATCAGAAAGCTCAGCTCGTAGGTCCCATCAGATAGGGAGCGTAGCGGGGAGACGTGGAGCTTAGACAAGCAAGACTCTGGCTCAATAATGCGCGCAACACTCAACGCATGGTTGTGGAAGTCATCTGGGTCAACAGCCTGGTAGTGATCTTCGACCCACACAATGCGCTTCTCAACGTCTGCTACAGCCTCGTCCAGCGTACACGGTACCTCAACTGCAAAACACCGCTCTCCAGACTCTGGTTTATCGAATGCTCTGCTTAGCAGTAGCACGTGACGCAGCCGCAGCGCAGCCCACGCCAGCGCAATTCGACGCCGCCAATCTGCGGGCGATAGTTGATGGGCAATCACGCATTTCAGTGTTGCTGTCATGTCTGCACGGCCGCCGTAGTACAGCCCGTCCAAGTCAAAGGAACACTCGACGAGGCCCTGGAGGCGGGTGAAGCATGGACGACCCTGTGCGGTTGTGGAGAGCGTCCAGGCGTGGTAAGAAGACGCATAGCGGTCGAGCCAATGGGGTTCCTTTTCTTGCAGCATTGTGAAAATGAATAAGAAGCAGCAGTAATAGCAGCTACTGTGACTTTCAACTCTGTCACTGGAAGTAAACAGAATCTTTGTTGGCTGATCAGATAGTAGGTAGACGTCAAAACCTGGGTAGCACGAAGTAATAGGCATTATATACCTAGGTATAATCGAACAATACTGATGGCTGAACACCACGTATGGCCGAAAACCGCATATGGCCGAACAATATGCAGGGGGATAGTTTCTCCGGCTGTTAGCCCACGGGTATCTGTTGAGAGTTTGACCAATATAAAATAGCTACGACACTCCCCTAGGGCTTCTGACTTGCTGAATGTATGCCGCGCCGGCACACTGTAACAGCCCGACGTGCTGCCCCCCTGTACGTGACGAATTTCTATGCGGCCAAGCTTCCCATTACCCCGAGATGCCGAAGAACGTCCTGCTAGCGTCCGCCTACACACGCATTGTCATATCGAGCCTAGTGTCTTCGGATCACCCGTCATTACGGGGGGGGAACTTGAGTGGACGAAAATACGAACGTGGGTGTCGATCACAGAACAACCAATAGGATCTGTCCAATGTAGGGACTGACTTCGAGAAACCTCTGTGGGGCACCTCGTATTCTCGTCCGCTCATGTTACCCCCTTGCACTCCTCCACTAGCTTGAGTCAGGCCGCTATGCTCTATACCCGATGTACATAAAAACGGCTGACGCGACGCCCGACATAGAGCACGGGAAGAGTTGAGTCCATTTGGTTCTCAGGGATGATAATATTGTTATTGGTACAACCCGAGGGTTTCACTGCGGTATTGAGACACTAATCAATAATTTCTTTATTCAACTACAGTGTCTGTGCGCTGGTTGCGCAGTTACTATACGTACGCAACTAGCACACGGACACTGTGCTTCGTACGCTCGCTAGCTATCCACCAGACTAGGTACCTACTGTCGCTGATATAGGCCGATAGCGACATCCCCCTTGCTTAGAATCACCCGCCAGACCTCAAGGTCGTTCGCTTTAAGAGTTCCCCCGCTGATCACGATAGCATCGCAGAGAAGAAATGTCTCGCATGGATCGTTGACCAAATAGGACTCAGAGGCCCCGAGCACGCGTTGGATCCTGTATGTATCCTCTGGGACGTCAATGCTGGCAAGATACGTTCGCACCATGCGTGGATGCTCTGCGACGATGCGCGCGGGACGGTCTGCTGTCCACGCGCGCGGGTCAATGTGTTGGCCACGACGGCCAATGAGTGCGAGCGAAATGTCGGGCTGTGGGGCAGAAACAACAGGCCGCGCAACAGTGGGGAAGTTGTCCATAACTACGCTATATGTCACGGTACCGTCAAGCGCACCTTGCGTGAGCAGCCCAGGCATGTCCTTTGGTCTGGCACATACGAAGTGCACGCTGACCCCCTCGCCGAATGCTTTCGCGAACTTAGCCGCGTCGACGATCTCGTAGTTCACACGCAGGCTGCGGCCCGTTGGGCGCACCAGCTTTACTCCAAGGCAGGTAAGCATGAAGTCGTCTGTTCTGTCTTCGTACTTTTCCGCCGTCACGCCGATGGCCTTGGATCCCGGCGGTGAGACGGCTTGTGCAAGCATCGCGTCCGCGTCCGCGCCGTGGATTGCGCTCACCTGTTCAGAGGTCAACCCGGCTTTACGCGCGTAGGTGTTCACGAGCTGGAGCATGGAACTGGCTTCCTTGTACGAATTGTGCGGCGGTACGGCAGCGGTAAGCTGCCAGATTTGCGCCTCCATGAGTGCAAGCAGACGCTCGGGAGCGTCAATGTCTTCCGCCGCTGACACAGACCGCAGGCGCGAGCGATCATGCGTGGCAAGACGCTCATATATAGCCCGATAGCGCGGCGTGAGTGTAAGTGTGTTATCCGCGAGCACCTGCTGCGCGTGCAGGCCGTATGGCTCGTTCGGGGCAATCATCTCGTGCTCGTGGAACGGGCGGCCAACGAGGTGCTGGCGGAGGAGGCTGTTGAGCTGTGTCCACTTCTCGAGGATGCTGCCTTTTACGGAGCTACCGCCTGCGCGCCAGATATCCTTGTCATATACAGCTTGGCCGTTCGTATTAACGGTCTCGCGTTGCTTGATGCGCATGCAGTCCTGGTTGATCTCAGACCACATCGTACGCCCCTTCGGATCGAGCATGATGCATCCGTCCTGCACTTCAAGCCCGATCTGATGAAGGTAGTACTGCATCGTGAAGAAGATTCGCAGGGTGCTGTCCACAGTTGCCTCGACGTCCTGTACGCCATGTACGAGCTCCTCGGGCACGCACTTATCCCCAAACGGCGTTGCCCGTGCAGTGAGGTAGTCGTTATAGAAGACATCCTTACCGACCGACGCTTCCATGAGGTGGTAGAACGGGTGCGTCGCAGGATTGACGCCCTTGTACGTGTGGTTCGGGTTCCGCCAGTCGAAGCGAACGTATGGCCCACGTCTATACTGGCCTGTCGGCAATGTGACACCGGGGTGGTTAACAATGTCAAAGAAGGAATGTTTGTCTGTACCCAAGCAACGTTCCTTGTATACAGTCTCGATCTGTGTAATTTCGGTGCTGTGCGCCCAAATGAGCCCATGCGCGTTCAGGCCTTTGTATGTGTGGCTAAGGCCTGCCCGATGGAGCATCTCAAGGAAGAGACGGGAGCCGGCAGCACGGATTGCACTGAGACCTGTAATCTCTGCCGTTGCCTGCTTGCTGTGCGAATAGATGGTCGGCTTCAGGAAGACAAGAACCTGATCATCGAAGGCGCGGGTTTGGGACGTCTCGACTTTGTAGATCTGCTTCGACTCACCCTCAACGATTAGACGAAGGCGCAGTGGTGCTTTCCCGTCATGTAGATTGTCGTATTGGTTCACAAGTGCATGTACCAGGCCCGGGTCTCGAGAGCATTGACTGCGAACGTCTTCGGGGGTGAAGATTGAGGTCTCACCGCACTCAGCAGCGACGAGTTCTTCCAACCGCTTCGCGTAGTCCACACCCGGCACCACCGCACGACGATTGGCCAAGGACGCCACGTCCTCGGGGGTCAGTGTGCGCAAAGCAAGCTTTGAGAAGAGCGCGAGGACCTCTGGATTGCGGGCGAGGGCAATTATGTCAGAGACACTCTTTTCCACGCCGTTCTTTCCAGTATCCACAACGGGCAGGCCGTAGAATGCTGCTAGTTCCTGATGACTCATTAGAGTCTTCTAACACCGGAGCAAAATGCCAGGAACATACCAGAAACCGCGCACGGAAGTAGAAGAGGGATTTTTCAGACTCCCATTTATCTGTGCTTGGCCGTTTCGCAAGCCGCGCTTGGAGGACGGGAAGATCAGCATCAAGGATAATTCGCACAATTCTGCGGTGAACTCCATCCTTGTCTGTATACGATGTGGGGAGAGGACCACGGTCGTCACTGGCAAGTTGCAACGTGAGTTTGTCGAAAGACCGAACGACGAGTGCATCCTCAAGTGTCGGGTCCTCATCTCCACGTGCATAGACAATTTGACCGGCCGCCTTGAGGGCGGGGGCGAGAGTAGATTTCCCGGTCGCGTCGTTACCGTGGAGGACGATGGTATAGGCCGACTCGGACATGACGGGCGAACGTGTATCAGAGACACTTGACCACGCTACAATGAGAGGATTTGAAAGAAGGTTAATGAGACTTGAAAGCGGGTGTTAAGAAGTAGCTCGTCGTGGGAGGCCGGATGGCCTGTTTATATAGCATAGAGATTCATGATGTACATGCCTTCTCAATCGGACCTTGCCGAGTCTGTGTCATTTGACCTACACAGTTCTTTGTGACAGAACATCTCCCCAGCCCACTACTTTGCCTGACTCCTGCACGTGGAGTCGCTACAACGCTTCAGTCCCATCGTCAGACTTGGAAGCAAGCCGAAGCTGCTAAGCTGATCTCGATTGGAGGCCACGCAAGCTGAAACTGCTAACGTATGATACCACCTGAAGTCGATCCGTATAATTGCGGCGGAACGGCGGGGATGTGATCGGTCCTTCAGTTAGGTACTGCAGGTCCTACAGCATCGGTCTTACCAAGCCGTGCTCTAGCCCCACAGCACTCTGGCACGTCAGGTTAATACATCTTGAGAACTTCATTGCGTACGTCAAAACTGCGTTTGGAATAGAGAATGATTCGGCCGGATTTCAACTGAGTTGCGGACGATGCTCCGCCAGACAAGAGTGCTAGCCCCGCCCACTATCATCAGCAGGTCGGAGTGTCCGAGAGTATCTTCTCAGAGATCTTCACAAAAGTATTCACAAGTCGAGTAATAATCCAGGAAGATCAAAGCTCAAGCATAAACGTTTGATATATCGAATCAAATCGAATACAGACAGTTTGGCCGTCACTTACCACATCGCACTATAATTTGATGTGTATGTACAATCGCTGTCAAGACATGCGAACCCCCCACTGCTCCCTTGACCACGAAATAGTCATGATCAGCACGTGCCATGGTACTGACATGCGGGAATCTTTGTGGGTATAGTCCACATTATCATCTCAAAGACCGTCCACAGACTGTCGCTTATGTCCAGCCAGACGCACATAGCCGACGAGAAGCTGCTGCTATCGATTTTGGCTAGCATCGGTAGTACCTAGGTACTATTCGTATAGAGACGGTAGAAAATCCACTTCCACGCGTTCTCTACATCGGAGTAACTCCAGAAGTGGGATTCCGTATGACGAGGTTTCGAACGGCAAGATGTGATTTTTCCGGTTAATGTTGTCCGTCCGCACAAGCCGACTCCGCGAAGATCGGTCTTGGTCTGGGCGCGAGGCTAGAGCTGATACGGTAACTTGCAGCAATCCGTGCACACATGACAAGCCCGTCTTGTGCCGTTCGGTAAATGAACGCGTTATGGTACTGCCTCTAATCCACTATCCAACTAAATATCACCTGGCATTCTTGAACCTATCTCACACTCTGTCCCTCGCCACTCGTCTACTTCAACTATCCTGTCTCGGTCACTTCTGCCAACACATCTGTCCAGCAGAGATGCCTTCTCCTATTAGCGTCGGAGTCTACCAGACACACTTACTCCGCGAAGATCATACAATCTTAATCGTGGATGAGATATACGGAGAGGAACTAGTCCATGAGCCAGTTCTCGTAGAGCTTCTTCAAAGCCCGGAGGTGCAACGACTACAAGGAATCTGCCAGTACGGAATAATTGCATTCTTGGGCTTGACACCCCGAGTCACACGGCTCGAACATTCGGTTGGTGCCTTCATACTCGTGCGAAGAGTTGGTGCCACGATCGAAGAACAAATTGCTGCTCTTCTCCATGATATCTCTCACACTGTCCTCAGTCATGACGTCGACTACGCCCTCTCCAAGCTTGGAGAAGAGAGCTACCATGAGGTACACAAGACACGATATATTGAGATGACTGGTTTACCCAAGATCCTCGCCAGGCATCAGATCGACCAGAAGGTCTTCAATGAAGATCTATTTCCTTTAGTAGAGATGCCGTCGCCGCAACTTTGTGCCGATCGCCTAGACTATGCTCTACGCGACTCTATCAGCTTCGGAAATCTTACGCTGGAGGCGGCCAGAGAAGTCTTCAGCTCACTGAGAGTGTTTCCCAGTCCTATAGCACCCCGCCGTTTACTGGTGCTAGACGATCCACGAGTAGCACTGATTCTTGCACGCGCATACATCACTACCGACAGAGACGTCTTGACACGTCCGGGAATTGTTGTTATGTCAGAGCGAACGGGTCAGGTGATAGGAGAATTGGTGAAGGCAGGGGCGGTGAATGATAAGATGTTATGGCAGATGTCCGATGCAGAGTTTTGGGCTGAGATTCGCAAAGCAGCAAATCCTGAGCAGCTTCGCGCTATCAAGAGACTGGAGGACGAGGGAATTCCAAAAGATGATGGTCTTGAACGCCCAAAGGGTACGAAAATCCGCACCCTTGATCCAGATATCTGGCAAGAAGCAGAGAAGCAGCCAGCTCCACTGTCAACAGTATTGCCGATGTGGGGGTCGGAGCGATCACAGTATATTCTTAGTCAGCAACAAGGATGATCTACAGTACCTAATAGCGGGGGTAAGTAATCAATAGCATACTGTTCGTGCAGTTGTAGCCAATTAGATACGGAGACTTGAAACTATTAGAAACGAAATTTCATCTAATAACAGCTATAAGATACACAGAAATGCTGTGCAACCAAGGTGTTATCGCTAAGCACAGACAGTACGCCATTGGTTACATACACCTGCCATATTGTAGGATATCCAAGCTTAGTCTTGGTCGTAATTTCCCTCCTGCCTCCCAAGCCTCACATGACTACTCAATCCATGCTCACCATTGTGTCTTGTAGCTTCGGGATACCTCTCTGCGACTAAGTTGCACACAAGAATTCGTGCTCGGCCTTGGGTATTGTCAATCGCCGTCCGATACAGTGTTGTGAAACCGATCGACTCAAGCGGTCAGGTGTTCAATCGTTATTCGGACCTATAGTTACGAGACGGCCCAAGCACTCTAGCTCTTGTATCCTGGCTTCGTACATTTTTTGCGAGATATTTATTGTTACTCGGCTCAGTGACCCACGTGGGTCTTGGTTCAGGGCCTGTTTGGTAGGTACACCAGAGTTGGGAGCCCTTACCGAGACCCGATACGGCCCACCCCGCAGCGGAACCCGGCCCGGTGCCTGGGACGGCCCGACAAACTAACCGCCGAGTGGCTGAGGCTTGGTCGTTTAAGAGAACAGGCACAACGTACGATTTGTGTATTTTATTGTACAGTGAGAGCCGGAACGGGCCGGAACGGGTTAAACAACAGATTGCCCCACAATTTTCTCCTACAGTGGAACTCCACAACGTCATGCAATATGACTGGTTCTGGAGAGCGCAAGTGGCAGTTCGTATTTCAGTCGGTTCAGGTTCATGCTACCCCCTTGTACTTGTCGGGATTTTCCAGGCCCGATCCTTTTCGTCCTCTCTAGCCAGTGGACACAATCCTCGGCGATCCCCCACGAATCTACATAACCATTGTACAATACTGTAGGCCCGAAAGCACCTTGTCGCCTCTAAGTCTGCGAACGCCTCTTCAATGTACGTGGCTCGCTACTAAGAGTCACACCTTCACTAGCTGCAGAAGTTGGCATCTCAAAATCACATAGTTGACGTATCGTGTGCCTGTCACTGCGACTATTTCATGTTTCATCTTGACAACCAGGTTCTAGTACGTGTGATGGGCTGACGATCAGTCACTCAGCCTCTTGACAGCATTCGAGTTACGTACGCGAGTGCGTTACCTGAGAGGCGCTCAGACTAAACCCCTAAATTTACCGGGAAGTCATTCATTCTTAGCTCACATGAGGACATATACAAGTTCTCTCCTCCATTGAAAACTACTACAGTAAATCTGGGTGATAGCTCCCAGAACGTAGTCTTTTGTAACTGCAGCGTCTATAATTACGCTTTATACCTCTCTGATCTAAAGCTAGCCAGAGGGACTAACTTTTGTTCGCGCCTGCCTTGCCTCTACGCGCACACAATACAATATCCACGCTTCAGCTAAATTATTTTTACTTATGTAAGAGGCTAGGAGTTTTTTTCCGCTTTTCCTCTGCTTATAGTGCTTGCTAGACCCGTTTCTATCACTACCTTGAATTTGAGAAAGCCGACAGCTGCCACGTCATCAGCAATGCCATTGCTTGATCTGCCAAATGAGTTGCTCCGAGATATCTCAGAACACCTAGGATCTGAAAGACATATCAACGCTTTTGCACAAGCCAGCCGCCGCCTTTACGGTCTCCTAGATACCTACCTCTACCGCTACAATGTACAACATTCTAAAAGCTCAGCGCTATCGTGGGCTGCCCGGCATGGCCATGAGGCGACGGCGCAAAAGTCACTAAGGGCAAAAGCCAGTAAACATGCCCCTGATCACGATGATAGCGGCGAAGGACTGCTGTTGTTGGCCGCAGAGAATGGACATAAGCAGGTGGTAAAGCTGCTGCTTGACATGGGCGCCGACATCAACGCACAGGGTGGATTCTATGGGAATGCACTCCAGGCAGCGTTGTCTAGAGGCCACAAAGATATAATACAGATCCTACTTGACAGGGGCGCTGATATACATGCCCAGGGTGGACGATATGGCAACGCATTACAATTAGCGTCACAAGGGGGCTATGAGGCAGTGGTGAAGCTGCTACTTGACAAGGGCGCTAAAGTTAACGCATGGGGTGGACACTTTGGTACTGCACTTCAGGCTGCTTGCTCTGGAGGCCACGAAGCAGTGATAAAGACTCTGCTTGACAAAGGTGCCAATGTTAACGCACAGGGTGGCTGCTACGGTGATGCACTTCAGGAAGCTTCACAGGGAGGCTACAAATCTGTGGTGCAGCTGCTACTCGATAGAGGGGCTGATATCAACACGCAGCGCGGACACTACGGTAACGCACTCCAGGCGGCTTCAGATAGAGGTCACAAGGCAGTAGTGCAGCTGCTGCTCGACAGAGGTGCTGACGTTAACGCTCAAGGTGGCTGCTATGGGAACGCACTTCAAGCAGCTTCGTTAAGAGGGCATAAGGCAATAGTGCAGCTGCTACTTGATAGGGGTGCTAATATCAATACGCAGCGCGGATATTATGGCACCGCACTTCAAGCAGCTTCAGATGGAGGTCATAAGCTTGTAGTGCAGTTGCTGCTTGACAGGGGTGCTGAAATTAACGCGCAGGGTGGTTGGTACGGCAACGCACTTCAGGCAGCTTTAGATAGAGGGCATACGGAGGTAGTGAAGCTGTTGGTAGCAGGGGGTGCGAAGCCTTTGTAAAGGTAACGCATACTTAGCTAACGGGTTGTTTTCCTTGTAAGATACTACGGCACCTATTTAGTTCTCTACTAGCTGACTCGGTCTTAACACCGGACGCCTGCACGCATTATCTGGTTGTGCAGGAGGTAATTGAGTTACCCCTACATAGTACCTGCATTTCACGTTTATACCCGTTGCCTCTGCCTCTACCTCTGCCTCTGTCTCTGCCTTTGCCTTTGCTGCTGCTTCTGCCTCGTAGGCACAGTAAATGGAGAGGAGAACTATTCCAGTACAATCAACGACGTCGGAAGATCTTCCAGGAGCCTCCTGATGGAAGTACTGAACATCTCTATCCGTCCCCCCACCATGGCTTTGGCCTGCGGTCCCTGGCCTGGCACCGTCGCCGGATGCGCCAACCCAACAAACCCAATCCTTTTAAAGCAGCCGATGCCGGGTTTTCGCCTCACATGGATCGCGCCGAATTGCTGGCTGTATCGGTCCTCGCAAGATAGAGGCACAATGTAACCAGACTGTCCCGGGTCGGCGGAGCCACTTTCCGCGTTAGGGATGCTCACTTCGTGCACGACTTGCGCAATGAACAGATGTAAGTACTAATTTATATATAGTTTATAAAAAATAACTACCTATTAGGAACCTAAGTTTATGAATAACTGTGCATTTTAAGCATAGGAAAGAAGGAGGGGCACTTTGGCTGCTTATTTAGTGAATGCTTTACAAGGTTGCACGACAGGCTGCATGTCAGCTTGCAGCCTTAGAGCTCACCCCCCTACTTCTAGGTACTGGTTACTAGAACAACTTCAGCCTAGCTTGACTTAACACGCGCTGCTATTTTGGTCTTTTCCACCAGGCTCCGTCTCTGCAATCTTCAGCCTTCCGTGTTTTAATCAAACACTTTGCTCTGTTAAAGGCATTTAATAACAGCTCAGATTAGAACCAAGCTTAAGCTGATGGTCTATTACACTATTCTAGCTATATGGAAACCACTACAACTTCTCCGTGCCCAAGCACGTCCGAACTTACTACACACCACTGGCAAGATGTCGCAACAGCCGAACCCGCACGAGACGCATCCGACTCGACTAAAGCGACACTTCTGCCCTACCGGGAAATACCAAGTGCACTATCAGATGATAATAGCCAGGAACTGAAAAGCACCCGGCGCATCTCAAGAGCGACGGATACAACTGCGACACCACTGTTGAGCACTGAGAAGACTGGGGCAATGTTAAAAGGATGGTCGAGGTCCCCAGAAATGGTCTCAACGTCCACAGTCATGGTGATATGCGAAGGCGTATTCGACTTTGTGCTGTTTGCATGCGCTGCCGCATTCTTCGCCTTTGCGGTTTCCGTTGCTTACTTTGACCAAGTACCGACGGCCGAGAACCCAAAGAGAACCAAGCTGCTGCTCAACGCAACAGAATATGTGAGTGAAAGAGATTCTGAACACACACATATCCTAATATGTGCAGGGACCATCAGTCTTTCCTATTCTCTTCGCTCTAATACTAGGAAGAACCACGCACACTGTCTTACGTTGGCGCTTTGAGCGCGGCGAGCGTGTTGGGGTCTTGGACACACTTGCTACTAGCACGTCACTGACAAGTACAGTAGTAGCGCAGTTTCAGTTGCGCGCTACTAGTACTATTGGCATCGTGTTGATGATCACCTGGGCACTCTCGCCCCTCGGAGGTCAAGCATCTCTCCGACAGATGAGCATTGGCGTCAAGAACGAGACCTTCGACATCGACTTTGCACACATGATCCACCATGGCTACTTGGATAGTCTGCAGACGACCGAACAAGAATCGAACTGGGGAATCGTCAATAGCATGTTCATTAGTGCAATGATAGGGTCAGTGGACCCCGACTTGGCCCAAGTTGACATATGGGGTAACTTCAAGATACCTAGGATTGAATACCTCGAGCACCGTGGCAGCGCTGACGAAGAAGGCTGGCTCGTTACTAACAGTAGCGAAGCCGAGTCCTACACGGCTATGGTGGGCATCCCGCTAGCCATCGGCGATCGTCCTGGGAGGAATAGAACGCAACCTACGGACTACAGAACGCGAATCGAATCCTCGTACCTTGAAGCCACATGCGACATTGAAAACCTCTGAAAGCCGACGTGGCCGGATCCTCACAAGTTATGGCCAGATGGAATAGTGAACTTGACGGGTCCAGGAGCGTTCGTGGTGTTCGACAACTTAACGCAGCTTCGCCGATCGGTCAGTGACCCGCACGACCTAACCCCGTTCCGGTATCAATACATATCCAGAGGCTGGAACATTAGCAACTATCGCCTTGATTGCAACATCTCAACAAGCTATGTTGAAGCAGAAATTGTCTGTCAAGACACCACGTCGTGTGCGGCAACGAGAGTCCGTCGATCTCGCCTTGATCACCCCCCGCCAAACTGGACCTTGCTGGATCTGCAGTGGAATACACTGCGGGAAATGTTTCAGCGCATGCTCATTAGCACTGGTGGCAGCGAGAAATGGCCAATTCCTCTAGACAGATACTTGAACGAGCCGGCGACAGTTCTGGGTGGAGCCCAGTCAGTCATTAGCTTTTCAGAGAAAAAGAGATACTCAGTCCACATGACACACCTGCTGAACTCGTACTTCAACATCATCAACGGTCTCTTTGCCATCTCCGGAGGACTGAAAATGAGCAATCGCGCAGACGCCAGGAACGGGACGTTCGTGCCTCCGCTGAACCCACCGGACGCCAAAGTGAAGTCGGAGCGAACGATGGGCTTTTTTGCAGGAGAGCGCCTCTGGTACAAATGGGGCATGCCGTCACTGCACGGCTGGAGCTGGTCGGCGCGCGGCACCGAGACGATATCGACGGAAGTGATAGCGGCCCAGCGGCCCTGGGTCGCCACGCTGTGCGCAGCGTCTCTCACGCTCGTCCTCTCAAGCCTGCTAACCCCGCTGATCCACTATCTGCTCATCGAAGGCCCGGAGATTCTGATCAACGTGTCGAGTCTCGCAACACGAGACAACGCGTATGTAGAGTTGCCACACGGAGGCACGCACCTCGGCGCCGCCGCTCGCGCACGAGCACTCAGGGACCTCGAACTGCGCTTTGGCGATGTCCGCAAGAGGTCGGATGTCGGTAGGCTCGCTATCGGCGCCCTGGATATGCAGGACAGGCGGCGTATCCGGCGAATACGCGCTGGGCGGCTGTATGAATAGTGCGGGGACATCTTAAGTGATTTCTCAATGTGAGCTGGCTAAGCTCTCATTGGCCATCGTAGTCGTAGTATAGCCGGAGACTCCCTTTTTGGCAGCTGTACAACGAGATTATCTTCTATTGACAAATGGTGACCGTCTCTAGCTGTTATCTGTTGTCTACCTTCTTGCTCACGATATTTTCAATCTCTTCGTTGGGAACAACATTTTCTGGTAATGGATAATCGTTAGTGATATGTTTATGCACCCCCCTCTAATTATAAAGCCATGTTGGAAGGCCTAGGCCCTCCCACGTAGAGGTTGGCAAGAGGGCGGTCAAGTCCCTGATATGCCTAGGTATCCATTAGCCTAGTCACCCATAACGTTAATCCTAACGTTAGTACTAACGTTGGTACTAACGCCAAGCAGCTGTTGTAGTCCAGGTCTCTCGCACCACAGTAAAGATAAAGGGAAGGTCCAGTCCTCTCCCTTACCCGCATACAGACCGAGCCTGCCCCTACATCCAGGCACACAAACTTTCCGGCCATTCAGAGAGCCTGTGTGCCTGCCACGAGACTGCAAGTGTATAGCACCACAGGAAAGGGGGGGGGGTCTGCACATGCTCACAGGTAAGCACCAATACCCACCTCCCGTCCGCGAACCCTAACCCGTGGTACCTACCACTCACCCAGCTCGCCAACTGCACGTCAGGCCCAGCGACCACGCGCGACACCAGTCCCATCTCCGGTGTGCGCGTTCCCGCGTCGCACCGTCTGAGCACGGAGTCCTCAGACCCGGAGCCTCCGGTGTCTGGGAAGGCCAGCTCAACACAGCCCCCAAGGACAGACGCGCATCTGGCGCACTTGCCCTGCCGCCCCGCGGCAGTCCGGGCCAAAAAAAAACATCCAGACCTATCTGTGCTGCAGACGGCGTCCATGGGGGCGTGTGACAGACTCCTGAAGGCGCAGGGCGTATTCATCATGGCTTTGGGTTTGCACGCCATCCTCTGACGCCAAGGGAGCAGGCCAAGCTAAGGGACCTACCGCGCGGCGCTGGGGCATGGGAGAGCTTGTAAGTACAGACGCACGCTGCAGTGGTGCAAGATGCGCAGCAACTGCGCAGCTTGCGTGAGTCGACACGTGTGGATTACAATACTGCGGTGGTGCTGCTAGGCCTGACTTGAGCGTTCGGAATGGACAGATGTGGATATTTCGTTACATGCACTTTGTCTGCGGTGCGCGGCTCCCACACTATTTTATTTGACCCCCGTGCCCTCCTTCGTCGCTTCGTCCGGGTTATCTCCCATCTTCTCCTCCCTCTCCCTCTCCCTCTTCCTCTCCAACTCCCTAACCTTCTCCGGCGGACTATCCTCGATCAAATCACTTTCATTATTAATCCCCGACCACTTGGGCAGCCCATCCGGCACATCCACGACCCTTTGCCCATAAAACATATGACACCTGGGCCTAAACGCCTTTTTCTGCTCATCGGTTTTCAAGTGCACTAAGGAAGGGAAGAGGAGGATCATGTTGCGGCCCTCGTCCATGATGGGGCTGTGGCAGTAGGAGCAGCGCACCTTGCAGGGGAGCTTGTGCTCGATGGATTTGGAGGAGGGGTCGTACCATTCCAGGTTGTGATGGCCGTGGGTGAAGTTTATGTCGGTTTTGTGGAAGATGGCGGCCCATTGGAAGGGTGCGGCTGCGGGGGTGTTAGGGGGGACTTGTTTGGGGGGCCTGGGGATTAAAGAACGCACCATGCTGCACCTGACACGTCGTACAATGGCACAATTTACTATCCAGCGGCTCCGCCCTACTCAACTGAAACTTGACTTTCCCACAGTGACAGTTCGCCGTCAACTTGACGTCAAAGTCCGCCCCGTCGTCGTGCACCAGGTACGGCGGCCGCGTCTTCCACTCGGACAGGCCCGTGGTCTCGTCGCCGCGGCACTGGTCTTCTTTTGGGGACATGGCGCGCGGGGTGCGGGAATATGGGCGGGCGAGGAGGCGGAGCGCGGAGGGGGTGAGGACGCTGCGGGTGAGGGCGGTGCGGGATGAAAGCAATGGCGCGCGGAAGGCAATTGCAGACACGGACATGGAAGGGCGATAGGACGAGTGAGTGCAGCGCAGTCGGTGAACAGCGAGTGTGGGGGTGCAATGTGGAGTGGTCATTGACATGTATATATGGACGCGTCGTGATGACGTCGAGACAAACAAACGCGACGGAACGTGACGCACGGGGCGCGATCAACACCACGACACGACGCCGCGCGCTGCGAGTGTCGCGCGGAATTTCAATGCTAGGGCGCCTGCGGGGCAGGGCGTTTTGTGCGGTGCCGCGGGGCCGGGTCTACGCTTCTTACTGTACAATGCTTCACCCGCCGGCCAGCGCCTGCTGGGCCTCCTTGGCGGACAGCCCGAATACATTAATCAGATAGTCCTGCTCTGCGAGATTGTTAGATGTGGTCGGTTGATGCCGCGCTGCACTTACTGATATCGTTCGCGATGCGCCTCCGCACGGCTTCGAACTCGACCTCCGCCTTGTCACGTGCTGCATCCTGCTTCCGCGAGTCGATGGTCTTGACGCGGAATCTGAAGCTGCCGCTGACAGGCCGGTGGTCGGACACCTTGATGCCGTCGTGTCTCCTGTAGTCGAGCTGCTTGATTCTACCTAGCCCCCGGTACAGAAGACGATCGCACCAGGCGGGCGAGCGCTTCTTCTCAGATGTGTCGTAGTTGTCGGTGCCGACGTCGTACTTGTATGTAGGATCAAAATCGATGGGCATTTCGTTGAACGCGCGAAGGCGGAATCCGGGGTTGCGCTTGCGAGACAGCAGCAGCTGGTCGCGCTCCAGCAGCTTGGCCAGGTTGCCCTGCCGCACGCATTCAATGACTGTATTACGCGGCATCGCATCAATGCGGTAATTCAAGTCGCCGTTGAGGATGCAGATCTCGTGATCGAGGATCATCGAGCCGTCGCCGCCGCCAACGAAGAAATTCGCGCAGTCCACCGGTGAGCGGTTCTTCGGCAGTGGCGCTGCTTCCATGATTGAGGCGGCATCGTTGTTTCGATGTGTCGTCTGGGTCTGCCCCGCTGCAAGATGGCAGTTGATCAAGCAGAGAGACGAGTCGTCCAGCAGGAAGCGCACGACAAGTGCACCCTTGTTCCCTACGCGGCCGCTGAACCCTAGTTTAATCTCCGCAGCGCTGACGTCGCGGATATTATTGCGCTCTGCCGCCTTGACAAAGACGCAGGTGAACAACCCAACAAGATTGGCAGTGTGCAGCAGGATGTAGTTTTCCCTTGGCGCATGCTCGTCCAGCACCCGTATCAGATGGTCTTTCCACGCGCGGTACTGATGCGACATGTGTTCGTGCTCGGAGCTCTCCTTCTGCTTCTTCTTCTTGAAGAAACTCTTCGCGGTGATTTTCTTGTTTTCCAAATCAACCAGTTCTTGAAAGCCAAACACCAGGATATCTGGCGGGTTCTCAGGTTCAACAATATCCCGCAGGAAGTCGCGGTCTCCGGACTGGCGTAGGGTAGTTGGTTTCACCGCGCCGGCGTTCCAGGTCATGACTCGCGCAGAGAGCTCTCTGAACTCGCAATACTCCGAGTCGCGCTGCTGCATCAAGGTTTCTGGACTGTCAGCGTTGTCCTTGTAGTCGTAGCATCTTGACTCACCAAGCCAGTCGGTCTTCAGCATGCCATCCCAGACGCGCAGCATCGTATCTGTGCCCAATGAAGCGACCTGCAGCCTGTCCAGCTTCCAGATACTCGTTCGGTCTGCGATGATGCCAGCGATGGGCTTGTCGTGCGCCTTCCAGTCCTTCAACACCTTCCATGGCGAGGATGTAGTGTCGTAAACGTATATCATGCCCGTGCTGTAGCCGGCCCAGAGATAATCACCTACACCCACGAGCGAACTGATCTTGTACAGACTGACATTGACAACACCCAGACACTCGAACCCCTTCTTGGCGTAGATGGTCACTTTGCCATCGATGTGGCCGAAATAGATGCGGTCCGGCTGGCTGCTGACGATGGCTCCGGACGTCACGTCGCCTACATTGAGTTGCGAAAGCGTGCCCTCGGTGAGCTGCTGGAAGTAGTTGTGATCTCCGGTACGCTTGTACACGCGCAGATCCTTGGCGTACGCCACCCACAATTGCGATCCAGAGACAATCGAGAACGTATGGCCGCCCCGGATCTGAAAGGTGAGGGGCGCTTGGTGCAGGGACGGCGAGCCAGACTCGTCGGCTGGCCAGATGTGAATCTTACCTGTCTCATCAAGCGACCACATCTCGCCTGCGTACCTGAAGATTCTGCTAATCACCGCTCGTGCATGGGCATTCTTAGTGAAGACAATACTTTGTGTCGGTATGTCGATTTCGTGCAGTTCGCCAGTATTCATGCCCAGCCACAACCGTTTACCTTCCTGTTCTACGTCTTTTGCCGGTCTAAAGGCTACTGCTGTTGCTTTTACAGTATCGCCGTGGCTTAAGCTCATGAGCAGTCGCCCGTTCAGTACATTCCACACGTTTGTCACATAGCCAGTGGTACATATGTGTTCACCGCAGACGGCGAACGTTTTCGTGTCATATCCTGTGGGTATCCCAGCTATTGTGTCTGGGAAGGTGGGCGGTCTTCGGTTTGCTTGCGACGAGTCGGGGTAGTCTGTCAGAGCTGTGGTCGGCTGCTTGTCAGGGGACGTGTCTGACTCATCCGAGTCGTAGGTATATGCCTGGGCAGCACTTCGAGAAGGCTGCTGAGGTGGCGGCGTCGGAGTTGGCGTTGGTCTCCTCATCTCGCCGGACTTGCGGGGCGGCGGAAGCTCGGGGGGATTGAGTGAGCGGGAAGCGGTGCCAAAGTTGGTCGTCTGCGTCCGCCGTGGTGGAGGCATCGCTCTCGCGCCGTCGTCGGGTGTGAACATGACAGGCCGCCCCTGATCAAGCGATCTGCGCACTGGCACGTCCGGCGGTGGCTGCCGCTGCAGCTGTACGCTCTTCCGCAGATCTGAGGTATCTTTCTCGCGCCTCACAGGCAGCGCTGGCCGCTCATCCGGACTGTCGCCGTTCCGGTACGAAGTGGCTGTGGGCGGCGATGCACGCTTGGGCGGCTGGTTCGCGATCCTCGCGTCAGCGGCAGCCAGCTTCTCAGCCACGACGTGGTGTATGGGGGGAGGCGGAAAATAGCCATCCTTGAGTATCCCTTTCGGCTTCGACGCGATGGGCAACACGGGCGGAGACGGATTCGGGGCTTTTGTGCTGCCTGCACTGCTGGGCGGCGTGTTGAAGGGGGAGAAGCGCTCGTCCTCGGACTTGGCCGGCTCCAGGCTCGTCCTGGGTTTGGCTATGTTGTCTGCCGACTGCGGTTTGGCTGTGTGGTCTGCTGGCTGCGGTTTGGCAGTCATGTCCACTGACTGCGGCTTGGCGGGTATCTTCGGCTTTCCCGCGCGGTTGACCGGGGGCGGCATGGGCGGCGCAGAGGCCGTGGGGCGATCGTTCTTGGCCGTGATGCTAGAGCCCGTCGCGGTCGCAGAGAGCGCCTTGACGTCGACGCCGGGCGTGCCGTCGCGGCTCGCGATCTTGATGGGCTTCGAGGCGGCAGGCGTGGGCGAGTCGAGGGCGGCATGGGGCGTCGGGCGCGACGGACGCGGCGAGAGGATGGGCGGGGTCAGGGCGGCGGGCGGCGAGGCGGGCGACTGCACGGTGACGCGGGGCGGCGAGCGGGTGCGCGAGCGGGTGGGCGAGCGCGGGGGCGAGAAGGCGACCATGGAGGTCGGGCGCGGCTTCTGGCTGCCCCAGGGCGCGCGCAGGGTCGAGCGCGGGGTGGGCCGGCCATTGCCGCTCAGGTCGCTGACGCTGGGCGAGGCGCGGTCGAAGTGGTCGCGCGGGATGTCCAGCGAGATGCGCTTGTCGGCCCTGCGGTGGTCGTCGGCGGCGAGGCGGTCTGCGGGCCCCGGCGAGCGCTGGCGCGGGGTGGTGGGCGCGGCGGGGGCTCTGTTCGCGCTGAGCAGGTTCTCGAACTGGGCGCGGAGCGAGGAGACGGGCTTCTGCAGCAAGTCAGCGGGGGCCGCCAGCGCGGACGGCGCACGTACAATCGACTCGGCCTCCTCGGGGGCGTCCTGTGGAGGCATCGTGGGCGCGGGGCGTGGTCAGCCAGCACCGGAGGGCGTCCGACAGCTGCTCGTCCTCGGCCGGTGAGCTGTTCCCATTGGGCGCTGGCGAGGGAGCGGGCGTGGAGGGGCTGGGCCGGGCGGCGGTCACGCAGCGCAGGCGCACATGGGGGCCGTGGACGGGGGCGATGTAGGGGGACGACGTATGGGGGGCGGGCGTATGGGCGGGAGGGGAGGCGGCGCGGTGTGCGGGCGTTGCGGTGGGCGTCCCTGGCAGTCGAGCGACCGTGGCTGTCTGGCTCCAGGACGCGTATACGGCGCTGCTAAGAATGCTGGCCTGCAAGGATCGCCGGCTGCGGCGTGGGGTGGTGAGGGCCGTGTTTCAGGCGGCCGTGCTGGCGGGCGGGCAGTCTGCAGTCTGGCAGTCTGCGTCTGGCGGCGGCGGCGTCTGCGTGCTGCGCGTGCGGTGGGCGTCTCTGGGAATGCGGAGCGGCTGCAGTGCCGGCTGCCAGAGGAGTGGTCGTCAGCCCCGGCACCGCATGCCCGAGACCCTGGCCTGCGGCAGGAGAGCGGATCGGCCAGGCACCGTGTCTGAGCCCGCCCAACGCCTCCTGGGCCCTGTAGTATCTGCAGCACCCGCAGCACCACCCGGCCGCGCCCCAACCCTCCCGGCACCGCCCCCGTCTGCCCTCCGCCAGCATGTGGTAAGCCGCCTCGCCTCGCCCGCGCCCGCCCGCCCGCTGACGGCTGCAGCAAACACGTCCTCAACGCGCAGGTCGCCATCCGCTCGCCGTGCTGCAAGAAGTGGTTTGACTGCGCCGAGTGCCACCAGGAGGCCGCCGACCACCCGCTGCTGCAGAGCTTCGAGATGGTGTTTGTGTGCAAGAAGTGCAAGAAGGCCTTCCGCAAGGACGCCCGCGAGTTCGAGGACAGCGACGAGTACTGCCCGCACTGCGACAACCACTTTGTGCTGGACGCCCTGACGCCCAAGGCCTCGCTGAACGTCGAGGGCGAGGACGCCCGCGTCGACAACCGCATGATCAAGGACGACCGCCAGCGCCAGAAGGACATGCGCACCATCTTCGACGTCGAGGAGGCGCCCCACAAGCTGGGCTGAGCGGTGCCGAGCACGTCGCAACGCAACACACACAGTCGCACAGACAGCGCCGCGCCGCTCGACCAGCCAGACACGCGCACGGCACGGGGGAGAGGAGTGCAGGAGGAAGAAGTGCAGAGAGACACAGAGTGCTAGATATGCCATACATTTAGTCGTGTGCAGTGCATGCACCAGTTCGTCATCATGAATAGAGTCTACCACCTCCACGCCGCTGTTCGTTTTGGTGCCGTCATTCGTAACTACCCTCTAAGCTTAACCTCAACCTCAACCTCTAAGCCCCGGCGCCGGAGCCCTCGGCCGGCGTGGGGCGCGTGGGAAGTGCCCCGCTGCCCGCAGGCCGGCCTGGTCTCCTGCTCGCCGCCTCCTCCTGCTTCTCTGTGTTGATGTTCTCCACGTACTTCTCAATGTCCTCGACCGGCAGCATCTCGAGCGGCTTGCCGGGCGCCGACACGGCGATCTCAATGTTCTTGGCGCCCGTCTGCACCACCTCCAGCAGCGACTTGATCGTTAGCTTGATCGTCTCTTCCCGGTCCATGCCCTCCTTGTGGTTGCGCTCGAGGAACTCGCGGACTGTCTTGCTGGATCGCCCGATGGCGTTTGCCTTCCTACTTGGAATTAGAAGAGCCAGTAATTTCATTAATGAATCACGCACCATGCTGAGTAGATGCCGGAGGGCTCGGTCTGGTACAGGCGCGGGGTCTTGTCGTTGGGGTCGAAGCCGACGATCAGTGTGCTGATGCCGAACGGCCGGACACCGCCGCTCTGTGTGTACCGCTGCTGCACACCAGCCACGTACTTGGTGATGTACTCTATCGACACGGGGTCCTCGACCGTCAGACGGTGTGATTGCGCCTCGAGGCGGGCCTTGTCCACGAGAATGCGGGCATCGGCGTTCAGTCCGGCAAACGCGAGGGCGACGTGGTTGTCGACGAGGCAGATCTTCGACGGCGTGATGCGTGTGTCCTGGAGCTTCATGGCCGACCGCTTCTCACAGCCCAGCACTACAATGTCACCGCCCTTGACGCCGACCGCACATGTTCCTGCGGGGCATTAGTCGTCGATCTCCGCATCCACGCATCGACAGCAGCGTACCTCGCTTGACGGCTTCGAGGGCATATTCGACCTGGAAGACGTGGCCGTCGGGACTGAAGACTGCCTGGGTCAGCTCCTACTCGGCCGTCTACGTGCTGCTGTTTGTACCTGAGAGCGCGCGATCATAGCCGGATGCCATGGTGAGAGTCTTGCAGTTCTATTGGGAATGCGTGTGTCTAGTAGTACGCGTGGATGACGACGTTGGGGTATCGGCGGGGAGTGTTGTGCACAGCGGCAAGCAGTGGTCGGAGCTCTAGCTGTCCGCGTCGTTGCTCTGCCTGGCCGCCGCCAAGGACGTGGCTCGTGCCGCGTCTTATGTCATCGACCATGAATCTTCAACGAGGCGCATCGCAAAACGCCCCCACTCTTCGTTTTCCCTCTCGTTGGCATTATGGCGACTTCAGCGCGTTTTGTATCGTCTCTGCGACGCAGTGCGCTGTCCGCTCGTGTGGCACCACGAACGCAATGCTTAAGATTGGCGCCTCAGGTCCGAAGAATAACTTCAGCGACATCGGAACCTCACCAGCCAGATGCAAAGGGTGGTTTGGACGGACCGGCGCCTGCGAAGACGATCAAGTTCACTTCAGAGTCGTAGGTGGCAATTGACGGAGATAAAAATCGTGTCTGACTTCAATAGTTACCCCGAAATCAAAAGGGACCCCAAGTTTGCCAAACTCACAGAGGAACACGTGAAGTACTTCAAAGAGTTCTTGGACTCGGAATCGTCGTGCATTGATGGCGTAACTAAAGATGCGACCGAAGACATTGAACCCTTCAACAGTGACTGGATGCGCAAGTTCCGTGGCCACACCCAACTAGTCCTGAAGCCCAGCAACAAGGAAGAGCTTAGCAAGATCCTGAAGTACTGCAATGAAAACATGCTTGCTGTTGTGCCGCAGGGTGGCAACTCTGGTCTTGTTGGCGGCTCCGTACCTGTTTTCGACGAGATCGTCATCAACCTGCAGAAGATGAACAAGATCCGGTCCTTTGACGAAGTATCCGGAATCCTTGTCGCTGATGCTGGAGTCATTCTCGAAAATGCTGACAACTACCTGGCTGAGCGGAACCACATCTTCCCCCTCGACTTGGGCGCCAAGGGATCGTGCCAGATTGGTGGCAACGTTGCAACAAACGCCGGAGGTCTGCGTCTGCTGCGATACGGCAGTCTCCACGGGAACGTTTTAGGCATTGAGGCTGTCCTCCCCGACGGCACCATTGTCAACGATCTTTGCACCCTGCGCAAGAACAACACCGGATACGACCTGAAGCAGCTCTTCATCGGCGCTGAGGGCACCATCGGCATCATCACCGCTGTTTCAATCCAGTGCGCGGCACGCTCGCAGGCTGTCAATGTCGCCTACTTTGGTCTTGAGAGCTACGAGAAGGTGCAGGAGGCTTACCGCACAGCCAAGGGCCAGCTGGCTGAGATTCTGTCTGCCTTCGAGCTGATGGACGGCCGTACCCAGAAGCTCGTAAACAGGGTCACCGGGAAGAAGATGCCTCTCGAGGGAGAGTACCCCTTCTACTGCCTGGTCGAGACAAGTGGTTCAAACGCCGACCACGATGCTGAGGTATGCCGTCATTCTCAAGCTACATTCAGCAGCAGCTAACATCTCCAGAAATTACAAGCATTCCTCGAGCACGTCATGGAGGCTGAAATCGTCCAAGACGGTACTCTCGCCGACAACCAGACCCAGATCCAGGAGCTCTGGTCGTGGCGAGAAGGCATCACCGAGGTCCTCGGCCACGAGGGCGGCGTCTACAAGTACGACCTGTCGATCCCGATCTCCGAGCTGTACGACATCGTCAACGACACCCGCGACCGACTGACTGAAGCCGGTCTTGTTGGCGACGGCCCCGACTTCCCTGTTGTGGACGTCGTTGGCTACGGGCACATGGGCGATGCGAACTTGCACTTGAACATCCCCACTCGGAGGTTCGACAAGGCTGTTGAGAAGAAGCTGGAGCCGTTCGTGTACGAGTGGGTGCAGAAGAGGAACGGCAGTATCAGTGCCGAGCACGGTCTTGGCGTTACGAAGAAGCCTTACGTCAGCTACAGCAAGAACGAGACGATGATGAAGCTGATGAAGCAGATCAAGGACGTGTATGATCCCGTAAGTGGACTCTCCTGCGACTCCTCACTCACGCTAACGCCTCCACAGAAGGGTATCATGAACCCATACAAGTACATCTAAGCTTCTGTATAGCATTGTAAGATTATCCCACTCCGACCACTCTTCACCCGTGACCCACCACCTCACACCCCCTCCCCCATCCCCCTCCCCAACAACCCCACCGCATTCCCCTCATAAACCGCCCCAATCTCCTCCTCCCCAAACAAATGCCCCAACCCCTCCCCCATCCGCCGCGCAAACATATCCACAAACTCCGTCTGCGTAAACGGAAAATCACTACCATACAACAACCGCCCACTCCCGACCCCCCACCCCTCCACCAGCGCCTTGAGCTGCCCGCCCCCGCCCTGCTCCCCCTCAAACACGAAACCCGCTAGGTCGAAGTAGAACTGTGTGTCAAGCGCGCTCCGCACGGCGGCTGCGTCGAGTGGCGCGCGCCCCGGCACTACGGCCGAGAACTGCACGTACCGTGTTAGGAGGGGTGGTAGGGCGCCGCCTGCGTGTGGCACGATGAAGCGGAGGTGCGGGCACTGCGGGAGCGTGGGGCTGCCGAGGAGGTGCAGGATGGCGCGGGCGGTGTCGAAGAGGAATTCGAAGACGGGGGTGGGGTAGTGGGTGGATAGGGGGGTTGCGGGGGTTCTCTTCGCTTCCCCTTGGGTGCTCTTGGTGCTCGCGCTCTCGCCGCCCGCCGTCGTGCTGCTCGCTTTCTCGCGGCTCGCTACCTCACCGCTCGCACACCCACCATGCAGCACACACGGCGTCGTAGGGTGCACAAACACCACCGCGCCCAGCTCCTCCAGCCGCTTAAACACCCGCTCAAACACCACATCGCCCAGATACACCCCATGATAGTTCGTCAGCAGCGCAAACCCATCCGCGCCCTCCGCCACCGCGTCCTCAATCTCCCTCAACGACGCCTCGATATCCGGCAACGGCAGCGACGCCCAGAACCCGAATTTGTCTGGATATTCGCGCTTGAGGGCTGCCGCGTACGCGTTGCACTCGCGCGTCAACGAGCGCGTGAGCGCGGGGTCAGAGGGGGTCAGTGAGGTCCCCGGCGACGAGATGGACAGGATCGACTTGGAGATGTTGGCCAGGCGCATCATTTCTAGGTGCGAGGTGGGCGACCACGCGGGGATCGCGGGCATGCCGTCGGGATGCGTGTGGCCGTGGGTCGCGAGCGCGGTGCGGTAGAAGGGCGGGAGGAAGTGCGAGTGGACGTCTATCTTCTGGGGGGGCATGGTGGGTGTGGGCTTGGGGTTGAGGGAGGGGACGGTGGCGGTGGGTGAGGTGTTGGGGTGCAGGGCTTCCGAGTGAAGAGAGTAGTATCAGTCATTGCTGTTGCACGAGGAGCCTCAGGTTTATACGTCGGTGATTGGGATACAAGTATCGGTCTCGGACGCCAGGCCTATGCATCGGGTCGGACGTGGTACTGTACATGCCATGCGAGGCGCCGTCATGCCAGCTCGCGGCACCTCCGGAACCCCGCTCTGAGCATGCCAGCCGAGATGGTGGTTGTTGATACGAAGAGGTATGCAGGACTACATACCATCGCGATACACTACAGGCTTACGTGATACACTCCCGTCCATGCTGCGCGAGTCGTTGTGGGTGTGCAGGGGTGGTGAGGGGCACGGAGGGGCAGCTTTGTGGGGTCATCTGGTGAGGCTCACAGATACGGCGCCGCACCTCATGCTCCTGCCTGCACAAGTCGGAACTGTCCACTCGTCTCATGCCCAGCATATCCGCATCGGTCTTTGTGCAGCGCTGTCTCGCTCGCGGGGCCGCTGATGGGCAGGCGGCTGCTTCCAGATGCAGCAGTGGGATCCCGCCGCCGATCGCGCTTGCCCCACACGCTTTCTCTGCCACAGCTGCCCTCGTTCACAATTCACCATTCGCCGCCATGACTCTGCGCTCCTCCCACCACCACCTCGCGCCGCCCGTCCACCGTCGCCATGGAGAAGATCACGGATAAGATCAACGCCCTGCCCGATGGCGCGCACTACTTCTCGCTGGAGTTCTTCCCGCCCAAGACGGCCATGGTACGCCCCGCCGGCCACCGCGCCCGCCGATGCTGATAAGCGCACAGGGCTTCGCCAACCTGCAGAGCCGCCTCGAGCGCATGTCGCAGGCGCTGCGCCCGCTGTTTGTAACGGTCACGTGGGGCGCCGGCGGCTCGACGGCGACCAAGTCGCTCGAGCTGGCCGAGATCTGCCAGCGCCAATTGGGGCTGACGACGTGCCTGCACCTGACGTGCACGAACATGGACCGCGCGCTGGTCGACGAGGCGCTGGAGCAGGCCAAGGTGCTCGGCATCCGCAATATCCTGGCGCTGCGGGGCGACGCGCCGCGCAGCGAGGAGTACCGCGACGAGGACAAGGCGCTGGAGCAGGACTCCAACAAGGACTTCACCTGGGCAATCGATCTGGTCAGGTACATCAGGAAGCAGTATGGCGACTATTTCTGTGTTGGTGTCGCGGCGTATCCAGAGGGCCACTCGGATGAGAGCCACCCCGAGCACCAGAACTCGATCTACGATATCCCGTATCTTGTTGAGAAGACGCAGGCCGGCGCCGACTTCATCATGACGCAGCTGTTCTACGACGTGGAGAAGTACGACAAGTTTGAGAAGACGCTGAGGGAGCATGAGAGTGGCGCGTTCAAGACAATACCGATCATCCCCGGGTTGATGCCGATTCAGAGCTACTCGATCCTGAGACGGACGACGAAGCTCAGTCACGCCAACCTGCCCGCGGATCTTTTGTCGAGGCTGGATGCCGTCAAGGCAGATGACGAGCTGGTGAAGAAGGTCGGCGTCAAGATCCTGAGCGAGATGGTCGAGCACATCAAGTCACGGCCGGACGCCGTCAGGCGGGGATTCCACTTCTACACGCTCAACCTGGAGAAGGCCGTCTCGCATATTCTGGAAGACACGCATCTGATTGGGCAGATGCCCACGGATGAGGACGAAGACGCGATTGAGACCACACCAGCGATCAACCTGGAGCCCCCGAACGGTGTACCCTCAACCAGGCAGAGGCGGCGGTTGTCGTCTCTAAATTCGAGTCCACACAACAGAGTCATCAGGGAGAGGCTGTCCGCATCGAAGTCTAACCAGTCCTTTGAGACGTCAGACACAGAAGCTGGGATCCCCCGCGGACCCGTCAACACGCGCGCAAACACCCTTGCCATCTCTGAAGGCGAAGGCTCGCTCGGCCGTGAGGCAACATGGGATGACTTCCCCAACGGTCGCTGGGGTGATGCACGCTCGCCCGCTTTCGGAGAGATCGATGGCTACGGACCGACCCTCCACGTCTCCAACGCCACCGCCCTCAAGCTCTGGGGCCACCCCGTCACCCAAGACGACATCTCCAACCTCTTTAAGCGCCACGTCGAAGGCACCCTCGAAGCGCTCCCCTGGAGCGAGCAAACGCTCAGCGAGGAAACAAAAGCCATCGCGCCCCAACTCCTCGCCCTCAACGCCAAGGGCTGGTGGACCGTCGCCTCCCAACCCGCCGTCAACGGCGTCCGCTCCACCGACCCCGTCTTCGGCTGGGGCCCCAAAAACGGCTTCGTCTTCCAGAAGCCGTTCGTCGAGTTCTTCCTCCCCGCCGCCGCCTTCGCCGCCCTCAAACCCCGCCTCGACGCCCACGACCAGATCACCTACTTCGCCGGCAACGCCGCGGGCGACTTCGAAGCCAGCCAGGAAGACGGCGTGAATCCCGTCACCTGGGGCACCTTCGCGGGTAAGGAGATTGTAACTCCGACTATCATCGAGGCCGTCAGCTTCCGCTCCTGGCGCGACGAGGCGTTCAGTATCTGGCGCGAGTGGCAGCGCATCTACCCCACCAAGAGCCCCACGGGCCGGTTGCTGAGAGACACACGGGCCGATGTGTGGCTCGTTAATGTGATTTGGGGAGATTTCGTTGAGGGCGATGGGCTGTGGGAGTTTTTGGGCGCGTGAGGGTGGGTAAGAGTAACCGGGTGGGGGGGGGGGGGGGGGGGGGGAAGTCCGGTAGAGAATGAGAGTGTATTAGTAGTTAGGAATGCATATACATCATCCACCAGCCCCTTTCTCTGCTTTAAATGCCGTGGTGACTCTCGTATGCTGTTTTTTGGTTGCGATCGGGGTGTTGGTGTGTGTGATGCCTCGGGTCTTTTTGTCCCAAGCAACTACGAAGTATGTTACGGATTTTATTCCACGCGCACACGACTACGCATGTCCATCCCGCAAACCGGCTCGATGTGCTTGGGACTACAATGTAGATTACACATTGCACTTCTATCCGGTGCCGGGGCGTGGATGGATGGGTCAGAGACAAAACGGGGGGGGGGGGCGGGGGGGGGGGGGGGGGGGGGTATCACGTGGAGGGTCATGTGGAGGGTCATGTGATGAACTGGTTCGAGGCTACGGGTGGCAGTGTCTGGAGATCTCGCCATCGCCATCGACAAAGACAACACCATTGGCATCTACACACAAGAGGCAAAGAAGCTGGAAGCGAGGTAACATATTAATTAACTCGAGAACTACCTAATATGCCAATAGAGAGAGCATATGTGAAGTTCAAGGGTCACCTGACTAGTAGCTTTCGGCATCTAACACCATTGACGTAGACATTGAGAGTGACATTGATATTGACATTGACGTTGACATCGCACACCCGCCACACCCCATCCACCACCAAGCCCCCACACCCCCCATCGTCGCAGCGCAAGACACCCTGGCCTCGCGTCGCGGAAATCTGTACTGTAGGTACCCGGCCAGCGCGATGTCTGATGGGACGGCTGGTGGAGTCTCGGGCGGTGGGGGACGCGGGGCTGGATAGTCCTGCACTACCTATGTACCTAGTTTTGAAGCGCGGCTGTGTCGCGGGATCTGGGGGGGTTGCTGCGGTGCAAGAGGAATGGATTGGTATTCTGGGTGGGAGTGGGCCGGGACGGTGCTGGATCTCTGGCGTCTGATGGGTAGAAGGATTCCCTACAGGCCCGGGGGAAGTGGTTGGGGGCCACGGGCTCTCGCTTCCACCGTTCGAACGCCACAGCGTCATGCTAAGAGATGTGAGGGGAGACGTGTTTGCTATCTCGTTGTGGCGCTGGACCGCTGTGTCTCACGAGCACGGCTTCGGGACTGCTGGAGAGTGCTGCGAGTCAAGGCTGACTGCTTCTACTCCTGCTCCAACGCCCCGCGGATTGGATAACGATTGACTAGGTTAGGCTCGCCCTGGGCCTGATCTACAGAAACGACTTGAATCCATGGTAACGTCTTACGATATGGTGTCGGCTGTGGAACGGAGTGCAAGAGTCTGTCTTGGGCACCACTGAGACCCGGGACCGCAGCGACCTGGGTACCTCAAGTCAATGACCTGATATTTTATCACTCTAGCGACACAGAGTATGGACTCGAAGCTGCGAAAAGCTGACTGCATGCTTCGTTCGAGTACGCATGTTCGAGTATGCAGCAGGGTATTGCCTGCGTTCCCTTCTCCACGCGTCCTATCAAGCGAACCTCTCACCTACAGATCAGGTTGCACTCGAAAACCACCAATACCGAGTGCATGTTCATCTTGTACGCATCTAGGTACTCCCATTCCTCCCCTCTTCTTGTCCTACGTCCCGGCAAGCGAGGCTCTCTTATCCATGTCGTGTTACACAAGGACTCGAGTTTTCCAGAACACCACGTGTCGTATGCAAGTCAGCACGACGTACCGTATAGTGGTCAAGCTCAAGCAAGTCACAATGCACCGCGGTAACGGCCGCAGTCTGTTATTGTGCAAGGCACAGTTCCGGTTAGCATCAGCCTTGCCCTAGGGTCGTGCGTGTAACTCGGGATGTTTCATGCATCGGGTGTTCACCTGGGGGGTTCATTGTTGTCTCTGCAGTCACGACGTTTGCTGCACTGACTATGTTCACCACGTTCACTAGCGTTCACGGGCCGCATATGCTAGCTTCAATCTGCTCGTGGCTTACTCAGTGGAGACACTCTGAACGCCGTCGACGTAAACTCGTATGCATCAAGACAACGCTGAGCATGTGGTACGATGGAAGTCTGCCTTACTATGTATCAGCTCTGGGGATATATTGTGCGGATATTACGTCTCTCCGAACGCGAGCAGGCCACCATCAAAGCTCATTTCCTTCGAGCGATTTTTGCCCTTCGCAGTCTGATATCGAGAATGTACCAATTACTGCCTTTGTTGCTGGTGGTGCTGCCGGTGTTCGCTCAAAATGAGTCGTCACAGACCACAGCCAAACTTCCTGTCGTAGATCTGGGATACACTATGCACCAGGCCACATTCAACGTAAGTTCCGTGCCCGAAGCTTCTCTTAGATTTGTAGAGCTTACACCAAGCCCAAGCTCACCGGCAACTACTACAACTTCTCCAACATCCGCTATGCCGAGCCCCCCCTAGGAAAACTCCGCTTCGCCGCCCCCGTGCCCCCCAAAGGACGGAACCGCACCATTGAGAATGGCGCCGTCGCCCGCATCTGCCCCCAAGCATACCCGCTTGCCGTCTTTACCAACCAGATCTACAACTCTTACTACAGTATGACCGGCCAAACGAGCCTCGACGGCTTCGATAACGCCACGGTTGGGTTTGATTACCCGCGTAACACACCCTTGGACCCGCGGGCTACGGAAGATTGTCTCTTCTTAGATGTAATGGTGCCGCGTAAGGTTTTCGAGAAACGAACATCGGGGGGCGAAAAGCGCGGCAAAGGCGCGCCCGTCATGGTGTGGATCCACGGCGGCGGCTATGGCGCGGGGACGAAGTACGACGTGCCCCCCGCAGGCCTGCTATCGCGGAGTCAGTTGGACTCCGCAGACGGCGTCATCTACGTCGCCATCAACTACAGACTGTACGTCCGCCCCCTAGCTCCCTCAGTGATGGATAGCTAATACTCCCCAGCGGCGCCCTCGGCTGGTCCTCCGGCCCCTCCTTTTCCACCTCTGGCCTCCCCAACGCTGGCTTCCACGACCAGCGCCTCGCCCTCAACTGGGTGAAGAAGAACATCCACCTCTTCGGCGGCGACCCCAACCGCGTGACCGCCTTCGGCGAGTCTGCGGGCGGCGGCTCCATCGCGTTCCAGATCACTGCGTACGGGGGCGAGAAGGGCAGGGCGCCGTTCCAGCAGGCCATCCTGCAGAGTCCCGGGTTTGTGCCTCCGGTGGGGAAGTTCGAGGCAGAGGCGAATTTCAAGGCGTTTTTGGGGGCGCTGAATGTCTCGAGTTTGGATGAGGCAAGGCAGATTGACAGCAAGACGCTGCTGGCGGTCAATGAGTTGCAGGTTAGGAATTCGAGGACGGGGTCCTGGACTTACGGTGGGTGTCTGATAACTCTTTCCAAGAAGCTTGAGGCTGACTTTCGATTGCAGGTCCGGTTGTGGATGGCACTTTTGTTCCCGAGTTGCCGAGTCTACTGTTCTTGCATAATCGGTTTGACCGTTCTGTCAATGTCATGGTAGGACATAACGGAGACGAGGGTGTTGGATACCCAGGTCTGACCAGCGACGCTGCATTCGATGGTAAGTCCAGAAAACAGAAGAGTTACCTCAACATTCTCAGATACTAACTACATCCCAGCGTACGTCGATCTCATGTTCTCGGATGCTCCAGTGTCGGCCCGCAAATACATCACTGAAGTACTCTACCCCCCCATTCTGGAGTCTACACGAGACTTGTTCCAAGACTACAACCCCGCGACCTCCACCTCCCTCGTCGTCACCGGCTACAACAACACCCACGGCCGCCAAAACCTCCTCACCTCTGAAACCGTCATCAACTGCCTCACCACCCAAGTCAGCAACGCCTTCCGCGGCCGCTCCTACGCCTACCTCTTCGCGACGCCGCCCGCCCTACACGGCCAGGAACTGTACTACGTGTTCTACAACGAGCAAGCCACAGACGTGTTCTACCGCCCGATCAACGTCACGCTCGCGCACATCATGCAAGACTACTGGCTGAACTTCGCGCGCACGGGGACCCCCAACGGGAAAGGGGTGCCGACGTTTGCGCCCTACGGCAGCGGCAAGAGTGTGCAGAGTCTGAGTCTGGCGGGCGTGGGGGCCACGCAGGACGTGTCTGACAACGAGCGGTGTCGGTGGTGGCAGCTGGGGTTGTACATGTAGCGGCACGCGGTTTCGGGTGCGTGGGCGACGCGGATGTAACGGGTGGGAGGGTGTTTGGGTTTTGGCGTTTCCCAGAGCCATGGGGGGTGTGGTGGCAGCGAGCCGCACTCCGCGGCTTGATGCTACACCAGGCCTGTTTGCTGGGAATTTTGGTTGTCGTTTTGGACTAGCGCAATGTGCGAAATGTGCCCTTGCTTTGACGTGTTTTTGGCTTGCCGCTTTCTGTTTTGCCCACTTTCGCACTCGTATTGCGACGATGGAGTCGGTCGTGTTCGTCTCAGATCCCTCCGAAGTACTGTTCACGACAGTACGTATATTCTGCAAGCAGCCAGCGAGGCTTTTGATGTCGAGTAACTGAAAACAGAATCTGTTTTGATACCGCAGAGGAATGGCGAGGACGTGCGGTCCGTTTCCGTGTTTCGGGAACGCGGTTGTGTCACAAACGACGGGGGTTGCCGTGTTTAGGCCCGTATCACTTGGTCAGTTGGATGAGGCTCACAAGAGACAAGTTCAGGAGGATCAGGCATGTGACGATCAAGCTGTGGTTTGGAACGAGGGGTTACCCGCTGTTTAAGCTGAGACTACTACGTCAATTTAACATTGACCATATTCAGTAACGGTAGACCTTGCTTGTGGGATTCTGACGCAAGATTCTCCTGTTGAGAATCAAGTAATAGAATCTCAACCCAATAGAGCCCACTACAACAAAGAACAGCAAGCCAGCGTTGACCCAATGGCCAGTGGGGTAACCTTGCAGCTTCTCTGATTTTTTATAGATCCACACACCAGTGATCTGCCCAGGTGTGCCCCAAGAGATATTCAGAGCAATCGCAATTCCCACATGTGCCGGGTTATGCAAATTTGCGGATAGCCATCCTAGTAATGGTGGGATGCAAGAGAATGCTCCCGCTGTCGCAACAATAAGACATCCGTAGCGCGCCTGATGTCAGTGACGTTAGCAGCCCGAACATCCACGGTGCCCACAAACGTGGCCGTTGAAAACCTACCTTGTACGCATCCGGAGGCAATATTGCAGATCCGAGAAAACCGCAGGCACCTATCAAGGCTAGCCCAGCAGAGTGTAGTGCACGGCTAACTTCTTAGTAACAGCGTGAGAATGCAGATGATGTGACTTACGCATTGAAGTGATCTGCGGACCAAGAGGCGAAGACCATGACCACGTATGCAACAGCATAAGGTGGTACCGTCATCAACTGAGACTGGAGGCCCTTGAAGCCAAGCCCAGCCGTGATGGTGGGTGTGAAGAACGCCAAGGAGCTGAAGGGGCAGCAAACAGCAAAATATAATGCGTAATGCGCGTACAATCTCCAATCGACGCAAACGTCTTTGAAATCTTTTAACGTCAGTCTTATGCTGCTCTGACCACCTTCAAGACGGAGCGCAGCCAGTTCTTTCTCTTCTCTTGAGAGCCAGCGAGCGGTCTCGGGGTAATTCGGAAGGCAGAAGTAGATCAAGAAGGATGCCAAACAAGTTGGCACTCCCTCAACTACAAAGAGCCACCGCCATCCAGCAAGTCCACGCACTCCGTTCATATGCCCAACACCAAAAGCAATGGCTCCTCCAAAAGCCCCAGCCAGTGTGGCACTGGCAAGCACTAAAGCAATTCGCAAGCTCCGCTCTTCGGCGCGGTACCAAAAAGCTGCACCACATTAAATCACACGGAACCATCAATGTGCTACGGAACTTACTCAAATGGTAAATGATACCAGGAAACAGGCCTGAAGCAGCAGTTTATCAGCACTGGCCCCACATGTATTGACATAAGTACTTACCCGCCTCAAACAGCCCCAACAGAAATCTGGTTGCAGTGAACGAGGCAAATGAGCGCACGCCCGCGATTCCAATGGTGATTGCGCCCCACGAAAACATCAGAAACGCGATCCAGGTCGACGGTGCACAGCGCTTGAGTAGGTAGTTCGATGGCACCTCTGCCAGCCTGTTGCCATATAAGTGCCTTATAACGTAGTGCACTGACAAACACGGGACTTACGCGTAGATGATGAAAAACACCATGAGCGCGACGATGTAGTTGTGCTCGCTCATGTTTATGTCAGACAGTAAGTCATCCTGGGTGTCTGCGTTCATGGTCTTCGCATTGCCGACGTTGGAGCGGTCAATGTTGAGGATGAAGTAGCACAGCGCGGAGAGCGGGAGGATACGCATGTCCTGGCGGCGAATGAGCGATTTGTGGAGAGCATTGTTTGGGGTGTGGGATTCGAGGTTGGACAAGGGCTGGTTAGGGTCAGTTAGGGGGTTCTCGGGCTCTGGAGCAGTGCTGGGTTGCTACGTAGACTGAGTCTTCCACATCTTTGGATTTGATGTCGTTGGACATTTTGAGTTTAGCCCGGCTTTGATCGTGGGTCTCTGTAGATCTGTACGCTCAACACTTGGAGTGGGAGCGTTGGGAAAGTGGGTTTTTGACTACGATGTGAATGCAATCGCTTTTACACGCATCTCAGGTCACACGCACACCCACCACATCCCCAGACCGAATAGAGCCGAGAGTCATCTGCGAAGATGTATCAGACGCACTGCGATGGTGCCAATGTGCAGACTCCATCATGATAGGGTGCGGCTCACACCTACGCAGATCGCAAACGGAGACTAGCAGAGCCCTGCATTCCCTGTCACACAAGCCGGAGTACGTGGTGGGAGCTTACTGGACTCTTTTTTCCTCTGCAGATACGCATGGCGTTTCTGCTGTTTTCGTCAGGTTGTGTAACCCTGAGGCGTGGCCGCACGCGGCTAGAGAATCGAGGTTGCACTCACGCATGAGCCAAGGGCTTGGGTTCTCTTACGCATGCGAGATTTGGAGTTGGTGTTGTGCAAATTGCATATTGCGTACGAGAGTTGCGGTTATCTAGGCAAGAAAAGAATATGGCACAACTTCATCTTAGCAAGTGCTTGTTGGCCCAGTGTTCACTCTCATCTCGACTGGATCACCACGGCGCGAGTTCGTTCTTACACTGAAGTAGTAACGGCGAACTATCGAGTAGAGCTGCATGTCAGACGAGGCTGAAGATGATTTTCATCGCTCATCACCATGACGTATCCTAAGTCAATGGTTGTTCTTTCCCATGCGTGACCGGCGCCACCCTGTGCCTTGACCAGCCAATACAGTCGCTTATCAAGTTTACGTTAGTTGCAAAGTTGGAACAGCTTGTAATCTACGAGCTCTTATTAGATATTAAAGATCTGTCGTCTTCTACATGACATAACTTTTTTGGGGGTACGCATCAAGCTCCCTCGGTACATAGCTAAGGACAGCAGCAGCTGGAGTTTGTTTAGGTGGTCAACGCCTGGAAAACTCCAACCTCGGGATGAGCAAGCCTCTCTCTCGGGATGTGCAGTGGCTGCGTGATTCCCTGGATCTGCCTGTTCATCTCCAGCAATGTGTGGTACACCATTCTAAGGGTTGGTACTGCAACTTGCAGTCGGTCCGCGTTCCTGACCACATTCCCTAGTGCGGCAGTTAGCCTTTCGATTCCGAGAAAAGATCGGTTCCACTTACCACATAGCGACTCGACTTCCATGCTTCTCTTGTTCCGGAAATCTTGCAACATCGACGGCGCTAGAGACGGGCTGGTCCTTGCCGTCTCAATTGTCCTGGCCGGTAAATCACTGGGAAGCGATGTACCCATTTTGACCGCTACGTTGAAAGTTTCCTTTGCAATTTCGAGAACAGTCTCTACATATGGTGTTGCCAGAAGTGCGTGTGTATCAAGGCCGGAGATTGCTGTCATAGGATTCCATGCTCCATTGAAGATTTGCTTGGTCCAGCGCTCAGCTCCCACGTCTTCGATCTCTTTGAACTTGTCATCCAAGCATGCAAAGGTCCTTAGTCTCTGCTCCTCAACCGCGGGTCTGAAGTTTCCCGACGTGTGGTAGCTGCCGATGTGGAAGGCATGTTCGCGAAGATTCGACACTTGCTCGACAACACCAGGGAAAGGCTGCAGGCAACTGATGTAGCACACAGCGGAAAGAATTGTGTTATCGCGGAACGCTTGGCGTAAAGGTGCCTCGACACCGACACCATTCTGTGCTGACACAAGTGTTGTCCTGCTGGAAACGACATGCGCTAGGTCCCTGGCGAAGGCCATACCTTCTGAGCCAGTTACTTTGTTGGCACAGACGACATAGTCAAAGGACATGTCTGAAATCTCGTGTGTGGAACGAGCAACACGGTAAGGTTTGAAGACTCCATTGCCCCACATTTTGGTTTTCAACTGGATACCGTGCTGTTTGACGGCATCATAGTTGGACCGACAGACAACTGAGAGTCTCGCGCCTGGGTACTGTGCCAATCTCCATCCAATCGTAGAACCAACGGCTAGAGTAGTTAGCACGTGAATCCTTTTTCTCCTTGAGGCCCAAAGGGGGATTCTTACCTCCAGTACCGAAGATAAGGATATCGAGGGGCTTCTGAACATGAACCATGACGCAGTCTGGAATTCTAACCGACAAAGTAAATCGTAAGTACAAAGTGCTAGAGATGGGTATTTAGGAGCAAAGAGATTCAGCGCAGGAAACACACGGAAGTTTTCTCGGATGTTCGCCACTCATTATTATACATTCACTCTAAACAACAACGCACTGAAAACGGATTAAGGGGCAACAGTAGTCGTGAGAATTATCTTTGATATTGCTAATATGGGTCCACAACTCACTTTAGCCATACAAAGACGACCTGTGAGCCGGGTCATATATTCTTGACAAATTAGTGGTCGCGAATGTAACTGTATATTCGACTTCGACGTTGAATTTCTGATTTACGTCTTGAAAGTGTCCTACCATTGGTCAGAGGCAGTCGTTGGGAATCCGTCGCTGTCCCGTACCTGACCAGCGGTGGTATTGTCAGGTCATGATGAGGCGCAATACGAGTTCCCAGATAGATGTTGAGTGGATGCTGGGACAGAGTTACTTGTGCGTGTCTGCATTCAGTCTGTTCAATCAATTCAACAAGTTTAAATTACGCATCCAATCAGTTGGATCCAAAACCGGCCGTTGCACAACGGGCACTGGAAAGAGCGTAGGCTAACGGTTGCGGCTGTGAGAGATTGGGCGTAGCTGTTTTGCGCTTAGCGTGGGGGCGCGGCCGTTGGTGGGGTTACCCGTGCCTGCCCCAGTAGCTCGGTTCTACATGTCGCCTGCGAACGATTGGCGACCTTGTTCATTGCAATACCAAAATTACAAGCCATTCAGTTTTCCCCACTGTAAAAATAAATGCAGCTGCCTTGGCGTCAAGATGCAACGCGATGACCAAGCATTTTCTTGACGAGCGCAGCGGGAGAATAGAATGCCACATACTTCCGGAACGGGAAATGTTCTGAGTTCGAGTAGATGCCTGCAATCATGATCATGACAGGCGAAGTATTTGACGTGTGCAAGACCCAGGAGTTGTCTCTCATCAGTTGCAACTGTCGGTTCAGCAAAAGATCCACTGTTCATCAAGATGTTGCAGTCTATCCGTATCCTCGATTCGACAAATGGCGAGACCAACACCACGTCGCCGAAAGAATGTCAAGATCCGAAGACGCTGCTCGGACTTCTCCTGCGTGCAGCACGTTTATGGCCAAACAACGGTATTACATTCAAGGACCAAGGCTGGGATCAAGATGCCTGTTTCGTATCATACGCAGAGATCCTGAAAGAGGTGCAGGTACGTTTCTTGGCACACAAGTTCTGTTTTGACAGTATTGACTAACACGGGAAAAGTCTAACGCGGCAAAACTCCAATCTCACGTTGGCATCACACCAGGGCAGTGCGTAGTACTGTACTTTGACACTCATCGAAACAATGTTATCTGGTTCTGGTCCACTGTCATGGCGGGCGGCGTACCGGTCATGCTATCTCCATTGTCGAACAACGAAACCACCCTTGTCGGCGAGCTCAACAACCTCATTAAACTATTCGGCAGTCCCACAGTCTTGACAAGCAAGCAGCTTGCGAAGCTCTTCAAACTACATGAATCTCTCAACACGGTTACTGTGGAGGTCGTTGCGGGAACTAAAGTGGATAAGGACATCGCCAACGCGACGATCAATGAGCCGATTGGAAACGAAGATGAGCTCGCGATGGTGTTGTTTACCAGTGGAAGCACGGGATTTGCCAAGGGCATTGAGTACTCGGGTGCTCAACTAGTGATCTCCAGCAAGCTGAAGTGCAAATTCCATGAGATGGATTCAAGCAAGGCATTCATGTCTTGGGTCAGTAAGTGCTGAACTGTCTCGAAACTGTTATATGAGTGGCTGGCTGATACTAAAGCGATAGGCTTTGATCACAGCGCCGCTCTGTGTGAAAATCATCTTCACGCTCTCTATGCAGGAGCAAATCAAGTCATGATTCCGGCCATAGACTTCGTACAGAGCCCAGTTCGCTTCTGGAAAGCTCTCAGCGAGTACCGTATTGCGTATACGTTTGCCCCAAACTTCTTCATCGCCGCAGCAGTCCGTGCTATCAACGAGATGGAAGCTCTTGATAGGGAAAAGATGAAATTGGACATCAGCGAGCTTCGCGTCATCATGTGTGGCGGAGAAGCGAACAAGACCACCACGCTGGAGGCTGCGGAGACCGTTCTGACTCAGTATGGTGCGCCTAAATGTAGTATAAAAGCAAGCTACGGTTTGAGCGAGGTAAGCTCATTCTACAGTCTTCTTCTCAATGCGAGCGTAGCATACTGACTAAACGGTAGACTTGTTCGGCTCTGTTCTATAACCGCCAATCGCCCGCATACGACACAAAGAGGAATTACATGTTCGCTTCCGCCGGCAAGCACCTCCCTGATCACGAGCTTCGAATCACCGACGAGGAAGGTAAGGCAGTAAAGCGAAACGAACAAGGTGCGATTCAGATTAGGGGCCCGCTCATCTTCAAACGATACTTCAACAACGAGTCTGCAACCAGCGCCTGCATGACCAAAGATGGCTGGTTCGATACCGGTGACCTCGGCATGCTTGATGCTGAGGGTAATCTGAACATTGTCGGCCGCTCCAAAGAGGTTCTCATAATAAACGGACAGAACTACTCTTCTTTCGAACTGGAGCACGCCATTGAGTCAGCAGACATCCGTGGTTTGAGTAAGAGCTTTACTGCTTCATTTTCGACCTGGATCGAGAACTCGCAAACAGACAGCGAAGACATCGTCATCTTGTTTAACCCCACAAATGACTCCACGGAAGATACTCCTGAGCTCCGCGATACCATTGCGCAGATCAACCAGGCAGCCATCCGCTTCTGTCGCACGCGACCTGCACTGGTCATCCCACTACCAAAGCAGATGTTGCCCAAATCGACGATTGGCAAGCTATCTCGTGCAAAGCTCAAGAAGTCGTTCACAGCTGGTCACTTTGACCAGTTCAAGCTAAAAGAGCGTCAGCCCCAGTCCATGGCTCAAGATGGAACTCCGCTCACAACACCACTGCAAAAGGTTCTGGCAACTGTTATCTGCGAGGAAACAGGAATGGAAGAGTCGAATCTCCACCTCGAGATCAACCTGGCAGATCTTAACATCGATAGTCTGGGGTATCTTCGGATCAAGTCCTCGCTTGAGACGATCTTGGACCGCGAGGAAGCGATTTCTATGTCGCTTCTTCTCTCATGCCGCACCATTTCTGACATGGATACAATGCTTCTCTCTTTGGGAACAACCACGACTGAGTACGACCCAATTGTACCCCTTGTCTCGACTGGAACAAAAGCTCCTATCATCCTTTGCCATCCTGGTGGTGGTGAATTCTTGACCTGGCTCACGCTCCTCAAATACCTACCCGATCGTCCCATCTATGCATTACGTGTACGCGGTTTCCACAAGGGTGAGAAGTCGTTTGAAACACTGGATGAGATGCTCGAAATATACATGGCGGGCATCAGAAAGCACCAACCCAATGGTCCGTATCTACTTCTCGGTCTCTGCTTTGGTGGCATGCTGGCCTTCGAGCTTGGGAAGAGGTTTGAGGCAGCGGGTGACGAAGTCGCCTTTTGCGGCGGTATTGACAATCCTGCCGACTTGAGTCGCATTCAAGTCCGTGCGAACCATCGAAACTTTATCATCGACTTGTTGCACTTCTTCCAGCTCCTTGACATGGAGACAGCTATGCGATGGGAGCAAGAGATGGAACACATCCCAGATGAGTCGTTCACGAAAGAGATCTTTGCTCGCTTCCCTGACGGAACACTCGAGAACCTTGATCTCAGCGTTCCCAAGGTCGAGACATGGCAGCGCATCAACGACAACATGCAGAACATCACCAGATCCTACGTTCCGACAGGTTCAGTTTCCAAGTACGATCTCTTCTGGGTACCACCACTACCGCACTACAACTGCACAGATGAGGCGTGGCGCCACGATTGGCTTGCAAAATGGAAGAACCATGTCGTGGGGGCTTCACAGAGCGATGTGGATGCTGAGAACTCTCCAGGACCTCTCCGATACCATCGCGTCGACGGTACACATTTCACTATCTTGAGGCAAGAGAATGTTGAGGTTTTTCAACACGCCTTGAACGAGGCACTCAAGGTTCGGGGCGTTTGAAATTAGTATGATTTGACCTCTTAGAAACTAGACTTTTTAATATTTCAGACATTGCATAGAATCTCATTAGAATGAACAAGGTCCTTCTCATTGAATCAATCCCAAACGAGTATGTCAGTGCCCGCTTCTCATTCTGTCTACTCGTACTGTCAACCGCACTACAGGTGGATTCTGAAGACGTCTGAAAAATAGTAAGCTGATTTTTCTCTACTTTCCCTATTTTTCCGTAGCACCGCATTCGCCGCTACACTAAATGCGCTAGCCAGCTCTAGTTCTACACTCACAAAGACTCTGTTTGATAACTCGACAAGTATCATCTTTGGTTCAAATGGCACTAGCACACTAGAAGGGAGTTCCACCACATCTGACGTTAAAGTCGAAGGTTTTCCAACATTCGAGGTCGTGTCCGCGAACGGTGACACTCCAGGCTTTCAGATGACTTACAGCGAGTCTTTTCCGGCGCTTATGTTCTCTCCTACGGTTGGATGATGAGAGGCCAATACAACTCAGTAATAAGCTAATCCCTTTTAGAGCGATGGTCCACTATGGCTACCTAAGCGAAGGACAATACGCATGTGATTGGCAAAAAACGTTTTGCTAATCTTGCGTTAGAGATGCCAAAAACGGCAACCAACTCTGTCGAGGCTAATCGCTTTAGGTTTATTTTGCGCTGTGTCAGCGCTATTGCGCGCGAGCACTGCCATGGAAGATCTCGAGCCTGGCAGACGACAAGCGCGAGCTAACACCTCGGATTGTACTTTGCAATCCTACTGTGCCCGGGTATTGTGAATCGTGATAAGCTCTCCATCGGCTGTGTTGTACCTGCTAGCAGCAAGGGTAATTTGCTGGATGGACGGGGATATAATGAGCTTAAAGCGCTACACTAGACTCATTTAGCATTTTCACCTACCATATACTACTGCATGCCGATGAGCGTAATGTGAGAACCTGCCTGGCGTAATCTCAAGTCTCAAACAAGGCTAGTCTTGCGATGTGCTACTTCAAAAATTCGTATGGTATAATGTTCATCACTGATGGGGCTAGCAATGCGATAGGCAACAATTCATTTACAGAGAGTTACTTTATGATCTCATTGCAGACGCACACTGTGGCTGAGCATTGAAGCACATAAAATAGATGGGTCGTCTCTCTGGAAAACTGAACACAAATCATCCTGACGCTACCTCGCAATCTACAGCAAGCGTGAACAGAACGTAGTCTACACAATCGAATCTCACCATGAAGAAAACTCTTCTCTACGTCAGCTCACTTTGGGCCTCCTTCACCCTCCGAGAGATTGCGGCGCAATCCAATGATTCCAGCACTGGCAATGACGACCCTACATGGCCGTTAAGCCGTGACAACGAGTTCAGCTTTCAAATTCTCGCCCCTCTAGGTCTTTCCATCTATGGTGGCGCAGATATAGCTCCATTACTCGGCGTTGCTAAAGATATCAAGGCTGGCGACATGGCAGACTTCAGCGATAAATTTCAGGCACTCGCAAACCACACCAAGTTCCAGGCGCAAACGATTGAGCACGATCCTGTTAATGCTCGCGAAACATGGTTCGCAGCAGCAACCTACTATCGTATTGCCGACTTCTATCTCCACGGCAATTGGAGTAACCCACTCATCGATAGCCTTTGGATCGAACAGACCGCTGCATTTGATAAGGCCATTGCCGCACTTCCGGTACCCGGCCAGCGAGTGCAAATTCCAGCCTCGGACGGTAGTTTCATCGTCGAGGCGATTTGGTATGCTGCATCTGCGGATAATTGTACTAAGCGACCTACCCTCATTGTGGGCAACGGCTACGACGCTGCTCAAGAGGATTCTTACCATACATTTTGTACTCCAGCCTTGGCGCGAGGGTGGAATTGTTTGACCTACGAGGGTCCAGGTCAGCCTACCGTGCGCCGTAATCAGAACATAGGATTTATTCCAGACTGGGAGCGCGTGCTCACGCCAGTGGTCGACTATCTTCTATCAGGAAAATCAGATGCGGTTGATGAAGCACGACTCGCGCTTGTGGGCTTCTCGATGGGTGGCTATCTTGCTGCTCGAGCAGCGGCTTTTGAGCCTCGTCTTTCTGCTGTACTCTTGGATGGCGGTGTATGGGATGTGCACGAGGCCTTCACGGCACTACTATCCCCCGATCTACTTGATCTGTACACCTCAGGCAACAAGAGTGCATTTGACGATGTTGTCATATCGGCACGCGAAGCTGGTCAGCTCCCTACAACCGTGGCTTGGGGTATTGATCAAGGTTTGTGGACATTCGTCACACGCTCACCGTACGATTTCCTTGAGAAGACCAAGCAATTCACGCTCGAGAGCGTGGTGGATAAAATCAAAGCGCCAGTCTGGATCGCCGATGCTGAGTTCGAGGGGTTCTTTGTGGGCCAGGCATCGAAAGTTAAGGCTGCATTAGCTGAACGAGCAGAGTTCCACCTATTCACAGGTGTAGCAGGTTATCATTGTCAAGTTGGTGCTGCACAGGAACTGACAAGAACGATGTTCGCGTGGTTGAACAAAACGTTAAAGATACACCGAGGGTAGTTCATTGAAAGACCTTGATCCACGGGTTTCTTAACTAGGATTGAGATCAGAAGGTTTCTCGATCAGCGAGTGTCATGATACATCAGTGTAGTGCGAATACCAATGCAACTCTTCCAGTACTCGTAATGACCACGCGCCATTTCCGCACCTATACATCAATTCTGTAACTTCCGACTGTAATCGCAAGCTTCCTTTGTGCGATACTCACATTAACCTCAGGAAGGGCTCTAAGCAAGGTGGCCAGGTCTATAGTTACGTAACTTACCTTGCTAGCTGCTAGATTTGACTCAAAAGTCTGCGTGATAGCAACGCCTGCACATCGTCTAGTGACACGAAGACAATTCGATGACCTCATGCTGTATTGCGTTGATTGGCGATTTGAGATCGCGCACTCCGCCTAGTTATTCTAGTCTTATCGCTGTGGTGTTATGCGCCTGCTGACCTTGAGCGACAAAGAGATAGGGTCGAGCCTTGAAGGCTCTTGGGCGGAATATTACTGTACAGAAGGCAATGAAAGGCTTCCCAGGTATGTATCTCATTATGTGGTCTTATGCCGCGTAATCTTGTACCTTGTACATTGCTGCAGTCAGCGCGCAAGCACACAGGTAGATACCCAGTTGCCTAGTGGATCGATTGGCCACGAATCCTCGATAATTGAACCGGGCCGAGAGATTCGGAGGTCTGCACGTGTGATTGGATGGCGGTTATGTTTTCTAAAGTAGGTAGGCTCATCTTACCGGAGGTCTTGCTCCGCATCCTTCAAGTAAAGAACCATTGAGCCGCACCGTAAGCGATCGCCCCGGGCCGTGCCATTACACCCCGATCAGATTCGAGATCTGGTACCTACCTGATCATAGAGCTCAGTTTGGTCCGATCACTGCCAAATCTTTGTTTATTGCCAACCACATATGCAGCTAGCATTCCCGGCTCCGCGAAGAGCGTTCGCTGACCGCAGCCTGCCAACACATGTACCCAGGCAATACAGATGTATAACATGCGAAAGCAAACTACGGATATTTGGCTCTGGTTCATCTAATAGCTAACTGAGCACCTCGGTAGTTCGACCCATTACAGCAACTATCCTCTACTAAACATAATTCGAAACCTAACTTGATAGCGCCACAAATTCAGGCAATTTCGATCGTATTTGGCAAACATGAGGCGAATTTCAAGACCACTATTGCGACGTTGACGTGCATTTCGAGGAAGTTTGGAGAGGTAGGTACTTGGATAGCTCTGAGAGGCGTTAGTGTCTTGATAGCAGCATTTAAGTCTTGTGGGTCTACTTTAATCTACCCCCATTTCTCAGCCCTTTGAGATCGACCGCCTTGCCCACCTACTCCGGTCTTTGTCTCGGCGGCCGACTTGAGGTCTCGACTGGTACCAATATGGTCTGTATGACCAACTTGTGACATATTTTCTCTTGGCAATTTGGGCGTTATGTGTCACGTATGCAACGTGTTCTTGCAGGTAACACGATGTTGGTTTCCCGTGAAGCTGCTTCGATCCTCTCTTACTACATGCAGAATGAGATGCCAGTCGATAGATATGGAGACTCAGAGCCGGTAAAGTTGTTGCTATCACTACATCTACATAGTTCGAGTTGACTTCTGAGATTCCGGACCTGATGCTGCAAGGTATGCTTACTATGCTAAGCCGAAGTAAGCCGCACTGGCAGGCCTTAAATCCCTTTGGGGCTACCCATTTCCAAACGGCACTTCTTTGTCAAATACAGTGCAATAGTGGTGTAGCTCTCGTGACCTTCAAGTCAAAGCCGTACACTCGTGTGTGCGAATTAGTGCGGTGTGTAAAGATTAGGATCAATCCTTGGGTCAATGTCTCCCTCTGCCCTTGCTTTAAAGAGTAGGCTCGGCGAAGCTCCATTGAGGCAATTCTCAGCGCCACGTAAGCACACGTTGCCACAGCAAGTGTTCAATGCGCAAATACCGCCATTAGGGCAGCTGTTATCAGCCTCGCAGGCTGTGGCGCAACCGTCACTGACGTCCAGACAGGTGGGTTCCCCTGTGGTGGTCAAGCAATAGCAGTTCCCGTTTGGACCCGAGCATTGGTTGAAATTGCCCTGCTGGCAAGTAAAGCCATCAGTACATGTACGAGGTCCTACGCAAGCTGTAGCGGTAGCCGTTGCTGTTTCAGTGACGATCGTGGTGGGAGTTGTAATCGTGGTGGCCGGGACCTAGTCATGCAGTGTCAGAGGATGAGTTAAATATCGTCCCAAGAGACTTACAAATACTGTTGCAGTAGAGGTAATAGTCGCTGTAGTAGTTGTGGTAGCGTATGCAGTGGTCTTAACTGTGCTCGTAGGTGTGGGAAGATTCAGGCAGCTGCAAGCGGACGAGATCAAATTGCACGCGAAACCGACGATTGGAGATCCAGCACACTTGTTTGCTTGGGCTGCGCGAATATCGAAGTCCCTCTTAACAGGTGCAACAGGACAGTTCGTGCTGAATGTCGTGGTCGTGGAGGTGCTGCAGTATAAGGTCAGAGTCCCGAAACGTTGCCTTGACACGGGGTACTTACGAAGTGGTTGTGGTAGTCTCGGTCACTGCAGGAGCAGTGATGGTAACCGTTCCACCCTCACCTCCTGTTGAGGTGACTGTCTCGGAAGCGGTGGCTGTGGCAGCAGCAGTGCTTGTTATGGCGATTGTGGAGGTTGTGGTGACAGTCGATATCTTAAGCACTGTCGAGCAGTACTTTGAGGCGCCAGGAGCGATTTTCAAGGCTTTGACCACAAGATCAACAGCCTTGCAGTCTACCTTCACGGTTCGTTCGTCGAACTGCGCTGGAACGGCGGCAACAATGCCAGCAAAAAGTAGCGTCTTGTAAAGATTCATGATCATAGTTGGGTTTCAGGTCCTATGGTACTTTGGCGGGTATGAGTGCGGAAGCAGCCTGGTCTGCTCAAGATCGGACTCTGTGGTCATCTTTATAGTCTGTAAGCTTAGGCATTAGAGGTCACAGCAGGAGAGAATAGTCTTGTCCAAGTTTTCAACAGCATCTAGGCGAGGGTCAGCCAGCCATGATCTCAGCTGAACGTCTAGAAGATGCTTGTTGGGCGAGACCTGCAACGGAAATGCCGATCGCCATGTTACACTGAGAGGCAAGAAGCCCTATAGAGTTCATGAATCAGCTAACAAGACGAAAGCTGACGAAGTTGACGATTAGCGCAAGGCTCTGGAAGCTCAGCTTGAAGATCCAGCCTTGAGAGAGTATTAGCCGATTGACAAGTCACAGAGTTGGTAACGGACGGAGATCCCATGGCCAACGGATCAAGTAAGCTCCATAACAGCCTTTTCGGACATCTTGCTGTTTTGGTCGCGCTTCAAGTGTTGGTGACCAAGTCTGGCAAGGCGTCGGATGCTCCATAGTCACTTGTCGATCTAATAAGGCGAGATCAAGGCTACGCACGGTCGCCTGCTGGCAATTGAGAAAGATCTGACCAGGGTATGCGGCAACATTTCTAGACCGCCGTGCAATAGTCGATGAATTCCTAGCAATCGTTTTGAGCACTTTCGAGTTCCTGGAATACCTTGAGTAGAGCTCAATCGATTTACTACTGTGTAGAAATCAAGGAGACGCAAGTGCCGTACGCTTTGATACGCAGTATTTCGCCAGTGGATTAGCGAGGCTGCGACAGCCTTGTGTGTGAGCATCATTTTGCAGATCAGATGCGCCACCTGTCCGGCCTCGGCCTTGCATGCGTACTAGGCTCCCACTGACTCGTACAACCTACGTAGTGTATACAACTCTATCTCGTACATAGTACAAGTACAAGGCTATACACACCTCGAGCTCTTCGTCGTGTGAAGAGAAAAATTGTCATGATCGGACATTGATTGGTGTTTTGATGGGCTTGGCTTGGTTGAAAAATGTCCCACACGGTTGCGGTTGGGGTTGCAGCCGCGGATCGTAGCTACTGGGCCCCCGTCCGGGAGTCGTGGCAGCCGTCGCGGCGTGGTCGATGATCCGCGCCGCCCCACATCGTCCAGGTCGATGGAGGTCGACCGCCCTTTCAACCCTTTCAAAGTAGAAGCCTGACATTTCTTTCTCACCACCATCTACATTTGGTTGTCGCGCTCATCTAGAGAGTGACTCTACTGACCAAGAATTGTACTCACACCCTTGCAGAGGTATGTACATAATGATTGCTGCGCTCCGAGGGCTGCAATAATTATCGTTCCTTCTGTATGTCTTTCGAATTCTTCGCTTACTACCCCTTCCTTGCCTTCTCGTGATTAAGTTGCTTAACCTTCCTCGAGCCCGTATGGCTGGTTTGAGTACTTGTTCTAATCTCGTTTCTCTTCAGCGGTGCCCAGCAAAAGAGGTTTTATACTCCGAGGTGCTGGGTAGTTTCCGTGCATGCACTGGGAATCTAACTCGCAACATGCACCGTGTCCCCCATTGAGAACGACTTCAAAACGCCTGCCTACAAAGTCCAACGCTACACCGAGTGAAGCCTCTCCTTGTAATCGAGACCACAGCACTGCTGATGCATAAAAGCGACCTCAAGTTCTTATTGCGTCCTAGTAGACGCTCGAAGCCACGGTATTACCAAGTAAATACCTAAGGTGAACAAGTGTACACATCCATCAAACAATGTTTCATAAGACATCGCACTCGCACTCGATTTTCCTAAAGTCAATGTGGGGCTAACGGCCAGCCACATTTCCAGTGGTATACCGCGTGCACGGTCTTTGAAGCGAACGATGAAACGCATTGCCTTGTCGCGTTTACGAACCAAGTTCCCTGTCAATCTCCGCAAGATTATCGTCACAATCTTGCCCAATAATTTTACTGGCCACAACGGGCATGACTACAAGCAGATACCAGCCGCAAGAGAGTTGCAATCTACCCAGACATCAAATATGGATACCGAGCCACAGTGTCTCTTTCGTCCTTGCAGCCATCACTTTCCTTTCAAACTTCTAAATTCTTTAACCTAGGCATGTTGTTCTCGCGCCTCGCTCTCGCGGTAGCGGTTGCGCCAGCGGTCCAAGCTGTACTCCAGTATCGTGCGATGGACTGGTCATCGTTGCTCATCGAAGAAGAGCGCAACAGCGTCTACTACCAGAATGCGACGGGTCAAAACGAGGCGCTAGAAGGTATTCTTGTCGACAACGGCGTCAACATGGTACGCCAGCGTGTGTGGACTAATGCTGGCGACGGTGATTACGGGATCGACTACAACATTCGACTTGCAAAGAGAGCAGAAGCGGCTGGTCTGATGTTCGGCTTGAACCTCCACTACAGCGACACGTGGACAAATCCGGGTCTACAAGACATTCCCACTGGCTGGCCCACTGACGTCACAGGCCTGGCGAAGAAAGTCTGGGACCATACGACCGACGTGTGCAACGCCTTCGCAGCTGCTAGCTTAATCCCAGAGACAATAACCATTGGTAACGAGATAAACGGTGGTATCTTATGGCCCACAGGCAAGTATGATCAGCCGGCCAACCTCGCGAAGCTCCTCCAAACGGCATCTCAAGCCATCCGTGCGTCGAACTTGAAGCCGCAACCCAAGATTCAAATTCATCTGTCACATGGCGAAGAGGGCGAGGAGATGCAATGGTGGTACGATATGGTTCTCTCGAACGGCCTCACACTCGAGGACTTCGACATGCAGACCGTATCCTTCTACCCATTCTGGGGCTCTGCTGCTACCCAGGCCAATCTCACTGCCTCGCTCGGGAACATGGCGACTCGGTACGGCAAAGAGCTTATGGTGGTCGAGACCAACTGGCCTATTATCTGCTCAAAGCCAGATTACGCATTTCCTTCTGACACAGTCGACATCCCAATTGGTCCCCCGGCAGGCCAGACGACCTGGATTCAACGCACAGCTGCTAGCATAGCAAGTGTTCCAAAAGGCGTGGGACTATCATATTGGGAGGGAGGCTGGGTCAGTAATGCTGTGTTGGGGTCATCTTGTGAGTGGAACGCGATGTTCGATGGTAACGGGAGAGCATACGATAGCATTGGTGTGTTCAACACTATCTAAGCACCACTTCCGAAGCGTCATATCGCATTGATCAAGGGACTTCGTTGATTTCGATCGTTCCTCGTCTCATTACAATACATACGCCCTTGAAAACAAGTGTAACAGAGCCATCTTATCATCATATTCAATCCCGCCGGAGTCTGTCACCAGCGTATAGACAAACGTTGGACAGCCCTTACGGTCTTTGTCTTCTGGATGTCAATTGATATGTGTGCTAATAACCGTGCTTGGGTGAACAGCGGAAGACGCGATACCATACTTTTTCCAGAGCCTCTCGTTCTGGGCGACAGAGAAAAGGATGTTGGCAGTCTCAGATTGGCCGTAGGAGAGGAATCCAACGTAGCGTTCGTTTGGCCAATCTTCTAGTCAAGAACTGGGCCTTTCCGAAGTCCGGACGTTCCTCCACGGGTATCTTGGATACTAACTTCGTGACGTTGATGTCGGCAAATCGAACAGGGGAGAACTGGTGCCCATAGGACGAGACGTTTATGATTCGAGTAGGTGTTGGCGAGGTTTGAGCAGCCTCAATGATTTTCGGCATGATGAGATTTGGAAACAGGAAGTGGCCCAGGTGGTACGTTGCAAGGTAGTCTCGATCCTGTCATCCGTGAGCGTCAGTTCTGGAATTGCCATGACTCCCGCATTATTGATCAATAGATCGATGGCTAAGACTTCCGCATCGTTATTAATGCTCGAGGCAGCAGTAGGAGGCTCTTAAGAGTAAGGCCTCCCGTATAGTATTCTAAACTAGGGGTGGTTTACATATTTCAGCAATCGTTATGATACTAAGTATATAGTAGCATGATTAGTGACTTCCAGGGCTATAGCCTAGTGAAGTTAGTATCTGGAAGTATCTGCGACTACGTGCATGGGTTCCTTAGTGCTATTCTAAGCGGCACGCAGTTGCCAAGTGATTTGCTCACCGGCTACCCCGCTTACGTTACTCGCAACGATGTAAGCAGCAGTCAACCCACTACGCTACACACTCGTTCTGACGACCAAGTGACTTAAAGGTTGTCTCTGCTTGTCCCTGACCATGGCCGGTCCTGCACGTCTTAATCGAAGCCTAGATCATGCTTCTAGACACGACCAGCAGACAGAAAGTCGCCACCACGCTGTAGAAGCAGAGGAACGAGTAGAAAATTCGGACTATGCTTCAGACAATGAGCAACAAGCAGAAAGCACACGAAAGCTTATTCAAGTTTACTCGATCTCTAGACCCGCACAGGACAGGAAAGACAAGAAAGGGGGAGGCAAATCTTGGAAGACGGGAAGTACCCGATTGGACAATCTGATCCACGAATCCAAAACGCTAAAGCTGCGAGCACTGCGATATCGAAAGCGTGCGCTATGGCTTCTATTATTATACTTTCCACTCCTGGTCGTACCTTGGGCTCTCACCTGCATACTCTCTCAACGACCGGTCACAGCGCTCTCATACGTCAATCAGCAAGGATTCAGCAAAGCCGACATAACGAGCATCCGAAACTGGAAGAGAGCAGTAGATGTACTCAGCTCCATTGCTGGACTGATCACGATCCCTCTTTTATCTGCCTTGTTAGCACAGGGCGCTGTGGTGTTTAGCCAACGTCGACGACCAGAAGAATTCCTTAGCCTACCCGACCTTTTTGCCCTGGTAGATCATGGATGGACCTCTGTCCCTGCATTGTGGCACTCGTTAACGACGAAGCAGAAGGAGGAACGAGGCCAAAAGCTGAAACTGGCCAGGCACTATCTGCTGCCCGGCGCTGCGTTGATCTTGTTGGGCGCAATACAACAGCCTTTGAAGCAAATACTCGTACCGATAGAGACAATATATCTAGCAAGCTGTGGAGATCTCGGGTTCATGCCCCACTGTGGGACCCAGTACAACGAGTGGTATCCGCAGTATGGCGCATCGACGACCTATGAGACTATTGGTGTCGACATCGAGCCAGCACAGATGGCCGGCATCTACTATCAAGACATCTTACCGCGCATCACGGCCGATCTAGCGTCTGTTTCAATTGAAGCATATCAACCTAGTCTTTGGAGCGATTACATGACTCAAGGTCTGCAGCGCAACATGAACTACGATCATACAAGCAGTAAGACTACCCCGCTCCGCAATTGGATATTTCCACCACCAATGTCTAATATTGAGGATCGGTGGGGGTCTCGCTTTTTTCTCGCTGGCATTCCCAGCAATACGACAACAGGCATTCTCCGGGAACACGCAATGAGATTCAACTCTTCAGTCTCACGCAGTAAGATCGAGCGAGCACTATTTCCAACATCTTGCTCTGGCGAAGAGCCTTTCATTGCTTCTTTTGAGATGAAAGATGATATCAGCGCGCGCATATGTGTTCCCGGCAAGCTTGGCGTCTTCCCATGGACTACAAGTCGCAATAGGCAGGACATCGTTGAGGAGCTCTACCTAGATATGTGGGGTACTTACAAGTACCGAGCTGCTGATTCAGATGGGGATGACACCAACGTGACGGTCCACTGTGAGGTGAAAACTACCCGCGGATACTTCGAGCTTGGAAACCTTAGCAACAATGGCACATATGGTTCGCTGTTGCAAGATTGGCCAGATGCAGACGTTATGGCGCGAGACTTCAATGACCTGGTGAGCGATGACAAAACGGCGTTTGTGCCCACTGAATCGTGAGTAAAGACTTGATTTGTTGACTTTTCTCAGCTGAGATTCTCTAGGGACGACTTCGTGGGCGATTCTCTTCGACCGAACGTGTCACATAATCTAGGCATCCCGTCAATGTACTGGAAGGCATCAGGTCCGCTTACACTGTCCGCTGTTGCCCTTTTCGGTAACATATCATGGTTCAACAATGTGTCAAAGTACTCAGCCAACAAAACTCACGATTCGACGACAGCAAGCGGGGATCAATCCTCGTGGTACCGAATGTGTGCAGGCATGCCGTTCAGCACACTCTCTGGATTGTATGGTGCTAGGTGGTACTTCCATGCTGCTGGATCCTGCCAGTCTTCACTCGAGAACCAGATGTTTTTTGGCTCGACGAATCAGTACGATTCCCTGCTGAAATTGCGATACCAATGGCTGAAGCAGTTCGCCCCTCCAACTCGCTCTAATGTAAGTCAACGAAACCACTAGCATCCAGTCAAATATACTGACTTAGTCTTTCCCAGGACACCGGGCGTCTGGAGGCACTACTACAAATCAGCGCTTCTGTCACCAATCAAGCACTCCTCAATCACTATGCGCCAACCGTTGATCATACACTTCTGGGTGGAGGCGATTTCCGAGGTCGAAAAGTATACACTTCGCCGGGATACCCAGTCCTGAAACCCGATGTATCTGTCGCCGTATTGTCGGTAATGGCCATCCTCATCGGGTTGCAGCTGCTTGGACTTCTGTGCTTAGCATGGTACATCTACCTTGTGCCTTCATGGACAGTTTCCCTGGACGCTATGGCAGTAGCACATATTGGGGCACGACTGGGACAGCAAGATCTCTTGCTCACTGGTGTTAGTGGGGATCGTGACAGAGACGCTCGTGCATTACAAAAAGTGGACGGCCTTATTGACGTGGTGAACGTGGAGGAGGGAGACTATGAGTCGGATACGGAGTTGCAACAGCTAAGCAGGCCCTCCAGCCTTGAAGTGGACAGTCACTCGCGGTCGCGATTGCAGTCCTAGTCAGTATCTAAAATAGTCTTAGTATACTATAGCTTTCTATATGACTACTAACCTATAAGTAGAGCTCTATAACAAGTCTTCTTTCATTACTTAAAGTATACAATATATTGTTACATTTATTTAGGCTTATAGTAAAGTGTACAAGTATAATAATGCGTTCATCTAAATTAGTGCTTTGTTACCAGTCTACTTCAAGGAGGTATTTAAGCTACTTTACTTGTGGTAGCGTCTCTCATGGCCGGATCGCTTCAGGCTGCGGCGAGTGATAGAACCAATGTCGGTCTCATCGCCCTCGGATATGAAGAATGGATCCGCGCCCATGCCATTGTAGTCGTTGTACTCCGACCTCTCAGTCGTGCCATGCAAGACTTCGTATCTCTTGTAATCTCCACAGCCACTGCCTTCGTTCAAGCAGTCTTTGCCAAGCGCACCAGCGATACGCTGACCAGCTTCTTGTCCTTCGAACCACGAACCGTGCAAAAAGCCAAAGTACTCGGCAGATGTATGCTCACCAGCAAAGTACAGCCTATCGACATTTGCGCGCAGGTTTTGGTGCATCTCCAGGGTTGTACCGGCAGGCCAGTTGGAGTAACTACCGTATGTCCAGGGCGTCTGGCCCCAGCGAGGGTACATGAAGTCGATCGGCTCCGGGACATCGATATCAGGAAACATCTGGCGCAAAACCTCCATGAGTTCTGCCTTTGTAGTCTCGTCATCCTGCGCCTCGATGCGGGCACTCTGCTCATCGACGACGGTGGCGAAAAGGATGTTGCTGCCGGGCAAGAAGCCTTCGGTTGAAAGTGACTGGAATTGAGGGTAGTATCCACGTGTAGTGGGATGGGCGTATAAGAAGAACTCTTTGTCCGCGGGCCAGAAAGTCTCGTTGAACTGCATGAAAATCTTGGTGTACGTGCCCATACCGAAGGTGGCGATGGAAGACTGCTTCCATTCAGGGAGAACGGGAGTGAACTCGACTACTTCTTCCTGAAGGACACCTAGCGCAAATGTGCAGATGGCGTATTCGGCTTCAATGCATGATCCGTCCTCATTCGTGACTTTGACACCAGAGTCAGAGTACTCGATGGCCGTGACAGTGGTGTTAAAGAGAAGTCGACGGTCGTTTGGCTGTAGAAACTTCGACGCTTCACCCTTGAGCCAGGTGTTGTATCCGCGCTGGTCAATGCTGAAGAAGTCTTCATCCTTGAACTGGTAGTACGTAAGGTTGGATGCTGTGATTGCGAACACAGAGCTCGATTCCTCGGGTGTTGCCGCTGCATCCCAGTCGAAATACCACCAATCGACAACCTTTCTGTGGGAGTCACGCTTAGTCTTCCAGCCATTCTCGGACAAGACTGCACGCTGGCTCCGATCTTGGAGATTCTCTGACAAAATCCTTCCGGTAGCCTGCTCAACGGCACCGGCTATCTCGTCATACTCATCGAGGATGTCCATGTAATTAGAGGCGCCAGTCTCATCGTATGTGGCGATATTGCTCAAGTTCGAGTATGTACTCGACAGATTGGTTTGCTTAGAAAAGGTCCATACCGGGTTTTCAGGTCCATTAGGTGTGCCCGTCCCGGAGATCCAGTTGGCACCAAGCTCCACAACATACGGGTTACCGGAACCATCAGATCCGAAGTTAGCGTGGCGCATGCGGCCGCCAACTTGCTCGTTATACTCCACGATGAGAAAATCGGTGATGGATTGGTTGGCTAGTGCTTGCTATGATGTATCAGCAAAATGAGCTTGCAGTGAATTTTGAGAAACTTACTGCTGCTGTTATTCCAGCGACACCTGCACCTCTGGAGTCTCGTTATTGATAGCTCCTCCATTGAAAGATGTTGTTTGACCTACAAGACTGCAACAGTGGTTTTTCGACATGTTGTGTTGTTGCCATAGGACCGTGTCTGAACAGATGGCACTGCGAGCACCGAAGCTGGCGCAGCGGCTGCTGCCAGTAATGAAACTGTCTTGAAATGCATGATGAGCGAGTGACGAAGAATTCACAAGAACTATGAGGCTGCGCTCAGAGTATAGTACTTGCACTGACTCGCACAAGGTCGAACGAGAAAAGCCATCTTAATCTCGTAGTGTTACCACACTAATCATAAGAAGACATCACCGCACCTAGCTTCGTCAATCATTTGTCCGCCTGGGACGGATGAGCCAGGATAATCCAAAAAAGCTTGACCTTGTCGAAGAAGACGTGCAAGAGACTAGCATCGCCGGCCGCTAGACGTAGCGCGACCGACCCGCGTGGACCCGCCAATCACCCAGCTTCGTTCCATGCCTCCTGCGGCTGGCGGCTTTTACGCCGCAATCATGGCGACTAAAAGGGCAGGCCCATGCGTAGGGCAGCTGGACTGCAACGGGCCGTTTGCGTGTCGTACCTCGGACATTAATCCGCTATTCGAGGGCGTCAAGAGCGTGCAACCTGCGAACAAGAACACCACCCTGACCCCGCTGCAGTTGTGTTCGCGATGGCTCCACATGCCAGACGCTTGCGGCACAGCTGGTTGACCGGTGTCATCCCAAGATATTTACGTTACAGTAACATCTTGCGTCTACATACACCCACCGTACATCGCATCGGAGAACCAGGCCTTCCTGCCAGGATCGATGCATTTTTTGCAATTTCGGGCATGCCGTGATCGGGTGAGTCCAGGCCTGCCCAGTCCAAGCTTGCTCTGCAGGATCTGGTTTACGGAGTGCACGAGTGACAGAGAGACTGCACCACATAAGTGCTGATGAGGAGTACGCGAAGAGGTGGAGCCTGCTGATCTGGTTTGCGGGGTTTACTGTGTACTGTGCAAAAGCATCGCATCGCCATGAATGCCATTTTGAGCTAGTTTCAAGCCGCCGTTGTCCGATCCTCCGTGCGCGCAGAACTCCAATGTCAACTGCTCTTAACACGCCTGTTACCCAACGACACCAACGAAGTCATACGCCGATCAACCTGGAAGACGAGCGAAAGCCGCCAATCTCAAGCAATCACATCCTACAATAACGACAGCCCTGGATTCGGACCATTTCTCATCGCAGCAATTATGGTCAATGCCGCTGAGTGGCACGAACAGCTTCGCTACGTCTCAGAAACCGTAGCAATTGTGGATGACTTTCGAAACTGGGGCTACACCATTTACCGCACGGCCTATGGGCCATCAACTGATCAGCAATGGCAGCAACTCCTTGAAAAAATTAGAACACAGGCTTACGCTGCGACATTGAGAGTGTGTGAAGCAGATGACCCCGCAGTTCAAGAAATTTGGTCTCTCTTCCGCCTCGATGCGCGCTCGGACCCTGCGCTGGATGGCCTAAGTATGGAGCAGCTTCGACTGCAGTACAGGAACAGCGACGGAGGTGTCCCAATAAATGCAGACCTCTGGTCCCATCGCGTGTTTCTTTTAGCAGACAAGGAGGTCCTGTTAGATACTAATGCCTTCCTTCTTAAGTGTGTCGAGGCAGACTATGAAGCCGCAGACCATGTTCCTCGTAATACGTGGCTGGGTGGACAATGGTATTTCGGTTGGATGCTAATGAGATCCGCAGAGATAGTGGAATTGTGGAAGGAACTGGAATTTTATGATCTGGATAGAATTGCCCCTCGAACGGTTGCGGGGTGTCACCCGGAGATTTGGAAAAACATGGCATGGTAGCTTCATGTTTTCAAGTCCTTAAACCCTGATGCATTGATGAACGCCTAGTTCATCCTTGTAATAGCGATAGTCAAGCCTAGGAATCGTGTCTCTAAGTTTGCCATGAGCTTCAGCACGATCCTAGCATTAGCACTGGTCCTAACAGCCCAAATCCCTCGCATCGTTCAAATCGTATCTTGGGCCCAAGCTGAATACCTAGTAAGCCATACACAACAATCCTGTATCCATTTGCTCCAATAATCGCCAACAGTAGTTTACCTGTTGGCCATCGCCGGACCCGCATTCCACATCGCCTGTCCGTGATTCCACCGATCGCCTATATCGTTTGTAACGTTTGTGAGCCGCTCGTTGACATTAAGTATGCCTCTGTGGTTGAGGTAACGGATCATACCTAGACTGGCCCGCAGACTTAGAAGTACTTTCTTATCTCCTGAGGATTAAAACTGGAACCGTATAGCCTGACGTCAGTTTCCGACATAGCATCGGCTCCTCGCGCCAGCTATTCCGAGTAGAATTGGTTAGATTCTGTGCAATTGTGCGTCGGAACGGAAGACTACCTACCCTACTCTTGACCGCGTTGATGTTTTCGTGAGTAAACACCGAGTTATCATAGTTGGTCCGGCTACCGACTAGATCCATGACTTAGTCAAGCAGTCTTGTATAGTCTGCACCTCCGGTAAGAGGCAGCGAACCGATATTTGCTGTATCTCACGAAAAAAGGTCGCAAGGACCGGACCGGTCTGTGCAGTTGCACCACTTCGGTGTCTATCCAGTTGTAGAGTGTCTCAACAACACGGTCTAGTGAGATTCTTGACATGCACACCACCTAGCAATGGCATCCTGCATGAATAGACCTCTAGCATTGCCATTGAATGGATGTTGCACTGAAACTATCATAAGCGACTGTCATTCCTGCCTCCGGGTTATGAACACATACCTTCATAAGATCGTCTCGTTGGAAGAATAAAATGGTTTATGGTAGTTGGTGTACAATCGACTCGGTTGATAAAGTCGACTACTTTATCCTCTCGTGGATCATTCGCAGGATACTCCGATACTTGAGGATACTAGAATCTGTCAGCATACGGATAAGCGCTTGAGAAAGATGTTGACTCTGATACGTCTTCCTCAGCATCTCCAGCTAGGTCTGATCTCAATGTTCGACGATGCAGAAGTGCACTGAGCTCATGATCAACGGTGCACAATCAAAGAGAGCCGTCGATCCAGCAACCCAATCCTTGCTACGCAGTAGATGCCCGACGTACAGAAGCCGCGTACAGAGACAATCAAGGTAGGAGTAATAGATATCAAGAGTGTCGCTCATGCGTTCGACGGCCATGATGACTTGTTATGTGTGTTACTTTGTAACCCGTCGAAGTTGGGTGGCCAAGACTAAGCTGCCATACGCTAGATATAATGTGTATCCCCGCCACTCCCCAGGTCATAGTTCTCACCTATTAAACTCAAGCTCTCTCGTAAAGCTCATAGCTTACCGTGATCGACTTGCCCAATGTAATCATCGACCAGATACTGCAAAAACTCCAAGGACAGGAATTCACCTGCAGCTGTGTCTCACCCTTGGTTTGTTTAAACCGGAGCTGGCAAGCTGTTGCGGGAAATTACCTCTGGCAACATCTACAAATCAGGCCACGACAGATCGGATGCTTTCGGGTAGCTTTCAATGAAGATCGAAAACGCGGAAGGGCGCTGGAATACCTCGAGATCCGCTTTGAGTACTATTTTGCACAAGAATATCGCAAGAGGAACGAGTCAACAAGCACTCATAATGGGAACAGCGATGAGGAAAGCTCGAACGAAGATGGCGACGATCCTTGCAAAGTTTGCCCACGTGGACAGTAAAATGGACAAGGATCCGTTCGGCGACGAGGGCCACGTTCGAGGGGAGGACGGCGAGAACGCGTCCCCTCTTATACGTCTTGCGAGCACCCGCACTGAGCACAACCGCTTCTTCCGCGAAGCCAAGGCAATATGGCACGAACTGGCTAGTTTGATGGAAAATCTGCATGTGACTGACATTCAATTCTATCTGTACGGACATTCGCTCTACGGCTCATTCGGCCCAGAGATTTGTGAAGGCGGCTCCCTCGATAATGAGGCACTACTACAATTTCCGGAGACCTTAATCTTACCTTCGCTTACATTGGTGAAGTCGATACGGGTTCGCGATGGAACCAATCATGAGATTGATCTTTTGAATCTTTTCCCTGCAGCAGTAGCATGCGGCGTTACAAGGTCGTTTCCCATGCTGGACAGCCTGGACATTATGGGAGTAGACAGCAGGCGTCTGTGGCCACTGGCTAGGAAAAATCTCCGACACTGTAAGTGTACTCGTCTGATAATACCAAACGTGGGTGCTAGCTGATCCCAGCTTTGCGAACCAGATCACGATGCTCCCAGAGTCTTCAAGAACCATCTCGAATATTACGGGATAGAGTATCATACAGTCCAGTTTCCGAGGCTCTTGCTTCGTGGCCAAGGCCATCTGTTTCAATCCCTCCGAAACGTATTGATCCCTCTCAATACAGTTACGCTGCGTCTGGGAGAGATTTCAGCTTCACTTTTCTAGGTTCTGGAGACAGCGCTCACTGACGGTTGTGGCAGAATATGGCCTAATCTTTGGGTCCTTAACATCAGCACTTGGATTATGGGAGTCTCCTACTATAGTTAAGGTAGCTAGAGATTGAAGCTACAAGTATGAACTATTTGTACTCTTATTCTATAATTTATTAAAAATCTGTCTTTATAAAGTAGAATACTAAACTCAGAGTTAATTCAAATAAACTTATACCTCTATTATGGTACTACTACCTAGGTAGCTTAGCCTCTACATTTTTAGTAATCGCTTAGTCAAGGAAAGTTAGACTTGGATTAGGGTAGGTACGTAACCAATCTTACCCTCATCTGATCTCTACCTTTCTACCAATCGATACCCTATTATCTCTTTCTCTTTGGCCAGCTAGAACTATGAGCAGTAACTCGTCTCAGTTTTCTCAATTCCCTCAACAATCTAACCTTGTCAAGAGAGTTGCCTGCATCCGTTGCCGTACGCAAAAACTCAAATGCCTAAAATCGACCCACTCAGTGGTTTCAAGCAGATGTGATCGTTGCAGGAAAGCAGATGTGGAATGCACCTACGTTCCACCTAAACCAATGGGACGACCAAAGACTTCTCGATCTCGACAGTCACAACAAACAACCAACAGCGCAGTATTGCAGTCAGACACAATGGCCGTACCACAGCAGGACGAGCAAAGCTGTGAACAATTCGACCTCAATACGATGATTGGAGACGCGGATCTAGCCTTGGACGAGCAGAGCTCGAGCATGTTCTTCAATGAAATATTGCCGTATGACCAAGGCGACGCATCAGCGAGTATAGGCTTCGCATTATCCGCCAGGGAGATCGAATTTCTGACGCCGGGCTCGAGTCAAGGCAGCCTGTGTTTCTCTAACGGCTTCGACACGTACACGGTCAACGCACCTACGGAAGAAGAAGCTGCTCTTGAAAATCACGCGAGGACAACACCCAGCGTATCTGCCTCCGGCGGGAACCTACAAAGTAGCATGCAGGACCTATCAAAGATCGGACTTGACCTGCACTTGCAGATTACCAAGTATCAAAAAGCCGCAGACAACGCCGTGTTATCAGACCTAGTCTGCGATGTCCTACACAGCTCAACCAGCTACTTGAACAGCCTGCTACGATTAGACGACACATTTTTCTCAGGTCAAAGTAGCAGCTTCGGGACCGACTGGACAGACGACCAACCAGGCCGTGGAACACAATTAAACATGTCGGCGGCATTCGAGCTCCTGATCCCCTACGTGCGGCTAGTCCAGCTTCACAGCATTCTGCACCGGGCCATGATTCGCACCCTCACAGGCAAGAGTTGTAGCGGGAGCAGGGCTAGCGCCACGGGCTCGGCAGAAACGCGGTCAGAATTCCCAGTTCTCTCGGTGGGCGGCGCCCGGGTCGATGCCACCGACTCTCTTCGCGCCCGATTGCTCCTGCAGATGAGCGTCAATCTGCTGACCGAGGTTGAGACAACACTACAACTGCCGCAAGATGCGAGGGTATGTAGGCCCGAGATCGAAGGCGGGATGGGTCCCGCTGAGGGTGTGACCTTTGGTGAGCAGGGCTCGTGCAGTCTGTTGCGAAAGGCCATGTCAGCCCGGCTGCTCAAGACGATCTTAGAAGAGCGCGATTTAGGTGGTGATGATGTGCAGTCCATGCGGGAACGCGTTGCTTACATCAAGTGCCTACTTAGATCTAGCCGGCAGCTATAGCGCTTATAGCCGTATGACAATACGGTTGTGCAGGGGGGTAGCAGCTCGGGCTGATACTTGATGCCGGCGCGGCGTACTTTTTCGCAAATCAGAGTATAGTGATAAACAATTCGTTTCGGCAGTTTGGTCAAACTCTCAGCAAGTTCCCTTGACCTAATGCTCGGGCCTGCTACCCCCCTGTACTTAGGCGTACTAACCCCCCTGTACATACTGCACGAGCCGGTCCCCCTTCCCGCCCGTAAGGCTAGATACCTACAAGGGGTGAGCATAAGCGGAGTAGAATACGAATTTGGGTGTCGGTTAGAGAACAACCAATAGAGTCTCTTGGAAGTAAGTATCAGCTATCTAGAACCCCGGAAAAACCATTGTGGGGCACCTCGTATTCTGGTCCGTTTGTGCTCCCCGCTTGTAGTCCAACCAAATGGGCCTTCCCGTCTGTACTTCCAATTGCGTGCCCTTATCTTGGCCGTGAGCTTCAAAAACAGGTACCCGAAGATCCTGTCTAGCGGGTAAAAGTAGCTCAGGTGGTTACGCACTGCACCGAACTTTGCGCCCAAGAAGAAGCCTGTAATCCAGTTGTGCTCGTTGTCGCCCTCAAGGCCGTGGAAGCTCTCTCCATACGTTAGGTCTGAGATGATGTCCAGGGCTGCATAGCCGTAGAACTTGGCTAGATCGATAATGCCGTCTGGGCTCTTGGCTGCTTCACGACGCAGACGGTGAACGAAGAGGTCCGCATATGATTCTATAATGGGCGACTGCGCCCGTAGAGCCCGATCATTGAAACCATTGAGCAGCGTCCTCCGCATGCGCTGATGATCGCTACCATCAGCTGTAAAAAGCGAATCGGCGCCGTTCAATGGCGGCGTCTGCGGGTGTGGGTCTTTTGGCAGTTGCGGTCGCTGCAGATACAAATCGTCCCAAGCTCCCGACGAGATGGTCGTTAGCTCATTGGGGCCCACGCGGACAACCTTGCCATAGCGCTCATGCAAGCTGTCGATCCATTTATACTGTTGACCGCGAACGGCTGAGACAGCAAAAGGAAGGCGAGAGAAGGCGGCGAATGTGGGTCCTGGGAATTTGGAAAGTGGGTGCATGTAGATACAGTAAATAGCGGTAGTGATGTAGTACTGCAATAAATTTGAGCCAGACATACTTGTGCTGGACGTCTATGTGTTGGAAAGACTTACCAACACTGTCAATATTGCGCCTGCCATAAGCACGTGGCTGAGCTGTGGTACCGAAGGCACTGATTTTGTGATTGCGTCCATGGCGTTTCGAAGTCAGGGTTGGAAGTACCCTAGTTCCTTCTGTCCTTTCCATCTTCGAGTTTATATGGGAGTGTATGTGTTTGAGTAGTGACCGACTGGGAAAGTATATACCCGATGCAAATATTACCGAACTGAGCCTGACCGACCCGCTGGACTCGGGCTGGACAATTGGCGCACACCGACGAATACTCGTGTCCAGACAACGTGTACGAACCGAACACCCCGACCGCGATCTATGTGCCGGATAGATGAATGACAAGGAGGCTCCGCATGGCTGGATAAGAATACGGCTCTCGTCATCCAGTCTTGTCTCAAGTATCCCACAGTGCATTCAACATCCATAACCTTCCCTCACAACACCATGTCGCGACCCCACCCAACCCAAGCAGCCTCAGTGGCCATCTTCTGCCCGCAAAGCAAGGCGCCAGACCAGGCATACCTAGACCAGCTACGCGACTTCTACACTCGCCACGCCCAGTTGCGCAAGCTCGCAGACGACTTGCAGCGGCTGAGCGAGACGTGGGACGTGCTCGCTGCCCGCAAACAGGATATTGCCGCGCTGCACCAAGGACCACAATATCTCCGCGCGCTGGACAGGTGGGTGGAGACGGGTGAGTCGGGGCCGGTGGCAAATGCTATGTCGGGAATCTTGTCGCTGCCGCTGCTTGTCGTCATCCAGACGTGTCAGTATTTCCAGTACCTGCAGCTGACGGGCTTGTCACATGCCGAGTTCTTGCGCGGGCTCGAGGTGGGAGGCGCACAGGGGTACTGCGGGGGGCTCTTGCCTGCTATTGCTGTTGCGTGTGCCAAAGACGAGGAAGAAGTGGTGCGGATGGCAGGGATTGCCATGCGTATCGCTCTTGCGGTGGGTGCGTATGGAGAGTTGGGTGATGACGAGAACCTGCCTGGCCCAACGACGATTGTGCTTCGTCTTCGATACGAGGGACAGGGTGATGATATAGCGAGGCGATTTCCGGGGGTAAGTGCTGCGTTGTAGATGGTATCGTCCACCTGGCTGACTTGTCGTAGTCGTACGTGTCTGCCATCACTGACCCCAAGACCATCAGTATTGTTGGCTCTGTCCCCACGCTCGAGAAGGTGATTGCGTACGCTCGGGAGCTAGGCTTGCAGGCCCAAGGAATGCATCTCAGGGGAAAGGTGCACAATCCGGAGAATGCGGAGCTGGCGCAAGAGCTGTGTGAATTATGTGATGGACTCGACAGTCTTACGCTGCCGTCCTGTGAGGCACTGCAGGTCCCTGTTTACTCTAATATTACTGGCAGGCAACTGCAGGATTGCTCTCTCACACACGAGGCCGTTCTCACTATCCTGGCATCGCGGTGCGAGTGGTGGACGCTGCTCAATGAACTGGCATCTGCGCTCAAGTCGACAGGCGAGCAGTCGCACACGTTTGCCATGTTTGGCATTGGTGATTGCGTGCCACTGATGCCTTTCCACCAGGCAAAACTCAAGATCTCCAAGATCGACATTCATCGTACTATCCGGGAAGCAGAGCTAAGGGATTACACTTTTCCTGAAGACGCGATCGCAATTGTCGGCGCTGCATGTCGGCTGCCCGGTGCCAATAACCTGGAAGAGCTATGGGAGCTCATAGCAGGCGGTGTCTCCAAAGCAGAGGAGATTCGACCAGATCGTATACCGTTAAGTGCGAGCTTCAGAGCATCGCAAGACGAGAAGGTGAGTCGAGATGCGTTAAGCGTTCCTCTAGTTGTACACTGAAACGAAGAGGGTGCTGACACGCGACTACAGTTCACAAGCCGGCGGAAGTTTTTTGGGAATTTTGTCGAAGAAGTAGATGGCTTCGACCACACCTTCTTCCGCACGAACCCGAAGGAGGCGGCGTACATGGATCCGCAGCAGCGCATCTTGCTCGAACTGGCGTACGAGGCGATGGACTCGAGCGGATATCTGCGATCCCATAAGCGTGAGGATGGGGACAACATTGGTTGTTTCATTGGCGCTTCTTTCAACGAATACCTCGACAACACTTCAGCGCATGCTCCCACGGCGTACACGTCGACTGGCACCATCAGGGCATTCCTCTGCGGCAAGATCAGCTACTACTTTGGATGGAGTGGTCCGGCCGAAGTCATTGACACGGCGTGCTCGGCGTCGCTTGTGGCCATCAATCGCGGCTGCCGGGCTATCATGAGTGGGGAGTGCACGCAGGCGCTGGCAGGGGGCGTCAACATCATGTCTGGCATCAACAACTACATGGACCTGGGCAAGGCCGGATTCCTCAGCCCGACGGGACAGTGCAAGCCGTTTGACCAGGATGCCGACGGGTACTGTCGCGCAGACGGGGCGGGGTTGGTGGTGTTAAAGTCGCTGCGGCACGCGCGAGCTGATGGCGACAATATCCTTGGCGTGATTCCTGGGGTGGCGACCAATCAAGGCGGGCTCTCGGCGTCTATCACGGTGCCCCACTCGCCAGCACAGATGACGCTGTACCGACGCATCCTCAAGCAGGCAGGGATGAAGGCGGAACAGGTGTCGTACGTTGAGTGTCACGGCACCGGCACGCAGGCCGGCGACCCGCTGGAGATGGCGTCGGTGCGCGAGGTGTTTTGCAGCAGCGACCGCCGGGGGACGCTGCATGTGGGCTCGCTCAAAGGCAACATCGGACACTGCGAGACGGCAGCTGGCGTGGCATCGCTGCTCAAGGTGCTGGCTATGCTGCAGAAGCAGCGCATCCCCCCGCTGGCCAGCTTCCGGACGCTGAACCGCAAGATCCCGGCACTGGCGTCAGACAAGATTGCCGTGGCCAAGCAGGTGGAGGCGTGGGACGCGCCGCTGCGGGCGGCGTGTGTGAACAGTTACGGCGCCGCGGGCAGCAACTCTGCGCTGCTGTGTGTGGAGATGAAGCAGCCCACCCGCAATCGGCCAACCAGCGCCGCCTGGCCGATTGTGGTGAGCGCAGCCAGCCGCGACAGCCTGGCGCACTACTGCCACGATCTGGACGCATACCTATGCAAGAACGGAAGCGTCGCGCTCGGCGACCTGAGCTTCACGCTCGCAGAGCGGCGGCAGCGCCACCGGGTGCAGCTCGTGACGACGGCGGCCGACGTGGATAGTCTTCGTGCCGCGCTGACTAACGGGCAGCGCGAGGCAAGTACGGTCGAGGTCGAGGCAGCCGCGAAGGCAGCCGCGACCGCGGCGGCCCGCTCCGTCGTGCTAGCGTTTGGCGGGCAGAGCAAGCAGACGGTGGCGCTGGACCGCGAGCTGTACGCGAGCAGCCCGCGTCTGCGCACGTATCTCGCGACGTGCGACGCGTTGCTCGTCGAGATGGGCTGTGCGAGCATTCTGCCCGCCGTCTTCGCCGTGGAGCCGATCGCCGACATCGTCGTGCTGCAGACGGCGACGTTTGCCGTGCAGTACGCGTGTGCACAGTGCTGGGAAGATGCCGGTGTACGCGTGGCGGCCGTGGTCGGCCACAGCTTTGGCGAGCTCACCGCGCTCGCCTTCTCGGGCGCCATCAGCCTGCGCAGCGGCCTGAAGCTTGTGGCCGCGCGGGCGCAGCTCATGGCGACGCGCTGGGGCCCCGAGCGTGGCACTATGCTCGCCGTTCACGCCGCCCGCGACGTCGTCGAGCAGCTTGCCGGCCGCGTCGGCGAGCTTGAGGTGGCCTGCTACAACGCTGAGACCAGCCAGGTCGTCGTGGGGTCGGCCGTTGCCATTGAGCGCGCCGAGGCGATGCTGGCCAGCGACAAGCAGTTCGCCGGCGTGCGCAGCCAGCGCGTCGACGTCTCGCACGGCTTCCACTCGCGCTTCACCGACCCGCTGCTGGGCGAGCTGGCTGACGTCGCCGCGTCGCTGGCTTTCAGCAAGCCCCGAGTCGCGCTGGAGATGTGTGTGCCCGACAAGGCCACCACGCAGCCCCTCGGCCCGTGGCGCGTCGCCGAGCACACGCGCGCGCCCGTCTACTTTGTTGATGCCGTCCGTCGCATTGAGCGCCGCCTGGGCACCAGCTGCCTGTGGCTGGAGGCCGGCACAGACGCGCCCATCATCGCCATGGCCAAGCGCGCCGTGGCCCAGCCTGCCAACCATGTCTTCGTCCCCGTGCGCCGTCTGGCCGATGCCACCACCGCTCTGTGGCGCGAAGGACTCGATGTCACCTTCTGGCCGTGTCTTGGCGGCCCGGCCGAGTCCGGCCTTCGTCACGTGTACCTCCCGCCCTACCACTTCGTCCGCGCCTCTGCCTGGGTGGCCAACATCGATCGTGCTCGCGAAGCCGAAGCCGCCGCCAGAGCTGCAGCCGACGCGCACGTCGAGCGAGATGTGAAATCCACGCTCCAGCCCGCGAAGCTCCCGTCGCTGCTCGTCACCCAGCAGCTGCCGGGCTCCCCGACCTTCACCGTCAACGTTGCCTCTAGCCGCTTTCGCGACATTGTCAGCGGTCATGCAGTGCGTGGTCGTCCCCTGTGTCCGGCCTCCATGTACATGGAATGTGCCGTCATGGCTCTGCAGTGCCATCTTGGCCCTCGTTTCGACAAAGCCTGTGCTCTGTCCTTCGACAACCTCACCTTTGAGCATCCTCTGGGCATTGACTCAAGCTGCCATGTGTCCATCGTGTTGAGTGAGACTGCTGAGTCCGGACGGTGGGCGTTCCAGCTGCGTAGCTCAGCCTCATCCGCCAACTCCCGTGTCTCTACACATGGTCGTGGCAACGTCCGACTCGGCAACCCTGTCCAGCTGCACACTTTCAAACACCTCATCGCCGAGTGCGTCGAACAAGTCACTAGCAAGCATGGAACCGAGACTCTGCTGTCCAAACGCGCATATGGCTTGTTTTCACAGGTCGTCACCTACGCGCCCCTCATGCGTGGCATCCAATCCATCACCATGGACGGCACTCGGGCCGTTGCCAGTATCAAAGTTCCGTCCCCCCATGTTGCCCTCGACGAGAGCTCTGCTATTGCTCTCTGTGATACAGTCTCGATAGACACCTTTATTCAGGTTGTGGGCCTCCTCATCAATAGTAGTGACGCCTGCATCCCTGGTCATGTGTTCGTCGCCACCGGCGTAGAGAGTGCCACGCTGTCTCAAGCCTGTGATTTCACGGCCGCCGACACCTGGACTGTGTATGCCGTCTTTAGGTCTACTAGCGACACAACGGCCACGGGCGACGTCTTTGTCATGACTCCAGGAGGTGCCATGGCGCTGACTGTCATGGATGTCAAATTCACTCGACTGTCTATCGCAACGCTAGAGAAGCTCCTCGACACAGCAAACTCTGGCCCTACTGCCAAAAAAGAAACTTCTTCCAACCGTAGTGCACCGACCGTCCCCAGCCGTCATGCCTTGCCCGACCTTGAAGCATACAGCTCCGCTGACAGCGAACAAGAGATTGACACTCCCCCTAACGAGCACGATGACAGCAGTCTGCGCAAGATGATCTCCATGTACACAGGCGTGTCACTAGACTCCATCGCCACACAGGCCAGCATGGCGGATTTAGGCGTCGACTCACTTGCCGCTGTCGAGTTCGCTGAGGATATACGCTCGCAATTCGGAAAGGACATCGAGTCCATGGACCTCCTTCAAAGCGATCTTGCTGCCCTGTCCCAACTTTGCCTGGCTGCGACGCCCAAACCACTGCTAAAAAAGAAGTTGGTCAAAGCCACTGTCGTCCAGACGGATCGTGCTGTTCCCGCGCCTGAACCCATCATCGACCGTGGTCGAGATCGCCTCGTACAGATTGTTTCCGACGCTTGTGGCGCCCCTGCTTTGGATATCAAAGACTCGCATACCCTACGCGACCTGGGAGTTGATTCTCTGGCGTCGGTGGAGCTGAGCAGTGACCTGGAGAATGCTTTCTCTATTCACATCGATGACAATGATTTGCATCTTGACTCTACCATCGCCGATATCATTGATCATCTCGGGATCAAGAGCTCTACGCCAAGTCCCAGCCCAGCACAGACAATAGAGCCTTACTCTCGAGTTAAGCCAGCCGCGGCAGCCTCGGCAGTAGCGGCAGTCGCCCCTCAAGGCGAGTCCAACACAACCCGTCAGCGCGTGCTCAAGATTATATCCGATGCATGTGGCGCCCCTGTTGAGGCCATGGGTGATGACCAATTGCTCCGCGACCTCGGCGTTGACTCGCTGGCAGCAATGGAGCTTAAAAGCGACCTCGAAGATGCATTTGACGTCGAGCTGGATGAAAGTCTACTTGAATTGTCCATCTCCGAGGTTGTCGAAGCTTGCGGCGGTACTCTTGTAGAGCATGTCAGTGTACCCACAATGACTAGCATGGCGCCCGACAACTTGTCTCCGCCACCCAGAACCACCGGCGGCAAGTCCTCGCCATTACCTGCTGACATGGCAAGCCTATTTGAATCACTCGTCATCAACGAGGGCGATTGCACTGCCAAGGCGAGAATATGTGGGTTTCAAGATTTCGGGGCTACGGTAGCTCCTCGACAAGATGAGCTAATGCTAGCCTATATCATCGAGGCCTTTTCAGAGCTCGGCGTTGATTTGGTTGCCTTGGAAGCGGGAGCCTTATTACCACCACTGGTCTATCGACGCAAGCACGCTTACGGTCGACTCATGCAGAGAATATGGGTAATCCTAGGCAAACATGACATCGTGAAGACGATTAGCACGTCGCATCGCGTGAGAGGATCTGCCAAGTGTCCGCAGAGCACTTCGGCCACGCTTCTTTCAAAGATGCGACACGACTTCCCAGCATACCAATGCGAATTCTCCTTGCTGAGCATGACTGGATCACAGCTTGGGCAGTGTCTCGCTGGAAAGCAGGATCCAATTGCCCTCATGTTCAAGACGCAGGAAGCGCAAGCCATCATGGAAGACTTTTATCTCACTTCACCCATGCTTGCCACAGCCACAGAGATGCTTGTAGACACCGTTGTGGATGCCGTCTCCAGGTCCAACGTGAACAATCCCATCAACATCTTGGAGATTGGCGCGGGCTGTAAGTACAATTTGACTTGACTGCTATCGTGGCATTACGCTAACATTCTCAGTTGGCGGAACAACAAGGAAGCTTGTGAAGCGCCTGGATATCTTGAGCCGGTCTATCAACTACACCTTCACCGACATCTCACCAACACTTGTTAGTCGTGCGCTTAAGAGTTTTGCGGGCCAATATCCATGGTTGCAATTCCAAACGTGGAACATGGAACTTGCGCCTCCCAGCGCTCTCTCTGCAACAGGGCTTTTCGACATCATCATCGGTACCAACTGTGTTCACGCTACTAAAGATCGAACCGCCACGCTCGGACGGCTGAAGAATTTGCTCCACCCTACAGGCTATGTCATTCTTTCTGAAGTGACCGAGATCGTGGACTGGTACGACATAACCTATGGTCTGCTGGACAGCTGGTGGGCCGACAAAGATGGCCATTACCCCCTCCAGTCGGTTGAATCTTGGATGGCATGTTTCAAGAATGCTGGATTCCCCGTTGCGTCGTATTCGCAGGGTTCTAGTGCTGATCTCAACACACAGAGGTTGCTCATTGCCAGCATGCGAAAAGATGTTGAAGCGCCAAAACGCGCACCACCACGACCGGCGTTGGAGACCTTTGTTTACCACACTGTTGACGGCGTGGACATTCATGCCGACGTTTCTTTTCCAAAGTCACCCCCCGTCAACGCCATGCCTATTGGTGCGTCTCTCTAGTAGCTACACTAGACGGTCGAGGACTACCGCTGACGACTCCAAACAGCTCTCATGATCCACGGTGGCGGCCATATGACGCTTTCTCGCAAAGCGGTACGCCCATATCAGACCAGCTTTCTCCTCGATAATGGCATTCTCCCCGTGAGCATAGACTATCGACTCTGCCCTGAGGTCAACTTGATCGATGGTCCTATTGCCGACACTCTGGATGCCTACAAGTGGATCACAAACGTATTACCTGAGCTGTCACGAGAAAGAGGTATTGTAGTTGACGCTGAGCGGGTTGTTGTCATCGGTTGGTCGTCTGGAGGTCAGCTTGCGATGACGACGGCGTGGACCACCAAGTCTGCGGGCATGAAGCCTCCCCTTGCAATTCTCAGCTTCTATGGACCCACAGACTTTGAATCAGGGGACTTGGATAAGCGTCGAGCGGAGGAGTACCCAGAGAGAACGATGAAGATGAAGGAGATTATCAAGGCACTACCGAAGAGACCAGTAAGGATAGCCCGCAGCAATGTACGCAAACGGTATCTAATCATCCTACAGATCACGCAATACGATGGAAACGGGACTGACACTACTGGTCTGGGCTGGGTTCGACCTGGAGACCCACGCTCCGAACTTGTCCTATCGTTGTTCAAAGAAGGTGGCGGCCTCTCCCTTCTCTTGAACGGCCTACCTAGACTCGACGACGAGGAGGAGTCATCCGACGAAGAGATCTCAGATGACTCTGATGACAACTCCTCAGACGACATCTCCGACGCCGACAGGTATTTCCGCGCTCCTGACGCCGAACGCATCGCATTCATCAGCCCGCTCGCCCAGCTGCGTCGGGGTAACTACATGGTCCCCACTTTCGTCATCCACGGAACCAGGGACGAGATCGTGCCCTACCACACCGCTGTCGATTTCGTTGACGCCCTGCGAGCAGCCCGTGTCGAGGCACACTTGCTCTCCGTTCAAGGTGCCAGGCACATCCACGACGTGTCGCTCAATGTGGGCTCGAAACTGTGGGACGAGACGGTGGCGCCGGGATATGAGTTCCTCTTGCGCCACCTGAGATGCTGAATTGCGAGTTGCGAGATGGCAACGCATACTAAGCGATGTAATCTATGTAGAATATGTAATGTGTAATATGTAATCTGAATATTTGGACATTGAGACATGCGTGTGCTATTTTCTTCTATTTTCGTATGCACCTACACGTGTACTCACCCCCTTCAACTCAATCAGGCGCCGTGCCCAACACTCCCAAGGCATCACCTACACACCACGTTCCCAATCACGCATCAGCCTTATCTCGCGGCGACACAGCCTCACATGCACACGATGCGTCCTGTCTAGCGCCACACCAGACCGCGGGTGCAGACGGTGGTCGGAGACGGCTGATCGGGACGTCGGTGACTTGATTACGGGCATGATGTGTCCGGTCCGGTGACATTCAATGACTGAGAAAGCTGTGTTCGCGACACGTGCTGTCTGGGTGGGTGGTCGGTCGGTCCTTCGGGCACTCGGTCACTTCCAAGCTTGATTCGGTTGGCTGGATGGGTAGTCGGCCACATGTACTTTTCCGAGCGACGTGACGCACAATGTAATGCCGTGCCGTTCGAGGAAGCCATAGTCCCTTAGGGCATCTGTGTTTGTGGTGTTTGTGTCTATGATCCTTGGTCCAAAGTGCTACGTTGGGGGAATGCGGGGAGTAGACTGGATGTCTGATAGACTTTAAGATATGCATATGCAAAATTTGTTTCTAGCAGTGCTAAATTGGCATGTATTGCTTCAGTTGGGGCTTCAGATACTGGTTTAGTGGCTAACGCAGTCCATGCGTTATAATTCGGAGAGGAATGGTAGCGTGTGGGTAGCACAGACATCAATTGCACGATAAGAAATTCCAAGAACACGATTTCTTGACATTGCAACAAAGGAGACTACGCCGTATGCTCTACAACTTCATGGCCACCGCAAGGATGCTGGGCCGACTAGTCCACCCACATAGATCATCCATCGGTTACGATGCACTCACATCTCTCGCAACTTCATGCGGAGATTCAGGTCTGGTTTTTCACGCATAATGAAAATCCTCTGCTTCTCAAGGGCAAACTTGTCGTCAGCCAGCTGCCAGTCAAATTGCCAGACGAGTCGCGCCAGAATCAGCTTCATCTCTGCCATGGCGAGGTTTTTCCCAACACAATTACGCGGCCCTGTGCTAAAGGGCTGGAACACTTCCCTTTTGTCGTTCGAATACTCGGACGGTGCGAGATCAAGCCAGCGCTCAGGCGCGAAGCGCTCAGGGTGTGCGAAGTTGTTTGGGAGATGGTACGCGGGTTGTTGGGAGACGTTGACGATGGTCTGTTGCAGTTGGCTAGTCAGTTGGGGTAGGTATGATACTGGGAGAGGAAAAATCTTACGCCTTCGGCCACGGCGCGCCCCGCGATGACTGCGCCTCCCCTGGGAACGACGCGCTGTAGACCTGCAGGAACGGGTGGGTAGATGCGCATCCCTTCGTTGATTGTAGCCTGCAGCACTTTGAGACCGCCTACACGGATCATGTTTATCTCCTCCTGCTTGGAAAATGCCCCTAAGATCTCTTCACGCAGTGCCTGCATCGCCACCGGGTTCTTTGCCAGCAAGTACATGATTCCACACAGCGCTGTCGCAACAGTCTCGCTTCCACCTGTGAGAAAGAGGCTGGCATTCGATTCCATCTCCTCAATACTCATACCCTTTTCGTCGTTATTTCGTAGGATGTACGTCCAGAAGTCAGAGCGATGCGGCTGCTCCCCAGCAGCGAGGCGTTTATGGACTTTCTCGGCGCTCAGCTTGATGTGCTGCATGCGGCTCTTGATGTCCTTCTTGGGCAGAAGGGCAATGATGAGTGGAGTGAACGGCTTGAACAGCCTTGCCGCTCCAAACAGCGAAATTGCCTTGATAAAAGGGAACAACAATTCAACCCACGGGTGATATCTGCCGTTTGAGAGACAACCGAATGATTCGCCGAACGCCAGATCACCAACGACATCGAATGCAGTGTATTCCAACCAGTTTTTCACATTGATCTCTGCAGTACCGTGCGCTGCAAGCGCGTTTGTAAACTGATCGATGTAGCGCATCAAAAGGCCCTCCTGAGCCCGCAGTGCTTTTTCGCTGAACGCGTGATTCACCGTTCTACGTTGCCGCGAGTGATCTGCATTATTGGCTGATAAAAGGTGGTCGACCGTCTTGTGACTACGCGTCATACCCCATTTTGGAAAGTTGCGATTGGGTCCATGGCCATAGATGTCTGTCCACGCTTCAGGTGCGGTGAATGACACCATATCTGGAGAGATGCGCACCGCCTCGCCATATCTGGCATGTAGCGAAGTGAGATCGTACGGTAGGCGCCCGCTAAGTATGGACTGCGCATGGGGAATGTGCGATATCGCGCGGCTGACGGGTCCCGGGATTGTCCTCAAAGGGTGGAATGCTAGGCGATAGATGGAACGGAGTATCCAGATCACAACAAACTAGACGGGGTCAATTGAATTCATAGCAACATGCGTTTATCACTTACAATAGAGGCGATGAGTGACCATCTGGGGAGATGTAATATCTCAGCGGTATCTAGAATGGCCATAGTGGTTACGCAAAGGATCGGTCGAGCACTGTGGTAACTCTGAAATCCAAAAAGTGTGTTTGTGTAAAGGCGGTTGAGCTCTCATGTTCCCGGCGATCGTCAATTTCGGGATCGGTCAATTCTTTGAGAACTAAAACTCGGCTACATAGGTATTCACACAGTCCATCCTGATCTTCATACTGTCGCATGTAGGAGATTTCTCGTAGAGATTACGGATTGGTTGCTCGCAAAGTCATCGAGGACAGGCAACGTCACTACCCATTAATTACGCGCTCCTGCTACCACTGCGAAGCATCCTAGCGACGAACTCCGAGGTTAGACCTCAATGTCGAAATTATTGACCGATGTGAGAGTACCTCCACAGGATATCAAAGTTCGTCGAAGCACTTGGTCTGCTAACATCCTCGCTAGACGATTCCTGGGCAGATGTCCTCCAAGCGCGCAGAGAGCTCTTCCAAGAATTTGCGGTTCGCCTGTTCCATCTCTGGCGTCTTCGTGTTACCTGTCAAACTGCGGTGAGTACTTTAGTCAGCCATCTCCCAATTTGTTGTAAATGATTGTGACATACTCTTTGCAAACTTTACAGTCCATAAGAAACGCACCGTGACATTCAGCACCAAGATCTGGCTTTATACCAAAGACCAGACTGCGGCTACCAACCTCGGTGGAGCGTGCGACTAGCCCTATGATAAAGCGTCTTAGGACACCGGCAATCCAACTCTCATCGTCACGCACAATGTTGCTTTGACATAACCCAGGCGTCAAGCAAGTGATGAGTACGTTAGATTGGTTGGAGAAAGGATGTCGCTGCGCCATGTCGCGCACTGCCCACATGAGTAGTAGTTTGGAGACGCCGTACCTGTGATCGGTTGTCAGAAAATTCACGGCTTGTTGTTTCACACATAAACCAAACGCACCGGTTACTCATGTCGGCCATCTCCTCTGAGTTGAGAGCCGCGAGGAGACTCGTCGAAGTAGATTTCTCTTTCAGTGGTGCGATGAATTGTAGATCGCTACCCACAAAAGCCAATCTTCCTGGACTCCCCGTCTTGACTGCTGACTGTTGGAGTTTAGGAATGACAAGGTACCCCAGAAGGGCTGGACTCATAACATTCACAATCATTTGACTCTCGCATCCTTCGACCAAGGTAAACTTCGAGGTCATGATCCCCGCGTTCTGTATCACGGCATCCAAGCGGTCTAGTGCGCTAATACGCTCACCAAACTGTTTTACGGAAGTAAAATTGCCCAGATCTAGTTCCCAAACTTCGACACTGCTCAAAGGGAGTGACAGCGCCGAAGAGATCTCTTCTGCGGCCTTTCTGCCTTTTGGAACATTGCGGACTGCGAGGATAAGCCTGGACACCCCTAGGCGAAGTAGGTGCTTTGCAGCTTCGTATCCGAGACCAGATGTGGCACCAGTTACAACTACTGTTTGACCAGAGAAGTCGGAGGAGGGAAGTGGTGGCTGTACGAAGAACTGAGAGTGAAGAATTGTGGTTGCAAAGCCCATGATAGCGCTACCGAGTTTTTGAGTGATGAAAACCGATGGGACGATAATTCGAGAGGGTTTAAGCTGTTTGAGGTGGCGACAGGTACTTCCAATCTCACCGAACGGTTAAGTCCCCGAAGCCGACCGAGCCGCAATGCTTGTTCATTGTTTCCCTACATGGATGCAGCATACCGTCTGTATATCATGCGTCACGGATTCAACGATTTTGCCCACACGAATCATAATCATACTTTCTTACACTAGTGATCCCACAACATCGAAACGGCATGGCCGCTGTTCTACCCCAAACTACTGTTACGCCTGTAGGGGGTACTTCAACATACTTCGACACTGATGCGATTGTTGGTGGTTCAGCGCCCAAAATCGCAAATAGTGTTGATTTCTTCAACACCACCGTCGCAGCCAATCACGTACGGCATATATGATCTTTGTGTAGGCAACACTGACACAAGCTATAGAAAGAAGGTGCAGAAGAGCTCGCGCTTTTGAAATGTATATACGCTCGCTCGGACCTTGAAACGATACGTGGAAACCCAAATGCTGTTTGCAACGCCATCGACGACTTTGCTGCCACGATCCCACGAGGGCTAATGACCATTGGGGCAGAGAAGCGCGCGTTCATAACTGATCTGTTGGTTAATACTGAGACTGCGCCAACCCTGTTCCTCGAGTTCGGTTCCTATGTCGGCTACTCCGCCATTTGCCTTGCCAGTGCCATGGTGGCGCGAGCCTCCCCCGGACAGTCTGTCCGCTACGTATCTTTTGAGAAGAACCCCATCATCGCGGCCGTGGCATCTAGCCTTGTGGATCTAGCAGGTCTACGCGATGTAATCACTATTCACATTGGTTCAGCTGCAGGGTCCTTGATGCGTCTTGCCCAGGGGGGTACAGTGACGAAAGGCACCGTTGATTTCATGTTGTTGGACCACTGGAAAGACTTTTACATTTCCGATCTGCAATTATGCGAGAAATTGTCTCTAATCCGTCCTGGCTCAGTCGTTTTGGCTGATAACATCATCTTTCCTGGTGCCCCGGAGTATCTCGCCTATGTACAGGCCGGCAATGCGAAAGAATCCCCGGATGACTTGAGATATACAACCAAGACAGCTGATTTTGTTCTCCCGTTTGGCGGCCCGGTGAGTAACTGTTCTACTCTTCTCACCTATATGCTAACCATCTTAGGACCAACTGGCCATTTCCACGGTGTTCTGACCTGCCTATTGACAACAGAGAGAATCAAAAGGCGCAAACGGGACTCTAAATCTTTGAGCGGCATGTCACAAGCCCTATCTTATAAAATAAGTTGACAATAGCAAACTGTTTGACTCTGAAACAAACCACATAGCGCATGCATGAATGATGGATCGTCGATAGGTATCAACATTGGCCTTACGCAAATTCTAATTCGATTCAGCCCACTTGCACTCAACTTGAGTGAAGATTCCGCGAGGTAAACATGACATCCGTATAATCGCTATCTATGGAAACGCGGAAATAGCTTCATTGCTGCTCCAGACTCGATTGAGTGTCGCTCGTATGCTTGCATAGGCGCGGCGTTGATGTTTGAAATCTGGGGGACGACCGTTCCTTCCCGAGCAAATGGAAAGTCACTTCCGTACAAAATGTGATCTGCATCCGCAAAGTCACGCAGAAGCTCGACGGGACCCTCGAATCCAGTCAAGGCAAGATCAAAATAGAATGACTTGGCTTCCTTTATGAACTCGTTGGCCGATTTGTCCTTCAAGCCAAGGTCGGCTGTTTGGTGTGCAATTCTCGTCGCCACGTATGGTAAAGTGCCGCCACCATGAGAAAGAATGATCTTGCAATTTGCAAAGTCGCGGATGGTGTTCGAAGTAATGAGATTGACTGCAGTCCGTGTTGTCTCGTGGGGAAAATCGATTACAGGTCGAGGAATGGTGAGGTCGGACGGAGCTCCCCAGGTTTTCGCAAAAGTTGGATGTATGAAGACTACTGCGGCACGACGATGCAACTCTTGCCAAAGGGGCTGGAAGTCTTCATGGCCCAGGTATTTGTCATCATAGCTCGACAAAAGAGTGATCCCGTCTGCCTTCAGCACGTCGAAAGAGTAGCGGACTTCCTCCAGGCAAGCGTCGAGCTGTTGAAGGGGTGGAAGGGATGCAAAGAATCCGTATCGAAGTGGATGGTGGGCCACTAACTCCGCTGCATACTCATTAACCGACCGGCACAGTTTTGAAGCTTCGTCAGCCGAATTGACGAATGCGAGGCCTGGAGCACTAAGAGATAGGACTGATGTATCAATATCGTTACGGTCCATGAACTTTAGGTCCAAATCAATGCTCCATGGTGGGAGCGTGAGGCCTTTCGGAATTCCAGACGCGTCTTTCCACTCTAACAATATGTCAGCTTTCAAACGATACAACGTCGAGGATATCGCTCACTTTGCACATATTCTGTCGGTAGCATGTGATGATGGACATCAATTCTACCCATGGTGAAGTTTTTTGCGATGGTGTGTGTCTCTCTCGATGTTTAGAAGCCTTTTCGGTCATGATAGATTGCCAATCGGTGTTTTGTATGCAATTCGGCTGAGTCGTGTCCCCGCCGAACCGGGCTCTCCCAGAATCTGCCCGATCGACAAATAGCAACCGAATCAAGCTAACGGCAAGACGAACAGACTACTGTACTAGAATAGGCTATGTGTTATATATAGTATGTTCCACCTTGAAAGGATCACCAGCTATTCGCCGTTTGTAAACATGATTACCCGTTTGATTTTTGGTTTGCTGTGCATCGTCAGGCTGAGTTCGGCGGTGACTCAAGCGGATATTCAAAGTTACCTGAAAAATCATCTTTCTTCTGGTTCAGAAGTCCTCCTCCCTAGCGACCCATCGTATAGCACTGAGCTTAGAGAGAGATGGAATGCGTTCAGGGCGCCCACCTACGTTGTGGGTGTTAAACCCACTACCGCGGAAGATATTTCGATTATCGTAAGTCTTGTGCACAGCCATCTCTTGTCACCTCTTTTCCTTTAGAGAGTTCTAATTCCCGCTCATAGATCCGTTATGCCTCTACGAACAGCATCCCGTTCATGGGTACAGGGGGTGGTCATGGCTACACTGTGACCACCAGTGCTCTACAGAATGGAATCAACATAGACCTCAGTGCCTTTGATCGCGTCTCTATAGATGCTACAACAAGCACATTGACTATAGGCGGAGGAGTCACCTTTGGAGATGTCTTGGACCCTGTTCATGCGGCTGGAAAAGAGATCCGTAAGTTATTCGAATAGCACGCTACAATTCGACGCTAAGTCGAACTTCTACTAGAGACCGGATCTTGTTCATGTGTTGGCATGGTTGGTGCGACCCTAGGTGGCGGTATTGGCGTCTATCAAGGCCTTCACGGCTTGATAATAGACGCGCTGGAGTCAGTCACCGTCGTCACCGGAAAGGGTGACATTGTCAATGCATCGCAATCTGAGAATAGCGATTTATTCTGGGGCATCCGGGGCGCTGGACAGAACTTTGGCATCGTAAGCTCTGCCACCTACAAGCTACACGATCAAACCAATGGTGGATTTGCCTTGAACGGTGACTTTCTTTTCCCGCTCAGCGAGAATGCGACCATCTTCAATATTCTGGCATCGTTTGCTGGGAACCAGCCGGACGCTTTATCTCTTACCAGCGCCATACAATATTCGGACACTTTCAAAACGGTTTGTCAAAACATCTCAATGCTAGTAAGCGCTACTGATATTATTCACAGGTTGTCATAATGGTTAACGCTGTATTCGTCGGCGTAGAGAAAGACGGAAGAAAGATCCTCGAGCCATTGCTCTCAACTACACCACTAGAGTCCAATGTGACCATGATTCCATACAACCGCCTTATACGAGAGAACCGTTTCGGAGCGGACCCCCTCGGCTGCATTGCAGGCCTTCCTCAAGCGTCTTACGGCCTCAACTTGTATCATTTTGATGTTGCGACCTATCAGAAGACTCTTGCTGCGTACGTAAAATTCTACGCCGCAACTGGGCTGACAACATCGTTCATGGTGACAGAGTTGTTCCCAACCAGGGTGAGCTTGGAGACACCCAACATTATGACAGCTTATCCTTACCGTGACACGACAGCATACTTGCAAGTACCACCTGCAATGTTCTCAAGTCTGCAAGCTGATCCATCTACAGGTTCTTCAGCTTTAGTGGCTTCACGACTGATGCTCAAACTTCTTATATCACAAGTTTTGCTGAAGAGAGGCGTGCAGAGTTTACGAAGCTTAACAGCGGGAAGGGTTTGCAAGTCTACGTTAATTACGCGCATGGTAATGAAGGCCGCATTGCCTGGTATACTGCAGAGAAGCTCCCAAAGCTGGAATATCTCAAGAAACAGTGGGATCCGCAAAATCTATTCAACTTCACAAACGGTATTACTTATTAAAATAGTAGAATCTTTCAGACACAAGAAGCTGGTATTTGATTTTTCAACGCAAATAGTCCATGTGCGAATTACAATACATGGCTTGGTATTGAAAGTCTAGAGATCATACTTCATAACAATCGCTCCACGATTCCAACAAGGCAACAGACTTGGTGCTAGCAATAAAGAGGAGGCACTTATAGTCAATCCAGTCATACCATCTGGACAATTCATCTGTTCGAGACTTAACATCGTAGGTGCCTGCGACCGCTAGGCATCTGACAGAGTCTAGCCTAGAAAACCACGCGGGCGAGCCGAATGCCGACAGAAATGGCAATTTGGGTGCGAGATGCGACCGCCATCACGTCTCCGCTGTCCGCAGGCTTCAGCATTTGCTAACACTGCTTTTACTACCTCTCAAATCCCAAGTAACCTTTCCGAAGATTACTTGCACGCATCTTCTGCAATACTTCAAATGATAGCCTTCTCAATGTATCTTTCATGATTAGACTGTTTGCAGCGAGATGCATGCCCTTACACATTCTTCGTCTTGTATCGTTGTTGACTAGTATGTCTAGTTGCAGGGATTGAGCCAAAAGATTAGCAGCCGCCCTTCGCACAGAGGCTAGCCTGTCATGAGAAAGCTCCGAAAGTCGTAGCTGCCCTTCCCCAGATATTTCTTTCTCGATAGAGGCTTTGGCAGTCTCTCCTTTAGCTACTGAGCGGACTCCAAGATAGAAAATTGCTCCAGTGGTGTATATAGCACGCGCAGTCTCGAGTCCGATCCCGGAAGAAGCGCTGGTAATCAGAATGACTCTATCTAGTCAAGTGCCAGCCAGACCTTCATCCTCTACAATCTGATTTGCAGTCGGTCTGGCATCGCCCGGGCCATTGGGCATCGCATGGAGATGAGTATATGGCGCGAGGCGTGTGGTAGATGTCGACATGGTAGCAAGAGTGATATTTTGACTGAAGTGACCGCTGCTTGTGTATGGGATCAACATTGATGCCAATTATGAAGGGAAGATATCAAATGAAAATGCGTGGACTTTATCATCAATTGCAAGTTGTGTCTGTGATGGTGCGCAAGCAGTCCGTCGGACTCAAGACTTGCTTGGTACCCAGGTATGAGTGCTGAAAAAGCCGTCTTCTTAGACTTTTCACGGTTTCCCGGGAGCTGACAATCCCAAAATTTTGTTGCATCTCGCCCTGCTTGACCGACAAGGAAACAACAGTTGGTACAGCACATGATACAGACTGGTCGTTGGGTAGGGGTTCAGGTCTGCTCCTGCCTTGAATTGGTATCCAATCACAAAGTAAGGGTGCTGCGGCCCTACTGCGTAGCTAAGCAGAACCAGACTTGCATCACTTGGGAACCATAGTTGAGAACGAAATTAATCTCACGAGTACCACACCTCGGTTGCCAGACAGGATAAAACAATCCCCTTCCCCTGTCTTATCTTCCTCTTACCATTCACCAACCCAAATACATATACATTCTACTCCAGAAATCTCTCCGCTTGGCAGCCATGTATTTCGACTTCCTAACAGTGATTTTCCTGTGCCTTCCAGGTTTTCTTGTTGGTATCCTTACAATGACATCAACATTTGGCTGCTGCACAACCTGGTCTCTTGACTGGAGAGAATCTGACCAGACATGGCGAAAACTAAGATCCGCACAAGACCCGTCAGTTCCCGCAACTCCAATTTTTATCCTCAAGGATGTCCTGGAAACACCCAACGTTTTCGTCTACCTGGTTTTCCTGCTCCTCGCTATCCTGGGCATCCTACACGTACGACACGACGCGAAACAGCTAAAGATTCTGCTTTTTTGCACTATCTTTGCTACTCTAGGAATCATGCGGTTCTTGTCATCAGCTTCGGGCTCGATATTTGCATACTCAGAAACTCAAATAATGCCGTATGACAGCGCGAGCCCTCTCAAAGCAGGGTATCTCTACTGGATCATCAACTTTTCCTTCTGGAGCAGGCATTACTCCAGCCAGTACTCCGACGCTATTGGATTCAACCCAGCACAGATTTCGTGGCAAGATGCAGTTATTCGATTGGGATACTATCATGTCCTTGACAACGCTATTCATACAACATGGCTTCGCTTCTTCTGGCCCGTCAATAATGGTAAACCATTCACGCAATATGTGAATAACTCAGAAATCTTGACAGGGGTTCTGCTGGTCCTTATGGTGGCATGGTCGAGGTTGAAGATGCGCGAGAGGGTAAACAATATATTACCTTACTATGCACGAGGGGACTATATGTCTGTTGAGATAGCTAAGGTCGGTAGCAACCAAGTCCAATGATCTCTACTCATAGATTATTCGGATTTCCATTGAAATGGGGTCTTAATCAGCACTGATATATTTCACCTGTTTTGCTCTGAGCCTTACTGCATCATGTGCTGCTCCCAGGTTAGCCGAAACGAATCAACGGAAATCTCCCCTTGTCTTGAAGAATACAAGCTATAAGGTCGTCACTGGTATCAGGCAGCCAGTTTAATGATAATCCAATAGCCACTAGGTCCAAGATGCGCAAGTGCAGGCAAAGACAGCACGGACTCGTTGGTAGATGATATCAGATGTGCCAGGCTCGGGTGCACGTGGACGACAGTGCCGGCGAGCAGATGCATGCACGTGTTCGTATCCCTATCCCTACGCATTGCTAAGTGGAGGGTTGAAGACCCAAAAGAATAAGCTTACGCTATGCCATGCTGCTCAATGATTGTTGCCCCCCTTGACGGGCCGGTGTCAACTCTCTCAAAGATCCAAAGTTCTTGTTCCAGCGTATATCCTTCAGAGCTCTGCAGGCGCAATCGCCTAGGGACGAATGGTGGTAACATGAGAGCACTAAGTAGCGGTTGGACAGCTCTGTGGTCTTGCTTCGATCAGGGCATTGTGTAAGGCAACCTGACGGGACAGGAGACTAGGAGCAATGGCATTGCCGAACATCTCGGTGCGTCGAGTTGAAGCAGTCGAATGCTCTCTGCCTTTGAGGAGTGATTGAGACTTCACGATCACGCAGCCCTGGGCAGTTAGTTGTAGTGTCGGTATCTAAATCATCTAAGGCATAACGCCTGGTTCCGTTCTTAACAGCCCCCATGAAGGTTTTGCTGCACGAAGTCTACGGGACAAGTCATTTCGCGTTCCTTGTAGCGGTTGCCGCCGCTTTTGTCGCTACGAGGAGCACCTGTGGTATCCAAGGGGGAGACATCGTTGAAAACCGCACGCCTGGCTCCGACAGAGCCAATCCGTGATTCCATACCTCGGCCTATTCGATCATGCACTTTTACAGCGAATGATGATGCTACGGAAACAATGTCGAGTTCACCTGATTGGAACTCGCTAGCATTCAAATAAAGTGTGGAGTCCCGATGGTAGCATCTTTGGCCTGAAACCAGGTCGTGCCTGCTGCGTTAGATATCCTCAAGGCGAATAGTATCGACATACTCAACGTTGTCTTCATCTTTGAGGGTGTGGATTCCACTGCGCTGTTTACTGGCCCGATGCTCCTTGCCGACAGCGCGAATGGTATCGGACACCTTCCCTACTAAAGCTTTGGTAAGATCAAAGGTGATAGTTTGTTGGCTCTGGGCACTTCTGATGCTGCCGAAAGATAGCCTGGAAGCGATCTCGCTGTGAATTTTGTCGCGCGCCTCATTTATGCTTGTGATCCTAATCCGTCGCCATTGGAGCTGTATGCACGGCTTGATGTAAATTTGGAGGCACTATATATTATCGATCGAGCTGAGGTCGTGCTAGGACGTCCTTGGATGATTCCTCAACTTCTGTCTGAGCTTGCTCGTCCTCGAGTTGCCTTGTTGGCACCCTTTAGATTTCTTGGCCATAATGGCAAAATGAGCGGACGATGCGTGCCGCCATGGTCTACTGTACTCCACGAGTTGAACTCTCGTCTCACCGTCTTCGTCCTTGCGGGTCTCCTGCTCCTAACTTTCGTCGATGAGCGATTATATTGTGACGTCTAGCTCGGGCTCCTGAGTGTGATCTTGGGGCTCGATGGCGCTTTGTGCGGCTTTGGCATGCTTGGCATACTTGGCAGTGTGGTGAAAGGGTGGTGATTGGGTCTAGGTCGATTCTCCGAAAAGTCTGGCTCGGCCATCGAGGCCGAGTCAAGGAAGGCGCGAGGGTTTCTCACGTGGAGAGCTCGGCATAACTCAGGCTCCTCTATGAATTCAACCTAGATTACAAGATAGTATAGGACTGTGTTAACTTAAAACCCTATGCTTACGGTAGGGAGCTTCCAAGTGCCAAAAGTTCTTATTACGGATTTCATCCTATGGACTTTAGCAGGCCTCGCATATGATAGTCTATCCTAAACTACTTACTTCCACCTTTTGCCCCTAAGAAACACAAAATGTATCAATACACTTTATTGCGACTCCTCTTAAGAACTTCATTACTATATTCATCTCTAAGAAACTTACGAGCTTTGCTTAGAGTGCGTCCCCAAAACTTGCATGATCGCTCTCGCTCTCACAATGTGTAATATTCGGAAAGGCACTATCTTTCCTTACGGTTGTACTCTTGATTGCGTTTCCTTTCTCTAAATCGATGTCTGCGGGTGTCACCTGTTCGGTAGCGTGGTAGGGCATGTTGGTGACCATCTGATAGTCTGGGTCCTCAAATACAGACTCGTGATCGCCAAGCTCTCGTTGAACATAGTTTTCCAGCGTGGATGCGCCAGCTGAAGTGGAGTTGAGCGCTTGATTGCCGCGATGTGCTCTGCTGAGTCGCATACGGGCTCGTCGTGCGGAATTGAACATGTACCTGCTGTGTCTCTGTTGAACTTCCGGTCCGGGTTTATTGATGCTCCAGAAAGATCTGCGGAACACTGATGCGTGTGAGTAATGTCAAAGGATGGATGACGATTTCTGGGAGAATCTTACTGGGTCGCAGGCTTGCAGAATTCACCGCAATGATAGCAACACAGAACTCTCGGACGCCCCAACGAGCGATATTGAGAACGAAGATGTTAGGCACGACCGTGAGTGATACTCGAATAATACTTTGATACTGCGTTACTGATTGCTCGTGTGTTGAGTTTGTTGCTTACCATGCTGCGGTCACAAAGAGACCAGATGCAAGAAGAATAAACACGGCAATCCGACTGTAGGGGTTAGTCGGCACTCTATCGAGTAAAGTTTGTTGGAGCATACATACGTTCTCAAAGGCTTGTTCAGATTCCAGAGTAGTGAGATGGGAACGCTGAGGAGCTAGACTTTGTCAGCTGGTCACGGCCCTACGTCTCGGAGTTGAAAACAGCACACACGAATATGTCTGTAACGGCATTGACGCAGCTTGTAGTGATCAGAATCTTGGGCGATGCGGTACACGCGATGGGTGGTGGCGGTGAGACCTGCCACCGTTGGCGGAAAGGCAGACATCTGAGGCTCAAAGCCATGGTTAAGGCAACGAAACCAAACACAGTGAGAACAGTGGTGATTCGTAGAACCCATTTCTGCCACGGTTGAAAGAAGATGCGTTGATAGAGTATCAACACAACTCCTTTGAGCGTGAAGATGAGTACCAGGCTGTGATCCATCAGCCCCACACAACAATAAGCAGCAGTGGATACATACTAGGCGTACCAAGACCCCAGAAACAATTTGCTGCCGAACACAACATCATTCAACTTCTTCGAGTCAAACTCAGCCACCTCCGCCGCTGTAAAGTCCGTATTTGTTCCCGTGTGGTATGTGATCTCTATGATGATGCAGGTGTACGTCCAAGCCAACAGTGCCATGAACGCGAGACCATCATCGTACCTCAGCCCTCTTATCCCGTCTGTACGAAGTCGTACGGCGAATCTGAGGACGAGCCATAATGTCCCGATTGAGTAGAGGCCCCAAACTTCTGGCAGAAACTCATCATCGCGTGCAGGTGCCATCTCTGGACCGAATAGTGGCTCGAAAGAGAATGCTTCGGAGTGGAGGGTTATTTCAATGCGGATTGGCGAGCTCGCACTTTTGTACAGATGCGTTCGCGATCCGGGCTCGCATTCGGATCCAAGTTTGTGTGCAGACGAAACAAGTAAGACAGGCAGGGCCTGAGGAATTCATCATAAGCTGCAACGCTCTGCGACATGATCTTGGTACGGGCAGTGGTATACAGGCCGCCGAAGTCTTTCTTAGTAGGCTACACTAGCGTATCGGGGAGATTGTCAGACCCAGACCTAAATTCAACCTGCGCAGTGCGGAAATATGTCGCATCTGTCCTTCCGGCATGCCTTTTCGGGCCGCAGACGCCTGCAGATAAGCCGGCTGTTAGATACAGTTTGCGGAGTTGTGTCCGACGTCCAACTCTTGGTCCGATTGACAGCTGAAACACTTATGCCTTGTCTAAAGACGTTGAAATCCCTCTCATTGTGCAGACCGGCATCATTGACTTTATGAACAGCAACTTTGCCGACCGTGTCAGGCAGCAATTTGGATTGATGTGCATCCAGGGTATGCGTGCAGCCAGCCTTTGGTCAATTCCGAAGACGTTCACAGCTTAGCCTTCAGCGCCTCATCCCGTTTGTCCCATTCCCAGTACTCTCCTTTGAATCTTGTCTTTTCCCATTCATCGTATATCGCCTGTCTTTCTGCATCGGTCTGGCTCTTGCACATCTGTTCCCACACCAGCAATTGCTCTTTGAACCCCGGATTCGGATCGCAAACAGGCCTGCCTTCACACAGCTGGCGCAGGGCTGTCTCCGCGTCGATCCGGTACCTCCACATCAAATATGCTACCACTAGGGTAGCCGATCGCGACTTGCCCATAGCGCAATGCACGAATACACCTCCTGCATCATCATTTGCATCCTGAGCCCCAGTGTTCTCGACCGCCTTGGCGTTCCTGAATTCTCCCAGCCCTTGATCGATGTAGCGCACTGCTTCCGGAAGGTGCTGAAGTAGATCTTCGTTGGGATGGTCGTCTGCTCGGATATGTAGGTGCTTCAGATGCGAAAATTTGTCTTGGAGCAAAGGGTCGTAGTCGATAACGGACAGCACATGCGTAATACCAGCTGCGCGTATTAGATCGGTTTGGTAGAGCGCGTACAAGCCGCCAATGTAAAGCTTCCCAGCTCGAGGGACCTGATCAACCCAGCCCATCCCGGTGTGCGAAGTGCTACCGTGCAGTAGATATGACATGAGCCCGTGTGTTGATGTGAAGTATCGAGACGATGCGCCTGCGTGGCGTTCGGAGGCAGAGGTGGGAGGAGCAATCGTTGGTGCCGAGGTTCAGCTCGCCAGCTTGCCCGACACAACCATCCGCACCACGACACCATGTTGAAGTCGCAAGCTTGCCATCTTGGGTACGCACTTATAACATGTAGCATTGACTGTGGAGTCTGTCGCATCTTTCGAGGATGATTTGTTGGGTGCTGCCCGATCGAGACTAGCGTGGGTTTCGTGCACCTCCAACGTTCGACTGCGTTAATCTGTAATCACTGACACGTTCGCCAGATAGTGCCTTTCTGATATGAGATCCGCATAGAGTGCAGCAAGAACAACTGTCGCATTCAGATCAGAAACTGCTCATTCCTGGGACTGCAAAAGTCCTCTACAAAACGCTCTACATCCATACCATCCGCCCACCACGTGCGTTCTAACTCTTCAACTTCAGCTATAGTACCTAGCAGCGTCGGATCAAGTTCGTTAAAACAAAATAAGAACGGGAAGTCCAATCGTAATGTGATCTGAGGAGGATCATTGGAGGATTTGACCTGGTGATATGTTTGCCTATATCGTCGGTATAGGACGAAAGGAGCAGTTGCGCGGTTGGTGAAATGTCGACCTGTGTTTTCATACCGGGGGTGCAGATTTGGCAAGGAAACAGACATCTCCAGATTTTTCTTGTGAAACAAATCCTGGAGAGGGGAGAATATCTTTTGCTCGCCAACGAGAGCCCAAGGGCAGGGCTCGTCGTGGTCCAACCAAAACGTGAGTCTGACAAGACTAGGCATTTGAACGAGGTTGGAACCGAGCGTGGTCCAGCTATCAGATATACACGATAATTCTGGCGCCACATATCCAGTCTGCTCTAGTGCCCTGCAAAATGCCATGGGAAGCCTGAACGAGATGCTCACATGAGTCGCATGTTGCCACAAAGCTGAGGGAATATTTGGCTGAGCATGGACGGCTTCGTAGCGACTGCAATGGCGTATGACATCCAGATCTGAGATATGAATAGTGGCAGTCTGTATTAAAAGACGAATTGTCTCGTGATACCTTTCAGCGTAAGCCACTGTTTTGCAACTAAGTTGTTTGCTACTTACATCTGCTTGCAGACAAGCAGAAGACCAATTCTTGGCTTGCTTTGCGGATCTCTGCTCAGAGCATTTTCTTCGCACTTCCAATGGGGTCCCCATGCGGACCCTAAACGAGGTGCCCATTTGCGCATCACGGCCTCGTCGGACGTCAAGTACCTCACCTGTGATGGGGGTGTATGAAGAGTATCGGGCCCGTTGGCATCGAAGCTCGGTGCGCCGATATCCCGATCTGACTCCAGACACTTAGACAGAAGCAGAGTGTTTCCCTGCAGGCATATGTGGACGTGGTCTGGAAGAAGAAGCTGGTAGATCTCCAGTCGTATCTCAAGAGGCGTTAGCAGGAGCCTGCTAATCATAGTAGGTGCGGCTCCGCTCGCATCGTTTTCCACAGTGACGTTGGCTGGCATGTTGTTCCGTAGACTGTTTTCGTCAACGGAGAGCGAACGAAGCAATTCAGTCTTATGTATCAACGACAGTTGCTTCCTAGCCGCCGTGTGGCTTGGCGCGGCGCTTCTGGCCAACAAAACGGCCATGCATTCGTGAACTCACGTTTCAGCGGCCGGCGGCTATGATGAAATGAGGGCTTTCAATGGAGTAAACTGAAGGCTTTCGAAGAGTACGATCTATTTGGGTTTACCTTAATCTGAGCTACAAATTCTGTACTGTATAAAGTTGGTCGGTTTGAATTTAGCTTATATGCTGTTAGTTCCGAGACTTGAGAGCATGCCTACTGTAGATACGTACCTATGATCTAGGCTATCGCACATAAATTACAAACTGGCGTTGACTTGAGTGTCCACTGATATATTATGAGCACATTCAGCGGAGATCAAGTCCTAAGAAGTATCTTGTCTCTGCTGCAAAGACGGTATTTCAGCCTCTGTATCTGGGCATCGAATTAAGTCTCGAAGGGCCGCATACCTAAGTTCAGGTAACACATGGAAAACTGCATGATCTCCCAGACATGTATTGGGTTATCAGGAACGTTCGCATAATTTGCGTCGAACTATTTATCAATTGTTGTGCAACCGCTGAAGATGATTAAGTTTCCACTGGCAGGGTGGCGTTCGCAACTGGGAGGCATGGGTATAGTCGGTGAAGTGAAAGGACATGACAACTTTGAAAGCGGTTAGCGTCGATAGCAAACACCACTCGCACATAGCTTTCGTTGCTGCCTCTCTTCCCTCTTCTATCATTCACTTCCGCCGCACTGGAAGATAGTTCGATCAGCATGTCGCTGAAGCCCGCGCCCATCGCGCAGAACCCGTACTTCTATCCGACTGGAAACACGCCGGCTGTGTGCTTGACTGATACGCTCGCGCCGGATGTTGATGCGAATGTGCTCTTGCTGGGATGCGGTGACATTCGCAATGTTCTTTTCACCACATTTAGCGGCGCGGCTTCAGGTATGCTGCACTGACAATCTATTTCTCTGCGTGAAACCTACTGACGAATGTGACTGCTGTAGATCGAAAGCTCGACTTCACCTGCTGTGACCTCGAAGCAGAGATTATCGCGCGAAATGCAGTCGCTCTGACCTTGATCGCCAATGATGCGGAAGGCTCTCACTTTCAGCAGGTTTGGAACATCTACTACCATGTCTTTATTGATGATGAGTCTATGCAAACGCTGCAAGCGCACGTCAAGAGCCTCCTCCGCCATGCTCAATCGCTGGAAACCTGGAAGCAAGGTCCGCATGCCTCGTTGATCCGCTTCTGCGATGAAACCACCTTTGAAGCTGTCGTCAAGCTTTGGAAGCTGTATGCTGCCGACTCAGCATCCGGCAAAGACTATAACATTGTCCAGACCCGGCTGAAGGATCAATGGAAGACAGCTCAACGCCACCAAATCGACAAAGTGGGCGATGGTGTAGTTTTAGACGGCGTGCGTGCAGCTGCGCCTGCGCTGTCTGAAGCCTTTGATGATGTGAGCAAGCTATACCGTACCTTCTGGAGCACAGGCACCTGCTTGAACGGCAAGGCTGCTACCAAACTCAGTATCGCCAACCCCATGTTTGGGTGTCTTCGCAGCAATCTCTTGCTCCACTACGGTCAGAGCCCACTCACCGGTTTCCATCTTGCACCCGCCTACACACAGCTGGCAACGAACTCTCCTTTGACAGCTAAACTAGCTCAAAAGATATGGCCCACCAGCCCAAAGGCGTTGCAAGTAGCGTTTGAGCAATTTGTCGCGTGGATTACTGCCTTCCGTCAAAACATGGATCGTGTCACCGTTCGCTTTGTCAACGCAGATGCCCTCGCATTCAGCTACGTGCTCCGGAACCAACAGGCAAACGGAAAAGCTGAGGACCCGCATTGGTATCGTAGCCCTTGGACCTTTGAGCGCCTTGTTCTCAGCGAGGCAGAGTACACTGCGCCATGCTCTGCTCCGGTGATATTCAATGTCATCGACACCTCTAACTTGATGGACCATCTTGGAAGCATCAATCTGCTCGCAGCCGTAGCGCCACTTCTTGAGCGTACGAAAGCGTCAACCATACGCACTGAGATGATGGTGCCGCGAGAGGCCAGTGTTGCAGAGTCCACGAAGGTGCTTCTTTGCGGCGACCTTTCTACAATGGCCTCACTCTTTGGGCTGAAGCCGATTCAGTACTGGACAAATGCTACAGCCACTTGGAGTATAAGCCAAGCCATGCTCAGAGATGTGCCCAAGCTTAAGCATCTTTTTGGTATTCTGTCTCGTCCGATAATTCTCTGGAAGCCTCTCGATATCTCGAGAGTCCGCTACGATGCCAAAGAGCTTGCTCGTTTCCTGTACAACGTCTATCTGAACATGCATTCCGATGAAAGCTGGGCGGGCCGGTTCTCGGTACTTGGTCTCATGGATCGCGAACTAATGCAGAAGAAGATGCAAGCCTTCGATCTGTACACACGAGCCGGTTTGACAGCTTTGCTGCGATGTATCAAGGACCTAGACCTCGTCGACTGGCCTCAGTTTGTCAAAGAGCTTGTTGCAGGCTTTATCCTGAATGACGGCAATCTGAATATGGGCCCTCACCACTTTCAATCTCTCTGCGTCAACCTTGAGATATTTTCCATAGCTCAGGTGGATCAGATATTCGATTGGTGGAACCCTCGTTCCTTTCTTGCAGATCTGCAAGGACCTTTCGAGTGTTGGAACAACATACCCTCTGTCGTCTGCGTCACTCTGGTAGTTCCTCACAACGCCATCACAATGTTCAGTGATGTGAAAAAAGGGAATGGGACCCCTCTGTGCCAGATACAGATTCAGTCCTCTCGTTCTAACAAGGAGGCCTTCTATCCTGACATCCAATTAGGCTTCGGCACTGTCCAGACGTCAGGCAAACCGTTCAGCAATCAATACAACGTGGCCATTGCTGCGGACTCAGAGGGTTGGAAAGGGACGTCGCCCCTTGTTGTCTCGGCGATGGTTTCTACTGCCTCCCTCGTGGAGTATGGGGATACTGCGGCTCACGTAACCTTCGCGCTCAAAAGTACCCCGTCAACCGCGGGGCATTTCACGTCAAGACTGGGATTGCTACTGCACCTTCACCGATCAAGGGTTGGAAGGAAGGATGTTTACATCACGCGTTACCGCCCGAGCACAACCAGTGACCTCATGGTTGGCTTTACGCCTCCACCAGAACGATCCCTCAGTACGTATACACCCCCATACTCACAAGCAACATATTAATGCAATCTCCCAGTTGAGCCTGGAGTCGCCATCATCAAGCCTTCCTTAACTGCGACCCACGTTACCTCCGTGCAGGTGCAGTATCATGTTACGTCCGAAGCTGCGAAAAGCCTCTTGCAGAACGCTGCAGTGGTTGCGGTGGAGCAACCGGGGCCCTTTGAACTGGAGCTAAACATGGGTTCGAAACTGGAAGAGCGTCTCGAAGTACCGTTTCCACTCGACACTACCGCCTCCAAGACTAGAATCTCTCGAAAGCAATGCTGGGTCGAGTTTACAGCTCCTGTTGCGGACATCAATTTCATCGCCAAGCGAGCAGACGCCGTGTTTCCAGTTCATGTGCAAAGGTAAGTGATGTATCCTCCGTTCGAGACCTCCAGGGTTTGATCTGACATATCGATAGGGAAGCGCCGTCGCTTGAACATCTCGCATACGTGGATCCAGATCCTTTACCCATGCTTCGGCTCGACACTGCTAGCTGGCTCGTCATGCACACATCATACGCAGCTACCATGTCAGGTTACGAAGTCAGACAGTATGAAAAAGCTAAGGCAGACGATGCGCTCGCCATGCCTGGTCGTTTGGGGGTCAAAGAAAGCTTGCATAGCATGTGTATGCATATGACTGGACTGTGTGGGCTTGCCAAGTCGAGCCGGTTCTGCTTGACATCCTCCACAAGCCCTGTCTGCATCATCCTGGTCGACTGTATCCGCATGGATCTTTCACACCAGACCGTCTTCCTCGACGCTGCTCTCCTTTCCCCTCTGCCGGCCGCGGGCAACGGAAGTGCAGATCTGACGTCTGCACTAGCTGAACTCAAGGACCTCGTCTGCATCACCATCAACGACGACGAGACGCTGTTTTGGAAACACCTCCTCCCAGCCTTCGCTGAGCGATGCCGCCAGTGGAAGCACAAGGATACGTGCGAGTATCAGGCTACCCGCAGCATCCCCGTCTCCACGGACAACAATAAGCCACTCGTCTGCAGCTGCGGCGTCGGCATCTTCCCAGCCGACTATCTCAAGAGCACCGCCCCTTTCAAGATCCTCGCTAACCTCGCCGTCCGCATCGCCATTCCTGTCATCTTCGCGTCGCCCATCAGCAAAGACGACGTTGGCCCTGTCGATGTGAAGGCCTCTCACCGGTCTCCTGCCACCCGTACGCGCACTCAAGACGCGAAGCCGGAGAAGCGCGGGTGCCTGAAGTGCGGCGCTGCGACTACGAAGGCTGGCAACAAGTTGCTGAAGTGCGCGAAGTGCAAGACGGCACAGTACTGCTCGCCAGACTGTCAGAAGAGGGACTGGAAGAAGCATAGGCAGGCGTGCAAGCAGATGCAGGAGGATGGTGTGGGGGATGATGCGGCGTAATTGATTAGCTCGCAGCTCGGGCTATTAGGGCTCCGTTATTGGGAACTTTTCGAGTGCAGGTGCTGGAGCTGGGCACAGTAGCGCCTTTTCAATCGGCGCTCGCTGTCTTTGACATCGTTTGGGCATACTCCTGGATCTGAATCTGCGAGGGACAAACCGATGATTGAACAGATCATGATACTTGACTACAAATCAAATCCGTACAGCGAACTCTGAATTCCCTAAAATGTTGAAACTGCCATCTGCGTGAGATAACTCACCGAACACCACAACGTCGTGGTCGGCTCCCTCCAGCCTACCGTTACTACTAGCTTACTAACCACCTAACAGTGTTGCCATACACCAAGGCGCACGATCTCTGCATTCCCGGTCTCGCAACACAACCTGTGCCGAGAACCGAGCGTACTACAGCCGTCACCGCGTCAATTTCGAGATCGGCACATGGCATTGCTCTGGAATGCGGCATGCTGCGGTTGGATAGGGAACTGCGAACAGCTGTGCTACCGTGAGAATGCGATTCTCGACAAATATGGATAAGCACGTGTAGTGTTCTTGTTGATGCACTGGTGCGTGGCGTTTGGTGGTTTCACGATCTTCGACCTGCGGTCACATTGGGAGATACTGCACCCAGGCACGTCCGAGTTGCTTCTTGGCAGTTTCGCAGGATCGATGTATTCTTTAGCACAGTCAATAGGCCTCTAAATCACAACTGGATGTCTTAAGCGCAACTACACTAATAAGAAAGCTGACTGTCAATATCGCTGACCCTTCATATCTTGCATGGCAGCTGCGTGGATGGCAACGCGGACGTGCTTGAGTGCAGTATAGCACTGTCTTAGGTACATGGCACTGATCGATGCCACGACGGTGGCTACTCCTGCTACGATGAACGACATGGCACGTGAGATATGCATATACCTACTCTGTTTTGCATTTGTGAATGCATGCTTGAGCAGGAAGCGGCGAAGAACGTGACGTGCGCCAACATGATCATCATAGCCAGTGCGCTCGGTCGTGTTTTGGTGTCTTACTTCGTACTCGGCAGCCGCAGTTCCGGTGAGCCAGGGGCGAGACACACAATACCCGTGGAATGCGGCTGTTTCGTTTCGCAACAATTGGTACACGCGATAGCTACCACAGCACATGCAAAAGTGATGTAATCTGACAGACGCACATTCCTGGATGGAGACGGGGTACGGAGCGCGTGGGGCGCGGGGTTATGAGATGCAGGGCCTTTGAATTTCAGATGTTGATGATGGCCGCCTAAAAATAGCCGCTATCGAGATGCACTACCCAATTAGGAAGCTGCCAAAAAACGCAGGGTGTCGTAAAATGCAGGGCAAAAAGTATCGCAGACAGCGCAGAGGGGCAATTGATAATGTCAACGTGAGCGCTCAGTCAGGCGGCAAGGCGCGCACAGCTCGTAATTGCAAAACAGAAGCATGAGAAGGCGTAAAAGGTGAGACGTGGTTCGCGAGCGGACATTGATGCGCGCTCGATATGGTTAGTGCACGCCAAAGAGGGAGTGGGCCTCAAGCATGACACTTTCCCTGGGGCCCGTCCGCTCAGGCGCCTCTCGTACTCCTGCCCCCATTCGCCGCCATTCGTTTCTACAAAGCCTTTAGCATCTGCATCGCCGCGTGTTCAGTCTTCGCTTTCTTCTACTGTTAAACCCCAGGTCGCTGCTTTGTGACCCACGACATTCGTTACCGCGCCTACCGTCTCCACTACGCCTCAGGGGCACACGTCCTCGTAATCCCCACCGCATTCGCTTGGCCTCGCCCCCGGATCCCTTCAGCCTGTGTTCCGCCCACCCTTGGAAGGCACGACCAACGCATAGGTAGTCGCTGCGCACTCGGACCGCCGTTTTAGTGACCGCCGGTTTTTGACAGCTGCACGGCTGCACGAGCTCCTCTAGCATCCTTACACAACATCCCCCACACGAAAACCAGCTGCGACAATGGTCCGTGGCGCTTTCTCCGCCGTCCTCGCGGCCGCAGCCCTTGCCGGCACTGCCTACGCTGGGGCAAAATGCTCCAAGGACAGCAAATGCCCAGAAGACACGCCATGCTGCTCGCGTGCGTACCATCCCGCCCCAGTGTCCATGTCGCACTGCTAACACCCTCAGTGTACGGTGACTGCGGTGTTGGCGCTTTCTGCCTCGGCGGCTGCGACCCGCTCATGTCGCACTCGTTCGACTCGTGCGTCCCTGGACCCGTCTGCAAGTCCGGCACATACGCGCTCGACTCGCTCAGCAATGTCCAGACTATCGACAAGTACCTCGGCGACTCGTCCAAGATCGACTGGCAGTCGCAGGGCATGCCCGCCATCTACAACGACCCTAGCAGCGGCAAGAAGTCGACGCTCTTGACCATGGCGCAGGGCACAGTTGGTACCCTAATGGCATCAACACATTACGTTTGGTACGGCAAGATTTGCGCCAAGGCCACCACGGCTCAGGGCAAGGGTGTCGTGACAGCCTTCATTCTCATGTCTGACGTCAAAGACGAAATTGACTTCGAGTGGGTCGGTGTTGACGCCGGGCACGTCCAGTCCAACTTCTACTCCCAGGGTGTCACAGTTTGTAAGTAGGCATGCGCGTTACACATCGAACATCGCTAACCCAATGCAGACACAAACGGCAAGAATCTGACTGTACCTGGAGGCAACACAGTCCAGAACATGCACGAATACTGCATCGACTGGAAGGAGGACTCCTTGACGTGGTCCATTGACGGCAACGACCTGCGCACATTGAATCGAAAGGACACCTGGAACGGCACCTCCGGCCGCTTCGACTACCCCCAGACACCCGCCCGCATCATGCTCTCACTGTGGCCCGCTGGTCTGCCAACGAACGAGAAGGGTACCATTGACTGGGCTGGTGGTGAGATTGACTGGAACAGCCCCTACATGCAGAACGGCTACTACTACGCCCGCTTTCAGGAGGTCACTGTCGACTGCTACGACGCGCCACAGGGCATCAAGAGCCCCGGCTCCAAGGTCTACAAGTACACCGACTACGCTGGTACCAACAACACCGTTGAGATCAGCAACGACGCTGTCATTCTCGGGTCTCTTATGGGTACTGGAGAGAATCCTGGTGAGGCCATCAAGTCCAACGACCCTAAGGCTACACAAACAGCTATTGCAAACGTTCCTGGTGGCAACCCTGGAGGTGGCAACCGCGCCGAGGAGACCAGCACACAGGCGGCTGCTACTCAATCCGGGAGCGGCGCACAGGCAACGGGAGGCAGCTCAGGCGGCTCGACCGATTCTGGCAGCGGCAACGGCGGTCAGGATTTTGTCCAGGGCGGTTCCTCAACCGGAGCTCAACAAAGCACTGGCGCCGCCGCCGGTATCGAGCCCAAGCTCGTCGGCTCGGTTCTCGCCGTTGTCGGTGCTGTTGCTGGTCTTGCTTTCACCCTGTAAGCAGTCCTTGGATTTCCGCGTCACGTTTCATGTCCATGTTTGGTGTTTTGGGAAAAGAGATCAGTGCATACGGTCCTTCTGCTGTTCATAGAGTCTATATCTCCAGGGGGCGATCTGGAGTGGCTGATTTGGGGTTCATTTCTTGCATATTCTTCTTTCATACTACAATCTTTTATTGCTGGAGATTGGGAAGAGATAAGGTGTAATCGGGTTGTGGCCTCTGCACGCGTTGTTTGAGAAGACGGGATAGCTAATCTACTGCGCGCATTTTCATCACCACTCGTATGCTTCAAGTGATTGTTCTGCTTCCTTGGAGGAATGGTATCGATATATCCCTCCGTCCTAGTCGAGTCGTGTCGTCTGGTTCGAAACAAATTCTCAAAACGCGAATCGATACATGTAACAGTACCTGTACGGCCCAGTGGTCGCGTAAATCGGCATGGTAGAACTGTGTGGAGTCGACAAGCACCGATAAGAGGTCAACACCAGACCTAGCAGTAAGGATAACACGATAAAGATGCATCATTTGCCAGAAGCTCGCCATCTGGTTGTCAAGGTGTCTGCAACGTTGTTAGAGGGTGAAGGACCCGAGCACCCACAACCGAGTCTGCGTTCTGTTGCACTCAAACTTGAAGGCTTTAAACGGGGTTATATTGAAGCTTATGTCAGTCTATACAGACCCGTCCATGGCGTTGTTGTTGAGCACAACGCCGCCACGCTGCTGTTGAAGCTTTTTGCGTAGTATTTGACATGTCTATCTTGCTCTCCACTGTCCGTCACCTCATTCTCAACGACATCGCTTCAAGGAGACTGCTAGAAATCTTGACCAGTGACGCTCTAGCCTCAAAGCAACCACCGATCGAAATCAAACGCACTCTCCGCCCTCCGCGCCGCAAGTCCTGCCTCCCTGAGCGTCGCCCAACTCGCATCTCCACTCACCATACCCACCTCATAGTTCCACCCATGATTCGGATTGGCATTCGGCAGCAACTGCCAGTAGAACCAGGGAATACCCGCTGCATCAATCTGGGCCGCCCAAGCCTTGATGTTCGCATTGCGCGTCCCGGACCCAAGCATGCTGCCGCCATTGCAGTTGTTGTTTGCCGCATTCGTGGCGCACGCGCCCCACTCCTGCATGATGAGCTTCTTGCCCGCGGACTGCGCGCGGCGAACGTAGGTTTGCAGGGTGCTGGTGCCGAAGTCACCGACACCGTAGGCGTGGATTGCGAGGACGTCGAGCGCGGCGCAGGAGTAGTAGGCGTCGAGCAGGGAGGTCGCGAGGTAGGAGCCGCCGCCGGTGGTTATGAGGATTCCGGTGTTGCCTGCGAGGAAGGAGCGGAGCGAGGTCGCCATGGTGCATTGCCAGGTGGCGAGGGCGGAGGGGTTACCCTAGATCATGTGTCAGCGGAGCTTGGAGGTACTCATGGAGGTGGGTGAGGATTCACTTGGGGGTGCATGGCTTCGTTCTGGGCTTCGAAAGCAAAGATGTACTCGGAGCTCTGCGCCCATGTTTTGCCGTTGGCGGGATTGACGTGGGCGAGGACGTGAGCCATACGATCCTGGAAGTGCTTGATGGCATCGGCGTTGGTGTAGAAGTCGCCGGTGCCATACCACTTTCCATAGAAGTCTTTGTTGCCTTCGAGAGCATTGTAACTGTGAATGGCGATGGAGAGCTTGATGCCGTAGCTGTGTGCTCTCACCATGAAGCTGTCGAGGCGGTTGAGAACTGTGTCATCCCAAGCAGTGGGAGAATCGCCCTGAAGTGGCGCAAAGGTATCAATTTGGGTGCCTTTTTGAGCTTCGGATTGACCTGAAGGACTCGTCAGTGACTCGTCAGTGACTGCATCACATCTCTGAAGTGTTGTCTCACCATCAAGCCAGACACGCAGGACCTTGACACCAGCACTCTGCAGGCCTTGGAGGAGGGTAACCTGTTGGGCTTCTCTGAGACCTGCTGCATAGTACAGGTTGGAGGCCGAGAACGATTTGGCCGCAAAAGTCGTGCTGAGAGACGCGAGGCTAAAGAGCACTCCAGTGAACAAAGAAGAGAACTTCATGATGACGGAATGAGTGACTTCTCTTGCTTCGACAACTTACTACATGACCGATTATAATACTTTGATATAGACTTCCGAGATTGCTGCTAATCATGGTGTTGCTTCGTGTATTCGGCATCGGACAATAGCTGGAGATCTACATGCCTAATCAGGCACGGATAGTGTAAGGCTGAAACATCACGACTCCGCATCGCGCGCTCCGAACCGCACTGCTAGTACTACACAAGACCTTGTCAAACGGCGTTTTTCTGGGATTGTGAATCCTTGCGAGGCGTACTCCAAGCCTCCTCGGCGCAGTGACATGTGAATACACGACGATTGGCGCATCGAGACGGTTTTTGGAAGGTCATTGTGCGGGGCTGCTTCAGCAGGTGTACATCAAGGCATTTCGGGATGCGCCGAGGTACTAGCTTATACTGAATTTAGGAAAGCATTTGAGTGAAGGCCCGATGACGTGTGAACGTGGAAAGAGGTACCCAGGCAACTTGTTGTCGCTCGAGTCTTGACACCGCAGGCAATACCACTTGATTGTCAAGATGGACTGAATATTCAGCCATCAACATAGGGATTATGTCGGACACTGCAATCACTATCATACATACGAAGGTATAACTCCTAAGTCCACCCCCACTCTTGGTACCCCTCAGGAAAGTTGTCCATCGGAGCGTGGGAGAGCGGAAATACGACCGCAATTGGTTTTCTTACTGCAGTAATTCGTTGGCATTCGGCCCAAGCTGGGCGTTAGGACAGTTGTTGTGATTTTCGCTGATCCAAAATTGGAACGGCCTCGCAGTGACCATCTATGTTCCCACATCATCGATCCAGGGGCGAGTTCTCGAACCCGGGAAATGAGCACACTCCCGCCGAGTACTTTGGCAGATCATGCAGTCAGCGGCTTCAAAAGGTCGCTCCGTGTTAGCTTCTGGCGCCTCTTGACTAGCAGCAAGGCTGGGCGTCAATGGCGGTATGCCGAATCTATCGTATTCCGAATTCGCTGAAAAGTTGATGCAAATGGGATGGCTAGCGAGTTCACCCCGGGTCTTTCACACCACGTTGCATTGAAGCTTAGAAATCGTGAAAGCTCATTGACCTGGTTGGAATGCTGCTCTATGCTGGAACCAGGCGTGGAGCAAAACCCTAACTAATCCTCACTGGACCTCATCTGAGTCGTCGCTAATGTAGACCGAAATCATACTGAGTATGATACATAACTTCAATGTACTTGCTCCATAGGTGAAGAGGCCACATTGGTCTGGTCGATCTCTTCAACAGCCATCTCACCGTAGATCGGGTGTCACCGCCCTACGTCGTCTCACCTTGGTTCTTTGGCCCTAAACTCCCTTCAGGAAGGTGACACGAAGGCAAGGATACATTATGAGAACCATGTTGTGCCTAATGCCTACGTACAGGGGGCCGAAGAAGTTATCGCCATTCTCAAAACTTGTGGATCCGTCTCCGTTCCGGTCCACAACGCGGGGAGTCTCGTGGTCAGGCCTTCGTCGGGGCTTCCGAAGGTGTCAGACTACCTTTAGCAGTCAACAGAGTAGACGAATTCCTTCTTATCAATGTCTGGTCTAAGTTGGTAGTCATCAAACTGGTGCCTCGCCTCCGTGAAACATCACGAGTGCATGCCCTACCGCTCGTTGTGGACATTCCTCGCAGCCAGTGCGTAAATAATGATGGCTATGATCTATATCAGCGTATTCAGAAGTAGGCTCACGCAGAGTTTTCGCTGGTAAGAGTGTTCAACACAGATCTGCGGCATGTACTCAAACGTAAAGCTATTATGTGACAGGAGAAGCCGGACCGCATAGTTCAACAAGTATCCATGGAACAATGGACCATGCATGGCGGAAATAATATCTTCTATTCGATTACTTTATCCATTTGAAAGGGATGTTGCAATTGGGAATTGTTGCCGCCCACTCCTGAGTTTGTGATACATCTTTTCAGCCTTCTGTCGGCGGGCATCGATTTTCCAGTCAAGCACAGATAGATGACTGAACTAAGGAGGAGATCGGTTTTCAAAGCAAACAACAGGGCTTGATGCAAATGCATGCGCTCGCTCGCGGAAGCTGACGTCCGTTCTACTCAACCTAGCCGTGATGAGGGCAGACGCACACGGCTCCACTTCAACAGCCGAGACCACTCTTGCGACCTGCCGCTCCGAGAGGTCCGAAAGCATCAGAATGTAACCCTACATGAAACGATCGGTGCGTACCAAGTCGGTGAGATGTGTAGACAAGACCGTGGTGGAAGTATTGGGCATCCCGATGGTGAAAAATTGCAGGCACGAATGAATGGAGCATAGATCCCTAACGCATCGGAGACGCCGGAAGCATTCTGTTGCACTGGAAATTTCGGCCTCTCCGATCACCAAGAGTACAGAGCATGTTGACACCATCGTCAGGCATGGCATGCAAACTTGAGTGAATTACTCACTTCCTGCATGATCAATTGCTTATCACGGAGAAGAGGAGTGTCAACCTTGACTTTCAAGTGCTACCTAAGAATGAGAAGGGCCGCCCCAGGCGTCGATAGTCTAGGCAAGGATTTGCTGATGCAGGTGATCAAGATCACTACGAAAGAGAATGAGACCAGCCTATGGGTTAAGTTTAACCAAGCTCAGTGAAAGGGACCACAGTGACAGATCGATTAAATAGGGAATTAACCATGTTCAATGGATTTGAGAACATATTTTCCGTATTGTTGAGGCATTTTGCCATCCTGAGCAGCGTTGAAGCCCTGTAGTGGGGGCGAGACATCTGAGTAGGCGGCCAATCATAACTTCTGGAACGAGACGAACTGAGGTTTCAATGAGTACAGTCTCATTACAGAAGTTCAAAATAAGCCCATTGAACACACATGTACGTTCTCATTGTTATTTTCGGAGTCGCAGCGTTTGCGTAAAAGACGTTGAGCCCGTGGATCCCGAGTTTCACTTCCAAGGAGGTGTTGTACAATTTCCCAGACAGTACATGATTCTACTATAGGTACATAATGCCTTGCATGATGTCGTGCGTGAGCCTTCTTGCTGAAGTGTTGATCAAATAAAAGGCATGAAATCACTGCAAAAGCGAAGAGATTTCATGTTGGGCAACAAAAAACAGTACGTGGAATTTCTGTCGCGATCTCGTACACAAACAAAAACACTCTCAGCTAAGACGAGACCTCCACTGCCACCTCCAACTAGCTCCGATATGTGCACAGTATCTGGGGACAGAGGCGATTGTTCAGGTGACAAGATACGCTTGAGCGCAATGAACCAGCCTGCAGGACTCGTTAGTCTATATATCACTTTGAACGTGTAAATGTTAAAGTAAGTTGTGGGCGCTGCGTGGAATGAATGCGGTAAATGTCCGACGAATGGTTGCGGAAAAAGGGAAAACAGACATAGCGCTAGCCTGCGCTTATGGCTACTGGTAGTACCTATCAATTGAAGCCCATTGGCATGCAACTCAGCGACCAGACACACTCGCAGAAGGCTCCATATGCAACCAAGCAAAGCGGCAATATATATAGATTAGATTTCAGCTACAGTCAACACGAGGGACAAGCCCTTATTCACAACATCTACATTCTATCGAGGCGTGACGAGAACGACAGTACTGTGCTGATCACAGACTTGTACGGCACAGTGATCTATTCGATTAACATTGGGAAACTGCTTGGCGACTTCAACCTGCCCCACCCCATGTAGAGAGGCGCAAATGTAAGACCTGCGGACTCTAAGTTTTGTTGGCAGTGATACAGGACTTTGACCCAAGGGATAGACTACCTCCTGGAACTGTCCCATACGAGAAAGGAGCTGCTCCCACACTATTGATCCCTACCTGCAGCTGAACGACTTGAGTCTGGTTGATCGAACGATCATAGTTAAGTCAGGTCGACCAAAACCTCGACCACGTCTCCTACCACTTACCCATTGGTGCCGTGATATATATGACATCGGGAGAACTCAGCAACTCAGTGTACCGCCAACGCAAGGCTGGACATGATTTATGAAAGAATCTGCCACAGAACGCAAGATAAGCTTTGCCGCTACTTGTTACGCCTGCAACTAAGACAGTGCTTGATATTTCCTGCGCCTGGTCACCGCCGACGAGCGGCTAAGGGATATGCACGAAATACTAAGGCAGTGTAGCAACAGTTATTTACTAGTTTTTTTATGGATACACCTTGAGGAAAGGTTAAACAAAGTAAATCACACATAGTTCTATCGAGCGCAACGCAAAGTCACTCCGAATTTTCGGCCATTTGTCGGCGATCACCAGGCGCAGTACGTCCAAGAGGTTGCTGAAGTACTTCGACGAGCTATTGACAAAGCAATACCATATACTACATACTTAGCTATCAGGCTACCAACACGCCGGCGTCTATCTACCTAGCTAGAGATCAAAGATGTCATCCGAACAGCGTCACCACCGATGACATCGCCAAGAAAACCCTGCAGGCACTGTTGCCCCACCTTATGGAGTACAAGTCTATCGACGCAGTTATAGCTGGCTGAGTGAAGTGGGCAGCACGGATCGGCTGTCTATCATCCGGCGGCCGGAACTAGGAAATGCCACAGCCGATCAACCAGTCAACCAGAATGTTTGTGACTTCTTCTCCTTAAGTCCGGTTGCTTTCAATAAGTCCGACGACCGCCACCAGGAGTGCAATTCGCGTTCTCTTATTGTGATAAGCTAAGCATCCTTCAACTTCTGATTTTCTATTAAACACTTATACATGGAGTAATTAATAACATCAAGAAAGGCATTGATAGGTCTATTTACTGTACAAGAAAGGTATTGATGGATCTATTTACAGTAAATGCTAAGATAAAGCTACGAATAACAATGCAGTAACCTCTTCCAATTCCTGTGAGGCTCTAGAAGAGGAAACGAGAATTATTGCACCCTGTAGTGCCATTAAGCATGTGTTGCGACAGCCGGACGCTTTTTCCTGATTCAACGGTGCAATTCGGACGAAAACTACCCGCTTGCGGTCATATGCTCCATGGAGCGGAGTTTAACTTTGGATCGAAAGTCTACGTTTGTTTGTTTAAAAATCTTCAATCCGCCCATGTCCGCAAACACGTATTTTAAATTCAAGCCTCATCGTGAGCAATCCTCGTAACGATCCTTCATCGCCAATGTCTATTCCAACAGCCCCTCTCGGCCGTAACGGCCCGCAGGTTACCCGTCTAGGCTTCGGCCTCATGGGCCTATCCATTGCATGTGAGTGTCTACATACCTACGATGCGCACGTGAGTGAAAGATACCTGTACTCACAATTCGCCTAGACGGTACTCTGAAACCTGATTCCGAGCGTCTCGCACTCCTCGACCAAGCCTACGCCCTCGGCGAACTTTCATGGGACTCATCCGACTTGTATGGAGACAACGAGGACCTGTTGGGAAAGTGGTTCGCCGCCAATCCCTCCAAGCGCAAAGACATATTCCTGGCCACCAAATTCGGAATCAGTCAGGGCGGCGCAGTCGTCGATAGTAGTCCCGAGTACTGCTTGGATGCATGTGCCAAAAGTCTGGCACGGCTAGGAGTTGAATGCATTGATTTGTATTACTGCCACCGCGTAGATCAAAAGACGCCGATTGAGCGGACCGTGGAGGCAATGGTGCAGCTGAAGAATGAAGGAAAAATCAAGTACCTTGGTCTTTCGGAAGTCTCTTCAGATACGCTCCGCAGAGCGTATAAAGTGCATCCGATTTCAGCAGTACAGGTTGAGTACTCGCCATTTGCGCTCGAAATCGAGAAGCAAATCGACCTCCTCAAGACATGCCGCGAGCTCGGCGTCGCGGTTGTTGCGTACTCGCCGCTCAATCGTGGCATGTTGACAGGAGCTTTCAAGGGGCCCGAGGATTTCGAAGAAGGGGATTTCAGATCTTATGCACCGAGGTTCAGCAAGGAAAACTTCCCTAAGAACTTGAAATTAGTCAAGCAACTGTCGACTATCGCGGAGAAGAAAGGTTGCAGTCCAGGCCAGCTGACGTTGGCGTGGTTGATGGCTCAGGGTGAGGACATCTTTCCTATTCCCGGCACGACGAAAGTGGAAAGATTGAAGGAGAACCTGGGCGCGTTTAATGTGTCTCTGAGCGAGCAAGAGGAGAAGGAGATCAGAGGAATGGTTGAGGCTGCGGATGTTGGTGGTGAGAGGTATCCCGAAGCTTTCATGCAACATTGTTACGCGGATACCCCGCCTTTGGTTTAAATAGGTTCGGTCGTATGCCTCAAGGTCATGTCATTATTCGAGAGTTTTGTACCAATCTCAACAGTAATCGATGTTGAATGTATTACGACTTATTTGGTACCCAAATTGATCAAATTGATGCACGCTGTATGGAGTTGTTTCGCTGTACATAACAGTGTGTACTGTAGGCAATAGTGACGCCGTTATTGGCCGCATTGCAACCCGCACAACAACTCAAACTCAATAGCTACCTTCCACTTCGGCAGCCTACATGCTTGCGAGAGCCCCGCTTGCTTCATCAGGGTCATCGAGAGCCCTCCTTGCTCACTAAAATTTGTCCATATCTTTTTGAAGCATTTGTCAACGTGTATGCTGGATACATTGATTTGATCGTTTGCTGCTGGTGAACCTAAAAATCCATCATCAAATAAACTGCTCGCCCAATCACCGTTCCGGCTCCCTATCTATCCACGCCGTGTTCCCTTCCTTCGCCGTGAACGGAAACTGAAACACCCTTTCAACCGATGAGTACGGCTCGTACTGTTTCCTGTCCATCACAATCGTCACATTACCGGCGGCCCTTCCAGTAGCGTTGAAACCGGGTCCGTAGGTGTTGTACTCGGCCATTGTGGTGTTAGCGTTGACACGGGGGTCTGTGGTGCCCCACGCGATGTAGCCGCTGGGTTGGATGGAGTCGTCGAGATAAGTGTTGGCGAAGATGGAGCGGTGCAGGGCGTTCCAGGGGCGGCCGAGGGCGCACTTTCCAGTTATGGCGAGGGAGGAGTTGGCTTTCTGGACTTTGGAGTCGTGGATGTAGACGCCCTGACACTAGTCAGTATCATGTTCACCTTGCTAGATTTCGAAACTTACATATTTGTTGACAAAGGTCGTGTTGGTGCCCTTCCATGCTGTGATACCTCCACCGCAGTTGCGCAGGGTCACAAGACTGGACTGGATCCACGCAGTACCAAAGCCGTAGAAAAAGTCGGTTTGACCTGCGATCTCGTTCTTGTAGAAGTATGCGTTACCAAGCTTGCCAACGTACACCTGAAAATCTGTTAACTATGCAGGCTGATTGGAGGACGACATCCTTACTGTATCTTGGTACGAGTAGAATCCGCAAAAGTAGAAGCCAGTATTCGCGTAGCTCACAGAAACTGCAAGCGAAGGGCCAGCGGCCCACGGTCGGTAGTCATTGACGAAGTTCAGGTTGTAAGCCCTGAAGTCGATGTTTCCGAAGGGAGTGTCTGCCGGCACAGGATTGCCGGTTGGCCCACTGCCGGTCGTGCTGGAGTTGAAGGTAGGCGCAACTGTGAGTGTAGACGTGTACGCGTTGTCAATGCTTGGCGGTGTGTTGGCGCCAGTAGCATTATGCCAAATGATGTTGACTACATTCTTGCTTTGATCGTTGGGATGCTTTGTCTGACCAAAGAGATACACCGGGCCTGGGCGAGTGACGTTCACTTGCTCGGTGTAGTTGCCGGGAAGAATGAGGATGTGGGACGGGGCTGTGCCATTTGGCAAACTTAAGACTGCAGACTGGACGGTCGTGTATTTCTGACCGGGCCCGACGAGGATCGTGTTCTTGGGGCAGCCGTCCAACGGGACTTTTGTCGGATGCTGGCAAGCTTTGCGATTAACAGCCGATAGTGCAGTGCACACCTCAAGTAGGCACGCGAGTGCAAAGCTGACTCGCATCTTCAATAATAGAAGCTGAGCCTGGTCAACGTGAATCTTTTAGAGATGCAAGGATATGATGCGTGGTGATCAAGCAAAGTCTGGGCGCCATATCTTATATAGCTCCAAGTTCTACGGCCGGATAGTAATCTTGAGGCCTGGCGCATTGCATGACGGGAAAACTGGAACAGGGGTAATTGATGTCTGTCATCGTCAGTACGCGCAGGCATAATTTCCTTAATGCCACCAGATACGCCGTCATGGGCCGCGGGAGATATTCGTTCGACTCGTGGTCCGGCAGATGATCCAATCAAGCAGCTCTAGGATTCAACCGAACGCGGGGTGTGGCTGGAGGCTCCACATCGTGGATCCTGGGGTTTGTGGGGAGTGTGGGTGAAAATGATCCACCAATGAGCAGGTGACCCTCCAATGGCTCGACCGAGATGAGGTCGACGAATGTCCCGCGTTCCTGGTGGTTCTGATAACTTCGAGGTCGGTGTTTCGATGAAAGGACCGTAGGTCGATGTTCGACGATGTCCCGTTCCTGCATCGTGGCGTGACCAAGCTTTCTTTCGGCACGTGGGCAAAGCTTGAAACTTCGTTTGCAAACGCGTTGGGTTCTATCGTGTTGCGTTGACCCTTTTCAAAACTTTTCGACACAAAGTATCATCGCGGGATACTGTACCATTTGCGCTCGCGCATGCTAATGTGAGGTTGATGGCTGCGTGGTGACACGCCTGTGATGAGAGTCAGCGATGTCGTGTCCACGTCAGCTGCATTGCTGAGAACATCACGTGATGTATCATAAGGACAGCCATCGCGCACAGCCTTGCGCATATTGCACTTCAAAGGTCGTTGATGCAAGGTGATAGTGTTGTTATCTTTGCGCTAACGCAACTCTCAAGCGAGGGCACGCGCTGAACAAGCTCGTCATCACCACACACCAACACGAAAATCACATGTTGTCAGCCATGCGGCTTCTAGAATACGATGAACAGGATGCCTAACAATTGCGACAGATGAGAATCGCTTGGCAACGTCTGCTGAGGACTGACTGTCGTTTTTAAAGAACAGAGCACCTTCCTGAGACGTACCAGGCTTCAATCCTGAGCGAAATTTTCGTGAACGACGAGCGATCGCCGCAGCCACCAACAAAGTCTGCCAGCCAGACAATGCGATGCTTTTCAATTGCCAAGCTGCTCTTTGCGCATTTACGGTAGACAAATAACGCCGAGCGATCACGACATCGGAGCTGCTCACTTTACGCACCCCTCGTAGCGCATACCAAGAGAGCTTCACCATAGCGATGGCTTGACCTTCCTGATTGGGTGTCTCTCGACCATTCAGCGTCCGCCCACTCTACCGGCCGTTTGGCTGCCATGTAACCCAAGACTTGAAACGTCAATCTGTATGCCGATCGCGAGCTGTAGGCGTTCTGCGCATCGACGACGGGGCCGGCTGGCGCGTCGCGAGCCCAGACAAAGGTAAGCACGCCATGGAGGGTATGTATAGGGCTCCAGTCCAGTCTCTGAGACTTCCAGAACGCGCAGCGTCCGCTCCACTGGTTCCCACCCGCTGTTCGTACTTGTGCAGCGACTGCGCTAGCGTCCCAACTCTATCTCGACCTTGCTGGTCGCGACTTGTCAGTGCTGTGAAGACAAATTTACCTAGCCAACATGGCGACAAAGTTCGAGGAGCAAGACCACAAGGTCGCGCGTGAGACTAGTCACGACGCCTCGCCTTCCCCGCCAGGCTACACGGACGAGAATGTCAGTGTTCAAGCAGACCAAGCGTTCGTCTATGATGATAGTCAGAAACTGGGCTATACCGCAACTGTTTTTGTCATCTTGAACAAGATGATCGGTACAGGAAGTAAGTTACACGCGCACGGAAATTGAATGGCGCTTACGCATGTCTACAGTCTTCTCCACTCCATCTGGTATTTTCGCTGTGTCCGGCTCAGTCGGCGTCTCGCTTTTCCTGTGGATCATCGGCGGCATTTTGACCTTCGCCGGATTGTCTGTCTTCATCGAGTTCGGTCTCGCCATTCCCCGCTCCGGCGGCGAGAAGAACTACCTGGAACGCGTCTACCGCCACCCAAAATACGTCGCAACATGCGTCCTCGCATCCCAAATGCTCCTGCTCGGTTTCTCGTCCGGCAACGCGCTGGCCTTTGGACGCTACTGTCTCTTGGCCTCCGGCAGCACCGTCGACGGCTGGGTCGCGCGCGGTATCGCCATCGCCTGCATCACCTTCTGTGTAACGCTGCACTCGGTAGCACCGAAATGGGGCATTCGGCTGTTCAACGTGCTCGGAGTGTTCAAGGTTTTCATCCTACTCTTCATCGTCTTCTCCGGCTTCGCAGCGCTCGCCGGCCACCGCAAAGTCCCCAACCCGCGCAACTTTGACAACGCATTCACCCTCTCCACCGGCCCCGGCTACGGCGGCGGCGGCGCCTACGAATACTGCCAGGCCCTGCTACGCATTATTTACTCGTACAAGGGTTGGGAAAACGCAAATTACGTGCTCGGCGAGATCAAAAACCCAAAGAAGACGCTCACCTGGGCCGCGCCGCTCGCCATCGGCGGTACTACCATCCTCTACGTGCTCGCCAACGTCGCCTACTTCGCCGCCATTTCCAAGGAAGACCTCGCAGGTAGCGAAGCCATTGTTGCCGGCGTTTTCTTCCGCAACGTGTTCGGCGACAGCGCGGGCGCCCGCAGCCTGCCCGCCTTCGTCGCGCTCAGCAACCTGGGCAACGTGCTTGCCGTGAGCTTCGCGCACGCGCGACTGAACCAGGAGTTCGCCAAGGAGGGTCTCCTGCCCTACAGCAAGTTCTGGGCGTCTATCAAGCCGTTCGGCGCCCCGGCCCCTGCGCTCTTCCTCCACTGGCTCATCACCGTCATTGTCCTCGTGGCGCCGCCTGCGGGGCCTGCGTACAACTTCATCACGGATCTTTACACGTACCCGGGTGCGTGGATCAACGGTTTTGTGACCGCCGGGTTGATCTATCTGCACTACTCGAAAGCCGAGCGGTGGGAGTCGCCGTGGCACACATACCTGCCAGTCGCGATCCTCTACCTCGCGGCCAACATCTTCCTTGCACTCGTACCCTTCATCCCGCCGAGCGGGCCCTGGAACGCAGACGGGTACCCGTACTACGTATTCCCGATTGTGGGCGTGGGTGTGCTACTGCTTGGTGTGTTTTACTGGTTCTGCTGGACCAAGGTATGGCCAAAGTTGGGCGGGTATAAGATTGTAGCGCAGAGGCATGAGGATGCGCAGGGGATCGAGCACGTGCGGTATGTGAAGGTGTACAACAAGCGCGAGTGAAGACGAGGTGAGTAAGCAAGAGACGAGGCGAGAGGGGAAGGCAGAATTCCCAGTCATCGCAATTTAGTCGTAATAATCACTGAAGTTATGTTCACAACTCCGATGACGCTCTTACAGTATCATACTTGACAAGTTCCTATTGAATGGCCTATGAACGTGTTCGCAAACCTGAAGAGTCTGTGTGATCATCGCTCACAAAGAGCTCCTTTGTTCTATTGTAGGTTCTGGACCATCATATGACTTCCTTATCTCCGGTAAACTGAAATTTTATGAATTATTAGAGTAGCAAACACAGGCCGGCGCACACAGATAAAAGATCTCCCTTCCACGCACATAGCATCGTAGATTATATATTTTTCTATAACCTATATACCAACAATGTAGCACTGAAACCCACACTTCTCACAACGCACTACGCCCAGAGGAAACGAAGCACGGTAAAGAGCACAGCCAGACACAGTACAGCAGAGAAGACACAATCACAATGATTCACTAGAGATTGTTGATAGAGCGACATAGCTCACATCGGAGTGCGTAATCGGAACAACACGGCAGTCGAACAGTGCTTGTAGTCGCCGGCTAAACAAGGTGTGATGGCGGGTACTTGCGCTTGTAGAGGTCGGCGGCTGGTCCATCTCCGACGCGACGCTCAAGCTGATCAAGTGGCTTAGTAGACGCTCCAACGCCCGGATCCTCTCAGCACGCCGCTGGTAAACCGGCTTCCCAAGATCAAGCGCTACTGGCGCACTGCCGTCCAGATCGTCTTCTGGTTCCGCTACGAGCCCGTTCGCCCCTCGCGCGCCGACCTAATCTAGGGTTCTCTTTGCATGAAGATGTCGCTGGCGCAGTTACAGCAGAACATCGCCGTGAGGAACTGAGTCATCACGTGCTGAGATATATATAGGTATGAAGCATCTCTTGATTTAGCTGGCTGCAGTCTCAACGTCAGCATATTCACTTTGCCGCTGCTGGTGTGGTAGTCAAGTTTACAGTCAAGGAGGACATGAAGCTACCGGGCGTGCCACCAACAGTGCCGATTAGACACGAAAGTCGATCACGTGCGAGCCCGCCGACGAGCATTGTTGGCAAGCTACCGGCCTACTGAACATTATCAGTGGATGATGGAGCCGGAGGACGTTGTTCGTGCAACATTTGCAATCCCCTCCTACGATAAGTATATGGGCAGCTCTACCTTCTTTCTCCTCATCATCATCACCAACTCTGCCTTTCCAGCAACCAGCAACCAAATATCCTTCCTTATTACCATCCTCACTACTTCCACTTCTTCGACAACCAGATATCAACAATGTCTTCCCACGTCTTCAGCGAATTTGCCGACCAGGAGATCACTGTCGGCAACCAAGCATTTAGAGTATGCAAGTCAATCCTCATGGACTCTTCAAACGTGTTCAAGGCCATGCTGAAACCAGGCCGTTTCGCTGAAGGCTGCGGTGGACCCGTCCGGCTCCCTGAAGACGATCCCGCATCGTTCAAGCTGGTCATGGACATCGTCCATAACAACTATAACAAGATACCACAGACCATCACGAGCAGCGAGCTGGCCTCTCTGCTTGAACTCGTGGACAAGTACGACCTTGTCTCCCACATCCGCAACAACACCATCTCGCTCCGATGCATTGAGCACTTCTCGCGGTCCGTATTCCAAGTCAACAACGGAGCAGATGTTTTCCTTGCGGCAAAAGCTGCACACGTGTTCGGGTTGGCGGCGCGGCGGGAACAGCTTCTCTGGGCAGCGGCGATGCTGTGCTACGAGTGGGACGAGAAGTTCCTCGAGGAAGACGAGACGGAAGACGAGCAGATGTCCGAGGGGAACGAGGAAACAGGTACAAACGAGGAGACGTACCAGAACGGCCCCATTCTCAAGTACAACGGCCAGCCCGTGGCGGGCTGCGGGTTCGAGGAGACGCTGAAGGCACGCCGCGTGCAGCTCATCCAAGCGCTGCGCGCCATCACGGATGGTGCGGTCAACGCAGCCGCGCAGTCATGTTGCTGCGAGGAGCGGTGCGACGACGACGGCTGCGCGATGGACTACATGGGGGATTTTATCGACAACATGAAGCAGGCGGGTCTGCTTCCTGATGCAACGGACGCCGACTACGTGCACGGGCGTCCCTTTGATTACTACAAGGCGCTGATGGATAGCGAGGAGGAAGAGCGGTGGTGTCAGTGTGAGGAGTCGTTCTGCATCTGTCCCATGCCGGTGTGGCTCCGAGGCTGCAAGTTCCAGGAGAAGGCGATGGCGGTGCTCCAACGCACTGTAGGTGAGGCCTTTCTTGGGTGGTTCAACGACAGCTGGTAGAGAAGAGGCTAAGACAACCCATCCGCCCAATGAATGGTCCAAGATCTGTTGTTCGGTTCGTCGGCTGAGCAAGCCTGGAGCGCTCGGTGACGGAGTTCGCGTGCTGGTCCACGCCCTCCACGACGGAGCCAACTGACGGTATGGACAACTTGTCTTTGGACGACCAGAACAGTCCAAGTACAAGGATAGAATAGCACTTATCGTCACATAGAATTTGTCACTGCTGGTTGTTTTCCCATATATTTTTGGATTTACTCTCGGCCTTGTCATTTCTTTCCCTAACGTAATGAACCATTTGCAAAACCATTCAGCATTCCCTGTTCCCTATGCATGCCCCATATTTATCCCTTCAAGCAACGCGCCATTCCTGAACAATTTCGGACGGTGAATGCCAAAAGGCTTGTCAGAAGCCACCCTGCGTGTGGCTTCGAGTGTCGACACATGCGATATATGCCGATCACGCGGGAGTAGACCGTGTCTCTATGACCCGCGATCGTCCTGATATTCTAGATCCTCGCAAGTCCTCTGACAGTCTATGCAAGCCCCTCCAAGTCCTCCAGCCACTCGTTGGCGAAATTGATCATGAGGTCAGAGAAAAGACGAGACCATAGCATACACCACCTTCCATTACCCAGTACCCTAATCTATCCAACACTAATCACTACACCCGAACGAATGACCTCCATCCTCCCACCTCACTCCCCCTTTTCCTCTCTGTCCATTGATCCATTGATACATTGATCCATGCATCCAACCCCCTCCCATCTACCATTTAACCACTGACCCATGCATCCGGTACCAATACATCCCCCCTCCCTTTCCTTTCCATCCCGATCCCTTCTCGGCCCGTGATCCTCTCTCTCCTTACATCATACGCACCATCAACAACCAGACTCACACCCATGACAACCCAGACCGCCATAATACTCCTCCGCGCGCTGAACCCGCATCTCGCCACACGCCTCCGCACCCACCACGGTCCCGACAAACACCTCAGCGGGGCGTCCCATGGGCGGAGCGGTAGCCGAATACGCCTCAGCCGGCCGACCCATCGGAGCCACAGGACTAGGGAACGGAACTGTAGCGTGCAGAGGCAGACCGACGCCGCCACGGCCTCCATACACCCCGTTATCAGAGCGATAGTGGTTGCGACGACGAACGGGCAGCGCAATGCCAGATCCGACGACGTTGCGGATACTCGTTAGATCCTCGCGGGGTGGGCGCACAGTGCCGGTGCGGGGCCGACGTGCCGTCTGGAACGCAATCTCGCTGAGCTGGGACGCGAACGGAGCGTCGGACGGCTCGGAATTGTTCGGGGTCTTGAGAGGCGACGCTTCGTCTGTAGACTGCTGGAGATCGGAAATGGCTGTGTATCTGTCAGTGACCACTACTCAGCAGCCCGAACGAGGGCCCACCTTGCTGAGCATCCGGCATCGTGGAGCGCTGCTTCCTCGGGCGCAGTCTCTTGGGCGATCTGGATTTGCCTCTAGGGTTCATCGGGGGCAACATCCATGGCACTGGGTACATGTGGTAGAACCATGGGATGCCGTAGCTATCGAGAGCGTACAGGTCAGGCATGGTCAGAGCCGGCTCCTTAGGCGCAACATGGGCTTCTTTCTGACCGGGAACGAATTCTGATGCAGTGGCGCGTAGATCAGACGGGCTCGATCGCAACGATGCCTGGCTTTTAGTCGCACGGGGAGCGTTAGGGATATGTTGTGCACTGCGAAGTCGGGTCGGCGAGGTACTATATGGAACCGTCTCTGGGCCGCGCGCAGACACCGAGTCGTCGTCTTCATCGTCTGCGTCACTCGGGTTAATGAGGCTTGTCGTTACAGAGCTGCTATCCGTTTGTGTTGCCTTCACAGTCGAAGAACTGGTCGCTCGAGAGTGACCAGACGTTACGGGGGGACGATTGCCAGGCCCAAATACATCGGTCTCCGTGTCTTCAGACTGCGGGCTGCGTCGATCAACATCGCTGGTGCGCACTCGTCGTTGCGTGGCATTGGTCTCAACACTATCAACACTCGCGATTGTGAAGTCGCGATTCTGGCGATCCAACAATATCGGCGTAGAGCCTGCGCTGTCGGTTGTTCGGACTTGTCGCATCGATTTCTTCCTAGTTATAGTAGGCGACCGCAAGGCCTGCGTGGATTTCGTTTGCTTCAGAGTCGAACTCAGAGTCGGAGCGCGAACGCTGCTGCCCTTGCTGCTGGACATGCGGGGGATGCGCGACGACTGTGATGCAGAAGGTCGTGTCGGAGATGACGGAGAGCTCAGATCGACGCTGTCTTTCTCTGCCCCACGAGCAGTATCCTTTGGCAATTTTCCGATGGACAGATTCGATCTCGAAGCCTTCGCTCTGGTGCCTGTTGTTACTTTCGACGTATTCGCGCTGGAGTCATTGCGTGAATTATCGGTCTGCTCAGCATCAACGTCAGCCAGATCATCTACACAAGTGAAGTATGTTTCATCGTGGGAGTCATCGTCGGAAGAGGAGCTGATTTGCGAGCATGCAAGACTCCTTACCGGCGACCCATGCGCGGTGTAGAACGAGCTTGCTCCTGTAGAGACGACACTGCTTGGGCCCCGCCTGTGGTTAGCAATCACGTGACTACCCAGCTGCACCGTCCGTGGGGATAGTGATTTGCTGGGAGAATTGCCGGCTTTGGGCGATGCATTCGGACTATTCCAAGGTGCCTTCGTGGGTGACTGCAGCTTACGACGGATTGTAGGTGACACGATATTCGTATCGACAGCATCGAGGGCTTCCTTGGTGAGGAAAGTATTGCCTCCCGTGTCCGGTGTTCCGATGTCGAATGAACTGCGTGTAGCCCGAGCAGTCTTGTTCTCAGAGGTAAGAGAACTCTGCAGTGTAGCTCCGGCACTTGCTCGCTGCGCTGTTGCGAGGGTTGGCGTTGTCGGCGGGGACATCCATTGCGCAGGAAGCGGCTTTCGCGGACTGGCAGACTTGACATCGCCGTATGTAACGGTGCTTCTCTCCGTGATAATCTCGACGCTGCTCTCAGAAGACGTTCGTGTGCCCTCGATATCGGATCTGGAGGCGTCCGCAAGGCCCTTCGTAGACAGAGACAATGTGTTGTCACGTGGGCTGTCGGTGCTGAATGCTTGCAAAGCTTGCGCTGCCGTCAGGGAGACGGTGTGTGGAGAGTCGTCGAGGCTGAGCTCAGACAGTACTGAGCGCGGAACGTGAGCAGCGCCTTGATCGACATCAACAAGGACGCGGCCGTACCCGGGCAGTAAGTGAGCCTTGGAGGGTGATAGAGTAGTCATGTTGCGATTTGAAACGCTATGTCTGCTTGAGGAAGAAGATGTGAGCGGTAGAGTTGCTGGCGAGGTGCTTGGTCGATCGATATCAGCGTCGGGGATATGCCGCGAAAGACTGCCTCTGACTGCTCTCGGTCCTGGCTGGTGTTGCCTTGCTGTGTACTTACCGTTCTGCCAGGCCCAATGCCTTCGCCTTGTCGCAGTAGGTGATAAGGGTAAACTCGCCGTGTTGACAAGACGCGAAGTAGAGGTAGTGATATAAACACATGATGCTGGGGAGCGACTGTCGCCCGCAACGCGCTACAGAATAACAGCTACCGGGTTGATTCAATAAGCAGGCGCGGTTCTGCAAGTGCAGTGCAGTGGATGGAAAGCAGGCGCGTCGCACGTGTATACGATAGCCGGAAGGTGAGGTGAAAGGTGAACTTGAGCAAACGAAGCAAGTGACCTAGCACAAATCATAAAGACCCCCAACGTCATTTCTTAGCCAAAAAACTAGCGTACTTGGTGTATATAGTCTGGCAAATATGCTAGAAGCGCTTCTTTTTCTTGTGCTGCGCCTGCTTCTTAGCAATTTCCTCGTTCCTGCGTTTGAGCTCAGCTCGTTTGCGCTCCGCCTTTTCCTCTGGCGTCTCTTCATGTGCTTCTTCTGCTGGCGCGGTTTCTTCACGAAGTTCTTGCGGCAGTGGCGGCGGCGACGACTTTGGAGTCGGTGAATAAGTATCCCTGTGGCGATTTGAGATGGGCGGCTCCGCTGGTTCACACTGCGAAGAGGACGCTTCTCGAATAGGTTTGCTCTTGCCTCCAATCCTGAATTGCTTTCTCGGCTTCTTGGGGGACTCTTCGACTTGTAAGTCCACCTGTGAGGGCGGCGGCATCGAGGCCTCCTTCGAATCATGGTTAGTCACGGTTTCTTTCTCCTCGGACTGCGATGTCTCAGGAGTCTCCTTCTTTGCTTTCCCTCCAATGCGAAAGCCTTTCCCCTTGGGCTTACTTGCTGGGGGTGGAGATGTCGCCGGCTCTGAGGGTATTGGTGGCGATGGCGGCCGTGTCTGCCTGCTGCCGTGACCTTGGCTCTGGGACCTTCCTGGGACATCCAGATCGTCGTCGTCTTCGGTTGATTCCTCATCCTCGGCGCCCATGCTCAGGTGAGCGGATGGCAGTGGTGGCTCGGGTGCTTTGGCTACCTTCTGGGGTATGCTGCGAGTCTAAGGTTGCTGTCAGTAGCAGTTGCCAAGTGTGTTGTCACTTCTACGGACCTTGAAGTTTCGGTGGACTTCGAACTCGTCTTCGGTGTCATCGTCGACGGGACTCGACTCGTGGCCATGCTTTGGCGGTTGGAAACGGGGCGCAGGCTCTATGGTCCGGATCTTGACAGCCGGTTTGGCATAGGTCAGCCGGCTTGGAACCGCAGGAAGCCAGTCTTCGGCACCATCTTCTGCTCGCAGGCTCGAAGGCACATCTGGGGCGCATTGCGCGAGCGCTTCCTGGAACAAGCCTAGCGTGGTGACGTCCGAGTCGGCCAATTGTGCGGTTTCTTCCCTCCAAGCAAGCTGCTGGAAGGGGCGGAGTGCGGGTAGGTGCCTGGCTGCTTGCTCACGTTTGATCAGCTTGCGGCCTGTTTTCAAGCCTCCTATGCTTGGAAAAGCTGCAGCAAGGTCTAGATTGTTTGATTCGAAGGAGTCGACGAGGCGAGTGATTGCGCTGTCTTTGTTTTCGATGGTCGTGATCAGGTCGTTGATGCGCTCGTATTGGATATGCGAGGAAACAAGCAGGGGGAGAATGAGCTCGTTCTTCAATGTAACCGGGCTGCGCTTCCGTAGATGGAACTTCCAGGTCAAGGAGTCGAGTGGCTCGGGCAGGCGAACCGTGGTGTGCAGTGTGATGCCATCGATCCCTTCACGAGTGATGCGGCATTCGGCTGTGTCTGAGCCGCTCAACGACTGCTCGACGGTCTCAAGCAGGATGGCAAGCTGCGCAGTGTCCTGCGTGCTGACCTCGATGGGCGACTGCTGCTCGACAGCACGGTCTACGATGCCGGCCAGGTCCAGCTCCTCACACCAGATGTTGGTCAAGCACGTGAGGAAGACGCAGTACGAGTGCGCCTTGAAGGCTGGCTTGACGAGCAGCTGGGGGATGGGCTCGCCGTCTGGCTGCTCGGACAGCTCCAGCACGCGCCAGGACGACGACATTGCAGCGATCACGGTCGGGCACGGGGGCGGTGCGATATCACGGCGGGCATTGTGGCCTATATAAACATGTGACTTCTATGTATGCTGTAGCGAGGGATGCGGGACGGTGAAGGCAGCCACCGTAGGGCTGCCGATCTGAGCGCTAAGCAGGCGGCAGGGGTCCTGGCGGCCGGGGCAGGTACGTCACGGCAGCCGAAATTATCGACGACGGTCGTCAGCACTCGCTGCAGCACTCCCAATAGTACAATTCACCATGTCGTCGCGCAATCCACCGCCCTGGGAGCGAAATGGCCGCGACCGCCCGCCACAGCGCCCGCCGGCGTCCAGCGTTCCCGCGAAGCGCTCGGCCGACACGCGATCGCACGACAACGCAGCGAAGCGGTCGAACAACGCGGCCGAGGAGGCGTGGGTAGCCGACGAGGACCGCTTCGTGCTGCAGCAGGCGAAGAAGAAGGCGGCGCTGCGCGTCAAGGGCGGGCGGGCCAAGCCCATCGACTGGCTGGCCGTCACGCTGCGCTTCATCGACCCGACCAAGTCGGTGCACGAGGAGGAGGTCGAGGACCACGAGCTGGACGTGCAGGACCCCGAGGGCGTACTGGAGGCGCTGGACGCGGCCGAGCTGGCGGAGCTGGAGAAGGAGATCGAGCACTACCTTGCGCTGGAGACGCACCGCGGCAACCGGGAGTACTGGAGCGTGAGCTGGCAGCCCATCATTGGCGCGGGACGCATTGCTGACCGACACAGGCCCTCAAGACCATCTGCAAGGACAGCCGCCGCAAGGCGCGGGCGTCGGGCGACGCGCGCAGCACCAGCGCCGTCGCGGCCGACATCGACCAGCTGCTGGCGCCCAAGACGTTCGAGCAGCTGGAGGCCCTGGAGGCGCAGGTCAAGCGCAAGCTGGACTCGGACGAGCCCATCGACTACGACTACTGGGAGCAGCTGCTGCGCAGTCTGCGCATCTGGAAGGCCAAGGCCAAGCTGCGCCGCGTGTCGCAGGAGATTGTGCGCGAACGCCTGCAGGCCCTGCGCAAGCAGCAGGCCGAGGCCGCCGTGGCAGTGCAGGAGCGGCTGCAGGCCAAGCTGGGCGACGCGTCGGCCGCTGCGGTCGCGTACGATGCGGCGCTCGACCCGCAGCCGCTGCTGAAGCTGCGCGCCGAGGACAAGGCCCTCCCGCAGGTCGCCGAGAGTGCCTTCCTGGAGGGCATAGTGAGTGTCCCCTGCGTGTCCCCTGCTGCAAACGCCCGCCCGTACTGACAGCGCCAGGCCGCCGACCGCAAGAAGACACAGAAGCTCGGCTACGTGCCGTCGCTGCGGGGCGCCGCCGACCACGCCGCCGTCGGTGACCAGCCCGCCCGCCACGGCGCTGCGACCGTCAGCGCGTCGCGATTCGCTCCCGTCGAGAAGGAAGACTACTCGCAGGCAACCATGGCCCTCTACGAACGCGAGGTCGCACGCGGCGTGGAAGAGGGCGAGGAGGTCTTCGCCGCCGAGGAACAGGTCACGACTGCACGACCACAGTGGGCTGGCACCTACAAGCCACGAAAGCCCCGCTATTTCAACCGCGTGCAAATGGGCTACGAGTGGAACAAGTACAACCAGACCCACTACGATCACGACAATCCCCCGCCAAAGGTTGTCCAGGGCTACAAGTTCAACATCTTCTATCCCGACCTCGTCGACAAGGCAAAAGCCCCAACGTACAAGATCGAGCGCGAGAACGGCCGCCGTCGGGGCGAATCTTTTGCTCCCGCTGGCGAGGACGACACGTGTCTGATCCGGTTCATTGCCGGGCCGCCCTATGAGGACATCGCCTTCCGCATCGTCGACAAGGAGTGGGACTATAGCGCCAAACGCGAACGCGGCTTCAAGAGTAGTTTCGACAAGGCAAGTACCGACAGCTCAGTCGTGCGACTCCAGCTCGCGCTACTCAACCCTGACCATCGCATGTTGGCTAACGAGGCGCAGGGCATTCTACAGCTGCACTTCCAGTTCAAGAAGGTTAGTCTTGCTTACACACGACCCTACCTCATTATACTGATTTGTTACAGGTTTACTATCGCAAATAGTCCACACACTCCACCTCGCGAGTTCTCCCAGGCTGTGCATGGACGTGCGACGCAGATCGAGCGTGACACCCGCCGACAGATGCCACTTTCTGCACACCAAGGCTCTCGTCATTCCGTCCCCATCATGCGAGCGCATGTGAGTGCATGCGACAACGCAGTGGCGGTGTCGCTCGACAAAACCATCCGGCCAGGGCCACTGCACTCGGGTACCAATTCCAGCGTCGACAAGCTGCCGGTTGCCGGCGGTGTATGTCCATGTTGAGCGGTGACGAATGCGTCAGGACTGATATCCAATCAAACGCAGACACTACCGCTGTCAGAGCGAATAAGGCAATCGCAATGAAGCTTTCACCGGACACCGTGTACTACGTTCCGTTGTGCCATCTCCAATTTCTTAGTCTGGCAGATTTCCGCGGTACCTGCTTGAGTCGATATGCAGGTCAACAACTGCTACATGTAGACTTTGTCGAGCCGTGCGTGAGTGCGCCGAAAACCAGTAACAATCGCTTGCTTGAGGCAAGTTTGAGCAACCAAGGCGGTTTGGCAATAACGAAGACCCCATAACGTCAGGATCGCGACGCACCGTGACGTCCGGAATGCCTGGATGGAAGGCGTCTGGAAATATTCTAGGAGATTCGTTGGAGCGGTCTACTCACTGCGATTCGTGGCCGATTTGACGTTACATGATGGTCTGAGCAGCATGCACGCTCCCGTCGCCAGCCCTACCGATCCACTTGTAGCAAGAAAATCGTTGGCTCCTCCGGCAATAATAGACAAATGCACCTGTCACTGCAATACCCTCATGCGGCATTAGACCCCGTTGGGTGTGGGTCATAGCCTGCGTCCGGTCCTTTCACGTTGTGTCACTCTTCTACGCGTCTGCCTTCAAGCGCATCCATGCTCTAACGTCTCCTTGTTTGTGGATGGCCCATGTCTGCAGCATCAATGATCAAGCTAGGCTGGCACCCGTACTTGGGTAGAGTGACAATGAGGTACCGACCCACGCCTTGGTCCATGATACAAAGGTACAAGTTGTTGCTTCACTTCTAGACTCGCTATTCCGTAGTTCCCCCGTCGAACCATCTCTTGCCATACCCTTCGTCTCACAGTTTCGTTGGTCTGCGCATCACGCCTCTGGATCGATATTCCGCACTTCCTGACTAGGCTTAGAGCACAACAGCGATGGCGAGCCCAGCTTCACCCCGTCTGCTCCCCGCTGCCGAGATCTCTGGAGACATCGGACCACAAGAAGATCAGAAGTACATTTTCCCTTCTGAACTGCCTGAAACAGCATTTTCGCCTACTTGCGAAGAAGACATGGCCATGGTGACTTCCAATCGAGCGATCGCACCTTCGGACGACAATCACACACAGCAAGCACCCATGGCTATCGGTCCTCAGGCAATGCAATGGACTTCTGACTACTACAATCCACACGAGATCCTTCAGCATGCATCCGCTTTTTCTGCGCCAGCCTACTTCACTGCAGACCCGTCTTGCGCTAGCTACCCCATGCCGCCCCACTATGACCCCCCCTACAACGCAAACCACGCCCTCAACTACCCACACGAATATATGAATTCCCGTCCCCGCGGCTACAACATGGACTTCTCTGGTTATCCTAGACACATGGCTACATCCTATCCGCCATCCACCTTCGTCCACTGCCCGCCGGACATGCCATCTGCCGACAGCTCCACGCAGCTCACGCAGCTAAGTGACGATTACGATCTGCAATATGCGGATTACTTCAAACAAGAAGACCAGCTTGACTACGCCAGCCCGTACTCGGGGACATCTCGCGCCTCGACTCCGTACTCGACTGGGCGCGAAGAGGACGAACCGATTGACAAGGAGCAGCCCTATGCGCAACTCATCTACCGCGCACTGCTTACTGCGCCGCAACACACGATGGTTCTCCGCGACATCTACGACTGGTTCAAGACGTACACTGACAAAGCAACGCACAGCGAGACCAAGGGCTGGCAAAACAGCATCAGACACAATCTCAGCATGAACGGCGTAAGTCCCGACCATATCTTACCCTCTCCCTCCACAAACCCACATGCTGACCTCCCCCAGGCCTTCGAGAAAGTCGACTCCCCCGCCGAAGCAACAACCAAAGGCTTCATGTGGCGCCTAACCCCCGCCTCGCTCCGCGAAGGCGTCAAATCCACGACCCGCTACCGCTCCAAAGCCCCACACAAGCGCACCACGCACCGCACCCCCCTCCCGCAGCGCCAAGCCTCGGGCGCAAAAGGCGGCCAAGCCTCCCGCCGCTCCACAACCCTGCGCCGCGCCCGCCCCCGCGCGCCCCCCTCCCCCTCCCCCGCGCCCCGCAGCACCCCCTTCTCCTTCCCCTGGCCCGAGCCATCCCGCTCAGACTCCCCCTACGACCCGCTCGCCTTCACGCCCTACCACCACGATCCCAAGGACGCCGCTTTCGAGCCCATGCTGGGTCTCGCGGCGCATCTCGTCTCGCCGCCGCGCAGCTACGCGGGCTCGCCCGGCGCGCCGTCGTTCGTCAGCGGCGACGCGGCGTTCGGCGAGGCTGCGTATGCCGGCGATCAGGCGTTTGGGGGCGAACCCGCGTATGCGCTTGAGCGTGCGCGCGGCGCGGAGCGGTTCTTCGATAGTCCGAGTCCTGCGCTGGAGCCGGTTACGCCGGTTGTAGCGCGGGGTTGGGAGGATGTGCCGCTGGGCGTGGATGTGTTTGATGAGTTGGCGGGGTTTGGTGGGGGGCCAGTGTAGGCCGTGGGGAAGGTTGGAGCTTTGTCTATGTCGCTCATGTCGCGTTAGGGTCGCGTTGTGGTGTTTCTTTTGTATGGCTGTGGTTGGCGGGGTTGGTTTCTTTCTCGCATCGTCGTGAGGTTGGGTTGGGTGTTTGTCAGACGGAGTTTGGAGTGGAGTTGGAGTTTGAGATTGACGTTGAGATTGACGTTGACATTGACACTGACGTTCAAAACTGGCCCGCACCACACTGTACTTGATTTCGTTTCGTACCGTAGACTGGGTATCAGCATGGTATTGGCCCGCGCCACCTTGTGCCTTTTTGAGTAGAGTAAAGACTGCAATCACGCACCGCGTTTCCTCACATCTCGTATCTTGTGTGTTGCCGGAACTGGGTTGACTGTGTGGCTTGTGCGTGGTTGCTATGTGTGTACGATGTTGTCAGTGGGAGTTAAGTGGTGACCACTCATCCTGGTAGAGGCTGCTGGGTACCTGGGTATCTAAGCGTGGCGGTATGTCGTGCTGAAAAGCTTCACGAATTCCGGTGTCATGTCTGGTTCACCGCACGAGCAACACATCACTTCGCTCACAGCACCACGCACGACACAGTGTCCGAACAAATGTCTTAAATTATGTACCGTAGAATCTTAAAATCATATCAACCTCTTCGAGTTCCCCCCCTTGGGCCCCGCCGCACTCGTGCAGTTGACCTGCTTCTCGACCCCCTCAATGCTGCCACAGCTAAACAGATTCGTGCCCGACGGCGACTTGACATCGATATTGCTGATATTAATGTTCTTGCAGACCGTGGGGCTGGAGCACTGCAGGTACCCGATCAGGGGATCGTACTTCTTGCTAGTGGTGCCCTTGAAGTTCTTGATCGTGATGTCAGAGATGGTCAGCTTGGACGGGAACGCGTTGCACAGCGTGATGTTCTTCTGCCCGTAGCACTGCGTGATCTCGATTGCGTAGTCGACGTTCGAGACCGTCATGCCGTCGTAGGTTACGTTGGTGACTTGGCCCAGGCCGCCGCCGCCCTGCAGATCGCCGGACAGCGCGGATGCGGTTCCGGGCCACACCTTGATGCGCGCGCCGTCCGAGGCGTTGGACATGGACACGTTGGCGACGTAGATGTTCTTCACGATGTCGACTTCGCCGGCGTACTGGCCGAGGGAGCCGACGGAGATGCCGTGCGAGCCGTTGCAGACGAGGTTCTGGATGACGATGTCGGTGGAGTTGGGCTTGAAGGAGACGCAGTCGTCGCCGTTGTCAATGACCGAGTTCTGGATCACGATGTTGCTGCTGCGGTACGTGTCCCAGCCGTCGGTGTTCTTGGCGGGGTTCTTGCTGGTGCTGCCGCCCTTGATGTCGATGTTGGAGAAGACCACGTCGGTCGAGTTGGCCACCAGTGTGTACCACTGCGGGCTGTACCGGAACTTCAGGTCCTCGATGCTGCCGCCCTTGAGCCCGATGACGCCGAAGAGGATCGGGCGCAGGATGTAAATGTCCTGGGCGTACAGATCGTACCAGGCCTGGCCGTTGCCGTCGAGGGTGCCGCCGCCGTAGACGTTGACGTCAGAGCCGCCGAGCTGGAAGAAGGTGGTGGCGTTCTGGAATGTCTGGTAGAACGCGTTCTTCTGCCAGTAGTCGGTGTCGTTGGTGAACTTGATAGTTCCCTGGATATCTACCAAGCCATTAGATACGCCTGAGCAGTGCAATTGAGATCAACTTACCAAGATCAATGCACTTGAGGAACGTCAAATCCAGCGCCGTACCAACGGTGTAGTTCTTGTCCTTGGGAAACACCACATGTCCACCATTATTACAGCTCTTCACCGCACTCAAAATGTTCGCTGAATCATCCTTCCCGTTGCCATTCGCCTTGACGACACACGTCCTGGTGCGCGCCGGCGAGGCCGGGAACGGCTTGCCGGGGTGGTGCGGCTTAATCGCATGATTAGGACGCCTGGAGGGCGCAACCTTCGCCGCGCGCTCCTCGACGGGCGACGCAAACGCCGCCGTAGCGAGCGCCAACGAGAGAAGCTCTGAGACACGCATCTTTGCAGGGGATGAAGATTTGAGTCCGGGAGGTCGACGAATGCAAACCGCGGTGCCATCCTCTGCAACCCCCAGCCGGTCCTTATATACCCTCTCCCCCGGTCCCTACACTGTCTGCACGCGCACGCACGCACCCCAGCCCGCGCGCACGGGAGATGAGGCGGAGAAACTCTCCCCACAATCCCTCACCCGCGTTGTCGTCGCGCGCCCCATGTCGCGGGGAACCGTGGCTAGTGGGTGGCGCTACCCCGGCTGCCCTGGCGCTACCGAAGCTCACCAAGCTTTTTACGGCGGCGCGGCGCCAATGATTGGAGGGAAAACAAGGCGCCGCGGCAACGGCATGGGCGTGGGTAAGCGCAATCTGGATATCGTGCCGGCTGCTCGGAAATATGCTGGGGTGCTGGCCGCGTGGTGTCGAGCCGGGAGTTGTTATCCAGGCGGACGAGGGAGGTGCGAGTGGTGCTTCACTGTAATTTTGATTCGGAGTGCTGCGGAAATGCTCTGACAATGCTTTGGGATGCTTTGGGATGCTTTGCGTGCTTGTTCTCGCTGAAGGTACTGTAATATCGGCGGCGATAGTGCACGGTGCAGCCACACTCGCGGTGTGTTGTGAGTCGCAAGCCGCGGAGCGGTCTCCTTTGCTTGTGACGTCCAATCTTGCGTTTGAAACCTCCCGGGCCTATTTCGTACATGAACCATGGACTACCGGTCGTGGGTCTCTGCAGTATCTCCCGCAATCAACACTCGCAAATTCTCTATCTCGGTTCTCCTTGACAAGAATCTCCGTGCCACTTCCTCCCCTGAACGCTCCTCACAGCCAAACCTCCCCCATCGGCCCGACTCTACCAGCATTCCCCATGCAGTGACAGGTCCCAGCAGAACGTCTGCTGGTCAGCTACCCTGCATTATGCAGGTGGAAGATAAATTGCATTACATGGTTTCTAAGATGACCCGTTGACAGCCGTTGATCGCTACATGGTACTGTTCATCGTCACTTCGTCCACAGTGTCGTCGCAACATAGACTACATATAAACTTGGAAATTTGCACTGTTACAGCTCAAAGATTCTGCACTGCTATCGCGTGAATTGAAGCTAAAAGACAGACCATGGAGAACAATTGGTAGTCAGATTTTGAATGCAAGATACAATCTGTTGGCTGCCAAATCAGCTGTACTATAATGTATGAAATAGTGAGATATGTCTTGTTTCTTCCTTGTTGCTTCTCGATTATCTGTGTCATGTGTCTCATTCCACATCATTTCTCTCCTCTTCTGCTCTGCTGTTTCAGATGTCAAGTAGGCCACTCCTCACACCCCAAAAATATTTGGCGGCCGAACATGACGATTTCGCTCGTGACAACGGTGTCGGATTGTTGAAGCAGCGGAATAATGGCATGTTCCCGTACAAACGAGGGGCCCTACTGATGCGCCGGACGTACAGATGATAGTTGTCCTGAAAGCACGTTGGCAACGAAGTCTATAGTAGGCATATCTTCTATCAAGCTACTGGCAAATCTTCTCCCAAAATCTCCTCGCTATCACTTTCTATGCAAGCTCTCTCACTGCGCATTGCTAGATGACATACGTGTTCTACTAGTTACCATTCCACTCATTAGCGTCCATGTCTAGCTCATTCTATGGTTCCTCATCACTGATGACGAAGTGTTTAATCTGTGGAAACCATCGTCTTGCACGCTCTTCCCAGTAGCCAGACAGCTGTTGGAACTCTTCTTCCGAGAGGCGGGATTCTAGGTCCACGTAAGGCTGAAGATGTAGCTTCTCTGATCTGAGGAGATACAGCCACGTAAACCCTGTACTGGAAAGCCAATTCCAGTCTCCACTACAGGAAATCTGTAGTTCGCGGAGCGAAGGACAATGCTGCTGACCAAACGCAGACATGACTGAGGTAAGGCTGAGAGCCTCTCCTAAGCAGTTGAGAGTAACCTCCTGCAGATGTGGCAAGGACTTTGTAAGGTGGTGTAGAAGTTCGTCATTGATGCCAAAAGCTTGCATTGGTTCACTAGGTTCGTCGATACTCAGTTCCATGAGCTGGGGACAGCGATCTGCCAACTCTCGTAGATCCGCTCCCAGGATGAGCGCGTCCTCCCTGGGTTCATAATGGAATCCAGTCAATCGAGAGAACTGTGCAGCAATTCGTAGGACGTTTTGTAGCTTTGGTAGATCGTGGTTATAAACATAGGCATGTTTTAGCTGCTCGCACCTAGCTCCCGCAGCGAGTGGCTTTAATGACCATTGAATACCCGGCCTAACTACGTAGATGAACTCCAGATAAGGCATACGTGGCAGGAAATGAGCCAGCGCCTGCCAGGAGATTTTTGCCTTGTAGGACGAAATATGAAGGCGCCGGAGGCCTGGACACAAGCGGCTGACCTCCTCAAGAAAGTGGTCGGTTAGAAAGCTGTCGCTGATTATAATGAGTGCTTTGAGGCCGGTGTGGACAAAATTAAGAATGTCCCTCTCCGTATATAGCCACTTGGCTCCCAATTGCCTGAACACCAGCTTCTTCAGTGAAGGGAACTGTAGTCGATGCATCGGCAGTTGCTCAGCTTCTTCGCTCCAAGTGTCAGGCTCACCCTCCAGTGTGAGATCATGGATGAAGTTGGCGTGGAATTGCGTGAGCCCGCGACGGGCCCATTTGGACGGGCCGCCACATTCCGGGTATATCTGCATAGAAGCAAGCTCTCCCCTGGAGACCTTCCACAAGACCCTCAAAGCTTCTTCATAAAACATCTTGTTGACCAACAAACAGTTGTAGAGCATGCTGGGTTCCACTTCCTCAAGTATAGCCGCCACTATCTCGCGTACGTAAAGTGCATGATGCATAACGATGGGTCCGGAAATAGGTCTGAATGTTGAGGAAGCGGCAGATTGTTGTGTGTTCTGGGATTCTAATTGTGTAGGGAAATGGTTTAGATGCTTCGGTCCTTGCACATTACATGCGACGGGCAGTTTTGGGTAGTGGGGCTGGGAGATATTGTCCTGCATCCGGCGGGCCATCAGTATGCGCTTCTTGTGTTGTTGTTCGAGCAGCATTATCTGTATCTGGTAGTCGTGCATCGCGGCTGACCAGCTCCAGCTGGCCGGGCTGCTGCGGCGGGCTCGGCTGCACTTTGGTAACTGGTACCAAAGAACCCTAGAATCCTGTTGTGGGGCCAAGGGTCAAGTATACCTAAGCGAACAGACGGTATTCGTCAAGGCTATTGGAGTGGCTAACAGTATGTGTGTGAGGAACCAAATGTCCATGTGATATGTTCGTGTAGTTCCACTGAGCTATTCTTGTGGGTACCTGCAATGAGCACGGGTCACAGTCATGTCACGTGCTATCACGTGACATGGCAGTTGCCCCGTCGCACAGTAGTACAACCTATCCCCAAACACACTCGTGTGCTCCCTCAAACAACATCTCAGATCGCGAGTTTCTTGTCAGTGTTGACCAATTTATCGCTTTTCTACCCCGATCTACCAGCTCTGGTTTCGTTGCTGTCTATTTGGAGGTTCTTTGGTCATCTTAATTCGTTTTCTGACGTGTGTCTTGACTACATACGTCTGTTTCAAGCAGCGAGTTCAAGCAACGCCAAGAGCACTCATAGCGATTCTGACTGGGAGGTTGTACTGCACGTCCCAGTATCCCCACTGCCTATCCATCGTCACAGCCGCGAAAGTGCAACCTCCTGTAGTCGTCGTATTATGAGTATACGTGATCCATATATCCTGGTTCCCGAAAGCAACCTTCGCTATGATCCAGATTCCAGTTCCGAGAGCTGGGAGACCAAGGGAGAGTAACGATGCCCATGCGCTGATCTTCAGCTTCCCGAGTATACGATAGCGACTGCGCGTACTAAAGAGCACAACAAGAGTGCATACAACGAATTGGAAAGCATTGATCAAGGTAAATAGGACCTGGACCAATTTCATGTCCAACAGCTTGGAGGCTACAAGGTCAGATGATTGTTCGAGCCAGTCCAAGCAGGATTGGGGCATGCGGGCGATCGAAGAAGGGTTGCTGACTGCTCGAGGCGTTTCAACGTATGTGGGATGATTTCCCTTGTCAAGCCAGGAGTATTTAAAATGGAGCGCGACAACTGCAAGTGACATACACCACTGGACGATGGTGACGACTGCAAAAGCCATCGATGCCCAGTACATTCTTGGACGTATCCGGTGAGTTGCAGTCTCGGTAACGCTTTGAAAGTCGGTATGCTTCGTTTCAGACCCCGAGTTTTCGTATAATGGCTGTGCTTGCTCAGTAAACACTCCCACCCGATTCGTTTCTTGACGGAGAACAGGCGCGTAGTCTTGCGTTTTGGATCCCAATAACCGCGTAAGCCAGATGTAGTTGAAAGGTACAAGCCACAGAATGACGCTGCATGAAATGTTACTACGGAGTTGGCAAGATTGGGTAACTGTCACACGTACCTGACCCACGAAAAACGGGTTGCATCTACTAACCCTTGGCTAGTCCTGACGAACCAAGCAACAATGCGGGCAAGATCGATAGGGAGTTGGATCCAGAACGTCACAGGAAGGCTCATATCCTGTACCTCAGCGTTCCTCTCGACGCTTCGGGTCGTCCACCAGAGACCGAGCCAGGTGAAGAGCAGGCTCACAAACTGCAGGGTGAAAGTGGGCCACCATGGTGTGAAGGCGTTCTGCGTGGGCAGTGTCGGAATCATGATCGGTATACCTGTCATGTGTTTGCAGTATCCTGCCTGAGATCCAGCCCAATCGCTGGCGAATAATGGGTCTGTAGTACCGCCGCCACGCGTGCCTCCTCCACCTCCTCCGCCCCTCCTTGGCTCTCTCGGCACGAGAGCATTTACTGATGCTGCAGTGTAGTTGACAGGGCATGGTTGCAGTCCAGTGTTCTTGAAAAGCTCGAAGGTACTGTACCCGGACTGATCTACGAACGTGCTATTGGCTTGGCCTCTAACAAGTGGGACTGAAACAAGTTGGAGAATTAGAAGAATATTGAACGGTGAACAAAGGGTTGGAAGTAGTTTCGCCATGGTTCAACTTGGTATCGTCGTAAGTCAACTTCGATACAAGATGGAGTGTGGTGGATTAACTTCTTAGGAGTGTTCATTTATCTCACTAGCAGGACAGAAGCTCCTACTATGTGCTACTCGCTGGAAATGTTATCTAGTTCGTCACAAGACACGTGTGATGCGCTGAGATGACCCCACCCCCTTCAAGGTCTCATTTGAATGGTTCTGTACAGCTCTGAGCGGGGTCCCAAACCAATAAGCGGAGCGCATTGCTTTCGAGATTTTGAATTGTGTAGTCGTCCTTCAGCTCGCTTCTTTGGCGTGTCATTGAACCAAAATTCTTGGATTGATCTGATGTGGGCTTGTCTGGAGCAGACCAATTCAGTCCCATATAGGTCACACCAGGCGATATCAGTGATTATAGATATGGTCCGCAGAGAAGTTCGGTCCTACTTCGTAACATATCCGCTTTCAGTTCTTGAATGCGAAAGTTCAGCGAGCTTCTCAAATCCAGACGTGGAGCTAATGGCTTGAGATGTTATTATTGATGAACAACACACTGAGTATTACGGCAAACCATCGCCTTGATGTAGTCCCTGGGTGCAAAGTCAACTTCGTCTCACCCAGTCGCTGGGCCCATGGGGTATACCAGCATCGGCACACAATGAATACCTTAAGACCAGATGGAGGACCAGGCCCTTCTAACGGAAAGCACTGTTTCGTACTGCCTCAGGAACTTTCGGTATCCGAAAGAAACGACTGCGACCATACAGAAGTGAGATATCTAGTCACGTGATAATCTCTTACCCTGAGTTCTAATTCGCGGGCTAACTATCCGACGTCAGCTTCAACCTGAGTCAGTGCAGCTCACAATTCACAGTCCTATATCCTAAGTCAGATCCACGATGCTGTCTCGATCGCAACAAGCGAATAGTGGCAGACAGTTGATGGAAAGAGATGTTACGTAAGTAATCATGAAGCGAGCGAGATACTTAAGCGAGACAACGCTCCAATGGTCAGTCAAACATTCACCACCATCATAACATCAGGCAGATGTCTCAGCCGCTCAGCCTTTCAGCTGCATTACCTTGCAGGATATCAAGCGAGAGCAACGCAAGAAAAGTGGGGCAATTCACCCAACAAGCTTCGCACGTGATCTTTCGTACACCGTTCAGCGGACTGGGAACGGGTGTCGAAACGAGAGCCTTCAGTTCTTCAGAGGGCTGATATGATGGTCACTACAAGCAACCTGTGCATTCTGCACTGATTCAAAATGCCGGCATGCAGCAGCACAGTCAACAAAGGAAGTTGTGGACATCCTACTGAACATGGGTCAACCCATGACCAAACCGTCGTGAGTGATCTGAACTTATTGAAGATAAACTCTATTATGAGTGCAGACACGCAACGACCCACCAGCAGCTGAAGACAGGCCCAGGCGAACACCACGTCACTAATGCAAAACGAAGGCCCACAGCCCTGTAGCTGACAACACACACAAGCCCATCATAAACCCCCCAATCCACCATACCACACACGCCGAATCCCCCGATCCAACAAACCATCCACCCTCTCAAGACCACCACTCCACCACTCCCACCATGTTGACCCTCGCCCTCACACTCCTAACCTACGCAACCCTCGTCCTCTCAACCCACCCCCTCCACTCCCCCCTCTTCCCACGCCAGACCACCTGTTCCGCCTCCAACAAACCCTGCGGCACGGGCTGCATCCCCCAAAGCGGCACGTGCTGCGAAACGTACTACTGCTTCTCGGGCCGTGCGTGCGACGGCGCGGGCGGCTGCGCGTGCCTCGCCACCGAGCAGAGCTGCGGCACGAGCTGCATGCCGGGCGACGCGGTGTGCTGCCCCGACGGGAGGTACTGCGATGCGGGGGAGTTTTGTGCGCCGGTTGAGGGGTTCTGTTGTCGTAATGTGAGTCTTGTTCATGTAGATGGGTGAGTGTTGAAGTGGCTGACGTGTCAAGGGCGAGGATCCGGCGACGTGTGCGGTGAGGCAGGATTTTACGCTGCCGGGGTCGGATGCTACGACGACAGAGGTGGGTACTACGACGGCTGGGGCGGAGACGACGATCGAGGCGGTGACGACGACCGCGGCAGAGACGACAGCAAAGGTGACCTCGTCGATTATACTTACGACTACGAATTCATCAAGTGTTACTGTCAGTGCGACGGGGACTACAACAGCTCCTATCGCTGAGTTCACCGGGGCCGCTTCGAAGAGGGGGACTGTCCTTGAAGTAGTCCTGGGTGCGATGGGCTTACTTGCTGCTTTGTAAGAAGTCGTGGACTGTAGGGCTGCCGTCATGGCAGATCGGCATGGTTGCTGAACCGCCATTGATAGGCAGCTTTGTTCTTCTCCGGATTTCTAAGTCTCTGTGTAGCTTTGAAAATAATTAACATCACTATCTCTCATGCTGGCTTATGTCTGTACTCACTCACTGCTGCCGCAAATTATTATCTAGCAGCCTATGACGGTAGAACACTCCCTCATGTCACGCAGAAAATAGGAAGTTGTTTTTTCACTCCATTCGACTACCCACATGATGCGTCCCTGCACTTCCAAAATGCTGTGCTATTGGGAGAAGTGCAGGCGGAACGTAGATTGTCTACAGGTGACAAGACAGACCCATGTCCAGCCTCCGGAAGGAAAAGCTGCTCGCGTGTCAAAAAACCATATCTAGATGCAAAAAAGTGGAAAAAGTCCACCGAGGCATCTTTAGCCGCCGTGTGTGCTGCTTCCCTCATCCAGCTCAAGATCCTCACTGCTTCGATCCGATCACTGCCACCAAATCACACCTAGTCGAATGTCCATAGATACGACGTTTGAGCGACCTTGAGGGCGCAACCAAGCAAGGTGGTCTCATTTGTAACGCTGTTCAGTTCATCCTCCCTCGATTTAAGCCTGCGCACACACTCGGCGATCACACTGTCTGATACCTCTTCGCCGGATATTTTATCATTGTGAATGGTAATGGAAAGGTCGCGGTGAAGTGATAGATGTGCTTCGACCATGTCGCACTGATGGTTCATGTAGATGGTAGGCCAGGGGAAGAGGGCGTATTCCGGGCCAATATCTAGTAAGCAAATCAAAAATTCGAGTAGCCGGTGGCGCACGCACTCTAGACTTTTGCTCGTGATGCAATGTCCGAAATACGGTGAATTGTATAGAGCTACATTTGTTGTGCAGACTAAGGCTGTAGCTTCGAGGAACTCGATGGCTTCTATACGAGTGTCTGCTAGGCTTTGCCCTTTCAATAGTCTGATATCGAGACAAAACTCAATAATACAGTCTTGGCGATGAAAATGCACATTGAGAAAGTCCAAAAGTCTTGCAAATTGCTGTTTGCCGCGTTCTGGAGGGCTTACAGTTACCCAGATATCGAGAGTGGTGTATTCGTAGTAGCTGAACACGGCATTGCGAAAGCGCTGGTTTGTCTGCAACAAGTCCGAGCCGGGTAGGGCTGCGTGCTCGTCAAGGTCGTACACAAGGATGTTCTCCGGTTGCAAGACATAGTCGAGGATCCTGGCTGCAACAGTGTAGGAGTGCAGTAAGTCGTCGATATTTACTTCTCGAGCTGGCTCTGTGAGTTTGCACCACTGTCCGGTAGTATTCTTCTGGTACTTCAGTTTGATCACATCGCTCATCTCACTCCTCTCTTCACCGAAACGCGTTGGAAGGACCAGGTCGACTCTGCTACCATTGTTTGAGAGATGTACAGAGTCGACTGTTCTCCAACAGCGTAGCAGACTGCACAAATCAGAGGGAAGACTCGACTTGTTAGAACTTGCTGCCTCGAGCAATAATCTGAGCGTCTGACTGGCGGCTTGGTAGTCGGATTCGGATGATTGTTCCATCTCTGTAGAACAGTAGTCTCCGGGTATAAAGCTGATCTGTGGCACTACAAAGCTGGGTTTGCTCCACTGCTGCCCTGATCCGAGTTCCGCTGCTTTGGAGAGTCTCGCAATCCTCTTCACCAGGGCAGTGACATCTATATGCAAAGGAAATCGTCGGCAATTGAAGTCGCTCATGATGTCGATTTGAATGTCGCGGAGAGATGCCATCCTTTTGCCTAGAGCAAGCAACCAGTCGCCAACCCTTGTGACTATCGGGTAGTTCATCCAGTCATCGACATTTCCGAAAGTGATCAGCCAAGTGTTGCAAGAGTACATGATACCGATTGCCTCTTGACAGATCGTCTTGCAGGTGAACAGAATGTTGCGGTTCGGAATGGCGCGAATTGCATCCCACTTCGACATCTTTCGATGACTGTACGCTTTCAGTGTGACAGGTGCATCATTCTCGAACATGGCCTTGTAGATGAGGTTGCGTATCTCCGGCGGTCGTTCCAGGAAAGGTGTGATGGCCATGTTGATCGCGCCTTCGGCCAGTGCGCCTCCAGAGTCGAGGTCTCGCGCTGCGCCGGAGTGCTCGAGTGCCGTACTTGCTGCTGCGGTGGACGCAACCGCACCACCCGCCACGCCCGTGGACACCGTGTCTGCCATCTACTCTCCCGTTAGCCTTGCACACACTCCCCGGCAGTGCACCACACTCACCGTAGTTTCCAATCGTGGAGTGCCAGCCATGACCACATCAGCAGGATCCGCCATCGTTGTTGACATGCGGTGGTGGATGTGAGAAGGTGATGATGTTGGAGCGGGGAAGGAGTGGGCGAGCTGTTATTGTATGCGGGCACTAGGTCTGTGCGCTAGCGCACGCGAGGCAACAGCGAGTGAAGGTGAAAGTGAAGAGGTGTTGCAAAATGTTGCCCTGCAGCTGCGTTACGCGAGGTAGCGTTCCTTCGCGATACTCGCGGCGTCTCGCATAGATGTACGAACTCCGCTGTGCGGCGAGATGCTTCTGCACCACCTAGCACTTCCTCGTAGGCTCTAACTCCCATGCAACTGATCTTAAAGCGCCGCATCCTCATCTAAGCCGTTCCACTCCTCCCAATGCAACCATGAAGCCGTGAGATGCGCCACACAGTCGATCAGCGTCGTATCGAACCCAGCCGGCGCATCCTTCATCCTCTCAAACCGCCGGAAGACCTGTCCGTACTGCTCTAGCCTCGCTCCAGTATCCCACGGGCGTTCTTCGTACCGCGGATCGCATATCACGCCAACCGCAGTGTCCGCTTCGCGTACGCGGCATTGGCCATCCATATACACTGGCGGGCACGACAGACGCGCCAGTTGCGGATGTAGGTCAAGGATATGGGCGAAGAGCCGCAAGAGTTGGGTTTTAATGTGAACGAGCGATGTGGGCGGGTCTGTTGAGGGTTGTCCGTCTAGTCGCACAGATACACTGCACAGCGCTGTAGCCGTGGCGGCAACAAGGCTTGTAGCGTTGAGGCGGATGTCGTATATACTTGTTGGGGCTTCTGTTACGACGTTTAACTCAATGATGCTTCCGAGTCTGTTGTCAGAGTCGGGTCTGAGTTCGAGCATCGTCTGAAACGCGGCAGAGGCGTCAAGTCGATAGTCGCGTTTGCTTGAGACGAGCTGCCAAAACGTTGTGCGTCTGAATGTGCGCCGAATGTAGGTCCTTAGGGTCTGGTTGACGTGGAGCAGCTCCTGCCAAGGGGGCGAAACGGTGTGATGATCAAGATCAAAAGTTATTCTGTCACCAGAATGGTTCAGATATCCAAAGACTCTATCTCGTATGTTGGTATTCGAAAAAAGCCCGTCCAAGTTCAAAGTAGGTTTGATGCTAGAGTATATGAGCTCATCGTCGCTCGAGAGCCTATATTCGAGTGGAGCAGAGGGTTTGGTCGACGTCGAGGAGAAAAACAACTTAAACTCTTTCCCATCACCGCCAACTACCACCCGATTCAAATTTCGCCAGCAACGTAAGAGGATCTTCAGATATTTATCCCTCGCCAAACGGTCGAGCAACCGGTTCACTGCTGCCACATTCAGCTTCCGCACATGTCGATTGTTTGCTTGCACGCAGAAAGTGACTGGAACTTTCTCACATTCGCGTGCGCTAAACATAAATCGGACAAGCGGAGTGATTTCGATCCAAGAATGTAGACGTACGAGGGATCCAGTCAGATCAATCTCAAGGCCAGTCATTAACGCACGCTTTTCGCCAATATCGCGAAGCCAGCGCCTGATGGGCTGCAAGAGGGCCAGTAGACGCGCCCCGCCTTCATTGGGAAAACCGAACATTCCCACAAAAGGATGCCTGCCATACACAAAACCGATTGTCTCTCGATATGTGGCGCGGCAGGTGTAGAGTAAGTTGATGCCACCGACAGAGCAGTGTAGCTCGCCTTGATTAGTGCACAGCAGCTTCCTCGGTTCGCTTGTATCAAATAAAGCAGCGTAGATGGCGTTTCGGATCTCAGGCGGTCGTTCAAGGAAGGGTGTGATCAGCGGGCTTTCTGACATCGCAGCACAACAGTCGCCTGGGCGTTTGCCTCTGTGGGCGGTTGCCTCTGTGGGCACTTGCCTCTGTGCGTGAATGGACGATGTAGATAGATCAAAATTTGAGATGGAAATCAACGACGGATGTTGGTTGCAATTCGCTAAATCAGCTGCAAGATGTAGGTGCAACACTAGGGCACGTGACGCGAGCAACACCATCCGTGAATAGTCAAACCGGACGTAGACCTCCAAGCCATGAGAAGCTGCAAATGCTCTGTCTTCACCACGCCTTAGTTATGGAGCCTAATTCAAGGATCCTTCTGCCACAGAGCTCTCTTCGATCCACTTCGAACGCTTGATAGTCACGTGATTCGACCCACACTACCTCCGTGCATCTTGACCACTCCCGCATCAAATACCTTCTGTCCCAACTCCGTGTTTCGACACACCTATCATATCGTGGTCACTTACCTATGTGTTGAAGTACCGACAAACCTCACCACCCAGAACCCCAAACCCAGCAAGCACAACAGAACCACGATGTACCACAGTACCGAACCAACCACCCAGACCAACACAGCACATAAGTCCAAGCAGAGAGCAGTCGACCAGCTTAGAAGGGTTATAAGTACCTACCCACAGAGTAGCGTACTTCAACCAACAAATCCAACCACCCATTCCCACCTCGACCAGCTACGCAAGTCTTCCAGCTTTCCGCACTGAGGTGGAGACAGACAGCGCATGCCCCAACCCAGCGCCACAACCGCCACACGTACGCTCACCTGTGTCTCCAGCGCTGTTCCGCATCACCCTCTCCACATCCCAAATGCTCTGCGTCGCAAAGGCAACAGCGTAGCCCAACGCACAAACGCAACCGTCTATTTTTATCGTACTTCGATTACTAAAGCCTGATCAACCCCCCAACCCCCCGTACCCCCACGCTTCCAAGCTCTCCACGCCGACGTAAAGACACAGCGCGCCATCCCAGCCCGGCACCCTAACCCGCTACGCCCCTTTCACTCATCGTCTACGCCACTGCTTCTCACACCCTACACCTACGGGCCAGGTAGGACTCGGTTCCTGGTTCGATGGCATGGCGTAGATATTCCAGGGTCGCGCCGGATTGACATGGGATAGCTGTCCTGGCTTAAGCATCGCGTGGTCATGGGGGCTGCGTGTACTGTATACATCGCAGTGACAACCGTACCTCGAACAGTGCGGCGGGTAGAGAAGCGGACAACGCGTTGGCATGGTGTGCATGGACAGCAGGTGAATGGTGGCAGCGTGGCTGTATCGTACTACAAGTGCAGAGAACAGAGAAGCATACAAGAGCGCAGGATACAAGATCGGATAGGAGCAGACCACGACTCTGTATCGACGGCCACAAAGCGCCTTCCCGCTGCAACCTTACGGTCACATCACCCAATACCATCCGCGTGCACGCAGCCCACCGCAGCGAGGAGCCCAACACGTCCACCTCGCTGCCTCAGCCCATCCACCGCCAATCTCGCACGGCTGGGGTTTTGCAGCACCATCAGCACTCCATTGCCAACTTTCGTGTGCTGATCTACTTTGTATTTGCGCCCGAGAGAGCGAGAGTCCACGAACAATAAGCGCAGCCAGGAGCGTTGGACAAGGTATCGAATTGCAGTAAAACAAGTACGTCAAGCCAATGGTGCTGATCTCATAGTCATGTTCGCGGCCGGCATCAACTGCGACCCTTCTGGGTGACTGGAGACGTCGGCTTGTATTGGTCCAGATCGCTGCTACCAGCATGCTATGTCCAGATGCACGTTCGACGTCGTTGAACACAATGAAAGTGTTGGCTGAATAGAGCACACCGACAGCCTCTTCGTGCTCAGTCCGACAGACGAGTAGAAGACCGGTGCCGCGCAAAGAAGACGGCTTGATAGCAGCAGCTATTGGAGTCTTTGCGTCGCCGAAGTTTTCCTCTTCGCGGCAAAGTTGATAGCGTGGAACAATGTCGATCGGTTCGTCGCATCGAAAGAGTAGGTAATAGATCCAATCACGGAGCAAGTTTGGAGGAGGAAGGCTACAGAAAGCAACTTTATCCCCGCGCGTCCACCCCGAGAGTGAAAGTGCGCAACACAGTCCGGCGACGCCACTCACACCTCCTCCAACCCCCCCTCATCCGCTCCAACGGGCACGACGTACGGCGCCGGCTGCCGTGGCAAGTACACCGGGCAAATCCCGTCGACCTCGGGCCTCGCCATCTTCAGCCGCAGTGCCGCGGCCAGCACCTTGGCCTGATTGATGCCGAACTCGCGCTCGAAGCGGCCGAGACACGCGACGATGAAGAGCTGCGCGGCGCGCTCGGCCGTGGGCATCGCACCGGCGATGTACAGCGCCCAGAGGGTGGAGTGGCCGCCGGAGACGCGGACGACGGGGAGGCGGTCGGCGACGTTGGTGCTGGCGACGAGGGTCGGGGAGACGGGGACGAGTTCGTTGCGGAAGTTTTCGAAGAAGAGTTTGTGGGGGGTGGAGAAGGGCTGGGGTGGGGTTTGGGGGACGGGTTTTGCGTCGTGGCATGAGGGTGTTGCGGACGGTGGGTTCAACGGTATGTGCTCTGCTTCTTGGGGTGCGACCTTGGGCACGTCGTGGAGGAACTGCGGCGCGCTGGCGAGAATGTCGGACTGGAGCGTCTGCAGCTGCTCGATACTCCTGGCGAGCTGCTGGAGATGCTGAGGGCTGGTGAAGACCGGAGGCGACGTAGCCAGCCCAGCCAGAACCGTGTTGCGGATGATGTCGTGGATGTAGATCTTGGTGTAGCGCACCCAGTTCCACGTCTGCGCTGTAGCGTGGCTAGGGTAGATGTGGTACGTGTCGCCAAAGACAAGAGGACTGGGAGTGGAAAGCGCGATCTCCTCGTAGCTCCACTCCAACCCCGCAAATTCGAAGACTCTCTCCGCAGCAGCGTCAAGCTCTAGTGCGCGGTGCAGTATGCTCTGCAGGCTCATCGCGGCACTGCCCATAATCTCTGCTCGGAAATTGATAACGTCTTGCTGCAGAAAGAAGAAGCGATTCCTGGGGTCTGCGTCGTCGGAGTGCTTCTTGATCTCGATGTTCATCTCCTGCACATATGCTGGCAGGGCGATGCCGTCGGCCAAGCAGTTCATCGTCAGCAGTGCGACAGAGTGCATGTACATGCGTCTGCCCGCAGGCGACGCAAACTGGTTCATGCCTCGCATCTTGACGAGAGAGGCAGCTCCAGCGACGTGCTCGCCCCAGGCGTGGAGCGTGTACTCGTTCGATGTCGCTTCAAACATGCCCAACAGCGTGATGGCTAGCAGTGTCGTGTCTGAAGTAACGTCTTTGGGATGAGTGATGGCGTTGTTGGTCATTTTGATGGCGTCCAGGTACCATCGGGTGGCATTGCCTTTGAGCGTGGTGTCGCGGTAGATGTTGGCCACGCCCGCGAGTCCCAGGGCGGTCATCGATGTAGCAACGAGCGGATGGAAGCCATTGGTCGCGAGGTGCTTGTGATACGTATCAGACTGGATTGATGGCTGATCGAGGCCAATGGCGTAATGGGACATGAAGTAAGCAATGCCCTGGTCGATCAAAGGAGCCAGGAGTAGGCCGCCGGGCAGTTGCTGAGTTTTGAAATATGGCGACATGGGCTCGTATGAGGCGGCCGAATAGCCGCTATTCACATGTCGTGCATCGCGCAATGCAATCGCCTTTGCTTTCGCGCTCTTCGCCTTGACCTCCGTTTTGGCCGTCTCGTCGTGGAAGAAGGCATCCACATTGCGGTCATAGCCCGGACATTTAATCTTGACTTTTGCACATTTCAGGCATCCTCCGGGAGTCTCGTCGCACTGGAGCCGTCAACATTGATGAGTGCCAGTTCATGTGATACTGACCTTGATCTTGCGCTCGCGGCAACTCTTGCAGCCCGTTGACGGGCGGCCGCGATATACCATTCTGGACGGTCGCAGTGCCTACTCCGAAGAGGAACAACACACGATACGCCCATTGCTGAGATAAGACGTCGAGCACTTAGTGGAGATGGTGCGTGGCTGAGGTTGACAAGCGGGGCGCCTGAACCACATACTGTACCGTAGCGGCTCACGATCGGACCTTCCTCCGCTGCGGGCAGGCACAGTCCATACAACCTATCTACATATAATCTCGAGAAGATTATCCCAGGACGCTGTAGGATTGGTCGGGTTGGTGTGATGGGTACATCCAAAGCGGAGATAGATCTGCATCGTACTGGCCAGACATCACGACTCCACCATTGCAAACACCATTAACAAAAATCTACCTCCTCCTGATATCGCACACCCTTCTTCACACTTGCGCGCTCGCAGATCGCGCTCCAGGTCTGGATATATCCACCGACCACGGCACTCCGATGCGCTAAATCAGCCGCGGCTCGGACATTTCCTTAACCCCGCCCCACCCGTCCTTCCACCTTCACCTCATGTTCCATTTCCACTCCGTCCCGCTGCTCGCACACCTGCGCCAGCCGCCGTACCGCGCCATGACGACCACCTCTCCGCCCGCCTCTCCACCTACCTCCGCCCCGTCCGTGTCGGAGCCCACGGAGCCGTTCCCCTTCCTGGCCCTCCCCCTCGAACTCCGCGAGCAGATCTACGAGCTCTACTTCCGGCCAGCAGACCGCCTGCACACGTCGTCGGAGCTGGAGAACTCGGGCTTCTATGGGGGCGTGTATAAATTCGACCTCCGACTACTGCAGGTGGGGAAGCAGGTCAGCGCGGAGGCGCAACGGGTGTGGCGGAGGGAAGTGCGGATGGTGAAGGTCGGCACACCGTGGCCGAGCGCAGGTATATGAAATACGACCTCCCTCGCAAACAAATACTGACCCCGCAGTCAACCACATCTCGTCCGAGGGCCTCGTCCCCATCGTGTGCGCCGACAGCCGCGCCGACGCCTTCACCGCGCACCACGCGCTGATCCAAATCACCGCGCCCTTCCACCAAGCCGGCCCCGAACACGCCGTCATTCTGCTGCTCGCCGACCTCCCCCTCTTCGCGCAGACCTGGCACTACTCGGCCCTCAGCTACCCCATGCTCAACGACCGCCTCGCCACGGCCTTCACCCTGCGCGACCCCGACATGGACCACATCGACGAGGACACGCCGCCGCCGACCCCGCTCGCCCTGCAGCGCGCCATCCTGCTCCCCTTCGGCTGCGTCAAGGGCCTGCACGCCCTGCGCACGACCAACTTCGCCCCCGCCGTCGCCGCCGAGCTGCGCGCCGCCATGGCCGTGCCCGCCCCCACCCTGCACCAGGCCTGCGACTCCGCGACCGCGCTGCTGGCCGCCGGTGACGCCGCGCTGCCCGCCGACCCCCGCGCCGCGCTCGCCCTGTACACCCAGGCCTTCCACGCAATCCACATCATCATCGCAGGCCGCACGCGGCGCGTCCTCGCCGACCCGTTTTTCCACGCCCACATCACCGCGGGGCCGTGGGCGGGGCACACGGGCATGACGGTGCGCGTGATCTTGCGTCTGCGCCTTGTCGCGCGCGTGCTGAGCGCGCATCTGGCGCTGGGCGCGTGGGGCGAAGCCGCGTTCTGGGGGATGCGCAGCGTGCGCATCATGGGCGACGCAATGGACTCTGAATTCGAGCATTTCCTGGCGGATCTCGTGGGCGGCGAGGACGTGGGGTGTGTGTTTGCGCGGGCGGGCGTGGCGATGTGGAAGATGAGAGATGAAGGGGGGTGGGAGAAGGAGCTGCGGCTGTACGAGGGCGAGGCGCGGGCCGGTGTTGAGACGCTGCTGCGGGGGAGTCTGAAGCACTTGCGCAAGCCGGGCGGGCGCGAGCGCGTACGCGCTGAAGTCGAGCGGTGGGGGCTGCCGCGGGAGCTGGTCAGGATCTTCGACGAGCCGGTGAGGGCGCGCAGCGACGGGAGCGAGGCGGTGAATTTTGATCCCACGGAACACCCGGCTGTGTGGTTCTGAGCGATGCATGAGGGTGTCCGCGGCGCCGTTCCCACGGACAGCCCAGCTCCCACACAAACCGTCCTTAGTTCCGAGACGCAGGGCAGACAGACGTAACAGCTCAGCCTGTGGTCCCGTCGTCTCGTCACCAGCTCACGAAACGGCGACCGGCCCGAGCCTAAGCGTCGGAACGGTACGAAGCGTGATGCGGCGACCGGAGGAGCACAAGAGGAAGAAAGGAAACCAACAAGACGGTGAAGAGAGGCATACCCCTCCCCACCAGTATCAGCATCATCAGCGATAGTATTCACCTCAGCATCAGCAACAATAGCAATAGCAATAACGCCAACATTCCATCTCCATTCCGATCCCGATCCATCCCCTTTCCATTGCGTGGTGTGGCGGCCGGGGGGCGGGGGCCAGGGTGGGGAGGGGAGTGGTGGTGGTGCATTGCAGTGCCGTGCTCACACAACACAACACATCCCATCCCTTCTCTTCTCTTCTCTTCCCTTCTCCAAGCCCAGCGAGCATCCGTGTCCCCCCGGGCATCGTCTAATGGCCCTCACGACGCGTTCGCTGCTCCCGGAACACGGCACGGGTGCTGCGCGCTGGGTGGAGCGTGTTTGCTGCGTGCGCTGCGCTTGGGTATGGGTATGTGTTTGGAGGCGGGTTGGCTTGATGATGGACCTGGTGTGCTGGTTCTTGTACACAGCTCGCAGACGACAGCTCGCAGACGACAGCTCTCGCACACAGCTCTCAGATGACAGCTCTCACACCCTAATTCCACGCCCCACGCCCTAAGCCCCATAGCGCAGGCCCACGTAGGGGAGCAGGCGGACGCGGCCCGAGTGCGTCTCATCTCATCGCACGCAAGCCGCGTGGACGCTCGTGCAGGCCAGTGAAGCCCTGTGAACGCCCATGCAGGCCAGTGCAGGCCAGTGCTGGCGTGGGAAGACCGTTGGAGACGTGTCTCATCCGTTCAACACGTCCATGCAACCCACTTATCTAAGTCCCAGCCCACCAAGTCCCAGCCTCTCAAATCCCAGCCCATCAAGAGCGCCAGCGGAGCACACCACGCACGAGTTGGGCCACCGGGTGTGGGTAGGGAGGGTGCGCGGGGTACTTACGTATGGAGGGCGAGAGAGCACGGGTAGGGAGGAGAGCATAGATGGGGAGGAGAGCACAGACAGTGTAACGACACAGGTAACAAGAACCTCCGATACGGTTTCAATTCCACTACGAGGTGTATAGGAGCACTAGGAAAGTCGACAACTATGAAAAATCTTATTCGCAGATCTTGTACAAAGAATACTTAAAACTATCTATCCTACACCTGCTACAACCTGTGCTTAATACCTACGAGTCTCGGTTGGTCACAGATAGATATAGGGTGACTACAGAGACGTGTCAGAACCAGGTCGGAGGGGTGCTTGAACTGGTTGGCTACAGATGGGCTTGGGTTTTGCCTCAACTGCAAGTCGGAACCGAGTCGGAGGGAGCTCAAGTTGGTTGATGTTTTTCGTAAGATTCGAGTTTTGGTGTTTGATTCTTACAGACAGGGACGGGGTGGTACGAGATACAAGGCACGAGGAGAGGATACAGTGCGTAGAAGGGGCCAGGCCAGGACAGGACAGTGTTATAGAGCGGAGCGTGCTGCGGGCGCTGAGTGTAGACGGCATACGGGGTGTGTGGAAGAGTGCATAACAGTGCTGTACTGGGCTGGGATGAGGTAGGGTGAGGTAAGGTGAGGTAGGGTGAGGTAGGGTGGGGCGTGGTTGATATCAGTATTGTTGGTCTGGCTGGACTGATATAGCCAGTTTAACATACCCAGAATTCCCCTAACAGCCAAAACGCCACTCTACCCATAACATCCAACCCAGTGCCGCAGACGTGTCATGCAGTGCTCGGCATGCTCGGGGTAGGCTTGTGCGTGCAGTGCACAACTGGGCTGATCTAGATAGTTGGGATGACATAGGTGATCTGGCATAACTAGTCGATGTAGGGTATCTGGTTGATGTAGCTGATCTGGTTAATGTAGCTTCTCTAACATAACACATCTAAACCAGCACCCAAAGCACCTACAGGGGTAACAAGTCAGTCTAACACAGTGTGCCGGCGCGGCATGCATCCAGCGCGTAAAACGCTCTAGGAAAGCGGTGTAGCTGTTCTGGATTAGCTAGAGTCTTGATGGTTACCTGTAAGCTGTTAGTTAGAGGAAGAAGCCCCTGTGGTAAGCTAGATCTAGCGGTGGTGGTACTGCTACTACTGCTATTATTGGACTAAGATGAGTGACAAGATGAGTGACAAGATGAGTGACAAGATGAGTGACAAGATGAGTGACAAGATGAGTGACAAGATGAGTGACAAGATGAGTGACAAGATGAGTGACAAGATGAGTAGCAAGATGAGTGACAAGATGAGTAGCAAGATGAGTGACAAGACAAAGCCAACGACAAGACTCAAGGACACCAAGTAAGCTCCTCGACCCCAACCCGGCACTGCTAGAGCTGCTAGCACCTCCTAGCGCACCGCACTGCACTGCACTGCATACCACGATCCACGATCCACAACCCACAATCCGCAATCCACAATCCACATCTACAACCCCCAAGCACACCAAGCAGACTCCCCAAAGCGACCCAAGCACTCCGTCGCCGCACACCACAACAAGAAGCGGAATGCAACGAAACGAAGCGAGACAGCATCAAGACCAGGACCAGGACAAGGACTAGGAGCAGGTCTAGGAGCAGGTCTAGGAGCACAAGCACGAGCAGGAGCAGGACCAGGAGCACGAGCGGGAAGGCTACTCCGCAGCGCACACACCGAGCAATCCAGTGCAGACAGAACGCGCGCGGAGGGGACGGAAGGGGGGTATAGCAGGGGTATAGTGTGGTGTATAGGGCTGTGATGTGGGGGTGGATCGCATGGTATAGATCGTAGGGTATAGATCGTATGGTATAGATTGTATGGAATGGATGGTGGTGTATGTGTGTGCATGGGGGACTGGATGGGGGTGCTGGGCGCTGGGTGCTGGGTGCTGTATGCAAGACATTATGAGCTAGATACTGTGCGCTAGACACCATACGCGCGCTTGCACTTGTTAGGATCGGCATTGGTATACCAAGTCCCAGTTTCCATGCTCTACTTCCTATGCTCTGCTCCTGCGTGCTCTTGCCCGGGATTGCACTACAAGACAAAACAAGACAAGCTAGACTTAACAGCGCAGGCAGTAGTGTTTCCAGGGTAACATTTGTGCTGAAACTAAAACAAGGCGAAAATTGCAGCTACGCGCAGCTACACTCGTGCCCCTAGAAAAGCTTTTGCAAGTAAGACCTTTCCTGCTGCAGGATATGGCTATTGGTATAGCTGTGGTAGTTTTTTTACAGTTGTATTTCCACAGTCGTAGCTCTATAGTCGTAGTTCTATGGTCGTATTTCTATAGCTGTAATTCTACATTTCTACAGTCCCATCCCCACAATCCCAATCCCATTCCTCAATCCCGAATCACACCACAATCAAATTCCCAATCCGCACCCCCTGACACTCGACCCCCCACCTCCGCCTGACCCCCACCCTGACCCCTTCCTTCCTCAACAAACTTATCGTTCCTTCCCCGCCGCCGACCATGACCATGGCCAGGGCGTGGGGGCGCAGCAGGCCGGCGGGGGAGAGCTGGGGTTCGTCGAGGAGGGGCTGGACGAGCGGGGGGTCTTCGCGAGGGCGGGAAGGGGGGCGGTTGGAGCGCGAGGAGGTCGGCGGGTCAGACGGCGGCGTGTCGGCACCTTCGCTTTTGCCTTCGCCTCCACCGCCACCTCCGCCCTCGCCTCCGCCTTCGTCAACCGCCGGACTGACGACAACAACAACCTTCAGTGCATCCTTCCCCGGCGCGAAGAGCGGGATATTGCGTAGCTTGGCGCTGAAACTACACCCCCCGCGCCTCACAACCAGCACCTGGTACCCCCGCGCCACCTCCACGGGAAGACGTTCACTGCACAGATCGCCCGCGACGACGAACACAGTGCTCCACGGCAGCGGGTCAGTTGCGCTGTGGACAGAGCCGGGGTCGGGGGTGTCGGGCAGCGGGGCGGCGCCGGGGCCGGTGGGCAGGGTGGCGGGGAGCGCGAGGCGGGTTGTTTCGCGCGCGGGGGCGGGGGCGGGGGAGGGCGTGGCGAGGAGGTTTTGCAGCGAGGCGAGGAGGTGGGAGAGGTAGGATGGGCGGTCTGCGGCATCGGTGTCGAGCTCATCCAGGGCGTCGGCGAGATCCGCATCCGAGAGGTTCGCGGCGTCGAGGGCGGCGTCGAGGAGCGCGTCGAGGGTGGGCGGGGCCGCGGGGGGCACGTCGACGACGAGGTCGAGCGTGTGCGGGTCGCGGGTGCGGGTGAAGTAGGGGTCGAGCGGGTTGAAGGCGTCGATGGTGGCGCGGGACAGGAACACCTTTTCGTCGCGGCCGAGGGCGACGTTGGAGATGGCGTAGATGCGGAAGTGCTCGTCGAGCGAGACGGACGCGTCGTGCTCGCGCACCATGCCCAGGCGCAGGCCGCTCATGGAATTCACCAGAATGCCGTCGGAGAGGCGCTGCATGGTGCCGACCTGCGGGACGTTGGGCATGGCGGGGAAGGAGAGGTCGAAGGTTGTGCGGACGGCGAGGGGCGCGCTGGTGGCGTTTTTCGGGATGTACTCGATAGGCAGAGTCCAGGGGAAGTAGGTGTAGTTGGAGGGCGAGCGCACGTCGGCCATGGAGATGCTGGGGTGGGCCGCGTTGAACTCGATCAGCGGCGACTCGAGCGTTTCAATCGTCGGCATGAGGTGCAGACGGGCGAGACTGGCGGCGTGGAAGACGTCCGGGCGCGCGGCTGTGGCGGAGATGCTAAACGGGAGGATGGCCGGCGGCAGGGGACACGTCGCCGGGGCTGGCTGCCACTCGGGGAGAGGATGATCCTGCCTGACCTTTGCTGGGCGCAGACGCTTGGGGATGATCAGGGGATGGCCTTCGGTGGTGAAGACGTACGGCGCGTCCCAGGTATTCAGCGGGTGCGAGGGATCGAACAGCAGGAAGAGGTACTTTGCAGTCTCGCCGAGGAAGAAGCTCTCCATGCGGTCGCTCAGCTCGCCGGTGCGGATGTCCTGTAGGCCGGCCCAGCCGCACTTGGTCCAACAGCGCCGCTTGATGTCGCGGAGGGTCATCTCGCCGACGTGCAGGTACCAGGGGTCCTTGGTGGTGTGGTAGAGATACCAGGTAGACTCGATGAATTCCGGCCGGCCGCCCCACCAGCGCAGGCCGTGCTCGATGTTCCCCGTCGCAGTCGACCAGCGCTCCGGCATGGCCGAGTAGCGGGTCCACAGGGCGGTATACAGCAGATGGGTCTCGATGGCCTCGTCAATGTAGCCGGCCATGGCGAGCAGGCCCTGGTAGAAGGCGCTCAGGCTGTCGATCCAGAATGCGCGCAGGGCGCCGGTGTAGAGGTCGACCTGGGGGTAGTGCGGGTGCTGGTGCTGGGCGCCGCGGTAGACCTGGCGCTTGATGGCATCGTGGGCGTCCTCCCAGGCGAGGAGGAAGGCGTCGGGCGAGTCGACGCTCGCATTGGCGGGGTCGTAGGGCAGGCCGGAGAGCAGGATGTGCGTCTTCAGGGCGTACTCGAAGAAGCTGTCGATGCCGGCGCCAATGCCCGTGTACGGCGACACCCACTGGCCGGTCTCGGCGTCGATTCCAGCGCCCAGCAGGCCAATGCTGCTGCGGCGGTGCCAGACGGCCCAGAAGGCGGCCTTTGCGACGCGCTCGTACACGGGGTCGCCGGTCAGGCGGCTGAGGGTGGTGAACTCCAGCACCAGACTGCCGGCGCCGGCGCTGCAGGTCTCGGTGATCTCAGCGCGCTTGTCGTTCGGGTCCTTGCTGCACTGGCCGTCGGGGTCCATGTTGAGGGGCGAGTTGGCGTAGAAGGGCACGCCATGGCGCAGGTTCACGCGCGGGTAGGGCAGGCCGGTGGGCGTGTGGAAGGCGGGCAGCAGGCGGTTGGCGAGGTCGGCGGCCAGGCGGAGTAGTTGGCCGTCGTAGACAAAACCATCCCCCCAGAAGACGCCCGTTGTTCCCCCTCGCACCTCCTCGTGGGGGCTGTAGCCGCGGATGGGCAGGTCGCCAACGGCGAACTGGTGGGCGCTCAGCAGGCCGCCGACACCGCGGATGGTCGTCTCGAAGACCTGAACCTTGCTGTCGAGGTCGAAGGCGCGCGCGCGGGTGCCCTGGCCGGCCGGGCCCGCAGTGCCGTCCCCGTACAGCTCCACCAGGGAGCGCACGCCGGCCTGGAAGTCGTCGAGGGCGCGGTTGCGGCGGCGCGGGTGGCGGCCGTGGCGGTGCGGCGGGGGCGTCGAGGCCAGTATGGCCAGCGTGGACAGGCTGTCGACCAGGGTCAGGGAGTAGTTGCCCAGCACGTCGTTGACCTCGATGTGGGCCGGGTTGGCGCGGTCGCGGGTCAGCGGGGCGCAGGAGAGCGGGCGCAGCTCGTCCTCGGGGAAGGCGTGCTGCATGTAGCCGTCGAAGCCATGGTAGAAGATGTCGCGCGTCTCTTGTCTGCGCGGGTCAGTAGGGCCCGCCGAGGCATGGGGAGGTGCAGTACCGCAGGTCCGCCAGGGCCTCATCGCTCATAGCCGCCGCGCAGGCGACGAGGCCCAGCAGGAGACACAGCGGCAGGCATGGCAGCTTCGGCAGCTTCATCCGCGCAGTCGGTCGCATGCCCAAGCGCGTCTCGGTGCAGCGACATGGCGGCGCGTGGTGGGCCACCTGTCCACGGGCCTACATTGAGCATGACGGCACTGCTTGGCGCCCCAAAACTTTAGTGACGCTGCCGACCGTCGTCACAGCTCGGAGCCCACGTCTTTGCACTGCACAGCATCTGATTGATCGCTCTGACTGATCGCATCTTAGTTGATCGCGCACAGCAGTATCTCATTCATCGCGCATCTATTCATCGCGCCCATCACCCGCAATGCTGCCCCGAGCAGCGTTCCGCGCCCTGCGCACCCGCCCGCTCGCCGCGCGCACTCCCATCACAGCCTCGTGGACGCGCGCATACGCCAAGGTCGGGCGGCCGCAGAGCCCGCAGATGGTCGACGAGACCAACAAGACGCGCCCGAACCCAGTCCACCCCGCCCAGCAGCCCGAGTTCACCGAGACGACAGGCGAGCCCGCCGCCAACACAGCGCCCTCCAGCACCACACGGCCGCGCCCCGCGAGCGCCAACGAGACGGTGAACAAGGCCGCCGAGGAGTCGCCCGTCGAGTCAGCCCCCGCAGACACCGCCGCAGACTCTGCCACCACAGACGCCGCCCAAAAACCCCTGCCCGACCTGCGCTTCGGCATCCCCTCGACCTTCGCCGCCGAGCACGACCAGGCGAAGCGCGACCCCAACGAGCCCAACCCCAGCGAGCCCCCGCCCGAGCATGACCACCCGTCCTACGGCGGCCGCGAGCTGCCCAAGTCGGCCTACGAGACCAGCACCGACCGCCGCCGCAACCGCGTCGCCAACTGGGGCTACCTCGCCACCCTGCTGTTCGGCACCGTGGGTGCCGCCTACATGGGCCGCCCGTGGGAGACGGACGACGAGGCCCGCGCCCACCCCGACATCGCCAGCGACTGGACCCCGGGGCTGGTCTACGCCCGCGCCGTCGCCCGCGTCAACGGCCAAAAGGCCTACTACACCGAGCCCACCTTCCGCCAGCTGCTGCCCGACAAGGACAAGATCCCCGGCGGCGCCCCGGAGCTGACCCTCGTGCTGTCGCTCGAGGACCTGCTGCTGCACTCGGAGTGGAGCACCAAGCACGGCTACCGCCTAGCCAAGCGCCCAGGTCTGGACTACTTCCTGCGCTACCTCAGCTCGCAGTACGAGCTGGTCATTTTCACGTCTGTGAAGAGCATGGACGCGGACCCCATCATCCGCAAGCTCGACCCCTTCCGCCTGGTCATGTGGCCGCTGTTCCGCGAGGCCACGCGCTTCGAGAACGGCGAGTACATCAAGGTATGATACCCCGCACCCTTTTCTGCGCCCCCACCCCGACAGCCCTCCGCCCCTGCTAACAAACCCAGGACCTCTCCTACCTCAACCGCGACCTCTCCAAAGTCATCGTCCTCGACACCGACCCGTCCCACGTCCAACTACAGCCCGAAAACGCCATCGTGCTGCCCAAATGGAAAGGCGAGCCCGGTGACTCTGGCCTCGTCGCGCTAATCCCCTTCCTCGAATACCTCGCCATGATGTCGCAGACCGGCCAGCCCGTCGACGTGCGCAAAGTCCTCGAGTCCATGAAGGGCAAGGACATCCCCACCGAGTACGCCCGCCGCGAAGCCAAGCTGCGCGCCGCCTTCCAGGCCGACCTGGCCGCGCAAAAGTCCCAGCGCAAGAGCAGCGCGGGTGGCATGTTTATGAAATCCCTTGGTCTCGACGCCGCGAAAACCCCCGGGCTGCAGCTCGGCGACCAGGATATTGGTGCTGGGTTGGCGCAGGGCAAGATGATGATTGATATGTACCGCGACTTTAATGTGCAGAACTATCAGCACCTCGACAAGCAGATCCGGGAGAACGGCGACCAGTGGCTCAAGGAGATGGCCGATGAGGAGAAGAAGATGCAGGAGGCCGCGGTCAAGGATATGAAGGCTGGCGCGTTTAGTTGGCTCGGTGCTGCGCCGCAGAGTGCGGCCGTGCCGGGGGCTGCTTCTGCGCCTGAGGCTGTTACCGCGCACGCGGGTGTGCCGCCGTCGCAGACGGGGTCGACGGGGTCGACGTAGGCGGAGGCGGAGGCGGAGGCGGAGACGGAGACGGAGATAAAAAGACAGAGACGCAGATCAGGTGCAGAACAGTCTCGCCACGAGCACATGTATGATACCGTTTAGCAGGGCCCGAGGGCGATGGGAGGGCCAAGGGCGCGCACAGCAAGCCCGGCGTGTAAAAAATGTATTTGTACAACACCATGTGGCGCAATACGATGGTTATGATTGGATTGCGTGGTTCCTACGCGGCGGTGGTTCTTCTTCTTTGGCATCTATCTACGCGGTGCTGGTTCTTCTTCTTCTTCTTCTTCTTCTTCTTCTTCTTCTTCTTCTTCTTCTCCTTCTCCTTCTTCTTCTCCTTCTTCTTCTCTCTTCTCCTTCTTCTTCTCCTTCTTCTTCTCCTTCTTCTTCTCCTTCTTCTTCTCCTTCTTCTTCTCCATCCCCTCTTTCTCCATTCCCTCCAACATCTCCTTCTGCACCCCCCCCCGTTCTCCCCGTACGCACTCAAAGCTCCAACACACCGCACCCGCCACCGATACCAACCCCCATACCAACTCCGCCACCAAACCCGATGCCAAATCCCACCAAGACTGCACTACAACCAAGATCAGCACGCAACACACCACGCAATCCAATCCAGTGGATGTTTATCAGCGGCAGCTGTCCACAGCGTCCATCAAGAGGCTTCATCGTCCACGTACGGTTTGTGTCGTGTGCTGGTTGTCTTCACGGCGAGAGCCGTTTTGAGACTGTTTCATTACCTACCGTTGCGTTGTACTGTGTTGGACTGTGTTGGATTGTGTTATACTACATCGCAGTCCCGCGAAGCTACCCAGCACCAGACGTCTCTGCTGCGAGTGAGATCCTTCATGTTGACCATGACTTGATCCACTCGAACAGTGAGCTAACTTCTCCTTTCAACAGCTAGTTACTCCCGTATCGCGCCCTGACTACTACCACCACCATCCCATGCCCCTGTCTTGTCCAACCCCGCGTCACCACACTGTCTGTCCGTGTCGCCATCCCGTCTCCACTACTCCACAACTCACAGGCCGGTACCGGTGGTCCTGGCGCGATACCTTCCAGCGTCCCAGCGTGCCAGCGTGCCAGCGTGCCAGCGTGCCAGCATCTCGGCGTCCCACCAGCGAAACAAACTCGCGAAACAAACCCGCGCTCGGAGGTCGCCGAACTACCCGTGGTACGCCAGAGTGGTACGCCAGCCCGCCGGACCCGTGTCGAACCAAACCCCACAGTTCGTGACGCAAGCAGATCGACACACGCACATCGACGGACCAAGATCGATGCGCGACGCCAGATCGGTAATTCAGTGGCTCAGTGGCTCAGTAGTCCAGCGGTCCAGTGCTCGCGGTCCAGTGGCTCAGTGGTCGACGCAAGATGGCAAGTCTGCAAGACCTCAAGATCGCAAGTCCGCGAGACTACAAAATTGCAAGATGGCAAGATGGCAAGACCGCAAGACTGCAAGATCGTAAGGTTGTAAGATTATAAGATTATAAGATCGCACGTTCGCAAGTTCGCAACATTGCAAGTTCGCGATATAGCAACATGGCAAGATGGCAAGACTGCAAGGTGACAAGACTGTAGGATGGCAAGACTGCAAGACTATAAGATGACAAGGTTAGAGGTTTGCAAAACTTATGGGTTTGCAAGATTATAAGACTATGGGATTGTAAGCTTGCAAAACCACAAGTTCGCAACATCGCAAGACCGCCTAGCAACTGCCCAGCACCCGCCCGTCGCCAGGCGAGCACTCTGCGTCCACTCTGCGTCCACACCGCGTGAACACCGCGTGAACACTCCGCGTCCATGCACCTTGAAATCCAGCGTAGAGTCCAGCGGCGAATCCTGAATCCTAATGCATCCAGACACGCCGCTAATCGACACTGCGCTCGACAGTGCGAGCTGGCAGATCGACATGCGTGGCTCGCTGACAGGCTAGGTACTGCCTTGCTCGGGTCGTGTGCTGGGTCGTGTGCTGGGTCTGGTGCTGGGTCGTGTGCTCTGTTGCTGCCGTTGCGGCCGTGCTTCTTGTATGCGTTGCGTGAAGTGCGTTATAGATGTATCCGTAGGTGCGGAGGGAGTGATGGGGTGCTTGTCGTGCCGTGCGTGTATTTTATGGCTGCGAGGATGGTGGGTGGTGTGGTGGTGCTGTCGGTTTCTAGGGTCAGGGGAGTAGACTCTAGATAGACGAGGAGTGAGGGGCTGAGAGACGCGAGGGAAGTGGTGAGGGCTTGGGTGTGGAGGGTGCGAGGGACGTGACACTGGTAGAAAGAAGGGGCAAAGCGAAGGAGAGAGAGGTGGTTGTTTGTGAGAAGCGAACGGGTTCGCATTACAGTCCACATACAATCTGCACCAGACAAAACTAAGCACGAGGCAGGCAAGCCCGCACCCGCCTCGAAACAAGGAGCGCGCTCGCTGAACGCACGCAGAGCACCGAAATCCCCCCCTCCCCCCACAACATCAACTCCCTCACACCCCCATAACATCACCCCTCAACACCCCCCCTCAACACCCCCCCTCAAGCCAAACCCCCAACCCCTCCCAACACGCCCCTCTAACTACCTCCTCAGCCTGCACCCCCCACACCCCGTCCCACCGAACACCGACGCCCATCCCCGCCCCCTCGCCCCTCAAATCCACCACCACGAACAGCTCCGCAACCTTGACCCCGGTGCGCGCGCGGTGGAAGTGGACTTTGAGCTTGCCGCTTGCGTCGGGACCTTCGGAGTAGATGAACCAGGGTGCGGAGGCTGAGGGTGTGCAGCCGGCGTAGAGTGCGGCGATGTGCAGTGGCGGGAGGAAGATGGTGGTTGGGGTTATGAGGGTGGGGTGGGGGAAGGGCGGGTGTGGGTGCTGTGTGCGCGACGCGCGGTACGGGGACGGGCTGCGCGCGGTGGATGTGCTGGATGTGCTGGTGCTGGATGTGCTGGAGCTGGAGCTGGAGCTGGAGCGGCTGGATTGGCTGGAGTGGCTGCGGGGCGGTGTTGAGGGCCGTGAGAATTCCAGCGAGATGGGCAGGTCGGCAAACGTCCCGGAGTCGACGCGGGTGTGGGTTGGCTTGAAGGGGGGCAGTGTGGGCGCGGTCTCCGAGATGCGGGGGAGCGAGCGGCGGAATTTGCGAGGTGAGGGCGGTGATGCTGAGAGAGGCGACGCGGGCGGCGATTGTGCGGCCATGATGGGACTTGAGATGACGAGCGGTGAGTCTCGTTTGGTGAAGCGGCGGAAGAGGGATGCCTTGGAGTACACTGGGACCGCCTGTGCGGTTTGGATTGCCAGCATGTTGGCGATGTGTGAGGCCAGGCTTTGTGGTACCTTGGTACAAGAACAGGCGAAGAAGAGCTGAGCCAGAACCAGCAGCAGCTGAAGGCCATGGGAGAATGCCATATATCTGCATCTCGTCATTCGCATCAGCCCCACCAGACCTAGGCTGACCGCGGCCCTGCTGATCTTGCCCCGCTCGTGCAGACATCCTTGTCTCGACCTGCCAAGTCATGCACACTCAGCCAGTGCCGGCACGCTCCAGGCGACGGAAGCAACACCGAACAAGCACCAAAACTGCGGCTGCTTGGCTTTTTTCAAGCGACGTGCTGGTCACGATGAATGGGTCGCTAGTGCGACGGCCTGTTCTGCATCCGGCGAACGACACCGCGTTTGGACATGGCAGAGCGCCAAGACGGCAGCCAGCACGGACTGGATCGTCCGTCAGCGAGGCTGCGACAGCTGTCGCACGGTCCAGAACCCCATATCTTCCCAGAACTTTGGTACGCGGTCTGCGCGAGGTCGCAGGCCCGGGTCTTTCGCTACACATCGCGAGACGTATATAGTCGAGAAGGTCTCGCTGCATCACGACTTCAGTCTACGTGCCGTGCCCCAGTTTGTCGGTGACGGCTATCCCTCAGCTGTGGATCCAGGCGTGATATCGGCCCCGCGCAGCCGAGACTCAGAATGTCGATTTGAGTTTGGTGATTGCACCCAGGCACATTTTGATCAGTTGCATGACTAGAACCTAGTTTCGGATTGGCTGAGCTGAGAATGCACACGTCGCTGTGCCTCAGCTTGGTCAGCCACGACTCGGAGTGGGCGACGCGTGCCTCATGGTGGTGAACCGGCAGTAGCGTAGGGCTAGCCTTCGCTGTGGTTCAGTTTTGGTGCTCACGAGTCCACAATTGCCGATCCATGCCGCGAAGATTTCGGAGAATTCAGATCTCGATAGTGACACGAGGGAGCCAATCATCGCTAGCAAGAAAAATGCGGTCTACCTGCAGTATCGTAATGGCTGACAGGCTTCGTGACAGTGTTGCAAGTATGCGACGGTGCTGTTATCTCTGCACCTCCATTGCGACTCGACAGCAACGCTCGAACTTTGAAAGAAGGAATCTAGGGTTGGGTGGAAAATCGCATGCCTTTGAACGCTAGTGGTACATGCAGATCTCAGCTGGTGGGAGATCTGGATCGCATTCGTCTATTCCTGATAGGTGATGGTCTTCGTCCTCAAGAACTCTTCGATCCCCCAGTTGCCGTTGAAGCGACCAAACCCACTTGCCTTAGCTCCGCCATGTGGAAGCGTCCATTCGTCGTGGACGGTCATGGAATTGATGTGTACGGCACTGTTCCCGTTAGCTTGAGGCTACTTGCCGCAGAACTCGACTTACCCAGTCTCGATCTGCTTCGCAATACGCAGACCACGGCCGAGACTCTCAGTGAAGACGGCACCGGAGAGACCATAGTCAGTGTCATTGGCAATCGCAATGGCTTCCTCCTCGGTTTCGAATTCGATGAGGGAGACAGAAGGCCCGAAAGACTCGGTGTAGTACAAATCCATCTCCTTCTTCACGCCCTCGACAATGACAGGACGCATTCTCGTGCTGGAGGGCTCTTTGGTCTCGGGGTGTGGCTCGTCCTTCTCGTGGTCACCATGCACCACCGTAGCGCCCTTGCTCACGGCGTCGGAGATCAGCTTCTTGTTCTTCTCGACTGCGACAGACATGACCGTCACGGGCGCTGGTTTGTCACCTCCGAAAATACCTTCCACGGCACCTTTAAAGGCCTCCAAGAACTGTGGCTTGATGCTCTTGTGCACAAGCACCCTTTCAGAGCTCATGCAGATCTGGCCAGAATGCAAAAACGCACCAAGAGCACACTGTGTGGCAGCCTTGCTTAGATCTGCATCGGCACACACAATGGCACTCGCCTTACCGCCGAGCTCCATGAGAACTGGCTTGAGATTCTTGCCAGCCTGGGAAGAAATGATGCGGCCAACAGCCGTGGAACCTGTGAAGTTGATCTTCTTGATTGCGCGATCCTCAATCAAGGCAGATGTGACCTTCGCAGCATCCTCAGGTCGATGAAAGAGCACGTTGACAACGCCTGCAGGAAGACCGGCCTCAGTCAAGACATTGCCGATGGCCCACCATGTCCTGGGGCAGAATTCTGACCTGATCTTGTCAGCAAGTATCGTTAGTTTGTTAACAGCACTTACCCCTTGAACACAACGGTGTTGCCGGCTGCCAGAGGATACAGAATCGAACGCATACCAAGGACATAAGGGGCATTCCTATCAGGTGATCAGCCATATTCCTGTTACGATTTAGCGTGACCTACCAGGGTGCAATTGCAAGTACAACGCCCAGCGGCTCCTTGACAATCAATGCGGCTGTGCCCTCGGCTTCGCAACTGGGGATGTGCCCCATGATCGTGCTCAGCCTGCCCGCAACATCACGCAACATGTCAGCGCACTTGGGGACGTTGAACCCGCTGCTGAAGGCCTCAGCCGCGCCGGTCTCGGTCTTCATGTAGCCAGCAAGCTCGCCTGCTCGGGAGTCGATGATGTCGGCAGCCTTCATGAAGATGTCGCGCTTTGCGGCTGGCTTCATCTTCGCCCAGGCTGGGAACGCGGCCTGTGCCGCGGAGGTAGCATTTTTGGCATCCTCCACCGAAGCAGACGACGACTGCCAGATCTGACTGTGCGAAGAAGGGGAGGTGACGGCGAAGGTTGTCGTGGTAGTGACCTCCTTACCGTTGATGAGGAGGGGCACGGTGTAAGAGGTTTCTGTCGACATGGCTACACAATCGTGAGGACTGTTTGTGTGGGAGGGACGCGATATGTAAAGAACGAGTCGCAAGGCTGCATGCACTTGCCAGCGGGGAGTTAAGCTTCATCTCCCGCATCGTGCATCGGCAGACGAGCTCATTCGGCAGAGTCGAACGGCTTGTGTGGCGATGTGGATGCGGAGTGGAGCAGATTGTGCAAAACGATCATGGGCTGACAAAGAGAAAGTGGGGCCTCGGGACGTGGGGAAGGCGCCAACGACAGCGACCTTGGGTGTTCAGGTGCAACGTCCTGAAATCATGGAGGAATCCATGTTGTGTTCGTATCCGGTGGCTACTTTAACGTTCGAGACGCCTGGTCGCCTTGCTGATCGTTGTACGAAGCATGCCCAAGCGCCTCAGTGGCAAATGTCTTGCTCACAGCAAGCTGCTAAGCACTTATCCTGACGACATAACACTGCGCTCTGTGCATTCTTGCTCTACGACACCCAATGCGTGGTTTCGGGGTACCTGATGTTTTAGATGTCTCGGCTGCCAAGTCGTTCCCAAACGCAAATGCGAACGCGAAAGAGAGTTGGGTTTCACGGAGTTGTCCATCCACCCTGACGGATGTACGGATCCTGGAGTTCTCTGAACAAACTGTCCCCTCCAGTTCTGTTGCGGAACCTACCTAGGCTTGGTCATTGCTCTCACTCTGGTAATTTCCCTCACGCAGCAAGAGCATCTGAACCTTGGATGCCATCGGGCATGGTTATAAACAATGCCATGGTTTCGTAAACCTTCGCGATAGCAATGTGGCCAGACCCCGATCAGCACATGTGCTCACTGTATTCGTACATGTGACCCTGTGTGATCAACGACAATAATATTGATCACGTGACAATCGGAAGTGTTTCCGGTCTGACTGTGCTGCTGGGTGGAACGTACCTTAGCGACAGGGTAAATGCGGTGAAAGAAGGCCTGGATATATGTAGATGCCCTGCACAGAGGGAGAGGGCGCACCGCGGCGTCTGTGTTACTGGCATCGCGTCTACCAACAGTCCTACACGGAGTTTCTTCCGGCCCAAGTCGCGTACCCACTACTCAGTCGTTACAGCAGTCTCTTGTAAGCCTCGTATCCTTCAACGCCCTTCACGGCTGTAATGTTGTTCACTGAACTCGTCGATACCGCAGGCTGCGACGTGGTACAGGCGGCAACACGAAAGAATGTGCGGCGGGGCCAGCGCAACTTGCAGGATCATGCGCGTCACCGCCTCAACATTCTCCCGCAATCAGCTTCTTCACCAGCACAGCTCCAAGCTAATCTCTCACTTAGCCTCTGTTCATAATGGAGAGCATTATCAGTCTAGCTTCGGACGGACAAGGCGCTGCTTCCTCGTCGACGTCGAAGCGGCTGCCTGTCAATCCTCGTCGGCATAAAGTCGCGCCGGACCAACGAAAGCGCGTAGTCAGAGCGTGAGTTGAACTTGGCCAAGCCTGCCATCAAACCTGCAAAGGACTTTGAGGCTCACATAGAAAACCATGCAGGTCTGGTCTTGTTGAAGAGTGTGCGCTGACTTCCGTGAACAGATGCAACTTGTGCAATAACCGGCGCGTGAAATGCTCAGGCGAGCAGCCTTGCGACAGATGTATCAAGACGGACCAGGAATGCGAATACACGGCGTCCGAAACAGACCGAACATCGATGAAAGATGAGTTGGAGCGGTTGCGAGCTCGCTGTAGTGCTTTGGAGGAAGGTCTGACCACGATTGCCCCACGACATGCCCCAAATCTGCTTCGCCAACTGAGCCGCGGCGAGGCGCCGACCTGGGCTGATGTTGCTCCTTCTTTGCCAGGAACACCAAGTGCTTGTGATTCTGATGACGGTGAGGGGCGATTGTTACATGATCCGGATGGCGCCTCGAGGTTTCTGGGCGAATCATCCGGGGCCACCTTTCTCGATCAACTGAAGCAGTTCATACGCACCCTACTGCGGTCCCTCGCGTATGTTCCTGGCGCTGATGATGGATTCGGCTTTGTGGCCTCGGTTGGATCGTACCAGACGTATGACTCGAGGCCTTTGGCGAACCCCAATGTTGATCCTCATTGGCTGCCCTCGCAGCCGGAAATATCAACCATGCTCCATGAACTTCGTCAGTATATCCAAGACGGAAACGGAGCCTTTAAATCGGGCGGCATTTTCTGGTGGGGCGATCTTGAGCAGCTGCCAGTTCCCCTGGCGAGTCCCATGTCCATCACAGCGATGACGATGAACGATGCCCACCGATACTTGGCGTTCTACCATGCCTGTTTTGCGCTTTCTGTCTCGTTACGACACTCCTCTTTGCGTTTGTCAGACTACCAGTCCGGGGAGGCGTACTTTAAACGTGCTCGAATGTTGTTGGGCAATCCAGTGGAGACGGTTCATTTCGCCCTAGAGGATGTTCCTGCTCTGTCGTTGATGGGTTACTATCTCATCGAGGTCAATCGAAGGGACGCTGCGTACATGTATGTGAGCTTAGCTGTCCACACAGCAATCATACATGGCTCTTTCAGACATGCGGTCGACGAACGTAGCAAGCGAATGTTCTGGACGCTGTACATCATGGACAGGTGGATCAGCATGCTGATGGGGAGGCCCCCAATTATACCGGACGATGCGATCCGACTTCCACTTCCAGCTCCTGATCCGTAAGTGAACCCTGCATTGCCTGAAAAACACATACTAAGCCGGCAGTTCCATGCCTCCTTGTGTAGGTCTTTGTGCGAACATCAGGCTCGCCAAGATTTCCGGATACATCGTGCGTGAGACCTATGGCATTGCTCCTCGATATCCTAGAGCCGTAGGCTCTGAGGAAAACATCAAACGGGCACTGAAGATGCTTCACGACTGGTATTCGCAGCTCCCGGAAGAACTCGAGTTCCGCCCCGATCAACGACCGCTGGACTCAGCCTGTTGCACGTTGCACATGTACTACAACCAGCTCATCATACTGACAACTCGCCCCATTTTCTTCGCCGCTATCAAGAAAGTGGTTGCGCAACGAATGTTGGGTGGGGCGAGTCCTTCGGAGGTGCATGTGCATGAGACATACACCCGCCTGTGTATCGAAGCAGCCCAACGCAACTTGGAACTTGCTCGACACCTCCAGTCTACGAATCAGAATTGGCTGCAGTCTGGTCTCCACTTCTTGTTCAACGCTGCGGTAATTTTGCTGCTGAATCGCATCCACTTGGCCCATGGAGAGAACATCGTCCCTAATCGCGCGATTGAAGGCCAAAATGCCGCAGTAGTTGGCTTTGCCATTCACGTTTTCCAGCAGGAAGCCGCGACTGGCACAAGCTACCCCCAAGACTGTTGTAGGGTCTTGCAGGATCTGAACTCCCTGACCGAGTTGTATGCGGTCACAGTCGTGCAACACAAACCGAATTTGCAGCAGGGGCGGGTTGGTCGGAAGATCCACACACCTGTCCTGCAGCCAGCTATATTTTCTCAACAGCGACCTTTACATGGATCGAACGACGACTGCACCGTTTATGAGAGGATGATGACCTGGGCGCAGACAGACAGTTCAAATCTGCTCGACGCGTTCAACATCTGAGCTGTGTAGCATCTGCAGTCGTTGTGTCTCTGGGTGCCGGCTGCCTATGGTTTTGCTCCGCAGTCGTTCTGTAGAACGGTGCACCGGGTCAAATATCCGGTCGCCCGAACAACCGTGCTGCAGGCTCCAGATTGCCAACAAGATTCCCGACAGTTTGTTTGGGCCCGGAGTAGGAAGATGGTTGGGAACGCTACGCGATATCAGGTATTGCCTCTCTGGACAGTCATCCTACAGCATTTCTAAGCGAAGTCTGCAGGTTTTGTCGACGCCCAAGCCTCTGCATGAATAGCTTAGCGTCAGGGATGTGGTCGGGAATGTTTCACGTCGCGCTTTGTATTCAGCTGTTCTTTGTCAGGACTCGTGCAAGACAGGGTCCACAATTGGCGTGTCCAGGATCTACCATGTTCGGCACGCGTGTGATTGGCCAACGACGTCAGGACATGCCAATGTGGCGCGGTTTACCTTCTTCTCGCCGATGAGGAGATGGTAAGCTCAAATGGGCTCGCTGGTTGCGATACCTGGAGGCTAAGGCTGTCAATGGCTGAGAGATGCAGATGAACGATCGGTATTGGAGGATTAATGGCATGCCCAGAGCGTTGCAGTTTACCAAATTATCTCATCAGTGGACCCTCTCAAAACCCTTGCTCAAGCTGTTCTATCGGCCATGTTGGAGTTGAAATAAGTGACCTCTACACCTCTGACTCGCAGAAGTATACGCCAGTAACATACAGCATGAGCTCGCTCAGTTCATGTGACGGCCTTGATTGTCAAGCAAGAGTCCGACGCGTGAATCGGAAGATTGACATAGCACTGTTGCCAATTTTATCAATCTTATACCTTTTCAACGGGCTGGACCGATCGAATGTGGGAAACGCGGAGACTCAAGGCAAGTCTAACGAAATTGTCAGATAACGTGATTGCAGCTGATGTATGCTCAGGTTTCAGTACCGATATTGGAGCCACGCCTGATGATCTTAATCTGGCTGTGTCGCTCTTCTTCGTCACTTTCGTTTTGCTACAACCACTGTCGGCTGGTGTAGGAAGATGGCTGGGGGCGAAGCATTGGATCACCATGATGATGGTATGTGCGAAAATGCTGGGGTAAACTTTTTCATCTAACAGAGTCATGGGTAGCTTGGCTGGGGCACATTCACTGTAGCGCACGCGTTCACCCGCGGAAAAGCTTCTTTGCTTACCCTGAGACTGCTGGTCGGTGCGTTTGAAGCGGGATTCTTCCCCACGGCGGTGATATACCTGTCGACGTTCTACTGCAGTTACGATCTTGCAGTGCGCATCGCCCTATTCTATGGACAGTACGCTGTCGCAGGCGCGTTCTCAGGATCTATTGGTGAGTGCACGCAGGTGTGTCAGGAGGTCGCTGACGTTTCCCGGCAGCTTACGGCATTTTCCACATCAAAACTTCGACACTATACAACTGGCAGCTGCTCTTTGTTATAGAAGGCGAACTCACAATACTGCTGGGCGTTATTTCATGGTTCTGGCTGCCCCGAGGCCCAGAGGAGGCATGGTTTCTCTGCGAGAGTGACCGTCAGTATGTCGCGACGCGCGTCCTGAGCGACATCACTACCTCCAGCTGCGACACCGATGCTTCTACAAAGCCAAAACTCTCGAAGCGAGATGTAAAGGAGACAATAAAGGACTGGAAGCTGTGGTACGTTCTAGTCTTCAACATCTGCGCCAGCGTGCCCAGCCAGGCTTTCTCCGTCTTCTTACCCTTGGTCGTTCAAGGCCTGGGCTACTCCTCACTTCAGGCAAATCTGGTACGTCTCTAAAGCTTCCTCCCTTCGCCGTCTAAAATGCTGACTGGTGAGTAAAGATGTCAGTACCACCTTATGTGTGCGGAGCCACCATCTTGTATCTTTTCGCCCTCAGTTCCGATTACCGAAGAGAACGCGGTTGCCACATCATCGGAGGAATAAGCATAATGCTAGTAGGGCTTTTGATAACTACTCTCTGCACATCCACTAGGGCTAGGTATGCAGGGTTATGCATCTTGCTGTCAGGCAGTTATGTCCATGGCCCACTCACCACTGCCTGGCTCATCGGAAATACACCAGGTAAGTTATCAGAAAGACAAATTATGGACGCTGCTGACTCGACTAGAACCTGGCAAGCGTGCACTCGTCCTCGGCGTCAATGGCTTTGGCAACCTTGCAGGAGTCATTGGTGGCCAGCTCTACAAGCATAGATATGCTCCAGAGTATCGCCTTCCGTTCTACATCACCCTTGGCTTCGTCGCAACGGCTCTATTAGGATACACATCATACAGATTCACGTTGCAGGCCGTGAACAAGAGGAGAGCAAAGATACTTGCAAGCAAAGATGTGGCGCAGATTGAGCAAGAGCGCACAGACGATGTGCGTTATGCCGATCGCAAATGGACCTTTCAGTATGGTGTTTGATTGAGTAAGGATGGGGCATCAAGTCTTTTGAGGATTTCCCGCGTACGTTTCACAGCAAGTCTGTGCTCACGAAACCGTTTCGTTTCTCGTGTACGGAACCTTCTCCGACCAGCTGCCGTGCAACCCGATTGGCATCAACAAACTATCTCATTCCTGGTCAAACTTACATTACATCTCAGCAACGTCTCATCTGTCACTCGACAAACCATCCACCCTCATTACAACCCCCACATCTTTCTACACGCCGCAGCATCATGCAGCATGGGGTGCCCAAAGCCGCTTTCTTCCGAGCAACAAGCCTGGGTGCAGTACGCTCTCTTCAGTTGACGCGAGTTCCATGGCTAGATCGACTGGGTTTCCAAGCCTCACACTATGTCACAGCAATGCTGCGACCCTTCACATCCGGAGCGTTCAGCCACGCAGACACTTATACCATGGTGGCAAACGCGCTTTATCTCGGGAACAGCCCTAGCCACTGTGACGACTTGCGGCTTTTCGTGGTATTTCCTCATCTGAAGGAGGATATTCGACACAACAGCAGACTTTTGGCATGCTTTTGGCAGAGATGCATGCTGCCAGCCATCGACGCCGTACAAGCCCCACAAAGACCGTATGACCATTCAGAAGGCATGGACTACATCAGCTACCCTCCAGGAGATGACATGAAAGACTTAGACGAAACTCTTGCCACTTTCGCTTTACATACGCCTATACAGCGCCAGGACAGCACACAGTCTTTCTCTCTAGACCAAGCGTGGGAAGGCATTGAGCAAACTGTAATTAACGACCCGGACCTGCAAACATTGGCAGGAATGTTTCTCATTGTCTCGTGGGAAGCACCTGCGGCCTCGCCGGGTTCATGGCAGACTCCGTCCTTCGAGCAGTTCTTGAGTCCAGCGTCTATTGATCAAGCATGTAGCAAGATCGTCTATGAAGAGCTGCGGCAAGAGATGCCAGCTCTGAAGAAGGACATGCCAACGATCGTTAGGAAGAGATCGGCTACACTAACGCAGTTGGAGGATCGACCGGATGTGAAGAGGACGCACAGTGTGGATATGACGCAAGGCTGGTAGATGCATGCCGACAGGGACTGACGGGAATTTTGGTCTGTAATTTTGACCATGGAACATCGTATTTCAGAGGCGTTGGAGTAATAAAATAAGTCAATAGTATCAGTACTAGCCTCCAGCTTGACATCGATTGCCTGCCCATTTCCCATGTCACCACTCCACACCCTCCCCGTTCTCACCTTCCCACAATCGCTGATAACAATAGCTGCCCGGACTATTGAAATGCCCATAAGGATGCATCGGGTGCAGGAACGTCGAGCACAGGTAGCAAAAGTGCGTGTGACACTGTACGCACGTCATGTGATTACACGCCTCACTCTTCTGAACTGGAATATCACACTTGGGACATTTCGATGTGTTTTGTCGAATGAAGTCGAGACTCGCGTCCTCCTCGATCTGGGCTGCAGTACGCTCCGGGACCACATTGGCTTTAGCGCGGCAGTCAAAGAAGTCGCCATGCCACGTGTTGTTGCACAGGCGGCAGAAGGCGTAGGAGCAATCTTCGCAGATCTGGAGTCGTGAGGAGAGAAGTGTGGAACGCTTGGCCGCATCATCGCCTTCTTCGCCTTCGTCTGCTATGTCTTCGTGGGCTAGCTCAACGTCGTCTTCGAATACGATGCCCAGTTCCTCTAACGGTACGTTTGAGCGCGGGTAATGGTTTCCTGTCGCAGCACTTTGACACCATCGGCGTGGGCACCAGACAGTCGCTTTATCAGATTCGAGCTTCTTCTTTCGCTTGAGATCGACGTAGCGCTGGACTGCAGGTCGTTCGATTGGTACCTTTAGTAGCTCACGCGGAGTGACAAGTCGTGCGCGCTTTCCGCGTTTGGCTCCGCAATCAAAAGATGGACATTTGACATCATTAATGTTGCCAGTCAGAATTGCGTTGTTGTAGTAGCCTTGCAGACATTCGACGCAGAACACGTGCCCGCAATCCTCCATCTGGTGGCAAGATGATCCTTTCTTAGGATCGAGACACACACCGCAATCATAGGTGCCTTGTTCGAAAGTTCGCCGCTTTGTGTCTCGGTCGTGATTGAGCAATAGGTGCAAATCATCGTGGCCTACATCCAAGTGAGTGATCTCGAACGCCAGCTCAGCAGCTTCTTCCAGGTAACTAATGTAGGCATACATGACCTCCGTGCGGCCGTATTCTTCCCACAGTAATGTGGCAACTGCTTCGAGCTTTTGTATGATTTTGGTTTCTAGCCAGGATGTCTTCAGCTCCACAATAGGAGCAGCTTCACCGGGATACTGCTCGGGTAACTTGAAGCACATTTGAACTGGCGGAAGGTATGAAACCTCGTTATCTCGGTCTCCCTCAGTTTTACATAGAAGCTGCAATGGTCGCTGTACCGCTACAGATATGTTGATGCAGCCAGAGTAGTCGCCGGTCATAACTAAGCTGCTGCCATAAATCGCTGCAAGAGTCTCGAGCTCAGCTGCTCGCTCATCATTCGGCTCCGTCATACCGAGCGCGAGAGAACACTGAGGAAGGCGAGTGTGGTTGAGTAATTGTGGATTAAAATTATCGTAAAACATTGTCGGATACATGAAATGGAGTTGCCTCGCAGTAGATTTGCTTCCACTCACTAGCTACAGGGTGCTTGTTCCATTTATGAGATCTCAGCTGCGCCCTTTTTTTGCCTGAGATTTAATGCGGTTGCCTCACGGCTTTCGAGTCATCCATCGCAACAAACTATGCGAGCAATCTTTTCGGGACCGCTTTTGAAAATAGGCACGTTTCAACTCAGGTGCCAGCGGACCTAGACAGTATTTAGTCGCAAACGATGTTGTTGCGTGCAGTCTCACACGGCTTCCGGAAGAGGATCGCCACCCAGTGTTATCACAGGCACCGTCTGAACAAAGAGTACTCTGTCGCAGAGCTGTAATGATTGGCTTACAGCTATTGAGTTGGTTCGCATTTGGCACATGCGAAACAAGGCAGTGGTAGCAGCGAAGATCAGCTTACGCGCTGTATCATGACACCTCGACCGCATCGAGTTATCTAGGTACAAGGCTACACGCTCGTGGGCATCGAGGACAGGCGTCCATAAGCTCTCACCAATCAGCGGTACCGGGGACCTGATAATCAACAACGTGCTTTTTCGACAGCGCATTTTGTTGTCGCCCAATGACATCATGCCGCGACGCGACTTCGAATTGGCCGCATTGGCAACTGCACTGCCTCTTTCAGCGTCAACAACAAACCGGAAGATGCACGGAATGTCTCGGAAGTATTGCTATCAGTCACTCCCTTCAGTTGTCGTTGCGACTGCGACTCTTGCTCATTCACCAGCGCACGATGCCTGATCCGGTCGAAGAGCTGCAGCGCAACCCGCGGGAAGCCAAGAATCACTTCCTCGCGTACATGAAAGATGAGATTTTCAGGCTCAACTTCTATCGCGCGCATATGCTATACTTTATCGTTGTCATAGCCATATCGTCCGTCATTGTATATGGCGAAGGTGTTAAGACTGGACCGAAGGAGTATAGAGACTCACATTTGACCTACATGGATGCACTGTTCCTGACATGTAGTGCCATGACAACAACAGGTAAGCCCGCAGCAAAGATTGGATGTGAATTCTGACTAAACAGACTGCAGGTCTCAATCCTGTAGACTTGGGCGACCTCTCTGGATTTCAGCAAGCAGTTCTTTGCATTCTCCTGATAATCGGCAACATCCCCTTTGTCTCAATGGTAGTCGTGCTCATACGACAATCTATGTTCCGCAAGCGCATGTCAGAAGTTGTAAAGCACTCGCGCACAATGCAACGCCTGGTTCAGGACATCGAAGATAATCGGCAGACCGATCAAAGCAGCGCCAGCAGCAGCAACAGCCTACGTCAGCGACAGAACGGCGAGCGCCGAAAGAGCAGGGCCAATCCCGCGCAGAAGAAGCAAGAGAAGATTCAGCCGCTGAGTAAAAGACGCACGTTTCATCACCAGACAGGCTTTGGGTTCGTACCGACGCCCTGGGAAACGAAACTGGCGAAGAATTTCTTCAGACGTGTATTTGACAGCGTCACGAGCGAGTTGAAGCCGGAGCAGCACGATTACGTATCGTTCAAACCACATCTGGACTCTAAAGGACGCTTCCTGGAACTCAGCGAGCATGATCGACTAGAATTGGGAGGCGTCGAGTACCGCGCCTTACAGGCGTTGATGTTTATTCTGATCGGCTATCAGCTGTTCTGGTACGCGTTTGGTGTTGTCTTCTTGGTACCTTACGCGTACCGCTCCTCTACAAGGGACATCCTGCGTGAAGCCCAACCAGGAGGTCTAAATCCAGGGTGGTGGGCGTTCTTCTCGACTGTTACTGAATTCGCAAATGGCGGTCTGAACGTACTAAACGCCAACTTCATACCGTTCAGTGGCATGCCGTTCATCCTGATCATCGCTGGTGCTTTGGCTTTGGTTGGACAGACGCAGTTCCCAATCTTCCTACGGCTGACCATATGGACAATGAAGAAACTTGTTCCAAAAGGATCTCGTCTGCACAATACTCTGCAGTTTCTACTACAACATCCGAGACGTTGCTTCATCTACCTGTTCCCGAGCAGGCAAACTTGGTATTTGCTTGCTATCCAGATCGTCATCGACATCACTGCTTGGCTTTGTTTCGAGATTCTGAATATTGGGATGCCGGACGTTGATATCCTGCCCACTGGAACTCGGATCTTGGATGGATTGTTCCAAGCGACCGGCCTCCGCACGTCTGGAGCGTATATCATCGCGTTTAGCTCCCTGGCACCAGCATGTCTGGTAGCCTACCTTGTCATCATGTACATCTCCAGCTATCCATTGGTGATGACTCTTCGCAAAACGAACACGTACGAGGAGCGTTCGATCGGTCTGCAAGAAGACGACGGCAGTGCTGCCGGTATCTCATCTCATTTGCAGAAGCAGCTCGCTTACGACATTTGGTTCCAGTTTCTCGCCTTTTTCCTCGTCAGCATCATAGAGCGGGGTCACATTCTGAGGGGCGACCCAGGCTTCGACTCGTTCTCTGTACTGTTTGAAGTGACTTCAGCGTACGGCACGGTCGGCCTGTCAACTGGTGTTCCAGGCCAAGACTACAGCCTCAGTGGCTCGTTTGCAAGTCTCAGCAAAGTCGTCATGTTGTTTGTCATGGTACGTGGTCGGCACCGCGGACTGCCGCTTGCCATTGATAGAAGTATTCTTCTGCCAGGGGAGGAGCTCATGCAACGTCTGGACTCAGAATACGGTGGTCGCGGCGCCTCTGCGGAAGATTTGCAAGAGCTGGTCACAAGCATCGAAGAGAGTGGTGTGCAAAGTAGGGACTCAGAGTCTGCCGCAGCACAGCAAGATCCAGAGCAGGCACCCCCTTCTCGCTGAAAGCTTGTCACATGCAGAAACATATGACTCATAGATGGGTGGCGTGTTCCCTCAGGTCTGACCAGGTAGACGCGTCTCTTCTGGAAGCACGAAGAAAGGAGAGTGTAGACGTACTCAGGAGTTACTCCGTCTTTGCATACGGCGAGCATTCTGGAATGCTTCTGGAAGGCCGCGAGAAGGCGGCCACGCTTCCCTGCTAACTTGCTTGGAAGCGGAAGTATCCTCCGGCGATCCTCGGGACCGCAAATCCGACGCTCTTCATTTCAATAGCCACAATTCTACAACGTCATCCCTCCGAGTGCCTGCGTGGCGTCGTAAGGCCGCCATTGAGCAGGTAAGGCGACAAACCATCGCCTGAATTCTCGGGCACCACAGAGTCCATGCGAACAAGGGTGGGCCTGGCCAGTCATGCCGCGCCGACGACCAGGCGGGACTTGGGTGACTGGGCTTCCAAATCCTGAGACGGGGATGGCACCTGCCCAGTGCCGGCATCGCGAGGAAGTCGGAGGCCTGTTAGACAAGGATAAACAGCTATGCCCCGCAGGCATGAACGATGGGAAATGAGGTCTATGTACATGACAGGCCACAACAGGCAACTACGAAGGATCTTGTAGTCACACGCGGGAGATGCGAGACCAGGAGTTACTCTGGTCGACTGGAATCGGCATAATGGCAACGATGATTTGATTTCATGGGCCTGTTCTCAGCAGGGCTGACACTGTTCTTTTCGTGGTCGTGTTCATCCATGGCCCTGGTGTCTGCGAACCTGGGTTGCGGGTCCTTAAGAGATTACTCCTTTACCAGGCACTAGTCCATTTTTTGGTAAGTGGAGACTACAGGACGTTTGCACTCTGTGTTCGCTTCGATCCGCGAGGCTGAGGCTGTGAAGAAGGGTGATGTTGATAGTATCTGAACCTGAGGCTGATAGTGTTTCACGGGGTCAAGAACGAAACATCGGCTACGCCCAAAGCGGCAATTTATAATGGACAGGGTCAATGTTACTTCCCGACTTGCCTGGAACCATGTGGGGCTTCCCTTGCGGGGCTGTCAAAAATCTGTCATTCAGTGGTAGAAGGCGCCGTTGGCGATGTGGGAGTGATGTGGTGGAGATGTAATTGATAGGTAGGACCATGTGGCGCCGCGCTAAAGCAGAAGCGCGGACAGCGCGGAAGGCACGACAATCGAATTCATGAACAACATGGCACGACAATTGTATTGCAACTTTGGCGAAGCCATCTTCTGAGTATGTGTTCGTAAACATTCAAGACTGTGCAAATGTGCAAGTATATTTAAATAAGATATGAATTTTGATAAGATATGATTTACTTAGAGTCGAGATGTCTCGTAGCTATCCTTGTGCCCGATTTCCCGTCCAAAGAACCACCAGCGCTGAGTGAACAAATGAAATTCGTTAAGCCTCCACTTTGATGCGCCTGAACAACTTGATAAACGAGTGACTGGAATACAAGCCCCATGCAGAACGGATCGAATAATGGGAATTAACGAGAGTAAGAAGTCGTAAGGTACAAGTTATCCATGACGCGTTTAAAATTGACGAGGGTTCTTATCCTCGGTGAGGAGGCTAGCGATGGGCATGTTATCCCTAGGCGCAGAGCTCCAGGTACCTGCGCGGGCACGTCCCGAAGAGGGAACGGGCATGGGAAGTACGTAGGGCATGCGCTCGGGGGTCGAAACAGCGCTGACGTTCATAGGGCTGTAGTGCTTGTGCTCGCTGTGAGCAGGCGATGGGTACTGGAAGGCCGAAGACTTGAGAATCGGGTTGTGCATGATGCTGCCATCGGGTGATGCTTCGGGGGTGGGCGGGCGCACGGAGCTGGAGCTGCTGCGCCAGATCTCCTCCAGCTGAGCTGGTGAGACATCAGCACCGTAATCGGCAGCGACAGCTGACCAGAACTGCTGGCGACGGGCTTCGTAGATAGAGCGGAGACGGTCGGTATCAACCATGCGCGCCTGGTAGACAACCTCGGTGTTGATGCGGAGTCCAGCGTGGGGCTCAGGTGAACCCTGAGGAGTGAGTGTGCGAGGCTTGGGGAGAAGAATCTTGTGCTGGCTGCGTCCAGGAGATGCAGTAAGCGAAGTCGCCCTGATGTGGTGGGAGCCTCCCGCGTAGCTCATTGGCGAAGTGTGACGAGAAGACTGTGAGAAGTCATCCTGATCGGTTCCCATCGAGCAAACGGACTGGGCAACGGAGCCAAACGAGGCGGTCGAGGAGACCGATGAGTTACGTCGACGACGGTGGCTGCCGTGCGACAACTGATGATAATGCAGGCGGCAAGCGAGCTCGGTCTTCTTCAGATGAGCAGCGATGTGTTTGTAAGGCATCTTCTGCATGCGAGTTTGGAGCAGATAGTGCTCCTAATATGTGTCAGCAGAATCCATACTGGATACGACAGTCTTCTTACCTCTTCTTCTGACCAGGAGCGGTTTCCAGCAGCAGACATCTTGCGGGCGCGAAGACCAGATGCGTTGGGAGATTGGTGACCCATCTCAGGGAGAGGGGAAAGAATCTGAGGCTGGTGGTGGAGCATTGTGATATGTTGATGTGTTGTAATATTTGGTGGTTGGAAGGTATGGGTTTCGGACAGGTGTTGGCGTTGTGTCGAAGGCGTAAGATCGTTTCCGTAGAGGATATCTGTTCTTTGGTGTCGAGTCTAGCTCTGAAAGAATGTATTACTGAAAGGTGGTATACACGAATGTAATTGCTCAGCAATGTCGATTAAGGAATGTAGCGCAGCCCAACCGGTGGGAGTTAAAGAAAGTATTACAAGGCTGCTAAGAAAGAAACCAAAAGACTGATGCCGATTGAACAGATGCGGTTGAGGCCTCGAAACTTGGGGCATCCGATAACTGTTATAGAGTTTGGACAACGGGACGTTTCGTGGCCGCGCACCATTGTGGATTACAGTGGCTCTTCCTGATGTTGGCAACGTTTTCAAACTGTCAGTTATGCAGCCAAGGCTCTGATCCCCAGCCCGGCTGACATCGGCGCTGGTATGCCAAATGTTTAGAGCAACCCTGACGCGAGACACATTGAGCCGGAGAACGAGGCACAAGATTTCCTCCACGATGCGTTCGCCTCGCATATTGACGCTCTAGAGCAGAATGCATGAAGCTAACGGACGCTTTAGGGTTAGGGGGAGGAGGTTTCAAAACCGAATATGTCAGAGAGCGGTTCGTGCAGCAGGTTTGCGAAGCGAAAGGTTTGACAATGTTTGGAGAGCCTGGAAACAAATCCACCCCATACCGATATCAACAGCGGGCGCTAACGCAAAACGCGCGATTCCAGGTAGCGGGGAGAACAGTGCACCGTTTGGCTGCCTTAGTGCCTGAGGAATACCTTAATACTGAATGTCACATTATAACGCTGATTTGGTCGTGGTCGTCAACGAACAGCGACAACATGCAAAACACGAAAGTTAAGCACAGAAACACGCAATCAAAATGCGCAACACGAATCTACAAACCTGCTGAAGACCAGGTCATCGTTGATGTCGTGAGACAGTCGAGACAAGAGATGGCCCGGCAATGCCGTGTTCCGTTCTTGAGCATCATCTTGGTAGGGCAGTCCTCAGGCAATGCCTCTTAGCGCTTAACAAACACCGTTATTACTGAGCGGTCAGTTGGAACGCTGTGGCAGAGCGGTTCTCCAAAACGTTTGCGGCTTGGGCTGATACTGGCGCTGCGTCAGGTGGCCGGTAGTCTTTGGCTTGGCAACGAAGACGAGCTGAATCCACGTTTAAGCAGAGATATGCTCAGTTGCATAGAACACCTGCGGTATTTGTGATAATAAATAGAACAGAAGCAATCAATTTGCTTTCCCCGCGTCCGGTTGTCGAGGGTCGCCATCCGAATTGCGCCGTGACAAAGACGGCAGGGGCTGGCGAACGGCTCGAAGGGCTAACGAGCTACATGCCAAAATGATCAGTTGGGCCGTCATTGGCTGGCATCCAAAGTCTCTGTGAGATTGATGGGCGTATCTGCGACGTTGTCACGCGTTGTGTGACGTTAGATTGTTGAAAGTCGCTGCAACCTCTCATCATGTTGTTTGACCGATGATGAGGTTGAAAGCACAAGCAACATGCAGAGGACTGAGCAGCCTGGACTCAGCGCACGTACCAACCCCGCTATCACCTGTCATCCTTTCTCCGCTACCACTCGCACTCAACCACGCCTCACACCTGCATGTAAGACCCACAAGTGGACGGGTCCTCCCTACCATACCAAATCGTTGTCGAATGGTAGTGTGTACGGCGCCTGTCTAACGCACTGAAGGTGAGCTGCGGTATCTCGCGACCTTGGTCAGACGTCGGTATCGATGCTCGTCATCGCGCGATCGGCAATCGGTTTGCATCACGCACAAGAGCTGGAGATGCATGAGCATGTCACGCGCTGTCTGCACCTTCCCCGCCCCCTTCGGACTCGTCTGGTTGTGCCCGCAACTCCAAGCCACCTACTCATCGGGGCCTGTCGAAATGGCTGCTTACCCCGCTTCTCGAGTGCAGCTGGGTCTCGTACCGATACTTTCGCTTCCACATGTCTTTGACAGCTATCGTAGTACCTCTACTTCAGCCCTATCAGCTCAGCGGCTGCCCCCGCCGATACTTGGTTGATTGACCCCACAACATCCCAGTAGTCCTTTCGTCTGGTGCGTCTCCGCTGCGCCCATTCGTTCGCCTGCCTGCAAACCTGTCCATTCTTGTATTCCTTGTACTTGATCAACGCTCGCACTGACGGGCGGTCTGCCTACTTGGATATCATGATGATCTACCGCGTCCACAATCGCCGCTGTACTCTCTGAATGCATTGCTGAACCTGGCAATATACGAGCATGACACCACGCTCTACAGACGCATCTGATCTGACCAGTAACGAAGCTTCGCGTCTCTATTCGACCGGCGGCGGGCGGGACGCACTCGTGCGCCATCATGTCGTGAGTCGCTCTTTATCAGACCTCAGGTCTTTCGTCGCCAAGTGCTACGTCAAGCTCCCTGTACTCGACGCTCAACTCCAACCCTTTTTTCGAGCCCGCTGACCTCGACTCCTCGATGCTACAGCTCCTCGCTAGCTTCCACACGTAATCTGAAGCCGTCACCGACTCTCCCCACCTTACCTCCAATATCACAGGAAGCTCCAGCAAGCGAACAACCTGTCTCGCAGCCTGCAGCTCCTGTTCCTCAGGAAACCCGCGAAGCCCTTATGAGTGCGCATCGAACACAGTCCCCAACGTCTGGGCATCGCAAGCGTAAATCTGTCAGTGCAGGCCAGCAGGTCAACAACATGGCAGACACAAGCGGTGGCGCAGAGGCACAGAACAGTGTTGCGTCTGCCCAAGCAGAACACGTTGACCCTTCGGTGCAAGAGCCGAAGGCTAAGAAGAGCCGAACAAACACGCCTTGGACACCAGCAGAAGAATTGAGGCTAAAGCAAATGAGAGACACAGGCAACAGCTGGAGCGAAATTGCGAAGGTAGGTGACACGACGGTCGTTACTGGGGAGGAAGGAGCTCTCAAGTTCATCAGTCAACCGGGTGTCGCTCATGCTGACACGTCACAGACTTTCCCACAACGAACCGAAGGTAGCGTGAAGAAGCATTGGTACAAAGTGGGTGCACTGTTTGATCTGGACTTGACAACATTGCTGATTGCGCTCGCTAAGGATATGCACTATGCAGAATTTGCGGAAGACGAGGTGAGTTTGATCGTACAGTCTCAGTACTATGACAGACCAATACTGATTTGAAGCAGAGTGCAGCACTACTCGCCGCGATCAAAGAATATGATGCCAACAAATGGAAAGCTATCGGACAGAAAGTCGGCAAACCTGCAAAGGTAGGCCCCAATCCCACCTGATAAGACCTTCACGAAATCTTCAGTGAACGTCGCTCTACTTTGAATCCACTGACGTCGTCGCAGGCTTGCGAACAGTATGCGAAGGAACACTTTGGTGGAAAGTATTGACAATGTTGAGCACTGTTTGCATCTTCCCGGTTACAGTGCAACGGTTCCACTTTATGATACCAGCTTTCCTGCCTCGGTCGAGCAGTGCATCCTAGTTTGATTTTTGGCAACGGCTGTCGGCAGCCTCAAACAAAATCATTTCCTTGCACTCGGCGCCTTTATCCCTACAACTATTTCGACTGTTTTGGGCGTGTATGTCTTGGAGTATGGACCCGTCTTGCTGTATGGTTGAGTATTGGCGATGGTAGATTGGACCACCTCCACCAACATAACGACTACATAAAGTCGACAGTGCGTGGAGGTAATGCAACGATTATACAGAGACCCATCTGTCTCAGTTTCACGACGAAAGCCTTTATTTTGCGTACTCACAGTAGTTCGCTACGATGTTTTAAGGCCTCGTCATTACTAACGTGGTTGTTTCTCCGTGCGGCCGCTAACCGATCACAAACCCGGTCGAACAACTGGCAGTTCGTGGTACCTGCGTCTTTCCGCTTGTGTGGCGCGACTCCGACCACGACACGGCCTGGTAGTCCATCCCGCGCAATCAGTCCCTTCAACATAGGCCTGTACTAGTAGTAAAGGGTGTGTGACAAGGCAGCTAGAAGAGATGGTGTGGTATGAGCCAGGATCGGCCTGCATCCGACCTGGCGACTCAGGTAACATCACGATCAAGGGCGAATTGACTGCAACAGGCAGTCCTTTTGTCGCATGAAGCGCACTGTCACTCAAGACCACTGCACTTGTACTTCGTCGAGGTACGCGTCGCGCGTCGGGAGGGCACGGACGACAGAGGCCTCATTGCGAGTGTTCTCCATGGCTGAGTACGGCTCAGTACGGTACTGTAGAGCGCATGGACTTCACGTCGTCGTGATCGGTCTCACCGACATGTCTTACCATCAGCCTAAATGGCTAATACTGGCAGGTGTCAAACGTCGTCTGTGGACAGCTTCGACCAACTTTGACGCCTCAACCTCGATTCAGCATTGTGAGGTCATACTAGCTGCTGCCCTTGTAAGGAGAACCTGGTAGCCTCCGCTCGTGCGTGCTCGCCTAAGGATCACGTGTCGAGGGGCTGGTGTTGTGTTTTGGTGTTCGGAGCGAGCTCGTCGGTGTCGGTCTGTGCCGCACAGATAGCGGTAGGAGGTTGTGTGGCGCCATCCGCATTGCGACTGCAGCGCCCGTTTGTTGCGAGCTGAGGGATTGCGAGCGTCGGAGGCGGCAAATCGCAGCCGCCCTAAACGACTTCGCGATGCCAAGCTGTCGCTATCGTGCCGTGAACCTAGTGCCGAACCAATTCGCACACTGCCACCTTTTGCCGCCTCGCTTCCTCTGCGCCCGCAACCCCAACAACGGCAGTAATATAACAGCAAACATTGTTCGCTGCGCAATTCGCCACCGCATCTACGTGTTTCCTTCCGTGCGCCCGTCAGTTCTGTCGTGCGCGCTCGTGCGCCAGCCAGTCGCAATAAGGATCTCCTTGTGGCTCGGTCGATCCTCGTTCTGCGGGGATGCTGAACCGCATATAGGCCCGGGTTCCCTCATATAACGTCGAAACGGCACTTGCAGGAGCCAATCCTCACGCGGCCTCATGCCAATGCGACAGAAAGCTCTGATTGAGCGAGCCAACGCCCGGCTCACTGCTTACAGACGGGTGCTACGTCAAGACAGCTCTCCCCTACCGGCATTTGCGCCTCCCTGATCCGAGTCCGTGCAGGAAGCAAGCAGCATGAGGGCCCACAGTGGCCCACCACGGGTAAGGCACTTCCAGGCATGAACCAGTCTGTCCTTGATGCACTTGCCGTGGTTTGGCATGATTTACTCCACTCACGAACGTTCGTGGTGTCAAGATGATCCAGCAGACACAAGCTATGGCATGCGCCATGCTTTCCAGACCACGGCCCTGGTTTCCACGTTCTCTTCAACTCCGTGTCGTTCAATCTCGCATACATCGTCTTTCTAGTGGCGTCACCGCTTTAGGTATTTCCCCTGTCATGTTGACGCGCCCATCCTAGCCCTTTGGGACCATCTTCAATGCGCATCTTCTGGCCACCACGCTGCGCTGGGATACTGTGGATATGCATGAGGATGCTGCAACGGTGCTGGAGATCTTTCTGTCCTGGTCTTCTAGAAATAGAACAGCGTTGGCTTGGACCATGTACGCTTGGCCGACAATGTCGAATGGCACTAGGGTAAGGAAACTAATCTCTGCTTTCATTTTGCCTCAGCAGCCATTCAGGACACGAGCCAGCAGCATTACACTGGCGCAAATGAATTGGGATACCCTCCCAGATCGTGAACCGGGGTCCCCTTCCTTGTCATTGATCACCGCATGATGCTTGACGTAGAAATCGTTGTCGGGCCTACCCTACTCAGCTAATTCTGTACCATTCAGGAACAGACACCGTCTCGTGGGAATGCCCCATAGCTTTTGGTACTTCGGCATTGTGTCCGTGTGGCAAGTGCACAGGACTAGGATTGTTGAAGGGACAAAGTTCCCAAATGCCTTCATGCCTTCGCTCCTTCAGGCGCGCAGAATCGGTTTATAACAAACCTGTCCCAACGGCATGTTATTGTTGTTCTGAATTTTATAAGCTATAATCGGCTATCCCACTCCTTAACACACGCGACCAGGCTACGTCTATGGCACTATCCTCGAAGCTCTACTTGCTCCAACATTTGTCAACGTAACAACGGTCGGAAATAATCGTAAACACATGCGATACAAGTACCTCGACGCAACCCCGGAACGCAGCCTCAGCATTCTTTTTCTGGCTCAGGTCTCACTGCGGCGGCCTGCCAGAGCAAGCTAGCTCTGGTAGTCTCCATGCGTAATCGCAATCCTGGCGAGTCCCTACCGAGGCGCTTTATTCGACTACAGCGTGCCAGGCGATGCCGGAGACGACCACAATGTCCCGACATCGAACGTCGAACATTCAAATGCGCTACATCCCCACACCGGGCTGCCTTCAGAGTACCAGCACACTTTTTTGCACCCACACCCGTCTCATGGACTCCAACATGCCGGCGCTGCCACTCATTCAGCCTACACAGATATCGAAACACATCCGTCGCTGCATCAACCTCACCTTCTACGCCACCACCAGATGTCACAGCAGCCACCAAGCTCCTACAATGTGGGCTACCCTCCGACTTATCAAACCTCCGGACGCAAGCGCAGTCATCAGGAGCACCATCTGCAGCAGGATGTTCCTTCCTTAGAACAGCATTTGCACCCGTACGGGCAAGTAACAGGAAGCGTCTCACTTTCGCAACAGGATTACTCGCTCCATCAATATCCACCTCCACATGCTCCGCAACAGCAGCATGTATTACCTCCAACACATCATCACCATCTCCCCAATACTCACCGCAGCAAGAGACAGCAGATGGAGGGCGCGCCGTCTTCCCCCACTCCTCACCATGGACCCCCCAGCGTTGTCGGCGCACAGGGCATGCCTCCCCCCGCGCCACGGCCTCGCGGCCCGAAACTAAAGTTCACGCCCGAAGACGACCAGCTACTAGTCGACTTGAAGGAGAAAAAAAACTTGACGTGGAAGCAAATCGCGGACTTTTTCCCAGGTCGCAGTTCTGGAACCCTGCAAGTGCGATACTGCACGAAGCTTAAGGCCAAGACAACAGTCTGGACTGATGAGATGGTAAGTGGCATCCATTTGTTTCAAACATCTAGACTCCATCTTGCGATAATTACGTCTGTTTTATCCTGAAACGCGGAATGTCGTACTTGGTTACTTGCAGACCAGCGGAAATGCTAACCACAATGGGATTACAGGTTACAAAACTGCGCACCTCGATGCAAGAGTACGAAAACGACAAATGGCGCATCATCTCATCAAAAGTTGGCGCTGGCTTCTCGCCAGTTGCATGCAAAGACAAGGCGGAAGAGTTGAAAGCAATCGAAATAGAACAGGAGGAGGATCGCGAACAGGAGCAGAGCGTGTATGTTCAGAGCGAGATGCCCGGAGGCCATGGCGATCCGAGCGCTACCAGCTACCAATGACTGGCCGATTACTTTGGAGGTCTCAGTGCATGAGACTCCAAGCATCTCATTTCAAAAGGTGGATGTTGCAGTTGTGCAGGTCGCAACGAAGAATTTGAGAGAAGGGCATTTGCCAAACTTCATCAACAACATGTTTAATTGTCTTTTGCTGGCTTCACGACGTACACGACACAGACTTCACAACAGGATTCCCTTCGAATAAACATCGCAAGCGCGTACTGCATTCTCGGATCGAAACTCTTCGGAGACATTGCGATATTTGGGCATCCCTTTGGGCTACACCATGGCTAGCGGCGTTGATTGAGTTTGACGAGTTGCGCTGCATAAGAATCCGATTAGGAGCGGCATTGCGATTTGGAAGCAAGATACACAAAGGCATAAAAGAGTCGGCAGTGTGCCATGCGTTCAACACAAAACTAGTAGTAGCAAAGTCCACTAAACTTTGCGACTACAGTGGTGGAGCATGTCACTTCGGCGAGGAAAATACAGACGAGCGGGAAGATACCCAGGCTTCAACAGCAACATTTCATTTTGCGTTTCATTCTTGTTACACCCAGTACCATATCCTTTCCCCGTTGCTTTAAACGTCATCAGCAGCATCACAGACAAATTTCCTTGTGTACCTATACCCCAGCAGGACGATCAAATGATTGCCTGCGTCACACTCGCTAGACCTCTCTTTCTACTTGTAGATTTCAAGTACCATTGTAATACTCCGAATGTAATACTTTTGCCTGGCAAACTCGTGTCTACAATCTGCCACCAATATTGCATTGAGTGTTCTGATCTAACTTGCATTCTCGGCGTCACCCGCCTGGCTGGTTCTGCGCCCACAACTTATGATTTGTAGTTACTTTATGCATAACTGGGCAACGCTCAGGCGCCGTTAGGCTGCATGTTAACGGTTACAGGGTCTCAACGAACGGCGTGAGACGCGGACCGTTGCGAACCAGAGATCGGAGATCGGAATCCGAAACCGCCTCTCCAACATTGACCTTGGGACGTTGGAAGGTGACAAATGATGCATTTAGATGCGTCCTTATGATGATAACAATTGTATGAGGGCAGAGAGCTACGGCAACAGTGGGTCCAGAATGACTTGGCTCGGAGGGCGCACGTGTGAAGGTCCGTCAACAACTACAAAACGTGAGCGCCCAGTCGGCCGGGTGCCTGAGGCAAGCTATTGTCGGGATATGTTTCATACGGGTTCTCTCATGTATGTACTCCGATTGTGCAAACATCGGTGAACAGTCCCGACTTGGGAACGAACAAGTCCCCCGGGCGCCCGAACCTGCGCGATCTGCACTGCGATCCGCCCTGGCACCCGTGCTGTCGCCCGACACCACGATGTAGGATTCAACCCATGCCAATATACGAAACTTATGAGTTCGCCCGCCAGAATTGCTTCTTAAGGCATTCACTCCAAGGCGCGGGCAGCGCAACATACGATGCACTATCACACCTCGCGTACATACCACTCGGTATTATCACCCCGTTGACCCTCCGAGCCGGTAGAGTTCACCGATCTAAAGCATGTGAGTCACTTTTTCTATATATGCCCATTTTCGGACCTATCAGCGGGAGCGCTTACCCCTCGCGTGCCGTTGAAAAGCGTCAGTGCTCCATATGACAACCCCGGGGTATAACGCACGCCTCCGCGAAAACCTTACCGCCAACTTGCCGCCAGAGAATGCCGCACGTTTTACGCGTCGCCATTTGCGGGTCACCCAATGATGAAACCTTCGGCGCTGATTTTCATCGTTTCGATATATTGATCGGTTTAGTTACGATTCTGTGCTCCGGTGCTGCCCATCGTAACGAGAACACGGCCCCGCAATCTGGTGTAGAGCCTAGGCGAGCTCCATCTCGGATTGACAGATGCGACGTTGGCACTGCGCCACGTCTCACGTTTTTGAATGCAGGCACGCTGTTCACCTATACCAGGCATCATGGCTGCGTTGTGAAGATCTGTTGCTTAAACGGATAGAGGTGGAGCCGATCGATTGTATACATATGTGCCCCTGCATATTCTGTTATAGCTCGCTTGCGTGCCCTATACTACTGCACATAATAAGGTGATATCTAGCTTACAACGGTTTTTCATTCTCGAGTCAATCTGCCGAAGCGTTCATGGATATCGCTGTTTCAGAAACGGGGGCTAAGGGATGCAGTCGCAGACATCCCTGCGGAAGGGTAGACGTTGCCGCGGCGCTGCTGACAACATTGCTTTTACATACAGAACACTATACGATGACGTGTCATGGCACCATATCTATGGGTCAAACAAGGTGGATGCCCGCACGTAAAGTAGTCGCGTAAACTGTAGTTGTGATAAACTTTATATGTATGCTCCACGTCTTGAAAAATGGACCCTTGGTCATCAAGTACTGATTACAGAAGGTACGAAAAACTACAGGCTCATACTCGGGCGTCACAACGGTCTCTAAAGTTTGCTCTCCAGAGTCCCCATCAAGGCTGCTGCGCAATCGGCGATATCTTTGCTCTGGGCCATGATGTGATTGTCTGTCATCTTGAGAAGCTCTGGGAGCGAGCCGACGTCATCAAGATCTCCGAGTTTTCTGTAGTCTTGCATGTGAAGAACCTCTTTCTCGAAGATACCAAAGACATCGCACAATGGGTGTGTCTTCTCCTTCCACTCGGGTATCTCCTCACTAATATTGAGTCTCCAGTACTTCTTGCCTTGAGGTTTTGGTGCAAAGGCGTTGATCAGACAACGAAATAAGATGTGCATGACTTGAGTGTTAGTGGCGATTGAGGGCACATTAGCAGCCACGGCGAGGTAATTCAGACCGTTCGACTTCTGGTTGAGAGGCTGGTTGGCAGGTATGCCGGTACCGATGCTGAGGAAACAATCGGTGGCACGCGCAGGACCAAAGACCGAGAGCACTTCGGTCCAGAGCCTGGATGAGGTTAGATGATCATCTATCGTGAGATATTGGGTTCTCCCTCACCATCCTAGAGGGTTGTTCGCCTGAAGTCCCCCGTCAACAAATGTGTACTGGCCCACTTTCATGGGTGGGAAGTAGGTTGGCGCCGCGGATGTGGCCCGCGCAGCTTCCCACACCTTGATGCCAGGAACTTCGGAAGGGTTCTGTGAATTGATGTACGAGCGCAAGAACACTGGCCCACGGTTGTTGGCTGCGTCGCTGTTGACTGCCATGACGAACCTACAATTTCTTAGTGAGGTCCGATATGGTTGACGGGCCAGAAGAAACTCACACCTTGCAGGCCTTTCCACCTTTCTTCTCTTGCTGTTCGTCCAGCAATATTGCATTTTCATCTCCCAACTTTTGGCGAACAATTTGCTTGACTACATCTTCAAGGTCACGAGAGCCGTATTTTGATCCTTGAAAGACCGCTGCCGCCACTTCTCCAAGTTTACCATGCTCGTTTCTGAATATCTTGTCCATGAAGTCTCCGTAGCTTTGTATGCAATCATCGATACTCATGCGGAGGCGCCCCAGCATAATCGCGATCAAGCTATGTCATGATCAGTTGCGTCAATGAAGGTGGTGCTTAGTGGTGCATACCCGCCGGTACTCGTACCACCGATCATATCAAAGACCTCATAAGGGTGCTTATCAGGATGAACCTTGGCCATAACGGCTTTTAGCATGCGCAGAGAAGCCATGCCACGCACACCACCTCCGTCTGCAAGAATTGTTAGATCCGTTGGTTTGGAAGAGGGAAGGCGGTACACACCCAAAGAGAGTACACGAAGGGGCGTCTTGTCTGCGGTCGCAAACGCATCGGCTTGAGTGATAGCTTTGTTTGGTATCTGTGGTGTGAATGCTGCCCGCGTCTGCACATTGGTCTCATGGAGAACCTCTTGAATTACCTGAATCTCAGAGACGAGCTTCGTATACTGGACTGGCTTTTGCTCATCTGATCTGTATCAATATTGGGATATCCACGGGAACAAAATGGTAGCTCTTACTTTCGGCATCGCCAATCTCGACGACAAGATACCCGCTCCGCACTGCGATCTTGCTCCAGTCGAATTTTGCGCAGATACGGACAGCCACAACGTTACCGTCCTATGGGCTTAGTGAACGGGAGACTATCCCTTCTTGGTCTCGCTTACCTCCAGTAAGTGAACGAGGTCCTCGTGCTCGGTGAATGCCCGACCGGCCTCCTAATATATAAGATCAGCATTACACAGCTCCAACAACGGGCTAGATACTCGTACCCAGTCGAAGCCACTCGTCTGAAACCGATTGCGGTGGCTCTTCCAGACAAGTTCTATTCCGTTCTTGATCCTAGGTTTGGTGGACTTGTCGTCTTGCAGAATTGCAAGCTCGAACCACGTCCAGTTGCCTACATAACGGGCTTTGAGAGTACCTTGATCATACGATTCGGCGAAGAGTTGAATTGAGTCAATGTGTTTGATGGTGTCGATAGTGAGAGCCTGTAGCAATGAGACGTTTGGCTTCCGAGCAGATACACGACTGGTCCGCTCACGGGTGTTTGAAACCACACATTGGTGTAGGTATGCTCATCTGGTGGACTCAGGTCTAGTCGGCGCTCAGTGGCAACAGTGTATCTGCCGCGGTCGACAGGCGAAGCTTGGGAGGGAAAAGGCTTTAGAGTTCGAATCTTGTTGATATTGGTAGAAGACATCGTCGAAAGTAGTTTATTTGATGTCGCCTTGATGCAATGCAACTGAGAAAACACGGATAGCTTTATAGATCGTAACGCTGGCCTGCAAAGAATCATGTTGCCATCAAAACGCTAGGGACTCGAGCTGAAGCACCAGGCTGTGCTTATAGCTGCCCAAACCGGTGTTCGCAAACAGCGGAGCTGATCCCGCGAGGAAATCCAGAAGCCCTCATTCGATGTCTGCTTCTAGGACACAACGCTACTACGAGAAGCTAGAGATGAAGCTGAACCGACAGTACTGCAAGTTCTCATCTCAATAGCTTGGTCAGGTTGACGACGTGGGTGCCACTACAGCACCCAGCTTCGATGCATTTGGACACTTGCACGCTTCACCCAGTACTATCGCAGAGCGAACAGATCTGAGCAAGAAACTTTCATGGCGCGCAATTATACCATGCCTCAACGATGTACACAAAATTCACCGGAGTGTCACAAGCATTTCGTGGCTTACACAAGCAAAGCGGAGGTGGAAGTGATGGCTGACGGTGGACGAGCTGAATGAACGCGGTGGGCGCACTGGCCAATGACGTGCTCCAGTCGCTTCCTTTGCCCCGCTTTAACGCACGCGTTGCATGGACGCGTCTTTTCAGCTCGACCACGCACCGCTCCTTCGTCTGCTCGTCGACGGTGCAGTGGGTGCACCGAGTAAATACAATCATATGAACCTCTGGCTGTTGAAAGGGGACTTCCATCTTATGTACCAAAGACTAAGAGTGTCTTCAGCACGATGATTTCTATGGTCTTGGCACGCCCTTCGTAGTCATCGGATGTCACTTTGCGAACTGTCCTCAGTCAAAATCGCTGAACAGTCATCTTGCTGTTTAATTTCATTGTGCACATCTTTATCTGCTTTCCGACCGTCTCCATTTCTAACAAACTTTCCAACCCAACCCCCTTGCCGAGTCTCCCTTCACCACAACTAGAAAATGGGCTATCTCGACTCCGCCGCCGCCTCCGTGCAGGCCCGCTCCCGAATCCGGTCCCACATATACGAAACCCCCCTCCTACCGTCCCGCAGCAAGACCAACCTCTTCTTTAAAGCCGAGAACTTCCAGCTCACGGGCTCCTTCAAGTTACGCGGCGCCATGACCAAACTATCCGCTTCGCCACCCTCAGTCCGCCTGATCACCGCCTCGTCAGGTAACCATGGAATTGGTGCAGCGTGTGCAGCGAGTAAGCTGGGACGCGAGCTGACTGTCGTACTACCGGAGACGGTGGTGCCGGCGAAGCTGGCGAAGATCAGGGAGTATGGTGTGCGTGTGGTGTTACATGGTGCCGAGACCGGGATCGCGGAGCAGCATGCGCAGAAGTTGGCGAAGGAGGAGGGCTTTGTGTATGTGTCGCCGTACAACGATCCGGATATTGTTGCTGGGCAGGGCACGATTGGGCTTGAGATCTTGGAGCAGTGTCCGGATGTTGAAAATGTGTTTATTTCTATGGGTGGGGGTGGTTTGATCAGTGGAATTGGCTCTGTCTTGAAGGCTTTCTCGCCAAAGGTCAAGGTGTACGGTGCGTCTGCGAATAACTCGAGGGCGCTGGCTGCTTCTATGGCTGCTGGGAAAGTTGTGGAGACGGAGCATCTGCCTACCCTAGCTGAGGCTGTGGCGGGTGGTATTGACGAGGATACAATCACATTGCCACTAGCTATAAAGGTCGTGGATGGTGTGGTGGACTGCGATGAGGATGACATTAGAGAAGCGCTCAAGAATTTGGCGTTGGAGGAGAACATGCTGATGGAAGGCAGCTCTGCGCTGGCGCTGGCCGGGTTCAAGAAGATGGAGCAGGTGGTGCATGGGCAGGTGAATGTTGTGGTGCTTTGCGGCGCGAACTTTGACAGAGATACGATTGTACGGGAGGTTTTTGGTCGGTGATGACCCTTTTGCGATTTTTACTGAGTCTTTACATTGATTTATGGACCGGCAAAGGGAATCATGTGGATCACGATGCTGGAGATTCCAGAACATCCCAAAGTGTTCGTCTCCATAGATTGAATGCACTCAGTAGCGTTGTATATTAGCTCTTTGCTACGGTAAAGCTATAGGACGATGTGTGTGTGTTCGTCATGAAAAAACAGAAAAATTCGCAGACCCATTCTATCGGACCGTATGCCTTGCGCGGGTACTTTGGCATCATCATTTTATACCCTCTGACTACAATGTCCAATCTCTGCATTTTCGTTCTTCGTTCTCCATTTACCTTCAGATCATTTCTTGAGTCGTGAGCAGACTACCGTACGCGACGTGCTGAAAATACTTCCCTTTGTTATTCAAGTTCTTCCCTTGCCCTCCTGCCCTTTTTTATAGCTTCCATCTGCTCCTTCTCGGCGAGCTCGAAGAACATTGCTTTTCGCCGGGCTTCTTCCCGCTTGTCTAACAGTTGCTGCTCAACCCAAGTCTTGTTAAGAAACGCAATGACTTCATCGTCGTAGAAGGTCCAAGTAGACGGCAGCTTGAACAAACCCCTGGTCTTGTGTGCCTCTTTGATTGCACCATGACCGGCGGAGAGCTGTGCAAACTGCGGGGGCCGCTCTGCGGATGGGATTTTTGTGAGCTCGACTAGGGTCAATTCATCGAGTCTATCGCAAAGCTCATCGCATCTACGTGTGAAATGGGATGTTCTTATGCGCTGGCCGTTTGCATCAAACAGTGACAACTCGTCGTCATCGTAACAGGTATCCTCTGTAAGCGTGATGTACCTATGCCTCAGAACTGGATGGGAGATGATGTCTTCGAATTCAACCTCGTAGTTGGTGACCTGCCAATCGTTTGCGTACTTCGAAGACAATTGCAGACGGAAAGTCGATATCTCGAGAACTGTATCCGGAACGTGTGATGGCTGCACGCCCTCGACATCCAGATTGAGTACCCACGAAAACGTGTCGCCAATGCGTCGACGCCGTCTCAGCTCATCTGCATCATCGTATCCGGCATCGCTCACCTTGAACGTGTGTTTTCGATGCGACCATGATACTGTCTTGGTCTTTATTCCCTCATTTGTCAGATTGTTGAGGTTGACTCTTGAGTAGTCATCATCAATAAACTCGAGCATGAAACTCTCTTTCTTGATGAAGTTGTGGTACGGAAAAAGAGAGTAAGCTTTATTCCAAGAGATGAAGCTCACATCGGCAGTCGTTCTGGCTTCGCCTAAGAGGCATGTAATTGCCGTCGTTTCCCAATTGCAGGAGTCGATGTAAAGACGTCCATGGGTGCCGTTCTGCTTGGAGAATTCTCCGAATGTCTCGTTTTCGAGCTCGTAGCCATTTGTTCGTATGATATCCAGAAGCTTTTTTCTTGGACCAGCTCCTGCACCGCCCACGTAAAGGACCAGTGTGTCGGTGGCAATTTTAGATAGAGAAAGGAATTGACGAGCAAAATCTCTACCGATGAGTCCATTACATTCGCCTAGGACCGAGCGGAATTCGATGGGATCCTGGAAGAATTTTTTGAGTTGATGATTGATGTTGTACGTCGTGGCCTCGAGCACCGGCTGGATCTGACCGAAACCTTTGCAAGTGCGACCTAGAGCAATGACATCGCCAACGTCGAGATAGGGCAGTATCATCGTCTGTATCGGCGCATAGGTAGTGCTGAGTAGATCGATGAGCGTCACCATGGTGCCAGGCGGTGCTGATTGTGCGCTGGCAATTATGAGAAATGACGACGCGAGTCGCGATGAGAGGTAAGAACTCGTCTAAGCTGGGGAATGTCAGCATACACACTTCGTGGTGAGTAGTGTATGGCACTGACGCACTGAGGCTACTAGCTCTGGAAAAAGGAAGAGGAGTCAAAGGCGATGATCCGGCAGCTGAGCGATTACATAAGTTTGAGCTCTCGACGTTGAAGAGAGAGGTGAGTGAGAAGAGTGAGGCGAGAGTAAATAGAAAAAGGTGAGTGAGAAGGAGGTGAGTGAGAAGGAGGTGAGTGAGGAAGTAAGCGGGAAGGAGCTTAGTGAGGAAAGCAAACAGTGTAGCAGCAGACCCCAAGGAGAACAACGTAACCTTAATCCTACCTACGGGCAGGCCAAATCTCTGCACGAGGTGAGAGAGTCGCGCGATTAAACTCAAGACAAGACAAACATCCAGCACAGCTGGATCCTGTATTCTCAGCTCACGCCAACCCAGAACGACCGCTCACCGTGACCCTAAAAAAACTCAATATCCTCACCATCTCATCGCCAGATTATTCGGACTTCAGACGCTGTATCAACCTCCCCTCATCCCAGCATGCTTTCCAGAATAGTCTTCGGACAGCTCACTAGGCGCTGAAATGACATCACTCACCTCAGCACCTCCACCTCCTGCACCTGCCTCTCCTGCGCCTCCCCCTTCCCGCGACTCCTCCAGCCCCTCAAGATAAACCGCATTCCGCAACCCCTCCAAAACCCTCAACCTCCCCCCTTCCCCCGCCGCACTCGGCCAATACCGCGCCGCAATATACTCACAAACATCCAGTTCCAGAGCGCCCCTCTTCCCCTCCTCCACACCCCTTAAGAGCGCCTGTACATGTCTTCCCACCGGCAGCATACGTTGCTTGAGTATCTGCGCGAGGGATTTCGTGCGCACGTGCGGAGAATAGGGTGGTGGGGTTGTGGATTTGAGTTTGAGGAGGGCGGGGAGGATGGGGATGAGGAGGGCGCGGATGTGGTCGTTTTGGTTGGCGGGTTGGTCGTTAGGGTTTGGATTGGAGTCTGGTTGTGCGTGTTTCCTTGGTTGTGGCTCGGTGTCTGGCGCGGTGTGTAGTTCTGACTTTGTGTTCGCCTCTGCCGTCTCTGTGTCTGTCTCCTTCTCTGTCTTTGTCTCCGTCTCCGCCACCGCCTCCACATCCTTTTTAACCATATCCTCCTCGAACGACGACGACGCTGGTGAATCGCGGAGGACACGCATACGCAAGCGATGAGAGTAGAGGGGAAACGAGTGCGCGAGTCGCGAGGGCAAGTAGGCACCTCTATGGTGCGACCGTGCGTTTGCTCCTTCCTCGTCACTCGGGTCTGCGTTTGCGCTGTCGTGGGGCAGCTGCAAGGGGCTAAGTGTTGGGCGCCGATCGCGTCTATGCAGTAAATCTAACAGCGACGGGCGTCTGTGCAAGAGATCCAGGAGCGATAGGCTCACGCGCGGTCGCGCTACTGCAGACGGGGCTAGGGGATGCGCATTGGTGCCTTGTACGTGTAAGGGTGTGAGTGTCTGTGTGGGACCGGCGAGGTAGCTGGCGGCGAAGAGATCGTCTTCGTCGTCGCTGTTGGAGGCCGAGTCGCTCTGATGGTCGTATCCGGACATTGGGATGGTGGAGAAGTGGGATCAGTGTCGATGGGTCAGTTGTCGGTCAGAAGGAGTACCTAGATAAGTAAAACGGAGACGGGTGGGCTGTTTGCTTGCCTCCAAGCACACAAACAGCTTCGGTGCATCCGGAGCCTACCAGAATGTGATGTGAATGTCCAGCGACGTAGCCCGTCTCTTGATGCAATTATATCCTTCTTTTGTACAGTATACTACACCTCTGTCATCGGGGACAGGAGCGACCCATCTCATCTCTCATATCTTTTGTCTCAGACGCCAATCAGTCCTCCATAACGATCCCCTTTCCATCCCTCCACCCCGTCGGCACCAGCGCCGCAGCAACCTGTCCAACACCTCTCTCCGTTGCCAGCAGATTGAACTGCGCCGCCGCATTCCGCGTATCCTGCACTTCCAACCGTATCCCCAAGCCGTTGAGATACGTGCGTACCGCGGGCGCGAGGGGAAGAACCTTCGAGCCGGTGCCAATGATGAGGATATCTGCAAACAATCAGCTCGTGCCACACACCACACCACACTCTTCACGTCACCACCACACCCGTCCAGCGAAGAGTAACTCACCAGGCTTCGGCCACACCAACTCCAGCGCCCCCCAACACCCCTCCCCGACCTCCCACGCCCCCTTCGCATTCCGCAACCTCTTCATCCCCCCCTCTTCCCCCTCAGCGCCCACCCATGGCCACCACCGAAACGCCTCGCCTCCCACCAGCAACAGTCCGCACCCACTAACCCGCATCTGGTTGTTCAGCGCAAACCCATCGGGCGTCGTCGCGTCGATGCTGGTAGCCGGTGCAGCGGTATTTCGCAGAACATCAAGCGCGTTGAAGTCCGTTTGTGTGGATTCTTCGCTTTTGGGGCCGCGGTCGCGGGTGCGCGGGGGCTTGGACTGGAGGAGGGCTGGGGGGGAGGTGTGGAAAGGGCGGGCAGGGCGGAGGGTGTGGGTGGCGCAGGGGCGGAGTGGGCGATGGAGGAGGCGCGGGAGGGCGCAGGATCGGGAAAGTAATTGGCGCTCCATTGTGGTGTTGTGTGTTCTTCACGTATGAGGGAGAGTGGAGTCTAGATGGAATGTGAGGAAGCGCGTCATTGAATTGTTGTGGCCCAAGCGCGGGCTAGCTTCCGTACGAAGTACGAAGCACTAGGTGAACTATGTAAACTATGTGTGTACCCCAGGTGCAGTCCCGCTGCCCTGCGAATATCCAACGCCGTCCCAGATGATGCAAATGTGTGTATCGTATGCCCTGATTAAAACCCAATGCCGCTAAAGCCAATGCACATGCTGTCGTTGACGCACCCTCCCTTGAAACCCTCAAAACCCAAATCCGTCGTGCGCAACGTTACGACCGCCCGACACCAGGCGTCGATCGCGCGCCCGCTGTTCCAGGCACGCCGTCCAGCTCGACGAAATCGTCGTCGTCGTCATCGTCAGAGTCGAATGCGGACGGCAGCTCATCGATTTCGGCTGCGTCCAGGCCAAGCCTCGCCATCAGGCCCAGCATTCCGGGGGTGTGGTCTCGGCCCTTGGCTGGCGATGCCTTGAAGGACTCTGTCAGCTGGGAGCTGGTGCTTGCGCGCTGGACGCTGCGGCGGCGGAACTCCATCGGCGCTGTTGCGCTGCTGCTGGTGCTGGTCGTGGTACTCGCTGTGGACGACAGGCTGGGACATGTGCCGGAGCTCTGTTGTGAGTTCTGCTGTGTGCTGTGCTGGCGGCGGTGCCTGTTGCGCTGGGCCTCGGGCTTGCCACATCGCAGGGGCTGCTCGGCGCCTAGGTATGTCCATTCATTCGCTGGAGGGTTGTAGGAAGGGCTTGTACCGCGGTTCAGGCACAGCTTGGAGGCCTTCAGTTCGCCAGTCGGCGTGCTGGAGGCAGAGGTCGTGAAGCGCGACCAGCGAGAGAAGCTCACTGTGCGGCAGTTGGGTGGTGTGGCAGGCATCTCTGCCCACGGCGGGATGATATCGCGCGTCATCTTTGAGCTGTTGCGCGTTGGTGGTTCTGGTCTGGTTGATTTTGTGTCCGCGCGCTCGTCTGCGGGCGTCACTGGTTTGAATGAGAAGTAGTCCTGTTGCGACATTGTGGATGGTTGCTTTTGAACAGTGCAAGCACTCAGCCTTGCTGGCAGCTGGGGTGGTGTGGATTATTGGAGTGAGTCAGGGTATGCAGGATGCGTTGTTGATGACTTGAGGTTGGTCGGTACCGTTGCGGTGAGCGCCATGGTCGAGTGCGTGAGTTCAACAATGCGGTGGCGGGGTTCATTGTTCATTCCATTGTCTGTCTTCACCTTTAAGACTTCACCGCACTTTGCAAGCCAGCTCCGGATTGGTGCGACTGTGTGAGATGCAGCACCTGCGTATCGGAGAAAATCCCCGCACTAAGGGCGCTGAGGGCCGGCCACCAGGGCGGTAGGTGTGACCCTGCCGACAGCTGGACCCGAGTCTCACGGGCGTGGTGCATTCGCGCGATGTGGTTTGTGGGCCATGCGGGTAGTGCGCATGATGGCGCCTCGCGCAATCAGTGGCTGCCGTATGACGTCGTCGACTGGGCTCATGCAACACCGATCGGCGTGGGGGGAGGTCAAGTGGAACGCATGTGAAGATGCAGCTCGTGATGGTTGCAGCGGGTGCAAGTGAGGCGAGGTACATTAAGGGTCCAAATGCCCCAGGGTCCAAGGGTCTCGATGAATCTTCAGATTCGATGCATGCGCTGCAGCCGCTGCACGTGACGTCAGCAGCACTCAGTCACATTGTTCCGTCGAATAGCCAGCGAGCGTGCATCTTTCCAGGCATTCACAAAACTGGGCATCGACACGAGAGACAGACTCCACACTAGACCGGCACACCTGCCGAGCCCCTGACCCTTTCACCTGCGCGTACCGTGGTGGCAGCTGCGCAGCTGAACCGCCATCCATGGTACTGCACCTGAGCGTTGCCGACGGCCCAAACACACTAACAACTAGAGTGCAACACCCGTAGTTCATTTATGGTGATTGTTAATTTAGTTCTAAATGAGGTGAATCTAAGAGTGAACTGCGCCCATTTTCTTGGCCGTGAACGCCAAAACGCCCGTCAGCGATCCTCAGCTGCAGGTACTGCATGCACAACATCCGCAACATCATCCGATCACGCAGCAACTGCTTGGCACTCTAGACCGATGATCTGTATTCTTTCACATTTCCCCGGATAACCTGCATGAGCCAAATACTTAGGTACCTTCACCCTCCACATTTCAGATGATCATTTCTCTGCAGAAATACCCACTGTGGTTTTTCGTTTGCATGCAACTGCATACAATCCCAGAATAGCTAAAGTGGCGGTCTGACGACTGGCATAGAGACTTTCATTCAGTAGAGGAGACAAGAGATAGGTAGCGCACGAGATAGAGTTCAAGATTCCCGCCTTCACGCTGCAGGTGATGTATTCTCTGCAGAGATATCCACCATACAAGATTCTCTTCCTTCACGCTGCATTTGATGCGTTCTATGCAGTTTATTCCGTGCAGAAACATCCACTGTAATCTCGTAGTTCCATGCAGTCTTGGAGGAGCTAAAGGGGCGGTCTAACGACGTTTGACAGAGAAGCATTTTCTTGATGTAAGAGATAAGTGAGATGCGTAAGGCAAGCAGAAAGTTCAGGCATTAATTGCATTAGCGTATTGACAAGCATACGATCCCAAGTCTCAAGAGTAGGTAAAGGCGACTTGGATTGGATTTAGGAAACTCGATGAATCTCACAAGAATCAATCAAGGCAGAACAAAGTTGTATGAATGAGAGTGCAAAATTTTTATGTTGTTAAACGTGTCAGCAATACGTGATAAAGATCCAAATAACAGGCGAAGAGGACTGGGAAATCATTAAGAGAATACCGTATGTTACATGATATACGATTAATAGTGCAGCGAGACCAGCTCTAGTGTGAGATTATCTTCTACAACCAAATTGTAACGCCAACTCCTTTGTAAAATTTCCATACTTACCTGAAGTATGTCCTTGCCATCCGGATCGCTCGTGAAAACTCCCCATACTTACCTAAAGTATGTTCCTGCCATCCGGATTGCCCAAACCTCTCCACTGCAATCCACAGCTCTCCAAGTGTGGAACGCCGAGATACTTCTTTGTTATGAACAGAACATCAGACACTACAATGTCCTTAGGGCTCATCGCGCATGATCACAGCCAGCCTAACAGCGAGGCCGAGGAGTGTGTTCTCGAGATCAAGCCGACCGTCCACCAGGTGGGGCACAGTGTACTCGTCGACGAAGGAATACCCCGACACGAATTCATCGCCCTGGACGAAAGGTATGGACTCGATACCCTGGTCTTGGATCAAGAAGTCTGCATGTTCAAGCAAGCGGTAGATGCTCATCCAGATCACCGGACATGGAGTTAGGGCACCCTTGTCAGGACGCTGCAGAAGCTTGTGAACGAAAAGCAGGAGCTGGCTGCGAACATCTGTCAAAAACAACATATGACCCCTAGAGTGATTTTCTTCGCCGACGACACAGGATGTCAGTATCGTGTCGGCGGATAGTGATGCAGTGGCTATGACGAATTTTATCGCGTCAAATTGGGCGTGCTCTGATGGGAAGCGCATCCTGATCATAGTTTCCCAGTAGGGCAGTAGCGTATCCGCAAAGCCACCTCGACCAGACTGCGCCCAGGATGCCAGGGCTCGGAACTCGTCTGTGATGGAGGTGTTCACCGTGATATCTCCCTCCATGCGCCGGGCCATGTACTTGCGGAGGTCAGAGCTCGCATGCCACAGAGGAGGGATGTTGCTGACCATGGAGTGGGAGTCCAAGTCGTACGTAACACTGATATTACGCGGCTGCTGGCGCATCATGGCATCCATGACACTATGCTCAATCTGGACATTCTGAAGCATGAGACTTAATACCGTTTGAGGTTGGGTGATTCGGAGCCGAGGCTGGCGGCTACGAAGCATAAATGAGGTCGCTTCCCGGTAGATCTGTCGACATGTTGCAACCATGCTCAGGCTGTCTGACATTGCAATGTAACCTCCCCTATGACGAGCGAGGAGCGTGACTGAAGACTCACCTTCGCGGAACAGATAAGCGTATATCATGTTCCGGATTTCGGCGGGTAGAGCGAGGAACGGTGACCCTGGCGGCGGCGGAGCGATGTATGGCACGATCGAGCCGGATGAATTCGACATGTTCGATGAAACTGGTGGTGTGAATGAAGGTAAGATGTTGAGTGTAGTAGAGTGGGTATGTGTGAGTAGCTACAGAAAGCTTTTCGGAATTATATAGATGTCCTCCACCACTCTGCTTCATTGTGCTCTAACAGAGGTGTATAAAATTATGAAGTCACTCCGGGTTCCATACTTGGCACAGTGTAATCTGTTGTTTCCATCATTCAACACAATGGGTGTCGCACTGTTAATTAAAGTGCTCGAATCTGCCCTGTTAGCACGCTGCAGTCTGAGTGTTGTAGCACCTGTTAGGTACGAAGGAGGAAAGTGTCAAAATCATATATAAGTTATTGCCGCCGCAACTGATACTCAGGAAAGTACTGGCATTGTGCAGGCTGCTGAAGATATACCTCAAGAGTTTGCTGCATCAGAGCTCTATGATTTGTTATGTCCTAGCATACAGGTAAGTCTGCGAGTCTCGCACAAAGAACACTGCTTGCTTACATTTCAAACATGAGATTCGACTGAAACAAATTCTATCCAGCATTGCAAGCGTTTGGATCTTCTGAAGCTCGAGATGCTCGCTCGAAAGTGGTCTAGAATGCGCTTTCAGCATTGTACCTAAGGTACGATACTTGTCCATCGGGAGCTAGACAGCAGACATTTCCATCACAATATCGAACCAATGTCCAGGAGAGGCACGTATGTCCAATGTCTTGGCGAAGGTGTAGATGGATTGTTGCTGTCGCGTGGATGCCACCGTCCTAGTACGCGTTACGCGTGACGTCATTGCGGAGACTTGCCTCCCCGTTCATCAAGGCTCCACATTCGACTTTGACATAACACAGAGTGCAGAGCAAGGAAGCAGGATTAATCATACCAGCTGTTCCACCTTAAGACTGAGCAACGTGGCGGTTTCTACCAGGTTGGCTGAACAACCACTTCTCCCGAACAATGCAGCTAACGCACTTCATCTCCCAGACTGACCACGAGCGATAGAACAAACCCGGCATTGTTCAAAAGTCCCTTCATCAATTGCACTAAGCATAATAAAGCGTCTCTTTCACTATATCGTAATATCGTGTTACGAATCTTCATGGCAAGTAATGATCAGCGGCAGGTTTCGGGTCCGAATAGAAACATATCCTCTACCATATCTTGGTACTCGCCTCAGTTCAATTCGGATCCAAACGCATCGGGAGGTGATTAAAGTAACGTTACACTGCATCTCAGCCGTTGAAACGACCCGAGCCCAAGACAAAGCAACATGAGTTTGCTTCCCGCCCATCAACGAAACATGGGGAAGACTCCAGCCTGAATATGTGGTGGTCTTCAGTTTACAAGAAGCTCAAACCTGCGAACTATGACAAAAATAAGTCTCCCAATGCTAAACTCGTTGTGCAGTGCTGCGTGGTATCGATAGCTTCATCTGCGCGAAGGAGAATTTATAGCAAGGACCTGCATTCAAAAGGCCACACAAGGCCTAGCCAACGCGATCTTCAAAAACCCGCCCAGTCTTGACCTCACGCCAAGTTACACTTCCTGGGGTAGCGCGCAGGTATCGGGTCATCGGGTCGCACGATCGCATTGAATGCGAGAACCCCATCTTGGCAGGATGCACATCGAGTATATATACACAGCGCATATCTCTCGAATACTACTTACTGCCATACTGCACTCTGAACAAGATACACAGTCAAGCTTATCTCAACATGCGCTACTCCCTTGTCTCCATCCTCGCCCTCACCGTCCTCCCCTCTGTCTTCGCCGAATCCTGCCTCAATGGCGGCGGAACGTGTATGACGTCTTCGAAGTGCCTGAAAGAGAAGTTCGGTAGCGTCTCGACTGGTTTGTGCTCTGGTGGAGCGGACAACCGGTGCTGCGATCTCAAGGGCAACTATCAGTGCGGTACGGGCGGAAAAGGTGAGTACCTACGCTTAGTTACGAGAGATTGATCGCGGAAACAGGAGCTAACGGTTGGGAAGGACGCTGCAAGTATACGTCGGAGGGCTGCAAGGGAACCTGGCAGAGCGGATTTTGTCCGTTTGGCAGTGATTTCAAGTGTTGTAATTGAGTGGCTGAAAGATCAAAGTGCTCGGAAAATCATTTACGTATGGAGAACGATGCGGCCAGTCTCAGTATATAAAGCAGACAAAATTGGGCAATGTTCAAGGGTATCCAACATACGCCCGTGTTTCTGATGTTTTCGAACCCAGAATTCTTGACACTACCATTCATTTCCAGGATCTCTTTGAACATACTGACCGAGATCCTTGGCTACTCCGAGCAGTGACTCCTCATCAAACTCCGTATTTTGCGCCTCTTCATCGTACTCATCATAGGCGAAGTCCCCTATATCAAGCAATCCCTCCATCATATCAGCGAAGACACGACCTTGAACCCAGTCAGCGTATTCCTTTCGGTACTGATCAGAAGATATGTTAGCCCCACTCTGAAATTCGAATTCGCCTGGGAAGAAGGATCCATCCATCCACACCTTCGGACATCGATCTGTGCGCCTCTCTGGATGGTCCCTCGCTAACATTAACAAAATCACGAGCAGTTGCTCTCGAATGTTGGATACTGTATAACGATGCGACCCGAGATTACAGGCATCAATCCAGACTACAGCATCATTTGGGAGTCCGCGGACTGCTCTTGTGAAGGCAATGGCCTCGAAGCGAAGATTACCGAGGTTCGTTTCCTCGCTTGTATAGAACCTTAATGTGAGGTCGGCGAAAGAATCCCAGCTCAAGATCGAGTTCATGTATTGGTCCTCAATCCATACCTTCAGCTTACCAAAGTACCGAGAATTGAGTTGCATCGACTGCATGCTCATACTGGCAATCACATTTGTTGGAGCTATTCCCATACAAGTGTCGGCATACCAGCGACTGGCGTATGCGAGCCCTGGCAGACTTGAACTCAGGGTCTGTCGTGTCAAGTCAAACTCCAGGACTTGCCCAAAACCCTCATCAGGGAGAATGAATTCAAGGATGGGATAATCTGCATATCGCTTGTGGAATAACAGTTTTTCCATCACGTTTTGAAGCGTCTTCGGCTGGTTGATCTGTACTCTGTTCGTCTTTCGCAAGAAGGTAGTTGTCTCCTGGAAGATCTGCTTACAGGTTGCCAACAGCCCAACGCGGTCAGACATAGCGATGAAGCCTCTTCCAGTCCTACGCGCCAGAAGCTGTACTGCGGAGCGACCTTCGGGAAACAGGTAGTCGTAGATCATGTTCCGAACCTCGGGTGGGAGTTCCACGAAGGGTGTTGATGGGGGAGGAGTCTCGTGATGTGAAGTCGTCTGTACAGCCATGTCTACGGTCGGTAGTGGAGTAATCGACGGTAGAGAGATCGGCAATAGAGCGCTCGGCGGCTGCAGGTCGTCGTCCATACTGCAGTCGAGACTGTAAGGCCGCTGTCTGATTGTTGTGCAAGTGGTCGTCAGAGTCTCCCCTGTGGGAATGTTTGTGTGACAAGTCAGAGTATGAGAAATTTAGAACTGGAAAGTAGCGCGAGAACGGTGATCAGGGTGAAGGCGACGCGTCAAACTGACGCGTCAGTTTGGCGCGTACACAACCGCCAGAAGGCAAAAGCATCCCCGAAAACAACAGACTCATGAATATCATTGGCAACAATTGAGATCTGCATCATACAGCTATCATGATTGCAACCATTCCCTCAAGCAGCACGAAGTATGGTTCGCCCCGTCGGTACCAAACCCTCCAACCAAAACACCACACTCTTCAACTTAAAGCATGAACTCGATCTCCTCATATCCCCCAACATCAATCTCCCCATACTACCACAATTCCCATAACAACACAACAATATCCACCATGCAGTCCCCCCGCCCCCGCCTCTACGACATAATCGTAGTCCTCACCTGCGCCCTCTGCGTCTCCGGCGCAATCAGCCTCCTATCGCTACTCTACCTGATCCCGCCCACGCCCTCATCTGCTGTTAGTTGCCCCAAGCCCCTGATCGAAAATGCCCCCTGATCGTAAAATCCCCTGATCGAAAATGCCCCCGATCGAAAGCGCCCAGTCAAAAAAACCCCACATACTCACCACCGCACACAGAAAATCCCGGGCACCAACACAACAATCACGAACCTCAAGCGGCTCAACATCAGACCCGCGCGGCAACTCTGGACCGCTGAGATGTTGGGCGAGCAGCCGGACGTGTGGGATAGGATTTGGGCAACGGTTGGGTTGGATTTGGAGAAGTGAGGGATGTGGAGCGTGGGGGTGGAGTCTGCGGATCGTGAGGAGGGTTGGAGATGTAGAGAACGTCTGCTTCGTGAGTGGCTCAGGCGTTTGTGACCGCAGAAGAAATTTAAATTTCAGCCCGACATCACCACATTGACAGCGCCGAAGGTGAAAAATGCCGTTGCACGTCGCCCTGTACGTCCGACTCGGCACTCGCATCCCGCAGCGCCAGAACCAAGATCACGTAATCTACTGCGAAAGAACGGAGGATATCAGTTTGTGAATAGGAGTTAGGTAGCAATATCAACACGAATCTAACACCCCTTCCACCTGCACCCCCTCCCTCGCCCAACCCTGCTCAAACCCGCCCTAAGCATCCCACCTCCTCGCATACCCATACCCGCCCTTGGGTTTAAAGCACTTGAGCCACCCACTCAGCGCATCGGTGAAGTACTTCCGACTGACCGCGCCGGGCGCAAAATACGTTCTGAAATCATAGCAATGCTGGGCATCCTTCATCGTGTAGCCGAAGACCTCCTTCTTGCTCGTCTCTTTACCGCACTTGGGCGCGTCGGTGAACGCATGGACCTTGGGCGCAAACGGCTCGGCGCTGAGCGGGCTCAGGGTGCGCCAGGGATCGAACTCGCCGCCGGACCAGTACACGTTGCTGGGGCGGATGTCCCAGCCGCCGAAGACCTTATTCGTCTTGTCGGTGGCGGGCCACTCGGGCAGCAGGCTGCGCGGCGCGTTGGGGAACTGGCGGTGGCAGATGTCGCGCTGGTGCGTGAGCGAGTTGAATTTGGACACGACCTGGTTGGGGCCGAGGTTCGCGGCTTGGAAGTAGCCCCACTGCGTGCAGTACTGCCACGTCCAGGAGATGCTCGCCGGGTCGCTGAAGCGCTTGTTCAGGTCGCAGGCCGAGGTTGCGTTGGAGGTGCCGGGGCACGTGGTCTCGAGGTAGCTGTTGACAAGGGGCGTGAAGGTCTTCCAGGCGGCCCAGCGGTCGACGACGGATTTCGCGCCTTTGACGGCTGCCCATCCGGAAGCAGGGGCTGTGGCGTTGGTGGCCGGGTCGGTCTCGATCCAGTCGCAGAAGTTGCGCAGGCCGCCGGCGCCGCCATCTACGCCGTAGGATTGCCACAGGTAGAAGATGGTGGTGAGCGCGTCGGCGAAGGTGGCGTGGGAGTTTGCAGCTGCGCCCTTGCCGAGGAACTGCTCCTTGAGCTTGGCTGATGCGGCGGGGTTGGTGTCGAAGGTGTGGTCGATGTACTTGATGGCGGCCTTGATGTCCTGGGTGCAGTTGCCGAAGCCGTACCTGTTCATTCCGCGGTAGACGGGCTCGAAGTAGAATGACTGATCAACGCTGGCTTCGACAGGGGCAGACGAAGCGTAGCCGGCGTAGATGGTGTCCGGGTACTTGTCGCGGATGAAAGCAGCACGCATGGCCGGGTACGAACCACCGATGAAGATCCAGGGGGTCTTGTCGGGAGTCAAGGTGGCGTTGATGTTCTGCCTCTTGAATTGCTTGGCGAACTGATCAACATCGGCCAGAGACTGCTCAGTAGTGTGGTATCTGAAAGTCTCCGCCGGGGTGTCAAGGTTGATCGGCGCAGGTGTCGACTTGCCGTCTGGAGCCTGTTAGCATGAAGCCGCGCGGGAAGGAAAATTGCGTATAACTCACAGAATCGGTGCTCCCACACAATTCCAACACCACCAAACTGGTCCACGATCTGCTTGAAGAAGCTGGTCTCATTCTGCAGCCTGAACTTCCAGCTGCCACTGGCATCCGCCTCACCCACATCATAAATGAAGACCGGGCCGCCAGCTTTGTATCCAGACTCAGCAACCCAGAAGCGGTTGTTGAAAACGTCCTTGTTCTTGCCAAAGTGGTCCAGCTTCAGAGAAACGAACTCCTCGGCGATCGTCTCTGGGGCTTGCCTGGTGGTCAGGTCGACAGACGAGCCCTTGACCGTGGTACCGATGTGGAGGCTCCTGGCAATGTTCTCTGCAACCGCAGTCTCGATGGACGAGCCATCAGGGTTGAAGCCCATGTCCGCGAGCAAGTTAAAGTCGCGAGACTTGGCCGCGTTAAAGGCATCTGCGCCTTGCAGCAGCGCGAAGGCGAGTGCCGCAATGGAGGCGGTGGCACGCATATTGACGAGGAACGCTGGGTTGTCAAAGCAACAGACAGCAAGACAAAGGCGATGAGAAGCGAGAGTGCTTCTTGCCGTCAATCGGACGCGGTGGCTCTTGTACAGCAGAAGAGAAGCACAACCAACACCACCTTGGGGCACAACAGCACATATATACCACCGAGCAACCCATCCCGCAGCCGAGTGCAGGTGGTTAGTCAAATCCCCAATCCGCGGTCATATCGCGGAAAGTGATCTGCACGAGCACGATTCCCAGCCAACGGAAGCATTCGCTCATGTCAAGCATTACCAAGCTTGCACCTGGCTAGGAAGGTGTAACTAGACACAAGTGGAGCATGTCAAAAGAAAGCTTGACGCTCGTTATCGCCCCTGCCAAGCTAGCCGTTACCTGCCTAATCCGTCCTAGCATTCGTGGTATAGTGCTGCATTAATCTAACGTGCGAGGCGGGTCAACCGGGTACAATAGGTAGGTACTTCAGCCGAGCACTGCAATGGTCCATGACGGGACGCACGCGACGGATTGAGGTCTGAATATCGGTTTGCCACACCGGCCGATCGTTGTGCGCGGGACCGCGCTTTCGTGCGCTCGTTCTCGTCTGCATCTGTCGTGCGACGATGTTGCATATAGGTTCTGGCCCGATAGAATCACATGTAAGAACGTGTGGTGGTTCTTTAACTCTTTGATGCCTGTGGCGGATACGTTAGTGAAGGAGTTCTTTGGCATAAACATCTGCTTCGGAGGCCGATTAATTGAGAAGACACTGCAATCGAGTAGATGGAGTCCTACGACCAACAGACCGCTGTCACATAGTGACAGCGCAGGCAGTAACGAGGAAGCATTGATTAATTTGTCGCCATTGCGGACTCCACGAGACCTGCTACTACCATTAGATGGCCCAGTCGCGCATCCGGCACCCGACCCGCGAAACCAGACGTGGCCATGCCGCTGTACTCATATTGAATCACAGCCCTGCCACAGCAACATACAACAGCCATTACTTATTAGTCTTCTCGAACGTGGTATTTGTCTCTGAACGCCATTGGGTTCCACATCCCCGATGACCCTATCGAGTGCTTCTTGGAAAAAAATCGCTTTCACTGGTGATGTTGCGTTCCATTGGCCGCTCCCGGAAATGCCGCGCCGGGCCAGTGGAAATGTCCTAAATGCGCCTCTGCTGCGTTGCCATCCGCACTTCCATCCTGCCCTCCACCCTCACGCCCGCCAAGCGCCATCAGCGATGCTGCTGTGTTCATATAGTCTCCCTGTTGACCCACGGGTTGCTGCATGTAGGACTGCGTCCATTGGCGCCAGTCCTGCGGGGAATAGTTATTGGCGACGTACGCGGGTTGGTGAGGCGCGGTGGCGGGGAGGGTTTGCGGGTAGGTGTAGTTGGGCGGGGGGCGGGAGGGGGATGGTGCGACGGCGAGGGGATGTGAGCCATGTGAGGGGTCCTCGTCGACTTTGATGTAGGATTGTTGGTCGTAGGTTGGTTGTTGGGTTACGGGGATTTGAGAGGCGAGGTTGTAAGGGAGCGTCATGGCAGTGGTATCCGTGAGGGTGGAGTAGGAGGCCTGGGTGAGGGTGGGATCTGTGGCGACGGTTGCGTTGGTTGTGTACTGCTGGTCGGTATAGCCGCTTGTATCGTAGACCGCGGGCGAGAGGTTCGGCTGCTGCTTGGTGTGCATGGCGACGCGAGCTAGTGACTCGGTGGCGGTCCGTTTGACGATACTGTCGTTGATTTGACCAAGTGCCTGGTCGACAATCTTCGATATCGCATTCCTCATCTTGTCCTCTGTGCCTGTATTTGTTAGCATCGGCACATACGTCATCTCGTGAAAACTCACCTGAGAGCTGGCTACACTCGCCGAGAATGTCAATCCATGTAGCCATGTCGTCCTTCAGCTTCGTCATGTCAACTGGGGTGAGGAGGTCCTTGCGCATCGACGAGATGAATAGTGTTGTGAAGACGGCTGCAACATACACAACAGCATTGATCCACACAATGTCCAAGCTCTTCTTGTGCATCGTCTCCGTGCAGGTCTGCAGCATGCTCTGCGCCGCCTCCATGCACTTGTCCAGATTCGAGGCCAATATCGCCGGGTCGGTGGACCGGCAGACGGCCGGATGGTGCAGCAGGAGCTGGAACTCGTGGTACCAGTACTCGAGGTACAGCGCGAAGATATGGTCCTCTTGCGTCGCGTGGGAGGGCTCGCGCAGCTCATATGGCAGCTCTTCCTTCCATTTCTGGATGCCTGCCTCGAGCCGTTTCAACGACTCGATGTACGAGCGCGGCGTGTACTTGATGGCATACACCGTCTTGTACAAGTCCAGTTCTAGAACTGTGTACTTGGCGATCTGGATGCCCACCTGGAACGAGCACTGATGGAAAGGGCTCAGGCTCGCTTCCTCGCCCGGCAAGCAGTCGCTCAGCGGCTCGGGAAACTCGACATCAATGTCCTCATTGCTGATGGGCATGGGCCGGCCGAGCTTTCCGGCGAGGTTCATCTGCAGCGCGTTCATGGTCCAGAAGATGCGCTTCCGCATCTCGATCTCCAGCTCGGTAAACTTCCTTGCAGACTCGTCCCAGTTCTTAACTGACCGGTGCAGGCCGAGCTCTAGCGATAGCAGGTAAGTCAGCGACGTCATGAACCAGGCGGCGCCAGGCTTGGGAAAGTTGCGCAGGTGGTGGCAGATCATGGCCAGGGCCTGGATGTCGGCGAGGGCGTGCTGGCCCAGCAGCAGCTCGTTGTAGAAGCTGCAGGCGTACTGATAGTGGGCGTGCGACTCGTCCATGAGCACGGTCTGCTGGCTGTTGCGGGCGGCGATCTGGTACTTGATGGTGGCGAGCATCATGTGCATCATGACGGTCTCGGGAGCGGTGGGCGCGAAGCTAGGGTCGTTGCCGAAGCGCCAGACCAGGGCCATGAAGTCGGGCTTGTGTACGAGCATGGTGTAGGGGTTCATCGAGCGCAGGTACCACGAGGCCCACTCCTTGAGGGCGTCATAGGGCGGCAGCGGGACGGGGTCGACATGCTCGCGGCCGGTGGTGATCTTCATGAGGGTCTGGTAGGACATGGGCGAGTCCTCGTACTCGTCGCCGTCCTGCACGAAGTCGGTGATGTCGATCTCGGTGCCGAAGACGGACAGCGACGTGCCGCGGATGTGGCTCAGCAGCGAGTCGCCCGACGCGACACCCAGGTAGTTGTCGCCGATGGAGCCGAACTTGAAGTGCGGCAGCGAGCGCAGGTCGGACGCGTCGGCGGGCGCATAGCCGATGGGCGACGCGCTGGGGCGGCGGGCGCTCCAGTCCTCGGGCGCAGCGGTCGGCGCCCACGGCATGCTGGCGTAGGCGGGCGGTGGACGCGGCTCGACGCCCATGTCGGTCAGCTGGGCCTGCAGGTCGGCCAGGTGGGTGCGCAGGTACGAGTTCTCCGTCTCCATGGCCTCTGCATGGCCGCGGACCGTGGCCTTGCCGGTGATGCGGTCGGTGGTGCGGCACTGGGTGCGGTTCTGCTCGCACGGCGTGCAGCCCTCGGGGCGGCCATCGCAGCGGATCTTGCGGACCTAGGGGTGTCAGTGAGGGGTGAAGCATTGGGAGAGACAGCGGCAGCATAGGCGGCGGGAGTGCTGTGAGGCGCAGACGGCGGGCCTGAGCCTCGGCCTGCACGCGACGGCAGCAGCAGCAGCAGCTCCAGCATCACCAACAGCAGCAGATGCAACGCAGCCGCACCACCGTCTGCGGTCGCGCGCACCGTCGCGCATTGTCGCGCATCGTCACACCACACTGCACTCCGCGGAACTCGGACTCACCTTGCACCGGTCGCAGGCCTGCCCCGTCCGCTTTGAGTCGGCAAGCTTGCGCTTCACGCTGCCCGAGAAGTCGTTGTTGGTGTGCTGCAGGCGCGCGTGCGGGCTCTCGCTGGGCGGCAGGCCGTGGGCGTGCGCGTGGTGGTGCTCAATGCGCTGGATCTTGCTGGTGTTGGCGAGGCTCGTGTCGTCGTCGGACATGCGCTTCGTCCCGGAGGCCATGATGGATGCGTGCGGTATCTTCCGAGTTGCGCCTCATGCGCGCGCAACGATGCTGACTGGCCCGTGTGGTCAGACCCAGGGCATGTCGGGCCCTGCTTCCTGCGCAAGCGAGGGAGAGGCCTGGTGTTATGCGGACGCGCCGGTGCCTGCAGTCTGCAAAGGGACTCGAAAGGGACTCGAAAGTGAGGTGCTCGGCGAAGGGGACGCGGAGCCTTCCCGTCATTGCTCCCAGTCCATGCGCCACTCACTTCTGGCCGATGCTCCAGTTCAGCCTTGGACTGGCCGACGCGAGGCACCGCTGTCACACCCAGGCCATAGCCTCACCCCGCCGGTCGATCCAGCTCCCCTTGTGCCACAGGTGCAGCCCACACGCCTGCCTGCCTCCAATTCGCTGCCTGCACCGGCGCGCTGGCCGACACCGTTGCCCGCTAGCGACTGAGTTTGCCAAGCCTTCCATGCCGCCCCGCTATCCCAAAGCAGACAGCAGCATGGCCTGCACTGGCACAACACCAGATCGCCGCACTCTGGACTGCTGCACGCTGCTTCACATCACCCTCAGTCGCCACGAGAAACTGCCCGCCGCCCTCACTCCACCAAGGTTCCCGCCACCTGCACGAGACACTGCCGGCGCACCTCCGCTGCTCCCATCATCTCACAAGGTTCCTCACCACTGTCGGCGCAGATCAGTATTCAAGAGATAGTTTAGCCGCACGTGACCGCACGCGGATCCCCAATGGCCGCGGTACGGACCTTCACGCTTCCGCACTACGAGGCGTACCCTGTGCACATCGCGCTGTTCGAAGATGTCTCGAACGCCGCGTACCTGCGCAGCCAGCTGCTAGCCGCGAACCCAGAGTTTGATTATGCGTTCATCGACGCCGCCATGGTGCGTCCATTCATCTGCTTTCAGCTGCCTTCCATCTGCCCGTCGTTTGCCTTTCGCCAGCCTCTCGTCTGCCCTTCATTTCTGCCTGCCGTGATAATCTCGTTTTGCAAACTCCATTTCATTATATCGCCTGATGTTCGCATGGTCGCCCCGTCACACGCACGTCCCATCACATCACACGCCCCGTCTCTGGTCGTCGGGTCCTGCTAGCCCGTAGAGTTCAGCATCCCTGTGCAACTCTGCGCGTGATCCTGCTCAGCACGGCAAAAGCTTGTGAGAACCGCGTCTCGCGAACTCTAACCCGCCCGTTGCATCCCAACGTCCGCCACGCGCGCCCACACGTCAAAAATCTTCCGACGAGGCTGGGCAGCGCGGCGCGTAGCATCGCTGGCGCGGTGTCAAGAGGACGCACGAGGACGTTGGGTCGTTTGCCGATACGAGACAGACAGGCCGTGTTCAACGGCTAGTAGGGTGATCAGCGGTTGCATTGTAGCCTCGCATTTGAGGCCAATCTCTCTGCGGCGGCGAGACCTCCACTCCCCGTTGCGGACGCTTGTTCGCCTCGAGAATGGAGCTGTGATTCTCGTCGCCCGGGGCCGTTCTGCTCGCCCTCTCCCCCCCCCTCTCTCTATCTCTCCACCCCCACCCCTCATCTCACAGTCCCCCTCTAACCACCCCCACAGATCCTTACCCCCACGCACCTCCTCTCCGCCACCGCCCTCTCTCTCCACGCCTTCCTCCACTCCTCCCCGAAAACCCACACCCCGCACTCCGAACTCCTCTTCCGCCTGTCCCCCACCAACAACATCGGCGAGGCATACCGGCTCTTCGGCATCGCGGACTCAACGACCGCTGTGATCGCGGTGAAACTCGCGCTGGGGAAAGACGGGCGCGTGGATCCGGGGGTGAGTGCTGAGGGCGTTGGGGAGTTTTTGGGCAGGGTGGTTGAGGGGCGGAGTGTTGAGATTGAGGTTGGGGGTGAGGGGGAGGGGGAGGAAGGGTTGGGGGCCCGCGCGGATGTGCATAGGATTAAGAAGGTGTATAAGATTAGTTGTGCCAAGGGGAAGGGGGGGAAGGGGGCGAAGGGTGGGAATGGCGGCGAGAAAGATGATAGAGCGGGGATTGAGAGTGTGGTGCTCGGGGCTATGGCGCTGAAGGGGTGGTAGGTGGTAGGTGGGAGGTAGAGGCTGTGCTGAAAGGGGGACGAGGGCTCTCGTGAAGAAGTGGAGTTGTGTAGAACTTGTGTGGGGGGAGAATAGTATCAGAACGAGGATGGTATCGAGGATGGAATAGCATCGAGCACAGCATCGCGTTGGAAACAACAAGAACAACAGAGCAATCTACTAGAGCTGATAATCAGCGCATGACCTGTAGTGAGCGACATGAAGTGTACCTTCCTGCACACAACTCCCGTGCACACATACAGTCTGCAGCGCAGAATACTAGGCCAATCACCTCACATCACACCCAACCCCCAGGCATGCTCACCTCTACCACATCCACCATCATCTACAATCAGCACAGACCACACAGCTCACAAATCTCCAATCGCTAAACACACCACATCGCCTCACACACAGCAAGTCATCACATGTACCCCAACAACCACATCTAAAGTTAATCGGCTCCTTCTTCCAGCTATGCTACATGGACCGTATAGATACAGGCGTATAAACACAAGACCAAATCTCTGCGGGCCCACGCTTAGACGTGGTGGTACTCGGGCTTGAGGAAGTCGGCCATGTTCTTTGGTCGGGGGTAGGGGTTCTCTGTTGTTTGTCAGATACAGGTTTTTTGCACTACGTTCATCCACAGCATGACACAGTCATTGCGTGGACGATCCACTACATACCGTGGTGGTCGTGGCCGTGGTCGTGCGCGTGCGGGTCCTCGGCAGGGCCGACGTAGTGCATCTTGTAGGTCGAGCCGCACTCCATGCAGCGGGACTGGGGCTCCTCGCGGGTGAGCTGCGTGGCGTTAGCAATTGAGTGCTGTGTGGTGTGGAGTTTCCTACGGTGATCCACAGCACGCCGTGCGAGTCGACGGGGAAGCCGGTGCAGCCGACGTACTGCTCGTTGCCGGCAGAGTTGACGACAATGGGGTCCTCGGGCGTGCCTGGGTGAATTGTTAGCGGGGCCGTGCGGTATGCAGGGTGGTGGGTGACGCACCCAGACGGCTGGCGTCGAGGGGGCGCATGTCGAAGATGTCGACGCCCTGCATTTTACCGAGGATCTCGAGACGCTCGAGACCGGTGGCCTGCTCGGCGTCGGTGGGGATGGTTCCGGGCTGGGCTCCGGCGGGGAGCAGGTCGTCCATGGACTTGATCTCTGAGTCGCATCAGCAGGGCTCACACAGCGAAGGGCGCAGCGTACGGTCGAGCGTCTTGTGGCCCTCGAGGATGCTGGGGGCGCTGGCGCCGGCGGCGGGCGCCTTGGAGTCGGGGTTCGCGTCGCCTGCTGGAGTCAATGGGTGCGCGTATCATGGAGCCCGGGTCCCTTACGGCGCACAAAGGTGGTGGTGAAGGTGCGGCGGGCGAGGGCGGCGGGGGCCGCGCGCCGGACGGCGGCAATGGCTGAGCGCTGGAGAAACATGGCGCGGGCAATTGGGTGGAGTGGAGAGGCGGGCGTGGGCGGAGAGCTGGTGCGGTGGGTTGAGCGTGCATGGATCGAATGAGCGAAGCTGTGAGTCTTGGCACGCCTTACTCATCCACGGCCGCCCGCTGCGACTGGCCAGCGTCCAAGTCGCAGCCGGTGCCTGGCGCAGCATCATCGTGCATGTGTGTGTACGAAATTCTTAGTAGGCTATAGACTGCTGCCGCCTTCACTGCTGATGCTGCTTTTGATGATCTTGATGTGGCTAACCAGATAATATTCGTTGCGCCCGAGCAGCCTCATAGCTGTCATAGACTCGCCCGCGCCTGCGACTCCCCAGCTCTCACCACCGCCATGTCGTTCAAGCCCGCCCTCGTTATCGTCGACGTGCAGGAAGACTTCTGCCCGCCAGTGAGTGCGCCTGTCGTGGTGCGCGTGCCGAGCTGACCAGCAGAACGGCGCCCTGGCCGTCGCCGGCGGACGCGACATTGTGCCGGCCATCAACGAGCTGTTGGCGCTGCCCTTTGCGCTGCGCGTTGCGACCAAGGACTTCCACCCGCCCGACCACATCTCGTTCGCCTCGACCCACGCGGCGCCCAACAACCAGCCATTCGTCTCCAAGGCCACCATCACCAACCCGCTAAACGCCGCCGAGACGCTGGAGACGCAGCTGTGGCCCGACCACTGCGTGCAGGGCACCGCGGGCGCTGAGCTGCTGCCGGAGCTCGACGTTGCGCGCGTCGACTGCGTGGTGGAGAAGGGCCAGGACCGCCGCGTTGAGATGTACTCTGCGTTTGCCGACCCGTTCCCGAGTCACTGCGCGCAGAGCGACCTGGCGGCCACGCTGAAGCGCGCCGGTATCACGGATGTCTTCGTTGCCGGGTTGGCCGCCGACTACTGCGTGCGCTTCACCGCGCTCGATGCGCAGAAGCACGGCTTCAAGACATGGGTCATAGGCGAGGCCACCAAGGCAGTCGATCCGTCGTCGCTGGACGACGTCTACAGAGGGTACGACGAGGCCGGCGTCCGCGTCATCGGCAAGGACGACGGCCAGGTCCAGCGGGTGCGGGAGCTTGCATAGATAGTCTCATAGCAGTATGCAAATATCATGTCTACGTCAGCCTTGTCGGTCCTGGTGCGTGCACACTCCAAGCTGTCGTTCGGCTGCCGACGGACTGCGTAACGGTGCGTATTGGCTGTCCGTTTGTACGACCGGCACGGCGCGGGGCTGTCATCTTGGAAGAACCCTGACCGACTTCCGCGTGCACCGCCCCATGACAAGTGTTGATCAATAGCTGATCTCGAGTACCTGCGCTCTCGAGAACCTGTCACGTTGCTTACCAAGTAAACCTCATGTTGCCTTGACGTTGTTACAAGCGTTGTCGTTAGCAATCGCCAGCGAAGTACTGCGGGGTCTACTAATTTTTGTCTCACAGCCGCCATCGTCATCAGCGGCGCGCTCACTCGCCTTCTAGACCGCGTCACAGCTGCAAGGCTTGTTTGTGCCTGGTCCACGGTCGTTTCACAGTGAATTCTCGAAGGATTTAATACTTCTCTCCACATCAGGAACAGCTTCCTCAGCTTCCGCCATGCCGCATATTCCTGGCGTCCACCGGCGCAAGAACTCGCTGACAGGTGCGTCACCGCTGCGACACCACGGATTCGCACTGGGTTTACATACCAGAACCACGGCTAACGACGCACTTTTGCACCCACAGGCAGCGCGCGATCTTCTGTCGACGAGTCTCGGAGCGATGAGGTCACACGGGAGGACGAGACGGTCGTCGACGCAGAGCAAGGCAGCAGTACGTCCGGAAGAGCTGGATATAGAGGAGCTGGCTGACACAGCATCGCAGTGCTCTCGCACATCATATCACAGTTGCGCCCGGGAGCCGACCTGAGCCGCGTCACGCTGCCGACTTTCATTCTCGAGCCGCGGTCCATGCTGGAGCGCATCACCAAGTGCGACACCTCAACTACCTGCAGTGATATCAGGCTGACAGACGCAGCTTCATGGCCCACCCCGAGACGCTCCTCCCGCTGACCAAGATCGACGACCCTGTCCAGCGATTTGTCGCAGTGACCAAGTTCTACCTCAGCGGATGGCACATCAAGCCCCCGTATGCGACCCAGAACCCACAAGGAAGCCATGACTGACAAACAGCAGGGGCGTGAAGAAGCCGCTGAATCCCATCCTGGGCGAGATCTTCACAGGCTACTGGGACTACCCCGACGGCACCAAGGGCTACTACATCTCCGAGCAGACATCGCACCACCCCCCGAAGTCCAGCTACTTCTTCATGGCTCCCGAGCACCACATCCGGATCGACGGCACACTGAAGCCAAGGAGCAAATTCCTTGGCAACTCTGCAGCGAGCATGATGGAGGGGATCGCTGTTTTGCGATTCCTGAATACAGGCGAAAGATTGTGGGTAAATCATGGACATTGAACAGCAGAGGCTAATCTGGGCAGCTTCATCACACAGCCTAACATCTACGTGCGGGGAATCTTGTTCGGCACCATGAAGTACGAGCTTGGCGATCACGCCTACGTGCGATGTCCCGAGACCGGCATGGTCGCTGACGTCGAGTTCAAGACCAAGGGCTACTTTTCCGGCGCCTACAATGCTATTGGCGGGTACATCAAAGACAAGAACGGCAAGAACCTGTTCGAGCTGTCAGGCGCGTGGAATGAGGAGATGTACATCAAGGATCTGACGGTATGCATCTTCTGAAGAGTAGGGAGCATTACTAATGCAACACAGACTGGCAAGAAAGAGTTGTTCTTCGACGCAGCAAAGACACGGCACACCCCGCCAAAGGCGCGACCACTAGAGGAGCAGGACGAGCGCGAGTCGCAGAGACTTTGGCACGACACCACAGAGGCGGTCAAGAAGAAGGATCAGGAGACAGCCACAACAGCAAAGGCGAAGATTGAAGACAGGCAAAGAGAAGAGGCGGCAGCAAGGGCGAGCGATAACGTCGATTGGCACCCTCAGCTGTTCCGAGCGACCAAGGGCGGGCCTGGTGGGCCTGAAGAGGACGAGGAGGATCTCGACTGGATCATCAATGCGAAAGTGTCAGTCCTCTTTTTCCGCACGGAAGTCCAAGCTGACATATACAGTGACGCAAAAACTCCGGAGGAGCAAGTCAAGCAGATACTACAGATCCATGCCGTGCTCCCTGGCCAGAAACCGGACAGGCAGTTCAACATTCCTCAGCGGAACGCCAGCATTACATCTCAGCCGCCCGCGGTGGAGCCCACACAATCAGTAAACGGTGCGTCACAGGAACAGGTGGAGCCGACGAGAGTACTTGCGCAGCAGGAAACCCAGCAGCCTCCGATCCCACAGCCCGAGCCACAGCATGCTAAACAGGAACCGCAGGTGCAGCAGGTACAGCAGCAGCTTGCTAGCGTCGACCTCAACCAGCCCCCACCCCAGGCAGAGTCCAGCAACGGCCACGCCCCGATCAGCTTCACTCCCGTCCCGCCCGCGCAAAGCTCGACCCCCGAGACCAACCCCCCGAGCAAACTCCTGCACTCCAACCCGGCCCCCGAGCCCTCGCGGGACGACAAGCTGCGCCGCCTGGACAGCGAGACCCAGGAGCACGACGAGTTCCACGACGCACACTCGTAGGTATCGCACATGGGCTTTTTGATTATCGCGGCATGATGATTTGATAGCGTTCCCCCCCGGCTCCGTAGCTTACCTCAACAGTAGGCGCGTGGCCAGCTCTGCACATACACTGCGCTCTGCGCGCTGCCAACACACACACTCTGCTCTCCGCTGCTGTACGTGCTTCTCAACATGCACCGTGTCTTGACTCGTGCCACAACTGTGTGTCTGAGCATCCGACCGAGCCCAAAGCGACAATTCTCGGTGTTTTTATTTACTGCATTTTTCTGGTTTTGTTTTGGTTTTTCTTTCAACAAAAGTTTGCGGCATTTGATGGACCTGATATCCACGGGCGGAAAAGTATTTCAACTTACTTGTTTGGCGGGGTTTTATGTACTTTTTGTCTTTGTTTTATTACATCTCCTACTCAGTGCTCTTGCTTGACGACATGACATGGACCCAATCTCCAATGCGCCTCCCCAATGCTTCGCTTCCCCGCGCGCCTCGAACCCCGTAACCCCATAATCCCAGCTCCTACAGCCTTCCCAACCCTTCTTACCCTCACCCATCGTATGCATGTCCCTTGCGCTTTCTGGTCAGGAGCGGCGTGAGTTCGTGTCCCTGGGCTTGGAGCTGTGCTTGAGTATGGTCTGCAGCATGTATGTAGTACTGTGAGAGAGGCAGTTGGTGCCGAGTCCAGGACTCGGGACGTTGGGTGCTCTGGTGAATGGATGGATCGTTGTCGACTCCCTTGTCGCTCATTGCACGTCTGTCGATCTGGCTGTGGTCTCCTACTCTCCCCGGTAATCTCCTCGTGATCAAGGCTTCTGTCGTACCGTTGCTTCGTCTCGTTTCCGCTTTCCGATGTGGGGTCTTGCACGCCAGCTGCGACGCGGGGGTGGATCTTGTGCTGTAGCTACTATGGTGCTTTCGAGAGACGCAGAGGATGATGTCGGAGCTGTGTTGATAGCCGGCTCGGCGTGGTGATTAGACGGAGCTTCAGTGGGATCCAGTAGCTCGGGTTCCTCTTCTTGTGGTTTTCTGGCTTCGGCAGGGACCACTTGATCATCCAGCTCCGCTTCGGCTATCACAGAGCTTTCCAGGGACGCAGAGGATGGTGTCGAAGCTGTGTGGTCGGCCAAATCGGCGCGCCACGAATCCAGAATTTTAAAGGTCTTCAGTCGCTTAGCATCGTCTTCTTGAAGAATTTCGGCTTCCATGGCGACCACCTGTTCCCACAACTGGATTATCCTTTCCAAATGTCGCTCCCTTTCGTTGCTTGGCCGTTCTTTTACGCTTCCTGATTTTGCGTTAAGCAGATTCGCGTACATTTTGGCCAAAACTTTGACTGAAACCAGCCGCGAAGAATGGTCGTCCCGAAGAGCCTCCGCGTCGATAGCGACCACTTGTTCAAGCAGCTCAATTCCTTCCTCAAGTTGACCATTTGCTTCGTACGCCAGTGCAAGGCAGTGCTGTGACATCAGCCGTGGAGGATCATCTTCTTGAAGAGATCCCGCTTTGATAGCGACCACGTGTTCGAACAGCTCAATTGCGTCTTCCAGTCGTCCAGTCCTTCGATACAAATCTGCAAGGTTATGCTGCGAAGCCAGTCTGTCAGGGTGTTCTGCATCTAACACCTTACTCTCAGGTATTTCTACGACCACCTCTAGCAGCTCTATTGCCTTCTGCACCTGCCCGTCTGCATTATATGCCATTGCAAGCGCGTGCTGTGAAGCCAGCCGTGAGGGGTGATCTGCCTCTAGTGTTTCTTGTGCTTTTACTACAATCTCTAGCAGTTCTACTGCCTTCGTTACCTGCCCATCAGCTCTATATGCCATTGCAAGCGCGTGCTGTGAAGCCAACCATGAGGGGTGATCTGCCTGTAGTGTTTCTTGTGCTTTTACTACAGACTCTATTACTTTGAGCGACTTTTTGATCTGTCCATCCTGCTCGTAGACGACGGCCAGTTCGTGCTGAGAAAACAGAAGATCCAGATCGTCCTCCTCCAACATACTCCTGAGTCTGTAAGACTCCTCCAGCCATCTCACTGCTTCCCGGATCCTGCCATCGACTCCCAAGCATCGCCCAACCCACATACACAGTGCCGATCTCTCTTTCACATCGCAGTCCTGTGAGGCCCCAAGCAGTCGCAGTGCGTGCGGCATGTAGGCCCGCCATTTGTATCGGCTCGCGTGATCACTGAACGGAAAGATGTATTCAAGGCATCGTATAGCGTCACCTGCCACCTCTGTGGGATTCCCGTATTCTTTGATCCAGATTCGGGTCGCTAGGTGAACAAGTCGGTGGATGTCGAACAACTCGCCGTCGAATGTATTTGTTATGCCGCGACCCTCCTCCTTTGCTCTGTCGCTATCGCCACCTCGTCTCACTAGAAATGAGTATCCGCAAAGAGTGCCGATGGCCTCCTCCATCTCTATTTTCGACTGTGCTCGCGGCAGCATCGATTGCGGGATGGCCCTCCACTCCACACATGATATGAACTCGAGCAGACGTGTCGCCACCGAATCATATCTGCGAATCTGACTGAATGATACCACCCACGTTGTAGCCACTGCGTTTCCCGAGCCCCTGTACCGTGTGTCGTCGCGGAATTCCTTGCTCATAATTTCCACCAGGCCCTGCTCAGTATCTTTGAGTAGCTCTAAGTACTTCGAGACGGACATGCGGTTCTTGTTCAGGTAGGCGGCTGCCTGCGCAATGGCTAGCGGCAGGCACGTCAGCTCGTCCAGTAGTTCGTTTAGCAGCTTCGTTGACACTGCGTCGTCGCTGAGAAGATCTTTTCTGTTTAGTGATTTGGTTAGAAAATCTGTGGCATCTTCACGGCTCATCTCTCCAAGCTCTATAGCGTCACCAGGTGTCAAGCCAATCATCTCTGGCGTGCGCGTCGTGTACACAACAACGCCACTCTCGTTCTGTGGGAGGTAGTCGACAATGCCTTTCCGCTGTCCAGTCCCCAAGCAAATGTCTCTGTCGTCAGCATTGTCGACGATTAGCAGCCATGGCCCTGCTCGATTTGACCTCAGCCGCTGTCGCACCAGCTCTTTTGGGTCTTCTTTTTTGATTGTTTCTTGTGGTATACCAAGTGCTTCTGCGATGTCTGCGCATGCCTTCTCGAAGGTCTCCATACTCACTGCAGGCATCCAGTAGATTGAACGCTCTGGTTGAGCCTCCTTCACCATGTACGCAAATTGCAGTGCCACTTGTGTTTTGCCAGTTCCGCCAAGCCCGACAATGGTCATCTTCTGGCAATCTTGATTCACGAACAGTCGCTGTTGTAGTTTAGCGAGCTCGTCGCGTCGTCCAACGAAGTGCCGGTTTTTCAGGAAAGGTATGCAGTATGTTGGCTCGGCTACACGATTGAACGATTCATTAGTATCCATGATGTTTAAGAAAAGATACGGTCGCAGCGAGACTGACCGCTTGCGTCTCTAATCGTCTCTTCTGCTGTGCGCGCTTTAGCTACATCCGCTGGAGGTATCGCTGATAACACTTCTTTCGCGTAAGCTGCTGCTGTCGCCGCTGCATAGGGCTGCCACTTCTTGTTCTTGTGTGAATCCGCGTAGTCGCAGATACCCCGGATAATAAGACACGGGAAGCTATTCATCAGCCCTGCCGCTTCCATCTCAAAACACAGCACTCCACCAAGCTCTGCACTGAGACTGTCCCTTACAGTTGCGTCCTTGATCACCTGATTGCCCGAGGCGATGGTTCCGTAGTGTAGAATCACCTCTTCCTCACTGTCACGCGACTCTCGAGCCTCGTGTCTGTCAGGGCTACACTTTTCGCACGTCTGCGCCCCGTCGTGCTTGTAGGCTGCCTCAAATAGAATGTCAGGCCCAGCCTTGCTGCGCTGGAACTTGCCGATCTTCCCCAGCTTCTTGATATGATCACCTAGCTTGCTCCGGCCCCGCATCTCGTTCGCTCGCACCTTTGCAACAGCTGACAGTAGGATTTGCGGTGGTGAATTGAGCGCGCCTGTGCGCTCGAACCCGCTCGTTGTCGATTTGCCTGAGTCGTACTGCACGACTCCAGCGAACTTCCCGAGCGGCTGGCTGATCACCACGTCTCCAAGCCGAACATCTGCCTCAGCGCTCGTGTTCGGCACGCCGCCGCCGATGCCCACCATCAAACCGAATCGGATTTGCTTGAACGTCGCCCGCATTTGGGTCGCAACAGCGGCTGCTGGATTGTTGCCGATTCTACCAGCAGGCAGGCATACAATAACGACGTTATGGCCACTGATTGAGCCTAAGGCGTACAAGTTCTCGTCGTTGTCGGTGGCATCATGTTGAAGGTCAGGGTGCTCTTCATCAAACATCTCCTGTGCTGCTGCCAGCTCCACAGGCAGCGCACACACCCATCCCACCGTGTAATCTTCGCGGCGCAGCGGGCGCGCCATGTGATGTTGTCAAGAAATGAGTACGTGTAAAAGGGCGAGACGGGGAGAGCGAAATCACCGCTGTGAGAAAGGAACGGGGTCTGGCATCCTCGCAGACTCTCAGCTCCTCAGCCTTGCGACGTGCCCAGCGCTTACCTGCATACTTGCTGTCAGCCGACGGTAGCAGGCTGCGACAGGCTGTCGAATTGACGTGCAACAGCCACTGCCAAGACAACGCGAGCAGTGTGGGGGGCGGCGCGGCTTCCCCATTCGGAATGTTGCGCAGGGGACTTTTGCCGCATCATCGCAAAGCCTTTACTTATCCCTCTTGAATACCTGTTAAATCGATTGGGCAGCATTGAGGGCAACAGTCGACGTTGACTAGCTCCCAACCATCACGTGCTTTCCCAGCCCCGCCGCTGTTCCGAACCGTCTGGACAGCGTTGTACCGACTGAAAACGACGAGTTTTCGCACCCAATCTACTGGAAATTATCTCTCGAGAGAGGCTCACGAGTATGGCACAGAGTCTTACAGCAACACAGCCTACTTATTCTCACTCCCAACGTGTTGTTACTCGACCGCCATTCACGTGACTCGACCTCCACGTGCAGGCTGAGGCCTTCAAAAGGCTCTAGTAGATCTCATTGGAACTGTGATTTGGTGTATGTGGCTCAAAGTCAAGAGTCATTCATAGGTGCTGTTAAGGCGCATGTCATAGATTGCGAAGACCAGCACAGTCGGTCACCTGACATGCGACTCTCACATGGACAACTTGACGATAATCACCCATCCCCTGTTTGAAACTGACAATACGCCAAGATGAATCTCATATTATCCAAGGTGTTCTCACGCCAATATCCCAGAAGAATTCGAGCTAAGACTCTTTGACCTACGCAGCGCTCGGATCAATCCTTACCACGGACAACGCTTTGTTTCGCCACACCTGTTGTGTACAGATATGCCGCGACGGATTTCAAAAGCTGCTGTACCTCCCACACATTCCCCAAACCCAACTCAAACGAAGGGGACATACTTTTGCCGCAATGAAGACTACTGTCAAAAAGCAATGGCATGGGTTCAACACCAGTGTGCACGAAGAAATCTAAGCCTCCCGTAGATGGTTTGGCAAGATGTGGGAGGGCAGGCGGAAGCATTGGAATCGATTGTTAGAGCATACAGACGTGATTGTCGGAGACTCCAACCCCCACATTCAATTGATGAGTATCAAAGTTGAGCAAGGGCTTAACAAAGCCTACAAAACTTTATGGATCACGCATCACACTGATTTACTGTGAGTATCCATCATTTACACGAATCAAACACGCAAGGAACTGACGGCAGTAAAGCTGAGTCCGGGATTGTGGCATCTCTCAATCGTTCTAGTCACTGTAAGCAGATCATTCACTGTGGCACATGTGGTACAAAAGCATTGTGGGATTTTTTGTCATTGTCTCACATCATTCGTATCTCAAGAATTTATCGATACGTTACGGAAGTGTTTTTGGCTGCTGATCGCTCAGATGCAGCCCAACGTGAATACTTCACACTTTGACCTCATTTCCATCGTTTGTGTCACATCAAAATCAACGTTACGTTCCGGGTATGTTTTGATAAATTGAATATCTCTCGACCTCGTTCCCATTGCTAATAGGTCAATAGTACGATGTGGTCTATCCGGTATAATCAAAGGAAAAAATTTCTCGCAACTCCTGAAGCTCTTCCCAGCAAAGACCCCGCTCCCATTGCTAGTAAGTCAATGGGGCGGTGTGGTCGGGTGTAAGAAAAGAAAATTCCACGGAAACCCCCAAAACTCTCTCGGTTCTGACCTCGTTCTCAATGCTGATGAGTCAATGGTACGGTATGGCCCGGTATGACAAAAGAAATAACACCCGAAGCTCTTTCGAGCAAAGACCCCGTTCCTATCGCTAATAAGTCAATAAGAAGGTATAGTCCGGTGTGAGAAAAAAACTGCGTGTGACATCCAACGGCCTCGTTATCGTTGCTCATGAGTCAATGATACGGTGTGGTCCAGCGGTGTGACAAAAGGGAAAAAACGCAAAGCTCCTTCGAGCTTCGACCTCGATGCCGTTGCTCGGTTGAGTCAAAGGTACGGTGCGGTCCGGTCTGAAAAAAGAAAATCCACTCATAGTATCCGCTTCGGTCTCTGACTCGGTCGAGTCGATGAAAGGGTGAGGCCAGGTATGACAAGAGAAAAGCGCACCACATTCTCAACAAACGATCCTCCCAACAAGAACCTACTCTCTAACGCTGGGGCTTCTTTCCTCGGGTGCTGCGCACTGGTCGAACCTTCTTCTCCTCCACCGCTGGGGCCGATTCAGGGTCAGCAACGTCCTCGGTCTTCTTCACACGCTTCGAGCGACGCACAGGCTCGTCGTCGCTCTCCGGGGCGGCTTGAGGAGCCTTGCGCTTCTGGGTGGTTGGCTTGCGCGAAGCAGTTGTGGCGACCTTTGCGCGCTTCTTGGTATCTTTGGCAGCCTGGTTCTGGGCCTTGGCGGCAGCGCGGGTTGTAGTGTTGGTACCGCGAGAGGGACCTGCGATAGTCTTGCGCACTGGTCGGCGAGGTGTGATTTCTGGGGCCGGGGAAGATTCGTCATTGTTCTCCACAGAGTTCCCTGCGTCAGAGGGTGGAGGCGGCACTGCACGCTTAGTGCGTCGAGAAGGCACCGCAATCTTTCGCTGAATCTTCTTTGGAGGCGCTACATCTTCCTCCTCAGAGTCCGATGTCTCCGGGACGATGGGACGCTTGCGGGACTGTATCTTTGCCTTCGATGCAGCAGTCTTGACGGTGGCTGCAGCAGTCTTTGCAGCTTTCTTGTTCCCTGATTGGACTTTGGTGCGAAGCGTACGCTTTGGCAGAGTGGGCTCAGGAGAGAGCGCTGGCACAACTGGCGATTCAGGAAGCGTTGGCGATGTCGCTAGCTGATCAGGGGTGGTGCCCGCCTCGACTGCATTTGCTGCTTCTGACTCCGACTGGCGGCGCTGGAGATCAGAGGGTACCTCAGTGGACCCAGTCGGCTCAGCTTCGCTGTCAGAGAATATCGAATCGTGGTCTGAGAATATCTCATCGTGGTCAGATAACACCTCGTCGCCGTTATCAACAGGCTTGGGAGTCTCCTTTGTACCTGGGGCATAGGTTTTATCCTCCTTGCGGCCATGCGCGATCCACTTCTGGCGTCGCATGTTCTGGTCCACCATCGTCTTCGCGCATATCATCTTTTGCTTGGGCGCGCCGACGAGTGCCTCGATACCCTCACCCTTCATCAGGGTATCGCAATAGGCCTTCGAGAACTTCATCATGTTGCACACAGCGTCGATTCGCTGCTGGAAATCGAGCTTTCGAGATTTCCGCATCTTCTTGAGCGTAACTGGGCAATACATGCTCGATGCCGCGGGACCATGGGTATGCAGACGCACTGCGAAGTCGAGCAGGCTCCAGCAGACCTTTTCCATCTCCTCAACCTTGTAGTAGTTAGATGTAGTCCAACGCTTGGAAAAAGATCTACCTGTCAGGTTGTCTTTGCATTCTGAGGTATCCAAGAATGCATTGAGCATCAGGAGAACGTACGCAGAGCGCTCTGCTTGCGTAGTCGGAATAGTGGGGTCTGGAAAAGGAGGCGTCCAACCGAACTTGATCTCTCGTGTAGACATCGCTGTCTCGGCATCGCGTAGGCTAGTGAAGGTCAAGCCTGCCAGTGGGCCTTGGGCTTGAGTCTGAGCTTGCAAATTCTGCGCAGGAGTGGAGGCGGGAGGAACTGTGCGAGTGCTACGCCCGGACTTTGTCTTCTTTGGAGCAGTAAAGGGCTTACCTGAAGGCTTCTTAGATGCCGCTGGCTCAGGAGAAACGTTCTGAAGCGATTGAATCTGCTCAGCGGTGAGGAAGTCCTGCTGCTGTGAAGATCCCTCTGCTTGAGAAGGGCCTTGTGCCGGACGATAGTATGGTGGTGAAGCGAACGCTGAGATGTTCTGTGGCGAATGTGCTACTTCCTGCGACTGAGACAGCGGTTGGAAGTTATTGAACTGGTTGCCTCCAAAGTTCAAGGGCATCTGGGCAATCTGAGCTATTGATGGGACGCTATGTTGCAGCGAATATGTGAACGTCTGCGGTAGCTGCTGCTGGTCGGGATTCATTACCTGTGGTTGAGGACCTGGAGGAGGACCTGGTACGATCTGAGGATGCGATGAAAGTCCACCATACGCTGCGGTCGGAGGGATGGTAGACGTGGAGGGCACCGGGACTGCAACAAGCGATGGATCGATGTTGTCTGGGTACGGAGGAGCTCCCAGCGATTGATCAGGCATTGGTACCAGACCAGTCTGAAGATTGTCAGAGTCTACGTGCGGGGCCATACCATGAACATGCTCGACTTGAGCAGGGCGGAATGCTGCCGCAGACATGGACTCGTCGGAACCATATGCATCCTCACTATAGAAGCCAGGCCCATCTTCGAAAAGATGGTTGTTGGCAACCAATCCAGCGTCCCGGTACTCGTCTTCAAACTCGTCGAAGTTGAAGAATTCTTCCATAGACAATGTGACTATGCGGGGGGTGTTTTGGTTACGTGATAGAGGAAGAGGTGTGGTAAGGTACTAGCAGAGGGTTGAGTAGCTAGCGGAGTGGGTGTTTGCGATGAGGAGGGGTGAATGATCGTGGGAGGAGACCACCAGAACCTTAATACTAGTAAGGGTTACCTTCACAGTGCACCCAGTTGTGGTGAAAGACAAGGTATCTACACCTGATGCGGCAGATTCTTGGAATACCAGGTGGGCAGAAGCGGGTTTCCGTTGCAAAGCTGAGTCTGCAAAGTCAAGACCAGATTTGATATATCAGTCCAAAAACCTGAAAGAGGTACTGATTCATTCGATGCTAGCCATGCAATGGAGAAGAAGAGCGCTGTCCATCGTTACTCGGTGTTGGCATGTTCCTCAAGCGTTCGGCGGTTACATTGTTGCATTGTTGAATCAAGTACATTGTGTACTCGAACAATGACGGGGCTCTTGTTGTTCAAGCACTGTGCGTGCAAGTCGTACGTTCTGCCCTACTAGCTTCGCTACAATGCTGCGAAATTTGCATACACGGTGCGAGTTGTATTCGTTGTGATTGATACCTGATATCGATGGATCACGGGTGTGGCCATAGCACACAGCTGGTTCCTTCGTTTAGGTATCATCCTGTGTTGCCCAGCGATATCTAACATCGAAAGCAAGGAATTGAGAATGGGAAGCCATGAGGAAGATAAGTTTTGCTTGACAAAAGTCTTGAAACCCGGGGCCGATCGTTTGTTGTTGCGTATTCTTGTATAGAAATGTTACTCCCTACCAAGATTCTAGGCGACGTGCTCATTCGAAAGTCACCACAAATCTGTAGTCGCCGTGATGGAGCGATATATTTGACATGGCCGAGGGATGTAACAACAACTTCAAGGTACTAGAACTTGCATTGCAACAGCTATGTGCATGGACCCAACAGCCGTGCTCTGAGATCTGTTGAACAAAGCTGTAATGTGAAGCAAGTAACAAAGGTAGTTGTAATGATTTTCGAGGACAAAGAAATTCGATCTCGAATCCTTTCACAAAAGGAAAAAAGCGAGGAGGCAAGAAGACTGCAAACAAGGTCCCTCAAATATGCAAGGTAACGCATCATACTCTTTCTTGATCAGCATGCACATAACAGCTGCCCATGACTGATTGCAAGACTGCTCGGACTTTGCAACAGGGCGCCATCGAAAGCTATAGCGAGGCCTAGAATGAAATTCAGACTTGGAGAAGAGATGGGGGTTCGAAGACAAAGCTTGCTTATCAATAGCGAGTCGCGTTGCATTAATGGAACGCTCTAAACTTTGTAAGTCTGTATACGAGCCATTCGCGCACCTCGGATGACATGTGAACAACACCATTTGATTTAGTTTAGAGATTAAAGCGGTTACAACGAGTGTTGATTGTCAACTGGCATGTCGTTTTTGCATCTAGATCGAGCTCGAAGATAACGTGCTTGAAGTGAGCGAAGTTGTGCTATCATAAATTGTGGAAAAAGTTCTAGGTGACAAAATAATGAAGAGTCTAGCCAGAGCGAAGAGGCGATGGACAAAAATTGAGAGTATCGACCCGTAGTGCCTGCCATTCTTCGGTGACTGGCAGTTTATTTGGGAAAGCGTACGCTGAAGAAGGGCTTCAGTCGCATCAGTATGGTTGTAAGTACTATATGTAGGTGCTATGTATTGTAAAAGCTATAGCCATCAAGAGCCCTGAGAAAGCCCTGATTGTTCTCAAGAAGAAGAGTAAAGGCGCTCGAAGATGGAAAGAACAGCCGACAGAAGAATAGGTCTCGAGTCAACCATGGCCTCCAATAAAAACTCGAAAACAACATGAAACAGTGACTCGAGCACGTGACCAAATACAAGTGCTCTGATCAGTGAGGCGAACTCGAATGTAACTGGGCGACAAAGACTGATATTCAATATTTGCGTCGACAGCCCCCTACACGACAACAACTTGCGTTGATGCCGGGTAGCTCTAAAATAGCCTGTGTGTGTTGTTCAGATATACGCTGAGTTTAGATCGTGGCCAACAAATCAACGAAAAAATGTCATGAGATACGTATATCCTGTTGTACTATGTGTGCGGAAGGCCGGCCTTTTATCTTCCTAAGCTTGCCTATGTTTGTATTTCTAATGACTAATAAAACTTCCGTTTACTTAGGGATGGGGCTTGTGATATGATGCTTGCCGACAAACAACAAAATAGGACGACACGGCGTTGGCTCCTGACTGCTTCCAATTTGCTTCTGAAGATGTGATGATCATAGCTATGATGCTGTATTTCTTTTGAGCTCATGCGAATTTCGTTACACAAAAGCATACGTGGGGCTAAGGCGAGTTATACTCGAGAGAAGATATGCGTCATAATTTTCCAGTCCAGATGAGTCGTTGCTTGCACACGAAAATCTGCCTAATAGTCGCGCGGAATACATGGTATTCTCATCACATATCCTTCATGACATCTCCAATAGCATCCCCACCTGTACCTCCACCCTTGAGATCCTTGTTCGTCGCCTGAATCAGTACACGGCGATAGCTCGTCAGACTTGGAACCCCATCATCTGTAACCTCGAGAATCAGATGTAAGAGCTGTCCTTGCTGCACCGGCTTCCGGCTCATCAGCTCGACCGCGCATTTCTCGGGCGGCGGTAGCGTGACCTCGACCTTCTGGCCGTCGCCATCAAGTGTCTTGATTTGCAGTGCAGCGACTTCAGCATCGACCCACCACTGCGTTGCGGTGGGCTCGCGGTAGTGCCACCACTTGTATGTAAGCTTTCCGCCGTCGGGGTCGTACGTGCCGCTAGCGTCGAGGGTGACAGAGGAGCCAGCCTCCGCATCGATGCGCACAGGTGTCAGGTCCTTTGTGCCGTTGAGGCGGATGACGGGATGATGATTTACTTTAGTGAAGTCGGACTCCATGCTCCACTTGATTCGCGCTGCGAAGTCGTTCTGGAATGCGTCGCGCCAGCGCCAGACGGTGGAGTGGTTTGAGGTGTGAGTCCTGCCGTCGAGGCCTGTGACGCGGTCTACTGCATCGCTGTAGTGGTTACTGTTCAGACCGACGCTGCTAATGTCTGTGCGAGCGTAGCGACCACCCCAGGACCCGTAGTCAGGGCACTCGGGTACGCCGAGTCCGTTCTGGATCAGGTACAGAAAGGTGGGTGTATCGCCCTCCGGAATGAATAGATAGTCGGGATATGCGCTCCCAAGCGGGCCAATCTGAATGTTCTCCTTTATCCAACTCTTCTCCATTTTCGAGAAGTCAGGGCCGCCCTGATCGAAGCCATAGTACTTTTCTCCTGAGATTCCGGTCCAGGCAGCCATGCCATACTGATTCCATCCGTGCACTGAAGCGATGTAGAAAACATCGGGAAAGCTGTTACGGATCCATGAACCTGTATCGTCCTGATCGGAGATGGCATATACACGAAGACGCGATAGAAGGCGCTGAGAGTCCTCAGGCGAATACTCGTCATCAATCTTGACCAGCGCCTGGGCCAATGTGTTTGTGCCGCCCCAGCAGAGAACCCACAATGGCTGTGTTGAGGGTGCAATGATACGTTCGTATAGCAGCTGACCTCCAGCAGAAAGTAGAATGTCTTGTCCGACAGCCGTCATTCCATATGTCTGCCTCAATCAGCATTGTTCATCGCACGACTCTCGTCTCTGCAAACACGGCTTACCTCAGCACCCTTCTTGATCAGGCTCCTCATATGCTCAGCACTTGGGTATGGCCAATCCGGATGGACATGATTATTCAAGTTGTCAACGGCACCCGCATACGCATCAATGATCTTCTCCATGTCTTGCGGGCACACTTTGTTCTTCATCCAAGTGCTTGTGCATGCCACCAGGCCCTCGGTCTCGAATTGATTGGCATATAATAGATAACGACATAGCGACTCGGCATCATCAGGCTCGTTCGAGATATCTGATAGTATGAAGACGCGGGGCTTTTGAGGATACGTCTGGAGATCTTTTGAGGCCATGATGATGTGGGTTTGCAGGGATGGCGTGGTGTAAGGAAAGAGAACTCAAAAAAGCAGCCACGGGGGGATCAATCGCTTTTCAAGCTGTTGCGCTGTCGTGCGAAGATGAAGTCACACAAGGCCAACCCGAAGTGGTGCCTCGCGGGTACAAAAGTGGGGCATTGTCGGGTTGTCCTTTGTTGATTAATCTGGATGCATTAGGCACAACTTCGGCTGCACTTGCCAGCTAGGCCGAGGCTCGAGGAAATGTGTCAACCTTCACGACAACATGGAAAACGACTAAAACCCATCTTCTTGCCGACCAACCGAGTGCAGGCTGTACTCTCACGTCGGAGAAAGACAAAAGATCTGCACCGGCACGGAACCGACGGTGTTGTTCGTTATGCGTGCGCCACACTTACCTATGCCCCTTTGGGAGAACTCAGCCTCTGCTTGGCTGACGCTTGTGTTGCAGACACCACAACAATGGACGATCCGTACCAAGATAAACTCCGAGAGCGAGGTCAGGCGTCCTACAGTAAGGCTGTGTAAGGCGTTCACACATTACGTAGGTAGTCCCTCTGTGCAGCAGCTAAGTATTGTATATAGCCGCAGCTCCCGCTAACCACTGCTGACCTTAAATTTTCGATAAGACAACCAAGCATCAACCCACGTATACAAAGAAACATGACATCAATTCAATCAAGGGTCCACGACGCAGCTTATCAACATTCACTGCTGCTTCAAGGCCTCGCAGAAACAGATCACGCGCCATCCCAGTTACAACAACAGGATGCCTACCTCAAGGACTTGAGAGCGCAAGAGGCAAGGACATCAAAACGCGTAGAGGATCTCCGCAAAAAGACAGAAATCGAGCGTCAGGATCACGAGAAATACTCCGAATCGACGTTCCGTCGCTTTGCGCACAAGGCATCCGGTCTCGGGGGGCGTTTTGAGGAAAAATCAGCGAAGGAGGAGCGCGAGTACTTTGACGCAATCCAGGAGCAGAAGACCGCTGAAGATGAACTCGCATATGTCCGTGAGCTCAAAGCCGAGGCCGATGTGCAAAGGCAGAAATTTTACAAGGATACAACGCGTCACAACAATCTCCAACACCAGCTTGACCAACTTTACAACTCCATATTCGCTGGCCAGACGCCCGAGTTCCCAGAAGAAGATCGCAGCGAAGAGGCGTGCAATGCCGCATTCCAACACATGCACTCTGTTCATCAGGAGCTTGAGAAAGAGCGCCACATCCTATTCTTGCTGCGTCAAACCAGCACCAAGCTCAGCGAAGCCCGCGTACATCTGGATGAAGCACATGGCATGTCACAATGGGACATGTTCGGCGGTGGCACCATTGCTTCGATGCAAAAACGCAGCCTTCTCGAACAAGCTGAGAGTTGCATCCAGCAAGTCCGGATGCTGCAGCAACAACTACAGCAAATCGCCTCGCACCTACCCAGCCTCGGCCAGTTGAACATCGCATCTGGCAGCATCTGGGGCGACGTTGTTTTCGACAATATCTTCAGTGATATGGAAATGCACGACAAGATCAAGGACTCAGAGGCGCAGGTCGATCGCGCTGGGCACAAGTGTGGAGACGCGGTCAGGGAGAGTGAGTTCCGCGAACAGGGGTTGCTTGGGGAGGCGACGAGCGCAAGAGAGCAGCTGAATAGTGCGAGAGCGGAATTGCAGAGGGTGCGAGAGACGGCCTTCAGGGGCGTGCTGGACGGCCGTAGCGGGATGCAGCAATACCAAGTCCCAGAAGGGCCACCACCGGGTTACGACGCCGCTCCGCCGGCATACTGGGCCTAAAGTTTTATGATCATGATACCACGATACGTAGTTTTGATATCCCTTCACAATTTATCTCTTTCATCTCCTTCAGATGCGACACCAACAACAGTATCTGACCTACCACGAAATGGGTGCAAATTCTCGCTGTTGTTTGGGTTCGGATGTCCCTTGGAACCCGGCTTTCGGCTCGACATCCGCATGGCGTTTCTTGTCCCCCTTCGATCATCACACGTCATGCCGAGCCGCAGGCGTATCTAGCCTGCAATAGCACCAACGAGAGGGTCTAGGCGCAGCAACTCCTCCCCTCTAACATCGACGACTGGATGAGGCCAGCATCCCTCCTGATGACGGCAAGATTCGCCCTGGTGTGCAGAGTGGAGAGGCTATCACGATAACGAAACCATGGTGTTGCAGTCCGTGCTCGATGACCGCATTTCCGCTGACAGCCTGCGCGTCCATGCAGCGGGGATGCACGCATGACGGCCCCTCAAAAGTTGGCGGATGCCGCACATTGTCAACACGCCAATTGATCCCAGTCCAGACTTCAATACACACTCTCGCGCCATGGACCCCCTCCTGTCTGTCGCAGACGACGCCATTGCGAATTCGCGAACGCCGACGCCTCCCCCGTCAACCCCTCCTGGGCGCCTCTGGGCGATCGCCGATATCCACCTCTCGTTCAAGGGCAACCGCAAGGCCCTCGAGAAGCTGCAGCCTCGGCTGAACGATGGCCTTATTTTGTGCGGCGATGTAGGCGAGAGCGCAGACCACTGCAGACAGGCCTTTGAAAAGGCGACGGCGTGCTTCCGGCGCGTCTTCTGGGTTCCTGGGAATCACGAGCTGTACACTCTGCCTTCCCAGAAAGTTCAAGGCGCGCGCGGCGAGAAGAAGTATATGGAGTGCGTGGATATTGCCCGCGAGTATGGCGTCTGGACACCCGAGGACGAGTACACATTATGGGAGGGTGAGGGAGGGCCGGCGCTAATTGCGCCCATCTTCACTCTATACGACTACAGTTTTCGGCCGAAGGATGTGGAGCTGAAAGATGCGCTGGCATGGGCAAGGGAGGAGGACATTGAGGCGACCGACGAGCATCTTCTGCATCCAGATCCATATCCCTCACGCATCGCATGGTGCCATGCTCTGGTCGAGCAGACAGAGAAGAAGCTCGAGGCTGCAGTAGCTGCGCATCCAGATACACCACTCATCATCATCAACCATTGGCCGCTGCGCGAGGATCTTGTCAAGCTGTTCCGTATACCACGCTTCTCCTTGTGGTGCGGCACCAAGAAGACCGAAGACTGGCACAACAGGTTCAACGCAAAGGTTGTGGTCAGCGGACACTTGCACATTCGGCGGACGGACTATATTGACGACACGAGGTTTGAGGAGGTTTCTCTAGGGTATCCCCGACAGTGGCAGCACTGCCAGGAACACGGGCTGGACATCAATGACATTTTGCGCGAGATACTGCCTGGGCCGACACTACCGGAGGGCAATAGGGAGACGATATGGAGACGATACGGCTAAATATCCGGACCACGACTGATGAACACGACCCAACACTGAGCAGCGCACGATGTAGTGTGGTATCGGTCCACCATACTATTGGCATCTCCACCTCACCAAACCAACGACTCGCTCGTCGCGATACTCGCCACACTTGCAGTACCCTCACCGGGTGATTAGTCATGACTCGCTGCCACTACGATCAAAGCGCAGACGCGGATACGAGCGTTCAGGAACGCGTGCAGGACCGCGTTTTGGTTGTATGTAGCCGACAGTGCCCCTCAACCTTGGCACCACGAGATCACTTGGCTCTCCAATCGACATGTTCGCACCTCTCACGTTGACAATATTTCCGTGATACCCCTGTAGGACCCTTCTGCATCTGTGCACCTTCCCCATCCGCTGCAGACTAGCGTCGGTACGCGGGCCAATCCTTCGGCAGTGTGCTCGCACGCCCGGTTCTTATCTTGGCTCCCGTTCGATCAACTCCATTTCGAGACGCATGACCTTCCAACGGCCATATTAACACCGCCGATCCCACAGGAACGTTTCCTGGAGTAGGTAGTTGCTCCGATTTCGACATTAAACCCCCGGATACCAAGGTGTGCTTCTTACTCGCTCCCACTGAACGGCTGCACTATACCTGTAGCTGTACAGTGTCGAATCCTCGAACCCTGTCGCAAAGCTTGTTACGCCAATAAGGGGTCTTCCTCGTGGCCATGTGCGGTGAATGGACGCGCTTGCGTGCATACCGACAGCGGGAACAGCGCCACACAGGAACCGCTAGACGATGATAGTGATGCTCCCGAAAAGCACTATGGACTTGCCAGCTACAACGGCAGATCGGCAGGAGTATAAGAATCGTGGCGGCTCTCGTGAATTGTGAAGAAGTATCAGCCTTTCCCTGCGCACCGGCTTTTCCAGTCTCGGCCGCCTTTCCACATTGTCGCCGACGATCTTCTCAGTGATTCAGCAATCGCAGTCTATCTTTCAAGATGCTCTTCAACCTTCAGTCGCTGGCTATACAGCTTCTTGCGGCAGCGACATGCGTCTCTGCCCTGCCTACTGGCATTGAGAAACGGGCGGTCATTGGTCACGATGCCGTCGTTGGTTTCGCTCAGGCCGTCCCTTCTGGCGTAGTCGGAACACTGATGCTGAAGTACAAGCCGTACCTCAAAGTCTTCAACGGCTGCGTTCCGTTCCCCGCGGTCGACGCGGCCGGTAACACAGGGTAAGTCTCCCAACCTCTCACTCACCCCTGGTTACTCACATCCAGCAGCGGCGGCCTCCAAACCAGCGGCTCCTCCAACGGCGGCTGCTCCGCATCCACCGGCCAGGTCTACGCGCGCGCCGGTACCTACAGCGGCAAGTTCGGCATCATGTACAGCTGGTACATGCCCAAGGACTCGCCGTCGACTGGGCTCGGCCACCGCCACGACTGGGAAAACATCGTCGTCTGGCTGTCCGCGCAATCCACCTCCGCGACTCTCACCGGCGTTGCCATCTCTGCTCACGGCGATTACCAGAAGGAGGCGTCGCCTGCGCTCCAGGGTACTGGCCCCAAGATCGGCTACATCAGCTATTTCCCTGTTAACCACCAGCTCATCGGCACCGGGGATCTTGGTGGCCAGCAGCCGCTGATTGCGTGGGACAGCATGACTGCGGCGGCGCGCTCGGCGATTGAGACTACCGTAAGTAAACTCCGACGTTCCAATAATTCTTTTGCTGATCCCAATCAGGACTTCGGCTCCGCGACACCGAGCTTCAGGGACAGCAACTTCCAGAGCTACCTTGCGGAGGCATTCTTCTAAGCGACCAGCGACGTTACAGAAAGCAAGCATGGTTTTGCTGCCACCTCAAAACTCTATGAATAATGAACATTGTTACGACATGATGCTTTTTTTGTGCCTTTTGACACCCTTTGTTATGATCTCTCGACTCGACTTCGATTCCGCTTCCAGTCCTTTGTCTCATCTTGCCTTCTCACAATGGTGCCATTCTCGCCCACAATGCTGTTTTCATCGACGATCCCGTCCTCCAAGAATGATGCCTTCCCTGCAATCCGCCGCCCGACGCCTCCGTGTCCCACGAGATGCGTACTTCCAATCCATAGCCGTGCAATCTAGTCAACAATTCTCGCTCACGGCGCTCGTCCAAGCAAGATTCGGGCTGCTCTCGAGTTTGTCCCTTGCACGTGAACGAGTTGAGCAAGCAGCTTGCCACACACACAAGCCCGCAAGCCCGCAAACCCCATAGTCGATGGGTATAAAATCTGACTCGCCTTGCGAGAGCAGGCGGTGTCGGATACATGGTTTTCTGCGGTATATATGTAAACTGTAAGTTGCTGCTTCGAGGCTTCGGGGCTTCGAGACTTCGAGTGCATGGCCGTGACAGTGCTGATACTGACTTTGGGTAAAAACAATGTAAGACGTAAGAACTGACGATGCCATTGGGCTGCTAATGGAGAGTTGTGGGTTCGAGGGAATCTGGACGCCCATACGCAGGTGTCCACGACATGGCCTCGGGTGCGGGTTGACCGAGCTGTGTCGAACTCCAGGTATTTCAGCGCTGCTGCTGTCACCGACGACTGGAATTGTGTAGTGTTAGTGCTGATGATGGGTAGAGATGACTTCCGGATGCTCAATTGACGATGCTTCGCCGCGCGTGTCAGCGTGAAAGAGTTTGAAAGCCCATGACACAGGCGTGTGTCCAAGGGCTGTGTTCACCTCAAGGTACCCCAATGCCATTCCCGCCATGCATGTCATTGCAAATCTGACTCTGTGCAGACACGTTGCGGGAATAACGTGGGCTGCTGGGAGGGTGGTGTGGGGTTCAACGCCAGCGTATGCGTTTGAGAGCAGCGTCCACCTAAAGGTGATCCAGCACCATCGCTCTCGCCTGAAATCTAAATGATGCTGATACTGACCAGAAAGCCATAACGTTGTCGTCTCAGCATCCCCATTTGCCCATGCTATGAGCGTGGCTGTCTGCGCCCTCACGCCCACGCAATACCATACCTCAGGACACTGGAAGACCACCCAGCCGCCTCGTCGCTCAGGATCGTAAAAATGGCACAGCGCGCAGAACTCAAACACAAGTACGAAGTACTCACATTCCCATGCCATGTTCCCATCTCACATCTAAGATGCTGCTCAAACCCTGTATCCCCGGGTACGACACTCTGGAGCTTCTGATCGTCTTCCGCGCTCCTGGAAGCTTCTCGAGGTGCTGCAGATAGTTTTCACCTTGGTGACGTAGTCTAGAGATGTAAACAAACCCGTCAAACACCGTGTAAAGGGCGCGTGGGCGGGGAAAGCGCGCCTTCACCGACTTGCGCGTGCACGGACGCGTGGTGCCTGGGTATACTTGGAGGGTTCGCAAGGCTGCGGTATTGCTCCACCTTACCTTATTCTACTACATGTCATCTCACAAGAATATCATGGACACGAGCAACTGCGACGACTTTGAAGTGTTATCTCGGGTATGTGCTGAGTTCTACAATGTGTTTCACACCTTCAATGCTAAATATTTCTCTCAGGAAGAGCACTACACACAGAACCCTGATACCGTCCAGTGGCAGACGCAGTTCCATGATACCTACGGAGTAGACGAGTACTATGGACAGGGTGGACATTCTTCCTACGTACCAAATACAATGATGAATGATCTAGCCACATCATCCCATTTCGGCGACGGCGCTGATCAGTACGATGTGCCACACGAATATCTGCTCCAAGACCTGTCTGTCATGGATCAAGGATCGCAGCGCCAGGCCTCTGGTTACCCTTTCGAAGGACCTGACGGCCGACAAGGTATCGACGCTTCCGGCATTGCGATATACAGCCCGCGCTTGGGTTCAAGGCTACCGTTCACGTTCGCTCACATGTGGCCTGAGATGACCATTCTCTGGCCGTTGTATGCTGCTCAGTCTGGATTGGCACAACCTCCAGTGGAAATGCAGTTTCGGATGTTGAACGGAGATATCCTTTCCTATTGGCTGCCGAGGCAGCATGAGTTTGGTTCCTGGGACGAGAACGACGTTGATGCATTCATCACTCTTTTCGAGAGCATGGGCATTAGCATCGATTGGAATACCCTTGACTTGTATCACACCACCACCAAGTACTTCGAATCGGTGCAGAAGGGACCGTGTGTTCAACATACTTCGACTCGCGAATCTACATCTTCTTCCTCTCGACAGAATTCCGAAAATATGGAGTCCTCGTTACTAGAAGAAACCAGTGGAGGTCTGCAAAGCCAACAGAGCCAAGAAGTGGTCGATCCACAGGTGTCTGTTGACAACAAAGAGGGAGTCGCTCCCACTCATCGGCAAGACAGTGTGAACGCCGAGCAGCTTGAGGCAGCACAGCAGGTCGGTAACAACACTCAAAACTCTGAGGCGGGTGTTGCATTGGAAGAAGATCAACACAAAAAAGATATTGGTGACGCTGAGCCAGTGAACGGCGTGGCCGAATCAGGGCGTAAGGAGACGTTGCTCACCGCAGAACTGGCAGCAGAGCTCCACGATCTCGTGGATGTCTATGACACCGTAGAGGCACGAGAGAAGTTCTTGGAGCGCCACGACCTGACATGGTATCCGCCACAAGATGACAACACTGTCCCTAACAGCGATGATGAAGTCAAGGTCTACGTCAGACAGCTACTTTTTGCGATGACGAGCACGAAAGACGCGCAGGACTCCGAGAGGAGTAACTCCTTCGCGTCCCGCTGGCTTCCATGCAAGTCCGGGGAACCTTACTACAACAAGACCGAAATGGTCTTGCAGTGTTGGAAACTCGTGACTATGGCCATCAATCTTCACAGGAAGGGCCCTTCCACACTGAATTGCTTTGACCACAACTATGCTAAGCAATTTAAAGCGACAAAAGACTGGACTTTCGCAATGCGGATTAATAATATCGCGGACCTTCTCGCAACCCGCAAGAGTCGTTGTGATTTAGTGATGAGAGGCGAAAGTCTCGATGGTTTCGTCGGAGCGCCAGGTAAGATGGCCAACCGTTCTATTCAGAACAACGTGAGCAACGGCCGCAAGGCAAAGGCGATCATGCGCGGTATGCCGCTGCTCAAGACTGAAGAGAAGAGGGCGGTGTCACAGAGCACCAGTGGGACGCTCGCAGCGACTTCTGCTTCGTCAAGTACTGGCAGCATTAATCCTACGAGCACAGATGGCCAGGTTCAATCATCAGGAGGCGTAGCAAAAGCACAGAATACTGGAAAGACTAAGCAGACTACGAAGGGCAAAGCTGTCAGCAGCCAACAAGCGTCGACACCAACTGCTATCTCCCCTGACGCGTCATCACAGCAAGATGACATCTCATCGCAGCAGCCTGATTCATCATCGCAGAAGACTGCTACTCCATCCACCCCGCTGCCAGTTCCAGGCATAAAGCGGAAGCGAACGACATCTGCGGACCTCACAGCGAGCGGACCTCAAACAAAGCGCACGAAGATGTTACCTTCAAAGTTGAAACGCGCGAAGCTACCGATAGAACAAAGTGGCCACATAACTGCCACTCCCACCGCACCCGCCTCTCACGAGTTCTCACTCATCGCTCAAGGTTCTGAATCTGCCTTCCAAGGCTACACACCGGCAAAGCAACCTTCCGCATGCTCACCTCCAGCGACATTTATGGATACTCAGCTTCTGGCTCCGACCATGCACTCTCCTGCCCCCTTCTCGTCGTCTTCACACAAGCGCCCTGCAGAAGACGTCTTTGAGAACACCAGGTCTTCAAAGCGTATCCGAGCCCAAGTTGGAGGACAGGAGACCCAATCGGAAGTCCAAGAGCAGACTCGATCCGAATCTCCAAAGAAAGTTCCTACTACAAGTAGAGTGACGAGGTCCAAACCCTAAGAGACCCGGGCGTAGGAGACATCTATCGTATATCGCCACAAGATATCTGGATAGTATCTCCAATAGTGCGCTGATGGCCGACTTATTCCACGGTCAACGATACACAGTCAAGTATAAGATCGTTCTGTTCTGTTTGCTTCACAGCGAGGTGTTTGGCGTTTGAAGGTGATGTGGAGGTGGTGAATGCTAGGTCAATTCAGTTCCCTAGCATCACGCACAGCTACCGGTGGATGATGGGCCAATTAAGTTTCCCATAGCTACGTATCGAAAAGAAGTGTTCGAGATATAACATGTCTACCATGAATGAAATAAAGCAACCTAACAGATCAAGCTGGTTGCCCTCGCTGCGATCTCGCGCAACATCGAACTTGAGAGCGGAGCATCTTCAGACTCGGTGGTGCGACGGATCAGCAGATCCGGCCCGTTATCTCTTACCATGAACATTAAATTGACGACGCTGCGAGGATTAATCTGGCTTTACTGCATGATGCCTCCACGTGTGCGCTGATATCTCCTCCATCTTTCGCTCCAGCCATCATCTCCAAAATCTGACACGGTATCCATCCCCATATGAAAATCGATACATACAACCTCAGATCGACTAAAAATTCTACTAATAGACTTAAGCAACGTTTCCGAGGCTGCAAAACTTGGTGGAAACGTGTAGGTCAGGCAGCGACGACAGGCCTACAGTACATTGCCACAGTGGCATATACCAGGATAAAACGGAAGAAATTACTATCTCTGCCCCTAGTCGTTCTACCAGGATAGGTGGATGAATGCGTAGAGGTGATGGAGCACGCCACAACACATCCGCAGCCGTTCCCGTCGACGATCACTCACACGGCTGCGCAAAGCTCAGCATTGTTTCTTATCGCTTCTGTGTATCTTCGTTCCCGATTATGTCTCCACGCACAATCCGTTCAGCACTGCTCACCGACCTCTGTCAAAGCGCGTCTTTGTTGACATTGTGTGAACGCAGCTCAAACCCGCGACGCTGAGGCGCAGCACCATCAGCCAACAATTTCGAACATGCAACATTAGCAATTGCCGAACGAGCGAGATGAACTAGGACAAGGTACGCTGAGGATGGAAGATGGGCGGACATATGCGGCTCGGTGGTCGAGTGTCGAGGCTGCGAAAACAAGTTCGTGTTGTCAATGGCTATAAGTGGGTTTGCTATATACTGAAAATACATGTTGTACCTGACTGAGCGTATGAATTCGATACTCAGCACAGCAGCGTTCTGTCGCCTCGCGAGAAGATGCTGCCGCAGCGGGTAATGCTCAGTGCTACCTACGCAAGCCGGGAAGTCGCAAAGCCAGGACATGGCAACTACGCCCAAGTCATCGCGCAAAGATATGGAAGCACCGAACATCTATCGATACCTCGTATCCGCAAGCCTAAGCTTGACTCGACGATGCCACATCCGTGGCTCCGCAGCCTTTCGATCACGAACCCTTCGATCGAACCCTCCGAAAGACAATTGCAGAATACGTGTTGGCAACCGAGATCGAGTCTGGCAGGATCAGAGCATTGTTTACTCATTCCATGCTTGTTTAGGGATCCAGCAGCTTGAGACGAACGTGACGAACTTCCAGACAAAGAACTGCTCAGTAAAAGCATGTGGGGCTTTACCACCATGTGTCGCTCTTCGCAATTTGGATTGCGGCGTTGCGCCACAGATCTTTGACTGCGTACTTTGACGCCAGCAATGGTGTCTACTTAAGATTTGTTCATGCTAATTCGGTTTGTCTTTTCTGTGACATCAGTGGAAGGATGAACTCAATTATACCTTATGTATCGCATGTATTTGCCCTTTATATCAAGCATAGTGATTCTCGTCGAACTATACTTACAACCATCTCACGGCATGATACTTACTGCCATCGTATATCAAAGCCCATACCGCCAGCTTGAGATCCTAGGATCCAGCAAAGACTCGGCGTCATGGGGATAGTGAGGAACTGCCGTGACGTAGCACCTCACAGCGCTTCGTTTTCACTTGCATATGTTACATTCTGGTCTTACTAAGTGAATCGCCAAGGCCGTGCCTCGCAGTGGTGCACGGACACGCGCGGACGGTGCTGGTGAAGTGACCGACCTTCATATATCTTCGAGCTCGAGCAACTCTAACCGCGTCCACCGATTCGACCAAGTCAACCCACTTCAAAAACCGCGCAACCTGCCAATCGGCTGGCTCAATTCAAAATCTCTCCCCACATCCTTTGTGCACACAATTGCAAGTGTTCTTTCTCCAAGCTCCCGAGGTCCCATCCGGATACTTCACCGTCACCACGCGGCTCGAAATATACCAAGATACCATTGAAACTTCCTCACCCAACCATACTGAATAAGATGGCGAATGATTTAGCCGGTTCTCATGGTTACGCTCGCGGTCGCGTGAACCGCACCAATCCTCAGGCGCGCTCGTACACTACACAAGGTAAGCAGAACCGTCCCTCTTCAGCGCCTTCTTTAACGTTCCGAAAAGGAGCTACCCCACGCCAGCTTGACTGGAGCCGCATTGGCGCGAGACGTCGTGCGGTAGCACACGAGGGGTCCTTGCCGTATACAGACGTCCTCACAAGCTCCGAGAGCCTTCAGCCGTCGACGCACAGCGCATACGATCCCTTTCACAATAGCTTTGAGACTGCTCATACACCTGATTCCTCACTTCCGTCTTTTGAGGCGTCAAGTTCATTTGTTCACGAACAAGAGTATCGTCCGTCGCAATATGCGGGGTACTACCAGGCAGGGCAATCTGCTTATGGTCAGATTGGAGCATCCCCCGAACCTTGGGGTACGCCTGTGGCTTCAATGCAGTCATCTGGCTTCCATCTGCCGCAAGCGAACACACAACTTGATGGTCCGATCGAGTCTATGAGTTGGCAGTTCAGTGCAACGCAACAGCCGCTCAACAATGATAGCAGTGATGAGGGCGGCCACTTGGTCGAGACGAGTGATCTTCAGTACACAGAAGAAGAGCTCGAGAGCCTCTTCAACTGGAAGCCTGAGCACACAGGGTATGCAGAATCACCGCCAGATCAGCACACAGAAGCTCAGTCATTGGTCGAACACTGCGAGGCCACGGCACCAGTGCAACAGCCTACCCAGCCTCAAGAGCTCCTGCAAGGTCAAGATGCTTTGCTGGATGAATTTCTCCTCGACATCGACTCAACGGCACATAGAACTGCTGTTGCATTGTGTCCCGACACACTTGTCAGCACAGAGGATGGTGGAACAGTCGATGACAATACCCCTCGCGACGCCGGCGTTTTACAGAATGAGCGCGAGAACTCTGGAACGGTACCATCTGAGTCGACGCAGCCTCAGAAGAACGCGCTCGAACCAGACACGGAGTCTTTGTTGTCCGCCGAGTTTGCCTCAAGACTCGATGAGCTTGCAGAGACGTACTCGGTTGAAGACGTGCGAAGAACGTTCCTGGAAACTCACGATAAGAGTTGGAGCCCACCTAGCAACGACATCACCATTCCCTCTGACCGCCAAGATGCGATCAAACATGTGCAAAAGGTCCTTCGAGCGATGGCCAGCACCAAGAAAGCGGTTGATTCGCGGAAGGACAACTCGTTCAAGTCCCGATACGCCAAAAAGAAGATGGGAGAAACTGTCTACGATCCGGTCAAGATGACCATACGCTGTTGGGACATCATAAACCTCGCGATTGATCTGCACAACAAGGGACCTTCAGTACTCCATTGCTTTGACTCCCAATACGCCTCTAATTTCGCTTCTACACGGAAATGGACATTCCAACAGCGAATTGATGCCATAGTCCATCTTTTCGAGACGCGTAAAAGCCGCTGCGATGTGGCTATCAAGGGTGAAAACCTCTACACTGTTGTCGGTAACCCAGACAAATTGAACAGGACTTCAATACAGAACGGTGTCAGTAATACCATCAAGGCCGGCGAGATAAAGCGCGGTAAGGAGGCCAAGCAGAACGAGGCGAAGACCAATGCAGTGGCCAAAGACGCTTCAGTAAAGGGTGCAGCCAACCTAAATGCAGACACTGATGCCGCCGTCCAGCCCAATCAAAAAGTCACTTCAACTTCAAAGAAGTTACCGATGAAGAGCAAGAAGCTCATGCCGACAGGCAAAGGCAGGGCTGCCGCAAGTCAACAAATGCCACGCCTCTCTTCCGAACCACAAGCACCACTGGCTTCAAGCTCATCATCTGCGCCTGAAACCCTACACGCCCTCATCAACCACTCTCCACAAGATGTGAACACACTGCTATCTGAAGGCAGCAATCAGAAGCAGTCTACATATGTCATGAAGCCGAATGTGCAGCCGAAGCGCAAGCTCAAGCTGCCAAAGTCCCAAGCAGCTACTTCGGCATCCTCAGCTGCTAAATCCTCGGTACCACTACCATCAACTGTAGCAAGCAATCCATCAGCAAAAAAACCTACGACGGTGTTGTCCACATTGCAGCCATCGCATATGGCATCGAGCAAGCGCCGTGCTGAACACGATCTTGAGCAGACAGCTTCGCCAAAGCGCGCCCGCACCGAAAAGGACGGGGCAAATTTCATTGAAGCGCAAAAGTAGCGCCGGTCCCGAGTCTCATGGTCAGTACACTGTCGCACAAACTCATTGAGATGCTCGCGATACAGACCGAAATGCTCTGGCACAGGGGTGCAAACTCGCAGCGTATACTTGGCCTTGCAGAGAAGGGAAGAGGGTCTCGCCTCTCTTGGGAAATTGACTCTTATGGCGTTATTCCGGTGGCGTTTTTGATAAACGCGATATGCCCAAGTAATTGATGGAGTTCGTTCATGGAAGTTATTTGTCGCTGTGGCGCAACGTCGACATTGCGTTCCCGGCATGAATGAGATTGGTAGTCACAATGAAGTCGCATGCACACATTTGTTCTTTGGGGATACTGCAATACATTTCCAGCTCAACAGCTCGCATTTCTTCATTCATCGTGTGAACAAAGAATAAATGATACTTCTCCTCTTCATTTGTACCGCTCTTTGTCGAAGGCCGAATTATTTCCCGAGTCTTTGTGCTTTGCTATCTGACATAGATCAAGACAAGGGATCAGAGACTCGACAATGTATGGCGCTTCTATTTATGCCGCACACAGTCTACAATGGCTTGATAGTCGTCTTGTCGCCTTGGAGATTTGGTGCGCTCACGGAAAGCCATCACATTAATCAGACAGCCCAGAGAATGCGACTCCTCAATACGCATTCCTTGGGTAGGTACAATATACTGTTATGAAAAAGACCTTAAATGACAAGTGGCGACCCATGCCTCAACGTACTTCGGTAGGCAGGCAGGTGCGTAAGGTCGCGGTCGTAGGTACTCGCAGGGCGCATCCTTGTATGCTTGTGGCCCGCTCGCCAGGTAAGAATCGCTCTTCGGCGACTGAATTATTTGCTAATACCTGTAGGAGACAAATTCTGTCAGTGCGACCTCAACTGGAGATTCAAGGCGACGCGCAGCGGCATTGTATCGCTCCGCCCTGGAGGCAAAGCATACGTTCAACCTCTTCAGCTACAATTTGCTTTTCCCAACGCGCGTAGATTCTCGACGTTCGTACGCATTCAAAAGCGAATCTGACCATACCTTTTCTAATCACACCTGTGATAGCCAGCTGAATTAGCACCATTTCTGGGCTCGTCGATCGATTATTCAAGCTTATCAGCCAGCATTGATGCTCCTGATCTTGGCTACGCTCTTATCTTTTCGTTGTGGCACCATCTTTGCACAGATCAGAGATCGTCATACAACATGACCAAGACGATTGCTACCCTCAAAATGCAAAACCGGCAGGCATCGTTATGCGTTAGTCGGCTATTGTGTTTGAGTCTTCTTTCAGTGGTCTCCGTCCCTGCCCTTGAATACATGACATGTTCTTCGTTCTCTTGAGCAAGGTTTCTTCATCTCATTGTTCATTTTACATGGGTATCAATGACTCTCAGTATAATCGATCCTTTCAGACAAACCAACAAAAGCGTCTATGCTGAGCTCCAAGTACTTTCCAGCACGTAAGGACTTGATGTATATTTCTATTCAGTCGACTGTATGCGCAAGTTGTACACCGTTCGCGAAGCCGAGGGCTGTGGCGTACTATCATTTCCTAGACACGCCCCGTTACGACCTAGGTACCCGGTGAGAACAATATCACAGCCTGATTCTAGTAATTATCGTTCATGAATTGCGACTCGAATGCTCGCTGAGCCGACGCGCAACCCGCACCTGTTCAATTGACTCGAAGTTCTACAGAAGCTACACCGACTGTCTCTGAGTCGATGTGCCGGACAGCTCAGGTGCCCTGCTTCTCTATGACTTTGTCAGTCCATCTTTTTCAAGGGCCGAGGGCTCATAAGCTGTTAAACTCCAGCAGTCGTATCACTGAAAATGAGCACCCTTAAACCCTCAATGTCTCTCTGTATGCTATGTCATTGGGCGTCATAGGTAGATGCATTGCATTTGTAGTTTACTGCTGGAATGAACATGTAATCACAGTTCTGAGTATACCGATATGACGCAGCGTTCTGCTGCGCTGCACTTCACTGCTGCACACGTGACGCTTCCCTGCACCGCAGACCATTTCGAGTTAGTCCGAAATAGTGTTCACGCACGTGCACAAGCTCTACCACGTACCTAAGTACCTGCGGCATTGATCCTGAACCCAAACACCGCAGCACCTTGATACAACGATCTTTTTCTTCGTATCAACCTCTGGTTCAGTTGCTCTACTCATTCACACTGCCAATTGTCACCTCAACTTCCAAGGTTTACTGCTCCTGACTTCCACATCCTACCTTGCGCGGAGCTTGTCTCTAAAGCTCGACATGGTTCGCAAATCAACTCCCGCAATGGGAGAGTCCCGTACGACGCGGAGCGCAACGGCACGTTCCAACGGTAAGTGACTGAGTGACTACAGTCCATCGACTTTACTGACCTTCCCGTCTACAGGTACTGCATCACAGATCCCGGTGTCAGCGAATACACGCAGCCAAAAAGCAGCGAGTCCTGCTATGACACGAAGCGCGACGGCGCGTGCCAATGGTAAGTACATTGTGTCATCACAATGCAACAGTTGGTTGACTTCTCCATTTACAGATACCGCATCGAGAATTCCAGTGCCAGCGAACACACGCAACCAAAAAGCAGTGAGCTCTGCTATGACACGAAGTGCGACGTCGCGTGCCAATAGTAAGTACATTGTGTCATTACAGCGCAATAGTTGGTTGACTTCTCCATCTACAGGTACCACGTCGAAGATCCCAGTGCCGGCGAACACATACACACAATCAGTGAACGGTTCTCATCGTCGCTACTCTGACAGCTCATCGGAGTTGAGCAGTCCACCACCGTCATCGCAGTCCCCGTCGGAGGGTGAATCAGCACAGTCTTTGCTCAAGGCACCAAGGAAGGTGACCAACAAGAAGACGCAGGCTATTCCCAATGCACGCAAGTCGCAGTCCAAGGTGGTCGCTAAGCCTCACAAGTCGCCGCTTCTTCTCGAAGAAGAGCAGGACGAGTTGGAGGAATCCAGGCACAAGAAGAAGATAGCAGCGAATGTCGCAAAGACCAAGAGATACGCCGATCAGAAGATCCAGCGAGAGACCGAGAAGCAAAGGAAGTTCCGCGAGCTCGAGGCGCTAGTTCAGCAAGACCGTCTGGCACCCGCTCCGTGGACGTTGCAGCTGCCTGCGCTTCCTCCGCGCCCAAACCTCACGAATCGCATTCTTCCTTTGAAGATGCTTAATAACGACGACACATTTCCATTGACTGCCGCATCGCGGGAGGGTGTCGTCGCACTTATCCTTGACGCAATGAGGGATGTCCGCCAGGCTGAGGACACTGTCAGCTCAACGACGGACTTCCGTTACATGTGGCTGAAGCCGAGCCTTGAGGGTACGTTCTCATACAACGAAGTGGACATGGAGCGAGTGTGTCGAAAAATCGTTTCCATTGCCGAAGGTCTCCACATCCATGGGCTGGGTGCTACTGAGATTTACTGTCCTCGGACGATCCAGAAGGCACAGGACGCGAAAGCGATATCCTTCAAGGAGCGAGTCGACAAGTTAGCCCTTCTCATGCGCAAGTCCAAGGCGCGCTGTAACGCGTTCATGATGAACAACACCATGGAAGATACGATCGCGTTGATTGACCTCAAGTTGTCAGATCAGCGTTCAAATGCTGCCAACAACAACGCTCGGTCCCTCAAACTTAACACCTCCAACAACCTCTTGGGTATGCAGAAGGGAGCCATATGGCCGAAAGATGAGAACGGTGTGCCCATGATTCCGACATGGGACAACCAGACACATCAGTATGGTACTCCCGCGAGTATGGACACTGGAGTCTTAGGCGAGGACCGAGCTGGTGATGATCGTCCGCAGCATATCAACGATCTCCAGATCCCGACACTTAACGACCCGACACTGCAGTATGGTACTCCTGCAAGCATGGGTGCCGGAGTATCGAACGATAGGCAGGCTAATGGTGATCCTCCGCAACATGCCGACGATCTCCAGGCCCAGTCACAACTCCTTCCTTGGCTCTCAGAGTATGAGAAGTATGCTCCTTCTGGACAGTGGCTGCCTGCACAAACCAACCCAGGTCCCTCGCAACCCTCCAACTTCGGTCTTGATAACACCCTGGGGTCTAGCTCTCACACGGAGGAGACATTTCTCGGCGACGTTCTCCCATTTGATGAATTCATCTTCGAGGAGATGTTCACACACAACAATGGAGTTCCAGCGCTCCCAGACCAAGGAGAGATCTCGAAGCGTCGTAGTCTCAACTCCGAAGTGGAAGATGACACAGCCGAGGCTCCACACCCCAAGCGCCCTCGTCACGAGCGGCCTGAAGAGCTTACCGTGAACTCTTTGCTCCGTGGAAAGACCGCAAAGCCTTCAGCCAAGAGTAGTAGCACGGTTCGTAGGTGAGATAGTCCACAGCGTATCTGTGAGAGTCTCTGGAGGTGGTGCAGCGGCTGCTAATTGATGCGTTTCCGCCCGCTTAAGCTTGGAGTGGACTGGACTGAGAAGCCGTGAAAATGTATGCGATGACGAATGCGTCCTTCTCTATACCACTTCATAGAGATGAAAGCCATAAAAATCATCTGCGGCACTTCGCAGCCAAAAATTTCATCGTGATGTTAGGCATGCGGTTGGAGTCCACTCCCCAAAATGACCTTCATTACATAAGTCAGTGACGTCACGCGTCGCACTCCTTCTCAACTTTCATGACAAGGCTTATCCAGCACCACCAATGTGAAGTAACGAAACTCACAAATACGGCGATTGCAATAAATTGTGAATTCGCTGCAGGTCTCTTATCACCATCTTTTTCACGTGCATGTTGCGATCACCCTATCGGTAAGGACCCCTCGCAGCTCTTTGTTCGTTCGAACCATTATCGAGATCTCCGCTTTGTTCTGGATTATCCTTCGAATGCCTTTCTTCTCTGCTGTCAGCTTTTAAACCCGTGTAGAAATATCAGGAGGTCTTATACACATTTGGAACCGTACACAAGCGTGCAAGAACTCCAACTTGACTAAAGATAAGGAAGAGTGAGCTAGTCGATGCGTAGACAGACACATCTGTTGGGAGATGTAATTCAGAGGTATCCATCAATATTTCAAGACCTCTTTTGAACGTACCTTGTGCACTTCACCGCAAAGCGTGCAAGGACTCATTCTCACAGTATGTACAGTCCGAATTCTGTTTGATCATGCTTGCTGAGCATGTGCGATTAAAGGCTGTATACCTGCTAGTGTTTCAGCTGCTGATTGCTGCGTTCATGTATAAAACCACATGCTCACCCTCTAGAACGTACGACTTGAAGCTGGGTAGACCACTTTATTACCACTCTTCCACTTCGATCTGCTCAGCCGAGCGCTCTGTAAGTATGTAAAAGCCAATCATGGTATTTCCTGTTTACGAAATGGATTCCGACGCAACTGTACCTATGATACAAGTGTTCAACAATCGTGTCTACATCTGTTGCCACGTTTGAATCGACTGTCAGTCTATGCGTTTGATCAGATAAGCATGGGCCTCGAAAGCGAAGCCTCAGCATGGCAGAGCTCTACGCGAAGCTGGGTGCTTGACCACCATTATGTCATAAGAATCATCATGAACATGATGTTGAGCGCGTCTTCCGCGCGATCGGTGCACGCATGTCTACCTTATACAAACGGTATCGGTCTATATTGCCAAGAACACACACAATCACCTCCGGGGGACCTCGCTTGACAACCTGGTAGCGTGCACAGGCACAGAAGTACAGTCGACACATGCCTGATCTTATCTTCACCCATACACTACGACAATCATTGCTGCAGCCACCCGTCACTCGGAAGCGATCCACCGACACTGGAGCTCCCCGCTGGACGGTCGCAAGCTGTGACCGTTCTCGGGACGTCTCATACATCCGTTACCACTTATAGCTACGACCTTAGGATATGGCACGCTACTCAGTTGAGCCATCGCGGCCAACGCGCTCAAGTGCGCGCATATCCAATTCCTCACACCCGCACGCGTCATCGAAGACGTCCGCCGGAGCTCCCAATGCCCGCGCTCCTACATCAGGAGGTCGAGAGCGACCGATTATACGATCTCGGCAATCACCCGATCATTCTCTGAGACTGAATCAGGCCACAGGTCCGCCACAGGTTTCGCAGCACAGAATAGGTCAGCTTCGAACACTATACATATGTTCAAATATATACTGACGAGCAACAGTGGCTGATAGAAAAGGTGCAAACGCCGACAGCAGCAGTATGTCCGTTGGTAGCACTGGTATGCCTACCGCAGCCTCCAAAAATATTGGCATAGCACAAAACGGTGTACATCGGGAGCAGAGAAACTCAGAGAACCAGGTTGATCGCGTCCCAAAGCGGGTCAAGGACATCAGTCAGTTGTTCCCAGTGCCTCGAGGCTCCGGTAATTGTCACCTCGTCGACTTTGTGGGCGGAATGTGTTGACAAACTCTAGGATCTCCTTCTATATCCACCTCTCACGACGAGAAAAGGTTTGCCGAGCCAACGACCGGAGGTTATCGTCATGAGTTCGTGACGCTGGTGCCTTTCGGATACTCAGACGAGATCAAAGAAGACCGCAATGAGTTTCCTCCTCAAAGTCTCAAAAAGGAGGTATTCAGTACTTCATTCGATGTGCAATCGTCAACAACTCGTAGAACTACACTTGAGACAGAGCTCTTTCATGAGACTCCAGCGCCAGGTGCTACTGGAACACGAGACGTTGTGCAGTCACAAGGCAATACCTATATGCCACCATCAAACCATCAAGCTACCACCACCCGCCTTCTGTCGTCGCCAATAGTTTCGACATGCCCACATCTTCCATTGCCTCGGGTTGTTGCCGCATACAACCGAAGCACCCAGAATCTGCAGCCAACAGGAGCAGCAACAACGGTCGCTATCTCTCGTGTTTCTACCCTCACGGAAGACCAGATGAAGAGAGGGTTCCGGCCGACTGCTCCAATCGTTCTCCACCAGTTGAATACCATTGCTGATTATATATCGCACAAATCAGAGCTCCTAACCGCTGGATGGCAACCACCTGCACATGATCCTAGCTTCCCCACAACTGAAGCCCAAGCCAGGTTCTACGTGAACCGACTACTGGCTGCACTGACAGATGTCCAAGTTGCTCGAGACAGCACTGGACCCAACGCTTCGTTCTGGACCCGTTGGCTGCTCAAGATGTCGAAAGGAGGCTATCATTGCACAGACAACGACATGGCATCTATCTGTTGGGAACTTGTTGACATTGCCATGACCCTCCAGCTCTATGGGCCAGATGCTCTGAATATCTACGATCCTGATTTGATAAAGGAGATCCAAGAAGCCTCTGGTACACGTTTCAATGAGCGCATCATCTACATGTGCAAGGTGATGACGTGTTCGAAAGCTCGTTGTATATCCTTGATGCAGGGCGAGCTAGAGATCTTTGTAGCCAACATCATCAAAATAAAGAAGGCACGCGAGACTAATGTGAGAAACAACCCGAACCGGAGCAAGATGAAGGCGGAGCTCAATTGGCTGAGGGATGTTGTCCAAACGGGGGCAAGAAAGGATCGAGTGAAGCCGAATCATACTGTAAGCGCTGCTGACACTCTCACCGAAGAGGATACTTCGAACGAAGGCGGAATAGGGAAGAGTGGGAAATTGGCTGGGGAGCAACAGAAGCCAAGAGTAAAAGCAGTACTGAAGAACAACCATACCCCAGCATCCACAGACGATGGCGCCTCTCTCACGCTATCTTCTGCAGCGACCGGCACTGACAACGAGCGCATTTTGGCTGACACCAACAACTCAGTCGATGAGAGCCAATCACAGTTTGGGAACTTTTTCCCTTTTCAGATAGAAGCTGAGAGATACGCAAGAGGAGACACAACTGGCCCACAATCTCTGCCCAACGACGATAAGTTTGTCGAGACCTATCCAATTGCAGCACAATGGGTTGGGGCTCGGTCTGAATCAATGAGCCTACACCAATTGGAGCTGAATCGTACGTTTGCTCGTCCAGCTGCCTTCGATTCACCAAATTCGGCTCCCGTAAATGAGGCCGTTGACGGCGTGGATTTCAGTGCTGTCAATCATGTTCCCACACATGACGTATCGCAAGCCTCAGCTGAAGAAGATGGTGGGACCGACCGCAACGAGGTCGGCCAATCTTTTCAGTCTCCGCCACGTCAACAGATCGCAGTGTCCAGCGAATTCGAACAATTTCTTGAACCAGCTGATCTTGTAAACGACTTTACCATGTTCATGAACAATTCCTGGCATGCGGAGATCGACGGTGAGAAGGGCGGCTCTTTTGAAGGCTCGATCAAACGTAAGCGCTCTGAGGATGATGAGGTGATTGACGAGCAGGATTATTCAACGCAAGATGTGAAGCGGATTTGCCTTAGTCAGCGAAAGCAGACTTGAAGACGATATTTTATGAGGTCTCCGTAACAGTGTGAGACATCAACCTCATTGTCTCTCAAGACAGAAGATAGTTGAACGAAATACTCTAGTGATTGAACAACATAGAGTCATTGCGATCAAATCTCTATACCTTCAATATTTCTCCCATCTTTGGCGTTGCATCCTGGCGTTGTTCCGTGATGTTCATGTTGGTCTACAAGTACATACGTAGTCAGGTACCGATGGTCTAGAAAATCAGCAATTGTTGCAAGCAACAATTTTGTTTCTGCGGCTGCATCTATTCATACCTTATCGAAGGCCAGAAGACGATTCCGCAAAGGTAGTCATCAAATCGCCCTCGATGGGCCCTAACGCAAAAAAGGTTAGACCAAGGCAAGATATCCAGGTACCGCATGTCGAGAATGCAGTGCCGCCTCAACAGTCATTCTTGAGAACTTTGATCGCGTGAATCCCCTTCGTTAAAGACAAATAATCTTTTTCCGTGTCTCGATCAATGAAGTGTGCCCTTGCTTTAACAATGACAGGTGGGCTCAGATCCGACAGGGGTCGTCTCGCTAATCTGCTATCGATCTGGGACCCGGCGATTCAGGAACCATCTGCGTCATAGATCGGATCGCGAACGCGACGCGACGAGGAGAAGGCTCAGAGCTTTCTGAAAGCTTTCTTTCCCTCTTCTGAACCTTTGCACCTGACAGTCAAGCTCACAATAGAAAGGCTCTTGTATGCGGAACATCTGCCGTCTTTCCCAGTCGCTTCAATTGCGTGCCTCAATACTGCGTGTCACATCAAACTCGAGGTATCTCCCTTTGTCCTCAGCTCTCTCTCAGTGTAGAGCACACGCAACAATGCCACCCAAGCGCAAAGCCGGTGTCCCGCCGAATGCCGCATCCGCGAACAATTACACCGACTCGGCTGGCGACCGCGCAAACAAGCGCTCACGCGTATCCAAGCCCATCACCAACAACTTCAAGAAAGAAGTTCCGCCTGAGCCACTCACCGCGAAGAACGATGAGAATGGCGGTCCTGCAGAGGTGGTTGCAGCCGAGGTCAAGAACGCCGAATCCGAACCAGCCTTCGATCACTCGCGCCCCGAAGAGCGCAGCGGGATTGTCGACCGACGATACTATCCTGCTGAGATGAGCAACGAGCGATGCGCGCAGTACAATGCAAATGAGATCACTAGGCCGGTTGAGCTACTTGCAAAGGCTGTCGAGCACACCATTGCTGCCCGCAAGACGATTCGAGAAAAAAAGCAGAGCGACGTGGTGGTGCACTGGTTCAAGCGCGATCTGCGCATTCGCGACAACACCGGCTTAAGCAAAGCAAGTGCATTGGCAAAAGAAATGGACAAAGGAGTCATAGGCGTGTGGATCATGAGCCCGCAGGATTGGGAGGCACATCTCGTATCGCCTGCGAAGTGCGATTTCGAGTTACGCTCTGTGGAGTCGCTGAGGAAAGAGCTAGCGGAGCTTGACATACCGTTGCACATTGAGGTGGTTGACAAGAGGAGGGACCTACCCAAACGTCTTATCGAATTGGTAAAGAGCTGGGGCGCGAAGGATGTGTTCTGCAACATCGAGTACGAGCCTGATGAACTGAGAAGGGAAGGGAAGCTCGTTGAGCTGATGTTGAAAGAGGGCATCAACTTTGAACCGCAGCATGACGACTGTGTGGTACCTCCTGGGTCGTTGAAGACAGGCGGCGGGAAGCAGTACGCAGTGTACACTCCATGGTTTCGTAATTGGGTTGGTCATCTGCACTCGCATCCACACATCCTCGATGAGCGGCCGATGCCAAGCAAGAACCCCCTAGGTTTTCGGACGAAGCACCAGGAGCTCTTTGAAGCGAAGGTGCCCGAGGCGCCAGTGAACAAGAGGCTATCGGACGAAGACAAGGATCGTTTGCATCATCTTTACCCTGCCGGCGAGTCTGCAGCTCTGGAGCGACTGGAGCGGTTCTTGAAGGAGAAGGTTGGGAAGTACAAAGACACCCGCAACTTCCCCAGCATGAACAGCACGGCAAGGCTCAGCGTACATCATGCAGCTGGTACCCTTGCAGCAAGGACGAGCGTGCGATTAGCCCGTGACGTGAATTCGACGAAAAAGCTTGATGGTGGCAGCCAGGGTATTCAGACCTGGATCAGTGAGGTAGCTTGGCGTGACTTTTACCGACATGTTCTGTGTCACTGGCCTTACGTCTGGTAAGTCATACATTACACCATTCCCGGATGAAGATGCTGACCTTAACAGCATGCACAAACCTTTTAAGTTCGAATACACCAACGTCGCATGGGAGTACAGCGACCCAGACCTCGAAGCCTGGAAAGCCGGCCGAACGGGTTATCCCATTGTGGACGCAGCAATGCGCTGCATGAAAGCGACTGCCTACATGCACAACCGTCTTCGCATGGTCACCGCCTCTTTCCTCGCCAAACACTTGCTGCTCGACTGGCGTCTAGGCGAGCAGTACTTTATGCTGAATTTCATTGATGGCGACTTTTCTGCCAACAACGGTGGATGGGGCTTCGCAAGTTCAACGGGCGTAGACCCACAGCCTTACTTCCGCGTGTTCAACCCCTGGCTGCAGAGCGAGAAATTCGATGCAGAGGGTGAGTTCATTAAGCTGTGGGTCCCTGAACTGAAAGATATCGAAGGAAAAGAGATCCACAATCCGTATGCGAAAAGTGGGACTAAGGCCAGTGCCCTTGCCAAGAAGAATGGATATCCAAAACCGATTGTGGAGCATAAGTTTGCAAGAGAGCGATGCTTGGCAAGATACAAGGCTGGCATTGGGAGGGACACGGCGTGATTGGATCGCATCAGCATGATCCGAGTGGCTGTGCTGATCCTCTTGCCAAGACTGTCAGCACGAAGGACGCCTTATGAGTCGAACCTTGCTTCCATGTCACTGAACAGAATCAGGTGGTCCGCGTTCCATCTGCGACCTTGTCTCCTTCTGACCGAATATCTACGACGAAAAAAACTCGTATGCACACGACGAAGCAAGAAGTCATCAGTTGTCTTTGCACTCCGCGTTACACAACCATCATCACGCCATCCTGTCGCATGCCCTCGAAGTTCTCAAAATGACAGAAAACAAGCCGGAACGATACCAACACAAGTCGTTACAAAATGGCTCTACTGGAAGGCTGGTGACACTTCTACCGGGGGGCGTGGGTACGCCGCTAAGATGCCAGATCATAGAAGTGCAGGATTTCGAGAACACGCCTTACGAAGCATTATCCTATACATGGGGTAACGAGATACTCTCTGAGTCGGTGCAAGTTTACGAATCAGCCGACATTGAGCAGGCTGATCGTCTTCTTCCTCTCACGCGGAATCTATCCGAAGCATTGCAACGTTTGCGATCGGATGAACCTCAAACGCTATGGATAGACGCGTTGTGCATCGATCAAGATAATCACGAAGAGAAAGCAAATCAGGTCGCACGTATGGGTCGCGTATTTCGCAATGCAAGCAATGTCGTGGTCTGGCTTGGCGAAGACAAGAACTATCCTAGAACTAGAGCACTACTCACGCAAGACGGAAGGAACAGATGGCCCCTGACCCTACCTGAGGCTGATCTTGGCGAGCTCATGTCCATCTCCTGGTGAGTTCGATCTTCTTCGCACGTCAATTGACGTGGATGGCCTAACGTCGTCAGGTTCTCTCGAGTCTGGGCAGTCCAAGAGTATGTGCTTCCGCGAAGCATTGTTTTTCGACTGGGCACCTTGTCCATACCAGCACAACATCTCGAGACCGTTGTCACGCGCACTGGAGCCTACCTTGACGGAGAGAAGAGATTATATGATCAATGGAAGTCCATATGTCTCCTATTCGAGTACCGCAAGTTGATGCAGGAGCGCAGTCCAGATCAGTCAGATGCCCGATTGACGCTAGTAAGAACCTTCCTGGATCTCACTCGCTCACGTTTGTGCAAAGATAGTCGCGATCGAATATATGGCATCCTCGGGATGTTTGATAACGTCAACATTGTTCCAGACTACACGCTTGCCCCGAGGCAGGTCTACCAAGACTTCGTCTCGAAGCATTTGTTGGCTGGTGACTTCTCGATCCTCCACGAATGCTGCATCGGCATTCCCAATGCAGATGAACAATCGTATGTGCCTTTTTTCGGCCAGTCTCGTTCGCACACCAAGTACATACCTTTTGTAGACCCTCTTAGCGCTACATATTGCGCCGGACTGCATATGTCTCCAGCAGTAACCATAGATGACGACAAGTTCATCTCAGTCCAAGGTTCATTCATCGACACGGTGCAACAAAAGCTAGATTTCTCAGAAGACTGCGAGATCGATCTCGATCTCATAGACCCCTCATCCCCGATGCAAAGATCGAGCCTCGAACCCGTACAGCTACCCCTCCATGGCACCTGGGGCGCCATCTATCAAACCATCCTAGCTCAACTCATTACCGACCCAACAGAGCAGCTACGGTGGCGCAAAGATTTCGACGAAAATCGCATTTCTCCGCAGTTCTCGCGGGCACCGTACCCGCACAATAGCTTCTTCGAAGTGCTCGTTCACGCAATCAGAACAGACCTGAACGCCGACTACGACTGGCTCTCCAGCAAAGGAACAGTCAGACCAGACGCACATCTGCGCCGCCCCCGCCGCGACATCCTGGCTGAGCGAAGTCTCTTCTGGACGGAACAAGGCTTTGTTGGCCTGGGTACGTGTCACATGCAACCTGGCGATGAGGTCGTCGTTCTCGCTGGCGACACGACGCCGTTTCTGTTGAGGAAGGAGGCTCGTTCGGATGAAAAGGATGCAGGCGCATATAAGATAGTAAGCGATTGCTTTCTCTATGGCTGGATGTATGGATCTTATCCAGATCGGATGGTGGCGAAGGATCCATCGAGGAGGAGGAGTTTGGTTAAGAAGCTGAAGGGCGGAAGTAAGCAGGAGAGTAGACCGAGTCCGGCGTTGAGGACGTTCACTATCACCTGATATGTCGACACAGGGTGTCTTGTAAACCTCCTTTTGTTGCTCAGGAAGTGAGCTTGCTTAAGAGGTGAATTTGAAGAGAAGAGCAAGTCAAGACATCTCATTTGATGTCAGGTGCATTCGTAGTGCCCCTAATGTAACGAACAAAGCCACGATCAACGCGACATCTACGGTCGACTGATATCACAACTAAGGAGGTTCTCAGACACATCGTTTCCGCCAGATTGAGGTTTGATGAACAGGAATGCGTGAGAAATCGAAGACTCGTACTCCCCAATGTAGTCTGAGCCCACATTTAACTGATTCGTGAAATCTCATTCGTATGAAGTAGTGTCTGCAACAAAGAAAATGAACAATGCCTCAAGTGCTTGATTCCACGCGATGAACCCAGTTCCTGGACTGCCAGAGATCCGTAACAAAGATCTATTTCAACCATATCTGCGGGACGTCACCAGCACAGAGTCTCAACTCTTCTTCCCATCTTTCTCTCTCATGCCTTCTACCTGTGCATTGATCTTGCTCTGCTTGCGCATCCGGAAGGCTGCCGAGTGTTATGCAAGGATTATTGTCTGAAACTTCGGATCCGCTTCGAGCCACCTCTTTAGATACACTTGTCCAATTCCCAGTCGTTCGTAGATTGTGATAGTTCCGCCCTGAGTTGCGCTTGGAGTCACCAGCATGACGTTCAGTTTGGGTGGTTCATCAGAGGCCTCTGTGAGATGACTGTGTTCACCGAGGTCTCGTACGTCTGAAAGATACTTATTAGATGCTTGATACCATGCTGTGAGATCCTTCGGCTCTGAACTAAGGGTATTGATCACCGCATCTCTGGGTAAACTGGGTGTCCAAAAATCTGGATGGCGCGGACACTCCGTTAGATGTGGTTGAGGGGTCTGCTCCTTCTGCTGAAGCCAGCAGGGACATCCGTAAAATTTACTGATCGAAGAGTCGTCTTGTATGTGAAAGCTATGATTTCTGATCATTACATCCGGGTTACCAAAGAAGTTGGTCCCCACAGGAAGAGCGATCAGTGTTACAACGTTGTCTTTGCCAGGCGGTCGTCTGTTGAGATCCACCGCCCCAGCAATTCTATTGGTAGTGCAAGCCCGAAGGAGCATCTCGCCAGTTGATTGATCTCGATATCGGCTGCTAAGAACAAACTTTGTGACTTGTGTATGTGCTGCTATTTTTCCCACGGCGCTGTTTAACCCAATATCAATTCCATCAAAATTGACGTAATTGGAGTAGCTACCGAATGCGGCATCGTGATATCTCTTCACCGTATTGCGTTGCTGTTTGAGACTTTTGTACTCAGCGTGATCCGGCATAATCCACTCAGGTATTTCCGAAAGCAAGCACCCACTCAGCCATGCAACGGCAGCCACAGAAAGATCCGGCAGATATGTTGTGTTGCTATTCGGCGGTGCTGCAAATGGCTTCCACAACTGTCCCTGGTAGGAATCGGAGTGATATATGGTGCATGTACCCCAAAATACAAGACTGTAGAATGTAGCAGTCGCACCGGGAAAAGCTATCTGGCCGTTTATCGAAATCCATGACCAAGTTGGGAAGAGATCTGATCCTGATGAAAGTCTCAACCTGTCACTGCGTGAACACCACAGAATGAAGAGATCGAGATTCTTCCATGGCATTCCATACGAGGTTCGTTCGCCATAAATAGCGTTCAAGATGCCTGTTATTGCACGCAATATGTCAGTAGAATGCGTAAATGACTTCTTCGTGTAGCTTGACAGAAGATCGACCAGACGAAGCCCAGTTGTAGATGCTGGATCCCGGCCGGGTACTATTGCTGCTTCCGCAAACTCTTCTACCTTCATAACCTCGTTCTTGATACTGTTGGGCTGTCTCCGACTGAGATAAAGTCCGCGTTGGGTGAAGAACAGAAGCCTCGACGAGGTCAAATACTCTTGAAATGTCCAGCCCCGTTGTGACCATGTAGTCCTTGCCAATACTTTTTCCAAGCCTGGAGCTGGTTCGACCAGCCAGATGTTATCGTTGAGCTGAGCTTTCTCTGGAGTAATTCTTGGACGACTCACTCCACTGAGACCAAAATCGGCGCTATCTCCTTCTGCTGCGACAATAGTGAACTCCGCCTGGCCATAGATAAGCGCCATTTGGTCGAGCTGCACAGACTTATAGTTCCAGCTGCTGTCCTGGATGATGCAAAGACGATCAACCCACAGATAGCGTTGATCCAACTCCTTACAGACTAACATAGCATCGCAGATCGTGTAAGGAAGACGTACGTGATCCAAGCTGCCCGGCTGCTCCAGATCACGGACGTTGGTTTCAGAAGTTTGGAATTGCGTAGTGTTTAGTCCCGCACCCCATACGTATGACAAAGCAGCATATGTGGTTCCAAAAGGAAGTGGGACAACACACTTCTGGACAACGTCTACAACAAGTACGCTCTGGGCGCGTTGATTCGTGAAGTCAAATCGCAACTCTGACGCACGAGTGAATCGTGGAAATCGAACTGGATCGGGAAGGTCCTCTTTCAGATCCTTGACCCAGCTTTTCGCCCATTCCCAAGCGATGTACTCAGAAACGATTTGTTGACTATCATCGGGTATGACGAACGCTTCTGTTCCTCGTTGCAGAAAGGATTTCTGCAGGGAAGATATGCGTAATATGCTCAGACGAAGTTTCTTGCGGGTTAGATTGTAAAGGCTGTTCGCGAAAAAGTTGCATAGTTCGCACATGATTGATGTCCTCTTGATCCAGGATATCCCGATTTGCGTTACATCAGTCTCTTCTCGAAGGCCACAGAGCATCAGATGCTCTACACGAAGGTGTTGACATTGTTTGCAACATTTAGCAGGGCTGAGAACAGTAGATTGGTCGCAAGACTCGCACGCGCTGTGGAACAGATCATGCCTTTGCATACCACGAACGGTCCCAGAAACGCGGGGACCAGAGCTGTCCACTGTAACCTCCATTTCGTTGCATAATGCACAATCGAAGGCAAGTTTTACCTCCGGAGTATCCATGGTGATGAGAGCGACCTTGAGACACGCAGGCCACTCGAGACAAGGCTGAGATGATGAAGATCAAGTGTGATCGATTAGGTGTCGCCGTTGATTGTACTTTCTCGTAGAGATGACGCAAGATCTTAGAGGGTCTTCGCCTAATGCAGGTACGGAACGAAAGGATGATAAGGCTGTCGTTGAGTTGTCATGAAGAGGGGCTCGCAGCTGCCCAGGTGCCTCGCATCTGGAGGAAGCACACTAGTCTTAAAATAGCCACAGTCAAGAGCACTCAGCCCTGTCAATTATCGATATCCATTGTGACACGCATGCCCAAATATTGTTTATTCGGCAATGATTTGATTCATTATGATTATCGACCTGCAATATCTGCATTCCGTTTCCTCTCAAGGAAAGGACAGTGAATCGGTAGCGACAGTAAAAAAACAGACCCAGACGCCGCGCAATGCAGTTGTTTTTTGATAATTGAAGTACAGGGGGAAGATGTGGCTGCATCACATGAGGCATGCCGTAGCTTGCCAGGACCCATATTGTAGTGGTAGGTTGTGCTCAGGCCTCCTCAACAGACTTGGGTGCAGGAGTCGCCTTCTTGTTCTTGTACCAGAGGGTAGGTAGAAGAGCGCAAGAGGTCGTGAAGAGAATGCTATGAATTGTTAGTAAAATTCGTACTTTCTTTCGATTCTGGCTTACCAGAGAGCGATGCTCAGACCCCAGATCGTCTTGCCCTGGAAACAGTTGCTCTTTGTTGTGCCAGCCCAATTCCACACACTGGAACCGCTCCAGTCCTTCATGTTCTGGGTGGCAGTGGTAACGAATGCGTAGGCGTTGGCTGCATCGACTTCATACGAAGACTTGCCGATTACATAGCAGTTAAGGTAGCTCAACGGCTTGCCAAGAGTGACCGCGCATACGATGAATGCGATGAGTAGCAGCGAGTCGATGCCGGCCATAACGAGGAGGCCAAGGTTGGCAAAGGACCAGTAGTAGCCGACGCTGACCATAATGTAGAGGGTCGCAACACAGGTCTGGATATATCAGTAAGAACACAGTAGGGCTTTCAGGGGGAAGGCACGTACAACAGTGAGAGTACCGACGAACTCCTTAGGCGGCTCAGCGCCAGTAACAACGATCATCTGAACAAAGTTGCTGCAGACACCGATAACGACTACCATGCAGAGAGCCTGCAAGATACGAACGAGGAGGAACATCTTGCTCAAAGGCATGGCACCGTAGCTAGGGACAGACATGATGGCGGTTAGGGTTGCTGAAAGAACGTTGAAAACTTGGGAAGCTTGAAGAGTCGTCAGGAGGATTGGTTGCGTTCAACGCTTTCGTGAAAATAGCTGATATCGAAAGAACAAGATGATTTGACCTAGGAAACAAGGAAATTGCTGAGAAAAGAGGAAAGAAAGCTGAAGAGATGAGCTGGCAGATGTGTTTGATAGTTTCCCTACGGTCGATAGCCAGCTGTCTTATATACTAACTCGTCCACAACAAGACATTTCACAAAATTATCCAAAGTCTCAAAGTTGAAGTTGCTATTCTTGCGCATCGAAAGTCTGGACCACTGCTGTTTCAGGAGATCTTGAGTAGTCGCTGGTGGTACCAATGAGAAGCTCGAAGCGCGGTGCGTCAGAAATTGTCCGAGCTGCCGCTTTGACGCAAGGCGGCGGCTACAGCATAACAACACCTCATGTAGCGAACTTCAGTTCGGCGGCAACCACTCACCGGCGAGCATTCTTCGCGGTACCTGTATCGAGATGAAGACCTGCTGGCTTCGAAAAATTGGGTGGATGAGAGGTGCTGTCACGGCTGTCGCTGTGCTTCCCCGGTCCCATCTCCACTCCCCGACCTGCCTCGCGCGCGGGAGCTATGCTTAGACCTGTTGAGGCTCAATCAGACCCACCAAAGCATGGCATGAGCTTACAACAGTGCAGTCGTGTGTGGTTTGGTGTTAGTATCGCTGGAGTAACGTGAGTCCAGGCAGGCTGTTGGGGGACCCACACACATTGATCTCCATCCGCATTGGCTAGAGACGACAGCAAGTGGTGACGAACAAAGCTGTCCAATATTTGACAACTGAGGCGCAGGTCTCACGTCGTGATGCAAAGCGTTGGTTGGCGGTGTTGTGAACGCGTCGCGCTCCTTCACGAGCTGTGGCGGGACCAATGAGCCGTCGTTAGCCGTGACGTCACCAGCAAAAACATCGACACTACAATCTCGCCTGAACACTCATAAACTCCATCGCACCGGAGTGACGGCGAGGACGAGGCTCGAAATGCCACTGACGAGATAAAGGAGTGCTCGGTCTTGAGGCTCGCGTCTCACGCCACGCGCCGCCGGCACGCTCTAGACGCGCTTAAGGCAGGTACAACCGTGAGATGCCGAAAGCTGGGGAGATAACCACTCCTTCGACAATGCCGAAGATAGGTGTCACGAGACGCCCTTTGGGGCCTTTTGAGGTTTTCTCGCGGTCCTGAGCCTTTCTTTCTTCAATTCCCCTTTTCAGATTGACAAGATGGGTCTCTTAGAGTACAGACAGCACAAGGCCGACTGGTAGGTCCAAGCTCAAGCTCTCCCCGCAAATCCATAGCTCTTCCGCTGACACACCATAGCCAGCGCAAGCAGCACGAGCGCGCAACCAAGATCGCGAACCTCCCGGCTACCTACAGCTCCCCCTTGACATCCCAAGAACGTACGATTCTCGGCAAACCCATCCAAGACCTCGTGCAGGAAGTCCAAAACAACGTCACGAACCCGATCGATGTCCTCCGCACCTACAGCAAGGTCACACTCAAAGCACATGAGAAGACCAACTGCGCGACCGAGATCCTCTTCCCCGAAGCGGAAGAATGGGCGACCAAGGAATGCAACCTGAAGGGTCCATTGGCGGGCATACCTGTCTCCCTCAAGGATTCGATCCAAGTCAAAGGCTTTGATATCACTGTTGGCTTCTCGACGCATACCGGGAAACCTTATGCTGAAGATGGACCTATGGTGCGCCTCCTGAAAGATGCAGGCGCAGTTCCGTTCGTCAAGACCAACCTGCCCACGACCCTGCTCTCATTCGAGTCAACCAACGACGTCTGGGGTCGCAGCAAGAACCCGCACAACACCGACTACTCGCCTGGTGGCTCTACAGGCGGTGAATCCGCTCTTCTTGCATTCGGAGGCTCGCGTATTGGCATTGGGAGCGATGTCGCAGGTAGCGTGCGTGTGCCAGCGCACTTCAGCGGTTGCTACTCTATCAGATGCAGCACCGGGCGTTGGCCGAAAATAGGCATGAATACAGCCATGCCGGGCCAGGAAGCTATCCCATCAGTCTTCAGCCCTATGGCACGCACGCTCAACGACCTTACATACTTCACACGCTCCCTGATACAGTGCAAGCCCTGGGAGTACGACTATACCGTGCATCCACTTGCATGGCAACAGTCTGTTGAAGACGAGTACCGTGACAAGAAAGTACTCCGAGTCGGTGTGCTTCGGACTGATGGTGTCGTTGATCCTTCGCCAGCCTGCGCCCGCGCGCTGTCCCTTGTCGTGGATGCCCTACGCGCTGAAGGCCACGAGGTCTTTGACGTCTCGCCGCCCTCGCCCTACGAAGCCCTGAAACTCGCCTCACACCTCCTTCTCTCCGACGGTGGGCAGACATTCATGTCCTTCTTCCGTACAGGCGAGTGGAATGACCCTGGCGCCTCAGTAATGGTCAAGTACATGAACCTCCCTCGTTTCGTCAAAAAGCTACATTACTGGTGGGTCAAGTACGTGCGGCGAGACGAGATCTGGGCCGGCTTGATCAAAGATTGGAGCCCTAAGAGCGCGCATGAGTACTGGCAGCTGGCTGGTAACCGGGAGTCGTACAAGGCGAAGTTCTTCGACTGGTGGGATACACAGGGAAAGGGCGAGAAGGCGATGGACGTCATGCTTGCTCCTCCTAACGCAACACCCGCCGTACCTCATGGAGGCATGCATGATGCTGTGAGCTCGTGTGGCTACACGTTCCTCTTCAACTTGGTACATACTCCTTTTCTTGCACCCGCCTCGTACCATTTGCTAACGTCCACAGCTCGACTACTCCGCCGGCGTCATCCCCGTGACACACGTCGACCCAGCCAAAGACGCTCTCCCCGCAACCTTCAACTTCAAGAAACTCAACGGCATCGCACAGGGCGCGTACAAGCACTACGACGCAGTGAAGATGGCCGGACTGCCAGTAGGAATTCAAGTGATAGGGAGAAGGCTGCAGGAAGAGAAAGTCCTAGCCATCATGGAACGATGTGAAGACGCATTGGACAAGCATGGCGGGCGGTATGAGTTACTCGAGATTGACTAGCTAGCCCATCCACCTCAAATGATGCATCTTGTCCCCAAACAGCCTATGTACAACTCCCAGTTTCATCGCATGCAACATCCGCTCCATACTCCAAAGTCAAACGATAGTCTCATCGCTCCTCTACGAAGGAGGCATGACATCGAAAGAGGTCGCAACCTCCTTCTCCCATGGCAATCGGTCCTTGCAGAAGATCTCCGCGCCGGGTCCAAAATCCTTAAGCCCTTGCTCCAACAGTCCGGTCCTGAGGACGATCTTGTCGTCGCCGAGGGCTTCCTGCATGTGGTATGCGTGCGCGGTGCAGTTCTTGCAGTAGTAGCAATGGACGGATTTGCCTGCGAGCTTGTATTAGGTACAGATTTTGGCGAGGGTGTGGGTGCGCGAGCGGGTGCGAGTAGGGCAAGAGAGGAACTGGTGAGACGGTGGCGTCGAGTCTGGCTACCAAGACCGCAGTGGTGCTGGTGGTGTAGAGGCATGCAGGACGGGAGACGTACCAGAATCGCCCTTGTACGTGTACTTTCCCAGGTCGTCACCACCCTTGGTGAAGCTCAATGCTTTAGCCGGGATGATCTGATTCAGCGTGTACGGCGCGCCGGAGAGCTGCTTGCACGTATTGCAGTGGCTGACATTGTCAGTACGATTTGCTCCGTTCACGGGCGAGCTATGTGAGCGCACCACAGAACATGCGCCTGCTGGTCCTTCTCTAGCGACGCCTTCCACTGAGTGTTGCCGCAGTGGCATTGACCTTGGTAGCTTGACATGGCTTATGTGTATGTTTTAAATTGACGTTACTATGAAGTAGTAATGGAGATGAGTGAGTATTCTGTACAAACCACCACCGACCTCCCCCTCTATTTAAATACACTACCTCTGCACCAGCACCCATATCGCCCAAGATTCCAAATGCAGCCCCGCGGCTCACGATTTGCCAATTGCGCGCCGCTTCGGGCGTGCCGTTCCTTACCATTGACGCGCTTAGCTGATTCCAAATCCGCCTCCGCGGGCCCAGTGCAGTCGATGATTCCGCAACAATGTGATTCCGCAACATAGCCTGTACGGGCGCAGGTGGGGCGCGGCGATCTGTCATGCTTTGGAATCGCGCGCGCGGGTCATGGTGATTCAATTGCATTGAACGGATGCTGCACTTCGGCAGGTGTGCGAGGTTGAGGTGCGAGGGAGCTTGGGCCAGGTGGGCGGGGGCGATGACGCGGGCAAGCGCGAGATGCGAGATCTGCAATGAACGAAGAGTGTTGTCACTGGCATATGGGTGTTTAGTGTGGTTATGGGCATGGATCGCGGTGTGATTAAGGCTCCCATTTAGAGAGTGTGTGGTGTGGATCAGGGTCCGTGAGGCTGTCGAAGGATCCGTGTTGATCGTCACGTGCTTCGTCAGGATCAGTCAGCGCGAGGATAGTCTACACCATCATACCACTATGGTTAAGTGTGATGATGTCAATCTCAGGCATCTTGACAGTGGTGAAGCTGCGCCTAGAGTCGTTGGGATTGAAGTCGAGTAACAAAGACATTCTGTGTACGCACAGTGTTAGCAGCCAGGATCCTGAATGTCGAGTGAATAACATGTTCATGCTAACTAGCAATAATGTCTGAAATGTGAGCTCCTTCCTATCTCCATAACATGTTCATACGCGACACGCGTACTTAATGTCTTAATCCTCCCGTCGTCTTAACCGTCGTACCTAGATATTCGACCTTATGAGAGGGGAGGAAAGCTCCTCAAGAAATGGCTAGGGCACTCGTAGCCTCCTGGGTTGACATCCAGATATTTCTGGTGGTACGCCTCAGCGTCCCACCACTGGCCCGCGGGCAAGACCTCTGTGGCAACAGCGCCCTTCCACCACTGCTCGTTGACCTTCTTGGTAACCTCCTTTGCGATCTTCTCCTGCTCGGCGTCGTGGTAAAAGATGGCGCTGCGGTACTGGGTGCCGACGTCAGGGCCCTGGCGGTTCTCGGTTGTGGGGTCATGCATTTTATAGAGGAATTCGAGGAGCGAGCGGTATTCGATCTTGGTGGGGTCATAGACGACCTGGAGTGCCTCGGCGTCTTGCGATAGTCAGTACATTTATTCATTCAGGTACACGCTTTCGCGCCTCGTGGGCGTGCGACTGTAATGCAGGCACAGTGAAGGGGTGACACTCACGACCTGTCCGCCCACTGCATACCGCGCGGTATCCCGGGTTCTCTGTGTCGCCGCCGATGTATCCCACACGCGCATCGTACAAGCCCTTCTTGCCAAACTCGCGCCTGTACATGTGCTCAACGCCCCAAAAGCATCCTGCGGCGACGGTCGCGGCCTTTGCGCCTTCGGGTATGTTCATCGGCTGTGCGGGTGCGGAGGACATGCTTGTGAATGGGCGGAAGAACTTGGTGAGAAAGGACATAGAGAGGTAGAGGAGGAACGGGAAAAGTAGATAGAGGAGCTTCAGTTTGGCGACTCGCGGCACGGTAATGATTTGGGCGCGATATTTACTGAATGGGATTCTTTTTATGGGTCTGACACTTTCGCCCCACGAGGGTTCGATGATGCCATCGTTATCTGACAAATCGTGTCATAGACTAGAGGCTGGACCGCCTTCGGACGACCGCGCTGCGAGTTGTGGCGCTGTAAGGTGTGGCGCAGCTTGCGTCTATCATCAGCAACATATGACCATTGTGAATGTTGCTGTCGCGTCTGCTCCGATTTTGATGATGCGCGCATGCTTGGAGGTAAGGTGTCTGAGCGCTGTTGGAGTTGAGAGGGGCTTCCTTTTGCGCAGAACGCACCTTCCTGACTTGGCAGGTGGGCAATGGCAGCTGCAGTCGACAGCAAAACATGGATTCGCGCACGACATCGACATTGTCAATAACAACCTTGATCCATTGGGGCCCGGCTCCCCATAAGCGGCGCGATAGTGTTCTGGGGGAGTACCGAACTCATAATAGTATACCAGTATTACCTAAGAAAGCTAACAGCAATACATTGATAGTCTCATCTATTGAATCCCAAGAGGAGGGATCTCTCCACAATTTTCAGAAAGGTTAGCACTGACCTGTGGAGAATGAGAGGCTACCGTTGCAAGGTCAAGGTCAAGGTCATGAAGAGGTATCCGCCTGTCAGAAGGCGACATCGAACTCTGCTCCAGCATTCCGGGCACTGTTACAACCTTATCGCCTCTAGCATCGCGAATGTAGGTCTCTTCAGATATGCATCCCAAAACCCACTCGCCCTTCTCTCGTCATCTGGAACAACTACCTCTTTCCACTCAATCTTCAGCCTTGCCTCTTTCGCGCATCTTTCATACACATCGCGCTTGAATTGATACACATCGAAGCTGAAACCTTGCCCGCCTCCGACGACCACACGTGCCTTGATGCCCAACACCTGCCGTGAGTCCGGGTCTGCGTACTCCGGATCCAGGACCAGGACATCCAGACCGTAGAAGTCAGGCTTGGGGACATGCATGTTAGGATCGTGTGCATCAGTCGTCAGCCCAACAAACCTCCCGCGTGCATTCATCTGACTCTCGATAACACGGAACATGTTGGTCAATTCCCTCTCGCTCCCGGCGTAGTTGAGAAACCAGGCCGAGAAGACAAGGTCGAAGCCGCCGTCTTCAGGGACAGGAAGTAACTCAGGAATGCTACAATCTACGACGCCAAATTGCAACGTAGGGAACTGCGTGGGTGGGTAGGTTGCTAACGCTCCGTCAATCATGGTCTTGGAGATGTCGTAGCCGGTTGCACTGATGGCGCCGAGTTCGTGCAGGAGATGTGTGTATTTGCCTGTGCCGCAGGCGAGATCTGTGGCGAGATCAGTGTGTGCGCAATTGAAATTCCATCATTACGGTTCCCGGCAGATGATTGTTCTGTGTCTGCAGAAAATGTCACCAAGCTCTGAAGCTTCTCAAACAATCGATCCCAAATCGCAGCGCAGCACAAACCGGGCTCAACCCCAGCCCCCTCACTCTACTACAATAATAACCAACCTCTCGCACCCCTTAAAATCACTTAATTCGGTACATACCAAGACACCTCCTCCCTTCCACCCTCCCCTCCCCCAGCGCAGCCCGAATACTCGGCCCCTCCGACTCCGCCGCAGCCAACACCTTGATTTTCAGATATTCTGTGCCAATCTGATCATACTGCGTGTTCTGCGTGCTCTGCGCGACTCCTCCATCGCTTTCTGTCGCACTCGCATTCGCCATACCCGTCTCTTGCCACGAACGTGACCGTGCGCGCGAACCGTTATCCTGAAACGCCGCCTAAATCGGCACCGAATTGCGCGAACCGCCGCGAACGTCGCAGTGCAGGGTAGTCTGGTAGGTGTGCAGGGTGGTGGTGTTTGGTGCAAGAATAGGGTTTCGAGATCCGGTGAAACCCCGCTGTGGGTACTGCCGCGGTAACGTAGATTGTAGATACCTACCTATCTAAGGCAGGGGTCTTGAAACTTTCCAACGTGGATTTATTCTTGGAAGTCGGAGTCATTTGAGTTTGAGATTGACATGTGGGTGTGACTGAGATAGGCGCGTGCAGTAGGGGCTCATGGTGCTCGGGGGTTTGCAGCATGTGCAAGAGTGGGGACGGGCGTGCGCGCTGGGTAGGATGATTCTAGGTACCTAGGTAAGTACCGGGGTCCGTCGCGTATCTATCGCTATCTCGACTGAGATGTTCGAGATCTTCAGTTCGTTGATGAAGAGGTCGCGATCGTACAACATAAATTTTAGGCACGCAGAGCTGTTCATCAGGAAAGTTGTGTCCAATCCATTCCAGGAGCTGTCTTCCCGAACACCACTTGGTTTGAAATGCGTATGATTCATCAGACTGTCTCTCAAGACAAAGACAACCAGCGGAACCGATAAGCAGAGCATGTGTCAGAAGGAAGTCGTCATTGAGCAGAGGAATCTTAGGGTCTCATGCAGAGAATATTGATTCGGGAGATTGTGTGCATGAGCGGGAACACGGTGATATATACCTATTTCAACCCTGGGATTGAGATAATGAATGATGAGGTCGACTTCGCCTCGGAACATGTGCACTAGTTGTCGAGGCAAGGCATGAGCGTGATAGATCCCTAAATGATCTTTCCCAATAATTCCAGAGCCTAAGCCAACGGAGTAACCTGTTTCTTGACACAATAAATTACTGGTTATTCTGAGTGTATAGTGTCGACACCCCGGGGTTCTGGGGTTCTGGTCCACCGAGGAGACAACAGACACGCTTGACGTAATACGCTGCAGTCTCTGGATGTATCTCAATAAAATGACCAATATAGCATTGATGGTAAGCGGCAGATGCTGTAGGTTGGTGTGAATTCGGTGATTGAGTCTCGAGATGCGCTGATACCCGTTTGCTAAAAACAGTAGTTGTCGAGACGCTGTCCCGCCATGTTCATAGCTGCTACGCAGTGCATGATTGTATACTGGGAGCTGCAAAAGCCTCTTGGAAGCAAGGACGAAGTCAAAGTTTCCAAAGCATGGGAGCTTTTTAGTGTTGTTGAACGCAAAGGTGTCCAAAGATGCCCAGCGGTGCTGAATAGACACCTCTTCTTGTGCAAGGGACCGGATATGGGTCGAAGACCAGCTCGGTCATTACCCAACCCCCAAGGTGAGAAGCATTTTGTTACATTGTGCGACATGGTGTCCTCGAGGAGTCAGAGTGGGCCTGATTCATATTGAAATTGAGAAGGGAAACGATATTGTTGGTTGGAAAGGTATTCATCTTCTGTGGAATCTAGGATGAACTTTAGAATATTGTTTGCGCAAACTCGGTTTAGAGCAGAAAGGCATGAGAAGTCGCCAGCCCTCCTTTAAGTCTTGGTTTTGGTTGACTTGACTCAAGTGCGATGTATCAGGATCGTGGCGTGAGGGTCGACGGAGTAAGGCGCGAGGAGCTGTGCTTGATATTAACATGACTGGCATGAGTGTCGCAACCATTTTTAACTCATAGCAGTCGACGATACCCTTTGCTAGCCATGTAGTACTCTTGTTTCCGTTATCAAACCGTTTACTGACTACCATGTGATGATAGATCATGGCAGTCACTGCTCGCCTGCACCACACGGAGAGACCGAAGGCATAGGGGTCTTGGATAACACCGTCGTTCAGTGATTGCGGAACATAGGAAGATAGTAATACAGTGTCACACCGTGGACAATGTGTCCTCCGATAATTGAGTTGCTGACGTGAGCTGAAAAGCCTGGCGTCTAGTGGTACCTCCCACATCCTTCTAGGACCACCGACTTCGCACTTCTGTTGAAGATCCGGAAGTCGGCATAGCATCTCGCTCGCAATTATGCAATCGGCATGCGTCACGTATACAGAGGCCGAATGTATGCCCAGGCTCTGGGCTACGATAAACAGGCATCCGAAGGATTGAGGCTCCGCCGGCAGGGAAGAATCGGACAGTCCACGAGACGAGCCAGCTGGCGGCAAAAGTCCGATGCACAATTCGGCCGCGGTTTGGACAAGCATTGCCATTGCGGACTGCCCAGATAGGCAAGCTCTTCTCCTAGAGCGGTAAGAATTAGAGCGGCTGCACGCCACGACTCCTCATCCGATGGCGCCGCGCCGCAATCCAGGGCAGAGACTTGTAATCAGGATGCTTCAAACGCCGACGAGCTTGTCGAGACGCTATTGGTACGGGCTTTCCCCCATTTCTTGCTGTGTGGATAACCAAGGCCTGGCCAAGCCATAACTCGTACCATAAGGCGTTCCTTGGCCAGAATCGGACGTCCGAGCAGGCCAGTGCGTTCGCGTTTGTCGGTGGAAATCGTACTGCTTTGGGTGAATTGCAGACCGCGGAGACCGTTCCACAACCCCAGAGGCAATTTCACATTTCATGGGGACCCCACACCTCCGAGGAACGCAGGACCGACAATAATGGCTGAGCGCTAGAAGCATCGTGCTTCCGATAGTCGTTCGATACCATGTGCGCGCTCCGGTCCGTTATCTTCGTGTTTCTGCAGGAGGTCGAAGCCAAGCAGAAGAGTTCTTGGATGAGACTTGGTTAATTGTTGAGCTTTTTTTGACAGCATGGCATCAAGCTGGGCAAAGGAACAATAGCAGTGCGAGTCATCACAACCGGTGTGTGGTGTTTGAACCTGCAGTTTCCTCCGCTCTAGCGGCGGCGCCCCACATCAACCCCATCCACACACGTTTTCCGCCTTTTCTTCGCGTCGCCCGAGCGGCAATCAGTTTAGGACCCTAGAAACAGCCAAGACCCCTCTTAGTCTGCATCCATGAGGAGTCGACCAGGCGCCGTTCCATATATTTGCACAATTATGGGCCGGTTGTTTCTCGTGTGCCGCACGCACGAAACGGCTTGCGCGAACATGGGAATAGGTAGCAGCACACACCAAACCAGTGATCCACTTTGAAGAAGTGGAGCCGACCCTTTGCTCGGTCCTCCTGCCTCAGGGTCCGCGCATCCAGAACACAGGAGTACTGTGTCTGAAGATCTTTCACCGGTCGCGAAACACTCACGAGGCCGCGATGGATGTCATCAAACACTGCGACTCGTGAATGCGAACGGCTGGCGTTAGGAAAAGCAAGCCCAAGCCCGCCCGGTGACTATTTGCCAAAGGCTTCAACCTCCTTGGCCTGCCAATGTTGTGGCGTGCACCTCGGCGCAGCTTCTTCTCAGCAAGATAGCGCGAACAATGCTTGAGCAGCGCCTTGCATCTTGGTAAGAACGACAGCAAAGCCGTTGTGTGCGACCCTCAGGTATGCCAGCGCCGTTGTGCACACTCTATAAGCGATAATGCACAGGAAAGCTTCTCAACCATATTCTGGGGATTTGGTAACACGATGCTCTGTTCTCCCCATGGGGTCAAGAGATCAGCGCCTGCGGGATTTGACCCCAGCTATCGGCCGGTTACAATACGTCAAGCCCATCGCTGACGATATGTGCGCCTTGCTCGATTAGGGTTAGAGGGTTACATCAATCAACACCAAAAGACTGGGCGGCCTTGGTATAATCTTGGCTGCAAGCCACACGACGCACCATGAAGTGTTGTCGTACAGATGGTTTCCGGGGGTGTTAATGGGATCGCTACGAGGCAAGATTCCCCGCTAGAAGGATGCCGTGGGAGCACATATAATAGATGTGCCTTGCCCTCGGTTTGTGAACCAGTATCAGGCTCAGCTGTCTTACACTTGAAGCAGCTTCTCTTTCACCTACTTTTTAACAGGCCTGCTCAACACAATGGCGACAATCTCTGGCAACAGACCTGCCGACCCTCTGGCCAAAGGCACCGTTGCCACGGCGAAGCAAGCCCTCAGCGATCTCTTCAAGTGGGATCAGCGTGTGGTTGTCAGAAACGAATATGGCGAAGAGACTTGCGAGTGGCAGAGGCCTGAGCCGCTCAAGAACCCCATCAGCTTGCTTGCGCAGCTCAAGCTGAAGGACTGGGCTTACTTCCTCGTGGGATTTTTCGCCTGGACAGCCGATGCTTTCGACTTCCACGCCTTGTCCATCCAGACCACTAAGCTGGCCGACTACTACGATCAGAGCAACACTTCAATCACCACAGCCATTACCTTGACACTGCTGCTCCGATCTGTCGGTGCTGCATTCTTCGGCCTGGCTGGTGACAAGTTCGGCCGCAAGTGGCCCATGGTCCTCAACATGATCATTCTCGGTCTTCTTCAGGTCGCCACAATCTACTGTGGTACCTTCAACCAGTTCCTGGCTGTCCGATCCCTCTTTGGTCTGTTCATGGGTGGTGTTTACGGTAACGCCATCGCAATGGCACTCGAGAACTGCCCGTAAGTTATGCATGATAACATCTACGCAATAATTATACTAACCTCATCAGTGTCAACGCTCGTGGTCTCATGTCCGGTATCCTGCAGCAGGGTTACTCGTTCGGTTACGTGCTCGCCGCCTGCGCCAACCTCGGCGTCGGTGGTGAGACCAACACCTGGAAGACTGTCTTCTGGGTTGGTGCCGGCTTCTCCATCCTCGTCGGTCTTGTCCGCATCTGCTTCCCCGAGTCCAAGCAGTTCATCGCTGCGAAGAAGGAGGCCAAGAACGACGTCGCCCCTGGCGCTTTCTGGGCGGAGACCAAGACCATGCTTAAGGCTGAGTGGCGCATGGTTGTTTACTGCATCTTCCTCATGACCTGGTTCAACTTCTACTCCCACACCAGCCAGGACTCCTACACCACCTTCATGAAGCAGTCCAAGCACCTCAGCGCTGCCGGTGCCACTCGCGCTTCCATCCTCATGAAGACCGGTGCCTGCGTCGGCGGTACCATCTTGGGTTACACATCGCAGTGGTTCGGACGTCGCCGCACTATCTGCTGCGCCGCCATCATGTCCGCCTTCCTGATCCCCGCCTGGATTCTGCCCACCACCGAGCGCGGCCTGTCCGCCTCTGGCTTCATGATCCAGTTCTTCGTGCAGGGTGCCTGGGGTGTGATTCCCATCCATCTCAACGAGCTGTCGCCACCCGCCTTCCGCTCCTCCTTCGTCGGTCTTACCTACCAGCTGGGCAACATGATCTCGTCGCCGTCTGCTCAGATCGTCAACGCTGCTGCCGAGGGCATCATGATCAAGACCCACGACGGCAGGCAGTCTCCCGCATATGGCCCGGTCATGGGCATCGCGACCGCGATCATCGCCATTGGCATTACTGTTACTACTGCGCTCGGTCCCGAGAAGAAGGGCCGCCACTTCGAGGAGGCGGGCCCCATTGGTCACCATGCTGAGCCAGTCAAGGATATTGAGACTGGCAGCTTCAACGAGAAGGATGGCACGCACGCGGTGGAGATTGTCGACAACAAGGAGACCAAGGTTTAAATGCAGAGTCGGACAACTCGCCCTGGCAGCCCAGGTCGCAGAGCTCCGATGAATGGAAAGGAATGGTTTTTGTTAGTGCTTTTATGATACCAGGCACGATATACGAGTTATGAATTCAGACTGATTGTCTTTACTTTTTCGTGCTCTCTGCATAGTGAATGGTGTTTGATAGCTTTTTGATGTTCGTGTCTCGAATGTATCCGACCTAACACCGCAGCCCTTAGGTCAAGAAAGGAGGGCAGTGTCGACGAATCCAGATTTGATACACAAGCTATCTGCAGTCAGTCCGCCGTCTAGCTCTGTTGATGTTTCTGGTCACGTCTATGTGCCCCAAGTTTGGTCTCAATGAGCGTTGCACTATATTTTCTCAGAAACATCGGCTTCGGATGCTGATTTACTTACTGGCACAGTGAGTCGAACTTGCAAAGATTGAGAAATCCAAAGCCTCCTGAACTACCATCGCAGCTCATTTCGGGACATTACATCAAAGCATCGTACGGGTTGAAACAAAGTATACGTTTTACAAATATCTCTTGAGCGCGTTGTCACCCCATTCGAGGAAACAGTGGCACGGCTGCACCTTCCGTCGCGGAGTCAGGATGTGGCAAAACGCCATCGCCACCACCATGCATCTTACCTATCGCCTTCGAGGGGTCTGTCTTTGTTGCGAAGTGTTTGCGCTATTTTACAACGTGCCTTTGCTATTGATCAGTTTGTTGCAATTGTCCTCCGGGATTCTCCGTTGCTTCTTGCTGCTTCGCGCCGTCGCGTACTGCTACAAACAACGATCATGCATGACATCACGCGCACGTGCTTCCTCGTGGGAATACCTTGAGCACGAGCGGAAACACGGAATGAGCGGCCTATCATAATCTAGTTTATTCGTCAAATTAAGTGTATCATAGCGTGACTTCATACCAATGCACGCCCAAACGCTGAGATGCCGCAACGCCATGCAATCACAAGGTTCGGCTCCTGCGCTCCTAACGCTTCTTCCCTCCCATCATGTTGCCAGCCTGCTTTTGCAGGTACTTGGTGCCTTCCTTCTTGATCATAGGCAACGCATAAGCTGTGAACATGCTCATAGCCTGCTTCTGCCACTCGGGCTGCCCAGATCTGACATCTCTGTCCCTGCGATCATGGTCGCGATCATCGTAGCGGTCTCGTCGGTCTCTGTCGTCGCGCCGAGAGCTGCTGCCCGAGCCCGAGTTGGCCAGCATGGAGAAGAGAGCGTCGTAGGGTGTAGACTTCCTTCGCTCATCTCGCCGGTCGTCGCGATGGCGGTCGTCTCGGCGATCGTCTTTGTAGCGGTCCCTTCGGTCTCTGTCATCTCGTCGCCTGTCGCGATCCCTGTCATCATAGCGGTCTCTGCTCCGGTCCCTGCTTCTGTCGCGGTCATCATGACGTCGATCTCTGCGCTCCCGGTCGTCGTAATCTTTGCGAGGTCGATTGTGCCTGTCGTCGCTCACGTAGCCACGGTTGTCGCGACGACGGTCGTCTCGGCGTGGGTGCTCGTCGTATGAGTCGTACTGATCGCGATCCCGTGGGCGTCGATCGCGCTGTGTGTTGCTTCGCCGCGGTGGTTTGGCCGGGCGACCATCGGAACCAGAATCAGATCCGGAGGAGTTTCTTCTGCGTGGGCGCGGGCGACTCTCTAGTTTGAGGTGAGCATGGCATAGGCGACTAGGTTGAAAGGCCTACCTTTTGGTGGAGGAGGTGCATCTTCGTAGCGCTCTCTGTGTCGCCGTGATTCTCGTCGGTCGTCGCGATCGCGATGGTCGCGGTTGTCCCTAGGATCTTCTGTTGGGGTCTGAGGCGCCCATTTTGGCTTGCCGTCTTCGTAGCTATCGAAGCGGTAGCTGGGCTCAGCTGGAGGACGTTAGCATGTCGCAAGTATTGGTGTTGACAAGCAGACTTACGACGCCTTTGTGGTGGGGAGTCGTCACGTCTTCCCATGGTTGCAATATGTTGTCAAGAATGTTGTTAGGTGCCAGGCGAAAGTTGATAGTAATAGCTAGACCCTGGCTGTCCAAGCCTCAGGCTCACATGACGGTTGCGTCACACCTCCAATCGGCGTGACCTCTAGTGCGCAGTCGAAGTTGCTGTGGGCCAGCTCGAGAACTGCGACAGGCGCAAGGCTATGCAACGCCGACCTGCCTCAGCGTGGCACACGCTGACTGGGTTGCCGCGCTGCGCCACCCATTTCGCCGCCTGGAAGGATTCCAGGAGCGCTCCGCCGGCCGTGCAGCCCGAGTGCCTCCCCACAAACCAGGCAAGCACTTCGACGATCAAGACGATCAGGGTCCGGTCAAAGCGCTTTATGATCAGAGCGGTGTGCTATGTCTAACTTCCACCTAGACGCAGTTCTGTGCCTGATACAGGCTGCTGGAGGTGCTGGAGATGCGAGTTGTCGCAGCCTGGAGGCGTTGTCGGCGTGACCGCGTTCTCAGCTCAGCAGGCATCACTGCCGTACGTTGGCGAAGAACAACCTGCAAAGTGCATCCTGAGGTTGAGGGAGCTGCGTTTTCCGGAAGGAAACGAGCGCCAGAGAATCATGTGTATCAAGGTGGTAATTCTTTCCACTCCAGCATTCTAGGTAGCTTGTTAATTGCCTCTCGGGTAAAACCTTCACCTTTCTCAACCCTCTACCAAAACATATTTCTCTTTCTTGCATCACCAACCCTGCAACTATTTCCAATACCTATTCATTCCATTTCCCCTTGTTCGTAATTACCGATGAATCCCTTCCTGCCTTCGCATCGACACCCTATTGGTCTCCGAGTATTCCCAACAATGAATACCAGGGTTCAGCTCAAGGGCACTCTCAACCACTACCATACATGAATCTGGAAAGATTTCAAAATTTGGACCATCGCATGAAGCTGTCGTGGTCCAGGGACGATCCAGGGTAGAACCAGGTTGCACAAAAGGCGTCTCCCGCTCCAAATCAATATTCGTTGACAAGCAGTTTTAAAACCATGCTTTTCATCTATTCGAGGATAGTTCTCACATATCACAGGAAGTATCTCGAGATTTTCCACTTATCGCCGCATATGGCGTGCATTTGTTCGGACTTAGCCTGTCACACCGAGAGAGAGCAACAATCATCCTGCACCAGCTCTCATACCAAGGGGGCGCATCTACGCTCCTAACCTGGAGTCGTTGCTCGATGCCACTTCAGGCACGTTGCCAACTTTGTGGCTGGGGTCGCAAGGTTCAATCGCTGGCCTCATGAGTGCAAACTCGCCTCGCAACGGTAAAGAAAGCGAGGATAAAGCAGATACCGACCTTGGGAAAGGCAGAGAGATGGCCGTATTCGTTATCACCATGCTCATGGATCCTGTCAAGGAGTCCCATGCTGATTCTTACGATATGATATGTGCAGAAGCACTACAGAATTGGAGAGCTATAGGACAGGCTCTCGTTTCCCCAGCATCCAGCAAGGTAATAATGGAGGCACTCCAGATCCTGACTACTTGGAAGAAGGACTGATGCCAAGAGCATTCCTTGGAACTGCTTTCAGTGCTGTTGTCGGTTCATCGTTCTCGAAGACCATTTGCGAGAACTTGAAGAATGAAGGCGAAGGCAAGTCTCCGAAGCTACCGGAGAGGCGGTACCTGGACGATTTTCGAGATTCTGCCAGGAATCAAGGCATTCTGGTTGGTATGCCAGGTATGCTCCTAGAGTCAGTATTGAAGACAACAGTTCTCAATTCGGCGCGGCGCTTCCGCGTCGCACAACAGATCCGCGACTCGTTCTACCTAGTCGAACGGCGCGGGGCGCTCAGCTCCGTATGATGCCTCACTCGAGAGGCGATACGATAGGCTCGTGCACATTCGGAAACTGCTACATACAACGATTCGCTGTTAGTGGTCGATCGATCTCTTGATGGACTCCGAAGATTGGCCCAGGAAGGTTCCACTATTCTCAAGGTCAGAGCTGTGGAAGGGTACGACATCTTCAACGATATCGCGCTTGCCGATCCAGCAACGTTTGTCGGTCATTTATCAGCATTCATTGACACCGCTGCGGAGATTCCGAAGCTGACCAATGTTGTGGAGTACCTGCGTCCTGAAATGGATATGTTGAATTGGCAGATCAGCCAACGAATCGAGGAGCAAAGGTTCAGAGACACCGGGCTTACCTCCCGCCAGCCCTCCTGAGGGACCGCCTCCATTAACTCCTCCAAGACCGGACACACCTACCAAGCCCAAGCCTGTATGTGATAAAAAAAATGATCTGCTACTCTTGGGGTTGTGAGCATGTAATTGTCTTGAGGCTAATATTGGCGAGTGTGGCTCAAGGGTACTACTTGTAGTCGAAAATAAAATTTTAACGTCTACTGTTGAATGCTTTCTGCTTCAGGTTAGTCTTGAGATACGTGTACTGTCATAAAGACCGTGATTTGCACAGTAGAAGTTACCGGGCATACCATCAGCTTGAAATACATGACATGTCCTGACAACAATGTACACGTGATATCTTCTTGGTGTTAACAAATCGCTGCAGATGCATACACATGTGAGAAATAAATTCCTACTCGTGTATTTCGTGTTCCGATTCGCACCTGATTCGACAGCCAGCTCCGGCGGGTACTGTCACCGAGCGAATTCTGTGTGTCCTTCGCATCCAGTGACCGAATCATCTCACACCACATGTCCGATTCCTTTGATCAAGGACAGCCATCAGACAAAGTGCACACTCACGTAACTTTGCGTTGAAATGTATCCAATTGATTCAAACTCCCGACTATGCTATACATGCTCCCAAAATGCCGCTCCAAACAAAAAGCCGAAGCCTGTTAAATCGCTACAACGTCCCTTCTACGAGTTCATGACTTGGCAGCCTCGATCAGCTTGGCGTGCTGCTCAGGGTGCGTCTTCTCGACGTTTCCCTTGGCAACCTTCTTCATCATGAAGTTACCATCAATGACAACGTCCTCGGTCAGCTTGCCGTCGGCGACGCGCCACTTGCCCGCAATGGTCAGGATGCCGACGGGAGGCTTTGCATTGACGAGAGAGTCGACGCCTGTCTCGACGTTGGTGAGGGTGAGTTTGTAGGTTGTCTGGTTTGGTTAGAAGGGGGTCACTCGTTGGGACAGGGGAGGGTATGTACCTGGCCGATGGGCTTCTTGTCGGTGACGTTGTACGTGGCGGAGGTGGTCTTGTCGCCGGAATCGAAGGAGTAGCTGACGAGGGCTGGGCAGACGGTCTTGATCATCAGGTCGTGGTTGTGCAGGGCGGCGATAACAATGGCGGCGTCGGTGCTGCCGATGGAGGTCTCGATGTGGGAGGTGGCCATTTTGTTGATTGTGGTGTTGATTGAAAGTTTAGAAGTAGAACTGAGGCAGTGAAGGGTTATTGAAGTAGGGTTGAGTTGCTGTTGGTGTAGTAGTGTTGATGAGATGAGCTGTTGTGATGACCTTTAAGCTGACCATGCGTCTATCTTATATACATACCTGCCCCATCTCAAAGTGACAAGCTCAAACTCAGCCCATCCTCTCCTCAAACGCGCTGCCCTGCATAATCCAAGTCGAGCCTACTCGCCTGAGTGCAGATACACCAGACGCATCGTGTTCCCCTACATTCTTGGTACGACGCCGACGATCGTCCAGCAGCCAAACAGCAGCCGAGTCGTAAATAGCAGCCACCGAAACGCACTGTGCTGTTCCCGCGAGTAAGCGACGTCAGTGCGCAGTAGTCAAGCGGCGGCGCTACGGTACCTCGTATGGGTCCCTATGTTCTGACAGCAGTAGCCGGTTTGGTGTAACACAGTGCGGCGATCGGCCACCTAGCCGGACCACACCACCATGGACAGTGGCCCTGATGTTTGACGAAAGATCCAGTGTGCCAAAAATATTGCTCTCTGAGACACCCATGTGGGCTGATTGTCACTTCCACACTGCGACAAGCAAGCCTACGCGGCCGACAGCAGAGCTGACTGTGGCAGCGCGTTGCTGCTGTCAGCGCATGGGGGACGATGGTTGACTGCGTCAGTGTTTTTTCACAAGCATCGCATCTACGGTCATGTCAACATGCTGACGGCGCATGTCCGCGCGGAGTGTACCTCCAAGAGCCTCGGATTGGCGATCCACGGAATCGTCGTCGCAAAGACTTTGTGGGTAGGTAGTTGCGCTTGCCGGATGTTTCATGACGGCAAGCGGATTTGGGGAGCCGAATAACGCTAATGGACGCTAGTGTGAAGATCAATAACAGCCTTGCAGGTACATCTTCAACCACGGAATGCTTGTCGGTTTGGCTATCACCAACAAAGATTAGAGACTCTCGGAACGTTCACACCCAAAGTTTCCTGTGTGTTTGAAGCTCACGATTGAGTAGTTAGGCCACTTGTGTGTGTTTGCAAGCAATTGCAGGGTCTGCTAACCAATAAACTCTATTTTTACCTGAATCGCAGGGCTCACCCTACTACAGTTCAGACGATTAACCACTGCGGAGCCGCCTGTGTTCAGACTTCATGGCCAACGAGCATGGACCAACCAACAGCAGTAGCAACCACGCAAGACTAACTTACGCACTTGCACACGTTTGACTGCAGATAGTCGCCCAAGCTGTTGTGGCTACCAAAAGCGTCAGCTTCGCATGCGTCGCATCAAGCTGAGACGTCCACGGGAATTGTGACAAGTATAGCTGCATCTTTGTTCTGGGTGTTCATTCATACCACTTCCCCTTCTGCATCGCACCCTTGCCCTCCGCAGGCGCAAAGGCAACTCTGCCCACACTCTCCCCAGACCATACGTCGGCGATCTTGACCTTCATCTGACCGAGTCTACGAGCCTTACTCGAGCCTCCTTCTGTGCTATTACCCTGTATGCCAGGCTCGCTGAAGAACACAGAGTCTCTGACGAGGCTACTGACATAGCCCAACATCGGAGGCGCGATGCACAACGCGTGTAGTGCAAGCGAGCTGAGTGCAGCAAGAAGCATGATGCCCACAGACACAAAATAGATGATCATCCACGGCATGTCGATTGCGTAGACAGGTTGGAGTGGTGTAAGGGTGTCCGCGGTTACGTTTGCGATGTTATCGATCTTGTCGTCTCTGACCCAGTCCCCTCCGTGGATCGATTTATACGTCCAGCCAAGTTTCCACAGTGTGTTGTACAGCAAGCTTAAGCGCTTCTCTACCAGCTTGACGTCTACGTCCCAGAGCTCCGCGCTTTCCTCTTTGCTGTATGGGCCTGCACCGAAGGCTGTAAGGGGGTCTTGAATGTAGTATTCGACCAAGCTCGAGGCGCCGCTGCCCCCGTTATTGTCATCGAGGAGATCCATGAAATCATCGAGAAAACTATGTGGCATTAACGGAACAATGTTTGTACCCGTGCCCTCTCGAACGCGCCATGTCTCCAGTAGATTGTATGCGTCGGACTCTGGCGCAGTGGGCATCTTTCGGATGGCCTTGACGCCGCACGTCAACTTGGCACCCGTGCCTTGCGATCTACATTCGACCTGCGTGTCAACATAAGTTGTCCTACTGTCACAGGAGGTGTAGTTAAGACCCTCCTCCGAGGCGATTCGGTTTCCGAAGATAAGCTGTGGTGATCCTGGATATGTTCTGTTGTAAACTTTTCCCGCAGACGATGCCGCGAAGTATGTTCGCGGTAAGAGTCGATTAGTGTGTCCTCTGTTTACTGCCGCTATTCCGCTCCACAGCACCGTTCCGTTATAACCGAACGTTGTCGAGATCCACGACCTAGCCTGAGAACCATTGAGACGTATCCAAGGCGCACACTATGAGAAGTTGCTTAGCTGAGGTACCATAGAAAGGAGTGCAAGACGAGTCGCTTACATTGAACGTTTGATAGCTGGAGGACATGTTAAATGTGGTGTTACCTGTTACGGCTCGATCGACGCCTTCAAATCGATCGCCTGCCAAGCTGCTGTAGTTTTGAACGGCTTCCGTCCACGGTACAGAAACCCACTCCGCGGGATCCGATGGATTGTAGCCTGCCATATATTCTAGATGTGGTATACGAATATTGCCCCAGATGTCCATAGCGGACTGCACACCAGCTACTCGTGCGCCCCCAAGTTTCGTGATGATGCTATCATACGTGGGACTCTGTGGATCTGCATACTGGGTGCTTGCAATGACGTCGTAAAGCAAGGCCTCGTATTGAGCGCGAATCGTAGGCCTTAATCGAGTCGTTCTATAGGACCATGCGGTGAGGTTCATCTGGAGGCTAAGCCGTGGATCGTAATGAGAGATTGTGCCTGTTCCAACATCGGTGACGTCACTGAGATAAACAGCTCGAAATGATGCCTGCGAGCCGAGAGGATTGAAAGCCCACAAGAGGATAAGAACGAGAGAAGCGGGCTTGAGGATCCACCATGTGAATATGGCTATGAGAGAACCAGCCATCTAGCCAGATTATTAGCATTTCAAAGAATGATGATACGGTCTACTGACGGTGAGGGAACCCATCAACTGTTCTAAGGCCTGTTGTTCATCATTAGCATTCAGTACATCACCAAGCTTAGCGATCTTCTCACCAGAAGCTGAATACCGTGCTCAACCCGCCAATTGGCAAACCGGCGAACAGCGTTTCCTAAAACCCCAGAAAACAGGATCGGCCATATAGAGGGAGCAACTCGAGTTGCCTGGATTACAGTTCTGGACCATTCTGTCTCATTCTGATCTTTGAGCTTCGCAACAAATGCCCCTAGAATCAGAAACAGTATCGAAATGATAATGCCCAAAATCTCCCAGGTGAGAGCGTACACGGGTAGTCCGGTCCAGAGCACATGAGGTGGCTGGGCTGCACGACCACCATCCGTACTTGGTGCGTCGAATTTCTCGTACCCAATGTGAGTTTGTTGTTTACCCACTGACGATCTTACACTTGAGCGCTCGATATCATCGCTCGTTTGCGCAGGGACATAATGGATCGTGGACCGGTTTGAATCATCGTTTGTAGCAGGGCTTGCTCGCCTAAGATACTGGCGAAGCGCAGGACTAGATGATCGCGCGACTGATGGCTCTGAGCCTGGTCGAAGGCTCTCCATCGCTGCAACTGTATTGGTAGCGACGATGGGGATTCATAAAGTTTTAACGCACTTTGTTGAAGTAATCGGGATTCCTCATCCTGGGGGTGCGGAGTTTTAACATATCCATTGCCGCGCAGGAGGCTGGATACGAAGGTACATGCATGGGGCGGAATTAAGCGCCTTTGCAATTGCACAAACACGCCTGCAACAAGAAAGTTTGGCGAAGATCCGTAAGCACACCAGGCCACATTGCGCAGTGGAATGGTGTCGAGATCTGCTTGGCGGGCCTGACAAGGAGAAGGATGCGCATGAGGATGTGCATGAGGACGCGCTTGTAGTAAAGACGAACATCAGGCAGACAGCGGACAAGCAAGGGTGACGGCCCGCGGGTGGCGTTGCAGCGGTCCGCGCGGGGGCCAAGCAATATTATTGGTCGCTAGAAGACCGAAGTATAATTACCACCGAGACCATAGGTAGCAATATCACAGGGAAAGCACATGTACATACTTACTCAAATGCCGGCGCAATGTTGGGTATATCCAAAAGCCAAAGTCGGTGTACAGCTCCCAAACGCCTTTGCCAAGCCGAATCAAGCAAACTCGTGAGTTCAAACTGCGATTGGTGGCGAACCAAACGCAAACTCGTCATCATCGTCAAAGAACGAGGTAGCTTCTTGTGTGGAAATGCCAAAGTCACTCAGCCGTCCTGTTGAAGTAGTCGTAGTCGCACTTCTGGGGAACGGCGGCGGTGCTAGACGAGGCTTCTTCGCCAGTGGCGGAGACCTAGTGTGGGGTGCCATTGGCCTTTTGGACTTCGACTGTGGTGGCCTTTGTGGATGGGCAATAGGAGGCGACGCGTGACGCGCCTCCAAATCGATTCTGCGTAGATTCGCAGTCCTTGATAGCGGTCCAGGTTTGACAGAAGCAGGAGGCTTGCTGGTTCTACTCAATACCACAGCTTTCGGCTGAGCCTTTGGTGTAGATTTCTTGCTCGAGTCAGGATCTGTAATCGGTAAACACCGTCTTGGTGGCTCATCGTCTAGGTCATCTAGGGAGAAGTCGAAGTCTTGCGTTGAGAGGGGAGGCGTCGACTCTTTGGAAGCCAAGTGGCGATTGATGCTGTCTGATCGCGTAGGGCCTGCTGAGTCTTCCACAGACAGCTCACGCGCAATCTGTGTACCACTTTCGAGGAAGTCATCCCAATTGTCGAGTACAAGCGATGTCGGTGCAATGGGCTGCGAAGACTCCGACACGGCCGGTGTATGTACCTTGGAGGCTGGGAGTCCTGGCAACTTGAATGTTGGATTTGAGCTTAATTGCTTGCCTGTCGGTGGCGTAGGCCTCCTCACTAGAGTAGGTGGTCGTGCTTTCCCATTGATCGATGGCAACTTGAACCCAGACTGCTGCACTTCTTGCGACGGCTCCGTCTGTATATAGTCGGTTGCGACGCGTACAGGATACTGAACTCTCGTGAACGGAAATTTGTCATCGTTGCGGTATTTTGCCGCGAAGGGTACACGCGTTATAACAGTCTTTGTACCTGCAAGTTGGCCATCGAGCGTGAGACATTCTAAACGCTCATTCTCAGCTCGCAATATCCGTACATGCTGACTCTTAGACAGCTGGCTACTTGTGTTGAGATCTCTTAGGCAGACCACTACACATCCTATCTTCACCCGCAGCCGGTGCGGAGGCAGTCCGACTGGGTTCAGCTTGTAGAGCAAGCCATTCGCAGGTTCCCAGTTTGCATGGGCTGCGGCCGAATCTTGTGACAAGAACTCGATGGTGTCGCCAGGGAGTCTGTCCAACGCAGCCTCTACGATCCTATTAATAGGCCCATGCGCGCGTGTGAACTCGAAGTCTTCTTTCACATCGGCTCGTTGCGGTAGGTCCGACTGTAGCTGCAGATGTTGCACGGGTAGAGGAACTGTCGATTGCTGACTCTTCCTCGGGGTCTGTCTTGGAGGTGTTGGAGGTGCGGTTGCAGGACGTGGTGGAGCACTTATTGGCTCGTGCACGGTTTGTTCGACTGGATCTGACATAACGAAATCATGGACTTCGAGCAGTGTGTCATCGTCGAGATCATCGTCAACCCAGCCCCCTCCATCCTGCGTGTCAATTACAGGCAGGTCCAGCATGACATCATCCATATCTTCATCGTCAAACAGCTCCTTCTCGGTATCCTGCGCAATGACTTCCAATTTCTTCGCAAACTCCTCTTCTCTACGCTGCTCCTCTTCCTTCCGTCTCCGCTCTTCCAACTGTTTCTTATTTATTCCCAGGAACGCTTCCATGCCCTGTTTCAGGTGCGCCTGGGTATGGCTGTAGCCAATCAACTGCGTTGCCAAACCCACGCCAATCTGTTTCCTGATCTTCTCATCCTTCTTCTCTCTCTCGGATCGTCTTTCCTTCGCCAGCTTTCGTCGTTGCTCGGCTTCGCGCTCGCGCGTTGCGCGCTGTTCGAGTTCATGGCCGCGCTGCAGTTGTTTGTGCGTGCGCTCAGATATCACGGGGCCGTTTTTCTTGTAGGCTTTCTTGACTTCGGTGGACGTTTGCGCAATGTGCTTCGGTGGCATGGCGGCGCATCGCAGGGATGGGTGACGAAGTGATGGGTGACGCTCGTGCACAGAGTTGCGGGACACATCACGCTAACGGGCTTGGCAAGCGCGAGAGCACGTGATCTGTCCTTTCACCGTTCTCCGCGTCACACCGTTTACGGACGATGTCGAAGATACGACACGGCAACTACCCATATTTAGTTTGGCGTTGAAGGAGGTTCTCCACGTAGAGATCGATCGGAAATTGTCAATAGATGCATAACAGATGCCCGATTTTGATGTACCTCCGTCTGCCATATGCATGTCTTTATGAGGTTTCGAGGTTATAGGTAGGCGGAGTGGAGCTGATGACAATAGTAACATCAGATACTGGAGGTGCCAGGCCCTTTGTGAGCCTTCTGAAGTGCTGAAACACGAGTGGCTACAGTTGGTAGGCCCGACATGGTTGCAGTAGCATTAAGTTTGCCCTTCACGGGAACTTTTGTGTGGGTTGTGTGCTTCAGCTCCCTGGGTCTTGTCATTGGTGGGGTCGAGACATCGCTATTGTCCTCATTCTCTTCGATGGCATGTTTGCGTCGAGCAGCTTCGGAATTTTCCTTTGAAATAGACTGACTCGCGTCTGGGGCAGTCTTGGTAGGGGCATGAGTGACTAGCGTTGTCGACTCTGCGCTATACACGCCTTTAATTGTCTTCGTTTGGGGCATCTATATCGGTCTTGAACAGAGACGAAGCAGCTTTGATAACAGAAGTGTCGCCGGCTAACACCACAACGGTGTCGTGACGAAATGCTGCTCTAATTTGACGAGATACTGTGTCTCATGGGGTATACAGGTATGTAGCGCTATATATGCAGTAAGAAACAAGCTGGCGTTGACTCATGCAGCGGAGAGAGTGACTGGCTTAAAATGATGACTATGAAGGAGGGGACCAAACCGTATGAGAAGAGAAGGTCAAACGAAGTACAAATAACATGAAGTTGGTCTTGGTCGGCCAGAATAGAGGCATTAGCCAGATAGAAAAGACCTGACTATCTTCGGAGCCATATGGACTTTGTCTTGATCTGACAGCAATCTACGTTGTGTTGGCCACCCTGCAGCAAAAGTGCCTCGCAAGTAGAGACCCAGGCAATTGAACTGCAATGGAGAAAGTCTCATCATGCAGTAGATATCTTTCTGGCCTTCTGGCGTGCGGACGAGCGAGTGGGAACGACTGTGCGCGTAGTAGCGTTTAGATCTCGAATCTTTTTGGTTGGTGGGGAAGACCTGGCATCGCTGTCGTTGTCCGATGTTTCAACGCGCTTGCGCTTCAGAATACCTTTCTTTGACACACTATCCTTGAGTGCATCTTTGTTCAATGGATCACTCTCTGAAGCATCCTTACTCCTCGAAATCCTCTTCTTATGTGTCATGTGCTCGCTAAGCTTTCCAGACTTGTCTTTGTTGGACTTGTTGTTGCCGTGAATCCGCTCGAAGACGACATGTGGACATCCGACGATTTCAACAAGGCGGTTGCCCTTGATGAGATCTTCGCATGTGGACTTGGACACCTGATTGGGTTAGCAATAGACTAGTTGCGAAATTGTGGTGGCTTACGGATAAGACCTTGTCAATGAGTGTCATACGCTCCTCGAAGGTGAAGAACATACTGTAGTATATATCTTCACGGAGTTATGGCTCAGGGACAGGATCTTCCCAACCTTGCTGGTGGACATCGATAGACAGTTGCTATGGAGGTCAGTGTTTTGCAGATAGGTAGCAGGTATGATCATCGATAACGTACGAGCACCTGCCAAGCCACAGCTTCCAATGTCGTGGCCGTGTAGAATGTGGCACCAGGCGCCCAGCGTCTGAGAAAGGACTGGCTATCCTGTTTCTCATTTGTCTTCAGGCAGCCTTGGTTGTTTCGAATGCTGGTCAGGAGTTTCACAACCCATGCCTCCCTCTCAGACTGTGTGGTGGGAATTGTAGTATCGTTCGCTGGCGGCTCCCAATAGACGATCTTATTGACCACTGACGCTGCCTGAGCGCTACTGAAATGTAATCCGCTCGCAGCGGGAGGATTCGGGTATATGGCTGGCTCGATATCGTTCCGTTCGTTGAGCACTTCGGAGGCGTCTTGCAGCCTCTTCATTACTTTCATGATTTCCGGGTACCTTGACTTAGTCCTGCGAGTGAACTTCATGACCGACTTGACTTTGGTTTGCCCAACATTCGGCATCCCGTGGTGTGTTTGTCTCTTGACTGACGCTGCATGAACAACGCTGCCTTCGATCTCTTGCCTACCGGATACTCCGCCAGGTACATCGGGCTGAGCCAAAAGCTCAGAGGATCCATAGCCGTTACCGACGTTGTGAGGGCCTAGAAGCTAATGTCAGTATATATACCCCAACGGAAGCCATAGAGCTAACCTAGATATTCCGACGTCTGTTGAGAACCTCCAAGCTCAATTGATTCATCGCCTTCTGCACCTGTGGGAGCGTATACATCCTCATTGATCAAATCCCGGAAAAGCTGCAAATGAACTTCAGTCACGTTACGTCCGCACGATCGATTCAAAACAGCAGGGTTAATGGTAGCTATAGGTGCTTGTTGCTGAGCAACTGTAGATGGTCAGCGAAATGATTATATCCTAGAAACAGAATACGCCTACCATGTCTTTGAAAGCTGTACTCGTTGTCGGAAGTTGCATTCGGGCTCATAAAGCTTATTTTCTCAGTCTGACGGAAGTCTTGTGCATTATCGTCGAAGTGACAGCTGTTATTCGGCGTTTGAGTTGTACCGAAACCAGGGTTCTCTGCCAATAGTGGATCAGTCGTAGCTCCTACATGTTATGGTAAGTGCTAGTGCTGATTTGGAGAACATACCAGAGCGAGACGGTGTTGGTTCAAACAAGTGACTGTCGTCCTCGAAAGCGTTAGTCCACTGACCACCGTATGGGCCCTGGATGTCGGTGTAAGGGCTATTTGGATCGAACGATGACCCACCAGCAGGGTCGATGGCGGGAATCTCTTCGAGTTGAAAGGGAAGCAGTTGGGGTGTGAAAAAGTTCCCTGTGAAGGGCGTGGGTGAGCGCATAGTGAGGAGCAGTCACAGCTGAATTGATGAAGGAGGGTGAGTGCAATTGATATATCAGCATTCGCGGTCGGTAGTTAAAGTTGGTAGGTTGTTGACTGTAGCAATGATATAAGCCTTGTATATCGGGGAGGGAAACTCGAAAACCCGCTGAACGGGCCTAGCGTCCCATGAGCGGTGAATTGTCGCAACGGAAGCGCTCAGCAACAGCCTTGCTTTGACGCTTTCGGACTAAGTCGCTCCATCTTTCAGCCCTCGCGACCTCATACTGAGCATACAGGCACCACTGTCATCGATTTTGCTGTAAGCTGATTGGTCGCGCGAGGTGAAGGAGAGGTTTTTTGGAACGGAGAGCTATAGCACAGCCCTTTCTGCGGAGGTAAACAAGGCTTACGCGCGGGATTTATTACGCTGAGCAAACAAAGTGCGTCACTGCGGGCGAACGCGTGGGAAAATAGACGCGCTAGTTGGCGGATCTCGTTGCGTGACAGTGAACTGTTATCGATGCAGGATCAAGTATGAGTGCAATCGAATCTGGATATGTCAGAGCGAATTCAAAAGTGAATGTCCAGCGTTGTTCAAACCTGCGTGTTTGCGCCTTTCACTGTGCCATACCCTTGACAAGTGAACTGGGATGAATGTTCTTGAGCCGGAATATCGAGGAAAAGGCGTGTATCACTGTAAAACTGTATGACGGATGCCAATCATGACGGCAATGCGATATCGAAGCGGAAGGTTCTATCAATCGAGCGGTGTATGAAATTGCGATCTGAACGATGGAGCGAGCAGTCCTCCAGCTTTGCAAAAGCGCAGTATTGCCACTAGTAGGTTTGTATCTTTCAACTGAGAGTCAAGCCACGTCTGTTCCCTTTAGATCAGCTTTGCGGCAAGGTGTATAAAATTGTAGCCGACCAAAATTTAGCGATAGATGTGTTACGCAATGATCAGATCGTGGATTGCTCCATCTGGATAGCGGGCACGCCTCCAGTCTGATGCATTGCTGCATGTTGCCATCACCATTGATAACAAGTATCGTACCGGCAGGATCCCTCCAGATCCTTTTGTACAGTAACATCAGAGTGTCAAAGCAGACATCAGTACGTGAACATGGTCTTTCTGATTTCTCGTACCCGATTGTGGCGGAATGTAGGCACAGGCAGACAGACAGAGTCGGTTCAATATATGGGCCATCTCTTATCCCACACCCCAAAAAAGTAAGCAATCAAGAGAGGCTGATGATTTTGTAAAACAAGCAATGATTGCGGGTTGAAGCCACTTTGACAAACTCGGTGGAAAGGTGTTGTGACGTTTAGCACTGTTCGTTATACAGCCTCATCTCAAAGCTTTGTGTGAATAGTGTAATCTCAGAAATGTCCGAGCTATGTCTATACTTGTTCAAATTGATGTAGGACACTGGAGAGACTACAATTCGCCTACGAATACCGCCCAATCACGGATTGTGTTGCAAGAATACGACTTGAGGTTGATCAAACTAGTGAAAACTACTCCTGGCACACGATCAGAGGTGATTCAATATTTTACATGGTCTGCTTATCTTCAGAGGCTATATATCATGGTGCCATAAGCCCGGCAGCCCGGCAGATGGCGTGTTGCACCTCCTGAGGTCCTCGACGAATCCTGGGACAGTTGACATGAGAATCCAGATCCGTGCAAGCGCTTGTTGCCGAGCCTCGTCGTCATCATCCTCTTACTCTGGGACACGTGTGACATGGTCAACCAATCGCACATTTCAAGATACTCACGGATCTGCCGCCAACAGAATCGTGCAGCTTATGTTCAGCGTCGCCTGCCGTACTCGTTTGTACATAGTACGATGAAGCGTGATAGGACCAGACGTAGTGAATGGTTGTGGCCATTGTTCGCTCTCTTTAAGAAGTGTGATGTTCACCCAAAAAGAGAAAATGTAGTACTGAGCATTATAGGTTCAACGTACATGGCCGATTTCACTTCAAAAGTCGATGTTGGGTATAATCTGTACTGTCAGTCGTGGAATTTAAGGTGTCTTAGAGGTGGGCGGTGTATCTCCAGCTGACGAGCCAGGATTGACGTTCGATCATGGCGCCAGACCTAGTATACAGGTGCAACTGATTGGGGCGCCCCTCGCGTCGCAAGCCGGTCCTTGATAGCAGTAGGCGAAAGTAGGCGAAAGTAGTTGGTGTTCAGGGCATTCGAAAGCCTCTTCGAACAAACGTGCCAGATCTACAGGCTGCCCGGACGTGAATGCCAAGCTTTGGGTGTGCCTTGGGTCTGGGAGCGAGCAGCCAAACGGACATCCGAACCTTCGACCACGACCATGAGCGTATAATGAAACAGAGGTGTCGTAAATCATTTGTCTCGTAGCTGCTATGACCAGATCCCTCCCAACCCCATCTTCTCTAGGATGCCAACTAAATCCTTCTCCACAATTGTGTCCCACCCCCTCTCTGGTCCCCATGTGATCTTCTTCTGGTGGAGCTTCGCCTCTTCCAGCAAGCCCTTCAATAAGGGGCTATCCTTACTCACACTGGGGTATGCGTCCAGCTCGACCTCGCCTACCGCTGGAATCTGCGCAAGTAGTGCCCTCAGCAGCCCCACGCAGTATTCGGTGTAGAAGGATTTCTCGCCGGTCCTGAAACCATCAAAGATCTCGCTGGACGCTGGATCAATCTCCACGAAAATCTTCAGCCTGTATGCTTTCGTCACCGCAGAGAGACCAAGCCGGCTGTCCACCACCCATCCCTTCGGAGGGCGTGTGAAGCCTGGGCCTAGCCGCAGCTCCAGCCTTGTTATGAGCGCCCGATACTTGCGCGGCACACGCGCGAATAACGGGTACTTCGCATTGATGTAGCGACCATGTATCGGGAACAGGCGGAAGGTGTTGCGGCCGTAGAAGACGTGCGCGGCTTCATCGTGCATGCGGCGGCACACGTAGAATATTCGAAGGGTTGGCGCGACGGTGCGGTGGTTTGCAGGATCGAGATCCATCGTTTTCGGCGATATGAGCAGCAGCTCGTACACGCGGAGGCGGAGCTCGTACGGCAGGTCGAAGAAGCGAAAAGGCTTGCGCACTTCCCCTTCGTTCTCGCTGTCTTGCTGCTGTGGCTGCTCCTCGATGCTGACGGCGTTCATTTGCGCAATCAGTGCATCGATCTCTTTCGTCCGGCGGCGCACCATAGGTGCCTCCTTGCGACGTGCCATGTTCGCAGTTCACTTGCTCAGACAACGATCTCAGTTGTTCGACGGCGCTTATGCATACATCGTGTCGTGATATAGTTGGTGCAATTACACGCCCTTGGAGTAGGCAGCGTGAAAATTTCAGCAGAGCCAGAAGGATGGTGTGTGGTATGTTTCGGAGCTACGGGACCATCAGCGCATTAAGTGTGCGCAGGGGTTCTTGGGAGCAAAGATTCGATCTCCCCAAAGCTATATCAACGCCAAATTCATAAAATAGGAAGTTTGATGTCAAATTGCTTGGGTGCAACTTTCTATATGGAGAACAGAAGTGGCGGCGCCAATCGAAGAAGTTTTGATAAGACGGTTAGTCAGCCGCGCTAACGAGTGGGGCCGAGGCTGGCGGACGGCGGGCCGTGAACACCTGTCACCCATTTCATCTCAGCCACCACTCGTTGCTACCTGTCTCAGCGAAATCAAGTCCGATATCACGGTCTACATATTATAGTGTGGAGTAGATGTGGCGTGCTTGTGAGCGAATGACATGCTGTTGGCCAAACTTGAAGATGTTCGTGCCACCGGCAAGACCGGTCACTTCGTTCAGACAGAGGTCTACTAGAACTAACTTATGTACTGAGATCATGTGTCAGATTGTTAAGCGTGATGGTTGAAGAATCCTACCAACTATCCAGAATTCCACATCAAATAGCGGAGGATGAGACTATGACGTAATCCGCGCCCCGCGTACCAGTACCAACTTTGAACCCCATCTCTTTGAGCACGAAGTGCACATATGCTCCATACCATAACTCACCTCGATAATGGCGCTACCTTTGGGATTGTTTCTTGGCGGATGTGTAATCGCCATCCCGGTCGTAACAGGCGTCGCAGAGGGCGTCGAGTTCCAGAAGAAGCAGAACGAGGAGGCCGCCAACGAGACGCGTATGATCAAGTTCAACCTACTCGTCAACTGCGATTCAAAGGATCCGATCGCAAAGGACGAAGTTGATTATGGAACTGTTATACTGCGCCATGACAAAGCGTGGGTCGTGCCACGCGACGATGAAGGAAAGCCCCTACCACCAGACGACAGCAAAAAGATGGATCCACCGATGCATGCCTTTGCCGGCTTCTACATACAGTATCCGGATGAAAATAGATGCCCTCCTGAGAGAGGACTGGTCAGTACTATCAGCGACGATCCGCCGATGCTGAACTGGGTCTACTGCGACAAGGAGACATATGAGCTCAAGTACAGTAATCGAAGTGGGTCGATTGATCAAATTGTCGGGGTATGGGACTGGTCACAAGATGAAACCGTAATGCTCTTCCAGGGTTGGGAAGGCTTCGTCGCGATTGACGAGTGGGACGGAGCTGACGAAGACAATTCTACTCCATGGGGAAGAGAAGGGTTACGATGGGCTTTGTACTATGACATTGACGACAACGGTCTCAAAGGTCGGAGGAGAGGAAGAGATATGTTTGAAGTCGAGCTTGAGCGAAAGATACAGAGCGCAGAAGATCAACTAAAGCAGCTGGAAGAGGCGGACAAGAAGATGCAAGTCAAGAGCAGAGGTGGACTCAGCACGCAGTTCTCGGCACCAGCACGAGAGCGAACGAAAGAATGGGAGAAGAAGTTCGGAGGACGAGACAACAATGAATGAACTCATGGATCCTATTGCAACGTCTTCTTGGTTCTACAGACGAAAGCTCAACCATACAGACATGTCTCACTGCTGTGAAGACTGGAGAGTGAAGCGAGGCCTTGTCACTCCTGTTTAAACTTCAAAGAAGGATCTACCGACCAGCAAGCCATCGATATGACATACACCAACACGATAGTCTTACAACGACGCACATCCTGTCAGGGCCACCACCAAGTTGCTGCTCACTATTCGGTGCACCATTCGAACGATAGCCCTGTTATAGAACTACCATGTTATCGGAAGTCATTCTTGCCGAAGACGCAGTTATGGAAGGTGCAATTCTCGAAAGTACCCTTGCCAAATGTGCACGAGGAGAATTTTCCCCCGACATTTGGCAGTTCTGTCTTCTCTCAAGTCAGTATGTGTCCAATATCAGGTTTGTTACGCAATTTACTTCATCTTCGACGTCTGAGTTGTCGGCGGCATCCGTGTCTTCACGAGTGGAGCAGTCGAAAGTTCGGAGCAGCTTTAGCAGCCGCATGGCCGTGATCTCCACACGCTCTGCATTTGTCCGATGCGATCGACACAATACGATCCTCGCCAATTTCTTCACTGAGGCGTCGGTGACCCGATCTGGCAGATTTCGCCAGATCCTCTGAAGCTGGGCTTCTATTTTTTCTCGTTCCGCGTCGTTGATAGTATGCTTGCATCTTCGATCGAAGCACCGGCCGTTGTCTTGATATCCGAGATGGGCTCCGAGGCTCTCTGGTGATGACATGCTGTAGCTGGGCTGTACAGGTATGGGAATGGAGATGACAGATAGAGATAAGAGGTACCCTCAAATTTACAAAACTCAGGCGCCTTGAGGCCGGTATAATATAAATATAGCTGGTCATATCACGAAATACCTACAGAAAAGGACTGTGCTTAGTGTGCTGTTTAAGAACTACCGCGCATGGGCGCAGTTGAAGCACAACCTCATCATTTCAGACATTGCAAACACCTTGACGAGCATGTTGCGTATGGCACTCCGCGAATTAGTCGACTTCAGTGAATCATACAGTTTGTTCGATATCGGCCCTAATCCCCACGAACAAGGGCAAGGCAGTTCGTCATCCACAGACCCCAGCTCTCTGTCAGGAGTGTCTGAAATGTGAAGAGGTCGTAGTCCTCTGTCTTAGATACGACGTGTGTGCGTCTAAATGTGAGACAGAATCGCGCTAGTCTGCCTTGATCATTGTGGAGGCCCAATGTTTTGTCATCTTGTTTTTGCTCACTTGCAACAGTCTCGGAGCTGAGGTCATAGCAGCAACAATTGCTGGGACTGTTCGCAATGCGATGAGCAATATGGCTCCTGATGGGTGACCCTAACGAAAAGGGGTGGTGTATGAACCTTGGTTACAGTTTGTCCTGCAAAGTGAGCAAAAAGTGTTTCAAAGTCGCCGAATGAATCACAACACAATGAAAGGCAGCTACGACACTGCTCAACTGTTCGTCCGTAATCAACACCAGGTTGCGTCGGCCGAATGAGGCTAGTTGGGCACTAATCCAATCTCGGACACTCTGCGCGTCCTTCGCGGTGCATCCCGAAGTCATCACCAACAAGCCGGATCCTACTTACCTTGGTCTATCAATCTGATCGAAGCCCGATTTGGAAGGCGTTCGAGATAGCGGATGCGATATTCGACCCACTGTGTCGTCATTTCATCAACGCGTTGCGTGACACCCGCAAATTGAGGGGGCTGGATGTACCGTATCGGAGCAACAGCATCTGCTTCCTACACCTAGCATCAACACTCGAGCCTGCGGTACATTGTTCGCTACAAAGTTCTGAACACATACCAAGCAGTCCAGTGGTCTCCCACGCGTGGGTGATTATGGATAAAGTCATTGCGGAAGGTCTACCTACGTACGACGATGCTACCACAGCATCTGCGCCACGTACATGGCTGCATCGTAGGCAGAAGCGTAGGACGTTTCGCCTCCTCGGCGCCGCAGCTTTGACATACCTTGCCTACACGACGCTCAGGATAGCCAACAACACAGAGCGTAGTGCCAGCACATTGTCCGTTGCAAAGTTGGAAGCTGACCTAAATGTTTGCTCAAGCCTGAGACGACAGCCTGTCGAACAAAGCACTCATCGCGAACATAACAAGCGCTGGATCGAATCAACCAATCCTGTTCTGATCCGTAATGCTACGATTTGGACTGGAGAGCCAGCTGCGGGCACCTCTGAAGATGATGCAAGAGCTGGAAAGGGCTGGGGCTGGGTCGTGTCGGATGTGTTCACCGACAAAGGGCTGATTATCAGTGTTCAACCGAACATCAGGCATGGAGACCTTCCTAGCAACACCGAGATCTTCGACGCCAGAGGCCGCCAGCTGACCGCTGGTATCGTGGACATGCATAGCCACGCAGGACTAGAGAGCCTTGGAAACCTCCAGAGTGACGACAATGAGCTATCTTCTGATATCACACCCTATGTGCGCTCGCTCGACGGGATCGATCCCCTGCAACCTGAGTTCGAGTACATCAAGTCTGGAGGAGTTACAACCTCCCTCTTCTTGCCAGGCAGCGGTAATAACATTGGTGGCGAAGCTTTCGTACTCAAATTTGCGGTTGGGCCAAAGAACGGTCGGACCGAGATCAGCCAGCAGGATCTCTTCGCAGACCCAGACAGAACTTGGCGATATCTAAAGATGGCCTGTGGCGAAAACCCGAAGCGCGTCTACGGCAGAGTTGGCGAGCGTGGCCCGTTCAGCAGGCTCGGGGAGGCATGGGAGTTCCGTCACGCGCTTGAGCAGGCACGAAACTATGTGCAAGAGCAGGACGATTGGTGTGCAAGAGCAGACGCCGTTGGTGCTGATAGGATGGAGACTTATCTTCGCCAAGATTTGCAGTGGGAGACCCTTGGTGCCGTGTTGAGGGGTCAGGTCCGAGTGAACACACATTGCTACACTATTCCAGATCTGGAAGCGCTCGTTCGACACACCAACGAGTTCAAATTCCGCGTGTACGCATTTCATCATGCGCATCAGACATACCTGGTACCAGAAGTCTTGCGTCGAACTTTCGGTGGAACACCAGCGGCTGCGCTCTTTGCTGACAATATGTACTACAAAGTTGAAGCATACACTGCATCTGAGCGCGCTGGTGCGATCCTCTATGCTCACAACATCACACCAACTTATGTATCAGACAACCCGGTCATCAACTCACAGCACGTGGTTCTCGAGGCAGCGAAAGCATACGGGTACGGTTTGCCATACCATGCGGCTCTAGCGGGGGTTACTTCAGCACCCGCTGAGCTACTCGGTCTTGGACACCGAGTTGGAAAGATCAAGCCCGGGTTTGATGCAGACATCGTTGTTTGGGACTCGGATCCATTGAGTGCTGGCGCTACACCCGTTCAAGTCTGGATCGATGGCGCAAAACAATTCCACGATCCAATTGAGCTGAAGAAGCCCACTGCTCCAGCAATAAAGCCGGACGAAGACCTTGCCACAGAACTCACGGCCGACAAAGCCTTCAAGGGCACTGTGGTCTACAAGGGTATATCGCGTGTTCACGATAGCTTCTTGTCGGACAAGACGGCGGCCAGCGAAGACGCCATCGTAGCGATTGTGTCTGATGGCAAGCTTACTTGTGTCGGTGCTTGTACGTCCGAGATCGCAGGGTTGGCTTCCACAGGTGTTCGTACTGTGCATCTCAAAGAAGGCTACTTGACGCCACCTTTAGTCGCGTTTGGCTCGTCACTTGGCCTTGCCGAAATCGATGCTGAAAGCGACACTCATGATGGGCCCTTTCCTGAGGAGGGCATCACTTTCGCCCTGGACGGTCTCTCATTTGGCGGGAAGCAGCTTGCGCGAGCATTCGAGCACGGCGTCCTCAGAGCTTTCACAGCGCCTGGCAATGGAGGGATCGACTCGAAGGGCGTGAGTGTCGGTTTCAGTACTGGTGCGAAGAATGCGTTGGAGGATGGTGCTATCGTGTACCCGGAATCAGCACTGCATTACCCGTTGACACTGGGCGCAAAGGGTGGCAAGACACCCAGCATCTCGAGCGTCATCAATGCACTTAGAACGCAGCTCCTTGAGGCTGTTAGCGGTGCTCGGGATGAAGACTTCAAATCGAACAACACCGAGAAGGCCTGGCTGCAGCGAGTTGTCGACGGAAAGTCTACACTCGTTCTTAGCGCACACAGCGCAGATACTATTGCGTCCATTATTCGGCTAAAGAGTCATGTCGAATCTGTCAGCTCACAGAAGCTCCGAATTGTGATCATCGGTGGCGCAGAAGCTCACCTTGTCGCCGATGAGCTTGCCGCATCGAACATCGCTGTTGTTCTTTCGCCGCTACTTCCTCACGCCCAGAGCTGGGACCAACGTCGTGGCCTTACGGGCCCACCACTCACTAATGTATCAACGAATGTGTTGCTCGACGCCGGTGTTCAGCTCGGAATCAGCGTCGAGGAGACTTGGGAAACGAGAGATCTCGGCTTGCTGGCGGGTATCGCGTTCGCGAATAGTGAGGGGCGACTGTCCTTCAGCGAGGCGCTTGACCTCGTTGGAGCAAATTTCTACAAATTCCTCGGCTTGGACAACACCGTGCATCCGGCTGGTGGGGACTGGATCATTTGGGAAAAGAGCCCGCTTGAAATTGGTGGACGCGTGAAGGCTATCGGTGGGATCAACTCAACGCGCGCCTGGAATTGAGCTCCTGGGTAGAAGCTGTGGTCACTGCAGGGATTGCATCTATTATCACGAGTTACGCAAATTTGATGAAATTGGATAAATTCATGCCCTGAAGCTTGAGGACCTGTAAAGCAAGCCAACCCTGAAACAAACCAGGCTCGATTGGGAGCCCTAACGATAGGGCTTAGCGCCGCCAGCACATCCCTTCCCTGACCGCCCCGCCTCTTTGGTGCGACGAAACGCCAGTCGACACCCGAAACCAGCGACGACATACGGCGTCTTGACACAGTTTTATGCACCGATCTCCACGCCGTTACAGTCGCGGTCATCCTTGGCCACAAATTGCGTGTCGTTCGCTTAGAGTCCAACACAGCCCCTCGCAAGCCTGCCATCCCCCTGCGCCCGTACTCTCCGGATGTCAAACCAACCCAGTCTCTTTCACACACCAGGAGCGAAACTAATGCTGCTAGAGTGTTGCGTCTGTAGGGAACATAGAAGTGCTTGAAACATCGCGGCGCATGATAAGGAAGGTAGGTCCCCTCGTTTCGTGAATTGTGACACCTGTACCATCAGTTCAACAGTTCCATCAACAAGCCGGTCTTGTATCCTCTGATTTTTTCATGATGTCTTCCTCAACAACTGCCCCGTTACCATCATATCCCGGAACCATACTCCCCATACATGGCCATCCGGCTTGGAAGCATCTATCTGGTACCACAATGGACAAAGCAAATCTGAAGGAGCCGGTCGTTCAGCCTAAGCCTGCTGTTCAAGCAAAGGCGAACGAGGTCGCTGCAGCTTTGAAGGATAACGCAGTAAAGAAGCTGGTCGCAAGGACCGTAGTCGTCAAGGATGTGGCCACCAAGGAAGACGTCGTATATTTACCAATCAGCAACACCACATTGAACAGATTCGCGGACATCACTACAACCACAAAACGGGCTTCTTACGCAACAACAACAAAAGCAGAGCTCAGGCAGTCCAACCAACAGATGTTCGAGATGCTCCAGACCCTGCAAACCGAGCTCGCTACACATCGCACCCTCATGCTCGACATACAGTCACGACTATCGTTTCTGGAACAAGACGCCCCAACTATGGTAGATCTATCTGCTTCTGAAGCTTTGTCATCCCCATTAGACGAGCCTAAAGCTCCTTCAAGGCCCCCTCCCCCGCCACCGCGACGCCCTAGCTCGCTCATTGAACCTGGTCTAGAACGCCAGAGTTGGTGGCAGGCCTGTCAAAACTTCGCGGAGAACTGCGATACTCCTTTTAATGTGAAGGAGTTCATCACCACTCCTAGCCGCTTTGAAGACTTCGACTTCCACTTTGGCGGTCTTCCCACAGATGGAGTACGGCCACAAACACCTGTTGAGATTGATATTGAGAACGTCCCCGCTCTCTCTCCGGAATCAGCGGCCAACGACTCCGACGTCAGCGACATCGAGGTTGAAGAACCTTTTTCCCTCTCACCTGAGGCAGGTCGTCCATCATCTGAAGACGCGGAGTCCTTATCTCCTAGCATCTTCTCTGAAGGAGCGCCCCGGACATCTGGACTTACCATGACCGACTGCGAGGATATCGACAACATTATCGAACAGATCGTAGAGTTCCGAAAGCCTGCTGCACTCCCACCGCTGTTGCTCCACCCTCCTCCCAGTGGCAGGGACGCTTCTATCTTTAGCGTTGAAGAGATCACAGCACTACCGGACCTGCCTCCGGCTGCTGAGATTAACGACGATCCTCAGCGCCATCGCAAGGGCATCCGAGCCATCTCATCAAAGTGGGCGTCGCTGAAAGGGCGATCCGCCGAGACGAGTTACTACCGCAACGGTATTTTCAGCATGCGATGAACCACGACATTAGACCGAAATGATTTTACGACCGGAGTTGCCACGAATTTTGCGTTCGCATATGCGTTTTACGAATTGCTTTGTCTTGCAATTTTGCGTGCTATCCGCATCATGTTTTATTCTTTTACCACCTTCTGCAAGCTAGCTACAGCCATATACCCAATGTTCAAAATGCAGAATCACTTCAAATCATTCTCCTCTTACCACTTATTCTTGAATCGTGCTCCGCAGTGGTTTTGGCCCTTTCTGACTGTCACACGACGTCCGTTATTCATACTGCATCGCCCCAATGCGGTGCGACCAATCACAAGTGACACGCCCGTTTTTTTTCACCGGTTGAACAAGATAAGACACGGCTTGCTCTTGGCCCCCAAAACACCATCACCCTATGCTTGGCTACCTAACAGCAACTGTCGCAGCTTCACGAGCATGGAAATATGGTGTAGTACGTGTTGGCAACCGCAGCTCAGTTTTGCCATGACTAGATCAGTAGTCGCGGACTAAAGCGAGGCACTGGCGGCCGACAAGTGTAGAGTTTGTGTTGGATGGCGCGGGTTCGCATTCTCGTGTTAGGCGGAATCATATGGCGTGGCTGCAGCCTCTCAAATTGCTCGCCAGTCAGTATACATTGCCAAGACCTTTTTTGGTAACAAGCTCCGCCGCTCTCGCTTACCCCTACGCAGGTCTCTACTGTGTACAGTTGATAATAAGGAAACAGTGGAGCCTTGCGCAAGCACCGCTCTGTGATATTGTCACTCTCGAGTTTCTCATTACAGACACGCTGAGGCTGCCTCTGCACATTCATGATGGTGGGACTTCAGGATCTCACAGTCGGGCAGGTATCTGGTATGATCGCTGCTGCTGTATTCATAGGTATCGAGATTCCGCTTCACTTTTCGGGCCTTGTTGCTGAACTTTTGAAGCACAAATCCTCGTCCCCTTGGCTCTTCCGGTAATTTTACTGGGATTGCTTCAACGACGGTCTTCAGCAGTGACACAGACTGCAGTCTCATGGTAAACCCCCCGACAGAACGAATGTGTTCATTCACTGATCATCAAAGGTCTGTGATCGGCCGTTTCATCCACTCGTCACTGTGGCCGATAATACTCAGGACCGACTCTGCTGCAACGCTTGTGGCGAGTCGATCAGCGCTGTTCATGTCGGCTTTCCGCATCTTCATGCTAGTCCTGATAGCAGTGGCAGCGATCGTCACCCCCTTGGGACTATATGAAGGGATCGTAGGTGAGACGGAGTCTTCTTTGCCAGCATTCCATTACCTGGAAGACAAATCAACTTACGGCTTTGGCACACCTCCGCGCACCGCTATTTCCGGGACTTGGAGTAGGATCTGCGGCTTCACCTACCCAATCGCATGTCCTAACTCCCTGAACAACATCACATATAGCCAGAACACAAGTGGCGACTTTCTGTTCTACGACTATTACGATTCGAGAATCCCAGCAGATGTGGTCAACGCTTTCCAGAGCGGCCTGGTCGATCATGAACCTTCCGTCTCCAGCTCCTTTGATATTCAATATCGATCCTACATACAAAGCGAGTTAGACTTGGATGGAATGGGACCTACGATCGACAACGGGACGAACCCATATACCCGAGGCACGTATCAACCATTGTCTACCCAGATCTTGAGTGATTCCTACCTGGCAGTCGAAGGACTTATCGTTGACATGAAGAATGGAGGCATCGGCTTTCGCAAGCATTCTGCTCCATCACCTCGAACGTACGGCAGCAGCTGGTCTGAGGATTTGCTGTTCACAGAGCCGGAGACTGTATGCGTCGATACAAACCTGACACTTGAATTTCAAATCCCCGCCACGACAAACGAGAAGGCAGCAGCCGGTATTAACGAGGTGTTCAAATTGCAACTCACTGATCGAGGTGGGTTCGTCAACCTCATACCTGAATATCCTGCTTGGGATCGTGCAGACACACAGCAGGCTCCAGAACTAGAGCTACGAGCCTATAAAGCTGCATGGATTAACAACGCTCTCTCTATGGCCTTCATGAATGTTACTAATGTCCGCACTAATGACACGGACGTGAAGGCCTTCTCTTACCTACACTCAACTATGAACAAGACCTTTCCGCTCTCCTTTCCGGACGGGAAACAAGCCAATGATTTGTTGACCATTCAGGCTAGCTCTTTCCAGGTTGCCACAGCGTTCGGAGGGTATCTCGATGATGCTGATCAAGGCCGCTCAAATAAGAGTTCTAGCGGTAACAGTTCAGACGAGTACAACTTCCAATCGTTTCCTCCCCTTTATCCGAACCCCTTCCGGATTAAACGCTCTTGTACATACCAGAATGATAGCTGTCTAGACTTTGGACTGGCCAGTGAGTGGAACCGGGATTATTTTACAACCAATCCATGCTAACAACATATTAGCATTGACTTGTGCGGGCTCTGGTGGCGGCGATCTGGCGAACATCACGAACATGGCTGGTAAATGTGGTCTGCTCTACGGGACACCTCGACGAAAAGATGGCAGCGCGTCCCTACTATTCAACCCAGGCTCAGCTTGGACTCTGCCGATGTATTCGTGCATGTCAGTTGTCAAAGCTTCCATCAAAACTGTATCTTTCCGCTTCAACGATACCGACGATCTTTCGGGAATCACCATTCTTGCGATCGACGCGAAAGAATACGCTGACGAAGAGTCCAAACCCCTGTGGGGAGTGGAAAACAGTGACATAGAGTTGAAGCATGGAAACCCGCTCTGGGGAATCGTAACTCCGGAGGCTGCTAAGAAGCTCAACCTCTCCACTTTACGCAAGGAATCTTTGTACCTACCAGGCCATGCTGGATACGCAGACCTTACGTCGCACGAGAATCTTCCCGGCGCAGACTTCGCAGCCGAAGTGTTATCTGCGACGTACGACATTAACCCTTTTTCATCCAGCAACCAGATTGACTACTCTGGAAAGGCTAACCTCGCCATGTACCGGCTCTGGCAGGAAGCTTTTCGTACGCCTTCAACATCAGCCAGAATTTTGAACCTGATCTGGACCGACATTGCAGCCAATCTTGTAATGGGAACTCGGGGATTGGAGGGTAGCGATAATACAAAGCGAAAGCGTGACGATAAACCTTCATCTGGCCCAAAGATCCCTCAGGTCACCAGTTACTCTCGCCGCATCAAGTACAAATACGTGTATGGCATTCCTGCATTCCTCGCTCTATTCTTGACGATAGCCTCCACGCTCGTAACGGCGTACTTCACGATCTTCGGTCACGCAAAACCATCCAAGATGCGCAACCTCTTAGAGCACACCTCGGCCGGTAGGCTCCTTGCTGCACGGGATATACAGGGCCGACCAAGGGACCACACCAACGATGGAAATGATAGCTCAACAGAAGTTGCAGTTGCAGACTGCACTGAACCTACGAAGAAGTGGCTGAAAGGCGCTGGAGTGACAGAGTTCACACTGAGTGCGGAAGGATGGACGAAGAGTTTGCAGCCTCATGGACCTGGGCATGACAAAGCTGGAACGACAGCGAGCTATGCACCTGTACCAAGCGCACAGAACTGATCAAGAAGAGCTAGATGGTGTATTGTCGTTCTAATGATGCAGATCTTGGGTGTTGCAATAGCGAGTTGTGCAGCTCCCACAATGTACGGGTGCCCAAATGACGTGAAAGTGCAAGCCGCGCAATTGGTAGATGTGACTTCCTCAGTCAAAAGTGAATATTTGTTGTGGAAGGTGCACTTCACTAGTTCTGTACAAACTTAGTGAGGAAGGAAGGAGCCTTCATTGAACGAGGGGTTCCTGCCTGACACTTCATCCACCCCACAATCTCACCTCGCACACTCATCTTCGCCATCAACCTTGACCAGAACTTCAACAGCAATCAGCTACGACCGGTCAATTATATTGTGTAGTTTTGCAACCGAGTTGCAGTGCAGCCTTACATGCACATCATGTCTCACTCACCATCGCCTACAATGCCATCGCTCCAGAATGCAAACTTCTTCACGTCACTGCCTCCACCAGGTATCGGAACCAATCAGTCTGTACTCTGCAATTACAACCACTCTGCACGAGGAGCCTCAAAGCAAGCCTTGGATGGCACATCGACAACGGGTTCGAGCGGCGCCCCTAGAGACTCTTCTATCACCACCAACCGGCATGCTTCCCAACACATGACCTCCCATCCAACATCGCCTACAACAGCTGCACAACTTCGACAAACCAAGCACCGGCAGCCTCACATCGGCGTGCCCACCTTCTCAAACCAGACGAACAACACAAGTCAGCCAACTGGAGCACCACTGTCCGCCACTCCCCCTTCCGCCACTCATCATCGGACATATCTACACCCACCCCGCTCTCCCATTCACCCAACCTATCAAACCCAAAGCCGCCTCCCTCCCAATACTGTCGCTCGCAAAGCGCCCCGAAAAGCGACTTTCATTCCGCTCGCCACAGTCCAAGGCTCCAAGGTATCTAAGCCGAAACCTAGGACCAAGTCCGCCATTCGCCAGTCCGTCACGCCAGGCTGCACGCTTGCGTTGCTGGTGCCTCAGGGAACGCCGAAGGGTGGGTGTACGCCGGGGTTGAGGAGGCCGAGGAAGCTTGTACCTGCTGGTGTGGAGCGAGGAGGGGAGGAAGAGAAGGAGTGTGAGGGCGGTGATACGAAAGTGCAGGAGTCGCGTGAGGGTTGCGAGGGAGAAGGGGCGGTGAACGTGGTGCCGTCTGCGCTTCCTGGAGGGGATGTCAGTGATGTCCAAAGCGTGCTGCAAGCGACTGTGCCACTGGTGCAAGACGAGACCCAGCTCACCACGCAGCCTCAGTGCCCTCGGCTGCGCGTGGAGTATAGCCTGACACCTGAGCTAGAGGGTGTGAGATGTGCGTTGGGACCGGCGAACTGGACCGAGTACTTGGCACTGATGGAGAAGAGCGCGCTGGGCGAGATATCAGGGAGCGAGCTGGAAGGACAAGAGAAGCGGATCTTCCAAGTCCTCGTCGTGGGCCTGCGGCGTCGCATTCGGACTATGCTACTTCAGTGTATGGCAGTGTGAGTGTGAATAGCTGAGAGGAGAGTAGTATGCATTGATCAGGTGAGCAAGGAGTTATTACGCTGTTATACACCCTCCCTGCCCGTCCTCGTAGAAAATCAGAACGCTGCCGTGGAACCACTTAGGCTCATTGCCAGTATCGTCTGTACCCTGAATGTGTCGACCACAGTCTCCAACGCGTGCCGCACCGTCTTGTGCTCACACTTAGCCCGGGCCGGAGGGTCTCCTCGCCCTGCTGCGGCGCAAGAAGTCGCCTTCCCACGCAAAGCGGTACGACATGCGGAAAGCCTGGTAAACCCAGTGGTTGAGACACTTATTCTGGCAGCTCGTACCGCATTCTTTCTCGCACAGCATGAGCTGAATGGACCTCAGGCGGCGGCGCCTCATGCTATCGGTGCTGATGGTGCTGTCGGTGCTGATGAAGCTGTCGGTGGAGACGGACCAGTCCAAGGGACGGTGGACGTGCTCGACCGGGGCAGGCGGGGCGGCGGTGTCGTGGGCAGCGTCGTCCTGGACGGAGGAATGGTCGTCTTCTTGCTGTCCGTGTGGTGGAAACTCCGCGCGCCTGTCGGTTACGGCGGAGCAGTCGCTGAGGCCAGAGACGTATGTGTGGTCAGAATCGTATCCATCAGTGGAGCGTGCGGAAGGGAATCGCTGGTCTGGCTCGACTTGGCTTGCTGGGAGCTCATCGGTAAGTATGTCGCCGTTGACCGAGGAGGTGCTCCAAGTGGACTCGGAATCGCTCCAGTCAGGTGGACACGCGCGACAAGGGTCTGCACATCGTTCTTCTTGATTCTTTACCTTCAAACGTGGTGATAGTGGCACGATTGGAGGAATCTCCACGTTCTTGTAGATATCTGACGGGTACTGGCGCCCAGGTGGTGGCCTTGACGGTGCCCGGGAATCTGACGGAAATGTTAGTACGGTGAATTGGCGCAAAGGTTTGCTTCGCGTGGAGGAGTTCATTGACTTACTCAGGGTGCGGTTGCGCTGAGGTCCAGCCATGGTTGTTGCCGATGACCCACTCGACGAAGAATCTGACACAGGTGTTAGAACAGCAGAGTAACGCGAAGGTATTATTCGCATAAATACTGTGGGAGTCGTTGGTAACTTACTCTGCGAAGAATCTGACGAAGGCGTTAGGATGGTGGCTTAACGCGAATACGTGCCTTGTGCGGAGGCTGTGGGAAGATTCGCCGCGAAAACTCTGATAAGGACGTTAGAAGGCGAGGTAATGCGAAGGCTTCTCCGTATAGAGATTGCGGCGGCTGTTGGTGACTTACTTTGCAGAGGATCCGATGAGGGGAGTGGGGCGTGTGGGTGTGCTTCGCGCGGATGACTGCGAAGCTATGGGAGCTATAACTGACTTACTGTGTGGAGAAGAAGCGATGAATGTCTTGCTCGAGGGAGTCGAGTGGTGTGCGGAAGAAGAGTCTGTGGTGTGCACGCGGGGAAGGGGACGGGTTGGCCTGCCAAGGAGGGCGGGTGGGGCCCCCGAGGGTCGGAGGCAACGTACAACAGCGCGACATCTCTGAGAACCTTCTAAGTGTGACTGCACAGAAATTTGGGTTGATGGATACGTAGACAGCGATGTTGCTGTACCGCGTGACTGTGCTGAGTGGAACGACTGGACAGTGACTGATAATGCTATAGTGCTGCTTGATTTCTACTGGCGATACCGCACCAATACCTGCTGCTTTGTCATCTGAGCGGCGTTGTCAATGTCGCCCGTCCGTTTGTCCATCGTTTCTTCCACTTGCTTCTGTCGGTGGTTGACTTGTAAATGAAGTCCGTGAAGGGCTAAGTTGCGATGGTCAGGTTGAAGCGCGGCTGAGTCCATGGCCTGTGATAATATGACGCTCATGATGCCATTGAAAACATTGATGTCACGCTGATTGACCTTATGAGAGCACTTGCGGCCTTGCGAATGCGCGCATCGGACGGACCGACTATCGGTCTCGACATCGAGCACTTGGTGATGATCCCAGCAGTGATCCAGAGTAGTGGAAATAGAAGAAAAATATACTTGCATCGTGAATGAGACGTAGCTGTTCGTAATGTGGTCATGTGCAGATGCAGCTGGGGCTGTACGTATGCTATTCCTCACACTGGCTTGGATATCTGAGCTTTGGCCAAGGTCTTAGAAAGACCAACGAACAGGCTAAGTGCGGGTCCGAAAGCGAGTTTCAGGCCAGACACCGTGACACAAGACATAGCAAACACAAGGAACCGGGGCGATAAGATCGGGAGCTCGCGTCTGCCGCCCTGCACCAGCGCAAACCGATACTTCTTTGCGCCGAAACTCATGCTGGAGATACAAGCAACGACGTTGAAACGACAAATTCGAGCAAACAAAAGCATGCCGCGACATGGTTGACCATCTGTAGGAGCGGTGTCCAAAATGCGTTCGTTTCGTGGCACAGGTACTGATGGGGTCAGGGGTGGTCCGAGCGCACTCTGCCACAGCCACAGTTCTCTGGCGAGGATGCGAGCGCGCGATCATGACCACAAGGAACGTGTGTTTTTGGCCCATCTATAAGGAAAGACAGTTGGACAGAGCGAGGAAGTGTTTGAAGTCCACCTCATACAGGCCGGCGTGCACGATAAAAGGAGAAAAAGATGATGCAGAAGTGGTTACAGGGGCGCAGCGTAGAGCGTAGAAGCGCAGTGCGTATGAGGGGTGCAGGGGATGCAATCAAGCGAATGAGAAGCAGAGAAATGAGTGACAGAAGCCATAGAGTACCTGCAGAACTTGGGAGACCCATCGTGGCTGCCGTTCCTGAGACGGGGGGCTCCGCTACCCGTGCCGAAGGCTGCAGCCTTCCTGCTGCTCCACCTTGACCGGCAGACACGGACAGTACTTTGGATACACTACAGTCCAATACAAATGGCTAAGTTATGTTAAATCTGCGTGTGCTGGTTGTACAGTTGTGGTGTCGATGTGGATGGGATGAACGGCGGTTGAAGCTTGACGCGGGGCCGCGATAAGGTGTGGAGAAGCATTGTGACGCCATTGCCGCTAAACACAGCTGTCGCTCCACCAGCTTGCCGGATATAAGCTGTCAAGTACGCCCAGCTTGTCTCTCCCTACTTTGCTTGGAGACGGTGCTGCAGTCCCTTGTTATTCGTAGATGGGCCTTGACACAGGCAATGAGAAGCCTACCGGCGCCATGGCCAATGAGCACACGCCGCTGATCCAAACCGTCGAGGTGCGGCCGTACGTGCGCGACCGCTACCCTCACCACCGCCTGCGCTTCTGGTGCACCTCAGTCCTCTCCACGCTGGTCTTGGCCGGAGGCTTGGTTGCTATCATCCTCTTCAGCTTCGGCCAGAACCCCGACACCGATCTACCGGCCGCGTTCGATCGTGCGCACTCGCAAAAGATTGCCGAAGCGTGGTCGCGTCGCTCAAGCCTGGACTACGATGACCTGCAGACAATCCTACTCGAGACCCCTGACGCGGAGAAGGTCCGCGAGTGGAGCGAATACTACACGAGCGGCCCACACCTGGCTGGCAAGAACCTGACGCAGGCGTTATGGACGAAGGAGCGCTGGCAGGAGTTTGGAATCGAGAGCACTATTGTCGACTACGACGTCTACATCAACTACCCCAAGGGCCACCGCCTGGCACTGCTCAACGAAGACAAGGTCGAATTTGAGGCTCGATTGGAGGAGAATGTTCTGAAGGAAGACAAGGCAAGCCAGTCTGCGGACAGAATACCGACCTTCCATGGCTACAGCGCCTCGGGCAACGTCACGGCTGGCTACGTATTTGTCAACTACGGCACGTACCAAGACTTCGAAGATCTGAAAGCTGCCAATATTAAACTGAAGGGGAAGATCGCGCTGGCTAAGTACGGCGGCATCTTTCGTGGTCTGAAGGTCAAGCGTGCGCAGGAGTTCGGCATGATCGGCGTAGTCATGTACGGTGACCCTGGTGATGACGGCGAGGTCACCGAGAAGAACGGCTACGAAACATACCCCGACGGCCCTGCAAGAGAGCCCAGCAGCGTCCAGCGAGGCAGTGTCCAGTTCTTGAGTGAGTACATTGGCACCTTTCATAGCTTCTGCTAACATCTCAAGGCTTCGCCCCTGGTGACCCTACAACTCCAGGCTACCCCTCGAAGCCAAACGTGCCACGGCTGCCCGTGGATCATGCCATCCCCTCCATCCCCTCCCTGCCGATTTCGTATGAGGACGCTCTTCCTCTACTCAAAGCTCTAAACGGACATGGACCCAAGGCGGCATCCTTCAGCAAATCCTGGCACGGAGGAGGTCTTGATTACAAGGGCGTTGAATACAACATTGGGCCATCTCCTGAAGGACTTACATTGAACCTTGTCAACGAACAAGAGTACGTCACAACACCTCTTTGGAACGTCATTGGCGTCATCAACGGCACCATTCCCGACGAGGTCATCGTGCTTGGCAACCACCGCGACGCTTGGATCGCAGGCGGCGCAGGGGATCCCAACAGCGGCTCAGCGGCTTTCAACGAAGTCATCCGCAGCTTTGGTATTGCCCTCCAAGCTGGCTGGAAGCCACTACGAACCATTGTCTTCGCTAGCTGGGATGGTGAGGAATATGGCCTGATTGGCAGCACCGAATGGGTCGAGGAGTACCTTCCTTGGCTCTCTGCCTCCGCCGTCGCCTACCTTAACGTCGACGTTGGTGCACGCGGGTCCGAATACAAGCTCTCTGCTGCTCCGCTGCTGAGCAAGGTCGTTCAGGAAGTGCTTCCCCTAGTCAGATCCCCCAACCAGACCGTCCCTGGCCAGTCCATCTTTGACACCTGGGATAAGCACATCGCTACCATGGGCTCTGGCTCTGACTTCACCGCCTTCCAAGACTTCGCAGGCATTCCATCCATCGACACGGGCTTTGGCGCAGGACCCAAAGATGCTGTGTACCACTACCATAGCAACTACGACTCTTTTGACTGGATGAACCGATTTGGTGACCCGGGATTTCAATATCACGTTACCATCGCACGTATCTGGGCGCTTGTCGCAGCGAAGCTAGTCGAGACGCCTGTGCTGCAACTCAGCGCTGCAGACTACGCAACAGGATTGAACAAGTACATTGACTCTGTCAAGCAGAAAGCCCACGATGCCAAGTTCGAAGTCGACGAAGACGTGTTCGCTCCCCTCAATCACGCGGCCAGCCACTTCCAGTTCGCAGCGACTGTCCACGATGGCGTCGCTGCCCAGCTCCTTGACGATTACTATCACCTCGATATTCCGTGGTGGAAACCGTGGCTGAAAGTCAGGTTGCTGCTTGCCATACGCAACACAAACACAAAGTACAAGCTCTTGGAGAGGCAGTTCCTTCATTCTGAAGGTTTGGATGACAGACCTTGGTTCAAGCACATAGTGTTCGCACCAGGCAAGTGGACCGGGTATGCTGGCGCGACGTTCCCTGGGATCGTGGAGGGTGTGGACGAGGAGGACGATACGAAGGTCAGGAAGTGGATTGGAATTGCAGCGAAGATCCTCGACGGCGCTGCAGATTTCTTGGAGAAGGAGTAAGTAGCACCGCGCTATCATAGTCTCGTATTGGATCTCAAGTTCTGTCAACCCGGAGCACCTCACATGATGTCGACGCAGCATAGACCGCAGGAACCTTGACCATGGAGCGCATCAATATGATACAGTACTATACAAAACGCAGCAAAGGGTATCGTAACGTCCACACACCATGCGTTCCCGCGCAACTGCCCCGTCATCTCTCACCCATCTCCTCTCGCCCGTCTCCTCTCGCCCGTCTCCTCTCGCCCGTCTCTTCTCACCCGTGTCCTCCGTCTCCTTCCCTTGTCTACTCCCACCTAACCCCCAGCTCCCCCCTCCTCCACTCAAACACCGGCCTCGCCTGGTCTCCCTCCTCCTCGCCCCTCTCCCTCCGCTTCTCGCGCCTGCCCTTGTTAGCACTCATTCAAGTATCCCAAGTATCCCACTCCGCCACGGTATGTACTCACTCCTCCAGCAACCCGGCAATCATCCCCAGTTTCTCCAGGTGCGCCTTCTCCCGCACCTGGTCCGCCTCCAGCTGCCCGATGCGGCGTGCGAGGTACTCCAGCCGCGGCTTGTCGCCGGGCTGCTGCAGATGTGCGGGCAGCAGCTGCAGCTGGCCCTGCTCGAGATGCAGCAGGCGCAGGTGGAAGGTGTCGAGGGTGGTGGTGAGGTGGCTGTTGCGCACCAGGGAGGCGGTGTGGGCTTGTTGCCGGGTGAGGTGGACTTCGGCGGGGACTGGGGGGCAGGAGGCAGAGGCTTGGGGGTGGGGGGCGGTGGTGGTGCTGCTGGTGCTGGTGCTGCTGGTGCCGGTGCTCGTGCTGGTGCTGGTGGCGGGCGGCGGAGGGGTGTTGCTGCTACGCTCGGTGGGCGGCATTGTGTGATCGTATGGTGTGGTATTGTGAGTTTCTTGGTTGTTTGTGGGCGCGGAAGCTGCTGGGCTGTGAGTGAGAGCACGGCGCTGGGAGGGCAGGAAGAGCTAGACTGCTTTAGGTGTGTTCATTCTGCGTCACAAACGGCACTGTCATGGTGACTGGAGATTCAGTGTTGAAGGCTCTGGTTCTCACGCTCGTTGTGGATCCGAGTCGTTGCATAAGAGAGGATTTGGCAACAGGACATGGACCAGAATGTACTACGGCCAGTTCGGTGCTCGAACACCTCTTGCTCTGTCGAACCCCAGTGTCGAGATGGCTCAGAGATATGGAGCGAAGCCCTGCGTTTTCGAAAGCAATCGCAGTCGACCTGCTCTTGGGATAGCGCTTCATGGAAAGCAACGTGAAGCTATCAGGACCGTTAATCATTTCGATTATTGACAAAGCAACAAACCGGAGGACCCCGGCTTCAGTACAGTTGCAAGCGATTTTGGTGGGCACATCACAAGCATTTCTATCAGGACATGGCACAAGAGCATGAAGATTCGCAACGTTGGATGTGAGTGTGTTCAAACGCAGTGTATTTACTAGCTACCACCAACCCACATCAAACCATTGCTCTACCCAATCCCTTCTCGAAACACCTTCGCCAGTCAAGACCTTCAACTCATCAACGGCACTCTGCCTTACTGCGAGACCAAGTACCTAGAGTATGTAATGTCAGCAATGTTCACACGAGGAACTGAGAGCGACTGCAATTGAGAGAGTTCATCATAAGTAAGCTCTAGCTTTCAGTCATTTCGGAATAAGCAGGTCGGCTGAATCATGTTCGACACCATCTGGGCGAACATGCTCAACCAGACTGGTTATGGCGGGCTCCGAGACGGATGTAGTATATGTGCAGATGCTTGGAAGGCCGATTATATACCTCAAAAGCGTGATTCAAATCATGTGAAGTGGAGAGGAGTAGAGAAGAGGTATGACTTACTGAAGACGGTGGAAGCTGCTTCGCCTGGAAGCTGGTATCGCTTCTGTCGTGTGCCGAGTGTACCTATGTGTTGTTATCGACGGTCATGTAGGGAAGTAAGAACGAAGGAGGGGTTGAGGGAGTCCGTCATAGAGCTATCGAGCGTACAAGACGCTCGACCAGAACCATGTTGAATGTGTTCCTTGCCCGTGCTATGCAGCATCTGACAACGAGTGTCTCTTTAAATCATGACAGGGAGGGTTAGAACAGGAGTATACGTACAGAGAATGGCTGAAGTCGGTGTCAATGTCGGTGTCGGTGTCGATGTCGAGGTCGAGGTCGAAGTCGAAGTCGCAGTCGGTGTCGACTGCAAGGCGGCGCCTGTGTTTGTATCTGCAGAATGTAATCAGCTGTGGTTAACGATCATCTGTGTAGCGTAGAAAGATGTTGCTCATATGTTCTTTGATGATAGGCCGATCATGTGGTCGAGGTTGGTGGTTAAAAGTCCACCTGACTGTCACCGCCGGTGTTCTGATCATTGCGGATCTTGTGGACGCGAAAATGAAAGACTTACTTGATTCTCATGGCGCGTATACGCGATGTGTCGACTGCAATGAGCTGATACCTGTGACTGGAGAGCGGAGTTAGCTGTGATCAAACGCTGAGGCCCACGAAGTGTAGAAGAGATGTTGCTCAGATGTTCTCCTAAGTTTTCAATGTGTAGTGCTTTTTGATCACTGCGTGATGAACAAGGAAGGGGAAGACTTAGCTGATTTGGCGATCTTGCTGCTTGGTGTTGCAGGTGGGAGTTTGTGGGGAGGAAGACGGAGGAGGCAAGGCGAAAACTGTTTAAATATTGTGCGGGCTAGCGCCGTTGCTGCAGGTCACGGTGACGGCGAAAGTGCGCAAAATCAGCTCACCGGACCCGCTTGCTGGGGACCCTGAGAGGCTGCCACATTGTGAGCACAATAGCTATGATGTGTCTCATTTCAGGAGACTTTGAGTCTATTGCGGGAGTTCAAGATATGTGCATTGGGACTGCATATGAGCAAACTGGCCAAGGCAGCCTGACAAGGGAACTGCAGTATGATGCTAGCTCACGGATTCTCCCCGCGTTCCCATGTCAATTGATCAGAAGCGGTGGTCTGGGACAGTGCAAATCCTCTTGGGCACGCATATCACTGATGGGTTGGCGTCGCGCAAGAGGTATATGCGGTATGGCGTAAATCTCTCACACCAAGCTCGTAAGCCTGTGGATAATCGACTAGATTCGAACTGTCAGCTTCATTGCGAACCTTCCTCCTATGTACACCTTTGCATTCTCAAACTCTAAATATGAATTTGATTCGACCGTTTGGAGAGACGCCGTTTTCGAAGGTTTACCCTGCCAAGGTCGTCCTTTCCGAGAGAGTCTCTATCGGCTCCCGCACGTCTTCCAAACTCGAGATCTCGTAATTCTTGCTCTAGTGTAACACCAAAGTGTCTTGTGGTATCATTCTGAATGACTGCAAGCACAGACTGGGCACAGATTTGGAGGAGCTTTGCGCACGTTACGTATAGGATTGATTACGCGATTGTGCAAATAAGAATCATCCGGCGCGCAGACCTGAGACTATTGAATACGCTCAAAAAACAAATGACAGTTTGCTCCGAAGTGTCTGATCATGGGCTAAGATAATTATCAGGTAAGAAAGGTGCAGGGAACGGACGCACGCTGTACGTCTCTGCTCTTCTAAGAAGAAGCCAGTGGGCATGCCGCGAATACTGCACTCGTCCACAGCCCGTGTATATCATTGACTGTCGCGACGACTACCTCATCTTATGATGCGGCGCTTGGCGTATGAGAATTGGCTGCAGCTTTGCTTTGCAGGTGTGCAGAAAGATATCAAGCTTTCCGCCAACACTCGCCTCTTCTTCTGCGAGCTTGATCATCACCCCGCTTTCCAACCCTGATACACACGGCCCGATCCCGCTCCATTACTTGTCAAGATCTGCCACTGTGATTGAGATCAATGCCATTTTCTGCATGAATATCGAACGATACATCTTTGACTGCGGCCGCTATGACATGTTCTGGCCTTGCGACCCGCACTCAATGTGACTGTGAAGCTGAATTGCCAGCGTGGGGACGGCCCTTTCCAGGCACCAGCGCTATCCCGCTCCGCATTGTAAACTTATCTCACGCCTATACATCTCCTTGTCTTCAACCCTCTTGACATCATCTTACGATCACAGCTACTCCAGAAAATAATGCAAATTTCGGCAATGCAGCACCGCACCGCTCGCACAATCTTGCAAGACCTCGAGGAGAAGGTCGAAAACGCAAGTCTCTTCAAAGCTTGACTGTCGCGGTTCTCGCTAATACATATACAGCTCGAGCGCATCATCTGTGAGCACAAGCAAATGATGAATTGGAGCGCCGACTACCCCAAGTGCGGCCCTGCCCTGTGTCGCATCGAGGAAGCAATGTGGATCACTGCAATTAAAGATGGCAAAGATGAGCTCAAGAAGGCCTTGGTGTGAGTCGAAGTCTCAATTCTCCTTGACTCTTACGATAAGGTGCAAATGAGACAACCTTCTAACTAGTTACAGGCGCGAGGATGTCAAAGTGCTCTCATGGCTGCGTGGTCTGCCGGAAGACACTCTAGAGTACGAGAGCGCCATCGATGAGATTGTGGAGTGAGAGTTGCGGGTTGTATCATCATCTGTACAAATGCACTTGAGGATCTTGATGCTGCTTCACTTCTGCTACGTGCTCACTGCTGCTACGGGAATACCCTGTGCCACCTAAAGCTGTCCTTCAGGACATACTTTGAACGCTCTGCCATAAATCGTGAACTCCTTTGATACTGATATCTGAGTGTGTGCGGGATTCCCTACCATGCATGGGTGGGCCTAGCTTCAAGCTACCTTGGAAACCGCCCGCTGTCTCAGCTCCCACCCCAACACCTCTCCACCTACTGTGCGTAATCGTGTTATATTTCCCAAGCTCCGAGGCCTCACACTCACACATCTAGTCCCTCGACAGCTATTATTTACTGCCACAATGGCCGCCACATCCATTTGCGACGACGCGGTCGAGCTCGCAGACGAGGTCATAAAACTGCACAACTCTGTATGTCTGCGGCGAATCTCATGGCGAGCGCATATACTCATAAACAACAGCTCGAACAGTTTTGCGCCTCGTACGCCGACGTCGAGAAGAAGACGGCCGCCAGAAACTTCTTCACCGTGCACTGGGGCACCTTTGAGGAGGGACCCATCGACGCCGCCGGAGTCCTCGAGCAGCTCGAGGAAGACATCGAGAAGACGGAGACCGCCCTCGCGGCTGCCAAGCAGAAGCTGGAAGATATTCTCAAGTACGTGGAGGCTCTCCCATTCGCCATCGAAATGAGGCGCGCGCATATGGTGGATGTATACTGACCGCTCATAGTGGCATGCACCCTGGTGAGCACGTCCTGTGGTGGAGCCGTTGCAAGCGCCAGCACTCCCCAATCAAACCTTTGGCGGAGTACAAGCCTTTCCTTGAGGAGCTCGCCAGCGAGCTTACCAGCGAGTGTCCGAGCATGATATTTTCTAGCGAAGAGTGGTCCGACGAAGAGAAGGAAGATCCGGCTTCAGAGGAAGAGATGGCTTCGGAGGAGGACGATGAGGACAAGGAAGACAAGGAAGAGAAGGAGGAGGATGAAGACGAGCAGGATGAGAACAAAGAGGAGAAGAAGAAGGATGAAGAGGAGGAGAAGAAGTAGGCTCCAGAGGAGACCAAAGCCGCGGGTGACAACGAGGCTGGCGGAGATGAAGCCAACCTTACAGGTAGATAGTGGAACTTTTGTTACGGCTTGTACAACTCTGCAGTATATTGCGATGATCAAAGGTTCAACGCTGTGTTTGTTTTACTCTCATTGCTTGCTACCTCGGGTTTGTGTCGAACACACTCCATTCAAAGAAGTACCACCATTTCAAAGACGTTTCAAGGTGCTAAATGAGTCAGCACATATATCCATTACTTCCCGCAAACATTGTTAGATCATGACTTGTGTAATCTGTGCCACTGAACGCCGCCCTTTGCATCTACCCTGCCGGCATGATCCAGGCCCTTCTACAACATCTAGAATGTAGTCGCAAACCGTGTTGCTCATTTATCCAACAATTTTATATGTGCGGAGTGATTGCAGTCGTGGAAGGGTCGGCATCGCGCAAGGCGTGGTTGGAGGTCGCTGATCCGTATGACACGACCAAGTCATCGCAGGAGAAACGTAAAGTGCGAGTTGTTCATTTGCAGCCTCAGGTAGCCTCTTCGAGTTTCTGGAGGTACCATTAGCAAAAGTCTCTCAAGATTTAGTTGCCTTCTTTACCTTTGCGGTCGGGAACCCAAAATGAAGGCAGCAAACGTAGGCCCTGAGCAGAGGGATTGCGTGCGGTGGAATGCGCATCCTTGCGGTGATCTCATCACGCTTCAGACCAGAGTCGTTCCCGCGACCAAGAATTGTCTGGAACGCAGCTTCTTCCATCACGAACTTGATGTAGCTCATGCATGCGTGCGGTGTCAAGACTCAAGATGAGTCCGTGTTATACTGTGGTGTTGAGTAGGGTTGAAAAGGTTGCGTGGAATTCTCGCGCTTGCGTGCGTATTTGCTGATGCGTGTGGTGGCGAGTGGCGTCTAGAAGCATCTGAATAGACTTCTTGGTGTTGGTAGGTTGAGTGAGGGCTCTTAGCACCTGTCAATATAGGCACAGGTGAGCAGCCGACCCGTCGTCAAGGGGGCCCTCCTCTCGGCTGTACTCCCGGAACCTCCTGGCAGACGATACCTTGCGGAACGCGCCCCTCACCAACACCAATGCTGCTCAGCACATGAGCGTCTGCAACACACCGGGTGGCTATGAAGGCTGAACTGCGAAGAATACCACCTGCCAGTCGGCCCGGGAGCAAGTTCAAGTCGACATGAGAAGCTGGCGGTTGTTTCCGAGGGGTTCGGAAGACAAAAGCCGTCTCTCAGGTCTGCAGGCGAAGTAGATGTGACGGGGAGAGAGTAGAGGCCAATCCGGGCCAAACTGAACTCCAGTCGGATCATAGATCCAGCAGCCGTGGCTGGCGAAGTGGATCTCGAAGGCGCAGTGCCTGTACCTGTAGTAGGGCCCCGAATCAAACTTGATCTCGCGGATCCGTGTGATGCCGCGATTTCCTAGATCAACGATCAGTAAATATGGTCATTGCCTGTAACAGTCATGGACTCACCGCCGGCCAAGAAAGTCTGCAAATGAGGAGCAAGTCGCGCCAGGCTCCACTCGCATTGCTTGTGGAAGACGTTTATCATCTCCCACCACCAGGCATTGTGGGCTGACAGGTCGTTCTGCGGCTGCCAGGACCGAGTCGGCACCCTCTGCTTGCACCACCACTTGAAGAAGTCCTGCAGCAAGCAGCACCAGACCAGGAACTGCCGAAAGTCTTCATCGGCCCCGGCGTAGTTGGTGCAGCTGATGCCACCACAGTAGCCTCCAACGCGGAGCGCGTGACTGGTGATGGTGGTGCAGCACACGCGGCAGCGATTCCCGGACCGGAGAGACGTCAGGCAGTCGTCGGGATGATATATTGGAGCTGTCATTGTGTGAGATAGTGGTTAATGGTAGCTTGGTGTTGTGCAGCGAAAGCCTCGAGTGCAACAACAGCTCTGATAACGCCAAGCCAGCACCGACCAGGCCCCTCCATTGCCTTCGTTCCTCCTGCGAACAGATACACACACTCAGAACGGTGAGGTCTTACTCCAATACGCTATGAGAAGACGAAATACCTACAAAGTATCTGCGTAATCTGACATGAGACATTCATGCCACAACAGATTGGCGACAAGATGTACCTCCACAGATATGGTCTCAGTCACTGTTAGTTATGGCCACAACATTGGAACCAGGGCTGACTTTTCTAGGCGTTAAGTTTCGAAAACTTTCAGTGCGAGCATGCATGCAGGATGCAAGAACGGACTCACTGTACCTGTCCGCGCGCATGCTCACAACGAAGCCGGTAGCGCACATCGAGACCTTGCGTACAGCACTCCCACTTCATTCAGATATCAGAACGTCACAGAAGTTACCGGATCTCAAGATGACTCGTCTCGAATGTCTTGCCGCAACTCTCGCCGTCATACGCCATCGTACGCATCCGCGGCGCAACCGCCCTGGAGGAGCCCGGGGCGGGCGAGAAGCATCAAGAGGGCGACTGTCGTTGCTGTTGATGGTATTGACATGGGATGCACACAAAACAATAGTGTAGTATAGCTACGCATGTATAGTGCTGGAGGTGGGCGTGGTTCGATCTTGGCTGACGGCTGTAGAATGGGCCTTGCATTGCTCTTCGAGTCAAGCGCGACCCTCGAAGATCTGGGTGATCAAGAACACGCAGATATGTTTCTCAAACACATACAGAAGGAAGTCGAAGTCCTATCGAGTGTACGTGGGAAGAACCAGGGTAGTCGAAGAGGGTGGGGTTTGACAGGGAGGATGAAAACCAGCGTTGGTAAGTCAAGGAAGGGGAGAGAGACACACGAGCAACGTCACTAAGCTATCAACAAACCCATGGCAGATCATGGAGCGCTTCTGCCTGGTCTTTCCACACCGAGCGGCATTCGAGCGACGCAGCATGCACTCCCTTGGTCGACAGCGGGATGCCACATCGACCTGAGATACTACTACAAGGCTTTCTGGGGCACGACAAGTAGCAGGGCTAGGGGCTGAGACCAATGAGATGCTCTGGACAGGAGGAAGCATGACTGTCTGGCGAGGTGACCGCAGGACGACGAGGAACAAAGACATGGGAAAGAAGCAAATGCTGACAAAACAAACGCAACAGAAACGAATCGTTGGGTCCCTGAGACCCGAGTGCTTCTTTATCTTCCTCGTTCCGCCTTCGAAAGGCTCGACTGCATACCTCCTCCGAAGGCTGCCTTCTCGACCACCCGATCGGTCACCCTACCTATCTCGCACACCCTCGCTTCGCCACCCAACGCATCACAAGACAGACATACACGGTGCGGACCCAACGTAGACAAGCCCCTGCCTGGCAGCCGCATCGCTCCCAGGGCCCGCGCAGGGATAGGAAAGTGCGGATGCTTCGGCGGATACCCCTGAGTGCTGAGGATCTCCATACAGGGCTTGGCGTGGCTCTGAACACTTTTCCTTCTGTAGAGTGGCGTGTGGGCCGAGAGCTTGACTATGAGAGTGCGCGAAACAAAGAGAGGTCCAAGGGGCTGTAGGGAAGGTGGCGCTGCGAAAGAGAGCGAGATCAAGATTGCGAGACGGATATGAGGAGGTGGGTATGGATGAAGGAATCTTGCAAGGGGAACGCAGTGCTCGGATTGAGGGGTGAGAATACACAGCACGCCACGGGCGGCTGGAAAGAGGAAACGAAGGGGACAGCTGGGTAGAAGCAAGAATGACAGATTGACTTGAGATTGATGTGGGAGAAGGAGAGAGGGAGACGTTTGACAGATAAGAGATACGAACCAGCGGTGTTCTGAGGCAAGAGCACGCTCTGGGAAGGAGCAAGCCACGTGGGTTGAACGAGGCAAGTCAGACGTCTACGGATCACACCGGGAAAGAGCGCCTCGCGCTCATTTCAAGAGGGAGACGATCTCAGTCACGTAGCTATAGTTAGTTGCATAGGTTTCAGCAAACAGTGTCGTTGCTTTGCATCAGTACAGAACATGATGTAGCGTGCCGTCCATGGCCTTACCTGGATGATGAGCAGATGGTGATCAAACCTAGCATGCACCATGCGGCCTTCGAGATCAGAAGTACAGAACTGATCTGAAAGACTGCGTCTACGAGCGAATATTATCTGTGCACGTTATGAGCGGGCACTCTCACGCGATGCCGCTGAGAATACAAGCTCGCGAGCCAGTGCCGGTAACTCGTGCTTCAGGCCTCTGGCTGCCAGTTCTCACATACAGCTTTGGCAGTCTCGCAGTAGACCTTGCTCCATTACAGAAGCAGTTTGGTCTTGCTGCAGCTGCATCGCTGGCCGCGGGCTTGGTGCTAATGATGCAACGAGATCGCTTGATACTCGTGCAGGACAGCTTTTGCTTCTATTCGCAGTTCGGCCACGGATCTCGGGAGTCCTGCAGCCACGCTGCATGTCTTACACCCCAGGCAGAAAGGCCGCAATGTGCACGACGGCTTTGCACTGCTTCTTCTTGGTGCAGATATGATTCTGGGAGCCGATCTCACCGCTGCTACTACGCGGGCACATCGACCAAGATCCATGATGCACACAAGCTCGGCAGCTGGGCTGCACTCCGCAGCAGGCATGCTACGAGTTTGCTTTAAGTTTGCTCGCCCATCCGCAGGGCAAACCTGCAACCTTGCGAATCTTCTTACAGGCTGCATCGACCCGTCCCTGCGGTACGGGTGCTGGCGTTACCCTCGCCTTTTGCGCTGGCAGGGGGTCTGTGCTCCTGTTGCGGCGAAGGTGAGTGTGAGCGGTCAAGCTCCAACACCAGTACCAACCTCGACGCCAACAATCTTACCCACATCCCACACACTTTATTGTGAGCAGCTTGTTTACGCTCCTGTTTCCATCTTTTTGATCGACATCTCGGTATTGAGAGATGTTTGCGGCAATCTCAGGCTTCTTTCCGATGACCACAAGGCGGGGCATCTGCCAGCTCGCGGGCGTCAACTCCCTTCATGAGACCGCGAGCGACGCGAGAAGCGTTCGCAGTAATCTTGCAGACTACAGTAGCTTTGATCTCTTCATGAGTTCTCCAGGTATGTGTTTGTCCCCTGCCACTCAAGTGGCATACCAGTTTTGCTCGAGCTGGTGTAGCTTTGGGTCTCCGACACCACTACCACGCCTAGCAGCAAGTGTAAAGCTACTATGGCAGGTCGTGTAGTCCATTGGAAACTTTTCTCAACATCAAAGTCATCGAAGCTTGCTCCTCCAGATTCCACGGTTCAGGTTTGCTGACTTTCGTTGACAGTTTGCCCCGCACACCAACGCGCAACACCACCACCTTGCACGTTACTCGCCATGGCAGCCTACAGGAAGCTCACATGCAGCCACAGAGACTTTGTGGTTGTCATCGGTCGCTCGAATCATACCTTGTCGGCTGCAATTTGGTTCGTCGCTGACGAAGGTCGCCAGAAGTGAGCCACTCTCCACCCAAGCCGCCCCGTAGCTGGCAGAGACTGACGGATGTGAACAGCAGCCACCCCATGGGAACTTCAGGAAAATCTCGACGAGAGCAGACCTCCTTCATGCGCCCGAGATCACGCGCGTTCGAGCAGACGTGCTGGAACGCAGTCATGTCGTCACCGCTCTCCCTCGCTAGGATACATAGGATTCACATCAATCTGGTGAGATCTTACTTCTTCATTCCTCCTTCACCGGAAGCAATAAAGGTTCGGATACTGATACGCATCAGCTCAGCCGTCCGAAGGAGGCGCGGCACCAGGCGCTAATGGCGCCTGTGTGTCGGCAATATCCATTTCAGTGTGACAGAAAAAGACCTCCAAGAAATTTTCGAGCCCTATGGTGAGCTTCACAAGGAGCTACAGACGCTCCAGTGCAGACCGACGATGAAGTGGTTGGCAGGAATTCGTGTTTGGAGCTGGCTACCCGTGCCCAGCGTGTGCTGCCGCTGCTCCAGCCGCGTCATTCCCACCAACCGCTTCAATGAACCGTGGTACAAGTGGCACATATGATCCAGAAGAGGAGGCGCGCATAGCTGAGTGGAACAGCGCGTACAGCAGAGATGACGCGAATGCCGGGTATTCCCGTACCCTGAATGATGGCCTGGTTCAGGCGCAAACAGACGCTGAGTTTGAGGACGGAGATTCAGTGCTCTGGGCTCTAGAGCTGACAGGACAGAAACTAAGACCTGTCCCGATCACCGCATAGTTCCACGGCTTTGTGAAGAGAAGCTCAAGGGCGTTCCCGTAAGCGCGGAGCTTACAGAAGCTGAGAAGAATCGCGCTGCTCGACCGTCCGAAGGCCTGATAGCTGCACCTTGTCGATTCCAGAAACCTTTGTATATTTGTACATGCCTGTGGTGCTCGGTGCCACAGTGCACGCCTGGGGAGGGCGGCGGAGAGAATTTGGCGGACGAATGCTCTGGTAAGACCATGCTGCTTGTTTGCCGCACTTCCACTAATGGTTGCCAGTCGAAGTTGTTCAACGAACATATGAACTCCACAGAATCGAAATAAGCATTCTTGAAGTCAACAACGTTGACTTGGCGGTGCTGGAGGAGGTTTCGAAAGTTTGGATGACGAAGGTCAAAGATGAGGAGCGCGAGAGGGAGCTACGTGCTCTATCAGACACAGAGAGGCTATTGGTACATTCCCTCTCGCGCTCTGGTCCAAATGGAAGCTCATCCTCCAACATGACGAGCACAATCCTGGTCCATCCAAGGGCTACGGATTTGTACAGTATGCCTCTTATCCCCGGCTCTTACCTACACATGCTGATCGCAACCAGATTCGTCGACCCCAGTAACGCCAAAGTTTCGCTCTGTGTTGTTCAACGAACATAAGAACTCCATCGAATCGAAATAAGCATTCTTGAAGTCAACACCGTTGACTTGGCGGCGCTGGCGGAGGTCCATCCAAAGGGTACGGATTCGTACAGTACGCCTCTTATCCCCGGCTCTTACCTACACATGCTGATTGCAACCAGATTCGTCGACCCGAGTAACGCCAAAGTTTCGCTCTGTGCCACACCTGGATTGAGCAGCTGCGAAACGTCGACGACCAGGGCAGCTATGTTGGCGAATGCGGTTACCCACGCGGTAGGGTCGCAAAGACAGACCAAGGCTTCAGCAGCGACAGCATGGACTGGCTGCTTCCTGTGCAGCCCAAGGTCTTTAATGACGAGACCTCCCCTCTCTGCCACCTTTGGTGAGGGAGCGCACGCTCGAGGATCGAGAGCGGCATTTACTGGTCAAGGTCATCGACCGTATTTTATACAAGCTCGATGACCTTGTACGTCCCTACGTGCACATGACACTCGTTGTCATAAAACCGCTCCTCTCCGTACACACCTGGACCGAGCAGGTGATACTTCCCTTCTTTGCGGTACTTTGAGAACAGTCATTTATCGATGGTAGATCCCGCGACTGACCTCGTAAGTTTCAGCGGCGCTTCTGCTCTGGACGATACTGATGTCGCTGGCGTAAATTTCAAGACATACGACCGATCAAAGCTGATGGACGCACTAGCCCGCCGCGATCCTACAGAGACGGCAAAGCCGGGGGCTGCCCAAGTTGTCAACAAACCTCGCGCTCCCGTTATTGATAAACCAATGGCATCCAAATGCATCAAAATCGAGAACGCCTTCGATCCCGACGAGTAGGCAGATCCATCCCTTCACATCGATTTCAAGCTAACAATCGGATCAGGGAGCAAAAGGCCTGGGGCAATAACTGGGTCGAAGAGCTCGAGGGTGAGGTGAAGACTTTGAGGATGCATGCGCGCTTCACGATGTTTCTGAACCAAAGCACTCCTGCTGGAGATGGACGTTGAGAAAGCGTCGAGGAATCACAAGCAAAAACAATGTTCTCCTGCAAGCGCACTTCTCGCGCCTCAAGCTGGAGGGTGAGGTGAAGACTCTGAGGATGCATGCGCGCTTCACGATGTTTCTGAACCAAAGCACTCCTTGTGGAGATGGAGATTGAGAAAGAGCCCGACACCAAGAAAGCGTCGAGGAAGCGCAAGCGAAGATCGATGTCCTCTTGCAAGCGCACATCTCGCGCCTCAAGCGGGATGGCCTTGCCCTCATGGCATGTTGATCGGGGTGTTTGGCCATGTATCGAAAGTCTTGAGAGCGGTGGCAAGAAGGTGCGCATCGATAGGCCGGAAAGTGGTAGTGCGCCATAGGGGATTGACTAGTAAGTCCGATTCGCATCTGGTGTAGATATTTTACTGACATTGCCGTAGAATAACCACGATTTTACTTTATGCGTATTGTGCCAATGCCGTTCGTGAACGAAGTCGAATTTCATAACACGCATACCCATCTGCAATCGAGGTCGAGCCCTTACTCGCGGGATCATATCAGATGACGGTGAAGTTCCATCCAAAGGTAAGCGTGGAGTCGACATTATGATCTTTAGATGCAGCCTTCCGCAGGGCATCGATTTTGTCGACGCCGAGCCTGTCGAGTCCGAGTTCAGCTCCTCAAGACCCTATGGCCCGCGGTGGCGATAGCCATACCTGAGGTGAGAGCCTCAGCTACCTGCTGGCCAGCAAAGGTAAGTGAGATTAGTGGTCACATACAAGGCTTCTCGTAAGCAACTGACGCAAGCGATGACGAGTCTGCAGACGACCAGGAATCGCGGCTTGCTCTAGAAGCAGAGAATAATCGGCGAGCGATGTTGTACTGCTGAAGCGAGGGCTTCTTTCATGTCACCTTCGCAACTCGGGGCTGCGACTTGTAAATGTGTCTGGTCTTGTCCCACTCCGCGTCAGGGTATGGCTCGCCTTTGGTGGCATAGACGGCGATCAACGCTAACGACGGTGTTATCATCATGCGAGGGTCGAAGGGAAGTAGCTAAGATGAAGAGCAGAGACAGCGTCGATGAGGAAGAGTTGCAACGAGTAAAGGCCCGAGGGTGCGGCCGAGAATTTGCGCGTCGGCGAAGTCCACGCTCAGGACATCGTCATGCGAGGGATGAAAAGGAATCGCCGAGGTGAGTGGTAGATTAGTGTCGACGAGGAAGAGTTGCAACGAGCAGGGGATCGAGAGCGCGGCCGAGAATTTGCACGTCAGCAAAGCCAGTTTGGGCCCTCAGGCTGCAGCACTTGAATGCATCAGAGGTGATCAGCACCTAACCATCGGAGGTGAGCGGCACCATCTCCTTGGTGTGGAGGACGCTGTTCCGACTGCGATCGTCGACCTGAAGCTCTACAGGTATTTTGGCTGAGCTTCCTGGTGGCTCCCTTCGAGGCTGCGAGCTGAGCGGATCACGCTCGTTTGTTAGTGAAGTAAGTCGGGTGATCAAACAACGAGCCGGCGTCGATAGCAGCTATCTTCATGTGGCTGTAGATGTCATCGATAGCTCGCAGGATGGTCGGGGCAGCGGTGTTGGTGAAGCAGCTTGTGAGTGTGGGTCGGAGGGGCTGATGAGGCTGAACGCGAAAGCATGTGGTTTCGCGAGGCGGCGGGGCCCCGAGCTCAGCGCGACCCAAACTCACCTCCTCACTGCAACACCATGCACCCGTCCAGCGCATAGGTAGTACCTGCCCGACTGAACGCTGGCTCTCAGGTGGCAGGCGCAATTGCTGCAGATGGCTGGGAAGGAGTACACAATTGTGGTGCTCTCCTCCTCACCTCCCATCCCCGATGCATTCAGTTCCCCGCGCTTTGCGGCGCCCTCGAGACGCGTCGCAATGCCGCCTTCCTCGCCTTTTACTCTCTCTCCGCCCTTGAGCCCTAGGAAAAGTGGCCCTGGTGTGTTGACATCAGGCTCCCGAGCAGCTCCCATCCCCGAGAGGGCCTCGAGAGGATTCGCCACCGTGAGTAGCCTTGTTCGCTCGGACCATTTTGCGCCGCAGATGAACGAGGACACAGCAGGGACACAGACAGAGTTGCACGAGAGCACGGAAGCCGTAGTTGCAGCTGTGAAGAAGCCTGTGAAACGAGCTGCGAAGAAGGCGACAGCTACGGACGGCGAGAATCCCAAGCCTAAGCCTAAGCCTAAGCCGAGGTCGAGGGGAGTCAGGGCAGACAAAGAAAGCGAACATGCCAAAACCACCCTCGATACTGAGCTCCGGCTCCCTCGCACGACCAAATCACCATTCTTCGAAAATGTTGAAGCGCACGCTGCTACAACCGACGAGCCCACCGAAGCTGCGGCAGATGCACCAAAGTTGACGAAATCGGGCAAACCACGAAAACCGCGAGCGAAGAGAGTGATACCCCAAAGCGATGTCACAGAACCAAAGCCGAAGAAAACAAGAGTCACAAAAGCCAAGACAGCTGCCGGCGCTGTCAAAGCGGCACGGGAAACTGCAGAGGCTGTGCCTGCGCACGTAGCGGTGGACAAGGATGTCAACATTACTGAGAAGAGATCCGCATCAGCTGATGGAGGGCAATCTGAAGGCGCAACCATTTGGGACGTGCCACAGAGCCCGCAGTCGGGACTGGACACTTCCAAGGCGCGGCGGCCGGATCCTCTGGCAGAAGGGCTCGATCTTGATGAAGCCGTTTCGAGAAGACGGGATTGGACACCACCAAGAGACACAGTCGCTCACAGTCCAATGACTAATTCGACTGGCAAGGAGAATAGGCCTTCGTCACATGACACCACGGCCGGCAACTTCACTCATCTTATTTCCAACTTTACATATGAGTCCCCAACCAGCAAAGTAGCGCGTAACACCACAATGCCAACCTCAGGGCTCGCAAAACGTCGCCGAGCGGAACCTGTTGAGCTCTCTGATGCACAAGCGGCCTTATCCCCGGAGAAAGGCAAGGCTCCCAAAAAGAAGCCACGAACAATCACAGATCTTGTAACAGGCCAGTATGAGTCGAAAGACCCGAACGTGGGGCTGCAGGCTATCACGAGTGACTTCTTCGCACCGCACACCAGCACGACCAAGGTGCCTTTAAACGACGTCAATGCGTCCAACGTCGAAGTCTTGCCTACGAAGCCTTCACGCAAGCGCACCAAATCCAAAGACGCGTCAGAATCTACAACAACGAAGGCTAAGCCTCGTGCAAGGAAGGCGTCGACGAAGGCGGCTGCGAAGCCGAAACCAGTCGCAGAGAAGCTGCTAAGTCCTACATCTGCAGCCACACGCCTAAACCGGCAGGAAGTATTATTCGGCACCTCAAGCCAGCTCGCGTTAGAAGAGTCTCCGTCAACCGTGCGACAGATCCAACGTGCCATCGCGGAGTCAGAGCAAGACAGAAGCAGTTATTCAAACCTCGTTCAAGACGCCCCACCGCGATGGCCCAAACTCCAACGCACCAAGGGTAAGCGCGGCCTTTGGCGCGAAAGCACAAGGGATGGAGACGGCGGTCTACTTGTAGACACGAGGAGTGTCTATATCCCGGCGCCGGACAGGACGCAGGACCTGCCGCTGCTCATGGACCTTGCAAGTGAGGAATGTGGTGATGAGAGCGGGTTTGTGGATATTGATGACATCGCACCTGCTAGACCCGATGATATCTTGTCGTCTGGCTTTGTGGATATCGATGACATTACGCCCGCTGAATCCGTTGATGTCTCGTCAAATCTGCCTTCACTTGTGGACGTTGCGCGTGAAGAACCAGGTTCGCCAGTTGGTTTTGTGGACATCGATGATATTGCGCCTACCGTACACATCGATATCTCGTCAGATTTACCGACTCCACCAGGGTCTCAATCGCCGAAGCAGGTACCGGGACTGGCGCTAGCGGGATCCGTGGCTGACGATGTTTTCCACGACATTGATGACTTTGGAAGCGGGCTTCCTCCCTCGAACCAGAACGCAGAGTCCCAAAACAGCTTCGTAGACATTGACGACTTCCACCCTCCTCCTGTGAAGGCATCCATACAAGTGCACGCGAGCACTTCAAGACCACCAGCGGCTACAGGCTCGCCTGCCAAACGGCGAGGTCGACCTCCCAAAGAAAAGAGTGCGATTCCTATTGTCTCGACGTCAGCTCCACCTTCAGCACGCAAATCAGCTCCACCACGGCGGATGCCGCAAGGTTCACCGTCGACGCCACCAAAGGGCTCCAGCCGCTTCGTTGACATTGAGGAGATACTCGATTCGGAGGACGAAACTCTTGAGGCGTTCTCACCTACACCGCCACGGGTACGCAGGCTGCAAGATTCGCCTCCATTACCATTGGCCTTTGATCGCGAGCCATCAGCGGTCGTTACAGGAAAAGCTGATGAACCCATAACGCCAGTTGTCCGCATTCAATCGAGCCATCTTGAGTGGGCAAATATCAAGCCCTCGATCTGCACAGCTATCACTGCACATGTACGCACCATACCACCGACATCAGACCCCAAAAAGCCGAGCTGGCATGAGAAGATCCTTATGTATGACCCAATCATCCTTGAAGATTTCACAGCCTATCTCAACAGTAATACAAAGCTTCGCACGTACAGACGAGCTACACAGAAGCAAATTAAGACATACAACAGCGATCTGAAATCGAGAGGTAATGCTATCCTCGGTGCGGATAGAGATGATCAGGTGCTGGCCATCGAAAAGGACTTGGAAGTGCACATGGTCAGGGATTGGTGTCAAGAGATGAGCATTTGCTGCATTCATGCAAAAGAGAGCCGAGGGCGAGGAAGTGCCAGGAAAGGATTCTACTAGTGCTAATGGAGTGCATGTGCGGGGAAGGGATCCTGGGGATGAAGATACCCAACAACCGCGGAGGAGATGCTCGTCATGCTTGTACGACCCGACCCGATATGTATCCCTGCACTGTCGGTAGATGAGAATTGAACAATAATCCACCATCACAAGGGCCCTGGTTCTTGGCGCCTGTCAACAGCGACATGCGTGCGCGCACGATTCATGAGGCTCCGGACACCCGGCTCGGGCAGTTGCACGGTTTTGTGGGCTCATCATCGCGCAATGCGATCCGTTGTTGACCGCACGCGAAAGGTCCGACCACACTCAATGTGCATCGGTACCGTTGGTCTGAGAGTCACGGTATTTGCCACCGCGACTCATTGGTCGGATACCCGATCGATGTTTAAGCAAATCTTCTAATTGGTAGCAACGACTTACAGTGTGCACGAGATGGAATTCTTCATGTACTGAGATGACATGCCAAGTTGCTAAGCATTCGAGTTCGTACATCAACAAACTTGTTTGGCGGATGTTTGGGTGGGTCATCGTTTTACCGGACTCTTTCTCTTGAGGCTCACATGGTGTGTAGCCCGTATAGAGGGGCAGTTCGGCAGTTCTAACGCAAACTGCGCTACGCGCACACAATGGCGCACCCAATCACGGAGACATAATCGGGTAATTGCCGGACCATCGTCGGAGTGGGGACTGCACGCTCCCCAGACTTGCCTCCCCACAACACGATCTCCACACTTTAGCAGCTTGGCGGCATCATCGGCTGCCGAATCTAGTACCGAGATCTTTCGCTGAGGGTGGATTTCCCTCTCCATCCTGCATCTTGGCATGACACCGCCGCGAAAAATTTGTTAAGCTACTGTGGGATCGCGTGTGCCCCTGCAAGCCGAATGTCACGCTGGCAGCAGGAGGGTTCTCCGCGGTGGTTCCTTGAGGACGGCTTCGTGCTGTTCGACGGCAAGGCGTGCCGTGCGAGCACGATGAGAAGAAGTACAAATAGTCGGGTGATCGCTGGGTTGAGTAATTATCACCAGCTTTTCGACGTCACTCACAATCAACATGGGCATTCGAACTCGCAACGACCGCAAAAAGCAGGCTCTGCTCGGCTTGCTCTTCGCAGCTACAGCAATGTCCACGTCCGTAGCTAGCCCCGGTTCCTGCTCATCAGGCAGTGATGTTCCATACCGCGATGCGTCACTCTCTGTTGACGAACGTGTGGAAGATCTGATCCAACGTATGACATTGGAAGAGAAGGCCGGACAACTGTTCCAAAGCAGTTTGAGTCTGCCAGCTAATGACAGCACCGCTCTTTCCAACACCACTCTTCTTTCCGTTCAGGGCAGATATCAATCTCACTTCAACCTGGGCAACACAGTTAGCAGCGCTCGCGTCGCTGCGCAATGGCACAACAACCTGCAGCAAGCAGCTCTGAACACACGACTGGGCATACCCGTGACTATGTCTTCGGATCCTCGACACTCTTACTCCGATGCTGTCGGATCGAAGATCGCAGCTTCTGCTTTCTCCGAGTGGCCAGAGAGCTTGGGTCTTTCGGCTCTGCGGGATGCGGATGTTGTCCGACAGTTCGCAGACATCGCCCGCAAGGAATACCTGGCCGTTGGTCTTCGATCAGCACTGCATCCGCAGATCGATCTTGCCACAGAGCCCCGTTGGGCGCGAATCAGTGGAACCATGGGCGAAGACGCAAATCTGACAGCTGAGCTTGTTGTTGCTTACATTGAAGGCTTCACCGGTTCAGCATTCGGAAACGAGTCGGTTACTACTGTCACCAAGCACTTCCCCGGTAGCGGACCGGTCGAGGATGGTGAGGATAGCCATTTCACATATGGCAAGAATGCCACATACCCCGGCAACAACTTTGACTACCACCTCATCCCCTTCAAGGCCGCCATTGCTGCTGGCGCTCGTCAGATCATGCCCTACTACTCGCGACCGATGGGTACCAAGTACGAGGAGGTTGCCTCTGGCATGAACAAGGGCATTGTCACCGATCTTCTGCGTGACGAGCTCGGCTTTGAGGGCATCGTAGTCACTGACTGGGGTCTCGTCACTGACTCCGTCATCCGCGGCCAGGATATGCCAGCTCGCGCTTGGGGAGCCGAGGATCTGACTCCCATCCAGCGCTGCGAGAAGATTCTCAATGCCGGCGCCGACCAGCTCGGTGGTGAACAGCGCTTCGACCTCATCCTCCAGCTTGTCGGTAACGGCACAATCACCGAGGATCGCATCGACCTCTCAGTGCGCCGCCTGCTACGTGAGAAGTTCCTTCTCGGCCTCTTCGATTCGCCCTTCGTCGACGTCGACGCCGCCGACTCCCTCGTCGGTCTTCCCGAGTACGTCGCCGCCGGCCTCGACGCTCAGCGCAAGTCCCTGACCCTGCTCACCAACAATGACAACATCCTCCCCCTCAAGCACGACAAGAACATCAAGTTCTACACTGAGGGCATCAACACCACCTTCCTCGCCGCCCGCGACATCACCATCGTCGCCACCCCTGCCGAGGCTGACATCGCCCTCCTCCGCCTCCAGGCCCCCTACGTCCCCCGCCCGGGCGGCTTCGAGGCCAACTACCACGCTGGGTCGCTCGAGTACAACGTCACCGAGCGCGCACGCCAGGCCGCCATCTACGCCGCCGTGCCCACCATCGTCGACATCTACCTTGACCGCCCCGCCGCGATCCCCGAGGTGTTCGACCAGGCGCAGGCCGTGCTGGGTAACTATGGCGCCTCTCCCAACGCGCTGCTCGATGTACTGTTTGGTGTCGACGGCGCGAAGCCTATGGGCAAGCTGCCGTTTGATCTGCCCAGGAGCGATGCGGCAGTTGAGGCGAGCCAGGAAGATGTGCCGTTCGATACTGTGGACCCGGTGTTCAGGTTCGGACACGGTCTGAGCTATGCTGCAGGCTACTAAAAGTATGTGTTGGTAATGTGCACGAGATGATGATATGACGTTACGTATAATCAAAACGAATAAGATTTAATTGACTCAAGACTTCAACTCTTTACCCACATATGCTGTCTCGTGATAATCCCTTCGCTAGGCTGCCGCTTGTGAGCGTTGAGCCGCCGCTCTCTCAGCGCTCGTAAGGTCAGGCACTAGCCATTTATGGTCCAGCTGGAGGACTAGTACTTGTATCCTACAACCCTTCTTCTTCGCAGATCGTAGCCAGGTACCGAAAGTCGGAGCTCGGTGAGGGGACTAGTACTGATCATGGGGCTGAGCACATCGACGATCCCTATCTGTTGAGAGACGTATGACATCTTATGAGCAAGCCCAAGGGTTCCAAGGTTGGCTAAGGCTCGTTGATAAGCCTTAATGTGAGCGCGGGCGCCATAACACAGCCGAGTACGAGGACACATCCCGCGGTGGGTATTGCGAATCAACACTTGACGTCGGAAATTGGCAAACCACTGCGCCCTTGTCGATGCGAATCGTGACTCTGGCGTATCGGATATTAAAACTGAATGATTCACAACCCAGGCATGATCGTCAATGCTGGATCCGTCGATGGAAAGCCAACATTCCAGTCCATCATAGACCACAGATCATCCAGCGAAATCTCATGGTCCCACCCTTCAGGAGTGAGGTCATCTGGAAACGATTCGAAGGCCGTTACCGCCGCAGAAGAAACAGTCGATGGCATCGTAAGATTCGAAGGGCTGCCTGAGCCGAACGACGGCTCGTCACTGACAGCTTCCTGAGCGCTCGATGCTGGTCTTCCAGCCAATGAGTGGATTCTGTCAATCATCTGCTCGACCGCCGCACTAATACTCCGTGCCGGTTCGTGCGGGCCCAACTGTCGCACCAACCGCAGCCCGGTGTGGAGTTTCTCGAAGCAGTCGGGCGTGAGGTAGTTACTCGGATGGACAGCCGCGAGCGCGAGGACAAAGCAGGCGCTCTCGAGATAGAAACCATGGGAGAATATGCCCTGTATCTGTCAGTGCCAGATTCGCAGCAGGTGCGATCGATGATGGAGTGTTGCATACCTCAATCCCGATTCCCAGCGAGAACAGCGAGTCGCACAGATTGATGATGTCTTGCGCAGAGGTTACGGAGCGCGAGGCAGCTTCATATATCACAGCCATCTCGACGCCGCCGTTACGTTCCTTAAGAATATTTCCGACACCGCGACGTCGAAGCTCTAGACAAAGGAGCAAGAACGGCCGGAAAAGCAGGAGCTTCGTGGCATTGAACACTAGAGTGAACTCATCAGACTGGTTGATAGTGATCGTAATCCGCACTCACCGTATGAGAAGGTAATGTGCCACGCCAACTCCTCGCCCGCCAACGCATAAATATGGCTTCCGATCTCGAGCCGAGTGTTCTCCTTGAGTTCTGTCGAGAACTCGCAGAGTTGTTGGTGCACAACTCCAGCCGCATTCAAGTCTGCAACGACCGTATCATCCAGATGATACAGCCGATGAGCAGAGCGCACGATGGCGCACAATCGGACAAAGTACGCCATGAAAGACGAGTCCTGAGACTGCGGGAAGATGATATCGTGGTCGGCCAGGGTGGGGTGTTTCCCGAGTATGAAGCATACCAGGCTTTCATTGCAATACAACGACCACATTGTCTGTTTCGCTTCGCTGGTGTCATTTCGGTGCACTCCAGCGGCAAACGCCTTGCGGATTGCGCCGCCGAGATGCAGATAGCAGATGTTCGGGCTGCCGGTCTCGAATTCGAATTGCGAGAGCATGAGCGTTGCTTGCACCGTCTTTGTGTTGATATCGTACATGATGTTGACGGCCTCTGCACGCGCTTGTGCAAAGAAGTATTGTCTGTGCGGAAGGTCACTGAGCGGGAACGCACCCAAGCCTAATGCAGCAACTACTAAGGCCCTATCGGCACTGGCTAGCACAGATTGGCCATTCGCACTGTACAGTTTCTCAAAGTTGGCGCAGAGATCGCCAGAGTCCAGGAACGGCAGGCGGGGACTCGCTGTCACGAGGAAGTTACGCAGGGCGATCTTTGCAGAAGCATAACTTGTCAGATCGCAGCCACTTGTCTGCGGAACGGAATCAGAAAGGTGGTCAAAGACGATGTTTTGGTAGTTATAGCTTCTGATACTCTTGTCGCCGTTGTCGACATCGGTTGAAGCGGGATCAGGGTAGGCGGCAGGCGCTCCGTGCATGGGGAGATGAGCATCGAGATGTTGCAAGGCAGAGAAAGGTGACGAGGCACCATAGAAAAGTTCAGTCTTCCCTCGCGAAGTGTCCTGTGTCGCTCGGATGTTGTTGAATATTGCTAATCGGGGTGGCATCGACTTTGGCAGACCACCTGAGGGCTCATCTTCATTGGTAGTATCCGGCTCTGGCGCTGTTTCCAACACTGTCATTTCAGTCGCACTATTCAAGGTATCGAAGTTGTGTGCAGTCGGTGTGGTCCGATGTGTTGAAGATGTTTTCCCGCCACGCTGTCGAACGTAAGATCGGTAGGAGCAAACACTGCTCCGCTTGATACACAGACTGCATGTCGTCCGGCCATCACACTTCTGCTTTCGGCGCCGACACTCTAAAGCTGGTCAGTAGAGGCGACGGAGGAAGCGTGTTGTCCGTTTACCTTCACATGCTTTTGGGTTTTTCGAAACCTTGCCTGTGGCTGTTAGCTCACGGGATCCAGATAAATCCTGGTATGTTACAAAGACAATCGATTGAGCTTACTCGGTTCCGATAGGCTTTGCGTGCGGCCATTCGGTGTCGTTGAGGCCGACATGGAGAATCGGATTTGTCGGAACGGATTTGTCGGGAAAGCGTGTAAATCCGAAAAGCCGAAGAGAAGATCTCGACGCGCGCGCGTGCAGAGGTCGTACAAATCACGCGATATACGCGTCTTTTTCAATAAAATACACGAAGAGCTTCGCAAGATCTTAGGATGAGTACCTCGATCGCTTCAAGGTCGGGCGTCGATAAGATGTCAAAAATGTGACTTATGATGCGTAAGCAGAGCTAGCGCGCTTTTGCGTGCTCTCCGACCAAATTCGCCGTTCTTCAACTCCATGACATCGTTTCCATCGCCTCTCTCACAAGATCGCAAGTCATAGTGCATGATCGGAGGGATTTTGGCATACCGGCATCCGAAAAAGTGCCTGGCAAGGCATATCGTAGCTCGCAACCAAGTTTTCAGAGCAGAAGGCTCTCGCAGCAGTCTTCTGGCTTTGTCCCTGACGGCAGCTCAATTCAATGTGAGTAAGATCAAACTCTTAGACAGCCCCCGGAATGTCAGTTGTTATCAGGTCTACTCCGACTTCCGATGAATTATTTGCGTTGATACTTACATTCATGCAGATCATCAATGCGGGGCAACGAGCGCGAGCGACACGCGCCACGCCCGCGAACCGACACCACAACGCCTTTATCCCTTTCCTACAAGCATAGTGTCAGTTCTCATACGTGATGCTACTACTGACACTTGCGTGAGCGAATCTCAGTCAATTAGGACAGTGTTGAAGGTGGTTCTTCTTTCAAATAGCGGCGATGTGCCCTTCGTCTGGTACACGTGCTGCGGCAGATACCGAATGCCATACTATCACTGCAGGATCGTGAACGGCCGTTTCTCCGAGATGATGGTCGGCGCAGATTTCAAGCACGTGTCATTTCCGGGCGTTTTATCTCAGAATATCGTGTTTGACCTGGTCACACTCCAGTCATTCTGTAGCCAGCGCCTGCAGCTAACATGCGCTCAGAAATCGCTCAACAAGGTATCTCGCAACCGACTTCTCGTACTAAACATGCCCCCACAACCTCGCTCGGATGATATATCTGTCTGAAATAGGAAGGCCTCTATCGTCTTTCCAGTTGCAGCTCGCTTCACCTGGTAGACCCTCTGTTTCCATTACACAACCTGTGTAATGAGCGTCAATCTCGCGCGCTTTAGTTTCGAGGCCGGTTGAATTCGGTCTCTATGATGGATCTCGGTCTGGATGCAGCTGTGGTCATTTGGGTATGCACCTTCCTGGAATGCAAGGCTTGCCGAGAAGGTTTGAACACAGGCCGAGCTGGGTATTTTCGTCGACTCTCTACTTGTGTACACATGTTCCGAGCGGCTAGACCCTTGCCAAGATAATCTTCTAGATGCTCTTGAATGACAAGCATTAATTTCCGGTTAATATACCCGTCGATGTCTGCATACTATACCAGGATCTACGACAGGGGTCAGCCTTGAAGAGAACCTCACCTGGTCGGTCTTCTATCTATACAGGCGCACTACGAATATTTTTCTGCCCGTCTATGGAGCAGTCCGGTGGCATCACACTGAGTCCCTGCAAACTAAATTTACTACTGTTCTGGTTGCGCTGGGTGCGATCCAATTGTGATCTGTTACTATCGACCAGCATCTAGGCTATTCATCTGGATGAGCTCGGTACCGAAGTCAATAACGGCCATTGCTCAGCTTCAATATGGATACATCAGATCAAGCGATACTTACAGAGTGTGCCTTGGTTACAGGAATATTCAAAGCTGCAGATACCTTGCATCGTTCACTAGACGCATGCCTATAGTAACCATGAGCTATATGAACACGATGCTTGAGCAATTGACCGTGCCAGAACCCGGGAATCACCAAAAGCGTTGCTCATAAGAGAGACACTAACACTCGTTCTTCCGACAACAAGGCTAGCTCTTGGACGGGAACCGGGTTGCTCAAAAACTTAGCATCAGTCCTTGACTTGCTTTCGCATGATCTGCTCTAGCTAGTAGCACGGATGCGAATATGGAGGTACTCATAAAGGGCAATCGTTTCGCGTACCCCAAGATCCACACCCCGCTTAGTGCCCAGTTTGACGACTGCTAAGAGATAGATGCAGTCATCGTGGCTGCTTATACGAGAACGCCTCCGCTCTGTAGACGGCTCTGGACTGTCATCTGCGAGCGGACCGCCGGTCCACGATATTGCTGCTCTGCTTGGCGAATATCGGTAGCCGCGCACGTACGACCGAGAACTCGACTTACCCGGTTTCACAGGTAGCGACTAGCTCTAAGAAAAGGTATAAAACATGCCCCAGATCCTCTGGATGATCGACCTACATCCTGCCAAACACGACTACTCTCGCTCAATTAGTTCAAGATCTTCACTCCTCAAACATACACCGACATCATGAAGTGGCTTCTTGCTTTCCTCCCTCTCGTTGCCGCGGCGCCAGCGCTACCTTCTTATCAGGCTGGCGATGGCCCCGACCCTGGACAGGTAGGTTATATCTGCTTACATAGAACGTGCCTTGCCACTAACTGGCGTAGGTGAAAATCCTCAAGGTCGGCACTGGTGGAACTGGATGTCCTTCTGGTACAGTCAGCACCATCATTTCTGATGATCAAAGTGTTGTTACCTTGATATACGACACCTACGTTGCTTCTATCGGGCCCAGTGTAGCCGTCACTGAGCAGCGCAAAAACTGCCAGCTTACTTTGGAGCTTCAATACCCTGGTGGATTCCAATACTCCATTCTGAGTGCAGACTACCGTGGATACGCCAACATCGAGAAGGGTGTCACTGGAACGTTGAAGTCCACCTACTACTTCGCGGGTCTAGCGCCTCAAGTATGTTTCTCTCTATCCTACTTACGTGATTCCACTCACGATGTGTCCTAGACTAGCACAGAATATACCTTCAATGGCCCGGTAACCGGCGATTACCTCAAGCACGATGAGGCAGACAGCACCTCGGTCGTAATGTCGCCTTGTGGTAGCAAGGGCAACATGCTGAACATCAATTCCCAAGTTCGCCTGACTTCCACGAACTCCAAGGCTACCGGTCTGCTCACCACCGATTCTACCGACCTCAAGTTCAAGCAGGTTGTGTACGTGCAGTGGAAGAAGTGCACACAGAGCAGCTAGATTTATGGCGCTCAATCTGGTACTTGGTAATTGAGGTCAGGGGCGTGAGAGGTTGCTTCGAGGTTGCTTATGGATTTCAAGGTCTCGATAGTACTGTCAAGTTATGCATCTGTCAGGATGCTTTAATCGAGTCTAGATTTACATTGCATTTGCAAATTGACAAGACCCTTCTACTCTCGTCTTCGTTCCTGCTGTGTCAACACGTTTTGCCTCGCCGCAACATCCAAACGCGCTTGCTTACACAATCGGGAAGCAGTCACCTCATACATCAGAACTCTTTCTGGACGCATTGAAACTCTGCATCCATCATTCACTTGCACCGGCGGTCGCATGTGCTGCGCAGCGCCATTGTTTAATATTCTTCGGTACGTGACCATTCTCAACCTTAAATACGCAACGGACGCAATGACAGGCCCGTCACAAAACAACGACAGTACCCAGCGCAGTGAGAATATCTCCACTTCTACGTGCGCAACGGCAACTTCGTCCATCGAAATGACTGCCACACCCAGTACACCCATCGACTTAGGCGATGACATTCCGCCCGCGCAGTCCGTGTCCAATGCTCTTGCACTGCTGGAAGCAGATCAACCCGCCATGCAGATGTGTCCTACACTGCTACAACGCCTCCGATCAAGAGCATCTTCACTGGAAATTCCTGTATCAAAATCTCCGAGAGCATCGGATACGGCATTAAGTGTGGAAGTCTCAAGTGACGTCCCAAAAGTTCGTCGTGGGCGAGGTCGGCCCCGCGGATCCAAAAATCGAAAGCCACGAAAGTCCAAGGAGGGAACAGAAGGCAAGAGACGTGAAAAAAAGACTAGTGAGAGAGTCTCGAAGTGGGCTGGTCGGACACGATATTCCCACACTGTCCACAAGCCTCGAAAGCAGTCAACCGATTCTGATCCGAATGCGAGCGTTGCGGCACGAACTGAACTCGAGCCCAGCCCGTTACGAGAGACAGTAGAGCACGACTACATGATCCCACACAAGCACGATCAAGATGTACAGGAAAATTGTGGGGCTTTTCATGGCGTTATCGAGCACGAAATATCAGATCAGAATGCTCCGGACGACTTTTCAGGGCACTTGGATTACCAGCAGTTCGGAACAACCACACTTTGGTCAGCAAAAACAACAAGCACGACAGATTTCCCGATCGACACGGCTTTCCCTGAGACGTACCCATATAGTGGAACCACTTTGGTCAGAAACTCGCGCGACAACTCGAGTACTATCTCAGATCATTTCTCAGAAGAAGCCTTTGATCCATACCCACCGTAGGCGGTAGGTGATTTCGCAAGAACCTTTGCTCCAAGTCATGTGTCCTTGACACATAGTACCGGATGGCCAGTCTCAGTATCTCCGCATACCATAGGCCAGTTTGTGGAAGACTGCAGACTCGTGTGTTCCAGTTGTAAACAGTGGTCTAATCATGATCAATTATACCTTCCTCGAGGCGCAGCGATACAACTACCCAACTGCGAGCATTTTGCTTGTCGCTCGTGTATGACAGAGTGCTACGACTTCAGGGGGAAGAATGACCTCTGCATGACTTGTCCAGTATGCGATATCTTCGTTGGTCTTCTAACTCCGCAAACCCCAGTACAGCCAGCTCTGATCTCTGGAATGTTTTCGCAACCGAGGGACCAACACCTCGATGAATGCCAGGATCATGTCATCTTTGTCGAAGGATCGTCAATGATCGAGGTCTTGTACATCGTACGCGATGTTATCATCCACGAACGCGGATCGGATGAGGGGCTTGGGGCTGTGCACATATCACCAAGCGTATTGCTGGAGCAGCTAAGGGAATACAACGATACACAGCGATTTCGACAATCGGCTACTCCTCGTGAGTTAAGGGCCGCATTGGAACGTTGTATCGAGAACGCGTTCTTCGCAGAATTGCAAAAGCGACCCGAAAACACGATGTTGCGAATGCTGGTGGCGCATCGGGGGTACGCGCACAAGCTGACGAGTCTTCTACCACAGCTAGCGCACAATGAGCCGGGTCTGGGCATTGCATTGTCAAATTGGAGAACAGTCATTGCATGGGTAGTCGACGTTCTGATTCTGATGTGGGAGCAGAGATGCGGTAACGTCCGTGGATGGTGAAAGGGAGTGGCTTGTATTTCAGAACTTCATGAAGCAAAACAAGCTGCACATTGATTCAAAGTTTTGAACAGCTCATTATCGATTCGAAGACTTTATAGCTAAGGAGCCGATCTCACTTTCCAGAAAGTATCATACAGGAGGTGGTTTCGCGCCGAAGTATCTATGCGTGCCATCAGCACCACTAGACGGTCCTCTGTGCTTCCATGTAGGTCACTTAAGTCACTCGGACAGTTCATCGTCGGAACAACATGTAGAGGATGGAAGTGATATCGGTCTTGGAGAAGGTGTGGGCTGATTCATAGATTCTGCAACAAAGGTTAACACATACTTAAGTATCTCCTGCAGTACAACTACTTACCGGTGACCGTAGGCTTGGACGAAGCTGACTCGGTTGTCTTGGCCTGCTGTGGACTCCTAGTCGTGAGAGTGATGCAGCTCTTCGTACGTCGTAGCATGGCTGAGCAAGGTAAGAAAAAGGTTTTCCTCGGGAATGATGGTCTGGGGCCAAATTTTGTGATACTTACGGTCTTTTGGTTGAGGCGTTACAGAGACAGGCGGAACATCTCCCTTAAATCCGAGATCTTCCAGTTCGTCCCTCATTTCGTTCATCTCAATTTGGGCATTCAGTAGGGCGAACGCTGAAGACTGCTCCGCCTTCAGCGCTTGGTTCAGCTCATCCAGTGACATGCGAATGTCGGCCATGGCGTCATCCACGAACTGGTCATCGCCTTCATGGATCCAGCGCCTCGTCATTGTCCACAATGACTCTGCAGCCACAAAACAGTCGTGGGCTTCGAACCAGTCTTCAACGACAGCCCCTAGTAGTACCAAAGTCTTCATCTTGTGATAGCGTGGGATATGTGGTTCATCGAGAAGCTTGTCGCAGAGGTTCATGCACTCGAGCAACTCACCCGCTTTGTAGTGTGCATTAGCTTCGTTGAACCTGTCTGTAAACTCCTGGTCAATAGCGCCGCCGCTAAACATTTTGAGAAAGTGGTGAACGCAGAGGGTAAGGTTCTCGTGTTATGCTGTTATGCTGTTGTGCTGTTGTCAAGCTGTCGCGTTTACGCTGGGCGATTGCGCTACGCTAGAGGTGAAAGAAGGTAAAAGTTTGCTCTCGTTGCTGCCTGCACTTATATTCGCGCCTTTTTTCCGAGTCTTTCTCACACTATATACCCCACTAAATCTGCGTTTTTGGAACTTTCTTTAGCACGCCTGTGCGCTCTGCCATATGCCTCCAGCCCTCCACCTGCCCGATCTCCCCAGTAATTAGGGAGCCATCATGTCTAGAAGAGCTACCAGAAAGAGCGTTCGCACCCGCCAAGTGAGAAAACCCGATGTCGCGGCAGATTCTGCTGCATCAAACGACATCGCTGCCGACTTTTAGCCTGCATCCAACGTGGGCGGCACAAAACCGAAGAAAGCCAACGGGACAATCGAGGTCGAAATTAGAGACTGCGCGACAAGACTTAGACTTCCATTAGTGGCCCAGAGGTCAAGCCGGTGAACATCTTGAAAGCTCCCCAACTGGACGGCATGCAATACGATGTGAATGAGCCTCTACTGGTCATATAGCTTTTCGTCGCTGCGATCAATCTCGGGTTTCATACCAAGCAAAAATTCCACCTCAGCTATACGCCAACGTCCGAGCAAACTCGACACGTGTTGTATATGCCTTTGTTCGATTATAACAACCGAAATTGGGTCTTATTTGTAGACTGACTCGACTTATACCCCACCATATGGTAGACGGAAGAACCGTTTGAGCATGGCGATTGCTAACCAAGAATCAATGCCAAACAGACTCGCCTACCGTCACCTTTCTCGTCCTGCATGCGATCATTTGCCCCGGAAGACCATGCCCACCTTGCTTTGCCGCTGGAAAAAAGAAGTGCAACAATGCCACTTCAGCATGTCAGCACTATTCCCGGGATGAATTGGTTCAAGAATGTCAGGACCGCCGCAAAGTTGCGGAGAGCCATGGCATGAACATCATTACCTTCGAGGTATGCGTAGGAAAGAAATGGACATCAAGCTTGGCCAAATCAAAGTCGATATGATGGATCGAATGCCTGCAGACCTGAGGATCGAGGGTTAGAGCAAATTAACGTCGCCTGTCACCACCAAATGAAACACACTTATCAATGATGTTCGTAAGTTCATCGATACCACTAGTCTCGTATATTGGAAGTTTCAACAGGACACTCGAGTGAGTTTGGATAATCTTTCCACTACTACTCAAGGACGTCCCTCGGTCTGGACGAGATACACCTATTGTGAACCGGTTCCTACAGCTGTTCGATCAAAGTCTTTAATGTTTGATAAAGGCACCATGGTCGGTCCTTGGGCTCCCGCTGCGGGCTCGTCTGAGCGTTACGGAAACAACGGCGCCAGAATGATGACTATGATAATCTCTTGGAGCGGGTTACTAGACCAAGCAAGATTGGCGGTCCTACAGATCTCTCAGGCTATGGTGTCTTTGATGATGCACTGCGCAACACCACTGATATGGATGCGGAGTGACAAACTGCCGCAAATCCTGGAAGAGACATATAATTCCTGCTAATCGGTTACGTCGGATCGCGCTAGATTTTTGCAGGAACTCAAGATGATACTGTACCCTTTATACTTTATTCAAACACATCTGACCAGCCAGTTGATACTTTTGTAAGATCCAAACTGTTTATATCGTAGCTGTCAAGTCGCACGACTGCTACTAAGTAACTCCGTACAAGCGCACACGATCTAACAAGAAAATGCGCTGATGACACCACTGACTGTTGTTGCCTGATGCTCAATTTTGCCAAGTCACTGGCTGGCTGGACGTACCTGGGGCAGTATGCGTACATCACTCCTAGCATGTATACACAAAACGAATCAAGGGTCACATGCAAGGAAGAAGGTTTTAAACAGCGCAGCTTGAATTTGCCGCAGAACCAATTCTAGTCCCCAAAGGCGCTATGCTACAATAGGGTGCAAGATTTATACACAAGGAAGTGAAGATGTGGCCATCGTGCAACGATACAATCCACTCTCAAAAAAGGAATTTCGAAGAAACATCAATCATGTCCGGCTGGCTAGACATCTAAAGCAGACATCTAGAAAAGGAGAGAGCGGGCGTGACGGCGAGCCTTAGCACTGCCAGCGGAAGAGCCAGCAGCCTCCTCGAGCCAAGCAATGAAGGTCTCGAGGGTGAAGGTCTTGGGGAGCTCACCGCCGGTAGAGGGGGCAGCGGTGGCGCTGGCAGTGGGGGTGGCCTCGACACCGACAGAGGTGGCAGCGGGGGCGGAGGCAGCGGCGGAGGTCTCAGCAGGGGCAGTGGGGGTGGCAGGGGTGGTGCCGTTGCCAGCACCGGAGGAGGGAACCGGGGCAGGGGCAGAGCCGGAACCGGAGCCGCCAGTCCACAGAGCAGGGCCGGGGATGTTGTACGTGAGGGTAGCGGCGTAGGGGTTGAATACAATGCCATCCTCCTCGGCGGTGTACAGCTTGGTGCCAATAACACCCTCGGGGGTCTCAGTACCGGATCCGGTGACCTAGACATATCAAGTTAGGTTTCTGTACATGAATAACAAGGTAAATGGGAGTAAAAACCTCTATGTTAAGGCACTGAGGATAATTCTGAGCGCCGTTGACGGAGCCAGCACCGTGCAGAGCGATGATCTCGTGGCGGAAGACGTACTTGCCAGCGGCAAGAGTCTCGGGGACAGTGACGGGCCATGTGTTGTTCTGACCAATCATCTTGACGGCAGCCCACTCGCCGTTCTCGTAGCCGTTGGCCTGGATCTTGGTCCACTTGAGGGTGGTCTTGTCGACAGACGCGACGTCACCGGTGTAGGGAGCAACATAGGTGATGACGGGACCGACGTGGGACTCGGGCCAGGTGGACCAGTGGAACTCGACTGTGCCACCAGCAGCAACGGATGCCATGGAATCGGAAGAGAGCTTGGGGGAACCGGCCTTGTGGCAGATGATGTCGGCGTTGCCGAAAGAGTTCGGCTCGACGAAACCGTTGTCGAGGTTCTCGGCGTACCAACCGATGTGGTCAGCGGTGGCCTGACCCTGGGTGGACTGGTAGTAGTAGTCGCCGATCCAGCCCTGCTCGAACTTGCCATCGATGGTGACACCGTTGACAGTGCCGTGGGCAAGGGCGCCAGCGGCGAAGGCGGCGACGGTAGCGATCTTGGAAAGCATGTTGATGGAGTTGTTTGGGTTCTTCGAAAAAGTGTTGGAGAGAGTTGATAAGACTGTCGTTACAAACGATGGTGAATTCTGAAAAGAATGTGGAGCCGGCTAGCGGACTGTGAATGAATGAATGAAGGTGGAAAGTGAAGGTACTGAACTGTAGCGATGAAGTTCAAATGTCGAGGCGCCTTTGCATCCTTATATTCGAGACATGCTTACCCCCCAGGCTGTCCAAGATGCAAGCCCAGTGAACAATGATTCAAGCCGCGCGCAAAACGACGTTTGACTACTGCACAATCCCGGGAACTCCACCCTACAATGCTGCTTTGAGAGGTACAAGCGACATTGAGGGATCCGACAGCGTCCCGTGCCTGCCAGGTGGGCGGCAGCCCGCAACTTCGGAACACACATGCATGGCATGACATAGTGTACTACGCGCAGTACTAAATTTGCGCTGTGTTCCTGGCAGATTGATATCGCGTGGCGGGCATAAGGTGGTTCTCGACTGCAGAAACGGGTTTAGCGAGTGTGTGAAACATGCATCCTAAGCTCCTGTCAAATCTTGCGTCGGAGCGCTGGCGCCGCCAAGTAGAGGGCTGTTTCTTTATATTAAGCGCCAAGATGCCGCATTACGTGGGGCGTCTGTCAAACATCTAGTTCCCATCGTGCAGGGCTAGGTGACGTGAGTTGATGGACGGACTCTCTGTTTGTTCATGCACATTTGTCTATGCGCCACAAAAGCCACAGCACTGTTCGGAACTTGAGCAGCAAGCCGGAAGTTGCTGGTCCATAATCACATTTAACTGAATCGCAGCAAGTAGGATCCTTTAGTTAACTTTATTGCTTGTCAGTCCTGAATCTGTTGTCGACTCAACATCCATTCTGGTGGAATCGCTCGTGTAGCGGGCCTGCACGCAAGCGAGGCTAGGTCGGGTGGGTCCACGGGATCGGAACGCCAACTTCGTTCTAGCCAGGGGTAAGTCCAGGTTTCATACATGAAACAACCAATCTTCCTCCAATAGCGCGCGGAACAGCGACTCTATCCAGTCTGGCTTGCATGATGGAATCCGTTGTAAATATTGGAAGAACGGATATGCGGAGAGATGAGGCGTGGCACCGCAAGGCGGCTGCGAACGCTGACTGTCGGTGAACGTCTGCTTGAACAAGGTGAGTCATAACCCTTACACTGTGGACATTATTGCGATGCGTGCAGGCGTTTCGTTTTGCATGTTCTGTTCCGTTTCGCAAGGCCTCGATCAGATCGACACCAAAGCCAAGCTGGAGGCTTGGAGCGAGTGGACGTCCAGTACAGGACCAATAAATCATGATCCAGGGGCTGAGTGCCCTGGGGAAGTTCAGAACGATGTTGCAAATCACAACACATGGTACCTACTCGTGATGTATCCTCCTTACATGAAGAGGGCAGACACTATCCTCTTATACTACGCTTCAGTCATAACATGGGCGCAAGCTGGCGAAATTGCCACTCCACAACCTGCTCAAAAGACCGCACGACAATCGACTGACGGGACATCAGACCATCAAAACAGCATATGTATCAGACAATGCAGCCCAAGTATTGACTTCGTTGTTGATCAGAGCCCTCGTTCTCATTCGATTTTCTCGTTGATCTCGTACATCATACGGCGCAACACTTTGCTCACCTCACAAGCTGTTGTCCGATTGCAACGAGAACTAGCATTCTAGAGAATTGCGGCCCCCACCCCTATTACGAAACTTTGGTCTACCGCTATTTGACAAACGCATGGTGCACTGAAATTGCCTTTCACCCAAAGAAGCTCGGAACTCTGATAGCGGCCGCTAACTCTGGGGTCAACACTGTACAGTCGGTGCAGCGGAAGTTGAGGGGTCTGAAACGAGCCGACGAGACAGTGGTATACCCTCGCGGTCGCTTTGTCATAGTGCCTTTCGATCTTATGTGGCGGTGCTCCAGCTAGTTGTTTGGGTTGTTCTGTACCGCGTGCGCTCGCGATGCAGTTCTACATCACCCAACAACGATCGAATCCAACTCTGCCAGTGCTCACCCGAAATTTGACCAAACTACAAAGGCAACATGCTTGTCACCGGGCTCAGCCTTGGAGCACTGAACAACAACCCCCCGCGCTGCCCGATGCAGGATGCAAGAGTATGTGCTACCTTCTGACTCACCTGTGCCGGGCACGACACCTCGAAGCTTACCCTCGACACAGATTTGAGGGTGCTATGATCAAGCTCTCTCATCGCCGAATCTTTCGAAGGACCGAAGCAGTCGATCGCCAAGCCGTCTTCCGTGATCCGCGACTGAAGCCTTGAAGAAGATGGCGAACGCAAAACCCTCGAACACGCCGTACGGCCAATCAGTGACGCCATGCTATGAAAGGTCGACCGTAACGAAGGCTACGTTCTAGACGAAGTGTCGCTCGCTGTTTTCTTATGTCGCTGTGGCTGCAAGGCGTAGACGCGAGACGGAAGATCCCTATAACTATGACACTGTCACTACAAGCGGCGGAACAGCATGCTGAAGGGTTTCAGAAACTCGATGTGAGGTGAGAGTGGCGCACTCGAGTAACACGCCGGTGTTTCTAGCAATAAGTACAGCTACATCCTCCAATCTCTCCATATACGACCATAGGACGTTGAAAACAAGTTCTGTTGCCCGACCCGTCGTCTATCGAGGTGCCAGTTTAGGGTTTGTGTTATCCGTTTCCAGTTTTGAGGCCAATTTGCTCACCAACAACATGCTTTTCTAGCTGTTTTCGTAATTACTAACGAATTTTAGCAGAAGTCCTTGGGCAACCATCGATAGAGAACTGCTTTCTCTAAGCACCTTCTTTGTTATATATGTAACTAGACTTAGAACAGTTTACACAAATAGGAGCAGTCTGATGTTTGTTCATGAATGCCATATTATTAATGCGCGATCTGACCATCCGGAAGAGCACTCATGAATGAGCCGAAGTTGTTCGACACGAGCTTCTCGAGTTGCAGCTGAACCTGATTTTCAAGCCTTTTCCAATTCTCAAGCAAAAGTTTAATGTAATCCGTGAAGCTCTCTAGCAGCACTCCCTGACCTGGAGTACCATTTCGCTTGTAGACCTTGCCATCCGGCTTCACAAACAGAAGCGGTAAATGGTTTTCTGGGTCTGACGAGATAAGCTCCAAGACTGGAGCCAGTTTCCATGCGCCAAATTGTGACTCGTCAATGGCCTTGCCGGACTTGTAGGCATCATACACCTCTTGGACTGATACTTGGATTGCCTTTGTACACATTCGAAGGTTGTCGCCGTTGACGGGGTCAAAGAGCTTGGTATCTCCATAAATCCTCCATTTATCTCCAGCAGGATTTTGGACACGTAATCCTAGATCACCATCTTCATCATGCATGACCTATGGTGGTTATGTTAGACGCAGCTAAGTTGTAAAAGAAGGTACTGACGTTTGACGCGATCGCCTTCAAAAAGCTTGTCGAAAAGTCGACCTTAACGTCGATAGAGTAGAGAGCATTACGTGGAACTCGAACGTGACCGGCTGCAAACGAGTCCTGTAAGAAGTGGTCTGCAAAGGCGTTGATGGTATATGCCTTCTCAAGATCGCCTCGTGCAGCTGTATCAAGAGCCAAGGCATGACCAGCATTGTATGTCAAACGAGCTTCAGCCCCAAAGTGGTCGATGTTGTGAAGCGCAAGGACATCGAAATCGGCTCCGGCCCTATACGAGACTGTGACCTGTTTGAGCGCGTCTATGTCCAGAGGATGGTCTTGATAAGCTTTGTGAACACCCCCTGGGTTGTGTTGGATAGCGTCGTCCACCGCGGCCATGAGAACCTTCAATTTGGCGATCACAGCTTCAGCACGAAGTTTACCTACATCTCCCACGGACAGGAGGTCGAAGCTTTGTTGAAAACGATCAATGCGGTCTTTTGGTGTAGCTCCCCTGGCGATCGGAGTCATCAATCCAAAATAATCCCCGGAAAGTGCGTTGATGTCTCCATAAGTCACTACGAGCCCATTCTGCAACGTAAAGGGATTCTTGGCCGCTACATGGTCCTCAAGGCTGTCGTGGCCAGGTAGCTGGATTGAGTTGCCAAGGTATTGATGTTCGGAGAAGTAAAACATGGGGGCAACTTCTTCATCCTCATGTTGGTGGAGCAGAAGATCTTGGCTTTCTGGGTTTTCAATATACACAGGCATGTCCTTGTCGAGAAGTACATTGACAAATGCCTCCAACTCCTCAGGATTGGGGTGATACTGCAGTTCAGCTTGTCTTGCATCCATAGTCGTCTCCCTGTTTATCTTAGCGATGCATCAAACATGTATCTAGAGGCTTACATTTCAGAAAATACAAGTCTTCCCGTGTTGTACGTTCCACTCTGGGTTGTAGTGTACGAACAATGCTGAATGCTGTGATAACCGATGGTGAGAGAAGATTGGCAATTTAGTAGTCAGCGGACAAAACGATAGCCCTTGAGCACCAGATATGCTCAGAAAGTCTCAGCTGTGACCGAGATATATGTCCAGCGGTCACATGTTTAACTAATGACGATCTTTCGGTCACTCCGTGATATCAGTCCTGCGCTGATACCAAAAAGGCTAATCTAAGAGCTGAATTCATATTGCGACACGCATGGAGGACATGAAGAGGTAAGTACGTGTCGGGCCGCTACAGGTATCGCTTAGAGTATAACCTGAAAGCAAATGTACGAGCCCACTCTTGAGTGTAGGACAGCTCTCATGGCATCCGCCACAGTCCGTGCTCAGACCGAAGAATAGGCTCGAACAGGCTGGATCTGCAGCACGGATGGACCATCACAGCTGAATCTGCAGCAGGAATGGACCATCACAGCTGAAAGATCGCTCATCACATTCTAGATTCGTGAATTGAGGAAAAGACTCAGCTGAGAAAGTAATGACCAGGGCGTTCACGCATGTTTGTCAAAGATTTAGCTAAAGGCTAGAACCCGACTAGACTCACTGAACAGCCAACAGGCCCGACTGTACAGAGGATAAAAGGCGAAGAGATCTTCTTACTTATCGCTCACTATAACACACACATTCTCCTCATCCTTCAGCTTCATCAACTCGCGATCAATCGTTTGATCATACAATCTTACACTATGCCTGTCGAAAAGGGAAACACGATCTTTATCGCTGAGAGCGATATTGCCGCCAACCCCGGCCCTGTCAACTGGCAACAGAACCTCTCCCAGAAGTCCGACACCTACTACATGAGCATCTTCACCAACAAAGACAAGAGTATGGCTCTATCCTGTGTAGCAAATGTATCTGTTCTAATCTGTCATGATAGACGATGAGCAGAGCTACATTTTCATCCAGCAAGGCAAGCTCGATGCCTTGAAGGCTAAGTCATCTGGTACTTCATTCACTGTCCAAGTGGATGAGTCTTTCCAGTATGGTCAAAAGAACGCGCAAGGAGAAGGTCGTTTCTTGGTCTTCCACGACAAGTCCCGAAACCCGTACCAGGTGAGAATTGATGACCACGATATTTTGAAATCCACGTCGTACTGACCATTATTTCCCTGCAGTGGAGGTTTGTGTCGACCTTATTTTCCAAGCTGGGTAATGGCGCTCTCAAGGTCCTTGACCTAGCTCCAGTGCCTAGCACTGTCAAAGATATCGCCAAGTACTTCTCCGGATTCATTGGCGATCCTCTGCGCAACTTCTAGATATGCTCTAGCGCATTGGTCGGTTCTGCGCTCTTGTAATGAGCACTGTTCTTTCGGTGACTGCTGTTAGATCAGGTAGCAATAGCAAAGCACAATCCATCAATTTATCCCGCACAAGCTGCATCATGGAACTCACCTGCTTCTGTTCAAAGCTTGGATAGAACCCACGAACATTTAAGATAGTGAAAGCAGAGGATAGTCGTACGCAGTTTCAAAGCCATAGGGTGCATAGCTATGTGATATACTTGCGGTAGTGCAGAAGACTAGGCTAATTCGAGTGCTGAAATTGTCCTTCATCGATTCAGAGTCGCACGTAAGTCAACTGGTGATCTGTAGGCGTTGGAAGAGTGTTCGTAATGTGTCCGGTGATGTGAGGACGTCAAGGGTAGTGCGCAGTAGCTCCTATCGGGGAGAGCGGTCCGGCCCACGCCGTCGCCCAGGGTAAGCGATGGGCTCGGTGGGGCTCCACGCCGAAAGTAGCCAGGTTTGCGCCACGTAAAGATGGGGCAGCTGAAATACGAAACTACCTAGGTAGTTTAGAAGGGTCTGGATATGCGATTCCAGGCACATTAAAAGTTGAATGGCTAATCCAAGAGCGAAAACTCATAAGTCCGAAGCCCAGATTGTTTCACCCATGCGTGTGTGGAGTCCAAGGCCCGGTGTACGAGAATTTGCCGGTCTAGATCATCACACAGTATTGTTTTTCTAAGATCATCAGTTAAGACTTAGCTGTGATAAGCTGGTATGCTCGAGCTGATTTCTTTGCAGATCATTCGATGTCGACAAACATGGATGACAACCTCGCTGGCACGGAGCATGCCTATCAAAAGCCTCATGGGTTGCAAAATCCGTCAAGTGTGAACCTTCGTACAGATCCCAGGTATCGGATGTTCTTTGACGACTACTTCCAGCAAGGTCGGACAGGGTCCTGCGTTGCGAATGCAACAGCAGCTTGTTATCTCTTCGAGCTTCGCAAACACAATGCTCTCAACGGTGTTCCTGGCGAAGCAATGATTCCATCTCGACTTTTTATCTACTACAATGCTCGTGCGCTACTGTCGAAGAATGTTGTAGACAGAGGGTGTTTCATCCGTCATGCTTTCAAAAGTTTGGCAAAGTATGGAGTGTGTCCAGAAGCTTGCTGGCCCTACGACGAATCCAGAAAGAATGAAAGGCCATCCGATACCTGCTTTCAGATTGCGCTCGGTCATAGAATATCTATTTACGAGCGCTTGGACGTTCACCGTAACCCAAAAGGACCTAAATCAACTCTGGATATGGATGTAGATGGTGACGCTGTACTTGAAAATCTACGGTCTTGCCTCATCGATGGTCACCCAGTGGTTTTTGGTTTCACTTGGAAGATTGGTGATGCTGTATGGGACAAGGATGGACCAAACGGCATGTGGCGAATTCATGCAATGGCGAAGATGAGGCACTCCAAAGTCTCCCTGCCAAAAACGGCGCATGCCGTCGTGGCTGTTGGTTTTGATGACAATCTGGAGCATGTACTCTGTCAGAACTCGATGGGCGTATCGAAATGTCTCGTCTGGATTCCCTATAGTTGGATTACTGACTTTTACGCTACTAGCGACTTTTGGATGATGAGAGAGGTCATTGAAATGTCCATAAGTACAGTTTGTGTTTTGTAGTACACGGTCATCTCAGACTCATTTGTAGAACCCGGGACAGCAGAACGAACACGTGTTCCACGTATGTGCCTGTGAGCAAAGGACAGAGTCTGGAACGCTACATTGTAACTCTGAAGATCTTCTAAGAGACATTCACTAGGTCTATTGGAAAGCGGTGGCTCGTAACGTCGAATGAGACTCATCTCTAAGAAGAATGGCCAATCAGATCCACATTCTCCCCTTCTTTTAAGCAATACCTCTGAGCTACCTAAGAGGAACGCGCAATTGACCCTTGTCCTGCTTGCTTCGTAGTGCGTAGGTGGTGTGCCGAGAACTACCGGTGTGGCGTGAAGCTAGTAAGGTTGTCACAAGCGTCCCGCAGCGCCTGACACTTGTGGGGTGGTGGCGTCGTCAAAAAGGCCTGAACAGCAGACCCAACGCTATCAACACCCCAAATGGGTTTTGTGAGCGGAGAGCCTAAAGCAGCATCCTGTCCCTGCCTGTCAGGAAGAGACGCGCGATGGCAAGATTGTACATGACATAATGTATCAGCTTTTGTTCGCACGCGTAGAAGCGCGGAGAGTTGCCATGTTCGCGGCCGTGAACGCTGACTTGGTAGATGCTATAGCAACAGCGGGCGTTCATTACTCACTTTGATTTGATCTGATTGGGTCCTGCACGGTTACGGCCACGAAAAGCAGCTATGCCCAGATCCCCGCCTCGTGTTCGCCGCGCCATGCTTTACCAGTTTCTGCGTACGGCCGGCCTCTCCGGTCCTTGATGGGCAGCCCCGGGTGTTATGCTCCTGCGCATAGTGGCCATATGCGATTGCTGCCTTGCACTGGGTTCCCATGTGGCCGCATCTTTAGCACTTAAAGCACTACTTCACTCGGCACTGTCACTTATATCGCTCGCAGAAAGACCCTCCCTGCCTGATCAGCCCCTTGTCGATCAAAACCGCGATCGAATCGGACTCCGGTCCATCTACGCCACCAGCGCTTACGCTAAGGCCGAAAGTCTCATCCAAGTTATTTGCACTAGATGGGGATAATTTGCGCCCTCTGTCTTCTGCTTTGAGTAGCAGTGGGAGTGGAAACGGTAAAACTGTGTTACCGAACGCCACCAACATTTACTATGCATTACTTGAAGACGAAGTCGGAACATCATCACCAGAAACATGGGGGCTAGCACTTGTGCTTGATGGCTGCTACCCCATGTCCTAGTTCACAATGTCACTGGTCGCTGGCCCTGCGAACACGCTGTGGCTAACAGGATACTGTGGCGCTGGTGTTTAGAACAAGATTGGTATTTAAACAGTACTGTAGATAGCGTTTGTGGCCTTGGGTGCGAAGTATGGGGCACAAGAACGCGTAAAAGCGTCAAAAACCTTAACAGGTATGCCCACTTACAACTCAGAGGGAGCGACTATACGTCAATTCTAGACCTTGTTGACCGACCTTTCATGCTTCTCTGCACCTGTAGTAATCGTATCCAGCACCTCTTCGTTGCCATCTGCAAAAGCCTTCTCGCCAAATGCGATAGCGATCTCTTCCAGGGAGTAGTTGGCAGTCTCCACATAGTAGAAGTGCGCCAATCCAGCCGAGAAGATGCAGAAGCCTGCTATGACCAGGTAGAAGTACCCGCCAATCCCGGCAAATGCATCGGGCGAAACCATACCAATGATAAAGTTGAAAATCCAGTTGCTAGTAGTTGCTACACAAAAAGTTAGTGCTGTTGGAGCAGGGAGAGTAACGGGGCCTGTACCAAGTGCCATCCCCTTGCTGCGTCCACGTAGAGGGAATATCTCGGCTGGCAGGAGCCACGGGAGCGGGCCCCAGGTAAACCCGTAAACGATGTTGTAGAGCATGATGAAGGCGTATTGGCCGTTGGCGCGTGCCGTGATCGGCATGTCAGCCTCGGTGAACGCGCAAACAATGCCAAGAAGAACGGCCATCGCACAACCGCCGAGGATCATCAATGGCTTCCTGCCCCAGCGATCAGCTAGCCACCAAGTCACTACTGTTGCCGCTGTGTATGGGATTGCGTTTGCGGCGGTGTAGAGTAGCGACTTCTTGTCGTCGAAGCCGGCCGAGGAGAGCGTACTTGGCAGGTAGAACGAGATGATATTGATGCCGTTGAGCTGAGCGAACATTTGGACTGTAATACCGACGATAGTACGTTTGCGGTAGCGAGTGAACATTTCCTGGTGGGTTGTTAGCATGACCATTTGAAGAAGGGAGAAACAGAAGACCCACCAACCACCCGGCTTTGCCCAGCTCGGCCTCGTAGACCACTGCCTCCTGGATCTCGAAGAACACCTTCTGGACGTGCTCAGCCTCAGTGTCGCCGTCCGAGTGCAAGTCTGCGACAGTCTGAAGGCTCTCCCGCATGAACCCATTCTTTGCAAGCCATCTCGGGGTCTCAGGTAGGAAGAAAGACATGGCAACCAAGAGGAAGGAAAGGAGGATCTGGATGATGAACGGACCCTGCCAGGACATGTTGTCCGGAATCATGAAGTGGAAGCCATAGTCAACCCAGCAAGACAGCATGTAGCCAGCGATGAGGCAGGTGTACTCGATTCCTACCATCAGTCCTCGAGCGTGCGGTGCAGCAATTTCGGTCTGGATGATGGGAACTGTCATTGAAAGGAAACCGACGCCAAGGCCCTGGATTGTTCTTCCGGCAACGAACGTACCGAATCCGGGAGCGAAGATTTGTATGAAGGCGCTGAAGAAATAGATGAGGCCACCAAGACGAACAGTTCGCTTGCGACCAATCATATCACCCAGACGGCCAGCGATGAGTGCGCCAACAGCAGCTGAGGCTTGCAGACAGGCAACAGATATACCGGTGATGGAGGGATTGACTGCAGCTGTGCTTCCGTCGGCACCGCCAAAGTCGCTGAAGAATCGTCTGACGAAGACTGGATTGACTAGAAGACCAGACATGATACCTTCGATAGTTGAGCCAATGCAGTGTACTTGGATGCAGGATACATACCAGAATTGTAACCAAACAACGCATCACCAAGACTTCCAAAACCGCATGTCGCGAAGAGCAGGATCTTACCCTTGATGGGGTATCTAGCAGTGATCTTCTTGGGTTTCAGCAAGGTTTCGAATCGTCCTTGCTCAGCAGCGACTTGGTCGGCTATCTGATTTGCCCTTTGCCGGATATTTGCGCTCTGGCTAGCGATAGAAGTGTTGCGAGTGGCCATGGCGGAGAGCGAGACAAAACTGTTAGAGATGCAGTGATGGAGTGCTGTATATGCAACTATCTGAAGATGGAGATATCTGGGGAAACGACGCCATCTTATTTACCCCAGATCTCGCGCAACAAAGACTACGCTTGCGCGAAGCCGAGGGTGTAGACGATACGGTTCCGATACAGTCGACATCGGTGGGGTATCTTCGTCGAGTGTCGTTGCGCGGAGCTGAATTATCACGCTAGATGACCGGAACCGATGAGAAAACTTCGTCTCCGCCGGAACCGCTCGTCCTCGGATCCAACATCAACTGCACTGTCGGAACCGACTGGGCCTAACAGCCAACATGGGCAACGTCTTGGGTACAAATGCGCCCGCAATCAAACTGCAAAGACTCACTAGTCAAGTCACTATTTCGCTGGATTGTAATGTCGTCCCAAATGCAAACGTTCGAAAGCCTGCCGCACCATGAGTTTGCAGACGTGCGACTACCAACATCCGATAAAAATCGTACCATCGAGACAAACCAATCCTTCGTCCTGAGCCCTGCAAAAACATTTTCTTTCGAAGACAGGCCAGTGCCGAGCCTGCAGAGCTCGAGACACGTTCGCATCAGGGTGGTGGCAACCGGTCTGTGTGGATCTGATGTAAGTATCACACTTACCGGCACTTGATTGTGGCCTTTCAATTGGATAGATATCAACGCAACATATAGGTACATTACTGGCAGCATGGCCGCATTGGTGGATATGTCGTCGAGAAGCCCATCGTCCTTGGCCACGAATCCGCAGGCATCGTCGAGGAGTGCGGAGAAGAAGTCAAGAGTCTTGTCGTGGGAGACCGCGTAGCATTGGAACCAGGAATAGGATGCAACACATGCGAGACTTGTCGCGGTGGCCGATACAACCTTTGCGAATCGATGCAATTCGCTGCAACACCCCCCTACGATGGTACTCTGTCAACATTCTACTGCCTACCTGAAGAATGCTGTTTCAAGCTACCATCACACATCTCGCTACGAGAGGGAGCTTTGGTTGAGCCACTGAGCATTGCTGTACATTGCTGTAGTCTTGCTGGAAATCTACAAGGAAGGTCGGTCGGAGTCTTCGGTGCCGGACCCATTGGTCTTCTCTGCAGTGCTGTTGCACAGGCTTTTGGCGCCTCAAAGGTGGTCGTTGTCGACGCTGTAGACTCAAGGCTAATGTTTGCGCGGGCCTTTGGAATTCACCAAACGTACAAAATGCAAACCGAGACTCCGGAACTGAATGCAAGCCAGCTTCTCGCCGATGCCCAATCGCCTTCCGGTTTCGATGTGGTCATTGATGCTACAGGGGCGCAGCCTTGCATTGCCTGCGGTGTTGCTGCCCTCAAGAGAGGTGGTGTCTTCATCCAAGCCGGCCTCGGAGCACCAAAGATCGACTTTCCTATCGGACAAATCTGCGACAAAGAGGCCACACTGAAGGGTAGTTTCCGTTATGGGCCGGGCGACTACAAGTTGGCCATAGGCTTGCTGGATTCCAATCGCATCAGATTGAGCAGTCTGATAACGCACGAATTTGTGTTCGAGGATGCCGAGCAGGCTTTCCAAAATGTTGCCAGTCGTGGGGGAATCAAGTCTATAATTTACGGACCGAATATAGATAGGACCTTGGCAGGAGCTGTGATCGAGCAGAAGCAAGCTGTGTCGGCTTCGCGGCTGTAGAAGTTGTTCGAACGAGATTTCTGTATCTAATTGGAATGAGGGCGTGTGCTGCTCAAAACAGATCAAGGGTGTGATCGCGGTTCATTCCAAATTGTGTCCCAGAACCAGTATAGACCATTGCCCGTCGCATCTATGTTGTTGCTCTCATCCCAGCCCGGCTCCGTAAGTTCTGTGAGATCCTGAAGAGGTACGTGAGGCCAATCTTGCAAAGTGGCTTGGTGGATATCGGCAGCTAATTCTTGATTTTGACTCCAGTCCTGGTTGTTTGTAGCTGTGGCATTGTATCCGCCATCCAAGCCTAAGGGAAAGGCTAAGAAACGTAGACACATCAGTATTCTGCCCTTGATATTCTGGACGAAGTCCTATACTTGTAGCCACTTACCTTGTTGTACAGATGCCAAGCTCTCGTTCAATCGCATCGCTCTATCTGCTGTACTGCGTCGATGTCGCGTATGGTTGGTGGCAGTACCCATTGGTAATTGCACTGGTAGGCGTAGAGTCTCCTCAACAGACATCAGAGTTGGTGCCTGCTCAGGCACCGTTGAAGTGTTGCCGAGAGCCGACTGCTGATCTGAAGTCATGATTGGGGATAACATGGCATCTGCCTCACGACGCAGCAGCATGTGAATCACATCCTTCAGAACATTGTTGCTCTGTACGGATAGTTGTGTCTTTTTCCCCAGCACCTCTTGAAGGCGAAAAGTTCGAGTGATGGTACGCTTGACGTGTTGAGCCCTATCAGAAAGCGGGTCAGATAGCGCCAGCACTGCCATAACGATAGCAGAGTTGAATAGATTGATCGCCAAAAACGCAACAAGATGACTGTCAGTTGCCAATTGAGCTAACTGAGGCATCTCTGTGACTTTGGACGTTCGCAAAGCTGCGTCCCACCACTGTTCAGTGCTAGAGATTTGTGACCTTGACAAAGGACTTGTTGCACTAGCAGCGAAGAGGGGTGAAGATGCTGTATCCGATACGCATGACGGGGATTCCGCATGCATGTGGACAGTGTCTGGCTGGCTTTGGTTTCGGATCAGGTGATCGACTTGCTGTGCGAGCAAAGGACGATAAAAGATGATCAGCAGGCTATCGAATGTCAGCTGCAAAGAAAGTGCCTGAAGATGATGCACATTAGTTGCAGATGGCTGATCTGACCTGCAATCAGTATCTAGATCAAGTCGGAGGTGAGGCGGAAGCTGTTGCCGCCACGCCCAAACACGACCTGTGACATCTACAATCTGATCCATGTATTTACTTGTGTCCTGCCCATTGGATCCTACGGCCCGCATGCCAAAGATGACTTCGATTAGCGGTGACGCGGCTAGATAGAGCTTATTAAGCTCCCGTTGGTAGGTAGAATAGCAGATTGCTGTATCTCCATTGAGGGCCAGGTCTGGTTTGAATGATCGCGATTCGAAAGTGTCAGCTGGGTGTGTGACATTGCAGTCTTTATCATTAATACCAAGAGGTCGACCGTAGGTCACAGATGCAAATCTACCCTGATCAGCTCGCTTGCTAACATATTGCGCATCACACGGTACCTATCCCAGGTGTATATTGTCCACCAAACTCGTTTCCTTTCTTCGATGCTAGGTTGGGTACCGCGAAGAGGTTGCCGATGGAGTCCGATCGCCTGCGCAGTCCGGATAGTGGCACCCAGAAGTGCGAATGATAAATTGGGCTTCCCATGGTACACGAGGTAGCTGCCGAGTAGAATGCACACTTGAACCGATGCAATGGAGGTCTGGTCCATCAATTCTGTGAGGTGCTTTTCGGCTCCTTGAAGCAGAGTTTGAGACCAAGCGCCCCAGTCCTCGTTCGGAAAACAAGTGTCAACGCCATTTCTGTGGGATTTGTACCACGCTCCCATGCCAAGCACGGTTGACAACAGAAGTAAGAAGGACTTCTGCGATGGAAAGGCAAGTCCGTCTTGGACAGTCTGGAAAGCGGGACGAAACTTGGGTTCGTAAATGACGAGCGAGAACCAATGGACAGCGTCAAAATACTCCTCCAGCAGGGTGTGCATGAGTTCCAGTGTCGGCAGGGGGTATCCGAGAATCGAGGCCACGGGCTTCCTGTGAGTTCGATCAACGCGTGAAACTGTGTTTCGAACCTGATTTCCCCCACCAGGAAAGGCGGACGTTGTTCTGTTGAGCGAAGGTTGGTTCCCTAGTCGATAGATGCGCTGCGCAATGCCCATGGCAGAATCTGCTTCACGGTCCACACTGTTTGGCCGGGTACTTTCCCCAAGACCAGGTTCTTCAGACACGGCGCCTGGGTCAGTTATGTGAAGTCGTTGTACACTGGCATCCTCCTGCGCTACTTCGGATAGGACCCGAGACGTTTCGGTACGGTCCCGAGATGTCTCACGTGATGATATTCGTGTGCGTCGCCTCTTGGTTGCACGTGTCACGGGTGTCTCCACATGAGTACTCGAGCAATCAATGTTCGCCCGGACACAGAGCGAGCATGGTCGAAACGGATCGCACTGGCGACACTATCAGCAAGCAGTATAGGTGCTGAACACCAGTGAGGGCGAACTGACTCGGCTCTTGTTCTTGCGACATCTGTCGCATGCAGCACTCACTCTCGTAGGGAGCTGTCTAGTGGCGGAAGTATTGGACATTGATGAAGATTGTCATTATTATTCGCATTTCGATGCAGAAGAGGTTGCTACCGCGTCACTGGATACGCTCACTCTAGCCCGTGCGCTAGACAATGTACGAAAGAGGATAAGCTTCGTCCGCATCGGGTTGTGAGTGAAAGCTGTACCCTAGATAAAAGATGGTACATGTGTAAGTAGGAGTTTGATTCTGGATGTTTTATGAATATCTCTCTCAAATTTTCTGAAAGACTGTTGCTAAAATAATGTCGATTCGCAGCTCTAGTCAGCCTTTGACTTTCTGTTTCCGTTCGATCGACCGGACATGCACCTACTCTACAGTCTCTAATATAGGCTTCGATCAAGTTCTCAAACCCCAAGTCTGCACTTCTTTTTGGAACTCGTACCATGTTGAAAAGAGCTGTATAATTTCATCGAAGACTTCGCGAGCCGTCGTGACTGATACCAAGGTATTTACGGCGGCGCTTTCGGTGCCGAACACGGTTGAACACTATCGCCAACGGCGAATTCGAATTAGTGGCGTTATTGCAGGCAATGAGGTTGGTGGAAGAAGCAACGCTAACCGTTGCCCAGCACTCCTTCCCGTGTGGCGTCATGAGTCCGTGAGCTTCGCCAGCACCACCGATGCCGACCATAATCCGCCGCACCAATGCCCTGGCACGACTCTCGCAAACATCGGGGATACTCCGATGCTCACCGTGACGTCCTGCCGACACAAGTTTGTAGGCCGGCGTTAGTGCCTTGATTTAGGCTGTACCCCGACCGCTCGGCTGAAAACCGAGCGTGATTTGCATAACACGCTGGGTGTTAGCTCTGCTCGGCACATCGTTACTACGATTCCCCGCAACTTCACCTGAGGTGATCTCCATGGTTTTTCCGGTGCCAGACTCCCCCACAAATGACTGGTCGCGGAGATGGGTACCCCATGTCCACTGCTGATTCAGGAACGGGTCAATGGGTATGTGACGTGAGATCGGTGGTATGGTTCGATTTTCCCAGTGATCAGGTACGACATGTTTATATGACGGGGTGACCGCCGATCAGGTACTTTTTTTTTCAAGCATCTCAATTCAATCTCAAGATGAGGCTCTCCACTTTCCTCTTCTCGTCGCTGCTATCTGTCGCCGTCTCGGCTGCGCCCTCAAGCGCGCCGAAGGCTCCTGAGTTCTTCTCTCAGCGTGTCGTGTTCACGCCGCCGTCGAACTACACCGACCCTCGCACTCTGTACGCTCGTACCGCTGAGTTCGAGAACGGCAACCTCCTTGCAACATGGGAGAACTACAGCCCTGAAGGCAGCGACCCCAAGTCGAAGGTCTACTTCCCCATCTACAAGTCGACCGACGGCGGGTACAACTGGAAGGAGATCTCGCGCGTGTACGATCAGGCGCAGCCTCAGAACGGCCTCCGCTACCAGCCATTCATCTACGTCCTGCCCAAGAAATTCGGCAAGTGGCCTGCTGGTACCGTTCTGCTCTCAGGAAGCTCCATTCCTACCGACCTCTCCACCACACAGATCGAGCTGTACGCTTCGACCGACAAGGGCTACACCTGGGAGTTCGTCTCACACATTGCGGCCGGTGGCGTGGCCATTCCCAACAACGGCCTCACCCCCGTCTGGGAGCCGTTCCTGATGCTGCACCAGAACAAGCTCATCTGCTACTACTCCGACCAGCGCGACAACGCCACCTACGGCCAGAAGATGGTGCACCAGACCACTACCGACGGCAAGAACTGGGGTCCGGTGATCAACGACATCCGCCACGACCGCTACACCGACCGCCCTGGCATGCCCACCGTGACCCTCCTGCCCAACGGCAAGTACCTGATGACCTACGAGTACGGCGGTGGCCCCACCAACAGCCCCAACTACAAGTTCCCGCTGTTCTACCGCCTCTCCACCGACCCCGAGAAATTCGACTCGGCCGAGGACCACCAGCTCATCACCACCGACGGCACCATCCCCGAAGGCTCGCCCTACAACGTGTGGAGCCCATATGGTGGCAAGAACGGCACCATCATCGTCAGCTCGGGTACCAGCGGCGATATCTACATCAACAGGGGACTCGGTGAAGCGGGCTCGCCTTGGATCAGGGTTCCTACACCGGAGAAGGAGCACTACACTCGCCATCTGCGTGTGCTCAAGGGCGGGAAGAAGCTGCTCATTGCGGGTGGTGGTGTTCTGCCTCCTAGCACGACGAACAAGGTGCAGCTGTCTGTCATTGACATTACGCAGTTCCCCAAGGCTTAGGATGGATGTTGTAGATAATTGTGATAATATATGTTGTTAAATAAAGACATTGATATCCGTACAATTGGTGTGCCTCAAGTTGGCAGATGTTCGTCCTTTTGGCGCAATGTGTAAACCGGGAGAGCTCGTTGGCATTTACTGTGTTTAGTAGCTTCGCGACAGTGACGGTGCTTGACTTCAATTGACACCTCGGCCCACGCTCATGCCTTGAGACTGAAAACATAGAGGAGTCGAGAGATGATGAAATTCACCTTCGCAGATTGCAAATCGGATGATCTGGCAGACCTACTGAATAAAATGTGAATTGAACCCCGTGCACACAATACATGGTGCTGCGCAATTGGAAGGTGCACTCCTCCCATGATGGGCGCTGTCGGGTGGCGACCCACCCGGCCCGACCATTCCGCCGGTTGAGCGCGCGGGCGTTAGCGAGCCACGAGCGACGAAAATCGAACTTCGACATTGCCCGCCGACGACCGACACGACAAGCCGCAACACTCACCAACTAACCCTCTCTCACCAGCAAAAACCGACAAAATGGGTGGTGTTTCAGTTAAGGACGTCGAGGCGCAGAAGTTCATCACTTCCTATGCCGCTTTCTTGAAGAGGCAGGGAAAGCTCCCCATGTACGTCGCATTCCGAATCGCTGTTTTGAAGCCATACTGACAATCAACAGCCCAGGTTCGTACTATTCCAGCGGGTGAAGGATAAAACCTGAATCCCGTCGCTGGGGGATAATCGCACGATCAGCTTGCTGACCGTCTTATCTACAGGTTGGGTTGATACCGTCAAGACATCGCGTAAGTTTCATTCTCAACCCCATCTGCGCTGCGCACCGCCTAACAACGCACAGACTCCAACGAGCTGCCCCCCCAGGACATTGACTGGTTCTACGTCCGCGCCGCCGCCGTCGCGCGCCACGTCTACATGCGCAAGACCGTCGGTGTCGGCCGTCTTCGCAAGGTCCACGGGTGCGTACCCCTGCCGACAACGGAATAACCCACCGCGCAGCACCGTGCTAATAAGTGCAGTTCCACCAAGAACCGCGGCTCGCGTCCCTCCCACCACGTCGATGCCTCCGGCTCCGTCGACCGCAAGGTCCTCCAGGCCCTGGCCAAGATCGGCGTTGTAGAGATCGATGAGGAGAAGGGCGGTCGCCGCATCACCCAGTCCGGCCAGCGTGATTTGGACCGTATTGCACAGACCACCCTCGAGGCTGAGGAGGAGGACGAGGACGACGAGTAAATTCGCGTCTGAGCACACCACCACGAGTTCACGTCCGGTCATGATGTTGTTCGGGGTCGTCGGAAGCGATTGACGTCGCCTCACGAAACGCACAGTCGCGAGAGGTTCCGGCGCTGCGTGCGAGCGTAAGCAGTTGGGCGCGGCTGGGGCGTTGGATGGGATGGGTAGCCTAGGTTATCTGATGACAATGGAGACAGGCGTGGCCTGAAAAGCAACTTGATACCCATTTTCTTCAATCTGGTACCCCTTGTGCTGCGTGACTGCATTGCTTTCCTACCGACCATCCCTTCGATGCCTACACAGCCGCACATCAATGAATACTTTTTATCCAAACATTGCATTGCGTGCTATCTTGCATTGCATGCCAACTTTTGGGATTCTTATTCAACTGGCACCACATGCTACACCAACCACTCCCACCATCTCCACGTTTTTCCTCACCCTCAGAACAAGTCCGTCATGGCTCCGTGACTCGCATCCCCGACCAACCTCGCATACTTCGCCAACACTCCCCTCGTAACCGGCATCGCCGGCGCCTTCCACTCCTTCAACCTGTGCGCAATCTCCTCATCACTAACATGCATATCAATACGATGTGCCTTCGCATCAATCGTAATAACATCGCCCGTCCTCACCACCGCAATTGGCCCCCCCACCGCGGCCTCGGGACACATGTGACCAACAATGAACCCATGCGACGCGCCGCTGTACCGCCCGTCAGTGATGAGCGCGACGTTCGTTAGCTTGGCGCCCATGATCGCCGCGCTGGCCTTGAGCTGCTCGGGCATGCCCGGGCCGCCCTTGGGGCCCTCGTAGCGCACGACCACGACCACGTTCTCGCCGTGCGGGATCTCGCCCGCGTTCATGGCGGCGTCGAGCTGGTGTTCTTTGTCGAAGACGAGCGCTTTGCCCGTGAAGCTCAGGCCCTCTTTGCCTGTGATTTTGGCGACGGCGCCGGCGGGCGCGAGGTTGCCGCGCAGGATCTCGATGTGGCCGGTGGGTTTTATGGGGTTGGAGAGGGGGCGGATGAGGACCTGGTCTTGGGGGAGAGAGGGGTAGGGTTCTACGTTCTCGGCGAGGGTTTTGCCGGTCACGGTGGGGATGGAGCCGTCGAGGAGGTTGGCGGCGATGAGGAGCTTCATGACGGCGGGCATGCCGCCGATGTCGAAGAGATCGGCTGCCATGAACTGGCCACTGGGGGCGAGGTCGGCGAGAAAGGGGATCTTGTTGCTGACGCGCTGGAAGTCATCGATGGTTAGGGCGACGTCGGCAGTACCGGCCATGGCGAGCAGGTGCAGCACTGCGTTGGTCGAGCCACCCAGCACCATCATCATCACGAGCGCATTCTCGAACGATGCCTTGGTCAGGAGCTTGCGCGGTGTGATGTTCTTCTCCATGCAGACGCGGATTGCTGCCGCGGCTTTGGCGCACTCGCGCATCTTTGCGGGAGATTCGGCGGGTGTTGTGGACGAGTTAGGGAGTGTGAGCCCCATGGCTTTGAGGAGTTAACATATGCTGAGCTATCAGGGGGTATCACTTGCCTTCGATAGACGTGGACATGGTATTGGCAGTGTACATGCCACCACACGCTCCGGCTCCGGGACATGCGTTCTTCTCGATGTCTTCCATGATCTCGTCTGGCGAGAACTTGCCCGGTTCTGCACTATCGAGGTTCTTGTAGATGTATGCGCCGTGCTTCTCGTAGCATGTGGAGATGTTGATTGGCCTCCTCAGTGTCTCTGAATACCCGGGCATGATGGAGCCGCCGTACACCATGATCGAGGGTCGGTTGTGACGGGCAAATGCCATAATCACACCAGGCATGTTCTTATCGCACCCAGGCAGTGCAATGCAGGCGTCGTGGTGTTGGGCGCAGGTGACAGTCTCGATGCTGTCTGCTATTATCTCGCGGGTCTGGAGGGAGAATCGCATGCCTGGTGCTGTTAGCATTATCCTCTAGGTGTGTGCATGTTGCATACCCTCTCCACCCATGGTGATGCCGTCCGACACTCCTACGGTGTTGTACTGCCATCCAAGCATGTTGTCCTGCTCAATGTGCTTCTTGATCTCCTTGCCCAACCCAAGTACTGTCAACTGTTAGCATGCTGTATGACCCCCACGCATCCATGAGGCTCTGTCAGGGCGGCTGTAGGTGCGTGACATGATTGGATGTGTGCATTCGAAAGCGCCGACGTACAGTGCGTGCTGCATGACAGTTAGTACTATGACGCCAATTTCGTGGGGTACACGTACTTGCATGGGTTGCCCTCCCACCAAACACTAGCAATACCAACTTGAGGATATGTCTTCATGGCTTCCTTGTTAGGAACGCCAGCTGCGTACAACATGGCCTGTGGCACAGAATTGTTAGCATTCATCGGTCGTAACATGGACTGGACATACCTGAGCACCAGGGAAGTTGTGACCTGTGGTGAGTGTGGACGACCATCTATTCAGCGCAGGTGTGCCATCCTCCTTCTTTGCGCCTTCAGGGAGGTGAGGGAAGCTGAGGAAGCGTGGCTCCTCCGGCTCACGCTGCTTCTCGAGATTTCTGGGATCCATTGTGATAGTTAACAGGTCGGGGAGTTGTTAATACGTGTCGGCAGGGTCAATTGATGCAGTCACCGACAAATGCTAAGTAAGAAAAGGCACAGTGGATGATGGCAGGTACAGCGGATGATGGCAGGTACAGCGGATGATGGCACGAAAAGTCCAACTGGAGGCTTGGATTAGATATGGATGACCTGCAAGCAGATGACATCCAGTTAGCCGCACCCGCAACCAGGGCGCATCGGAAGCAGGTCGGAAGCATGCAGTCTAGCTCCATGAAGCATCCCGCCAGATCAAAGAGTTTCCCATGTGGGGCACTTCTGGTGTCGCGACGGTCCTGGTCGACTCGCTCGAGGCCTCTTAGAAGAGGGGTGACGAGCGCCCCTCCCCAGGCGATGCGCTACGTGGAGTCTAGGCTGTGGAGAGAGCCAATGCGAGATAACGTGTTGCAAGCTGAATAGTGGCGATTGGAGGTGGTCGTCACCTAGCGCGGAGGTTCCGGTACGTTGAAAATTGGTACCATGCGGGACCGCTGAAGCCTCCGATATGCAGGCGCCGGCGAGAAAACCGGGGATAGCGTTGACAGCGAGGCATGTCGTCAACACCAAGGCACGAGCAATCCACGGTGTTGAACTCTACTGAGATGCCGCAGATGTTGCGGGCTTAAGCAAGGAGAGTGTCCTTGCCACCTTTGATTGTCACTTTAATCTCAAGAAGATGTTGACGTGAAGCTCCGTCGACCCAAACTCCGATGCAGGAGCATCTGTGCGAACCGAGACGCAGTAGCTTATCCGAGTGCTGGGGCAAGGCTGTCCTCTCACGTTGCAGGATAAACGGCGGACTAAGGATGCGAGCCAGATGTTTTACCACGCACCCACGCGACAGCAGAGTAGGGGGAATGCAGGAACACCTCTATAGGACACTTTCTTTGTCTACAATATAGGTAATATTAAACTAACTGTTAGCTTTGAGTATCGTTAATAGCTGCAAGCTCTGTGTTGGAGTTGGTCAGCTTGATCGCCGTTTTCCCTGAAGCGTGAGAGGCTGTCCTCCTGCAAGTGGCCTCACAACGTTTGAGCACGCTTGATCGCCGCGTTGTGGTCGGTGCATTTGCATCGGCTTTCTCGATCATCCAGCGCAACCCTTCTCATCAGTGTTTGCACCTCCCTCCCTGTGGAACCAGCCGTTGCCACGTTGAGTTGATGAAGAAGCCTCTGACCTGCCAGACGAACAGCAAAATTGCCACACTCCCCAGCATCATGTAAACTCAATTGCTCGTAGTCAGGTACAGCGACAGTGCTAGACTCGTTCGCGGTACGGGTGTGGCTTCCATCGAGTGTTCTTCAGCCCTGTCCTGCACGATTGATGGCCCGCACGGGGCCGCCCCTGCCGTTTGAACCACAAGAATGACGCACTTTCCTTTTTATCAACACAATCTTATGGCGCGACTGACTCACGCCTGCTGTCGCGACTCTTGACTTGTCCCACGACATCGCATCAGCTCTATCACTACTCGCTGGCCTTCAGTTCGTTTTATCGTTTCCTCACCATGCGACCATCCCACGTTGCACTTATCGTTCGATTACAGATTAGCTGCTCCTGCTCGTAACGGCACATCCGCTGTGACCCCAACGTGTGCCATTTGCACAAAAAGAGACGTTATTGGAAACTGGCCTCTGACCTGCGTTGAAGCGCACCGTGTTCGCATTTCCTGATTCCATTGGTCGCTGATCGTGCGAGGATCCGCGCATCACCATCCCCAAAGCCGGGACCTCCACGCCCCGTTGAACACATATCCAGCCGTGGAGCACGCGAACAGCTATGGAGCCTCATTCGCGATCCCTTTCGTCTCAGAATGGCACGTTGCGTCTTCCACAGGCTCTCATCCTGCTGCTGAAGCCCGCTTTGGCCCAGTCAGCCAATGACCAGGGCGTACAGAGTTTCGCCGACCTTTCGCTTTGGGACACTATAAGACTTTCCATCTACCGCTTGATCCTTCTCATCAACCCTTTTGTGAACCGAGGCAACTTCATCACCTCAGCTTTTGTGGGTATGGTCAAGTTGACAGCTCTGTGCGGCTCTGCATACTGGGTGTGGGATCGGCAGAGCAAGCAAGGGAAGATCGCTCCGTCCATAAACTCCCAGCATGCGGACGACGCCACCGACGGTAAGAATGCTCCGTATGATCTGCGGCACCACTCCCCCGGGCGTGTGGTTGGCCGATACCAACTACCCTCATGTGAGACTAGGTCACTGACTGTAGCAGACGACGTTGCCACTAACGACCCGGGACTGTTAAGGAAGCACTCTTCTATTCAGTCATACACAGTACCTTCTACCAACATCACATATCCTGGCGTGCGAACATTCTACAGACCACATCCACAGGAAAGCAAGTTTCCCAGGGAGCCTAATCCAGTACCTTTGGTGGTATTCGTTCACGGCCTAGGCGGTTCGATTGCACAATTTCACCCCATCCTGCTGAGTCTCTCCAACCTCGCCTCATGCTTAGCAATCGATCTTCCAGGATGCGGTCGATCTTCATTTCAACCTCGAGCAGCTGCGGCATACACAACAGATGCACTCGTTCAACTCTTAGCTGTCGTTATCGAGCAGCATCGTGCTGGAGATGAGAGTCAGACTGTTGTCCTGATTGGCCATAGCATGGGCTGCTCTCTAGCTGCACTTCTGGCTTCACCGACGTCGCCTCATGCCCATTTACTTTCAAAGCATATCAGTGGAGTGGTCGCTATTTGTCCCAAGGCAGGACCCCCGACTGAGGATCAAACAAAGCTTCTGCGTCGAGTCACCTCAGTACCCGCGATGCTTTTCGACCTATACAGAAGGTGGGACCGTCGTGGCGGAATTAACAGTGCTAGCGTACTTCGTATGGCTGGACCAGACGCTGAAGAGGAGACCAAGAAACTGCAGCTGCGGTTTAACAGACAGAGTCGTACCGCGGTGTGGCAGCGCATGGCACGCGGGATGTGTCCGGACTATGCCGTCAGCCCTCCTGCGGGCGGTCTCCCTGGACGCCAAACCTGGATGGGCTTGGAGATACCAATCTTTCTTCTTGCCGGCGAGGCCGACTCTGTGACACCAGCAGATAACGTCAAGCTGATTGTTGATTACCTCGGGAGAGACGTGGGGGCCATCGAGCCTCCCAGCGAAAAAGCAAGTTTACCGATCGCTGCAGCACCGTTCGACCCAGCAGTTGTAGACTCTGCTTTCGCAGAACGTAAGCATCAAGACTCGGGCATCGATGCAAATGATCTCCCGAAGCTGGACAGCGAGAGGAGCGCCTCTAGTACAGCAGCCGCCTCTACGATCGGCGAAAGCCTTATTCAAACCGAGACCCGTACTACAGATGGCAGTGTCGTCACGGCGATTTCATCTCCTACAGCCGCACCACCGTCTAATAACCCTTCACCGCATCCCCGCCGCCTCGTTGTTAAGACCACGATCATGCCAAAACCCGCGGCACACTCCATGCTCTTCGCACCATCCACCTCCCGCACCCTCTCCGGCCTCATTGGCAGCTTCCTCGCCGAGCACGTCGACCCACGTCTCTCGCTGGCCTGGCAACTCCAATACCTCTCCACCACGAATAAGTGGGATGTCAAGAACTTTGCAAAATGGCAAGCCATCACCCCCGTCTCGGCCCCGATCGCCCACACCTTCCGCGCCATGAAAACTCTCCGCGAAGTCGACGCCCACCACGCCCCCAAGATCCTCGCCCGCGAGTGGCACAACAAGATCTCCGCGGTTATCGATATCAGCCACGACAACCCCGTCTACGACCCCGCCGGTCTCGAAGCAGGTGGAATAGCGTACTTCAAGTTCCCCACCGTGTCCAAGCAACCCCCCCTGCGCGCCGAAGTGCGCGCCTTCATCGCGCTCGTCGACGACGTTGTGACGCAGATGCGTGAGCAAAAGAGACAGGGCCTCGTGGCGGTGCATTGCCATTACGGGTTCAACCGCACGGGGTTCTTCCTCGTGTCCTACCTGGTTGAGCGTCTGGGGTGGAAGGTCGAGGCGGCGCTGCAGGCGTTCCAGGAGGCGCGGCCGCCGGGCATCAGGCATAGTCATTTTGTGGATGAGTTGCATGTGAGGTACTGTGATGGGTTGAGGAGGGCGCCTACGCTGTAGGTGTGTCTGTAAGGAACGGAGGGGTGAGTGAGGATTGTGTCTTCAAGTTTTTGAGGGGTTAGCGGTGCGTTTGGCGTTCTGGGTAACGGATATGGGGCATGGTGTTTAGGTCGATGGGTTTGAGCTGGTGGGTACGGGGACTGGACTGGGACTGGGAGGACTGGAGAATGAATACTTTCTCGTCCGCTCGCGGCGTGTAGTCCTTGAATGACACGACGTTGAAACAAGAAGCGTCCCACTTAAGATGACATCAAGTGTGTGGTGTTGAGTTGGAGATGAAGTGACTGATTGGATTAACGCCTCGCTATGCCTATGCCTGTGGCTCGTGGGTATCGTGGCATCGTGGAAAGACTATATCGAAGAAAGAAAGAACAGGCGCGCGACGCCTCACACCGCCCCTGTCGACGCCGCACACCACAACGACGTACTAAAACCACGCAACGCTCCACAGCGCCGGCATCTGCGGCCACCTCTCCTGCCAACTCGCCAGAATCTCCGGCACCTTCTCGTCGAACCCCTCGCGCGCGGCGCCGCCCGCCGCCCACCCGCCCGCACCATGCACCCCGTGTTCCTTCGCCGCAGCCTCGTTCAAACTCAGCGCGAGATCCAGAATCGCCTTGCCCCCAACCAGCGCCTCCTCGTGGTTATCCCTGATATCGACATTGAACACATGCACCGGCCGATTCAGCTTCCCGCCTTTATTGTGCAGGTCCTCGAGTACGGCGTCGAAGCAGCGCTCCTCGCACGTGAACACAACATCCGCGACGCCCGCCTCGGTGCCCGCGTAGCCCTGGTCCGTGTCGTGCTCCAGGCGCGGACTCCCCGGGACCCAGTCCTGGAAGCGCTCGGGGAAGCGCTTGATGTTTAGGTTGCGGCTGAGCATGTTGAGCAGGCCGTTGTGGGTGTACAGGGCGGTGTTTTGGGCGGCGAGTTCGTCGTGGATGGTGCGGTAGGTGGTGCTGTTGAAGTGGTAGACGTTGGGTTGGGTGATGGTGGGGCCGGGGAGGCGGACGAGGGAGCCCGTGCCGAAGGAGATGGTGGGGAGGTTGGCGGAGGCGAGTTGGAGGTGGGCTTCCATGGAGCTGGGGTGTGTTAGTGGAGGGAAGACTCGTGTGAGGAGCAGGCAGGACGCATACCGGTTCTGGTTGCTGGCGCAGACGGTGCAGAATTTCAGCTTGAATTGGTCGTCGGGGACGGTGGGCTGGGTCCGGGGCGCGAGCGTGGGTGTATCGCTGGCCCCGTCCACGCTGGGCTGGGGCTCTGCGGGCGGCGGCGGCGGCGGTGGAGGCACGGGTGCGGGCTGCTGCTGTTGACGCGCGCGCAGGCGAGGGTCGGCGGACATGATGGCGGGCACGATGACGACACGGCGGCACGGATAACGGGAGATGAATGGAGGGGCACGTGAGTTGGTGTTCAGGGCACGCGGCGGGTGAAGGATTACGCGACGAGCGACGGCACGTGACGGCGAGACGGCGAGGAACGCGCGGTGGATGCGGTCACCGGTGGGTCTCCAATCTCGAATCTGCAAATTCTTCACGCTGTCAGCAATGCTCTCGCAAGGTTGGTGCAGCGACAATGGCTGGCGGGCGTAGTTCAGAATTTTCAGTGTTTAAGTGAATCCTCAAAGGCTATTGCCTAGGACAGCTCCAATAATAGTATTCATCATCACGGCAGAGGCTATCTACGCAGTGGTACTTACAGGGGAGGCGCTGACGACGTTTGGATCGAGCTGGCGCGGTGATGGGTGCGAGTAGGCACGGCACTGTGTGCGAGCAGGCAGAGCCCTTGGTAGAGGGTGATGAGTGAGGTGTTGACGGTCGTCGATGGACGTGGTTTTACTGCTCGCTAAACGCGCGCTAGCTGCAAATGGCTACTTCGGCGAGCCTCCAAATGGGCTCTCACGTCTGGATGAACGGCAGACTACGCATATGAGGTGGAGATTCTACTACGCGACAGTAACGTAGGGAGAATGCACAAAAAGCAGATGGAATGCTCTTTTGCCTACAATGTAGGTAGTTGTAAGATAAGTTCTAGCTTTTGATATTATGGTAGCGACAAGTTCTTTATGCAGTTGGTCAGCTTGAAGGTCGCTTGTCCGCCGTTTTTCTGGCACTTGAGAGGAGGGGCACAGCAGGCGGCACGGCAGTGAGTCGCCGAGGCAGGCTGGTTGCTGGGGCATTGAGCAGTTCTTTTCGACCAGACGAGAGATTGCGCTCCTCTTGCGGAAGTGCGAGGCCTGAAGGGGCAAGAGGCGGCTCATCTCCGCCGCCGAGGAACGGTGGTCGAGCTGGCGGTTCAGCGGTCACGGTACAGCGGCGACGGTGCGGCCACGGTGCAGCGGCCACGCGTGCGTGACGACGAGGGCTGCTGGCGTCGCGGGCCCCATGGTGGCAGTCCACAGTGCAGACGGCGATGCGTGGCCGCAGTGCTACAGTGCTGCAGGGAGCGCCCTCGCGGCTGGCAGAGGCCCCCATGCAGCTAGCCTTCACTGCCTGAAACCAGCACGTGAGAACTAATCCCAAGCAGTGCCGGGCGCTGGAGGCGGGTGCGAGGCAGAGCCGCCAGCAGCCAGCGAGCCAGCGACAGCGACGGCGCCCTCGACCAGCCGCCCTCACGCCCGCCTGCGCCGCCCGAGCCCTGAGCACAGCCGTCTGGAGCAGCCCGGTCGCCTCACGCCGCAGGGCCGTTCGCGAGTGACAGCGCCGATTGCGATTGCGATTGCGACGATTTCGTTTCACCACCCCCGCCGCCGCTATTTTTGGCCCAGCGCGCATCCGTCCACTCCAGCAGGCGGGCTCCAGCACCACCACCGCGCCCGCGACACTGCGCCCGCGACACACTGCCGCCCTCGCCCTCCTCGCTGCCGCCCCCTCGCTGCCGCGCGCCCCGCCGGCTGTCTCTCTGCGCCCGGCGGCCTCGACCCGGCCCCGGCCCCGGCTCTCGCAGGCTCTCGCACGCCCACGGGCTCTGCCACTGGGCCTCTTAGCGCCAGCGTGCCCGCCCGCCGCTCTGCAGGCGAGTCGCTGCTGGCCACTGGCCACTGGACCGCCGACCGCCGACTGCAGACCGCAGGACACGCCCAGCAGCAGCGCCGCACCGCCGCCCCGCCGTATATAAGCCGCGCCCGCGCATGCCCGAGCCCGAGCCCGCACCGCGCCCTCCCATGGCGGCCGACGTCCTGGCCCAGCGCGACGCCGCGCCGGCGTACGTGGGCTCCAACCGCACCTCGCTGCCGCCGCTGGTCACGTCGCCGCCGTCGCACGCCAAGCTGGAGCGCGCCAGCTCGTACGCCAGCAAGCGCATGTCGGCCGTGGCCGCCGCCGTGGCCCCCGCGCCCGCCCCGCGCTCGCGCCCGCAGTCGGTGGCCTTCCCCGCCTTCCACTCGAGTCTGCCGTACGCCCTGGTGCGCGACTTTGCCTACGAGCCCGCCCACCCGCTGTACTACGGCCCGCTGCCCGCCGAGCACCGCTCCGGCGCCTCGACCCCCGCCAGCGACCGCAGCCGCCGCCTGAGCGACCCGCCGCCCGTGGCCTGGCGCACCGACCGCGGCGCCCGCGCCCCGCAGCACCTGGGGCTAGGCGAGCAGCTGCCCATGACGGCCTTTGGCGACGGCCCGCCCTACAGCGAGGACGACGACCTGGCCAGCCCCGTCGTCACCAGCCACCACAGCGCCCGCCACAAGAAGCAGAAGTCGAACCAGGTCGACTTTGACCAGACCCGCGGCCGCCGCGCCCCCGAGGAGCACCGCCGCAGCTCCGTCACGGGTGTCAACGGCGAGGGCAGCTACTACCCCAGCCACGTCAACGACGCCGCCAACGGCATCGGCGGCGAGTACATCACCTACCCGCCCAGCTCGTCCGCGTCGCTCGACGTGCCCGAGGGCGCCTCGCGCCGCGACTCGCACTTTGCCGCCATCCTGCCCCAGCGCTCCTATGCCAACGAGGGGCCGCCCTACCACTCCGATGCCGACGACGACGATGACGACGACATGTCCGAGCCCGGCGACTACATTCAGGACGACAACCGCTTCTCGCGCGACTACCAGTTCACCATCGCCTCGCCCGACGAGGAGATGCACGGCAAGGCCGTCGCCCTGTTCGACTTTGCCCGCGAAAACGACAACGAGCTGCCGCTGGTCGAGGGCCAGGTCATCCTGGTCTCCTACCGCCACGGCCAGGGCTGGCTGGTCGCACAGGACCCCAAGACAGGCGAGAGCGGGCTGGTGCCGGAGGAGTACGTGCGCCTGCTGCGCGACATCGAAGGCGGCTGGAATGGCCTCATGAACGGCGCCGTGCAGGCCCAGGAAGCCAGCACCGGCCTGGACAGCCTGCTCAGCCCCATCTCAGCCGGTCCCGAGGCCAGAACCCCCACCCAGGCCGACCACACCTCCTCGTACACGCCCGTCATATCCACCTTCTCAACAAGTCACAAAGACCTAGAGCCCTATCCCAAAGACCGGCTCGCCACACCAACAAACCCCGAGGGAGGAGCCTTCAGCAAGGGAAGAGAAGACGGCCCGATGGAGGGCGTCGAGACGACCACCCCCAACCACCAGAGTTCATGACCTTGAAGGCACGCACTCACTCTTCACGACATTCGCTTCGCCCCCATGTCTTAACCAGCCTTTTTTGCGCCTGCATGCATTTCCCGGCGTCCCCCTCGCGCTAGCATGTTGCTCTCCACAGCTCCAGTACGCTGTCCCTCCCACGAGAGACCTCGCCCTCGGCCGCGCCCTCACACGCCCCCGCGCGCTCCTCCGCGCCGCGCCACGCCGTCTGCGGCGCCAATCTACGTTTTTGTAGTTGTACTGCTTTTCCCTTCCTTTTCTCATCTTCTACTCCGACTTCTTCTTCTACACCTCCTTTTTTCTCTCAACGAGCCATCCCCCCCAGAGCTCCCACTTTTGGTTTTGTACGCGCGCACCCTTTTTTGTTTTTGGTTTTTTTGTTGGCAATGTCGCCCTGCTTTATTTGGGGGGGGCTTACGATTTGCGATGGCGCTTGGGCTGGGCCGGGAGATGATGATGACGGATGGATACCTCGAGGGGCTTGGATGGGAAAATGGGCGAGGGGTGGCGCTATGCGCTGGGTGCGGAGGGGGTGAGAAAGTTAATATATCATGTTCAAAAGTGCGGAGAGACTGCGTGACTATGGCCCTGATGTCTGACATGTATGGTCCTGGCTGTTTGATCGCGAAGGCTTGTGCATCCTCATTCTGGTCTTCACGGTGACGTCTCGCGGCCTGGAACTAATCTGCAGCTTACTGACCGCCTGGTGTTGGCGTGCTCGCCATGTGCCAGCCTCGAATATCAGCCTCGAATACCAGCCTCAACTACCCGCCCCAAACACGCTTCACGCCGCACCGCATCCACCCGCTGGAACTCACAGGAGGCAAGTCTACCTGCCCGCTCCAGTGACTATGTGCTCGCTGAAACAACACTTGGTTGCACTTGCCCGCACCGGCTCCAAGCCAACGGCTCGCCTGATCTTTCAATGTCGACCCACAGCTATCCACTCCCGCTGAATGGAGCAGCTGTGTCGAGGGCACTATTCCCACAGTTCACGCCCACACGCACCGAACTGCACGCAGGCATGCCCAACTTGCTATCAGCGCAGCTGCGAAGTTAGAAACGAGGGATCAATTGGAGGTCTGGCTGTGATATTGAAGCGCATTGGGCGTGACAAAGAAGCCTCCAATCCCGTGAACCCAATCCGTTGAGTCCGACGAACAGCGACTCAGACATCCAGGGCAGCGCACAGTCTTTTATATCCGCACGCAAAACGCACCAAATACATTCTGTACGGTGCCTACACATGTCACTCTGCTCGCGTTCTGCAGTCCTCACGGCGTGCCCCTCCCTTATCAGCTTATCGCCCGACCCCTCACCCCTCCTCGCCCTTGAACTCGCAATTTACATGCTGCGGCAAGTGACTCTGCACGCGCCAGCCAATCCGCAGCGCCGCATTGCAGGCCGTCAGGTATCGTCAGATGTCGTCGCAGCGGGGCCCTTGCCGACGGGCCAGCTCGGCGCTCCACCTCCTAGCACCGCGAGCTGCGGGCCCGCGTTTAAAGCCGCGCGCCCCGCTAGCTGCGCGTGCGCCAGACTCGTTGACATACTTGTCCAGCCAGAAGTTATTACAGTGCATATCCAAGCAGCACTTCCAATTGCTGGGCCTCTGTTTCAAAGCGCTGTGGTGCGGGCTCGGATGTGAAGAAAGTGTGATTGCAAGAGCGCATGGCTGAGGGATACAGGCTGGGCGTCGATGTGGGCGGGTGAGTCGCGTCTCTTGTTTCCGCGGGCGGTGCCGTGTCGACGCGTGTTGATACTCACCACCATCCATTGCTGTTCATTGAAGCTGGCCAACCGCTTGTCCGTGCGTGCACGCTCGCTAACGCGCACAGCACCTTCACCGACGTCTGTGTCATCACGCCCGCAGGCGAAGCTATCCGCGCCAAAGTACCCACCAACACCGCCGACCAGTCCGTCGGCGTGCAGGATGGCGTCGATCAGGTGCGCCGCGTGCTGGAGGCCCGGTTTGGCTGGAAAGGCAGGTTCGAGTATGTGCATCACGGGACCACGACGGGGACGAATGCCGTGCTCGAGGGGAAGGGCGCGAAGGTCGGGCTGGTCGTTACCAAGGGCCACAAGGACATCTTGATGGTCCGCAGGAGTCAGATTCCAGGCGGGCTCGGCGCGTGGATCAACTATGTGCAGCCCGAGCCGCTGGTGCCGCTGGAGCGCACGGTGGAGGCGAAAGAGCGCGTGACGATCAACGGCGAGGTGTTTGTGGAGCTGGACGAGCGCGAGTTCAGGGAGAGTCTGCGGGATCTCAAGCGCCAGCGGCCGCAGGCGATTGCCGTGTCGCTGCTGAATTCGTTCAGCAACAATGTGCACGAGGAGAAGATCCGCGGGATTCTGCGCGACGAGTTTGGGCCCGACGTTGAGATCGTCACGTCGACGGATGTGCTGCCGGAAATCCAGGAGTATGAGCGGACCGTCACCACCGCGGCCAACGCGATCGTCAAGCCGGTGGTGAAGACGTATATGAAGAACCTCCAGAAGAAACTGGCAAAGGACACAGACACCCTCCGTATCCTCAAGTCAGACGGCGATCTGACGTCCGTCGACCTTGCAGGCGAGGCCCCGGTGCGCATTCTCATGAGCGGGCCGGCGGGCGGCGTGAAAGCCGTCTCGCACCTTGTCGCCAAAGACACCCCCTACAAGAACCTCATCACGTTCGACATGGGCGGCACAAGCACCGACTGTGCCTTATTATCCGGCAGCGAAGCCATCATCCGGCGCGAGACAGAAGTCGGGTCCCTCACCGTCCGCGCGCCATCCGTCGACGTCAAGACCGTGGGCGCCGGCGGCGGGTCGATAGCCATCTACAACGAGTTCACCAAGAACTTCCGCGTCGGGCCTGAGTCGAGTGGCGCCACACCCGGGCCCGCGGCATACGGCCGAGGCGGGACGCAGGCCACAGTGACAGACGCGAATCTCACTCTGGGCTATCTGCCGTCGAAGCTACTCGGCGGCAAGTTCGAGCTCGATGTCGCTGCGTCGGCGGCCGCTGTTGGTGCGATTGCGGCGCAGATGGGCATGGACTCGATATCTGCGGCGGAGGGCATTATCAATTTGGTGAACGAGTCCATGCACGGCGCTCTGCGGCTGGTGTCCATCGAGCAAGGCTACGATCCTCGTGACTTTGCTCTTGTCGCGCTGGGCGGGGCAGGGCCGATGCACGCAAATTCACTGGGTAAGCTGCTGGATTCCTGGCCAGTCATTGTCCCGCCGAGTCCAGGTGTGCTGTGCGCGCAAGGCGACGCTATCACGAAGATGTCGCATGAGTCGAGCTGCACATACATCAAGATATTCTCAGAGATCGAGACTGAGGATCTCACAAAGACTCTGGATGGTCTGAAGAGTAGCTGCGTGCAGACGATGAAAGAGTCGCTCGCAGACGAACACGCCAGTTTGAGGATTGTATACCAGTCCGATATGCGGTATCAGGGCCAAGCTATGACGCTCACAGTAGACTTCAGCGAAGACGATGCACGAGATGCTTCGCACCTCCTGGAGCATCTTCGCGCAAAATTTAACAAAGCCCACGAGCACCAGTTTGCCTTCTCGCACGCGAATGTCGAGCTTGAGATCATGCGCCTCCGCGTCAGAGTCACCGATGCATCTGAGGAAGTGGCAATCAAACCTGTTGGGAAAGCAGCATCGTCGACGCCGCCTCAGGACGCTGTCGTAAGCAAACAGAGCATCATATACGAAGGCAAGAAGGTCGAGGCCACATTCTGGGACCGAGAGAAGATCACAAAAGCTGGCATCAAGATCGCCGGACCCGCTGTTATTACAGAGATGGACTCGAACACGTTGATCTTGCCTGGGTATTTCGGCGAGATAGACAACATGGGCAATATCCTGATCTGGCCCGAGAAACAGACGGTGCGCGAGAAAAAGATACACACGAAGGAATCTGCGGCGAGACTCGTGCAGGAACAGCCTCTGTTGCCTACCCTTGTTGGGTCGGCCCTCGCTTCGATTCGTCGCGAGATGGATACGCTGATGCTGCGATGCGCGATGAGTCCGGCTATTAGAGAGCAACAAGACGAGTTCAACGTCATTACAAACACCCGCGGGCAGATGCTTGTCGGCCAGTTTGGAAGCTTCATCCAGCAGTTCCTGAACGGCTGGTCAGGCTCGATCGAGGAGGGAGATGTCTTTGTGACGAATGATGTGTACCAGATCGATGGAGCTGTGTCGCATCTGAACGATGTCATCATTCTGGTTCCTATACACTATGAACACCGACTCGTTGGCTGGGCGGCCAACTTTGGTCATCTAACTGATGTGCAGGGGAAAGTGCCGGGGTCGATGAGTATCAACGCCAGCACGATCTTTGAGGACGGCTTGCAAATACCCATCGTCAAGCTCTACGAGAGGGGCGTATACAACGAAGCACTGGCAACGGTGCTCTTCCGCAACTCGCGTATGCCAAACTGGTTCCAGAGCGATCTGACAGCACTCGTGACAGCGTGTAGAACCGCAGCTACGCGCGTCAACGAGCTGTGCGAGCGGTACGGCGTCGAGCTCTACGAAGCCGCGACCGACCACCTCCTCGAGCAGAACAAAACCGCCATCAAAACCATCATCGACAGCAAGATCGGCCCCGAGAAATCGAGTTTCACCGACTTCATCGACGACGACGGGCAAGGCGTCGGGCCCTACGCCATCTCCTGCTCGATGCAAAAAGAAGGCTCCAAGCTCGTCTTCGACTGGGACGGCACCTCTCCGCAATCCAACACATCCATGAACTTCTACCTCAGCAAGACCATGTTCAAGATCTTCATCGGCTACTACCTCCTCGCCATCTACGACCCCCACGTCCTCGTCAACGACGGCTTCCACGACCTCCTCGACATCCGCATCCCGGAGGGCACTATCCTGCGCCCCGTCCGCCCCGCCGCTGTCTCGTGCCGCACGCACCTGCTCGGCCGCGTCATGGACGTCATGCAGGCGCTGTTCGGCCAGCGCAACCCCGCGTACCGCTGCGCCGCCGGCTTCTCCGACAGCCCGCACCTATTCTACTCGGGCTTCAAGCCCGACGGCGCGTTCTACCTGCTGTACCAGATCGGGTTCGGGGGCGTGCCGGCGCGGCCGATTGGCGACGGGCCGGACTGCCACTGCTTGTTCCCCGCGATCAAGTCGATTCCCGCGGAGAACATCGAGTTGTATTTCCCCGTCATTATCGAGGCGAACGAGGCGCTTGCAGACTCCGGTGGGGCGGGGTACTACCGCGGCGGGAACGCGCAGCGCACGCTGTACCGCTGGCTGTGCGAGGGCGATCTGAGCATCCACGATGACCGGTGGCTGGTGAAGCCGTGGGGTGTGAACGGCGGGATGCCCGGCAGCAGGTCCAAGAAGATCATCTACCGCAACAACAGCTACGGCACGCCTTCTCAAAACGAACACATGGAGATTGTCCAGAGCAAGATGGACCATCTGCACGTCTATCCTGGTAAGTCGCCTTTCCCCTCACACTTCGTACACCCATCCCTCTCTCCGCACCTCGACGCTAACATACCCCAGGCGACGTCCTCGAATGGATAACCTGGGGCGGCGGCGGCCTCGGCAACCCCCTTACCCGCCCACCCGCCCTCGTAGCGCAGGAAGTGCACCGCCGCCTCGTGACGCCCGCCGGCGCGCGCCGCAACTACGGCGTCGTCGTGCGGCCCGACTATTCCGTCGACGAGCACGGCACCGCGGCGCTGCGCGCCTCCATGGCGCGCGAACGTGCCGCTGGGACCACCAACGGCACCCAGGACGGCGCCAGCGGCGACACAGCACGAGATGCCAGTGATGAAGTGGGCGGTGCAGAAGCCAACGAGGAGGGTGACAGAGTCGGCTACAACCGCGGCGGCACCCTCTCCCAGCTCCTCGCCTCCTGCAAGCAGGACACGGGTCTCGCGCCGCCGCGCCCGCAGTGGGAGCGCGATCCGTACGGGCCGCACACGGGGCTGCCGTATGTGCAGGCGTGGTATGCGCGGATGCGGAAACAGGGTGTTGCGGGGTGGGATCGCATTTGAGTACCTAAGCTGGGAGCGGGAGCACTGTGTTCTGATAGCGATCGAATACGCATTGCTGTACCCATGTGAGGCCTTGGCGTGATGGCGCGCAGAGACGTGCGTTCAAACGGGGACAATTCCGATTGCTACGACAGTTGTAGCAGGCTGACGATCGCCGCATGGCGCTTCTTGACGGCATGGTCCAGCGGCGTCCGCCCCTTGAAGTCTCGCAGCACCGCATCCGCACTACCCGCCACCAGCAGCAACTTCACGATGCCCTCGTAGCCGTGCGCAGCCGCGTACGACAGCGCCGTGCGGCTCCACTCATCGCCGACATGCGTGCGCGCCCCGTGCTGGAGCAGAAACGCGACGATGTCCTCGTGGCCGCCGCGCGCCGCGTACACCAGCGGCGTGCGGCAGAAGCACTCGTCGCGCGCGTTGACATCGGCGCTGCCGACCTCGACGAGGAGCCGCACGGTGTCGAATCTGCCTCGCTCCGCGGCGTGGGACAACGGGGTGCGGCCGTAGTCGTCGGGCGCGTCGACGGCGGCTTTGCGCGTGGTGAGGAGCAGCTCGATGATTGCGGTGCCGGGGAGGCTGGCTTTGAGGGAGAGCGGGGTGCGGCCAAGTTTGTTTCTGCAGTCGGCGTTGGCGCCTTTGTCGAGGAGGAGTTTGATGAGGGATTCGTTGTCGAGGGCGACGGCGAGGAGGAGCGGGGCTTGGTGGTTTTTGTCTGTGGCGTTCATGTCGACTTTGTTCGTGTCGAGTAGTAGCCGGACTGTGTTGAGGTTCTGGATGTAGACAGCGCAGAGTAGTGGAGGGCGGAGATAATAGTCGTCTCTCCAGTTGACGTCGGGTGTGCCGTACTGAAGTAGTGCCTGGACGGTGTCTGCATAGCCTTGTGCTGCTGCGTACCAGAGTGGTGTCTGACGCAAGACGTAGGGCACGGTATCGACCCGAGCTTTGCCGATTTGCAGCAAGGCTTTGATGACAGCCGTATGGCGATAGAAGGCAGCGGACCACAGTGGAGTCCGGCCAAGCATGTCTCTCGAGTCCACTGCGACCTTGCAGTGTTGGAGCAGAGTCTTAACGGCTCCGAGATGCCCAGATGCGGAAGCAGAGGCCAGCAGTGACATGCCATCGCCGTTCTGCAGCTCGACGTCAGCACCATGCTGGATCAGTATCTTGACTATGTTGACATGCTCGTTCATAGCAGCATAATACAGCGGTGTGCGTCCTACCAAACCTGTTGCGTCTACAGAAGCCTTGTTCTGCAGTAGAAGTAAAACCATGCTCTCGTGGCCATTTTCTGCAGCTAGCGATAGCGCGGTCCTTCCAATGCTATCGGTGGTGTCCACGACGGCTTTGTATCGCAGCAGCAGCTTGACTGCATCTTCATGTCCATTGGAAGCCGCATATGCCAACGGGGCGCGATCGTACTTATCATCATGAGACCTTGATTCGACGCTGATCTTGCTCGACGTGAGAAACAGCTGAATGATAGGTCCGTGCCCATTCCTGGCGGCGGACGAAAGTGCTTGCCGCATTTCCCGTGTGACATCGTATTGATCCTTCTTTGTCAACTTCAGCTCCTCAATAAGCGGCCCTACGAGATTGGTAAGTCCCAGGGCTGAAGCCAGACGCAAAGCCGACGGGGGAACCGGAAGATGATAGTTTCCATGTACGGCCGCCATCCATCTAGACTTTCCTCCAGCTACGCATAAGTCTCGTGCTTGTGCTATCAATTCTGCTTGGGTATCAGGTGGCGAGTGACGATAGTGATCTGCCCAGTGGTTTGCCGCGTAGTCGAGAAATGATAGACCTGGGGTGTCGATGGAAACGTGCAAATACATGATACACGTTGCTGCTAATACGGTATGACTCTCCTTCAGATCAAAAGACCCCCGCCAGTGATCAGCTTCATTCTTGGCTTGAGTGATTTCGGCACTTTGTGGTTGTTGTGGAGTTGCGTTGCTGCGCAGCAGAAATTCTTTTGCTGTTTGATGCAGCAAGTAGACCTTATCATCTACGATGACGACAAAAAGTCCACATAGCTCCCTTATATGTGATCGGATTCTACTCTGAGGTATGATTGCGTCGGCTGTTGAGGTTCCAGTATCGCTGTCTTGGAATGCGATAGCTATAGGAATCTCCGTGAGAGACAAAGGTCGTCGTGCTCCCAGAACGATAAGCAATAATCTTCTTGCCTTCTCTGGATCTGGGCTTCTTCCCAAGATCTTCTCGTAGGCGCCATGTATTGACTGCGGAAGCTTCTTTGTCAACGCCATGATATCGTCCTTGCAGATGCCGAGCTTGCTGTCCATCAAGCCGCTGAATGTTAGAGAAATCCACAGGTACGTCCTGTTTGAAACCGAGCGAAACTGATTTGACATCAAAGCACGCTCATCTGTATCCATGGAAAAATAATCTGCAGTCTCCTTGATTCGACTCTCGAGGACAAGATCAATTTCTCGAACAATCGCCTCCGCTGTTGGTCCTTGATCGCCTTGTATGTGAATGGATGCCAATTGTGTCTGCAATTTGCCTGAAAGCCCAGCCGCAATATGGGAATGTGGTCGGCTGGTCAAAAGGAATCTCAACTTACCAGATTGATTGGTGCGGTCTGTCTTCGCATTACAGACCAGAGCAATGGCGTCTGTAAGGTCCTTCCTATCCTGCTCGGCGCATTCGTCCAGGGCGTCGAAGACACAAACAGTGTCTACGCGGTCAGTTGCAAGAACGAACGTACTCCAGAGGTTTGGAAAGGACCCGAAAAAATTCTTGCCTCGATCCAGATACAGTCTCAACAGATCCTCGGTCAAAAGGTGGCGATTGGCGCTTAAGAGTTGATGGAGAACAGAGCAGAGTGCTCTTGTGATCCCCTTTTGGAACTCGACATCATCCTTGAAAAAGAAGTAGCAGACTGTTCTTCCTTTCCTTGGTAGGACGTCATCGACAAGGTACCGAGATAGGACGGATTTGCCACACCCAGGATCTGCTGTCACATATAGCAAACCAGTCTGTTCATCATTCGACGATGAATTCCATCCTTGGAACAGGCTATGTTTTGTAAACCATTCGCAGGTTCCAGGAACTCGTTTGCAGTTTCTGCTTTTGCTGTCTTCATACATACATGCATTATCGTAGAGCAGCGGAAGAAACTCGTCTATCATCGTTAGCAACACTCTGCTGCCCATCTATTATGGTTTATGGACTACGTACGTTGCGCCATGACCAACGCGGCTTTAGTGGTTGCTGCCACTTCATCCTCCGGAACAATTGAAAGCAGCTCTTTTGCGTATGCAGCCGCGGTACCTGCTGCATACGGCTGCCACCTTTTGTTCTTGTGCGAATCTGCGTAATCGCATATTCCGCGAATTACCAAGCAGGGAAAGCTGTTCATCAAGCCTGCTGCTTCCATCTCAAAGCAAAGCACGTGACCAAGTCCAGCACTGACTCTATCACGGTCAAGAGCGTCCCGCATCACTTGGTTGCCCGATGCAATCGTCCCATAGTGCACCCGAATCTGATCCCGTGGTTCCCGTTCCACTTGCTTTGCCTCTCCGCAGTTTACACACGTCTGTCCTCCTTCGTGAGCATAGCTTGCCTCAAAAAGGACATCTGGGCCAGCAGAGTCGCGATTGTAATCGGGCAGCTTTTTGAGTTTTGCGTGGAATTCCAACAGCTGGCTTTTCCCTCTCAAATGCTTAGCCTTCAGACTGGCCACCGCGTTGAGGAGAATGGTAGGTGGAGTATTGAGTGTACCGGTCCGCTCAAAGCCATTTGGAGTCGATTTGCCAAAGTCATATTGCACTACTCCTCCATGCACTTGGTGCGGTTTGCTGACCACGATGTCCCCTAACCGGACATCTGCGTCGTCGCTTGGTACCCCTCCACCAATGCCTACCATCAGGCCGAAGCGAATGGATGTGAAAGTCGACTTCATCTGCGCCGCCACTGCTGCAGCCGAGTTTGTGCCTGTCTGACCATCGGGTAAACAGGCAATGACCACATTGTGCTTGCCAATCTGTCCACAGGAATAAATATTTGTGTCGTAGGCGGTGACCTCGGGTGTTGGAAGTTCCTCATCTAACATCTCCTGCGCTGCGGCCAGTTCCACGGGAAGCGCGCATACCCACCCGACCGTGAAGTCCTCGCGCCGCAGCTGTCGGTTTGTTGTTGACATTCTGTTTCATAATAGAGGGTTGTCCGTGGGAAACGGAGGAGAACTGGGCCTTCCACACTTGGGCAATATATGACCTTGCGACGGTCTGGATAGCGAACAGCGAAAGGCTCAGCCTCCCGATGACTGTCTTTACCTACATAGTTAGGTGTGCGACGATTGGCAGTGCCCATTTCTGCCCACAAGCTGAAGCCGGCCTCCGGCCTTTCCCCGCTTGCTTAGCGTCGGACGGTCTGGCCGACTAGCGTCTATCAAAACGCTGAGATATCTGAGCCATATGTTATAGGTTCTTAACGAAACAAGTAGACTGTGCTTTTGTTTGAGCCACGTTGTAACTCAAGGTGCCCGGTTCAAAGTCGCTTGGCTTGTCCTGATGAGATTCATGATTTGTGCCGGCAAGTATGACCACCCATCGCAAGGCTGAGCCGAGTAGCGTGTGATTGTGTTCAGCCTTTCCGGCCTGGTCAGGCTAGCGCATATGTACATAGTCGATGGCGATGCATGCTAGGCCGCCATGTTATAATCTCATCGCTTCCACGTGTTGGCGGTTATGCGTGCAGATGTGTCTGTGAGAGCTGGCCGGCCCTATTTCAAGACAGCATCTTGCAATCACTATACCTATAGCATCGCCATTCATGCCGTGCACGTGCGAACATCAACCAAAGATCTGAAAGTGACCATTAAGCACCCCAAAAGGATGCGTGTCACACCTGCATCGCCAGCCCGGACAAGCCTTCTTCGGTCGTGTTGAGACACCCTCAACCTCACAAATAAAATCAGAATCCGCAAAAAGAAATATGTCAAAAAGCAATCACACGATAGCACAACACGCGACGCGCCGTGGTAAAGCATTGGTGTGACTTTGATGGTGAGGCGCTACGAATAGCGCGACTAGCGCTTTTGCTATACCACACGAAGGAATTTCGTCCGCTCTGACCCGCCGCGCTACCTCTGCCGCTGCGAGCTACAATACCACCCGCCCCGAGCCGCCCCCTGGAGCAATCGACTCAGCCGGACTTCAGCAAAACTGGGATTTGGCAGCATTGAAATACATGGATCTATTATGCCTTCATCAGAAAGCAGTCAACAGTCTAGGCAAAAGTTCTGGTGACACACACGACAGAAAGGTGTACGATTTTTTAAGAGCTCCTAGGTTCGAGTACGTACGTTGTTTCCAAGACCAGGCCGATGGCAACATGATGTCGATGAAGAAGGTTATGGAGACTCTCAATTCCCCCTCGGGCAACGATGAGCTCCTTCATAAGACACAAGCGGCCTGCGACGAGGTCAGTCTTGATCAGAACAGCGAAAATCCGTACCTACGACTACCATCCAAAGACATAATCGATAGGTTTGCCGAACCCGCAAAAGTTCTTCCCGTATCGAAGCGCTACTGTCCGGCATGCTATGCGCTTATGCAGTAGGTTAATGAGAACGCCAACGAAAAGATTCTATATCCTGGATACCATGAGAACTGGTTCACGGCAGCCCTACCTCCTTGGCTTCCGCGAAAGGCTGGTATGGCCGTTATCAAGGCTGCTGAGACAAAGCTCGTGGAGAGGGTTGAGGAATATCTGAGATCCGGCACTCCGATTTCCAATTCTATCACAGGAACATCACCCATCACATCTCACCGCGAAGTTGATTTCGAGAGTTTTGGTCCTAATGGCGTTCGAATACCTGCGAACAAAAGGAAGCGCAGGAAGTTGGAAGAGGAACCAGATGCTTCGAGTCCGACCAAGAGGCGTTAGGGGATGTAGTTGTCAAGGATGGCCATGCAACAGCAAAGGGATGTGGAGCTTGCAGAGAAAAAAGACTAAAGGTCTACGTAAATTAGAAGGTCAATATCTTCATAACTGGCCTGGACGAGGGACTCTTGTCTAACAATCTCGTATAGTAGACCCATAACTTCCTGTTAACTTGAACTAGTCAGAGGAGCTGTTTTGTCCATGTACGGACTTCGATAGGAGCCACTGACTATAGGACCAAGAAAGTGGAGGGAGTGACTGGGAAGCCTTCTTCGCCAACACAAAATCAAAAAGATGGTTTACCAGTAGCTGGTAATCTAACATAGTTGACATACTGATAGATTATCACTACTTAGTCGCTCTCTGAGTTGTTTCTCATCGGGTCTACACAGTCAAAGAAACGAAGGCCTAAAGGCTCTACGTAGGTACAAGTCGGATCTCCACATCGTTGGACTCGCATTCGACGACCACTCTGCGGGAACAAGTTCTTCCTTCTATCCTTGCGCTCCATATCAAACGTCCCCTTTCATGGATTTCGGCAACAATAGGCGCAGCGATCTTGTTGGCAAGTTCCGTGGTGAGGATACCGGCAGCAAACGAGATAACATGGAAACTCAGGTTCCCGAGTACCCTGACGCTTCCAGTAGCCACCCTAACTGCAAAAGCCCTGGCCTGGCGTTTCTCCAGTTGCATCCTTTTCTCTATGTGAGCAACAGCTATGCTAAGTGAAGTGTTCACGTACGAAGTTTCGTCCCTGAAGACAACCAGGTCCTTCCCGGTAGGCTCGTTGATTGCGACATTGGAGATTTCAACAGTCTCGGGAAGAATAGCCAACCCGATCACGCTGTTGGGAAGGAGCAGTAGAGGTGCAAGATGAATGAGCTTCATGTTGGCGAAAGAGTAGATTTGAAGTTCGGAGACCGGTTATTCAAGTGGAGAGAAATTGATGAAGAAGACAGATAGCAGAAGGGATCCCTTTATAGAAAACTCAAGTATTCCTACCTGGTCTGGAACGTCGGATGATTTCGCTGCAATTAAGTGCCCATCGGTCGAGGGGGTTCATGTGAAGCCGAAAAATCATCGACCGAGGATAATTTATCATCCAGTTACTATAGACTTTTCGGTCCGTGCTGTCCATTGATTAAGAGTAGGCTTAGAGTGCAGATTGGTAATAATATCACTTGGAAAAGCATATAAACCGAGGTCTCCCGCCGACTGCTCTTTTCAATCATCCTACTGCTTGTCACTTAGAATTCCCGCCTATTTATCACTGTTGTATCAAGATCACAATGCGTGCCTCGATTGCTATTCTTCTTGCAAGCTTCCAGTAAGAACTCAGCCTTGCGCTACTTTATTTGTCGACCATTTGACTGATTTGAGAAAGTGTGCTTGTTAGCGCAGACAGTCACGATTTTGGGGCTTGCCAAGTGCGAACAGATGGTCCCATTGATCATGCTGCTACTGTGCGTGTAGCCGCGAATTGCAACAACAACTATATTCCAGGTTAGTTCATGAAATATGATGAAATATCTTCTAGCTGCTAAATTGTTCCCAGGACCGGCTGGATGGGGTCTTTCAGATGAGACTGCTATCTGGGCTCGCAGGGATAGTGGGGCTGGTCCACGATTCGAAGGCCTCTTCGTGAGTACCACCACTATTGTCATTCAGGACATACTAAGAGATGTTGTTTCTAGCTCCAAAATGGCGACCAACACACCGGAGGAATCGATGGCGATACACTTCATAGACTCTGCAGAGAAGCTGGAGCGGGAGATAGCTCGGCGTTCAGTTGCAACAGGTATCAAATCAATTCGGACAACAGGGTTCACTGCGTACAGTAGCTCTATTTTCCAGTAAGCCGAAGGCTGGAGCATGGCTTGCCGCTGAATTAGTTCTCGGGCCAAGCCTCTCCTATGGTCTGAATCTGGTCAAAACGCGGAAATTGATAAAGTCTTAGCAGACTATCTATGTAAATGAGATCAGGGCCCGGAACTACATTACGTAGAAAGTCTGTAAATATGACTCAGTCAATCAATCTGCTATTAAATACAATGGGTGAAAAGTCCATGTACGTGCGAGACACGAAAACTGTGAACCTTTTCAAAAGCTAGTCCCTGACTCATTTAGACGGTCGAGCGTGCCTTGTTTCTCGCGACACGTCTTAGTATAGATGTACTCTTTGATTAAAGGAATAGCTATTGGTTTGCGGTCACTCGGCTTTGTTCTACGCACATACACAAAAGCTACATTATGGGCCGAATGCTCTGCTAGAACTACTGCCAAGGCTCGTATGTAGACCATATAACTCGTCTCTATCGCTCTGTTTCTAGACTGTGGAACACCTGTGGGGCTTTACGAGGAGGTGTCTAACAAAACACGTAGCTAATGCGATAGAGAAGGATAGTAAGGCCGAATGCAGGTCTAAAGACCGTTTTAGGACTAGGGGCGGATTGTTTGTATGTATGATGTCGTGCATAAGCTAGGCTTATAGGGGAGAGTCGGGGCGGTGTAGAATGGCAGAGTTATTAAGAGAAAGAGGAAAGCTTTGCAGTTACGTACAAAGCGTTAGAGGCGTGTAGCTTCTACTATAGTGTTGTTAAGCAAGTAAGTTTAATATAGGTAATCTATTATGTGGACCACTAGTTCTATATACTACGGCCCGATACATGTCTCAAATACAAATGTAAATTCTATAGGTCCTATGACTTCGTTTTTTTTTTAGTTTGGCTTCTGCCGCGGCCTAAGCGGCTCTGTGTCAGCTTCTCGGCCTAGGAAGATCCGTTCCAGAGAGTACGAAATGGTCTGCTCTTCAGTCGCGCATGGGTTCTTCAGGAACAAATTCTTGTGAGATCTGCAGCCAAGAGATTAGACTCCGAACGAAGTCGACATTTGCGCCCCTGATAAGGGCCAGAAATGAAGAGTCTTCGGCTGCAAAGCTCTGAAATATCCTTTGTAAATTCTATTTTCTATGCTAATACCCTACATCGTTGCTTACAATCCTCACCAGCGTCACCGTCGTTTCCATGCTTCGATTGCGGTCCCTCGTCCATTTTGCCAACACGACTAACATGACATAGGACTCCCTAGAAGCCAGTCTCTAGTGGGAATGAACATGACGAATGAGGAGAATTGTGCAGGATAGCATGTTTGTACACCTCAAAGCGAACGTTCACAATTCAAGCTCACCGCTGCTTCCAATGAAGGCAGCATCATTTTACTCGAGCCCTGACTCAGCCATAATCTTTCTGGTGATGTCGAGACATCATGTTTGGAGGAAATGAAATTGTTTGACCTGGGGTTGCCTGATCACAGCATAAACCGACATCGATTCGTTCCAACCGCAGCTGCCCGTATACCACCCGCCAGTCCTAATTGGAACAGTGAAAGTCATGTTTGACCAGTATCCCGCGCATCACAATCACTCCAGACCCACAGAAATGTTCGTTACAAACTTCCCTTTCGATGTATGTATTCATTGAGGTCTTTGTCCTGGCTCCAAGGTTATCGATACCGACCGCACGATGGTCATTTCGGCTGGGGTAATGAAGTTGGAATGAGAGTAAGTAACGAGCCACTGCTGTCCTTGTGTTGTTCTAGAGGCCTTGTCCATTGCCGAGAGCAAACGCCGACCGGCCAATGATGACATCACGTGTAGCATATAACCGAAGCGCGCTAACCTCCTCTTCCCCAGATTAAGTAATTTAGCCCGCTGCATCCCAACATTGATCGCTTTCGTGTCAGTGCGTGAGCGCGGATTCACCATGAGACCTCAAGAAGTATAGGTCACGATGGGTGTCTAAGTTAAGTCGTGGCCTCCAGCTGTCTTTCTCCAAGTCTACCTTCAGTTTCTTTCTACGGTTTTGTTACAGGCGTTGCTTCTTTCACCCTTTATCATGTCCTTCTTACGTACAATATTGCGACATGCGCATACGAAATTTCCTACGGCCAATTCTCCACATCGGAACTCGACTACAACAATTCGCAGATTTCGCGCATCGGCGATAAGATCCAGATCAAATGACTATGGAGTTCGAGTCACTCGTATGGCATTGAAGCCTGCCTTCTCCTGGCAGATTGGAACATTAATCGTTGCGTCCGTTAGTGCGTACCAATTCCTCGCTTTGGCCGTCCCCTAACAACAAACACATATCACGGCCGGGATATATACAATCTATGAACAGCCAGCCGTGCGATGCGATGCTGCCGCGGCAGCTTTGAAGCAGCCCCACCACTTGATCTCGTTTGAAGAAGTACAAAAGCATGTTTCAGAAGACGACTGTTGGATTGTGATAGATGTAAGCACCCTTTGCGAGATTCATCCAAATCCCATGACCTGATTTCTGGAGGGCCTGGTGTACGATATGACAGAGTTTTTGGAAGCGCATCCAGGAGGTCGAGCAGCGATATTGCAGCAGGCAGGTAAAGACGCCAGTGCTAGATTCACCCTCCTACATCCACCCGATGCGATAGGGACGCTGCCCTCGGAATACTGTTTAGGGCGCGTTGATCCAGCGACTCTTCCAGGGATAGAGGAACAGGAGCTTACCGCCGATGAAACACGACAGGCTGAGGCACGAGAGGAGATGCCTGCAGCATCGAGTATGCTCCTTGTTTCAGACTTTGAATACTGGGCCGAGCGCGTACTCAGCACAACAGCTTGGGCCTACTATCGCAGCGCGGCCGATGAGGAAGCAACTTTCTTCGACAACCGTGATGCCTGGCGGAGATACTTTTTCCGCCCAAGGATTTTGCGAGATACATCGCACGGCTCGACTGCAACAACGTTTGTAGGGATACCAACATCGGTGCCGATCTTCATCGCCCCTGCAGCAATGGCCAAGCTGGGACATCCCCTTGGAGAAATCAATTTGACAAAAGCAGCCGGAAGCCACGGCATCGTCCAGGCGATTTCTGCCAATGCGAGTTGTGGCTTGGAAGAGATGTTTAACGCAAGGCTGGAAGGTCAACCACTGATCTTCCAACTCTATCTCAACAAAGACCGATCCGCGTCATCTGCGTTGGTCGAGCGCGTCACGAAACTTGGTGCCAGCGCCATCATAGTAACGGTAGATGTCTGTTGGCAGTCGAAGCGAACACTCGACGTGAGAGAGAAGTTGAAAGAGGTCGTCGACATCCCCTCGCCAAAGTCGATAGCTGTACCACAGGGTGGCCAAAAGGAGAAGAGTGTTTCGGAGCAGATCAGTGGGTATCAAGCCACAAATCTGACGTGGGATGATATTGGATTTGTGAGGAAGCACACGCACTTACCAATCATCATTAAAGGCGTTCAGTCTGTTGAGGATGTGCAGCTCTGCGTTGAACACGGTGCTCAGGGTGTTATTCTCGTAAGCCCTCATTGCGCATTTGAGAGTACAGGATTATCACTGCTAACTAGATGGATCAGTCTAACCATGGTGGTCGACAGGCGGACTATGCCCCAGCGCCCATCGATGTTCTCTATGAGCTCCGAGAATTGCGTCCAGACCTATTCTCTAAGATTGAGATCATGATCGATGGCGGTGTGCGCAGCGGTGCGGATGTTGTAAAAGCCCTGGCTTTGGGTGCCAAAGCGGTCGGTATTGGTAGGCCAATATTGTACGCAAACGGCACTCATGGCGAAGATGGGGTCTCAAGGGTATTGCAGAGTAAGACAAACCGACTCTTAGGTTCGAAGAGGTCCCGCTGACACGAGTACAGTCTTCCAGGAAGAGATCACAAATACGATGCGGAACATAGGCGCAAACACAGTGGCAGATCTGAGACCCGAAATGGTGGGACCTGTCGGGCCATGGGTAGGGAGGAATCGCCCCTCGTATGTGCCAGGTCCCAAAGACGCACGATAAGGGGACAGAACGAAAGAAAAAAGAAGTTTGGGAGGCCCGCTTCTATTCGACCATTGATTAATGCTAGCAATTTTTTGGACAAGTGCGTATTTGTATTTGTGCCGGCAAGGTATTAGCCAAGCCGTTGAGGGAAGAATCTCAGGCCAGCGTCATCGCATGAACATCCGAGGAGTTGTGATGGATATTCGTAACGTTCAATGTGCATGTGCAAGTGATCGTCGTTGTAATAGCATATGAGGTTACTTGATGATGAACTTTCTAGGCGGTGTTACAACTATGAACGTACAAACCATGCTCAGTGCATCAGACATGCTGCGGTAGGCGAGATGTAAAGAGAGCAAAAAAGAGCTAATTACATACAACAGTGGGGATTCCCCAGTGGTCACCCACCTGAGTACTAATCCACCGGTACGTTGCTTAAATAGGGCTGAGCGAACGGGAAGCCTTGTTTTCAACGTCCTATGGTCGTATGTGAAAGATCACCAGGATTCGATGAATATATTGCCAACTCGATAAGAGTGGGACTCGATTGCCCTTCGATGCATACAATAATACCAGTAGACCGAGCCAGTCTACACGCACCTGAAAGCCGTGATAAGCGCGCCACTACCGACCCCTGTAGGCGCCCCGCTCCTCCCGATCCTCCAGTGGCAGATGCTCGTACGTGGTCTCGACTGTCGAAAGCGATGCAGAAGCCTTTATTGCATCCCTTCGCCGCACTATCGCCAGCGCAGCCCTACTCCCCTCGAACCCGACCTCGTCCATGTGGGTGAAAAACGGCGCCTTCTCGACGCCGACATGGACGGCGCCGTCGGTGCCGACGTAGCTACCGTAGCCGTAGCGGCACGCGAGGCGAGCGAGATAACTTTTGCGGTCTGCGTTGGTGAGGGTGCTGGTGCCGCGGAAATCCGCGAGCGCGGAGCTCGAGGCGAAGAGAGCGATGATAGCGCCGAGGGACGTAGGCATGCGCGCGAGGTACCGGCCGGGGCGCCGCAGGTAGACGACGGTTGATACCACGATGTATACGGCTAAGATGGCGATAGAGATTACGAATAGCGGTGTAACGAAGAAGATACGCTCTTCGGGTACGAGGAGGGTGCTGGGGACCTGCACAGTTGCGGTAGTGGCGGGCACGAACAGATGATCTTTGTTGATACCGAGCCAGACGGCGAAGAGGCGCGAGTACGCCTTCTTCATGGGCGCGTCGACGTCTGCAAATCTGGGCAGCGCGGCGCTGTGGTCTGCGAGCCGCAGCGACGTGTCGGCGCGGTGCACGAAGTAGTGGATGAACTCGCTGGCGAACGTGTCGTTGTGCCACCACGGCTTCAGCGTCCGGAACATGAACAAGTTGGACTGCGAGATCAAGTTGGTCGCGTCGTTAGAAAAGTACGGCGCGAGAGCTTCTGTATCTTGACTAGGGTCTAGCGTGTGGTCTTCTGCGGGCCTCTGTAGCACGCCCGCTGCATCGACTAGCACCGACGCTTCGCCCACGCGCATCTCGGGCTGGCACAGCATGAAGAAGGTGTTTTCGCTGTCAGCGTCCTCGAATCCTCGGAATGTGGATTTCTTCCAGTCCTTGGGCGGCGTGCGGTCGCAGTAGTCCTGGTTTGTCCGCATCCAGCCAACGGCAACAGCAGACCTGCACGTTGCTTGCTCGTATGCAGTGGCGTTTGGCCCTGCAACAAGGGTCGTCGCCATCTCCGCAGCTGTTCTACCGCTGCGGCAGCTCATTCCGCCCGAGGCCCCGATCTGCCACATGCTGTTCAGCCCGTAGTTGTTGATGAAACGGTTATTGTCGGTCCCGTAGCATGTAGTCTCAGTCCCTTTCGACGAGGTCACCGTGACATTGAAAGAATTGAGCGGATCTTCCTTAGCAAACGGCCACAAATGCAAGTGAAAATCTTTGTCGAAGGACAAAGATCTGCATCGAGGCTCTGCGGTAAAGTACTTTGTGCGAGCTCGGTAGGTCTCATTTGATGCCGCGCCTGCAGACTCGATTGTCATGAATGGTAGATACATGGCAGTCTCATCTGTCCACGAAGGTAGTGACGTGTTCCGAGTCAGATTAGACTCTGAGAGCAGAAAGTGGCTCTCGCCCGCCGAATTCCGATACGCACCCGATATTTCTATAGGGTCGTTGTAGTACGGAGATGTCTCGATAGGTGGTCCCGATGTGCCGTTGATGTTGACGAATTTGGAATCAAAGGGTGGCGACGACATTGTCTCATAAGGGAGTAACGAAGTCGAATGAAAAAACAATCCCGCAAACGAGGTCGCTAGGAGGTTTGCCAACAAGCTCATTGCGCAGACGGCTGAAAGAAGAAAATGCTTGTTTTTAGCGGCCTTGAACAGTGTGAGCTGGGGCGGGAGGGAGCCATAATTGAGTGCAATGCTTTGTGAGGCAGCAGTCCCTGCGCCTCGCATTTGCTCGAGAGGCTGCAGGACGCAGAAGAGCCGGTTAATAACGATCCACATAGGCTCTATGAAAGTAGCGATAGCCGTGGGGAGATAGTCGGTAACGAGGTTCTGCACAACAGGATTCTTTGACGGCAGAGGCAAGCCTAAAACACCACGTTAGCACATCCTATAAGTATCGAGTGTGCATCATAACCCACCATTCGGCTTAGCACGAGCGAAGAAAATAGCGAGAATAATGGTGAGCGCCACGAAAAGGCCTATAAATGGGACAGCGACCGCGGCGTGGAACTCGGTAGGTCTCATGGGCTTCGGCAGCCGGTGTGCGCCCTTCTTCTCCGAATCCGAAGATGCGAGCAAGGGCCGTTGGGCCTCAGAGCTAAGCTCCACGGTAGTAATGCTGCAGTTGGTCAATTATGTTGAGTCAAAGATATCCAGGCTCGTCCCTACCAGTGATTCGCAGAAGCATTCCCGAACTTGTAGGCACTTGCGCTAAGCTTCTGATGGAAGTACTGCTCAGGCGCACAATCCAGTTCAGCGAACTTGTCCAGCAGAGCCTCGTCGTCGGCGACCATGGACATTAGAGTCGCCATGGACGCTGGTGTGGGTTAGCAGACAGGATCGCGAAACAAAAAGCAAGGGCAGCATGCTTACCGGGATCGTCGACGAGTCTGCTGCTCGCGCGCTCGGTGAAGCCAATATACATGAGCGCGAGGATCGCCAGCGAGACGACTCCGAGCAGACTCTCAACCAGGTACACAAAGACGGGCTCGAGCACTACTGCTTCGGTACGCGAGTGGAGCTGCCCCGCCGTGACTCTCGCCGCCGCGGTGAAGTCAGGCCGGAGGATATCGGTCATTGCGCGCGCGAAGAACATCCGATACACCGTCTCGTAGGCCTGGCCCAGCTTCTGCGGGTCCAGCAGATCCGGGAGCCCATCTTTGGCCTGCGACATGACGGTCGTCATGATAGGTGGGGTGGCGAAGACGGCGGGCGTCAGGTCCATATCGTACAGGTCTTCAGAATGGCGGGGGATTGAGATACCCGGCAGGCTGTCTTGTCGTGTCTGAATCTGGCGCTCGCCCGATGCAAGCGTGTCTTCAAAGGTGGACGAGTTGAAGAGGTCTGGAGAGATTGGGCGCCTCTCTCCGATCAATCTTACATTTGTTGGCGCCCCGGTCATCGAGTCTACCGTCGCCTCAACATCCTGCTCGAAGTAGGACGGGCTGCAGAATATGGCTGTAATCTCATTGTCGGCATCGACGTCCGTCTTCTTGTTCTGGGTGAAGAGGGCAAAAAACGTGTGGTTTCCCCGGTCGCTACAAGCCGGACTACTTCGGAGGTTGCCTGAGATGGATCCAGTCGCGAGCGAAGGCGAGAACCAGCCCTTGTAGTCGGTGGAATACTTTCGGTAGTACTGCTCAACCGGCTTCCCGTTTACAGTGACCTGCGCTCCCTCGGTGTCGTTGTTAAGTCGCCTGTGGGGCACATAGCAGCCTGTCGAGCTGTTGAAGCCGGCATCCATGACGGAGGTATACGTGACATTTTCCATCTTTTTGATCGGAGGGCCGCCGTCCGGCGAGGCGTAGTACTTTTCCTCTTCCATCACAACTGTCGTATTCCTCTCGCCAGCAGCCTCAGCCCTATCACACTGCAAATCCATGCTGTACAGCGTAGTATTCGCAGTCCACAACTCGTCCGCCGCCGCCTCGCGCCCCGCAGCCGCGAACGGTTTGAGCGTGTAGTTGCGCGCCGTGAATGGTGGCAGTGTCTCATTGAATTGCAAGATGGCGTACGCAGACTGGGCGTAGGCGAGGCTCAACGAGCGCTCCTGCCCAGACGAGTGCAGAAACGCATTCGAGACAGCGAAGTCGTGCGCGAAGCCGCGCTCAATGGCGCGCGTGGAAAAAAGACCAGCCTGCAACGGCACAACGCCAAACGACATGAGCACACTTGCGCTTGCCGCCCAAAACACCAGCCAATGCCTGGACAACGCTTTAGCAACCGCGCAGGTCTCCTTCTCTAGCTCATCCATCCTCCCCTGGAAACGAAAAAAAAACTCACCCCCTCCTAGCCGCAACAAACGGTGCAAACGGCGCAAACTCAAACGGATACGCAACCAGCAGCGAATCGCGCGCACCCGCACCGCGCTCTTGCCTCGCCATCTGCCGGTAGGGCTCGTAGCGCTTGGCATCGTGGTCGATCCAGACCAGGCAGACGCTAAACAGCACCGCGACGAGCGTCGGGGCGTAGCGGTACGCAAACGCACGGCGCAGCGGGACGTCGTTGATGTCAGAAGCGAACAGCACGCCACCGTTGGTTGTGCTCTGGTGCGCAAAGTACGCCAGCACGGCCATCAGCACCCACGTGGTCACGACGGCGGCGACGAGCGACGGCCAGCCGAGGGCGGGTGGGTACCATGGCGACGCTGGGTTGAGCGTCTTACGACGCATTATGGGCGTATACGTGGGTGCGTGCGTGTGAATGGGAGCAACGCAGGGCCGCCGCGCTTTTAAGAGAATGTCGCCGCCTCGTCCGGGATGTGATGCCTGACGATGGTGCTTGGCGGGTTGGGGGCCGTTTGTAACGAGGCCGCCCCTCTTTCCATCCCAACTTCACAAATCAACTCCTTCAGGGCATCGCGTCTCGAACCCAGCCTAAGACATGTCACTGCTGCACTCATGAACGGATTTAGGGCATTATAGCTATACTTGTGGCTAGGGTTGGGTCGCAGAGACAAGGGTCGAGGTTGGTGTTGGGTTCGCCACTACTCCACTTTGGTGCCACTAAGTAGTCTCAACTCGCACCAATTAAGTATACATACGCCTATATCCACTAGTTATAAATAGCTGGCCGTATGTGAAAGAGTATGAGAATCTAACGACAACAAGTGGTCCAACTCACAAGTGCTTCCTTCTGCCATCCTCATCTTTGCGTCCCATATGATCTGGTTTTCGAGGATATGGCGGCAATTGGGAACTCGTTCATCATATCGTATTAATCCACTACATCAAGCATGTTCACGGCCTACTTTTTCTAGAGAATGACCTTGACGTTCCAGATGGACCAAAGATGTGATTCCTAGACTTGACTTACTTACACATGTGTTCATGATCGGAGCAAGAGAGAGTGAGACCCCCACAAAAATGATCCTTTGCATCATTCTATCTCGTATGTCCCATTTCCCATCTACTCGCATCCTCTATACCAGGTACAAAGGCCCCAGCTGTTCATCCTCCGTATCCAAAGCCTCCCCGTCCATGAAACCATGCAAATAGCACTCCCCGATCAACTTGAACCTTGGCGGTCTCTCAGCCTCCCCTCCTCCCTCCTCAACATCACCACCCGCCGGGCGCAGCACAAACAGCACTTTTCCCCCCGCAAGCACCCACACCTCATCCCCAGGCCTCGAATGTGGAAAGCACAGTCCAAAATGACCCTCGCCCGTGCAGAAGAACATGCGCTTGTGTGCTGCGATCCACAGCGCATGCATCGGCGCCTGCAAAAGTGGCTCGAGGCCGTCGCGCAGGCGCGCCCGCGCGTCAGCGTACCAGGTCGAGACGCCCGGGGCGGCGGTCGTGCCAATGCGGCTCCACGATGCGACGCCGGACTGCGAGTCGGGCATGTAGTCGCCGAGGACGGCGCGCCAGAAGCGGTCTTGAGCCGAGCCGGGGGAAGAGGCGCGGGGGGGCGAGAGGCCGGCGATGTCGAGCCAGCTTTGGATGGTGTCGAGGACGTGGGTCCAGTCTTTGTGGCGGAGGGGGGAGCCAATGCTTTCGATGCGGTCGATGCACTTGCCAGATAAACTCAAGATGCTGCCTTCGAGTATGCGTGTCGCACTATTCATGTGGCCACTGGCGTTGTAGGAGTTGTAGCCCTTGTAGCGAGCGTATTCGTGGCTGGCTTCGGCGCTGTCGAGTGGAGCTGCGAAATTTCGCACCCACGACGGCATGTCATAGCAGTCTGAGCCCATCCCGGTACCAGTTAGGAACTGCAAGTCTCCTTTTGCTTGCTGAATCACCTTTTCTGTGGTTTGTTGGTATAGCGTGCCCACGGGCAAAGAGTAATCGACGGTGAATTTTGCGTACGGACTATTCCAGAGTAGCCCTAGGAGACCGTATATTTTATCTCTTGGATCTTTGCAGAGCTTATGTCTGAGACCGCGGATTACTCGGTCCAGCTCTATCAGATTAGATCTCTGGGGAAGACCGAGCAAATGGTCGGGGAAGTAAGTGTATCTTGCAGGCATCTGATTGGCAATGCCCGCGCAACACTGGGTATCGTGGCGCACATGGCTCTCCTTCGCTTTCAGGACTGATGCCCATGATATTCGCCAGGATCCCGATACTACTATAGCCTGTGGACATAAGGCGATCTCCTGCACACACCACAACCTTGTCCACCATGGCTTTGAGATGAAGTCAACGAATACTGCGTACATTTGCTGATAGGCGGCATTATCGGTAAAGACCCATTGTCCTGATTCTTCTGAGCGGGTAAACCCTGGGTAGTCGTAGAAGTGCTTATCCTCCGCCCAATGCACTACGATCCCAAAGGGATTCTCAAATTTCGACAAAGATACAGGCTCGCCAAGCCAGACATACATTGAGAAACATCTCCAGTATATCGCCCCCATATTCATAACCTGCAAAGCTCTTTCTGCTTGATTGGATTGGTCGATGCAGATAGCATCCGTCCACAAGGCCAATTCGTTCTCGTTGCTGCGTAGGTGACGAAGACATAGCACGAGACTGCTGGGTACCGTCAACTCCACATTGTCTACGAAGACTTGTCCTGTGTCTTGTGGGTCTCCCCACGCGTACGAAATCGTCTCATATCGTGGAGGATCATGCAAAGAGTGGATTGCAAGCCGACATCGAATGGGTTCCGCCCATTCTCCAGGGAGCAATGTGGCAATCCGAAACTGAGACACCCCAGCCTCTTGATCGGATTCTAGGGGCGAGTAGCAAGTAGCCGCCGTGTTCAGAGCAACATTTCCGGTTGCCATTGTGTGATTTACGCTCGCCTTCTTGTGTGATGAATTTCTGTATGAAAAATCACGCGACTTAACCCCCAATCGCTGTCCGGACGAGTGTTGGTATTTAATACCGATGTCACCAAGCTCGTGTTGAGCTTCGTACTTACCGATGGTGTGTCGAAGTGTATCCTTGCGTTCTAGATAGCCCCACCATGAGTATTGCCGTAGAAAAGCCGCTACTCGGCGTGCATACGTGCCCGTCTCAGATTACACGTGCGGTGCAGTGTACAAACGTCCTCCGTGAGCATGCTGACCCAGACCAACATCCAGACCGACAATCAAGGGCTAGTATAATCACAAGATGGAGGACTTGCACTATGCAATATCCTCGACTGTCCGTTGCAATCGGACGAGGATAACGACTGTGCGAGAGATTGCTGATGTATATGGGGCAGAATTGCCGCTGAAGGGTGCGCTCGACCTTGGCAATCTCTTGTACCACTACTAGAATTCCGGGCCGGCGGCACTGCCTCCCCATAGGAGATCCATGGCCTTGATACAATCGAGCCTGAACCTGTATGACGCTCTCCTTCGGAGTATGACAAATTGAAAGCACCTCTCTGGACGAGAGAAGTACTCCTTTCATCCAAGATGCCCTCATGCGTGAGTATCTCGGGTAACATCCTCATGACCGCGAACAAGTGTTATTCAAGACCTTCTGTTGTGCTCTGGTTATTTCCGGATCTTCGGACATCCGACGTATCCTGGCCACTCCATTGTAATGCACATCGCACCAGTGGGGAGAGTAAGAAGCGGCATCTGCAATGTGCCAGATCATGGCGAGATATATAGCCAAGTGCCATGGAGTTTTGAAAAATGACTAGAGGTGTCGATCCCACCGTAAGGTGTCGTCTCGTAAATAGCGGGATGACATGGAGAGCATAGAATACTACTAGGGAGCGGGCTGCTGGCGGTGCACGCCATTCTGTCGTATGCTCAACTGCGCTTGATGAAGTCGCTCAAGTTCGGCGCAATGGACGTGGTTGCAGGGCTGGTTCGCGAATCTGCAAAAGGAGGCATTCTGAGGTATGTCTGGCATGGTTGACTGGGTGTTCATTGGTTGTGTGGCTGAAGGTTGTGGCGGTGTTGCTTCGTTTTCCGACGTGGACTCTGTATTGTATCAGATCACGAATCTTGACCCTCGAGCGCGCTGTTGGAGAACATGGAACTAGTCCTACCATCGTCGTTGCCAGGGGTGCCATCATCACCGCCCATCGCGGAGCCACTCATCCCTTGCCCACTCATGTCTTGTCCACCCATCATAGGCCCACTCATGCTTTGTCTGTTCATCTGCGGCCCCATTGGACCATTCATGGTGGCGCCCATGTTGTTGTTCATCGTGTTGCTGTTCATGCGGCCGCGACTTATAGGCCCACTGTTCATGTTCTGGTTACCAACGTGGTTATTGCTGTTTGTATTGTTGTTCATCCCGTTGTTGAGGGCGGCGCCCATTGGGCCTATGTGAGCCGGACCAGCAATCTGTGCAGCATCGTTATCTTCGCCCATGCCGTCAACCTCTGGCCAGAATCGCTGTTCCAGCCAGCAGATTTGACGGAATATTTCTTCACAGCGGTGCATTTCCTCTTTCCCATCGCGGGCTGTTGTGGTGTTGGCAAGCTCATCCACGAGCGCACGTGTGGCGTCTACAAATTTGTTGAATGCCGGTGAAGTCCAGTTTGGGATTAGAGCTTGGTGAAGAGCTACAATATGGTTTTCGTTGCTAGGCGTTGAAAGGGAAGTGCTGAAGGATGCTGCGTATTGCCAGGCAGAGCGATAGCACTAGGCTGTCAGTACAAGATCCCCCAGTGCTTCACAAACTTACATGTTCGGTACCCCATAGAACAACCATACCCTCGAGAAGAGAGGCACTGGAGCTACTAGCGCTCACAAAGAGGTCCAGCAGAGCGCGTGTAATTGGCGAAGGTGACTCATTGCCCAAAGTAAGGCCATACTTGGTCGCAGTGATCTCGAAGAACTGCATCTCCCGGCGCATGTTGTTCAATGCAGAGATCAGAAGGTCCATGGTCCTGTACATGGGATGAAACTGCGAGTTCTGCGTCTGAGGCAACCTAATTTTTGCCAGAAGCTGTCCCACAAAACGTATGTACCCTCTTGAGTAGTGTCCATCCTGCACCAGCCATTGTGATAACGGCCCGGCGGCGAGTGAACCACAACCAGCATGCGAGAGGAAGGGCTGCTGTGTCGCCTGCGCAAATGGCCCAGAGCACACCGTGAGCAGGTAGTTCGTCAGTGAGGGCGCAGGGTGCGGTTGCATGGGATTTGGCGCGATGGGTTGGCCGTCTCGAGCACGTTTCGTATTGGGACCGCGACGGTGAACCTGGAGGTTTGGATTAGGCTGTTGCCCATTCAGTATAGCATTCGGCGCTGCGTGTGGTATACTGGGTTCGACGAGGGACTGGCTGGCCTGGGTTGGGGCAAGGTGTGCCTGCGCATCGGGCGAGTTCAGGTAAGCCTGGCATTCCTGGAGGTGCTCGATCTGCCTGGTCGTATTCTTCGCGCGCACAAAGCCGCAATGCTGGCATCGGACTTTGTTACATTTGGAGGGAGTGTCGGTATCTTGAAACTCGACGAAGGCGCGTCGAATGTCAGGATTCGCGTGTCGACCCATTCTGACGTGAGTCGAGATAGCTGAGACGCTGTCATCGCTGTCAGCATGCTGGCCGTAAGGACAGCACTCGAGCCGGTCACTTCGATCGTGACAAGTAACGTGCGAAAGGATGCCAATGATGTGGATCTTACCTTGAGTAAGCTGTCTTGATAGCCGTGTATCGTATGTATTGTTGAAGGATTGATCAGGGTCTCGCCCACAGAAATCGTGACTAAGACGACGCTTGCCCTTTTTGGTACCATGCACGAAACGCTCAGAACTCGCACACGCTTTGATGCACAACCATGCGAACTGATGTTAGGACATGAATAGCCGCAATAGACTTGCAGTCAAGGGGTGAGTGAATGATTAAAGAGTTTCTCATCTCCTCTGGCAGACAACGAATTCCTAGTTACTTCTGTAAAGATGTGTTTGAAAAGCTCCTTCTCGATGCGATAAGCATGCCGAAACCGGCAAGAAGTCTGGAATGTTTTCTAACCACCCAAGATGCTGCGGTAATCTTTGTGCACCTTTCATCAGCGAAGCCGTGCTCGTCTAATCGGACCTCAAGTTACACGATTCATGCCAGAACTTCTCCAGCACGCAGGCGTCTTCGTTTAACATTATGCATGCACGTGCTGTTCTCCTGCAAGATGCCTCATCACCAACAGAGGGCCTATTCATGTTGATATTTCAATACAGATGCTCTTGAGCCTTGTTCTGAGTAAACGAAGTCTCGAGGTGGATTTTAAGGAAGGCTGTCTATGAAACTTCGAATTTTGCGCTGGAGTTGTAATGTCGAGGTGTGCCTTCTGAGTTCCAATGTCACGAAGAGTGCTGCAGCAAGATCCACATCTGAGCTCCACTCTCGAAGCTGTTGTCGCCCCGACATTCGCGGAAGTATTCCACAGACTTCATCGTTCCCACCACCTGACATGACAAGATTTCATCACCACTCCTCTCCGTTGACATCGTCGTCTCGAGTAGGTTGCGCCGAGGCAACACTCGACGATCTTCTCCCGCCCGGCACCTTGCAGCACTCCCCGACTTTCTCCAGACTTCCCCACAACCCACCAAAACGACGATCCAGCAGATCTTCTTAAGCTTGTGACCTTAGACCCGACCAAAGCAGGCAAGTTTACAGTCGAAGCTGTCAACGCCAAGGCATGTGTAACTGCTAACCAACGAGAACATGTCACGATACAAGGTTCGGGGGGGTCTTTCAGCTCGCAGTTACACATCGTCGTGAGTAAACTTCTGCAAGGCGGGTCGCAGCCCCGACTCATGTTGCACTCGTGGTGTTGGCGGTGAACGCCTCAGCCGGCGCATGAGACCCTGGGCACCACCGACATCATCCGTCGTCACACAGACAAAGAGCATGAGCTTTGCTTCTGCCATGCGCCCGAGACAAGGCTCCAGCCTCAGCGCAGTGCAGCAAGGAGCGTTATTGCATGCCCACACTCACTGCAAGAACAATGCGCCTCGTAATGCGTGAGTATTGTACACTCGTCATAGCCTGTGGCCTCAAGTCCCTCGCCCCGCCCTACACACCCCGTGGTACATCGCACTACCGCCTGGCGCATCGTCCCCATCACATGAAGCCTCAAACCCGTTCACGAGATTTGCCCCCCGCTGCTCCAAGCGCGACGATTCGCTCGTATTGCGGGAATAACGGGCACTGGCTGCGATCCTGAAGCTTGGCCTAGCGCAATGGCGGGGTACTTCCAGTGATGCTGCCAGTGATGCACGAAAAATGCCCGCGATCAGCAACTTCGCAGTGTTTTGCCACCATGAGGCGCGACAACGGGGCTGGCTGACTGTGCTCACCGGCAAAATGGAAGGGCCGGCAGTTGGCGCGTTGTGGGTTGTGGATGGCGATTGGACGCCAGACCTGGTGACTGGAAAGTTGCGCGGGACTTGGACAGGAGATGAGGATCAACATACATTTCGCTGCGCTTAGTGATGTTTTTGGGAATGTTTGGATGATCGAATATGTCAAGCTCGAGTCTCCCCGCAAATTCGTCCTTACTCAAAAATCAGCATGATCATGGAAGCCTTGCTAAGCGCAGGGATTCGATGGGGCAGGGAGACATATTTGACGATTTGGAGACGTCTGCAATAATAATGTAAGCACAGTTCAGCACGGTTTGTACGCATAAATGCATGCAGTCCGCGTGTTGAGAAATTACGATGCCATTCTCCATGACGTGACGTCTGTTCTGGAAGCTTTCGACGCCGTGCGCTTGATCTCAGGACTTCCAGAACACCACCCACAGCGGCCCAAGATCTCCATCCCCATCCAGCCGCGTGAGTAGACCTTTCTCCATGATTCGCCGTGCCTCGAGCTTCACGGCCCCCTTGGGCCACGCGCCGCCGATCGCACCATCATCGGCTGAAACACCTCACCAATCGGCACTCCGTACCTGGCGATGTCCCCATCTTAGTCATCTCGTGCCGGTGTAACACCACCTCGAACCCTGCATGTCGCCCAGACGATCACAGACCGGAGAACTGCGACTTCGGGGTTAGAGCAGGCAGTGTTTCCCGCCGGTGCGTCACCTCGGGGAAAGTGGCTCGAACAGGTGCGTGATAGGTCGGACTTTGGGAGCTCCACCCCTGGCATAGCTTCGCTGGCAGGACTCTGAGCTTCGGGCGATCTTAACGCAGGGCCTGCGAGACATGTGTTTGTTGTTGTGGCGAGTGACGGGTGCAAGATCCCAGTTCCGCACGTCAAGTGGATCGTCGAGTGGGCAAGAAAGGTTGAGTTTAAAGGTGTGCTTGTCCCCCCAGGTTTGGAGTACACAAAACGTGGAAACACATTCTTGAGTTGCTCAAGTAACGCTTTAACCTCTTTGTATACCTTAATCCACAGAGCTGGATGATCTTACCACAAGTTGTCATCTAAGTAGTAACACTAAACCGTCGATATGGTCGCACGTTGGACAACAGCTCTGGCCGTTGGCCTACTCACCATAGGCTCAAACGCCTCCCCATTGTGAGTGATTTCGCCTCGTACTCTCCAGAAAGCAAGCTAATACCAGACCAGAGAAACAGAGAAGCTGTCAAAGCGCGCGCCACCATTCAACTACAATGGCGAAAAGGTTCGTGGCGTAAACACAGGCGGCTGGTTCGTTCTCGAGCCCTGGATCACACCCAGCATCTTCGAAGGCAACGATGCAAAGGATGAGTGGACCTTCACAGAAATTCTGGGCAAGGATGCCGCAAAGTCGAGACTCCAAGATCACTGGAACTCCTGGATCACGCAGGACGACTTCAACCAAATGGCGGCCGCAGGGCTCAACCACGTGCGTATCCCAATCGGGTACTGGAGCGTAATCGCTCGCGACGGTGACCCATACGTCCAAGGAGCGTACGACAAGCTCGGCGAGGCGCTTGATTGGGCGAGTGGTGCTGGCTTGAGTGTCATGATCGATCTACACGGTGGTAAGTGCCAAAAAACAATCACACTCTCGATGCTGTTCCTAACAATCCATAGCTCCTGAGTCGCAGAACGGCTTCGACAACTCCGGCAAGTACGGCAACGTCGGCTGGACCCAAGGCGGCTCCGTCGACCACACCATCCGCGTGCTCAACAAGATCCGCGATGACTACGCCTCGCATCCCGCGGTCTCCTCCATCCAGCTACTCAACGAGCCGCTCGGCCCCAACCTCGACATGAACACTGTGCGCCAGTTCTACATGGATGGCTGGGGCAACCTCAAGGACTCCAACGTCGCGGTCGCCTTCCACGACGCCTTCCAGGGCGTGACCTCGTGGGGCGACTGGGGCGCCGGCATGTGGAACCTGCTGCTTGACACTCACCACTACGAGGTCTTCACGCTGGACGCTGTCGCCATGAGCATTGATGATCACATCAAGACGGCGTGCGGGTTCGGCAACCAGATGGCGAGTACGGGCAAGTGGACCGTCAGTGGCGAATGGACGGGCGGTATCACCGACTGCGCCAAGTGGCTGAATGGCAAGGACAAGGGCGCGCGCTACGACGGGTCGTTTGGCGGCGGCTCCAGGATCGGTGACTGTGCTGGCAAGTCGACCGGCACTGTTGCTGGGTTGTCCGAGGCGGATAAGACGAATGTTGGGCGCTTCATTGAAGCGCAACTCGACGCCTATGAGAAGGCTACGTAAGTCCTACACCGGTAACCCCCCTGGCGATGGGTACTGACAACGCTTAGTGGTTGGATCTTCTGGACATGGAAGACCGAGGGTGCGCCCGAGTGGGACATGCAAGACCTGCTTGCGAACGGCATCTTCCCTCAGCCGTTGACAGCGCGAAAGTGTAAGTGTTTCCCCACACGCTGCCTGAGGCAGTGCTTCGAGCACGATACTGATGTTACCTTAGACCCTGGCCAGTGCGGCTGAGCACGTTCGCATTGTCTGTTGGACGAACCAAAACGTTCTTGTCGGTAGACTGTTTCACTCGCTCCACGCAAAACTCCACCTTCGCCAAACATGCTCGATTTGAGTAATGATGTCACGAAATATGTTTCGAAGATACCCCAATCCCGATCGCTTGCTGCACATGGCTTCTTGGGAAGTCTTGGTCTTGGACCCTGGCACGTGGTGGAATTGTGTAGGTTACATAGGTAGCATTAGACGGTCGTCAGCTGTATATGCAGTGACGTACGCAGTCATAAAAACAACAAGATATGATAACAAACCTCGTCCGAAATACGCTGCGAACCGTGAACTGTGATGACTGTAATCCCCTCGTACTCGCATCGCAATTCCATCGGTGATAAGCAGGAAGATTTGCTCGCAGCGACCAACGGCTTTCTTGCGACGCCGCGTCCCTCCCGGCCTCAAATCTGAACATCCTTGGACGCCGCACCACTGTTCATTTACCAGCACTAGGCGGGCCGAACAGCACACAATGCCAAACTACCGCAGTGCCACCTTCTAGACCAGGCAGGATGCGCTTCCTGGCTGATATTCGCGCGTGTAACACTTTGCTGAGGTAGCAAATGGGTCCCCTTTTCGTGCGGCACGCCTCGTTGCCTGGAAACAACAGCTCAATTGACTGCGCTTAGACCGGTTCTGTCTTGAGGCGCGAGCTCCCTCCGAGGCTAAGCATAAGTCCCACCGTGCCGCGGATCTGGAGAAGAAGTCGTATCCTGCGACATCGCAATCTGAGCGCCACGTTCATCCTCGAAGGCGGCGCATCGCAACAGCGCTTCGCATTCTTTTCAGCGCTGCGGATTTCCAGCCGCTGTGAGCGCGAAGAGTCATCCGTCACGCGAGACACGGGCTGGCATTCAGCGGCGTTCGGTTTTCAGGCGGCCTTCTCCTGCCGCAAGCAAATTACGGCCAGGAATAGAAGATGTGGGCGTGAAGCGACCAAGCACATGTGCCAATTATCTGCGCAGAACCCCTGACGCCAGCACTATTTCAGGCCTAGCGTAGGCACCGGTCAGGGCGCGTGCGGGCTGGTAGCCAGGAACCCTAGAGCTGACCCACTAATAATGCTGGGCCGCTGCAATTTAGATTCAATCCAATGGCACTAGTGCCAAAGCCCGGGACCGGTCAGTGAATCAATATAGACTCGCTGCGCCCGTCAGACTCCTTCCTGCTTTCGTCAACATACCAGTCCACGAACTTGAGGAATTTGTCCCCTGCCGCTCTTTAAAGCACCAGTCACTCTCTAAACACCCCCCCTCCAAACCAGTACTCTCACTACCTTAATCGTCGCTTCACACACGTTAATAAAATAATACCGACAACATGTTCACCAAGGCCTCCATCATCGCTGTCCTCTCCAGCATGGCTGCTGCGCAGCTCCACGCCCCCGTTGGCGAGCCCGCTGGCAACCCCATCACTCGTCCTTTGATCGAGGTAAGCATTTATGTGAGGGATATGTGAAACAGTCACTGATTCAAAACTCAGGTTGTCCCTGCCTGCAAGGCCTTCACCATCACCTGGCAGCCAACCACCACCAACACCATCTCCCTGCTGTTGCTCCGTGGTCCTTCCACCAACGTGGTCCCCATCCAGACTCTCGCTGAGGGCATCAACAACTCCGGCTCCTTCCTGTGGACCCCCGCCTCCACCCTCGAGGCCGACTCCTCCCGCTACGGACTCCAGCTGATCGACGACGTCACCGGCCAGTACCAGTACTCCACCCAGTTCGGTATCTCCAAGGACGACTGCGCCGTTGTTGTCTCCTCCAGCTCCGCCGCGCCCGTCGTCCCCTCCAGCTCGGCTGCGCCCGTTGTGCCCTCCAGCTCCGCCGCCCCGGTTGCGCCCTCCAGCACCCCCGCCGGCTACCCCGTCGCCTCCTCCAGCGCCGCCGGCTACCCCGTTGCCCCCACCACCGTCAAGACCTCCGTAGCCCCCTACCCCACCACCGTCAAGACCGTTGCTCCCTCCGCCAGCGCCCCCGGCTACAACGGCACCATCGTAAACCCCACCGGCTCGCTCCGCCCCTCTGCCACTGGCGCCGCCAACGGCACCTCGAGCGCGCTCCTGCCCGAGTCCACCGGCGCTGCTGCGTCGATCAAGGCCGGTCTCGGCCTTGTCGGTGCCGCCGCCTTCGCTGCGCTCATGCTGTAGAGTCCTCTCCCTCCATTCAAGACCGCGCTTCCAGACAAAATTTGCAAGGTGTAATAGGGATGTCGATAATGCCATGATGTGCTGCGTTCGGTTTGCGTTCCTTTTCTTCGATACTCCTGGTGTTTATTAGGGTATATACCATTTACTTTGTTTCCGTTCCCCCGGTGGCTGGGGGCTGTAGATACAGTAGTAAATGCCATGTGCGCTGCGTGCTCGAAAAGTTAAATCTGGTGTCTCTTCACTGTGTGATGGTTGTCTCCCTGCTCGTCTGTCTGCCTGGCGATCATCGTGCCTGTCGATCGTGCCTGGCGATCTTGCACACTTCGTCGCATCCAAACATTGTGCGGTCGCACACGCTGGACCCTGGCTACAGACCCTGCTCAGAGGACCCTGTCGTCGTCATTGTTTGTGTCCCCAATCCGCATGCCACAGCGTCGCCCGCGACAACGGGCACTGCTGCATTCCCGCCCCGTTTACGCCGTTTACGGTTCCACGGATTCGGCATGCGCGACCACGCGCCGGTCCCTGCGTGCCGCAAGCGTACCAACGGTGTGCGAGGCGCGCTTTGTGCTTCTGGAATGGCGAGGAAGCAGTCGCCAGGTCTAACAATAAACACTGCCAAGCATAGGTGCAATGTGTGCGCTGCTGCGTTGAGTTGTGCACTGGGGTCTTTAACGGGCTGGTGGTGTTTTTTGTCGGTGGAGGTCTCGTGCGCAAGCAGGTTGTACCGGCGCATTTGGTGCTTGCGAGGGCTTGCGTCATGCGGTTCCTGCAACGCGAATAGACGGATTCCATGGTTGCTTTGCATTCTGTCTGAGATTGCATGAAGTGTCTAGTCCTTGCAATGCGCTTGTTGCATGGACTACCGACAGAACACACAGTACCTAGGTCTTCGAGTAGGCCAGCCAGCTCATTGTAGGGTATATATGATCGGTTGGTCTAAGAGAGCGCGCAAGTAGTTTACAGTAGTGCTGGTGTAGAGGATACAGTGCAGTGTAGTGCAGTGCAGTGCAGTGCAGTGCAGTAGCCACTGCACGACCTTTCGCGAGTTTGGGGCTGCTATGCAAGGACTATTGTTCTGACCGAGCCAGATCCTCACGTTGATGTGATTGCACCATCATCATTTGACAGTCTTGGGTTCAACTGTGTGTCATGCGCCGCTCCTTCAGAGCTTCTGGATGTGTGGCGGTGTCGTGGCGGACTACGGATATGAGCCCTGGGCTTCGCCGTCAACGCGACGTAAGTCCACAACGCTTACTGGTAATGGAGTCTACACCACGATCGCTGACATGAAATCGAGCTCCTTCAGATGCCGCGAACTATGTCAATGGCCTGCATTCCTCCTACGGTGCTGCGAGAGTGCTGCGAGGGTGCTGCCAGGGTGCTGCTAGGCAGTGGGTGTTGGAAGTAATCAGTTGACTGAGTTACGAAGGACCCGTACTAGGTAACATGATAAACACGCTGGTAGGCAGTTGACACCTACTGAATGATCCACGAGGCACCTTCTCTCCAGCAGTGAGCAGAGTGGTTAAAAGTACCTAAAGATACCTCGTGCGAAGCGGAAATGGATTCTCGCCACTGCAACACAATCACAACTCAGCCTCGCGATAAATGACAAGTATGTTCTAGTTACTATCCAAAGAAATAATTGAGTCATCATCAATGCGCGCACGAGACGCGCTGAATTCGAGGGTGGGCGATTCGTCCGTCGGCGTTAAGGAGCTTTGACGTTTTCTGGCGCTTTCCACGATCCGAGACGTCATATATTCTCGCGCCTGCGCTTCCGAGCCACCTCCATCACACCCAACCACAACCATGGCGTTCCTCTTACGGCGGCCCTTCGCCATTCCAGCGACCATCAAACAGTCCGTATCCAGAACATCACAGCTCTCGGTGCGCGGCTTCCACAACACGCCACTTAAGCAGCATCCCCAATTCTTCAAGTCCAAGGCACCCACTCTAACCACCGCCACCAATGTCTCCAAATTCCAGTCGACCTTCCGCCGCTCGTACCAGCAGGCTTCCATCAACAACCCCCTCGCGCAGGGCGATGCGCGCCAGCGCCTCCTCTACGGCGCCGGCATCTTCGGTGCGACGCTGCTCGGTATCAACCTGATCTTCAACCGCGAGACACGCGAGGATGGCGGCATGCCGCCCTTTGAGCGCGCCTACCTCAACGACACATTTCTGCACACTGGTCTCGGCATTGGTATTATTGGCGTTGCTGCCCGCGCCATGCACATGAACGGCTGGTCTTTCAGGCTCATGTCCGCCAACCCGTGGCTGGTCATGGGCGTCGGTCTTGCTGCCAGCATCGGCACCATGTACGGCACCATGGCCACCAGCCCGCAAAAGTAAGTCCGTCTAATTCAATCCCACATTTCAGTAGCTAACAGCCCCAGCTACGTCCAGAAGTACGCGCTCTGGTCCGCTTTCAACGTGACCCAGGCTGCCCTCCTCGCCCCGCTCTTCTTTATGCATCCCGCTATTCTCGCCCGTGCCGGTCTCTACACTGCCGGTCTGATGGGCTCGCTCGCCTTCGTCGGCGCCACCGCCAAGACAGACAAGTACATGTACCTCGGCGGCCCGCTGCTGGCTGGTGTCGCCATCGTCGCCCTGTCCGGCCTCGCCCCCATGGTCATCCCCGCCACCGCCGCCCGCACTCTGATGTGGAGCGAGAACATCTGGCTGTACGGCGGCCTCGCGGTCTTCGGTGGCTTCACCCTGTACGATGTCCAGAAGATTCTGCACCACGCGCGCCTGGCGGAGCAGGGCCTTATGCCCAAGGACCCGGTCAACGAGTCGATCCACCTCGAGCTGGATTTCATCAACATCTTTGTCAGGATGGTTCAGATTCTGGCCATGCAGCAGCGCAGGAAGTAAACAGGTGTGGAGTGAGTGGCGCATAGACGCAGCACTGTAGTATAGGTCGTTACGTGCACGACGATTGCACAGCGTCTTGGGACGCGTTGAGGCAGCTTATCAGTAGCCAGAATGTACAATATTCTTTTCAAAAACTGTAAATGATCACACTACTTTTTCAACTGCCTCGTCGATTAGTCTGCAACTGGAAGCATTTCCTTTCGAAAGCGTGGTATTCGTTAGCCTTGGACCTTAGAAATGCTTGTTTTCGTGATAGGTGTGAGCTTTCGCAGCAATCCACCCGACTCGTCGCTCCGACATGTGATACTGTAACTTCATTGGCGTGACCTGTATCGTTCAGGCAATGCACTGCTTCCGCATTGTCTTGCCTGAGTTAGCCTTTGTTGCAACTCCTCGACCGCGGCAGATCGACAGACGATACGACCAGCAAGCGAGCGTCGCGTCTCCACGCGCTCGGTTCGACCCGCCGTTACGAGCGCAACAGACACACCCACGTTACTAGTCTACCCCGAGCGCAGACGGCGAGACTGCGTCAAATTATGCATCGTACAACCGCCCGAGACAAGCATTGCGCCGCTGCAATCAAGCCTCGTCAGCTCGGCTCTTAGTCCAGGATGGCCGGAGGGTGACGACGCCAGCCTCGTCATCTCGCACGGCAACGCGCCGCTGATCCTCCACTCCCACGCAGGCAGCATGTCTCGACGCCAGCGCCGCGCGCTCTCCGTGTAATATATTTTTGATTCAATCGATATCAAGCGCCCCGTTCCCTCCTCAGCGATAACCCAACAACCCACACGACATTGCCCGCGACCGCAAATGCACCCCCCCTAACACCACCACCGCCCACCCACCATGCATCTCTCCTACCTCTCCCTCGCCCTCGTCGCCCTCCTCCCCACCGCCCTCACCCTCGCTGTCCCTCTCCAGCCCCGCTCCGCCCCTTACTCCTCCCTCCTCGGCCTCACCACCACCTCCCGCGACACCTCAACAACCGACCCCCGGCACCCAACCAAGTACTTCCACGAATCGACCTCGCACCCGCACTACGACGGCCGCTTCACCACCACGCTCTTGCCGCGGGCGACACGCCTCTTCCACATGAAACTGCTCCTGCGCGCGTACACAGCCGCCATGGAGCGCGCGGGCGTGCGCACGTGGGCGATGCACGGCAGCCTGCTCGCGTGGTGGTGGAGCGGGACCCTGTTTCCGTGGGACAGCGACTTGGATTTCTGCGTCACGGAGGAAGGCGGGCGCGAGCTGGGGGCCTGGTGGAATATGAGCGTTGTGGCTGTCGGGGCGGGGGAGCTGGGGCTCGATGTGTCGCCGTCGGGCCACGCTGCGAGTGGCGGGAGAGATGCAGCGGGAGGGCGGCGCGCGGCTACAGTGGGCGCGGTGGAGTTGATACAGCAGCCGCCCGATCTGCAGCCCGGCGTCTGGGACAAGGTGGTCGCCGAGGGCAAGAAATACCTGCTCGAAGTCAATCCGCACGCTTTCTCGCCCGCGCCCAATGACCGCTACAACGCCATCGACGCGCGCTGGATCGACACCGCGACGGGTCTGTTCATCGACATCACCATTGTGCACCGCGTGCCGCCGTCGAAACCTGTGTTCTCCGTGGAGGAGCCGGAGGAGCAGATGTACACCAAAGATACCCACCTCTACACCACCGCTTCGCTGTTCCCGCTGCGCCGCGCCCGCTTCGAAGGCGTCGATGTCTGGGTCCCGTATGCGTACGAACAGGTCCTGATCGAGGAGTACGGGCCCCGGGCGCTGGTGGAGACGGGATTTGACGGTTGGGTTTTCGAGGGGGGGAGGTGGGTCCAGGGCGCTGAGAGTGGGGCTGTGGGGGGACGAGGAGGAGGGGGAGAGGGGACTGTCAAAGGGGGGTTTGAGAGGCCGGAGAGGACGGACAGCGAGGCGCGGGAGAGGGGGCGGGTGGATAACGGGGGCGCGGAGGTGTATCAGCCGCGCCCGGGGCGGGCGGGGGATGTGCATGTTGTGCCCGGGGTGTCATGATGCGGACGCGAACACGCGGACAAGTGTTGTGCGAAGAACGAGTGTAAGAATAGGAGTCGAGGGGTGTGTGGGGACGAACACAGCCTCGTCTAAGAGCATCTATCTACCCACGCCGACCTGCGAATGCAACGACAAACGACAAACTCCACGCAATGCCCAGCCTCATACCTCATACCTCATAAGAACACGCTTACCCGCTGCGTCCCACAGCGCCCTACACGACAAACTTCTCGCCCACGTTCTCCTCCACCTCGACGGTCGTCGTAACCCGAATATCCCCCTTGTGCAACCGCACCCCCGACCCCGACGGCGGGATCCCCATCTCCTCATCGCCCGCGCGCTCGGGGACCCCATACTTCCCACAGTCCCTCAGAATCGTCTCTTCGCTCGCATTGTCACTCGCGAGCTTCACCGACGTACGCATGCCGCCGCCCTGGCCGGAGAACACGCGGCTGCTGCTCCCCTTGCCGTCGCCCGTCTTGCGATACGCCGCCATGGGGTACGAGCGCGTCTTGAACCCGCTGCCCGTGGCGCCGGAGTTGCCGCTCGAGTCGCCGCGCGAGCCGTACGCGAGACGCACGTACAGCGGGCGCAGCACGGGGATGCAGGCGCAGATGATGGTCAGGCAGATCTCGGAGGAGGACCACAGGAGCATGGGAGAGGTGTCGTGGACGTAGTTCTCTTTGTTCGCGAGCGAGCGCAGCTCCACGGTGCGCACGACGCTGCATGCGCCGGCGAAGACACCTAGACTGAGCCCGCACGCAATGGTTATCTTTTCCTTGCGCTTCATGTTTAGGCCCATGACGACGGGCCAGGGGAGGATGGCCAGGACGAAGTCCATGCTGGCGGACCAGGCTGGGGGGTATTAGTATATTGACCTTATATTCAGGGGGGGGGGGGGGGGGGGGACGTACCGCCCATGGATAGGCCAACATCAGTGAAGTTTATGGGGCAGTGGCCGCCGGGGATGGTGGGATCCCAGAGGTAGGCGACGGGTTTGCATTGGACGAAGAGGAGCGTGGTGGTGATAGTGCTGAAGATTGCTGTGCTAACTATCACGCTCCAGAGGAGGGCGATGTGCCACCGTCGCAGCACAATTCTCAGCAGGAATAGAGCGACCGCGGCTTTGGACACAGCAATGCCCATCTAGCAGTGTCAGGCACAAGAGATGGACATATACGGGTAGATGGCTTACAATGCATATCCCCTGGCCAATGGCTTCCCAGAAGATGGCTTTCGAGTTGTCGAGTCCAAGGCGTACGATATCGTCCGTCTTCTTGCCAACCCCATAGCTGATACCTACTGACGTTGTCGCAATGAATGCAATAAACGTCACCTAATGGAGTCAGTCAATACCGTGTGTCAAGACAAAAGCAGAACGTGGCACTCACCAGATTCACTGTCATCACGAGGTCGTCCCAGCCTAGACTCCTTATGATAAAGTAGCGAGTATACAGCCGCAGCACGATGAAAATAGACGAGATGATGACCTGAAACCACATCACTCCGTTGAGGATCGGTCCGTAGTCTTCTGGCTTCGCCATCACGATGGGGTTGGACAGCGTCCGAAGAAGCAAAAAAAGGTGCACCTGGTCCAAGACAGACCCGTACAGCAGTAGCGCTGTCTCTGACTGATAGAGACGGGCCGGGTGCTTTGTCGAGGACTGGTGGCTTGTGTGGGCCAGGAGATCGTAAAGATGAGTGTTGATATACTGAAAGGAAGGGACGAAAGGAATGGGGGAACGGACGTGGAGTGTTTCAAGAGCACAGTCAAATGATCTACATCATGGCAGATCCTTGGGCCGACTTGACAGCACTGCACCTGAGTATCTCCAACGAGCTGCCTAGCAGACCTGAAGAAACTAGTGTGGCGGATACAACCGCTGCAATTCGCTCGGTTCACGCATTTGCAAGGGATATCCATAAGCGACACGAATCAATAACAGTTGCGCTCCCCCTAGTTGTTTGCGCCAATGCAAAAAGCTCGCAGGCGATGCTCAGGTGCAGTAGCATGCCTCCATCATCTCGACGACCCAAAGCGGCAGCCGCCCTGGAGGCCGACGGACGCTAGGAAGATCGTCACCGTCTTCGTGTAGAGCGGGTAGATGCGCTCCCTAACTCGAAACGATATAGAAGAAGACGTATTGGTCATCCAGACCGTGATAGGATAGCCTCACGTCCGCAGACGCCACGCGACGGGGCTGCATGGTGCTATTTTCCCTACACGGAGCAAGCCTCGAAGAAGCAAGTTGCCGCTGACAGCCCCTGACATGGTGCAGGCTGCTTCGATGTAATGCATTCGAGATGTGATGGCGTGCATAGCCCCGAAGACTGCGTCCACGCGACAGCATTGCAAGTTGATCGAAACTCGCACTTCCATTCCATATCAGGGTCTTTGGCGGAGACAAAGCACGGTAGTAGTTTGCAGCTCGTTCAATGGCCGTGGGGCTGTCTGTGCCTTGACTAACACAATGGGTCCAAACGGTTTGATGGGGTTCCGTGTTTCTTGGTCGTTTACGACATGCGGAGGAGCGCGCAACGGTCTCCACCACGATTGAATCCTCATCCTTCGAACCCATAATTTGGGACGAGAGGTCCTCGCTACGGTAGATATTTGGCGCGCAAATTTGCTCGTATAACAGCTCTCATTCGCTCAAGCATCCACATCTGTCGACAGAATAGTCAATGGTTTCACATACCACTCGGTACCCAATCACGAAGACGTGGTTAAGCGGCTGCACGGTAGCGGCTCACATGTTCCCCGAGGGGTTGTTGGATTGTGGGTCCAAGGCTGATATCGCCAACCTGGACGACGTTCTGGACAGTGAGGTGCAGTGGCGTGAGGATGGGCATAAATATGGATCTGTATTTGCGACATTGCCGTATTGGTTGACCACATTGTCGGTACATTACGGCACGCGTGGGCTGCGAGATTCGTCATTGAGAACTGCCCGTGTGGATATGTTGATGAAGGACGCTGCAGATGCTAAGCAAGAACGGGGTCCTTGCCCGTGACGCGATCTAAGCGAGCCATTCGGGGCCCCTTCACCCGCCGCCCCGATCCTTCCTTCCCCACCATCTGCCGTCTTCGGTAGTGTAACACCAAGGGCGCTCGAGTTCAGGAGAGACCGCACGCTCACCGCAAAATCGCCTGCAGATGCTGTGCCACCACACCCTGCGCGTGGTGAGCGTTGTAGTGCGTCCACGTTGTCCGCGGCGCGGATGGGAACTCTTCGATTGTAAGAAGACTCGGCCGGATCTTCAACCGTCTCTCCTACGCTAGCGCCTTCCCCCGAGATGGTCAACAGCGAGCCAACCCAAATGGGAGAAACTGGGAATGGTGGGATTGCTGCCGCTCAGCGAGACGAAGTCGCGGAAAGTTGTGATCTGAGATGCACTGAGCAATGCCTAGATCCGGCAACTGCTACATATATCTCAACGTCTGTATCACCACAATGTAAGGAATGGACGCAATTCATCTGAGACAGAATGCTTAAGTCCCTTTACGTTCTGCCCTCAACCTCAGAAGAAATTTGCACGTCGGGCTAGAGGGGATGAATAGGACCGAGACCGCTCTATGATGCATGTGGAGGGCAAGTCAAGATGCTCGGTATTGGGGCGCGAACAATAGGATTCGCTATGGGCTGCATTCATTGGCGCCGTACTGTCACCCTGGTACCTTACATGGTTCCTTGCCGTCCGATCTGCAGGGCCTTACTGTTGTGACATCCCACGCGAGCGGTTGTCGTTTATACAGGTCACTTCTGCCCCTCACTCGTCACTCAATCCCTTCAACATTCTCGTCGCATACACAAGCATGGCACTGACATCTTTACTGCTTAAGGCGCTGGGTCTCGCGGCAATCGTATTGGCCATACAGTATGTTACTGCATATCTGAGGTCACCGCTGAAGAGGATCCCTGGTCCGTTCCTGGCCAAGTTCTCAAACGTATGGCGCTTCTGTAATCATTACGGGCAGACGCATATCGAGACGCAGAAAGCATTGCATCACAAGTATGGTGACGTGGTCCGCCTCGGTCCGAATACTGTCAGTGTTGCAGACGCAAGTCTGCTCAAAACTATCTACTCCACTCGAGGCACGTTCTTGAAGGTATGTGATATCTTGGACATGGTGCATAGTGATATGCTGATCATTATATAGAGCGGTTTCTACTCTAGTACGGTTTCAAATGATAAAAACAACCACTCACCTGCTAACACCTCGCAGTAAACGATGCTCTTCAAAATGGTCATCTCCTACAGAACTTGTTCAGCACACGCAACAATGAGTTTCACGCTAAAGGGCTTAGACCCGTTCAGAAACTGTACAACTATCAGAGTGCTTTACAGCTCGAGCCGCTGATGGACGATGACCTTCGTACCTTCGGGAACGAGCTCGAGCGTAGGTTCATGCGTGGTGAGAACAAAGGTAAAACATGTGACATTGGCGACTGGATCTCGTACTTTGCTTGGGACTTCCTCGGGGACATGACCTGGAGTAAGCGCATGGGCTTCATGGAGCAGGGTAAAGATATTGGCGGTATGTTGCAGACTGCCGAAAACGTCATGAGGTACTTCTCTGTAGTAAGTCATCAGTGAACTGTAGATGATGCAGCCATTAACAAACAACAGGTCGGGCAAGTCCCAGCGCTTGACAAGTTGCTCGGCAAGAACCCCTATCTGACCAAGCTCTACAAGTTCGACGATGTCGGCGTTGCCGCAGGCTTCGCAGTAGAACGCTTCATGGAGCGCATGCAAAACCTCGGCGACTTCAAAGACAAAAAAGACTTCGTGAACGGCTTCCTGGCCGCGAAAAAAGAACGCCCCGACCTCGTCAGCGACAACGAAGTCATCGGCTACATGGTGCTCAACATCCTCGGCGGCGCAGACACCCTCTCCATCTGTACAAAAGCCATCTTCTACCACCTCCTCAAGTCGCCCGCCGCCAAAGCAAAGCTCGTGCAGGAACTCCACAGCGCCTGTCTGCCCAGCCCGGCGCCCTACCAGGCCCTCGAGAAACTTCCGTATCTGGAGGCCTGCATCAAGGAGGGCCTCCGCATCCACCCCGTCGTCGGCCACATCCTCGAGCGCGTTGTCCCTGCAACAGGCATGACGCTGCCAGATGGCACTATTCTGCCCCCGGGCACGATTGTGGGCGCTAATCCGTGGATCATGCACACCGACAAGCGGATCTTCGGCGACGACGCCGAGCAGTACCGTCCCGAGCGATGGCTCCAGGGCGAGACTGAGAGCGCAGACGCGTACTCGGCCCGCCTGAAGATGATGAAGGATGCTGACTTGGCGTTTGGCGGTGGCAACCGTGTTTGCTTAGGACGTCCGCTCGCGATGGTCGAGCTGAACAAGGTGTTGGGCTTTGTGTTTGGGAATTATAATGTAAGTCTGCCTTTGCACTGTCATGTTTGTCCGCAGGGCTTTGCTAACGAGTGTTGCAGATTGAGCTTGAGGATCAGACCAAGGAGTGGGATTTGAACAAGCAGTGGTTTGTCTGGCCGCATGACATCAAGGTCAAGATGAGTCCGTTTGAGAAGGCGTAGGTGTTGGAGAAGGGGTGTGTGAGATGAAGACGAGTTCCGGCAGATGATTGATAATGACGCTACATATCGGTAATATTGGATAGTCTCGGCATGCGACAGGTATGAGTTCATGCATTTATGATTGATTACTACATATCATTACTACATACGGTCATTATTACATAGCCATGCTACCGGTCCAATGCTCAACCCAATCCATCTACGTTCCCATCACCGTCAGACAAGCCTACAAAGCCCACGCAGCGACACCTAAGACCATCGCCATCACCTCGGGTACCATGGTCGCAACAGCCGCAGCACCAGTGAATTGAGACAAGCTGCTGGTGCGGGACGCGCTGCCGCTCGCACTCCTGGTCGCACTTCCAGACGCACCTCCGGACGCAGACGCACCGCCAGACGCAGACGCACTGGACCTCATACTCGCCGACGAGGCGGTCATGGTAGAGTTACCCGCGCTCGACGACGCAAGAAAGCCGTTGCAAAGCCCGTTGTTGCACGAGTTGTACGCGCACTGCGAGTTGGACGTGCACGCCGCATTGAAGTTACCGCACCTGGCAATCAGCCCGGCGTTGCTGGCCCAGCACTGCACGCCAGCTACGCACTGGCTGGGGGTCACATAGGGGTTGCACTCAGCGCCGAGCGCGAGGGAGCCGGGCGCCGCGGTGACGGTGGACGAGGGCGCCGGCATGAAGCCGCCGGTGGGGGTGCTTGTGATGGAGGGCGTGGCCGGAGCGGACGAGGACGACAGGAAGCCGTTGCAGAGGCCCTGCTGCAGGTTACATGTGTTGAAGGCGCATTGCTGGTCGCTGGTGCAGGCGGCCTGGAAGTTGCCGCAGCGGGGCTGCAGCATTGAGTTTGTTGCGTAGCATTGCGAGCCCAGCGCGCACATGGTGCCGCCGGGGACGCAGTCTCCGCCGACGGGAACTACGGCGCCGATGGGAGCCTGGCTGGCGGAGATGGTAACTGAGCTGCCGTAGCTGGTTGAGAAGGCGGAGTTTTGTGCTGAGATAATGGGGGCGACTGTTGCCAGCACTGTGAAGATGGTGTACTGCATCTTGATTGATGTGGACAGGATGTTAAGTGATGAGGAAAGAGTGTATTGTGAGGTACGACTAAAGATGGCTGTGAATAGCGCACCGAGAAATCTTTGGATGGAGAGTGATGATGCCCAAGAAAAAGCGTGCACCACAGTAGTCTCTTATACTCACTCGGAGGCTCGTACTTCTTCGTGTTTATGAGGCAAATCATGGCTAGCTGATGGGTTCAGCCCTTTAGCGCTGTAACCAATAGTTACCCGCCTCCGAATGGCCGACGCCAGCTTTCACGATGTCAACGTTAGGTTCTGGTTCCGCTGCTTCGAAAAGTGGGTGGTTGGCGCGGTGACAATGCAGCTGCGTGCGGGGTCAAAGCTGGGACGCAAAAGTTACAGGTACCAGTCCCAACCACTCTTTGGCACACAGAGAAGCTGAAAGCTGAAAACGGTTTCTGTGTACGTTATTGTTATTCTTAGAACAATTTCTGGGGAAGTGGGTTAGTGTGGCGCAGCACGAGGGAATGATCGACGTTGCGCCGCAGGTCCGTTTTCCTCATGATTGCGTCGCTTTCGTTTTGTTCCAGAACAATTCGAGCTTTATAGGGACGAGGGCAGCTGAGACGCTTCCGGGTGCCTCCCTGACTGTCGCGACCGAAGGGAGGCGTTGCGCGCGATCGAGGGAAATGGAGATGGCGGGAGGCAGGTTTACGCTGCACGGACTGTCAATTGCCTGGACACGAGCAACACACCCTAAGTGTCACGGCTTGAGGTACTACGCCAGACGAGGCCTGGGTGGCAACACTATTGGTGTAGCAGCCACAACCAACGCAGCTAGATGCTGCAGATCAGCTCGCCTTTGATCTGGTGTTGATGCGGCAACCAGTCCCTGCGCTACTCGGAAAGATCCGACTGGGACAGCTGAATTCGGGGCCACGGCGCTGGTAAGTACAGCTGTTGGACGATACGCCACATTGCCTCCTCTAGTTAAGCATTCGCTTCAGCCGTCAAGCGTGAACGCCAATTGGGCCAAGCCGCGGTCAATGTTCCGTTCGAAGATGACAGGAAGTGTGGCTACCACAGATGCGAATGAGTGCAGTAGCAGAACCCAGGCCGCGGTGAGAAGCAATTCGGCCCCCAGCATGCTTTTCAGACGACATGTTGAAGTTCAAGCAGCTGAAACCTATCAAGCATTGGTGATCGACGCTATTAGCGGTTGTGTGACCGATCCAAGGCACGCTGCGCGAGCATGCACTGCTCCCGAGAGACCCACTGAGCGTCTCTAACGTCTTGCTTAAACAAGAGCCTCGCATGACTCTCATTTCGCTACAAGGTGAGCCTGCTTGCTTCGAAATCGAATGGTACTACGAGAGCCTCGAAATTTGCTGACGTACAGCGGCATGCCGTGTTTATGCTTTTAGATGGAGGCTGGGGTCTGTTGTTTGGGAGGACGGCCGTAGAGGTTGGGCGTACAATACGGGACTTCGTCGCTCGCGAAGGTCGTTGGCCTTCTTGATCATCAGCCAAGCTCACAGTACTTTTTCTCAATACAATTACGACGTCAGGTATGGAGACCGCCCCTGTGATAGCTTTTGCGTTTTGCGACGAAGTTCGGGTGTCGAAGGTGAGCCATTCGGATGCTTCAGTTGCGGTACCCCAGCTCGAAAGCCTGCGGTGATTCGAGTTACATTTCGAACCTTAATAGGCTTCCATTCACCAACGCTCTGGCTTCTGAATCTATACCAAAAGCCTTGTCTGTGGGAACTTGATGATGATCGATGCAAATTTGGGCCGTCGTATGGAAGAAATTTGAATCGAGAGTGTGTGGACGTGACGATGGATAGCCCGCATGCTCAAATGTAAGGCGCAATATGGCGCCATACAGATGTAACAACACGCGTGAAAGCGGCAGCAAACGACTGAAAGGACTGGAATGAGCTTGACATCATAGAAATCGAATGTGAATTCTGACTGGGCCTCGCTCATCTCGCTGCTTTGAAAATCCTTGTACGTGAAACAACTGTGCATTGTCGAGGTTCTGCTTTCGTGTGTAACCTACAAATCTAGAGTAAAGTTCCACGCGCCATGGCTGCGAGCGTGAGAGACACTCAAGGTGCCTTGCATCATAGCGTGGAGCTCAGGTCAGACTCTCCTTGTACGTGTACGATACTCGATATCTTCCTAATCCTGTCTACAACGGCCAGGAGCATAATCTTGTTGCGAGAGAAAGACGACAGCGAGTGGTTCGATGCTGCACGACAGCTTTCGTTCCTGTGCTCGCGTGCAACGTAGTTGTCCGGCCGGTCGGAGCGAGGAGGACATTTCATTTTATCCGCACTGGCGTATCTTTACTGGGCACGTTGATACCAACGCTAGCAATGTAAGCATGGTTGTATCATTGGAAATACCTTAAGCGTGTGTAAAAACTTTTAAGTGTTTGTCGGCGACGTGGAAGACTCAATTCGCGTTGAGGATTTCCTTGCTGGTCGATGAGTAAATCCATGGATATTCCCGTCGACCCAGGGCTGCTGCAATTATAACTTCAAATCCATACAACCATCCAGTTCTTGCATTGAAGAAAAGAGTGGATGTGGTAGCGTTGCAATAGCGCAGAAAGTGCCGAGTGTAAGAACACAACTAGCGCCGCCGCCTACCGATATCCGAAAGTTTACTCGATGTAATCGAGCAAGCCATGCACCTATCAGTACTCCTTCACTCCTTCGAGCGTTTACCCGCTTCCTTGCCTGTCGTAGCCGCGATCTAGACAGCGTTGTGAAGAAATTTTCAACGCATGCTGCCCGAAAGGATCGTGCCCTGTTGCAGAATGCTACGCCACCCTGCAATTGCACAGCAGTTTCTGTGGAAATCGGCGTCCAGCGAACGTGTGGGCCCTTCTTCGTGCAAATTTGTTGTGAGCCGCCGTACCAATGGAGACTCGTCTTCCGCGGCTGGCTCGCACAGCTATTGGCTACACAGGCCGGGAAGCTATCGTACGCCAATCAATCTCGAGATATCAACGTGCTGATAACGAACCTTCTGTCGCATCTGGTTCTCCAGGGGATTTCGGTAGATGTAACTGGCAGCAGCCAGAGAGGATTTAGCGATGAGCTCATTGTAATGGTCAGCCGCCTGAAGCCTAGTGCTGCGGAGTAGGTGATGTGCATGATCATGTGCGTACCCAGATCTCCGCGCCTCGTGCAGAATACCGCCTAAAGGCATACGACCCTGCACGGCCGCACGTCGCTGGTGCACGATCTATTGCGTATATAGGACCCTGAACCTTCTCGTGCCGCAGTGTCCAAACCTTCTTTCTTGGTTTTGCTTCAATTCATCCATTGCGACCGCAGAGCAAGCACAATTGCGGTGCAGCCGACGTAATCCCGCAACAGTACCGAGGAACTCCAGGCAGCGCTGGTGAGCACGCGCGCAGGGTAGTACATTTTGCGTAACAGTGTGCTTGCTTCTCGAAAGTCACCTTTTAATCCTGCTCTGGCAGAAGACGAAGAGACAAACCGCCCGTCATGTCTCTTTCCGAACGCCTCACAACGATGGAGGAGTACCAGCCGTGGAGTGCACCCGGCAGCCGCGAATCGTCGCGCAACCGTAAGATGTCGTTCAATCCAGTCGGAACGTGGACCGAGGCTGCAGGAGAGGTGCAGCCTGTAGGAGCATTTGAAGTACCGAAGTGGAAAAGATATCGTGAGTACCGAAATATGTACACGACGAGTGGAGCTGACTACATGGTGCAGTGCAGGTATGCTTGGCTTGCATTTACTGCCTGTTCGCGGCTGGGGTTGTATTTGGCTTTGCAGCAATCAAGCCAGTGCTACTAGAAGAGGGCGTGTACAGAGACAGATGCTCTGAGCAAGAGCTGAAGGACGATGTACGAGTGTGCTACGAGCAGGAGCTGAGGTTTGTACACGCAGACTCGAGGGAAGGCACGACCCACTGACCAATTGGCAGGCTCAACCTGATGTTCACCATCGCCGCCGTCTCCACGAACGTCGTCGCACTCCCTGTCGGCACAATACTGGACCGCTATGGACCTCGAGTGTCCGGGATAATTGGAGCGATTTCGATCACGATAGGATCGGTGCTGTTCGCCTTTGCAGCGCAGCTTCCTTTCGATGCGTACATTCCTGGATATTTGTTCCTGGCCCTCGGCGGACCATTCGTGTTCATCTCGTCTTTCCAGCTCAGCAACACATTCCCGCAGTACTCGGGATTGATTCTGGCTCTCCTCACTGGTGCATTCGACACTTCGAGCGCTATCTTCCTATTCTACCGCTTGATGTACCAAGCCACCGACGGTGCCTTCACACCCAAGAAATTCTTCCTTGTATATCTGATAGTCCCTGCGTACATCCTGCTGGTGCAGATCTTCTTCATGCCCTCCACCTCCTACAAGACGGTCGGTGAGTTGGTCAACGAAGTAGAAGAGAGCAACAGCGTGCACGACTCAGATGACGAGATCGAGGACCAGACCACGGTTCGGGGCCTGCAGGACGCCCGCCGCGCACACAGAGACAGCATCGCCAGCGAGATCACCGCTCTGCTGGGCACAAAAGATGGCGCGGACCAGGCGAAGGAGGAAGAGACGAAACGCAACAAGTCAGGTGTCTGGGGAGCGCTGCATGGACGCACTGCGGTAGAGCAGATCAAGACGCCGTGGTTCATCTTCATCACGCTTTTCACCGTTCTGCAGATGACGAGGATCAACTACTTCGTCGCAACTATCCGCTCGCAGTACACCTACATCTTCCACGACTACTCCAAGGCAGTCGAGATCAACAACTTCTTCGACGTTGCACTGCCCGTGGGCGGCATCATCTCGATTCCGTTCATCGGCATCATCCTGGATAACACCAGCACCACCTTTACCTTGTCACTGTTGGTTACCATCGCGACTTCAATCGGTGTCCTCGGTGTGATCCCTGAGACCTGGGCTGCGTACGGGAACATCATCTTGTTCGTGCTCTACCGACCTCTCTACTACACAGCAGTCTCGTAAGTGCTAGACAACCATTCTCGAGCAACTTCTAACATCTCACAGCGACTACTCAGCCAAGGTGTTCGGATTCGCCACGTTCGGCAAGGTCTACGGACTGATCATCTGCTCGGCCGGCCTCCTCAACTTCTCGCAATCTGCGCTCGACGCTGCGACCCATAAAGTGTTCAAGAACGACCCAGTGCCAATCAATGTCATTCTCTTGGGTCTCGCACTGCTTGTTGGCATCTGTCTTGTTGCTTTTGTGTACAGCAAGAGCCACAAGATTATGAGGGAGAATATCGAAGAGGAGGCCGAGGAAGCCAGCGAGAGGCTGATGCCTGGTGGCAGCATTGGCGCGCAAGACTACGGCGCTGTCAATGCAAATGGAGAGGAGGAAGAGAGGAGGGGTCGTAAGATGTAAGGCAGATGAAAAGTTTGGTTGATTACGAGCAGAGATGGACCTTCCCTTCACGACTGATGCTTTTTCCATTGTAGCGCTTCCGAGTCACGTTGGGCGTTTGGGTTGCACAGCGAGGCGTTCGGTTGGCCTTACGGTGTTATCTCCTTCTGGGCTTGGACTTCTTGCAGATCAGCGTGGAGTCTGCCTTGTGTTTCTTTGGCATCTCCTAGTCTTCCTATACACCGTGCTCTTGTACATGGCATAACTGTACATACCAGGTAAACAAAACGTCTATTATCACTACCAAACTGCCAATAGAGAACATGAAGTGGTTGTGACACAAGACCATCACATGTCGGAAGCATCGCGCTGACAAGGTGATACTGCCATGGGGGTACGACGCACGTGTCGATCTTGGCGGAGTATCCAAGACGGAGTGTCGGCGGATTCTTCTTGACCTTTCGACACGCAGGCGCACGACAGCACAGTACCCCGAGTCCACCATGGAGCCGCTCGCATCCGACCCTTTGCGCCTCAAATCCCAGGCGCAACATGTGAGATAGCCCGCAATGCGCGGCGCCACGCCTTGCCCTCAGGCACAACCACCACTCGAAATAGCCACACCTCAGCACACCAGCCGCAACGCACCCACCGAAGGAGGAACGCCCGGCAGCAATTAACAGCAATCCCACGCATGATTCTCGCAATTTCTGCACGCCGCCGAATCACAGCGCGGAAATTTCCTTATCGATGTTTCACTCCACGCGGCGACCCACTGTAGCGCTGCTGAAACAGGGGCGCGCCACCACGTCAACGCGCCAACGCGCATCCCATCAACGGCGCACGCGGGAACGCACCACAGGTGCGATGCGCAGAGCGGCTGTGCAGCGTGGGCCGCTGGCGGGCGTGGCATGAACGGGTCTGGCCCACTTGGACTAGCTGACGATGGGAGGCAGAGAAGTGGAGGCTCCTTGTCTTCGCGTCACTGTTACAATCTTTTCGTTCTGCTGGTTGTTGGGCAGAGGTCTTCCTTCTTTGCTGCTTGGACTTTTTTCGGACGTTTCTGTCCATGACATTCATTTCGTGACTTGACGTCTTCGTTCTTTTGACTTGCGAGTCGATTCCGCTCTTTTGTGAAGTGCTTGATTGTGCTTGATTCACTTCCGTCTTTTCTATCAACGACAGCAGATTCCAAGTAGAACTTCGGCCATCATGCGTCTCCCTTCGAATCTCGTTCCGTTGGTGTCCATCTTCTTCCCGGACTCGCCGTTGTTGCCGTCCAACTCTACACAGTTTGCGTTGGAGTCGGGTTCAGCGACACTATCAGCGACACTATCAGCGACACTATCAGCGACCCTACGAGCATCAGTCTCAACAAAACTTTCAACAACGCTCTCAGCGACCCCGTCAGCAAAGTCCTCGGCGATACCAACAACAATCTCAGTCGAACCCTCACTCACATCCACAACCCCCTCCGCCACCCCCTCCGCAACCGCACCCGCCGTCCCCGCCGCCAAACTCCTCCTCAGCAGCGCGGGCGCCTACGCCTCGTCCCTGCGCGCCACGTACCCGGACCCCGGCCTCGCCCTCTTCGCCGAGCCCATCTGGTGGTGGCAATCCGGCTCCGGCGTCGACGCCCTGCTGACCTACACCGCGACCACGGGCGACACGCAGTACGCATCCCTCCTCTCCAGCACGCTCATCACCGAAGCCACGCCCGCCAACGACTTCATGACCGTGCACGCCACCGGCAACGACGATCAGGCGTGGTGGGCGCTCGCCGCGCTGACCGCCGCGGAAACCGGTCTCGCGCCCGCGGGTCCCGTGCCGTGGGCCACGCTCGCCCAGAATGTGTTTGACCTGCAGACCACCCGCTGGGACAACGACAAGTGCGGCGGCGGCATGAAGTGGAAGGTGCTCGAGGGCGACGGCACGGACGGGTGGCACTACAAGTCGACGATCGCGAACGGGCTGTTTTTCCAGCTCGCCGCGCGGCTGGCGCTGCACACCAACGACGCCAACATCACCGCCTGGGCCGCCAAGAGCTACGACTGGACCGTGTCCGTTGGGTTGATATCGCCCGACTTCGACGTCTACGACGGCACCGACGACGCCAAGGGCCCCAACGGCTGCGTCGACGTCAACCACAACATGTGGAGCTACAACGTCGGCGTGTTCATGTACGGGGCGGCTGTGATGGCGCGCCTGACGGGCGAAGAAGTGTGGCTGGAGCGCACGCGGGGCTTCATCGCAAGCGCGGCGCGCAACTTTGTCAATGCCGAGACAGGGGAGCTGTGGGAGGCGCGGTGCGAGGGCGACGGCAGCTGCGACTCGGATCAGGTCAGTTTCAAGGGCACGCTGGCGCGCTGGCTGGGGGCGACGGCGGAGATGGTGCCGCAGCTGCGGGACAGCGTGGTAGAGATTGTGGGCGGGGCGAGTAGTATGGCGACGGCGGGGACGGCGGAGGGGTTGGGCGCGATTGCGGCGTTCAATCAGCTCGAGATGGCGAGTGCTGGGCTGCGGGTGCAGGGGTACGGGGGCAAGGAGGGGACGATTGGGGCGCGGCGGGTGCGCGGTGTTGCTGGGAGAGTGAAGTGGGAGAGGTGAAGTGGTGTTGGTGCGGGCATGGAAGCGCCCGAGGCCGAGTGGTAATCATAGATCTGCATACAATACCCCAGCCTAGAGTTGTCGTCGTTTCGCCCTGCAGAAGTGTGTATGAATCCGGCACCACGCGTTACGACAAACGTTCTCCCTTGCACCCAGTCTCACCATCCATGCACCAAGTATCTGCAGCGCACGACTCCGCCGCGGCTGGCTGGCGAGCTTCACCGCAGCTCGCAGTGCGCCTTCCCTCCCCGGCACCCCTCACCCCTCAAACTCCCCCCTCCCCCCCACATCCCCCTCATTGACAGCCCCATACGCATCCTCAAAACTCGCCACCTCAACCTCCCACCCCTCGTCCGCCGCGCCGCCCTCCCACCGATACGCCAACACCGCATTATCGCGCAGTCCCGCGCCCTTGGGGCAGTCTGACGGTTTCGAATTAACTTTCGCCTTGCCCTTCCCCTTTCCGTTTTTCGGCTGCACCTCGCTGTCCGACTCGAGCGTGGTCGCGTCAAGTGAGTCGTCGACTTCCCACTCGCCCAGCACGAAGCCGCGCGAGGCGTCGAGCGGGTCGACGGGGCGGCCGAGTTGGAGCGCTTCTGCGGAGGGAGGGAGCGCGGATGCCGGGCTGCTGAGGTCGTCGGAGGCGGTTTCTGTGAGTGCGTCGTAGAGAGCGGTTTTTATGGCGCTGAAGGGCAGGAGCGGGTCGATGTGCAGGAAGAGCGTTGTGCGGGCGTGTTTGAGGCGCAGGGTCCAGGTTTGCGGTGTTGGGGTCGTCATTTTGCGTTGTCGTGGGGGGTTGTGGTGAAGGATTGTGGAGGGTGGAGGATTCGGAAAGTGGCAGGTGGAGTGGGGATGTTGGTGTCGGGTTCGCGGGGTGGGGAGACGCGTTGCGGGAGCGCGTGGGCATGTGATCTTGGCAAAGTGCTGATGGGTGCGGAGCTAAGCTGAGCTCCTCCGCTTCTTTGCGACAACACACCTCGACAACCTGACATCGCGGGCACTGTCACTAAGTACAGTTGTTTTGTTACTGCTGGGGAACTCGGTGCAATCATAACACAAATCTTCCTCCCGAAGCAGAAATCCTCCAACGCTCCCGTCACCAACTTCACCGTACCTCCGCACCACCGCACCACCACCACCAACAAAACCAACACCACCACAATGGCAACCCTCACGCCCCCAAACCCCACCGCCATCATCGTCGCCGACCTCCCCCCACCACCGCCCCGCCCCTCACAACCCCTCACCAACGCCCCCCGCCTCGGCATGCCCTTCGACCGGCGCCTACTCCTCACGACCGCAACCTCCTTCGTATGCGGCTTCACGCTAGGCACCGCGTCCGCGGGCTCGATGGCGGCGCTGCGGTTCCGCGCGGAGAACGCGCACCGCCTGCCCATCTCGCAGCCGGGCTGGTACCTGTACCACAAGAGCAAGAACTACTACAAGACGAAGGAGGGCGTGATCGAGGGGCTGCGCAAGGGGTGCAAGGTGGCTGCGTGGAGCACGGTGTTCTTCGTCGTCGAGGAGAGTCTGGATGTGTTCCGCGGGACGTGGAAGGCCGGGCGCACGGTCGAGCAGATGGAGGGCGTCGATGAGTTGAGTCTCAAGCGGATTGATAGGGGTGTGGCTGGGTCGCGGGACTGTGTCAGCGGCGCGCTGGCGGGCATGGTCACGGGCGGGCTGTGGAGCGCCTGGCATCAGTTTCCGGTCAGCACGGCGGCGCGGACGATCCGGTTGGGGCTGGTGGTCGGGCTGGGGTATGGGCTGGGGCAGGATGCGTTGGTGTGGGCGAAGAGCCGGTATGGGGCGGGCGAGGAGGGGGAGAGCTGGATCTACCGGGGCGCGAAGAACCGGCGGGCGGAGGGCGAGGGCGAGGAGAACGCAGCGTAGGAGGCGTGAGGCTTTGAACGCGAAGACACGCTGCATGCACACTCGACACTCTCCAGCACGGCCGGCCTACTCCAGCGTCTCCGTGCCTCCGTGGAAACGCTCCAGCCTTCCAATAACCCCCGCCACTCCATCCACCCGCACCTCGTCTGCCGCCACAACACTCCCCAACGTCCCCAGCGGTACACCGGCGTGGATACTTCCGCGAAGTAGGTCGTGTCGTTTTGATACCGTGCTACCTAGTCTGAGGTTCGCTTGTACCGCACGCGCCGGGGGGGGGGGGGGGGGGGGGGGGAGAAGGGAGGAAGAGGGATAGGGAGGGATAGGGGGGGTAGGGAGGAGGAGGGATATGAAGGAGGAAAAAGAAACAGCAGGCATCGGACAGGAAACGACAAGACACAGCAAATCCGTAGTTGCACGAGAACCGCTCGCAGCAAGCGACGGGGCGCGACACAGGACATGCAAGGCAGAGCACGCGAGCGATCAAGAGACGCGCAACCAAATCGTGGACAGCAGAGTGTGTATGTGCAAAAGTCATATTCTCATCACCATGCCCAGCCAAAAAAAACCCCCCTAAACACCCGTCGCTCGCCCCTGCGCGCAACAAAACAATGGTATCCTTGTGCCTATCCCTGTGCCTATCCCAATCCCTATCCCGATCCCTATCCCCCCCGCCAGAAGCCCCAGCCCCGCCTACTCATCGCGATAAAACTTCTTGAAAATCAAATGCAGGAACAAATTAACATTAACCCTGACGGCCCCATTGCCACTGCCATCCCTTCCATCGCCAAACAGGTTCATGAACTGGTGATTGTCGAACTGGGCCTGCAGCAGGCCGTCGAGGGGCACCTCTGCAAACGCACCCGGGATCATCATGCTGCCCTGCGAGCCCTGGATCTCGAAGACGCCGGTTTGGTTGGACGAGATGGTGAGCTCGAGGCGGTCCCACTGGGCGTCTGGGTAGCCGTTCCAGGAGACCAGGATACCCTTTTGCGCGAGGTTGCGCGCGGAGTACTTGAAGCTGCCGAAGCGGTACGCGCGGCCCGTGGACTTGAGCTCGCGCATGTGGTTGTACTGGCGCGTGAAGGGGAGGAGGAACTTCTTCTTGCCTTTCTTGGATTGCAGGGTTACCATGGCTTGCTCGATGTAGTCGTTGTAGCTCTTGAGCTGCTGTTCGAGGAAGTGCGCTTTCTCGTCGAGGGCCGCGAGCGTCGTGCGCACGCCTTCCATCTCGCGCGCCCGCTCCATGCGGCGCCTGTGCTTGGTGCGGATGTCGACTGCGATGGCGTTGAGCAGGTCCTGGTAGTTGTTGTGCGGGGAGATGCGGCCGGCGCGCTGGAGTTGGACCATGTTCTCGAGGCAGTACTGCTTCAACGTGGGGTAGTCGAGTTCCAGGACAGAGTTGGACCCCATGTCGGTAGTGTAGGTGGACGCGGCAGACGACCGGACGGCGCTGTGCTTGCGGTTGCGGTCTTTCCTTTGCGCAGCGACCTCTTCGCGGACGAGCGAATCCCATCGGTCTTCGTCCTGAGGTGTGACAGGCTTGCACAAGATTTCTGTGAGATTCGCACCGGTCTGCACTCGGATGATGTACAGTGCGTAGCGCTTGGTCTCCATGAACAGCGACTTGAGGTGGGCGTCGGGGTCTACTTCTGTCAGTCTTGCTCATTGCATGCATAAAAAAATGCTCACCTTCTTGTTCGTGGAATTTGGGGTTGAGGGTGAGGGTGATCTCGGTCGAGCTGACGTGCAGCAGCTCGTTCTCGTTGTTCTTCGCGCTTCCAAGTTCGCGCACGACCTCGCGCAGAGGATCGTCTTGCGAGGGACAAAGGGTTGCGAGGTCATTGATAACAAGGTTGTGGATGGCGAAAACGTCGGCAAGCTTGATGTACAGCGTCGGCTTGGTGCGGGCGAAGAGGTCATTGAACTCGTCGATCTCAAAGTACGCCTCTGCGTCGCGGACATCGATGAGACTGGACCAGATATCTTGCAGGCGGTCGATGGCCTCAGTGACATAGCTGTTGAGTGGCTGCAGGTAGAGGTCCTCGCCACCAAACAACCTCCCTGCCGCTACCTGTCCGAGAACCTTGTTGACGGCATTGAGGTTGCGACCCATAACATTGGACAGTCCGCGATCCACCACACCCCAGTGTTGAGGCTGTGCAAGTGCAGGCTGGATGTACGACCTCCACAACCAACCCCCTGCAACCTGCAGCAGCTGCTCCTGCGGTTCGTAGGTGAACTTCTGGCGCAGCTCCTCAAACATTTGCTGGGCGATGTAGCGAACGCCATACGGCATTCTGTGAAGCACTTCCTCGAGCATGGAGAAATACTGGTCGGCGACATCTCGGAGATCTTGGAGGTTGTGGATGAACGTAGCTCGGGTCTCCTGATCCTTGAGCGCCATGTCTCGTGTCACATTGGGATCGCGTCGACTTCGCTGCCCGGTGCGGAGTTCCTCATTGTTAATTGCAGACTTGTAGATCTGCATCGGGTCGCTCTCGAGATCCAGCTCTTCGTTGTCGATGATGTTGTCGCGGATGACACCTCCAAGGAGCTCCTTCAGGAACTTGCGGTCTCGGGGTGAGCGAACAAAGCTGCCGAACAGTTTGGTCCAGAAGAAGTTGCCACGTGTGAATTCTTGCACTGTCGCACATCCGTCAATCTCCTCTCTGAGAGACCTCGACATAAGCTTCAGAAGCCAGTACTCTTCTCTGCGTTTCTGGGCCAAGCCAAACATGCTCATCGTCAGTTGTTCGATGCGCTTAGTATCCTTCTCCTCAAGACGCTGCTCGCGTACGCGCCTGAATAGACGCGCCAGATACTGCGGCTGTGTCTGCAAAGTGAAGAACAACTCCTGGTACTGCTCGAGCTTTCTACGCGAAGTCTTGTTGAGCGCCTTCAAGTCGAAGGGGTCCTTGGAAGAGATGTCCTTGCTGCTGAGGAGCGTGCCGACGTGGCCTCCAAAGTGCTTCTGGTGCTTGACGACCTCGTCCAGTGTGATCTTGTTCTTGACAAGCAGTGCGATCTTGATGTCGAGCTGGTCGACGTACTGCTCAGCGAGCTCGTTTTGCCGTACATGCTGAACCACAGTCTTGCGCAGACGCTCGAATTCTACGATTTGTTAGTTCTGCCCAGAAAGTAAATGATGAGCCTCTTACCGATCTCTTCATCGAAGTCAATATCGCTGTCATTCAGCAGATGAACAAAGTTCTTCACGGTTGATACCGGTGGGTTCTTCCCGCTCGTCAAGCTCTTATATGCCTCGCCCTGTTGTCGTCCACGGACGAAGCTCTGGATCTTGATGACCTTCTCCATGTTCTGTCGGTAGAACCTCTGCTTCTCAGCATGCTTTATGCGAACCACCATGCCGCGTGCCAGTGCCTGCAGCTCGAAGATGGCCTCGTCGTGCTCTTCGAGCTGGCCAAGCTGCATGCCGATCTCCATGCGAAGCAACATGCCGCGTGCATCTCCCTGAAGCTGGGTGATCTCCGGCTCTTCAGCATTGAGCTGACAAAGTACGTCATAGGTCCGCTGTCTCTGGACAAATCCTCGGCTTGCTGACTGCAGGTCGACGAACGCGGGGGTTTGTGCCTGGAGTGCCTTGAGGTCAGAAAAGTGCTTTTGCCGAGAAAGAAAACCACGAATGTAAGCCTGCAACGAAAGTACAGTGGCCTCTTGGTCACTCAGCTGCGCAAGTGTGTCCGCAGTCTCGGATCGTATGCGGGCACCTCTTGCAATTGCTTGTAGGTCTGTGATTTGTGGCTCTTCCGCGTATAACGCACTCATTGTCAACCCAAAGACAATCCTCGAGGCGTTTCCCCGAATCTTGGCTTGAATGTCAATGACTTGCGGTTCCTCGGCGTAGAGCGCGCTCATCATCTGCCCAAAGGCAACCCTGAAGTCATTGCCCCGGATTTTGGACTGAAGATCTGTAATCTGCGGCTCTTCCGCGTACAGTGCACTCATAATTTGTCCGAAAGAGATTCGAGCAGCATCGCCGCGAATCTTGGACTGAACAGCAGACCAATCGACTGACGTGCTTACCAGTTGGTCTTGCATCTCTGCATTCTGTTTCCTAGCAAGAATACCTCGGGCAGCTGCCTGAAGCAGTGTGACCACGTTCTCGTGTTGGCGCAGACTCTCCTGATCGGTCCGTAACTCTTGTCGTAGGAGGACCGCTCGAGAGACGGCCTGCAGGTCTGCGATCTGCACCTCGTTGGATTGTAGCTCAGCCCATTCACGGTCAACCTTGTATCGGAGCAGGGCACCACGGACCATAGCCTGGATATGCACAGTCGCTGGCTCGGTGTCCCGTGTCTCGGCATAACGGTCGCCCACGCGCAGTCGTTCCAGAGCTCCTCGAATGGCTGCCTGGAATTCTCGTATCCCGTGCTCGTGTTGCTGTATCTTCGATCTGGTGTACTGGACCTGGGCCCTGGCTTTGCGTCCGCGGAACAGGTTCTGCACCTTGAGCACCTGCGCTGTGTTGTCTCGCCAGAAGTCCTTCTCGCCTCGCTGTCGCGTCCGTACGAGGTAGCCTCTGGCTGCGCTCTGGAGAGTGATAGAAAAGCGGCGCATGTCCAATCGATAATTGGAGATTTGTCTTGCCCAATCTCCACGAATGCGAGATTGTAGATCTGCGACCAGATGCTCGTGATCCCAGAGTTCCTGCATCATGTCGCCCAGGCGCATACGCACCAGAGCTCCTCTTATTTGTGCCTGCAAGTCCAGGATCATGGCTTGGTTTTCCGCCAGTTCGCGGTCTATTCGATCGTCTTCTGATTCGACAGGCTCGGGTTCTGGCTCGGGCTCGGAGATGAAGTTCGCTGACATTCCTGAAAAGTTGGGCATGCTGACTCCAGACTTGTCCAAGCCCTTTTGTGTTGCTTCTAGTTCGTGGTCCTCGAATTGCAGTTTACCGACCAAGTTGCCGATGCGGAAGTCGACGATACCTTTTCGGAAAAGCAGCCACGACAGGGCGTGGATGCAATAGATGACCTTGGGGACATTTTTCTTCTCGTAGAGATCGATCAATTCAAACTGGAACAAATCTGGTAGCTCGACCTCGGCCAGGAAGTTGAAGAAATGGGCATAGTTGTTAGAATGCCGGTACTGCAACTTCGGGTCGCGGAAGATGCGCAGCGGATGGCCTTTGACCGACTGCACAATCTCTGCCAATGTCACGCCGTTTCGAAGAGCCTCCTCCAACTCAACAGCGGGCGGCAGCTCCGAGTCGATGATGTCCTCCATCCACTCCTTGGCCTCACCAATGTGACAGAGGTATTCGTACGCCTGCAAGAATTGACGTTGTTGATCCATCCAATTGCTTCGTGCCCATGCCGATTGTGTCTTCTTCGCTCGTTCTTGATCGGTCCGCTGTAGCCTTCGTCTCCCATGCAGACCGACCACTTCTTGTTCGGGGGACTTGATGCTGAAGTCGTCTTCGCTAGCCGAGTCTGCGAATTTGGAGAGTGTGCGCAGGTGGCCTGTCGCCGACTTCTGCAGGCTCTGCAGCACAGGCTTTTCGAGGTGGGTGGAGAAAGGACGTGACGAGTGGTCGCGGGCCGGTGCGCGTACAGAATCTGCGCGCGAGACGGCGATGGACAGCGGGCGCGGCTTCGAGACTGGCGAGACTGGCGATGTGGGCGAGCTCGGCCCGTCGAAGGTATGGTGCCGGGAGTGTTCGAAGTGGTGCCGTGAATTATCGAGGGACTGGTGCCGGGAGTGATCAACGGCATGGTGCCGTGAGCTATCGAGGGCTTGATGTCGGGAACTATCAAGCGCTTGGTGCCGGGTGTTATCGACCTGGTGCCGGGTGTTGTCGACGTGGTGCCGGGTGTTGTCGACGTGGTGCCGTGAGTTGTCGAAAACCGGGTGCCGGGTGTTCTCGACGCTTTGCGATCGGGTGTGCGAGAGGGAGCGTGTAGCGCTGCCTGACGAGGTCGCGGGGCGCTTCTCAGGGGACGGCGGGGGCGAGTTCTGCGGCGCCTGAGAGAGTGGCCGCAGTGCCTTGCGCATGCTGGCATAGGTGTTGCTCGCACTTGTGTCTTCCGAGCCGCCGTAGTAGCTCTCTGTCCGCGGCTGTGACAGCGCTGTGGCCTCGCTCATGCCGCGGCGGTGGCCCAGTGGCGGGCCAAAGCCATGGGACGCGCTGCTCGACTGCGTGCTCGAGCGGCTCGGCGCATCGTTCGACCGTGTGGACGAGCCATTGGAGAGGGTCGAGGCCTGGCGCAGCGGCGAGGGCGACGCGGTCGAGTGGAGGCGCGTCCGTGGGGTGTACGAGTTGTAGCTCATGGCGCAGTCACTCGTTGACGCAACATGTGTGGCGCAGATCGAGGGGTATTATGTCCAGTCTTGCTGCAGTCGCAGAGCAAGAGGCCGTAGGGCCGGTATTATACAGTTTACGTCGAGTTACGCTGGAGGCGCCTGCCGTCCAAAACAAAGGCCAAACAGCGAGTCGCAAAGTCCAGCGTCCAGGCGCTCGCACTCGCGCAGCCAAAGAAGGTAATGTGGAATGTGGGGACTGGAGGAGTAGATGTCACGGCGGAGTCGAAGACGAATTGGAGGTGCTGCGGCCCAAGCGTAGCGTGTTTACCCTGCTGTGTTGTTCTCCGTTGCCAGGCCGAGCCGGAGCCAACGAAAATCCCGGCCCGCCCGTCGCACCAGCACCAACCTTGGAAGCACTCAACAGTGCCGCCGTGTTATGGTGGCCATCATCTGACTGCATCATGTTTGCAGCGGTGTGGCTGTTGATAGCCACGCCTGCCGATCTCTGCCAGTCCCTCATCGTCTGCTTGCATCGTATGCTTGAATGCATCTTTCAGAAGTTCACGGATAGCAGACCACGAAGACGTCTGCTGGTTGACAGGCTGTGACCCAGACCAAATGACTGCCGGGCACCCTCGAGTCCTGGTCGGACGCGTCGGCGAAGACACGGTAGGGCGGTACGTCACATGACGCATTCTGCCATGTGAGGGGAAGTCGCGACCCGATGCGGCTAGCGTCCTCGCGCCTTCACAAAAACTTTCGACTCGCCGCAAGCCTCTTGCTCTTGGGAAAAGTTCACTTTTTCCCGGCCAAAGTCGTAAATCCGCGTACTGAGGTCTATTTCTTCACGTCACCTCTCCAGCACTTCTCTGTTTCTCGAGAAGTCTTTTTGCTGTCACCATGACCATCCAGAACGGCGACGCCATGATTGACACCACCACCGATGCCTTGGACTTCACCAAGGCGCTGGAGGTGCTCAAGAACGAGTACCAGGAGCGTGACGGCATTGACGTCAAGACACTCATCGATTCCAAGAAGAACGGTGGCCTGACCTACAATGACTTCCTCATGCTCCCTGGCTACATCGGTGCGTAATCCTCGCAGCCGCGCGGTCCAATGCCCGCCACTTTTGTTCGAGTGTGCACAAGGGATTCGCCTGGCGCGTGCGATGTCTCGCATTCTAACACAGCTTCTAGGCTTCCCTGCCGCCGAAGTCACCCTCGATACCCCGATCACAAAGCGCATCTCCCTCAAGACGCCCTTCGTCTCATCGCCCATGGACACAGTCACCGAGCACAACATGGCTATCCACATTGCTCTGCTTGGAGGTCTTGGTGTGATTCACCACAATTGCTCTCAGGACGACCAGGCCGAGATGGTCCGCAAGGTCAAGCGCTTCGAGAACGGCTTCATCCTGGACCCCATCGTCATCTCCCCCAAGACCACCGTCGCTGAGGCGAAGGCTCTGAAGGAGAAGTGGGGTTTCGGTGGTTTCCCGGTCACTGGTAAGCAGGTTCCCATACTTCTGCACAATCCTTTCTATGATGCTTCAACTTCATTTATAACTTTCGTTCATCCGCAACGGTTCCGCCGTGCTGTGGAGACCATGATTACTTTCTGATCGTGTATACCTACGCTTCCCATTGTACATTTTGGCAGCGTGCAAGTCGCTAACATACTTGCAGAGGACGGCAAGCTTCGATCCAAGCTTATCGGGATCATCACTCCTCGTGACATCCAGTTCCACGACAACGTCAGCGACCCCGTCACCGCTGTCATGTCCACCGACCTTGTGACTGCTCCCCACGGCGTTGACCTTAAGGAGGCCAACAGCATCCTGAACCAGTCGAAGAAGGGCAAGCTTCCTATCGTTGACAAGGACTTCAACCTGATTGCGCTCCTGTCGCGCTCCGATCTGATGAAGAACCTGAACTACCCCCTCGCTTCCAAGCTTCCCCACTCCAAGCAGCTGATCTCTGCCGCCGCTATCGGTACCCGACCGGAGGACAAGATCCGCCTGCAGAAGCTTGTTGATGCTGGTCTTGATATTGTCATTCTCGACTCTAGCCAGGGTAACTCCATGTACCAGGTCGAGATGATCAAGTACATCAAGGAGAAGTACCCCGGTCTTGACGTGATTGGCGGAAACGTCGTCACTCGCGACCAGGCTGCTGCTCTCATTGCTGCTGGTGCTGACGGTCTCCGTATTGGTATGGGCAGCGGAAGCGCTTGCATCACCCAGGAGGTTATGGCTGTTGGCCGTCCCCAGGCTACGTCCGTTTACAACGTCACCCAGTTCGCTAAGCGCTTTGGCGTTCCCTGTATTGCGGACGGTGGTATCCAGAACGTTGGTCACATCGTCAAGGGTCTTGCTATGGGTGCTTCCACCGTGATGATGGGTGGTCTCCTCGCCGGTACCACCGAGTCTCCCGGTGAGTACTTTGTCAGCCGCGACGGTCAGCTCGTCAAGGCCTACCGTGGTATGGGCAGTATTGCTGCCATGGAGGACAAGAAGGCCGGAGCCGGTAACCCCGACTCCAAGGCCAGCAACGCCGGTACCGCCCGCTACTTCTCTGAGGGTGACCGCGTGCTTGTTGCCCAGGGTGTCTCTGGATCCGTCCAGGACCGTGGCTCCATCACCAAGTTCGTGCCCTACCTCATGGCCGGTGTCCAGCACTCGCTCCAGGATGTTGGCATCAAGAGCCTGGCTGAGATGCACGAGGCTGTGGACAGCGGTGCGCTCAGGTTTGAGCTCCGCACAGCCAGCGCCCAGGCCGAGGGTGGCGTTCACGGCCTGCACAGCTTCGACAAGAAGCTCTACTCGTAGACAGATCGAAAGATCACTTGCATTGTAAGGGCGTTGGGTGAATTTCTAGACATGTGATGATTGATGGGCTATTTACGGAGGATTAGATAAGCACAAAAGCAATGATACCACGAACAATGTTCACTACTTCCATCAGACTGTCTTCACGCTGTCATTGAATGTGATACTGTCGAATTGAATGACCGGGGTTCGCGACTCTGTCGCGCGACGTCACTGGTAATCAACCTCGGCTCGTCCCCGCGTTTGCTCTCGCATTCACCGACATGACACGCGCATTGTCAACCGACTGTGTGGCTGAACATGCTGAGGCCGAACACGATTTCGCGATCGCTCCTGGCTAACAGTCTGTCTACAATTGCTCGTTCAGCACGCCTCTCACTCGCGCTTCCGACCACCTCCCTTCGACGCGCCGGCTTGTCAAGATCACAGGATAATTCTGCCGTACAACAGCGCAACATGTCGTCCCCGGCAGACCATGAGCCTTCGAAAAAGCCAATGAAAGAAGTGCCCGTCCCAAGGCCGAGTTCGAGGTGCGACCACAAGCGCATGCCGTCAATCACCTGTTAACAAATGCAGCGTCCTCCTCATCTCGCCCACGAACCAGATCCTGCTGCTCCACCGAGTAAAGAAGGCGTCCAGTTTCGCCGCCGCGCATGTCTTCCCCGGCGGCGCATTGTCCAAGACCCACGACGGCCCCATCCCGGACGTGAACGACGCCGGCCGACACCAAGACGGCCCCGCGTACCGCCTCGCAGCCATCCGCGAGACCTTCGAGGAATGCGGCATCCTCCTCGCGAAGAGCAAAACCACCGGCAAGCTCTTCACCGCCATCAGCGACGCGGACCGCGAACAGGGCCGCCGCGCCGTGCACTCCGGGTCCGTCAGGTTCACCGACCTGCTCGAGCAGTGGGGCGCCGCGCCCGACACCGACGGCCTGCTGCCCTTCACGCGCTGGATCACGCCGCCCAACGTGCCCAAGCGCTTCTCCACGCAGATGTACCTGTACTTCCTCCCGCTGGGCTCGACGAACGCCGCGCCGCCAGGGACCCCGCCGCAGTCCGGCAACGAGGAACCAGACCTCGTGATCCCGAACCCCACGCACGACGGCGGCATCGAGCACACCGCTGCGCGCTTCCTGCCACCCCACAAGTGGCTCGCGCTTGCCCGCCAAAACCGCATTATCCTGTTCCCCCCGCAGTTCTTCCTCACGCACCTGCTCGCGCCGTACCTCAGCCCCGCGGCCACTAACCCCTCGTCCGCGACTCCCTCCCCCGCCTCCCTCGCCGCCGAGCGCGCCGCCCTAATGGCCTTCCTACACAACCCCCGCACCCACGCTGGAACCCCCGAAGTCCCCTTCGCAGAAGCCTGCATCTCGCCGCTCGTCCTCGGGCGGGGGCAGTACGGACAGACCGCCCAGGACGGCGTCGGCGGCGTGGATAAACATACCGCGGTGCTGGTGCTGGATGGGCCGGGGCGCGAGGTCGAGGCCCAGCCGCACGGGCAGGGGCGTAAGGGGGTCAGGGAGTGGGTTGTTACGACGCGGTTTCGGGGGGAGGGGCCAAGGGATGTGGAGGTTAGGAGGCGGGAGGATGTGCTTGGGAAGGGGGCGGGGGTGGGGATGGGGAAGCTGTAGGGTGGGTGTGCGGGTTTTGAACGAGGCGGTGGCGGCGGAGTGGGCGAGGGAGGGGGCGGAGGGGTGGTTGAAGGGGGATTTGCGAGAGGGTGCGGCCGTCTGCTCGCACGTCTCGTCGCAACGAGCGTAGCCATCGATGGCACGGTAGACCGGCCAAAAGCTTGCCGAAGCTCACCACAGCACCAGAATTAAAAAGACAGTATCAAACATCACTTGAATCAAAGACGACGGTCGCCAGACCGCTGCTGTATTCCAGCGTTCTTGCGGCACAGCAGACACGCTCTGCCGCCTGCCATTCTGTTGCGTCATGTCCCGTAGTCGGCCGTCGATATGCATTCTCGATATCAATATTCAGTATTTGTTCTCGATATTCACTCTCGATATTAACTCTCGATATCAACTCTCGATATCCATTCTCGATATCTATTCTCGATATCCATTCTCGCCATCTCCTCTCAGCGTAAACGCCAGCAGCGAATCACTCCACTCTCTTCCTGCCCCTGTCACCCCCCTCCGCTACCGCCCGCCCCAGCTCGTCCCACTAGCATCCACCCCCGTACTCCCCAGATTCGAGCTATACCGCCTAAGCCCCTTGCCCATGCCGATCGGCACCGACGAGCGGCGGTGCTCGAGATCAGCCGGCTCGCCGGCGTCGGAGCGCGGGTCCAGCGATGGCGCGGCGCTGGAGCGGCGCGTGCTGGTGTAGCTTAGTATCGGGGCGGGGGAGCCGAAGGCGGACTCGGGGTCTGGGATGGCGCGGGGGCGGGTGTGGGTGTCGAGGGCGCGTGGTGTGTCGGCGGCGGAGAGAGATGCAGTGAACGGCTCATCAGACTCATTGAACGACTCGTCGGACTCGAAGGACTCGTCGCCCTCGTCCGCCTCGTCCGCCTCGTCGCCGCCGAATCCCGCGCCCTCCACCAGCCACCACGTCGGCACCGCGGCGACCAGCGAGATGCCCGCCAGCGCCCAGAACGGCACGAGCACGTACCCGCGCTTGACGCCCCAGGTGAACAGCCCCCCGCCGATAGCAGGCCCGGACGCGCGGCCGATCGCCGACACGCTGGTGGCGACGCCGTTGATCGTGCCCAGGACGCGCAGGCTGGCGGCGCTGTTGGTGAGCAGGATGGTGGACGTCGGGAACGCAAAGGTGCCGGCGAGCCCGCGCACGACGAGCAGCGCGATCATGGCGGCTTGCTTGGCGGTTGGGTCCGGGATCAGGGTCACGAACGGCGTGAGCAGGAAGATCAGCGGGTACAGCAGGAACGCGGTGCGGAGGCAGGTGAGCACGCCCAGCGAGCGCGCCAGCGGCGGGAAGAGCAGGAATTGGAACAGCGTGGAGGCGACGGCGAAGAAGGTGAAGATGGCGCCGATGCGGCGCGAGTCGATGCCGAAGCCGCCGGCGAATTTGAAGGGGAGGCTGACGGCGGGGTCGTTGGGGTCCTGGGGCGGGTGGTGGAGGAAGACGGGGATGAGCTGGGGGTGTTAGTTGATGTGAATATTGTGCTGGGACTACGTACCTGGTCGTAGGCGATCGAGTAGAGCGCCAGGAGCGTGTACACGACCAAGTTCAGCGTCGTCTGGTACGTCAACACGTCGCGGATCTTGGGCTTCTCCGGCTTCTTCACAGCCACATCAGCACCGCCCAGCCCCGACGCATTCACCACCTTCTGCTGGCCGAGCAGCGGCGCGCGCTCTGACGCATCCAGCTCCCCCTTCCCCCCAAGCCCGCACAACCTCCGCACAAACGCCGTGAGCCTCGCGCCCGTCCGCAGCCCCAGATCGCGGTGCTGCTTCCTGCTCTCCAGCGTCTCCTGCAGAAACAACCAGCCGACCAGGATCCCCACCGCGAAGAACACGGCCGCAACCAGGTTCGGCAGACAATACGGAAACCGCTCCAACAACCTGTCGCCCCGCGGCGCACGAGGGTCAATCCGCAGCGGATTCGACAGCGCGCCGCCCAGCGTCGGGCCGACAATGGCGCCCACCGTATACACCAGCGGCATGACGGAGAAGGCGCGCGGCTGCAGCTCCTTCCAGGGACACAGCTCGGCGACGGTGGTCCTCAGGATGCCCACATTGCCGTTGCCCAGGCCTTGCAGCGCGCGCGCCGTCATGGCCATGGGCAGGCTGGTCGAGAAGCCCCACAGCAGCATGGTGCACATGGTGTTGAACAGGCCGAGCAGGATGACGGGCTTGCGGCCGTACGCGTCCGAGGCAGCGCCCCAGATCAACCCCGTGAAGGCCTGGCAGATGGAGAAGATGGCCGAGGTCAGCCCCGCCCAGCGCGCGATCTCGTTCGACGGCACGCCGAACTGCTCCATGAGCTCTGGGACATAGGGCCACACGGACGTCAGCGCAATGGGCTCGGCGAAGCGGCATATCGCTGGGGAGTCAGCAGTGCACTACACTACGTATACAGGGCGGGCGAGGGCGGTTACATAGGATGACGAGCTGCTTGACGGGCAGCTTGCGTTCGCTCATGGTGCGGGACCGGGACGCATGCCCCTGTGACGAGAACGGGAGGGAGGCGCGGCCATGGCGAGGTGCAGGCTGGCTTTGCTTATGACCGCGGTCGGGACGATGATCTGCCCCGCCGGAGACGGTGAGGCTAGGGGCTAGTCATGCACGCGCGGGAACGCCAATTGCGCGACTTGCGGTAGGCCACGCGACTGCTCCGAACTCCGAGTGCAGTCATCGTGCGGTGTGTTGTAGTGTCGGTGCGCGGCAGCACTGCGGTTCGGAGTGGATGCATGGCGAGCGTGCTGCGCTGGAATGGTCGCCGCCGATGCAGGAACAGGGCGCGACAGGGGTGCGGGTATCGTCATCCTCAACCCAAGTGACGTTTGCGATCGGTGTGTTTATTGTGGCTCTGGTGCTCAAGCTTTGACAAGCTTTTCTGCGCCGGTCGAAGAGGCTGGTCAATACCCACAACTAGATGGTCTCTATTGTTTCCAAGTTCTCTGTTACTCAATTCATCTTAACGTTTTCATGTATCTTACCTGAGTGTATATGTTGTCCACGACCAAGAACTGATGGTTCAACATGCTGACTCCAAGCTCCCAAGGCGTAGTACCGCAGCTGCTTCACGCCTGCTTCTCACGCACGCCCGCGGGGATGACGGGGTTGCTGGGTTCGAGTGAGCATCGAAATGAGCATGAGAACGAGGTGTTCACAGTGAGAGTCGGGATGTCGTGCTCTGTGTCGAGGAGTGGTTGGACCTGGGTGGCAGGGAGTATTTGGTGGGTGGTGGAGGTCTGTGGTTCGAGGCAGTATGTGGCAGTCTACGGCAGACTATAGCAGTGAACAGAAGTGAACAGCAGTCTGTCACGGTCAGTAGTATTCTGGACTCGTCAACGGCATTCTACCGTGTTTAGCAACAGTCCAGTAGTAAGTCATCTACCCCAGCACGTACCCAAGCGACAGCCTACCATACGACTCGCCGCCGTCCGCCCCCACCCAACACCCCAGATCTCGCCCACGCTGCAGAACCCACACGCTGCACTCGCAACGCCGGTCTCACACATCACACGCACAAGCATCGAACAGTAGTTAAGTAACAAGTCAAGTCATTCATTGCACCCCGCAGCAGCCCCTCAATAGAAGCGCGCCACCGCAGAGGCCGACTATGTATGTAAGTTGAGAAAACAAAAAACGCCGGTGTCCCAGGGTATGCCGTATGCCGTGCCGTATCCGTGCCGTAAGCCGTGTCCCATCCCCAGGCCCGCGAAAGCAGGGCCGTTCAAACGCCGAGTATGCAGTTGGGTATCTCCGTCCGATGCCAATCCGGGGGGTCGTGAAGTCGTGTGTGCCTCCCATCCCATTCGTACGATTCGTAGCTGATAGCTGGTGGCCATAGCTGGTGTTGACCATAGCCGACAGAGCCCACGACTAAGCGTGGCCTGGCCGCCCATCAGTTCCGCTCAGTGACCGCGCGCGTCTAAGCCGTGCTACCAGAGCACGGGAATGCCATCCATCCCTCTAAACGCGAAACAAGATCGAGAAACATGATCGAGAAACAGAAAAGGGAAGAGCAGAAAGCCACGCGAAATCTCAGTTGCGCAACATACCGCGGAACTTGGCGCCGTTGCGCTGCTGGATGGTGCGCTTGGCGGCGCCCGAGGGCATCGTGAAGCCGCCCAGCGCAGACGAGGGGCGCGCGCCGGTGGGCGTCGGTGTGCCGGAGGCAGCACCTGAGGCAGCACCTGAGGCGGAGACTGCTGACGAGGCTGCGGAGACGGCGGAAGAGGCCTTGGAAGAGACTGCAGGAGCTGACGCAGACGCAGTGGGTGCGGAAGTGGGAGCTGACGCTGAGCCCGAGCCGGCAGTGACGGTGACATACACGATATCAGTGACGGTGACGACGTCGCCGGAGGCAGACGAAGGCTTGGGGGCGCCGCTGACACGGGTAGTCATGGTAGGGATGTTGGTGATCTGGGTGAGCACGGGGCCAGTGGGCGACGGCGTCGAAGCGGGGGCCTTGGAGGACGAGTTGGCGGGCGCGCCGGTAGCGATAGGGGCACCAGTCGCGGTCGCGGAGCCGGAGAACACGGGGCCGACCTCGCCTGCCAGTGCGTCGGTCATGATGGCGGTGCGGGAGGCGAAGTCAGCAACGGCGCTGGCCATGGCGTCCTGCTGCGGGCCGAGGGCGAACTTGGGCTGGGCTTCGGCGGCGAGCGCGGTGTCGGCGGATGTCACGTCGACGTCCATGCAGGTCGTGTAGTACTGGTCCTTGCCGGTGGGCAGGCCGGGGTCGACGCCGGGCGCCGTGTTCCACTGCCACACCCAGTAGATGGTGTAGGGCTTGCCCTTGGGCGCAGAGTCAGGGACCTGCACGTTAGTCTCGCAGAAGAGCGGGTACGTGCCGGGGCCGTCGGAGACCTGGCCCATGGCGAAGTTGGGGTCGGAGACGCGGCGGTCCTGCGAGGTAGGCGTGGCGTTCACCTCGTAGCAGCGGCCGTCGTCGAAGTCGTTGGTGGCAAGCAGAGCACCGCGCTTGTCGCCGCCGGCGCCGTCCTGCGTCCAGCGCAGGACGTCGACGAGCTTCTCATCTTCTTTGGGCTCGGTGGTGCCGTAAACGAAAACAGTGCCACCCTTTTCTGGCTTTCCCAGGCCGGTCGCGGGATCAACCATGGTGACATGGCCGTTCTCCATGTAACGCATAGCAATGAAGCCACCGGGAACTGCCTGTAAGCGAGGATACTTGTCAGATGACTGCTCTTGCTTCGTCTGTGCAGTGTGGCAGAGCGGGGAGGTCTCATCAATGAAAACCTTTGGCTGTACGGGAAGTAGCCAGTTCATAGAGTCACCGGTGAAGCCCTTATCGGTCTTGGAGACCATGCCTCGCGGGTACCCATACTCGCCAACATAACTGCCCTTGCCATCGACGTTGCGCAGCTGCTCGATCCAGGTATGACCCAGAGCGAGGGGAGCGACGGCAAGCGCCGCGAGTGCTGTGGTCAAAATGCTCGGCATCTTGTTTTTGTTGTGGTGTTTGTTGTGGAGAAAGAAAGTAGTGCGTTTTGGTCCAGCCGAACGCGTTGGTTGGTATGCAAGTGGAAGTCGTGGAGTGCGATCGCAAAGATGCGGGTCTGTCGAATTCTTGCAAGGTTGTCTGATGAAGAAGAAAAGGTGATAGGGAGAAATTATTGGGCGTTGAAGTAGAATTGAATGTGGGCTTGGCGTCGACTTGATGGGCGCACAATACAATTACACGTGACCGTTTCCTCTTCACTCTGAACAGCGACAGCGCTATTGTTCAATAGAACAATGCGAGCGTGCAATATTAAGCCACCAGATACCGATACGCACAGCGTGAACGGGGGGCGAGAAAAGGAGATGAGAGAGACGGGTTACCACGGTGTGAACACAACCCGTTTGCACACGCGGACACAGTCCTTTATTAGGTGAACGAACAGAACGAGACAAACGCTGAGCAACGTTGAACACTGCTCAGGCCTAGAAGGCCAGAGAGGACGAGGACCAATGGAACGATGTACACGCGAGGTGTCGAAACAGGGCGCCACTCCACGCGACTCCGCATTCAAGCAGGTGAGCTAATGTGTGGATGTTGGATCTGCGTTTCAACATCGGACCTCAACCGTAGCCGCCAGCAAGCTCGTCCTGGTCCCGCTGTATTATCGCGGCGTAGCGCGTACAGGTGCATATTCTTCCGTGCTTCTGGTGCAACCAGCTTCGGTAGTTCGTCGCCTTACCGGCCACATGAGGCGGAACACGTCCTGGTGCGAGTCAAAGCGTCACAGAAACGGTGAGCCGTGGATCTACAACACCTCAGCGCGGCAGCTAGGCTCATCTAGATCCCTCGCTGATCGCGGCTGGCATGGTCCCACTGTTGCCCGCGAGCACTGAGAGCCTGCCAACTGCGCTGGCCACGCTGGTTTCCTGGCCCACACCGCCAAAATGAGCGCGCCGCGTCGCGTACCACGGGCCTGGTAAGGCGAACAGGTGCTGCGCCTCGGCGAGGCTAAGCGCACCGAGTGAAGGGACGAGGCTTGCACGACGACAGGTGACGGTGAGTCGTGCGGGCGCGTCGCCAACAAAGAATTTCCCGCAGGTGAATGGTGGTGAGTTGTCGTCACTGCCGACCCGTGCGCTAAGTTTCAAACGCAGCGTCTAGCGCCCTGCATGCAGTTTAGTCCGTCTGTGTCACGATCAGGCTCGCAGCGACGAGAGCTGCCTCAGTCTTGCTCTGACCAAAGGCAAACTCGTGCACACGAGACTGTTCGAGCAGAGACTCGACTCAGGAACGACGTCTTGGTACGGCATGTTGGGCGCTGTCAGGCCAGCTCACAACGAGCGCGCGATGCGGAAGGCAGCCCGATCGCTTCGCGTTTCAGAACACAACGTCCCCCCGGTCTGATTGGGCGTGACGCTCCGCAATCTGATTGGAGCGCATTGCTCTATTCCAAGGTGCATCATTTTACCTGCACGACCAGATAGCCGCTCACCCAATCTCTATATTTGACGATGCTGGGCCCAGACATGTCCAAGCTTGCCAGCTGTACTCCCACGACACCTGCCTGCCACTCGAAAAGGCCTCAGTCTCCACTCGCGCGAGATCTCACGGCCCGCGAGATCTCGGAAAAGTTTCGCTGGCAAGTGTTTTGGTTGCTGTTTCAACCCCGGGGTGGAGCTTTGCGCGCGTTGATAAATCTTGATGCATATAGGTGTTCTCGGCCAGCATACCGACGATTGTTTGCTTTGCCTAGATTGCAAGGAACGGCAGGTGAGGGTCCATGCGTTTGACGAGCGCAATGGTACTACACTTTCTGCGGCACTGCAATGATGTGAATGTCTTGCGCGGTACCTGCATGTTCTCGCTCCACATTCCCACCTGTGACCGTGAGACATCATGTAGAGGCTCGCAAAGCGCGGTGCTGGGTGTGATGGGCGCAAGTATTGCGACGCGTGATGCAAGGTCTTGTGTGATGAAATGTTGTACCTGTGTGCAGAGCAAATGTGCTGGCTTTCCATTGGCAGAGGATGGTACATTGTCACTCTGTACTGCAATCTAGTCGTCCTCGTCCTCATCTTACTCGTTCCCTTCTTCAGCACTGGTGTCGTTGCCACCCTCATCTTGTCCCATACCAACGGTGTTTCTGAGCTCTGACAAATCGTACACCGCATCGGGAAGCCCATCCAGTCCAACGTCCTTCGCCACAGTGATGATTCCAAATTCCTTCATGTAATGACAGTCCCGTCCACTCCTGCCATAGAATCCAACAATGACCTCGTGCGATGCGGGCTCCAAGCGAACGATATTGCCGTCGTTGTCGCGCGTAGCATTCAGCTCCCCGCGCACAGTGCTGTTTGTAAGACGCATCCGAATGCCCTGCAGATTCTGGCTATCATTACCCCTGTTGACCTCGATGCGCCGGATGTTCACGTGAGGGGGTAAGGTGATGGATTCCGAGGCGTGGCCACCAAATTCGTGTTCGCGATCGTATGTGCGCATTGGTCCCCAGTGACTCTTGTGACCGTCTGCGTATTCAACCACGCCACCGTCCCACCAGCTGCCGACGCGAAGGTCGATCGAAGTCGCGCGGTGGAGATTGCCATCTGGCCCACGTTCCTTGAGGAGTTGTGCCCACTCATACATTTGGTCAGGTGAATTTCGCTCGACAAAGTCGCAGTAGACGGAGCGTTTGTAAAGACGAATGGGGCTTCCAGGTATGCGGACGAAGGACTTGACTCTCAACGTCGCCCACACGTCGTCGACGGTCAGCTCCTTACCATTGAAGCCATGTATGTGAAGTTGTAGGGGCTGAGATCTATTAAATCGTTGGTCAAGCTCGTCCTGAGAGTAAATGCGTTCACTGGTGGGCGACTCAATAGAAGGACTAGCCTCCGGTACCCCATTGAATGAGATACGTGCAATGCCAATATCAGATGATATACGCAAGAGTACGTCAAGCTCGCCTCGTTCATTGTCCATGAACTTGGCCTCAGCCACCGGCTCAGCAGCACGCTGTTTATCAGTAAACCTCTTGTCTGTAGGTAAGAGGAAGTGTCGTGAGTGTTGAATTTGCAATGCATCTTTGAGAGACATAGTCGTATGGCTAACCGTCCCTGTGTCTTTAGATGACCCTGCAGTTGTTACATCGGGCATGAACTGTTTTCGCCAGTCTTGCGCCACGATACTTTGACGTTCCTTTTTTTGAGAGCCTTCATCGACGCCCAAGGCAAGGCCAACAGCTGAGAAAAAGGAGGATTGTCCAAATGCGCATAACTCCCAGATCGCGGACCTGTTCTTCGAAGTCTTGGGGCCAAGCATCCGAGCATCAATCAGGCAGCTGGCGATCTCTTCTGTAGATCGAGGCCAGGAGTACGTCAGGTGGCTGCCAAAAGTGCCCAGCGATATCCCAGAAGGGTCATGGCACCCGGTAGTGACATGTCCAAATGTTTGATTCGTACGTTCGTTGTGATGCGTGTCCAAGATCAAGCCTGCCACAACAGGGCAAGACGAAGGGTCGAATTGGCCACCATGTTCAGCAAGTGCATCCATGAACATATTGAACAGCCTCGGGCTGGGGCCTTTGGCAGACAAAATCTGCTGCTTTGTCTGTGAAGACTTTACAACGGTGACCTTGGCCGTCGATCGTATGGTATCCGCAGACTCGCAAGCGCGATTTTCAGTCTGCCGAGTAGTAGCGAAATTTCGACTGACTGTATCAGCAGTCCACTCCTCCTCCAAGCGGAAGGTCCTTCTCCCGAGTCCTTTGGCTCTGAAGTCTTCAGCAGTCACAGCTTGCCACATGTAAGCGGTCATGCGAAACTTCTCGATTGCAGCGGATAGATCGGAATGAGCTGAAGCATACCCGCCAGCTTTCTGAGGTGGGCAATCCATGAAGAGCGGCGAGTCATTGGCTACCATGATCGCCAGGTGGAGGGGTGGGTACTGGAGTAACGGTATGTACTGGAGATTTATCTTCAAAGAGGTCTCTTGCTCGTTCTCTTGGGTATGGAGTATTTGGATTATGTTGGTTCCAGGGGATAGCATTACCAAGGCCTTGAAGTGGCCACTGTGAACCGGCCATGTCTGTTCGGGGAACAATTCAAAGTCGTGTGCATCAGTAGTCTTTACCGAAATAAAGTCTTCCGGCCCCATGGACTGGCAGTCTCCCGTGACTAGAAGACAGCGCTGATGAGTTGGTCAGCATAATCCTGACACACAGAGATGAAAGTGGTACCTGGTGAACGGTTTCTCCATCTTCAACATTCGTCAGGCGCAAGGCGGGCTGTTTTCCCTTCATTGTCGAGGATGATGGCTCGACTTCACTGAAAGAAGGGCTTTTGAGGCGATTGACTACCTGGTTGCGAGCTTACAATGACCTTATAAACTCTCGACATTTCAAGTGAAAATAAGCATGGTAGGCAGCTGTACGAAAGCGGCTAGCGCAAAGGCTGCTGCCTCAGACTGCGCCTTGTTCAAGGTCGGCGTACGAGCTCCATGCCAGCCCGCACGCCTAGGCGATGTGTAGTTGCACGTGATCCCTCGATACACATAATCCAGGTGTCAGAGGTGTGGCGAGTGCTGACTGACGTTTGAAGCCGTTCTCGAAGTCGCGCGAAGCCTCGGTCTGTGCGCGTATTACTAAGACTTTCCTGTGGCGCTAGTTGTGCGCTCACTTCGCGACAATTCACCGCGACCTTTGCTGCGCAGCTTCACCTCGACACCAACGTCGCCGTCGCTCGTCCATCCGCATCTGCAATCGTCACAAACTCACGCGCCGTTTCCCCGTTTAAGACACGATCACACCGCAACAATGGCGAACTACCTCGCCTCCATTTTCGGAACGGAGCAGGACAAGGTCAACTGCTCCTTCTACTACAAGATCGGCGCCTGCCGCCACGGCGACCGCTGCTCGCGAAAGCACGTTAAGCCTTCCTACTCGCAGACAGTTCTTCTGCCGAATCTGTACCAGAACCCGGCGTACGACCCCAAGAACAAGATGAACCCGCAGCAGATGCAGATGCACTTCGACGCCTTCTACGAGGATATCTGGTGCGAGCTGTGCCAGTACGGCCTAGTCGAGGAGCTTGTCGTGTGCGACAACAACAATGACCGTAAGTTGCCCTCATGAATCCAGTCTTCAGATCCGCATTCTCACAACACAGACCTCATCGGCAACGTCTACGTGCGCTTCAAGTACGAGGAAGATGCGCAGAAAGCTTGCGACGCCCTCAACTCGCGCTGGTACGCCGGCCGCCCGATTTACTGCGAGCTCTCGCCCGTGACCGATTTCCGAGAAGCGTGTTGTCGCTTGAACAGCGGGGAGGGGTGTGTGCGCGGCGGCTTCTGCAACTTCATTCACAGGAAGGAGCCGACTGCAGAGCTGGATCGCGACTTGGATATGAGCACGAGGAAGTGGCTGAAGGAGAGAGGTCGTGACCCCAGGAGTATGAGCAGGAGCCCAACACCACCCGCGAAAAGGTTCTAGGAAGACCGCCGGGGTGAAGCTGTAGGCCAGTACGGATGGAAAGTAAAGGATGAGCAGGATACCAAGCCTGTGCTGAAGGAGGAATATGGGGGAGCATCTTGGTGAATCTCACAGCAGAGGTCAAGAATAAGACAACATCAAGGGTGGTCAGGCGTCAAGGAGTTAAATACCTCGTCCGCGCGCGTCGCGCATAGAGTGAGAATGTACATTATGAGCCAGAACTGTGCGCTGACGCTCACAGGTCGTCAAAAGCATTATTTTCCCCATTCATTCCTCAGTGCCTGCACCAGTCCAGCAACTGAAACCTCATTTCGTGACCGACAAAAGAAAAACCTCGCTGAGCCGTACCGTAGTACTGGCCTGGTATCATCTAAACCGCTAAAACCCCAATGCTACAAACGCCACGCATGCAAGTCACGCCCCTACCATTTCCACCTCAGATAATGCCCTTGCCCTTGAGCACCAGAACCGCCACGATCGCACCGACCACCACCACCAGAAACACCAGCCAAAACGCCCAGCACATGTACATGCGCTGCCGCGCCTTGCGCTGCTGGCCCTCGAGCCACGAATCACTGCGCTCCGCGTCAGCCGTGATCGTTGTCCAGCACCGGAACGCGCCGCGCGGCCGCCCCGACAGCGAGACGCCCAGACTCAGCCGCGACGCTGTGCGCCCCGCGCAGCGGCTCGACCGCTTCGACGCCGCCGCCGACGAGTCCGCAAACCCGAAGTTGAAGGCCGGCGACTTGGGCGTGGGCGGCAGCGACGGCGGATGCGACGACAGTGCGAAGCGGAAGCGCGAGGCGCGCTGCGAGGCGCGTTTCGGCGCGTTTGCGTCGATGGCGAAGTGTGCGGATTTGGGGGTTGCGAGGGCGGTGTCGAGGGCGAGGGCGAGGGGGTGGGGGGAGGGGAGGGTGTGCAGCGCGATCATCTCAGGGGATTGCTCTGCTGCGACGCTGTCGGCGCGCGACGCTCGCTTCATGGGAGTGGAGGGGAGGCCGTGTGCGGGGGCAGACACGGGGCGGGTGAAGGCCGCGCTGGGGAAGGCCGGGGAGAGGTGGCATTGCGAGGTCGGTGTGCTGATGGAGGAGGGCGAGTCTATGGGGGAAGATAGGGACACGACGTACGCATGCTTGGTTTCCCTCGTCCCTTTTGTGCCGCCTTCGACGTTTTGGTTGGCGAGGATGGCGGCTTCGTCGTTGTGCACGGCGACCGAGAAGCGGCGCCAGAAGTTTGGGTCTTGGACCATGGTGTGTGATAGGTTTGGAGTTTTGGATTTGACAAGACGAGGTGTGTCTGCGGCTTGGTGGGTGCTGGCGGTAGCGAGCACTGGGTGGGCGAAGTTGACTCGTGAAGTGGACTCGTGAAGTGGACTCGTGAAGTAGACTGGCGAAGTAGACTGGCGAAGTGGACTGGCGAAGTGCGTTGGCAGTTGCGGTTTTAGTGTTTACGCTTGGTAGGAAATTCGAAGTGAAGTGAAGTGAAGTGGGGCCAGCCGGATATGAGTGTTTGTGAAGTCGAGTTCAGAAGTTTCTACGCCGCTAGCTGTCGTGTATCACCTCCCAGGTCTATAAAGCACACCAGTTGATGAGGGGTCGTTGCGCATGCAATGTCGTGCTTGTCAAGTCAGGAGCGAGACAGTGGTCTACACAAGTTGGTGGCGTTTCCGGAGGTTGTTGTGGTACTCGAAATGAATGTTGTGCTGCACTGCAACCCGAGATTGGCAGTGGGTACGTTTGGGGAGACAGGTGAACCCGCACTTGTTTTGAATTGAAAGGTCGTGATGCTGGGATATACCACGGTAGACGTCGAATGAGTGTGTATAGTTGGTAATGCAAAGGGAATGACGCGAATGCAGCCTTCAAGGCGTGGGACACTTGTAGTAATGAAGATAGTGGATTGGGTATGTTGTTACATAGGGCCTGCAGACCACACAATTGCCGGCACCATGACACAACAGTGCGTGATATGGACCTGCGCACCTTGTCCAGCGACCATCGCTCAGATCATCAGGAATACCATCCTTGATGTTTTATGTGAGCGTTCACCGCGAAGGGTCCCTTGTTTGACGACGTCTCTATACGGGGCAGGCTGTCCAATCAGAGTCGGTGGAGCTGTGTGAGAGCATTGGTATCCCAGTCAGACAGCGCTGTTACAGCGCCGAAATTACACAAGGACGGCTCTGGACAGGGAACGAGTTGCATGTTGGCAGGTGCCTGATCGCCGCTTTTATCAGAACGATGCGCGGAAGGCTGAAGATTGACCGGCAGCTACCCGCGCCTGCATGTGAGGAAGGTTTAGCGGCTGTTCTTCAAAGGGGAGGCGGGCAGAGCTGAGATGGGAAGCCTCATGTTAAGATGACAGCCAGCGTGCGCTTCTGCTCTTGTAGGGGGTGGTTGACGTTCTGAAACAGAAGCGCTAGGGCGAGGTTCAGTCCTCGCTCAATCTGGCTTTTCCGGGCCACTACTCCACAGTCCTGGCACTACCCTGGGATCGTCAACTCGACACGCGTTCAGACCTGGCAACGGATCACGATGCCAAAAGAAGAGCGGCTACCATACTGGAAAGTGAACGTGCCACAAGAGCAATGGCCAGCGGAATGTCCTGACTTCTTGAGTAACATTGGCGAAAAGGACCAGCGCATCATTGGCACTCCAGACCACGAATACGCGCTGTTGACCTGGCCGGAAGTGCGGGAACTCGTCAGTACGGCAGTGTAACTAGAGGTAGAAGCACAAGTGCTGATGGCAGCCGACAGGGATTGATCGCGTTGACAAGCTTCATCGCAAACCTTCGGAGCTGCGGCGGTACAGAGCGTTTACCTACCGGCTGGTCAAGGAGTATGGCAGCATCATGAACTTTATCGTGAATGAGCGACTGCAATGGCCAAGCATGCAGCCGAAGGGAAAACCGTTTGAGTTCGACGGTAATGCAAACTACTGCAATACTACAAGCGACTTTTCTGACGTGTCTCAGAGGATATCAAGATTCTGTACAACGACTGGCCATATGGCATTGACCCAGACATTGTGCACCTCGTGGTGTGGACCAAGTTCGAGCTCGAGGATGACGAAGAGACGGGTCTCTGCACCGCAGAGTCGCGCAAAGAGATTGGCGACTACGTCCAAAAGACGTTCGCCCCCAAGGTTGAAGAGCTCGTGTGGTTCAAGAACTGGAAGAGCCTGAAGAGCGTGCACGCCGTCGAGCACTTCCACGTCATGCTGTACAAGCCGGACGGCGATTTCCTCAAGCAAATCACCGATGGCGATGTGCCTATGACAGACAAGTTTGAATGAAGCTATGGCCGTAGTTGCATTTGGTGGCGTAATAGCGATGGCTTCTATAGACAGAAGAGATGCGGTAGAAGGACCTGTCTGTAACCGAGGCCGCCATCCTTACCGATGAGGTCGAGTCGAAACTTAACTCAGTAGTCTAAATAGGTATGGCACTCGGCACAACGATTGCTCGCAAACGCTGTTTACATAGGAGTAAATAGGCCGACTGGTTCCGGTGCATACGAAATCCATGCTGCTCTCACGTTTCAGAATAAACGGCGGATAAGCGACCTTTCGCCTGACTAACTTTGACCCAGAACTTGAAGCTATAATAACACTTAGAGCTGAACTTTGGTTGATCGTTACCTATATTATAGGCATTAGTATGCTGTAACTCTTTTTGCACTTCTGTTGCTTTGCTATTGTGTGGTAGATTTCGTAACTCACATCCTTAATCCGCCGTTCATTCTGCCGCGCTCGGTGCATACACAAATATCTGGCAGGCCGAGGCTGCCTTACCCCGCCAAACCGCATACATACGTTGAGGTCACAACGAGTATAAGTGAGGCTACAAATGCTGCAATTGAATAGTCTCAGATTGCTCTATGCTCTAACAACAAAGTTGTTTAGTGAATGCAGGTGATACTGGAGCTATCTAGGTAAGGATCGGATGGTAAAGCGGCGACTGGTGTGTCTCTCATTTGCCGACTCCTTATCGATAATAAACCGTTAGAATCGGACATTCGGAAGTCGGTATCAATGTTTATGCACCGAACAATGAACATAATCGGATAATAAACACTTTTTGCTACTCTCCGCCCTGTCAAATTCAACAAAGCATGAATTTTGACCTCTGGTAAGCTTGGAAAGCACATTGTGCGACACTCGCTTTCCGGGGATTGCCCTATCGAGACTAGCAGGATCAGATTTTGATCTGATAAGATGAGTCTGCGTCGGCAAAGCGGAGCGTTCCCTGCTCGAAGTGGATGAAAATTGACAGCGCCACACTACGCGCCACACCGCGGCTTTTCAACAATTCAACGTGCATGGCAGGGGCGTTTGCAAACCTGCCGAACGTCTCAAGTAACCTGCAATCCTACGATTATGCACTGTGAACAATACTAGGCGTCCAACACAAACGCTGATTTCTTTCCTTTGTTGTCCCCGGTCCCCACTCGCAGTGTCCCGCGGCGCCCTGACCACAAGGCGGTGAGAGCTCGAAAAGTCGCGGATAGGGGCCCACTTGTAGGAAGAGGGTCAAGGGCGTGCCACTCCTTGTCTGCGAGGCAGCTTCTTCACAGTTGTGCTCGCGTGCTGCCGAGACGTCAATTGCCCGACCTCGGCGAGTGCTGTGCGTGTGAGTTCCCCCCGTCGGCTGCCTGCATCGTGCAAGACACGACTTGCGCTCGAGGGTGAGCAACCCACGACGTATGTATGATGGCTGAGTACTGACCTGTCCCAGACCCGGACCCTCTCGCACACCTCGCGCCCTCGCCTGCCCCTCGCACGCGTCGTGCGCAGACCGCCCGGCACACAGCCACCCACCGCGTCACCACCCATGCGAACAGCCTCTTGAAGAGCCCCGCAACACCCCTCGCTGAATCAACTTCAGCGGCCCACCATGTTCGGCTTCCTCACCAGCCGCTGGCAGTCGGCCACGCCCCAGGCGAAGACGACGCCGACCTGGTTCGCCCACTCCGTCTCGCCCGTGCTGCTCTCGGTCGCAAAGAAGGCATGCACACACCCAATCCACACCATCGTCACAATCGCCTTCCTAGGCAGCTACTCGTACCTGGGCGTCCTGAACAACGGCCTGTTGGACGTCGAGGACGCGCGCACCGGCCGCGTTGACCTACAAACACTGCTGGCCGGCAGCAAGCTGCTGCGCGCCGGAGAGGAGACAAAGTGGCAGTGGCAGGTCGAGGAGACAAGCGCAAGCGTGCAGGCGCGGGAGCTTGCTCTCGTCACTCTCGTCTTTCCCGAGTCTAGCACCATCAACTCGGCGCCTTCGCAGAACTCGGTCCCCAGCAATGTCACAGTCGAACGCCTTCCCAGCTCCTCGAGCTCTTTCTCGACCCTCTCGCAGGACACCTCGCTCGCCTACTCGATCCCCTATGCCGAAGCCTCGGACTTTCTCATGGCCATGCGCGAGATCTCTGCGCCAGCCGATGTCGCCGACGCCCAGGGCTCCGACAAGGAGGGCACTCGCGAGGAGAAGAAGTGGATGATGCGCGCCTCCAAGAACGGCAATGCTTCGGGAGGTGTGCGCAATTGGATCAATGAGTCGTGGACGTCTTTCGTCGATCTGCTCAAGGTACGTACTGGCTGGACCCTCGTGCGCGAATTTGGCTGACAGGCTGGCAGAACGCTGACACCGGTGACATTATCATCATGGCACTCGGCTACCTCGCAATGCACCTGACTTTCGTCTCGCTGTTTCTCGCAATGCGACGACTTGGCTCGAACTTCTGGCTCGCTACCGCTGTGCTCCTCCAGTCCGCATTCGCGTTCCTTTTCGCTCTCGGCGTCACAGTCTACCTTGGTGTTCCCATCAACATGATCCTGCTGTCCGAGGGTCTGCCTTTCCTGGTAGTCATCATTGGTTTCGAGAAGCCCATTGTCCTGACAAAGGCTGTGCTCTCGGCTGCTATCGACGCTCGCCGGACCGCAGACAACCGTGGAGAGCCTGTCACCATCCAGTCCGCTGTTCAGGTCGCCATCAAGAGGACAGGATTCGAGATCGTTAGAGACTACTTCTTTGAAATCCTGATTCTGGTTGCGGGAGCCATGTCTGGCATCCAGGGTGGCCTGCGACAGTTCTGCTTCCTCGGCGCGTGGATCCTGTTCTTCGACTCCATCATGCTCCTGACCTTCTACACTGCGATTCTTACCATCAAGCTCGAGATCAACCGTATCAAGCGTCACGTTGCGCTGCGACGTGCGTTGGAAGATGATGGAATTGATGGCAAGGTTGCCGAGAACGTGGCCCGCAGCAGCGACTGGCCCAGCAGCTCCGGAGATGTCCAGCTTCGTTCAAAAACCACTACTATTTTCGGCAAGAAGATCACCGTTCCCAAGTTCAAGGTCTTCATGGTCGCTGGCTTTTTCCTCGTCAATTTCCTCAACCTCGCTACATACCGTTTCGGTCTCACACAGACCAAGGGTGCACACGTCTCAGGCGTTGGTGCTTCGCCTCCTCTTGATCCGTTCAAGGTCGCTGGAAGCGGACTGGATCACATCCTTGAACAGGCCAAGAGCACGGGCGTGACTACCTTGGTCACTGTACTGATGCCCATCAAGTACGAACTCGAGTACCCATCTATTCACTATGCTGAGCCTAACATGATCGACTCCGACTCAGCCTTTGGTGCCAACATCAGCAACCATATTGTTGACGGCGTTCTTAAGAGCTTGGAAGATCCTTTCCTCAGCAAGTGGATCGTGCTTGCTCTCGTTATGAGCGTGGTCCTGAACGGCTATCTCTTCAATGCTGCCCGTTTGACCATCAAGGAACCGCACAAGCCGCTCGAGCCTCCCTCCCCCTCAGAAGTCCAGGATGGTGCACCTTCAACCACCCAGTCTCGTGTCCCTTCTATGTCTGTACCCACCCCTCCCAGGACTCCTGGCCCTGAGGATCAGGCTGGCCGCGGCGGTATTAGGCCACTGACTGGGACCGCTCCTCGTCCCGCTCCCCCAGCACAAAGACTTCAAGTTGAGGTTCCTACTGGTCCTACCGAGTACCAACAGAAGCAGCCTAACCGATCCCTCGAGATTCTGGAGCAGATGCTTAAGGAGAAAAACGCGCCCAAGATGACCGACGAAGAGCTGATCGAAATGTCGCTCAAGGGCAAGATTCCTGGCTACGCTCTTGAGAAGACCCTTGGTGATAAGACCCGCGCTGTTAAGATCCGCCGTGGTCTGGTATCCCGCACGCACGCCACTCGTGAGACTTCCACACTCTTGGAAAGCTCTCTCCTCCCATACGAGCACTACAACTACGACCTTGTTCACGGCGCCTGCTGTGAGAACGTTATTGGTTATCTGCCTCTGCCTCTCGGTGTTGCTGGACCCATTCTTGTTGATGGCCAGAACTACTTCCTCCCCATGGCTACCACCGAGGGTGTCCTGGTCGCATCGACATCACGTGGTGCCAAGGCTATCAACGCTGGCGGCGGTGCTGTCACCGTTGTCACCAACGACGGTATGACTCGCGGACCTTGTATTGGATTTGATAGCTTGGTTCGTGCGGGTGCTGCAAAGAACTGGCTCGACTCCGAGGAGGGACAGAGGACTATGGCCGATGCATTCAACTCGACATCTCGCTTCGCCAGGCTTCGAACACTCAAGAGCGCTATCGCTGGTACAAGCGTCTACGTCCGCTTCAGAGCCACCACTGGCGATGCCATGGGCATGAACATGATCTCCAAGGGCGTCGAGCACGCACTGACCGTCATGGCGACCGAGTGCGGCTTCGACGACATGCGCGTCGTAACCGTCTCCGGCAACTACTGCACCGACAAGAAGGCTGCCGCCATCAACTGGATCGACGGCCGTGGCAAGGGCGTCGTCGCCGAAGCCACCATCCCCGCCGCCGTCGTCAAGTCGGTCCTGAAGTGCGGCGTCGACGAGCTCGTCCAGATGAACATCCAAAAGAACCTCATCGGCTCCGCCATGGCCGGTTCAATCGGCGGCTTCAACGCCCACGCCGCTAACATCGTCGCCGCTATCTTCCTCGCCACCGGCCAAGATCCGGCCCAGGTCGTCGAGAGCGCAAACTGCATCACCATCATGAACAAGTACGTCCCCCATCCCCCCTAAACCCCCATATATCACACTAACCCCTCCCAGCGTAAAAGGCAACCTCCAAATCTCCGTCTCCATGCCCTCGATCGAAGTCGGCACCATCGGCGGCGGCACGATCCTGGAGCCCCAAAGCGCCATGCTCGACCTCCTGGGCGTGCGCGGCGCGCACCAGGAAACCCCCGGCGACAACGCGCGCCAGCTCGCCCGCGTCATCGCCGCCGGCGTGCTCGCCGGCGAGCTGTCGCTCAACTCCGCCCTGTGCGCCGGCCACCTCGTCAAGGCGCACATGGCGCACAACAGGAGCGCGGTCACGAGTGCGGCGCCGTCGCGGGCTCCTACACCGGCACCGGCGACGCCTGCTGGGAACGGCGCGATGACGCCCGCGGTCAACGGGGGCCCGATTCCTCGGCGCTGAAGGGGTGGGGGGGGGGGGGGGGGGGGCGTTTGTAGTGGGGATACAGGGCGCTGCTGCTTGGTGTTGTGGAGTGGTGGGTGCGTTGGCTTGTGTTGGGTTGTGTATATGCGCTGCGAGCGGGTAATCTAGATAGAGCGGGTGTGGAGTGCGATTGTACATTGGGTTGGCGTACTACCGTAGACAATAAATTCTCTGAATGTTCACATGCATCCGGCTTTTCAGTGCAGTGGCTTGTGGCAGTGAACCATTGCGGAGTCTTGGAAAAGGGATGGCAGTTGTTCAATTTCTGCATGCAAGTTATACATGACATCGCCCGTCCATCTCAGTCTGTGATATGTTCACGCGTGACAACGGGGCAATCCATTTATTACTCAGCACATGTGAACAACTACATAACGGACAGTGGCAGCGCAGTGATGAACCTTGATTATTTGCATGAGCAGCAGCACGCATCTATGAGCAGTCTAGAAGTATGCTAGCCCCCTCTACATAATACTTCCGGCCACAATACCCGTGCCAAGCGATAAAGACAGAAATCACATGTATGCCGCAGTGGAGAACAGATGAACAGGGGTGTCGGATTCGTACAAGGATAGATAAGGAAAATAGATGGAGAGAACGCCTCATGATGTCCGGGTCATGTCCATGCCAGTCATGCTGTTTCGAGGCAGCTGTAAATCAAACGCTTCACCAATCCTTCGCAAGAGGTGCTGATTGCTATAAGCCGCCAGCTGTGACCTCGCCCCGCAACCCACTGGCTACGGGACCCTTCTTGCCACGTCGGCCGAGTAATGTTGCATTGTCCAGGCTGAGTTCGAACGCGCCCTTGTTCTTGACTTGTCGCTTCGCGGCCGCAGCCACAGCAGGGGAATGCTGGCCATAACCGCGCTCCTGCTGTCGCGACTGAGGAGGGGGGGCTTGTTGTTGTCGGGCTTGTGCAGCGGCCGACAATGAAGTGTTGCGCATCTTCTGCTCCATCGTGGAGACGTCGGCACCCTGAGACTTTGGAAGCTTAGCAGGTGGGTGCTGAACGGAAGGGTCATAAGGTACCGATTCATTATTCAACTCGTCATCGTCCTCGTTCTCATCGAGAGCGTTGAGCGAATTGATGGCATTCGCGCCACGATAGCCTTGCTTGAAATTCTTCCTCCTCTTGCCCTCCTCTTCTTGTCGGTGCACAGCGTAACCAACGTCAAACACTTCTCGAAGATTGACTGCACCGGGCGATCGGAAATCCCTGCGGCCAGCACCGGGGGATTCGAGGTAGGCGTACTGTTGTTGAAGCTTAGGGTCCATTCTGGATGCCGCAGGGGTAGCCAGAGGGGGAGCGTCCAGGGCAGAGTATGTAGGCTCGTCCGCCTCGCGTATCCATGGGTGGTTGAGGAACTGGTTGATGTCGTATCTCTTTTCAGGATCTACTGTCAGGAGGTGAGATACTAAATCCTGGGCGGACTTTGAAATATCATCCCACCACGGTGACAGGAATGTGTATTGACCACGAGCGACCTTTTCTGTGAGAGTCTGGATGGACTCGTCGTAGAAGGGAGGAAAGCCGCAGAGCAGGGTGTACAGCACGCATCCCAAGGCCCACATGTCGACGCTCTTAGAGTAGCGCTCGTCTTTCACGATCTCGGGAGCAGTGTATCCGACAGTTCCGCAAGGTGTCATGGTCTGGCTGTCCCAGATGACTTTACTTAGCCCAAAGTCAGCGATTTTGATAACGCCAATACCGCCAGCGCCTACGCCCTTGACATATTCGCCTTCGTCGGCCTTGTCTTCGTCATCGGGACCTCTAGGCTTGGGAACACGTGTGGGAACGAAGGGAGTGGGATAGAACAATAAGTTCTCAGGCTTGATATCCCTATTGCATGACGTCAGTGATCAGAAGATGGAACGGCATCTCGTCAAGGCTGCAAACCTGTGGACTACACCAGCCTCCTCATGCAAATATTGCAGTGCCTTTGCGACCTGGATGATGGTGTGTCGTGATAGGTCCTCGGAAAAGTACGTCAGACGGACGATTTGGTGGAAAAGTTCGCCACCTGGACAGAGCTCGAGTACGATGTAGTAGTATTGCCGGGACTCGGAAAAGTCGATCAATTTGACGATGTTGGGGTGGTCAAGTTGTCGCATGATCTGAACTTCCTTAAGGATGTTCGCTCTCTGTAGAACATCACGTCAGCGCCTGTGCTGCTATGTCGAGATGGATAGGGGCGAAGGGACGAGTAGGCAGGGACTAGAGGGTGATGCCATGGAGTCGAGCATTGCGTGCAAGGTAGGATCTCACATCAGCTGCTTTTGGTGTTTTGAAGTCCGGGTGAACATGCTTATCGCCCTAAACACGAGACATCGTGTTGGTAACGTCCAAAATCGCCGGAACTAGCTCGAATGCGATGCGGTAGGAGAGGGAGGGTGGCGACAAAAAGAAATGGGTAATCGAGGGCAGGAATGCTGGGTAATACTGACTTGTTGAGAGTTCATTTCGAACTTGCGGACAACCTTGATGGCGACCTCGCCCCACTGCCCGGTAGTATCGCGTGCTCGGTATACGTTGCTGAAGGCGCCGTCGCCCATCTTTTCGAGAATCTGCCACCGCTCAAGACCAGGGTACTTAGGGAGCTTGCCCTTCGCCTCACGTTCTTCTGCGACGATGCGCTCTAATACTTCAGGGTCAACTCCCTTACCCTTAGCGGCGGCCTCCTGCTTCTGCTTCTGGTGAGCCGCTCGGTCTGCTGCGGCGCCGGCCTGCGCTGCGATGTTGCGGTTATCGCCTCCGCCAGCGACTGAGTAATCACCGTGAGGGGCCGGAGCATGTTGCAGTGGCTTGTGGTCCATTGCTGGCTCCGAGAAGCCATGATGAGCAGGCTCTGCTCGATGTGGTTGTGCGTGAACAGGCGATACACTCGATGTTGGCTCAGCATTCTGGCGCGCCTGCTTGCCATGGCGCAAGAAGTTCTTAAAATTCTGTATCGCAGCCATGCTTAGTCGTTATGTGCAAAAGTGAAACGAAACTCTGGCCTCGTGATGTTGGCGGGGTATCTGAAGACACAAAGTGTGGGGAGAATATAAAGTGCAGCCGCGTGCAACTTCAGTGGGACTGTGTACAGCGCGTAGTATGACGATATGAATCGTGAAAGGAGATGGGGAAGGCAATGGAACAGCGACTGGCTGATTAGGATGGAGGTCATGCAGCGTGGATGCCAGGACAAGAGCGAACGGAAACTATGACGCAGGGACCGGTCCGTGCACGACCTAATGACGATGCGTTCGACATCATCGCAAACAAGGCTCGCCCAATCCAATAGACCAGACAATGTAGACGAAATGAGCTTGTGCCGCCATCAGATCATGACAGTCGCTGCACGCCATGTAAAGAGCCGCAAAGAGACACAAATAACACTCACCTCAATGACAGGCATCTTTCTGCTTCGTCCAGCGCTCTTAGACGAGTGATGCATTGGCAGCTACAAACTGCACTCCACGGCTGTCTGAGTCTCGTCTGTTCCGGGTCTCCTGCCGTATGCGTCGTGGGGCTTGTGACCGTCGACGTGTGGAGAGGTATGACGCCGCGAGAAATCGTGTCCCGTCTGTGAGATCTCACAAATTACCCCTAGTGCGGTGCAAGGGTATCCGGATGAGGCTGGCTCGTGATGGAGACGTCGTTCGAGACAAGAGGTGAGTCTCCTGTTCGTCTCTGCTTGAGGGCTTTGCTCTCTCGTGTAGGCTGGGTCGCACGCTTGGATCTCGATGATTGCCGCTGGTGGGAGGACTCGGCGAGAAGGCACAATATAACGGGAAGTGTGAGAAGTCGTGAGGACGCAGGTTCTGCGAAAAGAGGTCCGTTGCATGTATATCTAGTCTAGCCATTCAACTGTTGAGGCGTCGCGGCGGCCAGAGCACGCACTAGGTCCTCCGCGCAAAACTGCAGTGGGTTGGCCGCGGAATCTGCGGCATGGCAGTTCCAAACGATAGTCTACCGCGTCAAATTGGAAGCCTCATGCTTACTGACGGCAACGCGCTAACGAGCATGGTCGCTCGCCGCCACGCTGCAGGGCACTATTCAAATGCCTTGGAAGTATCCCAATGGCAGACGATACAGGTGGCACCCATGAATGCGTCTGCATGGAAATGATTGCAGCTCACCGCACACCGAGATCCTAACGTTTAATTCAAGGTCCGATAGAGGCCGTTACGTCATTGCTGTGTCCCTCTCTGAAACACGAGTCACAAAACTAGAACCCTGCTGCGCATCATTCCTGAAGCCACGAGACAGACTACGTATCTCGGCTTGCGTAGCTGATGTGCGTGTTGGCGTTTATCTATGGTCCGCTTTCTTGACCGCGTCAGTTGATGGACGCGATGCATCAGGCACTTGTCATCGTTCATTATGACCGACCACACGGCCCAAGTGGGGTACAAGATTGAGTTGCCCCGATAACGTGGGCTCTGCTGGTTTACAAGGTGCATACCGTAGTCGCCCATACGGCCAAGTCACCTTTGCACCGACGTCGCTTTTTTAAGGCTAAGTTGTGAAGAAAGGGTCTCGCCTCAATACGTCGCGTGCGGAGCGGGTAATTAGAGGCTGGCCCCCCCGGCAGCCGGACCTCTAAGCTACCGCTGACTCCGCGTACAGACTCCGCCAAAGCCCGAAGAAGCGAAACTAGGTTAGACCTATCCATTACTCGGACCCTTTCGGTTTCGAAGCCAAATTTTGCAAAGATACCCAGCAATGTTGCACGCTTGCTTCTTCACAGCAACATCACGTACGATGGCATGATTGACGCGAACTTCTAAGCCTACGATACGCTGTTCCAACGTGTTGTAAGAAGTAAAGCTCGGTCATTGCTAGGTGTGGCCTTGGTGCAGCCATGTCAAATGTTCCACTGCACTCAGGCACGACCGGGCACTCAGCAGTACGCGGGTCTCAGCAAGAAGGACCGAAGAACTGCCTCTGGTTGGTAGGGATGTGACTATTCAAAGTCCTCGGTAAGTTTATTGGTCGTGTTAACGAGATGGTAAATCCTTTAGGAGCGCCAAGTGGGTGCTGGGACGCACCTGGTTGCAGCAAGACTACAACACCCTTGAACTTCTACGACGCTGGGAAAACGATTATACCTTAGCTCAGCCCTATTTGAGTCAAATCCCGTGTCAGTGCGGTGCCGGGCTGCACATTCCACCGAAAGTAGAAGATGACTAAGCTGCACCTTGAGTTCTTGCGCAACTAACTGCAGCCTCCGAACAAAAAAAAAACGTGCTAGACTCAAAGGCTACAACCTATAATCATTCCATTCCTCCTGCGTGTGCACCGTTGGTCCGAGAAGGTCCGCCAGTCTACAGGTACCTTACGAAGCCGTGCCAGAAGTCCGACCGATCACCACGGAAGGGTCCACTACACCTGCCCATCAGATTCTGATTGCACGTCAATCTGACGACCTGGCAACTTGGCCGTACACTATTCACAACCACAAGACTTCGCCGCACCATCCAACACGCCATGTCCGCTTGTCACCGATCACTTTCACGCCCCCGTGCTGCTGCCCCCGTGCTGCTGGCTAAACGATTCGCGGAGACCGCCTTACAGTTGGGTCCAATATTATCGCCTATACACAATTTTAGGCACAATAACATCGGATTCATACACATGGCTCTGTCGCGACGTAACATACTCGTATTCGAGGATGTTTCACATGGGTATGCGCTGTTGAGAATGACAGCGACCATTGACTTTAAATTCGTAGCATTTGTTCCATCGCCATGCAATGGTCGAACATGTACAGTACAGTCAATCAGTTCGGTTATAAGCCCGAGGAACACCGCCAGAAGATAATTCCTTACCTTGCGAAGCTTGAGCACTAAAGAGCTATCGCTGTTGATCTTCCGACGCCCGATCCTCCCAACTTGGCTCGCGTAGAGCTTGATCATATCTATGCACCGGCATACTATACCATGCATGCTACTATCTCGCTTTAATCGAGAAGGTAATTGGGCATCTGGTACTGTGAGACAGACGTCTTTCACCTACCCATGTACATCCACTTTACCTCCCTCCTCTGTCAGGTTTATACATTGACACACAGTATGGAGCAACGTTCTAACGTGTAAGGTTTACCGAAGCTTCCTGTGGACTACACTGAGTTCGAATGTACTATACACTGACCTTCTAGGCCTACGCCCCACTGACGTATAGCTTCCAAGTAAGGCGTCCTATTTGGCCTTACCTTGGCAGCTTATATTGCATACGCAAGCAAACTCAGGCAACGACAGCGGTAACCTGTTTAGTACATGCCTTCCTCTTCTAGCAAGGCTAACTGCTGCGATCCCTCCACACCGGTCTACTTAGGTTGCCACGATTTCATGGATAATCAAGACAGACGAGACGAATACGATCTGAGACATATAAATAGCAGGAACTTGAGCTCAATCTCGCGCGTACATCTTCATCTAAAACGATACACACGATGCACTCGAGATCGTTGTTCTTCTACTCAAGTCTGGTTGTTACGGCCGTCGGAAAAATTTGTCCTATCCTAGGACCGGCCTTCCCCTCTGCCAAAAACCTTCACTCCTCCGACATCTTTCAGGACGCGTTGAAGAGCATTCAAAACACTATCAACACAGCCATATCAAGCGGAAACAGTAAATATGGACAGCTTGATCCAAACAACACGCATTCCGTCCAGATTTTCTCTATTGCGTCCGAGCAGCCACTTCTTGATTACCATCGACGTGGTCTCAAAGTACTAGGAAACAGGACGATTGATGGCGACTCTGTGTACCGCGTTGGCAGTATTTCCAAGTTGCTTACTGTATACTTGCTTCTACTTGAGGTTGGGGAGACGATCTTCAATGAAAAGGTCACGAAGTATCTGCCAGAACTTAAGGGCGTGGCACATTGGAACGACATCACCATCGGTTCACTTGCTGGATATGTTGGTGGCATAACTGCCGAATGTAAGTACCTAGGTAGCCAAGTCGTGCTCGGAATTCTTGGACGCTGACTTCCTCAGTCTACGATAACTCGAAATTACCCGGTGGTGATATTAGTGCAGCGTATCCAAACGCATACCCGCCACTAGCCGCAAACGAAACGACAGGATGCGTGTTTGGGGGGGCGAGTGGCTGCTCCAGGGCTGTCTTCATCCAGAATCTGATCGACAGGCGCCCCGCGTACTTGCCCCACACCACCCCAGCATATACCAACGCTGCGTTTGCTGCACTTGGCCTTATTCTGGAGTCGATCACGAACTCAACCTACGAAGACGCACTCCACAACTTGCTTGGAGCTCCACTACATTTGAATGGAACTACATCAATTACACCAAGTCCAGTAAATGCCGTCATCCCAGGGAACTCTTCGTCCTGGGATTGGGACATTAGTGGTGGTGCAGGAGCAGGTATGGGAGGACTCTACAGTAGTCCCAACGATCTCTCCACAATTGGCCGAGCGATACTGTCTTCATCCCTCTTACCAGGCTCAACCACGCGAGCGTGGCTGAAGCCTACCTCTTTCACGTCTTCGCTCATTGGCGGTGTTGGTCGTCCTTGGGAAATATATCGCGCTGTCATCAATCCTCAGCCCAACCGCATAGTCGATATGTATACAAAGGGAGGTGACGTGCCCGGATACGGGGCCATCTTAGTACTGATTCCGGATTTCGATGTGGGCTTCACTGTAATGACGGCATCATCCACGAGGAGCAGCTATGCAGCTATGACAGCTCTGATAGGGGACGAGCTACTGCCTGCGCTCGAGGAGGCAGCGCGCGCCCAGGCAGATTCTCTATTCGCTGGAACATATACCGCTGCCAATGGATTGAACTCGACAGTCAAGCTCACCACAACCCCTGGTGTCCCAGGCCTCAGCATTGAGACTTGGATAAGCAACGGAACAGATCTGCGTCTCGTACTCTCGGGAGATTCTGAGGCGGAATACCAGTTGTATCCGACCAACATCGCGAGCGAAGATGGCAAAGAACTGTCGTGGCGGGCGGTTTACCTCTCGCAGCCGGAAACAGGATCTCCCTATGATGCTTGTCCATCTTGGTTTGGTGTGGACCGTCCCTCTTATGGTATTTGGGGCCTCGACGAGATGGTATTCCACCTTGGCGAAGACGGCAAGGCACGAGGTATGGAGCTTAGGGCACAGAAGATTGTTCTCGAAAGGGTTTGAACGCCACTGTAAAGGGTAAAGTCATCGACGATTGGAACCGCATAGGCTACATACAGAACAGACTACCAAAATCGGAGACTTCCTTCCTAGTACCGATAAGCCAGCTTACTTGATGATCATCCAGTGCATTCTCTTCACAGGTAGTCAATTTTGTCGGTATGTCGCGAACACGCACCTCGAAGGCTCCCTGATCCTAAGAGAGGTTAGGTCCCATAATGCAATCGCTCAAACAGCGTTGCGAGACAGACCTGTTGTACTGTTCTGCCCAGAAAGTTCTTATTAAATCACCAATCTCTAAGAAACCTCAACTCTCATTCACAGACAGTCAAAAAAGACGCGTCTGGAATACTTTAAGCACGTAGTCATCAAGGCGGGACACGATTGGTGGGTCTGAGTCAAGTAATGGATGGATATAATTGAATGCGACGTGAGAACGTTTAGATTACATTGCATCGCAGAGATCTTGAGTCGAAAGCAGCAGTGCGTTCCGAGAGGGCTGCAACCGAACACCAAAGTTATTAATACCTCGACGGAAGATTGGCGGTTGCATACCGTACGAGTTGGTGGTGCGCCACTAGACGAACGGCTCCTTTCTGCCCTAACTAAGAGTGAAGTGTGTCTTTTTTTAGTCAGGGATGGGCTGTATTATATTATTCCAGAAAAATCATTGGCTTGAACAGACACAATCTGACCAGAATGGCACAGTGAAAGTTCCACTTCGAGAACAGTTTACTGCCGCCTTGGCCCCGCTTTCTTCACCCGGGCGTCTCGCGCCAAACGCCAATCAATGAAACACAGTACAAATAGGACTTAACGGCGAAATACGAAAGCCCTTTCACTCGTTTCAGAGTGGTTCAACAGTGTAAGCAGGTGTTTTTGCATGGTGGCTGTGAAGGATGGCTACTAGCGCGACGCTAGTAGGGATGATCTGAGCGAGACGCCCAAGCCAGGGTCGTATACTGTGCCACACACCTGTTTTCAGCATAGTCTTCTCAAAGCCAGGGGACGCGCACATTGTTGAGTCCCGACAGGTAGGATCTTGCTTTATCTCCAAAGACTATCATTGATCCTTTACAAATTCGGCGGGCGTTCCGACGGCGAAGCACGTATCTCATTGCTAAGAGTCTGCGGCGTAGCTCACGTGTTCTTGCGTGTCAGATCAATAAATATTGCATTAGTTCAGGCGTCCTCTTGCAATGCCAAAAGTGTGCGCGTCGACGCTCATTTAGTTCACTTCTCCAAAAGTTGTTACCTTTCTCGGCCGCGATGTTATACTCTGGACATTCGTGCTCTCTCAAAAGCTCCAGTCTTTATGCACTTTTTATTTTAAGCTCTGCCGCCCTTTTCTACTACTTCTGGGCTAGCATCGGCGCAGGTGCGCACTCGCTCTTCTCGCCGTCCTCGCCACACGCAGACATCATACCAAAGATCCTCTGGTACAAGCTGGGTCCGAATGGCCTAACCACCGATGCAAAGACTTGGACAGATAGCTGTATCAACAGTAACCCAGACCATCAAGCGAAATTCATAACGGATCGGGAAGCGGACGAATACGTAGAGAGAGCGTTTGCAGCGCGCCCCGATATCGTCGAAACTTATCTTGGTCTTACGGTCCCCATTTTGAAAGCTGACCTGCTCCGCTATCTACTGTTGTTTGATCAGGGTGGCATTTGGTCTGATCTCGACGTCTCTTGTGAGAATGTGGGGATCGATGAATGGATCCCGTCGCAGTTCAAAGCCAATGCCGAAATCGTGGTAGGGTGGGAATTCGACTGGGGCTGGAAACACCCTATCCTTCGCCAATTCGCAAGTTGGACTATCATGGCGAAACCAGGATCTCCCCATATGTTACAGGTTGTCGATGACGTTCTGGACGCAATCCAAGAGACGATGCGTAAACACAACGTGTCGTACGAAAATATTACGTTGGACATGACGGGAGACGTTGTAGACTTTTCTGGTCCAAGACGCCTGACTAGGGGAATTTTCAAGAGTCTCGAACGAACGCTGAACAGAACCGTGGAACAAGCCGAGGTAGCAGAGATTCTACAGCCAACAGTATTGGAAAATGTGCTGGTCCTGCCAGGTCATTCCTTTGGAGCATCGTCGAACTTCTATACGCCGGAAGAGATGGAACAGCTGCCTTCAGCTCTGGTCACTCATCACTATGCTGGTTCTTGGAAGAACGCACACGGTGGAGAGGCTCGCTGAAAGAACAGGACCAATACGAACATCTACGACACTCAGTTCTCCTGGCTTCAAGCCTCAAGCTCACCGAAGTAGTTTGGGGCCCAATTATGCCTGAGTCTCTACATCAGCACCGGTCTAAGTCCACTGGAAGGAATTTCCCCTGGATGGGCGGTCATCGCTTTCGCTCGAGCGGCCTGACATGGACTCCGTCAAACGCCCCATCATACCAGATACCAGGAAACTCTTAATACCACGCTACGAGCAGTCTGATCGAGAATTAAGCCAGCGATCTCACCGACTTCATCAATATAAGAGAATGATATGCCCTCTCCAGCACTGTCTACCGTAATATCAATGGCGCTCTCCCCGCTTGCTGCTTAAAAAGGTCAGCGTCAACATCCAGATACAAGAAATTTCTTCCCGACAGAACTGTTTGAAGGCAAGGCGCGCCCCATATACTTGGCTGGTTTGAGTCAAATGTTGATAGACGTCGCGACGGGAGCCTGAGTAGTCTGACCTCGCAGTCTAATGAACTGTCTGTGACTCATAGACCCCTGACTGTAATTCAAGTCGATGCTCAAAGGTGGATCTTCCGTTATATTTGATGGAAGTTATTGGAATGCGGACTTCTCCGAGATGTATGTGAGGATAATCATGTGAGGGTACCTAGTCCGCCAATTCGGTGGACCTAGTCTAAAGAATCATTGTGACGTCCAAAGTTCATGTCAGTCATAAGGAGCTGGCAGTCTGCGTTCAACTCCTTTCAAGGACTGAGGTTGTGACAGGTTTGAATTTGTACTGTTTTCTATGCAGATGCAGCTCTGAGTACATCAAGCTGAAGTGTCGAAAAATCCAATTTTACGAGAAGAACGATCGAGCTTTTGCTTGGAGATTAATATGAGATTTACGAAGACATGGAATTGACTGGTTTTCGTGACGACTGTATCCTGTTCGGGTCTAGCGCTGTCGATCTTCGCAAGCCGGACCGTCTTCAGCTCGAACTCAGTCCCGCTCCGCTGTCAGCTTCAGGTACTCCACAACGTGTCGTTGCAACGAGCTCAACGAGTCCGTGATCACACAGTTAGATGTGATGGAGTTCACGTCTATATCACCATGACGCAGACGGGTAAGTGTGACATCTGCAGGCAGCGCAAAGTTAAGGTAAGCTTGCCTTCGCCCTCTGTATCTCGCTATTCGAACCACTCGTCGTAATCGAGTCCTTCTCGATTGTAATATGGTATGCTCATACAACTAGTGCGATGAAGAAAAGCCAAAATGCGGCGCATGTTGCAAGAAGGATCGGCCTTGCACGTACACCTACGGAAAAGCATCAGCCTTCGTGGTGCAAGATCCTAATCAACTGACCAAACATGGCAAGGCCAAAGTTGCTCCAACCATATACACGATTGATTCCTCCGAAAACAGCAATACCTCTACTGGCTCTACGCCACTAGAGTTTAGGGTGAGTACGCACAGGAAGGCTGAGTCTGGTAGCGGTACCTTCCAAACACTTGCCCCAGTGTCTGTAACAAAAGTCCGCCCCTCGAAGAAAGTAGCCATTCAACGAAGAAAAGCCCTGGATGCTTACATTCGGAAACTCCAGCTGGAAGCCTGTTTGGCACTGATCAGACCGTCATGCGAGGAGAGTACACTGATAACAAGATGGATCGGCATGCTCGGCTCGGCTCCGGCGAACAGTAACCCTTTGTCCATCCTGGGAACTTGGATCCTGTCTATACCATCACGAGTAGGCTCGAGTTCAATGCTTGATCTTGCTGTCGAGTTTCTCATCGACAGTTATGCCGTCTTTTGGGACGACAGCCACTCGAAGCGACAATCTGCTAGTGCTACAAAGTCAAGAGCCTTGAGGGAATTACAATTAGCGGTGTCGAAAAGTCAGACTCATAATACGTACGAGTTGGTCCTAGCAACCAAGATTCACTACGCTGCTGAGGTAACGTAGAACGCATCGCAGGCTGTCTGAGCTGGTAGCTGATCTCTCCAGACAATCTTGGGTGTAGATACAATGTACCACGCAATCCATGCGTTCGGGCTCGCTGAGCTACTCAAGAATGGAAACACTGCAAATGTCGACGACGAGCACTACTGGAATCTAGTCGACAACGCGTACATTGATGATGTGACTACCCTCAAAGAGTTTTAAGTCCTTGACTAACATTCGCAGGTCAACGAAGCAATGCTGGCTGGAAGGGCATCGGTGTACGACAATGAATACTATGTGTCTGCGACCGTTCCTCCAGCACTAGACTCAGACCATGTACAAGTCACCCCATCACAACGAGCATCTATGGCTATCATGCACGTCTTTGTACAATGTCCACGACTGAACTGTCTTGTTCGTCATGCTATTGCGCATCCGGACGATGCCCAGATCCTTGCGACTGCAGTCACAATGACAGAGTATATGTGGCAGATTGATATCTCTGCACATGTTGCCGCACTCATACAGACCGCTGTCACCGTCGTTGCCGCCCCTCCTTCTTGGGACGTTGCGGATATTCTCACAGAGACACTCCATTACGATTCTGTTCAAAGTATGATTCTTTGCACACGTTACTGGATGCTGCAAAACGTGCTCTGTGGACTGACCGATACTTTACAACGGCATTTTCCCACTGAAATCGGCCTATCACAGCTTCCCCCACCGCCTATCGTACGTCAAATTGATGCTGATGCTGGCATACGGCTCGCAGAATCACTGTTCTGGGCCGAGTCGGTTTCTCAAACGCTTCCGCTGGTCCCACTTCGACTTCACACCCCGCTTCAGATATCAGTTGGGCCCTGGCATCGTACCACTCGAAACATGACTGCGCTTCTTGAGTCTGACACTACATTCGACGTTGTGACGACTCAACAAGCCTCTATTGATCTGGATCGTGCCGCACGCATGGGGAAATGGTTAATCAACGAATGCAACCGCATCCACGAGCAGTGGGACGTGAGCACTGTAGACGATGAGGCCCTATATGAGGCCTTAGACTCCATGGCTGGCGAGCGGATTCCGGACTGGTTGCCCACGAGAGTACGCTTTGAAGCCGAAGACGGTGAGATGTCGATCAAACTCGACTATGAGAGACCGACCGGCAATTACCAGGAAAGCACGAGTCTTGACGGTAGCAGATCCGCATCTCAAACACCCAGACTTCACCTCATCGATGAAGATCCAGCGGGTATAGAATTACGAACCAAGAGCAATGCAAACAATGCAAATGTCGATCCAGGAATCGCAAGCGTTGAAGGATCGGACAACTTCCAAGATGTAACGGGACCAACTCTGGCTCCAGCTGACTTCCTTTTCCAATCCGGTCGGAACCTGTGTTCAACATCTGGATGGTGGCCCTTGGAGCCTCTCAAGCCGCTCACATATGCAGAAACAGACACAAGTCTTGCTAGTTCCACTTCGACGAGCCCTTGGTCTCAGACGCCGAAGTCTTCCGTCGTATTACTGGATAGCACACACAAAGCATCCGCGTTCCAACCCAAGGCGAGGCAGAGGAAGGAGCAGAACAATGTTACATTCGACAACAGGAACACGAACGGATGCATGTCACCGGCCTGGAGTAGTGTAAGCCGGTCCAGGGAGACTTCGGCCTCTGGGAGCCAGAATACTGCAAAGTCCCCATCAACCGAGTAGTTAGGCAACGTGTGAATGGCCTCATCTCGACCGAAATGCAGTCCTTCCGCGCATAGCCGATGGATGCATCCATTTTGTAGAGATGTGGAATAGGAAGGTGCATTGTCAGTGCGTATTAGGTTATATCCGACTTGGATTTTATCTTCACACGGAGTTAGAAAATATTGGATCGATGCAGTCGAAAGTTAGCTGGCGCCACATTTTGCCACGGCTTCGTTTTTGCGGCAGTCTCTGGCCATGGGACTACATGTCTTCCGGGAAGGTGGTCGTGACAGGTCTCGGGGTCACTGTGTCTCAACACGCCGCAGTGTCGCCACATGCTTTTGCTAAGCCTCGGAAGGCTTCAACAGACGGGACGGCACGCATGCCATCGGCTAATCAGATCGATGATGTGTGGGGCCAAACGTTGCAGTTCACGTGTTGAACAGTGCGACTCATTCTCTTCTGGGAGATACGGATCGTGCAACCCGCCCTTTCGATCGACGAACGGCGTGGATCTGGTGTCACAGAGTGGTCGATTTGGGGCGTACGCTCACTGTCTCAGTCAATACACTATACACTGCAAATCCCTCGAGCTGCATGACGATAAGCAGATCGAGCGTGGCGGAGCAAAGTCAAAGAGCACTCTTCAATAGCGATAGTGGCAAGGGTCCGATAGAACGATATGGAAGTCCGGGATCCCACATACGAAAGTGCGCCACAGAGATGGAGATTAATTTAACAACATGTGAGCTCGTGAAGCTTGTTCGAATAAAGAATGAGCAGGAATCAGGGGTCCGGCCGCTAGCAATCTTGGCGCTCGCGACCTAACAGCGCTGCTCACTGTCAGCTCCAAGCCTACAGACCCCATAATTCCCCAGAGTTGCATCAGCATCCTAATTTGCTCACCTAGGCGCCGTTGGCATGCGCTCGCAGGTCTGTTCCTGAGAGCCGTTCACGCACTTTTGCGAATGGGGAAGGTGAACGGAGTGCCCAGACTGACCGTCGATTTTTGTGCGTCTATGATGGCGAGATGTACACAGTACTTGCGCTCACGAGGTACGCTCATGCTTCGCCCTGCAGCTCGCAGCTCGTATCTAACGGGTACCTGCAGGTTTGGTCGTTGGTGCTTATCGCCGTCCAATCATCAGATCTCAGCTCTTTCTAGACATCGTGGTGCTTGTCGGCGGGCCTGTATGATCGCAGAAGCACGGATGGTCCTTTTTCGGTGATCTCTACAAGACGCAATTCTGTACCTTCGCGGTGATGGTTTCGGAGGCGCTCGTCTAGGCAGCCGCATGCCGTTTAATCTCCCTTGTCGCTCGAATTCTTAGCGAATAGGGATTCGACTCTGCGCTCCGCCCCATACGGAAGGTGAGCGTTGTATTTGCTTGGCAAATGTAGATCGCTTATAGTGCCCAGAGTGTATGAGCATGGGTTCAGAATCTCCGGCACGATGCAGCTTCCTAATCCAATCATCTGCCAAGAGTGCGACTACCTCGCGAAAGGACTTCGATGCCGTGGAGCCCAGTAACGATACCCTGTGAGACCGTAAGCTGCAGCGCGAAGCAGCTTGCGAAATCACGCTACCACATTGCTATCTCCCTCTCTATACTCGACGAACACAGGGGCCAATTTCCGGGATTCTGGTCGGCCTGATCTCGCGCAGAGGCAAAATGGACATGTATAAGTAGTAGACACGCAATCGTCAAGTAAAAATTAACCCCGGTCGTTCACTCTTCCCGCGTTCCAAGTCCTTCGTTCTCAAGATGCGTTCCGCTCTTATTGCCACTTTGGCCTCCGTGGCTGCCATGGGCGCCTATGCTCATCCTCACACTCGCAACTCGGCCTCGCTCTCAAAGCGTGCTATCGACCTGGACAAGTTCCGCATGGTCATCAAGACCGAGTACAAGAACTCCACTGCAGTTGAGGCTGATCCTACGATCCCTACCTTGAGGGCTCGTGCTACGCCTGAGGAGACTGCATCCGACCTTGTTTCCGCACAGGCTCCTGATGCTGAGTTCCGCCTGTCAAACGACCACTACACTGGAAAGAACGGCGTCTCTCACTTCTACTTCAAGCAGACCGCCAACGGTCTCGACATTGACAACGCCGACTTCAACGTCAACGTAGGTTCTCTCATGGTTATTAAATTATTTCAAGGCTAACCCGGAGCAGATTGGCAAGGACGGCAAGGTCTTCTCTTTTGGAAACTCTTTCTACAAGGGAAAGATCCCTGCTCCGCAAACCACCAAGCTTGGCAAGCGTGATACCATCGACCCAGCAGACTCTCTCAAGGCTGCGGTCAGCACCCTCGGACTTCCCGTTGAGGCTGGCTCTGCCACTGCTGAGCCCAAGGCTGAGAAGGAGACATATGCCATCAAGAACACCAGCGGAAGCGTGAACGAGCCGGAGGCCAAGCTTGTGTACCTCATTGACGCCAATGGCGAGCTCAAGCTGACCTGGAGGGTTGAAACCGATATTGCCAGCAACTGGCTTCTGACCTACGTTGATGCCACCTCCGGACAGCAGGTTCACGCAGTCGTTGACTACTCAGCCGATGACAGCTACCAAGTCTACCCCTGGGGAATCAACGATCCCACTGAGGGAGCACGTGTCTACGAGGAGGACCCTTTCAGTGACTACGCCAGCGAGTTTGGCTGGCACTCAGACGGTACGGACTGGTACAAGACAACTCGCGGTAACAACGCGATTGCTCAGACCAACTGGGAAGATGACCGTACCCTCGATGCGCTTCTGGTCAACTACCGACCGACTGCACGTGACCTCAAGTTCCACTACCCGCTAAACCTGAACGCGACTGATCCCCATGATTACCGCGACGCCTCGATTACCCAACTTTTCTACACTTCCAACAAGTTTCACGACCTCGTGTACGAGCTTGGTTTTGATGAGCGCGCCGGAAACTTTGAGGCGAACAACAACGGTGCTGGTGGTGTCGGTATGGACTTTGTCTTCCTCAACACCCAAGACGGCTCCGGCACCAACAACGCCAACTTCGCTACGCCCCCAGACGGTCAGTCCGGAAGGATGAGGATGTATCTGTGGAACGCAAATGGTGGGCCCATTCGTGACTCCTCTTTCGAGGCCGGTGTTGTCATTCACGAGTACACCCACGGTGTGTCCAACCGTCTGACCGGAGGCCCCAGGAACTCCGGGTGCTTGAACTTGCTCGAGGCCGGTGGCATGGGTGAGGGCTGGAGTGATTTCTTCGCCACTGCGATTCGTCTTAAGCGCACCGACACTCGCAAGACAGATTACGCCATGGGCGCCTGGGTCAACGGCAACGCCAAGGGTATCCGCAACTACCTCTACTCCACCAGCATGACCACCAACCCCCAGACATACAAGAGCGTTGAGCTGTACAGCCGTGTGCACCCCATCGGCAACATCTGGGCCTCGATCCTGTACGAAGTCCTGTGGAACTTGATTGACAAGTACGGCAAGAACGACAACGGTCTGCCCGACTTTGACGGGGCCGGTATCCCCACTGATGGCAAGTACCTTGCCTTGAAGCTTGTTCAGGATGGTATGGGTCTCCAGCCCTGCAACCCCAACTTCGTCCAGGCACGTGACGCTATCATCGATGCCGACTGGGCGCTCACTGGCGGTGTCAACGCTTGCGAGCTCTGGACTGCGTTTGCTAAGCGCGGTCTGGGTGAGGGCGCGAGGTACCAGGCCACAGGCCGCCAGGACAGCTTCAAGATCCCCGACGCAGCCTGCTCGTGAGGACCTTGGAGAGTGTATATGAGATGATGAAGACATGACGAAGCTACTTTCATAATTTAATGTGTACATATTACAATGACATCCTTTGGCTGCAAGCACCCACCTCAACTATACTGCACTCGTAAATCTCTAACGTCGGCGACCAGTCACTTACAGCAAATGTAGCTTGCGACAGAAACTGAATTTCTTAGTCTTTAATGGCAGGGTAATTCCTTCACTGTCAACCCCGAGGAGACGTTTCAAAATCACGGCTCTCAAGTTTGAGCAGCGTACTAGAACTTTGCATCGGTAAGCGGGGTCGTGAAAGATCTAGGTCGATACATGCTGACAAATCTGAAAATGATACATATGCGCTACGTTGGATGCCTGATTTGTAGGCATCAGCGTGCACGTCCCAAATCTCCTTCTCTAGAAAGTGGAAAGTCCAGAATAGCCCTAGACATAGAATGGTTGTGGAGACGTGTCATGAAGTCGATGACGTGCTCAGATTATGAACAGCTGGCTGATAGCAGTACAATGCAACATACATAATAAGCATTTAGCCAAGCCAAAGGGTTACCCAAGTGAATTGTGGTTTCATCGTTCATCCCTTGGCTGCAAACAAACTGTACAAAATGGCACACACCATCCGGACCACAGCGGCGACCCGCTTTGACACTTTTGACGTCCACCAGACATCTTACAAGCGCATCGGCAACTCGGAAATATCTGTCGGCATACTGATACCCAAGGATATCACACAAGGCAAACATGCTCTTCACGTCAAGTTCCACGGAGGTGGCTTGATAAGCGGCGACGCATTGCTACAAGACTGGTTTTCCAACTACCTAGTTTCTTTTACACACCGCACATCATCCATCATAGTGCTGCCCAACTACCGCTTCGTACCAGAAAGCTCAGGTGCTGATATCATCGACGACGTTAAGGACTTTTGGTCGTGGGCCGACCGGGATCTTGCGGACTATATTCGAAGCGTGGCACCTGGCATTGATGTCGACTTTGACAGGTTGCTGCTCAGCGGTGACAGTTCTGGATGTTGGTGCGCATTGCACTCGGTATTCGAACTACCTGAGGGTCGCATCAAGGCCTTACTGTTACTATACCCCATGGTGAAAAAATGGTGCAAGAGCAAGGAAGTGTTAAGGAAGTGGGGCAGACCAGCACCTGACGAAGAGGTGATTGACACTCATCTCGCGCAAGTGGCCAAGGGCGATATCGTCTCTGGCGACAAGCAGCTTTTGAGAGAAGAGCTTGCAGATGCTTTCTCCGCGAACGAACATCGCTGGGATCTGGCTTTTGGTACAGATAAGCATCTGCATCCCATCGAGAGGTTGGACGAAAGAAGTACTTTCCCGCCGAGTGTGATACTGCATGGCGATGTCGACACTAGCGTCAAACTGAAAGACTGTGAGGACTTCGTGGAAAGGGTAGGGGAAACGATGGGGTCGGCTGCGCGAGAGAATGTACATCTGATTGTAAGAGAGGGCAAAGGGCATGGTTTCGAGATAGAGATGGCTGAGAGTGACGAGCCATGGCTTGCAGAGCAGTTGTCCTGGATAGAGGGGATCTGGCTTCACTGAGGAGTTTTCTTCTTAGAAACAATAGTGCAGTTCCTATGGTTCTTTTGAGTGTATCGTAGCACGCAAGGTGACGTGGGGATATGACTATCTTAATCTTGATAAATGTGGATTTATATAGGAGACCCCTAGGTACGCAATGTGTGCGAGCCGAAACGTCGCCAGCAGAGTCAGAAAGTCAAATCTACCTACCTACCTAGGTACTAAGTAATTGCCAGCCTCATCGGTACATACCTGGGTTTGTAGTGCGGGGTCGCTTCACTCAAATCTCGCAACCACAGTTTTTCATCACTAACAACTTTGGAATCGACAATGCCGGAACAATCAATTTACAACTTCAAATACGACCCATCAGTCGCTGAATTCGCCATATCTAAGTCTGCGTACCTGGAAGCTCACCCAAGAGAACCCTTCGATCTCATCGCTACAAGTGCACTTGTTGTGCACAAGAGCACTACTTCAGAGCCCCGCGTTCTAATCCTGCAGCGCGCTGCCAGCGACTCAAATCCCAACAAATGGGAGCCCCCAGGCGGAGCTGTTGACGATGATGATGTGAGCATTCTACATGCTGCTGCGCGTGAACTTTGGGAGGAGGCAGGTCTGCGCGCTGCTCGGATCAGTGGACCAATTGGAGAGCCTCACTTCTTTGCTCGAAGCAATGGTGACAGAGTTTGCCGATTCAACTTTGTTGTGCATGTTGCCAGTCAAGGGAGCGATGTTCCTATCACAAAACTGGATTACAAAGAGCACCAGAAGGAGGTTTGGGCGACTGAAAGTGAGATTCATGCGGGGAGGACTCGGGATATAGAATTGGAATTCGTGAACGAAGAGGTCAAGCGCACCATCCTCCTGGCCTACGACTATCCGCGTACCACTTGAATGTGGTATCCGAAGCGCGGATGTGAAATCTGATACTCTAGAGGGAAGGACCCCGTAGTGGATGGAAGGGTATACATTTCACGCAATACGTTTCAGGGTAGCATCAGGGTGCAGAGCATGTTTACAATCAAAGAATGCCATTCGAACATGTGAAACTTGGGTTGAAGAATAGCAATGTCATATATGTTCATCGTCATTATCATATACTCTCTCCCCAGGTCCTTACAAGCAGGCTGCGTCATGCATCTCGAATCTGTCCTGGCGGCCTGTGACCTGTTACCTCGCCAGATCAATTGTCCAAGAAAGTGAGGATCGAATTAGAACCTCGCATAATGATAGTCGGCTGCAAGTCGTCATATCATGACACATAAGGTCTCGTCTATGTAAATATATGCAGTGGGTAGTCTTTCAGATAGAAACCAGGATCATTGAACCTGAGTCCCTTGTCGAGCGCCAATATCGATTCGATGTTTTCTGTCGAAAGATCGAAGCCGGTGACATCCAAGTTCTGCGCAAGACGATCCTTGTTGTTTGACTTGGGGATCACCGCGATGTTTCTGTTTTATATTTAGCAAAGCTAGTTACATAGTTTGTATAAGATTACCTTTGTGTTGCAAAGCGAAGCAAGACTTGAGAAGGCGTCTTGCCATGTTCTGAGGCAATCTTCTTAATGACCTCAGAGTCAAATAGCGAAGGCAGTCCCTCAGTACGCTCGCGGAAAGCGGGAGGGAGCTCAAGGAATGATTGGGGACCGAAAGACGAGTATGCTGTGACGACAATACCGTGTGTTTGGGCAAGATTGACGAGACCGGGCTGTGTGAGGTATGGATGGTGCTCGATTTGGAGGGAAGACACTGGGTGTCTGTTGTATGTGAAGAGGTCGTACAGTGACTGCCCTTGGAAGTTGGAGATGCCGATTGAACGAGCGATGCCTTGGTCAACGGCGGTTTCAAGTGACTCCCACGTCTCGCGGTTGGAGACCTTGGCGGGCTTCACGGTCTTGCCTTCACACAGTCAGTCTTGGAAATCGAAAAGTGCTTCACTTCTCACCATCCGCTAGCCACCAACCAGGGTAGCGCTTCTTCTCGGGATCGACATATTCCAAAGCAGATGGGAAATGAATCAGGAGTAGGTCGATGTATCCCAGTCCCCAAGATTCATTTTGTGCTTTGATCATTGGCAATGCGTGCTCTTTCGCGTGATAATTATTCCAGAGCTTGGTTGTAATGAAGATATCCTCACGCTTGACCAGGCCTTCGCTGATGGCACGCTTGATGCCTTCCCCGGCCTCCTTTTCGTTCTGGTAATCATACGCTCCGTCGAACAGCCTATAACCTGACTTAATGGCGTTGTAGACGGTATCCGCGGCTGTATCCTTTGGGACTTTCCAGAGCCCAAACCCAACAAGAGGCATCTGATGGCCAGAGGCCAGCTTGACAGCGTCTTGAGACATGATGTTGTTCTGTAAGATTGAAGTGTTTGTAAATGTTCGTGGCTAGAATTTGCCTTGCCTGTCTCGTTTATTCTTCTTGTGAGCAACCGAGCAATATAGCTTCACTCAACTTTTTCAAACATTGATTGAACACAATGGAGGCATGCATTCCCGATCGGGAGATTATACCCACTCCCGAAGTTGTGCCTAACCCCCACTTTGAAGAACGCAGGCACAACTTCGGAAGCGGCGGGTGCGTAGGTTTACCGAGGATAGAGCCCCAATAAACACTGCGAGAACCCACGGCAACAATCGTCAAGCAGCAACGCATCAAAAGCCGATGGAAAGCTCAGCGTCGGCTTCTGCCGAAAATGCCGATAGCCCTGCCAACGCACGCCCGAAAAGATCCCGGACAGGTTGCATCACCTGTCGAAATCGTCGCCGGAAGTGTACGTGCTTGCCACTCAGCTTGCTGGAAACAAGAGTAACATTGGCAGGCGACGAAGGAAAGCCGATTTGTCAAAACTGCATATCAAAGGTTTTCGAGTGTCGATACGCAGCTGCATTTCAAATACTTGGAAAGCATAATTTTACACCTGAAGTCCAGACCGATGTGCAGTACGCGAACGTTCGTGTGAGTATGGTTTCGCTTATAAATACCATGTCTGGAGTGTGAGAGCAGTCACTTGATACCCTGGTAGAGTTCGACCTGATCGCGGCGCAGAATCAGAGCCGAAAGTCTGCATTCAAGCGCATACAATCTAATAAGAAAGTTACTGTGTTTTGTTAAGCGGCTGGTAGGATGTACCTGGGTGCAGTACTTCTCCAGAATGCGGACTGAGTCGTTATGGAATTATCGCAAGAGGCGCCCAAGTCGCGCATGTTTTCTGGCTTGCTTCTCGATGGCTAACTCTAACAGTTTGCAAGTGATAACGGCGGAGAACAAATCTCGGAGATCGCAAACCAACCAGCGAAAGCTACTGTAAGACGACAGAGCGGTTACTCTGCACAGACACAGCCGATTGTCCTCCCAGACAGACTTGCAAGAGCAGAGCAGATCAGTACCAATAACCCAAGCTACTCGGGCCACACGCCTTCACCGAATAGCTATGAATTCGCATTACACGGCCTGTTAGCGCTTGGGTCTACCCCAGCAGCTATTCGGGTAGCAGATCTTTCCCAGACATCAGCCGTCGGCGAAGAATACGCCGTGTCAACATTCGATTTCGCCGAGGATGTCAGTACCGACTCTAATTTGCATAGGAGTAGTATAAAAGGACGGCCCGAGCCGCATCGGACAGACACTGGGCAGTCATCAATATTGGACTTCCAGATGACGAGTGGCGGCACGCCAGGCCCATCTACAGACTTATCAAATTTCGAGGTGTCGGCGGGCTTCAATCAACTTCATGGTGACAACTTGAATTCTCTACTACCTGCGGGAACTCATCCTGACCGAGCTGCACCGGCGGTTGATAGCATCGAGCTTTTGAAGTGCTACAGGTACAACATTGCGCCATGGCTAGACATATGCGACGCCAATCAGCAGTTCGGTGTTGCTTTGTTGACGGAGTCAAGAAGAACACCCATGTTACGGGCCAGTATTGTTCAATTGGCGGAAGCATCATCAAGGAAGTCCTGGGATCGTGTCGTTGACGAAAGCACACCAGATGGAGTTTTGCACGGAACTAGTGCAACGGATACGACCGAGGGACTTGTTGCCGGTGTGCTGACATTGCTCGCTGATGTGATATCTGACCTTGCTGCCTCCTGGCTCAGTGCAGATAAAGTTGAAAGTCGAAGCTATCTTTTAGAGACGTTGTCACTCGAACTTGGCTCCTCTGATCTCAAAACTTGCGCATACTGGTTGTTGGTAAGACTAGGTATGTGATGATCTGTAAAGTTTTGCGCACCTTATATGCTGACTTGGGTAGAATTGAGTCGTGCATTGATGGCAGGCAACAACCGTATCTCCCTTCCTTCTCCAGCTGCACGGTCCAGAAACGGTGGCACCAACGATACGATTGCCCAATACGCATACGACGCAATTGCCTTGTGTGTGGACTCGGTTATGTTCGCTCAGGGCGATGATGATCGTTGGCTTCAGCGACGGTACGGACTAAATCGAGTCGAAGTATGGAAGACTTTGGTCCAAAGTTTCGCCCATTGGTACATGCATAGAGCGCAGGCCTTTCAGCCCATCATTGAGCTATATTGCAAGGATGGAGTTCTGACCGACGATGACTTTCCGACAATTGTGTTCACCAGCGGTGGCGCACTACTCGCAAATCAGCTTTACCATACAGGCATGCTCCTTCTGCTGCAGAACAGACCTCGATTTGCGGATAAACCAAGTCAGCATTCGCCCTCGATGTCGACACTGTGGCATGCACACCGCATTTGTGGCATTGCGATTCAGAATGACAGACCAGGCTGGTGGGATCCCTCTCTTGTTGCTTCTCTTATCGTCGCAGGTCGGACTGCCACACATGCGAGCCAACACAACGCAATATTACGCACGCTCGAGGCTGCCCAAAGACTAACTGGCTGGAACATAAGACCATTCGTTGATCAGCTAAGAACCGAATGGCAGCTAGCTGATGACTGGCAAGACTGTCAGAATCACCTTACCACTTCTGTGGTCTGAAGCAGACATCTGACTTGCCATGGGCATATCGTTTGCTCCAATGGAGATTTCCAATCACATGTCGCCCCGGATCTTGTAGCCCCATGTGCTCTCTAAGTCACGTATACGCCAAGTTGCAGTCCATCCGGTTAGGACCTCGATGTGCCGAATAGTCTTGACAACCATGGCTTGCTCGGAGGAGTGGCTCAACAGGCGTCCGGCAATCCAAAGTGGTTGGATGGCATTATTCAGGCAGCCTTCGTGTGGGTTCGCTAGACTTATCCCACATATGCGTTTTGCATGCCACATGATTGAGGTGGTAGACGTCGGTGGCATCGAAATCTTCAGGTTCGGATTACTGTTCAGCAATAACACACAGGAAGTGTGATACAATTGATTGGAAGATATCGCAGCCCAATGGGCGAAGAAGATGTGTGGAAACGGCGCTGTATTCTTAGTCTCCACAGCCTGCATTGCTGGCGGACGATGCAACGCCCATCTCGCGAGCTGGTCCCACAATCGGACTGAACGGTCTTCGTGTTGTTTGGCGTCGCATCCATTCTCAGCACCCAGCTCAGTGTATTTGTTGCGGTCGGAGATAAGCTCACACGTCTTGGCGCAGAGATACACCGCGTGGTTGGCGTACATGTCAGGACTTTTCGAATTTTGGAAAAGGGCTTCGATATCTTCATCCGAAATGCCAGATGGCAGCCATTCTGAGGGTTTGAGTAACGTACTTTCCGTACCGTCAGAGATGAGGGCTCCGCATACATCTATAACAGTCAGCGCGTCGGTCTCTCGGACTTATAGGAGACTACACACCCATACGTGCATAGCACCAGAAAACCGCCTGAAGTACATCGCCGCTGAAACCGTTGACGCCAAAAGCCTCGAATATAGCAGCACAACCCTCGAGATGATGGCGCCAGTCCTGAGCACTGGCTGAAAACATCTCGAGGCAGCATAAGATCACACAAGCTGCGATCACGTGGACGTCTCGGGCTTGTAATAAAGGAGTTAATAGTCGAATAGATTCCTGGTATAGTTCGAGACTGTCAAAAGATGACTGTATCTTGTCCTTGCGCTCGAGTTGGCGAGCGCCAATGGCAAGGATAGCGTAAAGAAGGGGTGGCGATTCCTTTGCAAGAGCAGGCAGCTGAGTCCCAAATGCTCGCTCGCAATCAAACATATCAAGCTACATAGCAGTCAGCTTCTTGTGTTCAGACTGCACACCCGCCATGACACAGTGTTTGAGTCAGAGGCGCCGTCGAATCGTATTCTAATACGAAAAGGCAACGTCTCGTGAAGTGAACGAGAGGAACTGACCCATGGGGCTACTTGTGACATGTAATTCTTCATGTACTGAATGCGCCTTCCGTGAGCCAGGACATACTTCAAACTCATCATCCCGTTTCGGTCATCAGCCTCTACAGGGGTGCCTGCCCTGGTTGGGGCGACTGATCGTGCCGTGTCGAACATGAGTGCACGCAATGCTTCCTGCGAGGCCAGATAATCCGGATCATGGGCAAACTCATCAAAAGGCCAACTTGATGCAGTGGCCGGTGACAAGAATGGATCGATGTTCTCAAAGCCGTAACCGGCCCCTGCTTGCAGCTCGCTTGGTGAGAAAAATGGATTGCCGTTGTCGTCATCGCGTGCATCATCGGCCGAAACGCCTTCGTCAGTTCGGCGCCGTTTCTTCGTTGGCTCGTTAGACATATCCTCTGGAAATCTGAAGCATTGATCGTTCGGTCCCTTCAAACGTGGAGAAGATGGAGAGGGCGAGGCCTGTCACAGGTATGTACTAGCTGTTTATGTGAAGGCGCTAGTAGCCGAGGTCCACCTTGGCTCATCAATGATCACGCGGTGCCCTTGACAGCAGCAACATTAATGCCATTACAATCGAACGCTACAAATCATCGATCTATCAAACGCCGGTGCCCATGCTCGTTCATAGATCTACAAACTCACCGCGAAGAAGCGGATCATCTCGCACCTGCTGTAGGTAACTCTGCACCTTCTCCACCAGCGCTGGTGTATCGAAACCGAAGTACTTGTACGCCGCTTTGCCAGGAAGACTGTGTCCGAAGCGCTTCACACAGGCTGCAGCATCAGCATACCTTTCCCATCCATTTGGCGCGAAAGGCTCGATAACGATGGCTGGAATACCTTTGTGCCTGCGCAATGTGTCTCGCTTGTACTGTGTAGGCTGAGCATCGAACAGACGTTGACACGGGAGGCTGACAACTCGAGCTTTAATGTTCTTGCCTTTCAGCTCCTTTGCGGTGTCCAGCGCGTGGCACAATTCGGCACCAACACCAATTAACGTCACATCTGCATCTTCCACTTCTTCGATGACGTAACCACCCTTTGCTACCAATTCACGCCTGGTTTGCGATATCTGCGGAAGCGTGTGTCTCGATGTTGAGATAATTGTTGGAGTACTTTTGGCCTCGATCGCTGTGATCCATGCGCCAGCGGTCTCTTCGCTGTCTGCCGGGCGAATATAGAGAATGTTTGGCATTGCTCGGTAAAGATTGGCAAGCTCAATCGGCTGGTGAGTTGGTCCGTCCTCACCCATCCCAATTGAGTCGTGTGTAGCTGCATGGATGACCTGTAGTTGTTGCAAAGCTCCCATACGAACCGCCGGTGCCGCATACAGGTAGAACATGAAGAACGATGATGTGGTAGGGATGAATGTGCCAGGCGCAAAGGCAGCTAAGCCGTTGGAAATAGCACACATGGCGTGTTCACGTACACCGTAGTGAATGTACCGACCGCTATAGTTTCCAGTGATCCCGCAGGTTGTCTTCAAATCGGGCTGATTATGGTCAGTGAGAGCTAGTGGTGTTCAGAGAGCGTGGAGGCTTACATTTTGGAAGTCGACCTTGTCTTTCCAGATCATGTTGACCGATGGAGAAAGATCGGCGGTACCCACCATAAAGTTGTTGATCTTTTGAGCGATGGGGTTGAACACTAAACCAGATGACTTGCGTGTCGCTGTTGGCTGATCTGGGAACGAGCTGGGAATGAGATCCTTCCAATTCTCAGGAAGACGGCCCTGCACGCGGTTGCGGAACTCGGCACCGAGCTCGGGGTATTTCGCCTCGTATGCTTGTATCTTCGTTTCCCAGGACTGAACGAGCTCTTGGCCTCTTGATGGAATGTCTCCAAAGAAGTCACGAACGGTTTCACTGATTACGAACTGCTCCTCAGGATCGAAGTTGTACAACTTCTTCATGTTGGCAACGTCAGCCGCCCCAAAAGCAGCCCCGTGTGCCACAGCGTCACCAGCTACGGCACTGCCGAGACCAATGACAGTACGGACGTTGATGAAGGTCGGCTTATCGGTAGATGCGCGGGCCTTGTTGAGCGCGCCTACAATCCCCTCAATGTCGAAACAGCCATCCTCGATATCAATCACATCCCACCCGCATGCGCGCATCTTAGAGTTGACATCTTCGGTATTTGTGAGGTCGACACTACCATCGCAGGTGATTTGGTTGTTATCGTAGATGATGGTGAGGTTGTTCAGTTTCAGGTGGCCTGCGAACGAGATAGCCTCGAGCGCTACGCCCTCTTGAAGGCAAGCATCGCCTATCATACACCACGTATGGTTGGAAACAATGTCAAAGTCTGGCTTGTTGTAGGTCGCCTGCAAATTCTTGGTAGCCATTGCTAGACCAACAGCATTTGCGACACCCTGACCAAGTGGTCCCGTGGTAACCTCGATTCCCTCGTGCTCAATTTCTGGGTGGCCGGGGCATAGCGCGTCAACGCGATCGGAGTGGTATGACTTCAGCTGATCCAGGGTCATAGCCTTGTAGCCTGTCAGGTGGAGAAACGAGTACTGGAACAAGCAAGTGTGTCCTATCTTGATTTAGCGCGGTTGAGTAGAAGGACATCACAGGAAGAGACTCACCGTTCGATAGGACGAATCGATCACGGTTGAAGTATGTCGGTGTGTGTGGCGCATATCGCATAACGTACTTCCAGAGTGCTACTCCTATCGCAGCCATACCAATCGCGCCTCTGGGTGTGGATCAGTATCTTTGACTCGAAAACGTCTGACAACCTACCCTGGGTGTCCGCCGTTGAACTGCTGACACAGATCCGCAATCAGCAATCTGAAGGTCTTCAGGACATGATCCTGTTCGTCCGAGAGCCTTCCCACAGCTACTTCCTCGATCTTCTCCTCTTTCTTGAGCCCCTCCACAACATTGTTGCCGTACTCAGTCGTGCCGTTGGCTTGTGTGGTATTTTGGGCGAGATGCATGATTTTGGAGTTCGTGCTTATCTTGAGGAGTCTGGGACAACGCAACAGTATTTCAAGTTACTCGCAGCAGCACATGAACAACACTCGTGAAGAATTGTCCAACGAAAATCAACGGCCTTCCCGATCAGGGAATCCGATACAACTGGAATGCAGAAGCGTGACGACGTTCGGACTCCCAAGCATTCCCATTGGTCAGTTGTCAGAGCGGATTACTTGACGTGGAAGTCAGAGGCACTGGATTCCCAATGAGGCGAATTTAGCCATCGATTTTCGATGGATCCCCACCAGAAGCTGGCCCCCGCCATCCGCCACTATGCATTCGGCTATACAACCGCCGCAGTAGCTTTCGACGCGCGCGTGTACTATTTCCTTTTTGCGGCGAACATGCTGCTCTACGTCCTTCTTTGTCGCCGTGAAAAAGTCACTTTTCGATATACTTCGCGCAGTACGCCCTTACCTTTCCGGCAGACACCATGGCGCCAGTAATCTTCGATTCTCCCTCATCTGACGTATCGTCAACTAAGCCTACGTCGCAGACCCTAAGTAGCACGCCTGGAAAGAAATTACTTTCCACACCCCTACCGAACCCTTCATTGCAGGTCACAGCGGACCACAACCTGAAGCAAGAAGACGCACCCGTATATGCACCGGGCCATGGAGAGGTCTTGCTGCATATCAAAGCTACAGGTGTCTGCGGGCATGTGACCTACATCGGTTGTTATAGCTACCATCGCTGACTTACACAGATCCGATATTCATTTCTGGCGGACGGGAAGAATAGGGTCACTCGTTGTCGAGGGTGATTGTATATTGGGGCATGAGGCGGCTGGCATTGTCTTGCAATGCGGCGAAGGTGTAAAGAATCTGAAGCCCGGTCAGTCTGCTTCTGATTTCGAGCACCCACGACGCTAATGTAAGGCTCTAGGTGATCGTGTAGCTGTCGAACCTGGTGTTCCTTGTGGTGAATGTTTTCTCTGCCTGGACGGTCGTTACAATCTTTGCGAAGACGTACAGTTCGCGGGCGTCTACCCGTACCACGGCACAATCCAACGTTACAAAACACATCCGGCCAAGTGGTGTCACAAACTACCAGATAATGTCAGCTACGCAGAGGGCGCGTTGCTAGAGCCATTGTCGGTCGTGATGCACGGCATCAAATCAGCAGGTTTATCACTTGGTCGCGGTGCTGTTGTATGTGGAGCTGGGCCCATCGGACTTATCGCACTCGCAGCCGCAAGAGCAAGTGGTGCGCATCCGATCGTCATCACAGATATCGAAACGAAGAGACTGGCCTTCGCAAAGAAGTTCGTCCCTTCAGCATTGACTTATCAAGTTGATCGAAACCTCGATGCGGAGGGAAACGCAAAGAAGATCAGAGATTTGTTTAACATTGAGCACGTCGGAGAATATGGTGCACCAGAGGTGGTCCTCGAGTGCACAGGTGTAGAAAGCAGTGTGGTCACTGCGGCATACACTGCGCGAAGAGGTGGAACGGTCATGGTGATTGGCGTAGGCAGGGAGGTTATGAACAATCTTCCGTTCATGCACCTTTCGCTTGGTGAGGTAAGAAGTAGCTGCTTTATGGTCTTCATGCAGGACTGACACACTGTAGATCGACCTGAAATTCATCAACCGATACCGAGACACATGGCCTGCTGGCCTGCAGTGTCTTGCAGGAGGTATCCTCGATCTCAAGCCGTTGGTCAGCCACACATATCCATTGGAGAAGGCTTTGGACGCTCTGCACACATGCGGTGACTTGAGCAATGGAAGCATCAAGGTCCAGATCATCGACGAAGTCGACAATGTGCTATGATTAGCAATGCACAGATCAGATCACCTATTGCATTTTGTTAGCAAGATTAGACCTTTACCCATGCAGAGCGCTTCGTTTCAGTTACCGACTCTGCGTGCCTACATTTACCCATTTGGCTATCTTGGCAACCGTCTTTCTTACCACAAGAGAAGCAGCGCGAACGATAGACCCGCCGCCACAGTCTGGACTCCGCAAGCACAACACGAGACATAATGGGGCGTTGGAGGATCAGATGAATGATTCTGAGAACCGACTGCAGAAGTACCAAAAAGCTGCGTCGTATTTTTCGATGCGGTGAAATATGCTAAACGTTTTTCCTGATGCCAATCGATGCATGACTGCAATGAAGGCCGCGGAGCTTGATATGTACTAGCGTGGAATTGAGGCTCTGGTATCCTGCTTTTTTGGGGTCGTGCGGGGTGTGGGGCGCCATGTGATGCCGACATTTGTGGGGTTAGGGCGATGTCTCAGCGGACTGTCCTTCGGCGGACGCACCCGACGTGATTGAACGCGCAATGACAGCACGTAGTGTATCCTTTTCTCTCGACATCCGCTTTCTCTAGACCACTTCTGACCAGCCACTTGAGGAAATGCAGTATTCGTCAAAATCCTTGCCTGCTCTCGTTACATGACATGCAGTTAGAGGTGTGCAGCTTATACCGCACCCAGGCACATCTGACCAGCCAAATGTCGCTTTTGTAGGATGCAACCTATGTTCATTGAAGCCAGTGAATCGTAGAACTGCTACTGAAAGGTAACTCTGTTTAAGCGCATATAATTCAACAAGAGAAAGGTACCCTACGAATCTAGAACGCGCGCAATGCCGTCGTGAAGGGCTTCACCACACCGCATCAAATTGATCAATAAAACAGACTAGCATTTCGCGATGCCTCTGATTTCCTGAAGCAGACAGACATGAAGGCCTGGTGGTTCGAGAAGAACGGCAGATTTACGGCAGTCCACACTGTGGCAGAACTTCGGGCGCCAGCACACCGTAGTGCATGAACAAACACTAGGTGTTGGTGCCATAGCAAATCGGGGCCATTTCGGTGGTGGAGCGTGCTCTGAAAAGAGAAAGGGTAGCCCATGGTAGGCGCCACACCATCGGATGTGGGGAAGATCCTGCCCACAAGGTTCGCAGGGGCGCGACCTGCTCCATGAACGTCGACGCGCTCGCGAAATGACGGCACGAAATGCCTACATGACTAGTTCATACTTCTGGGGATATCATCGTTTTCTCCAGATATAAAGACCCCATTCCCCACGCTGTCAACCCCAGACCCACAGCTCGACGATCGGTCCTGTTTCCACTGCCCTGGGTCAGCCATCTTCATCCCAGCGCCGTCATTCACCAAAGATCAGCCAACACAGCCCGTCGACATGGCGATCACTATGGACAACAAGCCTTACAATGTCGAGGTCAACGAACACGTTCCTGTCGACCCGACACCAGCCGAGACAAGTCAGCTTGGTCACCTCGCCAACCAGGAAGACCATGAAGTCGGCAAACTTGCGTCGTTCCGCAAGTACCCTTGGGCTTGCTTTTGGAGCGTATACGCAGTCTGGGTGGTCCTCCTTGTGAGCTTCGAGAATCAAGCAGCTGGCAACGTAATCGGCATTCCCGAATTCAGAAAAGATTTCGGTCACCCATTCACAGCTGCAGACGGTACTATCAGCTATGTCATCGATGCAAATTGGCAGTCGGCCTTTCAGGGTGCGCCTGTGGCTTCGTAAGTGACTCTTACCCATAGCAGAGTTGGCTACGAACAAAACATTGTACGGCAGCCGGATCGGAAAAGGCCCAGCTTGATCCTGTCATGGAGCTGGGCTTGTTCCGGTTGCCATAGAACGATTGCTTGTTGCCAACTCTTTTCATGACAAAAGTGTCTAATACTAATTCCTGGCAGCGCTATTGTCGGTGCCCTCGGTTGCGGACAGATTGCGGATTGGCTCGGTCGCCGCATGGTTGTTATAATCTGTCTCCTCGTGACGTTCGCCGCTATCACGTTGGAATTCCTTGCGACAACCCCCGAAATGTTCTTCGGAGGCAAGTTCTTGAACGGATTCGTCGTCGGTGCCCTGGCATCCGTTACCGTTACCTACATTGGCGAAGTTGCTCCCTTCGCGCTACGAGGCATGCTCACCTGCTTGACTGCGCTGGCATATACCCTGGGCCCTCTCACAGTTGCTCTGATCGTCAACACAACCGGCGTATACACCAACCGCTGGGCATACCGCTCAATATTCTGTGCGCAATACGGATTCGCTACGATTGCTGCGATCCTTGTACCTTTTATGCCCGAATCACCGACGTGGTTGGTTTCGAAGGATCGCCAGGAAGCAGCATTAAAAGCACTCTCTGGACTTGGCTATAAGGGCCAGGCCGGCGAGAAGAGACTTGCGAACATCAACAACACCTTGGAGCAGGTCAAAAAGGAGACTGAAGGTGTCACTTATCTGGAATGCTTCCGCAAGTCGAACTTGCGACGAACCATCATCTCGATCATGCCCCTTTCTATCCAAGCTCTTTCTGGTGTCGCCTTTGCTGCGAGTTATTTCTCTTACTACATGCAGCTTGTTGGCTTCTCCACTGAGATGTCCTTTAAGCTCCAGATCGTCCAACAGGTTCTCTCGCTTGTTGGCAACGTCATGTCCTGGTACCTGGTCGATCGAATTGGACGCCGCAACCTTACTTTCTGGGGACTGGTGGTGCTCACTGTTATCCTGTTCGTCATGGCTGGCTGTGCAGTTGCTGGAACAATCTCTGCGCTGAAAGGTTGGTTAACTCTCTCCCCCGAGGTTTTTGCGCGTTGATATAAGATTGCTAACATGAAATTAGGAGCGATCTCAATGATACTTCTGTACTGCTGGTGGTATAATGTGACCATTGGTGCAACGGCGTATACCATTCTCTGCGAAACCAGTACCTCTCGTCTCCGTGTCAAGACGATCGCCATTGGTTTGGCGTTGCAGAACGCACTTCAGACGATGTGGTCGTTTACGCTTCCCTACCTAGTAAGCAAGATTCTTCAAATGAGACAAGAGACAGTATTCTAATAATTGATAGTTCAACCCAGATAAGCTGAACTTGGGCGGTCGTCTTGGATTCATTTTTGGAGGTTTGTCGTTCCTCTGCTTGATATACTTGTGGTTCTACCAGCCTGAGACTGCTGGACGCACATATGAAGAACTTGATGAGATGTTCATGAAGAAAGTGCCTGCGAGGAAGTTCAAGGCATATCACACAGATGCACAGGCGATGGGGGTCGCTGTGAAAGAAAAGGAGAATATGTAAGCTCCTAGAAGCCGTGTTGGTCACCTAGTATTTTCCGGATGAATGCAAGCCCGATCTCTAAGTCCAAATAAAGCTGGCTGCAAACATACAGTTGATAACGAACGGAACCCAGTCATTGGACGTCATAAAGCTCTGTTTGTCGCCAATGTCCCGGAGCTTGAAGTATCTCCTGATTACGTGCCTTGGCACCAGCTCATCACCAACTGCAGAGCGTGTGAGAACATCATAATAATTAAACAATGATTGAACCTGTTGGACCGTGGCTGAGTATCTTGTGTTTTGCAGTCAATGTGCTTAAGTAGGTACAATTTGATTCGAACTCTGTGGTGGTTGGCGGTTTGCAAGAGGCTCTGGGCAGGGTGAGGTGCTGGTCAGATGGCGACATGCTCTCACTTTCAATGATCAATGCACCGATCGTGAAACTTGTAATCTGTAGACGGTTTGCTGCTGTTGAGTGGCCGGCAAAGTCGAACAAACGGACGGCTCGCATTTTCGGCTGTCGGCTATCCGACTCAGCTCTAGCCCCAATCGTCATATTCTTGGCGGCGGGCCTTATCGCTTCGTCGCCTACAGCATCCGCATTGCTTCCGACGCGACTCATGCGAGTTTTCTCACAACCGTCTGGCCATCTGGTCATGACCGGTATATGCAAGCCACACGACTGGAAGACGAAATGATTGGGCTCGGGGTGCCTGTGGCCCGAATAGCGAACATGAGCAGCTCTTGTCGGCTCCATGCGATGCCACTTCGGAGCTCGATGCGACGAGATGTCTTGCCAGGGTCCTAACCAGAACATTTCCATTTCCTCATTACGTCAAGCGCAAGTCCATTTCTGTTAGGGTTGCACCTTGCAAGTCTGCCGAAAGGTATTATCTAGCTGCAAGCCATCTAGATCGCTCAGCGCACCCGATACTATAACTCGAGTCCGCTTGTATACCTCTTTCCAAACCCGGTAGATTCTCGTTTCCTTGCGGGTCTGCGTTTATTATTTCAAACGGGTTGTCAAATCCTGAAGCTGCAAGTTGGTCGATAGTCCGGGGACGCCCCACCTCCACAATTTCCACCCACTCTTGTGCCCTTGTAGCGTATGCAAGCGTCTGACCAGATCAAAGCTTGGCTTGTATGCGGCTCGGAGGTTCTTATAAACCCACCCATATAGTACCCGCGGCTGCGACCACCCCCTCTCTGCGGTTCTCGATTCCTTCGTTGCAAACAGACATTGGCCAACTACTCCAAAACGACCACGAAATACAACACTTGCCTCATACCATGGCCAACGAAAGGTCGCGCAGAGATTCCTCTGATCCGGCAGCATTCAAGCAAGACGACCGTCTTGATACAAAGCTCATAGCATATATCAAAGAGGAACAGACGTCATCAGATGAGTCGCGAGTAAAGCAGAAACCAGACACACGGCGCCATAGAGCATCAGTAGCATGTACTTCGTGTCGAGATCGACGCATACGCGTATGTCCGGCCTTCACTTGTGAAAGTCCGGATGCTGACTCATTGATAGTGCGTTGTACCTGCTGGTAAGAAAGCATGTGTCCAGTGTGAGCGCTCGAGCACGCCTTGTATCATCAAAGACGACGATGAAAGACGCAGGTAAGTCATTAGTACCGACTTTGCGATAGCTACTTACCCCAATAAGACCTATATCACGCGCTTACGTTTACTCTCTTGTCGAAAGGGTTGCTCTGCTAGAGAAAATACTTCGAGATGAAGGCTTGACAGTGCCACAGCCCAACTACCCACCAGAAACACGACAACACTCTCGTCGAAGTGAACCCACCGTCTCTGCAGATAAGATAACCTCGTTTTCGTCTACGCCCCAAGACAGTTCCGTCTCGGACGATCATACAGCATCATCGCCATGCTACTCTACCGTCGCTGTTCAAGATGAGCATCAGCCTCTGGTCACGAAGAAGCGAGCATTAGCAGTTGTCGATGCCGACCATAGTAACTACCAATGCAACAAGAAAATGAGACATGACAGTCTCATCATGTCAACGGACGTGAAGGAAGAATCACCCGTCGAGGACACCCTTGCATCCGCCATTCAATACGATGAACCGTACAATTTCAATCATACCGCGACAATAACCCCACCAATTCAGACTCCCTTTTGGCCAATGGAATATGATCACAACGGCGGTCTGACACTACTGCTTTCAGAATCACAAGAGAGAGTTGTTGAGTATCGCACAAGCAGTGTGTGGGAAAGCAATACGTTTGGGTTTCATGGGTACAACTGCCATCCTATGCCTACACAATGCGATGCGTTACCTGGTGCACTCCAGCTCGATGCTAGCAGCTCAGACAGAAGGGCAATTACGAATCTAGATTTCATGCCTCTGACTAGTAGATGATAAAGGAATTACTTTGTTTATTACCGACTACAATCACACGCTTGCCGCCCTTCTAATTAGGATCACGATGATAGCACCGTCTCAGCTCCAACCACTCTCATGTTGCTTAAGGCACAAGTTGTTGCCACCTAACGAAGATCTTGGAAATAATTATGTGCAGGTTTTGCAAGCCGATTCACAAGCATGACACTGAAAGCGTTCTCTCCGGGGACACACCTTGCCTTAGAACAGCTGAATACATTCTAGCAACGGTCAAAAGTGCTACTATCTTGCCGGTTCTGCAATACGAGAGCTCCGACCTGCACTCTCAATCTTCCTTATGGTCTTGCAACCTCCTTCACCCTGAACACAATGACTGAGTTCACGACTTTCGTCCATGGATGCACCTCGACTAACATTTCTAATCCAATCTTGTCCAGATCCTCGCCCAATTCAAGAACCTATCAGCAGCATCAGTTCCAATCCTCAGGCTGAAACCTCATCACCACTTACCGGGTACAACACTGCTCGCAATCCTTTCGCGCTCCTCGCTACCACAAACGCGCCTGGTCTGAGCCTTTTCACCAACCCTGCAAGAATCGCCAGTTTGGATAGCGTATTCATACCAACCAGCGCCGCCAAGAAGACGACATCGAAATCACTCCACTTCACCATATCCTCATCGCGGTTCTCCTCGACACTTACGTCCGCACACGCAAAGCTCATGCGGCCTGCATGTCCCAGTCTGGCACACAGATCTCGGCTGACCGAGAGAGCCGTGAAGTCGCGATCAACATTGTGCACGCGCGCGGAAGGGAATATGTCCAGGATACAAAGCGAGGTGAGCGGGAGGGGCCCGGAGCCGATGAATGCGATGTTCTCTGGGGCTGACGAGGGAGGTAGAAAGGCGGCTACAGTAGCGCACTCAACGCGCGACAGGTCGACATAGTTTTGGTGGTAGGGAAAGGTGGTGAGCAACGCTTGTGTCTGCGTTGGGGTCGCTGACGGGTATTAGCAAGCTATTTCCACAACGAGGACGTGGCGTGCAGCAGGATGTTTTTTGGTGGCACAAACTCACCGTTTGTCTTCAACGACTCCTCAACAATTGTTCTCGCCCAGAAGTGTTCTAGTTCTCCTTCGGCTGTAGCGCAAAGCGGTCGTAGCTGCTCGCAGATCGTTCGCATTCCCTTGATGTTGAAAAAGTATGTGGTGAACTCATCGGTGTAAAGCACGACACATAAGCTGACCAGACGAGTGAGCAGTGCGTTGACTCCATCTCCAGGTACGAGGTTAGGGAGTTCAGTTAGGGCCTGGTAAATGTTACGGATCTCTGATGCTAGAGTCTGGCTTGAGGCCGCTATTAATGGTGGCGTCCGCGGGGGTGTCTGTGGGGTCGATTGTGTGATCGTGTGTTCGCTGGGCTTTGGCTTCTCGGTCTTAGGAACGCCATCCATCATGCTTGCCATTTGACCGTCAGTCAACATCAAGAGTTGAGAGGTGAAGGTCTACACAGAGAGTCAGATCGAGCCATGTGCGATTTCTTTCATAGCACCCCATTGAAGAGTTTTATGTGCACGCGCAGATGTGGTATTGGTCCCCCACGAGGCACAGCTGCAGTCTTACCCTTGTAGCTAGATGATCGGCAAGGTGAAGGAACCGGAAAGGTAATATGCCGCTTCGTGGTTGGTTGAGCACGACGGTGAGCACCTTGATGGACTCCATCGTACATGACGCAAATCTTTGACAGACAAAAACTAAGCCAAGTGGGTGAGCAAACGGGAAGGTAGAAGGTCGTGCTTGTTCATAGTAACGTAACCCATCCGACACAGCCCCCAGGGTCCTGCGGGCGGGTGTACCCTAGTCTATCCACTTGCGGACTTAGTAACGTTCCCTTTTATTATTACGGGTATCACATGCGCTTGCAGCGCATCAGTATGTAATAGCTGCTCGAGAGAGCGTGCAGCAGACGAGACTCGCATTCTCACTAGTCGAGGCGTTGGTAAACCAACTTACCGCCGACCCACGTCTCTCTTACAGCAATCTTTCGAAGGTCTTCTGTGTCCAACCCTTCCAATGGCTGATCGAGTACAACCCAGTCTGCCCACGCGTCTTCCGTGATCACACCAGCATTTCCATCCAGAAAGGCACCATATGCAGGGTTGACGGTGAAGCCCTTTAACGCGTCCTCAATGGTGAGGGTTTCCTCAGGATACCAGCCATCCTTGCCTCCGCTAGGATCGAGACCTGTTCGCGGGCTACGCCTTGTTATTGCCGCATACATGCCTTCGAATATGCTGGCTGGTTCAACCGGGAAGTCGCTACCAAGGACCGGACCGAGAGGCAAGAGCGAGCGCATCCTGTACGCTTCCTCTGCCGTACGCTGCTTGCCAAGTCTCGACTCCGCATATCCCATGTCTGAGGTAGCGTGAGTGGGTTGAATTGAAGGTATGATGCCAAGCTCAAGCATCCGGCGCTGATCATCCGGATGGATGATTTGCGCGTGCTCAATACGGAAGCGGAATTGTTCCTGTTGACACTGCTTGAGTTTTGCGATGTCGGGGCATTGCAGCTTCAAGGTGATCTCAAACGCATCAATAGCGAGCCTATTAGCCAAGTCACCTATGGCGTGGGTGTTCACTTGATACCCTTCAGCCGCCCAGTTCTGAGTTAGCGACGACAGAACAGTCGCATTCACCAGCAAGGAGCCAGTCGATGTCTCTTTATCGCTGTAAGGCTCGATCATAGCGCTTCCCCAGCTTCCGAGCGCTCCATCTTAGTCAAGTCAGCTTATGTTGTTGTTTACCGACATAAAAGGACTGAAACGAAGAGAACATACCGCCAAATAACTTCACGCTACGAACGTGGAACCTGCCATTTGGCGTACTGATTTTCTTGACTTTGTTGGGACAGAACGTATTGCGGACATCGCACTCGATCATCGCATTGACTCTCACAGTCCACTGCACGTCGCTCGACAGCTGGTGGTAGAGCTCGAGGTCATTGGGGACAACACCGGCATCGTGCATCCCAACAATGCCCAATTTGTTAAGCTCAACCATGGCATCTTTGACAAACTTCGTTTTACGATCTTTACCAGGTTTGGGGTAGTACTCTAGAACCATGTCCATCGCGTTATCGCAAAAGACTCCCCTAGCTACGACTTCGCCTCCAGCCGGAACCTCGGGCAGTGGTGAGGGAAGGAGATCAAGAACCTTATTAGAGACCCAGATACAGTGAACTGAGACCGTCAGACTGATCCTTCAAGTAGCTTGTTCGCGACTTACCGTCAACGCGATCAAGCATGACATACTGATCCTTGAAGACTTCGTTGATCTCAAGATCAGACTCCAGAGAAGTCAGTCATTCGGTAGCTTGATCAACGCGGATGGTACTGACCGTAGCTGGCCATTCCCCTTTAAAGTTGGCCTGATCCCAACCAACACCTCTTATCCAGTGCTGGCTCGTGCCTTGCTCTGGCCGATCTGCCTTGTACTGCACAAGTCGCTCTTGCACCTCTGCCATTGATTTTGTACCAAAGAGATCAACGGAATTAAGGAGCTCGCCATACTGGATCAAATGACCGTGTCCATCCCAGAGACCGGGGTACACGTATCCAGCATGCGCTCCTTTCACAGCATCAGAGGATGAGTCTTGCTGGTTGAAGTCGTTCTTGAAAACACGCGAGAACTTTCCATTTGCCACGCTGAAGCACTCAGCATTAGGAAGACCAGATGACAATGTGGTGATTGAAGCGTAACAGTGTGTTTCTTCGAAGAGGCTGCGGATTATCCGAAAGCCAGTATATGCGTGTAACGATGGTGGGAGGAAAGTCTGGATATCAATCTGGTAAAAGAGAACGCCTAGCAGAACGGGCAATGACGCCCAGAACAGAACTGTATGTGCCGGCATGATGTGTTGGGCACCGTAGAGGTACAAACGAGATGTCGGTGGGACGGGCCAGTTGGAATTTCGACGTCGCCTACCGGTATCGGTGGGAAGTCCGCCTTGGACCAATCAGGTGCTGACGAGTACTAGAACCTTTCCCAGCCATCGTCGGGCTACCCCACGGTCTTTCATCTTCTCGCGATACACTATAGAAGTATTAGACAAGACGAAGCAAATGCCTGTTCGCCGTGATAGCTGTGATGTTTCCGGAGTGCCCACGAAGAGACGGAGCTAGCGTGTCATGTCAGCTCACCAACCTAGGTTTAGCCACCTGCCCCTCTTGGATCAGTTAGCTTGCAGCTGTGTGCCTCATGCATGCACAATCGTATGCGCACAATTCCAGTGCGATGCTAACTTGTCTTCAATGTCTCGCTGGATATCTAATTCTCTCGCCCACATACATGTTCAAAAGCCTCCCTCCACGTCTACATGGTACGAGACCTGTGAGAGCACACAATGTCCAATCGGAAATAGCGGTGAGCCCATGAACGAACGTCACTCATCGGCGCGCGGAACGCTGCCTGCTCCCCGATCCTCTACTTGAACGCCCCACAGCACGCCTTGGCTCTAGTGGGCATTGGATGTGAGGGCAGAATCCCATTGTAGCGAGGCTGGGCAACCTGCGGAGCTAAACGGGCGGGCCGGGGTGTCGGATTTGAAAGATTCAACCTCGATTCCTGCTGCTGTTCAGCTTTTCATCTCGAATCGCGCTCGACGGAAAAGGGTGTCGCACTAGCATATGGCTACGCGGGAGCTTGATGAGCTTCGCAAGCAGCTAGAGACGCTTCAGCGCTCACACGACACCTTACTAAAAAGCTTGTCCGCTTCGAACGGAAGCTTTGGACCCTCAGACGTTCCACGGCTACGTCGGAACGCAACCCAGCGTGGAGATGCCGTGTTCGCCGATACGTCCACGCTCTCTGACGACAGCAGCGACGATGAGGACGACTTCTTTGTACAAGCTCCTTTACCAGCTCAATCCTTTGATCAAGAACATCTACGCGAGCATCTGAAGACCCACACCTGGGATGAGCATGGCAGAGATATCCTAGCATCCCTGGTTGACCCCGGAAAATTGTCAAAGCAGCCGAATTTATTTCATGTAGGACCTGGACCTGCCGAAGATCGCTCCCAGTTCAGCCACTTCCAGTCAGTATTTGCAGCTGTGCAGCGTAAAAATGTATTAACTTGCTTCAGAGTATACAATGTTGGACAAGATGGACTTCCTGAACTTGTTGAAGTTAGCTCGGCAGACAACACAATGTCAAAGGCCACTGAAATATGGCACTCGATTAAAGTAGGTGCGAAGAACTCGAAACTAGAGCATTCAGTACTGACAGCTGTAGGAAGTAGGGAAAAATAGCGATAAGCCGACTTCAGGACGCATCACGTATGTCTTGTCGTGTACACCAAAGTCATAGCTAACGTTCGCTAGTGTTGCAAGAGAGCCATCGCCTGTCCTTTTTGGTGCGCTGCATCTGACTTTACACAATACTTTTGACATGGATGAGTTATTCAGACATTTGGTGCGCACAGAAGCCTCTTCTGCCCACATGTTTCGTGCTTTCACGCAAGATGCACGCCACCAGCGGACGTTCTTCTTCACATTCGAATATTACACGATCATTGGAGACGACTGCAAGCCAATGCAATGGCAGAGGGCAGATAAGAATTTCAACTCCTCTGATAGCCATATACCCTTGAGCCGGTGTGGTGCCGTTGTTGCCCTTGCGCTGTTCGATCAAAACCCTCGACGAGTTCGGAACAGGTCGAGACACTCCAAGACCAACTATGGGTTCGTGCACGACCCGTGGTCGCCATGGCAAGTTCTTCAACTTGAATGCTTCCCTGATTGGAAGTCGACACCTATCAACGGAAATCCTTACACATTCGAGGCTGGACACCGCTACCTCAACGGGCCCGAAGCGTTCCTCCATGCACTACTCACTGAGTATCGAGATGCACGGAAGCGCTACGACGAGATATACAGACAAATCACCGAACTTGTCACTCCGCCTCTTGGCTTCCTGTTTGACGAGGATGCACGCATGAAACGACTATTCGAAGACAAGAACTTTACGTGGACGCGCCGCTATTTCTATGCGCACCAGGCTTTGGGCAATGTCAATGACAGTATCAAAGCCATGGTTGACGCCTTCGAAGACACGTTTTCGGAAGATGTGTGGGAAGGCGAAAGTAAAACGCTGTGGCCACTATATGAAGAATCGCCCCGGAATGAACACTGGAAACGCAGGCTCCGACTGTTGAGATTGCAATTTGAGCGTGAGATGAAGGAGCTTCGTATTCTGCAGCGCGAGAATAATGAGAGGCGCCATGAGATCGAGACATTGCAAGAACAACTTTTCTCTGGCACAAGCATTCAAGAGTCCAGGAAATCAGTCGAATTGGCCGATGTTACAGTACACCAAGGATACAACATCAAAGTGCTGACAATTGTCAATCTGTTCTTTATGGTAAGTCTTAAAGCCGTCTCTCGTGGGAATGTGACTAATTCTGCATCAGCCACTTACCTTCGTCACATCCATCTTCGGCATGACCAATATGCCCGCCGAACCTGCCCCGTATTGGCCATTCGCTATCACACTTGCTGCGATATGTGTCCCTTTCTTCAGCATTATCGGTTTTCTTTCAACCAAATATGGTTACCACGTCTGGGCAACGAAGACCCGGCAGTTCTGGCGTTGGTTGCGCCCAAAGCCCGCTGTTGAAGAAGAGACAGAGATTGATTATCCAGGGAAAAGGAAGAATAGGAGCATGTCTACCGAAGAAGGCATGCGGATGAGAATAAAAGACAGGGAGCCACTTCCCAGGCGAAGCATGCATAGGCCGCCACCAAGCCATCCACATATCCAAGCCATGGTAGCGAGGATGGGTGAAGGGCGACAGAGTGGGTTGACGAGAATGGGGACCTTGACTGAGGTGGATAGTGAGACGGGGAGCAGTGGAAGAACAACGAAGGACACAATGGTTCACATACAGGAACCCTAACGAGCCACGAAACATGACAGATGTACAATGGATGAGAGATGAGACACGACGATTACGGCAGATTCAACGACTTTATCGAGGACTTACGGCGGTACGATAGAACTAGACGAGTACCTATTTGTCCTGCCTTTGGCAGCACTATAGATGCAACTTACATTCACTACACCTACGTCGAACGGAATGCATAGCTGAGTCGATGATGTGCATGTGACACGCCGGGTTGTTCAAACCCACAGCACCCTTTACTGCACCCAAGCGCGTCTGACCAACCAATTGGCAAAATGCAGCATCAGGCAAGTAGTCTCGTCAGAAGCTTCTGTTACTGACCGTATACGCTTGGACGGAGTTATTCTGCAGGATTTCTGCGGCTTATTGATTACGGTAGTGATGCTTTGGATCCTACAAAGGTGCCGAGCTGGGAACAGCACATGTCGCGAGGGCTGCGTTCATGCAGTAGTCAGTCCGTGTTGGTGTTTCCAGGGCCACTAACAATGAACGCTCCAATGATAAGCGTGGATAAGCTTCTACTGACAGCCCTTCAGCCCTTTTTCTCGCGTAAGGGTAGGGCTGCTTTCTCTGATGGGTGTTTGCACATTTCACTGTCCCTGACCTTGCAGATCCCCTATCCAAAACGATGGCTTTCCACATTAGGCAAGTTGCTGAGGATAGCAACTGAAAGCCAGCATCACATTAAAACGCGCTGATGTGCACATTCATCATCATCAAGCAACCTGAGTCTCGGCTTCACTCGTAAAGATGTTCGCAACCAACACAAAGCCTTATCACCTCCCTTTCGATGCGACATGGTTCATCACTGGATGTTCAAGTGGCATAGGCAAAGCCCTTGCACAGCACGTCGCAAGCAAGCCTTCGCATCGGTTGGTCGCAACCGCGAGAAAGCTAACTGACCTTGCCTATCTTTCTGGCAATGAGTCCAATATTCTGAAGCTTGCGCTCGACGTCACATCGCCCGACGCCGTCAGCCACGCCTTCAAGATATCTGTCGAGCAGTTCGGTACCATCGACGTGCTGGTCAATAGCGCAGGCTATGCGCTCTCAGGCGATACAGAGTCCGCCACCGAGGCTGAGTACCACGAGATCATGGAAACGAATTTTTTCGGCACGGTGCGAACCACTCTTGCTGCTCTCCCGCACATGCGCGAGGGCAATAGAGGCGGGTTGATCATGAATATCTCATCTGTCGCAGGTGTGTGCGCGTTTCCTGGACACGCCTTCTATCACGCATCTAAGCACGCCGTCGAGGGCTGGACAGAGTCTGTTGCGAAAGAAGTCAGTCAGGATTGGGGGATAGCGTTCTGCATCATCGAGCCTGCCGCTGTCAAGACCAATTTTGAAGGGCACAGCAAGAAGAACACTGCACCGCATCCAGCGTATGCAGACCCTAAGATGCCAACGAGGATGCTGCAGAAATACGTTGATGCTGGTTTGAAGCAGGGGGTGGGTATGGAGCAAGAGGAGGTAGCGAGGGTGTTATACGAAGTTGCGAGTAAAGGAGAGAAGGTACCACTTCATCTGCCATTGAGCATGAATGCTTTTGGCTTGATCAAGGGGGCGTTTGAAGGAAGATTGAGAGCGCTAGATGATGTTGAGGAGGTCAGTGGGAGTTTGAGCTGACTTGCTGGAGATTCCACACTCGACTTTCCAAGCAATAATAAATCGTTCAATCAAATCGTCACCACCATCACTGAGCTTGAACATGGTCTGTAGCTGAGCCTGGAAATACCCTTTCATGAGAATCTTGACAGCTTTATTCTATCTAATCTTGCACTAAGCTGGATTCGTATTGCATTGCGATGGTAAGCATCGCCTATCAAGATGCCCAATCGTAAGGAAGTATGAGCGCGTGAAGCATATCTTAGTCCGACCCGATAAGCTGTTGCCTAGGTTCCTTCCAGGATTGGTGCTCGATAAATTCAACTTGATAGTGCCAGTCAACGCGGAAACGATACCACAATGAGAAAGACGCAGGCTTATGTACAGCATGCACACGCAGCTCTGTGTTCTGGAAGCGAAAAGCGGGGTCGGTGGGGCCCTTTGGATCGTCCAGGACAGTGACATGTACCTAGGTACTTCGTAGATCAACGACCAACACGAAATTTCATCGTCTCCACTGAAGGAACGCGTCAGCATTAGCTTCGGAATCATCATCTTGGACAAATACAAGGGCATCGCAAAGCGCGTTGATGACAGTATCAGGCCGAGCGCGAGCTGGATGACCAACTCGTAGCGCGGTGACGGGAACCTGAACCGTTTGTCAGCCCGGGACCAAGCCACGCTAAGCCAAAAAGGTTAAGAAGGAGCGAACTCGTGCAGCGAACAGAGGTGCATCCTGAGCATCGTGTCGGTTGGTGCACCGATGCTGTCAGCAACAATGCATGCAATGGCTTTACAATGGCGTATAAAAGACCTACGAGATGCCTTCATGCGGACAGGACAGGATCACACTGCGCAGCATCTCTTATCATTAGCTCTACAATTGAATTCAACACCTGAACGCATATTTCATTGTTGAGCAAGCAAACGAACGTTCGCAACATGTCCAAGCTCATCACTGTCTTTGGTGCTACTGGCAACCAAGGTGGTTCAGTCATTAAACACATCCTTGCCGACTCGAGCCTCTCCAAGACTTTCAAAATTCGGGGCATCACTCGCGATGTTTCCAAGCCTGCAGCCCGAGCTTTGGCTGACCAAGGAGTGGAGATGAAGGCTGTAGGTTTTCTTCAGTACTTGGAAGCATCCAAACTGACGCCGCACAGGCTGATTTGGGCGATAAAGCCTCCGTAACCGAGGCTCTCCAGGGATCTGACACTGTCTTCCTCGTCACCAACTTTTGGGAAAGTGCAAAGTACGAAGTTGAATACGGTCAGGGCAAGAACGTTGCGGATGCTGCCAAGGAAGTTGGTGTCCAGCATCTGGTCTTCTCCACCCTGTTGCACGTCAGCAAGCTTACAGACGGTCGACTTTCCCACGTTCTTCACTTCGAGGGGAAGGCAGACATTGAAGAATACATCAAGAAGATCGGTGTTCCTGCTTCTTTCTATCTGCCAGGTTACTTCATGAGTAATTTCAACCAGAGTGTGCGAAAGGGCGAAGACGGCTCCTTGTCGTTTACATTGCCAATCGGCAAGGACGCGAAGTTTCCGCTCGTTGATATCGCCGACGATACTGGTGAGCTTTCACTATATGCGTATTGACAATTAAAATCAATGACTAATCACGAACCCATAGGCAAATTTGTCAAGGCCATTCTCAAGAACCGTGACGCAACACTCGGCAAGCACATTCTCGGTGCCGAGAACTACTATACGCCTGAGCAGATCCGATCCGGATTGGAGGCAGCGACTGGCAAGAAGACGCACTATACCCAGACGACAGCTGAGCAATTCAAGGGCTTCTTGCCGCCCTCTATTGCGGAAGAGATGCTCGAAACATATTACTTCATCGAGAGTCCCGGTTACTACAACAACGCGGATCTTAAGGAGAGCCACGATATCTTGGAGGATAAGCTGGTGACTTGGGAGGAATTTGTCAAGAAGAGTGGGAAGTTTTAAACGTGGAATGGTACAGGAAAGTGACAGCCACTGCTCCATAGTGCAATACACTTCAATTCGATCGAACAATTTGATTTGTAGATATAGTTTTGAACATGCACATACTGCCATAGTTTTCAAAAAGCAGATAATTGCGAGTGTGATACGTGCCGGTAGTTCTGTGGCCTATTCTCTGGTTCAAATATAAATGTAGCTCTATCATGGTCGTTTCTGCTGCACAAAACGCGAAAATCAATATTTGTAGCCAACTACTGTAGTAACCTACCACTTGGCGTCTGTAAGATTCAACGCATTCGTATCACAACCACGAAAATGATAGAGTGACTCGATTCAAGGGCATACCCTCCAGCAAAAAGACGAGCCCGAATGTAGTAGACTGTCGCTATACGGCCATTCTATACTTGAGCAAATCCTCCTTCACAATTCGGTTCTTCATTTGTTCCAACTCGTGCACATCCCAATTACAACTCACAAATCTTCCACTCAGCCATTGCTTCTTCTCTCTGCTCAACCACACGCAGAACGCTCCGGCAAGACCCTCATCGTCCGCCAAGATACCACTCCAAGCATCTCCGGCATGATTCTTCGTTTGCGGCGTGACGACTGCTCCGGGATGTAGTGCAAATCTATGATCGTCATTGGCATATCTTTCTCATGTCTCCGTACAGTGATACTTACGCTTGTACCCCTTCGTTCCCGTGATCATTCGCCACGCACTCCATCAACCGCATGACCCCCATTTTGCTCATGTTGTACGCCACCGGCGTAAGTTCGCTTACCACCGAGTGCGCAGCCATACTGCAACTTGAAATGAGTGTCTGCGGTCCGTCCTTCGTTTCAGCGAGTAAAGGCAAGAAAGCGCGGCTCACACGCCACACGCCACTGAGATTGATATCCATGACACGCATCCAATCGCCATCCTGCACAAGGCCTTGTGGCAGGTTGGACCCAGACGAGTCCGAGGGTGTGATGTAGGCGGAAATCACGCCCGCGTTGGCGATCACGACGTCTACTCGGCCCCATCTGGACCGGACTTGGTCCTCCAGCTTGAGGACGTCCGACTCACTCTGGACATCGCAGATTGCTTTCAGGACTTCAATCGTTCTCCCACTCTTGTCTGCAATCTGCGATATCTCGGACTCCAACGCATCCAGGTCATCGCTAGTCCGCGACGAGATCGCGAGCCCCGAACATCCTGCGCGCGCGTATGCGAGGCTGATGTGATACCCTAATCCTTTGCCTGCACCAGTCACTACAACAACAAAGGGCTGAGGTAATGTGACGGAGCTGGGATCGATGCTAGTGGGGATATTGGAGTGGAATGTCTTGGTGAAGTTCAGGCCGTAATGTGAGGGAAGAGCAGCGTTGGAAAAGTCCATTTGCAAGATGTGGTTGCTGTCTTCAGCTGCGCGACCATGCACATCAAGGTCGGAAGCGCCTTAACTAGGAACGTCATACTAATCGCGACCGAGGTGATGATCTGCGTTGCCGACGTCGTTAGTGCGACTAGTAGCCATGGCGTGGGGTTTGGCTCATTGCGCAGTAGCTCAGAACTCCTCAAATTCTCACAGGGAATGAATGTAGGTTTCTCCTAGTGGCCACGATGCCTTGTGTGGCAGGTGTACAGCAAATACTACCTATGCTGTCTTCCTTATAAGTGCCTCCATCTAATGAGCGTCTACAAAATCGTAGGTGGCATTTTGTACAGGGATTGAGATGAGCATGCTAGGATTTGCATTTAGAGATTGCAATAAGGTGACTAAGAATATGAGAGTATGCAGTCCTCTTTCCAATTGAGACACATGAACGCCAATATAACGCCTGTCCATGTCGCGGGTCAAACAAAGCACATCTTCTGTTGCGTCCGTCACCACGCTTTTACACCGCACCACCTGCACCACCAGACCCTAAGCTGACGCCGCCTGCACCATCACCTTTGGCTTCCTTGCCAGCCTTTCTCCTCATGCTCTTACTCCTGTGTGTGTAGTAATTCGTCGGCTCCTTCATCTCTTCTTTGTCCTTCTTTTCCTGTGACGACTGTAGCTTTCCACCCTTTGGTGAAATTTTGCTGGCTTTGGAACCCATAGCGTAGCGTTCGTTTGTAGTATCGAAGGTGGTTTCAGGGGGGCTGTCAAGTTCGGGGCCGTCGGATGTCCGTCGACGCGATGAGGCGAAAGATGAAGCGCGCGGTGGAGACGAAGACGCTGAGCGCTTGTGATGGGAAAGGATAATGACGCTGCGGAGTCGTCAGTAGCTGGAAAGGACAGCAGTGACCTGCTGCTCAAACAGGAGATTGTCGCGTGCTTCGCCACAGAACGAGGGGATAATCGAAGGCAGCGACTTACGGTGGTGCCGGATGTGGTTCAGGTTGGGGCTTTGGATTGAGACTGTCCGAAACAGATGTCAGGCCTCCCGAAACGTTGTTTCTTGGTGTCGGAAAATAAGACCTGATGACTTGTTAGGGGACAAGTACTTGTTGAAGGGAGGCTATACGGACCGTGAAAATGACGTATGCGGGTGTGGCGCGAAGTCAGGGTCTTGTTCCTGAGGCGGAGATCCACATGGGCTGCTATTTTCGGCCAGGATGATGATCCTATTGGCCAATCGTTAGCGGACGCAACTCCGAGTGGGGCTGTGAGGGCACGATGCTGGAAATAACCTTGTGCTAGAATAGTGCTGTGCACGAGCGCTCCTTTGACTCGCGAGATTGAAAGGAATACTTACGGAGGTGCTGCCGGTGGCTCTGGGTTAGGCTCCCTACGCATTTTCTCACTCGAGCTACGGCCGCCGGTCATATTGCAAAATGATCTCCTCGCGACGGGTCCAGATGTCTGATAGCGACTGACGATGGACAACACAAGGTGCGGCGCGTTTCCAAAGACCTGGGTGATAGTCTCGACAAGGTAGAATGAAGAGGGCATCGAAACGACGCGACAATGACGTCCGCGTAGCGAAACAGTACCCAGGTAGGTGTGGTAGTTGGAGGCTGTTTGGTTATATAGCGATGGCTTCGATATGGCTGAATGGACGATAGCTCAGGCTCCAAGGTGTGTGATGCCTATTCTTCGAGATTGGACTTTGCATCTTATATGCGATTATCATCGTTCCAATTCAGGCAGCAAGCACATCACTTGAAATCCGTCACCGCGATTTCCATCTCTTCCTAGTTTCATGGCCCCCATGATCCCTCCTCTCGTCACCGTAACCATGACTCTTTGACCGTTGTGCACCGTCTCCACAGGCCACGCTTGAGGCTCGTCCAGATCATGGGAGGCCTTGGACTTGGACATGTGTAAGACACAATCACCATGTTCGTGATGTTTGGGCCGCCGGTTTATGTGTTGCCAGGTTTCCCGCAGAAGCAGGCTTGTCTCAAGACGGGGGCGGTAAAGGTAGACCTGAGCCATATTTGGCACCGAGTTGCGAATGGAGTACAGTGAAACCAATGGCCAAGGGTGGACTCATCAGGCAAACCGTCAGTTTAGAGCTGCAACACGTTCTTGCGGCCGATGGTTTGGCGATAGTTCGCAGGGAGGCTGTGTGATGAGAGGAAGTCTTGCTGCCATTCGCCTCGTCGCGCGTGGCACGCCTGAGTTGCTAGGCTTGTGGCAGTCCATATTGCCACGACGGCGGCTTTTGCAGGGGCCAGACAAGCCATGCCAGCTGTTATGTAGGATTGTGCAATGTCAGTGGTTTAGGTAGTGTCGCGGACGATGGTTCGGCATGAACGGGTAGGCTACGCCGCCGTTAAGCCCCACTTGATCCTTCTTTTCGCTTCGGCCCCTGCGCGCCTAGGTCGTCAGTCTGTCCCAAAAAGGCGAGGCAGATTCGTTCTATCACATGATGTAACAGCCTCGTTTCCTCGCTTTCCATTGTCGCTTGTCTACGTGATGCGGGACCTGATCTACACACGACAATAACATGTCATCATCAACGCTATGCGATCCTGTCTGGATGCTCGATATCCCAGGCTGCAACGGAGCTTTAGCCAGGCAGCAGCCATGGGTCTATCCGATGTGTCGGTCTTTGCAATAACAAAACGATTGCGGAACGTGTTCACAAGGGACTAGAGTGTTGCGGAGCGGGATGGACAGAAATGGGCGGCAACCGGGATGTGACTAGACGATCGGAACTCCGAGTCCGACAGAGACAGGCATCTCACACTCGTCGCCACGGCCAGTGCAATGGTATACTTGCGACATTATATCAGTAATGACATACCAGGACCGGCGAAACACTTGCGCTATGATCTCATCTACTTATGGGGCATGCTGGGCTGTGGGCGTGACGGAGACATGGCTATGCATCGACGAGAGGATCTTAGAAGTGGAATGCTGACACTAACATATATTCAAGGTGTAAGTACCCGAGTGATCTACACCGCACTGCACTCCGGCGAGGGGAACGCCATGCATAGCCTCTGTGCTAATGTATCAAAAGAAGAACGCTAATCATCGATAACAATAACCTCGTATTTCTCTCTCTCTTGTGACAGCTGCTCCTAGCGGCTACCTCTTCTCTCGTCATGAGGTGGGGGGCCTGGTACCATGACCTTAAATGGCATCTCTCTGCCCATACTCACCGGTGCATACGGACTATAATGTTGCGGTGGTGCAGGCGCTAGCGGCGGAGGACCGCTGCGACCGCTACTTCGTGGGCGGGGGCCAGCAGGGCTCTGCGGTCCGTAGGGGCTCGGATATGCGGGTAGTTGCTGTGGAGCGGGAGCAAGCGCACGTGGTCCAAGGTGTGAATGCAGTGACGGCGGGCCTGAGTAGCCTGGAAATCCTCCTGACGGAAGTGCAGCAAGTGGGGAGTATTGCAGCAACATGGGATGGTGCAGGGGTGCCGAAGCGTAGGTCATGTGAGGTGATGGTACTGTCAGCGGTGGCAATGGTCCATGCATTGAATAGGCTTCTGGCGGGTACTGATGGTCTTGGTGATGTACCGGAGAAGGCCGATGAGCTTCCGGCGGTGTCGACACAGGCGTGGCAGTTGCACTTGGCCCTCCAGCTGCCCGCCCACCTCTTCGTCCACTCGAGGAGTTTGATCGCGATGTCGGTGGCTTTGGGGGCCTGCCCTCTTTCTCATCCTGCTCTTTCTTGCGCGCCTTGCGTTCCGCCCACCATATAGTCATCGATTGGCTACGTTTTTCGCTCTTAACGCGTGGCTTCCGTCTCGAACCTGATGCTGGCGAAGCGTCATCACCCTGCACGTTAGTGTACTGGCTCAATGGAGCCGTGAGCATGTATGCATCTGGCGTGCTTGACTCGCTTGGGTGTGCGAGAGCGCCGTCTTGTGCGGCGGCAGGTTGCGGAGTAGCTTGGAAGACCGTCTCAGCAGAGTTCGGTGCTGGCAAGGGAGGTGCATCTGAAAAAGGCTGTGTATCAATGGAGAACTGACCTTGACCTGCGCTCAGTGACTGCAGTGCTGGTGGAGGAGCGTTTGGACCGTGCGCTGATGGCACTGGAGTACTGGGATCTGTAGCCTTCTTTCGTGGACCCTTTTTAATACCGAAATCGCTGCGACGCCCTGTGTTCTTGCTTCCCGGTGGTCGCCCACGTTTAGTGTTCGTGTCTGCATACTCTTCAACATCCATCGTCGACGATCCCTCGTCGCCAGATGTCGTCGCTACCGAGCTTTCGCGTACACTCTCGTGCACAAGACGTTGATGCAGTGCAGAAGCAGCTGCAGTCCTAGCTCGCTTAGCAGGTCTGCTGTCAGGCTCTGGGGTTTCAGATGCATTCAAGGCGAATCTGCTGACGCCCTTTTTACGGGCACCACCCCACCCACTGTGTTTTTTGGGGGTAGACACTCCTGTCACTACATCAGTACCGTCGAACTTGCGAGGCGGCTTCCTTTGTCTCCTTGATGCACGACCTTCGTTGTCCTCTTCTTCCTCTTCACTTGCGGCTGCAGAGTCCAGCATGTCGCGCGCACGACGTGTTCGGAGCTCTCGTCCACCGCTCTTTTCGACACCTGGACGCTGTGCCCATGGGTCTTGACACCCAGGCTGTTTTTTCGGATCGAAAGCATAGCCGTAGAGATCCGCTTCTTTAGTGTCTTCAAATATCTGTGATGCCATAGGGATCCGTCCACTATTGCAGGCCTTCTTTGGCGGGTGCATGTGGGGCGCGGTCTTGCAAGTGTTAGTCCAAATATCAATTCCTTCGATGTGCAACTTACCCGCGCATCAAGCTCAAGATACTCATCCTGCCAACATTTAAGAATATACTGAGCGTTCTCTGCCAGGGCATACAAGTTGTCTGTACTTCTCTGGGCAACGGGAAACTTGTTGAGAGCTGCGACGATCTTGTTGACATCAGACATTGCCTGGTACCTTCTTTGGAGCAGATAGTCGGCCATGTCCTCGCAGTCGTCCAGGGGTTGTGGTTCAAAGTCATCAGCCCAGGGACCAGAAAGGTCTTGGTCGGTAAGGATGTCGTCTTCAGGATCGAGCGTTCTGAGGGCCTCTGCAGGTGTCGAAGCCGAATCACGTGGGGTTTGGGAGTTGGAACCTGTCGTCAATGAGATTTTGGGAATTTTGTTCTTCGTGGCACTCTTAGATGGCCTAGGTGCAGGGTCTGCGACCAATGAAGGAGTATATGTGCCATCGAGTATAGCGTTAAGCAGACCTTTGGGAGGTGAACCATGGGGGGTAGTCGTAGAAGGTGGCGAACCAGCTGGCGTCATTGATTCCATATGCGCATTGCCAATGGACCCATCCTCAAGATCGCTGTCGATATCGTCGTCCAGCCCCAAGCCATTAGTCGGTTCGGATGCATCTGTCATTTGCTCATCCTCGTTCGGGAGTGGTGATGCCAAGCCCTCGCCGTTTGGCGTGGTTTGATTGGACAGACCATCATCTTCCTCTGTTAGCGGAAATGCGGGTGCTGCGTTTCGTGATGGACGAGATCGAGTGGGCGAAATGGTTCGATTCAGGCCTCCGCGTCCTCGTCCGCGTCCCCTGCCACGGCCGCCTCTTCCTCTTCCACCGCGCCCGCCGCGTCCACCACGGCCTCTTCCTCTGGAGGCAGAGTGTGACGTGTTGGGTGCGAGATCAGCCGATTCCTCGCTCTCGTCTGCGCTTTCCTCCAGTTCAGACTCAGAATCTTCATCTGAGGTTGGCGATTCTTGCACAGCACTTTCAGGGTTCCTGCGCTCCTTCGGGAGCTTGCCATGATGCTTCTTGAGACCGTTGAAGAATTCGCGTGACAGGCCGAACACCATCAAAAATGGACGCTCGTATGAAGCATAGACCTCGGGCGCAGCATCAGTAAATGATGGCTGGCTTGAGATGTTGGATGCAGAACGAGTAGTTTTTCTTGTGATGGTTGGACTCAGCTTGTGTGGACTTTGTTTTGGTGCAACGACTTCTGTGGTCTCGGATCTGGCTGCAGGTGCTCCTCGAGTGGAACGGGTCCGCGCAGCCATATCATCTTGAACAGAATTGCGTCGCTGTGAAGAACGAGCGGGAAGATTACGTGGTGCTGGCATTTGACTCAATGTCTAGCGACGATTGAGCGCGCAAGTGCTGCGCTCGTATGGTTGTTGGAATCGAGGTCTGCATGAACACTCCCGAGGAGGCGTAGTGCAGATCCAAGCCTGTCAGGGAGGCGGAAAACCTGCGCGACCAGAAGATGAATCAAACTCCGCGCACTGGCAACAAAGCTGAGTAAATGTGTGCAGTTGGTTGATACGAGGATTCAAGTAGAGAAAATGGACCAAAGTCAGTAGTAAGGGACGTGATGTGTGATGATCTTTGTCTGAGGCGGTCGTGGCTGCTTCTTCCGTTCAGCCTTGGCCACTACGTCTGTAGCCAATTGCAGCTCCGCGCTAAAGCAACAGGCATCTCGCCGAACGGGAGCTCCCAAACAATAGGGCGAGAGAGCAATGTCACCTTATTGTCCCAGCTGTCGGTGAATAACAGCCAACTTCACCCTCACTCTCTATTAGGTCATTATCGCCACCTAATCTATATTGCTATTGTCTGACGCTTGTGACCGATAATGCCGCCAAAGACGGTCGAGGAGGAGCTTGCGGAGCTTGAACTGCTTGGAGCAGAGACACCAGCTGCCCCACCGCCAAAGAAGGGACCCAAGGCCCCTCGACAGAAGCTGCCTCAAGAAGACGACGCGCTAAAAGGGCTCGAGGAGCTCGAAGACTTAGGCAAACTGCAGCGCCCAGAAGGACTGCGACCTACAAGTCGTCCAAACACACCCAAGCTATCTTCTTCGACAGCCTCAAGCAACAGGCGAGGCGCCGATGTTGCAACGCCATCCTCTACTGGCTCAGCTCGTACCAGCGAGGACCGAACAGCACCACCAAGGAAGTCGGGAGATAGCGCACGATCATTCCACCAGAGCTTTGCCCCCACTCAGGAGGAGCCAGCCACAGCAGCACCTGCATTGGCGGCAGAGGCACCAGCATCGGCAGGCGGCTCGTGGTGGGGTGGAGGATGGGGCGGCATCTTGAATACCGCTACCGAAGCTGCGAACGCTGCGAAAAAGCAAGCAGAGGCGGCCTATCAAGAGCTCCAGAAGAACCAGGAAGCACAGCGCTGGGCAGAACAAGTGCGTGGCAATGTCGGCGCACTCCGTGGCATGGGTAGGCCACCATCGTCTATAGTCCAACATGGCTATGCTGACAGAGTACAGGCGGAGAGTTGAGCAAACACGCAATGCCGACTTTCACCAACATATTGCATACCCTCGCCCCACCGATCGCCCAACATGAACGACTGCAAATTCACATTACTCATGATCTCGTCGGCTACCCCTCGCTTGATCCCATCGTCTACCAGACCTTCTCTACCGTTATGGCTCAGGTTGAGGGCGGCGACTTACTAGTCATCCAACGTGGCTCGGAACTGAAGCAGCGTGGCTCACTCGATGGATACAGAGGTGGTGGAGGTGGTTGGAATGATGGTCCTTGGTGGCGCCACGCAGACAAGCGAGACCTCAGCACAGTCAAGGGCCTGGTTGAAGGCACGAAGCTCACAAAGGTGAGCGCCGAGTCCTATGCCGATGAGTTCTTCGCCGCTCGGGGAGGCATTGAGGCCGCTGCGAAACAAGCTACAGAAGTCCTCAGCGAGACAGTCCCTGTGCGGAGCAGCGATATTTTTATCGCCATCCAAGCTATCAGCTACCCGGTCCCTACAGATCTCTTTGGGGCCTCCACATCAACGGATACGACAGAGAATGTCATCAAGGAGGTAAAGGACGATGAGGATGTGGTCGTCTTTGCTGTATATTTGTATGACCCTGTTCACGGTATCAGCCTCAAGACGGTCAGCCAATCATTCCCTGCGAAATGGGCCGAGTGGCTTGACGCACCCGCAAGCACTGAAGCTGATGGTGAGGCACAACACCTTCCGCAAGAGATCAGCGAGATTATCGAGAGTGGAGGCGTGGATCCTCGTGAGTGGGTGTCCGAGTGGATGGAAGAGACGATCAGTCTTAGCGTTGGTATTGTTGCGCAGCGCTACGTTGCACGTCGCATGGGAGTTGGAGAGGGCAGTCTTGGGAGGGGCAAAGCACGGGAGGCAAACCTCGAAGATGGCGCTGGCGAAGCCGCACGAGCTGGAATCATCTGAGAGATATACTTTTCATTGCATGTTGCAGAGCGACAGGATTTATTACCCCCAGCGGACTCGACAGTCGCTTTTTTCCACAAGAGTCTTGACTGACTCCACTCGACCTTTACATCCCATGTTGCCACATAATGGAGCTGATTACAGCTATTCGTCAAATAGCATACTGATGCAGAAGCATGCCGCACTCAGCGCAGCAGCTTCCTGCAACCTTGAACGCCAACTCGCGGCCAGATCTGTGGCAAAATGCAGAGGTATCGATGGATAGCCTTTACAGTGCTAGACGTTCTGCTCCCCAAGACGGACCGAGTCTTTGGACTTAGCAACCTCCGGTCAAAATCACAGCTCATTTGCCCTTTGCGCCCTCCTTCTTGTCTCTCTTTCCACCCCTCAGTATCTCCAAATGACCTGCTTTCTCCGCCAGGAATTTTTCGGTCGTGCCAACGAGGCCGGCGGCGCTCTTCTTCTTGATCTTGTTTTGCGAAATCAAAGTCGCCTTCTTTGGCTTAATGACCTTCTGTCCGGGCCTAGGTCCAGTCTTCGAGGGTCTGTAACAACAATTAGCAAAGGCAACAGACCTGAAGAGCGAAGTGGACATACTTCCTGGACGCCGCAGCGGGCTTGGACTTCTTTACTGCGCCCTGTGCCATCTTGGAATCTCGAATTAGGCTGGTATGCGTGGGGCTTACTTGAGAAGCTGTAGTTCGCGCGCAATTCTGGAAAATGTTCGGCGCGACAAAGTTTCGGCTTGGCGCGCCGCTAGCGTAAAGGAGGGGAATACCTAATTTAGCCTCTCGTCTTCAAGTCCGCTGTTCCGAAGATCCACCACCAAGGCCGCTCCCTGCAGCCTGTCCCATTCAGACAATTGCAGTGAATAATGTACAATCGAGCGCACCCTCCGGAATATTTGCAGAATGCAAGACAACATGCAGCGATGCGTTTGTACTATGCTCGCCTGCGTAAGTAGATCAGTTCGGGATAATTTGCCTGGAGCGCCTTGCGTTGGCGGCTATGTACTGCCCCACACTTCACGAAGCTGGGGAAGTGATGATGATCTACGAATTTATCCTCGACTATAGCCGGTGCTCTGGTGCACGTCACTTCGGACCGTTACTCGTTCCTGGATATTGGGCGACGAAGACGCGCGAAGCAGAGGGATCACCAGTCCATTGGAGCCGATCGTACCTGCGGGTGCTTGTAAACCTGGCTAATATGTTCTCATAATGTCCTGGCATGCATAAAGAGGCAAGGACCCCCGTGAACGGATCAGTAGCACGAGCCAGTGTATCTTGTTAGCATCATGGAGCTCTCACCACGCCGAATGTTGAGCGTTGTGCTCTCGGCCTGCCTGTTCGCTCCCACAACTGCCGTTGAAAGCTTCCGAAAGCCTACTGTCGAGTTCACTGCTGGCAATGGGAGTCACATTCTGGCCACTGGCTCATCGCCCGCCAACATCCATGTTGATGCTGGAGATTGGCCTGGTGTCCTGCGAGCGGCGCACGATCTCGCCATCGATTTTGGACGGGTAACGAAAACAAACGGCACCTTGACAGCCACCGGGACAGCCACGGCCAATGCGTCTACGATCTTCAATGTTACAGGTATTAGTAGTGACTGGAGCACCGGAACGAGGGGAAACCGCACTGGTAGAACCGCCATCATCATTGGCACGATTGGCAACTCGAGCTTGATTGACGGGCTGGTAGCCAGTGGGAAACTCGATGTCAGTGAGATCGAAGGGCAATGGGAAGCGTACGTCAGTGCTCTCGTGCAGAACCCACTGGAGGGAACTGATCAAGCGCTCGTCATCGCCGGTAAGCTGTCTTGTAACGATGGCCGCGGTTCTAAGTCTGATATCCTACAGGTAGCGATCGTCGAGGTGCAATCTACGGTATCTACGATGTGTCTGAGCAGATCGGTGTTTCTCCGTGGCACTGGTTCGCTGACGTGCCTGCGAAGAGCCACGCCGAGGTATACGCGCTTGATACAATCAAAGTTCAGAAGACTCCCTCCGTCAAGTATCGCGGTTTCTTCATTAACGATGAAGCGCCAGCATTGACTGGATGGGCTAACATCAAGTACCCCAAGTATGGAAACAACAGCCCTTTCGGAGCCAACTTTTACGCTCACGTTTTCGAGTTGTTACTCAGGTCAAGGGCCAATTACCTATGGCCAGCTATGTGGAACGGGATGTTCAACGTAGATGACCCACGTAATCAGCCGCTCGCAGATGAATACGCAATTGTCATGGGTACATCGCATACTGAGCCCATGGTACGTGCCACCGCTGAGTGGAGCAAGGTTGCTAAAGGCAGCGAGTCTGGCTGGCAGTGGGCGACCAACAATGCTACGCTGTACGACTACTTCTACGAAGGTGCTGAGCGAGCTGCGCCTTACGAAAATGTTGTCACGGTTGGAATGAGAGGTAAGCAGAATCGTTGAGACGGGTGGCACGCAATGCCCAAATGCCACAATGCATGCTGACAATTCACTGCAGGCTACCACGACACAGCTATGTCTTCTGATGTACAAACCAGCGTACTTGAAGCCGTTGTGGACGCGCAACAAGACATACTTAACAAAATTCACGGCAATGCCTCGGATGTGCCGCAAATGTGGTGTCTCTACAAGGAGGTTCAAGACTACTTTGAGGCTGGCATGAAGGTTCCTGATTACGTCACACTCCTGTGGACCGAAGACAACTTTCAGAACATCAGGAGACTGCCTGTGGGTGATGAGAAGAAGCGATCCGGTGGTGCCGGTGTTTATTACCACTTCGACTACGTTGGGGACTCGCGTAATTACAAGTGGATCGACACAATTCAACTGCAAAAAACATACGAGCAGATGCGATTGGCCAAAGATCGCGACGCGGACAGGATCTGGATTGTGAATGTTGGTGATATCAAGCCGAGCGAAGTGGCCATCAGCCACTGGTTTGATATTGCCTACGACATTGACGCATACGATGAGAATTCGGTCCCTCAGTGGACCGCAGATTTTGCTGCCCGCAATTTCGGTGAAGAGCATGCCCAGGCCATTTCGGACATCTTAGACGAGTATGGCTTCCTTGCAAACATGCGCAAGTTCGAGTGGGTCGAGCCCTCCTCGTACAGTATCCACAACTACGAGGAGGCTGATCGTATCCTTGCGCAGTGGGAGGAGATTGGTAAGAAGGCTCAAGATATCCACGATGCTCTTCCTGCAGAGCAACAGCCTGCCTATTATGAGTTGGTTCTTCACCGTGTCCTTGCTGGAGGGAACTTTGTAGATGTCCAAGTTGCAGGAGCCAGGAACATTGTGTACAGCGGCATGGGAAGGAACAGCGCCAACAAGTGGATGCAGCGCACTATTGATGGCATGAAGAAGGACCACAACCTTACAAAACGCTACCACGAGCTATACAACGGCAAATGGAACCACATGATGGATCAGACGCATCTCGGGTACCAAGGGTACTGGCAGCAGCCCATGCGCCAATCTACACCGTACCTACGCTGGGTTCAGACTTGGGAAAGGAGTCTTGCCGGTGACCTCGGTGTTGCCGTCGAAGGCAGCAATGCTACTATTCCTGGTGACGATTCGTGGCACACAAACGGAGGCGGTTCTCTAAACCTCCCTGATATTACACCTTTCACCCCCAAGCGCTGGCTGGAGATTGCTTCGGTCGGAACACAGACCTTCAACTGGAACATCTCTGCCGATCCCTTCATCAAGCTCTCTCAAGCATCCGGTACCATGCAACCGGATGGTGAAGATGTTCGCGTCTACGTCGAGGTTGACTTTTCTAAGGTGCCCGATAATTTCGGCAAGAAAAGCACCTTGAACATCTCTTCGAGCACAGACTATGGCACACAATTCGGCGCGCCGCAAGTCATCGTGCAGGTGAACAAGACGAGCATTCCTTCCAACTTCAGCGAGGGGTTCGTCGAGTCCGCTGGTCAACTGGCCTTCGAAGCAGAGCACTACAACCGCCTGACAGACCAGGGAAACCTGTCTTTAATCACCCTACCCAAGTACGGTCGCACGCTTTCTGCCATCAAGCTCAACGATCCACTAGCCGAAGGTCTTACCTCCGCAACCGCGCCGACGATCGAGTACGACTTTTTGACATTCACACCCACAACCGCAGCCAAGGGCCTCAACGTGACCTTGATTCTGTCTCCCAGTCTCAACATTGATCCCAAAAAGCCCCTCGCTTATATCACGCAAATCGACGATAAGCCCGAACAGCGTCGCCAGTATGTCATCGATCAACCACAGCCGAACTTCCCTGTTGGCTGGGGCACAGCAGTCGCGCGCAATGCGTGGTACAATACCACAAACTTTGGAGAAGTGGCGCCGGGAAAGCACACGCTGAAGGTCTGGCTTGTGGAGGCGAACGTTATACTGCAAAAAGTAATATTGGATTTGGGAGGCGTCGTGTACAGTCACAACGGCCCGCCAGAGAGCTACAAAGTGGGTGGTGGAAACTCAACAACGGGTTATTAGGACCTTGAGCAGAATTGTAGATGACGATAATGAAGAGCTCCCTGCATGCTGTCCATTCGTGTGTCCCGTAGCAGAGACCGCAAGTCTCCGAATCACGTGCAGTCTGCTACTCATCTCCACGAATCAACGAAATGTACAAGGCCGCGCCTCAAGATCGACTCAACAATGGCGATCCAGTGGCAAACAACGTGACTGTTGAACTTAGGGTTACCACGAGTAGTTCTCTCTATGTCTGCTTTAGGATAGTGTCAACAAGTTCATGTTGTTAGCTTTGCAGCATCGCACTTCGTATACTACACCCTTTAACCGCGGCAATGGCGGTAGCTGGGTCAACCGACAAATTTCGAGGGTCGACGGAGGGATGGCGGCCGGTATCTAGGCTGACAATGTTGGTTTCCTCTTCCAAAGCATTCTGGTAAACGTACATTCGGGACATGTGCGTGAATTTTCCAAGAGTATGCTGACGTCACCTGATGTTTTTTCTTTGTAGAATCTTGAATGCCGCTTGTTTCTTGCTCCCGCCCTTCACCGCCCCTGTTCGTTCTTTTTCTACCTTCCGGCGAATGGTGGCCATTGGTCAGTTCAAGGCTGGAACTAAGCTGCGATTTCCGCCCCGCCACAATCAAATCTCCGCGGCTCGGCGGATCTCAGCGCGAATCACGCCCTCAACTGCCATCCCCTGAGGGCAGCCACAAACAATCGTCGCAACTTTGTTTGCCGCAGATCTGGCGCCGGCTGCTGGATAAGGTCATCAGGTCTCAGTCGCAGATGATCTTGCCCTCAGTTATCGCGCCTTATCACTCCCAAGCTTTTGTCACCGATAATAACACTGGTGCCGGCAATTGACATGCCTGTTCGAGCCTCGAGACCGCCGCGGCAATGCTTGGCAATGCTTGGAATGCCGGCACTCCTCCTCAAGCAGGCCGAGATGCACTCACGTTAAGCACGCGATCGTGCAGATGCCAGGGCGAATACGACTATCCCCACAGTCACGGTGCCTCCCGCCACCAATCACTCCTTGCGCCTTCAGGCCGAGGACCAGGATCAGCCCTCAACCACTACCGCCGAGTGGCTGCAGTGTTTCTAAAGCCGATTTAAGTAGATGAAAGGTACTGGAGGAGATTAGGACCTGCCTGAGGAAGAGAAGCGTGTGCTGTGTAGTTCGCCGCCCAAATGGCCGTCGAATGTAACTTAGCGACGAAGACAGCAGGTAGATGTCGGAAGATGTGATCGGCGTCAAGGTGGAAGGATAGCTCCATTGACGTTGCGCTCGGCTTGACGCCTCCTTCGGAAGGTCAACGTCGTGGTGAGCTCGACTGGCTCCGGGTTGCTGCGAAAGCGGTCCGTTCCTGACATTGATGTTGCTTTTCCTGTAGGCAGTGATGAGTACAAGTATACCTGGAGACCCTCCTTGAAATGGCATCGATTCGCAGCTGAACACTCCGATTCCCTCATTCCAAGTCACTACCAGCCGTCAATATGCAGCTCAAGACCCTCCTCGTTTCCCTGCTCGTCTCCTCTGCGGCGGCCAAGCGTAGCTGCGGTACCCCCAATGCTACTGCTGAGCAGATCCAGGTTGCCCAGAACCTCCAGATCCTCGAGGCTGAGTCCAATGCCAGCGGGGCCAGGCTTGCTGCTGCTGCCGCGACCATCAACATCAAGGTCTACTGGCACGTCACTGCCACTGCCAGGACTGTTGCCAGCGGTTACCTTACCCAGGCCACTCTTGACAAGCAGCTTGCTGTCCTGAACTCCGCGTATGCCCCTCACGGCATCTCGTTCTCCCAGGCCGGTGTCGACTGGACTGTCAACAGCAACTATGCCAACGACAGGGCCGACCTTACCATGAAGAAGGCTCTTCGCAAGGGTACCTACGCCGACCTGAACGTCTACTTCGTTCCCGGCACCCAGTACCTTGGATACGCCTACTTCCCCCAGGCTGTTACCGCCAACTCCAATGCCTTCTTCCTGGACGGCGTTGTCATCCGCTCCTCTACCGTCCCCGGCGGCTCTGAGAAGCCCTTTGATCTTGGCCACACCGCCACCCACGAGGTCGGCCACTGGCTCGGTCTCTACCACACCTTCGAGGGTGGCTGCACCGGCAACGGCGATTTCGTCTCTGACACCCCTGCTGAGGCCTCGGAGGCGTTCGACTGCCAGTTGACCCGTGATTCCTGCCCCAACCAGGCCGGTCTTGACCCCGTCACCAACTACATGGACTACTCCGATGAGTAAGTTGTCCCCTTCTAATCAAATATTAATCGACCCATGCTAACTCTTGCTAGTGCTTGCTTCACTGGCTTCACCACCGGCCAGGAGACCCGCATCTTCAGCTACTGGAACCAGTACCGTGCCGGCAAATAAGCGCTTTGTAGCTGCTATTTGTTATCGCGGAGCGAAGAGTCCAAGTGAAGATGTGTTGTCGCATGTGCATAGTTTAGCGAACGGGGATGTTGTATATAGGCCTGATGATTACGAAGATCCGATTAGATATCCCAATCTGAGCATGATTAGCAACCTTCATTTTCGAACATGTGCCTTGTACTTACCTTGTTCTATGGCGATGTTTTCCACCGCAGGCGCGGGCGGACACCCCGCTGTCTATATAGGACGCATGGGCACCCTGATGGTCGATGGTGCAAGCGTCCGCGGTGCATCATAGATAACGCGCACTGTTGACCCTCGCTTAGTGTCCTGTGCAGCACCAAGGTCTTGATGCTATGTATGATCCTTGGCCGTGTCTTATAGACTTCCTGCAACGGCAGGTGCACAGGCAGTGACTACTACCCAGTTAGGTATGTGTAGATTCGCGATTAGATGGCGGTATTATAGCGTCCCTTGCATGTTCACGCCAATGATATGGGATCGACTTGGATGCCTATAGTATCAGCGGGACTGATTGATGTCTTGGTCACATTGAGTCGGAACCATCAGCATCTGAGAGCTCAGTTTCGAATGTGTCAGTTACCTACATATGCTTTTGAGCAGCTGGTACTGCGGTATCAAAGAGCTCGATGGAACGAACACGTTCTTGTTGAAATTGAATGATCCTACTTGAATGAGAAGTTCAGCCATGCCCGCTGTTACTGACCCGATGAGGCAGCTGCTCGAATTAGTCCACACGTGGAAAGGACTCCCTTGATAAGAAAACGGTAGGTCTTTACTTTCGAGTTGTCTAGATCATGCACACTACTGCAGAACTGTATTGTATCACACGCACCTGCTTCTAGCAAGCAGGTGACCCCTGCCGGCGCGGGACACAGTACAAGGAATTCTAAAGCACGCGATTGTGGCCTTCCGAGTTGACGATCTGCTCTATCTTGCTTCATCATCTGTTTTGTTCAGATACCAGGAGCAGAGACAATGTATCATTCCAATACAACGAGGCATTTGATGACTACACTCTGGCCATCGGGTTCAGCTATGGAGCGCAACCTCACAGTATTGAACCGGGATCAGTTTGCATCAAAGACAGCGCGGATGTGCTAAAATTGCATTACAAGAAGCACATTCATAGTACAATGAGATCAGTCGATGCCGCAGATTCGTACATTCATGAACATATGTAAACCATCGCATCCAAGCAAGCAAGAAAACGAAAGTAAATATCCACATTAGAACAATAAACTAGCTACGGTCAATACTTAGACCTTTCCTGCAACGAACGCTCCCGCGGTACCAGCATCCTGCTGGTAGTTCAAGTGCGCAGCTGTGATTGAAGAGCCACCCTGGCAGATGTTGTCGCCGGTGTGGCAGATGGTGAGTGTCTTGGACGAAGCGATTGAACCGAAAGACTGGCCGCGCTTTGGGTCACCGAAAACGACGACTGGATTGGGTTAGCCTTTTGTTGCGGAGGGTGTAGGAAGAAAGCTGGGTGAAGATTGAGGGAGAACAAGAGAAAATACGTACCGGCAGCGACCTTCGCAGCGTTGGCCGCCGAGGTGCGGACAGCGGCGTTGTGCACGAGCTGTGCGCCCTGGGAGTAACCAGCAAGAACAATCTTGGTGTTGGGGCAGCGGGTTGCGGTCTGGTATACATTAGCTTCTGTTGACTGTTAAGTTTTGTGAAAGTATCTTAGACTTACGCTGCTGATAAGATTCGTCATGGTCGTGCTGCCTGTAGCATCACCGCCCTGCAAAAATCCGCCTACACTTGCTGAGTATGTGACGCCCTGGATAGCGAGTCGGCTGGTTCCTCCAACACGGCTGGCAATCTGGTTGAAGAACAGGGGGCCAACGGCTGCAGAGTCGCCAACGTTGCCTTGCTGTCCGGTTCCACGAGCGTAGATCACGCTAATGGCGCGGCAGGCAGTTCCATCGGTGAGTTGGTTGTAGCTGCTGCTGCTGTACTGGCGCTTGGAGAGAGCGTGGTCCTCAACAGAGATGCCGCGTGGGACTTCAGAGATGGGGAAGGCCTCGGGGTCGGCAACAGGAGAAGGTGCTGCGAGAGCACCAGTGAGCACGGCGAGGGAAAGCAGGGAGAGCTTCATGGTGGATTGCGGGTGAGTTTAGTGAGAGTAAACTGATGGACTTGATGAAGGGCAGTAAGCGATGGACTGTGGGAGCGTGGACCTTGTGGCTCTGCAGTGCAAACAACTGGCAGCCGGTGGTGTATTTAAGTGTCTCATCGGCAACACGGTTCTTCTCATTGATCCGTGCTGCACCCAATTCACCGACGCCCAGCTGGTGTGCTCTGCTCCTGCCACTTTTGCCACGACTGCCGGTGTGAAGGACCTTGGTCATCTCACGGACCTCCTGAAGAGAGCAGAAAGGGCGATATTAGATACGCTTGGGGTGCAGCCGCCCTGCTTTGGGGCCGACTCTCCACGAGTCTCACAGCTCTTTAGACCAGTCACCTGGTGAAGCGCATGAGTCGTAATATGAGTTTGTACCTTTCTGGATATCCAACCGGTAATTGGCATCGACCTGCTCAGAACAGCTAGTCTTCCCGCCTTCATTGCCGTTGACCAGAACCTTTCGCAGCAGATCGACGTTGACCCAAAGCCGAAGGAGCAAAGGACCCGTCGTGAGTTTACCCGTTTGGGCATAATGAGCGACGCTACCCCGCGATCGTTTGAATTTGATGGACGTTGCGTTACGGAGAGCTGTTAACATCGTAGATCAGAGAGGAATAGTGGCGGGAAACAAGCCATGGCAGAGAACGTCCTTAGCTATTTCCAAAAGCACACAATGCGCGTCTCAATGCTTTTTCTTGGAGACTCTTGTTCAGACATAGGCAGCCTAAATGCCGTATGCGGGCATCGCCAACCTGGCTTACTCTGATCAGTATCATGTCCCTTGAACACTACAATCTCATCGGGCGTCATCTCAGACATATAGTACCACTCGTGTTGTTGTTGCTCCTTTGCATGGCACATGACGTAATTTCCTGACTTCACGCCACTACGGAATTCCCGCAAGCGGATCCGGTAGTCGGAGTCCGGAACGGTTGTAGCATCACAAACGGCGAGTGGGTCCCTACGGACGATATTGAGTGGACGCCATGCACCGAGGTATGCGTAGCGTGAACTTGTGTCAAAAAGCGCCGACACTTGAGGTGGCAGGTTGAGTTCCTGTCTGGTGCCTTCCAGAGCCGCAGGCTCCCCACAGTAGTCGACGTGAGGGTGACCAGAAGGTACGTCTTGCCATCGACCGTACGCGTCTAACTTGCCTTTGTCCGAGGGTGAAGAGTGTGCTCGGACCACGTGATTGAAGACAAAAGCTGCGGATGCACCGGTCCTGCAAAGTCAGCATACCCTTCGGATTGGGTCTTTGTAACCCAAGCCTAAGTGGTGTAGCTTACAGGCTCTTCACCAGTGCCTCTACCTCATGGTAATACTCCTGACGTATCAGTTCTTCCGAGCTGGAATCATCGACTCGCTGTTTAGACGGGAGCTTGACAAAGGTAAAGCCGTGGGTGTCCAATTCGAAATCCTGATCACTATGACGGACATCGCGAATGATCATGGACCGAGTGTGTTCATCGCCAGCACCCAGGTACCGCTTTTTCCATTCAGACGTAAGTACTGGCGCGTCGAGAGCTGGAGCGTAGTTGATATCTGCAGTAACGCAACCCTTGAGCAAAGACATGATGAGTTACTGAAGCAGACGATGCTTCCTGGGCTTCAGGCAGGTTCAAGCTGCTGGAGCTTCATGCAGGCGGGGTCAGCGGATCCGCAGTCTACGAAGGAGGGAGGGGTCAGCTTGTGCAGCTCGTTGCACTCTCTTATCCAACCTTTCTGCATCGGAGCGTCTTAAGTACACCTACGCATCGCTCATGACGTCGTCATTGCAACACGTTGGACTGGAATCCTGGTTTGACAGAGCGTTCTGGCTTCGAGACCTCATTTAATCGTGTGCAACAAATACCGTGCTCGGGCGCTTTCGCAGGCCCCACGTCTCCGGAACGACATGGACAATGCTGGTGAGCACGACAGGACGACCGACACGTCGGCGGTGTGGGGCACGAGAAGCGGATTGGTCACGTGAAACGGCCAGGGACGATTGCGGCTTCCCCGTTGGCACGGCAACGCGGCGTTTTCAATGCACGAACTCGGCGCACCACAACATTCCGCACCCACGCTCACGGCCACCGCATCCACTCCGAGGGGCAATTGCGCTGCATTTCTGGACGACTAACATATCTAGAGCGCAAATATGGCGAGCGCTGGCGCGTCGTCCATCTCGGTCACTGTGCGCGTCCGCCCGTTTACCATTCGCGAAGCTGCACAGCTCACCAAAACCGACGACTCAACACTGTTCCTCGGAGAAGGCTCGCTTGCCGCTGCACCCACACCGCGGATAACTTCCAAGGGGGGGATTCGGCCAGTTATTAAAGTCCTTGACGAGCGATGCCTGTACGTCACCTGAAGACTCCAACACCATGAAATGGTAGAGACTGACATACTTACAGCATCTTCGATCCGCCAGAAGACAACCCGGTGCATAGGGCTGGGCGCTCTTATGCTCCTCAAGGCAAACGTGTGAAGGACCAGACATTCGCTTTCGACCGAGTCTTCGACGACACCACCTCGCAGGCCGACATTTACGAGTCGACCGCAAAGCCCCTGCTCGATAATGTCCTCGACGGCTACAATGCCACCGTCTTCGCCTACGGCGCTACGGGATGTGGAAAGACGCATACTATCACGTACGTAGCCGAATTGGACATGGGGGAGAGGGTGCTGACAGCCAGATAGAGGATCGCCGAGCGACCCTGGCATCATCTTTTTGACAATGCAAGAACTGTTCGAGAAGATCAACGAGCGATCAGAGGAGAAGGTCACAGAGGTTACGCTATCATACTTGGAAATATATAACGAGACTATTCGTGATCTCCTGGTTGAAGGTGGCAGCAAGACTTCTCTGATGCTGCGAGAAGACTCAAACCAGGCCGTCTCAGTGGCTGGTCTCACCAGTCATCGACCTGTAGACGTAAGGCTTCAGGGACTGTACGTACAATTGGAAGGCTGACACATGCTAGGTTAATGAAGTCATGGAGATGATTGTCCGTGGCAACGACCTGCGAACCATGTCCCCAACCGAAGCCAACGCAACCTCTTCTCGATCGCACGCCGTACTGCAGATCAACGTCTCTTCCAAGGATCGCAACGCCTCCGTCAACGAACCACACACAATGGCTACCCTGAGCATCATCGATTTGGCAGGTAGCGAACGCGCCAGTGCCACCAAGAATAGAGGTGCGCGTCTGACCGAGGGTGCAAATATCAACAAGTCTCTGCTAGCCCTGGGAAGTTGCATCAACGCGTTATGCGACATGCGAAAACACAACCACATTCCTTACAGGAACTCCAAGCTCACAAGATTGCTCAAGTTCTCTCTGGGCGGAAATTGCAAGACAGTCATGATCGTCTGCGTCAGTCCGTCAAGCGTACACTTTGACGAGACACAAAACACTCTACGTTACGCCAATCGCGCAAAGAACATCCAGACCAAAGTCACGAAGAACGTTTTTAATGTGAACCGCCACGTCAAGGATTATCTCAAGAAGATCGACGAGCAAAGGGCGCTGATCGAGGAGCTAATGAAGAAGCAGAAGGACTCGGACAGTGTTTCATTGGCCAAGGTTCAAAAGCAGAACGACAAGAGAGACGGCATACTGAGGGATGCGTTTATACGTCTGCGACAGGCCTACGCTGATTCAGAGACCGAGCGCAGGGAAAGACTGAACGTTATGAGAACGCTGAAGCTTACCGAAAAGCGCATCTCTCTCGTCTCTGCGTGGATCGCAGCTTTCGATACGGTCTCCGAGACGCGTGAAAACGAGGAGATGCCCACACAGATTACCGCGATGAGGGATTCAGCGATCGGTATTTCTGCGGAACTCGAGCAATCTCGGCAACATCATCACAGACGGCTCGAGCGATCAACATGGGCCTCGAAACTTGACACTGCTCTCAACTTCGGCTTGAGGCAGCTGGCGGAGCTCGACGGGACTGCCGATGGGCCCGACGCAGCGAACATCACCAGAGAATACCAGATCCTGAAATCGAACGCCGAACGAGAAGTCCTGAGTGTGCTATTAGAGCAAGAAAGAGGAGGCGATGCGGCCACCGTGCAGGTCCTCGTACAAGCGCATATCGAGACCGTGGCCATTCTGAGCCAGATCACACAGATGGACGAAGCTCAAGCAGTCGAAACTGCAAGGAAGCTGCTCACTAAAATCATGAACGCGTGTACCACTGCGACAGGCCAGGTCATTCGACCAGACGGCGGCCTTCCTACCACCGAGTTCTTTGCGCCGAGCCACAAAGGCACACCGAAACGACGAAAGCCCGTCGACGTCATGGGACCTTCTCCGGTCAAATCAATCCCTATGCCATCTTTTGCAGACGCACCACACCTCACTTCGTCGCCCATGAAAGCCTCGCCGCGGCGCAAGAAGATGGTTGCAGTCAAGAAGGGTATCCAGTTTTCGCCTACGAAAAAGAGACCGACATCGCCGTCAAAGGCCAAGCGAGGTGTTCGCTGGCGGGATGATAACGAGAACGGTACTCTGGCAGACTTCAAGACACCAGAGCAAGCCGAATCGACACTTACAAGCTCTTCCTTTGATGTGCCTCCTCCGATGTTCTCGCCGTACGCCCCAGAGCCTAGGAGCCACGATGGTGATTCTTCGCCCATCCCCGTGCCACCAACGACATCCTTGGACATCAAGCCTCGCTCGGCGTCCAGCCGATTTGCAGCAGGCTTCCTCTCGAAGAAGTCCGATGGCTCACCGATGCCTATCAGGAGCGCCTACAACTCGGACTCAGACACCTCGCCTCTTCGTGAGATCGGTGCGAATATCGTCCGTCCTTCAGCCTTGAACAACGTGGAGCTTGCATCTGAAGCCGCAGCTTCGGCAAACGACAGCGGCAACAGCTCTGCCGGCGAAGATGGCTGGTCTGTTGATCCCACTGAGGCAAATCAGATTCGTACAGCCATTAAACGCCGCTCTTCTACTACAAAAGTCGTGCCAGCGAGGGTACAACGACATCGGAGCCCTAGTAACACCTCTTCCAGCCCTCCCAACGAGAACAGTATCTCGGCCAGTGCGGCACGCCGGATGGTGAAGAACAACCACGAAGGCGAATGGAAACCCAGCGTCCTGAGCCCACGTTCTGCGCCCATCGTTAAGGGCGCCGCGCGACGCACGACGGTGGCCGCGTCTGGAGACGACCGGTCTGCAGCTGGCACCCTGAACCGTGCGCCCATCCGGGTTGTTAGCAACTCCTCAGTGCGAGGCAGTCTCGCAGCCAGCGCAAAGGGTGTCTGGCGCTGACCTCATTCCGTCTCTCGCGCTAATGTTCGTCCAGAGAAGTGGACGTTTTGACCTGTCTTTGTTGCTTTCGTTTTTGCATACGGTTGGCCATCTATCTCAGTTTCCGTGCCAGCACCGCGGCGTTCGTTGTTGCTTATCCATTTACATACACTACCAGGAAGTCTTCCCCGTGCATCGTTGGGCCTCGGATGGTCCTTTGGGGAAGGAGGGTTCGGAGTGGGATCGCGTGCCCATGGCGGCGTCCTGCTGGCGTTTGGGTTGTTGGGCTCGCTTCTTGCATTATTCGGGTGGGATCGTAGAGTCGACTGGCTTGTATAGCTGGGCCGTGTAACATAGTTATCCTCACGACGTTAATGAATTGCTCCAAGCAGATTGGTTATTACTTGTGATCATCGGTGTTTGTGTTTCTCGTGATGTCGTGGAGTTGTTCTACGGTGTGGTATGTGTAATGCAATTGACCACCAACCTGAAGAACGTTTGCAGTTAGGCTTGGATAATATTGAAAGCAGGCAGGGGGATTAGAACATGGGGGAGTAGAACATGGGGGAGTAGAGCATGCGGATTAGAGCACGGGCACTCGAGCACGGGGATCAGAACATGGGGATCAGAGCGCGATCCTGCGGTCTCGGAACAGTTGGCGTATTGGTCGCAGTGGTATGAGACGGGGTGTGGGGATCGGTGGGTGGTGGTGAATATATGCATATCTGGAGCTGGAGCTGGGGTGCCTCGCTTGGACGTTACTGTAAACAGCGCCGTAGACGGTACATATGCCAACATGTACTGACGCAAGACCTGTTCTGAGACACCTCATTCCAGTCGCTCACTCACACAACACGTCCCAGCTACACGCACACGACCCAGCACATCACGGCAACATAAAACTCAACACAAGCCGAGAACAACTTCATTCCCCTCTCCCCTCCAGGTTCTCTACCTCCTCATGCTGCCCTCAAAAAAGCAAAGATGACGCCCGGTCATGCACCAGCCAAAACCCAAGCAACAAAATGTTCCCCAGCCCGGCCCGGCCCAGCCCAAGCCAAGCCAACCCTAACCCTAAGCCAACCCTCGACCCGCCCCTCCTTGGCGGGACATACCCATGCCTCCCTGCCAACCAACCAACCACGCACATGAAGAAGAGAAAAAGGACTCGCTAAACGCCTGGTGGTATCTTGCGCTAGCGGGGCGGCGCAGACCCCGATGACGGCGCGGATGCGGACGCGGACGCGAACGACAATGATGATAATGCTGTGTACGGGAAGCAGACAAAGGAAAAAGGGCGACTGGAGTCGCTGGCGCCACGGGGGCGGAGAAAGGTGTGTGTGGTGCGGGACCTGTAGAATTGTGTAGTGGAGCACTATATCTTGCGGCGGACGGTAAATTTGCGCTCCATGGTGGCCGCGGGCAGGGCGTCGGCGAAGCGGTCGCGAGCTATGTATATTAGTAAATGTGTAGTGTAAGAGTGGGGATACATACCCTCTGCGCTGTCGAACATGATCAGGATGTCGTCGTGCTCGCCAGGATACTCAATTTCGTCCAGGCATACGAAGCGGCGCTTGACGCCGACCCAGCCGGTGAGTCTGCCCTCTGCCTTCTGCATTTTGCCTTCGCCGCGGCGTTGGTCAACGGGCAGTGCGAACTTGGCGTCGACGAGCTTGACGCCGTATTTGCCACCGCTGTCTTTCTTCTCGAATGTGTCCATGCTCGAGAGCTTGAAGTTCATGGCGTCGGCGTGCGAGAAGTCCTCGAAGAAGGCGAGCAGCTGGAGCACATTGTCCTGCTGCACAATTTGCAGTCGGATGGTGTTCGCAGTCCACTGCTTGTATATTGGAACCACCATGCGTCGGCGGGAGATAGAGAACGTGCTGGCGATGCTAGGTCACGTTAGTATGTAGCAGATGAACTTGACTCCAAGGAGGCATACCCATCGAACTTGACCTCAAATCCGGTGACGGCGAATTGGAACGTGTGCAAGTCTTTGGAAGAGTTGAAAGCCAGACGTCGGATGGTCGACGCGTTTGTTAGCGTGCGCAGTAGCTCGGCAAGGGCGTCAGGAACGTCCTTTTCTGTGCGGCTGCCGTCGACTGCGACGGCCATATCCTGCTGCGGATTGCGGAGGAGCATGAGATCTGTGGAGCCATCGTTTGGCAGGCGGACGAGAATCTCACCGGGACCTGTATCGTCAGTTTATGTCTATTGAGACTCGTTGAAAACGACTTACCGAGATTCATGCGATCCGAAATGATGCCTGCGCTGTGTCGACATACGATCCTCAGACTCTCGCTCATGACCGTAGGCGCGGCTTCAAGGCCAGCTTCCTCGGGGTCTTGGTTTACCGTCTTAGCTTCCTGCCACTGTAGTTTCTGGAGCACGCGGCTGCCGGCGGCGCTGAACGCATCTGCCTGGTCTGCACTCTCAATGCTGAAAGCCTTGAGTGGCACCTGGGCGAACGTCATCTCACCGGGCGCAATGTTCATAGACGTGAACGTGCCGAACAAATGATTTCGGTCGTTGGCATCATTAAAGACTAGGTGTACTGTGCAGACCCTGGGTCTCTGTTCTGCAGTGCCTTCGCGGAAATGCAACCTCATTGCTGGAGATTGGTCGTTCTCGGTCACGTACTCAAAGTTCATAGGCTCTTGCTTTGTACCCAATTCGTGTTCGACGAAACTCAGCTGCTTGTTCTTTTGCGCTGTGACCAGCACCAGTCTGTAGCCTCGGTGCAGTTTGCGCTTTCCTGTGCCTTCGCTGCTGCGATCAAACTTTTCAAAAACCATAAGCTTGCAACCGTGAACACGTTCCGGCGGGAAGGCTGCGGGGTTGGCTGGGTCCTTGTAGCTCGCTTCGCGGAGGTAGAGCTTGCAGGAGAAGCTCTCGTTAGCCCGCGCCCTCATACTCGATTCCACTCGGTTGGTATGATCTACAATTGCCCACAGATTACGCCAATCCGGCTCACTCAGCTCAAGATTGAGGACGTAACCGTGATGCAATTGGAGGACAAGCTGCCGCGACTGCTTCTTCCAGCTGATGTCTTTCCACGTGGGTCCGGCGGCAGGATTTAGCCCTACAATCAGGTTGAGATCCTCGTTCTGGCTACAGATAGCAAGCTTGGTTGAGTACTCTTCCTTATTACGCAGTATGGTGATTGCAGTAGACATGGGAGTACGGTCAGTGTTGATGTCGTCGGTCGACATGGTCGCTGTTGCGAACATCCTGAAATAGCAGAAATCGCTCTTTGTATCAGTCAGAGGCAGGTAATGTGACAGGGTTGGATGCGAGTCAGCTCTTGCGTGCTTGTATTTTGCGCCAGATAGGACGCTCGCAGCGATTGGGTCAAAATTTGGGTATTCCTCCCAGATGCTCTGGTTTTGTCCCTGAATGAGGGCTGCTGTTGGTGGCATGCTCTGATGCTTCTTCATTGACCCAGTCAAGAGTTTCATGTAGTGGAAGATGGCAGCTTTGGTTTCAAAAGCCTCAGTAGCTAAAATGTCGCCAGCCTGTCTGGCTGCATCCGTTTTGTTATCCTCAGGCTGACCAGCGTACGAGGCGAGGGCGGGGTGTCCCGGCAGAACCTCAGCACATACCCAGAGCGCTTTGGCCAGATCCACGTGTGGCTGGGTGAGGCGCTCCGGTTGCGGCTCTGCAGTCTTAGGTCGACTCCTAATAAGATTCTCCATGCCAGCACGGCCCTTCAAGAACCACCACGTAGCGACTCGCGCCCATTTCGACGGGGAGTGATCGTGGATATTGCCGACGAGCTGTGAGGTCAGCGCAAAGATGCCGTTCATGTGTTTGACACGCTCTGCAAATTCCTTGAAGGCAGAATCGCCGAGCATTCTCGTGTCCGACCGGGCGAGAGAACCACCCAATCTCATACTTATGTCCTGCCTTGGCCGGATGGTGAAGGCTGATTCTGCGGGGTGCGACATGGAGCCTTGTGACTGGGAGAAAGAGGAGTTTTGTGTCCTGGGCTGCGGCGGCGGCTGTGATTGCGATGGGGGTTGGGCGGGCAGTAGAGCTGTTGGTGTGTCAAGGTGAAGTTCGTCGGCAGCCGACTGAGGTTGTCTGGCCGAGGATGCTCCTATGATACCAGTTTCTTGGACAGAGGAGGCGGTGGTGGCAGACAAGGGGTCTGACGACGACTGTGCGTCTGAGGGCCTGCTCTGGTGTGTGGAGACCGAAGACGAGGGCTGATGCTGGTCCGTGTCGAGGGGAAACGTGCCTGGGGGCATTGGCCTCCGTCCGGGCGATGGCCCGCGTGCTCTTGACCGGTATGGATCCTCTGCATCCAAGCCTCGTGGCGGCGATTGTTGAGAGGGTTGTAAGGGTCGGGCTTGGGGAGGCGACTGGTGCGACGGCTGGACCGGCGGTGCTGACGGCGGCGACTTGCCCATGTACGAGTTGTAGGTCGTTGGGGGCGTCCCCACCTGGAACGGGTCTGACTGCATCGAGCTGGCGTCCGAGCCACGCTTCCCCTCAGCAGCACGCTGCTGTGCCTCGTGTAGCGCCCGCCCTTCGTCGGCCCTCATCTTGTGCTTGACCTTGGCAGAGAAGGAGTTGGGGTCCTCTGGCTCGCTCTGTAAGAAGCGCTCCGCCAGCAGAGCTCGCGACTCCAGCGGCGACTCCTCCTCCTGCTCGACCGAGCGCATCTCCGGCAGGCGCGGCAGCTGTGGCATAGGAGTGTGCTCGACCGGCGAGTTGTCCGAGTCGTCGCCCATGTCAGTGAAGCCGGTCTGCGAGCGCTTGAGAGCTTTGGGGCGGAAGTCGTCCTCCTCCTCCTGCATGGGCGGCAGCACGGGGGCCTTGCGCTCGAGGATGGGCGAGACGTTGTTGTCCGAGTCCTGCGAGTAGGCTGAGTAGGCCGAGTCCTTGCTGGGGCGGCGGGCGGCGGGCGGGTCCTGCTGCATCAGGTCGAAGCCAGTCGGCGTGCGGGCGAGGGCGCGCGGGCGCTCGCCCAGGCCCATGGGCCCCATGCGGTGGGCGGCGGGCGGCGGCGGCTGGGCGTGGGTGTTGATGTGGCCCATCTCGAGCTTCTGCTGCAGCGGCGGCGACATCTCGCCCTGGTTGGTGAGGGTGCGCGTGAAGCTGTTGCGCGGGGCGGCCGTCTGCGACGTCTGCGAGTCGGAGCGCGTCATGCCGTTGAACTGCGGGGTGCGGGCGGCCACATTGGTGTCGTCCTGGACCTGCGGCGGCGAGGCTGGGGCCGGCGGGGCGGCGGCGGGCTGGCTGTTCGCCTTCTTGCGGCGCGACACCAGCAACGACGGCTCCTCGCACTCGTCGCCGCCGTGGCCGATGACGTCGGGCGTGGTGCGGGCGAAGCTGACCGTCAGGCCGCGCTTGCGTGTGCCCGTCCGCAGGCCACCAGGGCCAGGGCTCTTGCTGGCGGCGGCGGCGCTGCTGAGGATCTCATGGGCGCCGGGCCAGCGCTGGGCGCGGGTGGTGTCGATGCGCGGCTTGGTCGACAGAAAGGCGGCGGCGGCCTGCTGCTGGGCGCGGTCGGTCGAGGGCTTGAGGAAGTCGTTGATGTCGTCGTTGAGCTTGAAGGTCTCGGCGCGCTTCGTGCGCGGCTCCTCGGGCGGGGCGGCGTCGTCTTTGGCAAAGTACTTGGTCCGCCAGCGGCTGCCCTTGCTCAGCAGCTTGCTGCCCGCCTCGCGGGCGTCGTCAAGGCGTGCGTCGACCATCATGCCCGGGTCGCTCAGCGAGGGTGCGGGAGCGGTGTCGCGTGCCGTGTGCCGTGTCGTCGGCGGGCGGCGCTAGGACGTGGGCGCAGGTGTGAGCGGAACAGCTCTGGCGCTCAATGCGATGCCAGCGGTCGAGGGCCTGCGGTCGAGTGCCAGCGGTACGGCCAGCGGGTACAGGGCGAGGCAGGCGGGCGGGGAGACAGCAGTTGCCCAGGAACCAGCGTCCTCGTAGCTGCGGTGCGACCGTTCGTGCAGGCGGCGTGCGGTAAATTGGGCCACGACGAGGGAGCTAGCGCGGCGTGTTGCAGCCAGCAACCTTATCTCCAGCCGCGGCGGGAATTTCACAGAGCCGTCTTCACGCGAGGGCCCTCGATGACACACGTCAGGACGGGCGCTGTCGCAGGCGCGGGCTCCATCGACGCTGGGAGTGGCCGCCGTCTCGTCTTTTCTCGATGCCGCACCACCGACCCCACATCAGTCGTACTCGCAGCTGCGTCAGTGCGCCGGCATCGCCGTGTCGCAGTCGGTGCAGTGCTGGCGCGCTGGCGCTGGCGCTGGTGCTGGCCATGCTGCTGCTCACGGCTGCCCTGCGCCCTGCGCCCTACGCTGCGCGCACTGCGCACTGTATCGGCGAGCATCCTCGCTACCTAGCCCTGCGACTCGAAACTCGCGCCGCCGTTGTATGCGCCTATAATTACTCGGCTGAATTAAAGGGTCTTCCCCCCGCAACCGTAGTCCCCTCTGATCACGTAGCCGCCGCCAAGCAGGGGTGCCCCCCGATCTTGAATAGCAACAGCACGTCGCCCTCGCCGTGCAGCTGGCTTTCGGTCGCTCTGGCGGCCGGCGCCCTGTTCAATCTCGACAGACGCTGCACGCCCAACTGCCTTCCCAAAGGACTGCCCGCACTGCCAGACGTGGCCCGAAGCAGCCCAGTGCCCGCGCCTTATCACTCCACACGGATGCATGGGCCTAGTTCCTTCGGCAGGCTGATGGCTGCAGCCGGCTAGCTGTCTCGAGCCTGGCGTGCCGAGCGGCTGCAGCTTGCTCCTGCTGTCGACAGCACATGCTTAACGCTGCATGCTGATGACCAGCTCGTGCCTGGTGCCTGGCAGCGCTTCTCCTGGCTGCTTGGTCCTGCCAGAGGCCAGGTGTTACATACGATGCCTGCTCGTATCAGAGGCCGATCTGCGCTCAGGCGTGTTTCGCGTTACGATGCACGAGAGAGACCGAAATACCGGCTAGCGGAGACAAGGCTGCTCACCTTGACGCGCCAAACCTCGTAATGCGGACCGAGCTCGCGTCTGCGCGTGGCCAAGCCCACAACCAAATCATAAATGTGACCATTTTGCTGTAGCCGGGGCAATTACTGTTCTGATTTGGGCGTGGAAGATGAGCTCGTGTCAGGGCCGATGCCTCTACGTCGTCACGTGGGGCGTCGTCATCTGAACACAGTGCAATTGAGATCTTCAGGAGACATGAGCAGCTGCAACATGCCACCTAAGGAATGTGGATCGCTGGCTTCGGAGCCCATCCCGCCAGGTGGACCCCGTCACGCTACATACTGTAGTGATAGGCCGCCCAAGCCTGTTGCTCAACGCTCAAAGTTTACTTGTCAGTCTTAACTTTTGACAGCTGGCTTGGCGCGGACGTATCCAGCTCTACGAAATACGCAAGTAGCTGATGTCGTCCGAGTCTAGACACCTGCCGTGACTGTTGTAACGATTGGTTTCAACTCTATACAACATCTCAAGGTTGTCGCTGCGTGTTTGGTAGCCATGACGTCACAGGTGCTGATCATGTTGACGGAGGGAGCAGTGTATGTAACAGAGATGAATCTATATTGAATCAGCGCGAGCATGCTGCAGCCTCCGTGACTGTATTCTCCAGCGCCTACGAGATGTTCGCTATTGCTGTTGTCAACTATGATGAAGCCAACGACCTTATGGTGGTGGAGTACCAAACCCTTCCAACATATACTAGTGCGTACCAAAGCATGACGGGCGATTCCAGTCAATCAAGGCTTGAGCAGGTTCTACACAGTACGATGCCAATTCTGAAAGCTGCGATCGAGCATCTAGACTCTTGGGCTCTTTATCTTGACGGTGCAGACGTCATTGAAAGTACTGGATAGGCTAAGCAGTTCAAGCTGGCGATCAGGCCTTCTACTCAGCAGCCATGGCAAGCTTGGAGAGAACGGAGGCAATATTGAAGAACGGCAAAGTGGGAGTCACGCTAGCAGAAGCTGAAGATGGCAGCGAGAGTACGAGGAAGGCAATCGAATCATGGCATGTCGTGCATCTGGGCTGGAAACATTGCAACGGCTGTGCTACCAGAGGCTGCTACTCCGTTGGCCGGGCAGACGACTGGACGCAGCTGAGAGGCTTACCGGCCGTGCAAGCGCAGGAACTGAGGTAAGCGTACCTGAGCAGGCAGACACATGATTAGCGGTCGACGCGTGGTCATCACACAGCAGCGCACATGTCATGGAGGGGCGTCGAGGGCCAGGAGTGGAGATGCACGGCAAGAGCCCGTGCTTGGGCGGGATTGAGTCCACGGCGCACCCACTTGGCACGATTGGCGATTGAGGGCAGCTCGAGCAGGCGCAGCAGTCAGCGAGCGGCAGGTTGATTCGACGTGGCAGCGGGGGACTGCCGTGGCGTGGTTATTGCAGCGGCGTGCGTTTCGGCTCCTTGCAGAGCTGCAGCAGCTGAAGCCGGATGGTGCGTCCGGAGCAGCAGCGCCACCAATGCGCCTAGAGAGCTCTCGTCCCCAACCTCCTCGGCCGCCCACCTCCCACCGGGCACAGGCAGCAGAGCCTTGCGCGACCAGCGACCAGCGACCAGCGCCCAGCGACCCGCGGCCAGCGACGCCCGCGACACCACGACGCCATCGACTCTGCGCGTGCGACGACGTTGCCGCCGCCCGCCGCTGCGAACGCCTCGCTTGGCGCCTGCTTGCGTCACCAGTCGATCTCGAGTCCTCGTCCGCTGCCGAATGGCCGCCTCGTAGCGCTGGACGCGGCCGCCCACGCCCACCCCGTGCTGCGAGCTGAGCGCGCTGCGAGCCCGCCCGCCTCTGCTGCGCGCCCGCCGCCCGCGACCATGTCCGCGCCCTCGTCCGCGCCGCCCGATGCCTACGCGCTGCTCGAAGACTCGTTCACCCGCCCCCCGAAGCGCCCCGCGCGCCCCCACGACGCCCGCCGCAGCGACAGCTTCCGCCAGGTGCTGCCCGCCGCCGCCCCGCTGCAGCTGCCGTCGGCGCAGTCGGACAATGAGACGGCGTCGGTCGCGAGCAGCCAGCAGTCGACGCCGCTCGCGTCGCCAGGCCCCGTCCCTGCCGACCTCAGCGGCCTGCCGCCCACGCCGCCGTCCGTCTCCCGTGACGGGCTCGCCGCCATGGCGCCCGAGCCGCCCAACCGCAACAGCATGGTGGGCTCCATTGCCTCGCAGAAGTCGTCGCTCGGCACGCCCGTCAACGCGCGCAGCCCGCCCACGCCCGACCCCAGCCCGCCGCGCACTGCCGGCTCCAACGGCACCGCCAAGTCGCACAACCTGACCGTTGACCGCCCGCCGCTGTTCGCCTACCCGTCGTCCCGCGCCGAGTCGTTCACCACCGCCCGCGAAGACCTCTCCGAGACCAGCAACAGCCGCTCGGCGACGCCCGCCCTCGACCGCCTGAGCACCGTGCAGGAAGACCGCGGTCTGGGCCTGGCCTTCGAGCAGGACGACGCCGATGTCACGCCAACTGAGCGGTCGCGGCTGTTCTACCCGAGTCTCGCCGTCGAGGAGCCCGAGCGCGACAGTGCTGCCACCGTGGCTGGTGCGCATAACGACGACGACGACGACGACGACGACTTTCCTGTCGTGGACCAATTGCCGAATCGAGAGTGGAACACGGAATTGATGAGGAACGTGACAGTCCGCCGGAAACGCAAACCCGATTCGTCGCCGCCCAAAGTGTCAGATCCCGTCGTCACGGCAGCACCCGGCGCAACGTCGCCTACCACGAGCGCGCAGTCACGACGGAGCTCCGGTCTGCGAGAGCGTGTGGAAGCGAGCAGCAACAGCCCACGCAGTCCCTCCGTTGAAAACTTCGCACACTCCATCGGCTGGCCAGCTGACGCCCAACCCGCCCCTGAACACGTGCACTACGACCCCAAGAGCAAGCGCATGTCGACCGCCTCTGTGGCTTCGACGATCGTCGCGGCCGTCGTCGTTGCCTCGCCACCACAGCGACAGCGAACACTCCGCCACTCCGGCAAGAACCTGGCCCTGCAGAGGGACTCCAGCTCCACGCTCAGCCGCGCCTCAGGCTCACATTCGAACCGCAATTCCATGCTGTTCGAAGATGTACCGCTACACCGACTAGTTCACAAGAAAGCCACTCTGCCAGACAGGAATAAGCGCTTCAGCACCGATTCAGAAACCCTGGGTGGTGCTCTCAGTACCGTGAGCACTGCTCCCCGCAATGCCTCCCCCTTCTCTGTGCGCAGCAGTCGCACAATTGATAGCTCTGTGTACACTCTTGCCCACCAGGAGTCGGTCCGCATGATTCTGCAGCCTGCAGCTGACATCCTCAGCAAGTCAAACTCGCAGAGACAGCCAGACAGGACCTCTCGTATGCGCATATCCTCGGCGCCTGAATCTGCAAAGCAAGCAACTATCCCCGCGAAACCTAGAGACTTCGTGGAGTTGTCACCTCCTCAAAGTCCTCAGCACACCGCCGTGCCTACCGGTCGCTCTCCTGTAATGTCGCCGCAGCTTCCATATTCGGTTCCCACGCCTGTGGACAACGCGCACCGACGTGTTGTTTCAGACTCTAGTCGCCCTGGCGATGTTGACAAGCCACTACCTCGCAATCCGTTGGACCTTGTTATTGGATCTGCGCAGCGCAAGCTCAGCGTGTATGACGATGAAGGTGACGACAAGGCGCCACCACCTGCTCTTCTTGATCGCGTTCGTCTACTTGTCGCAGAACGAGAGGCTCAAGACGAAGTGGTGCCCAGCCCCACGATCAACCAGTCACCGGCTTCCCCTGAACGTCAGAAATCTATATCATCACCTAGCCAATTGTCTCCACCTGTGCGCAGAGGCTCACGTTCTTCAAGGGGAAGGTCAGAAGAGCGACGTCGCAGTTCTCAGAGCCAGGATCGCACCTCGCCCTTCCAAGACGCATACCTTCGTCGGAGCCTTGATCGGACGTCTCCAGAGGGTTCTTCTCGTCTCAGCTACGATTGGCAGCGAAGAACACCTGATGACCATCGTCGTATCAGTTTCGATAGATCCACTGGACGGACCGAGGAGCATGCAAATGCTCGGCACCTCTACTCGCAATCAACGCCCTTCTCGCAGTTCTCGGATACGCCCATTGAGGTCAGCGAGGCTACTGCAGTCAGCATTTACCCTCACAACAACGATTCTCTCCTTGTCGTGCAACAACCATCGCGTGTAAACTCAATGATGCCCGAGGTACAGATGACTGACGGGGACTATTTCGATCCACAAGATCATCTCGAGTTGCGTCAAGAAGTGACTCGAAGCCCAACACCACCATTCGTCGATGCTATTGAGGGCCCGTCACAGGAGCCAGCCCAGCCGGCAGCGCAGCCGACTCTTACGGTTGAGCCATCTACTCCTCCGATGCAAATCGACCTATTTCAGCCTGCTGGAGTCGACTCCCCTCTGAAGAACCCGCGTTCTGCGCCAGAGCCTCCCAAGATCATGTTCATACCGCCAACCCCTGCCGAGGAGCTTGACCGCCACGACCTCAGTCCGCCTGGTCCACCCAAACACTCAGACTCGCACCCGCAACGTCGCCTCTCGCTGGTGCAGCGTGCGCGCCGGTACTCTGATAACTTCATTTCGCCGTTCTTGGCTCGGGCTTCTAGCAATCGCGGCCGCTACTACAGCGAGTCGCACGCGCGCTCTCAGTCGTCTCATCGCACTCCAGAAGTTCCTACAGTGAGCGACGAGGATGGCACCCTGCACCCTTTCTGGAGGCCGCGTGGCTTCTGGGATGGGTTTGAAGACAGTGATTCGGAAGATGAAGACAACGTGCTGCCGTCTGGGGGTGACACCAGTGACGTAGAAGATGCCGAGCCGGAGCCATACCCAAGGCGGAGGAGTACCCTGCGTAAGAAGCTGACCAACGGATTCCAACCTGGCTTCCTGATCGGCAACTCGTTAGGAGTTGAGAGGCACGGCACTAACCGACGGCGCCACCACGTTACGTTACCACCACACTTTCCATCCAATCCCAGGACATCACCGACATCGTCCCCCAGGATCTTGAATCAGTCGCCTACACAGCCGCTCCGACCCCAGAGTAGTGGGGTTCGTAAGAGCGGATCAAGATCAAGTCTCCGCTCCTCTGCCTCATTCGAGGTGGTGCCAAGGCGTCAATCTTGGCGCAATGGTAAGGCCATACCTGGTCTCAAAGGCTACCAAGTCCAGTACATTGGAGTGAGTGGCATCAAAGACCGCCTCAAGGAGCGCACGGCGGAAAAGCGAAGAGACAAGATCCGCAAGAGCATTGGATCGCGGTATTACGTTGAGCCAAATGGACCGATGAGTCCCCACTGAGGCCGCCTGCGCTACCCATGGTGCCATGCACACTTTCAGGCCGGCAGGTCACCCCGGGTCCGACCGTAGGCTTGGGTCAGGGCGTCCTTCTCGAAGCCGTATTCACCGGAGGGTATCCTCTTCTTCTCCAGTCTCCGACGCCCGCGGCGGGGCCAGCGGAGCTTGGGCCTTGTTCCCCATGATTGCATTCCCCTTTCTAGCGCAGCGCTTTATACCACGTAACGAATTACGACATCGCAGTACCCTACTGCACGATCACATGAGCTTTTGAGCGCATTTCGCGCGTTTCGACGTACTTGTTGCATTTTGAAGATTTTTGTTCCGATTATCACCGCTCGGCGTCTAGTAGCCGGGTGGTGGCAGCGCGTTTGACGCAGACGCTACTTGGCGTGCTTGTACATCACAATTTTACGAAGCAACTATATGACCATTTCGATATGTTTGGATACATTCACAGTGGCATGAGAACAGCAAGTGACGTATTTCTGTTATTTCGCTATCTTAGGCTATCAGCGTCTATGGGTACCTGTCCCACAGACCATCCACAAAAGATAAGCGTCTATTTCCTTGTCCAAATTGCTTGGTCCCGACTCTCTATGCTTATCGGCATGAGAAACTGGCGATGCGTGAATTTGCAAACGCCACTCGTCCCATCCCAACATCGAAACTGCCGGACAGGAGAATATTCAACAGCCTGTCCGCAGGTATGCGACGCCGATGTAGCGGATGATGGCGACTGCCCTATCGCGGCCTAGTGCGGCAAAACTTCGTGAAACCTGCCCTCCCCGTCCCACGGTTTTGGCGGCTCAATGCGGCTCCACACCCAGGCCTGTTCGGGCCAACGCGGCTCCAGGCTCATTGGAACACTGGTTGCCCATACCAGACCCACGCCTCTGGGGAAATGCTGGACGGACTCTCCACATGGTGGTTTGGTTTGGTCTGTGCCAGCCGATGTCGGTCGGGCCGACGATTTCTTTAAAGGCAGGCAGGCGGCGCATCGAGGTAGAGTGCATCCCCTTTGATCACCGCCGTTTGTCATAGTCGCCATGGGTTTCTTCAATGAAAAGTCGCCAGAGGATGTCGAGCATGGCTCGGAGCTGAAGCCGGACGATGCGACCAACATCCAGGGCCAGACTGACGCCGTCTTTGGTGAGGTCGTAGAGGGCGGTCCTAACTACCGCAACGTAAGTCGGCTTACCTGAAATACATGCTCTTCTGCTTCACCGATACTAACGCCGTGCAGGTCAGCTGGATCGCGTCCTCGATCCTGATGATGAAGACGCAGATCGGGTTGGGTGTGCTATCCATCCCCGCAGCGTTCGACACCCTGGGCCTCATCCCGGGTGTCATCTCGCTGCTGGCCATCGGCCTGATCACGCTGTGGTCTGGCTACATGGTCGGTGTGTTCAAGGTCCGCCACCCCGAGACGTACGGTATCGAGGATGTGGGGCAAAAGATCTTTGGCCGGGCTGGACGCGAGATACTTGGCCTGGGGTTCGCTTTATGTGGGTCCTTACCTTATAGAAACTGGGTTCTCCAGACTTACCTCGAGGGGTTGCTAACATGCGAACAGTCTGGACTTGTGTCGCTGGCTCCGGTATGCTGGGTATTTCGATTGCGTTGAACTCGCTTTCGGTCCATGGCACGTGCACTGCGGTCTTCGTGGCCATTGCCTGCGTCGTCGGCTTCGCGCTTGCGTCGATCCAGACCCTGAGCAAGATCTCATGGATCGCGTGGGTCGGTCTCGCCGGTATCCTCTCAGCCAGTATGTGGTCCTTCATGAACGGTGGTTGACATAGCACTAATGCGCCTCAGTCTTCACACTCACAGTTTCCGTTGGACTCCAGGACCGCCCCTCTGCGGCACCTCAGTTCGGGCCTTGGGAGTCTGACTTTGAGCTCTTCAAGAACCCGAGCTTTGCTGAGGCCGCCGCGGCGCTGTCCAGTATCGTGTTTGCGTTTGCCGGTACCCCTGCGTACTTCAACATCGTCTCGGAGATGAAGGACCACAAGGAGTACTTTAAGGCTCTTTCGCTGTGCCAGTTCGTCATGACCTCGCTGTACGTCGCCATCGGTGTCGTCGTGTACTACTACTGCGGCTCGTTCGTGGCCTCGCCCGCGCTCGGCTCCGCCGGTGTCCTGATGAAGAAGATCTGCTACGGCCTCGCGCTGCCCGGTCTCCTCGCTTCCGTCGTCTTGGTTACTCACGTAAGTCCCCGCCTCATCGTGTCTCGCGAATGCCTCACTGACCTCCCCCAGATCACTGCCAAGTACTTCTTCATCCGCACCCTGCGTGGTACCCGCCATCTCAACCACAACACCCCCAAGCACTGGATTGTGTGGTTCAGTCTGACCGGCGGCGTCTCCCTGACTGCGTACATCATCGCCTCCGCAATCCCTGTCTTCGGCGGTCTCGTATCGCTCATTGGCGCCCTTCTCGGAACGCTGATGTGCTTCCAGCCCATGGGCTTCATGTGGCTGTACGACAACTGGAGCCGCAGCAACCGCGACTGGCGCTGGAAGGCCATGGTCGCGTGGAGCGTGTTCGTGATTGTGTCCGGTACCTTCTTGTTGATCGGCGGCACGTACGGGTCGATTGTGGGCATTATCGATTCCTACAACAAGGACGGCGGGACTGCCGCGTGGTCTTGTGCTGACAACTCGAACTCCACGTAAGATGGGTGGGAGGAGACTTAGCCGGTTTTGTTATTTAGCATTTAGCGTATGCATCATGTCGATATGAAGCCTTTCTTGTGTGGTGCGTGATGTGTTGGGCGTGAGCGAGAGAATGGCGGGTGTTGCAGAGTGAGGCTAAGCATCGTGCGATGGGTCGTGTGCTCTGTGAGAGACGAGAAGCGGTGGTAGTCGATGCTGGATAGCAGATGTTCTCGAGCACGGTACCTTCCATCTCTTTGCCTTTCCGCGGGTGTATTGGCAAGAAACAGCGAACTCATTCAAGAACGCAGCATAGATATGGTCGAATCCCGAGTCCTGGGTCCTGGGTCTGGGAACCTGCTGGATGGGTACCTGGTCCGTATGTTGGGGTTGCGTCTGGAGAGTCGGGTACATAGGCCTCACAGGACCTATGCGGTGGAAACAAGTGTCGAACTGAAGAGCAACTGAAAGTAAAAGTACGAAACCACGAAATCAAGTCAAGAAATAGAAACAGCGGTAAAGAGAAAACGAGCACGCAAGACAAGACAAACATAGCAGATTCACCTTACCTCTCCTCCAGCACACATCATCTCGCATCCACATCGACGCACAACCAACCTTGACACTACTTGGCATTCGCGCCCTACTGTGTACACATCCTCAATTCTCCGCACACGAACTCCCCACAAACAAATCGCCCCCAAAAACCGGGCAGCCCCCCATTATATGCCCTCAAAGCCCCTTCCCCAGCCCTACCGCAATTCCGGCCCTCACCACCCCGAACCCAAACTCCGACGCCACACCGCGATAACGGCTCGCGGTTCGATTGGGCGCGCGCGGAGTAAACTGGTTCTCCGACGCGCGAACGCGGTGTGTGTTTCGTTGTCCGCCGGTTCGGGACTTGCCTGTTTGGGAATGGTGTGGCTGGGTGTGATAAGGAGGGGTCCGAGGTCGCAGTGGGGATGGGGGGGGGGGGGGGGCATAGAAGTGGGGGAATGTTAATAGCGGAGGGTCCTGGGGGAGTTTGTGAGGAGTTGGAGTTGGAGGTTGTGTTTGTGTTTGTGTGGTTGGTGGAGGGATGCTGACTGGCGCAGCTGGGCGGCTTGCTTGGACCCTGTGCATATCTCTTGCTCACTCGGCTGATCTGCTCTCTGCTGTGTCTGTACTCCACGCGCTCTGTTTGGTTTGCTTTTTTGTTTCTGGCTGGCTTTCTGCGATGTCGCTGGTGCCGGGTGTCTATCTTTCGTCTCGAAGAAGATAAGCCGTTATGACGTGGAAGGATCCTCCCCGTTTTCGGATGCGAGTCCTGAATCGTTTTTGAACGAGGCCCAGATTTGTTTTCACGGGTTTGTTTAACTTCTGTCAACGTCTGTCAGCGTCCAGCCGGGCGGCTGTCCCTGCATCCGCCTCCCGTTGGCCACGCTACCTACTTTGCAGAGCTCGGTGGTCCTCGGCAAGGCTAACAAGGCTAACACAAGTTGGTCGAGTCGACAACTATACCTACCCCACATTCGTCATTACCAAGCAGCGACTTGGTGACGTCCGAGCCGACCAACGTGTGCAATTCCTCTGGATATATAGTGTCCAGGTCATGATGCCGGGCAACGCGTTCCACCCACATTACACCACGAAGCCGAAGCCAACACGCTCGCCAACATGAAAGAAGTAATTATCGCCAAAGGTCTGAAGACCACGATCCAGGATGCCGCAATTCCTGAGCCGCAGCCCGACCAGATCGTTATTCAGGTTGTGGTTTCTGGCAGCAACCCCAAGGACTGGAAGATCCCCGACTGGATCCCCGATTACAACGCCAACAGCGGCGATGATATTGCAGGCATCGTGCACAGCGTTGGGTCAAACGTGTGGGAGTTCAAGAAGGGAGACCGCGTGGCCAGCTTCCACGAGATGATGACGCCTGGTGGCAGTTTTGCAGAGTATGCCGTTGGCTGGCAGCACACCACTTTCCACCTTCCTAAGAGCTTGAGCTTCGAGGGTACGTCTCTAGACTCGTATTCATAGTAATTCGGAGAAGATGGCACTGATAGGACCACAGACGCCGCAACAATCCCCCTCGCAGCCATGACAGCGGCGCTCGGCCTGCACCAACGCCTCGGCCTCCCCGACCCCTGGACGCCCGCAACAGAGCCTACACCTCTTGTCGTCTACGGCGGCGCATCAGCAGTCGGCGCATACGCGATCAAACTCGCCGTCCTCGCAAACATCCACCCAATCATCGCAGTCGCCGGCCGCGGCGAGAAGTTCGTTGAAGACCTGATCGATCGCAGCAAAGGCGACACCATCATTGACTACCGCAAGGGTAATGAAGCTGTTGTTCAGGGCCTCAAGGATGCGCTGAAGGGTGAGAAGCTGTGGTACGCGTTCGATGCGACCTCTGAGCACGGAAGCTACACAAACATCGCGCAAGTGTTGGAACCTACAGGACATTTGACAACAGTCCTGCCGGGCAAGACGTACGAAGGCGTGCCAGAGACGGTGAAGTTAACGACCACAAATGTCGGTGCTAGCCACAAGGACGACAAGGACTATGCATACATCATGTTTAGGTACTTCGCGAGAGGCCTTGCGGAGGGCTTCTTCAAGCCGCATCCCTATGAGGTTATTCCTGGAGGTCTTGCGGGCGTGCAGACGGGATTACAGAACCTGAAGGATGGCAAGGCAAGTGGCGTGAAGTATGTGTTCCGGATCGCGGAGACAGAGGGTATCAAGAGTGCTCTGTAGAGGAGGAACTACCAGTGCCTCGAAGCCAATGAACAGCGAATGACCATGAACAACATTCAATTCCAAAATTGCTTCCCTAAAGCTTCGCCTTATCCTCTACCTTCCACAATCCTCTCAACCCCTCCCCACTCATCCCAAGCACCGGATCCCTCCCCGGCACCTGCACCCCCCACACCTCCCCAAACCGCCCCTCATCCTCCCCACCAACCTTGAAATCCCACTCGTCCCCCTTCGGATACGCCCCCATCATCATAAAATCCCCCTCCAGCACCACTCCCCCAAAAAAGCTCCTCGCCCCCACCTCATCCCGCCTATCCGGCGCCTCAAGAAACCGCATCCCGTCCGTCGGCGGGCTCGGCTCATGCGTCTTATGCGCCACGCCCGCCGGCACAATAAACACATCGCCGAGGCGCGCCTCGAGCAGCACGCCGCCCGGCTCGCCAGCTTCGTCTGGAGAGTCCGCGGAGTCGGCGACTCCGAATCGGATCTTTGCGCCGGAGCCCGAGATCACGGCCATGGCTTCATGTGCGCCTGAGTGGTAGTGCGACGCCTGTGTTGGGCCGTAGCGTGCGATCCATTGTGTTTGCCAGCCGTTGCGCGCGAAGAGGTCGTAGATGTGGGTTGGAGAGAAGGAGGGAGTTTTCAGGAGGGGAAGGAGAAGCGCGGGGTAGTGAATTAGGACGTGTGGGGAGTTGGGGATGAGGGGGGTCGGGGGGATGGTATAGGTTCGGACTTCGACTTTGGGCATGGTGAAGGGTTGGTCTCGACTGGATGGCTGTTTGGTGGAGGACTAGGTTTTGCGGTTCTGTGTTTTCCGCACGAGTTGGATGCTTCGATTGACGGAGGACTGCATGGTCGTTGGCTTATGTTGTAGTGCAGGTCGGTGTGTGAGGGGAAGGTTGACGTCAATTCCGGGTCGCATTCCGACTCGGATATCTGACCCCGGAATCAAAAGTGGGCATACTACGCGACGGATAGGAGTGACTGTTAGCAACTAGCTTTCAAGTGAGCTGATACTAGTTCAGTTGTAAGGCGTGAGAATGATCGTAGCCATTCACACGCCGCAGTTTTTAGCTAGCGCCATGGAGTTTCTGTAAGCGCTGCGATGAGTTGCAATTTCAATCTTCGGGGAGGTGTTTCAGACAGAGGGACAGCGAGAGTTGTTGTCGCATATTATAAAATTGCGTGTGAAGCCATATATACATAGAAATGCAAATCTCCGACCCGTCATCTCAGAACATCTAGCAAATGTTCCTAGCACCGTTACCAGTCAAGGTCCAGTTGCTGTTGTCGGCGCAAGGAGACTCGCGGACAGTTGTGCCATCAACCCTGAGTGTGATCCAAATGTCACGGGTGTTGGCAAACTCCGTACGAGCAGCGATACGCACCTCTCCGCCGCCGCTGACAGTTCCGCCGCGGATGGAGACATTGTAGCAGTTCTCGATCAGAACAGCGTTGTTGCCGTTGTTGGCAAGATCGACTGTGGTGATGACTGCGGCACCAGACTCGCTCACACAGAAGACACCACGACCTCCACCACGGGACTTGACCCTGTCGATGTATACGTTGGTGTTGTAGTTTCCGTTCGCGTTGCGGCCGTTGCGGTTGGCGAAGCGGAGAGTGCCGTATCCTGATCCAGCACCGACGTTGTCACCGTCGACGAGACCGACCTGGACGTTGATGGAGTTCTGGAGCAGCAGTCCAGACTCGCCAACGTTACGAGCAATGACCTGGTTGATGGTTAGGCCATCAATGTTCCATGTCTCGACGGCGTGGCTGTTGGGCTGGTCAGTGTCTGTCTCGTGTACAGTCGAATTGTCTTGCTCACCTGCTGGCACCCGTGACACGGATAACGTCCATCCTGACGTTCGACTGGGCAGCACGGTCGCGGTCGAAGCGGATGCCCAAGCCACCGCTGAGGTTCATGGTGATCTGGCCGAGAACAAGGCCATTGGCGCCGGAGAAGCGAAGACCGAAGTAGGGGCTTCCGGTCATGGTGAGGTAGGGAATTTGAACATCGTTCGCATTCGTGACCTCGATCGCGCCGCGACCCGCTCGGTTTGCAACATTGATGGTTCCACAGCCTTCGAAGATTTTACCAGCGGTCAGTGTGATCGTGTTGGCCCCGAGAGAACCCGAAGCAATGACGGAAACACGCTGGCCAGCGCTGATGGAGTCGACAGCGGCTTGAATAGCAGCACGGTAATCAGATCCGGTGTACACGTTAGTAGAACCCCGGGTCGCTGTGAAAGAGCTGCCGGAGCCCGTGACCCTCGCCGCAGGCGTGCCTGAACCGCATTGGGCGGAAACAGCAGAAACAAGCGCCAGCGCAGATGCGAGTAGAGAGAGGTGAACCATTGTTGCGACGTCGGAAGGTTGCGATCGAAGTTGATGCTCTCAATGCATAGCGGGCCCCCTCTACTTATACTGGAGTGGAAGGGATCTTCCAAGATCGATCATGACAGCGGCGTATTATGCTCCGGCCCGTCCTTTTGGTTGGCGGATGATATTGGCCGTGTTTTGTTTAGATCTCTTAGGGACGTGTTTGAGGGAGTCAAGCATTGCGAGCTATCGGAACATTGTATGACAGCGTCCCTTAGCAGTCTTGGTGCGTCTGGAAACAGTCTTCCGCGGCACTTCCAAGAGTCTAGTGTTTCTCAACCCAGAAACGTCGAGTTGGCGTTTAGTATGGGGTGAAACAAATAGAAGCCCTTAATGTCGAACCCCGGGGAAGGCGTTCGGCTCGTGTACTTCTGCCGGTTTCATTGGTGCGCTACCGTAATGCTTGCTCCCGTCGCCAAGTTCCCCAAGACATCGTTAGATTGCTATCATATGGTAGGTACCGCTTTTCTCATGTTCGGCATCTGACCGATTTCTTCGGGAATAGAAGCTACTAGAGAAGGCCATGTGAGGTTGATCACCCCGCATTCCGCTAAACGAAGTCACGTATTCGGTCGCAAATGTGCCGATTTCCCCAGAGATCAACACACCGCTGGAAGGGCTGCCGCATGCCGAGATGCATCCGACAGCGAGGTAGCATGCAATATGGATTGCGATGCAGAGTCATGACCAACAAGATCACACTTCGAAAGGAGGGCTTTTCGGATGGATACGATGCGTTTCTCTTAGTTTCAAAAGTCACAGCACGTCCGATAATCGAGAGAAGACGACATTTTGCGTGACGATGTTGTCAGATGATCCCGTGTGCCTGCACTAACTAAGACCCGGCCAGGTACCTGGATTGGCGCTCTACTCCGGACTACCGCGATTCGTGACATTTGGGCTGCTAGAATAAGGGAAACAACGGCATTTGTCAGTCGAGATCGGGTCAAAGGTGTACGAGACGTCGAACTGGAAGATGGCGGCTGAGAAGGCAGACCAGGCAATTCGGACCGTCGAAGGACTTTTGGTAAGTGGGGCAATATAACAGCAAAGTGGATGTCGAAATAGCGAAGCCCAGGAAAGCTTATCGAGATTGTCTAGTGACAATATATAGAATTGGTATTCGCTCAAGCAGAAGGAACAAAGTCCGCAATGAATCGCACGACAACGAGTCGGACCGGTCGTATTGAAGGTGGGCAGACTGAATCTTCCAATCGGATATCCGCATGATATGTGGAACTTGGTTGCTTGAAGTCGTCGAAATCGTCCGGATCTTAGGGTTGCGCTACAGGCCACCGTTCAGATTGATGGCCTACTTCATGCTCCGGAGAACCCGCTAGAGTGCAGAATGTGTGTAATGTAGCGCTGACTACTTTCAATGTGTCGGAGACGGTAGGCCTGCAGGACAATTATGTACTGAGAGCTAGGTGCTTACAAGTACGCCCCCAACGCAAGAAAGATGGAGAGACTGTGTCAACAGTGTCCCCTCCATGTGCTGACTTGTATCCTTCAGACTGACCGGCTGAGAGGATGCGTAAAAGTAGACAAAGACTACGAGTCTGTCATGAATGCCGACATCTGGAAGGTGATTGGTAGTGGAACAATTCGGGAAGTCTGGTGTTGGATAGTTAAAGAGCGACGGACACCAAAATAGCCTACGCAGAAACAGCTCACCGCTATGCTCCCTAAGGTCTAATGTAATACTATAACACCAAACAGCAAGTACTGTAGAGCACTATGTAGTCGGCTGTATCTTCTCTGAGGCCTTCGGTAGATAGTCCTTCGGTGCTTCATCTTTTGGTGTCAGATAGACGGCCATTGCAGGCAGGGCGACTCCCAAAGCGAGTCGTCCATAGCACAGAAGACTCATGACTCAAAGATGATGGAGAATCCGTTCTTCTGATACAGGGTTCGATAAGCTGATCGTGGGCGGATGATGACGTTGACTGTAGAAACAGTATAGAAGGCCTTGAGGATGAAATCCGATGTGAAAGTGTGACCTTGTACGAGACTAAGAAGATATATTGATGAGTCTATTGTGATGGCAACGGAACATTGGTCTGTCCATGTTGTGGTGTCGTTGTGTGCAGTGGCCAGCGTCATCGCCCTGTCAGTTACGCTACGTTACGTCATCACCGAATGACGACCAGTGACATCCCCTCCGCATTGAGCTCAACATAGCAACACATCAATTGCCTACAATTGCATCTAGAATACAAACAGTGACTCACATTGAGATACTTCACTATGTCTTCTCAAGGCCCACCGTCAGTGCAATACTACGACATAGCGAACTTCACTTTCCACAACGGCGACACCCTCCCCAGCATCACACTCGCCTACCAAGTCCTCAACCCGCGACAAGAGAAAATCGCAGTGGTACACACTTGCTTCCGAGGCCGAATCTCAACCACCTTAACGCACGCTGACTACGCGCTACGAGACTACAAAGTCATCGTCCTCGCGCTTCTCGGCAATGGCGAGTCCTCCTCACCCTCCAACACGGAAAACTTCCCCGCCAAACTCGACTACATGGACTGCGTGAAGGCGCAGCACCAACTGCTCACCGAGAAGCTTAAAATCGACCAGGTGGATGTAATGCTGGGTTTCTCGATGGGCGGGCAGATGACCTATCACTGGCTTGCGACGCACCGGTCGTTCGTCAAGAACGCAGTTATCGTATGTTCATCGGCCAAGACCTCGAAGCACAACTTCCAGTTCCTGGAGGGTCCGAAGGCAGGGCTGCAGGGCGCGAAAGATGCGGAGTCTGGGATTAGAGCGTTTGGTAAGGGGTATTCTGCGTGGCTGACGAGCGCGGAGTGGTTTGATCAGGAACTGTATAAGGAGATGGGATTCGATTCACTAGAAGCGTGGGACGAGAACGCGACATTCAAGGGGTACGAAGGTTGGATTGGCGAGGATCTGTTGGCGATGTTGGGAATGTGGCAACGTGGTGATATTGCTCGGTGTGGGAAGGGGTTCGATGGCGATTCGATTAAAGCTTTAAAGCACATCGATGCTAGGGTGTTGCTGATACCGTGTGAGACTGACCAGTACTTCCGGCCGAAGGCCAATGAGAGGGAAGCGCAGTCTCTGAAAGGTGGTCAAGTGGCGATCGTGCCTAGTGTTTGGGGGCACATTGCTGGTGGTGGTGCACATGAGAAGGACACAAGGTGGATGGAGCGGAGAATTGCCGACTTTCTCAAAGGTGGCTATCCATCATAATGCTTGCTGCCTCGCTTAAAACTAGATTCTTGAATTGAGAATGTACATTAACTTGCAATCTACGGTGAGTCGACTCAAACCTATTCATGGATCTCAATATGACCATGAATACTAAAACTGCTTTGAACAAACTTCATATTTCCTCCACCATACTGTACATTATTATACGACTTCAGTGCTCGAAGTCACTTAATGCGGTTTCCCAGAATGGACAGGTGTCGCGTCCGTTGCCCCCAATTCCGCAACCTGAGCAGGAGGAGCCGCATCTGTCCGTGGGGAACCCGGCACACTTGATGCAGCCGGGACGATTCCACTGCTGTCCCCTCCAAGCTCTACGGCTCCACCAGGGGCCCCATATTTGACATCTTGCGCGTAAGCACCCGACGGTGGGCTCGCAGTGGTATTGTATGCAGATTGAAAGCCATATTGCGGAGCAGGCGACCCTTGTGGTGGGGAGAAGCTTCCTTGCTGAGGGTACCCTTGCTGAGCGTAGGGATCCAGCTGCCCTGGTTGATTGTAATACGTCGGTTGTGCTGGTTGAAACTGTGGCTTCGCATCAGTGTAGCCACCAACGCCTGGTGGGGGTTGGGAAGAGCTCATGTGCGCCATAGTTGCTGCTCCGTGCTGAGCCACTTGGGCATTCTTCTTCTTCCTGCGGCGCAGGCAGAACCATACGCCTGCTCCTATAAGCGCGAGGCCTAGTACAGGACCGGCGACTACGCCTGCGATCCATGCTTTTGAACTTGACTCTGGCTCGGGGGTTGCGGTTTCAGTTGCAGGGGCGGCAGGAGCTGTGCACGTTTAGGCTTTGCTCTGGTACTGCACAGTGCTTGTCACGTACTTGTAGTTGTGTCAACACTTTCAGAAGTCGACGTTGGAATCTCACGGAAAAACGTCCAGTTTTTGCTAGACTTTCCACAAACAATGTTCGTCCTATGGTTAGCGCCTAAGCCGCTGTTCTCGTAGATGAAGATTGTGTTGCAGATCGAAAACGCAGGGTCGTTGTAGTTCTCGGTACACGCAATCGAGCTCACGCTTGAGACGTCAGGATATGTATAGATCTGTGTTCCCCCAACACAAGCTGTTGCCGGGTAGCAAGTGGAAAGAGTCGTCGGGCAGCATTGCGCATATTTTTCACCCTGGAACCAGAACAGACCAGGATCGCCTGATGATATTAGCAATGGGGAGTGAGCCAAGGCGGGCGGCTCACAATCTTGACTGGACCCTATTGATGGAATTAGAAAAGATTCACGGTATATATCAGATAACCTACATGTGTTGTTCTCTCTGATGTATCCGATGAAAGCATCGCTGTTCTGCCGTGGCAATACCGCGGCGGTGGTGATAGTCGGGTCTGCGGGCGTAGCGCTCGAATGCTGCCACAATGAGGCGGCAGCCACTACTAATTGCAGCTGTGTAAACATTTTTACAACGCTGGGTTAGTTGTTGAGCACAAAGTTGAAGCAGGCTGAAAGGCTATCGCAACGTGCGGGAACACCCTCCGAGTTAAATCGAGAAACGACAGACGGCTGTGCTCGAAGCCACAGCTCACCCGCATCCTGGGCGCACATCCACCTCTCTTGTCAAGGCGGAAGTAATTGCGTTATGCCAGAAGCGGCCAACGGGTGCCATACTGACCAACAGCAAGGAGGTGGTACTGAGCCACTCAATGGCGCTGATGCAGCGTCTAGCCTAAGATAGACTAGGGATGACTGCTGCGGAGAGTTTGACTGAAAGTCACGTTCCTAGCTTGACCATCGTTCACGAGCATGAGACCATCTGAATAGTGTTTAGCGTCATATCCTCGCTGCAACCACCCAGGCACAGCTGGGTGGCGTTTGTAGGGCACTATCAAGCCTTTCGGCTTCTCAGCTGATGGGTGGGCGATCCGAGAGCTGAGATCTGGATTCATCGAACCGAAGGAAGTAACCACACGCGGCAGCTGTAGGCCAAGTCTCAAACCTGGAGTCTTGGCCAAAGCGAGCGGCGTACTTGCGGGTCGGGGCTGACCATCAGACTCGACGCGAAGCAGCGAGGCTGCAGCAAGCATGCGCTGTACTTACGTCGTTGTGTAACGCTAAGCGAAGTCTGTTGGTCAAGGGCAGATGGTGATCTGTCTAATTATGGATTCAAGTGCTCACACCCTTGGTCCAGCACCAGCGTGATGATTCAGTCTTAGTAGAGATAGAACAATAATAAGTGTGAAGTTGATACAGACTGGAAGACGCAGTTGAGCTTGTCCCGGGCTAGGAGGTCTCCACATTGCGCTAGGTCATCTCGGTTCATGGCTAGCCTCCTTCAATTCTCCGACATCGTGGGCAGTGCCATCGAGCTGGACATCGTTGAATCAATCATCTTCTCTCGATGAGATTGCCTCTCAGTCACACTGGAATTTGATGAGGCGCCCAAGGGAGCCATGTAGGATGGGAAACCTCGCGGCATGGATCTGCAATTGCAGGTCTCTACGACGAGACTATTAGACAGCGCTTACGCTCGATCAATCTTATTTTCGTTCATGCTACAGTGAAGCACGCTTATGATGATCGTTCTCCGAGTGCTATAATAAGCACTCTGACGCAAGAAGCGCGCTTCTCTTGCGCGGTCGCTTAGGTATGGTAAGCTATCTTGCGCGGTAGGCAAAAAAAGCAACCGCAATATCTCCTTTTTCTTCTAAGTAAATGCTTGGAGCTTGCAACAAGTAGAATTGCACACATCATGTTATATGTAAAAATCGAACGCTAGCATGGATCGTGTGTCAAGTACGAAACCGAAGGGAAAGGACGTTCTGGTGTTCCTCCAGATGCTTATTAAATGCCGAGCGCTACCAAATCCTGTCCTGACAAGCATGATCTGCTTACACCTTCTTCATCGTACCGCAATGGGTTTGTTACTTTGCACATCATTGAGCTGGTGTGCCTTTTCAGGCAGGCAGGTCAACGAAATGAGCGAGTCAAATGATCGCCATCCGCTTCAGCCGCCCAAAGGGGCATGATCCATGCCTGAGGCAATTTCCCGCCTCGGTCGACTGTTGATTGCGCCGCACCTTCGAGCGCTGTTCGCTCACTCAGCTATCGTGCTGCTCGGATGGAAGCTTCTGCTCTTCTATCGCTAATCATGCTCTCACTGACACGATGTCGCAAGGCAACGACCAAACGTGTAGCAGAACGCCTTCGCTTCAGCGACTTGCCAGACGATGTTCTTATACTCGTTTGCTCCCAGTGCACCATCGACGAGCTGCACTCGTTGCGACTGACCAACAGTAGATTGCGGAGTCTTATCTTGGAGTACATTAACACAATTGCACCCTCGGTCGCGCGGGCGACCTTTCCCCGCAGCAATAACCTCTTGTTACACAGGCCCTTGCGGTATACTGTCCAATGGCTCATGGATCTGGTCCCACAACACCTTGCGGCCATTCTCGTGGACCGTCATCGCATCGCGCACGACACTATGCAGCAGCGCTACGGTATTCCGGCCGAAGACACTTACGGTGACGAGCTCCGGGCTCGCATTGCGAATGGCTGGCGCGTTCTGGAGCAACTCCGAAATATCTCGCGCAAAATCCACAGGTCGAGCGCGTCGGACGCTGGTAAATTTGGCAGCAATCTCGACATACGACGGATCTACCCCTCACACAAACTCGAAGCCAGTCGCCAAGTGGAAGATGTGATCCTTGAACAACGACTGGCGTTCATCAATTCAATGCCCATCCAGAACGCCAAGGACTACAAGCTCATGTTCATGCTTCTCTCTTCTGCATTCCGAACATCCATATCGAACATTGGCGAGGACCACAAGCCTTGGGTGTTTGACTGGGGCAGTGGACTCGACGGGCAAAGGCTGCTCCGCAAGGGAAGCTCTTGGCTGGCATGGTTCGTGCTGGCCGAGGGTCCGGATCTCTTCTGGAAGCAGTGGTGGACGTTGCCGACCGACTCGTCGAGTACAAAACACTACATTCGCGATCGAGCCATCAACGCCTGGACGGGGACTCCACAGAAGCTGGCCGACCATCGACGGGAGCACGCAAGAAGAATCCAGGAAGCAATCAACAACAAGGCGAACGTGGCAACAGATTTCGTTTCGGTCAACCCGATAGTGTACTTTACGCAATACGCGGAGTGTCGACTGTCGAGGTGGAAGTCTGGGATATTACCTGTGGAGGAAACACTGTCTCATGTTCCTTTTCATATCGAGTTTCGCTGTCCGGACGAGTTGGTACAGCAGTACCAGTTACTTTTACAAAAGGGAGCTACACAGACAAATCACACCTTGGCGAGACCCTGAAGCAAGTCAACACAAGTCCAATCTCTGCACAGAGTCGGCATCACAGAAATGTTTGGTGGTGAGCGGGCCAAGGCGAGCTCCGTGACAGCGTCCACTGGCCGTCAGCCGGTCCATTCTGCCTGAAATAGTTGGGTGTAGCCAGCTCTGGCACTGCATGGCCACTACATGGCCAAATTGTTCGGCAGCTGGCCCGAGTGCGATGACAATTCCCCGTATCGAGATGTGTCAGGCTGGCATAGGTATTGAGCACGTCCTCGACACGTGCCTCGGCATGTCACTCAGTGTGATTTGGAGCCGGGCATTAGCGCAGCCTTGACAAAGCAAGCCGCTGTGGAGATTAAGAGGAGCATGCACACAGACGGCAGTGCAGTGCCGTGCAGTGCAGTGGTGCCGGTGCAGCGCAGTGTGCCAGTGTATGGACCAATGTTTCTGCAGCGGACAGCTGCCCCTCTCTCAGCGAGCACAAGTTTGTTTCGAGCACAACAGGGATTCAGGCCCCGCGCAGCAACAGGAAACAATTTGGAGCAGAATAGGGCAATCAAAAAGACGCAATCTCAGAGGGTCTATGCCCCCACGGCGGAGGATGTAGTACATCGTAGGCACTTGATAAAGACTTCGCTATACGAGGTGCACCAACTGTGAGTGATTTTGTGTGCTAAATATAGGCGTGGTCAGCGTGGGGATGCACGCCACGGCGGGACTAGTGGGACGCGGCGATCCAGGACGTCAAGCCGCCATGCAACGGTACCCACCCACCGCTCGCTGGTGGCCTCGTCGCGTTTCCGTGGCGGTGATATGGTCATGCTCCGCCAGCCGCAACGCCAGTCCTGAAGTCGACCTCGGGTATGCTTCAGGGAGCGCTGCCCGCCTCTGCTCCAGCCCGGCGCATGACGCACACACGACGGCCCACGCACGACGGACACGGCAAAACATGGTGGGGCGGCGGGCTTCACGGGACGACACGCAGCGCGCAGCGGGCAGGACGGGCGCAAAGGGCAAGGAAGTCACGTTCGCGCGCAATGACGGCGCGCTGAGCTCGGATTCGAGCGTCGACGCGGACGGGCACGGCGACGGCGACGGGGACGGGGACGGGGCTGTGGTCGGCAGCCGCCCGCCCGCGTCGGTCGACAACGCAACCACGGCCTCGTCGGCCCTCAGCCAGTCGGGCTACTCGACCGCCATGACGTCCAACATGACTGACGACGACCGCCGGCCCAGCGCCAGCAGCCCCACGGCCGCCTCGTCGCACGCGCACCCCAGCCTGACGCTGCTGGAGCTGGTGTCCAACTCGGCCTCGTCGTCGGCCCTGCCCGACAGCTTCGACTTCAACGTCTCGCGCAAGGGCAAATACCTCGCCGTCTACTCGGCCTCGAACATCTGGCTGATCCAGACCGTGCAGCTGCCGCGCCTGTTCGCCCGCACCCTGCAGGTCAAGCGCAAGCCCGTGGCCATCGACATCACCGAGGACGGCTTCCTGCTCGCCGTGCTGTCGCGGCCCGCGCAGGTCGACCTGTACGAGATCCACGGCGAGCAGGGCGGCCAGATCAAGATGCGCCGCACCGTGCAGCTGGTGCACGAGGCCAGCTCGCTCGTCCTGTCGCCCGACGCCCGCATCCTCATCACCGGCAACAAGTTCGGCATCGAGGTCGTTGCCGTCTTTCCGGACGCCCCTGCCACCGCGAGACGGACCCTTTCTGGCCCGGCCGGAGACGCCCTGGAGTTCTCCGACGACGGCCGCACGCTGCTCATCACCGGCTACGCCCGCAAATCAGACAGCTCTGCCCTGTTCGTTCTCCCAGGGCTGTATGACGGCCCGCTCGACGAAGAGGGCGCGCCCATACCCCAGCCTCCAGAGTCCGTGTGGACGGGCTCTGTGCTGTTTCCCGAGACCGCAAGGATTGCCCGCCAGGCTACACTCCTTCCAGACGCAGACACGGGCACCTTCAACGAGCTTTTTGCTTTCAACGCAGAGGAGGACTCGTGGGGGATTTACGATATCGCATGTCAGCGCTTCACCCAGAGGAAGATGTTCCTGCCGGATCATCAACGGTGGACACGCTCGGAATTTGTCGACGATGCTATGCCGGCCGTCTCGCCCAACGCCGACCTGGCAGCGGTTGCTCTACGCATGCGCGGAACCACAACCCTCTGGATATACGAAGTGCCGGGATGGGAATACAAGCCAAGCGAGAAAGCCAAGGGTGTAGCGCCTATACAGCCGTGTTTCTGCATCTCAATCCCAAAGCTCGGAGTCAATGCATACCAAGAGATTTGCGTACTGCGGTGGGTCAAGATTAGCGCCAACATCCAGCGCCTGATTGCAGTGGGGAACTCAAGCATAGCACAGACCGAGAACGATGTACCGGACGTGCCAATGGGCTCAAAGGGCGTCATCATTGTTCTTGATTTCGACAAGACTAAGCCTGCTGAAAGTGCTGTGCCGGTAACCTCAAGAACCGAGTTCGACCTAGATCCGCTCTGTCCTGGCGAGATGCTGCCTGAAGGCTCGCTGGACTTCAACCAAGAGGTGGAGCTTATGAGGACGAGGACTCTGGCCCAGCGTAGAGCACAGGATCAAGCCAACGGCCCACGCCGAAGTTCGAGGAGTGGTGCCTCATCTGTTCAGCGCTCCCGCACTACGGCTAGATCACCGCCGATGGCGGACGAAGAAGAGTTGACGGCCGAAGAAGCCCAAGCAGCCTTTGAGATGCCGTATGACAATCAGCAACCCAGGTCACAGATGTCTCTAGCAAGAGCGGCCACTGTAGCAGCTGTCTCGCCCGCCAATCGGCGCCATTTACGTGCACTCCCCTTCCGCCCGCTCGAGTACCGTCGTGCTGATGGCTCTGGTCAGCGAGAGATACCTCACGAGAGCGATGCAGATAACTGGGTCCCACCTCCGCCAGCTTACACTGCTAAAGCTGAAGAAGGCGAAAGCGTCAGTCTGAGCCATCCAAACATACCACCAACAGGACGTCGATCCAGTCGCGGCGCAGGCTCAAGGTCGGGCGTTCCTCCAGTGCCCGCGCTTCCTGCAATGTCTGCTACGGTGAATCCTGCGCAGCTCTCGCCGACGGGGCCATATCAAAACATAGGCCAGTCGTTCTCAGCCACGGACCTGTCGCTCCGACGGCCGTCACTCAGACACCCAACGACATTCCCCAGCCCCCACTCCTCCGACTCTTTCCGTCGTCGAGGATCTGCCGCACACTCCCCTCCACAACAACTAGTCCACCCTTCACTCCCGATTTCTCCTATACCCACAAACCCACCTACCCGCCGCCCCTCGCTCTTCGCCCGCCGCGTAGTCGAGAGCACAATCGACATCCGCCCACCACCCATCACAGACCCAGATCTACTCCGCCGCGGCTCCGCACCGCTCGTTCCCCAGGCCGTCGCACCGCACACAACCCCCGCGCCGCGCCACCCCGTCCCCTTAGCAGACCGCCCGCTCCCCCCCAACCCGCCGCTGAACCCAACAAGCACCCCCGTCCCGCGCGCACCCACCTCCCCCCAAGCCCACACCGACCACGCCAGGAGAAATCTCCCCCGCCTCGTGCCGCCTGTGCAACACACTCATGTCCCGCAACAAGGCTACGGGGTGCCGATGAGTGCGCCGCCGCGCACGCAGGGCGATGCGTATGCGTACCAGGACCGGGGGAGTGCGGTGCTACGGGGCCCGTTTAGCGCGGCGCCGGATCTGAGCGGGCGGGAAGCAGTGCAGGAAACGGAGAGTAGAAGCGAGAAGAAAGCGAAAGGGAAGAGGAGGATGGGGTGTCTGGTCATGTGATGCAGAGGCGGGAGGGTCTTGTGTTGAGTGTTTTTTTTTTTTGCGGTGCTGGTTATATATACCCATGTTGTTTATAGACGGGTTCCAGGGTTTTTGCTCGCTAGATTTCTTGATTGGAGGCTGTGGTCTTCTTTCTGTCTATTCGTCAGTCCATTCGTCTATCTATCCATTTGTTCATTCGCGTGCAGGCTGTTTCTCTGACTGCTCTGTAGTCCCCAAAATGAGTGGTGGTACGCGGCATTATCTCGCAACACCAGTCTGAGAAGAGCACGCAGAGCACTGGATAACTGTAAATAAGGCATACTGTCCCCATCAAATAACCATATCGCCCACCTCCTCCTCGCCTCCTCCCCCCTCGTCACCCTCCTCATCCAGATCCTCGAGCGGAAACGTCAGAATCGCCGCCACGCCGCCCAGCCCCTCTAGCCGCTTCCCGCTCTCATGCAGCGAGCTCAACACCCTGACCTCGCCGCCCTCCACATCGCGCACCCGGTCCACAAGCGCAACCCACCGCCGCCGCTGCCGCACGTTCTGCGCCCGGAACAGCGCGTTGTTGATCATCAGCACGCCGCCGCCGCGCCCCACGGCGCCCTTGTCGACGGCACGCTCCACCTCGCGCGGCCCGTACCAGGCGCGGCCGTCGTCGAGGCGCATCAGGGTGAGGAACTTATCCATGAGGGCGGTTTCGCGGGCGTACTTTGTGTCGGAGAGTTTGGTGGTGATGGCGGGGGACGAGAGGATTTCGTTGAGGCTGTGGACGTGGGCGGAGGAGCTGTGGGCGACAACGACGGTGGCGAGGAGCGCGGTGAGGGGCTTGTTGGCGGTGCGGATTGCTTCTGTTTTGATGTATGCGAGGAAGGCGTTTGCGACGAAGCCGGGGCTGGCGAGGAGGAGGGGGAGGGTTTTGTCTTGCGCGGCGGCGGCAGCGGGGAGGTCCATCTGGCGCAGCAGCGTGGAGAGGGTGGTGGCGAAGAAGCGGTCCATGCCCTTGGTGTGGCCGTCGACGCCGCCCTTGCGCTTGCGCGGGACGCTGACTTCGATGTGCTGGCGCAGGATGGTCTGGTGCTCAGTGATCATGCAGATGTTGGCGGTGCCTTCGCCGAGCACGACGGCCCACAGTTCGGCGCGTCGCTCTGTCTCCGAGGCCTCCTTCAGCATCTCCAGCGCCACGCTGTCCCATCCGTCGGCCTTTTCCAGCGTGAATTTGCGGTTGAGCTCGAGGTCGAGCGTGTGGTGCTGCCCCAGCTTGACGTGCTCATTTTCAGCAGCGACTTTGCCTGAGACGTGCAGCTGCCCGGAGCCGATGTCGAAGTCTGTGCTGGTGACCTGGATGGTGAGGTCCAAGGCAATGCGCTGCGAGGATGTCGAGCCGGCGTCTGACGTCTTCGACACGCGGCGCACGGCCTTGGCGCGTATGCGGTCGTTCTCCTGGATGAGGTTGAAGGCGTGCCACTATGCATGACATCAGCGACCTGTTGCGTGGTGGTGGTTTCTGAGGCGACGCACCATGTCCTCCGGCTCTTCGGGCAGCAGCGTCACGAAGCCAGACCCCGTCTTCTGCTCGATCTGCGACTTGAGTAACCGCATGGCGACTTGTGTGTGACCGAGTGTTTGTGTGTGGGCAATATGGATGCTGTACACATGTGGAGTGCGCGAGGAAATGTTGGCGACCAATGTTGTGGCTATTGTTAATCGGAAGACGGTGACGCACTTGGAGGGGCCAAATCTGAGCTTAACCGCGACAAGCGCGCGGCTGTCCAACCAACACTCCACTCCAAAGTCTAGATGTGACAGGGGGGAGTGACAACCTCATGTACTCAATTAGATTCCGCTTTGTCAGGTTCCACGTCTCAACCTAGAGCAGAGCCAAGGTGCTGATGGTGGCTGCGCATTCAGCTCGCGCACGCACCCGTCAGCAGGCAACAGATACCCGTACAGGACAGGTGTGGTCTGCCAGGCACCACTTGTGCATAATTGACACCGATCCGATCACTGTGATGTACCAATCACTGCTATCTTGACCATGTTCTTCAAGCGCTTCCCATCCCTTACTGTGCCAAAACCGCCGGCATCGACTGACCAGGATCCACAAACGCAGAGCATCTTGCTCAATCGCCTTCCCGCTGAGATCAGGAATGAGATCTACGCCCTTGTCTTTGCGACTGAAGAATGGCCACTCATCCAATTGGCTCCATCGGATCCCCCATTGCACCTACCACACCCACTTTCACTGCTGCTGACCTGCCGCCGTATCCACCATGAAGCCGCCATCCTCGCCTTCAGCACCTTCGCATTCCCCGTGCGCGCTGAGATGCAGCCCACATTCCTCGCCCTCAAGTCCGCCACATCCCGCCTGTCAGCTATCCAAATCAACGCAGTTCAGTCACTCTCAGGCCCCTCCGGCGCCGACGAAGCCTCGATCCGCAAACCCTCCTGTATCGACGTCGGCTCTCTCCTCAGCAACGCATTCCTCCTATTCCCGCATCTCTCGCGCTTTACAATCAAGAGCAAGTTGCGTGGCGTGCCGGGGTGTGGGCACCAGAATCCCCCGCGGCAGCGCGGCGTGTACACCTCACATGCGTACACCAACTGGTCCGAGGACACGCAGCTGGTTCTGCGCGCCATCGACAGGTACGCGCCGCCGTGGTTCGTTCGTGATATCGAGAGGATCACGGATGGGAAAGTGTTCAGGTGGCAGACGGGCTCGAGATGGACGGCGAAGTGGTCGCAGGTGGAAAGTGGACAGTGCTACTCACGGAAAGAGAGTGGCGAGGAGGGCCCCCGGCAAGAGCTGTTCATGGATAGTGTTGCTATTGGCGTGGTTGCGGGCGTGCAGAAGTGTAGATTCGGCTGCAACGAGGCGTCGTGGACGCATGTCGTGCTGCTGCAGGAGGGCGGGAGGCACGTCGATGTCGATGTTGTGTATGGCGAAGGGGCGGAGCCGTCGCCGCCTGAGAGGAAGAATCGTCGCCCGAAATTTGAGTTAGTGCCAGGCACGATGCCTGTCAGTCCCAGCGAGGTCATGGTTGAGAGGAGTGCCATCGGATACGAACCAGTCGACGACGAATACTGGGAGGCCATCAGGCGTAGGAATGGCAACTTGGGCGCGGTATGTCGAGGGATTTGGAAGAATGCAAATGCAGCCATGCGACCGGTTGCAGCTTCGATCCCTGCGGAAGGAAGCCCTCCAAGAGACGACTCTGACTCCTAGACGGGACAACAAGAGCGCGACGGGAAAACAGTCGTATGTAATACTTGACTTGAAAGAAGCGAACATCAATACAGTACACGTGGACTTCAAGGCAGTACCAGTAGCAGTGATTATCCATTGATTCATAGTCTACAACCATCCAATCTCGACCAGCGCGTTGCGATTCAGTTGAGAACGAAGCCGCAGCGAGTGCGCGGCCTCTCATCATCTACACGTATCAACCATACGCCGGCCACAGCCAGCTCTCGGCTCACAGCCCACAATTTCGCAATCGATCCAAAACAAAGTGGTCGGTCCAATCCAAAAACTCGCCGGTTCTGAGAAGTGGAAACGCCACATGCGGCTAATTACATCTCCGACTTTTTGATGTGAAGAACGAGGTATGCGCACGGTAGGAGAAGGTATAAAAAACGACAGTCGGCAAACGAGAAATGTACAGAGCCGGAACATGTCAGATCGTTGCGAGTACGCCGTGAACGCCGCCCAATGTCAAAGCACCTGTCGAAAGAAGTGACAACGCTGATGTGCCGCAAAGGTCTATCGCAAGCGCAACCGCGCTAAGAGAAAACGAAGAAACGCGGATTAAAAGGTTATTCGGAGAAGCGTCGAGATCAATCGGAGCCCCTTTCCTTCTTGACGGGGTGGAACAGCGCGGGACGCATGCAGAGACGGCCGGTGCCAGCCTCCTCGGCTGCTGGACCGCCCTTGTCGTTCTCGCGAGAGCCGAGCCATCGCCTCCACCACTCAGAAGAGAAGCCAGCGTTGTAATAGAAGCTGTTGCCCAACTGGTTGTGCTCACCCCAGCCAAAGACGCTGTCTGTTGGCTTAGGAGGCTTGTTGTATGTGCCGTCGAGCGACTCGAGCGGCCAGTTGTGGTCGAAGTAGACCGGGTGGTTGGCGTACACAGCCTTGAGTCCGTGGTGAAACGCGACCGTCGGTGGCCACATCTCGGGGAACATGTGGTGCTTCATCAGGTATGTCTCGCGGTGCATCAGGTCCAGGAGACGCTTCGAAAGTCGTGCAACGGTGATGATAGCGCATCGTCGTGGTGGCTCGGGCAACTCGAGATCGTAGCCGGTAACGTCGTCGCGGAACACCCAGTTGGTCTTTGCGGGATCGAAAATTGGGTTGAAGGTGATGATGTCAGCTTCTTCCCCAACGCCCCACTCGTAGTTGTCCTGGAGGTAGGACGTGGGAGGCTCTGTCTCAGGGGGGCTGGGAAGCATGCCGGTGTTTTCGAATTTGGGGGGTCCCCAAACAGGCTTCTCGTCGCTGTTGTACAGCTCCTCTTCGACCATCTCAGTGAAGTTCTTCCAGGAGCCGTGGAGCTCGGGGATGTAGTAGCGCGAAGAACGCTCCCACAAACCCTTGCGCGGCTGCCTCTTTGCAAACTCGCCGATCTTGGTGTTGAATTCGTAGTAGTGACCAGTGAGACGCAGATCCATCTCCCAGTTCCAGTAGAAGTCGTACTCGGGGCGAGCTTGCGAAAACCACTGCAGAGCAAAGTGAGCACTGCGGTAGACGGAGTGGACAGATGCCTTGGCGTGGTTGTAGACGTTGTTGGGGAACGGCTCGGGGTAGTACATCTGCATCTGGGCGCCGGACCAGAGAGTAGCCATGCCCCAGAACTCCTTGGGCAGGTTGTCCTCGATGACTTTCTGGTAGATCTCCTCGGACGACCAGATTGGTATGCTGTCGTCCTTGACGTGGATCAGGAAGTGAACGTCATACTCGCCACCGGACTTGAGAGCAAGCTCGTTGATCATGGCACGAAGACTGAGGATCTGGTAGTCGCTGTACTTGTAGCCAGTCCAGGTGCGGAGAATGTAGGCGTGGCGGGCGACCTTCTTCTTGGCGGGAGCAGCGCCCTCGGCAACGGTGTCGTTCTTCTGGAAACGGTGCATGTTCTTCTCGCGGCAGCGCTTCTGGGCGTCGGCCCACTTGACCTTGCGGTAGTCGACCTTCTTCTCCCAGCTCCAGATCTTCTCGGAGCCGGCCTTTTCCGACTTGGCCGACATCTCCAGGCCGCCCTCGTCGCGCGAGTACGAGTAGCCGTAGGGGCCGAGGCGTCCGAAGCGCTCGAAGCAGACCTTGTCGTTCATGCCGAGCTCCTCGTACGAGCCGAAGAAGGGGGCGGAGGCGTTTTGGGGGATGCCGGGGTATGCGTAGATGTCTGGCAGGTCGACCTTCTCGTCCTCGTCGAGGAAGCAGGTCTCGACCTTGTCGTGGTCCTTGAGGTAGGCGTCCGTCTCAAAGGGGAAGGGGTTGAAGGGCACGGGGTCCATGGGCGGCTCCTTGGAGTCCTTGGACATGTGCGGCCACTTGGGCTTGATGTTGTCCTCGGGGTTAGGGCTCTGCGAGTACTTGACGAAGTCCTGCTCAGAGACCCAATCGCCGTAGGGCACGAGGGTGCGGACGCCGTTCCAGAAGCCGGTCAAGCTGGCGAGTCAGTCAGGTGGCGCGGCAGGGCATGGTGGGGGCGTGCTTACCGGGGGTAGTGCTCCCAGTGGTACTGCTTGCGCTCGTCGCCGCCGTGCTGCTTGTGGTTGCGGTGGCGCTGGTAGAGGCCGCCGCCGAGCATCGAGGCGACGACGACGACGGTCACGAGCAGGGTCAGGATGCGGGCCATGGAGAAGCGCGGGCGCTGGACCTTGTTGACCCACGACGGCTGGCGGGCGCGGGTGCCCCAGGCCTTGCTGCTGAACATGGGCAGCGGCGACGAGGCCTGGCTGTCGGCGCCGGGCAGCTTCTCATAGTTGAAGCGGGTGCGGATGAACAGCTTGCCGGGGTTGAAGCGCGAGGCCATGGTGTGCGGGCGGCGAGGGCGTCGCGGGCGGGTCGTGGTGTCACCGGGAGGAGCACAGGAGCGCTATTGCATGTGCGGCCGACGCGGTGCCCGGCAGACGCTGGTGCGGCGGCGGTGGGCGGGCACAGGAGGCGGGAGGCAGGCGCTGGAGACGGGCGGCAGAGGGGGCAAACGAGCGTGCTGTCCTGGGGACGAGGGCGTGGAGTGCAGTGCGGTGCAGTGCAGTGCAGGCGGGCAGAGGCAGGTCGAGGACGAGGAGGACTGGGCGTGAGCTGCAGCGCGATGCAAGCGTGCTTAGGGCGCAAGCGTGCTTAGGGGTTTTCCGCGCCCCCAGCCAGCTTGGCTGCTAGAGCGCCGCGAGCGCCCTCCATCCCGCGCTAGGCCAGAGGCCGCCGCACAGCGCCGCGCTGCTCGGCGCGCTGCTCTGGATCGACGCCGGCCCTCCCGACAATGGACGAGTCGCTCTGCAGCCGCACGTCTGCGGCCGTCGAGTGCTGGTGCAGGTGCAGGTGCTGGTGCTGCGCGCTGCTGCTGTCTGACGCTGGCTGTGCTGACTGGCCTGGCCTGGCGGGCCGCCGAATCACGCACCGCACCGCTATCGACTGCACCAGCTGCCATGGTCGCAGAGGCCCAAAGCAGCCCCCGCCACCTGCATATCGATACAGTCCCGCGCTCCCGCAGTCTCAACAACCCTCCGTCGCCGCGGCTGCTACGACTATTATTCTAGCTCACTGTATGTGCTGTGTACTTAGTCCTGGCGTCGACGAGCGCGCAATTGCCTGCTGCTCCCCGCCAGCCTGGTGGTGCTGACCACACTCTCGTCAGCGAGATGATGAGGGCCTTGTTACCCCTGGTGTCATTTCGCCGTTGCCCGCGTCCGCTTGGCCCAAAGCGTCCGGCTGCGGCCTCTGATTGACCAGCCGTGCGAGTCCACGCGTCCACCCAGGTGGCGGCCAATCGAGACCGCCTGCCCCAGCTCCATCCCTAATTTTATCGCTTCGATATTGACCGTAGAGCGTTGATCCCGTTGCGGCATATTTTCGGCTTGCCCATCCGTCGTCAAGCTCTCGTCAATTGTCGGGCAGATGCTCATCAATTCTGCGCAGTGCGCCATTGGCCTTGTCCAAAGTCTCAGCAGCCACACACGCATGACCGCCAGCCTCGACACCACCTTGCTGACTCCGCTGCTCCCCTCGAGCCGGAGATTGATCGCTGCGTGTGGCCCCTGTTCCCGCGGCCGTTTCTGGTCATGGCGCATGAGGCACGTTCATCTCTCTTCACCTTCGCACTCTGGCCGAGACATGTGGTTCGTGCCAAGGTCGGACAGTCTTGACGGCTCCGTTTCGACAGCTGCCATGGCGGACATTGTGACCCAGCATCCTCAACCAGCAACCTGCATCCTCACGTTGCAGGATTGATATTCTACTATGCGGCAGTAGTTGACAAACACCATAGATCACTGTTTAGTCTACAACACAGGTGATGCTTAACCCAAAACTTCAGCTTCACGTATTACAATAGCTACAAGTTCTGTGTTGAAGTTGGCCAGCTTGAAGATCGCTTATCCACCGTTTTCTCTGAAACTTGAGAGCTTCACTCCAACGAGCCTCGTCGCCGCTCGGCTGCAACGCCAGCTCCACTTCCAAGTCTCAACCCTCGCCAGTGCGGCTCTGCCGGCTCCATCACGGACTTTTCAACTGCAACCCTGATCATTTGTGGAACACCTGCGAAACCCCATGCTCGATTTTTTGTAACAGGCGTCGTCAGCCAGGTCAACGTGGATGTGGATCCCATCGTCGATCATATGTCTTCACAGCTTCAACGTTTGACTGCACTACCTAACCAACCCTGTCCTCACACCCATCTGCACGCATTCTTACGCATGCAGAGAACCGGCTAGCGGCTGCTCAGCATCTGCCCTGGGACTTTGTGAGCAAGCAGGCATTTTGGCAACGGTTCAAGGGTTCGACGTGCTGCTCAAATCAGGAAACAAGCCTAGCCTGCATATCTGCCAAGCTTACCCGCCTTGTACTGTCCGAACATGCCATGACCTCATTCCTTGGAACCGGCTCGGTGATGAATTCTTCAGTTCGATCATGCGTAGCGCCCAACCGATGAGACCGGCGGCACTTGACAGAGTGTGACAGAAGGCGGCTCTCTATGCGCTAAGACTTCGTATAAAAAAAAGATGGCTGGAGAACGCCATGCTAAACAGGTTCTGGCATCGTTCGCCTGTAGATGATGCACGTAACTGCAGTTAATAAACCTTGTGCAAATACTTGAAACATGTGTATGTACATACACTCGACTGACCATGTCGAAGGATAGCCAATCGCACGTGTGCATGTCAATGGACAGATGGAGTCCCAGTACAATGCAGGCGACCAATAGAAATGCTCACTGGATACCCATTCCAGCGTCTCATCCTCTGATCAGCAGACTTACTCGAACGAGCTCTGTTGATTCTGGTCACGTTCAAGCCGTCTGTATCACTTCAGTAACTATATTGTGCAACATACCTATGATACAGCCACAGGCTACTCTTCAACAGCAGCGGAGCTGTGGCAGTGAAGACAATTCTCTTCATCGAGCCGTGATTGTAGGAGTGTCATAAAAAGATGCAAGAGCTCACAAAGCAAGCCAAGAGGGTGTTCGCACCGACATACAACGTGAAGGCACAGTTCGCAGGTCGACTACCAGAGCCAATGGCATCGCGTGCAGGTCCGCTCGGACCTTCCAAATTTCCGCCGCGTCCTTCCACATTCGACTCATAGCGCGACCCCACGTAAAGTTGATTGAAGCTCCCCGCGCACGATAGACGGATCCCATTTACGCCAAAATGACTGGAACACGAGGCCCGGTTCCCGTGCCGCTCGAGACGCAGGGTCGCAACCTCACACAAGATGTCCTCGACCTCCTCGACACAAAAGAGACGCTTCAAAGCAATGAAGACTTCCCCGCCGTACCGCAGCGCGATATCAAGGCAGCGCTCGACAGGCTCGCCAGCCGCTCCATGGTAGAATACAAGACTCTAGACAAGGAGCAGGTTATTCTCACCCCCGAGTCAGAAGGGATTGTCACGAACGGAAGCCACGAGTTCAAAGTCTGGAAAGCAGTGAAGCAGGCGGGGCAGATTGCTATCAAAGAATTGCCTGTGAGCATGCTGCGATATGGCACATGAGATATGAACTGACATTCTGGGTACAGAACGTTGTCGGCAAGGAATCTGCGAGCATTGGACAGGGCAATGCCTTCAAGAACAAGTGGATCAAGAAGGATGGAACTGAACTCGTTCTCGTAGCCACAGAGGAGCCCGAGGACAGCATGCAGAATCTTTTGAAGGGCATCCAAGAATCGCAAACTGTGTCAGATGCCAAGCAGCTCAACGACTTGAAGAAGAAGAAGCTCGTCACCGTCACCAAGGTCATAACATACACTGTCACCAAGGGTCCAAAATACGCAAAGGAGATGCCTGTAGAGCACACAGACTTGACGTCCGATCTTCTTGTCAACGGCGCATGGGAGACTGCCAACTTCAAGCCCTACAACTTCGCTGCGCTCGGAGCACAGCAGGATGCTGGCGCACTGCACCCATTGATGAAGGTCAGGCAAGAGTTCAGGAACATCTTCTTCTCGCAGGGCTTCGTCGAGATGCCGACTGGCCAGTAAGACTCGCTCGCATACCCACATGGAATGCAGACTGACACACTTTAGCTTCGTCGACTCTGGTTTCTGGAACTTCGACGCTCTCTTCGTGCCACAGCAGCACCCTGCCCGCGATATGCAAGACACATTCTTCGTCTCCGATCCGCCCACAGCCGACAAGCCGCGTGCCGACCCTGACAGCGAGAAGCAGATGGACCAGATGGAGGCAAGCTCACAACGGTTGTTCTCAACAGGTGACAAGCGGGACAAGAAGCCCAGAGATTTCGAAAAGTACTGGAACGACGTCAAGAAAGTGCATGAGGATGGTGCTTTCGGGTCGATAGGCTGTATGTTTTGCAGCATCCCCACTGAGCTGTTGCAGTGTGCGTATGGTGCTTGTGCTAATTCGAGCCACAGACCGCTACAATTTCAAAGATGAGGAGACATTACGCCTTGTCCTCCGCACACACACGACTGCTGTGTCTACGTGGGCACTTCACCGGCTAGCAGAAGACCCACGACCTGCACGCTACTTCTCCATCGACCGTGTCTTCCGTAACGAAACGGTCGATGCGACACATTTGGCTGAGTTCCACCAGATTGAGGGTGTCATTGCCGATTTCGGCCTCACATTAGGTGGTACGTTTTGAGTCTCTAGCTCTGTGCATCCGTTGTTCTAGGCTAACTTTTGGAAGGCCTTCAGCATTTCCTTGGTGACTTTTTCGCCAACATGGGCCTTGAGAACCTACGTTTCAAGCCTGCTTACAACCCGTACACAGAGGTAAGTCTTCTGCTCTCGAACTCTTTCATATAGTACTGATAACTCGGACAGCCGAGTATGGAAATCTTTGGTTACCACAAGGGCTTGAAGAGATGGATTGAGATTGGCAACTCTGGAATGTTCAGGCCTGAAATGTTGGAACCTATGGGGCTGCCCAAGGACATGCGCGTCTATGGTTTCGGTCTGTCTCTTGAACGCCCCACGATGATGAAGTACGGCGTCTCCAATATTCGTGAACTTCTTGGACACAAGGTCGATTTGAGCTGGATCAAGGAGCAGCCAGCTGTTCGTTTCGACAAGGAGTAAACGAATACGGGTTATGATAATCGATGATCATTAAAAGACGGTGCTTCACTTCGGGTGGCATCTTTACATGGCCTAGCCGGCTGACACGGCAGGAATACATCGATTACCACGTTGCAGCGAAAACCTTGCGGCCGGCCTGACAGCACTGACCTCTTTGCTCACAGTCTCTCACTAGGCAGCTAACATGCGATCTTCTGTCCGAACATTATGAGTTCTTTCCCTTCTTCTTTATACCATGTTGCCCTTGTAAACTCACGTAGCATCGCAAGTACTATTCCACTGCCGCGTGACTTCTTTCGTTGTGGCTGGAAGATAGCACCGCACCAATGTACTCGTGCGATCGAATACAAACAAAAGGTGCCGTTTTGGCGAGTATCACTGAACAATCGGCGTGACACCGACGGGAGCAGGTAAGACTACTTGTAAGAGAAGGAGTGATCACGCTGATGTAGCATGGCCGACCACTCTTTCCAAACAACCGTATATCAGAAATGTCAAAGCCACATCCCGGTCTGTGCCCGCAACACGAAGACACTAGCGCTGACTACAAATTTGCCGACCTTTCTACGACAGGCAGCAGGTTCAGTTAATGTCGTAGGCCTTGTGGACTTCGCGCAATATTTGTGTAGACACGGTTGCCTCTTCAGAACCAAATACAGTTACAATCGTGGCTTGCCTAGGATACTCTCTGTTTCAGGTAGCGGTATTTCCTCGACAATCACCTCAATATACTCGCGATGATTAACCAACTTCTCCTCCGTCTATCCTTAGTCGTCTATGGCTTCAACGAATTTTCTGGTCCGCCATGGAATACCTCGTTCCCTTGTCCAACAGCAATTCTAGTCAGGCCTCACCGTAACTCAGACTGTATCGAAAAACCAAGTGGTGCATACTGCCGATTTCCTAACATGACACTCGCCCATTCCACACTCTCCAGTTGCCCTGAGGTCGATACTCTTGATGTGTGGCTCGAACCTGCCACTTGTCTAGGCTTCGAGAGAGACCGTTCGGATTTTCCGTTTCTTGAGGGAGAAAAGTATCCTCCCTTAAGAAGCTTGAAGTTGGATGGATATAGCTTTGGTGGTCTGCTCGTGAGTCCTGATGAGAAGGAGATCGAGAGGTATTGTGTGGGTCCGGTGGGTGAGGACGATTCTTGGGATGAATCCAATGACTGGGTGGAGTTGCAGAATAATAAGTTGAAGATGAGCTGGGAAAAGGAAGGGGGGAGACAAAAGACCAACTTAGACATGTGGCTACAAGCCATGGACTGGAGCAGGCTGGAAGAACTGAGCATCAACACAGAGAGATCAGAGATGTTCGATGCCATTGCGGAACTACCAGTGCGACTCACCTCACTCAAAACACTGCACATCGACTCTCTACCTTTCATCGAGAAACTCCGAAACCACAGCCTGGAAACGTTACGCTGGGTAGGTCCCACACAACCAGGACATTTAGACACCATCCTCTCACGACAAGGCCAGAGCCTAACGCACCTTGAATACCGCTGCGACGAGCTCGACTGCCCCACCTGGCCCACCCATACCAACATCACCGACCTCGCTCTCTCCGCCCCAGCCCTTCAACACCTCAGCATCAACCTCCCCCGCAACCCCAATGGCACATGGCCCCTCAATCATCTCTCAGCGCTATCTCGCATGCCCTCCCTCACAACCGCAGATCTCTACTTCCAACTGCAAGCGCCCTGCGAAGCACAACGGTACCTGCTCGGCACCCGCATAAACTGCGGACGCGCATACCGCCAGCTGGAGCGCTGCAGCGGCCCCGATTCGTTCGCGGCCCCGTATCTAAATGCCACAACTGCATTGCACATGTTCCGCTGGCTGCGCACTGAAGGTACCAGCCAGCGCCTCGCAGCGGTGACGTTCCGCACGGGGGACTGGACAGTGGGGCGACAGACGTGGTGGTCGCAGCCGTTTGTGTCTGATCGGCGGAGTGCGGTGCATTGCCGCGTTGAGGGAGAGAGGGAGGTGTGTGAGGCGCAGAATGAAGGGTATTGGCAGAGGTATTTTGGGAGGGATTTGGAGTGGGACGGCGAGACGTGGGTTGTGGATGACGATCTGGAGGATTTTGAAGAGGCAGAGTATCAGGGAGATGTTGGATGGATGGATAGTCTGAGGGAGAAGATGAGGAAGCGGATAGAGGCTTTTGACAGATGATGTTGCGGAAGGTAGCTTTTCGCTGCATTCTGAAAGGACGTATTTCATACTCACTCCATCGTCACGTAGTCGTCAGCCTGGTAGTTTTGACTACATCTTCGACGGTACTTATCGCTTTAGCTGTTTGTATGCTATTCGAGTTGTAGTATTAGACTATTCATCACATGAACAATAAGAATTGTACTTCCTGCTAAACCCATAGTAAGACTTCGTGTCGATGTATCGCCGATGAAGGCTAGGCTCGCCGGGACATAGAGAGTGCTTTAGATTACACATGAAATGAACGCAAATCGCAATATACTTATGTCTCTTTGCTGTTGCCTTGCGTTGTTTGACGATAACATGTCGTTACTAGATAAATTAGTCACAAATAATACCTGATCGACCACAGTGGCAGTCCTGCAAGACACACCGCGAGCCCCTACGCGGTGGGTGATGCAGTCCCTGGCATGCTGCGTAGATAAGTCATCATACATGACACGAAGAAACCGCAATTTACTGTATTGTACACAAGGAACTGTGTTGCAACTTGATGAGATGATCGAGACCGAAGTCTATGGCTATCTAGCTCGGACGAAACGGAGACAACACCGGCGCCGATGCCTTCGCGATTGGCGATAGCTGGATCCAGCGGGCTACAGTATGACGGGGTCGAGTTATCTCCGCTTATGTCCAGTAGTGGCCCGGGTACATCCACATCAGAGGCAGCATTCAAGTAGCACCGCATGTCCCACTTACATATAGTTATGCTTGCCTTGAGAAATACGGCCCTTGCACGACTCAATCACCTGCGCGCTCACCTTCCGACCTGTACACCTCCAGCAGCGCGCAAGCTCACCACGTCATCTGCAAACATGGCTACTTTCGACATCAACACCAAATACCGCATGCCATCTGGATACGACATCCCAGCCCTGGGCTACGGTGTTTACCAGACCCCTGCTGCCGAGTGCGCGGAAGTCGTGGGCCATGCTCTCGAGACTGGGTATCGCCACGTCGACTCCGCGGTGGCGTACCGCAACGAGCAACCCTCCGCCGAGGGCATCAAGGCCAGTGGCGTCGCACGACAAGACGTTTTCTTCACGACAAAGATCCCCCCCAAGGACATGAACTACGACAACTCGAAGCAGCACATCGACAATACGCTGAAGATCACCGGATTCGATTATGTGGATCTGTATCTTCTGCACTCGCCCTACGGCGGCAAAGAGGGTCGCATTGGAGCTTGGAAAGCGCTTGTTGAGGGTGTTGAGGCGGGGAAGATTCGCAGCATTGGAGTGAGCAACTATGGGGTCCACCACCTTGAGGAGTTGGAGGCGTACATCAAGGAGGCAGAAAGCAGCCTGGGAAAGAGCAAAGGTGGCGTGATCAGCATCAATCAAGTCGAGCTCCACCCCTGGTTGGCGAGAAAAGACATCGTGGATTGGTGCAAGCAGCGAGGCATTCTTATGGAAGCGTACTGCCCTATCGTACGAGCGACAAGGAACGACGACCCGCTTTTGGCGCGATTGGCGAAGAAGTATGGAAAGACACCGAGCCAGATTCTGCTTAGGTGGAGTCTGCAGATGGTGAGTTGATTGAGCCAATTTGGAAGTGGCGCGTTACTAACTTGGCAATTAGGGCTTCATTCCGCTTCCCAAATCTGTCACCAAGTCTAGAATCGAAGAGAATGCTCAGATCTACGACTTTGAGCTCTCTTTGGAGGACATGAAGACCCTAGACACTGGAGCTTACGAGCCCTGTTCATGGGACCCTACCGTTAGTCGCGATTGAGAGGATCAATGTTGCAGTTGGTAATGACCTAGCATGAATGTCATTGTGAAGTGAATGTGTACTTGTGTACGGTGGTATCTTTGGAGAAACAAATGAAAACATTAGACCGCCTTCCCAGTCACACGTATATTGCCGTGTTTTTGGAGCGGAATGTCATCGTCAAACATGCTCTGCGGAGTTTCGTGGCTACTTCGCGACGAATAGTCCGCATCACCCTCCTTCGTCTTGCCGATGTGCTCTACCACAACATTCAACTCTGTTGTGCGGTGAATTTGTCCCAGGCTCTCGTCGCTTTCGTTCCGGCTGTGGATCTTGCTCCTTCCAGGGCCCTTCGCGGAAGTCAATTGGAAGGATTGGAACTGGTTTGGCTTTGCCTTCGAGCGTCGGTCAGATTGCGAATTCGATGGGCCTGTGGAGCTTCCGAAGTCCTCGGGATCAGCGTCATTTTCGGTCTTGCCTTGCGCGAGGCGGACGATCAGGGACGCCATGGACATTTCGATGTTCAGTTTCACCATGTACACGACGGGGTGGAATTGTATGTAGACGACTGGGTTCCTGAGGAACATAAGGCCAATAAGAAGACCCTGGCGATGTTAGCACATACCACTTTGGCTGACTTAGATCAGTTGACTTACGTCCATGGCGATCGAAACGACCATGAGCTTGGCGTTGAAGCTCACGAGAGGCTTGTACTTTGTGAGACCGACTTGATCCACTAGTCTGATCTTGACAATGCGCAGGAAGTACCAATTGAGACCGGCATCAACAACGAGAATGAGAACTTTCGAAATCTTGTCCCAGACATTGTTGATCTTGACGAAGGTGCCGTTCACAGGTGGTACTGTGTGCGCTGGAATCCAGATGCAGAAGACGGCAACGTTGATTGCGGAAATTAGAATGAATGTACCCCACTTGATGTTACGAACAGTATTTCGATGTTCAGCGATGAGTGCAATTCGATTGATGATAATCTGCATGAGCAGCTGGATCTGGAACACCCAGAAGAGGAGGATGAAGAACAGGACTGGAACACTGTGTTCTTGTCAGGTTCGAACAATGTCATACGTGATCTAGAAAACTTACGTGGGACCCAACGTTCCAGTCAAGAACAACCAACCGACAACTCCAATGCATACGTTCACAACAATCTCACCCCACAGCATGTAGATGTAGACGGACCTCAGCGGATTGCGGTTCCGCCTCGTTTGTTGAATGGCCTCCCATACTGTCAGGAAACCGAATCCGATTGTGAATCCTGCTGCTACCGCGGCTAGCTGGTAGTCTTCGACGGTTGCCGACATGTTGGAGGAATACTTTCGCTCAAAGAACGAGCCCCAGTGTGGAAGAGTAACGGAGCCAGAAGCTTCAACGGACCCTCATTGCCGTATATATCTCGGACGACCTAGTAAAAGGGGAGCCTATCACTTGTGGAAACTGCCGGGAATGCCATGACTGACTCGGGGTACGCCGCATAGTGTTTTACACTGGTTCGCCACTGGATGCATGCAGCGCTCCCTGCCGCTGTTAGCACCATCCAGCTGGAGATGGTGCAGGCCCCTGCACTCGCTCGAGGCTACCTTCTCCACCCAATTGCCACGTGAGATGGATATCTAGCAGGGAAGCAGTTTCAAATTCGTAGCATGACTGAAGACGTTCTCTTCTTAAGGGTCTCATAGACGCTCGCCCCATGTCCGATTTGCATCATACTGCTCTGCGTTGCGGCGATAGTGAAGCTGCACTGACGCACTTTTAAACGCGAAGATGCGTGATATCGAGGGGCTGACATTTGGTACCCTTCCCGAACCTCGGTAGCTACGCTGCACTGGAGGAGAAAAAATCTCAGGTCATCTCAACACCCATGTCACGCACCGACCTAGCCACAGGCAACCCGAACCCGCGGAAGGTTTTCAGGCACCGGGCTCTTGCGTAATTGGTGTAAAGTACGGAATTCTTGTTGCCTTCGCTTAACGACGATCATACAGTTCAAGGGTCCTGGCAAAAGAACCGCATCTGGAAGTTGAATGACATGCAGAATCTCGATGTGGCAGGCATCACCGCCTTATGCTCACTTCTATGAAGTGATCAACTGTCAATGAGACAGGTAAAATTTCGGCTGCAAACGTACACACGTAGAAGCAACGCGGTATGCCTTTAGTTCACTAAAACCTACTGATCTACAGCCCGGTATCCATAAAGTGCGAACATCAGTTTCCATGTTTTCCGCTGAACCAACCCCTTGCTGCTTTTACCATCCCTCAGCGCCCTTGAGCCCTTCGTCTTTCGCCGCGGGACGCAGTGACTCGCATCTGGCAGAGGGTGGTTGGCATGCATCCTGTACACGAAGAGATCGAAAGACCTGTTAGAATACAGGTACAGTAGGTACATGGATTAATGGGAATACAAGGACTGACTACCCAAAGTAGCCACTTGCACCGAGAAACACGTCTGATCCTTTGATCTGGAGACGCAATCTGCTCGAGCCGTTTATGCGGTCGGAGGTCCCAAAGTTCTCGATTCGCGCACCAACAGAGCGGCAGCACTAGTGACGAAAATTCCTTTATCGTAGAAATCCACAAGGAGAGACCTGGCGCTATATCAAAAACATCTGCTGCACTGCAAGTCAAGAGAAATGACAATCCACGGCATGGCGGCAGACGGGAGGTGAGGAGAATCCGCCGCAACTGCCCGGGTGGGCCCCCTGGAAAACTCCACTCGGAGGGAATCCCGCCTCGCGGCTGCTAATTCGAAAGCGGTATTATTGCGCGTCATCCTTGCGCCGGATTCCGCTCCAGGATCCGTCTCAGAGTACCGGGACTGTAGACTTGGAAGGTTCTCGACCTTGCTCTTGCGACATAGCCAGCTCGCAACTCGTTCATTGGCCACCATGTCTGCGCGCCATGGTTTGTAGATCGTGTTCGATAGCGCACCATGGACCTGAATCATGCACCATCAATCCTTCGAATCAAACCATCACTAAATCGCCGGCGAAATGGGCGAATTGGTGATAGACTGCTCCGACAGGGTTTCATCAGCTGGAGATTCTCCTCACACAATTTGCATTCGCGGTCTTGGATTGTCAAGAGTCGCATCGCTTCTTGAGAGACCGCTGCAGTCCGCCAAAGGGCAACATGACATACAGGCCGTGTCTCGTCGGCTACACGCGAGTCTCGGGGAAGATCATGCAAATGTGTTGGAAGTCTCGCAGCTGCAGCGGCGCAGTGTGAATTCGAATCCCAGCCACAGATCCCGCCCCCAGAGATTGACAGTTTGGCAAACTAGAACGGGATCTACAAACCACCGAGTCTGGGGTAATGGCGTATCTCTTTCCCTAAGTGTCGGCCCTTCTCCTTTGCGATTGCGCCTGGTCGGGCCCACACAGTTCTCAAACATCACGATACGCCATAATATGGTAGCGCGTTGTGGTATGCGCGAACTATGCGAGCGGGATGAGAAAGTAGTACAATTCCAAGATACGGTAGCCAGCTTGCTTCGCGAGCAATGCGAGTGCTGGGCGCTCACGTCGTGAGTCGTGGTCAATCAACGACACATCTTCTTTGAATGTCTGTCGTTATCAACGATGCCAGGAGTCATGTCATTGGGCCAACACACAGTAGCTCCAACGCCGACGGCTGTCTTCAGGTTGTAAAGAAGGCGGGATTGAAGTCTTGATGTTGACCGCGCCATCTTTAGGATGATCAGGAGACACCATGGACTCTAGTAGATGCATGAGGTTGCAGGATGTGTGTGGGTTTTCTGTATACGCCTCTATCAGACCTAGATGCCTGAACGTGTACCCCTTTTTCAACAACACGAGGGACGTATTGCTTTTTTTCAGGGCTGTCTAGAGAAATACAGACAAACGCTTCTCAGATTTCGCAAATTGTGTATGCTCTGCACGGTCTGGCGCAGTTCAGTGGGGGAAGAGTGACATTCCGCTTCCTTACCTTTTCGAGTACCATCACTGCCACAAAGCTCGCATTCAACGCAGCTGCATTTTTTTTTTGGTACGTGAGCAAGGCGTATAAGTGTTCACGATTGCACATCAACGCTGCTGGTCTTCATCATCAACTTCTAGATCTAGACGCAATCGCCGAAGTTGCGAGTAAGAAATCATGGATTGTCACGACGATTAGATATCAGCTCGAGTCAACCTGACAGCCGGAGTGGCGGTGTATGGTTTCGTCGCTTGAGTTCAAAAAAAGTCGTGTACGCTTTATACTAGAGGCTACATCAACAGCTTTATCTACATTATGCCTCATGTGAACGGACATTCATATCAAAACAGAAGGCTGATATTACTACACCAACACTTAGGCAGTGCTGGAATAACTCCTGTCCAGCACGTATTAGCTCAACTTAATTTCACTGCCCTTTCCAGGTCAGCTTGAACGTGAGAATCCTTGGGACAGTGAAATTCTTCATTGGTGCACATCTCGGAGTCCAGAACGCATTCATTTTGAACGATAGCGTCACAACGAGACGAAGCAAACCAATCCCAACAACACCCACTACATGCTACTGACTTGATACCCGACAATATGATCCCAATTCTTGCGTTGAGCACCGATTCCACTCCGCTTAAGCGTTGTTACACATATCTTGACCACATCCGTTCCTCGCCCAGACCCCCGTGTTGAAGCTGACACACCGTCCGATCCCTGTAGCCCTGCGACGACTGCAGCTCGCGTCACCGCAGATAATCAGAGGGCCGCAGGTGCTGCTGCACGCAGTTTGATCCACGGTAACCCAGAGAGCGGAGAAAGAGCCTGCTGGGCCGCTGGAAGATATCAGTATGAGTTCGACACGTAATACGAGACTGAAGACGCCCGAGGCGTGGCGTTTGTGAGGTTACTCGGGTAGAGTGCAAATAGAACGGACAGGATGGCGTACCCAGTGGTTTGAAAGGAAGCGGGGTGGCGCTCGCCAATGTAGTTCTGGCAGTTGGTGTCCGAGTAGAAGTTGACTTGGCCGGCGGAGGCCAGGGAGATTAGGCCTGCGGAGGCAGCGAGGAAGACGATGGAGGAGTGCATGATTCTGGCTTCTGGCATAGGCTGGAAGGGTTGCGTGCGATGGTGCGATTGTTAGGGATTTGTTGTCGGTGGATTCAACGTAAGTATATATACTTATACTGCACGACGCTGCAAGGACCTCGTGCTGTACTGCCCACTAACGCTATTGCAAGACAAGAAACAAAAGATCAGTAAACTTAACAGGTAGCTCTTTTATTGGTGCAGTTACGCATAAGTGGAGGCATTCAGCTGTAATTTGAAACCTTATTGGCTGTGCAGAAGAAGACCTCCATCCTTCAAAACTGCTAGAAGGTAACTCAGACGTGCCTAGGTGTGTTAGTAAGTCTACGATGTGGGTAGGTAGTATAAGCGTAGATCCACTTTCATGCTCTGCCCACGTTTAATATATGAGTTTAATATGGACGGGGCTTACTGAGCACATCTAGAGCCCGTTTGTACTTGTGTGCAGACGTAAAAGTCTCAGCTGAGCAAGCTTGCGATGCTTGAGGAAGGCAGATAAAGTAGGTGGGTTTAGTAAGCTTCCATTTTAGGAGAATGTTAACACGAAGGTCCCACATCGTGCAATGATGAGTAAGACAGCTATTATTATATCCATTGTTGGCATTACTTCATAACCATCTTGAGCAGTCAGTCCGACGTTTCTTGACGTTCGCAATCTTGCGCTTCTACCGTATTGACCGCGGCTGCTCTTCTACTGGTGGATAACGCCTTCCTGAATGAGCTCCTCATCCAGGCCAGCATAGTACCTGATCCAGTTGAAGATGCTCTTGTGCCACAGAACACTGTTATCCCTCTTTGTGACCCAATGTCCCTCATCAGGGAAATGCAAGAAACGACTGGGCACACCAAGGCTTTGTAGGATGTTGAAAGTCTGCAAGCCCTCCGAAATCAGCACGCGATAATCAAGATCATTATGGATAATGAACTCGGGTGTACTGAAGTTTGCCGAGTAGATGATCGGATCCCACTTCTCGTAGTTGGCGCGATCGTTCCAGATAGTGCCATTGTTATCACGCTGGATGAACCACAGCTCATCCGTCGAGTAGCTGGCGACCTGGTTGACTTTGCCATCGTGACAGACGAGCGCCTTGAATTCACGACCCAGAGCATGTCCCTGGATGTAGTTGGTCATGAAACAGCCGAACGAAGCTCCGCCAGCGATGGCACGGTCGGTGTCAATGTAGGAGATGTTGGCCTTGATGTGCTCGAAGACGGTGACTAGATCGTTGTAGGGCGAGCCTCCCCAGTTTGCTTGGATCTTGTCTGTGAAAGCTTGGCTGTAAGATGGAGAGCCGGTAAACTGGGTCGCAACGACTACGAAGCCTTGGTCGGCCCAAAGACGGAGGTTCCAACGCACGCTCCAGTTATCACCCTGGGTTGATTGAGGACCACCGTGGATGATGAACATCAACGGGTACTTCTCCTCGGGATTAAAGTCAGTGGGGTAAAAGACAAAAGACTGCACCTGGTCGCCGTCCTCGTTCTCAACCCAGAAGTTGGAGGTCGAGTTTGGGAGCAGACCAGCGAGCTCGGGATCGACCTTGTTGGCAGTGAAAACAATCTCCTTGTCTTGTCCTGGGGACTGCTTGTAGAATATACGACTTGACCACGACGCAGCAGCCGAGACGAATGCAGAACCATCTGGGTGGATATCAAAGTCGGATAGAACTGAGTCAGGCCCAGTGAAGTTCACGGGCTTGAAGTCAGCAGGAGCATCATGAGGAACAACCCAGAGGCGGTTCGCAGCGTGGAGCTCAGAAACGACCCAGAGATCAGTATCGTCGGGACTCCATTTGAGTCCGGAGGGGGATGAGTCCCAATCCTCTGCAACTGTGTGAACCTCGGAGTTCAAGCCATCAATGTCTGCAACATAGAGCTTGAAGCGATCGGACTCGTAGTCAATACCGTCTTGCTGGCCATATGCCAGTTTCTTGCTGTCGTGCGACCAAACAGGGTAGCCTGAAGCGCCCTGAGCAGTCTCGGGTGCGGTTGTGCCAGGACCGTTGATAGCCACAGCAACCTCGGAGCCATCATGAGGCACAACGTAGATGTAGCTCGCCGTGTAGTTGGCCTTGGGAAGATGTGGAGACTTGCTGCGGAAGGCTACCTTGCTACCATCGGGCGAAAGCTCGTAATCACCCGGGTCGCTCGAAGATCCTTGAACGGGGCTCTCTGGGTGAGTGATGGTAGAGTTGATGCCCTTCAGCAGGTTGGTAATCTTTCCATCGAAGGAGTAGCTTCCGTTACCCTTAGCAAGGCTACCGCCGAAGACGGCGTATCGCTGCTCGGTAATGTAGTAGTTCCAATGACGCACAAAGTTTGCATCATAAAGCTGTCCCGCCGACTTGGGCTTAGTGACAAGCTCTGGGTTGTACGCAGAGCCGTTGCCCCAGTATGCAAGGGTGTTCAGTACAAAGTTGAGAGACCCATCAGCAGTCTTTGCAGCCTTGAGGCCCCCAAAAGGTGCATTGAGAGATGCAACCAACGAGCTGCGATTTACTATTAGTTGTCATATGCGTGTTGTAGGCGACAATGCTTACGGGTTGAACTCGCCACTAAGATCAGCTGTGTATAGTGTCACACCACCAGGAATCTCTGCGTTGCTAGAGTTCAAGTACAAAATGCTATCTTCAGTCTCGCCAATCCAGACAACCTCGGAGACCTCACTTCCGAATGGCGCCTTTGTTGTGTTACCACTCTCGGTATCAAGGAAGTACCAGCCTGTCGTGGCCTTGGCCGTCGTCCAGTTGTAGCTGGTTGACGTGAAGAGTGCTCGGTCCTACACGATCAGTATGGATTACCAGCTGGTCCCGAGGATGGACATACGCCTTTTGGACTCAGACTACCAGTGCTCCTGCGCGGCGCAGCAAGCATGCCCCTACAGATGTCAATTGAACGTCAGTAACGATACGCATTAGACCTTACTCGATAGTCAAAGCTTGTGCGGAGCCAAGGAGAAGGCCGGCGGCCAGCATTGTCGACCGTATCGCCATGGTTGTCGAAACTTGCAAACTGTAGAATTGCGAGAATCGTAGCACGACAACCGAATTGTCGGGCGGACACACCGAGCCTTTTCAACCCATCCCCAGCCTTCCGGAATCCTGCACCATCATTGACGGTGGAACTCTTGATAATCGTTGCCAAGAGGCCCTTGACAGAGGACCTGCCTAACACTTACACACGCTAGCCTGTTTAGCTCTCGCCAAGAAAGGCTTTTGCGGGCTTGTCCTCCCTGCGTAGAAGACGGCTCAAGAAGATGATGTATTTGTGCCGATGAGGCGTTTTCTTCATCGATACGAGCGGAGCTTCGGTTGAAAATCACGTCGTCGTGCTGGTACCTGCCATATTGAGGAGAGGTTGCTAGTAAGGCGTGCCGACGAAGATGGCGCGATAACAGGTGCACGCGAGTCGTGGTGGTCGAAGGCCACTGCCATGGTGAGCAGCCTTGCGCGGAGAATTGTCATGTGGGGAACGGTAGTTTGCTGGATCTCAAGGTTCATCTGTGCAATATAGTGCAGTTGGCGAGGTGCGTTGTGATTGGTGACTAAGCAAATGACCTCAAAAACAGTGATACGTGCACGATTTTCGTGATGAATTGCTCATCATTAAAGGTCTCGGCAACATCGGTCGAGTGGTTCTGACGTGCATAGAACAAAGCAGGTCCTCATCAACGTCCCCAAGCTACAATCACGTACAGTACTGCACCTAGGTACGTCCGACTAGCCATTAGCACCTTAATTTGTAGGACCCAACCCACGTTCATCGCAGCTAATAAGTTACAGAACAACATCTGAACGACACCGTTCATCCTAACAGGAGAGGGTCTTCTTATCTGAGGCTGCATCTTGTCAAGTGGCTGCTGTAACGTGTCTGAGTGCAGTACAAGGTGTAGTCCTGTCAAGAGCCCACCTACAGGCTAGAAGCCTAGACGCACGTGCAATGCCATGCAGTATGCAGGAGGTAAGTACTGTAGGTCGTGCAGGTGAACAGCTGCCAGGCAAGTTCTCTTGGAGCATCATTAATGGTTATATCCCACGCCTCCTGTAAAACGCGAGAGCGGAAGACTGCGGGCAGCGACTGAACAGGCAGGGGTGAGACAAAGTCGCGTTGCCCTGTGAGATGAAACAGGCTTGCGGGTGAAAAGTGGGTGCGGATCTGCTGTGTGGCTGTGCAGCACCGGCGACACGGTCCATGGCCCACGCTGCACTCGGCGCGATCACGTTGGCGGACGCGGTGCGAGCTGCCAGAGCAGTGCGACTGTGCTGTCGAGGTTATGAAGCTGCTCGTACGGATCTGTACGTCTCCTGCACACTGCGCGGCACACAATACCTAGCGGAGTTTCTCATGGAGTGGCAGGCGCTGGCGGGTGGCGTCCTGGCGGGCAGGCGCCCGAAATAGATCATAGCAGCGACGATCCAATCAGGGTCCATTGGGCAGGCCCGGTGCCAACGGCTGGCGAAGTGTACTGTGTAAGTACTTACATAGTACAGTGAAGATTTCCTTGTCGACAGTGCTGGCTAGCGCGATGATGCCGACGCAGCGCAGCGTGGAGTCGCCCGCGCTGCCGTGTGCTTGTTGAGGGGTCGCTCGGCGGCCGTCAGGCGCAGCACACTGCATAGCGCGGTGATTCTCTGCGCCGCCTCCTTTGCGGCCACCCATCAGCGTGCTGGGCTTTCAGGCGCAACGGCTGTGGTGCATTGGCGCACTGGCGCACGTCTGCTTCGTATACGAGGCCAGCTGTCGGCAGTGTCGTGACCGTCCCCCGAATCCCCGCAGCGCCTCAGGAGACGGCGCGCGACTTTTGCTCTGCACTCCGCTCGCTCGCTGTAGGGCTGTCGCTGCTTGAGCGCCCGCCGCCTGCCCGTTGCGCCTCCAGCAGCAGCTCGTCCTCTGTGCCGCCCCGTGTTTTACGCAGCGCAGGCCATCCCCGTCGTACCTGCGACCGCCTCACCACGCAGTCACGCAGCGCGCTTCTGCACGCTGCCCGCAACCCCCAGCACCGACCCCCCCGATCGACGCTCCACGCCCGCGACCACCTCCCGAGCCGCCCACCACGACGCGCGAGGCCTGCCAATTGCGCGGCGCGCTGCACGACGCAGCATCGACCCGAGCCTGCGCGGGCGCTGAACATGAAGGCGACCTGCCGCTGATGGCCGTCACCACCCAGCTCGGAGCCGCGCCCATGGCCCCCGGCGGCAGGCACCCCGAGATGCCATCGCACGAGCACACACACCCCCCGCCCCGCCCGCGGCGGCCACGCAGGGCCCGCGGGGCGCCGTCGCTGCTGCGCATCCTGCGCATCCTGCCCACCGTCCTCGCCTGCCTCGTCCTCGCCGCCTGTCTGCCGCGCGCCGACGCCGTCTTCATCAACTTCGAGAACTGCCTGGACAAGCTGTTCCTCGACAACAACGTGCCCTTCCTGCAGTTCACGCCCATGTACGTGTGGGCCGCCTTCGACACCCACGCCCCGTCGCACAACCTCAACGTGACCGTGTACGGCAATGTGTCGGGCCAGTCGGACAGGGGCACGCTGCCTCCCTCCGACGACCCGGGCTGGGCCAATCCGAACAGGACCCTGTTTGGCAAGATCGAAGACGTCGACAAAACGTCGAACCACTACACCACCTTGTTCTCCGACTTCCGCACCCTGACCTACTCGTCATGGACTCCCAAGGGCGTGCAGTTCTGCGCCCACACCCTGAACAACACGACCCCGGGCTGTCCCATGGGCCCAGCCTTCGACGCGAATGCGAGCGACCCGGACACTCTGCCCGGCTTCACCGTGAGCCACGACTTCCACAGCACCTATGCCTTCTCCACCTGGGCATCTGAGCTGCGCATTGTGTCTGGCAACGAACGCGCCAACACCCTGGGCTGCGTGTCTGCAAACATCACGCCGGACTTGGGGAAGAGGCTTTCCGACGCAGCCTGCTACTTCCCGGCTGCTGTGCTCATCCTCGTGGGCATCGCAACCGTATTTGCAGCCACCTGCAGTCCCTGGGGGACCTCGAACATCTTCCGTTGGACGAGCAACTACGGGCGTGACGAGGATCTCTTGCGCCTTGTCACCCCAGGCTTTGGGGACTGCCTGCAGTACATCCAGTTCATTGTCCTGGCTGGCAGCCTAAGCTTGAACTATCCCGGCTTCTACCAGCCGGCCATCAGCCAGGCTAGTTGGTCGGTTCTCTTGTTCAACCAGAGCTTTGTAAGCAAGGGAAACGGCTCGCAAAGCCTTGACGATGGCATCTATATTGTCAACGGGACCTATGGACTGACTCGACTTGGACAGTACGTAGGCCTGACCATGGAGCGGGACATGTGGGCCTGCATGGCTATCTTTCTCTTGGCAGTCATCGCCATCGTCATTGTCTTGACGCAGCTCGGCTTCATCGGGCGCTGGCTCATGCGTATGCTTACCAACACCCAGGATGGGGACCTTACAGGGAAAAACTGGTCCTTCACCGCTGGTCACATCGTTCGCCTCGTCTTCAATTTCTTCATGCTGCCAATTGTGGCATTGTCACTGTTCCAATTGGTCGTAGCACCACGATCTCCTGGATCCGTGGTTGGTGCATCCGTCGTTCTTCTTATCGGCGTCATGGGAATAGCGTCCTGGATATTCTGGCTCATCTTCACCACGCGTCCTCGCGCTCATCTCTTCGACGACTTACCAACTGTATTGACCTATGGGCCACTTTACAATACCTACTCTGACGACGCTGCCCCATTTGCTTTCATCCCTGTATTGCTAACCATCCTACGAGGCATTGCCATAGGGGCGATCCAGCCCTCTGGCATAGCCCAGATTATCATGCTCGCCATCTGCGAGGTAATCTTAATACTAACACTACATGCTTTCCGGCCCTTCCAATCGAACACGTCCATGAATGCTTATCACACCTTCTTCTCCGTCATCCGACTTGCGTGTATCCTCCTCTCGGTTGCCTTTGTGCCCTCTCTTGGTGTTGCAGAGTCCTCGAAAGGCTGGATCGGGTATGCGATTCTGCTTCTACACGCTGTGGTCCTGGTCTTTGGTTTCTTCCTCAACGCCTTACAGACCATTGTGGAGGTCATTGCAAGGCTGTCGGGCGCAGGTGCAGACACTAGAGGTGGACTCACCAAAGTATTTGGGAAACGTCAGCTATCGAAACGCGTAAACCATCGACAACAACGTAGCAGCCTCAACTCCAATGCGGCGATGCTTGTCAACGACGAGAACAAAAACATACAGCTTATGGAGAGTCGGTCGCGCAGCATGTCGGCCAGCTCTGCTGTACTACTCAATCAGCCATATGACAGAGATGAGCAACGTCGGAGCGGAGGCTATGACTTCAATGAAGGCACAAGTCCGGGAACGCCTGGAGTCAACCCAATGCCTTTTAACTTCCTGGGCGGTGGTTCTGGCCAGAGCTCTCGGAGACCAACAATGGGGGGACAGCTGGAGACAGCCGATCCTTATTACAGGCCTCCCCGGGTGCGCACAAACACCATGGACTCTGTGGGACCTGGTGCACGAGGTCGAGGACAACCACCGGTAGGAAGTGCAGATATTGTCGATGCGCCATACTCGGATCGAGTGGATATCGAGGCTGCTCACGATGCAGGCGAGGGTCCGTCTCGCGCTTCGCCAGCGTATCTGCGCATGAACAGGGAGAACGATTCTGATCCAAATCTCGAGCGTCGCAATAACACGGACTACTCAGTACGAGAGTCTGATTTCTACTACGGCCTTCGTGGACCCGCGCTTTCATCGCAACCAAGCCGAAAGTTGAAGACAGGCCCTGCTGATCCCATGAGTCCAGTATCGTCTGCTACAGGCTGGTTCAAGAGTCTAAACCTGATGGGTGGTGGCCGGAAGAAAGAGAAGAGCAAGGGGTTCGAAGTTGTCAGGAGCACAAGGATGCCTCCACAAATGATGGCTGTTGAAGAACAAGAGGAGCAAGAGCAGGCACCACCGTCGACGCAGGAGCCGTATCGAGATGACCCCGAGTCGCCCGAGTCGAAGAAGAGTCAAAGGAGTCCAATTCGAGGGGTCGCACCAGCTAACGTACTTGCCGGTGGGGAGAGAAGACGACGGTCGAGCGACAGTGAATCCAGCTCCAGCGGGTCCGACTCGGATGACGCCGATGCCTTTCCATATGACTCGACTAACCGGGTTTCGGAAATTCCGCCTATGCTCGGGCCTATAGAAATGGGGGGCGGCATCGAACTTCCCAGCCGGGTCGGATCGCGGGTCTCGCGAAGATCAACACGGGGCGCCCGAGCACCGACGATACCAAGAAGGAGCTCCAGGCGGACGCCATCGACAGACGCGGCGATAGTTGAGAACAACGGACGAATGTCACGCATCATGGACTCGCCGCCAATGCCGCAGAGCAATGTTCATTTGCAACCTGCGGGTGGCACGTTACCCATCCGGCTGCCGTTTGGGTCCACAGATCCGTCGCCCGAGCGATCGCCTGGCCACTCTGCAGCGTCGAGCGCGTACCGGCAAGCACTGGCGCCACCGCCGACAATAGGTGGCCACGGAAGAGTCAGCACGGGCTTTGTGCAAGGGCATAGGACGCAGGACAGCTTCCACAACGATGGCTACGACGGGGCAGACGTAGAAGCAAGGGCGGAGATTGTAGACCGCAGTCGGAGCGGCAGCACACAGATGAGCGGACGCAGCCGGAAGTCCAGGCAACTGTGATGCTGGGGCGGTGAGTTGTGCATGGGCGGTGAGGTGACGGGTGGGTGATGCGGGATTGCGTAGTAGATGGATTTCTTTTGCGAAAAGTGTGTTCTCTTGCGACAGTAGCATTTTATAATCATGACGGCTGTACATTCAGAGTCGAAGCGCAGAAGGGCTCGGTCTTTGGCGTTGAGGCGTGGCGGGGGTCAGGGTGGGGATGCACAGCAAGGCGCACGAGGGGCACTGCATAGGCACCGAGGGGATCTTGGGACATTTGGGATCAGCAGCGTTCTTGCTTGTATGTTGTAGATTGGGCGAAGACGGCATGAGCCGCGACACATAGACCAGGAATACGAGCACTGTGAATGCATTGCATGGCTGTGGGGGTGGCGTGATACGTGCGGGTGCAGGAGCCGGGCTAGCGTGCACTGCTGCGTTGCTGGTTGCTGGTTGCTGGTTGCTGCAGGCGCGGACGTGTGGTTGATGACGGCCACGCACCACGCACCACGCACCACGCACCACGCACCACGCACCACGCTCTCGCCGGCCTCTCCAGGGCCCTGACAGCGACGCGGGACCGCCAGCCTTTGTTCTCGCCGGCGCACACATCGCGCGCGGTGTTGCAGCTCGCCCGCAACGCGCACACGAGCTTATCGCCGCGACCGCCGGCCAAACACTGGCCCCGCCGACGTCCGTGGCCCGCCGCAACCCAACGCCCTGCGCGCTCAGCGGCCGGCTGGCAGGCTGCTGGGGCCCCGACTCAGCGGCACAGGCAGGAGGTCGCGGAGCCTGAGCAGGCGGCATAACTAGCCGGGGCAGAGCAGGTGTGGCGGCGTGTCGCCGTGAGCGTCCGATGCTCTCTCACCGCGCCGCCTGAGCTCCCGCACGCCTCACGCCAGCCCTCGCGCGCCTCGCCGCCCGCGCTGCACCATGGACCGCCCGCACGACTCCCGCAGCGACCGCAACGACCGCCGCGACCGCGACGACCCCGCCCGCGACGATGCAGCCCGCGACCGCCGCGACGCCCCCGAGCAGCACCGCCGCCTGCACGGCGCCGTGGGCTCGCCCTTCCTGGCCCAGCCGCCCCATGGCTACGGCCGCGAGACCTGGGTCGACTTCCTGCGCGACGGCGGCGTCGACGCCCCTCGCATGCGCCCGCCCCCGCCGCCAGCATCGTCGTCGTCGTCGCCGGAGCCCGCAGCGCTGCCCTCGCGCCCGCCGCTGCCCGCTGGCCCCGCGTCCGCCGCGTCCGCCGCCAGCAGCGCCGACCGCAAGAGGCGCCTGACCACGGCCGAGCCGCCCATGCGCCGCCCGTCGACCCTGCGCGGCCGCAGCAGCTCGCACGCCGGCTCCAGTGCCGACGCCCTCGCACCCCTCGTGCCCGGCCCGGCCCTGGCGCCCGCCCCCGCCCCGCGCGACCGCCCGCTGCCGCCGCCGCCGTTGCGCCGCGAGAGCGACCTGGTCCTGCCGCCGTGGCAGCCCGACGCCGCCGTCGCCCACTGCCCGGTGTGCACGCGCCAGTTCACCTTCCTGTTCCGCAAGCACCACTGCCGCAAGTGTGGCCGCGTCGTGTGCTCCCAGTGCTCGCCGCACCGCATCACCATCCCGCGCCAGTTCATCGTCCACCCGCCCTCCGACCCCGCCCACGCCATCATCGACCTGACCGCCGACGACCACCCCAACGACATGGCCAGCTTCGGCCCCTTCCGCAACCCCGCCCTGGGCGGCGGCGAGGAAGTCCGCGTCTGCAATCCCTGTGTCCCGGACCCCAACTACAGCCTCCCGCCACAGTACCCCTCCTCGACTGCTCGCCCGTACCCGCACCCTCGCCTGCGTCCGCAGCACCCGCAGCACCCGCAGCACCCGCAGCACCCGCCGCACCCGCCGCACCCGCCGCATCCGTCGCACGCCCGCCCCGACTACACCCCGGCCGCAGTGGCCCCCTACCAGCGTGCACACCGGTCGGCCTCCAGCGTGCATGCTGTGCCACAGCCTGCTGGCCAAGGGCAAACGCACTCTTCGCGCGATCCCTTTGCCAGTCGCCGGGTGAGCTACCACGACCCCTCCCGTTCGGAGGACCGTTGGCCATCCCCGCTGCCAACCCTCAGCCACGTATACTCCTCGCACAACCGCCAGCATGATCAGAGCTCGCCTTCGCACATACCCACCGGCCCCTCCTACACACCACACCCATACCAGCAACGTGCAGAACCAGACTTCAATCCTGCGAGAGGAGCCAACATGTTTCCGCGCCAGCTCTTCATACCGCCCACGCAGCCTCCACAAATCCAGCAGCTGAATCCTCGACCCCGCCGGCAGATTGCGGAAGAAGACGAGTGCCCCATCTGTGGTGGAGAGCTACCAGCCAAGGCTCCGGACGGCGATGATTCTGCACGAGCTCAACATGTCGAGGAGTGCATTGCGCTACACTCGTCTTCCCCAGCCCCCAGCTCACTACCACGTCCGCAAGTGCAAGCCTCTGCCAGCCTTCCGGTTACACGCACTCGTGGTATGAGCAGTGTAGGAAACGGTGAAGGTGCGAGCTCGCATAGGCACAGCCATGCTGCCCGAGGCATGTTTCCATACACTGCAACCGAAAAGGATTGTGTGGATGAAGACGGGAACGATGCTGAATGTGTCATTTGTTTTGAAGAGTTTGAGGCAGGGGACAAGATGGCCAGGCTGGTGTGCTGGTGTAAATTTCACGAGGTACGCTTTGAACCAAAGAACATCGGACATCTCAAAGCTAACGACATTTAGAAATGTATCAAAGACTGGTGGAAGATGAAAGGCCGAGGTGCATGCCCTACACACCAGCTGCACGAAGAGTAGTGCTTTGACACGACTGCTCTAAAGATCATTGCTTGGGTCTTCGCAGACAAGTGACACTGTCCAAGGAAGGAACATAGAACCACCCACTCAGCCAACAGACGGTTCATTTGGCGATTAGTTGCAGATGGCGTTACGGTATACCCACGGTTTCCACTCATATCATATTGTTTCTTTGCGTTTCACCCCCGGCGTTGCAGGACAGAAGAAGAAGGAATGGAAGGCAGGTAGGGGACGCAGCAAGTCACGTCGAGTTGTGCATCAAGACATAGCATGGTAAACTGGAAAATCTCTACTCACGCCCAGCAACCAACGCCGTCCTCCCCCTTGCATCCCGGTTTGCCAGAGCAGAAACTCTCATTGCTGCGTACTGGCTGTGTTTCCGTTCAGCCTTGCTAGTGAATGTTGTCTACTGATGCAATTATGCGGTGCGAATATTCTAATGAGGCATGGAAGCACAAATTCATAGGTGCTTGCCCTGATCAGGCTTCTTTGCAGGCGCCGACGGAGCACGTCCTTGCTGGATACGTATTTCAGACCGGCCCGTTGTGCGCACCAGCGCGATCCGAATGACGGTGCAATACAGACAGTAATCGCGCAGCCGCATGCTGCAGGCCGACGCGATTACCATGAAAATGCAACACTTCTCACGAGGCCCGTCGCGCTTGGCGAGAATTGATGGCCGGAAGAGAGGGCCGGGGAGGAGAAGAGGTGCATTCGATTTTCCCAGCAAGAAGCGCAGAGACTGCAATAGCTCGGGAGAATGGAGCGGTGGTAGTGCATGCGGGCCGATGCCGGAATGACAGGTGATGGACGACAGTGGTGCATGGACTGTGCAGCACTGGACTCCCTGCGTTAGTGAAGAATCATCCGTGCGACATGTTGCCCGTGTTCGTTTCTCGCGGTGCCAGGTTCTTAATTACCTAGCACCTTGCAGTCCAGAAACAGCAGTCAGTGAGCCTCGTATCTGCGCGTTCCTCCAAGCCACCCACTTGTTCAATGACAGAGCGCGACAGTACGGAGCTGTCCCGGAAAGTCGGCGACCTCAACAACCTAGCGCTGCAACTCGAGGCCTATAGCCTGCAAAGCCGTTTTCTTAATGGCTTCTCCGACTCCAGCACACCTTGTCGACTCCAATCGGTAGCGGCCTGGAGGCGCTGGCGCTGGCTGCTGACGCAGATATCGTATGTTGTTTGCATCTACGCTTGTGCCTGAAAGCGACTGAGATCTTCATCGGTCTGACGGCCCGACCCTGTGGGATGCACCATTCGTGTGCCAATTGGGCCCTCGAGAATCTCTTCCGCAGCCGCTGTCAAGGCGATCGATTGAGTTTTCCCGCAGAAGGGCCGAAGGATAGACGAGATCTCGGTATAATTGCCGCGGCGTAGTTCCCGCTTGTGGTTTGTCAGATTGGAGATCGGAGGCTGCCACCATTCCCGGTAGGTGCGAAAGAAGCAAGCAGCGTGCGGGCTGTTACGCAAGCGTGGGAAGTTTGGTACTCGATCCTGCAGTCAGCCGCTGCGCCGATGAGTCTTCTCTCCATTTGACGCCCATGGCTCGCGTGTTAGGTCGCCGATAGCGCCCTTGAAACCGTTGCCGCCACGTTCTAGCGATCAAACCCCCAGGCTCCAGAACGCAAAAGGAATTGTCAAGGTGATTTTGCAGTCTTCGTTGTCACATCAAGTGATGGAACAGTCCTCACCCAGAACAATCTCCTCCAATCGGACAACAGCTCAACATGGGGCTTCTCCCGTTTTGAAGCTGCAGTAGGATGAGATTCAGAGGACGCGCCCATTTTGGATGGTTCTTCCGTAGCAAACGATATGTATCGAGGTTAGATCTACAGTGGAAAAGTGAGGCATTGCAGAGACTACTCTTGGGCCCGCGTCAAATTGTCACGATATCGCTGTCGATCTATCGTGATGTAGGTACAACAAGGTGGCAGCTCAGCTTGTGCCGTAGCAGAGACGACAGGGTTGCAGGAAATTCGCGTTCCGCGTTGGCGTCGTGTAACACGATCGACGATCAGATCGTGTTCTGACTCGTGGACTTGACACCCCGTACCCGGGGACCAGGATAGAACACGCCATCGGGCCGGGTCGATTGGCGCAGAACTAAGTGCAACCCATTGGCTATAAGGACAGCGATTGGGCGAGAGAATTCATTTGCGCTCACGTGCGGACCGTACGAGTCGCGAATAACTTTCGATACGTTTATGAAAAGTGTCATTCGCGACTCCATTGGCTATGATCAATGCTTGGTCCAAAAACCGAGTTACGCGAGAATGATCGGTACGCGAGGCTGCGCAACAGGGATGTGGCAGCCATCAAGAAGCAATATGCAGGTTAGATGATTATGACAAACACTGATAGCCTATGTTACGTACTACGATACTTAATCGAGGACGACAGGAGACTCGCGGCTGCGTTTTGAATGGCCCACACATGTGTGAGAGTGTAGGGGGCGGAGGCATGGTTGCTTTTGTTGGCTGGTGGCTGACCAGCAGTGACGACAACGGTCAGGCTCAGCATGCAGGTTCTACAAGACACGATGCTGACATTGGCTTGTAATCTAGCATGTCGCTGTACGCAGTTTGAATCAGTTGGGAGTTGAACCGTTAGATTTGCTCCCAGGGTAAAATCTTTTGTCTACGTTTATTGTTTTGCCTTCAGTCCCAGTGGTGTCTGACACGATGATAACGCATGCGAATTGCTTGTATACAAACGCAACATCCAAGGTACCAAAATAGCATGCTGGGAAGTGGCATGAACATGTTATTGGGGCGCCTCACAGCCCTACCATGGCTTCCATTGATCTGCCGCTATATGCTCACACTTAGTGCTGTGATTTCATCCATCTTTATCGCCGCCTTCGGGGCCGAGAAACGAGTATGGATACGCCATCTGCTGTCCAGTGCTCCCGTGATGAAAAGTTGGAAGGGCATGGCCCTGGTCGGACATGGGCGAGATAGCCAACCCTGGTTTAGGGTTGCATAACGTTGGGGCCGTTGGATTCGCCGACCAATGTGTGTGCACCCCGTAATGCTCGTTGCTTACAGGACTTTTCGCTTTATTTCCAAGGGGCGATGAGTATGTTGTGCGTACGAGAGGCGGGGTCGTTGCAAGGTGGTACAGCGATGGACACGAGTTGTGTCTGATTTGTGCTGCTGATATCCGCTGCTTGGCTGTTGGGACAAATTGCGTCCACTGCTCGGGCTGTCGAATATTGCCACTGCCATGTGTACGTAAATCCGGACTCCGGGCGCTTACGAAAGCTCTTGGAGGTGTGATCCGTCGTGGATTTGGCTGCTGTAAGTGAGGCAACGGTTTTCGATGTGGAAGAAAATGCTCATCGATACCGTCAGCACGATTTGGTCGATGTGCGGACTCTGCAAGGCTCATAGTCGAGGCCAGGCCTGTTACACAAAGCTGTCCCTGGTGAGATTCCTGTAGCGACAATGCACAACATCGTCTCGATGCCGATTTTTGGGGCGACTCTGCAATACCATGTAGCTCTCTCGGAATTGGCGTAATCGCACTTGGGCTTTCCAGCTTCATGTGGCCCGAAGAGTCGAAGCTACAGCCGAAATCCGGTCCTTGCTCTTGCTTCGGTCGATCCGGAGTCGTAGCCTCACTCTCAGCTCCTGCCGAGGCCCAAGAGAAGGGCTCGAAGTGTTCTTGTGTGTATGACTGCAGGCCTGCTTCCTCCGGAAGTAACATTCCCGTGTTCCCCATTACTGTATCGCGGATAGCTTCCGCAGTGTTCACCACTCCATCTTGGGCTATACTGGCTGATCCCTTGTGATTCGACACCTGAACTCCGCCAGCTCCGCCCATGTCCTTCCGCAACTGGTCTAGACCCCAGCTCAACTTTTCCACGGCCAATCCGGCAAGGCTGTGGACACCATTGTCTTGCAACTCTCTGAAGACAGCATATGCTTGTTCAACTTTTCTCACGTGTGACAAGTTTCCAGTCTCCAATGCATCTAGAAGGAGTATCATGGAGCCGTTGAAGGCTTGTTGGCTGATGGTCCAGGAGACAAGCGATGCTGGAGCACGTGAGTAAAAGAACAGAAATGCCGTGAGAATTCCCGATGAAGACTGGAGCACGAGCGGACGACCACGTGGTTGATTTGGTATTGACATGGTAGGAGAAGGATGCGAAGTAACTGTCTTATTGACAGGCCGAAAAGACGAGTAGAGCTTTGAAGCCGCTGTTTGGGGGCGTCCCATTTTGTCCGTGCGCTGACGATTCAGAAGAATCAGGTAGGTGTGCGTCTTGCAGTAGTATACTTCGGGTGGTGAGCGGTGACCAAAAGGCTATTGTTAGTACAGATACACGTACCAGCAGCCATGGCACCCAATGGCCATTCCGGAAGCGTCTTCGATCGATCCAACCACGACTCCTCAAATTGAAGCATTTCAGGCATGGTGTCCAGAAGTCCAATCAAGAGATCGGTAAACTCGTCGATCTTAGCGTGACTCATTTGACCGCAGCTCAGAATTTGCCTGGCAAGGATAGTGAAATGATTGATGAATTCGCCAAGTCGTAGCATCTGCGGATCAGTCGTCAACTCATGTGGGGGAGGGCAATCCCCCATGCCGCTTATACCGAGAGGGCGGCCCAGAGTCATAGAGTACTGCTCGTCCATATGCAGCATCCACCACCAAAGAGTCTGTCGAATTGAACATTCACGTTGAGTGGGTGGAGCCGGGTCCAGATACTTCGGATGGCGGTGGAGACCGATTGCTTGGGCCAGTCGAATGGTGGTGCCAAAAAGCGTCCACGCGTCCAGGAAGCGGCCAGAGTTGGAAAGAAACGGTCCTATCATGAGAAGAGATTCTATGGCTAACAGTGAAGGTTTGTGCATGAACGATGAGATCCGGAGGGCTTGCATTGAAGCTGCAACTACACACTAGTTAGCAAGCGTTACTTGGTCGTGTGCCAGGACACACTGACTGTAGACGTTTCCTCTCTGTGCTTCCGTGTCGATCAGTTCATTCTTCCATTGCTCACCGGACTTGTCCCAAACAGAGTGTTGCGAGCCTAGTGCGATCGCAGCAAAGATCAGCGCAAGCATGTCGGGACACATCCTAGCGTTTCTCTCCGGATTTGAGAGGAATCGCTCAATCTCGCTCTTAGTCAGCTCAAAAGGGAAATGAGGGAAAGCGCAGATGTAAACCCGCTTTTCAAAAGCGGCTAAGTATTCCAGAAGCTCCTTCCGACAAGGCAAAATATCCAAGAGCTGAGGAATACATTCCTCTGGGGTGGCAGGGAATAACGTGGCAAACGGGTAAGCAGAGGATGACTTTGGTGCGAAGATATCTGGACCTCGAGGCATGTGGTGCGCCAATGACTGTACATTGCAAGGTCGTAAATTGACAGTCGCGAACTATACCAGGATTAACATAATCACAACAAAAACACCGCCTTTGCCACTCACGTCTGTTATGATATTTGCGAGACCAGGAGAGCCAAAATATATGGAGTCAGACCACTCAGAGCCTTGAAATCGCTTCTGACGTGCTGTGCGCTTTTTGATTGAAGATGCTCTAGATGTATCACCCGGCTGGGATCCTGAGGATTGATCGGACTCATCGTCCTCAATTGAAGTTCTGCTTGCTCGTAATCTTTCTTTCAGTCGTAGGTTCTCCGCACGGAGTTTGCGTAGCTCATAAGACTGTTGGATTGGCGCGTAATCGCCCCCTTCTGCGACAAAATGGCATTCTTTAGGTGCTCCTCGTGCGCAGCAGGCTGAACAGGGTTTGGTACGATCGCATTTGACCTTTCGTTCGCGACATTTGGTGCAAGATAGGAGTTGGCGTGGTTGCTGAGATTGTTGCTTCCTTCTAATGATATCCATAGGTTGGCCAGCGGGACTACGGATGCGATCGTGAGGGAATGTAGACATTATAAGATGGTCGTCATTCGGACCGGAATGTCACATAAACCAGCGTGTGGAACATAGAATACAAAAAGATATGATCGGCCCAATGCAGCCCGTGCGGATTGTGATATAAGACTGCTGTTGTTAGTCAGAAGGAGCCTGTCGGGATTCAGCTCCTATGATGGACAAATGCATGTCGCTTAGCCGGGAGTGGCTGATCCTTGATCTGTAGTCCGTGATCAGTAATTGCAAATTGGTGTAGTCGGCAGAAATGAAAGGTGGAGATTGTCTGCAGTGGGAGCGTGTCGGTCAAGAGTGTCAAACTCTCGTTGTAGGCATGGATCCGCATTAGTCGTGGTGCAGTAATCGTGCATTGGCTAGCCTCATCATGTCTCAGTAGTACAAAGATATCGCCAAGAAGTGAGTCGATTGTCGGAAGAGTACATGATACTTGATCTGGCGCATATTACCAGAGCCCAGTCCCTTGGATCCACACGCCCCGGCCGTGCGGCATGCGCGTGGATACACATGTCTGAGCGAAGCGGGTCCTTTGCCGTGCCATGATTTGTTTGCCCTTGGAAACGAAACGGGCTACGCGGCGCTGACAGCAAGACAGTTGCGCCTTGCAACATTAACAGCTGTTGTTGGTGCGCTGCTGGCTTCTGGTGGCTTGCAGGGGTAGTGACAAGGTGCCTTGCCGGCCCGCTGTAACTTATCGTTGCCGTCGCGCTTAGATATCGCCTTCCCCGTGCCGCCCGTCCAGCCTAATGACCTCCGCGTCATTTGCCGTTACCGCATCGAGCACTGGAATAGTCTTCATTCACGTGCCAGGACCACCCGAACAGCTATATGGCCGCCAGTCGCCCTCTGTCGCACGAACGCCTCACCGCCACCAACGCAAGCAAGCAATCTAATTGGACAGGCGCTTGGAGCGACGCTAGAAGCTGAGCTTCTCAGCTGCATTTACCAAGCACCCGAAGAAAGAACGCAAAGTGAGGCTCTGGCTGGCCAAATGACGTACCGTTTTAGTCATGACGTTCACTGTTCGAGGTGGTCTGCTTCCCTCTTCATTAGTCGAACCGGCTTGACGTAGATGCGAGCATTGAACAAGTCCACACTGTCGAGAGCGACCTCCCACTCGTCACCCAGTCGGGCATCGTCAATGTCGCGAATGGCCACTCTCAGACCAAATTCGGGCATAAGACCTACTGCCATAGGCCTGACTGAACGTCGGTTGGCACTCAAATCGACAAATCTGATCCAGCATCTGAATGTAGTAGGCAGGTCAGCTTCGTTGTAGTGCAAAGCGCGCAGGAAAGCCTGAGAAACCCAATGGTTGACAGCATTCCTCTGTGTTGCGGCTATAAGTTTTTCTCGAGGCGAAAGTGTTATGATTGACTCCTGAATTTGACGCAAATTGAATGGCAGAATACCAGCCGGGGAGCTTGGTCCGGCACCGTTGAATTTTCTGCCGGTCTCGAACTCGTAGCGAATAGCGGCTTCGATCTGCCAGTGTGCTATCATGTCACTGAAGCGTCGAAGTGGACTCGTCACTCGAACATAACCGGGGACTCCAATGACTCTGTGTGGCAATGGGGACGTGTGAGCAATGGCTCTCCCCAACGACTCCATGTATTGCGTGGTCAGATGAAGGGGCGGATTCCGACGTTTTTCCAGGTAGTTCGACATGATATCGTGTTTCAATTCATCTGATGATGCTCGATTGACATTAGGTGGAGCGACCGACCCTCTGAACATCACTGGTATGCCTCGATCCCCACACCAGGCCGCAGCTGTCGAGCATCCTAAGATCATGATCTCCTCAACTATGTTGGTAGCGTCCATATCGAAACGAAGGAATCCTTTTGGTGCAGCCTTTGTGATTTCGATGATTGGATCGCTTTTAATGGAACGTGAAGCATTCGGAGATGGCGCAGTCCATGTCAGACCGGGTTTCAGTGTGCTTTCAAAGACACGGACGCTCGGTGAGCTGTTGAACATGGATATTCCGCCACGTTTTTGACGCTTCTTCGAAAGCGCCCTGGCGATGGTGTAGAGATTCCGCAATTCTTGGACTTGACCGGGGTTGATCGCCGGACTTACTCGCGATTTGGTACTGATCTCTACTGTGCCGCCAACAACAAGTCTCTGTCTTTCCCCCTCAGCGTTCTCGCCTAGGCTCGACGCCAATTCCGAAGGTGTGATCGAGACTGGGTTGCGGATGATTCCATGCGAAATGTTCGTTTCGAGCACATTCCCATCATGATCGACCCTGGAGCTGAACGTGATGACGGGACGGTTACGCTGGAGACTGAAGTGTTCGTTGGTAGCCCACCGTGGTAGCATAGGAAACGTCCGCTCCGGTGTGTACACAGTCTGAGTCATATGTGCAGCGAGGCTGGACAGTGTGTGCGATTTGTTAAAAAATGCAGTCGGATTCGCCACATGGACATGTACCCAGAACTCTGAACGTGCGTTCGTAACCTTCTCAATTGAGATGCCGTCGTCGATTTCTTGAGCCCCGACATCGTCTATACAATAGACGTTGGTCGACCCCCAATCTCGACGCATGTCAGCCATGGAGTCCCTAAAGTCAGGCGTGATTCGTAGCAAACTTGCTCTCTCGTTGAGCGCATCCAAGTTTCGTGAACGCCGGACTGTTGGAAGCATGAGCTGCTCGTCATATATTGAACGATTCTCGTAGGGCGTGACGACGCCAATCTCTTGCAGGAACACAAGACCTGTTGCGCGACGGATCAGGTCCGATTGCGAATCTTGATCGGCTGGATGCTGGATGACTCCAGGTTTGTAGCATCCGGTGGCCGCTACGAGATCAGCACAGGCAGAATGTAGCCCACCCATATTCTGAAATTGGTTATTGAGGACCCAGGCTTGCAGAAATGTAATAATTTCATGGTCGGTCCTCGTGAACGTTTCGCCTGTGGTAGCTCGCAGTGCCATAGTTGATGCATGTGTGTTTCGGCTTTTGCTGGGTCCCAGTCCACCTGAAGTAGGGTCGCGATCCTCCCTGCTCTTCGCGATTAACCTGCGAGCCTTTTCCAGGAATTGCACAATGTTTCTGACTCCTTTCATACTTGTCGTGTCGGGTTTTGGATTGCTTGCAGGCCTAGCTAGAGACTCGAAATATTCACGTATCCATTGGTGAACGGTCTCGACGACGTGTACGTCACTTTTAGGACGAATGGCAAAGACGTTGGTCAAACGATGACTACGCTGATCCGAACGGAAGCGAAAAGTGTTGTGGTTCAAAGCTTTCCTCACTGCTAAAAGATCTGACGAAGAGGGCTTCCACATGGTGTCGCCTTGAGCTAGCAAGGTCTTCGCAATTTGCGCAAGTGTCATCATTCTAACACGGCTGTTGTCTGCAAGCACAGCGTAAGCGGTGTCCAAGACAGGCGCATTCTTACGGTAAACAGCTTCAGACATTACGGCCAGGTTATTAAGGAGCTGTTGCACCGGAGCAGCTACCTTGGCTGGCACATGGACTTCGCCCTTGGGATTCGCTTTATCAGGATCCGTAGGTAGAAACGGTAAGAGTGGTCGTAGCAGCGCAGGATCTACACAGCCTGGGATTGCAAAGGATATCTGGGCAAGATTCGAGTGGGCCCATCTCCCGTTGATGGTGTAGAACTGGCTGTTGCTGTCCAGTTGCTGGACGAAGACGGCGAGAACAGGCTCTCGTCCAGCTTGCCTGCGATGTGTCAATGGTTATTCCCCCCCCGTTCAATATGGTGAGGGACTCACGAGAGTTCGACCACATCTCCGGGCTTCAAAAAGAGACCGATAGTGATCAGATCTTCCCCGTCATCGTCTTCACCCGCAAACCATCTGTCCCCTTCCGTCTGTTCTTCTACGGCGGATGCACTCGAGACTTTCGAGAAGCTATTCATTATGTCACCATTCGCTGGATGCTTCTGAAAGGCAGAGAGCGTCTCCTCGCTAGGTCCTCCATACTGTTCTTGCCACTTCTGCAGGTGGTCGCGAACGGGCAGTTGTGGCGGACGGGCGATAAAGACGGGATCGACAGCGAGGTCGATGGGCACGGGGGTAACGAAGGATTGTAGGTGCTGGTTTGTGTCAGTATATTGTGCGAATTACAGGTGTGGTAAGGTCGTACAGGTGTCGACGTATGGAGTCTGCGCCCAGGACGAGTCTGCCGAAAACTTATGGCAGTATTGGGATTGCGCGAAGTCTGCAAAAGGCTATTTTGATGGCTCTGTGAAGCGATTCTACACCGGCATCGCAGGTAAACATCACCAGGGGCCCACAAAGCACGTGGGTGCATGTTTTGGAAATATGATGAAGGCTACAAAAATGTCAACGATGATGCGCTCAAGGAAGTCGCGACGGGGCACTAGCGCGCCTGCTAAGATAGATCGGCCACACCTGTCTCCTCCGAGAACTCCGCACCGTCTCTTCAGACACACACAATTGATGGTAAGCATCAACCATTTTCTTCGCACTCAACCCCCCTGTCTTGTGATGTTTTCCAATAGCATGTATTATCCGACTGTCGCTTCGGTGACGGCCTGCGGAACACCTTTTTTGGCTGATCAGAAAATTTGCTCACCCTTGTTGCACACTGTTCCTAGGACACAAAAGCTAACAAGGTCCAGTCATTGTTGCTGTCATGGTAGCCTCAAACCCTCCAGCGGGGCACTTTACCATCTTGTACTTTGCGGCCGCCTCGACCTATACAGGCAAGACCACGGAGCATCTGCCCGCACCCCTCCGGGTGCGCAACCTGTTTGCACAGCTCGATGCCGCATATCCTGGCTTCGGACTGAAGGTGTTGAGCAGCTGTGCTGTGACTGTTAATCTCGAGTATGTTGATCTAGACGATAGTGATGCTCTCGATGTGGATGCCGAGATAAAAGCAGGCGACGAGGTTGCTATCATACCGCCTGTAAGCTCAGGCTAGGGCCAGCAGTGCTGCAACGGAGTGGGTGCAATGTGGACCGAGGATCGCATGCCTGCTGTCTGGTTGAATGGGTCACGTGAGGAGGCCGGCCGCGGCTGCTGTTGACCTCACCGCACGAGGACTACGATTAGCGAGTAGCGACCGAGGACGGACGGTGGCTGGACAGTAGAGAATGTTAGCTCGCGTGTTAATTGTGATTGTGCCTCAACGTTCTCGCGTCACGCGTCACGCATCACGTAGCACGCTCTCACGTTGCAAAGTAAATGGCGGACTATGAATGAGCCGGACATCCTACTACGCGACAGTAACGTGGGGAGAATGCACAAAAACTCTACAGAATATTTTTTTGTCTACAATATAAGTAGTTCTTATACAAAGTTTAGCTTTTAGTATTGTGATAGCTACAAGTTCTATATGAAAGTTAGTGAGCTCTGCTTATCCACCGTTTTTTCTGAAACTTGGGAGGCACGCATGTGGAGCGTTCCAAGCTTCTGACCGTCTGCGAGCATGTGCAGCAATGCTAGGTCGGTGGAGCTTAGCGCAGCGCAGCATGGCGTCGAGCGTCAAGCCCCCACAGCCAAGCGCCCATTCACCGACACCCCGACCCGAGGTTCTTCGCGCTGTGCTGAAGCACCACGACATGTCTGCGCCGATCGACCCGGCCTTGTTTTCCCCGTTCGACGGCAAAGAGCACGCGCAACCGCAGCCATACGCGCCACAGCCGCCGCCCAACGTCGGCCACCCGTACTATCTGCCTGCGTCAGCACCGCAGCAGCAGTCGCAGCAGTCGCAGTCGTCGCAGCCGTCGCAGCCGCCGCCGGCGCGCACCCACAGCCTGGACGCGGCGCTGCAGCAGACGTCGCCGCCAGTGCCAGAGGGCAGCCACGACGAGTACGATCCCGACGACGGCGACCCCGACGGCGCGCAGGCGACGCCGGGCTCTGCCAAAGACGCCGCCGACTTCAAGCGCCCCCGCGCCTGTGACTCGTGCAGAGGGCTGAAGGTGCGCTGCGACCAGGAGCGCCCGGAGGTGTCGTGCAAGCGATGCGCCAAGGCAGGGCGGCCGTGGTAGGCCACTGCTCCCGCTGCGGCGCGCGCCCATGACTGACGCTGCCAGCATCACCACCCCGCCGACACGCAAGCGCCAGAAGAAAGCCGACAGCCGCGTCGCCGAGCTGGAGCGCAAGATCGATGCCTTGACCGCGACCCTGCACGCGCAGAAGTCTGGCGCCCCCGAGCCCCGGCACCCCGGCGCGCCGCAGCACGATGGCAACACTGCCGTCCCAGCCATGCCCGACGCCTCGTTCCGCATGGGCGCCCTCAGCCACGAGCCGCCCACGCCCGCGCCGTCCGCCTTTGCCCACATACCGCCCGGCTACGGGCCGGCGCAGACGATTCAGCGCGGCCCGGAGGCAAAGCGAAGAAAGGTAAGCGCCGGACACAGCCATGCCGTAGGTGCCCCGTCGCCCTGCACTACGCTTTGCCTGACAGAGACAGACAATACCAGAGCACATGGACGCCATCCACCGCGATCTGGCCGAGCATCCTGAGATGAAGCGCAACGGGAAGACCCGAGTGCACGCTGACCATTCACACATCAACGCCCTGATCGACTCACTCGTGAGCCCCGAGATCGCAGAGCGCGTCTTCCTCCGATACGTCAACGAAATCTGTCCTCATTTCCCGGCTGTCATCTTTGCGCCTGGCACGACCGCTCGAGATGTCCGCGAGAAGAAGCCGCTGCTGTTCTTGTCGCTGATCGCAGGTTCATCTCATGGCAGTGCAGAGCAGCTTGTTGCCCAGGATGTACAGCGCGAGCTGACCAAGCTGCTGAAAGATCAGCTTGCAGATATCATCTGGCGCAACGGAGAAAAATCTCTGGAGATCGTACAGGCCTTACAAGTCGCCGTATTGTGGTATCGACCCCCTCTGCATTTTGAGCAACATAATTTCTACATGATGGTGAATTGCGCTGCGGTCATGGCCCTGGACCTCGGACTCGGACGGAAAGCGACACCGAACGTGATGAAGCTGTCCATAGGCCCATTTCGGAGGTACCATCCCAACTCGAGCACTATTGATGCGCGCCGTACATTCCTCGTATGTTACTATCTCTGCATGAGCATCACCATGGTGCTGCGACGACCAATACTTCTCCGGTGGACGAAGTACATGGAGGAGAGTCTCAACATCCTTGAGACCTCGCCAGACGCGTTCCCCTCAGATAAGCTCCTATGCCAGCAGGTGAAGATGGCTCACATTGGAGAGAACATATCTGTCCAGTTCTGTATGGATGACCCTTCTGCTGAAATCGTCATATCTGAACCCAAGGTCATCTATGCGCTCAAGATTTTTGAAAACGAACTACAACAGCTCAAGGACGAAAATGCGAAGCTAGGTCAAGTGGATCGTAGGTTTGCCAGCGCTCTCATATGCTGCATACTAACAAAAGTAAAGCTACGCTCCGATTGGGGGAACATGTCACAAACCTCTTCCTCCACGAAATTGCGCTACACCAAAACCATAGTGCTGCAGAAATGCAACCACCTTTCTCGCTCGAGACCTTCTCGCCAACTGCAGTCAAAAAAGATGTGCCCATAGGGCCAGCACACATTGGCGCTTTGGGTGAGTGTCTTACCGCGACACACGGCATACTGGATACGATTCTTAGTATTGAACTTGACATTCTCCTGACATTACCTGTCATTTTCTGTAAGTAGTGGCTTGGCCATCTTCACTGCAGTTCCACTAATCGATGCTTGCAAGGTGTCCGTGCTATTTATGCCATCGTCTGTCTTATGAAGATGTGGGTATCAGTGACCAGCTCAAGCGAAGTGAGCAGCATTATCAAGAAGGAGGACCTACAGATTGAAATGTATCTTGAGCGGTTGGTCACTATGTTCAACGCGATCATCTCCCGAGATGCTCAGTCGCCCCACGGAAAGTTCTACTTTGTGGCTAAGCGCTTACAAGAGCGGTTCGCGCAGATCAAGGAGGGCACATCCAGATCAGAGCAGGCAGACTCGAGCGAAGAATCTCGTCGACCTTCGCATGATGGTCTTCAGCCTCCTTCTCGACAAGCCGCGGCAAATCAGACACCTCTACACCTGCTATCTGAAGTTGCTATGGGCAGTAGCAAATCCGGTTCATCTCAGACGCAGTCGCACGCGCATACCCGATCTCAACAACAGGCCCAGGCGGCACTTCAAGCGCAATCGCACGTCGCACAACAACCTTTACAACAGAATTGGTATGGGGGTGTGTCAGCACAGTCGAACGCTCCCGATATGTTGGGCATTCAACAACCACCAGCCTTTGATTTAAATTTTGATTTCACTCAGTTTGATCTAGGAACAGGTTCTGATGCAGACCTCTCGGCTCTATTCATACCAGATTCGATGCACTTGTGGAGCTATCCAACGGACCTGAGTTCACAAGGCTACAGTGGGTTCTGATGCCCCTGGTCGTGTCTTTGCGTGGCCTTTGCTGTATAACTATCGGTTTCGGCGCCTTGTAAGCGTTGCTGAGCCACGGAATGCCTCCAAGTTCAAGTGCAACATTGCAGTAATAAGCAGTCCATCATATTTAATCTTGATAAAAGAGAGGGCCAGGCAAAGCGGTTTGGCATCGCAAAAGCTGCCAATCAAAGTATCTTTGAAAAACTATCAATCCACCTTTCCATCTTTCCAAACGTCGCGTCTTGGCAACGTGTGGATTTAGTCGTTTCCAACGAAGAAGGACGGCCACGAGATGGCGGAGAACGAGTATGGCCCAGGTGCGTGGTAAGCCATGCACAATGTGTAGGGGTGGGCAGCTGCATGCCCCATCGAAAGTAGCATATTAGTGGTCAATGAACCGCATTGCGATATTTAGCAACCAGTACAAGCTCCCTATGTATGCAATTAAGCGCCTATGCGCCCTTGGTCATTGCTAGCTCCAGGCATTTTGCTGCACTTGTGCGGCACACCTCGAATAATCTGCCAAATGAGAGCACACGGCTTGCGAAATTTCTCTTGCGCGAAGGAAGCTAAACCTGGCAGACAATGGGGCCTGACGGCGCCGCCAGCGCAGACGGGGCTATCAATATCACGCTGCATCGAAGAGAGATTGACCTGCTCAAAGGGTGCGACTGCAAGCCTTGCGGGATGGTCGGATCTTCACAACGTGCCTTGGACTATCATCGATGGGCAGATAACGCTTGTCGTGCTGTTCCGGAGAGCAACAAGGTAGACGACTACACGACGCTCGAGCAGGCTAAGTGACAGTCATGAACGGTGAGATCGTCGTCGACATGACCCGGCGGACCGTTCAAGCCCTGGTAATGAGCCGGGTACGACCGTTCACAGGCTGGGAGTAAGGAGTGGCTCGCCATGCAACGGCTCGACGAGCGGCAGACGAACCAGGTTACATCGCGCTAGACTACGAGGAAGCGTTCCAAGGGACAGGTGAAGGGCCTGGCGCTAAACGCCCATGTCAATGCGCAGCAGCATCCTTCGAGAAGCCAGGCAGAGGTGCCGCACTAGATCCATTATCTATTTGTTAAGATGGCAGCGGCGCCTTTGATGGAAGGCTCGATCAGCTCACGACTATTTCGAGCACCTGCGTCTCAGTTCATGCTGCCTTTTACACTGGGACATTAGGGTCGAGTAATCCCGAGCATGCTGGCTGTCTGAGGCGTGACATGACCACCCAAACGGCCCACATCAGCGACTACTTACTATGTCACTCAAGATTGAGGATGCTGTGCCTCCGCCGCATCTATTTTCAAGCCGGTCGGCTACATGGCCCAGTTCCTACGCTTCTCAAGCTGGTTCACTAGGTTCATCGCCTGCTGCAAAGTCTCCCCAGCCATCTCATGCGTTCAGTCGCATGCACGAGAGACCCATGTCTTCACACAACATCGATAACCTGCCAACATCTGGCTGGTACGATCCGTCCATGACAGCCCACGACATGCAGGTTTGTACTGTTCGCCAAGTACTTAGGCAGTTGCAACAAGTGACTGATACGGGTTACTAGTACACCGCATACGAACATTATGTACCGCCCCGATCGTCCATCGTTCTGTCTCCATCTGCAACTTCGTTCCCGCAAGCAGGTCAAGCGTCCTCCTCCATTACCCATGTCGACTCATCAGCAAGAGTTCTGTCTCCAGTACCAGTTTACCCTCAGAGCTCACTACTGAAGGAGTGTGCACAGCAATCGGTTGAGCTCCCGCTGATATCGAATTCGACCTCACAGCGGTCACCAACACGTGTGAAAGCCAAGGCTCGTAGCCAACAGTCTCCTCATAGCGAATTCTCTGTGGCGCAACCTGGCCCGGTCGCGTCATGGTCTGTCGATTCTCTTGGGATTCACACACCCTCGGCACAGTCGGAGTCGTATTACATCAACTTTGCTCAGCACGCACGAGGTCTCCGCACGGGGGACACATCGCTGGATATGATGTTGAGTGCGTCGCAAGCCCGGCGCGGATTCACGGCCATAGCACCGCAGCCCACAGACGCTACCACATTAATGGGTGCAAAGAGATCACGAGAGGATGACAATCAAGCAGAGATGTCAAAGAGGAGGCGGCGATCCGAGTCGGCCATGTCGACGCAGCTCGAGCTTACTGAAGAGGATAGACTACTGCTGAAGTTGAAGGAGGAAGAGGCCATGCCTTGGAAGGACATTGCAGCGCGGTTCCAGGGTGATCTGGGCAAACAGTATCAAATCCCAGCTCTTCAAATGCGACTGAAACGACTGCGGGAACGAATGCGAGTGTGGGGCGAGGCAGACGTCAGAGCTCTGCGCATGGCGCACGAGTACTGGGCGCAGAACAAGTTCGAGATCATCTCGCAGAAGGTAAGCTCTTGAAGAAGGACATGAGGGACAGGTTAGCATCTGACGCATTCCAGATGCTCGAGTTTGGCGCTCAGGAGAAGTGGACGGCACGCCAGTGCGCTCGCAAATGGGCAGCAGGTGATGGACTGCCGACACCGATGCCCCAGTACGATCAGCACGCACAACACACTTTCACGCCGTACTCGATGAGCCCTGCCGAGCCGGCGACGTCGTTTCTGCCGTACATGCAGTCGTAGCGGCGCAGCGCACTGGGCGGCGCGGGTCTGTAGACGATGACTGTGTAGCTTTGTCAGATGGGGGTGGGTTTCATGGCGCTTTGGTGCAGGGTTTTGACGCGTTTTGGTTGTTTTTTTGCGCTCAGCGCGCAATGCTGGGACATGGCCGTTCTCTCCAGTGTCCCAGTGTGCATGCTGTCTACCCGTTTCTGCTATATACCCTCGCTTGCACACCTTCCAGCTAGCATTGCACTCTGCCAGGGTGTATGAATGAACAGCATGCCGGCCTAGTCTCGTTGTTGACAGCGTGAGATGCGCCGTGGAGAAGCTTGGAGGGAGGCCTTGTGGGCGGGGAGGCCTGGCTTGCCAAGACGGGCGAGCTTGCGTGGACTTGGACCTCTGGAGCTTGCGGCCGGACCGCGAACCACCAGGGCCAGCTATCAATAGCATCATCGCCAACCACGCACGCGCGCCGCCTGCTGCCTGTCCACGCCCACGCCCACCGCCCACCGCCCACCGCCCGCCGCCCGACCCGTCCATCTGCACCCAGGAGCATCCCTTGCATCGCTCTGACAGCCCCCGACGCGCCGCTGCCTCACGCTCCCGCCTGCCGCCTCCCGCCTCCTGCCTCGCTGCTCGCTGCGCGCTGTTCACGGCACTGCTGGCTCCGCCGCGGGGCGCACGATGAAGTTCAACCTCTTCCACATCCTCGGCGACGTGTCGCACACGTCGTCGAAGCTGATCCTGATATGGGCCATGCACTCCAACAGCAGCTCCGAGGGCGTCTCGCTCATCACGCAGGCCCTCTACGCCCTCGTCTTCTGCACGCGCTACCTCGACATCTTCAGCTCCAGCGCCACCCAGGACGCCGAGCACACGTGGAACTTCACCCTCAAGATCTTCTACACCCTCTCGTCCTTCTACATCATCTTCCTGATGACCAGCGTCTACGCCCGCACCCGCGAGCGCGAGAAGGCCTGGAAGCTCGGCATGTACTGCCTGCTTGCCGCCCTCGTCGTCGCGCCCTTCTGGTACCTGCTCTTCTCCAGCTATGTCATCGGCCGCAGCACCTTCATGAAGGTACCGTGCCCCCTGCCCCACCCGCCCCACCGTGCCGCTGCCCGTTGCTGACCCTCGCAGCTGCTGTGGGTCTTCTCCGAGATCCTGGAGTCGGTCTGCATCATCCCGCAGCTGCTGCTGCTCCGCCAGACCACCGTCCCCACCGTCATCGACTCCTTCTACCTCGTCACCCTCGGCACCTACCGCTTCCTGTACATTCTCAACTGGATCGTGCGTGGCGCCAACGAGACCGGCTATCGCGATCCCACAAGCTGGGTCTGGGGCACCGTGCAGACAGCCTTGATGGTCGACTTTGCCTGGGTCTACTACACACGCCAGCGCGTCAAGCTGCGTCAAGGCGGAGTCGTCGACTCGGACGACCTGGGCCGAGGATGGCTTGTGGGCAGGCTGGCCGGCCTGGGCCGGAAGAGCGCCGACAACTTCGACTACGACGAGGAGTCGGCACACCAGCCAACCACTCCGCAGCAGAACAAGTGGGGAAGGCGAGGCATCAGTGTGTCTGCCGATGAGGGTGTGCTGGATGCCGCGAACCCCAACCGTCGTGTCGACCGAGATTCCGAGTCCCAACCGCTGGCCGACCCTGCAGCATTTGAGGACGACGAGAGTGATGATGACGCCCCTCCTGCGGTCACGGCAGGCCCGAGTGCTGTCCCTGCCCCAGCCTCTTCGCCCGAGCATGAGAGTGGCGTCAGAAGGGACGAGTGGGACGATGACATTGATGACGACGCGAAGGCCCACGATGGCACCGCAAAATAGCCAGGCAATGAGTTTGGCAATCGCACTCTTGTCTTTTTCTGCTTTCGGCGTTGCTGTTGCGTTTTCGCGTGCAGTGGGACCCGAATGCTGCAGCTATATACCATCCACGGGTTTATGAATGGGTACAGAATCCTCCAAACGTGAGCCATCCCAACATGAGCCATGGGAACGCTGCAGATGCCTCAGCCCATTGTAGCAATTGCCCCTACATGTCTTCTGCATCGCGTGTGGCAGCCAGCCTTTGTTACATCGGATACTGCTTGGACTGACTACCCTGTCAGGCCGCCTGCCCCAGCTACAAAGCCTCGCATCCCTTACACGCGCATTCGAAACCCCAGGTTTCCTTCAATGTCTGCATTCTGCGTTCTCGACTCAGGGTCCGCCCCTCTCCACCCAGATACGTGATGTTAAGCTCCTCGCCGCTCTTGATGTGACTTGTAGCTGTGAAGTACCATACTCGCCCCCGACGAGTTCTCTCAACGTTTGGCACACATGAATGGTTGAAATAACTCGATGCCGGCCAACATCCGTACCCAAAAAATTCCGAACCCTCGTCTTCGAGCGACCGAATGCCGAAGGAATTGTGGCTGTCTCGTGAGCTGAGAAGGAAGATGGTTTCGACCGTGACCAGTGGTAGAAGCTGCAAAGGAAGAATGGCAACCAGATGAAGATATGACCGAGTAAAGGCCTGAAGATCGTCGGCGCTATGGTAAGGCGTCTTGTCCTCAGCAAGGGCGAGCACTTTCTCCCAATCGTGCGGCTTGTTGTAGCGGCACACAACACCACCAACGATAAAGCCCATGATGTCGGGCGATATTCGTTGTTGCAGCGCTTTCGAGACTGCTTTCCGATGCTGCTTCGTCAACTGCACATTCCCATACTCAATACATTGCTCGAGCTTAGGCCGCTCCGCCTGCCGCGCTGCCCGTATCATTTCTGCCTGCGCCTCCACACCTGCCCATGCGTGTGCGATATCCTTCCTGCTCGGTCGTGATGGATCCGCCCTAACCATCACACTGTCCTCCTTACTTTTCTTCTTTACAAATGTCTCGACAGCAGTCCAGGCCTCCACGCCGATATGCCCATTACACTCCATCCACGTCTCACGGCATTTCTCTGAGCAGAAAGCAAATCCCACAACTTGGTCACGTACGGGAAGGTCTCGGCCGTAGTCATAGCTGAAGCATTGACCGCAGACCTCACGGCGGTACTCGCGGAGCAGGACCGACAGCGTCAGGTCATCTGAACGCCACAACACCGCCCCCTCCAGAATGTCTTGGACCGCGAAGACGGCGCGGCCAGCGTTTGGAGTCTCGCGAATCTCGAACAGCCGAGTTGAGGGCGCGCCAGCAGCCGTAGGTGCTTTCGATGAATCCGTGAATGGAGCCGAGGACGACGAAGAGGGCCGGGACACGCTACATGCCGAGGAGGCACTTGTTGAGATGGGGTCGTCCGAGTCGTACATCGCGAGTGATGAGCGGACGGAAGCCAGTGTTTTACTGTTAGTAGTCGTTGATGCTCTGTATGTAGCAGCGAGCTTGATTATTAGCAAGGTGCGGTCGTTGGAACTGAAGCAAAATTCGCAGCCTGCCACTCCGCGGGTACCGTAAACAGTGCTGGAGTTACGAATGGTGTCTATGCCCAATGCTGTAGGTCACATATACGGAGATGAGCGGGATTGATTCGAATAGTTGAGGGCACGATACATTTTGGTTGGCTAGTAGCACTGTCGCAGTTGGGTTAACGAAGAAGCAATGGAGTGCTGCTGTGTTTTTGTGCGACCTCTTTTCCATCTTACGCCCCGTCTAGACCCTGAGATCGGCAACATCCCTACTAGTGCCATCGTGATAGACAAGCAAAATAGAGCTCCTTAAGGGCCACACCTACAACATATAGTATATAGTAAAGGTATATTATTAATATTTACTATTAATATACCTTATAGGCTAATAGATTATAGAGGTTAATAGATTACTTTTACTAAGACTATACTAAAACACTATTACTATCTAAATACCCCTCTACTAACCTTAATTAGATATATTAAAAGAATCTTAGATATAGCTTATACTTTAAGCTATTAAAAAAGATATAAAAATCTTATAGTAATATAGTAGAGTATTAACTACTTAGTATAACTTAAGGCTCTATTAGGACTAAATATAAGGCATATACACATAATAAAGACTTATAGCTTAAAAGACTAGTCCTAATAGACTGTTAGAAGAGTTAGATAATATACTATACTTTAACTATGCATATTCCTACTACTATAAATTAGCATCTCTAGCGCGTCTTAAACTAGCATCTCTTTAGATTAGAAGTCTAAGCTGCTGCTATGCTAAGCCTAATAACCTATTAAGCTATGCTATAGACTTTTACTTCTATATATAAGTTTACTTTCTTCTTTTCTTCCCTCTTATCTAGATATAACTAAAAGATAGTTATAATATAGTATAAAGAACTAGTTAGTATAAAAGGGAGGTATCTATTCTAGCTTAAGAATGCAGCAAGCGTGCAGGTGCAAGATTACCCTCTAGCAAGGGAGATCTTAATAAGCTAGTAATAGGCCTAATAATCCCTTAGTAGTAATAATAGGAAGGAATCTAATTTATATAACTATAGCCTTATAGTATATCTAATTATCTATTAGGACTGCCTTTTAAAGGGAATAAGATTAAATAGTATATCTTTAGCAGTTCTAGAACATGTTATTAATTATTATAATTATAATATATGCTCTAATCTTACTTATCCTATTAGTTATTAAAGATAAGCTCTAAGCTATATCTAATAACTAAGATTTTAGTCCTATAAGCTTAATAGAAGGTAGTATTATAGCTATGCCCCTAGGTGCTAAAAATATAGCAGGCTAGATAGCCCTAGACTCCTTTATCTAGCAACCTATAACTAATAAGCTATTAGTAATTAGTAATAACTTCTAAGCCTTCCTTATAGATATTATAAGAGAAGTAAGCTATATAGTATAAGCTAATGCCTAGCGCACTTATATAAATAAGAAAGTACTCTTTGCTAATATCCCCCTTATATTTAATAGGGATAATATTACCTTATTCCTTAAGAAACTTAAGTAGTAGTCTAGCTTCTATTAATAGACTATTAGAGACTAAATCTTATAACTTCTTAGCTACTATAACTATACTTAGCAAGATATTATTAAAATAAGCATAACTAACTTTATAGTTGCTTAGAACGCTAATAACTAGTTAGGCATAAAGGAAGTAATAAGGAAGCAATTTTATAATCTTAATTAAGCCTAATAAGAAGAGACTAAGAAGTTACTATATGCCTAGTATATAACATGCTTAGTAATAATAAATATGCCCCTATAAAGCTACCTTAATAGCTTTAGGCCTTAATTTAATTAATACCTTAAAGTAGGCATAGTCTTAAAGGTATATAAAGGATTCTACCTTACTAAGAGACTTAATAAGTAGCAGCTTAATAAAGTGCTAAATAAATTTAAGTTAACTATAATAAAGCTAGAAGAGTTCTACTATACTAAGATTAAGCCTTTTCTTAGTAAGGTTGCCTCTAGGGAAGCTAAGATTAAAATATTTAATCTAGCTTTTAAGAAATAGGCAAGACTAAACTCTAATAGACTATTAGCTAATAACTTATTAGGAACTATAGAACTACTACTATTTTAACTAGCGCAAATAGACCTAAATAAGGTGCTTAAGTAACCCTAGAGAGAGTATAAAGTATAGATACTACTAGGGTATAAGCCTACTTAGAGAGAGGTAGATAATCTAATTAAGAAATTCTTATATATTAAGCTTAATAGAATAAACCTATTACTTGTTATGCAGGCTCTATAAGAAGTAGAGCTACTAGCTAATTTAGAGGTGCAGAAGGAAGTTATAATAGCAGTAAACTAAGTAAACGTATACTAAGGTGTTATTAGAACTTAACTAGTAACAGCTAGCTATACCCTACTAATAACTAATTTTTAGCCTACTCTACTACTAATAAACAATTTCTAACTAGCACTATACTAACTAACCTATAATTTAGTAGTGCCTAGGGCCCTAATAGACTATTAGGCGTGTAGAAAGCAGAGATATATAGCTACTAATTATAAAGATTATATAAAGCTAATTTAAAACAAGTAGATATACCTTAACCTAAGGAACTATCTAGTATAGGGAATATAAGAAAACCTAAAAGAAGAAGTATAGAGTATAAGTAGGATAGTAATTATATTATTAATTATTAAGGGTATTAAGAGCTAGCTTTAGGCAAGTAGGCACTAGGTAGTTAATCTACTTATAATAGTAAACCTATATAAATAAGAAAATAAGAACTAAGGAGTTATTAGGATTGCAAGCAATATAATTATAATAGATAATAATAGTATATAAGTAGTAGGTCTTCTAGAAGAAGACAACTACTAAAGAAATATAGAATTTGTAATAATAGAAACTAGTCTAAGAATGCAAGTTAATATAATTAAAATAAGATATAAAAATATAGCTATTACTAAGGCAGCATTAGGATATATATCTATAGTTTAAAATAGAAGATAGAAGAATAATAAATAGGTTAGCATAAAGCCTACTAATAATAAGATAGAAGTTAATAGCTTTCCTATAGATTAATAGATACTAAATGCAGTATAGAAAGTTAGGCTGCTTAACTACCTTATAAGCAACTCTAATGCGCTTATAAAATAAGTACTATAGATAATAGTAGAAGTCTTACTATAAGACCTATTAGCGTTAGCGCTAGAACTATATAAGAGAATAACTAAGCTATGTTATATATAAGCTAAGGCAGAGAAACTGCTAACACCTAAGCCTAATAAAGCCCTAGTATTTAAAGTTAGCAACCTAATGCTTTTCTATCTAGAGTATATATATATAGAAGCATATAATAGCATATTTATATAGGTAGGCACTTGCAAATTAGGTCCTAATAGATTATAGATTACTATGCTAATGCTGCTATAATAGTACTAAGCAGCGCATATAGAGCTAGAAGATAGAGAACAAACTATAAGCTAATAATAAGAATATAATTAGGAATATAGGTTTAAGCATATTTAAAGAGACTATCCTAGAGCCCTAATAAGTATTAGAGATGCAAAGATATCTACCCTACTAGACTTAGAGGCTAAACCTAACATAATTTGCCTAAAGATAGTATAGGCAGCAGGACTTATTATTACTTTAATACTATAAGAAATAGCCTTATCCTAGCTATAAGCTACTAATAGGTTATTTAAACAATTTAAAGGAATAATCTAGTAGGCCCTAGTAACTATTAGGAATATTAAGATCCTAATAAACTTCTTTATCTTAAAATTATTATTAATACTAATTATACTTAGAAACCTATTCCTAGCAGACACCTAATATACTTTCTAATACTAAGCTAATAGATAAATAAGGTATATAGTCTACTTAGAAGATTATATGTCTTGTGCAATATTTATAGCTATAACTAATAATATAGTAGGTATAGTTGCTTTAGAATCTATAATTTTAAAAGAATTAGGAGTCTAAGTATTAGGCTTAAGACTTTAGGCAAGCAAGACCTAATAATAGCAAGTTCTAATAAACTATTAGTTATATCTACTTACCTAGTAAGTAGGCATAGGCAGCCTAGGCAAGTAGACTATTTAATGCTTTTATAAGCAGTAGATAAGGATTAGCACGCGCTGCATGCAGCTAGGTATATAGATAAGGACTTAAATAACATACTGCTTAACCTTGCGCAGCTGCGCTAGGTAGAAGATTAATATGCAATAAAAGAGGCAGGCTTCTAGGAAGGATTCTAATAGACTATTAGATACTAAGTTATAATAATATATAAGTCTAAAGCATGCAAAGTATAACTAGTGCATAATTTATTAGTTATGCCTTATTAAGTAGAGGGCAAGCCTAACTAGAAGAAATAAGCAGGTAAATAGTAACTACCTAATAGTAATTAATCCTAGCAGCAATTTACTAAGCATATTACGCCCTAAATAGCTAAATTCCTATTAGGACAATATATAACTACTAAGCAGCTCTAGTAAATAAAGATTATAAGTTAGCTATAACTATAAGAAAGGGAAATACTAGTAGAAGTATTTTACTATTATAAGAGGGCACTAAGCTTTAACTTCTCTAAATCTAGATAAGTATATAATAATATTTATCTACTAGTTTATATTAATACTATTAAATATAAGGCATAGAAAGAAGGTAATTTTCTAATCCTAAGAAAGCTTTAGGTAGAGGTAGTAAATATAATTTAAGAATATATAGATAGAGAAGTGCTAGAATACTTAAAAAGCCTATATAGCAATCCTTAGTTTCTAGTTAAAAAGAAAGATTATAGGTATTAGTTAATTAATAACGCCTAATAAATTAATAGAGTTACTATTTATAATGCTAACCTACTACCTAACCCTAATAAATTTTCTAAAGAATTTATAGAATACTAAGTAGTATTACTAATTAACTTCTTCTCTAGGTATAACTAGGTTAAGCTATATAAGAACTCCTGCCTATTAATAGCATTTTATATACTATCTTATAGGCTAGTATAGTAGTGCACACTCCTAATAGGCACTATAAACTCTATTATAGAATTTATGCAAGTTATTATAAAGATTCTGTAAGATCTTATCCCTATAGCTAGTATGCCCTAGATAGATAATATTACTATTAAAGGACCTAAGACAGACTATAAAAGAGAAGAGTTATTACCTAGAGTCTAATGGTTTATTAGGGAGCATATTATTAATATAGATAAGGTACTTTAAAACCTTAAGTTAGCTAGAGTAACTGCGTCTAGATTTAAAAGCAAATAGTGCTATAAGAGTATGGGCATTATTAGGTATATTATTAATAAATATAGAAGATATCTAGCGCAGAA